TAGATTCACTAAGTACGCACTTATGATTCCATTCCATAAGAACTACTCAGCCGAGCAGTTAGGACATATTATCCTAGATAAGTTAGTACGAAACTACGGGATACCAAAGACAATCATCAGCGACAGAGACAAGCTCTTTACCTCCAATTACTGGACGACACTGATGGCAACAATCGGAACGAAACGAAAGCTATCAACAGCTTACCATCCGGAAACAGACGGACAAACAGAACGTACGAATCAAACCATGATTACGTACCTACGGCTATACAGCAACCAGAACCAGGACAACTGGATTTCCTTATTGCCTATGGCACAGTTGGTATACAACAACAAGTTATCAGAAACAACAGGCGAAACACCATACTTCGCAAACCACGGAAGACATCCAAATCTCTTTGAAAAAACATTTCCAACAATAAAAACACAGAAAGCGTTAGAAAACGCAGAACAATACAAGGAGACATACAAAAAACTGGAAGAAAACATGCGAAAAGCACAACAACAATCAATCTCATATGTTAACAAGAAAAGAAAAATGGCACCTCAGCTAAAAAGGGGGGATAGAGTATATTTGCGAACAAAAAATCTTCGGACAAAACGACCAAGCAAAAAGTTGGACCACGTCAAAGTCGGACCATTTTTAATTGATGCTGTTGTCAGCCCAGTTAACTACCGACTCCAACTCCCAGAAGATGCAAAAATACACCCAGTGTTCCACATAGCGCTGCTGGAACCTGCGAACCCCGGAACGCCACTACAAAATACATTCCACTACGAAACAGAAGAAGAAAACGAATTCGAAGTCGAAAGAATACTACAATGCAAGTTAGACCGCGGAAGGAAAGAATATTTGGTAAAATGGAAGGGATACCCACACGAGGACAACAGTTGGGAACCAGAGGCACACCTGGCGAACTGTCAGCAAAAAATCAAACAATACAACAGGAAAAGGAGACCGCCGCTGATCCAGAACAACTAACCTCAAGAAGCCAGTACGGCCTCGTCAAATAACGGATCACCCTCCAAAACAGAGGGCATGTACGAACTCCAGTCCAGAGCCAGGGTACCAGGCATCAACCCATCCTCAAGGTTGCCCACATCCTTGTTGAGTCCTTCCAACGCCTCAAGAGCTTCAATTTCTTCAACGAATTTTCCTGAGTCATCCATCAGTTGCTGCTCACGACGCTTAAGTCTTTTCTTCTGTTTACGAAGACGGTCCTTCTTCGCTCGCGCCGCAACCAGGGCCTCCAACGCTGCTGCCTCGGCTGCGTCCGCTTCTGACTACAGGAACACACGACGTTACGCCATTGCGATAGCAATTCCCACACTCCTTCTTCAAAGAAGACATGCGACACTCCAAACCCTTTTTCGAACAATATTGACAAGATACCATGGCGATTTGTCCAACAGCGTTTATCCGATCCCCAGTGGCGTGACGATGAGCGGTGCTTTTGGAAACCATGAGGTCAGTTCATGAGGACAAGAACTTGGAAGAAGGGGGTAGTGTTACGAACCTAAGAATGGGGATGCACAGGTTATGAAGGAAGGTAATTACAAGAACACTCACGGTCAGCAAACAGGACACTACGTATGAACCAATAGACTTCGCCACCCCGCACGTCACGTGGTCCCACGAGTCTTGGCGGAAAGTTGCTGTGGGACAAGTCACGTGTGTCCCACAGGGTCCTACGAGATCCCACGATATCCCATCTATGAAACCCTATGGGACATATGGGAACTATGGGACAAAATATGTATATAGTCAGTAGACAAGAAGACCTTATGGTTCTTGTATTCACTCTAAGTTACAACCCACTTCTTGGAAATACAATCTAGTTGTTACTTTATACTTCTACCTTTGTTACTTCAGTGTTACCCGCTAGTCATCCGCGAAACCCAACCAGAGTTCTCCAAGATCTCAACACTTACTTATAAAACTTATTATATTTAAAATATATACTAAAAGTAAATATATAGTAAAGCTTATAAAACTAGTAAGCTACTTTAAAGTAATAGTAATATAGCGCTACTTAACAAAAACTAAATTTAAGTAATTAGTAGTAAAAGTAAAAACTTAAGTAAGTAAACTTATAAAAGTACTAAAGTAAGTAGCTTAATAGTAAAAAGCTATAAGTTTTAAGTTAAATTAGTACTATGTAAGTATAAGCTTTATACTATAATAATATACTATAATATTTATATAAAAAACTATAGTAGCTTTAATAGCTTTATTATATTAATAGTAAAGCTAGTATAAATAATTAATATAGCTATTAAAGTATATATAGACTTATAATAATTAGTAAAAGTATAGGTAAAGCAAATATTTTAAAATTTTACTAAAGTATATTAACTTTAGTTATTTTTAGCGTAATAGCTATAATAATAATGCTTTTTTTTTAGTAAAATTTTTTTAGTTAATAATATTTTAAGTATAGTATAAGTAAGTTATTTACTAAGTAATATAGTTAATATACTTATTACTATTACTTTAAGTATAAAAAGCTATATTATAAAAGTAAAATTTTTTAATATACTTGAAAAGTAAGTAGTAAACTATATTAGTAAAGTATTAATAGTATAAAAAAAGTACGCTAAGTAAAAAAAAGTAGAAAGTAAAAAATAATAATAAGTAATAAAATAAAATAACTAATAATAAAAATATAAATAACTTAAGTAAGCTAGCACTAAAACTACATAATTTAACTTTATATTAAGTTTTTAAAGTAGTAAATAATAATAAGTAGCTATACTTATTACACGCTATATATACTAGCTATATACTTAAATAATAGCTAGCGCTACATATATACGCATATATATATATATATACTATATAAATAAGTTTTATATAAAAAAACTATAAAGTAAAGCTGCTAAAGATATTAGCTAAAAAAAAAGTTTTATAATATTACTATATGAAAGTTAGTATTAAAAAAAATTAATATTACTAAAGTACTACTAATTAGTATAAGTAGCTTAGTAAAAGTATATAAAAAGTATACTTAAAGTACTAAAAAAAAATAAGTATTATTTTAAATTATTAAAAAAAAGTACTTTTTAAAAGTAGCTATTTTTTACTATTACTAGTAGTGTAAAGCAAGTACTATTACTTATAACTACACTTTACAGCTAGCTTATAAAAGTAAAAAAACTTATAGTACTTTTTAAAGTTTTTACTATTATATTTAGTAATGTTTTTAATATAAATACTATACTTTATAAGCGCTATATTTAAAAAGCTACTTATATAATACTTATAAGTTTTATCTTTTTTAACTTTAATAATACTACTTTTAGTAAATAAAGTTAAAATAAAGTTTTATAACTTAGCTATTTTTACTTTTAGTTTTTAAAGTTTATAAGCTTATAGTAACTTATTATATTTATATTTAGCTACTTAAATATAATTTTTTATTATAGTAGATGCGTTTTAAGTACTAAATATACTTAATTTAAAAGCTATACTTATAAATACTTAATTTACACTTAAAAAGTTTAAAAAGCTTTCCAAAAATGCAGTAGAGTTTTATAATTAAGTAATAAAAAGCTATTTTAAGCTATTAAAACTAAAATAATTATTATATTAAGTATAATTATAAGTAATAAAAATGCTTTATACTATAGGTAAATAGTAAAAAATAACTTAATAAGTATAATAAAACTTTAAATAAATTTTTTAATAATTTTTACTTTTTTCTAAAAGCTTTTTATATACTTGAAATATACTTAGTAAGTAAAGTAAGTATAGAATATTTAAGCTTTAGCATTATTTAAGCTTATAAAATACTATATTTCTACTAGCTTTATTATTAATATTAATTATCAATTAAAGCATATAAATAAAATAAATAAAAATATATTAATTAGTTTTAAACTTAAAAAAAATTTAAAAAAAATAAAACTTTTTTAAAGTTTTTTTTTAGAGCTTTAATTTAATAATAAGTGTAAGCTTTTCTTTATATCTTACTAATATATATTTATAAAATAGTATTAAGCTTAAAATAGTTTTAAATACTAGTAGCTTATGCAGTAATATAGCGTTTGTATTAGTTTAAATTTATAAAAACTTTTATTTACTTATATAAAATTTACTTTAAGTTATAGTAGGCTTTAAAAAAGAGAAAGATTTAAATATAACTTTTATAAAGTAAGATAGTGCAGTAGGCAAGCACCTAGCTATATTTAAAAATAATTTTTAAATTTTTAAAATGCTATTAGTTTAAATCTAGCTTTTATTAAAAATATACTTTTAAAAAATTACTTATCTTTACTTTAAAAAAATAAAATTCTGATTTATTGTTTAACAAATTATTATATTTATTGCTAGGTGCTAAGAACTACTTAAAAAGCAAGCCTAAATAAATAAAGTAACTTTTATAGTGCATGACTTTTTTAAGAACTAGCTAGTTAAAGATGCTAATATTTACTTATATTTTTAGATTCTGTATAACTAGCCTAACAAGTACCGCGTTAAAATACTGCAGGCATTGTTACTAGCGTTAAAAAAGAGAGCATGGATGCTTGTTATAGATAGCGTAACGCCTCTGTCTAGTATAGTTTAAACAATGCTAATCTCATTCTACAAGCAATAGATCTTACTATGTTGGAGATTAGAAATGCAAAAGAGCGCGAGCTTGACAAGTGGAAGGTATTGTTTAAACAGGCAGACGCGAGATACAAGGTCCTAGGCGTAAAACAACCTGTAGGATCTAAACTTGCAATTATCAAGGTATAATAGAATGTTTGAGACAGGGTAACAAGACGAGTATCATGATTCTCGTACTTAAGTAACTACGTTACAGGGGCAGGCCTACTATAGGATTAGCTATTAACACCTGTTTAAGGCTTTACTTTATGTTTAGACCTTAATAGCATACTAAAAACTAGTTTAAGATGCAATTCAACAGGGTATTAAAGTAGAAAGACTACCTAGGTAGTTGACACTATATCCTTGGGTAGGTCAGAATCGAGACAACATGTACTTCTGCCGATGGCTACGAGTCAAATGAAATAAACTGCCGTTTCACGCGCACCCGGGTGCCAGTCTTAACATTGAAGTCCCATCCTTCCTGGGCCCACATCCACTCCACAAAGGGGCCAAGTTCCTTATCCTCCGGAACAACACGCTTCCATTCTGGCTCAACCCCTGGTATTCCATGGAGTCCACGCAGACGGTCGCGGCCAAATATGCGAAATGAATCGAGCGCATACTTGCCAACCCCAGGTAAGTGAGCAATCTCCCAGCCCTGGTACTGACTATGCAAACCGATCGCCACACCCTTTTTTACATCACGCCCATCGCCTTGATTCGGGTAGTCATGGCGTTGATAACGCCTTTCAGGGCAAGGCGGTGCGGCGATCCAAACATTGGCCATTTCCACTAAACGGGCGGAGCGTTCTTTCTGTAGGCCTAATCTTCTGATCATGTGTTCGATCTTAGCAACAGGCGTTATAGCTAAAGATTCAATAGTTGGGTAGGTAACAAGAAAATTCCAAAGGATTGGTCGGGCAACAGAGCCATGGGTTTTATTCCAGAGAACTGATTGGATGACGAGCGCATAGAGAGAGTTACATATGCGTTCTTGGATGAGATTACAGGGAGAGATTGGAGGCTGTAGCTGAAAGTTTAAGCCACGGAGAGGAACAGCTCGTGAAAAAGGTTCCGGGAAGTGCGGAGATTTTGTTGGGGGAGCGATTGCTTTGACGCGGATCCGTGATTCCGTATGATGGGATTCTGTAGTTCGCTCCACGAAGTACGGCGAAATGGTGGCGCCGTGATCCAGAGTTTGTGGGTATCGTTTCTTGGTGATTTTTGATTCGACGGCGATGACATCTTTGCAGGAGTGCTGAAGTGAAGCAGCCGCGGCAACGATTTCAAGTGCAGCATTCTCCAGGATGATGGACCCGCGGTCTAGTGAAGCGCACGCATGCTCGCACGAAGAGTAAGTAGGGAAATCTTTGTTATTGATATTCCAAGACGGCATATAGCCAAGATGTAGCAACTGTACCGTGGAAAAGAAATAGAGCTCGGCACTTGTTGTGAGGTAGCATATAGAGTGAGCTTGTGTCATCTGCCGCATGTGTACTAAATCCGGCTTGGGTATCCAGTTTACTAAGCAAGTTTACTAAGTTGTTCTCGGCCAATCAGGCATCGCAAACTCACTCAGCGGTTCGAGGAGATCTATCCTCTTTGCATTGTGCTTGTACGTTATACACAAAAACAACGCATGTCAATTTTCCAGTTGAAGTAGCACAACAATTCGCAAGAGAGGAGATACTATTCCTCAGATCGGGCACACCAAGAATCTGTTGTGAGAGGCATGTACTCTGCACTAGCCATCAATGTCTGGTTCGCAGATGTGGATTCGCATTCATATTGAATCTAAAGCAAGCATACTTTACCTGGGCCGAAAGACTCCTTGTACGCCATGCTATTGGAACTGAATACTCATACAATGACACAAGTAGAAAATATCGGGATACATTTTCGTCCCCGTCATCGCTCGTTTTTTTTTTTTTTTTTTTTTTTTTTTTTTTTGGTCTATTTTATCGCTGTAAACCCTTTCTATGTGTAGGATCACCTAAACTCCAACTCATAATAAATAAAACATTTTCGTTCCAAGCGGCAACTTCAGAAGTTGACCATGTCCTCCGATGTGGGTGTTGGCTATTGCACGCGCAGGACCTTTCCCTTGATCCCAATTGATAGATCAATTCATGAAGTAAGAACGGAACACGAAAGACCTTACACGGCAGAAGTATCCGCAGAGCATAGGGAGAAATGGGTATTTTACTCTACGTAGGCTCCTCCACCCACCAAACCGGAGATGAAACAGATGAATGGACTTGTACTGCGCACACGGAAGGAATACCTCCACATTACTTCTCGACTAATTCATACCATTCGGGAATATCCGACACCAGACGCCACATGTACTTCTCGAGCTTGACGGCACACTTTGCATACACGGTTGTTGGCTCATTATACTTTTTGCAGTTTGTATAGATCAGCTTGAGATCATCAACAAGGTCTTTCGGTTCCATGTAAGCGCCGTTCTCGAGCCGCTCTTCCATGGTGGTAAGGTCCATGGGCGACGTGATAACATTGTAATAGTCTGGGACTTCATCTTTGTCGACAGGTTTGAGGAAAGGCCATGCCGATTGATGGTTCTGTATCTGATAGAGGAAGCGGCGGAACTCGTTGAAGTGGGGCCCACGGCGCGGTTCACGCGCCAGGGCATCCATCTCGGGCGACCAGCCTGTCTCTTGAATAGCGGGAATGGCGAGTGGATCGATAGGCGTGAAGGTGCCACCGCTGCCATTGATCCATTGCTGCGGTGGTTGGTGAATGATATGACTTTTACTAAGGATGCGGATCTTGGCTTGCACGGTTTCTTTCTGCTTGCGGATCATTCGGCCGGCCTCAAGGTAACGGATTTTGGGGAGAAGGGTGCATAACATCAATGTTCCTCCCTCGTAGTCCTTGATGTACCCCATCCACGCGGCTTTGGACAAAGTGATCTCCTTGGTGAACCCTTGTTTTTGAAAATATCCGGTGGCAAAATTATCAGCGTACGTTAGGAAGTGCATGATGCCAGAAGTGGCCTTCACATAGTCCTTAAGGTGAGCCATGAGGTGTGCACCGTACCCTTTGACTTGTTGATCAGACGAGACTGCGCAAAAAACTATCTCGGCGAAATCTCGATTTTGAAATTCGCGGAATGTGATGCCACCAATGACCTCTAGAGGTTTTTTGACAATAGCGAGAGATAAATGCGTTCGATCGTACACAAGGCGTGCTATATAGTCTTTTGGCATTTTGGGTAGTTGCTTCTGGAATAGATTCTTGAGTCCTGTTAAGATGATGGTGCTCTCTCTTTCGCCATCATTGTTCACTACTCTGAATTCGATCTCGCCATTTCGTTCTTCGATGACTGCAGGCTGGGCGATAAGTTAGACAACTGGTGGCCTTCTCGAATGTATTAGAACACATACCTTTTCGGGAAATGGGACTCTCCGAGGTACAGATGGCAGTTTTTCATCTGCGTCTGCTGTGCTATTATCCAACCCTTCGACCCGTTTTGTGTCGGGCGCATTCTTCAACTCTTCAGAAGCTGGTCGCTTAGAGCCAACTGTTTGCCCCCGGCTGTCCATCAGCACTAGGTGCCGGCAGAAGCAGATTGCGACGGATGGGTGCTCAAACTACTATAGGCCAAGCGGATGCAGGTTGCGACAGCTTATTTGATTCCCGAGATTCCAATGATTGTTGGCTTCGATTTGTGGCCCAAGAGGTTGTGAGTTACTAACGCGTGCGTCTTGTCGACAACTGGATTCTAGTGAGCGAGCGGATTACCTAACTAGCCGCATGAGGCTAGCTCGAACACAGCATGGTCATCCGCCAACCGTGGCACTGTCTATTACCCGAGAATCACTGCGATGACCCAGGTCTTACGACGACGGCAAATCAAAATATCACTATTTAACGAAGGATCGCTGAGTTGGTCTGAGAGCGCAGTAAGAGTGTGGGGCCGGATTCAGGGAAGGCACCTGGTTTTAAACAGATCGATACTACAAAGAACATGTACAGCACAAATCTTCACCCAACCCCCAGCACTAGACATATCAGTTCTCACCAACGAGAATAGCACTGCCCTCCACGACTTCCTTTTCAGCTTTGTCCCCGGAGGTATGTGTAGGCTGCACGACTTGGCGTCCGCGCCATGTGCTCATGAGGGAATTCAACTTCTTCCTCAAGGAATACTGCATCCAGAAGGGCCAAACCCTCACCCATGGGACAACACCCCAGGCGACCTCAGGTAACATCAAATGTGCGCTCTCCCCCTTATACACAGCCTTCACAATCTCCTCGGCTACCGTCTCGGGATACAAACCCCTACCCTGAAACCCTTCGAACAACTTCGTGCGTGTGTATCCCTGGCACATGATGATAGTCCTCACACCTGGCGCCTTGTAAATTTCCGAAAGCTCCGCAGCGAGGCCCTCGTGGAATACGAGAGATGCGGCCTTAGTAGATGCGTAGTCGACCATCCTGGGTGCGGTTGTGTATGCAGCCTGCGAAGCGATTGTGACAATTTGCCCGTGATTGCGCTCGATCATGGCTGGGAGAAACTGCTGCGCTAGGAAATAGTGGGATATTGCGTTTACGTTGAAGGTGAGACGAATATCGAATTCGGTGGATTCGAGGATGGACTTGCCGCGCGCACAGCCGGCGTTGTTGATAAGGACCGTTGGGTCGCCCAGGGCGGACTTTATGGCAGCTGCGGCAGATGCGATGCTCTTGGGATCTGCTAGGTCGCACTGAAAGAATTGGACAGATGGAGGTGCTGTGTTTTTTGAACATACGTTGTTAGTATATTTGCCTCTATTCCTCGATGATTCTTTCAGGTTTTTCCAACGTACCTTCATAAGTCAGCTTCTGAACATCCAACACTGCAACCTTGACCCCCCTCTCCGCAAAAAGCTGCACAACAATCTTCCCGATACCATCGCTACCCCCAGTAACGACGACGACCTCTTTCTTCCAATCCCAGTCCCCAGTCTTATTCCCCTGCCAATTGTTCATCACCCTGCGGTCCAGCCATTTCCCGATGGTGCCTAGGACGCCTAAAGCGAGGAGTGCTTTCAGGTTCCTAAGCGCTGTTCCATGCTGCAAGGCTATTTGCGAGCCCTTGGAGGTGTAGCGCGCAAGGAGGAAGAGGGGAAGTGTGAAAGCTGGGTTGAGCGCCGTGTATTGGATGAGGCGTCCGACTGTGTCTGGCGATACGCCTGTCTCAAGAAATAGATCAGAATTGGTTCCCCCTTAGATTTTTTCTTGTCTTTGTGCGCGTTCGGAAGTGCGTCACTGGAAGTTACATGAACAGACTCATTGGCTTTTGAGTGTCGGTGGCACACCTATCCACACGTAACTGTTGTCATGTTTGATGTGGACAAGGAAGCCGTGTACCTGGACGTGCCGGGACGCCTTGAACATGGATTGCACAAGAGGGAAGTGATAGTAAAGGTCAGACGTACGTACCTTCGCGTGCCAGTGTCCATTCGCTACGAATCGGCATAGTCAACTCAAATGTCCTTGGAGGAGTTTATGATCGAACTCATCCCAACCGTCACCAACGATGATGCATCGACCCCTTAAGGCTTTGGGAGACTGTGGGACAAATCCAGGGATGTGTGAAGCCAAGCTCCCCCAAACAAGTTAGGCGTGGATCGCAATAGTGCGGGGTTTCCGTGGCACGACTAAAGCGGTTCCAGTGCCTCGGTACCTACATGTATGCACATGGGCACATATTTCACGTGCATCTCGATTGACTGGAGGATAAGCGAGGCGAATCGACAAGTTCGACTAGAGTCCATTGTGGCCATGTCTTGTCAATAAGCCATCTACTCGACTTCACTGTCGCTAGTCTCAACAGCCTTCTTCTTGGATTTGGTCGTCTTCTTGTTCGGCGTGGACTCCTTCGCTGTTTTACGCTTCACTTGACTGCCTATGCGCTCGCGTTCACCAACCCCAGCAGTGTCCAACTGCTTTTCTTGCCGTTTGAACTCCTCGCTCTCTACGTCCATGCCCACGAGCTGCTCCAGAAGCTTAATCTCCCGCGCCCAGATACCCTTGTCTTCGCCTTTCTTGCCATCTGCGTCTTTCGTATCAATTGGGGTCTCTAAGACCATAGGCCTGAAATGTCGCACACCAAGTAGTTAGTAGGGTTCAAGTCAATGTGTCATCACAGTCTCCCGAAACTATCACACTCGGCGTCTCATCCTGCGATTCCGTATCAACGTAGGGCGTACTTACAAACCATGAATACGTTGATCGTTGACAAGATTATGGAAGGAGCGTAGGCCCAGATAGCCGGTGCCGATGTTGGCGTGTAAATCCCGGTGAGACGAGAGTGGAGCCTTGCTATCGTTGATATGAAGCGCCTTGAGGTATTTGAACCCGATGATTCGGTCAAACTCCTCCATGGTGGATGCGTAGGCTTCTGGTGACCGCAAGTCATAACCGGCGGCGAAGACATGGCAGGTATCCAAGCACACCCCTACACGGTCCTTATTTGTTACATGGGAGATAATATCAGCAAGATCTTGGAAAGTTCCCCCAATTGTATTGCCGAGCGTGGCCATGGTCTCCAGGAGAGGGATGACCTCGCCCGTCGCTGGATCTTCGTGTGCTTTGTTGATGGCCTGTGCGATGAGCTTTATCCCGTTTTCGCGCGTCGTAGCGGCAAAGTTCCCTGGGTGAAAGTTGTAAAACCGGATGGATAGTCTGTGACAGCGTGTCAAATCGTCATGGAAAGATTTATAGGCTTGAGCTTTGCGCTGTTCATCCGGGTGGGCTAGGTTGACCAAGTATGAGCCATGGGGAACACAGCATTCGTTGACTTGAATACTGTGACGTTTGCAGCCATCCATGAATAGGGTGACTTGCTCCGGATCCAAGGGTGGGCTATCCCATTTCCTCTGATTTTTCAGGAATAAGGCGAAGGCATTGGCGCCTATGTGAATCAAGTTCGGAATGGCATTGTGGACACCTCCCGCGATACTCACATGGGCGCCAACAAGAAGCTTGCTGCCCACAGTTCGTTGCTCCAAGGGTGCGCTGTCTTCTTCCTTCTTCTTGCTCGTTCTCTTTGGCGCTACCTTGAACTTGCTGACCATGTCAACATCCTCGACAATTGTCTCCTTCGCTTTGGCCTTGCGTGCTCGCTTGTTGGGTATGGTCTCCGCTGATTCGACAGCACTCTCATCGCTTTCTTCGTAGGCAACTGCCTTGCGTACACGTTTGGTTCCTGTCACTGTGGTCTCTGCCTTACGCTTCCTTGCAGTAACTGCGGGTTGTTGACGGGCCGCGTTGTGAGTTTGGAGGCCATTAGGTGGGGGCGACAGTGAGGAATCGGGCCGCGCCGTCGGGGCAAGCTTCCGGGTCATGGTCGATATTGGAGCAAGACGGCACTGATGTCGCGCAAAATGTGAGCGGTGGTGGTAGAGTCGTATATGATATTCGGGAAAGCCGCACGTTGGATGGTGAACTAGTAGAGTGGGTGGACGAGGAAGTTTCAGTGGAGCTGAGGAAAGTGTTGCCACGAAAGATGATATGGTAAACTTCATACCATTATCTGTTCGTTTTCCCTGGCGGCGTTGATCTAGTATTCAAATATATAGGTAAGGACTACTTGGATATCTTGACGCGTCAGACCCCTGTTCGCCCCCGGCTCGCGTTTGTTGATTAGCGCAAGATCAGATGCGATAAGATAAGAAATTTCCACACATCACATAGATTACATCCCACCACCAGGACAATCATCAACAGCCACCACACCCAATCCTTCTTCCAGTATCGATCCTCTCCCGCTATGCCCAAAGAAAAACGTAAACGCGGCGGAGGTGGCCCCGATGCCTCTCCTTATGCTAAGCCCTCCACCAAAGCAGCCGCCGCCAACAGCGTCTTCAAAATGAACACCAATCTCGGTCAACACATTCTCAAAAACCCGGGCGTCGCCAATGCCATAGTCGAGAAGGCCAACCTCAAGCAGAGCGACCATGTGCTGGAAGTTGGTCCGGGAACAGGAAATCTGACAGTCCTCATTTTGCGTAAAGCCAAGAATGTGACAGCCGTAGAAATGGATCCACGCATGGCGGCCGAAGTTACGAAACGTGTACAGGGCTCGCCCGAGGGCAAGCGCCTCAAGGTTCTACTCGGCGATGTCATGAAGACGGAACTTCCGTATTTCGACGTCTGTATCAGTAACACCCCATATCAAATTAGTTCGCCACTCGTTTTCAAGCTCCTCAGCTTGCCCGTCCCACCGCGCACAGCCGTACTCATGTTCCAGCGTGAATTTGCCATGCGGTTGTTTGCGAAACCGGGGGAGAAGCTGTATTCACGCCTATCGGTCAATGTTCAGATGTGGTCCCGCGTTTCCCATGTCTTAAAGGTTGGGCGCGCCAACTTCAACCCCCCGCCTCAGGTCGATTCCAATGTTGTCCGTATAGAGCCCAAGAACCCGCGCCCACAAATCAGCTACGAGGAATGGGATGGCCTACTGAGGATTGCCTTTGTGCGAAAGAACAAGACATTGCGGGCCGGATTCTTGGGGACAAGCGCGGTAGTGGAACTTCTCGAGAGCAATTATCGGCTTTGGTGTGCTCAAAATGACGTTCCGATCGACGATGGGCCGCTCGATGGTCAAAGTCATGAGCCTGAAGGAATGGAAGTTGATATGGACAAGGAAGAGGAGGAGTTCAAGGGGTTTTCGGATCCTGACCTCGACGAAGACGAGATGCCAGACTTCTTCAAGCAGGTTGCTAAGAAACCGCGTGGAAAAGGCAAGCGGAGAGGAAAGGTTACGGAGCTGGTCAAGGAGAAGATTCGCAAAGTCCTCGAGGACGACACTGAACTCGCTGAGAAACGGACTAGAATGTGCGACGAGGGGGACTTTCTCAAGCTGCTCTATGCTTTCAACAGCGAGGGCATCCATTTTGCATGAGAAGACGTCGTGTCACAATGTGCATATACGGCGTTTGTTAGGCATGAAGATTATTCAATTTGCTGGATTTAGGCACGGCGTCCGGATGATACCAAAAAGTTTAACATTTATCAAAATACTTATCAAGCTATAATTCAGAACTGTGAACATGTGCGTGCCGGAAGGCGTGCTGTTATATGGCATCTTCGTACTGTCGTACCAACTGCCCCGTTCCTTGTAGGTGGTCCTTGACTTGCTTCACCGTGTACTCTCCCCTGTGAAACTGCGCCTCGTTAGCTTCAGAGAGCGGACATGTGAGATTGCACCGTCACTTACCATGCCAGCTCCTAGCGCAGCATCAGTTGAGGTCTTCGCAAATACCTCATCAAAGTGTCCCGGATTGCCAGCCCCGCTACTTGCAATGACTGGAATTTTGATGGCTGCTTTGACATCATTTATGAGCTCCAAGTCAAATCCACTGTTAGTGCCATCTTTGTCGATACAGTTGAGAAGAATCTCGCCAGCACCCATCGCCTCTACTGCGACGACGAGTTGTCGTACGTCGAAGTCTCGCCCCTCGCGACCACCCTTGATCGTGCACTGATACCAACAATATTCCTCGCCATTTGGACCTGGTGTCCTCGTCTTGATGGTATGGTGTGATGTGGTTTCGGGCGAAGCTACGTAAACCCGGCGCGGATCGACGCTGATTACGACGGCTTGGTTGCCATATGCTCCAGATATGGTTTCTATGGCTGTTTTTCCGTTCAACTGCGAGCCTTGCGCATAGTATTCCTCGGCAGCGATCACCGCATCCGATCCGATACTCACTTTGTCGGCGCCAGATTTGAAGTACATGGTAGCAATATCTAGGGCAGATATTTTGGTCCCGTCTGTGTCTACTGTATCCCTAATGCCTCCTCCTATCGTCAACGGGACGAAGACAGTCTCACTCGTTCGTCGCAAGATCTCCAACATAGGTGTGTCAGCAACGGGGGAGTTGCGGAATGAAGTGATGTTAAGAAAAGTGACTTCGTCTGCACCCTGCTCGTAGTATTTTTTGGCAATCTCCACGGGTTTGCCCAGGTTACGTACTTGACCCCCAGAGCTCACGCCGTCCTTTTCGCGCACGTCGTATTGATCGCCCTTCGTTACAACGAGGTCACCCTGATCATTTGTACGAACGTCCAGACATGCGATCACTCGTCTCGTCAGGCCTGTCTTGGTATCGGCAGCCGTCGGGACCTCGCCCAGTTTTTGCGACTTTTTGCCGTCAAGGAAGGCTTTGAGGACACGAAGACCCGCGGCACCACTCTTCTCGGGATGAAACTGGGTGACAAAGACATTGTCTTTGGCCACGGCACCCACAAACTCTTCGTCACCATAGCGGGCGGTAGCTACGGCCCACCCGTTCTTTTCCAACTCGCCTGGTCGGTACATTGCAGCGTACGAGTGAACATAGTAGTATTTAGAGCTCGGACGAAGCCCATAGAGCGATTCATCCGTGACCTCGCCGGTTGGTGATGTGTTCGCGCTGTTCCATCCGATATGAGGTACGCTCTTGTCGGTGTCGCGAAACTTGCGCAGCTGCAACGGGATCACGCCCAATCCCTTGACTTGTGGGTCTTCTTCCGAGCTTCCAAAAATCGCCTGCATACCCACGCATATGCCCATGAAAGCCTTGCCTGCCTTGATGTGTTGGAGGATGGGTTCGACGTAACCAGCTTTCTCGAGTTGGGACATGCAGTGGCCGAAGTGACCGACACCAGGAATAATGAGTTTCTAGGCGTGCGACTGTATCAGCCCAAGTCAATTGGTGCAGGCAAGCAGCATAGGAATGGGAATGGATTCACACCTCTGCAGCAGGTACATCAGCAGGCGACTTGACCCATTCGACTGTGTAGCCAACCTTCTCAATGGCATTGACCAGAGAGCGAACGTTGCCTGCGACATAGTCCAAGAGGTGCACAGTCGGCATGTTGGGCGGGAATTGGATCAATGAAAGGGTGAGGGAGAATGGTGGATATTGAGTGGTTGAGTCACAGCCTGCGTTTCGCGTCGACAATAGAAAACATTTTGGCGTCGCCGCGTCCATAAACTGCCCCGCGGAAGTGAGGGGCAACCCGCGCGTCTGCGCTACTGCCGGATGCAAGCTAGCGCCGCCCGCGGCGAGTTTTCGACATCTGAACTTTCTGAACCTCGCGATTGCCCTCCCAGTCCTTGTTGCGACGCCAATCCGCGCGCACGACATTGAGTACATCTTCTCTTCTGTACCTCTCTTCACCAAGTCTTTACTGTGTGCACTATCGCTCAACATGGTTAGAAAACTCAAGCACCATGGTAAGCTAAACTTCCAAAGAGAAACTTTGAGCATAGGGCTATTGCTAAGTAAAGACAAATAGAGCAGAAACTTCTGCGTAAAGTAGACTTCAGCACGTACAAATCGGATGGAGATCATCGTGATGTTGCCATCATGCGACGGTATGGAGTCCAGCGACGCGAAGACTATCAGAAATACAACCGTTTGGCCGGCAGTCTCAAACAACTCGCCCACAAGCTTGCCAGCCTTGATCCGGCCGATCCTTTTAGGCACCGACACGAGGACCTTTTACTCGGTAAACTCTTCGACATGGGAATTTTGGGTACGGGGGGAGGCGGTCGTGGGAAACTATCAGATGCCGAACACAAAATCACAGTCAGCGCATTTTGTCGGAGACGACTTCCTGTCGTCATGACCAAACTGAGGATGGCAGATAACGTGACATCTGCTATCAAATTCATTGAACAAGGGCATGTGCGAGTTGGCACCGACGTGATCACGGATACGGCATACTTGGTTACCAGAAACATGGAGGACTTTGTGACCTGGGTTGATTCCTCCAAGATCAAGAGGAACATCATGAAATACCGCGATAAGCTGGACGACTTTGACCTAGACTTGAATTAGAACAGCGATTGATGGGAATTTGGGCTGTACGGTGTTAGTCGTGTCATTTTCATAGGTAATTGTACCTTCGAGGCGTTAGGTTACCAAAGGACAAGGATGTTTTTTTAGACGCGCAAACTTTTTTGATACCAGGCGGAAGTAGGATCTGCCGGATACCCAGTGGCAAGTAGAAGAAGCAGATTTCCCAACAGTCAACAGATCGAAGATCACATTGCTGAATTACTCATCTCGCGGTAATTGTAAGTCCGAGATTTGAGTGTGTAACTAATGGTTGATGAGTCCCCTAGGCGAATCCACGATGATCGCTATCTTATACTATCTACTTCTATACCAGTTCAGTGTCACTGCACATATACGGAAACTCCTCCCTTTCCTAAATCCGTCTCTCAGTCTACTAACCCATTACGCCCCTCTCGAAATCCCAAACTTCTCCAGTTTGATCCTCGGCACGACACCCGCGAGCACCAAAACACTAGCTACAATGACAGCCCAGTGTTCCATATGCAAGACATTCAAGTTATACGTGGTCCACGAACTCGCGCATACGGTCGCGAGTCCCAAAATTGCAACAATATACCCACTTGCCCGGTGAAACTTCCAGATTTTCTTCGCTTGGTCCAGGCCGCCGTACAAGCTGGGGGTATAGTATTGCGTGAAGCCAACCACGGCCTGCAGGAAGATGGTGATGTAAAAGACGAGCCCGAGGATGGCGTGCGGCGACTCGAAGTGCGCATGTCCTGGCCCGCGCTTGTTGATCTCAATTATGATGAGACCGCTCAGCAGTGCCGAAAGTCCGATGATATGAAAGAGGAAGTGGAGGAGGGTACCGGTGCGTTTTTGTGAGGGTGTGTGTGTAGGTTGGAGGACGAGGGCGGCTTGGGTAACGAAGAGGAGACCGGCCTGTCCTCGAGTTCAGTATGCACATGGCTACATGTATAGTGTGTATTGAGCTGATTGTAATTGCTTACCGAGTTGAGCAGCTGCGTTGATGTTAGTTTTTGAAGTAACAAGCGAAATGTATCTAAATATAAGGACTACGGCGCAGACATACTGGATGTGCAGAGAAGAATATAAGATCGTGGGTGAATATAGCACCCCAGATGATTGCTGCAAGCTGTATCCACCGGCATGTCAGCCCATGCTCCATCGTCTCTGCTTCGGCGTCGACTTACGATCCATATCCCAGCCTGAGCGATGGGCGCCGTACCTGTCCCCAATGTAAGCAAATAGGCAACTCTCGAGGAGTAGCAGAGAAGAATATATATACCTAGCCAAAGGTTCAGCCATATGCTCTCTCCATCCATCTGACTCGCGTCGCCCCTACGCCCTAACAGAGGTTCTTGTTCACTCGCTCTATCTCCTGCTGTTGGGTTTACATTCTCCGGGATGCCGGTCGCAGATGCCATGGTCAGAATGATGTACTGGAAGGTGTTCGGAAGAGGTATGAACCACTACAGGAGCAATAACGAACAAATAAAGGGCAATGAGAACTTTCGGAGCAGATTGCGGCCCAGCTTATGGTGGGAAAGGGAGGGGTAGAAGTTTTCTGGTTGGTAATGGGGTTGGTTGGGGATCCCGAAGCTCGCGTTGAGCTCGAGCGAGATATGCATGACGACATTAGGGCTGGCCAATTAGAGATTGCGTGTAATAATGCAACAAGGATCCCTGCATACGAGTCCTACCTGGGATGGTCTGGTGGAGTACAAATGTAGGCCAGACTACTGTTCTCCTCACGCTTGAAAATAATCGGACGTATTGACCATGTACACATAAATATGCGCTAAAGTACACCTAGTATATTCTTACAAAGAAACAGACCACCAAGTACTGTGTGTAGATGGGTGTGGGCATGAAACCATCTAATTCAGCATGGACATGGCCGTGCTGCTTCTGCGATATCCTACCCGCGAGCCCGCTGTTAATATCCCAGACCAACGCCCCATAAAATGCAAGTCAAGATGCGATTTAATATATGCGGCTAGGTAGGCATGATGCGCTGCAAACAAAAGAGAATTGAAGAATAGTCAGGCAAATGTCTTTCATTCCAGGTCTTCTGGTCTTTTTACTGGAGAAGCTCTAGACGGGCCTTCGGCAACAGGTGCCTGAGATGCAGCAGTCCCTGAGTTTAGCTGTAAACTGCTGCGTAGCAGTGAACTGGTATGTACCTCGGCTCGCGGATTGCGGTCTGGGTCTTGGGTATCGACTGGCGCATATTCTTGATTCGCCAAATGCACCTTATTCCTAGCATCATCGCGCATTTTCTGGATCTTGAAATAGTTGTAAGCGCCAATACTGATGATAGTGACGAGAAGACCGGTCAGGTTGATCGGTGTCAGTGGGTCGTGGAAGACAAGGTTTGCGGTAGTAATAGTTACCACCTCTTTGAATATACCACAAATGCTAAGAGTGACGACGCTCGTCCGCTTTAGTAGGGCAAATTCGGAGGCCGTCATGAGAAATGCGAGTACTCCGGGAAAAATAAGGATGCCGATGCCGAGGAAAGTGCCTTTGTTGTCGAACAGCTTCGAAAGACCTTCAAGAAGCGCTGGAAACCCTTCTACCGGAACGGCTAAAACGAATAGACTGAGGAACATGACGGGCGCCAGAAAGAAGATTGAGGAAAATGGATTCGCGGTGGCTGGATTGCGGAGAAGGAGGATTTGGGTGAGCGACCAACGGAAGCCGGAGGAACAGGCCGAAGCCATGACGAGAATAAAACCGCGGGCATCAAATGCAGTTTCGCCAGCGACCATCATGACCACACCCATCGTCATAACACCAATTATGATAACAAGCCTCCAGGATGGTTTTTCGAGTCGGAAAAGGAACGCGAAGATTAGCACGAAGCCAAGAGCGGAAGATTTGCACATTGCTTTGCATACGTTAGCATTGGTCGTTGCGAGTGGACGTATTCTAAATCTTACTAAAGAAAGTCAGAGATATGAACTTTAGACTTGTGTTTCCCAGGCCAATGTCCATGCCAGTGGCCGCACCGCATGGCCCGAGACGAGAGAAGTAGAACCATTTCGTCATTAACGGCTTGTTATAATCGACAGTCTCCGCTCGAGTTCCGGGTTCGTTTGAACTGAGAGAGTCGTGGCGGGGGCGTAACGAAGGTACCACGTAGAGAACCAGAGACGCGAGTGAAAACTGGACTATCATATGTAGACACGTGGTAAAGAGCGGGAACGGGAAGATATTATGGGACTCCCCGTCCTCCTTCTCCTCCTTGAACATCCACTTATTGTACACTGAGATGGAGATGGAGAAGGTGTACCTGTGAATTCATTAGCGCCAACCAGAGGCTAGGCACCTTGATTGCAGCTCACCAAAGACCGATCAATACAGCATTGATCACCATAGATCGAATCAATGTCTGATTTGCAGCCTTCTCCTCCTCCTTGGTCAGCTTGCCGTCTGGGATGATTCTTTGGTCCAGCAAAGTGTTTTTTCTCTTCCTTCTCCTCCTCCGCCTCCTGTCTCTCCCAGTCAAACCGGTCTCCTCGTCGTCTTCCAAGCCATCCGCGCTCATGTCGTCGAGTTCGAGGTCGTCGCTGTCAGTCTTATCCGTAGACTCGGAGTCGGAAGCCCCTTGCTCCTCAGGGATGTTGTCGGACTGCGGCTTGCCGTGCTTTTTCGTATCTTTCTTGTCTTTCGATGGACCTGAAGTTCCAACTAATGAGGTTGAGGTTGAGCGTCGACGTGTATGAGTAACAGGCTTGTTGTCATCCATACTGATGTGGATCGAAGGACGCACTATTGCGAAGTTCGCGCGAGGAGGGTCACGTACGCATTCGCTATCGGAGTCGGAGTTGGATGAGGAAGGAGGGTTGAAGAAGGTTTTGAGCGGAAAGTCATGGGTAGGATGTGATGTGTTTGGGAGAGCCAGCGGTGGATCTGGAGTATCCAGGCTGGTCATGCCGAGCGAGCGTGGAGTAGCGCGAAAGCTTGGCGGCGGGCCAAATTGTGGAGGATGGAAGGCAAATCTCCTATTCCTCTCTGGTGGTTGATGCCCCTGGCCTAAGGAGAGATGCACGAGTTAGGGAGGTAATCCGAGCGGTTTTGAACTGCTGCTTCATAAGACGGCCTTCGCCCACTTATTCTGTTACATGCTGCTCTCGTTTTGGGTTAGTCTAGCTGACGATGATGGTCAAGACCTGCGGCTTATTCAGCCCATTATCATCCATCAGCAGTACGAGTATCTACTGTGCTACTTAAGCATTCATGCACCTGACTTTGTTTTGCAAAGCGTGCATTCATTCTCAAAATAGGTATAAAAATCGTGCGTCTAAATCGATGCAATGGTTGATGCAGCGCTAGACATACCAATGCTAATAGGGAACTCCAATCCACGCCCAAAACTCCTTCAAATGCATACATGACCAACCAGACAGACAGCGGTGTCCCAAAAACATACCAATCGTCTCAAACACTGCCCTTCAAGCAGCTGCAGGCGGAGCCACAGGCACGCCCGGGAGCTGCTCAATTTGCCGTATCAGGAAGCTTTTTTCGTCCATGAATTGCTCGTCGTCGGTGCGGTCCTCGAGGAAGTTGGGCAAGAAGCGCAGCAGCTTCTCTCGGTTGCTGATGAGAATGCGCTGTACAGCAACCGACTTGTTTGGGTTGGCGACGAATACCTAGAGACCACCGCCATCGGTTAGCCCAGCCAGCTCATGCACAACAGCGGCCAGTAATCGCTCCCACACATACCTTGAAGACGTGGAATCCTTCATAGTTGATCATTCGTCTGTCGTCTCGTAGCAATTTCATGATAATTTTCAGATGCTCGCCCGAGTCCACATACTGCGTCATGACACTGTAATTGGCGCGGTCCAGAAGAATCTCGCCCAGTAGTTTGATCGATTGACGTTTCGTGACGTAACTCTCTGATTGTACAAGGACTGCGTTGTATCTCGTAAAGAACATGTCAAAGTTGGTTTGAAGGTATTGGGCGACTAGCGCCTTGTGTTTTGTAAGAATATCCTGCATCATGGAGGTGTCAGCCAATCAATGATGAACTTGATTGTTCAATCGTGGTTTCTGGGGCGCATATCTACCCTGAAAGTATTGAAGGCATCGGCGCTGACTTCGAATGCACCTTTGTCTATCCAGTCAAAAAACCTCCAAAACACACCATTTCCAGATGAAGGCTCATCTGGATTCACATCACCTAGATCCCTCGTCTTTCCGTCTGTCGTGGGCTCGTCGTACAGGAGAAGTGCAGCGATAGAGTCGTACTTAAGGGCTTCACGCAGGACACCCCCGCAGGGCATTGCGCTCTCTCGGCGATCGTATCCTCTGCATAGTGATATTATGATCTCCGGTCGGAACTGTATAACATGGTGCAACACTTGCGGATCGGATGCGCCGACGGGCTTGTAGCGAAATGCGGTCGAAAAGATGACCTGTGCATCTTTCCGGGACTCGAAGGGTAGTTTGTGGATGTTGTTTGCGAGATAGTACAGCAGATCTTCCTGGATGATGAAACTGAGAAGCTGGAACACCAGCTCTTGGTTAACTTCGGCCTCTAAGAAGGGTACAATCAGCAAATGGACGTGCGAAGCAAACCAGTCGAGTGAGTGAGGAAGTGGAGAATAGCTACCTGGCGTGCCTTGAAGCCGAAGCTTCATCTGCTGAAGGTCCCGTGCCAATTCTTCCTCTACCTGAAAACTCGCATTAGCATGCATGGCTGTTGCGGGACGGCGGTGCGACGAGCCTTGGGGTTGGGCTTCGAGTCCTCGCTCAGCTGCAAAGTGAGCTTCTTGGTGGACTGCACAAGCTCGGCATGGCTCTTCTGTCTGTTGCGGAACAGGAAGGCCATGTTTGCTTGATGGTCGAGTAGTCGAATATCCTTCAGTTCGGAGGTGCTGCGGAGAACAAACAAAAGGGTGGGACGGGTTCAGACTTGGGGCGGAGTGTGTGGTGGAGGGGTTTCGTGCGACGCAGCAGCTTTGCCGGCAGCTGCTATCGGGAGAGGCACAACATGCAGATGGTATGAGCTGGGTGGGTGGGCGATTAGGTATGCTCTGGTGTGTGCACGACGGCCAAATGGAGGCGGGGGATTGTGTTTGTTGTTGACATTTGACGATTCATCAATCACAACAACACTGGCTGCGTGGTAGCCCTGGCTGGCACAAAGTGCCAAAGGCTTGAGCACGGCCTACGAAGCCAGTAGCGAACCGCACTGCCGGACCCGGGGGCCAATCACAGTGCAATCCCACCGACGATGGCACTTGCACCAACAGCGATTATGGTGGCATCGACTGCACACGGTGCCTGCGTACATGGTTTGCATATCCATCTACATGTGTACGCATGGTACCAAGTCATGTTCATTACACCTCATCGCTCGACCAACTGAGTAGCTTACAATTACACACCCGGCCGACGACCATGTCAAATGAGCATGAATCTACTGCCACCGGCATCACCCCCCTGCTCGTAATGCTCTCTTCCATGCACCTCCCCATTACCATGTCTACATACCTAGGTATACATGTACACACGTCGGTATGCACGCATCATCGTCCAAAGTAAGCGTGGTCCAGAGCCTGTCCTGGTCTTAGCCGTGGTTCTGCATGGCATCCCATCGCATCTTGCTTCCTACTTACCTGCGCTGCACTCAGTCTCTGTCCGCTTTCATACCGCACCAGCTGCTTCACCAAGTCGCACTCGTCTCCGGAAGCGCCGGGCAAAAGGTCCGACCATGCTTGGGGAGCGTATTCGTAAAACTGCACTTTGCCCCAGTCCGGAAATCTAGCAGCCTCCTGTTCACTGTCAGAATCCGTCGCATGTATGAGGGGCTTCGATATGTCTGTCGTACCGGCCATACCTCCAGATCTGGAGTTCCTAGCTTGCTGAATGTGCTTTGAATAAGAGCAAGATCACTACCGAGCTCTCCGGAATCGAATAATGTTGCGTGTCCGGGCGTGACTGCTTCGGCGACTGTACACCCCGCAGCCCACATATCAAGGCTGCATCCATATGCTTTGTTTCCAAACAGGAGCTCAGGGGGTCGGTAGCAGGTCGTTCCAACATCTGTGATTTTGGAATTGGCCGGTTCCGAATCCACGTCGTTGGGAGCCCACGCAATACCAAAATCAGTCAGGTAGGCTGGTCCGTCTAGGGATTTGAGTAAGATGTTGGCAGGCTTCACATCTCTGTGAATGATGCCTCTGTCGTGTATGAACCCAAGGCCAAGGAACAAGTCCCTGATGGTGGAGCGAGCCTGCTCTTTGGATAATTTGTTCTTTTGTAGCAAGGTATGAAGATCGAACCGCATAAAGGGAAAGACGAGCACGAATCGCGCCCCGGCTTCACGGAAGGCTTCCACGAGGGGTATCACGTGCTGCGATGCAGCCTTCTCCAAAATCCGAGCTTCGCGCTTGGAGTTGTGCGGAGGTTCCATTGTGGAGGGAGTGGTAACTTTCAATGCTATCAGTTGCTTGGCACCGGGTGTGCTGGAAGGGAAATATCCCTCTCCTTGTGAAATGGCAGCTTTGTAGACGACAGAGAACAGACCCTCCTTGTGGTAAATGGCATTTTGATAGTTGCCAATGTCGAGCCCGCCTGGAGTTGGTACATAATCCTCATCCTGAGAAAGGCGTTAATTTGCAATTAGCGTTGGGATTGGAAGACATTTACTTCGGGAGTTGGAAACTCGAGAGGCGCGGGCTGCACGTTGTTGATTCGCTCATCGCATGAGGAATGATAGTCATCCTAGTCATCGTTAGTCCCGGAACGGTGTCTGCTCTCCCTTCGAAGTACCTTACGACAGATTGAGCACCACCGTAGATTTGCGCTTCAAGGGATGTTGCCTCACGACGTGCTTCGGCTGCTGGGGTGCTTGGATCAGAGACCTGGTAAGCGGCTGCTCTGTGAAGTGGTCAGAGGCGTCGCCAGCCGTGGCATACGTGCATGGAGATGGATGGTACTTTACTTGCATCTTGGTAACTGCTAGCAGTCTCGCAGAGAAACCTAGGCTCGTACGCCAGTCCAACGGGCTCATTGCTTTTTCAGTATCGGTAGGTAGCTGCACAGGGGATTGGGGAGAGATCAAGTGGGTTGCGTTGTTGTTGTTGTTGTTGTTGTTGTGTCTGATGGGATGGATTGGAAAACTGGATGCATGCGCGATGTGAATATTACGATGTTATATAATTCCAAGCATGCGCGCTACCGAGACGAAGACATGTTAGTAGGCAGGTACACAAGTCGGAGGCACTTGGTTTGATCAACAGATGGTCATGGAAAGCGTGTCTTCGCGTGCCCCCTGGCTAAGTACACAGGATACCGTCGTCTTCGGCCTCACTCACTAAGTGAACTGGCACAGTAGCATCACGCCCGAGCGCTGGCCTGGCTGCCCGTCCGTCTTCCTCTCCGCTCGTCTCCCTCGCCCAGCACTGCCATCTCATTCTCTCTCTCTCTCTCTCTCTTGCTCTTTCTGCCTCTCGTCTTCTCCTTGCTTCCCTCCTTCGAAGTTGCATCATCGAGGCCGTTTGACGTCTACCCCGGCCATGGCAGTGGTAGTGGCTTCGACCTAGACCCCAAAGCGGACACGACCCACACACCCACCCGAGGCCTGACAGCGCAACGCAGCCAGCGTACGTGCTATAGCCAGAGGCAGTCCGTGCCTGTAGCTTACTACTTCTTGCCTACCTACCTACTTACTTACGTATGACTACAACCAGTACATACATACCTGGTCAACCACCACTACCATCCCCAGACCGTTCGCGAGCGAGCAATTCTATGGGAACAGCGCCTAATTGATGTTCTGGTGCTGCCACGCGCGTGCTACGATTCGCCATGGAGCTCCAACACAAAGATTATCCAGCCCTACTGGTGCGACTCCCGCGCCGTGCAAGCTATCTCCACCCGCTGACCCATCTCCAGGACGCTCTTCCTCCCGCACAAGCCGTCGCCGTCCTCAATGATCGCATGAAGCATGTCAACGACCTGAATGTGCAGATCGCAGACTGGCTGCAAGTGAGTCGAAGCCCGCTCCGTGTCGCGTGGACGGGTGCTTACTGATTGCATCAGGAACGACGCCGAGTAGAGGAGGCCTACGTGCAGGGTCTCCGAAAGCTTGCAAACAAACATCCTCCGGACGATTCTTCCGATCTAGGGTATGTACCTGGCCCTCGTCCGTGCGGACGCTGCCGTAGTGACTTGAGCTGACACGCCCAGCATCTTCTCGACACCATGGCAAAAGATCACCACCGCAACCGAAGCTATTGCCGAATCGCACCATTTGCTCGCGCAGAGAATCGAAGCTGATGTCGAACGCCCTTTGCGCGAATTCTCCTCCACCAATCGAGAGATACAGGCCATGTCCAACATCTCCGGGAATCTGGCCGCAATGGCGCGGGACATTGATACCACCAAGAACAAGGCTGAGAAGCTCAGGAACAAAGGCGCAAAGGCGAAAGCTTCATCTGTAGCGAGTGCTGTTGGCGAAGTGGAGAATGCAACCATCCAATGGGAGTCACAGGCTCCCTATGTTTTCGAGAAACTGCAGGCCGTCGACGAAAGCCGGCTCAACCATCTCCGCGATGCGCTTACCCAGTTCCAAACCCACGAAGTAGACCAGGTGGAACGGAATCGGATTAGCGCAGAGGACACATTAAACGTTCTCTTGAACATAGAGACCGCAGATGAGATACAGACGTGGGCATTGAGAATTCGAAGTGGGGAGAGGCTGCCCATGAGCCGCAAAGGTAGCAGCGCGATAGGCACTCCATCAAAGAGTTTGGTACCCCCCGTTCCCCCTGTGCCATCTGTACCTTCTATACATGCGGATGATGATAAGAGTTCCAAGAGTAACCTCGGTATGCTTCACGCCTTCACTGTCATATATGCACCTAGATTGATTGTTAATAATGTCACAGCACCGGAACCAAAACATAGCTCGAATCCGCTCAAACGTTTTGGCACTGTCTTGAGCCGTCGCAGGACAAGCGTGCACCCGTATGGAAGAGCCTCCTCGCCCGAGAGAAAATCTGCTAACAACCTGGGTTCGGCATTCAGCAGCTTTGGAAAGGGTAAATCCAAAGATCGTGAAACTGGCGAGAGCTCGAATCGACCTGTCTCGCCATTGCGGAGACTCTCATCCAGGAATTCCACCCCGCGCGTATCTGATGTTTCTGGGTCGCCGAAGCAGACACGTACAGATAGACCAAATGGTATAAGTCCCGAACCCCCTTCTGATGACGGTCCGAGCTCTACCGCTGTGAATGGGACTGTGCAGGAGACGATACCGGAATTGAAAGAACCACTTTCCCCTCCTCCACCAGCGGAGCCTCAGGTAGAAGTACGAGAACCTTTTCACGCACAGGCGGTGATTTGTACTGATTCGCAGACAGCCCGAGAAAGATGCAGAGGGTTTTACAGTGCCACCATCTGCCATCGATGCCATTACAGAAGCGGAACGGGAAGCAGGATTGTGAGTAGGCTCAATCCTAAACCACACCGTATAATCTAATGATCGTAGTCCATCTATAGAGGCCAACCAGCCCCCCCAATTCAAACTCGATATCAAGAACGCACCGATACAGGAGGAAGATGGCGATCCGAATGCAGCCATGGTAGACATGGCCAATACACTACGAGCGGTACGTCAATTCCAGTCATTTTGCATACACACTTTCGCGTCTCATTCCAGGCTGCGTTTGGCGCGTGAACCATCAATGATCTGATCCCATGCGCAATGAATCAAAAAGCGCAGCAAGAACCAGATCATTTGATATCATTACTAACCACCACACAGCAAGCTGCACCGCCAAGACGATCTGGCACACTTCGGGGCCGTCGCGACGTTCGCAACACTGTATTTGTGCCCAACCCGGCAACACCTGAACTGACCAGCATCGGAGAGTTACCTCCCATTCCATCTGCAGGGTCCGGGGCACCATCATTCAACACACCAGCTATCCCTCCACAGCCACCTTCACCAGCTTTTAAGTTAACACACAGGAATCTAGTATCAGAGGATCATACAGCATCTGACACACAATCCATCCGCTCCGGTCGGTCTCTCAGCAGCTCCACAAGCGCCACGATCAAACACCCGGAGATGCACGATCCGGGTCTCAATTCATCGATAGCAGAGACAGTAAGCACTTGGTTTGAGCAAGGAAACGTCACAAAAGCTTTGGTGATTGGGCAAATTGCGCTGGCATTCAACCCAGTGGATATCGCCGCCGGCCCTTTTGGCACCGAGACCATCCGATTGGAAAACTTCCCTGTTTTGGAGAAGGTGGCCCCAAACCCTGCATTCGTTGAGCAGATTGCGGACAACCCGGGGAATTATAGGGTTGATCTGTCCAAGATCACCAAGACGTCAGTGGCCTTCCATTACCAAATACATTTGGAGCCCGAAAACCTGGCTTCGTTCGCACCCATCTTGCTATCACCGCTATGGAAAACGGAGGCTTCACAAACCTCGGTCATTCTTAACTATGGACTAAACCCCAAATACAATCTGGGAGAAGCCACGAGCGTGACGGTTCAGAATGTGATCTTGCTTCTGCGACTTGAACCGGGGTCCAAAACGACATCGTGCCAATCCAAGCCAAGCGGGTCGTTCAGCAAGGACAAGGCACACATCTATTGGCGATTGGGAGACGTGACGTTCACTCGCGACCAGCCGCCGCAAACCATGCGTGTCCGGTTCTTCACGGAGGGCGAGGCCAAACCGGGGAACTGCGAGGCAAGGTGGGAGATCACGGGGGACCAGGCACTGCGAACCGGAAGCGGGCTCGGCGTTAGCCAGCGTGCTCCGGCCACCGAGAAGCTGGAAGCGGATCCTTTTGCGGATGCAGACGAGAATGCACCTCCAACCACCCCAGCATGGAAGGAGGTGGTGAGTGTGAAGCGCATCACCAGTGGGACGTACATTGGGGTGTAGAAGGGAGAAAGAGGCGTGTTGTGATGGAAGTAAGACTGGACAAAGAAGGACGGGCTGACAAAGTTAATAATTTTCTTGATTGTTCGAAATATTCGTATTTTCTATTCACCATCTTGGTTGTTTCTTCCCATGCCGGTTGAGCGCTTGTTGGGGGTTACAGTTGCAACGGGCAAGAAAGGGAAGACGGCTGTACATAGAGCGAGCAGTTGTGGTTGTATGTATTGATCCATGTACGTTGCATGTATGTACGTATGTACTTGGACACGAGTGCTATTGCTTGAGGATTAGCGAGCGAGAAATGCATGTTCTAATTTGGTTATGATGATTCAAGCATGTACAATGTCTCTTCGCTGGGGCCCTGAATCCCATTTTGCCGCATGGGAGATGACGATGTCGCACGTACTAGGCATGTTGATACACTATCACTAGAGACCAATGATGTAGTCATGTCCCGGTCGAAGACGGGATGTCAGATACAGTGGGACGTTAGTGCCTCATGGTTGGAAGCGGATAATATTCCATCAACAAGGTCACGAATCGGAAGATTGAGCAGTAGACAATAATGAGGCTACAACGGTGTCCAATTCCCACTTTTCCCCGCCCGACGCATTACTCAGGACAATGTCGCCGAGATTCGAGCCCAAAACCACGCCATCTTTTGCCATGATTCCTTGGTGGCCTCACGATGGGAATCGACGAGGCTTTGGGGTCGCTGGTGAGATGGGGCTTTGCCGGATGCGGATACTGCGGCATTGATTGCTGTGCGTCGAAATAAATCTGGTGTACATGAATGTACAGAAAGGTAGTAGACGGTGTGGCTTTAGCTTGGACGTAGCGATGGCCGGTGGATGTTTTGGGTACATAGTTGGATGATGTACACGTCTGTACAGGAAGAATGACGGTATCGTCCGACTGACAGCAAACAACATTTGAACAGCAACATGGCTGCTCCGAGCTAACCAAAGCGGCGTAGCGGTGGCTCAACCCCCGACCCTGGTGATTCATGGCGTCGCCTGCCTGTTGACCCCTTGCATCGCGACGCTCGAGGGCTTCCAAGCAAGCACTTTGACCGGCATCCCCCATTGCGCAAGCAAATTGACAGCAACTCTGGCAGCCGCTTAGCAGGCCTTGGCCGTGCACCTTGGTTAGATGTATACATATTATATACCTGTACAGACACACGAATACGCGTGCTGTCCAGCTCTCCCCTGTTCGCTTTTGGATCCATACGTCCATTACATCCATCCATCATTCCAATCCATCAAGCATGGTACACCCGTAGACTCCAGAATACATGTACACTGTCCAAGTGTATATACATATATGACTACCAGACACCTGCATGTATCACGACCATGTAGCCAGACATCTGGTCCCTGCTGTTTCCCCAACCGATAATTTTTTTTTTTTCGTCTTCGGTTCGTCTTGGTGGCCGACTCCCCACTACGTCATCTCCGCCGAAGCGATACAGGGACTCACCCTCTCGCTCTCCTCCCCTTCCATCCCAGCCAGTAACTTAGTTGGCTAGTATTGCTTTCTGCCTCTGCCATCACCAAGCAACTCCATGCCGATGCGCTAAGCCGAATGTTCACGCTTGCTGCCACTCGTGCCTGGCCCGTCAGGACGTCCTCTCCTCCTCTCTATTGAGTCCTCTTCCCTTGACACCTCCCAGCGAAGGAGCAAGGGGACTGCCACCCGCTACAGCATGGATAGGGACCGTACGAAGCCCTCGCCCTCGCCCTCACCAGCCAACTCGCCGAACCAAAACGTCACCGCTTCCCCCTCTTCGGACCTCCCTCCAGCATCGCCACCACCCTCCAACCACCGCCCTACTTTACAACGGCAGCCCCATTCCTCAGTGCCACCGCCAAATCGCTCCCCCAACCACCATCACCCTCCTCCTCCTCCTTCCCACTCTGCCCAGAGTGACGATGCCGATTCCGCTACAGACACGGGTATGAGCGATGATGGGGAAGAGGGCTCCCAAGCCCAATATCCCGAGGGCCACCACCCCCAGCAACTCGCTCACCAGGGCCCTATACCAGAAAGCGCGTTGCGCAGTACTAAACAACCCCCCATAGGCGACTCGTCACCGGACGAACTGGAGATCGAGAGATTGCGAAGCCTGCAACTCAAAGCCATCCAGAAACAACAGCGTGCGCGTGGAAAATCGGGCGCGAGCGCGAGCACCATGGCAACCATGGCACGTCGCGTGTCTCCCATTAAAGAGGAGCCTGCGCTCTCAATGTCGCCTACCCTAGAGGGAGCTTTCAGCAGTCCACTACCTACAGGACAAACCACCTCGACAGCATCCACCGAGTCCACTGAGAGTGCCAGAACCATCCGAGGTAGCGTTCCGCCTACGCCTGCTGGCCGATCTCTCCGTACCCCATCCTATCCGTTCCCCACCGTCCCCAATACTCCCATGACATGGTCAAACTCCTTCCATCAGCCTTTCACCAGTCTATCACCGACTGTCTCCGCCATGTACGGCAGAGACTTTGCATCGCCGAGAGAACAAATCGCTTCAGAATCGAGCACCCCTGCAGCATCCGCCATGCCATTCGCGCCTGGTGATAAAGTCCTCAACAGTCCCTCAGCTGAGGACCCGCGCTACCCCAGCCCAAACATGTATGAGCTGGTCTTGCAACTGTGTGCTGAACCTGGTCTTGCTGCTTGGTGGGCCACTGTCACGACTCTTATGCAGGACTACTACGGTGTACAAAGAGCGACGCTCGCCGTTCCAGCCGATACATCGGACATTGAAAATGTTCCGTGGGGACAGAAGACGACGTTCCATTCGGCTGCACCGGGAGACAGCCCTCAGATGACTGTCTTTCACGACGCCAACTCAACACCGCTGCGAGGACCGTCCGATCATTCTTCAAGCCCAGACCGCAACCAACCGAACGATTCACCACCGTTGCCTTCGAGTCTCATCTCGAGGCCAAAGCTACCGTCGCGACATTCCTTCGCTGGACACGAACGTCAGCGGCGGGACATACCTTCGGATAGCTCTGCCTCGCCTTTTCCTGGGCGACCGCGTGGACCTCTGAGAACAGCCAGCCATGTTCCCCAATCCAACCCACGATCAGAGCATCCTTTAAGGCAAGTATCACCCGTGTCACTCGATGGCGCTAGTCGAACGCAGCCGAATGTGACTCCGATGCGAGGGCCCACGTTCAGCGACCCCGATTTCTCAAGCGTTGGTGGGGCAGACCCTTCTCATCTGACCGCTGTTTTCCCCGTGTTACGCGCTCTGGATCATGAGCCGGATGCGCTGATTGATAATTCGGGAATCAACCGCGTCTTGGAGAGAGGACGTGTCGTGACACTGACAAGGGACTACTCGAGTTCTCTCTCGGCATCCAAAAACAGTCCCGTGGAATCCGATCGTGAGGAACAACCCAAAACAACATCCAAAACTTCGACCATCCCAGGCCCAGAACGGAATCCCAACCTGAAAGGTCGTATAGGAAAATTTGGAACTGATGCACATGACGTTGCGACGCAGTCCTACTATGAGGAGTATGAACAGTTTCCCAGCTCTCCGTGGGCGCAATCCCCTGCTCCGTCCCCAGCAATACAGAATGATCCCTCAGAGAACCCCTTCTTCTCGGCGGGCAATGTCGATGAAGACACGTTTAATCCTTCCAGTTCTACTCAAGATTATGCACAGTTTGGAATAGTCGAGGCGATTGGCGTGGACAAAGCCAGCACCGTTACCCACATCCCTCTTATACACCCTACTCAATCTCAAGCCATGCAACCCCACGATATCGCAAGCCCAACGTCCACCCCGTCGATGTCGCGCAGAGCGTCAGATCAGACTACCGCGGGAGACGTCTTCAAAGACGGCTACCAGCGCAAAGCACCAATCGCGATTCTCTCCATCCTATCACCCGTCGTGCCTTATCCGCGTAATCTGACAAACTCGCTCAAACTCCTTGGGCCCCATCTTGCGACATCCTTTTCCAACGCCTGGCAATTTACAAATGCGCAAGCACAAGCAACTGGTATTAGGCAACGTCGATTTATGGCCGGGCAACAGCCGGGAGGTAGCACTGTACATGATCCGGAGAGTCTTGACGAATTGCTGCATCTTGACTTGGAGGATTTCACCCATTCAGCTGCCGGCAGTGTCACCAGCCCTTCGGATTACTCCAGTCGATCCAGACATAGCCCAGGAGGCTCTTTCGCCGGGACACCAGGGTGGGACCCTTCGTCATTGGGACTTTCGAGTAAGCATTCCATCGGTAGCACTCCCGGTTATCTTGCTGGTAGTGAGGCCATTGAAGGCTACTTCGATGCGAAAAAGAAAACCACCAGAGCTTCATCACATGCTGTCTCGGCATCGCAAGAGCCAATCCGAAAACCAGAAATCCGTCTTGCAAAACGATCAAACGCAAGTATCGATGCCGAACTCTCCAAAGATGATATATCTACGCCTACACCTATGCCCAGAACTGGGGCCGCCGACGATGTATCAAGCACGCGACGAGCCAGAGTCCTACATCCTCAGAGCGGACAGCAAAATCGAGGTCACTCGTTGTTGCATTCGTACGGTGCAGACTTCAGTTCTTCATTCCAATCGCTACCAGCAGCTACCACTCCTGCACGGACACCGGGTGCACCTTCCACGCAGACGAGGTCTAGTTCTATTGCTGAGGGCCAAGATGTTCCAATGCCACCACCGTCCGAGAATCTTCTCCGTACCATCATCGATTCTCTACCCGTTCAGATATTCACGGCCCTCCCAACCACTGGCGCTCTTACCTGGGCGAACGCGAAATTCCTAATATACCGAGGCCAAGAATCTCACCAGGTGCTACGTGGACCGTGGGATGCGATTCACCCCGAAGACCGTACCGATTACATAGCGCAGTGGAACAAATCGCTGAGAACTGGACAGCAGTTGCAACAGAAAGTCCGGCTACGCAGGTTCGATGATTGCTACCGATGGTTCTACGTACGAGTAGCACCCTTGAAAAATAAACGCCAACAGATCGTCCACTGGATTGGGACGAACATGGACTTCCACGAACAGCATCTTGCGGAGTTAAATGCTGCACGCCAACAAGAAACAGCTGCATCAGAGGCCAAATACCGTGCCCTTGCCAACTCTAGTCCCCAGGTAGTGTTTGTGGTGTCAAATCGACGTGGACTCACCTTCTGCAACTCTCAGTGGCAGGTGTACTCTGGGCAAACAGAAGCCCAGGCGCGAGGTAACGGCTTTCTCGAGCATGTTCACCCGGACGACATCGTCAAGTGCAAGCTTCCGGAGATGAACGAAGAGGGTACTGTCGCTGTCAATGTACCTACCTCATTGCCTTCGGAGCATGCACGCCAGACTTCTTCTGATTCTTCCGAAAATTCATCCGTTGTATCTGAGCAGACTCCTACCAGCCCTGTAGCACATTCACCTGACAGAATGGATTTACCCCAAGCGAAACTTTCCAAACTTGCAAGCACTGGCATTTTGAAAGTTACCAGAAATGCCGATGGTCGTGCCTCGTATTCCACTGAAGTCCGTCTGCGTAATAAAGATGGCGAGTACAGATGGCACCTAGTGCGGGTGCTACTCGAGAAATCATTGGCCGAAGACAATGACGAAGAAACATGGTACGGTACTTGTACTGATATCAACGATCACAAACTTCTTGAACAAACGCTCAAGGAAACAATGGATGCAAAGACCAGATTCCTCAGCAACATGTCACACGAGATACGAACGCCGCTTAATGGTATATCTGGAATGGTGAATTTTCTCTTGGACAGCGTGTTGAACGCAGAGCAGCTGGAGCACGTCAACATCATCAAAGCCAGCACAGACAGTCTCCTCAATCTCATCAACGATATCCTCGACCTATCCAAAGTTGAAGCTGGGATGATTAAGCTCACAATGGAGTGGCTTCATCTGCCATCCCTTCTAGAGGAGGTCAACGATCTCAACATGGGATTGGCTATCCAGAAAGGCCTCGAACTCAACTATCTTATGGAAGAAGATGTCCCGTCCATGGTGAAAGGTGATAAATTCCGCATCCGTCAAGTATTACTGAACGTGGTAGGAAACGCCATCAAATTCACTCAGAAGGGTGAAATATTTGTGCGCTGCCAATTGCAACCTTCCGAGCGGTCCAGCGACAAGAAAGATAATGAGACTGTGGTCCGATTCGAGGTCATCGACACTGGTGGAGGCTTCAGTGAGCATGAGGCCAAGTATCTCTTCAAGCGATTCAGTCAGATCGATGGTAGCAGTACCCGACAACACGGTGGTACGGGCTTGGGCCTAGCAATCTCTATGCAATTCGTGGAACTACACGGTGGCATCATGAATGCTCACAGCATCCCTGGAAAAGGTTCCACATTTTTCTTCACAATCAAGTTTGGCCTTCCCACCGATACCGACTTCCCTCAGCCGGCCACCGCAACACCTGGAACCCCGGTCTCAGAACCCACGACAACACTTCCACCTGCGCAGCCGTCCTCTTCGCAACGACCCATGCTTCCTCAAGCTCTGGCAAATGTCCGTCAAGATCGGATGTCAAGCACGTCATCTGATCGTAGCGAGTCGATTAAATCACCTGTTCCGAGCTTATCAACTTCGGAACGCTCTCATGAGTCTCCCTCACTGTCTTCTGGAAGCTCGGATCATTCCCTTACTAGTGCTGTCCTCACTGGGAAGTCAAGCTTACGGTCCGAGAGGACATCGGCTTCATCCTTCTTACAAGAAGCTTCTTCGCCCAAAAGCTCGGACCTCAAGCTTGCTCTGCCTACCAAGAAACAAGCCAACGATCGCGACTCGAAGTTAGACGGCTCGACGCTCTCTCCAGAATCGGAAAAAACTCCTCGGTCGCCTGAGCCACGCAGTCTTTCGCCCCTTGCCAGCACGTTGACACCCCCGATGTTTTCCATCCTGGTAGTATGCCCCTTGACGCATAGCAGGGAAGCGACAATTCGTCATATCAAAAACACGCTTCCTGCAGACATCCCTCACCAGGTCACCGGCCAGTCAAATCTTTTTGAAGCTCAAAAAATGATCGGTGGCGACAACCCCGTCTTGTTCACACATGTGGTTCTGGTGTTGCACGACACCCTCGAAGTCATCGCCATAATGGATCAGATATTAAATTCGATGGTCCACGGTAACACCTCAATCGTGGTAGTATCTGATCCGACCCAGAAGAAGGATCTGATGAAGGAAGCACCTGCCTACGACTACACCCAGCTCATAACTGATCGTCGATTGCAGTTTATATACCGTCCACTGAAGCCATCCAAATTTGCTGTCATCTTCGATCCACAAAAGGAGCGAGAGTTGAGCACCGATCGCAATCAAGATACCGCGCAGCAGGTTGTCTTCAATCAAAAGCTAGTATTCGAAGAGCTCAAACGTAGGCTGGGGGGCAAGGGCCACAAGGTACTTTTGGTGGAGGACAACCACATCAACCAAACAGTGAGGCTCCAACTTCGACCACCATACATAATATGCTAACCCTGCTAGGTTATTCTCAAATTCTTAGCAAGAATCTCCGTGGAAACAGAGACGGTGCTTGATGGTGCCCAGTGTACTGATATCATGTTTTCCAAGCCGCCCGGTTATTTCTCCATAATTTTGGTACATGACATGCTGACCATTCATGTGTTCCAATGCTGACCCAATTCCAGTGCGACCTCCATATGCCCAACAAGGATGGCTACCAAGCCTGCAAAGAGATCCGACGATGGGAGAAGAAGAATGGTCACCGGCACCATCCTATCATTGCTCTATCAGCCAATGTACTTGGCGATGTCTACGCCAAGTGCGTAGAAGCTGGCTTCAACTCTTACGTCACCAAGCCTGTCGAATTCAAGGAACTCTCTATGGTCATGACGAAATTTCTGGATCCTGTTGACAAGAACAAGCCACCCGAATTCATGCGCGTACGGAAACGATAATGTGTGTGAAACGACCGCATATGCTCTTTATTCTACGATACGCAAACACTGGCCGGTAACCCTCTACACAGATATAAACCATAATTTGCGATTTCCACAATCTGCATCAGCGAAACTCGGCGTAACACAAAAATGAGTTTTTTCTTCTTTCTTGGTTGTTTCATTTTCTATACAGTCTTGCGTAGAGCACGGCGTAATATTTAATAGCATCGGGTACAGGAAGGATCCATGGTTGAGAGGGTTTCACCATGCGGATGCATCTACGTCTGCTTTTGGTCGGTTATTCATTTGGTGTTTTCTTAGGGCTATGTGCACCTGGCACGCCCTCTGTGCTCTATTACCCCTTTTCCTGTTGTGTTTCACATGGCGAGCCAGCTGGAATGGATGTGGACAACGAGGCCACTGCTCTGCAGATATATACTTTTTCGTCGGATCGTTCTGTTTTTATATGGGGTTGCGCTGGCGCCGAGTTTGGAGGTGGCTCCGTATGTGCTTCCCGGATGGAATGAGATGCAATGGAGCTATGACATGGACATGGGACGGTGTATTATATACTTATATAGGTAGCAGGGTCAACTACTGATGCGATATATGAAATAGCGGTTGTACGCTGTACAGACATGAGAAAAGCATTTGGGCAAGCAGCCACTGAGAAAGCATGAAAAGAACAAGTTGATGCTCGATTGGCTGACGACATCGATATGTACTGCTAATCCTTTGATGTGATTGGTCGACTTTGCACACTAAGCACGATACTCGGCGCCTCACTACATGACCAGCGCCACCTCTACGCGTATAGATGGAAATGGCACAGAGGATAATTTGCATAGATATTCGTAGCAGCCAGCTGCAAAGCGGCGACAGTCGTGTGTTGACTTTTATGGAAGAAAGCATCGGTCGGTGTCTGCGTGCGTTGATTACAAAAGACAGCCTTACGGTACCTCTTGGTTCTTCGGAGTTTTGTGCTTCGCCTCTTAGGTACCAAGTGCGCGGTTTCATCAGTCTCAGCCTCTTCCTCCTCCTACTACCACTACACTGCCGAGTCCGCGGCGGTCCCGTGCCGACACCGTTTCGTATTATTTTCCACTCCTGGAAGACCCATAGGTAGACGGTTTTACTATAAACTCCCGTGCACTCTCGCGCCACGCACTCCCTCCTCCACTCGCTATCGCAACTTAGACCCGCCTTGATCGCCGCCGATGCGGTCCTTTGCCATACTCTCCGCGCTCGCGCTGCTGTCGCCCGTCCTGGTCACCGCTCAAGGCCTTGATATCAACACCACCAGACCCGTCGAATGCGAACGCAAGACTCAGAAGGGTGACAAGATTCAAGTCAACTATAAGGGGACGTTGCAGAAAGATGGCACGCAGTTTGACTCGAGTTATGACCGGGGGAAGCCGTTTGAATTCACCTTGGGAGTAGGGCAGGTTATCAAAGGATGGGATCAGGGCCTTGTTGGCATGTGCATAGGAGAGGCAAGGACTTTGACAATTCCGCCCGCGTACGGCTACGGGTATGAGGATAATGGAGCTATACCCTCAGGCTCTACGTTGAGTATGTCTTCCGAGACGGATACCATCATATTCATGTACCTATCATGGTATCTAACAGGTTTCTTGTGCAGTTTTCGAAACCGAATTGTTGGGCATCAAAGGTGTCGATCCACCTCCCCCGAGACCTACCGTCGCCCGCCCCGACGAAGCTGTAAAACCTGCCTCAACGGTTGCCGACAAACTCACGTCCTCAACGGCTACTGGCACGTCCGCCGTCGCTGCCTCTACTACTATTGCATCTGAGCCCGCCACATCTACAGCCAGTCCGATGGAGAAGGAGGACAATGGAGAATGCCATTTGCTGGGTCCGTACGCCCTGATTGTTCAGGGTCTTCTAGGACTGTTGGCTCTCTCATCCCTGGTAGTCAAGCGATGGCGGGAAAGCCCCCGACGTCCACTTAAGATATGGTTCTTCGATGTTTCGAAACAGGTCTTTGGCTCCGCTCTTCTGCACTTAGCCAACGTCTTCATGTCAATGCTCTCCTCGGGAAGTTTCGACGTGGCATCGACAGCGACAGCTGCAGACGATGAAGGCAACCAACCGAACCCTTGCTCGTTTTACCTGCTCAATATCTTCATCGACGTAAGCCCAGCCTCCATCATGCTCTCTCCGTACAGCCCTCTAACGTTTGCAGACTACCATTGGAATCCCTATCCTCATTCTCCTCCTCAAAATCCTTCACAGAGCCTTCCTACTAACGCCCGTCGCCCGACCTACCGAGTCCATCCGCTCTGGAAATTACGGTCAACCACCGCGCGCAACGTGGTGGCTCAAACAGTCCCTCATCTACTTCCTTGGCCTCTTTGGTATGAAGCTCTGCGTCTTCGTCCTCTTCGCGCTCCTTCCGTGGATAGCATGGGTCGGTGACTGGGCACTGCGCTGGACCGAAGGCAACGAAGCTGTGCAAATCGCCTTCGTCATGTTCATCTTCCCCCTTATTATGAACGCGCTGCAGTACTGGATCATTGACGGCTTCATCAAAGAACCCACTACCGAGGACAGCGACTACGTGGTAGCGGCTGGCGATGATACCGACGATGACGGCGACGACGAGTGGCTTGAGCGACACAGACAGTCTAGGCGAGACCAGGATAGCGATAGCGATATTGACGCCGCGGAGACTGGGCCTCTGAAAGAAGCCAATCCTACCACGATCCCGATACGCAGCAACAGTGGTGGTGTTGGTGGTAAAGGTGGTGAATACGACCCCGAGCATGATGGCGCGCAGAGCAGTAGTAGAAGGTGACCAGCACAAATGCTGGACATGTGAGACACTTGAACGGGGCAGCTATTTCGTGAATTCTTGTTGCTATAATTTTTTTTCTCCCTCAACCGAGCATCTGTACAACGTCACTTGATGTATTTTGGGCGCCATGGATACCTGCATGGATACCTACTAGGGACATGTTTCCTCTTTCTCTCTTGGTTCCATTTCCCGTCTGTGTATAGCTTTTAGCCCAGCATGTATACTATGTAAGAATACAAATGTGGGTTAGCCCTTTAGCGGATATTTCCTTCCATCTCGGCCTGTCTGTATGCCTATTGGAAGTAGCAGTGTGCGAAGGAAGGATTCTCTGTTGAAGGAGTTGAGATGAGACATGGACTATAAGGCGCATTGTGATGTTGATTACATGGCGCATGGCCTGGTTCTGGTCAGCGGCTTGCTTTTTGGGAGCTGGAATGTGAGACTAAACCTCATTGTGCCTTGATGATTGCGCATTCGGGTCCCGATTTGAGGCGACCGAGCGGGCAGCAGAGGAGAATTATAAAGCAGGGCTCGCAGAGGGTCGCATGACAAGTACCTCGACTGGTCCGTCCCAGGGGCTATTATAAGCAACTTCGTACATTTCCTCTTCGGGTCTGTCGCTTGGGGCCGATCTGCCTCCCAATCTCTCCACGTCTCGACGCCATTGGTCCAACAGCGATCAAGCACAGGCTTGGTACCAGAGGCATTAGCGCACTGCGTTCCTATGTCAAAAGACTACAACATGTCCCCCTACGCCAACGGCTGGCAGGAAAACCATTGCTCAGTTTACGGCCCTCCCCATTCCAGTTCCAACCAACCAACCGAGCATGCCGCAATTCCTCACCCAGGTCATCGAGTTTTCCAGCTTGAGGAAAGGCGTGAGATATGGTTCAAAGGTCAAAACGGGCTGCATTACCTGCAAGTAGGTTATCTTCATCTCCCCTAGTTCCCAAAGAGGCAATGTACGGGCGTTGCGCGCCTACACCCCGCTCGCGACATGTCCTTTGGTTCGTCTCAATTGCTGTAAAAGAAGAAGTGGCCAACGGCCGCTGGCAGCTCCAACAAGACTGCTGCATTCATGTTCCAATCACACTTCACCGCTGCGTGTTGGTGTGCAGGCTGTTGCATGGGGAACCTTGCACTGGAAGCCCTTTTCAACTCTATCGCTCCATGTACTATGGTAACCACATGGAGAATCCAGCTAATCGATTACCCTTAGGACCCGACGCATAAGATGCAGCGAAGAGAAGCCGAGCTGTGTGAAGTATGTATGCCAGGCTGAACATGTACAAAGAGATTCGTCACGTCCATGCTTACTCAGGCAGATGCACAAGCACGGGACGAAACTGCGAAGGGTACAGGAAGAATAAAGGTCCAGTGCGGCACAAGGACGTCCAGAATCCTGCCCAAAGATCCATCACTCAGCACGAGTCGCCCGCTCAAACAGTAGACATATTAGCCGAGTATGGCGATGGCCTGCAGTACCTGGAGTTTTACCATCATTGCGTTGGGAGAACCATCGCCACTACCTTCGATAGCAACTTCTGGTGTAATATAGCACCTCGGATGGCTCAGTCAGAACCCTCGGTCCGTCACGCTTTAATGGCATTGGGATATTTCAACAAGGCTACCACGGGAAGCTTGAAAAATGCTCGCTTGAGTGATGAACGGCACGAAACGCTCTTCTACCATTACAACAAGTCCGTAAGATCGCTGATTGAGCGGATGAAGCAGATCTCTTTCGATCCCGAGGTCGGGCTTGTGACTTGCGTATTGTTTGTGTGCATTGAGTTTCTGAGGGGAGACTTCATCACCGCATTCACGCACTTGCAGAACGGGCTGAAGATGATAAAGGAGTGGCACTACCGACGAACTTGTAGACAGCCACCAAAAGAAGGGGAGCGACCGAAGTTGCGAGCCATTGTCCACAGTGCACTTGAGTCCAACGACACCATGACAGAGCTCGTACCCTTGTTCTTCCGAACAACCACGGTAGCTCTTCTCTTTGGTGTTCGTGCCGAGAAAATCGTCGAGATATCCCCCGCCATCCCCAGAAGATTCCAGTTCAAGCCCTTCCACGACGTGTGGGAGGCTCGAGCCGTTAGTTTGGACTTTCAAAACGCTGCCTTGATCTTCACCCGCGACAATTCGCCCCGAGTTTTTCCTGTTCAGCCACTTACAGGCGAGGCCCTTAAAACCCAAGAAAGCATCCTCGAGAGCCATCGTTCCTGGCGAAGAGCCTTCGAAGCCTTTGAGCGGAGCACAACACTGAGCCCGGCTGAGCAAATCACGGTCAATGAACTCAAAGCAGGGTACCACTGCACCTACTTCTCCGTCTCGTGCATAACGTGGGTCGAACAATCTGGATACGATCAATACCTATGGGCATACAAGGAGATCATCGAGCATACCAAATTCGTTTTTGACGCAAAAGGCCTTCCCGAGCGCTCTCCTCCGACACTCACTGAACCACTCCTCGTCTCCAAGCCCAACGGTTACCGTGGGCCCCCACCTCGAGAGGGAAGTGTACGCCACGAGAAACCATCCGCCAACTTCAGCTTCGAGGTCGTACTGCTGCCATGCCTCTACTTCGTCATTCAGCGGTGCCGCGACCCAGTCACGCGTCGCGAGGCGCTGGCCCTCATGGAACGCAATCCTCCGCGAGAAGCCCTTCTCGATTACGAGATGGCGGCCATCGCCGCTCGCCGTGTCATCGAAATTGAGGAAACCACACTCGATCCCAAGACTGGGTGGCCCGTAGAGCAGACACGACTGTGGCATGGCGTCGTCGATGGCACTATAGATAGTGATGGCGGGTTTTGGATCATGTTTTCTAACGCGTATTGGATTGCGGGTGGAGGTCCACAGAATGAGGAGGAGGAGTATTTGTGCAAGGTCCCGAGAGACCCGACGGACTTTAGGGGACGAGTAGATTCTCAATGGCAGGAATACTATAAATTGGGCGATTGATTGAACTTTGAGCATAATACGTGTTTGGTGGAGCGCGAGAGGCGGTATTATCACGCGTAGAGTCGTGTGGAAACATTGCAGTTGCACTTGCATGCGTCGTCAATACGTCTTATTCGATACGGTGACTGGTATAGATATGATTATCAACAGAGGCAGATAGTTTAGAATCCGCAGACAGATATACATAGTACGGCCGATACGATACGATGGAGTTATAACCTACTCAGTTAGACAACTTCCCCCCTCCCATGGGAGCCTCCTAAGCCAACAAGGACGGCTTGACGGCATTCACTACCGTCGGGTCTGAGCCGGTTCGATCTACTTCAGACGACAACTACAAACAGTCACAACAGCTGCGACTGCCGTTGCTGCCTAGCCGAGACTCGGAAACCTTCATTTCACGCGTTCAGTATACGCGTTCAGTATATATACCACTTAAACCGGAATACTTCCACTAAAGAACTGCCCTCCAAAGCATACAGCTTGCTGGAATGAGAACTGAAGAACCGTTGGCCCAGTTGGTGCTTTAACATCTTCGACACACAGGCCAAACCAATGTAGCCTTTGGAGCGCAGTTCGAAACATCAGCAAACCAAATCATAAAATACTTGAGAGGTTTCTGGGTGGGCTGCGATAAGCTCAATTGAGCTTGCAGAACATTTCTTTTTGCTTCGGTGGGGTCATTATCTTTTTTCTTCTTTCTCCTCACTCATCTTTTTCATTGTTCGTCACCACGGCTCTGGCCGGAAAGCTATTGACGACGACGCATCGTGAGGTTTCGTCGCCTGGCCTAGCTAGTTTGTGGCTTTTGACTGCGCCCCTCTGGATTACTATTCATGTCAGTCACACAACATTGCTCTCGCCGCGAGTGTCGTGTCTTCCTCCAACATCGATGGGTGTCCCTCTACTACTATATCGTGCCAAGTGTGATTAGATTCCCAGCTCTTGTCAACGCCATCCTGATCCTGGCTTTCGTCTTTTCCTACTGTATTCCGACAATAGTTGCTCCAGTCTCGCGTTTGACAACTATTCCGCGACTACTCGCTGATCATGGCGTGTACCCCAATTGGCACCCCATACCCTCCATAGTGCAATAGGGCATCTGTATGGGCTCCGCGCCGACACCTCTAGCCACAAGCCGCTCTCTCATCTCGCTCAGCCGTGGGGCAGCTTCGATTTGGCTGCGATTCCTCCCCTGCGCGTCCTTGGCACCGCTCCATAAGATTTCTGCCGCCGCTGCTGCACGGGGCCACAACATGCGGTCGACGTTGGTTGCGTCGGTTTGCTCGGCCCAGAGGTGGGCTTCACCTCCCACTACCAAGTGATGGTTCTCGCGAGGCACCAAGGCGAGTGGGTCATACGAGTATATGAGACGCCAGTTGTGAAAGGGCGCGCAGTAGTCTTGGTATGGGTAGTGGGTGGCGCTGACAGAGGGATCGAAGTTAAGCCACTGGCCTTTTCCGCAGTCAAGGTACTATTTGTAGTTCAGATTGTGGATTGACAATATAGGAGAAGATCGAGTAGCGCGTCAACATAATCGCGGGGCCTGCAAGGTGAGAGGAGTTGGACTAAAACTCACCCAGTATTTGTAGTTGCCGAAAAGAGCTTTATGGCCTTTTGCCGTGATTCGAGCCACTGCCTCGTCGCTCTGCCAGCTCTGCACGATAACGTCTTTCCCAAGCGTCAAATTCCAGTCCAACAGCATTTCTTCCCATACGATGGGTGTGAGGCCAGCTTTGCGGACTTGATTGTGATTTCGATCGATGAACTTTTGCATCAGGGGCTGCAGCACCGCCGGATCGGACGATTGGACAGTATCGTCCAGTCTGTAAGCATTCTTGTTGACTTCGTCACCTCCAGTGTGGAAGTATGATGAGTAAGGGAAAACGCGGGGTAAAAGGTCGTCGAGGAGGGTTTGCAAGAATTCATCAACCGCTGTGGAGTTAAGTTTGAGAGTGCCTGAGGGGGGCTCCGCGGCGTATGTGTCCCAGTCGGGTTGTCTATCGAATGCTGCTATCAAATCTGGATGGCTGTGGGCGATGGAGGAGGTATGTCCGGGCATGTCGATTTCGGTTATGAGTTCAACGCCGTGAAGAGATGCGTAGTACTGTAGGTCCTTGAAAACCTCGGGTGAATATACCTGGTTAGGGCGGTATGCACCGTTGATTGAAAGACTGGGAAGTGCGGGAATCACGAGAGGCCTGGAACATGATGCATGTACATAGTCAGTAGAGCCCATCCAGGATACTATAGTAGACTATTCAAGTCCTGCTGCGTCACGAGACATGGTATACGGCAGCTCATCTCGCATTCAGAATTCACGTACCACGATTGACTATCAGTAATGTGCAGATGAAACCGGTTCAGCTTGTTATACGCCAGTGCATCGATTGTACGTTTGATGTCTGACGGTTCGAAATAATGACGAGAGACGTCGAGATTCACACCTCGGTGTTCAAATGTAGGCGCATCATAGATTTCGACAGGGGCCGAAGTAGTATATACCCATCCATCATGTTTCTCGCTTGCGAAGAAAAGTTGAGTAAAGCTTGTCAGGCCACGCAAGATGCCAAGACTGGAATTTGCCGATATCTGGACTTTACTGTCTTCGCCATTCTTGGTGAGGGTGAGTCGGTAGGACTCGTCGATTTGACCAGCCAACGGTTTAGCGATGTCCTCTGGGTCTTCACCCAGTAGTTGGATGTTGACCTCGGAAACACAGGCTCCAGATATTGGCTCGGTCCAGTTGCGTGGGTGGAACTTCCACGGAACAAAGTTTCTAGAGAAGAGAGTGGTTTTTGTAGACTGGATGGCGTATTCGATCATGTCTCTTCCGGTTGGCGCTTCATTTCGTGGATAAAACTCCCACCCAAAATAATGTTGGTAAGGATGTATAGGCTTCCAGTTGTATAGGGATGGCTGAGGATAGGGGATTGTAGTTGCACCAACCCAATTGAAGGCGACTCTGTTTGATACCCAGACTACATGGTTCCCGTGGTCATATACAACAGGGGCAGGCCATATAGCGGCGGTACAGGAGGCAAAGATGAGTTGGAGAATATGGGGCTTCATGACTTGGACTGAAGGAGTACACAGAGGTGGTGTATGTAGGGTCGCTGAGGTATGACGTTGGCTTGTTAGTAATCAGATGGATGGATGGTCTCTCTACGATGCTTTGATAGGCAGGTCCATAGACATGCATATACCTACTTAGGTACTTGGGGATGTATTGACGGGAAACGGAGCAACACTGTACTCCGACGGTTTCGAGTCATGACCAACTCTCCACTCGACTCCATGATATGGCGATGGTGATGGGGTTTGGGGCGTGTGTACATAGTAGACGGCTGCACCCACACCCCGCTATAACGAGTCGCCGTTTTTAGCCACCATTCCGCAACGGGCCTTGGTGCCGAGGTACAGCTTCCATTCATATGACGATGAATTCGTCACTGCAACCATGGGTTGCGCCGACTACGAGCTTGATGGATCGAAGCCCGTCGGCCATCTGGACTGGTATGCACGTACTGGCAGCACTCAGCGGTGTGGGCAAGCACTCTACGGACAAGGTTCATGGAGTCGGTTCATGTCAATCAAACTGAGTACTGGCTAAGGATTCATCTGTTTGTACAGCCAAGCGAGCCCACTCGCTCCTCTCCCCTCTTGGTACTGTGCCCAAGTACTTAATCACTCACTCACTCACTCACTTACTCACTTACTTACTTTAACCAAGTAGGTATATATCCACCTCATCCGCGCCTTCCTTCCTTGTCTCCTCAAAGCATTGTCCTCTCTCTCTCTTCCTCCTCCTTCGTAGTGCGTCCGTCACGGAATACTACCAACATCCACCATGATTCACCTATTTGGTGCTTCCGTTTCCACTGCCCAGTTTCTCGCTGTTGCTTTCACACTGTGCGTCACCTACAAACTCGCCTCCCACATTTCGCACAATGCCAAACTGCGCAAACTTGGTGGCCGTGCCCCCATCCGTCGTTCGTATTTTCCCCTGAGCCTGGTAAGTTGGTTTGCCCACAGAGTACAAGTGTCGTGTGCAACCTGGTCGCCCATCACATCCCGAAACAATGCGACCATCTAGAGTTTGTGTGGTGGTTTTGCTAACACATGAACCCCGACTTATCAGGACATAGTCTACGAAGTCGTGACGCAGTCGCTAAAAGACAAGAATTACGAACTATGGCTCAACATGTTTACCAAGTATGCCCCGGGAAGATGGACAATCGAAGCCGGAGCTGGCCAAAGGGTCATCTTGACAGCCGAGCCTGAAAACATAAAGGCCATTCTTGCTACCCAATTCAAAGAGTATGGCAAGGGCGAACAGTTTCACCAAGACTGGTTCGCCTTTCTCGGAAACGGTAGGCTGCTCCTTCAGCGACTTTTGTTATCCATCCGTTCGTATCTGGTACTGACCCGTATCACCCTAGGCATCTTCAACGTGGATGGTCAGATATGGCACAATTCCAGACAGCTGATCCGACCACAGTTCGTCAAGGACCGTCTTAGTGACTTGGACATCTTTGAAGAACACGTTCAGATCTTGATCAAGAAACTGGGCGAAGCCCCTGAAGTCGACATACTCGACATGTTCTTCAAATATACGCTGGATGCCGCAACTCATTTCCTGCTGGGCACAAGTGTCGACAGTCAAGTTCACGCGCAGACTGCTTTTGCTGATGCTTTCAACAATGTGCAACATATCCAAGGAATCATCGCACGAATGGGGTACGTAACAGTCTTCTTCCCTAGGTCCCTGAAAACCATTGGAGGATAAGAACCAAAACCCAAAGAATGTGGACTGACACCATCCTAGACCGTTCAACTGGGCCGTACCTCGTCAACGTTTAGGCTTCTACTCATCCCTCAAAGTTTTGGACGACTTCATGGACACATATATTGAGAAAGCGCTTGCCCTTTCCCCGCGCGAACTCGAAGAAAAATCCAACCACGACGAAGGATATACCTTTCTCCACTCCATTGCAGCCTACACACGGGACCGCAAGACGCTCCGCGACCAGCTCGTCTCGACCCTTCTCGCAGGACGCGACACCACTGCCTGCACCCTGACCTGGATCCTGTACCACCTCTCGCTGCAACCGGACGTACTGGCGAAGCTGCGCAGCGAGATCATCGAAACCGTCGGCCTCGACCGCGCCCCCTCGTACCAGGATCTCAAGGATATGAAGTACCTTCAAAACGTCATGAACGAGACGCTACGTCTGTACCCTGTGGTTCCTTACAACGTCCGAGTCTCGCTACAGGACACGACGCTCCCCGTCGGCGGTGGCCCAGATGGCACGCAACCCGTTGCCATTCCAAAGGGCACACCCGTCGGCTACTCGACGCTCGTGATGCAACGCCGCGCAGACATCTACCCACCTAGTAGCTCGGGATTCCCACCGCCCGAGGACTTTGTGCCTGAGCGCTGGCAGACGTGGACGCCCAAGAGCTGGACGTATATTCCATTCAACGGCGGCCCGAGGATATGTATTGGCCAGCAGTTCGCCTTGACCGAGATGGGATACACGCTTGTGAGGTTGCTGCAGAAATTTGAGGTTGTGGAGAATCGCATGGGCGGTGTTGACGCTGGATTGCATGCTGATATAGTGTTGCAGCCGAGTAAACAGGTGAAACTTGCTTTCCGTTGAGTGCGTGCAGTGGTACCGTTTGTTGGAGGTAAATTGCAGTCACGATCTTCTCTCATTCATACCTACGTTATTGCAGCAATTCGAATGTATACACATACACCGTACATGGCATATTTTCATGGCCTAAGGGGTTCGGAGGTGATTCAAAGACGGGGAAATGCGCCTGTCATCTGTCTCACCCCATCTCCAGAGACCTGTTATGTACATACTTCAATTCTCAGTCATGCATTGCTCTCCAAAAAAGTAAAGTAATTAGGGTAATAAAATCGATCAAATTAATCAGTGTCCTTCCACGTCGTCGGGTTTACCGATTAGAACACGGAAGAACCATATGCAACCGCATCTCTGATCGATTGGCAATCGTTCATCGTTCGATAGCTCATTACATACATATAGTAGATACGCCACACTCATATTTCCTCCCCAAGAGAGAGAAAGCAGCGTCAATTGCGTACACATTTCATCGCCCTCTCCCAGATAAAGCCACGAGGTATAACGTGATCCAACCCTGCAAACAGGTGGCAAGATAAACACTAACAATAAAACATTCCCATCTTAACCCAAAACCCACCCCCAGCAGCCCCAAAGGCTCAGAGGAAAAAAGGACGCCGCGCTGATGCCGAATAAATAAGGGGAAAAAAAAAGAAACAAGAATATCCAAAAAGCCGGCCCTCTAAGAACTTGGGTGGCAAAACTGCTATGCTATATCGACTGTAGTGAAACGATGCTGTCTTTGATTATAGGAGGACGCCGCCAACGAATGCCGCTAGTAAAACAAGGCTGGTGCCGCACGGGGCTGAGAAACGGAACGCGATCGATGAAGCGGCAGAGAGCGCGGAAGGAGCAGGGGGAGGGGAGCTAGGGGAGCTCGTCACGACTGCGTTGATGCCCTGAACACTAGAGACCGAAGGCGAAACCCAAGGCGAAGCTTGCGAAGACAAGGTAGACGAAACGGCTGGGGATGTCGACTGCAGGTACGTTGTTAGCAAGTGCCATGGTATTGCGCACACTGAAGGCAGGGGGATAAAAAATTCTTACTGACAGGCGCCAGGCTGGGCGGAACAACTTTGCCCGAGTCGGAGACGGTCCATCCGCTGGGAAGGCCAGGGTAGTTTTCGAGGGTGGGCTGCGCAGCGGCGGTTGTGGCAGAAGGGTTGGGGATCCAGGGATACACGCTCGGCTTGTCCGCATTGTCAGTAGACGGCTTGAAGGGAACGGGCTGGCCGTTGGCGGACGAGGTGATGGCGGGCGTATCCCCCTGTACCGGCGTACCTCCGCCATTGATTTTGCCGCCGTTGGACTTAATAGAACCCCAGGTGCCGGACTGGTCACCGTAGGTGTACTGTGTGCCGGTGGAGTAGTCCTGGACCTTTAGGGACTTGACCTTCATAGTGAAAGGTCCCTTTGTGTAATCGGTAGGCCCGCGAGCCCACTCGATAGTGCCCTGAGGGTTGGCGGAATCACCACCACTCCAAGCACCGATTTTGACTTGCATGGGAGATTGCGGGTACTGGTTGTTGGCATCAGCAGGTTTCAAGACGCGGACGGTGACGCCGTTGATCTGCCAGACAGTCTGCTCAGAAGTCCAGATGATGGTGTATTTCTGGAAGCTGTCTTGGTTGTTCGGGTTCTTGTGGAATGCGCCACGGTTGTACGAAGTCGTTTGGCCCTTTCCAAAGTAGTTGGACTGGACTTCGCCGTTATCGGCACCGAGCCACTCCCAGTCGATCTCGTCGAGAGTGTCCGACTGCAAAACAAAACTGCTCACGATTCCTGCACCAGGGGCGGCTTCGATCTCAACATCGACCTGGCCGAACATGATGTACCATTTGGAGGTAAGCTGTGGAGAGTCGCCGGACTTGGAAACGGTGAGGGAACAGCCATCTTTGCCGTAGGTGGGATTTCCCTGGGGTGTGAAGCTGTCTGAAGAGGAGGAGAAATCGATGTTGACGGTCTTGCCCAAGGCCGAGTTGGGGGGACAGTCGGATCGTTTGGTGGGATCACAGTTGGTGTACGTTTGAGCGACTGCCGGGGCCAGCAGGAATGCGGCCGAAGCGAAAGCTGCAACGGCTTGTAATGTGGAGCGCATATCGAGAGCGGATGTGAAGGGGGTGGGTAAGTAAAGGTGGGCGGGGCGGACTTCAAGGTTGAAACGGCGACGAGGCCGGGGTGGAGGATTATATCTGCTCGTGAAAAGCGGTAGCGAGTAGAAGGATGACGAGTGATGGTGATGGTCAGGGCAGCAGGAGGAATATGGGAGAGGAAGAGGTTGCTAATGTGTTGAGAGCAGGCAGGGCAAAGTTTGAAAGAAATACGGCCGAACAGCTGTTAAAAGAAGAGCAACCAGCCATCTCATTAGCAGAAGCCTACGTGTACCAAGGACTCAAAGCTTCGGAGCCATGTGGCGCGCCCACTGCTGATGCACTTGGGTGTCTTGTGCGGTTGGCAGACAAGCAGCGAGGTTGGTTGTCAAGGTGACAAGGCGGAGGAGGCTGGGGAACCATCCCAGCCACCTCGAATCAGGCGTCATTGTCTCGAGAGAGATGGAGGGAGGGAGCGACAGTTGATTTTGGGGATCGGACCGCGTTCAGGCTGTGAAGAACAATGAATTGGAAGTATTGATTAGCATGGATGCGGCAGCTGAATCGATAGTGGTGGTGGTGGTGGTGGTGGTGGTGGTGTACATTGATGCATTGGTAAAGTCTCGCACGGGCCAGGTTACGCGGCACCCATGCAGTTGACTCTTTGGTTACCCCTCAACACCACCACCACCACTTCGAGTGCTCCCCGCGCCGGTAGCCGGTTCTTGGACCCTGCATATTGCAGACTGGTCTTTTTTTCTTCTTTTCTGTTCTTCTTTCTTTTCGCTTTGTTAATCTAGACTTTACCCTCTCCAAGAGAAGCACTTGAGAGTATTTTTTTCGTGATTATTTTGATTTTCGAGTCACGCGGGGCTACCTATTTGCACGACGAGAGAAGATTGGCCTACTAAGAAACCCGCGTTGGCATCTGCTCTGGAGGCTTCACTGCGCTACCACCTTCCCGTAATCGCTTGCCTTCTCATCACCAATCAATACAACGCATCCCCAACAGCATGTCTCTGACCAATGCGACGCCCTTGGAGGTGGCCAAAGCCGCTCGAGTCGGGGCGCGGAGGCTGGCTGTGCTGTCGACCGACGAGCGCAACGCTGCGCTGACGGCCATCCACCAGGCCTTGGCCCAAGGGAAGGATGCCGTCCTAGCGGCCAACAGGCGGGACCTCGACGACGCCAATAAGGCTGCAGCTGGCGGCACCCTCAGCCAGAGCCTGGTCAAGAGACTGGATCTGGGCAAGCCGGGCAAGTATGAGGACATGCTGCAAGGCATCCTGGACGTGAGGCATCTTGAGGATCCAATCAGCAAAATCACCGCCCGTACCTTGCTCGACGACAACCTCACCCTCTCTCGCATAACTTGTCCCATCGGTGTGCTCCTCATCATCTTCGAGGCTCGCCCGGAAGTCATCGCCAACATCTCCGCACTGGCCATCAAATCCGGCAACGCTGCCATCCTCAAAGGCGGCCGCGAGTCTTCTCACAGCTTTGCTGCCATAGCATCTCTCATCTCCAAAGCCCTCGCATCTACCGCTGTTCCCCCAGACTGCCTCCAACTCGTCCAGACCCACGATGTCATCGCCGACCTGCTCAAACAGGACTCGTACATCGACCTCTGCATCCCCCGCGGCGGCAACAAGCTCGTCCGCTACGTGAAGGACTCGACCTCCATCCCCGTCTTGGGCCATGCCGACGGCATCTGCACCACCTACCTCCGCCCCGACTACCCCGCTGAAAAAGCCATCAAGATCATTGTCGACGCAAAAGTCTCGTACCCAGCAGGCTGCAACGCCTTGGAACAGCTCCTCGTCGATGAAGCTGCTCTGACCACCACTCTCCCTCCTATTGCCGAAGCCCTGTTGGCCAAAGGAGTCTCGCTCCGCTGCGACGCAACATCCCTCGCCGCGCTGCAATCTAGCAAGGCGCTCGACGCGCACTCAGCAGCGCTTCTCCAACCAGCATCCGCCACCGATTTCGATACCGAGTTCCTGGACCTCGTGCTGGCCATCAAAACCGTCTCCTCGCTTGATGCTGCCGTCGAGCACATCAACGCACATTCGAGCCATCACACCGACGCCATCCTCACGCTTGATGGCACCGCTGCCCGCGCCTTCCTCGCTGCTGTTGACTCGTCATCCGTCTACTGGAACACGTCGACGCGCATGGCTGATGGCCAGCGCTACGGATTCGGCACCGAGGTTGGCATCTCGACCAACAAGATCCACAGTAGAGGTCCCGTGGGCTTGGAAGGCCTGACCATCTACAAGTGGTCCATTGTGGGCGATGCGCAGGTGAGTGGCGATTACGGCGCTGGCGGGCGGGCGTGGAAACACCAGAAGCTGCCGCTCGAGCGGGGTGACGACGAGTTTGTTGCACGGAGCGAAGAAGAGAGGGAGCTGCTGAGGAAATTCAGGGCGGGCCGTGTCTAGTTTGATCTTCCCCCCACCAAGTAGATGTGCGCTCTTCTTTTATCCGAAAAGAAGGGGAAAAAAGCAAAGTGAAGAATAAGAAAGCTTCAACGCCAGCACGCATCATGACAGCGCTTGAGATTACAGCCATGATAATTATGATGATGATGAATCAGCAAACAGGGGTCAACTAATACTCAACAGTACAGTACTCAATAGGGCAGGCAACCTTCACGGAGGACGATCCAAATTTTTGACTCTATATCGACCCCGAGTCGAAACCAAAAGTTCGCTCCGAGCCTCCTTTTGGATTTTTCTGGATATATAACAACAACCAACCAATATCTACGCGCAGCTTCTTTGGTCTATCTAACTCACAAAGAAAAACAAGCTATCAGATTGGCTGGATCGCTTGCAGACACCAAATCGTAACCCAAAATCCCCCCATGCACCCTCTTCCTGCCAAAAAAAAATCCCTTCATGTGTAACTTCGCTATTGTTGCGTGGTATCCTAATGTCATTGATCTTCGTCCCGTGTCCCCATGTTGTTTCCAGCGTGTTTGATCGAAGAATACATGCAATTATTCAACAGCCCTGATCTGTGAAAAAGCCTGGGCACCATCCACAAGACGGCGCTCCACGTTGCGACGGCCATTGACGAAATCGGGGTAGTTGAGCGTGAGCTCAACGGCACCGTTGACAATGTTGTCCACAGCCTCAACGCCCAACATGAACGAGTGGTCCTGGTTACCGACCTCGTAACGCCAGGAGCCGAAACGTCCACGGGACCAGATGTCCTTGTCCAAAAGAGAAGGAAGGAGCTTGGTAAGAACACCCTCACGCTCAAGAGTAGGGGTAGGGTAACCGTGGTCAAAGGCACGGTGGTAAGTGGAAACAATCTCATCTTCAGGCTTGATCATCTCAGTGTTGATGAGACCTTGGATAGAGTCCTTGAGGATGTTCTTCACATCGACAGGCTTCATGCTGGATTCGGAGACTTCCAACATGATGGACCAGTAAGGGCCCTCTTGAGGCTCAGACGAGCTGGGCTTGGAGCCGTTGGCCAGCTGTTGAGTAGCAAGCTTGACATCCTTTTGAGGCTGGTTGTAAGGAGAGTAGTTGGAGAAGATGGTGGCACGGTAGAAGGGGCAGTTGTCCTCGGGGAAATACAGCCAGCACTTGTCTCCGATGCGTTCCGGGCGCTCACCTCGGATACCGACACCGATGACGTGGGTGGTTGAGTAGAACAGGCCCTTGCTCAGGGTGGTCAACTCCTTGTCGCCCATGAGCTGAACCAACGAGTCCACGGCCATGGTGTTGACAAGCTTTTGGTAGTTGACAACGGTGCCATCCTTGAGAGTGACACGCTTGCCATCTGCATCCACCTTGGTGACAGAGGCATGGTCGCCGAAGCGGGTCTTGGACTCGGGAAGCGTCTTGGCCACAGCAATCCAAATACCACCAGTACCATCACGAGCAGGGAAACGGAAAGTAGCGTTGGGGCCCCAGTTTCCAGCTGCTTTGTTGTGTATGACATTGTACATGACCTTCTTGACATCAGGAGCAGCGACACGCTCGCCAAGCCATGCACATTGCATCTGCCGGTGCTGTAAGCTACAATGAAGGATCTTGATTGAGATTTTGGGAGCATACCTTGGTAGTGGGCACAGCCCAGACCTTGAAGTTGTAGGGCCTCATGAATAGATCGGCGATACCACTGCCCATGGTTCGTAGAATGTACTGATCGAAGTCCTGGGGTTTGGTGTTGGCAACGCGACCCTCGAGGGCAGCGTCAATCATGCCATCCATGCACTTGGACTGATCCTCCTTTGTCAACATGGAGATGTTGTTCTGGAAAGGGTAAGGGACCCAAAGGCCCTTGCAGCGAACGTAGGAGATGCGCTGATGCGTGTACCAGTCATCCTCGTTGGGAAGAGCCTCGTCAATGCAGTCGTCGAAGTACTTGTAGTGGGAGAAGATGACATGGCCACCAACGTCGTAAAGCTGCGGGGCATTAGAAGGGTGGGTGGTTGATTGATGGATCGAGGGGGGCAACTCACGAAGCCTTCTGGGGTGGTGTCGGTGGAGGCAAGGCCACCGGGGGTCTCGTTGGAGTCGACAATCAACCACGAGGGGCCGTTCTGTGAAGTGTTAGCGGAGTGGGTTCCAGGGCGGTGGAGGGAGAAGGTTACAATCTGGTTCAAGCGTTTGGCAGCACCGAGACCCGTAGGGCCAGCACCAATGACCAGCACATCGACATTGCTAGAGATTGTCAGCTCGAGGTGAGGGAAGACGGGGAGGGGGAAGTTGGGAGGCGGGGAAGCGGTGAAGGAGGCGAGACACACATTTCTTCCTTGGCGGAACCCATTTTGCCCTGCAGCAGTTCTTGAAAACTAGGAACTTTCTTGAGGGTCTGGCGAGCGTAATTGAGCATGTACCCGGGCGAGCGAGACTGCAGAGGATGTAAGGAAGTGGAGGTGGGGGAGGGAGAGGAGGAGGAGGAGTGGTGGTGGTGGTGTTGTGAGGCTGGCGGGGGTTGAGCGAGAAATAAGTTGTGAGCTACTCTCCCTGCAGCAGCGACGGTGGGATTGGGAATGGTGCAAGGTCTGCTCTGCCGCCGTTCTGGGTGCGCTCTAGCGGGAGAGAAGGGTCAAGGACAGGCCCAGAAGGCGCGGCGGTTGCGGACTAGCGGGTGTTGCAGATGCGCCATCTCCGCTAGTAGAAAGCTTGACGAGGGGAAGGGAGAGGGAAAAGGGGGGCACAGTGCACACACGGGGAGCTCTCCAAGGCGCAATTGAAGCACACGCACGCAACTTTGGCTGTTCTGCACATCACAATGGCTGCCGGATGGTGGTGGTGCGTCACGATCCAACATGATTTGCTGTTGCTGTTGCTGTTATCATGATTGGCTTTGCCATGACCGCTGGGGGATTGGGAATGGGATCGCCTGGGTGAGTGGGACATATGTACTGGGGGTACTGAACTTGGGTATCTACTATATGAGTACCTCATTGAGACGTTGCATACACGCATACCTACATGGACAGTAGTGTGTGCAGCACACACAGCTGATGAAGCCGTCTCCCGTCGGATTGTAAGAATAGGAATGCATCTGTTGGATGCCTACATATACAGACAGTATGATTCTGACACCTTTCCACCTCAAGTACCCAAGTACCGAGTAATACGCAGACAGCTGAGTATAGGGGGGGCTGTCCCACTTTTCAGACGATCAAATAGCGGCGTGCCATGTTGATTGGCCCCCAACTGTCGGTCGTCGTATCTGAGCAAGCACACATGTACATGTATGTATGTATGTATACATGTATCTATCTTTCTAGCCATCATCGGTACCAGCCGAGCACTACGAGCCTTTGGTTCCTCTTCAACTGTGGGCTCTTCTTCTTTGTTTTTTTTTCTCTCGCTATTCCTGCTGTCCATTCAACAATTGCTTGCTTGCTTGCTTGATTGATTGGTCGATTCCGTGACGGGCCAACCAGAGCCCGTTTGCCCCCGCTGGTTTCCGCTCAGTCTTCGCCACGTTTGACCTTGATGCCTCGACACCCTCGGGTTTGGCATGTATTAAATCACCACCCAAGCAGTCGCACTTGCGCCCACGCCTAGGTAGACTCACAACCTACGTACATACGAATCATCAATGCAAGAGTACACGTAAGACGTCGCGCCCCCGTTAGCGTGGCAAAGGCGTCTGCTACGACGGGACGGATGTTGATCCCATTCCAGCATCCAGCACCAAGCACATATCGGACCCCTTGTACGTGGGATCAATCGCAGAACCGCTACCTCCGGTCATTGATTAGTGGAGAAGGGGATTGCGCGTACAAAACGGGACTGCGTTGCGGCTGTTTCAGCCAGACGACGTGGTGATTAGGTTTGGGAGATCGATCAACACAGACACGCTGAGTGGGAAGAATGAAGGATGGAATCCCCTGCGGCAAAGGGATTATTACAATATACACATTGCACAGACAAACCCCGGAGCAGCAGGAACAACAGAAAAGCCACTTGTATCAGATCAAGGACACTTGGTGTTGGTCATGTTAATGCTCCGATGAAGGAAGACGGCCAGGCAAGGAGGCTGGCTGGCTGGCTGGCTGGCTGGGATAAAAATAACCCATGGAAAAAAAATAAAACATGTGCTAGTAATCACCCGCTAGAACAATCGTGAGGATGATGATTGTAATAGCAAAAACAATAATGAGGAAGAAGATGTAGGACGAGCAACTCAAAAAAAAAGGAATCGGTAAATAGAAATGAAAATAAAAATGAAAATCCAAGAAGCCGTTTGCATTGCCAGTCCATGTGCAGCGCTGCTGAAAAAGAGCAATGTGCAAGGACGCAACCCCCCTCCCCAATCCCGCCCCTCTTACCCCTGCCGTTCATTTCACCGTGACGCTCGCTCCCTATCTAAAAGTCTCGCCGCCGCCTGCTTCCCCTTTCGCCCTGTTCGTATTTCAATCCATCGCCCAGTCGGTCAGTCAACCAACACTCTCCACTACCTCAAGTGTCCTGTCCTCCCCTTCTCTCCTGTGCGCGCACTCTCCTGTCGTCGCCGCTGTTCCACGCCGCCGCCGCCTGCGCCTGTACGTTGTTCCTTGCCGTGCATTCTCTGTGCGATCCAGCCACCTCTCAATTTCTGACGCCGTTCCAGCATCGGTCCCTACGCTCCCTTTCGACCGCCGCCCACTTCGTCGTTCCTCACCCAGTCGCTCTTTGAACTCCTCATACTCCTCACCTCTCAGCAATCATGTCTGACGAGAAGGCCCGCTCCTCCGTGGACGCTGCCCGCGATCCCGCCCAGCCCGTACTTCCCACCGTGAACCCCAACGCTGAGAAGAGCCAGGCCAAGGAGGCTGCCAGTTTCCACCCATCTGTGTACATTGCGTACGTCGTCTACTGCGCAAACCCATCCGCATATACTGACAGTCCCATAGAATCTGGATCAGTCTTAGTTCCAGTGTCATTGTCTTCAACAAGTACATCCTCTCCAAGGACAAACTCAACTTCCGTAAGTGACAGCTGACGTTGCGAATCCATGGCTTACCGCTAACCACAACCACAGAGTTCCGTACGTTCCATACGCTGCTGTCCCTCCCCAATCGCTTCAACTAACGTCCATTGACAGCCATCTTCTTGACAACATGGCATCTTATCTTCGCGACCGTCATGACCCAGATCCTTGCCCGCTTCACCACCATCCTCGACTCGCGCAAGAAGGTGCCCATGACTGGCCGTGTCTACCTCCGCGCTATTGTGCCCATCGGTGTCTTCTTCTCCATGAGTTTGATCTGCGGTAACCAAGCATATCTCTACCTGAGTGTGGCTTTCATCCAGATGCTCAAGGTACGTGACTATCCTCCGGGGAAACCGGCCTTTGGCTGACAATCCATAGGCCACGATGCCCGTCGCTGTCCTTTTGACCACTTGGGGCTTGGGAGTTCACCCGCCCAACCTGAAGACTCTCGGAAATGTCTCGTTCATCGTCGTTGGTGTCGTCATCGCTTCCTTTGGCGAAATTCAATTCGTCTTGACTGGTTTCCTCTGGCAGGCAGGTGGCATTGTTTTCGAAGCCATCCGTCTGACCATGGTGGAGCGCCTTCTCAGCGGCGGTGAATTCAAGATGGATCCCCTCGTTTCCCTATACTACTATGCCCCGGCCTGTGCCATCATGAACGGCTTGGTCTTCTTGTTCACCGAATTCTCCGTCATCACCTCCGAGGATGTTAGCCGTGTCGGTGGTTTGACACTACTGTGCAATGCTTCTGTGGCTTTCTTGCTCAATGTCTCCGTTGTCTTTTTGGTACGTACTAACTATTCGTGTTGTTCCCAAACTGTTACTAACCCATTGTAGATTGGCAAGACTTCGTCGCTTGTTCTCACCCTTTCCGGTGTACTCAAGGATATTCTTCTCGTCTTCGCTTCCATGATGATCTTCCACGACCCTGTCAGCCTGCTCCAGGCTTTCGGTTACAGCATTGCTCTCGGTGGCCTTGTCTACTACAAGCTCGGTGCTGAGAAGCTCAAGGAATATCTTGCTGGCGGTTCCAGGGCTTGGGCCGAGTTTGGCCAGACACGCCCTGCTGCACGCAAACTCATGGTCTTCGCCGCTCTCTGCATTGCCTTCTTCTTCGTCTTGGGTTCTCTTGGTCCCAAATATGCTCCTGATCAGGCAGACAAGCTCTACAACAACATTGGCAACATGATGGGCGAGAAGGGAGTTTGAAACCCACATCGACAGCTCTATGCAGATCACTCTCTCAAGCGGGCATGAAACGCCATTGAACGATGAATCTCTCGGTTCCATGTACCATGGGGTTGACGGGGCACATGGATTTCGCTTCTTCTTTGTTATTGTATCGATATTGGACCATCAAGTGTTGGCAACTGGTTGTATTTCATAGGTGTTCGCAACGCTCTAGACATGCAGTGCTGTTTTGGTGCTCACATGGCTCTCTTTAGGGGACGAGGTTCAGGTGTTTGTTTCTTGCTCTTCCATTCTGTTCGGCGTGCAGATAAAACTTTTTTTTCCTTGTTTTTTTTTTCTTTTGCATATGCGGAGGCAACGAAGGATGAAGGATACACATTGTGTCGCACACATAGAACTTGCAGATTCCATTCACGAGGACTGCAGTAAATATACATTAGCTACATAATGGTAATATCATGTGGAAAGCAGGCAAAAGGGCACGGCGACAATGGTTGTGAGCATTGATTTTTCCACCCTACTTATCAGCACATGCTTCCGCCGTATGCATACATACGTACCAGTCCACTTGGCTGCTCTCTTTTTTTCCGTCTAGTTTTGAAGGTTCTGCCGGGCGGTGTATAGCGCCAAGACCTTAGCGAGCCACGCCTTTCGCCCACACGCTCGCTCGAATTCGAAAACTTCGTCCCTATACTAACCCACAGCTCGACAACACCTCACCACATTCAAAATGGGTATCGATCTTGACCGCCATCATGTTCGAGACGGGCACCGCAGTACGTGTTATCCCCCGTCGAGTCGGCGCAGCAATGCGCCGGCGAGCTGCTGTCCTATGGACGCAACATGAATCTGGAGAATGGAGGAATTGACGAGTACGCAGAGGTCGCCAAGTCTACCAACCCCTACGTGAAGCTGTTGGTCCGTCTCTACAAGTTCCTGTCTCGTGAGTATATCTGGTGAATGCGTGGGATGTATTGCGCTGACCATAACAGGCCGAACTGATGCACCCTTCAACAAGGTCGTGCTCCGCCGCCTCTTGATGTCCAAGATCAACCGCCCACGTAAGACGATACACTTGGAAGATCAAGGGAAATCCTGTAGCTAATATCCGTATAGCGGTCAGCTTGTCCAAGATCGTAGCCACGGCTGCGAACAAGCACTCCGCCAAGGAGAACGAGGGCAAGACTGTTGTCATTGTACGAATTTCAATCCTCCTGCGTCCCAGGCAGAGAGATGCTAATCTTGTTATAGGTCGGCACCGTCACCGACGACAACCGTCTCCCTGAGATCCCCAAGCTCTCCGTGGCCGCCCTTCGCTTCACCGCGTCTGCCCGTGCCCGCATCGAGAAGGCCGGAGGTGAGACCCTCACCATCGACGAGGTCGCAACCAGGTTCCCCACTGGCTCCAACACCATTCTCCTCCGTGGTGCCAAGAACTCCCGTGAGGCCGTCAAGCACTTTGGCTTCGGTCCCCACTCCAACAAGGTATGGACTTGTCACCAGTACGACAGCCTGTATCCGAGTATTGACATTTGCTGCAGAAACCCTACGTCGCCAGCAAGGGCCGCAAGTTCGAGCGTGCTCGTGGTCGCAGAAGGTCGCGTGGTTTCAAGGTGTAAGCAAGTTTTCAAGCTGGCGCTGTTTCTTTGGGTCGTCGGCGCAGGCATGGGGTTTAGTCAAAAGGAGCATCATGTCTGGCCGGACTTGTTATGGACCTCGGGATTCAAAAAAGATACTCAAATTCGATTATGAAAATCACAGCATACCATGGGCACTCCGAGCTCATCGGATGAGGATGATTGATGATACTAGCTTACCTATCGCATCCGTGATGCTCCATGGGAACGATCGCGCACATGTAGTCGTAACCAGACGCAATGTAACATGACACCACACTTTGTCCTGGTGATGATTGAAAGCCTACGGTGAAAACGTGTTTACGTAGGGAGGACTGCGGGGACGGTGCGAACTATCGCAAACAGAACCATCGACGCAGAGTCATACATGACTTTCCATGTTCAATTCCAGTACCTCGATACGTCGGATGTATATTCAGTATTCTTTCGCGAAAAGAAAACCATGATGTATCTTACCGTGTGTTCGTGGTTGTATGACCACGAGAGGGGCACGCAATTGGCTCCCGTCTAACATCCCCGAAGGAGGCTGGTTACAGACGAAAAAGACGGACAAAAGCATTGATTTATAATCAACATTACTGAGGAGGGACTAACTAAGAATAGGGTGTTAAATGCTTCACTTTAATACCCCATTAAATAGCATTGTAATATGGTTTTAAAAGGCTGTTAATATAATCTAGACATAACATAAAGTCTTAAATAAGTGTTGATAGCTGATCCTAGAGTGGGCCCGCCCTTGTAATGACATCAGTAAAAGGAAAAGGCGGGCTACCTCACGTAACGCAAAAAAAAAAAAAAAACCCCCCAATCCACGATAAACCATCTCAACAACACTGTACTGCATAATGACTGACTGCTGCCTGCGAGCTGGCAGGCAGAGATAAAAGGGTGGTAAATGACCCTGCCAGACTACTCACAGCACCACTCTACCCACACTAATCTACGCAGGTAGATTTTTTTTCAAACTAGCAAAAGTTCCCTCCCCCACACCAGCGCCCACTAAATAGCGGACCACACAAAGAACCCTGCTGACCTCATACTTGCTTGCTTGAACGTCAAATCCACACAAACACCACTCTCTCCCCCACCGAAGTATCAATGGCGGACTCACGGAAAGTCGGCGTTCTGGGCGGAGGGCAGCTTGGCCGCATGCTCATTGAAGCTGCCAATCGCCTGAATATACAAGTCAACGTATTGGATGTCGCAGCATCACCAGCAAAGCAAATCTCAGCACACGACGGTCACATCCAAGGTTCCTTCAAAGATGCAGCATCCGTCAAGAAATTAGCACAATCCTCTGATGTCGTCACCGTGGAAATCGAGCACGTGGACACACACATGTTGGAAGAGGTGGCAGACCAGGTTACCGTCGAACCAAGCTGGAAGACGCTCCGGATGATCAAGGACAAGTATGCACAGAAGCTCTATCTGAAAGAGCACGGAGTGGATGTGGCAGAGAGCCTGGACTTGGAAGGCAAAGGTGTGCAAGCGCTAAAAGAGGTGGGTTCTTCGTTCGGCTACCCGTATATGCTCAAGAGCAAGACGGAGGCGTATGATGGAAAAGGTAACTATGTGGTCAAGAGCGAGAACGATGTGGATGCCGCGTTCGAGGCATTGGGTAAACGACCACTGTACGCAGAGCGCTGGGCAGATTTCCGGATGGAGCTCGCGGTCATGGTTGTCAAAACCAAGGACGGCGTTCTTACATTCCCTACCGTTGAGACGGTTCACGAGGATTCCATCTGCAAACTCACCTACGCACCTCCTCGAAATGTATCTAGAGCCATCACCGAGAAAGCCCAGGATCTAGCCAAGAAAGCCATCGGAGCCTTCGAAGGCAAAGGCGTTTTCGGTGTGGAGATGTTCCTCCTCAAAGACGACAAGCTCCTCATTAATGAAATCGCCCCCCGACCTCACAACTCAGGCCACTACACCATCGAGGCTTGTCCCCTCTCGCAATACGATGCTCATCTCCGCGCTATTCTTGACATTCCCATACCCGCGTCGGCACTCCGTCTCCGCGAGCCTTCCATCATGCTCAATATCCTAGGCGGTCAGTCTCCAGACTCACATATTCAAATCGCAAACCGCGCCCTCACTCTACCCAATGCTTCCATCCATCTCTACGGCAAAGGAGACGCCCGTCCCGGACGCAAAATGGGGCACATCACCATCACAGCACCTACGCTCGCCGAGGCCGAAGCCGAAATCCAACCTCTCGTCGCCTTCGTCGACGAACTCAAGGGTAAGCCCAACAGCACCGCCTCCGCCTCTCAAATTCAAGCCGCTACGGAAGACCCCCTCGTCGCCATCATCATGGGATCCGACTCCGATCTTCCCGTACTCAAAGCCGGCCTCGAACTGCTGCAGACTCTCGGCATCCCATTCACCACACGCATCACCTCGGCGCACCGCACGCCCGACTGGCTACGAGAATTCTCCAAGGCGGCAGAGTCCACCAGTGTGCGCGTCATCGTCGGTGCTGCTGGTGGTGCCGCGCACCTCCCCGGTATGTGCGCTTCGTGGACTACGCTCCCCGTCGTTGGTCTCCCCATCAAAGCCACGCACCTCGATGGAGTGGACAGCCTGTTGAGTATGACGCAGATGCCCCGCGGTGAGCCCGTAGCTACCGTCGGTATCAACAACTCGACGAATGCGGTGTTATTGGCTGTGCGGATCCTGGGCGCAACGGATTTGGACATCCGAAATCGATTGAGGGCGTGGATGGAGGGGAATGAGAAGGAGGTTTTGAGAAAAGATCAGAAGCTCTTGGAGCAAGGGTTCCAGGCTTACTTGAAGGGCATGGGGAAATAGAGTGGAACTTGGGGGAGTAGATTCGTATTCGGTTTTAGCTCGAGCATGTCTAGGTTGAAATGTTGCATGCAGCTTTTAGACATCACCAAGTGGTGATTGAGTGTAGTTACATTACAAGGGCGGGCCTACCCTAGGATTAGCTATCAACACTCATTCAAGGGTTTATGTTACATCTGGATCTTATTAACAGCCTTCTCAAACTGTGTTAAGATGCTATTTGACATAGAAAGAGCAGTTAATAGCCTATCCTGCTTAGTAATGTAAGTTCCTTGGGCAATATACTTAGTTTTCTGTTCTTACATTTAGTTCTGCTGTAAAGGTGCAAACGGCTCCTTCCGCAGTCACGTTAAGAAGGTGGAAATCATCATAGATATCTAATATGCCACATAAGACACAATCTAATAACGGAGAACATACACTATTACAAGGGCGGGCCTACCCTAAGACCAGCTATCAACACTTACTCAAGGCTGTATGTTATGTCTAGATCCTATTAACAGTCTTTCGAAACTACGTTGAGATGCTATTTAATTTATTCTGAGCTGGAGCCTGGGTGATCCTACGCCCAGCGAAAGGTTACAACGATAAATAAACCAAAAAAAAAAGAGCGATAACCAATAATTCCATCGAAAATTGCTTTCACACAAGCTTATTGCAAGATGTTATTTAACGGGGTATTAAAGTAGAAAGAGTACCTGGGTAGTAAGCACCATATTCTTAGGTAGACCCTCCCCAGTAATGTAATATTGGGATGACTTATACCGCTGATGCAACCAATCCAAAAGCAGACAATCGTGTGGAAATCGTTCAACGGAAGTTGCTAGCTTAACATTCTTCGCCACATCATGGGAAAGAGAGAAATTATTCCTCGAAAAGTTCACGGGGTCAGATAGTGCACAAAAGCAGTTCCTCAAGATTAGCCAGTGAATTCCTCATTCTACCAGGAGATATTGTTCATGAAACTTCGTTATACATAAGAGAAAAAGAATAGTAAACTAAGCAAGCAAGTGGTGTTCATAAAACATGGCATCAGGAGCAGCTGGGTCATAGATGCAGTGCTCTTCACTAATATCTCGCTTCCCCATTATGGTGAGATCAAAGCCCAACATTTACACTGTCGACAGACTACCCGCTCATAGGCCGATACGGTACTCTCAAACCTTCCTGGTGTGCTGCCCGTTGAGCCCTCTGCCTCGCTTCTCCCTCGCCTTCCCCAGCACTTCCTTCGTCTTCACTGGCTGCCTTTTCCTCGATCATGATCCCACTCCCAGGCCTTCCATCTGACGTCTCTGATAACGGTCTATCTGCAGTGCGCCCATTGGGACTCGGGCTCCTCAACCTTCCGAATAGACTTCTCTTCTTGCGCACACGGTTTGCAGCCGTAGGCTCACCATCGGCCATGGCGATCGGGGTCGCAGCATTGACGAGCTGGGCCACGGTGGAAAGATCTTCTGGCGCAAACTCGACGTCGTTGTCAATAAGTTCGATCTGCGACGGCGTCATCGGAAGAACAGCGAGACGACCGAGCCAGCGACGTGCAAGATGTCGTTTGATGCGAGACCAAGCGCTGAGCTCATCGTCGCCCGGATCTGTGCCGCGGGAGGCCAGTAGTGTTTTTTCGGGGCTGAACCACGAGAGCAGAAGGTTCCACTTGATGCGTGCCCAGATGCCAACGGGAATGACTTCCTCGCGAGGTCCGCGTCGCGACCACAGCGCAGGGTACTCGGTCGCGAGAGAGTGATAGAGGGATTCGTAAACACCTCGGCGAAGGGGATCTTGTCGCGCCGAGGCCAAGGCGTGCTTCACGAAGTACCAGGTCACAATCATGACGACGAAGAGAGGAGCCGTGGTGATGAAAAACCATTTGATGGACGGGTTATCTTCAAATGTGTCGACGTTCATACCGAAGAAGCCGCACATGAAGGTTAGCGGGAGGAAAATGAAGGTGATCCAGCTCAGGCGCCACATGGAGAGATCGAGTTGTAGAGAATGTCGCGCGTCGCGGATCCCTACACTTTTGTACATGAGATCGGAGAGGTGATCCGTCGGCTTAAGAACGCCTTCCTGGAAGAGGGTGATGAGTTTTTCGACTTCGTCTGCGGATTGTTCCAGCCATTTGGTGTGCTCTGGCAAGGTCGCGCTCGCGAGATCTTTCAGATGATTACGCATCTCTTTGACGATATCTGCGTGCAGATACATTAGTCGCTCTACTTTGAGCCACAAGCCGGAGTTGGTCCAAAGCTCGGGTGCACGACTTTCATCGGCGGGGTTCTCGTAAATCTTGTCTTCGAGGATGCCTATGTGGGTTTCGCACACGTTGATGTATCTTTCCCATGAAAACGCAACGGCCTTGAAGATGTCGCGGAGGATGAAATCCATACATTCCACCGTCAGTTGCTCGTCACTCTCCGTCTCTTCCCGTGGCAGATAGAAGGTAAGTCTCCTCCATCGCTGTTCAATTTCCTGGCGTGCCCCTATCAAAGTATCTTCTACCGACCTAGACTGCGACGATTCGAACAATATGATTGTGCTGCCGTTGTCTAGTGATTCTAGTTTCGGGATATATTTTTCCTGAGCATACCCGCCATTTTTGGTATTCGCTTCAGTGGCCTCGTAGTGCTTCTTCATCAATTCATATCTGTCATAGTTTGCGTCTTTGTAAGGGTTTTGGATGTCTGGATCCACGGGTATACCAGATTCGCCGTCGTTCAATTGCACATAGACACTCAGCCTCTGTACAAACACATCATAGCCATATGCGGGCTGATCGTTCTCGTCGTAACGGTTCAATTCCATCATCTTCTCACCGTTTGCTAGCTTATGCTTATCGTAGTGCTTCAGGTAGTCGCATCCGAAAGCTGCCCTACTAACACCACGCCAAGGATCGCGCTGTGTGCGGAACGTCTTGCCATTGAGGACTGGTTTGCCGCCTCTTCGCTGTGGCTTCTCATATTTGGCCCAGCGGCCAAAGTTGGTCCCGACCAGGTCGTTCCGCGAGTCGATGTTGAATTTTTCGAACAAGTACTTGAGCGCCCAGCTGGCATTTTGAACGTGAATGACGCGGAGTGCGGCCTGTCCACTCAGATCCTCGTTACGATAGAAGCGGCGCAGGCCGTCGAGATTGCGAAATTCCTGAGCTACAATTTTACGTCTACCATCTTCGATGTGATCTTTCGCGACGTAGTCGATAAGCAGCACGCGCCCGTCCTTGAAACTGTCTTTGGTCCAAGGCTCGTGCCACTCAATTCCAGAACTTTGCTTTCGGCGATGGGGACGATGTTTTTCCCGAGTGTTAGGCCTAGATGCGCGAGAATCTGTTGGAGTAGTTTCTGCTGTTCTCTGCGGGCTAGGTCCTGTGGTTTGATCTGCACGGAGCATTAATTGATTCTCATACATTTCCATGTGCGTGTGTATTCACCATGAAACGCACCTTGCGACGCCAAAACTGCTTCCCTACCGGTATCTTGCACTCTAATAGGGGGCGGATCAGACATGGACCGTGATGGCGTAGGAGAAGATTTGTCCATGTTTCCCCCGTGGAGTTGTTTCTATTTCCCCTTGGAGTCTTGGTTGGCCGGACAAGACCAATTGCCAACTAGATTCGCTCGACTATGTCGTTTACAGAGACGACCAAGAACAGCAAAGCAGAAACAAGCGAGCAACAAAGAGCACAAGAGAAAACGAAGACGAAAAGGATTGATTGCGAGATGTCGGCCACACGACGAGAGAAACGAAATGGCTGTCAGTCAAGCAAGCCACTAGACCCGAATCCGGGGACGGCCCGCACGTAACATATATGCAACTGGCAAGAGCGACGCAGGGGAGGCAAAGCCGCACGTGCACATGATGAAGATCCCGGAGAGTGACTCGTCCATGTCTATTGCGAAAAAGAGTGTTTCGGGGCGAAGTGGAGGCTTTGTACGGTGAAGACGACGGGATGGGTGGGGCGAAGAATCGAGTTGACTAGTCATATCGACAGATTGTTATTGGGAATGGTGAGATTGGGGGCCAGATGACCTTCCAAGCCGGCAAACTCGGAACTCAAGGCTGAATTGATGTAGACGTGATGGTCGACTTAAGCTTTGCGCTTCTGCTGCGCGTCATGTTTGCTGCTACGTCGTCAAGGCAGCAGCATTGGCCGCGACATCAACCATACCGTTGCGTAGCGGTCGCCATAGAACGTGTCCGTTGCGCGATAGCGCTGGTGAGGGTTGGACTTGTAGAAACCCGAGTCATACATACTGTTTGTACATGTGTCTTCTATGCCCATTCCTTTTTCTCCATCCAGATATTTTCTCCTTGTTACAACAATAATCATACACTGGCACTGTAACCCCCTACAGAGCCCCTGGCTGCTTTCCGTTTCTTGAACCACTTTCTTGCTTCATCCGCCCAGAACACACAACTTGATACCGCGACCAAATGCACCAAATCTGCGAAGCCGAGTGCTTCCGTCTGGAAGACGCCCTGCAACGGTGGAAAGTAGATGACCATTAACTGTCCTATCAAGCTTCCCGCAACAGCGTAGTTGAACATTTTGTTCCCAAAGAGCTGGATCTCTCCCGCGAGGACCGACTTCGATTCCGAGCGGCAGGCGAGCGCATTAAACATGTCGAATAGTACAAAGCAAGTAAATGTCATGGTCGTGTCGCGTGCTGTGATCTCGCCATCAATCGTCATCTCGCGGTAGTAGGTTATGAGGGTACCCAGCATAATAATGGTCGCAGATTGCAGAACACGCTGTATCAGCGCCTGGGTGAGCACCCGAGCCTGTCGAGGACGGGGGGGACGTCCCATGACGGCTGGATCCACCGGTTCTACTCCCAAAGACTGTGCTGGAGGTCCATCCATGAGAATATCTGCGTTGTCACGTCAGCATAACTACCACCTCCCCAGTGCTACATGCAATGCCAGGCCAAAACTTACTTATCCAAAGAATTTGCATGGCATTCAGCGGATTCTGGAAGCCGAGAAAAGTGCTAAGCAAGACAAGACTGAGCGCCGCGGCACTAGTGCTCAGCTGAAATGTGAGGAAATTCTGAATATTGTAGAAGATGCCCTTGCCTTCTTCGATGGCGTTCAGAATCGTAGCAAAATTGTCGTCAGTGAGAATCATATCAGCAGCTTCCTTGGCTACATCTGTGCCTAGCCTGCCCATTGAGATGCCGATATCCGCTTTCTTGAGAGCCGGCGCATCGTTCACACCGTCACCTGTCATGGCTACAACGTCTCCACGAGCTTGGAGCGCGCGCACAATTTTCATCTTGTGCTCGGGACTTGTTCTGGCAAATATCGACGTGGTGGCCATGGCTTGGGAAAGCTCCTCTTCCGACATTTGATCCAATTCATCGCCTCGTAACACAGAGCGGCCCATTGATGAATTCAGACTGATAGGCATTCCAAGCTTCTTGCCGATTGCAACAGCCGTAGTCTCTGCATCCCCTGTGATCATGATCACCTTGACCTTGCCGGCCATCAAACGCCGTATCGCTCTCTCCACACCCTTGCGTGGTGGGTCGTTCATCCCAACAAGACCGGCAAACACAAGACCACGGTAGTACTCGTCCGGTCCGAGACCAGAGTCCGAAGGTGGAATTGGCGATGTCGAACCACTCTTGCGGCTGTCTTTTGAGGCTCCCGAAGCAAATCCCAGCACTCGAAGGCCATCTTGCGCCATAGCATCTGCAGCCTTGATTGCTTCTTGTCGTCGGGCCTGATCAAGGGGTAATTCCCGTCCTTGAGAATTGACATAGGTGTCGCATCGGTCCAAAACCTTCTCTAAAGCGCCTTTGATATACGCTACATCGGGTCCAGGGTTGAGTTCGGGGCCTGAGCTTCCGTTGATTACAACGCCCATCCACTTTCTCTCGGAACTGAACGGAGTCTCGTATTTGCGGGCGCCAATTCTCTCCCGTACGTCGTCCTCTCCAAACGCATCCAGGAGATCCAGAAGAGCAATGTCTGTTGGCTGTCCAACCCACCGACTCTTGACTCCGGACGCGTCGTCGCCTAGAGTAGACGATAACACTGCGGCAGTTGATGCAGCATGGTCGCCGGCTAAGCGCGCGTTGTTGACAATATTTGCGATTCTAACAATGGTCTTCGTGCTGGCATCCAGGGCACGAGTTTGGTGTTTGTTCTGCACGTCAGTTGGGTGAGGTTCGTCGAAATTCCATATTTTCGTCACCGTCATATGATTGGTTGTCAATGTGCCTTTGCAGTGTCAGTTGCGAAACGACGTTGGGGTGTCTTTGGGGGTGGGCTTGCCTGTTTTGTCGCTGCAAATCACATTCACGGAAGCCAGTGTTTCTACGCTGGGGAGACGGCGGACGATGGCATCCCGCTTCGACATTCTCAAGACACCTAGAGCAAGAGTGACGGTGACAATGATGGGCAGACCTTCCGGAATGGCGGCAACAGCTAGAGAGACGCCAATTTGGAACATTTCGATAAAAGCCCAACCTCTCCAAAGGCCTAGTAAGATGATGAAAGCGATAACACCGAATGACATGTAGCTGAGTTCCTTTCCGAGTTTATCCATGGAGACTTGCAAAGGTGTCCGCGGGCTCTCAATCTCTTGCAGCGATGCGGATATGGCTCCAAACTCGGTGTTTCCGCCTGTTCCAATGACCAAACCTTGGCCGTATCCAGACCGGACCAATGTACCCATGAATGCGATATTCTTCTGGTCGTTGAGCCTCACATCAGCGCCCACTGTTCCAGCTGCAGGGGAAGCGTAGAATGGCGAGGGGGATCGCTCAAGACCGTTGGGAGGGGTGACAGCGTCTGGCGTTTTTGGCACAGGTTCGTTCTCACCCGTGAGGTTCGACTCGTCGATGGTGAGATCCGCGGCATGTGTGATCCTGATATCTGCAGGAATGCGGTCGCCAGTGTGGAAAAGGACCAAATCGCCCGGGACCAGCATGGTTGCGGACATGGTAGTCGAATGGCTCTCGGCAGCCTCTAATGATGCTGGTGTGTCTTCGAGGTCGTCCAACTGTATAGCTTCAGCACCGAAGTCGTTAGGGGTCCGACCGTTGCGCGAGGGCTCTGTGCCAGCACGTATGACATGAGCAGAGTGGGGAACCAATTGGTTCAGGGCTTCCAACGACTTTTCGGACCTATACTCCTGCACAAAGCCCACAGTGACGACGATAGTCACAGCCGCGGCAATGCTGACAGCATCGTCCAAGTTGCCCATAATCAAAGACACCGCCGCTGAGCCAAGCAGCAGCAGTATAAGGGTCTCCTTAAATTGCTTGATGAATCGGAGCCACAGCGGCTCAGGTTCCTCGTGAGGAAGTTCATTGTGGCCGTGAGTGTGGAGACGTGTGGTAGCAGAGGTGGACGACAGACCGCGGGTCAAGGAGGTAGACAATTTTTGGGCGGTTTGTTGGGTGGAAAGGAGCGAGTAGGAAGACGTCATGGACTAAAGCACATTATGTTAGCCCGGGTTTGCACGTGTGCGCCGTGGAGCGAATGCGCCGGATGGAGAGGCAGGTCGTACTGCAGGAGTTGAGCGTCGCTGGGGCGGATCTGGTGGCGCGAGGAATGGCGACGAGGGCCTCGAGGATTTGTCTGGTTTGGACGATGCATGATGGTACAATGGCAGCGAGGGTGTTGGGACTCTGGACATATTGGCATGGCCCAGCGGCCACGGGCGGAATTAAAGAAGACGGTGGAGGGGAGGGCTTCGAGGGCTGCAAGGGCTTGCTATCTCATGAATGCTGAAAAGTAAACAAAGGGGCGAAGCAGCAGCGTAGCAAGTAGGTGTGTGCGTGGGAGGGGGGGGAGGGAGAGGATGAGAGGGTCAGAGTCTTGAATAGTTATTAGCCATACGTGGAATGAATGGATCTGAATCGACGAACAACCAAAACGTAAAGCGCGACAGTGACCGAGCGCCGGGGGTGCAGACGATGAACGAGTGGGTTTCACGACGGATTGGGACGGAACAAGACCATTTGCCCACTTGATACACTGGAAGTAAGTCTATTCTGTTTACACGTAAATCCGTCTAGAGACGATGGCTTCTAGACATGTACATATGTAGGTACAAACAAAACGTGAAAGGGCATGCATGCAACACCCTGCTTCTGGGCATCCTGGGCGCGCACCGTTCTCCTTGCCCTTTGCAGCGTATACGTCCTTATGTAATATGTATCTACGGCTTTGGTCCATCGTCTTACGGATCGCGCAGTGGCTCTACTGTGGTTCATTCATTCATTCATACATGGAGCAAGATTCGATCCAGCTCTGGCACCACGTGTGTGTACCCATAATGTATGTAGTGCTTCGAATTGATGCATGTCGAGATGTGCTTACATAAGTATGTACTTGTTGACGTACTTGGCTGCCTACCGCCCGTTTTAGCTCTGGATTACCTAAGCCCCTCGCTGCCCAGCTCCGCCCCCCAGCCTCCTCCCTCCCACCAGCCTTGCTCGCATCCTGCTGCGATCGCGACCCACGCCATCATCACCACCCTCAACAGCCCGCCAGCACATTCCACCTCTCCTTCACTGCTACTGTATTCAGAGCGCGCGCGCTCGGCGCTCTCCATTTGCCCGCTTGCGATCCGACTTCTTGCCGCGCTGCATTGGCCTCTAGCTGTTGACGCGCCGGGAATCAAAACAAACTCCTCTATCGCTACCCACCTCGACAGACTGTTACTACTACCACGACTGCGCGCGCGCCGCCGCCTCTCCTATTGCCAACCCACCATTTGGTTTCTGCTTTAATTTATCCACCATGTTTTATCCGACCGAGCTGCTGCGGCGCGAGGGCGCCCTCGCCCGTGTGTGGATGGCTGCCAATGTCGAGAAGAAGCTCACCAAAGCCCAGGTCTTGCAAGACAAGATCGACGAAGACATTGGTGAAATCATGCGTCCGCGCGTGCCCCTCTCACTTCGCCTTAGTGGCTCGTTGTTGCTCGGCGTAGTGCGCATCTACAGCAGGAAGGCGCGTTACCTTTTGGATGACTGTAGCGACGCGCTTTGGAAGATCAAAATGGTGAGTAATGCCTGGCTGTCTGTTCATTGTGGCCGCACAAAAGCATTCCGACTGATACCCTCCCACAGGCATTCAAGCCTGGCAACATAGACTTGCCCGCTCATTCGCATGTCGCAAATCCCGCTGCTCTGACCTTGCCCGACACAATTACCGACATCGATTTGCTTGCCCCCATGCCTGATCCGTCGCTACTGCTTTCGCAGTCGCTGGACTTTTCCAATCTTGCATTCCCCGACGCTGCTGCTCATGACTGGGATAGTAGCCAGTTCTTATCCACGAACCCGGACCTACCTCCCGTAGACAATGAAATCCTAATAGATGATGTCGACTTGGGCATTGATTTTGGCGATTCCTTGATGGATGGAGATGAGGAAGGTACCAGTGTTGAAATTGGTCGTGATGCACCCGTGGCCCGACCCGCTTCTGAGGAGTTTGGTTTCGACACGAAGGACATTGAAGGAGATGAATTGGGCCTGGATTTCGACCTCCCGGATGATGACGATAATACACCGGTTCCAGATAACATTGGCATCGACACCGATATAAACATGGGCGGCATGTCTGACGTGGATTTGGGACCCGCTGAAGAGTCCACCATTGTCCAACGCGAGCGATCGCCATCGGTCCTTTCTGAACTCGATGCGGACCAGGAACGCGAACTAGAGGCAAGCGTCTTTCACCCTGCCGCTCAAGAACAAGAGGAAGGCGAGGAGGAAGAGGAGGAAGTACACCAAGCCAGGGCTAAACGCCGGAAGGTCATCCAACAAGACACCGAAACACAAATGTCGGCCAATGCTATTCGCGTCCACCAAGCGAACCGCGATGAAATCCTCAAACCAGCCTCGTTCCTTCCCCGAGACCCTATGCTTATGGCTTTGATGAACATGCAAAAGTCTGGGGGATTTGTTTCCAGCATTCTTGGCGATGGTCGAAGCCAGGGTTGGGCCCCGGAGCTGCGAGGGATTTTGTCAATGGAAATTGTCTCGCGCCCTAGCCAGAAGCGGAAGCGCGATAGTGGCATCGCCGATGTTGGAGCGGCAGAAGAACAAGCCATAGCTGGGGCGGAGAGAACCCCTCAGCTCGAGCTTGGTGATGAAGATGAGATCGCCCCTGAGGATGTAGAGATCGTAACAGGTGACACAATTCTTGATCAGGATGAGGAGGTGCTTGCCGAACTCCCACAAGACGAAGGCATCATGATTCCGCAGGATGAGGAAGAGGAGGAAGATGTGTTTTCAGACATCGAAGGCGAAACAAGGCTGCCTCTACTCCATCCTGCTGAAAGCGGTGTTGTTTCTCTCGAAACGAAGCACGCGGTTCATGCCCTACGCGATTTATTCGGACCCGAGGGCGAGACTGACGAGCAGGAGCGCTTGAAGAACGTGGTGCCGTTCCAAGGCATGTTCCCCGAAGACAGGACATCCAAGGCCGATATCGCCCGCATGTTCAACGAGGTTTTGGTCTTGGCTACCAAGGACGCCATCAAGGTCGAGCAGGTCAACGAGAATAACAAGCTCGGCGGCCAAATCCGCATCCGCGCCAAGCGTGGTCTTTGGGGTTCATGGGCCGAGACAGACGTTTCCGGTGCCGAAGCCATCAAGGCTGCCGAAGCTGCCGAAGCCGCTCAGGCATCGGCTGTGTCTGCTGCGTCCGCCGCATCGGCTGATCCCGTACCATCTGCAGAGGTCGCGGAGGCCGCTGCTGAGGAGTGAATGGAATAGAATTCTGTTCCTTTCTTAGAAAATACGATTCTCATGGGGCTTGCTTCCATCACGTTTGTCTGACGGCGTTGGGATACCCTGGGTCTCTTTGCTACACTTGCATGGGGTAGGAAGAGAGAGGGGCTTGGGTTGGGCTGGGGGTGAATGTCTTCTGGTGTTTGGATCTTCATGTTTTTTCTTCTTCTCCTTTTTCTGTTGGTTGGAATGAATCATCAATTGTGTTTGTACTGGATAATCAAGGCATTCAGGATATCCTCATCCTTTTTGACAGGAAAAGTCCTCTTGGGCTTCTGGCTTCTTTGGTGCTTCTTTTTCGCGCTTTGTCATGGAACATCAGTCTTGCTCAACCGTTGGCCAACTTGTTTCTTGGTCGAATACAGCCATAAAATTTCAAACTGAGACTGAAAGTCAATGTGCTTGGGACGTACGTGCCGTGTGAATAACATGGAAATGTCACATAAGTTTCGATTCCGCTCAGAATCTGAGTTAACACTTCTTTTCACCTTCAAGTCTGTTGATTTTACAAGAAAGGACGCTTGAGGTTATTTTCAGCTATCATTCTTTGCTGGATACATCTATTGTCTACCCCAGTCAAGTCTTCTTCCACATCAATCTCTTCCAGCCCGGGTTTTTCCGAAGCTCATACCACTTTGAGTATCTAGATAAAAGTCTAGTGTACAGTAGATTCTAAAGCCTGGAAGTGAATAACTTGTGGCCGGATTATCCACTAGGCAAATGACGTATCGGGCGCCAAGCCTCTCAGTCCTTTTTTTTTACGCTTTGCGGACCTCCGAGTCATAAGATTTGGGTGCCGACGCAACTCCTGTCACCAGAATATCCGACAATGTTCTGATGTTGACACGCCATCTACGTCTACCAAATGTACAGCTCACGATATCCCACTCGATCCATACCAGCGCTTCACGTTTCTTGGAGCAGGTGGCTGCGTGCGAATCCACCCATCCGATTTCCCCGCTGAGCGGCATCCCGCAATTCCACCACGCAGGTCCTACCGCCACCATGGAGACACATATCCTTCCGGTCGACCCGAATAAGCTAGGGAAGCTGAACATCAGAAGTTCCGATGACAAAGATGCACTAGTAGAAGATTGGGATATACAATATGAGCAAGGGCGGGAATGGGAGAGCCTAAAACGGGCAGCTGAAGAGCTGAAGGAGACGGACACTCCCGTTGCGTTTCCAACAGAAACTGTTTATGGTCTTGGGGCAGACGCGACAAGAAGCTCGGCGGTGCGTGCCATCTTCGCAGCCAAAGGACGTCCAGCAGATAATCCACTCATCGTTCATGTCCACTCAATACCCCAACTGCGTACTCTTCTCCTTGGGGAGAACAAGACCAGTGATGGGGTCATAGATCCAATACCCGAAATCTACAAACCGTTGATTAGAATGTTTTGGCCGGGCCCTCTCACCATTATCCTACCAAATCCCAATGGTTCTGTCCTAGCGCCTGAGGTGACCGCAGGACTCGATACCTTCGGTGCCCGTATGCCTCGTAGCATACTTTCACTTGCACTGATGCGCCTTGCTGATGTTCCTCTCGCCGGTCCCTCCGCGAATGCGTCCACGAGGCCGTCGCCTACTGCAGCCGAACACGTCAAAGACGATCTGAACGGACGGATACATACTATCATAGATGGTGGGCCTTGCGAAGTTGGTGTCGAAAGTACAGTCGTAGACGGCTTATCGAATCCTCCGGCTGTACTCCGCCCCGGTGGTGTCACCGTAGAGCAGCTGCGACAATGTCCAGGATGGGAAAACGTGGTTGTAGGATACAAGGATAAACACGAACATGATATCAAACCGAGAGCTCCTGGTATGAAGTATAGGCATTATTCACCCAAAGCTTCGGTCATACTATACGAAGCCGGCGCAAAAATACCCGGCCTGAGTGATATCCTGAATCCTAAGAAGGGCTACAAGTCTGTCGGTATCATTCGGACTAAAACATGGCCCGCTGCATTGGGACTCTTGATTGATAGCGAACACCAGACAAATGGTGATTCGGATCCCAAGGGTACCGGCTCGGAGAGCGTCGCCCGAGGGCTAAATTCGTCTCTGTCCAATCTTCTACGATCAGTCATACAACACCAAATTCCCCACGCCTCACAACATTACTTCCAACCACCCGTTGGGAATCGAATCCCGGTATGGGATATTGCACTGGGAACTTCTACCGAGGACGTAGCACGTGGACTCTTTTCTGCATTGAGAGAACTGGATAAGAAAGGAGTGGAGATAATTCTTGTGGAAGGCATCGATGATCGTGTGGGCGACGACATCGCTGCAGCGGTCATGAACCGTTTGCGGAAAGCAGCTGAATTACGTGTTTAGGAAGTTGTTTGACGAAGATCCTAAGCTACATCTAATCAGCCATTCAACGTCCGTGTCTGGTATCCTAGAGAGAAACGGACGGCATTCCGGCATCTTTACCATTGCATATGCATGCAACATCAGTATTGTGATGGTTGCACATGCAAGACAAGTCAACTTCATCCAATTGAAAGTCTAAGTCGAGCCAACTCAAATGAAAGATACATGTAATATTTCGCGATAGGAAATACACAGGGTTTCAACCTTCCAACTGTGAACAGTTTGGCGTGATTAGCCTATTCTGTGTCTGACAAATTTGAGCCAACGTCTCGTCGGATTTAAGTTTTCTCTCCTCCACACCCACTTGGCCTACCTGATGACCTTTTTCTCCGCTTCTTGTTGAGGCTAATATATGATATATTGGAGTAGCATCTCGCCCGAGAAAAACATGCACGTCTATTCTTGGGAAGTCGGGATGGTTCATGCCCTGAGCGAATGAGCACCCTGTACAAAGATCCAATACATTTCCACTGGAAGCCTGGAGGGGCATGTAGTATTGAGCCCGTTTGCAACGCGATCTCAGTGGTCTCGGTCAGATCTGCACTGCAGACATGATAATACAAACTTACATATAAAGTAGACCATGGGCAGTACAATTAATCGCAACTCCAGACACACTTGAAATTGTAGACCACAGAGTAAACAACATGCGATCTGCTACTATTCTGCTCGCCAGCTTTACGCTGCTAGCACCTACAAACGCTCACTGTAAGCGCTCAAGCGCTACTTTCTTCAAAACCAATCTGTTAACTACTACAATTACAGATTTCTTCGATCGCCTCATCCTCGACGGCAAATGGACGTCATCATGGGAATACATCCGGTATGCTTACATGACCTGCTCGATCCCTTCACGACTACACCCGCACACAAACGCGAACAAACGCGAACAAAAGCGCACGCACTGACAGCGTATTCAATCTTCACACACATACAGCGAAATTAGCCCTTTGAACGGAGGCACAACTAAGCAAGACATGGCCTCTCCCAACACCAACCCAGACTCGCCGGATCTCCGCTGCGGACGCAACGCCACGCAGGCATGGTCGCAGCCCAAGACCGCGACGGTAAAGGCTGGTGATACTATTGGATTTGGTGCCGCGGATGAGGCGTACAGCTTATCGTCGAGGATGTACCATCCAGGGGTCGCTAGTGCGTGGTTGAGCAGAGACACTGGAAACGCGGGATTAGATGAGTATTTGGGCGATGGTGAGTTTCATCCTTGGTAGAGAAGAAGTTCACAAGGGGGTGTATCGAGACCTTGGATGGTCGGCAAACGAGTAAGATGGCTAATCAATGGGAATACCTCAGGCGAATGGGTCAAGATCATGCAGACCAGGGGGCCAGAAGCACAGAGCGTCGACTTCACAAAGGAGGAGAACAAAAAACTCTACGATCAGATGAAGGCGCTGTGGGGGACTTTTCAAGCTGGTAGCGTAAGTTTCCATCGACCTCCTTTTCCTGCTTCTCTCCCACTGCTCTCTGGTGCAACCAAAGTAGGGAAATAACGCTTTACTAACGCTTCGTGCTACCCAGTGGAACTTTACTATCCCCGCTTCTACACCATCTGGCTTATACCTCGTTCGTTTCGAGCAAATGTTTCCAAACCCCCAGGACGCGCAATTCTACGTCAACTGTGCACACATCGAGGTTGTCAACGACAATGGTACACCGGGAGCTCTACCAGATGGCGTCAAGATCCCAGGCGTGTACACCAGGGGTCAAAAAGGTACGTGGTCCCGATTTTGAATTTTTCTTTTTCTTTTCCGCAGTCAGATTCCTGTCGTGTTTGAGTGGGTACTGATTATTTAAACTTGAGCAGATGTTTACTTTTCTACGTACGATTATGGCTTGAAGGGGAGCTTGGATGGCTATACGACGCCTGCGCCTGAGGTTTGGACCGGGTAGGTTCGAATCTGGACGTTTGGGTGGTTTGAACTGAAGGATGGGGTATTTACATACACGGGGTAGGCAAGGATTGCGATGCCTCCTCGCCTAGCAATGAATGCACCTTCTACTATCTAAGCGCTCCCTCTTGTTTACATGGATGATGGAAACAGCGAAAGCAGACCTCAAGGCTGTGCGTGCTCACTTCAGTTTCGTGTGATGCCGACAACCCAGCCAGAATGTCTACACGGCATCACCGCCCTAGAGGGTAAGTAAGAGAAGCAATCAAGGCTAGGGAGCAACTACCTACAATTTACCAGCAGCGATGGTACAACTCACCGGTCCAGCGAAATCAATGGATTACCATCTTTGCGCATCACAGATACCAGTCCGGTCGTGCGCCTATGAAGCGTTGATAACATATGTGATAGTCTGGTTTGCGAATCACACCTTAACATTTGTTTCAATCCATGAATCAGAGAATTAGACTGAAGATACATTGTATACTGATCTTTAGCTGTCTGATATTCGACCACTTTGAGTTCATGGTCGATCAGTACACGATCGAGCTACTTGTATATTCAATCATATGATCTAGAATGAATGCTCTGCGGAACTTTTATAGAAACCTTGGAAGAGTATAGCTAAAGACGCATGATCCCTTGGTAACCGACCTCGTCGTGTAACGGGCGTAGGAGTCTTGTGCTATCTTGAACAACCCCGTGTGAGTGACCCAACGATATCCTGCGGGTGTGAATTTTATGATGTGTGCTTTTTTGTGTGTGTGTATAGTGCACTTCTAGGCCAATCTAGTTGGCACAGGAGCTTTTGACGCATCAATGTCAACTTGTTACTATGCATCAGCCGTTGGGGTATCACTCTTCCCTTCGGACCTCAACAGATATGACATGATGCCCCAGATACCATGCATAGCCTCCTTTCGGTCCTCCATGTCGAGAAGATCATACCACCTTGTCCGTTGAAGTTGAGGCGAGCACCAATTAGGTTCAGAGGGGGTAGTTTCTGGGAGTTTACCAGTAGTGATGAATTCAACATAGAGAGCGTGAATGCGTAACTTAACAACGCTAATGTGATGATTCAACGATGAAACCATGTAGATCTGCCGTTTCATCAGCTCAATGCTGAATAGCGTTTGCAGGATTACTTACTTCGTCCCAGTCGGAGTCACGATCCTTACCGATGGCTTCGTAAACAGTCTTGGGATCCCAGAGTGGATTTCCGGGTCTAATGGCTTTCCAGACTTCTTCTGGAGATGGCCTTCGTCGTTCTTTCGAGCCTAGTTTGGTTCGAACGACAGGCTTCTCCTCGGGTTTTGGTGTCTCGATCTCTGGGGTCGCATCACTGGCGCCAGTAGCTTCACCGACCTCGCCACCTGGACCACCTCCCCATCGATGCTTGCTTGACCACCATTTCCCCTCACCTCCCCGGGTTTCTGTTTTGCCCTGCCTTGATCGTTCTTGAGCCAACAGGAGTAGTCCACCGAGCTCTCGAGTTGCGTCAAGAACCGATTCTGCTTGCAAATCTCCGGTAGAACCAAAGTTCGTCTCCTGTCTACATTGAACGCCCATCACAGGACCTTGATTCCATCCTTGGCGCGCTTTGATTCTATCTTGCGGTACTCGCCAGGCGGCAAAGGTCATTCGCACCGGGAACCGCACGTGTTCCATGACGAGGACTGGAGGACGGCGATGCGGTGCGACTGTGACGCCAAAAGACCAAGCTATAGGCTCCAGGAATGCACGCACACAATCGTTCTGGTACATGACAGGCATTTCCGCCCCGTTTCCAAGACGACAGCCCCTGTATGAACCTTTACTCAAGTCGACAGGGGGTTTAGGCTCCGCATCTTCTGCCCATGGAAGTTTCGGCGGCACGGTTCTCGCTGGTATCGCTCTGCTTGAGGATATTGACGGTGCGGGTATTGTACTTGAGGCGCTAGTCGTCTCTGTACTACTAATGGGCATCGATGATGTTTCATCGGTAGTTGACTCGGTCTTGGCCTTTTTGCGTGGGTCTTCCTCCCGGGAAGTGGCTTGGAGAGGCTGGGATGAGGCTTTGATTCCATCAACTGTCACGGGTTTTCCAACGGGTGAATCGTCACACTTGTCATTGTCTGGGCTGACGTGTACAGACGTAGCATCATGAGCAACGTTTTGAGGCTGGGATGGCAGATATTCATCAAGAGAATTATCCCAATAGTAGGCCATGTTGTCCAGATTCTCCCAGAATTTCCGAAAATAGGCTAGCCGAAGCGGAACGCGTTCGCCTTTTGGTTTCCGCGAGAGGTTGCTAAAGGCATCATGATTGTTGAAGGAGAGCTCTTTGGCGCGCGAGTAGAATTCATTGCGGTCTGGGACTCTTCTGCCACTCGAAAGAAGCTTCACATCCGGCTGGGAAGAAGAAGAAGAAACATCATGTTGATTATGGTTCGGAGCTTCCAGCCAAGCCTTTGGGGGTAGGTGGGCTTGTGCATCGTTCGAAGACAGGAGCGTTTCAAAGTCGCACTGAGGTCGAAACGTCACGTTCAAAATGGACAAGGTGTCCAAGTTGACGTCTGATGGTTTTCTCAGATTGAGAAAATGAGTCGAAACAGGTGAAGAAGGACCGGTGGACCAGGCAGGTGGGGAGGCTGCTGGTGAAGGGTCCGGAGGCACAAGGGATGGGAAGGTTACAGGTATGGGCCGTGACGGCGGTGGTCTCTCCTTTTGGTCGTCATGTTGATTTGCAAGGAGGGCACCTAGGCGAGGGGTGAAGTGTTAGCATACAATCGATACATAGATACATACATAGCTGTGTACATGGACGGGTACATAGGTAGGTACATGCAATGCGACTAGTGGCTAGTGACGATGGCGTGGTATGCGAGACGACAAGTTGGCATTGCAGCGACGTGAACATGGACACGAAACATGCAGACAGGCATGCTGGCACCGCGACCAAACGACAATGGAGTTTGAGTGTGTCCAAGTCAGAGCGGTGCACGCTTGATGGGGTAAAGTCGAAGGTGGAATGTGCTAACAGCCACACAGGGACATAGGTGGCGGGCAATGGATGACAGAAACGAGGAGCGGAGGAAGTGACTGCGGGGACACATTGTGTTCACCCATTGGATACTGACCAGCAAAATGAAACATCAGCTCGGATTCTGAGGATGCGGCAGCTGGGACTGGGTATAGAGGACGAGGACGAAGACGACCAGTCTAGGTACTGGTGCCGAGGAGTGAGAAATGGCGGAGAATGGGAAGAAACGTGGATGAATGGATGGATGGATGGATGGATGGACGGGTGGGTGGTGGGTTGTGTCGCGAGCTTCCTAGAGTATATATGGTAACCACCTACCTACATACATATCCAAGTACAGTAAGTACATTGCGGTCCATGCACGCACGGCACGCACTGCAATCAATCAATCGATTCCAGAGCGTCAAGACAATCGTCTGTGTGCATATGTGTGTTCTGCCTGTAGCATGGAGGATTGTGCTCGGTTGCCATCCAATGCCCGCCACCTTGATGAGCACAGCGCGCACATCTGGATGGATTCCAAGTGGGTTTCCCGCGGACCGAGAGCCCCAAAGTGGGCCTGGTAGAGACTGACCAAGTCGACTACGCCGCAACCGTGTGCCGCAGACACCTACCTACCTATGTACGCTGTCTGTCGATTGTGTTCCCACTGCTACCATTACCAGCCTTCGGAATCGGAGAAGAAGGGAGTTTGGTTGGCTGGTCGGGTCCATTCTACCTTGAATTGATGTTACCATGTAGAAAGGAATCCAGCCCATCATGTGCCATGCGAGTGTCTTTGTCAGCGACATCTGCCAAGCCTCCTCCTTCCTCCAATCGCCTAGCGTAGCACGTGCGCTAGCTCACACCTACCACATTGTACCTTACATATGTAGCTATGTAGGCGACCACCATGTACCCCTCAACACCATCGCCATGAATGCAACAACCTCCAAGGCGTGCTCTGTGCCTCCGACACCCAAGCCTACAGGCCGTATCCCAATATGGCCGCTGCCTGTCCAAGCATGGGCTGATGTCCACGGCCACACAGAGCTTGTCGTGAGGGTGCGATGCCTACTACGCTTCAAGTGTGTAGGACCCTTGCCCAAAGTGGCACAATGTGATGCCACTCCCGTTTCAGCGCTTGTTAAGCGCTCCATCTTATGCCAGCGGTTGGCCTTCATCCGGCTGCTTCCAACCCACCGCCCACCATCTCCCTCTACTTTCATTTCCCAATGTTCACTTTGCAGGAATTACCCTTCTTTACCTTGATATGCTGAATGCGCCCGGGGCGCTTTGATTCTCTTTCCTTTCCTCGTCTTCTTCCTCTAGCCCATCGCGGCCGTTTTCTCCTTCTATGAGTCTAATTTTCGTATGGCCACTCCGCAAGATCTGACGACGACGGTGAGTGGGAGGCGATGTACGCGCACGAGGGTGAGGACGGCGGCATCGTCCACCGTCATTTCCTCAGCGCCGCCTCCCGCACCGTCTTCAACTTCTCTACTCACTACTTCTTCCATCGAAACTACTACTTCTACTACCTCCCAAGCTGTCCAGCAGATAGAAACAAGCGCTTCCGTTGCTCAACAGCCGCCTCCACCGCCTCCCTCTCCTTCCCCGGCCTCCACCTCCTCCTCCATTACGACGGTATCGACTCCAGTACAGCCTGCGCAACAAGCGCCCGAAACCCAGGCAGCTTCCTCGACACTAGGTACGAGCAGTGAGGTCTCTTCGTCGTCTACGTCCACGTCCGCACCGCAAGATGTTGTAGCACCTGTGAATGTCCCGTCTTCGTCGCCCGCACCAACTGAGGTTGCTGCAGCGGCGGTGCCCACTGATGCCCCAGAGTCCACTGATGCTCCACAGCCAACTATTGTGCCAGAGCCCAGTGCAGTATCTGTAGCCGAGGCCAACGGTGCTTCCGAATCCAGTGCTGCATCTGTGCCTGAAGCCAATGTTGCTGTGCAAGCCAGTGAGACTTTGGCGCCCAGTCAAGCTCCTGTGCCCAGCGAACCGCAAGAGGCATCAGTCGCTGCAGCTCCTGCTACAACATCTACGCCTTCGCCTCCAGCAGTCCCAGTCCCAACAATCTCTGACACATTACTTGCAGCAGTCGCAGCATCCTCCACTTCTTCGTTACCTGGTCCAGAACCACTGACGACGCCGCCCGCGCAAACAGTGCCTGTTCAATCATCTGTTCAGTCGTCATCCATCCCTGCGATCCCAGATTCAACGACAGCAACTCCAGGCGGAGAGTCGTCTGATCCCTCGGTGCCTGAAGAACCGGAGTCTCCACAGCCAACAGATACAGGTATATCAACGGGGGGCTCGGCAGGAACCATTACACCAGGTGGCCGAGGGCAAGGGACTACCCCGGAGGAACAAGGGCTTACTCTACCCAGCGACAGCCAGACTAATGTGGCTGAAATAGCTGGTGGTGTGGTGGGAGGTGTCGTCGGGCTCGCGCTCATTAGTCTACTACTGTTCCTTTGTCTAAGACGCCGAAAGACAGGAAGAAACGGAAAACTGCAGCAGCGAATCAGCGAGAAGAATGGAGGCGAGGAGAGCGTGCTCGCAAAAACTGCCGAGAAGTTCAAGGCGATACCTGCAAACATCGGCGTTGTTTTGGCCAGGATCAAGGGAAAGAAAACGGGGCCGGCTTCAAATCCCTACCGGAGGCACAGTGTTCGCAGCAGTGTCAGTTCTGTATACTCGGTCCAAAACCATGGTCGCAACATGTCAATCACCGACTCGCCCTCAGGGCTACAAAAACAACTACGTGCCTTTGGCGATCGCATGCCCAGCTTGAAGCGGTCAAGAACGTTACTCCACAAGAAGCAAGATAGCCTTGTGGTGGGTAACAAGTCGCCATTCCTAGGCATAGTTGAGGACCCCGTGCTGCGTAACAGCAAAAAGGCCGATGAAGAGTACGATACGTCAACGGAACAGCCTAAGAACTTGTTCATCGTGAACCCCGATCGACAGACGCGCGATGAATTTGGGAAAGGGTTGCAAAACCAACAACGTGGGCCGCTCACACCAGCACCGGCTGCTACTTCCGAACGTGGTTCGAAAGACCCATTTGCATCGATTCTCGATGAGCTGGAGGAACGCAACGGAAGCGGAACGCCCGAATGGCTTCGCGACAATGTTCAAAAACACAAACGAGCGACAAGCACACAGACTGCACTTCGATCCCATCCCCCGTCAGCTTATACTGCTTCTACGTACTCGACTGCGGAAAATCCCTTCTTCGACCCATCTGATGCTCCACCTGTTCCCAGCCAACCACTGCCTCCCAATCCTCCAATCCGCCCCACAAATGCATACGCGCCTCTCCCTGCATTCAATGCCACATCCAGCACTATCTCCCGGGAGTCAGATATGTCATTTATGTTTGAGGATCCTGTACCTAGCCGACCTGGTACCAATATGTATGGTTCCAAAGTGCGACAATCAGACCCCTTTGACCTAGATCGACCCGAGGTGCTTAGCTTCGGGACTGTTGGCGGACGAACAATACGAGCCAGCACTGTTACGAGGCAGAACTCAAGAAGGCGAGGGAGCAGCGTTCCGAACTGGGTGAACGTCAAAGACGGACCTTATCACGCTCAAACCAAACCTTGAAAAACCGAGCTTTCGGTGAACGACAATGGTCTCATGATTTCTTTATAATTGTTTTCTCATGAGCACTCGGAAGCCATAGAGTATTATGATTTCTTCCACGGCGTTTGTATCGTTTCTGGATTTCTTTCTTTTTTTTTTGGGAGACACGTTGCCTGGAAACGCAGTGGCAGGAAGCATTCCGTCGGACCATTGCATGCAACCCAACACACAGGCGCTTGGGCTGAGAATTTTGGCATTTCCATATACATCCTTCTTTCCCCCGCGTCCCGCATCCTAATGGATACCATCTATTTCCCACAATTTTTTTACTTTATGTCTTATCACTATGTAGCATACTCCAGCGTTTCTCACCAACTTTAGAATACCCCGGCCCTCCTTTTTCTCTATTCATACGGACGTTCATTAGTGTAGTAAAACACATCCACCTATACAGATATAGTACTACCTATTCTTACCACCCACAAACATTTCCAAATACCATTGTACTTTGTTTGATATCCATAATGTTGACGAGGGATGGGAAATTTGGCGTGTCAGTTTATGAGTCCTTCACCACGCGGTAATAGTAACAAGCCACACGTGAACGTAGAAACGTCAGGATCTGTCCATATGATATGACAGCAGAAGTCAGCACATCTTGCAACTTCGGGTGTCAGACCAGCACGTCAAAAAGAAGAGCGAAGGCCATGTCAAGATTCCTTCTTTTTTACGCCAAGACCTTGTCATAGTCTTGTCAAAAGACAGTCTTCTCAGGGGAGCCATTAACCGTTCCGCCTTTGCTCGCACCTCAACGACCCGAACAAGCGACACTGTTTCGAACCGAGCCTCCTCACCGGTTTCACGCAGCGAGCAAGCCAAAAGGGAAGGACAGAATAGGGAAAACGCATCTGCTCGTATTGAAATCGGCACTTCAAGTTATCCGATCAGCGCCAAGATGACTGCCTTCCTACACATGAAACGCCACCATTTGTCAAACAACTTAAAACTCGCAGAAGAAGTCATGACAAAACCCGCCGCCGCAACCCCCTGGTAATCCACATCCGCTCCCACCCTTGTTTTTCTCCTACTCACCTACTTGCCTATTCCCGTTTTGGAAGGTTAGGGTGGCGGTGGGACGGTTATTGAGCAGTCCGTGTTGGCATGAATATCGAATTCTTGAAGGGGACCGGAGCCAAAGTTTATTCGCGTTCCGCTCACTGGATTACCGTGCTATTGGTGTTATGACGGAGGGAGTGTTGATGTAGTTCGCATGAGCGCATAGTTTGTAGGTGCAGAGGTATCCTGAAAGTTGAGGTTAGTTGATAGAAATGGATTGAGGGGTAAGAATGTTGTGGAGATTGTGGTGGGTGAAAGTGATAATGCCTTGAGAAAACGTAATGGGCCTCTACCGTTCTTTCAATGCCTCTCTCGTACAGTTACGATCAAGGGGAGTGAGAGCAAATGTCAAGTTTGGATCTTGATCACGATTGTACAATCTTCTCCTACCTTCGCATAACGATAATACGCAACACGTTGGCTGGTTGGAGTGAGGTTTTGGCCGTCTATTCTACGGAGCTTCTATGAAACCCATGGTGCTGCATCTCCAAAGGGCCTGCACATAGCATCAGATCTATCGAATCTCAATGATCTAAACTGAATCACCTGTACCCAAACATTTCCATCTGATGGGTCCTTACGCTAATCCGCGAATGAGTGGGCTAAGAGCTCGAGGGCTCAACATCACCGTACACCTTCCCCATCTTCTCTTCCTGTATCACCTGCAAGATTCTCCGTGTAATCCTGTCCCTTTCTTCCGTATCCACCGTTCCATATTCATCCTTCGCCATGTCAAAGACGCCCTTTTCCCAACCCTCCCCAACGTTTACCTGCCCGGCATCATCCCAACAGTTCTGCACTGTTTGTCCAATGTTTCCAAAGAATCCTTCCAAGCCAGCCGCTCCGCCCCCAGCATGATAGCTCTTGAACGGCCCCGCCACAGCCCATCGAGGCCCCATAGAGTTCTCCACTATCTTATCAAGCTCGGATACCGAAACTACACCTTCGGAGACCAAATGGATTGCTTCGCGGAGCAGTGCGAAAGCGAGTCTGTTGGCTACAAACCCAGTAGTTTCGCGCTTAATATGGATGGGCGTTCGATGGTGGGACTCCCAGAACGCTTTGGTCCGTTGAATGACGGTGTCTGATGTGGAAGGCGACGGCACAAGTTCAAGGAGTGGCATGATGTGAGGCGGGTTGTATGGATGAACTACTAGCAGTCGCGTTTTGTCACTCATGTCTCGCGATTGATGTGATGCGGGAATACCGCTCGTACTGGTCCAGAGCAAAGAATCTTTTGGTGCATGATATTCTACCTGGGCCCACAGTTTGCGTTTGATGTCGAGGTTCTCTGGGCCTGATTCCTGGATGATTGTGGCGTTCCTCACTGCGTCTTCGAGTGATGATACGACGTTGATTTTTAGTATGGTTGATGAAATGTCTTTACCACTGTAGAAATTTGGTAGGGTCTCCTGGATGTACCGAGCTAGGTCTGGTCGGGTGTCGTAGATTGTGAGTTGTGACGGAGAGGGGAGATGAGCGAGGTGGAAAGCAGCGAATGATAATCCTATTGTCCCGGCGCCGATCAGTGTAATATTGACATTCTCGTTTCTATCCATGCTTGAGGCATCAAATTTCTCAGTGGAGAGCGAGGTATATGGTATCTGAAGATCAAAGCGGGGTCCTGGATGCGTCTATTTTTCAGACTGGCGGTTGAGAAGTGTGTACCGAAAGCCTAGGTAGTCCGAAGCAAAGTCTCTATGATGCCCGTATTGACGAAGTTTCGATCCTGGGACCGAATATCAAACCGCTCCCGAGAGCCTGGGTGGCCGGGGGAATATGATGATCCGGGCTATGGAGATGATCGTTTTCCCCTTCCGGGTAGCTTTGGGAAGGAGCTTCCCCCGCACAATGGTGGTCATCGACCCCCGCCTCCTCCACAATCGACTCGTTCCGCACGAACACGCACCGAGGTTCTACGGCAGTAAACTTTTCTCCATGGCTCAATTCTCATCTGAATTTGACTCCAAGGATGCTTTGTTGCGTCGTCCTCCTCTCACCACTTTGACCGACCTTTTGATGTTCTCAGTTACCAGCCGTTGAAATGGTTGTCTTCACCTCCCAGCAACCTCCAATTGATCGTATGTCACCCAGCGTCTTTGAACTAGCAACAACTAGCTGACATGTTTTTTCAAAGTACCAACGGATCTTACCGATTGGGATTGGCTGTTCGACTCTCCATTCTCTCCCATCAACAAGAATCCTCGCTCGTCACTCGCTGGTTTCCAGAATGCCGTAACAAAAGAGCGTGTAGATTGGGTCGACGTCAAAAAATATTCAACATACATATCCACGGCCCTTGTCAAGAACTATGGCCTTTCCGAAGGCCAGACTATCTCGTTGTTCAGCCAAAATACAGTATGGTACCCGGTCGCCATGTTTGCGGGTCTTAGGGCAGGGGCAAAAATATCAGGAGCAAGTCCAGCTTATAACACCGAGGAAATGACCTTTGCGTTGAAAACTGCAGATGCGAAGTTCCTTATGACCACACCGGCAAGTATCGAGGTGGCGAAAGAAAGTGCAGAGGCAGCAGGATTGCCCAAAAGTAATGTCATTTTGCTTGAGGGGGAACTGGAGGGATATATCACTCTGAAGGAGCTCATCGAAATGGGCAAGCGACATGGTGAGGCAGGTCAGACGCCGGCCTTCAAACTTCCAGCTGGAAAGAAGAACAGGGACGTGTGCGGATTTCTATCGTTTTCCTCTGGGACCACAGGCTTGCCGAAAGCTGTTATGATCAGCCATCAGAATGTCATTGCCCAATGCCTACAGGTGCAACAGCTTACCCCAAAAACGCAGAAGAAGATTATGGCAGTACTTCCATTGTTCCACATCACGGGGCTGGTTCATCAGATGCATCTTCCGGTGCTCTTGAATGCTGAGGTGGTGATGCTTCCACAGTTTACCATGGAAGGCATGCTCAAAGTTATTGTTGAATACAAGTTAAACGAGCTTCTCATCGTTCCTCCGATACTTATCCGTATGGTTCGAGATCCCCTGGTCGATAAATACGATCTCTCTCACGTAACGCGCTTCTCCTCAGGCGCTGCACCACTCTCAGAAGAAATCATCCAGCTTCTTCAAAAGAAGTTTCCCAATACAGGGTTCAAACAAGGCTACGGCATGACCGAATCGTGCTCGTGTATCACGGCCCACCCTCCATCCAGATTCGCATACAAGTATGCGCACTCTGGCGGTGCGATAGTGGCATCTACGGAGGTTAAGATTATTAAAGAGGACGGCTTCGAAGCGAACATTGGCGAGCAAGGCGAAGTGCTGGCGAGAGGTCCGCAGATAGTTATGGGATATCTGAACAACGACAAAGCGACTCGCGAAACATTCGACGCCGACGGATGGCTACACACTGGCGATCAGGGCATGATCGATGCAGAGGGAATGATTTACATTACGGACCGCATCAAGGAACTGATCAAAGTCAAAGGAATTGGAGTCGCACCAGCCGAGCTTGAAGATCTGCTCCTGGGACATGACAAAGTCGAAGATGTTGCCGTCATGGGGGTAGACGACGATTATTCTGGCGAGTTTCCCAAGGCATATGTCAAACTAAAGGACAGCGTCATTCCAGATAGGAGAGTGGGACGAGAACTGATTGCTTGGGTCAAAGAGAAGAAGGTGAGACACAAATGGGTGCGAGAGGTGGAGTTCATAGATGAGATTCCCAAGAGCGCCAGTGGAAAAATACTCCGAAGAGTGTTGAAGAAAAAGGAGAGAAGTGGCGAAGGGAGGGGTGTCGTGGTTAAGGACGAGAGTCGGGCGAAGCTATAGAAACAGGCCAACAAAAGAGAGCAAAGATTGGAATACAGAAAGCGTTACCAACCAACTATCTTCCTCCGGTGCCAACAGAAGGCATTATGTCAATAAAGTCAACCAGCCAGCCCAATGTGTACTCAAAACATCGTCCACAAATAGCCTTCAGCATTGGTGGAACAGATTCCCGCCGCTTGTATGGCGTACCACAACGCCAATTCAAACAACACCATACCTCCTCATCTCAGCCTGCACAGCACGGTACCTCTCCCATGCCGCTCTCTCTTCCACGGTCAGCATCCACCTCAACTCCAAATCCTCCCGCTCGGCATCCATCCTCGCCCACTGCTCTCGCTGCCACCTCTGCATCCTCCGCCTCTCTGCGCTTTCTTCCGCATGGCCGCCGTCACGACGAATCCAAGCAAGCCGGCTGAGCACATTCTCGAGGCCATCAACGTAAATCCAGCCGAGGAGCACGGCGCTTGCAATGTCAAAGACAAGTAGGATGTATGTGAGGGGCTCCATCCAGTGCTCGTATAATAATTCTGTGGGCAAGATGGAGACGCCAGTGAGGTCGGGAACGTTCATTCTTGTTTCGCTGTTTGGTGTGTCTCTGTCCTGCGGTGGGTGATTGGTTGGCGGTGAGAAGGTGAATGGGCGCGGGGCGCGGAGGTATTTTCTGAGCGTGGTCGTTCGATTGAGGTTGCTTTTCGGTGTAGAAGAGAGGGATACTGGGTGATCGGTCCTTGTGGTATGGAGGACAGTGTGGGATATATGTCGGGGTGCTCTGGCCACAGTGACGGTGTTCGGAATGCGTTTGCTTGTCCAAGTCGATCGATTGGTTGCTATGTGAGAGCGACACGCGAGAAGTCGTGGGCGACTTCAAACGTGGTAGACAACAGCCTACGTGATGTCAAGGTGTGCTGACGCTACCGCAAAGACGGTAGTTTTGGGTAACAGCGGGAAGAGGGATATGTATGAGAGCGATTGTGGGGGAAAATCTGGTGTTGAATAGGCCCATACGGAGGTTGACAGATCTAGTGTTCAGGTGAACAATATTAGTCGCACACAATATGATGCGATTGGTTTGGCCAACTCTCTTGCTGATGGCCACGGTGAAGGTAGGAACCGCGCTATATGTGCAGCCACTGGGACAAGATACACCACATAAGATTTGCACGATGGCTGTTGGAGTGACATATAGATGAGAGGGAGAAATAACGTTATTTTCATTACCTAGCCCAACTAAATCATGATGCCTTCACCCACGGAAGACTGAATGTACCGACCCAATCCTCAACCTCTTTCCTCAGCTCTAAGATCTCGGTGATATCATTTCCTTCGCCGACATATTCCTTGAATGCAGCAATGCTACCTGGAAGCCTCCTGCCCGCTTCCTCAGCTTTAGCTTTTGCATCTTTATCGAGCTTTTGCGTGATGCCGACCGCGCGGTGGACGACGTCGGCGACGCGTTTGAAGTCGTCGGCGGAAAAGCCGCGTGTGGTCATGGCTGGTGTGCCCATGCGAAGACCACCCGGCTTCATGGCCGATTTGTCTCCCGGAACAGTGTTCTTGTTACTTGCTACGCCGACAAGCTCCAGAATACGCTCAACACGCGCACCATCGACACCCTTGTCTTTAAGATCAACGAGCACCAAATGATTGTCAGTACCACCACTGACAATATTGTAACCTAAGCCGCCGTTTTCTTTGGAGTCCCCCAATCTTTGTGCGAGAGCCTTTGAGTTCTCCAGCACGGTTTTTTGGTAGTCCTTGAATTCTTTCGTTTGCGCTTGCTGGAGAGCGACTGCCAAAGCGGTAATCGTGTGGTTATGCGGTCCGCCCTGGTGGCCCGGGAAAACCGAAGCATTGATAGGACCCTCGAGGTCATACTTTTCTTCGACACCTTTCTTATCTACCCTTCTAACACCTTTGCGGTAGAAAATCATGGCACCCCGGGGCCCACGCAGAGACTTGTGAGTCGTAGTGGTTACAATGTCCGAATAGGGAAATGGTGAAGGGATAACGCCGGCTGCCACTAGTCCAGAAATGTGAGCCATATCCGAAAGAACGTATGAGCCTACTTTGTCGGCGATCTCGCGCACGCGTTCGTACTCGATGAGTCGGCTATACGCGGATGTTCCCGCAACAATGATCTTAGGGCGGTAAAGTGTGGCCAGTTCCTCCATTTTGACGTAGTCAATGTATCCGGTTTTCTCGTCCAATCGATATGGTAGCGTCTCGAAGTACTTGGAAACCGCGGAGATCTTCTTGGTAGGCGTTTGGTATCCGTGCGACAAATGCCCACCGTGAGGTAGATCCAGAGCAAGGATGCGATCGTGAGTATTGAGAACAGCGGAGTAAGCGTATAGGTTTGCTGGGGAGCCAGACAGGGCTGCGGGGGGATTAGAATTAATCAATTGCATGTAAACGCAAACCACTTACGCTGTACGTTGACACCCCATTCCGATTCTTTCAGGCCAAAAGTTTGGAGAGCTCTTTGCTGACAAAGTCGCTCCGCTGCATCGATGTGTTCATTTCCTCCGTAGTACCGAGCTCCTGGGTATCCCTCGGAGTATTTGTCTGTGTGGCGTGAGCCATGATATGAGACCACAATGGGGTGGCAAGGAACATACTTTGCATCACGCTGCCCAAAGCATCAAGGACGGATTGTGAGGTAAAGTTCTCGGACGGGATCAGGTTTATGAAATGCTTCTGGCGGTTTTTCTCCTGCAGGGAAAGAACGGTGAGCTTTGGACGAGTTGCAGGGGAATCGACGGGCGCACCTTTTCAATGATCTGGTAAACGGTTGGATCGACATCTTCGAGGCTGGAGGAGAGCAGCTAGATAGTAGTGAGCCAAAGAAGTTGTACCTGGAGAGGTGGGAGCATGGTTACCTTATGCTGCGACTCTGCCGAGGAAGCGTATCCCCGCCACCGTTGCTGAGTGAGCAATCTTGGGTGGTTTGTGGCAATGGCAAAGGAAGAGGGTTTGGTGATGTTGGTGAGGGGTGCCCGACACACAGATCGCAGCGCCGCCATGATTGATGAAGGTGGGTGCGGGAGAGAAAGGTGGGAAGTGAAGGCGGCGATATAGATACAAGCCGCGAAAATAGGCCCCGGATCGCGCGTCGGAAAACAGTAAGATGGAGCGGGAAACAGTGGATAGGATAGGGTAGGGTAAGACAAGACAGCGGTACAACGTAGAAGAGCCGGCGCCACTGTGGCTGGAGGACAGATGATGCGGGGGACCAATCCAATTGATCAATTCAAACCTCAGAGGGTGTGACATCACGTGGTCGACAGCGGCCCGTGATTGTTCCGACGGCGCTTTTTATTCTTTCCATCCGAAGCCTGGCTGCCTCGCTCTTCTTTCCTCAACACAAGTGAGCCTCCTCCATTCCAGCACTCTTATCAATCCAACCTTACTGACTGCCACGGAAGCTAAAACCACGTGATTATCCGCCTTTAAGACAGCTGTATCCTCGCTTGGCCAGCGCAAGCTGGCTGACGCGGGTGTTGTTGATCTGCTCCGGGACCCACCACCCAAGAGGAAGCAATTCTGGTTATGATTGGAATAGTTGTGTGTCTCCAGCGCGCATCGCGCCTTTCGACCAAGATGAGACCTGGCCGCATCGCTCCTGTGCGGGGTGCTCATGGGAGCGATGGAGCGGCTGCCTGCTGCGTGAATGCGCTGCCACAGTCGCATTGCACTCACTCGTTTCCTATGCACTCCGTGAGTTGTTTGCTTGCGTCGGTCGCGGTCGTTCTGAACTTTGGTGCTTACACATACACATGTATGGTGATATGATGGTGTGTACATAATGTATAGATACCTAGTCAGTAGCTATCATTCAAATGCCTCCATCGCTCTGCAATATAGACCCCATCTCACCTAACCCGTGATTGTATATCCATGCTTGCCCGCCTCTCACCTGGAGTGCGCCCCGCCCAAGACGCTGCCTAGGTGTGCGCTACGACCACAGTACCAACGCAGCGGCGCGGCTGCCCATTTAAATACGGCTCCTCTGACGCCTTCTCCATCAACTACAACCCGCCGCAAGTACCTGCACAACCTCAACCACAGCTCGACTTTGCAACCCACCTGCACGGTCGCAGCCTTCGCCACCACCACGTCACCCAAGCATCAGTCTGGTCCTCAGCCGTCATCCATCACCCGGTTATTTGGCCATCACGTCTTTCACGGCATGGCACGTACCAAAAAACGGGCCCGAAACAGCAGTGTCGAGCTCGGAAGCCCGACGGAGACGACGCAACTCACTCCAAGTGGTCGCCCCACCCGCAAGGGCGCCGGAAAAGCCGCACGCAGGGATGGCTTCGTCGACTCTGGTGAGATTGATAGCGATGGAGATCCCATTGAGACTCCATCCGAAGACGAAGACGGCATCGTGGTCAAGCCCGCACGTAAGCGCAAGCGAACGCCTTCACCCACCCCACCGCCTTTGGACCCCATCATCCGCGATGAAGAACCAGAAGATCTTTCAAGTGACGAGGCTAGCCAACTTCACACGACTGCGGACATTGCGAAGAAGCACGCGGTCAATTTGCAGTTCAATATCCCAGTTGGGTTCCATGGCCCTCTGGTTGTGAAGCTGAACCGTGATATGCTCACTGATACACATCTCGGTGGCAATATCCTGGATGTGCAACCATCCGCTACGCAGAAAAAACTAGTGGTGCCGCCCAAGGCAAAAGCTGCTCGTCCAGGTGGAAAGACCTTCTCAGACTTGCCTCCCGAGATCCGAAACAAGATCTATAGGCAACTGTTCGTAACTGGTGAACCCATCAACATTCGGAAAGCAAGCGACTTGTGCCGTTCCGGTCAATTCTTAAGCACATGTAAGTTGGTGCACAACGAGGGCTGCAGCATTCTGTACGGCGAAAACACAATCGTCTTCGAACGTAATAAGTATCGGCGTGGTCCTTTCTGGGAGCCGGATCCAAAGGAAATCGGCTACACAGACGTTCGCCGATTTCTCAATATGATTGGGTATGTATAATCAAGATTCAAGCTCGTATGGTGGATCACCACATGGGCTGTGATGTTAAGACCTCGAGCAACCATTGGAATGGTTCTGTATGAATCTTACTAATCTCATTGTTAGGCCTGAGAATTTGGAGTATCTACGAGACGTTAAACTATCTCTAGAAGATGCAAGCCCTTCAGGTACGCGTGGAGTCGACAGTGAGCAGCGCCGGTACAGCAATGATGATCATCTCGCGGACATTCTTCGCACCCTCCGAGGCACCAAACTCCGAGAGCTTACGCTTGCCTTCAATGGCCGCCGCTGTTTGGCGAAAGGTGACGCGAGATTCCTGGATTTCCTGGTACAAGTCAAGGCCGACAAAGTAGTGAACTCGGATGCCCGTTCCTACGATTGGCTTCTTCCGGGCAAAATCCCGCGCTATCTGTGGAACCAAGTCCAGAAGGAGATGACGAGGGAGATCAAGATGTACCCCATCAAGAAATGAGAAGCAGGTATAGAATCGTCAACTATGATGACGGTATGCGGCGTGACTAATTGTAATTTCACAAGGCAGATATCTACAAGGGGTCTACTTCGATTCCTTACCCGACAACGACAAAATATGTTCGCGTCAGGATTGACCCCCAGTACTAATCAAGTCTACATCTTTTTTCTATCATGCCCGTATTTGCGGTTCGGATGCAAGCTCTATATCACGGCTTCTCTTGTTAAGCAGGCTCTGTGGGACAGGGCTTCCAAGTTTGTGCTGAGGAAAAGGGAGGGAATTTCCATTGATTTTTCTTTCGTCATTACCCTGGCCGAGTGGACTAAGGAAATGGGAAAACGGGTTTCTCTCTGGGTTGACTACACCTACTAGTGGTGTATGCATTTTTGGCGTTGTTCACATATATGATATTATGGAGCTACATGTCTGCTCCTAGGAAACAACTGATAATGATGATACATTTTCCTTTAAGACACGAAGGTTGATAGTCGTGATCACAGACATATATGAATGAATAAGTGGTGTGAGTTGCCAGTAGGTTACGATCCGGACCACAATTCACCCAAATTGTTCGTAGTGGATTGAACGGGAGAGACCTAGTGGACGTGCCTCTCAGTGGAAAAGAGAAGTTTGATAGTAGACTCTAGAGTGCCGTACCCCTCCTAATAAGTTGTTAACCTCTTGGTGTTTCCTTTGTTTGTAACCCTGTGTGTCGTAATCTTCCAATTGAAATAAAGCTGGTGAGAGTGTGTCATGGGGAGTTCAGAAAAAGCTTGAACTCTGGTGCCTTTTGTATATTATCGTATGTGTATCAATTCTAAAACCTCAACAGCAAGATCAGCCTCCTCAGTACTAATCAGGCATTCAGTAGTGGTGAGTTGAATCGCTATCGCTATCGATAAGCGAGGCGGGCGCAGAAAAAAAAAGCTGGGTTCTACGTCACAGCCATCATCAAGACATACATACCCAACCAAGCCCGGACAGGACGGATTCAAAAGGTGCAAAGGTCACGCCAAACTCATCTGTTTCAACCACACGAGGCTGTTCAACAGACATCAGCTGGGTCTTGAAGCGCACAACAATTTCTGCAGTACTTACCAAACTATTGTTCCTGGCAGCTGAGACCGCTCCACCATAGGCAGCATGGTACAATCCTCAACGCAAAATGGTACCTCCCAAGCAGGCGCCGAACTACCTCCCAACATGGCGGAGATAAAGTCCCAGGGTGTGGATCAGGTTCTAGCGGAAATGAATCGCATGCCACTCTTTATGACCACGCTTGACGAGACCGACGGCGAAGGAGGAGAAAATATCGCTCTAGAGGCGTTAAAAGCTTTAGCATACGAAGGAACCAAGTATGAGATAGCCGAAAATTTCCGGCAGCAAGGTAATGAGTGTGCGAGGGAGAAGCAGTGGACCGACGCCAAAGAATTCTATGACAAGGCGATTGCAGCATTAAAGGCTCCACCCAAAGAACCAGACCCCGAGGAGGAACTCGAGGAGGGTGTAAGAATTATGGAGATTGGAGACGAGCCAGAACTTGACGAAGAAGAAGAAAGAAAAAAAGAGGCAGCTGTTGAGGAAGCTTGCTATGTGAATCGTGCTTTGTGCAATCTGGAGAAAAGTAAGCATTGAATACGTGCCAAACTCTTTAACCGGGGTGTGGATTCTGGTGTGCTAATTCTGCGACCAGAAAACTACCGCTCGTGTATCCAAGATTGCGCATCAACTCTTCGTCTCAATCCCTCAAATATAAAAGCGTTTTACCGTTCTGGAACATCTTGTCTTGCGCTGGACAAGCTGGCGGAAGCTACCGATGCTTGCATGCGAGGCCTCTCTCTGGATCCCGAAAACGCATCCTTGAAAATCTTGTCAACTAAAATCGCAGCTCGAAAAACCCACCTCGAAGGCGTCGAAAAGGCCCGTCGAGAACGTGAAGAGAAAGCAGCTTCTGAGAAAGCTACACTGAGTGTGGCGCTCAAAGCCAGGAATATTAAGACCAGGGCCACCGAGCAAGCACCAGACCTGGAGGACGCGTCCATCAAACTTGAGAACCCGCTTGACCCTAGCTCCACTCTTACTTTTCCTGTAATTCTGCTCTATCCACAGCATTCCCAGTCGGATTTTGTGAAAGCGTTCTCCGAATTCGACACTATTGCTCAACACTTGGAATACATATTCCCGCTGCCATGGGATAGCGCTAAGGAGTATCACTTGGAAGGTGTAGAAGTTTACATGGAGACCATGGCTGGGGGACTGATGAAAGTGGGCAAGAAAATGAAGCTTTTCAAGATTTTGGGGAGTGGAAAGTGCGATGTGGCCGACGGATTGGTAAGGATGAACGTTGTACCCAAGGCGCATGCCGAACAATTTGTAAGTTGACCATCTCACCCTCTGTCCTTCGGGGGGCAATGATGAAAACCCAGTCACATATGAAGGCTGATCATCATCGCAGGTTGCGACCAGAAAACTCCAGAAAGGCACTTGATGCTGGATCGCGCGCACAAACAACTAGTGGAATTGGATCTGAGGTCAGATGCACCGGTTGTTTTTGTCAGCCAAATCGAAGTAAACAAGCTCCACAATATGCACATGTAGTCGAAGCTTGCTCGTTCCATCTCGCTTTCACCCGTCTTCTTCGACTCTTCCTGGGTAAGCGTAACAATCCGCTTCCGTTCACTCACCTGCAGTTGCACCTGCATATACCCTCGTATGCCACACAGCTTGAGTATGCCCATCGCATTAGCTGAACGTTGAACGAGAATTGACGCACGCCGGTACACTTGAGCTTTGGCGAACGATTAATGCAACAAGCATAACCAAAGAATAAAAGAGTTATTTGCCCATAAGCCAATCAACACTCAGATCAAAGCACTTATCGAATCTCCTCGTATGATATCAGTCCTAGGATTGTGCCCTGTTTGTCGTATTAGCGGCTAAATATATGGACGATATTTTCATTCATTATTTACCCGAGACGAGCGATCCACCAACAAACCAATTCAAATTAGAACAACGAATCCACCGACACAGTTTATCACCTACCCTAAACCACCTAACGCCCGCGCATCCGCGAATCCGAGTTCCTGGGTCCGGATCTCCAGTCTACGCTCAGCTTCAAAAACTTAAATTGCAGCTTCCCAAACTTTACAAGACACCGTGCTTGCTTTTCTACTCGGTTATTGATTGGTTGGAAAAAGAAGGTATCTTCACCCTAATCAGCGTTCTCCCTGACAAGACAATTTCCGGGTATCTGGGAGAGGGCTATCGGATCAATCCTTACTGTATGGCCTCGCCACTGCACAATAAGCACTTGCACCAAATGTCAATCTGTCACCAATACTGCTGTTAGGCCGCAGCGAATAATCATGAAGCCAATGAGACACGTACTTTGCTGTATTCATTTTGTGTTCGAATTATCAACACAGTCAAGGAATAAGGGCTGCACGGCTAATTCAACAAGAGCAAAGGGATCAATCTGAGTGTAAAAATCAACACCCACCTACTTTAGACAGCGTTGAGTAGTAGCACTGAGAACAAATTCGATTGGGTTACGGTACGCAAGCGGGTGTGAACGTCCAAGCCCATGTGCATTATGCATACGGCGAAGCCACGGGCACAACCGCATTTATATTGTACATGCATGGGTGTGAGGTATCGGAAACGCACCTACCACATGCGAATGATAGCGCTTCATACGCACATGTATAAATGTAAACGGTGTGTTGTGCATTGCATATGCGTGGTGTACCCACCATATGAACTTTATCGCATGGGGATGTGGGCCTGGTACATTTGTTCCATCCAAGTCTCGATTCTGCTACTGTATAGTCACAATAATTGTGGATGTCAGACTTGCTCAAAGGACAAGACCTGATTTTCCAGGGCAAACCCCCTTGGTCGGACATCTGGTTTCTACTTTCGTCCTGACGAGTTCATCTTGAATTATGTGTCCAACCCAGAACCGCTTGGAACCCTTCTCCCACTTCTTTGGGGAAGTGGGCATGCCTGACCAATCTGTTCAATCAGGCATCCGCCCCGCTGGCGCCGACAGCCAGGGTCAGACGGTAGAGTTTCGATGGAAGGAAGCGAAGCCGATGTCCGATTGCCGTATTGTACTTTGTGATAATATGTTCATGCATCAGGCTACTCGCTTGACACATTCACGCTTGTCAAAGAGCCTTTTATCAGCTCGACTAAGAACCCAACATCAAGTTGTACAATCACAGAAGTGTTATGTTCGTGTGTGAATTTGCTGACACTGTGTAACACAACAGGGGGCCGAGTCTGACAATTTGCACACATCATCTAATAGTTATGAAAAAGAGTGACTTGAGTGATGCTGTTTATACATATTCATAAAAGGAAGAAAAAGAAAAAACCGGAAACCATGCCGTAAGACCACACAGCACTGACACAACGACGCGTGTCTCTTCCAGTCTTTACAGCACAGTGTCTCTCTCTCGGGCCTCATCCTGCCACTTCTTGCCCTGCTCAGCGATCTTGTCGAGCTCAACCTCAGGGAGCTCGTTGAGCGTGATGTGAAAGTGAGGACGGGGCAGATTGCGGCCAGCCTCGAACCCTGGTCTCTGGAGAAGCGCCTCAAACCATTTCACAACGTTGGTGTACCTGGAAAGCGACGAGAGTCCGGAGAAGTCTTGCAAGAAACGTCATGTCAGCTTGGGGGGAAAGGGAGCGTGTGGTGCGGTAGGAGTTAATGAGAAGGACGTACTGTGTGCGGCGACCCAGGGCCAGATGGCAATGTCAGCGACGGTCACGCGGTCGCCGACGATGAAGCCGGTTTTGGTCTTGGTCAGGTGCTGGTCTAGGGTGCGGTAGAGACGGTGTGTCTCGTTGACGTAACGGTCGATGGGGTACTTGAGCTTTTCGGGCGCGAAACCTGATCTCAGGTGGGCAGTGGATTAGGTACGACCCCTAGAGGATGTTCTTGGTGACTTGGGCTTACGCGTGAAGTGGTTGGCCTGGCCCTGCATCGGACCGATGCCTCCCATTTGCCACATGAGCTGTTGTGGAGTCAGTGATCGGGAACAGAAATTGCGAGACAAGTTTGAGGTATAGTGTGCTGTGGCACACTATAGGGGAAACGAGACGTACCCAGTTGACTGTCTGCCAGTGCTCGTTGGAGCCATAAGGGTATGAGATTTTGTGATTCTTGTCATATTTGGCAACGATGTACAGGAGAATAGCCCCGCTTTCGAATATCCTGATCTCGTTGCCATTGTCGTCTTTGTCGGTAAGGGCAGGAATGCGGCCATTAGGGTTGATTTCGAGGAACCATGGCTCCTTCTGCTCGTGCGTATTGAAGTCTATGGTCACCACCTTGAGGAGATGTTGTCAGTGCTAAGTGGAAAAGGTAGACTATTCTCTTTTGTTCATAATTTATACTCGAGACCAAGCTCCTCCAAGATAATAGAGGTCTTGAGGCCGTTGGGTGTGCCTTCAGTGTAGAGCGTGATGTCGGTTTGGATACCCATGATGAGCTAATGTCATTCGTCGACTGTAACCTGTCGGCTGTACTGATACAAGTGGAAAGATATGGTATTGTGAGCTATCTGCTGGGATTGGATGTAGTATGAATATGGTATATTGCATTGAGCTGTAGCGGCGACGAACAGCCAACGTGAGGACTCTATATACTCATGTTGAGTTCTCACATCTACTTGTATTTCCCAACTTCCGATCACGTCGACTGAACTTTGTCCCACGGAATCATGCTTAGTTACTCAGAGTCAACTGCATATTATTGCGACTCCGTGATGTGATGTGTGTGAACACAGAGATCTTCGCGATCTTGTGTAGCCAATCTGTAAGTTCTGCCAAGAAATGGTTCCGCGGAACCAAGGCACACTTGGGTCCAACAAATCTTGACTAGAGAATTACATGAGCCCATGGCGGAGCCTCATAAATTCAAGATCCGAATGGCTTGTGTAGAACCTGAATTTCGCGTTGTAGTACAGTTAGAAAAACACTGGACTGACATGGGAAGCTGCACGTGTCACGGCCAAGATGTTTCTGGCCAGCCTGATTCTTCCATTGGTAGCGTGCTAGACTGTCTCAATAGAGCACAGTCTGCCTTGACCGAAATCCTCATAGGGGATCCCGCGCTAGAAAATCTGCAGGTGGTTTTGGGACTGATTATAGTCCTTCAAAGCACATCCCACATCAAACCTGCTGTGTTTCTCATGTCTACTGCGCCGAGACTCTCTCAGGTATTGGGAATTCATGGTAGTATCATGTACAGAGAGACCGACCACAAAACGTTGACCAGAGTGTTGGAATTGTGGAGCTCGACTCCCAATACAGGTTCATGGCCGCAAGGTGAGATAGCCGTTGTTGGAATTGTGGGAGCGAGTCGTCGAGGCCGAGAGAGAGGCGAAATGCAACTATCATTCGAGGACAGCGTCCAGGGCGTTGCAAGTGGGGTTCAAGGAGCTGTTCCTCGGAGATGGCGTCAATTGCCTAGTATCCAACATGCCATTTCGGGCAGATCGCCTTGAATGGTGCTTTATGCGGTCGAGGTCTTGAGTCGCCGATTGAAAAACTTCAGCTGTCGAATGCTGGCCGACCTCGCTTAGGTAGGGTAGACAAAGATTTATCGATAAAGCACCTGTGGACACGTGAAAGACTGCACCCCAGGATTGTTGCTATAATGGGTCACATATACACGGTCGCAGGCTGGGATGCGGCTCTTTATTAAAGTCGCGCGCATCCCAAACTCATGCGTAATCTACCTTGGAATTCTGATCCGTGGAACGTGATACAATGCCACAAACGTTGAGGATGCTCGCAAATTGTTGAGTGATGAGGTAGATGGGCCGAGGATGCGTCGATACGAGCAGGGGATATATCCGTATATGCAAAGAGATTGAAGACGAGGGAAAAGCAAACATAGTTCCCCGCGACTGATTATATCCCCCGCAGAGCTTCCGTGCAGGCCGTCAGCCAGGAAGATGCCAGCTCTGGAACCATGTTGTGCAGTGATGAGAGGCCATGGGTGATCAGACCACAATACCGGCCCAAACGTCGTGGGAGTGTCGCAGCGCCTGCCATACGTGTCATATGTGTCCTAATTGGGGAGGCATGATTTTCGCAATAGGACAGTGTTGGGAATCAGTGCCCTGGCCAGCGCCTGAATTGATGCTGCATCGATGGCGACTCGTTGCTCCGACTTGGACTTGAGGTTGGAGAGATTATGGCCAAGCAGGGCTAGATGCAAGCAGAGTTAGCGCGACGACGTTTTTTTCTCGGGGAGGTAGGCCTCTCCTTTCATGGCGAACATTGACGAACGGGCGGGAACACGACAAGGCAATTCTCAGCAGCGATTCAGGACAGCATTCGAATCAGGGTACTTGAGAGTGTCTCGGACGGTTATAATTAGCCCTCGATCGTTTTTTCGGACTACCGCAACGTCCTGTTCGCAGGCTAATCACGAAGCACTGTACATGACTTGATTCACATTGTCGCGCCGGACGGAGCGGACTTGGAGAGATGAGGGAGACGTTAGGCTTCCAATGCGCAAACAAGACGACATTCGCGCGAGGGTGGAATGAATCGAGTCGAATCAGATGGGCGCAGGGAAGAAATTCGAGGGCGATGGGCGAAATCCTATCCAATCTTGGAGGAGGACGGAGTGTCGAGAGCTGTGGATCCCACGCCACGCCACGCCGCGAATGCAATACGCGGGCAGATGGAGGGACGCGTGGTGCTCCAAACACTTGAAATAAACGGCGAAAAGGCGGTAGTACTGGACCCCCCCCCACCACGAGGGCACGACTCGTAAACAGGGCTGCCATAGGCGGATGGCGAAGGCGATGATGATGATTGTGCAGCGTAGTCGAGTGTTTGGATTCCGCAATGGGCGACGCATGAATATGGAATGGATGGGTGGTTGATAGGATGGCTTGACCTCACCAATGAACAAAGCCATCACACAGCGTAGCATGTATTGGACGGCATGCTGGTGCAGTGTGCCGTGTGCACTAGGAAAGCAACGGCTCGTCAGAAGGGCATTGGCTGGCTGTCACGGGGTACACGTGAATGGCGTACTCGAGTACACAGCTATTCCCTTGAGCCACCGGATTTGATTGCCAGTACCTGAAACATTGGGCTTGGATGGAATGATGAGGCGGATGTGTAGCGTCGAGTAATTGGGCGAATTGGATGGAGCAGGCAGAAGGAGAGGGAAATGTCATCAAGTCTATGTGTATCTGCATCTGCATCACCACTCACTCACTCACGGCTGCTGTGCCTCACATCACACACAACGTCAGGTCGATGCATCGCATCCTTGCCCTCCCCCGGCTCGGGCAATAGTGTCCCGCATCCTCATTTCACGCGGTGAATTGGTTAGCTGGCTGGCTAGCATACATACAGTACATAGTGTGTAGGTAGGCAGGCAGCCAGGTAGCGAAGCTGGCGGGCCGGGCACGTTGGGCTAAACGACAGAGGGACTCTTGACCGCATTCGTGCTGAAATCACTGAAATCACCTACCCAGCTCTTGGGGACGCCCGCCCATTGGACCCCCTGGCGGGGCTAGGGTTGGTAGCCAGGGGTCGATTGGCAGGCTCCAACGAGCTTCCCGCCACGCTGGGCTGCCTGGCCTGCATGCGTGCTTCGGCCCTAGGCCGCAACCAGCGGCGCGCGTGCATAAGCCGCTGCATCTGTGGGCAATGCAATTTGGCTCTCGGGTGAACTTGGCCGCTTCGGGCCTGGCTCCTCCTCCCACACCTACTACCCTCGTCTGTGCAGGGCCATGGAGCCCAGCATCGTGTGCCCCAGTTCGACCTGTGGGCACACTGTTCACCCTCATCCCCAATCCATCCAATCCTCTCTTCTTCTCTCGTCCCCTCCCTCGCTCTCTCGTCCAGGCTCCGACAGGATCCCTTCCCTTCATTTACACTCCTTCACTCCATCAACCATTGCATACCATCTATCAATTGCCATCATCATCCACTCCTTCTTCTGTTGTTTACTCCCACCATCAACTTCCCAACTTCTGACGCCTTGCAATCCTACTCTCGCCGGAGAGTGGGCAAATCTGCCTTGCCCTAGTATCCGTTGCTCATGATTCCCCGGGCGCATTGATCTCACCAATTCTTTTATTTTCTATTCTATTTTTTTCTGCAACCACCGAGATAATGGCAAACGACTACTTTTCTGACAACGAAGCCTACATCACGAACCAACCTCTGCCCTCCCCTTCGAGTACAATCTACCAATCCGTGTCGCGAAGAACTTCCCGCTATGGAACCCCACTGGACGACAATGGGCCATTGACCGCCCCGTTGCCCCCAGACCCACGCGACGATCAAGAAGAGGTCGAACCTCCTCCTGTTGCTGCTCAGAATGTATCCTTCCTGGACCCTAGACGTTTCACGCCAACTTTACATGCATCTCTCGTATCCGAAATTCTTTCCCTCAGACGCGAGCTAGACTCCAAGCACAAGTTCATTGAAGACCTAGAAACCAGTTTCCATGGAGTGCGGACCGAAAACGATGCGCTGGAGAAACAGCTCGCTGCCAGCACCAAGGAAGCCCGAGGCGCCAAACGTCAACTTCAACAGTTTGAGAATGGCACCTTATCAGCGCTCGAGGAGATTGTCGGTGAACGGGATAGGATACAAGAAGCCAATACCGATTTAAAAGCAAAACTCGAAGGAATACAAAGAAAGATTCGTACCCAGGAAGACGATTCTACAAGAGTGCACGATATGTGGGCCAACGACAAAGAGGTGTGGGCCAGTGAAAAACGCTCGCTCGAGCGACGCGTGCACATCTCCGAGACCCGGCTGAAGATGATCCTGGACGAACTCGCTTTACAGGAAACAATACAAGAAGAGGAGGAAATCGAGAGCGAAGGCGAAGGCGAAAGCGTCAGGCCCGAAAGTGATGCTGGTAGCATACGGTCATCTCCCCAGCGAAGGTCATCCACTCGAACAACTCGGCATTCCAGAAACCTCAGCAACAGCAGCTACCGCAGCTTTGGGCGCAGTTATCGCATGTCGCACATGAGCACCATGGATGGCCGTTCGACCGGCATGAATCTGGCCGACGAGTTGGCTTTCGATGAGGAGGACGAGGAGCTTGACGAATTGGAACTCGATTCAGACGACTTCCCCGAAAATGAAATGAAGGCGAGAAGAGCACTTGAATCGCGGCAGTCCATGTATCAAGATGAAAAGGCGAAACGTATACTTGGCCTTAGCAACGAAGTTCAACAAGCCAGCAGGGATAGCCCTCTCGGAGTGACGTTAGCGGATCAGGAGGAGCCAAAACCAGCACCTGAATTGCACAAGTCCCTTGCGCATCAGGGTGTCACCTTTGTTTTCCCTCCCAGCACTCCCAAGCAGGAAGCTGACGAGACCAAACCGCAATATGTCGACACTGGTGTCCAACCTTCGCCACCACCGTCTCCGGTGCGGCCGCAGACGCCCGCAGTTGCCAAGCCGACTGCGGAAGCAGTATCACCAGCATCCGAGATTGAGGCAAACCAGAGGAAAAAGCGCGTGTCTGCACCGTCTAGTCCTTTAATTCCGTTGTCCCAGGCAACCGTTGTTCCCAATTTGATGATCTCAACATCCTCGCAGACCGTTGAGGAGCCTTTAAGTCCTCCCGCCACACCTATCAACGAAACGGGCAACCCACCGCCACCACCCTCCAAGCCGCAAGTTGCATCCATCTCTACTCAGACCGACTCCGTTACCGAGTCGGTGACGAAGCCACTGATCCCCCCTCGTTCGCCTTCCCGCGCTCCACCTCCCGTGCCTATTTCCATTCCTTCTATAGCCATTCATGCACCTACATCAGCACCCCACTCACCTAGAGAACCAATCCTGCCCCCTGGCACAAAGACCATTGCGACGCAAACCAGCAACAGCATGGCTCCGCATATGCGATCATTCGGTATGCAGACTGAGCCTATCCGTATAGACAACCGGCCTGTCAAGCTACCCCCGCATTTACTTCCGTCTGCCATCAGGTCTACACCCGGTACGCCTGAGTCGGGATTGGAACCGGAACGAGAACAACATGGCGGTATCGTGAACCGCAAAGATTCGCATCAGCTTGTCTCTCGCGCATCGAGCACGAGAAACGCTGCACCCGCTGCTCGCCAGGATCTGAAGGAGCTTTTGGAGAGGATGCAAGAACACAAAGTTGAGGATCGTTATCCCGGCAACAACGACAACGGCCCTCTTGTTCAAGAAACAGAAAATAGCATCCACCGACCTTTCCGATCGAGCAGCTTGTTTGCTGGGTTCCATGGTGCATCTTCTGACGAGGAGGTTTCGAACGCCGAGTACAGCGAAGACGAAGATGTGGCTCCTCAATACTCTACGCCCATGCTCTCGTCACGCAATGTCAAGAACGGAAGGGTATTCAACAATCCACCCACTCCCGTGCCAGAAGAGAAAGAGGCATCGCCTGCTCGCCCATCAGAGGATTCATTCAGAGGATTCTCCAAGCGAAGTTCGATGGAAAGGCCAGCAAAGGTGTCCAAAGCCGCGCGTGCACCAGTAGGGCGTCAAGCCAGCATCCGAAGGTCCGCCATGGTCCATAACGGGACCGCAACTCACATGCGATCGCGAAGCCCAAGCATTGGAAGCCTCAATTCTAGCAATCATGCCCCCAAGCCTCCCTTCCCCGTTCCGATGCGCTCAAGCTCTCGCAATGTTCCGCTTAGCAAGAGCGAAGGTTCACAGAGCCCGACCTTGCGTAGCCAGGCTGCTTTTGCTGGACGACGCACCTATGGCCAGAGGCCTCAGCGTCAAGATAGCTTGAGGAAGGTCCGTTCGGCCGCTGTTATGCAGAAGCAGGCCCGGCGTCCTCGAAGCCGATCCCCACCTCTGCCAGCGAGCCCCGTGATTCCCCCAAGCCCGTCTCTTCCACCCATACCTTCAGAGCTCATGGCCGGCCACAAATTCGGTCATCGACACCAACCATCCACAAACACTACATATACCGGCAGTGGATCTGTCGGAAGCGCTGGTTATCAAGCAAGTGTGGTAGATGCCATCGCGGTAGCCATGGTGGGCGAATGGATGTTCAAGTACGTGCGCAGAAGAAAAGCCTTTGGTGGGCCGGAACCGCCAGCGGACATTTCTCGTGCAGGGGAAGATGCAGTGTTGAACAGCAACGGCGTCCGCCACAAACGCTGGGTATGGATCTCACCTTACGAGCGCTCGGTTCTATGGAGCCACAAGCAACCGACCACAGGCAACGCATTACTAGGCAAGAGTGGCCGCAAGCGTAAGTTCTCATGTATGCTGTCCATCGACGAATCTACTGACACACCATACAGTTGTCATCCAATCCGTCCTAGATGTTGCTGATAACACGCCAACCCCCAAGAGTGCAGGAACGCAGGCTCTATTCAACCGTTCCATCCTCATCCTTACCCCAGCCCGTGCTCTCAAGTTCACCACGATATCCCGTGAGCGTCACTACACATGGCTAACGGCGCTTTCCTTCCTCGCACACTCGAGCGCACCCATTCCTGAATTGGCACCTCCCCAAGAAGAGGATCTACCTCAGTACCAGCATGCAGGTGCCACTTTACGTCGCTCACATGTTCGCGACTCTGTCCGTCTTGCCAAAGGCAAAGCCAATCCAGTCACGCAAAGATACAAGACCCAGGTAGAAACGATGCCAGAAATCCCCTCGGAATTCCGACCCGAGAGGCCCATGCCCGCATACGCCGACCCGCCCACCATCCCTCGCGGGCCATCCCACGGACGAAAGAGAAGCTCGACCGGTCCCGGGGCCCCTCCACCCAGTATTGCCATCTACAGGTCGTACTCGCACAACCAGGTACCCTCCCTCTATTCCTCCGGATCATCCGACATGTACAGCAGCGCGCAACCCCCCTCCGTTCCCTCCTCCGTGTACAACCCGCAAAGCGTCATGACTAGCACGCGTCCATCCGAGTCCAGCACTTCAACTAGACAGCACTTCTTCGACACCATGGGGACTGTGCGCATGGAAGCTTTCATCAACGACTCCGTCGGCCAGCAACCTCCAGCCCCAACTCCAGCGCCCCGTGCTACCGGATTCGCAGCATCGCGCAAGATGAAGCGGAGCGGCAGCAACTGGAGCGCGAGCACGAACGAACATGCACGAAACGGTCTTGTCGATGACTTCATGAGCGAATCAAACGATCCCTTCCGAGGCTTCTGAGTGATTCCTGAAGTATCATACGTGTTTCTTTGATTATATGTCTGCACTCTTTGCCATGAACTACTACGATTCGTCATGGACTTTTGCGTTTCTTTTGTACCTCTGGATCTTGATCTATTGTTGCCTACGCCGCTCGCTGTTTCTCAATCTCCTCTGTTCTGCATCAGAAAAGGGAAGCAAGCAAACCAAACCCCATTTCTCTGTCCAAATCTCACTTCATTTGACTTCCATCTTCTTACTCTACAAAGATGTTTCCATTCACTTTTTTTGGATCAAATTTTTTTGTATACTTGTATACTTACTTCGACTCTTTGTATTTTCGGGAACATTCGGGGTTTTTTTTTGTTTTCATCATCACTCGTTAGGGACCCCTCTCAAACGATAAGGCGTAGAACGGAGTACGGCGCTCACGCGCGAACAAGATATCCTCTGGCATCACTTATCTTTTTACCATATTATTAGCCATTTTTAATCAACCTTCTTCTTCGGCCGTTTGGTCGGCACTTCGGTGCTGTTCTCTCGGGCTCGTTTGACCTTTTTACATACCCCTAGGGAGTTTTTTTTACTCTTCTTTCTGTTATCCATTTGAATCCTTCGTTCATGCTCTCTCTACCACTCCATCAATTCTCAATCACTTACATACGAGGCTCTTTCCTGTCTTGTTCTTGTTGGTCTTCTACATCTCGTTAGTTAGCGTTCATGCGAGTTTTGCTCAGTGGGGTTCAACTACGATAGCGGAGGTTCATTTTTTCCACGCTGGAAGAGTCGTGGTGAAATATCAATACGACGCGCTTGCCCCGGTGCATGGCATATCCAATGTTTTGCAAGTTACATCGTGACGATGCACTCATACTTGACTACTGCATCATGCTTGTTTCATGCAAGAGACGCATGCAATTGACGACTGATATAGTAGTCTCCACATATGTAACAAAATCCCACCCTGATCCAACAATTAGAGCCAAACAAATGCATTTCGCACATCTTTGTGGTCCTCACTCTCCATCAATCTAGCGCTTTCTCTCCATCTCTTTCTTTTTACAGGATATATCTAAACCCTTTATTATCGATCTCCGTGGCATCGAGCATGCCGGCCTCGATGGCGGCTTGCTCCTCCTCGCTCGTCATGGCCTGCTCGCGATCGCGCTTCTTGTTGACGCTCCACATGTATGCATATAGGACGAGCACGGCGGCAAGTTTGACGCAGTAGCCGATCAACATGCTGGGTGAGATTGTTAGTCCAAGGAGTGACGGAAGGTGGCAGCTTCCATCCTCCTTTCTTGGTCTGGAAAGAATCCCCGAACAAAGAAGGAAAGAGGGAAGAGGGGATAAAACATACGCTATATAAGCACTCTTGTATCCCGGTTTCTCACTGCTCTTGAACGTCTGTGGACCAATGATATTCCCGACGCAATACCCCGTGAACAGGATTGCGCCCGTGAGTTGCTTCTTAGTGTAGCCAGCAACGTTGCTGCTCACGATGGTCAGACTCATACTGAAGCCCAGCCCCTGGAAATAGCAGAGCCACAGCCCGATCAGACGCCCCCATTTATTGGTGCTGGGCAAGGCGACGAGCATCGCTGCACCGACGATGCAGATTGTGTTAGCCACTGTCATGGTTAGACAGCGTGTGTTGGGCCTGTTGGGTGGATGACGTGTTAAATGGTTGGATGACGGATGGAAAGAAGGGAGGGGTTTATTCGTTACCATTTGGTGCAGATGAAGCCGCCTGATATAAGGGCAAGGAATTGGACTGCCCCGCCGGGGATCTGGAGGTATTGCGTGCCCAGAGTATCCACGCCAAAAGACTTTATGATGATGGAGCTGAACTGTTTTGTATTGTCAATGAGTATAACCATACACACGGATCACGACTTCTTTGGCGATATCCGTGGATCTTGGATGGTTTCTCGGAAATGTACTGCCATTGCGAGGAACTTACACTTGTCAAGGCCGAGTTGGGTATCTGCGCTCCAGTCGCCATCACAAACAGAATCCACGTCTTCGGGTCATAAAGTGTCTGCCACGCTTGATACACTTTGAAGTGTTTGTTCTTAACGCCCTGTCGGTTTCCAGCAACGCGCGAAACAGCTATCTCACGTTGCCGCTGACTCAAGAACTTTGCTGTACTAGGCAGATCCGGGAGAAGGACCAGAGTAACGATGGACATGAGGACACTAGCCGATCCAAAGATGATGAAAACATACATCCAGCGCGGAAGACCCGTCGTGATGTGTCCCACAGCGTAGCCAATGAGGCCACCAAACATGGTCGCGATCCCATTGGTGCAGTAATACGATTCGAGTCGGAGCGGTTGCTCGGCAGCTGTGTACCACATGCTCATGATGAGGACGAATCCCGGGTTCACAGTAGATTCCAAGAGACCGAGCAGGAAGCGGTTTGCCGCCATGCCGGCGAAGTCGTGGCACGCCGGGGTGGTCATGAGAATCACGCCCCATCCGAATGTCATGGCTCCAAGAAACTTGCCTATTGGCAGGCGCTGTAGCAAATAGCCTGCTGGGTACTGCCCAGCGAGATATCCAAAGTAGAAGATGGATCCTTGTTATGGCTCTGGTCAGCGTTGCTTCCCTCTATAGCCAATGTCTCGATTCAAAGGGGCCGATCCTCCTTTTCTTTGTACTTACCGAGCCATGCGTAATCATCTCCCTTGAGATTTGTCCCAGCTTCCAGTCCCCAGGCACTCGCATAGTTGATACCATTCTTATCGAGGTATTGCAGCATGTATATGAAGAACAGAATCGGTACTACGCGCCTATCGATCTTCCGTATGGTTTTCTTCACCTCTGCTGGGTCGGCGTCTGAACCTTTGTTCTGTTTGTACACTTCATATGTCTCATCTAGAGCGGAAGAAGCCTCCGAATGTGAAACTGGCGAAGGCTGAATGGCATCGACATGGTTCTTCTCTAGTGTGGGCTGCGCTGCCATCGTGGGCAAATAGGGCAGCAGGTTTGATGGCGAGAGAAGATGGAACAAATCAAAAAATGGGCAGTGCAGAGATTCACAGAAAGTTCAAGCGGATTTCCTTTTAAGCAATTCCAAGAAGAAAGGCGCGGCTCATTGCAACCGTGATAATCATGTACCCGCCAGCCATTCTGTCACCGTGCAGGATTGCTTAGCTCCGTCGAGTCTCGCCGTGATGAGCTTAGATGTACCTTGACAACAGCATCTAAGAAAATACCAAGAACCGGGAACTACACTCTAAACACACTAGATGCATGAATGAGGGGCCGCCATTCGTGTGAACAGAAACGTGGAGGTGATACGTCGACTATTTGGATCATGGTGGGTGCCGATGGCGACATCGAATGCTGGCTTGACGCGAGAACGGTGCAGCTCGATTAGGTATGCAGCATGATAAACACCACAACGGCACAATCGGTTCCGAGTATAATTGCCGGTAACTGGGAAAGCTTTATTCTAACTAGAAACTACACAGGCATACACAAATAGCTGTCATGCGAGTAGCTCTGGATGACTCGACAGTCATAGGTACATCCCTCATGTCAGGTGATAGGGGAACGACCGTATGGCTCCCCAAAACCACATAAAATCGATCATAAATCCGAATGATATCATTCACAGATCCTACCTTACCGCCTACTACGCCAGATTAGAAACACCGAGCTCGTCCTTGGGTTGCTAGCCACATATCGGGGTAGCTACTCTTCCCAACTTGCCCTTCGGCACTCTCTAGTCTATAGATGGCTCGACATAAGTTGAGATTGAGCTGGAAATTGAACAACAGTCTAGTGTAAGCGCTCTGTTAATCTTTCATAGCAAGTCGATTGAGATGGGCTCTTCTATCTTTGGAGAGAGTAACGGAGTCGAAGAAACGAGGTTTTGATTCAAGCGTGTTCACCATATGCTCTCCAGGCAACGCGATCAAGACAACCGGACATCAAGAGATCATCAAGAGCCAGACTGTACGGATCGAAACGGCAATTGAGGCACGTATCCCTCTGTGCGGTACGATACCAAGGCTTTTCTCAGACCTGTCTGAATCCTGTATGTTTGCTGAATGTATATAGCGTTGATACGTAGTACTTGAGATCACGAATATTCGTCTCTAGCCGTGTTTTTTTTTTATCTGTGATCTGACAACGAAAGGATGCTACACGGACAGCATATTGGGTTGGGCTGTCGGTACTAAAGAGAGCTCCGGATTAGCAATCACATCAGGGTCTTCATCCTGGATGCGTATGTGCCACTCATGGCCACTCTATTCCCTTCCATTGGAATCATTCAGGAAGGTAACGATCCTCCTGGTTCCTCGTATTGGAGAAACAGTCCACCTCTCTAGTCAATTCAGTCGCCGAATCTAACATCCACCAGTAATCAGTTCTATTTCCGATCCCCTGAATCCCGAATGTCGATCATACACAATATCATCTAACTATCGTGCGGGTGGTTGTTTCTCTTGTCTCCACTTGAGCTGCCGCCCATCGGACAACCCGCGCGGCCGTGCACGACGACTTGCCTGATCCGGCTTCCACCATTCGTATCGCCATGTTCGAAACTATTCTCTCCTTCATCAGTCCCCATCATCATTTCCATTGCGCAAGCAATGATTCACCCATCAGCAGTCAGCATCGCTACACTTGCATTGTGAATAAAGGACTAATGCCTACCACCCCACTCGATCATCGTCAGGCTGGCCCCCAACCCGTATTGGAGGGCTTACTACTATGACCTAACTTAGCGGCCGACCATCTTGAAACAACTACACGGACTTTTTGAGGGGTTTCCCAATCTACTCTGAGCACCTGATATGTTAGGCTACCCAGTCTTGCTGTCCCTCCTTTCTGCAGTCTGGTTGCGGCGCAACTTGCTCAACGATGGATACCGTAAGCTTTGTTCGCGACCATGCCACCTTGGTGCATATCGTCCCCCCCCCCCCCCCCCCCCCCCCCCCTTTTTTTTTTTCCCCCAAAGTCCCTCTCGAAGCCTTGCTCATTTGAACACTTTCGAACCCTCGACAAGATGTCAATCTCCGAGATAGGCCACGTACTATTACAAAGAGACGCTACAGCGGCATAGACTTTGGGGGGTACCGCTTGCAGCTAGACATGTCCGTACATGGTTGAAGCTAAAACAAAATTGCCGGCGCATCGATTGGCTAGGGATATACTAAGGCCTGTCCTCACCAGATGTACCATTCAGCAGTCGACCCAGGTGACATGCTGAGGTACGTGCGTCGATGTCCTCGTATTCTTGTTTTGCTATTTTGGAAAGCTTAAACTTGCCAGTGTCATTCTAACCCTCCTTAGCTCATGGCTGAGACGGACAGGGACATCTGCTCCAGCTTGCCTATCCACTATAAAGGTACCGATGGTAAGCCGTACGGGAAGGGTGAGTTTCTTCTAGTCCTTCCGTTCACATTTTTTGTTCACTTGCTTCTATAGCTCGACGCTCTTTTTCTTTTTCTCTACATTCGTTATATCACATTACACTCCTTGGAGCATACTACTACAACATTTCTGTATCTATTCGATATATCACTCGTTTCAATCCAGTCATTCTAGTTCAGAGGTTACTATATTGTTGGACAACACCATGAAGTACACGGTGGTGAACCTCCTGGCCCTTTCGGCCTCAGTGTCGGCATGGCTTCCATCCGAACGCAATCTTTTCGGCGAGCAACCCAACTCCGTAGTGAGCAACCTCCCGGCAGGCCAAGGCCGCACTGTCAAACGATTCAATCCAAGCTTCAATAAGATCCGTGGTGTAAACCTCGGCTCCCTCTTCATCATCGAACCATGGATGGCCAGCAGCGAATGGAGCAGCATGGGCTGTGGCGACAGCAAGTCTGAATTCGACTGCATGAGCAAACTCGGCAAAGAAAAGGGCAACGCTGCTTTCCAGAAGCACTGGGACTCGTGGATCACCGAGGAGGACATGGACAAGATGAAGGAGTGGGGACTCAACACGGTCCGCGTCCCCGTCGGATACTGGATGGTGGAAGAAACCATCGACAAAGCCAGCGAGCCCTTTGCTACAGGCAGTCTGGCCAAGATGGACCGCCTGGCTGAGCGTGCCGCGCAACGGAACATGTACGTGATCCTGGACCTTCATGGCGCCCCTGGAGCCCAGGAACACAACCAGCCCTTCACCGGCCAGTACGCTCCCTCGGCCGGCTTCTTCAACACATACAACTACGAGCGTGCATACAAGTTCCTCGAGGTAATGACGGAGCGCATCCACAAGAACAAAGCCTACCGTACAACAGGTATGCTGCAAGTCGTCAACGAGCCGGAACGCAACCAGCCCAGCCTCGTCACCGAGTTCTACAACAACGCATACAATAAGATCCGAAACGTCGAGAAGAAGATCGGCGTCACGGCGCAGGACAAGCAGCTCACGATCCAATTCATGGATAAAGCGTGGGGAGCGGGCAACCCCAAGGACGTACTCCAGGGGAAGTCGGGCGTGGCATTCGACGACCACCGCTACCTCAAGTGGGCCAACATCGAGCACTCCAAATCAAACTACATCAAGACATCGTGCAGTGACTCGTTCGGCGACGGCGGCAACAAGCCCGTCATCATCGGCGAGTGGAGCATCGCTGCCGCCGACAACCTCGAGAGCACGCCCGAGTGGGCGCCGGCCAACAACAAGGACTTTTACAGGCAGTGGTGGGCCGCGCAGGTACAGGCGTACGAGCGCGAGATGGGGTGGGTGTTTTGGAGCTGGAAGGCGCAGCTGGGCGACGATTATCGCTGGTGCTATAGGTGTGCGGTTGAAGCTGGCGTTATTCCCAAGGATCCCAGCCAGGCTGCTGGTCTGGCCAAGTGCTAGAATGGCCATCCTTTCCGAGTTGGTGTTTTGATTGCCGGTTTCTTATCGCCCATTTCTTTTCGATTTAATCCTTCTGAGCGAGCGCATGTTGCCTACTGTGAAGGCTTATGGTTTATTGGTGCGCGTGGCGGCCGCAGTGATTGATTGTCATAGCAGTAGAAGTAAAAAACGAACGAGAGTGTAGTTCTCTTGTACATATACAGATCTTTACCCTTCTATATGCCATTAGCAAAAACATGCAATCATGGAACATGCAAACACAGTCCCTTCTTACTCATCTGAACCCAGCAGGCACCCCAGTGATTCGACTAGAACTTCTACTTGCTGAAATCAACCCAAACATAACATACTAATCAATGCATTGTCATGGTACACATATGTACTAGACATGATGAGATGACATGAGTTCGGCGAATCATTTAAACAAGAATGTCATGGAATTATATCCTTAGTTCTTCGCAGTACTTTACTATCCCTTCTACTTCTCATACCCGAAATCCTCTGACAGGCAACGATGTACTTTTTGATAAAACCCATGGCGAACCTTCCTTACAATCACCATCCAACCTCTCTTTCACGCACACATAAACAAACTCCCCACGCTCGCTGGACACTACTTAAACAACCCTTACTCCAATAGAAGATAAACAAGCTAAACAAGCTAAACAATAAACTCCCCCCAACGGCGTTTCTGTGCGGAAAATCAAAGACGAGCGTATAATGGCGCACCCATAGACAAACACAATAAGAATGAGGGCCACGGAGAAGAAATCGCATCAACTTCCAAGGCAGAAGCAAGGTCCGACTCTGGCAAACGAAACCAAAAACAGGCTGCACCAGCATTCAAGAATAAAGAGCGATAAGCAAAAGAGAATCCCTCGAGTGATAAACCGGAGAGAGGAAGCCCGTTCCCACGTTACGCCTGGAAGTGAAATGCGGACGCTTCCATTCCCTCTGTTTTCGTCGTAATGGAGAAAAAGCATGAGACTCAGCCACCCGGGCAGTGATGGTACAATGGGAAAAGAAAACGCCAATTATGAACATCGCGCGAGTAAATCAAGTGAAATGATGCCAAAACCTGTTCGGTCTTGCGTAGAAAGAGCTAAAGATGGCGTTGTTATTAAGTGATGATGTTGATAGATATCGTGGACGTCGTCAGCGATGAGAGACCAGGAGACGGTCTAGTAGGGTATGAGACAAAAGGCGACAGTACGGGAATATGCAATCAAGTACTATCTCGTCAACTCAGGCTGAAGTGAGTTGGGATGCAGCCTCGTCTTTGTATGCTTGTAGTTCGGATAGTTGAAATTGGATCTCGGTAAGGATGTCGGACATGGGACAGGCTTGTTCGAGGAGCGAACCTTGACCGAAGGGCCTGACCATGTGTCGAAGGGCCAGAGTTGTAGCGCAAGTCTATAAATTGTGGTCAATAACGATGCATCTCACACTTGATAATCGGTTGACTTACCTCGATTCTTGAAATCTGGTGTTCAACGAAATTCATAAGGAATCGATCTGTGATCTCGCCGCCCCGATTCTTCATCCTCTCCAATAGAGCAGTCTCCGGTGGCTTCAGCTCCAGCGAGTCGGAGTTTTCCAAGGAGCTACATAACATTTCCAGGCGTAAGCTCACGTTCCAAAGATCCCAAACATTCTCAGTATCAATGGTGAGCTGGCTGCCACTCATTTTTTGAGCGGCTTGAGGCGCACTGGGGGTCTCAGCAGGCTTTTGCTCGATTTGTCGCTGGACCGTGAGACGGTTGGCGAGAGAGTGGGGATACATCAAGTATATGTACTCAGGGTTTTCAAGACCTTTGAGACGACGTTCACCCAGTTCCTTGACTTCGAAACCTTGGCTGCTGAGCGATCGTAATTCCTGTTGTATTGACTGAGTAAGAGCATCGTCCATGTAAGCTTCTTCTGAGCCGACAGAGCCATTGCGATCGCCTTCGATATGCGTTTCTAGAAGTCGTTGTACTTCCCCAATGAAGTCAGTTGATACTGTAATTTGTCCACCGTCGGCGACGGACGAGATTCGTGAGGCTCGGTTGACCATGGGACCGAAGTAATCCATACGCCCAGTTACAGGATCTGTCTCGCACACCGGTGTGCCCCAGTGGATACCCATGCGAACAGAAAGACCCCTGAATATGACCATGCCATCTTGGTCGAGAACTTCTTGGCCATTGACACTGTCAAGAATCTCTTGTGGCCACGGGACCTCCATCAATTTCTGTTGAACCGTAAAACACCACAGTAAAGCAGATGTGACTGTCGGGAATGCGACCATGAAAGCATCGCCTTCAGTTTTGACCTCATAACCTCCAATGATTCGTAGCTGACGGCGCATGACGTCGTTGTGCATCTTGATGGCCGATCTCATGGCATTCTGATACGTTTCCCAAAGCAAGGTTGAGCTCTTGATGTCGGTGAAGACCAAGCTGACGTCCCCTCTGGGTGCATCTATCTCTCTATCGAGACGCTTTATGGTGGAGTTTTGGGGATCCTTTGGAATCTTTTTCTTGCGCAAGTATACGTCGTTTACGTCGAACCCGCCAACGGCACCCTTCAATCGAGCTCCTTGTCTCTTCTTGATGTCACCAACTCCTAGAAGCATGACTGTGATTTTATTCGTCGCACCAAATGCGATGGCTAGATCGCGTAGCTTCTGTGCAGCGCGCATAAGATCATCCCGTTCAGATCGAGCAACATCGACAGCAAAATCCGGGGTAAGATACTCCCAGAGCTCACGAGACGCGATGAGAATCATTTCGTCCGTATCACCAAGCGTAAGGTGAAGGATGTGAGGACTAGCAATGACCGAAGGCGACATTTGCGCGTACCCAAACGCTCGAGACACCTCTAGGACGTCGTTCAGTTTCCCTTGTCGCGAGACGAAGCCTCCAGCTTCTCTGATTCTTTGTCGCTCGCTTGTCTCCGCAGGGTCATGCTTCCGAGTAAGGATTTTGTGACCTCCTTCAGAGCGAATCAAGAGTGCTTGGGCGTCACCAATGTTTGAAACATACAACTCCATCTCCTTCAAATACAAAATCGTGGCAACACTCCCTGAGCTCAAATCATCATCTCCAAGATCGGGAAGAGCAACGCGTGGCTGTGTTGATGATGCCGCGACAGTCTTATCGAAAGCCTGTGTCGCTGCAAGAGCCAGGTCTTTGTTGAGGCCAAGGTAAGTTCTTCGCAACGCATCCACAGGGGACTCTTTTGGCAAATGCTTGATCTTCTCAAGCTCCATCCCAAAGCGAGTCTTGAAATTATCGTAAAGATATTTGGCAATCTTGGAACCGGTGCCCGTGAGGGGCTGTGCATCGAAAATGCCGATGATCTGTTCATCCTCAATTCCGCGGAATCGAGGGACGACCATATCCATGGTGGAGATATGCTCATTGCGACCTAGGCTGTCCGCCATCCCGTATGCCATGACACCAACAGTCGAGCCAGAAGTGCGAACTCTCCTGTCTTCCGATTGCTCTGGCACGGAGGGAATCATCATGGTAACATCCATCAGGCCCAGTACCCTCAGGTTGACGAGGGAGCTGAAATCAGTCAAGTCGCGACCTTCACGCATTGCGGACCCACCGTGGGTAGGTTTGATTTCCAGTCGCTTATTACCTGAAAGATTCAGGTACCTTAGCTGATGGTTCCAGTTCCAGTTCCAGTCGTATGGCCAATTGGACACATTGTACTTGAGGGAATTGCTGGCAACATCGAGGATTGCGAGTTGTTTGACTTTTCCAAGCTCGGCTGGAAGAACCTGGAATCTGTTGCCGTTGATATGAAGGACTTTTAAAGAGCCTACATCTTCGAAATCCTCGGCCGGGAGAGAGGTCAGGTCATTACCCGAGAGATATAGCTCGGTAAGATTCTTCTGCCATTTCCTGATAGTCCGTGGCGGGATGTCGTAGATTTTGTTGTAGGACAAGTTCAATATCCGCAGCTCAGATAACAAACTCAACTCGTCAAACACGTCATCCGGGAGTTCATTGTCAGCGAGAAAGAGGTGTCGCAACGAACCTGCAAATGTCGTCACCAATCTATTAGAAAGGCTGGAGTCCTTGCGTGATACAGGTGTGATAGTGCCTTCAGTCTGGGTACGTGATGCCACCGATGGCTTCCTTGCTGTTGTTGTCGTACTGGCAGAGCCGTATGATGCCATAGAACCTTTTCGATGCGAGCTTGCTGGTGACGTACCCGATGTCAGATAATTGGCTGAAGTTTGGCTGGGACGCCTGTTTTGGAAATCTTCTAACTTGCCCAACTCCTCGAAGCTAGGACTGTGGTTCAGTCCTGGTGTTGGTAAGGATGCTGCTCCATCGAGATTAGTGTGGTCTCCGTTCACAGGAGCTGGCGGGGGGGCAGTGCCTGGTTTCGGAAATGCTCTCAGAACATTGGAGGACACATTGAGTGTCTCCAGGCGACGGGCGTACCATATCTCAACAGGCAATTGATTGAGATTGTTCTCTCGCACGTCCAAATAACGAAGCTCGGCCAATTGGCCGATTTCGGCAGGGAGTTCGCCTAGAGAGTTGCGTGCTATACTGAGATGTTCAAGCCTCACAAGCCTTCCAACGTTACTTGAGATGGAGCTGAAGTGGTTCTTGTCGAGGATCAATTTCGTGAGACCAGTGATGTTGGGGAATAGGTCTTCGGGTAGATGCGACAATTTGGCGGATGCGAGATTCAGGACAGAAAGGGAAGGGACCGATTGGGTTAGAGTGAAGCGGGTCACTGGATTGTGATTCATGTGAAGTACTCTCATCTTGGGGAAGTGACCTTCAAAAGATGTTATAGAGTTGTGACCGATCAAGAGATACTCTAGTCTTGGTAATTGTGACATGACGTCCATGCTGTTTAGAGCGTTGAACCGTACGTCAATCTCTCGAAGGTTCACTAGGTTGCTGATGGAAGATGGGAAGCTACCGGATAGTCTGTTATTGGTGGCCCAGAGTCGCTCCAAACAGGTCAACTGCCCAATCTTGGGAAGACTGGCCACGGAGTTGAAAGAGATATCGAGATCCACAAGGGTGTTTACATCGCACAGAAAATCCGGAAACTCGCTAAGAGAATTCGAGCTCAGGTTGAGACTTCTCAACGCGCGATAATGACCAAAATAAGCCGGGAGCCTAGTCAATCGATTGTTGGAGAGTCGAAGCCCTTGGAGACTTGCCAACTTGTACAGTTGTGCCTCCTCGAGGTCCTTGATTCGATTGTTGGATATGTCAAGCATAGTCAAGCGGCTGGCAAGACTAATGCTGGCTGGAATTTTCCGAGCTTCGTTACTCGTGTACTTGATCTCCCTGAGGTTAGTACAAGCTTGAATGAAGTCTCTTGGGACGGTCAACGAGAGGTTCCTGGATAAGTTGAGAGATATTATCTCTGTGGCTTTCTGGTACAGTGCAATGGGTATAGTGATGAGGTTTCGTCCCGCCAGATCAATATGGCTGAACTTCTGCATTTTGGTGAACCCAGGATCCTTTTCGAGACTTGCATATCCGCTCATCTTGGCGGGAAGGAATGTGAACCTGCATAGATAACTATTGTCGTCTCGACCAATTTCATCTATACGATCAGCGTCGGTGTAACCAGCCTGCTCAAGGAGTCGTTTCTGTATCAGGAGAGGACGTTCTCTGGCATCCAGCTGGAGCGATGTGTCGTGTTTCCGCATGACGATATTGTAGTTGTTCAGTTCATCTTGGAGTAAGGTCTTCTTGCCCAATATCCTGATTATCTCGGCAACTGTGGTGTCCAGAGTTGCGGAGAGAGTTGCAAACGTGGAGTCGACCCTAAAGACGCGCACGCAATACATTCTGCTATCCGTCACGACATCAGGTTGCTCATCTCGTGTTTCTTCCTGCTGCGGATTGATCCAAGACTCGGGTGGTTGCCACGTTGTTTCGTCGTTGGGGTCTGCTTTCTCGTCCACACCAAAAGTGGTAGACACCGGTTCACCGATCGGCGTTGCCATTGGTTGTGGCGGCAAAGTGGTCGAAACGATACCCCGCATGTCATTGAGATCCGTATCTAGTTTGAATATGGCACCATTCAGGTCGTTCCCTATCTGAGCTTCATTTGGATCCTTTCCTTGAGGTTGTTCGGATGCTGGCAAGTCTTTCTGCTTGTCTCTTCTGAAGGGTTTTCGTCCATGGTCCTTCTTACCCTCCTTAGGCGGCTTCTCCTTGGCGCTATCCATGGTCGACTTCTTTTTCGGCGCAAACGTGCTAGGTATTGCTTCTGTTGAAAGTTGTTTGTTAGATTTGATGGATGGTTGGAGGGAAGTGGTCGATGGCGCTGAATGCAGATCCCGTAGGTCAGATCCCGGCTTTTCCGTCTTGTGCTTTCCCCAACGGCCAAACAGGGAACGGGGGCCTTTGCTCGTGCTGGGTGATTTCTGAGAGCCGGAGCCTTCTCGTGTGATCCCGCTGAACGCGCTCGGAGTAGGGCTGGATGGGCGGGCAAGAAGGTTGGATTTGGAGCCCAAAGCGCTCCCCAACGAAGACTGATAGGGTTGATCGCGACTGACGCTGAACGCAGATTCACCTCGGCTGGTGACTGGTCGTAGAGGGTACGGTTGGCTGATTTCAACACGTCCTTCTTGTGTTTTGGGCTCCTCTTTGCTCCGATTATGCCTATGACCAGGCAGTTTGAGCTTGTGGGTGTGCGAGCTTTTGCCCGATTTCGTGGATTGTTGTTCGAATGATGATCGGCCATTTCCAAGGTTGGCAGGCGATTCCTTGAGTTGATGTCAGCTGTTTACTCCACAGGGACGTCACGACAGGTACACATAGGTAGGGCAGCAGCGCCTGCCCGATAAATTTCATAGGACAAGGAAGGTGCGATAGTCAGTCAATAGATGAGACCACCGACTCATCCGCCCCCCTTCATACGAAGCAAAACCCTCGACATCTCACGTACCTTGTTCTGACTGAAGTCTTGAAATTCCCAAGGAGTCACCTCTGACGAGGGGAGGGGAGTGCGGGGCCGCGACTCGTTGGGTGAACCAGGCCTGCTATGAAAGTGGGTGCTGATCGGAGGGTTATTGATGGAGTTGTTGCGGTTCCGCAACGAGCGCATTGACTGCGAGTCTGCATAAGGTGTCGGAAGGCTTGTGTCGGAGCCCTGGCGGGAATCGGCGGGAAATTCCTCGCCGAAAACGTTCTGTAACCGTTTGTGATATCCGGGACCGACACCCCTACTAGCACTCGACTTGGAGCCAGTGCTACTGATTGTGGTCGCGCTGGCGGCGGAAGGCCGCCGGGCATCATCGTAGGCCATCATGTCATCTCTGCTACTTCCCACGCGGCTGAACTGAGGGGACAACTGAGGAATATCCTCGTTGGAATCGTTGAAGAAACTTCCCCATACGCTCGCAGCCATGCTGGCACCATTGGACCCTGAGGCCCACGGAGGGGTTGGCGAAGTGGCGGTGGGTGGGTTGCGCGATATTGACGGTATTCTGCTCCCCGATGTTTCCAGTACAGCTAGCTGCTTCCGGTAGTCCCTGAAGTCGTTGGTCTGATGGTTATCTACATTGACATTCCGACGAGGTCTGTGACCGGGATCCTTTGGTGGAGGCGCTGGAGGCAGGGTGCCAGGTGAGATGTCAGACTCCTTCTCTAGCCTAGACGCAGGAATTAGCTGACGCAAGCGCAAAGAATATATATCGCCTGTAGACAAGGTGTGCGAAAGAAAGGAGGCTCGCGTCAAGTGCTTGAGGTGATTGGGGCGCTTTGCAGTACACAGCTGAGGGGTGTAGCTTTGTCGAAGTTGCGCAAAACTGTGTCACGACGAACAAGGCGCAACTGGGCGCGCTCCATGGCGGGACGCACAGAGTTTGCGCACGTATGTAAATGCAGAGACAGGTGGGCAGGTGGTGACAAAGAATCCCACCAAAGACAAGACGAAAAGCACAGAGCAACAGCAGCAGCAGCAGCAACACATACAGAAAGTTGGAATCCTTGGCGGTTTGCACCGTCACGGGAGTACCACGAGAAGATCGGGCAAAAGGTCGCACGGTATCGTTGGAGCGAACAGATCGCCAGCTTCCGGAGCTCTCGACAGAACCATGGCGGTTCATGGCCTCATTCTTCGCCATTGTTGGGGACGGGGCGAGCTGAAGAGCCGCGCGCGCAATCGGTGGCGGGTAGGGTGAGGGAATTGAGACGAAGGCGAGGGCTGCCACAAGAGTCTCTAGGACGGCTGCTGCTTCATCGAGGCTGGTCACCTAGGTGGTAGGCTGCGCATGGGGCGAGGTGCGGCGTGAAGGCGGAGGCGAGTGGAAGGATGGACGAACAGATGCGAGGCGACGCAGACGCGGCGGAAAGAGAATTGCAAGCGACGAGGAATGGGAACAGAAGCGATGGATTGTGTATGTGTGTGGTGTTTCAGGCACGGCAGCGATAGTGGGGGCGACAGCAGCAGCAGCAGCAGCAGCTAAGGCGGTGGAGGAGGGGGAGTGGTGACGATGATGGAGGCGTAAGTATGGGTGACAATGGGTGAGTGGAGTGGTTCTGATGGTGAGGAGTTCTGGCGGCGGCTCCACCCACGAGATGGAATGCGGATGGGCCTGCCCGCGGCCTGTGATGTCTGCACCCGTCCCAGCAGCCACAACACTCGGCTCGAAGGCTGCACAGCACGGAGTGGGCTAGGCTTGGGCTGGGTCTAGGAGCACGGCAAACAGAGGGGGGGGGGCTTGCCAGTCAACGTGCCGGTGCCCGGCTGCGGCTTAGGGGACTGGACGGGTGTCTCTCTCTCTTGGGGAGTGTTCCAGTGGCGGGCGACGGGGGGTGCATGGATTTCAATTCGCCCACGCGCGCGCTCTCTCTCTCGAACGGGACAAGGCAAAGACACGGGATGGAGATTGATGGATGGATGGATGAATGAATGGATTGATTGATTGATTGATTGATTACCTACATGGCTGGTTTGCTCCATGCCCCATACACAGCTAGCTACCTGGCCGCCGGCTGCTAGCCAGGAAGATGGAGACAGCCAGCAGCCAAGTGCTTGACTAAGTCCTGACTTAGCTAAGCACCTTTCCCCGCCGCGCGTGAGCCACGTGGCGCAGTCCCTCTCCTCTCCTCTCCTCTCCTCTCCTCTCCTCTCCTCTCTTCTCTCTCAACTATCACCGGCTTCGGGGCCATGAGATGATACTTTACATATGTATCCATCAGTCCATACGTACCCCACCAACACTTTACCCATCATCTTACATGGTCCATCAAGTCTAACCCGCGTTCGCACATGCTCGAGGTCAACAAGTGTGCCATGGATTGATTGGTTCCGTTTCAATTTACCCCCCTTCCCCCCATCGTGTTCAGACACTTGGTGCTGCATATTCTCCCGCAACGCCTGCCCAGCCCGTCTCTCTATATCCACCTGCCTAGGTACATGCTACATACATACCGAGCGGCTTTCGACCGAGGCGGGTCGAGCCGGCCAGTGGTTGCAACAAAGATGGAGGGAAAAAAGGCAACCGTACATGGAGCAACATCATTGGACGGCTTCGTGCACAAGAAATCACCTGTCAATATAGCCACGACTTACTCAGCTGCTTTCACGGTGCCATTGAGCTCGTCGTCCGATTCCTGCTTCATCTCATCTGCTCTTCTACCCTTCTTTTCTACAATCCGTCTCCGCGCCATCTTCCTCCTCGCCGGACAGTTCAACTGAACCCCTTGCAAGCCGAACTGGACAAGCAAGCACATGGCCTTGGATCCAACACCTCGCGAATGTTGCTATGCGGGTTCCGCCATCCAATCACCCACCATGGCCCAATCAATTAATCAATCAATCCATCGACCCATCATTCCAAATCCTTTCGTTGCCCTCCAATCTGTAGCTCCACATACCACGTGGAGAACGGGAACCCCCCCTGGTGCGCGTAAGCAGGGCAAAGAGCACAGGGCACGGCGGACGAATGCAATACGAATGCACCAGGTAAGCAACACGCAATTTTTGCTCTTTTGAACCCCGACCCCACCCTCCAACTTGATCACTTCGAGCCCAATCCGGCCTCTGCCTGTGAACCTGATTTTCCTATCGCTCAACATACCCATACCTCCTGTGCCCATCCGATTCCAGCAACGTGCCACCGCTGCCGCACATCGCTCGCCCCCCTTGCTTGGCGTCCCTCATCCCCTCATCCCCTCTCACAACATCACCCCCCTGGCTTACATGATGATCCCCGACTTGACACGATATCAAACACTTCAGCGTAGCACCCAAATAGCGAATATAGAAATATTTGCGCAAAACCGCAATTCATGCTGACGCCGCCCCTTCTAACCCCCTTTTTCCAGACTAACAATAACATTACAAAATACATGGATGACTTTCTAACTAATCATATATCAAAACATGGCAACTTTCTTCAGCTTCCCGATCCGTTTCCGAGCGCCCTGAGAATGTCCTGCAGGGACGGTGTGCTGCCGGCTGGCTGACTATTGGCCTGCCCTGGGTTGGCGCTTTGCGCAGGAGCTTGCTGGTATTGATACGGGTAGGCGTAGTGACCTTGCGGCTGATGTTGCGCTTGTTGGGGCGGAGGTTGCACCGCTTGCTGCTGCACCTGAGCCTGCTGTATGGCCGCTGCAAGCTGAATCCATTGCGCCATGTCGTGGGCTTGCTGTGGGTGGTACGCTGGATTGGCATAAGCAGCTGGGGGTGCTGGAATATTCATAGATGGCGTTGCATAGTTTGCTGGTGCTGCTGTCGAGTAGGCTGAACTCCAATCCGTGCTGCTTTGCGCATTGTTGACAGCATACGCATTCATGTTCACGTTGCTCGTAGAAGCTGCAGATGCCGCCGGGGCTGCTTGTGAGGCCTGGTCTGGTGAGCCGCGATGGTGTCTCTTGCGATTCTTCTTCCCACGCGGTGGGGAATGTTGAGCCTGTTGATGACGCCCTTGGTTCTGTCGTGCGGGAGATGGCGAGAATGCTCCCCGCCGACCCTGGCGGTTATCCTGGGGAGGCCCGCTCATCTGCCTATCTTGCTGTTGGTGTCGCCCCTGCCTATCGTTCTGACCACGATTCGAACGGTCACCGCGGCCTCGACTGTTTTGCCCTCCCCTATCACTGCGGCCACCACCTCTATCGAATCGATCCCCTCGACCACCGCCGTTGTGCATACCGCCCCTATCGAATCTGTCGCCGCGACCAGCCCCCATACCCCCTCGTCCCCTGAACCCGCGTCCACGATCCACCCAACCTCGACCTCGCATAGCTCCACGACGCACGTGGCTACGATCTTCCAGAGGAGCACCGGCGCCAACAACGTCTTCAAATCGATCGGGTCTGGCGAGAGGCCTGTACATACCTAAGTCTTCATCTTCATCGTCACTATACTTCAGAGGAGCATTTTGATAGTTGGATGGCGCAGGATTTGCCCGGGAAGTAGGCACGCCATCAGCATACGGGAGATTCGTATAAGCTGCAGGCTGATGGTCGTCTTGTCCATCTCCGTTCGCCTTGCGCTTGAGGTCTTTCTTCTTCTCCCTGATCTCTCTCTTGAAATTCGCTTCCTCTTCGTCATCGGAAAACTCTTTTACATTGGTCTCCTCGTCGTATTGCCCAGATGCATCAGTGTGCTTCTCTGCTCGTAAAGGCTCAGTGTAGACAAACGTGGAATGCTCGTTGACATAGAAGATGCGGGTACCTTTAGTGATGCCCAATGTGGATATCTCTTCCGCGCTTGCAAACCCTACAGAGTATCTGGGGTCTTGAACACGTCCGATGGTTTCAGAGACTTGTCCGATGACAGTACGGTTGTCTAAGCATACTGCGGAGCCGGACTCTAAAACGTGATAATCTCCAGATACGTTTGCTTTGATCAAGATAAGGTTATCGACGATGTTCTCGACATTGCCGAGCTCTGTTATTTGCATAGCCTCAGTTACGGTGATGTCAGGCTTCTGGTATTGCTCGTCAACCTCATTTTGAGTTTTGACTTTCGCCTTAGGAGCAGGACCGTCACCATCCTCAGGATCTTCTGCCATCATTCGTTTGATAGCCTCCTCTGGGGTGAGCAACTCGCCTTCCGATTCCGAGTCTGAGTCAGAACTCGAATCTTCACTGGAGGAATCGGACGAGTCTGATGCTTCAGAATCCAACTGCCATTCTGCTTGTTCGTTGTCTTTGTTGACTTCGGCGGCCTGTAAGAACTCGATCTTGGCCTCATCTACAGGCTCAGACGCTGTAGCTACGGGGTCGTCATTGGCAGAAGTAGGCTTGTTGGCATCTACTGCAGCTATGGATTGTGATTGCGATGTTGTAGGATCGATGGTAGGTACGGCAGGCGCAGTAGAATTGGATGCGTCTTGTTCATCTACAGAAGCGTAAGACACATTGGTAAGAACCGGGATTACAGGTGGCAGAGTCAAGGGCTTACTGTGCTGCGGCGCGTCTTCTGCGGCAGTCACCAGGGCTTGCGCTTCCTGCTGCTGGTCCCCATAGAAGACGTCTGTGTCGGAGACCTCGCCATCTTCCATATCCTCGCCGTCTTCAGTAGCAAGCGACAGAGGATTCGAAACTGGCTTTGTGTCTGCAGGAGCTGTAGTTGATGTATTGGGAGCAGAAGGTGAGGTCCAAAAGCTAAGCCCAGGGATCAAAGCAGCAGTGTTGTTGGACTGTGCAGCAGGGGACGGCATCACATTGTCGACTTTGGAGTGCCCGGCATCATCAACTTGAGTGTTTTCGTAGAAATCGTCATCGAAATCATCGACAGGTGAAGCGGGTGCGTCGACATTGACGGGCTCGAGGCCATCTAGCCGCGCCCTCTTCGCAGGCGGTTCAGCCATGGCCGCAATAATTAAAAAAGCGATGTGCTTCAGCGGGGCTTTGTGTGTAACTTCGGTGCGATGTAAGCTCGCGGCAGGAGTTCTCGCCGCCTATGCTGTTGCAGTGCAGTGCTTTGCTGTGCCGTGCAGGAGAAAGGTCGAGGTGGAGCTTTCTTAAGAAATCAATCGGATGCACGAGGGCCCGTGCGTTTCGCGTAAAAGAAATCCCGGCTGCAAGGGCTGATTGGCCGCAGTTCAGCCTTATGGCTGCAGCGTGTGATTTCCGCTTGGCAGCGCATCACTCTGTCCTTTGTCCTTCACTAGCGAACAGGTGAGCATCAATTACATCAAATGCACCGCAATGGCTCCCAGCACTGTTGCTAATGTTTCTCCGCTGACGCAAGATCCACCCGTGTACGCAAGCCAATCATATGCATGCGCACAAACATGTAGCCTCGCTTTCCCATCCAAAGGCTGATTGATCCCATGTAGGAAACAGCTTGTCCAGGAGATGAACCAGCGACCATTCCGGTTCAAACCTACCACTGCCTTTTACATCTTCCTCGCCGCCAATACTCTTGCCGCCCTTTTCTCGCCCATTCAAGATTGCGATGAGGTCTTCAATTATTGGGAACCAACACATTATCTCAATCATGGATCTGGCCTGCAGACGTGGGAGTATTCTCCCGACTATGCCATAAGAAGTTGGGCATACACTGGCATTCATGCTTCCATCACCGCCCTTGCCCGTCTGATCTCATTGGATGGCAGCAAACTATTCGAGTTTTATGGCCTCCGATGTGTATTGGGCCTTGTTTGTGCTCTTTGCGAAAGCAAACTCTACTATACCATAGCCAAGACAATCAATCCGCGAGCAGCAGTCTACTTCCTCATGATATTAGTCTTCAGTCCCGGAATGTACCATGCGTCGCCTGCCTATTTGCCGTCCACTTTCGCCATGTACACTACCATGCTGGGTGCCTCTGCATTTCTAGATTGGCGAGGAGGCATTAAGACGGCTCGAGGCATTATGTGGTTCGCCGCCGGTAGCTTGCTAGGGTGGCCATTTGCGGGGGCTCTCGTTCTGCCTTTTATTGCAGAGGAAGTTATCATGGCTTTCTTCAGTGGTTCCGTGTTCGAGACTGCGTGGCGTTTTGTTGATGGTGGTATAAGATCTGTTGGTATATTGGTAGGCATATCTCATCACCAATGCCAATGCACTTGCTAATCGGGTATCTGCTAGGCATTCCAAGTGGCCGTTGACACGTTCTTCTACAGGACGCTCGTATGCGTTCCCATGAACATTGTCCTCTACAATGTCTTCAGTGGCGGTAGCAGAGGTCCTAATATCTATGGGGTTGAGCCATGGCATTTCTACGTTCGTAACCTGACCCTCAACTTTAACATATGGTTCTGGCTTGCTGCCGTCGCTCTTCCGCTAGTCCTTCTGCAGTATCTTTTCATCGACAAAGTATCCCCAAAGCAGACGCTCCTGCGCAGCGTCGTGTCCATTAGCCCGTTTTATCTTTGGCTTGGAATCTTTACCTTGCAACCACACAAGGAAGAACGTTTCATGTATCCAGCGTATCCACTCCTAGCTTTCAACGCCGCTTTGAGCTTGCATATTCTGCTCGGTAATTTCGGAAAATCTCCACCAGGAACTCTGCGTAGCCAAATATCCCCGGAGTTCAAGCTTGCCGTGGTCAGTCTCGTTATATTGGGAAGTTTCAACTTGGGAGCCCTCCGCACGATCGGCACTATGACCGCTTACTCCGCTCCATTGAACGTATATAAACCGCTTCAAAAAAGCGGTGTCGTCAAGGCAGGCGATAATGTTTGTTTGGGCAAGGAATGGTACCGATTCCCGTCTTCTTATTTTCTGCCTGACCAAAGTCGTGCAAGATTTGTCAAAAGCGAATTCACTGGTCTCTTACCTGGCTCTTTTAGCGAGGCAAATGAAGGTTCTGGTTATTACCCAGGCACGTGGATGATACCTTCTGGAATGAATGACGAGAATAAGGAAGACCCAGAAAAATACGTACGTGTAGATCCAATACCCACATTGACACAGTCTTTCCTTCACGATCTCAATAATACTTGCTAACAAACCTCAGATTAATATCACCCAATGCCAATTCCTGATTGACTCGAAGCTTCCCAGTGCCCCGGCCACCTCGTTAGAACCAGACTACATTTACGATACGAAGACCTGGGAAAAACTGTCTTGCAGCCCCTTCATGGATGCAGGTGCAACGCCGCTTCTTGGTCGTATCCTATGGGTTCCAGAATGGTCGTTGATCCCAGCCAAGCACAGGCGGGTATGGGGTGAATACTGTCTTTTGCGTCGCAAAGCTTGAGCAGAGCTATGGTTTTTGTTCCAGCTACAATATTTGCACGTAATCTATCAATATTGAGAGGGTTATTAGTTTTGCGGACGTGTATGTGAGCGAGAGATATACTTGGAAAGCGGCATGTATTCCGCACCGGCTTCCGCATTTGGCACTACCATTTCACCCCGCACTGGAAAGCTATCTACTTGGAACTGATTGTATGGTGTGTCTCGGTACACCCCGTTATCAACAACATCTTGTCCTATCAGCGAAGAAATCCTAATGTACATACAACTAGTACTAAATAAGTCACCGTTTCCCTTCCTCCCGCGATAACCGTTGTGCCAAACAAAGCTCTTGCCAAACCCCCTCCCCCACCTGAGATGTATTGATTGACATTGGTAGGCTGCATTATCTACTCATAGCGTTTTACGTACGCACATCACTGTCGGAAAAAAAGCGGGGTGGTATGACGATATCGAGTGATATCTATCAAGTCGCCCTGCTGCAGCGTGCTATGATTGCGACTCCGTTCCCTCCCTACGCCTAGGAACACTTGAGTTCTAGAGGGCACACGTGCTGTCCTTTCTCAATACGTACGCCGTCTCGACAGAAGTCGCCACCATATAAACACGAAACAATGCCTCAGCCGTTCGCGATTCGAATCCAAGAAACGATACGGAGCATGGAAAATTTATCTCCCATCGCGAGCGCGAATTCTTGTATAAATGGCTATGGGTGTCGCATAGTTTTGGTCTTGGGATTATCTTGTTTTGCGTGCATGGTGATTGGCAGTGTTGTGTTGAAGCGGCTTCGTATGCGCCACAAGAAAGTGTTGTGGGTTGGGAAGAGGGCCGGGGGCGGCAAGGAAGAAAGTGTCAAGGTAGGGGGAAAGAATAGAGAGATGGAGAGGAAATTAGGTGGTAAAGTTTTTTCCTTTCCTTTCTCTTTTATTCTTTCTTCTCTCTCTTTAAAGCTATCGATTCACTGCATTTTCTGCCTTCGCGGCTTTTTACTCATGAAAAGGGAACACCTTCGAAACTCTCTTTTCCCATTTCTTTCTCCAGTATCTCCCTGCGTTGGAAGTGAATAGAATCGAAGCAGAGCTCTGATCCATTGCATGCACTAATAGTCCATCAAATAGTTTGGCCACCTTCCTCCTTTAGACGACCTCGCGCATCTCCATACCCAGATTGGTCCTTATCGACCACCAAACCGCTGCCCTACCGCCCTTTCCGTTACGGCCCGAGATATAATATCACCATGGGCTTACGCAAGATGGTATGGGATGACTGGATCGAGCTAGATTCAGACTACCTGTCATACCACACCCTCAAAGCGCAGCGGATTCAAGAAAGGGGACAAAAGTGCTGCAGAACAGCTCCAGAAGCCTACGACGCAGCTATAGAACTGCTAGAAGAGTTATGCGAGTACCTGAGCGAGCGTTATCCTGCGTTATACCGACGCTGGGAAAACGAAGACGGTAGTCGATGGGGAGTATCGAATCTGGTCACGGGCGAGGTCTTTGACGTAGCAGAGCGACCATTACGAGAGGATCCCATGCAAATGTGCGCACGGCTCGTACAGGACGATCTAGCCATCATGGTGGAAGGGAAGGATGGGGATTACTACCTTCTCGCGGGCGCCATATTGCTCGCGGGCTTCTGGAGGCTGCAAGACAAGTTCGGCATGAAGTTGTCCGGGATTCACACTAGCGGCGACGTGCCTGGGTTCAAGGATAAGCTGGAAAGAGGCATGATGAATTTTTTCAGGAGGGTGCAGCCGGAGAGTCCGGTTTTGCGGAATAATTACTTTTTCCAGGTCGACGACAAGTTGGCGTGGAGTGAGAGTATTGGTAGCGAGGACTCGGAAGGGATAGGGTGGTTCACGGCGGAGAAGAACAAGACGATCGAGAAGCATTTTTTCCGCAGCGAGAGGCAAAGTTTGAGAAGGTGCGTACATCCCATGTTCCGTGCTTTACAAATAAAGTGTTACCGAAACTACTCGCCAGCATGAAGAAAAAAAAAGAGCCTGCAAATTTGTAATAACGGGTTTCATTCTTCATGTTTAGATTGCCCCGCTCTGGAGGCGTTGTCTTCACGATTCGTACATACTTTCACCCCGTTACGGAAATTTGCAAAGAGCCCTATGTGCCGGGCAGACTAGCAAGTGCGGTTCGCAGTGTGAGTGGATTGTCCATGTCATCCCAGGTACATTGAAATAGCATTAAGACGTCTTGGAGACTATGACAAGCCATCAGATCCCTGCTTTGACTTTACTGACTTTGCGCGTCCGATCCTAGTGGGGGGACGATGTAAGCAAGTACAAGGGTAAGGAGAGCTATCAAGACGTTCTACTCGAATACCTGGATCGGAAACATGAAGAGCAGGTGGCGGATGGGCTGGATTTGAGCAAAGAGGATGAGGTCAGGGCATATCCGTATTAGGAGCGTACATATGGAAGGGCATTAATTGTAAGAACGACTAGGTTGGGAAATGAGTGTCGAGAAGGGATGAGCCAAACAAGCAAGCAAGAAAGAAAAGGAGAAGGCACACATTATCACGGTGACGACGTTGGATAGCATGATCGTCAGGGGTGGCTTGCCGGAGAGGGCTGGCGTCGCGTCAGATACCGTTATTGTTAGCGGCCAAGTTTGAGCCGGCGGACGAACGATTCATGGCCGACAGTGGCAGCAGGCCGATTCCTACTGTGTACATTTTACTTGGTTTTCGTATCTGCTTTTCCACGGGGGTAGGATGATTGACCCAAGCAGAAAGCAGATCTGTGGCACTGGCGGCTGCTTCCCCCGGTTCCCGCGGCGACGCCCCTGGTGGTGATCTGAATCAGAGAGATGCAGCTGAGTGGCCGGCCGTTTGCTTTTTTTGCCGCAACGTGCGCTCGCTCGTTTCTCGTGTAGGCGACGGCACCAATGTGATTCGGCGAAGCCAAGGCGAGCTGGCGAGAGCGTAGTACGAGGCTACGAGAAAAGAGGGAGCAGGCGAAAAAAGGAAGCGTAGACGGGATGCACGGGTAGTGTGAGTTGGTGTAAGATGGACTGGTAGGAACAAGCAGGATTGCCTCATAGCGGGTTGCAAAGTACGCCACGCTATGGTTGAGCCGCGCAGACGGGTGTTTCGGCTACAAGAGGTGGAATAGCAGGGCTTTTGTCGATAGCAGCTGTTTTGTGGGAGAAGAAGAAGAAGAAGAAGAAAAAGAAGAAGAAAAAAAGGTGGTTGGAGATGGATGTATTAGATGAGTATGCATGTAAGTACATAGGTAGCAGAGGTGCTGCGGGGTGGTTGGGGAGGAGGTTGACCGAGGCAACCGAGGCAGATGAGATGGATGGTCCTTCAGCCATTTCTTGATGCATCTCCCTCCACTACGTAGATGGAGTACCTGTACAACTGGAGCGACCTGTCAGTAGGCCAGGACCGGGTCAATGCCAGTGATCCCCAGCCCCAACCAAGGGCATGGGTTGGTGCATACACAGGCGCAGATGGCATGGAGTCATGGCATGGGCGGCCTGGGCCACCGGTTGGCGCCTGCATGCGTCTTTTGCCCTGTTGGCGAAAGCCGGATTAGCCCAACGTTGGTGCTCAATTATCACTGCAGCAGCCATGCACATTGACTGACTGACTGACTGACTGAGTGCTTGCTTGACTGACTTACTGTCTGTCTGCTGTCGTGATATCCATCCAAATTATTGCGCCGCCTCCCGACTCTCCCCTCTTCTTCTTCTTCTTCTCGTCTTTTCTCCCTCTGCCCACGCCCGTTGCGCATACACACCCACATACCCACCCTTCCCTGCCCTGCCATGCCTGTCGCTGCCAGTGCACTTCCCACCCTCCTGCTCCCCTCAGACTGCTGATCGCCAACATTGTCCGGCCCGGGGGGACAAATGGATGGGTCACCATGCTACAATCCAAAACCTTAGGCTCTTCAGCCTTTGGCACTGACCCAACTCACAAAGACGCCCTTAGAAGGCCAAAGCATCCTGTCGACGCCCACCGACGCAAACCATCGCTGCGACGCGTCAAGGACTCCCAGGAACAGTTGCGCTCTTCTCGCGCCCGCGCCCAGAGCAACGCAACCATCGAGTCCTCCACCACGGCCACCACTGCAAACACCTCGGCTGGCGGTCGTTCCTTCACCGTCGCAAACATCAACAACGGCATCATCTACCTTAGGTACAGCTCCCCCCCCTCCTGCCCTGCTTGCATGTCCAAGTACACTGCATGATAATCTCTCTTTCTCGTCTATACCGCATTTCCGTCCGTCGTGTTATACCAGCCAAAGAGAAAAAGAACATACCCGCCAACCCCACTCACGTCCGACGTCTGCCTGCTGCTTCTGATTTTACCCGTCCGTCCTCGATGCGCTGTATGGTCCCCGCCGTCATCACGCGCTTGCTTGTCAGAGCTCTGTGGTCGCGACTGGGACCATAAACCTTCGCGCTTCTTTTGTTTTTGCCTTTGCATGTCCAACTTTTAACCTTTCCGCTGACCCTGCCACCTCCCTTTAGGCCTGTAGTGCGTCCTGCGAACCAGCGCAGCCGCCCGCTGCCAGACCCCGTCGCTTTCCCGCAGACACCACCAGACAGTGCTACCCGCGAGTCCGCCAACGACTCCTCGCTGCCCACCCCGAGCAATGAGTGGGAGCCGAGCCTCTATGGTCCTGCGACGACAATCCGACCCGACTCCACTCCTTCCCAGCCCGCCCGCTTGAAGAAAGATCATGACATCGTTCACAAACGTCCCACCCACTTCAACCCAACCGCAAGATCCTCGAATCATATCCGCTCCCAGTCCTTTTCCACTGTCGACGAACAAACCGTGGCCTCTCACAGCACCGAGCCTGGAACCTTCAAAGTCGTCATCGAGAGATCGCCCTTCAAACGTCCCAAAACCGCCGACACTGGCTCCTTCCCCGTTCTCGAGGTGCCCATCCCTCACTACCGCCTGGGCGAACCGAGATTCAGCTCGCGAGGAACCGCCATTCTGAGGAGCTCCGCCTACACGAGCACAGCAGCATCTGAAGATCTCAGACCCTCTGATTTCAGAGCCTCTCTGCTCACTCCCCACCACCCCGCTCACTCCCTCCCGTCTTCGCGTTCCGACGTATACTCACCCCTCGCCTTCAGCTTTCGGGACACCATGATCCTTCCCCGCCAGCAATCCAGCGAATCCACTTCTGCCCGGATATCCAAACTTCCCATAGGCCCACACATCTACGACGCCCTGACCGCCGACCCCAACGATTCTACCCTTGTGCGCTTCACATCGTCGGGTGATATCCTTGCTGCCACTCCTTCCCGGTTAGTGGCCCATATCACCTCCCCCAGTTTCCTGGACTACGAGTTGCTTTCGGATTTCTTCTTGACCTTTAGGGCTTTTCTCCCCATACGCGATCTCATTGCCTATCTCATTGCGCGTCTGAAGTGGGCTGTTTATCGTCAGGATGACTTTGGGCGAATTGTACGGGTTCGAACTTTTGTGGCCCTACGACACTGGATTCTCAATTATTTTGTCGACGACTTTGTACCCGCTTATGGACTGCGTCTCTATTTTTGTGAACTGGTGAACAGCCTCCATAACGACTTGCGGAATCGCGAAGATGGAGGTGGAGGAGATATTAAGATAATAGGCGAATTGAAAAAATGCTGGAGACGGACTTGCGCTTTGTACTGGGCCAGCGAAGGCGCTTTTAGCACCGATGCCGTGGACGAACCGCTTCTGCCCGGTGGAGAGGGGGAAGCGCCGAGTGTGGTAGATGAGCCGGTTCTCCACTCGATACCTGTAGCACCGTCTACTCCTCCCAGGCAAAATGGACGAGCTGCGAAGGTGGAAACCATAATGTCGAATCCCAGCGATCATTTTGCCGGCAAGCACATGGAATGGGCTCAGAAAGCTCGCCACACCCCTCAAAACTCGCTGAGTTCCCCTTATGTTCCCTCCCAGGAATACAGTAGCGGCGGCCAAGTGCCCCTTTCCCCCGCGAGCGAACGCAGTATGCAGGTTCTGTCATGCTCCATTCCAGTCCGCGGGTTGAACAAGGTGGATCCAGCTGGTGATATGCCACTTTACCCACATCCCGTACCGCATCCAGTACCGCACCCCGTCCCAGCAGGCCCTCCTCGTCTAGCCCACGTTTCGCAAAAGGGAGGCTCAAGCAAGCCCAACCGACCCCATGGGCACAAACGCAGTGGCAGCTTTTCTGATGCGTTGAGGGACAATAGAGCACCATTGTCCCTCCCCAAGAATGCGGGCATAGATGTTGCGGTTTCTGTCGTTTCGACAATACCTGGAAGTCTGATCCGTGGAGGTATTTTCCAGCCCAGCTCCCCTTACCTCGACGTAAAAAACGGCGGATTACGACACATGCGGTCTCATTTCGATTTGCCACCTGTAGAGGCATCGGGCGGTGAATTGACCATGAAAGGAGGGTATGCTACCAATCCTGGCATGAAGAAGCTATTCGGGAGCGTTCGCCGAGCGTTAAGCAGCAAACACCCTTCACTTTCAGCCCCACAATTATCCGGCATGGGTCCACATCTTCAAGGATCACCATCAACGCGTTCGTCCAGCCCAGGAAATATGCTGACCACGTCTGGAGGTTTGCATAAACGTCGACAAGCTCGGCCCAGACCTCAGGTCCGCATCGATCTTCTGGCTTCTCTGGTGTCGGAGAGCTTCAAAGATGCAGTCATAGAGCAGATGAGCAGGGAGGAAAAACAGAATTCAATTGGCAATACACCAGATCTGGGCGGATTCGAATTCGAATTCGAGAAACACGAATCAGGCAGTCTTGAGGAGCCGATACTCTCAGCCAAACAGGTTGATCCTCGGATCAACAGTGTCATCACTTCCGGGAGCAAGTCTATACTCATTGTCGATGATACCGGTGCTCCCCCGGTGCCCATGATGTCGGGTGCTTTGCTTAACCCAGAGAACGAAGGTACCGAACCAGTGAACAATCAGCCAGAGCAACGGGCCATTTCGATCAATGAACATATCCAGGGCGGGAACCCAACTGCAGTGCACTCATTGCACGCGGGCAGCGAGACCGACATGCGACGCCATGTCTTACGTACCTTGCATCAACCCTCCTTGAGTACTCAAAGAAGGTCAATGTCTGCTGGCCGCGAGCAGATGCACTCGTTCCGGCGTCGTGGTTCCACCAAAACTTCCATGTCACGCCCAGCATCCCTGCGAAGGCATTCGTCCTACAACAGTGGGCTAGGCAGAGCACATGTCCCCAGTGTAGCCACCTTCCAGACTATGTCATCTGATAATGATCCATTTTTCTTGGATCGAGAACCCAGTGATGATATTCCGCGGCCAACTCGCCAGCTTCGCCGTAGACCAGGCGGTGATCTCCGCGCTGTTGACAATGTACATGATTTGGAGCAACCTCAACGACCGCATTCAACTGGCACGGTTTCAAACCGGACTCATTCGATCGCCAATTCTATCATACTCCGCTCCGATCGTTATATAGAACCGTTCGAGAAAGCTGAAGTCCTACACACGAACCGTAATACAAGCCACAGTTTGGAGACAGAAAAAGAGGACAAGCAAAAAACGATTTCTTTGGTTGCAACGCATTCCTCTCAGCCAGACATGAGACGTTCCTTCGAGCTCGAAGTAGCCAAACTTGCCGCTTTGCCAGACGACGTAGACGATGATGGAGGCATAGAGTCGACGTTGCTCAAACTAGAGGGTAGATATGAGAAAAGATCACCTACATTACCGGGTAGCCCTATTGAAGCGCTACCAACGGTAGGCGCCAACCCCGAAGATCACCAGCCGGAAGGAGACCATACCAAACCTTCCAGTCCACCCTTTGTGGCATCTGAAGTTAACTCGCCTCAAACGCGAATTTATGCGAAAGGCGATGACGTCTTCCATAGACCGCTCGCCGCACCTGATGCTGAGGGTCAGGTTATGTACCGCTTATCAGGAGAGGCTTTCAATGGCAGACTTCCTGCTGTTCATTCGACTATAGGATCTGACGATTCTTACTCATCGATTCCTCTTCTTGATCGAGGTCTTTCGCCGCGGGCGGGGACAATGGAAACCATGCGTTCGTCTGCCAAACCTGCCCCTCTTCAGCCTATGGCCTCCAGTCACTCCAAACAACAAACAGCACAAAACGTATCTACCCACTCTTCAACTGAGTTGATTGTCGAAACCGAGAGTATGAGAAAAATACCCAAAGACGGCGTTTTGCCTGTACATGCAAACGAAGAAGACTTCAGTGACATGGGATCATCTCGAGGTACTAGATCTGATAATACGAGTCAGGGTGTACAAAGCTTCTACGGAGACGAGCCGGTGGTTGGCAGTAAAGAGCTCTTGCCATCCCATCCCATGCGCCATCCACCTACGCCTCCTCTCACAGCCAATCGACCAAAAGAGGCCCTGCCTGAAGTCGACACAACAGTTTTCAACCAGGGTTTGCCGACTCCTGGCCTCACCCCAACATCGCGTCTTCAAAACCAGCCCTTCGGGCAAGCGAACGTGCCAGCGGAACCCAGCATCGAGCTACATGAATTGAAGAAGGATAGTGCCGCTTCAACTACACACCTTCCTTTCGTTCTTGCGTACGACTCCGAAGTACTTGCCCAACAATTCACCATCGTTGAAAAGGATGCGCTCGACGAAATCGACTGGCGTGAATTGATTGAACTTCGATGGAAACAATCCTCGCCTGAAATCCGAGACTGGGTGCAGTACCTTCGCACATCGGAGGCTCGTGGAGTAGACGTGGTCATTGCCCGGTTCAACCTTGTCGTCAAGTGGGCAGTTTCGGAATGCATCCTCACTGAGAGCATGGAGGAGCGCGCAAGGTGCATTGTCAAATTCATTCACATCGCCGCGCATGCCCGACGCTTGCGCAACTATGCAACCATGTACCAATTGACCATTGCCCTCATGTCTAACGACATAGCGCGACTACGAAAAACATGGTCATTAGTTCCTGCTGCTGAGATGGAAACTATGCGCTATCTCGAAGCTCTTGTCCAACCACTACGCAATTTCCATATCTTGCGCCTGGAAATGGAAACCGCAGCTGTTGACGAAGGATGTATACCTTTCATTGGCATCTACACTCGGGATCTCATTTATAACGCACAAAAACCAGCTTTCGTTGAGGCACCGCCAGTCAATGGCGAACGGCTGGTGAACTTCGAGCGCCACCATAGCGCGGCGACCATAGTCAAGTCTCTTCTCCGCCTTCTCGAAGCCTCTTCCAAGTACGCTTTTAAGGTCGAGCCTCACATCATCAGCAAGTGTCTATGGCTTGCAGCACTCAGCGACGATGACATAACAAAAAGGAGTCGGAGCTTGGAGTAAACTGCTTCTCACTTCAATCTCCATGCACTTTCATCTATTGCCAGGCGTTTGTCACCATCACGGCATTTCTAGGTCCGGAGTTCCCCAGCGATCGTTTCTTTTCCTCATCTACTTCGCCCCATATATCGATTCTAGTACGCGCGTCATCATTAATAATACCCCGGGTGCAACACATCACCCTCTCACCGTTGCTTTTTCTTTGCCACATTTATCAGCGTAGTCAAGCGGCTCCTGTTCAGCGTGCTCAGCGACATTGCGTCTTACCAACTTTGAACGTTAACGACGTCCCACACATCGACTCGAATCTCCTTGCTCTTGCTTTCTCCATTTCCATGTATCCATGTCTTTTCTATTTACACCTACCTCGATTCCCCGGCTTCTCTTCTTAGTCGCCACCAAACTCCATATACTCCTTACACATTTACCCGCTATATATTATGCTTACATAGACCCCATGGCTCACGCTAGAAGGCGATCGTCTTTTGGATAATACGCTCCCTTGCTTTCTCTTTCCTTTTCAGTTTTTTATGCTCTTTCGAGATCTTGCCTGCGTCTACGCTCTTTGTCTTTTCTGTCATCTTTCTCGTATTTGCAGCGAATCATATATAACTATAGCGAGGTGTTTGGAAAACTGGATGCGTGTAATATTTGGTATGATGAAAGGGGGGCATACTCCTCATCTCAATGGCAATAGGTACTTAGGTAACCATTTGCTTCGTGGGAAGGGGTTGTGGGAGGACAATGCTTTACGTCTATTGATATGTAGTTATTCCGATGACCTGATTGTACACAGCAGAGGATGATTACCATCCATCTTCCACAATCTCGACTTCTCCTTTCTCCTATATTTGCTCTTTGACGTGTGCCCACGCTGTGGGAAAGACATCGCCACCATCGCCATTGCCACCATCTCTGTAGCCCCACGCGACACAATAATGCCGCAACAGCAAGTCCAACTCCTCGAGCTCATCCAGCATCTCCAATCCAGCTACTCTTTCCTTCTCGTCAGCCCCGACCCACTCTCGCCATATAAACTCCGTATCTACCGCCTTCGCCCCAGTCACGAAACCGTACTGCTTCAGCCGGGCCCGTTGATCGCCGAGCTCTGGATACGCAGTAAGCGTCGGAAGGTGGATATTGCGAGTAGCGAGATTGGAGATCATGGTGCGGCCAAAGGCGTCTTGAGGGAGAATCGGCTCGTAGAGGATCAGAGAAGCTGGCGTGGAGGGGGAGAGGTAATGCGTTGTGAAGGTTTTGATGATGGATGAGACGGTTGCAGGGTTTAGATATATTAAGCACATCTCGGAGAGAATCAGGGTCGGGAGTGAGGGGTCGAGGTTGGTGAGCTCAGGAGGTTGTTGAGATGATGGCGTTTCTGGAGAAGGAGTGGTGGTGGTGGCGAGGGACCGCAAGTCGAGAGCATGGAGGTTGTACGTCGGTGAATGGTAGGATTCTGACTGTGGAGAAGGTAGGGGATGCGTGGATAATGGTAATTTGTTGGATAGTTGTGCATGTCGTCTTATAGAGTTCAGTTTTGCGGCTGTGTTAGTGGGGAAGTCCACTTCGTGATATCGGATTGAGGTGGATGGATATGCGTCACAGAGACGGAAGTATCGCGTGTCGGTGCCTGCACCGAGAGAGATGATTTGCTTGGGAGAGGAAGGGTGGGTATTCAGGAAGCAATTGACGAGCTGATCGATTGCTGAAGTGCGTACATAGGTTCCTGGGCGTAATGACAAAAGAGTCAGTTGGAAGTAGTAGAGATGGTAAAGATAATCTATAATTTACAGTCTGAGAAGTAAGAATTGAGAGAACTGACCTCTGTTCAGAAGAGGTAGTCTTCTTGTGGAAGCCTGTGTAGCGAATAAACTCGCATACACATCATCCAGATACCCAAGCTCTACGCAGCTCACTCTGCTGCCGGCGGCATCTTGATCTGTTCCACGCACAGCACTGTCTTTAATTGTTTCACTGCCCTCCCGTGAAGCTCCCGGACCTCCTCTTCCAAATCCTCGACCTCTCGCTCTAGTGCTGCCTCCTCTCCGGCTCGCAAGAAGCGTCTTGATGTCCGGAATTTCTCTGGCAGCCATGTCGCGATGATGTCGGAGGAGAGCTATTACGCGGGGCTTATTCGCAGCGGGGCTCTCCGTCTAGGCCGCTTCCAGACCTAGCGTCAATCTGCATGCCAAGACCCATGGAGCTGCCTGCCCTTCACATTTTCTTTGTCGAACGACCAATCTCGACAACCCGCTCTCCGCCGCGGCCCTTTCTTCCCACAACGTACCAGAGAGTCTGCGCTCCTAGGTCCGCGTCTTGCTCGTATATACAAAATGGCGGACGACAGAGAAAGTTATTCGCCCAACCTCATTCGCATGTGGCGCGCCTTCCGCACATGCAAAGAGATGTGCAAAGATCGCGTGCGTTCACACGTTTGCTGGCGCATTGGGTGATGGCTAACAAGTAAAAACAGGGCTATGAGATGCTGGAAGAGGACTATCAAATCACCCTTGCCGAGTTCGCTGCCAAATGTGGGCGCGAGGACGGCGATGTAGAGTATGTCCACCTTGAAGCCTCAACCGCAACACCTCCTCTCACAAGGTTGAGACATACTGATCGCGCAATAACATTAGTCGCTCCCGTATGAACTTCTCCTGTGTTCCTTCTGAGGAAATGCTCCGCAAATACACGGCTCCCCCGACCGCGAAGAACCCCGACCCGCAACCCGAAATCGGCAAAATTTGGGTGGAATTCAACGGCGATGAGAATGTGGGATTGAAGCAACTTCGCGACTACATGCAGCATCTTGTCCAGGGCTCCTACTACAATGGCGTTATGGTCACCACGAAACCCATGACCGGTATGGCACTGCGACTCTTGCGCGGCGCTTCGGGCATCAAAGAGGGACCTATGGGCGGCGTGGAGGTCTTTGTCGAACAGGAGCTGCTGGTTAATATTACCAAGCATGAACTGGTACCCACGCATGTGCTGCTCAGCAAGGAGGAGAAGGAGCAGTTGTTGAAGCGCTACCGGTTGAAGGAGACGCAACTACCCAGAATCCAGGTCACAGATCCTGTAGCCAAATACTACGGCTTGAGAAGGGGGCAGGTTGTCAAGATCATCAGGCATTCCGAGACGGCTGGCAGGTACGCAAGTTACCGCTGGGCTATATGAGGCCCTGCGTAAGAGAGTCGTGGCCCTCAGTTATAGAGGTCGGAATTGGGGGCGGGTTTTGCATGAGGGAGTGAGAAGATTGGACGTGGTGGTGCATCATTTGCGTGGCGTTTGGCGAATTTGCGGCTTTTTCAAGGACTGGGACCGTCAGTAAGCTTGAGGAGCGCAGGAAAAACGGCGTCCTGATCTGGATTTATTGAGATCAGCTGTATGCTCACGGTGGAAAGGTTCCGTCTGTTTTAGATCAAACAAGTTCTGATAATCCTCAAAATATCCAATACTTCATCTGCTGGGATACAAACACGGAACCTATTATGTTGATACCCCATGAGATCCACAAAACTCTCAAATAATGTCCATCGGTTTAGGATGGAAGCTGAATTCCAGTGTATATCTGAATGAAAAATCAATCTCTAGACAGGATATCTCCATCAACACCACTACTAACGCCATCGTGAAAATGTGTTTACATGGTTGCACACTGCCCTCATCCTTTCATATCCATTACATATCCCGTGTGGTCATGTCCCCGTTCTTTTTCTCCCAAAATTCCAAAGTCAGCGCAGCCAGAAAGCAAGGAATCTCTTTGCGCCCCTCGACCCAATACACGATCTGATCTCTGATCTCGCCTGCAAAAACACTCTGCTCGCCGCCGCTGACCTTCATCGTTCCGTTCTCTCCATCAAACACGATGCTGTTTTCGCAGTCGTCGTCGGCGGGCTTGAACATGGACGTCACCTTGACCCGTCCGTTGGGCATGAAGTCGAGTTTCCAGCCCAAGACGGACGCCACGGCCTCGCGGAATTCGAGTGACTTGGCCTGCCAGATTTGCTTGAGCCGTTTGATCTTCTTTTCCTGGGACGCGAGTTGCGTCAAGGCTTCGGTAAGCTGGTCTTGCGTAGCAGTGAGCGCGGCCGAAGGAACAGCGGGAGACGGTGTCCGGCCCTGAAGTTGCGCGAGGAGCTGTGTATTAGCTTCTCGCAAAGTACGGACGGTGCTAAGTTTCAAGGCTTCGGCGTCGGCGGTGGGGTTGGCTTTGAGCTCGAGAACCCTTGTCCTGGACGATTCTTTGAGTTTCTTGAGTTGCGAATGTTGCGCTTTATACTCTGTTTCGATCATCTTGATGCGCTTTTGCATGGTGGAGTTGTCGTCTTCCAGCTTCCGGTTCTTGCGACGGAGCTCGCCCACTCGCTCGTCCGTTTCATCGGTGTCGAGAGAACGTTTTTGGCCCGCCGTGACCACAGGAGGACGTTCTATGCTGTTGAAATCTTTTTGTAATGTGTCTATTTCTTTGCGGTATTGGTCAACCAGGTCCTCGAGCTCTTTCACGCGATCCGTCTTTGCGGTGTCAAAGGTCTCAGGGTGCATTTCACGTTCCTCGTCATCAAAAGCTTTCATTTGGGCGCGGAGGAAGTCGAGCTCCTTTGCCAGCAGAACTTTTTGACGTTCGAGTCTGGTCCGCGCCTTAGCTTCGTTTGAGTCTGGTGCGCTGCTGCCTGCAGTTTTCAACTGTTGGATCTCGGCTTGCAGTTTGGCTTTTTCGTCTTCCAAGGCCTGGATATTGGATTCCTTTACGGTAAGTTCGGGTTGAATCTCTCCAAGACGGTTCATCAAATCTGTCTTATCGAAGCGTACTTGGATGAAAGCTCGTGCGAGATCTTCAGGGGTGTCGAACTGCGTGTCGCCTTCTACCTCGTTTTCCAAGTAGGAAGTCCAGGAGTTGCGCTCGTCCTCCAGAGCTTGTTTCCTCCGTTCTGCCTCGCTAAGCTGCCTCTGTAGTTCGTCTACCAGTCGAAGTTTGGTCTGCAATGATCGCTTCTCTTCCTCGACAACCTCGATCGCCTTGTGTTGTTTGCGGTATTGCTTTAGCTCGTTACTCTGCTCTCGGGTGAGGGTTTCCAGCTTTTTAATGTGCGTCACTTGCTCCGATAGCTCCTTCTTGATCACCGCTATAGTTTCTGCATCTCCAGTGATGGCCTTGAGCCGTAGAACTTCAGCCTCGAGCTCTCCCACTTCCGCCTCTTTTTGCGCCAGCTTCCTTTGAGCCATGTGCATAGCATTTATCTTCGCGTCTGTATCTGCCCTGATATCCTCGACCGATTCCTTTAATGCGCGGTGCTCCGTCTGCAAAGTATTGTAGCGATGCTCATTTTGCCTCTGTGTGGTCGCAAGCTCTTCCTTCAATTCATCAGCATCTTCCTGCAGCTGCTGGGCTTTGTCCTGTGATGTGCGCAACCGCTTTTGTAAATCCTGCCTTTCATTCTCATTGCGCGTCTGCGCCTCCGACATCTCCTTTCGGAGAGATTCATACTTTTTCGCTGTGAGCTCATTTGCAGACTCTGCCTGTTGCGCCTTCCTGTATTCCGCATCTGATCGGTACTGCAAGTCGCGAACCTCAGCATCGTGCTCGAGCTTCACTTTCTCCTGTTCTTGTTTCGCTGTTTCAAGCTCATAGCGAAGGGTATTGATCTGCGCGCGCAGGTCTTCATTTGCCGGGTCAGATGGTACAATGGTATGGGGCGCATTCTGCGACGTTCGAAACGTTGATTTGAAGGTTTGTCTTAGAGGTTCGCGCGACGGAGGAGGCAGCTCTGGTTCGCCTGAGAAGAGGTTGAACGTCGGTTGATTCCTCGCAGCCATTGTTTGGCGATGATTCTGGTCGGCGGTTGTTCTCACTAAGCCGATACGAGTTTGAGCGAGTGTATGGAAGGGAAGTAAGAATCGATTCAGACCATATTTCAGGCAATAATCTGGCGTAAAGCTGGGTTGAGTGCGGTGTCGAGTATGTTCGATAATAGGGTTGTTTTGAACTTGGTTGCTATAGCCCCGGACTAGGGCTAGCGCGGACAGTGCACTAGTGGCCGTGAGCTACACGCGAGCACGTGGTTCGCCTTTCACCCAGATCAGCCACTTAGAGCATGCTCACAGGTGTCTTCTTCTGTGGGTATTACCGTTATTTTCTCTTACAGCAACTAGAACTAGAATGCCATCTTTCGGTAAGTGAGCAATGCATCATCTCCAGATGCGGTCTCGAGGTGAGCAAAGACCGAGTTACGTGAGGTTTCTTATGAGAAGCAACTTTATCCATTTGTTTATGTTAACCGTACGACCTTACGTCGTGTCAGATCCCATCAATCGTCATGGCCTCGTACCGACGCAAGTAGCCGTACGATGTTCGTGCATAGGCCCATTCATGAGCACCAGGCGTATCCAGGAGATGGCTCGAGGACACCAGCTAATAACTTCAATCATAGCTTAGCCATAGCTGTTGCATCCCTAATTCCTGTGCACCTTGTCCTGCTTGCCACCCTTTGACTTTGTGTCGCTTTCTGATCCCTCGGCAGGCATGGCAGGCAAGACCCCAGTAGCGATCACATCGAGATCACTTGGGGCGCAGGTCGCTAGAGAAGAGTATGGGCCGGTATCTTCTTGCTTCTCTGTCATCTCGCCAGCCTTGTCCTCCACCCAAGCGACAGCCTCTGTGACCACCGTCTTTACTCCTTTCGCGACGTTCTCGATTGCTTGAAGCGCGGATGCCTCTGTGTGCGGCATAGCTGCCTGGTCGCTCTCCATAGCTTTCCCTTTTGAATGCTGCTCCGGTTGAGTCGACTCATGTGGCTGTGGAAGTGTAAGTGTACGGTCAACACCTTGTAGTGTATGACATACCGAGACGTTTGGATAGCCGTTATCCTGGTCCTCGTTGCTTGACTTCATTTTCTAGCCGTATCTTCGGATCGTGGTTTACAGAAGGTAAGGCAGACTCGATCAGGATGTGGCAGTACTGTCTAGCCAGTGGACGTTTTGTTTGTTGATGCCGCAGCTCCAAGGGCGGCAGGCGACGTCATTGTGTAAACAATTTCCGTTGTGCAACGAGGAAGGAACCCACCAGACAGGTAGCCTCGCGACATCCAATGTTACATGGTAGGCAAGCTCGACCGCTCTATATAAAAGTCTTGGTCTTGATCTGTTGAGCGTTGGCGAGTGAACTAATCGACACAAATTGACAAAGCTTCAGGCTTAAATAGGCAGGCGCCCTTCTCACCGAAGGGGGAACACAAGATACCTAGGTATATAGATCTACATGTGAGGTTGGAGGTCTCCATTCCTCCAGAAGACGCTTTCCAAAAAAAAAAAAAAAAAAAAAAAAAAAAAAAAAAAAAAAAAAGAGTAACATAGAATCATTAAGGTCCATGACCCTAAGATCAATAGCTCACATCTAAAGGCTGTTTCGTCTCAATTTTACCTCAGATATACACATTAAACATTTATCGGCTTTCAGATGACGGGGTCTTGACTTGAAAGTAAGCACTTGAAGGGCGTTTCACGCACTCAGTACTATGTAATCGTATGTGAAAGGCAACTAGCCTTCATAACCACAAGGTACGCAACCACATAGTATCATACTATTCACTCGCATCTTGGGAACTGCTGTCCTGTCTCTACTAAACGTATACTGCGCTTCAGATATCGATATTACTACGTCTGAGCGTGTCAATCCAATATTCGTATCGATCGAATATCTTTTGTGGTCGTCGTACTTTGCCGCGGGTCGTACATCGCAATCCAGCCAGTCTTATTAACCTATATCAAGTAGAATATTAATTTAATTTAATTTCATACCAGCCCAGTCCTAGAGCCCAAGGCTCTTACCCCACAAACGCATCCGAGCACATCTGGACGTCAGCACGCTTCTACCTGCACTGAAATCCTGTCGGCAGACTGTTCGGTTATGACACGGAATTACCGAATCCATCACTGTATGGTCTTAGCATATTATGTTCTGGAACCATGAGGTGACAAACAGAGGTAGCGTAGTATGGATGAGCAGGCTTGTGTAATATCTAGATATGAGGTCTGTGACCAGCAAGCCCTTGGACGACGTCTAACAATTTGGGCTTGAACACCACCCACCAATAATAGTGTGTGAACAAGAAGAGACTTAAGAAGACTATACATGATAGTTTAGGACATGGGTGGGGGCATCGTGACCGAGGCTCGCAGGAGGTTGATATATAAGGCTATCGTAGATGCAGCAGGACAGGAGCAGGCTCATTCCAAGTAGATCTGTTTTACCTCACCCCAGCCGATTCACTCAGTTATAGCCACAGTCATGAAGTCTTTCGCTGCTGTCACACTTCTCGTTGCCGCCCTCGCTGAGGTTGCACATGGTCACTGTATGCTCAACACTCTCCACTAAGTCCCTCCACACTAAACCTGATCACAGACATTTTCCAATATTTGACCGCCAATGTAAGAAATCCTTTATTACATGAACAGAAGAAAGACTTTCGCTAATCGTATGAGCAGGGCGTCAAAGGTGGACAGTACCAGAATGTGCGCAGAAACACTAACAACAACTCGCCCGTTACGGAACTCAGCTCCAACGACCTCCGCTGCAATGTCGGCGGCGGATCCGGCAGTTCCACCTCCACAGTCTCTGTCGCAGCAGGTTCTACGATCCAAATGACTGCCGATCAGAGTGGTAATTAGTATTACTCGCTATTTTTATTCATAACGCTTATAAAAGTAAAGTATATCACCAGGGCCCTGTGTCGTTCTACATGACCAAAGTAGACAACGCTGCTGCTGCTGATGGAAGCACGGATTGGTTCAAAATCAAGGAGATTGGCCCTACATTCAGTGGTGGCCAAGCAAAGTGGGACATGTCTCGTAAGTGTGCTCTCATTCTCAATCTATTTTATTCTAAGTACTTTGTCTTGAGGAGAGAATCAGCTAACAAAACGTTTTAGTGACCTACTCCGCGACTATCCCTTCTTGCATCGCGCCCGGAGAATACCTCCTTCGTATCGAACAGCTTGGAATCCACAACCCCGGATCCCCTCCTCAATTCTACATCTCCTGTGCGCAGCTCAAGGTCACTGGCGGAGGCTCCACAACTCTTTCTCCCACCACCAAGATCCCCGGACACGTGAAGAGTTCCGACCCAGGATACACGGCTAACATCTACAACCCCAGCTTCACGAGCTACACCGTCCCCGGACCCAAGGTGGCGACTTGCTAAATTGAGGTTTGCTTGACGGTCGCGTGAGACGGGCTGTCTCTTGTGGGCAGGAGAGCTTAATCATGACTGTGTATTAGCTATATCATGTTGCGATATGCTAATGAAATTGATACCAATATAATTGTATCTTCTCTGCGAATGATTATATCTCTTGCATACTCTAGAGTCCTGAAAATAGCGGCTCTGACATAAATATGCAACATCAAGTGTTTCTGATAGACCCGAGAACGTACTTCACATGGTGTATAGTGGAACTTCAGGAGTTGTTATACCACCATTAAAAACCGGCAACAATGCTGTTGGAATTGTAACCCAATCCATACGTCTAGGGATGCGTGTCTCTCTGTACAGCCATATCATTGCCATGAGAGTGAGTATCTACATCAGAACCACATTGACTTCGTGATGATCATCTGCGCGCGGTCTGACTTTTACATATGTACCTATATACTCACAGCCTGACGTTAGCCTATTTTGTTTTCACTGAATTTGAATAACCCCGTAGCGCACTTGAGAACCGCCATAGAACACATTTTTGTACGATTTAATAATGCCAATGGTATGTACCACATCTATCATATTCAATCGTGCAAATTTTTATGCCTCTTTCACTCCATTCGCTAGAGCTCTTGAACGTGTATTCTCCACTTCCCACTGAAACTCCTTCAGCGCTCTCAGTTCGCTCCCAACGAACAGACCACCCATCAGCCCATCTATAACACCAACACTCAAGCTCAGCGAGCTGAGTAACATCAAGATGAACGACACATAGTTATATGGTGACCACCAGACGCCAATGAGACAACCAATAGTGAAAAGAAGCTGGAACCCGAAGTGGCCAAGTCGTAAACGCCTTTGTATACGTTCTCGAGTGTCGTACTTCTTTATAGTAGCCAGTATCTCATCGTATGTCTCAATAGGGAGGTATCTATCTGGTGGAGCAGCAGTGCCAGTGTTCACATCTGATGTAGGTCCGTTAAGGTCGCGGACCAGTGTGGCTTCTACGGAGAAATGATCGCTAAGGGAGCAGTGCAAAGTAGGATGTCTCATCGTCATGCCCACATTTGTGTCTTTCAATGTCCATTCTGCGGTCCGCTCACCACTCGCCGCATCATAATGCTGGCCACTGCTGAAGAAGATGTAATCGAGCCGTTTGGCATTTGGGTCGTCTACTGTAGTCGCAATCTGCACGTTCTCACCCTTGGCAAGACGCTGGCTATGCGCCTTATTCCATCGCCAGGTGTTGAGCGCGCTGTCGCACGTGGCACCATTTTGGGTCAAATTGAACTCAGCGTTCGGCATCGGTACGCCTCGTAATTGCTCTACTTTGTCCTTTGCGGCACCCACAGACGAGCCAGGATAGAGAATGCGCCATACGTCCTGCACGGGCGAGTGAGTTTCGATGATACGGTGGGCGAGCGAAAGCGGAATCATATTGAAATCGCCCAGGCCGATGACGAGATGTCCGCGTTCGGCTGCGCCGCGCATGAGTTTGGTTATCTCCCATGCCTGAGCTGTCCGGTGGCAGATGTACGAGTCAAACGGTTCGGCTTCGTAAGGGGCGTGTAGCTATGACTGTAAGCTGTAGCTGCGAATCATCTTCCTAGTACCCAGCTTCATACATGTGTGCAAAAGACTTCGGCGATATCGCTCTTCTTCGGACCCATGCGTATCCTAGCATGTGCTACGCCTTTCCCCACGAACCAATCGCCACGGTAAAAGGCAGCGGGACGTCCATTGAGCGGGTATCGAACCATGTTGCTTTCTTCAATCGGCCATTTTGACAAAATAACGAGTCCACCACCGAAGATTCCACTGTAGTAGAATTTCCCGTACGGAAGCAGGTGTTTCGTTTTTTCTCTTATCGCCTCATAATCTTGCTTGGTCCAACATTCCTGGAGCCCGACGATCTCTGGGGGTGGTTTTGCTGCGGCGATTTGGTTTCCGATTTCCGTCAATCGCTCATTACGGAGCTTCGAGATGAATTTGAGGCCCCAGCAATTGAGAGATAGAATCCGGAGGTCTGACGGGGAAGTAATCTCCTGATTGGCCATGGGTGGAGAATATATTCGAAGTGGAATTAAAATGTATCCAGGGAACGGAGGATTAAGGTTGCGGGGGATAGGTACTGGCTAGCTAGCTCACCGCCCCACGCGTCGCCTTTATTTAGCGCGGCAGAATAGTTGTTTCCAGCGCGCGTCGCTCTGGCCTTTCATTGATAGCTCTCACATGCACACAACACACACAACAAATGGCTGATCGCATGGAGCTCCCCAAACGATCGCGTGAAGAGGATGAATTGGAGGAGGACTCGGTCGGTCCGCCGAGAAAGCGGTCCGCATCTCGCAGTCCAACCGGCGATGCCTCTCCAGCATATCGACTTGCGGAGCGGCCGCGGCGATACAGCAACGAAGATAGCCCACATGAACCTACATACTACAGAGACCGGGATAGATCGCGATCTAAATCTCGTTCGAGGGATCTCTCAGCCTCAAGATCAAGGTCCAAATCAACATCTGAACGTCGCTCCATATCTCCGCATCCCACTCCTCCCCCACCAAAGCCCACCGAGCTCCACTATCACCCTACCATGATCCTGCGGGGACACAAAAAAGCTGTTTCCGCAGTCAAGTTCTCTCCAGACGGGAAGTGGATAGCTAGCTGTTCCGCCGACTGTACTGTCAAGATCTGGGACGCACAAACAGGGCGACTAGAACACACGCTGGAAGGCCATCTCGCCGGAATTTCCACAATAGCATGGTCGCCCGATTCCAAAGTCCTCGCATCCGGCTCCGACGACAAATCCATTCGATTGTGGGATGTTGCCACGGGATTAGCTCATCCCACACCTTTCATCGGGCACCATAACTATGTCTACTCCATCGCCTTTTCGCCAAAAGGCAACATGCTCGTTAGCGGATCCTACGACGAGGCCGTATTTCTATGGGATGTGCGAGCTGCCCGCGTAATGCGCTCGTTACCCGCACACTCTGACCCTGTCGGGGGTGTCGACTTTGTCCGCGACGGCACACTGAGCGTAAGCTGCTCGCACGACGGCCTGATTCGAATATGGGACACTGCCACTGGACAGTGTCTCCGGACACTTGTTCATGAAGACAATGCTTCCGTTACTTCAGTCATCTTCTCGCCCAATGGGAAATATGTGTTGGCTTGGACCCTTGATTCTTGCATTCGGTTGTGGAATTACATCGAGGGGAAAGGGAAGTGCGTGAAGACGTACCAGGGTCATAATAATAAGACTCACAGTCTTGCGGGTGCATTTGGTACTTATGGCAGCGACCCGCCCCACGAGTACGCTTTTGTCGTATCAGGCAGTGAGAACGGGGATCTTGTGTTTTGGGACGTGAGTTCCAAGAATATATTGCAGCGGATTGAGGGTGGGCATTCAGACGTTGTCTTGGGTGTCGACACACATCCGACAGAGAAATTGGTAGTCAGCGGAGGATTAGATAAGGCAGTACGGGTCTGGAGGGATCATACAATGCCTCCAAAGCCTGCTACCGAGATCTCAACTGCGGAGGCGACGACAAATGGATACGATCCTCATGTTCTTCCTCCAAATCCCTTTGGAGACAGCTGATTCCACACAAATGAGATCCCTTCGTTGCGAAGGTATTGCCATTCAAGATTATGCACGTATCAATAGTACCATGTCACATTGCGGCAACACTGCGACATGTTCACACCATTTTCAACGCAGTATATGTACAGTAGCCACCTCTGCTTCGAAAGCAGATGAAAAGCCGACTATTGAATAAGAAATAATGACAGTTATGCTAATGTACAACAGATATGTTAATGTACAGAATATAATGGTTGATGTGAGAACACCACCCGTTTTGCTTCCCAGGAGAACGCCATTGTCTGCACCAACAATAACCGTACTTTTACAAAGTCTAGAGTATCCTCCATATTTCGAGAAATAAGCTTCCCCACTTCCGCTCTATTTTCTGCGCTTCATGACTTTCGTACACATTTCAATGAGACCATCTTTCGCGTCGCTATCGGGGAAGAAGGCTATTGATTGAATAGCCTTATCAACGTATTCCTGGGCGAGAGCGCGTGTTTGCTCGAGACCTGTGCTTGATGAAACGATCTCGCGAGCCTGTTGTACCGTTAGTTGTGTTAATTACAACAGGAACAGAAAGAGGAAGAGGATGGACTGGCGTACCTTTTGAACATCACCTTCCTCAGCGAATTTCCTCCCCACCAACTTTCCTAAAGCCTTGTTCTCTTTCCACGCAAAAAGCAATGGCGCAGTTGCAAGACCCAGTTCCAGATCAGCACCTGCGGGTTTTCCAAGCTCCTCCCCGCTTATTGTGTAATCCAGCATGTCGTCCACGAGCTGAAACGCAAGACCTAAGTTTTTCCCGTATTGATATGACGCTTCCACTACCTCAGGACTACTTCCTCCCAGTATCGCGGCAGCTCTGCAAGATTTCGAGATCAGCGAAGCAGATTTGAGATACGTCTTTTGTAAATAGTATGTCAAAGTATTTTCTGTCCAGACAGGATTACGCTCATCCGATGCGGTATTTTTGAGTTGCATGAATTCACCCTCCACTAGATTGGCAATGACTGTCGCGAGCAGTTCCGTAACCTCCGGATCTCGCAACCGAGCGAGCGCGACGGATGCGCGGCCCAGTAAGAAATCTCCAGCCAACACTGCCATCTTGTTGCCGAATTCGATATTAGCAGAGGGTGAAGAGCGGCGCGCTACAGAGTGATCTATCACATCATCATGAAGAAGAGATGCGGTATGGATCAATTCCGTAATTTCAGCTAATCGGCGTTGCGTTGGAAGGATGTCGGAATCTTCGCTTCGGTATGCACTGTCTTGGGCCAGTGAGGAAGCACGAGGATATGCAGCGGCATCGGGAGCAGATGGGTTGTCATCTACGAGTACGTTGGGGTCTGTGAGTGGAGCATTGATGCTGAAAGGGCTAATATCTCTGGCCGTCTTTGGGGTAAGTGCTGTGGCTCTGCTCATCAGAAGAACCAGCATTGGCCGCACGTATTTCCCTTCACTTTGCGTATAGTATTTTGAGACCGTGTCCAGCGTCGGGTGCCCTGAGCCAAGTAACTGTCTTATATTCTTGGTCAAAAACTTCATCTCTTTCGCTACTGTCCGGAAAGGATCGACCGATATGGGAGCATTTGGATCGGGTGCAGGTGCATTGAAGATCGTCTGTGCGGCGGAGACAGCAGCAGCCCATGATGACTGGCTACGCCGCCTTGAAGGGTGGTAGAGAGCTGTGTATCTTTGTATCGACGAGCTCGTGCTATTGTGCACGAGGCGAGCTGAGGTACATCGCGAGAAGCTCGTCGCGAGCCGTTTGGATTGACTCGACATGGAACCGAAACTCAGTAACTAGCGTTCCCTAGAGCAATTGAGGAGGTCTAGGGGATATGTGAAGAAAGACGAGGGCGTGGGTATGCGGGTTGACGAAAGTTTTGGAGCAGCGAGACTGTATCATGACGCTAGTGAGGCACGTGCCAAGACGGGGAGGGCGAGCGAACAACAGTGGATGACGAGCATGCAAATGTAGATCTTCAAGTGCACTCTGCTTTTCACGAAAATCACCATAGTCGCCATGGTTCTGCTCACCATGACCCCGCCTATCGTGCGGGCGCTACGAAGAATCGAAGAGGTTGTTCCGCTGGATTTCGCCAAATTACAGCTGCCTTCGGAGCCTACCCTCGCACATCCGCAACCCGGTCATCCCATATCGCACAGCCAGCTCATCGATCTCTCCAAATTACTCAAGAAACATGCTTTCGAAGTAAATACTGCAGAAGCTGGGAAAGGCGCAAATGCAGCCGTGCGGCAAGATTCAGTCGAGCCTCTGAGTCAAGCGCAAGTTGAAGAGACATCACAGAAAGAAGACGGAGAATCCCAAACGAAGGACATACCAACCACACTTGACGCTCTACTGCGTGGCTCTTCCGTGTACCAAGCTCCTCCATCGCCTAAGAAAGAACAATCTCCCGAATACAAAGCTCTAATGGCGCGTCTTCGTGCCGAAGAGGAAGCCCGCGAATACGAACGTATGCTAAATCCTTTTACACGCTCGTATAGCCATCTCCCCAAGTCGCAGACTTTTTCTCAAAGGTTCCCCAACGCGCCATACTCTCCGCCCAACTTCTCCGTCGGCACACAATCTACCAGCGAAGATGACGAGCTATCCTACGCCGATGTCCACCGTCAAGTTATTCTGATTATCAACGTATTGGTCTCTGTGGTTGCGTGTGCTATCTTTATATGGATGGCATCATGGCACTGGAGTGCGCCTAAGAGACTGGGCCTCAGTATGGGGGGCAGTGGTGCTGTTGCTATCGCAGAAGTGGTTGTGTATAATGGTTATGTCCGCAAAGTGGCTGAAGCCAAACGGCTTGAGAAGAAGAAGCCTGAAATTAAGGAGATCGTGCAAAGCTGGGTAATTGAAAGAAGTGATGGAACGTCCAAAGAAGTGCCAACTTATAACAAGACCGATGATGGTGTAAGGTACAGAAAAGGGAAGCATCGCTGAATGATAACCAACTATGAAATATCACTTCAAAGCCAGCAAATCAGAAAAATAATGATACCTAAAACACCTCGCCATGCAGCCACGAACTGTGAGAATCAATCAAGGGCTATTTCTTCCGTCTACCAGCAACTCCACCTGCCAGTCTCCCTAGATTGGTCAAGCTAGACCTGGCCCTGTGTCCAGCAGGCTGTTGCCCAGCTACCCCCGGTGGTGGTCGATTCATTCCACTAGGCGGTGGTGGGCCACGTCCAAGTCCTGCGCCCTTGGATGGTACATCTGGAGGACCCTTTTCTTGAACGGGACTTGGCCCCACATCCTCTCCCATACTGGCCATTCGTTGGTTTTTCCTGGCTTTCTCTTGGGTGGTTTTAAATTTATCCAATAAGTCGATCCACTTGACACCCCCATCCTCCCGGGCCTTTAATCGATTCGGACGCTCAAAGCTGGATACGGGGGCTCCCTGTTGTGCACTGGACGAACCGGTCTCTGAGCTCTTCTGTCTCAAGTGGTTAAAATTGGAGGTGGGAACGTACGTTCGAGGTGCAATATGCAAGTAGCCAATTGCGGAGACACTGTTGAGGCGATTCTTGAGCGCGGCAAAGGCTGATGATTGCGGGAGAAGCATGAGAAGACCATAGAGACATTTGTAGAGATGAGGATATCTTTCAGGTTCCAGAAGCTGCATGCGCAAATCTGTAATGTTTGTCAGTAGGAACCCGCAGATATTGTAGAGAGATCATACATGTGAAGACAGGAGATTCAAGGAGCTGAACCAACTTATCGATTTGAATGAGCATGTTGACCGTCATCTCGAGGTCCGCACTGTTCTGATTAGCAATTGCCGCAACACATAAGATAAGCACAAAACATACAAGATCTGAAGTAAGTGATATGCTTGCTCGTATGCTTGAGCTAAGAGACAAAGGGAGAAGGTAGCTACGGCATTGTGACACCATGATTTGAATAATGATACGAAGAATGACTGTCCGTCTTTGGAATCGAGGTTTCTTAGCCTTCTTCTAAGGTCGGCCAACTCCGGTGCCGTGATGAGGTTGTTGTTCAGGTTTTGAACCATGATGCTTGCGAATTCGACATCCTGTAGCAGTCAGATATTGGTATAGCTTAAGCACACTGAGAGTCTGTACTTCATCTTTTTCAAGACAATCAGCCATTGTCCTGTATATACGCTCGGCACTCAATGTAACACAAAGCTGGCGGATAATAAGGTTGCCTCTTGTCTCCAAGAGTCGCCGATCAGTGCAGAAAAGCTTTAACAGGTTGACCATGAACGAAGTGAAGTAAGAATCGTCACTGTTCTTCGAGATCTGAGAGAGAAGTAATAAATCGCGTGTAACCACTGCCTCAGATGGGTCGGACAAGGTCTTAAGAAGTGCAGGAAATGTGCCATCTTCCACCGAAAGGATCTGAATATGTAAGGTTAATAGTTTTCATTGTGATCAGGAGATTGAAATTTTACCTTGCCAGGCGCAATCCGATGAAGCATTATCAACCAAGCTATGGCTGCAACCCGAGTCGCTTCGTGTTCATTTAAGAATTGAAGTGTGAGGGCATTGACTGCCGCCTGGTAGTCGAGTTCCGGAATCGGGCGTGGTGAAGAGCCACGCTCTTCCGCTGGGGTAGGTGTCCTAGTACCTATGGAATGTGATTCTGTGCGGTCTTGAATCACAGTTTTGAGTAATCGACTGGACAGGTTAGATTCTCGTCGCTCAATTCCAGTCAGTTCTTTGCCCAGAGCTGAAAGAGAATTTGGCAACTGCGTAGAGATGCCGACTGGAGCATCTGAACGACGGTTCTCATCAGACAGTGACATGATGTAATCCATGGTAGAAGCGTTGACTTTGTTTGCTGCTTGGCGAACAGAGTCTAGGTCATGCGACATCCTTGGAAGAACATAGGTCAAAAGGCTGGGGACAAAGGGCATGATATCTTCCGGGCATATCTCGAAGAAGCTGTCTATCCACCGCAATGTCGTAAGCAAGATCTCGTGGTTTTCTTCTTCTATACTTTGTTAGTTTGTGATGACGCTTGAAAGCGGCCAGTATACCTTTATCACCATACGGAGCACCCAGAAAGCTGACCAATATCTCCAAGATTTTAGAATGATCAACTTCCACGTCTTGACCAGGAACCCAATCTCCGTCACCACTAGCTGACTTCTCGTCGTCAACAGCTGCCGACCCACTAGCCAAACTTTCGTCGTCCTTCTCGTCCGTTGATTGTCGCCGCCCTTGAGCAATGCTACTGCCGTCGACGTCGCTCTCATCATCTGCCCTGCTCTGGAGGCTGGAAGTAGATTGCTTGAACTGTTCCTCGCCCTGACTCTTCTTGCTATCAGCGATGCCACGCTTGATACGGGCAATTTTCCTTATCTCGCTGATAAAACGGTCCAACGCAACCTGTGTAGCGGTATGCACGTCCTGGTTATGATCACTAAGAAACTTGAAGAGACCACCCAAGAATCGAGGGAGGTAGGCCACAAGTTCGAGATCGGGAATAGAGTCAAGTAGAGTTATCCACGCCACGAGGAAAGTCCGAGTGTAAGGGCTTATGACATTGATGCGTTCTTCGAGAAGAGGTAAGAAGCGTTCTAGCGAAAAGGCAGTCGGGTGGTCCTCCACCGGGCTATCTTCAACGTCGGGGGCGTTATCTCCCTTCATCTCCGGGGAATGAAGAAGAGATACATAAGATGCTGCGGATTCAGCTACGATGTCTTTGATCAGGCGGTCCAACAGCTCTGCTCCGTTTTTGACAGAGAGCTCCGAATCAGCAGCAAGCTACAGGAAGGTGGTCAGCTTGGATTCAGGTGCCTCCAGGCACAACCATGTAGGGCCACAGTACCTTGCAGAGGGCATCGAAGACCTGATTGAAGTACAGGAGTATTTCGCCTTTTGCGACTTTGGCAATGTTATACATGCTTTCGCAAGCGTAGTATCGGACACGGGCATCTTGGTCGGAGAAACAAGCAAGTACGGGAGGGACGATTTCTTCGAGATAGCGGGCGACTTCCTGTGTCAGCCATTATTAGCATACGACGCAATACGTTCGAATGGCAACAGCTTGGAAGTGTCAATCATACCGGGCCTAAAGCTATTGAAGCCGCGGCGAGGCCAATAAGGCCACCGTTTCTTGCATGAGGTTGATGGACGGCATAGGCGTATTCATGGCACAGCTGGTGTACAATCTTCTGAATGCGATCAAAGTCCCGGACGGCCAGCGACTCGCGGATCAGACCTTCGAGCTCGAGAGCACCGCTTTTGCGCTTATCGTAGAGTCTATCATTCAAAGCCTTGGTGATGTTGGCGTCCATGTTGAAGTCTGCGGAGGTCCTCTCTCATGGCGGAGCGAGAGGAGGTATGTTATTGCGTGGGAGCAGGCCGCAGTGCCATTCACGGGGAGCGGGGGTTCGAGGGAATAAAATAGGGCGGTGGTTGTGAGCGTGAACAGCCCTGGAAGACGGTGCGGGAGGTCCTGGCGGTCCTCGGCGGTCGTGGTCGTCGAAAGCCTTTTGGTCTGAAGTCTCGGAATTGGACTGGGTGAGTGGAGGCTGACGCGGGTTTGAGAGCTCAAGACAGACCTGCACGTCATTGCACATGGGGCAGGCGGTCCCCTGCCCACCACCAGCCAGCAACGCGACACTCTTGGAATAAACACGCACCATGATTATTATAATTATTTTATTGTTATGATGATTATAACTAGGGGGCGTATCCCGCTTCCAGCCTGATATCTTCGCGTGTTCCACTTTTCGGGTCTATTTCCGTCTGCTCTTGGTCCGAATCGATGGAGGCTGCTGCGATAGACACCTAGTGAAGTACCTATGTACCTACTTGATGACGCTGTGCGCCTACCAAAACCACAACTACCTACCTACACCTCCACCTAATCCAAACACGCCTTGCTCTCTCTCCAGCCACACCCCCAGCATGTGGGCCATGCGCGCAGTGCGCTTGACCTCCAAAACCTGACTGCTCCTCCTCTCAGCCCTTCCTGCTCCTCGACTTCTCAACTTGAGCCTGTTCGCTCGAGTGTGTCGAGGCGCTTGGGCACACGATGGAAAAGCTCCAAGATGCAACTGCGCCGACTTCTCAACTAGCTGGTCAGCCTGACACCGACAACATGAAGCCCGCGCTTAACACACCGCTATCAGGCTTCCAGCACTGGGCAGTCGCCTTGTATGTTATTGCCTCATATGCCACCTCTATTACTCAAGCATGCATTGTACACGGCGTACATGCGCATGTCTCAATGTACTCCATGAATGCCCATGCTAACATGTGATAGCATTGTTTGTAACTTCAACGTGGATGTGGGTAGGTAGATTGCGGGTGCACTCCCGTGTCTTCAAATTCATTTAGTTGATCATCGTATTACAGGTCCGGAAATAGAGATCATATACCCTCCCGATACTCCATTCGCACAGGGTGACCTCAGCGCCATCTGCTTCAACAGCTTTCCGGAGCAGCAAAATACGGAGACCCAGGACGACCTCACTTTCAGCTTTTCCATCGCCAACAACTCACCCGACGTCAGACTGAGTTCGCCTCGAGCTCCCCATGCGAGCCCAGACACCTTTTATGGCTCTTGTGTCTTTCGTCAGGAGTATGATGGTTCCATGAAGAGAAGTTTCAACCAGCGTACTTTGGTTCTCATCACCCATCATAATTTTCCGTCATTCTACCACCGATTACTGCACCAAATGGCGTCTGGACAACACATCAGTGATCCAACAACGCTCGAAGCAGCCCACTCACAGATGGCAACGTGGCCGGCACCCGCCCTTGGTCGGCAAGATCTTCCGTTCATAGGCTCCATGCTCACTTTGGATATTGCTCCACACTCGGCCTTCCCGCTCCAAGGCTTATCTGGGCCTATACCATTGATTCACGAGAAAATCAACCAGATCCAAGCTTACCAACCCCTCGGCTCTTGGGATAGAATAATGCACTTTATGCCCTGTATATCCGACCTCTATATTCTCTTCGAAAAGCTGGTACTCTGTGAGAGCATCATAGTGATCGCTGAGTCGCCCCAATTAGCCACTGAAGCTGTGTCGTCATTGGTTGACCTCGCTCGCCCAATACCCTACGCTGGTATAGTGAAGCCATATGCAACGATGCAGGCAGACTTTCGCTGCGTGGGTGTCGATGGGGGCATCCCGAATCCTTTTATAATAGGCATCACGAACCCGTTCTTGTTAAAACGCATCGTGGGTGCAGTCGAGGCTACACAACGAACGCGACCTTACATTCTATACCTTCAGAATTTTGATGGGCCGGTGCCGGCAAAGCGTCATCATTCCCTCCATCACAAGTCTAGCCGGAATGTCCTTCTGAACCTCCCCGGCGGCGGCATCGAGGCGCGTATGCCTTCTAAACGCTTCCTTAAATCCGATCACGATATTATCTCTCACATTGAAACACTTCTCAAATCTGGGGATCAGACTCACGACATCGATCCCTTGGTTCGTCGTCACTTTGCTGAGCTCACAGCTCAGTTCCTCGCACCCATCAACCGGTATCTTGCAGCGACGAATGTTATGTCCCCTGGTGGTGGCCAACGATACGCAAGCTTTTCTTCGTCGGAATTTATGCAGAATCTGGTGAAACACGGTACAAGTTTGAAGATTCGAGGGCAAAGCCCCATCCATAAGCATCGTCACAGAGATGGGTTTTATGAGAGTTTTTGCCAGTCGTCGAACTTTTACTCATGGCTTGACATGAAGCTATCGTTGGAGAAGGAGGCCAGCGCTGGTATGCTGGGCGCGACTAGTTGAGTGCACGTCGTTATGATCTTAACTCTTTCTCCTGTGCTGTTCGAGCCACGAAAAAGGTGACGCGCATTTTGTATGATATGGTAGCAAAGTCTAAGTCATTGTAAATTATCTGGATTTGCAGAATGAATAACGATTCAAACAGGAATCATGGGTAGTACTCCTATGTTGGCTGGTCAAGTACCCCACGTCGAGTTGAATTCAAAGACTACCTAGGTAGATAGAGATTACATTGGATACACCATACAGAAATGTATATGAATTCATAGCTAATGGAATACACCTGACGTTGATGGCAAGTCTTATTCTTTAAGGCCCGAGACAAAATTTCCCAACATGATTAGCGAGTAGGATCGACCCATTCATAATTACGCTTTCTGTTACCTGAAGTTAAGTGGTGAGACTGGACTGTGCCCTTAACGCCAAGACTTTGCTACCACCAGACATCATCCTTATCCATCGTTCACAGACGCGTGCAGGTAGCCTCCCCGAACTTCCGTGTTCATTATCATCATACCACACCCTCAAAGCCCCCGTATCTATCGTCTCCGTTCCATCGCATTCAAGCTATATTCCGCACAGCTGATCCTCGACTTCGTTGAGAAGAGGTTGTTGGGGCCTCGAGCTCACTTCCGCAACAATGAGCAACCCACAAGCACCGCGAGCCCCGGCTCCGCAACAACCAAACGCGCCCCTTATAAAACCTGAAGATGTACCGAAATTGCAGTGTCTCAGCGATGACATGAAGCAGAAGTATCGACCTGTTGTTCAGAACTTGTGGCAAATGATGCAGCAACACCAAGCTGGCAGCGAGGAGCACAACTCAAGTCGCAAGAAGCTCCAGGAGTGGTCGTCCAAGCTCATTAATCAGGAGCGAAACCATCGAAACAGGATAAAAGCGGCTCAGCAGCAGCAGCAGCAGAGTCAAGGCCAGTCCAGTCAATCGGATCCACAGACTACCAAACCTGCGAATGCTGAGCAGTCGCAACAGCAGCAACCTCCCAGGCCGCAGACACAACAACAACAACAACAACAACAACAACAACAACAACAACAACAACAACAACAACAACAACAACCTGCCAACCCTGCCCAAGGTGCGCGCCCTCCGCAGGCTAATCAGCAACAGCCCGTGATCGAGCCTGAGATTCTCAGACATGTCCAGACCTTCCAATTCAATCTGCCAGTAGATGGCCCCCAGATGGGTACACCAGCAGGCGATGCGAAGATCAAGCAGGACCGGAATAGCTACGCCATGGCTTTGAATAAGAACCACAAGCTATCTCAGCGTATCAAAATGATGTCCTCTTTGGTCACACAGAAAGAACAAGCCGGTCAAGAAATTCCCCCTGAGTTGGCTACTTCAAAACAGCAATTAGAGAAGGAGTACAATGCTACCAAGGAGTTTATAGAAACTTTCAGGAAGAGACAAGCTGAGAACAAGCAAGCGCAAGACCAGCGACGCGCACAGCAAACCCAAGGACAGCAAGCTCGGCAGCCATCCCAGCCAAATATCAAGGAGGAACCTCAGATCAAGGTTGAAGGTGGACAAGCGCCACAAAACCCTTCTGCACAGCAGGCACAGCAGGCACAGCAGTTCGTGCCCATGCAAACGCAGCCTCCACAGCAGCAGCAGCCGAACGCGCAGGCCCAAATGCCAATCCAGCAACAGCCACCCCAACCGCTACAACCGCAGGCTCAACCCCAACAGGCTCAACCTCAACCGATGCGACAACCGCCAATGCCTCACCTACAGCAAAATCAACCTCAGCCACAATTTGCCCAGCCCGGTCCACCGCAGCGACCACCCATCAACCCGCACCAGGCGAATTCCATGCCACAAGTGCACCAACAGAATAATTCACCCCACCCGCAATCCGCAAATTCCAACACCGGCGGCCCTCCAGCACCCCTCTCTCACCAAGCTGCAGTGAGTGCAGCGCAGCGTTCGTACTCCAACCAAGAAGCGCAACGGACTACGACACCTATGCAAGCTGCCGGCAACTTTCACAACCCAGGAAGCCGTGAGCGCGAACAAATGAACAATCCAAAAATGCCTATTCCGCGCACACTCCAGACTGCACCGCCAACCCCAGTAGGGATGGGACAAGCGCGTCCCACTATGAGCGGGCCCACCAATGGTGCACCTGGACCTATGGGTCAGCCCGTAATCTCCAAGTTTCCCCCGTTCCAGCTTGAAGGCGAGAACGATCGCGTCTTGAGTAAGCGCAAGCTTGATGAGCTCGTCCGACAAGTCACTGGCGGCTCCGAAGATGCTCTGACGCCCGAAGTGGAAGAGGTAAGTAGTTATCCTTTATTTTACTTACTCGCAGCTTGTCATTGACTGTCTCACAGGCCGTCCTTCAGCTTGCTGATGACTTTGTTGACACTGTTATCGGCAATGCCTGCAAGTTGTCCAAGCTCCGCGAATCCTCGCAACTTGACGTTCGTGACATTCAGCTCGTCATCGAGCGTAACTACAACATCCGCATTCCCGGTTACTCTTCGGACGAGGTGCGCACCGTACGCAGGCTTGTACCAGCGCCGGGGTGGACACAGAAGATGAACGCAGTCCAGGCTGCCAAGGTAATGGGTGGAAAAAATGATATTTGAATTGGCTGCTTGCCTGGACTTTGTTTGTGGGATCTGGAATTAGTCACACGAAGGGAATGGGTTCAACTGAAGGGCAGATTGACCATTGCTTCCCGAGTTCCTTTTCATTCTATTATGTGCCTTCATGGGCAAGTATTGGGCCAGGCATGTACTTCTGGCGCGAATGGTTCTGGAATTATCATATCTTATGGCTGCCTCGGGTCACGGCAGAAACTTTGTTAGTTCGTTATTTCTCAAACTACATCCACTCCCATCTGCGGGAAGGAGAAAAATCCACGTAGGATTTACCACATGCGCTGGATATCAATCAATCAGTCAATAATCATAAAATTGGAGTTTGAGTTTAGGTGTCCCTACATAGCGCAATATCTACAGCAATACAATATCAGAAAGCAGGCAATTATCAATAGAAAAATCCCGGATGTCGTCTTTACGCAAGATTTCATGACGCAGTAGTAAGAAAAAAGTAAATATTAGATTGAATGGTTGCCGTTGCCGGTATTGCGGGTCATGATGGGGAGGGCGGAAAGATTGCACATTCATCACAAAGCTCAACTCCCATCCCATCCGTGGGACCATTTCAATAATTCACCTACATAAGAACATTTGAATTATCACAACCCACTGTCACACATTGCCGACAGTGTCACCCTTCACAGAAACCAACACGTGGTAATCACTTATGGAAAATGACTGGAACTGTTTATTGACTCGGTCTGCGGCAACTGGTGTGGATGAGACGTGAAGTGGTCCATCGTGACGCGGCATAGCCAGACGTCGATAAAAAGTTCAAAAAATCCAAGGCAGAATAATAGAATCAATCACGACAGAAATACATGTTTCGAAAACGAGGCTAAGATACATTCCCCGTGCAATCACGATTGCTTCTACACTCATATGTGAACCATCATATATCCATCGATCACCATGCCCCGAATGAACGCTAACGACGACCCGCATGTCCGTACCATTCGATCGTATACTGACCCCCTGCTACGATGATAGGCTAACCATCTCCCCGAAACCTGACACGACCTCGCCCCACCCTTCGACATTCTTCCCCCACACCTCAGAAAAAGATGAGAGAGATCTTCATCTCTGGTCTGTCTCGCCGCGATGTAGGGTATATAATAGATGTAAGAGAACGAATTTTCATCTGTCAAAGACAGCCACCAAGCTTCACAGCTTGATGCAGGTTCATCCTCCGTGGCGCAATTGGCTAGCGCGTCTGACTGTTAATCAGGAGGTTCGTGGTTCGAGCCCACGCGGGGGAGTCCTTCTTTTTTTGCCGATGATGATGCCTGAGCGATGGACGCTTCTGCTGCTGTTCCGCGCTGCTTCGCGAGATGGTGAAGCATTTTGGTGCGGCATTACGTATAATTTTTCTTTTGTTGATCAATCTAGGGATCGACTGCTCACTATCCGAATATCATCAGTCAGTGTGGTGCTCCAGGTAACTTCAGATCAGCGTCGTATTAAGTGCATTGGTAGGTTTCCTGTTTTCTGGATGCCCTATGGGTACTTAAGCATGTTACCAAAATCATTATGACTGTCGAGAAGAGCTTATCGTCATTGAGCTGCTAGATGGGAGAGAGTGACACAGCGCGTCTCCGTTATAGTGTCAACACACCGATAAAATGCGATATGGGTTATTGGGCAACAGGTCGGCGGGCCATCGCAGAATAGATGTACATTTTGCACTTGGGCAGACCGATACTCATCCGTGAGGTCAATTACCATTGATCTACAAGGTGAATAAGTGATCGCGGGTATCTTCGACATGTGTATCAAAGCCATGCAGTCTTTGAATTGATATGTGGTGAGTTGCATGTATTTGAGTTTGGAGCATGCGTGACATGCGTTATAGCAATGAGTCGCGGAGCGTGGAGATTTATGTTGTATCTCCGGAACAATCGCCAATCTGCTCTTCACAGAATCACAATCATATAACCACATAAGACGTGCACGCTCGAATTTACGAAGCATGAGTAGAGAAGGGTACTTTTTGGGGGAATTTACTCCGCATCGTGGTTGAGGACGACAATGCCATACGGATCTCGGTCGACCTCGCTCACGAGAACATCAAATGTATCATCGCCGTAATGTTCTTCCTGATCGCTCGCCTCATCTTTCTTAATTTTGGTCCATTCATCGACCACCGCCTCCTCCAACTGCTCCGCCAGCACCTCACTCAAGAACCCCCGCTCGGAGTTGCTGTGGAACAGGCTGATAACCACTTGTCCCTTTTCTATGGCAGCGAGTGCTTCATGATGGCTCATCTCGCCCGTGAAGATCAGATCCACATCGAGACTCGACAACAGAGAGCCACCCGACCCTGCGCAAATACCCACCGAACGTATGTGTAGGTCGCCAATGGTCGCATTTTGAGGGATCGCTATAGGGAAGCCCTTGGGATTGTTGAGACCACTACCAATAAGATCGAGCAAAGCCGGCAACGGCTGCGGTTCCGCAAATGTAACAATTCGTCCCATGCCTGCGCCGGGGTGAGATTCGAGCTCGGGTGACTGTGGCACGACAGGGCGGCGGGTATGCTTTAGGCCTGTTTGGCTGGGTGACAATTGCTTGAGCGAGCGCAGGTTGGTCTGGCTGGGGTGATGGTTTAGAGTAAACATTGGCGGTCTGAGACCTGAAGCATCTTTGTCCACAAAAGGATCATCACCCTCTGATGCTTTTCCAGATTGTTCTTCCGCCTTTGCATTGTCAGGGTTGTAGCTCGTTTTTGTGCCGGTTATGATATCCGCCAACCAGTCGCCGAGTCCCCCAGGGGCAGCATCCACAGCTGTGTGTGGACTATATACACTGATTCCGTGGCTTGCTAACCGTAGCAGTGTCTGTTGTTGGGAATTTGCGAGAGTAAGGGACTTGAGTCCTCGGAAGATGATGGGATGATATGCGATGATGATGGAAGAGTTTAATGCAATCGCTTCGTCGGCAACAGCTTTAGTCAGGTCGATCGTGAGGAGAACATTGTTGGACTGCGGGCGATTCGGTACGAATGGTGCTTCGAGGAGAAGCCCGGTGTTGTCCCAAGAATTATCTGCCAGCGTTGGAGGATACAGCTTCTTCATCGCATTCACGACAGCTCTCGAAAATGGTGCGCATGTTGTCGTGGCGTTCATGGCTACAAAGCGTCTAATTGTCGGAGAAAACATACAAAAACAAGAGAAGTAGAGGCGAGATGTCAATGGCTGAGTTGTCCAAGCATCTCTTGCGGAAGCTTTCCATGCAGCTCGGACCTCCACCCTGCTGCCGCACGCCCAAGCTCGTTTGCTAGCCCCGCACGTCATTGCGGTCCCTCCATCTTATCTGATCCACCGATAGCTACCACAAGAAAAAGCATCTATCATAACTACTACCCGTTGTGCTATTACCTTCGTGAAAGACTTAACCAACTTCTTGACAGCCTCGCCATCAAACACGACTGCAAAATGAGTGGGTCTAACGATGTGGACGTTGGCCAGTCCGCAGCTTCTAGCGGAGTCACGCCTGATGCCATCAAGGCGAAATTGGAGGAAAAACTAGGTGCCACTCATGTACAAATCGACGATCTGAGCGGTATGTCACACATTTGCATTCTACGCGCCAGTAAATTGGGGATATATCGCTGTCTAATAAGTCCTAAACTTGGATGTAATGGTTAACACGATACATATAGGCGGATGTGGGCAAATGTACGAGGCCATCATTGTATCACCTCAGTTTGCAAAGAAAACGACCCTTGCGAGGCATCGACTGGTGAACACCTCCCTCAAGGATGAAATCGCGGCGATACATGCTTGGACCCCAAAATGTCACACGCCTGAAGAATGGGAGAAGAAGAAGCCGCAATAGAGAGTGTCAAGGACATGATGAACACGAGGTGTCTTAATTCCAGCAGAGAGGACAATCCCAAATCCATGGCCAATATGAACAAATTCATATACCCAATTTTTTCTGAGGTGTTGACTGTTGGACTTCAAAACGTTTGTCCGGATGTGTATCATGACGCCAATCACTACACCATCGAGCTAAAGAGGGTGGGGATGGATATGGAAAGATTATGCCCGCAATAAATGGTTATATTGCACTTCTGGCTGGCAGCGTATTGGCTTCCTCTTGTATCGAATTTCTTTCTCCTTTGAGAAACGGGACGGAGTTGTTTCGGAAGCTCAACAGGATTACCGCAATTTGAGACCAGTTGAGAATATATGTACATATACACACATATATATATGTACACGTATGTCGATGATGACCAATTAAATCTATCCAGTGACTCTCGGCCGAGAAATGAACCCTTTTCCCTTGAAGTCTCTGCTTAATGTGCGATGGCTCTATCCAACAGGGTTTTAGAAGTCGTTCGAAGTCTTCACCGATCAAGGACGGACTATGCTGATCAACAAGAAACCTACAATACCATGTCGTCGACGAAACCGAGGAGAGAGAGAGAGAGAGAGAGAGAGAGAGAGAGTCAACAGATAAACGCGACTCACCAATTCCGAGAACTGTGAAATCAGACACCATTCTCTAATAAGGATGCTCGTTCTCTAGTAGCGAACGGCCGACCTCAGAAAATGGATCGGACGGCTCGTATGATATGGTATAGTGTGTGAGTAGAAGTTTCAAAGCGTGAGCGCAGCTTGTTAGTTCATCCAGAAGTAAAGCAGTAGATCACGTTCAGTTAAGAAATTCTGGCCTCCCTGAATGACTGGTGTTTTCTGGTGGGACATGTGTTCTACACACGCCTCGATTCACTCCCTACATACCTATGTGCGTTCAAATTGTAGTATATGCGGTAAGTCACACCGTTAGACGATCTCTTGAGTAAAGCAGGGCCACTTCAGAATAACGATTAATCTCTATCGCCACAACCAGGATATTTCTAAATCAATCAAAAGTAAGCGGTGTCTATTTAGAGATTGATATGTCCCACTCAAGACACCACATGTGATTATAGCCAACCAAGGGTTGCATCGACGCAGTGTTTGTTTACCACCAAGCCATCATCACACCGTATAGCAACACAGATCACGCAGCCATCACCACCAGCCACTCACCGTTTACATGCCCTTGTCTAACGACAGCACGAATAGCATCCAGAGCTCATTCATCCAACCACAAAACCCTGTGCGCCTCTCAATCTAGACTCTAGCTTTCAATAGTACGCACCCCACACCCTTTTGTGAATTAGATATCTCTTCGAATCAAGGGCTTGGCCCATATTCACCGGAAGCAAGGAGAGCTGAAGAAAATTATGAAATCGAGTACGCAATGCCGATCGCACCCCGCATTCAGGCGGCCCCGATCCGCACGACCACGCACTAAAAGTCCTGCAAATCGAAGGGTAAACAGCGAGCAAGGAAAGGGGGATACGATTTTGTTGGGATTACTCTTCGCAGCAAGATATTCAGCTCTTGGGGTGGTTCATCGTGCGCTAGCTTATTTGATTCTGGCTCTGAGTCTTAGGGATTTGAACGGTATACTGTGTATAGCACATGCGTGTATGCGTGGTAGATAAGGGGAGGGGAAACCGTAGATTCCTCATGTCGTTTGTTTTGTTGGGATGCACGAAGACGTAGATACCGTTCGCTTTACACGTTGAGCGCTGCTGTCAGTGGACATGATAAAAAAAAAGAAAAAAAGCGCCGGTGGTTGTTGGCAATCGAAAGGGCGGCCGATTAGCTCCGATGAAGAGAGCCTTCTCACGATGTTTGGAATATGGATCTTCATGGTGTTGTGGCGCCCTGATGTGGGTCGAATGCAAGGGTTTGCTTCAAATGCGAGGGGTGGGTGGGACCCAAAAACGGATACCGACTGCACAAGTGTGGCTAGAATAGTGGAGACGGCTGATATCATGCTGAAATCAGAGTACGCAATGCAACGGCTGTGTCCACAATTCTGGGTTTTTCTTTTCCCTGACAGTCTACAATGGAAAGTTTAGGCACTAGGGCTAGCGAAATCACCATGGTCATTTAGTAGTGGGTGGGCAAAGGGGAGGTTCAGGTACAAGTTGGGTATTATAGTAATATACATGATAATCGTAAGAGTCGTTCTGATTTGAGCACTTCATCTCAGAAACACGCCTTGCGCCGGGTCCCAGATCCATTACCATCCTAGAAAAACTAACAAGAGAGAGAGAAGATATAATAAGTGAACGTCGCATCACCAAGGCTTGTACGGTGGAAGGTTGAATTCAAGACTTTCGGCAGCGGCTGAGGCAAACTCTCGTTCTCCAACAGACGATCCGCTTGAGCGACGGCGTCGCTGCTGACGGATCTCGTGTTCGACATCCATGAGACGTCCTTGAACCCATTGACGGTATTTCCCATCCGTTCGGCAAGTGTTTGTATTCAGAAGCTCGGTCAGTGTGGCCTTGATCTCTTGGTTGACTTCAGCGAGTCTGTGGGCGTCTTCGGTGTCTCCTACACTACTGTGACGTTTGCTGGGACGTGCTGGAATAGGGTTGGATGCTGTAGTAGTGTAACTGGAGTCGGGCGACCAGGGTGAGGTGAAGACTGGTCGAGAGCGGGTGGGCGATGAGCCGGTGGATTGAGTTTCGGGGGACATGCTGACCATTGGCGTAGCAGTGGGAAGATTGAGTGAGAGTCGGCGGTGCAGGATCTCTTGCTGCGAAGATAGTTGAATGTATTTTTGCATAGAATCGCTCTGCGAATATGTGAGTCGCGTGACAGCCATCAGCCAAAAGGAATGCAACTTACGCAGCTCGATGAGTACCTTGGAGGAGGAGCCATGACTTGATCAATTGATATGGTCGATCAACGAACACAACGTTTTTGATAGTTATGGGCGTTGAAAAGGGTGGGTAGGTATACAAAGTCAAAGGCCTGAGGCGGATGGGGATTTATATCCGTTTGGGACGATGGAATGGTGGTGTGGTAGAAGGTTTAGTGTCCGTGTCAAGTACTAGTGCTGTCTTTGCAGGCGGGGAAGCTGTAAGTTGTGACGGGATCAGGCGATTGTCTCCCGAGGAGGTGATGACTGTACGGTGATTTGGCAGAAGCTGATGTTGCAGGTCGGTATAGTTGGGGTGAATTGGATGATGGTGAAATCGAGAAGTGGATGGTGAAGGCGGGCAGTCAGGGAGGTTTTTATGGGACACTTGAAGATGTGCATGCTACTTTGCCCATGCAGCCATGACGCCCCAAGCTAACGCGTCCGTCGGGGCGCCTTGTGGGCGGATCCCGCCTTTGATCAACGGTTGCATGCCCATTGTTGGTCCCTCGCGCCCCGGCCAATTTGGGCTATATTCGCCATTCCCACGTCCCATTGGGTGCTGCTGCGTACGAAACTCGCCAAGGGGGGTATAACGTCACCCTTGGTCCCCTCCCATCGCGATCTTTTCCACCACCCGTCTCTGGTACCTGCAGCCAGTCTACACATGGCCCCGTACAGAAGATATCGCGCCTACATAGTAAGTGTTTTTTCTCTGACCCAATCCACATTTTTCGTCCTTTTTTTCATCAATGGTGGCTGCGTTCTGGGACAGTCAGAGTGATTATCCTTCACCCGGTGAGACATTGCTGGACCGTGATGGAGACATGACGTTTGGCTGTAATCACATCCCTCATTTTCCACTGACTCAATTTCCCTATTATGTCAAATCTGACCCGCCGCACGACACCCGACGTCACTTGTGCCCCATGCTCCAGCAGCCAACTTTTTCTTTCTGGAATGTGGCTTGGACCAAATCATCAGCCCTATCGCAATCTACCATGCAAGCCTCTCCAACCGTTTCGTCTCATCACTGCCACGGTGCCACATCAGCCGTGGAAAATAGAAACAAGTTTTCACCAACTCTGGAAATCGAGACTTCGGCCTCGTTGGGGCTGTATCCTATGTTTGCTGCTGATCGCTGGGCACACGTTGGGGGTGAACTTTTACTCAATTTGAGTGCACCCAAATCGATCGCCATGTGTGACGTTCGTCTGATTTTCAAAAAAAAAAAAAAAAAAGGCTTCTAGAACACGATATGAGTCAAGTGTTTATCTTTAACTGGGCCTTGGACTGATTTTTCCCGTTACCCGTACGGAAAAATAGGAGAACCGCTCGGCCACCGAATAATTAGAACGTCACTGTATATCATTGTGTCCAACGCTGCCCCCCACCCGTGTATAGTCATCAATCAGTCACTGGTCGCTCGTCCGGTAACATGGATAATGGGGCTACTCTTTCTTTCTTTCGCATGAAGGGTTTGGATGAAACCCATGCTTAGGTCAGCTGCGCTCGGGTTAGACGGCTACTTATCATGTACCCCAAACCTGTGAAGAATTTACGAAGAGCTAGGTTGCCACACATGAATCTGGCACTGTACTACTACTCAGCGAGGCGTTGCCTACTCGCTTGTAGAGTCTGTACCTAAACAGCCCCCACGGGGGAAAATGTCAACCACGAGGCATCCACATCTGCCGCCTTCTCCCACTAGTCCCACAAACAATTCCGTATTCTGTCGCTATCTACATTTTTGTGGTCGTCCGTAGTACTGTGGCAATATATTCTCTGAACGAGGGATTTCAAACATGGACACACAACGTAGGGCACTGTGATGCTCAGGAAAAGGACTGATTTCATCCGAGATACCCGGTCAAACATATTCATCTTCCAAACGTCATACCCAGCCTTTATGCAGGAGAACAGGTTCCAACTTCCAGCACTGGAAACCGTAACCACCTTGCCTGGCACATGGAACTTGGCTCTCTCCCAAATTACGGGGTCCCATTGATTCTAGAACTTATAACGAGGATCCACCGTCCAAAACCAGATTTTGACCGGTGACGCTCCTACTCAAGACCAACGTTCGAACCTGATCTGCGACATCCTCAACCGTGGCCAGTCGCTTCAGCTTCGTGTTGTTAACCGCGGCATCTCTCTTGCTCTGGGGAAATTTCATTCCCCACTCCGTCAACAGCATACCGGGGCTCACACTATTTACCCTGATCTTGGGTGCCAGGATGACTGCCAGGCTTTTGGCAAGGTGGATCTGTGCTGCTTTCGTTACAGCGTAGGGCAAGCTCGAACCTGATGGCTTGACGCCGGCAACGCTTGCTGTGGAGATGAAGGTCCCTTCGTTTTCCGCCAATGCTTCTTTCGCGGCGTAGGCTAGCCACAGGTGGGTTTTGACGTTCATGATGAAGCACTTGTCCCAGTCGTCCTCATTTACACCTTCGTCAATGTTCAAGAAGTTGGTCATGCGGGTCCAGCCCGCGTTTGAAACGACTACGTCCAATCGTCCCATGGTTTTGAGGGTCTCCTTTACCAGATTCTCCACTGCATCCTTGGACGAGACATCGGCCTGAAGGAGATGGAAGCGAGGGTTTTCGGGTGAAGAATGTGTGCATGGGGTACTGTTTAATTCTTCCAAAAGTTGTTCTGCGCGAGACCGATTGGAAGAATAGTTCACAACCTAAACCTGTTAGCCGTACGCCGGATCGCAGTAAATGCTTAAGGGTAACTTCACCACACGGAAATCTGGAGCGAGAACGCGAGCAACTTGAGCTCCAACACCGGCAGAGCTCGCGGTAATGAGAGCTACTTTCTGAACAGACATGTTTTCTTGTTATACGTTGTGACGATGCAGGAAAAGAGAGTGCATGATATGGGAAACGTGAGTTCAGGACTGTCATACTAACGTCCACTGGTGAGTGGGGTAACGTTGCTGTCGCGGGAACTGCCTCGGAATAGTTCCGCACGCAACGTCCGACTACGAGTATAGGGAACACGTCTGTGCAATACCGTTCGCTGTGATCATCAAAGGGATGATATCGTGTCGGTTTCTCGTAACTTGGGTGGGCTTGTGCTTAGATTTCAATCCCATGGACTGCTTGACGATTATACCCGGAAGGAGATGAATCGATAGCAACAAAATCGGAGCACACGAGCACTCGGGTTATCTATAGAGATGTGATTGAGGAGGGAAAAATTTTGATGTAGGAGTGTTTGATGGTCCTCTTCTACAAGGTAAAAGGTTGAGGCTTCCTCGGTTCTATCGACTACTTCCCGCCCAACGAAGGTAAATCAAGCACGTCAATGTTCATCACAGAGTACGACATAGCACTAGGCAAGACAAAAGGAAGAGAAGACGCTCTTTCTTGGGTGGCCGACTACGGCAATACTAGACAATCCCTCATTGGTGGGAGAAACGCGCCATTAGTCTCATGTGCTGTCTAAACCCGGGAAATAAGACAATGACAGGTGAAACATGGCTTCTCGCACGCGACAGTGACATGCGATCTGCCTTGCTAACACTGTATAAGGAATTGCGCCGAGCTCTTGCGAAGAGAGTCTAAGAAAGGAGAAAATTCAACAGAAATCGGTGGGTGGTAGGTGATAGGGGAAGTGTTGGGATGATAATTCGACAGGTTATTCAAGGATGATAGACGGGGAAGGGGGCGGCTATTTTGGTACCTATCGACTCGGGACCGGCGTAAACAGTCAGAAAGAACGAACATCAGAGGAATCGTTTTCTTCGATTCCGTCCCCTTTCCGCTGATTTTTTTTTTGGAGGAAAAAAAAAAACATCAATCCTTCGCTGTGTGTAAAATCACCTAAACTCCAACTTAGGGGAAAAAACATCAACAGGAAAGACCAAGTCTATTGAGGAAAGGCAGTGAAGGGCGAACAGCCGGCACAACATTTGCTCCGTACTCCAACTCCAACACACCGTCAAATCCAACATCAATATGTATGAAGCAACCATGACTTATTTAGTCACAAACTGCCAGCCCAACAAACAATGAAATCTTATTCTTAAAATATCCCCAATCCGCATAAAAACTCGCAAACTGGTGGCGTTTCCAAGGAAAGGGCAGTCCTCTGCCCCCCGCGTAAAAGGTGCAAGCGATGCGGCGTAAGGTCAATCGATTATTGGGCAAGGAGCGTAAATTTCGCCAAAAACAATTAATTGTTTTGCAGGCAGGCAAAGTCCGTTGGACTGGCCGGCGCGGCGTTTCCCTCTCGTTAATTTCCCAGTTTCAGGGTCAAATCGGTACGCACTTGCTTCGCTCGCCCCCGAACACCTGTAATTGGAAAATGGGCTTTTCCTCAGATGTAGTCTACTTCGGTGGGTGTGCGCACGTGTCTCTGTATTTTTTACTCGATCATAGCATATGTCGCTGTCACTAGGTTGCTGGAGGTTTTGTGAAATTTTGCTTCCACATGGTAACAGTCTCAACACATATGACAGCTTTCGGGAAGCAGACAGACGGAGAACACACAAAATCGAGCATTTCGAAAACGAACAAAGAATAAAAGGTGAAAGCATGTTGATTGAAATTGGTAGACTCTTCTAATAGCGCTCGAAATCTATAAACATGAATCACCAGACCACACACACAAGATAACTTGTGTCAATTGCCGCAATTACCAAAGGCGTATTATTAAGGTTTGTACAATCAGAAAATCAATGCGTGGTGGCTTAAGCGCTTGCGACCCCATAGACTCCAACATCGCAATGCAGGATCATGATGCAGAGCCCATGTAAGTCATTAACCCATTAAAAGATCCGTATCCATCCTGTCTGACCCAATTACCCTACAAATCCATCCTGAAGCTGACTCGGGGAGACCGATTCAACTCTGAGATGAAACCGCTTACAAGAAAGCAGCGAGGGCACCGGCAACGGCGAGGAGAGAGAGACCAGTCTTTCCGGCAGCACCCGGGAAGTTGGGAGGAGCAGAGGCACCTGGGGCACCGGGAGCAGTGCCGGTGGGAGCAGGGGGAGCAGGAACGGTGCCGTTGGCAGTGGGGTAGACGGGAGCCGAAGGAGCAGGCGCGGTGGTGTAGACGGGAGCCGAGGGAACGGGCTTGCTCTCAACGGGAGCCGAGGGCAAGGGAACGGGGGTGACGATGGTGTAGTTGGGGATCGTCAAGGTGGTGGGCTTGCTGACGGTGCTGTAGCTGGAAGGACCGTAGGAGACGGTGGCACCGGCCTTGAGACGAGGTTAGCAAGTGGGTCACATGATGGATGGCGCGACTATCCGGTCGAGACTTACAGAGCAGACGGTGGTGTACTGGGGCACAACGGTGGTGCTGTAGACCGGGGGAGCAGGGACGGTGCTGTTGATGGGAGCGTACACAGCGGAGGCGCTGGCAGCGGCGGCGAAAGCAACGATGGCGGCGAAGGACTTCATTTTGATTGTTTGGAGGTGGTGATTAAATACGTTGGTATTACGTTTGTGTTGGAAGCGAGTGAAATCGGTGTATAAACCGGAGTAGAATTAAGTAAAGTGAGTGTGTGGTGAGGAAAGAAAGAAGAGGAGGCAGACCGGGAGGGTTGGCATTTTATATCCAGAGTGGATGCCCCTGGAGGTGCATGTTCCAAGAGGGCAACGGGCAGGGGATGCTTCCTCAAGGTAGCATCGTCTGTTGCGACTTGGGAGAGCAAGTGGTGTAGACGGGCGTGTGGATACGGAAAAGGAGGTGAGGTGTTTATTGGCAACAGGCGGCGTAGCCTATCAGCATGTTGGCCGGGTAGGGAAACGAAATTAAATGTTTGACGCCCCTAGCCAGGGTCCATGCAGCCTTGACGGTTGGACATGTTCAAGGCGGCGCGCCAGGCCTACCTGGGGTAAGAGAGCTCCAGTGCTCACGCGCCTTGTGCGTGCACAGCTGCCAACTAACTCGAGCTGTGCTTGGGCCCGGCGCTGCATGAAAGGAGGACTCATTTGGTGTTTTGCTTTCTGCAGATCAGTGCCTGAAGGGATCCCCCACATCTCCTCTAGCACCTCTACGCCATCCGCCTTGCTACGGGACTGACGGCTGAGTGTCTGTGGCCAGGCCCTGGAAGCCCACGGTGGAAGACAAGCGGAGCCCGTCTTTGCTTGGGCACGTTGATTTGGAATGCTTGCTGTCTGTGGATGGAGGGATGCATCCCAAGGCGCCTATTCCAACAAGGACGAGAACCAGTTTCCTTGACTGTTGCCGATGGAGTCGAATGCCAGTTCATAAAGTGATGAACAACAATCACACGTAAGCATTCGATAACGAAGCGGCGCGACCTTTTGGCAATCCAGTCCAGTGCTGTCTGGGGTACTGTGCCCGTTGTTAGCAAAGAAACAACAGGCGGATTGCTGACTACCATGCATTGCACCGGGGCCAGAGGATCCACTTGCAGCACGGGTTCCTGCGTCTTTGCCTTGGGACTTTTGAGACTGGCTGGGATAGCGACTCGGCTTGGCTACTGAGAGATTGCGTCGATAAGGAGAGAAGCCGACTACCCGCTACTGTTATAGCCTCATAGGCGCCTAATCTCAGCTGAGTGCAATCGAGATGGGCTGAGAAATACAAGACTGATTTGTTCCTTGGGGTGGTCTGTCCAGGGCCGAGCCCAGCAATGATTCATGGCTTTTGGAGGCATAATCCGCGTGGGGTCGCTTTTGCGTGCTAGCATCCACGTCGACAACATGTGGGTAAGTTACGAGCGAGCTATGTATGGATTCAAGGAATTTCCGGTGCGTGCGGGCCATGGATGGCTTGCATTGATTCTGCGCAGAAAAGCAAACTTTGTGAGGTCGGTGAGTATTCCAGCACAGGGCAGGGCTCGACACGGCGGAAATGAACGCCAGCTGCTCGCGTGCGCGACGCAGCTTAACACGTTTTTCGCTAACTGCCCATTGGCCCAATCCGGAAACGCACATCATGGAGCACTCAATGCAATGGCATCACATAAACTTTCAAACGCTTACAATCACCTACATGACCAGCAATGGATGGCGTGGAACGGGACAAAGTTCGAGAGCTTAACACAACGTGGGGAGAGAGAGCGGAAATAGGGGTCGCCTACACACGGCAAAGGGCTCAACTTCGGGCTCCCCGTTCTCTTCGCTTTTCCCGTTCCTGACTACGCCTCGGGGCCTTCTCGGGCGCCAACGACTTCTAGAATGCTTGCACACAATTGAAGCAACTTTCCCTCCCATCGTGATCCATCGTCTTCCTGTGACACATCGGCTCATCAGGCCTCTCGTCGCCTGCCTGTCTGCCTGCCTGGATGGGAGGAGGTCAAAACCAAAAGGCCCGCCCCGGAGCCAAGTCTGAGTCTGGATCTGGGGTTCCCAAGAATTGGCCGCCAGGCATCGTGTACCTCCACGAACCGTGCTATTCAAAGCTGCTCCACCATGATGCCACCGCTGCTGTCCTTTTCCCCAGAAGTGACCTTGCCTCGACGGAGCAACCCCGCAAAATCAAGGGACCCTGCCCCGTGGTCAGAATAACACCGATTTCTGTGTCATCTCATCCCGCTAATGGCCAGTACGGGCTGTTTGCTAGCCAGCGTCTTCCCCCAGACTCTTTCATTCTACCGTACATAGGTTATGTGCATGGGCCTGCCGATCTCGATGATAGTTCAGACTACGATTTGTCGTTGGATCGCGAACTCGGTATTGGCGTAGACGCATCCAAGATGGGCAACGAGGCGAGGTTCGTCAACGACTACCGAGGAGTGGCTGCTGCACCAAACGCAGAGTTTCGTCACATATTCGTCGATGTGGGCAAGGGTCGCGTGGAGAAGAGGATGGGTGTTTTCGTCTTGAGTGCTGGAAAGAGTGGCAAGAGAGCAAAAGGCATCGAAAGAGGCAGTGAGATTCTCGTAAGTTATGGGAAAGGTTTCTGGACCGAGAGATCCGGGCCGGATAGTTGATGATGGAAAGAAAAATAATCGTGAAGGTGTGAGGGGATGGGCAAGAGTAACAACTTCATTCCGCTCTATCGTCAAAGACATATCGTGGGTGTGAATAGATAGATCAAAGGCATGAGATGTACTCATTTGCAGATAGCAATAGATCAGGGAATGTATAGGACAAACATTTTGTCTCGCTTCCAATGAAGATAGCGTAACGCTTAGCACAACTCAAGATATCAGAAGTCAATCAAACAGAACCCCCAGTCTCCGCTCTGCGCCTTGCTCCATCTGCAGGCCCAAATGGCGTCCAACCAGCACCCCTCTCTGTAGGTGTCATGGCACGTCTTTGTTCCACAGGGCTACTCCAATCCATACCAGGTGCTGGTAGCCCAGCAATAGCAGCATCATCTCGAACTGCTTGTCTCTGTCCCGCAGCCCCAGCTCCAGCAGTATTTCCTTGGCCAGCAAGTCCATCCTGGTCTGTGACAATTCTCACACCAGCATTGCGTTGACGTTCCCTTTCTCTTTCCACCCGCTTCCCCTCAGCCTTCTTCTTCTCGAACTCGATGATCAGCGTTTTGAAGTAAGCTTCTGCTGCAGGTGTCGCGGAGTAATGTACAGGTGTCCATGAATATTTGTTTTGCGCGAGAGGGTTGGCTCCATACTGCAGCAGCATGCGCAGGGATTTGAGTTCACCCGCTGCCGAGGCATGGTGTAAAGCGTTGTTGCCTTTATGGTCCAACGTATTTAGAATCGAGGGTGCGTGCAGGAGTAGCGTTGGTATCAGATGGAGTTTGCTAGAACCGGAGCGGCAAGCAAGCATTAGCTGTTCAAGATTAGTATGTGTTGGTTCGTGGGGAAGATGGGTGAGTTGACCATACAGCGTCATGTCCCTCATTGTTCTGGAGGGTTATCGAGTCTGGAAAGCGCTTTGCAAGTAGCATACCCACATCTTCCTTCCCAGCGTTGGCTGCCAGCATAAGCGGAGTCTCCCAATCGCTGTTGACACTGATTATCCCCTCCTCGTGTCCAGCATCTATGAGAAACTCCTATCCAACATTAGTGTTGCTCCCTGGTCATCGAGGTGAGTGTGACGCACAGCGATTTGAGTGAAGCCATTTTTTGCTGCTAGATGCAACGAGGTATTGCTATGGTCTTCGAAGTCGGGGTTTCGTAGGTAGGCCGGGTTGTTGCGCACTATGCGCTTCACCAGGTCAAGGTCGTTGAGGTGGATAGCGCGACGCAGACGCCGCGGTACGTCAATCCTAAGGTAATGTGTCAGTGGTTCGCACGCCTGCCATTTAATATCAGTAGATTACTCACATGTCGGTGATGTGGACATGGTTCAGTTGCAGAAGCTCATAAGCTGATGCGGGGGTTGGAGGGTGATTCAATACATGTCGGAGCTATGTCCACCGAGCTCGACCACATTGATGGGTGGTCCGGAACCTAGCCGCACCTGCTCGCGACCTTTGGAAATCAATACATAAAAATCGACCAATCGTAAGAATATAATGTCAACAGATTCTTATAGGCTGCTGATAAACGTATTATTACGTAGCCTGGAATACGAAGAATGGTTGTGCACGCTCGAATGATGTGTATGATTCCATTACGTGAAGAGTCCTTTGAAGCACGCTATAGCAATGGTTGCCAAGAGGCAAAGCTATTCTACAGTCGTCATTGAGGACCAGTACGCTCTACGCGATTGTTCCCATCCAAGTCTATAGCCCATCGAAATCACCAGCTGCGTCATCGTCGTCAATGTCACCCTCTTGAATCTCCTTGGCAAGCTCGCGTTCCCTATCACGGGCTTCCTGGGCATTTTTCAATTCCAAACGATGTTGGTTCATAGGGTAGCGCATCGCCTTGACGCATTCATCATGTAGTGTCAAGCAGGCGCGGATACGCTCGTGGAAAGCCTCTCCAGGCTCACGGGTGGCATATATGTCACCAGCCACCTTCGTCTGCATGAAACCCTTCTCGTGGTCAATAGTAGCCTCAATAACACCATCGCGGATAGCTTTGGCAACAATGTACTCGGCCGATTCTTCACTCCCCAGTCCAACGCGAATGCAGATGTCTCGTAGCGAGATGCGTGAGTACGAGAGAGACAGCATGCGGATACCGGTCGTGATCACGTTTTGGCGAAGGCGGAGGATCAACGTGTAGGTACCGTCGCGATGAAAAGTAGAAGCGTGTGCCTGAACAACTTTCGGGAAACCTTGGAGATCTCCGACGCGAACAGCCTGCACGAGACGGAAGTAGGGTTCAAGTGCGCGTTCAAGGCGTGGTTGGCTGAAGATAGCGCGCTCCGGAATATCACCCATCAACAGTTCGATGACAATCAAAAGCTTCATTGAAGTCTGGTAGAAACCGGTGGCTACAGAGTTCGTTGGCGATTTGCGGGTAGCGCTAGTGAGGTGTTCGTGTGCTTCGGTGTAGGAAAGCTGGATCGCCCGTATGCGTCCAAGATAGTAAAGGTACCTTGCGACTTGATTGTTGGGTGCGCTCTCAGGGAACTGTGTCTGAGCAACGAGAAGATCGGCCTGGGTGATGTCGGCTGTGGAGATGTAGTTTCGAAGTAGCAGGGTGGTTACGGAGGCCTGCGTATCAAAATCTTTCCTGAGCACGGAACTGCGGAGAGCACCCAATAACTTTCCGCGAATAGCTATAACGGGGGATTGCTTGGATGGAGGCTTTGGGTCGAGTTCCTCGTGGAAGAGTGAGAAGTAGAAGTAAGCCTTCGCGGCCAGAGAGTCGAGCGTCCGTCTATTTAACTCCCGAATCTTGTCCACCAACTGCGTAGAGAACTCAGCGCCTTCCTCATGGTCCTTTTGGTCATAGAGATACACCTGGATGAAAAATGTTAGTGCCATTGCGATTGCAAATGTCGCGGCTGACGTACCTGGATCAGGATCGCTATGTAAACATCAATCTCGGGTATTGGCTCCTTCGTGTTGCTTTTGTTTTGTTGGATCTCCTCTTTGTACTGAGCCACCACACTCTTTATAGCCTCACCGTCCATGCCGACTGCCTCCATGAGCACCCGCCCAGTGGCGTTGCTTGATGAGTATGTCAATACGATGACGGTACATAGTACGCGATCGGTCAGGCGCTTCCGGAGCGATGATATCGAGCGGAGAGCCCGCAGAGTGAAGCGAGAATCGAACTGGGTCACGGCGCGCTCGAGCAGTGTGAAGTTACCCCGTATATCTGGCACAACTGGGTCAGCTTCGCGTCGGATGTGGATATTTGTTCACGGCCAGAGTGGTGGGTGGCAATGTTAGGATTTGGGCACATGCGGCGACGTAACCACGATGAGGTAGAACAAGAGAGAAAACAGGAAACGGTGTCTATTTGATAGTTTGATGGTGGGTAACTTACCAGCGACAGTCTTCTGCTCAACATTCTCCGTCTTGGGTTGCTCCCCCTCCGTCACGACACCTTCCATACTGTCTGCCATGACGATCGCTATGCTGCTATGGGTTTGGGGCGATCAAGAAAGAAAGTGTAAGGGGCCGTTGAATTTTGTCGAGGTGGTTGTAGTAGGTGAGAGGGCAGCAGCGAGGTTGTGATATGCGATGATGAGCTTAGGCAATGATGAGGGTCCGAGACGCGGAAGCTCAAGCTAGCCTGTTGGTTGGCTGGCCTGCGATTGCACCTGTCTGTGAGGCTGACGGAGAATCGGTTTCCCCGCGCCCGAGTGTTTACCTTGACCGCCCCGCGCCTCATCCAAGATCCGATCGCAAACAATTGTTGGAGCAACCATGACGCTGCTTGATGCTCACTTAGAGCAAATTTCGATTTCGGCTCAATCAATAGGGGAACTTCCGTATGCAGGCATTGCATGAACATAGCTCGTTGTCTAATAATACTCCAGATTTCCCCGCTCCAAGATCTTTACGAATGCGCTATTGCAATCACACGACATTACTACACTAATCCGGGACACCGAGTCTCACGAACGCGCTCTATTTCATGTACCACCGCCTCCGCCGCAGCCAAAAGCCCAGGAGTCGAACCGCCGGAATACTATATTCAACCCAAATGGTACCTCAACCAGCATCTCGGGCGGAGGCGCCAACGCCGTGAGGGCTCCAAAGCGTAATACCGCTGTTGCAGCAGTGCTCGGAACGGAACTTGTTGAAAGAATACGAAAGGGTGGAGGTGGGGGCGCTGGTACTGGGTTAGGCTATCGGAGATACGATGGAAACAATAAGAACGAGGTGGATGTCGAGACATTGCTCGAAGGTGCAGAGAAACTCCTCGGGGTGTAGTATGTCAAACTTGTTCCCATGGATGATTATTCGCTAATCGAGACAGCCCCATTCCTGGAGCCCAGGAACGCATCATGGCCATGCGGCAAAGACACAGCAGGCTCGAAGCATCTGTCGATTATTATGAAGCAAGGATAGCGGATCAAGTAGAGCAATTGAGCAGATTGAACCGGTCACGCGAGCAGCCTGAGCAGGAATTCGATGTGTACCAGCCGGAAAGCGTGGCGCCTACTATGACCGAGGAAGAGCTCAGACAAGAAGAGGAGGAGGTTCGGCAGTTGGAGTGGAAGAAACGAGGGTTGGAAGACAGGGTGAATTCCATGGGTAGGGATATATCCGGCGTACTGCGGTAGGGATCGTGTTACGCATTGCATTCGGTCGTATACCACTTTGGTTTTGTAATAGATACCCGATTGCTCCTGCAATCAACAACCACCAACGATATCACGGTCATTAGAATTTAAAAGTAGAACATATTGATCGTTTCATTAGCGTTCATTCATGAATCTGCCAGGATATTACATTAAGCTATTACAAAGCTTGTTGACAACAATCGTCCACATTTATAACGCGAGAACTGTGCACTCATGTCTACTGGCCAGCCCATTGTTTGACTTCAGCCTCCGTGATGTGTCTCAGCTTGTTGATCGATGGTGCTTCACCGCTCGCAACCCCCTTGGCCAGCTCAACAAAACCACCAATTGCTGTACGTTTCGACACGGCGTATTGGGCCGTGCTCGTCTTGACCCGAATGATACCAATGCGGGGGTCCTCGGGACCACCGTCGTGCGTGCCGTCACCGAGATCACCAATCCAGGCCTTCAGAGCAGGCGAATAGTGCTTCTTGACCACAGCACGGTCCGTCTCGATGGAAGCATGACCGGAGATCGAGGCCCACTCTCCACTGTTGTTGATGAAGCCGATGTTAACTGATGAGTGGGTCTTGAGATCGTCCGTCTTTCCAGACTCGGTGTTGGTGTGGAACAGAAGATCGAAGCCGTTGCCCTCCTTCATTTATGTTAACTTCAACATCGTAGGCAAGCAATGGCCACGAAGACTTTACATACCTTGGCGGCCAGCGCCATGGCTCTAGATGCTAACAGATCGCTATCGGCGGTCTGTGTTGTCAAGAGGCAGAACTTGGTCTTGTCCACGAAAGAGAAGAGGTCCTCAACCTTCTCCTTAAGGGAGGGCTCCTCTAAGTTCTTTTGTGTGTAAGGATCAGCATTCTTGCTTCCCGTGTCGGCGTTGCTGAAAGTAGACATCTTGATGTTGGGGAAAGGTTTATTTGTTGGATTGGTATTTTAGTTGTACGATTGATGTTGGAAATGTTGTTAATGAGCAGAGTGGGACACAGGCGTATGTGTTGTATTTATTGGGCTCTGCTTTTGGATGACGTCAAAGTCCCATTACTAGCGTTGGCTGGACCCCGCCATTCTAATGGTTTGGGGGTCATGGCGATCCACGAAATGCCATCAGCCGCCTCGGAAATCGCGACATGCGTGGATCCGGCGCCGCTTTAAGTTAGATGCATATTGTGTCCGGGCGGAAGAGCTGAAGTGCGTGTCAGGATATAAGCAACTGCCGGATGTGCTGAGTACCTAGGTAGTCATTCAAGCTCCTTCACCATCATTGTCGAGGAATCCTAATTGGACAACAGAGTAATGAATAAAAATTTGGACCCAACATTATCTCAGACTTTACAATACAAGACTAGAGGTACCGCTCATGCTAAGACAAATGTATGGATAACGTAGCCCGAAGACCAAATGTTCGACAATATGGCAGCATATGGTGTGATTGGAAACACTACGCTTCGCCATCCTCGATCTTGGCCTTCTTGACTTCTTCAGCCACATCAGCTTCGGCATCCTTCTCCTGCTCAAGCTCGGCAGTTGCTGAGACAGCTCCGCCATTGACGGCCTGGTTTTTCTGCGAAGGTTTACGCGCAGCGTCGGTGGCACCCTCGGTCTCTTCAGCTTCCAACCGATCGATCTCCTTTTGTGCCTTGGCGATGTTCTAGATATTTGTTAGCGAGGGACTCTGTAAGATCTCTAACAGTGATGACCTACCTCTTTCGTCTTGCGGTCCTGGTCAGATTTCCAGTGAGCAAGCTTCTCCTTCAGTTTCTCTACTGTGCCTGGGACATCGGCTTGGCTAGAGGGCGCGTCAACGCCAACCTTGGCCAACTCCTCGATGATACCAATGTTCAAGTTGAACTTGGATTCTGATGCAGCCGGGGCCTTCTTGCCCTTCTTGCCCTTCTTTCCTCCACTACCCACAAAGTAGTTCTCCTCCTCGTCATCCTTCTTCGATACTCGGGTACCCTTGAAGCCGGAGCTCTCCACAGTTCGCTGTGCGGAAGCAGCAAACTTGCTGGAAGCCGTAGTTTCTTTCGCGGGGAGCGCCGAAGGGTCGAAGTGCCGAATCAGGCCCTCACAAGCAAGAATTTCATCCTGGTATGCTGGGGCACTGGCCTCCTCTAGACGTTTCGAGGCAGTCTCCTTACGCTTGTTTGCCTGCCACTCGATTTGTTCCTGACGCTTGCGCTCTTGGCGGGCTTTGCGGGCTTGGTAGTCGTAATCGGCGAACGCACGCTTCTGCTGGTAGTAGGTGTCCTTGAAATCTTTCAGAGCTTGCCACTTCTCTTGCTGTTCAGCGCGAGCTTTGTCGGTTGCTTCCCTAAGACCCTTGAGGTTGGTGAAAGCCTCGTCCTGCTCCTTCTTCAGACCGTCGAGCTCGCTCTGTAGCTCGTTGTACTTTTGGGAAACAGCCTTTTGCTCCGGGTCGTCCAACAGCTTCTTTTGTTCCGTGTACTGTGCCTTCAGGTCGTCGATAGCCTTTTGCTGCGAATCGAAACCAGCAAAGTTCTTGCGTGCCTTGTTCAAGCTGGAGATGTCACCAAGTGCCTTTTTCTCGTCGACCAGTTTCATGGTTCCGGAATCAACGCCTTTCTGAAGGCGGGCGATTTCGCGGTCAATCTCATCTGTGTTCTTGTATTGAATCTTGCCCTTGGAGGTCTTGAGTTCAGCGACACGGGACTTAATCTGTTCGTCCAGGCGCTTCAGCTTATCATGAACGGCATTGCGCGATGTCTTGAAGCCCTGCTGCGCCTGGCGAATTTCGTTTAGTTGAGTTTTGAGCTCCTGCTGGCGCTTCGCATTCGGCGAGTCTTTGTTGTTGGGGCGAGCAAGGTCCTGCTTTTGCCTAGCCGCGTTCTACATATGCGAGATTAGTATATGTAGGAGAGTGTAATGAAGTGATGTCCAGTGGACGGTAGAAGGCATTGACCAGATTGCAAGGGTGGTGGTGTGAGCGGAGCGCAATCGAGGGCAAGCGCATGCGACGGCTACAGGCCATGTGGCATGTAGCATGCGACCTGGTACACAATTGGCGGACAGGTTGGGACCACTTACGAATTTTTGCTGTGCATCGGCGTGACTCTTGTCAAGCTTCGCAAGCCCCTCTTTGTATGCAGCCTCATCAGGCTTCTCAGGCTTCACGAAAGCAGGCTTGCTGTCCGGAGCAGATGCGTCGGTGGTGGCCACCTTGGCGCCCGATTCTGTTGCCATGGTGTTTCGTTCTTGATCGATTCGGCGGTCTGCGAGGTCGAAGAAGGAAATCTTGGATCGGGGTTGCAAAGTAGGGAGAGAGGGGGGTTGAGGACAGCGGGAGTCGGTGGTAGAGCGGGCAGAAGATTAGGGTGAACCCTGGATATTTAGGTAAGTAAGTAGTAGCTCACAAATCTAAAATTCCCCTCGAGAATTGATTGAATAATCGGAGACCTGCGCCTCTACAAACCGACCGGCTTGGCGTCTTCGCTTATCTAGCCCCTCACCCCTGCTCTTCTTTCTCTCGTGTCTGTTTGTCTGCTTGGGCCGCCATACATTTACCCCAGTGCTCAATCATCTGGTTTGCTATCGACACCATGGCCGAGGCTTCTGACTCCAAGATTCCAATTCTTCTCCTAAAAACCAAATCAGTGCCTGCAGATGCTTACGAGGAATACTTTTCGACCTTCGGCGGTGGCCGTTACACGCCAACTTTTGTACCTGTCCTCGAGCATCACTTTAAGCAAGATGCCCTAGCTCAAGTGCGCGCGCACATTCTGGATGGCCATTTTCTTCCCACATCTGGTTCCTCATCGCAGCAGTACGGCGCCATTATTTTTACCTCGCAGCGTGCCGTAGAAGCTTTCACCTGCATTGTTCAAGACTTACGGCAAAATGCCGCCCGCCCGCTGGAGTCCTACATACCCCAGGATCTTCCCTTGTATGTAGTCGGACCAGCTACTGCTCGAGGCCTCAGAGCGCTGAATCTTCCGTGTCCAATCTTGGGTGAAGAGACTGGAAGTGGGGAAGTGCTATCGCCATTCATCTTGAAGCACTACAATAGCTTGCATCCGGGTCCTGATAACCCGGCTATATTGTTTCTTGTGGGTGAGAAGAGGAGAGACATCATCCCCAACACACTTCAGTCTCCAAGCCTGCCGAATGACCAGAGATCACGTGTCCATGAACTAGTCATATATGAGACCGGAGAGTTGCACTCGTTCAAGGAAACTTTTACATCTATATGGCAGAAGAACATCGAACAGGCAAGTGGGCGCCAGTGGGTGGTTGTGTTCTCCCCTCAAGGCTGTCGGGCTATGTTGGAAAGCTTAGGCCTCATTGACTTAGAGACCGGACAGTCCAAGTGGCAGTCATCAAAAACATCACAAAGAGAGGTTCTAATCGCTACCATTGGACCTACAACTCGCGACTACTTGATCCAGGAGTTCGATATAGCACCTGACGTGTGCGCCGAGAAGCCTACACCAGAGGGCATTGGTGAGGGCATTCGTGCTTTCAACGCAGGGTCCAAATAGGTCCACGGTGAAATCAAATCGCACCTGTTGAGGATACAAAACCTTAGCTGAATAGCAGGCCATAGCGAGTAGAAGTACCGGGCAGCTTTAGCAAGCGTGCAGTCTTTTACAATCCGGGATTTGCCCAATGAAGTTGGTATTTCCCAATAATACTTTGTTGTGGTTGCTGCACATAATGATTTTAGTGGCAACTCCATCTAATCAATAAGGTGCTGACCTGCATCCGGAACCAATGTATCAAGCGCAAGAATATCGACCGGAAGTCAATGCCATCTCCCAACCGAAAGTAACACAAGATGAACGCATCAATGGAAAGCGTAATTTATGGGTCTTGACGTAGCCTATCTTGACTGCCCAGCTGTGTAAACGCGTCCACGCGTGACGTCAACTAGCAAGCACATCGGGAACACGCGCCTGGGCGCAATTGCCTTTACGAAGACCTATAACACCAGGAAGTGTTCCAGGAATCACGTCTATTTTATACACTACAAAACTTCATACTATTTTCAAATCGATTTTCAGGCAAAATGACGGCAACACACTCCCCAACACAGCAGAACGGCCTCCACCATGACCAAGGCCCTCCTACCGGATCAAAACGCAAGGCTGGCGATGCCTCCTCCCACGAGAGCGAGCAACAAGGCGGGAAAAAGCAATTGAAAGTCGAGGATATGTTGAACAGCAAGGACCTGAACGAAACCCCTGATTCGACCGTGGCACAAGATAAACAAAAAGATGGTCAAGGCTTGTCGGAAGAGGATGGTATGGAGGACAAAGTCGACACCAGAGATGTGCAGCCTGAGCCCGAAACCCACCCAGCTAAAAGTGAAGATATCGAGAAAAATTCCAAAGCCAGTCTCGACGATGCTATTCAAGAGTCGTCGCAACGCGAGAATCAACTTTCTTCTAACATCCTCGAAAAGGGTCTGGTCTATTTTTTCACCAGAAATCGAGTGAACGTCGAGGAAGCAGATAGTGTGGATGATCTCCAACGTACTTTTTTTGTCCTTCGTCCGCTTCCACCTGGAACGAAGTTGGGTGAGGGTACCCTTCCAGACCTTGAGAACAATCGCCTTCTCGCGCTTCCAAAGAAAGTGTTTCCAAAGAGCCAGTAAGTATCCTAATCGGAGGGGGATAGTGGCAACATATCTCTTGTCTTTGTACTAGCACTGACATGCGTGCTCACTAGAAACGACCGCTTCATGGCGTTTGTAGAGAAAGCGCCAACTACGATTCAAGACCTCAAAGAAAACTTTTTCGGGGGGAGCGAATATGAAACTAAAACCTCGGGCAGCCGTCGCGTGGATCCAGTGACCCCGGTCGCTGAAGGCGTATATGCAATTACAAGGACTGAAGACACCAGCACTCATTTGGCATACTCCATTACCATTCCGTCGGTTATGGGAGAAGTGCAAGAGGATCTTGGGTTAAGGTCACAAGGCAGCTTTATCATTAGTCTGAAGAATCCTAAGCGGTACGTAAAGACTCAGAGACTAGTCTGTTGTAATCTTTGGGGCTGTTGACAGTGTGTCGTCATTGTGTTGCCTCAGTATCACTAACTTCACCTCTGTGATCTTAGGCCAGGTCCTGCGAATACGAATCTTCCCCAAAGACCTGAATTCCCCGAGGAGTTCATTGAAGCATTCCGTGGCTTAGCGTGGGTAAAAGTACAACCGGAATATCTGGATTACGCAAATGCTCAAATTCTTTTGATCGGGGAGAATTTACAGTCTGCTTTTGAGCCGTCAAAGAAAGATGAGAAACATGGAAAGGAAGGGCCGCAGGTCGAGTTGGAGAGACTAGAGAATGAAGATGAGCTGCGCGTGGAACATCTGAGTGGCGATGATTCGGTATTTGACGACTTACGGATAAGCAAGGCCGATTACCCCAATGTTCCAACTACGTGGTAGTGCTTGATGAGTCGGCTCTCATTTATGCCATGTATCGACTCAATGTGTATGCGATGGGGTAGGACTCGTAGCCTGTGAGCTTGTATCATTACGCAACATATTTTGTAACAATATATTCATTTGGAAGCATTCTCATATTCTGCAATTTATGTAACAGTACGTGAAAACGGTATAGGGTATTTTTATACATCAATTGGAGGTCGAAATTTGGATCATATATTCTCTTAGGGATTGGATTCCCTGATGTGCTCAAAATGACTTTTATTGGTTTGATACTTGACCACTATTTCTAGGCGAGCATGCAATTCCGAGGTATAATCTTAACGGCACGCATATTGAGAAGCTCAGGATTTGCTCGTCTTTCAAAAGAGATCATGATGTCTACAGATTTCTTTTCGCATAGTTAAAGTGGTCAACTCAAGTGCTGTCTTCCTTCCACACGTGCACTCGCGACCGCGACCGCGCTAAGCCGGTTTCTCGTCCGACTCAAACCCCAAACTTTCCCCACGTCACCACCGGCCAACAAGCAACCATGTAAACGCGTCTCCGCATCGTACGTCAACAACACCTCAATGGCACAAGATATTGACATCGAAGATGGCGCGAACCCAAAACCGCCAGCCAAAACCACGAAAAAGCCTTCCACCGAACCCAACGTGCTCGAGGTGGTTTTGGGCTCGTTACCGATTAAACCGTGGTACCCTTCGTTTTACCCGGAAGAGTTGGTTGGACGGCGAGTAGACCGTTTGAATGTGTGCCAGTGGTGCTTTAAATATACAAAGGAGTTACCGGCGTTTCTTGGACATCTGGTGAGTTGCGGTTCTGCTCCCGAATTGGAATCGCAGAAACGCGAATGGTGAACGAACGTCGACTGACATCATGGAAAAAAATCATAGACAGCATGTCCGTATCGTGATAGCGCCCCACCTGGAGGTGCCATCTACGCACAATCCAATCTCGCCATTTACGAACTCGACGGTGCAGAGCATAAGCTATACGCGCAGAACCTCTCCCTCTTTGCGAAGTTGTTCCTTGATACCAAATCGGTGTTCTACGACGTGACGACGTTTCTCTACTACCTGCTCGTGCTCAAAGACCCATCGCCTGCTATCAACAACACTAGACCTAGCTCGCAAGATACTGGAGGAGATGTAGAGCGCGGGCAGATTGTGGGATTCTTCAGCAAAGAGAAGATGAGCTGGGACAATAACAATCTAGCCTGCATCTGCATCTTTCCCCCATGGCAAAAGCAAGGTCTAGGGCAGGTGCTGATGGCAGCAAGTTACGAATTGGGCCGGAAAGAAAGAAGGATGGGCGGGCCTGAGAAACGTATGCGGATTCTCATTTCTTCAACCCCACACCATACACAGAATTTCCGACAAGATCCAAATAGGCAATCGTACTGATCCTTTATAGCACTATCCGATCTCGGTCGCCTAGCCTACATTCACTACTGGTCACAGACCCTCGCTCGAACCATCCTCGCGGTCCCTGCCAAACGAACTCTCTCTGTCGCCGACCTCCGTGACGAAACGTACATCGCTGTCGACGACATCATCAGCACACTGCAAAGTATGGATGTGCTAGAACACAGGAAGAAAGGTGGAGCGCAGGCGCTGATCAACAAGGCCAAAGTCAGGATATGGGCAGAAACGTACAAAGTCGATCTCAAGAATCCCGTTGACCCGGATGCTTTTGTTATAGAGACTAGCGAGGAAGAAGAAGACGGGGAAGAAGGTGATGAAGAGGAGGATGGTGACGAGGAGATGGAGGAGTAAGATGAATGGTGAGAGCTGTGGATCATGCCCCTCTGCAAGGCTAACTTGAGTTTTTACCTGTGGATATTATGGGGGAAAGTAGCTGTGCTGGTGACGGAGTCGCCATCTTATTAGGCGTTGTGGAGTTGTATACCCTAGGAATTGAAAATATACATCGTATCATTCAAGATTTGTTCATCATTACCTTTGATATTAAGCACCGGCCTTGATTAAGCCTTCTTTCCAGCGATATGAGGCAAAAGTGAACATGATAGTAGATCAACTTTCCATTACATCAAACTCATTACGCCGGTAAAAATTTGGGGGTATCGACCACCTCCCTCATGCTCACCAAAACGCCCACAAAGTTGAGATCAAAGCCTAAATCAGGCCAAGCCGAACCAGATACCAAAAGTACGCCCTAAACACCCGCCAAAGTACCGCCTGAATCAATCCGCCCGAGAAAGAAGACATATAGACATGCACGTAGACCCTCACACTTTCCCCTTGCTCCCACCCAGATACCCAACAACATCCCCGCACCTCTCCAACCTCGCCCTCGTCTCTGGTAAACCCTTGTTCAACCTCTCCAAACCCTCAAGGGCCCTCGTCCAATTCTTCTCAACCTCATCCTGTCTACTCAACGCCTCGACCCCAACAACATCTTCTTCCTGCCCCGCAAGCGCCAGTCGCTCCGCCTCTGCTCGCGCACCCTCAAACGCCTCCATCTCCTTCTCAAAGCTCTCCTGGAATTGCTGCGCCGCGAGCGCAGGAGTGGTACGACGATGACTCGATATTTTTGCAACGAGGGCATCGCGTTTTGCCACGGCGGAGCTGAGGCGTGCCCGCAGCTTATCGTCATAGGGCTCGAATTCTTCGACTTCCACTATCCCGTCTTCTAGCAGTTTTCCCGGGTCGGCATCGATATCCATTGCGTCTCCTGCCCCTCCTCCTCCTTCTCTGGGGCCGCTGCCGCGGCTCACGACGTCGATGCCGTTGATGGAGATGTTGGCTTTCATGCCGAGCAGGACTTGTGCGACGAATGCGTCGAGGAGCTCTTCGACGTTTTTCCGGAGTTCGTCGGGCTCGGTGGCGGACGTGTGCGGTGGGAGGTGGAGGTCTAGTTTTGCTCGGGCTTGGGTGCGGATTTTGGCTATGAGGTAGGTGAGGTCTGCGGGGGATTGGAGCTCGATTTTGCGGTGCTGCGAGTCCATGGTCGCGTGCGTCTTTTTATGTGTGTATTTTGATTCCGAAGATTGTGTTTTTGCCCTTTCGGTTGGAATGAAGATTCTCCTTTTTTCGCCTTATTATACGGCTGAGACTCTTTGAGAGCGGTTGTCGCTGTTCGGGTGTGAAGTGGTTTACGCGTCACTGTTGGTGGGTGGCCTTTGTTCAACTGGTGTTAGATACCAAGTCAATTGAGGGCGGATGAATAATGCAATTGGGATCTGTTCGTGTGGGTTGTACTGAGTCGTTGGCGCTGAAGGGGTGTTATGTGCGGGTGTTTATCTTAACAGTGTGATTGTTTTGGTGTTCCATGCGCCGGGAGATCGTCACCGCGGAAGCCACGGCTGCACGTGATGGAGGAAATACCCCGCTGACGGATTCGCGTCTACCGCGGCTAGTGGTGGAGCATACAAGATGATTGATGCAATCGTCAGCCAGCATTGTCGTAGTTGAAATTGGGACTGAAACCCATGAACTCGATTATATACAATAAAGCGACTGACGGAGCAATCCAAAGATAATGCAGAAACACCCAATGAATTTCCGACATGAACATCCTAACAACCATCCAACGCCAAATGAAAAACAAAAACAGCAAATACAATACATATGTGGTTTTCGTAAATATGTTCCAACGTGAGAACTCCTCCCATCGCATTGCACTAAACGTCATGTCGTGAGCTCCATCTAATAATGTTAATTGTCCACATCGTCATGTATGTGTCTCCCAATAACAGCCTCACGAAAGCCCAAAGTACTCCGTATCTTTATGTGAATATGTGTAGATATCGTTGCGCAAATCGTTTACGAGGGAAACATGTTCGCAACCTCTTCGTCGGTGAGGACAATTTCTTGGACGGGATCTTTTTTACGTTCGAGATTATCAAAGTTGTAGCTACTATGGCTCGGTAGGAATATCTCTGTTACAAGAGTCAGTGTTTACGCTATACCAAGGGTCCTACGTTTTCAAAATGCAGGGTCGATTGGGGACGGGACAAGGTGCCAGGGCTCATGGTGGATGGGTGGGTTGTTGGGCGGGTGGTGGAATATGGGCGACCAGGTTGAGACGCCCCCAACTCAGCCAGCCTGAAACTGCCCCCTTCCATTACTTGGAAACACACGAGTATATGTCGTGATGGTGGAGTGGTAAGCTTTCGAAACGTACCTTGGTTCCAGTCGAAGCCTTGAGAAGCCTTGACGCAAGTAATCTGCAAGCCATAGTCGATTAGTTATCGTCCCCATTCATCCAGGGGTGTTGTGACGGAGGACGTACCAGTCGTGGATTCTGGAAGCTCCCAACATCGATAACTGTGTGTTCGGATTTGACGATGGATTCAGCTAGCACCGAGGTCAGAATGTAAGTTGAAGTTCATGCAGAGACGTAGAGAGCGACGCTGTTCCAAATCGAAAGAACCATGGAAGGACCGGGATTAGAGGACCGGGAGAACATACACATGAGTGAAGGTCTGCGTGCTCCAGTATTCTTCTGTGGAGTGCTTGCTATATCGTCCTCTTTTACACTTTCGTAGCTACCGTACTTCCAACTACTCGCGTTACCAGAGCTTTCGCTACCGTTGTCTGCAGAATCGCACGTCTTCCTGCTACGCCTAGGAATGGCAATGCTGGCAGACATGCTGGTAGGAATCTTGAATCACGATATTGAAGCGGAAACGAAGTAATAAAGGTAGCGATGAAAGGGAAGTGAAGAAGACTGACGAGATGAACTGGAGACAAAGAAGAGGGAAGAGGCTTGAACAAGTCACAACTGGCGAAGCTGGTGGATGACTGGACCTGCACTGCCATAGTCGGTGGTAGTTCGCTGTCCAATCGGGATACATACTAGAGGCGTGCTGCCTGCCGATCACCACTGGGGGCGTTTTGACAACCCGCGTATGATCAGGGACCCCTGGTGGATAACCATGGTGGATATGTTTTGAATGTTTGCAATGTCTCACCTTCCAGCCACACTGTTGTATAGTCGTTTTGCTATTCACTGGGGAGCCCACTCAGCTACTACAACTGCTGCCTTGAAGGGAGGGGGTCGATCTAATGTTTGGGGATGACGCAACGAAGCGGCGGAACAAAGCCGTACTCGCAATCCTTATCCTTATCTGTAAGCCGTTATCGTCCGCGCTCACGTGTCGCTGGGTCAGATAACACCGGATTGGGATGTGATGGACTCTTGGAAGTCTCCTCGGTTGGACGTATATTGGTACTAAATCCAACAAAGACCGATTATCGTACATCTACCTAGAATAGTGCTTATTAAGGACAACCACATACAAGGACTTCGGCCTGCCGAAAACCCCAAGGACGGGAAGAGTAGAATCAGCAAGTGCATAAAACAAACGCTTCCCATCGAGGCGCCCCGGATCACTGCCATCCCTCGAGTATTGTACAACGTGTTTATTAAAGCGAAGGCGTGAAGAGAAGAACTAGGAAACCCCGCCACCACGATAAACATGTAGAAGAAAAAACCTAAAAGTCCCTATGAATGGTGTCCATCAACCCAGTAGCGTTGGCACTTCACTCCTTGAATGCCTGCACTAGTGACTACCGCCCATGGGTATCCCGAAAAGATCTTACAGCAAACAAAACCAGAACCTCAAAACTCCGAAGTGCTCCAATGTAGTTGCTTGAATACGACAGATGGAAGGAAAAGTGCAAAGCAGGCCGAACATGACAGCAAAGATGAGAAAGGTTGGAAAAATTCGGGGTATCATAGCTTCATCATGCTTTTTCAGGTCATGCTCCCAAGGACATGGTTCTACCAGCCCTTCTTCCGAGCGAACCGCTTGTTCAGAAGGACGAGAACTTTGGACACGTTGAACTGGACATACTCGAGATCCAGGTCTTCTTGGTTATCTTTTTGCATCTCGAGCAAGTCATCGAGTTTGAGGTCCAATTCGAGCAGACCACGATTGCGTCCTTTGTAGTGCAGAGAGATGACGAACGTGCCAGGCAAGGGGCTGGTGAAGTTGAAGTAGATGTTCGCTCTTCTGTTTTCTGGGACGTTGCTTTTCTGGATGACGCCCTCCTTCTCCAACTGTTGATGGGTGAATTTGTACGGGCCGAGAACTTGGTGTTTCTGCGTTTTCCTCGTTTTCCCTTCTGATTGGCTGCGGACGTTATGCAGGTAAGACTTGTAAGTGTCGAGCTGACCGATCAGATATGTGTTGTGATCGCGAATGGTGCGGTACACCTCTTCGAGCTTCTTCGTCTCTTCCACGGTCTTGTCTTTCATGGAGCCAAGATGTACGAGTTCCTGCTCAACCTCGTCTCTCAAGAGAGCAAAGTTATCCTCTTTATCAATGACACCCAGATCCTGCAATTGACTAAGCAGCTCCATACTACGGATTCCTTTCTTCACCATGACCGAGTCGTTCTTGGTTGTAGCTGCTGCGTCCGCGATCCGATCAAGCCTGAGAGGCCTGCGAGTGATGCTGAGATTGGATGGGAGAGATCGCAGAATCATGACAAAGGTGGACTTGGCCTCCATGAAATAGATCTCCTCTTGAGTGATGTCTAAGGCCGAGGTGATGTCGTCGAATGGAGTCTCCCACTTGCTGAACAATGGCAAGTTGATTGCACGATTCTCCTTGCGCGGGAGTTGAGCTGGCGCGGGGCCGAGCTCCTGCAGGATGACACCCAGATGGGAGCTGTCTTCCTTTGCTAGCTCTGGCGCGTGCCTCTCCAACATACTGTGGGTTGCGTATACTTCGTTCAGCGTGATGGAGAGTTCTAGATCGCGCTTGGAAAGTGCCACGTAGTTGTCCATCTCAAGAGTTTCGTAGAAGTCCTGTACTTCGCACAAATCGAGAAGAAACTTGTTCATACGCTCCTTGTTCTGGTGAATGAATGGCTGCAACTTGGCCATGTATGGCTCCTTTGCGTAGGAAGGCTTATTAGCCAGATTCTGCAGCATCTTGGCAATGTAGGTGAGCACTCGCTTGGGGTTCTCCGCGGGTGTCGCATCGATGAGCATGTACGAGCGCGGGGTGACAATGGCAGGGTTAATGAAGCGCAAGAAGAAGAATCCTCCGATAAGCGTGCAAATGGTTTGTTCCTGCGCATCTGGATACTTGCGACGTGAAAGACTTCGAATCTGCTTGCAAATCCAACGAATGCCGTACGGTGTCTCCTCGAGACCATTGATGATAGTAGTCAGGAAGTTGTTAGCAATTTCCGAAAGCATGGTCAAACGGGGCGCTATGATCTGCTGCACGGTTTCGTTCTCGGCAGCCTGTTCGGCGGTCACACCTTTGGGAAGATTTGGTGGAAGCTTTCCCTGCTTGTCTTCGATCTCACTAACCATCTTTTCGTACACCTTGAGTGGGTTGATTTCCAGATCCAGGTCCTTCAGCTCGATCAGCGAATTGATGCTATCCTGTAGCACAACCTTGAGATAACTCTGGCCGGGACCTCTTCGGGTGTACGTAGTCATCATACGAGAAACGGGCGTGTTGGCGCGCAGGAGAGAGCTATAGTCCGGGGTATTATCGAATTGATAGGTGAGAACGGACTGTTTGTACGTTAGCGTGGAATACTCGCAGATTTGAGCTGATTACACACCTGGAACATGGTAAGGAGAAGATGCTCTTCTCGACTTTCATATTGGTTTCCATAAATGGTAAACATGACGGTTTGCAGCAATGCGTCGATTTCAGCCATGGAAACGAGGCGACACAGATGCGCAATGTGTCTAGGTTCGGATTGAAGCAGGAAAAGCAGGTTACCGTATCTTTGCGTCTTGTCGTCGTTGGGGAAAAACCCCTCTTGCAGTTCCATGGCATCGTCAAGATGGCTTGCAACTTCGTTTTGCTGCAATGGAAGTCAATTTTTAACGCAGCGTAAACTAGTACACGGGGGATTCATACCTCTTCCAGAGCCATCCTGTTCTGGATGAGCAGCGCTATTCGCGAATCGAGGTAGCGCACATCTTTTTCAAGGACAAAGTTCTTTTTCGACTGCGACGAGATCTTGGATTTGAGATCTCTTAGAATTTTCTGGGCTACGCGAGTGTTAGCAAGAACGGCATGCAGAGAATAGGAAGCGGGAGTTGCCTACCTCTTGCTAGGTCGTCCTCGATTTCCAAATCCTTGTCCTTGGCCGACATGGACAAGTAGAGGGCGGTGACGGAGTAGCGCTTCGACTGGCGCACCGAACGCGAGCCATCATGCGAAGACATGGTGTTTTGACGAGAGACGGGAATGAAGGACGACGACGACGAGGTCGAGGCTCGCGAGGGAGCGTGCAGCATGGAGACGGCCATGGCTGGTGAGGATGTGGATGCGTGGGTTCGCGGGACGAGGGCGAGGATGTTTGTACAGGAGGAGGAGGAATGCGGATCCAGGCACGGGAAATCGGCAGGGTGTGCGGCGACAACAAAGAAGCAACAGGTACGTGTGTAACGCTACACTCGGCAATGGTTGCTACCCCGGGGGTGGGCGCACTTTGTTCGCAGAGGGGTGTTCGCGAAAGAGGATTTCTTTGTGAGGGGGGATGCTGCGTGGCTTGTGGTGCGTTGATCCGCGCGCGAGGTTGCCAGGATGGCCCAACCGACCCGAGGGACAGAGTATGAATGGTCGAGTGGTGGAGGAGGGCGGAAAGTCAATTGTGTGACAGAGATGTGTGAGTACCCAGGCACCCGTTGTGGGGGACGGAAGACGATGGTGCACAGCGGGAGGAAGGAAGGAGAGAGAGTAAAGAGCAGGAAGCAGGCAGGCAAGAAAGCAAGACGAGACGGACAGTGTCTGTCAGCAGCCGCCAGCAAGTCGGAGGAAGGAGAGGGGCGGCGACGGAGAGTTGGGTAGGCGCAAAGTGGGAGAAGGCTGAATTAGGAAGTGAGCGGACAGCGGCGAAGAAGCGACATTCCAGGAGCAGGCAGGCAGTCGCGCGATTGCAGGTTGGACGATGGCTGACAGAGCGAACGCCTATCTATCTCATTCGTATTGCGTAGGGGGGGGGGAGGGGTTTCGTGCACTAGGATGGTGGTGTGTATGTTTTTGAGGGGAGAAAAAGGTACAGTATAATACGGTGCAAAGCAGTGCAGTGCAATGGAAAGGATGAAGAAGGAAGGTGGAGGAGGGTAAAGAGGGGGGATGGTGGATTGATTGAAGGGTAGTAGGGTAGGGAGGGACGAGGGGAAGAAAAGACGGAGCGACGGGCCAGGCGGCGGGAACAGAGGAGCCAGGCAGGGGGTCGACGACAACAGAGGCAGGGTAGACAGGCGGCAGTGGTGAAGGAAAAGAAGCAGGCCAGAAGAGAAAAGAAGGGCGTTTCAGCGCCGGGCATTAGTTTGGGATATTTAGCCTTGCAACCTGACAATTCAAATCGCTCCATGTCTGCCTGTCTTGCCTGTCTGTTTACCCAAAAATAACTTGATGGGCTTCGGTCTCATTGTTGCAGCGCTACATTTGATTGTCTACAGTGCAGTACACCAAGTACAGTACACACACATGCATGCGTGTATGCATGTGCTAAGGACGGATAGAGACGCGCAGTCGTTATTGATTGCCGTTGCAGGCGGGTAGCCATCTCTCCTCTTCTCGTCGTCATCATCATCATCATCATCATCATCATCATCATCCTCATGAATATCCCATCGTCATCAGCCATGATGGGCCTTGGCTGGTCGGGCGCATTGAAACCGATGGAAGGGAGATGTTGCGCAAGCGCATATCAAAACACAGACTCTGCACACAGACATCAGACGGCCGGAGCGAGGGGAATCCCTGGGCGCCAGAATCAAACATCAACAAGATTGCACCGGTTTGGAAAGTCGTCGAGGACCCATGGCTCCATATATGCCCTGTTGTTTCAGGTCTGACCGTCCGAGGCAGCTGACTGACGACGTGCACCTTCTCGCGCTTGTTGCTCTTGTTCCTGGCTTAGTACCTGGCCCCTCCATCGCGTCCCACCTTCGCCACCTCTACCCTCCACCATCACCCCCGACTAACCTCGCCCGGCCTGTCCTTAGCTGCCCTCGTCATCTCTGTCTGCCGGTTGAAATGATCATCCAAAAGCCCCTCTAATCATGAGGGCGACTGAAGCACCTGGCATTAGGGAGCGCTACTCGTCGTGCCAACCAACCCCCCCTTTATCGGATCGGAGTCATTTCCGCCCTTCTGTTCCGTCTGCTCAGGTATCCAACGCCACCCCGAACCATCACCTCAGTCTTCAGTCCAATAGCCAACCAGCCAACAATCTCAGCCTGCAGTATAGCAAATCCACATGCCACTCACTCCAACCAGCCCATCCCGCTGACGCAACACCCTCGTTCGCTCTTGCTTGAATCGCGTTACCCGCAAACCATTCCCATGCATATCCTTCACACTAGCTCCGTCAACCGTCGTGCCTGTTGCTTGCAATCATTGCCCCTCCCATGTTGCCGAGAGACTTGCGAGATTACGTGTGTAGCTCCAACACCATCTTGTAGCCTCCTGTAACAGAAACATCTCATCCTGTCAAGTCAAAAACGCCACTTTCGTACCCTCGTACCCCCTCACCATGTCACTCCGTGTCCAACCATGCATGCAAAAACCGTCCATCGTGCCATGCCAACACTGAGTGCGTGGAGCCACCATCCGAGACAGGCGACAATCCGCGCGACCTCCAAAAAGGCTCGGAAAAATATTTCAATATCAAAAGAAATTGGGATCGGTCGGGGTTCGCACGGGCAGGGGGGGTGCAGGCGAACTGATAGCGTGTGCCTGTCCTGTCGATCGCTTTATCGACTCCGCAATGGCGCGCCCAATCCAAGTCAGTGCGCCAATGCCGCCAGAACCATGACCCCGAAATAACTGCGCCCGCGCATTAGCCTCACATGCCCAGCCTTTAGGATTCCAACCTTTGCTATCCAACTTCCTCATCATGAAGCGTCCAATGGAAGGCGATGGGACTCGCTCTGGGAAATTCAAGCCACTTACATGGAGAGACACCCCATCCATTCCCGCACCGTCATCAGCTCCTTCAGCTCCCTGGTTGACGTGAGCAGTTTCATGACCGCTGCGCCATTCAGACATAGAATCGCCAGCCGACCCAATAGACCGGGCACAATTGCAAACGCCAAAAGGGGCATGGCAAGAATAATTGGAAGAGCCGTTGCTGTTTCGTGGCTCGGTGCGCCACCGGGTTTACTGGCTGCCCCATTCCGTGACACCGTCAGTAGATCATCTTTGACGTCGAGAAAACGAGTCTCGCCTGTCGTGATCGGTGTGCGCTTTTCCATCCAACTTCGGTACGCCTGGATGTCTGCCGTCTGCGCGGGGCTCACATCTTTTAGTAGGTTGGTGAACGAGGACATGGCCGAATCTGTGTAATCAAGTAAGCTTCATCGTTCCCCAATGCACTTCGGCACATGTATAACCCCGCATTGTGCAATGCGCGTAGTCGGTGCCTGTGCGTCGAACAGGGGTACTCACTATACTGCCCCAGCTTCAGAAATATCCGACCCAACAGTTCAGTCCTCCGGTAATGCTGTTCGTTCCCGTAGCGCATTTCGCTCCGCCTAGATGCAGGTTGGATACGCCCTGCTTCATCTCTCGCTGACGATTGCGCGATACATTCATCCAGGTGCCGCAGCTCTTCTTCCATTTCTGCAATCTCATCTTGGATGTGAAGCAATACACGATGATTCAAGTGCTCAAATCTGCGATAGAGGGGGGCCACCGAACCCTCGGAACTCGATCCATCATGGCTCCCCTTGGCCTTCTCACTTAGCTTCTCGGCTAGAAGCTCGTATCCCACCACCGTAGGCTTTCCCCAGTCGGAACCCTGCGGGTGTGTTTGGTAGAGAGGAGGATGTGTTGGCGGATATGGAAAAGGCGGAGGTGGAGCTACGGGAGCTGCACTATTGGCTGCCGGCATTGGCGGACGAGCAATCATCGCAGTATCCTGGTCATACCCAGGAACATAGGGCACAGGTGGTGCGTGTTGAGGCGAATAGTAGTTCATGGGAGGCCCCGGCGGAGGGGCATGATGTGTTGCAGCCTGCAAGCTGGCAGGGGATGCTCCTGAACGTGCATAAGGATCATACAAAGGCATCCCATATTCAGGGTGTGGCGATGGCCCTCCTACAAACTGGAAGTCTCGGTGTGGTTGAGGACTCTGCAACACGTGCTCGCTGAGTGCTTGTGTCTGTCGCCGCAGACGCCTACTGTACTGATCCTCATGAGAGGAGGAAGAAGGCGCCCTTGGAGGCGGCATCCGCTCTAATGCCATGCCGTGAGAACTGTAGTGGCCGCTTCTTGATCCAGCAGCGGGCGTGTGTTCATCTTCAGACTCCTCCTCGCTACTCTCGTCTTCTTCTTCATTTACTTGATGCATCGTTTTATGGTCTTCTTCTGCTTCGTCGCTCAGGCTTGGTTGATGCGGTAGCTCGGGGCTAGCTTCGCGAATCGATATGTCAGCCTCGGAATCGCTGTCGTCGTCATCGTGAGATTCTACGTAGCTCGTTCTTCTCATTGAAGCCGGCGATGTGAAAGGTGACTCTACTGAAGGTCTCTCGGCAGTGGAGGAGCCGCCATCACTACGACTATCACTGGCGGTCTCCAATCCACGAGAGGAAACAGAAGACGCGGTGGGACTACTTCGGTGACTGGTAGGAACTTTTTCGGGGCTATGGCGTTGTTTCCTTTGTGGGACAGTACGCCCTCGTCGTGGACGGCCCATGCTTTCAGGTCTTTGTAAAGTAGAATGCGAAGCCTGAGAAGAAATATCTTTCTCGATACGAGTCTTATTATACGACTCCTGTGTGATGGTGGAATTACTATCACTGGATACAGTTGACAACTGTTTATGTCCTGGCCACGCTGAGGAAAACGACGAATCCGGTAAACCCCGCGGGGTTTCCACACGACGCTTCAATGATCCGTGATCTTGCCTCGTCGGTCGTCTGCTCAGAATCGCTTCTTCAACATTTCGGTGTTGCCGACGCGCGGAGATTGAGTCTCCCCTTGAACTTACAATAGAGGCTTCGCGGTGCCTACTGGTCTTCGGCTCCTGTCCCTCGATGATGCGGCTTAATTTGGGAAGATATCGGGCTGGATCCCTCTCCTGCCCGACGACCGTGGAGCCGGGCGAAGTCTGGAATGGTTCACAATGCTTGCCGGATGTGATTTGTCCTCCTTTGCCTGGACGACTGCAGTGCTCATCCGCACCTGAATATGATATTGGAGGTGTGGGTTGAAAAGTTTCATTTGATGTGGGTGTTCGCAAAGGCCGTTTCCGCGACACAGCAGGCTTGTTTCCGGGTTCTGGGCCAAGGGATCCTGTGCAATGGCCGAGAGAGACGTCGGGCCTAAGGCTTTGGTGGTATGGGCGAGGCAAGCCTTCGATGGATACTGTATGATCCGCCTGGAGTTCAATGTAGGGTGATCAGCTTCTACCGTCGAGCGATGGATTTCACGAGGAGCGGGGGGGAAAGGGAGAGGAAATTGTTTTTCTGAAACCCACCATGCTACGTGTACTTGTAGGGCTGCAGGTGACCCCAGCAATAGGCGATGCACTGTGGCTAATGGATTTGATAGATACCATGCGGTCCAAGAACAACGGAACTGGAGGCCGTTGATAGCAGCGGATATTGAAGAGCAACGCAAAGTTTGAGTGCGGTCATGCTGGAATTGAAATGAAATGGATGATGACGAACAGAGAGCAAACGCTGTGTTACGAAGTGGCTTCACGAAGGTGTGTGCTAGGGTAACAATCGGGTTCAGCGGGATACGACGAATGGGCCACAGGGTTTCGGTCTAACAAACCCAATCAAGCACGCTGGGCACGACGTCTCACATCTGACCGGAGCGACGGTGGTCTGTACATGTAAATGTGGACAGCTGGTGGTAAGTGACTGTATAGAAGGACTGGCTATGACATGGTGTGTACAGGGCAATTTGGTCACCGCCTCGTGGCTGCATCATGGTGGTTCTGTGATGTGGATGGTGGGGCGCTCGAGCCAATCAAGCCCCTCTTCCACACCCCACACTCGTACACCCCTGCCCTTCTGCTCTCCCTCAACACCTTCACATCCCACGAACGACGATCATGCGCAGAAACCCAATCCACCGTAGCGGCAGCGTAGCGGCTGCTGGAATCATACAAGTGTGGTCCACATGCACACCGGCCCGAGACGGCTTTCGCACCATGGACCGCAATTGATTCTCACCGCCTCACCAAACGGGGGATCCCCTGGAAACATCAGGCGTCGAGACCCTATACAGCCATCTATCTGGGGCTTGGGTATCAGGGCAAGTACAGCCGCGGGTATACATACCGACGGGTTTGTTTCGTCTGCGTTTGGGCGATTATCATAAACATTGTATTGTCAGGGTTATAGTACACGTCCTTGGTATTGAACCAGCAAACACCAATCATGAACATTGCCATATTTGACATCCGATTCAAAAGCGACTGATGTCACGCCCGAATATCCAGTTGATCATCCTGCCCTTCTGTCAGCACTGTCGTCCATGGTTCGCTTCACCTGTACTCACCAATACATTGGAATCAGGATCTTGTTCCTCCAACTCACGCTCTTCGTGAGGTACGCTCCACGCCAGATTATCCATGCCAGCCGTCCGGAGATATTGGACCCTTCCCCACCTTGGAACAAGGCGTTCCAGTTTCCGACGTACGCCATGACGCCCAGATTCTTGAACTTGAAACCTCCCTTCTCCATGTCGTTTTTGTTTAACCGCTTGGCCAGCCACGACGCTTTCTGAGAAGCAACTTGTGCAGTAGCAGGGTAGCTTGTACCCTCTACTATCGCGCAATCACCGAGTGCAAACACATCCTTGAGAATAGCGTCAGGGTTGTTGTCGTTGTCGCCAGTCAGTTTGATACGAAGACGTGAGTCTGTCATAATCGAGCCCGTCTTCTGGTCTTTCTTGACCTTCCACGAGATAGAGTCTGGGCCATTCTCTGCCTCTTGCAACGCCGCTCCTGTGTATTCAAGCGTCTTAGGAGTACCGTTCACTCCATTAAGTGCGTCCGCAACAAAAGGATTCTGCATGAGACCTGTCGACCACACCACCATTCCAACACCAATCTCACCTTCCTCTTTGATCTTCAATGTGAAGACCGAATGCTCGTCTGATTCGCCAGGCTGGATTCCCGGGGCCCCAGGTCGAAGTCCCTCTACGTGGTGGCTCGTTTTTATATCGATGCCTTCGCGTTTGAACGTCTCCATGGCGTACTTCCCGAGTTTTTCGTCGAACATCGGCAGAACCTTGGGGGCAACGTCGTATACCGTGATTTTGTGAAAGGGAACCAGTTCAGGGTAAACACGTGCTAGATCTTCCGTAATAATATCGTGGAGTTCGGCAGAGAATTCAATACCCGTAGGTCCACCACCCACGACCGCGAAAGTGAGTAGCTGGCGTCGCATTTCATCTGTTGTTGTTGGCAAAGCAGCAGCCTCGAAGCATGCCAACAATCGGTTCCTGATCTTGCGCGCGTCACCGACGTCCTTTAGAAAGAGACTGTACGACTGTCAGCGTATAAGACATGTTCATGTTTCGGCAGTACTAACGCGTGTTCTTTTACTCCCGGAGTTCCAAATGTTTGCGAATAGCATCCCACAGTCACAATCAGCTTGTCGTATGACAGATCAAAAAGTCTTCCTTTCTTGGCCTCTAGCTTCCTCTCCTCCTGTCTCTGCTCTTGGGTCTGGTGCGCATGTCGATCATGCGTCAGTGCCAACGAAGATGTAGGATCATCGACCGCTTCCTCGATTGTAATCTTTCTATTCTTGAAGTCGACCCCATCTGCCCAGCCTTGAAAGAAGCTCACCTGATCAATATGAATAATCAGCTTGACTGCACCTTGAGCGACGCGAAGAGGGGTAAACATACGTTTGTACGCCTGGTCCGAATGGGTTCTAACGCAGTGCGGAACTCGAGTGTACCGACTGACGTCGATGCAAGAAGAGGTGTGAAAGCAAAATAAGACCTGGGAGACACGACCACAGCTTGGTACTTTTTCGCGTCCAGCTCCCTCGCGACTGTGTAACCTGCCCATCCACTTCCAAGCACGACGACTCGTTCTCGATCTTTACGAAGCCTGATCAGCTTCCAAGCTTTCTGAAGAAGGCTCATGTCATGCAGGGGAAGAGAATGAAGTAGGAAACGACAAACTTACTTTCTCTCCCAGAATCCAATTGATTTATAGTTAGCTTTCTGCTTTGTTGAACGACGGCTGAAACTCGAGAATATTGACAGCTGGCACCAGATTCAGTACTCGAAAGAAGCGCACTGGGTCCTGGTGAAGCCAACGGTCCCGGCCTGGATCCCCGAGTGCTCCGAAGTAGGACGCCGCCTAATGATGGAGTGGCGCGTTGCATTATGTTTGCTGATAAGAGCTCTATTCACCGTTTAGACGTTTTAACTTGTGGTGACGATAGTTCAATTGCATACTATACCGCTTTTTGGGGATAGAAAATCACAGTCATGGAACGGAAGTTGTTGAATGTCTGATGGAAATATGCTAGTATGCACCCGGCTACCTCGGAATGACGTTGGTAGGTAGCTACTGCCAGGAGAAAAAAATGCTCGAAAACAACATGACTCGGATTTTCGCAGTGAAGCACAAAAGTGCGTATCGGTTTCTTTTCACGGTGCATATGGTTTTGACGGTTGTGACAGTCAGCATGACATAACGCTGGGAATAGCAGGATCAAGGTCAGCACATATGAGTAATCCACCATAGACCGATGCATATTGTTCAGGTGCGAGGGAACATATTATGGTGACACTCGTAGAAGCTTATTTCTTACTCCTGCTGCCAATAATAAAATGTTCTTTTTCCTTTCGCGAATAATCGGAATCCCTCAAGCTAACGTACAGATAGAGTGGGTCCCTGTAGAATGACGCCGTCTAATTGCCTACCAGCCAGCCCTAGTACCCTGGAATGCAAAAACAATGATTGCACATGGCTGATTTACAAAAGTGTGTCGCCGAGCGCACACCTTACAATGCTGCATCCGGCTCTGACGGTGTCACTCGCTCCATGCTCATCTAAGCTGGGGTTCACTTCCACGAGATCGAGGGCGATCAAGGAGCCAGTTTCAGCGACGCACTCGGCGATGAAATCGCCCTCACGGAGCGTCAAGCCACCACGAACCGGCGTGCCTGTGCTTGGTGCCCACATTGGGTCCAGTGCGTCCACGTCAAAGGATAAGTGAATCGGAGTATCGCTGCCAATCCAGCCGAGGGCCATGTCCATAACTTTTCCGATGCCGTGCCTGCGTTTTCAAAATTAGCACAAACGGGTCCGGAAACACCCGGGGCCGATGGGGTGCCGGGTTCAACTTACCGATCGATATCGTGCATAGAAAAGGCCTTGATGCCGTGGTCTCTAAGGATCTTCTTCTCGCCCTTGTCGATGTCGCGGAGACCAATGTACACAATTTTTTTGGTGCTGATCTGGTGGTGGGGTTTGATCCAGCCGAAGACGTCCTCTCGCTCTTCCTTCGCCAAACCCGTCAAGAACGCAACAGGCATGCCGTGGATGTTGCCACTGTCAGAGGTTTCGGGTGTGTTGATGTCAGCGTGTGCATCGACCCAAATGACGGCGAGGTCTCTGCCCAGCCGTTCCCGGATCGCCTTTGCTGTACCAGAGATGGTGCCGATGGCTATCGAGTGGTCACCACCCAGTGTCAAGACCAGCTTTCCGTCCTTTGCGTGGTTGTAGACCTGGTCACTGACTTCCTGGGTGACGGCGCTCACGAACTTGGGCTGCTTCATGTTGCGGTATGGTGGGTCATCGGTAGGCACCTTTTCCGCATAGTTGTGCACCTTGCCATCGTACGTGACTTTCATATCCAGATCTTCCTCGAGTTGCTGGATAAGACCTGCTTCAATCAGGGCCATGGGAGCTGCATCTACACCCGCTTTGGGCTTTGCCACTCATCTGTTAGACAAGCATGGCATTGAAATCCATGCGCGAAACTTACCTGGCCACCGCTGAATCCCACAGCAACGACGCCCAAATCATGGCGGTTGGGGATGAATTTTGGCTGTATTTGGGGTGCGCTCGTCATTTTGGTCTGGGTGTCGCTCTGTCAGCTGTGGTGTTACAACGAGATTCTGAATCGGTCACGGAAGCTATTTAATTATAAACTACGGGCAGCCTCGAAGAAGGGAGGTCGACGGGAACTGGGAAAACCAGGAAAACGCACAATGATATTTTGAGTCACCGGGCTCGTGCTCTACACTTTATTTCTCGTATTAACGTCGGACAGCGAGGCAGAAGAGTGCAGCGTTGGACTATTTCCGGTATGACCTCGAGTTGTTATACGGGCGGCGACGGTGGAAGCGAAAGCTGGAACACCGGGTTGGCTGATTATGGAGGAGGAAAAGCGGTGGGCAGTCACCGGCCTTTTATCTCTGCTTGCCGCGCCATCGTTTAGCTAATGGTGGGCTCAAAAATCTTTTCTGCTCGCTTTCAACTGCACTTAGGGGAGTTGGTGAAGCTACATATCGCTAAGTGAAGGTGTAAACGATGCAGTGTCTTGATGCCCTCACTAGCGGCTCTGTTGCCGAGGCTGACGGGATCTACCCTCTATTGGGAAGTTCGTGAAAAAGCGAGGCTATCCGGGCCCACAGTTGCCAGTGTAAACACGATGAAGATGAATTCGTAGACGTAGGATAGCGAGAAGCATTGCAGTTCCACTTCGAGTCTTGACGTTAACCTGATGTATGAAGAGAGCTCCTTGAAGCCTGCACGCTCCTCGCTTATAGCCGCTATCAATCTCATGGCGTTGCCCAGGTTGACCAGGCCATTCATTGGTACGAGCTCAGATCTGCATACATATATTCACATGGTGACGTATCCAGATGCCCATACCAACGGTGGAGTCTACAATCTTTCTAGAATTCACAGCCCATTAACATTCGCTTCAACATTCGCGATGGCCAGTGCAGCTTGCTACGAGTACTGCCACAACCTTCACTTCACACGTGCGGTTTAGCACGCTTTTAGCCGGCTTTAGATTCCAAAGCCACCACCGGTTCCTCGCCATTCCGAACCCATCTGACCTTCCCATTTCACTCTATCCACAAGGCGTCCATTGGATGCTTACACTGTGCCTGTGACATGTCAGCTCCAGCTATTCGCTTCGTTGCTAAAAAGGGACTCTACCTTTCGTGCCTCGTTAAACCGGGTGTCAGCGCAAATCGACAAGGCATCACGTCGGTTTCTGACCATGCAATTGAACTTTGCGTTGCGGCGCAGGCTAGGGAAGGAGATGCGAACACAGCTGTGAGGGAGTTGATCGCTGAGGTGAGATCATTCGTCATACCTGGAATGACCTAACTTGATCAAGAGCTTATACGGAATATCGAAACACAGACGCTCAAAGTACCCAAATCCCATGTTGACATTGCGAGAGGGAACAAGGCCAGACAAAAAATCGTCCAAGTGAAGATGGAGAACAGCAGCACCATCACCACCCCAGAAGAGGAAATCGAGCGAATTAAGATTATATTGCAAAGGAGCGTCACGCGTTGAATCGCGTATTAATGCGCACCCTGTTCTTCGTACAAGACTATTCGTTATCATTACGCATTTTGTTTCCACCTGCGGGCTTTTCCCCCGTTTTTGTGTTCTACTCCTTAGTACTCCCAAGCGACTGCTCCAGTGGTGTTGACTAGAAGACTTGTAAGCTGATGAGGTTATACACAGGGATATAGAAGATATCGTACCAGTGATAGCGCTGAAGCCGAGACAGTCAGGGCTAAGTTCAAGACCTGGGAGCTGGCCGTACACCTGCCATGGCTTGCCTTCTACAGTCGGGCAGGCGACGAGTCCATCACTGAATGATAGCTGGCCAAGCGCCTCACCCTCAGTCCTGCTCCATCCCTCAACAACGGAACCTTCGGGCTTGTACACGGAATGGGGCTGTGTGTAGCTCAAAGCACCGTCGGGTGCAACGTAAACTGTTTTTTGAAGTTAGAATCGGCATAGAGTGACATCAACAATGGGTTGGTGCGTACTTTGTTGGCCTCCAGGAACTACCACACCAAGACTTAGAGTTCCCTCTCCTCCAGCGAGTACGGTTCCATTTCCGGGATATGCGGCACACACTTCCTCTCCAAGTTCAGATGGGCAGTGGGCGGAGTTCTCTCCGCTCAGGAAGAAATGACCACCATTGGCCTCCAAAGGCAGCAGGTGAACGGGAGAGGCGCTGCGAGCAGACATGACGCCGAAGTAGCCTTGAGCCATGGCGTTGGCGAACAAAGCGCTGAAAGCAACGGAGGTCTTCATTTTCGAGGATGTTTGTGGTTTTGGTATTATTGCGAGCGTAGAGGTGAGTATGTATACGTTTAGTTTGATGGAAGGATTCGGTGGCTGGGTGGCTCTGAATGCTGTAGATGCGGCGTGGTGATGGGCTGTGAACGAAGGCGTGGGCATCAGTATTTATATCAATATTGCCGGTCGTCGCCCATGTACATTCGTACGAATCGTAAGGTGGAGGCATATACATGGTGAGGGGCAACGCCAACACCCATCGGCTATCACCATGTTAATCCTGGTAGATCTTTCATAGGCAGACCCCTACACCACTAATTACAATGCATGGAGGTACCCACTACCAGAACATAATGGGACGATGCGAGGAATGTTCAGCCTCGCACTCCCCGACTACCGGATCTTGTTCATTGTACAGACGCAACATGACGATGGCGAATGTTGCATTTGCTCGCGCTGAGTCAAACACCTCACCATTGAACGAGGTCACCAGACCTACGATATTGTTCAACACGAACAACTCTATGGGTGATCGCATGGTAGGCCTGTTGGCTACGGTGCATCGTATACGTTTTGAGAACAATTCGATAGTCTGGTTTACTTTCCGAAGTGGAAGCGATGGTTGGGGTGAAGGGGATCGGCGTGCCGTCTGTTCCTATAGTGCTATTTTCCATTGCCGATCACCACCTCCCACCCGTCCCTTTGCTGACCGACGGAGGTCGAGTATGTTTCTGATAAAACAACGGGGATTTTCAAAGTCTACTAGGCAGAGCCGTGAAGCCGGCAGAGCTCGTGCTAAGCCTGAAATGACGTCTTTCGGAGCTATTGATTTGGTGCTTGCTGCCAGTAGTTTTATTTCTCCGCATTTGCGGCTGATTAGTAGTGGGAGAATGTGGTTGCTCTATATTGACTTTGCTATTTTGGCGCTCTAACTTCAAATGCAGGGTTCATGCTATCCTGTTCTGGTCAACGTGTTTACAAACTGGGCATCGTTGCTCCGACAAGTGGCAGATACAGATCACGATGTATAATTTACGATAACGGCTTGAGCAACATGAACGGAACATTCGAGCAAGGTTTACAGTATTGGAACACGGTGTCTACCTCGGCTGTCGTTGCTAATAGCTCTGTGAGAAACTCGGTACCATGTTGTATTAATAAATTCAAACTTCGGTGGAAGCTTTATAATAATGACTGAGCGGATGCTTGCCACTTCGGTCTCGGCCGATACGCCATCTGGATATGCTGGCGTTACAACATCCTCATCGATAGTGTCCGCTGTCAGGCGTACTCGAAACCTGCTCATCATCATCAGTTTACTGGCTACATCCATGTTGGGTATCGCAGATATGACCTGATATTATATATTCAAAGCGCACTAGCTAAAATGAACAACATTATATTCATATCCAAAGTATGACCGGGGAAATGCCATGGGATGCATTAATAAAAACACGGTAAACAGTCGATTCGCGCCATCTTTCACCGCGAAAGTGGACATCCTACATCCAGAGGCAAAGCTTTCCACTCGCCGTACCAGCGGCCACCCAATCTTGCGTTGGGTGAAACTTAGCGACGGCGGGAACGGCGGTAATGCCGTCACCGCCTAATTGTGCAAGTTGCTGGCCCTTGGCCGTGTAAATATCAACAAAGCGATTCATGTTGCCAATGCAGAACCTTTGCACGCCGTCTTGAGGCTGTTGTTGCCACTGCGCGCGTAAGATGGTGACCCACCGTCCCGTTTGATTGTTATGCGGTACTATGACAGAGGGTTTCATTTCAGCATCAGTCAAACTATCGCCGGCTTTCCAGCTTCCAGCTTTGCTGAAATCATGGATCTTGATCGTATCATCGTAGGAGGCGGTAGCGATTTGGCCTGCTGAGTTGAAAGCGGCATGCGACACCGAGAGTCGGCTTTCGTGCTCTCCGACAAGAGCTGGGAGACGCCACTCGCCTTTCCCATTGATCTTCCTCAGATCCCATATTTTCAATGTGCGGTCCAGAGAAGCCGTTGCGACGAAGTGTGGATGTTGGGGATGAAGACTGAATCCACCAATCTTCTTTTCTGACAGCTGGAATATCTCCAATCCTGCGGATTTTTCAGCAGGTGTCCGCATGTCGTACATGCCAAAGTGGCCATCAAGAGTAGAAAAGTATAGCATGTTGGCGTCATTCTTGGATATCTCTATACCAGAAAGGGGTGCATCCTCATTCGCATCGGCTGGTGCGTATATTTCTACGGCGACCCCTTTTGCGAGATCGAGCTTCCGAACAGTGGAGTCATATGAAGCGGAATATAGCGCGTTTGTGTCATGAGGGCTGAACTGAAATGTATGGATCGTCCGTGTATGTGGCTTCAAAGTTGTTATACTGGCTCCTTCCACCTCCGCATCTTCGTCCTCGTCGTCGACCTCAGGAGCCTTTTGTGAGCCATCGCATATCCCGAGATTGCCGAGTTTGTCGCCTGCGAAAACCAATGGCTTTTCTGTGGTAGGATGCAGGCCTAATGCGTACTGTAGTAGAGATGAGTAAATAGATATTCATAGCACTGCGGAGAAAACGTACAATCCGCTCGGGAGTAATCTTCAACTCGTTGGGCTCATATTCTGACCATAGTTCCAGCCCACTCATCTTCTGTCTCAATGCCCTCAGATCTTTGTCTGACGTCTCTTTCACATCCTCATCATCGAATGTACGCTCGTAAGGCTTCGCTGGCCCAACAATGGACAGGAAGTTCCCGTTCATGTCCCATTCTTTGCCAGCAACCACGATATCCTTGAAGTTGTAGGCATCGCTTATTCGCTGTCGTTTAGCTTTGTCTGCGTCTCTGCGTGCTTCGAGTTCCTCTTCGGCCTTGCGCTTCGCTTTGTCGCTATCGGCTTCGATGCCTCTGAGTCGAGAAGATGTTCTTCGCGGTGTAACGTCCTCTTGCTTGATCTTCTTAACTGGGGTTTTCTTCGGTTTGGACTTGGGCTTTGCAGAGGCCGATCCCTTTGCAGTGGGTGCGAGACCGGCCTGCGCAGCCTCCATCTCCAAGTTGCGCAAAAGCGCCTGCGTCTTAGCGATGTTCTCCTGCCGCTTCTGCTCATATTCGCTCAATTCGACTTTGGGCCGGGCCATGCTGGGAAATGCTGATGAAGGTATGTGATCGCAACGGAATATCGATATCGGGAAGATTGAATATTGATACAGTGCTGTTGATTATTAGATCGGAGATCAGTGTTACCGTCAAAATGGCGAAAGACGCAAATATGAACATTGACCAAATTGATACTGATAGTCGCGTAGAGTGGCGAAACAAGACGCGACTAGACGCGTCGCGATCACGTGCGAGTCTAGAACACTTTCGCGCATAGGACGAGAACAACAGGTAGTCACGATTCAAGCATGCAATCCGTGTGGCAAAAGCATGCTCCCCACGTTACCTATAGACTGCCTTCCTGGATCGAGGTTTGAGATCTCAACTGCTGTCTTGGCGATGCTAATGCCTTTTACTGCTGGTAATGTAACAATACACACTTCAAATGTTGATATGATGATTTTGCAAATATGTACGAAAGATACGACAACAGAACATTCGTGGATCCATTAAATCGTGTATCCCACAGTATGCCCATGAGTGAATAGAAAGATCAGGCCGCAACGCATCATAGAGTCTTCAAATCAACTATGGGAGTCGAGAGAAGAGCAGTATAATCAGCGGTTGAAGTTATAAGCTTCGATGCGCTAAGCGATTTTTGGTAATGTCCCTGCCTTTTTAGCACATGAGCGCTCCGAGATTCTTAGGCTCCTCCGGGATGAAGCTCTCACCATCGCTCCGGGTCGAAGCATCTTTCCACCCATACCCACCTCAATGCCGCCCACACAGTTAGCACGAGCGCTTCCTAGAACGTCCCGAACAGCCTCATCTCGCGGCGCAGAGGGATTCAGGCAGAGATGTTGCTACCATTCTTCCCAGTATAGCCAACCCCCGCCCTTTGCCCCGGCCGAGTCCGCAATCCTCTCCGCTGCGATGTCCCATGTACCCAATGTCGGTTTCACAATAGACGCGCTGAAGCTGGGAGCTCGCGACGCCAATTATCTAGATGCTTCCACAAACTTGTTCCCCCGCGGGGTCTTTGATCTTGTCAATTACCATCTTGTGACGCAACGGCTGGCTCTGAAAGACACAGTGCAATTCCCACCCGAAGGTGAGAATGGAAAGAAGTTGGGAATTGGATCCAAAATCAGGACGCTAGCATTGGCGAGGTTGCGGGCCAACGAGCCTGTCATAGACAAATGGCAGGAGGTATGTGTCCCCCCATCCACAGCTTTTCATGAAGCTCACCATGGATTCAGGCGCTCGCTATCATGGCCCAACCTTCCTTCATCCCTCCCTCCCTTGCCGAACTAGCGCGACTAGCCGATGAGATATGGTACCTTGCAGGAGACAAGAGCGTGGATGGTAGCTGGTATACCAAACGAGCAAGCTTTTCGGCCATTTACTCGTCCACGGAAGTGTTTATGACGCAGGACAAATCCAAAGACTTTAGGGAAACAGAGCAATTCCTCGATGCGAGGCTAGCTGATAGCATGAAGTTGGGGAGCACATTCGGTGCGTTGAGCGCGTGGACTGATTATACGGCTCATTCTGCCGTAAACGTTCTCCGGAGCAAAGGCGTGCGTATCTGAGAATGAAGACACGCGCGGACGGCTTGGTCACCAGGGCATGATTGCGACCAGGGTGGTGTAGTTGATGATGTGTAAATTAGGACAGCTGTAATACTAGTGTGTTTAATATAAGGCAACGCCACGACGCGTGAGTGCAAAGCGGCTCGAGTCTCGGACTCGGGTAGACATGAGAATGCGCATCATACAGCAGGTAGGTGCGGATATCTGAGATGGATGTATCGAGATGGCTGATGCCGATATGCACAATTCAAAACACAGACGGTGTCTCTCGGTGGGCAGAGCCGGCCAACCAAAGAAGTCGCGTGGTGGTTGGCGCGTGGGATACGGGCAAGAGCAAGTTGGATGATGCCACGCGGGTGGAGAAAAATCGTGCGCACACCAGATACGCCAAAAATGACGTCCACTATCACTTCAACTTTCACTGATTGTCTACTCCACCAACAATTGATGTATGTATGTACTTTAATATTTCTGGGACGAGCTCTTCTGTGTTAGCAGAGCAAGACGTAGCAAATTTATCATCACTAATTAATTTGTATGTGGTAGGCTCACCCAAAGCATTTGGTGTGCGCACTATTTCCCCACCTGCGTGGATGGCTAGACCCGAGCAATAGCGCATGGAGGATATGACGTAGAGCTATCCCAGAATGGCTGCGAGTCATCGAGATCGCATCCCCCAGCCACCAATAAGCAAGGTCCCAGCGATTGAAATGCGAGCGGAGCCATGACATGGTACGAATCAGAACTGTGGACAACTGCTAGGGGAGATGAAGAGGATGAAGAGGACGTCGATCGCTTGCAATGTGCCGATCGGGGCTGGCTGGCTGGCTGGACCCTGGATTTGTTCCTCAGCCTTACCGTCTTCCTTTGATCCATCCTGTCTGTGTGTGGCTCACCAGACTACGACTTGCTGTCCCCATTCCCATCGCAGAGCCATGGCCCGTCGAACGACTGCTACCGGACCACCAGTCGATGATAAATAGTACGGCGGATGGCGCGGGCGAGTTGGCCTGGAAAGTCGTTGCAATGTTTGCAATCAAGACGAGGCCTCAGCTGTGCAAAGGGCTACTAGCAAGGGGCTCATGGTCATCGGCCGATGCGTCTAGGCCGGCCCGTCATATCACACTGATTTCGACGCGTAGCGACGATAGCGACGACGTCTTGGCGGGCTTCAGGATCGAAGATTCATCGTTGAAATCTCCAAACCGCACACGCCTCCCACCAAGCAGAATGCTACTTCTTTTCTCACCCATGGCCATGCGGCGCTGCTTTTTCATCAACCCATCGCTGCCCTCACCAGCTGCTCACCACATATACCACATATTCTCTCAGCACTCCCGATCCTTCTCCTGCTCCATCGCCAATCGACTATATCGACTATCCACCCTGATCCTAATAAACACTACTTACCCCAACTCCGCTGCTCGACTTGCTGCTGCACCTGCTGCACCTTTGAGCATGCTGGTCTCCTAGACCTTTCAACTCCCACTATAACACAACCACCGTATCAACCACCATGAGCGATCCTGATCCTATGCCTCCAGGAACCATCCCGCCGCTCGAATCAAAAATATCCCGTCACCCTCGTCGCCCTCTCGCCCACAAGTCTGTTTCCCTCCGCCATAATTCACCAACCCACCGGAAACCCGCGCATGCACCTTCCTTCCACCAGCCTCAGCAAACGTCCGTCTCTCCGAGCTCTCTCAACGCTTCCGCAAGCGATAGAGTGAACCCACCCTCGAGTCTTTCGCCTAAGCTTCAATCCAACAAGTACAGCTCTGGGGAAAGCAGTGATGCAGGCAAATGGTTCGAAAGCTCCAACAACAATGCAATCCAGAGCAATGCGTCCTACGCTGACAATGATACCCCGTTCTTCCTGCGCAATTCTTCCTCCGGCGACACCCCACCCGAAGGACAAGCATCGCACGCAGATCAGCTTAACACGTTAAAAGTCCACCGTCCCGACATCGCCCACGGGGGCACCGACGGTAGCAGCACAGAAGAGTATCGGGGCGTCATTGATGATTTAACTGTTGCCAACAAGAAATTGAAGCGCAAGCTGAAGAGGTTTGAGAAGTTGTATGATACTCATCTACAAAACGAGAAGCTCTTTGAGGTTCGCTTCCATGGCTTGTCCGACTACAAGAAGAAGGAATTGGAAGAGACGTTGCGCAAATTTGCCGACAGTTTGAACGATGGTCCCGCCGACAACCTGCTCAACCCACCTTTCTCGTCGTACCCACCTATCCTCGACCCCCACAAAACCTCATCGTCAAACCCCTCGCGCTTCGCCGAATCTGGGTACGCGTCCATGTCCGCTTCAGGACAGAACTCTTCGGGTCCCTCATATCCAGCACACTCTGGAGATACCGACCACCGCCGAATGACGAAATCGCAATACAATCGACAGCAGCAATCCATTCAATCCTACCTGCACGACATACCTGCAGGCTTGCTTCCGACCAACGAAGTTCCCATGTCGGAAAAATCGAAGAAGAAACTGGTCGTGCGCCGTCTCGAGCAGATCTTTGCTGGGAAACGATCAGCCCCAGGAAACCATTCGCAGCCCATGCAGCAGGAGGAGGTCGCTCAGTCTGCTGCATCGGCGGACCGTCAGGCTAAAGAAGCAACAGGCCAGCATACAAAGCATGAGGGTCACCGGGAGGCTCGTATCATGCCCGTAAAGGCCGACGACGAGGACATTGTTACTACATCACACATTCAAAATCTGCAAAGACTGCGCCCGAACCTACAAGTCAACGAGCAAGACTTTGCCGGGTCTGCATCTCCAGACCAGCGGCCAACAAGGCCATTGGATCTGGACCTCTTTCGCGCACAGGTCCCCTCGGACAATATGGAGTATATTCGCCATCTTGGATTCACACCACCAGACATGGATACTGGAGAAGCACCGCAAATGGGACATGGATGGATATATCTCAATCTGCTCATCAATATGGCACAGCTGCACACTATCAGCGTCACGTCGGATTTCGTCAAGACAGCAGTGACGGAATACAGCTCCAAACTCGAACTCTCTCACGACGGCCGGAAAATTCGGTGGAAAGGCGGTCTGGATGAAACAAAGACCAGTAGTGGTAGCTCGTCAGAACATATGAGTGGATACTCGCCCTCGGAGGCCAATGGCACCAGTACTGGCGTCAACAGCAACACCCGGACCGGCAACAGTGGAAGTACAGGAATCAACCTGGACGCAGACCGTAACGCCCGACGTCTGGCCAGGGCTCACAGGCAGAAGGAGCGGGAGAAACTCAGCTATACACCCATATTTTTCCACAAGGAAGAGTCGGACGAAGACGAAGACTTCTACGGTTATGACATGATGTCTTCAACTATATCCAACGTGCAGCGCCAGCAACCGGGAGACTCTTCAGGACTTGGCAGTTCAGCCATGCGCAGCTCCTCATCACGAAAGCGTCGTGACGACGGTCCGATGATCTTCTATAACAAGGCGAACTTTTGTACGGACCTGAGTGGGGATCTACGGGGACTTGCTGGTCGCCAACTCGATTCCATTGATCTTTCCAAATCTCACGCTCTGGGTGTCTCGCGCTCTCCTAAACGCTCTGCCCAGTACTACGCAATGGAACGTCGCCGTCCTCATAAGACACCATCACCGGACTTGGACGTCAGAGACGGTACCAATACTTCTTCTAGCGATGGAGATATACAATTCTCTCCCGATCCGATGATTATTGACAGTGGGTTAGAAAGTCCTAACATCGTGGACTTTGAAGCATCCGGTGTTGGCGGTGTTCACCCAGCAGATAATTTTTCGGTCAAGGTTCGCCGGGCTATTCACTCGTCGTCTGTAAAAGCCCCCGTGGCCCTTCCAAAAAGAAAATTTTACCCCCAGGAAGTTCTTCAAGCTCTTGCAGGCAGTGACGACGCTGATAGCAGAGTCATGCGAATGACGAATCAACCGCCGCATGTCAGAGAAGAGATACTGTCAGCAGCTCGCAAACCACTGCCTAGCTCGTCGCTTCCACCGGCCTCTTTCCTACCATTCGATTCTACTTCATCTGGAGAAGTCGATTCGGATCTTGATGATGAGATTTCCTCCAACCCTTCAACCACAAGTTCTTCCGTGAATGGTCCAATCGGCGCTCCTATCCCTACTCTTTCTCTTTCGCCTATCTACCCAGGGGATCAAGACGACAGTTCAGAGGACGAATCTTCTGAAGACGAAAGTTCGGATGATGGGTCAATAGATCTGCTAGCTACCGCACGTCAAATGGATCCGAGCACGATCCGAGCATCCGAACGCGAGTATGATGCCGCACTTGCCGAGCGTCTTGCTGAATGCATCCCAGCCGGTAGCTCAGCAGCCACCGGTGGAGGAGGTGAGTTTGTCTTATGCGAATTGTAACTTTCATGATTCTAATGTCCTTGACCAGGGAGTGGATTCAACAGTCCATACCAAGCGATTCCTGCCAGTACAACTCGCAATAGCACCACCAGTGGAAGCATGTCCTCACGCACCCAAAATCTGAAGCGTACTCGGACTCGAGATATGGCCAATACAGCCTTGCAAGAAGGCAACAATCGAAAGAGTCAGCGCACGGAATAAATTGATGACACAATATCATCGAGCCATCACATAACAATAATATCGAACGAGTACAATTGGCTCCTGCCGAATATAATGCACAGCATACGAAGAAATGTGGCCTATACTTGCACACGAAAAATATATCAACGGTGGCGCACGAGGAATTAAGGCATGGGTGTTGATCGGGAATTATTAGGGTCCTTTTTTGTGTTTCATTTGGCTATCTCGAGCATTTTGGGCGTCGGCGAGCTTCTTTGTAGATTCTATACCCCCTTCACTTCAATGTTGTATTGGAATTTATGGATCTTTTCCATGCCTGAGATGATCCCGGGCTGTGAAACTTGTTTGTCTACAACCTGGATACATGATAGGTCGTGTGTTGTAAAACCCGTCACTGTCCGAGGATGAGGAAACACTGCAAGCAGATAAAATTGATGATGATGTGGATGCCCATCGACGCTTGCCAGTCCCCATTGAGTTTTATAAATATGTGCCCCTGGATGCTGTGACGAACCGGTGTCTCTAATTACAAAGTGATCTGGAATCGAGCACAACATTTGGTGGTCGCAGGGGTAAAACGAGTGGATTGTATATACTAGGGAAATACGAAAGCAAACTAAAAACACTGGAACCAGTCCCATGCAATCTGGGTGTGATCAACTACCCCTTCTCTTAGCTACAAAATAAACAAAATCAAAACAGAACAAAAGAATATCAAAATCAAAGCACCAACATCACCAAGGGCGACACTTTCAGTCAGACATTCCAGTACCATCACACGGGCTGCGTCCAGTGGGATCGATCCCACACAGCAGCAGCTCAATGCTGAACATCGATGCTGTAGAAAGCAACCTCACTAGGGCTATCGCCCTGGTTGTAGTTGCCAGCCTTGAAGTAGCAAGGAGGGCTCTTGATCTGGCCAGTGCTCATGGTCTTGGCCTCGCCGCCGTTGATAGCAACACTCAAAGCGCCCTTCTCATACCTCAATTCGTAGCTGAACTTCTCGCCAATCTTGACTTTGCCAATCTCCGTCATCTTGAGGCTGCTCACATCCGGGATCTGGCTGACTCCCAGAGTCAAAGTGCCGCTCTTGTTGATGAAGAGCTCGCAGAGAGGCTTCTTGGAGACCTTGTCGTCGACTTTGACTTGTCCGATGACGGTGCCGTATTTGGAGTCGTCGGCAGTGACGACGGTCAGTTCAGCCTTGAGACGGTTGGTAGCGGTCTTTGAGTCCCAGGACTGGGGCGAGGCTTCGCGGAGCTCGGTGCGGCAGTGTTTGCTGTTTGGGGTGGTGACGCAGGGCGAGGAGCTGGGGGAGCCGGGGACTTTCATGACGACGGCACCGTCTTTCTTATCAGTGAAGAAGTACTGTGCGTTTGTCCAGCCTTGGCAGCCTTTGAGCTTGTCGCCCGAGACTTGGTCGACTTTGCCTTTGCTGCCGGTTGGGAGCTGTAGGCTGAACTTGGAGAGATCAAGGTTGCCTCCTGGGGCGCAAGACGGGTTCACTGAGGATTACGAGTTAGTGTCTTTTGTACAGTTCTTTCCGACACTATTTATGTCTTGAACCGTCACGCCGTGTGGAAGCTTGTGGCATCCTAGATGTACTTACATGCACGTGGAACAAGAGGGTTGGGCGTGATGGGTGCAGGAGCAGCAACTGCAAGACCGAGGAAGAGAACGAGCGCAGACTGGACGGGAGTGTACATCTTGAAGTTTGGTTATGGCGATTTGATTTGGTCTCTTTTTAAACGAATAAAAATCTCTGTTCGGAATGGATGGTAGAAGTTGTGCTTGAAGCGAATGAATGTATCTAACGATGTTGAACGAATGACTTTGGAAGCGAAGGACTGAAACGAAGCAGATGAGATGAACTGTATGATATTTTTCACGGCAAGGCTGAAGATATCGTACTTATAGTTCTCTCAGCCAAGTCGTTAATACTATTTCCATCATGATGTTTATGCGAACTTCCCATTTGGCGTTGCTGACGGTCTTTCTGGAGATCCTCAAGCAAGCCATCTCTTTTACTAGCGGCAGGATTTAATTCTCCGAGCGCAGTGTATTGGTGAGTAACCATGAGTTTGCCCTATATAGGGCAACATCAACGGGGCATTGATACTGTGAAGCACGGCATGGTTGGTGAGTAAGCGTTATGAGTCTGGATACGATGTCCGTGCCGGCCCCAGCACCTACTGACTAGTACAACAGGAGACATCGGAGTCGCGCCATACCTATTTAACGCGAATCGGACTTTAAGCTCCGTAGAATTCTTTTCGTGGTTTTGGTAACTATCACAGGAAGAATTGGGAAAGGTCGATTTATGCAGTTATTTGGGTACACATAAATGTATTTAAGGGGTAGTTCGCTTGTGTCGTTACTTACTAAGTGACTACTAAGTATGCAAGTGACGAACGCTTTATCATTAATTTCGAGTCGAATTCAGTGGAAGCCGAAAATGTTATACCGGCAAGAGAATTAACATCAGGGACGTTCAATCGAAAGATGCAAGTGCACATGCATATCGATCTTGGGGTAAGAAACATCAACGATGCAAATCCGAAATGCAAACAGCTTTCCTGTTGAAATGAGCATGCGCTCGTCCAGGTACAACAACTTTTGAACATAACAGTCTAACATTCCGAGGTAAACGTACGGGAAGTCGTATGGAGGGGACATTTATACGAGAAGCGGGGTTAGACTCAAGGTGCTTCTAGCTCCGGGAGCCATCTTCCCAAAAGCAATGCGGTTGAACTTTCCCGCACTAGATAGTTGCCGTAACCAAATGATATCAGTAGCCAAATAACACTCGCAGTCGTTCTTGCCATATTCAATCCACATCCTATCGTAGCCATTCAACGCCAGATACAGTTGAAACATACGCCAATACAACCACTAGAGCGACAGCAATATGGGCTCGATGCCAAAGCAGATGCGAGCACAGCAGTACGTTTTCTACAAAGGCCAACGCCATCAGAACCAAGCTAACGCGTGCATACAAGATACGATCAACGCGACAACAAACTGCATCTGAATGAAATTCCAGTGCCCGAGCCCCGCGAGCATGAGATACTAGTGAAGATCGCATGCGCTAGCCTATGTCACTCCGATGTGATGCATTTCGAACCGAACGATCAAGGTTTAATACTGGGACAGAATCCAGTCACAATTGGGCACGAAGCGACTGGCACCGTCATTTCTACCGGATCGGGCGAAGCAGCAAAGAAGTTCAAAGAGGGCGATGGCGTGGGTTTCCTCTGCGCGGTAGAATGCTGCTTCGACTGCGCAAATTGTAGAACTGTTCACAATTCGTGGTGCGTCACTGGCAAGACGAAGATACAGGGCTTCTCCCTCAATGGATACTTCCAGGAATATGCCGTGGTGGATGCCCGCGCTGCCATGGTACTTCCCGAAGGATGTACGTTGTCGTGTTGGGAACAAGTCACTCTGAACTAACATGGACACAGTGGACGTGAAAACGGCGGCGCCATTATTCTGTGCTGGAGTGACCGCCTACCACGGAATTGAAGATTGTGAGCTACAAGCTGGTCAGTGGATAGCAGCGGTTGGATGTGGAGGCCTCGGCCACTTGGGAATACAATACGCCAAGTGAGTAAATGTCTCCTTATTCTGCTGGCAGTGCGGTTGTTAACGACTTTGTACAGAGCAATGGGACTGAAGGTTATCGGTCTTGATATTGCGGAGCAAGCTTTGGAGGAAGCCAGGAGGTGTGGTGCAGATCATGTCTTCAATACGGCCAAAGATCAAGACTGGAAGAAGAAAGTTTTGGAGATAACCAATGGTGGAGTGGACGCTGCCGTTAACTTCACTGCTTCAAAACGCTCTTACGATGATTGTCCGTCCATTATCAAGCCGGGTCAAGGACTTCTGATGGTGGTAGGCATTCCTCGTGAACCGTTGCAGCTGAATGCTCTTGACATTGCGCTCCGCCGCTACAGAGTCAAGGGAGCCAACAATGGAAGTGAGTTGAACAAAGCAATGTGTTTATGATAAACGTGGATGTAAGAACTAACCGACGATGACAGCTTGTTACAATATGCGTCCCGCCATCGAATTCAGCGCGAAACATAACATTCGGCCACACCTGACTACGTATAAGTTGGAGGATGTCCCCGATATGATTGAGCTGATGAACTCGCACAAAGCTCAGGGAAGGATGGGGGTTGTTTTCGATTGATAAAGGATGCATGGAGCTGGGTTTGAGCGCACTGTATAGCAGCGTATATTGATAATTATCCAGTAAAGTCAAACTACCGTAAGATGTTCATAATCAAAGAGAATGGTAGTTGTTGCAGATGAGTGATGCCCCTCCAGCGGTCTTTTGCCGCCACTGATTGGCCAAGGCGTTGTCGCGGCAACGGGATGGATGGCCGCGGGGATGCTTTAGCGCTCCTCCATTTCAGAGAAAATCAACACGCCATCCCCACCAACTTCAGTGACCACCCTAGGTAGGATACGACACGGTACAACGCCGAACGACAACAACGACGACGACAACGGATAATTTTGCCCCCTTTTCTATCATATATCTCTTCCACTTCTTGTCCTCGTTTCTGAGTTCCGGGGCTTTTTCTCTCTTCACTTTGATACCCCTCATCAATCGGCGCCATGGGCTCCGACGACTTAATCGACTTCGAGATTATCGAAAACCAGAAAGAAAACATACAGGCCTTGCCAAGTGGGCGATCAGCAAAAGCCCTCGCACAGCTATACACACCACCCCTCTCCTCTAAACCCGGCCAGACTCCTTCGCCCGCTCAAACACAGGACGCGCACAACGAGACACGCTTGAAATTCGAAAAGGAGTTGATGGCTATTGACGATTCTGATGATCCGCTCGACATCTACGATCGTTATGTAAAGTGGACGATGGACGCATATCCCTCAGCCCAAAACACGCCGCAGTCGCAACTGTGCCCACTTCTCGAACGAGCCACCAAAGCTTTCCAGTCCTCCACCCACTACAAAGACGACCCGCGCTACCTAAGGCTTTGGCTGCACTATATTCGATTCTTCTCCGATGCTCCTCGTGAGGCTTTTGCCTACCTGGCGCGACACAACATCGGCGACCGCTTGGCTCTATTCTACGAAGAGTTTGCCGCCTGGCTTGAGACGGCAGGCCGGTGGACTCAAGCAGAAGAGGTATATAGCATGGGAATTGATAAGGAAGCGCGCCCTGTAGAACGGCTGGTCCGCAAATATGGAGAGTTTCAGCACCGGTTCGAAAGCCGCGCACAGGATACGCCAGAGCCCACCAGCCCCGCTCTACCTACGGTCCGTCCTGCACTTGCCGCAAAGGTCGATCCCTTCTCTCACGCAGCAGCTGGACCCATGGACACGCAGGCTCAGAGTCGAGCTCGCACCGGAGGAGCAGCCACTCAAAAATCCGGCAAGGCAAAGCTTGCCATTTTCTCAGATGCAGACGAACCGCCGAAGCCTGGCTCTAGCGGTAGTACAAAGGGGTGGGACAACATTGGGTCCCTAGGCGATCGAAAGAAAGAGAATACCACTGAAGCACGATCCTGGGTAGGGGAGACCCTGAAGGTTGGAAAGAAGAACACTGGTGTGCAGAAGCTGATGATATTCAAGGACGAGGTAAGCTCCACAAGTCCTTCTATAACCCCCATCATATATTTACGATCACAGGACTAACGGGTTTGGCGCTTGCCACATGTATTTCAGAACGAATCAAATTCTAATTCAGAACCCACCACCCTCCACCCTTTGCGTGAACACCAGCAGGCGATGAATCCAAAAACAGGCAGATTAGAGGTTGTTTTCGTAGATCTGCTAAAAGTCTACCCTAACCATGAGAATCCCTTATCCGAGGAGTACTCTTTCGAAGAGCTGCGAGCTAAGCACCGTGGCTGGCTTGAGAAAGATTGGGCTGCCATCAGACGCGAAGAGGAAAAACAATCAATGGAGCTGATAGACATCTCAGCGCCCCAGGCAACTAAGCCCGAAGCATCGCCTTTAGCACCCAGTCAGAAACCAGAAGAGCCGCCAAGACAACAGACTGTTCCACTCAAAGGGAGTATAGATGACGAAAATAACATAAATGATGAGAATGCGCCCCCGTCGCAGCTTGAAACAGAGAAAGCGCGAGCAGCCAAGAAACAGCGCAGGGAAGATCGCGCCAATCGCACGAGGAAAATCAAGGTAATGGACGTCAAGGAGATACGTGGAGAGACACAGACCAGTAGGTTCTCACGATCAGTTGGACTGATTATATTTGCGATAGGCGTAGGACTAACAGACTGTAGTCCAAACGAATCTCGACTCGCCCACTGGCCGGAAAGTCAGACGGAAGAAAGGCAGTAGAGAGAAAACTGTGACTATCCATACGAAAGAAGCCATGGACGAGATCTATGACATCTTCAACCAGCCACTACAAGATGCCAAAGAGTTGGATGCGGTAGCTGAAAGTGAGGAGGAGAGTAGCGAAGAAAGTAGTGATGGCGAAGAAGAAGATGACGATGAAGATGATTATACCAGTGCGGGCGAGAGCACTGGAACAGGTCGGTTATCGTGTGTGAATAGTGAGTTCGGAGACGAAACTACAGCAGGGGATTTCACTCTCGGAACAACTGTAGGCGACAATGACGATAGCGGGTCGGAGGCAGATGACACGGATGGAAAGAGCGTATCGGGTGCCTGGTCCGATTTCACCGAAATCAAACATGACTCTGAAGAGCATGAGCCCCAGCTTTCGGATGCCGAGCAAGAGTCTGACGGGGAATCTCTCACCGCGATACCTCACGAACAGACAGGAGATCATAGCCCGGAGGCCGTAACGCCTACCTCTCCAGCAGCATCATCCAATTCGCTTCCTACTCGATTTGTACCGGTACCTCCAGAAGACTATGAAGTACCTACCCGGCCATATCGTGATCCTGCCATAGCGGCTAACAACCGCCTACCGTTCATGACACCCATCGTTGAGAAAACCGAATCCTCTCTCGGAATTGCAACTGCCCTCGCTCAGAAGGAATATATCTCAGCCAAGACCCCATCCCGGTCAAAAGGCGCACCTGCTATCCTTGAAGATGACAACGAGCTATGGAGTAGCCCTCTCCAGGAAGTTTTGGGGAAACCCATCGAGGGAAAAGAAAAATTGTCTAAGCTGGCTCTGCGTGAAGTAAAGACTGGACTCGAATTGAAACCAGCAGCGGCACTCAAAAAGGATGACAACAATCACGGTGTGAAGCCGAAAGGACCCATCATCAAGGACTTACAATGTAATCCCGTCGACGAAGGGATCCGAGAGGCAATATTGCGCGAAATTCAGCCACCACTATCGTCGTACGAGGGGTATTTTGCCGACACTCAGAGGATCTATGGGAAAGGGGCGGAAATCCGAAAGTACACAAAAGCTGTGGGCAAGGCGAATGGCCGCAACTCAAGCGAGAAAACGACAACCAAACTATCCATTCCACCTACCCTTGTGTTTGAAACCTCCGACAGGATGTACACGGTGAAAAAGGAATTGGGAAAGGGCGCTTTTGCCCCGGTCTACCTTGCCGAAAGCACTGAAACAGACGAGCAAGATGAAAATGCCCCTGCTGTCATGGGTAAGGGAGAATTTGGCCTCCAGCGTCGTTCCCTAGAGGCCATCAAGATGGAGGAGCCACCATCCCCATGGGAGTTTTATATGATGCGCCAGACCAAGCGGCGCCTCGGTGTATCCAGACCAGTCGAATCGATCGTCCACGCCTACGAAATGCACATGTTCAAAGACGAATGCTATCTCATCGAGGAGTTCCGAGACCAGGGTACTCTCCTTGACCTGGTCAATATTGCGCAGGCCGAAAGCGGGGTCATGGACGAGCATCTGGCTATGTTTTTCACGATCGAGCTGTTCCGCACGGTTGAGGCAATGCATGCAAAGGGGCTGATCCATGGCGATCTCAAGTCCGATAACATCCTGGTCCGTTTCGATGCAGTCCCAAAGGATGGTGTATGGGATTCACAATACAAAATCGATGGTAGTGCCGGCTGGGCCTCTAAAGGTGTGGCCTTGATCGACTTCGGTCGCGGGATCGATATGAAGGCCTTCATGCCAAACGTACAATTCATTGCGGACTGGCCGACCACCGAAGCCGACTGCGCTGAGATGCGAGAGCTCCGCCCCTGGACGTATCAAATTGATTATCACGGTCTCGCAGGTATACTTCACAATCTGCTATTCGGAAAGTATATTTCGACACTAGCGGAACGCGCAGCCAACTTGGGTGCCGGTGCAACCAAGACCTACCGCATCAAGGAGAGTTTGAAAAGATACTGGCAGACAGACATCTGGCAAGAAGCTTTCCATTTACTCTTGAATCCGCTCATGCATTTGAGTGGAGAGGAGGGTAGCAAGATGCCTGTGTTGAGAGGCATGAAGGAGGTCAGAGAGAAGATGGAGATGCATCTGGAAAGCAACTGCGAGAAGGGGGTTGGCTTGAAGGCTCTGATCAGGAGGATGGAGGATGCCATGAAGAAGAGATGAGAGATGTATTGTGACGACAACTATGATGTTTACGAGTTTCGTTTTTTGGCATTGGATTGGCGTCGAGCATTGCATTTCTAGGTGTTGGGTTAGTCATTATGTTTTATACCTGTCCGAGTACATGTAGGGACTTCGAGCACCTATTTAATTCCACGCCTACAGTACCCTCCGTGATTAAAGAGGGCGCACCGCCACTCACTTGAACTTGTACGACGCGACCGCCACCGCGGGGCTAAAATCGGGTCTGTGCTTAGTTACCAATGGCAGCCTAGAGCTCTCATGAGCTTCACTCACGCGGTGATGATGCATACGACAACCAGATAAACAATCCCGCAACCGCCAGAAACTCCCAACCCCAGGACACAGCCTTGCTCTACACTCTCCCCTTGCTGAGATTGCCGAACCAAGGCTACTACACAACCAAAATTACCCTAGAAGCCGGCTTTCCACAACGCAGCTTGCCACCGATTGGAACAACACACGGCGGTGAAGATGGCTGCAGAGCTGCTGAATAGCTTATTGGCATTCCAGCCTGATGCGCCTGAGGTCAAAGACAGGCGCGAGTATGACAGGCATGCTCGTGAATTCATCGACACCCTCCACAAGTGCTCACAGTCCCTCTTTCTCAAGGGCGCAGACACCCCGCAAGACGTGCTGAACGTAAGGCTACCGCCATATTGAACATAACATACGCTGACCATGACATATCAGGTACTGGATCCGGCCGTCAACTCGATAGCGTATGCCTTCACCCTTCGGAACCGCATCCAGCACGCAATTGATAAAAACAATACACAAACATTGAAGCCTGGTAATGCGTTGTGGAATAAACTGGTGCAATTTCTGGAGTCATTCGATCCCATACAGATGCGCTATGCTGGTGTCGAGTATAAGAAATTGGTGGAATACGTGGAACTGATTGCGCGGGGTGTAAACACAGTAAGCTGGATCGCGCGAGAACCGTTGGAATCAGTATTGACTAACTACGCAACAGCCTGCGATAGCAGTGTCACCCATACGCTCCGCTATGTTGCGCCTCGATCCAACTACCGGATGCTTTACCACTACACATTTGAATTTTATAAGGCTATGTTTAGAGGGCCGAGCATACGCTGCTGCGCTACCCATCCTTGACAATTACATTCACAGCTTCCCAACCAATATCCAAAATTCCATACGGGAGAGCTCGGAATACGTTGTGCCATGTGCAGATTCAGTCACGAGCGGGGAATTCATCCACACTAAATCCGGGCACTCGGATAAGGTCACCTTGGCTGAGATTCAAGAGTACTATGTCCTGGGTGCCATAGCCTACATAGGAGCGCGACAGTTCAAAAATGCACACCAGATTCTTGAACACGTACTCGTGATTCCTGCGGCGGGCGTAGCAAACGGATTGATGCTAGAGGCATATAAGAAATGGGTGCTCGTGGACTGCCTGGTCAACCACACATCGGTAGGTAATTCTTCGAGGTTTATCGTGCGAAGAAACTACTGGTTATTGTCCAGCATCTTTACTTTTGCGAGCGTGGCTGTCGATTGCATCACCCGGTGTGAAGTATCCCAAGCTAACAGTGCAGCAGTCCAGGCAAGTACCACGCACGGCGAATCCCAGCTCAATCAAGCAAATTCGCGCAGCAGCTAAAGCATATGACGCACTGGCCGATGCTTCTTCAGACTTCAACAATCTTCCTAAACTGAAGTCTCAAGTGGCCGCGGGTCGAGATATTTGGGCTGAAGTGAGTGATTTGTGTCTTTTTGGGAGCAGGTCTGAATTGGCTTTGTGATGTTTCATCCCACATGAAACTCGGCCATCTTGTTTCGAAGAACAAACGCTGACAGTACACAGGATGGCAATACCGGGCTAGTAGAAGAATTAGTGGAACATCAATCCAGATCGTACGTGTCTCGACTATCCAAGACATTCTCGGCAATACCCGTCTCAAAAATCGCTGGCAACGTGGGTGGTAACGTAGATGATACGACAGCCTTCGTGGAGAGTCTGATTGAGAAGGAATTCTTGAATGGCCGGCTGGAGCGGAGTGAGAAAGCAGGAGGGGACGCGGTTTTGCGATTTTACCTGGATCCGACGCAAGGGCCGCTCGCCAAATCGGAGAAGCAACAGCAACTCGGGTTACTACGACAGACGGAGCGGACCAACAGGCTGGCTGAACAAGTCAAGGATGCGGACTTCCGGCTGAGCATTAGCAAGGAGTATATCGAGTATGTCAAACGTCAGAGTAAGAAAGCCACGGGAGGGACCGGAGGCGATGCGATGGACGTCAGCTGGGATGAGGGCGACGAAGATATGATGGGCGACATGCGCTGAGATTTCCGAGCGGAGGAGGAATTGGGCGTTTGGAGGTTGTGGCGTGAGGCTCAGCGGCCGTCAAACGGTGGGAGCGATGCTGGGAGATGATACGGGAACATGACGCAATTCACGGGAATGCATGAGGTGAGATGATTATGGATGCGAGTTTTAGACATGACAGTCTTATGGGCATGGTTTGGGCATGGTGCCGGGAAAGTACATCGGTCGGTTAGCGAGAATAGTCCGTCGCAGGAGCGAATGGCCTTGCGAAACGAATGATGGATCCATATCAATGAAAACGTGCGTAAACAAGGACATGTGAGTGTGTGTCATGGGCAACGGTGGTGGCAGTGGTGATGATGTCTGAGGGGTTGACGGCGTCACCCCCTTCGCGTCGATAGGGGTTTGTTTGGCGCGATTGCGGGATGGATTCAGGAGGTATGCGTGTGAGTAGTCGCCGACATTGCTAGTGGAGGACATGTGATGATTGGAGACTAGATGGATTCAGGATTGTAAGATGTCAACTGCGTATGGATGGACATATGTACAGTGCAATACGCACTTTGAACAGGAAGTTGTCATGGCTACGGAGTTGTACACCTGCCACTGTAGGTAGCGTCGGTTCTTACATGGTCGCAGTGGTTCATCAGGGGCATTGCAAACTTGGACCCTCACTGAAGGTAGGTGCGTGACTTTGAAAGAGAGGCCCACATCCGGGCGGCAGCTCCAACCACTGTGCGAAGCCGAAAAATTTAGCATCCAACTAGCCATCCGTAGGCTTGCTGGAGTGCGATCCTAATGGTCTCGGTGGCCGGGCTACATGTGTAGGCTACGGGTTTTAGCTCTGGCCAGGTGGTGGAGGTTGCCAATCCCAACCCACGTAGCGAAGGGAGAGATTGTAGCAGGTATATATGTGCATGTCTTCAGGTATTACATACTATGTAGATATATGAGCGAAGCACGAGCCTGCCTGGAGAGGAGAAGACGTACATAGCTATGTAGATTTGAAATCAAAAGAGAGACAGCAGCAACTGATGGGATTCAATTGATACGCAATACGCACACATGCGTACGCGCACGCGCATTCCACAAAAAATTAACCAAAAAAAGGGCCCCGGGAAATCCCCCCCTTGCCCCTTGATGTAGTCCGGGTGCCCTAGTCGGGAACGATCAGCCAAGCACAGAGGCGTGAGAGGCTGCTCCTCGACGGGCCAGAGGCCTCTCTACTCGGGCCAAGTTTACGTGCTATTCAGCGGTAGGCAACCGTCTCTTCTACTCTACTACATACAGTACGCAGGCCTCTCCATACTTGCGCGCATCCCATCACCGCTCCCTTCCCGCCTCGTGCTGCAGCCCCCTCTCCGGCTCTGAGGTCTGAGGCTGCAAACCGTCTGCCCTACCCACGCACGCATCCATCCCTCTGTTCTGCTACTTGCTTGCTTGCTGCTGAGCTGTGCATCATCGAACCTCGTGCAGCGGTATCCCATCCCACCACACCACACACCTCCTCTCATCGCGCGGGTCGCCATGGATGCGGGAACCCAGACGTGCATGAGCAACCCACGGCATTAAATCCAGGTCTCCCGTCTCAGACACGTCCGCCCACGCCTGCATCGAGAGCGAACGAGCGAGCGAGCGATAGAAACACGCCCAACCATGAACATTTACACGCCGTCGCAGCCGGCAGAATTGCCCGCCGCCGCCTCGCCTCAACACCGTCGCCCCTCTCGCAGCAACTCCCTATCGTCGTCCCCCTTCGCGACCATCCAAAGGTCCGCCTCCTTTCGAGACTCGAACCCTGATCCCTCGCAACCCCACAAGATAACCTCACCGCCTGCCACCAGACGCCGTTCTAGCGCTGCCGCCGCCGCTGGAGATGCCATTGGCGCTTTCAGGGACGGAAGTGCCAATCTGAACCGCTGGTCCCAGGCCACCCACGATAGCACAAAGTCCCCCAGGGACTCGTCTTCCTACCACCACCACCATCAGCACCCCTCTTTGTCGCGTCAGTTGGCCCTCAATACCAGCGCTTCGGGCGTTCCAGTCAATGGCGCGCCGCACTCGCCTTCTCGCCTCAACCCGAACCAGCCGAACTCGCATTCTTCGCCTACTCGCACCAACATCAACAACCCCTTCGCTACTACCAACCGCTCGCCCACATCCAGTCCCCGTCGTACCAGCAGACCGCACTCGCCTTCCCCCTCTGCGAACCTGCTCCCCCAGATTCCATCTCTCCCGGCCCTGTTACCATCCACCGTGTACGATCCCACCAGTTCTAAGAGCGCTTCGTCGAGCAACCTACCCTTCACCTCCAGTCTGGCGAACTCTATCAACTTGGAAAGCAACAGTCCCTCTGACTACTTCAACCCAAGACCCCGCGCGTCTTCGAACCATCGGCCGGCATCGCGTAACAAAGCTGATAGAGTACTGGGAAGATCACCGCTTGGTTCGCCTCCGATTGGCGTTTTGGAGTCGGAAGCAAGGTACAGAGCCGGCTCTGCGTCTGCTCGGCCGGCACCTGCATCTCGGCCTCCTACCGCACCTCTTCCAAGGGATTCGGTGCAACCGCAAAACATAGGGCACGAACGTTCCATCTCCAAAGAGCAGGATTCTCGGGTGCGGAGTGATAGTACGAGTAGCAGGCTTGACGACGGTATTTCAGGTACGCCCCCGCGAACGCGGGAACGACGGGAAAAGGACAAAAAAGCGATGCTTTCACGCGCGCTACAGAAGGCGAACACTGCAGTTTTGCTGGACAATGCGCAAAATTTCGAAGGCGCCATGGAGGCGTACAGCGACGCTTGTAAATTGTTACAGCAAGTCATGATACGAAGTACGGGGGAGGAGGACAAGCGCAAGTTGGATTCCATTGTAAGTCAGCTGACCCTCGTGACCTCATTGCGCGTCCCCAAATCTTTTGATAAGGTACTGACCAAGCGCTAGCGAGTGACCTATAACAATCGCATTGAAGAGCTCAAGCGATTGGATACAGGCTATCAGGTCTCCAACGGCAAGTCCTTGCCCGCAAGACCGATGAGCAACGAATCTCTTGACGAAGGTCGATCTATGCTGCTTGATGCAGCGGACGAGGACGTCGTGATCGAAACAGCGTCCATGGCGAGAATCGTAAACGACCGCCTAGTCGAAGACGAGCCTTCCAGGGCTGGGACCGATTTCAAATCTTTGCAATCGTTGCCTCTCCGCACCGGCCAACCTGGTGGTCCCCGAGAATCGGTCATCTCGACAGCCATTCGTGACGTCCAAAAAGGAATGTCAAGTACAGACGAGTTCCATCTCCAACCACCCCCCGGCCGACTTGCTAGTGATGAAATTCCGGTAGGATCTCCCATAGAATCACCAATGGATCGAATATATATGCCGCCTCCACTTTCACCTCGGCGGGGACCACCGTCGCCCCTACCTATCCAGAGGGATGCGGATGCTGGTGCTCAATCTACTGGATCTGGCTTAAAGAAGAAAATAAGCAGCGAATCAATATCATGGCTAGATACAATCGACGAATCGGGCGGCTCTTCGTGCTCCTCGTCTGTGCACTCTCTTTCTCTAGGAGGTCTACGTCGAAAGCATATACGGAATGCGAGCGGCGCTACCGAAGCCGAATTCGATGCTGCGCTTGACGCAGCGGTAGAGGCGGCCTATGACGAAGGATATGAACCTTACGAGGATGAGCCGACACCGGATCTGGCCGAACTCGCAGCAGCAAGACTGAAGAGTACGGAACTAGTGAAAGAGAAGGCACGCCAGGCAGAGCGGGATGAAATAATTGCCGCAGCCAAACATAGGTACATGAGTACCCAGCTGCGCAACGAGAGTCTACCCCACGTGCGCGAAAGTGCCGAATACAAGTTTCAAGATGAGGCTGAAGAGGAAGAACGTCTACTGGATGAGATGACGAGGGAATATGGGTTGAATGAATTCGACTTTGATTTGCAAGCGAAGTCGTCATTGCCGCGGCAATCAGATTCCAGTGGCTTCTCCGGAAGCACGTACAACAGCTCCGTGTCGTCACACAGAACTACGGGTGGAACGTCGCTATCAACAGTTGCCGAGATAACGCATCTTCCGCAGCAAAAGCCACCTACAAATACCAAATTACCACCAATTCCTACCCCTTCCGAGCCTCTACCCTCGGTATCGGAATCAGAAACAACATCGCAAACGAGCGACGCTTCCCAGACAACGCCGAAAGCGGCATCTACAGCAAAAGAAGCTGCCTCAGTGCGAAGTCGGCGTCTATCTGGGCAGCATCTCAAGTCATTGAAGATTGAAACATCTTTGCCGCCAGTGCAACCTGCCCCACTGACTGACAAGGTCCCAGTACCAGAAAGAGAACCACGGCCTGAGGTTCCACCACTCCCCAAGTCAGCGGCAGCTGCGACATTCAGCAGCACGCAATCTCTACTAGAACCTGCACCCAAACTACCTCCGTTGCCGCAGCTGAATAACCTTCGCGCTCCCTCTCCGCAACCTTTACTTGCTCCTAGCCCTGCGGATACAAATTTCACCGCGTCACCACTTACGCCCGCTCTTAGCAATGCCATATCAAACGATAACAACCTGGCTCCTAGCTCACCAAAGACCGGGAAAAGCTCTGCGATGGGCATCAGAAAGAACAAATCGTCTCTTAGTCTTAAACAACGTACTTTGTCAATCTCCAGTCCGGATGGCTCGGATGGATCAGTCTCGACACCTCTTAGCGGGTCATTTCCGTTCGCACCGCGGAAACAAAGCACTGGTATGAACATGCCATTGCCGACACCCAGCGTGCCTACTTTCAATGTGGATGGGCTACCCAGTGGTGGATTACATCTTTTCGAAAGTGATATCCATACCCCCTACTCGCCCGGATCACCTAGTGCCACAGTGGCGAACGCTCCGATACCACTGGAGCCATGTCCGGACTCGTACTTGCTAAGGCCTTTTTGGCTCATGAGATGCTTCTATCAAACAATTGCACATCCTCGGGGAGGATATATCTCGACAAAGCTGTTCATACCACGCGACGTCTGGCGGGTCAAGGGTGTCAAGTTGAAGTATATCGACGAGAAAATAGCCAACTGCGACATGTTGACGGCGGCGTTGCAAAAGTTGTCTTCTGTGGATACGTTTGATGCCGATGCCGTTTTGGAGGAGATGCAAGCGTTAGAACTGATACTAGACCAAGTGCAAGCGCAACTTGCAAAGAAGCTCGGAAACGAAGTTGGTGTCCAAAGCGCTGCCAACCTCTTCAAGGACGCCAACACCGTTGGACAGGGCTCTGCGGCAGAGAGTAACTCGGAGAAGGGCTCGCATGGGTCGCAAGACCACGCGTACAAGAGTGCAATGTCGCAAAGCAAGTCTTATCTCACATCGTGGCGAAAGCTACGATCAAAGAATTCAGGAGTGGGCCTGAGCAATATGGCCGCATCGAAGAATGAGCGCGGCGAAGTGCCAAAGGATTCACTCACTATGGCTACGCTACCAATGACAAGTCTGCCCAACATCAAATTTGCGAGACGAGACACGTCCAATGTGTCGTTCGAGGGCCCTAACGCGAGCTACATGGGTAGTTTGGCGAAGTTGTTCGATGCGGTTCAAATTCTGGGTGAGTAGTTTTCATTCCTCTTTCTTCTCTCAATCTTGTCTGGGCCGTCGTCGACTCCATGCCCATCCCGCATATCTTGCGTTTGCCGAACCGCTCGAAACAAAGAAATGGGAAGCCATAACTAACGTTTTGACTGATAGACCAAATCGCTCGCCAAGTCGAAGACCCAGGCCTCAAACTCTCGTCACCTACACACGTCGGCCTCGAGCTCTGTGCCCGCCATGCCGCCGAATTTTTCGGCTTCTACATCTGTCGGTTTGTCTTAGCCGACATCACGCTCATGCTGGACAAGTTCATCAAAAGAGGAAGCGAATGGGTATTGGTATGATTACACACGCACACGATTTCTTGCTGTGGAAAGTCTACTACCTACCATTTTCTTCTACCGTGCTTTACCTACTATTGCTTGCTGTTCTGCACTGAGCAATACCATCTCCTGTCCTTTACCTTCACATTGCGCTGCCTGCTGGCCCGGTTTGATCTATTATTTCTCAATCGTGCTGTACGTATGCATCTGAACGAATGGGCTGGACGTGCGCATATGCGTGCTCCTCGCGTTCAATGTCCAATTTCTTTGCATCTGGAGTCTTTCCAGTAAGAGTAGGGTGGCGAAATGGAAACGAAGCGGATGCGCAACAAGACATGTCATGGCTCTATTTTCGATCAGATATCTTAGCGAGTTCTTTTTTTCTACCCCTTTTATATTTTCTCTCTCGTCCTCGAAAGGATAATACCAGCTCTGTTCTCTTTCCGATCCCTCTGCTCATGCATCCTCTCCGTCCCACTTTTGCAACTCTTTCTTTTTATATTCATCTTTCCTTTTCCCACATATCTCCTCCAATTGCGTATTCCACCCAAAGATATCCCTCCTCATGTGTTGTCGGAGAACATGCACATTTTTTTATTAATTCTGATACCGTCCATTCCAGCGAGAGCTTCTCTGCTCACTCCACTTCCTCTCCTTCTGCCCGAGATTCCAGATGTCATTCATCTGTACAATGCTACCCTCAACCCCTTTTCACCCCCAACCGACACTCTCCTTTCTTTCTTCCCTTCCTCTAGGCTCCAGCCGCGGGCCATGCCCCATCTACGTCTATGGGAGGGTATGCCTTGACACATCTTTGAAAAGGCAATTCCTATATGTATCTATGTTTAGTGGGGCACGAGGCAGATGTGAGATAATCTGTGTTGGCAATTGAGTGGCTAGACAGTACGCGCGTTGGAGGGCTTGGCCTGGGGCCTCAATCGATCTAATTCGACATTATAATGTATGACCGCTCATGTGAAATGACCACGCCTGTGCTGCAGGAGGTTAACCTGTTCGTGACCATGTCTCATTACTCCTTTGGGTTGCTGCATTCAAGACTTATAACAATCTGCATTCAGGGTGACAATGCCACGCCACTGGTTTCTACGCCGCGAGCAAGCGGCCTTTTCGGCGATGAGAAATTTCTTCTGTCTTAGCGACAGCCTCAACTGGCCCATCCCTTAACCTTGACCTCTCTCCGTTACTCCTGCTCCAAAGCTCTTCGTGTGTATAAAACCGGCCAGTCGGAGTCGGCTTTTGCCCACGAAAGCCTCTCCCGTTCACGACTTCCCTCTTTGCCTTTGGTTTGTCGTTCCCGGGAATGTTCAGCAGCCTACTCCAAGCCACTTTAGCATCCTCGAGGCTGCTGCTTGCCCGGATGGTGCGCAGTATTGATGGACCGTGAATCAAGTCGGCAGTAAGCATAGATGTAGAGAAAGAAGTCATGGATTGTTGCAGAGCATCGATGGAGTCCCACACAGGCTTGTTGTACTCTTTATGCCAGCCGCGACCGAGTGTTGTGAGGGCAGCAGCGAGATTTGGAACTGAATTGATGTAGGCTAGATATGGGTCGTCCAGGGAAACATTTGAAGGAGGAAGGGTATCCGGTGTAGCAGGTGTAGCGGGCGGAGCAGGTGGAGCACCTGGAGGGCCGGGTATTGTGGGGGTTGGAGCAGGAGCAGGGCTTGCAGGAGGATTATTCGGGGTGTTTGGGATAGTTATCCATGCCGTCCGCAAAGAATGTTAGCAACGTCGAGTGAAATTTCATTCTGGACACCCTTACCTTGTCGACATCTAGCAGATACTTTGCTCGAAGGATGGTGGAAGTGATATTGGTGACAAGATCGGCAGTCCCCTTTCACAGATGAAGGATTAGAATACAGCAAGTAGCCACGTAGACATGCTACAAATGGTTGCTTAGGACTTACGGAAGTACCGGCTGGTGCACCTGGATTGAAGAATCCCCAACTCGCGTTGTTTGGTGCTGCTGCAAGCACGGCGCTTGCAGAATCCACGGTAGTCTTCAAGTCCTGAAGGTCTTGGATTGCGTGCGGCAGAGCGGTGGGTAGTAGGATAACCCCGGTGACGATCATTGTTGTCGTGAAAGCTTTCAGTGACTTCGAAGACATACTAGGGTAGTAGGTTATGTGGTAAAGGTGATGCTCAGGCTAGGCCGTTGGAGCTGAGCTGTATCGGAGGAGAGGATAGAGTGTTTGCGTAAGAATGTGAGATGGCTTGCGTCAGTGGTCATTGTTGGTTTCCTGGGGTCTTGCCCGAGAAGCTGGAGAGGAAGGAGTGATGCATTGGGAGCCTGCTGGCGTGGGAAGGTCCGATGAAGCGGAGTATGCACCATCATGATACTTTCGACATTAACTACATGTATGAGCACAAAAAATCTAGTGGTCTACTGATAGTAAGAAACAGTGATATGATTTCTATCTGGGGATGGATAGATGTGCGTTTGATAGACGGTTATGAGAGTGGGCGGCCAAGGCGTGCAAAGAAACATATTGTCATTATACTTCGAATATTGAAGTAGTACCATAGACCTTGTTCGAATGGTCTTAATCAGTTGAAGTCGGGCGGAAGCTGCATCATTGCTGGGCGTACTGTGAGAATGATAAGGCCCAAATGAGTAAGGCAATCGTACTATCTGGAAAGGTTCAATGGACCACAAAATTAACTCGTCATAAAATTGAGTATTATGCGACTCCACATCTCATGGTGAGACGTAGGATCAAGGGAAAATCATGATACGTGGGTTGCAGAGTGTTTACGGCAGACTTACTCTGATGTTCCATTGTCGTAGTGGTGAAGATCTGGGGCGCAGTGTTTGGCCCCACTCGCTTAGTCACTCGACATTTGCCCATAAAACTCGGCGTTCCCTGCGCTTCAATTTGTCTCTTCATTGAAAGTTGACACCCAGACAATTTGACCTATACTTTTCCTATATAAGTTGACGGTTGTATTAGCTGGGGAGACCAAATCATCCTAGCTTTCCAAGAACTGCCCTCCTTTGCATTTATGTACATAGGCTGGCGGTCCCGTGGCTTCGAGACATCTTCCCTTTTTTGAAAAGAATTTTTTGCCACTTGCCGAGTCATCCCATCAAACCGCACCAACAGCTGGAGCCATATATAAGCGGTGTGCAACTGTGCATTGCTACGTGAATACTCTACCTCTGCATTGTTTAACGTGATTGATCGCGTGACGGTAGACGTAAGCTCCAGACCAGACCTCAAGCGCTCTTTCGAAAGCCCCTCATATCTGCATCTCCCACTCCTTCCCCGCTCGACTTCATCTATCCACCATTGGCCTGCCGACACAATGGATGCATAGGCGCCTCTAAAGCGACAGCGCTCGCGCTCGCTTTGGAGCCAGTGATTCCATACAATCCTACCCATACAACTGCATCTCGCGCATCAAGACGTAAACACATCCACGATGGCCAGAACAAAGGCGAAGTCTGGCAAGACAGCCTCGCAGGCGACCGGCACACGGTACAAGACCAGAGACATCGATGAGTTGACTGCGAAGCTAGAGACCATGGGTCTCGACGCAGGTCATGTCACGGAAGACGACGAAGGTGACACCTCCGTGTCCACACCCGCGCAGCAGCCGAAGGCGAAACCCTTCCGCTTCCTTGCCCTCCCTTACGAGATCCGTCTCCAGATATACCACCTCCTCCTCTCATTCCCCAAAACGCTCGATCTCGATCCTTCGAACCCCCGCACGCTTATCCCGAGTCTCCGCCTGTTCCTCGTCTCGCGCCAGGTCCACGCCGAAGCAAGCTACATCTTCTACTCCCTCAATACGTTTCGTATTTTCCCCATACATGGCCGCTTCTTTCACGCAAAGTACCCGCTGCTGGCACGCTTGCCTGCGTCCTACAAGGCGCACATCAATAAGCTTGAGCTGCGGCTCGGTCCTGGCTGGACGAAGCCCCCAAAAGGATGGGTGATTGACGAGCGAGAGGGAAACCGAAGGCGGTTGAGACTGGCGGATATACAAAACGTGAGGCTGTTGAAGGTCTTCGTGGAATGCGACCCGGCGTCTTCCGAGGTGTTCAACGGGTTCCGCCATGAGAAGGGGAAAGGTTTCTACACCCAGTTCTGTGTAGATCTGGTAGCAGGGCTGTTTGAGCATCTGCCCAGTCTGGAGAGAGTCGAGTTCGACGCTTATCCGTCTGTACCGAAGAACTCCCCGTTGTTGAGTGGCTTGTTAGAGGAGGTGAAGGCGGGTAAGAAAAGCATCTCATGGGGTCCCGAAAGGGGCTGGGAGAAGCTGGTTGATGTAGATCTTGCGGGCGTCATGATGCAGATGGGGCTTGGGGCCTTGTGAAGCCATCCACATGTTTGATTGATACGTTCGAGAAAGGCCATCCAGTTCTTGCAGATCACAATATAGCATTCGAAATTGTATATACGCTTTTACATGAATAATGAACACTTGAAAATATCACACAAGACAAGCATCATCTTGCAGATGGAGTTCAGCAAGAGATCCTGTCGCAAGCCATGATCGCCGCAATATCGCCTTCCTCTTCAACGACCCACCTCTTCCCGATGATCCCAGTCTCGACAGCGCGCTTCTGTCCACCAACGAATCTGATGTTCTCGTTACCAACTACACCTGTCGTGACCACACCGTTGCTCGGGGCTCCAATGCCAGCCACCTGGCCATTTCCTCCCTGTACAACATTGGAGAAGCTGTCCATCATGACCTGCACGCCAGAGGAGAAGCCCTGACCGTCGAACTCGCAGTGACCTCCTGCAGGCGTGTTGTCCACAGTCTGCAAAGAGTTGATTTGGGCGGCAGACATGCCCTGCGATGCAGCAATCTGTTCGTATGCCACTACAGATTGTGGGATAGATCCTTGAAGGAGCTGGAGCTCAGATTGTGTAGATTGGAAGTGGATTCGAGTGTTGGCGACCGTTGCTGGATCCACCACGTCCACCTGCGGTGCCATGCCACCGCAATTCAACTCCACAGCACTGTTGGGGTAGTTCTGCATCTGTGCTGGGATGAAGAAGCCACTCATAAGGAGCGAACCACCGGACACGCCTGAGAAAACAACAGCGTTGGGGTCCATTGCTACTAACTGGGGCATGGCGACCTTGACGAAATCGTTGACTGCCTGGGCGTGAGCGACGCCGTCAGTTCGTTGGAGGCCCGAACCGCCGCCCCAGAAGAGATTGTCGTTGGGAGCGAGGAGGACAACACCCATTGTGTTTTGTTGAACGGCTTGGTTGGGGAATTTGACGAAAGAGTCTCCACCGTCTCCATGGAGGAGAACGTTGACACCTAGGTATCGGTTAGTGATTGTTTCGAGGCGATGGAAAGGGATGAACGTACCCATCGTGCCATTACCGCTTGTTGCTGCTGCGCCTGGAACTCCAGAGGCAGGCAGAAACTGGTCTGCTGGTGCAGCAATCTTGAAGCGAATGGGAAGTCCGTTGATGTTCACAGTGTCATCGAGGATCATGGAACCATCCGTAGCTGTGGAGACTCCCTGTGGGATCTGGGCTACCTGTTGAGCGGCAGTCTGCTGTCTTCCCCTTCCTCCTCTCTGTGGGGCACATGATGCTAGAGCAACGAGTGATGCGAAAGCGATTTTGCTGTACATTTTGGCAGGAGTTTCCTTTACTGTATGTACACTAAGTGTAGAAATGGCGAATATAAATTAGTCGAGGATAATTAAAGCGGACCGGCCGAAGAAGTGAAAAAAAAAGACTATACAGAAATCCCACAGAGAACGGAATGGAGAGAGAACGGGAAAGTCAGAGGGAAAATCTGGAGTAAAGAAGTGGACGTGTGGAGGAAGGAGTCAAACAATGCCAGGCGGCCAAGCCATGAATTACAGTCAAGCCGGAGGCTTTCTAGCCTTGATTGAGCTTGACAGCAAGCGGCTGTAGGCCACACTGTGCTGTTGCTAGTTAGAATGGTCTGATGTTTTTGTGATGCCGCATGTATCGTTTTGGAGGCGTCTCTGTTTCGCTTGGCGCTCTGCATTGAGAGTTGTTCCGAGAAACACGATGTTTGTGGTTTTTAAATAATTACTATTCCTTGTTTACTTTCCATGGCTTATGAATGCATCAGAGTTGTGATCGACCAACGGTAAATTCGAAAGGCTTTCACCCACTCCGCTGTGATCTGGGAGAGTGCACCACTACGCACGGCGGTGGTTAGGAATAGACATGGGAGCATTGTCCGGCTCAGATTGCCTCAAACTACCAACTATGCCTCGGGAGTTCCTGCCTTACTCGCTATTGCCGCACCTGGACACCACCGACACCTATGAAACAAGACGATCTGAGAAGAAGGGGTGCATTGATGTTGACAATTAAACAGGAAAGATTTAACAGAATAAAAAAGGTATACAGTCCTCATATGCTGCACAAGGTCTATATTCAATATACTACGCTGAATTTTGCAATAAAAATGAGAAGTTTACATACCCTCAACCCCAGAGTTGTGAAAAACCAGATAACCATAAAGAAGGTATAGTTGGTCCCTGTCCATTCGAAACCCGGACCACCCAGTTACCTCGGACTCTAACGTAATATATTTAACCATGAAACTGTGCGCTTAAGGAAGATAGCGCTCGACTGCTTTTTTGCGAGCAAGTAAACATGGAATCTCAGAGGTGTTCCCAAGAATTTGCGCTGTGAGGTAAGGATTCCGTGCAATGTGGGCTGGAGTCCACCCCATCTCGCGCTTTGTCCAGACACCAAAAGCTGAAGACCTGGCTCTCACGTCGGGTAATCAGCGGGACATGAGGTAGCATCCTATCAACTAACTACTTCTTTATGTAGATTGCTAGATGATACAGTTTTCTTGAAAATATTAGATTATATTGGTATTACCAAAGAATCTACGTAGTAGTAATATACGTGTGTAGGTAGTTGATGCAATTTGAGTTGCTTATGTCCCACTAATTACTCAATGGGAGAGCCTGGCAAGAGAAACAGTATCCCAGAACAATTCCTTCTGCCATGATTCACTCTGGACAAAACCGAACATATTTTCTGGATCTACATACCATCCATCACTATCTGGCAGACCTGCAAGAACTGCGAGTCGAACTCTTCTTGGGTTGCGCATGTAGATAGATAGTATATGTTTTGTATCTTCCTCAGACCCTTTCCCCCCATGGCAGCGCACCCTACGAAGATCAAGTTCTTTTTGAACATGACTAACACCGCCTGGATTCCGGACAACTTCATTTGCAAGATACTCCTCCTCTTGAGGCTGCAGATTACCATATACGTTTCGACCAGTCTATAGCGAGTAATTTGTTGCCATTCAAATCTAGATGGCCGACTATGAAAGACGATCTGAAAAGAAGGGGTGCCTTTATATTGACGGTCGAAAAGGCAAGATTCAATGGAACGAAAACGGCATTCGGTCACATCAGATCAACGTGCATGTACTATTCAAGAATATTATCACAGTTTAAATTAGTACATGTATAACTACAATGTCTGAATTTTGACCTCAGCCTAATTCCACCAATGCTCAACGGATGTATAAACAGTAATAGCGCCTATGCAAAATATAACCCTCCGTGAACGCCTCCTTTCAATATAATTCCTCCTTTCGAGTGGTGGCACATTGCATTCTCTCATCGTTCCATGGCCTACTCAAATGTATTGTCCCTGTCAACGAAAACCTCCTCTAACTCGGCGAAATTGTGGAAATGTAATGGACGGTGAATAGCATCGTAGAACTTGGGTGGGGTGTCTAGCCTGACGGGAACTGGCTTCTTCTCCACGTCGCCAAAGGTACTGCCCATGAAGCTATAGTTCCAAATACCATTATCCGGCACGAGGAAGTATCCACGGATCTTGTCCGATAGAAGCAACTGGCATTTTTCGCCGAAGGAAGTCGAAAAATTGGCGGGATTATCTGAGATCAGATCGCGATTTTGCGCTCCCCATTGATAACCAGCAGGTGTAAGAGCCCATGCAGCCACTGAAACAGAACCAGGCGTGAAGGAGACCGTCATCGACACAGTTTTCTTATCCCAGCTCTTGTGCTGGTTCATAAGGCGGGCATGCTGGGTCACATCGCTGGCTTGCATGTATGGAGGTTCGCTGCCACTAACGGTATGAATAATGCCTAATGGCTCGAGATCATCGAGGTATTCATGGGAAGGCAGTTCCTTGGGCAACTGGACGTCGCGTGTGTTACCGACTTGGGGAACCATGACGATGTTGACAATTTCCTTGACCTGATCATTATCGCGAGGAGATTTGCCGTATAGATATCCAGCCACCTGGACGCGCAAGTCGGCAATGGCGATGAAGCGCTTCAGCACGTTCTTGGGCATGACATATGTGAAGTGACCCTCTTCTTTAACATCTTCCGAATTGATGTAGATGTTGTTGGCGCGAGTGCGAAGGTTAGACGTCGCCACAGCTCGTGTACGCCATTCGGTTTTAGAGGCGAAAGTTGCTTGCTCATATTGAGACGTAGTGGTCACTACCATACTCTCACCATGAACATTCTCCGTCTTCGTCGTAACAGCTGTCAATTGCTGCTGTTCCTCTTGCTGCTTGTCGATCTCGGCCGCCTGTTGACGTTGCATAGACGGGGCCGAAATCTCCATACCGAGAATGATATCACGGACTTCGCTACTAGTGAGCGATGACGTATTGACATTGTTTTTCTTGCCATAATCAAGCAGAATTAGGTCTCGGAGTTGCGTCTCCACCTTGATCCACTCCTCGTCAGAAAGAGAGGGCCAGATATGATGCTCCTGCGTGATCACACTTTTGTCGGGACGCAGTATCAACTTGGATTTGTCCATGTTGACATGAAGAGATCTCAGAATCAAGATCAGCCTCGAGAACGCCGTATAGGAAGAGATCGACTTAAGCCACTCATCATAAAGGTTGAAAAGCACCATCTGAGGACCGGTGGCACGGAGAATCATATCACCGAGCTTCTCCACCTTCATGGCAGCTTGGAAGGGTAACTGCAGCTCTGATGCACGGATCGAGATGTTGGGGAAGTCAAGCAAATGGACTTCGAGAGGATCCAGTAGACCCTTGCGAGTGACAATGAGCTGCTTAGGTTGTTCCTCCACCGGCAAGGAACGAATCAGTGCGGCAACTTCTTCTGCGGTTTTCCACTTCGCCAATTGACCCAGGCGCTTCTGACCTGCCCAGACACTGGTGTGAATGATCTTGAGGAAGAGTTGCCCGGTGCGTGGATTGAAGATGAAGATAGCACCATTGATTGGCTTAGTCGTTAAATTACCCTCGAAAGTCTTGTGAATCGTGACACGATACACATTGGTATCGTCGATGAACAACTGAACCTGGTTGCTGAAAAGCTCAGAATAGTTCTGTGAATTGAGGAACTCTTGGTTGCTTTCCGAAGCGTAGAGCTGTAGACCTTTCCTGATACGCTCCCTTAGAACATATAGGGCAGGGTTAGCCTTCATGATCTTAGCCATAGCCTGCTGCATGAGCTGTTTGAGACCTGGGAAATATTGGCCATAAGCCGAGTACAGGTTGTATGCAAGGTCGATCGCGACCATCAAACCTGTGCTTGATGGATAGATGGACATCGTATCTTGCGTGTAATCTAGATATTTGGCACGAACATAACGCTCAATGTCGTGAGAATCATAATCGCCATAACGCAGCTGGACGTCGAGCCAGAACTTATTGGTTGTTGTTGCGGACATATTGTCCTTGTTGTCGTACAGCATCGATGGCGAGGATACGCTCCACTTGTGGCTTGCGAAGAGAAGAATGTCAGCGCAGGAGCTGTTCATCTTGTACGATTTTCGCGGGTGAATCGTTTCTTTCTGCACTGTTTCGACCCCCAAGGCTTCCAGTTCCTGGTCAAAGACCTGGCAGAGATCCATTACTACAGATTCGTGAATCTTTTGCCAAAGATGGGCGCGGAAAATCTGGATGAGTGAGATTTTCAGAGTAGGAATCTTGCCATGCAAGAAGATTCCTGTAAGATCCAGTTGGACTTGGAAACCAACGTAAACGTTGGCGCGGTTGATTGTTGGGGACCACCAGAGGGTGAAACGACGATTTGGAATTTGGTTGAGACCGGATCGTTGAGCATTGGTGAGCTTTTTGAATTTCATCGATTCCTATAATAAAAGTCAGTTAATTCATCCAGAGGCAGTACAGTGTATTATCAGTGTGTTATAACTGGGTGCCACAGGGTGTCCTGATCATTAACAACACATTAAGGGGGGAAACCGTACCTCGAAACCGCTCGCTTTTTCCCAAAACAGACCCTCCCAGGATGGGAAAGCAGTTGCCTTGAACAGGGTATGCTCAAGTATGGTTTCCACACCGCCCAGGGCTTGAATCACGTCCGTCCGGTACGCGTTCAAATTCCACAGTTTTCCATCGTGGCGCTGGCTAGTCCACCAGAAAGGATTGCTCTTCATATGTTGGTAGATCTTGAACTCGGTTCTGGCACGGAAGCCCTTGTCGAAGCTTAGGGTACTCCTATCCTTCTGAAACAGAGTGTTAATACGAGGCAATCCACGATCCCAGCTGTCTTCGAGGTCCTCTAAGGTCAGTCGTCGATTCTGTCGATGAGCTTCCTGTCGCTTCTGAGAGTATTCCATCCAAACACGTTGTGAGTCGACAAATTCGGATTCCCAGGGAATGATATAACGGAAGATGTTCGGGATGAGCGTCTCTTCGTCATGAGACATGCCTGCACGGAAGTGCGTCACACCGGTGTCTGTCTGTTTCGACCAACGTTTGTCGCTGGCAGGAATAAGAATGTGAGATCCTGAGATCATACCCAGTCCACCAAGCTCTTTGGGTGTATAGAAAACTGCTGGTGGGAAGCGCGATGGCATTTTTGAGTTGAGACCAATCTTCACCCGAGTTTGAATCTTAGTTTCGCACTTGACAATGGTATCAAGGAGTGACACAGTCGAGACTGCCGCTTCACGGTAATATGTGAAGAGAGCGATAAGAGTAGTGTTCCACTTGTTGGCAATCTTGGTGAACGTTGTGGAACCAGAAGACATCAGAATCTGCCGGATGCGATTGTTGAACTTGGCAATGTCTTCCTCCGTAACTTGCAAGAAAGCGTGTGCGGTTCGTTCCTTGGTTGCATTGTCGACCAATGACCACACGGAGTCCTTGACGGGGAACTCATCGCCGAGATTCCGAATCTTTGGCAGAATACGCACTTCAAAACCACACATAGAGAAAAGGAGATTGGGGTTGTCGCGACTGTAGACGCTGGCAAATGTGTCATCCCATTCGATGGTAGTGAGGGAACGCGGAAGACGATTCTTCATGTCCCAGAACACGGCGCGCCCAAGATTTACGTCGTGACGCATCAAACGCATTCGCGAATCGCGAGGCCAACACTTCTTGTTGTGATACCCAATGACATTTTCGAAATTGGGATCTGGCGACTCTGTCAGGAATCGCTGGATCAAATCTCGGCTTTCCTCCGCGGTGAACCTATAGAACACCCAAATTCGATCAATGTAGCGCGTGTATAGCCGGATAGGATGTCGCACTTCCGTATCTACATCTTTGAACTGCAAAAAGTCGTTCGGAGCATCCGGAGTTCCTGCCATCTCGTTTGCGCGTTGAAGACCCATGAGAAGAATATCCAAAACAAGACCGTAGTATTGGAAAATGAATGCACTGAACTGGAGACCTCTTATCATACCATATGAGTTCACATGGTTCATGTCTTTATAGTTGAGGTTAACGTTGTTCTTCGATGTGATGTAGTCTGCCAGGTTATGATCCATGATCGCTCGCAACAATTGGTTGAGAAGAGTGATGTCCATTTTTTCATAGACCTTGGAAAGCTGGGTCTCAATCATAACGTTGCATTCACCGTTCTGATACTCCCAGACCTTATCGAGATTATTGATTCCCTGGGCCCATTTGTACGTGAGAAGAGGGGGAACCTCTGTATCAGAAGGCTTAATCCAGGCAGGGAAGAGGTGTCGCTGGTCAGCTTGATACCAAAGATACTGGTCGAGGTATGCATCTGTGATTTTTTCCATCGGTTCGACATCATACACGGGATTGATTGTGCTGTAGTTGTCATTCATATCGATTCCGACCTCTTTGAACGCCCTTTGCGAGAGCAAAAAGCGTTTGATTCTCGCCAAAGTAGTTCCTGGTGAATCGTAGGCCTGTTCGATCAAAGCCAGCTCTTCACGTTGCGTCTGGTTTAGACGGCCTTTGACCGAATAGGCTTCTCGAAGACGTTCAAGGGCAAGGATCAGGATCTTGGTATCGTGCTTGTAGTTGACACTAGGGAAGGGGATTGCCTGAAATTTCCGCGCCTCTAGCCAATGTACCATGGTTGTGTAGATGGCGACACCTTCTTCTGAAGACACGTACGGGCCAGTGTTTCTGTAATTGTGTTGACGTTCTTGCTCAGCTTTTAGCCATAGGCGAGTCAACCGACCCAGATTCTTCTTCGCGACAGTCTTGTCCACTGTGGCGCCTCGTCGGATACGCTCGCGATTGTAGTGGGCTACCGATACCCACCAGTCAGCTTTAGATTTGACATACCGCAGGATAATGTTCTCTATGGGAGCCGGCAGCCCAGGAACTTTCCACGGAATGTTGCTCTTCCAGCATCGCCAGGCTTCAGAGAGATGTTGTAAGACGGTATGGACCTTGTTTTGCTTAATGCCTTCTGGCATCATATCGGTGAGATCACTCATAACAGCGGCACGAAGCTCCAAGTCGAAATGAGACTCGACTCGCTGTTTCGTCACTGTTTTGGCGACACCTTTGCTGTGTCTGCCTTCGAATTGACGAGAAAGCAAGTTGCCCAGCCAGCGTTCAAGCAATGGGATAATACCACGCATGAAGAATAGCCAAACGCGCCAGGCAGGAGCCCAGAAGCCATTACCAGGACCCTTGCCTACTGGACCAGCGTTGAAGCGGTAGTATATGAGATGCTTCAAGTCTTTGCAAGAGCGAATCTGGTGCATGAGTTTGTACTTGTAACGGTACATGCCCGTTAGCTGACCAACGTGATTGAATGCGTAGAGAATACCGTCAGCGAGTTGAAAAGCGTCATCCACGCCCATACGGTACTGAACATGCATATCCACAATGAGTTTGGTCAATCGCAAGATTTCGCGCATCAAATGGAAGGCGTTTCCGAATCGGGACTTCTTGCGTTCTTTAGTAGTCAAGGTCTTGACAGGCTTCAAGTTGAAGTTGTAGTCCAGATGCAGATACGTGAGATTTTTCCTATGAATCAGGAGATTCAGCATATTGTATCCCTGGCGGCAGACTTGAAGTCCAGCTTCAACCCAGTCGATCTTAGTTTGCTGGAAGAACTTTGTTCCCTTCAATGTGCGCATCAAGTTTTGCTTGTTCTGTGCCTTTGCTGGGCGCTTGTGCAATTCATTGAGCACATAGGTCTTCAATAACTTTTGGTAAGACACTCGAACTTTGACGGGCTGACCAGCAGGTACATGCTCAAGGTACCACTGTTTGACTAGTGGAACATCTTGTGCGCGCACCATTCTACCAGATCGTTTGTCAAATGGATGGGGGGCCCACCACAGGGCGATAGCAGAAGCTGTGTCGGGGGTGTATAGCTCTTCATCAGTCATGAAAGGCTCGATGTCCTCGGGCATCTGGAAGTCGTCTTCATCATCGTCTTCGTTGCCAAAGCCAAAGACTTCGTCTTCGTGGCTGACGGTTATGTTCTTTGGCGCAACCGCTCGGGATGATATAGGGTTGATCATTGGATCGAAGTAGAAGGCAGGTAGATCAGGGTTTTCCTCGGAACGGATATAGACCACCTGAGGATGTGAATACCACGATAACTTGACGCTGCGTGGAAGTGAAGTGTAAAGGAAAGGGAATGAAATTTTGTACTCATTCCGCACGGGAGATCGGAATATGATGCGGTCGATTGCGTTGAACTCGCCAAAGTCTTCCTCGTTGGGGTCGATGTCTTTGTATAAGGGCTCGAACCGGGGTCCTCCAGGCATGGAAACATTCAACGCTTTGGCAGTCAAGAAGCTGTCGAGATCGAACATGTGGAAATAATTCTTATCGACAACGTCACTCAGTAAGGAGCGACTCAGTCGATACATAGTCGCCATCTGTGGAAGGTCCAGGTTCCAAGTTTCGTAGCTCGGGCCGTTGACATGTGGGGTATCGAGCAACGGACGGTGCTCATAAAACCAATCTATAACAGCCTCATCTTCCTCTTCATCGAGCTCGAGGGTGATGGGCTCCAGCGGCTCAGTATCTTGAATGTTCGCCGCATAATCTGTCGGCTGATCCTCATCATCGAAGGGCGGTAATTTGGTGCGCTTGAAATGACGACGGTCACTCTTCTCTTTACGCATCGCTATCCACATTGCCGCCCACTGCGCGTGGAAAACCGGTTCGATGACACGTGGAATCTCATTCACAAGAGTGAGACATCCATTAGTGTGATAGAGAACCTTCACATCTCGTCTGCTTTCCCACGGCATGGGCATATTTTCGAGCAACTTCAAGACTGCATGCGGCATGAACTTGAGTGCTCCCAGATAGCTACGTTTGTCGCTTGTGAATTTCTTTTGCGATACATCGCCGATATCCCTGAAAACCTTGCGCAGATGCTCCGGGGGCAGGTCGGCTTTTTGTGTTTCCACAAAGCCCGCCTTGCGACGTTCCCCAAATCTCTGTCGCTGTCGCCGAAGCCATTCCTTCTTCTTCTGGGCAAATTTCGCAATCTGAGGATCTAAGGGGGGTCGAGAACCAGGTGGACCGGGGGGAGGAGGTATCGATCCTGGAGGCGGAGGAGGCGGCGGAGGAGGAGGTGGTGGAGGCGCGTAACCAGCACCCGGAGGCCCAGGGGGAGGAGGGGGAGGAGGGGGAAGATAATCCATTGCGAAATGGATATGTAAGAAAGCAAGCTCAGCAGCTCTCTCGGTCTGGGTGATTGGTGTTGAAATCCGAGTCGCGCGTAGTTTTGTCGCAGCAACTAGGGGTCGAGCAGTCTAGTCCTGAAGCTTCCAGCGAGCTTGCAGAGCTGACGCAAGCTGCGCAATCGACTAGAACCACAAAGGACACCGTCCACTGAGAATTAAAGATGGAAATGACGCGTTGAGATGTACTTGAGGCCCCACGCGATGAGGGGGGTTCGCGATGAAGAGAGGGTGGCGCTGGTTTTATCTTTTCTCGTTTCGCGGAAGGCACCAGAGCGGAGTCGACCCCGGTCCAAAACTCACGTGATGGCGTCTTGGCGTGGACTAAGCGAGACTCCCACACCAGAGTTCGATATCGTGAAAACTTGACACGACTTTTGCCGACAACCACGCCCGGTACGTAATCACAGTACAACTCGCCGTGCTGCCAACTTTTACTAACACAACAGTTTTTAGATTCAGGTACGCGCAAATTCTCGATTCCACGCCCAATCGTTGCTCCAGGACGCCGCTCACACATCGCAGAATTCCTCACATCTGACCTCCCGGGAACACATACAAGATGCCGTCCACCCGTCTTACTTACGTACGTTTATCCGACCGCAAAATCGAGCGCAATATCTGGAAGAATCGAAGAATTACGGATCTGGGACTGACATCTTAACAGCGCCGAAGGGCTCCCTACAACACCACCAGCAACAATGTCCGCGTGATCAAGGTCAGTTCAACGGATTCGACAACCAATCGGACAGGATGCTAAAACTGCTCAAGACCCCTGGTGGAAAGCTCCGATACCTGCACATCAAGAAGAAGGGCACGGCTCCCAAGTGCGGTGTAAGTTGCTCATATGAAGCATACGCACATCTGGACTCGTACTGACCAGCTCAGGACTGTGGCAACAAGCTTCCCGGTGTTCCCGCTCTCCGTCCCCGCGAGTACGCCACCGTTTCCCGCCCCAAGAAGACCGTCCAGCGCGCCTACGGTGGTTCGCGATGCGCCAACTGCGTCCAGGACCGCATTGTCCGTGCTTTCTTGATTGAGGAGCAAAAGGTCGTCAAGAAGGTGCTCAAGGAGTCGCAGCAGAAGAAGCGTTAAGAGTGGGATTGATGGTGAAGGATCGAAGATGGGTGTCGAAAACTGGTCAATCGGTGTTCATGTGCATTACGGGCAGTCCGGTTTGGGCGGGCTTCATTAGGAATTCACGAAATTAGGCGATTTCTGTATCTTGCTCGGACGTCCGTCAGGACTGATTTCTGAGTAAAATATACTCAGTACAAGCACTTTCGTCGATCTGATGAGTGAGGAATCTTGATGCTGAAAGATGCTTGATGGATGGATATGCGGCTGTCTCAAACCACTATCCTTGCCTGCAAGCGCCTACGCATGTAGTCGTAAAAGTCGTAAGATTTCTCACTTAGCAGGCTTACACTCGCTCTCAAACGATCTTCGGTATATACCAGTATGTGGTCAATTATTTGATGCCCTGCGATGATCAGTTTCTTGACAAGTGAGGTGCCTCCACTACATGTCAACCCTGTGACTGATGGTATCGATAGATGGAGGTGAATATAACTTGCAAAATGCGGCGAAGAATTAACACGACTAAGGGAAAAAAAGCGCAGCCATCATCAATCAAAGGTGTAGTATTGCTGCGGAAACGACTTGAACTATCTGGAATTCCTGTTATTGTGAGGTCCGTAGTACATCAAAGATAGACCTTGTGCGGCACATGGGGTCAACTTTGCCATGCAATCCTTTACTGTTTGTGCGACATGTCCTCAGTGTCCATGTATATCGTGCGAAAGCAGATGAACTTATCATTGTATTCGTCAAATATAGCAACTCCGAGTGATAATAGCAGGTAGCATGTCTCAATATTCTATCCTACAGATTGGGCGACACTTTAATGCATACACAGGATTTGAAACATGTTGCTTATGTTCGGTATCCTCGACTGGAAGAGGGAACCCCAAACCCAAATTTCGTGCTGAAGCCCGAACGAGCGTACTACGCGAATACTACGTAGTAAGCGCCCTCACGTACGTTCGGATAGTTCAAAAGGAGATCCCATAGCACTCTCTATATACTGAACAATAGAGTCAATAGTTTCTTAGGAAAAGGCTATACTTTGGTAACTTACTACGAGAGGCAATTCGCCTATAACCGTATACGTTACAAGTTTTGGGGGCGAAAGGAGCATATCAACTCAGAATGATCAGCTTGGATCTGCTTTAGCTACGACCGGGATAAGTTCGAGTCACGAATAGCAGCATCATGGCGTTAGGAATCTGCACCCGTGTACAAATGCTTGTCCGGCACGCATGATACACCTAGTAAGGGCGAAGCTACCAAGTCCTCAAGATCAAAACTTTGTACAACATCAACGCTGCGGAAGACGCAGCAGAGTGAGGGGGCCTGAACTTCATGTCGTTTCATGTTCTTTGCGGTTTTCAAGCAACTTACCACCTTGTGATGTTTTGGATTATAAGGTTCACGTTGTGACCCAGCTAGCCAGCCATCTTAGACCGTTCCAACAATTGAAATTCGATCGTCTAAACCTCGTCGTCACGTTATTTTCATGGCTCAACGATGGCGTTTTCGCAACTCAAATTTGTTAACCACAGGCGTAATTGAAGCTTTAGATGACGTTCGACAGCGCTGGCGCGTCGGATCTCTCTGCTTCGGCATACTTTTGTGGCTTCTATTCCTTCTCGGCGGAGTCGCAGTTCTAGCCAGCCCTGAATGGCCGATTGACCTAAAGGGAACCACCAGCGCATGCAGGCCCGATGATACTTTTAGTGTGTTACCAGCGTATATGTTCTGGTCTATTTGGTCCGGATCGGGTCTGTTCCAGGTCACACTTGGGGTTGGCGAGTTAAGTTTCAGCACCGCGAAGGCAATCGATGTTGCTTGGGACATTGTGAGCATCTATATGTACTTGACTACATCTCACAGGTGAACTGACACGGATACGATTCCAGTTTGTTGGCCGTGGCGGACAAGCTGTTATCGGATTTATCTCGTGGCGCGTCATGAAAGGCTACGTTACAACATCTATGCTATCTCGCGGGCCGGTTACATTCCACACATATCGCACGATCTTCCTCCAGGACCAATCTCTAGTACTGGCTATACCTAAGGTCATTCGAGATTTCATATACAGGCGTCGTCTTCACTCTAGATTTGTAATGGTATGCATGATTTCGACCTTTTGCTTCATACTAGTTTTTCCCACGCTTGCTAGTGCGATGACGGGATACACTTCCAATATGAAGGCGTATGTACCGGATCGAGATGGCAATCTCATGGCTTTCGACGCTTTCCGAAGTGTCCTATTTATCGTTCATGATGGTTCTAGGATCAATCAGACTGATGAGTATTTCGTTACATCCGATGAGGAGGCAGGAAGTAATCTTGTCCGAGCAAGTATGACATTTCCTTAGCTTACAGGTATACTAGTGGACCCCTTACTCAAGTTCAATGAACGATCTGGACCGTGCTACATGTGGCGAAAAAATCTTAATTGGAGTTCCAAAAACTATACACTCCCTTCGAACGATAAACTGGGTAAGTTCTCTGTCTAAAATGGGATATGGCCCATCATATCCAGAGATCACACGGAGCGAGGTTTCAATTCTGTATAGCACATCGAGACATTTTTTCCTGTACTCTACTGATCATTTACCCTTTCCGCACAGGTCAAAAATGTTTCTAGCAGTATTGGACTTATCGATGTAAGTATAACAACAATATATGATCTCGACTGTTCGTCGTGCCTGACCAGTGATGGTATAGATGTTGAATCGTTTGGTTATGGAGGAACAAATCAAACGAATTCATCTTTCATGATGACAACTTTGATATCACCTCCATCACTCAACATCACCGGGTTTTTCTTGCCGGACGATATGTTTTCACGTTATGAAGGCGAACATGACCCTTCCAAAGCCATATGGAGGCATTTTGACGACACATACGATTTAGAATACGTAACTTCGTTAGGAACTTGTCAAGCAACCAAGGTAACTTTTGCTCCCTACTCTAGCGTCTCGGCAACGGACTGATTCGTATGGAAAGACCTATCGGTGGGGCTTTTCCTTTCTCCTACTATACATCATGCTCTGCCTTCTCCTCGTCTGGACACTCGCTATGATGGGAATTTGGCTATACGCACAAGTTCTATTGAAGAAACACGGAATTACTGATGTATCAGGTGAGATCAAAGCCGTATTTGAACTCGCGCAAAGTATGCAAGAGCAACTCCACCTGTCCCCCCTATCGAAACCGGCATAATACTAATCTAAAGAATCGCACCTCAGTCGTCGCATTGACAAAGAATTGCAAGGCGGCTCTATATCGTATGCGTCTCCGACCACGATACAAAACCAAAACATGGATCTCTTTCCAAGAATCAATAATGTTTGGGTGTGTGTTTATCCAATCTTGTTGGTGACAAGTTTGGGGCTGTATCAGTATAGTCTGATATCACTGCAGCCGCAATATTTTATCTTGACTGTGGTACTTGTTAGCGTTTCTGTTTGTTTATTGCTCGCAATATCGATGGGATCGACGCATAGAAGCAGACTAGTTCTTTTTTTGGGGTCCGTTCTGCTGGTCTTACCAGGTACAGTCATACCTATGGTTGTCTTTCTGCGACAGAAACATGAATGGCGGGTACAAGAAGGACTGGGCTACTCGTAGATCTACGGGGGTGCTGGCATTCAACCACCACTACGCATAAATATAGCTACACGAAGGATTCTTGTGTATCCGCGTATACAATCACCTGTTAATATGTCTCGATAAGCGTGTGGACTGTACATTTCATTGTATGGCAGAAATACCCAAGTCATAGCTTGGTCGAGAACTTTAGTCGCACTGTGAATGGACACTCATAAAACATCAATTCTTCGCAACATACACAAATCATCAGAGTCTGATGTCTCTGGTAACGAATTACATCCCCATTACACTATACCCGCCCATAGAATCATATAGCAACGAAATGACGCAAAACAGAACTTTGTTGCCTGGCATTTTCCTTGAGTCTCCAGAGTATGTGGTGCACGGTCGATCATTTCTTTTCGAAGAAGCTCTTCCACTCTTCGAGCAGGAACAACAAGTGATGCTCGGAGCACTGCCTGTTGATCGCAACCACCTTCCTCTTGCATCGATCACTTTGGTACATGTATCGTTCGCACATCTTCGTGGCCACATCGTCATACTCGATGCTCTTGCAAGGCTCAAGATCGACAAGTTCCTCGAGAAGATACTGGGCCCCTTCCTCTGTACATAAGGCGGGACGTTTCTTGTCGTTGTCATCTTTGCCTTTGGGGTCAATCTTGCCACCACAGGTTAAGGTCTGTTTTTGCAGCGAGCGGCAAAATGCCTTGTTGTGTTTGGAAAGAGTACAGAACTTGTCGTGTTTCGTATTCACGACTTCCTCGGTGGAGGGGATGTCATCAGAATCGACATCGTCGCCATTCCATTGACGGCGTACATTGAAGTGGACCGAGGGGATGGCCGAAGTGGAGCTTGATTCCGAGCTCTTCGTGGGTTTCAAACTTGTCTTGGTCTTGATCTTTCGTGTTTTAGTCTCGAAGATTGGTTTCGATATCGGGTGTGGTGACCATTTTGAGACCGAGGTGGTGCTTTTGGGAATGCTGACGGACGTCGGTGCTGTGCTGGGGTTCTGTTCAGCGTTGGTAATGGTTATGGCGAGGGCCAGTACAGCCGGAAACATAGAAAAGACCTTCATCATTGAGGTATGCACACTTGAAAGAAGGATGATCAGTGTACGTAGCCAAAAGTTACGACGAACCCTTCGACAGGAAGGTTCAAAAGGCAGTGATTTGAAGAGATGGGAGTGAAATCGAATACGCTATTTTCCTATTCTAATACCATGGAAATATAGCACTAGATATCCTTAGTGCGTATGAATGATAGTGCAAACATCGGAAACATTGTTATATGTTGACTCATGAGATCATCAATGTAAAATAGAAGTGGTTCTAACCATATGCTTGGTCCAACAAGAGCCGCAGCGCAGGCAATCTCCACCTTCCAATTCCCTTTCCGGACATGGCATGCGGAACTCTTAAACCACATTCTAGTTGTCGTTTTCTTCGATAGCGGCTGTACATCTATCAATCGTCACAATGACAAGTTTCCGTATGCACCTCATTTTGATATAGTCTACTACCATAACCGTATTAAGACAATGTACACTCCGAGAAGCTTCAAACAGTCCGAATTGTTTTTCGTCCGGACAAGCATCATCGATGAACGATCCGGGGGTTTGAATGATGCATCACTGTACAGTTTCGGCATAGAGCTCATTGGAACAAGGGGTCCAGATTGATCGGAAGGGTGAAGAGCGGGCGTGCGCAATCTTGAAAGGGAAAAAGGAGAAGACATGACCCGAGGGTCCCCTTTACTCGGATAATTCACATGAACCGCACATACACTCAGAGCCATGGAAAAAAGTATCGTTGTCCTTAGCTTCCTCAAACCAATAAGGGTTCGCGCCAATCCGGATTCGGTAACGACATTCACACAAGGTTTTCGCACAGCAAAAAATTCAACTCAGACTTCAACTCCAACCTCACAACACAACAAAAAGATTGCATCGGCCGGGAATCGAACCCGGGGCTAGCCGATGTTGCTTCACTCGAAGAGTCAAGTGTTTGGCAACGGCTAATTTTACCACTAAACCACCGATGCTGTGATTTTCGTTGTAAATTTTACTATTTATTTACAAATTATTGCCTTTTGCTAATCACTTAGCTCTAAGTCGCGTCATCAATACGTTGATGGATAGCGTATATACCCTGGTAGATACGCTTGTCCTCGACTATTCCCTCCCTCGTCTCCACCATTACACATATCTCTTCGAAATCCTCCCGCTCACCTGGATTCCTATATGTTAACGCTCGTCCACTTTTGCAATACGCCTGATTGTGGATGAAGAATGGCCATCTATGGATGCTGACCTAGTCAGAACGGCCAGTGAGAGTATTGCGGAGGCTCCCCGATGCCACTTCTCAGACCAACAATTCAATGTCATTCGAACCGGAAACCAATTACTTCCTACCATGATAGGTTTCAAATCTGAACTCGGTATTCAAGATCCTCGTTCCATCAGCGTTAAAACGTGGAGATACCGAGATTGGGTCACAAGCCCCTAAGCCATTATTGCCTCGTTCGACAGCTTTAAGGGTCATTGGGTCAAGCTTCGGCTCTCAAGTCGGTTCAATAACTAAGAGCTTGGATAATTTGGTGGCTATTTATTATGATGCCATGTTTGCTCATCTTGTATTTGCCAACCTCTACGAAGACACCATTACACATTGGCCAAAACAAAGCGCGCCACATTGCACCTAATACCCCTCCAAAATGTTCAGCACTACGGATAGCCTACCACATATCTTGCCATAGGTTTCATTTGAAGCCACGAGATTTGAAAATCGCTCGATCAGAGAATAATTCGATGCTCATTCCATGATGCGTCCGACGTAAAAAACCAGTCGTCGAAGGGAAGCGAGGCACTTTCTTCCAAGGGAAAATCTGATATATTGTTGTTGGAGCCCTTCGGGCGTTTGCGGGCGTCGTTTGCACAAATGTGGCATTTCTTGAGTAGAAATATAACATCTGCCCGAAGTATCCCATAATACGAGCTGCTTATTTTCTTCCATGTGGTATCCCATCCAGCATGGCCATTGTTGTTATGCACTATCTCCACAATGCCTGCAATAGCATCCATGGTCACTACTCTCCGATTTGTTTCTCTATTTTTTTTTTCCTGATCGCGACTAGATTTTGTGTATCGTCGAAGGCGAAAGTTTTTCGGGCATAATTACGTCGGCTGGACTCCTTCTGCGATGAAGAACGCTTGTCAGGATTGATTAACCACTGGATTATGCTATTCTTTTCGGCGGTGGAGACGCGGCGGTTGTTAGGGTTATCATGTAGATATTGTAGGAACGCAGCCTTGGTCACTTCGGAAAACGAAAACGTATGAGTATTGTTTGAAGCATTCGTCATTTTGCCTACAATGCTTAGATTAGATGAATTCTAGTTGGTGCTTTAGCGATAGCGTACGCGCGAGGTCGAGAAACCCTCGATTGGAGGCGTACACGTAATGTCGAGGGCTAGTCTACTTATGCGTGTACGAACAATTGAGCAACAATCGGTAAGGACATCGGGTATTGCATCCCTGGCCTTTGGTGCTGAAAGCAAAACTCCTTTTTTGAACATTTTAGTACTCGCCTACTTTTTGTCAAATTATGTTTATCAGCCTTTTTTAAGTGTAGGAACCACTGTAACTTCCAATCAAAAAAAAAAAAAAAAACTCGATAAGGACACTTGTTTCAAAGGAGACTTTTGTGCTGTAGCAATGTCGTCGAACAGTAGATCAACGCTAGGTCTCACTACCAACATTGGTTTAATCTGGGATATAACAGTCGTTCTTGGTGGAATGATAGCAGGTAGTAAGATGAGCCCATAGACTAGACAAGTTCACGACGGTAGCGGAAGAAAGCCTTGTCCCAATAGAAATGTGGGGCAATACTGTGGGACAGACGACTAAGACGTCAAGGAACGATTTTACTGTTCGCCTGCCGAGGGTCTGAAACATGTTATGACAGCTACGTGTCAGCAAGGCTGCTGAACTTAAGTTTGTGTCAGCATGAAGAATATAAAATCTTTGTTCGACGGGTGGATTATTCGGAATCAGTCATGTGAGTCTTATAAAAGTTTCTCCACGTTCATTGTCTTTGTCAATAGGACCCCGATCTTATGTACACGTTGTGCCAAGCGTACGCACCTAGTCGAGGGCGGCATCTGGCCACACGCGCGGTATTCAACTACAGGCGTACGCCTCCAGTCGAGGGCGGTATTCTACCGCCGCTTAATTAACGCCTAGGCAGAACAGTCGCCGATCATTGAAGTTCAATGTAGTGCAGGAAGCAACAGCTGTTCGATCTTGCACGTAATGTAGCAAATGACGAGGACAAATCGTCGCTTCATGTCTCTTCGAGGACTTGAGAAATATTTACGCAATGATCTAAAGACAGCAAAGTAAATGTTGATTGCACTGTGGTAAATCTGTCAGGGTAGTTGATATTCAATCCCTGAACGGCTACAGATGCATATCAGTCTAGGTAAGCGGGGGAGATGCGGGAATGCGGCGAAGCACTTATATATTTATCATAAATAAAGGTCGAATTTCCCTCGAAGCTCCTCATTACACCGTTAAATTCTGTCGAAGTGAACCAAAGACCGCACGAATATTCGATACTCACTCAGTTTTCAGCTATATCGGTGAGTGGACGCTTGATTCAAAGTTCCATCTGGGCTACGTACTCAGAATAATATATAAAGCTTGCTCTTATCATTATGTCAAATGTTCACACCGTGATCGACTGGCGGAGATGATTTGTGGCTCCGAGTTTATTAGATGAACAGAAAGGAGATGATATGGCAACTTTCGCAAGTAATTAACTCGCATAACTATTCATGCTGTGCCTGATCTAAACAATGTATTCTAGATTCTAGGAGGCTTGTTTCCTATTTCGGCTCCGATAATCACTCATGAAAGCAACTGCAAACACTGTTCCTCGGGATGGACATGTGGGAAGTGCGAATGTTGCGATGATCGTTGTCATTGCTGAGATACTCCACACTATGATGAACATGGGTTTATGGACAGTCATTTGAGGAAGCAGAGGAGCTAGTGCCGCCGGAGTAGCAGTATGAGAGAAAGGATTGGCGGCAAATCACAATTCAACATCGTGTGTCGGTCTTATTCTGGTTCTCTCCATAGTTGTCACTCATTTATGTCCACTCATACAATTTAAAAAATGCCTTCAGTATTGTGTCGAATCGACCTGACGAAAGCAGCATTGATAAAGCAGCAGATTTGTGTGTCCTATGACACGGCAGTGATTCAAAACCCTTTTTCTACACTCTATTGCGTCGCCAGCCATTCCTCGTGACTCTTCTTCTGTTGCTCCCACTCCTTGACCAACTTTTTACGCCTGTTCTTGGACAGTTCATTCCCTGCTGCGTCCATGGTTGGGATACCATTTTCGTCGAATTTCGAATAGTCGTCCGAGGTCCTAAACATCACCAATGGGTCAATCTTGGCGCGTTCGCGCAGCTCCTTCTCCTTCTCAGCTTTCCTAGCTTCCTTTTCCAGCTTTGCCGCCGCTTTCAACGTGCTAGCCGTCTTCTGCTCAGCGCGCGCTTCTATAAGCAGCTTATCAAGCGGACGAACCAAAGCAGGCTGAGGGTCGCTGCGGTCCTCAAGATAGATGCCTAGGTTCCAAAGGTGTACATCGCGGAGTTGATCGCATAAGACGAGCAATTCTTTTGCCGGAGTCTGCTGGTCCGCAAGAACCTTGACGTTGGTGCAAAATTGCTGGAGTACTTGCTTATATTGTTCAGAGGACTCGTCCTCCAGTGTGGACGTTGCGTTTGTAGTTTCGTCAGCGAGCTTCGCTATAGCTGTATAATCGACCGAGTCGGAACAAGCCCAGGTACGAACCATATCTCGCAGCTGAGATGCAGGGTAGATGTAAGGTTTTGCTTGCGTAGGAATATCGAGGCCCGACCACCCTATGCGATCCGGGTTGCTAGGATCTACCTCGGAATCTAGTCCAAATATGGTGATGATGCGGGTTATCCACCGGGCGAGCGTGATGGTTGTTTGATCTGAAATTCCGACGGCCAAGTTCGACTCGGTAACAAGGTCGGAGAGTATCCTCATGACAGCAGAAGTGTTGAAAGAATCACAAAGAGCTGTGTCGACATCAACCTTTGCCTTCTCTAGGGTGCGTAAGAGCTGCTGGTCTGCCTCACTGAGCTCTTGCGTTGTTGAGGTCTTAGGGTTGGAATGTTCCAAAATGTCCAAGCTCTTTAGAAAGAAGTTATTCAGCTTGCCTTCCCAGCCTACTACAGCCCTCATAAGCTCATCTGTGACCTCAATTCCATCCTGCCATGGCATAAGAAGAAAGCAAATCCGAAGAGAACGTGCGGTCCAGTCTTTCTCAGCAAGAACGGTTCTAATGGTCGTATAATTCTTGAGGCTCTTGCTCATCTTCAAACCTCGAATCCTAAAATTTATCAGCGCCTTTCCACGACGAAATCAGACTCTATATCTCTTACCTCAGTTGCCCCATATGAATGAAGTAATTTGTCCATTGTACTTGACAACTCGGAGTAGACCAGTAAGCTTCTGATTGTGCGAGCTCGTTGTCATGATGAGGGAAACGTAGATCGGCGCCTCCGGAATGAATATCTATTACAGGCCCAAGCGCTTCTGAGGCCATCGCAGAGCACTCAATATGCCATCCTGGTCGCCCACGACCCCATGGACTCGGCCATGCCGGTTCACCTGGTTTGCTAGCTTTCCAAAGTGCAAAATGATTCGCGCCCCGCTTCATTGACTTTCCTTTAGACAGCGAGCCTTCACCATCAGCTTGGAGAGCGGGGTCGTTCTTGTTCCATGGTTCTAGCCGAGAGTAGCTGTGTCCAGCCTTTTCAAACGAGTCAATATCGAAATATACGGAGCCATCAGAGGTAGCATAACCGAAGCCGTTCGCCACAATCTTCTCAATGAAGCTGACGATTTGTGGAACAAATTCTGTCACACGAGTCAATTGGTCGGGGGATAAGACATTGAGTGCATTCATATCCTCGAAGAAGCGGCGCTCGAATTCTTGGCTCAAACCCAGGAATATCTCGTGGTTATTAGAGTCCACCTCTGCACCATGCAAGGCATCAAGATATGGGAGCAAAATATCGTCCGTCTTCGCAAAAAAGTCAGGCAGCTTTGTTGGGGCTAGCAAAGCCTCGGCAGCTAACCGTGCCGTTTCAATATTTGCCTTCAAAAGTAAATCGGCGACAGTAACAGTCTGGTCTTGTTTAGCGGTCACAGCGTCGGCCAAAGGTGGCAGCTCCGCCTTTTGTGTATATGCGTTGTCTACTGCCTCGGAAAAACTTTCTGGGCTCGTATCCGAGGGCAGGGAAGGAAGTTTGCTCTCGATATGGTGTCGAAATGCGGCTTTGGCCTCTGCCAAAACCGAGTCACCCACGATGTCATCCTCAGCTGCATGCTCCTGCTTGAAACGCGCGAGCAGGTAATGCTGACGGCTCCGGATGATGATCTTGTCGTCAATGTCGGTTATATTCATAACGAACTTGACATGGAAGCCGAAATAGTCTTTCATGATGCGGCGTATAATATCGGTCGAGACATAATTCTTGCCATGACCTAGATGGGCATCTTCGTACACTGTCGGGCCACAGGCGTACCATGTCACAATCTTGCCTGTCGGATCGGATGGGACAAATTCGTCTTTGCTCCTCGTCAGGCTGTTGTAGATCTTCAACCGGGGCAACTGGGCGTCAGGCCCGACTCGAGGGGGGATCCATGGCGGTTGTTTGCGACCGTCCGAAGCCATGGTACGCGCGCTTGATTTTTTGAGCTGGAAATTGTCAGTTCCGAATAGCAGTTACCTGAGAAATAGGCAAGGAGACGGATCGTACTTTGGGCAGGTGAAAACGGATAACTTGGTTTAGCGGTGTGGTAGTGTTGACGTTACTGATCCTCATCTACTTCAGTTGTGCCTGGGCAGATACAGGCAGGAATGACTCACCTGAGCAATCTCATCTCCAGCTCCCGGCAAAACTCCGGTTGTTGGGAACAAACTTTCTGTAAACTGGCTTCTTTGTTGGTTACACGTGTACTACGGGGAGCGATAATGACTTTAATGAATGGCAAATTAAATCTATGGAAGCGAGATGGATGAGGGTAATGTGATGTTGTGTGACGTAAACGTAGTGAATTGGCTTTGCGGGTTATCTCGTGTCTGTGCACGGTATGCCCATGTTGACGGCCTTTTCAAACTTATCCATTTTCACGACTGCTCCTGAAGGTTCATAACTCATGGGGGTTTTTATTTATTGTAATTTGAGATGTGTACTACAATTAAATGGCCAATAAAAATGTTGCACAAAAAGTAGGCGCGCACAGAAAGTTTTACTGAGGGAGCTTTGCTTTCGGTGCCGGGCCAGGGTGCTACAACCACTAAAACTCATGATAGAGTTCCCACCCAATAGATCTGCATCATGAACTTCCATAGTATTGACGAACTGAGCGCGTCTCAGTCGTCTCTTATAACATGCGAAACCCTGAGCTTAGGCTCACGATATTGTCCGAATCAACAAGTCTGCGATGCGTACAGTCAGCAATGGATCTCCTCCTTCCCAGACCCTGTTTGAGATATCATAATACCATCGTTCAGCTGGCGAACAGTGCGTTGGGTCCTGATTTCTTAGCTAGCACCTCTGCCATCACCACCATGTTAGGGTTAGTACTATAGTAAATCCTCGCTGTAAACACACTTAACTTGCCTACTAGCATGCACCGCTACTGTTCTGTTTAACTTTACAAGCCCTAGCCGTCCTTTCTATTTATTATGTAACGGCTAGGTCTGCGAATGCTTGCATTATAGCTGCACTATCCACTTGTGTATAGTCATTGTATAAGGACGTAACAGATGTCGCGCTATTCCTAGAACAACTAGTTGTAGGAATGTTTGACAGCGTAGATTTGCTCCACCGATCATATCGGCTGTGGAAGATCCATGAAATCAGTCTGTCTGTCAAACATTCCTACTAGCCTCGTATCCCCAAGTCCTGTGGAACCCTGAGAATTCTGTTAGCAAATTTCAACTCAACAGCATCGTGCCTTCAAGATTGGTAAAATGGGCTGTACACTATAGTATCCCCGATCAATTCGATACATATGAATTCTAAGGCACCTGGGAATCAAAAGCGTATATTCCGGCAACCGTACAAATAGGTACAGTACCCATTACGACAGGTACTCGACTACCTTAACCGCTGCGAAAGGCAGATCCAGCGGAACGTCGGCATTCATCAATCTGTTATGATCTTCATCTTAGGCATGTTGACCGTCAATTGGCAAGCTTTCACCGTTCCGCGCGGCTCTTGTTCTCGCTACATCCATAGCATTAAACAATCTCGTTCAAGTTGGTACTCGGGAAATGCAAATTCCGCAGAATAGAAGGCCAACATTTTGGATGGCCAGTAAAATGGAGTCGAAAATGACGAACGGGATTGATATATGAGGCTTGAGTATATAAAACCCATTGCTATGACATATGCGTCGACTTGAATGGCCAAGATCACGTGGAGCATGCGTGCTTCTAGGTGCGAGGAGAATGGCTTGGTTCGAAAGCGCCATGCCTGCGAATATCAGACCATCTATATCAATGCCGTTCACAAATCAATCAAGCAAGACTCATTACGCTCTGTTTAGCCTGCCCACATTAACAACGCCTCCAAGTAAGAGCTTTTTTATATCAGGTCACACCACCAGATGAACTTCACTTCATTGCAACACTATGCACAAGTCTAATGAACAACCGCACTCTGTTATCTTTGATCTGAAGGTGTGAGCGATCATGAAAATAGAAGTCACGGAGAGATAAGTACATCTATTCGTTGTCAATATCGCTGTATGTTGAAACACCCAAACTCCAACTCACAATTTATAAGTATAACTATTATAGCAGTTTAGCTACGACCGCCTCCGGTGCATCTGGTCCATGAGTCGACGTCGAGGATTTCAGCCAACAATTCGCTCGATCCTTTCTCGAATAGCTGTCTTGCAAGCGTGCTCGTAGCACCACCCCTTCGCATCTTTCAGAATCGAAATAATTCAGTTGACTACATGCATCCACACACTGTTGAAGTGGATAAGCCACGATCCCGGTATAATCACTTCCTGGTGAATCCTTGCCAGCAATGCACGCGTACTCGGTCTCATTGACGGAATTCAGTCGATTATTAGGAGGACACGTGATATCGATAAGCGGCACCTCTTGAGGTGGGAGTGGAGTATATCGCGCAGATTGCGAAGTTGACGAGGGAGACGCTGATACCGTCACTGTCGCAACAGAAGACGGGTTAGGAGAGGCCGATTCAGCAGCTTTCTCATGCTCGAACCTATCATTGAACAGAAGAGACGTCAGTAATAGCATTTACCACACGAAGAAAAAAAGAGATTAACCTCTTTACTTACATCTTTCGTTGAGCAGCATTCGACCCAATCACACCCCCAACTACTGAAACTACGAAAACCACAATAATCACCGCAAATGCGATCAAGCGATTCCGTCTTGCAGACTTCAAGTTCTCCCGAATAACTGCTGGTGCTTTTCCTAAAGCTGCTGGTATCCCTCTAACATACTCCCGCAGTTTTCGCGCTACACGGAACGGAAGCGCATTGGATCTGGGCGAGGAGTCCGTGTGTGTGAAGGTCGTTTGTAATTCATCGGCGTTGTAGTGTTTTCGCTCGTGAGTAACGAGCTCGGGCGCATCGGCCATGGACCTATCTCAATGTTGTTACTAGGGGGTTAGTTGCTGGTGGGGAGTAAAAGTCTGGCCGCAGTGAAGGGTGGGGCGTTCACGATATAATCACAATCTTGCGAGCGAAAACACCAAGACTTATAGCCACTGATCACGTATAGTCCTACTCTTATGCACGGGATAAACAAATCCGGAAAGTCTCCTCAACAGTGTCACCGCGTATCACGTAGGCGCAACAGTCACTCCTGCACGAGGGTAGGCCGATGGCTAGAAATGGAAGAGAGATGCATAGGGAGAATCAAGGTTGTCTATATCATCCGAAATTAAGGTGCACAGATCAAAGCCTTAAATCCAACCATGAAATGGCATACCGCGTGGTACTGTAACTGTGCCAAGTATTGAATCGTATGTGGTGCTCTGGAGTTCGATGACACGAGAACAGAGATTTGATCGGTTAAAAAAATGTGTTGATGAATGATGCTGTTCCAATAAAGATTCTTCCTGAAAATATTGTGGAAGGTGGGAGGAACTAGGTGTATCCTTAATGTTTCATCAATATCTGAGAGAAACCTTTCTAGCTCATCTGTCTTTCCATTTAAGCGCTTGTACATGCGTTGACCCATTGACTTGGTCGGTGTCAGTTTAAAATCCTGTCATCTTGTGTATCGACCGGAACGTCTTTGAGAATCTAGAAAGAATTCTAATACACGGTGTTTTCACGGTCCTTGGAGACTACTCCGGGGTGTTGGTCATGGACAAAATGTCTCGTATTTAATTCTAAGTGAAAACAAATGTCCGGGAAAGGGAGGTCTAATGAATCGTATGCATATACTTACTCTCATCTACACCACTTTCTCTGCTTGCCTGCTTTCCTTCCTTCTCCAACTGATTACTCTTCCATCAACCACTGCAGGTTCACCGCACTAACAGTGCCCTGCTTCCCGCTCTTCAACCACCCCAACAAATTCTCCATCCCCAACCTCTCAAATCCAACATGACTCTCAACGCTTGCCCCCGCCGTATGACTCGTGACCAATACATTCAATCTCTTTGCGAGCTCAGGATTAACATTCGGCTCATCAGCGTGCACATCCAGCCCCGCCGCCGCAATCCTCCCCTCGTCCAACGCTTTGACAAGCGCAGTCTCATCCACCAGCTTCCCACGCGCGATGTTCACCAACCTAGATCCTTCCTTGAACATTGCAAACTCTTTCTCCGAAAGCAATACCTCCCCATGAAAAGGCGTACATAGAACCACACAATCCGTGCTTCTCAGTAACTCCTCAAGAGTGCTACAAAACTTCGCTCCACCGGGGATTTGTTTCTCACGGTCAGGAAAGGGAGCAATGTCGTGGTACCAGACGCGCATCTCGAAAGCGGTGGCGGCTTTCCAGGCTAATCGGGTCCCGATGCGACCTAGACCAACGATACCGAGGATGCTGTTGTTGGGGTTGTGTGTTGAGGCTGCGATGTTTTGGTTTGCGGCGTGGAATTGGGAGGGGGAACCTGAGCGGGCGGCTAGGAAGGACCAAGGGAGGGCGCGATAGGTAGAGAGGAGGTGGATTAGGGCGAGGTCGACGACGGACTCGGTGCAGGAGGTCGCTGAGTTACAATAGATTATCCCTAGTAGAGTGTTGGCTTTGGATCCGAAGGGGGGATCTCGTCATGGAGAAGGGTTTGGAGAGATGTATACCTTTCTCGGCCATGGTTTTGGTATCAACCCAGTCGAAACCTGCGCCGGCGGATGCATAGATCTTACAAGACTTTGGTAACAACGAACTAAACAGTCATTCTTCTCATCAGTTGGGTTCCTTCATCACTTGATACCATATAAAAATTCATCCCGGCAAAGGGTTTATTACTCTCCTTTTCATTTTCTCGGGAAACCGTAGGATCTAACCCAACAGCCAAAAAGAAGACATACAACTTACATCAACTCATCATCCCAATTTCCCATTTCACCCCCTGTATTCCAGAACGGTCGATACATGCCCACAAAATCGCCCCATCTGCGTTCCCGGAGCGCGGTCTTGAACTCTTCCCTACCCATCGAGTAGCTCCTCTCGACATGGAACTGCCGGTTAAGTTCAGCGTATAGATCGTGGTTCCATCTGATGTCGTCGCCGAGGTGAACGACGGTGGGTTTAATACCGACATCAGATGCTGAGTTTATCTGTGTTGGAGTTGCGTTTTGCGGCGGGGGAGGTCGAGATGGTGGTGCGGGGAGGCCGGCATCTTGGGGGGTTGGCGTTGAGGTTGACATTTTCTTCCCTTGTGACAGCTTTTTCAGTTATAGAGATCGGTATGAGCTATTTTATAATAAAGCTTTTCGCTATTGATGGCTGATGAGGTTCGTCGTGCAGTTATTATATCTCTCATGCAGCAGATGCTCGAAGATATCAGAACAGAATGCCCAACAAAACGTATATGACCAAAACCGAAAAGGGTGGAGCGATGGGTCGATAAAGTGACTGGACTCAGGCGTCAAGAGCGTGCGTGGGGTACAGAAACAGCTTCGAGTATCCAAGGGAGGGGAGAGCACCCGGCAACAGGGCCACGATGAATCTAATAAATCCCAACGACAACTGGACCGGTTCCGGACATAAAGCGACAGAATATTAATATGCGTGAGTAAGAGAGTGATGAAAGGAGAAACAAGAAGTCCAGTCTCACCCAAGGCTCATGCCAACTTAATACCAACGCAACTAGGTACGTACGCGGGCATTCTTGGAGGGGTGAAAGTGGGGGAGGGGGGAATCTGAGCCTCTCTGAGGTCATTTACCTCACGTACCAGTATATTGAAGGCTTACTTGCATAGCACCACTCATACGCAGTCCACGTAGAAGCTGCATCGCAGCTAGCCTCTCACTCTGTATATTAAGTTCACAACCCCCGTAATCTGATTGGAGTCCGTAAAGCACTCTCAAAATCGCACTTTGTACAGAATGACGAGGATACCCCCACCAGTGCAGAAGCTATCATCCAGGGATCAATTACTACACATTTTTATAAAGATCCTGTGGCGGTGCGATAGTCAGTCGACCAAAGAACGAGATTGTCGCCCGCGGCCCGTAAAATCCCATGCGCGTAGAAGCAGCCGGCATTAGCGCGTTCAAAACAGTGATTTCTTGCGACTGATAGATGGACACGCTGAAAAGAAAGCTTTCCACGAAGTAGAGATGAGATTCATTGATATTGATTTTGGACAGAGTTGAGATGAGACAGGTCTGGGGCCACCTAGCGATTGATGTACAGCGAACTCGATAAACGTACATCCCCATTCATAACTCTAATGTACAGCCCCAGAAGGAGAGATAGACGCGAAAAGGGTATAACTAACGTGGTAAATAGAAGCCAGGTTAAAAGAAATTTTATAGTGCTCCGCATAATTTCATGGAGTGACTGAGACCTCTCTACGCTTTTCCCTCTTCCTCAAAACCATCCAACCTTGCCCAAGTGACCTGCTCCATTGGAGACCGGGCCTTGCTGGACCACCCCGTCCGCACCAAATTGATCGACGAGGTCGTCCCAGACTGCCCAATCCATTTCTGTGTCATCCATGGGGAAACTGTCCAAGGCTGTGGTACTGTTGACGTAGTTCATATCTCCGACAGTGAAGTTGCCGGTATCGGTTAGGGAATTAGAGGGGAGGAAAGTGGCAATGCTTGAATTCTGATCCGAAGGCTGGGAGGCCGAGGTTCTGCCCGGAAGTAGATAGCTGGAGGGATTTGTATTTTCGTTACCCTTTGGCGGCGAGGGTTGGTTGTTTGTTGACTGGCCCTGGGTCGTGTCGCCCAGTAAAAAGTCCAGCCCATGCTCGGGGAAGATGTTGTCCGCTTGTAGTTGCGATATATCATATGATCTTTGCCCGTTTCCCGTTGTTATATCGTCGACCACCCCTTTGTCAGTGGTTGACGGAGGGCCTATCGGTGAATGTGTATCATTCATTTCAGGACTATCTGTATGCCACGTTGGCGGACTGGAGTTTGGTATTTCCCCCAGTTTTCTTGCCACAGGTCGCAGCATCTTATCCAAGTTTTCCGGGTCGGGCTGACCAGCCGGGATTTGCGGGTGCTGTGATTGCCTTATCAATTGGTTGAAGTCAGGGTATATTATGCCCTGATTCTTGAGTGTCTGACTTGCGCGTTCGAGCGCCAGTTCTCTTGCTCGCGCAGCCTTGGCTTTATCCATTAGTTTGCGTAAGGGTTTCCACAGACACCCTGCCTGTCCTGAAGCATGCGGGGTTCCTTCGTGTAGCGGGAACCACCAGCGTTGGGCTGTGACGTCCAGAGCATGCCATGCTCGGTCTACAGCTTCGCCTTTGGTCCGAACGCAGAGTTCAGAGAGGAGAAAAGCTATTGCGTGCCATTGAACGTAGGTTCGAAACAGCCAGCCCCACTGCATCGTCCGCGCTTCTGTTTCGATGAGCATCGAGTATTCTATATTTTCGAGTGAAGTCACGAAGAGCTTGTCCTTTATCTCCTGGGGAAGTGAGGCACCACCGTCTTTGCGCTGATGCGGATGGTACACAATGAGCCACATCTTGCTCATGATCATCCTCGATATTGTCGCAGTTATCCAACACAATGGGACCGTCATGTCACAATTCTTGAGATACTTGTCTTCGAGTCGCTGGTGGCAGTTGCTAATCCATCGTTCTTTCTCCGCGACCGATAAATTGGTGAAGAATTCGTGGCAAGTGACAGGAGATGGAGGGACATGTAATATGCGACGAAAAATATTGGTGACTTCGAAACGGATGAGGCTAAAGGTCATATCGGTAAAGCCCTGTCGTTCTTCTGGAAACTCTTCCATCTCTGGCTGTATGTCTACGTCGTTCACATTCAGAGGCTATTGCACGTTAGCATCGCATGACACGCAATTTTGGACTGAGGTGTCCATGGAAATCGACCCACCATCTTAGTATCAAACTGAGCTTCAACAATAGTGGGATCGCATCCGTGGTCCTCGGATGCTCTTGCATCGAGGATACAAACTTGCCACCAAAGCCTTCTGCGCATCTCGACTTCGAAAGGAGTGAGACCAAAGTGTGCCCCGTCGCGATGAACCCCTAACGTCTGCGCCATTCGTACTGCAAGACCCGTCAATGTCCAAATTTTCCGCGCGTCATCATTTCGCCGCATGAGGATCATGAAGATCACAAACGCCTGCAGGATGACCATTTCATCATTGATGAGGAAATTCGCTCTCGCAAGCGCCTGTTCGGGATAATCAGTATCATGTGATGACTTACGAAATGAATGACAATGAGCTACGTACCTGTTCCAGTCCGAAGCGATACCTGCTCAGTAGTGCCTCCCTTTCCTCACCCCATTTGATGACGCAATTCTCTGGTGTTATGCTTGTCACAGCACCGTAGTATACGGCAAAGATTAATGGTTCGAGAGACTTGGAAATTTTGTCCGGCTGCGCGATGGCTTGCAAGAACGTAGGCTCGAAGGTGGGGATATGTAAGACCTTGACAAGCGGGTCCACGTTCGCCTTGTAGATGTTCCAGAACGCCAGACCCTGCTTGACAGGGGGATGAAGGGACTGCATGTCGACGTTGATAGAGCTGTAGCCAAACATGAAGCCGCTACCTTGCCAATCGCTTGCATCTGGTGAATCATGCGTCTCTTCGTCGTCAGAGTGCTCATTCAAAATGGCTTTGAGGTCTTCGACCTGCAAGGAGTCAGATATAGAGTGCCACAGGGTTTAGGCAAACACGCACCTCGTTGTTCAAACTCGCCCAGAAGCTGTTGTTGATATACCGACTCCTCCCTTGATCCACAACCAGTCTGCCAAACCGCGTCTCCAGTCCCTCCACACTCCCATCGACAATGACGCTAGCACGCTTGGCCATGGGACGCAGTGGACATGTATCCTGGCTCCCCTCATCCTCGACAGGTTTTCGCTCCACCTCAAAATTTCTCGCCTCTTTCTGTGCTGCTTCCTGCTCATGTTCTTCCACTTGCGCGTTGAGACTCTGAACGACCCCTTCCAGCCTCTTGAGACGATCCATCAACTCGGCGTCTGGAGGCTTTTTGTTCTTGCGAGGGGCACGGCCAGGGCCAGGGAAGATGCATTCGATTTTAGCGCGGGCGCAATTGGAGCATGGCTGTTTCTTGTCGCATTTGACCTTGCGGCGTCGACATGTTACGCAGGATCGTGGATTGAGACTATGGTTAGGGGGATTGGAAGAGTTTGTGTTATGGGTGTGTGTGGGTTTTTGGACGCGATCGCTCGTGCCTGTCGAGGTGTGGAGGATATCATCGCTCATGGTGGATGGGAAGATCTGTTTCGAATGGAATGTAAAGAGAATTCAATCAAGGCAAATAAGAGTTTGGGTCGAGTCTGGATTGGCTAGGGAAAAAAAAAGCTCGTCTCTCGAGGATATGACGCAGGAGTATCACTACCCTTTCCGATGCACTCTCTCGGAGCTACAGAACCCTCCGATGCCCGTCAGACCCCCAAATGCAGGCACCAGCGCATGCATGCACACGATATGGGCTGTAGTGTCAACGTGGAATGGGTGTGGGCTTCGTTTCGTTGTGACGTAATACAGTCCAAGGGTCGTTTGTGTAGGTGTAAGAGGAGGCTGGAGTGCAATCAGCCGTCAGAAACAAGGCCAGCAGTGGCTCCTCTTTTGATCTCGACATGGTAAAGAAAGATAACAATAGAGGGGATACACTGGTTCACAAAGCTAGTGGGCGAGAATGACAGTGTCGCGCATATCGCTGACAAACCCACTCCCCCGCTGAACCTGGGCCTAAACCCTGGAAATTCATGCACCTGTGATTGGCGGGGAGCCATCTGATTAGAGACTCACATGTCTTAGTACAGTCTTACTACGCCGCGCACGTCCACTTCGGACAACGACCTCGTACATCGCTAAATCCGCGCCGGACATGTTTTCACCTGCAACCCACAGTATTGTTCCTAAAACTACGTAGTTGTTGGACGCCAGATCGCTCCAAGCTATGCATCGGAATAAAAGACAAATCTGTAAGTCTTACCTATTTAGTCCGGGGAAATTCCGCACCCTGACTAAATGCTGCAGGTCTGCAGAGATCGAGAGTCCATCTGATTACATAAGTACGCATCTGCCCGACTACATTGCGGGGTTTTCACGCATGCTAGCAACAAGGTAGATAGGCAACAGTGAATGAAATGTTCCGATTGGAACATCGTGAACAACAGGGAAGAACTCATCGGATGCTCCCCCGAAATGTGGTCCACTAGTCGTAGTGTAAGAGGGGTATCTCAAGGAGAATCAACAGCCCGTTCCTATTCCCATCGTCGAATTGACACCGCCAGAACTTGGACCGAATGACTCCAGATGACTCATACTCAGATTTAATGACTCCAAATGAAATGTAGGCAATCCAGATACAGGCCTCATCGCATCGCCCGTTCACCCCTTCCCCCGGTGTTCCTTTCCCTGCGCCGCCGCGAGTGTTCCACGCTCAGATATTCTTCCTTCTCCTGAGCTTCCTCTTCCATCTCACGGTCAATCTCTTCCCGGATACGCATGAGCTGCTCTTCGTCGATACCGCGAGTATTGACGACTACACTCGGGGCGGCCTCGATGTACCGCAGATTCTCCATGGCCTGTTCCACCATCTTCTTCAGCTTTCCGTCCGTGTTCAAATTGTCGTGCCGCTTCGTGTTGTGAAGGTCGGGGTAGAGAATGCCACCACCATTTTCGGCGCCTTGGAATGCTTGTATGTAGGGAATGTGAGTAGGGAGGTTGTTGTGAAGTTCTGCCCCCACGCAAACGGCCGTCTCGTGGCACCAGGTCCGCGCCACGTTGCGTGGAGTGTAGCCACCGCCGCCAATCAGTAGAAGAGGTCTGCCGTAGTTTTTGACTGTCTCGATGCAGAACCCGTGCGCTTTGATGTTCAGATTGAATCTACCTAATCTGTCACCGCCAAGTGAATCTGCCCCCGATTGCAGCACGATTGCTGTTGGGTTGTATTTGTCGATTACCGCTCCAGTGACGATTTTGAAAAGCCACTTGTACTGGTCATCGTCAATCCCATCGTCAATGGGAATGTTGAGACTGTGCCCTTTGCCGGGGTTGGCCGGGTTTATCGGTCCCATCTCGTTGATGTTGCCGGTTCCCGGGAAGAAAGGGTAGCCGTTTCTATCGATACCGAACTTATGATACGAAAGAGTGAAGACCCGATCCGTCGATTCGAACGCAGCCTCTACCCCATCACCGTGGTGCACGTCGATGTCGATGTAGAGGACACGCTGATGCTGAGTGAGGAGGAGCTGAATAGCTAAGACGATGTCGTTAATGTAGCAAAAACCAGAAGCAAGATTCTTCTTGGCGTGGTGCAGACCACCTGACCAGTTGATGGCTACATCGGACTGTTTGTTGAGGAGGTTGTAAGCGGCATTCATCGAAGCGCCACTGTATATGGATACATAATTCCAGAGGCCATCAAAGACGGGGCAGTCGTTACTATCGCCGCCAAATCCAAAAGCTAGATAGGCTGGATCATCCGGTTTGGCATTCTGAGGAGTAACACTGTAGACGGATCAATACTGATTATACAATAACAGACACCACAAAGCCATTCTTACTTGCTGAGGAAAGATAAATATTCGCGATCGTGGAAGATGGCCAGCTCGTCAAAAGTCGCTGGTCGAGGCTCATACAGCTCCATGCAATACTCCAGACCATACGCAAGAACCAGTTGCTTTGTCAGGGTCAGTCGCCAGGGCTTCATGGGATGACTACTTCCAAAGTGGTGATATTCAACATGTGGATTGTAGTGGAAGGATACGCTGTATCCTTGGGGCTTTTCCATCCCGTACTCCTCTGCTTCGCGCTGGATCACCGATCGTTTCTCGTCATCGTCCAGGACTTTAAAGGACTGGAAATTCTGCTCAAAAAGAGCATCTTCAGGTGAGAGATATTCTTGAACAATGTTGTTAGAGTGGCCATTGGGCGGCATGGCATAACTGTCTTGACCGCGCATTTCGGACCTACCCCGTACGGGATCGATGGCGGTGACTTGAGTAAATTTGGTCGGACGGAGTAATGGACCTGGAGGTCCCTCGGAGATCCAACGGTCGATATCGGTTTTCTTGGGTAAGAATGGAGTAGTAAGTAAGTTGGTTTTACTGTTATTGGCGACGCGTTTGGAAGACTCGTCGATGTTGAGACGAGACGATGACACAGAGGCTTTTGCACGTGATGTCGCTTTTGTCGATTTCTATACGAATTCGCGAGCGAGTTAGCGAGGCAGAGTTCCTGCAATGTAAATCTAAAACTGGGGAGTGCGCAGTGTCTCCACGACGTGCCTTTGAAATGATGCGGAAGGGAATATCGTTGATGGATTTTTCCTTATAGTCAACCCGGTTCCTCGTCCGTCGCGACGCGCGATCGCCAAAATATGTTGGTGCAGAAGGGCCTGTTACTCTGCTCGTCCCCTGATGCTTCAACGCCTCTTGCTGAGCCTGTTTGTATTCTTTGGTTAACCTTTTAGTTGCGAGGCTATCTGAGTAGCCGTCGCTGTCTTCACTCGCGTCCGAGTCCGAGTATTCGGTTGAGCGGTTCGATGAAACATCCTCGTCATCTGCGTCATGCTCCGACTCGCCATTGGACGGCCTGGCGAGTTTTTCACGTGCCCTGGTAGCGCGCCGCATCTGTCCTTGTCAGCCGTGGCCGTGGTTTGACGCCAGTAACGACTCACGATAATTGTATTCACAAGGTAATAATCGCAGTTGGGTAGGTAGGCCTCCGGGATTTGTCCAACGAGAGAGGACTGTTTGCTGTCGAACGCTTGGGCCAGCCTGATAACGCAGTCGCAATACACATCACCAACTGCCTCCAAACGCTCAGTCGTGCCTCACCTCACCAGGCCATTAGCGCCTTCGCCTTCACCTTCCGTCTCACTTGGTCAAGTCGTGCGTGAATAAGTGTCAAAGAGAAAACACGTAGCCCTCAGCGGGCGCTCATTCTTGCGCATTCAATCGAGTGCCCGTCCGCCACTACCGCCACTCTGCAATATGGCGACCGAAGACGCTGCGACGGTGCTTGAGCAGTTCATCCATGATGGTACGGCAATATGTCCGCAAAACTCTACAGTCTAACATTGCTACAGTGGCGAACTTGCCGGCCGAGATAACCCATCTCTACGAAGAGGCGCAGGCCAAGGATCAACAGATTCAAGAGTTGAAGGCCCTCATCGCTTCCCGAGATGGCAGCCTACAAAAATTCATCAAGCTCAACGGACCTCTTGTCCAGAACCCGCAAGAAGAAAAATACTCCAAACTCATTATACAAAGCTATGAGAAGGCGCAGATTCTGCAGGAGGAGAAGATTGGGCTGGTTGAGAAGGCAGCCGCCCTTGTACGCTCTATGCACCCTTACCATGTTGAAATCACATGCTCACGTACTGCAGATGGATCGTCATGTCAAAAGGTTAGACATCAAGTTGCGGGACCTGCAAAATGACGGCTCGATCCCGACAGACCCCCAGATGGCATCACTGTTGAGGGATTCTCCCGGCAACTTGGTTCCACTGTCATCACTCGCCAATACAGGTGCGAACACGCCGCTGCAGACAGTATCTGGCAACCACGGACCGGGCAGTGCAAACCTCGCCCACGCGGCCATTGCGCGAATCGCCAATGTATCCAACCTCAACAGTAGGGCAAATCCGAATATGCAGAACATGACGGCACAGGCGTTGATCAATCAACAACGGCTCACAAATCAACAGAGCGCTGCGCAAACAAGCGTACGACAGGAGCGTGAGTCGTCCGCCGGTAGCGACAGCAAACGCCGCCGCCCCGCACTCAACACTGGACCTCTCCCTGGACCACCTTCAGGGCTAGCACGGCAATCGTCCATTGGGCCGGGAACACCCAAACCCTCGACACCAGCAGGCTCGCGAGCGGGTAGCGTAGGGCCCAAACCGCAAAAGAATGCTCTCACGGTGAAGAAGGCGAAGCCGCAACAACCGCTGCGCAAGGCAGCGCTCACAGCCAAAGCCGGCATCAACAAGAAACGACGCAAGGGGGGCGGATCACGGGCATCCCCTTCGACCACGGCCGACGACGAGAGCGTGGCGAGCGAAGCGGGGACAGAAGACGAAGACATGGGCGGAGCTGGGGGTGAAGGGGAAGAGGACGAGTCGGACGACACGAAGTACTGTTTCTGTCAGCGGGTTAGTTTTGGCGACATGGTAGCATGCGACAACGACAACTGCCAGTTCCAGTGGTTTCACTGGGAATGTGTGGGCATCAAGGAGGAGCCGGTAGGGGACTGGCTCTGCCCTGACTGCAAGAAGCAGCCGGCGAACAAGATCAAGCGAGCGAGATAGGAATTCGCTGGCGAGGAATCAGAGTCGCCGGGATCGACAGATGGGCCACCGAATGTTAGCTGAAGGCATGTGTGCGGAAGAGAAGGCAGGGAACTGGAGGCCAGTTTAAGTCGGTGGAGATGGAAGGCCTGGCGCATGAATATGCGTCGACTACTTGGGATAGCATATAGTAAGCCGTCAAGCAAGCAGGCACAGCAGACAGACAGAGAGAGAGAATGAGAGACAGGCAATCGATAAGGAACATGATGCAAGTCAGGGGCCGCAGCGGGCCATATCGTATCGTATGTACTCCAGGCAGTGGCGATTGGGATGAATGGACACGGAGGTTGGCAGTCGTGGCAGTAAGCAGGGCGACGAGGGCATGAAGGGCAATTTCCTAGGGGGGTGGTGTCCGGGGCGGAACGGAAAGGGAAGGATTTGGGGGAGCAGAATGGTGAAGATGAACGGGGCAGGCGCCAACGACGGGTGCAATCTCGCGACTCAAAGGGGAAAGGGCCAGGGCGTGTAATTTCTGAGAAGGCGGGCGGTGTGGGTGGATGGAAGGAAGATCGTGGACCCCCCGATGCGAACGAAGGCTGATAGCACGCACCTAGTGTACACCATGGTCGGTGATGGGGGATCGATTGACGTTTGCCCTCCCACTGGATGCATGTTTCTTCTCTCTTCTTTATTTTTTTTCGTTTCTGTGCTTCCTTGTGCGTTTAACGTTCCGGGCGAGACAAGCAGGCCAATGAGCAGATGTGATGGGTAGACATTGGCAGGGAGGGGGTGAAGTCGTGATTAACTTCCGAAGACGAGACTCAGGCAGGGCCAGGCAGGCGCAATGGGCTCCACCAAAGGGGGTGGAGGAGGCCCAGCGAGGCCAATCAGGCGGCGCCAGCGACGGCGTAGCGGCCTGGTAGACGCTCTCCCGCCGGGCCAGGTTGGTCTGCGTTCTTCAAGAGGCCTGGTAGCCAAGGGCCGCACGGATGGTCCTCTTGCGCTGCTGTGAATGGGTGGATGGATCAAACGCAGCGATGCTCTGCTCTGCTCTGCTCTCTTTGCGCTGCTCAGTGCTGTCTGTCTGTCTGTCTGTCTGTCTGTCTGTCTGTCTGTCTGTCTGGTCTATGCCTGCCTACCTAGTTGGTTAGTCTGCATGCACCCTTACTACGACGGTACGTACCTGCTCTAGCAATCAACCGCCTCGAGTAGCCAGCCAGAGGCCAGCACCATTCACTCTCCACCCATCCATCCATCCCATCCCCCCCATCACCACCACTTTCTCCTCCTCTCCCTTATCCTCCCTCATGCTTCTGGTGTTGTCGTCGTCGTCGTTGTCGCTGCTGCTGCTGCCGTCTTCTCTCTCCCTCTCGCTCTACCTACGGGCCCTTTAGCTAGACGCTCGCTCCCTTGCCACTCTTTTCGTTAGCATTGTGTCCAGCCCTCTTTGTTTGCTCTGCTCTGCTCTGCTCTGCTTTGCTCTGCCTGCATACCTAGCATTCGACCTCCCCGTTTCCCTGCAACACTCACGCGCCCGCCCACACATACGCCTTGACAGTTCACGCACCGTCACACCGCCGTCCGTCTCTACCGCTTGCTTGTTCCACCACACACTCTCTCCCCACACACACGTCAACAACAAAACAAATTCCACCAGAAACGCACACCACCGCACCTGTCAACGCCACTGACGCCGCGCCTGTACCTGCGTCTGTCTGCACCTGGCCGATGACCAGAACAAGGTCCCTCCAACCCCGACACCATCTGCACACTAGTCCCCGTAGCGCACCACCGCCGTGCCCTCCCGTACCACTCGAGACGACTGCGAGACGAAACCACAACACACCCAAGACGAAACACAAATCATGAACACTTCGTCGCGCAATGGCCCCCTCTCCCCCGTCTCCACTGCTGAGAGCGCCGAATGGTCCCCCATAACCCGCTACCAGGACCTCTCCACCGACCTTCCCTACTCGCCTACCTTCCCACCAAACAACCGTGGCACCACACCGCCCACCTCTGTCCACGGCCGCACCTCCACGAATGGTGGCACCACCCCCAATGGCATGCCACGCCCCAATGGAAACCCTTCCCCTCCAAACTCGGTCGCTCGCTCCAGTGATGGCACTGGCCTGTACGCCCAGCACCTGAGCGAGCAAGGCCCCAAAAACCGCAAGATCATGGTCCTCGAGGAGACGTTGGCCGAGCACTATCGTGTGCTTCGCACCTACTTGGGTCCCTATCTACGCGACGAACAGGGCAACCCCCGTCCCAGTAGAGCAAAGGACAAGCTCACGCGTCTATCGCCCGTTCAATTCCAGGAGCTTAGCACAGACGTATACGATGAGTCCATAAGGCGAGAGCAAGATCGCAAGCGCGGTGGCCCAAATGCGCCGGGCAACGACACCCCCAAGTTCCTCCTGCCCAAGAACACCTTCCACCCCAAGCGCAACCAAGCAAGACAGAAGCTGTCTACCTTGCCCATCGAAAGATTCCGCCAACTAGCTACCGATGTCTTTTACGAACTTGAAAGGCGGTTTCCGCGCTTTGGGGGGCCAGACATGCCTCGATCTGCCAGTCCTGCTGGCAGTATGGCGAGCCGAGGGAGCCGAGGCCCCCCTAGTCGTGTAGGGACACCCAACAGTGCAAATGGAGGCATGCGCGGCGGTCGCCCTCCACCAGGAGGATATCGCGGTCCACCTCCTCCTGGCGCTCTGAGACCTGGAGGCCCACCCAACGAGCTCGGCCGCCCATTGCCCAAAACGTTCCAATCAAACACAATCGTCCCCAACAAGGGTACCATGGTCGAAGACGATGACAGCGGAGGGGACGATGACGATGCCTTCAATTTGGAAGGAGCGGCCGCTCGACGCCAAACAAACAAGAGTATGAAGAGCATGGGCGAGGCACAGGAAAAGATGATCTCAGAACTGCAGGGTCAGGTTTCGGAACTCCAGAGCAAGATTGGCTCCCTCGAAGACGCACTGAAGTCAAAGGATGAAGAAATGGTCAAACTCCATGACTCTGAGAAGCAACGGGACGGCACATCTGCCTCGGAACGCGCCGAATGGGATGAGCTTCGCTATTCGCTCGAGGAAAAGGTCGACAATGCTGAAGCCCTCAACTCCTCACTGCGGGCAGACATCGACAGAATACGCTCGGAGAACGCCGACACGGAACGCAAATTGCGAGACCAGATTGAAGACCTCGAGTCCAACCCTCCCCAAGCCGCATACAACGTAGGTGACGAGTGGAAGGATCGATGCGAAGATTTGGAACGCGAATTGAGCGAGCAGCAACAAATCACGGACGAGGTGCGCCGCGATGCGCAAACCTTTTTACAGGAGATGAGAGAGCTTTCGTCACGGAGCGATGCTGCAGTTGAAAGGGAAGAACGTTTTGCCTCCCGCGTGTCTTCGCTGGAGGCGGAACTCAAGGACTGGAAATCGCGGTACGCAAACGCCAAAACGCAATTACGAACTCTGAAGGCATCTTCTATCGGCCTCGCTTCGCTCGCGTCACCGGACATATCCAATTACACCCGCGATGCCAACTTCGCCACTCCAGATGGTGTTGTCAAGGACGTGCATGTTACCCAGTTCCAACTCAGCATCGATGAGCTTCTCCAAGTTGCTCGCCGTGCCGACTCGGAGCAGGTCCTTGAAACCATGAGGCATGTTGTCAAATGCGTGCGCGCAATCACCGGCGATGTTGACGGCACTCCTTTCTCTGCAATCCAATCGCCCGCCAGTAGCGTCAATGGTGACCTGTCAGGTCCAGAAAAACAGCAGGCTAAGTTGAAGTCTCGGGTCAGTGCCACCGCAAACAATCTCATCACGGCTAGTAAAAACCATGCTTCCTCCGCCGGTTTATCCCCCGTTAGTCTGCTGGATGCCGCTGCCAGCCATCTCTCCACTGCGGTCATAGAGCTCGTCAAGCTGGTAAGGGTGCGACCCACTCCCGAGGGTGAACTTACACAGGATGAGGAAGACGACCGGCCCATGCCTTTGAAGCCTACCACATATTCAGCGTATAGCCCCTACTCCATGAACAATATCAATGGCGGCGCAGTAGGTGCGGTGCCGAATCACCAGCGTCATCGCAGCAAGGGCGGTAGCAGCAGTTCTACTAGATACAGCAACTACAGCTCTCCCTACAGCGGATACGATCGGCAAAGTGTTGTGACCAACGGGATGAGCTTTGAGAGGGACACAGGAATGACAGTCTTCAAAGTAAGCTAACCACGTCTGCACCTGAAATCGAACCTGGCTTACCCTTGCGCAGAATTACCTCGAAGACCAAACCGCACTGCTTGTTCAGAGTATCCAACCACTTGTCAATCTGATACGATCGACTCCCAACCCCACCGCTGCAGACGAACAGCAAATCAGTGACTACATCCAAGACATCTCCCGCGCTGTGGAGGACACGGCAGCCCGTACTTTCGATGCTATCAAGGAGCTTTCTAACCCTGCTCTCAAGAAGCACGTGACACCGGTCGTGGAGGTGCTTGAAGATTGTAGACGAAGCATGCTGGAAGTTGACGTGCGTGGCGGCAACGAGGACAAACTACCACCGCTCGCTTTCAAAACCGCTAGGGCTCTCAAGGTACGTTGTGTTATATGACAGTTTTTAGTTATCCACTGACAGTTTCAGGAACTTGTTCTCCGCGTCGATCGCATCGAAACAGGCGAACTAACCTTTGACCGGCCCCTCAGCGATTTTTGATGATTAACCCACCCTTTCTCTCTCATCTTGATGAGCACCACGTCTTAATCCTCTTTCATTCTCCCATCTCATATATTTATTCTACAGGCTTCGGCATGGTGTCTAGGTGTTCTCCAGTTGCTTTATACCTATTTTCTGGATCAACCGCATCTGTTTCTTTTCTTTCTTCTCTCTGCGCTAACTTGGATATTGCCCACGACGAAAGTATCTAATGTACTCCCACTTATTGATATTGTTTTGAATACGTAGACGCGTCTAGCAGTTGTTGAAGGTGTCGATGTTCTGCGGAGATCCGAGGGCATGGTTGTTACCTTTCTATTTCACTCTCCCGGCCTTTTCACGGGGTGCCTAGAAGTCGTTCTGTTCTATGCAGTCGTTTTTCTGACTACTTGTCTGTTCTCATCTTTCTCTTCATTCCTCTCACTACCCGGTCGTACGGCTCCGCGTCTTTCAGTTCTGTTCCTCCAAACCCGCACACTATTGTGGTCTGGCATTCGCGATGGATGTAAGACTGAGCGAGGGACGGGGGCCTGTTAACCGGTTCCCATGGGAGTGTGGATAGGGCAAGGGAGAAGGCGTTGTTGGTGCAGGATTAGAGCAAAGTGTTTAGTGGATTTGGACCAGGGTATTGGAGGAAAAAGTACCTATTGAATCAGATTACATTAAATTCACAATTCTAACAAAACATGTTCCGCGCTTCACTTGCTTGTGGGGCGTAGAGTTGGTTATTTGTCGAATGTTTGTGCGTTTCGATCCATGGCCTCCAGACGTCCGTCCATCCACCGCGCACACGTCATTGTATTCTTGTTTCTTGTCAATTGGTCTTCATGGTTGGCATCCGAACAGATGCCGTGAATGCCGAAAACAAACGGGCGTGGGCTTGGGAACCAAACAGCTCTGGTTATCAGTCCTCGAGACCCGGTTCCAACGGCACCGACACCGAGCATCTTGAATTGCTGGCTTTTTTTTTTACCTAGGCGTGGTCAAGCTAGTGACGTTCGCCCAGGCCAGGTCGGCGCTCCCCACCACCCCTCTCTTCCCTAACAGCCCGAAACAAGGAAGAAAAGAAAAATCGCGCACAGCCACACTACCTCCACCTCCACATATACACCTACGCATACGACGACTCGAGCTGGTGTGACGCTAGTTCGCCTTGTTGTCTGGACCCTTTTGGTTGATTTAGCTGTGGACCCCTCTTCTCCAACTTGCTTCACTTCACTTCTTTTTCTTCTTCCTCTTGGACAACTAACTGGCCTGGCTTGGTTCTTTCCTTACTTGTTTGTTTGTTGATCTGCCTCTCTTCATACGAGGCAAGAAGACCTGTCGTGGGCACGCCTCATAGCTCTCGCCACAAACTACATCCTTGCTACACAAAACGAAGGAAAGGAAATCGAGGTGAAACCCCCGCAATTAGGGTTTCTTTTTCCAACCAAGCGCTCCATCAGGTCTATTCATCATCACATTTCGAGGCCAACTGCACACGAAAGCAGAAAATAAAAACCCCAAAGGTACCGAAAGAATGAGCGAGTTCCCAGGACATATGCACGGCGGGCCCGCACCGTATCACGATCACATCTTGACTGTTACGGATCAGAGTTGTCCCGATCCTTATGTGCTATGGGATCAGGGAACATATTATATGGTATGTTGACCTTTGAACGTCTGGAAAGAAGAGTCTATTCCTGATTTGTGACACATGGGTGTGCTTTAGACATTTACTCGCGGTGATCGGATTGAGCTTTGGTCCGCAGATACGCTGTTTGACTTTGAGAAGAGATGTCGTAAAGAGGTCATTTGGCGTCCACCTCCCGGAAAACCCTACTCGGGCGACCTTTGGGCTCCAGAACTGCACAACCTCAATGGGAAATGGTATGTCTACTTCGCCGCCGACGACCCAGCACACGGCAACCGCTCGCACCGTATGTTTGTCCTCAACGGCCCACCATCCTCCCAATCCCCACTCGACCCTGCTGCATGGTCCTTCCACGGGCGTCTGGACGGTATGCCTGAAGATCAATGGGCCATCGACGGCACGGTCATCACACTCCACAACTCCCTCTGCTTCGTATACTCTGGTTGGCCACTAGGCAACTCGCACGACGAAAGCCGCCAGGAAATCTACATCATCGAAATGACCTCACCTACCAGCGTCACCGGCAGCCCCGTCCGCATCTCCTCGCCTGATCAGCCCTGGGAATTCTCAGGAAAATCCGGCATCAACGAGGGCCCGCAGTGGCTCGCGTCCCCCTACGGCAACTGGGCCGGCATCGTCTACTCGTGCGCCGGAAGCTGGACCCACGAGTACAAAATGAACATTCTCTTCTACACTGGCGGTCACCCTCTCGCACCAACCAGCTGGGCCAAATCCACAAAACCCCTCCTTCAAGCCGCCCGCGATGACACGCCCCCGTATGGTCCTGGTCACGGTAACTTCGTCGCTGTTACGGGTCCTGCTGGCCCGGAAGTGTGGGGTGTGTTCCACGCCACAGACCAGAAGACAGGGTGGGAGGGCCGAAAAGCAAGGGTGATGCGCGTTGGGTGGGGACAAAATGGTCCATTTATGGGGAGTGGGTACTGCGGGCGGTGCTGTGGAGATGTGAATCACTTCATCAATGGGTGCGATGGTGGGGTTTGCGGTGGGAAAGGCGAGGTTGGGGGAACTGGGGGGAATCAGGGCGGTCATTCTATCAATAATAAGGATGATGTTAAGAGAGAGGTCAAAGCTGTGGTTGATCAGGGGAAGAAGTTGCTCAATAAGTTTTTGAAGTAAGGTGGGTGCCGGAACAGGGATGCATGCGTACACACTTCGACATTATGGACTGACGAGAACGATCGACTTGATATACTTACTCATTATCTCGCACGTTAAACAGTTTTCAGCGTGTCTTGCTGGCCTTTCTTTTCCTTTTTTTACTGCTCTTTCTAGGCTGCGCTATTACAGATGAACCAAAACCAGTATAGAAGTCTCTCCCCAAATCCGAGATGTATGGATATGATTTTCTCCGTCTACAAATATGTACATAGGAACCCTAGTCGGGGTAGACTGCTGGCTGGGAAGCAGGATCCATCAACATCCAAGAACTCATTACCGCAAAGCGAATACGCAAAGTAAGCAAGTGACTACGCGATGTAGTCTTGGGGATAATTCCACCTATCTCTGGTCGTGGAAATCGGTTAGCGGGTGCCGGCTTTGACCGCCATCCTAGAGATGTAACAAGAAGTCAAAAAAGGATCTCAATCCTTCTAGCGGAAGCGACATTTTAAGAACGCGGCACAAGGCACAACGAAGACGGGAGAGTTTGGCATGGATAGAGAGAAAGACGCAAACGTTAAAAGTCTCTAGCCAGCCAGCCAAACACATGTTCCTACCACACTCCACTCTACCGGGAACCCAAGCCAGCCCAGATAAAAATAAAATAGAATAAAAGAGCGACGGTTCAATCTCCACTTTTGCCAGCCCTTCACAACATAGTAGTTCCCCCACCAAAATAAAACACGAACTCAATCAAAAAGAAGGCAAAAACACACAACAGAGACAAGAAAAGTCACGCCTAATCACGACATCGGGCTAAGCTTCGCGTGCTTCGCAAACCCACCGCAGCCAAGCACCGTTCGTATACAACGGGCCTTGTCCACCTTCCGCTTCGGTTCATGCCGCGTTGCTGGGCGCTGAGGCTTGAGCCTCTCAGCAGACGCTGCTCTGTGTGCCATGCTGCCTTCCAAGACTGCGAGAAAGCACAACTGCTGTCTGTGTGTGGGAAGACGCAAGTTTGAGTAGCGATGACGCGAATAATCCCATCAATATATCTACATGTGCGCCGCTGCCCCTGGGATTGTCAATGTGCGACTTTGCATTGGGTGCATCGCTCTCCGCTTTCGTGTGATCCGGTCCAACGAACCTTTTGCTGTTTGTTTGTTTGTTTGTTTGTTTCTCTGGTCCTGATCTCTGATCAGGTCTCAAGAGCAGCTGTTGACTGATCCAATGGTTTCCAAGAAAGACGAGGAGTATGTCGCCACGACGGTGAGAGGCGATGAGAGTGAGGGAGCTGCTTCCCCGCCTACATACGACAATGCCGTTGTCCAGCAGGAGAATACTTATGCGTACGATGATTCGAGGAAACTTGGGGTCACGGGCTCGGTGTTTTTGATTCTGAACAAGATGATCGGAACTGGAAGTAAGTCGCGCTGAGCAAGGCATTCTCTAGGAGAATGTATACTTGTCTGGAGATCGGTGACTTATGTACTGACTGCTCTTTGATAGTTTTCTCCACGCCTTCAGGTATTTTTGCTGCTACAGGCTCAGTGGGCGTCTGCTTGTTCCTGTGGATTATCGGTACGTCCTACCATATTGACTTCGCATACCTCATGCTCACAGCTCAACAGGTGGAATTCTAACCTTCGCCGGTCTCTCCGTATTCCTGGAATTCGGTCTCGCCATTCCTCGCTCGGGAGGAGAGAAGAACTACCTCGAACGCGCTTACAAAAAACCAAAATACCTCGCAACATGCGTTCTCGCCGCGCAAATGCTGCTTCTCGGCTTCTCCTCCGGAAACAGTCTCGCTTTTGGCCGCTACGTCCTCTTCGCGTCGGGTTCTGAAGAGCCTGATGGCTGGCAAGCTCGCGGCATCGCCGTTGCCTGCGTGACTTTTGCAGTAGTCTTGCACTCGACGCTGCCGAAATGGGGTGTGCGCCTCTTCAACGTCCTCGGTGTTTTCAAAGTCATCATCCTGCTCCTCATCGTTTTCGCCGGTTTCGCCGCTCTCGACGGCCGTCTCAAGGTTCCGCCGCCAAACAACTTCGACAACGCGTTCCGCCTCGAAGTCGGCGATGGGTACGGTGGTGGTGGCGCTTACGCATACTGCACTGCGCTCCTGCGCATCGTGTACTCGTACAAGGGCTGGGAAAACGCAAACTACGTCCTAGGCGAAGTCAAGAACCCCAAGAAGACCCTCTCCATCGCTGCTCCGCTTGCCATTGGCGGCGTCACGGTGCTCTATGTCCTCGCCAACGTGGCGTACTTTGCCGCGATCCCAAAGTCCGATCTAGCCAAGAGCGAAGTCATTGTCGCGGGTCTCTTCTTCCGCAACGTCTTTGGCGATAGCGCCGCTGCGAGGAGTCTTCCGGCGTTTGTGGCTCTGAGCAATTTGGGGAATGTGTTGGCTGTCAGCTTTGCGCATGCGAGGTTGAACCAGGAGTTTGCGAAGGAAGGACTGCTGCCGTTTTCCAAGTTCTGGGCTAGTATTAAGCCATTTGGTGCTCCGGCTCCTGCTGTAAGTTTTCATCTTTTTCTTCACTTCTTGTTGACGGATGAAATCTTCATACAAGCATGGAGTATCACCTAAACTACAAAGAGGCTACTTCAGAGAATACCATAGCACCAATTGAGGGGGAAAAAAAAAGAAAGAGCTACAAGCTAACACAAACAACCTCACAGCTCTTCCTCCACTGGCTCATCACCGTAATAGTCCTCGTCGCACCCCCCGCCGGCCCGGCCTACAACTTCATCACAGACCTCTACACGTACCCGGGCGCGTGGATCAACGCCTTTGTCGCCGCGGGCCTCATCTACCTCCAATACTCGAAACGCGAGCGCTGGTCGTCCCCCTGGCACACATACCTCCCCATCTCGGTGCTCTACTTCGCCGCCAACGCCTTCCTCGCCATCGTCCCCTTCATCCCGCCAGACGGCGACTGGAACGCAGAGGGGTACCCGTACTTTGTGTTCCCTATTGTTGGCGTTGGCGTCTTGCTGCTCGGTGGCGCGTATTGGGTTGGCTGGACTAAGATTTGGCCAAAGCTCGGTGGGTATAAGGTCGTGGCTGAGAGGTATGAGGATGAAGCTGGGAATGAACATGTTAGGTATGTCAAGTTCTATACAAAGGGTGCGCCGAGGGCGGGGTGATGGGGTGGTTTTGGTGAGAGGTGAGAGTTGTGTGTGTGGTGGGTTCGCTTCCTTTTTTCGTTGCTTCCTGTAATCTTTAATCTCTAGCTCTTGGGGTGGAGAGAGAGAGGTTGGAATAGGGTGTGAGTAAGAAGGCAATAGTATTTTGTTGCTTTAAGGGTCTGTTGTGGCCTCTCCTTCATCCCTTCTCTCTTCTCTTCACGTTCCCACTTGATTACTGGGAATATCTTTATCCGTGTAGTAAAAAAACTGCTTGGATCAAATGTATATACCATTCAAAGTACGGTAATTGGTCGCCTAATCACTATCAGAAACATCATGTTCCACTGCGCAATGGATTCAGGTCTGACACTCTTTCATCCGGACGTAATTTTTTCGTTTCAGTGGTATATGCATATGCTACGACTAAATATATATGTACTCCACTGCTCTAATCCCCATACTCTAAAACGACTCGGTAAATGCCATCTCAACCGCAAAACCCGTGGTCAACTTTGCATGCTCAATCATATGATCGAAATCCAAAAGGCCCAAATCATCATCCTTTGTATGAATAACGGGATTTGAAACATTGAAATCGCTCTCAAACACAAATGCAGACGGATACCCCGCCGCACTCGCACTCGCGTGGTCGCTGCACGCGTAGCCGCACTCGGTCTCAACGAAGCCAATATCGCAGTACTCATCGATGACCGTCTTGATGAAATTCGTCAAGGGCTCGTCGACGTAATCCACAATCAACCCCATGGTATCGGGGAGACCCGCATCGGCGTTGCCTTGCGAGTAGCCCGTCATGTCTTGCTGCAAGAGGCCCTTTGCGTCTACACCGTTCGCTTTGTACGAGTTCCACACGTCTTTGCTTCCTAGCAGGCCTCCTTCCTCAGCCGCATACCAATGGAATTCGATCGTGTTGGGTGCGCGGCCCTCTCTGATCTCCTCGTTGGTAAGAAGCACGCGCATCGCTTCCAGTATCGTAACACTTCCGGACCCGTTATCGTCGGCGCCAGGCGAGCGGTTGTTGACTTGGTCTTTATCCTCCCAATTCACGGAATCCTGGTGCGCGCCGAGCACGATAGTGCGGTTCGTTTGGCCCGGAATCGTAGCGATGATGCTGGATTGCGTAAACGCCGTGTGAGGGAAGGCGCGGGCGCTGGCTTTTGTGGTGTTGCCGCCTGCGGAGGCGATGACGGCGTTGATGGTGGAGAGGAGCCAGGCCGAAGACTCGGCACCGTAGGGCGATTTGTAGAAGCGGTTTTGGAATTCTGTGAAGGGGACCAGATTGTTGCGCATGTTGGTTGCGTTTAGGAGCGGGAGGAGTGGGGATGCGATGTCTTGGTGGGACGGGGATGTGGGGAAGTTTACAGCGAGGGTGGAGGGGAAGACGCGATCTTGGTTCAGGTCCGGGGTGGAGGTTATGTCTATGAGGTGTGTGCCTTTCTGTATTTTTGTTAGGAGATTGTTGAGGTCGTCATGGCTTGGTGGTGCTTGGTATATGGATGATTGGAAGGTTGAGATGACTGTGTGCTTGACGATCAATGGGAGAGACGTACAGCCAACAGCTCGAACTTCTCCTCCTCGGTAACCTGCTTGGTCTCCGTGGGCGACAGCCTGATGGTCAACAATTCGGATTCTCCATCGCGTTTCGGAAGCGTCAAAGCGGCTGCAGAAGTCGCAGTGAGTGCTGCTGCGAGAATAGAAACCCTCATCTTTACGACGGTATGTAATTGTCGATTTTTTTGGTTGGAGATCAGGGAGTCGACCAGGTGAAGGAACGAAAGACAAAGATGATCCAATTCACAAGCCACGGCAGTGCCATGTTATATACTTGTACTATGGCAAATTGACATGCTCAATCATATGATCGCATTCCGTAGTGGCCGATGAGACGTGCATACATATGGCACGATACCCGGAATTTTGGGCAAACTAGGAAAGTCAATGATTCGATAATAATGACCAGCATGAGGAGGAGACAAGGGTATATCTACTCAGTCGCCTTATCGCCCATGTTCTGTGTAGATCATGCCTTGCACAGCAGATGGTTATATGGCACCTGCTGTAAAGGGACGGATGAAGTAATAGGCAGCCACACCTCCCTGTTTGGATCTAGCGAGCTTGGCTTGCGCCAACTTCGCAGCGAAGCTTCGATGGGGGTGGAGGTGGTGAAACAACATTGAAAACCATCTGATGTGTGTTTGGGGATACAAGTCGTTGATTGGACGTGCATTGCGATGTTAATATAGTGTGGATACGTGGGTTGCGGTGACAAGCTATAATCCGCGGACGGGCATCTTAGCGGAGGCTTGTCGGCTATACGTTTGCCTTGATACTACTGAATTTGTTCCAGCTCTATTTGTTTCGCGGAAGAAACATCTGTAAAAGCCGTCCAGTGACTTTGGTGCTGTTGTGCAAATACCTGTCCCCTGTCAGGTTGTTGATTTGATTGAACCATGGTACGCTTGCCGTGGTAAATGCACAAAACCATGTGGCAGGCGGTGCTAGCCATTCAGACAGCTTCGTAGTACACGGCATCTCAATAGCGTTGACAGGCTATGACGACAGTCCTACTTAAACTTAGCTAACCTTGTACGCCGTTGAAGTATATGCAAATCAACGAACCCTATTCACGAAGACACTCAGATCTAAACCACTCAACAGCCTACCCTACTAGATCTCCGTCATTCTCTCGACGTCTCCAGGACCATCCCAAACACCAATCCGCGCCCACATAGCCCTCCCGTCTTCCTCCTTATCGCGCCACCAGGCGCAAGTTCCCTGGACTTGAAGAAATGCGCAGTCGCTGCATGCGCGATGCCCACACCGCAAGCATACGTCGTGCCAGTAGCCAGGGTGCCAGTGGTATCTTAGGCGGGTGGGATCTACGACGCAAACAAAGTGTTCTATGGTGTGGGTGGTGTTGGTCATTGGGTTGAGGGCCGCCGAGTTACAGGATGGCTGGCAGCAGCGCCATTTGATGAAGATGGGTATGCTTGGGGTGTGGATTGCTTGGGCTCTGCGGTCGTGAATAAAAGAGGATTGGTTTGGGTCTGTGGGTAAATGGAGAGGGAAACCGGGTGGTGGAGGTGAGAGCGGACTGGTGATGTTGGAAACTGGAGGTTGTGAGGTCATGAGGCTGGGCACTTTTCGCTGGAGTTCACTCTCTATCTTGCTCGGTGTAAGAAAGGATATTGGATTGGTGGTTCTTCTGTATTGGCAGACCGAAGCTTAGTGAGAAGCAGGGCTAGGTGATTATACGGATAGGCAAGGTAAATGCGCAGCGTGAAATGGCCATGGCTGTCGGGTTAGCAAAGCTTTGATTGTCGTATATGACATGATAGGGAAGACGAGTAAGAGGAATTGAAGATACGACGATAGTACGTGTATGGAAAGCGAAGAGTATGAGAATGAATCTTCACTCGTGTATAGCACGCGACAATGGCGTGAAGGAACGCGTCAGGGAAATGCGAATGATGCGTGAATTTACAGCACAAATGTGGAAGGAGAAGGAGTGGGTCACTTGGGTGAAGGGAGAGTTGTGATGAATGGATGCTGTCGATTGATGATGCGCAAAAAGAGCAGGTGATTGGATCGGGAATTAGCCGAGGTGGAAGATGAGTCAGCGGAAGAGAGCCGAGGTGCCGTGGCAGACCAATTCCGTGTTTGATGATTATGTATATACTAATATTTTCATGATAGTGCTCGTTCTCAGGGTCACCAAAGGGAAGATTGGATGAATCATGTCAAGGTGGTACAAGAGAGGGCGCAAATAGGGACAACACGTGGGAATATCGTGGGACAGGGCCGAGATATTAATAACTTGCTGTTTGGAGAAGCCGCAAACGGGATAGCGCGCTCCTGGCCCTCCAATCCGTGAGTATTGATCAATATTGAGAATCAGACCCTCATTCCTGCCGCGGTACAGCCTGAGTGACGTCCTGCTAGAGATTCTACAGGCGGGCAAGCAGGGTAAAAAATGGAGCCGGATGGAGAACGAGCATGTATGCAGTTGGTGGTACCAACTATGCAGGGCACTAACGAGAGGCGGCTTGCATCATAGTGGATGAGCCTCCACTCCACACATTCTCGGGAAGAAACAAAGAAAGAGAGAGAAATCCAGGGACGGCACTTGGCAGACCCGCGTGTTACTGCATGCACGCCATGTCGACCGTATATTCCCAAGCGGGCAAGCGGCATGCTGAAAACGGCGTAGTGGGCAATAAGGCATAGCGGCAAGGATCAGTCGCTGCGCTGTGAACTTGGGGGGAGCAGAGCGAGCGAACAGGCAAATCACCAGCTACCGTCCATCAATCCATGACATGACTTGATCGCTCATTCGGTCACGGGGCGGTATCGTACTCCGCTAACCACTTGGTCTAAGAGTTGCACGCTCCTCCCTCACTCGCCTCTTCTTCTCCGCCTCTTCCCTTTCCACATCATCGTGCGCATCCCTTCACTGCTGTTTGTGCCTGTGCCTGTGCCCTACTCTCGCTCTTCTTTTTTGGAATACTCTTTTACTTTATATTAATACCCTTAATCTACCCTCTACGACCCACACTCGCTTCCCACGTCGACCGACTCCACCCGTCCGACGCCTTCTCCACACTCTCGTCTGCCTTGCAACACACTTCGCTCAGGGGATCCCTCGCGCTTGCCCTTCCCCAGACTTCAAGTCGTTCGCTGGCTCCCTGTCTGCCTGTTTTCGCTTGACAGCTGCATCCCCCTCTTAGCATCCTTACACAACATCACCAGCCTGCCTCTACCCCCTTATTGGCCGCAATCATGGTCGGACGAACTGTTGCAGCTGCTGCCCTCTCCGTCGCCGCCTTCGCCGGCTCCGTCGTTGCGCAAGCCAAAGGAAAAGCCACCAGAGAAAACCATTGCCCGGCTGACTCCCCATGCGCTGGCTGTACGTCTACTGCTCCCATCACCATGAACCAACAACAACGAGAAACAGTGCACACTAACACATTTCCCCAGTGTACGGCGACTGCGGAATAGGCGCCTTCTGCCTCGGTGGTTGCGACATCACCATGTCACACTCCATCGAGGCTTGCGTACCCAACCCCATCTGCAAGAAGGGTGATTACAAGATGAACCCCATGGACGACATTCAGGACATTGGGAAGTACTTGGGCGACAACTCCAAAACCAACTGGCAGGCGCAAGGAAAGCCCATCAAGTACAAGGAGGAAGGCCTTCTCCTCACCATGTCCGAGGACTCAAGTGGAACACTGCTCGCATCCACCTTCTACGTGTGGTACGGCAAGATGTGCGCCTCCATGACTTCGAGTCAGGGCAAAGGTGTCGTCACCGCCTTCATCATGATGTCTGATGTTAAGGACGAAATCGATTTCGAGTGGATCGGTACCGACATCAATACTGTCCAATCTAACTACTACTCGCAGGGTGTCACGGACTGTAAGACGTCCTCTATGCAAGGCTGTTGCTGATCTTTGGCTAACACTTAACCTAGACACAAACACTAAGAACCTGACTGTATCGGGCGGAACGCTCGACTTCCACGACTACTGTATCGATTGGTCACCTGAAGAACTCAAGTGGGAGATTGACGGCAAGGAGGTTCGATCCGTCAAGAAGAGCGAGACATGGAACTCCACAGCCAATCACTTCGACTATCCCCAGACCCCCTCCCGCATCATGATCTCTCTATGGCCTGCCGGAAAAGCAGGGAACGCAAAGGGAACCGTCGACTGGGCTGGTGGCGAGATTGACTGGAACTCTCCATACATGACCAACGGGTTCTACAATGCCGGCATCAGAGACGTGACTGTGGAATGCTACGACCCACCATCCGGCGCAAAGAAGGGCGGCAGCAAGAGCTACAAGTACACCGACGCCAAGTCCCCCACCAACAACACCATTGAGCTCAGCGACGACTTCGTTATCCTTGGCTCTCTTGAAGGCACCGGTGAGGACCCAGGCGAGCCCTCCAAGACGGAATCCTCCTCAAAGTCTACAAACACGGCCCTCCAGGTTCCCGGTGGCATCATCGGTGGTGGTGCTCGCCAGGAAGCTCCTACCGGTGCGGCAGGTAGCAGCGCGGGCGGCAGCGGCGGCAGCTCTGGATCCGGCGCTTCTGGAGATGGCAACGTTGTTGGAGGCAGCGATTTCACGCAGGGTCTCAAGGGCCCCGAAGAAAACAAGTCGCTTGGTGTCTCCATCGAACCCGGTCTTGGAAAAATGGGTGGTTCCGGCTTGGCTATTGTGGTTGCTATCCTTGGCCTCATCGCATTGTAGTTTTTTTGTCTTTGTGTGTGTGTCCAGACGCGAGTCTTGCTTTGAAAAAGAGAAAAATGTTATACTGTGTTAATTCATGTTTATATCCTTTGCTTTTGGTGTAGAAATTGTGCATAGCTGCTGTTTAGACATTGATACCTTCCCTTGGATTAATGTGTACACGTCTTTTTTCAGTAGGTCCAATCTTGCGTTCTCTACGACTGGTTTAATCGTCTCTCTGCCTGTCCAGTCCAATCCCTTACGTTGGTGAATGCATGGGTACATTTATGGAGTAAGATGATAAACAGCACACAGCGAGCGAGCAAACGATATACCATTTCCGTGCTGTTCCTCTATTCATCATCATCGCATTCCCCCTTCCCCTTTATTGTGCTCAGTCAAGACCGTCAATTCATATACACAAAAGCAGCAATACCCATCTACCAAGTCTTTCTCCTTTCTTGATACGTCAGCATTCAAAACACAAATACAACAGTAAGACGTGTGTATCCAAGGATATATTTCTACGAGATTTCGTGACCTTCCATCCCCTTTTTTCAATATTCAAACACTGCTTTACTTATTATGCATGATTGAACTTGCAGCATGCCTATAGTCGATTGTTCTTATACGCAGTTAAGCACGCAGATACGAAAGGAACTTGTAAGCTGCAAGTTTAGAAAGAATGGCATCTGCTCACTACAGAGAGGGAGCGAACTAGTAGGTAGATAAGTAGGTGCGAGGTTGTATTTGCTGTATGGATATGACACGGTTTGTTTATCACGTGTACGATGGAGATTGTCATCTATACGCGGTAGAGAGAGAGAGAGAGAGAGAGAGAGAGTGTGTGTGTGTGTGTGTGTGTGTTGAAGAATAACCACCAACTCTCTATAATAGATGTAAAAGATCAACGCAATTCACTAAAGATCGCTCGGTCGCTGTGTGATATATCTCGTCCTAATACGACGCTTGATATGCTCAATACTTCTACGATGTTCAATCTAGCAGCGGCTACCCAATAAAAGTCCACAGCTGCTTGTATTTGCAATATTCGAGAGCAGAAGTGTAGTTCCTACAACTAACCAGGGGAGGATTTCCGGCTACCTGTGACTCAAGACTTACTTATCCTCCACTTCTGATAAGGCATCAGCGTCTTCCGTCCTTTTGCACGGGTTGGTGTTTGACTGGCCGATCGCTGTATCAATCCATCGACAAAACCCCGTCACTCTGGTGATTTGAAGCGGAACATTGATTTCATGTCGGAGAAAAAAAGGCTTGGACGAAATCTGCACCTTGTTTTTCTCATTCATTATCAAGAGAGCGACTTGGATACATTTGCACAGGACGCGTACATGGGTACTTGCGTGGGAGTGAGCTGTTGGTTACATTCACGTGTCGTGTCAAAGGCTCGTATGGATGACTACTCCTGAAGATGCAGTCTTCCTTCGGCAAGTGCGTCTCGAAAATGGCGTTTTCGAGGTGTTGGTTCTTCTTTCAATGTTGGAGTTCGCGGATGTGCTTTTTCTGCGTGTGGTTTACGCGAAGAGAAATATGATGGGCGAAGATGATATAAGCAGCTATAATAGGACGTAAGTGCAACCTAGACCCATTGGAAGCGGGAAGTGATCAAGAACCATACACGCAAATATCGGAGGGACTTTGTTCGCGGGATGTGGGGTAATACCCAACTACACATGTACTTTGCCATGAATTCAAGTCTTGATAAGCACACGCCGGGCCAACGGATACCCGTGGTTCGTCCAGTGTACTGTGTCGTCACTTGGGTTAGTCTTCTGGGGATGCGGAACATATTTCCATTCCACCGGTGTCAATCACCCCGCAGGTTTGTACTTGCCAAGTTCTGATGATTGGGGGAATTCTACGCGTGATCAGCTAGCTCCAAGGACAAGGTCAGGTTAGTCAGATATATAGCATAAATCCACTGTCGTGCATACATTCATCCGGGAAAGAGATGTAGAGGAAGAAAAGAAAAGGAGCAACTAACTAGCAAAATACTGTATACTCGTAGAAGTGGGAGGGAATGAGATTAGAGGGAGCCAGCGGTATATCGAGACACCGAGGTCCCCTCCATCCCCCACTTCCATCAATTCACTCCCGCCTCTCATCATGATCTCGCACCCCAGCGGACCCGCGATCCGAGGCAAATAAAAACAACAAGTTGGGGGCCTTAACCTTGGCTGCATATTTCCTTCGTTCCCAGATTAATTGAACGATAAGCAACAAGCAAGCCAGCAAGCAAGCAAAGCAAGAAATCGAAGATTATGCAGAAGCCCAGCCGATGGAAGAGAATGTTTAGGCGATGTTCATGCATTGCATGCAGACAAGGAACGGCATGTGCAGTCCCGCTCCCCTCTGCTTTCTGCCGGATCACGAAACCGGATTCTGCCATGGAGCAATGATGAATAGGGTTCGAAGCTTTGTTGGATTCGCATGTTTTTGGGCGGCGGCTGCGGGTGGAAATGCCGCAGGATCGGCGGATCGTGACTGGGATTGGGGGAAATGGTTGCAGTCCGGTTTCTCCGTGCACGTAAAAGTACGATTTGTGATTTGATCATGAATGGGATTTTGACGGATACATGAATATTGTTTTGGGTGATGGCCCAGGTAGATCCTGTTCTTTATGCAATTCTACTCGTTGGTTTCCAAGACTTTCTCCAATGAGCTTGCGATTTGTGCTGGTTGTTCCCAAGATTCGCTATTGTCTTAAATTTCATGGTGGGGAGGACGTTGGGGGAGATACAAAGCTCTTTTGTGATGTATTGCACTTTTCTTTTTGTTCCACACAAACACGGCTTTCAAATCGAATAGATGCCAGGCCTGCTCCACGATGGAACCGACTTGAACTGTACACGTAAGGGACGGACACTACGGGAACTAGCATAGTGCACCAAAGGATAGCTCAAGGCGCTCAAGAATGTGAGAGGAACGACCACAGCATGCGACCTGCGAGTGATTATGGTACAATTCGCCCACTATGCAACGTCCCGCTGGTACAATGCCCCCGTCTCAGCGCTATCTCGCTGGGCCAAGGCTACGGGCCGTTCCTAAAGGTAGCTAGAGGGATGAACCACAGGTCTTGATGTGAGCTTGAGTGGCGGATAGTCTTCTTGAAACCTTGGCTGTTGTTTGGCGGAGTCCGAACGGCATCAATAGTCCGGCGTGACCAGGTGCGCGTAAATTCGATGTGGTGAATGGCAGGTTTATCACTCTGGTCGGAGGGCAGTCTATGGCAAACACAGCGACAAAAATGAAACAGCGGGGCACACTAGGTATGCAGGGACGTTCAGCTATTAACGCAGTTTTGGGGGTGCAGTAGATTGATCGTAGTCCGAAGTCATCCAGAAGTAGAACGATTTGCAATGGCGGGTCAAATGATGGGTTTTGAGGTCGCTGATGTAAGACGCAGAGTATCATCTAGATAGGCTGATGGCTGTTGGAAAGACTAATGGCAGCTACAAAGCAACATCATGTCGTGATGGTGTTGAGGGCTGATGAGGCAAGTCGATGCTAGCGTGGGGGCCCAACCGTGACTTTGATTGCTGTGCCAGTTGCTTGCATGTCCCTACAGGCCAGAGCACGAATTTATCAGCCGTTGTGTGCCGCGAGAGAGCATAGATTGCCGGGCAGCAGGTCGCTTGCGAGCGTCCGACCATCAATCAGCTCGATCAGCTCGGGGTGGTCACTCGATTAGTGGGGTAAGGTAGAAGACGCACATTTCCGGAAGGTCGTTAGGGAGGGCATGTGGGGCAGGAAGAGACATTTGCAGTCAGGGGCAGAGCCCATTGCGGCTGGCAAGGATGGTGTTGGGGTTTCCAGAATGTTCAGATGCTCCTGCTGCCGTGCCTGATGCCCTCCCGATTGCTGTTGTCGTCGTCGTTGGATATGCAAACCCGTGGGTCGTATATATAAGCGTTTTTGCGAAGCGCGGAAGCGGCCCCGGTGACAGATGATTGGAGTCACCCTCTATGACTCGCCACCTGGGTTCTTGCTCTATGGTTCCAGTTCCTATTCGCCGGTTTAGTCGCCATGCTTGTTGACTTCTGTAGCTGGATACATGCTTAGTAGTGGGCAGGCTCCGGCTGCCCCGATGGACATGGACACACACTATGGCCGGGTATGCAACGTCGGCTGCGTCTCCCGCTTTCGGCTCGTCTTACATTGAGCTGCCAGCGCTGGGGGGAGGCTATACTCGATACACGCGCCCGCAGAGAGAGGTGCAACACAAGGCGGAACGGGATTGGGCCTCCCGTCCGTTGCTGACCCGGAGGGCACACACTCGCTGTCGATAGACAGGCCGAGACGAGCCATGTCTCTGGTCATGCATTGCATTGCGTTGCGCTGCCAGAACACGAGGCTGCTGCTCGCACAACCTCTACGTGTCATTTGATTGCGCCAATCTAATAGCGTCAGTAATATGTATACGGCCTCGAGTCCCTGCAGAACCACCGCTCTAGTCCATGGCCAGCGGCTAGGCGGCTACTAGGTACGTACCCAATCTGTGCAGGCGCGTATCCCACGCCGGGGCAGACGAAGGAACCACTATGGTGTGTCCGCTTTAACAACCCTGCTACGCCCCCTCCAAGCCCGCAGACTCCAGAGGGTGGCGCCGCTTGCTCATCTTCGACACCCATTAGAGGCGTCTTCATATAGACCCTGTGCCCCGATAATCAACCCGCACCCTTCGTGTTACTCCACGTTGCTAGCCATCCTCTCAGACACCATGCCACACGCGACCTGGACCCAGACTCGACCGGGTCGTTGGGAACGTCCTCTGAGCTCCTTGGAGAAGTTCAACACCATCAACCGGAACGTCGAGAAGGCCCTCGATCGTGACAACTGGGTCAAGACTGTCGTCGCCAAACTCGAATTCGATCCCAAGTTGGGCGACCCTGTGAAGGCCTTGAAGAGTGCCTGGAAACAGGTCCGGTTCAGCCATCCAGAGGTTGCTGCTGTCCCCTACAATGGCCAGTACATCTACCGCACCGGCACCGCCGAACAAGTCGATTTGTGGGTGTCGGCCACTTTTGTCGTCGAAGACCGCTTGACTGTCGATGACTTGTACGGCAACATACCCCGCAATGAACAAATGATGTGTTACTTCCTGCGTAGCACGTCCGAAGTCATGATCCGCTCACCCCATTATCGCCTCGACGCCAGGGGAGCCATTCTCTGCCTCGATCTGCTCATCAAAGCTCTCGCCACCCCTAACGCGCAGTTGGACTGGAGCACCTGCGCAAGCAATCTTTCCTCTACTGTCGACGAAGTTCTTGACATACCATATGAATATACACCCGAGATCAGGAAAGCTGCCGAAGCTCGCCTGGAAACCCTCAAGCCCAACTACCCGATGATGGGCATCACCCCGAACAAGAACCCACGCATGCCTGGCGCCACGAAACGCCGGCTGTTCAAATACACCAAACCAGAGCTGCGCGCTTTCATTGGAGGTCTCCAAGCCCTCAAGTGGAACGACCAGGTTTTCATGCACGCAGCCCTCATTACCACTTGCACTGTGCTCTCTCCCCCTGACCAAACAATGAGCTACATGGCTTCTTTCCACAAGGATTTGCGCCACCTTATTCCTGAGAGAAGCAGAACCAAAAAAGCCCCGATTGTGTCCACGACCATTCTCAACAAGGAGATCGTAGTGTCGCCCTCGACACATCTCAAAGATCACTACGAACAGCTGATTTCCGTCTACAACATAGACAACACCTTTGTCAAATCGCAGGCGTGCTATCTCGAGAAGCTGGCAGCTTTGCAGTATCCCAACGGACGAGAGCCTTTCGGCAGCGAAGTGGATGGCCAGCTTCAGCCTCGCCTGTCGTCATTTGGAGTGGTGGAAGACAAGTTGCTTGTAACTAAGATCGATGGCGTTGTGGAGCTGAAGGATTTCTGGGTAGGTGTGGAGACATTTACCAAGAAGATCATGGTGCACACTTGGCTGTATAAAGGGGAGGGGTATTTCCACATTTCGTACAACGAGAGCTTCTGGGATGAAGCATACATGGATCTTTTCGTTGACACGTTGAAGAAAGTGATCAAGGAGATTTGGATCACTTGATGATTCATGATCATGTTGTTTGGATCCTTTCCCGTGGCGTATGTGGAGTTTTTCGGAGTTGGGCTTTATGAAAAGGATGGGTCAGCGATATACCCTTCAGCGCCCCATAATCATGCCATTCCTCGTATGTCGTGCTGCGCACATGATTTTCCGCGTCGATCCAGAGTTTCTCGTCTGTGCGTCTTTATCTCGAATGTCTTCGTATCGAGGAGAAAAAATCAATTAGCCATTATTATTTTATTTTTTTCATCGTCGCAGGACCTGCCTTGCAATACAACCAGCAACTTGCTGGTTCCGTATGTCAAGACGGGCCGTTTTTTTCACCGATCATTCATCTCCGTAAACAACGCCTACGGCAGATTCCGAGCTGCTCGATTGGTATAGCCTCGCGCGAGGATTTATTAATTCCCGCGTTTATCCTCTTAGCAGCGATAGCCATGCCGGTGCCAAGCTTCGCTCCCACTACGGGCATCCTAGGTCGAATTCGGCGATGCTGTGATATTTAGACAAAATAAACATGCGATAAGCGTGGAGGCATAATCCCCGGTATATGCTGGGAGCAGACGGTGATGCTGAAGATTGTATGCAAGATTGTTTGCAGCAACGAGTTGAGGCTGTGGACTGCCTATCTGGCACTGAGATCAACACGGGTCTCAGACCCCGTATTGGATGCTCAGTAGCCCGCCCCCTTTGACACGCCGAGGTAGAGGGCCACCATTGAATTGGCAGCTGAAGGATCTCGAAATGATGGTGTATAATCCTTCTAGACTTTCACCTAGGATGTCCCGACGGCGGAAAGTGGGGTTTAGCGGGGTCACATGATGACAAAGTGACACCAATGCCGCCGCTTAAAGTGGTATTACATGGCAGGGGTAGGCGCACCCTGGGATATCGAGACAGGGCATTCATCACACTTTCTACATAAACACACTATTGAATAGCGTCTCAGGATACCTTCTACCGACTTTTCGTAGAAACTAAATACAAATCAAAGGCTTGATAGAGCGTTGAGGGGGATTCGAGGGTTCACTGAACTCTATCACATAATAAGCGAAGCACCCCTCAGCGTCTGAACGAAAACGCGACAAAGCTTGAAAGTGGCTTCATCAAGCGTGTTCAATGGACATACCGCAGGGCGAACTTATTTGCAGGATAGAGTAGCTAGACAACATTTAAGATACTTTGTTGTGTAAGGGGGAGTTATTGTGATTATCGCCTCTTTTCTAATCCTGTATTGTAAGCATCCCGTCTGTGTGCTAGGAGCACTAATGAAGACTACAGCCCAAAAATTCCCCCCAAAAAATCACGACTCTATGTACTTACACGTAAAGTGAGTCCTCCGTCACTTGTTTAAGAGTCAAATTTTGCTTACTAGACAAGGGATTCTTCGATACTGGAATGGAAAGACCTGCAATAAGTTGCGGGATAATTCCCTGCTGTATACTGAAGGCAGACAGTGTTGGTAAAGACTGCATGCGTCTACTTGCGATTGTTTGTAGCCACACGTTCCATTAGGAAACATCTGTACTAACACTGAGATCAACATCCGTCTGAAAACGCATCGTCTAGGAGCAGTATTGCTTTCCATTCATCAAGGTAGAGAGTCAACAGCCAGTGTGCCGTGCTTCTGGACTCGGTTGCGGAAAGTGGGGTTGAGCAGGGTTCCATGATGAGCATGCACCTATGCCGCCACCCTTCAAGTGAAACTGAAAAGCAGCTCATGCCTGAATACAATCGTAGTCATATACATTGCAACGCGAATTTTGTCCAACAAAAGCACTAAAAGGGTCGGTTGTGTAGTGTAGCTGGTTAGCACATCGGATTCTGATGTTATTAGACTTTCCGGGGACCTGAGTTCGAATCTCGGCACGACCTGTGTGTTATCTATTTCTTTTTGCTCTCGTATCAGCACTTCCTAAGAGTTGAAGTGATGACATTGGAGTTGATAGATGCTGGCCTCGTGCACAATCAGCAAGCGTGGACTTTGGATTCTCATCCTCTGATGACTGAGAAGTAGAAGGTTGATGTATTGACACGCATTACGGATTCACGTACCATCTCGCAAATCCTAAGTTTTTGCTAATAAAGACTGGTGGCTTAATACAGAAGGCTGCTATTCTTGAGTTGTCTGTACCATTTTCCTTGTACGTTATAGGCCTTCGTGCCTGTGTTACGGCCCCGTCGGAGGTAAGCAACACCTCTCGTCCAGCGCCCCACCCATCAACTCAGACTTCAAAGACAGACCCTCCCGTACCCTCCCTCCACAAGTCAATCCCGAACCACCAAATTGTCTAATTAATCACTACATGGCCTTAAGTAAATCCAGCGAATTGATAATACACCACACAGGGAAGCATGAAGTGAAAATTGACAGTACACACTTATGCGAGCGTGTGGCGAATGGGCTTTGAATGTTTGTTATCTCCTTTGTCAGCGGCGAAGTGCGCTGATCACTTCGTTCCTATTCGTCAGTGAGCTCCTATACCTACAGACATATCCACACACTAAAGTAAAATCCGACTTTAAAGCCATTGTCCATAGAATAAATGGATTTTCTATCCTCAGGTGCGAACGAGTCGCGTAGGGGGCCTGATGGAGATGTGAGGACTCTCTTGTCCGGGACTTGCAGTAGCGGCTTCCGTCCTTTTGTATATAAACTGAGGAGGACATGGCGATTGATGTGAGTTTGGTATATACACGTATATAAACACAGAGCACAAATCAAGAAGTCGTAATTGATTTCTACACATTTACCTATCTCATTACTATCATCCACTTGTCGATACCACAAAGCAAGGTTTGATGAGCCTCCTCGACCGTAAACGAAAACAAAATGTCCAACCCACAGCCCCTACTCAACAAAACTGCCCTCATCACCGGAGGCTCCCGGGGCATCGGCGCTGCAGTATCCCTCCACCTCGCCTCTCTGGGCGCCAAAATAGTAGTAAACTACTCATCCAACTCGCGCGCCGCCGACGCCCTGGTATCTCAGATCGGTGCCGACAAAGCCGTAGCCATCCAAGCCGACGCAGGAAACTTGCAAGACGTTGAGCGACTAGTACAAGAGACGATATCATGGGAACACGGGAACGGGAAGATCGACATCTTGATCCCAAACGCGGCGATTGGGTTGTTGACGTGTACATTGGACAAGACGAGCGAGGAGGATTACGATCGTAGCATGACATTGAATGTGAAGGGACCGTATTTTTTGTGCCAGAAAGCAACTCCCCATATGCCTGCTGGCTCTTCAATAATTCTGGTCAGCACGTCTCTCACGGGCTCGACGCAGGTTACGCCAAATTACCTTCTCTATTTGACCACCAAGGGCGCTGTTGAGCAGATGACACGCGTCCTGGCAAAAGATTTGGGTCGGAAAGGCATTACCGTGAATGCTATCGGCCCTGGTCCCACGGCTACAGATATGTTTTTCGAGGGGAAGAGCGAGGAGTTGGTCAAGACAATTGCCAGCTGGAATCCGTTTGGGAGGCTGGGAACACCCGAGGAGATTGCAAGGGCGATGGCATGGTTGGCTGGTCCAGAGAGTACATGGGTCAATGGACAGATAATCAAGGTCAATGGTGGCATGGTTGTTTGATCCGCCAGCAGCTAGACAGATGATGTAGAATATAATATTACAATTCTCTAATTCTCTATCACGGGTAAACTTAGAATCCACCATACCCTTGTTGTACATTGAATTCCGGAGGGATAGCCCATAGCATGCTGTCGGGAATGAATAACGCGCTTAGGTCGGCATCTGAGCCAGTACCGAGATCGAATTGAGTAAAGTCAAAATTGGGATCCCATATGCCGTTCGGCATTCCCATCATGTCTGCAGAGCCTTGAGGCTGAGGCGGCATGCCGGGATACCAATTTTGCATTGGCTGAGCCTGCTGATGCACTGCGGACTGTTGTTGAGGCTGAACTTGGGTTTGCGCAGATGTGTTGCTATTGCCCATGGCAACCTCGGACAGAAGGTGCAAGGGGGTCTGATCCTGAGGAGACTGTCGTGACCGTGTTGCAGAGTTCGTTTTCGTTGTCGATGTCTGAGACTCGTCATTGACAGAAGATGCCATTTCAGCCCGTGATGCACCCTCCTTGATGTGCGCAAAGCGCTCCTGAAGACGTTGTGCGACGAAAAAGAATTTGCCATGCGGCGATTGGGCATCTCGAGACACGATAGCATTGAACATGCTGACCAAACGCTCCGTGTAGCTCTCAATTTGTAAGTGCTCATTTTTAATGATGCTGCCCACTTCGCTCGAGCTAGTCACAGAAACCCACATCTTCATTAAGCAGACAATTGCATATATTGCTCGCACACCTACCTAGGATTAATGATTATCCGAGGGAGAGGGGACATGAACTCACAAAAGATAACAGGGAGAGTGAGGAGAGTATCTAGAGGGACACCCAAGATAGTATCAAGAATACCATGTGTGGATACCAAACATTCGCTGAGCGCAGCGATATGTGCGGGTCCGACTGGTTCTCTCTGTGCGGCGCTAGTAAAATCCTCCTGGGGAAACGGCGGCTGGAAGTCTGTCGTGCTCTGACTGTGATGTAATGCAATCTCGTGCAAGTAGAGGTTCGTGACGTGCTGGGCTAAACGTATTGCAGCTACAGACATATGGTTAGTTAAGATTGCTGGAACATGATGTTGTGACTCACGATTGATTTCTTGGTGTTGTTTTGCGTGGTCCTCTTTGTGCTGTTGCAGGTCGTTTTCAAACATCTTCATTGCGTATGTAACCTTCGGGTCAGAAATGGCGACTTCCACTGATGGATCATCCATGCAAAATTGTACAGAGATATTTTCTCCGATACGCGCCATCTTGACATGCTCACAGAGAATTTTGTCAGAGGGGAATGCGTCGGGTGATGTTTCCAGGATGTTGACGCTCTCTTCCATGTATTTGGTCCACCGCAACAGGATGGGACGGCGGAGGATCATAGTAATGCTCATACAGAGATAGTAGCAGACAAGGAAAGTACGCCGTGATTCGATGCTGCTGGTATTCGGGTGACATCGCTTGAATGGACCGACTGCAAGCTTCATCACGGTCTGGGTATTGCGCCTCCCTAGGCCAAGATCCAATGCCATAACGGCTGCACAATTGACCATCATATAGAAATTGTGCTGTTCATAGTGCGCAGGTGGCCGGTACCACAGCACACCCACCTGCAGGGCCTGGACGATTTCAAGCGATTTCTCGCCATTGCGCCAAATGATGTCAGCGAACTGATCCTTGAGTAACTTGGTCAGTTCCCGCTGCACATTTTGGGAAACGAGCTGTTCGGAGGCGCCGTGTGAGGACCCCGCGAGTATGGAAAGAAACAGCAGTGGCTTTTTCTCCCGCATTTCACGGGCAGTTGTACCAGGGGCGAGAGGAACGGCAGGAAAGTGCGGACATATGTCGTTCATGTAACGCAGGAAGATGCGTTCCGCAACTTCAGGGGTCATCATGTTGTCGATTAGAGCGTTGATGTATGCGTGATCGGCACCCGCCCCCCGTTTCCCGCGCTTGACCTCGGGATGCTCTGCCAAATCGCGATGAATGGCATCCATATCCTCCGGTATCGTCTAGACAATTCAATAATGACACAGTGCAACTGAGGGAGGTACTCACTGCGTGACCTGGCGCGTCGTTCACCCTTCTGCGCTTCAGTGGTGGCTCACGAAGCAGACTCTGGGCTGGGCTGTACCCGGGTGGGACGTCGGGATAGTGGTTTGATGTAGGAGGGTCATTGGACCATTCATGAACGACGCTGCCGCTCCTGAACTGGCCCTCCTGCCCGCGCCAGGAAGCAGAATCCTGACCGGGTATACCGGCGATGTGCCTGAGGTCGGGCGTGTCCTTCTGTGCATGGAGAGTGGCAGTCAAGGCGTCGATCTTGCGCTCCAGCTCAGCAACGCGACTGTCTGCTTTCTTCTGGCGTTTCCGAGTCGGTGGGGTGGTGATGCTGTATATGGTGTTAAGTTACACGCCAGCGATTAAGGAGAGGGATTTTGTCCGTCTTTCTCACTTACCATTGGCGATTGGCCTTTGCGCATCGCTTGCACGGGAGATCTGGTCGCTCTTGGTCGCAACGGACCTTCAGGCCCCGACAGGAATCGCAGGCGCGCGGGCGCTTGAGGTCGTGGGGGGATTTCCCATCGCCGGGACTAGCATGTTGGTCGTCATCGTGGTCGTCGTGATCGGGCGACTCATGCTCATGCTGAGCGGGCGACGTCTGCTCCAAGGCGGGGTCAAAAGTACCGTGAGGTGCGGCGTGCAGCGGAGGTAGACCGGCAGGTACCACGGGTGCTGAAGCGTGAGCCTGGGATTGAGGTGGTTGCAAGTAGTACGGCTGCGCGCTCGAGAGGGCGGGACCGGACGTGTACGGCGGCTCGGTGGTTCGCGGCGGCAGAGAGGAGGGATACTGGAGGCGTGGATCGATGGGATCTGCCATGGCATCAATCTGAGTACATATGACGCTCCCCAATGGAGAAGCAAATGTCGGCAGTCGGAGGCTCAAATTGCCGTTGTTTGCGATGCGCATCGCTCCAGCCTTGGGGTTGTGGAGTCGATGAGCACTAGCGTGACGACTGCCATCACGTGCCCCTCCACGGCATGTGAGGTAGGTACACAGCATGTGTGCATGCAACATTCAAATGTTACATATGCGATTCGACTGGATGAAGAACAAATACATTCACATGCCCTCCGCTACCTAGCTATAAACATGTACATGCCAACCAGCGCCACGCAGAAGCCCCCATATTTACCCAGAACTCACGGGAGGGATGATAGCCACCTCGTCGCCTTCCTTGATCACGCACGACACGTCTCCGCCATCATCCGCATTTGCATCCATGTCCACATACTCTAGGTTGACCGTCACAGCACAACTGCTCAGCACCTTCGCCGTTATGCCAGGGTATCTCTCTTCAAGCGTCGTAAAGAGTGACCGGGCGTCAAGCGGGGCCGGCAGGAACTCAGATGCCTTTGAGGTGAAGGTGGACGCTGCAGCAAAGTAAAGAATAGAAAAGCATCCCGATGGGACTTGTCCCGATGCCATCAAAACAGGTCGGTACTACTGAGAGACAGGTCAGTTGGTTGCTCAATCAACAGACAACAAAGAGTACGGGAGAACAGGAATTTCCATCAGCAAAATATCACTCCGCACGATAGTGCAAGCACTGTTCGGATAATACATGCTATAAAAAATAAAGAATCATCACAGAAATAAGAGAAAAGAAACAACGTTTTCAATACATACCTGGTAGGAGGGTGGTGGTGAAAGGAGAAAAATTGATTGTGCATTAGGTGCAAGGGTTTTGCTCTGACTTCGAAAGAAAGACTTACTAACTAGCTCGGGCGCTCGGCCCACCTCCGCGGCGAGGACCTCTCTCCCGACTTTTTTGGCGCATAGGCACGTCGTCGACACAAACCTCGCGCGCCACTACCGAACAGACAATGATACGATGGCGTTCAACATCGGCATATTCAGCATGTCGAAGATGTCAATGGTCTCTCAATAACCATGTCAGGCTGCGGCTTGATTACCACTCCTCACAGCGGGATGTCTCACCACCAAAAGTTACACGGCGAACCCGGCACGCCACCCGCGCTCAACCACAGTCAGAACTCGTTCCAAAATCCTCGCCCGATACATTCGATCCATCCTTGATCGGTTCATCCACGACACAGCTCCCAATTCGAGACCACCTTCGACGTTGGGACATTGAGAATGGTGGACCAGATGAAGCAGTGCTCGACGTTTTCGAAAACCATCCGGCATCTGAGAACACTGGTATTTCAAACGAAATGTCACAGAAATTGAGCAGTGCAAAAGCCTCAGACGAGCCAAGTGATCAATCGACGACTAGAGACCAAGAACAAGATTATAGTGATGTTCTCACGATCACACTTTTCCTAAACCCTGGTGATGTGGTTGAGTTGGCTCAAAGTGGTCGTGAACCTGTGCTGGCGGTTTTCGTCAAGAGGTTGGACCATCTTTGTCAATTCTACACTGCCAATGGCCGCTGGGTTCATGACCTTCTCTCTCATATCAGCCATGTGATCCCGGCCGGCGTAGATCCTGACATGCTCACGCCCATAATACCCTACCTGCCTACCAAGCAATTAGATCCAACTATGAAACCTGTCGATGCTATTCAAATTCCGCCGGAGGTCGGTGCTCCCGTTCGAGCTGCTCTGCATCGATTGCAAGATCAGTCCGATGCGATGTACCGAGAAAATGCATTGATTCTCGATAAGGCCTACTCAACATTAGCCTATCCTGATCGATCGCGAAAGATGACCGCACAGCAGATAGCACAGGCGCTGCTGGGAAAGAACAACTCCGACTGGATACCCTCCGCTAGAGCAGTTTTAGCTGTGCGCAAAGCCCTCGCTCACGACCATTTTCGCACGCCGCCCGATAGAACCCATAGCCGGATGACCCAGCTGTACACATTCAGACCCAAGAATGATGTCAATGAGATTGAAAAGGTGCTGGAATGGGTTCGAGAGTACAAGGAACATCAAACCCCAACGTCCATCCGAGAATCCCATACAAAAATCACGGCTACCAAGGGCGCACAGAACATTTCCAGTTTCATCGCCAAAGCACGTCGGCTGATCTCTACGAGCCGGAAATATCGGGACCCTCATCTAGGATACATCGGACCGAGCAACAATGCGTCGCAGTCTTCGGTCGTATCTGCCCATCCCACAATTACTTGGGGGGAGGAGTTCACAGAAACTGATAAAATGATTATTAAAATGCTCAACGCCTGGGTCTTGAACCTTGCATTCAATCAAATGGCTGAATACCATTCAGCCTGCAGCAGCATTCTCAATGCCGTTGACAAATATAGTCCACAGCAAATGCAAACAGTTGCTTCGGACGCAGAAATAGTCATGGATGGCTCTACAGGACATCTGTTCCTACAGGAGATCGGCGTGACTTCGCCTCATATCAATCGAAAGCTTTACGAAGAACACGTGGGTATGCCTATGTCAGGCGTATCTCACAACGTGCAACTGCTAGAAGCAAAATCCGAATTGGCCTTGAGAAATCCTAATTTTGTAGATTCCATGGCTGACTTTCGTGAAAACTGGAGTTCCATGCCTATCTGGTGCATTGATGATGCCGATGCCAAGGAGATCGATGACGGGATTTCTATCGAGAAGGTGGAAGGCAAGGACCCCGGGTATTGGATTCATGTTCATGTTGCAAATCCAACCGCTTTCTTCACCAAAACCCACGTTCTTTCAGGCCTTGCCGCACACAGGGTCCAGTCCGTATACACACCAAGTGTCAACTTTCCAATGCTACCTTCTTGGTTGCCGCAGGATTATTTCAGCTTGCAGAATAACCGTCCTACAATCATCTTTAGCTGTCGTATAGATATGTCCGGCAATATTCTGGATAAAAAAGTGCAGCATGGAATCGTCCGAAACGTCAAATCAATCACCTATCGCGAACTTTCCGAGTACCTAGGTGAAAGCGATCTTTTTGCCGCCGAGAATCCTTTCCACCTGTTAGTTGGCGGAAAGCTTCCTGGGAAATCTCGCCGCCCTTTGCCCCCTCGTTCAGATCAGGAACTCGAGAACATTCGCGATCTTTACTCGGCGGCCAAAGTGCTGTGGACAGCTCGTGTGGCAGCTGGAGCCTTTGCACTGGACAGAAGTGCGGAACGCAGTAATCAGATCCAGGTTTTCCAAACGCCCCAGACCCCAGGTTTGGCTGAACTGCCACCCTCGATGGATAAAGCTCGATTTCTTCATGGAGACCCGATCATAAACGTCACGGCTGATTTGACGGGAGCCAAGCTCGCTAGTTCTATAACCTCGCGCCAAATCGTTGAGGAAATGATGGTGCTCGCATGCTCAGTGGCTGGCTCTTGGTGTGGTGATCGAGGCATACCTTGCTACTACAGAGGCACAATCGAACAATCCGCGCCCGGACCAGTTGCGACTATGGAGCAGATACAGCGTCAACTCATATATCCCCAAGTCGAAGAGCTTGGGTATATATCACCGCCCGCTTTCAGGCTCTTATATGAACAAATCGGTCGATCAATCGCCCATCACGCTCCCATGAAACACAACGCTTTGGCTGTTGAGGCCTATACTAAGGTTACAAGTCCATTACGGCGATTCACCGATATGATGGGTCATTGGCAGATCGAGGCGGCTATACGTTGGGAAGCACGCACTGGCCGCAAACTGGATTCATCCGTCACAAACAATCCCTCGGACTCACCTCTCCCGTTTTCAAGGCGGCAGGTGCAAGACTCTTTCTACACTGTGCTTCCGCGGGAGACAAGCATCAGAAACGTGCAGCGGTCTTCAGGCCATCTGTGGAGCTTACAGGCCTTCATGCGAGCTCTTCACTTCGGTGAAGCAGCTTTACCAGAAACATTGAAGGTCTGGGTGTCATTCAAAACGGTCGGAGTAACGCACGGCGTAATACCCGGCTTGGATATCGGGGTTGTCTTGCTACCGAAAGACGCTGATGCTGTCCAAACTGGAGATCAATGGGAGTGTAAAATTGTGACAGCCAATGCGTACGAACGGCGCCTTGCTTTTGAACCTGTCCGATTGCTCTATCGTCAACCCCAACTAAACATAGACTCCGTCTAAGCCCCTTCACCGTGAATGCATTTACGCTTCTGGTGTCGACCTTACATCGAATTGGTTTCTTCCAAGCATCCTACCAACCTTGACAAGGCAGAGTGCGTAACACGCATACTACTTATCGTGTTCAGGTATAGGTCCAGGTTCTCGCGAATGTACTTGCAACTTGCCTCGGAGTTTATCTTTCATTGCCTATCATAACGTGGGGACATAGCCCTAGGCGGTGAGATGCAACGATGGCTTTGCTGCAATTTCTCCGAACCATATCGTATTCACCGTTGCAGACATCGCGCATGAAACGACTTGCGAAACCCCCTCTATTCATTTCTGATCAGGGCTCGTGCAGGGCACTCCCACAGATTGACGCTTCGTAATACATTTGGACCAGTGGAATGAAACCGACCCATCTCGTATAGAAAGCTTCATTTTCCTCTTAAAAGCCAGCTGTGTAATGGCACCGCTCTGTAATTTATGTATGATCTAGTGTACGCAGTATATTGAAAGTAAATCTTGTACGATATGTCTCGAGAACCCATATGGGAATGGAGTTGCCTACATGGGTCGTTAATTGCAAATTATCAACGTGGCAGTCTAGTGTCTTGTCTACAGGTCCTTGTGTTCAGCTGTGTGCCATCCTCAAAGTAAAGTGTTCATGTGAGAGAAATCGAACTAATGTCAACGTTGATGACAAGCAAAAACATGAAGTTCCAAAGACACCAAAGATTTGGGGATCGCTTTTACATAACCGTTTCCTACTCCACATCATCTAACAATTCCCCCAACCTCAATCCTCTCAACTCTGCACTCGCTCTCCTCATCTCCTCGCCCAACCTTTCCCGAAACTCAGGATTTCTCTCGCTCTCCTCAATCACATTCTCGTTACGTATGACATTGATGTCATTGATGATGAGCTGCACCTGCTCCTTCACAAGCTCCTTGAGCTGCCGTTCCAAATCCTTGGCAAGACTCTCAAACGCGTTTTGAACCAGACGGCGATGTTCGTGAAAGAGAGATGAAGAGCCGAAGCGAGACGTGACGAGGGTTTTGCGGCGTCTATCACTGCCAGATCCTAATGGAGAGGGAGGATCAGTGGGTGCTCAAGGAGCGAAGACATGTGTGAGGTGACTGGCGAGATGAAGTGGGCGGGCGGTTGTATGAAGATTCGAGAGGTTCTTTTTTGATAATGGGGAGTGGAGTGAAAAAGTGGCTACGTACCTGATTCCATGTTCGCAGCGTGGTATGAGCCGTTCATTAGTTCACCGATAAACGCGGTGTGGACTGGAGATAAAGCGTCGGTACGAAGTCTCCCTAGCCGCTCGTCCATAAAATCATCGATTATATTTTCAATACCGCGCATAGCTAGACGCTGGCGATGCCGGAGGGTGTGAACAAGGGGTGAGGATGTTGACTGCATCCCTCGAGAATTAAACATCTGAGCTACACATCCGTGTTAGTCATTGTAGAGCTTCCTTGAGTCTAACCATTGAGAAGAATGTATACCCCTAGTTGGAGCCTCAGATATGGCTGTTGTAAAAGATTCCTTTACGAAACCTTTTATTTCATCCAGTGTTTCATTGATAAGCTTGGAAAATTTGTCCCATTCCGGTGTCATGTCGTCAACCATGGCAGTCATGGCTTCCTCGTTCCAGTTAGTGTATGGCTGCTTTGCAGTAGAGTAGATGCCATAATTCTTGCAGAATGCGCTATAAGTGTTATGATACCACTGCGCAACCAATTAATAAGTACTATGATGATGGTAAGGAATTCCCCTTACTCCATGCCAATAGGTGCTAGCATTCCCGGCGCTTCTACTCCATTTCGAAACAGATTGTGCTTGGCCTGAGCGAATTAGTACATTTTATTTTCTAGAGATCCTGAGAAATACTCATGTCTTCTCGTAAATGTGTTCGAAACAAATTCTGTAGAGTGTCGAAAATGTCGTCCAGTTCGGACACTGGCGATGTCAACTGAGGTCGTGCATTAGCTAATTGTCTTCATGCAAAGCGGTAGTCTCAAATTCCCCAAGGATCTGTACCAGTCGATACTGTCTTAGCGCTTTTGGAGCATCGAATTATACGCCAAAAAAGCCAGAAAATTATGATGGAAAGATTTCATACCTCATCCAGTTCATTCTCAACACTATCCAACGCTTCGAGAACTTCATCTTTTCTCTCCGCACTTGCGCTCTCGGAGCCTGACTCATACCAAGTGCGCAAAGAATCTACAAATGCCGGTACTTCGTCATTCACAAAGTCCAATGTTGCTCGGTAGTGACTGTCGGCTACGATTCCGATGCAGTAACGCCGCAGCGCGATTATACCACTCAGTTGTAGTCGAGGCTCCGCGTACTTCATTGCCTTTGGGCGGAACTTCCGATACATAGTGTTACTCACACAAAATATTCGCAGTATATCGGCAGGAATCTGGTTTTCGTACTGTTTTCGCACGGCGTCAGACACGTGGTCATTGCGAATTTGAATGAGATGCTCATTCAATCTATAATTGTCAACTCTCCATTCTGACTGTCGGTGCAGGTATCCAACATACTCAAATCTGATCGTGTCTTTTTTCGTTCTGAGATGTACGATTAGCGAGACGGAAAGCAACACAATCACAGTATTCGATTTACCTCAAATCTTCACGTTGTTTCAGTAATACATTTTCTTCGGCAGCGGAGCCAAAACCATCTTCATTGGAAAGAGCTTTCAGATCTTCATCGAGTGCATTGATGGCAGCCATTGCCTGTTCGATCTTCTTTCTTTCGCGGGGCCAATCATGTTTTGCTTGCGCAACATCAACATCCTGACAACTCTTTAGCACACAATTTTCTTGTGATTAGTGATGGTTTAACACCTACATCTGATCTTGTACAGACAATACCGATGTTAGAGAGATTAGCTCGGCGAGCCAGGTCAAAAATATCTCTGATGCTTTGATCGGTAATGGCCCGGTCAATTCTTGCAACTACCAAGATTTGGTGGCATACCCGAATGTATCGCTCGGTGATGTTTTGGCGAGCTAGATTGGAGTCGCGCAAGCCTATCAAATGTTAATATTCGCAGATAAATGCAGCTAGTTGGTTGTAGATACCTGGAAGGTCTGCAATGACCAAGTCTTTGCTTAGGATGAAGCTATTCAGGTGAACTGTAATCTTCTTTATCAAGGGCCATGGATGCGATTGATGTCTTGATTCCGGTGAGGTTGCTTCAGATGTGAGTTGACTTAAACGATTAGAACAGTCTTCTGCGCGGGTGTACCATTCTTGAGGCCGCATCGGGCTTCCCGACCCAAACACGGAAGGAGGGGGAAGTAGTTGTCTTGCCCAGTCTAGCATTGTTTCCACAGCGATATTGAACGCCATACTGGAGAGTACGGTCGGAGAGTCTTCCAGCTGCCCTTTGAAAGTGGTCTTGAAGATTGACAGAGCAATATCAGCCTTTTTCTCTAACTCCTTTTGGTCAATGGTAGACTTCTCGCTCAAGGTGGAGCTTTTATAGTCGCGGTAATTTGTAAGAAGATCCTCGAAGGTGAGTTGCAACTCTTCCATTGTAAGATATTCGATTTCAATCATAAAATCATCGCGCTCATGATACTTATACTCAGTGACTACGCAGGTACATGCTTGGCCACTGTTACTCTATTTACATCAGGTTAGAGTGGTTATCCTATATGGACAGTCTTACTTACTGCTCTAGCAAGATCAGTGTAATCAAGCAACGAATTGATCAGGCTGCTTTTGCCAGCACCCGAATCACCGACAAGCCCCACTGTACGAGATGACTGCAAAGTGAAAGCCTTCAATTTCTCGCCTTGACGTTTAAGGTTATTCACAGATGACTCGGAATCTAGATAGAAAGGGGAGCTGAATAAGACATTCGAGAGTCTGTTGACTATACAACGTGCCTTTTCAAGGGTGATCTGGACCTTATTCGAGTAGAACAAAGATTCTGGGGGTGTTTCGTCCGCCACCCGATAATGAGTCGGCCTAGAGCCTGCTCGACCCCAAGGTGAGGAAGATGGTGATCTAGGGTCCATAATCAAAGTATTCAATCCATTGATGAGGCTCTCTGCTCTGTTCGGTAGAGGCGAGGGAGGTATCGTTGCAGTTCTGCCCTGCATCCGTAGCTCTGCATCACTATCGCTGTTTAGCGCCGACTCGTTTTCTACGGAAGGCAGTGGTTTGTCCCTTTTATTGTATAAGTCAGAAAGAAACGTAGATGTCGTTGCTGTCGTTGCTGTTGTGTTATTAGAATGCTCTCGGGGAGGACTGGAGACAGAAGCACTTCTCGAAGAGAAGGAGGGCGATGGTTGCTTGCTTGAGATTGCATCAAGTGAACTCGAACAAGAGGAAAAAGCACTCTCCGCAGAAGTTGGGCGCAATGAAGGAGTGTTTGAGGTGGAGCCCTTAAGTAGTGGGCTGGTAGTATCGTCTCTCGCTCGGAAGTCGAAAACTGTAGATGCTGGCGTAAAGACTATGGAGCCAGTCGAGCTTCTGGACGTGCGTCTACTTGTACCCATGACTTTATCGCTTCAATAAGTATGATAAAACGGTCGCTGCTGCATTTCATTAATACATGTACATTCTCTCGATGGATGTTGAAGCACTTGGTACGCACATTGTAATACCACGGGGTGTAACTGCCAAACTAAACCGTTCAATCAATACACTCTGTCAACTTGGAAATACCTACTCATTAAGTACCGCATCGCGCGCTCAGCATAGCCGCCTTGCCCGCTCTAATGCGGCATGTCGTCTCTGCATGTTTGTGGCGTACACGCGCTACCCACCAATGAAACCCATTACCTCCCCTCCCTTTCCGCGGATCCCCAGCAATAAGGAGGGCAATCTGCTGCGCGCCATGTTTTACAAGACACCTGAGTATGTTTGTTCAGGTATCGAGATCGGACCGATTGGTGCGGAAACCGTGGACTATGTGTGTTTGTTTGAGCGTAGAGCCAGGGGTGTTTACGGCCCCAATTCGATGCAGACATCGCATGAACCATGCAGTTATGGGCTGATGATGGGTTGGGTTCTGATTTTGATTGAAGGCAAACATATCTGAGTCTGGAACTAGATATTGTGACTTTGTTGTAGCTTTGACTCAAGCTGTTTGTGCAGCTGAGACGATGCTTGAATATCAGAGATTGTTTTTCGACCCAATGTTTTGACGTTGGCGTCTTTTCGTTATGTCTAAAGGTCAGCTGCTTCTACTATAGTTTCATAGCTATCTATGAATAGTTAGTTCATATCAGCAAGTTAACAGTATCGATTGCATATCATGAGGGGGGTTTTTCTTTTCAAGTTTTTTTTTCTCTTTTGCATTTCAGGAGACACAAACAATGGACATCATGTGAAAAGAAGAAATTCAGCACAAACTCAACATTCGCTAACTACCTATGTACTACTGGACACCTCCATGTCGAAAAAGCCTTATTTGAAACTGGCTTACTGATCCACTCACTCACACCGTCTCCACTTCAGGTCTCTGAAAACATTCAACTTATTTCGGCGAAGGAAGCTCTTCAAAGCAAGCACACTAGTTCCGTTGCGCTTCAAGAGCTCGAAATTTGGACCGTTATGCTCCCTTGGAACCCCGAAAATCAGCGCGTCGACAAGAGTTTGAAAGGAAATCGAGGTGGCGAGAGAGGAATGGAAAAGCGTAGGCGGGCACCGACCAAGGCCGAAAGGGAAGAGATGAAAAACAGCAAATAGAGGGGAGGGAAATCTTCTAGCATTTCTGCCACTGGACGTACGCGATCTGTTTGAACTTGAGATCGGTCGAGTCGGTAGTGAGGAGACCGGAGGCCGAGGCGTTGCTGGCCGTGAGGCGGACCTGAGAGTTGATGTTGAGAAGGCCGTTGGCACCGCATGGGGACCAGACGGTCGACGTGCTGTCGGCCTTGTCGGACTTGAGGTAGTCGCCGGTGACGGGACCGACAAAGCTGTACTCGGTGATAGACTGTGGGGTTGTCAATGGGATGATCTTTGGAGCACCTATATGTGTCAAAACTTACCTGTTGAGTCTGGCCAGAGAAGTAGTAGGTCGACTTGAGTAAGCCTTCAACGCCCTTCTGAATAGCAGCATAGCCACGGTAGTCGGCGCTGAGAACCGAGTATTGGAAGCCACCGGGGTACTTGATGTTGACGTTGAGCTGGCAGTTCTTGCGGTTCTCGGTAACAGCAACAGTAGGGCCGATGGAGGCAATGTAGGTGTCGAAGATAAGAGTGACGGTGGTGCGGTCATCGGAGAGCTGAGCACTCAAGGTGCCTTGAGGGCAGCCAGTTCCGCCATAAGTGACACCTTGAATAGTGACCTGAAGTTGTCAGATTCTGGATCTGAAGTTCCAAAGGAGGATAGAGAGACATACCGATCCAGGAGGGGGAACTTCACCCTCAACACCACCAAGATCAACGTTAGCGGGCAAGGCCGCAACGATGGGGAGGATAGCAGCGAGCCACTTCATGTTGATGGTTTTGGGTAGATAGCTGAACGGAACTAGATATTGTGCTGGAGATGGTTATGCTGAGAAGGCGTTGAATGATGAGCTGATGGATATCGATTTTAGAAGGGTATAGAGGAAGATTATATAGTGAGCTTTGACAGTCTAGCTCAAGGTCACACATACAATTCTCGTTGTTGTTCGCGCAAGCTGCCCTATTCCGCCATCAGTGCAGCGTGACTGACCGGCTGATGCCAAGCTAGACTTCCAATATGCAGTACGGGTGGTCCGGCGGGCCGGGGTCTTCATAGGTCGAGAACTAGGCCACAGTGACAGACGAACTCGTGTGGTTTTGAGATCTGATACTCATAACCCGAGAACAACCTGGGCCACTCCTCTAAGCGACGAGCCCTCTACGTCCCAAGGAAGGTTAAACTTTATGGTCGGATACGATGCTCAGGGTTCAGTAGACTAGTCTGAAGATACCTGAAAGACGTTCCAGGAATAGCCTGCATAATAGATTTTGGTGCAGACAGGAGAAGCGGTGTACCGGCAGCTGACAACTTTAGGGCCTGGGGAAAATCAGTGTCGACGGCTTCGAACTCCAATTGACTCCGTTATCTTGGTTTATTCAAAGTTAGTTTTCAAAATATGAGGTTGAAGAGTATCATAGGTATAGGTGATTTCTCTCTTCTCAGTATGTCTTGATGCCGATCAGATGATGAACCAGGTTCTTTGACCTATGCACGACCCGGTATGTCGAACTCAAGCTTGAGCCGTGCGTTTGAGATAGTCAAGGTAACGCGGTCTAGTATATTGAAGTTGAATTGGATGAATATACTATCCCGGAAGGTTGTTCCAAACTTAGAACTTCCAGGCAAAACTGCCGTGCTCAAGCGTGAAGTGAGTGAATTGAATAGCTCCACAAGTCCAATTGTTTTCATCTATACGTCTCGTAACGCAAGGTCATCGAATCTTCCAGTGGTACCGAGCGCTGAAAATAAACCTCGAGCGCAGTCGAGACGTGAAGTTCTCGTACTTGCTAGCGTAATCCCATGTCGCGGATCTCGAAACGGCATGCACATATTGATCGTAGATTAACCTTAATTTAATGCCTGTCAAATCCACACTGCCAACCTATCGCACGGTTTGACTTAGCAAATATCCTGCTCTGCCAAAGACTCCAGAACCTCTCCACAGAGAGCTAAAAATAAGAAAATCTAGACGCTGTGGTGAAGCAGTGACACAGAATCCTCAGGCGTATGTGACCATCAAGAAAACAAACTAAAACGCAGCGCAGTACGAGAGGTCCAGACCACATTTTCGTGGCGTGAGCATAGCGTCTGCAGGTAACATCTCTTCGACTTTAGCATAATAGATTGAAGTATTGATTATACCCATGTCACGACACAGACGCAGAAAGCGCAGTAGTCTGCGAGACTGCCGCTAGCCGTGACAGCAAAGCATCGAGAGGAGCTTCATTATTGGAGATTTCTTCTTGATATCCTTCATGTGTAAAGAAGGAGACAATCAGGTGAAGGACGGGTCGTGGGTGGTGGTCCTCAATACTGAAGACACCTTGTCCAAACCCAGAATCAAGGGACTGTGTCTGCAGGGTCCGACGAAACAGACGCAGGAGGAAGATCCAAGCAGGTACTGAACGAAACAGTGTAGGGAGACTTCATCTGATTGGGGAAACAAGACTGAGGCCCAGAAGGCATGGGTAAAGCTGTGCAGCTTCGTGGTCTTGGCGCAGCTGTTGAGAATGAGCCTCCCGGGTAAAAGCTGAATAAAGTAAACCGAGGCCGCCGGGCTTATTTATGGACACACGAGAAACAGAAGCGAGGGAAATAAGAAGGACTCGGAAACCGCGGCATCCTCCGAGCTGCTCGTAGCTGAGCGATGCATGGAATCACGAGAGAAGCTCCGAGGAACATTTGAACGTTTGGAGGTTGAGATGGAAGTGGTGAAGCTTCCGCCGTGGCGGTGCATTGACGCCACACGGTGCTTTGTAAGGCTCCGCCGATAATGGCGTCAACGAAGCACTGAATGCGGCAAATCTTCGATTCCTAATCATTCTTATTTTCGACAACCATTTGCCTTTCACTGCTCAGACAGACGTTAAAATAGGGAGATCAACCATCCTGAAGCTTCTCATCTACATTCTTCTCTTTATACTCTCCTACATTTCTATGTCCTTCTTCTCCCGCCTTTTGCGCCCGTTCTCTACCATGTCCAATACCCCCGCACAACCTATGAACGTACCGGCTGGTGCGCAAACCGCCACTGTCGCAGCCGGATGCTTCTGGGGTGTCGAGCACATGTTCCGAAAGGCATTCGCAAACAAAGGACTGCTCGACGCGCGTGTTGGATATATCGGAGGCGACACCAGCGATCCAGGCTATCGAGCTGTGTGTAGTGGACGAACAGGCCGTATGTCGATTCTCAATACTGCCTATTGAACGAGGAGTCGCTAACTTGAAGTGTAGACGCGGAAGCTCTACAGATCGCATACGATCCGAAGTCTGTTTCTTACCGCACACTCCTTGAATTCTTCTATAAGATGCACGATCCCACCACGGCCAACGCGCAGGGTCCCGATATCGGATCGCAATACCGCTCTGCCATCTTTTTTCACGACGCTGAACAGGAGAAGATTGCCAAAGAAATCACAGAGAAAGTCAACAAGCAATGGTGGAAGAATCGCGTGACCACAGAGGTTCTGCCTGCGGGACAGTGGTGGGATGCGGAAACCTACCACCAAAAATACTTGGATTACAACCCTGCGGGATACGAGTGTCCCAGCCATTTCCTGAGAAGTTTCCCTGATTTGGTAGATTAGAATGCGCCAAGCCTGTATCGAGCGATCTATAGCATGGGAGGAAGGAGTTAGGCGTTGGCATGGATTTATGCAATGAACGGATATCTGTATACAAATTGAGGGCGGTATGATATATATTGAAATGGGCGAAGTACAAACATTATCAACTAGAAGTAGACATGTCCAATTATGCTGGGTGGAATGCCTTGTAGTAAATTAGGACCTCAAAAACAATTCAACATTCAACATTCAACATTCAACAACGTTGTAGGATACATGCATGCAGTCACAATTGAACAAATCACGGCAGTTGAAAGTCGTATCTCTGTCTAGGAATACATCAACGCTTGATTCTCAAAAGTAGTCAATTGAGTAAAAGCACTAATATTCATATCGATGTTGCGCCACCCCATCAACGATGTCACCATCTAGGAGGGCGGAAGGGTCTCGAAAGTGTTGGCAACCTCCTTCTCCCAGCCCAACCTCGCCTTGCCGTAAATCTCAGCAGCTGGCTTCAGTGTGCCGTCAAGTCCCTCCTTGAGCAATCCAGTGCGAAGCACAATTGTGTCATCGCCCATGATTTCCTGGTGGTGGTAGACGTGGGCCGTGCAGTTCTTGCAGTAGTAGCAGTGGACACCCTTGCCTAGTCGATGTTAGCACTGCTTGGACAATAGATTTCAATCCGGAGAAAAGGCGAGGTCCTACCAGAATCACCGTAGTAGGTGTATTTTCCGAGGTCGCTTCCCTTGGTGATGGTAAGAGCGCTTTTGGGGATGATTTGGTTGAGCGTGAACACGCTACCGGAGAGGATCTTGCATGTATCGCAATGGCTATTTGTTGTTAGCTTGTGAATTTTGTAGTCTTAAGAAGACGCGGCGTGTATGCAACTTGTAGTGGGTTGAGGGCATCGCGATCGATATGATCCGGCACAAACACCACGCACGATAAAAGTACGGAAATCAACCCATGAAGAGTAAGAAACATAGAAACAACAAAAAATGCTTCTAATCTTGGGAATGGTGAGTCGATAAAAGGCAAAAGGAATGATGTGACATACCAGAGAATGTGTCCCTGCTGCTCCTTGTCCAACTTAGCCGTCCACTCCGTGTTCCCACAGTGACACTTTCCGCTGTATTCAGACATGATGGCTCTCCAATTAAATCAATTGATTGAGTAAAACAGGATAAACTAACTCGATTAGGTCGGAAGAATGGTAAATCAGTGAGTTAAGTAGACATCAAGGTCCTCGAGAGGAGATGCGGGCAAGTATTTATACGTGCCATCGCCCCCTCCCACCCAAGGACAGCCCACTCATCTACCAACTAGTAGCGTATATAGACACAGCACGTACGCGAACGATTTGTGTCCTTCCGAGTGGCTCTCCCACATCCGCCATCATCATCGTCGCCATGCGTATCGCTTACGGTCTAGGGACCCCGCCGCAGCTTGCATGACGTTGGATTGTGTATCCACTCGCATCAATCCAACACAGACGTACCGAAAGCAGCAAATCTTCAACTTCTTCCCCTGCATCCTTGTACATCCACTCGGAGCAGAGTATCAGAATTACACAGTCGCCGAGCTTACTAGAGTCCCCCAAAAGAGATAATATTCAGGCAGCAATTGGTCGATTTCCAAGACGACCGTTCCAGGCGGACACGGCACTGACTACCGACCCGAAACGCCATCAATGAATCGTCACCGTACAAAAGGTATTCCAAATACTGTGTTGGTGGGGTAGCTGGAGCACGGACGGCATCGACGTCAGCGATGCGAGAGAGCTATAGTGGGGTATCTCGGTACTGTAGTTGGGGGTAAACTGCGTACCTCAGACTATGGCTATAGGCTCCGTCGTACTCTTCCCCTTCTCACAGGCGTCTCGTAATACCGAAAGCGGATCGTCTATGGTTCTCTATACATAATATGAAATGACCGAGATACCGGATCTGCGGTGTGAGATGAAATAATGAAAAGCGGTATATCGGTCATTCATGAAATAAGTGATGGTATTGGGGCCAAACATTAGCTAAATTTGTACAGTGAGTACGACCAAGGTCAAGTAAAGAATTTTTGTTTGACAAGCGGGATATTTGGAATAATCTGCATGGCGTTCAAGGGACTAAGACATTATACGCCGTGAAGACATGCCTAGATGGGCTTGTTTGTAGGGGGTCAGCTCCGTAGGAAGCGAATCACTGATCAATCGCTGACTTATAAGATGGGGCGAGACACACTTCCACTGCATGCAACGCCTGATTATTTGTCATTGCAACAACTTCGGGGTTCGGATTGCGGAGGTATCCATGAAGAAATATACCATTGATTATATACATGAAATTCTAGACTCGTCGTTTCAGTGTCGTGACATGAACAGTGTGTATCCGCTGGATACCAACCGCTAATTCTGTACCATCTATTCGACCTCAAGTAACTTATATCGCCCATTTTGCTTATCCAAAGCAGCCTCGATCCTTTCCATGATAGTGAGCACCTTCTCTTCTTCCAAACGCCGCCCAACGACCTGCACACCGACAGGCAGACCGGCCATCTTAGCGGCATCGTAGTGCTTGTACGCGCCCCTTGCAACACCGTTGAGCGCTTTGAAGTTGAACGTTGTAGGCAATTGATCGAGCTTTGCATCTACATGAGTAACGGGGATAATGCCGGCGGAGTAATCCAACTACAGCTTGTCAATAATGATCAATGAAGGGAGCGCGCTGTTGATCTTACCAAGTTGAACAGGAAGGTATATCCACAGCTACTGACAGCGTCCTGCATTCCATCGTGGGGTACGGCGGGCGTGGCGTTTGGTGCGGTGATCATGATATCCATCTTCGCCTCGTCGTTCCACCAGTTGAAAAACCTATTTTTGAATGCTTCGCGTTTGCCAGCCAACTGCCAGTATTGATGCGCCGTCTTCGCGTGCCAGTCAAGGAGTAGTCCGGCCCAAATGTTGTCCCGCTTGATATACTTGACCCAAAGATAGTATATGTACTTGATAGGCCGTGGAAGATTCATGTAAAACACCATTTGGGCGGCACCCGAGTCGTTCCATTCGCCGGTGCGGAAGAACGACATGAAAGTGGCACCTCCGTCGCTCAGAAGTAGATGAGACGCGAGTTGAAGTGCTTCGTACGGAGAAGGCGGGTCCACATCGTAGACTTCATGGCCCTCAGCTGCCAGCGCTTTGGCTACATCGTCCAAAGCACGCGCACACGCGGGAGCCGGGTCAACAACACCATCTGTCCGCATGACACCTACCCGAAGGGTCTTCTTCTCTTTGTATTCTTTCTCCAAGTTCTCCCGCCATTCGAGCGGATGCACAGTGTAGTCGTATGTCCATGGCTTCATCTGGATCAAGCTCCGTGTGAAGTAGGTGAGGTCATTCAGCGTCCGCGCCATGGGACTGAACACACTGGGAATTGCCTCCTGACCCGGCATGCTGGTATTCATGCCCATTTTTGGCCATCTCCCTGTGGAACAGCGTATCGAATAGCAGCCAGAGAAGTGGGCAGGAACCCGCACCGAGCCCGCTACGTCGGATCCAATGCCTATGCGACTGCCACCAAAGGCCAATAGAGCTGATTCGCCTCCCGTAGAGCCACCAGGAGAGTATTTATCGTTGTGCGGGTTGGTACAGCGGCCCCAAACATCGTTTGTTGATTCGAACGAGAGCAGCGTGGTAGGTAAATTGGTTTTCACGAAGGGGATGGCGCCTAATCGAAGTTAACTCTGCATCGCGTAGGAAGCTTGATATCGCATACCAGCGTCTTTCAGCAATTTAACCATTGGTCCATCTTCGGCGTAAGGCTTCCCCGTGTTGCATGAGAAGCCCACGGAGATGTCGAACCCCTTCACTTGTATAGAGTCCTTCAAAGACACTGGGATTCCGGCCAATGGACCTTTGGTATTGATTTCGCTGTTGGCCCATTCTTCAGCCTCGGGAAAGAGTATCTCTGTGGCACAATTTGTCTTCTCATGGGCCTTGACGGTGACTTTGCCGTACGCGCGGAGGATGTCTACGGGGGCGGTAACCTGCTTGTGGACATCTTGCACGAGTTCTTGGATCGGTCTCCCTAGAATAGTTCGCTCTTGCGGTGATAGAGGGGAAAGGTACGCTTGTGGGAGCGTTGCGATCTTGGATGCGCGTTCGTCTTGCTTGCGCTGGCTGTAATCATGTCAATCCTCGAGCTCGAAGCATGAGTGGGGGTGTGGAGAAAGCTATGTACCAATCGCGCCTGTGCTGCAAGTAGCTCGAAAGACCCATCTATGCTACCAGCGGTGACCACTTTTGCTTGTTTGTTCAGGGAGGTTGGAATCTCGTGGAAGTATTGAAAGACACGACTGGATAGATCGGGGGTTTCATCATGAAAGAGAGTTTATCGTCCTCGTGCTCTTTAAAGAAGATGGATGAGATGCCCCGACACAAGCCGAGGCGAGGTTAACCGGCTGGACTTGCCCGGTTTGGCTTCGTCACTATCTTCTCCGCAACTTGATTGCTGCTCCATAACAGATAACATCTACTCTCGTATTGTTCTTCTCAGATTACAGTCTTCGCATCTTGAGTCTACGAACTTGACTCTGATTCTGTAAGAGATAGCACACAGAGGTGGATGCAGGGCCTCGACCTATGAGACCTACATCAGTGGCATCATCATGCATCCGCCGCGTTTCTCCAGGCAACACGTCTTCCAGCGCGTCGTCCAACAAAACGCATACAGAGATCACCCTCCTACTCTCCCCAAATGGACTTCTGATTGAGCTTCAACAGATCTAAGCATAGCTCCCGCGCGCGATCTAGGGCCAGAGAGCTGAAGTGGAACCGCGGAAGCAAACCGAAAGCCGCAGCGTCAACCCTCATCCACTCGATGCGTAAAGTACAGTCTGGCTCTAGATCCTTCTCAGCGGTTAACGCCTGTTGCTACAACAAGACTACTCGCAAACATGTACTTAAGATTAGGTGGGAGACGTAAATGCTGTAGCCGCCAGGCAGCGTCTGTGCCCCGGCCCGCCCAGCTCGGACATTTTTTGAAGCATCGCCCATCTCGCCTCTGATTGGCACGAGCAGCGACTACTCAAAAAGCCATGAAACGGAATACAACCAAAACATTCGATGAACAGGAATAGCAGAAAGCTCCGACCATATTTCCATGTGTAGAATGGTTTGGATGGTCTGGACAGTGATATCTTTGAGTATTTAAGATGCAGTGCCATCAGCAAACAGTGAATTCATCATCCACTTCAGCATCCAACTCACAACCAAACAACGTTTCCTTTCCGTTTCTCTTTCTCTTTCCAATTTCCTGTCTCCTTGTCTCCTTGTCTCCATCTCATTCACTGAAAAAGTCTTTTTCCAACACACTCTCTACATCTGCTGCGCAGGTTTCGTTCCGATCATCTTCAAACCACTTGCTCGACCAGCTCGAACTTCCCAATCAAACGACTATCCTTTTCAAATCCTTCTTTTTTCGACACATCAACCAAAATGCCTGTCCCAAGCTACGGTGCCGCTCCCATCAGCAAGCTCTTCTTGCTTGTGCGCATGCTGCAAGTTCTTTCCATGGTTATCATCATTGGCATTACTGCCAACTTCATCGGCAACATCGTCAGCACAGGTGTCGAGCCGCCCAAAGAGTTTGTAGGCACAATCAGTGTGGTAAGTATTCCATTCAAATGTGTGATAAATCTTTTGCTGATTGGACACGCAGACTTGCATCGCTACCCTATACATCATGGTTAGCATTGCCTTTTTCTGGTCGGGCGCGAATCTTGGACTGCTTGTCATGTCAGGGATCGACTCTCTGCTTCTCATTGCCTTCATTGTGGTGGCTGTTACTGTCGGAAAGCCCGTCTCTTTCCTCAACTGCTACGTCATCGGCAAGGCTTCTGAAGAAGTTGATGCAGCCTACGCATTTGCCTTTACCAATTCGGTCAAGAACAACCTCAACACTATGGGAGACAAGCTGAGCTTGAGCCACTGGGCCGGCGTGACAAAGTCCAACTGCTTCCAAGCTAAGACGGTCTGGGGTCTTGGAATTGCGCTCTGGTATGTCCTCCGCTCATATTCGTGCCGTGTAATTGACTAACATGCTGCAGCATTCTCTTCACCACCTCATGCGTTCTTCTCCCTGCTCTCTTTTACAAGAACAAGAAGGCCAATGCTCCCCCCAAGACCGTCGAGGCTTAAGTGGGAGGCATCCTGCCTGCTCAAGCTATCTTCGAGACCGCCCCACAGGAAGGACGGATAGAATAGCTACCATCAGTCCTCTACGGACCTTGCCGTCAGTAGCCACCACATATCTGCGGCATCTGGCAATTGAAGGGAAATAATCATGGGGTTGAAAGAGATTGTTGGAGAGACTTGTGCAATGTGGTTTCTGGCTTTTGGAGTTTTTGTGTCTTTGTTTGTTTGGTTCAGACATTGAATGTCTCTAATCCTAATGAGTAACGGTCGGGCTGCAACCCCGAGATAACAAAAGTGGATAAACTAGTATCAAAAAAATTCTGCGGTTGCATTCTTCCTGACCCTTTTTGCGTGATTGAGTGACTGATAGATACTACGGAGCGGTGGCCATTGCCGTCGTTCGTCGGCGACAAGCGATGTAGAAGAGAAAAAAAATTCTCGCCTGGGTGGGGAAGACAACCGGATATGAACCCATGCTCGGTGGGACGGTGGACCCCTGGAGATGCTCAATTCTGGAGGAAGTTTGCTGATGGACTCTCCAGACGTTTGCTTTGGAGAGGGAACAGCTGGCATTGACTTCAGCTCCACCGACGCAGTTTCATCTCTGAGCTGCAACTCGACACCAGCATCCACCGAATTGTCCAGTGCCCACAGCCGTGTTGTCGATTTCCATTGGGAGAGTTTATGTATAATGGCCCAAGCTCCCGGAGCTCACCCTTGACTCGAGTGGGACGCGGGATGCGCATACATGGTGGGGCCGCAATTGACGACTGAGAGGCCATCTCGTCTCGTCTCGCATCGACTGAGTGGCTGGCTGTCATGGGACGAATGCGCATCCACTACATACATATGTATGTATACATGTACATGCAGAAACATCAGGTGGCACAACAGATTCAATGCACAGAAAAAGTCTTGGTTTGCAGGAATTGGCATCTGATGCCGTAATAGATTCTCACAGGCATCCAGAAACGCGATCACGCGGGGATGGGAAAAAGCGCGGGCCCGGTATTGCGTTGCATGCACCCACGCCTCGTCCACAGACACGCCAGTCTCCTTGAGTGAGCCCAGCCCCGCTCTCGCAATGTGCACTTGTATATAGACTCGACTCTTGTCCTTGCCATTGCAATGCTCATTCCAGAGATTGGCACTGTTGGAAGCGACAGATTCTCGATTCGTTTGATTAGAGTTTGACCTTCACCTGTAGCTTACAGCACCTAGTTCATTAGCCCATCCAGACGTCATCCCGAGCGCTAGCTACCCACAAAACATTCGTCGTCCACATACCCGTCAGACCCATCACCGATACCAACACTGCGGCGGCCAACCGAAAACCTAATTCTCCTCCTTCTCTGCTTCCACGCCTGTCTACTGCGCGGCCCGGATCGGAAGAGAGTACACACTTCAGGCGGCGGCTACGCATAACCAATCTAACTCTCCGCCATCATGTCGCTGTCGGAGCGATTGACCACCATGGAGGAGTACCAGCCCTGGAGTCGCGAGGCTAGTCCTGACAGCAGGCACCGGAAAATGAGTTTCAATCCTGTTGGCACCTGGACCCCCGCTGTAGGCGAGGAGCCCACCGTTGGCGCTTTTGAGATTCCCAAGTGGAAGCGGATACGTGAGTAGTCCTTATCTTGATCCTGGCCGGGATTACGCTAATTGGGAGCAGTACAGGTATCTCTCGCCATCGTTTACTGTCTCTTAGCTGCTGGCCCGGTTTTCGGATACGCTGCCATCAAGCCCGTTCTACTCGATGAAGGGTACGTAAATCACCGGTTACAAAGTCGTTGCATGCCGAGGCACCACTTGCGGCAGCCTACTGGAATGCGACTGAATGAATGATACTGATTTGGTCTGTGGTATAGGGTATACAGAGACCAGTGCACACAGGAGGAGCTGGATAACGACGTAACAATATGCTATGCGCAGGAGATAAGGTACGCGTTGCGCATTCTTCATCCACAAACTGTCCTTTGACTGATTGATGGCAGGCTCAACCTCATGTTCACTGTCGCTGCCGTGTCTACCAATGTAGTTGCCCTTCCCGTTGGAACTATCCTAGATTACTATGGTCCAAAGGTCTGCGGTTTACTGGGCGCAACCTTCATCACCATTGGCTCCATTATATTCGCATTCGCGGCAGAACTGCCATTTGATGGATACATACCTGGTTACTTGTTCTTGGCACTGGGCGGTCCCTTCATCTTCATCTCCTCCTTCCAGCTCAGCAACACGTTCCCGCAATATTCCGGACTCATTCTCGCACTTCTTACAGGTGCTTTCGACACGTCGAGTGCTGTCTTCCTCGCTTATCGTCTCATCTATCAGTCTACCGATGGAGAGTTTACACCCAAGAAGTTCTTCTTGATTTTCCTCATAGTGCCGGTCTACATTTTTGTTGTTCAAATCTTTTTTATGCCCGGAACCTCATACAAGACTGTCGGTGAACTTGTGCAGCACGTCGAAGAAGCATCCAATGATGTGATTCATGATAGCGACGACGATGTTCAAGATGAAGGCTTTGTACAGCGCCTCCGAGAGGCTCGCCGCGGGCACCGCGAGAGTATAGTGAGCCAGGTTACGGAACTTTTGGGAACTAAGGATGCTACAGAGCAGACTAAAGAGGAGGAGAAGAAAAAGAATATCTCCGGAGTATGGGGAGCGCTGCATGGACGCACAGCTGCCCAGCAGATTTGGACGCCTTGGTTCATCCTCATCGCGCTATTCACAGTGCTGCAGATGTTGAGAATCAACTACTTTGTGGCAACGATCAGATCTCAATATTCGTACTTGTTTCACAGCTACCCCAAAGCTATTGAAATCAACAACTTTTTCGACGTTGCTTTACCGCTCGGAGGAGTCATCTCGGTGCCTTTCATCGGGCTTTTACTTGACAACACCAGCACGACAACTTGCCTGACGCTGTTGGTCACGATTGCCACAACAATCGGTGTTTTGGGTGTTATTCCTGAAGCTTGGGCGGCGTACACCAGCATCTGCCTCTTTGTAATCTACCGGCCACTATACTACACCGCGGTCTCGTGAGTCTTCAAAGATCAACCGTTTGACCATTACCAAGCTAACCAATTTGACTAGTGACTACTCTGCGAAGGTATTCGGGTTCGCCACCTTCGGTAAAGTCTACGGGCTGATCATCTGCCTTGCTGGCATTCTCAACTTTGCCCAATCGGGTCTCGATGCTGCAACCCACGGCCCCTTTCACGGGAACCCGATTCCCATTAACGTCATCCTTCTCTCGGCTGCTCTACTTGTTGGAATTGCGTTGGTGGGATTTGTAGCGAGGAAGAGCCACAAGATACACAGAGAGAATGTTGAAGAAGAAGCTGAAGAAGCCAGGGAAGTGCTAATGCCTGGCGCGAACGATGTAGGCGTCACCGATTATGGCACTCTGAACGGGAGTGGGAGAAGCGAAGATGAGGAACAAAGGGGGCGGAGGCAATGATGGGCCGAGAGAGGAAGCAAATGTTTGCGGAAATTGTAACGACTCATGATATGAACACGGTCTCTTGGTCATGTTTACTGCATTTGTATATGCTGTCATTCTTCTTTAGCACGGCATGATGAAGCATGGCACGGTGTACGCGTTGGACTTTGCATATAATGTACCTATTTGGGATTGGCACTGGCGCAATATATACTTTTGGATGCGCAATTCGCAATCCGTCTCCCCAAAACTGTTCAAATGATAGTGAAGATGTATTAAGCAACGAAACACATGGGTTGGAGAAATGAAGCGGAACCGGTTCATTTTGAACGATGATCAGATCAAAGGACGGTCACATGCACTGACGTGGTCAGACAGCAGCTGTGGTTGCTAGCTCCAAAATCCCTGTCTGTGTTTATGGTCCGTGCGAGGTAAACACCAACTTTCCGACCTCTCACTTGAAGTGTTCCGCAAGACCATCCTCAACCGCCAGCTCCCTCACTCGACAACTTCAACCCTCGGGACTACTAACTTTCTTTGTTTTCTTGTTTTATTTTCAATCCAATTGCATTTTCCGAAAAACATCGACCGCAAACATGGCCGCCGATGGCGCGTCCTCCATCTCCGTCACTGTACGAGTCCGCCCGTTTACCATCCGCGAGGCAGCCCAGTTGGCACGATGCGACGAGAGTACTCTCTTCCTCGGAGATGGCTCGCTCGCTGCTGCACCCACCCCAAAATTACATCAGAAGGGTCTCCGTCCTGTAATCAAGGTCATGGATGAGAAATGCTTGTAAGAGAAACCCAATACACGTACTGTCTTCCAAGATTGGAACTAATCCTGCGACTCAGAGTATTTGACCCACCTGAAGACAACCCCGTGCAGCGTTTTTCGCGATCTGTTGTACCTCAGGGGAAGAAGGTCAAAGACCAAACGTTTGCGTTCGATCGCGTCTTCGACGAGACTACAACACAGGGGGATGTGTACGAGTCGACCACGAAACCTCTGCTGGACAGTGTGCTTCAGGGATACAATGCGACCGTGTTTGCATATGGCGCCACCGGCTGTGGAAAAACACATACCATCACGTACGTCCTAGAAAGCTATCCGGTGGGAAATCTAGCTCACCAGTCACAGGGGAACACCGCAACAGCCCGGCATAATCTTTATGACGATGCAGGAGCTTTTCGAAAAGATCAATGATTTGCAAGAGGAGAAGGTCACTGAGATTACCCTCTCGTATCTGGAGATTTATAACGAAACCATCCGCGATCTGCTGGTGGAAGGGGGGAGCAAGCAGACGTTGATGCTTCGCGAAGATGCCAACCAAACGGTTTCCGTGCAAGGCCTCTCCAGCCATCGCCCACAGAGTGTAAGTCTGATGTTTCAAATCGACTACGCTCTTTGCTAACGTCGATCAGGTTGCAGAGGTCATGGAAATCATCGTCCGTGGAAACGAGTATCGAACCATGTCGCCCACGGAAGCCAACGCCACCTCGTCGCGATCACACGCCGTTCTCCAGATCAATGTCTCGTCCAAAGATCGCAACGCCTCCGTCAACGAACCGCATACCATGGCAACTCTGAGCATCATCGATTTGGCAGGTAGCGAGCGAGCAAGTGTCACCAAGAATCGTGGAGAACGATTACTCGAAGGTGCAAATATCAACAAGTCGCTCCTCGCACTAGGAAGCTGCATCAACGCGTTGTGTGACCCTAGGAAGCGTAACCACATCCCGTACCGCAATTCCAAACTTACCCGTCTATTGAAGTTCTCGCTTGGGGGCAATTGCCGAACCGTCATGATTGTCTGTGTCAGCCCTTCAAGTGCACACTTCGATGAAACACAGAACACCTTACGATACGCAAACCGAGCCAAGAATATCCAGACCAAGGTCACGAGGAATGTCTTCAACGTCAACCGTCACGTCAAGGACTACCTGAAGAAGATCGACGAACAAAGGGCATTGATCGACGAATTGATGAAGAAACAAAAGGACAACGAAGGAAGCGCATTCGTAAAGTTTCAGAAGCAGAGCGAAAAGAAGGAGATTATCCTGCACGAAGCCATAGCTCGTCTACGGCAGGCGTATGTGGATTCTGAGGCAGAGAAGCGCGAGAGACTTGCGATATGCAAAACTCTCAAACAGGCAGAAAAGCGTGTTTCTCTCATCTCCGCATGGATCGCTGCTTTCGACCAGGTCCAAGACGCTCGCGAGGGTGAGGAAATGGCGCCTCAGGTCCTAGCCATGCGAGACTCGGCGGTTGGCATATCTGCAGAGCTCGAGCAGACTCGACAGCATTGCCATCGACGAATGGAGCGCACTAACTGGGCCAGCAAGTTGGATACTGCTCACCAGGTTGGTTTAAGGCAGTTGACCGAAGTCGACGGCAACAACGATAGCAACGATGCGGCCAATTTGACGAGGGAATACGAACTTTTGAAATCTGGCGCTGAGCGTGAAGTGCTTGCTGCTTTGTTGGAACAAGAGAAAGGAGGTGATGCTGCAGTCGTTCAAGTGCTTGTAAAGGCACACATCGAGACGGTGGCCATTCTCAATCAAATCACACATATGGATGAGACAGAAGCCGTCCAAGCCGCCAGGAAGATTCTCACCAAGATTATGAACTCCTGTACCAACGCCACGTCGCAGGCAATCCGTCCAGATGGCGGCCTGCCAGTTACGGAATTCTTTGCTCCGAGCCATAAGGGCACACCCAAGCGCAGGAAGCCAGTTCATATCCAGGATCCATCTCCGATGCGCCCGCTGGCTATACCCACGCTGGCAGAGCCTCACTTGATGTCGTCTCCTGTGAAAGCATCTCCGCGACGAAGGAAGCTCGGTACAGCAAAGAAAGGTGTCCAGTTCTCGCCCGTGAAGAAGAAGTCACCCTCTAAAACAAAGCGTGGTGTGCGCTGGAGGGATGATACAGAGAACGGGACTCTCGCTGAGTTCCAGAAAACGCCGGAGCAACCTTTGGAGTCGCCGCAGAAAACTTCATCGATGGAAGTCCCACCGCCACCATTTTCTACGAACGCTCCCTCGCACATTCCTACGCCTACATATGAGCAAGACAGATCTTCGCCTGTCCCTTCCCCCCCGAAGCCTTCAATGGACCTAAAACCCCGCTCAAGCCGCTTTCAGACGGGCTTTCTTTCGAAGAAGGCCGATGGCGCTTCGCCACCTACCATCACTGCACTCTCTTCCGACTCTGAGACATCCCCACTTCGTGAAATCGGCAGCAACATTGTTCGCCCATCTGCTTTGAATATGGTCGAAAACGCAGATACTGGTTCTGCGGGTAGTTCATCTGGCTCCGAGGACGAGGGGTGGTCTATGAACAAGGCAGACGCCCAGCAGATTAACAACACTCTCAAACGCCGCTCCGTTTCGGGTTCTGTGCCAATCAGTAGAACGCAACGACGCAGGAGCCCAACGGCAGCGGGCAGCCCCCCAAATGAGAATACCCTCTTCTCGGCCAGTGCGGCGCGACGGATGGTCAAAGGCGAACACAATAGCGACTGGAAGGCTAGCGTCCTCAGCCCTCGTACCGCCCCAGTTATCATCAAAAACGCACGTCGAACAACCATGGCTGCCGCCGGAGACAATCGACCGCAAGAGCCAACCACCTTAGGCAGGGCGCCCGTGAGATTGGCAAGCAACTCTTCGTCGAGAGGTAGTCTCATGGGCACCAGTAAGAGTGTTTGGCGTTGATCCTGATTGCTAATGCTTTGGCGCAGCGCGCTGGCTTTTCGATTCGAATCGGTTCTGATCTTTTCCGCCTGCTCTGTCTCTCTTAGACGGCGCGACTTTTGCGTGTACATTTTATCTCATAAAGGGGCTGGGCGCTGGCGATAAGGGCGTTTTTGACTCAACTGATGTAGAGTCTTCAAAGTTGATATGTTTTGCATTCGTGGATGAGTGTGTTGAGGTTCCCTTGGCTACTTCTTGGATGCTCGTTCCTCTTGGGGGTTTATTCTGTTTTACACTTTTCACAAACGGCAAATTCATAATCGGCGTTTTGCATGTCTGGGAAGCACAGAAACAAGGAAACCCGGAGATCTCTATTTAGCGGGAATAGAGCATGCCCTCTTGTCTCATGTTTCTGCTCCCCCCTTTCTTTTCTTGTATTGTTTGAATCAATCAGCTTTATATAATAAGGGTAGCTAGCAAGTTTCCCGTTATCAACGGCCGGCCTCGAATGACACCTTCGTTCTCGAAGAGAGTGTAAAAGTGTAAAAAAAGTATGTTTTTGTACAGATCGCAAAGATGTCCACGCCGTAGACTTGCGCATACACGCATATGAAGTTGCCAATGAAGAATCTAACAGAGGAGAGACAGCCCGAGTACAAGTGGTATCGCCGTGACTACGTAGGCATTGAACCCGCTCTTTCTTCGGGCAACCTCGGCACAGTTGATGGAAGGGGGGAGGGGAGGAAACGAAAGGACAAACCGGACGGTCGGCTCACGCTTAACTTGCAATGCATTACTCGTATGAGCAGACATAGGTACTTTGCCTTCTCTACGTCTCACCGGATGAACAACACATTGTAAGGCGTTCATTATACAAGGGTAACGGGTTGGTCAATGTACGGTCTCTTGGTTCATGATGAATTCTACATGATGAGATTTTCGATTGTGTTCGACAACTACAGTCCTGTCGAGTTTCACAATCGTGTGTGGTGGTGTCTATGATCATTTTATTGACTATAGTGGGCTGTCGTGTACTAACAGTATTTGGCGAAATCTGCACATGTATGTATCTGTACGTCATTGCGCAATGAGTAGACCACCGACTATAACGTCTCCTTGAGCTCGCCCCGCCTCGGCAGTCCGATGGCTTAATAATTGCGTTTTACAAGCGTACATGTGGGGTTTTGGTGTTGTTGTGTAACCGTCTGATTGTATAAAGGCTGTAAAGCCCGCCAATTTGTTTCTTGTTGGATTTGTTTGGAGATTTTGCAAAACGTCGATCGCCACTTGAGAAAACTGAGCAACCTTATACAGACCCGAGTTCGGATATATATACCCACATTATACCAATTGGTAATTCCTCCGCGACACTGGTTGATAAAGATCGGAAAGAGAAGGAAACAAGGGAGATTTTCATCTAAGAAAAAGTGAATACGCGCAACATCAAAGACTGTGGAAGACGACGAGAACGAAAAAGATATCTAAACAGTTATCCACGAAGCTCCTTCAGACCAGCAAGCAGGAATCCAGGGCTTAAACAACAGCAGCAGCGGCAACCATGTCATCCAACACCACCACCATGAAAGAAGCCATCGTCTCCCCCGACCTCTCCGTCTCCATAGACAACAACCCAATCCCCACCCCTCCAACCCCAAACCACCTCGTCATCAAAGTAATCGCAAGCGGCACCAACCCAAAAGACTGGAAAATCCCGCAATTCTTCAAGCATACTTCAAACCCGGGCGACGACATCGCAGGCATCGTCCACAGCGTCGGCTCCAACGTCTGGGAGTTCAAACCGGGAGACCGCGTAGCGTCTTTCCACGAGATGCTTACCGAGGGCGGAAGCTTTGCAGAGTATGCAGTGGGGTGGCAGCACACGACGTTTCATATTCCCAAGAAGGTGGGGTTTGAGGAGGCGGCGAGTGTGCCGCTTGCGAGTATGACGGCAGCGTTGGGACTGCATTTGAGGCTTGGGTTGGCGACACCTTGGAGGCCGGTGCCTGAAGGGACCGAGGTGCCGCTTGTGGTGTACGGAGGGGCTAGTGCTGTTGGTGGTATGTTCTCTCCATCTCTCGTTTTCTTGTTCCTTGTTTTTCGATTCTTGTGTTTGGGGACGAGTGTTGGAAAGAGAGGCGTGTAACGTTTTGTGGACTGACTTTGGATATCTAGCTTATGCCATCAAACTGGCCGTGAAATCAAACATCCACCCAATCATCGCGGTAGCGGGCCGCGGAATCCCTTTCGTCGAGTCGCTGTTGGATAAGTCCAAGGGCGATGTCATCGTCGATTACCGTAAAGGTGATGATGCGGTCGTGCAAGGGGTCAAGGATGCGTTGAATGGACGGAAGTTGGAGTATGCTTTTGATGCTGTTTCAGAGCACGGTTCCTACACCAGTACGTATTTTTTTTTTCCTTTCACGATTCCAACTCCTGGCTGGAGTATTTCCATTTTCTTTGTTGCTTAAGGTCCCAATGGTGGCTGATTGTTTTGCGCTTTCAGATATTGTGAAGGTTCTCGATCCCCATGGCCATATAACGCTCGTACTCCCTGGAAAAAAGTACGAAGGCATTCCCGAGACGGTTCACCTGAGCATCACAAATGTAGGCGAGTCTCACAAGGGCGACAAGGACTTTGCGTACTTGTACTTCAGATTGCTAGCAAGAGGTATGGACGAGGGTTGGTTTACTCCACACCCAGTGGAGGTGATTCCTGGAGGATTGGGGGGTGTGGAGACGGCATTGAAGAATTTGAGGGATGGTAAGGCGAGCGGGGTGAAATATGTTTTCAGGGTCGAGGAGACCGAAGGGGCGGCTAAGTCGCAGCTGTAGAACTAATAAAAGCGAAACGAGAGAATAAGAGCGTCCGAGAGTCGCGCGATTCTTTGAGAATGTTATTCATTATCATTGTATCATGAGATTACACTCGGCTCATAACAACCTTACCATACCCTTGGGTTTGCGGTATCAACGCCGTTTGCCTCGCGGCAAGTAACGCCCAGAAATGCTTGATGCAACCAGAAAGATCATGCTAGAGGACTGCTCTCAGCCCTCGAACTCCCCTCCAGCACCCAGATCCGCCTCATTCTGCACTCCATAGCTGTCTTCGAAGCTGGCCAACTTCACGCCCCACATACGGTTCTTCGGATCATCCTCTTCATCCTCCCAACCTGTACCATCGCCGGGCCATCGAAACACGAGCACATCGCGATCTTTCAGTCCGGCGCCCTTGGGACAGTCCTTCACTACACTACCAAACCCAGCATCATTTTTCTTGGGCTTTGCTTTGCCCTTGCTTTTTCCAGCCTCGCTCTCGTCTTCGTCCGAAGGCGCGATCTCCCATTCGCCCAGCACAAAACCACCATCGGGGTCCATGCGGTCAATCGGTCGGCCGAGCTGGATTTCCGAAGGTGATGCGGGGAGTTCGACGTTTTTGTTTGTTTCTGGGTCGAGGAGGTAGGTTTCGGACAGTGCGGTGTGGAGCTGCGACTTGATGGACGCGAAGGTTTGGAGGGGGTCGACGTGCAAGAAGATGGTTGTCTTGCGAGCTTTGAGGCGGAGAATCCACGTTGTGGGGGATGGCTTTATAGAGTCTGTTCCCTCCATAACTATCTCGCACCTTATGGGCCTAGATAGAAAGACGCGGACTGGATTGAAGGTGTAATTTGGTGTTGTAGTAGTGGCGAACTATTAGATTGTCGAAAACGAGGTAAGGCGCGTAACAAGCTGGTAGGTAGAGGTACAATGGGCGATACGAAGACACGCCTCGAGTTGGCCAATCGGAACCCAACTAGTTCCGATGGTCTTGGCACCAAAGCTCCAACTTGCGAACCCTCAATTCGAGCAACCCACCTTCTTCATTCACATTACAATTGAAGATCACGATCTCGAACTTCCTCATCACTGTTACAGCTCAGCTATCCGGATCACGTCTTTCACGGTAATTGCTACAGCGTTGTGCGATTGGCCAAGGCGCGCCTGATTCCCCGCACGACCTCCGCGCCAATACTAGGAATCGCAAAGGAATATCTTCCTCCTCATTCACAACTCCATAACCATGGCCACGGTGCACTCAGAACCAGCTTCCTCATTACCAACAGATACCGATGTCACACCTTCAATAACACCCGCAAACCCACCATCAACAACGGCTCCCTCTCCCGACCGCCTTTCTCTTTCCTTCGACCGTCGTCTCCTCCTAGCTTCCTTCTCCTCATTTTCCTGCGGTGCCATTCTTGGTTATACTACGACTTCCCGTCTTGCCGCACTTCGATTTCGCGCTGAAAACGCCCACCGTCTTCCCAATACCCAGCCAGGCTGGTACCTATACCACAAGTCTAAAAATTACTACAAACTTACAAAAGGTATCCCCGCGGGTATACGCGCCGGCGCCAAACTCTCCCTCTGGACCGGCATTTTCTTCATCATCGAGGAGAGTTTAGATGTGTTCCGTGGCACATGGCGCGCTGGCCGCACTTTCAGCGAAATGGAAGGCGTCAGCGAGTTGGAGGTGAAGCGTATGGATGAAGAGATCCAATGTAGTCGAGACTTCGTGAGCAGTGCTGTTGCGGGGATGGTAACTGGCGGCCTTTGGAGCGCGGTGAATAAGTTTCCTATGGTTACCGCTGCACGGACGATTCGTGTGGGAGTGTTGGCTGGGTTGGGGTTTGGTGTTGCACAGGATGCGTTGTCGTGGGGGAGAGGGAAGACGGGGGGAGTTGTGAATGATGCTGAGAGTTGGATATATAAGGGTGCGAAGAATAGAAGAAAAAAGGAGGAAGAAGAGGGGGCGAAAGAGGAGTAGAAAGGAAAGCAGGACTTGAACAGACGCCAATAATGAATAAATCTCGACTCTAGGTTACTGCGGTATCCGTACATTGGTTCATCGGGGACCCCACAACCGTGACCCAAAACAGCGTCGCGCCGCCATATTCCACATGTCGAGCCAACTGGATGAATCCATCCTACCGAGCCAATTCCAAGATTTATCCACAGATGTACAACACAAGAAAAAGATTGTCAAACGGTTCAATGACATGAAAATGTTAACTGCATTGAATCTTCGAGTGTCATAACGCTCACATATAAACCATGTATATACATGGGCTTCAAAAAGCCCTTTTCCTCCTTCTCTAGTATCCTCTCATCATATACAGAGGACCCTCTATTTACCCAATCCAAAGCAGTTGGCATAATACGTCACTGTAGCGGGCCAATCGCTGAAGATGGCCTTGATGCCCACTTGCTGCGCAAGCACATCCAACACAGTATACATGTCGCCATCGTTATTGATAGCCTTGGAGACATACTGGTAATAATAGTCTCCACCTTTGTTCAACCACCCGGAGCGCTCGAAGCTCCAAGCAACAATATCCATGCCAGCCTTCTTAGCGGCAAGCGCGTACTCGGAAGGCACAATCTTGCCAGCCTCATCGAGCTTGGTGAGGGCAAAGAAAGCAGGGGCCAGAACCTTGACACCGCGCTCGGCAAGGGAGGGGATACTCGCGGTAGCGTTGGCATAGCCCTCTGGAGTATCGACGCGCTCGTCGAGGTAGACGGCCTGCTTGCCGAAGTCTGGCTCGTTGTCAATCCAGTAGAAAATATCGTCGGGCAAGAAAGATTGCGGCCACACGCGCGACGGGTCAATGTTGCGCTCTTTGTACGCGTCGATGAGGTCCTGGGCGTATTGCTCTTGCGTGTAACCGTCGAAGGGCATGGGGACTTCGGGAGTTTTGAGCTCGGGCGTGAACTGGAGACCCCAGCTGTCGACTTTGTCGATGAACTCGTTGTGGGTCATGAGTGTACCGCATGTGGCGTATAGGTCGGTACGGAAATATGGTGTTCCGTCCATGTACTCTTCGACAGTAGTGCCGTTGGGGTTGAAGCCGTCCATCTTGCCGCACAGGGTTTTGAATTCGGCGAGCGTGATGTCTGATGTGCAGCACTTGGCCGTAGCTGGTTTGCCATCTGCAGCGGGCGTGAACGGAGTTGTGCACTTGGAGGCGAGGTCGGTCTGATTGAGGATGTTGGTCGTGGTGTGAAGATCGCATTGGGCGTGGCGGCACACGAGCTGCTTGTCCTTGGTAAAAGCAACATCGCATTCAATGACACCCGCGCCCTGTCTTCTCGCTGCGGTGATTCCCTCCATCGAGTGTTCGGGGAATTGTAGAGCCGCGCCACGATGCGAAAAGACGAAGTCAGACGGCTTGAAAGGGCCCTCGGAGCAGCTTTGCAACTTCTCCTTCAAAGGACCGTCATCCATATCGTCTACGAGGTAGTATGGACGATCTCCGACCTGGACATTGAGTTTGGCAGGAGTTTGGTGGCCAGGTCCTCCCGGTGGTGGTGATCCTGGCGCATATGTGTTTTGTCGTTTGGCCGGGGCAGCCAGAGCTACACTGGCAAGCAGCGTCGAAGTAACGAAGGATCTCATGATGAGGGACTGGTAGCAACGAGAACCGCGACGACAAGACAAATCAACTAAGAATTGGAGGAAGACCGGCACTGAGCGCACACAGTCCACACATGGTCAGGGCCATAGCTCATCTTTATCTCTTTCACCAAATGGAAGCTTTCCACTTCGAGCACAAACACGCGAGCTCCCCGGCGCTCAGAGCCAGGAAAGCTCAAGAGCTCATGCACGTGGAGGGATTCGTTGCTGTGGGATACATGCATGTGTTATGATGATGCATGGACGATAGTGGGAAAGATGACAGTCGGAGCTTGATCGAGTTAGAATGCCAAGGTGCCAATGTGTCGTTCGGCGGCACGTTTTCGACTTGATAGGCTTTCGGAGGAGAAGGATCGTGTTAATGGCTTGAGCATTCGATCATGGCTCTAGAAAGCATGCATTTCTAGCCCCGAGGCGTGGTTCCTGGTAAGTCGTTCCTCGGTTCGCGGTAATTGTCGTCACGACAACGAGGGCAGTGGCTAGAATCCGTGCCACTGTCTCGCAGCCAAGCACCGCCATCAAGCATCCAACATCCACCTTCCTAATGCGTCTAGACTTGGAATTGATTCCATCTGCCTTCGTCATTTCGGGGGTTCGTAAAAATATCTGTAGAGCAATGGCATCAATGCTCCGCGGCCTTTATGGTATCTGCCAAATGATTCCGAGGATTGAGATAGGCATTTTGCAGACGTAAATCGTGACCTTTTGTGAGAACGATCACATTTGAGATAAGCTCTTGCGGGAGAGAAACCAAGACAACATGCAACACAGGTTCGTAATCCACTACTGTTCACCATTTATTCCAGCTTGAACTCAGTCTTCCTCAAGAAACTCTCAAAGTCTGTCAGCTGTCCTTGTACTTGTTTCTGCGCCCACTCCACGTCCTCTTTCATATTAGGGCCGTAGTATCCATAATCCCTCTGATAAATGCCCGTCTCCAACATCATATGCCCCAGTGGTTCTGGGAACGAACCCTGCCATTGCTCCTCCGAGATTCTTTCATACTCCACAGTCTTCCCTGAGACTTTTGACATGATTCTCGCCATATCCTCCATCGAGTAGAATCCCTGAGCCGCTGCAAAAAACTTCCCTTCGTACTTCGCTGGCTCAGCCAGGACTGCGTTTGTCCACGCACCCACATCAGTGGCGTCAAACAGCGGAAACAGTGTCTTGGTGGGATGGACCATGTTTGTAAAGATATATGAGCCGTCGTTGGCTGCAGATTTCCGTGGTGCAAGTACGCTGTACATGTTCTGCATGAAGCTTCCAGGGGCGACAAATGCAGAATCTATGGGTAGCCCGCGGATATACTCCTCGATCTCGGCCTTGACGTCGAAGTGCTCCACTTTTGCCTTGCCGCCTGAAATCTTTTCGGGGTGGGGAAGAGTACTCCAGATGATATATTTGATACCTTGCTTGATAGATTCTTCGCAGAGTGCTTTCGCCTGCCGAGTTTCGACCTCTCGTGTGTTGCCTTCGTATGCCGAGTTTGTGGTGGCAAAGACGAAGGATGCTCCTCTCAGGGCTGCCGGGAGGGAAGACGGATCGTTCAGATCGGCAGTGACTACTTCAATGCCTTGGGAGGAAAGGGTCTGAGCAGTAGGCGTATTGGCATTTCGAGTGACAGCTCTCACAGAGTATTGAGAGGAGAGCTCGGGGTGGTTGAGCAAAAATTGGATGACGGAGTGACCTTGGTTGCCGGTCGCTCCGAAGACGACAAGGAGTTGTTTAGACATGGCAGGTCTTCGTCTCCAAACACAGCTGATTGTAGATTCTCTAGATGGTGATAAGTCGTTCCGCAAGGATTACTGTCGGAACTTAAGTAGAGTACAACAATGTTAAGCCGTTGAAATGATGCTCGTATCACTAGAGTCTGTGTCGGAAGACTGAACGTGATATACCTTGTACATCTCACAGGTATCTGTAGACGATTATGAATCCCAGACAAACTCAACCCATTATTCAACTTCATTCAACTACATGGATGGGTTCTGGAAGCCAGACTCCTCTTCATTGGAACGGAAATAACTTTTAAGAGAAGTAGGATTACCTAAACCGATTATCTAGCGACCGATATCTCCGAAAATTGCACAGTTACTGACTTGCGGAGCAAGACTTATATATCTAGCTTAGTTGAATTGCTTCCCTCTCGTGCGGTAGAATAGAAATTAAACCCAGCAATATACGCCCGATGCTGACTGATGACTACTCTATGATTAGTAATGTACTTGGAAATGGAAGTCAACTATGGATTATGACGGAACAAAGTCAGCATTCGCTCTAGATGTGGTGTTCAGTAGAATGATAACTTCAAAAGCTACTGCTGAATGCATTCACTTTCGACGAATGGCGAGACAAGTAGAGAGTCAAAGAAAAGTCCACTCCACGTATTGTCCTCTCATCATAATGAATTGGTTAGATTCAACGTGTTAATGACAGAAACAATGATAGACACAAGCAATGAAAGATATTGCCATAGGGAAATGGGCACGCATTGAGAGTGAAACAGGCAAACTTGTGGTTTTGCAATGCATGTCAATTCATAACTAATGAGTAAGCCATTCGCGTTCTCAAGAAGCTCAAGTCCATCTGCACCTAGCTCTTCCCGAACTGAATCATTAAGGTACCTAGAATCGGTATGTTAGTGACCTCCAATGTTTTAGGGCATTTGGAATATCGATATGTGTGTTGTACTTATGTTGCGCTTTCCTCTTCACAGTTAGATGACCAGCGGTTTTGAGCCAGAGTCGACGCTGCGTGTATGATCTATTCCGACTATCAGAAGACTGGTAACTACTTGAAGCAATAGGGGAAGAGTAGAGCACAGTGCTCGAGGGGCGAATGGTATGTGTTGTATCGATAGCGTTGCTGCAGGTATCGTTAGCATGCACTTGATACCCACATCACGGTACTCACTCTGAAAAGCATGCCTTTCTGTGAAAAGAAGAAAGAGAAGAAGAGGCGGCAGGAATGAAAGATCGAAAACGTAGTGGTAGCGCGAGGGGAGAAGTACTTTCTCTATCTCTCATAGCAATTCGCAGAATTTATTGGTTCCCTTCATAAGAGATCACCAGTGTTCGAGTACTCTGTGTTCCGGAAAGAAGATGGGCCACAGTCACATAGGGCGTTGGGAGGTATATATGTATATACCGCGTAGAGCATGCCATTTCTCAAAGTGGCGACAGACAACGGATCTCAGCCGCCAAGAAAATAGCTATTGAAACATCCCTCGCATCATGTAGGCAGTGCAGTAGAGATTGTTGAACGTTTAGTTAAAACGACAAACACATCCCTTCTTGGAATAAGAACGTGAAGACATTCACATGATGCATGCATATCCTTTCAGCACCAATCACGACGCATGATCTTGTCCACCATGGGATTGCATGTGTTTCTACAGTGACAACAAGGGGAAGAAAAAAAAGAAACACACCACAGATCATGCAAATGCAAGCGCGTGTTCTAGGCCTGGTAAGGTCGCCCTTTTTAATCACTACATCTTGTTAACCATTCGCATGGGTTTGGCTAGCAGAGCGTTGGGACATGGGTTTTGTCAAAGCCCACCAGTCAACGTCTCTGGATATCAATAGTGTGTGCTTCAAAGCTTAGCAGAAGCTTAGTTCTCGCCAAGCTTCTCCCGTAACTGCGTTGATCCTAGGGGGTCCGAACTCGCATTGCGCGTGGACATGCACACCGGCTCCACTCCCGCATCCCAAAGGCTAAGATCAGATCCTGCGAGGCTTATCTCTCCATCTATATCAATTCAAGCGAGAGTTTTAAGGGAAGTTCAGCCTGTGCTATCGTGTACTCAAAGACCGAGTCATTTTCACGCCAATGGTTTGGACTATTGAGGTGAATGCCCTCGCTTGCACCGAACTGAGATGGTGCAGACGCGCATCTTATATTGTGCCAAACCCCCAAAAAAGGTATGCAACTGCAAAACGAAAGCGCAGGAGAATCCGGCATAAATGAGTTTAGATGTTGTCGACGCTAGGAACTCATTCTATTGCATCAACCAGCTCAGTCTTCCGCTATTCGTCTAAGAGTGCATCAATACATGCATACTAGTTATCGCATGATCGGAAACAAAGTAGCTATCTCTTCACAGCAAGAAAATCCAATGGAACGGCCTGCCCACCAGTCACGATTCTTCGTGTGACTTCGTGAACTATCACCGAGGAAAGAGGCCAGAGCGGCCATGCTCGACACTCCAACCTCGTCTTCGTACCTAGATCAGCATCTCTCCGTGGACGACTGGACGTTTACTGGATGTATTGAGAGAAATACTAAAGTGTAACTATAAATACATGTCGTTCCAGTGTTGAGGCCCCCTGGCTTGCTTACTAAACAATTCACCTCCTAACTTTTGATTCACACTGAACGATCAAGAGGCAAGTCGGATGCCATCGGGTAACGACGATGGGTGTTGGTAGAATCTACTATCGTACCACGAGGAAATGTGCATTACTCGCTAGAAAATATCGCATGGTTGTCGGATTTACACGCTATGCTTTGCATGAGTCCCAAGGAGGCTAACGCGACTACAGAGCTCACTCTGGCCGCGTAACCTCAAGCCTAGGACCCACCCCAGTGCTTGATGTTGGAGAATTCAGTGCCATGAGCATTAAAGTCTACTGGAATATAATTCGCTGAGAAACAAAACCTCAAACAAGACGATCCTGGTTTAACTGGGAATGTCGATGGCATGATAGGTTAGTGAACAGTGTAATCGTGTCTGCGTGACGGGTGCCGTTATCTCGGGTGAATTCTTTAGGATGCGTTACGAATGCAAGCCACGTTTTGATGTACACGTGCCCTGCATACGCGTCCCTTCTTCGATATCGTTATATCTTTTCCGTCTCGTATGAGTTCAGAGTCGATCTTTGTTGGTTCACTGCGATTGTCGTTCTGTTCTCTGAGCCTAAAACCCGTTGTCTCAATTGAGTGTTGTCATGCACTGAAGACAAATTTTCCCCCTTCATTTTTTCTTTCATCCTTCACCCTCTGGCGCTGTATATTCTCCATTCTCTTCTTCGTCATTCATTCACTTCTTCACGCGTATCACCGTGGCTTCAACGGATATCGCGAGAAGTGACATCTAAATCGCCGATTCACAAGATATCACCGCATATTTTCCTCCACGTCGACTTAGAATTTTCCTACGCTGACAGATCAGCAAAACTTTCTTCTCGCCGTCAAGTCATCAATCAACAACAATGCATCGTTATATCAACATGCTTCTCTTCTTAGCTTTAATGGCAGGTGTAACAATCGTTGCATACCCATCTAAGTCCTTACTGCACAGTACGTGTGTCCCTTGTTCCAGATCTGAATGCATATCGGATGTCGATGTTATGTATCGACCATCCATTGGAACTGGCCTCCGTCGGAGTCTGCTTAATTTAATCACTGACTTTTGCATTTCAGGTTCAGAAACCGTGCTCAAAGATGACCAGAATCTACCAGAGGATATCGCATTCTTGCAAGGCTTGATTCAAATCGACAAGGGCAGAACAGGAGATCCACCCGAGAAGTACTTCCATGAAAGTTATGTAAGTTCCAGTCCTTCTATACATGTACATCACGTGAATTTGACCAGACATTGCAGTTCAACTCTCACTACGACGGACGCTTCGCAAAAAGCGAACTACCCAGTCAAACACGCATCCCCCACCTCCGCGCCCTCATCCGCTCCTATCTGACCACGATGCACGAACTGGGCGCCGAAACATGGATCATGCACGGGTCGCTGCTGGGCTGGTGGTGGAACCGGCGCATCATGCCATGGGACGACGACCTCGACGTGCAAGTGAGCGAGGCAGCCATCGAGTTCCTAGCTTCCTACCACAACATGACCATCCACTCATTCGCTGCGGGCGACCTCACTATCAACCCTGATGATGAAACGCTCATGCAAGGCAGGAAACGGTACTTGCTCGAGGTCAACCCGCATTATGTGAACCCAAGCACCGACGACCGAGAGAACGTCATTGATGCGAGGTGGATCGATACAGATACCGGTCTATTCATCGACATCACTGCCGTGAGGGTGGATAAAGCGACTGAGGCAGAGAAGGGCAAGAGTGGGGAGTTTCGATTCAAGGGGGCGACGTATAGACATTCCGATCCACCGCAGCGGCTTTATTGCAAGGACGAACATTCGTTTTTGAGCACGCAGATTTTCCCACTCAGATTGTCCGTGTTTGAGGGCGTGCCTGTGCATGTCCCGTTCTCTTACCAGGAGTTGCTGGTTGAGGAGTATGGGCAAGAGGCGCTTGTGCAGAAGGAATTTTGGGAGGAGAGACATTACTTTGATCAGGCCAAGGGGGAGTGGATACCCATGTCGAAAGAGATGCTGAAGAACAGGGAGAAGGAAGGTGAGTGGGGGCGGTTGGACAAGAGCAGCGGGTTGTCGGAGGAATTGAAGGAGTGGAAGGCACAGATAAAGGATGAGGACTCTGGAAGTGAGGACTCCGGGGGGTTCAGACAGGTGGAGATTGTTCTCCCTGCATCGAAGTAGCTGACGGCTTAGTGTCTTGTGACTTTCGAGCGTTTATACCAATGACTTATGAACTCAAGATTATTTAGCCAGTGTGATCTCTTCTTGTGATTTGTCGAGACATTGCCAACTGAAAGAGCAGTTAATGGTGTATTACGATGAACGACAATCGAGTGAAAATTTTCATGTTCTCATCTCAGTCAAAACAGTGGGAGAATCTACGGTGACTTGCTGCCACTCATGCCACCCAGGAACCCGAATCGAAGGACTCACAACTTGACATGTTGAGAATGTGTGGAGTTCACCATTGGTCACTGTAGCATCCATCCATACCGTTCCCGACAGTCGTACGTCGGGAGTGGGGCGAGACTGGACACTAGATCAGAACAGACATAGTTTCAATCAGATGTTTGAGATCATTTCTTTCAGGAAACGAAGTACAATCATCATTTTGTCCTCCCCTGTCCGGAAACACACAAGCAATATCAATGCCACAAGTCTCGAATTTTACCATCAATCCAGTTCGAGTTAACAACTCGAATACTCGGGGATATGGTTTAGTGGTATAATACTCCCTTAGCATTCTAGCATGGGAGTGGTCCGGCGTTCGATTCGCCGTATCTCCAACCTTTTTTGTTTTTGACGCCGTTGTGGTCGTGTAGATGGTGGTGAAATGGTTTTGCGTGGAAATTTAGATGTTCAGATGCTGTTAAGCGATTCCTTAGTAAGCAGGGCACGTTGAAACATTTAGCGGGCTCGTGGCAGACTCGTCAAAATTGTGCAGTAATTATTGAAGTTCCTAAAAGATTGGGCTTTAATTTTTCCGTTCAAGAATTGCTACGGTTCTAATGCTGGTTGGCTACCAGGTGTTAGGGTTGCTGGTAGGTACCTAGGTACTCATCCTTCGCACTGGCATCGTCATGATAATGAAGTTATGCTAGAATGAATGTATCCATTCAACAAATACTACTAGTAGAATTACTCCTACTTAACTGTTTGTGCGTTCTTCTGACGTGGTTGCGCTGATACCTCCTACTTTCCAATGTCGCATTGGTGGCGAATCTGACTGCTTGCGTCATTACTGGAAAGTTTCAGGCAAGCACATTATCACGATGGCAGATTGATATGCTCTTTGACCGGATAATTGTTCTTTTAGTCTCTAATTCGTACGTCGTTTCCGTCAATCGTTATTGCGACAGATGTCTGCTGGAGGTTGTTGTGCCTCTAGAAGTGGATGGTCCAGCCTCCAATGAGGGTACTTAATTTTTCTCTGACCTCGACAACTGAATGGCTTCCCAAGAAGTCTTTCACCGCCCGAGATATCCATTGATATGTGACTTCTTCGCGTTCGAGGAGCTCAATCTGTATATCATTCACGAGACCATCGTCAACTCCTTTGATTCCATACAACTCGCGAGTCCGGGTTTTGATAAACAGCTTGATATCTTCGGCGATCTTCGCGGCGTTGTCCACATCGTCCAACCTGATTCTCGGACACCCATATAAACCGTTAATATGGTCACTCACGATCAGGAGACAGAATCGTGACTGAACCGGCGAGTCTGGACTATGCACAGCGAGCAACCTGGTGAGTTTGGGCACGAGCTGCTGCACTCCGCTCTCCTCACACTGATCAAGCCCATCGACGACGCACAAGACATTGCCCAGATCGGCATCCTGAACCAGATCCTGGAAGATGACCCACAACGTCTCCAAAGATGCGAGTGATTTCCGCGTAGTTTCGGAATCTTCAAAATAAGGTAGCGCATGTTTGACCAAGTCAGGACGTAAAGTGATCATCTGGTGGACTAGACTGCGCAGCACATCAACGGCACTACCACTCCCGCCGTGACCGCTTTCGTTAAAAAAGAAGACCAGATCGTAACCAAACACGGTGCATCGCTGGAGCTCTTCGGTCAAGTAAATCGCCAGCGTTGTTTTGCCAGTCGCTGGACCCCCGGAAATCCACAGCAGTCGCGACCCGCTATCGCCGCTCTGCCAGGCCTGGAAATCGTCATTGTCGGCTATCCATTCAAAAGTACCTGGTACGCGTACCCCGAGTCTACTAATCAGACTCTCGCGGACGACTTTTGGATTGGTGGCTGCAAGTGCGTTGCGACACCGTCTGGCCTCTCTTTCATACGAAGCTGTTGTTTCGATCAGCCGTCAGCAGCAAGGATGCCAAGTGCTTTCAAGTAGCGTACGTACTCTGAGAATCCTCTTTCGCGGAGAGGTAGATGTCTCTGAACGAGCCCGCAAAAGTCTGCGAGTGTTCCGCCGTGTAGATGTTGCTAATGTCTTGTCGAGGGCCTTGGGCCATTTCAGCAGATCGCCTCGACGATGTTGTCTATTCGCCGGCGTGCAATACCGCACCCAGCAAACTCCAATTACGTCAAATTGATTTGGGATAACGTCTCGTCCGCATATGGGAAGGAGGATAACGCAGTGCTTGTATATTTGACCCGAGACCAACCTCTGTTTTGCGTCTTGGCAAAAGCGAGCTGAGTTTGCTGTGAGTCGAAGACCAGCATCGTTTGATGTGATTGGCGATTGTAATGGGTTGCTCGCCGTGCCGAGAATACGAGGTTGGTCAGACTCCGGTGGCACCAAGCCTTGCAATCTTCCGCAACGTTAATGAGTACCCAGGTAGAGTACAACAAGGGTCGCAGTGGGCCGTTGATTGCGATTTTCATGACAAATTTCCTCCAAGACAAGAAGATAATACCCCTTCTACTTTGTGTCAGATGTCCTGTGATGGAATTGAGGGTTAGATATATTTTGAGATTGTTATGGGTCGGTATCAAGAGGTTTGTGTCCATACGAAGACCATGCTTGCTCCATCTTAGTCACATTGCTGGCAACACGAATCCACAGGGCAATCTATGATTTTGACTTGAGAGCAACAAGTAGTGGTATAGCAAATCCAAAGGTGCCACGGTCCCTTGTTTCGCTTGTGGCTACAGATACGGAAAATACGAGATCAGCTGGGCATCAATCCTACAACTTATAAAACTTGAACGCGACCCAACAGATACAGATGTAGCCTTATATAGCGCCAGGAAAACCCAAATATATCTAATACTTTTCTTCTCTGCGTAATTCCGAAGAAGATAGAGAACACGATACCACGGCATCAAAACCAAACAATGGACCCCTTCAGCATCACCGCCGGAGCGATCGGAATCGCGGGCGTCGCGGCAACCAGCATTCAACAGCTCCGCAGCCTCATCAGTGGCCTCACCGAAGCCCAAGACGTACTGCGAGACGTCAAAATCACACTTGACAACATCGTACAGCCTCTATCAGCAATCTCCGCCATCGTCACCGATGACAGCACCGCAGACATGGCCAAGGAGTGTCTGAGGAAAACGGGGGTTGCGGACGCGGTCAACGCATGCGGCGACGCGTGCAGCGACTTCAACAAGAAACTCGCAAAGTGGACCAAGCACTCGACGGACAAAAAGTTGTCGCTGAGAGATCGGTTGACGGTCGGGTTGTGGAACAAGGAGAAGATGAGGACGTTTAGGACGCGTGTGCAGTCTTGCCAGACTGAGGTTCAGTTTGCGGTTTCGATTACGCAGCTGTGAGTATTTACTATCACTGGATATATCTGGTTTCACGGTTTATGTGTGAGCGTTCACTCTGACGAGGAATAGCATGGTTCAGCTTCGCTCTGAGAAGTCATCAGAGACGCATCGTAGCGGGGTGGAAAGGCAGCTTCAGACTCTTGAATTCAAGATCCAAGAGCATCTGGATTCCACGAAAAAGCAACTACAAGATGCTCAAGCCCGAAAAGTAGAACTAGAGGAAGACGAGGACGAAGAGGAAGACGACGCTCAACGGATGCTGGCCATACAAGAAGTAAAGGAGCAAGAACGGTTGTTGGAAGCTAATCAAGTCTCTTGCGGAGTGATGCATTCGCAAGTCGAAGCACTTAGCCGTCAGGATATCAGCAACGTGGAGACGTTGGATAATTCCGAGGCTTATGTAGGCATGCCGTCCAGTGTCGCGGGGAAGATTGATCAGCGCATCAAGGATGTGAGGACGGTGAATGGTTCCCGTGCTGTGATTGGCGTTTTTGACGGAGACTTTACTCCCAGAGGTCGCTGACGGTCGACGTACATGTGAGGTATATTTTACTTGTTGAAGGTCTGTCCAGCGAAGGCACAAGACGTGCGTCACAATTATGAGAGCAGTACCAAGCAAAGAACATGTGCAACACGAAATCAACACGGTTGACCAGACGACGTGTCGTCTGGACGCATACATACGTGTAACCCCGCCGACGGACCAAGCAAAAAAGAAACAAAGATTCAAACACAGTGATGGACGGCACATGTCATGGCGACGGAGTAGTAGAGTTTCAAAAAAAGCCGGCCAGAGTGGTGGCGCGAGCCAAATATGCAGCAAACATTATTTTGTTCTTCCCCGCAAAGGCGGGAAAGAAGACGATGACGAATGTCGGGTGTGTGTGTGGAGTGAGACAACAAGAACATGATAATCAAGGTTCATTCCACCGTGCTGACGCCAGCAAAGATGGAAGGTGGGCGTAGGAAGGATAGTGGGGCGCGGGAAGCAATCGATTGTGGTTCTCGCAATGGGTAGGTGGATGGATAGATGGGTACATAAGGCAGGTAACGCTGTGTGAATCCATCGGGGATCCGGCGCGAGCGGAGGCTTGTGCCGCACAACCAGCTCCATAGTTTTTGTGCGCTTATGGGTGTTGACAAACTAACTGACTTGCAAGATTCGGGTTGAGATTTCCATCCTACATGAATTAGTGGATGATTGTAGGGAGTTTGCCAGAGGCTTGGTAGAGAGGTATTCCGGCGGCGCGGAAAAGCAGGCGTACAGGCGGTACAAGTGTACATGGCAGGGCCATGGCGAAACACCGGCGGGGGGGTATTTTAGCGCGGCTGACGACGACTTGTAGCGGAGGTGTCGCAGCGGCATCAGGAAAAATCAATCAATCAATCAATCAATCATGGAATGCGAAGTATTTCCCCGCCCTCCAAGCAAGTTACACACCGGGCAAGAAACACTGGATTCAAGGAAGTCGGGGTGGGCCGTTGATGGGCATGACGGAAGTAGTGGGGATTTGGCGCTTGATGAAGATTTTTGGCACGTCTGAAATGCTGTTGTTGAAATAACTGGAATCGGGCCCACGGAAGACGTCATTGTGGTGGAGAGTGAAGCGGGTTCAAAGCATGTGGTCCTGCTCTGTTAGGCATATGAATGGGGTTGGCTGTAGATGATGATGAGTATGATGGTGATGATGGAGGCGGACGAGGCTGTTTCAAGGCAAGCTCCACCGGTGTGACGGACAGCGGACGCAAGGGATGGTATGTGGATGGTGGGTGACCTGCTGCCCGTTACCTGGTACTGGCGGCGGTGGTGGATCACGCATGTCGCCAAATGGAAGAGGAAAAGAAGAAATAAGGAACGAAGAGATGGAAACCAGGCAGAGCGAGCGCGACAAGTGTACCGCGATATCAGCAGCTGTGCATCAGCAAGAAGCCTGCTTGAAGAGATTGGGGATGGAGAGAATGCAACGTCGATGCATAAAGTCGAGTATTTTTAGTGCACGGAGGCCATGGAGGCCATCGTGTCCATCGGCTTGGAGGCGCCCATCTTCGCAGGTCTAGAAGCCCAAGAATGATTGGCCAGCCGTCCGGTGAATTGCCACCCGTAACGAGCGAACGGCGGCGGGAACTCAGGAGGAGGACCGTCTGCAAGGGTCATCCCACGATCCAATCCCCCACCCCCCCCGGTCGTCGTCAGCTGCTTGGAACTTTGGACGGAAACAGACGTCAAGTCAAACCAGGTGGAGACGGCGGGAGATGGGTGCTTTGTAGACATGCATGCATGCATCACGTCCGAGGCAACGTGGAAGGGAGCGAGGGGAGGGGGGAATCAAAAAATGTTGAGGCGGTTGGTGATGGTGCAAGCCAGCGCGGGCTGGGGGCTGCTTATTTATTGGAATATTGCCCTGGGCCTGTCCTGCCCTATTCTGTCCTGTCGTGCGCCGGGTGGCGGCCTCGCGCGTTGATGGACACCGGACATGCCCTGTACCAGCCATTTCCTGCTTGTCTGGCCGGCCCTATGCACCACTCCACTGTTGCTGACCATGGTGGTGCTGATGGTGGATAGGAGCAGACGAAACAGAAAAAAAAAACATCATCTAGTTGGCCTGCTTACTTGTGGATTGATTGATTCCATCTTCGCATGCGGCGCGACGTGCTCGTGATAGACCGTGATGAATTGACTGTCTGTTGACTGATTGACTGATTGACTGGCGAATGGCCGGACGGACTAAATGATATGCTGGTCGTGGTGGTGAGATATCGACGTGAAAAAGGCCAAGTAGGTAGGGACGGAGGTAGTTCACGCCACTCCTTGGATGCCAGCTACCCAGCATCTCCATGAATTACTCCCCTCACCCATCATCTATTGAATCAAACGATTGAATGATTGATTGATTGATTGATTGCCAGAACCATCGTGGACGCTGCCGCTGTCGCTTGGCCTGGCCGCGCTGAAGGGGGCATCGCGCGGTGCAGAAAATTGGGGGTTGTTAGATTACTAGCGCCGCTCGGCACTGCCGCTAGTCCCCCCTCGGACGCACCCTTATCCCATCCGCCGCCTGCGTGCTCGCTCGTCCCCATCCCTCCCTCTTCAAACATCTCGCGGCAATCGTGCCTCTTTCTCCGTCCTCCTCCTCTTCCTCTCTGTTGCTTGCTCGCCATCCCTCAGCTTCGTCGTCCTGTGCTGGACCCGCTGTCGCTCGTTACACCCCCCATCCGACACTCATCCTGCTTAATTATCCATCTTCCTTCCTCTCTTCTTCCTTTGTCGTTGCTCAGTCTCTCGCCCCCTGCATCGCATTTGCTGCTGGCCTCGCCCACCTAATCCGCCTCAGCCTCAGCCGCCTTCTCCCAACCCGCCCCCTCCCCTTCGTCGACAGCGCGACTCCATCACTTGCCACTTCGCCGCAGATGCAGTACTAGACCATACGCACACAGAACAGCAACACGTCCATCCAGCAATCCTCCCCCCCATCTTCCCACCATGTCGTCTCGATTCAATCTCAAAACCCCAAAGATGTTCATCAAGACACGCTTCAACTACGAGAAATTGCCCGGCGGCGACAGCCAGAGTTCCTCGCCCATCAGGATGGGTTCGTGGTCCAAGAACTATCGTAGCCCCGTCTGGGCCCAGCGCCTGCAGCGCCCACGCATGTCCTTCGCACGCCTGGTGATGCTTGCCGTTGCTGCTGTCATGCTGGTGTCCATGCTGGCTACAGGCATCTACAAGAGACGCAAGTGGCATGATCCCCAGCGCAAGTCGGACAGCCGGAAACTCTACCACTGGGAACACTACCCGCGGTAAGCCCTTTTGCCCCGTCCTCATCTCTTATCCATGATCCCATTTGCTGACAAGCTCAGACTCAAGGGTATGTTCGGAGGTGTACGCACCCTGGTCTCGCACGACGACTGGGTACCTGAGCAGGACTATGTCACATATTCCCAGAGCCAGGACCCCGCCGACAACATCAAGCAGAAGTGGCCCACCATGTCCAAGGAGAACAAGGAGCCTCCTATGGACCCCCAACCCTTCAACCCTTACCCCGATTGGACCTCTGAGCAGTACCTCAAGAAATACGAGCCTGTAAAGACGTGCTATCTGGATGAGGAGGAGAAGATCGACCTCCCTGACATCTATGCCTACCCGGGTATCCCGCAGAACCAGTCCAAGCCCTTCTTCGGCTCTTACGAAGAGATGGGCATGGACGAAAAGGTCTGTTTCGATCGATTCGGTCGCTTCGGCCCCTACGGCTATTCGTATTCGCGTGATCAGGGTGGCTTCGACTTGGCCACCAAGTTTGAGAAGGCTGGGTCGGAGCTCATGTGGAGAAACGAGAAGAAGATTGACTACAGGGAGGTCAACTGGGGCAAAGCTCAGAAACGATGCCTGGCCAAAAACCAGGTTCGATTCCAGAAGAACGAGACCAAGAAGGCCGATCAGGAGCAACCCAAAAAGGAGAAGATCAAGCGCCACGCCTATGTTCTGCGCACCTGGACTGGATACAAGTACAGCGACACCCAGATTTTGACCATTCGTGCCATGATCAACGAACTGTCTCTCAAATCTGGTGGCGAGTACGATGTCCACTTCTTGCTACACGTCAAGGACGACAGCATCCCCATCTGGTCCTCCGAGGAAATGTACCAGAAGACCATCGAAGACAACCTCCCCAAGGAATTCTGGGGCATGGCCACACTCTGGTCAGAGCAACAGATGAAGATGTACTACCCCGAGCCATTCCCCAACAACGTCTACAACCATGCCAAGGCTCCGGTGCACTCGGTCTACCGCAGCGCTCACTTCGCAATGCAGTGGTTCTCTCAGGTCCACCCCGAATATGACTTTTACTGGAACTGGGAGATGGATCTCCGTCTCACTGGTCACTATTACGAGTTCAACAATAGGATCGGCGAGTGGGCCAAGGAGCAGCCACGTAAGGGATCCTGGGAACGTGCCTCTCGCTACTACATTCCTGCTCTTCACGGTTCATGGAAGAACTTCACCGAGATGGTGGAGGAGGAAATGTACAACAGCGATGAGAAGCCTGTTTGGGGCCCGCCCAAGTTCGAGAACACTGGTATGCTGGCAAGTCCTCCTGAGACCACCCCACCGCGCACATACCTTGCGGACGACTACGAATGGGGTGTCGGTGAGGACGCGGATATCATCACCTTCAACCCCATTTTCGACCCGGCCAAGACCAACTGGGTGTTCCGCGACGACGTTTCCGGTTACGATCTCGAGCTCCCCGAACCTCCGCGACGCTGTGCCATCATTACCGTGTCGCGCCTGTCAAAACGCCTCCTCGATCTTATGCACCGTGAAACATACCTGATGAAGCACCACATGTTCCCCGAAATGTGGCCTTCGACGGTCGCTTTCCACCATGGGCTGAAGGCTGTGTATGCTCCTCACGCTGTATACTTTGATCACAACTGGCCGCTGGAAGCCATTGATGGTGTGTTCAACCACCCGCCTGCGCCTACCGACAGTGTCTTTGGCTGGGGGGAGCACAACCAGCTTGGCAACAGCTTCTACTTCAACGCCGGTTTCTCGTCGGAGTTGTGGCGTCGATGGCTCGGTGGTCGCGAATACAGTCAAGGTGGCCCCGCTGAGGAAGAAAACGGTACCGGCCGCATGTGCTTACGGCCGATCCTCTTCCACCCGATCAAGCACGAAAATCTTGCTACTTGAGCAACTCTTTATGTTCTGTGCATCATCAAATTTAATCCTAGCATGCTTTTTCCATTCCCCCTCCAGCGTTGTTGCGCCACCACATCAAGGCATGTCGTGGCCACGTTCTCGTCAGGATCTCGCGACTCGAAACCTACACAGCGTTTTTCTGTTCCTATACACGCTTTCGTCAATCATTATCACGCATCATCGGGCGGCGTTTGGGCGTTTGCGAGGCAGGACGTGTTGAGTCAGTCATCGTTTGGCATTGTACATTCTGGATCACCCCCTTTTTTTCCTTACCGGTCATTTCCGTTTTCTTTGTGGTTTGTTTTTCGATTCCGTTTTGAGCTGCTGTTAGCGTATACCTTTATCTTCTTTCATCATGCAAGGAACAAAAAGTCGATGGGAAGATGTAATTAGCCATCATGGCACGCCCACTCTTTTGGAAAGAAGGTTGCTGCGGCGCAATACATTGGATCAGCGGAGCGAGGGCGCGTGGCTCTTTTGCTTTTGGACACGGGAGTTGACAGATGAGCGGTGGTCGTCATCTATCCCCACGAGGAAAGTCGCGTCATGGCGATTATGTGAAAACGACGGTGAGGCGTGTGGTATTCTACTCTCGCTTGCGCCGGCTGTAGATTATGACATTAGGCACTTTTGGGTGCGGAATAATATAGATACCTTTTTACAATCAAGCTTTCCTCCCATTGGCTATGGTTTGAGATATATTGCAGTGCTGGTGCTGGTGCTGGTGCTGGCTGATGCTGGTCGCTGTGGAGGAGGCGTCGAAGGCTTGGCGTCGGTGAACCCTAGCTGATAATTCCGAGATTTGACATTAAGAGTCACCCCGCCGACTCATTGACTCGACTTGCGCAATCACCCCTCACAGATTCTTTCGCACACTTCACACCATGCCTGGCGGTACTAGGGGCCCTGTGCCCGTTCCTCTCGAGACGAAAGAGCACAATGTCACCCAGGACATCCTCGATCTGCTCGACCAAAAAGAGCCCCTCCAAACCTCAGAAGACTTCCCCGCCATCTCACAGGCTGAGATAAAAGCAGCTTTGGATCGACTCGCCAGCCGATCCATGGTCGAATACAAAGCAAACGATTCCGAACAGGTGATTTTATCAAAAGAAGCCGAAGCAATTGTCGCAAACGGATCGCACGAATACAAGGTGTGGAAAGCAGTAAAGGATGCTGGCAAGGTGCCTATAAAGGAACTGGCGGTGCGTAGAGCTTCAAAAACTACGGTGCAATGCACAGACTGACCATTGTGCGTACAGAACGTCGTCGGTAACGAATCCGCAAAAGTTGGGCAGGGCAATGCTTTCAAAAATAAATGGGTGAAGAAGGACGGTGACTCGCTGGTGCTGGTCGCAGATACTGTGCAGGACACTACGAAGGATCTTCTCAAAGGCATACAAGAAACCAAATCGCTGTCCGACTCCAAAACTCTCAACGACCTCAAGAAGAGAAAATTGGTCACAGTCTCAAAGGTCATACATTATACAGTCACCAAAGGCCCCAAGTACGCGAAGGAGATACCCGTCGAGGTCACAGATTTGACGGCAGATATGCTCACGAGTGGTTCATGGGAAACGGCCAATTTCAAACCATACAACTTCAATGCGCTGGGTGCAAATCAGGAGGCCGGCAGTCTACACCCGCTGAATAAAGTGCGGCAAGAATTCAGGAATATGTTCTTCTCGCAAGGATTCGTCGAGATGCCCACTGGCCAGTAAGTCGGTCCAGAATGCGGGGCTTTTTATGAAGTTGGCTGACCTTTTTCTGTTTCTAGCTACGTCGACTCCGGGTTCTGGAACTTCGACGCTCTCTTCGTGCCCCAACAACACCCCGCTCGCGATGTACAAGACACTTTCTTCATCTCTGACCCTCCAAAGGCCGACAAGCCGCGCGCGGATCCTGCACATGAAGCCACCATGGACGCCATGGAAGCCGGCTCCAGAAAGCTTTTCGCGACTCCAGAATCCGAGAAGCGCGAGATCAAGCCCCGTGATTTCGAACAGTACTGGAAGAACATCCAGGACGTACACCAAAAGGGTGCTTTTGGCTCCATCGGCTACCGCTACCCATGGTCTGAGGACGAGTGCCTCCGTTTGGTCCTACGAACACATACCACGGCTGTGTCTACATGGGTTCTGCACCGGCTTGCGGAAGATCCACGGCCAGCGCGGTACTTCTCGATCGATCGCGTCTTCAGGAACGAGACGGTAGACGCCACACATTTGGCCGAATTCCATCAGATCGAAGGTGTCATTGCCGACTTCGGTCTCACGCTCGGGGGGCTTATGCGCTTCCTTGAGGATTTCTTCGCTAACATGGGAATCGAAGGCCTGCGCTTCAAGCCTGCCTACAACCCCTACACCGAGCCGTCCATGGAGATCTTCGGTTATCACAAAGGTCCGTAATTCTTCATCTGCTACAATCCTTCAGTATATCCGTTCTCTTTTATATTGCAATTGATATTGACTTGTTTCTCTCCGCAGGTCTCAAGCGATGGATCGAAATTGGTAACTCAGGCATGTTCCGTCCAGAGATGTTGGAGCCCATGGGCCTACCCAAGGACATGCGCGTGTACGGCTTCGGACTTTCCCTAGAACGACCCACCATGATGAAGTACGGCGTCAACAACATCCGTGAGCTGCTGGGACACAAGGTAGATCTTAGCTGGATCAAGGAGCAACCAGCAGTGCGTCTCGAAAAGGATTAGACGGGAAAGAGGTAGACAAACGAATGATGATGTACTTTTTTCTCCAAAGACCTTTCGTATAGCCTAAGCTATCACAGTCAAAATTTCTCGATTTCTTTTCTCCCCCTTCCGATACCTTTTCTTACTCTCAATGTCCTTAACATATACAAAGAATGAATGGGTATACAATATCACCTATTTCTGCAGCAAACCAGTCGTGACCGCCAGAAAGTCTAGGACTAATTGGTAGTGGACGGAGGGAGAGAGTGAGGGAGAGGGGTGGCTGACCGTCGCGTAGACGGTATTCGGAAGTGGTTGCATTGTGTCTGGGAGCAGATACTTTAGATTACAGGATTGGACCAAAGCCATATGCGCTTTAGAACATGGGCGGGGAGAGTCTTCATATGCTAAAAGGTCATCTGGAAGCTAAACATGCTGCATACCGATACGACATCCCTACAGTCTTTAAGTGACATATGGGAAAGACCACGATGTTCAAGAAATATCAATTTGAAGCCGGTTGATACCCCCCTCTTTGGTCACGAAAGTACTAGAGTTCCCCCCACTTCCAACCAACCCCTTACTATTCGATTCTCGTCTCCCGCTCTCTAGTTGTTTGTATGTTAGGGAGTACATTACAGCATTTGGACTCGACTATCCCGACTAATCCAGACTAGGAAAAAAGAATGAATAGGAGTGAATCTACTAATGAGTTTAGATTACTCGAAGTGTGTCTTCACGCTGGGGCTACTGTTTGACGACAGCCTCGAAGAGAACTGCAGACACCAGAAGAACCACTTTTGGTCTCCATACTTTCAAAAGATCAAACCCTGCCGAATCCAAGAGCTCCGCAAACTGCTGTTTAGTTCTATCAAGTGAAGAAAAGGACGCCATCATGTTGAAATCTGCCTGCGCTGATAACAGCGAAACATTTGTGTCTGGAATCGAATTCTCGTTGAGGAAGAGAATGGAGTCCTTGGACATGACGTTTCGAATGTGTTCTAGGATGATCTTCGCTTGATTATTTGGCCAGTCGTGTAGCACTGTGCGGAGATAATAAGCTTTCGCATTCTTGAGCAGAGGCGGTTGTGGATCAAAGAAGTTATGGCCGACAGCTTCGATGCCATCACGCGAAAGAGCGTCAGCAACGACGATGGGTAGATCCTCCACAATCAGTCTCCCCTTCAAGTTCGGGAAACGGTCTTTGAAAGCAACCACATCATGACCAACACCACCTCCAATATCAACGAGTAGGATGTCATCGGGCGACTGAACGGTGAGCTTTTCCTCTACAGGGTAAAAGTCAAACCATTCCTCGCCGCGGCCTTTTCGGGATATGGTCATCAAGATGTTGAATGCATCTTGTATCTTTGGTCGTTTAGCCATCCAATCGAAGTAATGATATTCGGTTCGATGGGCGTATTGCCACGGGCCGTCGAAGGCATTTTCTGGACTCAAATATCCCTTTTCAGCAAAGTACTCCGGGAGTAATGCTATCGAAGGTATTGTGATGCCCCTGTGTGCTGTGATTAGTTCTATTCTAGATGCGAGAAGAAAGGATTCCGCTTACAGACTCAGAACAGCAGCTTCTAGTGGAGATGGCTGGACAAAAGCGGCTGCCAATGGGTTCGCGACGTATGTGTCCTTTGCCGTCTCCCGGAATATTCTCATCGCTGCAAGCATTCTCATAACACGCCCTGTCATGCTCGTCAGAGACAGACCAGTAGGAGAAAGCTACAAGACCGTAACATACACACGAGTTCGCGGTCGATGGAAACTCCATTCGCTAATTGATCGATAGTGATGGGTCCTCCAGCCGCGACTCCTTTTTCCAGCAGTTTCATGTCAACGGCCAATCGAAGTGCTGTGCCTTGTTGCGCCTGGTACCTTGTTAGCAACGGGCTGTGTACGAGCTGGTAAGAAGGGCGAACACACGCCTAACATCAATCGTAGCATTGCTTCCATAGGATTCTCAAGGGTCGCTTGCAGTTTGAAACATGCTTCTAAACATGCCAGCCTGTCTTCCTCCTTCAGATCCGCGGGAGGAGATTCGGCGGCGGCGTTGAGGGTGCTGAGCAGTCTTGACGTCTCCATTGTGCTGAATGGCTCAATCACTGAAGAAACTGTGCAGAATGGCGTTTGATATTGAAAAAAAGGTTGCGGTGCTCAGCCGTGACTTCTCTTTTTATCTCGATTCCTCGCGAGGAAGGCGCAAGTGTTACGAATGATGAAGTACAACACCACGCCGCTTCTTAGCAGCTCGTGGCTGAGACCACCTCCCCCTCTGACTCTGTTGGCTTTCCCAACGACGCGGTAACATAGGACAATCCGCGAAAAAGGCAAACGCGGTAGATAAAGGAGCTACGCCCCAGTAGGAGGAAAATCACGCACACCTCCATCACCACCCGACACCTTGAGCTTCGATTCTCTGTGGGGCATGGGAAAAAGAGGAACCCTGGAAAGCTGCTGATTCCCGAAGATGCGGTTTGCTTTTGGGGGAATCAAAAGACCTATTAGGTTCGAGGAGAATGAGGAACTGAAGCCCTATGCTTGGACTGCTTATCCGTGTCTTTGTGTGTACTCCCCGAAACAAGTTGTAAATCAGCTGCACGTAAGCGGTGGAGATGCTTGGTATGACCACTGATCGGTGGGTTTGCAATAAATTTTTACTAGCTCTGTCTTGGTAAATAAGTATTATTCGTACTTTTGCGGGCTGAGTGTTGAGCGCGGAGGTGCTTACCCCCCGTTTCGTGTTGGCTCTTGTGTTATTCGTTCTGGTGGTCAAGGTCAGGGCATCGAACTGGTTCATAGACACATTTCGCTAATACATACTGAAATCAGTACAACTTGACAGTTGCAGATAATCAGCTCTCTTGCTAAGTTGTCGCCGCTATACCACAAGTGCTAACCTGATCGACCGACTCTTCACCCAGAGATGACACTTCGCACGAATCGTGTACGATTAACAGTCTGTTTTTATCCCGTTCGCGCCAAAGTTTAGCCCCTTCATCATCGCCCTCTACAGTCGTTGTATCTCCACTAAGCTTCTTATATGACCCCAAGATCGTTCTGAATCCTGATCTGTCACTACAATGGATGCGGCAGTCCTTCTTGACGCATCAAGCGGTTTACTGGATGTGAAGTAATCGTAAAGTGGTTTGACAGTGGGCACTGAGCCACAAACAATAACCAACGTTTGCTCGATTCTATGTATGGTGGGCGTTCAGTAACCATGTAGACAACATCGAAACATTGGTGGTTTTCACAAACCCATTGATATATGACGAGGATCAGCGTACAATCACCGCCAACCGCCAACCACCCGCTCTCTTCAGACGTAAGATGATTTCAGGTCACTCGTTGATTTGTCCTTATTCTAATCTTGTCGCGGCTTTTTTGGGAGGTTCGGATTCGGTAACTAGGCTCTTTCCTCACACATTTACGTACGTATGCGAAGTTGGACCATGAGATTGACGTGTGGAGTGGAAGCTTCGTATGGCATGCAATATGCGTAGAAACAAAACTAGTACCTGATGCTGCACGGAAATGCCTCGGATAGAGCTCACACTAAGTAAACGTGACAAGATTGGAAAAACACGGAAATGGGGGCTAGATAGAATGTATAAATCAAAAAGAGAAGAAGATGATGGAGGGGAAGAGATAAAAAGACAGCACGTAGATTTCCTTTGCTTTGCTAACCTCAACATGTGTGGACTGTGATGGTGGGCGACGAGTGTGAGAGTGAGAGAGAGAACTGGGTATATAGCTGTCCAAGTTTGAAAAAGAGAAAAAAGGAAAAAGCACACTGATTCATCGTGGATGCTGTGCCGACCGCCAGTCACCAAATCAACAACAGAACTGTGAAGGAGAACTGCCATCTTCCGTCTCCTTCTACTCGTGATTGCAACGTAAAAAGAGAAATGCCATAATCATATCTTTCTTCGAATGGTGAACTTCTGTTTGGTGGTAGCAGACGGAAGTGCCTCGGCGAATCGATCGCGTGCTGTGGATATGGTTAGTTTCCTGAACATATTTCCAGATGACGTCAAAGGCGGGATATAGAGGCGGAACTTACTTTCAGCGCTATCGAATCCGATAAGCACATCGTCGTGCTCGCCGGGATACTCAATCTGATCCAAGCAGACGAATCTTCGTTTGGTACCAGCCCATCCTGTCAATCTACCTTCTTCTTTACCCATTTTACCCTCGCCCCTGCGCTCCTCCACTGGCAAGGCGAATTTGCAATCCACCATTCTCAGTGAAGGTTTACCACCCTTGTCCGATTTTTCGTAGGTGTCTGTGACCCTCAGTTGGAAATTCATTGCATCGGCATGCGAGAAGTTCTCGAAAAAGGCAAGGAGCTGGATGATGTTGTCTTGCTCCACAATCTGTATGCGGATCTGGTTCGCGGTCCATTGTTTATAAATGGGAACAACCATGCGGCGGCGTGAGATGGAGAACGTAGAAGCCATACTAGTTACCGTTAGCGTCAATTGTCGAACAGCAGTGTTGTCGGGTGGCCGTGGTGGAATCGTATGCGCACTTACCCATCAAAAATGACCTTGAAGCCCGTCACAGCAAATTGGAATGCATGCAAATCACCAAAAGAGTTGAAAGCCAACCTTCTTATGGTGCTTGTTCTCATAAGTGTTCTTAGCATTTCCGCCAACGCCTCCGGTACGTCCTGTTCCGAGCGAGTGAAGTCTATAGCAACGGCCATATCATGCTGCGGTTCGCGAAGGAGTGTGAGCTCAGCCGCACCGTCCGTAGGCAGACGCACGAGCAACTCGCCGGTATCTAGTCGAGCGTTAGCAATGTTTGATCTCACACCCTATACTTTGATATTGACGCACCAAGATTCATGCGGTCGGAAAAAACACCGGCGCTGTGACGACACAAAATCCTCAGACTCTCGCTCATCACTGTGGGCGCAGATTCCAAGCCTGCTTCCTCTGGATCCTGGTTGTACGTCTTTGCTTCGACCCACTGTAGCCTTTTGAGCACTTCTTTCCAGCCTTGACTGAAGCCATCTGCGGCATCTGCGCTCTCAATGGTGAAGCTTTTGAGCGGCACTTGAGCAAACACCATTTCACCCGCGCCGATGTTCATCGATGTGAGAAGGCCGAATATATGATTCCGTTCCTTCGGATCGTTGAATACTAGATGCATGCTGCAGACCTTGGATTTGTTGTCTGCCATTTCCTCTCGTATCCGGAAGGTCATGGCTGGGGCCTGGTCCGGCTCGGTTGCGTATGAAAATTTCAGGGGATCTTGCGTAGTTCCAAACTCGTGGTTGGCGAAACTCACTGTCCGGTTCATTGGGTGCGTGACCAGGACCACACGATACCCGCGGTGTAGCTTCCTTTTGCCTGTGCCCTCGCTGCTTACATCGAATTTCTCGAAAACATACAGCTTGCATGGCCGTACGCGGTCTGGAGGGAATGCGCCGGGATTGGCGGGATCCTTGTAAGCAGCCTCACGTAGAATGATCTTACTCGATAGACGCTCATCATTTCGTTCACGAATATGCGTTTCGATTCGGTTTGTGTGATCCACGATACTCCAGAGAGCACGGAAGTCGGATTCAGCCGTGTCTACGTTGAGAACATAGCCGTGCCGTAGCTGGACACTGAAGCCCTGGCCTTTGGATCTCCAGTGCACGTCTCTCCACGTCGGACCCGCATCTGGATTGGGCCCGACAACAAGATTGATAAGCTCAGTCTGACTGCAAATGACGATTTTGACCTTGAAGTCTTCTCGGGATCGGAACACCGTGATCACTGCAGGAAGCGGTTGGCGATCGTTGTTGGGATCATCGGTGGACAAGGAGGTGTTGACAAACATCCGGAAGTAAGTGAAATCGGACTTGGTATCCGAGATGGGAATGTACATTGCTGCATTGATGTATTGTGATCCGCTTGCGAGAATCGATTTCCCGGCGGTGCCCGACAACACGCTGGCCACGTCTGGAGCAAAGTTGGGATACATTTCCCACAAGTCTTGGTGCTGCCCCTGCATGAGAGCTTGCGTAGGAGGCATACTATTGTTCCTTTGCATAGACCCCAACAGAAGTTTCATGGAAGAGATGATGGCGTCACGTGCCTCGTACGTGTCTGCACTGGAGTTGTCCCCTTGCTCGCGAGCAGATCTCGCCTGCATGTCTGCCGACTGCCCAGCATACCTGCCTAGTGCAGGATGTTCCTGCAGAACCTCGTTCAATACCCACCAGGCTTTGGCGAGATCGACGTGCGGCTGGGTAAGTCTTTCGGGTTGGGGCTCTGCTGTCTTGGGGCGACTTCTGATTTGTACTTCCATTCCAGACCGACCCTTGAGGAACCACCAAATTGCTACCCGCACCCACTCCATTGGCGCATGGCTGTATATTTGCCCATTCAATTGGGCCGTCAGCTCAAAAACACCTCGCATATGCTCGATCCGTGCGGCAAAGTCCTTGTATGCAACGTTGGCTTGCATCTTTGTGTCTGAACGAGCGAGCATTCCAGAAGGCTTGGGGGGTGCCGGTGCGGATACTGGAGCTTGTGGCTGTAGCTGTGGTGGCAGTTGGTGTTGCGGTTGACGTTCTGTTTGGGGCGTTGATGTGGTGACCGTACCTCGCTCGAATTGTGGTGGGGTCGGGACAATGGACGACTGACTGAGAGGGGTAAATGTGTGTTTTTCTGAATGCGCCGAGTTCGTGGTCCCAGCGGAAGCTGGCTCTGAAGGGCCATTGGAGGCGGTGATTTTGCGCAAAGCGGAAGCAGCTGATGGAATGGACGAATACGCAGAAGACCCAGCAGACGGCGGTCTGGGATCCGTGTCCAACGGGGCCGTGCCTGGAGGCATAGGGCTTCGGGCGGGTGACGGATCGGGCCGGGCTCGTGAACGCTGGGGGTCCTCTGCCTCTAGAGCATGCTGCAGTGGGTTATATTGTTGCTGCGGCGAGCCAACTGTTTGATAAGAAGGATCACGCGACAGCATTCTGGGTGGTGTCTTCCCCGCGGCCAATGTGTTGACGGACGATGGCGGAGTGCCCACCTGGAAAGCACTCGAATGTACCGAGCTAGTTTGAAGCGAGCCGTTGCTGGAATCGGAATCGCGCCTTGCGTCCTGGTGAGCAGCTCTGTAGGCAGCTTCGTGGAGTGCCTTGCCTTCTTCTGCTCGCATGTTGTGGATGTACCTAGCGGAGAAGGAATTGGGATCTTTTGGTTCACTTTTGAGATATTGCTCCACAAGTAACGATTTGGCCTCGGTTGGTGAATCGTCCGTTTCGTTGGAAGCAAACCGGGACATGGATGACGGCAACGATGGGGGATACTCAGCGCTGGATTCCGCGGTACTGTACGCACTGTACCCCGTCTGAGAGCGACTAAGAGGCTGGGGCGAGAATTCCTCGTCCTCTTCCTGAGTTGGTGGTAGATCAGGCACTCTCCTTGTCAAGACTGGGGACGTGTTTTCGGAGTCATGAGACTGGATCGAATCCATACTGGGCCGCCGCTGCGAAACGGGCGTCTCAATCTCGCCGACATCGAAGCCAGTGGGGACTCTGGAGAGGGGTTTGGGACGTCCACCCAAGCCCATTGAACCCAGGCGTGGTTCGGGCGGCTCGGGCGGCTGGGTGTGGGTGTTTATGCTGCCCAGCTCCAGCTTCTGGCGGAGGGGTGGGGATAGCTCGCCGCCCGAGGTGAGGGTTCTCGTTACCGTGCCTCTCTTTGCAGCTTCTTGATTGAGGCTCTGCATACCATCATTGAAGGTGGGGGTGCGCGTGCCGAGAGAGATGTCATCCTGGTGAGTCTGAGCAGACACCTTGTCCACGTCAGACAGGCTGTTTGACTTTTTGCGTTTATAGACCTCAATTGAGGGATCCTCGCATTCGTCGCCTCCCTCGCCGATGACATCAGGCTGTGTGCGTACGAAGCTCACTGTGAGCCCCTTTTTACGGCCAGTCGCCGTCTTCAGACCGCCTATGCCGGGGCTTTTCCCCAGACCACTGTTGATTATAGCGTGGGCGGATGGCCAACGTTGTGCGGCGGCGGTGTCGATTCGCGGTGTATTGGCGGACTGCAGGAAGATACTGGCGGCAGCATCCTTGTGGGCCTGGGCCCTTTCGGTCGAGGGTTTGAGGAAGGCATTGACGTCGTCGTCGAGTTTGAACGAGGGTTGTGCCTTTGGCTTAGGGTCTTTGGGTGGGGCATCTTCCTCCTTGGAAAAGATCTTGGTTCGCCAACGATGCTTGTGTGCAGCCTTGCCGCCGTCTGCCGTGTCGACCATTGGGCTGGTTTCCCCGCAATGTGGGGAGAGAGTGCGTGTGTTTGCGAGAGTGTGAAGTTGAGGAGAGCTGGGGACAACGGGTACGGCGGGGTGGTGGTGTTGTCGGTAGGTACGTGGGTGTGTGTATTCGCTGCAGGTGCTTGTGTACTAGGTAGGAAGGTGGGTGGGTGGAAGTGTGGAAATGGGATTAGAGTGGCAGACACGCGACGTTTTCTTGACGAGAAAAGAAGAAAGGGTTCAATTAACGAGGTTAGCCAGGTAGGAGGTAAGTAGCGAGGAAAGGCAAGGCGACGGCGACCTCTAACGGCGGGAGGGCATAACTGAAACGGCAGGGCAACACAGGTAGGCTGGTGACAGCAGCAGGAGGAGACGAGTTGCAGGGATGTAGGTGGTAGTGGTGGGGGTAAGTGAGTAAGTGGCCCTCCAAAGCATGCACCAGCAGAAGGAGGTATGATTAAGGACGGCAACAATAGGAGAGAGTGAGCGTGTGAATGGAGGAGGCAGAGAAGGAGAATAGGAAGACGTTGCGAACGGGAGAAGGGTGGTCAAGTCGGCTGGCTGGCTGGCTGGCTGGATTGGGTTCCACGCTCAGGGACAGCGACGGACTGTTATCGTGCGTGAGAGGCAGAGGCAGAGTGAGCGACAGGAAGGGTAGCGGCGCGACATTCGACCCTGACGTTAGATAGACGCCACCAGCCCGCTAGCAGGCAGTAGCTGTAAGTAATGAATCCTCGGGGCAGCGCGCTTACGTTTGACGCTTGACACCAACGGCCGCCCCTGATACGTGGAGGCGGGCAGCCGTAGACAGCATCAGTCCAATCAACACGACGTAAGGTTACGCTGCACGACTACATGTCTAGGTATGTAATGACTACAAGGCGGATGAATACGCAATGCTAAGCAAAGTATTGTTAATTACTTCACCCAGGTAGCACCGAATCACATGCCCTCCTTCCCTGTACGTTCAACCCCTCCTCTCCTCTATCCCCCCTCCACTCCACTCCACTCCACCACTGTCCCGCCCTCGGTCTGCTCTGCGAGATCTCCCCAACGCCAATCTGCGGTACCTACGACGCTTGTGTGTATCATCATTTCCTTGCCATTGTCGTTCCGTGCCCGACTATGGTTTGAACTCGGTCGCCGACAGTCATTTCGATTGCGGGTGCCTGCACTGTACAGCAGATATGCATGCACACGGTACATGGATATATGCATGAGAGAAGAGAGGGCACGCAGACGGTAGCGTATGTGAGGAGAGCAGCGGCAGCCTGTACCTGTGCCTGTAGTCAGCTCGCCCCAGGGAAAAGGATCCACGGTACTGTCCATGTAGCTACTGTTACTGTGTATTCCCATACATGCACGTATAGCGTACCACTCGCTTATTGCCAACAATGTCCGTCTAGATTTAATCACCGTTTGCCTTGTTCCTCATCATCATCCTCGCCGCTCTTGGTGTTGTTGCTGCTGCTGCTGCTGCTGCTGCTGTTGGTTCTGTTGGCTCTGTTGCTATTTCAAGAAGCCTTCGCCGCAATCGATGAAATGTCTTTGCAACCCATGATGATGATGATGATAGTCATGAGTTATTAGCCATCTCATCCCACCCAACATTCCTAGGGTATGCCCAAACTCAATGGCCAAAATAGTAACTCGGACTAGTGGTGCTGATGCCCGAGAGCCCCACCACACTACTCGATGTTTCACAGCCAGTCAGCCAGCCTCGTAAAGTCCATGTATGACAGCCAGCCCGGTCCCGGCCAACACTCCCATTTCCCCTTTTTGACAGCGACGCCAGCGGTGGTGTACTCGGCTGCAAAACATCGGCCGTCGGTCGACATTGATATATATACCTATATATCAGCGTGTATGGCAGACGTGACGAATCCGATCCGAGGGCGGCGAAGAATGCAGATGACGAGGCAAGGAAATGAAGGATCAAGACAGCGCCGATCGTCACCCGTGCCCCAAGCACCGTCTGGCGGGCAACAATGCAAATCATCATCTGTATCTACGCATGTACGTATGCCCTGCGCAGGGTTGAAGGCTGAAGATTTCAAAAGCAAAGAATCCCCCCCATTGCCTATTTGGTAGCAGCGAGCATTCCAGAAAAGCGGGATGACGGGCGGGAAGGGGAAGCTCCACGTGGTGATTCGTCGGCCCAGTGATCGATCCACCCTCCCCAGCTCTGATACGCACTTGTCCAGATCAACCTCTGTCTCCCCCAAAGCTTCTTCCTTCTGTCGTCGTGGCATCACTTCTCCATCTCTTGACGCCAGGCACCGACAGAATCAGAACAATAGCGTTTGCCTGTTACCAAACTGTGTCCAGCCCGCGGCGTCAGGTCCGGCCAGTAGTCCGCAGTTAGCCCCCTCCCGGTGCCTGTCTGTCCTGTCGACTAACTATCCACTACCCGAGCACCTATGTACGCACTATAGCATAGTACATACAGTATACGAACATGAGCTCACTGTCTCCTTTGCGAGGCGACACAGAGTTGAGTTGGCCGTGACACAGCAAAAGCAAAAGCAACATCTTCGGCGCCTTTCCGACGTCGCAGCAAACCCCCGCAGCCTGTGGTATCGTGGCCACAGTACAATGGGTGTTCGCACAAGCGCGAACGAGTGCAACTCCGGTACCCGTTCACGCCATGCTGTAGGTGCCCGCAAGACGCCCAAATCGCCTTGCCCGGGGAAGCCCACATTACCCTGAATACATGTACCCATCTCTCAGCGCCATCCGTACGCAGCATCAACTGTTTGTTGTCCTGAAGCCAAAACCGTGTGTTGTATTATTGTGCCTGTATCGCGTATCGTGTAGTGCCTAGCTTGCTTGGAAAATAGCTGCGTCTCTGCCATGTACTAGATAGCTACCTACCTACCTAGATGACGAAACAAGTCCGTGCAGCGGCAATTCTTCCAAACTTGCTCCATCATCCGTCCACCCTCTCTTCTTTTCACGACGAATATCTTTCACCACCACTCCATTGCTACCGCCATGCAACGCCCGCCAACCTATCACTGACGTTGAACGAGTCTGCAATCCTGCAATCCCAACACACCAATCAACGCACCAAGCCATCTCTGCCCAGGCCACCTGCTGCATCGAAGCGACCTGCTGCTTTCGACTACTACCCCCAACCACCCACGTCCACCACACACACACAGACATAGAGTACATTCACACACAATCAAACCTGCCTAGGTGCCTTTCTATACCCACCGTCACGAGACTGCGGGGATCTGCCTGAGCTCATCTTGGCCTTGCACCCCCATCTGCATCGCACCGCGCCTCCATCCATCGCACCCTCTCTCCATCACCAATACTGAAACTCGGCTGAGGGCTACCTGCGTCACCACCCGTCTACCACCTAAACCCGAACCACGCCCCGAAGGCGTGCGCGAACCGTGGCTTTATCGCATCCAGAATCTCCATCTCATCCTCGCATGCTTATGCGCCCGCCTTTTTCGCGCTCATAGGGCATGGCGCCTTGAAGCTATTTGAACCCGTGTAGCTCATTCCGGTTCCCATTCTACGGCTGACTGGCGACGGACATTTGGCATCTTGGACTGGATGAAGATTCGCCGTCCAAAGAGCCATCATTTAACGTCGTATCCGTCCGAGCATGTCAGAACCGCTTTTGGCACATTCGCGGCTTGTATCTTCCCAGCTATCCGCCGACCAACCTTCACACGGCCCGTCTCCCCACAGTGATCGCATAGCGATGCCATCTACCAAGTCACACCACCAGACCGTATCCTCGACCGCAACCAAACCCAGCGATCCGCATGCGAGTAGTCAAGAAACCACGCTGCTTGCATCGTCGGACCCCGCAACAGAAGCAGACAGTGGCCTTCCGCCCACCCCTCCCTCCAATTCGCATGACACAATTCCTCCAGCTCAGTTTAGCCCTCCGCCACATGTAGATGGAGTAGTATCGTCGCTGCTGTCCAATAAACCGTCCACGAGTACCCCCGTGAACCAACGCAGTCCTCCAACTCCCGATCCCAGCCCTCCCCGTACCAACACCTCCCGCTCCATGCCGACGAGTACTCCCGAGCGCCCCGTATTATTCGGATATCCCTCGTCCAGGGCCGAGTCGTTCAAAACGGCTAGGGAGGATCCTTTCACGACCGAAGAAAGCAGCCGGTCCACGACCCCGTTCCAGACGCCATGGAATGGTTTAGGGGAAGACCAAGGACTGGGTTTGGCTTTCGAGCGCGACGATGGTGACCAAGAGATCACGCCCCGGAACACGATCCATGAGGTCGCATCCGAAGATGAGGCGAGCAGTAGCGGCAGTATCATTAGAGATGGCAGGGGTGCCCTAGACGTGGATCAAATACCAAATCGGGAGTGGAACACAGAATTGATGAGAAATGTGACCGTTCGCAAGAAACGGAACCCGAGGCCAGCCTTCACCACACCCCCCAAGCAAATACAAGCTTCATCGCCCCCCGTGTCTCCTACCAACGCGTCTAAATCGCGCCGAAGCACCAGCTTGCGCGAGCGTGTCGAGGCCAGTAGGAACAGTCCTCACACACCATCGATCGAAAACTTTGCCAAATCTATTGGGTGGCCAGCCGAAGGCCAAGCTGACGTTCTCCCCGAATCCGCAGACGCAGATGTAGACGCAGAGCAGAAACGCATGTCCACATCGTCAATGTCTTCGGCGGTAGTGGAAGCTGTGGTCATTGTGACACCGCCGCAAAGACAACGATCTCTGCGCCATTCGGGACGGAACCTAGCATACGCACGGAATATGAGCTCGCCTGCGGAACTGAGTTCGAGGACGCCTTCGAACCGAAGTTCCATGCAATCGGACAAGATCCCGCTCCACAAGCTAGTCCACAAGAGAGCAGACATCTATGATAGGAGAAGCCGCACCAGCATTGATTCTGGGTCCTTGAGCTATCGAACAGAATCTCCGCTTTTGGTCGAAAAGCGCAGGCAAGAAAGTGCTGCCTCTACTCTAGCCCATCAAAGGTCGGTTCGGGAAGTTCTGCAGCCAGCAGCGGAAGTAGTGAGTCGATCAAACTCTATACGCAGCGCATATACAGGAGCTTCTCATAAGAGAAACTCCTCGGCACCTGAACCTGTGCTGAGGAGGGAGACGGCATCCCCCAATCTCCGCGGATCTAGGGAAGATATATTGTCTCCAAACAATCACAGTCCGAGAAGGCATCGCAAGCCACCGCCGTCTAGGTTAGCTCACACACAAACAGCGTCGCCGACCCGCGTTGCCAATCCAGAGGTGTTGTCTCCTGTGTCACCTGTGGATATATCGCCAGCGACCAAGAGGTTGAGAGAGTTGGACGATCCTTTCAACATCAACAAGTCTTTACCTGCGCTTCCCGTGGTGCCAAGTCCTAGACCAGCAAGGGCTCTTGATCTATCCCCAGGAGGGTCCTCGGTCAAGAAGGATAGAGTAGAAGGAGATCATAATTCCCCAGCTCTTGCTGAAAGGGTGCGGCTTCTACTGGCAGAGAAACAGGGAGGAGGGCTAGCCGTGGATCAATCTCAGCATATCGAGGAGCATCGAAAGACGCGAACACCTTCCACGGATACAGTTCCCACCGTTCGGCGTGGCTCTGCGTCCACACGCGGGCGGTCCGAAGAACGAAGACGCAGTTCGACTAGCCAAGATCGAGGTTCGACCTCACGCGATACTCTCCGTCCCAGTTTGGATCGTATCCCAACTGAAGAGTTGCCTCGTACGAGCCATGAATGGCGATCATTTCACACGGACGAGCATGGGCGTGTGAGCTTTGACAGATCGATCTCGAGAACAGAAGAGCATGCCATGGCACGCCATCTCTTCGCGCAAACCACCCCATTCTCGCAGATCTCTGACACTCCCATCGAAGTCAGTGAGGCCACGGCTGTCAGCATTTACCCTCACAACAATAACTCTCTCCTTGTTGTCCAACAGTTCCCTCGCTCAAGTCTGCAGCCCCCTGAGCGACCACAGCTGCTGGAAGGAATACATTTTGGCTCTCCAAGAATCGAAGAGGACGGTCCATTGACACCACCTTTCGTTGACGCCAAAGAAACGTTCAATGATCCACCTCCTCAGCCTACATTGACGTTTGAACCTTCAACTCCTCCCATGCAGATTGAGCTTCCCAATCCCATCGTTGTCGATTCTCCGCTCAAAAACCCCCGTCAACCTCCAGAGCCCCCGGTCATTAAATTCATTCCCCCCACGCCGGCCGAAGAATTAGAACGGCAGCTTCCACCTGGGCCACCGAAACGTTCCGACTCCCATCCACAACGTCGCCTATCTCTGAAGCAACGTGCACGTCGCTATTCCGACAACTTCATCACACCTTTCCTTAGTCGTGCGAACAGTATGCGTGGCCGCCGTGTTAGTGAGTCGCATACCAGGCATCCTCAGGTACCGTCTGTCAATGATGACGATAACGCTCTGCATCCTTTCTGGCGACCCCGCGGTTTCTGGGACGGCTTTGACGACAGCGATTCCGAAAGTGACGACGGTTACCTTCCCCGAGGAGGTGATACAAGCGATGTCGAAGACGCCGAACCAGAGCCTGCTTCACCACGCAACATTCGTGCAATAAGCCGTCGACTGAACAGCATCCGGAGAGGATCCTCGGGTGGATTCCTCATCGGCAACTCTCTTGGTGTCGAACGCTCAGGAACCAACCGAAGACGGCCTCAAATCACGCTCCCATCGACTCGTCTCCGCCCTCTCCCCCGTCTCAACCACAAACCATCCGCTCCTAAAATCATGATTCAGCCGCCTACACAGCCTCTAGGTTCTCACGCACAACGCATCCAGAAGTACTCCTCTCACAGCAGTCTTCAATCTTCGGCTAGCTCTTCGCAGCAACGGCGAGATCGCCGTGACACATGGCGCAAGGGCAAGAAGATCCCTGGTCTCAAGGGCTATCAAGTTCAATACATTGGGCTGAGTGGCGTCCGAGAGCGCATGCGAGAAAGGAAAGCCGAGAGGAGACGAGAGCAGCTGAGACGGAGTATCGGTGGGCGTTGGTATGTTGAGCCCGGTAGTGCTGCGTTGGGTGCTGCCCCTGCTCCTGCTGTTACCGCGTCGACATCCAACGAGCGCGGGGCTAGCTCCGGTGATGTTTTGTAATTCTTTTTGACGATGGATTGATTGATTGATTTACAGTTTGATTCCCCCCGACCTTTCGTATCAATGAGATGTTTTATATGCTACGCGTCCCCCTTTTTTTGCCTCAACCTTTTGTTTTCTCATCTTGCGTTGGAACGATTTTTGTTTCTCTCCTCCTTATTCCCCCGTCGTTCCTCACTTCTCTTCCGCTTGTCTTACATCTTGAAAGCGCACCAGCGTTACTCTTTCCCCCCTTTTTTCATCTTCTTCTGATTACGATACATTGACGAACACGAGATATCCCCATAAAGCTAGTCTGTACCTTCCCTATTATCCTTGCTTTTCCCCTTGAGTGCGGAGAACGTAACGATAACGATTTTTTCTTCTTTGTTGGAGTAGCGTGTGGTTTCTATCCCACAGCTTTGCATACCCTTTTTACCTTTTTTATCTGCTCCTTCTCTTCGTGTTGGCCTAGCGTAGCGTGGCGTGGCGTTCCGGGAGAGTGAGTGTTAGTCGTAGCTTTTTTCTTCTTCTTCGTGGTGTGATGGTGGGGGTGGGGGGGGGGAGAGGGGACCGTGAGGTAAGCAGGCGTTGTATATTCTTCTTTTTCCTCCCATTTTCTTTTCGCTCGTCATGATGAAAAGACGAAGAATGATTCATGTAGCCTCTGTAATAATAAAACTAGTAAACTATGTCGATTGGTCGGATTCTTCTTCTCTTGAATGTGTCTTCAAAATCCTCGTGATTAAGGGTGTATTAGCACGCTCGAGAAAATCTTTAATCAACAACCGAGCTTCAACCAACCTTTTGATGACTACCTGACTTACCTATCGGAACATAACGAATGGTCACTCTAATAGCTGGTTGCGTACACTTTCTACCATCAAAGTCCAGTTGGCGTCCAGGTTTCAGTAGTGTTTCGAAAGAGCAAATAACACTGCTTATCCCCAAAGGGGACCACAAGCGATTTTTTTGTAGCAGATGAACAACAGAAACGAGAGAACAGGAAGATTTCCGAGCATTGCCAAAGGATAGAAGATCCCTTGCAGAAATCAATGAGTAGCCAGAACCACAGCAGAAAGAATGCGATATTCGCAACACCGTAGCCGAAAATGAGCAACGACACATCAAACGTCTCTGCTCGTCAACTTAGCGACAAAGAAGAATAAAACACAGCATGATATATGCGCTAACTAGTGTAACCCAAGAAACGACTGATTCGTTATTAATGCCATCTCTTTTTTCCCACTTTACCTCCATTTCTATGCTTTCCATCCAACTTTCCCTCTCCTTGTTTACCTTTCTCACAGAGCCACTTTCCCGTCCGCGCACGATTTCGAGAAGAGCCAAGAAGTATTAGGCATCGTTTTCCGGCTTTAAGTTGATCCAATACCCGTTGCCATCATCCCGTGAGAGGAAAAGACAAGAGCCTGAGGCATGAGTGCTTATCCGGGTCGTGACCCCACGATTATGCCGTGCAGATGGGAAGATCCCATTCACTGCAGTCATCCCGTACGGATCTCTGGAAATATATCGTCCCGGACCGACGATGGAATTTTGCATCAATCATCTGCTTACCCGCTGTGGGGACAAGCAAAGCTGTTATGCCATACGATCGGCTTTTCCTTTCTCGACGAGGATGCGAGATCCAAGCTGGTAGCCGCGATATATCGTGGCGACGGCATGATCGACGACGACCCTGGCCCCATACTATGGCATAGGTCTATGCCATTGTGTGCCGTCATTTTTTTTTTCGCCCGTCCACTACGTCTTCCAGAGTTGTTCACCGCTATATCAGACAATGTTGTGGTTTTCTTGGCTTTCAAAGCCTTGCATGCTTCACCGCTTATCACCGGCTCATTTTATGATATAGCAGCCACTGTTGCTTTGAGCGCTCCGTATGGCGGCCGCTGACGTCGGATGGGGAGATGCCGTCATCGCTGAAGAGATATCTGTTGGAGGGAGATTCGAGGGGGTCGAGGTGTTGGCGGCGAGAGATTTACTTCGAGCTCGTGTATTGAGGGCTTAACGGTATAGCATGACGATAACGATAGCGCTGATTGATCCAGCGCTTCTGAATGGAATTCTGGAGTGAGTCATGTTCAGCGAAAGTACCCGCAGTTGGACAAAAGAGTGAGCAAACTTGATGGAGATGTCAAGGCACTTGCTAACGGTCGCAGATTGATTGAACGGCGGTAGAGGTACACTGGAGCCAAACGTAGTATACCCACTATAGTTTCGGAACAGATGCGCCGTCTTCGCTTGGTGCTGAAAGAGCAGGTGTAGCGAAATGAAGAGGTGAACACTCGAGTCGTAGCAGCTCAAGTGTGCAACTCCATACCGTCTTCGACGCGGAGTATAGCTACGTTATCACTGCTCATGGTTTCTGTGGAGGTCATCAAGGTGGAGAGCAAAGTAAGGTGAGATTGAGTAATACTAAGGCAAGTGCTATACGCCAGGCAGCTGTTGGGGAAAGCGCAAGCACATGTTCCTGCCACCCGTGCTGTCGCCCACCCTCCCACTGTCCTTCCACAATGCGGCGGCTCCTACGCACCAAGTCGCCACATATCGTGTTATTGTTATGACCCACCTACCAGGAGCCTTCAACAATATTGCCATCCTCAGTCGCATATAGACAGGCAGGCGATGGTCCTCCAGCGTCTCCACGCCAATTATCAGGGCTGTTGCTAGTGCTTCGTTCGATACGACACTCAGGATTCTGGTCGTTGCTGCAGCTTGCCGATATAACTGACAGAAATACAGACAAGGAGCAGGGCCTTCACTCTAACCGCTGGGAACGAGCTCACCGTTTCCCAGCCGCCTTCCAATGCTGGTTGTTACAGTGCGTCTTCAATATCACAGTGGGTTATCATTGGCTTTCTCCATTATGGCGAGAAGATATTAAGATTCACACCCTTGATGGCAATATCACGCCTGATAATGATCCCCGCGTGCTCATCCGGTCGCTATCCCTGGCATACCACCAACTCAGGCCGTCAGCTTGGCCAGCTGCGGGCACGGCCACCACCCTCACAGTCTTCTGCTTACTCGCGGTTCTCTCCGGCATCATTGCATATGCAGAGATGTACACGGTCGACTAGGATAACCTGGACTCTGCGCTTGAGAGGGTGTCTACCGTTGAGACGTGGAGCAAGAACCAACGGCCGTGCAGCCCGCTTCGACGGTTGCAGTGGAGTACGTCCCGCCATATCCACTTGCTTTGTGAACTCAGTCAGAGGCTTCCTCTTAATCTAAATGAAGTCACTATATGTGGCTTTTGAGAAGACCCGCACTGGCTTCGGTCAAGCCGACTCGTCGATGAACCCACTTCCTCGCTGCTCTGTACTCATTCGACACGGACCGAGAGTGTAAACTTAAAATTGCATGAGCTGGAACCTGGGCTTGGGTATGCAGAGATACATCTATGTGCTTCTTGGTGTCGACAAACGTTATAGTACCTGGTGCATGAAAACGCACCTCAGTCTGGCTTACGACCTGCACGTTTACGCTATAGGTCAAGTGACTCATGAGTCTAGCAGTCTGTTCGCCCATGTGTTCGAAGTCAATACTACTTTGCTCGACCTCAGTTTTATTTCCACTTCTTACCTGAAAAGCACAGCCGAAATGATACAAGCATCAAACGGGTGGTCGTCCGGATTACCAACGCACCGAGTGTCCTGTTCAGGGTCAGTTCACAGTGACCTTGAATCATGTTCGTCCTATATCTGATCCTGTTAAAACATCCACCTAAATTCGGTCTCAGCTGTACCATTTCATGTTCTTTGGACATTCCATGAAGCACAGCATACGAATAGAGATGCAGTTTTTATCTCTTGGTCACTAAAGGATCCCTCATCTGTAATATACTTCGAGTAGAACTTTGCTGTAAGACTTGTGTGGATGTCGATAAAACCATAAAAGAGCCCTTCGCCATTTTTATCAGCTCCTGCCGCGATACTAAGTCCTCTCGTTTACCAATTTCTCATCGCCGCAAGCCATCCGCACATCAAAACCTTGCTTACATAATCACAACCCAACTACCACCTCGCAATGCAATTGCCTACTCAAGTCTAAAGTCATCCCAGGCGGTCTCAAACACAAGTCTGATAGAAAAGAACTGACCGACTAGAGTCGAGTTACTTGCCGCCGAAATCCTGAGGATGATGGCCTGCGACAGTTTATCTATTCGCCTGCGTCCCGTCTGCAAGTGTTCGCCGTCGCGTTTGTTTCATGCAAATTATAGTCTGATCCTGTGAGATTTTTTTCCCCTCCCGACTTTTACGAGTTTTCTTTGTAAACCAGAATCATGTTCTGTTCGGTAGATGCGTCAACTATGGAGTGATAACTCGTCCGTATAATCTCTCTTATTGCGTTTTACTGCGTAAAGGATTTCCTTGAAGTCAAGACGGAATGAATCCAAGTGGAGACGAAAAGAGAAAACACGGTTCAATTTGGATTTCGAAGGTATGAAGGATACATTCATATGCAAATTAGTTGTGTTCAAACATAGATCCACTACACAATTACTTGAATTCACTCAATACGTATTGACGAACTTTGTTAATCCCATGTTAAACAACACAACCCCAATCATCAATTTACACCAGAAGAAGAGATTAAAAGTTTTATACAAAGTCTACTGTCCCTCTATCGCTCTGTCTGTGTGTGTGTGTTCATTCTCTTGGATCAACGAATCGAACCACGAGGCTTTTGTACGTCAACATCAGAAAAGGCCTACGGGCCCTACCACCACCACCATCATCATCACCATCACCCATCCACAAAAGGTAATAATAGCCTCCTCCCCTCCAATCCGTTTCCATTCCATCGATCCCACGTGCCAGGAAAAAAATAACAATAAAAAGAATAAAGAAGAAATCAGCATCATCCCCAATCAAGCCACCGGAGCAAGCAGCGCCGGACCCTCCTCTCTCTCCCTCCCCTTCCCAATCCAGAGAGAAGCTACGCCATTATAGTGCGGGCCTCGGGGGAAGCGTCGCGCGCGCGCGCGGGCCAAGCAACATCGCAACGGCGGGGCGAGCGGGTCACAGGAGTGAGTTTCGCTATATTAGAGCGCACATATAGACGCGGTAGCACAGAGAGAACAGAGAGAAGAGAGAGTGCGAACGGAATATTCCGTTGAGGATTTGTGTCTGACTAAACGGAAAAAGATGTACTGTTTGTTTTACTGCTAGAGGGAATAGCGTGTGCTCGCTTGCGAAGGATGTTCGTGGGTTGATTTTGATTTTTTGGTTTGTGTGATGAGATGGTGGTCATGGGAGATTGTGGACTGACGATTGACATCTTTTTGGGCGTCGCGGTGGTTGGTTTCGGGAGTTGACGAGTCCTTTTATTTCGCTGTTAGCAAGATGAGATTGACAGCTGTTTTGTCTTATTGTGTCTATCTTTTATTTTTATTTTTCTTGGTTCGGTGCTATCCTGAGGATGATGGTCGTTATTGAGTTGATGTAGCGTCGCTAGATTGATGATGTGGTTGCGTTTAGCTTTAGCTGTCAAGCGCACGAACAGGCAAGATCGAGTGTCCCATATCTCACATCAACAAACCAAATGATTTATTTCTTCAGTAGAAAGCGGGCATTGGATCATGGAGCACACGAGCGAATACAGCACCATCAAGCGCGTCCGCCCAAAGACACCAAAACCCCAATCACATGCCTACAAACAGCCCATCACCACGAGTACCATAGCAAAAGTCATTTTTATTCACATCTCTTTTCCCCAATTCAAACCACGCCATATCTCACCCATGCCCCGCACCGTCCCGCACAGCAAAACGGTGAAAAAAGAGACCCTCGCCAGCATTCATACGCAAGCCACATTGACAACCCCCCTTCACCCCTTCATCGCATAAACTCCCCCCATCCTCGCCCTTGCAAGAGTACCCTAACAAAAAGATCACTGTATTATACATGTCTACCACGCTAGGATTTTCCCCTAGCCGAAAAGTTTATTGTGCATGTAGTTTGAGTACACGTCACTGCTAGTCTCCACTTCACCCCCATGTCTTATACATGTGTGTGTACATGGTGTTGCGCGAGGCGAAGGGAAGAAAGCGACTGGCAAGCGGGGGTGGGGAAGTAAAGTATGTCTTGTTTTGAGTATCGAGGCGAGCTCTTGCTTGTGGTGGCTGCTGGGGTCAGATGGAGGGGGAGGCGAGTGAGGGGTGATGAGGGGATGAATGTTAGAGGCCACTTGGGACGGGATGGAGGGTATGGTAAGCCTGGGTGAGTGGAATGATGTATTACTGTGGCGTGAGTTGTTGGGTATTCCATAGGGCGAGCGTTTCGTTGTTCTAGATCTATAAGGTGAGTAGTTCGTCTTGCAGTTCATCATGCATTATGTTTCTGCATCATCTGGGGCTGAGGGTGACAAGGAGGGAAGAGATTGATGAAGAAAGAGGCGTGTTTGGAGAGGTTTCTGCTGCGTTTGGTTATTGGCTTCCGCATTTGGTCCATGGACTCTCGTAGTGTTGAGAGGAAAGAGCTATCATACGCCGGGGATCATGGCAACATGTGCCTTTCTCCGCCATCTTCTTCGTTTAGAAGCGCGGCTCCATCGCTGAATCGAGATTGAGAAAATATTGCAAATCATTCTCTGGAGCCTACACGCGATGTGGGCGGTGAGCGGTAAGAATAGCACTCGCCACTCACGTCTTTCCAGGATCGAGTGGACTCCCAAGAAGTGAGGCACACGTGGCGATGAGAGGTTTCATATATTCGCCACTTCCACATCAGGAAGCATTCATAGGCGGAGAGAAATGTGAGGAGGCTGTACGTTTTATTGATTGTCGTTGTTGGATGTTGATCCGTGGTACTGGATTGTCGATCCTATGTTTCGAGTAAATTTTGTTGTTGGGATGTCTCTGGCAGGATGTTTCCGTAGGAAGGACAGGCAGTTGGACCTGTTCCTTCGGCATTCAGTTGTAGGGCATGGGGGAAGTACGATGCTGACCGGAGAATGGAGAAGGAGCAGGGCCGCAGACAAGCAAGGTCACAGACAGGCCGGTAAACACTGCGCTGTCATCAGCGACACGGTTAGCCATCCACACTGATACTCCTCGTCGATATCGTTTGCATCGCTGTCTTCGTTCCGAGACATGCGCATGGTGATTGCTGCATCGGTTGCGTTGTGGACTACAGCCACTGTAGCGAACCCATGGCCTGGTGAACAATACCCAAAATGTCGCCACTTTTCACCAATAGGAAAATCGGATCAACGAAAATTATGGGAGCATATGCACGTAAACGATCTGAAAAGAATGAATGCACGAGAGACTCGTTTGCCCGCGCCTCGGGGGGGCGGCCGTGGCTTATCCCACGGCTGGATTAGGATCGATGTACATATATCTCGACCGTTAAGAACTAGGACAGGCCTGTAACGAGAACGGTGGTCCGCAAAACAGGGATTTCCAACAAATGGCAACCAAAGATTTCAGAATTAACAGAGTAAATCGATGGCGCCAGCAGATTTTGAGCGGCAGAGGAAAAGTATTGATTGACATAGGAGGAAGTGTTCGTCGGCAAGCAGACGCAGGGCGCTTTTGAACGTTGGTGGTTTTCTGAGGTAGATCGCTTTGACCCTATAATACCGGCGAATTATAGGCACCAGCCTCCCGTCTGCCCGTCTGACTGGCTTTCATCTCCCTCATTCCAGCTGCGGAGGAAAAACCTACCCAGTACCTGCTGCGGTAAGCAATGGCTACGGATCAGGTATGCGCGAAAACCGGCCTTCCCCTTCTCCTCTCTCATCAGAAGCTTGAGCGCTTTTCTCCACATCCCGCCATCAAATTACAAAGCTCTTCACTCGTATCCGCATTTCGATATCATGTTATTTCCCAGAATTGGGTCAACACTACTGTTTATGGTCCCGCATCGGCTCCACTAGCATCGCTCTTTCGCAAGCAAGTATGCTGCACAGATCCTAGGTAACAATCACACCCGAGCCGTGGAATCCCTTCTAGAGGGGACCAAAAAGGGCCTACAACACACGAATGAGTACACACGTACGTGTACATGTATGTACGCTGGGAGCCGAAGCGACGTTAGGCAGCAACAGTAACCTCCATCGGTAAAGTCACCCTTGGCCTGGGTGACCAACTTACTCAATTGCCCTGCGCGCGTATCTCGTTGAGTTCTCTAGTAAACCTAGGCTCTTTTCAATCCGACCTAAGTCGTTTCGTTCGCTCTTCCCGCTCCATTTCTTTGAACTATCGATGACCCAAAAGAGTGGAAAGGCCGGACACAACTACTCAACGGTCGTCGTCCACCCTCTAAAGAGAAAGCGGGACAGAATGAGAGACTTGGTGTGTGGGGAGGGAGGGGTTGTCCCCTTGTACATATGAACCTAGTGTATATCAGCGGAGTAACCCTGCTCTGTTAAGATCGGAGGAGGGCGGGCCTGGTGGGCCCTTTCTTTCCCTTTCTCACTCTGTCCCCTTCCCTTCATCCTATCCCGTCCGTCCGTTCCTTCCTGGGTTCCCAGCTCGCGAGCGAGTAGGCAAGTACTTGCTAGCTAGCCGCGGAGTTCCTCGGCGAGTGCCGGTCGGGCGGTGGGAATTCTGGGTGGGTGGGTGAGCGGATCGCGTCATGCGCCAGTTTGTTCGTTTTCGCTGTTGGACTTGGGCGAGCGAGTGAGCAACGGCCTCTTTGATAGTTGGTGTGGAGAACGTGTCATTGAAATTGTACCGCCCGACTTCGGATCGAGCAAGGCCAGAAGAACGGAGCCGCCAGTTGCGTAACGGCGAAGGAACGGGATATGGTCGCACGCGAAATCTTTTCCATCCTTCTTCCCCCACGAACCTCGCGCGTCTCGTACGCGTGCGCGTATACCGTCTTCCAGAGGACATCCACGAAACCTGGAAATCTCAGTTCTAGATTTCGATACAGAGAATCGTAAATCAGGACACTTGTCAACTCCATGATGACCAGTGCAAGAGCGGTTACGACAGGCAGCGCTTAGACTACTCTTCCAAATACCTCTTCTCCGCGCGCATATACAACGTGAAACACTTGAGAATGTAAAGGGTGTATGTGTAAGAGTGAAGCTTCTTCGGGCCGAACCCAAACGTACGATTTTTTACCAATCGGCGGCCCAAGGCATGAACTAGTTCCCCTCACAGAGCAAGGCAAAACGTGAAGATGATGGGGTTTCTAGTTTCAGGAGCCCCAACCAGGCAGAGCACTCTCTCTTCCTTTGTGCTCTTCTGTTACTTAGCCATGCTTTCTGCGAACTTGAAATGATTTTTGGCATTAGGCATTATCGGATGTATATATAGCCTGCTTATTTGTAAATTTGAATGCACGAAGTCGATCTGGACGAGGTAGAGAAGGAGGATTTCAATTACATTATTACATTACATATTACGTATTAACCATAGGTCTTTCCTGCATCTACCCCGCCACCGTTCCCTTTCCCTGCCTCGGGAAAGGCTGAGGGGTTGTGATGAAGAAAGCATACGTCTAGAAGTATGGAGGATAATAATAGAGAGACTAAGAAAGAAGATATGTGTGTGTGACGAAATGAGAAATGCTTGTTTGCGTCTGGAATCTTTCTCAGGCCCGACAAGGCATTAAAGATACCGAAAGAAGAACATGATATGAGAAGAATTAATGCATCGAGTAGCAAAAGCGATGGTGATGAAACGGGGCAAAGAAGATGGATGAACCGCTTGCTTCTCTGCTTCCCCCACCTCAAACCCAAGGCCTGCTCACACACGCGAACAGTTTCCATCCTCCCTTACTCACAAAGTTGTGTATCTCTCTATACGGGACGATGAATGGAAAGGAAACTGGAATAGTACTAGACAAAGGGAACAAAACTGATGGAGGTAAATAACAAACGCTTGACAACCCCCTTGCCCACCCCCCATCCACGTGAATTAGCGTCCGTTCTGTCTTTCACGTTCGTCGAAAGGATCGAAATGGTCCCAATTGCCAAAGTTTTGCCGCCTTCGTTACTCGAGAAAAGAGTCGGATCGTCAAGGCCCTTGGTGAACGGAACAACAATACCACTTCCCTTCCACTTTTCCCCATGCTCCCATGAGGCAGTTTGTAAATCTGACACACAAGCCTCCCCCCGCCGACGCCGTCCAGTATGCTTTGCCGAGCCGATATGTTCAAAGTAGAATGAAGTAATCCCCAAATATAATCGATATTTGCGTAAATGAGTGTGGCGAAGGGTATGCCGTTGAATATTCGTTGTACGTCATGAAAAGAGCAGAAAAGTGTTATTACAATGGGAAAAAAATCTGTCGCCAGACTTTTTTTGTTCGAGAAGATAGTCCGGGATTGTATTGGGGGGAAAACGTGGCCAGCACGAGTTCTAGGGGAAATAACAACAAAATAAAGGGCAGAGCCCCGGATACTCCATGAGAGAAGGTGATGTATGTTTGCCTACGCGCAAAGACCTTCGAAGCGGGCGGCGAGTCATTGGTAGGACTGATTCGGATTCGGATCGCTGGACGGGAAAGAGGGCCCTTGATCGCTGGAGCCGGGCGCGCCGACGACTTGCGATTGAGCATACCCGCTCTGCTCGTCCTCCTCTTCCTCAGCTTCCACTGCTGCGATTTCCTCAGCCTTCTCCCTGCAAGCACCCGGGGAGAAGCCGCTCCCGACTTTTGAGGCAATTATGCGCCAGCGATCGTTCTCGTATTCTTGCATCGAATTGCGAAGCTTTTGGACCTGTGATGTTCCCATTGTGGTTAGCACCTCCGTAGTTTTGCGACCCGCACCGTTAGACGTATTGTGTTTCAGATTTGCATCACTCACCATTTCGTCTGTCCAGACTGTTGTCTTTGCTTTGAGCTTCGTGCAATACCGAACTTGCAAGGTACCAGAACTGCGACCCGGGAAGAAGTCTGCGATTTGCTTCCAAGCCAAGTTCTTCTTCTCTTTGAGGTCGACGAGCAATTGGTCGTCCTCGGGCGTGAACTTGAGCTTGGGACCGCGGGGGCGGGGCGCTGGCGCTGGCATGCCGTCGTGGCCCACGACGTTAGGCGGACCATGAGAAGGTCCCGGCGAAGTCTGACCTTCCATCTGCAGCCGTTTGGAGGGGCGATGATCGGGGAAATGATGGTGATGATGGTGGGGGAGGGGATGCTGCGGGGTTGAAGGCTGCGGATAAGGTTGAAGGGGATAACTTTGGGAGGACGGTCCAACTTGTATCGATGGTCCTGTAGGTTGGCCGTAAGGCTCTTGTTGCTGCGCCAGAGGATTTGGAAGATCTAGTTGCTGAAGGTGCTCCTCGGGACGACTGCGCTTGCGACCGGCAGCGACTGATGGCTGGGAAGGCTGCGGGTAGCCCATGTCGTACGAGGAGGGTGATGGTTGCGACATGGAATGATGGCGTAGGAGCTGCGCATGCGACTGATGTAGTGGTGGATGTGTCTCGATATCCGAGTAGGTTGGATGGGTGGTGGAAGCATGTTGAAGGGTGTGAGACGGATGGGGCTGCAGGTGGTAGTAGGCGGACGGCATGCCTCCATAAGGATGATGGAGAACATGTTGTGGGTGATGTTCGACGTTTGACGTCGGGACGTGATGTTCTTCCCCGGAATCGCCTGTCACGGTGTAGTCGAGGAAGTGGCCTCGGGAAGGACTCGCCAGCGTTGCGAATATGCATGGAGACTACCAGAGCAAGCTAGCTCTGGCAGGCCGCCGCAGTGAGACCTGAACCAGAAAGGATGCCCAGTTTGAGGTGTGGTGCCGAAGTCGACGAATATGTATCGCACGTGTTTGGGATTGCTCGTGTTTTGTTATATTGACAAATTTTGCAGCAAGCAGAGCCAGGAGCGACGCGCCATCAGCTTGAAGAACCTTATCGCGTGTGTTAAGTGTTGGGATGCCGGATATAGCCTCGCAAAAAACTAGACTTGGAGGTACGGATGGGTGCGCTGTGCATTATAACATGTTCTTTCGCGCCAGACAGGAGGGCGAGCATTGAGAAATTTCGGGCACTACAAGTTCCCTCTAGAGCCCGGTCCTGTGCAATCGCCACACGGACTTCTGTGTCCAAGCACAAGTGACTATGGGTCTTCCCACGAGACGGTCTTTGTTCCTGAAGGGTAGGGAGTAGCTGAGTAGGGCAAGGCCAGGGCATACCACGTCAAAGCATACATGGCAATGCGGTGATCACGACCGGGATAGGGGAGGGGGACCTGGTACTAGATCTGGAGGGTCATCACAGGCTGGGTAGGTCATTTGCACGTCGCAATGCTGGTGGGCTCGTCGTATGAGTGGCTCGTGCCGGGGGTGGTGGCTGACGATGCAAGATGAAGGTCGGCAAGAAGGTACTTCTGCCTGGACTCGCATGATAGGAGGGGATCCTTGCCTTGGTCCATGCCAGGCTGGCTGCATTTCTAGAATGCCTACAGAAGATCTCCAGCGCCGTTGCAATTGCTGCAAGCGCGATCCCGGCGTAGACGCTCCGAGCGGCGTGGTTAGGAGCAGCTCTGCATGAAGAATCCTGGGAATCAGGCTAGCATAGATGGCAGGCAGGTGGGTTAGCAGAGAGGCGAGTAAGCATGGCAGGGGGAGCTTTGGCGGATCCCCAAAGCGGAACTGCCATCTGTCTGCCAGAATTTGATGAGACAAGCAGACAGGCCAGGACAGCCAGGGCTGTTGGGCCAAAGACGCTAGGGTTCATGCTGGAAGAAGGCGCTTGGCAGCGTGCTCGTCCTCATGGCTTCGCAACGGCGGGCCATTGACTTGGAGGATCCATTCAATGGTGTGGCGCGCGCGCCGACGATGGCAGAGGGGACGTCATCCAGGGCATGACCTGGAAGGCGGCGTCCCGGGAGGTGGCCGTCAATGGAATACGGCAAGCCTCATCATGCTGGTGGGTAGTTCGGCTCATGCTGCTGGCTTGCTTTCTGGCCCTTTTGCGAGGAGCATTTCGGATGGGCGCCAGCGAAATGCCGGCACTGGGAAAGGCCCTTGCCGTAGCACCCGCCTGAAAGGTGTAAGCAGGCGACAGTGGTTCTCTAACGCATGGGCATGGTTGGCCTCAGATTGGTCCCATCAGCTCATGCAGACGCCGTTTCAAGAGCTTATAGCAACAGGACCCAGGCTATATGCGGTGGGGGCAAGGCAAGCGTCCAAGATGGACCGAGCCACAAGGAATATTCCGAGAGAGATGACGCACAAGCAAGGCACGCAAGCAAGAAGGGGGACGTCGCTTCGCGGGGCGGGCGGGTGGCGACAGACAGACAGCGGAGAATAACGAGCAAAACGTTGAGATAGGCTACAAGGCCAGATGGCGATTGGGGTTGGTGGTTGCAGTAGCAGTAGCAGTCGCAGTAGCAGATAAGTGGGGGGGGAGCTGGAAGCGAGGCGAAGCGAAGCGACCACTGGGTGGTGGTAGGACCATTGACCACCTACTGCTACTGCTACCAGTTGACCACTACTGACTGACTGACTGACGGGTTCAATGGCGCTGGCCAGGTTCGAACGCTGTGCTTTACTGTACTGTACCACTACGACATTGACAGCAACTCCTACATCATCTCTGTTCGGGACAAACGGCCACTGCGGCAGTGGATACGGCATCTACCCGCCCGCCACTACCCACCGCGACTCGTTCTTGCATATACACCTCATATCTCGACCGCATGGTGGCGAGCAGCGAAGGGCGAGAAAGATGACATGACATGACAGGATGGCTGGGTGGATGGCACGTCGTGCCTACGGGAACCAGCTCCATCATGGATGGGATGGGGCGAGTGCAGATGCCGCGATCAGAGGCAATTTGCATGCAGGTACGGTACGCCCAATGCCAGGGGCGGCGAAGGATGGGGATGGATGGTCATCGTCTTTCTTCGCCTTTGATTACCACCCCATATCTTACACACACTCTCTGTCGCCCTCCACAGCCGGAGATCTTGATATCAATATGCTGACAGTTGCGGTACCTGATATACGCGGAAACATGAACGCACGTGACTGAATTGAATGCGCTTACATACATGCCCGTACATACATATGCATATCAATGGATTGATTGATTCGAACAAGTACCCCAGCATTGGAAACATCAAACATTGATACCTTTACACACAAACACACACACACACACAACTAGACCCAATCTCCATCTGTCGTCCATCTGCCATCACTGAGGTCGCTGTAGCGGGTGACGCTCGTCCTCACAACGTGAACCCGCTCTGCAGGTACGTGCTGTGCTAGCTTTTCCATTAGCCATTTAGGCTGTTGGCTTTGTCCGTCGTCGAGCGTCCATCCCCCATCCCTCATCCCCAAGCCAGCCAGCTAGCCAGCCAACAAGGCAACCAGGCCGGTCATGACCAGCGCAATCGCTTGCCGTTTTCAATCGCCAGGTATGACCTTGAACCTATACGCCCACCACGGTGAATCCGTCGCAGATTGATACTCACGGAGCTTCTGCCGCTTCGAGCGGGGAGGCGCGTGAACCGATGTCGTCGCGTCGCGTCCGCCCCTGGCCAACTCCTTCCCCCTCGCTCTCGCGTGATGCCTTTCGGCGCGCCATGATGGGGCTTGCCAATAGTTCGGCGTGATTGTCCTTCTGGTCGCCCAAGCGAGCGAAATACAACGTAGTAATACCAGACGGCTCGGTTGAGTAGCGTAGCCGCAGCACCCCTGGACCGCACCCAAACGCTGGACGCGAGCAGCATCGCAAACAATCAAATGTCGATGCGCTCCACCTTGGGCTTGCGACTGACTGGGAGGGCCTGTGCCATGTTGCCACACGCCGGTCGGTTGCGTGCAGGTGGGGTGCCACATGGGGCGTGAGAACGAATATCGATGCCCTCTTGAGCCGTCGCGGCCATGGCACGGGGTGGGAGAAGCATGTTCCTGGCCGACGACACTATTGGAAACGGCACATGCGAACTGTCGAGGAAAGAAACAGACAATATGTCCGAATCGAAGTGGGGGATCAAAACAGGTTGTGGAAACAGGAGAATAGATAAAAAACATGTGGCCAATGGCCGCTACCATCGACCCCTGGGAATCGGAAACTCGCCCGCACTGTTCCAAACGGGCCATGGGTCCGCTGCGGATGGTGGCTTTCTGACCCCGCGCTTGCTTGCTTGCTTGCTCGCTCGATATTAAGTCCATAGTGAAATACATTTCTCGACCGACACCGAATACCAGGGAAGGAGAAATGACAAATAAGAACCCAAGAGACGGGAAAAGAGAAGGCAGAACTGGGGTCGCAAGCGGATGGGGAAAAGAAAACCAGAATCACGAGATGGGGACCTGTTGCCACTGCAGCAATGTTTTGATGGGAAAGAAAAACCTCATTTGCTTACTCTGTCGCCGAGTAGACTGGGTCCACGAGTACAGAAAGCGGACCGACCATAGAAGAGAAGCTGGTATCATAGGAGGACCCCAACGCGCGCTAGAAACCCGAAAAGATGCAGACTGCTTTCGTAAACCACGTCATGATGAAACCGCTCAGTACTTCCCTCCAAAATGCTCCTTTGCATACTGCTCGCATGCCTAAATCGTGTTAGCTGGTCACACTTTGACGACTTGCTTGCGCGACCCACGGGGACATGGGGTGCGTACGTACCTTTGCCGGCTTGCCAACCTTTTGGCCGATGGACTTCCACTTGTTTGCATCGTACTCCTTGATGGCGGACAAGAGCGCTGCACTCTGATCCTTTTTTGTCAGCACACAGGCAGGCAGGCAGGCACAAGACACTGAGAAGAGGAAGGACATGTTGGAATGCGCCCTAGAGAATGACCCACCTCGTCTTCACCGAATTCGGCGTAATGCATGTCCTATGGGTTGCAGTCAGTAGCATGGCCAGTACACGACAGGCAGCTGTGGTCGCTGACCTTGTACCAGTGTTTCTTTACACTACCCTCTGTCCGTTGCGGGAAAGTCTGGAAGGCACGAGAGGTTAGCACACCGAAGTACCTGTACATGCACACATGTATACCGCCATCCGACTCGGGTACACTGGCCAAGCACCACAGGGAGTCTGCGTAGAGACGATGTGCGACCGAGAGCAGTCCATCCGTACCTTTGCGATCTCGCTCCAACTGTTGCCTGCATCGCGCATCTGCTTGAGCCTCTGCTCCTCGGCGGGCGTCCAGGGCGTATTTGTCCGGCTTTTTTTGACCTTGGGCTCCTGGGCGAGCGCGTCCGCGTCGGCAGCGCCAGATGCCTCTGCGGCCCCACCCGTCTGTTGAGCAGCGGACGCGGGTACAGGGCCGGCCATGTCTTCCATCTGGTGGGCCATGGTGACGGACTTGCGCTTTCGCGAATTGGCGCCTTGGACGGGTGAAAGTTGAGAGGGGGCAAAAGAGTCTTGACCGGGTATGGAGGGCGCAGGAGCCAGGGCGGGAGCAAGCGTAGGGGCAGGCTGGATGCTGGCCAGGTCGGCAGACTGGGCAAAAGGCGAGGTTCTTTGCGGAGCAGCGGCGATGGGGGAAGGCTTCAGGCTGCGCTTGGTGACTGGAGAGGCACTGGAGACGAGCGAGCGGGTGTTAGTGTGACCAGGCGAGGGAAAGAGGAGGTGAAGACGGGTCGCAGCGGTAAAAGGACAAGGACGATGGAGCTTTGGATATCAACTCACGACATGGCTGGTGGGTGGGCAGGCGACAGGGACGAGGCAAACAGAGCAAGTAATATATATATAAGAGAGTGGCGGCGTGCGGGCTTGGGGCGTCACTTGTATATATCAGGACGTGGATCTGGCAAGGTCATGCTCCAGAAGGAGGGCTCGACTGGACAGTCTCAGAGGGACAGCAGCGGACGGTGATGGTTGAGACGGTAGATCATGATGATATCCAAAGCAAGCAGACGGACAGACGAGCAAGCAGAGCGAACGACACACAGACTGAGTGGCCGGCTAGCTGGCTGGCGGGTTAGCAGGCGCTGATCTTTGTACATGGGATACAAGAAGGGGCAGGTTCGCATATGAGGCGAGCGAATGGGGATGGATGGCGGACAGCATGGCCGGGATAGATTGGGCATGGTCAAGGCCAAGTGCCGGTGGGGGACGACTGCGAAGACGGGAGGGCGAGGTAGCTGGTACCTGGGGAAGTGCGGAGGTTTGCGTGGGGGAGCATGTAGAGGGTACCTGCCCCCCAGGCGCAGCTGCAGATAAGAAGCGGGGTAATAGCCTCCTCGCCGGGCATGGAGGGTACTTTGCGAGTCTTCTGCTGGGGAGACTGGCCTGGAGGGAAAAGGCGGGGGATGCGCCAGCGCGTGACGGCTCTCTTGCATCAAAGGCATGAATATGCAGAATGGCCCGACCAGCCACAGCCATTTGCGTTGTGGGTTTTTATTCATTTTTTTGGGGGGGGAAATCTATTCTTTTTTGTCTGATCTTCTTCCCGGCGGCACCTGTTGCCCATGTGCCTGTGTGGGCGGGGACCCACATGGATGAGCGTGCGTGCGTGCGTGCATACATACATACATAAATACATACCTATATATACATGATTGGGGGGGGGGGGGGGGGGGGGAAGAAAGGGGCAAGGTAAAAGAAGAAAACTCAAGTGGTAACGGTGGTGGTGGTGGTGCGAATATAGCCATCTAAGATGGACGAGGCAGGCGAGAATAAAGAAAAGAAAAGAATGAAAGAATGAGTGGACGTTGGCACGGCGGCATCACTATTGACATGCCAGGTCCAGTTGCTGCGCGATCGTGTGGAGTGCAGGGCTGGGCTAGTCCGCCTTGGGTGGGGATAAGCATTGAGCCATCAGTTGTTTGAACGTGCGCGAGCCGACCCGACGACGCTGATGAGATGGCACGAAGGATGGAATGGGATAGGATGGATGGGACGGATGGACGGTCATTCCGCCACTCACCACCCGACCGCCATCATGTATAAACAGGTCACGCTCCAGCGTAGTGTCACGTCCAAGTCGCTGCCTTTTTGATTGCCATTACACGTACGTACATGGACTACATGGACTGTACTTGTCATCGGTGTATGTACGGAGCAAAGGATAACAAGTCACGGCTCCTTACGACATGTATACACACATACTTACCTATCCATCTGCTCGTGTCTTCGCACTTCATCTATTAAATGCCTCTCTCCACCCCCGCCTTTTGGCTAGTCAGGCCAATCGCCATGCTGCCACCGTTGTAGCGATATAGATTGCATGCAACATGGCAATTTAATCCCACGCCTTTCTCTTTACTTCTCCCCTTCTCTACACTCCGCACTCCACACCCCTGCTGGGCCTTTGGATACCGTATGCTGCGGGACGCCAGCACATACACACTACCTAGGTAATCTTCTCTCTCTCTCGGCCCCGTGACCGTGACTGCTGCGGAGGAACGAGCCATCATCTAGCCATCTGGGCAGGCAACATTGACCATGGAATCACCACATCAACCGTCTGGCATGACCTGGCTTCATCCGTGTCGGTGTGCTATTTTGTGCGTCCTCTGAGGCTGCACTGAGGCTGCACTGAGGCTGCCATGCCCTGCACCATCTCCCTCCGGTTCCCCTCATCAATCTATTTTCTTTCCATGCTGCCGTTTCCTTCCAAATCCCGTGGCGGCGGTGGGGTTTTGGCTGCTCTTATGGCTGCCGCGTTCCGCTGCTGCCGCCAAGCTTTCCCTCTGGCCGTGGCTCAAACGCCAGCAGTGAGAGGCGCGGCTGGAGTGTTTGAGCGAAGCGCTCTGCCCACGAACTCGAACTCACCGCCAGCGCTTCGCCCGTGCTCAACCCGCCCTCGTCCAGGCGGGGCTTCATGCTCAAGAAAACGGATCGCTGCTGTCCCGAGCATCTTTCGTTTCGTCTGTCTCACAGCGCCAACCATGCTGGGACTATCTTTGCCTTAGTGTTCGGGCGCATTGCGAGGGGTGGATAGCGCTTCGTTTTGCCCAGCCTGCCGTGGCCTGTCGCGTTGTTTCTGCGCTGAAGCTGCTCTGCTCGTCCCGCTCGCATCCTCTCGTCTCGATGATTGTTGACTCGTCGAAGCTGCCGGATTCCGCTCGCGTGCACTCGACGATTCGTGCCTGGCAATCGCACGGCTCTGCTGGCTGTCTGTCACGCCTTCTTTGCGGCTAGCACCCGCTGCCGACGGACTCTAGGGTGAGCTTGTTTTGCTCCTCCAAACACTGTCAAACGTCTCGCTTCGCCCAAAACTGCAGCACGCCCCCCTCTCTAACGCGCCCAGTTTTGAAACTGCTTCTCCCATGGCCCAAATCGCTCGTCAACTTCATGCGCTTGCCCGCTTTCTCAACCGCTTTCCGGGCTCCCAGATCTCGTCCAGCCCGTGCTCCCTGCCGCTTGCAGCCTAGCCTGTCTCGTGTCAGGGTTCTTCCAAACATTCTGCCTTCAGAGCGCCGGCTTCCACCTGGATGGCGATCAAAACTTAGCTGCAGGACTCAGGTTTGAAAACGATGCCACCAACAGATTCTGCCACTCCAATCACCCGTGCGCCAGAATGGGCCCTGCGAACCACGCGTTTCTTGTCACCAGGAAACTCTATATCTTGTCCGATGCCCCAAGTTTCCCAGGCCTCAACCGCAACTGATCAATCGGCACCGTCTTTTGGTTTCATTAGCAGCCTTGTAATACTTTCTTTTACTACCCACTGGTTGGGCTGCCTTACTTTCTTTAATTCTGATTGCTGAGCAACAAACTTGTGCCTTTGAACGCCTAGTAATACCTTCTTTTCAACAAAAAACATACAACTCCTCACCCAACGAGTACCATCATTCAACCGCTTCGCTGTTAGCCATTGGATCGATCCATCAGTCTCCAAACAACATCACCACCACCAATATGCTTCCTCATCAACCCCAGATCCTCTCCCCTCTTGCTGAGATGGACACCCACTCCTCGTCCACTTCCAGCCTTCGTGCTCGGAAGATGTCCACTTCGGGAGGAAACCGATCCTGGTCTGAAGAAGAGGTATGTTGTGCATAAAGTTTCATCCACCAAGCCGCCACTGACAATTCTTCAGGAGAACTACCTTCTCCAGACCCGTATGCAGAAGATGCCCTACAAGCACATCGCTGCCCACCTGAAGAAGACCGAGTTGGCTTGCCGTCTTCACTTCCACCAGCTTTCGCACGGCAGCCACCGCCGCAAGCGTACCTCTTCCGTCTCTTCGGTCGCTTCATGCAGCTCCGCCGGCCAGTCAAGTTATGGCATGTCCATGGATCATGACTCTTACTCCCAGTCGTCCCGCCATGGCTCTCCAGTGAGCTACACCGGCAGCCCCAATGTACGGGCCATGTCGGTTGGTACCTCTCCCGGTCGCAGCCAGCACAAGATCCTGCTCCCCAAGCCCCGTCCCATGACTCCAAGGGAATCTCCTGAGCCTCACAATGCTCTTCGCATCAACACAGAGGTCGTTCCTCAGCCAAGGGTTGTCGACACCGACCGTCTCCGTGCCATCTACGAGTCTCGCCGCCAGCAGTTCTGGGCCACCGTTGCAGCCGACTATGGCGCCGATGTCTCTCCCGCCCAGCTTGAGGAGATCTGGCGCACTGGTGCCAACGGTGTGCGTCCCCCAACGCCCGATGCTTCCCCCGACGGCAGCATCATGCAAAACCCCATGCTGAAGCCCTCTCCCTTCTCTTACGCATCGCCCATCAGCCACGACGCCAAGCACTTCAGCCCCTTGAACAACGCTAGCGCCGTCTCTGCTCCGGAGCGCCTGCCCTTCATGCTCCCCATGCCTGTCCCTTCCGTAGGACGTCCCAGATCTGGAACGTGGAGCTCGGCTCCTCGTGACAACGTCCCCATTGCGAGCTTGTTGACCGAGGACAAGAACCCTCGGGCCATGTAGAGAGAGAGCATGAACAATTCAAGAGAGTCATGTGCCAATTTCTCATTTCTTCTGTGCTTGGGTCTGACGCGGGGTCTCTCCTGATCTCGTGTCTGGTGTTTTGTTTGTTGCAACGAATCTTCTTCATTACTTTCGTTCACCCCTTAACTTTGTAACTTTAAACATTTTTATAGTGATAGTTTTGTCATCCATTTCCTCTTCTTCCTGTTTATGGGGATGCTCATTCAATGCTTTTCACGATTTTCTTTTTTTAGCCTGCTCTGCAATCATCCACGCTTTGTTTTTTTATCACAAGGAGGCATTTTTATGTACGAATGAACAAAAAAGATCTTCATTATTATCATTATTCTTTCTTCGCAACTGTTTGCATATGCGCGCTTGGCTGTCTGTTTTCTTCTGAGCGGACTCTTGGTATGAAGAATGCAGGGGTGGGTGAGGGAAGACGTCGTTAGCGCTGCCTGCTTGCTTATCTGCATAAACGAAAGACAATACGTAGATGAAACAAGTCAAAACCACAGCATGCATCCGAGCGAACACGGAGCAATACCAAAATCAATAAAAAAATGCGAAAAAAAAATGACCAATAACTGAAAACCTTCCTTCACCAGTGCCGTTCTCTGACTGCGCCGTGCCGTGTCACCGCCAACCAAGAGTCAGCGTCTTTGCACTAACTCTCTCCACACTCGTGTGTCTATAGCCATCCCGTCTTATTATCTCTCCATTATAGATGCCATTGTCCCAAGCCTATACGCACTTAATCCCAACTAGGCAATTCTCAACCCCCCTCCTTCCCCCCAAAAAAACATTTGTTTGATCTACCAATACTTTTATGTATCTTCTATTACGCGAAACCCGCGTATCCCCCACACTTCCACCACTCACATGGCTTCTTCTCTCTCTCCCCTCCCCCCTTTAATTTCCCCTTCTCTACAATTTTTTGTTTCTGGCTTGTGGTATCCATCTCTGGAATATATTCTTCCGAAAGCTCGGTCGTTGGGAAATTCCGTGTGTGTAGCTTTTTCTTGTTTTGGTGAGGGGGAAAAGTGTGGGGAGGGGGGGTATATGTGTAGGTATTAAGGCTAGCTGTGAAACATCCAAGAAGAAGGGGGTCCGTGCAGAGGGGGACTGTATGATGATGGACCCGTTTGTGAGATCACATAGAGCAGAAGGGGAAAAAGGAAGATGATTTTGGCGCTGACGCGGTGGTGGGTACAGAAGGTATGTGTTCTGTTTTTTTTGTGGTTTGCTGAGTGCAGTGTTGGATAAGGATGTGGATGCATGCAGTGCAAGAGAAGCGAGGGGATTTTTTGCTAAGGATACTCCTCCACAGAGGAGGGGCCAGAAAGAACTCGAGGTACACGCTTACCTGTACTGCCAATTTTCAATTTTGGAGGCTTTTTTCTTCCGTGTATGTTTGTGTGGTTGAGGAACTCGGTTTCTCTCTTCGTCGGATGCGCATAAACAGGCACACCTGCTTTTATGTAGCTATCAATTGATCTTGGGTTTTCTCTCATGTCGTGCAGTCAAGCTTTTCCTTTTTTTCTTTTTTTTTTTTTTGCGAGATGATTTTCTATCCAGAATGTAAATATTCTTAACGTGAAGACTGTTCTTACACACAGATTCGCAAAGCCAAGGACGATACATCTTGGAGCGGAGGGGAGAAAAACATCACCTCGGTTGATCTTCTTCAATTGCCTCTCTTCGTTTTCACACATTGACAAAGTTTCAAAATAGGCATGCACACTGCAAAAAATACGCCACACATCACCCGTGAGGTGTTTGAAAGAAGACAACGGGTCAGGTATGGTCCCACCAACGTTGAATCGATCAACATTGCATCAACCACCAGCACTCCCCACTTGCACCAAACCCCTGAGAAACCACAAACACACCCATACGAAAAACAAAGGGAGATCTGTCAATCGCACATGAGTTCCACGTCACTGATTCTCCCCTCTCATTATATCAGCACTCAAATCTTCAAACGATCATTCTCCCCCCCTCACCTCTTTCAAAACTCGGCCCCATCTCCTCGGCGTCGTCGCCGTCCTGCCCCCGAAATATCTTGAAACCCGTTTCGATACGCGAGACGACGAAGACATTGAAAAAAAAAGGGCCTCGCATGCCTGAGGCTGAGGCTGAAGCCCCACGAGCCCCTCTTTTTCCCTCAGGCAAGCAAGTGAAACACGAGTCGAAGCGGGATTTTCCCTCAGGCCGAAACGTAGTCCATTTTTCTTGGTCATGTGTGCGGTGGCGACAGCGGGCAACGAACATGACGAATCTACTCCACATAGCGTTTCTCTTCGAGGGGAGGTGTTTGTAGATTTGTGTTATTTTTTATTCTCTCTTCTTCTATCTTTTTGGGGAGGTGGGTGGATGGTCACGTCACTTGTTCCAGTGAGCTTCCAAAATGTCTTGGTATTTGTCTTACTCCTCGGGTAGATTTACGTTGATTATGCCACTCGAGCCTAAGGCACTTACAAATTCTCGAGTCGAAAGATGAGTGAACAATTGCTGTTCATTTGAGTGGAGGGTGAGCGATCAATGCGATGCTCGAACGTCTTGGTGCCAGCAGTCTTCCTTCTCGACTCACTCTCCTTTCTGTTACTCGTGTTCGATGAGAGCAATGGCATTGCTGGGTAGCATGTTGCCGAATCATCGAGACGTGGGGAGTAGTGGGGGGAGGAGTGTATGCGCGAATGCCAATGCCCCGTGCGCTTTTCACTCAGCGTGATTGATATCAGCTGACAAGCATAGGACATTTGGTCATGTGCTTTTCCGTGACCACTCTTGCACAATCGCTTGGACTCTTCGCCTATTGGAGCGAGCGAGTGTGTGGGAAAATAACCCTTCCGTAGCTATCATCGTCTCCCCGCCGCGTTATCTGTTTGCCAAAACACCGACTCCAATCAATCCGCCTCCGACACGCCCCCAAGTAGCCTCGGAGGACCCAGACGAACGAGTCGGCGGCGCTTCCAACAAGGGCAGCGAGCGAGAAGGGCAAGACTTCCTTGGATGTTCCATCGAGCTTCTCTGGCGTGTGCGTACGTGGGTGGGTGGGTGTGGATTGACGCTCCTCTGGGTGCTCCCCTGTCGGTCGTAGAGTTACCGGGACCGGGAGCGGAAGCACGAACACGACACGACACGCAACACGATTCCCTGTGGATGGCGAACAGAAGAAAGAAAGGGGAGGGCAAAGGAGAAGCGTGTGTAGGTAGGCCTGAGGGCTGGGACAGTGACGCATGAATTTGGGATCTGGATTTGGGGATGACGCGCCGGCGAAGTGGATGGGTGTGGTAGGGCTGGGGTGTGTGTGGTTGGGGGAAGGTTGACTAGCGTGCGTGAACTACAAGGGAGCCGTTATACCATGTACGCAGGGCTGATATGATCGATGGAAGATCTGAGCTTGTTGCCTGGGGAGGTCGGTGCAGGTGGCTTGTCGGTGGGGGGTGTTAGTAGGATGGGATGCATCTTTTGTGGGCCGTCATGGAGTTAGTTGTTCGTGTTGTTGCTTTTGCGTGGGTTCGTGGGACCGAGTAGATAGGGGTAAATTGGCCCATGATTGCGCAAACGCCATCGCCAGCGAGGTTTGGTAGGGATCGTGGACATTCGGCGAATACAAACAGAAACCTGTACATGTACGCACGTCCGGGTTCCATAGCTCGGGTCTTTGCAGGCACGCACTCACGCACGCATGGGGGAGGAGAGTGACATGGCAGGAAGAGGATCTGAAGGAACGAGTCCATGCCTTCCGACCACCGCTGGTCGAAAGAGTCGCATCTCATCTGGTCTTGTCGCCATATGCACAAATGGCCGTGTGTGAACAGATGGCTGGTGAGCAGCCCGTAAAGAGTTCGCTGTCTGCTGCGTTCTAGGCACACCCTGCCGGCCAGCCGGTGTATACAGTATTCAACACTGACCGCTCGCCTAGTCATGACTCGGCCGCGAACGTCACTGCAGGCATGCCTCTGCGCCAAACTACGTCAATTGGGACCCTATCTCGTCCACGCATGAACTTCCTTCATATCCCCAATTCCAATTCCCCATGCAATGATGCTATTCTTGTCCGCCCACCAACATTTTCATCGTCCTAACCTCACGCCATCTCCCCTATCTTCTTCCAAATACCGACTTTGACCCAATCCCACCCTCCCCATCTCCGAAACACTGTCCCGAGCTCTGCATGATTTTCATAGCAATCCACGGCATATTAGCGCCACCGTTTAGCGAAATTGTTGATCCTGGCTTTGTACCCTTACCATCCCTACCGGTACGCTAGCCACCTCATCTGCGTCCCTTGATCCTTAGCCTAGCCATCGTGGTCGTGTAGGACTCGTGGTCTTGTAGAATTTCTGGAAAATGTCCCGAACGAGCTACGGATGTTGGCGCTGCAACGCATGAATGCGCAAGGGCGTCTTTCATTATTGGCAAAGACTGCGAAGAGAAAACCGGTCCATGTGCGTCTCCAATGGACCGAGTCTATGCCTAGTTCATAATAGGACATGTTCTGGAAAAGGGGGATGGAAGGATGGAATGGGCGGTGATGGATTGCCTGACGTCAGATGGGAGATGGGTGAAGGCACTGCGAGTGGATTTGGCCATAGTCGTGAGAAGGACGACATAGAGATTGATAGAGGGGAAGAGGACAGACAGAAGCAAAGCACATACAGAAGCCGTGGTCGAATCAGCGATTTTTTTTCACTTCGAGTTTCGTCGTGGTGATTGAGATGCATTAAAGTAATAAATCAAAATATGATTCGATATTGATCTTTGGAATAGATATCCGCATTGCTTGGTTCTCAAGAATGTCAATTGTGCGGTTTACGAGTCTTTATATATCATAATCGCCGGAAGATAGGAGATTCAACTAAGCTCCGAAAATATATCTCCAATGAAACAATGCGGCACGAATTCATACTTCCATCTTGCAATATGACCCCTGGGAGTGAAAAGCTTGCAATAGTGGTATATGTTAACAATAAAGTCGTTTGGATCAGTCTTGTCAATATCCGGAGTACGTGACCCCGGACAGAAATTTCAATACTACCATCTCTTGTATCGAAAGGGGTACAGGAAGGCAGCGCAACAAGACATTATGCAATTCAGCATCATGGGTCTCGGACTATAGATCTCGCAGGGCAGGTACGGATAGAGCACATTCGACGGAGAACCATCACCACGGGGGTCGTATTTTGAGTTGGCGATTTTATATAGTTCGTTGCAGTATACAACAGTAGGTCAATGTGGCCTGCTTTTTCGAATTCCACATCTGCTTATATATCGAAATAAGGTATTCACTGCCATTACAGAACATCCATGACAACTGGAAGTTACTACTGTCCTCTGTCTAAACGTCTCTCGATGACCAACTAACAAATGCTACCGAAGATGGATAATGCTACGCTGGAATTTGATCATGAGAAACAACCGTCACCTACAAGCAAATCTTGTCTTGAATCTGAACACAGAGAAAAATTTACATATAATTAGTTGGAACTCCATACTCTTACACTAAACTACCACGAAAAAAAACAAGCAATAGGGAAGACTGTTTTTATTTCTCTGTTCTTATGAATGTATCCTGCAGATATGTTAATCTCGACACTAACAGAGAGTAGTAAAAATTAAAGCTCTCACGGTACCATTCTGCTGTGACCCAACAGAAATTTAAATTGATAGCTTTCTAGGAGTCATAATACACAGCAAATCATAATCCCACAGACAAGTTATCGTAGCCCAATATGTCTAGGATCTTGTTATTTTGAACCACTTCACCGGATTCTATAGAGCCAGGGGGCAGCGCGAACATCTATATGACAGATGTGATGTCATATATAAAGTCTGTTATCACTAGGATACACGAAAAGGAATTGGTGCATCCTGTTGATTAGCTATATGATATAGGTACATATCCATGATACTTGCTTTTGTTTCAATATGGTCTCTGATTCTAGGGGCAATGATGTAAGTGTTGAGCGTGAATGTGTATGCACAGTTTGAAAGTGGGTGCTAGACGAAGAATAAGTGTAGATAGAGAGCTAGGAGCAATGTCGCGGGAACTTTCGTGTACCAAAACACCCAAGTTTTTTTTTGTTTGTGCGTTGTTAACCTACACAGTTATCGAATTGCTGCGATTCATATTCGAAGCAATAATCTCAACTTTTGTTCTACACTTTACCAATCTGCTTTCCAAATCTAACCTGGCATTTAGGATATGCTGATAATAAGACCTGGGGTTTTATTTGAATTGGTAATATATATAATTGAGCAAGCTCCCGCGAAGAGCTATCGCAAAGTGAAGAGCGCGATGATCAACGATGAATAATAAATTCATGTATCTCATCACCGTCACGTCATCACTTCCGGGCTGGCAAGTGCACACTATATACGTACACAGCTGCTTGAACCAAAACATTCGTATAAAAATTAGGTCGAAGGCTCAAGCTCAGATTCATACCCTCCATATATTGACCAGTACCCTCCTTTTTAATATAAGCACGTCTTGCTGACATATTAGGCAAGATATTGACATATGACTAGTGCATGCGTGGAAGGCAAGCAAACTTGAAAATATGGAATCGCTCAATCCATAGTCACATAGAGGATTTACATGCACGTACCGATTGACAGCTAAGCGCAGTACACATCCACAATAGACTTATCAATCAATAGGAAGTGCCATGCAGACCACCGCGGGATACAGACAAAGTATTCATTTTCATTAATTAGATAAACCTCGTTTCTTGGTATCAAAAAGGGAAAATAGCATTGCTACACCCAGCTAGCATAGACCCAGCACAAAGCACCGCAAGGAATTATCAGCCCGCTATGCATCGCCCGAATGCCGCATTAGACAAGTTAACAATGGCAAAATAGAAAAAAGGCATCCAGATTCCTGCAATGCTGGAGAATAATTTGGACACAGGCATTTACGATACAGCATCGTGGAATTCGTCCTCTTCCTGTGTCTCCGAATCGTACCTCCTCAAGGCGTTGCCACCCCCTGGTTCTCCCTGCACTGAATTTAGCAGCTTGGAAGGTGGTAGTTCTTTCGCAAAAGCATGGTTCTTGTCTTCTCTGTTATCGGGCTGGGGTGGTGCTGGCTTTGGCTCTGGCTGGTCCTGTGGAACAGGTGCCGTGGTAACGGTCGTCGGTTTGCTGGTTTGCGCAGGCACGACCGGGTCGCTTAGATCAATTAGGTCGTCGGTTGTCTGTTTCTCTTGTGGCGTTAGTTGGTGTTGTGATTGTGCTTCGTGCTGTGGTTGTTCATCGCCCAAAGTAGATTGCTGTTGTGCTGGTGGAACGCGACTAGTGTTTGCAGTACCGGACCTTGAGGGAATGCTGAATTTGCGGGTGAGCGTCTGACCCGGCAGTATAGCTGCAATCTGTAGAATTTGCTCCACTTGTTGTTCTGGCGTTTTGCCGTCACTGTCCATATTAGCAATTGCTCGAGATTTGAAAATCGGCTCGACGTACATTCTCGCATTGATGATCCAGTCCAGGTCTTCTTCGCCCTCTGCAATACTTTGATGGCTGCCATCTACTGCTCGGAAGAGCTGTGGATGCCAATCAACGCCATCATTCATACGCTTAGCGGCTTCTTCTCTCTGAATGTTCTCTATCCTTGCTTTGTCTTCAGTTGCAGTATCATGATCTTTTCGTTTGACAGCATCGGTTACAACATGCCATAGTCTCTGAGACTCGCGCTCATCCTGCTCTTCCAATGGCCGAGCTTCTGGGGGCGTATGCTTCGCGTGTGTAGCGTCGAATAGAAGCTCCTTTTTTCCAGTCTTCGAGGTGTTAGTGCCCAAACCAGTCGGATTTAGAAAATCGAGGGTGAACTGACCGTCAAATCCTTGATATACATCTCCTCATTCCACAAGCCCGAGAGCTCGTACAGATGGTTGCCGTCTTTGTCACTAATAAACCCGCCAATTGCATTATAAGTCCCACCAAAGTAGCCTTTAGTTTTGAACTCCAGATCTGCTACCATGCCAGTTTCTGGACAGCGAATGTAGCTGTGGTCGCCAAGCTCATATCTCATCTTGCCGAATAAGATACCTCGGACGTACATATTGGGCTGAGTGATGAAACTGTTCGCTGTTAACCCTATAACGTGTGCATTGCAAGTATGGAACATACAATCTTTCGCCCGTATTCAAGAATCTCATGACGGCTATGCCCTCCATCATACTGGCTGCCGAATTACCCAGAAATTTACTCCTTGGCTTCAGTGTTCCGTCAATGCGTATGTGATGCTCGGGCGACATGTAGAAGTAGCTGGACTTTGGAGGGTGATGCGACGTTTGCTCAGCGATGTAGTATCCGCGCGTTTTGTCTGGGTAATCCCAATAGCAAGTGAATATTTCACCGAGGACGGGATTGAGCGGCTTCTTGACTCCCCTGCATTTACATCAGCCGGTGCTCGCGGGATAGTGTATGTATGATAGAGAGCGTACGGAGGTTTGATGTGCCAACCGCTCAGATAGAATTTGGTTACGGCGACAAATCGTTGAACGGGATCCTCGATCTTGGTCAAGGGCAGCAGAGTTTCTGGGTGTGCCATGAAACTAGAGCCATGCGTCAGTCACTGAGTGATCGAGAACGGGGCTACGGAATGCTCGGAAGAATTGGACGCACTTTGTGATACGTTCGAGCATCGATCGTGGCTCCAATATAAAAGTAGGAAATGTCACTCGACTGAGGTCTGCACCGGGCCGCAGCTGCGAAATCATATGCGAGAGCACTGCAATGTTTTCGTGTCAGCTAACCATTCCACTCTCCAGCTCACACAAGTTGTAGTTTTACATACTGCTGCCCTGATCGGCGTCCACGACAGTCTCGTCGTCGGCCGTGGTTCCTCCATCATTCCTCGTGGAATCGGTCGAGGACCGGTTGCCTGCCATTCGAAATCAGTTTCACTTGCCACGGGCATGGAAATCTCGTGCTCGAGGGACTGAAAGGTGACGCACTTGTCAGGGAGTGCCGCCTGTGACCGTGTCCAAGAACCATGGTGGCTGGTGTATGCAGAGTATGCGTGTAGCAGGTAGTTGGGTATGCAGGCAGTTACCTAGAAAGAGAGAGGTGAGAAGCGTAAATCCGTGGACGGAACACCGGAACGCGGAATTGTGGGTGGGCAAAAGCTAGCTCCTTTAACTAGTGAAGTGAGTGCCGTGGAGAGTGAATAGTGGCATAGTTCTCACTCTGCCAACTCTGTAAAGTGAGTGACTGCAGCCAAGCCGGTGAGCGATGACGGAACGCGCGGGCAGAGATGCAAATTTGGTGAGGTCTTCACGTGGGGTAGCTAACAACCCCGCCCTAATTACATGCCTCCCTTGCAAACAGTGTACTGATCTTTTACCTCATGCAGCGAACCAGAGTAGCCTATATTTTTTCTAAGAGTACCCGAAAGGTCACCATAAAGCCTCAAGTCCTTTCGTACATGGCTTGGGGCAAAAGTATTTGGTATCTTCTAAACAGTCTCCTATAGACACTGGTACATGAGAAGCCGCCCCTTCACCATGCTATAAACGTGTCATATCCATCACCTCCAGAGGGTATCATATCTATCGCCGTGTATTTGGGAAAACTGGCATAACTTAGCCGGAGACAGTCAATTCATGATCTGCCGTGACCACTGTGCAACGAGTTGCATGTGTCGTATTCATCTCAATTGCTTCACCTTCTCAATGCTATCGTTGCTCATCTCAATCACATCCACCCCGGCCGCCGTGTACTCTTGCAATACCTCCTCCATGCTCTCTGGGCTAACCGGCTTAGTTGCCTCCCCAACGACCCTTGTTTTGAAGCCTTCCTTTGCGGAATCGAGCGCCGTATATCGTACACAATAGTCGGCTGCCAGTCCAGCCACAAACACGTCCGTCACACCTTTATCGTGAAGGAGTTTTGCAAGGCCACTCTTTACCACACACGGGTTGAGAAAAGGATCCGCAAAAGCGCTGTACATTTCGACGCGCTTGTCCTTGCCCTTCTCTACCACCTCGTGCACTTTGTTCACGTGTAATTCCGGGAGAAGCTCCGCGCCGGGTGTGCCTTGCACGCAGTGATCGGGCCATAATCTCGACTCGATCGATTCCTTGGGGTTTTGAGGGTTCATGATCGTGGCCATGGATACGAAGGGTTTGTTGTTGGGGGGAGGATGGTTTGAGGCGAATGAGACATGGTCTTGCGGGTGGAAGTCTTTGGTTGCGATTTTGATGACGAAGGGAAGATCGAGCAGCTCGTTGAGGAGCGGTACGATAGTACGGCCGTCGGTTACTGCGAGGGTCCCGTTCTGTTCGCTACTTGTTAGTACTCGCAGTCGCGTGTACGAAGTGGCAACCGGGCTTGCTCACTGGAGGGCAAAAATCCTCCTGTACGTCTACAATGACGAGGGCGGGAACATAAGTCATTATGTCTGAGGCGAGGAACGATGTCGGATGTGAAGAGGCGAGAGATGGGAGAGAGTCGAAGGTGGAGTGTAGGAGGGTTTGTACATTTATGTAGTCGCCGTCATAGCACACTTCGTAGTCTGCTATCAAGGAGTCATGCTACACAATGCCTGTCGGATCTTGTTCGCACGCAACGAGGCGTTAGGCATCAAGTCAAGCTCTACCTATTTCTCATCACTGACGCCTGGTGGATGAATGCCCGAGTAAGGATGCGTCTGACTAAACGTACATACCAACGTATGTACCTGGTACCACAGCCCACATGATCCCAATGCGGCGGAGGATGGTGATGGGTGGCGCCCGTGCTGTGGCTGTAGCTCTCAGGCAGGCATTCGATGTTCCCCTCGCGCTAAAGCTAGAAACTGCTGACTCATCCGACGCCAAGAGGTCCAATTGATGGCATGATGTTGAACGACAATCTGCACAACCTCATAGCTATACCCCGAACCGCCTCTCCACTCCAATTGCGCCCACCATGTTCCTCCAGCGCTCTGCCTTCGCCGTCGCCCGACGAGCTGCTCCTCGCGCCATTGCCCGCCGCACATTTACCACCTCCTTCGTCCGCCGTAAGTCCTGACAGGGGAGCAAAGCTATCATACGATCGAACCAGGCCGCTGACCATCCATTGCAGGCGATGCGAACCAGAACAAGGACGCCGGCCACTCCGCCTCTTCCCCTAGCGTTGTAGAGGGCTACAAGAAGCTTGAAGGTACTTCCGCCTGTACCATTGTCTCTCTGTGCCGAGCCCGGTCCCACCCACCGCGAAAGAGGTGACTGAAACGCTTCAATTGCTGATGCACAGCGTGAATAGATATCAAGACCGAGGCCGATCTTCTTCCCCCTGGTGGTGCTAGGCCCGGTACCGTGCCCACTGATCTCGAACAAGCCACCGGTCTTGAGCGTCTCGAAATTTTGGGAAAGATGCAGGGTGTCGATATTTTCGACATGAGGCCATTGGATGCTAGCCGTGTCGGTATGTGAACTTATGCTCCTATGCGAAGGATATTTCGTATTGGAGGGGAGGATGAGAAAATTCGAACTCGTGAGGTTGATATGTTTGCAGGCACCATGGAGGACCCCATCGTCGTCAACTCCGCTGGTAACGAGCAGTACGTTGGCTGCACCGGCTGCCCTGCCGACTCGCACGAGGTTCTCTGGATTACTGTATGGCGCCCTGTTTCTTTTTTGACATGATGCGATTCACGTACTAATGCTATGCAGCTCACTCGTGAGGAGCCCGTCAGTCGCTGCATGGAGTGCGGCTCTGCCTACAAGATGCATTACATTGGCCCAGAGGACGACCCGCACGCACATGACCACGGCCATGGTCACCACGGTATGTTCAGGCCAAGGTCGCACAGTCACCACTATTTATTGACTCCGTAGCAGAGAACCCCTATCCCAGGCCAAAGAACATGGCTGATTTCATCAAGCCGGAATACATGCACAACTAAAGCTTTCTTGCTTAATGCTGGATCCAGAGCTCGAGAAAGACGGTCGTGTATCTATACTATCATACAGTAGAATTTCGTTATCAGCACCCCGACTGCATCATTGTAGTATAGTAGAATTGGAGTAGTCCTTTTGTTTCAGCTTGTCATGCTTGCATACTTCCATGTGCGTCGTCAAGACCACACTAATATACGCTTTAGATTGGTTTTGCTGATGCCACAAATATCTGATAGCGTTGTATGCTATTTACAGTCGACCGTGTCCACGGAATTAGGGCACTCGTCACTCTACGACCCTTTTAATGTCATGATGCCCATGATGTCCCTTTCCATCCGAACTCTCTCGTTGACCTTTGTTTGCTCATCTTGATCTTTGCTCTCTGGTTTCTTTGCAACTTTTCCCTTTGATCGGACGTCGTTCAACTTGTAAACTTTCCTGATCTTAGCCATGTCTGCAAACATGCCTAACTGACCCCCATCCTCACCCTCATCCACGCCCACGCCCTGCACCACCGCCGTCAAGTGGTCGGCGACGCTTGCATTGGTTACTTCTGGAGTGAGAGAGAGTTTGATGGCGATGAGGTTGGTGGTGTCGTCTGCAATGCCGAATTTGCGGTAGGATTCGCCAATATTGTTGTTGGAATGCAGGCGGAAGACTATTTCAGAGTGAGGCGTCCGAGTCCGCAGAGGCGAGGTCGTGGGGGAGAGGACAGAATGGATGGCATGGGCTATGGCGTGGAAGAGGGGCAGGGAAGAGATGATCTAGACGAGTTAGTGATTGGCGAGACGACGGGCGAACGCGTCGTATATAGGAACAATGCAGAATTCGATATGTAATAAACAGAATGTGTCCTACCATGGATGCGTCAAGAAATGCGTAGTCAAATTCTGGATTTGCTTCGAGAAGTTGGGAACGAAGAAAATTGGCATTGGTGACTTCTGTGAACATGGCCACTTGGACTGGATAGTCGTCGAAATGGGGAAGTGAAAATGTCCTGACGATGGCCATTTTCCTTCTTCTCTGTTTCGATCCCGAATTTCCTTGCTCTTCCTTCTGCGACTAATTCTGGTGAATGCTGGTTCCCCCGCTCGCTTTGATGAGAGATTGATGACTCGACGTTGGTGGATTGCAGCGATGCAACTATATCAACGCCTCAGTATGGTATCAATTTTCAGAGTGGGTACGGTCGCCTCTTCAAAAATATGGTTCGTGTATAAATGTGAACGTGGATTTCGGAATCAATCTGTGCTGTGTTTTGTTCTAAAATCACGACCAGATTGGGGGTTTGCGATTGCTAGTCAAATGGGATAGTGACTTGGCGCGCGAGGCACGAGCCAATGGTTCATTCGTTCAAATGTTCTCTGTCTTGTGCACGAGAGTCTGCTTTGTGCACCGATAAGCGATCAATTGTATAGCAGATCGGAAGATGGCAACCGTGATGTTGAATGGTTTGCCCTTGCACGGATAGTACATTGGTACAATGTGCAACTGCGTAGTCGAGCAACATAGATGTGTACTGTACTCGCGTAGAATTAAGCGTTGGGGGAGCAGCGTTGAACCTTCGTCACGGGAAATGATTAGGGAGGGAGGGCAGGCAGGCCGTTGGGGGCAAGCAATCGAGTGACATCCCGCATTCCTCGACCCCCTCTACGCTCGAGGCTGTCACCATCCACGCTTTTGTATCCTCTCGCACGCCGGCCATCACCACGGCCGAAGCTGTGTTGGGCTCGACCGACCTGCCTGTTGGACCGTGAAATGAGCTGCGGCTGACACGCCGAAGCGCCCCGCCCAAAGAGCACATCCCAGCTTTGCGGAGCGGATGACAGGAAGCGGCTTCTTCCGCCACGGCGATTTCCATCAACCGATCTCTGGAGGCACTATTCTTGACCATGGCGCCGAAGAGGCCTTCGGATGGTGACCTGATTCTCCCTCCCTCCTCCACGAAGCTTCCCAAGCCGGAGCCCACCATTGCCCAGAGCCCACCGCCAGCCCAGCACGCGCTGCCTGGCGATTTCTCGGGCCCCGTCAAGAAGAAGCTCGCCAACTCGTCGCGTACCGGGCAAGCGTGCGACAGATGCAAGGTACGTCATATGACTTTGTTTGCACGAGCATCCCCATATCATCTTCTCCCATCCGCTCCCTCCCCACGCGCGCATCCCCGCTGCCATTGTCGTCGGCCATAAATCGCTTCATTTGTGCTGACCGCGTCGCAGGTACGCAAGATACGATGTGACCCACGGCCCGAAGGCTGCTCGCCTTGCGCCCAGAACCGCACCCCATGCAAGACCACCGACAGAATCACTGGCCGCGCAACCACTCGTGGGCAAGTCGAAGCTCTCGAGGGCGAGAATGCCCATCTCCGCTCTCAGCTGGCTGAGCTACAAGCCCAGTTGAAGGACCTGGGTGTAGAACCGCGCACGCCCGCCCACGCAAACCTCGTCCCTCCCCCCAACACGTCTTGGGCATCGCCAGGCGCACCCAATGATTGGAACGAGACTTCTCAGCGCCCGGCGACACCACCGCACATGCCTGACTATGCTCCCGCTTGTGGGCTGGAGAATAGTAAACCGTTGCCGCAGTTCAAGCATGCCTCGTTTGGCGACAACTATCTTGGCCTGTCCTCGCCAGACCCTCTTTTGAGTAATATCAAAGGGACCTCCATATCTGTATTCGGCCAGGACATTGACATCACCGACTTCGTCGACAGTCAGAAATACGACAACTCCGCCATGACGTATAAGCATTTCATCAGAATTGCAATGAACATTGACCGCGTCGAACCTGTGCCTCTACCTGGGTACCAGGATTTGAGCGAGTACTGCAAGATATACCTCCGTTCCCTCAACCCATATACCATGCTGGTCGATAAGCGTGATCTGATGCACCTGGTAAAGACACCTAGCTTTATGACACCCAGGATACTGTTAACCTGATCTAGGTGTGGCGTCTTGGAAACGAACCCCATTTTGAGCCTACCGCAGCCGAAACATCGACTCTTCATGGTGTGCTCGCCACGCTGAAGTATCAGATTGCTGTTCGTAACGGTCAATCGTCTATAGAAGATGCTATTCAACATTATCGTTACGCCCTGAGCTTCTACCAGGAGTTGTTGCTCTCTCATACTTGGCGAGACGTTCAGGCCTTGGCCATCTTAAGCCATCACCTGCGCAACTTTCCGAAGCCTGGTGCAGCTTGGTATATGAGCTCAACCACCTTTTTGCTTGCCGTCGAACTTGGATTTCATCGTTCTCATAAAGCATGGGCAGATGGCAGTAGTAAGATGGACACGCTAGAGATAGAGATGCGCAAGCGCATTTTCTGGACTATGCATGCGCTCCTAATCAATCTCAGCGGCAAGCTAGGTCGGCCTTTGCCCATTTGCCTCGACGAGGTGGACGTCGAATTCCCCGAAGCACTTGACGACAGCCTTCCCGGAGAAGACATCAATGTAACTCCGTTTCGGAAGTGCTCTTTTCAGATTGGTATCCAAATTGCCAAATTCACTGTTCACTTGTCAAGATTGTTCGGGACACTTTATTCGTTGAGCCGCATGGATAAATCTTCTTATGCCGACACTGTGCGACTGCTAGAAGCCGGCCTCCGACAATGGAAAGATGAACAGCCTTACGAATTGCAGGACCCAAACCGTGCTTCTCGCGACGATTTCGTGTTTGCTTTGTTCTTGGAATATTGGTACCAAGAGTACATATTGCTATTGTATCATCCCGCTGTATGTCGATCGAGAGAACCGACAGTGATTAGTTCGAACTCGGATCGATGCTTGGTGGCTTCTCAAAAGATGCTTCATACATGCGATGAGCTCAGGAAGCTGCGGAGTCTTGATATACCTTGGATTAACGCAGTCACTTATATTGCTGCCATTTTCACTACACTGTTCATCAACTTCCAAAGAAAAGACCAAATGGCCTCAGCAGACATGGCTAAGTTACGAAAGGATATGGATCAATGGGTCGATGTTATAGGAGCTTGGGGTCAACTTCTTGGTAAGTTTGTCTTTCAAAATTGGCAAAACACTGTGCTCATTTGATGAACAGGTTCTGGAAATAGATTGCAGCATGCCATCCATTCAATTGTCGAGAGATCACTAAGTGATATTAGCGACAGCATTTTCAAGAGGACAGCGAGTCAGTCCCTAGCTCAAGTTGCACTCCAGGCGCCCCAAGAGCCCCCACCAGCAGACATGTACACTAACGGTAATCACCACGGCCCATATGCGAATTCTGCTAGCACCACGGGCGAATCTACTATGACCACCTCGAATCAAGGCTACACCAATCCGCCAGCCACTGCTATGTACGCCTTCAATAACGGTACTACAAGCAATTCGAATGCCGTAGCTCATCATTCGACTGGTGGATATGAACAGCGGTCGTATGCTAATGATCAAGAGTCTGCCATGGCGCCTTCTCATGCCGCCGCACTCCAAGCGGCAGCGTCTAATGCCGCTTCTTCACGCTCGGAAGATCATTACGGTTACAATAACGCGCAAATCACTAACAACGGCCAACATCCTTATGCATCAACCAACGGCGTCAGCCCTGAGGACTGGAGTCGTTTCTCGAGAACATATATCCAGCAGACGACACCACAGGGCGACTATCTGAATACAGCAACGACGCTCATGGCACTGGGCAGTGGCCGAGATGGCGGGTCCCAATCTCACACCAATGAGAGCCAGGGTATGGGCGATGGGTCCGTGATGCAAGGTCTTGGTACCAATGCCATGCAGTGGCCTGGTGTGCAGACAGGATTCCACTCTAATGGACATCCCGGCCTCTGATTCTCTGATGATCGATGAACAGCTAATCCACGCACTCGTGGTTTGGCTTATTTTTCGTTTCTATTCTTCGGCGCGCCTCGGCGTCCGGTTTCTTGGGTCCTCGCAGTTCCCTTCTCCTAACTTGAGAAGAGCGAGGTTTTCTTCTTCACCCCCTGGTGAACTTCGGCTCCCTTCTTTTTCAGTACATGTGCTTACATCATATTATCATATTCCTTAATATGTCATCATTCTCACCATTCATTTCTATTCTATTATGTACGGATACGATACCACGTCGGGGAATAACTATTTCTATCCCCGCCACTTATTTCTTTTTTCACGAGATGTTCACAGCGTTGATCTACATCTATGTTCGTCTTTTGTATTCCGGTTTTCTGCTTGTTCCTGTGTTCTTTTCGCTCTTGTATTCTTATCCTGTGTAATCGGATTGTCGGTCGGTCAGGCAGTGATCGATAACACAGGGATTGGTAATTACTTGCTGTCTTAGCACTGGACAAAAAGGTTAAAAAGGTGAATATAAGCACGGATACCATGTCTTCCATCGATTATTATAAGAGATCCATATACAAACATGAATGATTCGGTTCTTCTTTTGGTTTGGCACGCAGTGATGGACTTGTGCTAGTGAAAAGCATAGTGATGATTTATCTCTGTCTGATGTATGCATATTTTGTCACGGAGATGTAGTACATATATTTGTCTTTGTTAAGTCCGGGGATTGGTAGATAAATGCTGCTGTGGGGGATTCGAGGGATGGTTTATATATTTACTCATCTAGTACACTCTTATCATCTTTGCGCAAGTGATTGAAAGATTGTAACTCTAATTAAACTCCTTGAGGGGACGAAATTGGAGAGAATATATCTCTAGATAGGTACCCGCATATCATTACCTTCCACAGGAAAGACGTCAAGGATCATGGGGGTCGCTGTTCAACGCGAAGCAAACGAAGAAGAAGAACAACGTCGGAATGGTCCTGATAGACTCTTGGCTCCGAGCTGTAGTGTTTTATCGATTCAAAATGAAGAAATCAAAAATCTTACATCTGAGCAGGGACGTTCGTCCGCTCACGCATGTATGCTTCAAATACCTCTTCCAAGGTCGACGCCATTGTCGGACAAGCCTGAGTGATGGGACAAAGCGCGCAGTCATTGAAAATCTTTGGTCTTCGATTATAATTGACACATCGCTCGCTGACGCATAGCGGCCTGATACCAGTTGCCTGCGGATGAGGATATGTTCGAGGATCCATGGCATGAAGCCACGCATCGCTGGGCGGAATCTTCTTCTTGGGGTCGAGCAAGTCTGCGCTCCTGCAGATCATGATGTCTTTCCTGTAGCTGAGCTTCAGACATTGCTGCGAGATGTAGGTGCCGATGGCGTTGCTCATGTAGTGAGATGTAATGGTTATCTCTTTGCCGCTCTTGTAGGAGCTATCGGGATCCAGGCGTTGCTGTTTCATATCGAAGCCGACGTCGTGTCGCATGGCGTAGTAAACGGGCATTTGCTCCCTCAGGCGTACTTTGCGGCATCGGACATTTTCGTCGGAGAAGAGCCAGGAGAGCGAAAGGGAGGAGGGGAAAGGTTGAAATGGTGATAGTGGGTCGCGTTTTACGTCGAGTTCATCCCCTTCTCTTTTGTAGTAGATGAACGAATTTCCCAGTGCTGATTGGCTGAAACAAACCATTTCTGGGAGTGTGCCGGAGGGGTATTGAGGGCAGAGAAGATCGGCTGGTCCCGATCTGCGAAGCTTTCGCAGCTGCGCGTTGAAGTCTTGAGCTGGTATTTTTCCAGTAGAAGTCAGAGAAAACAACCCCATACGGTGATGGGGCTGCCACTCGAGACTGAGAACCACCGTGGAACCCTTGTCGCAAGTACGGAGACGAGCCGTTGGCCTGGTAGGGATTTCTGAGGATGTACAGCGAGCATCGTGGCCTTTATTTCTACATTCTATTTGGAATGCATCGAGCCACCTTTGCCAGTTTTTTCCGGTTCGCTGACGTTGGAATTTCTTCAAGTAGCTTTTAACGCTGTCCCACGTGATCTGAACATGCTCACATAATTGCACCGTGCCCTGCTTTCCTAGACGTTTGCATTCCAATAACCGCGCAGACTCATCGATCTGCAAGAATCCATAGATGTCGTGCTTCTTCTCGCGAACCCTGAAGAACCGCCGAATATCATGGGGGCTTTCAGGTTGACTGATATGGCGCCACTGCCGGAATTTGCAATCGTCCAAGACGTAATCTTGGTGAGCTTCGTTCCAGCGCATACAGGCATCGCACCGCCCGTCTCTCTGTAGCGATTGCCGGAGTTGAAGCTGAACACGGCGTTCGAGTTTGGAAACGTTTCCCATGTCGACCTGTGCCACATTGCTGTACACACCTCTCATGAACGCCGAGCCGGGATCGAGAAAGCGGAAGAATATCCTGGACACTGAGCGAAGACAGTGTAGCGCAGCGGGATCGTCACATAAAAACCCCAGAACGCACAACAGGATTTCTTCCGGGAGCCAGCTGGTCAAAGGACAGTAGCGAATGTTGTAGACTTGTGCGGCTATCAGTGGATCCATGTTGCGTTGCAGCGTTCTCAGAATGAGATTGGGGGTTTGTTGCTTCTCGGAATTGCGTACGTAGACGAGCTGGCGGCTCCACTCCTCGTTCTTGCGTGTGTCTTTGGCGGATTGGCGTTCAAACCGCCATTTTTGAATGCATCGTACGAGATCCATTGGGACCAGATAAAACGTAGTGTTACTACACCTGGAGGTAGTTTTGTAGCACCTAGGTTCTGTCGACAACTCATACACAAACTGGGGAGGATATCGCCGAAGTGAGTGTTGAGAAAACACCGAATTCGCTGGGAAGACCTTAAATGTTGAGTATATCCGCAGTGAAGCCCACTGACGTAGCATAACGACGATATCGAAGAACAGTGCCAATTGCGAGCGTCGTGTTGATAATCATGATGCTGGTAAGGGCGGCCACGAGCCAACCCCACCATGGGAAACCAGTAGGATCATAGATGACGGTAGCAACGTGACGCACACGATTGTTTATATGAGAACCGTGGATATGGGTTCGTGGAGTAGTCAGTCGCCAGTCGGCCCCGACATCGGCTTTATACTGGACTTCGTTGCGAATCTGACATACCAATGTATAGAGAAATGATCTTGGGTCGCAAGAAGTAGGAAATGTCATAGATAGAAGATATCATGAGAAATTGGTTCTTTGCGACTGACCAATGTATGCCAGGGGACAAAAACGTTGTAATTCAAGCATGGAGTAGTTTTTTTCTGAGCCCAAGTAAAGCGACTACATTAAACATTTCCCAAAGAATGAATAATGCGGGCTTTCACTGGCACGCTGTGCATCAACGGCAAATTCCGATTAGAAACTGCAAAGATAGAAAATGTTTGGTACAAGTCGTTTCTCTGAGCCCAAGTCCGTAATTCACCTCTTGCAGAACCTTATACTTTATAATCAGATCAGTCTAATACCACGCCGAACCCATATTTAGGCTATCTGCCATCACCTATTTTTCTCGAATGACAATATTATGTTGTCTATTGGACACAAGGCTCATATACATAGCTATCGCGCGAGAAATCAAACGCGCTAGCCGGTTTCGTTTGAGTAAGGCACTGCGCCCTTGTCCCGCATAAATACTACCATGGTGGGAAACGGGTGCCTACTCGCTAGGATGCACCCCCTGTTGTCCGCATACGATATTTAAGACTCTATCTCCTCTCCAATGTACAGAGAACTATTTTGTCTTTTTCACCGAAATAAATCAACAATCAAATCCTGGAAGATACACTGAACTCAAAACAATGGAAGAGGCAATCGCAGTCGAGTTGACCGATAGGCCAAAGTACCCTGGCTTAGGTCTTCCGCTCCGGCAGATGCCAGAAGGCGAGTCGTATGCTATGGGTGCGAGCATCAAGTGTGATGGTGCAATCTCTATGATGGTGTCAGTTAGAGAGCTAGCCATGATGGTGATCATGGATCAACTGTCAGACAAAGTGGACTGGCACAAGAAAGTCTTTGATGAAAAGGTCAGTAGAATTGCCATGGTCAGAAGCACATCGCAAACGCTGCTTTTGCTTACCCGACGAAAGATTGTATATGAATGGCAAACCGAAGCTATCGCTGTCCCGGATATTCATTGGGAAAGGCTTGCTATGGGCGGAGAAAATGTTTACAGCAGAAATGATGAAGACGACTCTGCAACTCCAGAATTAAAGGGTATTATTGACAGAGAGACTTTTGAAACGGTATAGTAGGCCTCCGCGATGCCGGAGAGCTGAGCTAACTTTGGCCTGGAAGATCATCAAAGAACTCCAAAACAAGGCAAACCATTTTAAGAAGACGGGTATCATTCCAACATTGGACGCGTCTTCGAGTATCGCGAAATCTGATGTCCTCGTGTCTTTTCAACTGCGCGAGTCTTTACGAGTGGCCTTTCAAGAGATTAAGGATGACCGCGCTGAACGGCGCGACTGGTATCCCCATATGAATGAAATAGTCCAGAATTTAGTGGACCCATCAATGTACCCGTTGGTATATGGACGCAGCCGGGTCGTAAAGGAAGAGCTTGTCGGTGTGGGTGATGCCATTGGTAGATGGGCCGGGAAGGGGTTTCTTCTCGAGAAGAGCAGATCCAGGTTTGAGACCTCGATACCCGAGGACTTATGGTCGGACACATACCAATGGCTTCCCGCGAACGTTGCTTTCCAGAAAGATGGTACAGTCAGATTCACAAGCTATATCAACAATTTACATCCTGTGAAGTTTGATGATACGTATCGTACCATGGAAGAGCTGGTTCGGATCTGTCTGCCAATGTGGGACCAATGTCTTGCAATTGCCTATGACTCTTACGACACCACAGCAGCCGGACGAACTGAAACCCGAATGGCTTATCCGGAAGACGCTGACGAGGAGGTGAAGAAGAATTGGATCCCATCAGACCCACAGGAGTGTGCGAATATCCCGGTCAATTGGGATGAACACGAGGACCACGATTATGACCCAGAATGGGATGATGAAGCCGAGAAAAAGTGGGAGTTACTCCGGAAGCCTCGAATCCCCGAAGTTCCGTTCGAGGACATTAGTTATATACAAGAAGAGGACCAGAAGCTGGCCAACGTGTTTAATGACTCGGGATTGCAGATCATTGTCAAGATGACTTCGATTGAGCTTACCCCAGAGAAACCGAATTTTACCGGCAGTAACTGGCTTGTGGAAGGCCAGATGAACGAGCATATTGTTGGAACGGCGCTCTACTATCTTGACATCGAAAATGTGACGGACAGTCAAGTTTCGTTTCGCATGTCGACCGACAGCTACATAAACGAGGATATAGATGTCGGTAAAGGGTGTTACCACTGGTTGCAGAAAATTTACGGTACTACACTGTACGATGGATCGCTGGCTTTGCAGCACTACGGGGACGTTCAGATCCGCCCGGGCCGGCTCCTTGCCTTCCCAAACAATTTTCACCATGCTGTTTCGCCGTTCTCTCTTACCGACAAGACTAAACCGGGGCATATGAGATATATCGCATTGTGGCTTGTGGACCCAAATCAACGCATTATCTCCACCGCAAACGTGCCTCCGCAACAGCAAGATTGGTGGATAGAGGCAACTCTTGGAAGGAATGAAACAACTCGTTCAAAAGCCATTTCGAAGATGCCGGGCGAAGTTGTTGAATTGATGAAGGATCGTTTAGCTGGCATCGATGTCACAGCGGCGCAGCCCATGAGACTTCCACAGGAGCTGCAGAATATGGTTCACGAGCACTTTTGCGCCGGAGATCATACATCGCCGATGACTGCAGAGGAGGCTACAGAACATAGATTGAAGCTGAAGGAGGAACAAGATTGTTCTGCTCAAGTGAGGCTAGATGGTTGGTACTCGAACATGTACAACTTCGCTTAACACTGATCTCCAGTGTAACACAGAGTTTGAACGCGATTGGCTGTTGAGTGACCAGTCAGCATTCTGTACCCTATGGTTCGATGTGGGTTTCCGCGAATACAAATTCGAATACCTCAGTCTTTCTTGGTAATTGCTCTCCTTTTTTTTGATATTCCATTATGGCTGTGAATACGGCTCTGCGTAGGAACAGCCCAATTCCAACTTCAAAATTCATCAGCGCACAACCTCCGGACCCACATTGCAGGATGTTGCTTTTAACTTCGCCTATTATTTCTGTCTCAGAATCTCACTCAGGTATATGAACTCTAAGTAATACACGACTTGATACCCTGCCTTCGAGATGGGGCTTGGGAGTTATGTACATCTCTCCCGTCTCTCAAAGCTGGGCGGTTAGCGAAGAGAACATGCAGATAGGTCGATCCTGAATTTGGAAAGCTTCATTATTCACGCATTAGCCAGCCTTGAGAGTGGATGATGTGTTCTCCACACGGAGTTTTGCCCCACCATCCTACATCATAATAAGCCTAGTGTGAAAGGAGCACGCTGCTCTCTGGATCTTCGGTCCGTCACTCATCCTTCAGTCCCTTTTGCTCAAGCTATATGTATTATTATTTCCCAATTCTCTCCATCAATCACCTGATAACTCACCAACTTCTTCGCATCGGTGGTTTAGTGGTAAAATTAGCCGTTGCCAAGCATTCGATTCCTCGAGTGAAGCAACATCGGCTAGCCCCGGGTTCGATTCCCGGCCGATGCAATTGAAACGATTTCTTTTTTGTTGTTGACGTTCACGATGCTAAGTGAGGGTTGAGGGGGCCGGGGTGGAGCAGCACGTGGCGTAGAACATTTCTGGGCTGGAAGTTTGCGTGCTCCACATTAGTGCGAATTTGCTTTTGCTTTTGGTAATTGCGATATAATGTAGGAGTCCGGCATTTGACAGTGGATGTGCAGGCTAGAAGTCTTGGATGCAAATCTCCCACAGAGCTTGAACTGTGAATTGCAATCTTGTCTGTAGAGAGGGTTCAGCTGTTCTAGTTTAGCTGCCAATGTTCCGACCCTTAGCTTTGGGTGGTCTTGGAAACAGAGGAGACATATCCTGTAGCCTTGCATTGTTCATGTATGACTGTGATGGAGCCGTCCATAAACGAATGGAGAGAACAAGATAGAAGTCATATTGGTGGTCGGAAACCGGGCGCTTGGTACGATGTATAAATTAGAAAGGAGTGTTGTCTGATGAAGGCTCAGGGCTCATCGTGGTAACGTGTAAGATCTGCAATATTCAGTGCGACGTGTGACCAGTTAACATGGACGTTTCGAGCTATTGGATCTGTTATGAGGCTCTGCGAATCCATGTAATGCATGAACAACGCAAGGACAGGGTCTTGTGTAGCTTGGAACATGATCAGTAGGCGATCAGTCTTTGAACCCTTTAATTGAGTTGGCGCCAGCCTAATTTCGGGATCAAATGGAGGGCAGCCATAGGAAAACTGGTGTACTGCATGTTTACTGTTTTCCCATGGATGAAGTTCCAGCGTGAATCTGGTCAGTTATCAAACAAAAGCACATCCATGTTGGACGCATGAAGTTAGTGTCGTCAATCGATGGAGCGGGAAGTCAGGAGGTATACGACGAGAACAATATCTCCAAAGAGTCATGGTTGCTAGCAACATTTTACCCGAATCTAGAGCGCAAGCAGATTGAGACTCCACGAGAGACGAGCGTTCGTCAGGAGAGATGCAGTGATCCACCATGATGCAGTTGAACAGCTCGAAGTTGGTCATGAGAAACAAACGTGATGATGGGATGAGCGATTTTTTTTCTTTCGTTGTGATTTCTTTCGTTGTGATGTCGTGCACCGCGCACAGCACACCTCGATCAGGGAAGAAGCCTCGGAAGGTGAGCTAGTCGAGCCTCATTGCTCCAGACTCCACTCGACATTCGGTGCAGGTCCGCTATTTTGGTCCGTTGCCGGGGTATTATCGAACAACGTCACGGTCAAATGACCAAGAAAAAAGTGCTCGTGGAGACGAAAGAGGGGACGGTCGCATGTCCCAAGTCGGTTCATCATCGGTGGTGCCCCAGCCCGTGGCCCGTGGGGAAGAGAAACATGTGTCGAAGCCCACAGGTCGGACCGATACCCCAGCTGGAGTAACAGTCGCAGCGGAGCTCCACTACTTCTGTCAAGTGCACCACTCATGGCTCGAACGGCATTTGAGAGTGCCGTGGGGGTTATTATGAACGTGGAGTACAACTGGGTCCGCCTAATACATTCCTGGCCACGGCGCGAGCAAATACATGCTTGACAAGTTGATGTCGATGCCGACGTTGGGAACCGAGGTCTTTCACACTAGTTCGCGCACGCTGGTCCAGGATGACGCCTGTAAATGTCCCTGCAGAACGCGGAGCTTTACAGGAATCTCAGCGACGGGGCAGGGAATAGCAAGTCGTGGAAATCCCCATCCCCCGCTTACCTGAGTCGCGGTAATTGTGGGAGTGTGGGAGTACATTTTTCTGGGGTCGACAGCCAGGGGGATGTGAGCCTCAGAGTGTGAACACAACACGAAGCATTTGCGTTTGGATCAAGAAGAGGAGGGAAGGCAGAGGAAATGTAAATGAAAAGGTACAATTCAGCCAATGGCCCTTTTTTCCAAATCATCGTAATGCCAATTGCCAATGTGCAACGGTCGGCCTAACGAATACCCACAAGCACGAGGTTGGCTCAGAGTTGTGCACACGCCCCAGCTTGTCTGCCGCTCGGCACCAATAATGACGTGGATGCCCAGATCTCCACTCTCCATAATGGTTAATCTTCGGCCCAACGACTTTCATCAAGAGTGGGCTTGCATGCTGCAATGAGATTGGCAAAATGTGGGCGACTAGGATGGCAGGGCAGGTGTCTATAAGAAAGGCAGCGGACCTCGACAATTGATGTTTTTTTCACCGCACTCGGATACTCCAGTGAGTCGATACACCATGGCATCTTTCCTGTCTTCAGTGATCGCCGGCTCAGCGCTGCTCAGTGCAGTGACTGCTCAGAACTTTGATGGAGGTCCATCCAGTGATGGTGGTTTCGAATATGTTCAGCCATTGAACACCACCATCTTGGGAGAGTATGGCCATTCGCCAGCCGTGTACCCTTCGCGTACGTATTGTCCCACCAGGTGAATCATAGAAGTCGTAGCTAACATCGTTCCAGCAAACATCACTGGCATCGGTGGCTGGGAACAAGCTTTGGAACAGGCCAAAGCTTGGGTCGCGCAGCTCACACTCGAAGAAAAGGCTGACATGGTCACTGGCCAAGCCGGTCCTTGCGTGGGCAACATTGTGGCTATTCCCCGCCTCAACTTCACCGGTCTATGCCTTCACGATGGCCCGCTCGCTATTCGTGTTGCCGACTACACAAGCGTATTCTCCGCAGGTGTATCTGCCGGTGCGACCTGGGTACTTATCGCCAACTCGTTATCCATACTACTCTTCGCTAATGATTCAATAGGACAGAGACATCATGTATGAGCGTGGTGTTGCCATGGCCGAGGAATTCAAGGCCAAGGGCGCCCACGTCATCCTAGGCCCAGTCGCTGGTCCTTTGGGCAGATCTGGTTATGCAGGCCGAAACTGGGAAGGGTTCAGCAGTGATCCTTACCTAAGTGGTGTTGCTATGGAGGAGACTATCAATGGCCACCAAAACACTGGTGTTCAAGCCACGTATGAACCAACCTTCGTCCAACCTTATACACCCAAATCTAACAAATTTGATCGATAGAGCCAAACATTGGATAGCAAACGAACAGGAAGTCCAGAGAAATCCGGTATACTCCAAGGAGAACCCCACCGTCAAGACCGAGGGTGCCCTCTCCTCCAATCTTGATGACCGTACCATGCACGAGCTCTACATGTGGCCATTTGCGAACGCCGTCAGAGCTAAGGCTGCCAGCTTCATGTGCTCGTACCAGCGCATCAACGGTAGCCACGGCTGCCAGAACTCTGCCTCCCAGAACGGACTCCTCAAGGGAGAGCTTGGTTTCCAAGGCTACATTATGTCAGACTGGGGTGCGACCCACTCTGGCGTCGCTTCCATTGACGCAGGTCTCGACATGAACATGCCCGGTGGCTTGGGCCCGTACGGAATGAACTTTGGAGAGCCCTCTTTCTTCGGCGGTAACATCACCATCGGCGTGAACAACGGCTCCATCTCTCGTGTTGATGACATGGTTATCCGTATCATGACCCCTTACTTCTGGCTCAAGCAAGATGCTACGGATTACCCTAGCGTCGATGAGAGCAGCGCCGACATGAACACCTTCTCTCCTCGCAGCACCTGGACTCGTAATTACACCTTCACTGGCACTCGCAGCCGTGATGTACGTGGCAACCACGGCGAACTCATTCGCAAGCATGGAGCTGCTGGCTCTGTCTTGCTCAAGAACGAGAACAAGGCACTCCCTCTCAAGGCCCCCAAGAACATTGCTGTCTTCGGAAACGATGCTGGCGATGATGTCTCCGGTCTTCTCAACCAGGCTGACTTTGAGTTCGGTACTCTCGCCGCTGGTGGTGGTTCCGGGACCGGTCAATTCTCTTATCTCATTACTCCTCTCCGCGCCATTCAAGACCGAGCTATGGAGGATAAGTCGGTTGTGCAGCACTGGCTCAATAACACCTACATCACCACTGTGGAAGACTGGAACAATGTCTGGCTTCCCACCGTTCCCGATGTCTGCCTCGTAATGTTGAAGACTTGGGCTGGAGAAGGTGATGACCGCAAGCACTTGAGCGTGGATTGGGATGGTGACAAGGTCGTTGAGTCCGTTGCTCGCGACTGCAACAACACCGTCGTTATCACCCACTCTCCTGGTATCAACACCCTTCCTTGGGCTGACCACCCCAACGTTACCGCGATTCTCGCTGCCCATTTCCCTGGTCAGGAATCCGGACACTCTCTTGTCGATGTCCTTTACGGCGAGGTCAACCCCTCCGGCCATTTGCCCTACACTATCGCCATGAACGGCAGCGACTACAACGCCCCTCCTACCACTGCCATCAACACCACTGGTTTCGATGACTGGCAGTCCAACTTCGACGAGAAGCTTGAAATCGACTACAGATACTTCGATGCGCACAACATCTCTGTGCGCTACGAGTTTGGATTCGGTCTCTCTTACACCACCTTCAACATGTCCGATTTGGAGGCTTCCCCTCTTGCATCCGACATCTCCTCGTTCCCCGAGGATCTGCCCATCGAGCAAGGTGGCAACCCGGCTCTTTGGGAGGCTCTTTACAACGTTACCGTTTCCGTCTCCAACACGGGTGACGTTGCCGGCGCTGCTGTCCCCCAGCTTTACGTCGGACTTCCTTCTTCTGCACCTGCAGGAACCCCCATCCGCCAGCTCCGAGGTTTCGACAAGGTTCACCTTGAGACTGGTGAGTCCAAGTCGGTCGGTTTCGAGCTCATGAGGAGAGATCTCAGCTACTGGGATGTTGTGAGCCAGCAGTGGGTCATTCCCGAGGGTGAGTTCACCTTCTGGACTGGATTCAGCAGCAGAGATCTGGTGGCTGAGAAGAAGGTTACTGTTGTCTCATAATGTTAAATGGACGTAATGTAATGGCGGAGGTCCTTTTATCTGTAAATATCTGCATAATGATAACGTGTCCAACGAGCTATCCTGTGTACTCTTTGTGATCAATTTCGCTCATTCGCTCCACATGTCCTCTCTATTGCGTGCAGTCTAGATCCCGCAAAAAACAAGATTGACGCTATGAATGCTTGTTGATCAGTCCTCTAGCTTCAGCTCACGCTTTTTACAGCGTTTTGGTTAGCCTGATGCATGTGACTAATTGTTTCTGTAGCTCCAGATGTCTACTACAGCTGGGCTCTCCTGGGAACGTGAAAGTCAGATAATAAGCGCCACGCTCTATGCAAAAACACCTAAAGTACACTCAAAACTAGTACTTTTATATTACAAGTAGTATTATCATATGATAAAAAACTAAAAAATAATTATAAAGCTGTAAATTAGCGTGAACCCCGTTCTTGTACGTAGAATGTCTTAGAAATTTAAGTAGAAGTTGGATTAAAAACAAATTGTTTGTGTAACCGTTTGCCTGTTTAGTGTCGTCTCCATTTCCTTCCACCAGCCGCCCACCAGCCACCTACCACCACCCACCATGCAAAAATGTCAGGCCCATATGAACCGAACCTCTACGAACAGCAGTTCAAATATGCCGAGGAGCTGTTTGAGCAAGATGAGTACGACAAGTGTATTGAGAAAATAAAGAAAAACCTTAGGTAATTACCTTTCTCGATGAGCACGTCTAATAGATACCTAATACACCACCCTAGCGATGATTCTATCCCTCTTTTCTACTCTATGAAGAACTGCATCCTAATTGCCTGCGCAATCGAAGGCTGGGACGAAGCAGAAACGTACAGGCTTCGCGCGGAGCAGCTTTATAAGCAAGGTCTCGGTAAGATCAATTCACGCAAGCGGGTACATACAGCAGCATCATTGCTAACTTCATGCCCCAAATCAGTAAAATCCACCCAAGGGAAGGATCAAATCTCACTCATGGCTCTCCGTGATGTGCGCGAAGAATTGGATGAGCTGAGGGCATTTAGAGATGAGGATCTTTATGGTAAGGATTATTGAGTATCTCCTCGCGTTTTTCACATGCTGAAATCTTTAGGGATACCAATCCCTACCGGTGAGGTCTACGAAAGCGGGGACGTAAACGATCCTGAAGACCTCGATATGGAAGACGCTGAAGCAGAGGCGGATGTTGGCTTTGAAGCTGCTGAAGCTGTTGCCCAAGCAGAGTTTGAGATCGGCGCCACGGAAATCTTCCCCATTCGTGAAAAATGGCAGACCGACCCCCTCAGTCCCCTCAGCCCGGGCTGCAACTCTTGCCGTGCCTGACGACAAAAAAAAAGGACCGCAGCGACAAGGACATCAAAGATAAGTTGGGTCCGGTTCGACGCATGAAGAGCATGAAATTCAGCATGAAGGGGAAAGGTGGTGGTAAACACGCGAACGAGTTTGCCAAGTCGCAGTCGTCATCTGCCGGGAATGCTCGCGGAAGTATCCTAGATTACAACTGGATGCCAGAGACGGGAAAGGAATAGAACTTCTGTCGTTAGCTTAACGAGAATGCAAAGAAACCTGGTATACTCCAAGGAGTCCGTCCCCCAGCGCTGAAAACACTCTGTGTCGCCAGACTCAATCTCGGGTCTCCTGATTTCCGAAGAACCCCGCTCTTGTACGTAGACCGTCTTAGGAGTTTCCTGGCACCCTTTGAAGTAAACTCAGCAATTCCTCCTTTCAACAATGTCATTGGTCGAATGTTGCATGCTGCGTGTGACCAGAATGCCACCGCTTCCGTTGTCAAACGGAATTACGCTTTAGTTCCCGCTAGCATTGGATCTATAATTTCCGAATGGATACGAAAGTACGATTGGTCGTTCTCATCCAGTGGTTCGCTGGCAATTCTCTGAGATCTTCGCGATGATTGGAATTGTCTGATTCTAAACGAAACTCTAATTGGATCGGTAGGACACGATTGACCCCATCAACGCCATCAAGAGTTGTCATCTCGCTAAAAAGGAAGGACGCAAAAACCAAAATGAGAGAGAACAGAAAGAAAAAACAATCTGGACGAGATCTCAAGCTATCGCAAAAACCCAAAAAAGAGAAAATGCCGGGGGAGATCACCAGCTTCGGAGTCTATGTGCCCAATCGCGACAGATGGGCATTGCGCCACCACTGCACATATCTAGCTGAACACCGTGCACGACGTGGATCATTCCTATTCTATTGACGCCACGATATCTCTTTCGCAAGCTGCACACCTCATCCATATGCACAGGTCCCACACTGGACCCAATGGTGACCCGTCATTCGCGCAGCTCAGATGTAGTCGCCTAGTTATACTGTACTCGATAACACACCATATGAAATTGGATGCCATGATTTGTCTGCCCCATCAGGACTCCAACTCACTTATGACTTACGGCATTCTGCCCGCAGCATTCATATTCTAGCTGCTTCACGTAAAAAGAAACTCCCCTAAATAGTATCGAACAGCAAATACCTCCTCCATTGCGGTGTGCATTGTACTTTGCTATTTAATTCATTATGCCCAGCCAACTCAAATCGTTCCTCGGAACGATAAGGAAGAAGCCGACGAAGGCACCAGACGGAAGACCAGACGAATCGACAAACGGCATGGCAGCAACAAACGAGAAGACGAGTATTGTTCATGACCTGACACACCTCGGTGTCAAAGACACCATTGGAGTGGCCGAGGCCATTCCCAAGCTTGCAAGCGGGGAGCCCATCGATGACAAGAGCAATTTGCTCGAGCATGGAGTAGCAATGCTGCAGGGTTTGCCGGCTAACAGTGGACTTGGTGAGAAGGCAGCAAATGGCTTCATCAAAATGCTTTGGCATGATTTACCGCACCCTCCTCCCACCCTAGCTGGCCCTAACTCTCGATATCGACGACACGACGGCGGCGACAACAATCCTTGGAATCCTGAGATGGGGAAAGCGGGATCGCCATACTCCCGGAGTGTGCCACCGCTGAAGACCAAAGGCCCCAATCTACCTAATGTAGAAGACGTGTACGAAACGCTGCTCAAGCGTGAAGGGCCCTTTCGAAAGCATCCTTCTGGCCTTAATCGTCTCTTCTTCTCGTTCGCGACGGTGGTCATACACGAATGCTTTCAAACTTCTCGGAAAGACCCGTGGATCAACGAGACTTCGAGCTATGTGGATCTGAGCACTCTCTACGGCAACACTGAGAAAGAGCAGCTGCGTGTAAGGACATACAAGAGTGGTTTGATTTACCCAGACTCCATCGCCTCAGAGCGTATTATGATGATGCCGCCTGGTGTCGTTGCGGTACTACTCATGTTCTCAAGGAATCACAACTATATTGCCGAAAGCCTGCTTTCTATTAACGAAGACGGGAAGTACAAGCCTTGGGATAAACTAGACGAGGATGGACAGAAATGGTAAGTTGTTTTCAAAATGTAACTGTGCTAGACCAAAACTTACGCTCGTCTAGGCAAGACAACGACATTTTCCAGATTTCACGCAACATCAACGTTGGTTTCTTCGCCTCTTGCGTCCTAAAAGATTACGTCGCTGCAATCCTCAACACACCGCGTGCAAATTCGACTTGGACGCTCGATCTCGGCAAAGAAATCCGCGATAAAGGAACCCGCGTCGAACGCGGGACAGGCAACGTCGTATCTGTCGAGTTCGCCGTCCTCTATCATTGGCATGCTGCTCTCAGTGCCGCGGACGACAAATGGATGGAAGACATCATCCGCCGCACACACCCGCATGTCGAGTCTGTCGACGACGTCACTGTCGACATGTATCGGCAGATCATGAAAGACTATGGCCATGAGTTTGCCAAAACCGAACCGCGTAAATGGACTTTTGGTGGTCTCCAACGTGGTCCTGATGGGCGCTTCGACGATGCGCAGTTGGCTGATCTGATCAAAAATTGTATTGAAGAGCCTGCTCATGAGTTTGGCGCCCATGGGACACCAGCTAGCTTGAAGGTGGTAGATCTCATGGGACAATTGCAGGCTCGTGATGTCAGTGCTTCAGTCTCCAATCATAAGATAACCAAACCGAGGACTGACATTTATTCCACCAGGTTTTCAACGTGTGCACCCTGAACGAGTTTCGCCGCTACCTGAACCTCCAAGCGTACAAGAACTTCGAAGAATGGAACCCAGATACCAAAGTAGCCAAAGCCGCAGAGCTCCTTTACGGCAACATCGAAAATCTCGAGCTATATCCTGGCCTCATGGCTGAATGTACGAAACAGCCCATGCCAGGAAGTGGCGTGTGTCCTGGCCAGACCACCGGTCGCGGTATTCTAGATGATGCGGTTGCTCTTGTTAGAGGGGATCGCTTTTTGAGCTACGACTTCAATAGCAATACCTTGACGCAGTGGGGGGCTGCGAAACTCCAGAGCACTCCACCTGGCTCTTACGGTGGGATGCTACCTCAGCTATTTTTCACTGGACTTCCTACTGCTTTTACTGGCACGTCACCTTATGTGTTACTGCCATTTTATACACCGGAGGCTGCGAAGAGTATCCTCAGTGATAATGGGGTTTTGGCCAAGTACGATATTGCTAGATCTCCGAGCAACCATCGAGTGATCAGTATCCAAACGCACGAAGCTTGCAAGAGAGTGTGGGAGGACCGCAAAACATTCGTCGTCATGTACCAAGCGGCTATTCGGAACTGCACAGCAGGCAACGATTGTAAGTATCCCTTTCTCGATATCCATCATCCCCAGCTAATGATATGTAGTCATGATCGGCTGGGATGACGCCAAAAAGCACGACACTCGCTCCACCATCCTCCACAAAGTCTTCTTCGAGAAAGGCTTCGAGCAAAATGCTTCCGAATTCTTCCGCACAAACGTCAAATCCCTCATCGCCAAAAACTCCCTCTCTTTCAAGAAGGGTCGCAAGTCCATCGACATCGTCCGCGACGTAACAAACATCACACCCATCCTCTGGCTCGCAGACCGCTTCGCCCTCCCCCTCAAGACCCCCGAACACCCCCGCGGCCTAATCACCATCTACGAAGCCTTCACGGCATACCTAGTACTCTTCATGTACCAAAGCTTCAACATCATCCCGGAGAACGAGTTCAAGCTCCGCGAAGGCGCCATGAAAGCCGCAGAACCGCTCCGCAAGATCTTCGAAGCACACCTAAAATCCCAACAAGGCCTCAAAGAGCACCTTGTAGACTGGCTGGCCAAAGGCAGCGCCTTCGAAGTCGGCCCTACCGCCGACCGTCTGTACCACGCGTTGAACGACAGCGGGCTACCGCTCGGCGAGAAGATTGGAGATTGCATAGGGATGGGTGCGCCTGTTGCGGGCAACATCACACAGCAGGCTTCGTTGCTGATTGATTTGTTTTTGAGCGAGGGTTATGAGGTTTACAAAGACCGGATTGTGGAGCTTGCGCACAGAGAGGATGACGCTTCCGAGAGGGAGCTGCAAGGGTTCGTTATGGAAGGGATGAGGCATGCTGGTGTGGTTCCAGGTCTACCTCGCATTGCGACTAGAGATATCACCATTGATGATGGAGTTCGCGGTCCTGTTTTCGTTCCGGCTGGTCATACGATTCTGATCGCCACGTCGAGGGCTGCGATGGATCCGCTTGCGTTCCCGGAGCCGGACAAGCTGAACCCGCATCGGCCGTTCAAGGATTATATCCTGCTGGGGCATGGGCTGCATTTCTGCTTTGGCGCGAGGCTTGTGGGGTGTTCCTTGGCTGCTACGTTGAGGGAGGTGTTCAAGTTGAAGAATGTGAGGCGTGCGCCGGGGAAACAGGGGAGGTTTACGATTACGGAGCATGAGGTTGCTGGGGTGAAGATGAGGCATTATCTTGATTCTAACGCGAAGGAGTCGCCGATTCCTACGAGCTTGACGCTGCATTATGATGAATGAGGGCAAGAGTGGCAGGGGCAAGAATGTATGACGGAACGAGTGGATTAGTTGGGTTTGGAAATGCGATGCGTTCGATTAAATGATCTGTCTATCTTTCAATGCAAATATACTCGAGTGCTGGTCAAGGTCTTGGATAACGAACTCCCAAGACAAGGTAGTGACAAGCGTAGTGTAAGGGCACGGCTTTACAATAGCTCTTTCCAAATGTCTTTCAATGAGTCAATTAGTTCAAGCTATGGAGTTTCGGACTATGCGGTGTCAGTGATGGAGAGGGTCAGAGAGAGAGCAAGCAGGCCTTGTTATTATCAAATATCATTTACCATAACCACAGATATAAATATCATCATCCAATGGACAGATTCCACTTCAATGTGGAACACATGCTATCATCACCATCATCTTATAACACACCCAAACATTAAATCCTGAGCCCCGGGAACAAAGAAGAAACTTTTCACCAACATATCCAGAAATCTGAGCCTACACAACAGCATCTGGGTGTTCGACCCTTCTCTTCGCGGTCCCAATCCCCGAAACGCCCTCCTCCTGGCCTTCTCCAAGCCAAGGCTTAACTTGTTCAGCCAATGTCCCCTGCCTCAAGAAGTAAATGACCTGGCCCACAAGAATCAACACGAACGCAATGGGATACATCCAGTGGATCTGCAAGTGGAAGACCTTGACACCAATAGCCACACCCCAGAAATTACCCGTCAACAAACTGATATTGAAGAAGGCTGCCGAAGTGAGACGGAACATGACTGGCGCAAGTGTATAGAACAAGAACAGGATAAGAGTGTATCCAGTAAGGTAACCGCCGACGGCAGAATTCCACGTAGCAGTTCGGAACGAAGCGCGATCGAAGATGCCCGCTTGTGCGCCGTTGATCAGCATACCCCAGAATCCGAGCTGGCCAACAACTTCGTATAGCGGACGCTCACTGACGAGGTACTCTTCGAAGACGTTGGTGATACCGTATAGGGTGGCTCCGAGGAGGGCGAAGAGGTCACCTTTAAGAGCGTCTGCGGCAGGGAAGTCGTTGTATTTTGTGAGGTGGTCGGAACCAAAGAGGATGCCCATTCCTCCGATGCAGAGGAAGATTCCGAGGACTTGTAGGTAGTGGTAGCGTACGCGGAGGAAGAAGAACGATATGCACACGACGACTACGATCGCCCAGAAGTTTATGAGCTGCGCAGAAAGGATGGTAGTCTGGTAATTTGGTCAGTTTCCATCCTTCTATTTCTATTCGTTTCCCCGCTTTTGTATTGCATAGGGGAACTTACGTATCTGTACGCCAGAACGACGAAGTAGTTACCCTCGACGTCGAAAAACGCGAGGATCAGGAAACGCCAGCCATCCTTGATAACCATGCGCCCCCACTTCTTGAACCCGTATTTGTAGAGCGTGTAGCCGGTGTAAACAATGTTGAGTAGGACGTAATTGAAGAAGGTCTGGAAAGCAGGGATGCTGGTGCCTTCGAAGGAGAGCAACTGGCTGAGCGTGTTGGTGGAGGTAATGCAGATGGCAAGAACTATTCTACATGTCAGCTTCTACGAATCTCACCCAGGAAAGGACATATAGCAAAACGGGGTGAACATACCCTGGCCCAAAAGCAGCGCAAGCCAAAATTGTTTCGTCTTCACGTAGGCAAACCACTGCCCCTTGGTCTGCGCATCACTCTCCAGCACCGCATTTCCACCCTCGGTGGTACTCCCTCCATCCACAAACTGCGCGACGCCGTGTCCGTTCCCGGATGCCGCCGCCGTGGTGGTGGTTACCGCGTCACTGCCTTTCGGCTGCACGATGTGCGTTTCCGCATCGATCGCACTGACGCCGCCGTCGGCCTCGGCGCGCTTGCCGTAATGCTCTTGCACAGCTGGTGTTGGGGCTGCCATTCCGAGACTTTTCCTTCGCTCGGTTGGTATAGAAGTGCAGTATGCGCGAAGCGTGATAGAGGCGAAGAGACGATTTCCGTAAAATGAATTGGAGCTTTTCTGCCCGTCTTGCGATGGGTATACGCGAGCGCAAAACTCCAAGAAGTCGCTCACGGGGTTGACAATGCTTTCAAGGCTCTTTACTCATTAGGGTAAAGAAGAAGTCGAAGCCAATGCGCAAACAAATGCGACGAGTAAGATTCGAGGGACGGCGGTGAATCTGGCTTGTGAAAGGCGAGAGGGGAAGAGGTGAGGGGAAGGAAGGCAGCTCTTTTTCAGATGAGAAAAAACGTAGATAGCGCCACCCACTCTCATCCACAGCTCTCGAATACGAGCATCGCATACGCCAAAAAAGAAGAAAAAAAAAAGGCTCGGGGGTCATGAGCTAACCAATTATCGATGGCAATGTCCGTCCAGCCTCGGAGCTTGCCAGAGAGGATTGGGAGTGGGGAGGAGCTCCATTTTGCCCAGATCGTTCCCGAGTGGAATGGCCAGGGTGCGGCGCAAGCTTGGTGGTTGTTAGGCGTGTGTAAGCGGCGATTTGTTCTGCAGCTTCGCGATTAGGCGAGGGCCGCCTGAGCATGTGTGGCTCGGGACTTTTCAAGAGGTTGCTTGCTTTTTGTTGGTGGAGGCAAATTTCTTCTTGGGAGGGAGGGGTTGATTTTGGCTTGGAAAAGACATCTAGAGTGAGTGATGAGGGGCGCGTTCCATGTGAAACGGAATAACGACCGCAGAAGATAGGAGCTCTAAGCATCGCTAAGTAAAAAGGCATTTCATCATGACTGCATACACTGAAAGACTGTTGACCCGTCAACTTTAGATGGAAGAAATAAAATTAGAAAACATTCAGCATCTCTGCCTGTGGAGCTTAGTATCACTCGTGTTGATCACCACTTGTGGCTTCTTCCTGCCATACTTTATATCATCGCTCAAGGACTTTCAGATCCGACCTCCAACTTCAAGCCATATTCTTTCAGCTTTGCAACGAACGCTTCGCCCAGCGTGGCAGGCGTCAAGATCCCACCACCAATCTTTCCCGCCTCAGTGTCCTCCAGCCGACCCCTCAAGATAACATCAGCGGCTGCACTCAGCGTCAACCCTGTAATACCGTAGCCCCCGAGGGCAATTTCCAATCTGCCGTACACCTTCTCCTTCTTCTCTGTGTCTGTGATGCCCACAGCTCGGTATATCATGACATCCTTCTTCATCGCCTCCCTGGACGGTCCTTGCCCCTGAGGCATTGTCCGACGGATGATGGGTGCTAGGAGCCAGCGAGAAGGTGGGAGAAGCATCAAAAGCCCGCCGAAAGCGAGGCCAAATTTCACGATCAGGCCAAAGAGGAGCGATTTGGCGCGCATATACTCGTCGAATCGAAATCTTGGGCCGTATGCAACTTGCGGCTGCGAGCGCTCCTTCGCGCTGGTTTCGTAAAGACCCCATGAGCGGTGCGTAATGCATGTGTCTACAGAAGCCATGAGCCAGGTCGTTTGAATCCCGCCAATCTCGGGGAGGTTCAAGAGCCCGAATAGCCTGTAGAAGAAGCTTCCCTTGGGAGGGCTAGATGGAGCTGTAGGACGCACAGGTGAGAGTGAGAAAGGCTTCATGGATTCCCCCAAATGCGCGGGTGAGAAATTCTCGAACAGTCCCAGAATGGAGTGTGTCGTGCCGCCACTGATGCCTGATTTCCCCTCATAAAGGGACATGACGACGTTGGCGGTGGGCGCATTGAGCGTCTTCCGGATATAGTTCGTCAGCGCAAAAGCCATTATATCGGCCGGGACACTGTCAAGACCACATTCAGGGATGATGATGGCTCCGTTTTTCTTGGCCGTGTCGTGATACTTTGCGACCATGTCGTAGATCCAGGGAACTTCGCCGGTGCAGTCCAGGTAATGGGTCCCGGTTTCTGCGCACGCTGCCAGTACGGGCTCGCCATACTGTGCGTAAGGGCCAATAGTAGTGATGATGAGTTTTGTCTTTTCCGCAAGTTTGACGAGTTGGTCTTTCTCTTGCTCGCATGATTCAATGTCTGTTTGCGGTGGGTTAACGCTGCTTTGCGTGCGGACCAAATTTCGTCGCATGGCTGGGAAATGATCCATTCAACATCTCTTACCTGGGAGTTTGCGGTTTGGATCGATTTGGGCGAGTTCGTCAACCACGCCTTGGAGCTTTTTCGCGTTGCGGCCTGCAACAGCCCACTTGAGATCCTGCGGCAGTTGCTTGGTGATCCATTCCGCGACGATCAAGCCGGTATAACCCGTCGCTCCGAGCAATACAAGCTCATACTGTTTCTCTTGTGCCATCGCTCAGCAATGGATGCTTGATGATGAAGTTGGAAGGTGAGATCAGACTTTCACTTCAAATGTTGATGAACCCTATCTCACGCCTGCGAACACGAGGCAAATCGTCATGCCGAGGCAGTGGAGCGCTCAGCAACATCGAACCTTGGGAAATTGATAGTAAGCCTGATGGCCACCCCAACTTGTTGCCAATACGTTACCAAACGCAGTAATATAAAAGTCGCCTTTTTTATGCTGTCTCATACTATATCTCGAACTTCTTCAATCAAGCATCTACCCTCTTTTTTTCTCGACCGTCAAATACCATTCAAGCCTAATATGATAACTGCTGATGTAGCGCATAGCCAAGATAAATTACACTCTGCCAGCCCCTGAGCTCGTCCTGCTTACATCTGCCTGAGTACATAATATCCATCAGCGTGAACACCGCACGCCTTGTTCGAAGCAGGAACACGGCATCTTCGATTTATTATACAGATCGCATCTACGTAAGAGCAAAGCAAAAAGAGATGGGATCTTGGGATTGCTTCTGTGCTCTTTGCGGGGCGAGGCTGTCGAGTTGTGTCCAGTTCAAATCTCGCCCGACTCAAACCGCAGAACAAGACAACAACGATGACGGGCAGGACTCGGGCGCATCTGGTAATGACCCCTTTTCCACCGAAACCCACGCATACGACCCAGATGTCCTCGCCGAAAAAGATGTGGAATGGTTGTCTACATGCAGGCTCTTGGGAAAATTAGTTGAGGACGATTTTAACAAGTATGTGTGCTCCGAAACGGAAACAGTGGAGAGCGAACGCTAATGTTGATAGAGCGTTTATCACTCGGAGAGGGTACTATGGTGATCATGTGAGCATGACTGGTTCTTTTGCATCACTAAACACATATTTATAAGATCTGTGTAGGGGTCTTTTGGTATCTTTGGTGATAGGGCTGAAAGGCAGAGTGAAGGTACGGGAGCACGCCTCGCAAAAACCATAAAAATGCAACATCAGTAACAGCTGCAGAACTGGACCCAAACGACCCAGGCTTCTACTCACACGCTTGGTGGGTCAACCCAATCAAGAAAAATGTTGATCAGTTGCTAAATGATTGAAGTTACCAAGAAACCATCCACGAAACCGTTGGATATCCATTCCACGAAAAATGCTGGGAAATTATATCTAAACTGGTCCTTGGGTACAAAAGCATCAATGAAATAGACAAAGCAGCCATGTATTCCGCCATGGAAGACTTGTAAGCATCCACCAAGACTCTCATGCTAAAAAATACTGACTTGAGACTGCGTCAAGTACTTTGAGTGATCGCTCTCTCCAACTGTCCTACGGTCTCATGCACGGCCAAAGTCAATACTGGAACTGCTATCCCGGTGAAGAGGTCTGTTGCAACCTAGATTTGCGGAATAGTGGACGCAGCTGCTGATTCTTCTATAGGCTACCGTTTGCGACCCTGGGCTCAACATACTGACCTCCGGGGATATTATGAGTGCGCTACCAACGGGACCTCCAAAATACCTCACTCTCAGCGAGAAGATCGTCCAAGATCCATTTTCTCAGCTTCCGTTCGATGTAATTCACATCATCCTGGCTAAGCTTTTGGGTCCATCCCGCTTGAAGCTATTAACTGCGTCCCATCACGTCTATCAACAATCATGTAGCGATTCGTTCTGGAAATGGATGATGCGAACGGACATCGTGCCTTGGTGCCCCGAACTCCACTCTTTGCTGAACGACCCGGAATTTGTTTCACCACGAGTGGATCTCAAGCGCGCGTATCTGTACATGAAGTACGCAACGAATGCGAGAGCCAACAGACCAGGGCCTTTCATGGGCCTGGCGAATCGAAGGAGGATCATTGCTGCGTGCAAACCACTTGCAGAGCTTTATCAAGATATTCTCGAGCAGGACAGCGACTAATTACAAAACCGATCTAAGATGAAGTCGCGAATGGCTGGTGTTGAAGCTTGCGAAAAGCGGGAAGAGATTAGAACCATGCCTCCACGTGTCAAAATACTGAAGCTAAGCGTTTGAGCAAGGAAAGAAGAAAAAATGTAAAATTTGAAATTCTCGAAATGTACGATTTTAACTATCAGTGGAGTATGCTCAAGGACGTTGATTCCAAGTCTTGTATCAAGCTAGACACGCACCCTCCCCCAAAACTATTCCCCTACATCCTCCTGTGGTCCAGTCAAGTTGTGATATCATTGGGGAGACCATAAACATTTCTGAGCGCATAAGTATTTAAACTTTTCAATCAAATGTCGCGGTGGTTAGCTAGACGCATTGGAGGAACGCTGAACCGTGACTGGCGATTACGAAACACGCGTGATGTCGAGCCGCAACTAACAGATTTCTGTAAGGAAGTAATATTTTCCTCCAATAAGTCTTCCTTCACGTACCTTCAGTCACGTAAGGTTCGATCTTGATTCCCATAGGAACAACGGAAGAATACATTCCTCCAATAGTACGATCTCACGTTGGCGACTCATGTTCACCCGCTCGTGGGGTTCGTTGCGGGGAAACAAGCCTATTCGCATGCTATTGTTGGCAATGTTCACGAGGATGTTATTCTCCACAGTTGTTGATAATGCAAATGTAGTTATATATTGCACGCAGGTTCCAAGGACTGCATACCAGACAATCATTTTCCTTTACTGTACTACAGAAGCCACTAGAAGAGCTTGCGTTTCCATCCTCCACACAATTCGGTTTTGCATCAATTTTGCGCATCGAGCAAGAATCATGGGGAAAGGCAGTCAGTATGCTTGGTATGTGTGTATGGTAATTGCGACGACTATGATCCTGTATGGATACGACTCGTCCACCTTCAATGCTGTCCAAGGTTCCAAAAACTGGGTCGCCTATTTCCACAAACCAAGCCCTGCCACAGTAGGCTCGATCAACACGGCGTACTCTGTCGGCGGCATTCTTGCTGGTATGCTTCACTGGCTTTCCATGAATCTCGAGTAAACTTGAAGCTGACAGAGTCTAGGTGTTTTTCTGTCTGCTCCGATCTCCGATAGATGGGGCCGCAAATGGGCAATCATAGTCGGTTGCGTCTTTGTCATCATCTCGACTTTCATCTCGACCTTCAGCCCTCGTAACATTGGTGTTTTTATCGCTGGACGTGCTATTGTCGGAATCGGACAAGGTATTGCTCTTCCTGCAGGGTTAACCTATATCAGTGAACTCGCTCCGGCAGAGAGTCGTGGCAAGATCATGAGCTTTTGGTACGTATCATTTGGTATTTTTCAGCCAGTGTGTTTTTTTCACTTCCTGATAGAGACCATATGCCTTCATCGTCCCTGTGTTCACACCAGTTGACTGAGCCAGCCATCACGTGACCTTGAGGAAGAAGTCTGCAAATTCACCCAAATATTGAAGCTAACATGGTTGGAAGGCAAATGAACTTCAGCGTCGGCAGTTTCTTGGCCTATTGGATTAATTTTGCGTGAGAGACATCGTATCCCCCATAAAAAGGCTATGCTAAGCGTTCGAATAGCTGCAGCAAGCATTCAAAGACGCTTGGCGACTGGGATTGGAAGATTGTCCAACTTTTCCAATTGCTGGCGCCTATTCTCATCATTGCTGTCTTAATTTTCTGTCCCGAAAGCCCAAGATGGCTGGCCAAGAATGACCGAATGGAGGACGCTTTCAAGTCATTGTCGAAAGTCCGAGATGATCGTGAAGCCGTGCGGATTGAGATGAGTGATATTACACGGGCAATGCAGTATGAGAAAGAGAATATCTCATCTGGGTACTCTGCGCTCTGGAAGGACCCTTCTGTCAGAAAACGTCTTTGTAGCAAACCACTCATCCGATAAATTTGTATGATACTAATCAAGGGGCAGTACTCGCTATCGTTCTCAACATTGGACAACAGTTGACGGGCCAAGGCTCCCTAAATAACTATTCGACGAAAATCTATCAAGCCGTCTTCACAGACAACAGCACCATCCAGTTGATCAACGCTCTTAACGGTACTTTTGGAATAATCTTTACCCTAAATGCCACATGGACAGTCGATCGATTCGGACGCCGTTTCCTCTTCCTAGTTGGTGCAGTTGGTATGGCAGCTTGCATGATCACCGCTGCAGCAGTCGTTACCGAAACTCACGGAGACCTTACAACTGGCAAATCGCAAAGTGTGGGAATCGCGACAGTGTTCCTCATGTTCCTTTTCGCATTCTTCTTCAAGCCTTCGTGGGGTGCTACTGTCTGGATCTGGACTGGCGAAATCTTCAGTATGAACGTTCGCAACCAGGCCATCGCTATCTCTAGTCAAGCTCAGAATGTCGCCAACGTTGTCCTGCAGCAAGTGTTCCCTATCTTCCTAGCAAAGAAAGGCTTCTATGCTATGTACATGTTTGGCGCTATCAACGTTTTACTTTTTGTTTATGTTTGGTTCTTTATTGCCGAGACTAAGAACGTCAGCATTGAAGAGATTGATGTCATTTTTGGTGGCCATAATCACGTTGATGGGGAACTGAGCAAGGGTCAAGTTTCGCAACCTGAGAATGCGGGTGTTCCGGCTGACAACGCAGAACCACAAAAGATGAACACCCTTGCGGCAGAGAAACAGGTTTAGTGTAGATGGAAACTGGGCTCGCAGTAGTTGTGTAGATACGCGCTCGGGGCTTAGATCATGGTCAATGGGACTGCATGTAATTGCGCGTGTCGAGGGGGGCTAGTCTTCACGATGTCGATAAATGCCTGTCAATCCGGGCTGTGCTCAGCATGATCAGCTGTGAACCCATGCACAAGGATCGACGGTGCGGAGCCCTGGTGAAAGTAAGCAGAGGCCCGGCGGACTATTCCCCTTGGAGGATTTAATTGAGAAATAAGTTCGGTAACTGTATTGGGAAGCAAGAGATAATTTAACTCATCTTCTCATCGCATGACTTTATTGGTCTTTGCGGCTGTACTTCGACCTCGGATAACTGTCTCTTCCAGTATTCTGTGGCTCAGTGTGAAGTCTGATATCAACATTAGACGAACAACAAACTGAATCGTGGCATTTTACTAGAAAATGTAGCCATCGAACAGCTTGCATATCTATGCTGTGGGTGAATCGGGCTGGAACAGAGCAAGAGGTTTTAGGCTCACCGAAATGCTAAGCTCGGCGGCGGGTACGACGTCAACCCGGGAGCCTACTATGGATTTGCATCCGTTACGTGCATTATCAATCCGAAGGACTTTGAAATTCCTCTCTATAGACATTGGGCTGACTGAAAAAAACTTATTGCTGTTGCCTTGCGGTTGCCTGAAGGGGTTGCTTTACCCGCCCCACCTGCGCTAGATCAAAAGTACTGGAATACCACTATGCTGTGCCACCATAGCCACGATCTACACCCCACCCAAGTGCCAAGGACCGCCCTTCTACTGTCATTTATGTCACTGAAGTATGAGTCGATTGTATATGTATTGATGATTCCGGTGAGTCACCTGATTGTTGCCTAGGACGGACACGTGTGTGTGCAGAGCACAGCAGGCACTTGCAGGAAGTAGATATACTAGGCTGCGGTACGCTTCGCTGTTGTACAAAGCAGCCTCCCCAGGCTACCGCCTCATCATAAATTCCAGTTCACTTGCTCATTCCGTGAGCATATAATCGTCATGGACTTCTCACGCCTCCAATATCTTCATCATGAGTTGAACTCTACCGCCAAAGCCAGCGATTTCCCTTCCACGATACTCGAGATCGTGATCCCCGGTTATAGTACGATATCTCAGCTTGCATTACGGTTCCTCGGCCTTGATATCGGAATTCTTGTAAGTCAACATTCATTACTGCACTGGTTTGAACGGAGAACCAGGCAGGTCTTCTGTACGCGCAACTCAGTGATTGTTGCTCCCGGATATAGCACACGAAGCTAGGGTGTAAGAGCACTCTGCTAGTCTAGCGAAAGATCCGGCAACGTCGGCTATCGTGTTGCTTATCCCGGGATGACACTGAGCGGCTTACGGAAGCTAAACAAATTTAATCACACTGACTTGGCTCATAGGTAACTGGATGGGTCTTTGTTTATGGCTGCCGCACTGCTTGGCAGCACATTTACGCACTGGTTCATGCCTACCTTCAAGAACACTACACTTCTTCTATCGAAATCGACAAAGATGACAATCTATTCAATGACGTCAGAGACTGGCTAGCCGAGCAAAAGACAATAAAACCCATGAACAAGTGTACGTACTCTATACAACGGCCGGTTGAATAGTCATCACTAACATTGCTCCCCACTCATTAGTAAAAGCAATCACCGACTATAGTAAAAAGAACGAGGATGATGTCTTCGACGAGAGAGGGTATTACAAGCACAAGCTGCCAGTTACCCGGTATGAACCCATTCACGGAACCGAAGAGCTGTATCACAATGGTCGGTATTTCAAGATCATCCGATCCATCAAGAAAGGCGAAGACGGCAGTGGAAGATTCATCCCCGGGAGAGAAGTACTAGATGTATACTGTTACGGACAGTCTACGCAACCTATCAAAGACTTGATGGTTCACGTCAAGCACTGGAAAACAACCCAAGCAAAACCCATGACTAGCGTCTACCGCGCGGCAAGTGGTGGGCACTGGAATCGGCAAAGCACACGCCCATCCCGCCCGCTGAGTACTGTATCACTGAACCAGAAAGATAAATCTGGAGTTTTGGATGATATCAATGAGTACCTGCATCCTGCTACTGCTCGCTGGTACGCCGCGCGTGGAATTCCGCATCGAAGAGGAGTAAGTTACTGAACCCCCAACCGAATTTCCACATTACTGACATTTGAGTAGTATTTATTCTATGGGCCACCCGGCACTGGCAAAACGTCTTTCTCATTCGCGCTAGCTGGTGTCTTCGGTCTACGGATTTATTGTCTCTCCCTCAACGATAAGGAACTAACAGAATCGGATCTATCGCAACTCTTCAATTACCTTCCTGATCGCTGCATTGTACTTCTCGAAGACGTTGACAGCGCTGGTCTGAAAAGAGCAGAGGAAGAGTCTACACCTGCAGAATCTGCAGAAAAAAAGGACGATTCTAGTACTGCGTCGAATGAAGAGGCGGAGGAGGAAAAACCCAAAAAACGATCCAAGGCGAAAAAGTCAACTTGCTCAATCAGCTTGAGCGCGTTACTCAATGTGATCGACGGTGCTGCTGCCCATGAAGTAAGTAGTCTTGAAATGTCACTAAATGTGAAACACAAACTAACGAAAATCACAGGGTCACGTCCTTATCATGACGACGAACACGCCGGAATCGCTCGACGCCGCCCTGATCCGACCCGGACGCGTAGACGTTCAAGTCGGCTTCTTACTGGCTACACGGGAGCAAATCCGCGAGACTTTCATTCGCATGTACAGCATCACCCCCGAGGAGCAAGCCTTCAAGGGTCGCTTAGCCAAAAAGTCTCGTCAACCTAGTATCACGGATCCTGAGACGTTAGAAGATCTCGCAAAGCGTTTCGCGGACCAGTTGCCTGAAGATACTCTATCTCCCGCGGAGTTGCAAGGGTATCTGCTGAAAAGGAAAAACGAACCACAAAAGGCACTAGATGATGTAGCGAAGTGGAGAGATGAGGTCATGGAGGCGAAGAAGAATGGGAAGAAGCTTGTAGGAGCACAGTAAAGTCGCATCGCAGCGTTTGATGACATATATGAACATACAAAAGCGTAAAAAACATAGTTCTCAGTAGCGAGGTTAATTTTGAGAAGTCTGGATCTTGATTGGGTGTCCGGTGTAACGGGAATCACAGACCACAAATATGTGGACTGATAACCGGTAAGCATATGATAGAACCTCTTTGGTCGAATCATACATACGCTTCCTTTGTGCAGGTTTTGTACAGACACCAGTTCGCGGCTATGCTAGTTCAACTACTATCACCTCTATTCCATGAGTAATTCAGCGTTATGAACAGCGTGATCGCAGGGGGAGATACACATCCTATCTCATTAAATGGATTACAGAGAAATGTCAAACAACGACAGAAAATTTTAACGCACGGGCAGATGTACAGGTACTCGCTATACAACATCACATGTTGTTTTGGAAGTCGCGAATATCTGCCATCGTTTGCTACGTGTATTGACCTGTTGAACAAGGAGACGCTCCGCACCCAAATGATGCCGCACCAGAAAGCTCCAGTCTGAAAGCTAGACTCTACGCAGTGTGCTTGACGCTATCACCAAAAAATGCTGGAAAATATTGTGCTGCGAATGATGCATCACGAAATCTGCAACGGCTCCCGGGGCTACTATTTTCCCGCCCATTTGCACCATCGCCCCTCTGCAAGCTTGACTTAATGGAACACCAGCCTTATCTACAAGAGAATAAGCAATATAGAATTGCGCTGCGCATCACTGCGTCGAACAGGAACGACTTACCCTACGGAACCCCTGTTTATGTTGGATCCCGATGGCCATCAATCACTTTTCCTACGACAAACACTTCGACGACCAGATTTGATTATATATATCCATACATAGACTATATATTAGTTTGTATTCGCCAGCCATTATATTAATCGCTTAACCATGATCATGTTTTAGTATTCCATTCAGTCTCCGCCATGCTTGTTAGCGCTGTAAAAGAACAAGCCACAATCAGTCTCAATCTCGCCCGTCTTTTTTACGCCTTGGGGCATCACGCCTGAATCGAATCAGCAACGTCGCTCATCATCCATAGCAAAAGGTCTTATATCCTTTTCCAGGTATAGAATTGTCGGGCTTTACACTTACAATCTGCGATGTCGGCAAATGCCGTGAAAACGGTTTCACAGTCAAAGGAGCAGGTATCTACTCGATCACCCGGGCTGGCTTTGAAATCGAAAGTCCAAGTCATGCCATCCATGGTGAATGCCTCTTCCCAGAACTTAGTGCCATCTCTGTTGACAATGGTGTATCCCGAACGTATGTCTTTGTGTTTTCGGCATGCTTCTTGCATGTTGCTATGAAGTAGTCAATCAGCTGTATCACCCAATAAAGAAATGAGACTTCTTACTCCTTGAACCTCATCTTCGAGTCCATGCTTTCTTGCAACTCGCCTTGACACTTCGGCTCGAATTGGGGCATGTTGGACTTCTTGATGAGTTCTTGCATCCATGTATACTGACTGTTCCACCAGTCAAGTTCCGTTAAGGTTGGTTGCAGATAGTGCACACGACGACATGGGCAACCTTTGATTTGTTCCTACACGACAGATTTAGTGCGCGAGAGCCGGGAAAGTGCTGAGTCTAGAGCAACTTACGAGTTTGCAGACAGCGTTCCTTTTAGGGATTGGCTGGCCATCTACTTGAGCAGCACACCTCTTGTTGATGCAGAGAATATCCTTCGGGCATTTGAAATTCTCTTCTGTGATTGTTCTACTATACGCGGATAAGGGTACTCGAATGTCCAATGCAATGCGACCTCCGTTCTGGGTCGCATGGAAAAGTAGCCATACACCCAGAGCAGTCATGGACAAAAGCGTGGCGTCAATCTTCAGGTTCAGAAGGATATCATCTTGGAGGTTTTTTACAAGAGACATATGAGCGACGATTCGGTGGTATATCGGGATGATTATAGCACCATCGGATTTAGATATCGCAGGCAACGGGTAATCGATCGCTTGTCCAGGACCATGGAACAGCGGTAAATTCTCTTGCGAAAATTTCACTGCACTCTGCGGCACGCCGTTAATCAGCCTAGGAATAAATTGACTGACTGAATCCAGGCAGAACTGAATGTTGTTAACCACAGAGCCGAACTGCCGGTGCACGCCAACATCTTGGGGGCTGAAAAGATCATGGCCTTTACAAATGTTGATCACTTGTTGAATATCGATGACCCTGAGGTAGTCTTGTATCTGGCGAGCAGCGTCTGCAGGAATGTGGAAGACCAGGTCTCCCTTCTTTCTGTCACTGTCGTCGGCGGTGAGCGTCTCGAATGTGATCTCGCCTGATCCAGTCGGCTCGGGGGTGGAAGGCATCTTGGATACCGTGATTGTTGTAGGGCTAGATTCCATTCCGAATTTGACGGCCATAACGTCTGGATCACCCAAAGTATCCATCTGATGGAGGTCTTCGTATTCAAACTTTAAATTGTGCGCCATTTCGTAAGTAATCCCAGCCACAGTGGCAGCTACCAGTACTTGTGCTGTAGTCCTGACGATGGCTGCCACGAGGAATGCGCTGGGGATCAGAACAAAACGTGTTGTATGAGCGCCTACGTCAGTGTTGTGGATGATGGGGATTAATTTGTTGCGGCAGGCCTGAGGATCTGCCTTACATCCATCGCCCATGGTGTCCATGACACGCTTCTTTAGATCTGATCCAAGCGCGATCGTCACACCTTCCCTTGGGAAATCGTCGTAAATTCCGAGTGGGTACATCTGAAAAGCATCTTTCTCGGGATCCGGGTGACCATCCTGCGTTCATTCTTAGTCATTGGCTTTGCTGACTTCGCTTGTGCCACCTGGAGAACACTCACTTTTTTGACCAGGTATGAATCGATCGGGCGAAAGGTGAAGGTAGTGAGGTTGATAATTTCTGTAGTGTCGGCCCTCCGTTCAACCTGTGTTGGCGTAGGCTTCGATGTTCCGGCTGTTCCTAAAACAGCGTTCGTACTGCCAACGATGACAGCTGTGATTATCAGAAAGTGGAAATTCATTTCTAGGGATGTGAGACGTGCAACGTCCCAGATCTATCTGTGACGGATTGATTCTGTATACTAGGGGAAGAGCGGAGGCCGCCAGTCTCGGAAGCGTTTGTAGTTCTCAGGTAAATTTCCCCCATACAGATAAAGGATGAACTGTTTGCTGTGAATTTTTCCAGACGACGGATGGTTGTGCACAGCTAGCGCGATCAATACGCGGTGTCGCACAGGCTAACTACTTAGAAGGATAATTACTTAGTTGTCATCTATCCTTAAAGACTGTAGCTTCTATACTAAGTATTTGATATTCCGCAGCAGCATTCGCTGATAGGCTGTGTACCTAGCAGGTGCCGTCGGCAGTACCCTTGCTAGGTAGTTCCTTCCAAATCAGCAGCACCACTTTACCTGCCCATATCCCAGGAGCCGGGGAATCAACAGCTCCACTGTCCACTGCTTGGTCCAAGGTTCCCTCTCGAGATACGTCTGGCCATCCACGAGGCAGCTGTCGCTAGTGACGCTGGGCAGCTTCTGCACATCATTCCTTATATCGACGGGTCGATTCGAGTCGGGCGATGTTCATGTGAGGTTCCAGGTTTCGAGGGGCCTACCATGCAACAATGGCGGTGAACCTTTACGCCTTCAGAACTCATTCGAGTCGAGTCATCAGCTACTTGGGATTATTGAGTTGCTATCGCATGTGTGCTATTCCTAATCTTTCTTAGTTTAACATAGCTAATAGTATCTATCGATAGCTACACGGAAGCAATCGATGTCCTATACGCGGCCAATCAATTCAGTGTCCGGGGCAGCACAGGCCTGAGAGCTTTCCACTCCGTAACACTTTTACTCCAGTGGAATTATCCGACACTGAAAATCTCGACGTTATTTCTGACCCCTCTGAGCGCATGCACGATTGGTTATATGTTTGCCATCATCTCTAGGGTTTGTCTAGACTGCGCTATTTGTACATTGAACTTCTGATTTGGGATCTTCATGATCGTGTAAATGCTTCTGACGTCGAAGAGACCTCATTGTTACCTATCTTGGAGTCTTTGAAAACTCTTTCGGCGCCGTCATTCACGGCGGAGATGAATATTGTGATTCCAGAGTCTGTCCTCACACAGCTTCGAGCATTTTCGTTCGTTCCACTCGTCAAACATCGGCACTATGTATGGGATTCGCATCTGAGCGGCATCTTTTCCTGGTAAGTGAATAAGGAAGTATCCGGTGAAGGCAAGGTAACAAGCTTTATGGTCAATCATCTGATAGTTAGACAGCCAGCTCACGTCCACATGAATTAAACGCTCAGGATGGTACAAATACGCGTTTTATTGCGCATTCCGATCTTCGGTGACTGGTGCTTCTGGCGATACCTGTTGAGGACCAGGGAGCTGAGGTGTGAGAAGGGTGTTACGACGAAGAAAGCTGCTCTTATTTTGGGGGCCGGACATTGCTGCTTGGGGCTAAACTGGCCAATCATGTGAAACACAGCCCCATAGTTCTCCTGCGGGATTCAGGCACAGTCTGCGTCTTCTGCATATATTACTCTAACACGCGCATTTCTGGCCTTGAAAAACTGCTTTGAAAGCTGCACTCACTTTACTCTCTGTACCTTATTTATTACATCCGCAATGAATATACAAATTGATCTTGGTACGATCCCGACATCGCCGCTCTCGCCAGAATGGGAAGTTCCCACAACGACTTCCAGCCCCTTCGAACCTTGCGGTCATTCTTTTGTGTTTAAGAGTAGCGCAACAGAAACTGAGTTGGGCCGTACCATAAAAGAGGTTGCAATACAGTTCTCACAATTCATGGAGGAAGATCCATCCTTGGAAGCTACACAAGACTTTCTTCGGCACTGGATAGACACAAGCACGAACAAGATCCCGCCCATGGTTCTCGAATGGATGGAAAATTATGAGGCATGTGCTATCGCTGCCGAAAATTACCGCATGGATCTTATTCAAGTTCTGCTGCGCTGCGGTTTCAAACTAGATCATACCGTAGTCTTCAATCTGGTCGAAGCGGCCAAGAAGAGTGGCGATATTATAGAGACACTCGAGTTTATCACGGAGAATGGGTGGGATCTGAATGCGCTGACTGGAGGGATAGGAAATAGGAGGCCAGTTCTATGGTAGGTCGTTACACAGGCTTAAACTCTTGTTTGATTAATTTTATACTAAAATTAACAGTCTGGTAGTTGAGGACGAAGCCGCCGTCAAGTGGTGTCTTGATCGCGGAGCAGACCCCAACGGGATGTCTGTACATGGTGTGACGGTTCTTCATTGTGCTGCTAGGAACGCATCCCTGTCGACACTAAAGATGCTGCTTAGCGCTGGCGGGGACATTTCAGCAACGTCCCCTTCGAGCGGGATTCTCGTCCACGCTGTTGCCTCTTATCCTAAAAAACCAGATCGACGTGTCATCATAGAATATCTTATTAACCGCGTTGATGTGAATGCACTATTCATGCAACCCAAAGAGGGATCCAAACGCTCTCACCTTCCATGGGCAGGACATCAAACAGCGTTACATCTCGCAGTCAATGACGGAAATAGGGATCTCGTAGAGTATCTTCTCAAGCATGGTGCATCTACACAATTGCGAGTCTTTGGTCCGGCTTCGCGCCACAAATGGATGAGTGTGGTGAGATTGGCCGATAGCCATGGTCATGAGAACCTGAGAGATCTATTGGATGATAGTGCGCCCGGGAAGACTTCTTCTGAGTAGTCTCGATTGTTTTGAAACCTTTCAAGGGCGTCTGGTTGTTGTCAAAGCTTCTGAATAGGCACGCTCGACGGAAATCATAGATTATTCACATAATAGGTCTAATTTTGTCTCTATAACACTCCAATGTACTCCAAATCTTTAATAGGAGCTTCTTTATAATTGTATTATCTAGTAAACAAGCATTCCTAGGTGTGATTCTAGTCTTCAGTGACCGTCACTCTCTACTTGCAATGTAATATTTCAAATGATATCTTGATGGGAGATGAGTATGTCGTCGGGATCATGTTCGAGAAGTACAGGCAAGTAAATGAAACTTCAGACTGAAGCTCTACTGTGTCCACAGTGAGGTCTTCGAAACCATCTCAAATAACTCGGCGCCACATAGACTCACGTGAAATATGCGGATCTTGGAGATCCTACGAAGAGTTTAGGGTCATAACAATCGATGGGATCTGGCACAACACAGCACATGGAAAAATTGAGTGAGTTGCCCGAGGACACAGTCAAATAAACATGCCACGTACTACTGCGTGACACTAGCTTTGAGTCCCTGGACTCTTTGCTCTGTTCTTTCCATGCTGTGTTCTACCAGATCTCACTGATCGTCATGGTCTCCATTCATGACAATGATCTACAATGTATGAGAATAAGTCGTCCATCATCGAACTTCGAACACATCAAACTTGAGATATGGGAGATTAGTGGCGAAAGAGTTCTATAAAGAGTAATGTAACTAACTAAAGGGCGGAAGCAGCTGTTCACTTCTACCGCTGGAGCAAGAGAAATGAAGATCTACATATCAAGCTTCAGAATCTGAACCATAAAGCTGCAGATTGAATGGACATACAGCAGACCCTAGAGACTAGAAATAAAGGTGACTACTAGATCTTCTTGAAGCTAACCTTCACGGGCCAGATTCTTCTGTCAAGAACCAGGTCGAACATTTGAGCTCCGTCTTCTGCATCGTATCTTTCCATCTTCAGAGGTTTGTATGCCGCAAAAGCAGTGTCGAGAGCTCTTGCGACTTCTGGGGCTCCCTTCCTGTCAATGAAATACCCGCCTTTCAAGCCACTGTTCAAGTCAATGCCAACTGAAGTAGCCTTTCGTTGAAGTGCTTGGATGGCGGTGTCAATCTCTTGTTCATTGAAGTAAGGCGCATTAGGGTTTACGACACCGTTTTCCTCGTCCGAGATATCGCTGTCTGGCTCTGAACCATCCTCCTTCTTGGCTTTTGGAGACAGGTGTCCCAGTACGACCCCATTCTTATCGAACAAGAAAACACCCGTACATCCAGAAAACCCTCCAGAAACTGCTCTATCTCCATTGGCCCATCTAGCGGCTTTGATTTGGCCCATGCTGACTACATGGGTGACGCGTTTTGCTAGATGTTTCTTTTCCGCATTATGGTTGGTGACATCAAGGCCTCGGTATCCCATCCTGACATGCTTTTTTGATCCAGATGTTCTGCTGGGGGATGAAGCCGATTTTGTCTTTGAAGGTTTGGCGGTAGACTTTGCCGTAGATTTGGCAGTCGATTTGGCAGTCGATTTGGCAGTCGATTTGGCAGTCGATTTGGCAGTGGATTTGGCGGTGGATTTGGAAGCTGTCTTAGAAGCGGATTTACCAGAGGTCTTTGCAGACGATCTGGAAGCCGTCTTAGAAGCGGATTTGGCAGTCGATTTGGCAGTCGATTTGGCAGTGGATTTGGCGGTGGATTTGGAAGCTGTCTTAGAAGCGGATTTACCAGAGGTCTTTGCAGACGATCTGGAAGCCGTCTTAGAAGCGGATTTGGCAGAGGACTTCGCTGTCGATCCAGAAGCCGTCTTGGAAGCGGATTTTGAGGCGGATTTGGTGGACGATTTGACAGAAGAAAAGGCTGATGACTTAGCAGGAAGCTCACAAGCTTGTCTTTTTCCATTTTTAGAAGAACCGCAGTCTGATTTTTCGATTTTCAATTCCAGTGTTCCGCACGTCGGTGCGCGAGGAAAGATTGCGTTCAAATCTCGAACGGCTGCTCGGTTTGGAGAAACATCACGTTTGATCGCGCTGATCATGAATCAGTAAAAAGCAAGAGTCGATGGGGATGAGGTCTACTCACTCAGTCTCAGGGATCGCTAGCCCGTACGTGAATGCCGCGTTGTAGGCCAACAGAGCCACTAAAGAGAATCGCATGATGAAAACGTATAAGTATGATTCGTCTGACAGTGATAGAAGTTGGAAGAAAGATTTTGGAATCGAAATCGAAAATACAAGAAAGTTATTGTACACGACGATTGTTAATTAACGCGTAGCAAAACAAGAAGCAGCGGGCAAGATCTATGCAATGAGTGTGTCTCAAATGAGTAAGAAGCGAAAGAGAACGAGTGGCGAAGTTTGAAAGAAACAGACTTAGACGACAAACTTAAAGAATGCTGATGAATACACAATAGTGAAAGAAAATCAGCCTGTCTTTATAGCTATGTCATTTACCTTGCCTGATCACTTTCAACTGTGCCTCAAACTCGACTCGTAAACAAGAAGTATAATTCTAGTTTTCATGAAATCCTCCGGAGTTCAAAAAATGCATACTTGGTGTTGCTAACTAGGATCGGTTTGACAAACCATCAGCCTACGCCGTAACATCTTTTTGTAGCTCGCCGCAGCGTCAAAATCGCCCAAATCGCAACTGAGCAATGCAGTCTCGTGTTTCCCGTTGTTGTGTGTAGATGCACAACAATATCATCAATGCGAGGAAATGCAGGTCATATTCTCAAATTCATTTCCACAGATTCAAGATGATGTTTGACCATTTCCAGAAAGCAGATCGTGCAGTACTCAAGGTTTTCGAGATTTTGGTGTTTCGGTGATGCATAATGTTCGATTACGCCGCTAAGCTCTTTTTTTTTGATGAGCTGTGCCACGACTAGGGCTCACGTTCTAGTAAATTGCACTCCGCAATGGCCGAAAGTTATCGCGTGCCCTTCATAAAGAAAAGGAAGTGCGGCGCAGGTGGTACTTTCTTATTCACCATTAACCAATTCAGGTGCAGGTGACGTCGTGCGGTGACTGTCTTGTCATCTGTACCCAAACTAGTCACGGGCTGGGTGGGAGAGAGATTCTAATATCCCGGTAAGCTTGATCGGTAAAGTCAACCATATAATGTAGCTGGATGAGGAGAGCCGAGCTAAAGGCTGCGAAAATGAATGGAAGAACAAGCAGTAGCTAAAGGATTCATTGATTGTATGAGTTGACTACGAAGCTACCGAGGTTTGAGCCTAGGGCACAGGGCACAGCTGTCTGTGCACCGAGCTCCCACAAAACCCAATCTTGATGTGTATCATAGTGCTTCCCTGGAACAAATCAAGTGTGTAAATCTAGATGGATCTAATTATCTACGTTTGACATGCAGCGTGCTGCGGAGATATTCATGGTGATACCAGACTTATTGCCGTATGCTCTTACAGTGGCGTCGTCTTTCAGCTCCTGCTAGGGCCGTTTTCTCTACGGCGCAGTTCTCCAAATTCACACAGCCCTACGGCGTAGACCTAATTCGAAGGTGAATGTCAGTCCACGGTGGCAAGCTGAAAATCCGCCAGCGTCCAGTCTGCGGTTCCCGCAATTTGGGCCGGCTCGTGATCATGCCCTTGATCACAGATTGTTTAGCACGTCCAACCATAAATACCGTTGGTCTTCGCGGTAGTGTGATCATCCTTTGGGAATTTGATCCTTTTGTCCATAGTAATTGATGCCGGGCTCAGTCATTCAGACATACTATTGGCACGGTGACGGCGTTCTCAGTGTCGACCAGAGCCCCCGTAAGCAAAACGCATCTGCCCCATCGAGGATTATTGCAGTCCCCCCGGGGAGTCTGGGACCCAAAATGGATACGGCAGTTCAGGAATGGTGTAATATGAGAATACTATGTAAAGCCTATGATTGAGTGAGAGGTGCAGGATTTACGCGTTCGATATATATCAGCTCTATGTGGTCCTCACAGAATCCATGCCAACTCTACCGATTTTCAAGCCCGGTGAAGATATATGTGCGGGGTCAGGGCCTCCACGAGTTTACTGAGCATATTGAAGGCAATATATTGGAGTTCTCACTCTATACGAGATATGAGACTAGTAAGACAATTGGTTTTTTTGATTGTCGTGGATCTGCACTTATCATTTCACAAGTCACCTCTCCTCCACATCCCGATCATGTTTGATGTTGTAGAGAGAATCAGAGTCCTTGAGATTAACCGGAAGTTATATGCGTAGAGATCTTGGTTTATGCCAGATGATCATAGCCTGGTAATACCGAGTAGTGAATATTGGGCCAAGTCATTTTATCTTGCAGACAAATAAATTTCCAGGCAAATTGACACCGATATTAGGTAGGACTTCTTAGCCTAACTCTAAATAAACCTCCAACGATCCTTTCCTTGAGCTATCTCCAGACAAAGCGAGTTCCAGCTTCCCATTGAGCAACTGACATCCTTTCAAATCGCACATTCACGGACTTTCCGCAGGCTTAGGTCGCGAACATCTCTTATCACTATGTTTCTGAAATCTTTCTTGTTTTCCGCACTGCTATCTTCAGTGGCGGTAGCCCATCCAGGCCATTCCATCAAAGACGAGTTGCAGAAACGCGGCGAGTTCTTGGCCACTCATACGAACAATCTTGACCATTGTGCTTCGGTGCATAAAGCAGCAGGCCTAGACAAGCGTGCTTTAGAACGAAGAGCCGCTCGGGTAGATCAGCTGCAGAAGCTTCGAGGCTTAGAAAGTACGGTAACATCGTATTTTTTTTCTATCATAATTAACTAACTATGTCATTAGGAAGACAAACCTCGCCCATTGACAAATCTCACTTATCAAACAAGCCATATACCCCGAACACCAGTCCTTCTGAGATCTTCGCTGATAGCAAATCATGCGTACTGAGTCCCGAAACAACAGAGGGCCCATTCTGTTAGTAAATGTACTATTGAAAAATGACTGATACTAATGAGAACGCCTAGACGTTACCGGAGAGTCCATTCGCACAAACCTCGTGGATGGGGAGCTTGGTGTACCACTCCATGTAGATATTCAGATGATTGATGTTAATACCTGTCAACCCGTCAAAGGCGTCTTCCTCGAGATATGGGGTAAGTGGTGTTCTGATCATCACAAACTGATGTACGATAGTACCAAGTATAAGAATAACACCTGTGATAGGCGCCAATTCGACCGGCGTGTATAGCGGCGCTCTTGCCGTAGTCAATGGCAATGGGGGTATGAACGATAAGCCCAATCTCAATAAGGCTTTTCTCCGCGGCATCCAGGTAACGGACACGGATGGCGTAGCTCAATTTGACACTCTATTCCCTGGTCATTACGTTGGTCGTACAACGCACATGCACATCATTACACACGTCGAAGAAGCAAAAGCGAAGGAGAACAACACACTGTGGAACACCAGGGTTCGTCACATCGGGCAAGCCTTTTTCGATCAGACCCTCATCAATGCCGTCGAAGCCACCACTCCATACTCAACCAACAAACAGGCACGTACTGCAAATTCGAAAGATGCCATCTTGATACAAGAGACCGGTAACGGCGCAGATCCGTTCTTTAACTATGTTCAGTTGGGATCAAACTTGAAAGACGGAGTCTTTGGCTGGTTCAGCTTTGGCGTCAACATGACCTATTCTCGACCTATCATGGCAGTTGCGCAGAAATTCAAAGAGGGGGGGAAGATGGTGACCACGAACCCGAAGTTGCCTGGCTTTGATGCCATGTTTCCCGGAGGGTTTCCTACTGCTTTCCAGCCGGGTTTCAAGCGAGATGCGGTGGAAACAGCGGTACCTGAGGTTGAGAAGCAGAATACTGATCGTTTCCTCCAGTCAGGCTTCCAAACTCAGATCATGTCTGAGTCTGAGTAAAAAGAGAGTCGAATGACTTGACATTACATCTGATGGCAATTCTTTGACATTTTCCATCTACTGGTCAAAACTCCAAGACAGACGTAACATTCTGAGATAGCGAAATCATCATTGTCAAAGACTTCAGATGCATAAATGTGTGATGGTAAACCATCGAACGTCATATGAAAGAAACTGGCGCTGCATGGTCCCAGATGGTAACAAGAGCAAGTTGGTTCGTCATGTGCAATGCAAACTTTGCGATATATCGGATGTAACCAGACGATAGCATGGTCGGTCATTCACAACGTGGCGGGTTCCCAATGTAGTACTGGAATAAATCTCAATATAAATGAATCAGGTTCGTTGGAGAAAAAAAAAATCATTTTCACGTGTTGATGTGCGGCTTCGGGTTCCATATATCCGACTCGATGGTTGTGTTTTCTTGGAGATCTGATTCGGCAGATGTTTCCGGCGTTGCATCTCGCTTGATATCATACTGTACACTAGAGTCAGGCCCATTCACAGCTTGTACCCAATTTTGAACCACAATGAAAATCGACCAGATTATTTCCAGGTTGATTAGGTGGGGGATTGATGTGCAGTATTTCGGTCTTTGGTGTTTCAGCATCGGACTTTCCCACTGCTGAAGTCAAACAAACAGCAATTCTGTATAAAACTCCATGAACTCCTATCCTCGCAAACTTCGCCGCTATAACCGAATTTCTAAGGTCTTTCAAATGCATACAAGCGAGGAATATTCGGAAAGTGGGGAGAAATCAGATAATGCCATTTCTATAACCGCTTTCTCATCTATGAACACGAGGCCCTGCATAGAACTAATTCCGATTCTCGCTCTTACGTGTGATGATCGCCAACTTATCAGCCGTTGGGTAACGCCGCGGTACCAAACTTTAGACGCATTAATCCAAGGCAAACTCGGAAAGCTTAAATTATGGAAGCTGCCGTCATATACGCGCTTTGTGATAGGTCCTTTGATAGTGGGTAGTATGGTATACTACATAAAAATGAGAAACGTTTCGGTCGAACGCACACACGATTGTCCACTCCTTCACCTCACGCAGTACACATGACCTGCAGTAAGCGCTATGTGTGCAGCTGTTTAGAAATAGAATTCATTAATGTACAGCTTACTCTCTGCATATATACGGAGTGCAAGTGATCTAAACAAACTATATTCCGTGCCATGATACTGCATCCATGCCGCCACCTGTACACCCCTCGGATTCACTGGCCGAGATAAGGATAAGAAGGAGATCACCTCTGAAAGAACTCGGCATCTCTTCAATGATTTATTGGTGCATGTCTGTCGTGTAGAACTTGTTATCAACTCAACTTGACAAGATTTAGTCCTTCAAACCCATCATTCTAGGCCAAGGATCTTCAAAATGCTCAAAACACTTTCACTTCTATTGCTATCACTAGCTACGTATGCCTCGGCATCGCCAGTGAAAGTACAAGCAAACTGTACCACGCCTACCGTTCGGCGCTCATGGTTATATTCCCAAAATCACCAAAGATGGTTTCTTATTCTGACTTGCGATATACAGGCACGACATGGCAGAAGCTGACAAGAAGGCGTATTTGGAAGCAGAACTATGTATTCTCAAAGCACCCGCAAAGACAAGCAAGATGCCTGGCGCGAAAACCAGGTGGGATGAGTTCGCTTCTCTACATCAACTTCACGCGTTGCAGATCCACAGCACTGGCCAGTTTCTTCCTTACCATCGCTACTTCCTACATATTCACGAGGCTCTGCTGGCCGAGTGCGGTTATACAGGCGCACACCCGTGAGTTGGCCCTTCACAAACATTCGAACCCCAAGAAACCAATCAATCTAACTGCTCTTCGTAGCTACTGGGATGAACCTCGTGATGCGGGCAAATTCCCTCAATCACCGGTCTTCGACACGAAGCTTGGATTTGGCGGCTCAGGATCCGGTACTCAATCCTGCGTGCAAGATGGCCCATTCAAGAACCTGACTGTCAACATCGGGCCTGGATTCACTACTCAACCGCGCTGCGTGAACCGCAAAATCACAAACGCGCTTAGTAGCTTGACGAACAAGGCCGCGGTCGACAAGGCAATAGCGCCCACGACTTACGATGAGGCTTGGATCACGATCTACAATGGACCTCATCTTGGTGGGCACATGGCACTTGCTATGATGGTACGTATTACGTTGAATTTCGACTCTGTTCCCCATCTAACTAATTCAAACAGAATGGTGACTCCATCACCTCCGCCGGTGACCCGCTGTTTATGCTACACCACGGATTCGTTGACAAGATGTGGTGGGATTGGCAGATGAAAGATCCCTCCAAGCGATTCACTGAGATGGGCGGACCCAATGCTCAGGATCCATCGACTGGATTTCTAGAGTTTCCTGGTGGTATTGAGCAGGAGTCGTCCATGTGGGGTAAGCCGACTGCTGCCATGTTGGCTGTTACTCCAGACCCGCGTAGTGGTGACTCGGGGAATGTTGTCACGTTGTCTCATATTATGACTTCGCTTGGTATTATACCGGATGCTACTGTTGGAGATGTGATGGATCCTGCAGGAGGATACCTTTGTTACACCTATAAATGAACAGTAACGGATAGGAGAGGGACGGAAGTTCGATAGTTGCGTTGAAAGAGTCGAGTCTTGTGTGAACCGATGCGTTATAGTCACTTATTTGAAATCTCATCCACTCCATATGTGTGGTTTTGATTGATGTATCGATTTTCTCCTTGGATCACTGCCGTAAGAGGATCACGCTGGGCTGTGATTGAGTGCAGCATGATAATTAAGAGCGGGTACAAACGCATATGAGAGTATCTGCCTACATACGAACTCTAGCATGTGCATACAGGCAACCACGTGTCACGTGATGTAGCTGAGGTCGTCGGAATCTGAGTCCGCTCATTGGCGCCATGCCTAATCTGCAACCAAACCTGATTATGCAAGAGTATACTGATTTCCCTTCTCAATGATGATATGAACATCCTTCCTCATGTATTTGAGTTTCCATCAGTGGAACTTCAAATTTCTTCCACTTCGACAGAACACTCAATGCTATCTCCTCGACTGGAAGCGGCTAGCGTGGCTTGGCTCAGCGGCCGTTCAACATTCAAATGTTGATTTTCAAAATCTTTTCACCGCCACCCATCGTTATCCCGCTTCCACGATAGCACCCCACTTCTAGATGACCTGTTCACGTCGTAAAATTCTGGAAGTGCGCAAATCATTGGTATGCGAACATACAGGGTGACGTTAACGTTGGGGGTTAATGGCTGGGATCACTGGTCAGCTTCACCTGCTTCCCTTCGAGCACCGTCGCTAACACCACGCAAGATGTGTAGGCTTGTTGTCAAGCCTAGCCAACTACTGCAATTCAAGACACACTCGTCACTGCGAGCCGCATGCCCGTCAAATATATCCCAGGCGTTCATGCACGAAATTCGTAGAGATTTTTCTGAAATTCTACAAGCCGCGAACCGTGAATCCGTTTGTATAGTATTCCATGAGATGCTCTCACATGGGCCGGATTTTGAGCGCAAACTCGTGATGGCTACATTGTATAGCAAAGAATGACCTAGTCGTACCCTTTTGCGGTCCGGTTCGATTCCGAAACAAAGCAGCCTAGGCTTGTCACATCTTCCGCTCTTCGAATGGGTCGAAGATGACTCCGTATCAACAAATATCCTATGCGAACTTACTGGCGCAGGAGCCGAATTTGTGAAGCTTCGAACTTTCTTCCCCTTGATGCGTAGCCGTGGCAGTCACCGACGCTGTTCTCAAGAGAATTGGATGCACATCCACGAAGCCAGGAGCTCAGATGCGCACAGCAGTAGCAAGAGAAAAAGTAGTATGAGACATTTGTGTGCATTCCTCGAGGGTATTGAGGATGGATGTGACCTGGTCATCCGGACCGCTTAGCACTCGAGGTGACACGTGGAAAAGGTACGTACCTCTATACGTATGAACATGTAAGCTCGGAGGTCCACACTAGAGAAGCCTTCCAACAATGCGGTTTCCTCGTGGTTCGCAACGTTCCATCTCACAGACCAGCTTGTACCTCTCTCCTTGGAGTAGGATTTCGGCCGGAGCAAAGCTTCAATCTGGGCCACGCTGCCTGCCTGATCTTATTCACGTCGGTTCATTGGCGGGGGTCAAAGCTCCCTCCCAATGGGGAAAAGCGCGCTGGACAATGGACTATAAGTTGAATCCCCACTTACCAACATCATCATCCTCCTTCACCAACCATCTTTGACTTATGATCGTCGCCGCCGCCTCTCCACGATACTTTTCACCTGAATACCGCTCCGATGGCCGAGACTTGTATAGTCTGCCTAGGCGACCTCGTCCCCCAAAATCAAGAACCCGCTGCCGTTACCGCTGACGACGCTGCCGCCGCCTCGCTTGCGACCGAAGGTGAGCTGCATACGGACAACGAGTCCCGTATCAGCAACCCTCGCAAGATATCAGCACACCATCCACCACCACCACCAACCTCCCAATCCGACACAAAGGACCCGGAGCTAGTTGCCCATCTTCTGCCCTGTGGCCACAATCTACACGACGATTGCCTCAAGCCATGGGTGGAACGCGCCAACAGCTGCCCTATATGTCGCGCCAGCTTCAATATGGTTGAGCTCTGCGCCCGGCCAGGAGGTATGTAGACCATGATCGAGGACCCGCCATTCCCGCCCTGCGTTTTGCATCATGCAGACCAGCTTGGACCCTCTGCGAGAGAGGACACCACTTAGTCATCCGGTTGGTGTAGGATGTCTGAAGGTACCCCTCTCTTTCGAGTTGGCAATCTGTGATAAAGTCTATAATCTATGCTAACGTCTGTTCCAGGTCCTACCATCTCCTCGTATGCTGTTCAGGATAAACAGCAGGTTGCCGAAATCGACGCTTCGATGATAATTGAGGAGGATGAAGTCCTCGAAGACGACGGAAGCTACGATGCTTGCATGGTCTGCGACGAATTCGGCGACTCATCTTCTCTCATGTACTGTCATAGTTGCGAGCAGCTTTGTCACGTTTTCTGTGCTGGCCTCGACGGAATGCCCGCCCGTGGCGCATGGTATTGCCAGGGGTGCATCGAGAACCCGGCTCTTTTACAAGAGGCGTCCAGGCGACCTGTTCCGCGAGGTCCTGCTGCATACGTGAACGGTCGGAACCGGATCCCTCGTCGCAGCCGTGGAGCTCCCGACGATTGGGTTGGCGTTTGGCAAAGCGTCTGGAATCGTCTCCATTTCGACATCGAATTCCCATTCGAGGAGGATGATGCATCCGAAACAAGATCCGAGATCCAGCGTCGGGAGGCTCAGGAATGGGAAGCGCGCTTCGAACTTGCTCGCCGCATGGGCGCTGGCACCCGCTTCCGTGCTGCTGCGGATAACATACATGTGAGCCGTGGCTCTCGCCCTCGTCCGGCCAATCGCACCCTCCATATAGAGACGCCAAAATCACCCAATCCGGAATCCCAAGAAGAGCTAAGGGCTTGGAACGCATTTGATAAGGCCCGGGAACAAGTTGCAGAGACAGAAGGTCGTCCTCCGCCCGCCGAGCTAAGCAGCAATCGTCGGCGCAAGCGCAAATCAATGGACTCCACTCACAATGACGCTGAGCCCGATGTACAAGAGTCTCTACCAGAGCGCAAACTGAAACGTCCTCGCACCCGACTCCATTTGGATAATGCTGAGTCGTCAGCTACTGCAGCTCGTCGCAACACTGTCGCGCAGAACCCGTCCCCACCTAACGGCGTGAATGGTGATGCGTCCGCTGCCCCGGGTTTCTTGGAGTCCATTCTGCAAGAGGTAGCTGTGGATCGCTTTGCCGAACACGAACGTGAGATTGCTGCACCACAGCCAAAACGTATCATCATTGAGCGGGCCATGTCTCCCCAGAATTCCTCGCCTGGGCTCTCACCAGTGTATTCAAGTCCGCGTGCGGGGATGACTACTCCTCCACCACTTAATATTAATCGGACCGATTCTCCGGCACAGAATCATGATCAAAAATCACCTACATACTCACCATACTCGCCAGCGGACGATGACTCTCGATCAGGCCGGAAGAGAATGGTCGTGCGACCTCGTTCTCCGGGACTGTCCAGCCCGTCGCGTTCCAAAGACTCGTCGCCCACGCGCCCCCCATCACTCTCGTACTCTACAAAGGCGGAGCTTCAGCGCATGGTATCGGCTGTACTGAAGCCCTTGTACGTTAAAAAGGACATCACCAAGGATGTTTACACAGAAGTCAATCGCGAAGTGTCACGCTCGCTATACGAGAGAGTGAGTGACGCTGGTCCCGCCGCTCTTGCTGACCAAGCCACGCGAGCAAAGTGGCAGGAAATTGCCAACGATGAAGTTCAAAGCGCCATCAAAGCCCACAACGAGAAACATGAAGGCGACATGCCTGCCGCTCTGGCCGTGGCTGGTGGCACCGAAGATGTCGCTTCTTCTTCTGCTTCCTCACCGTCTTGATTCCGTGTATCGAAGGTTTTTCTGTCGATGATTACAAGATCTGTTCTTGATTTTCTTTTTTTGCGATGTTTGCATTTGGCGTCGTAGCGGTGAACTGTTCCATGCATGCTAGGCACTTGCTTTTTTTCCAAAAGCGATGACGTCGACGATCATAACGAATGGAGTAAAAATGGCGTACAAAGGGCTGAGAGACATATCTCCGTTTCCTTCCGGATTCAGGCGTTACCCTATGTCATGGCTCACTGTATATCTTTTGCGAATTTTGACATCTTTCCGGGCTATATTCTTTGTACATTGGCGCACTGCATCTGGCACGACTGCAAGGGTCACTGCCAGTACTCTTTATAGCTAGGAGGCATGAGGCGTATATTGTAGGGGACACTCGGGATTATGAAAAGATACCACCTAGTTTTTGTTTCTGGTTTATAATTGAGCCACTCTCTTATTCTTAGTTATCAATCGTCATCAAGTAAATAGGCCCAGCCCATTTATACGTGTCTCTTTCGTCTCTCTCCTCCGCCTTCAAGTACCCTTCCGCGGGGTTTTCTTTTGTTCGCATGTGATGTGATATCGACATTTTTGTTGAAATAGTCTCACATATGATAAGTATATTTACATTGGTCTAAGCTACGCAGCGCGCTTCGCGCGAGCGTACACATTTCAATCCATCTATCTATCGTACACAAACAAAAAACATCAACACCCTTTTGTCACCCACAACTTCACAAGGAACAACTACCTACTCACTCAATGCCAACCCAACCGCATCCCGACCTTAAAACTCGGCCAACCTTAACGCATCCAGCACATCCTTCTGCCTCTGCCCGCCCATCCTCTCAAACCCATCAACACTCATCACGAACGTGCCTCTTCCCCCCGTCAGCGCCCTCAATTGATTTAAATACCCCACCATCTCCTTCAACGGCACCCTTGCAACGATCTGCCTCTGCCCCGCTGCCAACTGTCCCGGCGCAACCCCCGCATCCGTCGTGGCAGTCGAGCTGAACGGGTCAGGCGGGGTATATATCGACGCGGGATTAACAAGGACATCTGCCGCGGAGGCAGGGGAGGAAGACGACGATGAATCGTCGCCATCAAGAGAGATGACCTGACCGCCGCGGGACGAGGAGAGATCTTGCACGACTTTCCCCATGGCCGCTTCGTTGACGAAGATGGTGACGCGCATGACTGGTTCCATGAGGACGTTTGGCGAAGCGTCGTTTGCTTGGCGGAGATGCGTGGCTACTGCGCCGCGGGCTGCCATGCTCATTGCCGTCGGCGTGGTTTCAGTAGAGAAGAGGTGCGTTGCTGTGTCTAACGTAAGGGAGATATTTGTGTTTGACACTGGGAAGCCGTTGAAGGGACCGCGGGCTAGTGCTGCGCTTGCGCCGGCGTGAATGGCGGAGAGGAGACCTGGAAGGGAGAGGTGAGGCGGAAGGTGGGATTTGTGGGAAGAAGAATCGTGGCTAGGGAGTTTGGGGTGGGATATGTGGAGTGTATTGTTGTCTGGGAGTGGGTAGATTGTTTCGAAGTGGTTTTCGTCTTCGTTTTGGGGGGGTTGAGGGGACGAAGGGTCGTATTGGTCTTGGAGGAGAGCCGGGGCAATGGAGACGCCGATTGCTGCCTTTGCGGGTTTGCCGGCGATTGGCTTGTCGAGGGTGTAGGTGGATGGTGAGGTAGAACTTGTGGTGGCCTCGCGATATCCGATTTCGATTTTGCCGATTCGTGCTTTTGCTTTGAAGTCATTCAGCAAGCGGTCTCGAGCAATTTCAAGGTGAAGATCTCCCATTCCCGCTAAATGGGTTTGGCCTGACTCTTCATCAACCGACAGCTGCAGACTTGGATCCTCTCGTAAGAGGATATCCAAGCTTTCTTGTACGTGTTTCTGCTCGCTTAGACTATTTGGCTCGATGCTGGTGAAGAAGACTGGCGGCGGCACGTTGATGGGCCTGAGCTGCAAAGTGCTTAAATCACCAGGAGGTTGCCCCTTCAGCTGAAGACCTCTGTATACGATAAGCGTATCGCCAGTTCGGGCATGTTTTAACCCAGAGATGACACCAATCTGGCCTGCAGAGAGCGAGTCGACTTCGACGGCATCGTTTGCGTACATCTTCATGAGACGTGGAGCACGCTCGGCCGTGGAAAGACTGGTGTTGAACAGCACGGATCCTTTGTCCAAAGTGCCCGAATACACGCGGACATAGACTAATATGCCACGCTTTGGATCGTTGACTACTTTGAAGGCCAAAGCGCAGGCAGCTAGGTTACGAATGTCCTGGGCATTCAGAGCATTCTTTTTACTGCTCTGCTTTTTGGTCGGGTTTGCACTAGGTGTTGGGCCGGCGGTAAGAAGTTGGTTGAGAGTGCTAGTTCGGTTACCAATGCTGATCTCAGGATCGGGACGTTCAAGTGGGGAGGGTAAGAGGTCCACGACATTGTCCAGAAGAGGCTGCACGCCAATATTGCGGAAACTGGCACCAGCGAAGATCGGGATGACCACTTGGGGGGTTTGTAGAACGACGCGACGAAGGGACTGTAGAATTTGGAGGCCCGGGATTGCCAGGTGGTCTTCATCATACTCCAGAAACTTTTCCACCATGACATCGTCGTGCTCGCTGAGAAGCTCTACTAGAGCTACTCGAGCTTTCTTGAGCTCCTCGGCGAACTGTTTATTTGTGGTCTCCAACTGATTCAAATCAAATGCTTGGATCTGGCTCCCATCCGAGGAGCCTTGCCACAGCATGCCCCTTAGATTGACTACATCACCGACGCCAACGAATTCACTCTTCCCATCTTTCCACCACGGGATCTGACACACGGCAGGCCATCCGTGCAGCCTCACACCTACTTCCTTGACGGTTCTTGCAAAAGCGGCACCATCGCGGTCCAGTTTGTTCACGAATATGACTCGTGGGATCTGGTAGAGGCCAGCCTGAGTCCACACTTTTTCTGTCTGAGCTTCGACACCGGCAACGCCGTCCAGGATACAGACGGCGCCATCCAAGACGCGCAAGGAGCGGAGTACCTCGAAAGTGAAGTCGGCGTGGCCAGGAGTGTCGATCAAGTTGATGTTGTGTGAGATGGAAGACGGTGGAATCGAATCAAATGTGGGTGGTAGAGGTGGGTTCGGATCGGCTGGATTAGCAGGAGGCCAGTGGAAAGTGATGGCTGCAGACTGGATAGTAATTCCACGTGCACGCTCAGCAGGAAGAAAATCGGTCACGGTTGAACCTTCGTCAACGTCTCCTATTCTTCTGGTATATCCACTGTAGTAGAGCATGCGCTCTGTGGTAGTTGTTTTGCCAGCATCGATGTGAGCAATGATGCCAATATTTCGCGTCGTTTTTGATAAATGTTCTGCCGATGTGGTAGACAGCAGTCTCTTAGGAAGGCTGAGGCTGGAATGGTGAGAGCGAGCAACGACTCGACGAGCACAAAAGATCCATCTTGGCTGCATTCCAGACACTTGGACTCCCGAGCTGGATGTCGATTCGGCGGACTAATGGATCAATGACGGATAGCACGTGACTATATGTGAAAGCATTTGAGATTGTGGAGAGATGGATGGGCGAAGATGGACAGCGAGCTTGCCAAGTGCGCCCGTGCCCGACAGCTTCATGGTGGACGGACAAGAGCAACTAGGCATCGCCTGCATCTGCATACGTACAGTAGTTCAAGTATTGCCATTTTTTTCCACGTAAGTGCTGGCATGCATGCCCTCAAGTATCAGACGATATTCTCCATCTAACCTCCATGGAAGAACAGAAACTCTCGTTGCAAGTAGCCACTGACGGGTGGTCTGCTTAGTTACCTAGCTAGCTAGCTACCTTCTCTACCCACCACCTACTTTCTCGGTAATAACATCATCGCATCCCGCACACACCTCCGAGTCGCGAGAGCCTGCCGACAACCTCCCCTCTCGCACTCCAATTGCTTGCGCTCCCCCGCAACTCTCGCCAGTCTGCCCGTAAACCATCGCCATGGACTACTCGGCCTCGGACCCAGACCACCCTGCCGGCGCAGATCCATGGGCGTCGTCTTCGCCGCAACACAGCAGGTCCACCTTTGCCCAACCGCCCACCACCGACATTCCTTCCTCTCCGCTGCCCCCGCAGGCTTCACCCTATGGCGATGGCTCCGAGAACTATGGCTATATGGGAAGCAACCGTCCCCAGAGTCGCCCAGGAACCGCTGATGAGAACGGCGATGCAACCCACCCTCCACCAGCCCATGACGAAACCGCTCCCCCGCAGCATCAACAGCAACCCCCACAGTCCGCCGCAAATCCCCAGCAGGGCCAGCAATCGCATTCACAGCCGCAACGCTATCATGGAAATCGCCCACAGCGCCAACAACCTCAGTACAAGCTTCAGGCCAAAGTGACGGGCTTGGAGCGCACTGGCAAGAAGGACCCCATCCTCAAATTCGACGTTTACGTATGTTTGCAGCAAGCATCCTTTTGATACTCTACATTGTACTGACCTGCTCCTGTTCTGTATAGACCAACCTCCCCAAGTTCCGCACTACGCAATTCCGCGACGTCCGACGCCAGCATTCTGAGTTCGTCAAGCTTGGCGAGCATTTGATATCCGCCTGTCCCGAGGCCATGGTTCCTGCCGTCCCGCCTGCCACCACTGCTGCAGGCGCTGGAACGGATGAAGACGAAGCCCGCGTCAAAGCATCGATACAACGCTGGTTGAACGTCGTCTGCAGCAACGATGTGCTCATCCGCGACGAGGAAATGGTCTTCTTTATCGAAAGCGATTTTGGCTACAGCCCAGTCATACGGCGGAAACAGCCAGCAACCGGCGTCAGGCGCAAGGTGATTAAACAATTTGCGCCGCCACCAGATGATACCCCAGAGCTGGCTGAGGCACGTCCCATCGTAAAGAACTTTTATCTCGGCACAATGGAGACCGAGCAGCGCGTGGAAAAGGTTGTCAAGTCTCGGAGAAGTACGTTGTCTCGCTCCCAATCCCAACTCAACATCACTAACATACTCCAGATCTTGGAGTCGCCGAAACTGACCTCGGCCACAAGCTCTCAGCCATGCATGTGCAAGAAACTCACCCAGGACTCAGTCTCGCCTACCGAAAGCTAGGAAAAGTCATTCAAGCAACGGGAGACTATCACGCAGCCCAAGGCACGGCTGAAGCAACAACCCTTGGTGATCCCCTCCAATACCACAGCAGCGACGCCTTCATCGTCAAGGAAACCCTAACGAACCGCCACATCATCCTCCGCGAACTGCTCCAAGCTCAAGCGTCGACGAAATCCAAGCTCTCCGCTGCAGACCGCCTCAAAGCTTCGTCCTCGGTCAAACGCGACAAGGTGGACGAGGCAATCGCCGCCCTCGACGAAGCCCGTTCTCACGAAACATACCTCGTTGCCAAATCCCAGCGCGTCACGGCCAACCTGCTCACGGAGCAACGTAAGTGGTTCACGCGCACCGCCACCGACATGAAACTCGCTCTGCGCGAGTACGCCGTCCGCCAGATCGAGGCCGAGCGCCGCACCCTCGCGACTCTTGAGTCGGTGCGCCCAGATATCCGCAACATTGACGCTTCCGGCGGTCTTTCGAGGCTTGGTCGTGAAGCGCATCCCCCGCAGCGACGTATTTCACTCGCTAGCTCTCAGGGACCCAAGGGCGACGCGTGGTCTGGTGTCCCCAGACGGCCTGGGGATGGGTTGAACCGCAGTGTTAGCGGTGGTGGATTTGCGGGGCCTGGGGTTCCCGGCGCTGTACCTGAAGAAGGGGAAAGCGGAGGTGACGATGGAGTTGGCGGAGGAAGGAGACGCGCGGGCAGTAAAGCAGATGCGGATGACGATGAGGATCGGATCGATGCCAGGAATGCGGCGAGCCGGCTAGCTACGTCGACTTTTTAGGGTGAGAATATATGGGACTTTCCGGCTAGTAGAGGGTTCGACTGATTTGTGGTTTGGGAGCGGAAGGACGACGGTTCGGTCCGGCGCTTGAGTTTCCAGCTGAAAATATGGCAGCTGCCTATATTGGAAGGATATGAAACTATTCACGATGATGATGATCGAGACGGCGGTGTTGTGTGTGAAGATATAGAGCATGCAGTAATTTCACTTCACTTATTCTTCCACGTTTCGGCGGTAGACGGGCAGAGAGATGGTCAATGTGAAAACGATGAATGCTTCTCCGCTTGAATCAACATCAAAATACGTATTCACTCTGGCCTCATCTCACCCAGACCCATCGTTTCCCAATAACGAAGAAAATCAACAACCGTTTATATACAACCCTTCTCTTCCCCAAAAGAAAAGATTCAGCGTCGCGTTCCAAAAATCGCTCCAACAGGACTCCTATCCCAACCTTCCCGATTCCGCGCCACACTCCCATACTTGGCCTGCCAAGCAAAGAAATACAGCAGCGCCGCGAGCGGCTGCCCGACGAGACAAAACGAGATCCAGAAGATGACGTTGCCGGCGACTTGGCCGTTCATGGCCTTCCAGCGCTGCAGTTTGTCCGTGAAGAGGATGAGCGGGATTTGGATCATCATGCCTGTGAAGGCTACGCCTGTTGAATGTCAGTTAGCAATGGGCGGCTCTGGGCCTAGAGAGTAACAGATGGAAAAAACAGGAGAGTGAGAAGGGATGGATGGATGGAGAGAGAGACGTACCAATGACGTTGTGCGTAGGTATACCGACGGCGAGTTCATGGAGGATTCCGGATAGAACGAACACTGCGAGCTGCGCGGCCTGTGGACTCCATCCACGTCCTACCAACGGACTGTACACATGTCTACGCATGAAATTCGTGACGGGCTTATTCCATGATGTCCAGTAGTTGCGGATACTCGATACATTCCACCAATCCGCATAAAAGTCGCGATCACCAAACGTCATTACTTCGGCGAGAGCGTTTAACGCAGACTGGAAGAGTGCGTAGAAGCCGCACAGCCAGCAGAAAATGGAAATGGTGCTGAGTTTCATGACGCGCTCAGCGATGGAGACGACATCCAGCTGGAGAACTTTATCCATGGAGTTTTGAAGAAGTGGGGCAGCGTATTGCGCGGAGGCGATCCAAATGACGATGCTGAGGCCCAGGACTTCGAGGATGCGCTGCAGGACGAACCCCCAGCGGATGTGCGAGGTGCGAGGATACACGGGTTGGTAGATGAGAGTTGGGGCCCACCAGAAGTAGCAGAGGTTTTTGAAATTGATGTTACGGGGGTAAGGGCATTCCTTGTAGACATCGGGCAGCGGGGCGGAGGACGTTGGGTGGAGGTAGGCGTGGCGGAGGTCGCGGTTGGTGAAGGCATAGGAGCAGACTTTGAGCCAGAGGACGATGGCGTGGAGTTCGCAGAGGGTGCCGATGCCTGGATGATAGATGTCGAAGTAAACGACGGTCGATGCGATCATGAGACTAGCGCTGGCATTAATGCCATGCGCCATGGCAATGATTCGCCATGTTGAGTGGAAACTGCGACGGGCGGCTGCTTGCTTCTCGGGAGTGTCGTGGTCCTCGCCGGCTCTCTTCATGCGAGCTGCAGCTGCTTTGGCCTGTTGAGCGGCTGCAAGCTCGATCAAGTAGGCGATGAAGAGATGAAATGGAACAGAGAGATAGAGAAGTAACCCTCGAATGACATCTTCTCGTCTGTAGTCGTGGCAGTGAATGCAGATAACAACTCCATACTGTTGCACAGATTAGAAACTTGAATAATCAGAGATCAGAAGTATGGAGGTTTACTTTTTGGAAATTTTCAATCATCAATCGGAGGTTAGAAACGACTACACATGGTTAGATGCAGAGCTTCCGGTTTTGGGTAGGCGAGGAATGGAAGCGTACTGAGGACCAGGATCATGAGATTCCTGAAGCCGACAAAACTGGGGGCTTGAGCGCCTTGGGTAAAAGGAGAGATTTGTTGTTTCGAATGCGTAGCGAAGACATGGCGATACTTGGAGGCCATCTTTGAAGGCTTAGTCGGTTTTCCATTGGTATGATCGGTCGTCGTCGTCGATGAAGATGTTGAAGCTGATGGATCCGTCGGAGGGTGGTGGTTGGCCAGAACATCACTTGCGGATGTAACGGCAGTAGCCGTGGCAGTGTCAACCAGAGTAGCCATGACGAAGCGATGGATTGCAAGGGGGGAAAAAAAGAAAGGAAAAGAAAAAACGAAATCACAATCTTGTATTTCGGCTCCTGGCAGTCGGGAAGCAATTATGAGGCTGAAGTACAGTTCAGCCAACAAGAGTCGGAGTGGCGGGTGTGGAATTCACGGCGATTACATTTGCGGCGCTGATGGATGGGTGAAGGAGGAATGGAGTGAGGACGCTGAACGGAAACAGCTTCATCAGCTTGGCTCGCGGTGACCAACGAATGTGGTAAGGCATGTTCCCAATGCCCTCGGATCGCCTCGACTAGATGCGTCAGATATGAGATGTGCCATGGCCAGTAGTTCGTTCAGCCTAGGGTGGTAGAGGAAAATGTTGGGATGCTATCTCCTGCTGCTATCATATGCTGATGCGGGGAGACGGACTCCAGTGGGCGAGTGATACGGTGGCTGCGGAGCACATGGTCTCTCATCTGGCAATCTTTCAATTGGTGTTGTATATGCCCAAGATTTTGCAATTGATCGATAATATTCTCGTTTCAAGGTTTTCGAAATAATCCATGTTTGATGGGACGAGAGATCGACCTTGAGCCTCGGTGTGGCTGGTGACGGTCACATGACTGGCTTCTCCGACCCCCGACGCGATCAATCCGCATGTCTTCATTCATTCATTGACTGTTCGCGACATTCCAAATCTCCGGCCCATCCCCACACCCACGCACCTTTCCCGCACCGACGACACACGCACAACTGATGCTACAGTATCGGATATAGTTGATCAACTGGTGCCGTTCACCATGGACCACCGACCCGAATACCACCACTACGATGGCCCGCCACGACCTCGTCCTAAGCGTACGTAGCTGCTTCTACCCATTGTGTACACATAGCGCATCCACTTGCCAGCCATGACTTCCTGCGCACTCTTTCTATCTTCTACTAAATAACAGCTTCAAATTAATATACTGAGTTTTTACCGCTGCCAGGTGCTGTTACCGACTATGGCGCAACCACTGTCCATTGGATGCGCAACCGCAAACCGCGTTACAAGAATGCCCTGCTCCCCGAAGTCGAGCGCCCCAGCGCCAGCTATATCGTCGACATGGAGCCTCCTTCAGCTAGGCTAACAAACGCCGCCGAAGCCATTCCCGCCAAAGCCCTCCACTCCTCGCTCAATAAAGTCAAGCACCCCATCAATGTCGTCAAATGGACCCCCGAGGGTAGGCGCCTGCTCACCGGCTCTACTAGTGGAGAGTTTACGCTGTGGAATGGCATGGGCTTCAACTTTGAGACCATCATGCAAGCTCACGAGTCGGCCATCCGCTGCGTCGAATACACACATACAGACGACTGGCTTCTCTCGGCAGACCAAACGGGCATCATAAAATACTGGCAGACCAATATGAACAACGTGAAAGAGATCCAGGCCCATAGCGAAGCCATTCGAGGTCTGGCAATTGCTCCTACAGACGCCAAATTTGTAACTTGCGCCGATGACACCACACTCAAGATATGGGACTTTGCCTCTAGCACAGAAGAGTCGACTTTGACAGGCCATGGCTGGGAGGTGAAGTCGGTCGACTGGCATCCCCACAAAGGTCTGCTGGTATCTGGGTCCAAGGATCACCAGGTAAAACTGTGGGATCCACGGACTGGCCGTTGCCTAACCACGCTTCACGGGCATAAGAACCCCATCTCCAAAACCATGTTCGAACCGGTACTCGGCAACCTCATGGCTACCTGCGCTCGCGATCATACAGCTCGTATCTTCGATCTGCGTATGATGCGCGATGTCCTGCTCCTCCGAGGTCACGAGAAGGATGTGATTACCATGGCGTGGCATCCTCAGCACAGGAACCTGCTTTCCACGGGTGGTGTAGACGGCAGCATTATGCACTATCTCCTCGACGAAGAGAATTCCCCCGCGGGCGCAGGCGCTGCTCCTTCATTATCTCCCTATGATTCCGCTGATCCACAAAACGCCCCCTCCCAAACCATTTACCCTGCCCACAGCATCCAATATGCGCACGACTTTACTGTATGGACATTAGATTGGCACCCGCTAGGCCACATTCTGGCGTCTGGATCGAATGATAGAGTGACTCGCTTTTGGACCCGCCCTAGGCCTGGCGACACTTCTTTCATGAATGACAAGCACCACATTGGACAGGCCGCCGCCGAGGCCCAAGGAACCTACGATCGCGGCCAACACCGACGACAAACCCGGGAAGAAGAAGAGCAAGAAGCCGAAGACGAAGCCGAAGGTCTCGTTGATCAGAAACAGCCTCCAAAAAACGTGCTTCCTGCCTCACTTCTCCCTCCTGGCCTCACCCTCCCCGGCCTCAACACAGCTGCCGACGGCTCAAGCAGTGCCCTTCCAGGTATTGGCGGCGCATCTGCACCGTCGTCAAACCTGCCTCCAAACTTCCCCCCACCCCCTCCAGGCTCCAATTCAGGTGTTCCTCCACCGCCATTCGTTGGCGGCATGGATCCTTCGCGCCTGGCGCAACTGATCGCCTCAGGCGCACTCCCACCGCCCCCTATCCCTCCGTCTGGAGGAGGCTCAGGCGTTCCTCACAGCACTGGCACCCCACCTCTTCCCTTTCCAGGTCTCCCCGCAAATATGCCCTTCCCTCCGAATTTCCCCGTGCCGCCTCCAAACATGGCCGCAAATGGAGGGCCGCCGCCGCCACCACCACCTCCACCTGGTCATCCTGGTCATGGTATGCCATTCCCTCCCCCTGGGTTTCCCAACTTCCCATTCCCACCTCCGCCACCTGGTATACTTTCGCAGGGGCAAGGCGGTGATCAGGGCTTGGTGACTGCGCCGGATGGAACGATAAAAAAGAGAGGGCCGCTACCGAGTCAGCAGGATAGCTTGAAAGCCGAAATGCGGAGAGGGAATTATCGAACGAAACGGTGAACGCTGTAAGATTCCTTTCACTGTTTCATTCAAGCCTGATCTGGGTAGTTAAGAGGACTCTTTCGATCTGGGTACGTTTTGGGGGCTTCTGGGTGACGGCTCCCCTCTTCTTCTTTATCTTCTAGGTCATTTTCGGAGCGTGAACAACTTCGGTTAGAGATGGGATGGCCAGATTTTGTGTATTTTTAACATATTCCGCCTCTTTGTTTTTTTCTGTTCCTCGTCTTCGTGACACATCTTCTGGTCTCTTTCTTCTCTGTACGATCTAGGAGATTCGCAGCTTCGGTAGTGCGCAAAAGACAGCGCGGGTGAGAGGTCTGAGCGGATCTTTTTATTTAAGGGGCGAGTATGCAGGCGTGGAGAGTGAAAAGTCCTGGGTTATCGAGCTGGGTGTCATGTGTGTCACTATTGATTGAGATGGGATTTGCTAGCGGGATAGGAAGGAAGCAAATTTGAAAAATGATACCAGATATTCGACACTTCCTATGAAGATGAGTGCGCGTGATGACATGGGGGCATGATGGATACTATTCTATCAAAAGAAGCCTGTGATGATTATTCTTCGTGATGTGTAATCTCCCTGGACAGATCTCGATAGTTCTTTGCAGAATGACACTTTTGAGGCCTGTCCAAGCATATTATCACGAGACGCTCACAGTCAAGACCTTAGCCCGATGAAAACAAGAACATCATAGCCCATCAGTTTTCGAAAGCTCTAAAGGAACGGATTGCTCGTATATACAGACCGCGAATAGATTTGTGTTGAAATAGAGGAAGTTGTCAAAACGAAGCTGTAGGGTGTATGCTGACAATGGGTATTAGTATCTGGCTAGCGGCGAAAGAGCGAGGAAGTTGGAATTAACTGTATAATTACGAATAATTTATCGAGGAGATGATTCTGATGAGGTACAAGAACTAGATTACATATTGAAAAAAGCAACTGATGGGATTGCATGCTTTTGCCTTCACCAACGTAATCCCATACGCTGCCGACGTATCAACTCTTTCTCATTGTCTCCCAATACCGAGGAACGAGACAGAGTTGTTCAGCATTTCACCAATTGCGTCTCGAGTCGAGCTGCAAGATTTTCATTTCCATGGCTCAACCCATTGTCCCGCCACCGCTGAAGCTAGGTCCTCACGCTTATCCTGTGGCTGATAAGTTCCCGCGTCGATATCCACGGGAAGTGGCAAAGATGAAGCATCGCCAAGGTCACCAAGATATCGCTTCCGCTTGCGCGGTAGAAGTCCAGGAAGCCTGGACCGGATTTCAATGACTTTTGGATCGAGCAAAAACTCGCAGATCTCGTCATGCCCAGCTTTAAGAGCATAGGCCAGTGCATTCAAGCCTGCAAAATCCCTCGCTGATCGATCAGCTCCACACTTTGTAAGTAAGAATTCCACGATTTCGCGATGCCCATGCATAGCCGCCAGCATCAGCGGCGTATACCCCTTTTGGTCCTGGGATTCCACGTTAGCCCCGTGCTTCGAGAGTAGCAAATCTAGAACTCCTTTGTGCTCATGCATAGCCGCCAAATGAAGTGCCGTCTGCCCGTTATGATCCCGAGCTCCTATGTCCGCTGCAAACTTCGTGAGTAACAAGTCGACTACTGTCGAACGTCCATCCTTGGCCCCCATAAGAAGCATTGTGTATCCCCCCTCATCTCGGAATTCGATATCAATCTCACACTTGGTGAGTATCCGCTCCACGATCTGCGCAAACCCTTTTTCTGCCGCAGTTGCGAGTAATTTATGTTGATCTTCATACTCGGACGCTATGTCAACTCCGCTGGAGAGCAATGTTTCAACGACTGACATGTATCCATTGCTCAAAGCAATCAGCAGTGGTGTTGCCCCAAACTCTGACTTAGAGTGTACATCAACCGACTTGGTGTGAAGGAAGTGCTCGACTATCGCCTGCATTCCACAACTTGCAGCCAACCATAATGGCGTGAGCTCCGAGTCACTCTTGCAGTCTAGATCAACGCGACCAGTAGAACAGAGCATCTTGACTATGGATTCTCTCCCTTTATCCACCGCTAACAGCAGTGGCGTATATCCCATCTCATCTTTACAATTGATGTCAACTTGGTCAGCGTGGCACAATCGCTTGACTACTACATCGTGTTTGTTCCATACCGCCCACCACAATGGCGTGTGTCCAAATATATCTCTTGAGTTGGGATCATTTTGGTTGTGAAGTAGAGAAGCCAGTGTTTTATCCAGCCCAAAGTATGCTGCAAGATGCATTCCTGACATCCTGGTGTCGATTTTCGTACTGTTGATATATTTCATTCCTTTTGATCGACGAAATCTGTTAAGCTGCCAGCTCTGTCCTAGGCGTATTGAAAAAAAGGTTTGAGAGCAGGCAGACACTCGGGCCTCGTCTTCTAGCAGCTTGACGATGTCGGGTCCTTCGGTCATAGCTAATTGAACGTGTCTTCCCCAGTATCCTGCCGCGTAATCGTATAGAGGCAGTGTATTCGTTTCATGGATGATTTTCAACCATTTCGCGACGCTTGATGATCCTGAACAGTCATCGTTCTCGCCAGTAGATTCGTGATTGGATAGCCTTGTTGAGGGATTTGAACTGTCAAGCAGCAAGTAGGCGACGCAGACGTCAGCTATGTCTCTCTCAGCGGTAGGGAACCACGCTGTTTTGGTTCGTACAAAATATTCCTGTGTGGTGTAATGAACCAATTGTACACGATCTCCGTTTGCATCAATGGCAACTAAGCCTGCGCAAACAGACAGTATCAATTGCGTGCTCGGTATGTACTCTTCGTTCAGGCTGGTTGTTTGTGGCCTCACAGCGAGGGCGTGGCGAAGCTCTAACGTCGTAAGCTGTCTTTTGGCATGAACGATCCATGATAAGATTTGTTTAGCGAGTTTTCGTGTGTGCTCTCCTTGACGCTCGATTCGTTCCATTGTTTGCTCATAGGCGTTTTGCAGTCCAGCGGTACCCCTCTGTAAGTGTTGCAATGCTTCTCTGACGTCCCCTTTTGTTGGTTGGTCTTCAAGCATGTTCATATGGAGCTCTGCAAGAAGAAACCTGACACTTTGTGAGACGCCTTGAATCAGGGCATATAAAGGGAGAACTAGACATACATTCCATCAACAGCTGATGACACACCCTCTCTAATTGTGCCTTCAAGTTCCTCATTCGTGCTATCGGGTCGCATAAGTGATATACGTTTATTCAGGTATCTGACCACATCTTGGTCGCTCGCGCGAATGTGAAATGAGAGGGGATTTTGAAACATCTTAGCAATGTCTTCGTCTAACCGCGAAGTAGCAAAGATATTAGCTCCGGTTCTGGCTTGCAATCTGAAAATCACGGAAAAAAGCTTCTCGCGGCCCCCTTCGGAAGCACTGCATTCGTCAAGCGCATCGACTATAATGAATGCGCGAGAGTAAAGCGCTAGGACTGAGTGGAGGAGTTCTTCTGTTTCCTCCATCGATGGTCGAGTGCGCTTGGGGTTGTGGTAACCATAACATTGTCTCAAACTTTCAGGAAGTGAGCTCTGCGACTGCGCGAACTGCTTGATAAGGCTTAACAGAAGATCCTCGGGCTTCTGCTCTTGTTGTCTTTGAAAGTTACAATAGATATAGGCAATTCCTGTATCGTGATTTCGACCGTGTTTTTCGTAAAGGTTGTCCACAACGATAGCCGTGAGGATTGTCTTGCCAGCACCTGGAATTCCGGGACAGAAAAGAGTCTTCCCTTTTTCTTGTAACCAAGTCATGTATTCCGGCTTCTCTAGTGCCCACATTCCTGTGCCCTCTTGGCGTTTGCGTATGAAACTACTTTGCAAAGGGCCGTAGTCGACTGGGGTGAGCCAGTCAAGTATATAAGTATTTTCGGTTTTGTCCAGCTTCGATCTCATAATTTCAGTGTGAGTTCCGACGGAGGACAGCGTACTCTGAACTACGAGGTCGGTAAGAGGTTTCATTCTAAGGAACAGATTCTCACATTTACTGACTTTGACCGAGAATATCCTTCGCCGTGCGCTCTCTATCGACATCATGAGGCTGTACGTACCCCAGCAGCTCTTTGGCGAACGCTGCCGCTATGGTCGCAGCATATTCTTGCCAGTCTTTGTTCTTCTGTGAATCTGCGTAATCGCATATGCCCCTGATAGCGATGCAAGGGAAACTATCCATCAAACCTGCCGCCTCCATTTCGACACAAAGTAGATTGCCGTCGAGACTGTCGTTTAGGCGATCGCGAAGCTCAGCATCCTTGATAACCTGATTACCCGATGCAACTAGACCATAATGTATACATATTTCTCTGGAGTCTTGTTCAGATATATCAGTGTCTGTCCCATGACTTTTGGCATGTTCAGAATAAGGGTCCCTGAGTAATGTAGCCCTGGTAAACTTCGGTTTCAGTTTAGGCGCGGCCTTCTCCACCTCCCCGAGATACTGCGGTATTTTAGATCCACGAATGTCGTGCTGTGTTTTCAGCTTCGTCAAAGCTGTGAGCAGAACGGCCGGGGGATTGTTGAGTGCACCCGTTCGTCTGAATTCACCGCCCTTCTCCGTCTTCCCAAAATCCCACTGAACCACCCCAGGAAACTTGTCAACTGGTGTGCTAACAACAATATCACCGAGCCTAACATTGGGAGGAACGCCGCCACCAATTCCAACCATGAGACCGATGCGAACAGCCGTAAACGTGCCAATCATCTTTGTCGCGACGGTGGCTGCAGAGACAGTCCCGTACTTTCCCATTGGTAGGCATGCTATGACGATGTTGTGTCCGCCGATCGATCCCAGGGTGTAGGTGTTGTCATCCTGTGGTGGTTTAGCAAGATCAGGATGTATATCGTCCAGCATAACCGTTGCTGCAGTCTGCTCTTTGGCCAAAGCGCAAATCCATCCCACAGTGTAGTCACTGTGAGTTCTGCGCTCCGTGGGCGGTGCTTGCGTAGCCATTGCGGGGGATCAGCCTCGTTGCGATCGCCACTTCCGACTTCGAACGGGCGCACGGTGAGTACGCGACGGTTGCTCTTTCTGGAAATTAACTCAAATAACTTCAAGAGTTTTATTGATACATGCAGAAAAACATGGGGAGAAATATCAATATTGATGATGGATTCTACGGGGTGATCGTCGAGAAATTAGGTGTTGGAGGCCAAACCGCAGGCTGAACGCAAAACTGGTGATCTCTACATGGATTATACGAAACACAGCCGCAGGCACATCTTCAGAATGTTCGAGTCCCATGCTCAGCCTCCATTCATTAGGACCGGAACGCATTGATTCGACGAGCGAGGGAAACTGCCATTTTGCTCAATGTGCATGCGCAATAGATGGAGAAACAAGTTTTTGCGTGGCTATGCTCAAAAAAGGGATCCACGGTCGTTCGCAACCAACGGATTCGATTTCACTGCACACGCAGCCTTGCTCCCTACATACCTTCTTATCTTGTTGGTCCGATGAACAGCGAGGCTCTGCGCCATTGAGTCATCAAGTATTCTTATAATTTTTGTTAGTATTTTTAATGGAATGCAATACAACGAGTCGCAACTAGGGCATACCTGGATAATGTATATCCAAGTCGCCTGTTTTGTGACTATTGCAAAGCAATCCAGGGCATTTTTTGGTTCCCTCTTATCGTTGTAAACCCATCGCTGTGTGCACGATCACTCGAACTCCAACTTGGAATTTATGAATCCTGAACATACTAAAACAATCCTTTTACTTTCCATCATTGTTTCCCTCCTTATCAAAGCTTAGAGATATCTGTTGTAAAATAAATCTAAGAAAAGATAGAAGCGTTGAGAAGCAGTATACGATGACATCGCAGATGAACAAGAGTAAAAATTTGGTTCTGAACTTACTCAAATCCAATCTATACCTCAAGCCGCGACTTTCCTCGTAAACTCTTTGAGCTGGCGATTGTGAATAGTGATGAACCCGACGATTGGATCATTCTACTTACGATGAGCACGAGAGAGATGCTAACGATGTGGGTGATTATTTTTATACTTTAGAGCGATTGATTATACGATGCACGACTCATCGAAACGAACACAGGCAATCACTGCGTATCTATCAGTAGGAATATTGACATCAGTATACATGCACTACCCGCGAGTCCTGCTAATGCCAAAAAAAGCCCATTCTATTCCTTCACGACTGTCTATGATACACTAGTCCTATATACTGGAAGCTACCAACTGAACTCTTCTTCTATAATCACTCACTCCACGATATTCTTTACATTCCTCAAACCCCTCGACTACTCCTGCATCTGATTGGAATCCACATCAAGATCCTCCAGCAACTTCCTCTGATCCAACCATCCTTGGTCCAATCGCTCCTCAACAACATCCATGCGGATCTTATACAACGAGTCCAAAAACGCAGGGACAAAAGTTCCTGGGCCCTCCACACTGGCTTTCTGGGCAGCATCTTCAGCCGCAATTTCAAAATGGAGAATGGCAGCCAAGACAGCAGTGAAACTATCAACCTTCAGTTCTTCGGGTGATGCGGAAGAGTTGGATGCAGCGAGGTAAGCAGAGATTGCCGTGCCGAGGGTACACCCTGTCCCTGTGATGGAACCCTGGAAAAATGGAAATGCGAAGTTAGTATCAATTGATAAGCACAACGAGTGGAATGTCACGAGGTAGATATCACCCGAAACACTGCACATGATCAAACTGTGGGATTGCAGGATCGAGAATTGCTCCTCCACGTACCAGATAAGCATGGCCATTCTTGATGGCGACAGTGCTGGTGCCATCAGAGAGATAGTCAGTGCTACCAGTCATTAATATCGTCGTATGTTCCCATTTAGCGAGTTTCGAGACTAAATTGAGTGCTTGACTCGATGATAGAGACCCTTGAGAATCTACGCCTCTTTGTTGTTGGGATTCCGAGGAGTCTGAAGCTGTGATTAGAGATAGATCTGGTAATCCGGCTGCCTTGGCCACTGCTAGAATTTCCGACTGGTTGCCCTTAATTACAGTGAAGTATCCGCTGTTGAGCAAATATTTTAGAGCATCTCTCCTCACTGTCGTAGCTCCCGCGCCTACGGGATCAAGCACAACAGGATTGCCGACGGCGTTGTAAGCCTCTATAGCGCGGCGATATTGCAACAAAGCGTCTGGGGTCGATGTTCCCATGTTGACGACAAGGCCGCCTTCTAGGGTAGCAAGATCGGGCGCTTCACTGCCATTGTTGGACATGATAGGGGAGGCTCCCATACAAAGAGCCACGTTCGCAGCGAAATTCTGTACAACGAGATTTGTCATGTTGTGTGTCAACGGCTTGCTATTGTGAACAGCTTTAATAGCGTTAAGCACCTTACGCCCTTTTACTGAAGACGAAAAAAGCTTGCTGATTCGGGGAGCAAATTTTGGACGATTGCTATTCTTGAAAAGATGGATAAGATGTTGGGCTGCGCTCTGCGGATCTGCAGATGCTATTATTGCGGAGACAACGGCAACACCGCTGAGTTGCTTAGAGTATCCAGGGCGTGCACATGTCTGTTGGTGCACTCGTTGGATGTTGCTTGCGTTGATTCCCCCAATACAAACAGTGTCGATGGAAAAGGATTTTTCATTGTGACTCAGATGATGAAGAATCTGGCGGACGCCATAAACTCCGATGATATCCTTGGTATTCTTTTTAGTGTCAGTGGCATACACAGTTCCTATGCCCAAATAATCAGCTCCGTGCTCTACAGCCACCTTGGCTTCTTGGATGGTAGAGACGGTAGCTCCGATGATTTTGGTGGAACCTAGAATTTTCCGCGCTTCAAACACGCTCATGTCGTCTTGGCCCAGGTGCACACCTTCGCAGTCCACAGCCAAAGCGACATCGACACGGTCGTTGATAATGAGCGGGACTTTGTGTTGAAGACATTTTTCATGAAGTGCCTTGGCCGTGCTGATGAGGGCTCCTGTGTCGCTTTTCTTGTCACGGTATTGGACCACGGTGACACCTGGATCATGTTAGAGCACTCGAGACGAGAGAGAACAGGGTTGCAGGTTGGGTCATGTTCAAGTGATGGAAGGGGATGAATGGGGGATGTCCTTACCTCCTTTGAGGGCTTCTTCAACCACATGGACCAAGTTCCTTTTGCCCAATATAGCTTCGGTGGAATCGGTAACCAAGTACAGGGAATAGTCTACCGTGGGTTTCATTTTGGCGTTTCGATTTCCAATTGAAGGAAAAAGAGCTAAGCTGTCCTGATGTGATGGGTTGACGTCCTGGTCACAGTGAAGCGGGTATTGAGGGGATGGCGGGGTGTCTGAATCCGCAACGTCGCGTGCGTGTTTACCACACGTCTAACCTGTTTTCGTATCACAAAGGGTGACAGGATTGGGTTAATCTTTCAATTCTGAAAGAGGTTCCGGTATGAGAGCTGTTGGGGTGCAAGTTGACTAGTATATGCAAGCGGGCGGATCAACACGATGATGATGGCATGCAAGTGTATACAACCGGCTCCAGGTGGAGTCGCTAAAGTTAGCCCACGCCAAATGGAGGGAGCAAAACAAAGACAGAATACACACGATATTCTTCACCAGAGTGCGTGATTGCGATTCGCATACATTTGGTTGAGTTGAAGTGCAGGGATATGAAGACTTGAACATTTTGTCGATCTATTCGAGGTGGGTGGCAGAGATGAAATCCATCTCATGCATCTACACATTGGAACAAGCTAAACCAGGAAATCCAAATAACAGATTACTGTCTCCATCTGAAAGGGACCGACCGGATGGAGACTATTGATAATCGGATGATAGTAGCAGTCATACGATGCACTACCGATGGCCGACGCTGGACAGTCAGACAAGAAGGGTAGAGCGCCCAGAGAAAAAAATTCTTTGTCGCATCGTGATCTCCGTCATGCTTGCATGTCACAGCCCGCAGGCATGGCCAGGCAGCCCATCTTTACTGGAGCATATGTCATCCTCAAGCAGACAATCGATTGCTGTCGTGGCCGCGCTGTCTTTGCAGATGCATCCATGGACAAATAATATTATGGATTAACAAATGAATCTTGGTATGGATCGGGATTGAGCGCATTCACTGCAAGCAATCGTGTCTCAACGCAACGTGTAAATGCGGAACGATGGGCAAGGAGGGGAGGGGGCTTGGGCTCCGGTCGTCAGACACATCGGTCCTGATGGGCTGAATTGTCTGTAGAATGGATCTGACCATCGCATCGCATTGTGCGGTGGTGGTAGTAGTGGTAGTGGTCGGGGACTCTTCGGCGAATGGCCTTAAAGCCGGCGCTGCTGCCTCCGCAAAATTCTGACCCCTCGACGATGGTTGGGTTATGTAACTTAGTTTAAAGTCCACGCACACACGTCTTCTTTCTCTTCCTCTTCCTTCCTCCCACCACCACCACCACCGTCCGTTGCAACTCCAGCAATCCACTACCACGACACCGTAGCCCATCTCCATCTGCCCTACCCATCCGCCCCTGTCCGGCCATCCGCTTGCCGCCCCTCCATATTGTTCCCGTAGCAAACTGCGGCTTCCCCTCCTCGCCTCTCTCCCACCACCCAACCCGCCTACCTTCCGCCAGCCGGCGCCTTGTACAAGCACCAAACTCGCCCTGCGTCTCCGACAACTGCAGTATATGTATTCGCCCCAAAGCCACGCTTTCCGTCTCGATCCTCCCCCCGATCTGCAATCATTTCGCAGTACGCGGAAACCTAGCAGTGTCCATCACTCCACCAACGGCTAGCCCATCTTGCACCACTCCGTCCCTCTGCATTTACTGCATGTCTAACGAGGCCCTTATACCTTCACCCCATTTCCTTGCACCTGCCTGTTCGCTGCACCTCAAATAATCAAAAAACCCTGCCTACCACCCGCCACTTCTTCCCAGCTACCACCCAACCGCAAACATGGCTACCGTCAACGTCCGCCGCGATGTCTCCGACCCCTTCTACCGCTACAAGATGGAGCGCATCCAGTCCAAGATTGAGGGAAAGGGCAACGGCATCAAAACTGTCATCGTCAATCTGAGCAGCGTCGCCGCCTCCTTGGCCCGCCCTCCAGCCTATGTCATCAAGTACTTCGGCTTCGAACTGGGAGCCCAGACCAACAACAACCCCAACGACGACCGCTGGATCATCAACGGTGCCCACGATGCCAGCAAGCTCCAGGACTACCTGGACGGTTTCATCTCCAAGTTCGTCCTCTGCAAGTCGTGCAAGAACCCCGAAACCGTCATGGAATTCAAGGATGGCCACATTATGCTCGATTGCAAAGCCTGTGGCAAACGCTCCGACGTTGACATTCGCCTGAAGCTCAGCGGCTACATCATCAAGAACCAGCCCAAGAAGGGAAAGAAGGACAAGTCTACCAAGAAGGCAGAGCGCCGTGCCCGTAAAGAGGCCGGCCTCAAAGACGATGACACCCAGAACGGCAACAGCCCCAACGACAGCGCTTCCGACCACGCCGAAGAGGATGGCGACATGGAGATCGCAGCCGGCAGTGACGACGAAGTCACTCGCCAAATCACCGAGGGCGCAAAAGAGCTACACATCAAGGAGCAAAGCGAGAAGGAGGTGGAATGGGCCACCGACTTCTCCTCCCAGGCTGTCAAGTCCCGCGCTGAGGATTTGCCCGAAGACTTGAAGCGTGCTCTCGTTGTTGAAGATGAGGATGGCGACGCTGAAGGCGGCGGTTCCAGCGCTTATGATCTGTTCGGAAAGTGGGTTCAGTCCACCGCCGCTGAAAAGGGCGGTGTCGACAAACTCGAGAATGTCGACATCTACCTCAAGGCCAAAGAGATTGGCATCGAGAACAAACATCGCACCCTTACTGTGCTCGCTCAGACCATCTTCGACGAGAACATTGTCAAGCAGGTTGCCCCCCGTGCAGGCATGCTGAAGAAGCTCATCACCTCGGAGCGTCACGAGAAAGCCTTCCTGGGTGGAACCGAGCGCTTCGTCGGTGTCGAGAAGCCTGAGCTGATCCCCTTGGTCTCGGCCATTCTTGCCAAGTACTATGAGCACGATCTCGTGTCCGATGAAGTTCTGAAGCCGTGGGGCTCCAAAGCTAGCAAGAAATACGTCGACATCAAGACCAGCAAGGCTGTGCGCAAGTCAGCTGAGAAGTTCATGACTTGGCTCAACACTCCCGACAGTGATGATGAGGAGGAGGAGGAGGATGAGTCCGAGTAATCGCATGACTCCTGCCGCCTTTGACCGCACTCCATAGTGCGTCTATCTGTTTTGGTCTTCAATTTTGTGTGGCGGTTTGGAGATGTTTTGCTTGATAATCCGCACACAGAAGACGGTCACAGTGGGCTATCTGCCCTCATCTCGGCATATGCTTGCTAGCATAGGAACTGTGAACGCCTTCGGATAGAGTAGGATGGCTTTGCTGTCCGTCGATCCGTCCTGTCCTTTTCTCTTACCCTTATCCTGTGTATTTACTCGTCTTCCTGGTTTGGTCCCTCGTACACTTTGGCAGGAGGGACGAACAAAAAACTCCACTCTAGTTCAGGCTTCTACCCTATAATAACAGAATTTGCCTACATTCCTCGTTTGACTCCGTGAAGATCTTGATATGTTTTTGCTATGAGTGTTGGTTGCATCGAGCGTGAGCTGCGACTTCTATATATGTTATTAGTACCTAAGCTGTGCTTATGGCGAAATGGTTGGAGTGAGTCCACTCAAATGCACGATCTAATCATTTCTTCGTGTCAAGAATTCTTGCTTGCTGTTACTAAACAGTGGAAACACTCAAAAATCATTACTATACGATAACAACAACATCACAAACGCCCATTTAAAATTCTCTTGCATCCCTCTCCCGCCCCGCCTCACCCCACAGCGTATCTCCCTTGAACCACCCACTACAGCTTGAATCCACCCGGAACCCCCCTCTGAAAAATCCCAGCCCCATCATACCGCCTCCCTACATCCCTCAAAAACCCGACACTCGCCTCCCCATAACTCTCAATTGGATCCTGCCACCCGGCCGCATAATTCAAATACAACCAATCATTGCTAATCCCCATCTCCCGCGACAGCGCCACCAAATCCTGCTCCAGGACTTTGAGCCTTGCATACACTATCTCATTATCAAGTGCTAGCGTCCAAGACGTAACGTACAAGACGTTTATCAGGTCGTCTTCGAAGCGGTCGAGGCCAAGGACATTGGACGACGCGTCTTGCGAGTACAGCACGTGCGGGAGGGGTTGGAAAGTCAGTGTCAGAGCGAAGCCGACGACGAGAAGAAGGTCCTTTGTGACTTGGTCTGAGAGCTGGACGACCTTTGACATGTATTCCTCGGCTTTAGCGCCTCCGTCGTTGACGAAGGAGACGGTGAGGAACATGTTTGGCAGCCCCTTGAACAGGTTCGCTTCGTTTGCCAGTTCGGTTGCGAAGCTAGAGATTTTCTCTTTGCGGATTGACGACGAGAGTTTTGGCTGTGCGTCTAGAGGCGCAAAGGCTGGAGGAGGCCATGTCGCGCTGCCGTTGGCGTATGTGGCGTAATGGATGATGGATAGTGGGAGGCCTGAAACCCAGACGAATGTGAAGATGAGGGCGGCATTGCGGTCGTATGTTTCGCTGCGGGAGAAGGAGGCCATGAATGAGATTGCTGCGTCTTTGTTGGTGACGGGCTGCGAGATGGAGCCGCCCCAGAACGCAGGTTGGTCGTGGAGCGAGACGGTGAAGGAGGTTACAACTGCGAGGTTATTGCTGCCGCCTTTGAGGGCGCGGTGGAGGTCTGGGTGGGATGTTGGGGATGCGGTTAGAATTGTGCCATTGGAGAGGACGACTTCGTGCGAGAGGATGTTGTTGCAGGCCAAGCCGTAGAGACCGGAGAAGAAGGATACGCCACCTGTGCAAATTTTGTAAGTTATTAGAAGTGTGGTTTTTTCAGAACAATGCACTTACCTCCCGTGAGTAGGCCACCGGCTCCTACGGTGGTCAAACGACCTCCTATCATTGCAAGATCTTGGTCGTCGAATGGGCCATAAGCGTTACCAAAGCGGTTTCCGGCTCCAATGACTGCGGATTGCTTGTTGCTGGCGATGGTGACTGAATTCATGCTCTGCATATCAAGTGTTACACCACCTTCGATGTTCGCTGCTCCCGCAAACGGAGTGTGTCTAGGCTAGAGTCAGCGTAGTACAATATTGGAATCAAATCGTTCTACACGTAGAAAAGGATTGTATGGGCGGCAGTTAGTGACTTCTTCGACGGCACGTCGATTTCGCACCCTCAATTGATAATGTACAGAAGAGAATTGCTTACCCTCCTCCCCTCACGGCAAAGCTGCAGCCGGGTATCGAGGCTTGAAAGCCCACATTGAGTATCGTGACTGCAGTCGATACATCCTGTTTACTTGTCGGAATCACAATACAGCTTGGCTTGATGCTCTGTTCTTGCGCGGAATAGAACGATGTTTGTGACTTGAAATAATTGGACTCCGTTTGGAACACGACTTTCTCCGGGAGGAAATATTCCAAGGCAGTGCACTAATTGCGGTTAGAGTCAAGACCTCTATGGTCACATTGAGTAATCTACTTACACAAGTTTCCTCGCTCTTGAGTCGGACAAGGATGTCCTTGGGGTTGATAGGTGCGGCAAGAGCAAAGGTTACGAAGCAGAGCAGCGAAGCCGATATTAAGCTTGAGGGCGCCATTGTGTTGAGATGACTATCGAATTTTAAGGTCTGGCTGTAACTTTATATGCCATCGTCGAGCTTCTTTTGGTGCTGCACCTCGGATACGATAACTATGCATCGTATTCTATACTTGGAATATTGGCATACTGGGATAATGGTCAAGTTGTAAAGCACGGTCTTCATCCGTTAGGGTGGAGTACAAACTCCATGTGAGCTAATGAGCAGGGTAGATGAAGGGAATAGCCTAACCTCTGAATGGTGAGACAACGGGCCGACCCTGTCTGATATGGCGCGTATTCTCTCAGGGGTGCATGGTTCTAGCAAGAGTTGCATAGCTAGTTTGTTTGTGGGACTTCCGCTTCTCGATGCTATCGCAATGGGATGTGTTCCGCGTCGAAAAAAGTCAAAGTCGAACCTCGCGTAGCTCCTGCAACCGAGTTATCGTCATCAAAACAACGTGGCGATACGAACTGCCGACGCAGAACCGGGAAAGAAACAAGTATGCAACACGAAAAGGATTTGCATGTTCAGAATTCGGGTGCTGACCATATGCACGTACGATGTATACTCTGGCTCGATGCTTGAATCGATTCATGAGGCTACGTACAGGGCTTCACCGATCACGGATGCGTCTTTGTTGATGTCCTGGTCGATACTATTCCACTGGCAAGTATCGAGCTGAGGTATCGGAAAGTGGCAACCAATGTCGAGCCAAACTCAAGGATCAAATACAGGTTTTGCTCATCATAAAAGCGCCTCCACGACGCCATAAGACCTGATGATGAGGATCTGCCCGAAAAGACCACACGACAACAATTCTTCTATGGTCGCAACAGTGTGACAGCTCGCCGTTGAACTGTCCGTGACAGCGATGACGTTTCTGTCGTGAGATAACTCAATCCTAACGCGTAGTGGTGGTCTGCTTTTACGAGTGAGGATTCAGCTAGCTCTTACTGATCCTTGCGGGATAATGGGAAAGCTCGTATTCATGCACGGTACCATATCAACAGCTCCAACCGAGTTTGTGGGGACGAATGGTTGGTCGACTTTTTCCGGTTCGGACATCACCTGAAGAAATCCAGCCTGTAATTTGAATTAGCTTCCCAGGCTTCTAATTTAACCTTTGAATAATGTGTAGGGGGGATTGATAAGTTGCTCATTGTTGTGTAGCGACGCTATTCAGCCTGTACTCTTGTATAGAGCTAGCGAGCGAATACGAGGCCGGATTATATCAAGAGGATTCGCGTGGTATGCATGCATACAAGGAAGCTGTGAGCCTGGTGGAAAAAGCAATGCTGGAAATTCCAACTGGGAATACCAGTGGACGCATCTGTGCGCGTAGCATGTTTTTCGGGCCTCCCGGTACGGGATAGTTCGGACAGCTGGATCGTGATGACGGCAAGTATCTTTTACCGCCGCACTGAAAGATACAGTAGTGCGTGATTATTTGTCAGTTGAAATTTGAGTCACTTGATGATTTGAGGGGATATCCAAAGTTTTTGTTTTGCGTGCAACCAAGGATTGCTGGCGAGCAACATCAGCAGTCCTTGCAAACCTATCGTGAACGCATCTTAATAGATACCAGGGGATAGTTCTGTCACAATTGAATAATCAATTCGTTCCCAGCGAAAACTTATGAGTACACTAGACATGTGCATGGTGAAGGTTTAGATTCGAGCGAATGGCGACGAGATGGAGTGAAAAGCTTATGTAATTAGCGTCACACCCGGGCTCTTCTCCGATCCACTTAGCTTCTTTCTATCTCCGACATTGTTTCCCTACCGTTCAGATGTTAACACCTCAAGTCATGCCGGCAGCGAGCCACCGATATCATGGGCTTGATATTTCAAAGCTGATTTCTTTTGACATCGAAAGCGCTGTTCGCAGTGTGCACCACGTACCTGTGCCCCACTGGCTAAGTACATGAGTACATGTGAGGCCAAGATCTACACCAACGTCTAATGCTGTGCAATTGTATGCTCACCGTTCTGGTCCGACCGTCCTGATAGGGCGAACGTGACAAGTCAGGTATCTCTTTGTGATGCCATTTGCGATGATGTCCTCTCAAGAAACTGTATTTAGACTCCATACTCAACCCTGCCGTGTCAGAGAAAGTTATCTTTGCAGAATGCAAGCACATTTGGCTCGACTCTAATCACTCGCTGTTTCGAATTTACTTGAACCCTTTCATCTTTTCATTTAATAATGCCGAAGGAAGAAAAGAACACCACCGAGCATGATCATGGGGACAGGACAGACCTCGCGCACGCTGACACCAATGCTTCATTTCCTCAAAGAGACGATATCGCAAATTTGTCCGAGGATCATCGACAATATTTGTTTCGTAAACATGGCACGCTGGACCTGCACCCAGTCCCCTCTATGAGTGACGCGGATCCATATAACTGGCCCAGATGGAAAAAGAACACCAACTTACTTCTAGTGGCTTTCCATGCTCTTATCGCCACTTTCACGCCTGCAACCATTGTGCCAGCCTTTGGTGATATCGCGGAGGACTTGAATGTCACTATCCAAAAGGCCTCATATTTGACTGCCTTGCAGATTGCCATACTGGGTTGCGGTCCTCTCCTCTGGCGGCCTCTGTCTTCGCGGTATGGGCGCAGACCCATGTTCATTGCTTCGCTCGTCGGCAGCTTCTGCTTCAATATCGGCTCGGCAAAAGCGCAGTCGTACGATGCTTTGGCCGCTTGCAGCGCCTTCACGACTTTCTTCATCTGTCCCGCCGGAGCAATAGGGAGTGCCGTGGTAGTAGAAACATTCTTCAAGAATGAAAGAGCGAAATGTATGGGTATCTGGACTCTGATGTTCACACTCGGCGTCCCGACTGCACCACTAATCTTCGGCTTCGTCGCATACCGCGTGGGATATAGATGGATCTACTGGATCCTCGCAATGATCAACGCATTCCAACTCATCCTCTACATCTTCCTAGGCCCAGAAACACGCTTCAACCGCCACAATACAACGCCACAAACTCAACTCTCCACTTTCAAGGAATCATACTTCCGCTTCCGCCGCATCGATCGGACTCCCCTCACCATCCTCGAATTCATATCCCCACTCCGTCTAGTCAAATACCCATGCGTACTCATCCCCGCCGTGGCATACGCAATGACATACCTCTGTGCCAGCACGATAATCATCATTGAACTCCCCGCCCTCTTCAAAGCGAAGTTCGGATTCAACCCAGAGCAGCTAGGCCTCCAATACATCGGCATCATCATCGGTAGCCTGATAGGCGAGCAACTCGGCGGCCGGCTGAGCGATTACTGGATGAAACGAGCGCGCTCGAAATCTGCAAACAACACCGTTCTCCCCGAGCACCGACTCTGGCTCGCGTACCCGGGCTACCTCTTCTGCATGGCCGGCACAGTCATCTTCTTCGTCCGCACCGAGCAAGCGCCGCAGGGTCAATGGAACGTCACGCCCATTGTCGGCGCGGGCGTTGCATCTGTAGGTAAGCAGATGCTTACCACTGTGCTCATCACATACGCTGTAGACTGCTACCACGAAGAAGCTGCTAGTATAGGCGTCTTTGTTACTTTTGTACGCCAGATGTGGAACTTTATTGGCCCGTTTTGGTTTCCGCAGATGTTTCGTGCGGTTGGGCTTATTGGGAGTGCTGGGGTGGCAGTGGGGTTGATGGTGGCTAGTGCGTTTTTGCCAACTGTTGTGCTGCAGTGTGTGAAGGGGCGTTGGAGGTTTGCGATGAGGGGCGGAGATTAGGAAGGTCTGGGGGGATAGATGTGATCGAATATGTTGGGCTTTGTAGACTGTTGAGGCTGTAAGTAAGCTACTCTTCCTACTCGTTATGCCCATAATTGATGACATACGGTAATCGTAGATGTGAGGGCGGAGGGATGCGAAGAGACAACTAGAATCGATCAGAGGTCCCCGAGAAACGGTCGACAGACCGGCCTAAATTGTATGCCGCGGATCGACATTTGGACGATTCAGTATCGTTTGCCGGTCTGTCAATGACATTTGGTCTCGACACTTATCAATGAGCTGGCTTCGCATCGCTCAAACGTAGAAGTGACAATTCTCTAGCTGTGTTGATCTATACAGATACCAATGGCATTAGCAAGTATGACATGCAATTCTCCCAATCGTAATAACGTAGACCTCCCTCACAACCATATACAGAACAGCTTCTTCCTCCAAACATTCCATTTTCCAACCCTCACAACTTCGCAACAAGTCCCTGCGCCAAACAAGCCTTTTCCGCCTCATCCACAACATCTAAGCCGTAGATCATCTTCTGCACATCTGCATCGGCCCACTTGTCCGGCACAGGGCCCTTCCCACTCTTCAACGCCGCAAAGATCTTATCTCGCTCTTCCTTTGCCTTCCCGCTACCAAGATGCATCTGCCTTCCATTCTCAGCCGCAAGCTCTACCAAAGCCTCGGCACGCTCTTTCCTCACACTTTCGTATACTTTCAGCGCAGCGTTGATCGAATCAGGGGATCCATCCGCGATCCGTGACGGGGCGAGAACGACCCCAAGAACAGCGCCGTCCTCGATGGCTTGCGCAGCGCCCTGTGCGAGATGTGGTAGTGTGGGATGGCATGCGTCGCCTACAAGAGCGGAACTGCCGTGTACCCATGTACGCAGGGGTTCGTGGACGCGCAGCTTCCACTCTACGACGTCCCCGTCAGGCACTAGATCCAGCATACGGTGAATCATGGGGCAAAAGTCGTCGTAGACGCCCATCATGGCCGATTTCGAGCCCGTGGTTGTGTACGTGGTATTTGGCGCAGTCGAGAAATTCGTATCCGGCTGCGCGGTCGAAATGTTGTAGATCTGCTTGTTGTGGATTGGGTATGCGATGATGTGTTTCTTCTCGCCAATCCAGCGCGTAACCGTATCGGCCTCAATGAGTGCGAGGAGTTCGGGGTCGTGGGCCATTTGCTCACGGGTGAGCATGATGCGGTAGGCGGCTTGGCCCGAGTCTTTGACGGTCGCGGTTTCGTTGAGGGAGGTTAGCATCGAGACGCGGGTTTGCGATTTGACGCCGTCGGCAGCGAGGAGGATGTCGCATTCTACGCGGCGCTCTTCGTCAGGAGCACCGACAGGTGTGAGTTTGAAGGATGGATTTGGGCCGAATTGTGCTTCGGAGATCAGGCTGCCCAGCTTGAAGGTGATGCTGGGTTCCTTAAGGCATCCGTCGTAGAGAGAATTTGCTAGACTGGCCCGGTGGCCTACCATGTGTGGGTACCCGTATGTCTTCTCCACGTAATCAAGTTTGACGTGGCCAAGTTCCTTATTGGTGCTGCCCTCGCGGATGTACGTGTCACTGCACTGGACAGCTTCTGCGGCAATTTGCTTCCAGCAGCCGAGTCGGTCGAGGATTCGTGCCATGTTTGGCGCAAGCTGAATTCCGGCACCTACGAAACCTAGGCCTGGGGCGGTTTCGTAAATGGTGATGTTCTTGTGGCCTGACTTGGCTAGGGAGAGGGCGGTCGCGAGGCCTCCCATACCTTGGACAATGTTAGATGGTGATGTCTGAGGATGAAGTACAATGCTGCTGCGTCATACCTGCGCCTATTATTGCTATTCTCAGATTGTCTGCCATGGTTGCCTCAAGTAGTGAAGATGGTGAAGGGTAAGTGCGGGCAATCGAGGCGAAGACGGGATGTGCGAAGGATGAGGTCTGGGGATGTTGCCCTCGGCTATCAATTCTTGTGTCCACGTCTATCGTTAATCTTCAATCGCACAAACATGTGGGCTTTGTACCTGGAGATACAGTTGTCCCCGGTTAGCACTAGAGAGAGTCCCCACGGGGTGGAATATGCAAGGCAGACCCGGGTAAGGGTCGCGTGAACTATTGGTACAAGAAGCGGACGAAGTAGTCGACGACGGCGGTGGCGCCTCCGGGGGCTCACGGCAGGAGGGTCGGCATTTTGGTTCTAGGAGAGAGGCTCAAAGAGAGAAGCACCGGGTGATGGTAGTTGGGATGATGATCCCAGGTTGCGTGGCTGCACGTTTCTCAGATGCCGATCCCCGCCTGTCGGTGCCCCGCATAAACATTCACCCCACATGCCCTCTGTCTGGATGAACATCGGGCAAACAAATCCCCCCTTTCCAGACACCTCAACACCATGCTTCCTATCTGACTCTCATCCTCTCACAAGTGGCCAATGCCTTATCTGCTTCGGGATTGTAAAGCTTGATGGACGCACAGGTCTCGGAAACAATCACCACGCTATGACTTCACCAATTTTACGAGCTGCACGCCATAGAATAGGGGACCATATCTTTCCGCGGCAGTAATCCCTGCATTTCAACGGGATCATCGTGCCATCTGTATCCACCAGACATGTCACTCAATAGGCCCCCAGCCATAGTCGGTACTTGTCTCCACAGGGCCAATCACCGGTGCTAGTCTATCATCGCCGACCCTACGCTTAAAAATCTCGTCATGTCTCGCTAGATCCGACCTTGACCTTCCATTCTCATTCTTTGAGCGACCCTGTGTATTTGTACTTTTCACTGAAAATGCGTTGGTACGAATATCTTTTGCGTGGCATACTCGCCGGAGGTGCGCATGCGTCCAAAAACAAATGTTCGCCGTCTGCTATCCAGGCTGCGCTGCCCGAGGGCGCCAGCGTCAACTTTGCCTACCCCGTCAAGGCAGGCGAAACATTCAAAGTTCCCCAGAGTGATACGTTTTATAAAACAGATCCCACAGGGCTTCCTGCTCTATGCGCCGTCTCAGTACAGGTGAAGTCGGTTGGCGACTCCACATATGGATTTGGACTTTTTCTCCCCGATGAGTGGAATGACAGGTTCCTCGCAGTTGGGAACGGCGGCTTTGCGGGTGGTATTCACTACCTGGATATGGTATGTTCTAGTCGTCTTGAGTTAATTGGAAGCATGGAGCTAACCTAGCCTTACAGTCAGCTGGCGCTCGTTATGGTTTTGCGACCATGTCTACAGACACTGGCCACAACTCGAGCGTGGTCGATGGAACATGGGCGGCGAATGCACCTGAAAAGGTGGAGAACTGGGGTCATTTGGCTATGCACGGCTCTACGGTTACCGCGAAACTGATCACAGCATCTTACTACAAGAAGAAGATTTCATACAACTACTACTCTGGATGCTCGACCGGCGGCCGCCAAGGTCTGAAAGAAGCTGAAGAGTACCCCGAGGATTTCGATGGTATCGTTGCCGGAGCACCTGCCTGGTTCACCAAACGTATGCAACCATGGACTGTGAAGATTGCTCTTTACAATCTCCCTGCAACGGCGGACTACCATATTCCACCCGTGCTGTACCCTGTGATTGGCAAAGAAGTGCTCAAGCAATGCGACTCTCAAGACGGTCTTACTGATAGCATCATTTCAGACCCCGTCGGCTGCAAATTTGAACCAGAGAAGCTCCTCTGCGCCGAAGGTGCTACCGATGACTGCTTGACCTCTCCCCAGCTAAACACCCTGTACAACATCTACCACGACACGATGAGCTCGAACCAGACTTACCCGTTCCCGAGCTTTTACCTTGGTAGTGAAGGTGACTGGGCTGCTAATCTACCCGCCAGCGGTCCCAGCCCCCTAGGTACTCACTACGTCCAGTACTTCCTCGGATTGGGCAAGGATTGGCAACCCAAAGATTTCAACGAAGACATCGAACGACTGGCCGATGAGCAAGACCCAGGCAACGCCACCGTAGGCTACGACCTCTCCGCCTACCACCGCAAAGGCGGAAAAATTCTCTCCTACCACGGCCTCTCTGACGCTTCGATCCCAACAGGCTCCACTCCCTTGTTCCATGATCAGGTTCAACAACAGCTCTCTTCCACAGGTGTCGATGTGAACTCCTTCTTCCGCTACTTCCTTGTCCCGGGTATGGGCCACTGCAGCCGCACCACAGATGCTTTCAAAGCGCCGTGGTATTTCGCTGGTCCTAACCAAGCCTCTGTTCTTGGTAACACCGTTCACAGTGTACCTGGTTTTGAAGACGAGCAACACGATGCCTTGCTGGCCATGATGGCGTGGGTCGAGAAGGGCAAGGCTCCCGAGGCCATCATCGCTACGAAGTATGAGGATGAGAGCAAGCATGACAAGGTGCACCGACAGAGGCCGCTCTGCATGCTCCCCAAGGTTGCGAAGTACAAAGGTCAAGGAAACGCTGATGAGGCTAAGAACTGGGAGTGCAAATGAGTGTACTGAGGCATCATGCGTTGTCCGGAATGCTGATGCAAAAGCTTCAATGGTTATTGTCTAATTACTGTGTACACTATAAAGCCTCTAGTACGGCCATAATAAATATCCACGTATAGATAGCATAGCAGGATACCCCAGCTTGCATTTGGAAAGGAATAGATTTACATGTGTTCGTTCGACATATCTTTCCGAATTGATTTAGTGCTTTTAATTGACTGAAGCAATATTGTCCCTATTTGACAAGAAGGATGAAGTTTTCACGGCAAGGAGCCATTTTGAATCACGCGTTGTATCTACAGGGCTCCACCGAACGGCAGATAGCTTCGGCATTATATTTGACGCCGTTGTTGTTGTGCATGACGCTTGTTTGTTGTGAAGTGGGGTGGGGTGAGGACAGCGCCACCGCAATTGCGATGCGGGGCAGCTCCTGCGTTGAGAATCTGCGAAGACCGTATCTTTATGCACGTCCAGACGAAGTCTATTATTTCTTGGATCCAGCCCTATCCTGCGTTCAATTTCTACTGTATATATTCGCATATTGTTCTTTGAGCGGATTTGAATCAATTGAGCAAGTTGAAGGAGAATACACAGAAATCGTCCCCAAAAGTGAGCGATATCCCTATTCTCTCGTCTAGATTACAGCCTGGGTACGATGTGCCTATAAACTGCTTGCTTTGAATTATCGGTTTCAATTAACTCAATCGCAGGGATCTGGATCTCACTCACACATTCTTTCACACTTCATCCTTCCGACATACACTGCCATGGCCCAAACTACAGCCTTCGAAAACGCCTCAGCAGCCTTCCGTGCTCATCTTCCCGACCTCAACACACCCCGCTTCACTACCGCCGCCAAACAAGATCTATACGAGTACGCGCAGTTTTTCAAGGACAATCACGCTCCGCCATGGCTATTCGACCTTACGCAGGCGTGGGAGAAGCTGTATCAAGAGTCGTTCAAGGGTGTGACGACCGACGGGACAGTCAAGGAGGGCTTGTTCGCGAGACGAGATGAGGGTCTTGACATCGAGAGCATCACACAAAAAGCAGAAAAACTACTATCACTACTAGATGAACAGCAGAAGCAAAAACTCATGTACCCGATCAACGCGCGAGAATGGAGGGCTTGGTCGAACCCAGAGATGGTCCTCCGACCTTTCGGCTTACGACTTGAAGAAGGTGCCTTAACTCCCACCAACTACAACTTCAGATCCCCAACCCCTAACACAAAAACTACACAGTCTCTGAGGAAACCGCCCAGTCCATCCTCTCCCTCCTGTCCACTACCCTCTCCCCATCCGGCTACCAAAAAGCCCTCGCCGCGATGCGCATCAACCACTTCCTAGGCGAATGCGTCCACCTCCCAGCAATCATGAACAAATACTCCTACAACTTCCTCCTCTTCGGCACCCCTTCCACAACATCCCCCTGGGGCTTTCTCCTCTACGGCCACCACCTCTGCATCGCAGTCTACCTCCACAGCAAGCAAATTGTCATCAGCCCGACCTTCACTGGCGCAGAACCCAACGTCATCGACTCGGGCGAATGGGAAGGAACCGCCATCCTCCACCGCGAAGGCGAACTAGGTCTGCAATTCATGCGCTCGCTTTCCCAACCGCAGCGCGATACCGCACAGGTGTTTAAGAACTTGAAAGACGAAGGGATGAAGATCACTGGCGATTTGGTCACGGATACTTGGAACAAGGACGACCAACGCCACCAGCTCGGCGCGTTCCGCGATAATCGCGTCGTTCCTCCTTCTGGTCTCCCTCTTTCCTCGCTCACGCTGACGGCTGAACAACGCGCCACGCTCCTCGCTCTCATCGATGAAATGCTCGCGTATCTCCCTGAGAAATCCCGGAAACTTCGCGTCGCGGAGATTGAAGCGCATTTTGGGGATACGTGGTGGACGTGGATAGGCGGATATGCGGATGATGATGCGTTTTACTTTAGAGTGCAGAGCGATGTTGTTGTTTTGGAGTTTGATCATCATTCTGGCGTGTTTTTGACGAATGTGGAGCCCGGGAAGTGGCATACGCATACGATTGTTCGGACGCCGAATGGAGGGGATTATGGGGGTGCGATTAGAGGGGTTGAGGAGAGGTTAGTATGATATTTGGGATAGGGGATCCAGAGGTGTGATAATTAGGCTTGAGGTGTAGCATTTGAAGAGTGATAAAAGAAATAGATATGTTGGAAGGAGTTGAAAACATGGTTTATTATGTGTTTTTGTACAGTGCACCTGGGTTTTTTACTCTTGGATATTGTATTCTACCATCTCGTCTTGGATCAGCTACACTCATGTCGCTGCCTCATCACTAAATCTCATCATGTCATGTTATATTTTGAGTGTATTATGTCAAGTGCTTTGATTCCATGATGGGATGAAACATAGTAACATACACAATACGGTGAAAGCAGCTATAACCCAATAAAACAATGCAAAAAACTTTTCCTTTTCCAGTCCTCGCGCCTCTCGCCGATAAAGAAAATGTCATAGTTTATCCTGATACTCTAGAAGGATGTGATGCGAGAAGGAATGGCTCATGATGCTTTTCTAGACTAAAAAAGAGATAATGTCATGGTGGGATGTCGGGGTATCATATGCAAGAAAAGAAAATCCCGCTGAACACCCATTTCCCACATATCAGGATGCAATAACGCCATTTTGATGCTGCAAAAAAAGAAGGATAGGAAAGGAGGGGGGAAGGAAATTAGAAAATACTCTCTACGCTCTCGACGGCGACATCTTCCTCCTTCTTGATCTCCACGGCAGGGCTCGTGGCCCGCTCCTCCTTGACCTCCACCACAGCAGCCTCCGCACCCGTTCCTTCCTCCTCCTTGGCCTTGCTGGCCTCGTTAGCAGTAGTAGCAGCAGCAGCAGCAGCAACGAGAGCGCGTCCCCTCTCCTCCCGCCTAATCCTCGCTGCCTCACGAGCCTCGCGCTCCATATCCCTCCTCAGCTCCTGCTCCTCCAAGAAACACTCCAGCTCCTGGGCCTGAAGCGCGTCCCAAACCTTCTTCACGCCATCGTCAATGTGGCTGATGTCATCGTCAAGGCGATTCTTCAACTCCACGAAACCCTTGACCATACCATCGAAGGTCTCGATGCGCTTGTCGATGACCTCGACACAGGTCTCCTGAAGGTGGTAGTCGCGTTGCATCCGCTCGACGTCTCCAAGGCCGCGCGTGATCCGCCCCTTAAGACTACGCATCCTGTGGCGCGCCGACTCCTTCTTCGCGTGGGCTTGCTTGAGGTTGGTGCGGCTGAATTCGATCATGCGTTGGTTTTCGCGGCGGTTGAAGAGGGTCGAAGAGATTTGGGGGTGGATGCGGGGAGGGATCTCATCGCCTGAGTCGCCGTCGGATTCGGCCGGTTCGATGTCCGGGTTGAGATATTCGTTGATGATGCCTTGGCTGGGTCTGCTCCTAGGTAAGATGGTGCCGAGGGCGAGCTTGCGGGGAGGAGCGATGTTTTGCTCGACGGCCCGAGCACGACGGAATGGGTTTGGAGGTGGTGAATTCGGGAGGGAACCCGTCGACGGGTTGTGGAGGCGGCGGCTTGCGCGTGTGACACCTGAGTTTTGGATGGATGGTGATGCGTCTTCCGAGCTAGGTGGGGATGGAAGATCGCCGATGGAATGGTGCATCTTGCGGCGCTTCCGGGGTGGTAGCTGCTCGCCGGTGGTGTCCGCCTTTAGTTTCTCGCAGACAATACGAAGCTGCCCTGTGAAAGTGTTGTTGATGGGCATAAAGTGCTTTTCGAAGCCGTTGAGTTTGGCATTGGCCGCTAGGATGTAGTAGAATTTGACAACGGCTTTGAGCTGCATGTCGCCTGGTTTACCAGGTTCGAGATTGCGCAGGATAGGGACGAATTCGACATGCGGGAAGATATCCAGAAGTTTCAGGTCTTCATTGATGGCGACGCCAGTATCCTCGCGAAGAGCACAAAGATACAGACGGGGAGCAGATGCTGTCTTCACTCGCATGGCGTGGAGCTTGAAATAAACCCACACTTTGGAACCACGGAGCGAGGGGTCAGCGGATTGCTTGAATGTCCCCAGTAGCATTCGGAGGGGAAGGATGCCGACTTGACCGGCCTTGATTTCTTCGAAGGTCATTGTGTGTAATTGAGGCATGTGAGAAAGTAGCTCGCGTCCTAAGATCTGGTAGAGACGGTTGAGCTCAGTATCGGCGACGGTTTCAGGGACTGCGATGGCCTCAGAGCCAACAACAGCCTCAGGGACGATGTTAAGCTCGGGATTGACAGTTAGTCCAGTCTCGACCTTGACAACTGCTTCGGGGGTCTGTGAAGGAGCTTTATGTGGCAGTTCGTCCAAGTCGTTTGCTCCGTCTAGCCCGATAATTTGGGTGAAAGTAGTAGTTGATGAGATTGAGGGGAATGAGGAGGTTGAGTTGAGATTATCTGGGGAGTTTCTGGCTTCGAGGGGAGTACTGCGGCCTCTTATGCTCTCACTCGGGCTGCCAAGACTGTGAATAGGCGCCGATTGAACAGAACCCGGAGGAGTTTGCTCAACCGTAGGTGCGAGGTCGGAACAAAGTGATTCACTCTTGAGCTTGATGTCTTGAGAAGCCGCACTCGAAACTTCATGAGTGCCGCTCATGATGGGTGCAGGCCAGTCCTCGAGGGTGGGTGTAGTTAATCCTGTTTCGAGTTGCTGGATGTCGCCTGCTCCGTGGACGGATTCGGCAAGGTACACCGACTTGTCGTTTGCTTGCACAATCATCATCTGCGCGCAATCTTGAGTCTTCGTAGACATGGCGAATGGCTGGTCTGAACCCTCGAAATTTGACTGAGGCAGGTCGCCGGGATATCCGCTACCGAAGGGCCAGGTGAGGAGGGGATACTTGATCTAGGCCTCGATCTGCTTATAACAGTGGGTGCCGCCAGCCAGTGACTGCGTGATCCACGAGATTATTGTGTCGTGTTTGAATGAAAGGGACTGACTCGAAAGTGGTAGAGTCGAGTGTGGTGAGTCAAATGTTGTTTTCTCCAGATGATTCGGTTGCACCTAAGACCGTGTCTGGTGATCTTTCTCCAGCGTGCCAATCTCGTTAAGTGGGCGAAGACTGGACTCTGAAGCGTGTCCGTTGCTGTACAATATACCAGTGTCAAGTCGATTTTTCCAGTCAATTCGATGGAGATGTTTTGTGGTACTCTACTCAACAAAACGTCGAAGTTGTCGGTCAACAAGCGATCCTCCGGAAGGTCTCTCCTGGGTTGAAGATTCAATTGTCGATAGGACGTGGCAAGCGAAGACTACAGATCGATAGCCTTCGCTCGTGATGCAGCGAGATAGAGGGCATTCAATCGGAAAGGATGGTCTTTGTATAAGAGATTGAAGAAGGAGGATATGATGAGTGCGGAAAAAGATGCCAGGTCCCAGAGCCCTCGCCTAGGAGACCCGTGCGCCAAGCCGCGCTAGAGTTCACTGTCCACGATTGCTATTCTTTGCTCACTCATTGCTATTGTCCGGATGACCTGAATAATCATCGGATTGTGACTGGCAGAAGTAGTTATTGTTGCTGCAGGTCCTATGGTCGCGAGCTTGATTGCCCACCCACCGTCACCTTGTATTCATCATAGAGACGGACCACTTCCAATGAACAACGTATGTAAGCGATGGTGTTGATTCGTCCACAATGACTGTCAGTGTTTACTTACTCTAGTTTGCTATTATCAAATTTTCAGCGCCCTACCGTGGGTATGACGAAGGTCACAAATTGACCTTGTCATAGTATGCTTCGTGGCACTCTTGAACAGATCGTAGATAATTTCCGTCCGCCTAGAAAAAACTGCACAGTGTGCTTCTCGGCAGAAATCGGCTTTCACAGACACGGAAAACCATTTTTCTGGAGCAATACAATTTTGTCTCATCAGGCCCGATTCCCACGTACCATCACTTCCTACAATTATATAGTCTGAATGAAAATACAAATGACAATGTGGGGCCGCATAAAGGATTCTGTATCTTTTAACCGACAACCAACCACCCCACCATCCTGTGTCGGTGTATGCTGACCCTCGCGGCGCCACATGCTAAAGATCACAGGTCGTGATATATATTCAGTGATATCCCACGTGTAGTATGGCCCACCCCCTCCCCGGATAGGTACATCAAGAGACATATTCGTCAATTCGACTCTCCCAACATGACTGAGCAGTTTCCGCGCCGTCCATCCACCGGCATCAGCGTGATCATTGTAGGTGCTGGATTCGCTGGACTCAGCGCAGCTATAGAGTGCGACCGCAAAGGGCACCATGTCACCCTTCTCGAGAAAGCTTCTACTATTGAAGAAATCACGCGTTTCGGCGACATCATCAGCTTCGATCCAAATGGTGCACGACTCTTTGAGCGGTGGCCCGGTGTCATTGAAGCCATGTACAAAATCGCCCGCAAGACATCCTGGCTGGATTTGTACCATTGGAGAGGTGAGTTTGTCACGCGGCAGAGCTTTGAAGGGGAGAAGAAATGGGGACCTAGAATCAACGGACACCGCGGGGAGCTGTACAGCATCATATACGACCATGCAGTGAAGAGAAAACTCGATATCCGTCTCGGGCAGAGGGTGTCCGATTATTTCGAGAATGCGGATAAGGCGGGAGTGGTTGTCAATGGTGAACGGATGGAAGCGGATGTGGTCATTGCTGCCGAGGGCGTGCGATCGAGAGGACGTAAGATTGTGCTCGGATTCGACGACAAACCAAAGAGCAGCGGGTATGCAGTATATCGGTGCTGGTTTTCAAGCGACGCAATCAAAGACAACAACACGATCAAACATTTGGTGGTCGAAGGTGATACACATTCTGGTTACATTGGGCCGGACCTGCATTTCCTAGTTTCTTCACTCAAAGACGGCAAAGAATTTAATTGGGTCTTTACGCATGTCGACGATGGGAATATCGAGGAGAGCTGGCAGTTCCCGGGGAAGATAGAAGATTGTTTGAAGTATGTGGAAGGATGGGCGCCGGTCGTCCAGGAGATCGTCCGGTCAACGCCGAAGGACGCACGACTCATTGATCACAAGCTTGTGTTCCGCGATCCACTCCCGACATTCATATCGCCCCTGGCAAGAATTGTCCTCATTGGGGATGCAGCTCACCCCTTTCTTCCCACTTCCATCCAAGGGGCCAGTCAGTCGATTGAAGATGGTGTCGTTTTGGCTTCATGTTTGGAGCTTGCAGGGAAAGGAGAGGTGCCTTTAGCTCTCCGTACACACGAAAAGATCAGATATGAAAGAGTACATCAAGCGCAAGCTACGGGTGTGAAGACCAGAGAGAAATGGCATAAGGCGAACTGGGACGAGATCAACAAGACGCCAGAAGCGATCCATTTGACGCGCGAAGCATGGTTGCTGGATTTTGACGCTGAGAAAGATTGCTATAAAAGATACCATGAATTGGCCACGAGCGTGCGTAGCGAGCGTCCGAGACTGTAATGGGACTCACCGCTCGATGCCAATAGATACTTGGGAAGGCCATCTGTCGATGATGTGTCATATCGCGCAGTGAATGGTTCCAACTAAGATGGACGATTTAGGTGCGCCATTTAGAATAACCATTGATATACATGGCTGTGACCTATGAATTCAATATGCTTTGCGATATTGCGATTGCACATCGGTTTTACGAAACGATTGTTTTTTCTTTGGTGGATAGAGAAGGTCTTATTGGTGTTACTGTTGTGCCAAGAAATCTCGGGAGTGCCACTCATCTCCGCACCTGTCTAGCAATCCACTTCCAAGCCCACTCCACAATTCTCAACCGCGTTCACGATGGCACCAAAGCGAAGAGCTACGCGTCAATCAGTCGTCGAAGATGAGTTGAAGCACACGAATGGCGAAACTCAACCCAAACCCAAGAGGACAAAACGCAATGGTACCCAAGACACGCGTACTGAGCAAGCGAATGGAGACCAAGATGACGATGAGAACACCGACTTAAAGGCAAACACTCACGTAAAAGCTCCCCTGAAGAAGCCTTCGAGAACCTCCAAACGCGCCGGTAAATCCACCCAGCCTCCCGAATCGACGATCGCATCACCAGACTCCAAGAAATCACCCTCTTCTGCATCCTCCTCAACACCTCCCGCCATAACCACCACCGCCGCTTCTTCCACCAACCGCGATGCAAACGGCTCCCAACAGACATTCTGGCTTCTCAAAGCGGAGCCCCTTCCACGCTACGAAAATGGCAAAAATGTTTCCTTCTCCATCGACGATCTCGCCGCTTGCACAACCCCCGAGCCATGGTCTGGCGTACGCAACTTCCAGGCCCGCAACAATATGCTTTCTATGCGAAGGGGGGATCTAGGGTTCTTCTATCACAGCAATGCGAAGCCTAGCGGTATTGTAGGCGTTCTACGCGTCGTAGAGGAGGCAAAGGTCGACGAAACAGCGTTTGATCCCGAAGATCCGTACTTCGATAAGAAGAGTGACAGAGAGGCGCCGAAGTGGTGGTGTGTTGGAGTCGAGTTCGTGAAGAAATTTGACGAAGTGGTCAGTTTGGCTCGGATTAAGGAGGAGGCGGGCAAAGGAGGGAAGCTGGAGACGTTGCAGCTGATCAAGAATGCACGGTTGAGTGTTTGCAAGGTTGAGAGGGAGGAATGGCAATTTCTTACGGAAATTGCGGAGAAGGAGAAGAAAGCCGAGTGAAGACATGTCATTCAGTGGAGCATATGAGATTGCATTGGATATTCCCTATTCTCAGGTTGCCCTTTTACGATACCCTCGATCTAATTTCTCTCCCTTGGGATGGGGCCAGCAAAACCTATATATCAGGTATAACACCCCTATTTTGACCCAAGCCGATTTTTCCCACTTAGAATCCGAGTTGACGCACAACCGAAGGTGTGTTGAGAAACCCACACTTCTCGACCATTTTCTGCTTCTTCCATACCTCAGGACTGTCAGGACCATCGATGGGAAATAGCCCCTCTGACGGTCCACCAATCGTAAACACATGTGGATAGCCTGGTGAATCCCGCGGTGCAAGAGGATCGTTCGCGTCCCAGAACGCGTGCAACCATCCTTTCAACCCCCCGTCGATATTGGCCGACGGATTCTGCACCTCCTGCACCACCCCCGTACTCACGAAGCGACTCCATGCGCGACTCGCACGATGCATCAGATCCACGTCCGCGTCTGTAGGATTGAACGGGTACCCTGAGACGTTATACGCGGATAGATTACCCCATATATACGCGAACTCGGACGTGTGCACGACGCCCATGCCACTCACATTATACACGGCCGCGAGGATGGGGTCAATAATTGTCTGGTTGAAATTATACAGGTAAACTTTCTTGTCGAATCTGTGCATGGCTTCGGCCATGTAAAGCGGTTCGCAGACCATGAGGATGTCGCGGAAGGCCCGAGCCGCGCGGTAGAACTCAGCCGTGAGGTTGGTGCCGCTTGGTGGCGCGAAGTCACTGATGTTGTACATGTCAACAAGGTTTAGATCTGCGGAATTTGGGAGGGTTGGGACATATGTCTGTATGAAATTCTTCGCGGCATCGGCGCTAGCGATTGTGACGTCGGTGTAGAAGTTGACGTCGTCGTTGGCCCAGCCGAGCATGTAGGTTGCGTCTCCGAACTTTCCTTTCGAGAGGAGCTGCGATGGCGCTTCCGGGAGGAAATCACCATCAACTGAAGGTAGCCAGATGTCGCCGATATTGTGAGCGATGTCGCCTGTGTAAGTGGCGAGCGAAGAGTTGAACAGAGTATACGTGTCTTTGCCCCGGAGGCAGTCAATCACTTGAGGACTGTCGTAGTTTGCGCCATCCTTGCAGCCGATGTGATCCACGACTTTGCGGAAGGCTACTTGCGTGAAGCCGTTGCCCGCATTGACGATGCCAGGCTCAAGGGCCTGGGATTGGGCTATGCCTCGTTGATACGGGAGCGGGATGGTGCCTCCATATGCTAGCAGATGTAAGCCCACAGCGAGGCCTCCACTGGACTGGCCGGCAATGGTGATGTTGTTTCCATTGCCTCCGAATACATGGATATTGTCCCTAACCCACTCAATCGCAAATCGTTGGTCACGAAGAGCGGCATTCTCGCTCTTCTGATCCCGCAGAGCCGCAGACTGTGCGAACCCGAAGAGTCCAAGGCGGTAGTTGATAGCGACATGCATGACTGGGGTTCCACCTTCAACCGATTCCCGAACGAAGCCATCAGGCATATGCGTAGGCTCAATATTAGATCCGACCCAGAAGCTACCACCATGAATCCAGAGCAAGACGGGCAGTCCACCCTCTACAGCAGCCTTTTCTGAGTGCGGCCTCGCAATATTCAAGTTGAGGCAGTTCTCGGAGAACTCGGTGACATTAAGAAGAGTCAAGGGCGCGTTCCATTGGCCCAATTGCTGAGGACAAGGCAGACCTGCTTTCGTGGCATCGACCTTTGAGCCCTGAGCCGGTACGAAAGCCTGAGGGGGCTTGAATCGATTGGCTCCACCCGTGTCCTGGGCGTATTGGATCCCGAGGAAGACCTCGATGCCATTGCGGTCGATGCCCTCGTAGATCACGTTGTTCTTGTCGTCCTTTGCGATAGGTCCTGCGGCTACGAGGCCGACCAGGATGGCTGCAAGAGTGAACCACATTGTCGTTAGAGCTTGTCGTTGGGCAAGACTGGCTTTGAGCTGCTTTGGTGCTACGACTATTGTGAGTGTGTTGTAGAAGAGCTGTCGAGGCACCGATTGAGTAGCTGCTGGTGCTAAAAGTACTCGCGCTAAGTAATAGTGATGGCCACAGGGTGGTCAGGCACTATCACGTCACACCGGTATCTACTCGTAGTCGGTCTGGAAGGTATTTCACCGTGTTTTGTTGGGACGTCCCTTTTACCTCGTAGAAACAGCTCCTCACTCGTAAGATAGATACGGAAACACTATATACAGTACGGCGAGTTCGTTGTAAGAGCTACAAGGGCCCAAGTGCACATTTATGTAGACCAGCGGTAAGTACCTAGGTAAACAGCGTATCAAAGTCTATTTCCCGAAAGGGAAGGAGGGTCAAAGCGGGCATGTCTGCTCCGATCTCACTTGATCTCACATCATCTACTGCATTGTTAAGCACGATAAGAAATGAGAAATAAGGGCTCATTGGCCAGGTTGATGGGGTTATATGCCTATAACGTGCAGTTAGGTGAAGGCTGGTTGAGGGGGTTGTTGTTGGTGTGACGTCATCATGTTTACTCTAGATCATCACGCAGCGAAGGAAGAGGTTGTTCTTATTGGGCACATATAGCGGAGATATTTGCAGAGTTATTGCAATTATTCCTTTTTCTTTTTCTTTTTCTTTTGCGGAATCGAGCGCCGGACCTTTTTACAGGCACGTTGTAAAACATCGCAAGTCGAAGTTTGGTCGGTGAGAGCACACGATGAGAGAATGGCAAAACTGTAAGGGAAAAATAGAGTGCAAAAGGCAAGGATAAGAAGACTAGAGAACAGTGAGCAGACCTGCTATCAAACAATATGTTTGTGTAAGATGTCCCAGCCAGATCCATTCGCATTACGCATACATGAACCACCGAATAACTGGGCGGGGAATGTAGATATTTCGGATTTCGTCTGTAGTTTTACACTTCGCAGATATGTTTTCTATTGCGCCAATTCCAGAGGGACTACATATGACTGTACTATAAAAGAAATAGAAAGATGGGGGTCTACTTTTATGCCAGGCTATTGCGATGACAAAGCTTGATGGTGGGATCCGTTCGTCTGGATTCGGTTAGCGAGCCCTCTGAGGGAAGGCTTGATCTTACCGTTTAATCATCGTCGTGGCTACACACTTTTTACTGAGGCAGACCACCACAAGGTGGAACTTATTCAATCAAACATTGTTAACATTATGTCGCAAATCTACAGCGTGCCGAAATTGGGATCCTGTCAGCCCTGCGCTACCGCAAAAGCAAAATGTGTCCCAGAATACGGATCCTCGCGATGTAAAAGGTACCTAGTTCCAGCTACCAGCCCCATCCCGAGAAGCAAAGTTATCGCACAAGTCACCAAACTAATTGGTTACTTCAGATGTAGCGATAGAAACATAGAATGCGTACTCAAGGAACCTATATCCCGCAAGCGCCGGAAAGACACTCAAACGCAAGCTTGTGACGAAAATACTGCCTTCACTACACCCAGTCTCTCCAGCAACAACAATCATATATCCGTTCCCAACATTAGCATGCAGATCTCCGAAGTGCAGCAGGGAATGAATTATTACAGAAAATCCTTGTCCCCGTGGTTTCCTTTTGTTCTACTACCAGATTCGCGAAAGCCTGCTGTTGAGTTCTCACAAGAGCAGCCTTTCCTCTCAATTGTCATGGCAATGCTAGGATGCGTGCGCGATCGCGATAGACAGCGAGAGCTAGCTGTTAATATTCGTACCTGGTTGGCTGTGCACATGATGCAAGAGGGTCAAAAGTCGCTCGATATATTGCAGGGTCTTTTACTACTTACCCATTGGTGAGTCATTCAATCAACGTGCCTTAATCGCATGCCAATTGTATTGACGTTTTGAAGGTACACGTTCCAATGGGGGTTGAGTAGTCAACGTACCCTCTTCATGCATATGGCAATGAGCTTGATTGCTGATCTAGGGCTTATCCGATCACCACTTGCCCGTCAACGATTGATGACGACAGAAGAAGCGGCTGGGAAATCGAAGACCAATGCGGAAACTGTAGCGCACCATACTCTGGAGCAAAAACGCGCTCTCTTGGGATGTCTATACCTTTCATCATCGTCAGTTGCTATGCTTCAAAATCACGCCGAGGTAAAGCTAAGCGATCAACAGCATCGCTACGACGTCTCTCAGTGTTGAAGCACCCTCATATTTCTGTACCTACGCAGAGAGTTGTTATCAGGAGTTTGGAGGTCTTGAGCTCCTATCAGACCAGAGAATCTCGCATCTGTGCCGCATGCAGCACTTAACAGAGAGGTTCATTGCTGCAAAATTACGACTCCAAAGCTACAGAAGTGATCACCCCTCCTCGGAGCCCTGTACATCAGAATTTTTAGATGGCTTCGATTGCGTTAAATACTGGAATCAACTTCTCGGTCAAAGATGGGCCTCTGTCCCAGATCATATAAAGACACGTATGTTCTTCTTCATCCGTCCATACACCCCCAATTGACCTATATGTCACTTTCAGCGATTCTCCTCCAGCAATACACATACACTAGTCTCTACATCCACTCTTGTAGCCTCGAACCTACACTTTTTCCGACCGAAACAACTCGGCTGCAAACTCTGCTCGACTGTATTTCTTCCCTCAAATCACTCCAAGCTGCACTGTTTCCCCTCTATGAAGAGCCACATACCATCTTCGATCTGCCACTATACTGCTTCGCACGCGTCAACCACAGCATTTCTATCGCTCTGCAGCTCTTCTCGTTGAACTACAGCTGGATTGATGCCGCGTACGTCGAGAACGAGTTGCAGCTCGAGAGCATGTTTGCGCGTGTGGAGGAGAAAGTGAGCGAACTGATAGAAAGCACACCGAAGTGCGAGGTACCAGCTTATCATTTGCGATTGAAGCCGATGGCTCAGGCTATTCGACAAGGGGTGAAGACGCGTCTAGATCGGAGCGTTGGGGAACAACAGTTTGATGGCGGTGGGGAGGAAGGCAGGGAAGGGAGTGGAGTGGAAGGGGATTTGAACCATGACTTTTTGAAACAATTTTTGGATGCGGATGATGATCTTTGGCTCCAGAGACTATTGGCGGGGGGAGAGTGACTGGTTGGTTGGTGAGGTCACTCTGGGCTTTTTGGGCAAGCTGTCGTGAGATGCGCCACGTTTCGCAGTGAATCTGCGTGCCCAAAACCCAGTTCCCTCTTAGGTAGTGGCTTGCGTCGGAGGCTGGAAGATCGATGAGGATATGCCGTTCGCGAGTTTCTTTTTTTCAGTGATCCACCAAAGCGCACAGGTGCTGTGATACTCGGCGTTACACTATCAGCCAACCTCGAATCTAATCAAGTTTCTTGTCCCTGCAGAATCCTGTGCGACTTGTCTAATACTGATTCGCCAACAGTTTTTAGGCACATGTATAAGGAGGTCGAGAATCGGGTGGCCGCATATCAGGAGGGTAGTGTACGCAAATAGTAGCAACGAATCTATTGAACAGAAGATAGAGGCTCCAGGCATTATAAGCTGGAATACAGAGTTCAGTCTAACCTCCCAATATGCGGCCACCCCATGTTCGACCCACCTGTCTGTAGGGCTGCAAATACTTCTATTGTCAGGAATAGAACAAGGACTATCGCGCTAAGCTGGAAGGGCATCTTTCCATGAATCTATTTATTGACCATTTTTCTCAGTAAACGGCCAGCTTGCGACCATTTGCGAGATTATGTTAGTTCGATGTATGTCGCATCGCAGAGGCCGTTGGAATGTAGTAGTCACGCACGGTTGGAGTCTGTGATTAATATTTGCAAAGGCCCACGTTAGCGGTACCAAGCCGTCCAGAACAGATGATTTGTTTTTGATAACAGCAAGCATGAAATTTATCGAGGGGAGAAACAAGCATCGCAATTCTCTATCTATACGCGTTATGGGAAGCGGTGGCACGAATCTTCTCTCCACTGCTCGATAGTCAATCTGGTTCGGTCGCGTTGCTACGGTTCTTATCATCTTGCCCAGACGCAGGGTAATACCCCGAGTCTTGTTGAGACGCGCTCTCAACGAGTTTGATTTCTCAGATAGAATATTCGGTCTACGCGCTGTGGTAGGGTCGGCTCAGCCTTAAATCACCAGCATTCGATTGTGCCATAAATAACGACATGTGGCAAGCTAGCAGCAACTAGTGCACATTGTCTTCGAGCAGCTACTGACACTATCTTAGTACCGTCTCAAAGAAGCTACTTCGGGGTATTTTTGGGCGATTTTCTTGGATGCTTAGCATGCATCAAGCTTTTTTAAGCAGAATATCGGCCAGTTATGTTCTATGAAGCATCCGATTCATTGCGCCGCTACGAGGACTGAAGCTAGACGAAGCTCTCATCACTGTCAGTATTCACATGCGGAATACTGGCACGGCCCTTAGGATTATGGGGAATCTGTTATTGTTTCGTTGGTGACGGGCTTAGAGGGCTCTCTCGGTGGAGTATGGAGTCGCCGGAACGTACGGTTGCACTTGCGTGACTAAAATGGACGGCCACCACTGGCTTTGTGACTTGCATTAGAGAGAGTTCCAGGAAACACACTGCCGTGTTGTTCCGGTTTGGAATCGAAACAACCATTCTGCTGTTTTGAAGCAAACTCTGCATTATATCGGAGCCTAGAGAATGTCACGGTCAGAGCCTCATACGGTTTTAGAATCACCCCCCCATCCCCGCAATCCCGCCAACATACAACTTCCTGTCCCCCGTTCGCACGTGAAGCGCGAACGGGTTCATGACTCGGCACCTCATCGATGTGTTTCAACACTATTGGGAATTCGTGGAGGAAGCATCCGAAAGAATTCCGTCTAGCATATTTCTGCAGATTGTCATTCGTTGATGTGATCCACCAATACCTGCGTACCGGCACAATACCTGCTGGTAGCTATGGCCTCAACAACACGACTGAAGCCCACTTTTAGTCGAACAGAGAAATCTTTGCGCCTCGTCTCTAACCAGAATTTTTCGCATATGAAGATTTTCAGTACTCAACACCGCTGCTGCTTTTCCGTATATTATAGCAACAACAAGATCTTGATGCTCTGGAACCGGGCACAGTTTTTACTAGACTTTTCCAGCCTATATTATATTTTATATGACGGGCCGTAAAATGTAAGATACGTGTAATGACTTGGCTATTATATTCGGGCACGCATTGACTGGAGCAATGAGGGCTGTACCACACAGGCTACCAGAATTGTGCGCCGGGGCGCCGTTGCATTGGACCACGGCAGCCACAAATCTCCAATTACAAGCCAACCAGCTGGAACGATAACCACAAACGAACACATGTCGATGAGCGCTTCTTCAATGGTATCACTTGGGTCCTTGGGTATATGTAGGACAGCAACCCGTTCGTACGAGTTCTCTCATGATTCGACCTCCCCACGTTTACCAAAACTGCTACCACATTCTTCTTTTACTCGTTCTTTTCTTCTCCCGCCGCGGAAGGTGACATCACTTGGAGCAACTTCGGTCGTATTAGGATACACTTCTCCACCCACTAACCAGAGTTGTGGGACAAAGTTACCATCTAGAACAAACCATAGATCCCTGCATAGCGATCGAGCATCACATATGATAAGCTTGCTGCCGAAGCGCGACAGAAAGACAACAGGTTAGAGACCATTCTTCCACTTTTTTCCTGTATTACAGAAAACCCCAGAATTTTATCGCCGGCGTTTTGGTTGGTTTTAGCCTGAGGTTCTCTGATTCCCATCCGGAACACGGCAAACTTAATGGTGTGGAACGTTGTTGACGACATTCTAGCTTTTCGTCAACAGCAGACCGCGTGTACTGCCCATTGATTCATCAATTCAATCATTTCTCATCGCCGCCACTGTCAGCGCCACGCACAATCATCTGCCGCATTCAAAGCATACGCTCATAGGACCACCATCATGGCACAATCAAAATCGAGAACGATATTACCGATCGCATTCATCATCGCTCTCTTCTACGCTATCATATTCTTTCACAGCTCAGGACGATCTGCGGGCCCAAGCTTCGTTCGAAACTATGACTTGCACGAGCAGGACAGCATTCAACCCACTGATCAAGTCTCACTGTCAACAGGCAATCACGATTTTGCCATTGCCACATTTCTGACAGGCCAGGCAAAAGACGACTCCTACTTCACTGCCACCCGAACCCTCGCCTACCAAGTCCTTCACGCGCCTTCCACAAAGATCCGCAACTCGTCTATCGCATTCGTAGTCCTCTGCTCCGAGAGCTTGGAAGAAGACAAACGCGCTCAGCTTAGAGAAGATGGTGCTATCGTCGCCGAGGTCAAGGACATCACTCTCAACTCGTGGATCAAGGTCCAGGTTGACCGATGGAAAGAGCAATTCACTAAGCTCCGCGTTTTCGAAATGACGCAGTACAGGCGAGTGCTGTACATCGATGCCGATACCCTCATCACGAAGCCCATGGACGATATCTTCGCCGAACCCGAAGTCGCTTCGCTCGCGCCCACACTGTTTCACCGCAAAGACAAGATCAAGGACGACGAGGCGGAGCTACCTAAAGAGTGGCTCTTTGCCGCTCGCTCGGATAATGCGTTCCTGGGAGAGCGCGACCATCCTGTTCCACCGCTACAGACCAATGTTCTTACCGCGGGGTTCTTTATGGCTGCCCCCGACCAGAAGCTTTTCGATCACTTCCTTTCTGTCATTAAGCACGAGGGAAGGTTCGATTCTTGGAGCATGGAACAAAGCATGTTGAACTACGTCTTCCGTCGCGAAGGTGCCATGCCCTGGAGGGAGCTCAACTGGAGATGGAGTGCCACATGGCCGAGCGAAAAAGACCTGGATATGGGTGTGCACAGCTTGCACGAGAAGTTCTGGGTCACTGGACCTCAGAAGCTGACAGACATGTGGAAGGCTCGTCGGGATGAAATGCTTCAGTTCTATGGAGAGTCATAGATACTTGCTTGCTTCGTAATCCTCCTTTATTTGTTTGGTTGTTTTCGATTCCTGTAAAGTTTATTTTGCGCTTTGTTGCATGGAGTGACGCCCCACATATGCTCTTCTCGGTTTTCTTCGGGCAGCTCGCCTGTTTCCCTCGGTTCTTGTCTAATCGCTTTCGGCGTTCATGATATCGGGACGGTACGTTTGAATTGGAGTATTAAGCCTAATTTTTCCCAGTTTTATGGTGTTCTTACCTACCAAATTTCAGAGCGGATTACATACACGCGAAGGAAGGAAAGAGTTCAGCTGACAGATTTGTGGTCGCCGAGCATCAATACTCAACTCGGAGAGAAACACACTCCAAAACTTGTCTCTGCAAGCTAATTGTGTCTCAGCAGTCAGGATGAGAATAATACAGCTCGTCCATTGAAGATGCAAAGCGAAGTGCATATGTAGTTGTGAGGTATGCCCAGTGATTACATCAGCCGCCAAGGCGCTCCATCTGATAAGATTTTCATCAATCTCCGATCTCGTCCGGTTACACACATCCCACCTCTCACGAGATCCATCATCCTTCATGCGCGCTCACCACTTTTTCACCATCCTGTCAACATGGTTTATAGGAAGTACTCTCAGCTTTCGACACGGAAAATGGTGTTTTGACGCTTGTGAGCTCGATCTCAATTATGCTGAATTCAATGATACCAACTTGGCGCTCGGGTCACACAAAACGAGAGCCTGCCAGAGCCGGCTACGCTCGGATTCTCTCTACCTTTGCGCGAGGGAGTACTGTGAGGAAGATGGGCTGAAAGATTGGGTGATTCAGGCGAACGAAACATGTCTGCAAATTGCGAATGCGTCGATGCCAGCCTACGATGATGTAATGAGGAGGTATCCATCGAAAGATACGCAAACAATCAGAAGGCTCAGTGCAGACGAAGCTCTCACTTTTCCGATATTAGGAGAAGTCGTTATACCTGAGCATTCGCTCCACGAGCGCGCATTCACGACTTTGGTAGGCCTGCTATTAGGAATATGTAAGAAAACTCTAACACGTGGTAGGAAGCAGCATACTACGAGTACGACGTCCATCTGACATATGGGTGGGTTCGCTTCCTCATCATCGCTTTTCTGAACATCCTCTGATTCTTTAGGTGGTTCATGTTCTACTTTTGGGCAGCAGTAGTCACTATCGGAATCTCGAGTCGTCTCGCCGTTCGTGTAGCAGCCTTGCGAACAGAGGGTTCACATCTTTCCTCCCCGGATCTTCACGAGACTTTCCCTCCTGCATTATCACGTAGAAGAGGTGCAACCAGCAAAATCCAAGCCCACCTAAAACGCCACATTAGTATTCCCGCAACCTTCAATAACCGTTGTTCAGAACCGATCGGCTGGTGTACCATGCCTTCGCGCGTCCAAACCTTGACTATATTATCTTTTGTGTTGCTCAATATAGGTCTTTGCATGATCGACTATCGCACAACGGATGGAAATCTTTTTTGGCCGCAAAAGCGAGGTCAGATGTGGCGATTTGTATCTGATCGAACTGGAATCATATCGTTTGCAAACTTCCCGCTGATATGGTTATTTGGCATGCGAAACAATGTACTCCTATGGATTACTGGCTGGGGCTATGGAACATACAACAACTTCCATCGTTGGGTGGCTAGAGTAAGTACAGTTCAAGCGGTAGTCCACTCAATCGGATATACAGTTATGACATACGAACGTAAGTCATTCTGCTATGCAGACAACACCCTTTACTAAATGCATTAGGCGGCGGATGGACATCATTTCTCAAGAGCCTGAGCAAGCATTATTTCTGGAACGGGGAGCTCGCAACCATCGCCATGTGTGCACTCCTGATCTTCTCCGTCTATGGCCTGCGCCGTGGTCATTACGAAATATTTCTAACATTGCACATCGTGCTGTCTGTGCTGGTACTCGTTACGATGTACTAGTATGTTCACGAATCTCCGTCCCATTTTTGCATTAGCTGATCCAGTCCAATCAGTCATGTCGCCATCTTCCCCAATGGTGAATGGAACATCTTCATATATCCGTGTGTCGCCATTTGGCTCATTGATCGACTTTTTCGTGCCCTCAAAATCTTTGCATTCGATCCATACTTTTGGAGAACTAGAGCCGTTGCATCTTTCGATACCAATTCCAATCTGGTCAAGATGGAGGTCCCATGCGAGCGTGCCTTCTCGAAAGCAAAACCGGGAACTTACTACTACATATACGTACTCGAGGCCAGGAACTTGATCTATGCACATCAAAATCATCCATTCACAGTAGCGTATATCAATCCGGGATCTAGATCCAACAATACTAGCGACAGCGATGGTACTCGCTCGCTGTTGAGACCGAATCTTCGGCGGACTGGCTCGACTGAATCGGACTCTTTGCTTCTACAAGACGAAAATTCTGTTCCTTCGTTGGTTTTCCTGATACGGCCCTACGACGGATTTACATCTCGCCTTGCACAAACAACGTCGCTTGGTCCGAAGAATTTGCGCGTACTAATTGAGGGCCCATACGGGCACAGTGTTGCGCTACACGAATATCCCAATATTTTGTTTATTGTTGGCGGCACTGGTATAGCAGTCCCACTATCGCATCTACGTGCGATGCTATCTACAAGTTCTAGTGTGATCAGCATTCGCCTTGTATGGGCGGTACGCGAGCACGCGTTCCTGTCGTCTGTGATCCGGGATTTCGGCTTCTTGTTCGAGGATGAACGTTTACAAGTGGAGGTACACATAACGAAAGATGAAGAAAGCAAAGATGACCTGCTGATGGACGTATTGAAGAATGTAGAGGTACAGGTCGGAAGGCCAGATGTATACCAAGTCATACAAGAAGCTGCACGAGAAGGAGGGCAGGAGGGTCTAGCGATCGTAGCTTGTGGCCCAGGACAAATGGCGGATCAAGCAAGACAAAGTAGTGTTAACATGCTTGCGAAAGGATATAAAGGAGTCGAGTACTTTGAGGAAAGCTTCAAGTGGTAATAGAAAATGGGTCGTGGATCACAGGTGATCGTATCGTTGCTGCGCATATATCTATTCAATGTCTTGAGTTGCCCAATCTGGCCATACCTCATCTTGTCTAGGTTTTGATGCGAGATTTCGGTCCATTATGTGCTCCTCCAAAGGCAAATCCTGGTGCTGACTCCGCTCACCCATGTCTACGCCTCGTTTCTGGATCGTACGAGCGTATGCCATCGTCTGCTTCTTCCACTCTTCTCTACTCACTTTCCCTTCAACCATCTCTGCCAAAATCATAGCATCGAACGCGGCCTGGCTGGTGCTCGCGACAGTGTGTGGTCTGAAGCCAGCCAAAGCATCACCTATCAACAAGACCTTTCCTCCCATGAACTCGTTCGTAGGCGATATCACATCGGTAACGGCCTGTACAAACGGCTTTTTCGTTGCTCTCACGATCTCAGCAAACTGAGGTGGGAGCTTTTGCTTCGCGATCTCGCGTTGTTTCTCCCATGCTTTGGGGTCAGTTTTTCCCGGCGGCATTGTGATTCGGTGTCTCACACCCTCTACATCTGTCATCAGCTCCGCAAGCTCTGAAGAAGGCTCGTCTAGAGATTGCGATGGAAAGTTGGTGTAGTATACAAAGTTTATGAGGCGCTTGCCCGGTTCGAGGGTACCATTTGAGCCAGGAATTAGGTATGCGAGGATCTGAACACCGTGCGTGTGAAAGAAGGTGAAACGTTCCGAGAAGGCTTCGCGCGTTTTAGGTGTTACGTCTTCTTCTGGGACAGTGCCTCGAAGCGCAACATACCCAGCGTAGGTGCGTTGGGTAGGAGGGTGTAGGATCGATCGTATAGTCGAACTGGGTCCGTCGGCACCAATCACAAGATCCGCTTCCATCTCCTCTTTCTGGCCGCCAGTTGTTGTATATGACACGACCACAATTGCTCCCTCGTCCCGGATACCCGTTACTTTATGATCGTGCAAGTGTCGAACTCTCTTCTCCCCTTCAAATTCCGCCGGGATTTCGCAGTATTCACTCTTCACGCCATCTACGTTGGCTCTGAGAATGTAATACGCCAGATCCCAACTCGTCATATTCTGCACCATATCTTCCTTGTGGACGATTTCGCCATCGCGATTCAGATACTGTCGCCTTTGCGAAGACACGGCGAGTTCTCTGTTGCATCGATCATATCGCTTGAAGAACGCAAGTGTATCGCCGCCAGCAACAATTCCAGCCCCCTGGTTATGAAGAAGCGGCGTTGGATTCCTTTCAAGAATCGTGATGTCGTGATTCAATGGGAGTGATTTAAGGGAAAGTGCTGTGCATAGTCCACCCAAGGAGCCCCCAATCTGTACTCAATAATGAGGAAATATACGCAATGTTTGTAAATATCAGCTTACTATTATGATCTTGAGCCGTTTGTGTGGATTGAACGGGAACTTATTGGTTGCGTCTGCATCATGTGGAAGTTGGCTACCCATTACGAAGTTCATCCAGGATCGAGACCCGCCTTTGCGCGACAATGAACAGGAGTCGACAACAATACTAGGAAAAAAAAGCTTGAGTTGATGGAACATTTGATAGCTCCGCAAATATCCGTCGACTCAGTAGGCGGATATGACATGTATGGATGACGCACCCCGCCAAAATCACGACCGGAAGCAGCATAGGCTAATGTGTGATTACTAGGCCCCACATCGCAAAGTACTGGCTGACTCTGAGAAATCGTCGCGTCCTGGACTTATAACCACAAGTATGGTTGCATCTTTCCAAGAAGTGGGAAATTTCATATAATACTGAAGGACTGTTTCGGCGATGGTACTCGAAGATCGTGGTTTGGTAGCGGTACGAAATCTCAGCTCTTCCCATCGAAGGCAAGGCCGGCGGACTCATCGATATACAGATAACTGGTGCCAATGGCACCATAGGATACGCTTCAGTAGTTTATGCCCTGCGACTCGGATACCGTGTTCGCTGTATAGTTCGTCGAGCAGATGCTATCGACACTATCAAAGCGGGGCCTTCCATTCAGCAGTTTGCGGGGCAAGTACAATACGCTGTCGTCCCCGACAATACTGTCCCAGGCGCATATGATTCGGCTCTTGAAGGTGCTACGGCAGCTATACACATAGCTGGCGTGTGGCCGAAACCGGTAATACACTGCTGTTCTTATTTCTGGAAGTCGGAATATACTCACCGTGCGATAGAATTATCATCCGGACAACGAAATTTACTATCCATTCGTCAAATCAACAGAAAACATAATTTCAGCGGCCGAGAAATCAGGATCCATACGACGCATTGTATTTACACAAGCAGGAGCTGCTCTTGTCCATCCCGACGATGGAGATACCTTAGGAACAGCTATGGATAGAGTTCTGAATGGTGTGTTCCCATAAAACTTTCTATTCATTGATATAGACGTTGACCTTGCCTTGAAGAGTCTGTTCCTGTGCACCCGGAACTGAAAGGGGTCAATCACCCAATTCCAACACCGCATCATGCTTATTGCGCCGCCAAAGCGCACTCTATGACTTATCTTCACTCCCTGCGCTCATCTGGGACATTGCCGTTCTCTATTGTTCAAATCATTCCGGGGACTGTCATAGGACCATCTGAGCTGATTAATAGTGCTGCCGAAGCAGCGGCACGCATGGATCGCATGTCCCGGGCTATTCTTTTCAATGATCCTAAACCGCGATACGCATTTGGCTTCGTGCATGTCCAAGACTGCGCAAAGGTTCACGTTGAAGCTTTGGATGAGGAGAAAGTGCCTGAAGGCAATTTACCACATTGGTTCATTGCTGCAGCAAGTAGTATACAGGGAAAGAGTGGGGAAGACGTCTGGCGGGAGGCGGGAGATCGTGTAAAGGAGCAACTAAACGTCGACGTTGAAAAAGGTCTGTTCACAATTGGAAGAGAAAATGTGCCATTCAACATGCCATTTTATGTAGATTCGAGATTGACGAGATCCTTGTTGATGGGAGACCAAGATTTCAAATGTCTCGCAAAGAGTGTGGTAGAAGTAGGTGAGTGGTACTCGAAGCTTTCACAGAAGCAACTGTGATGATCAACTTAGTTGTCCCGAATCAGGTGGTAGCCGGGTGAACTGAAATGAAAATCCTCCGAGTGTTCGGAGGATCAATTGCCCGATCATGACTAATGGTAGCCTTCTGCCTCACTCATTCGGTTGCTTAACTACGGCGCAGCAGCGCGGGTTATATATCCATCCGGCATGATCCTGCCTTCTTGCTTCAATGTCAAGTTGAAGGAGCTCGGGGTGATCGCTAGGCACAACTTTCATCCGTCACTGTGACTGACAGACATGCGAATAACAAGACCCAAGGCAAGTTGACTTGCATCCTATGTATTTGGCTTGTAGATTTCCACATTATTCGATGTTATGATGATGTTGATGATGTGGCTATAAGTACAGCCTTCGTCCAGGGACAAACGCTTCTGAACAACCGAGCTCTTATACTGAGTATAACACATATCAACATGAAAGCGGTGAAAATCATCAGTCCAGGCGAAGCCAAGGTCATCACGGATGTCCCCAATCCACCCCGCCCGTCGTCCGACAACATCCTCGTCAAAATTTTCGCTATAGCTCTCAACCCCCATGACTGGAAAGAGCTCGATTATGGTGAACCCAGCACCCTAGGTCTGGACCTCGCGGGAATCGTTGAAGATCTAGGTCCTGATGTGACGAACGGCTTCAAAAAAGGTGATCGAGTCTTTGGTATAACTCATGGTGGCAACAAATTACGCCCTCACAATGGCGCTTTCTCAGAGTACGCGACGACACGGGAAGGTGTATTGATCCCAATTCCAGAAGGCAAAAGTTTCGAGGAGGCTGTGTCGGGAGGCATAGGCCTATTGACTGTTGGCCAAGGAATGTACCAGGAAATGGCCCTGTCGTGGCCCAATGCACCCTTGAAGGAGAAGCAGCAAATCCTGATTTGGGGCGGCAGCTCTGCTACAGGAGCGTTGGGCATCCAGTTTGCGAAGCTGTGAGTGATTTTGTCAATACAAAATCTTGGCCCGTCGATGGAATGAAGCAATTATTAACGAAATATAGATCTGGATATGAAGTCATCACTACTTGCTCGACCAACAACTTTGACTACGTTAAGTCGTTGGGAGCAGACCACGTCTTTGACTCACGGTCGCCCAGTACGGGAAATGACATTCGTGTCTTCACCAACAACCAACTTCGCCTTGCTTGGGATACTATTGGCGAACATGGTTCTCCAGAGAGCTGTGGAGCAGCACTTACTTCGGAAGTTTCAGAGGGGAAACCGATACGGTACGGAACCATAGTGGGAGGCAACCCTGTTCGGGAGGGTGAAGTCATCAACACCCTTTCTACAGGCTATACTGTGGTGGGAGAGGATGTTGAAGCAATGGGAAGGAAAATCCCGGCGATGCCGAAGCATTATGATTTCATCAAGGAGTGGTTTGTTCTGGTCGAACAACTGTACCGAGATGGCAAGTTCAAGATGCACCGACTAGATGTCAGACAGGGTGGCTTTGAGGGCATTGTGAAGGGATTGCAAGACTTGAAGGCTGGCAAGGTGAGCGGTGCGAAGGTTGTGTACCGAGTCGGATCTTAGCGGATACCGGCGCCGTAATTCGATATTAGACGCATGCGGGATCAGCGCATGTTGCTATCGACTACGATTCTCTGATTCATATCGAACTGGTGTCCCGAATGCATTTCGTTCAATACCATCTATATTCGGAATTCCAGGAACTTTTGTTCTCAAACAGAGTGTCAGTTTCTCAGGGAACACCCTGTTGGGCCCCGAAAATTTTCGGGCCCTGCTTGCACAAGGTCGCAAACGGACAGGAATGCCACGAGCCGTATGCACGGCGAAAAAACGAATAGATGAGTTCTCGCGCGTATCTATACTAAGCCGTTGGCGATTACATGCGGGCGATCGAGAGGGGTGATCTGCAGGATAAAGTAGAAAATCCGGGGTAAATGATGGCACGCATCAAGCAACCAGGTTTACGAGTCGTCCGGGAGATCCTATTGATGACAAAAAATCGGACAAATTTTACCGGATTTCATCGTACAAGCCGCATCCTTTGTACGAACACTCAACATCCGGCAGTGCGGGGAGAGTTCACTTGGAACGATAGATTATGTCACAGGCGCATGTGCAAATGGGAATAGCATTCGTGAAAGGGTTTGCACTGCTATCCAATATATTTATACTCTCCCACATCGGGTAAACACTATGTTTGCCTTCTTGTGGAAATGCAATACTAGTCACATCCAAAATGATGGGACTGTTGCTTGAGGTCGATATTGACGTGACACCTCAATACGAGATCAATACAACAACGACCCAGATTGGAAGACTCCATCAGAAGACAGCATAATTGGTGAAAACTCCAAAACAGTGTTCTCCACTATAAACAGCTTGAACATATAAAATCAAGATATCCTGTGCCTACTTACAAGCATAACTTTCAAAACTCATTCTCAAATCATTCCTCAATCCGAGTCAATCGCCAACATGATGAAATTATACATTGCTCTTGCTGCCATTCCGGGAATTTCACTGGCTATCCCAGCCCCAGTTCCTCAATCGAGCGACCCAGTCCGCATCCTTCCCCCACAGTGGGAATTTACGCTCGCCTCTTACGAAGGACCTGGTTGCCCCCAGCCTGACGGAAAAGACAGAGAAACACGGCTCACCTATGGCCAGAATACTGTGGACGGCTCTGAGATCTACTATTGGTTTGCTGCGTACCCTAAGATCAAGGCGGCAGTTGGGGACGATGTCGACGAGGCGCATTCTTGGTGCGAGACTACGATCGACTACCAGGAGTTCACCACCTACGAAAAAGATAAACCTGCAGCAGATTACAACTTCCGCTTGCACAAGAATGCGTCGAGAATCATCTCGACCTATGATCTAGAGGAAGGTGTCACTGCCGAGTGGAAGTTCTCGTACAAGATCAACGGCAAAGAGGTATGTATCATAACATTCAAACGCCTTCATCTAATGATAAGAGGCTGATCATCCTAGGTTGTCGACGAACTTTCCGTTGATGGACCGATCACCAAACTACCTTATCAGTACGAACTCGCTACCGAAGCTCCTGAAGACTCGGAGCCCGTCCCAGCGTCCAAGTGCGGTGCAACAAGCTTCACGTACAGGACCGACTTGTATGTGAAGGCCAACAAGGAAGGCGCAAAGGGTGTAGTGCAGGGCGAACTCATCACTCAAACGGATGGATCGAAATTCAACTATGGCATTCAGCAAGGCTTCAGCTATGACTTTCAGAAATGCACCAAGTAGTGTGGAAGCCTTTTGCTTCACACTGCAGGTCCATGAACGGAGGCGAAGACCATATGAAGAGTTATGGCTCAAATCAAAGACCAGCAGACTATGACCGGAACCTGTTATCTTATAGGGCTTCGCTATATGATCGTTCTTCTCCTTGCTAGACATCAATATCAAGCATATAGTTGGACAAATATACACTGGCTGTCAGAGATGGTACAAAGTGAGTGAAGCTCATGAATCGATCGATTGACTTGAACTAGCATTGACCTATGATCTCACTTCGTCTCAACGTCTCGTCTAGTGGATCACTCGTTCGTGTTCTCGGTAGCAGGGGTATTCAAGCATGATTTAATGACTGTTCAGTAACTGCCCTGTCGCAACGAATCATGACTAAGGGGCAAGCCCATCCAATTGATCATTGGTTGAATAATTCCTTGGCTGTTCCAGCCAGGGCTTCAGCCAACCTGTTGACCATGCACCTGTTTTTGCTTTTTTGCAACAAAAAAATAGCGATACTTTTACAGTTTTCTGGCGCCTTGGCACAGCCGCTAATGGTATAAATAGTGCCCCGTTTTCCCCGCATATAAAACCAGTTTTCTTTGATGATTTCCTACTTTTTTTAGCTTACATAATCCACCTAACTTGTGCGTAGCCAACATTGGAGTCGCATCCAGTGAGGATAGATCATCTTTCACAAGAGGAGCACGAAGCGTATTGCATAAGTCCGTGGTCTGTAATCACAACGGTGCTATATCTTGGTTGCCTGTCGACTGACCTCCCTAGTAACACAGCCGCGATTTCTCGCTTTCGCACTTTCGCTGTTCAACACCAAGCACTCTACAACAGTCTTACATAGACTGGCCTTAACAAACAACATTGATATACAAATGGTCGCCGTAAAAATGAGCCACAAATCTTGTGCATTTCCAGATAAAAGGGCTGCCAAGTGCAATGGCGACAAGAAATATATAAATCGCGAAGCATCGCGACGTAAACAGTCGGGCGACGCAATAATAGTAAACAAATCTAAGTATAACATAGCCAGCGGTGTTCGGGTAGGCTGCCCTTACTATATGAAAGACCCTCAGTCCTGCGCGAAAGCAGCCTGTCGTGGCAATGGATATAAAGAAATTGCAAAACTTAAGTACGTTGTACATTTACTTCCTTATGTTTTTTTTTCAATCAATATCAATCCTATACATTGACTAGAACCTTGACCACATAATACTCTGGACAATGATCTTGTTGTTGTATGCGCAAGCAAGGGTAACTCAAGGTTTGTTTTTATGAGAGCATCGCTAGTACATGTCTTGTTCTAGTACTTCATGTTTGATTTAGCTACGTACATCTTAGCTTTGCAAACATGTTGTCCATCATGACCTGCGTTCTAAATCTCTACCTGCAAATCTCATGTTACAGTTTGACTGCGTTAAGCGTAGGCTACTGTGGAGCTTTCAGTTCTGTCTACTCCATCGAGCACAACTCCATCACAAACGAGCCATCTCTAACCATTCTCACAGAGACCACCTAAAAGACTGCCACAATCTGACCAAGAGTCTCATGTCGCAATTGAGTTTCAAAAGCCGCAGATTCACCTCGCTAAAATCACTTGAAGAGAAGTGGAAACTAGCCTTCTCCATCATCTTTCCCGAGGTACCCAAGGAAAAAATCCCTTCAGGTATCGCCACTCGCATCGGCCCTGTCGCTGCGCTGTCGAAATGCCAGAAATGCCGCCAAGAAAAAGAATCTATAGCTGAAAAAGATAAATCGATGGTGGGGGGAGAGGGGTATGTTAATATTAAAGCTATGAGAAAGATGCTCCACGATCGAGCTTGGGATATGTTCAAGGATGGGATGGAGATTCATATTGCCGATTTTATGGTGGCGTTTGGGCCGTTGTTTGATGGTGCTGTTCAAGATGTTATTACTGGGCGCGACTCTGAGATTGATGTTGATGTGCAGATGGATACGATTGGAGAAATCGATATTGCAACTGGCATTGTCACTGATTTCGATCTGCTTGATCTGGATATGGGTAAGCTAGCGACTTAGTTCAGATTCTTGTTACACACATGGGACTAGGAGTCAAGAAACCCGCTAACATTGATATAGATGTAACTGAGCAAGCTCACGATGTCTTAAAGCCTCATTCGAAGATGGAGCTCGAGTGCGATGCCAAACCACCTGCATCAAGATCTCCACAGGGCAAATTAGATACCTGTTCCAGTATTACGCTTGCCACGCCGGATGCTATGCCTATTTGTGCCCAAAACCTCGATGCAGACTTTATCGATTACGATATGGAACAAGAGTCTGAAGGCTTGTCAGACCAGGCAAACAGCACAACACACGTTGCCCCACCCTTTGCGCCACTCTCGGAAGCCAAATACACGTCTACGCCAATAGAAACGGACGCGAAGTCCATGGCCTCGGTGGATTTGCATCTTAGTGATTCTACGCACGGGGAAGAAGTATGTGGTACCAAACCTGTATGGAATTCTGAGTGTGCAAAAGATGCGATGTTATCATACGAGTCCAGAAATCATGACGATATGTCACCTGAGGCTTGGCTACAGGCTCGCGAAGAACAGATAGGCTCACGAAAGGTGGGGGTTTTCGCATTCGAGGCGCCCCGAAGATAATGTTTGGAAACCCAGTCCGGAACAAATTGTCGGCACGTAATGTTTTGGTATAGCGATATTGAAATAGATTTTATGATTATGACATATCGTGAGGACGAGACAGAAGTATCGTTGCTACTTCGTTGTTCCAGCTCGATTCATTCAACATGTGAGCATGCAGACAATCAAAATATATAAATTACTTCACGAGAATGATCTGCTTTGTCGTTGTTCTGTTTGGCTCGTGATTTTACTCTATGATAGGCCAGATCTCATTGATCGCAGTCGCCTCAATCATATCAGAACCATGTTTTATTTGACATGGAACCATGGTATATACAGTCAACAGATTGTCAACTTTACAAGTAAAAAGACCTGTTCGCCCACTCATCACTCATCACTCATTGACCCGCATACCATGCAAGTACGCAGATTGTCACAAGAAAAACAAAGAATGTGAAGTATACAGTTTGAATGGTGACCCAGCGTCCGCAAACGTCGGATCCCCGTTTCCTGTTATAGTTGTTTTTCCTGCTGTTGCTTTACTAACATACAGTCTGCATCCCCAAGTCGTCTGCCCTGGCTGTCACACCCAATGGACGACTCTGGCGCTGATCAATATTTGAGATGAAATAAAGGAAAAGTCTGTCTCGTATCTCAAGTGAGAAACGATGGGTATTCGATGGTGAATATTTACAATCCATCAGTGTAGGTGTTTGTACAGTGTGTATTGTGAACGAGCTCCATCACTCCTCCCCTTCCCCTCTTCTATGCCCCGTACCGAACATTACGCATTTAAGCGATGTTCTCGCCGGTCTTGCGGCAGAAGGTCCTGCCGCGCTCCTGCTTGGAGTTGTCGCAGGTCAACTGAGCGTCAGCGACGCAGGTCAATTGGCCACCGCCTGAATGATCGAGTTAGTTATTGATCTTGAAGAGGTATTTGCTGTGTATAGGGGATCGAGCTTACAGTTGGCCGAGCCGGAGGGGACACAGCGGCCAGTAGATCCATTAACGTTGCAAACGTCTTGCTTCAACGAGGTGTTGGCGACGCAGCAAGCACCGTTGGCGACAGGGCGACCAGCATTCTGGGGCTGGGGGAAGGCGGCAGCGAAAGCGGCAAGGGAGAGAATGGTAGCGATGGTGAACTGCATTTTGAGATTTGTTGGTGTTTGTTGGAAGATGGGGTATCTGAAATAGAGAATAAAGATTGTGTATGGAAAAAGGTAGTTGCGTGTGAACGAAAGACCGAACCGGCGGTAAAAGGATAGAACGGAAGAAAGAAGTACTGAAGATGCTGGAAATGCTTTGGAGTGATGATGGATGTTGAGGCGGCTATAGGGTGCTCTCTTATACTTTGAAGTTCACCATGAGACCGGGGTATGTTCGCGGCGCTGTTTTCCGCTTCGAACGCCTTAGCGCCGGGTTCATCCAAATTCGCGGTGCTTTGATCGCACGGTTCAGCATTGTCCTGAGAATACCTGGTCTCGATGAGACGTTTGATGCCCCAGGAGAGAAGAAAGGCGCTAGTTTGTCCTTGGTCTGTGGCTTAAGCGATGAAGGGCTTGAGCGATTAAGGAAACTCACGATGCGCAGATCATACACAGATCGAGACGGGCCCCGACATTTAGACAGAGGCGAGGGCTCAAGAGGGACAAAGAAAGCAAGGTGCAGTAAGTACCATGATCCTTTGCTTTCCTCTCATTCTATCATACTAACCGCGAAAATTACTCGTCACTAAGCAAGTCGATATTCCCGGGAAATACCAGCTGTCACAAAACCCCACTGGCAGTCATTATGACAGATGTTTGCGCTATAGAAGCTCCAGCTATGTAAAACTATGGGTGTCCTGGATGGCAGCTCGAACCGAAACTTAGTGAAACTGTGTGTGGCGGGTGTGTCTGTATCAAGGTTGTCAAAACAAGAGCACGAAACATTAGCGCGGCGCATGGAAACCATCTCGAAGGCATCCTCCCGCAATGCTACAGCATAACAACCCATCCTTCGAGTTCTAACGAAAATTGGATTGTTACTCCAGTCTTTGCAGTTTCAGTGTTGGCGAACAGAACATTCTCTGGAAGACACTCCTGCATTCTTGCCGAGTTCCGAGGAAGCGCTATCCTCTCTAAGCCAACGCGCCGACCTCACCCCTAAAACAACGCTGTCATTATTTCGCACCAATCGCTCGAGATGCGCAATTCATGATGCGGCGACTGTCACTTCTGCCTCCTTCTTATCGCTCTTTCTAACCAAAAACCAACTCGTACACACCGCACCCAAGCACGCAGATAGCAGAGCGATCGAGCATATGTACGAAACGCGATACGTAGGACCGAACTTAGGCTGATATATCTGTGGCCCAACGATGCCCATCAACTGGCAACTCGCGTTCGTGATACCAATGGCCAGGCCAGCTGTTGTCGTTCCCTTTGCGGCGCGAATTCGTTCTGGCCAGATGATTGCGAAGAACGACTGAGACGCTGCGGTGGCAATCATGACGAATATATACTTGGCAACCGCGTTTTTGACCGTGATGAGGAGGATATAGCAGATGATTTGCGTTATTTCCACTCCGAGACCAGCGGCCCATGGTGAGATGCGCTTTGTGTGGATGAGGAATGCCAGCGATAGAAGGATGACGAAGACCAATGTGAATGGAGGCTATCGTTACTCGTCAGATCTGGGATATCTACCCCTGTTCTTTTCCACTTACCATGGTCATAATTTGACTGATTGCTGTGCCAGAGATGCCGAGTTCCTATATTGCGGTGCAAAGTCAGCTTGATGCGCATCAGATGTGCTTCAATGCACCGTGTTACGCAGCTTCGCGACAAGCGATTCTTTTCGCATATGTGATGTAGTACAAATAGCTGGTACCAATTCGGAGTTAAGTCGTTCTGAGGTACGACTCACATATATCACAGTGGGCAGTACGAAAGAAATACCCCAACCTCCAATACCATGTGTAATCCATATCAATAAAAACGGGATAAACGTAGGATCCCGGAAGAGCGACTTCGCCTGGTCCAAACTGAAAGTCTTCGCTGTCATTGTTGGCGCTTGCTTAGGTAGAGTCGTTAAAATGGCTTCGCGTTCCTCTTCGTTCAGAAATTTGACTGTCTCCGGATAGTTGGGCAAGTAGAAAAACGTATACACAGAGCAGAGGATTGCAGGAATTCCCTCGAGTATAAACAGCTAGATAAGCATTATCAGCCACATTCGGAACACAACTAATTCTACAACCTACCCAGCGCCAGCCGGCTAGCCCACCTACACCATTCATGAAAGAAATGGCGTACGCAAGAAGCCCACTGATGGTCCCAGAGAACATACCACACGCATAGAAGAACCCAATGCGTAGGGGTAGCTTATCTGTCGGATACCAGAAACTGAAATGGTACAACACTCCAGGATAGAATCCAGCCTCGGCAGCACCCAGGAAGAAACGACACGCTAGAATGCCCGCATAGTTCTGCGTCGCACCCTGGCACATGCTAATAATTCCCCAAGTGAGCATAATTCTTGACATCCAAACATTGGGATTGAAATGCTTGAGGGCCAGCGTCGCGAATGGTTCAAAGACCATATATGGATAGTAGAAGATGGAAAGGGCCCACGCCCATTGGGATGACGAGAGGTTGCCGAGTTGCTTGCGTATTCCCGTGCCTGCTTCGAGATTGATGATGGCGGCATTGGATATATTGGAAACATGAATCCTCATGATCTAGTAAAAGGTCAAGAAATTAGAACAAAGCTTCAGCGATATCTTTTGAAGTTTCATAGGGGGTGTGCAGGCACTGATTATAACATACCAGGTACACGAAAGCATACCAGATCAACAGTCGCTTGTCAACTTTTCGATGTGCAATCTTACGAAGAGCTTCGGTATCTCTGCTCGAGACATCGGATTCAGCGGGAGAACCGAGCTCTGCCTGTGGAATCGTCTTCTCTGACTCGTACGCGTGTGTGATTGTCATCGTTGGCGTATGAAACACTGTTCTGCAGAATGCTAGTGATCCAGAATGTTGGTATTTCTACACTGATCATGTATAAAAAGAAAAGAGAATCTTCCGATCTCGCTGCCGATGGATTTTCCCTTGAAGCACGTCATACAGCGCTGCCCCCAAGATAGTGTAGGCTGTTTCTAGTAGGATTCTTCCATCTTGATGTTGAACGACACCAAGAGCGATCGTTTTGTTTATCCACCAAAATCTGCCTCATCATTGGTCATTTGTTATCCTGTCCGGGTCTACGTTTCCGCTAACACATTATTGCCATAAGGAAACGTCGCTGCCGTGAGCACCAATCTTGGCGAGGAATTGCGTGCTCATACCTCCGCTTTCGGTCATGACTTGAGCGTGCGACTCATAAGCGACGCGATATGAACGTGATAAATTATATGCTTCTACTCCGCGGCCAGGCACTGTATTCACATTTCTCATTGTTATACTGTGGAAAGATGCCTTCTGTTGTACCTCCCGAGCTCCACGCGCTTCCGAAATGGGAGAGACCAGAGAAAACCAATGAGATCCTTGACTGGGCAGACATCAAGGTGATTGACCTATCGAATTTTGATGGACCTGGACAGAAACAAAAGTTGGCAGAGCAACTGCGTGACGCCGTAAGTGCTATATGAGCACCACGTTTTGAAACTACTTACTAACACTTGGAATTACAAGGTGCACGAAACGGGCTTCTTCAGTGTCATCGGTACAGGGTTTACTCAAGCTGAAGTCGATCGACAATACGATATTGGCCAAGCTTACTTTGAACTCCCTCTCGAAGAAAAAGGCAATCCAAAGTATAGATGCGATTTTGCCCAAGGCAATTACTTTGGATACCGCGCAGCAAACGAGAAGAAAATCATGGGCACTGATATCCTGGACAATGTCGAATCAGTGAACATTCCAAAATTCATTCCTCAAAATGCGAGTGAACCATTCCATCCTTTCTTGCGCCAATACAACACCGAAATCGAGGATTTCTCGCGTCGCTCTCTAGCTTTGGCGGACAAGATATTCACCCTCTTCTCGATCATTCTCGAACTCCCGGAAGACTACTTCTCAAAACAGCATCTCTACAAAGACCAAAGCGAAGATCATTTGCGCTATATGATCTATCGCCCACGAAGTGCGGCCGATGACGCCAAAGTGCAAAACACATGGTCACGTGCACACACGGATTTCGGCTCTCTGACGTTACTCTGGAGCCAAAACGTTGCAGGACTGCAGCTCAAGACACCATCTGGGGAGTGGAAAAGTGTGCCGCCAGTCGATGATGGAATAATTTGTAATGTCGGGGATACTTTGGACTTTTGGTCAGCAGGGTTCTTGAAATCTACAATCCATCGGGTGGTACGGCCCCCGAGCGATCAGGCACACATCCATCGTTTGGGACTGTTTTATTTCGTTAGACCAGGGAATGAAGTTGATATCAAGCCGGCTGCTTCGCCCTTGTTGAAGCGACTGGGGCTAGTCGGAGAGGATGCGGAGAACGAGAAGCCGGTGAGGGGATTGGAATACGTGCGGGAGAGGGTAAAGAACTATCATAATCACAACGACTACGCTGATATGAAAGGGAAGAAGTTCAAAGTTGGGAACCTGGAAATTGAGGATGAAGCAGCTTGATTTGAATTGCGCGGCGATTGGTTGTATAATTTTGTTGGCTATGTACATATCGATGATATCCAATCATCTTCAACTTTGAGATGCTCTTGCCCCATTCCATTTGTTGAGGACCGAAGCCTTCCTTCCATCTGCAACTATGCATGAAATGATTTTCTGTTCCGTTCCTTTTTTTTCCTAAGTCTCGTGAATATTCACTTACTTGGACTGCCCGTTACGCCCCAAATCCTCGCGAGACAATATTTGTGGACACATGTATGTCACCACACGCAACTGGTCTACCTCGAGCGCACAGCCGATATAGAAATGGACGTCGCATTGGTCCCGTAAGAACTGTGATCCGCTAGATGTTTCGGTGCAATTAGCATAGTGCACACAGAAAAATGCGCATCTAAACTTACTACATCTCCTCGAGCGCTTTCTCATACTTCTCCATCTGTTCCAGCATCTTCCCCGGCTTCCTCCGCGTCTCAAAGAACCTCCACAATCTTTTCAACACCTCGGCATCACTCTCGCAGAATGAGGCTGGTGATATGTATACCTTAGGCGTTGCAGGCTTCCCCGCTTTGATGGTAAAATAGAATCCAGGGCCCGCGCGTTCTTTACCCCCGCTCGGCAACACCGCTGGTGCCTCTCCAATGAATATCTTCCAGAAGTCCTTGAGATCAGCGAATGCTTCTTCACTATACATGGATATGCTCTGTCTTCCGCCCAAAGTAAGCGCATCCATGAGATACTCGATAGAGGTGTGCGGCGCACGCGTATAGAGCTTGATGCGCGAGCTCTCCGGTTTGAGCAAATCGAACGAGAAAATTCCGACCTCCATATTCCACTTCTGTGTCGCTTCATCCAAGAAATCAAGTAAAGGGTCAGGAGCTAAGGCGTCGAACTGCTCTTTCGGCAAGCCTCTTATAGCTCTCTCCACGACGTCGAGGTTTGACGTTCTTCCGCCGACTTGCTGCGCCCGCAACCCAGGGAACATATACATCTTCACAATCGGACCTTTGGTTAAGTCCACATCGCGCGTCACAAATGTTCCCGCGTCAGGTGCAAGTTCGAAGTCCAACTTGTTCGTCCTTTGGATCTGCGCTTCTGCCGCATCAGGCAACACGCTCGAAGCGAAGTATCCATACCATTCAAGATCCAAACCTTTGACCAGGCCCTGCGATTCCAGGTGTCGAATCCAACGATCTGTTTCGTAGCTATTGGAGGGATCTGCGGCAGTTCCAGCAAGAGGACCGATGGGCTCGAAGGAAGTTCGGATCACACCCTTCCCATCCAGACCCCACTCCCAGCTTAGATCCAATGGCGTGCCATCGGGTGTTTGAGGGCTCTTCCACTGGAGTGTTCCATCGATAGCAGGAGCAGGTCCGAGTGAGGGAATGATGTGAAGAGCGTAGAAGAGGAGTTCGGTGTATTGATCTGATGGAGTGTAGCCTGCGTGATGGAGAAGTGTTGCCAGCTGTGGTCCGGTTCTTGCCCACCAAAATATGTGGTTGGGGGTTTTGAAGGCTAAAGTGGCGTCGATTGTTTCGAGGGGAGTCTTGACTCGATCTACGTCTGCTTCGCTTTTGAGAGTGGTGAAAGATGGTGTGTAGGGTTCTGCGTGTGGGGCCATGATGCGATACAGGTGCTCTGACGGTATATTGGGAATGATCATATGATATTATTCTTTATAATTAAGCCCTGAAAGATACTGATGTGAGAATCAAGGAACCCCGATATTCTATGATCAAAGCACAGAGAGCCCGAGAGTGGATTACAATTTATACGTAAACGTGCTCCCCCTCCAACGCACGTAGCCTTTGTACGACATATTGATGACACTAGGATTAGGGTCGGACAATGAAATTTCTGTTTAGAGCTGTGAAAGGCAAATTCTCATCAGACTATATGAATTGATGACTAGAGTGCATGGATGAGGGCGCCTCCACACAAAGGACAGCTTACAGTCTTCAACACAATTTGATGATGACCAGATTTGGAAGTCCTACAGATATAGTATTGCACTGTTCAGAACAACTACGTCCATGAGTTTGAAGTATCTAATCGTCGAAATTGCCCGCATTTGTCTTCTAACATATCAACAAAATTCACGAAACTTCTCGACACGACCCAGGGCGCCTAAACAGTCGATCCATTTCACTCTGACGATAAGCTTACTTACGGTCGCACACACACACCAACTTCCGCTTCAGGACCATGCCTCCTCCACCTTCCATCGGACTAAATGACCCCCGACCGAGCCATGCCGCTGCAAATTATGCACGTGGAAATGCCTCACCAAACTACGCCACACAATGCCGATCCACAGAACCCGAGCAGCTTTCCTTACCCCGAAAGTATGTAAATCGCATACATACAGAATGATGGAGAAAGCAGTCCGTTTTGGGACAAATTAACGAAGGGAATCCAACCTGATATGATGTATCTTGGGACGGTTCCAAGTACCATTCCCTTTCGTTCTTTCTTTCTTTCTTTGTTTGATTCCGTCGGGTAAGATCCGGTGTCTAGTCTACAGGATAAGGGGAAAAATAAGCATTCGGCTGTTGTGGCTTGTTTACGGTCGCCTTGTTGCTTAGCTTACGGGCGTAGGTTATGCTTTGCTCTGCTTACTTGTGTTGTAATGGGTTGATTGGTGAGGGATGGCGCGGGTATAGGGATAAATTGGGTATGTGATTGCGTCATTTGGGGTCCGAAGGATGGGAGTTTTGGAGACATGGTTTGAATGGTCTGATGTGCGGAGGGTGTGGGGATTCCAAATTCGGGTTGTCATTGTCGGAATATGTTGTCAGACCGAACGTTCGGTTCTATGGATGCTCTTTAGTTGGTTGTTAGTCCGTCGGTAGTCGGAAACACGAGGTTCAAACGGTGAGATGAGTTCGTATAATCATGCTTTTGGTGGATCATAAAGTGGAAAATATATTGACGAGGCGCTCCGCCTACCAATATCTAAATGCTTTCTTGATCTTGCTTTTCTACATCTATCGTGGTTGTTTTTCCATTCCCATCGATGAACGTACGAATACCAGTCATGGTGGCTCCCGGGATTTTCCCACCGATGCGTTCCCCATCCTTCACTTCCTCCGATCCATCGCGAACCAGAACAGTCGTCCGCGGTTGATCCGATTCCGAGCCAGCCATCCTGCGGAAAGCCGATCTGCTCCTGTGATACCAGTTCAGAGTAGTAATGGTCTGATGCCCTCGATCTTTGACTCTGATCTTGGAGATATACAGTGAGCGGAACGCCGACGCGGAGACCAGAATCAAGCCAATCTCCCCCGAAGCTGCTAGGAAAAGAGTTTCCCAGATGTGTTCGAGTTGGCCTTGGTACTTGAGACCGATCATGCGTCCGGCAGTCACGGCGATCATGATAATGGTCAAGCATAGGGTGAAGCCTAGACCGACCTTTTGAGATAAAGGGATGCGGATTTGCCACAGGATGACGACGGGAATTGTGAGAACTACAAGATTGTTAGTCTGTATATCATTTAGTCAGTAAAGAAGTTTCGATGACGTACTAAGCAGATCGCCAAAAATATCCAGTACCATATGGGCCGTCGCGTGGTTGATTTGGCGGGCCATCGCAGCTCCGGATTTACATGACGCCACTATGTTTGTTAGTTTGATGGCACTCGAATGCGAAGTCGAAGGACCGAGGGGGAAAAGCTTACTTTTCTGTACCAAATCCTTCTCCGTAAAATTCGGACACGCGATGAAAAAGACAGTGACTCCATATACGGCAATGGCGGCATTCACAACCGTTACCGCCCACCAAAACTGCATCAAGCGCGGCATTTGCCTGATCAACCGCTTGAACAAGGCGAGGAAACTGAACTTGACTGAGCATATAGTGGCCCAGACAAGGGTGGTCGATGCTGCCGCCAACCTGCGGAATTCTAAGGTTTTGCGGAGCATAGTAGCTAGCATCGCAGCTTCTTCGGGCGTAGTGGGTATTGTGGTCATTCCCGTGGCGGCCATTTGCGCGACAGCCTGCATTTCATACATGAGATCTATCGATACATAGATCGTTATCATGCCACCAATAAGGCAGCAAAGGCCAACGATAAGCCAGCCGTCATCGTAGCCGAATTCCCTCTGCACGGCCAGCCGGATGTAAAAGCGGACCAGGGAACATAACAGGCAGAGTGCAAACAGCGCAGAAGTTATCCCCTAATATTGATATGTTAACTCGAGTTTTTGGCCACGCAGAAAACAGCGTACATACCAAGAAGACTGGCTTCGCAACTCTGGTGCCGGGCGGAGACATTTTGCGATAAGATCAACCAGCGGTGATGATTCCACTTTTTTTGCGCTCGTAGAAAGAAGATATCTCAGCTCGTGGGAAAGAGACACTTGATTCGATTGCGTCGCGATTTAAGGGATCAATGGGACATTATTGCTGAAAGACCGGGGGTGAACACGGAGAATTACCCATCAACGAAAAAGACGATCCCATCCATCTTAAATACAGAAATGAAAGAGACAGGGAGTAAGGAGGGAGTAAGCAACTTGGGATAGGTGTGGAGACAGGCCATCCCCTTTCTAGGCACGCTGCCGTTGATTGGGTGCCCGTGCATCTTGGTTCGCCCCCCAAGCCCCCGAGGCGTGCATGATTTGTGTTGTTCGGAAACCGAGCGACCACACAATTCTCCTCGATCGAATTTAATCTACGTTAACGATTAAGCGACATCTGATCGTGTTTTTATGCCGATTGAGTTCCATGAATAGATATTGAGACTAGGCGATAATAGAATGTACAATCTCGGTCGCGTGCGCTCCAATTCCAAATAGTGTGTACATAGCAGCATCTCGAGAGCGAATGTTGAAAGAAGCACCCAAAGCCAACTTTGTGATTAGGAATCTAAACAGTATCCAATATCACAGAATCTCACCCACTCAACGAGTCCATTTCGACTTCACGGTAATCTCAGCTTATTGCTGCTGATTTATGCAAGTTTGCCTTTTTTTAATCTCGAAGTATGTACTTGTTTGGGACTAGTCTGCTGTGCTTATATCTCCCACTGATTATCCCAGTGACATCCCCGAGAAAGAAGGGTACTAGAAGCAACGCCGCGAACCAGGTGCGATAGAATTGATTTTTTATTATTGGGAGTTTCAGTGTTTCCTACACTCAAAAGGTAGACAGAATGATTTCACAAAAAGTAGACAGGCACAAAAAGATTCACGAGAGTTTTTTGCTTTCGGCACTGGGCAAGGGTGCAACATCCAAAGGTGCAACAGAAGCTGGGGATAATCCTTTCGACCTCTGCAATGCTAGCGCTCCCGACTTATCACTCCCCTGTACGTATCCCCGCGTAAGCCGGGCGGCAGTCCTCCCGACCCAAGTATTACTCTATAGATAGCTAAATATCATGGCAGCATGTGACACTAAACACACGTACAAGGTAGCAATGATCGATGGGTATTTCTGCGATTGATGTTTTGTGTTTTACATTCTATATCCGGCTGGTATACACTAAATGTGTAGAGAGACTCGTGCCTACTGGTGACCTATAGCCATTTCACTCGCCTTCAAACTGCCCACAACGGCAAAGCATATCAAAGGCGTGATGCCATAACTAATCTGTTTCACCAGCAAAGTCAGCAATCGATCCGGCCAGAAACAACTAAACCTCGAACAAGAAGCGAGGTCGAGGAAAAAGAAAAAGGCTGAGAAATAGTTAGAGAGACTTACCGTCAACAGTTTCGCAATGGCCATCTTCTCTTCCTCCTCACAGCCCGTGACGTCGCAAAGCGCCACCAAAAGCATAGCAGGCGGCCCGGTCGGCATCAACATCATCACGAACCAAAGCATAGGATCGTCGCCCAGTAATCCAGTCTTCGTTGCCAACACCCAGATAAACGGGATACTGATCGCAGGCCAGATGAAAAACCGCACGATGGTGATGAATGCGAGGCCTGCTTTCGGCACCTTGCCGCTTTCCTCCCTTGCCTTCATCTTGCGAAGGGACTGACTTAATTTGACGCCCACGACAATGATTTGTGTGGATGCGAAGAGCGATCCGATGTTTTGAATAGAGGAAGTTATGTTGGCATTGAAGTGTCCGCCTTCGTTTGGGGGGTTGAAGAACAGGGTGTGGAGGGCGGGGGTAAGACCGATGATGGCGCCAGCGAGAGCCCCTAGGAGGGGCGCGTTGACGAATTGCAACAGGATGTCTACCACATTTTGAAGGGAAGGTGGGAGGCTCGATATCCAGGCCTGCGAGCGTTTGTAGCCCCGGCGTGTGACGTTGTTGGTCGACTGTACGAGCCGTTGCGGGAGGAGGGAGGTTTCCTCGTCGATGATACCGTCGGGTCCTCTTTCTAATTCGTCTTGTTCCTCTTGTTGTTGTTCGTGTGCGGAGGAGGACGAAGAGTTTGGCTTGACTCCGTTGGAAGAAGGATCTTCTGATTCATCGTCGTCCGCATCTTCATCGTTGGGTCGTAGTAGCACGCGCGGACCTACTGCAAAACATAAGGAATTGCTGACCATGGCATTGATGAGGAAATATGATTCTGCACGATCAAGAGCAGCCGATGCGGTGTCCCCACCGATGACTATGGAGTCCAGAATGCCTGCCGTTTTGAGAGATTCGATGAGGAGGAGTGGTAGACTCGTTGTATTGTTGAAGCCTACTGCTAACTTGACCCAAGGTGGGAATTTGAACACACGGCATGCTATATGTCCGACTAGGAGTGATAACAGCGTGTAAGTGATGGACCAGACTGTACTCGAACGGTCAGTCAGGAACTTTGATAATTAATGAGTGGGAGTTTGAAGAGCTGTGCAACAACACATCACAATCTCTAGATCAGATGGGTTATAGATGGACTAGCCTAACACACGTAGAGAGAATACGCATCGGGATACATACTGATGACAGGAACATAACGCACAGCCGTATCTTGATGCATGTTCGTGCCGATTTTATGGATCAGCAGTGCAGGCAAGAACATTCGCACACAAATGCGCGACACTTCTTTGGCAGCCTTGACGGAGAGCAAGTTGCACTGCGCAGCGACCACTCCGAAGACGATAGTCAAAAGCACTGCGATTGACGCCTGAATGGCGCCCACCAAGGGCACCACGAGATTAGAGGAACTGGTATCCATGTTATATCAACCGCAAACTATAAGGCCATCCAGATGTAAAAGAGTGAATGCGAGGAAAGTGGGAGGAAGTGAAGAAGAGAAGGATGATGGGAAGAGATGATGGTCATGCTTATGTGAACGATAGGATTTGCATGGCAGAGAGGCGCAATGGCTTAGCGGAATCCTTGGAAGTTGCATGGCAGCTGGGCCAATTCGCGAAACTTGGTCCACGTATTCGACATCGATTGTCTATGCGCCTGTCGAGTTGTGTTCAGCAAGGGGTAACGGTGACAGACGGTGCGTGGTTACTACGTCACTCCGCACAGACACCCGCAAACCAGGACCAAGGTAAGAGGTCGCGTGTCTCTTGGCGTTTCTTAGCCTTCAATCTAATCTATCATCATCAACGATTTCCATTGCCCTCTTCATCTTCGTCTATCCTATAGAGGCTTAACAAATCTCTGCCAAATCTCCAAAAAATCCATCCTATCCAACTCGGACTGGAACTTGATTTCGAGCTCAGAGTATCCGAAGCGATTGAGGTTTCCCGCCCCGCTTGGCTTCTTGCCCCCAAACATTGACTTGGCTGAGGACGCCGTGCTTTCGCGTCTGAGCGTGCCAGGGCGGCCTCCGGTTTCTTGATTCACACTGCTTTCCGAGGTCTTGGATGAATTTCTCCGCACCTTATGTCTTGACCATCTCCCAGGATCTTTGGACACAATGAGCTGCAATTTCTTCTCCCTGGCCGCACTTCGCTTGTATACCGAGGCGTCAAGCCATTGAAATATGTAGTGGGGTTCTTCCACCCAGTGCGCTTTTTCGTCCTCAAGCGCGCTCGTGTAAAAAAGAATGACGAGAACTTCGATAGTTTCAACGCCATTGAGCCCCACCCGTATCTCGTTCCTCTTCCACAGTCTCAAATTTTTACTACGGCACTCTGGTTTGTTCAAGTCTGATGAGATTGTCGAGATGGGGCGATCGAACAGCAACTCTGCGGGGTCCTTGCCATTGTTGGTGTAAAGCAACGTCTGGAAACGAGCGCTCGCTTCGGTGCCGGTGATGGTATATTTGACGTCCAAACACCCCTTGTCCAACTTTCCGAAGGACGATCGTGGGAAGTCGATCGAAACGTCGCCATCCCGATACGACGTGGTCAAAGGGATACTGGGCCCCGTAGCCAGAAATTGCTGTGTAGTCCACGTCTTGACCTCTTTTGTGGTCGACGACCGATACAAAGCGCGAATCGAGATTCCGGCGTCATCTCGAAATCGCCACTGTAGATCACATACTCTGCTGTCAACACCCCGCATCGTTGTTCGCTCAACAACAACTTTGTGGCACAGTCTGTTCCACTGCAAGGCTCCCGGTCCAAGAGCAATGCTCATCAATGATGCAGCCGACATCCTTCGTCGGAGAGAGCGACCCACATCCTCGGGGCTCGTGTCCGCAGTACTAATACCTGGACCGGTTGAAAAATGCGATCTAGGAGATGTACTGAGATCGGAATATGTGGTTGATACAGAAGGGGTACGTCCAGGAACAGCTTGAGGCCTAGAGGATGATGGAGATGCCGTTGGTGAAATCCGACCCCAATCGATTGGTTCAAAATTCGATGATGGGATCTGTGGACTGCCTGACGGAGAAGCAGCTTGCGACGTCTGCTGGGGCGATAGGCGGATGGTCGCTGTCGAGTCCACCATGGAAGTGTCGTAATTTTCAAACCGCGAAAACAGCCCTGAATGATCCGTGTCGAGCGTATATGTCCGTTGGGGAGCTGGAGGAGTATTTCTGACCTCCTGACGTACCGCTTCACTGGGTGAGAGATGAGTTCTCTTTCCCACGGCGGTCCGCTTCGCACGATTCTCCGCGATTGCGTTGGCATCTTCCAGTTCACGGCGGAGATGATAGAAAACGGCGTCCGTTTGATCATCCCGACTTGGGGCTGCTGAAGGTGTGTCTCCGAGGGACAGCGGCCTGTTTAGAGTGCCCCCTTCTGCCACAAGCTGTTCATCCTGACTCTTCAGCCATCGGTTGAAGATCAGATAGTCTTTGTACAATTGATCGGCATCAGATAGAGGGGGTAGCGCAAGAGGTTCAGTTCGGGAGGAACTGCCGATGGCGTTGGTTGTGTAATATTGCCCACCAATGCTTACAGATCGAAAAGGCACCATATCCAGCAGCCGATGTGTTTGTTTCGTGGCTTCCACCTGCAAACGTCTACATGGTGTCAGGACTGGAGATGAGTCAAGAGGGGAGTGTTGTCTTACAAGTTCAAGAAACTGATGCACAACTGCAGGGACTGGCAGTGACCGTTGACCAAAGAGCGCAGGTTCTCAATCTCTTTCTCTTTGCCCATGTATTTGATGGTGTATATGAACTTCTTCACACTCATCTTACGGTCGACCAGGTTCTCTTTGTAGGGCTCGATTGTGCTTTCGCAGCGCTCCAAGGTGCTCTGAAAGTCATGATAGGAGAAGGGAAGCGGCTTTCCATACTCCTTCATAAGCTCCGCTAGCTCGACCAAGCAATGATGGAAAGCAGTGTACTCGCGCACGAGTCCCACGACCTGGGACTCGGAGCAGTTGTTTGCATCTGGTCTTGATCAGTATCGGGGTTCCCTCCTTGATTACCTATCATTCCCCGTGGCCTTGGACATACCGTTGAAAGCAACGTAGACACGGGCGGAGATCTGGACGAGATTGATAACGTCGCCGATGCTGTAACCAAAGGACATGATGAGACGAAGCACTATGGGCCGCGCTGGAGCGCCGCTCTCTGTGGAAGGTAAGTTTCGCTCATGCACTGAATACGGAAAGTGACGACGGGAACGACGGTCGCAAGGTCAGGCTTTCACTGGCAAGCCTACGCTGAGCAGCTTAAGAGAGAGCTCCCCACTATGCGTCGCTTACACGATGGTGCTTCCTGGCTCGCAAGGCGTCAAGGAGCGGGGGCGCAGCGATATTGCCTGGAGATATGCCTCCATGGCTCCCTCGACACTACCCATGTACCGGGGCAGGGCAAGAAGGGCGCTCCCAGCCATGAGTGACCCCAAACCATATCAAGCGATTGGGGCTGATACATGTGCTTTTGAATGGCCGGATGCTCGTGTTCGAACTTGGTGGGTGCGGAGCTGGTATACACGGGTCCAAATACCCATAGTGGAGGCCACGGTGGTGATGGTCAATCAGAGCGTCTGACACGCACACGTGGGGGTGAAGCTGTCACGACTCGTCAACTGGAATCACCAACATGCGCACTCGCAGGATTCACTGAATCCGAACTCTCGCAACCACAACGGTCGGCGCCCATCTGGAACCTTCAGCATCGCATCCTGACTCGTCCTGTACCTGCATTCCACGCTTCTCGTGGCCAGCGGGGCCCTGCCCATGACTTGACCCACCAGCTAACGCGGCCACCCACACGGAAACGTGGACCCATGTGCCAACAACCTCACCGCGCAACAAGGCAAACACGAGGCCACCCTGTGTCTCTCCATCTCAAAGGTGGCGGCGTCGCTTGCCCGTCTCGCTGCGCATTCATCGGATAGAGGTTTGGCGCCCATCTCTGCTTTCGGATACGATCGTGTCGGCACACCCTCGACTTGTATGCTTCACCGGTTCGCTCTGATTGAGCCTGGGGCGATGCTGCCCTGCATCGGTTGCCGATATTTCCTCGTGCAATCAATAATGGCGGAGGCTGAGGCCTTCCTCGTCGTGACCCATATCAACATCAATTTCCTGCTGCTGCTACCTCTTGTATCCAGACTTCCATCGCCCAACAGGTCCTTGATTGCTACAATCTCTTCATTTTTGATCGGCGCAAAAGTGTCTCACCACCGGTCCTCTCTCCATTGATCTGCAGGCTCCAACGAAACCATCAACATGGGCCTTCGAAAATGGCTCGGCCGACCAATGAGAGGCCACCATCTGGGTGTCGAAGATTTGACCAGAGGTGATGAAAGTGTTCCCGTACGTATGCCATTTTCTCTTCAACTGCCTTTCGGTCCTGGTGCTCATAGATTTTGCTTCTCTTCGTCGTAAGCCCATAGACTGATACAAAACCAGGTCGCCAAACGTCGGGAGTGGGTGCTCGTGGCCATCGACGATGCGCCTTTCCAGGTATGGGTTGTCGTCGTAGCAGGTATCGGCTTTTTGACCGATTCATTCGGTCTGTTCTGTCTCAACGTCGTGACTCCCATAATTGGTTATGTTTACTGTACGACACTCCACCCCGTTCCTTCCCATCTTCCATCTCACGCGATTACCTAATCTTGCACCCCACGTGATCAGACTATCATGGCCTGCGTCACGTCTGCACCCGAGCATTCAATCCATCTCTCTTTCATCCCATTTGCATTTCAACTCATTCTGCGTCTTATTTGCTTTCTTGGGCTGACACTTAATGCAGGGCCCGGTCTGCGCGGATCGGAAAACGCACAGGCCTTTCATTCGGTCAAAACCGCCATGTTATGCTCAACTCTGGCAGGTAGTATGATCGGCCAGGTGGCATTTGGATTCGCTGCCGATTTTTTGGGTCGAAGAAAGATGTATGGGCTCGAACTGGTCATCATCATCGTAGGGACAATGCTCATGATCATGAGTTCTAAAGGCGAGCAGAGCAGCATGGCCGTCGGAGGATGGTTGATTACCTGGAGAGCAATCATGGGCTTGGGGATTGGAGCCGACTATCCGCTGAGTGCAGTCATCACAGCTGAGTTTGCGCCGAAAAGGCACAGAGCCCGAATGCTGAGCTGGGTTTTCTTCGCCCAACCGCTCGGTCAACTCTTGGCAAACGTGCTTTCTCTTGCAGCAGTGAAAGGCTTTGAGTCATCCATGATCACCAAAGACCCAAAGTGTCCGGATCCTGGTCAGCCGGGAAGCCTTGAATGCTTCAGATCCCTAGATCGTCTTTGGAGGCTGGTGATCGGTCTTGGTATGATACCGGCGGTTGTCGCTCTGGCTTTTCGCTTCACTATCCCCGAATCGCCACGCTACAAGCTTGATATTCTACGCAACGTGCAAACAGTTTTCGAAGACACAAAAGACTACTTTGGCGGGCTGGATGGCGAAGTTCATGAGTTGGATCCTCTCTCCACCACAGCACCTGCTTCTGCTTCACTCCCGACAGCGGAAATCTCTTCATCACGAACTTCACTCTCTTCCGAGATCGGGCCCGATGAAGTGGTGATGGGCTCTGACAGCGATTCCGAACGGCGAGCAAGCTCTATATATCCTATACCGGCACCTCGTACAGTCGAAGTCTCACCTGGTGATCCGAACCACGTTCCGCCGTTAGCTTCATGGGCCGACGCCAAAAACTTCTTCATCGTTGAAGGCAACTGGCAATACTTAGCCGGTACTTCGCTCTCTTGGCTGTTTCTCGACTTCGCTTTCTATGGTCTAGGGCTATCTTCTCCTGATATTCTAGGCTTGATTCGTCTGGATTCGACAACCTCAATCTCAAAACTCCTGTTCAACAACAGCGTCAACGCGCTCGTCTTGGTATCAACGGGAGCCATAATTGGGGGAGCCCTGATGATCATAGTCATCCGCTACGTATCGCCCAAGAAAATCCAATTCTGGGGCTTCCTCGTCCTCTTTGTACTCCTCATCGTCACGGGCGCCGCTTGGCCGAAACTGATTGATCCAAAGCAATCGCCCGGACGGCGGCGCTTACTCGAGTTTCTATACGTGCTGATTCAGATCGCCTTCAATCTTGGTCCAAATGTCACTACCTTCATTATTCCAGCCGAAATCTTCCCGACGAGATACCGATGTACGTGCCATGGCATTGCGGCGGCGTCGGGAAAGCTTGGCTCTTGGGTCGTCCAGATCTTCATCGCCTATACCTTTAGTGACCCAAAGAAGAAACAGGACGAAGAGCGCGAGCAAGAGAGGGAAAGATTTGGGCAGGTGCTGCTGGTCATGAGCGCCTTCATGGTTGCTGGCGCGATCGTTACCTGGTATTGGATCCCCGAAACGAGAGAGAGGGGGGTGGAGAGTCGCAGTTTGGAGGTGTTGGCGTGTGGAAAGAAGAAGCTCGACGAGATCAACAAGCTACCCAGTGTTGAGAAGCAGTGATCGCGCGAAAGGGCTTTTGCGATGTTTTTTTTCCAACCAGACTGTTTCCAAATTGTATATGAATAGATGTGTTATCCATTTCCATGATGAAACCACCTCCTTCAACGTGTCCCGTCTGGACGCATGACTGAAAACTCCCAGCTGATGCTAAACGCTTCTCTCGTCCCATTGATCACGTGCGCGAATTCAATTTTAGTGGAGTCAAAGGGATGGTGAGTCCAGCATACATCCACAGATTCCAACTTCACAAGCACGCCTAACAACCATGACGCGCATCAAGTCTATATGTGCATAACCACGAAATCAATAATCACTCCACTTTCTCAGCTTTAAGAACCCAGTTTTTGCAGTATGGTATACCGCAGTGACATATTTCGTTCACCGCTACACACCAAAAGTAGTTAAGCATATAGTTAAACAATAGACTTGGCCAAGTCGACAGGTAAAACTACACGGGAGAATAAAAACTGCAGCTGATCGGCAAAACCCGCTTCTACACTCAACCCCAGATGTAACCATCGCAATCACATTTTTCCTCCGCGTATGAGAAAAATCTGGAGCACGCATGTAAAGCATCGCAATATCAAACATCGTTGCAATTCACAATCACCCCAAAAAACAACAACCAAAAATAAGCTTAGTACGTACCCCCATCCATATCAGACATACCCTGTTCATTATAACCCTGAAACAAGGTCATCGGGAGCTAGAAATCCTGTCTGATTCTACCCGTGTCCCCCCACAATCTCTCAAAACGGCATTATTCAATAGCTTTGGAATTCGATTCCGGGGTCTCGGATATGCAGCAGCTTATTCTCCCGAAAAGACTGTGCTGGAATCTTGCGGCGGGGAAGTGTGCGATGACGCAGTGCAATATCGAGGGATTCCAAGGTAGGATAAACTGGAGAGTGGGAACAGCCCGCACTTTAACAGGACATGAATAGAAGTTTCTTGGTGAAGACAAGTCAGGCAGCGTTGGTAGATTATTTTCTTTTGTAAAAGGAGCGGATTATATTTTAAAGATTATACACAGATACTAAGGAGTGTTTGTTCCCGGTGCTAACTCATAACCAAAAGTCCCAAATAATAACAAGAAGACGGAAAAATAAACTCCACGCTATGCGACCGGAATATGCGGGCTAACAACAACCCATGCTTTCTTTGATATCGTTTCCAAGCTTTTCCCCTCCGCATTCATCATATCTATATGAAAGCAGAGGTCATGCAAAAAAAAAGGAAGGAATTTACAAGCCGCAGTTGCTAAGAGCAACCTGGGCATACTGAGCATCGACACGGCCAACAGCCTCAGCCTGGCCGTTGGTCAAGTCGTCCATGGCGCCTTTGGCCAAGTTGAAGCCAGCAGCGCGGTCGATGGCGAGGACGTAGATGGTCTTGCCGTTGTAGGTGACGCCGTAGCATGTACCGCACTACTCTCACTGATTAGAAACTGTTGCGTGGAGAAAGATGTGGGGAGGGAAAGTGGGGACTCACCTGTGGGCTGTTCCATCCGGCGACACCCTCATAGCCACCGATGTAGGGGAAGCGGGCAATGGAGCCCTGGTTTTGCCAGCCGTACTTTGTGATGAGGCCGTTTGCGCCGTCGGAGCACGAGACGGCGGTCAAGGGGCGAGCGGCATCGTCGTAGCCGGTGTCGTAGGAGACTGTTGTGGATTAGATTGAGCGAAGATTTGGCGGGTTTTGGAGTAGGAGCGCTTACCAGTGATGGCGGAGGCGAGGGAAGCAAAGCCGATGACGGCGGCGGAGATGGCGTTGGTGAACTGCATTTTGGATAGAGATGGGATTTGAAGATTTGTTTTGGAAGATGTAGTGGCGGTTTTGGGAGGTTTGAATGTGAAGTGGATGTATTGAAGCTGTGAGTTGATTGATTGTGATGAGGCTATTCTACCTGCGCACCTCGCTCTCTTTATACATTCTCCCTACGATGCAAGTTGACCATATTGGTATCCTGCTCCCCGTTTATTTCCCATGTCGCATTGACGTGGTCGACACTATCGTGAGCTCGTGCGAGGGACGATCCAGGGCGTCCAAGATGGAATTTATTGACACCAAACCAAAGAAAGCGATCAGCTGACCTCTGTATAGCAACCGCCGCCTACCAACGGGGCCAGGTGAGCTCATAGCGTTCAGGGTACGGGGGTTTTAGATCTAGTGGTTGGGGATATATTTGGAAAGGTTTGCTTCACTAGGGCTCTTTTGGGCTAGACAAGCGAACAGCACCGCCCGACGCTACTAATGGGTTACATCGGAAGGACACTGCAACGGGCATTTTCTGGGGCGATCAATAAAACACCACGCTCCCGTGAGAGTCGATCGCAGGCGTCCATGGTCAGAATACGGTGCGTGGTGGTCAATCTCAAACGGCAACGGTCAAGACAGCGAATGACCGGGCGGGTTCGGCAAACCGATGACATAGTACAACAGTGAGGCATCCGATCTGAGATAATACTTAGCATGTAAGTACACGGTCCTTCTCTCGCAATATCGAAAACGCTCGACCCCTATGTCAAGCCACAGGGTAACAAACACACACACACACCGTTTTTTCCTTATATGGGGAAAAAGTTGCTGTAACCATGTAGAGCATTGCCGTTTCTATCAAACTAGACAGGCTGCGTTAGAGACGTGACATCCGCTTTGGTAACGAGATCTTCTAAACTGTTTCCCTGGAAGCTTCTGAGCATGTCAAGCTAGTGGTTTTGACCCTGCATCTGTTTTACGCCGGCCTGAAGCTTCTTCAGATCCATCCCTGAACAACGACTGTGAAAGTTAGCCTTTTGACGAGATCGTAGACTTTCGTTCAGGACAGTCGAAGACAGACTTGATATACTGTCATAGTGGAACATGCAACATGCGCTGGTAGGAACAATAAGCTTCCTGCTGGGAGTATTAGCTGATAGGGACACTAAATTCTTGGGTGGGTCGTAGGCCGGGGTACTCTAGAGTCACGTGATATACTTGTCGCCCGGGCGGTGCCGAAAGCAAACCCCACAAGACAAGGCTTCCCTGAAAAGACAGTTCCGATTTACCCTATCGTTTTTGGGCCAGTGGACTGCTTCGTTGAATTGAACATGTCTCGATGTAGTCAATGACGTAAATATGTTCCCCGTTGAGTCTGCGATTACACACAGCAACCCAAACTACATCTGTATCAGTTGATTCAAGCTGACAGAGATCAATAAGGCGACCATTTACTAATGACATTGATACGCTCGACCCTAAATGATTTACACCCATGTGTGACGTCATATTACATTTTTGTTTTCTATTCTAAGTAGTCTATTCGAGCTATTCTATACAATAATATTTCCCTTACAATCGTCTCTTTGTATGCAGATCTACCCAATGCGATGACCTAGAACAAGAACTTCTGCTTTCGATAGATGATTGGCGGCAAAGCCTCGATATCCTCTACACTTCCCCCATGGGGCGTGTAGTGTACCATTGCAGGTCTTTCGATATGTGACTCAACCATAGACAGAGGTGCCTCATCGAGGTTCACGTAACGGTCGTTCTGACGCGCCAAAGATTTCCCCCGAGCCTCTGCTTTCCTAGCTGGCCAGACCCTTGATGAAAGTTGAGATGTGTGCTGTGTTGCTGGAGAAAACGACTGATGTGATGACAAGCGTTCTCGGATTGCTTGAGCGAGAGGGGCATGGCGGAACCAATATGCTGCCGATGGCGTACACGCACAGATGATTCCAATCATAGCTTCGACGAGACTGCAGTACCCAAGTGTAAGCGAAATCGATCTGGTGGTATGGAAAACTAGGGGAGGATGACTGACAACACGAGATCAACAACAGCAATATTCCAGTTCGCATCCGACACATGCAGCAGGAATCCCCGATAGTATAAGCTCAGTGCTGAGCATACACAAGCCCTTATACTGTTAGCCTGATTTCATCAGAGTGGTCTCCTTGTCTTACAATGATCCGGAGAGGAACACCAATGCTGCGCCGAACTTTCTTCTCTTTGGCATACGAAGATTTGTTACCGCAATGATAGGAAGAACAAGTATCAACAGATCAAGAAGAAACCCAAACGTGGACAGAGCTATACATTGCGCGACCGAGCCGTGATGGATACGTGTATCGAAATGCTCGCCCGGGCGGGGGACCGCGAAGTTGATGAACAGGATGGCGAATGTGAGATATACACAGAGCGCTAGGATCAAGCCGATCCACGAAAAAATGAGAATCCACTTGAGCGTGCGAAATAATTGCAAGTAAAGTATGAAGAAGCTGGCTTTGAGGAACGCGAAGGTAATTGGCGCTAAGGCAAGATCGATGAAAGAGGTCTAGAGATTTGGCTTGATGCATTAGAATATTAATCATACCTAGAGGACGATGGGCGTCAAAACTTACAACCCGATAGTCCATGGTGTAGTAGGTCAGTATATTAATGTCCCATGAGTGGATCCCAATTTTGCCCTTCTCAACACCTTAACGAGTGATATTAGCCATATGATTTTGGTCCAGTGGGTTCGAACATACCCCACAGCGTCGCGCCAATGTGCACCATTGTACACATCTGCAGCTGTTAGGAACCACAAAAGATTGAGTCGCGCAAGAAGACATACCACAGCCATAAGCAAGGTTGCTAAGACCAATCAGTAAATCTCATCAATAGAACGAGTTATTACAGAGCAACAACATAGACTTGCTTACCATCATCCCAAGTGAGCCTTCTTTTGAGCCCGAATTTTACATGGCAACGAATAGCGACAAAAACGAGCACGAAAAATAGTAGTATCGATGTAACGACTTCAATCGACATATTCAGACTAACGGGATTCTCGAAATTCGATCTGGCTCCGGGTGGTGGCTGCTCGGCAGGCACGTGGGATAAGATCGCGTGATCCTGTGGCGTAAGATCATGATAGTTTGTGGCGAGTTTCTTCAGCAGCCGCTGAACCTCTGCTTCCGCCATGGTGTTCGACTTTTGATGTGCTGAGAGCACGGTGGCGCTGATACATGTGTTAAACAGAGTAGGAACGAAAAAGTGCGGAACTCAAGCTTGTTGCTGTATTGCGTTTCAGCACCATGCGAATTTGTGTGTAAAGTAAGTGAAGGATCATTAAAGTCTTATAGTTCTTCCCTAGTTTACGTGATTCTTCTTCGCACATCTGATCAGCGGTCAAGTTTTACAGGATAGGCTGAAGATTAAGACATGCTTTCGCTTCGGAGACCGACAACCTGCAATCAACCCCCCCACACGAATTCGCCTTCCTCGCCTTCCCCATCTTTGCTCGATGTCACGACTTCACTTTTCGCCCCCTCTGTTTCATCTACAGTTTCAACCATGTCGCCGATAATGTATTCAGACTTCTTGTGTCCTATCGTGTAGGTATCTTTCTTGATGCGAAATATAGTGAGAAACAACATATTTCACGATCTCTCTCGCTCGCAGTACCATAAACAGAGCCCCCAACAAACTACAGTTTATTGGATGTCTCTAAGAATGTAGCCCGTCACAACGTCAACCGAAGACCACGCGTAATGCGCCGTGGAACATCGCGATCACCAAAGCAGGCAATCGCAGGCCATCAAAAGTTCCCAGGGGTGGCATAATTAACTACGGCAGTGCTCTTGACGCAAAGATGTCTATCTCAACTGTACTCCGTCCAATAGAAAGAGACCTTCTTGTCAAATTCACATCGGGGTTTGAATCAGCCTTGAACCTCGATTGACATCACGTGATTAATCCCAAAGCAACAGAATGAATGATGGATAACCCGAGTCCTAGGGTCCTAAACAAATCGTGGTGGGTTAAGAGATACGTACTTTTCGAAATCGTGACCCATTACAGGCTTTCCACGTATTCAACACAGCCCCAACAATGAATGCCTAGGTATTCTTCATGCGCAAACCCATTACGAGAAAGGCAGTGGCAAAAAGAAAGAGAGAAAAGGCAACCGACAGTGCATATACGAATGGCAAATTGGGCAAGGTTTGACTAATTGGGAAAGTGGTGGACTTCTTAAAGGTGGACAGGCATCTGCAAAGCGGGGTTAATATGAAGAATGCGATCTTCACTCGTCAATAAATCACGGGTACAGCCGCTGGCATTGCGATTGTGCCAGGATGTCTCGGAGAGTTTTGCGCGATTAGTCAAGTGCAAGTCGCCCCCCGATTCAAACAGAGTGTCTGATTGCGCATGTGCAGAGTCGACGCATATTGGGCAGACATCCTTCAGTGGGTGAGCTGTGGGATGGACTGATAGGTCATGACTTACACTCAATGAACATTCTAATTTCCCTAGCAGACACCGAAGGATGCCGCACCAGTGCTACCGGCACGAATTAATCCTAGAGGAAGGAAAAGACTAGAATATGCTATACTTCAACCTCTGTACCTTGAGACTCTTCGCAAAACAGCGCATCAGTGCTACTAACGCACTCACCGACTACCCCTGGCTGGCTGGCTGGCTGGCTGACACATTAAACAACTCAGCGGCCCTACTCTTCTTGTGTATATGTTCAATTTCATCCTCGTGATGAATTTGCAACACGGCATCACTGAGAGTGATTTCATCACTTGCAGATGTTTTTGATCCCTACTCTTATACTCTCAATCCCAACCTTGCAATTTTGCGTCTTTTCTTTTGGAGTTGTTCAGCTCGGAAGAGTTCATTTTAGCAAGTTATACAAGTCCTCTCGCCGTCCAACCATGCTCTCTTCTTTCACCACTACCCCCGGTCCAAAAAAAAAAAAAAACACTGACACGAAAGCCCTCGTAACATAGACCAAACGAGAGCTAATCGCCCAATCATTATTTTCTCGCGTTTCAACAATTAAGTTTTTCTGGTATATGATTTTGACAGATGGTCACCATTTGCAAGCAAACAGCAAATCTCAATGCGAACAAAGAGCAGTCCGCACAACGTCATCTAACAGACATCCGCATGCAATTGTTAAATAGGATATAGGATTAATATGATCCATCACACGCACTGCTGGATATTCTGCCTACGTCTTTTGGTTCTTGGGAAGAAAAAGTGAATATTCTCATATGCTGCAGCACTTGGTGTGATACGGACATTGTATTTCCCAGCTCAGAAAAAGCCAAAGTTATCTACATCCCAGATGCATCCCGTCACCTAATCCCCTACCCCAGCTAAATTCAAGTAGCTCAAGCTGTCCCTATCACTTTCGATGTATCTTAGCTACAAAATAAACTCAGGAATCTCCACACCAAAGTCCTTTGCTTCATTTATCACCGTCTCCCTGGTTTCTTTATGCGCGGCGCTGTTCAGGTACCTCCCGGTATGAACCCATAGCTGTTCACTGTTCACCGGGAATTCACTTTCGTAACTTTCCAATTCTTCTGCCCACTCTTCTCTTCGTTCATTTCCGGGAATACCGGCGTATTTGCTTCCAAACTCGTGGGCACCAGATTCCAGCATCGTAAAAGCTATAGCTGTCCGCGCATTGATCATCCCCATATCCTCGGACCCTATATAGTCAGCTATGAAAGCATCGAACTCACTCGACATCTGTTCACTCATGATTCTCACGCTGCGCATCCCCCAGAACGCAGCTTCTCCGTATTCCCCCATCCGCAAGTAAGCCAGCACACAGCGGCTGACGAGACGAATTCGAAGGATAATGCGGATCGCAGAGCCCATTTGACCTTTGAAGCGGCCTTCGGTGATGTTCTCGTGAAAGTAGGCATCAGCCAGAACACGACGTTTACGGCCGTCGATGAGGATGTGCATGGCGTGGAAAGCAGCAAAGAAGCTTTCGAGAGCAGATCGTGCAGTTCCAATGGTCCTGGGGGTGATGGATAAAAGTTCGTCACCTTTTTCGATGAGTGTGATACACTCTTCGAAACATTCGTGAACCGGTGGATATGGGGCTGCCATGGCGGTGAGCAGGTCGTCCTCGACAGATTTGTCGAAGTGGGCTAACTGGGTACCCGACAAGCCCTTGATTTTCCCAAATGGCAGAAGTAGGCGCTTTTGCATATCGAGAGGTATTGTCGACTTTTCATCATCTTCTAGAATATTGCTAGAAGTGCCTCGTTGCTCCAGGTTTCGCGCGGTGCATTTCAGATTCAGCGCCTCGTTCAGGCCTGGATATGTGAGGCCTGAATAGAACCACGTCTGTGCGAACTGTGGAATATCGTCCAATAGCATAATCATAGGATGCTCAGACTGATCAGGATCTTGATGCGACGAAACTTCGAGGAGAAACGCATGCTCTTTAAAATTTGATGCACGCGGGCCATATGCAACGATAGGTACAAGACCTTCATTGGAGATGTGATGGACTGGAGTAGGCAAGCACGTCAGACATGGATATCAAGCGGCGTTCGTTGCGGGGAGACAATTGTGTTAACGATGAAAGATAGTAACCGACGTACCAGCGTTAGGCCAGAGAGTCTGCAGCCGAACAAAGTATGCAAACTTCCTTCGCCATAGATTGTGTGCTTCCAAATGGACTTGTTTGTTCACACGCAAGAGGTCAAACTCGAATCGGTACAAACCTCCGGCGAAGTTGGAGACATCTAGCCGGTCCGCGGGTCGGAAGTAGTACGAGTAGATATGCTCCCTCAGCTCCAAAGGCAGACGAAGAAATAAAGACCTGGGCTCTGCCATCGTGCGGGGAATCTGACGAGAATCCGCGTGTAATCAACTGACGCTAAAGGCATGAAAGAGAGAGAGAGAGAGAGAGAGAGAGTGGGAAGGAGGGGAAAGAGGTGATACCGAATGCCTCGGTCGGTCTAACGCTGTTCTGTGCTAGTTGAAGTTACAGCAGTCGACCGATGTCGTAAGTCCCGGTGTGATGACTTTCACAATCAATCGCGAACACATGTTTTCCACTGCCTGTGACTTCCATGGGTACATATCACCTAGGAATAAATTCCCTTTTATTCGATGACGGGAGGGTCCGAAAACAAACAAGGTGAACGCCTTTGTGGTATCGTACACTTTCATCTTCTCGGAATACATCTGCTACTCTTACATGGAACTAGATCACCCGTCCCCAACTATGTGCCATACGACATTTGATGAATAAAGTACATATATTAGACATGATAAAGGTTTTGTTCGTCTCCGCAGCGCCGCCGGATATGCAATTCGTTTTTCAGCAAAACAGTCTTTCAGAGAAGATAACCTCAAGAGCCCCTCCAAGATGCTCCCTACACACCCACCAAGAGTATCTATCTTTGTTGTGATGGTGGTGCTGTGGCGTTTTCTGGCGATGCCTTCTCGGGCAGCGCAGTGTTAGCGGCGTCCTGGGCGGCAGCACTACTTCCGAAGAAGCCCAGCGCGCTGTTCTTCATGCTCTTTATTGACTCTTCCTGCATCTTCTTCTCCTCAGCTTCACGCTCCTTGAGATACTTTTCGCCGTTGGTGCGAATCTCCCTGTCGAGCTCCTCGTAATTCTTGCGGCCAATATCGCGGAACATGTCAATCATCATCTTGCCTTGTGCCATACCCTCGGACATGTTTGTGCCGTCCGCCAGGATCAGACCACCTTGTTTACCCAACCCAAGCGCGCCGGTCAAGAGTCCACCGACCTTGCCGCCTCGCTTCCCTTTCTCGGCTTCGAGATTCTTGAGGTGCTCTGCGCGAAGCTTAGCTTCTCGGCGCGCAAACTCGGCAGGGATTTCCTTTCCTTCCATTGACTTGAGAGCATGTCGCACATCAAAGTTGCCACCTTGTTGTAGCATAGCCAGGTATTCGAGGAAGGGAATCAGAGAAACGAGGCCGGCGTCGCCAGGCTGCCCTTTCCACTTGGGCAGCACAATGGCATTCTCGGGCTGTAGCTTCACGTGCGAAGGATCCGTGTCGACGATGATGGTCTTGGAGAGGTCACGATTGAGGCAGGAGAGATCCTGAAACCTGTTAGCACGTAGGCCAATCCCTAGAATTTGTAACATACCTTGATGTACTCGCCCTTCTCGAAACGAGTCGCCTCGCGAAACAACGGCCACATGACAAGAGCAAAGGGATCCAATTTGCGGATAATAGGGTCAGCGTCCATAGACTTGACCGACGTGAAAATGACGAGCTCATAGTACTGAGACAGATAGCGGAGGAAGTAATCAACACCAGGGCGCTTTGCTGTTCGCCAGCCATGTTTCGTAGACCATTCAGAGTGCACAAGCAAGTCCTCCAAGCTTAGAACAAGAGTCAGCGGCGGGGCGGGATCCATGTCGGGGAGCAGCTTAGGGAAAGTTGGCTCGGTGTAGTAGCCCAGTTGACCATTCATTCGCGCAACCGCACGCTTGTACATGGCATCGGGTGACCATCCTTGGGGAGCATCAGGGTTCGCCTTAATCTCCTCCTCGGTATCCCACTCCCTAGCAATGTATACAGTGCTTGTGATTCCAAAGAATGCAGCAATTGCGTAGGACCAGCTGGCCACGCGATTCCGCCTTCGGTCTGTGCTCGTCTCGTAGGCTGATTTGGGAAGCTCTCGGCCTTCGCGACTGGAGCCAGACTCCTTTGCGGGGTCTTCAGTGCTGCTGTCTGGGTCTCTGGCATCTCTGTCAGCCTGTTCCTGGGCTTTGGCAAACTCGGCAGCGAAGGTTGATGGGATTCCTTGTCGCAGGTCAGGCAAAGGCTTGTGGTTCTCTTCGGAGCTCTCGGCTGCCGAATCAGTATTATGTGCGCTCTGGTCGGCAGCTGATGTCCTGCCAGGCCCGGGGGCTTCTGTGGGGGTGGTGTTGCGGTCGGGTGTAGCTGCGGCGTCAAACTCGGGCTGCTCGCCTGGATTGACGGGGTTTGGTGTTTGCTTGTCTTCTTGGTCGAACTTGATGGGGTCGGTCGGTTTCCATGTGTTGTCGCGGCCTGGTTTGTTTGCATAGAAGCGCAATTGCGATGTTGTCGAGGCGATGGGAGCTATGCGCGGAAACGTCGAGGCGGAAGTGGTGGCCGATGTACGCAGCAGCGCGCGGCAAGCTGCGCGTGATAGCATTGCGTAGAAGGAACGAAGGTAACCAGATGTGAAAGAAATTCGGGGAGCTGATAAGTGGGGAGACAGAAATTATAAAGTGATGGATAGATGGATGGACGGGTGGAGGAAGTACAATTACAAGAAGGAAGAAGCAGGCCGCAACTGGGTCGGACGATCGATCATGACGCTCCCGCCGACAAAATTATTGTCCCATAGCTTTCCCGACCAACCACACTAGGCCGTTTTCGAAGCCATCGTCAGTCACGTGAGCGATGCGGCACCACATGCACCGTGGACCCCGAACGGCAAGGTGTCACTTTGATTGCATTCCCTCTGAACTTGCTATCCATCCCATCGTCCTCAGCTAGGCACTTGCAGACTTATTAATAATAGCAGCCAGCCCTCGACATGGACTGCGCTTCGCTTCCCCAACAACCCACCACGTAGACCTCTTCGCTCCCCTCTTCTTCTCTACTCATTGCCCATCTTTTTGTCAGACCCATGTCGCTCGCTGCGTCGGGTCGATTTTGGGCATGCAACCGACTGCCGCTTCTCCATGGCGAGTTGCGCTCGCGCCGTTCTGGCATCTGATATGTCTCTGCCTGCTGTGCACGCTCTGCTGGGTGACACCCGCACATGGCATGACCGATAACGCCATTGCCCAGCTGAGACAGGAAACACTCGACGTCTTCTACCATGGGTTCGATAACTACATGGAGCATGCCTTTCCCGAGGACGAATTGCGCCCATTGTCTTGTACCCCCCTCACGCGCGACCGCCAGAACCCCGCCCACATAGAAGTGAACGACGTCCTGGGCAATTATTCCTTGACCCTGATAGACAGCCTGTCGACCCTCGCCATCCTCGCATCTACACCGTCCCCCACAAGCGACGGCAGGAATCAGCCGCTCGACGACTTTCAAGATGGCATCATGCTTCTCGTGGAACTCTATGGCGATGGCTCGGCGGGCGAGGCGGGGCAGGGCTCCAGATCCCGGGGATTCGATCTGGATAGCAAAGTGCAGGTCTTTGAGACTGTCATTCGAGGTGTGGGAGGCTTGCTGAGCGCACATCAGTTCGCTGTGGGGGATCTGCCAGTCCGTGGCTATGATAGCAGCCCTCGAAGCCATATGGGCAGGGAAGGAATATTTTGGCCCAACGGCCTGGTCTATGATGGTCAGCTCCTTCGTTTGGCCACCGACCTCGCCAATCGACTCATGCCTGCGTTCCACACCGTGACTGGCTTGCCTTATCCCCGCGTGAACCTCCGCTATGGCGTCCCATTCTATGCCAACTCGCCCTACAATAATGATGCTGAATATGGTCAGTGCGGAACCACTCCACGAAACGACGCTCACGAGATCACCGAAACGTGCAGTGCAGGTGCGGGGAGTTTGGTACTTGAGTTTGCCACCCTGAGCCGACTGACGGGGGACTCGCGTTACGAGATTGCGGCCAAAAATGCCTTCTGGGCTGTGTGGTCACGCCGAACTAGCATTGGTTTGATAGGTGCTGGCATTGATGCTGAGACTGGGCATTGGGTCTCTCCATATACGGGTATCGGTGCGGGCATCGATAGCTTCTTCGAGTACTCCCTCAAGTCGCATATATTGTTATCTGGTCTGCCTTACAACGCCCAGCATCCCGAGATGGATTCACCCGACGCGTTTCTGAGGGCGTGGGAAGATGCGCACGAAGGCATCAAGCGCCACATCTACCGCGGTGCCCACCACCAGCATCCTCACTATATACAAGTAGACGTCTATACGGGCGCCGTACGCGCGTTCTGGATAGATAGTTTAAGTGCTTTCTACCAAGGGCTTCTGGCCATGGCTGGAGAGCTCGATGAGGCCATCGAAACCCATCTGCTTTACACTGCTTTATGGGCCCGTTACTCTGCTATGCCGGAGAGGTGGTCCGCTGCAACGGGCAACATTGACAGTGGCTTACGTTGGTGGGGAGGTCGTCCCGAGTTCATCGAGTCGAATTGGTATATATACCGAGCAACCAAAGACCCTTGGTATTTGCATGTCGCCGAGATGGTCCTTCGCGATATCAAACGACGTTGCTGGACCAAATGCGGGTGGGCTGGGCTGCAGGACGTGAGAACGGGCGAGCTGAACGATCGCATGGAGAGCTTCTTTCTCGGCGAGACGGCCAAATATCTTTTTCTTACCTTTGATCCGTCACATCCTCTCAACACGTGGGACGGGCCATATGTGTTTACAACCGAAGGTCATCCGTTGGTTATTCCAAACCGTCTGCGTTCTGCCAACAACGCCCCAAAGAAAGAACCCGTTCATGACTGGCAACCTGCTCCTGGCACCTGTCCAGTTCCTCCCGCGCCTGTTCCGTTTAGCTTTTCCTCGACGGCCGCTCGCCCCGATGTTTATCATGCTGCTAGTCTTGCCCGGCTGCATAAGATGCCTACAAGAGACACTCCAGCCTCGCCACTTCTGGAATTCAGCGCTGATCACCCCAGTATAACCATTTCGGATGTGCAGTCACCCTCCAACTTCACATACTTCCCTTGGACTTTGCCACCAGGCCTCATTCCACATAATGCAACTAGTTCCAAGATGGTAGCGCGTACTACATTCGACTTGTCGTTTCCAAATCTCCCCAACAGCGTGCAGGGTATTGGCCTAGAAAGAGTTCAAGAAGGTATCCTTGTCAATTCTATGAGCGGTTTGAGGCTTGGTATGGTAAAGGAGCCCGAAATACTTCCCTGGGACGTGGAGCTTACATTGGACGGTCACTACCGCATCTACTCGATCTCAAATGTAGCTTTGGGCCGCGATGAGAAAGTGTACATGTCGCGTAATACAATCGACAGTATTAACCCAGTCGATCCCTTCTTCACTCGTACTCGCGACGGGCACACCCTGGACCTGATCATGGACATTCCCCCCGAACCTGTCCTAGCCACCCCAACTTCAGACCCCCTCTCGGAATATATAGACGATGAAGTCAGCGACCTGGGTAACATGAGCGATATGAAAATCATTGATCTGGATATAGATCACGAAGATCTCGACGGAGGTGAACCATCCTACCTTTCCAACCTCCTCCAGTCTTTGCAAGCCTTGCTTGCTGTGCCATCCAATTTACCCACAGCTGCGTCGTCCAACAATTTCCCGCCAAAGCAGACACAGCGCCTCGCTGTTGGCGGCACACTTCCAATCGGCCCAGGATCTGCGCCATTACCCGACACCTCCGACCCAGAGCCCACCTATAGCTCGACGAACGCACTCGTATGGTCCTCCGTCTATATACACCATGACACACTTTGCGATGAGCGTCTGCCAATTGACATTCCAAAGAGTCATCAAGTTATAGTTATTCGCCGTGGAGGCTGCTCATTCTCAGCAAAGCTTAGGAACATTCCGGCGTTTCCACCGACACGCTCCAGTCTGAAACTCGTCATCATTGTGAGCTATCCCGAACACGAGCAGCAGGAGTATGACTCGGAAGATCAAGACGAGACAGGGGGTACTCAGAAGCGCGCTACAGGGACCGCCTCCAGTGATCAGTCGTCAGGTCGTTCTTCCGTTCACATAGGACTCGTTCAGCCATTGCTTGACGAGACTCAGTATACGCCTACGGGTCTGGAGCGCGCGCATCCTATCCCACTCATAATGGTTGGGGGCGGTGATGAAACGCTGGGGTTGTTAAGGAAGTGCAAGGGACTAGGTGTCCGGAGGAAGTATCATTTTTCGAGCCAGGGAGTTCGGATATCAAACCTCATCGTACTGTAAATTCATGGGCGGGGCTGAGTAACATTCGTATACATATCAATATGTACATAAAACACGTCTGAGCGTTTTCGAGTATTAGACTATAGACAGGCGGCCAGAATAGAAACGCATTGCAGATTTGTTGTCAACTGTTTGACCTCGCTCAACACAGCCTAACGAAGACACAATGTCAAGGGATATTATCAGGATAGTTCACGCAAACGTACATATGTAGTGGAATGTGTCCAAACAACATTTTCATGCCACATGAATGCATTTACAAAAAAACAGTGTAATCAGTTTACAGATGTACAGTACCCACACTCCGCCCAATGCAAATCAACAGTCACTCCAACGCCCATCACAGGACCTTGCGCCCTCTCTAACAATCTTCGGGCACCGCAAAACTGTTCGTCCTAGCGATAGAACTGTACTTGGCCTCAGTACCCAATCCCCTCTTTGCAAACGCAGTCCAAAGCAAGCACTTGTTCGCACCCCCGGTAAGCGCCTCATCAGCATCCACGATGGCATCCCTAGCGCTCACAAACGTTGGATTGCAAGGCTGCAACGCCATGCCATCCAACACCAGCTTCATAGCCAAGTACTTCCCATCCGTCGGCACACCGTTCTCATCAAACTCGGGCAACGGCCCGTCGTTCTTGCCATGCTCATCAATCAAATTCCACAGCACCTCGTAGAGAATACTCGCCCACACGCCGCCGATATCGTGGACACGAGTGAGTTCGTTGTTGGTTTCGTAGACCTGCGGGTTCGTGCTGTTATCCGTTGAGTAAGGGAACCTACGGATCCCTTGCGGTCGGCCGCTCGCCCACTCTCCCATCGTGTAGTCCTTCTCCCTGGTATCGCTCTCCTTGAGCCGGATGGCAGTAGCGTAGAAGTCGCTCCACCCTTCGCCCATGCCGCCGGCTTCGAGCAAGTTGAGACAGCCCGCGTTTGCGGGGCCGCCGGTGAGACGGTTGGAGAGGCCGTGGGTGTACTCGTGGATGACGATGCCGGCTTCGAAGGCGCCGTCGCGGAAGGGCATGGTGCTGTTCCAGATGTACATGCGCATGCGGCCGGGCGAGCCATCGGGGAGGGTGCGGAAATTGGCGTTGTTGAAGCCCGCGCCGTCTTGCGCGTTGAACCAGACAAAGTCGTTTCCGACGCCGCCTTCGTTGTTGTTGTTGAGTTCGAAGTTGCCGGCGGCGGGAGTGAAGCCGAGGTGGAAGAGGAGGTCGTGGTAGGTGTTTGAGGTGTACCAGAGCTGCGCGATGGAAGCGTTGATGTAGCTGCGGAAGTCGGATTCGTTGAGGCTGTAAGGGTAGGAGAAGTCGAGAGTGGGGCTGGATGGGCGTGGGAGAGACAGGTATTGCGATTCTGCGCTGTTGGACCAGTTGTCTTGCGCGATGCCGTTGTTGCCGCGGGTCGTGTTGTAGGTGTCGCTTCCGGTACTATGCCAGCCGAATTCACTGGCTTCTTTGTCCCAGGGATCGCTGATTGTGATTCGTGTGCCTTCGGTGGGGTCGTTGATGCCCCAGGGGCTAGAGATCGTTAGCAATGGTTCGGAGAGAGGAGTAGTCGTCTATCTCTGGATGACTAAAACACGTTTCGGGGACTTACTAGACTTCATAAGAGGCCTCGTTGACGAAGTTAAGAACATGGTGCACTTGATCGCTGTTGGTGGCATCCACGTAGGTGGTCAAGTAATCCGTATCAATATCCGTCACGACCTTCCACGACAAGGCTAAGTTGCCTTCGGAAGTCACAATGTACACCAATTCCGCCTCCGGCTCCGAAACAGTACCCGTAGTCTGCTCAATCTTGAAAACGTTTTCTCCAGTGGGCGTGGCAGTCGCAGACTCCGCGGAGATAGGCAGGCCAAGCGTGTTGACGGCACCCTTCAGCGCTCTAGCAGGCTCAACTTCATCACGTTTCTTCGATGGAGGAGGAATCTCGCCTGTGAAGAACGAGTTTCCGAAAGAGAAGACCTCGCCACTGCGGGCGATGTTGACATTGAAGTCTGCATTGTCAATGTCCAGCCCGTTTGCAGTCTGCTTGAAGTAGAAGTGCGAGACGCCGTTGGTGCCGGTGTAGCTGTCCTTAGCCATCCGGAACTCAGCGTTGGGGAAGGTCGTCTTGACCAATTCGTTGGCGGTGCCTTCGGCGTCGGCACGCTTGGTGAGAGATGAGATCGACGGGTCTTGCTTGATGCTTGTCGAGTCCTTGTAGTCTGCAATGCACCGTTAGAGTTTGAATTGGGGCGGATCATATCTCTGGGCGAGTGAAGACATACCGGTCTTGATCTTCACACGGAAAGAATCTAGATCAACAGCACGCTTGCTGAGCATACGGGAGCTCTTTGAGAGCCCACTGTATGTAGGGTGAGCAGCAGCATTCTGGAAAGCCAACGCGGCCAAAGATCCAAGAACGAAAGAACGCATCTTGGGAACAGGTGATGACAAGCAAAAAACAGTGGATGCAAAGAATGAACGAGCCGATCCCACTACCCTTCTTCACAAAGTTACCTCTCTCTCCCCTTTATACTCCGCACACTCTCCCTCCCGCGCATGAGCGATTCCGTGATACCCACTCCCACCTACGAAGAACGGTATAACGGTGTCATTGATTACGGGCAATAGTAGCTGCATTGGGAAAGTCAAAGGTCGCGTGTATGCTCTACATGAACGCGTATAGAACTAGAAATATACTTGACTGCCTTTTCAAGACAAGCGTTGAATCGTGAGGTGTAGAGATAAGCTGCGGTTTAGGAAAGTCAAGACGCTGCCCCCTGGCAGTAAAAGCTGGGCACTATATGCGCCGAGGTAAGGCGCATACCTGGCCTCGACACAACATCGGTGACCTTCCATATCGGAGGGGTCCTCGGCATGGAATGTCTACTGCGAAGAGCGGTTTTTGGGGTACTCTGATGTTTACGGATACGAGCGTGTGGGTGGACTTTTCGCTTATGTACATACTTAGATATGTAGTTGGGGAATATCGTGAGGTCACGTTGTTTTCTAGTTGCAGATGCTGTAACCGTTCAACAACACAGGTACGATAATGTTTCGCGCAGTACAATCGCTCAATTAAATTGTAGGGTCCATTTTGATGGCTTCCAAGCCCAGCTATCGAATGGGTGGATACGAAAATAGTCTGCACGATAACATGGAGTCATGAACACTTGAGCATGGCACTCGACCTTCCCTTTTCGGCGTTGGTGTTCTGGAGCTCAGCCTCCATCGGATATCAGCGAGTTTCTTTTAGGATACAAATGTGGAGGATCTTCGCTTGCACGGCTGGGGACTTGGCCACTAGACTTCTGTTGGCTGCGGGTGAGACGAGACCGTTGAAGATCGAAATATGGTTTGATTCTACTGTTGTAGGCTTAGACGGCGTCGCCTGCTACATGATTGATATGTAAGCTACTCGGATTCGCTAACTCATTACAGAAGACCACGACTTACCAGATAGCTTGTCAGAGAAGTCCAAAAATACATCTTAGAGCTCCAGATAGTAATCCTCGGCCTCACAGATGTCGACAAGTCGGATTTGAAACTGGGTAATACCTCTTCGAAGAGCTTCACCAAATTCGTGCGAAGCTTCCCCCGAGCCGTACGGAAGATTTCCACCATCGTCATCAAAGTCAACGTTGTAATCAAAACAATCATCTTCTAGGTTCCAGGTAGACACTATGCCTTCCACACTGGTGATCTCCCATCTTGGCCCGCCAAGTTTGCTTTTGTGGGACGAGAAGTTTGACGGCGTGCCCTCGATAATATACCAAGTATGCACCATTGGCCAGATATCGAACACGTCTTTTATCGAGAACAACGTCGGTTCTTGGAGAAAGCTTTGAGTTGAAACAACGTACTCGACATCCGATACTATATCGACATCCCGGTCAAGGAGATCGGGCTCATTCGTCCTATCCATGTATCGGTGTTTGATATCCACTAGATCTATACAATCGAGATAAATCGCGTCTTTCTTATGGTCGAATGGTCTGGCAAAAACAGGGTCCTTCCCGTCGCGGGCGAGCATTGTGCATTCGTGCTTGCGGGCCCAAGCCAGAGCTATACTGCGAGCCTCATGGTTGACGAAAGCCAATGGAACTTGGTAGTAAATCGGGTCACGCTTGTTAAGTTGATACTCGACGCAGAGATCAGGCTCCGTGCCGGAAGCATTCCAGGAGTTGACGTCCAAGGAGACCAGAACGGGTGCCGACGTGTCCGGCAGACTGAGCTTCCAAACTTCGTTTCTGAGCTCAGCCGGCAGCTCAGAGAAGGATGGAAACGAAGATGCGCAATCAGTTTTAGTCGTCTCGCTGAGCTCGTGATCCCCCATAACGCTGAAAAACGATTGCTAGTCGAAGGCGGAAAGTATGCAAAGGCGCTGACTTCTGTCTTCTTTATTACAGGGGCTGTGTAGTTTAACTTCTAGACTTAGTGGTTTAGTGTGCGGCACAGCAGTGAAGACATTTGATTTCAGGCCGACCCAGCAGGCTAGCGAATGAACCGTGCACAAAATCAATGTCCTTCCTCTACATCGTGATGGTCGAAAAAAATAATTCCAGTGTTGCTGTGATAGATTGCCTGAGACGCTCACCAATCGCGACAACGAGGACTTTGGCAAGAGAGTGGGGTGTGTACAAAAGACGGTGGTACCGGGGCTGTTGGTACCGAACGGAGCTGCTTTTCGTGTTCGGTACCGGCTTGTACCCCTAACTGCCTTGTCTAATTTTGGTGCCTTTCTGATATAGCTTAGGGAGCACTGCTATAAGACCCCACACACCGCACTATCTCAACTCTGCTCAAGTATTGCGATATGCTGTCAATATGTATGTTCATATAGTGAATCAATCTAACTAGAGTAGGACGCATAGCCGTACGCTTAAACCTTACGACAAAGCGTCATGACCCAAGCCGCGATGGATTGAGTCTCACATCAGGCGGCCAAAGCAACACATAACAACTCACTTAGACGCTCGCTTAATCCGCGTACGTGAAATCTAAGTATGGTGATATTCATCGTCATTATAACATCTGATCGATTTCGATATACCGTAATCCTACCTCTTCGATTCCACGATGGAGCTGTATACAGCCAACGCTCACGGCCGATGGTTGCGCACCAGCCAAGGCACTGCACGAAGTGGCCGCCGTTGTCCGCCAAGGTCAGCATGCATAAACACCGTTGCACCTGTGAGGCGCACGTCTTTACATCACAAAACAAGCGTTAAAAACTGAACATAAATAACAGTTTCTTTGCCGTCTTTTTTGGAGAAGAACTGATCGCGAGAAGCGACACGATTCACTGAGAGCACAATGTCCATCTTCCAAGAACTTCCCGACCAACTGTCCGAAGTCGACGTTATTCTTGCCGGAGGTATAGCTAGCCTTCACCAACTCAACATTCGATACTAATTCTTTCTACAAGGCGGTACAGCGGCATGCGTAATCGCCGGTCGACTCTCAGAAGCAGACCCTAAGCTATCAATTCTGGTAATCGAGCAAGGTCCAAACAATTTCGGCATCCCAACCATCATCCACCCTGCTCTATGCCTGAGCAGTATCTTGCCCACCAGCAATGTGACCTTGTTCTATCAGGGTAAGGCTGAGAAACAGCTCAATGGTAGAGAGCTTGTGGTTCCGTCTGGCGGGGTGCTTGGAGGCGGGTCATCGATCAATCTGATGATGTACTCGAGGGCGCAACGGTCTGATTTCGACGCTTGGAATGTACCGGGGTGGGGTGCTAATGATATGATTCCATATCTGCGAAAGGTAATTTCTCTATTCAACTGTAAGCATGCATGATGAACTCTGGCTAATGCTGCTGCAGCTCGAAACATACATGGGCCCAGGACCCAAGGAGCTACATGGTGACGATGGTCCGATTGTTGTGTCAGAAGGCCCATATCGCGCGAACCGAATAACCTTAGACTTCATCCAAGCAGCTAACCGAGTCGGCTTTCCTGAAATCAAGGATTTGTCGGCTCTGGACTACAATAATGGCGTTCAACCTGCTCTGCACTACATTGGAACAGATGGCTTACGACAGGATACTGCGTATAAGTATGTCCATTCAAAAATAAAGAGCGGGAATCATCCTGGGTTGAACGTACTTGTCGACACGCAAGTCAATCGTGTTATTTTCGACGGGAAAAAAGCTGTTGGGATAGAGTTCAGGCCGAATCCAAAAGTCCGAGCTGATGGCGGCTTGCGTACAGTGAGGGCAAGGAAAATGGTCGTTGTATCTTGTGGAGCTTTGGGAACTCCATCCGTACTGGAGAGGTCTGGCGTTGGTAATCCCAATCTACTCAAAAAGCTTGGAATCGAAGTCATCTCTGCTCTTCCCGATGTCGGTGAACACTACCAAGACCATCGTAAGTCTACCCTGAATCAAGACTCTATATCGATATGGACCTTCCAATCTCTCTATACAGTCGTGCCCCGACAATGAACTCAGCGAACCCCGCTCACTCAAACCATCAGACCTCCTCACGTACCCCTACTACTCCGACGCAATCGAGCCCGAAACCCTCGACGCCCTTCTCTCGGGCCGTCTCGACGTCGCCGAAGCCATCAAGAGCAAAAACCCAATTTTGGGATGGAACGCACAAGACGTGACTGGGAAACTCCGCCCCACAGCTCCAGAAATCTCCCGTCTGGGCCCCGAGTTCCAGAAATACTGGGATGAAGAGTACGAAAACAACACCAACAAACCACTTATGCTGACCTCGCTCGTGAACGGGTAAGAAATGATACCCCTCGTTCATCATCCGTTCCTTCAATCATTCCTCAACACTCCCTCTCTGCCCCACAACTCTTCCTCACGAACAATCAATTAATACTAATCGTCTCAACCATTCCATCCCGCACAGTTTCGCAGGCGACCCCACCCTCGTACCTTCGGGCCAATACCTCACCTCGACAATCTTCACCGGCTACCCGTGCTCGCGAGGCTCAATCCACATCAGCAGCCCTTCGCTCTCGGCCCCTCCCGATCTCCACACGGGCATCTTCGTCGACCCAAACGACGTCGATATCCTAAAACACGTGTGGGCGTACAAGAAACAACGAGAAATCTTCCGCAGAATGACGTCGTACCGCGGCGAAGTGGAGATCCTCCACCCGAAATTCGCACCGGGTTCAAATGCTGCGGTAGGTCGATTGGAAGATGATGGGGAGGGCAAGGATAGGGGGATGGAGGACCTGGAGGATATCGTGTACACGGCTCAAGACGATGAGGTGATTAAGCAGTGGGTGCGGGAAAACGTGGGGACGACGTGGCACTCGATGGGGACGTGTCGGATGGGGAAGGACGCCGGGGAAGCGGTCGTGGATCGGGAGCTGAATGTGTTTGGGGTGGAAGGGTTGAAGGTTGCGGATTTGAGCGTGCCGCCTTTGAATGTCGCGGCGAATACGCTGAATACGGCGATTGCAATTGGTGAGAAGGCTGCAGATATTATCAAAAGAGAGTTGGGCCTTTGATGAGTCTCTGTGGGGTTGTAATTGCGATTTGGAATTTGGCTCAAAGCACCTAATTAGGCTTCTTAACACATAACAGTACACTGGAAATTACCGTGCAACCTGCATGAAACGTATTGTACCTAATTCTCGCTGTTGTGTGAGACAACGGCTTAATCTTGATAGAGCGTATTAGACAGCCGGTCATTGTCTTCCGTGAGCGTTCACTAGCTCCCAGTAGTATACAACCTAAGAGAAACCTGCAATTCCATTGACTGCCAGATCATAGAAAGGAATTCCTTCGGAAGTCAACGCCACAATGTCAACCAATAATGAACGGGGGTCAGGTACAGGAGAATAAATGTGGTAAAAGTGGTATTCGTATAATGAGGTATCCGTCTCCCACCATTCCGCCAACTGAATCAGTTTCGAAGCCCACGCTTCGACTAAAAAAAGGCCTACAAAAGTACGGCCTGCAAATGCCCACGCTAAGTATGCTACAAGTTGAGAAAAGGAAATCGCAAGTGCAAAAAGAAAAGAAGCCTAGAGCAAGCAACCAGGCAAACAAGACCGCCGTCATAATCTCATGGAAGGAATAATCGTTCCCCCGTCACCACCACTATAGGGTCATAGACAGCAATGCAATCAAGCCAGTCCGAAAATGCCCTTTGCCCGTCTCCACAGCTCCCACCCCATAGCCTTCCTCGTATCCTCAACTCTCAAAGCAGCCTCTTTGTTCTCGCTTGCCCTCCTGAGCAGGAAGTTCAAGCATTGCGTAGTAGTGCCCCATGTCATGCACTTGATGACCCTGGCCTGGGTATCCGCTGCTTTACCAGGAGCCTGAACGAGCTGCTGCGAAACCTCATCTGCCATGCCCAAAAGTTGGATATATGACAGCCTAGGTAGGGACTCCGGAGGTGACGAGAGGAGCTGATTCTGCCGGATTTTCTGGGCGTTCTGGAGGGTGGGGAGGTTATGCGTAGCGAGGATAATATTCACATTGTCCGGGAAGACCGCTGATGGGGAGGAAGGCTTGACGAGATCGTTCCACTGTTTCTTGAGGAGCGCGGTGGTGCAGGCGTCGTAGCTGGCATCGGTGTCGGACTTGGTGTCCCAGATGAGGTTGCGGGGCTCGCTCGCCATGTATGCGCCGCGCACGAGTTTGACGCCAGCAGTGTAGCCGCCCTTTTGGGCGCGCTCGAGATCTGCGGCGAGACGGCCGGGAATAGCTTTGAGGTAGCATTGGTAGGTTGTGTACATGATGGCGCGGCCATTGGTATTGTACTTGGCTTGGAGCATATTGTTCCATTTCTCGAGACCTGCATTGGTCGCTTCTTCTTCGGCACCTGGCAAGAGGGCAATGTTCTTTGCGGCAGCGGCATCGCAGGCGGCATGAATAGCGGATAGCATCTCGGGGGTAGGATCTTGTTGGGCTTTGAGTAGGTGGAGAGCTTCCCGACCTAATCCGGACCATCTGTTACCAATGATGTTAGCAAACGAGTCCCATTTCACTTCAGACAGATATTGGAAATGTTGTAAACTCACTTCAGACCAACAAAATCACCCTCCTTGGACATGTCGATTGTGTCCAACATGCCCTGACGCCAGACTCCAACTTCACGGGCCGTCTCTTCAGCTGTGGGGGCTTTGGAAGCACCACCTTCCAGCATCTCGAGTGCATACTCGAGCATAATGCCGTCGTAGCCAAGAAGTTGTCGTACTACATCGGTATTGCGCTGTACCTCCTTCTTGTTCTCACCCACGCAGTACTGTACATAGAATGTGGACCTCAAAAGCTTAGCAAGGACGGGATTCCGCTCGACACTCATCAAATACGATCGCGACTCGAGCATCTTCCGTAGAACAGTCAGGCAAAGACCAAGCAATGCTGGTGACGAGCTCATACGTCCAATGAGATACGAGCGAAGAACGGTGGCTGTGGGAAGGCGAGCAAGTACCGCTTTAGGAGGTGTTTGGGAGGAGACGGCACTGGATGCCATGATTTGTGCAGTGACTGGCGCCGGTGAGGAAATGGATACATTTTGCCGTGAGCTGGAGTGAACGAGACGTCCGGACCGTGTGAGCGTGCGGGTGAAGTGTGAGATGGGGACGCCGTTGAGGCGTTGGAGATGTTGAATTTGTAGAGGCATGATGAGATGTGTTGATTGAAAGTAGGTGTTGGAGTGAGAGAAGGACTGCCGACGGCGTTTTTCGCGTGCCTTGTTCGCCTTGGTGTTGTGCTGGTTGTAATTTCCCAAAGCGGAAGTCGAAGATCTGATGACGGTTGGTAGGTTGTTTGAGGAAGGGACTACAGTGTTGCGTATTCAGGATGCGCACAATCGTTTGCAGTGAGAAGCAGAAGTAAGACAGATTCCTCTGAGATGACTTGGAAGACAGTGAGGAGGTGCCCGCGTGAAAAAATATATATACGTTCGTGATCATGGTGATATCAACCTTGGTTTGCTGGTGGTACTGTTCGCTCGGCTTCCGTCGGATGAAAAAAGGCCACTGACTGACGCTCTAGATGGCGAAACCAGCACTGTCGGCACGCCTATCGGACGGACCTACGATTGCCGCACGATTCGTCCATTGAGCTAGCAGTTCCCTTGCACTGCAGGGTCAATGGCATGAATGAATGGAGGGGGTTTGCGGGCTACGTGATCACTTTCCAGACATGGAGAGGGGATGCCATGATGACAGAATCGGCCCATGGCATTGGGTGATAGGGTATGGCTTGCTTGATGAGCATTCGCCAACATGCTGACCTACCCCCCACGATACATCTGCCATTGACCAATGACTTGATCGTGGTTATCTGTTTGTGCGATTGTTACCCTCCGGTCGTATCTGCGTACTTGATGTCTACAAACGGCAGACCATTTCACATAAGCGATACCGCATCCCGTTAGCGGCACTCGCCGTATTCGGCTTCCTCAATCGCTAAAACCGAGCATACCCTTTGGCGCTACTGAGATGCTTATATTGCCCTGTCCTCAAGACACACCACAATCGTTCGAAAGAAGAGAAGAGCCTCTTCATGTCCGATATTGTGGGATTTTCTCCACGAGGTGATCCATTGTTTGCCCACTGCGACCGACATCGGGACACTCTTGCTGCTTGCTGCTGTGGGGTTGCGCTGGCGCGCTTCGGCAGGCGTCGGCTTTAATTTTGCTCTTGTGCTTTGCCTGCGCTGGTTGCTTTCGTTTGAGGGCAAGGGAGGATTCAGATCATGTGCACTCTTTCCAGGAGCTGGATCCATGGGAGATTGGACAATGGAGATTGAGAGTTTGCTGCAACTCCTCCGATCCCGGCGCTTGGAAAGCTTGTTTTGAGGCCCCGTGGTAGCATGCGAGCAGTGCTGCTGTTATGATGATGATGATAGACGGTGATGAGAGCAGACAATTAGAAATACCTAGGTAGACTTACAACTTCGTCTTGGTCAAGGAAGCAACAGCATGTACCGTATCAAACGGTGTGCTGTAGATAGGGGTATTTCGATTTGCTCATACTTGATTATTGTACCTACATATGCATTGCTTACATTAGAATGACTTGCACGTTTCCATGATTTCTCATATGGATCCATCTGCAGCCTTCCCTTCGACCCTCGCCCCGCTCTCTCCAGTAACAACATCGAATTCCTCCCTCTGCTTGTCCTGATCTATTCCAGCCGCCAACGTTTCGAAAGCGCTTAGAAGATCATCCCTCAGGTCCTCCCAGTTCTCCACACCAACACTGACGCGTAACAACCTGGGGTCAACGCCTGAGTCCGACATGCGGCGCCACTCAATCAGACTCTCGACCCCGCCGAGACTGGTCGCATGGTGGAAAAGAGCAAGTTCAGAGGGTAAACGGCGCGCTTGCTCATCGGTGTGCGTAGTGAAGGCGAAGACGGGTCCGTAACCATTGGGCATTTGCTTAGAGAGCCACGAATTGTTGGAGGAGGCGGCCTGTAAGGAAGCGTGAGTAACTCCTGAAACGACCTTTTTGATCAGCTTGGCGTTGTCGTCGCTGGGCGAATGGGATGTGAGGGCATCGTGCATCCATTTCACCAATTCGCCCGCATTCTGACTTTGTCTCTGCACCCGCAACTCCAATGTCCGCAGACTGCGAACGCCGAGCCACCCTTCTAAACTTCCCATAACTGAACCTAGGAACACCCGCTCCTCCCTCAAGGCCCTCGCTTGTGCCTTTCCTTTCTCACCACGCTTCACTGCCAAGATTCCGCATAGCATGTCGCTGTGGCCGCCGATATACTTGGTCCCGCTATGCATGACTACATCCGCGCCCCAAGCGAAAGGATCTTGGAGACCTGGTGGGCCAAAAGTAGCGTCGACGCTGAGGATAGCCCCGCGGGCGTGGGCGCGATCGGCATAGTGTTGTATGGAGAAGGCTTCGCCCGTTGGGTTCAATGGGGTTTCCACATGTACAATATCGCCCTGGCCGATTCCAGCAGCATCCCAAGCAGCCTCATCGGCATGTAGATCAACGGTGCGCAAGCCGTGCATCTTGGAGTGCAGAGATATTACGCCGTGGCAGCCATGATAGCCCTCGGAGATGGCGATAACCTTGGGGACTACATTGACGAGAAGGGCGTGGAAGGCCGAGAGTCCGCTAGTGTAGCTGAGTACATGATTGCTGAGCTGCTCGATATCTTCGCCTTCTGCTGAAGCCGTAGGGAAAATGAGGGGCGTGAGGATGGTTTCGAGTCGATTGATGTTAGACGACGTGAGACGAGAGTATACGAGCGGAGATTGGAGATTGAGGTATTCGCCTTCGACGGGAACTGGCTGTAGATCGGAGACGTTACGTGAGTAGCGGAAGGTGGTGGAGGTGTGAATGGCTGGGGCAACATCGGTGAGAGTATTGAGACGGTTGTCAGCGTGGATGGCAGCTGTAGCGGCGTGAAGAGGTGCCATGGGGAATGGCTTTAGTACGACAAGCGGTATGGAGACGAATTTCGAGTGAAGAAGTAAAATCAAGTGCACCTTGAGGCGCCGTTATACTGCCATGAACCAGAGTATCACATAGACGGGTGAAGCATTTCTGGCTGTCCATCATGACACTTTGCGCCCTACGCAGTACATGGAGTAGACACACGCACACTACAAGCGGTAAAAAGCCCCGAGGTTCCATGAATCGATGAATCGGCACTACCGTACAAGCACGTCATTGCAAGAATGCATAATTATATCCACTCTCTCGTACGTTACTTGTAGAGAGCATCTCCGCATTATCCGCTTTTTATATGGAGGCTTTGCAAGTATTGATTCGATACAGGAGCTACAGACAGCATTCAAACGCAACAACACAGCATCTATGGTGATGTCATTGCAGCAGTTGAACTTTATGACATCAAACACAGACAAGTGCCGAGGGTAGGCAACGATCAAAAGCATCTGCTCTGCGAAAGATCGGGGGCTGCAGATTCAGTGGGTGGCACATCTCCATCACGGCTTCGCCGTAGCATGTCATGTAAGATGACGAATGCGGGTAGTGCGGGGTTTTGTTGGGAGACAAATCCTGGCGGGGTTGCCCCTCCAATGTCCGCGGAAAATTTGCCCAGCTTACTTCTCCACGATGAGCGAGGCGCAATCGCCAAAGCTCGATACTTGTCTAATTACGACATCATGGAACAAAAATTCATGCATCACGCTTACGAGCAAGGGCAAAATGTTTCTAGTGGTCAGGTAATCGCTGCCATTCATTCATAAAGTGCTATCAAATCCTACTCATGAACTTTTGTGTCCCTTTCGTTACCCCGCAAAGAGGGCTACTGATAACACCCGAAGGACGGTTGCTACGCCATGATTCACTCCCAAACCGTGCGACACGCTTAAGCCTGGCCAGCACCGGTGATGGTAGGGGGGGTCTTGTACTTGATGGCACCGCTGCCACTGCCGCAGGCTTCGATGGACTTGACGATGCGCTTGGACTCCTGGTCGGAGACCTCGCCGAAAACGACGTGCTTGCCGTCGAGCCACGAGGTCACGACAGTGGTAACGAAGAACTGGGAGCCGTTGCTATAGCAGGGTTAGCACCATGGTGACATGATGACATTGAGGGGCGGCACTTACGTGTTGGGGCCGGCGTTGGCCATGGAGAGGAGGAAGGGGCGGTCGTGCTTGCGCTGGAAGTTCTCGTCGCTGAACTTCTCGCCGTAGATGGACTTGCCGCCGGTGCCCTGCAGAGTTGTCAGTGCTTTGTTCGCCTCTTCATCCACAGCCCATGCATGCATAAGCCGTGCGGGTCAGGACTTACGTTGCCGCGGGTGAAGTCACCACCCTGAAGCATGAACTGGGGGATGACACGGTGGAACTTGGAGCCGGAGTAGCCGAAGCCCTTCTCGCCGGTGCAGAGAGCACGGAAGTTCTCGGCGGTCTTGGGGACGACATCGTCATAGAGCTCGAAGTTGATACGACCGGATTGTTCTGTAGCGAGCTTGTGTTAGCAATTGTATTGTTTGATGAGTGGGTGATGGAATGCCACAGCATCAGCAAGGCAACGCGCTGGCGCAGAGCCGTGGATAGCTGGACAACAAGATTGAGGGCAATGGAGGGGCATGGTACAGAGGGGGAGCTTACGCTTCACGGAGCCGGTGGAGGTGACGTTGCCGCTACCGTCGACCTGAACCTCAGGTCCCTCCCAGGAGACGTCGAAGAAAGTCTTGATGCCCATGTTGAAAGCTGAAGGGGTGAAGAAGCGTTTGGATGATGGGGTACGAAGAGGAGTGGTGGTGAATTGAGCAGAGCGGAGGAGGGAAGAAGTCAAAGGTCTGAGGTGGGGCATGTTTTCTTAAATGGAGGGGTTCTTTTCTAGGGTAGGTTGTCAGTAGTTTCCCAGGACAGTCTAGCGCCGGAGCCCAAGAGGTGAGAGCGTAACCTGGTGGCGGCGGCGGCGATGCGCGCGCCTGCCGACGGCAACAGGAATGGAATAGGGACAGGAGGCGACGAGGGGGTTCGGTTGCATGGTTGCATGGCTGGCCTTTGCCCGGTGGATGATGCAAGGCGAAGACGAAAAAAGAAAAGGGAAGAAGCTGCTGGGTGAGGCAAGCCGGGGTGGTGGTGAGAGGGGGCCAACCCCCAAACGACCCGAGGCAAGGAATCAATCAGTCGCAAAGGCAACGCAACGCTACCCAATGCGAGGTGGTGCGGGAAGAAGAGGGCCGCTGGATGACGATGATGGTCACTTACTGGGATGGAAAAATCGACGGTGAAGAGGTGGCTGGGTTGGATCGAGATGGAATGGTCAATGGGACCTGTGGATGGATGAAGCTGTCGAAGCTGTAGCTGTAGCTCTGTCTTGTCTGCTTTGCAAGGAGAAGCGGAAAGAGTAACGCAGGGAAGACAAGGGCAAAAGTCAATTGGGCAGGTAGCTATAGAATACAGTGGACAAATACAGATGAATATGGTACAATGATTTGATGGAAAGGATGTAGACGGGAGGTGATGAAGACGAAAAAAAAGTTCGAGAGCTGTCAGTGATGCTCAGATCTCCCGGTCAGTGCGCTAGCTGGTGTCCATCACGTACGCAGCATCTACTTAGTCAACGCGCACTCCTAAATCAGATGATCCAGACAATACGTCAACCTGACCAGATCAATTCCCTTGCGAGCACAGACAAGCTGTGGCATTGGCTATTCTATCCCTCCCCGTCTCCGAGGTCGTCGGTTGGGCAGGTGGATGTACTCGAGCTATTCGCTCTCCAATCAGCATCGCTAGCGTCTGAGCTCCCGGCAACGTGGGTGTCTCAATCACGTGCCCTCACCTCCACTCAGATGTCTCCCGAGCTGCAACTCCCACTTGCGCATCCCAGCAGTTCCGTATCCCACGTCAAGGGATAATCAATGTAAATCTGTCAAATAAATCCTCCCATAGATAAGTCTGGAATCGCCGACTTGTGCAGCAGCCCCGCGCTCACATCCAGACCCCTCTTGACACGTGCCGTTATCCTTGCGCTTGTGCTTGTCCCTGAACGGCGCTCAATAATACGCTGCCACCACTCCAACCTTCACTTCCGCCGTCGGTGACCGCAACACCACTGCCATATCCGCCACCATGGATTTCTCGAATCTCAAAGATCAAGTGAGCAATCTCACTCTATACGACCTCAAGGCCGGCGTGAGGAAGGTTCAGAATGGTATGCGTCGCATCGCAACACGTAGCCAACCGGCCTCAAGCTAACCCATCCCCAGCCGTGATGAACTTCACAGAAATGGAGGCAAAAGTGCGAGAAGCCACCAACAATGAACCATGGGGTATGTCCTGCTCTCATCACTCCGGGCGCACCCTTCTAATTCCTTAGGTGCCTCATCTACCTCCCTCCAAGAAATCGCCAACGCCACGTTCAACTAGTATGTCAACTCCGCGCTGTGCCGTCAAGTAGTTGTTCGACTAATTCAGGGCCAGTCAATTGCTCAATGAGATTATGCCCATGATCTATAAGCGCTTCACAGAGAAAGCTGCTGAAGAATGGCGACAGATATACAAGGTACGTGCCGCTTCATGGCCGATGCTCCCACTCTCTGCTGACAATGGCAGGCTCTCCAATTGCTCGAGTTCCTCATAAAGAATGGCTCCGAACGGGTTATCGACGATGCACGCTCCCATGTCTCGCTCCTCAAGATGCTCCGTCAGTTCCACTTTATCGATCAAAACGGCAAAGATCAAGGCATCAACGTCCGTAACCGGGCCAAAGAGCTTGCCGAGCTTCTTAGCGATGTCGACCGCATACGAGCCGAGCGCAAGAAAGCGCGTGCAAACCGCAACAAATTCGGCGGCGTAGAAGGCGGAACAGGCATGGGCGGCTTCTCCGGAAGCGGAGGCTTCTCAGGTGGCAGCAGTCGATACGGCGGATTCGGAAGTGAAGAAGCTAGCTATGGAGGTTACACTGGGGGTGTCTACGGGGATGGTGGAGGGTTCGGGGGCAACGAGTCGGGTTTCACAGATACACAAGCCCGCCGTGACAAATTCGAGGAATACGACGAGGGTGACGACGATGCGTCCCCGCCAGCACGGCGAAACCCTCCTCCAGCGGCCTCATCAAGTCAGGCCAGGCGGGAAACAAAGAAGGAGCCTCCGAAAGCTAAAGCACCAGAACCTGTGCCTGATCTGCTTGCATGGGATGACGAGCCCGCGCCGGTCTCTAATGCACCAGGAAAGCAGCCTGTTACGACCTCCGCTGCCAACGACTTCGGAGATGATGATGACTTCGACGATTTCCAGTCTGCCGCCCCCGCTGCCGCCCCAGCATCGAAGCCCGCAGCAGCGCAGTTTATAGCACCTCCGGCGTCCACTTCTACCATCAACTCATCGACGCAATTCGCTGCCCCTCAACCTCAGTCTGCCGCGCAGAACAACAACCTGAACGATCTGTTTGCAACAGTGTCCCCTCCACCTGCGATGAACACGCTTGCTTCCCCACCCGCAGCCACACCTTCTTCAGCATCCTCTTACAAGCCAGCGGGCTACCAGGCTGCTGGGCCCAACTACTTCACCTCGGTCAACATCAATGCGAACGCTCCCCAATCTGCCGCATCAACTCCGTCCGTAGCGTCTCCCAGCATTGGTGGTAATAAGATAGGAGCTGGAGCCCCTAAAAAGGCGGGCGGTGATGCTTTTGCCTCTCTTCTCGGCGGAGTAGCACCCAAAAAGGCTGCTACGCCAACTCAAAAGGTGACCATGGCCGACATGGCGAAGCAGAAGACGAGCCAGGGCCTTTGGGGAGCTCCGGCTTCTGGTGCCAGCACCCCAGCGACACCACAACAGGGCGGTGCAAAGCAAGGTGGTGCATTGGGTGACTTGCTGGGCTAGTCACGTAGAGTGGAATGTTATACTGTGGGAGCAGATGATGAGCCCTGACGAGCATATCGTGTGGTGTCTAATTTGCGAATGGCGTTGGGATCAAAAGAGGGTAGCGTTTCAGACAACCTACTACTTAGGATGACTTGAAATAGGTTCAGCGTGCGACGATGATTACAAAAAGAGACGATGTGCCTAATGTGTGCTCAGATTGAAATCCTGTGGCTGTATGTTTTCGTGAGATTCATTGTGTACATGTATGTGCTCCTCCTGACACCATACCCTACGCAGATGCGGCGAATGCGGGGAAGTGATTGGCTCTGACCACCGCGGCGGACCCCTTAACCAGGATGCCTCCCTAGTAAATAATGTCCGACCCTCAGCACATTGGCGAGATGTTATCCACATCTACTGCTGTCCTTTTCCAGTCCTTCCTCTCCTCTCCTCACATGTTTCGCACGCCGAGAATGTTTCAATGCAGTTCTCGCGCCTCCTCCTCATCGTCGCGATTCTGCTCGCCCCCGTAGCCCTGCTCGGCACCACATGGCTCTACTTATACCCCTTCTTCGACCAGAATTGCAGCTTTCCCGCCCCACCTGATGCGCACATTGCCCCATTCCGACTCCTGGCTTTAGGAGATCCGCAGCTCGAGGGGGACTCGTCATTACCTAAACCTGGCGCGCCTATATTCCCATCTTTCAACCTCGCGATCGAGGAAGTCAGCAATGCGGTGCGCGCTGGCAATTACACACAGGCTTGGGAAACTTTGAGGGATCAAGTAAAAGATGAGGGGCTTGCCCAGAAATCGGCCCTCGAGGGTGTCAAGTGGGTCTGGGGCAAGAGAAAATGGATCGATTTGTGGGGAAACGATTGGTATTTGGGGCATATCGTGAGGACACTGAGATGGTGGACGGAGCCGAGCCATGTCGCTGTCTTGGGAGATTTGCTGGGCAGCCAGTGGATCAAGAATGAGGAGTTTGAGAGACGGCAGAGGCGATACTGGGATGTGGTTTTCAAAGGCATGGAAAAGGTTCCCGAGTATATTATGACGGGAGTAGAGACAGCCCAGACCCCGGAGAACGCAAATGAAACCGAAGCGTCGAAAGAAGGCGATAACGCTGAACAAGACCAAAATGAAAATGATACCCAGGAAAACGAAGAAAATTCTGAGAGGAGATGGGGTGGCACAAGAGAAGTCCTTGGGGAAGACCCGCGCTGGATGAACAGAGTTATCAACATCGCCGGCAACCACGATATTGGATATGCAGGCGACATCGACGAATCCAGAGTTGCGCGCTTCGAACGAGCTTTTGGACAAGTGAATTGGGATATTGTCTTCACTCATCCCCTCAACAACACCAATACCACTTCCACCGCCTCCACAGATCCACAGGTCGTCCCCGAGCTCCGCCTCGTAGTCCTCAACTCCATGAACCTTGACACCCCCGTCTGGACGCCCTCGCTCCAAGCCGACAGTTACGATTTCCTCAACCATATAGTCTCTACCTCGCGGCCCGTAACGTCCAAAACTCACACGACCCTCCTCCTCACACACATCCCCTTTCACAAAGAACCAGGCACATGCGTCGACTCACCCCTCTTCACCTACTTCGAAGGCGGCTCGGGTGTCAAAGAGCAAAACATGCTCTCCGACTACGCAAGCCGCGTTGTCCTCGAAGGCATCTTCGGTCTAAACAGCAACCCATCTGCTGAAGGCAAGGGCTTTGGTCGTCATGGCATCGTACTCAACGGCCACGACCACGCCGGCTGCGATGTCCTGCACTGGATCGAGCAACCTGGGGCTACGCCGGCGTGCCCACACGATGTTCCCCTCGCGCAGATCGCGATCCCGCAGTTCCCAGCTGCCCTCGACATCGAAGCCCTAGCTGCGTCCTCAAACGATACCACGCCTCCCCCTCCATCGTCGAACCACACCACTGACGGCATCCCACTGGAAGCACCCTCCGACCCTTCACAAGATCCCCCTACCGAAAATCACGACAAGGACAACAGCCCAGAAGAGGAACCTCCCAAAAACGATCAAGACTCTAAACAAGAAGACCCAATCTTCCAATCCCTCCGCTACCCACCCCGCACTCCATACACTACGTCTTCCCAAACAAACCAATGCGTTCCGCTCGCCAGCGTTCCCCGCATGCGCGAGATCACGCTTCGAAGTATGATGGGCGATTACGCGGGGTATGCTGGTTTCCTGTCTGCCTGGTACGATACTTCCGCTTCCTCTTCTTCTGAGGACGGAGAAGGTGAGGGTGAAGGAGAATGGCGTTTCGCATTCAACACTTGTGGGTTAGGTACGCAGCATTGGTGGTGGGCGGTCCACATCATTGATCTCATTTGCGTTGTTTTTGGCATCGTTGGCGGTGTTTTGAGCTTGGTGGTTCCAGTTCAAGAAAATAAGGTGGTAGAAGGAAAAAAGAAGGAGATCGTGCAGAACGGTGTCAAGGCCAGGGACAGCGGGGACAACAAGAAGAAGGCGTCAGCGTAAAAAGCAGATTCGTTTTGGAAATAAGAAGACGTATGTTGGTATGTTTGGTTGATTGTGGGTGGTTATATCGGGACTTCTGCGTTGTCGCTTTAGCCGTGATTTTTTTTTTCCTGTTTGAATAGAAGGATATGATGATGTGGGAGACATTACCGCGCATTCAATTCATTGGTGTTTGCTCTTTCTGTACATTGCGTTTCATAGCGAGAATATTGCTTATTTACCTCCGACGAAACTGCATCCATTGTCAAAGGTGGAGTCATATCCTGGTTATGCTTAGCACAAGGAAAACATCCCATCATCATCTTCACTCCAAACGACTTTGGTGCCTAGTCAGGAAGGTTTCGTGGTGGCATGTTGGGCAGTAGCATCATGGTTCGAACTTGGTCAATTGCAGGACACGGTCATGAACAATTGGTATGGGGAATCGCGTTCATTGTGTTGCTGGCGTTATCTTTAAAAGAGCGACGAGTCCATCATCCTCAGTCCACCATCCGCCTGAACCCCATCATATCATGATCCATCTGCGCCATTGCAATTGAAGCAATTTGGTCGCATACCAATTCATGGGCATCGAAAACCCACAAAAGCATTCCCAAACATCATTTTCATTGAGCGAAGGATTGTTGTTTCACGGATTACCGTTATTCCAAGGGAAGTTGCCCAGCTGATATTATCCCTCGCCTCCACCAAGTTGAGAAGTCTACCACTGCGGAGGCTGCTCCGGACGGGTGAGCCAGCCGTCGAAATTGTGCTTGAAGCGGCATGGCGTCTCGTAGCACTCCTGCGTGATGTGGCGTATGGAGCAGCGCCAGCGGGCGCAGTGCTGGTCAGACTTGTGGCACTCATTGCAGGTATTCTTATCGTCGCATTGGGCGCCGCTATTGAGGCAATCAATGCATGGAAAGACGTCGTGAGGGAGTCTCTCATTTTTGGCTGGGACCACAAGGTGAGCAGCGCCTCGAAGTGCTTTGCCTGATTCGAGCTTCTGCTGGTTTTTGGCGTTGTTCTCAAGCATGCGATGGAGCTTCTTATTTTCGTTGCGATTCCTGTCATCAGACGAAGTCTTCTCTCGAAGTTGCTTCTTCAAGGTCTTGATCTTGTCCTCGTTATTGTCGGCTGTATCGCGCACGTGCTCTCGCTGATCTTGAAGTTCGTACTCGTATTGTGCTTTGAGATGGTCGATTTCCTCCTTGAGACGCTTGTTCTTATCCTGAATCTTCTGCCAGTCTTCAAGCTGGGTTTGAAGGCGAGTGACGATGCCCTTAAGATGCTCGGTCTCACTGATGCGCCCCGTTAGTAATAGCAGCGCGATATCTACGGAGAAGCTAGAAGAACGTACCAATCTTTCTTAACGATCATTTGCTCGAACATCTTGACCTTTGCGCTCGAATCCTCCTGCTTCTCGCCTTCGACTATGTTGCGATCGCGATGAGTAGCGTCTGCTTCGTACCGCTTCAGCTTCTTGAGAATGTCGTCCCGGTCACAGAGCTTAGCTTCTAGGGCCTGAATCAACTGGTTCTTGCTGAATAACTCAACCTCTTTCTGGCGAAGCTCATTGGCCATTTCTGCAACCTTGCTCTTGGTGCGCTCAAGCATGTACTTTTGCTCTGCAAAATCGTACTTTTTCCCGTCAAAGGCTTGGTGAATTTCCTGTTGGGAAGTATGCTGCGAACCCACCTTGTTTGTATCAATCAACGTTCACCTTCAAAGTTTGTCTACAGTCCTTCTTGATTCTTACCTTTTTCTCAGCCGAGGCAGATGGTCCCCGTAGAGAAGAGACGGGGTTACCATGCTCAGTCTGCAGAGCATTCACGGTCTTTCGGATTCCAGATCGCTGACGAGACGCGTCATAATCAGGGCGCTTCAAAAACAGCGTAGATACATCCGTGGTGTCCTTCTCTTCCATTGCTTCACGGCTTAACTCCAGCTGCATATCACGCTTGAGTGCATCGAGACGGTCGAGTTCGTTTTGAATTCCTTCGGGTTGGTTGGGCTTGGCTGCACCCGCATGGCTGCTATAGCCTGCAATTGAGGGGGTGATGCTCGATTCCTTGGCGGGGAACGAGATCTTGACTGAAGAACTTACCGTCTGTGGGTCATTTCCAGACAGCTTCAAGCCGCGCGTGGCAGTTTTAGTGGTGCTGATACCCATGCCGCCTGTGACAATTGGAATCTCGGGTTTCAGAGCTGGAAATCTCAGAGGCTCCTTGCTCTTGACGAGCTTCGTCAGATCAGCAAAGCTGTCCTTGGGGGCAGTGGGCTTGAGCGTGGGCTCGTATACGAAACTAGCTGCCGTAGGGTTAAGAGTCACCTGCTCGGATGACTTGGGCAACTGACCACCTGGCATGCCCTTGGTGTCGTCGTCCCAAATGATCAGATCGTCTTCTTCTACTGCTTGTGAGCTACGACCGCGAGCAATGGAGACATTGACGAGATATACTTACGCGGAAACATGTCTGCGTCGTTGACTTGGGGAAAGGATCACACAATGGTGAAGTGCAGGTGAGAGAGAGGAAAAATTTTAGAGGTGGTGAGCTGTCCTATTTGATAGTCTCCCCGCGTGCCAAGACCAAAATAAAGTCAAAGCAGAAGGCGCCCACAGACGAGGCAAGAGCGAGATACGGCAGGCACGTGATAGATAAGTATGGAAGCTGTCAGAAAGATGTGTTGGCGGCGATGGAAAGAAATCATTTGCTTCGGTCTAGCAAGCCTTCTCCTTCAGCTCGGTACCAGGGTAACTCAGTGGTGTCATGATAACTTGAGCGCTGTAGTTTTCTCAGTCAGTGTTGATGTTAAGATACTCCAGGATGCCATACAAGGAGAGGATTTAGAGCACAGTGCGATATATCGAGACAAGTTTACTGGTTGCTTTACTACATTCTTTGCGGTGGTGCAAGAGCCAGATATCCTGTGTACTCTGTATCGGCCCTTTGCTCTGATAGTACCTGTCTTGTGATGATGTGGTGCTGCTGCGTCTATGACAGGCGTCCGCCATAGTCTGTACCCGCATCGTTCCGTACCAGTGCATGGCTGTCAATAGGTGACTTTCCACGCACCAGATGCATATGGTCATTATCTGCCCAACTTCTTGAGTTCCCAGGCACGAAGCGGGGGGAATACGACGGCGGCCCAAGCGAACCCAACATAGTTACCCATCTACAGAACGTTAGTAGACGGACCAAAGTGCATATGAATATAATTACATCAGCGCCATGTTCCCCTAACAAGTTCGCGATAGGTCCGATGTACCAGACTTGTGACATGCAGAGAATTGCCCCAGTCCATCCGACTAAGAATGCGAGCAAAGCGGCCACGCCTACGGGTAACTTTTTCTTCTCATTCCAAACAGCCCAGTTGAATCCCGTTTGCCTGCGGAACATGAAATGTTCTTCAAGGATAATGGCCACCCAAATAGACACCCAGTAACCCATAAGTGCCAGGAAGTTGGTGAAGATTTCTGCGAGGTGGGCTCGACCTGCGAGCGCACAGACTGTATAGATGATGACACCGATGGTATTCCAAATCACCCGAGGAACAGCGGATGCCCAGCTGCCGAGGATTTGGGCGTCAATACCAGTTGAGTACGTGGGGCCGATGGCATTCGCGATGAGTCCTAGACCCACGATGGTGCTACAGAAGCCCCCGAAGTTTCCCAATGGCTTGTAGGCTTCAACTATCAGAGCACCCTGAGAGACACCGTAAGAAGCCTTCCAAGCTTCGTCCTTTGCCATTCCGCATGCAAGGCCAATCCCTAGAACAAAAGCAAACGTGAAGCTCGCGGATAAACCGATCATCGTAGCAAGGAAGATCTTCCAGCGTGATGCACTCTCCGGATAGTACACAAAGTAATCGGCTGCTCCCCCACCATAGGTGATGGCAGCGGCGAGATTGAGACCGAAGAAGGATAGGCGGTTCGCTGCCAGCGTCTTCCCAGTTGCAAGAGCTTCGGCAGTCACGTTGAACTTTGGACCTGCGACTCCCGCAAGAACACTAAGAACGACTAGCTGAGGAGCCCAAGCATATCTTTCGTAATAGTGGAAAGCCTGATATCCAATGGTCGTAACGACCCATGTGATGACCGCAACTATGACAATGCCCACAACAACTGACATGGTGTTTGCGGACACTGCAGATAGGATTTGGCCAGCAACTACGCAGTCGATCATGGCATATCCAAGAAGAACAATGATGTTGAGAACTACCACGAGCTTTGAAGGCCACCAGCCCATGATATAGCGTGAGAAGATCATGGTCCGATTACCACTCCTTGGACCGAAAGTAGCAATGTACGCTACAGCGAGCGAGCCGACAAGCATGCCAAACACAGCACAAAGACAGGAGTCGAGGAAACCCAGTTCGAAAATTGCAGGTCCAAGCATTCCGAGTGTGACATTGTTCGCCGCTAGATTGATGGAGAACCAGAATACTGTAATCTGGCGATACCCCAAAAGCTGGAGGTCGTGTCGTTCGTGTGACTCTACTCTTTGTATACCACGGGCTTCCATGTTGTATTCAGCAAGGCTTTTCTCCCATCGGTTCCAGATCAATCGCACTCTTCCAAAGGTGGTCTCCTCACTCGGCTGTGTAGAGTCCTCGTGGAACGGAAGACCTACATTGGGCGCAAACTTAAGCCCCGATGCTCTCTTATCGTTCTCCACGGACATTTGGTGAGTTGTCTCCATGGTTTTGAGAACCTACACAAGTCAGAAGCCTTCTCCGCGGAGGGGGTTAGCAATGCATGAAGTCCTTTCGCAGGATTTAACCTGATCAAGTTCAGACCGTATCTCTCAGATCACCAGCGAGACCAAAGTGAAGACTTATACGAACGTCTGAACTATGGGCTCACTGGAGAACACCGGTCTCATGCAATTGCTTCGTCAATACCTTGATCGGCTTGGATTCTGCTACTCAGCTGCATTTTTTCAGATGTCGTCATACTTGTTGACCGAGATAGTGGTATGGAGTTTGTGAAGAGGCGGTTTCGAATAGGTTGTGGCGTCCAAAATCGAGATGAGATGATGATTTGAGGGAAGATGGAAACCGAGAACTGTTGGAGAGAGAGAAGTTGGGATGGTTGAGTGCAGAGGGTGTTCAAATGTTGGCAGGCGGGAAGAGCCCCGCTTCCGCGCCATCACCAAGACGGGCATAGCGAACAATTCATGGTGCTGGCGATCATCTCCACCCTAGTGTTGCTAGTGCCTGGGTGGTACCATCATGTTATCAAGCTCCTCGATATCGCCTAGTCCACGCGGATCAGCATATTGGAGTCAAATTCACGAGCTCGATCGGGATAGTACACGCTCTTCCACAATATTGTGGGCCAAATAAGAGATTGAAGCGAGATATGTGGACTACAATTAAAAAATGAAGGATCGATAAGCCACTGTGCAGTGCACACAAAACATCATAGATCTATATCTATAAGTGTGTAGGTAGTCTGATAAATGTTTGCGATGTTTTGGAGTTCACTAAGCGTAGTGGTGATTCATCGCATTTCCATGCGGCACAAACACTGAGTATTGAAAAACACAGTAAATGCCTTCGAGCTCCAGGCAGGGCACATGTTCCGTGGTTAGCTTTGGAGTTCACCTTGTTATACATGAACATTGACCTACCTCTCTTAAGACTGCTATCTGCAGTATGTCCATTGTCCAAGAAACCTCACGGTTCTGATTACTGGCGTAACAGCGTTGCGTCCGCCTTTCTCGAACGCAATGATTGGCGACTCCTGCTCAACACCATCATGGCAAACGTCAACTGATCCGAAACGGCCGCAACCGCTCCAAAGGAGGCTGGCAGCCGTATCGAACCCTAATTCGACATCCACATTTGCTTCCTTGGCCTTCTTTGAAACGACTATTTCGAGATATTGCACATCGAGTAACTATTTTTGCATTGCTCATGGCGCTGGGTTTGGAAGGAGAGGAGCGGTGCGGGAAATTGCGGGCGTGATTACGGCAGGGCCTGAGTATAGTGCGAACGAAGTTTATTAGTATGAGGCAGGATGCGATAATCTTGTTAATCTATGAAACTATGGAGCTTTTGAGTTGAACCCATTGAATGGAACGGGTGCTATTTCGATACATATTGCTGAGGGTCAACGAGATAAGACGAAGTGTCTCTCGTGCTTCTGAAACGAGGGTATAACTGCGCAAAGCAGATTGCAGATATATCTTGGTTCAGTGGCTTCAAAGATAACAACGTCACATGATCTCATCAATTGCCACGACCTCGTATCAACGCGTGGTACTTGACATGCTACATTATCATCAGAAGACTGGCGACTCAAATCACTGGAAAATCATAGTGATACAGGTCCGCTGAGCTTTTCCCGAGAACCAGGGCGAGCCTATTTGGCTGTAGAGTACTGCTAGAGCAAAGATATATTTATTAACGATGGATACGTATCTGTATGAGCCAAAAGGCTTCGAAGGCTTCGTCAGATAAGTGGAGAGGAGGGATTCGTTTTCCAATGTCGTAGCAAATTTTTACCCAATCCCTCGATCCTAAATTCCAGATGCGAAATTCGAATCGTTGTGTATCTCAAGGATCCGATTATTCCAGATGTTTGCATTCAGGACCTTATTTCATGTTGTAGTAGTGTTTCCGGAACAACGGGATATCGTCCTGCACAGTTCTTTAATCTCGGCTGACCGTTGGATCCCAGGCGCAAGGCTCATATACCCCAGTATCAAGACGCTTCATGTCTTCTTCCGTAAGCTCGAAATCGTACAGCTGAGCATTTTCTTCAATTCTTGACTTTGTTACCGATTTTGGCAATGGCACAAATCCCTGAAGCGCGTTTAGTTTAAGATTCATCGATGATTGAGCGTACTCTAACACATACCTTCTGCAAACTCCACCTCAGAAGAATCTGAGAAGCTGTCTTCCCGTACTTTGTTGCCAGTGGTACCAGTAACGTGTCGTCCGCTTTTGTCGCTCGAACAAGCGGACTATACGCCTGACATAAAACACCTCGCGTCTTACACCAATCCACTATGTCTTTCCTAGCGAGCCAAGGATGTAACTCAATCTGATTGATACTCAATACACCCCCTTTCCCCGGCCCTTCTTTCTCATCTACACTCTTGATGTACGTCTCGAGCTCTTCGAGATGGTGCACACCATAGTTACTAACCCCGATGCTGCGGATCTTCCCGGCATTAACGCCTTCGACAAGTGCTTTCCACGCACCGATTCTGTTCTCCTTGCCACCATATGGGGAGTGGAGAAGGTACAGGTCCACATAGTCGAACCCGGTTTCCCGGAGCGAGCTGTCAATGTGCTGCTTAGCAGTCTCGTAGCTCATTTGCTTGGGTGGAATCTTGGTAGTAAAGAAGAGCTGAGAGCGCGGAATTCCCGATTTCTTCGTGCCTTCTGCTGATGGCGCTTCGTTGCGATATGCAACAGCTGAGTCAACATGGCGATATCCGGTCCTTAGTGCATGCTGGACCACTTCGGATGCGACGGCTGCAGGAGTCTGATAGACGCCGTACCCGAGGACTGGAATCTCATGACCTGAGTTCATGCGGTATTTCGAGTCGAGAGTGAGGGGGACCATCATGGGTGAAGATGTGTGGAAGGGGCGGATAACGGGGTTTTTGTTGATAGCGATTAAATGACTACGGAACTGGGTGAGTCTTGATATAGCCGTTTTCATTCTCTAGGCAGACACGCTGCAGTAAATCGATAACTGAGATGCTATTGATGATGAAGCTGATGACCAGAGGTTGTCGCGATGCTCGAAGTGGGTTTGACGCAATTATGATAGGCGTCATGATAGATCCATTTTAGCGAGGGTTTGACTCATCATGTTCAAACGTTTGTACGCTGGGAATAGATACATGTATATTTGGAAAACATGAACTAGACATCTTGCTAAATTATCAGAATAAAGAGTTCTATCGACGAAATCGAAATCAGGGTGCGGCCCATATTCGCTCTTGTTTTTCTGCCTTTGAATGCGGCAAACACGTGCATAAGAGCTGCGGCGTGTTGGGTTCAAATGGTTTCAACTCGACGCTACAACAATCAAGGAAAACCGCAGTAGACACAATGAAAAAAAGCCTTCGTTTAGAACTCAGACTATCGTATGGTACATGGAGTCTTGAACTGACACTTTTATCAACATCTGAATGAAGTTCGAGCGTGAATACCACGTGACCGGAATTCGCGGCCCAATCAGTCTAAATGCCTCTCAACGCTGATACAGAGTGCGCAGCAAGGTCATCTACAACTACTCATACAAATATTGGATAACTCGCAAAACTCGGCGGACTAGTACTATCTTGCAATGATATCAATAGTCTCAAAAGAATTTCAACATGTCCCTATACCTGTACTGGGTCAACTAGGGTCAAGTTCATCGCGCAATTTCAGCCGCCCCCAGTACGGACTTCAGTGGGTAGCGGCAAGGTTCCAGAAGTAGTTTGGAAGGTTTGCCACGCGCTCCCGACCGGTTAAATGGACAAAAAAAAAGCGTGGCATTCGTAGGGAATAAATCGTGCGCGCCAGGGGGAACGATCCTTAGTGTACCCGAAACATCACAATGGACTCAGGCTTCAGGCTCGCAATGCTTGTAGCTTATCAGTCAGCCACCCGTATTTGATATAATACGGCTCGCACGGATGCATTCTACCCTTGCTGGTCAAATTGTAAATGCGTTTACATTGGACTCATCGTAGTAAATAGGGGATGAAATGAAACTAAGAGAACTACAAAATCGTTATCGCGAGCAAAAGCGTCAAATGACGCTTGTCTATGGTATGTGCGTGCTCCGACCATTGGCACATCACTCATTCAACTGACGCATGGTAATTTTCAAGCGACTGTTTTTTTGCCCCCGATGCTCAATCCCGGCAGCTCTACTGCAACTGGGCTCACCATGGAATCAACTTGAGACCACTTCAACCAGTCATTCGGTAATACTGCGCTGCATACTGTTTGAAGGCCACGCGGAACTTGCCAGCGAATTGCACCTGGAACCAAGGCTCACTTCCTATTGGATGAGCAACTACCGCATCCGCATGAAATGCAGCTGACAGAACATGAAGCTTACAGAATTTCCTACTTGAGATGTTTTTGCTGTCATTTTATCCAGGATTCATTCGCTACCCTGACATCTTGTGTCGCGTGGTATGCACGCGATGTGCAGCATGCGTATGCTAGACCTGTTTTGTGAGAAGTTTAATTCGGAGTTTATGGTTGTGGTCTTTGCGCTCGAGGGGTTTTACATCGAGCAACGCATCAAAACATGGACATCTATAAGGGCGATGCTCACAGGTGCACAGAACGGAACATGCCACCCGTCGAACGCATCATGCGGCAACACCAAGCTTCGTTTCAAAACATCTCATGCATAGCGACAATTCCGAGCGGAACCATCGCTTTTTCAGTGTGTTCGTCTTTGGTGGGATTCCTCCGAATATTTCATGTGTATGTGCATCTGGAATGACACTGATACAACTCCGACTTCTTGCTCTGATCCAGTCATGAAACAGCACCGATCACCGAAATGGAGATTAACGGTAACCAGTTCGCTATAGACTTAACTACGCATACTTGATGATCGTCCATCAGGTCAGAAAATACGAGCAAACAGGCTTCAGTCTCGATGGCCTAGCATGACCCTTGATGATTACACCTTGCTCCAACACCATTCGGAATGATGTACCTCAGCGGTATCGTCCCGCGTCAAGTGCATCGAGCGGGGATAAGGATTATCGGGGAGGATGGGTTTAAGTTCATGCGATCTTCAAACTCGATGTTGTTACGGGTAATCCGTGCACCAGATGATCTTCCTCAAACATGACGGCAATGGACAAGAGCATTCTAGGCATGCCATAAGCCTAGTGCTAATAGTAGTAATGTATTGCTAGCGTAGCGGCATCCATGGATAACTGCATCCAAACACGTTGCTTGCACCGAAACACCAAGGCCATGCATTCCCCAGACTAGTATATTCGGCGACTGCACACTCGGTTGACAGCCGAAACAATGACCGCGGAGCTCAAAGAGACAATTGCCTCCGAGTTGATCTATACAGCACCCCTCGGTAGCGGCCCCCGAACACGTCGTGACCCCTCTTCTAGGTTCTGACCGATGACATTCTCTCCTGCCCTGTCCCCCCACCACCTCCATGGGCGCCCTGCAGCCACAAACGCTCCGCTCATCTGCGATTCATTTGTTTCGCTGAGCTCGTGCTATCGTGCTCCTACCATGCCCGAACAACATATTTCCCTTTCTTTTTTGGCTATGCCGGCCTTGCATTGCGTTTCATTAGCTCGCCGTTTGGGCAGCGGGCCGAGAAAGCAAGGCCACCCTTGTTCATATCAGGGAGGAAGGTGTCAACGGTCTGGATTTCAGAATGCAGTGATTGCTGGAGCGGGATGGGCCTCGACGGGAACAAGGAAGTAGTAGTACAGACAGAATGGGGGCCGATATGCAAATGCTATATTATTTCATATATCGAAACTGAAGTCAGCTGTTGAATGGCTGGCCTAAGTCTCATATATCGGCCAAAGATGCTATTGCTACATCACTTTTTCTCTTAGCAGGCATACCAGGAGCCAACCGATGGTAAATCTTTGACGGATTGGGGAATTTCTGCGCCGCTACTTTTCACGCATGATACATGTATGTACCAAGACGCAATTCCAACTTCTCGCGTTGTGATGCAGTCAGTGAACTTATACAGGATTCAGAACGATGACACAACGCCACTCCCTCACCTCTATGATCACCGTAATCTATATCATATCATAATATATATGGCATGTGGTATAATGAAGATGACGACGCGAATTCTACGCAACGAACCCCCACCTCTCTCTTCCAATAATGGCACAGAAGGTTCAAGAGCAAAATCAACCTCACTGCATCACAATGTGTTTCAGAAGCATCATGTCAGAGACCGATAATGCGCAGATGTATGGCTTGCTGCATGTTCTTCTCCCACGTGGTTCAGCTCGCGCCTGAGTCCTGCTCCGCTGCCCCAGTATCACACTACATCACGCATGCACATGTACGCATACAATATTAGTATACGCACGACGAAGGAGGTAAGACAAGGGTGCTGTGAGGAAGTGGTGGCGGCAACAGTAGTTGATTCGTCCACGAGGGTAGGCGGTCAGCGTCGGCGTCTACCCACTGACATGTGCTTGCTGGGAATAAGGAATATGTGGGAGAGCAGTCTTAGATACTCGTGTTTGTCTAGTTCTGGCGATGGAGAGAGGGGGAAAGGGGAAAGAGCGTCGTCTAGGTGGCGTTGGAAGGTGGAGGCGGAAGGAACGGGAAGGAAGGAGTTTCGGGAACGATCAAGCCACGAAACATCCAGGCGAACTGGCTGTATTGAACTCTTGAGATTTTGCACTTAACTTTGGGTTCACGGGGTGAAGGAGTAGTTGGTTCGACCCGTAGTGTGTGTCTGGTTTACTGTTGCGATGATGACTGTCAATTGCCGGAATGAAGGAAGGAGATTGCATTTCTCACTTAGTCTTCAGGCGAAAGTGCTGGCTAGTAAAATTCCCATCGAGAAGTCCCCAGCTGGCTTTGCGAGTGCATCCTCACCTGCTATTATTCAGATGTTGGAGCGTGGCATTCAGCATGTCTTCCACGCTATGGCGAGCATGTTCATATTGTAGAATCAGAACTAGGCGAATGACTGATTGAACCCGAATGTTACTCAAATGACACATGCCGTCTGATATCATGGCTGAAATGCTTGAATACATGACATCTTGTTCTTACTTGAACATTTCCCATGAAGCAGATTCTCGCCAACACATGCATTATTATACGGGCTTCATGTATTCATACTGCACTGAAGGGTGAATAATGATTCAATCAAACAAACTTCTCACGACACTTGTGTGCATGAAGTCCCTATGATTTCTCTAATTCGAGTACCCACATCCCGCACAGCGTCTCCACAATACCCGTTCTCGGTGCTCTTGAGTCATGAATTCCTACCCGAAAGCGAGTTCCTTGGTACTCTCTAGCTTCTAGGGGAAAGGGGTTTGACTCGCAAATTTGCTGTCAGGAGCAGCACATAAAAAATTTGAAATGCTGTTAGGAAACATGTTTTAATCTGCAAATTTCGTCTTAACGCCATTCGAAGTGGTCATTCTGTATCCATAGTACATCCACTAGAACTCTGAACAGGACCACGGACGACTCCATGCGTGGATGAAATTACCCACAAACGTCCGCTTGAACGGCACTGTCGGGAGTGAAAATGGTAGATCCCGCATGTTCACATTCCTATCACAACCCAGACCTTGACTCGCTGTCAAAATCGTGCTAATCGCACCACCATCCATGCCCGCTATGGCCACTGCACTCGGCTTCGCACTCATGACTCTCATCCATATCACAGATCCAAAAATAATTTCCAACTCGCAAAAACCTGGACGAAAGGGAAAAATAGACCCTGAAGAAAACGGAAGAACAAACACTACAAGCCCCTCCCCGAAAAGAATATTATTTTAGATCACTGTTGGGGTAGTTCCAGTGCACACACGAAATTAGACGCGAGAGGGAGCCCAAGGCAAACATGACCTTCCTTTTCTTTTTCCCTCTCCCGATGCGACCTTCTTTGCATAACCACTTCACCGCACTACACCGATGACCAGACCAAAGCATACGTTCGATAGCGTAAGAAAGCGTTGAATGGGGCGCAGGCGGCATCCCATAACCCATAACCATGCGACGCGCAACGAAACGATGGAGCCGATTAAGCGCTGCGGCGTAGTGTTTCCATCTGCGGGGTGTGCCTCGAGGGCACTGGATACTCGACACCTAATTAACCCGTTTTTCACCACGCCTTTCATATGAGTATGGGCCGAATGGGTAAAGGGAGTTTGTTCTCGTCAACGGTAGGTGATTTGCTGTCAAGCGGTTGGATGGATAGATGGATGGGGGGCGGAGGGTGCCGCGTTGGCGAAGATGGGAAGTCACCCGTCCGTCCTGTCATGCGTTGGATACTTTATTCCGTAGACCTTCATTTATCGACGTGGCTGTGGGTGTGGGGATATAGTAGCTGCGCAGGTAGCTTGGTGTGAGTATGTGGCGTAGCGTCTACACAAAGGACATCGATTCATGTCGCCTGGAGGCGCGAGTCTTTCGTGCAGCATAGTATCAGTGAAAGGACAGATTTTCATATTGAACCGGAAAATGTGATGTAGAGGGAGTTTGTTTGGGAGGGAAACTCATGGGAGGGTGATTTACGGGTGTCTGTCTGAGTAGAAAGGTGTGGCATTTGTTTTGAGGTGAAGACATTGAACCGAATGACTGGCCGCTGCAGAAGGGCAATGGTCAAGAATTCAGGCAGGTGCGAGATCAAGACTGATCGGTGAAGATGTTCCATGACATGGCACGATTTCGCCCCCCTTTGCCTTCTTTTTCTGACTTACATGCCGGATGAACGAACAAGCGAGGTGTCGTGCAAAACATACATGCACGGGTATGAAAGACAGAGTCGGATATCTTGCACAAAACCACGACGCGAACAGTTTCAAGCGCTGAAGGAAGAATAGAACGGTTGAAGAGGTTAATGATTTGATTGAGGCGAGGTCAGATAAGGCAAACGATAATTTTACGCCAGTATACCGCCCCATGGAGAAAGAAAGACCCGTAAACTAATGCGCCGCCAATGCACTTCATGTCATATCATGTCCGTGCCGCACTGCTGAAAACTCCACCTGTCTTTGTATTGATCAGGAATGCCCGCTATGAACGAAAAGATCAAGTGCCCGATGCTAGCTCGAGGCGTTATGTAACAAGGATGTACAAGAAAGAGTAAGGTGGCCCGTATGTCTATTGTTGAATCGGCACGTAGGGCATGAAGTGATGCGGTTCTACGGGACTCATGGCGTATGATGGTGGGTAGGAGGTGGGGACTTGGTGCTCGTATGTCGCGTAAGTGGTGTAAGGGGTTGGGCCTGGGTCAATTTCTGCCCACTTGCGCGCGCATTGCCGTGCTGTCCATTTCTCCGTTGCGCCAAACTCGAGCATCTACAGTAATCAGTTTGTGTTCGAAGGGGAGACTAGCAGTGATAGCTTACCTTTTGTGCAATGATATCGAATTTGTTTTGCACCCAGTAATCATGCGCCGATCGGAGTGCCTTGATATCAGTCTCCGTCCATACTCGCATGCGCTCTCGTAGCCGCTTCAATCGCATTTGCAGCGCAGGAATCTGATAGGATTTGCCAAGATCAGACTGGAAGCGGGCAGCGATTTCCTTCCAAGGCATGCTCTCCTCATCCTTGAGTCGGATGAGGAGACGATCCTCTTCGCCAAGCTCTATCGTGCTTGAAGTGTTTGAATCTGACCGTCTCCTTCGCTTAGACTGTTCAGAAGGCTCTTCTTCATCCTCGCGAGCTCGCTTGGGTGCACTGGTCCCAGGGAAACGAGGGTGAGGCGCAATAGGAGCATATAGACGACGGCTTTGTAGGGCAGTCAGGTCGCTGGGAAAATCCAAAGTCGGTTCGCTCAAGCTTGGGCTGTGGTGGCTTGAATAATTGGAGCTGGGGTAGAAGAGTGGGGGCATGTTGGGAGTGTGATTGTTGAGACCATTCACTGCCCAAGGCTGGTACTCCCCGGGGCTGCTTCGTGGGCGCATTGGAGTTGGACCAGTGGACATCTGACCAGAGGCATCTGGAGATGGAGGTTTGGAGTGGGCAGTCAATGCAGGCAGCATGGTGTCGGAGCCTTGGGAGCAGGGTGATACTGGTGAATAGTTGCCTGCTGGGTTCTCGATACTCGAAGGTCCTGATAATGCGACGTCGAGAGCCTGTGTTTGGGATATTTGATGATGATGAGGTGATAGTGGACCGGCAGATGATGGATGTGGTGTTACGTAGGACTGGTTATATGCGAATGTGCCGAAAGTGTTCTACAAATCGATCAGATGGAGGCTAAGATGAGGCAGAGCAAAGCTGCAGGAATGATCGAGACAAAATGAAACACAACAAGATGAGGTGAGATGAAGAGGCAAAGTGAAAGTTTATCATACCTCATGCGGAGTGTCCATGGCGGAACCAGAAGGGGTGAACCACCCAGGCGCAGAAGTCGGCACTGGGGTGTCCTGGGAGGTGAGCGGGCTGTCGTGTAGGCGTGTGGCGTAAGAGTTTAGGGACTCTGGGGTCATTGGGCCGGGTGAAGAGGTGGGCGGGTAGCAGTGCGAATTGTACGTTGACCACGGCAAAGAAGTGGTCAGTTGCAAGTGTGGTGGGGGCACAGTGCCTTTGAGGACGGCAGGCATAGCGAGTGTGGTTGTTCAGATGGCAGCAAGGTGGGGGGGGGGAAGTTGCCGTATATATGTACTCTGACCAGAGAGGATGATGTCAAGGCGTTGAATGAGCAGCCGGCTCTGGCGAAGAGTGAAGGATGATGGAGAAGAGGGTACGAGCTGTGTACGGATGAGCGCGTATGAGGTCGGGAAGAGTATGAGCAACGATGATTGTGGTATAGTATGGTGGTGTAGCAGTAGCAGCAGCAGTACTTGTAGCGATCCGAGGGCGAAGCAAGGCAGTGCCCGTGAGCTGTATATCAATCACCCAATGCCTCTGTCCACCATCTGCGTGGAAGCCACCGCGAAGGAGCGCAGGCTTCTAGTGCGGCCGCTTTATCGACGGCCCCGGCGCGCGGTCTTGGAAGGATGAGGCATGCAGACCATGCATGTTTAGCGCTGGGGGTGTGGTGTATGCACCGCACCGCACCATAGCCGTAATGTACACCTCTCCCCCATGCCAGGCCATGCCAGAGCATGCCTCCCTAGCTCTATCCAGAAGAACCATGTCTGTTGGTCCCTTGTCAACCCAGTTCAGGGCTCTCGCGCTTGAGCCGCGTGCACGAACGGCAGTGCCCGGCCCAATAACGGGCACCAACTCTCTCTCTCTTCCTCTTGCACTTCGCAGGAATATGTCAAGCCTTTCTTGTTTGGCTGGGGCCATGTAGGCAGGGAGAGGAAAACACGAACTCGGTGTCTACCAGATGACCAGGAGAAGACAGCAGCCTTCAAACACCAGTCCGCCGTAAGTCGGAGTGCCGTATTCACACGGTCATGCATCGTACAGGACGTATCTAAGTGCTGTAGTCGGCGTGTAACTGCTACTGACAATGGATGCTTTCTGTCACCCTCCGCCGTGCCGCCTGGCGGCTGAACCGCGACTGCGGCTCACGGCGGCGTTGTCGCGGGCGGCGGCGGTCGTTTTCCACACATGCCCATCGTCGCCGTCGGCTTTTGGTGTGCGAAGTGACGCGCGAGCCTTTGTTTTGTGGCTCGTTTTCTCGGGGCTAGCACTGCGCCTGTTCCAGCATTTGATTGGATAGATGATAGTGCATTGATTGACTGACGCACAGGTCATGGAACGTCAGATGCCACCCAGGTCATCGCCAGCTGGGCAAAATACACCACATGCGGTGACTTTGGCCATGGAAATGGTCGCTAATATCTCGTCGCATCCGCAAATCACGGCTGGCGTGTCTCGTTCCGCCTGCATCAAGCAAGTCAACTGGTCTCATTGAGTTTTGTCTCTTCGGCTCTTCCCAGCTTCATTACCGCCGCCAACTGGCTACGTGTTGCGCCAAAGACGGCCCTATAACTGACGCACCATCATCTCCTGTTTAGTTACCTACTACCATAGTCACGGTAAATGAATCCTCGCTCGGTGCAGCAGTGTACTACACCGGCCATATCTCAGGTCATGTCACTGAGCCTATAGACCACCCCCGACAGATACATGCTCGTGTTTGAAGTCGTCAGTGCAAGATGCTGCACCCGTCCTTTGCGAAATTGGGCCATCGCAGGCACCGCACCCTTACTCACAAGCTTTCTGGCTCTCCAGCGAGCTCGGATACTAGCTTCCGTCACCTAATTCTCACCCAGAACCACCATCAGGCCGGACTCCGACCATGAGACGCTAGCAGAATTATACCCCATCCTCACTTTCCCCTAACAACAGCCCCTTTCCCCCTTCATACAGACCATAATCTTCCATGCAGCATTCTGGAAAAGTCTGTCGACCACTAGTCAACATCAGATTTTGGCACGGGCCCATGTTGAGGTCAACCCACTTCTACACAGTACAAGACGCCGAGATCAGAGCGCCTTTGCTCCACCTGCTTGCCGTAGCGAGATCATACAACGGAACATCTGATGAGAAGGCTCGTTCCTGCATTTCGCAATGATATGATATCCAGGATGCTCTCCACTAGACCAACTTCTCCACTGTAGTTGGCTAGAACGGCAAAGACATGGACGAGGGTTGTGTTGGCTTAGATAGTAGGAAGACATCGCAATTCTTGGAGTGCATCATCAGGGTGCATACGTATGGGTATGTATGTATGCGCTCATGGAGTTTTTTTTTTGTTCTGATGCTCTAAACTCTATCATTCCACCGGCGCCCGCTTCGATCGTTCCTACTCTGCTAGTTACTGTAGCGTGGCACTATGCCCTACTGTAAGGCCACCGGGCCTCGCCTGTTCTGTGAACGAATGGTTCGCTCGTTCAATCTAGGAAGCCGTTGAGATTGACCTGAGCGGTTGTGGAGTCTCGATATGTCCGATATAGCACCAGCCTCAGCGTGCAGCGGTCCGTGTTTACCTCCAACAGAGGGAAATGGGCAGCCCTACAGCCTCCGCGTTTGAAGGTGGCAGGAATGGATGTCACGCAAACGGAGGCCTTGAAGATGACGGCATGCATTGCAAGCGATTGTTTATTGCAAACGCATGACTGCAGAACGGCGAAGACAATGTCTCCGAGAATCTGGAAGGCGTTTTGGACCCCATTCGCGGTCTGGACGAACTCGTGCGATGTTTCAAATGCTATTGATTCCATTGCAAGAGGAGGCCTTGGTATCCACTAAGCGCTGCCGGGCCGATTGAGCAAAGGTGCTGTGTATCAGCGCTGTACTTGAATAGTCTCGATCGATGCAGGCACAGAGTGAGTACCCCGGTGCCCGTCAGTGAGTCGTGATATGTGCATTGTTATTAGCGAACGTGTCGGTGATGCACGCGTTGAAGAAACTCGTCTCGAGGTGGGCGGTCCAGAGTGTTTGAGAAAGGATAATGAGATCCCACACTATTCATTAGGCCGCTACTAGTAATCGTAATCGATGATGTTGGCTCATATGGTCTCTTGCAGTCTGTGGGGTAGGCAGCTAATCCTCTTCAAGACTAGTGCAATCGTCACATGGCGTCTCTCCTACCACGTCTTCGGTGAACTTCAATCGCTCAGAAAGCAGTGAGAGAGATCCCAATACGCACGCCAACACCCGCCCGTCCAACATCCGAACAGTGAAAGCCACCGCAGAGCTGCGCCTAAACATCTCTGACGCACGACCTCCTCTATAGAGCGTCCTAGGCTCCCATACCGTCTTGCCGGGCGCCGAGAACCGCACCATCACCAACAGGCTGCCAGCCTCGTGCTGCGTAGCCATAGCGCATCCCAAGCATGGTCTTCAATATATTTCACATCTTGGGCGATGTATCACATACTACATCTAAGCTCATCTTGATATGGGCCATCCACAACAACAGCAGCGCCGAGGGTGAGCTCACCCCCTTCAAACCCACGTGTCCATGGACCGAACGCTATCCAGCTAACCCGCGTACCAGGCGTCTCACTTATTACTCAAGCCCTCTATACGCTCGTATTTTGTTCCCGCTACCTCGATATCTTTACGGTGTCTGCAACGAAGGATTGGATGCACTCATGGAACTTCTCGCTCAAGGTGTGCACGCCGGCGACCCTGGGCCTAGAACCCTACGCTGATACCTGACAGATATTCTATGTACTTTCTTCGCTATATATCATCTTTCTCATGACGAGCGTCTATGCTCGCACAAGGGAGCGTGAGAAAGCATGGAAGTTTGGAATGTATTGCCTACTTGCTAGTATCGCCATCACCCCTTTTTGGTATCTCATCTTCAAAAATTGGGTTCTCGGCCAGCATACCTTCTTGAGGGTACGTTATCATCTCATTATAATATGCTCTTAGTCTTGCTCTGCGGCGATTGACGTATATACCAGGTCTTGTGGGTTTTCTCTGAGATCCTCGAGTCCGTTTGCGTGGTGCCGCAACTTCTGCTCATGCGCCAAACCACCGTTCCTACCGTTATCGACTCGTTCTACCTAGTCGCATTGGGTGCCTACCGCTTCCTATACATTCTCAACTGGATAGTCCGTGGGGTTGACGAACACCATAAGGATCCTACCTCGTGGGTATGGGGCTCGATCCAAACGGCGTTGATGATTGATTTTGCTTGGGTGTACTACAGCCGACAGCGCGTCAAGTTGCGACGAGGTGGTGTCGTCGATTCCGAAGATCTTGGAAGAGGATGGCTTGTCGGGCGTTTTGTGGGAAGAAAGAGCGTTGATTTTGATTTTGAAGAAGAAGAGTCGGCGCGTCGCGAAGCCCAGAACGGACGTGCCACAAACAAGTGGGGCAGGAATGGCATATCGGTCTCTGCTGACGAGGGTGTGCGCGATGCGCCACGAAAGAAAAGCCCAGCGAATGGAAATCTGGATCCGGAAGCGCAACCCTTGGCAGACCCAGCCGCATTCGAAGACGATAGCGATGATGGGCTGGACGCGCCGCCCCCTGCTTCTGCTGCTACTGCTTCAAACACGCATCATGATAGTGGAGTCAGTGGAGGGGATGAATGGAACGACGATGTGGATGCGGATGCCCAAGAGCACACTGGGCATCCAAGATAAGCGCATCGCGAAAGATATGTATTATAGCCGGCGGTGTTGGCCTCTCGTTGAGAAGGTCTTTTTGTTATTTCTTGCAAAGACGAAGTAACCATAAAGTGCGTTTCTGGCATATTGATGCTACAGGATATAAATGGAAGTACACAGTCACTGTAGTCATTGCCTAGTACGATTGACGTGCATGATGGTGACTTGTACCTGTTGATTCCACACTTGCAATCAATTTGTAAGACATTGTCAATAGCACTGTGAGTACTTGTCTGGTGGGGCTTTGGGCATTATGTTGATCTGCCGAAACACAGTGATGATGACCCACTTCCAGCTCACGCACTCAGCCATTGACGTACAAAATCAGCCATTGACGTACAAAATCAGCACAGGCTACAGCAGCAAGGTACGGGTAAGCTGGCTCATGGGTACAGAAAGGCAGGTGGAATTGATCGAGGTGGTTGCTTGCATCCCTCCTCCCTGTCGTACACGTTTACCCCTCCACGGCACCCTGTGGCCTCTGCATGGAGAAACAATCAGGGTATGGCCAAGTGGGTGGTGGCTGACCAAAGAAAGGCGGGACATGGGAGGCGAACCCTCGTTTGCCTCGTGCTGACCTCGTGTCTTGCCTCGTGGCAGATGAGATGTGATGGGCGCGTGGCGATGATGAGGGGGGGCCAGTCGCTCGCTAGGCACGATTTGTGTTATTTGATGCGTGGCGCACGGGAGAGGTGGGTGGTGGTGGTGGTGGTGGAAGATGGCATTCGCAGCCAGATACCGAAGCTATATCGAGATTTTCCCCTCCCCTTCTGGTGGCTGGCTGGCCGGTTGGTGCTGCCCGTCTGACGTCGTATTCTTCATACATGATCAGGCGTGCGGTACTGCACGTACACGCATCGATGGATATATTTTTGCCGGTGAGGAGATAGGGAACGATGGGTTTTCCGAGTGGAGGCTCGTACAACTAACCCAGAAGACACGAAGGCAACGATATCAATAGCATCACCGTATGTGCCGCCCGGTTACGAGGCCAGGAAAAAGCCATGATGCGAGGGCGGAGGTGATCGCGGAAGGGGGAATGGTGCATTGGTTGCTCGCACCGAGGGAGGTTAGGTAGTGCACCCCTGCACCCACTGCGCGGCACGTGGTATGCCCCCCCTTTTCGTAGTGCGCTCCCGGGGCCAGTCTACGCGATTGGCTGACAGTCCTCGATGGGAGGGATCGGTTAGCACGCGTATGCAGTGCAGGGGGCCTTGGTTTACTGCCTGTGTATGGGTTGAGGGATGGATGCCGCGAGGGATTGGCTCTTTGGTTTACATGGGAAGTACGGAGGGACAAATATTGAACTAGGCGTCTGGGTGGTTAGTCTGCTCTTCCTATCCAGTATGGCGGAATTCCTGCGGCATTTGATGGGAGCAGTGGGTGTCTGTATGGACGCTGGATGGATGGGGGTAGACAAGATTATCATGACCAAGGAATGAGTGCGCGAGGAAGGAATCAGGATGGAGACAGGGCGTGCTGTCGGTTTGAGGGCAGCAGCTCGCTATCCCATCCACGGTTTGCATGAGGCCACGCACGATTCTCCAAGTCTCTTGCATCAAGGCCTCCTCGTTGCTAAAATTGTAGACTGTCGGCAAGTCTATCTATACGTGGGGGAGTGAAGGACGGCGAGGCTGGCCAAACGGTGGCAGGAATCGAAGGAATCTACCGCCCCATGAGCACACGAGGGCGGCCTGGCTTGCCCACGTTGTGTGTAATAATATGTCGGATTGCCAGGCCGCAATACGATTGCACATCCATGCCTGCCACGCTTTCTCCATCTCCCCCCCTCCCATCTGCATGTCCAAGACCTGGCCTCCCTTGCTCTGACCCCATCTCACGGTTCGTTTGGAATTATCCCAAGACCCTCTCTCCTCTCTTCCGGGTCATCACTTTGATATTCTGTCTATCAATGTACGCGACAATCCCAGCCAAAGGCCACTAATTTACCTCTGCACATCTCGCACCATCATCATCACCACCATCATCGATTCCAAACACCACGTGCGCCGACGCGCACTCTGATCTTTTCCCCTCTCTGGAAGCAACATTACACCCGTCGTCATCGTACGCGGTCGAGGACGTAAGGGAGTGGCGTGCGCTCCACTCCGCTCACTACTGGATCTTCTTCCCGTCTCGTCTCCAACTCGGGTGCACTTGTTCCGCTTGTCTTTGCCTCTCGTCTCACCAATGAACAACTATCGCCCCGCCGAGTCCGTAGCAGCAAGTTCAATAGCCACTAGAGACTCCACACAGCATGCCTGAAAACGGCAGCAAAAGTTGAATAAATAAAGATATCCATAGAGCAGAGATCAACTGCTTCACACCCACACACACACACACACTACTATTTTTGTTCAGCTGCCACGCATTAATCAACTCTTCCTATTCCATCCATGCCCATATTCCCCAAAATATATCGTATACGCGTAGCAAGAAGGGTGACGAGAGAGAGAGAGAAAGATAGCGCGCAGTACCCCGATCGGGAATAGCTCCCGCCGTCGTGGGTGGCCGGGAGGGACTCGAGTACACGGCTGCTGACGGTCTGACGCTTTGTTTTTTCCGTGTCTTTTGAATCTCCGACAAATTCTACTAGATGATGACGATGACATGGAACACGTTTCGACACCCTTCTTTTTTTTTTTCCTTTCTTCCCTCGCCGCACGCACGCACGCACAATCCCTCTCCTCCGCCCCAGCAAGGTATTAAGGAAGGAACTTGAATTCTGCTGCTGCGAACCACAAATGTCCGAGGTTAATGCCGTTCCGCTCTCCTCTCGGCGCACGGCACGGAACCGGCGATGCAGCAGCGTATAGTTTATCAAATTCTGCTACTACTTCGTCTCCAACGATTATCCAACGATTTTTTTTTATTTGATTGCTGCTCGGCCCCATTTGTCTCTGGTGGGCGGGCGCGTGGGGTCGTCTTTGAAACAATAGTCCTTCCTCCCCGTTTCCCCTCTATTTTCTGACGCTGACTGCTGATGCCGATTGTGTTTCGAGAATATGGGGTTGTTCGTTATGCCCGTGCATTTTGCGTACGTACGTGCACACACACGCGCGCGCGAGATACACCATCTATCCATGCTTCAATCCATCAGTAAGTATATCTGTGCTCCTCGTGCGTGCTTGCTTTGCTTGCTTAGGACGGATGACGTGAGATGAGAACCCCATGTCTACGAAACAAATGGAGGGAAAATGATAATTAAGGTCAAGGGAACAAAAAAAGGACGTGACCACCACCCCTCCAGGTAAGGTAAGCTGGGGGCCAGAAAGTTTCTCTATTTCGCGCTTCCTCGGCGTTTGTGGTGAGCGAGGGAGAAAGAGAGGATCGAAAGGGATTTGAGGGGTGATGAGTCGTGCATCGTCTGACTGTTTGAGAGGCTCGATGGAGAGTGGTGGAGGGTTCGTCTTCCGACGATGGAAGGGGGTTAAGTAAGGCTGGCTGACTAGTAGGATGGATGGATGCGCTGCTCTGTGCTTCTTCGGCTTTGGGATGCGAAAAAAAATCATGCGTGCTGCTTTGCCCTTTTCCTCTTTCGATGTTCTTTTTATCTCCTTTTAGGAAAAGTAGAAGTGTTTCTGCTCTTGTGCTACTTGTGGCTCATTGGTGGATAGACGATGGATCACAAAGTTATCGTCGCGGCGGCGGCGGTGCTTTGCTTAGTGCTGGGTAAGCAGGTGAGCAGTAGTCGCTCTTGGTGTGACCAATGCGTGTCTGTTCCTGGATTTTCTTGGATTTCTGGGAACTGCTTCTTGTTAGTCCGCTCGGATGAAGGCGGTTCTATTCTGCCTAATGTGTTTGTGATGTTGAGCTAGTTGTGTTTGGATGGATCTGTGATAGATGATGGCTCATCCTTCCGGCATGATGCGGATCTTTGATAAACTGGTTAGGTGAGAGCAGCTATTCACCTTTGGATTGTCCCGGGTTTCCGAACTGTAAGCATTGTGACGATTATCTGAATAAGGAATCGTGTATCTTTCCTTTTCCCCCCATGTATTCCTATCTATCTTCGAGGTTTGGGGTAGGTAGCCCTAATTAGATACGCGTTAAGCTTCTATCGGACCTTTTGAACCGGACAAATTGACTCGGTGTTATAGTTTATATGGAGAACATGATGATATATGAACATCAGTTTCGTGATATCTACGGAACATGTGTTCTGTCTGGAACTCAAAGGCAGTTTTATCGTGTGATTTCTCACTGACTGTTTGTGTCGCATGGAACTGCGATGACTAAATATTGTGCTTGGTTGATATATGAAGAACCCGCGGAATTGAATTCTGTGCTGAAGAAGCGATACTAGTTATTGGTGTAATCATCGATGCCTAATAGACACAAGAGAAATCCAAAGGGGCGCAGTGTATAATGGCACTGATTTTGCTGCTGGTCAACTGAAGGATGTGGACTATTCCTGGCTTTACGCACATGTATGTTTTAGTAGTGAAATATCTATTGTCTAGATGATTGTGAGTTATCACCAGTCCCTGGAACAATACTCTATAGCTGCTTGACTTTGATTTGATGGTGTCTAAGAAAGGTAGTGTGAATCATCGCATTTCTATGCGGTACAAGATCTGATAGTGTCAAGTGCCTACTGGCCTATGTTTGATGTATTTTCTCTAACCTGCTATCCTCGGGAACTGTGACATAGCTCATAGCTCATGTAGGCTCAAATATTGATTCACATGACACACAGTCGTCTTTTAACCAAAAAGCTACGAGTTAGTGATACCGACTGCTCGGCGAAGAATGAAATTGCGGGTGTCATCAAAGCGCTCGTCTCCGGGGCTAGATGCAGCAGAGTTACACAAGTGAATCACACAACGCTCCTAATGAAGCTTATAGTACCACGAGAAGCTCAATATGTTCTTCCACTCGTGTTCCTCGGGAAGTTACCGCGAGCCTGTCTCCCCCTATCACTCACCGGAAATACCCACTGGAGCTAGTATAACTCCCAGCCGTGGACGCGGCTTTGACTGTAATGAAACTGCTTGATATTTCCAATTCCAGATCAAATTGAACATAGCCTCCTCGTCAAGTCCAGCGATATGCGTTGTCACAGCCCAGGAGCGCAAACATGTCGAACGGAACCGCAATCACTGGGGAGTAGCCACAACCCACCAACATCTGATATATAATCATAACTTTCACGTCATTCATACCAGATCTTCATCTTCCTTCCTCTGACTGTTTTGCGTTCCAAAATATCCAAACACATATATATCGTATATGAAAAGGGCCATGTTGTCTGCGGAAGCTGCAGCTACCTTTGCTGTCAGTGTTCTCTCCCTCCTGGTTGCTACCTTGACATGGCTTGAGTCTAGACGCCGAAGGATCAAAGCTGGTAAATTCGATGCTCAAACTACTCAGCACACATCTAACTCTCACAGAATCAGTAGAAGATCTGGAAAGGGGGCTGGGTCTGGAACCGTTACACAGTCAAACGTTACCCCACCTTCGTGCACCGGAGACTGTCCTGGACACTCGCTTTGTACATCAAGTATCACGGACAAGGCCTGGATACCGAGTCAGAATCATGAACTCTAGAGTTGTATTGCTCGACAGCTCGTCTTATCCTCATACATGGACTGACAATATCATGCGAGGATGAGAAGTGGAGAGCTGGAGTCATCTTGCCAGCTTCAATATCGAGAAGATCAACCCTGCCGCGCTCGATAGCGGGTATATCATCGAGAGCCCCGAGATAACTGGGACGGTCATGGGCAGATGGTTAGGACACTTGTCTCTTGTCATTTTATGTCATACTCCGTTCACCCCGGCACCAACCATCACCGCAGAGTTGGCAATCAGACGTTTTTCAGCTGTGGTGCTGTGGCGGCCGAATTGGGCAAGTCTCAAGGAGGAACCACCTGTATGATTATCCCACACAGTTTTCCTTGAGATCGTAACAGCTGGGACGAGTTACGCAGTATCATCGTACAAAAGAATTGCTTGCTGCCACTTACACCGATTGCATACGCAGGCGACTAAAAGAAGAACGGATGAGCAATTGCTGTAAATATATTAAAATAGTGCCCAAATTGCAAAAATTCAGAACGTATCAACTTCCATATCCACTATCCCACTGTGATGTATTTAGTGTGGAAGGGGAGGAGAAGTGGACGAGAAGTGTAGTTCAAAATAAAAGCAGATAGTCGCGCACTGACGTCGATGAAACTGCATAAAGTACCTAGAATACATGGTGCATTCCAATATCTCCGTTCATTGAATCACCAAGTTGTGGTTGGTATTCTTCATGCCTGAGCACCCGGTATGAACACGGGAGAACAGACCCACACAATTGAGTAATTCTTATGAAAGGTGACTGCGATTATTCAAGTAGCAATGATACGATATGAATATTCTCCGAGCGGAAGCAGCGAATGATGCATGTGTGATTTCAGTACCCAGATTTTGAAATGTTCCCCCATGTTTCCACAGTTGCTTAAAAGCTTGAGATACTTGTGTTATTTCATTGGCCCCGTTCTTGTGGGTGATTGTATCCGGCACCATGAGGTCAATACTCACATGCAATACCGCGATGGCAAACAATCAACTGCAAGTCAACCCACCGTAGGGTCGACAAAATTACTTGGATTTGAAACGCAAACAATATCTGCATGCTGTACATAGTTTTGGTAGCGAGACAATTCTCGATGTTGCTTATCTCCTCTAGACTACGAACAGACGGCTCAACATATGGTAAAGCCTTCAGAACCTTCACATATTTCTAATGATAAAGCTCAGATTGTTGGAGAGTCGCAAACTGTTGGATACAGACAGCATATCGTTGTTGGATATGTACTGCAAAGGTGAGAACTATGGGCAGGAGATCGGATGCCGATTGTAGGAGTGTGGCCAATTACATATGATCTCTTGAGTAAAACACGGACCACGTAGATGAAAAGCATATTAATTAGTAGATTAAGACAGAGAGTGGGCTAAGACGTCATCGTGAAAGCAAATATGGCGCTCGTGGTGAGGTAAAAGAGGCAGGCACCAATGCTTGGCAGCCCGACTTTGGCAGCACCTCCAAACGCTCTAACCTCACTTTGCAGCACACGCCTCCCCAATAACATTCCTAAAATCTCTCAACCTGGCTCAATTTTTCCTCATGGCGGAATTTGATACGGCATCCCGCCGCCGAGGCCCCGAAACCGCCTCAGCTCCTACTTCGTTGCCAACACATGCATCACAACTCACACTCGGTTCAGTGCGACCAGAGACTTTAGATGCTATAGGATTCACATCGGAAGACCTAAGAAATTTCAGTTTTAACAATTTCTCAGGCGCCTTCAAATTTCCTGCCCCGTGGCAAGTAACACCGGCCGGGTTCCCCTTGCCGTCAGTACGCATGACCCAGATAGCCCAATTCGACACCCAGGAAACCGGAGATCTCCTGGGCTTAACAGCGAACGCAGTAATACCAAGACCCTTTCCATCGATATATTGGCAGGCAGGCATGAGCGGCGTCCCTCGCCTAAACACACATTCTGAACATACCATGGTGGGGGGTCAAGCGGATGGCACACCTGTGGGCCCACATACTACTCAACCCGGGTTCAACATCTATTCAGATCCTTCTCCTGAAGTGACTCCGTCTACATTGCCTAGTCATGAGATCCCGGCCTCCAATCGAAAGCAGCCACCACCTGCGCGGAAAACTGTTGCAGGTCGCTCCCGACCGAAGAGCGCAGCGAAAAAGAAACAGGCACACGGGAATGCAAAAGCTGAAAGGGCCACATTAGTCAAGAACAAGTATGGATTTTTAGTCCCCCAAGCGCCGGAGATGATGCATCTTAAACACGTAACTACCGGCACCAAAACGCTGAAAAAGAAGGATCTGGTCTCAACAAAAATAACCCTTCCCATACAAACGGATCCTATTATAGATAATATGTCATTAACCAGTTGTGCTGACAGCTCCCAAAGGACAGCGCCGAGCAAAGACGTACGGGTTCCCAGCGACGAATCTACTGGACATTCATCCAATCACACTACCGGAAGCAAAGGACAATCTCAGCTCACTGTCTCGAGTACTCAATCGGATGACGATGGCGAATATATACCGGAATCAACCGATCGTATTAGGGCAGATACCCCGGAATCAGTTGACAGTTATAGTTCAGATGATCAACCTCTCATACTCCGCCGTCGCAAAGAACGTACCGCATCTCCTCAACGCTCGGCAACTGTATCTACAAGCTCCACAGTTTCCGGCTACAACGTTCCAGAAACGCTTCGATCTACACGTCAAGCAATGGGCGAAAGTGATTGGAACTTGTACACAGAAATGATGGAAAAGCACGTCGGAGGAGCAATGAATCAGGAAGAGCTGGAAAAGAGTGAGCGTTCTCTGTTCATGGTTTCTGATCAGGCTTTGCGGTTGAAGATCAGGAGGCTTGTGAAAAGTATGGTACTGGAAAAGCAGAGCGGTGCCTAGTGGTGCTCTGTCTTGTGGACGTGATTGTCGCTCACATGGGATAGCGGTGGAAAGGCATCCAGATTACAGTCTTAAGCTGTGTCCTCGATCAGGTCGCAGTGTTGTTTCAGCAAATCAATATGTATGTACCTATCCTTGTATAGGATACATTGTTGCTCATTACATAGGCGCAAGCCGCTGAATTGTGCACGTGATGAGGTCATTCAGCTTGAAACTGAATTATGGGTCATGAAGCGCTTGCTGTCAAACCAGAAATCCTCATAGTCGGACTGCGCTATCATCAATTGGGGTATCTGGTCTCAAAAGAGAGGAGCCAGAGCAGACAATAAAACGACCATGAAAAGCTACAATGCAGTGTAGTGTTGAGGTTTGATGAATCTAAATATTCTATGTTTCCGGGTTTTTGGGGGGCTGTAACGGTTCAATGCGTACGGTTGGTGCTCTAAGCTGTTCTAAACTCAGCCTTCTCAGTGTCTTCTCAGACTTTAATAGATGAACTGATGCCAACTGCTTACATTCCCGGCACTACCATAGCATGACCTCTTTGATCCCATCACTCACTAGCTCTAAAAATGCTTCCAGATCAAAGTCATCATGTCCATCCCACTTGGTCCCCAGAAATCCCATACTACCAAGTAGTATCCAGCTTTTTCTCGCCCAGATCTCAGACTGCACTCGCTCCTCCCCTTTCAGTACGGTCGTTCCGCGTTGCCTCTTCTTACCCAGCATCAGCCATAGTTTTGCAACTAAAGCATATTGTTCGGTCAGCAGGTGCTCCAATCCTTCGTCAACAATAATCTGAACGCTCTCTTCTGCGAGTGAGATGGCCGCTGTGTCATCTCCGGCGTCCCAAAGCTGCATAATTTTGGGAGTCAGCTGGGCGATAAGTTTGCGACGAATATCGGAGGCGGCTTTTTCGGGTTTTCGGAGCGAGCAGAGCGAGCAGGAGCAATTGAAGCCCCAGGAAGATATGGCGTGCTGACGGTGGGATGAAGTTTGCCCCAGAGTAAGATCTATTTGGTCATTAAGATCGAGATGAAAGGTATAGATGAGGATAGGAGTGCTTACATGAGATGGTGAGTTCTTCGCCCTCTTCAATGTCGCGGTATGCTTTCAGTGCCATACTTATGCCGCTGGAGGAAAATAGGACATATGTGTTGGGGGCGCAATCATGATTGACTCTCTGTGTGCTGCCTGTCAACAGATATTCTTGAAACATCGCAGAGCGACAAAGGAGGTTTATTGGGAAGCAGGGAGTGAAGTACCGAAATGAGCGGAAACAACGCCCGACATTTGACGCCGGCGACCGTAGCTCCAAACCCGTTGGTCTGTAGTATATACTCCACGCTGTTTGCTAGACCGTTACTTTCTTGTTCATCCGCGATTTGAGAATTGTTCTCCCGATTGTTTCCTTTTTCACCGTGCGCATCATGATCGCCGCTCAACTCCAACACGGCGTCTGGGTTTCTCAATTGCTTGGTCGCTTTCTTCATCAGCTGTTTTCTCGTGCTCTCGCTCACAGCCTTTTTGATGCCCCGATCAATCACTACAGCTGCTTGATCCACCATTATCGTCTCCCACTTCTTGATGCGTCGTGTGGCAATGACGCCCTTGCCTTTACCCGGTACAGCCCGCACTTCGTATGGCGGGGTGGTATTGGAATCATCTTTTGATGCATCTTGAGATACTGCACTCTCCGGCCGTCTAGTATGAGACTCCGCAAAAGCGTTGAGTGATGCATTGTTGATCAAGAGAGACGTCTCTTGCGCTACTGACGGGGGTAGTATTAGTGAAATGCCGTTCTCGCCCGCCATGTTAGATGTGTAAACGCAATAATCGCTTCCATCGGCGGAAAGAGCGCAATAAGGTGTGTGAGACCATGTTTGATGATTCTGTGACGGAAGCAGGTCTTGAATGTCGATCAGAGCGAGAGTTGCAGATGTGCTAGGAATACAAGTGGACAGAGTTAAGATCCAGAACCGACGTATGCTACGCATGGCTAGTTATCAATTGCAGTGTCGATGACTTGATTACTGAGGCGCTATGTTCGAGCTGTGGGAGCTTTGATCTTGATGATAGTAGAAAAGGTGATGCCACATCATACGCGTCAGCTACCATATGCTCGGACACTCAAACTCAACACCCTTTAGCCCTCATTTCTAGATAATGCCTGTCTCATCTATTCCCTCTGATGAAAACACCAAGCCATAATGAATATTTCCTGATCAAGCATCAGTGTCCCAATTACCCGGCTTGTACTAGATTATCCGCACTCAGCGCAGCACATACCAAGCCCTTGGGATCTCCACAAAATACAGATTCAAGCACCTTCAAGCGTTGAAGTGACCAATAAGCGACCATAGTTTTGGAGATCGTGTAGGTAAGTGGGATGAAAGCCTTGTCGCCCAGAAGTATACATGAGCTTGGGGTGCCGAAAAGCCGATCAATACTGAGCATCAAAAAGTGCCTAAGCCTTTCAAATGGGTATATCAAGTTTGCATCTGTCCGTGAGTGAGAGTTAGCCCTGATGTCCGACTGTTGAGGCTCAATCACGTGATCTAATCGCCATACAAACAGCCGATACTGGAGGTAGGCTGTGATGACCGACTCATTTTCCATAAAAAACGCGACTATAACGGAAGATCTGACAGCTTTCTGAAGGTGCTCATACGCATTTGATAGAGAGTGCAGATGGGATGGAAATACATGTCAGTGGACTTCTTTTCGGCGAGGGCCATTAAATCCCACATCTCCGAAAGAAAACTATAGTTGAGCGTACCCGTTGTTTTTGACAGACGAAAAAGATCTATGCCCGGGATCTGTATGTACACAAGCAGTTGTGACCTCATCCCGTTGAACGCTGTGGATTATGGCGCGGAACGATGGCATGATTGTTGCATCCCCACCAAGCCTAGATGCCACCCACAAGTTCAATATCGCTGTTAAAGTAGCCACCATAAGGTGGTATTACACTTAGAATGTGATCTCATCCAGACTTGATTGCGCGATCACGCTGTTTTCAGTAGCTCGTGGACAGATTCCCAACACAACGAGGCTCCAGACCATTTCTTACGAATGACCTTATGAGACGTTCGATTACCAGAAACGCTATGCAGGGGTATTGGTGCAATTAGTGCGAAATGATGGAGAAGAAAGCGTTCCCCAAGGATACCTGGGCTGCTACCCGAATTTCGAACTCCAAGCATCCACAGTTAACCGTAACCCAGAATCTATGGCGGTGCAAAGAACGTGGCTCTAGCTTTGGTTCCTTGAGATGCTCTTGTTTAGCATGGATGATAGCGCAGGACTCCGGGCGCGACGGCACGAATGTGACATCATAACACAAGGATGACTTGGATGAACAAAGCGACTAAAAGCACAACAGTCAATCTTCATAGACAGTTCTCTTCTCCTTTACAAGTACCTTTGCTTGAATGCCATTTCTCTGCGCGGTCTCCAGCGCTTGTTCCCATGATGACGGACAACGCCCGGGAATGTCTACAGGGGCTGGCCAATCAGCTTCCAGCCTTCCAGCCCTATCAATCACTGCCATGAATTTCCCCCCCATCTGGTAGATATCATCTGTCCCCAATGGATTATTCTAGTGTACTGATTTTTTCTTTTAGATATACCGTCTCCAAGGAATGTAATCATGTCGCAAGCGAGGTGATGAATTCCGTGCAAGAGATATCATACCTCGCAGCGCCCGCTATTGCGTACTTGACGTTGGTCGCTCAAGTCAGTCTGACATGCAGTACCGCATGAGAATACAGATTCACCATTCTGGCCTATGTACTCTGGTTTATAGTGCTCGTTTGGACCGTTCCTGTTTGTTCCGGGATCATGATACTTTTCACAAAGCACATATTGACCGAGGACCGTAGGCTACCACCCGCGATATTCCTTCCTCTGATTAGTGTCATGACCCAAGAAACCACGGGTGGAGTGGCCGTGAACTACTCGGTCTAAATGACCGCTACCCTGGCATTTCCAGTCATCATTTTGATTCATCTGGTACATTCTCTATAAGTTCCGAATTCTGGCCGTGTGCGCTCCGCCCCGAGACAAGTTGCCTTCGGTGGCCGTCACCGTCGCGCCGCTCGATCATTTCGCCACTGCGATCCAAGTCCTGAGAAACGCTGCATCTACTGGGGGCTATTTTGCGGAGTATAATCGGGGTACCCTCTTGACGTTTCTGCTAGCGTCAAACCTCGCGATCACGTGCACTTCGTTGGCACAATGTTGCTGACAGTGTGATTCGGGTTTCTCTAGATAGTGGTCGCCTGGTAACAAATTCTGGAGAGCATTGTGAGGTGACAGCTTTCGATAAACCTGACATGGTGAACCTTGATTTTCCCAATGGGTAAGCCATTTGATTTGGCGCATCAGGAAGGAGGCGCTCTCGCTAATGGCGTTCTTGCAGACGTGTACATATACAACTGTTTTGATAACCTTATCGATCGCACTTGGCTCCTCAGCATTCAGCGGCCTCTCCGCTGCATTACTGATATTTCTTATTATCTACAACATGTTCTTCACGGTCCATGTTCACCGGCGCTGCGTTTGGGGTGCCGCAGGAACACGAACAAGAGAAGGAACACGAGCGCAAGATGTGGGGGCAGCGGAATCAAGAGCAGCGACAGGTCAATGGCAGCGGCAATGAGACTGGGCATCATGCTTAGGGAGGTCGTTCGAGAAATGCATTTCAGCTTTTCGTATTCACCGACCAAAATTGGATGGTTGACATCCAGTGGGAACCCATCCGTGTGCATTCTGGTGAGTGCATGCTGCTGATCCTTGTTCCATAGGCATCGCGCTTGCCGCGTCCAAACTTTCAGCATTCCCGACATTGAAGGTGTTCGTTCCCGCCGATTGGCGATTCATCAACAACAGCTCGTCTTTACCGGGCTTCGGCCATATAGTTCAATACGAGAAAAGAAGGAAGGCAGAACAAAGACTCGGTTGGGGGCTGAAGCGTGACCACTCATGCCAATACAAAAGTCGCCGCTGATGACACGCCGTCGAACGTTATGCGTATGTAATGGACAAGTCTAAATCCGTTGGGGCGAAAAAAGTTCATCCATAGCCTCTGAACGCCTGGTTTGGGGCATTCTATACGTTGAACGGTAAGAACCTATTCCACTTACGTGTCGGGCGCAGTCCAGCCCGCAATTCATCTCAAACGCCAATACGGTCAACACGTCGGCCACAGGCTGTTACATGCTTGGCTTGTGGTACATATCCATGAGATGAATTGGCAGAAAGCCAACGAACAGGTATTTCGCACTCTGCTACATCCCCTCAAATTCCTCAAACACTCAAACACACCACCCCTTACGCAACGAACACGCGTACAATATGCGCGAATTAACATTCACAGCCTCCCTCCTTCCCCCGCCAGCGCATCACCTCCTGCGTCTGCCATGCGATCCCGCCACCCCGCCAAGGCGGGCGGAGATCTATTTCGGCTACGTCGTGAGAGAAGGCCGGGGTGCTATTGGACTCGCGTAGCCGCTTGAGTGACGCCTTTGTCGGTGCCTTTCACGGAATGAGACACAATCAAACAAAGCCCGCAGGCTTGACTACCGTATTCTGGCCAGACTTGTGTCTTTTTTGGAGGGACGTGAGGACAAGTTCCCAGGGGTAAGGCAGAGAGCCAGGGTGGGCTAGGGGGACGGTCCGACACGCGAGCAACAACTTTGATTTCCTGATCAATCAAATACCTTACAGCTGCCGATGATTTCTGGGGTAGACAGAATTTCCCTTGTTCCTGTTTGATTTCTGCTGGGATATATCCTGCGGTTGGACTTGCTCGCACCCACTGACTCTTTCTCCTGCCAGTGTCCTGCACTCATTATAACGCTTTCTTTTTAATCCCTTCCTTTTGACACAGCTCCCTCCCTTCTTTACCCACTTTTCTCCATCCCTTCTTTGTTTCTTTCCTGCTAGTGGAAAGGGTCACGGTCCCATTGTTCCCATTATAGCGTGGCGTGACGCAAGCACAGAATCCATAACAGAAGACTTAAAACGCAAGCAGGCAAGCAACCATGGCGGAGAAACCAACATCCCGCATCACGGCAGTCAATGGCTCCAACAATCACGGAAATCATTTGCGTCCTCCCAGTATGAAGAGACATAACACCGGTGATTCGGATGATACCGACTTTGACGATTACTTCGTAAGTCAGAGTTCACTTCGTGCTGTCATGGTGTATGAGGCTGACCGACGGCGGGTTGCAGGTCGGACCACGAGATCTAAACCACCATTCCAAATGGCCTATTTTCCTACAGCTCCACGGTAGTGTCACGCCGGGCATGGTCCTGCCGCTGCTGTTTGTAGGAGCTTGGAGTACGGCTATCACTTGTATCTCGAAATTCGTATGGAATCGTAAGTCTCTTTCGACCTTTCTACCCATCCAACAGTTCAATATCTGTATCAAGATAGAAGGGGATTCAGTGCGCTTTGGCATGCATGAAGAACAGCAACCGCATACTTGAAGACAGAGGGGAAAGAAAGCGTGCTAACTAAACTACCGACAGTCGGCATCCAATCCGTTCTCCTCACAGTCCTCGGTTTCGTAGTCGGTCTCGCCCTCTCTTTCCGTTCCTCCACAGCCTACGAGCGCTACAATGAAGGCCGCAAATACTGGGCCCAACTCGCCTTTGTATCGCAGAACCTCGCCCGACTAATCTGGATCCACGGCGAAGAGCGCCACAATGACCCCAACGACCCGCTCCTCGGCAAGAAAGACATGCTTGCCAAAATCAGCTGCTTGAATATGATTGTGGCGTTTGCGAATGCGTTGAAGCACAAGCTGAGGTTTGAACCGTTTGCGCACTACGACGATTTGGCCAACTCGATTGGGCATCTGGATACGTTTGCGAAGCGTGCGGGAACGCCTGACGAGATCAAAGCTCCTAATGCGTTCAAGCGCGCTGGCAAGTTTCTGGGTATCCCAATGGCGGAGTCGAATCCCCGGAAACAGCTCAAACGCGCTACAAAGCCCGTCGGGAACTTGCCTCTGGAGATTTTGAACCACTTGTCCGCGTACATGAAGAGCGTTTACGAGAACGAGACGCTCAAGACGCCCATTTATCAGACGCAGAGTTTGACGGCGTTGACGACTTTCAACGATATCCTCACGGGTACGGATCGTATTTTGCAGACACCGCTTCCCATCGCGTATTCCATTGCCATTGGGCAGATTACGTGGGTGTACATCTTGCTGTTGCCGTTCCAGCTGTACAAGTCGCTTGAATGGGTCACGATCCCTGCGTCTATTTTCGCTGCATACGTGATTCTGGGTATTGCGTAAGACATCCCCCCCCCCCCCCCCCCCCTAGTTCTTTCATTTTCGCAATTTTTTTTCCTTTGAAAAGTTTTCCTCTCTCTTCCTTCTCATTCCCCACCAAATATAAGAAAAAGATCTCAAAAGCTAAAATGAACGCAAACAGTCTGATCGGCCGCGAAATCGAAAACCCCTTCGGCGACGACGTAAACGATCTCCCCCTCGACGCCTTCTGCGTCCAGATCCAAGCCGACCTCGACATCATCATGGCCACTCCCCCCATCGAAGCGACATCCTTCCTCGACTCCCCCGACAACAAGCCGCTCTACCCGCCCAGCCACATGAGCAGCGAGGGCTGGTTAGACCGCAGCGTCGATGATATCCGTGCGGCATTGAGCTACCGCGCTACTGTCAACCAGAGACACAATATGGATGCGGATGAGCTTTTGAGAGTGAAGAGCCAGGACGGCGGCCCGAGAAAGAGCAGTCAGAGTGTGAGGAGGGTGAGGAGGGATGTGGAGCAGGGGGGAAATGCGAATGCGGGGGGTGGGAATGCTGTCAGCGGGCAGGCTGCTGGAGCAGGTGCGGGTGGTGCTGGGGCTGGCGGTCAGGAGTGAGTGAGTGAGGGATTTGAAGCGTCAGAATCATGTTTGGGGGAGTCTGTTCTCTTTTCCCAGATTTTTTTTGTTTTCTTTTCGCAGGTAGGCGTGCATGTTCTGGGTTTGATGCCACGTTGGAGACTGCGTGAGCCAGCGAGCGAGCGTGCATGTCTTTTCCCCCTCTCCTTTTCTCTTCCTCTTCCTTTTGCTGTCCTTGTACTTGGCAGCCACATCTGTTTCACCCCTGCATTTCTTTCTTTTCCATACACCCTGATGATTGTGAGAAAATATCCATTTGTAATTGTACGCAAGAGACAACTAGTCCGAAACCCAATGATCTGTTTTTTCTCGTCCAAAGTTCCATGGATTAGTTCTTGAAACGAGAAAGTGTCTACATGTGAAAAATCACTTCAGCACTGTATAGGTGGCCATCACCAGAAGCATCTAAGCATTACGCGAGGATCTTTTGAAATAAATTTAAATTTTTGTAGTGTCTGCTTCTCGTTGGACACGTGCCATGAGTATGATTTAGAAAATCTTCGGTCATGCATTATGAAATATAGTAGCGGTACCATGCGACGGGATTTAACCTGTATTTCAACAAATCAGCATTCATGGCTTTTATAGTCCAGAATACTCGATACCCACAGACAGGTAAAGTCACAATTTGGCGGGAAGCATACCGAGATAAGCGATGCACTCAATTTCGACGGGCACGCCCTTGGGCAACTGCTTGACAGCGACGCAGCTGCGCGCGGGCTTGTGTGCGAAGAACTTTTCGTACTCTCCGTTCATCTCGGCAAAGTTGGCCATGTCACCGAGGAAAACGACGACCTAATCAGAAAAGATGTCATGTTAACAGTCGGTGGATATTGTGAGAGGTGATTGGGGCAAAGGTTGGTGTTAAGAGGGCGTACCTTGACGACCCTTGACACATCAGTGCCGGCCTCCTTCAAGATGGCAGCGATGTTGGCGCAGCATGCCTTGGTTTTGTCCGCAATACTGCCCTCGACGAGGTTTCCGTCCTTGTCACCAGGGATTTGGCCTGAGACGTAAAGCTGGGGACCGACGGCAATAGCTTGGCTCTGTCAATTATACCATCAGCAATTGAATCTCCCATGTTTCCGAAGTATAACGATGTTCTTCTTCCGTCTCTTGTTACGTATGGTAGGCTCTCCACTTTCGGTGGGGGACGAGGGTGAATCTGGAGGGTATTGGTATCTGGCGGGCATGGCTCAGATGGATAGATGTCGCCGGGGTGGCTTCGAAGGAAGACATGGTGGGCAGGCGGCGCAAGATCGTTCGGTTGGTCCAATTGTTGCAATCTTTCGAATGCCAGTATTCCGTTTTGGCTTATGGCAGTCACAACCCTCTTCTTCTTTCCCCATCTTGCCCTTCTCCATATTTCCACCGCATCCTCAAACGACAAGTCGGAATAAAATACGTACATAAGGGCCGACAGCTATACCACAAGATGGATCAGTAGCTACCCAACAATACGCCAAAACGTCAAGAGAGGAGGAACGCACTAGGAAAAGCCTCCTTGGTAGCAATCTTCTTCAAATCAGAAGCCATAATTGCGTCCTTTGTATCACGATCAATTGGCAGTGATCTCCAGATATAAGGTCTCGAATTTATCAACGCGTGTAGCCGTCGTATGGGCCGATATGGATATACGATCTCCGGATCGCAGGACCTAGCGGTCGTAGCAAACAACCGATGAGGAGCAAAAGAGATTGGACTCGACGCAGAGGAAGATGATGATGCTGATGATGAGGCGGTGGGAAAACGTCGAAGAGCGGCGGCGACTCTACACAATGACGACGAGGTGGGTATTGAGGGTATTGACGGCATTGGCAATGGGGTGCTCGGAGAGGAAACGGACCCTCAGTCGTCTTTCCTCCCTCCCCGCAATCGGCCGCCGAGCTGACCAACCGGAAAGGGCGTGCTGCCGTCGGCCTTTTCTCGTTGCTTGCTCCGAGTTTCGGGTGCCGCTAGACGCTTTCAAGGAAGGTGGGGGTAGGGCAGGGATCGCGCGGGAAAGTACTGTAAAGGGACCTTCTCTTTTGCGCGGTGCACGGACGGAGGGGTAAATTTTCGGCCAACGAGTTTTTTTTTGCTACGAGATGCGAGTGAGATTGGGAAGGTGAGCGAGAGAGAAGAGAATTAGTATTGAACGAGTCTATAGCCGCGAAAATAGTAAAGGCGAAGCCAGAAAAGCGAACGTGATAGTGTATATAACAGAAAGATATGACAGAAGTTGTTGGTACACCGAATTTTTTTTCTGGCGTACGCAAATGGCGGACTGCTCAACCCATTATCTACGATAGGAGATAAGACTGGACAAGTACTGGGTGAGTGAAATGGAGTCTGAGGTCGACAAACTATGCCATCATGATGAAGCATAATGCAGCCACATGGGTATTTACACCAGCCTAGCGGGTCTGACTTTTGGATTTCGTTGCCTTGTATCGACAGATGTCTGTCTAGATAGGTGGTCGCGAGGAGACACGGAGATGCAAAGAAGACCTAGCAAGTGACCAAGAAAACAAAACACAACCCAAAAAAAGTAGAACGCCTTTTTCATGCTACCGAGCCATCTATCATCGCGAATAAAAAGGAGTCGAGTTTGCATGTGCAGTGGATATGGAGGAGGGGCTGGTTGGAGAGTCTATTCGGGAAAACAGAAGTACGTCGGAAGTATAAGGTACGAAGTGACTTTACTTCTCCTGGCTGGAGAGGAGGGTGTATACGGGAGCGTTGAGCTTGTCGCGACCTTTGAGGAAGTCGAGCTCGAGCATGAAGATGTACTCGACAAGAGAGCCGCCGAGTTTCTGGACGAGCGAGCCGGCGGCAGCGGCGGAACCACCTGGGTGAAGACGTTAGAATCCACGCGATACACACTAGAAAAGAGTGGGGGAGGACTTACCAGTAGCAATGATGTCGTCCACGACGAGCACTCGTTGCCCCTGCTTGATGGCGTCCTTTTGCATCTGGAAAAAGTCTGTCCCGTACTCCTTCTCATAGCCCTCGGTCACACACTCGCCAGGCATCTTGCCCTGTTTGCGAACAGGCACAAAAGCAGCATTGAGCCTCAGGGCCAGACTGGGGCCGAAGAGGAAGCCACGAGCGTCGAGGCCTACGACGACATCGATGTTGTCGCGGCCGTACTTGTCGACGACGTAGAGCTCGAGAGCACGGATCAAGTCGCCGTGGAGCTGGGGGTTGGCGAAGATGGGCAAGATGTCCTCGAAGAGGATGCCGGGAGAGGGAAAATCGGGGAATTGACGCAGGGCGGCGCGCAGGTTTACCGTAAGACGGGAGAGTTCGGTGGAGGTGGCGGCACGGGAGGCGGAGAGCCTTCTTTCGGGGGCATGGCTGCTGTCGGCGTTGACGGTGGGATCAGGCTTGCCGGCGGGTGGGTGGGAGGCGGTGGAAGGGGATGAAGTGGAGGAGGAATCGAGGGGAGGGAGGGCGGACATGATGGAGAAGAAAAAGAAGAGAAGAAGAGGGAGCGGACAGATGCAAGGCAAGGCAGGGCAGGGTAGATAGGGATAGGGAATAGGGTAGGATAGGATAGGAGGCTGCTGCTTGGTGGGACTGGGGGGGAAAGGAGGGATGGAGGGGAGGGATGGGGCTGGCTGGCTGGCTGGCTAGAACTGGAACTGGGCCTTCGTTCCGTCTGGTTGGCGTCTTCGTTTAGGTAGGTAGGTAGGTAGGTAGGAGAGGAGGGAAGGGTGAGCGCCTTGACCGTCTTTGCTTGAATAGCTGCAAGAGGATAACGACAAAAAAACTCGCGCAGGAGGTGGAATAGGTGGGATGGAGGGGGGACGGAAAGAAAAAAAAATTACACGTGTGGCATCATCAAACGTCCCCGCCGGGCGACTGCAAGCTGAGCAACTGTAGCGTGGCTAAACCAGTATCTAGACTACCCCGTTTCTTTTCGGGTCTACACTTAGCCGCGTTCCTCACGAGTTACGCGTACGATGTACCGTACAATGTACCGTATACCTCTATTCCGCCGCAGACTCCCACTACCGTGAACATACATGCACTCTCACTACCAAGTACCTACCCTACACCGTAAGAGCAATCTGCGTGCCACGACACCCAATACAATAATACGTAACAACCACATGTCTATCTATGTAGCCGCCATCTTGAATATCTGGTTTCCATACCACAGCGGGTTTCCCTTCCCATCTTTTACTTGCATTTCCCATGTATTGTGTGCATGGCTACTCCGCGCGATTGCGTACGCCGTTTGAATTGCGGGTATGGATACGTGAGTCTGAGACACGGTGTGTGTGCGACACACCACAGCTTGCGACGTCAAAAGAGGAAAAAAAAGTAGGGCCTCAGTGGAGACTCTCGATAGGCACACCTGCTTCCGCTGCAAGCACATCCATCAGAAAGTCTAGCCCTCTGCATCACCCAGCTGTCCAGGGATGTTGCCGACGGTGCCATGTATGTGCCTGTACTATCTGATCACCGATGTTATGATGTGTCTGTCTGGTCTGGTCTGGTCTGGCGGGTTTGGAGATTCGTCATATTTTCCCGATAAGCTGCTGCTGTTGCCTTGGAGATTCAATCAATCAATCAATCAATTGACCCATTCATTCATCCATCCACCCTTGGCCTCATCCATTCATCGTCTTTTCTCTTTGTCTTGTCAGTCTGCTCCTCCCGCACCTCCATTACCCAAGCGGTCAGTCATACAATATTGGTTCCCAGATCCCTCGTGCAATCGCGCCGCAAGAGGTTCGCTGGGTACTCGCTCGGCCTGTTTTTGCTTTATTAAGTCGTTCCCCACTCCAACACCACACCACCACCGCCGCCAGTCCACATCAAATGCGACTTCTGAATGGGTAGCACAGATCCCAACAAAACATCTTCGTTGTGTGCATGGTTGTTGTGATTTGCCATTGCTGCAATCTGCAATATATTACGTCAACCTGCCGCTGCTGCCAGGTAATGAGTGCCAATAACGCGGACGTGATGCCATGTGTGTGTGTGTGTGCTATGCCCTGCATTGTTTCTTCCGCTCTGCGACGCATCCAACCTCACACCATAATGTTTCACGCCACGGCTTTGTCGAGTGCATCCATCCATCGACTGAACCCCCCGTGGGCTGCAAGGTTGGACCCGCAGCGCTATGCTCGGTGGAGGCGTCATGTATGTGTGCTATCATTGCCATCATCGATAGTCATCGTCATGATACATCGGTGGGTAACGAATGGTGCATGTTGCGATACGAGACGACCCATCGACCTTTGCCCCTTCGTACTCCAGCCCGTCGTACACATTTCCCCATGTGAAGTGCGCCCATCTGCAAGCCACAAAGAGAGCAAAGCCCCAACAGGACGCGACCAGAATACCCTCGGGCGCTTCTAGCGCTGATGTAGCACAGTTGCCAGTCAATCAGTACATCGTGGGTACCACACAGCATGGAGTGAAGGGGGAAGAGTAGGCAAGTGATGTGAGCGAGTGGTAGGTATACACATGGGGTACGATCTGTACTGTACAGAGGTACATAGATTCCACCCCCACCATCCTCAACTCGGACTAGCCCGGGTGAGCGGTGAGGGCCCAATGTAGCTGGCGTGCTTGCTGCCTGCTCGCTAACGCGGCTAGATGCAGTAGCAGCAAAAGATGCAGTACCATGCCGACGAGCATGGTGGACTGCGCATTCGTGCGGCTTGCGATCCCATTCATCCCATCCACCGGTGGGCCATGCATACAGATGGGCTTTCGGGTGAGCCGAATGTGATTGTTTTGTGTGCTCTGCTCGAATGAGCTGCGACTCCAACCTCGCCTGATAGCTATCCAGCCCATACTTGTGTGGGTGCCACAACGTCTTTGCCCTTCACACTCGACCATCCGGAGCGCCACCTCCACAAAAAAGAAAAGAAAAAAAAAGAAGAAGACGAAGGGGAGACTGAACAATCGCCCGTGGGGCCCACTCCCTCATATGCAATGCAAGGCGATCCCTTCTTCATCATGCAATAATACCGGCATGTAAACCTGTCGACGAAGAGCAATGGAACCCTCTCCATCGGCGAACGACATCCATCCTACACGCAGACCCTCAGCTCCATGCATCCATGTTCAGCACCGTGCAGTCTTCGTCGGTTCTCTTCACGAGGGATCCCACCCGGTACACTTGTTCGCCGTATTCTTGTAGAATCTCGGTTGCCTGTCGTGCCTTCTCTTGGCTCACCACAAGAACCATACCCAAGCCTGTATTGAATGTGCGGCAGAACTCCGAGTCTTCGAGACGACCGGCCTCCTTGAGCCATTTGAACACGTCTAGAACAGGCCATGTTCTAGCGTCCAACTCCGCCGCAAGGGTGTCGGGCAACATGCGAGGGATATTTTCCGAAAGCCCGCCACCAGTGATGTGGGCCATTCCCTTGATGAGTCCCTTCCGGGATGCAGCTAACAGCGGCTTCACGTAGATGCGCGTTGGCGTCAGGAGGTTCTCACCCACCGTTTTGCTCTGGTCCCAGGGTGCCGTGTCGTGGAACCCGAGTCCTTTCTTCTCGATGATCTTGCGTACCAAGGAAAAGCCGTTGGAGTGAACCCCGCTTGAGGCAAGACCGAGAAGGACATCGCCTTCGGTCATGGCAGAAAAGTCTGGTAGAATGGTAGTACCTCTTTTGATGGCCCCAATAGCGCACCCTCCAGCATCGTACTCGCCGTCCTTGTAGATTCCGGGCATCTCAGCAGTCTCGCCGCCCACAAGAGCTGCGCCTGACTGTTTACACCCATTCGCTACGCCTTCTACGAATTTGGCCGCGCTCTGGACGCTGAGCTTGCTGCACGCGTAGTAGTCCAGGAACATGAGCGGCTCGGCGCCTTGCACAACAAGGTCGTTCACATTCATGGCGACCAGGTCGATGCCAACCGTGTCATGCTTGTCCATCTCGAACGCGATCTTGACTTTTGTGCCAATGCCATCAATGGCACCCACCAGGATCGGCGACTCCTTGTAACCTGCGGCTTCCAGATCGAGAAGCCCACCAAAACCTCCAATTTTACCATCAGCACCTGGCCGCCTAGTCCCCGCAGTATAAGCCTTGATCGCTTTGACAAGATCGTTCCCAGCATCGATGCTGACCCCCGATGAGGCGTACGTCATGGACTCTTCCAGTTGCGAAGCAGGTTGTTGGGCGCGTGACACCGTCGTACCCTCTGTTGCCAGTTCCAAAAGTTTCCAATCGCAGGTGATGCCCTCTTTCTTGAACTCTTCGAGGAGGTGGTCGGCAATGGCATCAAAGTTTGTGGTAGCCAGAGCGAGTATCGTGGGTCCCGCGCCGGATAGACAGATGCCGAGAAGTCCTGGGTGGGATTGGGGAGTTACAGACTGTAGGATTTCGGTCAAGCCCGGAATGAGGCCGCGACGGTATGGTTGGTGAATCTTATCCTGCATGGCTGTGTATATCATGCCCGGATCAGGAGGGGACTGACCCAACGCAGTTGTCAAAACGGCCAACCTCTGCATGTTGAAGATAATGTCCTTCCGCGAATAGTTGTCTGGCAACACACTTCTCGCTTTTGCCGTAGAGACCTCAAACTGTGGTATGATGCATATGCATTTGATCTCAGGTGACCAATTGAACTTTGTGTAATGCCCAATGTTCTGGGGAGGTTGTGGAGGCTGCAATCCCGTATCCACGCCGCCAGCAGGCTCAGGCAGAACTTCACTGAGTGGAATCTCTAGACGTTCGGTATCCTCTGGGGAGAGTTCGTTCAAATAGGTGCCGACGAAGCCACCGTAGAGGGCGGCGGCGACATTGTCCGGGTGTCTTTCTTCCATGAGGCAGTAGTCGAGCATGCGCGCTTTGGATAGCTGAAGATTGCCGACTTCATTGGCAATCTGAACACCAGCGACGACAGCAGCAGCGGACGAGCCCAGGCCGCGGCCAAGTGGGATAGGATTGATGACATGGACGTGTGTTTCGGAGGGAAAGGCGCGGATGCCATGGCAGCGGAGAACGTAGAGGGCGGTACGGGTAATGAGGTTGTCCTGGGCGACAAGAGGGACGGACGAGGCATTGACGCCGTCGTAGGTGATGCGACAGTTCAGCGAGTTTGAGGATGAGGCTTGCTTGGTCACAGTAAGCTGCACCTCGAGATAAAGGTTCAGGGCCAGGCCAATGACGTCAAAGCCCGGGCCAATGTTGGCCGACGATGAGGGCACCTTGATGACAGTCGTCGGCATGGTGCTGTGCGTGTATGGACGTGTATGCTGCCAGCGAGCGAGAAATTTGAATCTGGACAAAATCCTTTGCTGAAGGAGAACAGGACGAGGACAAAAAAAGTCACTACGCGCGCGAAATTTTTGGCGGGGCAAGCGCCGACATGCCGACCGATATCGCGGGGTATCCAATGGCCCCTGGCCCTCTCTCGACCTCACAGACTTCACCTACATAATTACTTAAGCACTCAAGTATATACATACATGTATGCATTGCATATGTATAGCATAGATGATCCCTCGACCCTTCGTTTCATTCCATATCATAGCTCACGGGTGGACTCTCACTTTTTCTTCACTACTTCATTGCCCTCCTAACAAACCCTACTGGGCCATGCTGAGAGTATTAGACCCGAGTACATGACCAAAGAGAAGGCAACCAGGGCTAGAGCAGAGAAAATAAGTAAGATTCCAGTTCTCATTGAGCGCGCTTCCCATCTCCTGTCCAACTGATTCAGCTTCTCGGTTCACAATATCAATTGATAGGTCCATCTAGGGCGACTAAATGGTTGAGAGATATCGCTGCCTCAAGCGTGCATTCGCAAAAGCGATCAGTTCTGCCATGCACCAAGGATTGTCCGAGGCCACCGGCGAACACAATTCTGAGTATGTTCCGTGACTACCGCATGCACTACTCCGGTGTCTTTGGATGATACCGTCGATCTTCCCGGGGGTCATTCTCATGATCCTAGAGGTGGTATTACATTCGCAATCCGCCAATCGATCTGGTATCGGCAATGATACAGGAACAAGTCCGTTCGGATCCAGCTCTGCGGGATAGTGTCCCACATGCTTGCAAAGGGAAGAAAGCAGTGGCCAAGAGCGAGGGAGGAGAGGAGGTACATCAAACACATGTACTCATGAACGGGTGCATGTTTTGTGGATTGGATGTGAAGGCATTGATGTCAGATCAAGCGGGCTGACCGCCGGTCAATCAATGTCTGAGATGTTGCACAAACAAACACAATCAATTGATTGCGCCGCGGCACGGAGTCAACGGAATTGCTTTTGCTGCAATATTAGCTCCACCCCGCCTTGTTGTTCTTTTGTGCTTTGCCCAATTACCTTCTTGCAACGTGACTTTGCACAAGCAAACTGATGCCTACCTAGGTAGAGACTTTCCATAGCTGTAGGTATTGCTTGCTGTCAACCACAAAGGTTAAAATCTGCCTTTAGGCCCCAGGCAAGGCACATGTTCTGTCGTTACCACAAAACCGTCAAGTCATCGTTTAACAGCTGGATGCGGATTGAGTCTTGGGACCTTGACACTGCAACTCTTTGAGTCACTGGAATCCTCTCAATTACAAGCAGTAAGCGCCTGCGATACCGTCGCTGTCTCATTGGAGTCCACGGTATTGCGAAGTTGGATGACTAAGATCACCACCAGCAACAGGTGCTTAAGTACTTGAGTACTTACCTAACATAGACACATACCGACCGACCACCTGCCCGCGCAAGCTCCTCACGACCAACAGTACCTGCTTCGCTGCAGACAGCTGGGCAGTATAGGGTCGAGCGAAGTGTCCTATCTCATCTCTACACCGTCCTGTCGCGCCACAAAAGCTCCTTCCCAACACTTCATCATACCGAGGCGTTTGACGTGGCAGCGCCTGTCGTGCAACACGCACGCACGCCCTCACTCAACTCGCCATCTCGCGTAACCTGTCTCGACCTCTCGGCCTCCTCGCGCCCGAGGTGAAGTCATCCTCCATCGCTACATACCGGCATCTAATCTATCTTCATCCAAACACAGCCTGCACAGCCAGCCTCACCTCGCTACAAGGTTATCCCCCGCTTTTCCATCAGACATTCGCGGCTCTGCAGTCTGTATATCCTAAGAATACCATCGTTGATAGCGACACGACACCTCGCGTGGAATGGGTCAATATTCAAGGCTTTGGTAATCCACAAAGTTACTCTTGCTTGACCCTCACTTATCAAAAATGGCTAGCCGAGATCTAAGCTACCTGAAATCACTCGAAGAAGAGGATAGAATCCGCTTCCTTCGAACGGCGAGCCCCTTCGCGACAACTAACTGGGTTGGACTTCAACAGGCAATTTCGAGATCGCGCCAAGGTATGCCGGTAGATGAAGACGGCGAAACAGACGAGATCGAGATGGCCATATCAAATGATATCAAGAATCTGAATTTCGGAGAAGTCGTGGAGAACGGCGTTGATGACGATCACGACGAGGACCCCGAGTGCGAGCCCGGAATGAAAACGGGGTTGAAAAACCTATACGCTGGCCAAGAGGATCGCAAAGGCCGGTATCAATGGTTTTCAACCATGCCAAAGAACATGAATGGCCCTCCAGAGAACAAGACAACGGCAAAATGGGCTCTACTTGTACGCCATATTAAAGTCTACAATGACCCTACCAGGAATCTTGCCATCCACTCGATTGTGATCCAGAGCCCACTGCTTAAAAACCTCCTGGCCGGAGTATTGAAAGGATATCCTGGTGTCACTGTCGGTCTCAGTCGTCTGGAGTTTTCCGCAAAATTCGAGCCCTTGATTCATCGATGGTCTGAGCTACAGGCAGCCGTGTCTGCACTTGGTGCTAACACCGATACGGAGCGGACCACCAAACAGCATGCCAAACTCTTGCAAAAAGTTCTAGTGGACGAGTTCGAGACATTGATCGACACTACTCAGGATATGAAGAACAAGGGGGTCATGACCTACGGAAATCTATGGACACTTTATCAACCTGGATCCATCGTCTTCTCGAGAACAGACGGCCAAGAAACTGCCTTGGTAGTGCAGAACACCAAATATGGAATGGACCCGAAAAATAACCCCTGTTTCTGGATTCGCACCAGGTACGTGGACTGGGACGGCGCCAAGTTTGGCACTCAAGGCATGAATATATCCATCTATCCCTACGTCGGAACTAGCAAAGTATCTCACCTTCGAGCATTCCCTATCGAATTCCACCCCGATGCCACAGCCTTGAAAGATCGTCTCATTCAACGTGGTGCTAAAGTTGAAGCTCTTGCTGGGCCCAATTACCGTGCCTATGAGGGCGTCGGCTGGCGTTTCAACATGAACACTGGTGCAAAGGATAAATACAATGTCAAAGGACGAGTTGTGATTGATACCTACGGCTGGAATCGATTCAACCCTAGCAGTGCTATCTTCGTGATACCCTTACCCCACAAAGACGATACTACAGAAGCTACGGAGGATGACCTCGCCGAAGGAGATGATGCGGAGGTGGATGACAGTGGTATTCCGGAGGGTGGGCATTTTGCGGACGAAAATGATATTGCTCGACTTCCAACGTTGACTACTGAACAAAAGCTCGTCTGCAGCCCTCTTCTCCGTGGCTACAGTCTTAAAACCAAGATGTGGCTGAACTTGTTTGTCAACTCTGTACAGGACATCGAGTGGCAGACAAACGCTTTCGATCGCTTAGTTCTACCAAATAATCAGAAAGAGCTCATCCTTGGTTTCACGGAGTCGCAACAAAAGTATCGTAACTCATTTGACGACGTAATCGAAGGCAAAGGCCGTGGAATGATCATATTGCTATGCGGACCGCCTGGTGTTGGCAAAACACTCACTGCGGAATCCGTTGCAGAGGAGATGAAAGTCCCTCTCTTCATGATGTCGGCTGGAGATCTAGGAGTTGACCCCAGCCACGTGGAGAGTAAGCTTCAAAATATACTCGAGATGTGCACGCGATGGCACAGCGTACTCCTCCTTGACGAGGCAGACGTCTTCCTAGAGCAACGGTCGCTTCATGAGCTCGAGCGCAACAAGCTCGTTTCCATCTTCCTCCGGGTCATGGAATACTTTGAAGGTACAATGTTCCTTACTACCAACCGCGTCAACACGTTCGATCCTGCATTCCAATCCCGCATTCACATATCGCTCGACTATCCAGAGCTTTCTGTCAAATCTCGTCGTACCGTGTGGAAAAACTTCCTCGAAAACTCTTCTCAGGAACACACCGTCACCAAGGCCGAGCTGGATGAGCTAGCCCGGATGAACGTCAACGGCCGTCAAATCAAGAATATTCTCAAGATCGCTCGACTTTTGGCCACCGGAAAAGAGGCGAAGCTCAGCCATGATCACATTGTCACCACGCTAGAGGTAACACAGCATCTGCATAACGAGACGCAGCTCTCGGAGCGCGCCAAGGGTAGCTTGTACGGTTAGGGTGGGCTACACCACGTGTGGCAACCGGGATTTGCAAAGGGGTCTGGTTGGAGAAATATTGGTACAGGGATTATTGGCAATGAACACAGTGGCATCAGGGTATCATTGGTATGTGTGTAAATTTGTATACTCACCAATTCATGAATGCGCGGATAGAGGCAGCGCCATGGGGTCAATTGTGTTACATTGGTATCAAACGGCTAGCTCATTGAACTGTTCATCCAACAGTCCTGGACCCTAGAAAACCAGAATGGACATGTGTACATGTCGATCATTGTACTAACCCACATGTGCATGTAACCTCTTAGTATACACGTATTGGCGAACCCAATCGATCTTCACATCATCGACCTATCTTTTCCTCTCGCATCCAATCCCGCGGTGAAAACCAGCTAACAAGAAAGGTATCACAGTGCATACAGACCGTGGTTACCTTATCTCCAAAGTAGGGTCCTTCGGCTTCTGCACGTTCCGTACAGGGCAAGGTTGCAGTCGAATTAACTTTCAGGGTATTTGGGTTTCTTAGTGAGCCCCAATACACCCTTGCATTAACCATGTGCGACATATAGTAGTGTTTTTGTTTTTGGTCCCCGATGATCCCCCTCCCCTCTTGTTTAATTCTCCGATGACGCTTTTCGCCACCGCGGATATGGGTATATATATATATAGATCTGGATTGAATATGTAACTCCCCACTACACCACAACAGCGCACCAGCCTCACTCCTTCAATACATTAAATCTTGATCTAGAAGCCCACTTTGTTTTTTCCGCCATTGCAAGCATTTTAACTACACCTATTCTTCATAAAGACCTCTTTATTGAGGAAAAGTCACCACCTACAACATTACAACAACATTACGAAAGCAACAACAATGTTCCTATCCAACCTCATCCCATCAGCCTTGACCCTCGCCCTCCTCTTCCAAAGCGCACAAACCGCTCCAGCCCCCAACAAAGCCAACGTAATCCCTCCCTCTCTCTAAATCCCCAGATCGAACCCCCAAACTAACTAACACATCGCAGATCAATGCCCGCGCCCTCCCACCAGTCCCCACTCCACAACGCCTAACCCTCTCGCTCGCGCCCTCCATCCCCGCATACCCGATGCCACCAACCACCAACACATCCTCCACTCAAGCAGAAGCAAACCACACGCTCCTCCTCTCCAACCCCGTCACGCCAACGGGAATGTACCCCTTCACCAACCAAACGTTCCTGCCGGACTCTGAGGACCCGTCGACACCAGTGCCGTTTACGTGGATGAAAGTACAGGTTCGCTTGATGTCCGGCGGGAAGGTGGTTATGGATTGGGCGCGGATGCCCGTGGATGTTGTCGAGTGGGGGATGGGGTTCGATGTTGGGAAGTTGGTTGTTCCTGGGGAGAAAGAAGAGGGCGTTGAGAAGAGGGTTGGGCTGAGTGTTGTGGGGGTTAGTCCGGATGGGATTCAGAGCTTTTGGGGGAGTGGGGAGGTTGTTGTTGTGTAGGTTGTGATTGGGATTGGGGTGTATATGGATGGTAATGGGATGGTTGGGATATAGGGCTAGTTATTGATGAAAGCTCTTCTTTGTTCACTTTAGTGAGGGTTGCTGACGAGAGCATACTTTGAAATGCGGCCCATAGCAGTCATTCTGCTACCGACCACAAATGGTTGATTCTCAACCTTTTGCTCGGCATAGGGGGGTTCCATATCGAGCCTGGCTTTCGAGATAGCCAATACAACCTGAGATACAACACATGGCACCATTATTAGAAGCGTTTATCTGTAAAATATAGGATTTTACTTATAGCCCCCGCTTGATACCGGAGGTAGGTCAGTCTGGTCGAGAACTAGACAGGGTACATACGCAAGGAGGCGCCCATCATCAACTAACGATTATGCGGTTGCACTACGCATGATGTTGCTCTTTCCTGCAACATCACCTTTTCTCACATACCCCTCCTTCCGTGTCTTTTCTCGACGTGACCTCGCACATGGTCTTGGTACCACGTGATTCGCGGGTGAATGCACGTGTGGACTGTGCTTTTGTGCGACGTACGACAGTATGGAGTTTCGCGCTACAACCAAGCTATCTCTTACCCACATTCACATAACTCCCAAGCTCAGAAGCTGTACTGCTACTTTACAGATCGTTGAGGAGCAGCGATGAGCGTGCCCGCAGCAAATCGGCCTGGCCTTGCAAGCCCGGCATCAGCCTTTCAAGGGAATGACGATCCTAATGAAATTTCGGATGATGACACTGATGATTCCAGTAAGTACACCTAATTGACTCATGCACCTATCTCATCTTGCTAAAATATGGCAGTCATTGAACCTGCTTCCGACTTCTACCATCAACACCTGTCTGCCGAAGCAGTAGCCTTCCTCTTCAGCGAGGTCTTCTCTGATGCCGTAAAATCAGCAGCGCTGAATGCTGCGCGCATGTTCGCGGTTTCAGAGTCGGCTGTGATTGAAGAATTTCGGCGTCTACTTGTGATCAAGGTCTTCGTCACGGATGTCGATGGCTCCAAGATCAGCCCTACCCCATTGAGTGAGTACCACGTGTAGTTCCTGAGAATGATACTAAACTCAGACAGTGGATCAACTGTGGCATGCGGCCATTCTTGACACCAAGTTCTATGCGCAACTCCAGAGTGTCTTCGGTGTCATGCTCCATCACAATCCCTCCGGTGCAGCCGAGGAGCAGACATCGCAACGCCAAAAACGTTTGGAAACGATGCAAGTTCTCTACAAGAACTTCTTCAATGACGAAGCGATCGACCTAACAAGGCTTTATTGTACATTAGATGCGTCATTGCTCAAGATTTGCGAGATCTTAAGACGCAGCAATTGGTCAACGAATCAAATGGTTCACTCTTTACATTTTTTCACCCATGCAAAAGTGTTATGTTGACTATTCTCATCTCAGGCTGAGAGAGTTTCCGTAATTTTCCATTGATTCCCAGTGGATGCTAACAAACGTCAATCGAAAAAGTTTGTCACGCCACTGTTTCGCTCTGACAATGTTAAAGATTAACCACCTGCAAGTGCACAATGTTTTGTGTATATCCCATCGTATACTTGTCGGTGCCAGGGGAATAAGCTGCCATACAACACACTTTTCCTTGCACAAAGAAAGTTTGGAAACCTGGTATACTGCACGTGCGATTATAGGTAACTTCGCAAGTAAATAAAGGTCCATAGATTATCATTGAACCATCCGAGTCATGACATATGCATCGCCACGCGCAAAGAAAAAGCCCATCAATCCAAGTAATCGCGAGAAAAATTCGCTTGAAGCGATTAAAACGAGTCATGAAGCTGGATGCCATCGATTTTCTCGAGCTGAGAACCAGAAGCGTGCGGTTCACACTCAGGTCGTCTTTTAAGTTAATCCGAGACAGGTTCCGGCAAATGGATCCGGATTCCAGAAAGACGAAAATGCGCCCGTGTCATTTTCATCATTCCATAATCGTATACGTGCATCAAGACTACTCTCTTCCAAATCTTCGGAGACGCTCAATCTGGATGCGAACTCAGTGAACGTCATGTTGGCTACTCGCTTTCTTTTAGTTTCTTGCGATCGTGGCGGGTGTGATGCGCCGCTGTTTGCACTGCCGAATGATGATGCTCTGGAGTTGGAGCGTTTCGTGGTCGATCGCAAGTTGGGTGTCAGACTTGATCGGCGGCTTCTTTGGTGATCTAGAGTTTGGTGGCTTAGATGTTTTATGGGGTCTGCCAATGCTATCTGTTTCCCCCAAATACGGTCATTCACGACTATAGTGGTCAGATTCGAGGAATCAATAGGTGATCTCGTTCGGAATATGGGCGTGGATGTTTCGCATTTTCCCCAGTGATCGCGCACAACGTCGGAACTAGACAACGTCGTTCTGCAGTAGAAGCAAATTAATAGTGCTCGATTTCATGTGCTGAGATTGTGCTGATTGATGGATTTTTATTGTGCTGATTGCTATGGAAGGGACTCACGATAGAATTGTTCAGCCAGATAATGCTTTCTGGGCTCTTCTATGCTGTCGAATGTGTCTCTGCAGCCCGGACAAGAGCTGTTTTTGTCTTGTCGGGCTTTAACGTGGATTGGTCTTTCAGGCTTCGTCATTACTTTTCCTTAGCCATAAATTCATTGTCACATCATTCTGGGGCTTGGGCAGCTTACTATTCTCGGTAATGTATATTTAATGCTGTTTTCGTAGTCGTGATCGTTGGGTAACCTCAACATTTTTGGATCCGTATCGACGTAGATTGAGCGCGATTACAGCGGCGAGCGAGAACATCAAAGTCATTGGGATGCAAAAAAAGTTCAATTCGTGTTAGATGAATCGTGACGCTTGAGGTGTAATAAGATAGACAGGCGTCGATCATGTAAGCGCGCGGATTGCCATAGGTTGGTTAAGAGAATATTATTGGCGTTTTTCTGAGCTACCATCAAAACTGTTTGAGACTTGATGAAAGCTTTGAGAAAGGGAGCCGAACTACCAATAATGGGACTTTGTAATCTGGAATCCCGAAGGTGGAATGGGGATCGGTTCCTGGGATAATGAGGGGTAAAATAGATAGATTACTGACCGATTCGACGGGGGTCAGCTAAAGTACTCACTCGAGCTGGCAACAGTTCACGTGATACAATGTGAATACCTAAGTAGATCTTTTCATTCTTACCCCTTTGAGGGCAGGCTACTTTCTGGACTTGTGCCTTGGTTGATCTCTCAACGTTTAACTGCACGCCAGGCAAAGCTTCAGAACAGGCCCAGGGTTTAGTCTACAAGATTCGCATTTTTGTAGGCCAACGCACAGAAAGCATTCGTGAATCATTGTAGCTCCGCATGTCGAGCACTCACTGCCGTCCTTTTAAATCTTACCCTTTGAAGGTCGACCAAGTTGCAGCGTGTCCGCCCATGATTCGACACGAGAAAGGGAATCCGAACTCGAGTATTGCGATGTATCTGCACGGGCAGCCAAGTCACTAAAAGAAGCATCTACGACTTTTCTTAGTTTACGACCTTCCGTTCGAGGTGGATGCGATACACCGCTATTAGCGCTTCCAAATGAAGACGCCGAATTCGAGCGCTTTAACGTGGGTAGCTTGCTAGGATAAGAGTGACTCGTCTGTCGCGGAGAGTGTTGTATGTTATGTGCGCTATCGTGGTACTTCCTTCGCCGCCCATGGCGTACACAGGAGACGGTAGTAGAAGCAGAGGATCCAGCGTAGATGTTTCCCAATGAAGTGCCAGATGATAAAGGTGTTTGGTCTATACATTCGTGCAAGTGGACATGGAGACATTGGAAGCATTGTAATCTTTGTCCACAGCGGAGGCATTTGAATCTTGGATATACACCTGCACCATGTGAGCCACTTTCTCACCTCCATCGCTTACTGCGCACTTTGAGGATAGAGCTGACATACAACAAGCATGACTAGTCAAATAATGCAGCTCGAGGTCGTTCATCGTGGGATATGCCTTGTCGCAACAGGGACAGTTGTGCATAGAGATGAGATGATTTGACACTGTGTTTGGAAGCTTCATTCCATCATATCTGAATCTGTTCGGTCTAACGTATCGTAAATTTATTGTATCTTTCGACTCGGCCCTGCCAAATGTGGCATCTGAGGGAACTGAGGGCTCTGATAACTTGCGTGGTTTCCCATTCTTGTTATCCGTGCCATGGGGCGAGGGATTCATCAGTAATTTCAAATCCATCTCAAGGGAAATGTCTGCGATCCAGGCTGGGCAGGATTCCAAGTAGAAAGCAATTCTTTCGGGAGATTTGTAGACGTTCAAAGAGTTTTCGGATCAGATCACCGGACTAAGACGCCCAGGGATTGCGGGAAGAACAAGAAAACTGTAAAGTTGCGCTCAAACCACGCCAAAAAGAGCGACTGGCGGATTCCGAGTGTGTATCTGAGTGCGTGACGCGGGGCAGGGAAGCTGAGAACGAGATGACCAGCAGGGGTGTGTCGAGTCTCTCGGATGATAGGCGGGAGGCTCGGTCTCAAGGCACTTAGGAGTCGGGACACACAAATCCACAGGACATCGCATACAAGTCATCATGTTTTTTTCTCTGTCTGGCTACTATATATGCAGATATTTTATATATATCCGATAGATAATAGTGCTGTAGCTTAACAACAGATGCTGTAGTTCGTGATTCGATTGTCTTACCTTTCAAATCCGTCACTCGTATTGCCCAAACTACCGAAATCTTGCTTTTGACTGCACAGCCTTGCACCTTTGCGCAAAGAGATTTTCGTACGTCTTTCCCCAGTGAAGCATCGAACTTCTAGAATCCTGAGGACAAAATTCGCACAACACGCTGTTTGCACCAGTTATTTCGAATCTCTGCCATGACTGAAACACTTGATCTCGAAGCATACACTGTTCTACTGCTCTGTCCCCTCGAGGTGGAAGCGCAAGCCGCCGAGTTGATGCTGGATGGCTACCACGAAGGAGTGCACGAGCGAGCTCCGGGGCAAAACACAATATACAGCTTAGGCAGTATCGGGTGCCACAACGTGGCCATCGCTAGTTATCCCGTCGGCGAGGTCGGTATCGGAGTATCTGGAAGCATGGCTGCGGAGGCCTTGCGCGATTTTCCCAACCTCGAAATAGGCTTCCTTATTGGCATTGCCGCGGGAATACCTTCTTCTACCAAAGATATTCGGCTGGGTGACGTCGCTGTGGCCATTCCAACTGGCGACAATGCAGGTGTCATCGGATATGACCTTGTAAAAGTCGAAGATGAGCGTATACAGTTGAAACAATGGCAGAATTCCACAGCTTCCCTACTTCGAGCTCTTATACGCCGAATGCAAGTTAGCTCAACACGTCCGACTGGTAACTTCAAACGACACCTCGAAGTTCTAGAGAGAGCAGCGGCATTCGATAGACCACACCCCCCAGCACCGAGCAGCGAGTGGCCTTCCCATAAACCGCAGCGGAAGCCGGAAGACGGCCCACAGGTCCATTATGGGACTATACTTTCCGGAAATGGGGTGATCAAATCTAAAGCTATAAGAGACATGCTGAGGGACCAACACGGGGGAATAGCTATCGAGATGGAAGCTGCCGGAATGATGACAAGATTACCAGTAGCTGTTGTTCGTGGTATCAGCGACTTTGCTGATGCTAGCAAGAATGATGAATGGCAACCATATGCGGCTCTAACCGCGGCTGCATATGCAAAGGAGATGTTGCTCAAGTTAGGCCCACTGCGCAAGGCTAATGCGCCTGGTACGTGAAGGTTAATCTGCCGTCATGCACAAACGGTCTTCCAGTCTATCGTGTCTAGCGCATAGCATCTCAATGATAGATCTTGTCAGAATCATTTCCATAGATCATTTTCCAATTTTTCGTGCTGCAGCATAAGATGAGTGAAGCTAACCATATCGTATAGTATCGGAAATCGAATCGGTCATCTCGCCCGATATTCATGAGCGCTTGAGTCTAGCCCTTCCCGAGGACTGCCGTTTTGTGGGGAGAACTAAGGAACTCGAGTGCGTATACCCCAGTTTCAAAGCATGTTGATTTCCTTGCAGACTATCTGTACGTTCAATACTGATCAGATATTACGTCACTACGTCCAATGCGCAGTCAATACTGATCAGATATCCTCCAAATTAGGCAACTCAATTCTTGGCTCGAAGCCAGCCAAGTAAACAAGACTCAAAGATCCATCGTAGCACTCTGGGGTCTCAGTGGTGCCGGAAAATCCCAACTAGTGTCCAAATTTGTAAAGGAGCAGTGTCTCCAGCATCCGGACATGGAGGTTTTTTGGGTACCCAGTAACAGCATTGAATCATTCGAACAGGGAATTTTCAGTTTATTGAAAGTACACACTAGCCCATCTTCCACGGAGAAACATGAAGGTCATCATGAGAAACGGAAGCGACTGGTTTCTACTTTCTTCGCCGAACTTAGAAGTACGTCTCGTCCAAGATGGCTTCTCGTTATTGATGCACTTTCGAATGTTCAGTCGCATCGTGACCAAATTATAAGCCACATCAAAACGCTACCGTTCGGATCTTTCATTGTTACCACTACGAGCAAAGAGTTGGCAGATGCATATTCTCACCAATTAGAGATTAAGGGATTGCCTGAAGAGCACGCTATGGAGTTGCTTCGTATGGAGATCTCTCAAAGTTTCAGACAAGAAAAAGGTAAGCTCAGCTCTTGAAATGTTCACTTATCGTACCGACGAGTTTGATCTAGACATTCTGGAGTTAGCAAAGATGCTCAAAGGACTTCCACTGGCTTTAAGACTAGCCACATCAATTCTATCGCGCTATCCCCAACCTGTGTCTCAGTACGTAAAAAGATGGAATTCGAGAGAGCTGGAATATGGCAATCTACCAGCGCACACTACTATCACGCAGGCATTAGAAGTCAGTTTTGGCGAATTGGAGAACACCAATCCTTTAGCAGCTCGACTTTTGACCCTTTTCAGTTTTTTGGACCATCGCGATATGTGGTATGATCTTGTCAGAGAAGCAAAAGATAGCGACTTTCCCGACTGGTGCCGAGAACTGGCAATGATAGAGCGCTTTCGCGAGTGTGTGATTTTGCTATGCGATCTCTCATTCATTGAGGCTAAACTCGATGGCCAAAATGAATGTATTTATGAGATCCACCCTGCAATACAGGACTTCGCAAGATGGAAAGCAACAGACGAGGAAGGGATTTATGTACGGTGCGCAATATCCATGGTGGCAAACAAAGTACCCAGATCTTCAGATCACCACGTGTTGCAGATAGCGCAAAGATTGCAACCGCATGTCGATCAATGCATGATACACTTAAAACAGGATAGAGCAGGTTCGAGCCTAGATCTAGTGGAACTGGAGAAGTTTGGCAACCTGTTCCGCATCTTGGGACGTTATCAAGAAGCTACGTCTTTGTACAACATGATCTCGCATCACCTCAAAGATGATAAAGATTCAGAATCGACCATGGCTACCATCGAAAATAATCTGGGTCTTATCTATCATGCTCAGCAGCGATATCGTCTCGCCCTGGAGTCTTTCCGAGAGTCCTCGAAATGGATGTTCCAGCTTCAGGGAGAAACAAACGACGCATTCATGAGTACACTGTATAATCAAGGTCGAAGTCTGATTATGCTTTCAAATTTGGAAGCAGGCCAGGAGTGTCTTATAACGGCAGCTCAGCACTTTGCCAAAGCTTTCAAAGACCCCCAGGGTTCGCACAGAGACGAAAAGCTACGTTCATATTATCGTGTTTTGAACGATCTAGGGGAAACATACTTGCGAGAAAACAATTTAGATGCAGCTGAGCGAGCGTTCAAAGAAGCATTTCAAGGACTCGGAAGACTTTTACACGAGATGCATCCAGCAACCTTCACTGTTCGACTAAACATGGGAAGAGTATGTGCAAAGCGGTCCCTGTTCGCATCGGCCCGCAACATCTTCAAGTACGTGATTGAGACATACACGGGATGGTGGGGCAGACGACATCCAGATACCATGCGAGCAATGTACGTATACCCTCGTTGCAAGACCCCACAATGCGACTTTCTGGCGGATGGTGGACATCTAAACACATGATATTAACTTTCCGTCATAACATTTAGTGACGAACTCGCACATGCATATATGCAGCATGGTAAAGCTCAACGTTCCATGGGGGACGGAGGCGAGCGAGAGTTTGGTGTTGCGGCCGGTCTTTGGAAGGAAATACTTCAATATTACCATGAGACATACGGCAGTTCTTCTGAACTTGCAAACTCGATAAAATCGAGGCTGCACGAGCTGCAGCTTCTTCAGGTTCCTATTGAGGACGCATACCAAGTTTATTATGCCAGCGGGGAATTCATCCCATAGACCTTGTTGCGTTTAGCTCAATACGCGTTAGTTGTTTCTACACTTTCTACATGCATCTGGTTGGGTAGAAAGCCACTCGTAATGATAATAGAAGCGAGAGATGGTGTTTCAATCAACAAGGCCCTTCAAAGTCATCGACGGCAAGCTGTCAAGCTCGTCATATGAATCATTTGAAGCTTCGCGCGGAACGGTCAGTCTCTGTTGTTGTGCGCAGCGAATACGAGCTGAATCGTGTCCAGTGCCAATCATCGTCTTGATTTATCCGCTACGCACTCAGGCCCATGTACGACTTGGCACAATGGAATCTCGGGCACTGCAACTTGTCTCGTTAGCTCTTCTTGCCATCAAGAGATATCAAAATCATCGCCTCTCATCTTTCAGACTTACCCTATCCATCGGCTATACTTAACGCCTGCCAAACTCTTAATCTTTACCGGAATAAGCTTGGCACCTCCCTAACCTACAGGCAGCTCCACTGGCTGTCAGAGAAGGCTGAGATCTAGGGACGCAATATTCTCCCATCAAAGTTCGGTCGAGGTTCTTACACTTATTACGACACGACTTTGTCGCTGTGAGACTTCTAGACAGAGCGTCACTTTTTTCTTGCGAATTTTCTAGACTTCAAATTAATTATATATATGTCAGGTGGCCGCCCGAACATTCGAGGTGGGTACTTCTTTCTTTGCGGAGTATACTTCATTGAGCTAAGGTTCACCACTTAGGTCGACTGACTTGATCGATTCGTTCGGTTCAACACATATTTTCAACATTATTACTGTCACTACTTTCTGTAGTCACAATCGACGGTATGGCAGATCGCTGTGTGGAAAGCACGACCCCACAGCTCTGTAAAACCACAGAAGACCCTCTTAGCATCGAGGAAGATGAAGTCAAAGTTCAAGCTCTCTTACAGATGATTCGCCATCAGCAGAAGCAAATTGAAGCCCTCCAGCGAGGCATTCCAGCTGGCAAGTTTATGAATGGATCTAGTGTGATCTTTACACTAATCATGCTCAGCTCGTCCGATTAGCCCAGGTGATGATCCAAGCGTTGATACCTCTGCCTCGAAACAGTTTGGTTGTACAGAATACCCACCTTGTAACTTAAGCTTTGTGAGGAGGGAAGAGCTAGTTCTACACATACAGTCAGTTGAGATGTCTCTTTCGCCAGCTAGTATCTGACACTAAACCATGCACAGAGAGCATACCGGCTATCAAAGACTCGAGAGTGGTCATTTACGGGCTGATGTAAAAATGCATATGCAAAATATTGAAGCTCAAAAGCACACCCAGACCCGCCTCTCAAGCGGCATCTCACCTTCCAAACCTCGAACCAAAATCGAAGTCCTAGAGCAAGCGGAATTGCACTTTAGGGAAAGCCAAGATCGTTCCGGCAATATGAAACAAGGAGATCAGACACCTAGCTACCCAGGCATGGCAGATTCTGTTCCGGACGTGGGTCCCTCAGCTACGTCGATGCGCGATCCTCGATCACTCACGGCAGCTGAACTCCATCTGGAGCTTGAGAAAGAACAAGAAGCTGTCGTGACACGTCTCACGAAGGAATTATCCGCCCTTCGTTCCATTTCAAATTCCATACCATCTGGTGAGAGTGAGGGCATCGCGATTGATAGATCCGTACCATCTTCACCTGCCAGTGTGGCTTCGTCATTCGGAAGCGTTCACAGTGGAATTTCGCATCCTCCCCGCCGAAACGGCCCCCGAAGCAGCAAAAGAGTCAGCATTTCATATAGCGACCTAAGAAACGAACGCGAAAATGCTATATCTCGCACCGAAGCATGGGCTAGCTCAAGCTATAGTTCTGCGCGCCCCAGTCTTCGATAGATGCTTAGTGTAATTCATGTGGTGGTTGATTTCTGCATCATAAATATGTCGGGAGACGCTTACGCGTTGCTTGTTATCGCGGTGGATATCCACAGACAAATGAGGAGTGGGTGAAAGGATAAAGGGAAGAAGAGCTAATTAGGGCTCATGGTACGGAGAGAAATGGGGTAATGAGCTATGTGAAATAACAGTATCCTGAAATGCTCGAATGTAAATCATCGGGAAGCAGCCTTCTACATTGGCCCTCATTGAAAGTTTTCACTCGTTATGTGCACTGCAGAATACGAGCTGGCTCGTATCTAGTACCAATCATCCAGACGCTTGATTCACCAAACCCCTGCCTGACTTCGAACCTTGTAGTGGCGCAAACATAGCCTCACAAGTAATCAAGGCTCAGCCCTCGAGCATACCTACTCGACGTTCACACGACCAACCCACAGTTGAGATTATCTCTACAACGTATGCAGAGGGCTCCTATCATCGAGTAAAGTACGTCACTACCTCTTCAGTCACCCACGCGTGCTCTGCCGGTCGCATTCGAGGTGCGACGTCACGAGATCACCCTGAGCCACAGCGGCTGTCATTTTCTATTGTCTTTAGGACCCAGATTGACGGCGCATCCATCGTACTTTGACAGGCACGCTTTCCAGCTCGTCTCCAGCCGCTGTTTCGTTGTTCTGGTTTTCTGCATGCCGATCTCACTCTAAGTCCGATCCCTCTAGGAGAACGAGCACTTGAGGATCTTGCCCACAAATTCATATGACGGCAAGCTGGTGGTGGCGCCAGCATCCAAATGGAACTCGATGGACCAAGTGATCCTTCTGCCACAAGGCACAAGAAACTGATTGTTTCCTGCCAAAGATGTCGAGACGGGCGCTTAAAGTGCGATAAGGGCCAGCCAGCATGTTCAAATTGTCTTAAAGCGGGGTTTACTTGCAATCCCGCCCAAATCCTCCCGCGAAAGCGTATTAGAACCGCGCAAACATCCAATAAAAGCGAAAACGTGCTTTCTGGACAATCACTTTGGACGGACGAGGAAGATGGCTTGATAATCGAATTGAGAGGCCAAGGATACAGATGGGATTTGATCGCAGAGCACTTGCCTGGAAAGAGCGTTGATGATTGTCGCATCCGCTATCAGAATCATCATCGCCCGCTCGGACCTGGCTTTGAGTCCCCTAGCTATCCAACCCGAAGTAATGAGTCACCATCCTCTGAAACGATGGGGCTTTTTCATTGTGAAGAACCTCCAAATCGTCCACCATCTCGAACATCTTCATGCGCTTCGTACGGCAGTGCCAACAGTGGCGCCTCGCATCCTCCTCGCATGAGTAACCACCGACCCAAAAAGATTGTTGGCGTATCTTACAATAGTCTGGCCTCGGGATTCCATTCGACTGCACAAGGAAACTCAAAATCCCGCACGGAATCCTGGGCAGAGTCATCCTCGAAAGCCACACCTCGAGCGCCAGAGACAAATGTTTTTGGCGAGCCTTGGTTCGCTGATCCTAGTCTACAGAATCGCAGTGATCACGTAGAGGCTCCATACTTCGGCGCCCATGAGCGTCGTCATTCAATCAAGAAACCTACATCGTTCATGGCTGTCTCTGTGACCAAGCAATTCCTCGCTACATCATCGGCGTCTAAACCGGCAGTAGAAGCTGAGAGTAAGGCCAGTACGCAGGAAAAGACTTCATCATCATACTCCAAGCCACGTCTTATAGCAAAGGCGCCAGAACGAACAACGACAAGCCCGTGGCTAGACACCAGCGAGGCCTCGAGTCACCATCCTCCTCCACTAAAGCATTTCACAGATGAGAATCTAATAAAACTATATGAAGCAGCAATCGCAGGTGACAAAAACAGTAAAAAAGCTACTTGGGCAGAGATAGAAGACGATGACGACGACTGGGCCCCTGATATTTTACAATGGATGGATGGGACAGCGACGGCCAAATTTAGTTCTTCTACGGACAACCCAAAACCTCCTCATGATGAACATCTATAAGTATATGGTTTATTCATATACCTCCCCCTCAAATCGCCATCGACGAGAGATTTGTCCTGTGTCATGATTTTTCAGGGCAACGGTAAATAAAGCCTGCCAAAACGCCAAAACGAGCAAGATCCTTTGATTCCGGGGAAACCAACGGAACCTATCCTTTGCTCAACCCGTCTAACAGAACCCAACGAAGGAAAGATCGGTCGTGTTGTGATCCGATCACCAACATGCCCCCTCAGTACCGCGCGTCCTCTTCCCACGAAGTCATCTTACTATCAATCCACCAGAACTGCTATCACAAAGGGCGTCAAAATCATCGACATCGGTATCAGGTGGATGTAGCGATAGTTCGGATCGCCCCGTGTTACGGCCAAGTTTTCTGCAACCGCGAAGAGAGCTGCCGTCAGACAGATGTATAGAACGATCAAGGAGACGAGAACCCAGGGAGTCCAGGCTGGTGGGCTCTCCCGGCTCACATCAACGGCTTGGTAGGTAGCCATTTGGTGGGGAGCGGCTTGAGGCGTTGTCGTTGGAGGAAGTGGTTGGCTTGTCGCTTGGATATCGCGCTGAGCGGCGGCGTATAATCGTCTGATGTCTGTTTCGTTTTCAGGGGCAGAGAAATGAGCGTAGGCGGGTGGCAAGTCACCTAGAATGTTGTTTTCCGGTCTGCGTACTGGCATTGGTGGCGGCTCATCGCGCGGTTGTCTTCTGATCGGTACAAGTGGGATCGAGTGAGGGTCGTCGGTTATATCGGACTGAGATGACCTTGTGGGCATAATTTTTGGTCGTCGCATTTGGATCAAGGGTCTTTCTTTATTCAGAACGGATATTGGTTTTTGGGTGATGCGTTGGGCAGTGCAAAGAGTGTCTGAAGGCGGATCGTTATGTGATGAATGAGCAGAGGAGTGTAAAGTATTGCAGAGACGCTAATGGCTTGCTATGAAAAGTGCAGTAAGATTGAAGGAAAAAGAAGAATTGCTACCAAAATGAGTTTTGTTCATTGCGGACGGCGTTTTGAGAGTGATTGTGCATTACAATTTTCAGGCAACCACTAATAAGAGAAGGATAACAGATGACCCACACCCTTTCTCACTTCCTCCAAGGGTCTCGCTCTCAACAACACCTTTACTCTCTACGGCTTCAATGATGCGCACACCCTCAACTGTAGCAATGGTGGCATATATAAGCGGATAACAAAACCGCCACCAAAATATAAAGCCACCACTTCCTTTTCTCAATCGCCAGAACCAGTAGCGATAAAATTGACAAAAAATAGAATAGATCCCAGAAAAAGCGTCTGCTACATTGACTGCGTAGAGGCGATGGCTGCGTGGGTACAGTATATACTTCCTGTCGCACAGTGTCCGAGGGTTCTATAAATGAGGTCGCCGCAATCGCCAGCACCGTGGATGTTCTAGTGTTAACATCTGAGGTCTGGTCATCATCGATATCGTCGAGTCTGAAGCTCTCAATTGAAGATAATTCAATGTCTATTTCGTAATTTTCCAAGTCTTCCGGAGTGGTAGGTGCTGTAGTTTGATACGACGGCGGTGGGACAGTAATCGCCACTTCCGTATAGTCATCCTCGCTGTGGTACGATGGAGGCGGTGATGATGAGATAGATGTTGCCCTGATTATATCTTCGCTCCCAGCGCGTGGCGTATAGGCTGGCGGTGGTGGTGATGACACGTTGTTGCTGTTCATCGGGTGATAGCGAATGTTTGGGTCCGCTTATCAAAGCGGTTTTGATGATCGGTCAGACTGATCCAAAATTGTGACGGCAATGTTCTTGAAATCTATTGTGACTTCACTGAGTAAGACGGCTTCAGAACCAGTCCATGATTTCAGACGTGATGACAAGAGAAGGGCAGTGATGACACTGATGAGGTAGACTGCTACCTAGATAGCTATCCACTGTTTGTATTTGTTAGCAAGCATGTTCTTTGCCCGATTGCTGGCTACGTATCTGATAAATTCACTTGGTATTATTGGCTGGGGGACGGATGTAGCCATCATTCGTGACGGATTTGGGGTGGTCCAGCCACTTGTTTGTCGTCCAACAAACGGAGGCTTACCGATTATTTTACGCACAGAAGTAAATATTTGACAAACATCTCCCCAGATTTCTTTATATGTTTTCATTTTCAGCTGTATTCAAATTGATCTCGTCTGTATTCGAGTAATCGCATTGGCCGCCATGGTCCCAAATTCCACACGTCTGAGAATCTGCCATTCAAAGTGTAGAAAAGTCCGAGCAAGCTGTCACCCACTAATATATCAAGACGTCTTAAGACGCCGCCTCCCAGCATAAACTCCCATACCCCTAATCTAAAAGCACAATGCCTCTCCAACATCACACCACTCGCCGTGCTCTCATCTCAAAAACCTCCCCGACTTTCTGCAAAATCTCATCAATCAACGCCTCTCTTTTCGAATTATCGTCGTCCAATATCCAATCATGTGCACGCTTAACCGCATACAAGAGAAGCGCGGCTATTCCAGTCACAATCACGATGGCCAGCAGGCCCACCAAACACAACCCAACACGAGCAATCACCTTACACATTAAAAGTTGCTCGTTCAGTTCATCGACTAGAGCTTGGGGATCTCTGGCTTCGTAATCTCTTTTGGTGTCCATGGTGGTATTGGTTGTCTGTTTCTTGTTAGACTTTTGTGGGGGTTTGAGAATCACATGTATTTCGGTACCTTAATCTCTCAAGACCGCAAAGTGAACCGTATTGAATTTTGGTTTCGTATGCAGATCGTATTAGGAATTGTGGGAAGTACTGTGGGAGTTCCGTGTATGATGTAAAGTTGATGTGGAATGGTTTAGGCGTTGAGAGGGTTGATGGGGCTTCTGCGAGGAATTTGCGTGCGTGAAGGCCGGAGAGGTTGGGAAAGGTATTGTGGTAGAAAGAAAAAAACAAGCAAAGAAGAGATATAGGTAGGTAGTTATATTTAATTTTTAAAAATCAACAACATCAAATCTTCGAATGAGGTAGTGAATTGCACTTTTCCAAAAATTTATCATATCCTCCTCCGTGGAATCTTTATCCCCGACGTTGTCCGGACGGCCAACCACTCGCACCACCACAATTACGTATTCTCTGACCCAAAGCTTGACAAGACTCTAATAAATGGTCTGCCTAGTTTCCTATCAATTGATACCCAGTTCGAAAAAATGATTTTCACCGCTCCCTTTCCCACCCACTCAACCGACTACCTCGGAACCAATGTTAATAATCGCGGGCCCAGAGTAACAGCCACATGGTTCCAGAGTGATGATATCAGTGTGTTCTACCACCACACAAGCGGAAATTCGCCATACGCTATCCCGGCATCGCTACACTCCACCTACTTTGCCGTCATTCCACATTCTGCCCCCCCTTCACGTATAAACCACACCAAACGGCGAAGTCAACGCCGCTGTCGCAGCCATATCGACGAGGCAAAGGCGCCAAAAGACGGAACAACTATAGCATGCTGAGCTCTCTTCTTCATCTTCTTCATCTTCCTGGTCGTATTCCTCCTTGTTATTTTCATCGTGATGGGTGAGGTCGACGTTAGCGGGAAAGGATTTGGCATCGTTTCCAGCGAACTTGAAGGAAGAACACGAGGATGAGGAGGGATATGAGCGTAGGCTTTTTGCTGTCGATGACGACGACGACGATGGTGATGATGATTGGGATGACATAGGCGCGGTAATAGAAGTAGTCGTTTGCGGAAGTGGGAAGGATTGAGCAGAGTTACGAGAAATTTGTAGGGATGGCAATGGCTTTTGCGTATTCTGCGCTGAGTTTGGTTGGGAAGTTTTTATTGTCGTTGAGCCCATTCTTGATTGGGTAGATAGGGATGGAAGGATAGCGGGCGTGGAGAAATATGTGTGTAAGGGAACGTATATTGCGCGCGGTCTCTATCAGAGTCGAGAGAAATAAAATAAAAAGTACTATATTGTGCGATGGTTCTAAAAGTTGATTATGATATGTGGAGGACTGAAAGTGTTGGGGTGAAAAAGGGATGGGTGAGTGAGGAGTGGACACGAGAATATAATGAACGACTACGTCGATCTAAGTATGCGTGTTCTTTTGCCTCTTGAAATCATCTAGACCTCTTCCATCCCATGTTACAGAAACATGGATCGTAATTGTCACGTTTTCATCCAGAACGATGTGGATCCTCCAATCATCAGGCGTGGAAACGATCCTTGGAAATCTGTTGGAATCGTCCATGCTTGTGTTTCTGCACGGCAGAGAACTGAAGGAAGGAAACACGTTGCATGTCTCAGAAAGAGAGATACATGTGTAAGTTCGCAGAAACCTTAAGCGGTTTGGGTGAAGTGTGTGTCGCTATTATGTTGCACTTGCGATTCTTGTCGCTAATCGTGCGCAAGGCTTGCCTCGCAATGGGCGAAAGAAGGCTTGCGTAAAAATTTGTGAAGCATTCTCCAAGTCCAACTCAACTGTAGCATTTGGATGTTGGTGATGGTTGACTGGTGGTTAACTGATGGTTAGCATGATGCCGTCACATGCAGCAGAGCGCACGGACCTTTCGCGACGTCATGAAGAAAAGCAAGGGTCTGAGAGTAGCCTAAGCTAGCAAGCAAACCCCACAGCTCGAACGAGGAAGCACTCCCAGAAAACCTTACTTGCCCTTGCGACCTTACCAGCGCTCTGGAAGACGCTCCGACAGCACAAGACCCCAACGGTGCCGGTATCCGCGTTTTAGCACTGAGTAACGCCATGTCAGAGTACGAAGACCTTGTTGTGAGTGATGGGCGTGCTTGTTTCCCTGAGGCCTTCTATGTCTTCCCTTGTTCGCTACCCTCGGCTGGTGGGCGACGTTGTGTGTAATGAAAGGGTGTCATTGTGTAGTGCGTGCGTGGTTTGCATGTCCGTGTTACTAAGGAGACCTCGTCGCAATTTCTTGCCTCCAGCAGCGCTGACCTAAATGTTCTTTACGATGTATAGGAACTCGGTTTCGAAGGCGTTGACAAATTTGCAACGAAATACCATGACGTTTTTGCAGATAAAGTTGGATCGCTGAAGCATAAGAGAAAGAACAAGTTCAAGCAGGGCGCAAAGGGCCCAAATGGCCCCGAAGGAGAGCGAAAAATGGATGGAGATGCAGCGTTCACTGGTCCGCAGCCACCATCGCACCGGTACGAACGCAACGAGCCGCTTCCTCCACCTGAGGAACATTTAGGGAACTCGCAACTTCCCATGCCAGGATTTGGGCAGACAGCGGACAGACAGCGGCAGTATCCGCCGTTTGTTCCGACTGCTCAGGGGAGACCGGAACCGTTGGCGCCGGATAGAGGACCGCCCCCTTCTATAGGTGCGCAAGTGCCACACTACTATTACCCGCGTAACCTCGATCCGTACGCCCAGTCTTTTGCTCCATTCCCGAAGCAGCGTGCTATGTCCGACCCAGGTGACTATTCGAGCGATAGTGATTCCACACAGGACTTGGAAGAAGGGAATCGAGACACGTACGAGCCATACTCGACCAGTAATAGGAGAGCAGATAGGCGGAGCAACAGAGTGCGGCGTGATCGAACAGCGGGTGACGTATATGCAAGCAATCTAGAAGAGAAGTCCATGTATGGCTATCGGCCAGATGAACGCCAGGCATTTAGGAGGGATCAAAATGCCTCTAGAAAGCTTGAAAACGGAGAGGATCGTATGCAAATCTATAGACGCAATGGCGATTTCGAGAAGCGTGTAGTGGAAGAAAGGGAGTATTACAGCAGCACTCCCGACCGATGGGCGAATGGGACGCGGACTGGGGCGATGATGGTATGTAGCCAGTCTTTCTTATGACCGCATGCTTGCGATTTGTGGGCGAGTGATGTATGCTGGGTTCCAGAACGTTGACTCGAGAATAGTCGCGACGACCAGAAACAGACGACTTCGAAGCTGCGCATGGGCGAAGACGACCACGTCCTGCTCGAAGAGGCTCATCTTGGTCTCCCCCTCGGCGTCGTTTGGACGAGGATCAGGGTTCGTCACGACACGGGCATGGGCCACGTGCCCGATCACCAAACAGCTATCGCACCATCGGAACTATTGTAGGAGCATTGGCTGGAGGGCTAGCTGGAAGCCAAGTGAAGAAGAGTGAAGGCGTTCCCAATACCATGGCTGCGGTTGCGGGCGCTGTGGTGGGAGGTTTAGGAGCAAGGGAGGCGGAAAAGGCTATAGACCGGCGTCGAGAGCAGCGGCGAGTTGAGGATAGATGGGGAGCAGAGCGTGAAGAACGGCGTGCTCGCAGGCGTTCAAGTCGAGAGGGCTACGAGCGACGGTGGGAGTGATTGTGTGTGGTATTGTACGGTGCGGGGTCAAGGTCGAAGTGGGACGAGTACAGATGCAGAACGGGAGGACTGCAACGAGATATGAATGTTAATGAACGATAGACATTGAATTGATGAGATTCGCTGAATACACAAGTATAGACAATTGGAGAAAGAGGGTCGAATGTAGCGATGATGCACGGACAGACAAACATGCACATGTGGTCCGGGCGTTACAGCAGCAGCACGTGCGCGCCCAAAGGACGAAAGGTGCACAGTGCGCGGCGATGATGATGTCGATTACCCACAATCAGCTGGTGGCATGGAGGGGCGTGGGAAAAAAAAAAGAAAACTGTGTGATTGATTTCACGTTGTGAAGCATGAGTTGTATGCTGATGTACAACGGCACGAGACAGGCAGTAGGCGTATGATGAGGGCTAGGGACAGTCGAATATACATAAATCAATTGATATGTGTACGGGATCAATGTCAAGGTGCAGCGAGCGGCTGCAGGGACAGTGTATGAGAAGAAGTGGATCTGGCTTGGCAGCTGTTGGCGCTGAGTCCCTGAGGCTGTCTGCCGGTTCAAAACCATTGAGGGTATTCCGGCCCCAACGTGTGGAAGGGAAGTGTCTATGGCGTGAGGTGAAACGACGAGGAATTCTCCGGCGACAAGAGAGTGGCCCATAGTACGACGGACAGCGGTTACAAGTACACGTAGGCTGGCAATATCGGGCTGCTGTGAGTGGAGACGGCCATTTGTTTTGGACGTCACTCATCCAGTCGGTCAGTAGGTGGTGAGCGACTTGGTACCTGAACGGGAATAGAGCGGCCACCAAGCATTTGCAGTAGGATGAAGTGGGTGACGGAAAACAACTGATGCAATAAGGCATGCGGAATATCCTGAGATGGGAGGCATGAATTCCAGACGCGAGATGGTGAGCAGAGCGAAGACAACATGAGATGGATGAAGCCAGGTCGTGCGTGTATCATGTTTTGGAATTGGAATTTTTGAGTGTGGTTGGTGTGTGGGCGGGCGCGTGCGTGCGTGCGTGCTTACATGTGAGGTATTCTTCTGGAAGCCCCGTGGAAGGAACCTTGGGAGGCACAGACAAGGGAAGGGGAGGGGAGGGAACAGCCAGAGGGAAAGAGGGACCCGGGAAAGAAAGGGAAGGGGAAGGCGCGACACGCACCCACCGCAAGGCAGGCAGGCAGGCACACGCCGGCAGCAAGGCAGGCACTAACTGGCTAGCACCTACCCTCCCAACCAACCGTCATTCACCACCTCCGCCTCCACTTTCTGTCCATCCCGACTTCTTTACCTCACCTCACCTTGCTACACCATACACCTTCTTCTTGACTCCCTCCCCCTCTCCCTCCTCACGCCCATTCTCACCACTCTCCCTGCAATTCTCCCCCGCCGATCCGTCCTTTACCGCCCGTCGTCGACGTTTTATTCACTTCGTACCTCGCTACCTTCTTTTCCACACCTCATCGCACACGTCAACGAGGCGCTGACGGACGGAAACGCGCCATTTCGCATCCTCCACTTTTCAAACTACTACTACCACCACCTCGTCCATATACTCGCACCCACGTACATAGACGCTGCCACCGCCTTGCCGCCTACCGTCCATTGATTGTCTGCTTGTATAATTCCCCGCCTGCTCTGCCAGAGGCATGCGCGTTGAACGCCCGCTCGGCCCTCCTTCGTATCCCCGCTGCCGCCGCTTTGTGCCTGTCGTCGTTCGGTCGCTTCCCACTTTATTACATCCCACCACCCGCGCACACAACTTTGTTTGATCCTACGTCCGTCCACGCGTGCCCGCCTCGCCCCTCGCCCTTGTCCTTCTCTCGCCACATTTTCTTCCTTGCTCCTCCTACTGCAGCATCACATCTATATCTGCTATGCGCAGATCTGGAAGACCTTCGGGCAGGGCCAATGGCGGCGTCATGGTCCCTGACCCTTTTGCTATGGTTCGCGCCTACGAGTCCGACACCAACCCCAATCGCCCCATTCGCCCCTCGCCTTTGACTGCCTCCACCCTCCAAGGCCTTCCTCTCGATTTGCTAGACCGCTTGCGCTCCTTTCCGCTATTCCTTTCCGCCCCCGATACTTTCCTCGCCGCAATCGGCATGCACCTGAAACCGCAACTATATCAGGCGCATGATACCATCCTCACCGAAGGGGAGTCAGGGAAAGCCATGTACTGGCTGGTTCGCGGCTCCGTGCGCGTCACTTCGCGCGATGGGGAAAGCACCTATGCCGAGCTGAAGCCTGGCGCCTTCTTTGGCGAAATCGGTATTCTGATGAATATTCCCCGCACCGCCAACATCATTGCAAATATGCGCACTCTCGTGGTGCGGCTGAACAAGGAGGATCTGGAAAAAGAGCTACCCAAGTTCCCCGACGTAGAGAGGGCCATCATGGACGAGGCCAAGGAGCGTCTCTCTATCCTCAAACGCAAGAAACAGGAAGTGGGCAAGATGCAGCCCGTGCTGGTCTCGCGTCCTAGCAAACGCACCATTGATCGCGTCGAGGGGGATGTGGTCGTGCCAGAGCGGGGGTCGATGCAAGACGGAGAAGTCGTCAGCTTATACAAGAAACGGAAATCTCCGAGTCCTGGTCTTGCCGATGTCGCCGCAATGAGCGTTTTCGGTAGTGGTAGTCTCAATGTGAGACTTTTGCTCAAAGAACTGCCTCTTTTCTCTAGTCTGCCACCTGACATCCTTCATTTCATCGGTCTCAACGCACAGCCTTGCTCCTTCCCTCCTTTCACCGACATTATTAAGCAGGGCACGTCTGGTCGTGATGTCTATTTCATCGTCAAAGGCGAAGTTGAGGTGGTCAACTCGCAACAATCCTTGGAGAACGGCGACGCCCACCCTCCAGTTCCGCAAAACGCAGTCATGGACGTGGGTCGAAGAAAGTCGATTGCTGCAGGCGAGCACACATTCTCACAGGTTAAAGCGCGCCTGAAACCAGGCCAATATTTCGGAGAGGTGGCGAGTCTGTCGCTGGCTCCACGCCGTACCGCTACCGTGCGCTCTATTGCCTCTGTGGAGTGCCTCATGATTAGTGGAGATGTGCTAAACGAGTTGTGGGAAAGGTGCACCCCGGATGTGCGGCGGCAAGTTGAAGATACGGCGCATCAGCGTCTTCGCGCTGCTAAAGACCCTAAAAACACTGCCGATTCGAAGCAAGATGGTGCGATGAAATTGGATTCACTGGCCATTGCTGACCGAAGTGTCGGTCCGCGTACGCCTAGGAAGAACAGCGTGCCGACCGTCACCTTCAGCGACACCCCCAGCACTCTGGAACCGTTGATACTTGAACCTTTTACCCCGTCCAGACGAGAAGAGAAGATGATGGAACCCTTCGATCCTGACCCGTTCCTCAATCTTGATCTCGACCACGTCCGATCCAGATCACGAAGAGGCTCCCTCGCGCCTCCTACCCCCGAATCGCCCACAAGTGGTGGGTTCCCTAAGTCCCCGTCTCCCAGCAGTGCGCCGTTATCTCCGTCTCCGCTTTCAAAGCATACTTCGACCCCCCCAGAACTTCCCTTCGAGATCAAGCGTCCCAAAGTGATCCAAAGGCCGACTCGTTTCAGCAAAGGCATCTTCCCTGAAGCCGTGTTGGTTGGAATTTTCAAGAATTTCGATATATACGAGGTTATGCAATTACGTCTAGTCTGCACCCATTGGAAACAGCTGATGCACACCTCACCCGATATTCTGCACTTTCTCGATCTTTCAAAATACAATCGCAAAGTCACCGACAAGATATTATTGGATGTGATATGCCCGTTTGTTGGAAATCGTCCCAAAGAAGTTGATATCAGCAATTGCTTTCACGTCACAGACGAAGGCTTCGGCGCCCTTGGCAGTACGTGCGGCCCAAGCGTGAAGATCTGGCGCATGAAGAGCGTATGGGACATAACTGGCCCTGCGGTGCTGGAAATGGTGCAAAAAGCCAAAGGAATGGAAGAGATTGACCTGAGCAATTGTCGTAAAGTAGGCGACAATCTGCTCGCACGTGTCATTGGATGGGTCGTTCCTGAGCTGCCTCCCGCGATGGTCATGGAGCAAGCTCGTCAAGCACAGATGGCGCATCGCCGTTCATTTGGTCAAAAGTCGGCCGGTGCGAATGGCCAGCCCGTCCCGCAACCCCTTCCTCCGGGTACTGTTGTTGGATGTCCAAAGCTTCGTCGCTTGACATTGAGCTATTGCAAACATATCACGGATCGCTCCATGGCGCACATCGCCGTTCACGCTGCTAACCGCATCGAGCAAATGGATTTGACTAGATGTACCACCATCACTGATGTTGGATTTCAACATTGGAGTGTATATCCGTTTCCTCGGCTCACAAAATTGGTGTTGGCGGACTGCACATACTTGACGGACAACGCCATAGTTTACCTGACAAATGCGGCCAAGGGACTGAGGGAACTGGATCTGGTAAGTTACGAGCCGTCTCCCGATCAGCAGTGAGTATTTACTAATATTATGTCAGTCATTCTGCTGCGCTCTCTCCGACACCGCTACGGAAGTCCTCGCTCTTGGGCTTCCCGCTCTGACTCATCTCAATCTCGCGTTCTGTGGTTCAGCCGTGTCCGACACATCTCTCCGCTGTATATCGCTCCACCTCCTCGAACTTCGCCATCTCTCTGTCCGTGGCTGTGTGCGTGTCACCGGGACCGGCGTCGAAGCAGTTGTCGAGGGTTGCAGAGATCTCGAGCTCTTTGATGTCAGCCAGTGCAAGAACCTCGGCCGATGGCTCGAAGCGGGCGGAGTGCAGAGCGTGCGCAGTCGAGGACGTAAAGTGGTATTCGAAGTGGTTGCCGATGGCAAATGGCGGACGGGAAAATCCTCTAATGCTTGCCGATGACCGCTATCTGTTCTTCTGGGACTCCGAACGCAACCATCACATTAACGCATCTGATTACACATCACTCTTAGGGTTGGTGTCCGACTGCCATGTTCTGTTTACCATCTACAATTCATGATGTGTTCTGTCCTGTCACCTGTATATATGACGCGACTAAGTGTCGATTGAGCGTTCGCTTTGCGACCACTTACTATTACCTTGCTTTTTACATTTATTTCTTTTACTCTCGTGTGTGTAGAACCTAGAATATATTGAGGACGGGAAACGGTTATCATTGCATGGCTGAATGATATCGAAAGCGTTAACATAGACAAATTATGATGAAAGACGATTGAAGTGTTCCTTGATAGGACCAAGATTTTGGAGGTATATCGATTTTGTTCCTAGTTGATCTTTCGTTGCTGCTCGTTCGCTGATTTGTGTTATGGTATGGGTTGCATACCTGCACCACTTGACCCTCTGTGTCCTTGACCTGTCCGTTTTCTTTTCGGCCGATATTTCACATCATGCAAGGACGCACTGAGAATGTCGAAGTGGAACACAAAGACGCTACCTGTTCCTCCGGTTCTCCACGTACATTATTTTCTCAATAACGCTGCCTCTGGTTGGCCGAACCGCATTCATCGCGTAGCATTGCGCGTCCCAGGAACCGGAAACCCATTTAACGGGTGGGCCCTTGGGAGCCAAATCACAGCCTTAAGATTTGTAAGAGAGATCGATTGGGCACGCCACTTGTCCTTGCACTCAGTAGATGGGTTCTAGAAAGTTAAATTTCAATTCTTTTTTTTTTTTGGCTGTATGCTTGTTGGTTGGCAGGTTGGCAGTGGAAAAAATATAAACCTCCTCCTCCTCCTCCTCCTCCTCCCGCTCCCCACCACCATCTTTGCCGTCCTGACCTTTATTATAGCAGCACAAACGACAAACCTTTTCGACTCAATCCACTCCTATCCCGACACTCAACAACCATCAAATCCGACTTCCGATCATCCACGATGCAGTACCCCCAAGCAACAGCATCCAACATGGCCGGCGAGCGACGTGAAGGACTGGATACATATCATCCTGGAAGCCCCGCCCATTACTTCGAGCCCGAGATGGCAGAACTCTCGGTTTCTTCAACTAGCCAGGGTGACGGGGACATCGACTATGACAACAGGAAGCAAACCGCAGAGCAGCAGTGCATCAATACTGATACACGTTCCCCCTTCTCCTCCACCGCCAGCGTCTCCGGAATCGCGGAAATCGAACAAATGACCGAACGCTCCAAAAAGGCCCGGAACGATCTCAAAAAGGCCCAGAACAATCGTGATCTCGAGCGCGAAAAAGAATTATGGATTGCAGTGATCCTCTTGCTCTGCATTTTGGTCGTATTATTCATTATGACTGTGATCCACGACCATGGGGAGGCAGAGCGGCTAATCAAGCAACAAGAAGAAGAAGCGCGTCTCGCCACACTTTCCGCACTCGAACAGGAGAGAGAGAGGCGAAAGCTCATCGACAACATCGCCGCCGCGGTCGTTGAGAAAACTTGGGAGAGCATTGTTGCTAAGTCTCAGTCTCTTGGCCATGCGTTGAGAGAAGAGGATAGCAGGTCTGAAGTTGTCAGGTTCGTCGCCAAATTCGTGACAGCGTTTGCGGAGGCTTGGGTTCAGTGTCTCTGGATTTTGGTTACGCGTCTTGGGGTGGTTGCGGGTCCTTGGCTGATTGGGTTTTTGGCAATGGTGTGGCTGCTCGTTGTTCGCTGAGATGGTGCTTAGGTGGCTGGAGTTTTTAGAGAGTGGTGAGGGTATGGTGGGCTTGGATTATCTTAATCGCAATGGGGTCAAGTCTACAACTGGAGGGGGGCATTGGTAATGAGTGTACTTTGTTGTTAGTAGAATTGGTCCTTATCTGTCTGCTTGTATCTTACTATTATGTTAGATTGTAGGTGGTATTGCATATATTTAGAAGCCTAATTCACGTATGAAAAGAAAATAGTACACCATTAAACTGCTGCTCTTATTAATTTGCACGTATATAGTGAGGATTTTAGTTTTTCCCCGTCTGCCACGGTCGGATATCACATTCTCAAATCTAGCCTAAATGATCCAGCACTAGGGTGTGCAAGATATCCATTCTTCCCCATTCTTTAATAATAGTATTATTGTGTCTTTTATTACCGATCTAAGAAAGATTTCCAGGTTTGCACTGTGTAGATAGAAATGTCCATAGCGAACGCTACTTTTGCGGCAGCATGAATACGTCTAGGCGATGCTCAATTTTATCATTCTATTGAATAAGAACGATTTCGTGAATCTTAATTCACGCTAAAGGAGACCTAGGATGAGTGAGTTGCAATAGAAATGCAGATGGTTGTGTTCGAAATAATGTCATCGCGGGCCCTCCGCTTATTTATCACTCAACGTCCACTGGATAGCCGCTACAAGGCAAACCGTGAGTCAGCTCCTCCTAACCACTTCCCAAACCGTTGAAAAAAGGAGACGAAATTTTCCTATTCTCCAATTAAGTGACGTCTATTTTCTACGGATTTTATCGATTCAATGTCCAGGTAGTATATAGAAATCCCTTTCACCGCCAACTTCTGTGAAAAAGCAGCAATCGCCTTCAACCTCGTAACCGACTGACCTACACAGCTTCAATCGTGTATATTCCAAGCTCGAACATCCCAAACAGCGCCATTCACCTTCACCCAACCCTAACGAAAATAACCAAAAAATGGCAAGAGACGCCACCTCAACGTCCCCGATCGACCTACCCAACATGGAAAGCACGCGGGATCGCCACTATCGCCGGATCGCCAATTACGCAGAATTAAGCCCTGTTGTCGCGAATGCACAAGACAATACTCTTGAGAATTATACTCCATCTTCTCTCCCGAGTAGAGCTGTTGGAAGGAAACTTCCAGGTTTCTTTTTCGAAAAGCGTGGAGCGTTCATGTGCTGGGAATACATCTATGAGGGAACAAATAATTTGGAACAAAACCTTAGTGTCCTTAAAGAGGAACTCAAAGATGGCGGAAATGGGAATGTGATTGGATCTTCGTCTGAGTCTGCTGAATCTGAAGATGCCGAGGACTACAATGACGACAACGACGGCGAAGAGGAATTCGATTATCATGATGATCACAGCAGCGAAATGCGATACTGGCATGAGGATTGTGACTCTAGCGAAGACGAGCAAGAAGATCTCATGACTGAACACGTATCATCTTGGATCTTGGCATTTGCACTGGGAATCTTGCTTAATATTATTGTTATGGCGGTGGTTGAGATTATTTTAATTATAGCTATTGTTCTTTTGAGTTTGTTGTTGCTGGATGGATTTCTTGGGGTTTGGAAATGGACTGTGGTGGTGTGGAATATCTTGATTGAGATGAGCGAGGCAAGGAGAAAAGAAGCTAAGGATGCAGCTAGAATGAAGAGAGCAATTGCAAATTAGTGACAAAGGGGGAGATAGACAGAGAGGCGGGGGGTGGTTTCCTTGAGAATGTGCATTGACACGTTGAGTGAGAGAGTAGGATCATGAGTTTTTTGTGAAGGAATTTTTAGTGTCTCTTGTAATCAGTTATACAGAAAGCTCGCTATATCTAATAAGATACAATCTGTAAATTTATTTCCATGTGAAGCTGCTTCAACTCTTCATTAGTATGATTATCTCACAAGTGCAAACTTTTTTTAATTGACAAAGAATATGAATGATCATAATCGCACACTAATAGTCAACTAAATTTTTCCATTTAATAACGTGACATGATATTGAAAGTGGTTTATTGGTCACCCTCTCATCTAGTGATCATGAAGGGAGGCAATGCATCCAAGCTGATAGGGTAGTCGTTCACACCCCTATGAAAATATTTTCATGGGATCCTAAAAACTCTATCTTTACCGTATTTCAAGACGAATATTTGTAGATTAAATAGGTATCTAACACCCTGCAACTTACAATTCCGAAATCATTCAAAATTCTACTAAACTCCGCTTTCAACCCACCGACAGACCGCTCTTCGCGCCATAGAGTGTTCCAAAAAATCTTCTTCTACAAGATCACTATTACCTTTCAAAGACGATGGCCATTGCAACACAAGTAGCCTTGAACTCTACATCTATGATCTTGAACTCAACATCAACGATCTTGAACTCAACATTCACGATCTTGAACTCGGCACGAGTAGCCTCAAACTCTTCAAGAGCTATCACCTCTGCCCCTGTCGCGCCCCGAATTTTGCAGCAGACACCACGAAGGGCCTCACGCGAATCTATCACTACGGCCGGCGAAGCTCCAGCCACTGGATCACTGCCACCGCCTCACAGCACATCTCCGCCGGCCGACACCATCTCGATCCCACCACCGGCGTATACTACAAATTCGCACGACATCACCGAGAATCAACCACCACCCCCTTACACAAGTTGCGCATGCAGTCATCAACCCAGGCCGCTGCGTCTCAGCCAGGATTATGATGTCGAGGCCAATCGTTCTGAACTCGCGCAGACGCGGAGGTCGAGACGAAAAATAAGTTTTCGCACCGTGTGGGCAATAGTCTGCTTCATTTTCACTTCGTGTCTGGCCATGTTGGCGATTTGTTTGGGGATTTTCTTTTAAGCTTCGTTCTAAAAGAATGTGTTCATGAAGGAGTAGAGTGCACGTAGAATAGGGGACACCCTCTGAGCGCGGGATGGTGGCAAAAATCCAAGATAAGCGATGATGATATTCCATCGCTAAAGTGGAACACGCAATTTTTGAACTGTATTATGCTAGGCTATTCAAGCACGATTCAGGATATGTCTCAGTGCCAATGTTTGTGAAGCATGAATAATCACTGCACAAAGTATCGTATGATGTCAAGTACTGTACACATGTACATGAATGTTTGGTGAACTGCGAACTGCGCACGTGAGAGTCTATCTTAGGGTGGTAGGATACATGATACACCTTCGTTGTCCATCGTTCACGTGCTCTGCTGCGAAAAGCTGGTCGTCGCACACGCATGCAAAGTATCACGAAACATAGCAAGCGACTCTGGAGGACCACATGCTGCATATCTATATTTGTCGTATCATGATACGGCACGGCTCTGGAGTTTATCGGTGGGCAATTTGTAAGTCTGGTGCGGAACAATCCATAGACAGTCCCAAATAGTTGAGTGGGGATTGGCGCGCTCGAATTCACAACGATTATATTGACGACTAGCTACTATTGCGTGCTCAGACGGTCTCGATTCGTTCAAAGTTGTCCACCATGCTGAGATTGAACATGCCTGCTTAAATTATCCTTCCGCGCGGACCCTCTGCCCTTCTCATAAGAGAATTTGCAGCCTGAGTAGGGGCAATAGAGTCTTGTACCAGGCTCAGTATTGTCGGCGTGTTTCGACATTTGGTGGCGAGTGAGATCTTTTCTATAGCGAAACGCTGCGCTACATTGGCTCGCAGGACATTTGAAGGGTGGATTGTGGCGTTTCCCGTGCGTGCTATGATACGTGCATTAATATCAAGCTAATCGAGCAAAGGCTCTACATACTTTAGCATGTGCTGTTTGGCAAAAGTTTGACCGCATTCTGCGCACCGCAAGGTAGCGTTATTAGTGTTCGCCGGCTGCAAGAACACATCGGTGACTTCGGTGGATGGTAAGGACTGAACGGCGTGTTGTATATGTGCTCCTTGGGCATCTTGGGGGATGAGCGATCTGGAATTCTCTTGCAACCCACTCTCCTGCACTGCAGGACCATCGAAGTGTGGTGATGCGCCCCACGTATATTGTGGAAGCGGGCCTCCATTTCCAGCATGAACCCAGACAGGATCGATGAACGCAAAGGACGAGGGGAAAGTGTTGTCAGTGGGAGCAGCTGATCCTGTTGGGGTTTCTGTTGGAATAAAGTACTTTTTCTACTTCAATGGAAGGGGATGAAGCGCCTGCAGCAAGAAGAAGAGAGTGTTGAGAAGAGAAGAAACACAGATCAACAAAGAGCACAAGAGAAAGAGAGCCTGGGAGACGCAAAAGAACGGATGCGGTCCGCACCTCCAGGGTTGGCCGTGTAGAAAGAAAAAGAGAAAGGGAATTCTAGATGGGCAAAAGGTTACTATATAGGCTGAGCGCGTGTCTGTCCCATCTTGCTGGTTACATCATCCCCCGAGACGGGTTGTAGGCCTCAAAATTTGCGCTAGTCCAGTTTCAACCCAGTACTTCAGCATGCATATCTACGCGCATGGTAGGCCTCAATGTTACCTGCATTCCGGGATTTTTGGGTGATACATACTAGATAGTGCATATGGCTGTATGGTAGGCCTCAAAATCAACCAATCAACAACCAAAAATTCTCTACAAGTTCCTATGGTTGATACATTGTAGGACTTTCAAGTCAATACATAATTGTTCGTAGAAAGCGGCAGTGATCAACCACGAGTTATGCTACATGATGTGGCACTTGCAGTTATGGGAGACCCGATTTTATAAGCCCAGTAGGTCTGTTGTGATTCGATTACAGCGATATCGCAGCTTTCATAGTTTTTGATAGAGGACTGCCAAATGAAGAAGTAAATACCTGCACTAAGTCTATTATTTGCTCATCGCATATTGCATGTGGCAGTAAATTCCTGCACAATGATACAACAACACATATGGGTCCCGTCGGCAAGTGGATAAATGTCGGATGGGTACGTTGTTTACAACATCTCGCCGAGCTCATGTACCGGAACAAAACAAAGAACTAGAAGGCTCTAGATCAACTGATGCATGACATTCCGACCCGGTATTTGTAGGTATTTTCTGATATACTATTTCAATTGGTACACGTCAGAATGTAACACGGAATGTTTGCCTCAAGTGGCTATCATGATTCATGCGACTCTACTGATGAGATATGTTGTACCCCATTGTCACCTATATAAGAAGCCACCAGATCTCCCCACCGGATTTGATCCCCAAAGATCAATTTAATCGACCAGAAATCATTTTACGATATATCAAATATCAAATCGTTGAAGCTATGGACCATCTCCCCAAAGATGAATCGGCAGTCCGTGGTGATAATGCTGGGACTGAATTAGCAGACTCGAAGGCTCCAGAGGTAATGCCTTACTTTTTGAGCTATACCATTAAACTTAACTAACAATGGGAAGAAGGTCAGCCAATCAGGTTTGATAGATACCACAGAGGCTGTATCGTCTTTGGTGGATGCCTTGTGCCATCGCCCAAACAATCCACCATCACTCTACATCGACCTTGAGGGCGTCGACCTTTCCAGAATTGGGACAATCTCCATCCTTCAAGTTTATCTACTTCCAACCAATGAGACCTATCTCGTTGACGTCCGATGTCTTGGTTCAGCAGCATTCACGACATCTGGCGTCACCAACAAGGAAATGACGCTTCAGTCAATCCTCCAGTCTGACCAGATCATAAAGGCATTCTTTGACGTCCGTAATGACTCAGATGCGCTTTATAGTCACTACGGTATCGATCTCGCGGGAATTTGCGACATTCAGCTTATGGAGCTTGCGACACGCTCTGGCCGGAAGAAGATGGGGAACGGTCTTGCAAGGTGTATTGAGCGGGATGCACCATTCACGTGGCAAGAACGTCAAGAGTGGGGAGCTGTCAAAGAAGCTGGGAAGAAGCTTTTTGCTCCTGAGCGGGGAGGAAGCTATGAGGTGTTCAACCATCGTCCAATGTCGCAGGAGATGATCATATACTGCAAGAAGGATGTGCAGATTCTGCCTCGTCTATGGCAAACTTACTCCGCTAAGATGAGTTCAACATGGGCTGCTAAGGTAGAAGCTGCAACGAAAGATAGAGTCAAACTGTCACAAAGTGCCACCTTCGTTGGACAAGGAAGGCACATGGCTCTGGGGCCTTGGTGATCAAGAAATTGTATTCGGAAGGTCTCAATTGTGTTTATGTGAAAGATTGTTTGGCCATAGATTGAAGCAATAGTCAGCTTGTCATCCTTCTGATGTAAGCCTGTAGCTTCTTCTTTGTTTGTGCGCTTATAAATTCTCACTATCAGCGTCTTTCCGCATCACTGAAGATTTCCCTTGATGTGAAGTCGGGTTGAGAGAAGGTCTGTGTGCACTTGGAAATGTCCAGTGATGATAGATAATCACACCGAAGCATAATTCGATGGTGATACCAAAAAGTCGATTCGAATGCGATCTCGTGCGCGATATCACGCTCATCGCGACGCCATTGGGGCGGATCATAAGGGTCAAGATCCGAAGATATGATCACTGCACTAAGATCCGCGGAGGCGATTTTGAGTTTTGCTTGCGAATACACTACCAGGAACTGCTTCCCGTGTTTTGCCAAGCCTAAGTATAGCGGGCCTTAATCGTGATAAGAACTATTAAAGTTTCGAGGAGCGTACAAACATGGTTCAGGATGCGCCACATGAAAAAAGAATATCATCGCGAGGCATGTGATCCTGCACAAAGATCAACAGCTGTGTATTTTCCAGAACGATGCGCATGTGCTCTATTATATGTTCTATGTTTGCGGAACGCAGTCCATTGTGAGACTGAGGGAAATTTGCAATGTTCTAGAACCTTTCAAAGCGCATGTCTCTGGGGTGAACGTGGGGTGGCGTTGCTGGTGTCTATAGTGACATGTCCCCTTTCCACTATCTCCTAGATCAAGCTCATGATTGGGGGAAGTCCAATTTAGGAGTGCACTATACTTCTGGCCAGTTTGGATGGTGTTCCTCTTATCAGCCGCCACTCTCAAAAAGCGGCTGAGAAACATTTTTCATGAATGAAGAGGGATTGAAGCGGGTAGCGGTCAACATAAGTGTGAGCATCCGTGAACTGAATAAATAGGAAAACGCAATGACTTAAAAGTATGTATGTGCAGGGTGCCGACGCGTCGGATGTCCATGAATATTAACGTGGAAGGATTATAAGCGTCGCGATCAGCCCCTGATTCCAACGTATCTCTGTTTGCACTGAACTGTTGTTGGCCATCTGCACCTTTCTCGACACCCTATCACGCTAGTCTACAGTGCGTTGCAAGATCCATCGTGCGCCAACTGTGTAGAGATTATTCCACAACTGGAATCATTTTTCCTTTGACTTTGAAATGTCGTAGGCCTTGAGAAGTAGTATTCGACACGACTGTACATATGTATACCACATAAGACAAATGAAGCATGCGATGTACGATTGCGAAAATGAGGCGGCTTTCACTCAGGCCGTTCAGTGGTCCCCTTAAATATGCCTGATCTTCGACTGATCGACACGGGTCGATCTAGACAGCGCTAGACTAGCTACAGTGTGAAACTCCAGGATTCCATGGACACTGACGCGGCAATAGGAAAACTAGCCGGTCGAGGCGTTTGCTAGCCAAATTCTCTCCCGTCCACGGGAGTGATTGCAACTTTGCTATTGTAGTATAAAGCGAAAGCTTCTTGTCCCACACAGCTGGTTTGCACGGTTTGGTCAGGGGGCCACATTATCCGTCACCAATTCTGGGTGCGACTGCCAGAGCCATGAAGCCATTGACATCTATTGTGAGTAGGAGATGTAGTGATGGCGCTGGAAAACGTCTAACTCAATACGCAGATAGTACAGATAGCGTTACTTGTTCTAGCTCTTATTGTCACTCTTTTGAGATGTTGGATTCGCCTTTGGAATGAGCGCCGTGCTCTGACAATACCTGATTACTTGTTATGGGGCGGCTGGATCTGTACTATGGGATGGGTGATTTGCTCTGCCATTGCTCTACACATACAGATCGATAATCCCCTGATTGGAGACGACTTGCTGAGCGATTCTATTGCATACTTGAAGGTATTTACCGGCCACCACCAGCATCGAAGTTCACTTATGAGAAGACGATGACAGCTAATGAATTCTTCCTGGATAGACTGTTTTCATATCGTGCTACTTTTTTGATTTCGCACTCTACTTCCCCAAGGCCTCCCTTATCTCATTCTATTGGTGGTTGATTCCTCATGGCTTCAGGCGGCTTAGGATAGCCGTTTACGTTGGCACCGCATTCGTGGCCTGTGCCTTTGTGGCGACCATTTTGACGGATACCTTGATCGCACCTGATATCTCCGATAATTGGTAAGAGTCTGGGAAATATGTCTTCTCCAGAATCTCATCAAATAACACGTCTTTCGATAGGTCTATTGAGAACCAATTGAATTCTACTTGGAACTCATGGAATGTTCTGATCATTGACTGGGTATTGAACTTCTCCACCGATCTTCTACGTAAGTTAGCCCCACATTGCATGCTTTAGTGGTATAGCAGCTGACAGTGGAAATGTCTTTCAGTTTTCTGCCTCCCGTTTTTCATCATCAATTGCCTCAAGCTCCGCCGGCGTCAGAAATATGGTCTAGTAGGCGTTTTCTCTCTCGGCATTATCACCATGGCGATAAGTCTCGCGCGATTCATCGTGTATGCCGCCACGAACTATTACGTCGATGATGCATCCGGCAGTACGTCATTCATATATATCTCTCCCTACCATGATAAAATTTTCCAAGATACCTTGAGTCTCTGGAATGAACACCTCTCTTATATTATATGTTGATATTGTCAAATGCTAACATAGTATCAGATGCTTGGTGTACAGCCGAACTGTGCACAGCAGTCATCGTCGTCTCGCTTCCGACCCTCAAATCCCTTATCCTCCGATCGTCGGATCCGAAAAGCTCAGCAGATCGCAGTACAGAGGGATATCTACGAACTGATGGCAGCAGAACAGCGGGAAACAAAATTGGAGTGAAGTCAGGGCTTGACAAAGGTCATAAATTAGACGACGAATTAGAGCTGATGTACATGGCCAAGACGCCGTCAGGTCGCCCTTCGACCGCAACAACAAAAGGATCCATGTTGTAAGCCGACAGAGTGGTCTCACATGTGATGTGGGGACGTGGATACAACAGAGATTGGGATATTACGTACGAGATGCAACTTCACGGCGTAGCAGGGTGATATCAAGTTTCGCCGGAAAACGTATTCACCGACATTGACGGCACAGCTATTGATTTGCCATCATCGATCGGTATTCATCAACTAAGCAAAGAATTAGGAAACAGATAAACTCAGATTATTTGGTATCTTGCAGACATAATTAATAGACTTTGGTGCAAGGTAATTTGTGGATTTGCGTACACCTGACTATTGCGGATCGTGAATAGCGATGAGATTGAGACTGTCGCATTTGCCAGAATCGGACAGACCGCATACCTTCGGAGATTGAATATTTGGGGGCCGAATACTTCAACCCGATGTGATTCAAGCGTCAAGGTCAAAATTGAACCGGGCTGCCTCCGTGACAATAACGCAGTTCAGACTTTGGATTGGTTAGTTTTGGCCCACCGCAGAATGAACGCAAACAAGAAGGCATCACAAATCCTCAGCCGAAGATGCAGGGTTAGGCCATTTAGCTGGATATGCGACAAGCGATAACATGTTTCCTCATCCATTGGGTGTTCGTACAGACATAAATATCCAAAATAAAATCCGAGAGTTATCCCACGATGGCTACCTAATACGTCAAATTGATCATAATTGTCTTCGGTTCCGTAAACGCTTTCAACGCATGGATACCGCATTCGCGGCCCACGCCGCTCTCCTTACTTCCACCAAACGGGGTCTGCATGAACATCAAACTCACGCAGTTGACACCAACCATGCCAGAATCAAAATCGCTCGCAACTCTCAAAGCTTTGTTGATATCCTGGGTAAAGACACCAGCCATCAGCCCGAAGTTGGTGTCGTTGGACAGTTTCATGATTTCCTCTTCGGTTTTGAAGGACTTCACCACAGCCACTGGTCCAAAAATTTCCTGACAATGGATCTCTGAGTTGATGTCAACGTCAGTGAAGACAGTGGGCTCAAGGTAGAACCCTTTGTCTCCAATGCGCTGCCCACCAACAAGGAGTTTTCCCTGTCCTTGCTGGCCGCGTTCAATGAAGCCTCGCACACGGTTGAACTGGGCTTCGTCTACGAGAGGTCCGATGTTGACGCCTTTTTCGTTGGGATCACCGACTTCCTTGGCCTTGGTCTTCATGGCTTCCTTGTATTTCTCGATGAACTTATCGTAGATGCCTTCTTGAACGTAAACGCGCGACGCGGCAAAGCAAACTTGTCCTGTGTTTGCAGTAATGGCATTGGCTGTCCAGGTCACTGCATTCTCCAAATTGCAGTCGTCGAAGACTACAGCCGGCGATTTGCCGCCCAACTCTAGAGTGACTCGTTTGAGATTGGATTTCGCAGCCATTTCTTGGATCTTCTTGCCAGTAGGAATGGATCCGGTGAACGACACCTTGCGGATGCGCATATGGCTGGCAAGCAAAGCTCCAGTGCTGCCGTCTCCTGAGAGAATCTGGAATACGCCGGGTGGGAAGCCAGCTTCTTTGATCAGAGTTCCCAGGGCGAGTGAGGAGAAAGGTGTTTTTTCGGAGGGTTTTAAAATGAAGCAGTTGCCAGTAGCAAGTGCTGGTGCTGCCTTTAGGCCAATTGTACCCACGGGACCATTCCATGGTACAATACCTGCCGTGACTCCTAGAGGTTCGTTCCGTACGATTTTGAGGAAACCGTCGTCTTGAGGCCAAGACTCGCCGCCAAATTTGTCAATCCAAGCTGCGTTGTATCGGAATGCCTGGTCATCAAGTGTCAGATCCATATGACAACTAGTCTTGACTTTAATTCTCTGGTGGTATAGGGAAACGTACTTCGGCGCAAAGCCCAACCTCGAAGGCCCCAAAAGCCTCGTAAGGTGCTCCGAGCGAAACACGCGTTAGCTCTGCAAGTGCTACACCGTGTTGTTCCACCAAATCTGCAAATTTGTTCATAATGTTGCGGCGCTCAGTCGGTAGCACTTTTCTCCATGCTGGAAACGCTTTCTCAGCAGCTGCCACAGCCGCATCGACATCCTCTGCACCAGCTACAGCGACGTCATTGGCAATCAACGAGCCATCTTTAGGATTGTGGACAGAGATCTTGTTGTGACTCTGGGATTCTACGTATTGATTATTGATGAAGATATGCTTCGGAAGGTTCTTCGGTGACCAGTTCAAAGCCATTTTGGTAAAATATGAAAGAAGTGATTAGATGGATAGGAGAGTGAATCTGCACGGAAGAAAGAGTTGATGTGGAAAACAAAGTGCGGGTAGGGTTCTAGCGATCATTTCTTTAGTGCGAGCAGTGGTTCATGCGGAAGGCAACGGACAAAGGATTCACTTGGCTATACTCCTTCAACAAGATGATTGCCGAATTGGATCTGAGGATGCGCTCGCGGTTAGTTTTCCGTATGGATGGAGAGAAGCGAACGGCATCCCTTATTAGCCGAGTCAGTGGTCCAGGATCCTCCCGAGTTTACCGTGTCGTGCATGCACATCTCATGCGGGGTCGTCGGTGGGAGATGAGGAACTCTGCAATGCAATTAGATATCTATCATCCCCCGGTAAGGTCATGGATGGCTGAAGAGAGTTGTTGTTCGTGAGCTCGAGGAGATGACGAAAGTGATCAGAGCCGAGTCATGGTGTAGAGAACCTAAGTGCTCAAACCTTGTCCTGTCCTATCATGTCATGTGATGCCCTCGGAAGACGCATTCCTCTCCTGCGATGATGGATTGACTTGCGGAAAAACATACTCAGAGTTCGTACAAAGTAGAGGGAGGGCATGGGTAACTACCTAGGTATTGTGCACATAGCGCGCTCTGTAGATATTTCCTCAAAGATCTCAGCATTAATTCCATTCTAAGCAACGACAGAGTATTGTTTACACTCCTCCAACCGCACAGATTTGTTACTATATTCTTTGCACCATGGAAAAACGAGCAGCATTCATCACAGGTGGCGCCTCAGGCATGGGCCTCGCCGTTGCGCAAGCACTCGCTTCTCGCCGAGACGAAAATTGGGACATCCACTTAATAGATCTGAACGTCGACGCAGGCCAGAACGCAAAATCATCCATAAAAAATGCCTACTTTCACCAGACAAACGTCACAGACTATGATTCTCTGATACTGGCCTACGAAGCCGCCTTCTCAATTTCCGGACGTATCGATTTTGTCTACGCTAACGCTGGAATCGTGGAGCGCGACAACTTTTACGAAAAGCACGACTTGAGTAAGCCGCCGCCGCGCCCGAACCAGCTAAGCATCGACATAAATCTCAAAGCAGTCATTGATACAAGCTACGTCGCATTGCATTATTTCCGCAAGAGCCCGAAAAGTGACTTCAGTCCGGCACTAGTAATGACAGCGAGCTGTGGGGGCTTGTATCCATCCGAGTTTTGTCCCATGTACAGCGGGAGCAAAGCTGGTGTCATTCATTTTAATCGCGCTATATCGTACTGTTACCACCTGGAAGGGATTCGCACATTTGTTACAGCGCCAGGCACTATCCGGACAAATCTGATGAATGGCGAAGAGTGGAAGGCTTTCCCGCAACATTACTTTACGCCCATGGAAACACTCGTAAAAGCAGTGCTTCACCTTGTTGATGGCGGTGATCTTGAGGATTCGAAGGGGCGGAAGTATTCTGCAGAGGAAGCATACGGTCTCACCGTAGAGGTGAATGGGCACAATTTCTATTTCAGAGATGGAGCGGAATATTGTGATGAGGATATGAAGGATATGATGGCACACACCGGTATGAAGACTCAGCTGGCGAGGATCGAAGCGACGAAAGCGAAGACAAATGGCGCGTAAGAGAAGCACATCCATATTTCTTTATCATTTTGCGAGCATTCTGCTTTCGCTTTTGAGAAAATAGTACACCTGAAAAAATTGTGGGGTTTTGCAATGAGCGCATAGTTGTTGGAGATGGTCAATTGATAGTCATTGATTCTACAGTTTTGACTGCCTCCCGGCTGCGTACCTCACACCTCCATCAACCGCTATATCCTCCCCGTTGACATATGCAGCCGCTGGACTCGCCAAATAAACCATGACTCCAGCAATATCTTGGGGCTCGCCCAAGCGCTTTCTCGGATTCCAATCTTCAAGCTCTTGTTGGCCACCTAGGAGATCTATCAAGCCGTTTGCCAGCTTTGACGGGAAAAAGCCTGGTGCAACAGTGTTTGTGGTTATGTTGCGCGGACCAAGTTCGACAGCCAATTGTCGCGAGAGATGATGCGCGGCAGCTTTCGATACACTGTACATAATCGTCCCGTGTTCACCCACATGGGGGACTGTGGTACCCGCCGTAGAAGAAACGATGATGATGCGGGAGGGATCGGCGCGAGTACCGGCTTTCTCAAGGAGCGGCGCGAATCTACGCGAAGTTAACAGGCGTGCGCAAGTCCACCAGTGCATGTGAGATCATACAATCTTGCTAGATTGAACACTCCCCTAACGTTCAAATCAAGAACTTTTTTGCTTGATGAATCTGGAGTTGGGTCAAAGGGTCCACCCCAAGTTGCACCCGCATTGCACACAAGAATATCCAGTTTGGCATCCGTTTCCTGCACTTCCTTCACCAGCCGCGCAATATCGTCGGTATCTGCTACGTTTGCTGCTATTCCAACGGCTTTTCCGGAGACGGGGAGTTTGTTCAGCTTTTCTACGGCCTGGTCGATGCCTTGCTCCCCAGCATTCTTGCGAGCGGAGATGAAAACCTTGGATGCTCCTGCAAGAAGAAATGCTGTCGCAGTGTGTAGACCAATCCCTCTCGATCCTATTTTGCACTATCAGCATTTTTGTATTGAGCTTGTTTGATATGAAGAAAAGTTACCTCCGGTAACCAAAGCGACTTTGCCGTCGAGTCTGAACAATCGCCCAAAATCGTTCATGTCAGTCATCATGCGATAATTACGTAGTAAGTTGTTGTGATACAATTTCGAAGAAATACAGAAGAAATAAAAACCGAGCTCAGTGGTGCATCGTAAGACTCAATTCAGGACTCTGTGGTCGTTAGCATTTGTCGGGGTAAATAGCTTAGCTTGCTCGGTCTGTGGAGATCGATATCCTCGGCCCCCGCAAAACCGGCCGTACATGCATGAGGTGACCAAGGTGACCGGTTGCGGGCTGGCTGTTCATTGATATGATTCGACATAATCTGCCATCATTATAATAGAGCGTAGAGTCAGATCGTAATCAACAACCAGCAGAATCATTTAGTTGATATTTTCCGATACAAGGTCAGACTCAACTTCTAGTTCATTACCCACCCAGCCTGAATCGCATTCTACTACTCAGCAGACTCGATAACAAGGACGAGGAATCAACATGCCTTTCTCATCGCCGCATCCCGATGTCGAGATACCGAAATGCAATCTCTTGGAATATCTCTTTCCGAAAAGAGAGACTCTCACAAACACGCCGATCTGGAATGATGCGAAGGACCCGAATCACCATCTAACACCAAGAACACTGCTGCAATGGTCGAAACGACTAGCTTTGGGTCTAGAGCGCATGGGAAGCAAACCAGGGGAGGTTGTTATGATATTTACCCCAAATCATATCTTCGTTCCTGTAGCCTATCTAGGGATTGTGGGGTCCAAGAGGATTTTCAGCGGCGCAAACCCAGCATATACGTTATCAGGTTAGTAAAGAAATGTTACTCATGAAACTTTAAGAAGGATGCTAATGTCATGAAGAAATGGTTCATCAGATATCAAACACAGAAGCCCAATATATCCTCGCTCACCCTTCACTAGCGAGCACTGCAGTGACAGCAGCACGAAAAGCAGGCTTGCCGGATGGTCGCATCTCGCTGTTCTCAGACGTACCCAACACACATAATATGGATTGTCGAGACTGGAGAGAATGGCTTCCTTCCCCTAATGAAGCAGACGCCTACAACTTTCCCTATCTATCCGAGGAAGAAGCTACAATGACCACAGCGACCGTGAACTACTCTTCGGGCACCACTGGCCTGCCAAAAGGCGTCGAGGTCAGCCATTATAACCTCATTGCAAACTTGCAACAGACAATCTACATGCGATACCTCAAGAAACCATGGGATCACACTAACCGCCCACGAGAAGTCTGGCTCGGATTCTTACCACTATACCACGCGTACGCACAGCTTTATACCATCGCTATGGCGCAAAAGCTTCAGGTCCCAGTGTACATAATGAAGCAGTTTCATTACGAAGAGTTCCTGGAAGCGATACAGGCGTATAAAGTTACCCACTTGCAGGTTGCTCCACCTATCATGCTCATGCTAAGTAAGAGACCCGAGACGGTGAAGTATGACCTCAGTAGTGTCACGGATATTCTTTGCGGAGCAGCTCCTCTGAGTAAAGAGTTGCAAACAGAGATCAGCAGGAAGCTCAAATGCGAAATCGTGCAAGGGTGGGGAATGACGGAGGTGACCTGTGGCGCTATCCACGTTCCCGGAGGCACAAGCGATGAGTACGACCCCTGGTTCTGCTTCTAGTGAATGATCTAGATGCTGATGAAAAAAAAGCTCCGGAAGCGTAGGAGAGCTCGACCCAAATTGCGAATGTAAACTCCTCGACGACAAAGGCAATGAGGTGGCGGATGGTCAGCCGGGAGAACTTTACATCCGCGGCCCGAACGTGTGTCTTGGGTACTGGCGCAATCCAGAAGCCACGAAAGAAACGATCCTAACCGATGGTTGGCTGCGAACTGGAGATGTTGCTGTGTGCCGAAATGGGTGGTTTTGGATCGTCGACAGGAAAAAGGTGAGTTCTGCGCACTATCCTGACGCAGTCGGTATCAACATCTGACATCAGACGCAGGAACTCATCAAGGTCAACAGCCTTCAAGTAGCTCCCGCGGAGCTAGAAGCTGTGCTATTGGAATTTGATCCAGTCGCCGACGCTGCGGTAGTTGGTATTACCCTAGACGAACAGGAATGGCCACGTGCTTATGTCACTTTGAAAGACGAGCATAAGAACAAGGTATCGGAGAAAGACATTCACAGATTTATGAAAGAAAAGGTTGCGAAGCATAAACAGCTAGTGGGGGGCATTGTCTTCGTAGATGAGGTGCCTAAGTTGCAAAGCGGGAAGATCAAGCGTGCCCTAATTAAGCAGTGGGCGAAGAAAGATGCTGAAAGGATGGGAGGCGCCAGCCTGAGAGCGAAGCTGTAGCTTTCAGTGAATACAATTTTGAATTAGCTTATTGAAGAAGTCAGTATGTCTACGGTCTACTCTGTGATCGAATGTGCTGCTTCCAATCAACGTACCGTCATTAATTCTTGAGTTAGTGCCTGCATCTGCCACTGATTGATTGGTCCTCGTAAACATGAATAATGGAGATTCTATAATGGAGCATTTGATTGCAAGTCCTGAATTTTAGTTCTAGAGCCCTCTCAATAGAGCTAATAAAAGACCTGTCATGATATCCATCGACCTTGAATCTATCATGAATCGTACGCTCGACAATACAGCATGATCCCGTTTAGGAACACTAACCTAAACCAGCCAAGTTACTTGTCGGAACAGCCACCCCTCCCGTGTCCCGACACCCGCGTCTCTTTTTCCGCGTCCATGACCACCAGCCAAAATTTACCCTACGAACTCACATTGCGAGTTCATGGTGTAGCACATGAGTCTCGGCTAGGCGTTTGAGGAGCTCTCAGGTCACGCCAGGTGCGTGACGATCAGCCATGGCGGGATATGTTAAGCGGACACGCTGAAAAGCGTCCCGACACAAGTTCTAGCTATCCCTTTGAAGAGACGGTTAAACACTCCAGCATATAGTTCAAATCGTCATAAATCTGTGGACTGAGTTTGATCTCGATTTTTCCATTTGTTTAATATCCGACGCGAGTCGAAGTCCTATATCATTTTGTCGTTTAGCATCCTGCTTTAACAACATGCTCAAGCGATTCTCCAGCGTTCTGCGGCTCACGCCTCCTCGTGAAAAGACGGACAAGAAAGAAGCAAAATTCGATCGAGCGGATCTAAAGAAACTTGAAGTCATCCAAATCGAACGAGTCGAAGAATCTCCCAAAGCAAAGACTCCGGCCATGGCACCCTCTGCCACATCACCTGTTACCAACGGCGTCAACGGCATTAACGGCACCAATGGCATCACTGCGCACTATGACTATCCTCCCGCAAACCTTGAAGGCGAATACAAGATCCTGAATCAATACCATTCGAAGCCAAGCAAGCTACGCGTAGCATGCTGTGGTGCTGGAGCTTCAGGTCTTTGCTTAGCGTACAAGATGGAAAGGATGCTAACACCCGGGTCATGGGAATTGACACTATACGAGAAGAACCCGATGTTTGGTGGGACCTGGTATGAAAACACCTACCCTGGAGTTGCTTGCGACATCCCTTCCCACGATTACAACTTCACATGGGATCCGAAGCCGGACTGGTCGCAGTTTTTCGCATCGGGCGCGGAGATCCAGGGATATTTTGAAGACTTTGCGAAAAGACATGGTACGTTAGCGAGAATTCAGTGAACCAAAGCTGTATACTGACAGTTCAATCTAGGAAGCAAGAAATACATGTCCCTGAACAGCAAAATAGAAGAAGCGCGATGGGATGATGCCGAAGGGATCTGGAATCTTACAATCTGCAACCCAAAAACAGGAGAGAGACGCAAGGAATGGGCGCATGTGTTCGTGAACGGATCCGGTATGCTCACTTTTTGTTTCTTGCTGTAATTTTCTTCCGCTAACAGCCTTAACAGGGATTCTGAATACATGGAAGTGGCCAGAAATCGAAGGTCTCCATGACTTCAAGGGGCCCATTCTACATTCCGCCTGCTGGGATCACAGTGTTGAATTCAAAGGCAAGAAAGCGGCCGTCATTGGTGTCGGGTCAAGCAGTGTTCAAATTACACCCGCACTCCAGAAAATATGTTCGGAACTCGAAGTATACATGCGCAGCCCCACATGGATCTCGCCTCCATTTGGCGCTGGTGCTCTCTCCACCGATCTGCAAAAAGGGCAAGAGGTGGATCCAGGACAGCGGCAGTATGACTTCACCGAAGCCAACATCAAGAAATTTACCGAGGACCCCGAATACCATCTCGATTTTCGGAAGCGCATCGAAGCTGAAATCAACAGCTTGTTCAGCATGTACATTCAGGGCTCGGAGCTTTCACATCAGTTCCGTGATGTCATTACCAAAGAAATGAACCGCAGAATGGGTCCCGAACATCAAAAGCTGAAAGACTTCATCATCCCAAAGAACTTTGCGCCTGGTTGCAGAAGAATATCGCCAGGTGATGGTTTTCTGGAGGCTTTGGTGGCAGACAACGTCACACCTGTCTTTGATGGTATCAAGCGTGTGGTTCCCGAAGGCATCGAGACAGAAGACGGCAAGATCCACAAAGTTGACAATCTTGTCTGCGCAACTGGTTTCCAGGTTGCTTTCCAGCCCGCGTTCACAGTGATCAACGGTGAGGGCAAATCGATCAAGGACGACTGGACCGACGGACCCAATTTGTACTTTGGTGTCTCCGCGCCCCGCTTCCCCAACTACTACACCATCGTCGGCCCTGGAGCGACTTGGAGTAGCGGGACGCTGCTTCCTTCCATCGAGACGACGATTGAGTACTCGATCAAGTGTATGAGGAAGATGCAGACAGAAGGCATAAAATCCATGGCCGTCAAGCAAGAGGCCGTAGATGAGATTTACGCTCATTTCGACGAGTTCCATAAGAGCACAGTGTGGCAAGAGGATTGCAGGAGCTGGTTCAAAGACGGCAAGAAGAAGAACCGCATCTATCTCTGGCCAGGCGCAGTAAGTTTTCCATTAGTCTCAGGTGCTTCCCCTTCTCCGCATCTTCCGAAGATACGCAGGATGGCCTGGCCCGCTTCGGCCACCCGTTGAGACGCCACAATTTGTTTATGAGAGCTAATTTTGGGCCCTCTAGACGATTCATTTCCTCAAAACTATCAAAGATCCACGTTATGAAGATTACGACTTCAACTATCGGTATAAGAACAAGTTCGCTTTTCTGGGTAACGGAGACGTCAAGGCCACTGTTTCTGGCGACGTTCAGGGCTTAAGCACTTACATCCGTAACTCGGACCACGAGTGGTATGTTGAATGATTGCGCAGGTCGGCGAAAACGCCGATAAAGATCCAATAAACCAGGTGCATTTTCGGGTACCTGCTGCCTAGCGTTGCCTGATTCCATTGCACTGTGGGGACCCCTCCCCGGGCTAACTGGCTCCCCCGGATTTTCCGTGGTCACAACATATCATTAGTCGTTTTTCTTTCAGTCATCATTTCCTACGCTTGTTGTACATAATGCTGAGATCCCCATGAACCGGCTTTCTTGTTTTTTACAAACTGGCGAATTTCTCTTGGACTAGTGCCGTGTCTCTTACGTATCTGGCTGTTATTTCATACTCGGCATGTAAAATAAGATTCAAACAGCCTCGCTTACACTCCCAAAGGTTGACAATGACATTCCACCCCGCCATATGATTCCTCACTAAACCTAAACTCAGCAAGCATCAAAAATGGTATTCGGTCCATCTCAGTGGGGCCAGGTCATTTTCCGAAACTCCGCGTCGAGGGTCCAAACGCAACCAATCATTCCCCACAGGTTGCCATGAAAAACATGGAGAACCCCGCTTAACCTGACTCCATGATGCGGTGCAATGCATTGCGAATGAATCGTGCAAATCTTCCAGGCCCGTGGTGTGGGAGCACGCTATATTGTTTTCATTGGATCTTAACTGGTGTCACAGCCGATACTGCCATCTATGCCGTCATGCGAGATGAAGCAGGTCATGATGCCTGTGACCTCGAGAGCTCTTCGCAGCCGATGCGTGTCGTCAGTCAGCATGCCGCGAGACGTCTGATGAATGACTCCACGCTGGGTATTTCCCTCACTCTCGGCTCGATGGAGGCTTGACCCTGCATGCGACCATCCCTGCAAAGCATTGGCGTTAGATGGCTGCTCGAGTGATCTCGCCGGCATATTCGGAATCATAGCCACCATATCCCAATTTGACGATTCAGTGAGGTCGCTGAACCAGCCGAAGCATACGTCTTCATCCCCAGTTTGGACGAAAAACTGAGCACTTCGAATGTGGGGCCCCGCGTTATTCATGGATCAGACGTCTTCTCCAACGCTCTAGCGATGCCAAGGGTGGGCGCTAGATCCGATAGCTGGAGCATGCTAAGTAGAAAGGAAAGGGCTCAGTGACCCTTGAGTTGCATCTTTATTTGTCCGGTGTCGCCTCTGAACCCTTCCGTGCGTTTGCCTCCCCCCACTTTGTGTTTCCTATTTGTATTTCCCATAGTTTTTATGATTGATACCGTCTACATAGAATACTTTTCTATCAAATAGGCATGACGACAGAGAAAATGCCTACAGACGCCCAGACTAAGACGAAGAAGCAGCAACCGGAATCGACGGAAGCCAAATCCGGCGCAGAAACTGGGACGGATCAGTCGTCCAATACCTCTCAGCCACAGAAACCACAGAAGTCGCGACACAGAGCATCAGTTGCTTGTGCTTCCTGTCGAGATCGCAGGATACGTGTATGTCTTTGAATCATCGCTCACTTTCATTGCAGCTAAACGAGTCATTAGTGTGTCGTACCCTCGGGGGAGAAAGAATGTACACAGTGTAAGCGATCTGGAGTGGAGTGCATCATCAAAAATGATGACGAGCGGAGACGGTATGTAATAGTAGTCTCGCTACACTTACCTGTTGCTGATCTTCGCATAGTCCCATTTCCCGAGCATACATGTGCTCATTGACAGACCGAGTAGCACTTCTCGAAAGCATGCTAGAGGAACAAGGTGTGGAAGCGCCACCACCTAACCATCCTCCCCAAACTCGACACACGCAACAAGAGGCCGGAGCATCGCCCAGAGCATCGCCCAGCCGCAAGAACCAGGATTCCCAACAACCACAACAAGAATATAGCCCTGGAAGCCAGCAAAGTGCGCAAGACGAATACGAACACACCGATTCCAACGAGCACGATGGCGGTAGCTACCAGGGCGAGCCGGAGAACGCTGGGTCTCCATCCATGCTTCCCCCACCGAAGAAGGAAGGTATGGTGAGCAGATTATTATCCACACGAGGTCATCTCAGCTTCGACCAGCTAAGCGGTCGTCTACGATACTTTGGTCCCACCACGAATTGCCATGTCCACTCCGAGCTTGGAAATCCTCTGGATAGCGAGCAGCTGCTTTCAGAACAAGCTAGACGAGCTGAAAAGATTATACGCTCATTATCACTCGAGACATACGACTATCTTATGGATCTCTTTTGGCAGTGCTACAATCCTGTTATACATGTCTTACACCAGGAAGCTTTCAACGAAGATAGGGAGGCTGGAAGAAGTCAGTTTTACAGTGGGTTTTTACATGTCTGTGTCCTAGCTATGGGATTCCGCTTTGCAGATAAATCCCGGCCTGATGTCAAAAAGTTGTCTCTACCTCAGATGGAGAGTACATTGCATAGAGAAGCAAAGTACATGCTTGATCACGAACTCGAAAGACCTGGTGGGATACCTTCTGTTGTAGCCATGCTATTGTTGGGAGATTTGGAATGCGGTGGTAAGTGAGATCTAGAGTTGAAACTAACGAGGCCAAAACTGACTTGCTTCAGTTGGTCGCGACAACCTGGGATGGCTATATGGTGGTCTAGCAGTCAGATTGGCGTTCGATATCGGGTGAGTCTTAGAATGTATAAACTACTCAGTCAACTCTAACTCTTTCGTAGTCTGCATCTCGACACGCGCCTTTCTGGTCTAGCGGAACGAGAAGTAGAGATTCGTCAGATGACACTTTGGGCTTGTGTAATTTATGACAAGTAAGTGTCCAACACTGGTGTCCCCTCACATTTGTTAACGGCTGTAGATACTGGGCATTATTCCTTGGACGGCCCACGAGCATGAAGAGTGCGGATCTCGAGATTTACCACTTGTCGAAGAAGTTCGAGCGCTTAGGTACATGTAAACCAGCTGGCCCCGAGAAGAGCCTAGAAACAACAATCTACGAAGCGCTCCTAGATCTGATGGAACTTGCCGGAAAAATTACAGAAAATATGGATCCACGTTCCCAGTCTCCAGAGTCAGTTGTTGATCGCGACCAGTATCTTCGTATGGCAGCGCTCGACCGTGAATTCAGTACCTGGTACGCTCGACTTCCAGAGCCTCTAAAGTGGACGCCAACGAATATTGCCAACGGGCCTTTCTCATTCTTCTTGCTTCATCAACAATATCATAGCAGTCTAATACTGCTACATCGACCCTTTGCATTGTACGAAGATCAACCCTCACAGGGTCAAGAAAATGGCGGCAATGGTCCGGATGATCACTTTTCGGCGCTTTCCCGCACAGTGTGCACGAAACACGCCATCCGTGTGGCGAAGGTCTTCTGGCAGCATCGCCAGCGGTTCGACACGAAACAGATCTTTGTTACTGGGTTACAGCACGCGGTATGTATTTCGTTCCTACCACCTATTATACAAAGCTCGGCCATATACAACCAGCTTGAATTGAATTAACTAACAAAATTCTGCAGGGCACAGCAGCAACCGCTCTCGTAGCGGCCTTAGCCTTCATCAAAGATCCCAACGACCGCAACAACAACATGCAATACCTCGAATGTCTATCTGCCGCTCTCACCGATATGGGTCAAACATACCAGCCCGCAGAACGCATGTCAGTTGTACTGCGCGCCGTCATGGTCGAACTTCGCGGCGGCATCCCCAGCGCAAGCACCACAACCTCCAAACTCTACAAACCGAATACCGCCATCGTTCCCGCACGCCGCGGCTCTACCACCGACGAAATCGACACCCCCCTGTATAAGAAACGCCAAACCAGCCGTCCGCGAGCAGGAACAGGCGCTAGAAAACCCCGCAGTATGAGCATGGCGAGTAACGCCGCGACGAACATCGACCTCACCGTCAAACCACCGCTGCAAACTCCGCGTTTCGACACCGACGCAGATCGCTCAGATGGATTTATCCTCGTAACCCCTCGCTCGGAAATCTCATCCTGGCATCCCTTCTCCGACAACACATCTGCCATTGACCCCAACCTCTCCACACCTGCATCAAACACTAACAACAGCTTGCTTTCTTCGGCTACCCAACAGCGCAATGCGTGGATGGGCGCCGATCTCGATTCCTCGGATTCGATTTCGCAGCTCGCGAATGTGCATTTTCCTGAGATTCCGGCGCTGACGGGGGATGTGGGAGATATGTCGCATCTCGATTTTATGAGTTTAGGGGATGGTGGGGACTGGGGGGCTGAGTGGCAGCAGGAAGGGGGTGGAGTTGGGGTGGGGAGTGACTTGGATGGGTTTCCGCCGCAAGGGGGGTTTGGGATGGCTTTTGGGAGCTTGTAGGGTCGAGGTGGGGGTACATTAACGAATTTTACGTATCATGTGAAGAAGGAGTGGAACATTCTGTCTAAATAGGGGGTTTTTCTTTTGGTTTTTGGGCGTTCTTGGGCGGACTTTTGCTTGGTTGTGCTCTGTATCTATGTGCAGTTATGGAAACTTAGCCTTGGCCGTGACAATCAACAAAGGCTTCTTTCATCTAAACGAGCGTCTCTTCAGACGAATTTCGCACATAGTATATGCAAATATAACCTCTGGATTCGATGATTGTTCTAAGACTGCTTCTCGAGGTCTGTACTACATGACCAGTGAAATTGCGAAGACGAACGTTGATGCATCGAATTGTAGCCTACAACTATGAACCATTTAGAGCTGCTGAATGAGTTTGTTGCGCAGTCAATATAAGCACAGCAGGCAGGGGTCTTGATATCTGATTGCGGCAGTTCCACTCTGTCGGAATCGTTATGCTGCTGAGCCGCACCCATCGTCATAGACTGAGTCTACTGCAACAGGGGGACGAACGTGAAATGCAAGTCTGAACGGAATGCTCCAGCGCTTGCTTAGGGAACCTAGAAGATTACGACTTGTCGCTTATCCGCTTTACCATTCAACATGTCATCAAACATTCGAGGAAGGTCCTCGATTTTGTTGTAGGACACGTCCGGCTGAATACTACTCAAGCGTTAGTACAAAACGCCAGTGTCGATGTACGCCACATACTTGTGTTTTGCAGTGAAATCAACCGCTTTCTTCATCCTCTGAGGTATACTCGTGCTGTCCGCCTTGATGCGATACGCTCCAGTCGTAAGATCGAATGTATTGATGAAATCGAGACCTTTTGGCGCAATGCCAATGATCATCAACAGACCACCTGTTCTCAACACTTTCGGAGCGCCAGCATACGCTGCGTTGGATGCGCTATAAACTGCTGCTGCGTGACATCCTTTTCCGGTGAGCTTTTTGATCTCATCGACATAGTCCTTGTTCGTCATTGAGTTGAAGACGGCATCAGCGCCGACCTTTTTCGCCTGCTCCAGTTGCGCATCGCTGATGTCAAGCCCAATCGTCTTATATCCCATCTACAAACAGTCAACCACAAGGACGAAGTTTCAAAAAGGGGGTTTACTGACCGCCTTTGCATACTGAATAGCATACTGTCCGAGCCCACCACACCCAATCACCGCCAGCCATTGCCCCTCTTGCATCTCACAACTATCCACAGAATGGAAACTCGTGATACCCGCACAGAAAAGCGGCGCAGTCTTCTTCATATCCAGAATTTCGGGCAACACCACCGCATTCTGCCAATCCACAACCGCATACTCTGCGAAAAACCCATCTACTGCAAATCCTTGCAGCTGCGAGTTTCCATTCTCGCAGCGCAGATTATGTACTTGGCAGCCCTCGCACTCAAAACAACATCCGATGAAGTAGTCGAAGCCAATGGCGTCGCCTACCTTGAAACCCCGATCTTTTGCTGCATCGCCGATGGCCTCGATGTAACCGACGCCCTCGTGACCGATGGTGACTGGGTGCGAGGGACGAAGCGAGGTGATGAGATCAGAGTGGCAGAGAGAGGCGGAATGAATTTTTACGAGGAATTGATTCGAGGCTGGTGTGGGTTTTGGTATGTCGTTTATGACGATTTTGCCTTGTGTACTATAGACTTTGTTAATACTGCGCTGATTGAGGAGATTCTGGATGCTTACGGATCCCACTGGCCGGCTTTCATGATGTATACTGAAAACGTATGATGCGGTGGTTCGACTGCGATTGAAGAAAGTTAGATAACTCGCAAAGGTATGATTTTGTCAATAGCTATCTGAACTCAAATGATATATTCGTCAACTAATTAAGAATCAATGTCTATAAGGATAGGTACGCTGTCAGATGATGCCCCATGCGGCCTGACAGTGCTTCCCACAACGCCATGAAAACCGGACGGATAAATCACCCCGACATCGAACATCAATCGAAGAAGACCCAATTCGTCTGATGCGGAGTAGAACTTGCGGGGGCGGGGAAAGCATGCGAACTGCTCACATTACTCAGAAGGTTAGTGTGAAGTGTGCATCATGACTCGCGTCTTTTCTCCCCTAGTCACAGAGTCTCTAGGTTAACACAGTGAACACCAACACAGCTGATGAACGGATCAAATCATCATCATCAATTATGGTTCTCTCGTAGATTTAATAACGTTGACCACGCTCATTACTACGAAATCACAAACTTGACTCCTTCAGCTACATTCGCATTGTATTCCTCTCGTGGCTTATCAAGTTTCGGAGACGGCCAAGTCCAGTGATAGTGAGGATAGCCTTTGTAGAAGTCAAGCTTGTTGGTGACGCTGAAATTTCTGAGTATAAATCACCATGATACGTAGCATGCACCTGGAGAGTATCTCACCTGTTCTGATCCAAACGCTCCTTGAATAACAGCCCATCATCTCGAAGTGTGTCGTGCCCTGCCACACTCAGATATACCTTCTTCAAGTCCTTGACTTTAGGATGAAGCAGCGGCGAAGCATAATGATCAGTGGGCGGGGTACCGAAAGCGTCTGATTTTGGTTAGTGGAGATCACTCAAGTGAAGAGAGAAGTGTCTGACCCCAGAACGCATGCATTGCAGAAGCAGTGTCAATAGTGCGATCTGCATGCTCTTCCATTGACTTAAATCTCGCTTGAAGCTCTGATGGTACTCCTTCGGGATGGACTGTGGCCGGGACCTGTGCGACTACACCCACCAAGTAAACTCCCAAGTCCTCGTCGATCGCTTTCAAAGCTACGCCGAGTGCAAGCCCAGCTCCAGCAGAGACTCCGACCGTAAAGATCTTGCCCCCAACTCCTCCAAGATCTTTTGCGTTTTCAAGAGTCCAATTAAGTCCCCTGAAACAATCATTGATCAAGACGGGATGCTTATTTTCCGGTGCGAGTCCGTATTCAACCGACACGAGCACCACGCCGCCGCCCTTTGAGATGACCCTACACGAAGCGTCATCACCATCGATGTCGCCCATAGCCCAACCTCCGCCATGGAAGTAAACTCCAACAGGTTTATTTACGGTGTAACCTCCAGGAGTGTAGACGCGAACTTTTCTTCCACCATCTACGGTCCCGTCTTCAGTTCCCACGGAACTATCGGGGGGTGGGAAGGTGTATTTTGCACTCAACCTCGTGAAAATTCCAGTGAATTCATCGATACAATTTGACAACGGACCGTGAATCAATGGCCGCTCACCAAATTCTTCTCCAAACTGAACTCGTTAGATTCTGCTCTACTAATGTAATCTTTTGTGGTTTACCTCAATCCAGGGTTTTGCAAAACCTTATGAAGCCATCGATTAGAAGCTAACAATAAAAACCCAGAGAAACAATCACCACGCTCATTGGGATATTCTCGCAAGACATCTTTGATATAAAGTCGTCCAATCACAATCTCTTTGCGATAACTCTTAGTTGTTCTGGTGGAGATGGTTATGGGTTCCGGCTTAGCGTGTCAAGGAGAATTCCTAGGGTCCAAGCTTCAGCCACACGCCTAAAGACATCCGTCCTCCCCCGCAAAACACCCTCGGTCCCTTCATACAATCTATGCAACCCCATTAGGCATAGCAACTCGAGAAAGCTATGCATATCTTCAGTATGGGAGAAGCTTTCGGAGCAGCTGCCGAGATTCCTTACTCACCCCCATAACGATTCGAGCACACCGCACCTCAACAATGACATCGAATATCCAGATAGATGGTAACCCAGCCTTCGCCCGTATCCCACCATGGGTAAAGGCCAAGCTGAGACCCAATGCCATCGAGAAGATTCAGCAGGTTCATGATTGGGTCGAGACTGAGTGTATACCGGCGGAGCGCATCTACAAGAAGCAACTGGAGGGTAACCGGTGGAGAACACCAGCCATCATTCATGAGCTGCGCAAGAAAGCGAAAGCGCAAGGCTTGTTCAACTTGTTCTTGCCAAACCATTTTGAAGAAAGTCCCGGTTTGACCAATCTGGAGTACTCATGTTGCGCCGAGATAATGGGTCGAGTGTATTGGGCTGCGCAGGTGAGTTCAGAATACCCATTGTCTTGAAGTGGGCGGAAATGTTCTAACATGCTGTAGACTATGAATTGCCATGCCCCCGAGACCGGAAATATCGAACTCCTCGCGAAGTATTGCACACCAGAACAGAAGAAGCGGTGGCTTCACCCCCTCATGAACGGCGACATGTCCTCTGCATACAGCATGACCGAACCCGACGTCGCTTCATCTGATGCAACGCAAATTGGGATCGAAATGGAAATTACGGACAAGGAGGTTATCATAAATGGGCGAAAGCTGTATGGAAATTGCCAATACAACGAGGAGATGCAACTGTTCATCCTTATGGGGTGCTCAGATCCCAACAACCCCAATGCATGGAATAGGCATACCACACTAGTCGTACCTGCGAAGACCGCAGGTTTGAAGCAAGTGAGGAACCTGACCATCATGGGGTACGACTGGGCTCCTGAGGGTCATGGAGAGTACGTGTATGAGAATGTGCGCGTTCCCATCGAGAACATTATTCTGGGGCCCGGTCGTGCATTCGAGATTGCCCAAGGTCGTCTTGGTCCTGGGCGTATTCATCATTGCATGCGATTGATTGGTCAAGCAGAACGCGCATACGAACTTGCGCTCGTGCGATGTGTCGAGCCGCGAAAGAAGCCGCGAGGCAAATTTATCGGCGAATTCGATAGTAACATCGAGCGTATTGCCGATATGCGGATGACCATCGACGCAATGCGACAAGTTGTCCTCAACGCAGCAGATACCATGGATCTACAAGGTAACAAAGCCGGTCGATATGCCATCGCTCAAAGCAAGATCATGGTTCCAAATGCTCTTCTCAAAGTCATCGATGAGGCTATGCAGATATACGGCGGGCAGGGTCTCACACAACATACACCTCTTCCGGAGCTGTGGACATATGCACGCTTTGTGAGGGTTGCCGATGGGCCGGACTCAGCACACAGGCATCAAGTTGGTCGAGACCAAATGAAAACTGCGCGAGAATTTAGAGCGCGGGCTGAGCAGTACACTGAGAGATATAAGGAACTTTGTAAAAAATGGGGGCTTGAGCCGGAAGAATTCTGGGGTATTGTTTGAGCTCTCTTTTTGCGAGAAATTCCAATGATGTGTATAGATAATGATTACATTTGTGACGTACTTCTTCCCAGAATGTGTGAGCATTAACTTCGTTGTCCTGCAAAGATGAGTCAACAATAATACAATTCCATGTCTTTTTGGTCATCGCTCGTTTTTTTGGTCTATTTTAATCGCTGTAAACCCTTCGCTCTGTGTAGGATCACCTAAACTCCAACTAAAAAGAAAGGAAAAATACAGTTCCATAGACCCAGTGAACCATTACACGTGACAGAACTCTTGCGGTTAATATCTCCCGCTCGAAGTACCTTGAGAGTGCATGCGGAGAGCTCATTCCAGCTGCGTTCCACCACCTCGGCTTGGGGAGTGCTTGCGGCAATCACGCGTACAAGTAGGTCGGCACATTGATGGTTAGATATGTAGAGGAGTCAATTCCGCTATAAAGTTCCTTAGTTTCACTGTCGTATTGTCATCAATTCTGTAATTGGCCGCTGTATTCTTCGACACTCACCTCGCACTTTTTCTTTCTGTATTCACGGCACCTGTGTACAATCAACTCAGCAAAGCTCTTCCAAGATGGCAGGCCCCATCAGACAACCCATCGACATAACAAAGCTAGAACGCTACATCGAGCACAATGTCCCATCAATCAGCACTCCCATAACACTCAAACAAGTACAGTTCACTGACACACCCAGTCCCTCGTCGCGCCTTTCTAATATGAAATCTCCAGTTCGGATTCGGCCAATCCAACCCCACATACCAAATCACAGACTCCCGATCCCAAAAATTCGTGATGCGCAAAAAGCCCCCGGGCAACCTCGTCTCCAAGACCGCACACAAAGTAGAACGCGAATATCGGATTCTCAAAGCACTACAAAATACCGATGTACCCGTCCCGCGCGTCTACTGCCTATGCGAAGACGATTCAGTACTCGGAAGCCCTTTCTACATTATGGAATTCCTAGACGGACGTATCGTAACGGAACCTCATTTCCCCGGCGTCAGCGAGGCAGATCGAAGGGAAATGTGGCACGATGCTATCCGCACTCTAGCGAAACTGCATAGATTGGATCCCGGAAGCATTGGGTTGGAGGGGTTTGGGAGACCGAGCGGGTTTTATGATCGGCAGATTAGGACGTTTACTGCGCTGGGTGAGGCACAGGGGAAGAGTCGGGATGTTGAGACTGGAGAACAGGTTGGTGAAGTGCCTAGGATGCAAGAACTGGTCAGGCTTTTCGAGGATAAGAAAGGTCGGCCGAAGGATAGAGGGGTTCCAATTCATGGGGATTATAAGATTGATAATCTTGTGTACCACAAGACTGGGCCGCGGGTGATTGGTATACTAGAGTAAGAACCCACCGTCTGTTCTGACGGCTGTTTGCTGTGGTAACGAGATCGTGGTACTGACGAATAACACAGCTGGGAGATGTCGACAATAGGTCATCCCCTCTCTGATCTTTCCAATCTCATCGTTCCCTGGACGATTAGCGCTTTCTCGACAACCATCCGCAATTCTTCACCATATTTTGCTCCTGCCCCATCGCACTTCGCTCCTGGACTTCCTACGCGTCAACAAATCATTCAATGGTATGCGGAAGTGGCAGGTTGGGATCCAACTCCCGAGATATCTTGGAGTACTGCATTCGCCATGTTCAGAGATGCGATCATCTTCCAGGGAATTGCGAGTCGATATGCCGTGAGACAGGCCAGTAGCTTAGAGGCGAAAAATGTTGGAGAGCAGAGACGGCCTATGGCGGAGATCTGTTGGGAGTTGGTGAAGCGGGCGCAGGAGAATGGGCGGATACAATCGAGGTTATGATGGGGAAGCAGATATAGTGTCGACATGGTGCAGGGTAATATTTTATCAATAATTGTACGTTGAGTTGCTCGTACTAGAGACGTTGCAATTGAACTCAGAAGCATTAGTGCCATGGTACATTTACGCCTCAGTGGTAGTGCATGAGAAGCCTTGGAGCATAGCATGCTATGAAATTTGGAGTACAGTAGAAGGCGGCGATCCCTGACGAACACCTGACGGATAATCGATCTCTGTAAGTGATAACAGACAGAACATGTTAGCGATATTCGTGTGAATTTGCAAGACAACTAAGTTGCCAGATATGCATGGTAGCTTCACGTCACGTCACATACAGCGACAGTCTGATAGGTCGATGGAAATGTCAATGACACCGATTTTGACGTTGAACATTTTGACCGGTAACTGAAATACAAGACCAATTCATGACTGGCTTAGGCTTCAATTGATGCATTATAGCTCAGAATGAGTCATTCTGGTTCATGCCGCGCTTCGAATGCAGATTGTCCTCTGATTGATGCCTGATTTCTGTTTTATTTTCATCTTCGATAACATCCCGTTGTTGCTCAGTCGTACAATTTTGCCTGTTTTAGTAGGAGTACGGCCCCCAACGCTCACTCTTACAGCAGGCAGGCTACACCGCATCGCATCTATTGCAATGTGAATTTTTGCGGCTGAGATTATTCCGGACAACATGCCACTGCTTTTCACTGGCGTTTTAGACGTGCACAAATCATTGCGCATACAGCGTATACAGCAAAAAAGACGTCGACGCCGTAGAATATTTTGCCAAACATAATGGGCGGTGTCCGCGGATCCCGGGCAGTTCGTTGGAAGAATTTAGGCCGTGGCGGTCGATTGCGTGTAGTCTCGGCTAAGATATGGCCTGTTCGCGTGGGCAGCTAGTTGGCGTCGCCACAAAAGCGCTGTAGCAAAGACTTGGTTCAGCCGCATCTGAGGCAGTGTTCGATCAGGTAGTTCCCGGAAGGCAGTGCATTCGCTGATCTGCACTAACTGCGATCTCTCCGTGAGTCATGGCACTGTATCGCAAAACGCGCGATTGGCTGGAACGTATAGATTCATTCAGTATTAAAGACCCCAGGTGGCCCCCAATTTCTCAGACTCTCGGAACGAACAATGAACAAGCTATACAATATGGGCTCAACAACACCGGATGAGACGGAGCCTCTGCTCAATGAGACCGATACTGGTCCAACTTACAGTCCTCTTTCCAATGACGACGACATCTTATCAAGCGATGGATCGTTTCTCAAAGACGAGTTCGACAGCGACGACGACGAGGATGACGAAGAAGAAATGAAAGAGAAACGTAAACAAAGATTAAAAGAGACAGGTGGATGGATAGGATACCTGAATGATTTTCGCATATTTCTACCATTCATGATTCCAAGGAACGATGTCAAGGTGCAGATATGCATCATCATCAGTCTCCTTTCTATCGCAGGACGGAGAGTCCTAAATATTTTGGTTCCATACCAGCTGGGGATCATCGCCGACAAACTCCTCCTTGGTGGAAGTCCTCCGTACCGGGATCTGTGCATATGGCTGGGCTACAGCATTCTGAACAGCTACTCTGGACTCATGATGATCACGGAACTTGCTGTGGTACCGATTCAGCAATTCTCACAACGACAAGTTACCAATGCGGCGTTTAAACACGTTTTGAGTCTGTCCATGGACTTCCACTCCGAACGCGACAGCGCAGAAGTCATGAAGGCTCTGGAGCAGGGTGGCGCACTGACGAAGTTATTGAAGACGATAGTATGCGATTCTCTTCCCACTGTGGTCGATCTCGTCATTGCTGTCGGAATTCTGTACTGGAAGTTCGACATCTACCTTTCGATCGCCATGATGGTCGCTTTTACGTTATTCCTTGCACTGGAGATCTTCACGTCGCGGTGGAAAGTGGAACCTCGACGCAAGTACGCGCACGCTGAGAGACAAGAAACCAAAGTAATGCACCAAGCCATCCAGGGCTGGACTACCGTCTCATACTTCAACATGTTCAGCTTCGAGCGAAAACGATTTGGGAAAACAGTAAACACAAAGTTGGCCGCCGACTGGAAGCTGACTGTTATCGGTCTCGTGTTACAGGGAGCTGTGGAGCTGATCATCCCATTGACGTTTTTCACGCTAACCGCTATGGCAATCCGCAACATTGCTCAGGGCCGAAGCAAACCAGGTGACTTTACTTTCCTGGTTCAGTATTGGGATTATTTGATTTGGCCTTTGACATGGTTGACGCATGAGTACCGCGAGATCATGTCCAATCTAATCGACGCCGAACGACTTCTTGCCTTGCTGCAGACCAAGCCCACAGTTATGGACCGAGAAGGCGCGAAGAGCATCAAATCCGTAGAAGGCCATGTTCGTTTTGACAATGTTCAATTCGCCTATGATGATCGAAAGACAACTATCAAGGACCTCAATTTATCGGCGCGACCGGGACAGACAATCGCGCTTGTTGGAGCAACAGGCGCCGGAAAATCCACCGTCAGCAAGTTGCTGCTGCGATTTTACGACATCTCGGGAGGGAACATCACGATTGATGAACACGACATTCGTGACATGACACTAGACTCACTCCGGAGCGTCATTGGTGTGGTTCCCCAAGATCCACTCTTGTTCAACGGGTTAGTATAGTTCATGTGCAAAGTGGTTTTGAAGCAATCTTAACTGACCTCGCATCTGCGATATTAGCACGATTCTCGAAAACCTTCGCTACGCCAGATATACTGCTACATTTCAGGATATAATCGCCGCCTGCCGCGCAGCCGCAATTCACGACCGTATCCTTTCGTTCCCAGATGGCTATAAGACACGAGTTGGCGAGCAAGGCGTGAAGCTGTCAGGTGGTGAAGTCCAAAGGCTAGCAGTCGCTCGAGTGATTCTCAAAGACCCGTCTATTCTCATTCTAGACGAAGCAACAAGCGCGATCGACACGCATACGGAGAGCAATATTCAAAGAGCGCTAGATGCATTCAAAAACAAGCGGAAACGAACCAGTTTTGTGATTGCGCATCGTTTGAGTACGATTGTAGGGGCAGATCAGATTTTAGTATTTGACGAGGGAAGAATTGTCGAAAGGGGGACGCATAAGGAATTGGTGAGATTGGGGGGCGTATATGAGAGGCTGTGGAGTAAGCAGACGAGCACGCACTCGTCATGAAAAGTGGGGTTTATGTGTTGACCGTACCGTTCCTTTCTTTGCCACTATTCTTCTTCGTCACTGTTATCGCTTCATAGAGTTTGAGTTTACACATGGGATTGTTTCGGAAAAGCGATCTCTTTTTTCGGTTCAGTATATGCACATGTAATATGCAATGGCGTGTGATGTTCCCACAAGTGTACGTTGACGTACGCGTAAAGTCTATCCCCCTCCTCTCTTCTTTAACCTTCTACCCAAACTAATGCAATAGTGACAAATGAAATCCTCCAGTCCACAAATAAGATCCCACACCCTACCACATCTACGGACGCTGGAAAAGCTTGATGTTGTTGAACTCAAAGTACGTGTTCTTGAAGTCACTCGGGTTACCTCCAACCCACGACTTGCATGAACCCTGACCGGTCTGGTCTCTGCAAGACTTGTCGCCCGAACCCTTATTAGCCCACATGCCACCTTCATCGCCAGCCCAACCGCCGCAGAAGGTGATGTTGATGACCTGATTTGAGATTAGCAGCAAATCCAGACCTGACTATAAGAGGAAGCATGATGCGCAGCAAAAGTTACTTACAACGTGGAACATCCTCCACGCGCGTCTGAAATCGCAGTTCTTGGGAGTCAGATGCACAGAAGGCTTCTGGCTCCAGCTCTGGGGCGCAGGATTGTTACCCGAAAGATCCGCAGGAACCTGTCCCTTCTTGAAGTGCCAGATCTTGATACCATCCTCTTCGACTTGCAACGCAATCACCTTGTAACCGTCGTTGAAACCTTGGCCGAAAGTGCCCGCATCCGCAGAATAGCTACACCCCTGACCGTCGCCTCCATCGTAGTGGCAGTTCTCAGTGCGTTCACTGGTGCTCGGAATCACGCGGTTGACACTGCAAGTCGCCTCGCTGGTGTAGAATGAGTGCGAGTTGCGTGACTCTCGGTTTACGTTCTCGAGAATGTCGATCTCAGAGTAAGTGGCTGACGTCTCGCCCTGGTAAACCCAGAAAGCGGGCCACATGCCACAACCGGCTGCGGGAACGTGCTCGAAGTCGGCTACGAGGAGACCATTGTCAAAGTATCCCCAGCTCTGGAGACGCACGCTTTTGCGCCCAGTACTGCTGGCGGCGTACGTGTTGGTAGTATCGACACCGAGGCGGACCTTGTTGTTGGCGATTTTGGCGAGGCCACTACCAACAGCCTCATCTTGTCCCACATAGTTTGCAAAACCGTTGGTGAAGGCAGTGTCCGGACTCTGTTTTTATCAAGAGGTAAGTTTTGGGCAATCAATGCTGTGAAGAATAAAGGGGGTTGGGTGCCGTAGGAGTCGATAAGGGAAGGTTTCTCTTACCTCGACGAACTGAAACTCATCGAAGAAGTTTGTAGAGTTGAAGTTCCATTTGAGGCCATAAGGGGCTTGGGCCACAGTAGAAGAGATGAGCGCGGCACCCGCGAGAAGGGTAGAAGTATACATGATTAGGTAAAAAGAGAGTGAGTGAGTGAAGAAGGCACCGGGAAACACTGAGCTGAAGACAGAGGCCGATGGTGGAGCACAGAGATGAGAGCATGCAGTCCCCTTATATACGTGAATTCGGAGTGAGCCGCAGTAATGGTGGTCTTCCCATCTGCCGTTCCAGTGCAGAATCCTACGGTCGGTAGTAAGCGGTGTCCCCGGCTTCGCAGGCGACCAGCAGACCCAAGCTCGATCAAGCTATGCACATGAATGTTACCCTGCTGCAAGCTTGGTCGATCTCCTCCAATAGATGCGTTTTCAAGCATCATGGGTTGATGCTTGAGCCTGCCTACGTAAATGCGGGGGGCTAAGTCTACGGGCCTTAAGAGACAATCTCGTTTAAGTGTTTCTACCCAGCGATGCTTATGTTCAGCCATACATCTTATTCGGGGTTCTAGTGCTCGACTGGACAAACTAGTATGAATGGGAGCTTACTATAATAATTCTTAACCTCTGCTTTCACACCCTGCTAACGGTCCCGTACGAGACACCATCATCCCTATTGCCACTTCTGATCTGAGCCTCTGCATCATACGTAAAAACTTGTAATCCCGAAGCCTTATGAACAAGCGTTGGTAAGACTGTGGCGTGACTTTCTGGCATCAGATGTTCGTTTTATGTGTTTAGAGTTAGAAGGTCGAAAAGAAATGGGCAAGGGGTCTGTAGTGAGCACGGGATTGCCGCAGCCTTACTGGAAGGCCTAGAGTCCTTCGTCCTTCCCGCCCCATCCAAATGTCGTGCGAGGTACAGACTCCACGTGGGAGGAGAAGGATTCAAAGTCCGTCGAGGAAGAAAATGAATTATGGGTATGCTTGAAGCGAGCGAACCAAACGCTTGCGCTTTCAGATTCGTAGCGGCGGAGTCCAACTTACGCCCTAGACTCTTCTGCTAGAACATGAAAAGTATAACGGTAATGCTACCCACATATTCTTGAAATAGCGGTAATGCATGCACTGATTCATGCATAGGGCTGAGTGCGTAAGAAGGCTGAAGAACCAGCGCGTCAGAAACCGGGAAATGGACCCCACGCGGCACATAAATCTTGTGATCCACAGCGCACGTTCCTGCGAACTACCTAGTACTCTCACCCGTACGTAAGGACCCACGGACCACATCGCTCAAGATTAATCTTACATCCTGGGGTCTCGAGAATGAGATGAAAGGATTGCAACATATTCCCGCATCGAGGTTCTTCTGTTTCGAACATCGAGATGGATGCTAAGTTTAGGCAAGCGCTAGAATTCGGTGATAGAATTGTGTAGGCAGGGTTGTTATCATATACAATGCAAAGTCCACAACTTTTGTACCAATCTTCGTATACAAATCACTTCGAGCCATGCATGGCGTGCTGTTTGAAACTACACAGCCGGCTTACCTTACAAACCCTTCGTAAAAATCTCGTCGATTCCTACAAATCTCACTCGCCAATGTAATAGCCTGCTCAATGTTACTGGAATCCGTCGTGAGGTAAGCACGGAGAGGGGTTACTCGGATCGGATCGGCGTTGAGGCCTTCTCACCTGCCGCATCTAATCTGTGACGCAAAACGAATATTGGTGAGCCGTTCTCACTTCTCCGACAATATGGCTGCCGTGCACTTTTCACCAATACCTCCATAACGAAGCCAAGTAAGGCCATAAGGCTTGGTATTGAGACAGAAAGGCCAGCGTAAGCTGGAGGCGCTCAATTCAGGTGGCAGCACCACACATGACACCGATGTTGACATTGTGGCATATGTGTTAGGCAAGAGATTTGTCAGAGAAGATCTCTCGGGGAGCGTTTTACCCAAGACTCCGATGTGCAATGAAATGCTTTGGCTCACCGGTGTGTCCCGGATTACTTTTTTCGATCCACCGCTACTCTTATCTGCAGCAGTTATGTGTGCTTCAAGGCCTGATTGTAATTTGGGTCAGTCCGTACTTTACCGTCAGCCTGCCGATGCCTGGTCTTCAATTGGAGTGTCTGTCAACTTGCCTACGCGTTTTTTGTTTTGATCCCATTTTCCCATTCGAGCGGCTCTACAGTGTAAGAAAGTCAAGCAAATTACAGCTTTTTTAACCCCACACTTCATGGCTTCTAGGTCCCCAGCAGAGTAGCATAACAATCTCGTTCGTAGATGATTTTTCGAAGAATGCCTTTCCCCTACCAAGTGCATCTAAGTTGAACGCATCTGCTACCTACCCGACGCTTGACCTGAGAATTCGCATCCATGCATGTCATTATCATTCGTAATACATATCCCCATGAATCACGCCACCGATGATCTACTACATAATTACTAGAATCTCATTTACACGCATACCCTTAATAGATTTCCCAACAGACCCATCTAACGTATTCCATCCAGTGTCCGTAACGGAATCTCCGCGCCCCAGAAAAATTATCCACGGGAACAAAAAAAACGCGCATACGTTCAAAAATCATAGAACGTAATAGAATAGAAAGGGGGGCAAAAGCTAGAAAGAATGCAGATAAATGTTCGGACTCTAAGCTCTGCGGATACCTTAGGTATGGGTATAGTGTTGCGCGGGATCGTCTGCTGTAGTTTTCTTTTTCTCGGGCGAGAGATAGATCAATCCATCTTAGCTTCTATGGAGTCCGGGAATTATCGTTAGTTGGGAGGATATACCCGGCTAGCAGTAGGACAATAACGGTAAATGGGAAAAATGAAAATCGATGTTGGTTCTAGGGACGAGTATCGCATTCTCATCCGCATATACTCATCATTTACTCGGCTTATTCATATCTGCTATTCAAATGTTAACATCGAATTCTCTTTGTGTTATGTGAAGAAACTAGTAAAAATACATGTAAGAGATACCAACTTCAACATGAATTATTGAAAGCTGTTTGAATATGTATGATGTCAGTCAATGAATCATGATGCGTGTAGTGGTATAAACCGGATATCGTTTGCGAACATATTCTGCCAATCGCCTGCGACAGGTAGCAGCGATGCAGACAGTAGAGAACCAGAACTTACACGATCCATACGCTTTGGCGCGGGAAGGATTCTACGTTGCATAGTAGAGTTTCAGCGAACTCGTAAACCTCCTGTTATGGTGGATCATTGCCAAAACTGACTGACCCGAGAGGACGACGTGGTTCACACCGGGAATGTAAATAGATTACCAACAACATCGATCCACTCGGAATCACACATGAATTGCGTGCAGCGAATAAGCTTCAAAACACGATCCGTCCTTTTTATGGGTTTGCGAGGAGCATTTGTTAATGGGTCACGCGGGATTGAAACACATTTATTGGGTATGATGAGGCACCCGGCATAACATTGCGCTGATATTGGTATCAAACACTGAGCATCATTGGTATCGTTTTATATATTGACTCGCCATTTCCAAAGGATATGCTTGATACCTGCCCACAGATTTGGTATCACTCATCCCATTGCATAACTTATTACCAAAGAGCCTCTAATCCACCTGACCAACCGTCCACGCGGCAGCTCTTATGAATTAGACGATGAACAGATCATGCTTTCTGTGCAGCCTTGAGCATATCTCAATAATGTGTGGCTCATTCTCTGCATTCACATGCCCCTTACGGATAAGAAAAGCCATCCACGTCATGGCGCAATCCAGCTTAAAGTCCCCCTTCCTCAAAGCAGAAACAACCTCGTCCAAAGCCATCAAAGTGAAAGACTCGGCTTCGCCATCAAACGGCGCAGGTACTGTATCCTCCGGAAGCGCGATTTCATACACGTACTGAGTCTGGTGTTGGCATCCAGGCTGTCCATAATCGGTCTGGGTCATGGAAAACGTAAAACGTGAGCGCACCACACGCTTTGATATTGGCACGCGCGATATCTTCCGGCAAGCCCGCTTCCTCCGCAGCCTCGCGCACAATGCAATCCAGCGGACTCTCTCGGGATCGTAGACTCCCGCCAACGGTGTTGTCAAGCATGCCTGGGAAACTCACCTTCGTTCTGGCACGCCTCGGAACCCAATATTTGATCCCCGAATCTGTCTTTACATAACCATTCAAGTGGCATGCGAAGTTGACGATGCCAAAAGCATCGACTCCAGCACCATCGAGATCGAGAATGTGCACCCTTTCATTCGTGTATATGGGGAAAAGCTCGTCGCACCATCCGCTGAAAGCAGACGCTTCGTCAGTCTTTGGGTTTGCGCGGAGCGTTTCTTCCATGCGCTGTGCGCGCGTGGTGAAGTCGTCTCCTCCGTCGAAAATGAGTTTTCTCTCAGTCTCATCGACAGTCCAGAACTTTGGCCAATTCACTTTCGAGATGGTTGTGGCATGTACATATCCAAATGGAGCCGCAAAACCCCCGATCATGAAGTAGTAGTAGTCTTTCATATGTTCGTTGTAAGCACTTGGGTCCCTTTGGTAGTAAGGCCAACTGGAAGCGGTCAGTGTTGCTGTTTGGCGGGCGAATGAGAAGGCGAATCGCACGTATCAACTTGAGCAATCAATTCGAGATTTGAATATTCCGGTTGATCCGTCATTTTTGATTATAGCTCGCGAGCAATGTCTGTTTCAGAAGGTAGGAAGTCGTATATCCCCAGGTTTGTGGGGTGCGGCTATAAAAATGTATGTCTGGGTTTTGTGCCAGGTACGAATGTTGGTGCCCGCAAGATAGAAACCCAATGTCGCACCTGGGGTCCACGACACGTCACACGTTACGCAGTCTTCTTGCCCAATAATCCAAATGTTTGCAGTTGTTCCCAAAGATACCAACCGCAGTTTGAGGAGGACTTACCCTGCATCATAATATATTACTGATTTTGAAGCTGTGATTGTAAGACGCCCTTGCCCACTCTAGTTTCGACTCCACCGCCAACCTCCGCTCCTCAACCGCAACAGCAGAGATTCTGATGCTGGCACGAATGGGGACCCAATTCACACAGAAGAAGACGAAAATGTAAAGATGCCGGTCGAGGCTACCCAGGATCATCATTTTATTCAATTTCCATCTCACACCAAAAAAAAAGTATATATGCGTCTAATAGTGAGCGACAGGAGGGAAAAGAGAAGAAGACTTAAAAAAAAGCGCACCATCATTGAGAGAATACAATCATATCAAACAAAGGGGGTGGAATTCCATACTGTACGAGGGGAATAAAGCTATAATCTTCACGCCAACAAGAAACAGAAAGATAGAAAGAAAAGAGAGAAGAAAGGGAAACCAAAACAGGCTATGCTAAATACAAACAAACAAAAAGCAGACAACAGGAAACCAGACACCGACTAATGCCACCCCAGGTCATGGTCATGTATTTTTTATGGTTCGCTCAGCAAAGAAAAGAACACCGGAAAAGAAAGCCAGACGCATTCAACGCGACAAGAAGAGAAGATTCGTGAGACCCATGAACCGTATTAATGTATAAGCCCCCAAAAACCATTACCGCGAGAACTTCTTCAAGATCAAATGCAAGAACAGATTGACATTGACCCTAGCGACGCCCTCCCCTTCTGCCGAGCCGGCAGCGCCAGAGGTGTTAGCGCCCTTCTGCCCGCCATCACCAAATAAGTTCATGAACTGGTGATTGTCGAATTGAGCCTGAAGCAGCACGTCCAGCGGGACTTCGGCGAAAGCGCCAGGGATCATCATGCTGCCCTGGCTGCCCTGGATCTCGAAGATGCCGACGGCGTTGGAGGAGATGGTCATGTCGATACGGTCCCATTGTCGCTCGTGGTATCCGGACCACGAGATGAGGATACCCTTTTCGGCGAGATTGCGCGCGCTGTATTTGAAGGAGCCGAAACGGTATTCGCGGCCTGAGCGCTGGAGCTCCCGCATGTGGTTGTATTGACGCGTAAAGGGAAGGAGGAACTTTTTCTTGCCGCGTTTGTTTTGGAGGGTTATCATGGCTTGCTCGATATAGTCGTTATAAGATTTCAATTGGCTTTCGAGGAAATGGGCCTTATCGTCTAGTGCCGAAAGAGTCGAGCGCACGCCTTCCAGTTCCTTGGTACGTTGTATTCTTCGGCGATGTTTTGTTCGGATGTCAACGGCGATGGCGTTGAGAAGGTCTTGATAGTGGTTGTGGGGTGAGATGCGGCCCGCTTGTTGAAGAGTGAGTATGTTCTCTAGTGCGTGACGCTTGAGTGAGTGATAATCCAGATCAAGTACAGTCGAAGACGTCATATCCGCAGTGTAGGTAGAGGCAGCAGATGAGCGCACGTTGCGGCCACGGTCTTTGTTTTGAGCGTCGGATTCTTCTTGCACGAGAGCATCCCAACGATCCTCGTCTTCTGGTGTGACAGGCTTGCACATTATTTCAATCAGGTTAGCTCCTGTTTGAACACGAATAATGTACAGAATGTAGCGCTTTGTCTCCATAAAGAGAGCCTTCACTGCCGCATCGGGATCTGTTATGGTTAGCGAATGAACCCATCAGCGTGTGGCGAATATGCTTACCTTCTTGCTCGTGGTACTTTCCGTTCAGCGTCAATGTGATCTCGGTAGAGCTGACATGAATGAGCTCGTTCTCGTTGTTCTTTGCGCTTCCAAGCTCGCGGATGACTTCACGAAGCGGGTCATCTTGTGTAGGACATATCGTAGGTAGGTCATCTACAACAAGACCGTGTATGGCGAAGATGTCTGCAAGTTTGATGTATAGTGTCGGTTTAGTGCGCGCGAACAAGTCATTAAATTCGTCAATCTCGTATTGCTCATCAATATCGCGCACGTTAATCACTAGCAATTGGTTAGCTCAGTTTCATGAATACACATGTCGAATATACTTGCAGTTGGACCAAATATCCTGAAGGCGATCAATCGCTTCGGTGATGTAGCTGTTTAGAGGTTGAAGGTAGACATTGTCTCCACCGAAGAGCCTACCAGCGGCGACCTGGCCTAGCACCTTGGCTACTTCGCCCAAGTTGCGGTTCATCAATGGCGACATGCCACGATCAACCACGCCCCAGTGCTGAGGCTGAAGTAAGGAAGGTTGGAGATATGATTTCCATACCCAGTGACCCGCAATTTGCAATAGCTGCTCTTGGGCTTCGTGAGGAAAACGTTGACGCAAATCCTCAAACATCCGTTGAGCGAGATACCGTACACCAAACGGCATCCGATGCAGGACTTCCTCGATCCGGTTAAAGAACTGGTCGGAGATATCTCGAAGATCTTGAAGATGTCGAATAAACATCTCTCGTGTATCGGGATCTTTGATTGCTTGGTCGCGCGTCACGTTCGGATCACGACGGCTGCGTTGACCTGTGGAGAGTTCTTCGTTGTTGATTGACGATCGGTAAATTTGCATGGGATCACTCTCCAGATCTAAGTGCTCTTGGTCGATGATGTTATCTTTGATGAGCGGCCCAAAGAGGTCTTTGAAGAACTTGCGGTCTCGGGGTGATCTAATGTAGCTGGCGAATAGCTTATTCCAGAAGAAGCTGCCGCGCAGATATTCCTGAAGCGTGGCACATGTGTCCATTTCTTCCTTCAACGATCGACCGAGCAATCTTAGTAGGTAGTATTCCTCTCTACGCTTCTGTGCGAGGCCGAACAAGCTCATGGCCAGCTGCTCGATGCGTTTTGTGTCTTTTTCAGCAAGACCTTGCTCGCGCAGACGTCTAAACAAACGAGCCATGTACTGAGGTTGGGTTTGGAGAACGAAGAAGAGTTCCTGGTAATGTTCAAGCTTTCGTCGGGAGTTTTTGTTGAGAGCCTTGAGGTCGAAAGGGTCTTTTGAAGATATATCCTTGCTGCTCAGGAGTGTGCCAACGTGACCACCAAAGTGTTTCTGATGCTTCACAACTTCGTCCAATGTGATTTTGTTTTTTACGAGTAACGCAATTTTGATGTCCAGTTGATCAATGTACTGTTCAGCCAATTCATTCTGTCGAACATGTTGAACGACCGTCTTGCGCAGGCGCTCGAATTCTGCAGTCCAGGTCAGCGGTGACTCACGTACACGATATGAGGCAATGCTTACCAATTTCCTCGTCAAAATCGATATCGTTGTCGTTAAGAAGATGCACAAAGCTCTTGACGGTCGACACGGGAGGATTCTTTCCGCTCGTCAAGCTTTTGTATGCCTCGCCTTGTTGGCGTCCTCGAATGAAGCTTTGGATTTTGACTACCTTCTCCATATTTTCCTTGTAGAATTTCTTCTTCTCTAAAAATCGGCCTCGAACAATCATCCCACGTGCCAAAGCCTGAAGCTCTACAATTAGATCCTCGTGCTCTTCTACCTGGGCAAGCACGAGACCGATCTGCATTCGTGTGTTCATCGCACGGCCTAGAGCTTGTAGTTGGACAATCTCCGGCTCCTGATTATTCAGATCGCAGAGCAGATCATACGTTCGCTGCCGCTGCATGTATCCTCGGCATGCCGCTTGAAGATCCAAGATGTTTGGAGTCTGTTCCTGTAGTGCATCAAGATCAGAGTGGTGTTTCTGGCGCGCTAAAAACCCGCGCATGTAAGATTGAAGAGAAGTGACAGTAGCCTCCTGAGCGTTCAGCTGGTCCAGGGTGTCTGCAACTTCTGATCGAAGTTGACCTCCCCTTGCTACAGCTTGAAGATCTGTGATTTGAGATAGCTCGCCTTGGAGCACTTCCTGCAATTGCTTGAGGGAGTTTCTCAAGGAGTTACCGCGAATCTGAGACTGGAAATCTGACCAATTGACATCTTTGCTTACCAGCTCATTCTGGACAGTGGCATTTTGTTTTCTTGCGATCGCACCCCTCGCAGCGGCCTGCAGAAGCGTGACAAGAGATTCATGCTGGCGGAGGTTTTCTTGGTCTGCGCGCAGTGCTTGTCGCAAAAGACTGGCGCGAGTCATAGCTTGTATCTGGACAGTCTGTGCTTCGTGCTCCTGGAGTTCGGCATACTGGCGGTCAACCCTGTGACGTTCGAGAGCACCACGGATCATTGCTTGGATGTGGAGTACCGTGGGTTCGGCCACACGAGTTTCTTCGTAGCGCTCGCCCACTCGCATTCGCGCAAGGGCTCCTCGGATGGCGGCCTGGAACTCGCGGATGCCGTTTTCGTGCTTTTGAATCTTGGACTTGATGTGTTGAACCTGGGTGCGAGCCTTGCGACCTCTGAAAAGATTTTGCACCATAAGAACCTGCTCCCCCTTACCCTGCCAGTATTGCTCCTCACCTCGGAGATGGGAGCGAACCATGAAGCCGCGAGCAGCACTTTGAAGGTTCACTGCAAATCTGCGCATGTCTAGACGGTAGTAAGCAATCTGCCTAGCCCAATCCCCTCGAATGCGAGATTGCAAGTCGACTATCAACTCTTCATTATCCCAGAGGTTCTGCATCAGGTTACCGAGTCGAATGCGTACAAGAGCACCTCGCATCTGTGCCTGTAAGTCCAAGATCGTTGCTTCCTGTTCCGAAAGCTCACGGTCGATTCGATCTTCCTCCGATTCCACGGGCTCTGGCTCTGGTTCGGGTTCTACGGCGAATTTGGCGGACATTCCAGAAAAGTTAGGCATGCTGACCCCAGATTTATCCAGACCCTTTTGCATCGCTTCCAGCTCATGGTCTTCGAATTGCAACTTTCCAACGAGATTGCCAATTCGAAAGTCAACCATGCCTTTGCGGAACAACAACCATGATAGAGCGTGAATGCAATAAATCACCTTGGGAATGTTCTTCTTTTCGTACAGATCCACCAGCTCGAACCGGAAGAGATCAGGTAGCTCGACTTCCGCCAAAAATCTGAAGAAATGGGCATAGTTGTTGGAGTGCCGCCATTGCAATTTCGGGTCTCGAAAAATACGGAGCGGGTGCCCTTGGATTGCTTCGACTAGTTCTGCGAGGGTGACGCCGTCTCGGAGGGCCTGCTCAAGCTCGACCACTGGCGGAATATCCTTGTGTATTATGTCTTCTATCCACTCCTTCGCTTCTCCTATGTGACAGAGATATTCATAAGCTTGCAAGAATTGACGCTGCTGATCCATCCAGTTTCTGCTTGACCAACTCGACTCTGTTTTCCCACGAGCTGTGTCGCTACGTTGCAGTCGTCTCCGCCCATGTAGACCTACAACCTCTTGCTCCGGCGATTTGATCGAGAAGTCCTCCTCGGACGCTGTTTCCGCATATCTGGAAAGTGTGCGAAGGTGGCCTGTCGACGATTTTTGGAAGGTTTGGAGATCTGGTCGTTCGATGTGGGGGGCGGGGTGGCCTCGAGACGAATGATCGCGGGTGGGAGCACGAACAGAGTCGGCGCGAGATATGGCCATGGACAACGGGCGTGGCTTGAAAGGTGGAGGTGAGGACGAGCCGTCAAATGTGCCATTTTGAGTGGGATCAATGCTATGTGAACGTGTATGAAGACGCGCAAGACCTTTGGTCGGGCTGACGGAAGGGCTTACTTTTGTCGGGCTCGAGGAAGGACTCATCTTGATGGGACTAGTAGATGGGCTCATTTTGGTAGGGCTTGTGGAGGGACTCCGTGTGGGACTGTTGGGTGTACGGAAAGGCCTCTCAGGCGAAGCAGGTGAGCCGGTTTGAGGAACCTGAGGTAGCGGGCGCAACGCTTTGCGCATACTTGTATACTGCGCGCCCGGTTCCGAGTCTTGAGACCCAAAGTAGTCCTCGGAGCGCGAACTCGAGCGAGAGGGCATATTCGCCTCGCTAAGGCCTCGCCTATGGCCCCTCATCACGGGTGGACCGGTGGTGTTGGTGGGGTCATACTGAGCGGTGCTTGAAAAGGTGCTGGAGCGACCGTTGTTGTATCGATTTGGGAGATCGTTGGGGAAAGCGGATGAGGACGCGGCAGGAGCGATTGAGGTATGACGGAGAGGTGAGGGGGAGGCAGTCTGATGGCCCAGCCGCGTACGCGGTGAGTATGAGGTGTAACTGCTCATGTCGGGCGCATGCGGTTGCTATGCTTCTTGTGTAGATGTGGTTGATGGTTGGAGATGTAGATGGCAACGGGGTACGGGTGGGTACGACATGCGGTATTGGCTGCGTGCCTTCCTTTGCGTGTAGAGATTTCTGCCTCGTCCCAGCGTGATTACGAGGTGGCGGGTGTGGTGTTGCAAGTAGGAGGTCGGGGAGAAGCAAGTCAGATGGATGGGTGGGGTGCCTTGGGTGGGGAGGCGGGAATGAGATGATAATGAAGGAAATTGGAGCGATCGCTCACTCGGCGATAATGTTGCTTTTGCAGAATTGCCTTGGCTGTGGCCGAGCTTGCTTGCTTCACTTCAGTCCTGACTGACAGGCAGATTGGCGGACTGACATGATGGTATGAAATGGATGTTTACGGGCAACCGGGTTTAGCGCGTGGAGGGGACGCTTGTTGTGTCCGTTGCCGGGCAACCACCGCGCTGGTGGTCGCTTAGCCGCCCAATCATGGCTGCCACGCTGCCTTTCTTGTCGCCTCGCCTGTTTTGATCCGCCCGCCTCACCCTGCAAGACAAACCTCCGACCTGCTGCTGGCCCACGTCACTGGTGCTCTATCTTGTGTAATGGGCGATGATGAATTGTACCCGGCCAAAACAACAACCACTGGTTGTGACTTCAATGGGCTCGGCATTTACCATCTGCTGGCATCAAGCCCAATCACCATGGCTTGAATTCGTGATATGACGCGCATACGGGGCTCAACGCCATGTATCCGACCTCACCCAACATGCAAAGTACATACGCAATCCATCCAGACTTGAACAAATTGAACACATCAAATTCGATAATCGACATGGCGCACGTTGGTCGTTCAGCGGGTACCCAAGTACGTGATTGACAGAGCATCCGCGCTATCAAATGAACTGTACCTACTTCGCTATCTATAGGTAAGCACTTCCTCGTATACGTGCGCATGGTAGGTATTCTCAGTACCTAGGTACATTCAAGAGAATGTTCATTCAATGATTCATCCAAGTCTCTGTCTACCTATAGACCCCCACCAAAAGAGACCACATGTATGCGAACATCGGCAAAATTTTCATTCCGTTGGGACCAATTGTATTTGGTGCATCTTGATGATGATGGGACTGTCCAATGCCTAAATCTCTATTTCAATTGAAGCTGTAGCTACTGTCGAATAGAATGACGCTGACTAACTACTACATCGTCTCGCGTGGCGACTTTGCCCGTGAAGTCGGTCACGTGCAATGTGCACGGCCCACCATCCCCCCACACAAAAATGTCGCAGTTTCTCACTCGAACTTTTTTTCTTCTCTTGGGAAAAGTTCTCACTTTTGCCCGGCCATAGATAGCTCTACGGTCTGTTCCTCTTCACATAGACTCTACGTCTACTCCTCCGCTCTAGTAGAATCCTCACTTCTACATCTTCTTTTTTTCCTCTTCCCGTCGCACAAATGCCAATCACCAACGGTGACGCCATGGCCAACAACGCTGAGGGCGCTTTGGACTATTCCAAAGCTCTCGACATTCTCAAGAACGAGTACTCTCAGCGTGACGGAATAGATGTCAACACACTTATCGACTCGGCGAAGAATGGGGGTTTGACCTACAACGATTTCCTCATGCTTCCTGGTTATATTGGTGCGCCACCTTGACCTTAGTCGCTTTTTGCCTTCATCTTTTCTTTCACACCACGCCAAAAGATCGCATCATGACCTAACTCTCCCCTTCTCAGGCTTCCCTGCCTCCGATGTCACCCTCGATACCCCCGTCACGAAGCGCATCACGCTCAAGACCCCCTTCGTTTCCTCCCCCATGGACACGGTCACGGAACACAACATGGCCATCCACATCGCTCTTCTGGGTGGTTTGGGCATAATCCACCACAACTGCTCCGTTGAAGAGCAGGCGAGCATGGTGCGCAAGGTCAAGCGTTACGAGAATGGTTTCATTCTTGAGCCAGTCGTCATCTCGCCCAGCACCACCGTTGGCGAGGCCAAGGCCTTGAAGGAGAAGTGGGGCTTTGGCGGTTTCCCCGTCACCGGTACGTTCTACCCGTTCAGTTTCCTACAAAACCCTTTTATGATGAACAAACTTTACAAATAACTTTCGTTCATCCGTACACGATTCCGTCGTTATGTGGAGAGAGATATACCTGAGCAAAAGACTTGAATCCCGAGTTTACAGCCGCATGTTTTGACTTAGCTCATTCGCTGACAAACTCATGCAGAGAAGGGAACTTTGCGATCCAAGCTCGTTGGAATCATCACCCCCCGCGATATCCAATTCCACGATAACCTTGATGACCCCGTCACGGCCGTCATGTCTACCGACTTGATCACCGCGCGTCATGGTGTCGACTTGAAGGAAGCCAACGATCTCCTTCGCCAGTCCAGGAAGGGCAAGCTCCCCATCGTAGACGAGGACTTCAACTTGATTGCGCTCTTGTCCCGCTCGGACTTGATGAAGAACTTGCACTACCCGTTAGCGTCCAAGCTTCCTCACTCTAAGCAGCTCATCTCTGCTGCTGCCATTGGCACACGTCCCGAGGATAAGAAGCGTCTACAAGCGCTTGTAGACGCTGGTCTTGACATCGTCATTTTGGATAGCAGCCAGGGTAACAGCATGTACCAGATCGAAATGATCAAGTTCATCAAGGAGAAGTATCCTGGTCTTGACGTGATCGGTGGAAACGTTGTTACTCGCGAACAGGCTGCGGCATTGATTGCTGCTGGTGTCGACGGTCTCCGCATCGGTATGGGAAGCGGAAGTGCTTGCATCACCCAGGAGGTCATGGCTGTAGGCCGACCCCAGGCTACGTCCGTCTTCAACGTCACCCAGTTTGCCAAACGCTTCGGCGTTCCCTGCATTGCCGATGGTGGTATCCAGAACGTTGGGCATATCGTAAAAGGTCTTGCCCTTGGTGCCTCCACGGTTATGATGGGTGGCTTGCTTGCTGGTACCACCGAGTCTCCTGGCCAGTACTTTGTCAGCCATGACGGTCAGCTGGTCAAAGCCTACCGCGGTATGGGCAGTATTGATGCCATGGAGGATAAGAAGGCTGGAGCCGGCAGCGCCAACGCGAAGGCCAGCAACGCTGGTACCGCGCGTTACTTCTCCGAGGGTGACCGCATCCTTGTAGCTCAGGGTGTCTCCGGATCCGTTCGTGATCGCGGATCCGTCACCAAGTTTATCCCTTACCTCCAGGCAGGTGTGCAGCACTCGCTCCAAGATATTGGCGTGAGCAGCTTGAAAGCACTACAAGATGGCGTCGCAAACGGCACCGTCAGGTTCGAGCTCAGAACTGCTAGCGCACAGGCTGAAGGCAATGTCCACGGTCTGCACAGCTTCGACAAGAAGCTTTACTCATAGGTACACACATATATGTATATGCGATTTGCATGGGAAGTGGCGTTTGGCAGATAGTGGTTCGTTTCTACACTTTGGGACGACTTGATGGCTTATGGATAGGATAAAAGTAATGATACCAAGATATTTCACGTTCGCTCAGACATGACCTGTTCATTCCACATTTGCCTTCATTGACCTTCACGTACGGCGAAAAGTCACACTGCGATTGGCTGGTCATACTTCGACTCGGAGTGCTTTGTCACGCGCAAGGGTCGTCTTACCCAACCTCGGCTTGTTGCTCCTCCCCGCAACGTCAGCTACACTACGTTAAACTATGGATAGTACGCACCGCTCAATCGTCTTCGTTGCCTCTGCTGATTATGCAACGACGAAGCGCTGGCTATCTCATTATCCCACCTAGACAGCCTCCCTCCGTCTACTCTCCGTCAATTGCAGCTGCACTCTTCACACGCCAGTCGTCTTCCCGCAACCAGTCATCACTGTCGTTCAGGCCGTCGATAGCTATAAGAAACCCCAGCGGAATCCGATCATTTACACGCGTAAGCAGCATGGCAACCGCAGCAGACCACAAGCCTCTTAAGAAGCAGCCAAAAGTGCCGGCAGACCCGCGGCCAAGTTCAAGGTATTCCACCCACTTGCTAAGAACCTCTATCGATACTAACATGATCCAGTGTTCTTCTTATATCTCCAACGAACCAAATCCTTCTCCTCCAACGCGTCCGGACTTCATCCTCATTTGCATCTGCGCATGTTTTCCCTGGCGGTGCCCTTTCTCCCGAGCATGATGGCGCGGTTCCCGCGATAGATGACCCCGGACGGCATCAAGACGGCCCTGCGTATCGAATGGCAGCCATCAGAGAGACTTTCGAGGAATGTGGCATTCTATTAGCTCGGAACAAGCAATCTGGAAAGCTGTTTAGCTCTAGCGATATCCTAGATGAAGAGCGTGAGCAAGGCAGGCGTGATGTACACAGCGGGAAGATCATGTTTCCGGATTTGTTAGCTCAATGGGGTGTAGAGGCGGATACACAGGGCCTGCGACCCTTTACTCGATGGATCACACCTCCCAACGTGCCCAAGCGGTTCTCTACTCAGATGTATCTCTATTTTCTGCCCATCGGCTCCATATCACCCACCAAAAAGAGGTCGCCCTCTTCAAAAGCTCCCCCGTCCACGACCTTGGACGATGAGGAACCGGATATAATCATCCCGCATCCTACCCACGATGGGGGGATCGAACACACAGCCGCGCGCTTTCTCCCGCCTAATAAATGGATATCGCTCGCACGCCGTAACCGCATCATCCTCTTCCCTCCTCAATTTATGTTAACGGCCCTCCTCGCTCCTTACCTCTCTGCTACAGTCACATCCTCCAAATCATCCACTCCGTCTGCTCAGGCCCTGCAGGATGAACGCGACAAGGCAATTGCTTTCCTAGACCGACCCCGCATGTACAATGGTACACCCGAAGTCAACTTCACCGAGGCATGTATCAGCCCTATCGCAATGGGCAGGGGCTTGTATGGCGAGAAGGATCAAGATGGTGTCAGCGAGTCCGGTGTATCCAAGGACACAGCCGTTCTAGCGCTGGATCGCCCAGGACGCGAGGTAGAGGCTCAGGGACTGGGTCGGAGAGGGATTCTGGAGTGGGTGGTCACTACCAAGTTCAAGAAGGAGGGGCCGCGGGATGTTGAGTTGCGGCGGAGAGACGAAATATTGTCGAGGAATAAGACGGCAGCGGCTACGAAGCTGTGAGCTTCCAATGTTTCTATAGTTTTTGTTTGTGTATAGACTCATGTACAAGACAATCTATCATGCTTCTTTCGAAATTTATGGGCGCGTTAGACCACTCCGAATATCTCTTGATCTGTGCGTGTATACGCTTGGAGATTGCAGACCTCAACTACATTGCCGCTGAGAATAAATCCCCAATCCTTCTAATACCAATCAACCCACCCTACAGTAGTACCAGGCCACGGCACACACACACACGCACGCACGCACGCACGCATAGCCCGAATTCTTAACCCTTCATAACCCCTTCTAATGACCAAGCCAGAAGTCCTGCACGCCTATCTGCCTTCTAAGTTGGCACACAGTCTATGATATTATCTTTCAACTAATTACACGTGAGATATGTGTATTGGTTGATTAAATTCACTGAAAATCACTCCCATCTTCCTGCGTCTATGGTTTCTCTCAACCTAATCTCATTCGCTCGATTAGTCTTTTTAGGGGTATGTATTCGATCAGCGATACCCTCTACTGATGTACACACTCGCTCATACGTACCCATTCTCCGCACACTACAGTTCGAGGGGCCAATCGAAACAACATCAGTGAGCTTGAAAGTTTCTTTCCTTTTCAATAACAAAGGTATATCTAGATGCGCGGAGGGTAGAAAAGTAGGAAAATAGTGTAAAATTAATAAACAAAAAATCATGCCCGACCGACTCCCTGCTATGTGCATATACACTCTCCAAAAAACTTCAAACTCCCATGCACTATGCCGCAAAACTCCCATCCTAAATGAACCCAACTCCCACCCCCCAAGATAGAAAAAGAAGAAGCAGAGGGATCAAACAAAGGTCAGCATCACCCCAGCCTAACCCTCCCGACCCAAGCACCAGCATCCAAATCCTCTCTCGCAACAACCCCAACCCCCTTCCTAATCACCACATCACCCTCTCTATTACCCCTATTCCCATTTCGTCTCTCGATCCACATAACATTATAAAACCCCCTCCCCGCATTCGCAGCGTCCGCAAATCCAAGATAGTGACTCGCCGAAAATCAGCAAGCGGCGCGCAAAGAGTGATTCTTGGAACGTCCACGCCCTTCTAGCCCAAATTGAGTCCCAAAAAGATGGATCCCTCCAGTGTTTCATGATATCTGCGTTTTCGGGAGATGGTGCACGGGTAGTGGATGCGAAGACACTTTGAGACGTGATTTGCATCGCTCCCAGAAGCAGCAACGATGGTGAATTCCGCACTTGTGTAGATCCGCGCCATGGCTTGCAGCATCATCTCCATATGTACCGGACTCGAGTCCTGCCTGACACACAAACAGTCTACCCTACCCAGAGATATCGCTCATCAAGCTTTCTGACGAGTGAAATGGCATCGCGGATAGTCTGTGGTAGCATGGCGACAATATGCGGCTCGCTCAGCGCGTTAGGTAAAGAGAGTGTAGGAAATGAGTCGGATGTGTTCTTCAGAGTGGGCACCAACTCTCACACATAAGAAAGAGCAATGAACCGAGTCGTAAGAGGAAGCTTGACTATGCAGCCCTCTATCACATCAATTAGAAGAGGATCGGATAGCTGCTGCGATAGAGCAGCGGAATGAGGATCTGTGCAGCAAGATCCGTGGTCTCTTGCGCATTTTGCTCGCCACGCATTCGGCAATAGTATGCGATGGTTGACTTGCTGCTTCAGGTCTTTTAGGATTTGGAACACCACTTATTGAGGCGCATAACACGCATTATATAACATCACATGAGACATCTTGCGCTAATTGAGCTCAGATGGCGACTCCCTTACTTTTGACCTGGGAGAGGTAAGATACGACTTAATGATCCTTATCCTCGCGGAACCCAGCGTGTGGGAACTGCCCAATAACAATGACACGCGATTTATGGCTTGCTTACTACAAGTGCCCTCAAATACCTCCGCCTAAGAATCTCTGTATATTCCCGAGACAGCTTACCAAAATGGAGCCGACGAGGCATCATTCCGACATGCTAGGCCAAATCTAGTGGCTTGATGCCGGACTTACTTCTACCCGAGCAGTTGGACTACCAATAACATGATTCCTGTTAAACTGAATAAAGTGTACTTTTTCACAGCTAAATACTGATATTGAAACAACCATTGTGGCTATGAAGAGTCTCAAGCCTCATCTGACGGCTCGGAGGAACCGATATGAGCGTTCGTATATGCGGGCAGTGCATGTAAATCCTTCCTTGTAGGCAGCAATGTGACATGCTGAATGCAAGACAATAGCGTGTGATAGACATCGTATATATCCAAATCGGACATCCGATCTAAATAGAAAGTTCAATGTTCCCTCCGAACTCAAATGTAGAAGTCATAACTCTCTAGGAGACACAAGAACATTGCCGGCCAAACTCAAGATTCTAGTCATGCTGACCTTAGTACAGAACTAACTGTGTGTTTCCTTCGAGCTAAGAAAAGTACTTTGAGCAAATAATGAGAGAGGGAAAATAATTAATCCCGTGCTTATATGGCTGAACGGAACTAGATGACTTCCAGTACCAGGATTGAGCAGACTGTAAGAACCTGCACGATCCAGTTCGGAAAGCTACCCTGCCGAATCAAAATACGACAACTGAGGAACGGAATCATAAGACCAACTTTAAGAGAGGTCGTCTCGTCGGCATATGCATCACGTGACCAAGAGCACATTCATTCATTCATTCAAATGTTCACGTTCCCCATTTACACATCTCAGAATGGCAACACCAAGTTTCTGTAATATAATAGATGGCTCAAGGTTCAAGACTAAAATTGGCTGTTTCTAAAACAGTCCATGCCGTTGAGGCTACAAGTTATACTGCGAAAAGAGCGTGGGGAAAAGAGAAGAATAGAAAGATAAAGAGTATGTATAGAGAAGTAAGTTGAACAATGACGCTGTCGTGATGAGCTTTTGAGGAGCATTCAACCTTGCTGTGAAACAAATGAGTGGTGTGGATGTGTATGTACATGAATGAGAAAGACACTGATGGTGGTATTGAAAAGGAGGGACAGGAAGCGCTGGAGATACAGAGACGCTAAAGAGTAAGGAATGGCTTGCTGATGAATGATAGACTAGAAGAAGAGCAGAGCCTGAGCAGAGCCAGATAAAAATAAAAAGCATATCATATGTAAAGACGAATAAAAAAAGAAAACATGCTAAAGAGAAAAGTGACAAAAAAGGATGGAAACAGAATCAGAAGGAACCTAAACTCCACACAGAATGCCGCACCAAACAACCAAAGGGCACCGAACCTTCACGGCCATTCCCATCCACCTCACTCAAACTGCATAGCCGGAAACAGCCCATTCTCAAGGTCAACCCCAAGCACCCACGAACAAGTAGTCGAAACCATATACTTTGCCTCGTCCTCATCCATCAAATTCGTCTGCGCACTCCCATTCCACTTGACCCCGACAATCGTCCCCGCACCTTCCCCCTTCAGATCCACAACGACAAAGAGCTCCGCAATCTTCATGCCCGTCCAGCGACGGTGGAAATGGACCTTGAGTTTCCCAGTCTTGTCGGGGCCCTGCGAGTACACGAACCATTTGTCGTCGGTGTTGTCGGGGGAGTACCCCATGACGAGATTGTAGACTTGCTCGGGGCGCAGGAAGACGTTCCAGCTCACTGTGCGGACTTGGAGAGAGTCCGGGAAGGGGGAGGTGGGGATTTCGTTGGGGAGGACACGGTGGAGGGATACTACGCGGGGTTTCATTCTTGCTTCGGGGACGTGGATGCGTTGGACTTGGAGGATGGAGACTTTTTCCTTCTTTTGGGGCTTTGGGGGTTGTTTCGTTTCGGGTTGTAGGGGGAGGGGTTCCGTGGTGGGTTTTTGGGGAGTCGGGATTTGTGGCCGCTTCTCGATGTTAGGTGAAGAAGGCGAGGCTGGAGAAATTGGAGACGATAGAGGTGGTGATGAAGTAGTTTTGGTGGATATTGGTAATTGGAGTGAGGCCTTGCGGGCGGGTGAGGCGTCTGGTGCATCTTTGTAGACCCGAGCTTCCCTTCTGCGGAGCTTGGTCGGTTTGCTGGTATCCATTCCTTCCGTGGTTGGAGACTTGCGGAGAAGATCGCTAGAGATGATCTTGGGTATTGTGTCTCTTTTTGAAAGGCGCCTCCAGAGAGACACTCGGGGAGGTGAGACGGGTTGATCGACGCGTACAGCCATTGTTGAGTTGGATTAGGGATGCGATATCCACTCTTTGAGTAAGTGACACACGCGTTTGGAAGAGAAAAAACAAGAATGGCTCTTGGAAAGCGCTCGCTACCAAGATACAGAAATTGAAGTGGAAAGAAACAAGTCTTACGAGTGAAGTTAGGAGAAAGTAATCAGCTGAGAGCTTTTGATGAGCACTTGAGGTTGCTATCTGCTGCTCCCACTTGGGTGGTTCAGCTAGCATGCATGCCCCGCTAGGTACACGAGCGCCCCCTCCAGCCCGACGCCATCGTTTTTTTAGAACAGGACGAACAAGTCCACCAATGCACGTTGCGACACGAATTAGACGATGGGAAAAGCTCCTAGCCCTCTCGATGGTTCAGCTTGTCCTCGTGTCATGATACAGCGTTGGAGTTTAAGAAACCATACACAATGATTTGATATGTATCGCTGGGACAACAGCGACAACAACACCGTTAACGGGATGATACGCTGTGTGATCAGTATCATAGTTTGACTAGAATTCGTTATTGCAAAAGGTCAACATAGACTCTCGCACTAAAGCCGATCATCAAGAGTCTCCAGCCGATCCATGATACGCACAGAATGCGATAGTGAGATGATGATGGCGTGTAGATCTAAAGGTGGGTACCGTAAATGTACAATACGACATCGTAAAAACCCCCGACACAACACCTCCGCTACGAGCGATTGCAATGGCGTAGAACACCCCTCACCCAATCACACACCGTCATCCACGAATTCATGGCAGACACGAGTGACGCATCGTGATCACTAGAGGAATAGATTAAAATTCGCGCTATTGCCCTGCGTGCTATGTTTCCCATCCAACTGGGCAGCGAGAAGCCGCAACGCTAGACATTGAACCGAATACGGCCGTCCGTGTTCTCCGTGTTGTAGGCCAATGTGCGTCGGCCCCAACTTTCCCGCACTCGTTCTCCATGCGCAAATAAAGACTGACAGCATTGACTTTCGCGATGGTCCAAAGATAAGCAAGTGTTTCGGGAGTTATCTGCCGAGTCATTCTTTTGTCATGGTAACCTGTCCACCGAGTAAAAAGACTTCCCCATGTCTTACCTTCTCGAGGCATTGTCTTGCACATGCAGAATGAAACAAAAATAGCTTGTTGTAGATATAGTGTGTGGCTTGAACCGACAACGTTCAGTGGCGTATCAAGCACCTGGACTGCGCCTTTGGCTGTCGGGATCATCTAGGCGGACCAACTACGAAGCCTCTGCTTTTGCTTTTAGCTGCAATTCCGAACCGTGGATCTGTATTCGCAGAAATGCGTACTCGACTTCGTCCGAAACCTCCCCTCGTGTTGGGTTTTCTACCTACGACGATGTTGGTCGTGCGTGCAATTCCGTCGTGTACATGCATGCGATAAGCAGGGAATACTTCTACTGTACGAATGTGGTCGCGGCAGTTTGTTACCGGCACTCGTCAATCTTGCCAGAGTAATTAGGTGGTGTATGACAAGCAGTTGTCCAAGTTCAACATTGGTAGGATGTTGAATAGGTTGCAACCTAGATAGATAGACTGAAGGGATCTTCAAGAGGTGCTCTAATGGAAAGCTACTCTGATCCACATAAGATTTCAATGATAGGGCATGTACATAAAACAAATAACGCGTGGTCTTGGTTGCGTATGCGACAGGTATCATTAACCCTCAAAGACACCATGACAAGAATATCTGTCAAACGGCGTAGCCCGGCAAGCCCACTCTGAGGTGACTCAGACATTCATCGTCTACTCTTGGTAAGTAATGGTCTTCAGTCTCAAGAATTCCTCCAATCCCCAATTGCCGTTGAATCGTCCCCATCCGCTCAGCTTAGCACCACCGTGCGGCAAGTTAGTCTCATCGTGAATCGTCATGGCATTGATGTGAATAGCCCTAAATGCCAGTCAGCCATATCAGCTCAGTCATAAGCACCAATTGAACCACTAGTTCCAGGAACTCACCCGCTTTCAATCTGTTTCGCCACTCGGAATCCTCTGGCTAGGTTTTCTGTAAAGACTGCTCCTGTGAGCCCATAGTCGGTGTCGTTGGCAATTTCTATCGCCTCTTCGTCTGATCCAATCTCCATGACGCTCACGCTAGGCCCAAAGCTTTCCGTGTGATATAGCTCCATGTCCTTGGTTACCTTGTCTACAATGATGGGTCGCATCCGTGTTTTGCTCGCTTCTTTTGTCTCTGGGTGCTGTTCCTCCTTCTCGTGATCACCTACCACAATGTTTGCGCCTGCCTTGATCGCTTCGGAAATGAGATGCTTGTTCTTTGCTACACCAGCTGCTTGAACGAGAACCATCGGGGGCTTGTCACCGCCAAACACTGTCTCGACGGCGCCTTTGAGCTCCTTGACAAATTCTTCTTTGATAGCTTTGTGTACGAGAATGCGCTCGGTGGCCATGCACACTTGGCCAGAGTGGATGAAGGAGCCAAGCGCGCATTGAAGTGCGGCCTTTTTCAAGTCGGCATCATCAAGCACGAGAGCGCTCGCCTTGCCACCAAGCTCCATCAGTACAGGCTTCAAGTTCTTTCCAGCCAATGACGCGATGATTCGGCCCACGCCGGTAGAGCCCGTGAAGTTGACATGTTTTATCGCAGGGTTCTCAATCAAGGCTGTAGTGACAGCAGAGGCATCTTCAGGCTTGTGGTATAGCACGTTCAAAACGCCCGCTGGAAGCCCAGCTTCCTTCAAGACTGAGCCGATGGCCCAAAAGCAGCGAGGGGAAAGCTCGGAGCCCTTCAATACACATGTGTTGCCAGTTGCGATAGCATATAGTACCGCCCTCACTCCGAGGATGTAGGGGGCGTTCCTGTACTCACGTTAACTCCCACCGTATCCTTAGAAAACTCTACGAGTATCGTGCATGTGTAATTCCACAACTCACCATGGCGCAATGCCCAGTATGACCCCATACGGCTCCTTGACAACCAAAGCGCTAGTTCCCTCCGCGCTGCAGTGGGGTATCGTGCCCGTGATTGTGACTATGCGCCCAGCGACATCCAAGAACATTTCAGCGGCCAATGGCACATTGAAGCCAGAGCTGAAACCCGGTTGAGCGCCTGTTTCTTGCTCCATGTATCCAGCCAGCTCTTCTGTTCTCTTCTTGACTATCTCGCCCGCCTTTATAAGTATCTCACGGCGCGCAGCGGGCTTGGTTTTTGACCACGCTGGCAAAGCAGCCTTTGCCGCCGCCACAGCGGACTGAACATCGTCGGTCGAGGCAGAGGAACTCGCCCATATCTGTTTGTGCGATGCCGGCGAGGTGACGGGGAAGGTGGTCGAGGTTGTGATCTCTTCGCCGTTGATGAGGAGGGGTACAGTGTAGTCGGTCATATTGTCTTGTTTCGAGTTTTCCGTTCAATCGCGTTTACATGGGAGTGAATAGAGCGACGCGTCGTCTTTCCTGCTTATATATTCAGTGTTAATAAGCTTCGCCTGGGGCTGACGTCGAACAAGCTGCCCCTCCTCATATAGAAGCGGGGCGGGGAAGAACACCTGCTTACATGAACGCAAACATTGGGGCAGACTAACTGCCATTGGGCATTAGATACAAATTTCCTCTGCGTCTTGAAGTCAGCGCGTGCCCGCATTTGGGTACATTTCCAGTCGATTTGCCTCTTGGCCTGGATCTGATCTGCCCTCGCATGGTGGAAACGGCAGTTGTGTAGCTGGCCATTGAGCTGGTGGCTAACTGTGGGGGCCGCTACGACATCTCGGGTAGCATAGTCGGCTATCTGATGTCGCGATCGCCTGAATCTTTAAACTTGCAGATCTTGTTCTTCGATTTCAAGATCAACTGCGATAAAGATGCTGAAATCTTGGCTTTGATGGTAGATTTTGGCGTGTGGCCAGGTGTTAATCACGGTTTGGCTCTCAATACCTTCCGATTATATCCACACCCAGGACCAATCGTATAGGAGGTGATTGCATAGAATAATGCAGACTTTTGTATAGGTAATCAGGGCACGGAAAATTTATTTGCGGGTCTATGTCCTACATTGAGCAATCAGTATGTATATAACTAATCCTTGAGCGATGTTGGGTCAATGCAAACTGGTAGCGAAGAGAAGAGCCATCGGTCTTAAGATCGCAGTACATGCGATACTGCGAGCAAGTCGACGCTGTTTCCATTCTATATTACATCTTTGTATCGGCAATACACTCGATGTTTATGGAGAAATACAAACTACCATCAGTCAAGTAATAGTACCTGATCAATGTGCGACGTTGTATATAGCACAGCTCTTGCACACGATGGGCGCGCCTACATCATTCAGACAAAGGACAACCCACGAGTGACTTTTTCCAAGACCCTTTTTATTCCTATCAGCTACTTGTGACGAAAGCGGCCTCGCCGTTCGACTTTTTATCCAGCTCAGTCCGGGAAAGAGTGGGCGAGCGTGTCCTGCTCAACCCAGCTTTGCCCGTCTCCCGGCCTCAAAGTCGAGAGGTGCCACACAGCAGGCGCGAGACACATACAATCATCATATCAAGGGCGGAAAATCGGATTTGGTGACGATTCATGTGACTGCGAGAGTTGGGGTGGTATTCTGGACCGTTTATAATGTCGTCGATGTGATTGGACAAAACATGCACGGAGGTCGTTTTTCGGAATCGCGTGATAGGCTCGGTGGAACTTGTGTGTGGAATTGAACGCATTCGACGGGTTCTTAAGATATCGTGTTATGTGATTATAAGCATGGAGGGTATTGGATGGTTGTTTGCGTCGCGCTCGTAGCCACTGTTGGGGGTATGGCTGTCGCCCAGAAGCGACAGATGCACGCCCAGCGCGCGAGCAATATGTCGATGTAGCACATTCTCATTGCAGAAGTTAGCTGAGAGGCAAAATTTAGATACGGCTATGGATGAACAAGCCCGTCATGAATAGCGCGGTCGTGTGCGTTTTTGCACTGTGTACAGTTGCTTTTGGCGTCAAGGCGCGCCGCACCGACAAAGCAACAACAAGACCTCACCACCAACCCTATCGTGCATGTTGCAAGAAGGCAAAGCGATACATAGACGAGCGATCAGGATAAGGCAGACTAATAGAAAGATATCAATTATTACTATGACCATACTATCTATCTAGTCTAGCTACCTGTCCTGCCCATTCACTATCCAAACTACCAAAGACTATACTAAATACTTACACACACATACACGGACTTAGATGCTGGCCCCAACCCCGCCAGGCATGGTGGTATACTCCAAACGTCTGCTGTCTCCCTCAAGCCGAAGCTCGACAATAGGATAGCCGCCCCTCCCACGCGGTCTATGGTGACAAGCTCCAAACGTCGGTAGTACCTCCCTCCGTGTATGTACAAGTAGATGGTAGGATAAGTGGCAAACTGGAAGAAACAAGATGGTGAGGAGAAAGAGAGAAAGAGAAGCGGAGGGAGGGGGGAAGGGGGGGTTTATATAGTAGCGGTTGGGGCCTGTGCGCAGGCAGAAGCGTCTCGAAGGTGAGTCAAATGAGGACCTCTGGTTGGCTGGAGAAGAGTCACATGATATCACGTGTTGGAGAGTAAAAAAGGGCATCGCTGCGTGCTGATTGGCCGATTCTCCTGGGTGAGAGGCCAATGGTACGCTGGGAGGCTGGCGGCGTTGGTGGAAATGTGCTGGTGCGGTTGAATGTGAAGTCACGCAAAATATCCGGCAGCTACAGCTTACACGCGATTAAAAGGGCTATGGATACAGTCCCCGTGAGAAGATGGCATTCGGTGTTGTTGAATAAGAAGTGCCATACATATGTGTGTCTTTTCGCTTTGCACGGGACACGGTTGACCAGCGGTGACTGCAACATCCTCCAGTTGCTTCGCCGCAAGTGCTCCTGAAAGTTATAGTATTAAGGAGAACAATTTTTAGCGAGGACACTCAGCTTAGTAGAAGTACGAGTGAGACCATCCATGAACGCTTTTTCTTGAAATCTAGATCTCTCTACGTCCCACCCGTGAACTGTCACCAAACTTCATCCGCCAGATACAAACAGGCGAGCATCATAGATTGACACATTATGCCACTAATATGGCTAAGTAAATGAATTTCTTCGTGTGATAGTTCATGCCCGAACGACATCTGGCGTCGCCTTTTTTGTCACACATGCTCAGTTCCCATACGATAGTATATCGTCTATCGCAAGACAACGCTCAGGCTCACTACCTTGAGATGATATCCAGAAAAGAGCAGTTGGATATATGTAATCATCATTCAGCATTTTCTACATAAAACAGTGGGTAGGCACGTCTATTGTGGCGCCTGTCCTGCATTGTTCTTTTCATACTTGGACTTGTGTACACAAGCACGCATCAATTATAAAAACAACGGCTGCTCATCTGCGCTGTAGAAGAGTCTTCCGCCCCTACTTTTTCCAACATTCTTGTTCAATGATGTATTTGGCATCTAAGCAATACACATGTAGTCAAGACCTGATCACACACTTAGCGCCAACTCGTAAACGACCCCACACGCACTATCCACACTCTCCAGCTACAGAGTCCTCCCGTCCCTACGTTAGCATTCCTTCAAACAACCGTCACTAGTCCACACAATGCGCCCTCTCCCATTGATACGACAAGAGCAAACGATGTCAGACATGTCCATTTCCAGCGATTGTCCTTTCACACAAACACATGAGTACTTATGCTACACCAATAAACGCACCTCGGCACGACCCGGATCTTCTAGTTGCAACGTTGACCCGCTTTGAGTATTACCAAATGAGCATGTTACATCATTGCAAGCTGACAGGGCGTGTACGCTTGCGGTGGCATGCATGTCAATTGATATCATTCCTATAGCGTTATCTCCCGAATATAACCCTGTGCAAGCGGCACCTGGGATTCACAGAACATGACGTTTCGTGACGAGACAAATCGCACCGCATCGCATCGTCGGAACAGCGCCTACAAGCTCGAGGAAAGAGATTCAAGGAAGAAGGACACGGGACCAGGAAATAAGATAGCCCGATGGCTAAATAAAGACATCCCACGTGCATCTTGCAGATAACGAAGGCGCGCGTGTCTAGACGGAAGCAGCAACTGGCTAGCTCAGTTGACTACCTGCGTCGGGCCATTCAACGGGTCCGGAACCAGACAGCAAAGTACGACGGAGAAGCAGCTGAACACCAGCAACGCATCGATTGATAAGAAGGCGAAAGAACACACGATTGCAAGTTTGAAGTCGTTTCAGCGGCTTATAGTCACTCAACAGTCACAATCATGTCCCCTTCGCCAGCGACCGCGACAGCAGGACAGCGCGAGAATGGTGGGAAAAACAGGTTTGCGCATCTGCCTTTGTCGACATCGGGAGCTCAGGAAACTACGTTGACGGTAGGTTCATACCATCGCTACTTGTCTCTCGTATATGCCTGTGACAGCTCGAGTTGCGCGGGAACCTTGAACACAAAGCATCTGCTTACGCCGATGAAATGCATCTAGGGCAACGCACTCCTCCGCACGCCTTACTTCAACAAAGGCTCGGCCTTCACAAAAGCAGAACGCGACACTTTTGAGCTGCACGGTCTGCTTCCAGCCAATGTACAGACACTTGAAGAGCAGGTCAAGCGCGCGTATGCGCAGTACTCCTCGCGCTCTGACGACCTGGCCAAAAACACATTCATGACGAGCATGAAGGAGCAGAACGATGTGCTGTATTACCGACTTATTCTCGACCACTTGAAGGAAATGTTCTCCATCATCTACACGCCGACCGAAGGTGACGCTATTGCGAATTACTCGCGGCTGTTCCGAAGGCCAGAGGGATGCTATCTCAACATCGAAGACGCAGATCGCGTTGAACACGATATCGGTCAATTTGGAGGCCCGGACAACGTCGATGTGATTGTTGTCAGTGATGGGGAGCAGATCTTGGGTATTGGCGATCAAGGTGTCGGTGCTATCCTCATTAGCGTGGCGAAGCTTGTCATCTATACGTTGTGTGCGGGTATTCATCCTTCGAGAACGCTTCCAGTGGTGCTTGACTGTGGAACGGATGTGAGTATACATGCTTTGATCGTGCTGCGTGTGACTTCGTTTTCGCTAACGAGGATGTGTGCGACAGAACGAGGGTCTGCTCAACGACGAGCTCTATCTCGGTCTACGCCAAAAGCGCGCAAGAGGAGAGAAGTACGACAACTTCGTGGACACATTTATCCAGGCGTGTAGGAAGCGATACCCCAGGGCCTATATCCATTTCGAGGATTTTGGACTCAATAATGCACGCCGGATCCTCGATAGGTATACGCCAGATATAGCGTGTTTCAACGATGATGTTCAGGGGACTGGGGCTGTCACGCTTGCTGCTATCATGACGGCGTTTCAAGTATCGGGCGTGAAATGGGCTGATGCGCGCTTCGTCATGTTCGGAAGTGGAACTGCTGGCACTGGGATAGCGGACCAGATCAAGGACGCGATAGTGCAGGAAACTGGAAAGTCTGCGGAGGAAGCGGGTGCACAGATTTGGTATGTCTCTCCGAATCAAAGCCTTTCTTTCTTTCTAGGATGTTTGTGGGCATTTACTGATGTATTCATGTGTCTTAGGTGTGTGGATAAACCTGGGCTATTGTTGAAATCTAAGAAAGACCAACTTACTCCAGCACAAATTGCTTATGCACGAGAGGACGGAGAATGGAAAAGCAAACCGCATGACGACCTACTATCAGTAGTCAAAGAAGTCAAGCCGCATGTCTTGATCGGTACATCTACTGTTGCTGGCTCGTTCACGGAGGAGATTGTGAGAGAAATGGCCAAGCATGTTGAGCGGCCAGTTATTTTCCCCCTGTCTAACCCGGTACGTACCACCGATCCCGCGAACTTGATAATCTTTCGACAAAAATCGTTGGACTGACGCTGTGCTTGTGACTTTAGACACGCTTGCACGAAGCAAAGCCTCAGGATCTATTTGACTGGACAGACGGAAAGGTCCTCGTGGCTACTGGCTCGCCATTCCCACCAGTCAAGTATGGAGGCAGCGAGTTTGAGATTTGTAAGTCAATAACATGATTGAATATAAGGTGGACTAACAATGACGAAGCCGAATGCAACAACTCGACGACATTCCCTGGGATCGGCCTCGGAGCTGTACTATCCCGCACAAAGCTACTACCGCCATCTCTCATCGTCGCCGCTGTCCGCGCATTGGCTGCTGCTGCGCCGATTCTCAACGGGAAGGGATCTGGGCTGTTACCAGACGTGACAGATGTCCGCGAGATCAGTGTCAAGATTGCTAGCAACGTCATCCAACAAGCGATCAAAGAGAAGCTCGCACAGGAGAAAGGAATACCGGAAGAGGAAGACGAGCTGGAAGAGTGGATTAGGGAGCAGATGTGGAATGCAGAATACAGGCCATTGAAGTTGATTCGAGAGAATGAGGCTTCGAGGTTCGCGAAGGGAGAGGCTGGACCGGGGAGCCATGGCCGAGGTGGGAAGGATGCTTGAGCAAGACTGATATGCTGTGATGGCTGCAAGGCAGTGAGGGTATTCTCAGATGTGGTCTGTGTAGGCTTACGAGAGCTATGATTTGTTTTGCACTCCAATATATCATGGTAGCGTTGCTTTTGTGGAAGAAGAAGGCGTGAGTACCTATGTAGCTGGTACTCGTCGAAGACTATGGAACTTGAATCACCCAACAATATCTAGAGATTGATCAATAGTATCTGATACGCAATATATGTACTTAAGATGTGGAAAGACGGTGCATTTGCCAAGTTGGAAGCCGGGTAAGGCCGACGGGACGAGGCGTGGGGGATCTGGAGCTAACACCAGAGAGGGGTTAGTGCGGGGAGGGCAGAGTGAGGGTGTCCTGGCCGCACTCGAGAATTGGATTGGAGGGCGGCAAAGCTTATGGAGATTGATACACGTACGTCGCACGCCTGCATATACGCACTGTACATCGGCATCATCATCATCATCATCATCATCATCACCACCATGGACCGGTAGCTGAGCGATCCTGCTGCAAACTACCACCTTGCACGGACAACCACACTCCTGCTTCCTTCCCTCCTTCTCTTCCTGGACTCTCTCCCTCCATCTATCCACCTGCTCCTACATACCGTGCCGCTCACTAACCCATCCTTCCACAACTCACCACTGAGATGGATCCCTTGGTCGCCACGGCCATTGAAGCCCCTGATAGTCACCCTCCGACACCGCCTCCTGCCGCCTCTCCACCAGACCAGCCTGGCCAGCTGTGGGCCATTAGCGACATCCATCTCAGCTACAAGACCAACCGCGAGGCTTGGGAGAAGTTGCTGCCCAAACAGAATGACGGCCTGATCCTGTGCGGCGACATGGGCGAGTCAACCGAGCATCTTCGGGCAGCCTTCACCACGGCCACCGCTTGCTTCCGCCAGGTTTTTTGGTGCCCAGGCAACCATGAGCTGTACACGATGCCCTCGCAGAAAGAGCAGGGTGCGCGCGGTGAAGACAAGTATCAAGAGTGCGTCCGAGTGGCCCGCGAGTTTGGCGTCTTGACGCCCGAGGATGATTACGTTTTGTGGGAAGGCGAGGGCGGCCCGTGCCTCATCGCGCCCATCTTCGTCTTGTATGATTATAGTTTTCGCCCTTCCCATGTCCGCCTGGAAGACGCTCTCGACTGGGCTCGCGAGGAGAATATCGAGGCAACCGATGAGCACCTCTTGCATCCCGATCCCCATGAGTCGCGCATCGCTTGGTGTCATGCGCGCCTCCGTCACACTCACGACAAGTTGGCAGCCGCCAACGCCGCCTACCCCGACACGAAGCTCGTCATTTTCGGCCATTGGCCCTTGCGCGAGGATCTCGTCAAGCTTCCTTTAGTTCCCCGATTTAGCCTGTGGTGTGGTACCAAGGAGACCGAGGACTGGCACCAGAAATTCAACGCCAAAGTCGTCGTGAGCGGCCATCTCCACATCCGCCGTACAGATTGGCGCAACGGCACTCGTTTCGAGGAGGTCAGTCTCGGATATCCACGCCAATGGCAACACTGCCTGGACCATGGTCTAGACGTGAATGATTTGCTGCGAGAAATACTCCCAGGCCCTAGTGCCCCCATGTCCGAGGCAACTCAATGGCGTCGTTATGCCTGAGGCCATACCTCTCTGATAATTGATTGATCGTCGTCTAGTCAGGAACCACGTTGGGGCCGCTTATTACTGTACTTTTTCTATTTGATATACGAGTCAGGCCATTCTCAATAGGTCGACGCTTCGTCCAACTCAATCCCGCGTCAGCCTGAGCTTTGGGTGATACGGGCCGTTTCTCTACCATTCACCTCGATCCGTTTACCAAAATGTGCATGCCCCTAGCCTCCTTGGGCTTCTTTTTAGTAGAGCAGTCGAGGGTCTGCCAACCCTCAAACAGGAGAGGTGGGCCCATCCGGTCCTCTCCCTTGTCTCCCGCCAATCGACCGTTTCTACTGTGGCTGTGTAATTGGCCGAATCCACCTCAACCCTGTCTAACTTACGTTCTTAAGAATTCCTGCAGGATTTTCACAGTCTTGCTTGCCGTGGATCAAAATGAAATATAACTTGCGGTCCGATTGCGCGCCGTTGTCGTCAGTCGTGTGCGCATTGTTATTGTTGCCATAATCTTGATACAACGCTGCCCGGCCCACGTATCTTCTCTCAGAGAAGCCTCAATCCGACCTTGCCCCAAAAACCCCACTGCACTTGTGATTGACGTTATCACCCTTCCACCATGCCGACAATCAAAGCTTTCGTATGGGCCAATATTCCCGAGTCCGCTCAAGAATGGCACGCCCAAAGGGTCAGCGAAGCTGCCGCGGCCGTTTCTGGGAAAGTGCATATGTGCGAAAAGTTTGAAAGTGGCGTTGAGGATATTGTCATGATGCCCCAGGAACAATACTTGTCGGTTTACAGTTTCCCGGGCACAATGGATGTCGAGCATCTCCAATCGAAATTTGTTTTGAGCGAAGATGATACGCCCGAAGGCGTGCGGTTCAATAGTCGCTTCGCCAGAGAAATTCGACGTATTGAATCCGAAGATTATGCCGAAAGTGAGCAATTATTTCATCCCGCGACATTCTCGTCTTTTGAGTGAGAATGGGAAAGGAAGATAGCTGATCGCATCCCTAGAGAAATCCAAAATCCAGGACTATATGGTGACAATCTTCAGGCCTCGCAATGGCACGCAAGAGCAAGTTCTTGAGTATATGTACGACGAATTCTACCCAGCCATCATGGCTGATCCGATGACGGCCAGCATTCAAGTCTACCAAGCGACAAGCGCAGTCCTGTTTGCAGACGGCGCCTACCAGACGCCAGACTTCGATCCCGAGTGCGATTTCATCAGCGTGTTCGAGATGATATCGCATGATCTTCCCTTCGAAGCCATGGTGATTGTTGGACAGTCTGAAAAGTTCAGGACGGTGTTTGATGAAGGCACAGTATGTTTCCCGTGGTCAACAGAGCGTCAAACTTGACAGGTGCTGACAATTTCCTTAGGATTGGGGTGGCGCACAGTATGAGCTTCGAAGAACCTTTCCGGAGGGACTTCCAATGGGTATCGAGTCAGAAGAGACTTCGGAGGAAGAGTTCAAGTCGAAAGTCAACGGTGCGGCGCACTCAACGCAAGATACATCCATTCTCCCGTAGCCCCTGTCCGCCGAACACGATAAACCCAGATCCATGAAACCGATATCCCCCGACCTGTATTTCTATTTCTATCTGTTCATGCCATATTCATGTAATACAAGACCATCTTCCAGCAGTTTTTCCACCTTCCCAATTGATGCGGCTCATGCTTCGGCAAAACAGCGAATCTATGTTGTTGATGCCAGCACGCCCCTGGTTCCCACCCCACGCTACCCCTCGATGCATGAATTACTAGACATGGAATGCCTGGACACTGACACCAACCCCAGGGCACTGTCAGGGTAAAATGCTTCGTAGGGACTTATCCCGAACCACATGACGTTCACGGCGATCTGTTTCCTCGAGCTACCACCTCCGACTTGTCTCTAAACGGATGGTGACAAGAGCGCATTATGCTGCCGCCGGCAGGTCACTAGACCAATTACTGCGACGGCGCAATGCCATGTGCAGCGCTGAACGGCGCGCGACATCGCCATGTTGGTTTCTACACTATCAATTCGGCGTTTTCTTCATTTAATGTATGCGACTGCAGGGGAACTGCAGAGTATTGGGACGAGCAGGTGGTGATAGTTGTGCGCTCTAATTTTACAAGGTTCATGGGGGGTCCGATGATCAACATCACAACGAATCGATGATTCCATTTGTTTAAAGCAGGACGGCTCGCCGCATTAGAAGAGGTGAAGAGACAGGCGCGACTTCACCTCGTTCGTTCTACCAGTCCTTCGCTCCACATCTCCCTCGCCTCAATCGCTGCATTCATTGTGACAGAACGAGAGATATACGGAACTATGACGACTCTTGTCAAGACCCTCGTTTACGGACTCCTCGTCACGGCCGCTCCCGTCGCCGCCCTACCCTTCGGTCTCAGTTTCTCGCGTCGCGCAGTCATCGCGCACGATGCCGTCGTCGGTTTCCCCGAAACCGTCCCCTCGGGCGTTGTGGGCAGCTTGATGCTCAAGTATAAGCCCTGGCTCGAGGTCATGAACGGCTGTGTCCCGTTCCCTGCTGTCGACGCATCTGGTAATACTGGGTACGTGCTACATTCTGTCTCTATCCTCCATCTACTATCCTCCCTGCGGGGGAAGTAAACAAAAAACATACACCACACATACTTCGAGAGACTAACAAGCCACCCAATAGCGGCGGCCTCAGCCCCTCGGGCGACCCAAGTGGCCAATGCGGCTCCTCGACCGGCCAAGTTTACGCGCGCGCCGGAACCTACAACAACGCCTTCGCAATAATGTACTCTTGGTACATGCCCAAAGATTCTCCCTCGTCGGGCCTCGGCCACCGCCACGACTGGGAAAACATCGTCGTCTGGCTCTCCTCGCAAGACGCCTCCGCCACCCTCCGCGGCGTCGCCATCTCCGCTCACGGCGACTACCAAAAGGAAACTTCGCCTCCGCTCGACGGAACTAGACCCAAGATCGGCTATGTGAGCTACTGGCCCGTCAATCATCAGTTGATTCCTACGGGGACCAAGGGTGGGCAGCAACCGTTGATCGCTTGGGACAGTATGACGGCGGCCGCGAGGTCGGCGATTGAGAGCACGGATTTTGGGAGTGCGACGCCAAGTTTTAGGGATAGCAATTTTCAGAATTATTTGGCTGAGGCGTTTATTTGAGGAAGGTAACGGTTGGGATTGTAGTGGAGTGGGTGGCCACAGTGGAGACGGTTGAGGGAGAGGCGGTGTTGGGGAGTTAATGTTTGTTCGTGTTGCAGATCGATCGTGTCTGGGGAAATCGATATATTATTGTATATATGCTATATCAACTGGGCCATGTTGGAGAAACGCTAAGTGGATGTTGCAAATCTTTCAATCTATTGTCTCTTTCATCAATGTTTTGAGCGTTGACAGATCTTTCGTAATGAGATTGGTGATTTCCACCATGCTTGCGCATCAAGCGTTTTTATTTCCCTCTTTTATCAATTTGCTTACTCACGACATGTTGACCAACGAATGGGAAGTTTAGCAGCTCTATCTACTCTCACCTATGATGAACTCAGGTCGTGTTGATCTAATAGTAATATAGCACAACACAGAACGCGAAGAAAAAGACACGGCGAGAAGCCTAGGGACTCATGTCATCTCCTCGCAATATGAGACCTCAGTCTGTGCGATGGTTTCTCGTACATTTTCAGCAAGGAGAAATGAGAAGAGAGAGAGAGAGAGAGAGAGAGAGAGAAACGCAACAAAGGGGGAAACCGTTTTCTCCCTCTCTTGTGTGCAAAGTTCTTCTTATCTGATATCTGCATCAACGATCGGACGTTAGTCGGTGGAATTCGAAGGTAAGAAAAAAAGAACCGCCGAAACCTTCAAATGTCGTTTGGCGATGAACTTGTACTGCGATCAATGCGCCGTCGTTGGCTATTAGAATACCGTTCGATTTGCTGGGTGGCTTGTATATCGAGTCGCGGGCTGAGGTGTCGAGGAAGTGAGTTGCTTGAATTTGGTACGCGCCTTGATGAATCTAGTGATTTCTGTCTTGCTGTTGGAGGAGCGGGGTTTAAATAGAGTATTTGCACCGCACCCCTTTAAGGCGGGTTGCAAACAAATGAAAATGTAATGAAAATCGTTGATTTAACATCAACGTACAAAAGATGCGGGCTACCTTGGATGATGAACAGAAGGGGACAAGAATGCCCTAGAAAAAAAATTAAGTCTCGCCTTATTGCGATCCACGGTAAGCCATCTCAACAACACCATATTGACGGCATGACTTTCTGACTGCTGCCTGCTCGCAGGCAGTATAAAAGGGAGGTAAGTGATCGATCCTGCTAAACCTCTACTCACTACACTCTATCCACAGAAAGCCATGAATCCATCAAATCCAACAGGCATCATCATCAGTCTTCGTAGGTCGGGGGGAGGATCTCTAAGGTAGCTGACAATGATCACTGTTGGATTTGATGGATTTGATGGATTTATGGCTTTCTTTAGATAGAGTGTAGTGAGCAGAGTTTTGGAGGAGTGGAGTGGATCGAGTTACGACTGACGATGAAGGGGTGCTCGATCCTGCAATGACTCGTATCGGCTGTCTGTCGGCAATTGGAGATTTAGTAAAAAGTGATTTCTTCCCGTGCTTTCGGTATGCGGGATCCAGACTGACGATGGGATGATAGGAGAGGTGGAGCAACCACTTCCAATACTCGCGCCAGCACTTCTTTCGTCGGAGGTGGATGACCGGGTTAGGCAGAACCGGGCTCAAGAGTAGATGCGCTAGAACACCAAATGATATTTTTTTTCCTTCTCCAAACAGAGTCTTCCCATTCTTGCCGACATTCGGATACAAAAGAGATAGCATGATATTTGTTTTCGATGGTCCACACGCCGAGACTAATGCTGATTCGTGGATGTTGCTAGCACATTGAATTTCGCATAATGACATTTATCGAAATCTCCACGTTGCGTCCCTGTCATTGTTTCGTTGCCCGCCGCTAATCTTCATCTCGAAAAATGGCCAAGACTCGAGATACGACGATTTGTGCTGCTGTTTGTTCTATCTGGAACAAGCAAGCTACTTCGTTCTCGCCATCTCCACAAAAGCAACGTTGAAACGTGCTAATCCTACTACAGTGCAACGTCTGCCGTGCTGCGCTTACTCTGTGCTTACTCTGTGCTTAAGCGACATTGGTTGGCTCCCCTTGCGTGAACGGTTGTGACGGATTTCGAAGATTATCATTAATCAATCGATGCATGCTTCGGAAATATTCTTCGTGTTGGTGATGGATTATTTCCTCAAATCTACAGACGAGGATCGGGTCTTCGGGATAATTTTCTGGTGACGACAAGCGGGTTCCTGCATGACGGGGCGCTGGTTTGGAAACACGCTTCGATCCCCACTGCTACCCACCCTGGTACCGCCGTTTCGACCCACACATGTCATCTAATCCACACCCGTTATCAACATTGTTGTGTCCTGCCAAGACCACTGCCAATGTTTCTGTTTGATTGCCATTGGATCTCACTGTTTAGCTGACCCTTTGAACTATTGGCCGTGTTATGCTGTGTCCAACACTGGGCGGCGTCAGAGCAGAGCTGGATGCGGCGAGCCTCATCTCTCTCCACCTTTCGTGTGGGGTCGGAATTAAAGGGTCATCATGTTTTGGGCGTTTCCCAGCAAGCTGGAGCGGAGAATCTTCTGCGAGAAGAAGCATTGAAGACGGGACGACCTTGGTTGGATGCGTAGGAACACAGTATAAAGGGAACCAACTGCTCGACTTTTTGCGAATCACCCAAGCAAGTGGTTCACAGTCTTTCATTTTCAAAACTACCTCACACTCTTTCTCTTCCTTTCATTCGTTGATCGATTTGGTTTTTTCAAAGTGTTCGTAACACCTCGACTTTTTATCACAACATCTACACACATTCTCGCTGGAATAGAGCAAGTAGCACATCAACCCCAACTTCCTAACCCATCATCAAAACCTCCAATTCAAACCAGCAAACATGAAGCTCACCAGCTCCGTCCTCGCCGCCGCGGCCCTCACCAACAGCGTCTCGGCCCACTACTTCTTCGACAAGCTCGTCGTCGATGGCGTCGAGACCAAGGCCGGACAATATGTCCGCGCCAACACCCGCAAAGAATCCTACATGCCCACCAAGTGGAAGAACCCCATCGACAACATCACTCCCGATGACACCGACTTCCGCTGCAACAAAGGCGCCTTCACCAACGCCGGCAAAACCCAAACCATGGAAGTAAAAGCTGGCTCCAAACTCGGCATGAAGCTCGGCGTAGGAGCAACCATGCAGCACCCAGGCCCCCAGCTCGTGTACATGTCCAAAGCCCCTACCACGGCGCAAGCGTACGAGGGTGACGGCGATTGGTTTAAGATCTTCGAGTCAGGCGTGTGCGACGAGAAGAAGGACTTCACCAAGCAAGCCTGGTGCTCGTGGGACAAAGACTCCATTGAGTTCACCATCCCCAAGGATACCCCCGATGGCGAGTACCTTGTTCGCTCCGAGCACATTGCTCTCCACGGCGCACACGACGGGCAAGCGGAGTTCTACTACGAGTGCGCTCAAGTCAAGGTTGTCGGTGGTGGAAACGGTACTCCCGGCCCCATGGTGAAGATCCCCGGTGTCTACCAGAAGAACGACCCCGAGGTCAACTTTTCCTTGTGGAGTGGGTACAAGCCATATACTATGCCTGGCCCCAGTGTCTGGTCTGGTGGCTCGACTGGCGGCGCTGCGGGCAATGCTACGGCTGAGGATGTTCCTTCTGCTACCGCGCCTGTGGCTGGAACTCCTTCTGCTTCTGCGGCGCCGGTTGCGAGTGCTGCTGCGCATACGGATAAGGACTGTGGAGGAAAGCTGGCGAGGACTCGTCGGGCTTTCAGGGAGATGTTTTTGCTCAACAAGGACTAAGTGTGTCCTTCAAATCCTTTTCTCAAGGATGGAAGCATCCCTATTTGGAAATTTCTTGGGGGAGATAGGCCTTTTGGTGGTTGATCCGCTTGGTGGTTTGATGTTGTTTACTTCCTTTCTTTCTTTTCAGTGGAGATACTTGCTTGTTTCTCCCTGCAACCAACTTTCATGTAAATATATATCATACGCGCAATTGCGCTTCTTAAGCAAACCAAAAGGCTGCGTATCAAATTCACACACACATTGCTCTCCTTTCCCTGCGGCTAAACATGGTCTGCGGATGTGGGAGAGCTGAAATAAACTTACGTTCTCATATATGGTGACTGTGATTTCGATTTGGCCCTTGAAATTTCCATGGTGTACACCGTGACAAATTCTGAGATGCACAATTCCAGTCGAGCTGCATGATTCAGGTATTCTCATCCCAGTAGGTAACGTATATGCGTAGTATTTGTTAGTAAGTACCTCTCGGATTATTATCGTTTAAGGTTATCAAAACTGCCCCGAACTATTGACGTTCTTCACCGCTGTGAATATAGTTTGTGCCAACAAACTCTATAGACAAGGCGGTACTGCAAAAGCCTCGCGAGATTGCGCATGAGCAATCACGTTCATGGGAATCATCACGATTGTTCTGATGCTTTAATTTCACCACTGACAACCTCTAGACAGCTGCCTTTGTCGCGGATCGGCGACAGCCGGAATAATTTCCCACTTGGAACTAGTCTTCCCAACTCCAAAGCTCATCTAGGAAAGCAGTCGCGTGAGAAAATATTTTGCTCAATCTGGAATACCAGGATGCCGGTGTTGGCAAAGTGTATTTCGAGGTTGCCTGACTGCCTTGTCGTAGTGACCTCGCCAATCAGACTGTGTAATCAAAAGACGTTCCGGTTTTTGTAAAATGCTCTGGCGATATTTACAACTATCGTGATCCGTGGAGCTGCACGTGATTCCGGATGTACGGGTAGAACGAAAACGCAAATAGGATTGCATGTGGTGATGGTTGTGAGAGTCGCTACCTGAATGGTCAGATTAGGGGCATTTGAATGTGTCACAGCGTACAACAGACGAACTATGAACGTTTTTCGGTCTCCGAACCAGAGCACGCAGTGGATGGTTTGAGTTTCTGCTCCACATGTTCCCCGTATTCATGGAGTCGTTAGCTTGCAAAATGAATTATATAGTTGAAGTCGCATCGTGTTAGACTCGACTCTGGTCGTATGAACTGTTGCTGGTAAAAGCACCATTGCCTTTTTACAAATCCATCCGATTCTTTTTTTCAAATGAAACAATGGCAGCTCCTCCATCACTTGCGCAATTGATAAGCACTCTACCCGATCATGTTGCCTACAACCCAGAACGAGCGCGCATTGCTGCGGCCAGTGCTAAAATTAGCCAGAGAGCCGCAGAGGTACGTTGGAAAATCCCCGATATGTGGCTTGCCATACAAATCTAATAACATCAGATTCTTGCAGGATGCTGTGCCGCTGTAGCTCTACTGGCTGTATGCGGCCGCGTTCTATTCCAGCTGAAGAAGCGCGGCAAGTTGTTCGCTGATGACTTCCTCGTCATCTTCGCGACTTGCTGTCTCGCAACTTCTACCGGACTCTTTTACAAGTTGTCGCCTAGTCTGTTCATGACAGATGCCTTGAGAGCAAATAGGGAGAATCTCGCCATGTACAGCAGCAAAGAAGCCACGGCGATGCTTGCGATGCACGAGTACATTGAAGCTTTCATCACGTTTGCCTGGACTGCCAATTACGCAGTCAAACTAAGCTTTCTGGTCTTCTTCAGACAACTGGTTCGGGATGTGAGCGGACGCCTGACTATCATGTGGTGGTTCGTGCTAGCATTCACGATTGTGTCATGGATTTTCAGCATCCTCAACAAATACATAGCATGCAGTAAGACTCCAACTGATGTTATCACTGCACTGCACTCAGCTGACTACTTCCAGGTGTCTCTGGGACTAGATGTTCCGCTTATCCCAAAATGACTAACGTCTTGATGCCGACCGGCTGGACCTGTTTCGCTCTCGACGTTGCCTCAGATGTAGGAATCGTCCTCATTCCCATCCTGCTCCTCCGCAATTCCTTTCTCCGCCTCAGTCAGAAATTACGAATTCTGGCGTTCCTGTGTCTCAACGTATTCTGTATCGCCCTTGCTCTTAGCCGAATCGTTGCATCTGCTTATCACGCTGACGGTCAGATTGTGTTCCGCATCGTGCATACGCATTTTCTGCTTCATATTCAAGCATGTGTAGCTGTGCTCATGGGTGGGGTAACAGCGTTTCGAACTATTTTTGCATCTCACTTTCGCGAACGCGAAAACCAACGGTCAGCATTCCATAACCGGATGCGATCGTGGTTTAAGAGACCAGAGTCTAGTCCGAATGAGGCGCTTGGAGAGAATGAGAAGCAAAGAAAAGGAAGATTCCTTCCTGTTTCGATCTCAAGAGGAACGATTCGCGGGCTGCGGACGTTTATTCGGCGCAATGGAAGGGAAAAGGGGCATACCACTTGCGAAAGCACCGAAAACGGTTCTCAGGATGGTTCCTTACAAAGCTATCATAATTACATGAAAGGAGAGATCCGCCGCATAGATCCTGAACCTGAGGTAAGTTTGAGCCCTATTTGTCTAAGAATGATGTATTGATTCGAATTGCAGTCCACTGGAAAAATTGTTATTTTGGAACAACCGCCTTCGCCAGCTCTTTATGGTCATGACTTTGCATGATGACGCGATCGACTGGACAGTTTACGATACGATGCCTCATGCCCCAACAACCTATTTTTTTGCTTCAGAGAATGCCTGCGAGCAGGATGCGCTCAGTAATTTTGCTAGTCACGTGCATTCACGAACTGCCACATGAGAAGTAACGTATTTCGTGAAGGCAATTGAGATCTATGGGCACTATCAAGACTGCATGATAATCGTTCAGGTCTTCTACATCATGTCGGACGACGTGAATCGCGCGCCGCATGCAATATCTAATATTGAAACACTGTTATGAGGTCCTGTACCATCTGAACTGTGAAAGAATGCTATACAGGGCCAAAAAAATGAAAGACCTTCAATAGCTACCTACACTTCCGCCCATGCTTCAAACCGTTGCAATACACGCAAAAAAAGTATGCTGATGAGAGTGGGATTCGAACCCACGCCATTTTCATGACCAGGAAGTGTGGTTCAGAACCTGAACCTGGCGCCTTGGACCGCTCGGCCATCTCACCTTTCAGCTGAAGTCGCTTTGGAAGAGACCTCTTGTACTTGTGATGAAAGTTGGCCGCACAATTTCTATTATATAGACTGTAAACAGTGGGACAGCTCAGAGATATCAGCGTAACGGTGGGGCGGTTCAGATCTGAAAGTGAAAGACCACTACAATAGTGGGGCAGCGAATCATGCCTCCAGCCAGAGAGACCGGTAGCATGTAGCGAATCGGGCTCTTAGGGACGTGCTCCCAAAGCAACATCACGACCCATATCTGGTTTTTCAATCGCTGAGATTTATTTTATTCGTCCCGTAAACGGATGTCAACGCTATCGTAGAATCTCCCGAAGAACATTTGAAGAAGAGCTACACTGTTGGGTACTAACTAAGAGGGGTAGGGCGTCAAGTTCGAAAAGCTGACACCCCACTAACAGCTCCATCACCACGGCATCAAGGATCACCAAAATCAAAGATCTTATATAACCCGGCGTATGAAAATATCCTCCGACTTCGGGACGAGATCATATAGTGATGTTGTTGAAATATAGATCACTTCTCGGTACACAATGGTCCTGAAGCAACGCCCTACCACTCGTTGGCATCCGACAACACTCCTCCTAACTTAAGCCTTCTCAATCGACAACGAAGCAATGCAATCGATTATACCTGTGGATAAGCTTTTTCCCTTACCCTGATGATGGCGGAGCTTTCCGGGCTTTCCATGATGTGTGGCGAACATCGACTAGGAGTTAAGCGAGCAGTATTACTCCACTTCATCATCCAATCGAGTGATGGGTGATCAATTGGTATAGTTCTTACTAGTCTGCCTATACTCACTCTCTTTCTGCGCATGACTGCAGTTAATCTCTTTCGCGGTGTTAGGTGAAGCTTTGCCCACTTAGCTCACGTGGATGGAATCGCGCACATCGAGTAGAATCATACCCAAAACTGAAGAATTTGCCATCACCTTGGCCCTCAGGCTTTGTCGCTGACGTTGCACCTATCATATCTGGAGTGCGTATTCTTGAACTCATGCATGAATGGCCAACCTCGCTGCTTATTGATATGGTGGATAATCGGTAGAGAAGCTACAACAAAGGTTCAGTATCAGCCTGCGCAACATGTGAACTTCCGTCCCACAAAGATTGGGCTTACAAAGTCAGATGGCAATAGCATGAATAGATACATGCAGTAGTGAATATACAACACTAGACAAAAGCCTGATCTCCGCGATTACTATCAATCGGAGAATCTATGCTTATATCGCTCAGCACATCAAGCATGATGATCTCCAACTTTACGCATGTGCCGATAGATATCGGAGATATCTCTGTTTCGACAACTACTCGAAGTTCTCCGATCATTCGTACAAATCTCGCATACGGGGTGATCATACCGAGCGTGAAATGATGCGGTTGGACCCTGGAGCTGTAACATCCTCGTCGCTTTAATCAACATATATTACCACATCGCCATCTGAGTAGCTCGGCACGGCAGTGAAGCTCACACACTACCGTACCATACCCTGAACCCTCAACCCCCCAAAACGATATCAATGTGTCGAAGTAAAACTATCCAGATGCCGAATCCCTCTCCATCACCCAAAAAAAAACATCCTCTCTGGAGAACTTTCACCATGTCGATCCTAACTCTCACCCTCGCCCTCCTCGCAGCATCCCCGCACACGACAGCACAATCCCTCCAAGGCCTCAACCACCTCCGCTTTGGATGTTCCCAAATCACCGTTGAGCGCCTCGATCCGCTCGTCAATCCAGGAATGCTAGGGACGCCGCACGTGCACCAAGTCGTCGGAGGCAACGCATTCAACGCGTCTATTGAAAGCACCGATGTTTCAAATCTCGCTTCGTGCACGACGTGTGGACCTGCGGATGACTTGAGCAATTACTGGACTGCGAATGTGTATTTTAAAGCGCGGAATGGGACGTTCAAGAGGGTACCGCAGGTGCCGAATCGGTGAGCGCTTGTTCATGCTAGAGGATAGAAGTGTGACGAAGATGCTAATAGTATTTTTGTGGCTTAGATATCTTTTCAACGATAGGTTTACGACGCAGACGTCGGGAGGTGTCACCGTGTACTACATCGCGACGAAGAAGAAGACGGTGACTGCTTTCAAGCCTGTAAGTATACCCATGGAAGCACTCAGACGTACCTCTCCTCTCTTCCATATTCGTCTCATCCCCAGAAGACGTAGCTCATCTGTGCGCAGGGCTTCCGCATGCTCGTAGGCGACCCCATGAACCGGCAGCCAAGATATAAAATGCAAAACTGCTTCCGCTGCTACTCGGGGCCAAACTTTGGAGGCGACGACCGGGCGCCTTGCTCGGATCCTAAAGTCGACTCCGAGGGGCTCCCCACGAAACCGTGCCCGGGGGGTATTCGGTCGAATATCTTGTATCCCACGTGAGTCTTCGCCAGCTTCCAAAACATGAGAATCCGAGAGATCAATTTTGATGCTGAATAATATCTAATTATTGCCTGTAGCTGTTGGGATGGTGTTAACCTTGACTCCCCCAACCATAAAGATCACGTCGCGTACCCAACGACCGGACCTGCTGATTTCCTGACGACAGGGAATTGCCCATCTACACACCCAGTCAAGATCCCTCAACTCATGCTCGAGGTATACCCCCCTCTCTACAAATAATTTCTTACCTCCGAGTAAAACTGACAGTTGGCTGCAGGTTGTTTGGGACACAACCTCCTTCAACAACAAAGCCGACTGGCCAGCCGACGGCTCACAGCCCTTCCATCTCTCAACAGGCGATAACACTGGATACGGCCAACACGGTGACTACGGTAAGTTTTACTTCTTTTTTTTTTTTTAGTTTACTATCACTGACTGTGATGGTAGTCTTTGGCTGGAAAGGCGATGCATTGCAGCGCGCTATGGATGACAACGGCTGTTTCAGTGCAACGTGTGGAAAGCAGAAGAGTCAGGATATCTCGGAAGCCAAGAAGTGTACGATCAAGACAACCATAAAGGAGGATGTTGAGGGTTGGTTGGAGAAATTGCCCGGGAGTCCTATGAGTTAGGGAGAAGTCGGGGTTTGGGTGTGAACATAGTCTATGGATGTGTTAAATATGGCTATGTCGAGTTGTTTAACAGTATATGAATGCACAAACGCGACAGTATTGGAAATTGCATGCTCGAAGTAATGAAAGACAACATCGAACTCAATAGACAGAAGGTGAAAGAGGTTGAAGAAATTGCATGAAAGTCCCTACCTAGTTTCAGCCTAGCTTCATTCATGTCCAGTCCTAGTGCCATCAGAACTTCGCCGGCTACCACCTGATGTCATGAAAAGCTTCGCCATGGAGATTGACGCCCCCAAGACTATTTCTAGACTTTTTGGTCCGCTGGGAAGCTCTCTTCCACTGTGCTATCCTTCACTTTCAGCCTGTGAATTAGATGTTGGTTCCCTTCAACAGCTGTCCCGGTCGCCACATCCGCGAGTAGATTGCCGGCATCATCATGCGTGCGATCCCATTCAGCAAGTTCAGCATTCGGAACCTTTCTGAGACGATGCGTCACACTTCCATCCTGGTCCAAGACCAATGTCTCCGTTCTGATAGTCTGACCTTTCAATTTGGGCAATAACTTGATCCAGAAGTAGTAATACGCAGCCATGCCGACCATGAGACCAATGCCGGTAGCGCAGTACGTTCCATACCAAAACGAGACGTCGGCTTCGTCTGGAGGATACCACGGCATGATTAGTATCAACAAGCAGACCAGTGCTGAGAATATAAGCGCAGAGTGCCATGCCTGGAACTGTGCTGGCGGTAACCCTGCCTTCTTGCGTCTCCATCGGATCGCGTAGACACCGACGACCATCATGAATAAGAAGACTGAGTCAGGATAACTTCTGAGATCGACCAGAAAGTTGAACGCATCTCCGAATGGTAAAGCTAAGATAACAATGGTAGTCAACGCCCACTTGAGTAGGGTAGGTGCAAAAGGTGTTCCGAAAGGCTTTGTGGATGCCCACACGTGAGGCCATGGGACTAAACCCTGGCGAGCACATTCGCGAATTCTTCGCGTGGATCCAATGATGACAGCCATGATGTTTCCAGCAGCACTGACGGCAATCAGAGCTGGGAGACCCTTTGCTGCTTTCCCGCCAAACACTGCTTCGAAGAACAGAGCGGCTGTGAGTTCGCCCGACTCGCGAATTTCATTGGCCGGGATCGCAGCGAAATAGGCGACATTTGCGAGCACGTACAAGATGGAAACGATGAGTAAAGAGATTGGAGCTACGCGTTTCAGAGTTGGAAAGGGGTTCTGGTACTGGTCAGCTGCGTTCACATTCTGGGTACTGAAGGATGACTGACGTGAATCTCCGCAACGACATTGAAGGCATTATCGTACCCTGTATAAGCAAAGTTTATGCTGACAAGGGCATTTACAATGTCGTTTCCGTTGGTTGTAACCCCTTCGAAGCTGTTGCGGAAGTTCTGTCGTGGGTCTTTGACTCTTGTTCCACCACCCAGTACAGCGAAACCCGTAAAGACAATAAAAAGTAAAATAATCAGTTTCACTGCGGAGATAAGGTTCATTAATCTCATTGACCAGCGAGTGGATAGCAGACAGATGACAGCTAGGAACGCGTAGGACGCAACAGCGAGACCTTTATTCTCCCACTCGGTGGCAGTGTAGCCTGCGGCGCGATAAATGTAGCGCGCAAGAACGACAGAGTTGGATGCCGAGAACGAGAAGGCCACAGTGAAGAATGCGTATGCGGTAGGAAAAAGAAATGCTGGCCGTGGATAAGCTTGTTCCAGGTAGGTGACCTGCCCTCCGGAGCGATTTGGGAAGAGAGAACCATATTCCAGGAAAACCGCCAATCCCGCTGTTCATCATCAGCTATGAAGCCACCGCAGATATTCGAAGTTTTGTGACTTACCGGACGCGATGATGGCACCAAATACCCAATACAATAAGCTAAGGCCCACGGAATCCAGAGCCCTCATGATGTTTCCCGCTGTCAAGCGTCAGTATCGCACACGCTTCTTTCGTGTTGCGAGAAAACACTCACGAGTACTGAAGACACCGGTGCCGACCATCTGGCTGACGTTCAAGAACAAAACCCCAGCCCAGCCAACATGATAGCCCAAGGGACTGACAGTCTCTACAGGCGCACCGTTTGCATCCTGATAAATCCGAACACCATCGACAACGACCTGCTCTCCAATGCGGGAGTTATTTTCTTTGACAACACTGGCATCGACAAAATCCTTCGAATTGTTGGAAACGAACCAGTCCTTGATGTATGCCGCCATTGCAACTTGACCAGAAAACACAAAAGGTGTTTGCGCGCAACCAGGAGTCGAGCGCGGGGGGCATGGGGGAAAATAAGCTGCAAATCACATTGCATTGCGCAAGCCCGCCTTTCAATATATCTCCTGCAGTATAAATGCTGTGCTCAGACCGAAGAATGAGGAGGTGAACAGGGGTGGGTGTATGCTGCAAGACTGGGCGAAGATGGCATCATCGCAATCGGTTGTCTCGCCAGCGCTCCTTTGGGAAGGACGTTGGGAGTTTAGATTATGCTGTCGAAGAGTTTGGGTTGCACATTCGCAAATTGAAGGCAACCGATGATACGGGTGTCGCCTCATAGGTCAATGATAAGCAGCGCGGATAGCGAATGGCGCATTTGGACCTATCACCCTTAGCCGTTGTATCATTGTAAAAGACACAGGATCGAGGTCGCCAACGGTCATAACGTGATTTCACGCATGTTTCGCGTGTGCGGCTCACAAATCGCGTGTATGAACCCAGCGTAAGTTGTCAAAACATACTACTACACTGCTACCCTACATTATGCCTTCGCATGCAACAACTTTGTAGCCTATCTGCAAGTCAGGGTTGAAATGGTGCGCAGGTTTGATGTACAATTTATTTCTTTTTTACGGGAAGCCTACCAAGCCTTACCAAGCTCTATACCGGTGAACTAGAGACGACATCAACACCGTCGAATCCAACAGAAGCAATATTGCGTCCAGTGGGTCTCAGTGGAGCAGGAGTATAATCGCATCCATAGCCCAGCTTCCATACCCGACAACGACATCTCGCCAACTCCTCTAAAAACCACCGACGAGCCCGAAACTGCTAACCACTACGCCATCTATAACCAGTATTACATGATGTTCCGCATTCTATAGAAGCTGATCAATCCACGAATCATCAATGATGTCCACGAAGCAAGCATAGGGTGTCATTGAGACTAATATACGTATTGCTTGGTCGTAAGTAAATACAAAACACTCGAGCACGCCTCCGTACTCGACCACTTAGAGGAAGTAAAACGCGACGAACAAAACATATTTGCAAGAATCCACACTCGAAAATCTGGTATATATCGCATTGTAATAAACACCCGTAACTGACAGCGACCAGAGACGGCATCGTTGGCTTAAACTTGACGCTTCTAACACGCCCACAAGACCGCCTCTATTTACAACACTCCTTCTGATAGAAAATGAATGACTGGAAGTCGATATCGCTTAGGGGTGAGCGACCACGACCACCGTCGCGTTGGCAGCAGGGTCGGCTGAAGCTGCGGGTGCGGCAGGGGCGGTCTCAGCTGGCGGAGCGGCCTCAGCGGCGGGAGGGGCAGCTTCAGCGGCAGGAGGAGGTGGGGGAGCAGCAGCCGCATCCTCTGGTGGAGCGGGCACGAATCTGAATTGTGCCGTTAGAACAGTCTGGCGAGTGAAACATGCGACTGGTTGGGTGTATGAAGAAGACTTACGCAGCGGCATCAAGTGCTACTTTGCTTGCGGTTCCACCGATGACAGCGGTTCCATCGACGCTCTTTTCGGTAGCTTGGGCGTTTCGGACAAAGTCAACGACTTGGAGCGAGCTTGCACTGTTTGGACTGTTAGATCTTCGTTCTGTATACATGGTAGAGCTCGAGGCTCAACATACGGATTGATGACCATGACTTGTCCTTCTTGACAGTGGGGACCAGTGGCGCAGAAGATGAACATAGGCTCCGTGCTGGTAACAGGCATGCTGAACGTGCCTACGTCGGTCTGGCCGTCTTGGAATGGGATGTGGCCGCTGTGGACTCCGCCCTCGAGAGCGGTGCATGGAGCTTCAAGTGTGGACTGCGTTGCCGTGTGGTTACCGTTGGAGAACTACATCGCGAGCTCAGAGTCAGTATGATGTATGCAAACAGCTTTTGATCGGCTATCGGTACATCTCCCAGACGACGTACCTGGAACTGGATGATGTCTCCAACTGCTGCAGTCATGGTGTTGGGAACAAAGGTATCTTGAGGTCCACCGACAACGACGGTGAAAGCTTCTGCGCGAGCTTTGAGGTTGGCTAATTCGCAGATCAGCATGTGTATAGATGGACATGGTAAACTCTGACGTACCTTTGAGGCCTGAGGTACCCCACATGGGACTGGGGGCAGCGCTTGCCGTGGCAGCGAGAAGGAGTGATGTGACGACGAACTGCATCTTTTCCGATTTTACACAAATTGATTTCTTTTCGATACTTGATAACTGGTATTACAATGAATGCCGGTCAACGACTAGTCTCTATCAAAGAGCAGAAAGAATTACAGATGCTGTTCTACAGCAAGAGAAACGAAGTATAGGGAACGGATAAAAGAACGTTTGAAGGAAGATGGCAGAAAGAGAAAGTGAGGTGCAAAGGAAGGGCTCATCCATTGTGTTTATGCAGTTCGAAGGCCTGGTCGCGATTCCCGAGGAACCCGCTTTTTCCCAATATAGACTTCGGCTTACTGAGAGTCAACTGCCGCCGAGCAGCTTTGAAACGTGCCTTAGGTCACAAAGAAAATATTGTATTGGCATAACATCGTACGGTATCATCGGCTTGGTTGCAAGCTACTGGGGCCAAGGGGCGTTAAAAGTATCACCATGGAGGAACGCTGCGGAAGAGACTCTCATGTGGCTAGTCTGACGTCGCCAATAGCCGACAGACTTGGAATAAACAGTGGGTCCAAGGTAGACCAAGCCACTCCCGCAAGTGTGTGATCGCCGTTTGGAAACCTCATGTGCCTGACGAGAGGGACTGGAAACAAGGCATTACCCACTTCTCTGCAAAGTTCTGCTTACAATCGAAATGCACCTAAGCAGCCCTAAGAAATCGCATAAAACATAGAGCAGTCCTGCAACAAGTTGTTCAGCCATGCCGAGGTTTAGTCCTCGGCACGGCTGCCGAGTCGACCAAAGTTATTTAGCTGTCAGATACCCCAAGAACCAAGACCAAAATCCAAGCCAGCCTCCGAACCAATTCAACAGTCTGACGTTTTTGAAGTGTGATTAGATAACTCTGATAGAAACCCAGGAAAGGAGTTGACGTGCCAAGCACTAGGTAGCGTATCGGAATCCCTCGTTTGCGATGAAACATGAAAATGGCGTGTGCCAAATGCCGACCCATGCAACATGAAACTAGAACACGGGTGCCGGCATACGAGTCGTGATTGTTGCAATGAGAACCATTATGGCTATTCGAAATTTGCATGGACAACCGGTTTGGGAAAGAATACCTATCGAATGCAAAGGTGCGATTCAGGTCTTGGCATACGGCCATACCCAAGGACTTATCTCAGCAAATGTTGTGGGGCTTCAGTATTAGTACGTCGTAATATTATAGCAATCAATCGCTTCAGAAGGCACCAAAAATGTTGTTTGGTGATCACAATCTTCGACGAGATCGCAGTGCGCTGCGGTGCGTTAGTCGTTCCATCTCCACCTTGAATGTGTGTTGTGTTGTACGGAGAGAGCAACTTACCATCAAGGTATCAAAAGCCAGCCTATCTTGTTTCCAAGACAGACTAGCGAGCTCAATTGATCGTTACTGACAGCTAGGCTGGCCCGTGAAGTTCATGTCTCCACCCAGTAATGATACTGGTGTAGTGGGTCTATCCGCATGCGTGCAGAAATGCATTGTGCATGCGCCGCGCGTCACGCTCAATCGTCCATCTCATCAGCGTCCTTCCCGGGGCTTCTGCTCCTGTTCCTTCCACGTCCCCCACCCTTGCGTTCATTATCACGTCCAGCTCCACGACCTTTTCCAGGCGGTGGCGGCCGCACAAACGCGAAATCGACGACAACCTCCTGCTCGAGTAGCTGTTGACCGTGGGCACCCTGAATGGCAGCCTTGGCTTCTTCGAGAGTTGGATACTCGATCAGAACATAACCCTAGAACGCGTCAACAGGACTAAGTGAGAGGAGGAGCAGTTTGCGCACCTTAACGTAACCCGTTCGCCGATCCAAATTCATATGCAAGTTCTTGATGGATCCGAATTCGCCAAACATATCCTGCAAGTCCTCCTCTGTGGCCTCCTCGTGTACGTTGGTGACAATAATTATCCATCCTTCGATTGAGCGTACAGCGGTTGCGCCAGCTTGTGTGCGCGCCTCGCCAGCCTTAGGGTCAACCTGCGGGCGATCAGGTTGGTCGATTTCCATTTTAGTGTCCTCCATGATGAAGTCCGTATCCGTATCGTGCACGTTGAGCGTGGAAGAGGTTGAGCTTTGTGGGCCGACCGCGTTCGTTGTCTGCGATTCTTGAGATGCAACAAGAAGTCGTAGATCCGGGGAAATGTCGGCACACTACCGAAAGACGGGCTAGGCCACTACTAGCTTAGCTTTGCTGGCTCAAGATCTCAGGTTTCGGACAATCAAAGTACCTAATCGCTCAACAACATCTCATCCAGTACCAGAGACATCAAGTTTAGCCACAGCGCTCGTCCCCCAGGCGATCCGTTTGACGCACACAAATCACGGGAAATCATGCTACCATTGGTGCCATGAATCCGCTTCTCGAGCGGGTTAACGATCTCTTTTGTCCCATCATCATTCATCTCAAACTCCATGTTATCGTCAATCTCCCAATGAAGCAATGCATCACTCACGCTGGATAAAATGAGAAAAGAAACAATAGAATGGATGGATTTTGCCAATTGGCAATCCTTCAACACACTCTTTTCTCCACTGTTAGCCGCCATCGCACAGTAACTAATTGGGGTGCTTACTATGTGGTACTCGCCCCGCTATCATTACTTGCCGCCAGCTCCGACTGGCTGAGCGTACCAATGCCTTAGTCTTCGAACCCATCTTTTCGTCACAGAGGCATCACCGTTTATATTGGCTGATTTCTGTGGACGTTGCTAATAACTGTTTCGCTACTCTGGCCACCATGTTTCTCAATTTTCTTGACGAGTACGTCCGCTATCAGGACCCTTCATTACCTCAATTCTCGGCGTTGGCTTATCTTTATCTTGCCTGCCTACTTTCTGCCTTTGTAATCGCAGCAGACAGCTTCGCCCCAGCCCAGAAAAACAAGAATAAATCAGTCACATTTGTCAATATGCCTGAATTCAGCTCTGTAAGCCCAGACAATTCGTCAGAGAACGAACCTTGCTTATTCGAATATTCAGATCGCTATGATAGGATGCGGAAGCATGGGAGGGGGTATGGCTTTACTCTTTGCAGAAAATGGGGTTCACGTATCATTATCGGACCCGGCAGAAGACGCCATGGATTCCATCATCAGCAAGGCCGAGAAAGCTGGGTACAGTGGAAAAGTGGAAAAGTTCAAAGGTAGAGCCATCATTGTTGAGTTATATGCTCTGAAGAAATATTGCTGAGCACGCCCAGGTTATAAGGAATTGTGTAATTCGCTTTCTCAACCTCGCCTTCTAGTATTTTCTCTTCCCCACGGTAGCGTAGGCGACAAGGTGCTGGAAGGTCTTGTTCCCTTTTTGTCCCGCGACGACATTATCCTGGACTGCGGGAACGAGCATTTTGCGAACACCGAGCGTCGACAGGAGAAATGTAAGGAACCTGGCATCCGCTATATTGGCTGCGGCGTGAGCGGCGGCTATCAAGCTGCCCGCGCTGGTCCCTCCATGTGCCCAGGAGGGGATCAGTCTGCACTCAAACAAATTCTACCTTTACTGCAAAAGGTCGCGGCAAAAGACAAAAATGGAAAAGCGTGTGTAGATGTCGTTGGAGAAGGGGGGTGCGGGCATTACGTCAAGATGGTGCACAACGGTATCGAACACGGAATGATGAGTGCCATATGCGAGGCGTGGGGCATTTTGCGCAAGATGGGCCTAGAATATCAAGAAATAGGTGATATTTTCGCAAAGTGGAATGAAGTAGGAGAGCTGGTTCGTGTTCCTAGAGAAGCAACCGTTAGGCTTGCTGGCATTGTTTACCCTCACTGACCCATTGCAGAAAGGAACATTTTTGATATCTATTGGCGCCGATCTTTCCTCCAAGCGAGATATTAATACGGTCTCAGGCGAGCACCCATATGTTATATCCGAGGTTCTCGACAAAGTTGTTCAAGATATCACGGGAGAAGAAGGTACAGGCGTATGGTCTAATACGCAAGCGATCGAGCTCCATATCCCTGCTTTCACTTTGAATATGTCGCACTCTCTGCGCCTTGCATCCGCCTATCGCGGCGATCGAGAGCAAGCAAACAAGGTATTCAATGGCGGCTTCGCTCCGCAGTCCTTATCATCTATCGACGACAGAGAGGCCTTCATCGAACATCTACGAAAAGCTACATATGCGGCATGTGTAGCAAGCTATATTCAAGGTCTAAATGTCATTGCCGCAGCTGACGAAAAGTATGGGTGGAACATCAACTACTCATCTGTCTGGCAGATCTGGCGTGCGGGCTGTATCATCCAGGCTGACTACATCTCCGATGAGATCCTTGCGCCTATCCTGAAATCCACGAACGCAAATCCCTCGACCATGAACCTCAATCACAACCCACGTCTTGCCAAAGACATCTTGAATAGTTACCCTTCGTTGCGGACCGTTGTCGCAAAGGCAGTCGAAACCGACCAGGTGGCACCGGCATTGAGCTCTACGCTTGAGTACTTCAAGGTAGTCACAGGGACGGATCTTCCGACTTCTTTCTACGAAGCAGAGCTTGATTATTTCGGAAGTCACATGTTCGACAAAAAGGGAGACGATGATGAGCAGGTGAAGAAACCTATGGAAGGCAAACATCATTTTGAATGGAAGCCTGCGGTAAGTCAGAGGGAGGCGTATGGCAGTTCCACCAAACACTAGGTATAGATCTCAATACAAACATTTGAAGTTAACCATCAATCTGAATCAAGTAGGAGTTGGCACCATCACTTCGGTTATTGCGAAGAGCGAAAGTAGCTAGTGTTGACATAGTGAAGATGATGAAGTCAAGTACCGAAGAAGTGCCTATTTAGCACGGATTTAGCCACCCGTCGAGTCGTCGAGTCTACCCACCACCCCACCATGCCCTTGTAGCCCCAACCCCTCTTTCTTCTCCAACCTGGTTACCGTCGCATGAAGCATTAGAGGCTAATCTTCGGACTCCTGCATTGTACCACTTCTGCGTCACCACAACAACCTCCGAGACAACTATTAGTATGAAACCCGTTCATCCAGCCTTCCCTTGCGTCCGTGGCTCCTTGTCATACCACTGCTCTTGTCACCTCGAACCGCCGTGAGCGTGAACCCATCACAATGGCAACCGAAAAGCTGCAAAAGTACGCGTCCAAACCGCGAGTCTTCATTTTGTCGGACATCTCCAATGAACCCGATGATGCGGAATCTCTCTGCCGTTACCTCCTCTACTCGAACCAGTTCACAACCGAAGGCCTCGTGGCATGTACATCCACCTGGATGAAGAACAAAGTCTGCCCGCAAGACATGCACAAGATCGTAGATGCGTACGCAAACGCAGTGGACAGTCTGAACGCACACGTCCATCCAGACCATCAGTACCCGACGGCCGACTACTTCAGAAGCCTTATCAAGAAGGGTGCCGAGACGTACGGCATGACAGCTGTGGGCGACGAAATACCACTCAGCGAAGGCGGCCAGTTGCTCTACGATCGCATCCTCACACCCAGTACCGACCCGCTCTGGGTCCTCTGCTGGGGCGGCACCAACACGCTCGCCCAAACTCTCCTCAAAATCGACGCCGCCTTCTCCCCAGAAGACTCCCAGCGACTCATGTCCCGACTGCGCGTATATACCATCTCAGATCAAGATAACACAGGATCATGGATTCGCACCAACTTCCCAGACATCTTCTACATCGCCTCAGTCCACGGATGGAATCAGTACGGCATGGCTGCCTGGACAGGCATCTCAGGCGACCGATACTATGGTTTCGACCAAGGCGGACCCGACTTCACCAAAATGGAGAAACAATGGATCAAAGACAATATCCAGATCGGCCCCCTGGGCTCCGCATACCCAGACTACCTCTTCATCCCCGAAGGCGATACCCCGACGTTTCTCTACCTCCTCCAAAACGGGCTCAACGCGCCCGAGTTCCCAGACTTTGGCTCTTGGGGTGGGAGATACTCGCGCACCGACATCAGCGCAGACGGCGCAAACAGCAACCACTACTCGGACGCCGTTGACCGCGTCGTCGGCACAGACGGCAAAACAATATACACCTCCAACCACGCTACGATTTGGCGCTGGCGCGATGCCTTCCAGAACGACTTTGCGGCACGCATAAAATGGACCATGGAGTCTGACTTTGCCAAAGTGAACCACCACCCCGTGATTTGCGTCAACAACGACTGGGGCCTGCATCCGCTGCGTCTCGAAGCCGAAGCAGGTGAGACAATCACGCTCGATGCGTCGAAGACGTACGACCCGGATGCCAACGACACGTTATCGTTCAAGTGGTGGCACTACCGCGAGCCGACGGCCACGCAGTGGTGGGTCGATGCTGAAGTCGCACTGCTCGGTATTCAAAAGGTCGATGATGAGGGAAGGAAAGTTACGGCTACGTTGCCTCCGCCCGATAAGTCAGCTGTGGATCTTATGAGTCGTCAGCCAGTGGCTAAGGGTCAATTGCTGCATTTGATCTTGGAGGTGACGGATAGTGGGAGCCCGCCATTGAAGTCGTATCGGAGGGTGTTGATTCAGGTCACGAATAAGGAGTTGAAGGGTGGGGGTGGGAAGGGAGGGGATGCGATTGGCGATGTTATGAAGGCTGCGGCGTAGACGTTCTTTTCTTTTTGGAGGGATGGTGTTGTTCCGTCGTTCACGTCGTCAATGACTGGGTTGCGCTCACGGATAGCTATTTAGTCATGTCAGCCTTGATGGTGTTGAGAAATATAGGAACAGTGACGGCAATTACTCAGGCTGTATGCTGTTCTCACGAAAGACTTAACGATATTTCGGTTTTTATATAAGAGTAGCTACTTGATAAATCTAGGCTCTCTACATATCTAGTGCTTCTTGTTGCTTTAGGGGTTTGTACCTACTCTAACGCAACACAAAAGCAATAGTCCATCCTATGCTGCATACACAGGCGGCAGCTCGCTCGGCGCCGGCGCCATCTCCGTTCGATTATCCTGTGGAATCTGATGCCCCTCAGCAACTTTCCTAAACGCTTCCTCCCTGACCTTCTGCAACTTGGCCCTACTCTCCTTCAGCCGCCCATCCGCTAGACGAATCTTCTCCAGCACCTGTTTCTCCTTCTCCTCTTGCATTTGCACACATTGCTCGCACTTCTTCTTCACAATGCTGACTTTCGTCTCGTCGTCCTTGATCCTACTGTGCATTTCTAAGTCGGTAAAGGAATTATTGAAGATTATTTCCTCCCAGATGGACGCAGTGTCGACATCGGTAGGACCCAGTTCCGCAAGCTCTGGGTTGAGCTGTCTGACTTGTTCCTGGAGCATGCGAACCTGAGAGAGCGCAGATGATGCTTTATCGAGCTTGGTATGTTTCATCATCTCCGTCGAGTTACCGGGCAGGTCCTGAGTGCTTATCTCATGGGCAATTTGCAGGTTTTTGCAGGCTTCAGCTATTTTCTCGGTGATCTGCTGGAGCAGGAAATGCAGGTGACGCTCGTGCTCTAGCTCTTTGTGCAGATCCTGAACTTGGCGGTCCGCAGTTATGGCCTCCTTCTCGCACTCATCTTCTTCAGGGAAACCTTGCGTCAGACCCGAGAAGATGGAGGCATAGAGCTGGTCGAGCTCTTTCTGGTACTCATCGCGTTCCTGCGAGGCGCTTTCGTATTGCGCTTTTGCGATTTCCGCTTCAGCTTTGAGTTGTCTAAGATAGGTGAGACCGTCCTCGGCGGATTTTTGTTGTTGAACGGCTTCGAAGTACTCTCGCTCTTCCTTTGCAGCCTTCTCGGCGAATCGTTCTTTCTGACCCGAGGCTTTATGCGCAAAGCGGCGAAAAGTGGACTCTGAGTATTTTTTGTGCTCGGTGAGTTCAATGTTGGTCCGGTCTTGGAGGCGCTTGCACTCCTCCGAGGTTGTACGGATCTGCTCTTCAAGGTCCTTGACATATTCGGTTTGCTTGTGAAGTTGAGAAGGTGCCGAGTCGGTTTGCTGCAGTGCTGCGAGGAGCGTAGCGTTGCGGATAGAAGCTTCCTGGATTTTCGCTTGGATGGAACTCATGGTGTATATATCGAAGTACTTTGCAATGTACTAATAGTCAATGTTTGCGTGTGGGTACAGAAAGGGCAGAGGTTAGATACTACTGTACCGGGAACACCAGGCGATCTCTTTATACCTATCAGTGACAGTTTCACTTTGCCGTGCAAATGCAGAGAGCCCCTGTGGTGGTTTATCTTGATTAGATCACATTTCCCTATTGAAGCCAAGAGTCTTGGTTGCGCGCTGCGGCATGAATCCTTCACAAAGCCACACATGGATAGTCGATCAATCTCCAAAACACTGGGGTAGTCTACTACGATTATTAGTTTGCACGAACGGTTCACGAATGTTGTGGGGCCCGATAGGCGGCTATGTATGCGGTGTGGCAAGTGAAGGTGCAAACAATTCGTTCTGTCACCGTTCGCTCTGATGTCATTGCCACTACATCGTGGGTGGGGTCCAAATCCATTTTTAGGATATTCGTATACGAGTGAAGGATGCGAATCGCGTACTCGAGATAAACTAAGTATCGAAACGTTCTTCAGATAATCGAAGAAAAGGCAGGGTGGGTTTTGTTGCGATAGTTCTCGAGCATTCTGAGGTCGGACGAAAAGAGGGATTGTACCTTAGTCAGCCACTGGAGCTAGTACCAGCTATTTCCTCGCTGCACGTCATATAACGTCGACCATCCAGGCGTCACTACAATCACCCCACCCAGTGGTCTTCCTCATTTCTCGAAGTTCTCCTCCCATTGCGTCTTGCACATCTACAGCATCACAATGGCCTTCATCCTCCGACGGCCGACGGCCATCACCGCGACTCTGCGACAGACCGCACCCTCGATAGCCTCGCGCGCGTTCCACAACACGCCACTTAAGCAACAAGCCAACTTCTTCATCCAAAAGACACCCGCTCTCTCATCCTCCCGAAATGTCGTCCGTTTCCGCGCATCATTCCGCCGCTCGTATCAACAAGCCGCTCGCAATCCCGTCGCCCAAGGCGATGCTCGCCAGCGTCTGCTTTACGGCGCCGGCATCTTCGGCGCCACCCTGGTTGGTATTAATCTCATCTTCAATCGCGAGACCCGTGAGGATGGCGGCATGCCAGAATTTGAGCGTCGATACTTGAATGACACTTTCATGCATACTGGTCTCGGCGTTGGCATCATCGGTGTAGTTGCGAGAGCTCTGCACATGAATGGATGGAGCTTCCGTCTGATGAGTGCGAACCCGTGGCTTGTCCTGGGAGCCGGTCTTGTCGGAAGCATTGGAACAATGTACGCTACGAGAGCAACATCTCCTGAAAAGTAAGTATTGCCACCTCCAGCCTCCACCCTCCTGCGAGAGTTGAAGGGAATGTAAACGGACTCCCCAAGGAACGAGAAGCTAACCATTTTCCACATAGCTATGTTCAAAAATACGCCCTGTGGACCGGATTCAATGTCACACAAGCCCTCCTCCTATCGCCTCTCTTCTTCATGCACCCGGCAATTCTTGCCCGTGCTGGTCTCTACACCGTCGGCATGATGGGCTCCATTGCTTTTGTGGGTGCCACCGCCAAGCAAGAAAAGTACCTCTATCTCGGTGGTCCCCTCCTTGCCGGTGTTGCCATTGTCGCCCTTTCCGGTCTTGCTCCAATGGTCGTTCCAGCCACTGCCACACGAACCCTCATGATGACTGAGAACATTTGGCTGTATGGTGGACTGGCAGTATTCGGTGGCTTCACACTTTATGATGTGCAGAAGGTGCTACACCATGCCCGTCTTGCCGAGCGTGGCTTGATTCCCAAGGACGCTGTCAACGAGGCCATCTCTCTGGAGCTCGACTTCATCAACATCTTCATCCGAATGGTGCAGATCTTGGGTATGAGCCAGCGCAGGAAGTAGATCGTTATTTGAGCAAAATTTAGTAAAAGCACGTGGCAAGTGGTAATTGCGAATGCCAGTAGCGAGGTATGACTGGCGTTTTGGAAGTGCTAGCGCAGCCTTCATGTTTCTTTTTCTCCTATCACTCAAAGGTTCATTGGTAGTTTTGTTCCATTTGTACAATAATGCAATCTAGTGCCCCTCTCCATAATTTTTACCTTCAATCAAGACGATTGAGTGATGATTCTCAACCTTTGCTCTTAGATAGCTGTGCCGTGTGTTCCAGAGCATTTGTGAAGTTCCAATAAAAAAAACTTAAAAACTAAGAACACCATTGCTTTCCTCTCGAAACACAATATTTGCTAACGGACGTTCGAGTCCTCACACTGAAGTGACGAAGAATACTTGACTGTATAGTCGTTGCGTGAGTCAGAGAAAATCTTGAGGGCGTTGCGGATAGACCACACTCATCACATAAAGCCACAGGAGATAACAAACTAAAAAAAAGTTCGATTGGTTGATATATATATTCCTTACTTACGGCAAGGCTCGAATGACTAGAACAGAAAGACCAACCAAATCAACATAATATACGTGCGCTTGATCCACTGCTTGAATCTGTTGCCTTTTCTCCCCTGGTGAAAACAAGAAGTACTTGAAGATGTAACATAAATCCGAGTTGCTGGAGCACAATAGACACACACAAAGAGTTATCTTAGTAAGCGCTCATCTTGACTCTAACACGGTGAGGCCAGACAAACCACTGTTTGTGCAGCACCCACTCTTCATCCGGGTTCTCGAGCTCCATCTATACGATCCCATTAGTAGCAAAGCCCCTTCCCAAAAGAAAAAATAGATGGAGAATGAATAAAGGATAGTATAGAATGAAAGACGTACCTTGTATTTCCCAAACACCATCGCAGTAGTCTTGAACAACTCGACAAGCGCCAACGGCCGTCCCAAACAAACCCGATTCCCCCCACCAAAACTCAGATCCGCATCTTTCATTGCCCGGATCCTCGCCGCATACTCCGTATCCGCCTCCCCCTTCCCCTGCAGCCATCGCTCAGGGATATACTCATCTGGATTCTCCCCATATACTTCCTCGCGTCTGTGGACGACCCACGGGTTCATACCTACGATCGTGCCGGGAAGCAGCGTGATGCTTGTTTTGGAGTCCGCGGTTGGATATGGGACTGTGAGGCCGGAGGAAGGCACGACGCGTTCGAGGATTTGCCCGACGACGGGGTGGATGCGGAGGGCTTCTTGGATGCAGGCTGAGAGGTAGGGGAGGGATTCCAGGGTGTCGTAGGAAGGGGGGTAGGTTAGGTTTGCGGAGTGGAGTTCTGTGACTAAGGTAGAGTGGGCAGTGGGGTGGGTGAGTAGGTAGTAGAAGATTGATTTCAGGATAATGGAGGTTGTGTCTGCGCCTCCTAGAATCTTTAAGGGAGGTTAGTTGTGGGAAATATGTTTTGTCTTCGACTGAAGGGTGGTATGGAGAGAAATGGGGGAGATTATCAGTACTCACGTTGATGATCAAGTATCCAATGACATCTGGGATGGTCACATTGGGGTCTTCCTGTTGAATCTTGAGGAAAGCGCTCATGTAATCTTTCCTATCCTTGGCTGCGTCGAGGGTTTTCATGCGCTCCTGGAATTGATTGACGCAGAAGCCAGCCACAACAGAGAAGTCGGGAAATTTGAGGGGGATTCGAGGGTTTTTGGCGAGCCACTTGTCAAGTACGGGAATTTGACCGACCTGGAAAAATCGATTCGTAAGTCAGTTGCATGAGGCAAGGACTAGAAGGAAGAAAATTGAATGGAAAAATTTAATTAAGTACGTACCACGGAGAAGTATCGCATGGGCTTCTCGGCGTTGGCGATCATGCTACCAATATCATCGCCGGCTTCCATGAAGCCAAAACTCTTGCCTAGCGTCATGTCACCGAGGAAGTCCCACGTGAAGTAAGAGATCCAATCGGCGATATCACAAGTCTTTCCTGTATTGGCACCTTCCACGAAGCGCTCTTCGAGCTGGTGACATAATGATTCAAGGCTGGCATCCATCATGGGTTGAAACTCTCTAGCATTCTGGAGAGAATATAGCTTTTGCACAGGACGAAGCTTTTGGGCGTGGAATTCATTGTCGCGAGTAGCAAAGAGGTTGGATACGATGCTCCCATCTGGTTGCATAGCATCATTGATTGTGTAGAAGTCACTCTACAAGGAAGGTCAACATGATAAGACACTGAGGAAACGGTGGGAGACTTGCCTTGCGGTAGGTACCTCGTGTAGAGTAAACAATTTTGACCAGACGTGGATCTGCCAGACTGACCACATTAGGACCTAGCTGTACTACATCTCCATACTTCTTGTGGAGGGCCTGGGTCGTCTCAATGTGTGTCTGCTTGTAGTGAACTCTGAGCCGCCACAAGTTGGTGAATTTGGCGGCAAAGGGACCCGGAAGTTTCTTCAAAGAAGAGCGCAAATAGGCGAGGACAAAGTGTGCTACCAAGGCAACAAGTCCAAGGCTGCAGGCCTTTACGAGGAGGGAAAGGACAGCCATGTCAAATCACTGGCTGTCGTGCGACTGCAACCAACGGCTAAGTCCCGGGATACGAGAGGGCAGAAAAAAGCAAGAATATCACGATGGAATTGAGAGGAAAAAGTAAGAATGGGAGCTGGAAGATACTAAAGACTCGGGAGTGATAAAGGCCAAAAGGAGTTGCAGCTGCATGACCTTGGGCCTTGGATGAAATAAGAGGAGTGTGTCTTGCTCTGCTTCTACTCATGCCTGATTAAGTAAGGAGAAGAAAACCCATACATGTTACCTGCATGAAGGGAAGAAGCTTCCCAGACACGCGCATTCCTATGGCTTGTGATTCACTAGATACCTTGATACATTGAGTGATAGTGGCACTGCGGCAGTCAATGAACCCTTGAGGGGGGTAGCAACTACTGGTCGGAGGCGTTGAAACGGGCCACGCTGAACGACACCAATACAGTGTTGGCATAGTCAGGAGTTTAGGACATAGGCGCAACACGAAGATGGGGCCTGGAGCGCTACATGCGACCCGCGAATGGGAGGCCTTGCTGAAGAACGGTTGAGTGGGCCGCCTGGGGTGGCCTTGATGGCTGTACTTGACCGGACAAGGAGGCGTTCCCAGATAGCTGGACTGACGTCGGGTTCGTACATTTGTTGGCTCTTGGGTGGCGGCAGCTACATGCAAGAACGGCATCTCGCAAATGAAATCAACATGTGCAGGCGAGCATCAAGCTCGAAGCGGATGTTGGCAAGGTTTTGTAACTCGCATGAGAGACAGACAGGCATGAGAGAACTAGGCCGATGGGTTGCTCGCTTGCTGAAGAATCGTACTATGTAGACCATTGATTGATAACCGATGTCTGCATCTGCATGCACATGTACGAACTATGAGCATGTACCAAGGTATAGTGAGCATGGCAAATGTACTTCTCTACACCCGATTATTCATTTTACACATGATGGAGATCTTGTCGGGTGTCAAACATTGTCTTCGTCTTTCGGATTTCTTCTTTCACTCCATGCTTCTTCGCTGCCCTGTTCGCTAGACTTCTAAACAGAGAAAGATGAGCGACTCGGACAGGCGAGTCATTTGCTGGATGGGGTTTCGGACGGGTAGCAGAGAGACAGGTACAAGAAGATTTGCGGTATATGCCATAGGCCGTGCGGATGCGGGAAGCTCTCCATATCAGCCAGGATGCATGACACATGGTCAATATGTGAAGACGAGAAGTGAGGGGGTTGGTTGAGGCGGGGAGCGGCGACCGGGCCGGCAAAGGCGCTAAACGATAAAGACAACTAGCGCCATCGGTAGAGTAGATTCAACGGCAGGGTCCACTCTCATCCCGCGGTTCCCCACTTCTACTCCATGGCCGCCGTCTACAACATGTATTTTGTTCACTGCCCCCACAGGTTTTGGAAATGACACATGCCTACCTATGTCATCGGTCAGCCTTCCTCCAACACGCTTTCCCTAGGATTCGATTCTCTGTCTCACCCCGTCCCGTCTCTCAATGTGCTTCAGAACGAAAGATACCGTACCGGAAGATTGTCCATGTAAATCATGTGGACTTCAGGCGATTGTGCTTCTTCTGGTGAGTGCACTGCCCCTGGATTGCCCTCAAACATGCATATGTAAACCAAGCTAGGGTACCAATAGCTTATTTATTATTAGTTTTACACTATGAATTGTCCGAGACTTATGTACACATCTGCACCTTGAGTCGCCGAACTCTCCAACCTGTTCCCGCGCGGAAGATTGCTTAGACGACATGCAAGCATGGCACTACTTCAAGAACGACTAGCACTATAACTAGATCATCTCTTCCGTACCCGTCATGATCCGATGATCAACGGTCAATTGCTGCGAAAATCTGACAACTGCTTCACGATTGCGTACTTGCTCATCAGCCATATCCTAGAGTATGCACTTACCCATGGATCATAAGCACACATGGAGATATTTGATTCATCGGTAGGACGCACAATGAGACATGCCACCAAGCTCAAACAAGGATGAAGCTAAAAAAAAAAAAATTAGAGCGGCGATCCATTGGGTATCCTGTAAAGTTGTCCCTCAAGGATAACCCACTCCAAAACGCCCTTCTACTCTACCATCGCCCGATTGAGTTGAGCTAAATCATGCAAGCCAATGGCATAAGGCGGTTCGTCTCTTCAGGCCACCGCTCAACAAGTACTCCTGCTCATCAATCCCACCAACCACTCGTCTCCGGCATCATCACCACTCAACACCCGCACCAAAAGCACAGTTGGTCGCTGTCCATTAGCGGTTAGATGGCAACAAGCCCAAGCACATGTTTTTGTAGACTTTTCCACTGTCGGATGTAAGCTTGCAAGGTCTTACTGTGCACAAAAAGCATCAATCGCGTTGATGCGTGAGAACCCCGAAACAGTGGCCCAAGGGTAATTTGCAGGGTCGTCCCGTCTCAATGGTAGACTTCGGAGGAATTGCTTTTTCCATGGCGTTGGTCCTCATCCGCTGCCCCGTTTTTTAACGAGCGCGCTGCAGGAAGATAAACGGCTAGAACGAGACATCCGCGCCAGCTAGCGCTACGGGAGTCTGATCAAGTATTGATTGAAAGCTGACGGGCATCAAATAACAATCACGACTACGCAATGTGGCACACATGATCAGATACATATTGCGTGCGGTCCTCCTGGTATTTGCACTGAATTGTGGAATCGTTATTGACTTGTCTCATACCCCTGATGTGGAATCAGGAACCCTTTCCCGATATCACATCGCAGCAGATAGTTGGACTCGCGAAAAGAACGCAGTAAAGATCTTCTTTCACCTGTTCAGTCATAGCGTCTGAATTCCACTCTTCTTTGCCCTTGATCCCGCAGATACGTGACTGCGTTATCTCAACTTCCTACCAACCGTCGACCTTCTGCATACCAATACCACAATCTGTCTACTTTGGAGTCAACATGGCAGTTCAAGACTTCGCATCCGTTCTGAACGGAGTCATGTGGGCTCAAGTAGTTATCGCCATCATCTTTGTGGGAGCGCGCATGTACACTCGACATTACCTCATCAACAACATTGGATGGGACGACATAATCATGGGAGTGAACTTGGTACGTTCTCTACACTCCTTCTTTGCTTTTTTTGCAATTGATACAATCATCCTCACTTGAACCTTCCGGAACTGACAATGAACAGGCCACACTCATTGGTTACACAATTTGTATCTCTATCGGTGTCTCTTACGGGATTGGGAAGAAGTTTGCTGCTGTTCCCCTTGAAGACTACTCCAAAGCCATCATGTGGGAAGCTATCGGCCAAGGTATCTGCATCATGGGTATCGCAGCATCCAAAGGGTCCGTGGCACTGTTCTTGCTGCGAATCGTTAATTACCGTTGGCACAAGATCGTTTTGTGGTTGTGCATCGTCAGCACAACTACCCTTTGCGTAATTACGACTATATTGCTATTCGTGCAATGCAAGCCTACAGCGTTCTTGTGGGACCGTTCGATCGAAGGCGGAGTGTGTTGGTTGAACTTCACTGTTGTTGGGTTAACTATGGGATGTAAGTTGGGGTATTCTTTCCACACGCGAAAAATATCGTCTAACAAATTATCAGCATGGTCTGCGGCGATGGATTTTGTTCTCGCCATTCTCCCTTGGCACATCATCATGGGGTTGAACATGAAGCGCAAAGAGAAGCTCACGGTCGCATTTGGTCTTTCATTGGGCGCTTTGTACGGCAACTCCCCAAAGCATTCTTCCCCTGTTCAACTCGCTCGCAAGTAGCTTTCGCTAACTATATCTGCACAGCGCCGGAGTCTGCTCTGTCGTCCGCACATACGAGCTCCAAACTCTATCCTCACAAGCCGAATACGTCTATGACACAGTCCCCATGCTCCTCTGGTCCTCAACGGAAGTGCTCGCCACAATTGTATGCGCCTGCATTCCCGTTCTCCGCCCACTCTATGTCAAAATCAAATACGGCTCCCGCGGCGAATCGTCCAGCGGTCACTCCTATCCCCTCAACTCATACGGCAAGCCGGGAGACACCGGCGGCATGGCCAGCGGCGGCTACAGCCACGACAAGAGCAAGAATAAGAGCAAAGTATACATGGGCCCTGGCGGCAGCTTGCTGGAAGCGACAGTCAAGATGGGCAGCGAAGAGAGCATTTTGAGGGAGCAAAAACTTGCTTCGCCGCATTCTCCTCATCATATCTCGAGGGATATTGAATCAATGGGTGGTATCAAACGCACGGATGAAGTCGTCATTGAGACGACGAGAATTTGAGCGGTGGTCGCGGAGTATCATGACTGCAATGAACTACTCAAACATGATGACGAAGAAGGAATAACTCGATCGGTTGGTCGGTCGAACGGATAGGTGCCTCCATCACTCGATTACGCGGTTTCCGAGCTGCATATGCACAAATAAAATGAGGGTACTCGAGCAAGGAACAGAACCAGAGCGAATACGAAAGAAAGGAAGAGAAGACGATACCCAAACAACCCCTGCCTCGGGCGAAAACACCGCGCAGAACTACCCCACACATCCACACCACTTGAAGTGGGGAAAACTGTCAAACTCTCTCCCACGGGTCCCGGTCCTGCAAGATCTCAATACATTAATCTCTTCAACTCACAGATATATTATGCAGCAACCCATCCCCCCACCTAAAGTCGTATCATTCATTTGTTATATCGCGCATGATACTCGGATCACTGTCATACCATTATACCCCCCCTTGTTACATGCAACATACTAAATCTAGTTATGTTATGTTTCGTTCTTTCGTTTAGGTAGCTTGTGCTTAGAGCTAGCTAGTAATTGATATTGTTGAACTTGCAAAATTGTATATCAGTTCTTTGCTCTTTGTAGGTGTTGCGTGTTTTGGTGTGGTCTCATCGTTCTTGTGGTCGGATATTAACTGAGGGTATGCTGTGTGACCGGGCCAAGTTAAGTTGAGTGATACTACTGACTTATATACTGTAATCGCCTGCATATATAGAAACATATACCATCTCAAATACATGAGAAGGAGGGGCCCAGCTGTCCGCGTTTGTCACGTGACCATAGGTCATGTTATCAATTGATGTGACCATAGGCGTGCTCCTTGTCTCCGCCAAAGAACAAAATTGTTGTAGAAAGCACGCGAACTTGCTATCTTCATGCAAGATACAGCCCCGACAGAGGCAGATGCCTGACCAGCCAATCTTCGAGTCCGCGAAAGTTGGGGTGAGGCTGAATTGCACTTGTCTCATGACGTGCACTAAGCTCGCTCCTGCCAATAGCGTGTACCGGAGGTGTACATTTCAGCGCCTTATTCAAAGACTAATCGGACTCTCTTCTTGTCAGTCCTCGTAGTGTGGTGGCTCTGTCCTTGCATTCACAACATACGGTTGGCGATATGATCACATGGAGGAGGGGCTGGCCTTATGTAGGGGTACATCCCAGAGTCAAATCGGAAGAACTGTACCACAGTTTTCCGGCAGTTGGATTGCACTGTATCAATGCCTAATAGTTGGAATTTTCTCTCTTACATCTTTGCTAAGAATGAGGACGCTCTAGACAGGAACGCGGGCAACTCAGCTCCGCATGAAGGACAAAGCAATGGACTACTTCTTGATTCCGATTCGATTGATTCAGCAATTGGATATACAGACCATCCAACGGTAAGAAATCAATGTAAAGGCAGAAGATAGTCGATAAGGTGCTCAGAGTAACACACAGTTTGAACAAACCGCTATGGCCTCAAATGCGCTTCCACCCTCAGCACCGCACAGAACATCGGGAGGTCCTTCCAATCAAGCATCTACTTCTAAGATTTCACGATCCGGAAATCTCAACAAACCCCGAAGAGGCGCTTTAGGACTCAGCCTGATTTGCGAGAGCACTGAACCTACTACGTCGGAGTAAGAGTTCATACTGAATCGTTTCGTAATTACTGACAAGCCTCAAGCATCGTTTTCGTACACGGATTGCAAGGAGGCTCCATTTCAACATGGACGGCAGCGAATGGCCAATGCTGGCCTCGCGACTTCCTACCACGCTCGATCAAATCCGCAAGAATCTTCACCTTCGGCTACAATGCGGATATCTTTTCACGAAACGATACCGGTATCGAAGAGTGCGCAAAAAGTCTTCTCAATGCGCTCGAAGTAAATCGGAACAGGAAAAATGGTGCTGAGAAGAGACCCCTCGTTTTCATCGGACACAGTATGGGCGGTCTAGTCATCAAGTCAGCCTTGGTGGAAGCCAAAGAGCGGAATCATGCAGTTTGGTCTGCGGCTTGCGATGGTGGTGTCATGTTTATGGCTGTGCCACATTGTGGTTCCAAAGACGCAGGCTGGGCTGAAATGCTAGGAAATATCGCAAAAGTAGGGGATCCGTCAAATACCGATCTGTTGAAGCAACTCAAGCAGAACTCCGCATTCCTGTTGGTACTCGGGCAGCGTTTCGGCAATGTGCAGAAAAGCCTGGAGCTGGCGACCGTCCTTGAAGGCGAGCGCATTCCGTTTGGCCCGAGAGGTACCAGTAAAGTTGTTCCGGACGATTCGGCGAGACTGAATCTCGGCGAAGATGAATACATACATCTGGGGTCCGATCATCAGACAGTTTGCAAGTTTGCGAGTTTTGAAGACATTCAGTACAAACAAGTGGCATATGGCATCGAAAAACTGACTGTTAGCTCAAGGGCAACTACTGGATTAGCAAGTATGTAACTCCGAAAGCTTAACTCTGTCAAATCTACTACTCCGATGCGGCTTCCACGGTAATGGGTGCTCCAACACAATCAGTGTATATCATGCAATGTCATCATAATGCTATCTTGCCATTTCAACGGAACCTAACCCTAGACACAAAATTTATATTGGAGGACCTAAATCTACTGGCGAAAATCCTACTCGAATAGCATATATGACGGGAAACTTGGGCTGGAAAGGAAGAGACTCATCGTAATGACCGAATGAACGACTCGTGGCTATTGCACATTCAGACCGAATAGTTGTCGGGAAACCCAATCAACTTACAATCGCACACGAACAGCCTGAGCTATAGACGAACGGAAGAGAGTTCCCCATGGTGTACCTTCTCAATGCAGTATCAGGCCAGGTTATTAAATCAATCAGTCCGCGTGTTCCGTCGATGGTATTTTCCTCCGATTCGAAATTATTCACTGTTTCGTAAGGATCATGTACGTGTAGCTGCTTCTGTCTCGAGTCGCATTCACAACAATAGAGTTTGTTGCTTTTATAGAGAAGAGGTGGGAGCAAGAGAACTCTTAAAATTAAGCAGCCGAGCAGAAGTCACGAGGTTGGACACGCATACACACGTTGACTTCTAGCCATATCAGAAAGGCCAAAGAGAGGAAAAGCAAAATGGGAAGGAAAGAGAAAAGGACGGAGAGACAGAGAGACGCAAACCAGCAGAAAAAAGAACAAAGCATACAGAGAGAGAGAGAGAAAAGGAGAGAGAAATAGAGCTGGAATTTGGCCTGTACAACCCCGCTTTGCCCATCCCACATCCATAACCCACTATACATAAGGAGATAACAGAAGAAGAAATTGGTAAACGATCAAGTAAAGAAGACGGAGCCTCCAAAACCAACACGGTGAAAATAAAACAAAAACCCCTCCTCAATGCTCTCACCATACAAACAGACAGAACATCAGCCACCCACCCCCACCCTCGATCATATTCGCTCCCACTACTCGTACTCGTTACCAGATGAATGCTGCGCATCCGAACCGAACTTGCTGTGCTTCGCCTTGAATACTCCCTATGAATCCTGAGTGACCCCTTCCAAGCCGTCTCCATTTGGCATCGCAAAGCTGTTCCGGTTATTAACCACTGGCGTTGTATCACCACCATTCATCTGACCAGTCGCCATGTGTTGACTCATAGATCCATTCAAGGACGCGCTCATTTGGCCATTGTTCATAGATCCGCCGCCCATGCCACCGTTCAATGTATCCATGCCCGTGCCGATAGCGTTCATGCCAGGAGGTAAGCGCGCGCTATCGTCTTCCTCGCCCATGCCATCGACGTCGGGCCAGAAGCGCTCTTCGAGCCAGCATATTTGGCGGAAGATTTCCTCGCAGCGCGTCATTTCCTCTTTGCCGTCGCGCGTGGTGGTGATATTTGCGAGTTCGTCGACGAGGGCGCGGTTTGCGTCGACGAATTTGTTGAAGGCGGGGGAGGTCCAGTTAGGGATTAGAGCTTGGTGGAGGGCGACGATGTGGGAGTCGGTGCTTGGGGTGGAGAGGGAGTTGGAGAAGGAGGAGGCATATGACCAGGCGCTGCGGTAACACTATCGGTTGTTAATCGGAGAGGGGAGAACAATGCTGCAATGCTGTAGTTGTAGACTTACGTGTTCAGTACCCCAGAGAACAACCATACCCTCCAGCATGGACGCGCTTGAACTACTCGCACTCACAAAGAGATCCAACAATGCTCGTGTTATGGGCGTTGGTGGTTCTTGTGCGAGGGTCAGGCGGTATTTGGTCGCTGTGATCTCAAAAAACTGCATCTCTCGTCGCATGTTGTTCAGGGCGGAAATCAACAGGTCCATGGTCCTGTACATGTGGTGGAATTGCGAGTTTTGCGTCTGGGGGAGTCTAATCTTGCTCAACAGCTGGCCCACAAAGCGTATGTAACCCCTCTGATAGTGACCGTCTTGCACCAGCCATTGCGAGAGCGGGCCTGGTGCCAGCGAGCCACATCCCGCATGCGACAAGAAGGGTTGCTGAGTGGCTTGTGTGAACTGGGAAGCAGAAATTGAGAGCAGATGCGCTGTCAAGGACGGCGATATCGACGGTTGTATGTGAGGATGAGGGGCAATTGGGTGGCCATCGCGGGCGCGTTTTGTATTGGGTCCGCGACGGTTGACTTGGAGGTTGGGATTGGGATGTTGGCCGCTCAGGACACCACCGGCCTGTGTTACAGTAGTATCGACCTGGGTGCCATCTTGCGATTGCTGGTGTTGCGGTGGTTGTTGCGACAGCGGTTGTTGGAGGTGGGCCTGGGCATCAGCAGAGGCGAGATACTGCTGGCAGTCTTGCAAATGTTCAATCTGGCGGGTTGTGTTCTTGGCACGCACGAAGCCGCAATGGAGACATCGGACTTTGTTGCACTGGACGAAGTCAGTAGACGATGACACATGCGATGGTTCTGCCACGGTGTCGCGAGAAGGGTGCGTTGCGGCGCGGCGCGTTCGGAAGAAAAGTGGAGGTTGTATGATATGATTGTATTCTGTCTAATGCGCAATGTCTCGGGGAATTCACTACTTCCCCTCCCGACTTGTGGAGCGCGAGCAAGAATACCAGAGCCGACGTGGTGCGGTGTGCAGGAGGGCCATTCAGCTCACCTTTGACGGGGTGTCGGTATCCTGGAACTCAACAAAAGCTCTCCGAATGTCGGGGTTGGCGTGTCGGCCCATGAAGGGCGGGCAAAAGCAAGACAGGTCAGGTCACAAGTAACCACAGGATTACCCTATTTACAATACGTCGCGGTGGGCCGAGGATGGCAGGTAATTTTGCAACGGGGGGCGAGGGCAGAGGAGGGCGACGGAGTGTTCTGTAAACGTGGGTTTGGCGGTCATAAAACGGATATGATGGTATCAGCCCGTCGTATTTCTCGGCTGAGGGGTAGCATGACTAAGCTCCCTCGCACCTTTGGTCGCAACTCTGCCTCCGCGCCTCCATCTCTTCCCTCACGCTACACAATGCTCCAAGGCAAACGATGCAGTTTCTTTCTTCTTCTTCGAGTCGCAAGCAAGCGATTCCACATGAGTTCCGCACAGATAGGAACCAATTCCATCTCTTCGCACCATCAAGTACAGCGCAGGTGGGGCTGTCTTTTTCGTATGCCTTGGCGCGCAGGATGGAAAGAAATGGATGACATGGCACCGTACAGAAAAACCAATGTATCCAAAAAACACAACCGAGTTCAGAATTTGGTTAACGTGGGGTGTTTTTGCGTTTGAGTCATCGGATATTGAGAGAGACGCTCATCTTACCTCACCTCTCACCTCACCCCTTACCTCTGTCCAGCAACTAAGCAGCGGAGCGATGCAACGAGACGATCGCCTACTTTTACCTCGGCCCTGCAACGTCGTGCTGCTGACCGGCATTGATTGCAGCGGAAACAGACAGACAGCGGCTGAGAAAAGCTGACCACCCCCCAACGTGGTCCTCACTACCAGCTACTTGCCTATATACCCATATGTTTATTATCCATCCCCTCTCAACTTGATCCCATCTTTCGCAGCCGCAACCATTATCTGCACGCTTTCACACTTGAGTATGTAGATACTATTGCCTTCCCAAACGCGACTGCATGATACTATGCGATAGTACCAGTGGAGTACAGCACAAGTCCAAAAGTACCTACTCCCCCTCGCTCAAAAGAATCTCCACGCCATGTAACCACCATGTAATCCCTCCATCTCCCCCCAAATCTCACTCTCTCTCCATCTCACCGACGATCTCCGCAAGATAATTTTTTTGCACGCGCGCGTGATGGACAATCATCCACAAAACAGTGTACATCGTCTTTGACCGATTCTAAATGGTTCATCTTGTCCCCTCCCACCCTGGTCAGGTTAAGTTCGGTCAGCCCACCCCCGAAGATCACCCCTAAGAATCCCAGTAAGAGGTTTAAAAACAAAAAGAGCACTTGGAGAAAGTGCAAGCAGCAAGATGTGCATGGTCACGATGGATGATGCCCAAGCACGAGCTACGTTAGTGTAGCCATAGCCATAGCCGCCATTAGCAGGAACGCAGCGATAATCCCGCGGCATGCCATTCTCGCGGGTGAACAACAACGCTCGGCTCAAGTTGCAAGTGTTGGACCGACATCGCTGTTTGTTTGGGCCCCGCGGGTCATATGTTGGCGATGATGATGATGATGATGACGATGATGATGGTAGGGTATTACGTTGGACGATTACTCTTCTCTTTGCTCTACCTAACTTGCACTTCGGGTACATTACCTACTGTATATAAAAGTTGTAGTGCGGGGGCGGGGCATGCAAACGATTCAGCACAGCAGATAGACCGGACTGCTTTGATTTTTGGGCTTTCCTTCTCTCTTGGTAGGGTTTGTTAGTTTGGTTTGCTTAGGCGGTTAGTGTATAATGGGACGGTCCGTTTTTTCGAACGGATCTGATGTCGGTTTCTGGTCCGAGAAGATGTTGAGCCTTGCCTTGGTTTTTCTGCTTCATTCGGCTCTTGGGTGAATTCATATCGTGTGTTGGGAAATCAAGTAGACTGATGCTTGGTTGTGCCTGGTGAGGAGCAGAAAAAGTAGGCAGGATCCATGACCATGTCGTCATCTGTATATAGTAGGCGGAAAGAAAAAGTAAGCAAGGCAAAGCAAAACCCCAAACATCACAGACAACTCACACCGGTATACCCAGTCCCAGCAAGAGAAGAAATTAAGATCATCGCTCTCAGAAGCTTGCTGGCAACTGACTTGGTACCTGGGATTCCACCGAGCGAATGGGTGCAGCAGCATCCGCACAGTAGTGCGTGAGGTACTCAGGTATGATCGCATCTCGTCGCATGCATCTATCCTCGGCAAAACGTCGTAGATGTACAAGAGAAAAAAGCTACACCAAGCAAGTGCTGGCACCCATCGTCATGTGTTTTGGCGGGCGATCTTGCCGCGAAGATCCCCGCCCCATTTAAAGAGAAGCCCGCTTCCACTCCCCCGCATTTTTCTCCTTGCTTTGAGCGGGCAGGTAGGCAGGCACGGGGTGAATGGCTAATTGGGCAATCAGCCAGTCGCAGCCCACGCGAACATTCCAAGTTTTTCTAAAGCCGCAGCTGCTGCGCAGATGATCGACAACCACCGCCCCGACCAAAGATGTGACGATGATGATGGCATGGGCGGGGGCCGACGGCGGTGGCGAGCAAGCCATCTGCCTACCTTTTCCCCATCGGGACTCTCGATTGAAGATCATACACATCATAGCTACTCCGCACTGCCCAATCAACCATCTGTACCTGAGTTTCGCAGCTTCAACACCCCTGTCGTTCCCTGCATATATCTCGGGGAAAATGGGTCCAAGTGAGCATTGGAACGTGTGCCGGCGTGTTACAGGTGACCTTTTTTGTTTTCTCGCTGCCATGTTAGCTACAGAATACAGCCCGCCCCGGGTTGGCTAATCCTAGCTGCTTGACGGACTACTGCCCTGGGGGAGGGGATGCATGCGCTCCAACGACATCATCGTCAGTCATCATGGGTTCATCTTCTTTTTTTCTGCCTACAGCACCTTGCTGCATCCTAGACACATGGATGACTTTGTCCCCGAGTGGGGCAGGTAGACGGAGCTGTGCTGGCGCCAATGCAACCCTAGGCATCATGTTTTGTTTATTGTTGTTGTCTTGTCCCGATCATCGCGCCCGAGGCAAAACTTAATCGTGAATGGTAGATGCTGGCATACTGGGATGCAGACCTGCATGCATGGGTTGGTCTTATAAAGAGTCTGGTCAGTCCCCCGAGAGTGGCGGTGTTACCTTTACAAGTTCATACAAGACTTGGGTTATGTTGTACTGAGAAACGCTTCAATCAACCCGTCACACTTCATTCTTCAATCCACCTTTTGATCCTTGGGTATAACGTCATACAAACAAAGAGAACCACTGTTTGGTCGTCGCCATGTTGACAAGCTGGGGTAGCGCTCTAGCCATTGGACTCCTCGCCGTGGGATCCAATGCTTCGCCCATGTAAGTAGTCTTGTGTGTGTGTGTGTCGGGCTCTCTCGAGCTTTATTTCGAAGCTTGCGACCGTCATAGCTCTTTTGCGTATCCTCGCACCATTTGCCTTTGGCGATGTAAAGTAGCCAATCATCTAACACCCTCGCAGGACACCATACAAAAGGGGTCCATCGTTTGACTACAATGGCCAGAAAGTTCGCGGCGTGAACACAGGAGGCTGGTTCGTGCTGGAGCCTTGGATCACACCCAGTCTATTCGAGGGCAACGGTGCTGTGGACGAGTATACACTGACCCAAGAGCTGGGTAAGGATGCGGCGTACAGCAAACTATCACAGCATTGGAACAGCTGGATCACTCAAGATGACTTCAGCCAAATGGCTGCTGCTGGCTTGAATCACGTCCGAATCCCGATCGGATACTGGAGTGTTGTCCCCCGTGATGGCGACCCTTACGTACAAGGAGCGTACGATGTGCTGGGTAAAGCACTTGATTGGGCCCAGGCCGCAGGTCTGAAGGTTATGATTGATCTACACGGTGGTAAGTTTTCGCTCCCTCCCTCATCGATGATCGATCTGAGCACGCAATATTGACTTTCTCCAAGCTGCCGGGTCACAAAATGGATTCGACAACTCTGGTCGCTACGGGTCCGTAGAATGGACGCAAGGTGACAGTATTGCGCACACGATTAAAGTGCTCAACAAGATCCGCGATGACCATGCCTCGCATCCTGCCGTCTCCGCTATAGAGCTGTTAAACGAGCCCATGGGACCGTCCCTCGATATGGCGACCGTCAAGCAATTTTACATGGACGGGTGGGGAAACCTCCGCGACTCCAATGTTGCCGTCACTTTCCACGAAGCGTTCCAAGGCGTCAGCTACTGGAACGACTTTGGCGCCGGCATGTCCAATCTTCTCCTCGACACGCATCACTACGAGATTTTCGACAACGAAGTCGTTGCGAAGTCTCCAGATGAGCACGTCAAGTCCGCCTGCGACTACGGAAATCAAATGGCGTCGACTGGGAAGTGGACCGTCTCAGGTGAATGGACAGGCGGTATTACCGACTGCGCAAAGTGGCTCAACGGTAAGAATAAGGGAGCGCGTTACGATGGTACGCACAATGGCGCCACGAAGACTGGCGACTGCACCGGCAAGTCGACGGGCACTGTTGCTGGTCTGTCACAGGACGACAAGTACAATGTTGGTCGCTTCATCGAGGCTCAGCTCACCGCGTACGAGAAGGCTAGCGGATGGATCTTCTGGACGTGGAAGACTGAGGGCGCGCCCGAGTGGGATATGAAGGATTTGCTTGCCAACGGCCTTTTCCCGTCTCCCGTGGGCGATCTTTCCAAGCGGAAGTGTAAGTCTTTTGTCCATCTCTTTCTTCTTCCAGCAGCCCCTACTCTTCCCTGCATGGTGTTTATTTTTGATCGCTTTCCATCTCGTACAATCCATCGCATCTTCACGCGTCTGCGACCAGGTGTGGAAATGACAAGGACGTCGTCGAAGCTTACTGACCTTCCACACAGATCCCGGCATCTGCGGCTAATACTCCGTCTTACACACCGCCCAACTCCATCCATTCACCAACCAGTCAGATGCATACCGCACTGACACCCTTTCAACGTACCCATTTGCTCAACAGTCCGTTCCGTGTATTCTATCCTAACAGTTCGCTTGATTGCCATTTACGCTCGATGCACACATCTCCGCTGCGATCGCAGCAAACGCGCAAAAGAAAACCACGACCAAACAACCACTTACAGTAACGAAATTTTTGACGACCTTGTTTTCTTAATTACTCCGTTCTCTGATTCCCAGTATACCCAACCATAAATCTATCGTTCATGTTCCTAGCATAACTCTGGATTGCAGGAGGAAGGGAAGCATGTATTGTATTGTACGCAATGAGCAACCAGGCTGAGACAGATAGCGAACAAGCGAGCGAGCGAGCGAGCGACTTATCTTGTCTTATGCTTTGCTGTAGCTAGCGAATGGAAACAGTAACCGTATCAAGTGCATGCGTGTTTAGTATTGCAAAGAGTGAGATTTGATTTGGAAACTCATATAGTGCTGATTGTGGAAACCTGTTGTATAGTTTCTCGATGACTAGATGGTAAAATGCACGAGAAGAACGAGAGACCATGCACTGTGGTGCGATGAAGCTGGTTCGATCAGATAGTTTCGACAGTCATGAATGGTGTTCCGGCTTGTTCGTTGGTGGACGTTTACTGGAAGATGGCTTTTTTTTACCGCTATTGCTGTGACTTTGAAAGCTGAATGGTGTGGTGAGAAAGTTAACGCCGGTTGCATATGCAGGTTCTGCTACTGTATCGCGTCATGTTATGCAGGTGACTGAAAGACGCTGTAGCTGGTGGTACCCGCGGATGCGGCAGTGAACCATCGTCGATATCACCAACCTGTCAGCCAAACTTTACTTCTGCATTGTTGTTCCAGGCATGGTGAGTATAGATGGCGCCCCTTTCAAGATGATTTCTTCATTTTCTTCATGGAAGCATTGTATAATTTATGGGGTACTCCTGAGGCTTAGCAAGCGAAAAGCTGTGGATCTCAGGCGCTAACTAGAGCGGATCCGGGTTTCGTTTCGCTGATTTTGAAGATTTTGGCGTGATCGCGTTCAGGGGGCCACAACAAGCGAGCTGACCTGGCTGCGAACGAGGACAAAAAGAAAGAGAGGGGAGTAGGAGAGAGAATGGAAAGAGAGGCGCCGGCGCACGCGCATGAATCAGAAGTCTTGACTGGGTATCGCGGTCTAGATGGATAAGTGGGTTCCTCAGCGTCTCTTGCTTTCCTCTTCGGATTGCTCCTTTTGTGGAGTATTCATTTCGCAGTTTGCAATTTGCTGTACCTAGTGTTATCAGGGCGATTATCGATTCTTGTATCGATTGCGAGCGAGGCTTGATCATCCTGCTCGCAGATTGAGGGTTTGGGGGACACTGAATCATTCATTGGTTTTGTGCCAGTTGGAAGGATCCGAGGGAACAGCTGGAGGTCTGGAATGCCTCGGCCAATTGCGTGCGTGCAACGGTACCTACTGGGTAACGGGAGCGCGACATTATGTTATGCGCGCACGCACTCGATGCCGGTGACACTGTGTGGCTTGAAGCTCGAACAGGGAGCTATGGATCCCGCAATGCGACGAAGGGTTGATGTTGTTCTTCTCTCGCGACGGTTGAACGAGATGTCCAAAGCTAACGATGAGGGGAGTGTACACGGTAGTACCGCTATGTAGTAGTCAGGTACACTGGATGGGTGCCTGGGTTCATACGATCATCGGCAGAGTACATAGTAAGTGATCTCACGGCGCAGACGGTCGCGCCGGCCGTGCAGTCGAAATGGTCTCATTTCTTCGCTTGGTAGGCGGCGTGACGGAGCTACTATTGTCTGTCATTAGAACGGACTATTTCTGGATATTTCGGCCCCATTGTCGCTTTGGCGCATTCAGTCAGTCAGTCATTCATTTCGGTCCTCTACTACGCCCCTTGCGAAGGGGGTAGGTGGTATCCTTGGATGTGTGTGTATGTAATAGGGACGAATGCTTGTAGGCAAGCAGGTAAGCTGTCAGCAGCAAGACAAACCCCGAGCCGTAGGAGGAGCGGGCGCATGGTGGGTTGGAATTGGAAGAAGAAGAAGAACGACGAGGGTGCGAGGGACGCACGGATGGTGGAGGTCGCGGTGCAGAGCAGCAGAAGCAGGACACGAGGGAAACAAGGCCGGCGCTAGGCCCAGAGGGGTGTAGGCGGCAGTCGACAGGGGGAAAGCGCAATGCGCCGTTGGCGGGCTGGGCTCGGGCCTAAAGGCAGGAACATGGCAACAAGATTAAGCAGGCGCTCAGGGGAGATTGCGACTCGTCCGTCGCCTCCATCAGGGAATGAGGCCATTCCATCGTGGGCTCCAGCAGCAGGGGGCAGAAACACGATGGAGCCCGTACACTCCAGCCCAATATAATTCAGGCACGCCGCTCCTGCCTGCTGACCTTCTCTTCCCTCCCCTTCAACCTCGAGTTTTAGTACTTTAATATACATCCTCATCCCCGAACGCCTTTGTGCTTCAGCCGCTCTTTGCAACCCACCAAGTCACTCTTTTTTCCACTCTTTTTGTATATCCAGTTACTCCCTCAGGTTAATCGCCAAATAATCAAATCTACAACCGTCAACATGTTCGCCAAGATCTCCATCGCTGCTCTCTTTGCTGGCCTCGCTGCCGCCTACCACGCCCCCGTCGGCGAGCCCAACGGCAATCCCATCACTCGTCCTCTCAACGAGGTATGTATTATTCTTCATTCTTACAGCAATCAAGTCTTGTTCCAAAACCGCTGACCCCTCCCCTTCAGATCGTCCCCGCTGGCAAGGCCTTCGAGATCACCTGGACCCCAACCACCTCCAACACCGTCTCCCTCGTTCTCCTCAAGGGACCCGCCATCAACGTGATCCCCCAGTACGCCATCGTTGAGGGTATCCCCAACTCCGGCAAGTTCTCCTGGACTCCTGATGCGGCTCTCGAGGCCACCGCCGGCCCCAACGGCTACGGCATCCAGATCATCGACGACGTGAACGGCCAGTTCCAGTACTCGACCCAGTTCGGCATCTCCAGCTCCGGCAAGGTCTCGAGCTCTGCTCCCGTCCCCAGCAAGTCCGCTGCCCCAGCTCCTTCCTCCAGCGGATACGCCGTCGTCCCCTCCGGTGTCCCCACCACCATCAAGACCTCTGCTGCCCCTAGCTCCACCCCCTGCACCACCACCACTGCCTACGTCCCCGCTGGCACTGGCTCCGTCTACCCTCCCAGCAACGGCACCATCCCTGCTGTCCCCACCGGTGCTCTCCCCCCCAAGCCTTCCTCTCCCGTCGTTGGTGGCAACAGCACTGCTCCTTTCATCGGCGCTGCCTCCGGTCTCCAGGCTGGTGTCGGCCTTGCCGGTGCCGCTGCTGCCCTCGCCATGTTCTTGTAAATCATTCGGACCAATTGAGTTTCTCTCTCGTCTCGATGTGGTGCAAGGTCGGCTTCACGCATGCATGGCTTCCGCTCTTCTTTTGCAGCTCCCTTGCTTAACTATCTAGTCGGGGGGTTCTCCGCGTGGGGATCTTCGAGGGGAGTTATGGCTGAAGAGCATAATGGGAAGGCCATGCAGCTCGTGTGGGGAGGCGGAGACGAGCGTGCACTGGTTGTTCGGCTTCGAGGCGTTTCGAAGTATGGGAGCGCTGGTCGGATGACCGTTTGGTGCGACGCGTTGGGATTAATCATGAATTGTATATGGAAGAAAATCACCGTTTGAGTCATAATGCAGAAAGCGTATATACCCCACACCTTACCGTACCGTATCATATCTCCTTGTCTTCTATCCGTCTTTTTGGTCATGCGAATCGTGAATGCAGTGATGAATGTTAACTTGATCAATTGTTGTACATCATGCTTTTGTTTTGTTTTTCTTCTTTCGACTGGTGCAAGACCTCGTCCTCGGTGTTATAATTGTCGAGGCTCCCCACGTACTCGATGACTCGACCGTCTCGTGGACGAACCCCTACGTAACCCTCTAGCCATCCATTCATCCACCTTTGCTATTCATTATTCATTACTTCATTTCAACAACATATCTTGAATTCGCTTGCCCTTCCACTTCTCTCTTCGCACATGCATACACATCTTTCACAAAACTCCCTTCTCTTCCACCATCATCATTTCGTGCGGACACGATGAACATTGAAGGAAAAGCAGACACGGGATACAAACATCAACACAACGAATCAACTACCGGTCCTCACCAGTCGATAAGCAATCAGGGCTGCCGCTGCGTCACCATCCTGTTTGTCCATGCGTGTGTATATATATATATTCTCTCGCATGGGAAGATTGAAGTCGTGAATACATGCGCATGTCTTTTCGTCACTCACCTTCAATATCGTATCGATGGGAAAACGACATGCAGGACATATAAAACGCTTGTACCCACTACCAACTAAACCTTCTACCACTAAATCCAATCGTGTCCATCATTTTTTGCTTCCCACTCGGGCCACTAGATCAAAAGGTATATAGGAGAGATAGATAAAGTAAAAAAAAAAAAAAACATGAAAAGAGATAGCAGGGGGAATAAATACTAGGAAGGAAAGAAGCCAAAACCCTAGAAAAGAAAAAGAACACCAGGAGATCTTCAAACACCAGGAAGAAGGTATATAAGCCCTGGATGGAAAAGGTAAGACGAAGGGGGGGAAAGGGTGAGCACAGCCGGCCTCGAGTCCTCTCCACATCCCCCAATCTCCAATCGCCAATCCCAAAACCAAATTCCCGTTATACCCTACGCCACGCTAAATCGAATAGAAAAAAAAAACAAAAAACAAAAAAGAAGAGTCCTTGCACCTTCATCATCATCATCACCACCACCATCCCTCACTCACATAACGGCGCAGCCAGTCCTCTTCTTCGGACTGACATCCTTGGCACCACTGCCACCGCCGCTGAGCCACCCTTCCAAACGGCTCGCACTCCTCCCTCCTCCTTCCATCCGACTCGCGCTCCGCCCACCCCCGCGGAAATACCCTTCATCACGATACTCGCCCAGAATCCGCGAATCCGTGCGCGGCGGTGCGCTTATTGACCCTGCATCGTGCGCCTGCGGGGAGACGACACGACCCAGTGCATCGCCCATTGTTGTGAGTCTGGGAAGTAGCAGGGTCCGCCGTTCGCGTGCGCGGGGTCGCGCTGGTGAGACGGGCATACTGGCACGATTGGCTCTGGATCCAGAGAGCGGAGGTGGAGGTGGTAACCTTGAGCGGTGCGTTTCGGGCGCTGAGCCGCGGCGGCCTGTAGAGGGGTCGACGATTGGAGGTGGGCGAAGATCAAAGGTGCTTTCGATCGCGCGACGGGAGCGTAAGTTGGGCCTCGTGGAGGGACGGGAGGATGGTGCCATGGCAGTGTGTATCGCTGCGGTGGCGTGGTAGGCAGATTGGTTGGGTAAATGGGGGACGGGAGGCAAAGGCTGTGTATGAGCTTGTGAGGGTGGACGGGATGTTGCTGCTGAGCTTCTTCTTCGTCGGCTTGAGACTGTTTGGTCCGGGCTGGGGAATGTGAGTGGGTGGACTAAGGAGGGACGGCGGCTGTTCCGATGTGATGCGACTTGAATCTGACTCGGGGGCCTGGAAAGATCTGTTGAGGATTGAGATTGGCGAGATCCTACCCGGGTTTGATAGGGATGTGAGGCTGGGATAGGTGGAAGAGGAATATTCGCTGGTATTGCAGGGACAGGGGGGATGGATGGACGTCGAGACGATGGAGTTGATGCAGCATTGCCTGCCGGTACAGGGGCACCGTTTGGATGACTTAGACTGACGCTGTGGGATGCTTCGGCTGTCGTTGTGTATGCCGGTGGCGGAGGCACCCAGTTATCAGCGTCACTCTCATGGGGGAGCTCCCGAAGCCCGTCAGCGCGCCGATAGTCCAAAGGCCTGAATGGCAGTGCACGTAGATGCCGACGATTGGCCGGCGACACAGCAGCCACAGTAGCTGCTCTCAGCAGCGATACTTGCGATCTCGGTTGTTGCATATCGTAAGGCACCTCAAAAGCGGCCTGTACTTCTTCGGCCGTCAACTCCTCTTCGTCGGCCCCAGATGCACCAACAGACACGATTGGTGGTTGTGGTTGCGGTTCACGTCTACGTGATATCCTCGTTCCAGAATGGCTTGGTGTGGAATCTGCTCTTGCGTGTCCCCGCGTGTCCGGCAGCGCTCTGCTCTGTGCCATTGTTCTCCGCCTCACGAGCTCCACCTCTCGCTCGAAGTCGATGGAACCCTCTGGTAGCAGATCTCCTGGACATAGCGGATCCAGATCGTACACAATCTTGGTAGGCGTAGGGATTGGACTGTTTGTAGGCTTCGATTTGTCAAAGTCCAAGACTAGTACAACTCCTTTAGATCCTGCTGGTGCTCCGGGTACTTCCTCCATTGTAGCGTTGCTCGAGTTTCCAACAGCGACAAGGCGCTGCACTTGAGCATCCACAGCGACCCAGCGAAGAGTACACAGCTCTTGCACCGAGTCGGAGCCATCGTTGACGATGGGTATGCAAAAACAAGGCTGGATGGGAGACTGATCTGATTTGCTGTTTGTCCTATAATCCCATGCCGGCACCTGGTAGATCCATATGCTTGTAGTCCCGCGCATCCTCAGTGCGACCGCTGCTAGGTCGGCATTCGGCGACACCGCGGGCATGGCATCGTCAAGGAACTCGGACCGCGTCCACCGCTGTTGATCTGGCAAAAACATTTTGCGTTGCGTAAAGCGCTGATTCCCGATATCGTAAACACCCCATGTATCTTCCTGCGCGTTAAAAGCAAACAATTCATTAACCTGGCCAGTCTCAGTGTCCGGAATCAGAGTTGCCTGCCGAGCAATTTTTGCCGTCTCTGGGAAAAGCACCGAACCAGTCCAGACAGTCGCCGGTGCCTGCTGTATGGGCACTCCCTCGTCGTCAAAGGGGCCGTCGTACAGCCCAGGCAACACGTAGAGCGATGAGCTCGCGGACTTGCGCGCATGGCTCGTGATGAGTAGCGTACGACCACAATCCGAAAATTCGAGAATGTCGCCAACCGGTCCGGAAAGCGTGCGCCGAGACGTCTCTGGAGCATCGGGCCCAATCTCAAGTACTTCGATTCCAATTGTATTGCCGGCAATCAAGATCAGACCGTCAGGCGAGATGGCAACGGTTTTGGCTTCGTGCGCCAACAAGAGGGTCCTTCTCTTCTTGATCGGCCGATCTTGGCCCTGATTGTGAATCTCGTACACATCCACCTGCGTGGGCTTGCTCAAGACGGCCAGCAAAAAGCCATCCTCGGTCACGTCGACAGCGACGGGTTTGCGTTTTACCTGCAATGTCCTGGCCCACAGTCTCGGTAGTTGCACTGTCTTGATCAACCATATGTTGCTCGCGGAATAGACGGCCACGAAGTTGCCTTTCCTGCTCACGTTGAAGTCGAAGGAATTGGGCAGGGCAGAAGCGGACGCGGTGTTGGTCACAAGTTCAAGGACGGTGAGGGTGGGATGTGCGTGGGGCGAAAGGTGTGAGCGAGTGTCATCATCGTCGTCGTCGGCCATATTGGAGGTTTGGGCTGTGGATTGAGCAGACATGGCTGATGCGCTAGATATATCAGTGTTCCCTGCAGAGCTCGCGGAAAGATGTGTGTGGATTTGGTCTTCTTCGTCTTCGGCGTCGTCGCCGTCGCACGTCGAGGTCATGGAGGTCGAGCGTGGGCGGGCCGGCCGCGGTGTGGTATGCTGGGTGCCATGGTCGCTGGCGATGCCTTTGCCTTTGCTTCGACGTCTGAAATCGGTATGTATGGCCAGATTTTGGGCCTCTTGGTGCGATGGTCTCCTCCCCACCATGTCTCTTCCCTTCCTGGCGGCGTGGGCGCGCGATGTACGGTGGCGGGGGCGTAAAGCGTAAAGCGGAAAGTGTAAGCGTCGCGGTAATCAGCGGCGGGGAGTGTAGGAGTGGGAGTGCGGAGGATTGGTTAGGAAACCATGGCATGGAGTCGAGGTGGGTAGGCTAGCTGGACGAACAGATTACCCAACAGGTCAAGGCAGTGCGAAGTACAGGTTGTCAGGAGTGTGTTGTGGGTGGAGGGCAGTAGTCGATGGGTGAGTGAGTAAGTAGGGAAACAAGGCTCAGAGTACGACTCAGCAAGCAAGCAAGTCAGGCAGCCAAAAGGGTAAAAAGATGATGGAGCCCATGTCGCTATCCATGAATCAATATCGAGTTGGGGGACTGGAGGGCGAGCTAGCAGGCCCACGGTCCCCCGTTGATCCACATGCTTCTACGCCGAAACCAGAAGCTCAGGGCCTAAGAATAGCAGCCGCCGCCGCCTGCTTTTTGCTTTGCACGCTGCGCGCTCCACTCCGCTCGACTCGATTCCGTTTGAACTGTCGCTCGCAAAACAAAGTTTGTCGATCTCCCCCGTCACGTGTCGTTCACATCAATCAATCAATTGATCAATTGATCCAATGTTGATCTCGTCGACATATGCCTTTGCCTCACCACCTCTGATTTGTTCCACGGCCACTTATTCCCGACTCCAACCCCCATCTCGAGATACGATCGACATCTCTTCTTCTTCTTCATCTTCATCTTCATCTTCTCCCCCCCCCATCTGACCTTGCTCTCTCATTTCCCGTCTTCCTGTCTGCTGTCTGCCGTCTGCCGCCGCCACCTGGCCACCACCACCACCAACGAACGAGCCGACACGTACCCATCCCCGATCTGCGGGTAAAGCGTTTCAAAACAGTCGCGAATGGCTTGCATCTTGCATCTCGCATACACGCACACCGTATTTTTCCCTTTCGTCTCTCTTCTCCATTCATTCATTCATTCCCACTCCACTGTCTGTCATGATGATCCATCCTTTTCAGCTGGCCACTCACCCACCCACCCACCCACACACACCTCTCTTGCTGAGAAGCGTTTCTTCTTTGCGCCGCCCAGCCGCAGCCCCCCTCCCCGTCTGTCTTTCCCGTCTTTTCTTATTTTTTTTTAATTCCCGGTGAGATGATGCTTTTTATTCATCCACCAGCATACTACGCTACGCAACCCTTACCCTTTCTACCCGGACAACCGAGAACGACGAGGGGGAAAAAAACTCTTCTTGCTTTCTTTTCTCCCTTGCCGTGTCAGAGACCCACTGTGAGATACCCGGCAAGCAACGTCAAGCTATATTTATCTCTTCATACGAGGGTTGATTAACGTGTTTTTGAGTCTCGCGTAGCCGAACTGGCCCAAGTCAACCGACGACCGACTGACTGACTAACCCCCGCCGTCGCCGCTGCCCCGCTGCTCTCCCTGCCTGTCTAACCTCAACAAGATGTATACTAGACCTTGCCCTGTTCCGAACACCAGTCCTTGTATGACCCTCGCGTGTTCGACTCGTGTTATACGAGGGACCTCGGTATCCATCTTCATTTGCGAAATACATTGTCAGACGCGAGCATGTGTACATGATGTGTAATTTAGGTAAGCCATTAAATTCCTCCTGAGACCTGCTCGGGTTAAGGGAAAGGGGGGCATCAGGTATATAGACACTTGCACTCCCGCCCATCACATGTTGAATTGCAATATCAAGAAGCCCCAAAAGCACTTCTACAAACATCTTCACTGAGAATGACTTCACAAGTAAAAAAAAAAAAATCATCACTCCCGTGCCGACGACACCTGCGTCGCAAGAGCAACCGCCTTTTCCTCTCTGAGCAAGCAGAATTTCTGGAAAAGCTCCTCTGGGCAGCGGAAATCGATATGGAACGGGACGTGCGATAACGTTTCTGTAGCCACAACCGGAGACCCCGTTTGCTCCCGAAGCTGACGGCATTCGGCATACTGTGTAAAGTACAGGATTGGGTTGACCGGCGTGAAATCCGAGGCCAACGCAGCGCGCTCCTCCACTGCCCTTTGCACCCGCGAGGCGTGGTCGCGCTGCACGTCGTGCCACTTCTCGTTGACATCGTTCCATTTGTCGGGCAGGAACTGTCGGATGAAGTCCTCGGGTGTGATTTTCGTGCGGCCAAACCAGGCCTCGATGGACCGGTCGCGGATGTGGTTCTTGGTTTCGAGCGTGTCCGCGGGGAGAGACCACCACTGCTGCCAGAAAAGCTGCGGGCCTTCGTGTAGTACAAACCACGTAAGCCACGAGTTTCCCCGCCGCAGAAGGCGCTGCCCGTCGATGCCGCAGCTCCAATCGAAAATCCAAGGTTTGTGATCGTCGCCATGGTTGATGATGGAAGTGCGGAAAGCCGAGGATAGAAGCATAAACATGAGTTTATAGTCGCGTGCTTCATTATCAGACAGGGTGTTGATGTACTCGAACCGCTTTTCGAGTATCATGTCTTCTCTCTGTTTGAACACCTGGAATTTGTATCGCGAAGGATGCACCACTTTCCAGGCAAGGTCTTTTGCCGATTTCAGGATATCCTTGGCGCTCAAACCGTAAACATGTTTGGATATGTTGGAGAGCTGGCCGAGCACTCGCCAACCGTTTGCGATGCGGCAGCGCAACGCGTCACCGTAGGCGTCCTCGGCTGGTATGCCATAGCGCTGTTGTGACCACGGGTGGCTGAAGCGATGCCTGTCGACCAAGATAGCGGCAAGCTGCTGCGGTATCAGGTCCTGGAGCCATGCCAGCGTATAGGCGGTGGGCTTCTGTAGTGGGGCGAGGAGGAGCTGGCTGGAGGGGAACGTGGAGCGCGCCACGCAAGGTACGATGGACGCAACATACTCGGAGATGATGCTGTGCGCCCTCAAGCTGGTGAGGCGCAGGGCGAGAAGTTCGTCGATGCGGCACTGGGAGAAGATCAGGATGAGTACATCTTCGGGAAGTTCGTTGAAGCGTGGGCTCTCCGCGGGGCGGCTCGGCAGTGACGGCTTGTTGTTGCGGCGGGCCAGCATGATAGGCATGGTAGGGAGCCGATGTTCAGTCGTTGGCGGTGTGGCAGCGACTTTGGGGAGAGTAGCGTGCACTTTTTTCTACAGGTGCGGCATGGCGGTGATGAGGTCGCGTTCGCACTCGGGCTATATGGGATGGAAGCAGAAGTGCCTGTATGAGAAGAGTTACAAATGTGTGTAGGCAGCCAACCACCTTGGTATCAAGAGAAGGCGACCCGTGCGCACGTTTGATACTGCTACCCAATCAAGAAGCTGTGACGGGGCCAGCAGCAGCGTGGGAAACAGTCCCCATCATGAACACAGAACATACATGATACAATTACCATGTTGAGGTGAAGAACCTGATGAAAAGACGCATATACATAGGTACCGCGATATGTATGTTGGCTAGGTAGCTGACTGTCATTGCGCAAGGGTACTTTTGTCTAGGTAATCCTATTCACCATCTAACCTAAAACAGACCATGGCCATTACGTACGCCGACATTCATGAACACCATCTTGGCATAGAGACATGGCTTTTTTGAAACACCAAGTTTTTTACTTCAGTGCTCACTCAGCACGTAAAAAATCCATAGCATAGAGACATAGGGATAATATGTTCGTGTCAATCACAAGCCAAGTTCAATTCCATTTACAGTGGAAAGACTGACTGTACGTCAGCACAGTGTAGAAACCCGTAGGTGCATTCGTAATTATTTTTAGCAAAACCCGACGGCCCCCCTTGGTGCCCTCTCCTCTTCTCCTCGCCCTTCGTGTTGTTGTTGGTTACGGACCTATCAGCATACATGTTCAAGTGCTCTTCGCCTAATCTTACCCGAACCAACGATATAATCTACACATATTCGAAGGTTGACAGTCTCGGTTGCAACGACAAAATCATCAAGAAGTCTGCTTCACCCTCCCTCCCAAACCGTTTAGAACTTGTTTAGCTAAATGTAGGGAGAGGATCCAGCGGGTAGTTCTCCAAGGCCTGTCTTTCGCCGAAACTACCGCTGAAACAGGTCATTCTCCCTATTCAACTTCAGTAAAAGGTGTCTGTGGCACCATGTCTGGGCTTCGAACGCCACACATACCTAACCATTGCTTCTGTACTCCTGAGACCTCAGGGCAGCATTCAGCTGATGCCTGACTCGGAACAGCCTACGCCACAAGTCCCATTACACATCCGACATACTGGTTGCGGTCCAGCTCGAGGGCAAATCGTCCCTCTGTGTCTTTTGAATCACATATAGCTGCTTATAGCATAAACACATCTGTCAGGGTTCCTGCAGCCGTCTCGTAATCATCTACATGCACCGTATGGCGTAACGACCAAATCATTGGGACTTACTTATGCGGGTTCTCGCCTTCCCCTCCTTTGATGTTGTCCTGGTTTCTTCGGCCCCAACCGCTACCAACTGATGCTTTGAAAATGACAATCAACCTCTCAATTGCGATCGTGTGCTCAATGTTATGGCCCTATCTATCTATGGCTGTGCCCGCTGATCCTACAGTCACTTCACCAGCGATACTTCCTAGGCAGGCCGATTCCGATTTCGTGGGGTGGCTGTCTTACGATAACACATGTAGATAACCATGGCTAACTCACCATAATATCCATGCACCAACTGACTTCACTAGGGTCATCGGTCGCGTGCAAGTCAGGCCTAACATGGTACCAGGAAGGAGACTACGCACAGTGCTGTCCAGACACAGAAACAAAATGTAACGCACCAACAGCCTGCGCCGACGGATCGCAAATCTACCCTCTCGCAACGACCACTATAACCACTGCTTGGTATGTGTATTCACGTTCAACATCCTTTCCCATGTTCAGCAGATCTGATTCAAGTGCAGTGCGCTCAACTACAAAAACGAAGCCCTCTCAATCTGCAACTCCGTCTTCATATACGAAAGCTTCGGCGACCCAAACCCAAAAACCGACATCGTATGCGGAAAGTCGTCAGTGAACTGGACCTACTACCGTCAAATCCCCAGTACAGCAACTTCACAATCCGACTCTCAATCTCAGTCTTGTACGTCTCTTTTCCCTTCACTTCCTCTCATCCCGAACACACTGACGACGTACTCTTCTAACCAACAAACCTCCAACCCTCACAGCATCACCCACATCTGCGCCCACCCAAACAGAATCCCCAGACCCCCAATCACAAGAGCATCCTTCCAAGACCCCAAAAACATGGATCATCGGCATCGTGGTCGGACCACTCGCAGGGATCTCTCTCGCCGTTGTCTTACTTTTCTGTCTCTTCCGTCGGAATAGGCAGAGTCCTCATCTCCCGCGCTCTGGGAGCGCGACAATGGTGCCATCTCAGAGAGATGCAAAACCTCATGGGATGGCGCAGGGGACGCCGTATGTTGGTCATCAGGATTCGTCGCCAACTGGTGGGGGCCATACGTATCATCGCCAGTAGGTGGATTTGTTATGTAGGGAGTATTGCGCGTATAGGCTCTTTTGGCAGGTCTTGAACATTCAGGGCGTAAAAGGAAGACATGTAAGGAGTGGGTATTGGTGATACGTATTATGGTATCAGGCTTAGGGCCAAGATGTTCGTGGGAATGATAGCAAATAGATTTCGTAATCCGAGTCTTTTTGTTTGCCCGAAAGACCACGTTCATCACTGGTACCGATATTGGGCAATCGAATATATGAAATTTAGTTCGATCTCCTAGTTTTGAAAACAAACCCCAAAAAAGACAAATCATTTGTTCCAGTGAAGATGAATATCTATGCTATAACATGACGCGAAAACGGACGTCGAAAATTGGATATGCATTGTAAAGTGATCGAATTGAGAAGCGCAAGCCTTGGAACCTAAGAGCTACACCGCACACATTTGGTGTAACTGCATACTGCACGTCACTGTTCATTGTCAAGATAGTTTTTATACTTGCTCATATCATTCTGATAGATTCTGAGAGGTTTCTAATGCCAGATACAAATTTTTCATCCCCCCCCATTCATGCTCCTACCTTCTCGCCCCTGAACTTGTAAGGAAATCTAGAAACAACGTACTACAGGTACTGCAGCCTTAACTGCGACACGAGGGAAGAAAAATCACCGAAAACAATTTGTTCAAGCCTGTTCCCTTCCTACCCAAAGCAAAGTGCAGTGATTGCCAGTCTGGTCAACTAAGATAGAGAAAGCATCGAGTTCTGCATAGAACTTAATTCTCGCCGAAGAGAATGTTAGAAGACAGGAGGCCAATCCGCAGGCCGTGGCGACCCAGGTGAGTATTCTGTAGGAGCTGGATAGTACTTTGGAGAACTTGGAGAGTACATTGGAGAAGCCGGCGAGTACGCTGGAGAAGTTGGGGAGTAAGGCGGTGATGCATGTGGATCTGGATGCCAGGTTGGAGTGCATGGCATAGGATAAGACTGGGCGGGTGGGGAGTAGACGGGAGAGCTCGGAGAATATTGAGGAGACGTTGGGGAGTAGACGGAAGGGCTCGGAGAATATTGAGGAGACGTTGGGGAGTGATGGGGAGATGTTGGTGATAATAGGGAGAAATCTTGACGACCGGGATATGGTGAATAGACGAAGTAGGTAGGAGACTGCAGAGATGAAGAAAAAGGCATGCCTATTGGAATCTTGTTAGATGAAATGCAATTTCTTTATACTATCACTTTGGTGCGGAGAGTCAAGGTCTGAACTGGGGTATCTTACCTTCAACATGAACGTCGCATTTGATGCCCTGGTTCTCGCACATGCGTATTAAATCGCATCTTGGTCCTAGCGGGTTCGAGTGATCTCTCCAGCTTCCTGCGCGGCACTTACTATAGCTAAACTCTTTTAATTTTGGGGTCGCTGTCTTCCATGTCGGTTCTTGAACCCTCTCCCATTCCACATCTTTGTACTCGCGGTAAAGCTGCCTCTGGCATTCCGCTGCCAACTCCTCGCCAGCAAAGAACTTCTTGAGCACCACCATGGTGGGACTACTCGCCGGGTAGCCCGGGTATGCTGGGTAAACATTGTATTCAAGCTCTTCCCAAGCATCGGTGGTGATTTTGAGCCGGCGCAGCCGCGAAGGCAGATAGCTAGCTAGGTCCGGGTACTCAGGCCCATGCGACCAGGTGTAGTCATGACCGAATAGCATGGCGAAGGAAACTTCCAAACTGACGAGGGCAGTGAAGTCGCAAAGAGAGCCTAGACTGTTTTTGAAAGGCTTGTACTCGTGCGGGTTATCATAGTCCTGGGGATCTCTGGGGTGGCTCAAAATGATAGTCTGTAACGTATCCTGACACTCATTGAAGGCCTCTTTGGTGAGGGTTAGATCCAAACATCTATCAAACCTCCCAGTATTCCGATTGGAGTCGTACTCTAGGTTCTCAAGGTTTGGAGTTGATTGTAACATGAGTTTCAAGTCTTGCGGTGGCAGCCTCGACCTCAGCAAGCGCAAGGTTGTCAGTTTTGCAGCCACAGGGAGGATCTCGCTCATAGCAGGTACAGATTGCTGTTGTCTCTCTCGGCTTTCCCACTCGACCCTCCGTAGAGAGTGCTCATCAGGACCCACTGTCAGGCTTTGCAACGAAGGCAGCTTGTACAAGGTGTTTATGATGGAATGAATCAGCGGCGCTTCTTCTTCAGGTGCTGCGATCGTCCAATCCACCCAGCAGATAGAAACACGAGACAGTTGACCGAGAGCTTTGAGTCCCCCGTTCGACTCGGAAGTATCTGAAGCCTGTTCCAGTAGGCTCATTAACCAAGGGTTCCAACCCAATAGGTCAAGGCGAATGGACAGATCTCGAACTTCAGTACACTGATAAAGAATGAGTGACACGAGAGCGTCGATCTGATGTTCCTTCAACGTGACGTTACTCCACGGTCTCTCAAGCAACGTCGAGAAGCTTCCCGCAATAGCGCTTTTCCAGTGCTCTGCCCCCGGCGCTTTTAGAGCATCAATAGCGCCTGCATATACTATGTAGTCATCCAGACTGATTCCTAAACCCCCGTACAGTCCGTCCTCATCATGTTCATGCTCCTTATCTACATGATTGACCTTTACATTTGCTACTAATCTTCCTAGCTCAGGGTTCGCAATCAAGGCATGGAGAAAGCTCTTCAGCTGGCGTGATTCATTTATATGCACTGCACCCTTCGCAGTCCGGCCAGCTAGGAAGCCTCTATTATACGCCATCGAAGGTCTGGAGTGTACTTCAGACCTGCCAATCCACACATTGCGAAAAATCGCTGGTTGGCAGACCAAGTACAGTTCTTTGCTCGTCTTTGCGAGATTGAGAATGTCGGAGAAGGCAAGACGTCTGAAAACGTTGTTCTTGAGCTCGTTTGGCATAGACTCGAGGGACGCCATGTTGGTGAAGGATCTAAGGAGGAAAATCGAAAGACGCGGAAATCGAGGGGTAGATATACCGTTGTTGAGTCAAAGCTTTGCACAGCCTCGGGCGCTTTACGCGATGTGGATGCGGCGCTAAAAGATGACTCAGGATGGGACCATTATGAAAGAGTACCTCATTGAATTATTATGTACAATCGAACATCAAACTTCAACATCAACGATGTTGCTCACTCCGATCCTGGTTGGATCTTGGTAATGTGGGAGGTGGTGGTGGTGGTACTAGGCTAACTTCATCGTCGCTCTCATCCGCCCGTCTCCTATCCAAAATCTCATCTCTTCTTCTATCAAGGCTGTATCCCTTTCTTCGCTCCAAGATATCCCCCTTTCTCTCCTCCGCGCTGTTCTGCATCTGTTCAAGACGTTCATCCAGACTATCTCCACTGTCAGTAGAATCATCCAAGCTCTTCGCAGACTCGATGTCCGTATGTATCACAACTGTTTCATTCTTTCCGACTAACTCCTTCCTGTTTCCATTGTACTCTGGATTTGGATCGCTCGTAATCAAGATTTCCCTCGTCTTCTTGATCTGCGATCCAGTAGGGACGAAGCTTATGACGCGCTCATCGTCAGCTCGCGGTGGCGGCGAAGATTGTGACTGACCCAGCCAATTCTTCCTTGCAGCCTTTGTTGTGAGTTCGATGTAAGGGTTGCGTGGGGCGCGAGAACAAGTCACGCTTGCGCTAGATATATCTTCGGAATTATATTCGTGTGCAACGGAGGCGTGACCAGGACGACGTGCTTTGGAAACTGCAATACGCTTGATGAGGTTGGCCATCGTCATTTCAATGTTGAGCTTGACAAGGTAGGCCAGTGGATGAAATTGGATGTAACTGTTTCTCGTTAGGATCTTGTTTCAGGGTTTTGAATGGACATTAAAGAGTAGTCTTGTGTAGGAAGAGGAGACATAGAGACTTACACGAAGGAATTAGGAATGGACATGGCGAGAATAATCATTACGTCCATGAGTAGGGAGACAACAATAATGCGTTGATTGAAGCGAAGCAATTTGTTATATTTTTGCAAGCCGTTGTTGATTAGGTTCGCTTTGACTGTCTTCAAGAAGTATCCGTTGAGCATCGCGTCAGTAATCAGATACAACACCTTCTCGATGCGATCCCATATCTCGTTGATATGTATATATCTAAACCATAGATGTTAGTAAAGTCGGTAGATCCTTGTGGAGCCCTATTCTGACTCGCCTATGACTGATCTGTAACCGCGCAGGTATCCAAATATTGAAAACGCTGATGTTGATCAAAGTGACGAAAACGGCAGTGGCAATCATGATGTGGCGAGAGAGTTTACGGTCGGGGATGATCACTCGAATGCGGTTGATGATGATTTGAAGAAGCAGTTGGACCTGAATGCACCACCAGAACACTTTACACTGTTAGTTTGGACGCTGACGTAGACGGTCGGGCGTTGAAGTCTTCTCGACACTTACATATCGTGAAGTAAAACGCGAAGCCTGTGTCAAATCTTAGTCGAGAGGTTCTTGATCTCAAAGGGATACAAGATACTCACTGGGTCTGATGATCTTCATCAGATGTAAAAAACACTCCAAACCCATCACGAAGCACACAATCAGTTCCAACCATATTAGCCATACGTATATGCTCTTCCATGGGTAACGCGATCCTATCGTTTGTCCATATCCCAGATAGACTGCAAGAATAGAGAACACTACAGTCAATCCCCAGACTACGGAAGCGATGACCACGTCGGCAAGCGTTATATCCTCGTTTTTGTAAGTCGAAGGAATGAAAGGCCCCCAAGCCACGAAGCCAGGAACGTCCCGGAACTCCCGGTCCATGGTATTGAGTGGGTGAATATATTATAAGATATGGAAAGGTTGGAAGACTGCAGAGTTGCAGAACACTCCAAAACAGTGTCGAAAGGGCGTCGGAACGGTATCCCATATAATAACCTTGAGAGACGACTCAGGCGTAAGACATGGATACAGTGGTGGCATACGGTGCTGTGTCAACAGGGAGTGACCCTCGAGTCAGCTCCAGCACGGCCAGTTCGTTGAACTCTGACTAGAAGTGACAGGATATGTTACGTCGCCTTCCCCAAGTTCTAAATCACAAAAAGACCTGCTATCCAGTCTACTAGACAGACGTGACCTATCAGGAGCATTTTCCATTCGCTCAAGGATACGTGCCTTCCTTGACAAGTATTCGATGTCCACAACGATAGCCCGCTTTGCTGTTGTTGTTTGGGAATGACCTAGTAGGAACTTAAAGGTACCGCTGTTTGCCTCACCTAGCCTCCGCAAAATTTGCCCGATATGGAAGTCCTACTGGAGAAAGTTGCTCGCAGATAACGCGTAAGGCTGGAGTTGACATGAGTCGATGCCATTTTTCGTACAGATTCAACTGTGCGCCACAGCAAGAAAAGCTAGCGGGCTACTCAGATGGGCCAGGAGGTTCTCACCTATGTGAGACTATGTGAAGATGAGACGGTAAGAAGACAGGAAGTTTTGGCATACGCCTCGATTTTGGAGCCGCGCTACCGGGAGAGGGTTGTGCTTGCTGCGGTGTCATAAGCCTCAAAGCACACTATAATAGTTCCCACTTGAAACTGCTGGGTATGTCTCCCTCATGCATCCGGTGTTCTGGAGAGCTGCACAAGAAGCGTTTAGTTGGTATTCTAGATCACTCAGGGGCGAAGTTTGGGAATACTGCGATACACAACATCCCAACATCAATTGAGATTCTCTTCTATTCGCACGTAAGTTGAGGTGCACTCGTGAAAAATCCCAAAAATAATGAGATAGGGTGATCGACCTTGCTATATTCGGATCGGTGTTATCAGAATTGTAGATCACAGATATGATCTACGAGGTATTCGAAAGAGACGCAACCTTGAGCGCAATGTTTAACATATGTTGATTGGGTGGCCAAATGTACGTCTTCATCAGCGAGAACGGCCCGAAAACTCGTGTTTCGTAATCGCGAACTTCACTAGCCTTTGTCTAGCATCATGCCCTGCCGCACACCCTGCAACGGGAACGCCGTACGAGATAACCCAAGGCGAACCTGCGACGGGAACATTCCGTGTGCATAATGCATGGTTCGAACAGGAACCGGGGAAAATAAACGATTGCCGTGTCAGATTTCCAGTTCGAACTGAGGTCCAAGGACCCTTAGTTTGGTGTCATGGGATTGAGCGATGGTGGTAGACCGAGAGGCCAAGAATTCGTCGGGATGAATGTGGCAACTAAATGAACACTGTTCGGCTTTGTCCGGTTGCTGCTCTGAAAAGTGGTTGGTTCCTTGCGATCAGTCGGTACCATCAGTACCGTGGAAGGCGATTCTGACTATCAGCCATCATTTCATTGAGATTCCAGGGTAATGCCCATCAGAAGGCAATTTTGTCGATTGCAAACGCCACGTCCGTCTTCCGCTGATCCCGAAAACAGTTGATTGCAGGCGCCGTCCCAGGGTAAGATCAGTTCCACCGCTATTAGTGCAAATCCCCCGCGATCCAGGCTCACTGACCTGATTCAAGATGCGGCATCACTACGGGCCAAGCTTTTTCCCGTCCCGCTGAGCCGTACCAGAGGAACAAAACATATGGTGGTGGCTGCCTATTCGGTGGTAATTGTCTACACGTACTACGTTTCCCTGCTATAGTTGAGTTGTAATAAAATGGATCGGATGTCCCAATCACCTGTCACCGGAGCATTCGCCATGCCACAACAATGGCCTTCCGAATGATCAAACAACTTGTTCAACTCAAAATTTTCATATTCATTAGCTGGCTTTGGGTGATTCTATTCGCGACTGGAGAATTGAACAGCCTGCTATGATAGTAAGAATCTAGGATATCAACCTTGACCGATTTTCCATAGGGCTATCACGAGAGATAATAAGATGAAACTCTGCAAGGTGTCTGAGAACCCAGAGTATCCATTTGAATGAACGAGAAGAGCCATAGTATGATTCAAATCATCATCACGTGAGGAATATTCACAATTTGCCATACAGCTTTGAGGAATAATCGTGGTAGGCATCATCTAGGGCTCACCTTTGAATGTCATGTGGCAGTTTGTGCTATTGCGTTCCTGGATTCAAGACAAAGTATGTCGAAATCACTAAAACATGTAAAATGACAGAGAGTCCTACACGAAACCTACAGATGAAGACCAATTCGTGGTGCTTTGGCATGAGCGACCGAAGACATGAGCATGCAAGCACCCTAGGGAGGTCACTGGTATCGACTGCTCGTAGGTATGTCCCTCTTTTCACCCTCCATTGTTTGACGTTCTCTTTAGTGATGAGTTTATGAGCATCAGCGTTCAGGAGGAGATGATCGTTGACAATTGAGCATGAACTGAAAACTTAGTAAAGGGTAATGTGCAGATCATCTGTGCTTGCTCACTTCACGCAAACTCGATCTTGCCACTGCACATGATCGCACGGGTCTTGCACAGCGATATTGACGAGATACGCCTCTAAGGCAGAGAAACCGACGGCTGTATCATGAACGGTCATGGGCGACTTGTGATTGAGAAAATTCCTCTCGGTAAAGTACCAAAACTCTTCGCTAAGAAGACTCGTCCGGCACCTCCGAGAAACAAATTATCAGACTAGTCAATCATCTCTTGTCAGTTTCGTGACATCACGTAACGTGTGTTTGCCTGAAGTCTTCAGATCAATCGCCGTGTTGTCTTACTTGGTGTTGCGTTGGATCACAATGGCCGCGATGACTTCTTGATGAACGAAGGCAACACATTTTTATGCAAAGCCAACACTCAGAGTAGAAGGATCGAATAAAATAAAAGTAAGCTTTAGGTAGACTTTAATCACTCAATACTACGATGAGTTCAAATCTACATGTCAATTGACTCATTTCATCGCGAAAATCCAATGTTGCAAGATAATCATCAATTGACACTAACAGACGACTGGAAAGTAATTTGTAGTATGAATACTGCGTATTTGTAAAGAAGACTTTTGATTGGAGTTATGCCATATCCAATTCAATTCTTACAGTGGTATAGGTGTTGCTCGCACTCAACCAACTCCAACTCAGAATTAACTCTCCGGCCGATGCCTCCGCATTGCCATCTCATAGTGATGGGATTGAAAGTAAGTCAGGGTGAGTCGTAGAAGCACAAAATTGATTGTAAATCATCAACAGGCAATGATTAATACACACCAACATATGAGCAGTTATGGAACTCATGGTCCGATTGATATGGCTTACGACTGGCTTACCATGGCTTATGGCTTACCACCGCCGCTTAACCAAACTTAGTAGCTGTTCTAACTCAAAACTGCAATGGTGCGTCACCGCGTTCCCTTTCTCGGACTAGCGGTTCTGCTGCGCGCAAGCTGCTTATATCCGAGGTGCTTCATCATCCCAATCTGGCAGCATCGCTGTATGTTCAGATCGCCAGTGTATTCTATATAGCTTTGTATTTTCTCTCAAACATGAGGCCTTGCCCTAGTATCTGCCAATTGCTTCTCATTTCATTGCAATTGTTACTTGAGCTCGGAGAAAGCGAGTCTCAAAGCACTGAGAAATGAGCTCGAAATTCCACACCACTGCCTTCGGTCAACTGGTGCGCATCGTGTCCTGTGGTCGAACTCTGCGCTATCCAGATGAAGTCGATCCTATCATATGGAAGAGAGCAATTGCGCAACAATTTCAAGGACCATCACCGGAAAATCAGCAGACGTCCCAATGTGCAGTGGAAGGTGTGCACAATGCTCAAGAAGCAGCGAACAAAGAACAGAAATCAAGCGAATCGTACAATGAGGAGCCAGGCGCAGATAGTCTGTTGGTGGGGTGGTATGATGCAGGAGATCTGGAAGTGAGTATCTGAAATCTAGCTCTTCTGTGTTTGCCAGAATGAGGATTGCTCATTGATCGACTGTGGCACAGAATCCTCAGAATTGGCCCGAGAATTATAAGCACTTCATAACCCTTCAATTATGTTTGCTGAACTTCGGAGTCTATATCGCAAGCTCTATCTACGTTCCAGGCGAACCTGGTCTAATCCAGGACTTTGGTGTCAGCAAACCCGTGGCGACGCTCGGCCTATCACTCTTCACTATGCAAGTCCTTCTGATGATCGAATTTTGGCAATCACTGATATATGTCTACAGAGGATACGGAATAGGTCCAATGCTGTGGTCTCCATTGTCCGAACTACCGAAACTCGGACGCCGCGATATCTTCATCTGGACGCTCTTCGCCTTTATTCTCCTTCAACTCCCCGTGGGCTTCGCACCAAACGCCCCAGTGTTTCTCTTTTTTCGATGGCTGAGTGGTTTCTGCGGGAGCCCTTGCTTGTCTACCGGCGGCGGCGTCATCACCGATATGTATGCGCCAACGAGGGTTCCGTATTTCCTCTGCATATGGTCTGCGGCGGGAGTGCTTGGGCCCATTCTCGGTCCGCTGATCGGTGGATATCTGGCGCCGAGTATGGGTTGGAGGTGGACTATATGGGTGGTTACTTTCTTATGCGGTTTTGTGTTTGTGGTTATGTTCTTCTTTTTCCCCGAGACTAGTGCTGCTAACATCTTGTATGAGCGCGCGAAACGGCTTAGGAAAGCTACGGGGATGAGTCGATTGCGAAGTCAATCTGAGATTGATTCCGCGGATCACACGATGAAGGACAATCTGCGACTAGTCGGACGAGCGTTCACTCTGACGTTTTTCGAGCCGGTTGTTCTGCTCATCAATCTGTTCGCTGGACTTCTCTACGGTGTTCTCTTCACTTGGTTCGAGTCGTTCCCTCTTGTGTTCGGAGGCATCTATCAATTCAGCCCCGGCCAGCAAGGACTCGTGTTCCTCGGTATTTTGGTATTTTCCGCCATCACCTTGCCCCTGTTCCTTCTATGGATCAAGTTGCGCCTCGTTCCTGAAATGAAATCGGGAATTTTCAAGCCCGAGATGGTCCTCCCGCCAGTAAGTTTCAATGGTATGAACGAAAGTTTGACCCAAATATTGACCGATTGCATAGGTTAGTATAGGAGCAGCAGCACTTCCAATCTGCTTGTTCTGGTTCGGCTGGACGTCGCGAGCAGACCTGCATTGGATCTTGCCCATAATCGGTTCTGGGTTCTTCGCCATTGGCATTATTACATTGTTCAATTCGCTTTACATGTACCTTGGCATTGTTTATGCTCGGTATGCTGCGTCCATCTTCGCAGGCGCCGCCCTTTTTCGCGCCACTTTTGGCGCGACTTTTCCGCTATTTGTAAGTCATCTCGTGGTGTTGCTTCGATGTTGGCTAAAAGGGTTCGAAAATAGGCCCCATCATTGTTCGACCGTCTTGGAGTTGGCCCTGGAAACTCGTTATTAGGTGGCATTGCGGTGCTGTTCTTCCCCATCCCGCTCGTATTCTATCGCGTGAGTGGATCAAATCTCTCAAGAGATCGTTTTTGATGTATTGACTCTGTATTAGTACGGTGAAACGTTGCGAGGCTGGAGTAAGAATGCTCAATAAGAACTGACCTCTGTTTTTGTCAGCAGGACGCGCTTCCAATAGAATCACTAAATGCATTCATCGACCGTGGCGAAATGTTTGACCCGAAGACCAAGCGGGAGAGTAGCAGGATCACCAAATGTATACGCAACAATCTATAGACAGTTGAACTGAAGCCTATTATCTATCACGTAACCTGTGCTATATGCCACATCCTATCTTTGAAGTTTTCGACCTCAACGTCATAATTCATTACACCTATCTCTAGCCCCACCGTCGCCCCTCAGTCAACCGAATCCACCATCGACCTAAACCCCACCTCAATCACAATCCGTCGTTAACGAAGCTTAACAAAGCTTACATCCGACCTCGCTTATTTCTTCCTAACCCCGGGTTTATACGAACCAGGGATCTAATTGCTAGAAGGGATACGACACAAAGCTTAGCGCGATCCCGATTCCGATCGCACTAAGTCCGCATTCGTTTATCGAGCCTGTTTGGTAAGTTCATCCGATTCTTGTGATAGACATATATATGATATTCACTGTTTGTATTTAGATTTATTTTGCTATCATAAGCTATTTCGTTGATGACAAATGTTGAACGATGTTGATAATCGATGGCGTAGGCGTAAAGTTCGTCCGCTTCTTAACCCAGATCTGCGCTTCAATACAGTGATAATTGTCATGATTGATCAGTAGGCAAGTTTGGGGATGTTGTAAATCCCACGAGATCGTGGGCAATCATAGTCGGAGAATGAAATGTCCCGACTCAATCTTTCGGCGCGGACTCGGGGTGTCAGATTGAAAACGGGATCTAAAAGCTAGCTAAATTATTGTAAGGATTGTGTATTGGAATACATATATAAATAGAGGACTTTTCCCCATCGTCTGTTTTCCACCTTTATTGGAACTTAAATATATCCTTTCACTTCGAACTCAACACCAGCTCACGACAAAGAAAGGTCGCAAGTCAAATATTCTTATCTCATCAATTTTCAATCTGACATCACCCCTCACTGTACTATCTCACCCCACCCTACCATCAACAACTCCTAGAAAATGCCACCACCGGTTCTCTCCACCCTCCCTAAAGGCCGACCTCTAGTCCTCGCCCTAATCGGCGCCACAAGCGGTATAGGCTCCTATACCGCGCGCGCTCTCTGCCGCACCTTCGCCTCGAACCCCAAGAAACTGCGCGTCTATCTTGTCGGGCGCAACGCGTCTCGCGCGGCCTCGATCCTCGAGTACGCGAAGGAAGTTTGCCCCGGGTCCGAATGGGTGTTTCTAGAAGTGGAGGATCTAGCGCTGATGAGCGAGGTGGATGACGTTGCGAGGCGGATCGAGGAGGCGGAGGAGAAAAAGGCGTTTTGGAGCGGGGAGGATGAGGAAGGGATGAAGACGAGGAAGAGGTTGGATGGGATGTGGCTGTGTCAGGCGTTGTCTCCGATGCAGGAGAGTCGAGGTAAGTTGTCAACTGTCTATTTCCTTTTGGATGTAGTTGGGGTTAGGGATGATTTTTTTTTTGGTTTCATGTATTCGACCATGCTTTACTTCTGGGTAACTTGATCCTATTGAGGCATGCCGTCAAAATGACAATGATCAATGTACTCCCGCAGGAAGACCCCATTCTCCCCGAAAACAAAACAAACGAAGAATCACGCTCTAACACCAGACGAAAAAACAGTCACAAAAGAAGGCCTAGACACTCAACTCTCCCTCCTCTACTACTCCCGCATCCACCTAATCCAAAAGCTAATCCCGCTCCTGATTTCCTCTCCCCACCCTTCCCACGTGATATCCATCTTCGCCGGCGGATACCAAGACAGAATCTCCACCACAGGTCCGCCACCCATCGGAACACCGTCTCCAAAAGCCTACGGCATGACATCCGTCCGCACGAACGTGGTCTTTATGAAAACCTTCCTCTTCGAAGAACTGGCCTCCAAATACGCCGGGAAGATCAGTTTCACGCATATCTATCCGGGATTAGTGGATGGGCCTACGTTCTATAGCGTTGTTAATCCATGGTGGGCGAGGATGCTGTGGAGAGTTATCATGAAGCCGTTGCTAAGCTGGTATATGACGTCGGCTGAGGTGTGTGGGGATGTTATGGTAGGGTTGTTGGATAGTGTGCGTTATCCGCCTCAAGGAGGCAGTGGAGGAAAGGGGGAGATGAGTACGCGGGCAGAGCCTGGGGATGGAGCGTATGGGGTTGGGCAGAGGGGGGATGCTAGCGGAAAGGTGATGTATGAGGGGATTCGGAAGGAGGATACCGGGAAGCGGGTTTGGGAGCATACTATGGGTGTTTTTGAGGAGATTGATAAATAGGGCGGTAATGCGTAGGGTGTGTGGTTGTGGGTGTCCTGACAGTGACTGCGAATTGCAATTTTAAAAATCGAGCTGTCTCGCCATCAAGTAAAAGTGTTGGTAATTAACGAGAATATTATTTAATGTAACTTGCTCAAAGCTCAGTTGTCTCGCTGCCCGCACCTTCAAATTCTGTGAGCACGAATTAGCTTTGATTACCAACAGTCATGCCATGATGCTTACCTCTGATCCAGTCAATGACAAAGTTCTTGAGGAACTGCTGTGCGTACACAACCTGGTTAGGCGGTAACGTGGGAGTGGTCTCATTATCGAAGATACCATTCTCTTCCCAATGATGAACTCCGTGTGCGATTTCTAGCCAAGGCTTTTCCGTCGTAGAGTTTCGAGTCTGAGGTCCGTCCCTGAGAGGAGTGGCCATCTTCCAGGGGTCGGCGTTACCACCGATGATTGCCAGACGAGGAGCCTCGATATCGAAACTCCCGTATTTGTTGACATTCTCGACCTTGGGTGGGGTTGTGATGTTGAATGACGAGCGGCAGAAGTACGTGAGATATTCCAGGTCAGCGGCGCGAGAGATCAAGGGCTTGATGTCTTCAGGAGTGTTGCCGGTCTGGATGTAGCCCCATTCCGTACAGACCTGGTAGTTCCAGCTTCGCCATGTTTCTGCCGCATCGAGATCCACCTCTTGCCAATATGTATCGTTCAGCTGAGTGAAGTACTGATCCTGGGACTCGCCCGATTCTTCCCAAGCAGCCAACGACGAGCCGCCATAGTAAGCGATGCTGTTTAGAATGACGTTTTCCACAGCGGTACTATTGGCCGGATAGCCTGCTGCAGATACTAGTGTCTGCACCGTAGAACGCTTGGACTCGTATGCCGAATCTAGCAGGGTGGTAGCGGAGATGTTGCCGCAATAGTTGAACGTCGTTGGCGAGTTGAGCTCCGGATCCCAGTTAGTGCTCTGCCAGCCTGGAACTCCACCAAAGATGTATGCGAAATCGCGATTGTCGGTAACACTCCCAAAGCCAAAAACGTCTTTGAGCTGCTGAACGAGCTCTGTGCTATTTTGCCTGATTAGGATGCCGTCAATGACGTCGATCAGAGTCTGCGTTCCAGCCACACAATCTGGTGGAGCGAACAGGCGGATTGGTTCGAAGTACTCCCAGTATTCGTAGATGGCGGCAGTGACTCCCGAACTTGAAATTGTGCCTAGGAAAGTATCGGGGTATGCAACCCGGAGAAACGCAGCTTGGGCACCAGCATACGAGCCGCCATAGATGATCCATGGAGCTGAGTTGATTATTAGTAAAATGCGCGCGATTGCTGCAAGAGGCAATTGACGATGAAAAGACGAAGACGGATGATGTATCGGGGATTGTGGATGATGGAAACTTACTGTTCGGAGCGGTGAGGTCTGCGTCGACGCCCTCAAACTCTACGTTTCTGGCAAAGTAATCGATCTCAGCGAGACTCTGCTCGGTGGAGAGGAACCTCAAATTTTCCGTAGAAACATTAAGGAACGGGTGAGAAGTGCCATAATAACGATGCTCCAGAATAACGCCGATGCCGTTGGTGGCTTTGGCGACTTGGTTCACGATGCCTTTCTGTAGGAAGCCCAACCTGTTGACGGCGCTAGTCTCTCCGGAAAGCAAAACAAATACAGGACCACCGGGCTTGTAATACTGAGCATCAAAAAAGTATCGCAAGTTGAACGTAGCGTTGGTGTGCGGTTCGTATCGAGTTTCATTGGGGAAGAAGTCTAGGGGTACGGTGAGGTTGTGCCCTTCGTAGAGATCCTCCGGGTCAGTGTCGCGCTTTGCCAGTGACGTGGATGCTCTGGAGATACGACGAGCTTTGACTTCCTCTTTCTGTGAGATGAAAAACAGTGAGCCCAACACTCTGATATCATGGGTTTCGTCCCATCAAGTGGCGTAGTTTGGGGGATCAAACTTACTTTGGCCCTCAACTCTCTTATGGTTGGGGTTCGGCCTAAGGCGGAAGCCTGGAGGCCGAGGAGCGCTCCTACGAGAAGAGTTGACAGACGCATGATTGTCGATGAACAACAGCAACAGAGCAGAGAGCAAAGTCGGGTCGGTAAGGAAAACGAAAAAAAGTGGCGATTGAGTTGTTATTATTTATACATCAGAGTAGCACCATGCCAGGCACGATGATGGCATGGATAGTTTGACACGGATCACAGCATGGGTAGCTGTGGGGAACGAGCATCTTGGAGGATAATAGGAAGGTGGATAAATCAAGCTCCCGCCGGCGCTGCGCTCGAACCAGCAGGAGGAAAGATAGCGCCAGAGCATCTATCAATTGGCCTCATGCACCCGCCACTGTTGCCATTTTGTTGACGGGGAACAATAGTAAGAGGCCGAATTGTGCTGGGTCCATGTCCTGCTGGTGCCTCCGTCTGACATTCCCCTGAAGAAAATAAGAAAACCTAAGTATTGTTCAGTGAGACCACAGCATACGCACAGATGTAGCAAGACAAGCAAGAGATTTTAGTATTGTTATGACAGCATGTGAATCTCTCGCAATAAGTGAGAGAACAAAAAAAATTGAAAATAAAGTCCAAGCACTCTTCTCATACCTCCGACAGCAGGCGTTGAACGCAAGCATTTGCAGCCGACAGGAACCCTTGGCGAACTCTTCATTGCCGTCTTGACAGTCTTGATAACGCCACCGAATATATCAGCTAGCCAAGTACATACAATCAAATATCGGTACATGGTGATAGTAGTGCTGGACGAGAATCTTAGATACACAACAACACCCAACATGCCGTCCACCGCCAGCAACCCCATCGAGCAAGCTCCCCGAGGCTATCGCAAATACGTCATCCCCCTCGAATCCAACCCTGCCGTGTTCGACGAGCTGATCCATCGCCTTGGTGCGAGTAGCCTTCGCTTCGAGGATGTATACACCCTCGACGATGCGCAGCTTCTGCATCAATTGTTTCCTTGCATCCATGCCTTCATCCTTGTGCTACCCACCACCGAGGCTTACGATAAAGATGTCGAGGAACAGGACAGGCACTTGGACGAGTATCAAGGGTACGGCCATGGCGAGCATGTAGTCTATTTCAAGCAGACCATCTACAATGCCTGCGGCTTATATGCTATACTGCACGGACTTTGTAATGGGAGCGCCAGAGAACATCTTGGTACGTTGCGAGAAATCCACGCTTCGCCGTGAAGAGGGTACAGTCACTCATCTTGTACCAGGACAGGATAACGCACTTAGCAAGTTGCTCGCCCGAAGCATCCCCCTCCCACCTGAGCAGCGTGCTCTTGCTCTCGAGAACGACAGTGCGCTTGAGGAGGCTTATGTAGCAGTTGCTACTAAGGGGGAGACTCAAGCGCCAGATGCCGAACATGTCATGGATTATCACTACATTTGCTTTGTCCAATCCCACAAGACAGGCCATCTTTTTCAGCTGGACGGAGATCGCAAGCAACCCATCGACTTGGGGCCCTTGGACGAGCGAGGCCTACTTTCCGACTCATGCCTTGCCGTCATTCGACATCTGATCACCGAGGAGGAGGGCGCACAGATGGGGGTAAATCTGATGGCATTGGTTTCTGATTCTCCGCCCGCTTAACAAACACAAAGTCCCCGTACCATCTTCATTGTATACATTCATATGTAGGTGCGCTTGGAGTCACACTCTTCGTAGGATTTCTCCGAAGAGCGAGGAAGTGTGAACTATGAAGGACCTATTGTTCTGGCAACGTTTCGAGGACACTCGACCGTGAAGAAGAGTGCGCGCAGAGCAGCAGCCGCATACACAGCATCCGACGCAAGACGCGAGGATGAAGGATGCTCCTCGAGAGGACTTGTGAAATGTATCAAAGACGGCAAGTGACTGGTTTGCTTGTTGCTGTTGTTATAGATTGTGCAAGCCAGACGGTAGCTGGGGAGTCCATCACCGTAATCGTTGGGTCATGTACACAGGCAAAAGTTTGCTGATTGCTATTGTTGCCTATCGATGCACACGACCGAAGGCTTGATTTGCACTGCCATCTAGCTTGTGCGATGAAGGCGCAGTGATTGATGGATACTGACCTAGATAGTATGTACATAGGTAGGTATAAATGGACTTGTGAAAGAAAGAAGAGTTCGTTCAAGCCCCACGTTTCCTGCGACAAAAGTCTCTGGAGCGCCAAGCCCACTAAGCGCTTTTAGTGACTAGAGAAAGCGCGAGCCAGACCGCAGCTCCGCATACTATCTCACTACTTACTCTTCACACACACGACTTGCGCCTCTCGATCTGTCTCCCTGCCCAAGAGTTGACACCGAATCAGTCGTCAGTACCGGTCGCGTACCCTCCAACTTTCTCTAATCCCCAGGTTAAGGGTTGCCAAGATGACGAAAAAGAGAAAGAGGTATCCCGATCTCAACCAGAAGCTCGAGCGGCCATGGTGCTACTACTGCGAGCGCGACTTCGATGATTTAAAGATTCTCATTTCCCACCAAAAGGCGAAACATTTCAAATGCGAGCGTTGTGGGAGGCGATTAAATACGGCTGGAGGTAAGCAATTCCATTTCCCATACACCCAGGACTGCGACAATGTTGACGCTGTATCTCAGGTCTTTCCGTGCACATGAACCAGGTTCACAAGGAAAACCTCACGCATGTCGAGAATGCAATCCCGGGTCGCCAAAATCTCGACATCGAAATCTTCGGCATGGAAGGTGTACCTTCCGAGATCATGGAACAGCACACCAATGTTGTGACTGAAAAGCATTTCAGTGAAGAAGCAGAGAGGCAGCGTCTCAGCGGCAACCCCGCTCGAGGAGGAATGGGTGGTGAAGGCGGTGTAGCGAGCAAGAGGGCGAGGGTGCACGAAACACTGGAAGAAATCGATGAGCGTGCCAAAAAATGGATGACAGATCGGAAGAATGGGGTCGCAAGGCCCGTCAAGGCTGAAGCGAAGCCGGTCAGTAACCTCCCTATGGCAATGCGCGCATGGTCAGTCTTGCGCACGCTTTGAGTTACTAACAATCTGCATAGACCACACCAGCACAAACCGCCCCGACTTTCCCTCCGGCCGCGCAACCCGGATTCCCGCCAGCAGGTCTTCCCGGCCAACCACCGTTCCCACCTGGTCAATTCGCACCACCGGGTGCGCTGCCTTCTCGTCCTGGTTTTACGCCCCCTCAGCCCAATTCATTCCCTCCCGTCCATGGCCTTCCACAGCAAATCGACGAGCTCATCGCGTCATCGACAGCTGCTACTGGCGAGCAATCAGCGCCGGAGAAGGAGAAGAAGGCGAAGAAGGGCAAGGAGATCAAGTTAGTTTTCTTCGACGAGCACATCAGTCCCGAGGAGAAGATGGCAAGACTACCGAGGTTCGCAGTGCAAGTTTGAGAAGGAGGACGGCGTGGATTCGGGCTTTGTTCTCGGATGTGCTTCTTGTGCAAGGGACAGATTTATTATGAGGATTCAAACAACGCAGAGCTGGATACTCCAGGGAAGCAGCCATACTTCTACAATGAGGCAAGATGTACAACAACGGTGTGGCATGGAGTCGTTGGCAGCACTTGCACGAAGTCCATCTAACGATGGAGCACAAGCGTCTTCCATAAGTGACGATGCAATGAAAGCAAGTCGTCACATCAAAATTAGGGTCATCTTGAAAAAAGGCTCCAGCTAGATACCGCTCCTGGTCAAGCCGTTTTAGCAACTTATCCTTCAATTGCTATGGTATATGCCTGCTATGAATCTACATACAATTATGATGGTGATAATGATAATGATGATGATGTGATAAATCATGTACAAGGAGAATGGTATAAATCGTAAGCTCCATACGCTGGCTTCATATGAATCGCCGAAACGCCGCACAAAAAGAAGTGGAGTACGCTTCCTTCCTCTGAATGCTAAATTTCAAGCAGACAAATCTGCCAAACAAGAATGAGAGACCCCAATGAAACGGACTCGCTGTGAGATTTGCAAAGGTATTGGCGCTCTTATCGCTCTGCAGGTCGTCAAAATCTCCTTTCTCGCCAAAGAGCGACCCTTCACATACCCTCAAACCCCAACTCGTCGCCCTCGGCCTGCTCGTCCTCATCGTACTCCTCACTCTGCTCATCCTCGTCCTCACTACTACTCCTATACACGACACTAGCGCGCGCCCACTCTGCGCTCTCGTCTAGACTCTGTCCAAGATCAAGACCGCGCGTGTACTCGAGACCCGCGGATGCAGCTTGTCGCTGGTCAATAGTCGCCGCCACACCGCTGAGATCGTGTTCCGTATCAGGGATAGGGTCGATTTCGCGGAGCGCACGTGAAGGCTCCTCATCATCGTCGTGATCTGCCATGGGCGGAGCAACAGTAGCAAACCCCACAGACTTCCCATGAGAAGGCGATTGCGACATTGATGATTGGTGGTGCTGTTGAGCTGGGTGGTGGTGGCCCCGACGGGTCTCGACGACATCGCCGTCCCATGGCATGCACTCTTTCACGATCTCGCCGCAGCGCAGACATGTCCAGCCTTCGCCTTCTTCGTTTGCAATACGTTGTGCTAGACATGCGAAACAGTATATACAGCCGCATGGTACAGTTTCATAGGGGTTCGTGATATCTGTTGCTGCGGAGCCGACGACGCCGCCGCCAGATGTGGATTGCGCGAGGATATCTTGCTCAGTGGCCGTCGGGGGGTTTTGGTCGCGGTAGCAGATGGCGCATGTGCGTTCGGGAAGGAATGAGAGTTCGCCTGCGGGCGTGGGGTCGTCGTCATCTTCGATAGAGGGAGAGGATGTTTTAAGGCCGAGGAGGGTGAGGGTTGAGGTGCGGAGTTTGCGCCATGTACGGGCGAGGATGCGGCGCCAGCGTGAGATACCGACGAGGGGGAGGAGGAACAGGAGGAATTCGGTGAAGGCGTGCCAGACGAGTTGGCGGTTCAGGTATTCGAAAGAGACTTCGCGACTTGTGGAATGTGAGGTTGGGGTCAAGCGGAGACGTAGAAAACGATCGGTCAGTGTTCTGTATCTGCCATTGACGAGGAAGACGAGGAAGGATGCTAGAGACGCAAAGTCATGCGCTGAGCCTAGATAGTCGGAGATTTGCGAGGCGAATTGCAGAGTCTCGGACTGCGGGCGGGTGTAGTCCTCAGATGCAGAGAGGAGGTAGTCTTCCCACTTTGCCCATGCGTAGCGACCGCCCACTGTAATGGCACCGTATGCTGTCTTCTGCCATTTTGAAGGCCGCGGCCGGTCGGAGCTGGTGCTACGGGCATCTGTGTATCGGAGACCCTGGAGGTGGGCGCCATAGCTGGCATCGTTGTTCCACACACTGAGCTTGAACAGAATCAAGCGAAGAGCAAGCAGAATCTCGGGGGTGTAGCTGTCGGCGATATGGGTACCGAAGTATTTCAGACCCTCGGAGACCTGGCCCTTGAGCAGGTCGAGTAGTTCTTCGTCGAGTAATTCGGCGTCGACTTGACCGACGCGAAATTCAGGCTGGGTACCTTCACGCCCCCGAATGGAATGCCATATCGAGAGGCCAGTGTTTCCGAAGCGGTTGAAAGGGAAGGGCAAGCGGGCTATGGACGAGGTGGACTGCGCTGTGCGGGCTGCTTCATGTTGGGCCCGAGCGCGTTGTGCGCGGCGGGCTGCGATGCGTTCTTGAGCTGCGGCGAAGTCGGCGGATGGCATTGAGGGTCATGGGGAGGTGTCGAGAGCGGGCGAGACGGTCAAGAGGGCGATGGGATGGGTGGAGAGAGCAAGAGGTGACTTTGTTTGTATCAGTCAGATGGGCCGAGGTATGCTGGCTGGTCTGCGGAATCACGTCGGAACCCTTGACTACATACATGTGTACTTGTGTTATGGAGCACTCTCGACATCCATGCGGAGCACTGCGGGGAAGCAAAAGCTCTATCGCAAGGCAAACATGCAAGTTCAATGTTGATGTTATTGCTGTTGTTGATCGTGTACAATTGGGAGCTTTTGCGATTTTTGCCATGTCCTCGGTCCATTCAATCGCTTGGAACTCCACACACAGAGGGTAGGAACGAGTGCCATACGCTCAAACCGTTGCTGCCTCATGCTGTTCACTACCATCCACTCTGCACCGCGATAATTGTTCCCCCCCACCACCACCATCATCACCACCTCTCACCATTTTCTTGACTGCCAGCTCCAAAGCCCCGCCACCCCGAACTTGATACCTGCCTACCTACCTACCTACTTTACTCAACATACTTTCCTGCAGTGCATGTCGACAGCCTAGAAGGCCATGCAGGTGGAATTTGGCGCCGTAGAGGTGCCCGGTGAGGCCAACCCCCTTACTGAAGGCATCCTGTTCCATGTTCTGCGCTCGGCCTCTTCGTCGGACCCAACCCAGATTCAGACGGGCGCAAAGCAGTTGCAGGAATGGGAAAAGGCCACTGGATATTATCCTTTGCTGCAGACTGTCTTCATCGATAAATCCTTACCTTACGAGGTTCGCTATCTCGCCATCATCCAACTCAAGAACGGCATCGATAAATACTGGCGCAAGACCGCCACCAAGTACGTCGAGTCCCTTCCTCACCCCATACCCTTCCCCTTGTTTCTGACATTTCATAGTGCCGTCTCCAAGGATGACAAGTCTCTGGTTCGATCAAGACTGTTGCAAAGTGCCATCAACGAGGCCGATCATCGTCTAGCTTTGCAAAATGCCCTCGTCATTGCCAAAATCGTCCGTACCGAATACCCCAACGACTGGCCACAATTGTTCCAAGAACTCCTCCAGATTCTACGCGCCTCTCTTGATCCGAACAACTTCTTCCAACTCCAGCTTCCCCGCGCTCTCAGGGTGCTACTGTACATTGTGAAGGAGTTGTCGACCGGCCGTTTGCTACGAACTCGTCAAAATCTACAAGCAGTTGCACCCGAGATATTGAACGTCCTGGGTACCATATACGTGAACAAGGTACACACATGGTATACTTTTTTCCGAGATGGTGGAGACGACGAAGCTGGCGCTCTAGAGAGCATCGAGAACAGCCTGCTCGCGATCAAGACCCTGCGACGGCTGATCATGTCAGGCTATGAATTTCCAGGCAGGGAAAAGGATGTCCAAGAATTCTGGACCCTCGCTCGGCAGCAATTCGCAGAATTGCTCCCCTTTGTTGTGAATGAAGATTCTCGGCTTGCTCCACCTGTCACCAAGCTGATAGAAAAACACTTAATGCAATTGGCCAAGTTCCACCTTGCTATGGCTACTAATCATCCCGCCGACTTTGTATTGTTGCCCGACTCTCTGGGTCTTGTTCGTGCCTACTGGGGTCTCGTATCCCAGCTTGGAGAAACGTGGGGTTCCAAGTCGGTTGATACTGCTAAAATCGGGACCGACGGGGACCGAGAAGATGACGATGCGCCTATCCTTGAGCGCCTGGGCCTGAAGGGCTTGTTGCTTGTTCGTGCTTGCGTGAAGATGGTCTTTTATCCCACGCAAACCTTCCGTTACAAGCATCAGCAGGAGAAAGATGAGCGAACCAAAGCTACCCAGATGATCAAGTCGGAGCTGCTCACTGATGATCTTGTCCGTGAACTGGTTTCGACCCTTGTTACGCGCTTCTTTGTTTTCCGACCCAGCGATCTGCGCATGTGGGAGGAAGAGCCAGACGAATGGGAAAAGATGGAAGAAGGCGCCGAGGATTGGGAATTTGCAATTAGGCCATGCGCTGAGAAGCTCTTTTTAGACCTCGCCAAAAATTTCAAGGATTTGATCGTGCAACCCTTGCTGGAAGTTTTCCGCTCCGTTGCTAGTGAGTTTGCTACCTCATTCAATCATGGACATGCACTAAGTTTTGGCAGCACCCGACAACGAGGATGTTCTATTCAAAGACTCTGTATACACCGCGGTTGGTCTAGCTGCTGACACTCTGCATGACCAGCTCGACTTTGATGCATTTATCGAAACCACACTCGTGCCCGAGGCGCAAAAACAGAAACCCGGCTTCAACATCATCCGACGTCGTATCGCCATCATCATAGCTCAATGGATAGCAATCAAAGTCGCAAAGGAGAAGAAACCTATTGTTTACCAGATTTATCAACATCTCTTGGACAAGAGCGACCCGCTCAACGATCAGGTAGTCCGCGTCACTGCTGGAAGGAAATTTAGAGACATTGCCGACGAATGGGAGTTTCACGCGGACAATTTCATGCCTTTCGCGCCGGTCATACTGGATAGAATGATGGCCTTGATTCAGGAAGTCGAACTCCAAGAAACCAAGATGGGCCTTTTGAACACGATTAGCATTATTGTAGAGCGTCTGGAACACAATGTAAGGATGGCATTGTCTAATTTTGATCAAAACTTACCAGATCCAGATCACACCGTACGCCAACAGTATCGTTTCTCTTCTTCCGCCGCTTTGGGATGAGTCCGGTGACGAACATCTCATGAAACAAGCCATACTTACGATTTTGGCTCGTCTCACGAATGCTATGAAAGCCGACTCTCGCTCGTTCCATAACTCCTTCCTCCCTATCATTAAGTCTGCTATTGAGCCTGGTTCCGAGACCCAAGTCTATCTTCTCGAGGATGCTTTGGATCTTTGGTCTTCGATCGTTGCGCAAACACCCTCTTTGCCCGAGCCGACACCGCCCGATCTTTTGCAACTTGTTCAATATCTTTTACCGCTATTTCAAATGGACAACGATACTCTCAGGAAAGCCATCGACATTACAGAGTCGTACATGTTGCTCGCACCTGCTGCCGTCTTAGCAGATGATTTCCGACCGGGACTCCTGCAAGCCCTGACTGAACTGCTGCCCCATCTGAACCCCGATGCCAGCGGCAGTGTTCATCATCTCATGCAATGTGTTATCCGTGGTGCTGATGGTATTGGTGGCGAAGATGCCGTCAAGATTCTTGTGGCTGATCTCATCTCATCTGGCTTCCTCGCAAAACTGCTGGAGGGTCTGCATGCCGCGTGGACCCATCATCAGTCACACGGCCCTTACCGCGAACTACCGTCGCGAGCTGTCGATGGGGTGGTAGAGACAGACTACTTCACTGTCCTCGCACGCATAGGTCTAACGTCTCCATCAATGCTCCTGGGAGCGCTTTCCTCTGTCGGAAATGCACCACTAACGAAGACACTCGACTGGCTACTGGAGGAGTGGTTTAGTCATATCGAGAATATTGGCGACTTAGCGAACAAGAAACTGATGACCCTAGTTCTTACCCGATTACTCGAAGTCGAAGGTGGACAATTCGTCCTCGAAAAGCTGCAGAGCCTCATTGCTGTGTGGACAGATGTTATAGGACAGTTGCTAGATGGAATGGATGACAAGAGCGCCGAGTACAGTCTCTCCTTCTCTTTTCTAGATAACTTTTGTACGCACACATTTGTAATCGAATTTCTTACTAACATTCGACTAGCTGCCTTTATTGGCCTGAAGAGCCCGCCCCCTACTGGCCCAATGAACCGGAAGCTCCAGAAGAAAAGCGCAAACGCGAATACATCTATTCAGATCCCGTGCACTGCCTCAACCTCGTCGTCGTCGTGCGCTCGCACCTTCAGCAGACCATTCAGAATTCCGGCGGCGAGCAGCGGTTCCAGGAGGAGTGGCTCAGCCGTGTGGATAAAGATGTCCTGAAAGGGTTTGGGGAATTGGGTATCATGTAGCTTTCCCTTTCTGATGGGGCTTGTGGATCATGCGCTTGATCTAGGTTTTGCATGGAGATACAAACAGGATGGTTGCTTGAGTTGAATGGAGGATTGTTTCCTTCTTCCCCCTTCTTTTTATTCGAAAGATACCAATTTCGTTGCGGAACGGAAGCGAACCGGGTGACAGGAAGATTGTTCAGACAGATAGCGAATTCGAGAGACGGACGTGGCGTTGCATCCTTTAGGGTTGGAAAGGGAAAATCGCGTCCACCTACTTAGCGAATGTGCTACGTCTGGCTTGGATAGGAATACGACTGCTTCTCTGCATCATTACACATACACCATTCACAAATAGTGATGAGAATTGCTCGAAGATAAAAGGACGAGTATCTTCAATCCCCAAAAGTACACACGCTATCAATAACAACTTTTCCCAGCTCACTATACTCCAAATTCACCAAGCTACTCATATACACTAGTATCTGTAACCCCGTACTCTTTCAACCCCTCAACAGCAGCCCTCAAAGCCGCCAACCCGGAACTCATAGTTTCAACCGTCCTCCCTTTCCCCCGCTCATTCGGATCATCATCATCACCATCACCACCACCACTGGCTCCCCACCAGCCCCCAAACACACCCCTCTGATTCCGACTCCTCATCGCCGCACGCGCATTATGTAGAACCCAAGGTAGATATCCTGAGCAGCTCGTCTGATGCCAGATCGGAATCCCACGAAACCCCTCCAGAGGTTCAGGAAATGGAGAGAGGGGAAAGCAAAAAATAGTGTAGTGATGGAAAAAGATGCCCTTGAAAGTCTGCGAGTCTTGGGTGCACGAGGAATCTGGATCGCAAGTTTCAGTGAGGATTCCTGAGGAGCCTAGCTGCCCTCCGATTCCTTCTCTTTCGTTGTTGCTGCTGTTGGTGGAGGAGGAGGATGGGTTCTCGGGTGAGTTGCACCACCCCGTCTCCCTGATGACGTTGTGAATCAGATTGTGGCCGTCGTAGAGATACGTGTAATTCCCCGTTGCTTCGAACAGATGGCGTAACACGGAGAGGATAATGCCTTGGTTGTACGTGTACACCTTCTCATCGCGCTCATCGCATGTCGTTTGAACAGGATCTGCAGAGAAATTGCTGATATGGTAGCCATCTACATATAGTCCCGCGGTGTTTGTCATGTTGATGTTCCTGAGCCATTCGTAGCCCCTGATCGCGGCTGCTAGGTACTTTTCCTTGTTTTGGAGAATTAGGTTAGGCATGTCACTACGATGATGGGGGGATGGACGGTCTTGCGAGAACGGAGAATCATTGTTGTCTCCTGGGAAGTAGAGGTACATTTCCACGCTCGCAGCGATGAAGAGTTGGCTCGTGACTGCGTTTTTGTAAGGGTCGAGTCTAGGGTTCCATAGCATACCACCGCCGCAGAGCGTCTCGTCCCAGCCTTGCTCTGCGAGCTCGTAGAAGACGCGAGCGCGGTGTGCAAAGGCTGAGACGAATTGTCGAGCGTGCCACCAATCCGTTGCATTCGAATCCTCGAGTGCGTCGTTGACAGTGGTGGAGGATGGGTAATGCGTCTTCGAGTGCGAGTCGATGAACCGGATGCTGCCGAGCCAGTTGAGGACTACCCATAGCATGTCATCGAAAGCTTCGTTGCGGATTGACAGAATGTCTTCGGTGAAGTAGTATCCAATGCTGTGAGTGAAGTACTTGTTGATCTCGTTCTCCAGTCGCTGGGCTTCGCTATCTGGGTAGGATGTCTCGTTCGGGGTGCGAGGGAATGTGTATGCCAGTGAGTTTGACAAAGATGAGAGTGCAGCAATGAAATGAGTATTGATGACAGCGCCGGTCCAGTCGATAGCTTTCGTCCATTCACCGAGCCATAGGGAGAAGTATTCGGTTTGCATCACCTCGATCGCCGCGTGGAGGTCATGTAGGGCTTCAGTATAGTCAATGTTGGAAAGAGAAAGGCTTTGATTTGAAGGGGGTTTGAAAGGATGGTGCGGTTCTGCGGCGATGAGGACATATTGGTTCCTGGTGTCGTAGACCAGGCTCTTGCCCGATACTGGTGGAGTGAGCGAGTCGTAATTGATCTTGGAAGAGTTGGCCTCTGAGGTCTTGGAGGCACCTACCGCCTATAACGATAGTCGCGGCTATAATGAGCGATAGTAGTTGATTCACAAAGCGCGCAAGATGCGAAAGGCCCATCTTCACATTGATGATGGATTGCCGATGTTACTGCGGCTGGTTATGGTGAGGTCGCACTGCCCTCGCGTACGAATCCAACCCGATCATTGGCAACTGTACGAAGTAACGATGTTTGAGTGTAATGATGTTTGAGTGTAATGATGTTTGAGTGAAGCGACGTGTAAGTGATGAGGGTGGCTGGGATAAGACATGCAGGTTGCTAATGCGGAGTCTGTATCGATTGGCTGGTACCGAGCTCTTTCCCCAAACGCATCGGGAAATGGATCTAGTGCGTGGAGTCGCATGCGCATATCATGCGGAGAGATACACGCATTCTCTTTGGATGAGCCCTGTACATTCACAATGTGAGCCCACTCCTGTCTATTGATTGGATAGTGATTTTGCATCACCAAAATGGAGCCCTGGCTATAGTGAATTCACCCTTGTAGACCTCGAAGAAAACTTTCATGAGAAGATTGAGCCATTAGTTTCTCTCAAATTTTCATATCTTAGAACCAAAGAAGCGTTCATAACCCTCTGATCATTTATCCCAATCATGACTGACCAATTTCCTATCGTGAAAGCTGACAGTTGCCCGGAATGGAGCCCACAGACAATCACCAACAACTCAAAAGAGGCTGAATGCGCATGCACTCGCAAACCCAACCAAAGAGAACCCCAAGACTGAGAACATGTTCATAGTTGCAGCTGCAGAATCAGGCTTGGCGTCAAGGCGCTCAAGACAATAACTGACGGTGTAGTTCGAGTCATCAAAACCACACTGGGGAACTCTGGTCGCGTTCACGTAATTCCTAGTTTCGCACGTCTTCTTGTTTTGTTCCATGTTGTTGAGCGTATCTGCCGAGTAGACCGCATTGTCAATAGCAACGGGGCCATCGCAATTGAGAAGCTCTTTGATATCGTCGAAGAAGGTGCTGAAGAGCATCGCGATCGGCTTTTGCGGCCCGGGTATAGCTGCAGCCAGCCCCACAAGACTCTTTGTGAATTCTGTGTCACATTAATATTGGTATATAACCACTATGGGGGATGACTTGCCTGCCGCAACCACTTCGCCGCCGGCTTCCTTGTTCATCACACCAATGGCGACAGATAGGTTCGAGCCACTTGCTGGAACTTCGACTTCCTGGGTGAGATTGTCCCATTTGAAGACCGAGCCCTCTACTGCAGGACCAATTGTCCATGTCTTGTTGTTTGAACCCGAATTCGTGGAGGTTGCGATGCCCAGTATCAGATCATCCTCACTGATATCGCGCGTCGTGTTGGTGGATATCTCTTGAACACTGAACCGAAATCGTCCTGCCGTGACCCAGTTGGTTGAGAGGAGAGTCAGAAACAGAAGACGCTGGAGACTGAAGGCTGCCATACTGAATCTGGTTAAACAGCGAAATACTTTATGAGTAAGATATCTTCTTATGGATTATATGGCAAAGAATCGGTGAGTGGGGAAAGAGACCAAGTTTAAGGGATGAGAGGGCTGCGAAATGTCTCGAGGAAGTGTAGAATCGGAGCCTTATATAGCCGCACGACAGTCTTGATCTGTACCCTTGATAGTAAATGTAGAAGCACAGGCTCACAGAGTAAAGTGGAAGGCTGGCTACTGGAAGGACTTCATGCGACCGTATCCGTCTATCAAGATGTTGGTGGCATTCCTTCCGTAATCACTGCCGCAAGGCAAACGTGGAGCGAGCAGAACAGCGCAAACATTGTGAGAAACACGGGATAAATCGCCCGGCTGACCTTGGCAGAACCAAATGCGTCTACACGCCCGAGGAAGATGCTTGATCACACAGCGAGCGCATGCATGAGAATTTCGCGAGCTCAACTGCGACGCGCCGTACTTGGAAGGCTGATCTATGTCAAGACCGGCTTCCGTATTTAATCTGGGAGAAGGAAATGATGCGTCCATAGAGAAAGCGATCCAGGGGACTGTATGATAGAAAGCTTGCAGGGTCGAGCGGCTTGAGCGAGCTGATGGATCGCTCATCCTCCGGTTATTCCAAACCCAACATGATAGGGATATGCAGGTCCTTCTCGTATATCCTTATGAAGGTTGAGTACTGTTCGATTACCTTGCCTAGAGCATTAATAGAAATTAGAGATAGGACAGAGCCATATCGCTGTGTTCCATCACGATGAGGAACCTCTGGGACAGGATAATAGTAGCCTGTAACTCGATGAAAGAAACAGTATGAGCAGATCTTTGATAACGGGGCTTTGATTGTGATTGTACCTGCTACGCGCACGCATTGGATAACTCAAAGTGCCATAGATCACGTTTGAGCCGCATCAAAGGTTTTACACGGTGAAAACCTTCGACTGTCTGTGGAGGCATTGGCCAGAATGGCTTGCGGCTCATTTTCGTATTGTACAGAAGCCATCAGCTACCGTATCGAGCTCACTCTAATCAGGGCGTGTTAAATCATTTTAGGAAACCTTATGCATGGACCAAAAATCTGGGGAAGTCCACGATTCAAGCTCACCGGACTCTTGGATTCTCCGAATAGACTGATCTCCTCTTCTGGAACCCACGCCATTGAGCAACCGCAGGATGATTAGCCAAATCCGGCGGATGAGAAGATGTGAGTAAGCATCAGAGTTTTCTTGACCTGACATTTGAGTTGGGAACACAGCATGAATACGGTGTCATGGCAGGGTAGATGTGTGTATGCGCAAGGCTGAAGGATCGCATGGCGAAACTGTCTCGTACCAACCGATATCACAAGGCTGGCCCCCAAAATTTATCACATCGTCTGTTCTCAAGTTATACGTGTAGAAGAATGTAAAATAGGCACTTTCTGTGTCGATCATTCTTATGGACAGGTGTCTTCGGCACGGGGTAGGCGACCCGACTCGAGGGGGCTTCAATCCAGAACGCGCCAAGACAAAGGTTGTTTAAGAGGAGTTGAATCAAGTCCCCAGCAGTGATCGGAAGAGAACCCGGTCCAATCTGATCGACTCGAAGGATGAGTGTGTTGAAGTCAGTTGTTGAAAGTAAGATTCACTGGTGGCTGTCCTGGCTCCTTCAGCCATACGAGCTATGTAGCTGGTCATCCCAAAGTGACGTGTGGCTGGTTCTTGAATTTGGCATGTATTATAGTGCTTCAAAAAGAGATGGGAATAAAGGAGACTGTTATTACTTGACCCTTTCGTCTCCCTTGCTGTTGTCCGGTTTTTGTCTGTTTTTTTTTTTTTTTTTTTTTTTTTTTTTTGGCCGTCTTCATCACCGTGCTCTTCTCGATGTGATATCTCAGCCTGGCAAGTGCGGAACGGCGATTTCGAGGGTACCAGAATGTGAGGCGCCAGATTGCTGGGATATTCTCTTTACGCGTTGCTCTTTCCTTCTAATCCAAATGTTCGTCGGCCGATGACAATCTTTATTCTGAGTTATTTCCTCAGGCAATTGTTGCTTTGTGCATTTTAGGGCGTTCTCGAATCGTCTATCAGATCGGTCTATTAAGTATACGTTGTTTCTTTCACGTTGTTCGTGCGGAAGACGGCAAAGACGGCAAAGACTGACCGAGAAGTACAGTTCCCAAGCTCTAGATTGAATGAGACCATGACAATATCATACAAGCTGAGCAAGTATCAGCCAGGCTTAGGTATCTTCAATGAAGACGAGAGATGTGTGGTGGGAAGAAGGTGAAGATTTTGATAATAAAATCGAGCTGTCACGGAGCTATGGTGCTTGTCCACCAGAGGGAAGCTCGAAGTGAGGTCGAAATATGAGACAGGTCGAGGGAGTGAGTTGCTCATAACATTTTCGAGAGATCTACTGGGCTACCTACATGTTGCTAGCAGACGTTAGGACGCAACGAAGGTAGGATATTGCCCTGATTGGATTACCTGAAATCATGGCGAACAAGGAGTCATGATATTTTTTTTGTGTGTAGGCTGCAAGCTATCAGTAGTGGGTGAGGACCTACGTATCCAAATATTACGTAGAGCTTAGCTCAAGTTGCGACGATGCGAGGATGCAGAGGTGTAGACAAGTTGATCAAGGCAGGAGGAACCATACCAAAGCATATTCATGCTGGAGTAATCAGTCAGACGAGCGTATTTAGATGTCCTGAAGCGCGCATGTGGTGGTGTGAGAAGAGGGGGCACGGACTAGGTGCAGCGCGTTCACGCTATCCTTTCTCTTCAACCTGCTGCCGCCAAGCAAGCTCTCACTTTGACAAACTCTACACAAACACAGACTTTCACCCGCCATTTATAAGTTACGCAACTTCTCATACTTACTCAACTACCACTACTTACACGCCAATCCCAACAAACAACATGCCAAGCCGAGTCAACCTCTGGACTGAATGGAAGGCGAAGAGGAATCGCAGGAAAGAAGAGAAGAAAGCTGCCGCCGAGCAGCGGGAGAGAATACTGGAATGGCAAAAAGGATTAGGCCCAGGTAAATCTATACTCAATCGTCGTCCAAATTCTGTTCACTGATTGTTGCTGGGAAGACTACCTCGCCCACGACTCGCCACCAGAGAATCCACCACCAGATTCGCCAAGGTGGTCGTTTTCCGACGGGGCCCGGGAACCACGATCAGTCAGTCAAAACGGCTGAATCAGAGGCTGGAGAAGGCTCTACCGTTTTGTCATGTCTGCCGCAACAAGCTTCACTCACGATTGAAAAAGCCAGGAACACGTCGGCACGATCAAAGAATACAGAGGATGGTAAGGCAGTGAGGAGGAAGAAAAGCGGATGGGATTTGGTCTACGGAGATGGCTATCAACGCACAGGGGAGGGGATCCGATCGAGAAGAGCAAAAGTGCTTTCAACCAGATTAGAGAAATGGATCCACCAGTTCTTTATGAGATTGCGTACAGCTTGCAGTATGAGAACCGATCTTGAGACTACACATGCGATGCTATCTGAAGAGGTATTACGATTTCCAGGGATGACCCTCCGGACTCAACCTTGCACCAATAAATCCAAGTTTGAGCAGTTTCCCCTCCAAAATCTCCTCTTTGTGTTTTTCCATTTCTTCGACATCCCAGTTTGCACTGAAAAAGCTTCCTCTGAGGAAATCCGCTTCTGGTTTCAGGAGGTATAGCGTAAGCGCGGCAGTCAGAGCCTGCTTGTCTTTGGCAAAAGGTGTGAAATGGTCAATCACCATGCCTCGGCCCGAAGAAGCCTCCACGATCCCAGGGTGAACCGAAAAGACTCGTAGATTCGGCTGCTCGAGGTCGAGAAACTCGCCGAGGCGAATGGCAGCGAGTTTTGCAGAACCGTACGAAGACATGCCTGGAGCGAGGAATGATGCACCGAGGGATACAAGGTTGATGAACGTGCCCTTGCCGCTGGTAGCGGTGATGAAGTGGTGGGCGAGGTTGTAGGATCCCTTGACGTTGGACTCGTAGTCGGTCCACCATTGGGAAGGCGAGATCTGGCCTATCATTCCGTTGATGTTGGTTGTGCCTGCGGTATTCACGACAACATCCACGGTGCCGAATCTTGCAATCGCGCTTTCGAAGATGCGCTTGACGGCTTCTTCATTGGCAATGTCGCCAGCTGCGACCAAAGTCTCAACTTCGAGCTCTGATGCTGTGCTATCCAATCTTGCAGCATCGCGACCAACCAGCACGACTCCCTTTGCACCAGCATTGGACCATGTGCGAGATATCTCCTATTAGCATGGTTAGAGTTCAACTTTGATAGAGAATGATACGTGTGACCTACGTGTCCGAGGCCGCCTGAAGCACCGGTCACAAGGATAACTTTTCCCTTGGCGTAGGAAGAGTGCGCAGCAATGTCAATCGCTGGGTACACGTCGCGATGAAGGTTCTTGGTCAACTGGAACGGTGCCGTGTATGCATTTGGGTCGATGTTTCCGCTTGCAGCCATTGTGTAAGGAGAAGATGGATGTACGTCGGATATTGTATTGTACGAAGTGTCGATGCTTGTGTAGATGAGGGCGTAGAACACAGCTGCTGATCGAATTGTCAACAGGTGCGATCTTCCCATTTATACTTCGTGCCGGGTTTTTCTTCGATGACCCGATGCCTCAAATGCGGTGCGCTCCAGCTTATATCGAATTATCTCCTTTGGGCAAGATCGACTAAGTCCACACGATGCCCCAACACTAGGGTACCGAGAGCATCGGATTTAGGTATTCATGCCTGTAGGGGTATATCAGTTTAGGGGAGCCGGGCTTAACGTCTGATCTTCTGATTGGCTTCAGCGCTTACGCGGTAAGCGTAAGACGGCGGATCCGATGATTTCAAAGCCGCGCTAGACGATTTATCTCGAGATGGTTAGCTGATTCCTTTGTTCGGATCGCTAACTCCATGCTGTGGGACCCATAGATAAAAGTTCCGCGTGAGGAGGCGTGAGGAGAACTGTAATAATTGACAGCAGCAAGTATACCATCACCGGTACTGATATGTCATAGATGATGACGTAAACAGCCCAAGCTTCAATGGTACCTGTAGGCGGCTTGTGGAATAGCAATCCTCGGATATTATGCATGATTCAGACCATACCACGTTACTATCTGGGCGTGGAGTTGTTTGTCTTCGGATTGGTAAGCTCGTTAAAAGATTCGGTCTTCGCGAAATGCTTTCGCTGCATCTTTACTATAGGGATATTTCAGCCATTTGGTAGCAGTAAGCATGTAACCTAGCAGTCTCAGCATAATGAAGCGTGGCCCTTCATCCGTAGCTGCCTCTGCGTTGCGAATTCGGATGCCTTGACAACATCCTATCCCCATTCCTAATGCGCAGATGGACACCAAGCCCTTTGAGTCTTCAAGGGCCCATAATTCCTCCATGCACCCTGTCATCACGAAAGATAGACATGTGTTATGAGTTTCCTCCATGCACCCTGTCCTCACGAAAGAAAGACATGTGTTGTAATCTTCCTCCACGCACCCTGTCATCACGAAAGATAGACATGTGTTATGAGTTCCCTCCACGCACCTTGTTATCACTGAAGACGAACAAGTGTTATGAGTTCCCTCCACGCACCTTGTTATCACTGAAGACGAACAAGTGTTGTATTGTTCCTCCACGCACCCTGACATCTCAATAGACGAACAGGTGTTATGTGCCTCTGCTCCCCTTCTTGACCTTAAAAAAGGCAAAAAGAAGGGCTATGCTTTTCCTCCACGCACTCTACCACCACAGCGATGAGCAAGTGCTATGTTTTTCCTCCAATAATGTTGTTCTCGCACACGATAAACAAATCTCGTATCGTTCCTCCGCGCACTCTACTGCCACAAAAGACAGAAGAGTGTTGTTCATCTACGTCACACACTTTGTGATCGATGCGGATCAACGGATGGTCTCATCATGACTCATGTTCTCTTATGGAAGTCGAAAGGGGTCTTCTGATTGATGGAAGGGGCGTCGCCGTCGGGGAGATCGATGAGGGCCTCGTTGGCATCAATACGTTCGACTCGTCATAGGGAGTAGGTATCGATTCGAAAGTTTGGGTGGCTCAAGGCAAGATAATGCAGTTGATTTGAACGATGCTCTGGATCGTATGCAAGAGTCGTCCTCTTCGAAGACTTGGCTCGTGAGTGAGTTTGAAGAAGACCTGTTGGTTCAAACTACCCCTTTTCTAGTGACTGATCTTTGCACCAAGCTTGTGACCCTTACATTGTTCAGTGTTGGTATCTTATGCAGAGAATGTGGTTCTTCTAGATTATGCTCCCGAAGCTCTTCTCCAATGTGCGTGTGAAATGAGAACGACACGTGCGTCGCACCGTGGGTGGTGCATTGGGGGCTCTCGAGTTGCGAGTCGAACATATTCAGTGGAGTGGAAGGGAAGAGCGCAATGCGCTTGGACGATCGTTACGGCAGTGTTGCGCAACTGTATTTCCAGAATGTCGACATAAGCTCGGGAGGACACCTGCTCGTCGCCGAACACGATCTGCATCGTGTTCGTGCCCTGAATCGAGGGCCGAACGGCGGCGCTATGATATTGCAACTAGAGGTGTCGCATCAGCAACGAGGTAGTAGGCTTGTTAACATTTCAGAGGTGGCGATCCACTAGAGTCGCAAAGTTGGGCGATCGATGGCAAGGAAAAGACTCTGTTGTATGGATTTTAGAAGACTGAGCCGGGCTCTGACTCCGCGAGGTCAAGCGGACGCCGAGATTAGTTGGCAACAAGTACATCGAGGCTTCGTACTCGATCGAGGTGCTTATTGGCTTGGCCTGTTTGTCGAGAGACTCAAAGTGGAGCCGACAGTTATTGTAGCTTAGATTGAAAGGTAAGACATGAGAATAGAGAGCAGAGAACAGATTGACCAAATCAATGACGTACTGAGTTAGAGAAGAGTTTGGGCAATGACGTACCGAGTTGTAGGAGGGTTTGGGCGAACGAAGTGGTGGGTTGAAGCCTTGAAAGGCTGTAAGGCAAGGGCGGCGGTGTGGGAAGAGAGGCTAGGTTACGGGGCTTAGTGGAAGAGCACTTCACTCCACATTCGACTGTTTGTCTTGGTAGGCGGTAATGTTTTCAATCAAGTATACTCTTCGCAAGTCTTGTACCCCCATTCACCAAATTTGCTTCCCAGTGCACAGTAACACACCCTAAGATAGTCACTGGGCGATTAAAGATATGCTCTACATCATTGCGCACTGTCTCAATGATCTCATACCCAAAGCCGAGTCCCTTCTTTGTGAGCGCGTTCATGTCACAGAAAGAGATATAGCGGTAGGGACTTCAGCAAAAAGTCATGTACGTCGCCCATAGCATCCCAATTTTGATTGATTAGTGCATGAACTATCTGCTTCCGAGCTCTTCATCCTAGTGTTCTCGATGCGCTCCTGGTCTCGACCTTTCCGCCACTCGGTTGATCCTCAAGAGTACGCCCAAGCACCGAAATTCTGTCCCCCACGCCGGAAAGAACATACTTGATGGATCACGGCAGAAGACTTACTATCTCGACTAGTTGGGATATACAAAGAACGCGAGGGACACGGGCAGATCGCATGGCTGTTAGTTTCGACGATTAGCACTAAGCTGCATAACAATGGAGTGTATATTCTGTACCTCCGTCCACGAGAATTATCGCTGAGATACGAAAATTCTCGTGCTTTGCGTGGCTCGCTATGTAGCGCAGCGCTGGAGTGGTGTCTATTGCCCAACATGATTGCAACATCGTACGAATGTAGACCAGCGCCCCCTAAAGAATAGCATAGCGTAAGTTGCTAAGTGAACGATAGATTGAATGTTTCCCGAAGTATTTAGGGTGTTCATGCTCGCCTGGACAAGAGGGCATTGCCTGTTTTCGCAGTCACAGATTGGTGGCCGGGTGGGGCGACTGGATGTATTGACCCTGCTCTCATTGCACGCAAACGCGCTACTTTAGATTCTGTGTTATTGGGCCCAGCCTGGAAAGGCCCTGAAGCCCGTAAGCCACAAAGGTCTCCCATGGTTTGTTGAACCGCTGCCTGCGGTGACTAGATTCATGTGAAAGGGATTATGAAAGCACCGCATGATGTTCAAAGTAAAGCTTCTTGCGTCCCGCGATCAGAAAGCGTCCGCGAGTATCTTCGTTTGGTAAGTTGTTGCACCGTGGCCCGCCAAAAGGTCATCCATTACCCAACCACCGGACCATTGCTATCTCTATACAGCTTTAGTTGCCCTTTCTCTTTTTTCTGTACAGGGAAGCGCTCTGGAGGCTTGTTTTCATTTTCCCAACGGAGCTATACAGGCTCGCAGCTCCACGCTTATGCGATAGAGATGTTCATGACCAACGAGATCCTGCACAACGCGGATACTGCATGTTACATATAGGTCCATGGAGGAGTCATATAGCTTATACGTATACTTCATATTAGTTGCAAGGATGGATGATCATCCAAAGGATCTTTGTCGTCCCTGAGCGAGCGGGCCCCGCTCCAGACGCCAGCGCGGTCCACCGTACGACACTCCCATCCAGGGCAGCATGATGACGCTCGACCCACACTAGAGTATAGTAATAGATCTATTCATATGTTGAGCCTTGCTCGATTTTAGATTAGTAGCGACATACTTCGGAGCGCAAGTGCTGCTTGCTATCCTCGTCGCTGCCGCCCGCGACGCCTGATGTCGCCGCCCCACGCATTTTCACCTATAGCAACTTCGACATCATCGCCAACCACAGAAGCCCACATGCATCATTACAATACTACAATTCAAAGTCTCCTTCATTAGAGAGAAAATGGCCATTTGATAACACATAATAGCGCAGTGTCATGCATAGGCCGGAACAGCCAACAGGCATCGCGGTATAAACATGGTGCGGTGACAGCTGTCTCAACCACAAGCGTACAATCAAGTCTCTTCCTCAAGTCTTCAGTCTTTGCCAAAGGTCTCAATGAAAAGAATGAAATGCGCAATGCATTTGAAGGCTTTTTCAAAAATTCCTTGCCGATCCGAAGACCAACAAGAGCGGTCATGGCTGTAGTTTTCAACCAGCAAAAACACCAGCTCAGATAAATCTTCACTGCTAGGTGTAATGCCCATGCACCGGGATGGAGAGGAAAGAAGGGGAGACGGGGAGAGGGGAGCTTAAATACTTCCCCCTGTGGCCCGTGCGCTTGTAATCATGTGACCTTCGGTGAAGGTTTGATCCGGTTGTCAAGGATACGTGGTCCAGATTGGCAGGTGAATGGCGATTACTCGTATGGTATGAGTCTATTTGTAGCTATGATCCAATAGAACTGATCAGGCAGTGGTATATCATGCTGTGACGCACCTGCTACAGCACTGAGGCGTTATATTGATCTGATAGGCAAAAACTGGAGTCGACCCATGACACTACTAGCTATTGAACACGTGACATGAAATCCGTAGGAAGTTGGAGTTGTGTATCATTTGCGAAGCTCCTTGGACCACATGACTGGTTCAGCCGTCGTGGTGATCTGTCTCGCCCTTCACCAACGGCGGCATGCCTTGCATATCCTGATCAGGTGGAGCATGCAAAGCGAACTTTCTGAAAGCAGCTGTCGATTCCACGGGACTTGATGGTAGTTGTATAAAGATTACATATAGGCTATCTACTCCTCAGACGATCCACTCGGCAACAAGCTCATCGACATACTTCCTGCCTGCGTTGTGGGTCTAGGACTTTCACAATGTTGAGCAAACCGCGTGTAAAATTTGCTTTGTGTTGACTTTTAGGGAGGAACTATCTCAGCCTGGAATCGCACAGAATCACAATTTCATGATTATTGCTTCGGTCTTGATCATGATCTCTCGCACTCAGTCGGACACATCGGGTGCCTCCAGCCCCTGAGCAGTTGAATCTCATGCACCGACTTGCGATCAATATACGAATAGCTAATATATAAAATACTAAAACTGAAAATTCGAAGCGCAATTGCTCGGTGAAGCTGTATCGCTACGCACGTGCGCTTTAGTTAGTGGGTGCCTGCAGCAAACACCCTATCTAGTCCACAACCACGACGCCAAGCTTCTCCCACGAGCACAAACCGACCAACCTTCCAAATCACCACCGCAATCGCCCAATTCTCAGACAAAATGGCGTATCTGTATCCCAATTCCACCCAGCTCTACTTTGAGTCAGACATCCCCGAAGCCGAACGGCGCGAGATCCGTCAGGCCGTGGAGGACAGTCCTGGCTGTAGCGTTGTCGGTCAATGGGCCATTGGTATCTCTTCGAAGATGCCAGAGAGAGCCGTTGCGACCGAAATCGATTGCTACAAGGGCTGGCATCAGGGAAACAACCCACATGCCACTTTCAGGCTCGACTGGGTTGATGCTCACAGGTATGCACGATCCAGCCCAGTATCAACCTGACGACTTACTAAATCAACACACAGGAATCATGTGGCCACATGTGCTAAGGCGCATCTTCACAAGAACGGGCTGGAATCCGTCCAGGAGTTCAGCACGGGGGTGTTGTGGGTTCGGCTTCCAGGACGTGAGTTCTGGCGTAGGACTAACCCCGTAAGTGATCAATCGACAGTGAACTGGGTGCTTGAACTGGCAGCTGACAGCATAGGTAGACCCATGCCCGTGGCGATCCACCGAAGAGCGTGCTGGAGCTACGAGAAGCTCCCCCTGCCGTTCCCGCTGCTCCGTCAACTCCCAACCCCTTCCTCTTCCAGCCGTCCTTCATCCTTTCAGGACCACCACCACCAGCACCATCAGGGGCTATACTGAGTGCACTTCATCCCCTTGCACCTCCATATTTGCCTCGTCATCCTCATCCTCCTCCTCCTCCTCCTCCTCCGCCACCATTCAGTTATCCAGGGCCACTACACCCACCACCACCAGGGACTCAAGTCCCTCTACCGCGTCCTCTTGCCCCCCCTCCCGGCCTCCCTGATCATCATTCTCCGCCGCCCTCTAATTACTTGGGGACACCACCACCGCCACCACCTCCGGGAACTCAAGTACCCTTTTCTGGATCTCCTCCCCCGCCTCCTCAGCTTCTCGTCACTCCCGCTGCTACTCAACCACCATGGAGGGTGGACAGAACTCCTCCAAAGAGGTATAAGGATCTTGACGAGGCGGACGACGACGAGACACCAGAGTTGGACTATTGAATCGTTTTGTGTCTGTGCTTTGTTTGATGCTTGATATTTTGGTCCTTTTTTTATTGTGGGATATAACATCCATCAAGCACTCAAAGAGTGGCGTGACCCTCCGCGAGCTTAATAAACTGTCCAATCATCTGGATTTCTTGTGTTTGTCCTTGCGTTGTCAGCGTTTTGAAAATCAACGAGTAATCCCCATTATCATGGCAATGATTAATGACTACGTGCTTTGAGTTATACCTGAGTCCTATGTCCTATGTGAGAGAGTCATATCCCTTATAGAAATGCGATGATTACGTGAAATATCAACTGTATGAGTCTGTCAATACCGGCGATGCTTGTTTGATTCAGTCTACGTACTCAAGATTCCCATCCACTACCCTCCAACAGACGTAAATGCTACAGAATGCGTGAAATGTATCTATTCCTATGGCAATGCATTCTAAGTCCAACTCGCAGTAGCTATCCTAAATCTCTTTCCCCAAACTAGGAATGGGATTGTAAGCAGCCCAAAGATTCCAAGTAGCATACCGAAGATCCCAAAGGGTAACGCGGGACCGGCATGCTGAATCCATTCACCAACGAAGAACGTCCAGGCAAATGAAATAATGGCTCGCGAGCTCGTGATCAACACGAAACAGTCTCCCGCAAGCCGTGGGTACGATTCGATGATGTAGTTGAAACCGACTGAAGGAGCTTGCATCAATCCAAAACCGATCATGCCTAATCCGAACTCTAATCCAATCCACCCTTTGGGGGTAGGGTTTGCCGCAACGAACCCAAACAAAAGTGTACCAGCAGTTGAGATGACGAAGCTTGGCATCGCAGTAACCAGTCTTGACTCAGGTTCAGAGTAGCCGCGGGAATCCTTCTTCGCAAGCCGTTTGGTGGTCCAATCTGTGAGAGCATAACAATAGACACAACCCAAAAGAGTGCCAATGAGTCCTCCTACATTGATTAGACCAGCGTCTTTTCCCCAGAGGTACGGAGGTGCCGATATGAGCTGTGCAGCGACGGTGGAGGTGACGACAACTGATCCTACCAGTCCTGCGTACCAAAGCGAAACTAACCATACACCAGGTAAACGGACAGTTTTATAAGGAGCCAGAAAGTGTCCGACTACACTGCCACGGTATGTGACCAGTTTTAGTGAACGGGCAATAGTGTATGGTGGATAAGTCGAGGGATCTGCCGTGGCCGAGATTTGAACGTTCTGCGTATCTTTCCCGTGTACCTTCTCGTTACCAATGGAATTCTGAATCGAGACTCCTGGGCGGTCGTAAAGAGTCTCTGGTAGAAGAATCAGGAACACGAATAATGTACAGGCAGCCAAGATAACGTTGGTCCAGTGAAGCCATTGTACGCCCCTGCTCGCAACAATGTAAGATCCAGCGATGGGTCCTACAAATGGGCCGGCCCCGAGACACACAGTGTATATGGCCTGGTAACTGATTAGTCTTCAAATGTCAGATCCTTAGTTGCAGATAATAAATAAATTACCATCACACGTCCACGTTGGTGGACAAAGAAAGTCTCTCCTACAACAGCTGGGGAGACAGCGTCGGCAGACCCGGCACCAATTCCCATAAAAGCGCGGGCTGCCAGAAGACTGCTGAAACTGGAAGCGAGCCCTGCCCACATCGAAGCAAACACCAGTAGTAGAAAGCTAAGAAGCATGACCGGACGTCGTCCAAAGATGTTGGCAAGAGGCATCCACACCAAGTTCGAGACACCGAGAAATAGCAAATTTATCTTCACGATTTAGTCCTGGGCCTCAAAATGTGGAGTGGCAAGGCTCACAGCAATCAATTGTGTAAGTTCCGAAAAGGGCTTTGGCGGAAGGCCCAAAGCAGGTGTCGAGGCATAGACCGGTAGCGCGCTCGAGATTGATCCAGCGGTGAAATTGGCCACGAAAGGACAAAGAGACATGCTGAAGAGAATACCAGCTTTACGCCATGCCGCGAAATTCAGCGGATCGGCCGGGTCTGTAGAAGGTTGTGGCACCAATCGTAACTCATCGTGATCCTGCTGAGATGCGGTCCGCTCGAGATGCTCTGACAAAGACTCAGCATAGTTACTAGGCACTAAGCGTAGTGGTGAAGTCAGGGAAACGTACCAATCAGTGTAACTGTGCCTGGAGGTGTCGCAACCTTCACTTCTGCCTTGGACAATCCAAAGGCCTGATGAAAACCGGCCATAATGTCTGATTGAAAATGAGGGTCTTCTCCAGATTCAAGCTCGGGCTGTGCTCTGCTGTTATCACTTTTATTCCCTGCCGAGGAAAGCACACACGCCTAGATCACTGTGCCGTTCAATCACCCCCATGGGGAAAGAGAGTTTCGGGAAGTGGAGATCAATATCGTGAACGACTGGGGTAGTGCTTTAGCGAATCTATAAGCTCCAGGATTGAAGACTTGTCCAGTAAGCGATTGCATAGGGATGATCGCGATTTATACAGCTCAATCTTCTAGATGCGTTGATGAGATTGCACCACTCGAGGAGGTAGCTTCAGTCTCCTCTAGTTATCAGCTGCGAAATGAAGTTTTTGGATCACTTTAGGGGTTAATCAACCATGTCTATTCTTCATGCTGAAGTATCATAGCCGCCAACGCGACTAATCTTCAACAAGCCAGTCCCTCTCCACTATCCGACCCCAGAAAGACCCTTCCTACTCGAACCCCACAAATCGCATCTATGAGAGATCTGAGAGGCTCTGATAGCGTAGAAATCCTGATAGCGGAAAATCTAGCCCAGGAGATAAGTTAGCGACGTGAGGCACAGTGTAATTGTCTTTATCACCGTGAACATAATCTCAGAAATCAGCGCGAAATCAGCCCAGAGACTAGTCCTAATTTGGAAGCAACACGATATCTGAGTTTTGGGCAATGATGCATGAAGGAAAAATCATTGAATGGCAGGAGTCTATCTGGATCCGTGAATTTCACTCCCGTTGACACAAATTTGCACATCCCCAGCTCTAGTACGTGTGCACAAAATGTAGCTTGTCACAAGAACAAACTTTTCGCCCTTCTCCACATTCCTCAAGTACCACAGGCTATATCAGTTGGCGTGTGAGGGGGATCTACGATATAATCATTATAGGCCACCAGATTGCCAGCATGCGTAATAAATTGCGGCGAACCGCTTCCATCTTTGGTCAAAATAAAGCGAGTCGAGTAACTACAACGATGCCGCTATTAGCCTTTCCTTCTAGACGGTCACACCAAGACTTACTAGGCTTGAGAACAGTTGCCTCCATCGAACTTTGTTTCAATGACACCGAGAACTTGATATGTCTTCTGCGCACTGGTTTCTGAATCGACTTTGGTCGTATTGGGAAAATGGTTCCAATGCTTTTCTCCTGAGAAAGGCAGCAATTCCTGCTTTAATGCCTGAATCTCATCAGCGCCGGTCGCCGTGTTCCCAAGGACAAGAAGTTGCCCATCGATCGTAAAGAAATTTGTAAATCCAGTCGTGGCTGATGGATCCTCGGCTGATACATAAAGTCTGTTTATCTGGCATCAGTATCTCAAGTCTGCAGATGTTTTCACTCGCATATGATGAACCTACTCTTCAAGATAGTCTTTAAACTCAGATTCAACTCCCAAATCTGCAGCGTATCGAGACATGTCGACCGATGCGGCTAGACCTACAAGGCTTGCCAAAGTAATTGTGGAAAATAGCATGATGATTAGTTCAACTAAGTCTAATGAAAAGCCGTACAGCAGAAGGGCGATACGATCACCGTGATGTTGGCTTTATACTGATATATAACGATTTCTTAGCTTATGATTACTCTTATTTATGCTATGGTTCGCTTCTGTGTGATAGCACAAGGCTGCCTATGTTAGCCTAGTCGGTATCATGAAGTGGAGCAACAAACTCACCCCCATGCGTTTCGGTCAATCTTGCGGTGCAATGTTAACGGTCTTACTGTTATTTTTCATTCGTTCTAGATCTTCTAAGATATAAAGTACGGCTTATTCGATAGCACGTTGCTTACTGGACAGATTATATGCGCGCAATTCTCTTTACATCATGTCTCTTCCGGAACACTCTCCACGCTTCGATACCTAGTTGGAACTTCTAATCGTTATCACCTTTGCAATAAAATTCTTTCCCATAAAAAATAAATCAGACTCGCTTTCGGCCCGACACTACTTTCTATGGCTTAACTTCATTGTTCACCATGTCAATTTGCAGTTCATCGGCCCGACAGATAACAAATCTTGCAGCATAGGCCTCGAGATCTTGTTTGCGAAGCTTTCAGTAAATCCTCAACTAGATCATCTTCGTCACAAGTTTCTTCGATCGGGGTAAAAGGTACCTGGTGGTGCCTGGGCTGGGGCGAAGTCGTCGGTCACTTTGACTGCGCATTTGACGTAGTGACGTATATGACGTCCCAATGATCCAGTGGAGATGTACGGATTTGTAGTGTTGAGGCTGGGAATCATGGTACGCTCGTCACCCTCTGGTCGGTCACTTCCTCTTGCACAAAGACAAAAGTTTCGTGCAGGGCTTCGTAAATTTCGTCCTCTGGATCCTCCAAAGTATATTCTTCCACCAAGTTCCCTTCAACACCCCCGCTCGTCGTAGCCTTCAATAAGATCTTCTGGGGTCTGTGTGCAAATCACAGTTTTGTCGTGCTTTGCGTTATTCCACGCCTAGTGATCGCGTTGATCTCACACAATTAAGTGCTAGGCATCTTTGTTGCTGTAGTATTTCGATGCGAAATACTACTCTAATAGACTTTTCTAAGCTTTTCTCGATTGCACAAGACCGGTTACTGCAACTTCATATCGCATAATGACATTGACTCCCATCGGGTCCGTGGCAAACCCCAAAGGACTATGAAAGGAAATTATCGACATGAATTCCGCTTCCATAGGCTTCTACTACTTTCAATTCACCCTCTTATTATTGCCTCCAGTGGAAATGTGATCAGATGTGATCAATCTTCCACCCCCCAGGCATCATGTCCGTGAAAATTCTCAACGGGTCATACTTTAAGCGAATGCGCCTCAATCTTTCTACGCTGACAGATGGATAGCCTTGGAAGACCTTCTGGCCCTTTCCAGCATCATTCAAGTATTGATAAGTAGCCAGAACCCCATTTTTACTGAGAGCGATTTCGAGTTCCTTCACAGTTTCATCAGCGACATCAGCTACAAGTTCGTCGTTAGATTTGTCAGTCCAGCTCCAGTTCGCAACAATCCAAAAGTATGGTGCATTATGCGCACCGACTGCCTGCGGGTTCCCACCATTTTGTGTACCTTGTCGAATGAACTCGGCCGATATTGGCTGGAAAGTGATAGAAGAGGTGAGATTTGCAACGCCACTGAGCTCGGTATTGACTTTCTCGAGAAATATGTCGTGGACCAACTCCATTCCCTTCCTATCTACAACCATAGATACGGTCCGAAACTCTTGCCGAAGACCGGTGGGCTGCAAAACATCAGTCTGAGTTACATAGTCAGCCAATGATTGCTTAGTGTAGCCGTCCACTATGGGTGTGAGCTTCGGAGAAGTAAAGTTTTCGAAGACTCGAGGATTTTCTGTATTGCCATCGTAAAACCTGGCAGCGGCATACGCAGTGATATTGGCGCCAGGTAGTCGCACTATAGTTGGAATGATGGCAGCTTTTGTGTTTTCTAATCCGTATTTGCCAAAGTTGTAAACAGCTTCCAGATAAGTATGGGCTTGTGGCTCGGGGTACTGAGATACCCCGACATATACCTCCGGCGATGTCAAAGTCTTGTAGTCGAATCTTGTGACTATTGCAAATGAATTGCCTCCTCCTTTGAGAGCCCAGAAGAGGTCAGAATACGCGTTTGTTGCTGTAGCTTCGACGATGGATCCATCAGCGAGGACGCACTGCTGAAGTCAATCCCGAGCTCTGAGTGTTCAGAATATCTACGCACCTCAAATTTCACAACAGTGTCAGCTCCAAAACCAACCTGGCTAGAATAGAAAGAGATTCCACCTCCGAGCGTAAAACCAGAGACACCAACACCACCTACACGACCGCCTGCAGCTGCCAGACCAAATGGGGCTAGATAACTGTAAACTTCACGCCATCTGTTGCCTGCTCCTATGGAAACAACCGATCGATCATCCGAGAGAGTTATTCGAGTCAGGTCGGATGTCGATAGGAGAATGCCATCACTGTTGATGCCGTTGAAACCGGGAATTGGCATGTGACCACCACTACGAACTGCAAACTGAGATTGCGTGAGAGTCAGGATGTTGACAGCAGAAGCGACTTCCTCTGCATCTCGAGGAACGAAAACGCATGCAGGATTACTCCAGGCAGTTGCTGACCAGTATTCTTGACGGATTTAGTTGAATCTAGCCTCCTTGTAGTCCGCGAAGCACTGATTACCTTGTTGTGTCTCAGTTGTGTAACTCGAGGAGTTTGTCAAGAATGTACTCTCCGGATAGCGAGATTTCAAAATTGCGCAAGCAGCCTTTGGGCCTGTTGAGAAATCAGACAAAGCGTATTCATTTTCCGCTGCATATGCTGGAATGCGGAGGACCAGTGCTAAAAATGTAAATGAGAATTTCATGCTGCCAATTCCATCCAAATAAACAAGAGCATATCCTTGAAGTCCTTGGTGGTGACAAGAAAGCTCGGACACAGATTAAAATATAATTGGGGTGTGTGTGTTGAAGGAACTTGGCGGGGTGGGAAGTCTGTTTAGCCTAAATTGTTCGCAACGCCCTGTAGATTCTCGTTTCTCCGAGTCTATCGCTCGATGGCGGAAGCTTAGTCAACCAAGAAACACAGGCGCCGGTAATCATATAAACTGATGCATTTCGCAGGGGCCAGCAAAAGGTTTGGGCTGCATACATCATTCTTCCGCTAGTTGAGTCCCATCTCCACTATGAATCACACGACCAGAAGATTAAGAACGACAAGCAGAAGTCTGGGCCGTACACTATCAATCATATGACTCTAGAAGCTTAGAATCTAGAAAGTGATGTTCGAGATTTAGGAACAGGCAAACCTCCTGCTTTCGGAACCATAGAGCACAAAAGGGCATCATTTCGAAGCTCTGCCAGTGGAACCAAGAAAATCCATCAGCTCACCGACTTCTTGCGCATACAGGTCAACAGCCGTTTGCTTTGATTTGGTTAACTCCATTTTCCCTGCGTTATCCGACATAAATTGTCCATACTTCTGTCGCACCGACTTGTTCAGATTCACTTTCCGGACACCACACTTTATGGCTTTCAAGACCAACTCATCCGGTATCTCATGGGTTCCATGTAAGACCAAAGGAGCAGACGGTCCAACAGCAGATGCAATACTCTCAAGCCTGGTAAAGATCAGTAGTCATCTATCAGAAGAAAAGTAATTCAACACATACCGGTCAAACTGCAAAACCTTTTCTGCTCCACCAGCTCCGTACGGACCATGCACATTTCCAAAGCTCGGTGCCAACAATTGCACGCCTGTAGCTTGCACAAAGACCTTCGCGTCTTCAGGCCGAGTCAATCGTCCAGCGACCGCATGCTTTACATCGACACCATCCTCAACACCATCGACTCTTCCCAGTTCCGCCTCGATCAGAATCCCAGCTTCCTTTCCTCTCTGCACAATGTGACCACATGATTTTATACTTTCCTCGAGGTCGCCGCTTGAGCCAGGTCCGTCGATCATGATGGAATCGAAAGGTAAGCCGAGGGCGAGTTCAATGTCCGAAGCTTGGATGCAGTGATCTAGGTGTAATGAGATGGGAACAGATGCTGCATGCGCGGCCGCAGCGACGTAACGGACGAAATGGGGTCCTTGGAAATGCAAGGTCCATGGGAATAGCTGTATGATGGCTGGTGATCGCTTTCTTTCTGCTGCCCGAATGACGGCCATGACGCCATCCGTGTTGTACCTATGTCGCGATCAGCTTGAAAGTAGCATTCACAGTGAATTCTGACAAGAGTGTCTATAATCTTGAGGCATAATGATTATGAGCAACTTACACGCAATATCCTCCAACGGCGTAGCCATGCTGGCGAGCATGATCAATGATCTGCCAAGTACGATTGGTCTGGGGAAAAATCGCCATTATTGCGGCTTGTAGTCAAATTAAATATTTGATGCCGATACTGTTTCTTGAGAGACATGACTGTCACCTTCATGCACATGGAGCTACAAAGCATGCTAACGATGGAGCCCCGCATTTGTGATTCGTCACCTCCGCAATCGGCTCTTTCGAATGCATCCTCAGTAAAAGTACTCCGTGATACACAAACGCCCTATTAATTCCCTATTAACCTCAGGATCAATGCTATAGGTCAATTTATGACTTTCTAGAGTCATATTCTTACACAGTGGCACTAAGGTGTCGAGTCATCGTTTTTGAGATCACATCAACCACCTTCCCAAACACTTGACCAGCTTCATACATTGGCCCACTTGCAGCCAATATGACGGTCGTACATATGGGTATGCGCTCTCCCCACAGCCAAGTATTGTGATTTAACTTGTGAACAGTGATGTTCAAGTTCCGTCCGGATGTTAGCGCAGAACACAAAGAGACCTTCGTGCGCGAGTTGCGCAAACTGAAAGATCTCTCGTGTGTCAAGGATCACAAGTTGCTCGTAGGCGGGCCCAGCATTTCAGATCCGATCGAGCGTTCCAAGGGGTTTGAGTTCGCCTTGCTTTCTTTCCATCAAGATCGGAAGGCATTGGAAGAGTATCAGGCCAGCAAAGAGCATCACCGGTGAGTCTATTCCCAGGAACTCTCAATGTAGTGTATTTTCTGATTTGAAACAACGAGTTGCTAACTTTGTGGGTAGGGTCACAAGCACCTACTTGTTTCCTTTCAAGGAAGACATTGTACGATTCGACTTCGAAGTCAGAGATGAAGATGAGCACATGTGCGACTTTGGCAAAGCTTTCGGATTGAAGGAAGCTGAGTCAAAGACTTAGAAGGAAGTAGACCAATGCGAAATGCTCTACTTGCAGAAGTAGAGGCACAGTCAGACACTGTTGCTTTATTTCGCTTCAATTCCGTCTGAACCCGTTCTTGAACAAGAAAGATTGTAGATACCCGTCTTTTTTTTTCTTGTTCTTTTTGAGTCAAGAGGGAAAATGTGGTTCCATTCATAATAGACCCATCGGTTACCTATATGCCTTTCTATCACCTGAGCTGTACCAGGATTCAAATGTTTCTTCGAAGTCCATGTACCCACGCAGTACTCCCACTACCTCCAAAATTGTTTACTTCCCCCTCTCATGTTTTGTCCGTATAACACCAATCCGAGTTCAAAACTGATGATAACTGACCTAATGAGTATGAATGTCAAACATATTCTTGTTGGTTGATAAAGCACCGAGATTTTCTTGCGCCAACATTCCATAGTCTCAATGTTCGTGGGGGCTCCATCAGCGCTAACGATCTAGGGCACCTCGGTAACTCCAACCACAGACAAAAATTCTTCGGCGCAACATCTCATCTCCAATACTCAAAAGAAGATTCAAACATCAAACCACAGCAAAAAAAGATTGCATCGGCCGGGAATCGAACCCGGGGCTAGCCGAAGTTGCATCACTCGATGAATCGAATGCTTGGCAACGGCTAATTTTACCACTAAACCACCGATGCGAACTGATCATTGTTCAGATGATTGATAGAAGAAAGTTCAAAATGAGAATATCTATACCTTGCAATTTTGCCTCTGTTTCTTCGTGAGGATTCGCTACTTAGATCTCTTCTGTCTCGCCCCGCTTGCTCACAGATTGCAAGACTACTGTGTCATTTGAATTCACTAGTCTAATCGTACCCCACTTGCATTCCATACTCAGGGCACAAAATTCTACGAAGTACGGAGGAGGAGATAAGTTTCGTCCAATGAGCGAAAATCCAATTACAGTCGCTTACCAACATCAAGCACAACTTGGTAATGTTAATCTACATGAGCCACATGGCAGAACAAATGATCATTCCAGCGAGCAGAATTCGAGAACCACCATTCGAGCCACCCAGACCACGGTATCTTCAGTGTCTTCCCCACGTACTTCGCATTCAAGCCGTCGGCAATAGCGCTCTGAATACAGGCTCCACCAATAGATATTTTCATTACATAGATACCCTTGCAACCCTGTTCAAGTATTTCGTAACTGCAGTCACGGTACATGGTGAGCAGGAGCGGCATCGTCTCCACATTCTTTACTATGAGGGGCGGTTGCACGACCCAATCGTGCCGGTACTGACCCAAACAAGCGCGGCGCCCGTCCTGATAATACACCATAATGCCAATGATGGGGCGATGAGAATGTCGATGGTCTACGCAGCATGCGATGTGAGAAACGTCTTCTAGCCGGCATTTATTGAAGTATTCCAGTCGGGGGAATGGCGGCCATTTCGATTCTGAAGGCGTGATGGCGGGCGGGTATGGGTTCCATTCTGGCTTGATTTGCGGGACGAAGTTATAGACGTCATTGCGGGAGATCTTCTTGAGGTTCTTGTCTCTGCCTATACAGTCAATTCTGCTTGGGTAGGGGTGGTATCCTACATCCCCTAAGTAAAGCTGGGATGCAGGCCCACAGGACCGGGAGAAGATGCGGAGAAATCTGGGGCTGTCTTTGATTTCGAAATCCACCATTCGACCGAACATGCTTACGCGGGCCCAATTAGTCACAAACTGGCATTCAACTGCGTCAGCAACTACATATACCGTTGAACAAATCTCGTGTGTGAAACTCTTGTGTTGAATGGCTTACCATAAACGCTGTTCCTCCTTCCTTATAATTGACGATCCATATATCTTCCACAAACTCGCCTTCATCGATAGGCATGTACACCCAGTCGCAGGAAGATGAGCTCTTATATGTTCTCGCAACTTCCTGCGAGAATCCTAGAGTGCCGTGAACGTCCGCAATTAATGTATCGATTTCACCGTATCCGAGGGCTATGTGTGCACAATACCCTCTGACTCTGGATGACTGACATTCAAGAAGCGTCATTCGCGGGCCGTAGTACGCGATAGATGATGCGCTGCTTCTACGTATTGCTTCGTACCCTTCATGGTGCAGACGGGGCCAAGCTATCGGATCTGAGCCGTGGCAGTGCTTTATTGCCCTTAGTTTCAAGCCCTATCCAATTTTATCGTCGAAAGTCAGCAAAGATTTATTATTAGATAGTCAGCACACAGAGAGCAAAGTAAAACCCACATCGTAGATGCAGCTCAGGTGCATTTCATCGGCCTCAGTACGCAATTCCCTCCAATAAGGCAGAGAGCCAGCCCCGAGCGATATTTCGACGGGATGCTTCTTGAGACACACTCGCCTGACACCGAGATGGTCGAAAGCTAACCATAGAGCTTTAATCTTTTCGTGTCTTCGCGCCCGGTACAATCGCATTCCTTTGCCGCCCAGGTCCGTATTCGATAACCAATGAACATAGTCGACCCCCTCGATCTCACGGTATTTGACATATATATCCTTCCCTAGATGGAGTCGGTATTTAAACTGATGCGCGAATCTCAACGAGGAAAAAATTTCCTTGGTGTGAATTGCAGCTACCTCTAGAACGAGATTTTCTGTGATTATGTCGATTATCTCTCTCGGCATCTGTTGAAGGGCACTGTTTTTTAACTTGGCTGTGGCCGCGTCTCTGATGCGTCTGGCTCTTAAGCGCTCATCGTCATATGACGGTCGGTAATCGTAGGTGATAGCAGCTGCAAATGATGGTGAAAATGAATCTGGGGCAACAGAGTAGCATCCGGCATGAAACGTGTAGATAGTGTCGCCATAAATTTCACAGCTAGATCCTCCACACATATGAATCTGCTCTCCACTGTCAAGGCCGATTATTTCCCCCTGATGGAAGCGAAATTGCTGTAGCATTTTCCCTGTGATATAAATTCTGGTATTAACATTTCAAAGTTTGGAATGAGTCCACTATCAGAAGCAATGATACACTTACCCGCGACGGTGATAAGGTCGTCTTCATCATATCTGAATTGGCACAGGAAGCATCGTACATCTGCAATGCAGTAGTAGGGCTTACAAAAATCATAAGCACTCATTTTGATGATTTTGAGGTTCACGTATATGGTGGGGTGAACTTCATATTCCAGTAGGCAACAGCATTTACCCGGTGTATATGAGCATGGTTACGTAGTTGAGTCAGCATACGTTCTACTAGATCTAGCCAGTACTAGCGCGTGAACGCGTGAAGAGACACTTGGATGAGCAAACAATGCATCAAATCATGCAATGAAGATTAATCCACGGAGCAACCTCGCTCCGAGACTTCCTAAGACGGCCTTGATCGTGTGCAGCAATTCCATCGAATTCCATCTCATATACTTCGCCATCCATGTGAACTTTACGAGAACCGTCATTCGCCAGATAAAGCTAATCGGCGTCAGATTGTAGCTTCTTGAAATCTCCACTGAATCTGACATTGACGCAAGAAACTACCAATCACGATATAGTTAGATGTGGTGTGGGGGACTAACTGTAGGGAATCCTCACTTCGAAATCACCTTTGATCGTATTGCAGACGTTAATCATCGACCTCCAGACAGCTACCTGCGTCCTCGCTGCCGCCCGGACTCTGTTCATTAGTGTCTCGACTTCTATCGTGCAGTTCAATATAGGAAGCACTCGAAACCCAGGAAGCGATAGTTTATTCAAAATTTGATGAGGATATTCCTTCCATCGCTGGATTCAACAGTCTCCATGGCTAGGATGGCGTTTTCCTCGCATGTTCTTGCGTGCAGGCGGGGTCGCGATGTCGTGCTTGATTGTACCTCCCTCGCGTAATATCATTCGCAAGCTGTCTGGACGGACGGCAGATAGAATTCCAACTTTCGTGGCTAGCATCACGCAAACAAGAGAGGCAGTGAATGGAGAAAGTTAGCCAATCAAGCTAGCTGTGGCTTATGATGATAACGTGAACAACGAGGTAAGGTATGCACTTGATTGATGATCTCAGGATCTGTCCAAGTATTCTTCGTACCTCCCCATCTATGACACCACGACAAAGTTTTCTCCTGCAGAACTTATTGACTTTGACAACCGTGGCAACCGTGCGGTCCCTGCGAAGGCAATTTCGTTCCTAAAAAGACAATAGTGAAGTGAAATTGGCGAAGCTCACACCATGCATTAAAGCCAAGATGTACAAGTGCGTGTGAAGTTGGATGACCGCACGGTCGCGCTTTAGGACAACCGTGTCACTGCGTATACCGCAATTCATGTCTATGACGCAACAGATCAGGCAAGTGGTTTTGAACAATGATTTCGAATCATGACCTTGGCAGAGGTGTCTTCCGATGTGTATGGCCTGAAATCTGAGTGGCCTTAGTTTTTGCGCAGTCAATGACTCGAATTTCAGAGGGAGCAGTCTAGATATTACGCAGTGCTGAGTTCGAAGCATTTGTGCTACGAAGAGTGGATAAAGCGTTGGTACTAGACTCATGCGTATATGAAATGTTACCGCCAACCATGAAGACTTTGCATGCATTCAAGCTGAAGCGAGCCACACTCAATGCTTATACGGAATTGACGATTTTTACGTGCTGCGCACAGATGGGAAATACGTTTCAGAAATGGTGTTCTTCAACAAAGTCGGGTCAACCTGATGACTGAGAAATCACGGATTGTAAGGAACTCCTTCAAAGAACTACTGAAGTTCCGAAGGGAAAATGCCTAATCGAGACATTGAGCTCGACGGGTGTCTGCTGCCAACGGAATGATCAGAAAAGTTCCCGAGGAACAAATGGCTGTTTCTAGTCTTTCAGATCGCGTTGCAATGTATTGTTCTTTCTAGAAAGTATGCCAGTCTTTCCCTTTGTTTGGAACGACTACAGACTGATATGCCATTCGAGTGTTTTGCCGCATCTGAGGCGCTGAATGAGTCAGTTCAATCGACAGTATGCCACGAATCAGCGGCCAGCTTCATCAGACAAAACAGATTTGCCATCAATCACATTCGGCAGTACGACCATTTTGCGGGATGGCAAGACGACGAAACATACCGCGGGTGCGAAGGCAGAAGAAACAGGTAGTGATCGACCATTGGGCGATGTCTAGCTACCCCTAAACCATTTCATGTTCCGAATTTTTTTCTAGCGCTTTCAATAGGCGCGATATTCCCCAATCCGCGCTTTCGTATGGAGAGTGTATAGAAGTTGTGATTGTTAATGGACAACTAAACCCCGCACCCCAAACTACAGTCCTGGAGGCGGGTTATGCCAACGTATCGTGGCATGGTTGTAGAAGGCTGGGGAAATCTCGAAAGTTACTAGTGCGTTCTAACCACTATGATTATTCTATTTAGGGTATAGCATCATCGTTCCTCGGAGCTTCGATTCTGTGAATGCTCAATTTTGAACAGCAGCGGGGAGCTATATTACAGTTTGAACATTCTCAACAGTCGGCTACATATGCCTTGGGCTCCATTGAATTTCTAACCTTCGACATCTAAACTGTGCTATAGGGTCAGCATCCGCTACATGAAAAGCCCTTGTCTCCAAATAGCAGGTTGACCGAGATCAGAAGACGATGCCCAAACAACCAGAAAACTCGATAGTTGGTCCCAGAGTGTTGCGTACAGGGATGGACCAACATCTGCCCAAATTGCAGAAAGGAGCGCATATAATCATCTCAAACAGGTCACGAGTTCACCATTGAAACAGACAGAAATCGTGCAGCAAACAACGCTGTCGTTCTTCGCTTACTTGATTCGCGTTTTGCATTCGGGCCTTTCAGGAAGAGTCATAAACCAAACCAAAGGATAAAATCTAAACAAAAGCTGTGAGACAACTGTTTGGTTCCGCAGAGAATAATATCTTGCAGCTTTCTGACAAAAACTATGGCTCGAGAAAATGTTTGGTTTCGATAGTGTTTGAGTGATATGCAAAATCTTCACACGGAGATGGAGGTGACGGTAGTCTTTCAAACGCGGCCGAGAGATCCAAGGATCGGGGGGGGGGGGGGGGGGGGGGGGGGTGCTTGGCAAGCTTATCTCGTGTAAACGCTTTCCCTGGGCGACTGCGAATTAAGTAATCGAATGAGTAGTGAGCGAAATCGTTGAAACCACCATGCAGAGCTTTCGTCTCGAGGCTGTTCGTTTCATTATCCTATCGCGCATTCACGGCGGTGAACACATTAGCCAATGTGAACATGTAACGCTCGAAGAATCCACTATGTGATTGACCAGCCGGGTTAATCGGCACCACTGCAAGTGAGCACTGAAATCACACGGTCGCGGTTGAACCAAGCAAAAGCCTCAAAGACTTGTTTTCTGCCGAGGCCGCAGAGCCGCATAAAATAGTCATAATAGTGTAGCGCTATGAGTTCATGGCCCACATAACGCCTCAACCACTTCGGTAGCGCTGCTAGCCGCTACTGAATTTGACAAAAGCTCGGTCGGATATAAGTCATCCTCCGAGATATGGCCAGCGCTACTACAATGTCACCGCACGCCCACCAAGCACGGGGCTCATTACGTTAGAAGTGTGGGCCATCTTGTTTCTGCAACACATTGATTGGACGCTGAGTTTGTTCGGAGCAAGGGGTTCTCTCGTATCTCTGTTATCATCCTGGAGTTCGATTAATTCACTCTGCTAGCTTGTGGAGACTCCAAACATGGCTGTTGATGTGGAGCACTTGGAGTGTGGAGACTCCAAGATCACGACGTGTTGAAAATTTGGCAGTGTGGAGAAGACCTGGAGTACAAAAGGAAAGACCCTGAGCTGAAGTTTGTGACTACTTTCTTCTCACCTGGCAGTCTTTCTACCTTGTTTCTGTGAAAGATCCCTTGTTGTTAGCCAGTAACCATTCCATTACTTCTATTTCATCTGGGCGAAACATCCAGGATGGTGCTCAACGGAAAGTCTTTGCAGATGGCCCAGCTTCTGCTGGTCGTCTTGCCTGCGTTCGTACTCTTTGGATACAACCAGTCAGGAGTGGGAGGTCTCCTAAGTTTGGAAGACTGGACCAAAACCTTTCCGCAGATCGACACCGTACACGCTAAAGGAGCCGAGAAGAGCCATAAATCTACCATACAAGGAGCGGTGGTGTCGACGTTCACCATTGGCGCGCTATTTGGCGCGCTGCTGACGACCTGGATTGGGGACGTTCTCGGACGACGCAAGATTGTCTTCGCCTCTGCTGTGTTTACGCTTGTCGGCGAAATACTTCAATGCACTTCTTTCCACATCGCACAGTTCATTGTGGGGAGATTCATCCTAGGATTTGGAATCGGGGCTCTGAGCGCCACAGTCCCTGTCTGGCAGTCCGAATGCTCTTCGTCCAAGAACCGTGGCAAGCATGTTGTACTTGACGGTTGCTTCATCAGTTTGGGATACCTTCTGGAAGCCTGGATTAACCTCGGATTCTTTGAGCAAAACAACCTGCCCCTACAATGGCGTATACCTCTTGCGATCCCCTGCTTGATCTCTCTGGTGCCAATCGCCACGACTTTCCTCATCCCCGAATCGCCTCGATGGTTGGTCAACAAAGGCCGCGTGGAGGAAGCCCGTGCCAGCTTGTCACGATTCCGTGGCTTGGACCTTGAACACCCAGATGTCACGGCAGAGATCAGCGGCATTGAACTGGCTCTAGAGGAGACTGGTCGTAGTGCGGCAAAGATGAGCGATATCTTTACCAACGGCAAAGATAAGCTTTTCTATCGATTCTCTCTTTGCATCTTCCTGCAATTCTTGCAGCAGATGTGCGGAAGCAATTTGATTTCCACATACTCTACCGTGAGTTATATGTGATGATGCCCTTTGTTCCGGCCTTGAAGCTTACTCGTACGATAGATCATCTTCCAACAAGGCCTTGGTATGAACAGCGAAACCTCGCGCGCGCTCTCTGGTGGTGCACTTACGTGGAAGTTCCTTTCATGCTTTGTCGCCTTCTTTACCATTGACCGTTTTGGACGTCGCAAGTTGTTCATGTTCAGCGGTGCCGGTATGGCATCCTGTATGCTTGCCCTCGCAGTGGCTTCCAGCTATCCCAAGTCTAACCAGGCCGCACAAATTGTCTCGGCATTATTTGTGTTCCTCTTCAATTTCTTCATCCCCATCGGTTTCTTGGGTGCCAATTTCCTATACTGCACCGAGGTCGCGCCGACGAGGCTCCGAGTCGCCATGGCTGGTATTTCCACTGGTAAGTTAACACGTCCCCCGAAAAAAGTGCAAATAACCATCTAATATGCCGTAATAGCAAACCACTGGCTCTTCAACTTCGTGGTAAACATGGTTACGCCGGTAGCTATTGAAACCATAGGCTGGAGGTACTACATCCTCTACTTGGTGATTTCTGCAATCATCATTCCTGTTGTATTCTTCTTCTACCCAGAGACGATGGGACGAAGCTTGGAAGAGCTCGAGGCTATGTTCGTCGAATCCAAGTCTATCTTTGGCGTCGTTCATCAATCGAGGAAGCCGATCCAGGGAGGCTTTCTGCCCGAGCTTGGGATGGGCAAAGACGAGAAGGAGTATGAGGAGGAGGAGTATGCCGCATGAGATCCACGTTAGCAACGATGATGTTATGATTAATGAGGCGAAAAAGATGGCGCTGTAATGTACCAATGTTCATATTTTCAAAAGCAAGATGGTTGCTGTATATATTTTCGCTGTTTTCAACCACCCGGAAGCACCCGACTACAAAAGTGGGCTGTCCTGCAAATTTGCATGCACAGACCCGATGCGTTCCGAATTTTATCATTTGATGTATCCACTTTCTGTCTCGAAGTTGTTTTGATTTGTCGAGAAACCTCTGTCATAGCAGAAGTTGACAATTTTTTCATCGTGAGTTTCAAATGAAACTCAGATACCGGATGACTCTTCCGATTAATGGAGACTTCGCTTTCAACAATCGGGTATTATTGGACTATAAATCTATGCGCGGCGGGTTTCGCAATTACACAACCTTCATGTCCGCGAGAGCTCGCTTCCTAGAGACTCACCCACGTCAAAAAGACTGGCAACCAGAAGCGATACCATTGATGCTATAACACCAAGTATCGCTGGTTTATCTTTTACACTCCACCAACAAACAGCTAATCAGCTCACCGAAAGAAACAGCTAAAGTCTCAAGACTAAAATATCTCTTGCTCTCGAACAATATGAAAACGCAAAGCAAAGTGCAATGAAAGGCAGCAAGAGAGAATACAAACTTCTCGCTCTCCATTTGAAAACTTGTGGGAAGTTATTTCGCGATAATAGTATGCAGCATCTCATCATACTTTGTTTGTCATGCCCTAGGGGATCACTTAGACTATGACGATTTTCTGTTAATCTGGCTACACTTTGCATTCATGTTTCCTGCCCATTTCCTCATGACAAGTCGTAGTGAGGCATCCGTACCAATCAAATCTATGATAAGGCAACAGGATAACACGTAAATCTACCATCAGTTGTAATTTTAAATCTGGGTGGTTATACGCACGGCGATACAGTTGTAACGATAAAGGCACCAAAAATGATTGCGAATTATGACTGCACACAAGCTTACTACAACAAACAAAAGCAGAGATTGGAGGACACCCCGTGTATATATACTGATATTAGGGATGAATTCCTTTGAAGAAATAGATTAATGCGAAAGACAATCTGTCAAACAATCGAAGTATCTGTCATATGGGTAGTGCGTGTCGAGGCCGAGCCCAATAGGCAGCAACAGGGTCGCAGGCTTTTGCTTTCCGATGAAATCAATGTTAATAGATAACACTATCTACTGCTTAACCTGCAGATTATATGGTCCTTAGAGATGACCTCAATTCTGTGTATGAATACTTGTATGTCCTTCTCCACAGCACGCCACACCGATACCCTGGGTGTGGGTAACCTGCCATCCCATATTGTATACAACCAAGATCTCGTTTACGAAAATTCATCTATACGGGTAATTGCGTTCATTTCAATGCTTCTGATTGTCATTTTATGCTTCGCGTATGTATAATAATATATACCGTACCGGGTTTTAAAGGTGCAAATTACTTTTTCCTTCGGAAAGACCACATTTTCGGAAGATTGTCCATTACAAATCGGGAACAGACAACCGTCGTCATGCAATGAAGTAGGCATTTTTTGCTGCACAGCTTCAGGGGCTGGTACAATCCTTATTATTCAATATCGCCATATCTTGAATGCACCATTCAGCATCTTGTCAACAGCTGCGGCTGATCTACGCTGGCGTTGCCGAGTCATTGTACGGAGAGGGGAAAGCCATGGAAATCTAATGAGCTGAAAGAGGCCTGGCAATAGAATCTTAGCTTTCGACGTCCAGCTGTATTGTATACAAAAATAAAGCTCCAGAAGCTCACAAGAGTATATGAGAGGTCAACTGTATCGGCGACGTACCACCCTCCCCTCTAAGCAGCTCCATCCGCAGCACAGACGGTGGCGTATACAATCACGAAACCCTATCCGAAGCAACTTTTCCACATCAGGCCCTCTCGCACTCCCCATTCGGTTCATGCAGGATAAAACCGCATCCGTAGACGCGTCCAAACCATGGGGGGCTCGGGTGAGTGGACGCGAGTTGTGTGGCTACAATAGGAAAATGCCGCCGCGTGCGCACACCGATCTTGTGGGTTATGTGCAGTGGCTTTCAAGGGCCTTGTCTCGTCTCCGTATTCGGCAATCCTGGGTTTTTTGGTTGTTTCTTTTTCTGATGTCGGCTTCGGTTAATGTTGGCGAGAATCGAGTGAGTGGGGAGCGAGCGAGCGTGGTGCCGGCCAAGCACGTGGGTAGAGAGCTTTGAACCGAAGAAATGGATTACAAGATTTCGTGTCACTTTGAGATCTGGTGAGGTGGCTTCTTTGGGGTGAAGTTAGTGAATGTGCTGATTGCCTATCTCTTCAAGACGGACGTAATGGCAATTGCACATTGCGGAGAACTGTTCCGCAGTCTGCACTGCGAACTTACGCTCGGGTTGCATATCATTTCAGGTTTTCTGATCATACAGTAGGAATTTCATGCATTACATATGAATTATAGCAAATTGCTGAGCAGGGTTCACGCTGTAAAGATGCTTCTTTTCACCTTGACCATCGCCCTGCTGGTAAACGAGAGCATCACGATTGTCAAAATCTGGCACATACACTATTTACGAAGGGGATATCGGAAATGTAGACCGAGTATAGTCTGCTGCTCTTCTGCAAAATTCTTGCCAGCAGGTGGTGGGAAATCAATGGCCGATCACGAAAAGGACAAATCATAATAGACCATCAATCTCTCCCACAGGTGAAACAATGCTAGTAATCCACGCTGCTATTTCTGCACGTTCCAATAAGAGAACCAGCAGTTCACTTACGTCGCTCATTAGGCGATTCTTGTAGATCGGATGGATAAGAGCCAACCCAAGTCAGATGACGTACCGGGTGGCTTGTTACGCTGGCGTATCTGTCATGCAGGCGATCCATCAAAAGCGCCACTTCCCACGAACGTGGTTGCATGTCACCAGGCTTCAGCCCTGTCCCTTACCCTTTTTCAGTTCATTTCTAATGCGAGGAGTCCGGTTCACAGCCGGAAATCTTATCAGCCCGTTTAGATGAGATACCCTACTATACAGAGAGCGTGCTCTAAAAGCTTACTATGGTCTGATGTTCTGCAGGTATACCGATTGTCCGGACTGTGTTACCCGGGGTGAATTATGTTCATCGAATGACTTACACATCGATATTGACTTTGATTCAAAGGAAGATACCTCTGCACGTGCTATTGACAGGAAACGAAGCATGTCGACTAAATTATCGTAAATTTCAAGAGTTGAAATCCGCAAGACGGGAACAATACAGCCAATTGAGAATACCATAAAGCTCTGGATGAGTGTGCTCCCAGCTGGTATCCAGACCATAGTCTTGCAAACTGCCCTGTCGATTATGTCGTAATTTCAGCTAGATTGACAAAGAAGATAATGATAGCGGAGCAGAGGAAAAGAAAAGAATGAACCAAGTGTACGGATCCGATGGAGCTCCAGTGCTATTCGCCCCCAGTTGAATAAGCATGATGCCGGAAAGGTGTCACAAGCATGGCCATATACGCAAGGGATTTTGCCAAAATACCGTGACCCACTACCGCGGTATGCCGACAATGCAACAGCGAATGCCAATGCAGGAATCAGATGTAGGTATCATTACGCAAGGATACAAAAGCTGACACAATCTATGATAGGTAAGATGCTGGAGATGTTGGGAGTCAGGCAAACTTGGCGACGGAGAAACGCGATGATGCAAGACCTACGAGTCGCTGGATCACGTCACATTGCTTCTCCATCATGACGCTCCTTCCTATATCCTCGTCCTTCGCCTCTCATACGATTCTCGTTACTGTTATGGACCGAAGCCGCAATACCGTCGTTTCCAGGGTGAGGTGAGACGTGGTAGGCCATGTCATATTGCCACGTATGCATTGGCATCTCTCTCGGGGAGAACGACGATGTGGCAAAAGACGGTCTTGAATAATCATGTAATGTCATGGAATCCGATGTCCTAGAAACAAGGACAGCGGGTCGGGCCGCCCATGAAGGATGCGCATTCTGGTTCGTTGGGAGTGTTGAAGCAGCTGTAATTTCGGAAGTCTGGTGGAAGGGATCTTGGAACAGACCCCGATTCTCATCATGTGCACCATCTATCCTTGAGTCCTGATTCTCGCCATGCATATGTCGATGATGGGTGCGGCGGGGAAACAAGGGGATTTGTTCTGAGGAAGGGTAAGAATGGTGTCGTAAGTGAGGCGAAGGTATTTGATGAAGTCCACTTGGTAACGATTGAGAGAAACTTGGCTGTGGCGGCGATGTCGGAGACGTTAGATCCTGCAGCTGGGTTGTTTGGTGCTCCTTGTGCTCGCGTGCAGGTGCTGTAAAAGTCGCGAATCTTGGATTTGGTGGGGCCGATCCTGGCGTTGTCTGCAGCTGTTCCGACGATCGAGCGAATGCATCTCGTTCGCCCTGCTTTTTCACTCCTTCTCCCTCTGATCCGATTGATTGGGGGATATTCAGACTCATCCTCAATTCCTCCTTCTCCATGCTCCACGCGAGCGGCTGGAACGCTTCAGGGACAAAGCCCTGCAGTCCCGGATCTTCCAGCAACAGCATTCCGGTATTACCCATCACCGTATCCCGAAGCGAATTCTGATGGGACGTGCTTGCCTCACTCACGCCTGTCGCAGTGGCGGTACCTTGCATCTTCGCGTCGCCCGTTCGATCTGCCGTGTGACTTGCAGTGCTGTTAAAAATTGACGACTCGAGACTCTGATGACTGCCGTAATTTTTTTCACGCTTTAGCCGTCCCAGTTGTGCCAATCCCCAGCTCACCCTGTCCACGGCCAGTGAAGCAAGTTCATGAACACCATTCTCCTGCAATTGGATGAACACAACATAAGCTCTCTCTACCTGCCCAATATGCGTCAAATCGCCAGTTTCCATAGCGTCAAGAAGCAATATCATGCAAGAGTTGAAAGCTTGCTGGCCTATGGTCCAGCAAATAAGGGCTGCGGGGATACGGGCGTGGAAGAACAAGAACCCCGTCAAGAGCTCGTATGAAGAGGAAAGAACAAGTGCGCGACCACGAGGTATTGAGGGATTTGAGACGGGAGACGAGTGAGATGTCTCCGGTCGAGAATTGGTCAGGCCGGGATATGACGAGTTCTTTGGTAGGCTGTCAGGCTTCTCGATTCGCTGACGATTGAGAAGGATTAGATAGGTATGCATTTTGCAAAAGAACACTGCGCAGGTAAGCTTGTTGCAAACGGAGCTTGTTTGACATCCATTAGGGATTACCTACTCGTAGCCATGGCACCAAGCGGCCACTCGGGGATCTCTCTAGTCTTATTCAGCCATGACGCATCGAATTGAAGCTGTTCTGGCATAGTGTCGAGAAGACCCTTCAGAATATCAGTGAACTCGTCGATCTTGGTGTTGGTGAGGCAGTCGCAGCTCAGGATCTGCCTTGCCAATACTGTAAAATGGTTTACGGACTCGCCAAATCTCAACATTCGTGGGTCTGTTGTAAGCTCGTGTGGTGGGGGACAGTCCCCAATACCACTGATACCCAGCGGACGACCTAGAATCATCGAATATTCTTGGTCCATATGTAGCATCCACCACCACAACGTCTGACGAATGAAGCATTCCCTCTGCGAAGGTGGCGCGGGATCGAGATACTTTGGATGCCGATGCAGACCCATAGAGTGGGCCAAGCGAATAGTGATTCCGAACAAGGTCCAAGCATCCAAAAAACGTCCACTGTTGGTGAGAAAAGGACCCAACATGACAAGAGTCTGTATACCAAGTAGTGTTGGTTTATGCATGAAAGATGCTAAACGTAGGGCTTGCATAGCTGCCGCAACTGGTAAAGAGTAAGCAATGACGTTTCGGGGGAACTGCAAAGACTCACTGTACACATCTCCTTTTCGCAACTCTTTTTCCATCGTCTCCGCTCGCCATTTGCCACCAGATTTGTCCCACGTAGAATGTTGTGATCCCAATGCTAATGCCGCGAATAGTATGCCCAGCATGTCCGGGCACATTTGAGCATTCTTGACCGGATCCGCGAGAAACCTCTCCACTTCGCTTCTTGTAATTTCAATGGGCACATACGGAAATGCGCAGATGTGCACACGTTTCTCAAAAGAATCAAGGTCTTGGAAAAGTTCATCCTTCCCTTCCTCCAGCCTAAGACAGCTCAACAACTCCGGTATACATTCATCCGGAGTATGCGGAAACATGGTGGCAAATGGGTGGGGTGGCGGAACTTTACTTGCATACATATCGGGGCCGCGGGGCATAAGATGGGCCAAAGACGGAGTAGAGACTGGCGCAATATTGATGCTTGCAAACTGTTTTTTCTTAGACCGTTACACCTAAGTTCGTGCGAAAGGTGCTCACATCTGTAATGACATTGGCGAGTCCGGGACTGCCAAAGTAGATGCTGTCTGTCCATTCCGAGCCTTGGAAACGACGCTGTCGCGCGGTACGACGCTTTTGCGTCGTGCTGCTCTGTCGATCTACAAACTGAGACTTGGGAGTCGTCGATTCGGATTCGTAGTCTTCGACGTGAGCCTTACTAGCACGTAATTGCTCCTTCAAACGTAGGTTTTCAGCACGAAGTTTTCGAAGTTCGTAGGACTGCTGGATCGGGGTATAATCGCCACCTTCTGCTACAAAATGGCACTCCTTTGGTGCTCCACGAGCACAACATGCCGAGCATGGCTTTGTACGATCGCACTATGCACATTTAGTCTTTTGCCAAACCGAGCATATGGAAGTGATTCAGAATGCCCACCTTCACTTTACGCTCGCGACACTTTGTGCACGAGAGTAGTTGGCGTTGTTGTTGAAGCGGTTGCCGTTTCCTGCCCCTTTCTCCAATAACATTGGAAGCATCGGATGTATGCAAACCTTCCAACGCAGTTGACATTATAAGCGCTTGAACCAGTTCCTCTGTAGAAAATGACTGGCATGAGGTATCGAATAAAAAGTGTGGTTAGAGTAGTGGATCGTGGAGCTGTAGCGTGCGTGAGTCGAGGCGTCGTTGGTTATATAAGTATTACAGAAAACGGTCCTCGAGTAGTATTCATTGACCTGCAAGATCATTGACGTTGGACCCGAGGGAGAGAGCTAGAGAGGGTGACCTCTTTGGTACATAAATTGTTGTAACAGCTTCTTTGCATCAGAAGCCTCATTTAGCAGCTGTGGTATGATCAATTTGAGGAGGGATTGGCGGGTTCAGGGTTAGAAAGTCGGTGGGTAATCCACAAGTTTGACTTCCTAATTAGTGGTGGTGCGTTACAGCAAAGAGCCAGTCTTTTGTCGAAAGACCTCGAGCCCAGTCGCACAGAAATATTGCGCTAAGTTTCCATAGCCCACATGAAGAAAGGGGTGTCGAACAGAACCCATGAACCAGGTCGGAGCAATGCTACTGCAGAATGAATACAGATCTAGCAACCTGCCATCAAAGCGGGCCGATCCTTTGGAGACCCTTTCCCAGGCATGCGCGGTACTTTACCGACCTGTCGGATCGCTTGCCTCGTTTTACGGTCATGTTGCGCAATGCTTTTTCTTCGCTTCCGTAGCCACAGACAGAGCTTGGAAAAAGACTGTTATACTCGAGCCAGGTAGGCCTCGGTTGCTCAGCGTCCGTTGTTCGTGCCATCTATGGCTTACGTATGGCTGCCATCGTACAAGGAGCGCATGTGGTTGCCATCCGCCGATCATCCCACTGTTGAACAGGCGCTTTGTTGGATTGCCGAAGTCCTCATATCTTTAAAATCGGCCGACCGTCCGTCAGTACGAGAACACCCGCACATTACTTGAATCGATTTGAAATGATTCTCGAGAAATCGAGTCCCAGTTGAATGATGCAGGATCAGGATGGTCACACCGAACGCCTGATTCCGCCACTGGAGACCAGTTTCTCAGTGGTTGATCTCACCGGTATGGGAGCATAGGGCCGGATTTTAGAGATTGTCTCAAGCTTTAGTAATGGAGACGCGTTGGCTCTACCTTATTCAATGCCCTCGGGGTCTTCCTAGACTAATGTTACTATCGCACGATGCAGCGCCGTCAATAGGGCGTGGTGAGGTACGTGAGCGGGTTAGACAAGGTTTTGGCGAGGGAATACCTAGGTACCAACCACCCTGTTTGCTAGGCACATAGACCTTCATTCTGTTGCCATCGGAACAGCATACATGATTTTCTCCGTCATAATATGTATAATCTTCTAAAAAAAGTCTCCAAAATGTAATTGATGGCTTGATCGAGTTGACATCAATTGATCTAGCCAGCCATTGACCAACATGTAATCAGCACTCATACTCATTCACTGACACTGGTTCGACTGTAGATTGATAATTCGTAGCGAAAGATGTTTTGCAAAATCGTTGGTGGGTGCACATAGACGAGGATGAAGATAAGACGCAAAAGAATCCTTGTCAAATTGTTGTTCGCACCTGGGCACGCTAGCACACGCAATCACGTGCTCAAATTGACAATCGTGTGATACATCGCTTGTACATTCGTCTTTTGTGAACTGGTAAAGAAAGGTGATTCAGTCATTATGTTGAGACTCGATATAAACAAGAAGTTTGAGCCCCTGAGATCCTGCGTAGGGATGCACAAGAAGCTACACGATCACGTGAGCTACCCAGCCGCGAATCGGCTTATGTAATGATGAGGCCCCACTCTAGAAATTCCGCGAGAAATTCCGCGTTACTATTCACTCCCGCAGAACGCACAGCAAAGACACCATACTGACTCCATGGTTGACCGATAGTACAACTTTCAAATCATCTTCGAGATGGCTACAGAACCGTCAGCTTCAGCTACACCCGTGAAGCAGGAAAATGGTGTCGCATCCGCGGCGGGCACTGCCAGTCGCTTCGATCAATTATACGACAAATGCGCAACGAGTCCACCTGGCACCGTTTTCTTCCAGCGCGATCTTTCCGCCTTGCAAGTTGCAGATACTATGGAGGAACTGCTCGGTCTGATTAACGGCTTGTGTGCTCAGCACCTCTTGAAGCAGCTGCTGTTCGACAATGAGCCTTGCTGGAAACTGCGGGACCGACGTGAAGCTGAAAAGTAGGCGCCGCCACTTCTACTCTTTAAACTCACTTGCTGACTGGAATCTTCCGTTAGATTGCGAACACTGACGCCCGACGAACATGTCCTCTATCAACATATCGACCAAGCTCAAAATGAGGGTGTCTGGTCCAAAGCCCTGCGCGCTAAAACTAATTTCGCCCAACCCACGCTTACCAAATGTCTCAAGTCCCTCGAGTCCAAAGACCTCGTTCAATCTATCATGAGTGTCAAGTTTCCGGCTCGAAAAATGTACTTGCTCAAGTACTTGACACCTTCAGAAGATATTGCGGGTGGCCTGTGGCAGAACAATGGTGATTTTGACATGGCCATGATTGACGAGCTATCCAATGCTGCGCGCCAAAAGATTGAAGAGTTAACTTGCGTACGCGTCCCAGCCAAGTGGAACAATTACCAGCGATCGGAAAGGGCAGCCGCCATTGCGCACAAGAAAGCTCATGTACTGGGGTTACGAGATATTGAAGACGGCGCTCCCGTACGCCCTTACAAGCTACCTGTGCATGGCAGTTCAACTCGGCTCGTTTACAAAAGCAATCCTACATACCCAACCGCCACTACGATGGCGGCCTGGCTGAATGGAACCGATGTTCTAAAGGGCAAGGTCGCACGCGATGTAGACATGGAACAGCTGCTGGAGATGATGGTTCTCGATGGCCGACTCGAAAAGGCATCGGCGATTTCTTATCGCACAGCTCTGAATATAAATGACACAAAAACTCTGAACGGATTCGTCGATGCCCCTTGCGGCACCTGCCCTGTCTTCGATCTTTGCGCTGACGACGGAGATATTTCTGCCAGAACCTGCGTGTACTTCGGCGAGTGGCTCGGAACGGAATCAGAGGAAATATATTGAAATTTTGTTTTTTGCATAGCGATGGCGTTTCTAGGGCAATGCTGGCTATATGCCGATAACGGATGAAATACCCATTAGATGGCGCCTAGATGTCGAGAAGTATCTAGGCTCGGTGACGAATTACACGTCAAATTTGATTGGCTGTTCTACGGTCTGTCTCATGTACTAGTGTGATGTTGCATGGTAATTATCGAACCCGCCCTCTGGATACTGGCTGTAGACCCTCATTTTAGCTTCTAGGTTAGATTGTTCCGAGGATACCGCGTAAGCTACCAAGGCTGTGGGCCTGAATTGGTGCTGACTTGATGGTCGGATAGCTCCGAGCTTGGGAACATTAGTTGAATGAGTTTTGGAAATTCAAAATGCACGATATTCCCGTTGTCATGTTCGGTGAGTGAAAGAATTATTCTCCAGGGGTTTGTGTCTCAAAAACAATACACTCGAGCTCAACCGTTACAAATCCTGGCGTCCGAAACGCTTCTATCTTGAAATCTTTCAATTCTATTCCGTCAATCAGATAAAACTATAAGACTATACATATTCTACAAAGTCTACAAAGTCTACTCTGTTCCATGATCAACAATTGTTGGTATCGTGATATAATTTTCGGACACTTTTGCCGGCAACTTCAGGATCCGCCGGGAGCTTCGCTCGGAGACAAATATTGAAATCCTCGCTACGACTGAGATGCATTTAACGCATGCGGAGAATTTACCAGACTCCCCGTATAATGCCCATCTAATTAGTTTCGAATACTTTCTCAGGTATTTCCGAATCATCAATAATCCAATATCCTCAAGGAGACATTATCGCTGCCCTGACGAAAAGCTCGAACAACGATCAGTGCCAACAATGCTTTCAACAATTCTATATAAGTATCGTATCCAACCACATCGTCTTGTTCGTATTCATCGTATGAGAAATTTCTGCAACACCATGTCTACTTCCTCTACCCTTAACAGTACCGCTAGCTCGGATTTTCACAGCAATTGGGCTAGCGATGAAGTTGTCGAGAAAGTCAGAGTCTCTGAAGCTGTTACCAAACCATGGGCTTCTTTGATGATCCAGCATTCCGGTATTACCAGCGGCGATAAAGACGCGCATGCTCTGGATCTAGCATGCGGTACTGGCGTGATCACCGCCACCATTTACGAAATGACCCCCAATGAAAAATGGGAACGCATCAAGGTCATGGGATCAGACTTGAACGAAACCATGTTATCCCAGTTAACAAAGAGAGCGGAGGCGGGCGGTTGGCCTGAGATTGAAACAAAAGTTATGGTTGGTATGGTATGTGCACTTCGCGCAAGCCAGTCGTGATTATCAGTGTTCATTGCTTACCTTCATTGGTTTAGGATCCCAGTCTTCCTCCGGATACCTTCACCCACGCATTTATCAATATGGGTATATACTTGATGTCACCAGACACTCTATCTATCGCTTTCAACAAGCTTGGTCCCGGCGGCTTCTTAGGTGTAAGCAGCCTTGCCAGCATTCCTTGGTACAAGTGGGTTTTCGACGCAGCATCTCGACTACCCAACCCTTCGAACATGCCGCCTTACGAGGATGTACTGAACAAAATGTTTTCTGGTCAGCCATGGGCTGAGCAGCAGTTCATGGAAAAATCACTGAGAGAGGCGGGGTTCGGTCGAGTAAACATCGTAGAAGAGAAAAAGAGAGTGAATTGTGGAACCCCACCGCAATGCCTGGACATGTTAGTATGTTCAACGTCTCATTCTTCTCGCCATGCCCTTTTGAATTGCTCGCTGATTTACAACTCCAGCATATGCCGGTAAAGCTAGTCGCATCATGGTGGCCGGAGGAGGAAAGAGACAATGTCGCGAAGAAGATTGAAACGGAGCTTTATCAGATGTTCAGTGAAGAACTCGAAGATGGAAACATGTGGATTGAAATGCATGGCTTTGTTGGCTGCGCGTGGAAAACATCTACGTAATACTTCTCTGTTGGTTTTTTGTTGAGTGAAGCCGGGATGCGCTGGGCTTCTGTGGTGCTCATCCGATAGTGGCGAGCAACAGGGATGACTTGATGGTTAGATACTTGGATAGATTGCAATGACTCGCGTCTCTGCGTCTACCACTGAATGCATATGGTCAATACATAATCATGTGTCTCGTGTCGATGTTCAATCACTAGAAGAACTTTCGAGCGATAATCTTCAAACCCCTCGATACCTTTGTGTAGGTCAATTGTACACTCACGTGTAGACAATTGATCCTGAATAAGTTATTTAAGCAGCAATTATTAGACACTTTTGGGTTTCTACAAGGTATCCCATCGGTGGACTAGCCAGTAAAAGCTTTGTGCGAATCTACGGGATTATTCGCTCTTGTTAATTTAAGCCTTGCGCTCTCGGTAGAGAGGAGCTTCTTCGGCCAGAAATGCTTGTTGGTTTCCCCGCAGTGATGTTTCATCACACGTTCCGCGTAGAAAGTTCTTGGCTGTCGCAACATGAAGCGTAAATTGTTTAGGAGATTCGCCTCGCTGCATGTTCATATGCCAGTCTAGAACACAGCCAAACGCCTCTCAGAAAGATTTTCCTCGGTGTGGGCTGCATTAGTTAGGATAATAGTTTAGAGTCAAGGAGTACCTACCGCCATTAGAATTGGCAAATGCACTTGGAGGGTTTATATACAATGAATTGGTTGGGGAATGATATACCTCCCAGCCGCCTTTCAGATGGGAAATTCGAGTTAATTTACTAGTCACGTGAGTGTGATCTACAGTCTCAAGAGTCATCAACGAAACGCCAATCGCCGATGCTGAAACAAGTCTTGATATAGGACTACAACACCAACGTCAGAGTCGCCCTTGCGTACCACCGAGACTATGTGACGATGCGCTTGGCTTTTTCTCGGCAGGGCCCTAAGGGATACGGAATCCGTCCTACTCCGCACACCGATCTGCAAAACCTCCGCTAGGCTTGTCTATCTAAGCATTTCCTATCTGCTTTGGGCACAATGAGGCAGGCGTAACCTGTGCAGCCAAGCTCCTCTTGGTCAGCGGAGTGTTTGAACTGTAAGGGAGCACGGTACGGTAAGACCTTCCAGGTGACATGTGGGGTCTCCAACCAATCTCTTATAGAAGCACAGAAAGACATTGTGGAACCGTGAAAGTTTGACAGCTGGGCTGCCCATCGTTTTTTCTTCCTCATTTTACCTGACTTTCCAGTATTGATTCTTACACCATACTCCCGCGCTTTCTATCATGGCAGCCGTTGCGCAAAATCCGGTCATGATATCCAATCTTCCATCTATACTTGACGATAGTGATTCATCCCCAGTGGACATCACACACCTCTCTGGAATGACAATGACCGAAACCATCAAAGAACGACAACCGCAGATTCATTTCACCCATGCCACAGAATCGGCATCTAAACTCACTTCCAACAGATCGTCGATGGCTTCTGTCTCCACTACAAAATCCCAACTCAGACACTCCAACCAGGTTCTGATTGGCATGCTCCAGAACATTCAGAGTGAACTGGAAGCCCATCGGTCGCTTATGTTGGACATTCGAGATCGGGTAGCCCATCTTGAAGATGATACCGAAGCCAGTGTCTACCACGATGCTTATGCACTCCGAGCATTGGAAGGAAACAAGCGTGGTAGTTGGCTTCCTCCTCTGCCACCCCCGGAAGGACTGTCATGGTGGAATGCAGTTCAGGCATTCGCTCGCAACTCTGAGCCACCCATCAGCGCTACTGAGTTTCTACGAACACCGAGACCGTGCTCAGCTATTGATTGGCCATTGGGCCCTGCTCCGGCCGTCGAATCAGTCACTCCGCCTGATGTGGACGACCTTCCTCCGTTGACACCTACGTCGGAAAGCGAGAACAGTGATCTTGATACACCAATCAGGCATGACATCAACCTCGGTAAAAGAATCTCTTCGCCGAGGCCAAACTCGAGCTCAGTGGAAAATGAGAATGATATCAAGGAAATCGAGGTAGAATTTGATAAGATCAAACTGCCAGCACCCCCTCTCCTCAAGCCAGCTCCAGCAGGAAGACCGACGGCCACCAGCGACGAGACCGCCGATCCAGTCGCCGAGCCTACGGAGCCGATCACCGAGACTATAGATAAGGTCTCTGAGCCACCTATCGAAACAGAATCTAAACTGATGGAAAGCTCCATGCGTTTTTACAAGGGAGTGAAGAGCTTGATCACTTACAAGGCTCTTCTAAAGCATAAGTCTACAGAGAAAGGTCAGTCGAAACCCCAATCATTATGAAGGTCCCGAAAACTAATAATATTCAGAACATCATGTGCTTATTCACTTTCACAAGAGGGGAGACTTAAAACATGTCCAGGACAACGAATAAACGTCGCATATTCACGTCTTCATCGGTTACCTAGAGATACATCACAATCAATCACAATTCGTTTTGTTTTATCAACTTTCACTTGGCGTTCGGTATGAATAGATTGGTCTCACATTCTTTCTTGGATTTGAAATGTGTGATGGGTATGGAAAGGCCACAAAATACCACAAGGGAGGGGGCGTTGTCAAGTAGCTTTGTCGATCCTTCAATGCAATTCTTCTATGTATCATTGGTAACCTCAATTTTGTATTCAGATGATACGCAATTAACACACGGTATTCCAACATAGTCTGTCTCCACGTAATCAAATGTCGCCTGGTCTGCACCACATTACCTCATGCAGCTAAGTGTTTTGAGCTCACCCTCCGGCGGCATTGAGGGATCTTCTTGCTATCTCTGACATGCTGATTATGCATTTAATCTACAACTGCAATGACGCAGCATCGCACTTTCAGCTATGCATCAGCACATGTCTGTCGATCGGTCTCATTATCTACTCTGCGCGCACGTCAAGCTCGCAGGGAGTGAGTGAGCATGTGACAGTTGGACACAACATCTTCGACGGATTTATAATCAACTTCCACTTTGCGTCTCCACATAGCCCATACTTTCGTGAAGATTATGACGTTCATCTCGAGTGATGCTGATGCGCGACCAAAGGTGTGCTTTCGAATTAGCCAATCATGTCAGTCGCCTGCCCATTTGCATTACTAATGCTACAATATCACCACTCGCCCTACACATTACATCAACATGGCACCAGAGTACTTAGGATGGGGGGAATAGAACAAAATGAGAGAGTCGATCAAGAGCTGGACTTCACCTGGGCAACATGCACCAAAAGCTTCCTTCCACTCGTCGTGTGTTTCGCCGAACAGACAACCACAACCCTGGCGCAGCAAAAGTTCAACTCGTCATTGAAGACCTTCCAGCCACTCTCCCACCAACCTCGGTTCTTATCAAAGTCCATACTGTATCTCTCAACTATCGCGACGCGAACATCGCGAACGGCGGTAATCCCTGGCCAGTTACACCCCATGGAATCCCGTGTAATGATGCCGCTGGCGAAGTGATAGCCACGGGATCGGGAACTATCGATATCAGAGTTGGTGACAAAGTAGCACCTATTACAGACACGGAAAATTTAACAGGCAGAGAAAACGCGAGAAGCTGGCTTGCTGCGGACGAAGACGGTGTTCTCGCTGATTATCTGGTTTTCGATGAACGTAAGGTGTGCAGGCTTCCCAGTCATCTGAGCTGGGACGAAGCTTCCTTGATTCCCTGTGCTGGGGTCACAGCTTGGAGTGCGCTGAAAGACATTGGGTTTGGAGGGAGCGTCTTAATTCAAGGTACGTCAGCGGGTTGCGAGCTCAAAAATGCTTTATATATTGATTTCGCTCCTTAGGAACCGGCGGTGTGAGCATGTTTGCGCTTAAACTTGCTAGGGCTTCCGGTCTTAAGGTCATCGTCAGTTCATCAAGCGACAAGAAATTGGAAGAGTTGCGAAGCCAATACTCTGAGCCTCTGCTCTCAACAGTAAACTATGCTACATTTCCAGATTGGCACGAAAATGTCCTGGATATTACCCAAGGAGTGGGTGTTGATCTCGTCATTGAAGTAGGTGGCTCACAGACCTTGATAAAGAGCCTGAAATGCACTCGGCGTGGTGGTATCATTAGCCAAGTCGGTTATCTCGGAAAGGAGAGCGCAAAAGATCTTGATGAACTAGTGCCTCTGCTCATCGATCGGAGAGTAAATCTCAGGTAAGTCATACATCGGGTTTTTCTTGTTGGAACAATTCCGTTGCGGCATACCAGATCAACGATTGACGGTGATGCTAGGGGTATAAATGCCGGCTCCAAACAAGATCTTGATGATCTTTGCAGTGCTATGTCAGCAGTAGAGATGCGTTTGAACGACATTGTCGATTCGAAGTTCCCATTCGAGAAGGCCAACGAGGCGATCGAATACGTATGGCAAGGGAAACAGGTTGGGAAGGTTGTTCTTGGCGTCAATGGGAGTTGTTAGCTTCCTTATCATCAAACTTTTCACATGCAGTATTAAGTTCACTAAAGCATATAGTTCAGAACAGCAATGATATGTTTCCCGAAGCGCCTATACCCGCTGATGCCCTCATGAAGTACAACTGTTATACAAAATGATCATGCGTCCGCCGAAAAGAATGTATCCCCTACTAAGCTTTCTTCGCGATGAAGTTTCCAATTTGTTTACTGATATACTTACCACCTTCGGCCTTGATTACAGGAACAGCATATTCTTTGAACATGTCTTTTGCTTCTTTCTGCCAGACACTTTCCTTCCTCTCCTGCGTGGGTCGTGTACCAGCTTTTGGTTGAGGTGGTCTTTCTCTGCGATCCCTGCGATGTCTGTCTTCTGGTGTATAAGGCTTGCGAGAATCACTATGTGAGCTCCGCCGAGGGCGGTTGTAGCGATTATCGGAGTAGTAATCATCCTCGCGGGTGTGTCGCCGCCGAGCAGCATGATGGTCTTGATAGCGATCTACAGGCTCCGGAGATGTGGCTTTATGGGCATAACGGGGTGAGCGGCGGCTCCGATGATGACGCGGTGGCGGACTATATGACGAGGAGGAAGAAGGTGGAGAAGGGGGTGGGGGAGCACGATATGTCTGCGCCCGTCTTGGGCGTCTTTCTATGGGATAATTAGTATTCACTTTTTGTTGGAAACATGCCAGGTCACTCCGAGAGAGCTCAGTGACATACCCGGACCATAATCATAGCGTGGGTGAGGCACTTTTTGGTATGTTGGTTCAGGAGGGGGATGATGTCGACCTCCAAACTCATCCATATAGATTGGTTCTCCTGAGAGGTGTAAATTTTACTATCTATAATTGAATTCAAAATTTACTTACGAAGAGGCTCTCCAGTGTGAGGAGACATTTTGTATGCGCAGCAAAAAGTGTGGATGTGATGATGTCGGCTGTGTTGTTTCCAAACGAATAACGCTCTTTATGTACTGGCTGCACCGTACGTACTACGTGGTCGGCTTGCTTTTCGGTTGTGGGACCGAGATGTCAGCTTAATTTCTCCCCTCATTTTGCAAAGCACTGTCGTCATTGCTTCATTCCACTCATTCCACTCAGACGTTTACTTTGGGCAAGCCGCTTGTGCATAATGAACTCGAAGCTTCGTCTATGCGCTGTCAACATTCGACTGGACAGCCCAATATGTGCGCTGTGATCATCGTGCATGATACGGCAATTACTGGATCTCGCCTATAGGTTGCGCGCCCCCGCGAGTTACTCAATCTAGCGAAGATGATCGGTTTTCTTTGCCACGACTGGTGCAAATTGGTAGATCGATTTCTACATACAGAATAAAACATAAGAATTACTGCTCAGGGTCCGCTATCATATTGTATACAAGACTCACAGCTGAGAACCTATTGCAGCTAGTCGCGTCTTTATCAGTATTAGCAATCGTGGTATATAATCCATCACAGTGCTGCATATGGAGGTGCAGGTACGTGGGACTGCAAACCAGTTTTATAGTATACGGTATGTGGCATTGGAAATTCGTCGCGCAAGCAGCAAACACACAAATGTGTGAACGCAGTGCACCCCTTCTTCATGAAGTTGAGACTGTTCACCCTCAATTGAGAACAGAGGAGAAAGAACTAGATATTCCCTAGTGCAAAAAGATGCGAACGCAAATAGCACAAGTGCACACATAAGATATGCTTTTCGTATCCGCTCGTTGTATTGGGGCTCTCCTTTTTGCGAAAAATGATAATGAATTTTCTGGACTGCACTACACTCTCTCGAAATTTTGGTTCGTGATCTCGGAGCATCTCAACAGTGCGATACACTACTCTAAAGACAAGCGCTTAGGTCCCAGCACCCACTGAAATCATAAATATCAGTGTTCTTTGAACACTAACATGAACGATGATAATACCATACATATACCTAAGAGCTGAATGATTAACAACTCTGGATGGGGCTACTACTCCTAAGTCTACTAAATATCTGAAGGCATCGTGGATTGGTGGTTCAGCGATATTCATCAAACGCCTGTCTGCGTGGAGGTTTAATCTTTAGTCATTAGGGTAGTGTGACTATAACACATCTTCGTGGGCTTGAATCATATTGATAGGTTGTATAGCTTTCTTTGTTCTCTTCTCTCGTCTACTTCCATTGATATGCGGGAAGCATGCTTCCGTTCGATCTATGCGTAAGCCCATCGAAGGGATCGATCGAAAAGTAATTTACACGCTTGTACCACCGCCCAGTTATGATGTGACAATCAATCTGCCACTCCACCAGAGGCCAGCCTATTGGTTCTTATAGCATTCGAACACTTTGTGTTTAGCAGTCAAACAGCCCTGAAGACCGCGAACATCCGCCTGTATCTGCAATACCTTGCGATACTCGCTGACGTTCTTGTCAGCAAACGCTTTAAGCCTGTCATAAGCCACATAGTAACCCAAAATCCGAACTTCCGTGAGACGTTCCCGCACTCCTAGTAAGCTGTATTTCGCTATCTCATTGGTCAAATCGGTTACTGTTGCCCGGAAGAAGGCACCGTAGTGCTCCAGGTCGACGGAAGATACCTGAATGATAGGGCGAGGTGGTAATGCATCCACGTATGTTTTAATCAATTCGAGACCATCCGCAACAGCCGTAGGATCCGTGCCTAGCACGGCAAGTCCGTTATACAAGTCCCAATGTGGTCTCTCAACGGTTAAACCTTCGCAGCCAGTACGTTCAAGATTCTCGAGGAATTGATCATAGCAGCATTTACCAAATAACTCGGGTCCGGATTTAGAGTCAACACGAACGGTACGGTGTGGCGCATCAGCTTCATCTTCATCAATCTCACTGAGACGAACGGCACACGCTGGGCATTCTTTATAACCTCCCTCTTTCACAGTGTCTTCGTCCAACCACTCGAGTTCCGGTAACGCCCACTTCAACATCGTTTTTTCGTGAATGAGACCTCGCAGCCCCCGTAACTCAGTATCAAAACCACTGCGAGTGTGGCACATCTTATTTTCACCGAGGCGATTTCTCCATTCCTCCATAGAGTCTTCGTCAAGGGTAAAGATTTTGAGAAAAGCCTCTCGCTGCGTATCGCTGCACATCTTCCAATCGCGCATAGAAAAATAGTCGACCTTCCAGGAATTGTAATAGTCTGCACCTTCCAAACGGTAAACAAATCCATCACGCAGCGCCTGCGACATTCCTATAGTCGGGTCCAGTAGAATCGAGTGCAAAGTACGGAGATATACGAGAGTGCGACGGTCAATGGAAACTTCGTCGCGAACCTCGGGTCTGTGGCGGAACCAATCGTCTTCATCGAGACCTGCTTTCTTCGATGCATCCATCCGTGCCTTTTGTATTTTCTCCTGTCTTTCATTTTCGTCTTCCTCGTTCCTGGGCAAAGGAAAGAATGTGCCCGGTACGTCAAAGGGGATACTTTCTTGCATTCTCCAAAACCTATCCCCGTCTTCCTGTCCGAATTTCTCATCCCATTCTTTCATTCCAGTAACGTTAGCCTCCTTGATAGCGTCTCGCAGGGTGTCGTCATCGAGAACCGATATGATTTCCTGTTGGTATTCTCGACGCATATTGTCAATAAAGATGGGAACTCCGTAGCCGGAATCCTCGCCTTCTCCGGTTCCAGCACCATCATCAACTGCCTCTTCGTCGTCTCTCTCTCCCTCGTGGTCACTCTCTTCGAAGTCTGCTTTGCCCTCCTCTTCCTTCATTTTGAAAAGATCTAGAAAGATTCTATGGAAGGGGTCTTCATAGTGGTCGCGGTGAAGTAGGAACTCCACCGCTTCTAAAACCTGGATGCGACGGAGTTCTTCAAAACTCAAATGGAACCCGGGAGATTTCGATTGTGGGGTACCACCTGCGAGCTGCGTATTTTGAGTCGACTTGATGGCAGGTTCCATGACGATTAACACATGTTACTTCACTGGGCTATTCTGGAAGAGAAGAAGGTTTCAGGAAAACCGTAAAAAATAGGTAAATCATCAGGCGCAATAATCGCTGACGAGGTGTTATATGTGGGATATGGCATGCGCCGCATTTGGCACCAAAAATATCGAAGCTAAGCAGGGTTCCAGGCTGTTTTAGACTTAGTGAGACGCCGCAAGGACCTGTCCCTCAATCTTGCAATGCGTTATAACTCTTACATTCTGGGGATCAGGTAGATTTACATTTTTTTGAATCACTGCTTTGATCACACTTTTATTATACCAAGTGTTTGTGCCGCATAGGAATGCGATGATACTACGACTTAGCTTTGATCACACCTGTCTAAACATTGCATCTTAGTGTGAGCTCATTGCCTGTACAAGACCACTCTCAGACCTCTAGATATCCGAAAATTTCTGATGTGACTCAATATGTTTGGGTGTGTAGTGGGCACCTAGATTCTGTGAAGATATACACCTGCAAACAGCTTACGGACTATTTTGCGGTTCTCTCCATTAAACTACGACATCATTAAGACAATCACTGCTATCGTACCAAAATTTTTGGAGGATACAATAGTTTCTGACAGGCATTGCTTCATAGCTGAGACAAATAGCTCGAGGGCTTTTACTTGAATCGATGTCGAGGATAGCGATTGCGCAATAAGAACGCTTTTTCCGATTGCATTAGGGGAGCTCTATAGGATTTCTTTGGTCACTGGTAAAAGATGGTAAATGCTAATCGAGAACTTGATCAGGAGATCTTACGGTTTGCTTGTGTAGCAATTAATGGTCCCGCATTATTTGCTAGATGATTTGCGCAGAGCAAGCAGAGCGCTTACATCAAACTTTGCCCGAAGATAAGTTGAGCGACTTCTTCTTCATCAAGCCCGATGTGTTCAACGTCCTAATACTATTTGAATCTCACTGCAAGCCAGTACCGAAAATGTCTAACACAAAGAGTACCCGACCGACCACCATCCCCAAAGTACCCGATGATAAAGAGAAGAGCGTCGAGAGATTCATCGATCCCGTCAGAAGCCGCATCCTGAATGAATTGCGTGTCAATTTCCAAGGCCATTCCAAGGAATTCCTCTTAAAGACTGCGAGTACGTTGATCCTGCTCTCGCTCTAGACTTGCAGCACACTGACAATACTGTGCAGAAAATTTCGCTTTTCTCTCACGTCAATATGCAGGCTCGAATCTTCAGTCAACATCAGTCTCAGTTCCATTGGTTGATACATATGCCGACGGAGATATAATAGGACATAGAATGGCACTGGTTATACATGAAAAACCGGGAAAAATGAGGGTCCTATTGCAGCATAGCAGCCCAGCCGACCACATGTCGTGCTTACTAGCAGCTATGGCACAGTCTGCTGAGAAGGTCGTTGCGCAGATCCTTGAAGGGGAGAAAGGGAGAGTTGTGTTCGGCATGCTGGATACGAAGATTTGTTAGAATCAATCTCCCTCTTTTCAAGACGCGTGTGTTTGTCTTGAGTAGTACTCAATCATTCTCTGGGCCAATGTACCGGGTAGATTCATATGCCCCCGGTAGAGTACTTCATACGAAAAATGAAATTGACATTGAACAAACTCTCAGATCTTTGCTTTTACATTGTCATTCGAATGATCCCGTCTGGTCCGGGCTTCCCATTCCCAAGATGTCCCTTTGAATCTTCCTTCTTTCCATTTCTCATAGATGCTCTTCCTTTCTTGCTCCTCGCTGCATTCCAACATCTTAGCCCATACCCCTAGTTGTTCTTTGAAACCCACATTGGGATCGCAAACAGGACGACCTTCGCACAACTGTTCCAACGCTTCTTCCCATCCGATACCGAATTTCCACATCAAATACGCTATGACCAAAGTCGCGCTCCGGCTCTTCCCCATAGCGCAATGCACAAACACGCCTCCGTTCTTTTTACGTCCTTCATCATCGATGCTTTCACTTCTCAGTCCTTCATCGATATACGCACTAGCACTCTCGAAATGCATCAAGAGGTTTTCATTAGGGTCGTCATCCGCGCGTATATGATAGTGTTTTAGATGTTGAAAGTGTTTCTGAAGTAGAGAATCGTAGTCGATGACAGAGAGGACATGTGTGATGCCAGCGGCACGTATAAGATCTGTCTGGTAGAGCGCATACAGTCCACCAATGTAAAGAGAGCCTCCAGCGCGAGGTACTAAGTCCACCCAGCCCATGGATGTGTGCGCGGTGCTGCCGTGAAGCAGATAGGCCATACGAAGACGAAAACTTCGTTAAGCAGTTATTGATAGTGTTGGCGAAAGAATATAATTTGTCCACAGTGAAGTCCCAAAGAGTACTATGGCGAGATCCTGGTTTCCCATGACGAAGACGTCTACTAATCTTGCCTTTATTCTTGAAGAGCACAGCTGAGGGGTGCTATGTTGAGAACGGGGAGCCGAGGTAGCCAGAAAATTGCCGATCTTGACCCACACTTCACCCACTGAAAGAAACCACCACTCAACGGCGAGTCAAGCTATTAGCCTCGCAAAGGTCTCGCTTGGGATTTTAATAACACAGTGAGCTAATATTGTCATCCTGCTCTTTGATGAAGTATCTGATCTCAAGCTTTTGGGAGTGCAAATTGCTCGATCATATTAAATTTAATCTGCAAATTCGACATCAACAACCTCAAATCCCGTCGCTTTAGCTCACTTGGGAGAGCGCCAGACTGAAGATAATCCAGCTTGCTGGCAAACTTTGGTTATACCGAACGAAATCTGGAGGTACTGTGTTCGATCCACAGAAGCGACATTTTTTGCTGGATGCCCGGAGCCGACGCTGATTCTCTCTAAATACAACATCACTGTTATTTTGTATCTTTTATTTTTTGCACTCCTGTCATGGATAGCCCATACATACTCATCAGTAGCATGTAGACACCGCATAAAAGCATGGGCATGAATACGTAGGTACCGAGTATCTGCAGTAAAGTAAGGCCGCATGAAGCCAGCCAGCGTGGTATTACTGTCTCCAATCCATTGAGTGTGTCCCCCTCTAGCCCGGAATGCGGCATCAGCTGCAACCACAAGTCTCCACCTCCGCGTCATCCTAGCACACCAATCAGCACATCAAGTATCCACTCACGATCGCACTAGATGCCTCATATAAAAGGTCGAATTCCCAGTTACGCAAGCGAAATTCCGGTATTTGAAGACTTGACGGGACACGGGAAATCAAGAGAAAAAGCAAACACAGAACTACAGCACAAGACCCTGATACGCGCAACACCACCAACAGAGAAAGATTAAGAAGAGGATTAGGATCGATGGCACCACGAAAGAAGTCCCTTCTCATTGGAATCAACTACACTGGCAGCAGACATGCGCTCAAAGGTTGTCAAGCCGATATCGACAACGTAGCCGAATTTTTAAAATACAGAGGCTACAACAACACTCATCACGACCGCGTCATGCTCTCCGATAATGCGGCGCTGTCACCTTTGAGTCCGTACTGGCCAACCGGGCACAATATCCTCGCGGCTATGGATTGGCTGGTCTCGGAGCCAGGCTGTACACTGTTCCTGCAATACTCGGGACATGGAGCCCAGATCCCCGACAGGGACCATACTCGCGGGGGAACAGGTATTCTCGATACAATTGTGCCTATAGACTATGAAGTCAATGGGCAGATCAGCAGCACGCTTCTCCACGAGCATCTCGTTACGAATATGGCGCCCGGTTGCACGTTGTTCATCCTCATGGATTGTTGTCACTCGGGTTCCGCAGTCGAATTACCCTACGTGTATCGCTCCGATGCAGATGGTCGCATTTCCTTGCTCGACAATGTGCGCAAGGGGGCGCAGCTGGTTGCCGAGGCTCAGGAGTTATTTTCGGGAGGGTTCAAGTTCGAGAAGGCAGGTGAGGCGAGGCAGTTGTTGGCTGGTGCGACAGATTTCTTCAGGGGGTTGAAGCATGCGGACGAGCAGCAAGAGGAGGGTCTGCAGGGAAATGATTTTGAGGGGCAGTATGGCAGTGAGAGGAAGATGGTTACTATGTTCTCAGGATGTAGGGATGATCAAACAAGTGCAGATGCGAATATCGCTGGCCAATCTACAGGAGCTATGGTGAGTCAATTCATCTACTTTCCAAACTTCCGTGGTTTCTCTATTTCTGTGCCTAAAGCTAACAGTATTCCGAAAGACTTGGGCTTTCCTTCAGATCATGAGACAGGATCCTAATCCTACATATGCAAGGGTAAGTCACCAGCCTCTGATCACGATACTCAGCATGTAACAAGATAATCATAGACACTACAATTAACTCGACAAATGCTCGATGAGCACAACTACAAACAGATCCCTCAGCTGAGTTGTGGCGTCGATATAGAGTTAGATAACATGAGACTTCTGGTCTAATTTTTCCACGAATGTCAAACGGCTGGCGATCAAGAAGCAAGATAATAACTTCGACTTTCAAAGCAGAGCCCTCGTCGAAATCCGAATAGTCACCAACTGTGGAGTGCGTTCATAGTACTGAGAGAAAAAGTCAATCTTATTTTGTAAAGGCTACTCGACATTGCGATATCGATGTTTCGGTTTCACACATCGGTTCACCGTAACCGAGCTGTGTAAACCCACTCAAATCGTCCTTGTTTTATGTTGCCTGCAGATCACAACGAAACACGCTACTCTTTTGCATCATTACTTCCCTTCAAATTTCGCCTGGCCCCTCACAGTATCAAAAAGAACTGGTGCGCTACCCAAAACGCTCTGCTCTTCCCAACTCTGTCGATGACCTACAAAGCTTTCACACTCTGGCTTCGGGATCCTAGGGAACATACCCGTTTTGAGCATCACCAAGTCTGGGAAGAGCTCAGGATCCGACATGATGGCTCTTTAGTTCAAAAGACAAAGTCAGCGTCCGCTCCGAAACTGATAACGAAAGGTAATAGGAGGCTCGATGCTCAAAGCATTCGAAGTTTTTAGAGTCAAGGCAAGGGAAATTTTGTAAAGAGAGATGGTATACTCACGACCCGCATTCCCCGCAAAAACACCTCTCGACTTTCTTCCCACTTCCAGTGTTGTAATCCGGATACCTCTTTAATTTGCCCTGCTCATCTCTAATCTCGACTTTTGCTTTCTCCATGGCCATGTTGCTCGTTACGAAACTACCCGATGTCTATATAAATTTCCCCGTCAGCTATGATGAATATGCGACTCGTGACTTGTAAGAATCGAGCTTGAGTGAAAAACAAGAAGACAACGGTAAGGAAGTTACGTAGTGTGGGGATTAAAAGTACCTTCCGACAATTCTGGCAATGGCATAGATGCCCTTTCTCGGGATTTGCCCAGAGGTTGTCTTTCACGATAACGGTGATAGCGCCACAATTGCAGGATCCAGTGATTTCTTCTTTGAACTGCTCGATTGGGTACTGTTTGGGATCACCCGTAAAGGAGGATGTGGAAGCCATTTTGGTTGAGTTGAGAAATTGAATTATGCGGATGGGAAAAAGAACCTATGTCGTATACTTGTGCTTTATGAACAATAGCTACTTGTGCACGGTAACACAAGAGGGAAAGAGGGGTGTGAGGGGCTGAGAAGCCCCAGGAAATGTCATACGCCAAAATTTATAGTTGAGTATTTTCTTTTTCCTAGAGATATATGCATAGTGCGTTGTATATCCGCGTCATGTCCGTCCGCAATGCATGTTCACAATTCCATACGCTCGCCTGTTTGTTCGGAAACTTGATCCAGGAAGTTGAGATATCCGTGCACAAATCGCTACTGTTATGCTTATAAATTAAGGACCTGCAGTAAGCTGAAGGCCTAGCCAGAAAATAGCTGTTGAAAGCAAACTGCAACGGGGGTAGCGCTTACGTTGTCCATCCGGTCTTCCTTGCATAGTAAGCTTTATCCAGCATCATTGTTAGAGGCTTTTGCGGATCTCACCCAGTCAAGGGTGGAAGTTGTACGATCTTCAGCGGGTATGTCATCATCAATCGGCCGCGGAAAAGATTCCGTGACTGAGAGCAACACCCCTCACGCTTGTTACATTCCCCCGCGTCTCAATTGAAACATGTGTGATAAATAGGACACAAGAGCAAAAGAAAAATGACAATGAAAATTGAATGAAACCGGATTGAACTGTGTTCAATCTGAGCGCGCGGTCTTCTACACGAGGGCTTTAAGTGATAGATGTCACGCGAAAAAACCTCTCCAAAGTAATGCTAAAAGGTATCACAAAGACACACAACCCTGAGAACCCCAATTAACGCCCGTTGCTTCCGTATGTTGCTGCTTTTGTGTCAATATCTGAAAGGGTACAGGGTGCAGTGCAGTGTTCAGATCATGAGTCTTTGGCGAACTCTGCACGAACCTCTCCCTTGACGTTTTCAGCATCCCGCTCAGCTGCACCCTCCTTTTTGGCTTCTTCCTGCTCTTCGGCCACGGGCTCCGGCTTGTCAGCGTCTTCGGCCATTTCAACGTCGGCAGCCTCGGCTGGGGCCTCCGTTGGGGCGGGGGTCGACTGCGGCTCCATTGGTCCTGGTGCATCTGGCACTGGGGATCGTTCTGGCTTTGGCACGGTCTCTGATGTTCCTGTTTCTGCTGTGGTCTCTACAGTTGGAGCTTCTGCTGGCGCACTCGGTGACTCTGGTGGCGACGGGATAGGCTGAGGAGACAGAGTGCGGCCTAGTTGATAGCATGAGCATTCAGAAGCAAGGTGGGTATATAAGAAGGGGTTACTGACGTGCTTCTGCTGTTGGAAGGGTGTTGCCTTCCGCCTCCTCCATTTCGACGTCGCCATCATGATCGGCCTCTTCTGCAGCAGGTACTGCGGGGGTACGTGTCCGTGATGCTGTGCCGTTGACAGGCTGTGCAGAGGATGCTTGCGAGACAGAGCGTCGAGTGCGTGCGCTCTCGCCATTGAGGCCTCGTGCACCCATAGGCGTATCAGCGCCATCGTCAGAAGCTGCATTGGGGTTTTGGAACTCCATGATATTTCGCCTTCGCTTCTGGCCGGGCTGTCGGCGCACACCAAGACCATCCTCATATTCTTCATCTTCACTGCCATCATACAGTTCGCCGTCCGCCTCCACTTGTTGATCGCGTTGGCGCTGGGTGACTCGGACATCAGGATTCTGATCAGCATCTTCATCGTCCATCTCATCTTCATCGTCCGATTCCATTCCTCTCGCAAGTGGGACCTGGGCGGGAATAGTTGTGAAAGCTTCGACGGACGGCTTTCCAGTGCGACGGATGTTCTCGATGACGGCAGATTTGATTTTATGTAGATAATCAACCGAGTTGAGATTCTCCATATTGGAGGGGCGCACATCAAGCTCGTAATCAGGCGCAAAGTATTCGTAGTAGTCGTTGAAGGGCAATTGTCTCGTCATGTCAGCGTTGACCAGTCTTCCAGTTTCAAACGCCCACGTTCGGGCGACGTTCCTCATGGTGTATCCACCGCCACCCAGCACAATCACCGGCACACCAAAGCTTTTGACATAGGTCACGCAATTAGCGTGGCCCTCCATACTAAGGTTGAAGCAGCCGAGACGATCGCCAGATAGACTGTCACCACCACACTGGAGAACAATGGCTTCGGGACCGTAATAAGTCATGACGGCCTCGATGACGGGCTCGAAGATGTTTTTGTACGTCTCATCGGTGATTCCATCTCGCAAAGGGAAATTGACAGAGTAATTCTTGCCCGAGCCAACACCAATGTCTCGCAGCTCACCGGTACCGGGGAAGTACTCGCCGTATTTGTGGAAGGAGACGGTCATGACGCGATCACTGGTATAGAATGCTTCTTCAACACCGTCTCCGTGGTGCACATCGATATCGATGTAGAGGACGCGCTGCTTGTAGCGCAAAAGTTCCAGGATTCCTAGTACGATGTCTAATCATGTCGTTAATGAGCAGCAAGTTGAAGAGGGCATCGCAACGCTTACCATTCACGTAGCAAAAGCCGCTAGCTTCGCTCTTCTTTGCGTGATGCAGACCACCAGCCCAGTTGACGGCGACGTCACACTTGCCGCGATTCAAGCGCGCAGCGCCCTCCATGGTCCCACCTGCGCTAATACCGCAGAACTCAAACAGACCGTCAAATACTGGACAGTCATCTCCGACGTTGTATTTGCTTTGCTCCTTGCCGAAGTTGTCCATGTTATCAGGTGTGACTTTGTGGAGGAAGTCGATATACTCGTCCGTGTGGAACTGCGTCATTTCGAATTTGGAGGCGGGTTTCGCACGCTACACAATATCAGCCTCTTATCCTTCTATGAGAAATCTCATGCGTGGCATACATAGATCTCCATCTTCGTGTATAAACCGTAGTTCATAATCAGACTGTGCGCCATTCGTATGCGATGCGGTTTCATAGGGTGACCAGCAACGTAGGCGTAGTTTCCAACATCGGAATCGTAGAAGTAGGCCACCTTCTTGTTGACGGTGTTTCCATTGAGCGAGTTGCTGGCAACCGTGGCGCTGCCCGCAAGCTCGGCCATGATGATGGATGCGCCGGTGGGGTGTGCAAGAGACGCGCAAGAAGTCTGGGAATACGAGATCTATATAGCAGTGAGAGGTTCCAGCAGCCAAATTATGGCCCAAGTGAGGATTAATATACTGTAGATGCAGTGTGGGAAAGGCGGTGCTATAACGAAGAGGAGGGTGGAGTGAAAGGCTGGAATCTGCGAAGTATGGCGGGCTCGGGAGGGAGAGCTAATGAGACAACGAGAGCTCCCGCATCCGGACCCTTGTCGATGGGCACGGTGAAATATTGATCCAGGCCCGTCATAGCCAGCGCATTTGGAAGCAGCAACATGGCCACCAACATTTGAACGAAGCGAACCAACTGGAAACGCTGTATTATGAAGATTTCCATAAAACACCTAAAAGCTTCCTACATGGTGAATCATCAGCCGTTGAATTTATATCGTCAATGTATTCCAATGCAAAATATGTCCTGACAGACCGAACACCCCACGGTTGAGATGAATCACGTGATTGAGTCCACTAGCCCGCATCAAGCAGAAGGCGTCAACCGCCATCATCCAAGTCGAGCTCCAGCTAATGCCTACATCGCCGCCGCACTCCACATCACCTTCACCTTTCGACCGCATTTACAATCCCACCAACACCCATTTCGACGTTGTAAAGCTTCTCATACCTCCACCTTAACAGATACATATCTCCGCAGCCATGGACCGGTTAAGTCGCATGCTTGCTGCTGCCCAGAGCATGAATGGCATGGGTGGTGGTCCCGCTCAAGTAAGTCGAATGCCACGGTTCATCCAACTACATATTCTGCAAGCTTTTGGTTTTTCTTGCTGTGCGGAATGAACTGCCCTTAGCCATTCTCTTTCTCTCCTGCGTCTCAATCCACCAAGACTAACAAATACACGTAGGACACAAACCTCATCGATAACTCGGAAACCGTCTATATTTCTTCCCTTGCCCTCCTCAAGATGTTGCGACACGGCCGCGCCGGTGTGCCTATGGAAGTCATGGGTCTAATGCTGGGAGAGTTTGTGGATGACTACACAGTGCGGGTAGTGGATGTGTTCGCTATGCCGCAGTCCGGAACCGGTGTTTCCGTTGAGGCCGTCGACCCCGTCTTCCAGACTAAGATGATGGACATGTTGCGACAAACAGGGCGGTATGAATTGTACCATGCACTACATCATAGCACGGCTGACATGAAGTAGACAAGAAACAGTGGTTGGCTGGTACCACTCACATCCCGGTTTCGGCTGTTGGCTGTCATCGGTCGATATAAACACTCAGCAATCTTTCGAACAACTCACCCCCCGCGCCGTCGCTGTGGTTGTTGATCCCATACAATCCGTCAAGGGCAAAGTCGTCATCGATGCTTTCCGTCTCATCAACCCGCAAACTCTTATGATGGGCCACGAACCCCGCCAAACCACATCCAACGTCGGCCACCTAAACAAGCCTTCGATACAGGCGCTGATTCACGGTCTGAACCGCCACTATTACTCCATCGGTATCAACTATAGGAAGACGGCGTTGGAGGAGAACATGTTGATGAACTTGCACAAGCACGTGTGGACGGAGGCGCTCATGATGAACGACTTCCGCGGAGAAGGCGAGCGAAATAAGGATAGCCTCCAGAAATTGGTTTCCCTAGCTGAGGGTTACGAGAAGAGGGTGAAAGAGGAGACGGAGTTGACTAAAGATCAGCTCAAGACCCGCTACGTCGGCAAGGTAGACCCCAAGAAGCGTATGTGCTCACCGTTTTTTTCTTATTCACACAGCGTGCATCTGCTAACACAAAGCAGATCTTGAGGACGTTGGACAGAGGTTGATTGAAGACAACATTGTTTCGGTGTCTCGGCAAATGATTGACAAGGAAGCATCCGTACCAAAGTCGAATTCCAAGTCCAATGGGCAGGCGGGAGCAGACGAGGATGTAGATATGGAGGACTAAATGATGACGGTCCTCAGGGACTTGAAAACGCTCCAAAAGGAATGCATTCGAGATAGACGGACAACATGTACCAATCATGCACATCCCACCTTCCATGCTCGCAGGAGGCCTTCAATAACACAACAGAGGCGCTCGGGCACTCGGTCCGACCCGTCTTTACTTGGTGGAGAATGAAGGCTTCGATCGCGAATGAACGTCGTACGTTTGTACGGGTATGATAGTAATGAACAATGGCACGACTTATGTTGCCAATAGCAAGACATTACAAGAACCCTCCAATGCGTCGCAGAGCTATTGTAACAGAATACCTCCCACCTGTAGTGCTAAAGCATGAATGACGAACAGCCGCCGACCAGAATCAGAAATTCCCCCCGACACCAAAGAGAACTTGAACTCTTACACTTTCATTTCTTCGTGATTTGCAGCACCAGTTTCCTGTTGTCCATCCATCACCGCTCCGTCACCACCATTACCTTCACCATGATTCAACACTTCCTCCTCCTTCTCCTTCTCATTATCCCCAGGCTTCCTCCCATAAACGACCCTAACCTCATGCCAAAAAGTATTGCCCCTATCCTTCACGACCGCCCTTACCTCCTCGACAAACTTCTTAACCTCCTCATACTTCCACCCCAAAATGCGGGTATAAATCGCCATGACCCACCCCTCAAACCCATCCAGCCAGTTGCGCTCCCCCCACCTTCCAATCTCCTTCAACTTGGGATCTTTAGGCCACGGGCCAATAGGCCAAACATAGCGATGCTCAACAACATCTCTAAACCCGGCCTCGACAAGCAAAGGCTTCATGAGCGAAATAGTGCGAAACGTCATGCCCGTATAGGTATCCCCAGCCCTCAGAATCGAGCTCGAAAACGACGTCAGCAGCTTCTCCGCGTGCGTCGACGTCTCCGGGTCCGGGTTCGCCGAGGTGGAGATGGAGAACTCGAGGTGCTCAATGTAGCCGTGCGGTTTGAGGTGCGCGTAGGCTTGCGAGTACAGGTACGGCCAGTCGCGGATGCAGCCTGTCAGCCCGCGGATGTGGATGAAGTCGAAGCTGGATAGCGGGTATGTCCATTCTGCGCACGCGTCGTCGACTTCGAAGCGGATATTTGGTGGGGCCGACGTGGATTGCGTTGGGGAGAGGTCGGTGGCGATGATTTCGGCGGAAGGGAAGTAGTCGGCCATGTCGCTGTATGGATTTGAATATTTTGTTTTGATTAGCAAAGGGGTTTGATTTTGGGGGTCAGATTGTGGCTTGTGATTCATGTTCCTTTTTTTTCCCTTCTGCTAGCTTGTGGGTTGGGGGGATGTTGTTGGTACATCGAGTTCACTCTTTCAACAGTACATCTAACAACCCGACAATAAGGATTGTGTAGAGCGACATCAAAAAGAAGATATACTCACACAGCCCACAGCCCCGTCCCCGTCCCAACATCCAAGATCCTCTCCGGTCCAGGTTGACCATCCTCACCACCGCCTATAGGCGCGAGGAACAGCCGGTCATCGAGCGTGAGCAGCCACAGATGATGCACAATAGTCTCGTAGTTGGAGTAGGTTTCGTCGTTGGGGGCGTAATAGGAGCCTTCGCGGTAGGCATGATAGCGTCGTCCGTTTTCGTAGCGGTAGCGTGTTACACTGCTTCCTATCGAAAGGCCGCTGCGGTGCCATTGTTGGTTAGCTGAGGGTTGCTGGGATGAACGGGGAGATGGGTCTGCGAGGGGAATACGCACGAGGTGTATGATTGCGAGTCGTCATCGTCGTCGTAATCTTGGTATTGTGAGTATGATAGGTCCTACTCAGTTTGATGTCAGGGCCGGTCAATTCTTGGGTTACTCAAGTACGTGGTCTGAACGAGACTGGGAAATGGATTGGATCATTGATATGTATAATGATGACAAAGTTGATACAAACGAACTACATCGAATCATCGAGAATGGCGAATGTGGGCAGTGTATACGAGTCATCTTGCTTCATACTCATGGGGTCAACCAATGAGCAGTCGTGGAAAGTATGAAGGACGTATTGGAAGAATTGGAGGTGCGAGGCGGATACAACAAATTCGAGAGTTTAGATGAAAAGAAACCGAGGAAAATCATCATATGCTCATGCATATGATGAGCTCGTCTCACGCGAATTCTATTGCGATTGCAGATGATGGTACGATGACCATCAAACCCCCATCCTCTTTCGCACGGGAAACGTGAGGGTGGGATCTTGAACGAGCAGGCCACACTAACACGGATGGACAGGAAGTATGGCGTGCAAGTATGAATTGCTCCATAGCAGCAGTGAAACATGGAAAGAAAAGTAGATGCAAAAACGAAAACACATAAAAAGGTCGAAGGGCTGAGAGATGCGAAGACAAGATGACAATACTACCAGGACGATTAAAACGACGGGGAAAGAAGAAAAAAATCAAAGACATACCACAGCAATACTCTCATCATCCTCTGGTATCATCTTCGACATGATACAAGGAACCTCCCCTGACAAGCTCCAATGCTTGGATCCCCCGCGTCAAGTTGTAAGCAGATGGACAAATGTGGGGTCCAAAATACAAACGCAGACGTAGACCCAGAGGTATGGGAGGAACGGGGTGGGGGATGGCGTGGGTGTCGATCCCTACTGTCGGGAGAAGCCAACAAGGCGTCTCGTGATGCTAATTGGTTTGCCGTTTTGCTTTCTCTTGCTTCTACGCCGCAATGATGCAGCCAGCGGGTAGTAGAGTAGGGTAGGGCTGGCACACTCCCGGGATTGAATCTGCCCTGCACTTTCTTAGGGAGACGAGAGGAGCTGGTCGCTAATGGCGGTTCTGATGGAATGAGTCGACGACAGGAATGGGAGCTGGGAAGATGGGGATTGAAGGGTGAGGGGGTTGGTGAAAGGAGGGGGGCCTTATCTGCTGCGTACCTAGATGTGTGCATGTAGGTACTAACAATATATACTATACTTCAGTAGCTATCAAGGCTTTACCCCGCTTCCCACACCCGCCCCATCCTTTGCTTTTCTTCCTTCTTCCTTCTCTGTGACTTGGTGCAAAGTCATCCCGGTAGTCTGGTTTCAACGGGCTTGCAGCTCAGTCCAGCTGTCTGGTTTGGCCTCGTGGGGTACATACACTGCTCAACCCGGGCGATGCGAAAGTGGGGTATTTTTGTTTGATGCCGAGGTTGTTTACAAGTCCGTGAGGGTACCCTCGCAGGTAATAGTCCATGTGCATTGAATATACCCAAGTGTCTTATTTGTCTTGCTTTCAAATACCTTGGACAGAGTATATCCTGAAGGGCGGCATTGACATGTCTATCGGCTCAAGTTCTTGGGCCAATTACCCAAAGAGAAAGCCAAATCGAGTGGGGAGACGCTCAAAGAACCGTTGTTTTCATTGCTTTTTTTTTTGTCTTGCTGCTCAAACATCTAAAACGAGCTGGAGTGACTAAACGGGGGGGAATGCCATTGCTGCTTCTTTTTTACGCTCTCTTTTTGCAAAATGCCGACCACAATGTTAACTCAAAACACAGACGTGAAAAAGAAAAGGAACTCCACGAGTCGAAACCAAAAGGACAAGAAATCGCCGCCTAATCAAGTTTTTGCCTCCAGCGCCGTACAATGTCTCCGGAATCCTTCTGCACTTCACTCTCTTCTGCCACATCTCGTCCTGGCACCTTTTCCTTTTGCCGTTTTTATTCAAGTCCGTCGAGGATTTTTCACCCGTTGGTGGCACATCTCAACATGCCCGCACTCACTCTGGTCTCACTGAGCTGACCCCTTCTGATCCCCTGCTCTTTTCTCTCCGTTTCTTGGAATGGTTGGATTGGAGGACTCTGCATCCATCAACTTCAAACACTTGACCTCCCCAAGAATCAGACCTCATTATTACCCCTTCAGCGGCAAGCAAATATAGTCCAGCATACCGTCATCATCATGCTGTTGAATCACAAACGCCCCCCACCCAATGCGAAACCCGATTAAGACATGACGTATAGAAATGTGCGTGGCAAGGATCTCAAAAGAACAAGGAAAAGAAAAGAAAAGGAAAACTTCCACTGCGAGGCCAATCTATTGCGCTCAACCCGGAATGCATCCAACAGGTTGTCGTCCTGAAACGCATTGAAGAAGAGCGTATTCTTTGGTGAGAAGGTGAATGAAATGAAGGGGTTGGTGGTAGTAGATGTGGCGGCCAGGAGAAAACTCCTCAGCTGCACGCCGCGAATCATCACATTGGCCAGCGGTCCTCCCAGGGAATTCTTGGTCCTGACAGTGGTTGACTTACGCGTCGCTGCTTAGGTCCACGAAGGACCGCAGTAGTGCAGCTACGCTATCGCGCTTCAAACACTAGCCATCATTCAGGAACGTATCGAACATGGAAACCGGGGTCCATCAGGGGTGGCCGTGGGGTTTGCCGTTGGTTGTATCTTCGTGGTGTTCCCTTGCTGCAGCTTTATATCTCTTGATTCGTTCGTCATCTGATGACGAGTTGGAGTGGCTGCTGCTCTCATCGTCGATCGTGGTACCGTCCTTGGAAGCTCGACGCAGCCGTTCAGCCTTGTCTTTGAGCACCCGAGCTTGTTCAGCTGCCCTCTGCGCCCTAATCTGTTTCTTCCACATGGAAGCATATTGTCCGTTTCTCTCCAATAGATCCTCGTGTGTGCCGCGCTCGACCACTTTGCCTTTATTTAGCACCAAGATCTGGTCGGCATGCGTGACGGTACTCAAACGATGCGCAATGATAAGCATCGTGCGGCCTTCGGCAAGCGTCGTAAAGGCTTCCTGGATGTGCTGCTCAGTCTCGGTATCCAGGGCAGCAGTTGCTTCATCCAGCATGATGATGCGCGGATTCTTCAATATGGTACGCGCGATGGCTACACGCTGCTTCTCGCCCCCGGAGAGACGGAGACCACGGTCTCCAACCTTGGTCGCATATTGATCTGGAAAGGACATGATTTTGTCGTGGATGCTGGCCGCACGGCAGGCTTCATACACGTCTTCGTCGCTTGCATCTTGGTTTGCGTATTTCAGATTATACATGATGGTTTCGTTGAACAATACCGTATCTTGCGGGACGACGCCAATGTGGCTTCTCACCGAGTCGATTGTGAGGTCTTCTACGTCGTACCCATCAAGTTGAATGCTGCCCGACATGATGTTGTAGAATCGGTAAAGAAGACGAAACACTGTCGACTTTCCTCCACCTGACTCACCTACAAAAGCCGTGGTAGTTCCCGGCGGACAGTCGAAATCTAATCCCTGTAAAGCAGGCTTTCGGTCATCGTAGGCAAAATGCACATCGTTGAACCGCAAATGGCCTTGACAAGAAAGAAGCTGTTCGGCGTGAGGAGTGTCTACTACTGTGGGCTGCTCCTTAAACAGTTCGAGCATCCTTTCGGAGTTGATCATCGCAGACTGGATCATGCGGTAAAATGTACCGAAGAAATTGAGGGGGGCCTGAAGCTGACCCATGTACGTGACCAGTTCGACGAATTTGTCAACACCCATCTCACCAGTGGTGACCTGGTAAGCAGCGATGAAGCAAGTGACCAGCAGGCCGAGCATAAACACGGTGTTCTGGCTGACATTCATGAGATTTAGCGAGAAATTAACCTGATGCTCGGCGACTTGGAACTTCTTGACCGCGTTGCGGTAGCGGTTGAATTCATATGCCTCCGCATTGAAGTACTTGACAGTTTCGTAGGAGACCATAGAATCGTTCTTGACCGCGTCCGAGTCTCGATCCGCATTGACCATTTCTCGGCGAATTTCGGCTCTCCATTGGGCCATGCGGATGGTCAGATAGATGTACCAGAACGTGACTATTGACAGGACAAGCGCATAATAAGCGTCGTAGTCGACCAAAAAGTAGCCGACGGCAACAGCGAGATCGAGAAGCATCGGAGCCACCTGAAAGGTCACCTGCTCCAGGAAGGTGTTGACGGAACTCCCCTTTCCCAGGGCTGATAGAACTTCGCCGGTCTTTTTGCCAAGATGGAAATCGAGGCTGAGGCTGTGCACGTGTTCAAATGCCGCCACCGACAATTCGCGGTACGAATATTGGCTAACAGGGATCCAAAGAACGGAGCGCATGGCCCCGAGCAGCCCATTGTTGCCTTGGATGAAGCGAAGAAAGATGTAGATGACGATCTGTTTTGATGGGCTTCCGCCCTCGGTTGGGTCCGACAGCGCCTTGACGAGTTTACCGATCTGTTTGGGGACCAAAAGATTAATAAAACGTTGGACCAAGACGATCAGGAAGCAGACAATGACTAGGATCTGCAGGCGGCGATCCTTGGAAGGCCACAAATAAGGGAAAAAGACGCGGTAGCCTTTGAGGTATTCCCACCAGCTGCGCGATGGAGCGCCAGTAGGTCTACTCCAGGCAGGCGGTGCTTCTCCAGTGTTTGGTGGTTTGCCATTAGCGTGATTGTTTATTGAACCATATGAGCCGTTCGCGTGACCGTTTCCATTTTCGGCATGTCCGGGCTGCCCTGAGCCGCCGAGAAGCGAGGTGGTCTCACTCGAGCTGCCCGCTTCTTGCGCTCTTCTCCATTGAGGCAAGGTGACCAACACAAGGTAGAGGCCGATCAATAGCAGAAGAATGGCTATGCGCAAACAGTCGAGGGCGATTTCCCCAGCCTCCCAGCCGGTCATGCCGAAGCTCAGGTGCTCCTTGTCATTTGCGGGGTGGCGAGCGGAGGGCTGTTTGTGGATATGCGTATAAATCGCGATGGAAAGTGTGGCCAGCACAATCTCGATGGCCGTGGCGACGATCCATGTCGCAAGGTTGGCGGCTGTGGGCGAGGGCTTCGAATCAAGCAGCGAGATGATGAACAGACAGTAGACGAAGAAGGAACCGACGAGGTAAATCTATTTGTGACGACACAAGGTCATTGCGTCAGCTACGTTGCAATTGGGTCGGTTTGCGAAGAGCAAAAAACCAAAGAGAAGAAGGCACGAAAAGCAGAGAGCAGCGAGACTAGAGAAGGGCGAGAATTGAGCCGTAGCTGCAGATGGAAAGGACGCACCACAACGGCTCTGCCGGACCACCAATGGTCGCTGCGGGCGATGATGGCGTGGATGATGGTGAGTGCGGCATTGGCGATGAAGGTCAATGCGGCGAAGACGGACAACCAAGCAAAAACCAGCTTCTGGGTATGGGTCACATCGTCATGTGCCTGATCTTTGACAAAATTGCGAGTCGGGTCGGTAGCGGGGAGGGGTTTGCCGCCAGGGCCTGTGGTGGTTGGTGTTTCGACATTACGATTAGAGGTAGAGGATACAATGCTTCGGACGGTGAAGGCGACGAGGAAGAAGAGCAACAAAAAGACTGGGTTTGCGTATTGGATGAATTGGACGACCGGACGGAGGCGATCGGCGGTGGAATGATGCGAGTCGTGGGCAGCGAGGACGAAGGAGGGGGACGGTATGGCGGACTGGGTATCCATGGTGGTGGTGATGGCGGCGGTCAGCGGAGGAGAGGAGGCAGAGGCAGAGTGAGTGTATCGCTAGGTAGGTAGGTAGGTAGGTAGTACTGGGTACTTTTGGGTACAGCAGCAAGACGGTGGTCTAGGTCTCGGTGTACAGCTAGCTGGCTAGCTCCCCGCCTGCAGGCCTCCTGGTTCCGGTGCGGTGCTGAGGAAATGGGGAGGACAGGAGAGACAGGCTCTGCTGCTCGGTGGGAGAAGTGGTGTTGGAGATGCCACAAACCAGGAGGGCGATGGGTATGTGGGGAGGGGTGGTTGGTTTGGGTAAGTAGCTGCTTGGACAAGTTGGTGCAAGCAGCAAACCAGGACCTCGGGACAAGCGAGAGTCGCCGAAGGAGGGGGGGGGGGAGGGAAGGGAAGAAGGAAGAGGAGAAGGAGGTATGTACGTAGGTAAAGTAAGTAGGAGAGGGAGGGAGTGAGAGAAGAGGAAGAAGAAGAGAAGAAGAAACAAGGAGATGCTCGATCAATAGAGAGGACTTGGTACGGCAAACTACTGAAGCCAGGCCATCAGGTATCTAACGCGGTGCTTCTGGTGGCGTATATACTGGGCTTGGCGCGCGGCCTCGAGAGACTAGCAGCAGCAGATGATAAAAGTGTTTTGTCGACTAATAATAATAATAGCGACTTACCTAGCACATGGCTAAGCCCGAGTGGAATCGTGAGCAATTGAGCTCTTCTCCGAACAGTCGGCGCCGTCTGTGTTACTGGCATTGGTCTATGTACGAGCGAGGGTGTGTGCAGCCATGCATGTGTGCATATATGTAACCTAATGTAATAACCGCATCCAACCCCTTGCAACAAGGCTCAAGCCAGCATGGGGGTGTGGAAAGCGAAGAGCGACCGCGTTTGTGTGTGTGTGTGTGAGAGTGTATCTAGGTACAGTGCTAAACCTGCCTGATGTGATTGATGATGATGCTGATGCTGATGATGATGATGATGATGACGCCCCTGCTATTGGTTGCCCGTCAAGTTTGTTTGTACCGATGTATTGCCATTATCATAATAGCTATCCGTTCCCATGAACTGCCTGCGTACTGGAATTGAATGAAAAAACAAAACAAAAAAGCAATCCACATGTACACCGACTTGCACATTGACCTGCCATGGCATGACATGTTCAGACCGTCTTCGAGTCAAGTGTACCCAGGTTGGAGCAATCGTATGAAGCGTGCATGCATGGATACCTTTGGATATGCATGCAGTCGGCCAGAATACCTACACCAATGTACAGTACGGTACGGTAAGTACATGATGTATGTACAGTACGGGGCACATGTGTTCCCCTGCAAGTACAGAGACGGAAGCGAAGCCTGGCCACTGCTGCTACCAGCACTTGATTTGACTTGACCTCGAGTGTCCTAATGCCATGTATTGATATCATGTGGACCCTTGTCGCCTGCAGGCAGGATCATCGCGCATACTAACCCGTGCGTGTACACACACGCACGCACAGAGAGCAAGATACACACATACATACAAACATACACTTTGTTACATACACGGCTCTGGGCCGTAACTTACCTCCCATTACCACGTTGTTGCCCATTCGCGGCATTGTTTGCCTTTTCGGAGCCTTCGCCGTCTCCATCCGCCCACTCGTCTCGTCTCGTCTGTGCGCTCTCCCTCACCGACATCATCAGGCGACGCGACGTCAACCAACATCCATCCATCCATCCATCCATCCAATCCATCCACCCATCCATTCAGCCATTGTCGGCCTGCCTCCCCCGGCCGGGCTTGTCGTGACTTTCTGTCGCCTCAATAGCAACCCTTCGTTTGCTGCTCCCCGACTGGCCCACGACAAGAGAGAGCAAGCAACAAGAGAGCAAAGTCATGACCGACCCTCCCAGGCGCATCTCCTCGTCTGTCACACCCGCCTCCACTCCCGCTCCCGCTTCTGGCCCATCTCCGTCCCCCATACCGCTGCCGCCACCACTCCCCAATCCGCCTTCCAGATCCTACTTCTCGCGTTTCGTCAACAGCGCATACGGCTCCCGCCCGCCAAGTGCTCAAGCCAGTCGCCCTGATCACGGGGGTCGCACGAACCCGCTAGTCCCTCTGCCGGGGTAAGTCAACCTTCACCTTCGATGTCTTCTCTGTATCCGTCTGCATTATTATTCACCTGTTGGTCTGCCTGGATGAATCCTCGGATCGGCGCATCGACGGCTTCAATCAATCATTCATTCATCCATCCAACCATCCAAACGTCAGCCAGACAAGGAAATCGAGGTAGACTGCCAGTCTATCCCTCTCCTCGTTCAAGTGCATCTTTCCCCGCCCAGCCCGCTTGAGATGCTACATGGTTGTTCAATAATGGTTTGATCAAACAATTGATTGATCAAGCCATCAACCAAGCTCACTCCCCGAGGGCTGCGTGTACCCAACTGATTGATGATCAATGCCCTCAATAAACACTCCATTTGTCCCAGCTACTGGGTCTGCTCTGCCGTAATTTTGGGTTGGGCTGCATCTCCAGATGTTCCACCACTCATCCATTCATCCATTCATCCATGCGACCGACCAACCATTCACCCCTTCACCTCTCCTTCATCCTCTTCCATCGCTCCTATACGTATCCCGTTCTCTGCTCTTTGCCTCATGCTACACGGAAACACACAAGGTGCATGAACATGCATCCGTGGATACATGTACATGGACCGTCGTTGTGGCTGCCGTGTTCAATCCATAACTCCTGCCTATGCTGACCCATGTTCGTCTAGTCTTCGGACCGGCTCGTCTCAAGATGCTAGCCATAAGACGGGCCTCGACATCTCGGCTCTCGACATCAATCGGGAGAGGACCCACGCCATTCTTGCTGGCAAAGAGATACTCAAGACCGTCCGGGTACAGGATACCAGGATTGTCGAAGAAACCAATTTACGAGCCGCCGTCATCCATTACGCTGACCGCTCTCAAGCACGCCAGCGTGACGGCTTCGGCATTCAGGATGTCAAATGGTCGCACGGCCAGTTCAGCACGCATATTGCAACCGCTGCCGCGAACGGTAAGGTCATTCTCTACGACCTCAATCGAGCCGGCGTGGAGCTGGCTCGACTGCATGAACACAACCGTCAAGTCCATAAGCTTGCATTTAACCCTCACTCGGGCCACCTGCTGCTCTCCGCCAGTCAGGATGCCACAGTCCGCTTATGGGATCTCCGGGATATGAGAAAGGACATCACTACCTGCCGAAGCCGCGATCAATATCCGGCCATCAATGGGGCTGTCTATGATGTCCAATGGTCTCCTACCGATGCCGTCGAATTTGCGTTGGGCACCGAGAACGGTACCATCCAGCGATGGGACTTTCGCTATCACAAGAGCCCCAAGCAGAAGATCACCGCTCATGACACAAAACCGTGCACCTCCATCGACTGGCATCCCGACGGGAAACATCTTCTCAGCGCTGGGGCGGATCGTACTGTCAAGATATGGGATTTCTCCGTCGATGGAAGGCGTCAAAAGCCCCAACTGGCTCTTACCACCCCCTTTCCCGTTCATAGGGCTCGTTGGCGTCCGCCATGCTGGTCCGATGAACATCATGAGAGAGGTGCCTATCAGTGTAACCAACTGGCCACCTCTTATGACCGGGATCACCCAATGATCCATATCTGGGATCTCCGACGCCCCTACCTACCCTCTCGGGAGATCAACAAGTTTGCTAGCGCCGCCAACGATATGCTTTGGCACTCACGTGACACTCTATGGACCGTTGGTCGCGAAGGCGTCTTCCAACAAAACGACATTCACCGTGCGCCAAAGACGATAGATCGTCGTAACCTGCAGGCCCTTGCAATATCGCCAAGCGGAGAGTTGGGTGCCTTCGCACAAACAAGAACACGCAACAGACGTTCTACGCGCTCGGTCTACTCCGATGACACCTACATGGGTCACACACATGACAAGCGCAGCAGCCCAGAGAAGAACAGCTTTCGCGGCTCCGCTGAAGACAGTGCAGATGACAGCTTTCTTAGCTCTTCTCTCAAGAAACATCACGGTCGTACGGCGAGTAATCGGTCAACCAAATCTTTCAGCATCACGCCGCCTTCCGACACGCCTGCCAAAGTCATGTTCCTCACCGATTCCATGGCCCTCTCCAAGGAATCCCACAAGTCGCACCAACTTGCCATTTGTGGAACATTGCCTGGATCTCACAACGTTCACGTACTGGCATATCTGGCTCAAAAGTACAAATCCATCGCCCTTCCAGATCCGCCTACGCTACAATCATATCAGGATGTGCATCACATATTCGAACAGAATGCCGACTACGCTCAGAGAGCCGCATGCCATCGCTTAGCCCAGACGTGGAGGATAGTGGGGGCCTCCATCGCCGTTGCCACGCGGCGGCGAGCCAAGCTCCATCGGCAACGTCGTCTCCAAGCGCATCAACACAGTGCACTAGCGTCCTCGGATATGCGGTCATTGACCCCGTCGAGACCACCAAACCTGCATAACAAGCGCTCGCCTGTACGCCCTAACCCCGCAGTGCGTGCTCTTCTGGAAGTCGACAACAAACCATCTTCTACCAAATCGAGCGAAAGTCTGCCCGTCGCTACTGCTGCTGTTGAGAGTACCTCTAATATAGCCACACCGCTCGCGCGACCACTGGCAACCCCAGCCCTGTCGATCAACGATACGCTTTCCAATGCCCTTCCCGATCCAGACAATAGTGAGGCGATTGAGCTTCCACCGGCGGTCACGGGGCCTCTCGCGGAGAAGACTGGCTTACCTGCCCCAGCCAGCACTCATTCCTCGGCTCACACCGAGAGGCCCAACTTCAAGGGGCCCCAATGGTATCGTTCTTCGAATGACCTCGATGAGAGGCGTGCTATGGTAGGTAGTTGGCGTGCTTCCCCACGAATACCCCTTACTCTAGGGCCAACGGATGCGCAGGGAATCAATATACAAATCCCACCTAGGTTGGATCGTCATGATTCCGACGAAAGCTTTGCCATGTTTTCCGCATCTACAGATTCCCAGCGCGGGGGCTCCATGCCTAATTCAATTGACAGTAGCAACTCCGATTCGCAGGGAATGGAATCAATTCCTGAAAAATGGCAATATGATGAATTTCAAGGATCCAGTTTCGGAAACCCTTCACGACCGCAAGCTGATGATACAGGCAAGGGTGTTGAGATCTCGCCCACAACCGTTCCGCTTGGCGATCATGCGCCTACTAGCGCTGCAGCACCCAGCCAAGGTGGTCAGCAGGGGCCGAGCCATGATAAGACAGCTCGTACGGGAGAGGAATCTAGCAGCAGGGAACAAGCTGCTCAGGACATGAAGAATTTGAATCGTAACAACCAACTGCTTCGTCATGATAGTTCAGAATCCTCTGCGTATACTAGCAGTGGGGGAGCCATGTCTTCGACATCGTCGCTTTTGGAATACTCATACGATCTCGAAGCGAGTGGCACAATAGTTCCTGAGGCACACGATGATCCCAAATCTCCACCAGTCATGAGACCTTCGGCTACTCCGCAGTATACATCGGAAAGCGCTCCCCCACCCCCTGATCTTAGTGCAGAAGAGCCTCTTTTGATATCGGATTTTCAGGCTATGCACGTCGACGCAGAGGAGCGCTCACCTTTCTCCGTGATCGGCTTCCTTCAAGACACGTTGGCATATCACACCGACACTCTTTCTGATGCGCAGACGTCTTCCCTTCTGTTGCTGCTACTGGCTCCCTTGCTGCCTCAAACATATGACACGTACAACACGTTAGAGATTGATGAGGACGACGTCTTTTCTACAGTTGCCGATACACTAACCGCGCTTGGTTTATCTCCTACACAGGTGAACACCATACTTTCTACACAGCTTACTCAACTTCTAGCCACTGGCATTAACCCCTACCAAGCTGAGTCTATTCTTCATACCTACCATGACCAATTGCATAGTTTTAGATTGTACAACTCGGCGGCATCTCTTCGCCGTCTCGCATATCCCACCTATCCTGGGGTCTACGAGCAGGCTATGAAAGAAACACAAGTCGGGCTGTTGTGTCTTAACTGCAAATCACCCATCAACAATTCAAAAGATAAAATGCGTTGCGAGTCATGCAAAAGGGCTCAAGCCCCTTGTCCAATCTGCTGGGGCCGTTATCCCGCATTTGAGCCGGTCACCGCTAAGAAGAAGAGCAAATCCAAACACCGGCACAGCTCGAAATACAGTGAGCATACGAAGAGACGGACCTCTTCTTTGGCGTCCAACACTTTGGATGTCGCGGTGGAGAACAACGACATCCCGTCCCCTTTCGTTCCAGAGCAACCGGGCAACGCCAAAGCCACGCTGTGGACATGGTGCCCGCTCTGTGGTCACGGAGGTCATTCGTATTGTCTTTCCACGTGGTTTACCAACTCAACGATGTCCGAAGGGGCGTGTCCAACCGAAGGTTGCTTGTGTGACTGCGTGCAAGGCAAGAGACGCGATGACAAAGTGAGCGCATTACTCCTTCACAAAGAGGAGAAGGAACGCTCGAGAATGGTTCGGAAAGGCGATGACTGGAAAGTCAATGAGAGCAAGGCTGTTTCTGCTGTTCGGGGATCCATCAGTGGCACAACTTTGCCGGTGCGTGATGCTGCTTCGACAGCTCGTAAGGAGGATGGCAAACGAGTGCGTGTTGTAGAGCCACATGACGGCCAGGTGCAGCAGCAACATGCTCCCATGTCGCAGTTTGCCCCTCATGCAACCTTCGGCAAACCTTCCAAAGGCTAAGTGATTATCGTGTGTCGGAATCTGAAGTCCTATGTACCACATCCAGGTGCCGGATCCTCAATGGGATGCCTTGTGATGTGCCCCAGGCTGCGAAAACGTCGAGCAGGGCTTGTGCATGTTTCAACCACTCGGCTTCGGGGGCCCCGAGATGGCTTTTCAACCCGACCGAGGCGAGATGGAAGCTGTTTTAGAATGCTGCATGGCGGCGCGGGAGAGGATACCCAACGTCCGCGACTGCATAGTCACACCGCCTGGTGGGCGCCAAGGCGAGTAGAGAAGAAGACGGAAATACGCCTGTTCCCCGGGATGCGGGAGGCTGTTTGGGAAAAGGCCGGTGTGGGTCTTGGCCACGTGTTGACATGATCTTGTTTCGAGTCTTCGCCGTGGGGCGCCGCACACGCCAGCGCGGAGGTTTTGACGCTGCATCGGTGGTCGTTGCCGTTGTGGTACCAAGACGTTTGCATGGTAGCTGCTAAATTGCCATTGCCATGGGTGCGGGGTCGTCAACGACTCGCCTACAACACAGCATATGCTGCTGTGGTGGTATCCAAATCTTGCTCGCTTCGTCAGTGTAACCGTATGTCCTGGTCGCTGTATCCAAACGTTACTATCTAGTCTTTACGTACAACCGCCGTCCGACGAGGGGAAAACGCTCTTCCGTGTTGTTCTTACTCGTCCTTCCCGTACAAAACCCCCTGGTCCGCCCCCACTCTTCTCGCTATTCCTTCTTCCAATCACTCATTCGCCATCCGTCTTCTTATACCGCGGTTGATTCATCCCACCCGGATCCGACACACCCCTTGTATGCATAGACCATCCAGTAAACTACGCCGACGCATCACTTGGTAATCCCACTAAACTATGAAAAGATTACTCGCTGAACGGAAACCTCTATCTGCATCTTCAAACTGACTTACTAATTATATCTTGCTTTCTCTCTCTCTTCATCCTTATCAATAGAAACACAGACGTGTAGAAACTTATCAAGTCACTCCATCTACTGCTAACACGAGACGGGGGAGACGGAGTAAAAACTTCAAGTCTGCTTGCTCAATGACCATTCATTCATGACATCCCCGGTAAAGTAGATAAAGAAAAAGGGCCGTTTGCCTGCCCTCATCCTTCCCTCACCTTCCTACCGTCGTATTCTCTCTTTTGTTAACATGCATGTGTGATATGTAGCTAAGGTACGTATGTACTTGGGGTTAGGTCCCCTGCCTAGCCTTGGCTTAGCTATGTAGGTATGCACCAGTACCAGGTGTGTGTATGGATGGATGCCAGCGCGCATACATGTGTGTTGGCCTTTTTATCTCTCTATTTGCTGATTTTACCTGATGAACCGGCCAATCAGAAAAATTGCTCGTGTAGGGCTGGGTTTGCTCGGACGTGGCCAATGGCATTTTAGGGCCATACGCTGGTTGGTGGGTATCTGAAGGGAAGGATGAGGTAGGCACAAAGAAGAGGATTGAGAGGAAGGAAGGATTTGCTTAGTGGTTGGCTTTTCTGGGGTGATAGGGGATACCTGCCTCGTTCGGAGACTTGTGATTGTTTCTGTCTTGGAAGGTGTGTATATCTCTGTGCGTTGAGTTGATTGGTTTGTTTATAAGACTGCAAGTAACTCTCTAATAAATTAGAGGACATGGTTGTTAAGACAAGTCATGATGTCTAGGCAAAACTTCCAGTGTTCTTCCGTTGGGGTCGACAAATTGCGGGGTTGCATGATGTCTTTCCATCTACTGTATATATATCTATGTGTGTACTGGATTGGCGGGTCTGTGATGCAAATTTCGAACAAAAGCATAAATGAATTTGGGAGTAGGAGAGAGAAGCATAATGATGAACAAGAAAGGAGAAAAAGCTAGACGAGAAAAAGTAGCCAATATCAGCACAGTGCACCTCCACGAAAACACGAATCAATGCCTCACACTCCTGAGCTCGGTTTTTCCTACCTGCCTTCCTAAATCTTGCGTTCTATCTTCCAACTCAGTGAAACATTACATGTGCGATGTCAATTCATCAAGCACCGGCACAAATCTGATTTACAAATCACTCCACGATCCTCCCCTTCTGAACTCTACCAATCCCTATCTCCTGAAGAAGAAAAATCAATTAACCGATCACATCCCCCCACCCCTAAAGTACACACAAGAATGACCACATCACCCCGCTCCGTCTTGGAACACAATCCCCTCTAACTCCCTCCGTATTGCCCGCAGATTTGCGACAACCGAAATCCGGGTCCTCGGAATGACGGAGTTGCGGGAATTCGCTCCAGAAGAAAATAAAAAAAAGAGAGACCAAAAAAAGAGAGGATACGAGGACGGGAGACGGGAGACGGGACGGCGAGCAACGTGGGTAGCTTTCATGTTTGTTTGGTGGACGGGAGAAGTTTGTATACGAGGACGGGACGGCGAGGATGGGCGCCACGGCGGACGGGCGGGCGGACGGGAAAAGGCGAAGGGATGGATAAGGATGGACATGCTTGCTTGGGAATGGATGGATGGAGGGAGCGAGGGATAATGATTGTTCTTGGTGTTTGGTGTTTGGTGGTTCTGGAAGGTTGTTCAAGGTGGGGACTTTGGGGAATTGGGATTGTAGTGTATGTTAATGGACTTCTTCCGAATCGCTTTCTTCTGTCAGATGACAATTCTTCTCCTTTTGCTCCTTCTTTCCCTTTGGATTTTCTTCTCTTTTGCTTGTGGAAAGTCCTGTATTTTCCATTTTCTTGGGGCTGTGTGCATTGGATACGAAGTCCCGTCATGCAGGAAGTTTTCTGGAAGATCAGTCTTGGAAAATACGAGAATTATGGACGGGGGCAATTTTGTATAATCACGGATATGTGTGTAGATTTCCTCACATGCCCTGCATGTGTACGTGTGTGTGCGTTAATAGAGGCAAATGAAAAATCGTCTTAGCCATTTCCTTCGGGGAAGACATTGCGAATCCATTGATTGATGGGAATATTTTCTGATCGACAGGAAATCGGTCAGTTGACTTCGAGATTGGTCACAACGTGTCACGTGGAACACGATCTCTTGGTTTCTCGCATACATATGCTGTGTGCCACTGCTCATGTGAGTGTAGGTGTCAACGTGTATACGTGCGCTGCGTGGTAATACCGTGATACAGCATGCGATAGTGTTGTTGTATCCATGCCAGGTGTACAATCAATCGGTACTGGGACGACTGACTGTCACGAAATGCCGATTGATTTGCATCAAACGTTGGATAGAATCATCAATCAAAAGTGCAAGCGCCTAGTCTCTGTAGTATTGCACGAAATAAAAAATAAAATCGGGCCAAGGTAAGGGGGAAGCATGTTGGAATCGTATACACATTGCTGTAGATTACCGACGGCTGTTTTCTGATCGGTGTGCAACCTGCAGCAGGTGCAAGCGTTCCCGCGTGGTCCGTCCGTCATACAGCTTGTGCTCTCATCTATCCAGCCAGTTAGACTTGCAGTTTTCATTCAGATTTTGATTTGCACATTACAAGAAACGACTGGGCGCGTGCGGTGTTGGTGGGTTGCGTGCGAAGCACATAAACGCACTATGTGCAGGGCCGTTCCCCGCCCACTCGTGTGGAGTATACCCCTTCTTGCTCGAAGCGGTAATGCGGGCTGCGCGATTGGCAGCAAATCGTGGGCTGAGTAGAGAGGTTTCGCGCCGGTTACTTAGATGTAGCGAATTGTTCTCATCGGTCTGAGTGCTGCTTGTGGGATTGTTGGGATAGGGGAGTAATCGGTGTGTACACCTTTCATCCTTGCGATCAAGTCAATATTGTGGAAGTTGCGGGCGCAGAGGAGATCTTGGTGAATGGTCGGAGTATAGAGCGATCGGGAAGAGCAAGCAATGCTTACTCAGTGGAAATCTAATCTGATCGGTATTGCTACCATATCAAATGACAACCAGAACTTACATATTGGGCATGAATGTTCTTTGTCGAACGGTGGAAACGATACGTTCCAACACAGAACCATGCGCGAATGCCCAATGGCTTTTACTGGACTGGGTTTCCATATGAGCCAGTTGGCTGCTCATCCCTGATATCAGATGCCTGTAGGATCCATGCAATTGGAAAGATATTTTCGCTGTGACACTCGGGGATGTCGCGGATGTATGGGATACTGCGTGAGATGGAAACGCCATTTTCTCCTACAATAGACTCGTATAGGAACTGTACTTGGATCACAAGAATGTTGTGCTGCACTATAATATCACAACTATACCAGGCGTGGACAGTGCAAGCGCCGAACAATGGTGTCTACGTCTCAGAGCATTAATGGCGGACAACTACTTTTGACAGGTGTCGCTCAACGTGTCCATAGTTCAGCTTCTGCTCAACGGTGAATGGATTTGCGGTAGAATGAGGCGTCGACGGAAAGCTGCCCGATGCCGCAGTATTGGTGGCAATGAATGGATATGAAGTGCTGAGTGGCCGTCCTCATAGAATGTTCTAGGCAAAAGTGGTACGTTTCTCTCGTCACTATGCGCAAAGCTTGTTGGAATACCGCTAACAGTTGATAATAGTGCGTGGTCCAGAGTAGAATCTGCGGCGTATTTCACCAGGCACGTGCGATAATTCCATCCAGACCAGGAGATTGGGATTCGAGACGCATTAACAGTTCCGGAGACAGAATAATGTGGAGGGTAGTACACTGGTATGTCAGCAACTCTGTGATTAGTATATCGATTTCTGTGTGCATGTTCTGCCCGCGTGTAGCTCAGAGTACGTGATATGGGTAGTAAAGGTTGTATTTTTGAATTTGATCGTGCTGGTCCATAACCAGATTTCCTTTCCCCATGACACCGTAGACAGCCCTCATGAAGTTGGAAGAAAGAGCCTCATATAGCCGTGAAATGCATCCAGCGCCTTTGACCACTCATGTCAAATGCAATCGCCCTGAGCCTCTGTCAGTATCCTCCATACCGCTGTTGCTGCCGTTTCACATACCCCATATGATCCACGTCCATATCCCTTTACCGCGAAGCACTCCAGACGCTCTTGAGGAAACCGTCCTTCTGTGCGAGACGGTTCATGGAGTCATCGGACTCGCCCATGGCGCGCACGAAGCCGCAGAGGGCGTATGCGTGGTTCTCGCCGGTGTAGCGGCCGTTCTCGTCAACCTGACCGACGCTGATTTGGACAGAGGCGTGGTCCTTGGCCTTGATGATGCGGCCAGTGGCGCTGCACTTGCGGGGGACGTAGACTGCAGTCTGTGTCAGTATCCATTTGCGTAGAATAAATATCGCGACCACGGCGTAATCGGCAGTGCATCAATCGTCGCGCGGAAATCGAGAGGCTTACGGTCGACAAGATCACCGCGTTCGTTCTCCATGTTGACGGATTTTTGTTGATCGGGCAGGTGGTGTTGTTGGTTGGCGTCGAAGGTTGAAATTTCGAAGTGATGGCTGGTGTGCTGGATAAGCGAGGAGCACGTCCCTAATACGGCTAATTCTCGGCAGTTTTTGATTCATTCGATGGTATCTACAGAATTTAATGTGACAAAACTCCAAATCTCATGTTAAGTCCCACATGCGGGACTAAAGCTGGTGACATTTACTTAATGTGCCCTGTGTCGGTTGGTCCAGTCAATCCCAGGTCATGACTTCCATGCTACCAATATCATTCATCTCATCATTACTGGTGTTCAGTGATAAGAAAAGCCCTATGCTGCAACTCTACTGCTTTGTCTGCCGGACTTTGTTGGATTAACCGCCCCAGGTCTGTTGAGCGTGTATTTGGCGAATGCCCTCGCAAGCGCCTTCTTCGCGCTGACCTTTTGCGAGCCGACGAACGAGTCGACTGCGACAGCAATGGCACGATCGATATCCTGTGATGAACAGAACTCGGATAGTCGCATCTTGCAGAAAGCCTCTGAAATACGCATGATCGCTTCAAGATGACGAACCTGGCTATGTTAGCAATTGCACTAGTGATACAAAGGATGGAATAACCTACTGTGATAGGGTAGGCGCCGGTAGCCATGGACTCTCTTCGCATATCCGCAAAGAGACGGGCAACTTTGTCTTGATCGATCTGATACAGTTTGGGTCTGCACTTCTCCCTTGCATACAATATGTACTTCCTCAACAAGTCTTGAGGAATGGCGTCGCCTTGCTCCACCTTTCTCTTCTCTTCCTGATCGATATCCATATTGTCTTCAGCAACAGATGCTGCACCATCTTTTGCTCCACTAGGGTATGCGTACCCTGAGTTGTTGCGTGGATGAGCACGACCATGTGAGTTCACGACGAAATTGGCAAGCCGTTCGTCTTCGCTCGGATCGACAGTGTCGCGCACTACACACAGAATATCAAATCGAGATAAGATTGGCTCGGTGAGCTCAACATTCTGTGAAAAGGGTATCGTGGAATTGTATCGACCACCAATCGGGTTGGCAGCTGCTACGATGGAGCAGCGGGCTTGGAGGGTTGTAACAATACCAGCCTTGGAAATGGATATTGTCTGTTGCTCCATAGCTTCATGTATAGACGTTCGATCCTGGTCGTTCATTTTGTCGAACTCGTCAATAAGACAAGTACCTTTGTCCGCAAGCACGAGCGCACCTCCCTCAAGCGTCCATTCACTGGTCATGGGGTCCCGACGGACAGAGGCGGTGAGACCGACCGCAGAAGCACCTTGACCGGTGGCAAAAACAGCTCGATGGGCCGTCTTCTCCACATACTTCAGCACCTGAGATTTGGCGGTTCCAGGGTCTCCCAGTAGAAGTACGTTTATATCTCCACGGATTGAGTGACGGCCAGGTGCTTCTTTGCTTACACCGCCAAATAGAGAAAGTGCGACCGCAGTTTTGATGTCAGTGTGCCCGTATATACTCGGCGCTATGGAATTGATCAGTTTCTCGACGATCTTCGGGTCCTTCGCTAGAGTGCGGATGGCGGCTTCATCTTGCTCTGTAAGACGGAAACCAGCCAGCTGGTCGTGTGACTTGACGATATAGTTGGCCTCAATAATCGTCGCAAATACCGGGAAACCGTTTTTGTTGTTCAATGCTGCGTCGTAATTGTTGCGGTATACACCTGTCACTTCAATCTCTTCTCCGGGCTTAGCTGTGTCGATGAGATCCCAGAGAAGGATGACCTCTCGATGTCGCGGCAGACGACCAGCTGGAACCGTGCCAGGGGATTCTTGGAGTGTAAGTTTCTGATAATTGCGATACACTGTTCTCTCGGAGTTTACAGTGAATGGCCCGCGGGACTGGCAATTCTGACAAAAAGAGATTTTGACCTCTACATTCGAATCCTGGTGGAAAGGACCTAGAGTGGTGCCGCACTTGACACAATCAAACTTGACGTACTTTAGTTGTGGAAACACTCCGCTGCGTCGTGTTACAACACCACTGACGCGGACTAAGCAATTCAAATGCGATTGTCGAAGTTGGCGTAAAGTGTATTGTACCGGAATGTCAGTAATTCGAACGTGAACTTCGGAGTGAATTCGTTCGTAGTCCGGGTAGTGGAGCAGCACAACCTCCATCGCAACCTGATCAAAGATCTTGAGCATTTCAGTAGGTGTGTTGGCAACCCAGTAACCCAAGGTGGCCTTTGACTCCGCTAGATGGTCGAATGAGACTTCTAGAGACTCTGCATTGATTTCACCCAAAGTGCGAATTCGGTTACCATATACTGAGATTCCGTTATCATCGACAAACTCGGTAAGAAACGACTGGAACTCGCGAGCAATGGTTTTGGCAACGGCGGGCTGTGACACCCATTCTGTCAGGGTGTTCGCCTTGACGTCTGTCATTGCTTCCAACGTGAGCTCCTCGTTCATAATGTTTGCATCCATGTCCATATCATCTTGCTCTTCATCGTATCGGTTTCGTCGCCTGCGTCCCTGTTTCATAAGCTCGCCCAAATCGCCCTCCTCGTCGGGCAAGAAAGCTGCAGGCATACGCCGTCTTTCAGCAACCTCACGATCCCGGGCGGCCATCTGTCGTTCCAGTTTACGCCTCGTGGCATCGTCCATGGCTTCGTAATCTTCATCATCGATTCCAGTCTCCTCGTAAGTATTGTATCTGGCCAATTCCTCCTCTCTTTCCGCATCAAAACCAGGGATAAACCCTGCGTCGCCAAACAGATCGATTCCTTCTGCTTCTTCGGCATCTTCGTCCAAATCGTCAACGTCGCGAAGAATATCATCCTCGTCCAAGGCGTCGTCGTCCTGGGGTATGAGAGGGGGAGACGACGCGAATGCTGAGGATCAGGTCAGCAACTAAAGGCTAGGATGCACCGGAATAAACTCACGACTTGATGGCGGGTGCGCAGCTGGAGAAGATAAATCGTCGTCGTCTCGTGAACGCTTGTTGCGCCCGCTGCTAGGGCCTGCGCCCACACCCCGGTTGGCAGCAGACATGCTGGGTCGAGGAGGAGAACTAGGAATTAGTCAGAAATTTTAATCCTCGTCTTCTTGCATCCAGCTGAAGAAGAGCAGGGCGTACCTCATGCTGGTGTTTACTGTTTTGGCTTGTTGTGAAGAACGACTGTGTTTACGGTGAGGGGTCCGAGCGAAAGTGGGCGGGTAACTAATTAAGCTGGAGACGCGAACGCGTCCTCTCGCGGTACCTAAAAAGAAACAGTGGATTTGAGAACTACTGTCCCTGCTAACAAGCTATCACCCTATTATCCACTAGGTATGTCTGCAGTGATTTGATGTATCTGACTAAGAGATAAAACACACAAGTTATGAAAATAATGGTAACCTGGCTACCTATGTGCCTTGATGGGGGATACTTTGAGAGCGCGACGCACTCACTAGTGGCGCATTAGACTACCGGGTACCGTGGAGATCCCAACACCTATGACCTATGTAAGCTCCAATTGACCTTACAGCACACGGCCAGGTTCAAAGATTCCACATCTTTTTCAACTATTGGACTGCTGAAAGTGTCCCATCCTCCCCGTCACTATCACCTTCAATATGCCCGAGTTGCCTGTTTCCCATCCCACGCGCCCCAAACCGCGCTCCAATTCAATGTCGCAGGCATCCGAGACATCGCAAACCGCAGCCGAGTCAGTATAGCGAATTCTTCTGATTCTCTTCATAGCTAATTTCCCTGGTAGTTTCATCAAAGAACAGCTGAGTCTCGAAGCTGAAGCCCGCGAGGCCCTACCATATCAATTCGACACTTGCACACGCGACTTGGGGCCACTTCGCCAGGGCCTATACTCGTGTCTCGATTGCAATCCTCCACCATCCGATCCAGCAGACCCCTACGTTCCTGCCGCTGTTTGCTATGCCTGTTCCATTTCATGTCACGGCGAGCATGCTTTGGTAGAGCTGTTCAACAAGCGCAACTTTGTTTGCGACTGTGGGACCACTCGCCTTCCCGATACTACACCTTGTACTCTACGCATCAATGCGGCCACCGGCCAGAAAGGGGATGTTACTGCGGAAGAACCAGCCAAAAACAACAAATATAATCAAAATTTTCGGAATAGGTTCTGTGGATGCGCCGAGAGATATGACCCCCACGAGGAGAAAGGTGTAATGTTTCAATGTCTCGGCCTAGGCACGATAGAAAACGGGGGTTGTGGAGAGGATTGGTGGCATCCTGAATGCGTTGTAGGGCTCAGCAGGGAAGAATATTTAAAGAGCGTTGAGGAGCTCAAAGCGGACAAAGGAAAACAGGAAGAGCCATCCAAGCCTATCAGCATAATGCGGGAAGTCAGCTTCACCAGGACCGAAGAAGAGGACAATGGAACACCGGAAGGAAGACGGCCCTCCATGATCACGGCCATAGCTGCGCAAGCGATCGAAGACAGTGGTGTCGACGGAAACGACTTGGCTGCAGCAGAAAGCGCGGAAGATGAAGATCTGCCGCTTCCACCTGGCTTTCCTGCTGAAGATGATTTCGAGTACTTCCTGTGCTATAAATGTGTTACGGCAAACCCATGGATCAAGAAGTACGCCGGAAACCCTGGTTTTCTTGCACCGGTGTACCTAGATGCTGCTCTCAATACGACAAACAGCAAAGAAATAGAGTCTACATCCGGTGAAACACAGAACGCTGATGGCAAGAAACGTAAAGCAGAAGACGAGGAAGATTCTGCTTCGGCTGGTCGCATGGCTCCCCCTAAACGGCAAAAGTCCGAAGATGCAGCTGCGACGCTTTCTTCTGTGATTGAGGAGTCAAGCACCACCAATCCACTCGGTACTTCTAAGGAGCCCGCTTCGACTTTGTCTACAGAGGAATCGGCTTGCAAACTACCTTCTCTTAAACCTCTTTCGACCACAGCGGAAAAGCCACCCTTTTCTCTGTTTTTGACCGCCGACTTCCATGCCCATCTTTGCCATTGTCCCACCTGTTTCCCGCTTTTGAAACCACACCCGCAACTTCTCGAGGAAGAAGACGTATACGAGCCTCCCATGTCGGATGATGGCGAAAATGCTGAAGGATCTGTTGGAACTGGTTCTCTTCTCGATCGCGGTGAAGCTGCTTTCAACAACATGGATCGCGTTCGTGCTATTCAGGGCGCCATGGCGTACAACTCGTTGAAAGAAGGGTTGAAGGGCTTCCTCAAACCATTCGCAGAGAGCGGAACGATGGTTGCTGCGGATGACATCAAGGCTTATTTCGAGAAGTTGAGGGGCGATGAAGCAGGCATCCAGGCTGCAGCTGGTGACGCGGCTAAGAGCAAGGAGAACGGTGATAATGAGGGAGACGATGGTCCGAATGAGGATTCAAGAAGAGAACAGCCCGGCTATTGAGACGCTACTGAGCATCTGAATGTGACTTGGACCTATGTTATCAATAGCCAGCCTTTTGCCTATGTCTTTCCTGTTCGGTTGTAATGGCACGGGAACATGGCACAATGGCTTTGAGGATTTAGTCTGTGAATTGCGGGATGGACTACAGTCATGCCTTGATTCGTGTATGAAAATCACGGCGTTGAATGTACGAATAATACAAGGAGTGATGAAGATAATATGATAAATTGATCTTTGGAAACACCATAACCATGTAACCAAATCGTTCTATATCCAGTTGTGATGAATCTATACCCCAACACCAGCTCCTTGGCCCTTGACTTGTGCCTTGGAGAATTGTTGTACCAGCTGAAGCACACCACCCCGATTGTTGTCTGGCACCTCATCCTCCTCGTCATCGTCTTGCGCGAGCCTACTCGTTCGCCAAGACTCACCGATTGTACTCTCTTCTTCAATGCGTGATTGCGCCTGTTGATACCTTCCGTGCGGACCTTGCCGGGGAGAACCTCTCAGGAGAGAAGCAGATGGCTGGTGGTGCGGATCCAACACGGTGGATTGGAATTGATCATATGCACCCTGTCCTGAGCGTGGTGTACGACGATTCACTGGCTGTTTCCCCGCTGGCCCCCTGTTCGTGCCCTGTACAGCCATCTCCGCAGGCGGCGCTATCTGGGAGGCATGGCCATAGTTGTTTGGAAATTGTGGCGGAGGGTGGAAATTCCCTTTGCCCTGGGTACGGCCGTTCATCCGCGTTTGACCGCTGTACGCATCGAGGAAACCGTAGTAAGATGCGAGCATCTTGTTGTCTTTCGCCATGAAATAATCTTCTCGAAGTTCGGCATCCTCTCGAACACCTCCGTTCTTGTTCGCAGGTATGTTATCTCCCCCTTTCTTAGCAGGGAACATCGAATACGAACAAACAACTCCCAGACCATCGACTACGATAGAGAACTCGCGGAAAAAGTCTACTAGACGTTCGCTGCAATCAGGTAGACGGAAGACAAGAAGAAACGGCGTTATAACCATGCTCAAAATCTCCTCTAAGAAGATAATGATTTTGGGTTGGTATAGCTTCGAGAATTCAGCTCGCACCTCATCTGTATGTAGGCGATCCTCCCAGGCACTTGGCGAATATCTTGTATGAAATATGACATGGCCCATGTGGTATGCGGGATCCGCGACCTGGTCATCTTGCGGACTGCTTCTTCTGGCCAATTGATAGCCCACTGTCAGAACACCAAGATAGAACAACGCCGTCCTACCAGAAGTAATTTCGAAATCAAGGAACAGATCGGGATCAAAAAGCGTGAAAAGTGCCAACACAGAGGCGAATGCTCCTGCTATGAAGGCCACAAACGCCGCCAGCTGCTCTGTCTTGTCTTTTGGGAATTGAGCGAGGTAGTGGTTGGCGAAAGGAATCGCCATGTTTTTCCGACGTAGGAACAAGTGGGGAAGTTCGTTGAACTCCCTGAACTTCCACTGAGCAAATGTAGTGAAGTCGCGGGTACCAAGTTGAGATGGGTCTTTGGTATATTCCTATAACTGTCAGATAGTACAATAATATATGGGTGCAGTGTTGACTCACAGTAAAGTACTTGAATAAGTATGATGCGAGCACATAACACACACTAAAAGGTGCGCAGACAACACTCATGATTCCCACCTCGAGTATTCGGGTCCTCAGCTTCTTGACCAAATCGCGTCTGTTGCGTTCCCTCAGGAAATCTTGGTTGAATTGACCATTTGGCCCGCTGAAAACAAAATCCATGATGGCAAGTTCCACATGCCATTTCGTTGTTTCCGAGAAGAAGGACCTGTTGCCCAAAAACGGTATTGGAATGCTGACGTCGAGAATCTCTTTGTTGAACAGGGCAATCAGATAGTTCTCACGTCGCATTAGCCGATTAGCTATATCTATTGCATCCAGACGTTGTCGACTCTTTGAATCCAGCAGCTTCCGAACCTTTGGAGACAAGTTGGATGCAGTCGTCAGGTTCTGATCACGCAGAGCCATGATTTTGCTGACAACCTGTTGCCACTGCACCGTCTGAATATCGGCATCGGGTATATCGAGGAGATAGTGATAGAAGTCATGCATGGCCCGAAGCCTCGGGATAGCTGTCACAATACGATAAAGGGAGTACAGCCAATATATAGAAAAAAGCCAAAGAATAAACACCCACGTCCCATGCATACTGAGATGGATTAGCTTGAAATCTACATGACTGCGAGCCTTTTGTTGAGTTACTTACCCTTTCAAGCACTTCTTCACGAGCACGTCGTCCATCTTGTGGCTGCCAGGGAGCTTGGAGTAATCAATACACCAACCTAGGAAGGTCAAAAAGCCTACCACAAAGGCGGTCTGCAGAAGCAACAGAGCTGTACGCAAGATAATGGACCATATCCCGCATCCGACATAATACTGGTAGGCATCATGCAGAAAAGTATCAAGATCGGTCTGGTTGACCCAGAGCCAAAGCGCCTTCTCCCTCCGATCAGCTACGAACTGGCCGCGCCGAGCCCTGTGAGCCCAGGTGTGAACAGGATGACCAGTGTCTTCTTCAGCATGTAGTCGTTGATGTTGCCTCGTAGTCTCCCACTGTGCTCGCGTCTGTCTAGTAGCCGGGCCAGGGACGGGAGGTGGCAAGCCATCGGTCCGTCGGGATTTTTGTGTAGGCACGCGAGGTGACTCCATACCGCCTTCTAAAAGTAACGATTGAGGAACATCGTCGTCGTCATCGATCGAAGCAACCTGGGCGGGCAAAGGCTGTCTCCATCCCATAGCCCTGTTCGCAGTGTTAATGCCAGGGGGAAGGCGCTCCTTGTTGTCGGACGGAGCAAAGGCGGTGCTCTCGGTGGTCATCTGGCTAGAGGAAGCTTCCGCAAGCAAATGATCCAGATCTTGCGCCTCAAATCGGGCTCCTAAGTTTTCTTCGTCGATGTCCATGACATCGTGCTCGTCAGCCGAGGCGAAACTCCGACGGCGTTGGGTATTTAGAGGGCGGTTTTCGTATGGATCATCCGAGGCGGCAGGAAGAAGTCTAGATAGTAGATTCGAGGCCATGGTCGGTCAGTTGCGGGGCGCGTCGCCGTGCGACTCGAAAGCGTGGTTGAATGTTGGGTTTGGAGAGCGTTGGTTACAGGTGTGTGTTCAAGGAAGAGTGAAAGGCCTCAACGGCGAATATATAACGCCATGAGACCCTGGACAGTGAATACTAGACGATAACCATGCTAGTGTGGAGCGTGACTGATAACGTAGTTATGTTATATATATGGACCAGCACCACATGTAGATATGCAAGTCAGTCTGTATGGGTGTACTTGAGACAGTGAAGGCAGTCATCACATGGGACTGCGTCACTAGACGTACCCAACCGGACGCTAGGACGCTAATGGCGTAGTCTAGGTCAAGCTTTCGGTTCGGTAATCGGCCCAACTCGTACCGTATAGAACAACGACAACATTGTACACACATATGTGCACAGGCCGCAAACAGTACTCCCGTTGCCCGATGCAAATTGATGGCTACCAGCTATTTCCCGGAGCGATCCGCGCCACCTGTGCGCGACAGTTCTTCGCCAGCTTCCCCAGCCCCAGGAGCCCCATCTCGGAGTGCTAATGCTTTGTCTGCCCGCATCACCAGCGTCCTCTCTGCATCATATGCCGACTTGGAGATTCGTGATGCGCTGGAGACGTTGGACTCTCGCCAGATTCAGAATACTGCCGAGACGCGGCGCCAGCTACGTCTAGATGTTCAGAAAGAGGTCGTTGAGTGCAATGGAGAGATTGTCAAGGATTTTGGCCAGGTCGCCCAGGTGGGTTGGTAAAGCGCCAGGCATTACGCATTCACGCTAAGGAATCACAGCAATTGAGGCGTATAGGCTCTGCCATTAGTAGTTTGAACACTTTTTGCGATGAGATGCGCACACACATCGCTGCAGCAAACCGTGATACCGGCCCTGTACTGGAGGAAGCAACCAGCTTGATTAGCCAGAGAAAACAGATTGAAGCGAAACAACATATTCTCACTGCTTTCGCGTCCCACTTCTTCATCTCAGAGACAGATTCAACCGTTCTGACATCCACTGCCGAGCCTGTCAACGAGGAGTTCTTCCAAGCGCTCACCCGAGTGAGACGGATTCATCATGACTGCCAGGTATTACTTGGAACAGAAGACCAACGCCTTGGTCTTGAAGTGCTGGAGCAGAGCTCCAAACAAATCAATGCTGCCTACCAAAAGTTATATCGTTGGATACAGCGTGAGTTCAAGACGCTGGACCTAGAGAATCCTCAGATCAACGCTTCAGTGAGACGATCATTGCGTGTCCTCGCGGAGCGGCCCGCTTTGTTTCAAAGTTGCCTGGATTTCTTCGCTGAGGCCAGAGAAAATATACTTTCAAAGTCATTCTATGCAGCCTTGACTGGTTCTGCATCAGATACACAGCAGCTGAATACGAAGCCTATAGAATTTCAGGCGCACGATCCACTTCGTTATGTGGGCGATATGCTTGCTTGGGCACACTCCACCACTGTGTCGGAAAGAGAAGCTCTGGAGGTGCTTTTCATTTCAGAGGGAGATGAAATCAAACGCTCTATTCAGGCCGGATTGGAAAGCGAGCCGTGGCTGCGTGGCGAGGGTGACGAGGAGATATTCGATGGCAAGAAAGCTCTCGACCAGCTTGTTAGTCGAGATTTGGCCGGTGTTGCTCGATTACTGCGGCAACGAACTGAACAGGTTATACAAAGCCACGACGATGCTACTTTGGCATACAAGATTGCGAACCTAGTCGGGTTCTATAAATCGACGTTCGTGAAACTGCTAGGAGCCGATTCTGAGATTCTGGATCTCTTCACCACCCTCGAAGGCTCAGCTATGAGACAATTCCGCGCAAACATGCGCGATCATGTGGCTACTGTCCAGAGTGAGCTGTCCGTGGCCCCTGGGGATTTGTCACCGCCAGATTTCTTAGAAGAGGCCCTTCAAATGCTCAAGGTTTTGGCGAGGAGTTACGATACGTCCATCGCTGCAGTAGACAATGGCGGAGATAGCTTCCAGTCTGTTCTGGCCGAGACTTTGGATCCATTTCTCAGCGGCTGCGAAAATCTCGGGAAAGGACTAGAGGAACCAGGCAATGCTATCTTCGCTATCAATTGTCTAACGACCGTCAGAGCAGTCCTCTCGCTTTATTCATTTACGAGCGACCGCCTTGGCGACATGGATGACACGATAGGTGAACACAAATCAAAACTGATCGAGTACCAAACCGAGTACCTGACGCATGCCTCTGGTCTACAGCCCCTCATGGGAGCACTTTCTGAGATTGATGAATCACTAGACAGCATCAGGACCATTCCAAAGCTGCCTCCATTTATGCCGGAATCACTTGTTGGTATCAGCCAGCACTTAGACGAGTTTCTGCCTTCAGCCCTTATCGATGCAGCAGAAAACTTGAAACAGCTGCGGAACCGAAGCATGATACAAGAAATAACAGAGGAAGCTGCTGGGAAGTTCTGCGAAGGTTTCGAGTTTGTGGAAAGCAAGATACTCGCTGCAGATGACCTTTTGTATAACGGTACAGATGCAGATCTAACAGAAGAGCAAACGCCAACGCTTCGAGATCTGTTCCCACGCACCAGCGGAGAGATCCGTGTGTTATTAAGCTGATAGCTTACGTGTGTTGTGCTGAGCCTCATAAATAGAGAGATAGGAAACATTATTCGTTGGGCCTTATTAAACCACAATGGAATTATACATCTTTCAACCGTCTGACGACATTCACGAAGGCGGACAGATTCGAGCCAAACCAGCCCGTGTAATGATCCGACGACCCTGAAAAGAGGAATGGGTGTCAATGTGGAGCTTCAGTGCGGGTAGCACCACGAGGGCCAGGAAGATTCGGCGCTAACGGAAAGCTTAAATCGCCCACCTGGCGGGGGGCCCGCTAAGGTCTCCAGCAAGTAGACCCGCGACGTTACATACAACAACCCGAGTAGGCGCAAGTGCTGCACCTGCATGAGGATTAATTGAAAGCCGCCATGGTGCTTTCCTTCATTTTGATCCAGAATCGACAGTAAGATGTGCCCCGGAACTTGTCCTTGGATAGTTGCCCTGAGCAGGGTTAATTGCGTACAGAGGCAAAACAAGGTTGGCCAAATGGTATGCCCCATACAGTGTAAGTCCAGCTTGTTCCGTGCAATTGGTAATCTCCATATATGTATGCTAACCGTCAAACAGGATGAGGAGAAGGTCAAGCTGAAAGGCGAGGTACGCGACGACTACCCATTACACCATAGATGACTATCACCCTTCTTCGGCTCACCTCAAACCATGCAACCAGGTCCATCGTCTCATCGCTCCACGCGACCAAAAGCACCAGTCCAACTTCGTCGAGTTCCGCAATATGTCGAAAATCGTATACCGTCGCTACGCAGGTCTCTTCTTCTGTGCCTGTGTTGATACAAATGATAATGAGCTGGCGTATCTGGAGGCTATACATTTCTTTGTGGAGGTTCTGGATGCGTTTTTTGGAAACGTCTGTGAATTGGATCTGGTGTTCAACTTCTACAAGGTAGGTTGATGGGGACTGGGCGGAATGCCCAGACACGCACCGAGCAAGCAGCGTGAAGCTCAAGGGTGGGATTTGGGTGGCGTAGACGTTATATACTGACTCGCACTGCAGGTCTATGCTATCCTGGATGAAGTATTTCTTGCTGGAGAAATAGAGGAAACAAGTAAAACGGTTGTGCTCACGAGGCTGGCCCATCTAGACAAGCTTGAGTAATGATCATCCAATGACTCTCAACATATCCACAGAGAATTCTGCTATGCGACAGCAGCGCCCGCAACGAAGAGTACGGATAGGATTCTTTGTTCTCATGTAGACAGGCTACTCCCTCGAGGCAGGGAATGAAGATGGAAATTGAGAGGTCAATGAGCACATACACGCACCCAAAAGTATGAGTTTCTCCCTAGTGCCGCGGTCGTCGATAATGCGATGAATCTACAATCCTTGAACGCATGCAGAAACGTATATAGCAGATAGAGGAAACAAACAAGCATAATGTCTTTATGGGGCCATGCGGCTACTATTCGCGTACTAGTTGCCCTTTGTAATACTTGACGTGCTGCTCGACAACACGTTTCGCTCGCCCGTAGAATGTCATGAACCAAGTCGGAACGAATAAGGATTTAAGATTTTAGAACATCTCACCTCCAATTGGAAACATTGCTATCGATAGGATAGAGCTACATCTTGAGTATCATTCATGTACCTGCAGGTGCACGGGCCAGGTCTGGAATCGGAAAGCTCAACTTGTAGCAAAATAATGCCAGATCACCGTCTCTGTCCAGACCCTATCGTCCCACCTTGCCGAGTCTACTTTTGCGCTTTTGCCATGACATGGTGTCTTTCAAGATAAGACACTGTCCCTTGAAAAATATCCAGTGTGCGTGACTGTTCGAGCTTCGTCCTACGCATCCACCGCCTCCTCCGTAAAACCCCCGCGCCGCGACAGCAGTACTCATTGGCAGCACCATGTCGGATTTCCAGATGTACCACGCTCTTGGGCAAGGCTCTCAGGATCCTAACGAAGCATCGCAAGCGGACAACGCGAACGCCTTCCGTCCTCCCGTCGCTGCCAGTCCCGCTGGCTACCAACAAACCGGAGGTCCCACATATGGCCATACCCCAAATCAATACGGCCCGCCCAGTCAGAACACGGCCCCGGCTCAGCAGCCAGGTTACTTTCCACCTCAGGCTTCACCACAATACCAGCATGCACCACAGGATGTGGATGGTTTGGCACAGCAGATGGGGGGTATGGGATTGAGTGCAGAGCAGTCGGGGACTGTGAGGCATAACAAGAAGAAGGGCCGCCATGCCTATCATAACCTCGAGGGCCCTGGCGGAAGCCCACAAGCACTCAATGGCATGCCTCAAGGGAATGTGGGAACTCCAACACAATTCGGCCAGCCTCAGATCACACCAGCCATGAACCAGTTCCCCGCAGCTGCACCTCTCTTCAGCCCAACAAGCCCAGCGACAGGCATGCAACATGCTGCGCGCATGTCCAGCCCTGCTCCTGGCGTGTCGACTGCTGCACAGCAGGGCAAAGTGGATCCGGAGCAGATACCCAGCATTCCGCGATCGCGAGATGCTCCCGCAAAGTATTATCTTGAGCATGTATACCCTACCATGGAACGACATTTACCTCCGCCTGCTCTAGTACCATTTGTCGCATTCGATCAAGGAAACTCTTCTCCTAAGATTGCGAGACTCACTCTCAACAGCATTCCCTCGACTGCCGAGGCGCTTAATTCCACCCATCTTCCTCTTGGCCTTCTACTCCAACCATTAGCCCGACAACAAGAAGGCGAACAGCCTGTACCTGTTTTAGACTTTGGTGATACGGGACCACCACGGTGTAGGAGGTGTCGTGCATACATCAACCCATTTATGCCATTCAAATCGGGCGGCAACAAGTTCGTGTGTAACATGTGTACGTTTCCGAACGATGTGCCTTCGGATTACTTTGCGCCCACAGATCCATCCGGAGTGAGGGTGGACAGATTACAACGCCCGGAACTCACGCTGGGCACTGTAGATTTCATGGTTCCTAAAGAATACTGGTCTAAAGAACCCGTTGGTTTGAACTGGCTTTTCTTGATTGATGTCAGCGCCGAAGCCGTTAACAGAGGCTTCCTCGATGGATTTTGCGAAGGTATCATCGGTGCTCTTTACGGTTCTGAGAAAGATACAAACAGTGAAGATGATGCCCCAACTAGGATTCCAAAAGGCTCAAAAGTCGGTATTGTCACATTCGACAAAGAGTTGCATTTCTACAATCTCAACCCTAGTCTGGACGCAGCTCAGATGCTTGTTATGCCGGATCTCGAGGAACCTTTTGTGCCACTCAGTGACGGCTTGTTTGTGGATCCTGTGGAATCGAAGTCCATTATCATTTCCCTGCTTACGCAGCTTCCCAACATGTTCTCTGAGTTCAAGAATCCGGAGCCGTGTTTGCTCGTTGCTCTTGACTCAGCTGTACAAGCACTTTCGGCAACGGGTGGAAAGATTGTGTCGTCACTGGCTTCTTTGCCGACGTGGGGTCCTGGCCGTCTACACCTCCGCGACGATGGCAACAATCAGGGCAATACTGATGCCGACCGAAAGCTGTTCACAACCGAGCATCCTGCTTACCGAAAGATCGCACAGAAAATGGTGGAGAACGGGATTGGCATAGACTTTTTCCTTGCAGCACCAAACGGTGGCTACTTGGATGTTGCAGCGATTGGTAAGTTGTTGACTTCCTCACCCTGATTATACACTCTGTTCTGACTTTTGCAAAGGTCATGTATCCGCAACTTCAGGCGGTGAAGTCTACTACTATCCTAACTTCCACTCTACCCGCGATACACTCAAACTCTCGAAAGAAATCAAGCATACGGTGACTCGTGATACCGGATACCAGGCGATGATGAAAGTTCGATGTTCGAACGGTCTGCAAGTGTCAGCATACCATGGAAATTTCTATCATCACACTTTTGGTGCAGACCTCGAGTTCGGTGTTATTGATGCTGACAAGGCTATTGGAGTCATGTTCTCATATGACGGTAAACTTGACCCTAAGCTCGATGCCCATTTCCAAGCCGCTCTTCTTTATACTACAGCCAGTGGCCAGCGCCGGGTGAGGTGTATCAACATCGTCGCAAGTGTGAGCGAAGGCGTGTCAGAGGCAATGAAATTCATCGATCAAGATGCTGTAGTAAGCATCATCGCCAAGGAAGCCGCCGCTCGTATGCTCGAGAAGAATCTCAAAGACATTCGAGCTGCGTTGACCGAAAAGACCGTTGATATCCTGGCTGGGTACCGTAGGAACTTTACGGCAAGCAACAATCCACCCGGTCAGCTTGTTCTACCTGAGAACTTGAAAGAGTTCAGCATATACATGCTTGGCTTGTCCAAATCGAGAGCTTTCAAAGGCGGCAAGGAGCCTACCGACCGGAGAGTGCATGATATGCGGATGATCAAAGCCATGGGGCCTTTGGAAATGTCCCTATACCTCTATCCGCGCATCATATCCATTCATGACCTCGACGAAAGGGATGGGTTTGCAAATGAGAATGGACATCTACGTATGCCAGACTCCATTCGAGCGTCATTTTCTCAGGTTGAGGAAGGAGGTGCTTACCTTGTGGACAACGGACAAACTGTCTTACTGTGGCTACATGCACAAGTATCCCCGAATCTACTCGAAGATCTCTTTGGTGAAAACAAGAAGAGTCTCAAGAGCCTAGACCCTTTCTCGTCATCCCTACCGGTACTTCAAACACATCTCAACGCCCAAGTACGAAACATTCTGCAATACCTGGAGTCTTCTCGCGGTTCCAAAGCCATGACTATACAGCTCGCTCGACAAGGACTTGACGGTGCGGAATATGAGTTTGCTCGGCTGTTGTACGAGGACCGAAACAACGAAGCGCAAAGCTATGTGGATTGGCTGGTGCACGTTCATCGGCACATACAGCTAGAGGTACGATCGTCTAAGACCGGAGAGAAATCTTCCTGGTTCTAACCACTGTCTACAGCTTGCTGGGCAACGGAAGAGGGAGGATTCAGATGGTGGGTTGGGTTCCTCATTTGTGGGGTTGCGTACCCCGTATTGGGGATGAAGATCTGTGAGCGAGTGTTTTTGGAAAACTCGGATGTATTGCATAGCGCTTTTGGTTTTGGAAGATTTGTGTAGAGTAGCGACGAAATTATGGCTAGCCGAATTGCTATTTATGTTGACCAGCCGTATCATTCCTCTCGTTGTTTTTTATCCATGGAAATATTGGCTATCATTTCTCCACCTTGGAAGCAAACAGATGCACATACACACAACAATTTAAACATGTTGAGCACGTGCTCACGTACTGTCAAAACATTCCGTGTCTCTTTCTTTCTCCAACAATGAGCCACGGAAGTAATATCTCCAGGATGCATCTATGCTATCGTACAATGATGAAAACACATATTGGCACACAGCCCGATTCGTCCCCACGCCCTTTGTCTACAGACACTCTAATCAGACAGTTTCAACATCATCCTCAGAACCTCCTCAGCCTTATCAGGCTCAACAGTCCCCTCCGCACTCCTGGCCATCATCTGCCCAACAAACCACTTCAGCTTCTTGACCTGTTTCTTCTCCACAATGTCTCGGACCATATCTGCCTTCTCTTCCAACAACGTCCTGGCAAGCTCTTCGTACTCGTGACGAGAAAGAGGCCGCAACAGCATGTTCTCGTCCGAGACGATTTGCTCAATGGGCCGTTGGTCGCCTTCGAATTTCATAGCCAGGAGCATTTTTGCGGTCCGGCCTGTGATCTGGTTACGCAGGACGTGGGAGATTATCGAAGCGAGGTCTTGTGGGGTTACGATTGTTGAGGACCATTCTTCGTTTTTTAGGAGGCCGCCTAGTTCCATTAGGACCCTGTGATAGTCAGTGGAAGGCCTCACGGAGATGGTTGGTGGATCTAGTATGTATGAGAGAACTAGAAGCGTGTACGTACCAATTGCCAGCCGTTTTACCGATGCGCGCGTGGATGGCGGGCTCGTTGACGAAGATGGTGCGTAGTTGCTCTACGACTTCGTAGTAGTAATCCAGACGATCACCGTCGCTCAGCGTGAGAAGTGTGCTGGCATCTTTGGCGGTAAGGTTGTATTGGCTGTCGACCAACTTATGTATGCTTTCATCAGAGAGTTCTGGCAATGTCTGACGAATGTGGTCGACGAGGTCCTATCAAAGATTAGCTTGATTCGTTCTTCCAGATATGGGAGTCTGAGCATTACCGGGTCGATATATATCGGGGGTATGTCAGGGTCCGGCATATATCGGTAGTCGATTTCACCCTCTTTACCACGCAGTCGTTTTGTGGACTTGCTCCCAAGCGTCCATCCCCGTGTCTCGCCCTCCACTACGCCACCACTTTCCAGCAACTCAATCTGTCGATCACGTTCTGCTATAATGGCATCCTCTACAGCCTTGAGACTGGAAAGATTCTTGATTTCCGTCCGCTGTCCCAGACCTGTAATGCCGGAATACGATTGTTGATCATTGGTAGGCAATCCATTGCGTGAGCGAACTGAAACGTTGACATCCGCACGGAGACCGCCCATCTCCATACCCGCTGTAACAGCATTTACCGTCTTGAGTACCGCCTGTATCTTTCGCACGCACACTGCTGCTGTCGTGGGGTCATGGATTTGAGGCAGAGTAATGATTTCAATAAGCGGATGCGAGACACGGTTGAAATCCAATAGGTGGGTGGACGGCGGTTGCTGTACAGTTTTGGCAGTATCTTGTTCCATCTGAACCTGCTTGATGCCTATAGTGATCGGTCCACTCAAAGGCGGGCTTCCAGATGGGAAATCATGAGGGTAGAGGGTGATGTATCCGGCTTTCGCAAAAGGTTCTGAATACGTTAGATCTTGTTCTTGAGATTCCAAGTTCCAGGGCGCTCACCATAAAATTGCGTAATTTGATACCCGGTTGGTTGATCCTGATAAAAGTAATGCTTCCGGTCAAAACTGCTCTTATATTGGATATCGCAATTCAGAGCCAAAGCAGCGCGTAGTGCAGGAATAAGTGTTGGTTTCTGAAAGATTGGCTGGCTGCCGGGAAATGCCACATCAAACAGAGCAACATGTGTATTAGGTGGTTGGTTCGTCGACGTTGCAGCACCAGAAAAAAGTTTCTGTGCTGTGTTGAGTTCTGCATGGATTTCGATGCCGACTGTGAGTTCCCAATCGTCCACACGAGAATTTTTCATCTGACCATGCTTTCTCGATACCTCTGGGGCTTCCCTTTTCTCTTTTTTGATTTTCTTTGCTGCTTCTTTCAGAACTTTGCGGAATGGAGCATTGTCACTTATGGATTGAGCAGTGGTGTGCAAAGGCCGAGAGGCATTACTACGCACAGGGGACGCCCATGACTTTGATACTTGCCATCTCGTACAGCTCGAACAGGATCGGCAAACTAATGGTCGTATCGACGGAATAGCGGAGGACGTCCGGGAAGCGAGTGGAATCATTGTACAGAGTGCGAAAGCTGTGGTTCGGACGGGGTCAACACTCCCAGAGAGTCCGTGCTCTCACGGGAGCGAATAGATGGGACACACATATCTGTAAAGTTCATGAGCTGTTAGGCCGTCTTGATCTTCTAGACAATTTTTACTTGCATTACAGGTATGTAATTTCTTGTCATTACATGTATCGTCAGACACAAGAGATGAATCAGCTCATCACAAAGGACAATTATTCTTGATTCTGTTGCCCACTTGTTCCATACCTGGAGGGTCTGTGCTTCCGATCGGGACTTGTTCCGAGCTGTCTATCAATCATCCGATTCACGACCCCAAATCATTCTTGACAAACAACGCGGACAGCACAAATATTGTCAAATATAGAGTCCAGATGCATGATTCATATTGTTTCGATGCCCGTTGCGGATAGGTATGTACAGACAATGGCATGTGGCGTTACAGAATAGCCGTTATTTCAATTGCCTAACTACTCTCGCGCATAGTCTAACTTGCCAGCCAAGGTTTTCAGATGATAGATGGCGCTTAAAAGTAAAAGGGTATTTGGTGTGTAGAAGAAGCGAACAGGAAGCGAACAGGAAGCGAACAGGAAGCGAACAGGAATGGCATAGCTAATGTGAAAAAGAAAAAGAAAAAAGTGAATGCTGTGACATATGAAAAGAAAGTGTGATAAACGTGAAAACATGATTCGAGTTGCAGCTTGTTTCATTCGTCGCAATGCTTCGAGCAGCTCACAACAAGAGCAGTTTGTAGAATTTTGAGTCCGTTAATTCGTCGATGTGGGGTATTTGTGACCGTGGTGCCGATGCCCAGTTCCTCGTTCCGACTCCAGCCTTGCATTCCTGAGCTCCTAGCTCGTGTGAGGTTTGCGTGGCTACCACGTGCGTTTGGAGAATGTAGTATGTGTCGTTCATATATGCGTATGCGTATGCGTATGCGTATGCGGACAGAGCGTATGATGAGATGATGCACACGTGCTTTCCCTACTTCACTTGTTGACAACTGGAGAGAAGGATCGCCTCCGGGTATGTTTTTCTATCCTCCCTTGCTCGTCTCTTGGGATTCCTTGGTGATGGGTGTGTCGAATATTTAGTTGCGACCACTGGCCAGTGCTCGTATCCTGACGGTGGGCAGCTTGCTTAAGCGTCGGTTGTCGCGGCTGCTGGCAGTGGACGAGGTTTTGGTGGAAGCGGTAGGCGATGAAGCAAAGACGTACTCGCCGTCTACGTACTGGGCATCGCTGATGAAAGTGGTGCGTTTCTCGCGTCGAGTGTATCTCTGTTCCAGGCGATATAACTCAAGCTCTGTAGGGTTTGGTCAGCAGAGGCAGGCGCAGAGTGCAATTCTGAAACATACTGGCTTGAACCTTTTCGAAAAACCCCATCTTGGCTCAGCGGGGGATGTGTGGTTGCTTTTGGATTGATCGTGGGGTAGCGGAAGCGAGGAATATATATATGGAGAGGGAATTGGAGCGGTACAGGGACACGGCGACTGGGCTGAAGCACGAATCGCCCCAGAGCTTTAGACGACACACAGGTACGCAACGACGCAAATAGCGGGCGGGGTGAAGGAAGAAGAGTGAGGCAGGCAGCGCAGCAGCAGCAGCAGCAGCAGCAGTGATGGTAGCGATTGTCGTTGGCCAGCAGACCTGAAGTAGATGAAGAGGGAGAGGGAGAGGTGCAGGAGAAGACTATTGAGCGGCAGGAACAGGCGCGGGAACTCTTCACAGGAATGGCAGGCGTCTCCAGAGAGTCTCCACCCTCGACGGGCTAGTGGCATGAGCTAGACTGCGAACAAAGACGGCCAGGCGAGGCAAAAGGTGTTCTCGAATCGTGCAGGGGGAGGCAATCTATTTGCCGACCCGTCCATCCGCCCTGCTTGGACATGAAACGCGGTTGCTGCCGACGGTGTGCTCATTCATTCATTGCTCCATTGCTCCATTGGCACTTGTTATATATATGTATATATATATATATATATCTGTGGAGAAGGAAGCAGGCATCTGATACGCGTACGCAATCGCTCAAGCTGGCCTGGGCTAACCTTCCCCTTTGCTGCACGGCAGCAGCACCAACAGCGTGTCACGCACGTGGCCGAAGCATCGCTCCAGTCTAGCCCGTCTAGTATCCTCACTACCTACTTGACTAAGTATGTAGGCACTTGTCGTGCCTGGCCATCCATCTGTGCCGTCTGCAATCCTGCCAAGAAGAACCTCAACAGTGTTCAGAACAAGTTTTCCATTGATGATTCCGTCTATGTATGCATTGCTCGTATGCTCCCATGCAAGCCGACCCATCCGTGTGTACTCATAACAGGTACTCAGCCAGAGTACTTAGGTTTGCACACCTGTATGCACTAACTAACCGTGGAGACCGCAAGCCTCTGCTCAAAGACTGGGGGGCGGGACGCGGCTCATCACCCGGCCCATCACCATCTGTCATTCCCCGCTTCGCGCTCCACGTCTTCCATGCTTTGTAGTCTTCATATGCTGTCGTCCACGCCCCAATGGTACCAGTACCTGTGACTTCGGTTCCCGTCTTCATACCCTGCTATTGGGAATCGAACCTTCGACCGCTGCCACAGCTCCAACATTGCCTGCATCAGCCGACCCGTTCAGAAGTGATATCACTGAAATCACGTCACTAGGCTCCAGGAGGTGCCAGCTAGCCAAAGTTTGCTTCGAGCTTGCTCCCACTGTCACGGAAAAGACGTGATCGGTAGGCATCGTGGATTGTCGCAGTGAACGGAACATGTCTGTCCTGCATTAGCCAATAGTTTACACGTGCAATCTTGCGAGGGGAATATTACCTTCGTCGGTGAAGTCGTCACCAAGACAGAGAACGAATTGTGGCGGCGTGTCGCCATATGCGGTTATGAGCCTCTTTGCAATTTCGCCTTTGTTGACGAAGCGTGGTCGTACTTCAAGGTTGGCTTTCCCCGTCATTACCTCTACGTCGTACTTTTTGGCCACCGTCTTCTCGAGGTGCTTTTGGCACTCCCGTGCCTGGAATGCGCCGAATTCAGGATCGGCGCGTCGATAATGCCATGTTAAGGCGATCTTCTTGCGCTCGATGAAGGAACCTATCTGCGATTAGCGTCACTCCACACTCCAGAACCGTGTCAACTTACCCTGAGTTCTCTCTGTGTAGTGCTGGAAGACTTCCATCACTTCGGACTGCCAATTCATGTCCGTCTTGTCTGCAAGATTTTCCCAATTCTCGGTTCGCGGGTAACGCATAAAGCTGCCATGTTCGGCGCTGAGCCCCAACTCGGAGATGTGACCCATCCATTCGTCCAAGAAGGCCTGGTCTCTTCCACTGATGATCCAGACCGAATTGTTCGGGTCGGATGCAAGAGTCTTCAACGTGCGGGTGACACGGTCAGAAGGAATGGCTTGCTGAGGATCTTTGACAATAGGTGTAAGAGTGCCATCGTAATCAAACATGAATACTCGCTTTTTGGCTTGGCGGTACTGCTGGAGTAATTTCGCCCGGTCCAGTGCTGGCGTTGCAAAAGACTGGTCAAACGATGAGAGATTGGTCAGAAGTCTATGGACGAGATTATTGGTCCAAGCCTGCACGTTGTTCTCGATTACATGCTTGTAGATCATCTCATGTTGTTCCTTCCGTTGCTCTTCTGACATGCAAAGCGCTTTGTCTATAGCTTCGGCAACACCATTCGTGTCCCACGGGTTGATGTGAATGGCACCACCGAGCGAGCCGGCTGTACCTGAAAACTCGGACAAGATCAACGGCCCGTGGTTGTCTTTTTGACAAACGACATATTCGAGGCTGGTCGTGTTCATACCGTCACGGACGCTGGTGATAAGTGCTACATCGGCTAGTCGTAAAAGCGCAAAGTACTCCTCTTTGTTGAGGTACTGAGGGAAATGCCTGATTGGAACGAAGCTCAAAGAGCCATAATTACCGTTAATTCTAGAAACGATTTCAGATGTTTTGTTCCGCATCTTCTCATCTTCGTCGGCATTCTTGCTGACTTGAACACTACTTGGACTCGTGACTTGTACCAGAACGACCTTGCCGCGCCATTGTGGGTATCTGTCGAGGAATAGTTCGAAAGCCTGTAACTTTTGAGCAACCCCACGAGCTGCGTCGAGTCGGTCACGGCCTATGATGATTCTGGTGTTGGGATACAATGCCCGGATGCCTTTCAGCTTTTCCTCGATGACGGGGTCACCAAAGGCATGACGTTGTGTGGCAGAAGCGTTGATTCCAATGGGGAATACGTCGACAGCAACATGAGCACCATATGCATCCACGCCAGCAGAGGACGACTCAAAGCCAAGTATTCGAGTGCAACACGACGAGAAATGACGCGAGTAACTGTATGATTGGAAGCCGATCATGTTCGCGCCCAACACTCCTTCGAGTATCTCCTTTCTCCGACTCAAGCAACGGTAGAATTCGCTGCTGGGAAACGGAACATGGAGGAAGAAACCGACATAGACATTGGGAAGTCGTTGGCGCAAAAGACCTGGGAGGAGAAGCAGATAGAAATCGTGCACAAGAATAATGTCGCCGGGTTTATATTGCTCCATAATACGATCAGCGAAGATCATATTCATTCGGTAATAGTCCGCCCAAGCATTGCGCGACTCGCGACCATCTTGAGGTTCATTCTGCTTGTAGTGAAAGATAGTGTAAAGCTCATGCTCGGCATATTTGCGCCAGCGCTCTTGTTCTTGGAGAATAGCAGTATCGTTCTTCTCATCCCACTCGTCAACGAGCCACACTGGGACAATTTTGCCTCCATGATCCCGCTCAAGCTGCTTCTCCAAGCGATCCCTGTCTTCACGACCAATGTGCATGGTGTTGTCTTGGGCATTATCTTGGGGTGGAGTTTTGCCATCCACTGGGACCGGGGCAGCAGCCTTATTGATAGGTTTCCCAGTAGCTCCATTTACTCCACCGGGTGCATCCATATCTCGAATTTCACCTGTCCAGCCGATCAAGGTGTGGTTCCAGGGCGATGCAGAAGAGGCCAGATAAGAAAAGGAATCGAAGAGAGCAGATGTTCCATGCCGGGGGCTCAGTTCCCAATCGTTTCCTTTGGAGTATCCGAGCTTGTATGGCACGGCGAAAGTAGCACTGATGATGCGCCCACTGAGGTTCAGATTTGGGTGTGCGTTTTGGGGCTCGACCTTTGCAGTTTTGTCTTCGGAGGTGGGCTCGCCCACTAAGCTGAGTCTCCTAAGCAGCTCCTCCCCGGTCTTCGCGCCAGCTGTGGCTTCAGTGGATGAATCGGCGTGCCCCTCATCTTTGGATGAAAAATAGGAGTTGGCGCTCCAGGAAGGACCTGGCGTAGCTTGATTGTGGTCGAACGGGAGTTTCGTGTTCTGGCTGTTTTCGCTGGATGGATCTACGTAGGCGGAATAACCCCCAAGGTGAGCGCCAGGTGTGACGGGTACGTGGGTGACAGCCGGCTGCAGAGCAGGGTGATCAGAGGAATCGACAGGCTCGGGCGAGTCGTGAGAAGGGCGGGTAGGAGGTGCCATGTTTCGACACTAGGCACGGAATGCCGTGTGCTGTCTAGGTACAGGTAAGTCACTGTCAGCCGAGGGAGGAGGGAAGAAGGTGGGGGTTGAAGAATAGGCTGGAGGGGCTGGCAAGGTGGAGGAGGACGGGCCAAAGATGGCCAGTGCATGTATTTGGAAAATGTTTGGAGGGGTGGTAGCGGTGAAAGGAAAGAGCTGGGTGCTGGGCAACTCACACTATCTCTTCTGGGGCAGGCGAGGAAAGAGAGGGCAGAGGGTGGAGAAGAGGGCGGGATCAAGCACGACCTTGACACATGGCAGGTACGTATCAAGGTATGGATGGCGAGGTGAGAGTCGAGGTAGAAAGGGAGTCGATGGAATCCACAAGTGAGAGCGAGCGAGAGAGAGGTAGGTAAGTAGTCAAGTCAGTAGTAGTAACTAAGAAGTACCTAGGTAGGGTTGGCGGGCAGTCCAAACAACACACACACACACACACACACACACACACACACACAACAGTGTTGCGACACAGAACCAAGGCCAGCGCGGAGCTTGGGCCCGGTTGAAAAACACACACAGCAAGGAATTGATTAGCTGGTGGAAAGGTGGAATTGCATGTTTTGGTTGCCTCAGCGTGACTCCACAATGATGCTCGTCTGTTGTTTGGTGGCATGTGCATGCAATCTTTTCAATGGCATATTGCATGGTTACGTCATGCTTTATGTATTTTCCCATCCGTCTGTCGCTCGCTTCCGCTTCCGCTTTCGAGGGGCAGCCAGGCACGCCCCTCACCTCACAGGCCTGACTGATAGCCGTTTGCTTATATAACCCTGTCGACGACAACCAGGCAGTGCGTGCGTGCGTGCAGTCATGGCTTGGCGCGTCCGTGGACCGTACTTGGGTTTCCTTACTGTTCGAATCAATTTTCTATACCTGACCAACACGCCGCATACGCGCGTGCTTGTCTAGGTCTTGCCTTTCATGAAGCTGCATCGCGTGTGCCGCTCCAATCATCGGTTTGCACCTGCCACCGCCCTGTGGAGGCATTTTGTGCTTCCCTACCGACCTCAATCACAATGTTTCTCGTCCGCCGCCGTCGCATCGGAGCCGAGAGCTGGTCAACCGCAAGATCACGCTGCAGCACCAAAGCTGAGAATAAGAAGAATCATAAGGCCCACAACCTACAGTGAAGCTGATACCAGACAAGTGAACCCTCTCCATCGAAAAGCTCTTGCCGCCTTTCAAGGAAACACGGACTATGAGGGTGAACCAATACCAGCCCATCCCGTACAAACATCCCAAGCACCCTGGGACATCGTGTACGAGAAACTTGATAATCGTCAAAAGTGAGATTCTACTGCTCGAGACAACCATCGCCCGTCCATTGACCACGTCTCAGGCTATCGAGCCAAATCTCCAAATTTTATCAATACTCGAGACCCGATACGCGAGAAGCGGTTGCCCGTAAAAATCTAATCGCACAGGTTCGCACGCATGCCCAAAGTTCGCTGCCAAACCACAGACTCGAAGTCTTTGGGTCCGAACGGACTGGTCTCGCGCTACCGCTTTCAGACATTGACCTTCGTCTCGTAACGCTTGAAGAACTGGAAGCCCCCCGTGGCTCCTTCCCTCCCGACCCGCTAGACAAACTCGAACTCGTTAAACTCCTTGAAAAACTCAAACAACGCGTATCGAATAACCCCGCATACTTCAAAACTGAAATACGATATGCTCGTTATCCTCTTCTCCACACCGTAGACAGAGAGACCGGTCTTCCAATACAGATCGTATGTTCGAATGACAGTTCAAGATCTAGGGCCATTATGCAACAGTATCTGAACGAGTTCCCATACCTTCGTGAAGTATTCGTCTTGGTGAAAACCAGTCTGGATGTTCGAGGTCTATCAGAGGTATATCTGGGTGGGCTGGGGTCTTACTCTGTCTTTATGATGATCGTGGCTGCCTTGAAGCACACGAAGCTGTTATCCACGCAACATGATGATGCGGCGAGCTCCCTATTGAGATTCTTGGACTTCTGGGCTAAGGTCGATCTAAAAGAAGGCATCGCCATCGAACCCCCTATACGATTCAATAAAAAGCAAGTGTTGGTTTTGACCAAAGAAAATAAAGCTTTAAAAAAAGTCAGTCACATCATGTCTCCTCGTCGTCAGTCTGCTAACAGCCGTCTTAGACTGACAGAAAAAAGCGACAGCCGCCCTGGATGCTCTGTCTACAAGACCCTGCCGATGAAACCAACGATCTGGGGGGTAAGGCATATTGTATTAAGCATGTCATTGAATCCATCAAACAAATGAATGCCCAGATCAACGATCTATTGGCAGGCGAACCGGTGGCCAACCTCCTGGGTTGCATGGTTGGGGACTTCCAAACAAGGCAGTATATGATGAGAAAAAGGCTCAGGGCTCGAGGGGCTAAGATAATGCAAGACTCTGAGGGCTTATTGGCAGCCGCAAAAAAGAGTCGACGGCCACGAGAAGAGCCTATATCGTCTATAGTCGATGATGCGGTCTCGCCGGTCTCTGAAACACAGGGCACTGATTAATATCGAAGGCAACAGAAAAGACGTGGCTCACGAATATTGCGTGGCTCGAACAGCCATTCAGAAGTCACCGCAAATTGCATAATGGATTGCTCTGTCACATATAGATGTATGAATACCTGTACTTATGTATACCGCCCTTAACCTTCAAATGTTATCATCAAAGCCTGTGTCAAGTGATTTTCAGCAGCAGCATCGCATCCACTTGGGTAAAGGTGCACACAAATGTCGGTTAGTCGCTATGGTGGGGCAACATTCACATCAAAGCACAATAGGGAGGCTGAAGGAGAAGACGTCTAAATGTCATTCGGGACCCGAATCACGCCCATGAAACAATATAACCCTGACATGCATAGTGAACCGGAGACTAGGAAAGAATGGGCCAGATGATGCACTGTCCAGAAGCGGCATGCCCCGAGACACTGCGAACTTCCACCATTGATGACAGCCAACATTCAGACCCTTCAGCTGCCGACGCCGAAACAAAACAATATGTCCTTTCCGTTCCATTCTGCTTCATTCTGTCCATCATGCAGTATACCGTGGTATCCTCACGCTGGCACGCTATCAACCACTTGTAATCGAACTGGTGCAAATATTCACGCCTAGATGGCATACTTGCGAGTCCATTCCCTTGCGGTCGACTCGTATCGAGAACGGTCGGTCTTGTAGACATGTGCGATTTCGGGGACAAGCGGGTCGTCAGGGTTGGGATCCGTGAGCATAGAGCAAATGCTCAGTAGCACTGTGATTATTAGATCGATAAGACGCGGTGTGGCTGATCAGAGCAGGTCTTACCCTTGGAGATGGTCAAGGCAGGGCTCCATTGGTCTCGTAGGATGTCCAAGCAGATACTGCCGTTGGAGTTGATGTTGGGGTGGTAGATGCGAGTAGTGAAGTTCACCTTTGGCGGCTTGAAAGGGTAGTCGGTGGGAAAGTGGATCGCGAGGAAGAACACGCCGCCCGAGTATGGTGAGTCGCTCTGGTTCGTTCGTTAGTCCATGTACTGTATCATCGCAGGCCACGAGTGGCGTAGTCGTCGTGGGTGAAGTAATAGGCGGGAATACGTACGGGACCCATGATGGTCGCTTGCCAGTGGAACTAGAGAAGCAGGTAAGCGTACTGGATAAAAGTTGAAGTTTTTCGTTCATTGAGGGCGATTAAAATGTCGATGGCGACTCAGCCGCGGGGTGTTGCGCACAGAGGGAGGGGGGACGTACCAAATCATCTCCGATGGGGCCAGCAGAGCAGGATGAGGGAGGATCACTGAGAACAAAAAGTCAGTCGTCAGATAAGTAGACAAAGTAAATGTAGAAGCCAACGATGCTGTCGCAGCCCCCACAAGGGGGGTTGTGACATGCGAGCAAACTGGAGCGATGATAGTGGATGCCGCCGAGCGAGCGAGCAGGCATGACGTACCGGCCGAGATCAGTGAGTTCCTTGTTGATACGCTTGAGAGCCATGGCGCAGTGTGGTTGTTTGTGTGTATTTGTGTATGGGGCGGGTCGAGTAGGCGTGGTGTGCTGTGAGCGGGTTGTAGACAAAGTAGAGTTGAGTTGAAGAGTCGGGTGGCAGAGTGAGGGCGGGCTGTGACAGTAAGAGACTTAGCGCCTGCTGGCTCCAAGCCCCGATAGGTGCAGTGCGTTCGAGCAAACAACACTTTGCCCCAGCGGAGCGTTCCGAGCGAACGTACCTGTATAAATAATCTGCTTAGGTAGGTATGTTGATTCCACTTGGCACAATGGTGTCGCAGACTGCCAGAGTGTCTCTTTGTACGTGTCGAAGAAGCAAATAGCACTGTCAAGGTGCAGTGATTATGTACGAAAGAGGGGTCAGGCCCTGGGTGGCGGTCGCCTTGTTTGCTTGGACACATCAACTCTCACTCTCACTCTCATATGTAGGTATGTACCGGATGCATCACACACATGGATTGTTCGTATATAGTTATCCATGTAAATCCAGGCAGCCATGTGTCTATGCGATGGTCCTTTGATCATTGTCGTGATCGCTACGGTGCCCATGTCTGTTATTCACAGCATCACCCCTCAGCATCATGTGAGTGCCTGCTGGTGAAGCATGACGGGCATCGCTGCACAGTCATGAATGTATCAGCCTCGTCGCCTCGTTTACACGCCGGTGAGACTGGCCATGTTTCCAAAACATACTCACCAACCCGCACTTACGCCCCGTTTCTTCTTTTTGCCACTCGTGCACCTCTCCCTATGTAAATACTAATATAGTAAACTCCTGCCTACTCGTGTACACGGTTGGTGCGCGCAATCGCAAACTGGTGACACTTCGTTAACCAACACTTGTATCGCAGCAGAACATGCCGGCCGCCTTAGCAGAAAGCTTGGATGCCTGTAATCGCTCTACCTAGAATCAAGGCTGCTTTAATCAGTGACTGTTTTGCACACAAGACATATCAGAATAACTTGCCGTGTATGTCGCTTTGCCCCTCGTACGTTTGGGTTACAAACAAATTTGCCACGTGCCTTCCGATGCCGTACTCATCCGATACCGCATTTCCGCCGAAAATTTCTTGGAGCCTTGAAAATACTAGTCAGCAAGAGGATCATATCTGGGGAAGGGAGTCCAAGATAGACGCACACTCGCGCATTAACCAAAGCCCGATCGCAGTTCTGCCTCTTGATCAAAGATATCATTTCAGGGGCAGCTTTGCCTTCATCCTTCAATCTACCAACTTGATACGCAGCCAGAATTCCATACGCCGCATCAGTGGTCGCATCAGCCAGTTTCTTCTGCACAAGCTGATACTTCGCAATCGGGTTGCCCTTGAACTGTTTCCTCTCCATCGCATACGTCCGTGCTCTCGAGATACAATCCTCCAAAGCACCCATTGTTCCCCAGGCAATTCCATATCGCGCCGAATTCAAGCAACTGAAAGGCCCCCGTAAACCTTCTACTTCAGGAAACATGTTTTCTTCCGGGACTGGGCATGCATCGAGATGAACCATCCCCGTGATGGAAGCTCGCAGCCCGTTCTTGTTCTTGATGGCGGGTGTTTCCAAGGTACCTGGTGGACACTGGTCACGCTCTACTACAAAGCCACGAATCTTGCCTGTGCTTTCCAGTTTGGCCCAAATGAGTAGTACGTCGGCGATGGGCGAGTTGGTAATCCAAGTTTTGGAGCCTGAAAGCACGTAGTAGCCTTTCTTGGAAGGATGTGGTTTGGCGGTCGTCTCCATGGACCCTGGATCCGATCCGTGGTTTGGTTCCGTGAGCCCAAAACCACCCAGCAGCTTTCCCTTGGCCATTTCCGGTAGAAGCCTGTCTTTCAGTTCTTCTGTTCCGAACTCTGCTATGCCACCCATGGCGAGCGCGCTCTGAACCGAATACCCAGATCGGTATCCTGAATCTACTCTTTCGACGGCTCTGGTGATCAGTCCAGAAGCTACACTGCTCACACCTGCGCATCCATATCCTTGTATGGTTGCGCCCAGAAAACCTAGCTCCCCCATCTCTTCCAGGATTTTTCGATCATAGTCCTCGTTGCGGTAGGCATCTAGAAGAAACTTGAGTCAATCTTGACCGGTTGATGAGTCAGCACTTCACCTACCAAGCACTCGTGGGAGCATGCGCTCTTGACAATAGGACTCTGCAGTCTCGGCAATGGCAAGCTCTTCTTCGGTATACAGGTTACTAACACCTAGAGGGTCTTTCCAATCAAAGGACGTAGGTGCATGAAGGTGGCGAATGCACTGGACCGTGGCAGGGCGATTTATACGTCGCAATTGCCTGGCAGACTCCCGGCGGATCGGTTTACAGACGAACATGGCGATTGATCAATGAGACTCCAGAATAACAATGAGCGGAAAGGCAGATGGCAGCATCGGCGCTGGACAGATAATCAAGTGAAGGATGCAATTGGGGTAATGTAGTAATGAATACCCCACCAGATGTTGGGTAGTTCGTTGCCGTAGCCTAGGACCGCGGCAATTAGAGACTCGCGGTACCGAATATCGCCGATGAACCATCGTCATCACAGTCTCAATCATGTAGAGCATTGTATGACTTGTTCGAACCCAGACGGAAAGATACTAGGCACTCATGACTGCAATCAACTAATTGACACCCCGCGTGAGACGCGAAGACGCGATTAATGAGCTCGCTTTGCGTTCACGTGTTCGCGCTAGCTGGAGACTTCAAATGTTCGCGTCGCACGTACCCTTGTAGCACGGTACACGGTATCTTCGCAGCCACCGTCATACACACAATCTGCTCTCCCCCGCCGAATCCACACAATTCACCTACGCGCGAGGTGATACAGACTCAATATGGGTATCAAGCATCTATTCCAGCTCATCGAAGAGCACGCCCCGGATGCCATCAAAACAGGCGAGATCAAGAACCAATTCGGTCGCAAGGTGGCTATTGATGCGTAAGGCACGGGTTGATTTTGGAGTCGGCGAACTTGACAAGCTGACATTCGCACAGATCTATGAGTATCTACAGCTTTCTTATCGCCGTACGCTCGGATGGCCAACAGCTCATGAACGAGTCTGGCGAAACCACCTCCCACTTGATGGGCCTCTTCTACCGCACGCTCCGCATGGTTGACAATGGCATAAAACCACTATATGTCTTCGATGGTGCCCCACCCAAGCTCAAGTCGGGCGAGCTGGCCAAGCGCTTTCAACGTAAGAGCGAGGCACACGCTGCAGCTGAAGAGGCAAAGGAAACTGGTACTGCCGAGGACGTGGAGAAGTTCTCTAGGCGGACGGTCAGGGTCACGAGGGAACACAATGAGGAGTGCAGGAGGCTTTTGAAGCTCATGGGCATTCCGTTCATAGTGGCACCGACAGAAGCAGAAGCTCAATGTGCGGTGCTGGCAAGGGCTGGAAAAGTGTATGCTGCTGCCAGCGAGGATATGGACACACTCACATTCGACACACCAATCTTGTTGAGACATTTGACCTTCAGCGAACAGCGAAAGGAGCCCATTCAGGAGGTTCATCTGGACAAGGTGCTCGAGGGTTTGGCCATGGAACGTGAACAGGTATTGATTCTCCGTATGCACTTCAAGTAACGAAACGTCTAACTCACCGCGCAGTTCATTGATCTGTGCATTCTTCTCGGTTGCGATTACGTCGACCCTATCAAAGGCGTTGGCCCATCCACCGCCTTGAAGCTCATCCGTGAATACGGTACACTCGAAAAAGTTGTGGAGCACATGAAGACTTCTTCCAAGTACACCATTCCCGACGACTGGCCTTTCGCAGATGCCCGCCTCCTGTTTCTTGAGCCTGATGTTCGCGCAGCCGACCACCCTGATTGCAACTTCAAATGGGAGGCACCAGACGAGGAAGCCCTCGTCAAGTTCCTGGTCGAAGAGAAGCACTTCAGCGAGGACCGTGTTCGCAGCGGTGCTGCCAAGCTGAAGAAGAACATGAAGACGGCACAACAATCGAGGCTGGAAGGGTTCTTCAAGCCAATCGAGAAGACACCAGAAGAGAAGGCAAACCTCAAACGCAAAGCGGAGGAAAAGGCGCAAGAGAAGAAGAAGAAACAGAAACAGGATGCCAAAGACAAAAAGGCGGCCAAGGGAAAAGCGAGAGGTGGTGCCTGAACAAATGAATTTACGGACACAACGATTTTTAGTCACCCGACACAACATCCGTCCTCATTGCCAGAGGTGGAAAGACGCTTTTACAGCGCCTTCATTGCAGTCTCGCCGGCGTTTTATCAAAGTTATGATTATACCCAAGCAAGCCATGGCTCTTGTAGGCGTTATGGGATTATAGTATTGCTGTGTTGGTGCAGCATGACTTGGTGTTCCCGCCACTTGTGCCCATGCGGTGAGTCTTCATCATGGCGCGTACATGTTCTATCTACAAAGGTATCCGGTATCGAGACCAGCCAGTGTTCATGGTCTAGCATGCCCCTGCTACAACACTTATGTGCTCTTATGCTATGGAGGGAATGATTTGTCCACCCACCCCTTACTCGCTACCTACAGGTCATCATAACCCACGGTTGGGAGAAGCACAAATGTTCGTATATGCGTGTTTAGAATCAGATAGCATCAAAATCATAATCATGAATCTGATTCAAACATACCTGAACTGTCAGCCCAGTGATGGTAATAATTAGTGTACTCGTTGGGGACATTCGCGTTTGGAACGTCCAAGAGATTGGCACAATAATGTTAGACTTAACAGCTTGATCTAGCTTCTCTCTCTCTATCTGTACAACACTACAATGCAGCTACCACCTGTGCTACCTCGTATTGATAGATTATTCCCTACACAATCTCTCTCGACCTTACGGAGGTAATGCACAGCAGACGCAGCAAATGGGGGTCATGCTGCACTCCTATCCTGTTGCATGCATACATATCAGCCACTCAACATTATTCAGAATTCACAAAATCAGAAACCAATGGTATATACATTAGTCTATTTGATTTCTCCCCTCCCCCTTTTTTTCAGGAGTTATTGTGTACATATGCATGCAGGTACATATGGTAATTGGGCGTTGAGGATGGATTTCGTTGAGAGTGAGAAAATGCAGACCCGCGTTAGTCTATCTAATATTATTATTTTATCCTCATGTACATGTGCATGCATGTACATATGGTAATTGGGAATCGAGACTGGGTTTCGTTGAGAGAGCGTGAAATTGCAGACCCACGTTAGTCTATCTGCTATATATGATTTCTTAATTTTCGCATGTACATGTATGCATGTGCAGATGGAGAATCGGTATTCGAGATGGACTTATGCTGGGAAATATGGATGCAAGCACACGTTAGTCTGTTCAACGTTCATTTTTATTATTTCTCTTCCTTCGTTAAGTCTCTCTGCTCTCTTCTCCGACTACACATTTTTGCTGGTTATAGAGAAATGGAGAGTAGCATGATCACAGGAGACACAAGAGAAAGTTGGAAGGAATGGTGTGTTCAGCATACAAGCCTTGATGAAAAGCTAAAGTGTTCAAATGAAGGGAAAGAGGTTTCTTTACATCACACAAATACAAAAGGGAAATCGATGCACAAGGGGACCAATACAGTTGCTCGCATTTCTTCACAAGACCTAGAGCTCTACACAGTTGAATTTTCTCACACTCTTCGATTTGTTGGCGCAGCTTTCATGCACCGTTTTTTGCCCTAGAGGATAAAACAACTTCGCACTCCGCACTCCGCACTTCGATATCTCACGCTCATGTGTCCTAAAATAAGAACGCCCGACGGCGGCTTAGATGATGCCTCTCCCATCTCCCCCGACAAACCACTCCTTGTCATACCCATCCCGCGGGGAGACGGGAAAGCAGAGAAAGACCGAGCTGAGGAGGTTTAGGTTAAGATGGTGGTTTTGAAGCGGGTGTTGCTGCAAGCCCCTAAAAAAGAACACCCCAGCAGCTGTAGTCTTGCATATGTCAACCAAGCACGGGCAAACAACGGCGAGCATGACAAAACATGTGGTCGCTACTCCTTGAGAATCTCGATCCTGCCCTCTCATCTTGCAGGCGCAGGTACATACTATACGTTGTTGGCATGCGTGGTCATTTCCCACCTCTTTCCCAAGTTCTCGATGACCGCACGACACTCGCGTGCGTTTCCGGTCGATAGGGTTGGATACCCGACCATGGCGTGGACTGACACAGAAGTATGCGTTGGGTTGACTGGCTGATTGGCCGTTATCTGGTTCAGAGGGAGGCAGGGCATCATCTGACAATGGCTCCATTACTTCTTGACAGATGCACATGCACAGCGACGCCGAGATCTAGAAAAAGGAGGACACATGTGCGGGGTACTGACGCGCCGCAAAACATATTTCAGTGACCACAGTAATTTGACGGATGACTCGGTGTCATGAAATAGGACTTATTCCGCTGCGCAAATTCGAAATAATCTCCAATCATTGTCTGTTTCTTGGGGTGGAAACGAACAGTGGAGTCTCCAATGGCGAGGGTAATCCCATGAGAATTGATCCCGAAGTGCGGATCCCTTACAGAGACCACCACACAGGCTCAATTCCACAAGCTTGTGCAGATCATGACGATATCCAGGATACTGATGGTCGGCCTTGTGGCTTGATGTCGAGTGACTCGTTCGGGGTGTTTTCGTCGTGCCGCGGGAGCGGGGGTGAGGGTTCCGGATACCGTCGAACGAACTACTAGCTTTCCGGAGTAGCACCCCTTGATTAAAATACAAACAGCTGATATAGCATTTGTTCGGCCATATACACAAACTTTGCACCGGCGGGGTTGTGGCATTCTTGTCATTTCTTCGCATGCAGCCAGTCATGATGATTGCAGTACTAGATCCGGAACACCTTCTCTGGCCAGTCTGTTGGTTTGGATAGTATGAATATCTATGTGTGTGAATAACAGGGCGACTTATGATGAACTGGGCTTCTTGACCATCTTCTGAAATATGCTGGTTTGTGCTTTGGAGGCAAGATGGATAGATGAGAAGTGTGCTTCTGGAAGACGCCGATTTGCCTCTACGGAAGAAAGGACCCAATCCGCGGTCACGAATCGTACGCCCTTTTTCTTTGTCTTTGCAATTTCTTTCTGCATTTTACTTGCAGAGAGACCACCGCCACGTGCTGCACCTAAGATAACATGCGTTACGGTGCGTCGCGACAACGATATGGAGTGGGTGCCACCATGGGACGATACAATGTGTTTCAACCGGTGATCAGAAATTAAGGGTGCAGTGGATCCATTGAGATAGAAGCAAAGCCCGTCAAATATGAGTTTTGGTTGTTCAGAGATTTTGCATGAAAGGTCCGAATTGAATTCTACGATTGTTAGAATTTGACGGCTTGCTTCAATTAGTGAATTGGAGGCAATGTACCTTGATCTGCCTTTGCGGCCGATGTATTTTCCAGCGGGTGATGCTGAGGGATTGGCACATTGCTCGTTTTGTCATTCTTTCCGTCTCCAACCCATAACTCTGCAAGACTCCTCTGCGTGCTATCTCTCAAACCTTTTGCGCCCTTTTGCCAACCACCATTATCCTTCCTTCCATCTTTGCCGAAATGCTCACTGCCGGCACCAACGGTATCCCTCACTCTTTTCCCTCCCGTCAATCCGCCCTTGTATTGCTCTCCAAGTTTTAGGTTACGGCTCTGGCGCCACGACGTAGACCCTGAAAGACGGTTTTCTGCTCGCTGATGACCAGTAGACGAGGAGTTCCAAGCATCAAAGAATCGCGGAGTGGGAGCGAGTAATGCGGGCTGTTTCGTCGTGTCGCTATGATGCGAGATCACGGTCACAGTGGAGACGGGCATGGTGCTTGAAGACGACGCAGCGCGTTCATCGTGAGCAGATGTGCACGTGTTCGGCGCAGAGTCGATAACGGGGTTTTCCTTTCTTTGCAGGTTGCGAAAGGGTTCGGCGGCATTGTTCGCCACTGTAGGCTGGTGCACATCACGCCTGGAACGAGCAATCGGACGAGTGACCGCTGTGCCGCTCCTGCGAGCACCTGCAGCCCATGCTACGCGTTGGGCGGAAGGTGGTGGGTGTTGCAGATCGTCGTCGAGGGTCTTGTGCGCCGACATGGGGTAGACGCGTGCGTGTTGTGTACCTTGCAGAAAAGGCCGAGGTTGTTTGCTTTTCCCTGACAGCGGTGTGATGTACGTACCTAGTTAGTGGGATGTGACGAGACGACTGCAACAGGTTGCGTGCACTCGCCCAGTTTCGGCCTACGACTCGTGTAGCAGGCAAGAAATGATTGTTTGACTCTTGTTTTTGGTGACGGAGTATGGCCAGCCTGGCCTTGTTCAAAGAAAACCACGATAGCGCCCATGGCAACCGGTTCCCCAGGAGACAAGAAGAAAAAAAGTCGGGCGCCTTTCACTGACATTAACGTCGTTCTCCACCGTAGCATCACCCAACAATTGTGTTGGCATGAACACCGGAATACATAGTTTAGCGAAAGGTTATTTCATGAGCGCTGTACGCCCTAGTCGTACATTACTATATCTACATACTCGAAAGGCAATTCCGATTGTAATGTAGTGAATTGCCTCGTCGTAAAAACAGGACTGATTGTCATGCCCATAATAGCTGCGTGGTAACGTTTAATCATCGGAATGTATCCCACAATAGCCACCAAACAAAGCAAGCAAGATAAGTGGGAAATAGAACGGAAAATACAAACTCCAGGTGGTATGCAAGCATATTGGAAAGAGAAAAGCGCCACCAGAATGCCGAGAGCCTATGGTATCGAGGTAACACAAGGAAATATAAAAAAGAGGAAAGGTGGACCGAGGGAGAAGGAAGTCTCATGCACACAGAGGGAAGTCTCTCAGGTCTTGAGAATGTACCCGCCTCACAACCCGCAGCCTAAAGAAAAAAATATGGGCATTAGAAGGTGAAAAGAAAAGAGGAACCGCGAAGAAAAGATGAAGGATACAAGCCATGGACCAGAGGGCAAAGCGGATGACTCCCCGTAGTGACGTGAAATATGCGTCGTCATCCCTCCGTCCTGTGGTATTTCGTCCGTTCGACTCCAATGCATGACGTTGACGGGCAATTCATGTGGTACAGCACCTTTCCTTGCCGGCACCGCCACCCAGCACAACAGGAATATTCATCTAGTCCTTGTGCGCGATGGCCTTCCTAGATGCGCGCGATCCAAGCATCGTATTTTTCCCTTATTTCGTAGCAGAGGCTTCATAATTGATGCGAGCGCGCTTCATCTCTTCGACATGAAAAGGCGCTGCCGCGCTGTTTTTCCTGCTGCCCGCCAACGAACCAGAGCCAGAGTTCAGCCCTCTTAGGCTCACCATTGACCGCACTTTTTTCACCATGGTGCTCTTCTGGTCTGTCTCCGTGGCAAGCTGTGGATCCATCTTGACCATCTCTTCTACATCTGGTCGAGACTTGACTCGCATACGTTTGAACTCCTTGGTGAGTCTCAGAAGGGCACTCGAGCTCTTGTTTGTGCTCTGAGAGAGGGCGGGAGAAACCGGGCGAAGCGACTCGACGTTGGATTCGGTGCTTGGGCGTATTTCTGAGCCAAAGCTGACACCGGAATCGGTCTTCTTATTCTTTCTGGGTTCCTCAACACACTGGAAGTCTTCGGTGCCTAAAGTTGCCATACAATCGTCGATGATGTTCTTTGCGACTCGAAGATACTTGTCTATCTCTTTCTGTACCACATCCCATTTTATCTTCTCGCCCTCAGTGAGGGTGTCGAGGACATCAGGGCCATTCTTCTGGACCTGTTGAATGTAATGGAAAAAACTGTCACGCTCTTGGCTCAAAGTCTTGTGGTTGAAGAGAGGCGAAGCAGATTTGCTGTCGCTGTTATTGGACTGTGGTGGCAACAAAGTGTTGAGCATTCCCATGCAATTCCTTCGGTTGAAGGGCTGCAACGACATTTCATTTATCATGACCTACATGTGAGATTAGCATGTGATCAACGAAGCGTGTGAACACGTTGTGCCTACCCATCGACGAATGCCAAGCCATATCCTAGCATAATAGACTTCCGCCTTGGTATTCTTGCCTTGCAGATTGTTTGCCCACAATGCTATACCCGGGTAGCGCTCGGCCATTGATTCCACGTCGGATTTGAAAGAATCTGGGTGAATATGGACACGGGCATATGCGGCTACCATTTCTTTTTTTCTCCGGTTTTCCAAGTCCCGAAGATAGTCGAGAGCGGTCAATGCTTGGGGGAAATCCACCAGGGAAAGGCTTGGATGGAAGACGCGGCTCACGAAGCTGACAATGAAAGATGGGGGGAGAGAGCTAGGCTGGTGTGGCATGGAGTTGATGTGGCCCATGAGCTGCGAAGCGAAGTTGACTGTAGCGGATTCGGCCTCATTCCATGGATTTTGACCAGAGATGGGTGAGCCGGAGGGAGTAGTAGTACGAGAACGATCTTTTGGGCGCGGTTGAGCGCGTGGAGCACAATTGAGAGTATACATGGTCCGGAGTGGAATTTCGTAGCTGCCGGGATACTGCATCAGGTGCTCCAGGATGATGTTGTAGGAGCCGGTTGTCGCATTTGTTTCCTCTGATGCGTTCCGGGAGTGCTTTGACGACATGGTATCGTGCATTTTGAGGGTGGTGACGGATGATGGGTGCAGATGATGAGGTGGGGTAGCCTTGAGACGTTTGGTGTGTACGTTGTAACGGAGGCGAGGTTGGTAGAAGAGGACGACAACGACGACAACAGTAACAACAAAACGAGAGAAGGCAGGACTGAGAGAAGCAGAAGAAAAACAACGACTGGAGTCGGGAATGAGTGACCGACGATGGGGGAAGATTAAAAAAAACCCAAAGTCCAGGAGGGGTCCACCCAGGAGGAGGATGGGATTATGCCGGGGCGAGTGTCTGTGGGATTACAAAGTCCCTATCACAATTGTATCCCAGGTGACGGATTGGTGTTGTGGATGAGATGCAGGCGAAAAGGAACGGCCATGCAATGCCCCGGTCTCGTCACTGTTTTGGGGTTTGAGCGAGAGGCTAGGCGCTTTCCACAAGGTGACGGGGCGCCGAATGCGATGAGCAGGGGTGGTGGTGGGTAAGCAGGCAGGGCAGGCAGGCAGGTAGCAACGGGGATACTCGATGGCGAGCAGGGCAAAAGAGAGACGAGTACACGGCGAGGAAAAAGAGAGAGAGAGAGAGAGACAGAGGAATGGATGGCTGCAGGCAATGGGTGCGAATGCAGGCAGGCAGACATGTAGGAAATGGTAGTGGTGGTGGTGGTGGTGGTAGAGGAGGAGGTGGTGGGTTGGTATGGCTGCAGTTGTTGTGGCTATCAATGATTTTCTGCTTCTGGGCCAGGCGACGCGCCAACTAGGCGGCCAGGCCAAACAGGAAAGGGCAGGATCAAGCACGGCAGGTACGCTAGGGCTCGCTAGGAGGAAAAACATGCAGCCCCGAACGCCGCGCCAGGCAGGGGGGGGGGGGCAGGAGAGAGGGACTCGTGCTCGTCCGTGGCCAGCACGGAAACCACTACCGATCTATCTCTTCACTGACTAAGGACATGGCTAGGAAGTACGTAGCCACCACTGTGCGTGCGTGCGTGCTGTCGACGTCGACTACTTGGGTGAGCAAAAGCTGGGCCGGGCCCGGAGATGGGAGGGGGGATGGGGGGAGACATCAGACTACAGGTATTGTGTGCATGCATGCATGCGTATCCGACCATGTGCTCTTCGTATACAGTACATGTACATATGCATGTACGTGACGATGCCATGGCGCATGGTTCGCCCATCCATCCATCCATCCATCCATCCGTCAATCACTCGTCGCATACGGCTCTGCGAGGGAAGGCAAACCGTGCCCTCAATGAGCTTAGTTGGACTAAGGATAGCCAAGTACCTATCTATGTAGAATAGAATGGCAGCTAGGAAGCCGTTGGTTTCGGCCTATGGGGGGGCGGGCTTTCCTACAGCAGCCACCCGCCGATCCCAACATCCTCACCTCGTCTCCTACACCTCGGCCATGACGGCGGACCACCGCCGACGACCTGTCCTGTCCTTGTCAAAGTCTTGCCGGAGCCTCGCCACCACATTGGTAAAACCCTCCGCCGCTCTGTCCTGTACTGCGCGCTGCGCTGCATCTTCTGTCAAGCTAGCCGAGCAGACGCAACCGCAAACTCTCCTCATCCTTTGCCCCCCGCCATTGCATTCTTGCCCATTCAAGCAGAGCAAGGGTGCAGCCAAGTGACTGCTTCCTCGACCTGCCTTGTTCTGTTAGCCACTCCTCCTCTGTGTGTGACGCCTCTCGCACCGCAGCTTGATGCAATCCCACCACTTGTGTGTTGCGTAGGTACCTAGGTACATACATACCTGTATGTATGTACTCGCCTACCCGTCACGAGACTCGACAAGGCGCTGCGTGTCTCAACCACCGTCCATGACCAGCTGTATACCTGCTGGTGCATGCCTGTTTATCGATCAATAGCATCCCCCGCTAACCTTCCTGTGCATACGCCGTAAGATTAGACAATAGACGCGACAAGCACACGGTCCACCTTTTCGTCTCAACTCTATTATTCTCCGACTACCCGTCTGCCCTGTGTAATTCATTCACTGTTTTGCCATCTCAGCGCTCTGCTTCATCACCATCTCCAGTCCACAGTCATCAGGGTTCAGCGCGGTACATCCGATGAAACGGACCCGACGATAATCGAAAAGGGGTCTCTACCGCCGGACTCTGCCAATTGTTTTCAGCTTTCCATGGTCCAAATATGCTCGGATCCAGCGGTTACGTCCGCATAGCCACAGCAATTGGTTAAGTTTGGCAGCACCAATGGAATTGGTGCCACCAAACTTCCGACCATGCCCCCGTCAAACTCTGCCCTGAGAAGGCGACTCTGGCTGAGCTGAGTGCGTATCCTTTTTTTTTCTTTCCGGTTTGCTCCCCTATCACGTGCTTATCCTGGCAGTGTCCCAAGCTGGCAAACATTCATCGTGATGAGTCTCTGTTCAAGATAAACTTTATCATTTCATCCCCAAGCACACCGTACAACATACAAGCCTTCATCTAAACCTAGTCGTAGGTCTTGTTCTGTTATATCATCGGCTTTCCGAGGCACTGCCACGTACGCACGCATCGGGCCGCAGCACGACACAGGGATAGTCACATTGCAGCGACACATTTTGACATGTAGAAGGAACATATCCGCAGGGAAATAATCAGACGAATCGCTTCGTTTAAACAAGAAACTGGAATGTGCAGAATGCATGATGTGTACGTACACGTACAGGGAAAACGAATCAATGATGATGACTCATCAGCATGAATGGCTTTAACACGGACCGACCGCGGTACCTTCCAAGCCAAACAACTTCATGACCTCATCCCAGCTGCCCCTAGTCTCCAACAATGGACTCTGATGCTCTACAACTTGAATTTGTGATCGTCGATGTGTGAGTTGTTCCCGTGTATAAACTATAGCAGGTCGCAAGGAGCCACTGCAGTGATCCGATAGGGGTTCCGCTAACCGTATCTTTGGGGTTAGGTTTACCCATACCCGCTACGAAGGTAATCCGTTGGCTATCGTACGTATCCCCAGATCGTGTAGCTTGAGCCAAGACCAGAAACAGAAGATAGCTAGTGAATTCAATCTCTCAGAAACAACCTTTCTGCATGAACAAGAACCGGGGCGGTTGGAATGGAAAGTAGACATATGTAAGTGTTGGTCGGATGCGATGGCCTCCTGAAGGTATACTGTATTAATCGGTCCTGTGCGAGATTCAGTTACGATAGATGAAGAACTTCCTTTCGCAGGCCATCCCACTATTGGAACTGCCTGCCATTTATTCGCTACCGGATTACGCGGAGAGTCAGGTTTAGTAGAAGCCCTCTTCCAACTCAAGGCCGGGCCGGTGCGATTGCAATACGATGCGGCAGGTCGGAATGCAAGCGCAACAATCCCTCACAATGTGTAAGTCATTTGAGATAGACAGTGCCTTGGAGGTCGCGGCTGACCCCAAGGTCTAGCCATATACACAGTCGAGAGTTTGCTCGAGATGAGTTGTTGAAGGTGCAGCCCCATTTGACAGATCTACACATTGCTGGCCAGATCAAACTTGGGGACAGCTTTCCGGTCGTATCAATCGTCAAAGGCATGACTTTCGTATTGGTCGAACTCGAAGACTTAGATGCACTTGGGCGTGTAGCGGTGAGCGGCTCGGGCCCGTCGAAGGCTGATCTTGATCGAGGATGGAATGAGTCCTTCTTGGGTATGTACTTCTGGGTTAGAACTGGCACAAACGCGGACGGTGCAACGACGTTGAGAACCAGAATGATTGAACGCACAATCGAAGATCCTGCCACAGGCAGTGCAGCGAGCGACCTAGCAGCTTATCTCTCTTTGGCCGATGAAAAACAGGAGACAGTCTTCGATTATGCCATAACTCAAGGTGTTGAGATGGGACGTCGTAGCGACATCAATCTTCGAGTTGTCGTAGGAGGTTCCGGTGTTGAAAGGATCATCTTGGGAGGAAGTGCTATTCCGGTAATGCAAGGTCGACTCACTGTGGAAGACTGAATATCGTGTGGAGGATTGACAGTGATAATATGCTATGATTGAACGAAGCAAAGGCCTGACTAGGGACGCCACGAGATTTGTCAGAATTGTACGAATGGATTGCGTCTCGATCAAGCTATGACACAGCATTCAGGAGACGCGATTCTCCAGATGCAAGATTCAAGGCCTACATACGGTAACACGGGAATGCAGCAAAATGACCCCTTCTCCACTCCAAGGGATTGATGGATCCACTGAAACCAATGAATCCTTGCTTCTTGGAAAAACGTCCAAGACGTCGCAGACGTCAACAGATCGGACAAACACAAGGTGCCTGGGGCAAACATGCCACACAAACTGTCTTGTTCGATGATTTGAGCCTATCATGATGACGACGATGACCAGCAATAGAGAGATGAGGCTTGGAAATGGGTCGACTCTGAATCGCAAATTCGCTGTAGAGCAGATCCGCCGGAAACACTGATCCGAACAATGTATCCCATAACACTGCACATCAATGGATCCACAGTCTGCAGATCCCTCCCCATTGCATATTTGTCCAAGGGAAGTCCAAGAATCCAGGAAGCCGCGTGGAAGTCTGCACCGTTACGATAACGGATTTCACATTGATAATTGCAACCATTCTGATGGAGAGGACCGATTACCTCTACTCTACCACTGCTCTGGAGGGACGATTCTCGGCGAGCTGCAAAAGAAACAACGCCGCACCTGTCGAGTATGCCAAGGAACGCTCGCACGGGACTTGGTAGCCCGTACAGTACGCAAAGGTAGTGAACGGCACGACGAATGGTTCACGGATGCTGATCTGGCAGATGCATGATGAACGTTGCGCACATCATACGAAAGCGCACTGGCGATGATGAGAAATCGCTCCTGTCGCGGGCTGCTACAGAGCCGCACACTGACCACTGCACAACAGAGCACAGTGACAGAGACTCGGTTGTCAGCTACGGACATGGCTGTTGACTTGGGAACTTGGGGGGCTGGAGGAGTCGGTGGGGCTACGGGGAGCGAAGCTTTGACAAGACTGTCAGCTGTCTCGAGGAAAACCGCGATTGGGCGAAATATAGACGGCCCTCCAAGCGTTCGGTTGCGGCAAGCCGCATGGCAGAGGCATCAGAGATGTTTGAAAATCAAGTGAAGGCCAGGAGCTGCGGCGGGTGTAAGATTGGGGGGATGACAGCGCTAGCCGCTTCGGGATATCCGCTAGCCGCTCCCGGCACGACATGGGACATTTCTCAAACCCTTCGAGTGCCAGACGAGAGCTCCTCTCTCAAACGTCGCCCGTTTCCAGCAGCTTCCTCAATGCCTTGGGATTCTGGGTACCGGCAAGGCTGCGGCTCCGGCCTTCTACTTCGGCTTCAATTGTCTGTGCGGTCTATATTGGCAGGCATCTGGCGTGCCTCGTGAGACACGAGTGCCCTCAGTCTGAGTTTCATGCCCAAGGTGCACTCCTGCCGCTCCAAAAGGTTTTCCCGTCGTGTAAGGCCGCCAAGGACTTAAAGACAATCGCATGGCCGCCCAAGGCTCCTATTTCTACATCGCCAGTACCACTATTATCTTCTCATCCGGGGTCCGCTTGTTGAGGTTACATTCCTTTCTCTTCCTTCTCTCAGTTGTCGCTCCAGCTCACGTTGAACGTGTCTGTCTATTCATCTAATCTCCCGCAAGCCGGTGTTCATTCTTTAACTTCTTGTTACTATTCTCTATTCATTCTATCCTCAACCAACCCACCTTCACCATGCGTTTCTCAACCATCTTGCCCATCCTGCTTGCAGCCGGTGTAGCTCAAGCCCAGTTCGGAGGAGGAAATGGCGGAAATAATGGCGGCAACAACGGTCAGAACAATGGTCAGAACAACGGGCAGAACAATGGCCAGAACAACGGTCAGAATAACGGACAAAACAACGGCCAGAACAACGGTCAGAACAACAACGGCCAGAACAACAATGGCCAGAACAACAATGGCGGCGGCGGCAACCTTGCACTCAACCCGGCCAACGTTCAGCAAAACAGCAACAATGACGGTCTTGCCGACGCTGAGGAGGGACAAGCTGCTTCCGCAACGTAAGTACACGCCACTGAGTGATCAGTTGATTCTTCTTGCTAACTTGTATCACAGTGATGGCGCCAACTTCATCAACTTCTGCACGGGCAAAACACTTACCAACGGTCTCCAGACCAAGGGTGGCTCTTGCAACGGCATTCGTACGTACATTGATGATCTTGTACCAAACCCCTTTTACTGATTTTTTTTCTCTCCAGCCATGGGTGACATTCCCGGTGTTCAGAACATGGTATCTGCAATCATGATCAACCCCAAGAACGGCGACAACGTCCAGGCCAACCAAGCCATCAACTTCCAGGTCCAGATCGCCAACTTGGAAGCTGGATCATTCACCAACCCCGACAACACTTACTATGCTGCTCCCCAGGCCCTCCAAAATGGAAAGGTTGTTGGCCACACCCATTTCACTGTTCAAGATCTTGGTGGCAACATCAACCCTACTCAGCCTCTGAACGCCCAGGAGTTCGTCTTCTTCAAGGGTGTCAATGACAACGGTAATGGCAACGGTCTTCTTTCCGCCAATCTCGCGGAGGGTCTCCCCGACGGTAACTACCGCGTATGCACTATGACATCGGCCTCCAACCATCAGTTCGTTACTATGCCTGTTGCTCAACGTGGTGCCCAAGATGACTGCGTCCGTTTCACTGTTGGTGGTAACGGTGGCAACAATGGAGGTAACAACGGCGGTAACAACGGCCAGAACAACGGCGGTCAAAACAACGGTCAAAACAATGGCCAGAACAACGGCCAACAAGGCGGTCAGGGACAGCAAGGAGGCCAGGGACAGCAAGGTGGACAAGGACAACAGGGTGGACAGGGTCAGCAGGGTGGACAGGGTCAACAAGGAGGACAGGGCGGTGGCCGCCGAGGACGTGGTCGTGGTCGTTTCGGTCGCAAAAGATTCGCTCTTCGTGACTTCGTTGCTTAGAGTGTAGCTCTAATGCATCGTGACCAAAGGAGCGGGGACGAAGCGATGAGATTGAGGGAGAGAATGAGGGGGAGTACTGCATAGCTGGTGGTTTGGGGTATTTGGTTGATGGAATGGATGATAATAGTTGTATTTTCTTGCGTTTTTTTCTTATTTTTGTCACATTGACATAGATGTTCACGATTGTTTTTCCTTGTCTCTGGACTGCAGAGGCTCGGGAAGCGAAAACTACTTAGCACGACTCTACGGAGATGAAGCACAGCGCTTCATTAGGACTGGTTCTGAAGCGCTCTAGTATATCTTCCCTCGTATAATGAAAAGGTAGAAAATGTCAAAACTATCTTCACTTTCTCACTGTGCATTGTCGTTGGCAAAATAAAACGTCTCATCTCTGCCTCAGCCAGTGCTCGGGGAGCGAGGTAACAAGGGTCGACGTCTCAGGCTGCTGCTTGTGGCTGCAGTAACCTCAGGGGTGTGTTTTCAATCCCTAGTCCCATCTCAAACCCGCATCTGTCTCCTCTACCGCGCTCTGCCGCCCAGCTATCAAGTTCGAATGCATACAATGTACATGATATTGTTTCAAGAGTGACTTTCCAGCAATGATTTTCAGATAAATACTATTTCTGTATGTCACTATAAGCGTACTTTTAATAGAACTGTGCCATGTCTCAAAGACATCCGTGTGGATTCTCAACGTCATCAGAGAATCGCAAAGTGACCTCATAGGACAGACGATGATTTCAAGGCGCATAATTCTTCCCCCCTCCCAAATGTTGGAACTTTTGCATTTCCCAACATCGGGGAACAAAACAACCCCCCAACTCCTTTCCCCCCTCCCCTTCAATGAAAATACGACCCCATCAATCTCTTCCACGACACCTTGGTCTGCCACACTTTGCGTTGCTCATCCCACTCCACATCAAGAGGCATCTTGACTCTACCGCCTTTGCCGCGATTCTGGATCCCTCCGAACCACAACCAAACGCTCGTTGCCCCATCCAATCTCTCCTTGGACAGCCCACCCCGCTTGTTCAAGTTTTCAAGACTAATGCCGCTGCGTGTCGTAGGCAGAGTAGCCAGCGTCAAGAACTCTCCGTCGATTTGCACACCACGCAGGATGAGTTCTGCATCTGGGACAGCGTCACTGTAGCGCAGGGCTCCTGTGATTGGATCGCGGCGTGGAAGCGCTAGTGAAAGTGAGAGGGTTGGTAAATAGACGGTTGTGAAGATGCGCTCGACATAGGCTTTGTATGATTGGGAGACGGGGCGAACGTTGCGCCAGAGGTCGGCAAGGTGAGTCTTTGTGGGGTTGGTTTCTAGAATTTGTAGCCAGAGTTCGGTCGGTAAGATGGAAGGCGGACGACTGGCCGCTATTGTGGTATCGTTGGTAGAATCTGCTGCTAACATGTGCGAATTTGTTGTTTGTGATGATGACATGATGGGCTGATGTATGTGTACTGCGCTACAATATGCCGCTCTTATATGATGGGTGAGGCTGATGAGTCAAGATTGTGGCACAGTTCTCTCTGCTCTACCTAAGAGTGATTTGGAAGTAACTTTATAGGGCAAACTAGTACCAAAGCGTCGCCTGCATTTTGCGGAGATGACTCCCATGGTGAATTGATCGGGGCAGTGTGCTGTTGGCACTTATCAATTGCATCATAACAGCCATGTTCAGGCGCACCCTTTTGTTCGCTTGTTCACTTCCGTGTTGTTTAACCTTTTGAATCGTGTAGTCGGCACATCGGAAATTCGGAACACTCTCGGAAACAAATCAACATCATTGATTCCGGTAGTGAACCCTGATCAGGCCAGGCCGAATATCTTCTGCGCAACACGATCCCATTCATGGTCCCACCTATTTTCACTCTCTTTGACCGCGCCCTGTTTCAGCTTCACAAGCAACTCCGCTTTGCCCCCAAACAACTCAATCAGCTGCTGTGCAAGCTGTTCCGAACTCGCAAACCCTTTGCCGTTCACGTCTTCTGTCACCAATTCGGGCCAGGCTTCGAATTCACCCCACCCCACGACTGGAAGCCCCGCTCCAAACATATCCACCACTTTCATAGGCAGATCCACGCCAGACGACGAAGTATGCAATGAAACACCCAAGTCTGCCGCAGCCAGGAGGCGTGCATAATCCTCTGGCGTGAGCCACGCTGTCTGGATCACCACATTGAGCAATTTCTTGTCCTGGTTCATCTCCCGCACTTTGGCGAGGTAGTGCTCCTTCAAAGGGCCTTTGCCGGTGATGATGGCTAGTATTTTGGGCAAATAGACTTTTGAAGTAGCTTCTGCCGAGTACCTGCTCAAGGCATCCAAGAGAACGGAAAAGTCTTCATCCGCTGTCCACGATGTTGAACTCACTATGAGCTTCCATGGTGCATTATATTGTGCACAGATGTCTTGTGCATACTGTGCTGTTTCTGACATCCTCGAAAGAAACGTTGCCCTCTCGACATAGTCAATAGGTCGAAACATGGAAGCGGGTCGGTCGTGAAGCGGGTGCGCAGTGATGCCATATTTCTCCCCGAGGACTCTCGCCATAGCGTTAGTGACAGTGAAATGCTGTGATGCTAACCTGGCAAATAGATTTTCGTAGAGAGCCGATATCTTGACAAGGGGGTGCCTGTCACCCAGTTTGAGAGCGAGGATGGAGTAGCCAAAGTTGTGCCAATCAATAATGAGCTCTGTTTTTCTGAAAAATGCTACAACCGTTGCAACCGCCAAGGTTGGGATCGATGGTGGGTTCTGTTCCAAAGTTAAATCTTCACGACGATGATAACCACCCAACGAGCACAACGTACCTGCACCAGCATGTATCTTGGGGGCTCGGTCCGGTACCCTAAAGCAGCATAAAGCACCCCAGCTTGCCATAATGCTTTGAGGGGGGCTATCAATGGGAACAGAAGTCTGCTACTAGAGCGGAGAAAGGATGGAGCCGGTAGCAGTGGCACGATGTGGATCAGAGGATTAGAGAGGATATCAGGGTGAATCTCGGATTCTATATTATTTCAGTGATGAAGAAACGGCAGATATCAAAGCTTGTCGAACCTCGATAGCCAATCAGATAAACTCTGCCACCGTGTTTGGCGATACTGATTGCATGATATTGCATGCGCGGAGATCTTCCAATATCGCCCAGCACTACCACCTGAGTGGTGCGACCCTGCTTAAAATAGGGCTCCTGGTTTGCATCTTGACTTGCTTTTTGGTCGCTAGCGGAAACTGGTGACTTGTCTTTTTGAGAGTCATATTGGCGTGGTAGGGTGAGCAGAAAGATGGTGAAGGTGGTCGACAAGCCCAGGACCAGATAGAGAAGGATGTCGAACCACGCGCCGGGTTGCGACACGAGCGAGCCCCCGCCGAAGCCCTCGCTCGACATGGTATTGCTATGTGGGAATCGAGGATGAGGGAAAGGGATGAAGGCGCGTTATTATATAATCCAATTGATACATATGAGGCAGTTATATTGAGAGTGGTGTTTCCGGGGCCGCATACGGCACTTTTAGCGGGCGCCACGCGATCGGACTAGGGGCCAACCGCCAACAACCTGCCCTTTTCTGATTGACTACTATGGCTTGTGGCGGAAAAGCCGACTAGATTAAGTGAACGCCAAAAGTGGACCCCTGAACCTCTGGGGGATCCATCTGGCATTCACTCTACGTATCTACCATTGAGCAGGAGTCCCGTCTGCATTCAGCCTCATCCTCAAACAGCTTTCTGCCTGGCCTCGGTTGCGCACGTTGCTTGCTCTCCCCCCGAGCGCACATCGCCACGACACTCTCCATGTGGACATGATAACGTGGCGTCGAACCCACCTTCCATATATCCCATGGCGTCCACATACGCTCTCCCTCTCAATCCTGCCACCGAGACGCACAGCCATGCCCGCTCCCAGTCCCAGTACTCGTCAGACTCCTCCGCTGCACCTTGGCCCGCCCCAATGGTGGACGACTCTTCGCCCCTGAGACACAACGTCGCTGCGAGCGGCCACCGACACTACCACTCAGACCTGGACGGCCAGTCACATACACAAAGCCTATCGCCTTACGCCCATGCCCACAATCATTCGCAACACCAACACTCCCACTCGCATTCGAGGTCTACCGAGTCCACCTACGCTCTGAAGCCCTTCATGGCTGCCCGATCCAAGGGACGACCGCGCGGGGAATCTGACCTAGGAAGGCCAATGCCGCGGAAGTCTGCTCACCCGGCCTTTTCCCCAATTCAAGAGGCGCCGCCTCAAGTACAGTCTTCGTAAGGCGCGCATCCAAAACGCAGGTTGGCGAGGCGCAAAACAGACTACTGACTCAACGTCTAGATCGTGGGACCAGTTACCAGAGGCCCTTACCGCCCTGCTCATACCTTTGCCCTACCTCTTCGCCTCTTTAGCATATCCGAGCGTAGTTGCTCAAGCGCGAACATCTCCCACGTCTCCAATGGACACCGATTCCGACATGAACAAAGTAACCCCCCAGAACCACCACTCTGGGGGTCAGCTGCTCCACGCATGCACATTGTCAGCAACGACCTTATTGCTCGTTGGTTTTGTTGCCAAGATACGATCGTCATTGGAAGACCCTTTGGATAGGCGGAAACAAGTGGCTAAAGCGGAGAACTCAGGGCAAGGGGCAGCTGATGGACTCTTTGATATCAAATCGCTTTGGGGCATGGCACTCAACACACTCGGCGTCCTGTTGCCCTTCTATGCGTCTATGCAATTAGGTGGTGCGAAAGCATCCTTGATCTTATTAGTGGCAGCTACTGCAGGCCTAGGGGGCTTCAGTCAAGGATCGGGTAACAGCGCTTTTGAGGATATCAGGACGACTTTTCAAATTCGACAAGGGACGTGGGCCTCGATCGTGCTTATTGCTATCGGTGATACCTTCGCGTCTATCGATACCATTGGAACACTTTTCGGTTATGGCGCCCTGGCCATGTCAGTGACGACCATCCCACTCCCCCTCCCAACCCATGGCTGGGTCTTGATGGCAGCCCCGAAAGCCCAGAACGGATGGAACACGCAAAATTCTGCCAAGGCATCACTGCCATACCCATCTTCTCCTCTCCTTCACACCTCAATCGACACCACGTTGACCCTTCTATCCGGCCTCGTGCTCACTTTCCTATCCGTTCTTTATTCCAGTTTTGCCGCATCTTCTCCTTCTTTGTCACATTTTTCCATACTATTTTCTACCTTGTCAGTTGCATCGGCCACGGCACTTGTGTTTATATCACTTCCTTCAGCATTACGCAGCAAAAGCAAGAGTGGCTTAGCTGTAGGCAGTCTCTTGATCACAGCATGTGGAGTTTGGGAACATGCGGAGTCGTGGCAGCCGTGGTGTTTCTTTCCTTTAGCATGTGCCTTTGTTTTTGGAGCAGTTACTCTCGACACTCGCCATTCATCATCTCACCCATCATCGCATGGACATGCTCACGACGGTCACTCACATACACATGACCACGGCCATCATCTTCACGGAAACCATTCTAGCTTATCAAAGTTTCTGATTGCGCGATGCACACCAGGCTCGATTCTGCACAGCATATTGATTGAGAAGGACTCCCGTCGCATAGCTTACTTCGGAGTGTAAGTTCTTTCGCGATTCACAATCATATAGCTTACAGCAAAACTGATGATGAGCAGACTCAATCTAGCGTTCATGCTTGTTCAATTCTTCTATGGATTTGTTACAGGATCTTTGGGTTTGTTGACTGATAGCATTCATATGCTATTCGATTGTGCAGGTCTTGCAGTCGGCCTCGCTGCAGCAGTCATGAGCAAATGGCGACCTAACGTTCGATTCCCATATGGCTATGGGAAGGTCGATACACTGTCTGGGTTTGCCAATGGCGTTTTCTTGCTGTAAGTCAACTCACATGCTGAGTGGTCCATGTTCTAATATTCGATCAGGCTTGTCAGCGTTGAGATCATTTTCGATGCTTTTGAAAGGCTTTGGGAAGGGCAAGAGTTGAACAGACTCAATGAGCTTCTTATCGTCAGCATCCTTGGTTTTGTGGTCAATATTGTTGGGCTTACGGCTTTTGGACATGCTCACCACGGACATGGCCACTCCCATGATCAGTAGGTCAATCCTCTGTAGACATTCGTGGATATCATTGACAATCAGTAGTGACCATGGCGATCATGACCATGGACATTCGCATGGGCACTCTCATGATAACGAGAATATGCAAGGCATCTTCCTTCACATCCTCGCCGATGCACTAGGATCCGTAGCTGTCATCATCTCGACCCTTCTTACCAAGTACTACGGTTGGTCTGGTTGGGACCCAATTGCGTCATGCATCATCGCAATACTGATCTTCTTTTCTGCCATACCTCTTGTCAAAAGCGCCGGCATGCGTCTCATGCTTTCACTGCCCGCCGATGTGGAGTACGGGCTCCGGAATACGCTCCAGGAGCTCAGCTCGCTTCGCGGCGTAGTAGGCTATGCTGTACCTAAATTCTGGCTCGAGGATGAGGGCGCCGCCCACGCTGAAGTGCATGCCAAAGAGCATGACAAGTGCGATCACGGCCACTCACACGATCACTCACATGATCACTCGCACGATCATTCGCATGGTCACTCCCATGATCACACACATGCACACTCTCATTCGCTTCATAGCCATTCTCATTCTCTGGAGCACAGCCATGAAGGACATACTCATGGACATTCCGACCATGATCATGACCACGATCACAGTCATGGCCACGGTCATGCGAAAGGACAACCCAAGATATTAGGTGTTATTCATATAATCGCTTCTCGGGTGGCTGATCTGGAAGATGTTCGAGAAAGGTCTACTCAATTTCTCAAAGGCCGAGGCCTGGATGTAGTTGTACATGTAGAGAAGGAAGGTGAAGGCCATTGCTGGTGTGGCGGCAGTGGAATCAAGACAAGCTGAATGCGATCCCAAGTTTATACACCTGTATTATAGCCATAGGGTTGCATGAATACATTGTTGCATAGATACTTCTATCGATTGATGTTATTGAAGCTTAGCCATGCATGTCTGTTCCGATCCCATATCTTCAGGAGAGGTTGCCCATGTAGAGCCAGTTGGCCAGAGATCTTTTCGCCTCGTGGATTGTGAATGCACGAGTCTTGGTTTGTCGATACATGACTCGCTTAAATCGCAAAAACCGCGACCAGCAGTAAACAGCATCGAACTGCAACAAGCATGGCTACAACCTAACACGGACGCACTACAGGGATGAACATCTGGCTTATTCCGCACACAAACAGCGATGTCAGACGCGACTAATGTGAATGTGTGGCCGTGCACAACTGAGGCTGTTGACTGGTCTTTTGACGGGATCATAGCGCTTGCAGCGGACGACAGCGTTGAACTACTCGTAAGCCATCTCCGTCGCTAGACATCATTGCCTTGACGACTGTTATGACTTCCCTGTCCCCAGACACTGATTATGCGAGAAGTTCCCAAACTCCGATTCAAGCGATACAGAGCAGAAAGCCGCTTCTTGGCAGCACGCTCCACTACAAGTTTCATGGTTTACGTCGACAGAGTTGCCGGAAAAGGAACCCGCACCTATTCCTATTTATTCTGTAGGCGAGGAATTATCAACCAGCAGTCCGCTTGATATAGCTTGGTCACCACCGGGACTTGCTAAGCACAGACGATGTGCTTTGAGTGTGCTCACTTCAGGCCTCGCTCTCTCCATTTGGTCGGCAGAGGGGGACCCACGAAAATCGTCGAGCTGGAAACGAAGGCTTGTAGTCAACAACGCTCTCAGATCTTACTTCGACAAAGATGCGATTCTTAACGATAGTGTTGTGGCGTCACAGACTGGGGAGAAGGAGAAGATCAATGAATACGACCGGTTACGAACTCGAGTTCGATCTTCTACCTGGGCGCCCGCTTTACCCAATGCTGAGTACACAGGAGTCGTTGGGACGGAGTCGAAGTGGGCCCAGCATATGATTGCAGTCACGAACGAAGACAATCAAGTGGCCATCGTGATAGTGGAATCACCAACCTCCACGTTTGGGTCGGAAGAATGGAACGCTGAAGTTTTGGATCACTTTACGGTCATGCCAGATTCTGAAAGTATATTTACTGTACCAGGCACATTTGATGATATCATGGGTCAGCAACGATGCATCTCACACATGGCATGGAGCCCATGGAAAATCCAAGGACAGTGGTATCATTCCATAATTGCCTACGCTACCAACAACGATGTCCGACTTCGTATCATTACTTATACTCCTGATACAATTGGGCTTGGCGATGAGGTATTGTGCCCTGATCTCTGTCTGCGCCACAAGGGCCCAATGAAATGGTCGCCGCGAATCAAGGATGGCGACAAACTCACTCTGGCCCTTTTCGGTATCGAAGGCCTTACTGTTCTCACTGTATCAATGTCAGATGCAACGATTCTAGAAAGAAAGACTCATGGGCTTGATGGCCGCTGGGACAAAGTGTCTGGGGTGATTTGGGATGATGCGGATAGCACACCAACACGTTTACACTTCAGTTCCCTACATTCTACAATGAGCTCCCCGACTGCGGGTGTAGAGATATCTAGTGGCGGGTTGATCGAACTTCCTTCTCCCAGCTGGCGCGAACAAATAAGTGATACACAAGCTCTTTTCAGTGCGCAGAATGATCTTAAGGGCAATGCCAAGTCAAAAGTCTGGGGACTGTGCATTTCGCCTCTGAGAGACTTCATTGCGTTCTGTCATACCGTACATCCATCTGATATGCTCGAGTATGGCCCTCCAAGGGATAGAAATTGCCATGTGGCTCTTAGCAGCACCACAAGTTACAAAAAAGATCGACTACCTTTCCCAGCCAACAACGTGAGCGCTGAAGGTATCGCATTCACATTACGAAAGTGCCTCGAGAATACAGTCGAGAATGCGGATCAGGTTCCCGAATTTACCAAAGAGGTGCTAGATGCCATGCTTAGAACTTATAGACCAAAGCAAGGAGGTTCAAACAGCGATCACGGCGAAAACTACAATACAGGTGACATAGCCGAACTTACAACGTCCTTCAAACAGTATGTTATATATCCACGGAAAGACTCCGTTCACACAGGCAAATACTAACCACAAATCCATCCAGTGATGTATTTCTCGAGGCGAACATGCTCAAAGACCGTTACACCATTCTCATCAACCAAACATGTTCCGTAAAAACGCCCACCACCTTGCCCAGAGCCCTCATCGCATTTCGCCTGGCTAAAGCGATAGTCAACATGATTCCCAGATCTCTCGCCCATAGTTCGTCCTTTAGCCGTGAGATCCTCATGTCTCATCACCAAGTTATTTGCCTCATCAACGCTGTCACGAATCAGAATGACAGTACAGCGCCATCAACAAGTATTACCACCATGCCGAACCAATCTACGCCCGACTCGTGCGATTTCTGTGACGCTGCGATTCCTTTTACCGATCTTGAAATAGCGACTTGCTTGAATGGTCACCAATACCCAAGATGTGGACTCAGTTTCATTGCCATCCAGGCCCCGCGGATATCAAAATTCTGTGGTTTATGCAAAACGGGATTCTTCAGCGAGGAGTTCGTGACGGCACAGGAGGTCACGCGCAATTCGGATTCCGATGATTTGGGTGATGTGGAAACACAGACTCTCGGGCAGTCAGCGGCGAATGAAGACATTGAAATGCCAGACGTGCGACATGGCGAGGACCAAACTAGTGGGCCGGACGAGGCTAACCACTTGGCCGCGAAGAATTTAGCAACGGAGACGCGAGAGCAGCCGGACAAAGATATAGAGGCTTTGATCGGACCAGGAAAGCAGGACATAATAACGGAGGGTTTACCGGTATCACTCGCCCGAGTCTTGTTTTTGGCTTGTGATGTGTGCATCTATTGTGGCGGGAAGTTTCTCGAATAATTACCCTTCGTGAACCCATCTTTGCTCACGATGTCTCTGAATTTCATTCGCAACAATGGGATACTGATAGTTTTGAAAAGTGCGTCATACTCGGGAGCTTCTTAGAACGAACATACATATGTCGAAATATATGAATTGTCAGTATTGAGCGAACAAAGTCATTGATATCAGGCTTTTCAAAATAGTTCTTGATCAGAGATCACATCGCGTCGTTCATTTGACGCAGTTTCGATTCTCGTACCGCATGCATCATGCTCCAACTTGTACCGTGCCAGTGTGAAGCAAGAGTATATGCTACCACAGTAAGAGTCAAGAGTAGAATATGTCCCCATTGCCTATAGTGGTAGATTCAATACTTCAGTAATGTATTCCATCAACTATGCTAGCTAACACCAATTCGACTAACCGCATATGGCTAGTCACTTTCTCATATTGAGGCAGCTGCACCTCCGCAGCACCTCCGCCTCGACACACCACTCACTCAGCACAGCTCGGAGCTTACAAGTGCCCGCTATTAGCTTCATCTTCACCTAAGATCAAGATGTCAAAGCGCCCAGGACCAGAAGATATTGATTCAATCCGGCTGAGATCTAGGGAGGAATATTTGGAGAAAAGATCGGAGCTCAAGCTCGCGGAACTAAGAAGACAAGTTCAGGAAGAACAAGAAGAAGAGCGTAGCAACCCACACCTGAGCCAGAGAGAATTAAGAGAATTTGCTCGGAATCGAGAAACATTACGACTTGCGGAATCGCGCCTTGCGATCGATGATGGGCTTGACGGATACGTACTACCCGACGCAGACGGTTCCAAGCTTGAAACTCTCAACAAGAGGAAGAAAAAAGATGTATCTACTTACAAATCCGAGGTTCAACTCTGGGAGGATGAGGTTACAGCCCGAGCCAAAGTTGCGCAAATCCACCGACCGGACCGTTTGCAACAGGATGATTATGAATTCGTTTTTGATCCTACGCAAGCATTGAATTTCGTATCGGCTGGCGAATGGGTTGATCCGGATAAGCAAAGGCTTCAAGAGCAACTCGACGCAGCAGAGAAAAAGGCCAAATCTATCCAGGAAGTACGGACTAGCCTGCCGATCTACCAATACAAGGAACAGTTCCTGGATGCACTTGCAGATCACCAAGTGCTGATTGTTTGCGCCGAAACGGGATCCGGAAAAACTACGCAATTACCCCAGTATCTTCTGGATTACTTCAACAAGGAAGGCGGCACCTCATTACGCATTGCTTGCACTCAACCGCGTCGAGTAGCCGCAATGTCTGTTGCACAGCGTGTATCTGAGGAGATGGGCTGTAGACTTGGTCAAGAGGTCGGCTACTCAATCAGATTTGAGGATAAGACCAGCCCTAATACGAAGATTCAATTTCTGACGGATGGGTTACTGCTACGCCAATTCTTGAACGATCCCACACTATCCGGCTACAACGCGATCATCATCGACGAGGCGCACGAGCGTACCCTTGCAACCGATATACTTATGGGGATGATCAAAGACGTAGGCAAATATCGGACAGACCTCAAAATTATCATTTCGAGTGCCACTCTCGATGCGCAGAAGTTCTCCCAATTCTACAACGATTCCCCCATCCTGATGATCCCCGGCCGTAGTTATCCTATAACTATATATTACTCGCAAAACCCAGAAGCTTCATACCTGAGCGCAGCTATCACCACAGTACTTCAGATCCATTGCTCGATGAAAGACCCAGGGGACATCCTGGTATTCTTGACTGGTCAGGACGAAATCGAAGCTGGAAAACAGAGTATAGAGGAAACGGTACGGAAGCTGGGTTCAAAAATCCCCGAGCTTGTCGTCTGCCCCATTTACAGTGCATTGCCCCAAGAAGAGCAGGGCAAAATTTTCTTGCCCGCACCGCCCGGCGGGCGCAAAGTTATTCTTGCGACCAATATCGCAGAAACGTCGCTGACCGTGGATGGCGTGAGATTCGTTATCGATTCTGGGTACAGCAAAGAGAATGTTTACAACCCGTCTACAGGCCTGGAGCAGTTAGTTGTAACTCCGATATCGCGCGCATCCTCCTCACAACGTGCTGGAAGAGCAGGTCGTACAGGGCCGGGCAGTTGCTTCCGATTGTGGACACGCTGGTCACATTTCAACGAATTGGAGGAGTCGACGACCCCAGAGATACAGCGTGCTAACCTTTCGTCAACTCTGCTACTCCTTAAATCGATCGGTATTAACGATCTTCTCAACTTCGATTTCATGGATCCACCATCCGCAACGGCTATAGCCAAAGCCCTTGAAGAGCTATACAGTCTAGGTGCGCTGGATTCTACGGGAAGTCTCACACGTGTCGGTCGGCAAATGAGCGAGTTGCCTATTGATCCCAAATTATCCAAGACCATCATCCTGGCGGACACACATCAGTGCTTGGAAGAGATTCTTACCATTGTTGCAATGTTGGGTGAATCTTCTGCTCTGTTTTTCGCACCGAAGGATAAACGTTTGCACGCTGAAGCCGCGAAACGGAGATTTTACACAAGAGGAGGCGGTGACCATGTGGCCTACCTGAAGATCTTCAACAGCTGGTCCGAAGCCGAGTATGACCCATTGTGGGCCAAAGAGAACTATCTCCAGCAAAAGGCCTTGACGCGTGCTCGTGATGTACGCGAGCAGCTGCAGAAACTCTGCGAACGTATCGGAATCACACCGTCGAGCTGCGGAGACTCAAACTATATCCCAATCGTCAAGGCGCTTGTAGCTGGCTATTTCTCGAACGCCGCACGGTTGAACAGAGATGGAAAGTCCCACACGGTTCTCAGAAATGGTTTATCAGTCAGAATTCACCCATCCAGTATGTGCCACGAACCCACCGAGGTTCCAAAGTGGTGCATATTCTCGGAGCTGAGGTTGACGTCGCAAGAGTTTATTGCAAACATTGTCGATATTGATCCACAATGGCTCATTGATGCAGCACCCTACGCCTTCAAAAAGGCGGATCTGGAGAAATTCGGGATAGATAAAAAGATGCCGAAAACGAGACCAGCACAGGCAAAATAGTCATTCGATTGGTATTACAACCTGTTTTGCTTAGCACGCTTCGTTTTGGAGAATCAATTGGAGTAAATTTAATGTTATACAATACCTCCGAAGGCTCAAAAGGGAGTGAAAGAATGAAATAATTGTAGTGTCGGGAATAAATGGCATCATAGTGAGCACAAATCAAAAGTGATTGAAAGTAACAGAAAGGGTCAAAGACGAGATAGATTGTGGCGAGACCAAGTATCAGCTTGCAGTGTACCACATTTTATGAGGGATCTGAGTTGCTGATGTTCTTCAATTAATTAGAGCTCAGATACAAGCCTAGATACACAACCGTGAAAAGTAATATTCAAACCCTGTACTCGACACCACACTGGTGTCCATAGCTGAAATAGTGTCATTATCATTCATTGATGCTCCCGCAAAACAAAAACGCTGCAGTTCTAATGTGTCTAATGGCTGATATATTGGAAGACAGCACTGACATCCTTCTCCGCTGTCTCCTGCCTGAGAAGCAAATCTTGGATCTTCCCTAGTGGACCATTGTCACCGTCGTTGACAAAATGATTCCATGAACTTGTATCGCCGTAGAGCATCGCCGGTGCCTTGATAACCTGTCTTCCATCCTCTTTCCTACAACGTTTGCACTTGAACGTGTCATGAGTATCACTCGTTGTGTTATCCCTGTACTGGAATAGCTCGCGAAGAGAATCGATTGAAAAGTGCCGCTCAACATCCTCCGATGAATCGACGACACAAGACGACAAGGCTTGTTTGTGGGACTGGCGCTGGAAAACCTTTTCTTCAATAGTCCCAGTCGTGATGAAGCGGTAAACGAAACAATCCTTCTTCTGCCCATCGCGCCAGACACGTGCCAAAGCTTGCTGGTCAGCTGCAGGATTCCAGTCTGGATCGAAAAGAACCAGTCGATTTGCACCAATGAGATTGAGACCGCAGCCACCGGCCTTGGAAGAAAGCAGGAAGACGAATTCTGGGCCTTCAGGGTCGTTGAACTTATCTACAAGCTTTTGCCGCTTCGAGACATTCATGGTTCCATCCAGGCGAAGACACCCGTATCCGCGAGAGCGACACAGCGCGGCAAAGACGTCGAGAGTTTGTGTGTAATTGGAAATGAGAACGATCTTGTCATTAGTATCCGCGCGAATGCGAGCGAGCATCCGATCTAGAACCAGCATTTTTCCTGAATACCAAACTTTGACTTCACGATCTCTTCCTCTTGCGTCTTTGGGGACAAAGTCATCCGGTAAAAACTCGTCGCAGCCGGTCAGGTCTGATGGCAGATCAAGAAGATCCGGATGATTGCAGAGTTTCTTGAGCATACCAATGGCTTTTAGTGGTTGGGAGCCTTTCCCACGAAGAAGCGATTTGATATCTGGCGATTGTATGAAGTGTTTGTACAGATCCTTCTGAAAAGGTGCGAGATGACAGAACACTACGTGCTCGTACTTGACTGGGAGATATTTGGATAATATGTCGTTTGTCCGCCGGATGATGAATTTGTTGACCAGGGTCAAAAGCTCTCGCAGACGCTCGTCTCCTTTCTTACGGTCCTCATCTGTACCATTGGCATCACGGCCTCGTAATATGGGAATCTCGTACTGTTTGCGAAAATCATTCCTAGTACCGAGGTAGTTTGGATTGGCAAAATTGAGAAGAGAAAAGTACTCAGAAAGATCATTCTGAATGGGCGTTCCGGTAAGGATAACGCGTTTTTGGACGTTCAATCCGTTGAGTGCGGTGAACGTCTGATTTTCGCCATTCTTCAAGCGATGGCCTTCGTCACACAACAGCAAGCCAATGGGGGTTTGTGCCAGCTCTCCTACGTTGAGTCGTAGAGTTTCGTAGGAAACGATCAACACAGGCCTCACAACCGATCGACCGGAAGCGATGCTCCATTGTTTGATTTGTTGTAGCAGCTCTTCTTTCGAAGCTTTCCCATCAATGGCAAACGGTGTGATGGCGTCCTTACCTAGCCATTTTACCAGTTCATTCGCCCAGTTTCTCACCAAGCTGGATGGGCACGCAATGACGCATTTCTGGATTGTAGGTTTCCCTGCGTCCGGCGATTGCTTCAAAAGAGTCCACATGAGCGCGATGCACTGCAGTGTTTTTCCTAGACCCATCTCATCTGCCATGATGCAGCCGTTCGCTTTCGGGTCGATCAATCCCGTTGTTGCACGATACAAAAACTTGACACCCTCGACTTGATGTGGGCGTAATACTTTGGCTAGCCGGGGGTCAATGACGACTGGTACTCGTGGATGATCATTATCGACTTTCTTCTTAATGCCTAGGATGTCCGCTAGACTTTTGTGAACCACGGGCACGTCCAGGTCCTCTTTCTGCTCTTGACTTAACTTCGGCTCTACGTCCTCCTTCGGTATCGGCTTGTCGTCCACAGTTGGATCATAGAGCACGATTGCAAACTCTCCACTGGGATCATGTAGCGGCCGTGCCACGAAGACTCGTCCTTGCCTCATCCCCAGCAGAGGTGCTGGCCGAAATGGATTATACGACCCCGTATCCTTCGTTATCAATGGTACAGTAAATCGCGCTTTAAATGCCGTGTCTTTGTCCTTGGGCTTGAAGACTGGAAACCGGTTCGCATCCCGGGTGGCAAGAGCGAGCCTGTCGTCGTTGGAGTAAGGCTTGTCGCCCTCCTCTGCGTCGCCATCTGCACCGGCATAGTTAACCTTGCGTCGCTTCCTTGCTGGCTTTTCAGTAGCTCGCGTCGAGGTGGCGGAGCCGGGACATTTGAAGGGCTTGTGTAAACGATCGACTGAAGCGGGCGTGCCGTGGAGTCTGGTGGCGGTAGGAGTGCCTTTCTCGCCGGCCGAGAGCGTTTTGGACCTGTGCCTGTACGGTATTAGAATGCTTAATCAAAATAATTAGAGCTGTGTGCGTGCTTACATTTGGTTGATGTGAATGTTGGAGGAATGAATGTGGCCAACTTCAGGCGCGTCGAAGATCCAAGGCACCACTAACCTAAGGAATCGCGACGCGACAACACGTGCGGTTTGAGATCATCGATAAGCAGACCCCTGTGATTCGTTGCGCCATTAGGCATCAACACCCCTCATCTCAAGGTCATTTACATTGATCTCTTCATCATGGATTATTCATGATTTACAATTTAAGTGTGTATCTGATCTGAGATCTAGATCAATCGAGAGAATTAAAGATAGGATTGGGGATCTGATACAGACTTTTTTTGTTTACAACGACTCCCTTTCGCTTATCTACGATGTCATGCTCGCTCTCGTGAGAGCCACCCATTGTAGTAGCAGAGCAAAAAGTCATCCAAGAGCTTTCAACTTGCAAAAAGAGTTCTTTCCGACACCGGGAATCGAACCCGGGCCTTGCCGGCACTGAATGAGTGTTTTGACTCTCGATGAGAGCGGCAAATCCTAGCCACTAGACCATATCGGATATGACTTGAGATGAAAAGACTTGAGTTTGTACATCTTATATCGCTTGCAAATAATTCCGCTTGTTGCAGCAGCGCGGGGTATTCAGAATGGAAACCATGTACACGCGCTTTCCAATGTTTGTACAAACACTAAACCAAGTGTGGAACTACATAGACGTGAACTCTGTGCTAAACAATACTACAATACAATCTTTACTTAGTTGTTAAAATTTCTTCTTTGTTAACTTTCTCTGTGCGCTCAGAGCGGAGCGTCATTTGAACCCTTTCTCCACTCCTCCACTAGGCACATATTTTACATCCTGGTACGCTTCTAGATCAAATACCTTGGCAACTACATCAACTCCATAACCATAATGACCTGCGGAGATTTGAAAGATTCTTCCAGCTTACCAACTTGATAGCATCCCGACTTCAGTACCAAACACTTGAAGTCATCTAACTAGTACATGACTGCGATTTTGTATCTTTCCTGTAGAGTCGCATACAGGGCTTTGTATACAGACTAAGAAGTACCTAGTATCTTGAGAGCTCGTCAGTCGGAGCAATTGATCTCATCTTTCAAGAGCACATGCTGTATACTTAGTTCTTCTGCCAGGCGTCATATCGTATCCTATCAACCATTGGTGAAAATATTGAACATCAGGAGACACTGGAGGGTAACGTAGTTGTATGTAAGCGGTTGATGAATTAAATAGCATGCTGAAGGGGTTAACGGTAAATTCGTCTAAAAAGACTGCGGTTCTTGCTGAGGTCCCTATGTACCTATAGGTAGGTACATATGTATACATTTTATGTACACATGTGCACATGTGTTGAAGTGGACCGTGCACGTGCGCTAGTGCGTCATCTATCAACATTCGTCCAGCCTTGACGTATACCGCATTCTACGCAACCCATTGAACGTCGTGCACCAACATGTCTTCCAGGGCGATTAGCACAGTGAAGCAAGTCTTCATACTACCTACACGAGATAATATACATGCTGGATTATACCAACTCAAGGTTCGATAGCAATGTTCAAGAAGTTCGTGCAAATGACTGATTAGGCAACAGGGTGTGATATACTTCGTACGGCATCCTTTCTTGTATCCTCTGTTGCAAGCTCGTTTGATACCCGCTGTACTCCTCAGTGCATTCGTTCTTTTGAATCTCTTCGTCTGGACATATCTGCCACAGGTCGCGTTTCTTGCCCTCTTCCACAAAACGGGTAGTGCCTGGTTTAACGCAACGTTCCTTATCTTGGGAGAAGGATCGGCAGTTGTGGCGATTCTGTTTGAAGCCTTTCTAGTTGATGAATCTCAAGTCGACATCTTCGATGCGGTACTTGTTCACAGAGGTTATGAGGATTTGGTCCGCCCGTTCAGACCAGTCTCAGACGGTTCTCTGAACAACCCTGTTCGTCGACTGGGGAAACCGACTACTTCGTGGGTACACTGGATCAACTTTTTTGGATCTCTAATAACATTCCACAGGTCCGTCTATGGCCCTTTCAACTTCCGCCAGATAGCAGAATTTGTTATCCTGCTCCCGCTCAACTTTGTACCGTATATTGGTGTGCCTTTATTCCTGTTACTCACTGGCTATCGTGCTGGTCCTCTACAACATTGGAGATATTTCAAACTGCGAGGGTTTGATAAGAAACAGAGAGAAGTCTACGTGAAGAGAAGAACTTGGCAGTACACCTGGTAGGTGCCTCTGTAAAATCCTTCCAGGATCCTAAAGCTAACGAAATCTTAGGTACGGCACTGTTTATCTCTTCTTGCAACTCATTCCTCTGGCGAGCATGTTTTTCCTTTTGACGGCTGCGACTAGTTCCGCTCTATGGGCCGCTGATTTGGAAACTAAACGTCGTCAGGCGGAAAATGAGGCTGTCCAAGAACCCGCATATAGAGACAATCTTGATGATGCGGCGGAGAGTGTATGATGCGATGGTTCGTGGGAGGTTGATTTCATGATTAATTTTCTGATGGGTTCTGAACCGTAAGGTATCATGGAATAGGTTGCTGATAGGCTGGCATATAATGCAAATGGCAGTGAAACGAAATGCCTTCTAGAATTTCAATGACATTAGGTTCTTCGCAAAGTGATTACCGTATTTCTTATACGCAGGAATAAAATGTAAGAAGAAATAAGTAGGTGTTCGAGAAGAGATTTTGGGAAAAGTTATCGCTGGGCGATAGGAGGCACGCACAGCTTTCACTTCCAACGATTTTAGCGAACTGGTAAATATACCTGGCATGCAGTTTAGCTCCATAAAGACCATCTATTTTGTATACATGATATTGCCGCGAGCGCACCGACGGGTGTTGGGCTTTCGACACTACTTCTGCACTGACATGTCTGACCAATCATGGCCCAGGCCGTCCCTAGCCGCGCTCCGCAAAAAGAGCTTGTGCTTGTCATCTGGGGAGTTCAACAACACCATCTCTATACCCATCCCACCCATTGATCCTTTCTGCCTACCCTGCCGTGCAGATCGCGGTCTGCTGTCTCGGGTTCTATCGTCCGTCCCTCACAATGTTCCGATCCGTCGTACCTCGCGCCCTGCCCAGGGCTGTCCGGCCTTCGGCAGTTTCCCGAAGCACTTTCTGCGCTCCCAACATCTACTTCCAGGGCCGCTCAAGACGTGGATATGCATCAGAAGCTGGTGAGTAGCATCACATGCACCTAGAAGCGATTCCAATATATTGATTCTTGAACAGAGGAGAAGGATCTTGTTATCATCGGTGGCGGTGTTGCAGGATATGTTGCGGCAATTAAAGCTGGCCAGTCCGGCCTCAAGGTTCGTCATCACCTGGTCCTCGACTACATAGAAGGCGACTGACTTAAGTGCTTGTTAGGTTGCGTGTATCGAAAAGCGTGGTGCCCTCGGAGGCACATGCTTGAATGTTGGCTGCATCCCCTCCAAATCTCTCTTAAACAACTCCCACCTATACCACCAGATTCTTCACGACACCAAGCACCGCGGCATTGAAGTGGGCGAAGTCAAGATCAACCTACAGGCTATGATGCAGGCAAAGGATACCTCTGTTGCCGGTTTAACTAAGGGTGTAGAGTTCCTGTTCAAGAAGAACAACGTGGAGTACATCAAGGGCACTGGCGCATTCCAGGACGAGCACACCATCGCCGTCAACCTCATCGACGGAGGAGAAACCACTGTCCGAGGCAAGAACATTCTGATTGCCACAGGATCCGAGGCTACCCCCTTTCCCGGTCTGACAATCGACGAGAAGAAGGTGATCACGAGTACCGGTGCTATCGCTATGACCGAGGTCCCCAAGAAGATGGTTGTCATTGGTGGTGGTATCATTGGTCTTGAGATGGTAGGATCGCACAATGTAGTGTTGCAGATCGACTTTGCTGATTCCAATTAGGGCTCTGTCTGGTCGCGCCTAGGCTCCGAAGTCACTGTTGTTGAATTCCTTGGCCAAATTGGCGGACCCGGAATGGACGCAGAAGTTGCTAAACAGACCCAAAAGATCCTTGCAAAGCAGGGTATGAAGTTCAAACTCAACACTAAGGTCACCAAAGGAGATATGGAAGGCGAGACCGTTACGATCAACACCGAGGCTGCGAAGGGTGGCAAGGAGGAGACTGTAAGTCTATCGGATCAGCCACGAACCAGGTATATGTACTAACCTATTCAGCTCGATGCTGATGTCGTCCTATGCGCTATCGGTCGCCGCCCATACACCAACGGCTTGGGACTCGAGAACATTGGTCTCGAAACTGACGATAGAGGACGGCTCATCATTGACCAGGAGTACCGCACCAAGATCCAGCACATTCGTGCCATCGGCGACGTAACTTTTGGTCCTATGCTGGCGCACAAGGCCGAGGAGGAAGCCGTTGCTGCGATCGAGTATCTCACTAAAGGTTATGGACATGTCAACTACGGTGCCATTCCTTCCGTCATGTACACTCACCCTGAAGTTGCATGGGTTGGGCAGAGCGAAGAAGAGCTCAAGTCTGCTGGTGTGAAGTACAAGGTCGGAAGCTTCCCATTCTCCGCCAACTCGAGAGCCAAGACAAACCTCGACACTCTTGGATTCGTCAAGATGCTTTCAGATGCCGAGACCGACAGGATATTGGGCATTCACATTGTTGGACCCAACGCCGGTGAAATGATCGCTGAGGGTGTCCTTGCTATTGAGTATGGCGCCAGCTCCGAGGGTAAGTTGGCATAAGTCTAAAGTATTCCTGTATTTCAAGTGCTAACATTACTCAGATATTGCACGAACATCGCACGCCCATCCTACGTTGTCAGAAGCCTTCAAGGAGGCCGCTATGGCCACGTACGACAAGGCTATTCATTACTAGATATCAATTTCTTTGGACTGGGTTTCGGTTTAGCATCAGCGCATGAAGTATAGCTCTGAGAGCGGGAGTCTGTCAATAGTACCTGTAACATATTGCATGCTTGATGCACTGTCAGTCTCGGCTCACGAGTGATGATTGCTTATGTAACCATGAATTTCCGATCAGCGCGAGCGTCGTCGGATTGTTGATTGCATTGTTAACTAAGAGTTTCTATGCTACATGCGTACTCTTCACAATATTAAAGAGGAATACAACGACGTATACCGTAAAGCTATATATAGCTATCATTCGTAGGGTCTATGGCTGACTTAGAAGGGCTGATGTTCTTTGGGAGGGCTTCCACTTTACTGACCCCTGCTAGTGCGAACTAGCTTGTACGTGCGCGTAAATCATCGGCGCGTCACAACGCGTACTCGCGATTCGTGGTCTCCCAATTCCCACTTTACATTATAACTCGAGTGCAACCCTCAACTTATTCACTCAACACCACACTGAACACTCAATCTAAAATGGCGGCTACGGAACTTGAGCAGCGTTGCAATACGCTGCGGAGTGACCTCAAACTATGGGAAAAGAAATTCGCTGCTGCTCACGATGGTCGGAAAGCCGGACGCGCCGATATCAAAGCCAATACTGAAATATGTATGTGTCCAATGTCCTTTTCTCTATGTCGTTTCTGTGTGTTAATAGTAAATCTCTAGCTCAAAAATACAAAGAATATAACAAGCTTCGAGATATTCTTGCAGGAAAGACTGGACCACAGACACCGTCGAAACATACGCGCAGTCTCGCCCACAACGCCGATCGAACTCCAAAGGCTGCGAAAGTACAACCGAATACCCCGAAACGTAAAATCGTTGAAATTGGGACCGACTCCATTGCTCCCTCGCCGAGCCAGCCTTTCTCAGAACAGCGCCCTGCTTTCATTGGGCCTACTCCACAACGTGACGGAAAAGTGCTTGGCCTATTTGACCTTTTACCCGCGGAGACACCGAGCAAGAGCAGAGCCGTGTTTGCTGATATCGTTCCGAATATTTTACAAACCCCAAGTAAGCAAGTCGAATTCAAGGATGTAGAGACAACGCCGGAATTTAAGATAAGGAGGGAGAGGACACCATTGTCATCTGGTAAGAGATTCATGCTCGACCAGTTTGTCACCCCGAAGAAACGACCACGCGCGGAAGAAGGGACCCCCACCTCAGTCGTTGGAGGACCAGTTACACCTGCATTTCTGCGCCGCGATAATTTTCTAGCGGATATTTCCGAAGACCATGAGCCAACACCGAGGCCACTTCCGTGGCAACGAAAGGGAATGGGGAGAAGCTTGAGTGCCATCATCAAGTCGATGAGAAAGCAGGAAGAAGACAAACTGGATGAGGAGGCCGATATTATGCGGCAAATGGAAATGGAGGAGTTGGAAATGCCCGCAAAGAAAAAGCAGAAATTACCAGAGGTTCACGTGCACAATAGCCAGGCTACGATGCCTTTGGGCCCTGACCGCGGATTCGAGTCAGAGAATGAAGTGCAAGACCCGAACAGCGACGTTCAGAAAACGTGGAAGAAGAAGGGCTTGAAGCGGCAGACCAGGCGTGTGATCAGTAAGTGTTGGTTCTGCCAAAAATCAAACCGCAGTCGACTAACACATTCGCAGTGAAACCGAGTTTCCCGAAGCCCAAAGCCGTACCGATGCATACCCAAGGGGATGCAACCGAAGAAGTCGACGAAATCCCCGAAACCCAGCCCGACGCTGACATTACTGGAGACGGACTCGATTTCTCGGAAGATGATGGATCGGAGTATGCAAGCGATGCCTCGCATTCAAAGAAGAAGGCGGTGGCCCGGAAGACAAACAAGGCGGCCGAAGCATCAGCTTTGCAGGGAAAAGACAACAGTAATCAAAAACAAGATGGACCGGTGAAGGCAGCAGCCCGTAAGATCAAGGCTACTGCCCACGCGAATTATCGAAGACTCAAAATTAAGAGCAAAGGTGGAAATGGCGGTAAAGGGCGGTTCGGGCGGAAAAGATAGGCGAATGAAGAGTTGTTCAGCCATGCGTGCGACCCGTGGAAGCGGAAATGGTCTGGTGAGATTACATGGTGGTTGCAGGTCGTGTCAGCCCTGTGCAATGTACATGTTAGAGATCTTCCATTGTTGACCTCATTTGTTATCCCTAAAGGTAGGGTGTGGCTGTTAGTATTGTTGCCTCTGTCCGCCTTTGAGACATAATGTGACTATCAGGTCATCTGGAACCTTGAAGCCTGCTCTCGTATATCTACTCTTGTACCCGCTACAGATAGCCCTAATGTCCCCGATAGTTAGCGACATCGTGCACTTAGCGACATACCTCTGGGCCCAGTATGGTGTATATCCGAAATCGCATATTTGAAGGTTACCATAGCGCGGTCATACCAACGGACCGCCCCTCGTCATATTCGTGGGGTATGACTAAGCGGCCGGCCAGCGTCGCCGCCTACCACCGGACCGCAAGCTCACAGCTCCCGCCGCCTCAACGCAACATCTCACCAACAATCACAACCACAACCACAACCACAACCGTTGATCCCTCACCCGCCCCATCTCTGTCAACTACCCCGCAAATAGTCTCCTCTGGAACCGCGAACACCTCCACTGCCATGGCTGAAAAAGAGCTGCAGGATGTCCTCAAACAACTCCACCAATCACTCCAGGCTCATAAATACCAGCAGTCGACCTCGCTTCTCTCACGAGCCAAAGTGGCCCTCCTACATCTCAATGCCCTTATACCCAGCTCAAATGTACCCCGCAAGCACCTTCTCCTCGCACGCGAGACACTCGAAATCGGCGCCATAGTCTCGATTCGCTTAAAGGATCAGGTGTCCTTCACTCGTTACTTCCAGCAGCTGCAGCCATTCTACGCCATACCCGAATTACAAAAAGACGGCGGAAATTCAAGCAAGATCACAGGGCTCTACCTGTTGCTACTGTTGAGTGATGGTGATTATGCGGGTTTCCATACTTTGCTGGAAACGCTCGAGGTAGCGGCTGCGCAAACCGGGAAGGGCCTCGAAGAAGACGCGTTCATTCAATACCCAATTCGGTTGGAACGGGCATTGATGGAGGGGAGCTACGACAGGGTTTGGGGCGAAACCAAGAGCGAGAGGGTTCCTAGTGAGGAGTTTGGACTTTTCTCAGAGGTACAGTATCCTTATCTCTCTTCATGTCTTTCACCAATCCTGGTATAAGTGATCGGATTGGACTAATATGCAGTAGGTTCTCATTGGCACGATTCGAAAAGAAATTGCGTCATGCAGTGAGAAAGCGTATCCCTCCATTCCCGTCTCCGACGCCAAGTCACTTCTTTTTCTGGATTCAGAAGGCAGCGTGGTCAAGTTCGCGCAAGAGTGTGGTTGGGTGGTCAAGGATGGGAGGATATATTTCCCCGCTCAAGACGACGAATATTCAAGCAAGGATATTCTAGTCACCAGCGATCAGGTGATTGAGAATACCCTAGGCTATGCGAGGGAGTTGGAGACGATTGTCTGAGCATAAGCAATTGATCGGAAATCTGAGGCGGAGAAACGAAACTTCCTTCCAAGTTTGCGTACATCTCGTCTGACGACGGCCTGGAAATCCTGTACAGACAGATGCAGGAAGGGCTTTGCGCCAGCGCAGCATCTGTACGATTGATTACTCAAGATTGCTCAGCAAGTCGATGACCGACTTCATGACATCTTGAACGAAGAGTCATAGAGCGGCACTATGCATGACATACGTCCTTAACGAATACATATTTTTACAATATTCGGGCTCAGCGCACAAATAATTTGCATAATAGCACTGTATAACAAACGTGGATGGTCGAAAAGGACTATACTTCAGTGAAATCCAACTTCGAATGTTTTCTACCTCTGTCATTTGCTGGAGGACATATTCCGCCAGATCCCCGGAATATCATTTCTCCACCCCCGTCGCCGCCGAAGATGCCCGCGCCCTGACCTCCGAGCTCTGTTCCTACATTCCCGCATCATCTCTCACAATGGCGAAAAGAGCATTACCCAAGGAGCAAATGGTCAAATTGATCGTGGGTGCAGGACAGGCGTCGCCGTCGCCGCCCGTAGGTCCCGCGCTAGGTAGTAAGGGTGTCAAGAGTATGGATTTCTGCAAGGTGAGTTGACATGGTTTACGGCCAACACGAGAGAAAAGCAGACAGGCACAACATCAATTTGCGCAGCTTGAGACATAGCTTGCAATCAATTGTTGTAGCACTCGCAATCACCAAACCTCGATCATATGGGCATCGACTCGCAGATCGCGAACCTAAAACCCCGTCCTCTCTTTCCCTTCATCTGATTCTTCTCGTGATGCAACACTACTCCACGCGTCGCACCATCTCCTGCATATACAAAGACTAACTCGACCTTTCTTTCTTTTCACACAGGAATTCAACGCCCGCACCGCACAATACATCACCGGCACACCCATCCCCGCCCTCATCACCGTCCGCCCCGACCGCTCCTTCCACTTCCAGATCCGCACCCCGCCCACCGCCACGATGCTCCTCACCGCGGCCGGCGCACCGATGTCCAAATCCAAAGTCCGCGGCGCTGGAAACGTGCCGGGACCTATGAACAACCAAGAGGGTCAAAAGGGCAAAACGAGTAACGGCAGCCCGACGAATGGACATGCGGCGTTTGGAACCGTGGGGACGGTTAGCTTGAAGCATGTGTATGAGATTGCCAGGATTAAGCAGAGCGAGTCGAGGCTCAAGGGGTTGAGTTTGGAGGGTTTGGCAAGGAGTGTGGTGGGGCAGGCGGCAAGCTTGGGGGTTGTGGTTGTGCCTTGAGTGGGCTCTTGTTTGGGAGATGTTGCCGTTTTTATCGATGCGCGGATTGGTACAGGGAACGCAAGAGGAGCGACTGGAGGGGGGGGGGGGGGGGTGTTGATATCTTGGAGTTGGGAGAGAAAGCATATTGTATGAATACGTGTAAAGAACGCGAGATTTAGGGCAAGCGGTACAGTCACAACTTTCTCTTAGGTTTATAAATCTGTACCAAAAGAGGGAAACTGTAGAGGGCTGCGTGGAATTACATCTGTAAAATCAGGGACTCGTAAACTACAGAAAAACAACCAGTTCTATGAATTCAAGACAGGCACTACGAAGAGGTAGGCTACGCGACAGTATAGATAATTTTCAGACTATTTGAAGATGCCCCAAATTATTATGTCTTCCCCTTTGTTAGGGATAAGGTGTACGCTATCATGTAACCATGCATTGAAACCACGAATTCTGTCGAACCACATCCTTTTCCTCTCCAGGAGCTAGTTTCCCCATATGAACTAAGCCATGTCGACAAATATATTGTTGATAGAAATTGATACTTGTTCGACTTGCCGGCCTAGTTTGGCGTTTGAGGGTACTCTGTGTCGTAGGTGTCGTGGCCATCAAAACACCGCATCCAGAGCGGCGAGTCCCAGGTTTTATCCGCGAAAAAAAAGGAAAAAAAAAATTACAAAAGGCCCGGGAGTTGATGCGCTACTCGGTCCTAGAGCATTTCTGCGCGCCATAGATCATGAGCATCTGAAGTGTCTAGCCACAACTCAAGAGAATCCGTATATGCCTCCTTGCTCTTGGAACTTCAACTGATACTCTCGCAGATCGGCCCAATGTCTGAGCTCGGCTTCTTCATCTACCGGCGCAGCGCCGTTGGACTCGTCCGTCTCAGGACTGATCCGTTCAAGTTTGTTTAGAACATCGAGGAACTTGTAGAGGTAGTCTTGGTGCTGTAAGGCCGCTGAGCCCTTGCGTTCTTTGGGAACGTCAAGCAGAGTGCGCGCTATAGATCGGATTTTCTGTGTCTGAGGGTACTGTTAGTATATGGGCAAATTAACGAGCGTCCGATGACTTACAAAGCTGTCGCCATTAGGTTCCATATTGACCATGTCAATGCTGCCCAACACAACCAGTAAGTCCTTAACCACCTGGTCCCTCTCGTCGGACATCCTCCTCTCCAGTTCATCTGGAACGGGGTTTGAGACGGGCAGCAACCGATCCATCCCAGAAACTGGCGCACCAGGGGAACTTTGAAGGGCCAGTTGAGTTTTGGCATTTTGTGACTTCTCCAGGAGAAGAAAGTACTTCTCTACGAGGAATGAGCGTATACTGAGATGCGTGGCGTATATATTTGCCTTCTGAATCTCGTACTGAGATGAAAGTCGTGCCTCTTGAGAATCAGTACCGTTGAACTCGTTAGAAGTCGGATCGCGCATGTCCAGAAATTCCGGCATTGGTGGATAATATGGCTGTTTGCGCAATCCGATCCCATTCTGATCGTCTTTACCTGGACGAATTTGCAGGCATTCGGGGATGCCTTCAATAGCGCGTTTACATTGCTGGAGAGCTTCATCAAGCATACGTTGCTGACGATCCCAATCGAATAGTTCGTCCAAACCGTATGCCATCTCCGCCAGCGACACTGTCGAATACGAAAGGTAGATCCGCACATTAATGTTGAAGCCAGTCACCTCTGGGACAACGTCAGGAGCTTGTGGAAGGATTTCATTCGGAAAGATGCACGAATCGTCGACTTCTAATGGGAGAGGCGGCAGCTGTTCAGTCGGCGTCGCGGGGGAAATGTTCAATTCCCCAAAGGAAGCACCAAGCTGTTGCATGGTTCTAAACGATCTGTTAGCAGCGCAACCAAGAACAGAAAGTAAATCTCCGCCCAACTCACCTCACACCCACAAAAAGAGTCCAAAATACCCTACGGCCAATCTGCTCGGTGATCTTATCCACCTTCAGATCGCTCGAACCATCAAACGGCGGTCCTTGCGAACCCAAGGCCTCGGGTAGTCCTCCCAGGGGCGTGAATCCTTGGTCTTCGGATTTATGAAGACCCAACGAGCGGATGATGGTCAAGCCCTCTCCGAAGTACAACCGCAGCTGTCTCCATTGGAAGATGTATGCGCCGGTCAGCCCCAAGAAATAACTGGTGCACGCATCGTATACGTTCAAGGTGGTCTTGTCTAAGTAGCCAACGCCACGTGCTTGAGCGCATACTTCTCTGCATTTATCCACCAAAGACAGGTGTGAGGGATAGTTGTGGCGCTTTTGCTGCGAGAGGTGTAGCCTCGGCTTTCGCGGGAACGAAGCCACCAGGCAGGCGATCATGGACGCGAGTAGAGACAGAAAGGACGGGTTTCTAACATCCTCGCGATTCTCCCACGCTTCCCGGAAGGAGGGCTCATGAGGGAAGGGGCACAGAGGATGAATGTAGGTGAAGAAGTCGTCTATCAGAGCATTCATAATGGGGATGGAACATATGGATTCAGCGGAGAGCTGAGGCGGAAGCGAGGACAATTGAGCAAGGGCGTGAGCCGCATTCGTAGGAGAGGCAGGATTGGGTTGGTCTGGACCGGTGCCATCACTGCCATCAAGGCGACGCTTCTTCTTGATGGCTTCGGCATGGCGGTTCGGGGGACCTCGACGTCGGCTAGGGCGGTCAAAGGTGCATGGGATCTCAAGAGCTGCGCACGCTCGGCACGGTGGGCCTGCTTCGTCGCATTTGACTTTGCGAATACTGCAGGAATCGCATGCCTTCCTTAAACGATTTGTCTTGTGCTGGTCGGGACTGGGCGCGACCATCTGCGCAGCGGGCGGCGCGGCTATTCGAGGGTCGGTCAAAGCATGACTTGCATGCTGAGCTTGCTGTTGCAACACGTCGCTCAAGTTCTCAATCTTCGCGTACATGTCCTGCTGGCCATAGTGCTGTTGCTGCTGCGGCTGCTGCTGCATGCGCTGGGGTGCACTACCCCCAACGGCGGCGCCATCCAGGGCAGACAGCGTCGACGGGTTCGAGGGCTGGGGCGGAGCAGGGTAGATAGGCGTGTAGTGCGGTTCATCGGCACCTGGCGGTGGAGGGTATTGGGACGACATTGAGGTGTGGATGAAGAAGTGTGTTCGCGTCGAGTCCGTACCGATGATTTCCCGCGACGGCAGGTCAGTTGGGTGCCAGCGCGGGCGAACTGAGCCTGCTTGCTCCAGCTATGGATGGTCAAAGTTAGATTTGGCGATTACTCATGCCGTGCTTGCATGGAATTGGGCCGTTGGGGAACAGATTGAGTAGCCTACCAGCGGTTGCTGTGCATGTGCAAATCTCGCCGAGCGCTCTCCGACCACACTATTTATCACTGGGTGACTGATGGATGGATTGTTCCGTGCACGACCAGAGCTCCACTCCACCGGCAGCTATCTAGCCAGAGGGAGGACAATAGAGCGGCAGAAAAAAAAGCCAATGGCGAGCAAGTTGCGCAACTGGGGGAAAGTAATAGTAATCAAATCAAATTCACTGAAGATCTGGACCTATACAACGAGTGAATGGTACCTAGCTCTTTTGGGCCTCGTAGCCTGCGATCAAACAAAAGGCTCATTAACACATCTAGAACTAGTACTCATCATATTGAATGTGAACCAACCCTATTGGCTAGAAAGCATTGCTGAAGAAAAAAAAATACCATCTTTCCAATCATCGCATTACCCAGATCGAACCAATCATAATTCATTTCCATGCAGTCGTGTAATTGTTTTCTCTCCAGTGGGAATTCCACCAGGCCACAATCGACTAAGGATATCAAAAGCTCGCCCTGCACCTGCCCAAGAATACCTGATGCCTTCAACCTCCGAACTGATTTTTCCATAGGTTGTCAATCCCACATAATAAATCATCATACGTTCGTACCATACGTGCCCACATCATCTTTTATTGTTTGGCCTTCGCCAAGCACTGTACTCTGCTACCACTCGGATTGTCAGACCGAATCTTCACTCGAGGAGTCGTGCTGAACTGGAGGCTTGCTGGTTCGGCATGGAGTGAAGTCTAAGATGTCACTCTTTGGTCCCGCGTCAATAAATCTCCTCAGACACCAACCCATCTGCACAGCCGTGAACCTCTCGTGCCCCAGAGGATCAATTTGTTTGCCTTTGACAAAAATCATTTGGTTTCGACTGTCTTCACGATCGTACACCTTATCAGAAGAACCCCATGCAATGATGGCGAGCTTCGAAGCCCGGTTGTTGTCAGTTGCATGCGAGACCGAACGCTCGAAGCCTTGCTGGGCGATCCCTTGTAAAAGGTGCTCGTATGTTTTACGGGAGAGCTTAGTCGATGACGGCTCGTTGTTGGGCCACGTTGTGATGTTCAATGTGACCAGAGATGGCAGATCGCCCAAGCAGTTTTGGAAATTGACAAAGGATTCTTGCTTGGTATCGAGAACGCTGACAGAGGGGAATGCCACCGAGATCTGCTCCAGCAGCGGACAGCCCTTGCAAATTTGCGAGAAAGATGAGTAGTCGAACACTGACTCCGGTTCGCAGTCATCGCCCTCGCTCGCATGGATGTTCAACTGTTTCAACGTTTTGCCGTGTCGAATGATACCAGCCGAAGCGGGAAGCTGCTTCGCAAACGATATGTCAAGTGTCAGTTGCTGAATTCCACTGACCAGACACATGAAGCCATCCAGAGCTCCGAGGCAATCGTTTTCGGCATTGTCGCTGTGCTTAACCTGCAAAGTTTCTAGCTTGTTTGGAAGTAACGTGCTCTTGCTCAGCTCTGCCAACAGCGCATCGGCACCGGGACAGAAGAATAGTTTGATCGAATTCACAGAACGAAAATCAATAATCTTGCAGTAGGTGCTGGCAGCATATCGCAGATTGATCTTCTGCAGCGTTACTTCCTTTAGGGCGATTGGTGTGCATTTTTCGAATGGTTGCATGTGGCTGAAGATGGTAGATGTGATTAGGCCTGGTGCAGTGCTAGAATCGTTCAACTCGCGTTCAGGAATTACGTCGTCGGCCTCTTCGAAAGACGTGTGCAGCGTCATCTTCTCGATTTTCCGTGTATTCTTGACCAAAAAATGGCAGATATCCAAAGTCTGACGAGATTCCGGGTACAAGCCCAGCTTGACGGTGTTCTGAAAGACATTGCCAGCATCGGTGACTTTCTGCAGTGCTTGTAAATCGCTCTTGTCCATGGAGATGCCTTCTAGCCATTTCATCTTTCGCTGTTTCTTGTAGAGCAGTACGAGGCTGTCATATTGGAATATAGACCAAGGGTGCCATGAGAACTTTTCCAGAATGTCTTCGGGCAGGAACTCCAAGATCATGCGAATGGAAAGGTGAGCCATTTTCAGCTGACCGCATTTGTCATATGTGTCAGCGAGATAGAGATCCATCTTGCGAATGTGTTTGAGGCCAATGTTCTTGGGACTCAGAAAGGCTCCGAGACGAGTGTCATCGTCGGAGCCCACGTCCAGGACAACCTCATGGTAGAGCTGGCGAACAGCGATTTCGTGCAGTAGCTTGTTGGTGAGACAGATGTTCTTGAGGTCGGTTGGTCGGATGATCTGATTGGAGCTTGTTAACCCCGAAGGCTGTGCGGCTTTGCTTGCGCATTACTTACGTGTTGAAGAATGAGGGTCTTGATGTCAACCGACAAATCCATGAAGTTGAGTCGAGCCATGCTGTCTGCAGGCGGATGCAGCAATGTGTGGCCGGGCGCAATCTAATCAACGGGGAGGAGACGCACGGTGGCACATGGAGCAAACCGCACTGGGCAAACAATTGGGTCACGAGGGGCGGAAAGAAAGGATTGCAGCAGCGGTGAGAGAAGCAGAGGCGCGAGAGGATCTGCTGTCCATCAAAGAAATGAATTGTTCTGGGGAAGCTAGGGTGATGAGCCAGGGTAATATAATAGAGAAGATGGGAGCTGGGTACTGCTGCCTAGAGGGCAGGTCTTGACCGGTTGTTCGTCTAATACGTGTGAAGCAGTTGAGGTGCAAACGCAATGTCAAACACAGGCAATGGCGGATTGACTCACTGCCTGTTCGACTGAAGCTTTCAGCCTCACAGCCGCGGCCATTTGCTCACGTTCAGCCCACGCCACGCTGACCATCTTGGATTTGTATCTCTATGGCGGAGCCGTGCGCCCTTTGTCCCCAACCAATGCTGTTGGTGGCTGTTTGTAATTGGTCTCTGCGGCCAGTATCCAGGGTGCATGAGTGACATGTGCATACTTCACTAGTAACCCTTGTAGCGACCATTGCGTTGCGTGATGTTGGGACAGTCTACTGCTGTTCGTCGCAGAGGCTGCCACATGCGGCGCAGTTGCTACATGTAGTATTGGAGCTGCTATTAAATAATGTACTACTGTCTACTTTGCCTCTTGATCGAATGCAAGACTTGCAGACTGATGAATACCGCTCCGTTGCCTGACGAATAAGTCCGTCCAGTCGAATGGATGAGAGGAAAGAATGCACATATCCCAACAGCCTACGTTGCAAAACGCCATGATCCTAAAACCCCTCGCTATGCAGACAGGATGGTAAAAAGACAAGAACAAGAAGAGAAGAAGGAAAACAAACGACAAGAATTTTCGGGTTCTACTCCTCTTCACTCGCTGATTTCTCAAACTCGGCCACGAACATCGCCTCCAAGCTATTGTCATAGTCCGACTCATCTAAATCGGCACCTCCACCCTGTGGATCGAAGACCTTGCCCTCGTTCTCCACCTGGTCTTCCTCAGGTCCAGTGGTTTCCGGACTAGGTAAGCCAGAAGATTTTTCTGCATTGGTAACGTTCGTCAACGACGTCACACGTTCCATGGTCCGCTTCTTCTTCCTTTCCAGCCTAGACGTGCTGTTCACGCTCGTATCACTGTCTTCGGCTTCACTGTTGTCATTCGATTCAGTTTTCGTCCTTCGCTTCCTCTTTTTGTTCGCTTTACGTTCAGACTGGGCGCTGTCCGTCGAACGAACGCTTTCAGAATCGGAAGCGCTCGCCCCGTCTGTATCAGACGATTCGTCCAGAAAGTCTTGGAGTTCGTCTCTCATCGAGTCCCACTCGTCATTCGACATGGCAAGCTGAACAGATTGTTGGGGGTCCTCGCCGCCTTCATCTCCACTACCATCAAGGCTGTCGTCTTCTAAGCCGTCTATGGGAGATCCAGTTCGATCGTTATCATCCAGTTCGATGAGGTACGGCTCTTCCTCGACGTGCTCCCACTTGGTGCAGCATTGGAACATCCACTCAGCATTGACAATCTTGATGTTGGGGTACCGCGCCGCCTTCTTCACCTTCGTCGTCTTGCGATCCGGGTTGGCAATTACGTGAGTCGTTTGTCTGTTCACGCTCGTCGAAATACGAGCGCCGAAGCTTTTCACCCAAAGCGCAAAATCGGAGCTAATCATGGTCAGTCGAAATCTGGCTCCGAGTTGATTGCGGTTACTTACTGTTCGACATCCATCCCCAAGGGTATGATTCCAGAGAAGACGATGACGCAACCATCCAATGTTTCCCGTTTAAGCCGCGGCATGATTTCAGCCACATCAGGCACTACCGTCTCCAACGGCGGCTTCTTCGGACTTTTGTGGCCTTTGAGCTCCGCTACGCGCCCACTGTAGGGCATAGCCTTTTTCCTCAAGTATTCATCGTAAAACGTCTGGTGAACTAACTTCAGGTTGGCCTCGATGACCTTCAACCCTTGATCATCATCGTGCAAAACACTGTGTCGGTGCTTGTGATTCTCAATGAACTGGGTAGAGCCGTCTTCGGTTGTTTGTAAAGACTGCTCGATTTCTGTTTCTTCGTCTTCCTTGTCGAGTACAAGCTGTTGTTGTAGCAAGGGTCGCTCGGTTTGTTGTGTATTTATGACTTTCTCCTGTTCTTTGAGGTGTTCTTCTAGGGCTTCCTGACTTTCTCCGGCACCCATAGAGAGGAGTTGCTGCTCGAGGTTAACCGAACCATTAGTAGTCTCTGTAGACGTGGCTTCTGTAGAGGTAGCATCGATCGGTTTGCCCGCAACGGAAACGGTAGAAATGGTTTCGGCGTCCGGATCGCTTTCGACTTTTGCGTCTGCCTCGGGAGTTTTCGCCTTCGGCGTTTGAGTCACCAGCTCTTGCTGTTTCGGCAAAAAACTAGCGTTGATATCCCCAGCACCCGGGAAGAAGTTGAAGACGGGCACGCGGACCAAATTTTCGCAATAGCCCCAAATATCCGCTCGATCATCGATGATGACAGCCAAATCGCTATTGTTGGGGAACAGACGATGCAAGGTCTTGAGTTTATCAGTGTAATTTTCGTCGCGACTCAGGATCCTGTCACCGAAGTATTTTCGCTGAGGATCGATTATCTTGGCCACTTCCTCGGCATAGGCACGGGTAGCCATGGTGTAAATGTGCATCTCATAGAGCTTTGACATGCTCTCAAAGAAATCGGCCAGACCCGGGCGCATCTTGACGTAATACCAGTTTGATGCGACATGAGCAACATTATCGTCAGCCAGCTGGAAGCCTTGCACATCTTTGACAGCGTTGTAATTTGGGTTGTTTGGGTCGTCCTTCCATTCGGCAATTGTGCGCTCACAGGTTGTGTGAATGACGGTTTGGTCAAGATCGACGATGAGAGAAAGCTTCTTCGCTTTCAGCAGGCGCAATTTGGAATCTTCTTCGGCACGACTGGCTTCCTTTTCACTTATGAGGAAGCTGGTATTGCCGTGTGTCATGTTGATGCTGACGCGGTTGATGTTGGCTTTGTCTGTAAGATAGTCGACCTCAGTCATGTCTTCGCCGCAGTTGACGCAAAGGCCGCCGAACTGTTGCTCGTGGGTGCATGGCTCTTCGATATCGAGAAGCGCAACACCTGCGCGTTGAATGACGGTGCCCTTCTTGATAAACCACCTCTCGACAATGCCATCCAGGGAGGACTCAAAGCGGACGGGGAATTTCTTCTTGACCTCGACCTTGTCGCCCCATTTGTTGCCCTCTTCGACGGTGGTCTCGTAGAAATAGGTGAAGAGATGGTCGGAACGCTTGACCTTGTCGCCGGCGTCGCGCGCGAGGTCGCCGATGGATATTGGGTAGTGGATATCGGGAGGCGAGATGATCTTCATGGCAGGCTCCCATGCGAAATGAACGAGGTGACGGGTAGTTGTATGTGTAGCTAGGCGCGTCGCGATCGATGTAGTGGGCGCATTCGGTAGGTACTAAGCTGGGGGAGGAAGGAGGAGGGGAGGTGGAGCTTGGGCGCAACAACAGCTACTCGCGTCACCAAAGGAGGGAGCTACTGTGGAGCTGCTACACCACCTTGAGCGAGTGTGTTTGCTTGCTTGGGTGGGTGGGTGTTGAGGACGTGTGTGGATTGCTTGCTGCAGCTGTATATATAAGTGTGTGTGTGTGTGTGTGTGTGTGTGGTATGTCGTTATGGGGGCTGGCAAACAACAGTGGACAAGGATTAGCTCAGAGCTCAATGGAAAGTAATATGGGCGCGCGGCAAAGGCTTGCTTGCTTGCTGCTCCAAAATGCGAGGGGTTCTGGCTTTAATACGTAGGCGACCTCACGCTAAGGCGAACCCCTGTACTCAAGTGCTTCAGCCCCACGTGATCCTGCCTGCCTGCCTGCCTGTCCTCCGCTCAAGCACTTGAGTGCTGCTGCTGCCACTGCCAGGCTGCTAACATCCACCGCCCGAACAGAGAACAAAGAACACGCACGCACACACATTCCGCTTGCGCCATTGCCCGTATTCGTCTGCGAGCAATCCATATCCTTTATATTCGTCCATGCCTCGGTCCTACATACATTATCAACCCCAACATCGAGACCTTCGCCTCGTGTTCCTCTACCTTCCCAACATACTCACCACAGCTAGTCTATGTTATGTAGCCCATTCTGCTCTTCAACCCCGTCATTGCTCATGCTCTCATGTCTATGCAAATTACAATCCCACACTTGCTGCGCCGTCATCAACAATGAAAAAAAAATTATTACCCTTGGACGTAGGAGCAAACTACTCTCTGTGCGCAGACTCGGACGTTCTCGATGCACCCATCCCCTTCATCACCATGCTGCCTAATGCGAGAGACCCACCTCCACCGCGTGATGCTCGCATTCCCGCCACAGGAGATGGCATCTCGTGTTGGCCAAACTCGACTTCTCCTTCGTCGTCGATCATGGTCCAATCATCCTCGCATTCTTCATCAAACTCGTCGTCTTGTTGGCTGTGTTTCTTGACCAGCGCCCTGGCTCGGTCGAGTTCGCGATAGATCGTCTGAATCGCGGTTTGCGTTCCATTGTCCTGATTGTGTTAGCAAATCTGCATCTTCTTAGTATATGACTCCTTAACAAAGACTCACTTTGCGGATCTTCTCGCCCAGCACCTTCGCTTTGATCACCATGCGCTGGCTGTTCGTAGCTTCCCACAAAGCTCGACTGAAGACACTAGTGTTGACCTTTTTGAGCCATATGCCAACCCCGAGATCTTCAACACGGGACGCGAAAAAGTACTGATCCCCAAAGAATGGCTTGATGATGGTGGGGATGCCCGCTCGGAGACTCGCTCCTGTAGTACCTGAGCCTCCGTGATGAACAGCTGCGTCCATTTGCCTGAAGAGCCAGTCATGAGGCGCTGCTTGTATCTGGAAGATCTCTGGTGGAAGCGGCACTTCGGGTTTAGAGGCGTCTTTCGGGTTCAATCTGTCAGACCATCCTTTGGAGAGTACACAGCGTACATCGGCTTTCAAGACGGAGTCGACCACTGTTTTAGTGAGTGCCGCAGGGTCATCGATGACTATAGAGCCAAATCCAACATAGACCAGTTTCTTGTCGTCCTTACGTGCTTGTGCGATGAATCCGAGGAGATCGGCAGGTGGTTCATAGCTGTCGGCTTCGTCAAGGAACCAGTAGCCAGTGACGCGTATCCAGTCAGGCCAATCAAGCGGCGGCGGAACCACTGAAGGACTGAAGTTGTACAGGAATGGCCGGAAATTTGCCTGCATCTTGGACTGGGACGTGTTCTGTAATCCGAGCTCGGAACGACGCCACTTGTTGATTTGACCAGAGATAGCTGTCCAAAAGATCTTGTCGAAACCAACATATGTTAGTAGGTTGATACCTCCGCCCATCTTCTTCTCAGATACCGAAAAGGCGTGGGGATAGGCCCTTGTCCTGCTCCAGGGCATCGTGAACGCTCGGAAGTATGGAATCTCCAATGCTTCAGCGATGTGAATACCAGCCATGGCGCTTGGGCTCTCGATCAGAACGTCAGCACCCTGGCAAGCCCTCCACGCAGAACTGCAAACGTCATCGAGCCAGCCTCGAAATTTGGAGTTTGCCTCTTTCATGAAATTGTACGTGAACATACCATGCTCAACACATATCCTCATGAGTTCCGCCGGGTTGCCATCCACAGGTGCAAAATCAATCCCATGCTTCCTAACCCATGGCTCGAATTCCGCGTGTGTCGCGATCTTTGGCTTATGCCCTTCTTTCAGGAGTTCTTTGCAAAGGGCAATATACGGCTGAACATCGCCACGAGAACCGATGGTCAAACAAACAATCTGGAGCGCTTCCGGGGGTTTAAAGTCAACGATCGATGCTAGCGGGTCATCGAAAACAAGCGGGATCCGATCGTGGTCAGCGGCGCGGACAACCTGAGACTCCGAGGCGGTAAGATCGGGGCCATTGTCTGGGCGAGCTGCCTGGAGAAGATCATGCTCTAGTTTGGCCGCTTCTTCTTCGCTATCTGCATCACTTGATGAAGAGCGTTCATCTTCGATATACTTCGTGCTTTCCAGCGTTCGGAGGATGGAGATTGCGCATTCGTCGCGATATTCTGCCTTCGAAAATTCGAAAAACAGCTCTTCATGTCCGCGAATAACAACCACAAGACCGTGATAACCGAGTCGGAACCCTTTCTCCTTGCTAACGTTTTCAATGTCCCGCATAGGTAGTATGATCTACAATGTAAAGTATTAGATAAGCTTTGAGATAATTTTGATGTACGTACCTTGGTCTTCAAAGTAGGTACAAGACTTCGAAAGCAAAAGTAGCGGCCACTGATGTAAATCTTGCCATAGTTGGGCAGGATCCGTTGAAGCGAAGCGAAATACGAAGACTGTAAATGCTCGGTTTCTGGGAAAGCAAAGTGCTCTCGGAAATGATCGGCTGCTTTGGCAGCGTCTTCATCCTCTTCGAGACCGTGAACTTGATCGTCGGGCTGCAACCCGTCAACCGTGTTGTAGTGCTTGCGCCCTCCTGCTAGCATTCCCGATACTTTCTCAATGTAACCCATGGATTCGGTTGCAAGTAAGTTACCCATTTTCTTCGAACGGGTGCGCAGAAATCCGGCAATACCCGAGGCCTGCTTGAGCGGATAGGAAGCGATGTCTTGAAGAGCGCTTGAGGAGGTTGAAAGTCGGGCGGCGGAGTGTTGAGGGTCCTGGTCGTCCTCCACGTCCAGATTATATAGTGAAGGCTGGGCGTTTCTAGGGGGACCCGAGGGTTTGCGTGAAGATTGCGGGTCTTTCACACCAGATTGAGGGTATGTAGCGTTTGTCGAGCGCGTTGTGTCCAGTGACTGCCTCGCTGGGCTGTTTGTCTTTTCTGAGGCAGCAATACCTTGAGAATGAAGCGCGGGTGCGTTGAAAACGTCGGAGCGAGCTAGGATCTGACTGGCCGAGGCGCTGCTCTCATCGATTGACTGAATAGCGGCAGAAGACTCCGTGCCAGGATCCAGGGAATTTGTCGCCGAATCCGAATTATCAACAACTTTTGGTGAGAGAGGGGATCTGTCCCCTGGACGGTTCTTAGACTGCCGCGTGCCGCTGAAGCTGCGACGTACTTCGTAGCTTGGACGACGGAGGGTGCGACTTGCGTCCATGCTACGGCGCGCGTCCACACTCTTCCTATTTACATCCAAACTCGAGCGGGAATCAGCGCTGATGCTAGAGCGTCCTACGAGCGGGGCAGGTAGAGGTGAGAGAGTAGCTCGCACGTTCTCTTCAATATGAGGAGCACTAGGCGTGTTGCTCGAGGTCCTTGTCGGATCAGCCTTATTGGATGAGCTTGGAACTGTCGGTGTAACAGCGTTCTGATCGTTCATTCGTGATGGCTGATGGTGCTCGTTATCGTTGATCATGATACGAAGAACATTGAGTGCGTCCTGGCCACGATTAAAGAACGAGAAAAAGTACTATCTCAAAATTAATATTTCACAGGCGTAGACCAATGACAAGCATCACGATTACATACCTCATCAATCGCATAAGTCTCATCGTTGTCAATGACACGAACTTTGACGGTCTCAGCAAAGTCGAGGATTGTACTTTCCTCGATCTCCAAGACGTTCTGTATGGGTAGTGAAATTTTGACGCTGTTTCCTTCATTGTGCGTGCGGAAGATGACTTTCTGTATCGAACGCACCCATTCCTTCGCGCTCACGGCACTATCGGCTTTGAACTGATACCTTCTTTCGTCGGTCTCTACTATAAAGGTGGTTTCGTCTTTGTTTTTATCCTTCGTTTCCAAAACTTCGGCGGATATGGCGTACTGTAGATTGATGCGATTGCGAGGGAAATAGAGCTCGGTGGGATTCGTATAGTAGGCGAGCACGTCGCCTTTCATCGTGAACCAATACCGATTATACTTTGAACGTCCCCGTTTGGAAAGATAACCGCTTTTACCTACATCATGCTGTTCATTGTGAGCTGCGGTCACGTAAGTACCACGCTTGGGCACTTACATGTTTTTTTGGTATATACGCATAAAAGCAGACGTGCTTTTGAGTAATATACATGTAACCTTGTAACAAGATGCTCTGTAACAGCCAGCATGGATATTCTATTAAAGTCAGAACAAGCCTCGACCTGTGTGGGAGCGTGTATATACCTGATATAACTTCCTCGGCCTCCTCGAAATCAAAGACGGTCTGTAGTCTTTGCGCAAGTGTAATGGACCCCTTTCCTTTGATCAATCCTCCAGAGCCTCCCAGTTTCATCTTGTTTGTAACGCTACGTCGCTTCTCAACATATATCTCCTGGCCGGGCGTGATCTTTGACTTATGGCGCAGCGGCTGTTCGCCATGATGGGATGTCACCGGATCGCGGTGGGATGATTGCGGAGGTAAGAACTGAGAAGACGACATGCGATCTTCCGACGTGGCATCTGATTTCGATTCTCTTTTGCTCGATATGCGTAATTTCGGCAGAGATCTTAGCAGCTTATGATCCGATTTCGTTCGCTTATGTTTCTCCTGAGGTGCTTTCCCATCTTCAAGGCTGTCTGGGAAGGTTTTGAAGTCATGAGCAGAGCTCAGTCGGCTAACTCTCGCAGCACCGTCCAAGTTGTGATATGGCATTTTGTGTTTTCCTTCCTCGTCACTCTCGCCGGAATCGACTTCGTCCATTCGTCCCAAATCAGTCTGAGATTGCTGGCCCGCTCTAGCAATCATGGAGAATATCGACTGATTCATAGATATGGCGTTGTTACGTTTCGGTGCAGTGACATCGTCGTCAGCGTCAGCTCCATCTTGGAAGCGCTCTGGGATATCGAGCGAGATGCGCCTCGACTCTCGCTTCTTCTTGGTCAATTTGCGAGTCACTCGCTGACTCCCTCTGTCTTCGGAAGCCATGTTGTGGATGGGAAGGGTAGCACCCTAATGTTTGGCGTCGGATCTTGTATGGAGTTTTCTCGACGAGCGTCGGTGAGTGGGAGGTGCAGGCAGAAGGCGGAGGAGTCCAGAGGACGGTGGGATGAGTGTGCGGCTGGCTACGTCGACGAGCACGGTAAGATAAAGGGAGCTTGTGAGACTGCGTCGGGCAGTGATTGTAAAGGGGTTTTGGTCACATATTGACTTGGTAATGACTAGAGATTTGGAGGAGCACTGACGCCTGACTTCCACCACGCTCACGGGTCGCGACTTAGTGGCACCCCTGCACCCTCGCCAGATAAGTCGAAGGCACCAATAGAACACGCACGTTTACACTCAACAATCACGAGCCGAAGCATCCTGCTAACATTTTGTGTACACACTGCTATCTCCATGTCCGCCTCCGCCTGTTCTTTCTGACATCTATTCCCGCTTGCTTGTTTGACCAAGTCCGCTCTCAGGGAAGCCAAGCATGCTAATGGATTGCACCCTCAGGCGGCCGTGAGCAAAGCCACCCTCTCTCTACGTCACTCGCGGCCAGGCCAGACTCCATTTATCGATAACGGAACGGGCACTACCTGGTTAGCTTGGTCTTACTCCGCAATCTTGACTGTTGGCGATAACATTATCTGCGTACTATAACGTCTCAGCTTCCTTCGTGCACACTTGTCATCATATTGCGACGGCTGTCAATGTATTTGTTCATTTATCCTTGTGTACAGAGAACCGGTACTCCCGCCATTACCGTCCCAAGATATCATTACTACAAATTGAGCCAGGCGCTGCCCATGGGACTCATAACCACTGATTTCAAACTGCGTCCCCCACCACGGGCCACGCATACACTTTGTCTACCTCTCCGTAACGATGAGAGCTTACTTTGACTTGGCCAAACCGACGGCATTGTTGCCGACATCGTAGACGGAATACCACTTCCTCAGGAAAGCATCGCCGAGGATGGCTAGGGGACCAACGGGCTCGGGGAAGTCCATACCCATGAAGGCAGAAATGCAAGACCCTTGCACTTCGAGGATGTAGTCGTAAGCACTAATGGTGAAGTTGTGGCCGGTGAGCGTAAAGGTCAGGTCGGGCAGGCCATCACGCTTATCACACTCGACAGTGTATTGTCCATTGAACGACTTCTTTGCGCCAATCTCCTTGTTCCTACACATAGTTAGCGCTGGGACGCGTTGCACGGTGAGAAAGGTTCGCATACAGTAGCTCTGCCATAGTAGAAGGAAGAGCAATGAGGGAAGTACCAGTGTCAAGAATGACACCGGTGTTGTCCATCTCTGCTGTCTCGTCGCCAAAAGTGATGGCATCCAAATCAACCTCCCAGTAGGCCTTGCGCCTCAAGGGAATCTTGACGAGCTCACCAGTGTAGTGATCCTTGTTAATACCTCCGAAAATCGCCTCGGATTCCTTCTGATCATTGGTATCACCAAGGTAGAAAGCAAATACGGGCTCATCCAAGAGGCCCTGTTCGATCATGTTGTAGAATGGGGGGACAATGCCGTTGACACTAATGGTGTCGTAACCAAGGCCCATGATGCCATCGAATCGGCCAAAGGCAAACGCAAGGCCAGGTTCGGAGGTGGCCTCGGCGAAGTCCTGCTTCTTGACCTTTAGATCTCCAATCTGGAAAGTGTCTTGGGAGACGAATCCCTCGAGAGAACCAGAACCATAGCGGATGGCGAAGTCGGATCCGTTCTTCTTGTATGTCGAAGATGACGATGAGTCATACTTCGTGTGGAGGTAGCAGGCAATGGAACTGCATTCGGAAGACGGCACCCAAAGGTTGGAGCTTCCGGTGTCGAGAACAACTTTGAAGGACTGAGGAGGAGTACCGAGTGAGATCTCGGAGAAGTCTATGGAAGGTCAGCAACTCGGTCGACTCGCGGAGGACGGGAGCTCGTTGCAACGTACACTGTGCGTTCAAGAAGTTGGTTACAGGAACTGGGTGTGTTCCATCGGCCACATAAGGGGCCTTGAAGACTTGCTCAGTATGAGTCTCAGGCTTGATTCCCATGTACTTCTGTCCCAAAGCCTTTGCGTGCTCCTGGAAGTTCGCGTATTGCTAACAACTAGTCAGACCAGCTCTTTCAATGGATGCGCCAATGCTGGCTACAAAAAGTGACTTACGAGCTGCTCCGAAAGCGACACCTTCTTGAGCTTCATCTTGTGGACGCCACCTTGGACGCCGGAAGCGGCGGCGGCCGCCGCGAGGAAAATAGCCGTCTTCATGACGATGGCTTTGGAGGTACGGGCCTTGTATTGATGATATGCAAGACGAAGAATGAGAAATAAGGGTGTGGAGAGATGGGGTAAACGGCGGGGAGGATGGAAGAGAGAAGGAAGGAGAGTGTTTGTGGAGGAGCTCTGGAGCTTGACTAGAGGGTCAAGTGCTCACGCTCACGCACGAAGAAGGCTGGGGCGGTGCTCGGACCAGCAATGACGACTGATAGATTGCCGCCTAGCTGCCCCTGCTATGCCGTTTTGGGGTTGCCAAGCTGTTTCGTTGACAAGTAGTGAATAGTCCTTGCTGTAAGATGATGAGATGGATACCGTCGGCAATCCCTCTCCATCCAATAGCAGCCTTTGGCCATCCGTGGTTTCAATACATTACGCTGCCAGTAGAGCGTTTTGCCTCCTCGTTGCCTTGGTTTCCAACTCCCCCTCAGCGCCGTATTCACTACTTCCCACGCGCCTGTACCTGCTTTAGTCACGCGGATTCGAGGCACTTGGAGCTTCATACACCATCCGCATAGTGACATTCCGCGTGTCTTGTTCTCTTCTATATTCTCCCCTGCCCAGTATGCTTATTGAACATCAAGTGCGTCTAACTCCCATCTGCACGGAGCTCAATCCTCATCCAATGTCGTTGTGGCCATCATCAGCCTTTCTAGCAAGTCCGTCACAATCTTACATGCCCACTTGATCGTCTCCTTCTCTCGTTTGTTTGCCGTGATCTCCGTCTTGCCCACCACCTTCTTCATAAAATACTGCAACCCTGCAATCATCTCTGGACTGCCATCCACATTGATGAAGACGTTCAGCACCGCTTTCTCGTCCCGCTTCTGTTCCTTGTCTTTCTTCCCTTTGACTTTTCTCTGCGATTCAAGAATCGCCGTTACCAACATGATTTCCACAAGTCTGTTGGTCTTGGCCTTTATGTAGGGAAAGTTCAACGGTTTCAGAGTTGTAATGGATAGCGCGTCCTTCGCCATCAGCGTACCGTACAGCTTACCGAGGTTAACCAACTTTCGCAACGAAACATCGCCTGTTACCTCACCACCTTGCTCCTCGTCGTCCGAGCTGTCGTCGTCACCGTCTTTTCTTTCGCCTAGACTTTTGAACACGTCCCACAGCGCGAACTGAAAGCACTTCCTTGACTTGTGGTCCAAGCAGAATTTCTGAGCGAGCAGGGTATAATAAGGATTGTAGGTGCTTTCGCACCCTGCACAGTGCACAATGACACGCGGTATTTCGGTTTCTTGAGCCTTCTTCAGGTTCAACTTCAACAGGCGGACATGTGCATCCTTGTAGTCACTTGCCGACATGATGGTGATGAAAATCGCTCTTCGTATATCGGTATTCATGCGCTGTTCCCTTGCTAACTGGAAGAGATCCACTTCGCCTGTTTGCTCGTTGAGATCCGTTTCTCCAGTATGTGTCTCTGTCCGTTTTGGCAATGGGTCCTCGGCTTCAGCAGCATCGTTGCGCCAGCTTGCTCCCACCAGCCACCACTTGCCTTTCTTTTCCGTGTCCTTGATGTCCTTGAGGCCTATACGTAATGGTTCCGATCCTTTGAGGTTATGGCTGTTCAACGTCCCCAATTGCTTCTTCATCCTCACAACGTGTTCGCTGGCCACGGCCGAGGCAGTGATGCCGGTTTTCATCTTGTTGTTCTTCAGGTCGTTGATGGTCTCGATCATGAATTTCGTCCGGACCGATAAAGTGCCTTCCCCAACCTTCGTCACCAGCTTCTGGATTAGCAGCACAATATCCTTCAATGAGCTTGGATCGTCTTGTCGGAGCTGCGATCCAGCCACTCGAACGATCCTCAATATTAATTCCGTGTGGATCTCCGACATTTCATCCAAGAATAGTCGGAGGTAGTCGAAAATGAGTTTGCTCCCAATTGCCTGAAAGCAGTAAAGTTCTGCTAAAACTGACACAAGATTTGTTGTCTGCTTCCCTTGCCCATCTTTGTTTCGCTGATAGTTCCGGTCGAATTCGGATACAATACGTTCTAACATCTGTGCTCCAAAATCAGGACCAATAACCTTGTATACAGCAGCGATGAATCCCGCATGGAGAATCAAGAAGGTATCCAAAAGAACTGTCTCGTCGGCCAGTAGCCCTACGAGCAAATCAATCAATGTTGAAGTCACGTATCCACGGGGGTTATTCTGGTATACTGCTTCAACGTCGCGCAGTATAGTCATGATATTGGCATCGGAAAGCCTGTTGAGAAGACCTTGTATCTGTCTGCGAAGACGTGATAGCGCCTCCACATCGGATGAGGGTGGTGCTCTTAGAGCGGGAGGAATATATTTGCCAGGTTGAGGTGCATTGGCCGCGACGGGTGCCACGTAGGGGTTCTCCTTGACACGTGGTGCGCCAATTGCATCTTTGGGTTCGGCATCGAAGCCTTCGAAATCGGAGGCGTCGCTCGAACCGAGGTCAATTTCATTCGAGTCCCCATCGGCATTCGATGCTCCACTGATGTCTGACTCTTCGTCCGAATACTGATCATCCAGCTCCAGCTCCTCGTCAGACGTTGAATCTTCCTGCTCTGCTGACACTCGGGCAGGTTTGCCCAAAGCTCTCTGGCGTTTACTTGCTAACCAATCGTCATCGTCGTCCCTCTTCCGCTTCGACTTTTGGTGGGTAAAATTCTCTTCATCCTCACTGTCCAAGCCCCCTAAATCACCCAATACATCGTCCAAGCCATCATCGAGATGTTTGGACTTCTTTTTACCCCTGATGCCCAACCTCTTTTCGAGCGCAGAGATCTCGGCGTCGTCCTGTGCAAGACGATCTTTAACGGCCCGCGAGATTTTGGGGCTGTTCCTATCTGATTTTGTATTGTCCTGGATCGCCTTTTTGGATGGCTTCTGACTTATCCCCTTTGTATCAATATCTTGAGTTGAAGGTGGTACTGCTGGCCTTGGACTGTCTTCCTCGTCCGATGATGACTCGGTATCGCGCTGTTGTTCGGGTCGCTGTCGAGGTGCGTTCTGACTACTCCGGGCAAACTTTGGCTGGGTGGGCTTCTGAATCTTTTTGGCCTGTCGTTCTGCTTTCCGGATGTCTTTACGTGTGAGAGGTTTGTAATGTCGCGAAGGGGCGCGTTTCTTTGCAGTTGCAGTATCTAATCAGGTCAGCTATTGAGAATACGACCCATTCGCGCGGAAACAAAAGGACTGCTATTATGCATATAATCATCTAGACTTCACAAGCTTACCTCCGATTTGGTCCCTCAGTGCTTTGGGGAGCTGAGGGCCTCCACTCGGTGGTTGGCGCATCGTCTAAGAAATTGTGTCGGGCCCAGGTTCAAAAAAAGTTCCATCCAATTTGCGGAGTTAACCCCCGCCTTCGCCGCAGACGCACAGACCACCTTTTACTGTTAATTCGACATCCCACCACTCCAGGGTGCCACGCCTAATATCAACCACTGACTGAAGCGATTGTCCACGGAATTTGTACGGTCGCGCGAACATGGCGGGTGATCACCTATCCAACGATGAGGTAATATTGACTTCCTAGATGTTATTTCGTTTAGCTGACATCGACAGTTCTTCACAAAACTCGGAGATCTTTTCGACACCAATCGCACAAAAGGCCATGGCTCAGTATACCTTACGCAAAAGCGCATGACATTCGACACCAACCTTGCTACCCCCGACGCGACCAAAGTAGCTGATGATCCGTTATGGGATACGCACCCCCAGGATCCACTACCAATCATTGTCCGTGCATCAAACAACAAGTCGACTAAGCACCCAGGAACGGATAGAGAAGCTATCGCGAAGATCAAGCTGTCAACAGTGGTGCAACCAGATCAATTAGAGACATTCTACGGAAGATATGCGGACGTTTGCAAAGCAGGAATGAGCGGTCTGAAAAAAAGGGACAAGAAGAAGGGAAAGAAAGACAAAAAGAAGAAGAAGAAGGGTGCCGTGGGAGAAACAAAGGGCTGAAAATAAGTTGGTTCACGGAGAAGTCATGGCGGAGTTTCCGCAAATGCTATTCTACGGCTGAAAATTGTGGGGGCACTACGGTATGATCCATCACCGCCAGAGACAAGTGCCAGGAATGCCGCGTACTTAAGTACACAGAGATATCGTAGCTATCCCCCGCACACTATTCATATCGTCTTCCTGGTCTATATGATAGGAATCCGGGGACTACTAAATGGAGATCGTGAAGCGAGAGGAAAAAATCATGTATTTACCCATGATATTCTCAGTCGTCAATGACTTAATGTTACCAATGCATTGGCTTCACTGTCGCTCCTTGAACAGCCTCAAGTTCAAGGGTAACGGCTGGCCCATCCATGTCGCCCTCTGTGTGTGATCTCTCTCTTCCTCGTCGGTATTGGGGTGAATGAGTGCAGATAGAGGTCCTCGATTGATTACCAGCCACGGGATAAATGCGCCAAACTGCTCTGCTTCAGAATTAACATGACCGTTCCTACATCCACAGGAACAAAACTACACACCGGGTGTGAATAGATTGACTTCAAACATGGCCAAAGGATGAGGTCCGATCGGTTTATCCCAAATCCTGTAAATACGGAGCTCAGGGACTACAGCAGAATGGTTAATTCATGTTTTTCTTAACGCCCAAAACGAAGCGGTATAAACCTACACTCTCGGCGGATGCGCTCCCATAGTGCGCGAGCAAACTCAGTCTCCGTACTATCGGTATGTAGATAGTAGATATGAATGCTACATACTATTAATACATAGTACGTTTTAGTGTGTGAACACAACTCACTCGAATCCTCCTCGAATACCGTTGGTGATGGGGCTGACGAAAGCGTTGTATGCTTTGCTTTTTTCTTTGGACGGAGGATTGATGAAAGATTTACCATCTTCCGCAGTTTCGCTACCCTACCGTCAGTTTTCAGTAGCCATTACGACTCGGAGCTGAGTATCTTACTTGGGAAGGGGGTTGAGACCTTCATATCCCTCCAATGGGGAGGAGTAAGTATAGAGTGTTGGGTCTGCCATGGAATTTTTTTTTCTCTATCTTGGACCGATCACGAGTATGTAGAGGTGATTTTGTACATATACTTCTGTATCTTATTTCTATTTGACCTTGAAGTAGTCACTGCCACTATTTGTCAGCGATCGCGGAATTTAGGCGACTCTATCGTCTGTTAGAAAACGGTGCTTGTGATATCACGCTACGCTGTACCCCGTGCAAATACGAATATTTCATATCATGGTACCTGTGACCCAGTACCCCTGAAACAAACCTGCGCGAAGGTCTAAGTTATGAATCGAATGTCGCCTTTCATAACCATAACCACTGGGTAGCCCAGATATTGAAATCTTCATTGAACCAGGCTGAAATGATCATAATAGCCCCCTCCGCGCCCTCCTACATACTAAGCTAAGTACATATGTACATCTCGACCTCCCGAAGACCACGTCACCACGTCACAACATCGACACATGGTACATCATATGTCACTAGCAAACCACGTAACAACAAAATTGGGGGATATATGATTACTTGTCATTTGCAACATGTGTGTCTCTGGCATTGATTTCAAGCGACAGCTACCTAGGTACTAATGTCATTCATGGGAAGTGAACAATAGTGGGAATAAGTCGCGGGGTTGCAATGTTCAACAAATTGCATATAAAATATCAAGCGAGAGCTGAGATATACCTTTAACATGAGTGGTGATGAGTTGATAAGGGAGTGGGAATGACTGGAATACCAGAACCTTGGTTTGCAATTCGCACACATATTACGCACATCTACTCAGATGTTTCCCTCCAACCTAAGATTCTACTCATCGCCTCTTCTTCAATCATTGTTGTTTTCTATCGCCTGCCGCAAACTCACCTAAACTTTCGCACGGTCCCCACTGGAAGGCAAACAACTGCGCGTTTCCCTCAGTAAGCAGCACCAGGTAGGATACCTAAATCAGCGGCAGCATGATATATGGTCATCATCATTCACTGATTTCAGTTCGAAAATAAACGGACGACCGCCACCGATAGACGCGTTACACTTCTTCTTGCGACAATCACGATGCCTCGAATCGGCCAAATCGCAATAGGTTCCTCAACTATACGCGACCTCATCATCGACTGCACATTCCACGTCGTAATATGGAATGCGCACTTACTTTTGAAGAACTGGTCAGGGGTGCGGACGAATGGACATGCAATGATCGTTGCGGCAGTGTTCTATATTCCTGTCATGGGGATCTGGGCCTGGTGGTGGGACTATAGTCCGGAGTGAATGCTAAACCATGTTGTCTCGCAATCTCAGATTTTTTGTCGCGTTCAAAGTGGAACCATCGAATACTCCGAATATGCCTTTACTCGGAAAGTAAGGGGAGTGGGTATGTAGTCATCCAGTGGGTGATCGACTCAAGTAATATGTAGGTTTTTGTTCCAGGGGCACATATATGGAAGAAAAATCTAGGTCTGTATCTGTTATTGTCTGCCTCCGGAGTGCTGTCTCTACTTTACATGTGCTTGTGTTTATCAAGATCCAGTCTGCGAACGTGGTGACGTTCCAGAGCGAAGGCATGATAAGCATGCTAGGAGTAAATTCGACTGTGGTAGGTAGCAAGCATGGCCTATAATTGAGTGTTGGGCTTTTACCGACGGGAACGCATTTGATTTCAGGCATGCAATGTATACTAATGCTGTTGTGAGAGAGCTTATCAGGAATGGAAACCGTTTGCGCTTCAGCACGTCCACGTACGTAGATAGAGGGGTCCAAATTAACCCCACTAATCGGCCAATGACTCCTCCGACTGCCCTATAATTTCCACCACCACAACGGACAGTCATACTTATCCTATACTCCCACCCAAACAATTGTTGCCATCATGGCAGAAAACACTTACTATATCGACGAAGATGCTGGCCAGGATCTCACTTCGCAAACTGGTGACGAGAGCTTGCCCTACAAGACGCTCGGCTTCGCTGTCCTTACCCAAGGCGAGACGCACAAATTCCTCACGCGCAAGAGCGTTACGGGCGAGTTAGCTGAGGGCGCAGATCCTTCCTCCCGCCTAGAATGGAAGCCCGCTGCCAAAGCTGCCATGAAAAAGGCGGTTAACTACGCGAAGGCACAAAAGAAAAAGGCAGAGAAGGAGCAGGAACAACTGGCTCTACGCATGAAAGAAGAACAGGATCGGAAGAAGGTCCTCGATGAGGCAAGAAAAATCGTTCTCGAGGAAGACAAGAGCCTACCCGCCCCAGTCAAGATCAAGCTAGACGATACCGATCCCAAAAAGATCCAATTGGGCGACGGTAAGGAATCAAAAGGAACCAGAGTGAGGGTATTTGGAAGGGTACACAGAATGCGAGGCCAGAAAGAGCTCATGTTCATCACGTTGAAGGACGGCTATGGATTCATGCAGGTCGTGCTCCAGGGCCAGCTGGCAAAGACACATGACGCTCTTACCCTCACCCGCGAAACGAGTATGGAAATCCTCGGCGAATTACGAGAAGTCCCCGCAGGCGCACACGCACCCAACAACCGCGAACTACACGCAGATTACTACAAGATTCATCCCGGCTGGAAAGCGGCTGGCGGCGATGAGGCTATCACCAACAAGGTGTCCAAGGACACCGAGCACGCGACACTACTCGATCTTCGCCATTTGACGTTGCGCGGAGAGACCGCTTCTAAGGTGCTTATTGTTCGAGATGCTGTGGAATATGCTTTCAACGTGGTCTTCAAGGAGCTCCGATTGTAAGTCCACTGTGGTTGATCCTGTTCGCGCACTTTTACTGATTTGATCAGACGGAAAGTCAGCCCTCCTGCCCTTGTCCAAACCATGGTCGAAGGTGGTGCCACTCTATTCGGCGTTCCCTACTACAACGAAGAAGCTTTCTTAACACAATCGTCCCAACTCTACCTCGAAACCTGCCTCCCCTCCATGGGTGACGTATACTGTATCGAGAAGTCCTTCCGCGCCGAGAAGTCACTCACCCGACGACATTTGGCAGAGTACACCCACATTGAGGGAGAACTCGACTTCATCAACTTCGACGATCTTCTCAACCACTTGGAAGAACTCATGTGCCGCGTGCTTGAAGTGACCATGTCTGACCCCACCATCAAGCAGTACATCATGGATTTGAACCCCGAGTTCAAGATGCCCGAGCGCCCTTTCAAGCGCATGAAGTACACTGATGCCATTGCATGGCTCGTTGAGAACAACATTCCCAACGAAGACGGCGAGCCCCACAAGTTCGGTGATGACATTGCAGAGGCAGCCGAGCGTAGAATGACTGACATTATCAACCGACCCATATTCCTGACTCACTTCCCCGCCGAGATCAAGGCTTTCTACATGTTGAAGGATAAGGAAGACCCACGGGTTACAGAGAGTGTGGACTGCTTGATGCCTGGTGTCGGTGAGATTGTGGGAGGTAGTATGAGAATCGATTCTCACGAGGAGCTGATGGCTGCGTTTGCGAGGGAGAACATTGATCCCACCAGCTACTACTGGTACACAGATCAGAGGAAGTAAGTATCCGCCCTCTCTTGTCTCCCTTTCACGTAATCTGTAGAGCTTAGCTGACAATCTCTTCTCTAGGTACGGTAGCTCTCCTCACGGCGGCTACGGGCTTGGTCTCGAGCGGTTCCTTGCTTGGCTCTGCAAGCAGCACACTGTCCGCGACTGCTGCTTGTATCCTCGCTACTTCGGTCGTTGCAAGCCTTAAGCTTAGCTGGTCAGCCTCCCTCTTTATGTAACCACTTCCTGCCCTCCTGGTCTGCGATTGCCACCGGGTTTCTTACCCTGAAGGGCCGTTTTACCGTTTCCTGGGTAGACATGGTGTGCGATGAATTCATGGACAGGATGGATTACCTATGGGAAGTGATCTTGCTCCACTTTCATATCCAGAAATACCATGTCTCCCTTTTTCTTACTCTCTTTGCCCGATAAAGATCATCAAATGCATAAAATGCTCATGCTAGATATCTAAGATCTTGGTTCGAGTGCGACCCTGCTCCCTGTCTGATGACGAGTGTCTTCGCCACCTTACGTGTACTTGTATCAAATGTACTGCGCAAGCCGGCTGACGTGTAAGGTGCCCATAGAAATCGCACAGAGCTCGGCGTTAATGTCAACATTTTAACTCTATTAAATATTTTACTCAAAATCACTTATTTCACGGGACACCCTATCTAGATGTATGGTGTGAAATATCGATCAATTGTGTACACGGCCCGGCAGGCGATATCCCGATGCTACCAGCCATGTACTGAATACCAAGTGTCTGTTGTTCTACATGATGGATTGACACAGAGAAGATCCTCGAGTGACAGAAGCTGGAGAGACGCGAATGGACAAAGCATCTGGAGAGATCTTGCCGACAAATCCCAGCGTGAGAGTCGTGGGATCTCCGAAACATAAGCACGCATGTTAACTGCGTTGAAAAAAAATCAACAATAACACCAAAAGTCGTGACTCACTAAGGATCGCGGTGTGTCTGTTGTTTGCGCAACTCTACGCTGAGATTGATATACTATATGTACAATACGATTTGCAGGGTCGGGAGAGCGATGGGCCACATTCTGCTTGCCTTCCTCCCTTTCTCACTCAGTCTCACGCAGTCTCTCTCAATCTTTATCATATGAAAAAACCTACAATTCCCAGAAACCTATCCGTTTTCCCTGGCCCTCCCCATAAGAAGAAAAAACCACTAAGCAACCAAAGTGAAAGTGGAATTAGATAGAGGGAAAGTGAAGCTATCGCTGCTGCCCTTTGCTTGCGGTAAAGACGCGAGCAGCCACGCAGACAGATACCTCCAGAATAAAAAATCCCTCCCGAGCCACCAAACCCAACTTGCGAGAAAACATGGAAAAAGAAAAGAGGAGGTAACAATTACAATCCAAAGGAGGCATAGCCCATCAATGGGGAACCATCGAGTTGAAAACGCCTTTGGGAAGAAAAGGGAGGCTTCATCGCCGGAAGCCTGCTATCGCAAAATGCCCTGGTAAACTCCTCGCTATGCAGTGATGATCAAGCCAGAAAGCCTTGATTCCGATAGAGGACGACTGCTGTTTGCACCAGACAGCGATATGTCCTTGTGATCAAGGAAAAATGAAATAAGGGGTTACGAGGTGATCAGGGGTGGTGGTTGACGCTAGCCGAGCTAGGGCAAAACTCCTCATAGCTGGAGAATGGGATGGAACTCGGTCGACACATACAAGAAAAACCCCTCTCGTCAGTTCTGATACAAAGTATAAATGGAATGGCAACTCTCAACGAATATCGAAAAGCGGGTGGCTGGTCGTTATGGAGAGTGCGCTAGTGGCGACATTGTTGGGTTCGGTTCGCTTAAAACACGAGTCGAGTGATGGCTGAATTCAGCGCGATAAGGGCTCGAGCGACCCGTAGACCTGTTTGCCTAAAGTGCCTTGAAGAATGCGAACGAGAATCTTCTGGTTGGCTGATCCACTTTGGTTCACAATGGGTACAGCGGTCTGGAATCTCTGGCCACAAGACTAGTTGTTATTGCCGAGACGAATGTTGATGAGCTGTTGCAATTTGAGCAATTGCGCACGCTCGTCAGCAGACATCGGCGGCGGAGGAGCATCCGAGATGGCGGCAACAACATCTCGCGGGGCTTCGGCCTGTTTCACGTGTTAGCGCTGATCAGAGGCCGAGTGTTAATGTGAAGAGAATTTACCGTGAGAGTCAGGACGAGAGCATCAATGTTGCTCTCGGTCAATCCTACATCCTGTTCTTTCTTTGCGAGTCGAGCGAGATTAAGAGCTGCTTGCTGTTGTTCGATTGGGCGAGCAGCAAGGGCTTGGATGGACGACTTGCGTTGAGCTTCAGCCTTTAGGGAGTCTGCCCTTAGTTTCTGTTTCTTGACAACGTTTCCACTGGAATAATGTCAGTGATGAAAGTCGAATGTAGCCAGCATTTTAGCATACCTCTTGACCTTGTCGATGAAGTCCAGCACTATGCCTTTCTCAGGAATGCGGTAGACGTGAGAGTTGAAGTCCTTCTCATCATTGCCAAAGACATAGTTGCCCTCGCCATCTGTGTCGTCGTCGGGGTCGTTGATGATGTCAATGAGTCCGTTGTTGCGCATTCCGCGAGAGAAAGTGGGCTGGACGACCTGCGGATGCCTAGGCTTACGGACTTTTCTGCCAAGCCGAGGCGCGTCCATCATGACACAGTCCTGTGCATCGTCGAGGTCGTTCTGCACCACGCTCCCACTGCGAAGATCGTGTTCAATGTGACGCGGGCATCGCCACGCGTCACGCTGGGCAGATTCAAGGTTGATGTGAGGAGGGTTAGCCAAGGGTGGATCTAGACAGTCCAGGTGCCAGTGAACCGCGCAAAAGTCGCATTTGAGCATCTGGCGTTTGTTGCTCGAAGTCAAACCACACTGAACACACAGAATGGCCTTGTCGCCATCAAAGACCTTGGTGTAATCAGGCCTCTGGTACCCATAACCGCTGCTTTTTGATCTGCGCAATGTTGTTAGTCACTAAGTAGCACATGAAACGCGTCGCACTTACAGCGGGAACTTCTTGGTCTCTTCCACGTAAGAACCATCGAGACGTGCAGAAACGTTTTCAAAGTGATTTTGGATCGAGCTTGGAAGAGCAAACGCGCGGGTGTTGATAGATTCCAGTGATTTGAAGAGAGGACCTAGGGCTGGATATGAGTCCACGGCAGGCTCCTCCACGTGTTTCAGCTTCGAAGAGCACTCATAACACGAGAAATGACCGGTAGGAGCCTCTAGCATAGGCGGATCACAACAGAGGAAGTGAAAAACGCGTGGGCAGTGATCGCAGATGACAAACTCGCCCGCGCCTTTGCAGGCTGAGCAGAGGTCATCTGTCTCAGATGGTGGCGAGCTCTGACATGGTGTTAGGGGAGGTGATAATGTTGAACTCGGAGGCGAGTAGGGGAATTTTAAAGGTTGGATGGCAGTTTTGAGAATCATATGTGATGGTGGAAGCAAAAAAGACAAATGGCAGTGATGAGGTTGTGTGGTGAAGAAGGAAGGGTGTGGTTGGGCGGAGCGAGAACTTAGTGGCACTTACTGGATCATTGTCATCAGGCCCCGAGTGTCTCGAGCCGCCACCCCCATTATGGGGAATTCCTGCAATAGGTCCATCACGGTTCTTGACTGGCCTAAACACAAATACACGTTAGCTTGTTTGATCGAGTTTGTAATATGCAGCTGTCGAGAGAAATTCGATGCAAACATGTACAAACACGTTGAGCTTGCTCAGTCGACGCCAGACCCCTGTATTAGGGGACGAGCTCTGGCATCGCCCGGCGCCCAACTCAACGTGCATGAGCAACGGAAAGTAAGGCAGGAAAGTACTCACGACTTCTTCGTTCTAGCTGCGTGATGCGCTTGGCCGTTGTTCAGTTTGACTCGCTTGTAGGGTACGTGGCCGAAGGTAGAAGCAGCGGGCGTAGAAGGACGGCTTGTTGCCACCGAGTCAGGACGAGGTGAGGAGAATCTAGAAAAATCCAGCGATCTCTTAGAATCACCAGCGTGAACGTCGTAGCCGTTGCGCGGTTGTCGTCCAGCTCGGCGAGGCCTGTTCATATCTACTGGCGGGCCAACAGCGATTTGGGACTCAGTCAAGGACTCAGTGTCCAGAATTTCATCATCAAAACGGGTGTCGGAAGTAGGAGCGTATTTCATCATGTGGTCCCTGATATGTGACTGTTCATCGACGTATTTCTGTCGTTTCTTCTCGATTTCCGCTTGCTCAGCCAGTTGCTCTGGGGTAAGAGGCAATTTCTCCTTTGGCTTGCTCAATGGCTTGGTAGAGTTGGCCTTTGATTTCTTGCCGGCACGGGCCAGAGCAGCATTCTTCGCTTTCTTTGGGATAGTAGCGGCATTGACACCGTTGCTGTTCACCCCAAGGTTTTTGGGGGCTTCGACGCGGTTGATGAGTTCATCGTCGACATCGGATAGAGCAGAATCGCTACCAGCATCGGGTGATTTGGTTGCAGGCGTATGCGTAATTTTAGGGACTTCTTTGGACCCGAGAGCGTCACGAGTCACCTGTTTACGGGGTGACTTGGAAGCCATCTTGCGAGCTGGTGGGGTTGACGCTTCGGCTACCGGGAAGGCCGGGGCAGACGCGAGTGGGTGTGGTGTGCCTGCCACAGAATTTTTAGCAGTGCCAGTCTCGGAAGCTGGCTTCTCAGATGTGACGCCGTTTGCCCTGTCCGCTTCAATAGTAGGTGCTGCGGTAGACTGTAGATCGAGCGCGGGAGAGCCATAACCCGAGGGTGGAGAATTTGAAGCAGTAGGAAGTCCGGTGGGAGGTGAAGAGTCTTCGTCTTTTCCAGCAACTGGGTGTACTTTCTGCATCGCTTTGTCGGATTTGAAGGAATTTTGCGCTTTCTGTAATTTGGACCCGAGTTTGATCTGTTTCTTCTTGCCCTTGACAAACTGGCGGAAGATGGCGTATTCTTGGATGGTCTCCTTCTGGTGCATGACTCCATCAACGGCTTTCGCCAGCTGTGTGTTTTCCTGGCTCGCTACAAGCATCTCTTTGAGAACCACACCCAAGTCCTTCGTATTGTTTTTATTGGATCGTGAGATGGCGTCGTTGACTGCGATGTGGATGCGTTGTTGCGTCGTCTGATCCAAGCAACCCAACCCAACGGCACTTGCGCTGCTAGCGACAGGTGTTGTGGTATTGGATTTGCTCATGCCGTTTTTGACAGGCGTTTTTCCTCGCGCAGTAGGCTTAGTTTGCGCTACGCTCTTGCTCCTCACAGGAGTCTTTGTGCCATGGGATGTCTTCGCCTTCTTCCTACTAGGCATGTAGTCATCGTCTTCATCCTCGTCTTGATCTGGGAAAGAGACCGTAATGTCCTCCTCTTGCCGCTCCGAATCGTCGCGCTCGAGCTCAGGAGCCGGTGTCAGCTCGGGAGTGGTGCCGTCCTCTTCGACAGCAAGAGCCCCGCCCTTCTTGATCACAAGTGATCGTCGCATGTTCGTGTCTCCGGAGGCGCGTGCCTTCTGCTTGATCTTGGTGGACGGAGGGACGCCTAGAGGGGCCATGGTTTCCAACACGCCGTGGCGAATTAAGCCGTGCTCTTCGAATGATGGTGCAGGGTTTTGCAGCGCAGGTTCGACCCATGCGTCGAGTGAGCTTTGAACCTTTTCCTTGCGCAAGTCCAAGGTTGAGGGAGGGCTGTCGGTGGTTGAGTCGAAAGGTGTGCCTGTCCGGCTTTTACGCTTGCGGAGCGCGGGCATAGCAACGGAGGCACTGCGTGTTTGTAAGCGCGCTGTCAGGCAATGAGGGGCATGATAACTTTACCACGCGTGCTATCTGAAAGATTTTACGTGCAGATAGCGCGTCAAGGTGCGTCTCCGTGGGTTGTTGGCGGGTAGTTGGTGCCGCGATTGTGAGTGAAAGGAAGATTGTAACTTCGAGGCTGGAAATTTGGCGAACCTGCAACTCGGGCCGCGGACCCCCTGGTAGATATACTGCACCAGCACGACAAAACCAAGGATGTCAAAATGTTGGAAGACACTTCGCACAGTTGCCGTGAGGCACAGATTGATAAACGAGGACAAGCTAATGTGTGCTGTTTGGTGAGATGTTGCTGCGGGGTGTGGAAAGTTGGTTGAGAAAAGGGTGGATGACTTCAGTGCTAAGTACTTATATATGTACTCACCTACCCACCCCCTCTGCTTTCCTCTTCACCTTCACTTCACCCTCACACCTGCAACCAGCTTCCAATTGCCGCCGTAGTGCAGCCACCGTAATAAATCGAACTCTCGCCAAACTAGCAAAGCTCAGTACCCTCTGTATCATGTAATCTGAACTTTTGGCCAGCACCGAGCTCAGGGGTAAATCTACTTCAACTTCCTCTACGCTTCATCACTATCCCACCATGATGACAAAGAGTGCATACTCTAGTACATCATGTAGAATACTCATCATGTATCGGGAATTCTCACTCAGATTCTCTGCTAAGTCTGGCCGGAGCTCAATCGCCATTGCTGCCCTGAATGCTTTCCCTTGAATATATCGTCACTAGGTCGGAAGAATGTACATGTGAAGAATGGCATGATTTTCAAGTAGACGAATGTTTTTTTTTGAACTGTTGTATCTACTCCTGAGACGACTATCAGCGCATACCGAGGTAGGCAATGGTGCAATTGTTTCCTGAGCTGTTGCTCTTCTTTGAATCCAATAATCTGCTGAGGACGGTTTTGACTTTTGATGACTTTTATGCCCGTGCACACAGAGCAAAGACAGAACACGAATCTCTAGTAGTAGTATCCCGTCCAATGATTTCTCATGTTTCCGAATATACAATTCGGGCTGCACTTATTCCTCATCACTGCTTTCTTCCTCCTCGCCTCCCGCGGCGGCCGCTTTCTTGGCGGGCTTCTTCTTCTTCTTGCGGTTCTTGTTCTTGGAGGCTGTTTTGCCGATAGGCTGCTCGAGGATCTTGAGAATCTCCTCATCGGTGATCTTCTTGTCAGTCTTGTATTTGGAGATATCAAGCGCGGGTGGCTGAGCCAAGCGGGTAATGCCGTTTTTAGTGATGGCTATGATAATGTTAGTGTCATGGATACCCATCGACAAAGTCGATACACTTACCAATGGTCGTGAAAAGTCGGGCCACAGGGTCGTTGTTTTTTTCGCCAACCACCTCGTATTGACGTAGCACACCACCCCTCACGCACTCAATAACGCCCACTTTGGCGGCCTTCTCGTCCTCGAGTTGCCTCAAACTGAAAGGGAAAGTGCCGAATTTCTTGACCACTTCGGAGAGGAGCTGCCTAGAGGTAGGGCGCTTAAGTCCATAGGTGGTTGCTGTTCGGCGGTGCAAAGTCGTACGCTTGCCATCAATGACCTTGACCTTTCCGCTTCCCAAACTGACACCCATCTCAACACCCCATGCCTCACCGACCTCAGGGAGACCCTCGCCTTTGACACCCTCGCCAGGAGCAAGGATGATCTTCTTCTTTGCTTCGATTTCATTGTGCTCGAACTGCCAGATGGTGGTGCTCTCGACCAGGTTGCATTCATACGACGCAACGACCTTCTCCAACATCTGAGTGATCTGGGTCTGGGTATACGGCTTCCTGGTGGCGGCCTTCTTCTGTTCCTCTTCAGTGCCAGTGGTAGAGGCCACGAGACCAGGTGGAACCATCAGCCTGAGAAGCAGTTCATTTGCGTAGTACGTGGCCAGGAAAAGATCGGCCTCGCGTCCAGAGACTTCAGCTGGGTTACCGACCAAGATTGAGTCGCAGACAATGGCACTGAAACCATCAATCTGAGCTCCCAGTTGAATTTTGACGGACTCTCCAGCCTTGAGGGTCGTTCCTGCCTCCTCGGCGTCTGATTTCAAGGGAGTGTAGGGTGTGACGTATGAGCTGGGAGAAACGGTCGTGCAGTGTCCGATACCCTTGGGAATCTTTTTGCCCTTGTAGACCTTGGAGGTCTCCTCTTCTAGTAGCTTGTCACCACGCTCGCAGATTTCGACAATGTTGGCACCCTCAGTGCACCATCCTGTAGCTTGTCAATCCCCATGTGCTCGCGGGAAAGCTACACCCCATGCTAGCAGGCGCCATGATAGCAGAGAGAGCTTACCTGAAACCTCTTTGAGAACCTTCTCGGCGATGGTAGCCGCGGTCTTATACTTTGTCAAAGTATCGGGATTGGCGAGCGTGTAGTCTATAGCAGTAGACGAAAGTCAGCATCAGTGACTCGATTGACGTGATTGTACTTGAATGCAGAGCGTGGACGAGTGGATCCAGACAGCCCACGGCCGCATTCCAATTCAAAGGGGGTGTTGTACGCACCGGTAGTCGCTTCTTCGGCCATGATGAAAGGATGCGAATGGGTGTCGATAGGGTAAGTGTGGTGCCCCTCGTGTGCCTGGTGTTTTGCGTGTTTTGGCTTTGAGCCCCACGTAGCGGGGTATTCGCTTAATTCTCCGTTAGCAGCGCGAATCAAAGTGCTGCTGCCTCACCATTTGTGATGACGTACGGCAGCGAAGTTATCCATGAACAAACTTTTCAAAGTACCTATGTAGGACGGCCTCTTAATATGCAGTGGTCTTCGGGAATGAGCACTATGCTTCATCAGTCCGGCATGGAGTCAGAAACGATGCGCGATCACACAGTATATCGTGCTGTGACGATACTAAGATTCATCGTGAGGTTTAGCGCGCCCCAGGACAGTTTATTGACTAGGTACACTTTCTGTTTCGACATACTGTCAAGAAGCTTACCAGGATTTCTTCAAAAGCTGTTAATTCTAGTCTAATATAATTAAGACATGAATTAAGACCTCGAAAGACTGTCAACAACAGACTCTAGGGTGCGGTACGTCCTATAACCTCGATAGGTGTTCAAGTACTCAAGTACTTGGACGGTATGCAGTAGGAAAGCCCAGCTACCTACATAGGTACCCAAGAATCGACAGAAAAACACAAGTATTACTCGTTATTCACATGTGTCGGGGATGTTATTGTCGTTTCGAGCGCTTCTTATTTTCATTGTCCAAACTGACGTCTCATATTGCACCTGTGACTCGTCGAGATGAGCTACTTTTACATCCTCAAGACTACGTCACCCACTACTGCTAGGTGGTCCGAGACAAAAACTCCATCTTCAAACCGATTCTCCAGCACTGCATAGCCTTTGACTTGCCAATCCGTCTCTTGCCGCCCCACCATGACGTGATCAATGAGCGTCTTCCTCTCGCTATCCTGGAACCCTGTAAACGTATTGTTATTGCCATATTTCCACCCGGCCAATTCCCTGATATCTTGAAGTGATGAATCTTGAGAATTGAGGATCTGGAAAGCCTCGCCCAAGGGCTCTGAGTTGAGGTCTCCACCCAGGAACACAGGAAGCCGGTCGCTTCCAGAGGACGAGGAATTACTGGGGTTGGTGACCTCATCGACAACCTTGAGCACAAGCTTTGCGCTCTCCCTCCTAGACACGATTCCCTGATCATCGAAATGGGTGGACATGCCGACCAACTTCTTCTTGCTTGTCAGATGGGTGAAAGACCCCACAGTGACGATCCTCACGCTCGCAGCATCCCACCCTTTCCCCGGGACATTGGGTGTCTCGCTTAACCACACCGTCTTCCATGTATCGACATTCCATACCCCTTTGCGGAAGATGATGGGACTGTATTCGCCCTTCTCTTTGCCATCGTCTCTCCCCACACCGATATAGCTCCACTCATCCCCCAATCCGTCCATGATGTCGACCAGCTGTGTATGGAGCACTTCCTGGAGGCAAATGAAAGACTCGGCGTTGTATAGAGTGTTGAACTTCAATTCGGATAATAGAAGTGGCCGTCTATCCGGCCATGGTTTCTCACCCACAAAAGGAGAAGTGGTGGCATATCGTATGTTGTGAGATATGAGACGAATAGGGAGATCTGCCGTACTTTTCATGACTAGAAGACAGAGAAGGAAAATGAACCGATTGAGGTAAGGAAGGTACATGATGGAGTGTTTGGATGGATGTATCCGGTGGTCTTTAGGCTTGAACCCACGTGACGTGAGGTCGCTCAACAACCAATGTTGGAAACTTCCAAGGCTTCCCTTAAAGGATGCAAGACGTGCTCCCTAGATGCGTCCTGTATATATAGCTCTGGTTGCGTACAACTCAGCAGTGAACGACCAAGGATGTATCGACAGCGGGGATCCGGTGCGCGCAGTGACGAACACCTTGGGAACAGACTATGTGAACAGATTGGAGTTGAAACTATGATATTCCTCCCACAGCGGCAGAGACGCCAAATGATATACTCCGTTTGTCTTCACCTTCCCAAAACAATCTGATATAGACGCCCCTTGCAACCCCACCATCCACCCTTGAGCCCAAATATGCCCTCCAATGTCACCGGCAAATAAGAACGCCGATTTGACACCACGTTGACCAGTCGTTTACTCCAAACACACGCAGGCCCCAGACCCTAGTTTCAAAAGCGCCTTTGCAAATAAGATAGATAATGTTTGTACAAATAAAAGCCCTCTAAAAGTACAGGCGAGCCTCACATAATGTGAATGAGAAAACAGCCATCTGATTTGCTTACATTCAGCACTACAACCCCCCAAGAAAGATATCAATACAGCCAGGATCATGGACCTTTCAAGAGCTGGTTCTGGTCGTGCGCTTCTCCACGTTGCTCCTGTGAACCCGGTTGTTAAGGTGCATCTGAAAATTGCCCACGGTGTGGTCAGGGCCTGCATTATATAGCTTCCCAGGGCAGTCATTGCAGCGAATGCGAGGCAGAAAGAATGCCTTGTAGCCTGGAGGTAGCGATGAATTCGCGGACAGGGTATCGAGTTTGACGGAGTTGCCTTTTTCTGTATCTACGACTGAATAGCGCATAGTGGCTTCAAACATTTCACCTGGATTGCTCTCGCGCAGGTCCTGGAGAGCCTCTTGGAGCCAAGGAGGAGGAGGGGCCTGAGACTATTAGCAACAGGTGACGTCACGATCGCACGATTGCTTTGGATGACCTACATGTTGATTTGATGGAGGAGCTGGCCATGTCGTGGCTGCTCGACCGTCTCCCGTGTACTTCCATGTTTGCGAAGATTGGGGAGCTGGACTGGGAGTGGGTGGTGGTTTCGGTGAGTCTTCTGCAGATGACATTGCTGGGGCAGGAGTGGAACGTGCGGGTACTGCTGGAGATGGTGGTGGAGGCATGGAGCTGGTGCTAGGTGCATTACGCGCAGGAGGAGGGGTAGGTGCCATAAGAGGTGTTGAAGAGGCTGCTTTTGAGAAGGCCTTTGGATCTTTCACCCATTCTTTTAGCTTAGCAGGAGATATACGGAGTTTCACAACGAGACTGTTGGGCTCGGTTGCAACGCTTTCTTCTCTGGCGTCGTATCGTAGCTGTCGTGCGGTCCTGGCTTCATGTTGTTGTTGCAAAGATGTGATTTCTGGTGTTGCCGATCTCCCCACGGCTGACCGCATGGCTGCTTGTGCTGCAGATGCCGCACCCCTCATGCCTCTCGTCCGAGCCGTACCTCCCGTGAGTTGAGCAGGCGCAGGCGAATCCGTGATGGAATCATCACTGTCTGACTCGCTAGAATCCTCGTCGGCACCACGACGACGGCCTTCTCTGGCTTTCCGCACAGCTTTGAAAAGATGGCTTTCTTCAAGAGTTTCGGCTGCCCCAGGTAGCACAGAGGACACCAGCAATGTCCGAACCGTGCGCTGTCGGTCTTTAAGATCTGGTAAAGCCGGGCCACCCCGACGATTGACTGAACGCTTTTGGCGGCGCTGCTCACGCATGATGGAGAGTTCGGCGCGCTCCAGCTCGGCCTCATTCAACTCGTACAGGTAGGGCGTGTAATCCTTTGCCGACTGCATTGGTCTAAACACCGATGGAATTGGAGATGGAAGCAAGTTATCCCGAATGTCGACATCCTCAACGGGCCGCCCGTCAAAGGGATGCCCTGTAATGTAGAGACTCTTTGTGAACATTTGGCACTGTTCGCGTATGGAGTGCGCAATAGCAGTCGTGAATTCCCCTGATAGGGACAGATCAGCCGCCATTTGAGCAGCAAACTCTTCGGGTAAGTTCAGGGGATTGTTCATCTCCCACTCAAACTGATCGACTAGAGTATGCTGGCCGATGGTGATGTTAAGCTTGATGAGCACTCTCATCTCATCATTCTTGTATGCCGAATACGGTAAATGAGGGTCGAGCGAGTCCTCGTCAAAATACGCATGAGGGTAGAAGTCGGTGATCTGTTCTTGGATCTCGTGGTTGATTTTCTGTTTGACATGATCTCGTATTTCCAGTGGGAGTTGGAAATCTTCCACCAGATGTTCTGCGAAAAGGTCCGTTGTTGTCCATCTATCGTGCAGGTTCCATGTAAAAGTATCCCGAAGCTTGATCTTGTCCAGCTCAATGTCCAAGCGCACGGGGACCAGCTCTTCTATTTGGCTGGACTGGGCTGTGATTTGTTCTTTATTCAAGTGAAGCCTCCTTGCGTTTCGATTGCCTGGTGGCCGGCGTTGGTCAGGATACTGGAGGGCAAAGCCCCCGCGTGGTGCATCGGTGACGCCATTGCCGTAGCCAGAGTACCCGTAACCAAAGACGTGGGCGGGATTGTGTTGGCGGATCTCTTGATAATATCTCTGTTCACTCTTCAGTTCTTTAATGAGTTCCCCCGCCAGAGTATCCCGCTCTACTACAGCTGCGGAGCCAGATAAATCGCGCTGGATCATCCGGAAGAGCTCCCCCTTTTGTTTTTGCGCTCGCCGGTCTTCAGCACTCGGATGAGAGGGCCTGCGGGAGCCGGAGCGTGATCGTTTGCGACTCGGTGACGCGCCTTCTGGGGTCGCGGAGCCCACATCGGCGCGCGCATTGGAGGTGTCTGTGTTATTGCCATCTACATTGACGCCCGAAGCGGCGAGCATGGCTTTCGCCTTGAGTTTTCCTTCGCGTATCAGGCCGTTGGCGTCAGGTGTGGGCTGCGACCCGTCGGGGTTGGCAGGGGCAGAGGCATCAGGGTGTTGGACGGCGTTGGTAGACGCGCCTGGAGAATCGGTTTCGGTGGAAGGCATGTCGAAGCAGATGGCGCGGCGTGCAGGGACGATGGGTTGCTATCCGGGCCTGGGTGCATGTAAGTCGCGGTTAGCAGGTGAAGCGCAAAACAGAAGCATCGCGACTAGGGGCGAGTCGAAGCGGCAACAGCGACGCGGGCGACGGGACCAACAGCCACGCCCACAGCACCGTGTAGGCACAGAGAGGCTCGAGGCTCAAGAGCACCGACACAAGCAAGTCAATCAATAGGTACACATACCGATAAGTCATGCAAACGGCGCGTGTCGGGCTGGGCCGCTGTTTGGCTGAGGATGCCGATCGGGATCAGATGACAAGCGCGGCGGTCGGCTGCAAACCGGGCCAAAGCAGACCAGACGTGGAGGAAGCAAGCGAAGTCTTGCGTTCCGGAATTCAGCGGACAAAACGGTGCCTGGGGCTCGCTGGCTGGTATCCAGGGAGGGGCTGGCTGGGGGCACTTGGGGAAATAAGCTCGGGATTGCGGTCAGTGGAGTGCGTGTTCGAGACAGCATGGAATAATCATAGGGCGCCCCTAGGCCGCCGAGCCCAACTCCTCCAGCCCTCCAACCACAGTCACTCGGGGTACGCCTCACCGCGCCGAGTCATGCATGCCTCCATGCACAACACCTCCATCGTGCCTCGTGTCTATACATGTTCAAATTCGATTTTGGTACTGGCCTATCTGTCGGTGCAAATAAAGAAAGCCCGCTTGCATGCTGATACATCCATACATCCGACAAAATCTCTGCATGGACGCCGATACCCCAATCCAAGTATGTTCAATAGAGTGCTTGGAAAAACCGCTGGGAATCCGAAAAAGAAGAATGACATGACATGACAACCGTTCGGGACTCGAGTCTCATGACTTTGCCCTCGCAACCCGATCCCAGAGCCCTCGTTTTTGCTTTGAGCTGAACCAAGCGACTCACGACTCGTACTATTATACCCTCAGCTGCCCGAGCCTCGAGTCTACCAGCCCATATCCTTTGCTGCCCAGCTTAAAGCAGTGAATCCAGCCTGGTGAAGACGCTCAGGCATGCAGCAACGACCTGTATCTCGCGTATTAGCAAGGCTTGATGTATGAATACCCACACCAACCACTTACCTCCAGTTGCAGTTCCTTGTCTTTGGCGTTGTTGACTTCGTCGTTGATCACCTGTCCGAGGTTGGCACCTGCGCCTCCCGAGCCACCAGATCTTCTCGCGAATGGCCATTGTGAGTACTCTGCAAGCATTTCGTCCACTTGGGCGAAAGCCCGCTCTCGAGCTTCGTGCCCAAGTGTCGTGAGCGCATTCTCGAGCACATTTGCTGCGTACGCAGCGCACACCATTACGATGGTTCGAATGTACCGAAACTCCATTTCCTCGGGGAGGAACTGGCTACCGGGAAGGACAACGGTGCGGCTGGTCAGAACGTTGCGGACTCGGCGTCGGATTTCTTCCTTTGCGCCTCCGTCGGCAACAGGATGTGTAGCCATGTCGAAAAGGAGGAAGTTCTTCTTTTCTGTTCGTAGAATCCCCTTGTCGACAAGGCCCTTGCATAGACGTTCGCGCACTTGCTTAAGCTGGTACCCAATTTTCATGAGGTTCCAGGTTTCGCCTGTTCCATGTGTCAGCATTCTGCCGCAGCTGAAATTATGAGGCATATGTGTATGTACCGCTCATGAGATCGATCCACGAATTCACGCTCATCTTTTCGCTGGACTTCATCATCTTGAGGGCTTCGTCAAGTAGCACTTCGCCGGTCAAGGTATCATCAATGACCTCGATGACCCTATCGGCGAGAGGAAACCTCCGCCGCGAGGAATCTTTCTGCATGCTTATGCGGCCCCTGAATGCCAGCTCTATGACGATACATCCTCGCAGCGCATACGAGATATTGTCGTTCCAGAATGAAAGGTAGCCCTGTGGCCAATCAGCCTTAGTCCATATGCGGACCTCTGCATGCACCCACTTGTTTGTCCTTCAAACCCATGAGGATAACCTCCTCCATGAGCGTCAGTTTGGGTTGCTTGTCCCGTTCCTTGCTCTCGCTAATGTCCCGGGGGTCGAAGGCGATTCGGTGGCCATTGGCGGAGTCTTCGTAGGACGTCTCTGGAGTGCGGTCATCGTTGCGGGCCCTAGGCACGGGAGAGGAGACGCGGTCTTCGTCGTCGCCATTGCTTGCAGCAGCGGCACCGCCGCCGCCTCCTCTCCGGCGTGTCAAGCCAGACTGGGTAGCCATGGGGAGTAGATGTGTGTTGGGGGGTAGGTATGGGGTGTTTGGAGGGTCTTTGTTGAAATATGCCTGGATCCTGCGATACGGGGGCAGGGTTAGGAAGAGCCACTAGTTGCTGCGCAGCGCGCGCGCGGCGGTGCAGCAGCGGAGTTGAACTGCAACAAGTGGAGAGCGCTATCAGCCGACGGGAGGATTTAAGAGATCTCAAAGCGATGGAAGAGAGACGATTGTGGCAGTGTGTCGTGGTTGTGTAATCTACAGTTTGCGTGCTGAGCGTGATGTTTCCCGCTTGGCGTTCGTAGGCCTTATGAACCGCCGCCGCCATTTTCTGGGGCCGGATCTACGTACGCATTTCAATTGAACACAACAACACCGAGCAATGAAAGAGCTGAGAGCAGCATCCAGTTTCTATTGGAGATCATATGCGATGCCATCCCAGGCAGCTGTTTTACATGTAGAGAAAATTATATAACACAACGCCGGAAAGCTTCCAGCTGACTGCCAATGCCTATGGGCAATCTCTCTTTCTCATCTGTCCTCATTCCTGCTGCGCAATGGGATATCGTTTAGTGCGCTGTTGAATGGTTAGCAGCATTCGGGGAGAATCTGTGGTGCTAATCGACCTACCATCAGGCTGGGCCTTGATGTAATCCACTGCTTGTTTCACTACAACATTATCAGCACGGGTCATCCTTCAGCATACGCGATTGACATACCGCTGTGGATGGCATCTGCCTCCTTGTCTGGAATCTCAATGCTGAACTCCTGTATAACCGTCAGTTCCGCCCATTCCACACCATCCGTTCGCACAAACTGACCTCCTCAATTGCCATGACTACCTCTACAGTATCGAGACTGTCAAGACCCAGATCATTGTGAAAGTGAGCTTCGCCGTTCAGCTGGCTATTTGTGAGCATGCCTGTCTTGAGCTACATTCCTGGTGTAAAATACCTTGGTAGTGTCCGTGACCTACTCCAGTGTTAGTTATGGAAATGCCAATTCATCAAAGCAGCATTACCTTGTCAAAGTTCTTCAACAAATCCATTATTCTGCCCTCAATCTCATCTTTCGAGAGACCAGCGGATGCAGAGTAGCATCGCACTGCCTGGAAGCGCGCGGCGGGGACGATTTGCTTGGCTTGGAACAAGGAGTTTCGGGCGACAGGGCGAGCCATTGTGGACTGGTATCGGGGCGCGACGCGCAGGGCTTGCCTGGCGGACCTTAGGAGGGCTGTTCGGAACATCGTGGATGAACTGTGGAGTATGAGGCGTGGGATGATGTAGGTCGAGAGGAGGTGATTTCAAGTCAATTACTCGACCTCTAGCTTAGCTTTTCGCAGGAGAGCCCAGGGCGCCGGCCCGAGCGTTATCTTGCTTAGTCACAACGTCTTCGCTCGAGGCGATATGCATCAACACTCTGTAAGATTGAATAGCGCAGAGTGGTGAAATTATAGTCTTCGTGAGTGGTGAGTCGCACGATCATTTCTTGAAGCTAAGTTACAATCAACGACGCAGTTACATGTATAGAGTGGTGAAATTCTGAGTTGCGGTCTGCTACAGCACCTGAATGTAAGAACACACAGTCGAATCCTATGCAGTAGCCTATTGTGATATATACTAGACCTCATTATTCGATTTATAGACAATTCTGGTCATTAATAGACTCCTAGCTCTCAACATCAGCGCGACATAATGCTTTGCAGACCATCAAGCATCGATGTGCGTCGCATTGAACTCGTCGTTGACGTAGAAATTGACGAACCGCCAGCCAATCAGAGCGCTGCCGTTTAGTTATCCGCCCCAGTCGAGCTGCTCATCCCAACTACAGAGCAACACCTCAAATCGACCACCACCTCTGCCTGCGACTACCAGCGCCCACCATGGCCAGCACGAAGCCATTGACAATGCTGGTGCGCAGCCGGCCTGCAGCGACGCTCTTGCGACCTTCGCGGTCTGCGTTTGGTCGTCTGCCGCCCCCCGCCACAATCGCTCTCTTCTCGACGACCTTCCCTCGAGCCGCCCTTCCAGCTGGACCGCCGCCACCAGGATTCCGATTGCCTCCCCCGAAGAAGTGGGATGAAGGAGAATCCGCATTGGATCAAGCAGGCAAATACTTCCTCTTGATGGAGATGTTCCGGGGCATGTATGTCCTGATGGAACAGTTTTTCCGGCCTCCGTGAGTCCTCCTCAATTGACGCCCATGGGTGGGAAAGCATGGCGAGAACTAGAGTTCTGACAATGGGTCAAGGTATACCATTTTCTATCCCTTTGAGAAGGGCCCCATCTCGCCCCGTTTCCGAGGCGAACACGCTTTGCGACGATACCCTACGGGCGAGGAGCGCTGCATTGCATGCAAGCTTTGCGAGGCCATTTGCCCAGCTCAGGCCATCACAATTGAGGCCGAGGAGCGTATGGATGGAAGCAGAAGGACTTCGAGATACGATATTGATATGACCAAGTGCATATACTGCGGTCTGTGCCAGGAGAGCTGCCCAGTCGATGCGATTGTTGAAGGTGAGTCCGTCCGGATTATGCTGAGATTCGTAGTGTCTAACTTTGCGCAGGTCCAAATGCTGAGTATGCGACCGAATCGCGAGAAGAGCTTCTCTACAACAAGGAGAAGCTCTTGGCCAATGGAGACAAGTGGGAGCCCGAGATTGCGGCAGCTGCACGCGCGGATGCTCCGTACAGATAAAGACGATCTTTTCCGGGAGACCAGACAATGTGTAAATATTAGAGAGAGCTATTCACTGCATGAACAACTCTGATTTCGTTTGTACCAAGTACATCCCGTGTGCGAAAATGTGTTCCTTTTGTTTTTGCATGGCTTGATTTTCAACGAGCATATTACTTTAGTTTTTGTTTAGCTCAATAACACTCTTTTTGAGTAAAGAATATTTCGCAGTTCTATTGCTGGAGGCATAGTATCTCAACTGTGTGCAATGCATCAGATTGTGGTCTTAGGGACGAGTTGGCACAGCACCATCAAGTATTCACAAGGATCTCGTAGAGTACTAGTTGGATGGCAGCAGGCAACAATTACCATGTCGGAATATGACAATACGTTCCATTCATGTTCAAGACCCCCGTCACATCGTTATACCGCGATGAGCTGATATCAAGTATATCGTTTTATTGTCGAGGCGGACGATCCTTAGCACCGCTAATATGAACAATGAACATGAGTGGTTTAAGATTACAGGTAACGATTCGAACCCCTCAGACACATCCGAGAGAGATCGTTTCCGCAGTGCAATTAGTCCACCCGATTTTTAACTACTTCCTTTTCAACGATCCCTCAAAGCCTGGTCTCTTGGACTTCGACTTGACAGCTTTCTTGACAGGCTTCTTCTTCCCTTTAACGCCTTTCTCTTCTCTCCTCTTCTTCAGGTTCGTTTCCCGTCTCTTCTGCTTTGCCTCCTTGCCCTTATCGACGTTCGCCTTGCGCTCATTCCACTCCTTCTCGCTCTTCAACTTGCCCTTCTCGAGCCTCTTGACCGTCTTCTTGAGTAGCCTTGGGTCGCTGTGCACTCGTTCTCCTTGAGCTCTCTTCTTCGCATTGAGCCACAAATCCTTTTCTTCAATTTCTTTCCGTTTCTCCTCATCCAATCCACTCAGTCGAGCCATTTTGTTCTTGGCGGCCTCCAACGCAGTCTTCGGGTCGGATTTACCCTTCTTTTTCTTAGCATCCAGGAAGCCTGAAAGATTGCCTTCAAGCTGCTGTCCATCACTCCAAGCCACGCGACCAAAGTTGAAATTCCTATCTTGTTCCGGTGACGATCGATGCGAAAATACTGATGGCGAGCCCGATCCTCCTCTTATCCGTGAGAGTTGATCTTCTGCCTTGACCCGCTCCTCATCTTCCTTCGCAAGGTCCCTCTGGGCCTTTCGGGCAGCCTTGCGTTCAGCTTCCTTCTTCCGCCGTGCTTCTATCAGCTCAGCACGGTTCTTAGCAGGCTGACCATTCGCGCCATCGGCTTTCCTCATTGCTCTCAAGGACTCGAGCTTGGCACTGAGACGAGCGCGGAATTCGTCGTGCGACTTTGGAGCTATACTCTTAGGCATGGTCTTGGTGGAAGGTTCAGGAGCATTTGTAACTGGTGGAACTGACGATGACGACGAGGCGGAGGCTATCGAATTCGTAGAGGCATTGGAATCGGCGGCTGACGATGTGGCAGTTGACGGACCGTCTTCGACCAAGCCACTCACATCTAGAGACTCGATACGTTCCCCAGCTTCTTCTTCTTCTTCTTCATCTTCATCTTCCCAGTCTGACCCCTCCTCTTTGTTGACCATTTTAGCACTGGAATCTTTGCTCGAGTGTGCTTGTTCGACTTTCGTGTCTTTTTGTTTCGGTTGTTTCTGTGCGCGCTGCTCCTTCTTCTTCTCTCGCTTCAGTTTGAGCTGCTCTGCTCTCGCTTGGGCCTTTGCGGCCTTCGCGGCATCGACTTGGGTCTGTTTCTTTTGCTGGGCATCGGCATCTGATGGTTGGGCGATCTTGGGCTTTTTAGCTTTCATGCCTTCTCCTGGCTTCTCCTTCTCTGTATCAATGTCGATGTCCGAGGAGTCGTCCTCCTTGCCTTCCAGCTCACGCTTTCTTTTCCGTGCATTCTCATCCATGATGTCCTTGGCGGTTTTGTGATTGGCAGGATCCAACTTCGCTCGTTTTGCGGCTCTCCGCTGCTCCTTGGTCTGCTTCTTCGTCATCCATTGTGTCTGGATCTTGATTTAGCATGAATGCGACGTTCAGGTGGCGAGAAGGATAACACACGCTGGTGATGCTTTCATCTTTGCCATAGTAATCTTTTGCGGGTATGAGAGACATGAGTCCCTCAAAAGCTCGGGCATGGCTCTTGAGGCGAGTCTATACAGGCGAAGTTAGCGATGTGTATATTGATGCGGGGATGCAGGCGCTGCTTGCCTCCAAATCGTCGCCCATGGTGGAAACTCTTAAATTTTCGACGTATGAAAAGGTGGGTTTCTATAGAGAATGCGAAGGAATGGAAGGGGAGAACACAGCTGGTCAGCTGTTTGAGGCAATCGAAGGTTCTGCGGAGAGTGTCGTGTGGGTTCCGAAGCTTCAGATGGATTTTTTACACATCGAAAAACACCCCGCCAAGAGTTCGGTGGGTCTTCGCGGCATCCAATCAGCACCGACCCGTCGAGTATCACGTTACTAGAGCGCGCAGCCTGCACCCAAACAGTCATCAGCAATTGGATGTGCATCAGTGCGGCTAATTTTCGCACGAGTACCTGGAGCGTGCCTTTGCAATTCTAACAATACTAGCATTGCATTTGCCCCAATCTACATAGATCTGCCACCTATCTGTCTTCGTAGCATCCCTGCCCGTTGGAGGAGGCGCGTCCCTCTGCACCGCCACTGCCGTCTTGTTCCCTACATACATATGTATGTATGTACGTGATCCAGCTGACTGCTAGACAACAAAGATTGAGCTATTGGTGTACAACCATCTTCTCCTTCTCTCGGATAAGCGATAATCTCCTCCTCGCAAGTCTCCTTCATCACAATGTCTAGGCCTGCCATCGAAGCCAGATCTTTATCCTCACTAACATCGCTCGCTTCCAACCCACCCCCATACCCCAGGAATCCCACGCATGGGAAGCAAGAACCACTGGTACTCTATATTGCTCGTGTACCTGGCAGTAGAGGTACGGCTAACGATTTTCTGTGAATGTGGCAAAGCCCTAACGGCATCCTAGATGTGTTTCTTTCGCCCATGAAACCAAGGGAAAAGGTCGTGACAGCAGAAGACGTTCAGAATTCCCTGTACTTCGTGCATATGAACAACCCAGAAGATGACCGGTTCATGAGTGTTTCCTCGGTACATCAGGAAACTAATCAGGAACAACAACCAATGGTTTCTTCAAATTACACTCAAGTACCAGCAATACCTCGAAAGGCTGTCCCCAATGCATCGGCACCCACCGGTGCACTTCCCCCAAGGCAACCTACGGCCGTTACTTTAAACCCTCTGAACAACTATGGTGGTGGACAGAATGCTGCCGCTGCGAATAACTCGCACCTCAACTCCAACTATCTCGCTCCTGAATACGTACCACGCCGTTCATTGGACAGTTCACAGTACCAGAAGGAAAATGAAAGACCTTTTAGTTCTGCGCGACGTCACTCAGAGCAAGTTCGTTCTATGGGTACATCCCTCACCCTTATCCGTCGCGATCCATCCTCGGGAGCGCAATGGAACATTGGTCGCATCGATGATCCTTCAATGCCAGATATATCCTCATCTGGGTTCAGTGACGGTTCAAACAAGAGGCCGATTGGAGCACCTTTGTATATCGACATAACGAATCCCGGTTACTCGAAATTTCTGCATTCCGAGCAAAACTCAATACCGCCAGATGTTCAAGAGAGACTACACGAGAATGCGAACGTATTTCGTCGCCGTCTATGGATGGAAGGAGTGGGAATTCTTACTGGCGGTTTTGGTCACCAAAGACTTAACTCGCATGATTCGGGTGTATCTACAAGGAGTCCCAGGCATAGTTCCGAAATCTCTTCGGATCACCGCGTTTCAACGACCACCCCCTTTCCTGGACAGGAGAGCCAACCTCAAAATACCAATCAAATCCCCGGCAGCCAAACAGGTTTCCGCGGTTACGTCTTCATGAGCCCCTGGGGTGGGCGCTGTGAATTCATCACTGGAGCGGGAGGCGGATCACTAAAGGTACTTACCAAAGCTGTCATTCGACCCCTTTTTCTCCGTTTCGCTGATCAGTGTGCAGTGTCAACACGTTGTTCCGGGTCTCCAAGGAGCTCCTCCTGTTGCTTTAATCGTCAGCGAATTGAGATTCAATTTACCATCTACAGCAAAAGTTTCTACGTCTAAAGGTGATGATTCATTGAAGAAACCGTCTTTCTTCCATCGATCACGGCATCATCGGCACGCTTCAGACGTATCTGGTGATACCACGCATGGAGGCAAGGGTGCATTTGATCGCATGGATTTGTCTCTTGGACAAGAGTATGCAGGAGGTGGCTTCGGTGGTAAAGACGCGAAGTTAGGGAAGCTTATAATAGAAGACGAGGGGTTAAAGATGGTCGATCTTCTGGTTGCAGCGAACGTTGCTCTTTGGTGGAGGGCATATGACAAGTATGAAACTAGGATCAAAACCAATCGCGTCAGCTTCTCCTGACAGCAGCAAATTCGTCATCTACTATCCTTATTTTAGAATAATACGATGTTGGTTAGAATATATGCTGATAAGCTCAAATCTTCACATCACCATTTACAGATTCTCACTTACATCTTCAAGAACGGCATATCCACAGAGAAAAGAGGATCAATCTAGCTCCAGACAACAGGTGAAAATTGACTCATGTTTTTGTTTCCAGTATTCATTGCCGTTTCGAACTGAGTAGCATGGAAGAACACACTGCGGTTAGACGTGTCTAGTGGGCTTAACAGATCTCTCGGTATGGATCCTAATAGCAATCCTAAGTCAGTAGTCAGATATGCATTCTATCAGGTGTGCATGCCGATATCAGTCCGTGTCATGTAATAATGTCTCGGATTATGTACAGATGCGTTACATATCCGGAAGGAACACATCTCTTGCATCATTCTCGATCATGTCTTTGTATCCAAGGGCAGTATTCTGATTCATATGGCAGATTTTGGTGTGACGCCCAGGCAAAACTCCCACGTTCGTCTCAATCGTATTATAAATAGCTGTCAAGAAAATGGGTCTTGCAGCACTATTCGCTGAACTGGCAGCCCAGACTAGCCATCGGGGGGTGGGCAGTGGATTGCTGTCAGCTACGGGTAGAATGAACGAAGGAGGCTGTATTACAGTCTTGGGGAGGGAATCTGACCCCCTCAACTCACCGATTAAGAAAAATGAACCCTATCGTTTCATTGTGTTATCATACCTTTGACAATTTGCGATGCTGTTATTAATAGAGCAGGTGAGATATCGCTCGTATGATATTCCACCTGCCATGAAATGATGGAATGATTGTGTCTTATCAGAAAGAATTGTACATCAAAGAACAATAGATAAATACCAAGAGTGGAATTTTGGGTATTCCTACACGCGACAAGTGTTTGCAGCAAAGATAAGGTACCAAAAAACTTATGGATACACCTTCCCTCAGCATTTCACAACGCAGTAGGAAAAACAGGGACCAGAAGTCACAAGTTATTGATAACATGGAAAAATAACACTCAAATTCAGGTGTGCATACCTTTAGTAAATGTTTCGGATAATGCCGAAACTTGGAGTAGGATGAAATCACACAAGTCGCTAGAAGTCAACCCTATGCAATGCAGTTACGACAACGCAACACCACATCGAGCCGTTTCATACCCACTACCTGGTCGAACAGCATCCAGTCAAAGTTGGCTATCATGGCAAGATATCAGTGACTGCTTGGCATCTTCATCCACATCTCAGCTTTGGTGTTCAGCCGATTCAACGATTGGTTCGTACTACTTCAGCTTGTGGGCTCTTCGATCGCGAAAGGTGTGTGAGTCTTTTGAATATTCAAACGCCACATTGCGATCATAAACGAACATAGTTCAGTCCGTAGAGTGAGGGAGCAAACCAGGAGAGACTGAAGACGAGACCTAAATGAACTGGCAAAGAGCTAGACCCGGCCATGTGCAGCTTCGCAGTTCACCCACCATATATACACAGGGAGCGACTAGGTCGACACGCGGAAACAAGACTCTTGTATCAACAGAGTGGAACCCACTTTTCTATTCCGACCATAGCTAATATGCATCTCATCGCACTGCTTGTGGCCTTGGTAGGCATTTATTCTCCTGTCTTTGGCCAACTCAGCGACCCGGCGACCCTTGGTGCCACCATTAAAGCGGACAAGAAATACCAACTCCTCCCAGCCTGCGTCAACCAGTGTCTGTGGGATATTGGCGACAACGATACTCCCAAGATTGGGGGTGACTTGGCCATTCACCTTTCTTGCTCATCACCCTGGATCAACGGTTGTTACTGTCGAGGAGCAAGTGCTTCTTATGCTCATTCATGTAAGTTCATTATTGTTCAATATTTCTCATACTGCTGGAGAATAAATAGAAAGACTCGATCTGGGATGTGTCATTACCATCCGGAAGTGCAATTATGGGACATCTTATGGTGCTCCCAGGATCTACCAAGTCTCCACCCGGAGTTAACATTGAAGAAGTAGTTACTGACTATGGCCCAGTCATTTCCAGCTGCGCCACTTATCTATGCTCGATCCCGAAACAAAGCGATATCGAGGCTGCTACCAGCGTGTACCAGGGGTATTGCAAGCAGGCGCTGGGCACTGCATACATACCCGAGGGTGTGGACCAACCTTTACCAACGAGCACTGATACCCCAGGAAGTAAAACAGGAGGCATTTTCTTCTCGTATCCTTGGTCATTCATGGAATCTGTCTGACCGCAATCCGCAGCCGTACCCTCTCGCCCAAGTCCGACGCTCGCCAAGGTGGCCTCGTTGCAATTCAACTCAAGCAGTGGCATCTCTTCACCCTCATCTGGCCCAGGAAGCGATGAGAAGATCGCGGGGCTGAGCAAAGGAACATTCATAGGCGTGGTAGTATCTGCCAGCTGCTCAGTGCTTGGAATGGTGTTTGTAATTTGGTTCAAGATCTATAAACATAAACAACAGAAAAGGATACAGGCCGAGCATCAGATGGGAGTGCAAAGTTTGTACCATAGAGCAAAAGCTTAAGATGTGATATTTGAGGGGTCACTAGGAGCCTGGTATTCTGTCTGGGTGGTGGTTGTATTCTGCTGGTATTTCTTTGCGTTGTATCATTTGTTTATCTTGTGTCGGACGATGTTTATCAAGCTGATCCTATGTCCCTTAATTTGGCGGGTGCGATGTGCATGTATTATTTTATGCTTATTTCTTGTCTTTATGGAAAGCCTGTTTGGAAAATATGAGTTGATCTTGATCATTATTACAATCTAATGTCAGTCACTTCTAGGAGAGGACTAAAACAGCGGGATAGACATATGCGCGCCACATCAATTCCCAAAACAAAAGCCCAAGAGGATATAGCCAGATCATACTCCTGGAGTTATAGTACAGATAAAAAGATCAGTTTGAACTTTGTTCGAACATGAAAAGAGTTTAAGTGTGGATTTTCTCTACTGGTCTCCTTAACACTCCACGACTTCAGAAGCCCATTTTGTTTAGTCGAGCATCTACGCGCTACTTTATCCCCGGGGAACTGGCCGCAACTCAGTGCGAGAACAGAGACGTTATAAATGCGCTATAAATATTTGAATGACACATTCAAACGGAAGTTCAGGTGACAAGTCACGGAGGAGTGATGATCGCCATGTGCCTGCAGCCGCGCATGCCTAAGGGACGGTTGCCAAGGCCTCTAAACCGCGTTCGCCGGACCCGCATCTGACGTCGAAACCACGGGGCTCTTGAAGATGCTTAGCACTCCTTCGACATTTTCGACCCACACTCCCTCTGTTTCTTCCGTTTCTCTTATTGTTTCCTTTTCCTTCTACCACGACTCAGATTAGAGAACTGTTTCCTCTTACTGTCTATCGCCATGGCTGGCGATCGCCCACTCCTTTCCGGTCGCCCTTCATCCGAACACTCGCGCGATCTCGCTGAAGAAGACGCCCTCCTCACCGGCCAACACACCGATCGTGACTACTCTGCACCCCGGACATGGAAGTTTTGGCGTGAAGTTGGTCTCTTTGTGTGGGCTGTCGTTGCCACCATCGTGGTTATCGTCCTCGCTGTCGTGTATCAATCTGCCTCCGCATCGAAGCCGACTGATCCCAAACCCAATGGAAAGAGAAACTTGATCTTTATGGTGTCTGATGGGATGGGTCCCACCAGCTTGAGCCTGACCAGGAGTTTCATGCAATTCCAGAATGGAGCTCCCTTCAGTGAGCAGTTGGTTATTGATCAGCATATGATCGGGCAGTCCCGCACACGATCGTCGTCATCCTTGATTACAGACTCAGCGGCCGGTGCGACAGCCTTCTCTTGTGCGCAGAAGAGCTACAATAGCGCCATATCGGTCACTCCGGATCACGAACCATGTGGAACGGTTCTTGAAGCAGCCAAAAAGGCAGGGTACATGACCGGGTTGGTCGTCACTACCAGGATCACGGATGCGACGCCAGCATGCTTTGCGGCACACGTGAATGTGCGTTCAGAAGAGGACAGGATCGCAGAACAGATGGTTGGAGATTACCCGCTTGGAAGGGTCGTGGATTTGATGTTGGGGGGTGGAAGGTGCCATTTCTTGCCCAACTCAACTGAGGATTCATGCAGAGCGGATAACAAGGATGTGGTGGAGCTTGCTAAGAAAAATGGATTCAACTATATCTCGGACAGGAAGGCTTTCGACGACCTGAAAGGTGGCAGCGCGCTCAAGTTCCCCATGCTGGGTCTCTTCGCCGACACTGACATTCCCTACGAGATCGACCGCCGCAACGAGAACGACATCTACCCGTCTCTCCACGAGATGGCCGAAGTAGCCCTCAAAGCCCTGAGTGAAGCAACTCGCGATAGTGATAAAGGCTTCTTCCTTATGGTCGAAGGTTCACGTATTGACCATGCCGGCCATCACAATGACCCGGCCGCTCAAGTCCACGAAGTCCTCGCCTACGACCAAGCCATGACGAGTGTTCTTTCTTTCCTCGAAAAAGACTCTACCCAAGGCCTCATGGTATCCACATCCGACCACGAAACTGGCGGCCTAGCAACTGCACGCCAACTCCATGCATCATACCCAGAATACGTCTGGTATCCAGGCCCATTGGCCAATGCCAGCCACTCTGCCGAGCGTCTTCACCAAGAATACAACAAATATCTCGACAACTCCCCCTCAAAAGCTGACCAAACGGCGTTTCTCGAATCTGCGATCGAAAACGGTCTCGGTATCCACGACTATAAGGAGGAAGACATCGAAACCCTCATCGCCAGCCCCGAAATCGCCCTCTACACCTTCGCTGATCTTGTCTCCCGCCGTTCGCAAACGGGGTGGTCCTCGCACGGACACTCAGCTGCTGACGTTAACATCTACTCGTCCGACCCCAAGCAGGCCGCCGCGCTTGTGGGCAATCACGAGAACACCGAGGTCGGTGCCTTTCTCCGCGATTACCTCGAAGTCGACGTTGAAGCTGTTACACGCGAGTTGAGGGAGAAAGGCGTGGGGTTGATGGCGACGGGTGCGAACGGCACCACTGTCGGGTGGATGGGTAGAGTGCCTGAGGAAGGGGAGAGGCTCGATGGTCAGACACATCTTGCTTCTTATGATGGAGATTCCAAGAGGGGACTGGTACATGGTAGAGATTGTGGCTGTGGGCATTGAGTTGCAAACATTTGAGCCATGTTGATATTATGATACGAGTTTGTTGAGGCATTGAGTGATGGGTATCTCGTAACCTGTTTGTCCCTGCTGAATGCAACAAAGGGAATTTGATATATTTTGTAGCATCGTTTGTCTTGGCGTTGGTATCTTTTGGGTTTTCGCCTTGTATATCGGACTGTGGATTACACGGTCCAGCACATTGCTATTAGAATTGTTCAATCATTGATCGTTACATTGATACATGTATCCATCCATTGTCCACAATCCTCATCCTCCCATGCTCTAGGCCAGTCTATCATCGATTTTAATACGTTTGAAAACTAGATAGCTCAATATCCTTCTGCTTCTATATTTCGTGATGAACAGGATCTGTACGTCATGCACGAACGAACTATCTTAGTAAAAACGCAATATCGCGATGAACGATTGGATAATAATGCAATCTGTTTAGAGAATAATAGGATGATAAACGATATAACCGATGACTCCAAAACACCACGCTAAAGAACCACAAAGCGAAGTATCAGTCACGCAAGATACTAGACAACACAGAGTATATGGGGAGAATGAGAAAGCATAAAGGAAATGCTCTGTCCCTAGCGTATAACATCAAGCCACTACTAAGAGCTGAAGTCATGGGAGAACGGTGCACCATACGTGGACTGTCCATTCCAATCATTCTGCGCTTCCAGCATCCAGCTCACCGAGTCAAAGAACTCGTAGCTATTCGCACTGGCGAGACCATTAGGTAGTGCGAGCGGCATGCTCAGCGTATTGAGATGAGGGTTGAAGTTTGGCAAGCTGTGTGTGGGATTTTCCACGGCTGGCAGCACGTCTGGCGGTGGGGTCGAGTTTGAGGAGTCATCTGGATTAGTGGGGTTGTCGCGGACAATTTGATCAAGATGTTCGCCAGGGTTGCTAAGCTGGGATTCGCGCCAGCGCCAAACGCAGTCGTGCACCACGCTCAGACTCATGCGACTTCGGACGATGAGACCAAGAGGGTCTTCGAAGACGCCTGAACTGTCCCTTCGGTGACCGGATTGCTCTTGCTGGGAAGGCTGAGGATGTGTGTTGAACATGCTCGACATCCCAAGATTACTAACAACTGGAGACTGCGACATACTGTGCAGACTTCGCCCCCTGGAACTCTCTTTCCAGAGTTGCGCCAACACTTCCGCAAAACGATCATATAGGTCATTGGTCTCGACTTTGGATTTGCGAAGGGCTTCGACTGTCTGCAGAACGTATTGCCGGCCGTCTGTGGGGAGTCTGCTCGCGAGGTCGGAATTGAGCAGTTTCTGGAATCACGAATAGAACGTTAGTGAGAGATTCATCTATTGTACATTGGGTATGTCATATGCAATCTACTTCGTATTCAGGATACACGTACCAGTAGGGCAAACCCCGCCGCGAGCGCCATCTGCATGATGTGATATGGTGCATGAATCAATTTGTTCTCTCGTTGGAGGGTAAACACGCGATCGAGGAACTCTTTGGCTGCGTAATACAGCGCCACCAGGTTGTTCTGGCGCTCCATACGCGATTCCTGGCTGAAGAAAGAATATAGATAGAGATGTAGGGTCACAGCACAATGATGAAGTTCCTCAAGCCCTATGTGTGTCAGGTACAGGAATATGACGACTGAAAATCATGGTGCTCACATTGATTGACACCGTCCAGAGCTCCTCGTTCCTCTTTGAGCCGGCCTGCTTCAAGATTCATGTACGTGGTCGCCGCACTATCGGCAAAGCGCTGAGTAGTGGTCGAATAGAGCAACTTGTTGATGCGGCTTGCAGCCATCTCCTGGCGTAGCCGTACGAACAAGTCTGGCGTTATGATACGCATGTGGTCCTCGTCATCCGTTTTGAAATCGAGTGTAGAATCATATAGAGTGATGGATGGTTGACCGTGACCAGTTGATACACTGATGTTGATAAGCAATAGGCTTCGAGCTCAAGATTGAATGAAACTTACGTTTGCGCTACAATGTTGCATACTGCCCAAGTTCTCCGTCGATCTTGTATATCTTCGACCTGAAGACGAACCTTTTTCCGTGAAAAGTCTTGAGGATGGGTCGGCTGGTGAAGGCCGATCTGCAGGGCAAGCTGCATCATTATGCCGCACAGCATGAAGGTGGGATCCGAAACGGTACGGCGCTGAGGAAGAGGCCAGTAACAGAGCAGACACAGAGCCTTGACCACGTGATGATTGTTGTGCCCCTTCATCGTTGTCCATATCAAGTCGGTCAAAGGTTCCTTGAGGCTCTGGAGCAGACCAGCATCCCGGATGTAATGGCGGGCAGCAACGCTGATGATGGCCCAAAAGAGAAGTTTACTGTCTTTGGAGCACACATCATCAGGAGAACGGAGAGGGTCCAGAAAAGGAAGGAAAGGGTGGTAGTGGTCGAAGAACTCGGAGAAAAGCTCATTGACCTGGGAAGGCGAGAGGCGCACATTCTCCAGAGTATGCATCATGGGAGAACCGCTGCGAAGGTCCAGCAACGAGGTCGCAGCAACCTGCTGATGCTGGGTTTGCAGAAAGGCATCGTCCTCTTCGGTGTGGGGTGGTACGGGGAAATAGCGAGGGGACTCATTGGGCATGATGGGGGGGTTGAGCATGGGCTGCGCTTGTGGCTGTTGAGGTTGCTGCTGCTGCTGGTCCAGCTGCTGTTGATGAGCTTTATGAGTGTCGACGAAATTTGGTAGCAGGCCGTGGGTGTTCTCGTATAAGGCCAATTTGTCGCGCAGGTACTCCATCTCCTTCTCCATCTCAGCATTCCTGGTGCGCTTCCCCACACGCTTGAAGTTGGGTTCGATGACGCATTTTAGCTGCTGCTTGAGACATCGGGCGCAGGCTACGAATGGGTCCTGCTGGACATTGCACTTGAGCTTTTGCTGGCGGCACTCGTTACATGCGCGCTTGACGACCGTGTTGCGGCGCTGGGCAGCGCGAGGGTTGGTGGAGTTGTCATCGTCGTGGTCATCGTCGTCGCTGCTAGCGGCGCGTTTGAACGTCTGGGAGCGGGCGCTCTGCGGGGGACTTGTGGCGTACGAAGAAGGAGGTGGATGGCCTTGGGTTGGACTGGCGAGCATGGCTGCTGGCTACTTGAAGCCAAACCGATATCGCTGGTTGGGAATGTCGGAGCTCAGGGCAATGTGCGGTCTCGGGCGGGGCAGGCAGGGCGCACAGCAAGCTGGATATTTTTTTCTTTTGCTGCTCTCCACGGGTCCCACCAACTGTAGCTAGTTAGGGCGTCGCGTAATCAGCCGCAAGCCAGACGTCAGTCCAACGATGAAGGCAGGTCGGTTTGTATGCACTGTATGAAGTACACCCTAGCGATTAGCTGTTGCTGCTTCAATCAACCGTCGTTGGATGTCCGTCCGTCCGTCTGTTCGCTCATGTGACCTCGTCTGTGTTCGTTCAATCAATCAATCAATCAATCGCCTGGACCCAGCAAGTAACCCGGCTGCTTCGATGCGAGGCGTTTTGCTGCAGGACCCTGGAAGGCGACGCCAGCAACACGATTGGTGAGAGGAATACTTGTCTGCGTGTCGAGATCGATATGGGTGTGACTTTCTATGTGTTTGTTTGAATGGCCATTCACGCTCAGAACAAATGTTGAATGTGCTGAGTCACGTACTCCACACGATATGGTCAATTGATAGTGATGTTGCTGGAGGACATGGAGCCAGAGTCATCACGAGGCTGGCTATTGGCGGCAACTTTTGGCTGGCCTGGGAAGGAAGGCCCGATTATCTACTACTGTCCGCCCGCCCCTTCTAGCAGCGGATACAATTTCCCGTACACCGAGTCCACGTACATCAATTGATGCAAGACCATGATTTAATTGGAAAGGGCAGCTTCAAGTACGTGTTGCTTTTGGAAGATGCGCAGTGCAGGATCGGTAGTCGACTATTCAACCGAGCATCACGGCCCAAAGTCCATAACATGAAGCTGTTCCAAGGCACAGATTCTACTCATCAGCATCAATTCAGCAAGTATTGGGAGCTGTTCGGTGAAACAGAGCATGGCAGTATATCGTCGTCACTCATGAGCAAACTTGACTGGAAAGCAAGAACCAAGCACATAGGTGTTGTGTGTTTTGAAACAATTCATTCAAGTCGTAGGAGCAATCCCGAGCAACCAGAGAAATCCTTTCGATCCCGACCCGTCGCCCGAAAATACTGCTCGAGAGGCTGTACATGGCACCGTGCATGACAGTCTCGCTCGTAATGGTATCGCATGGTGATTGGACTTTCAAAAGGATCGCATTGCTATCTTTTTTGTGCAATGGCTATCCCCGAGCCGTCGCCCCAATAATGCATTTCGCCGTTTCCTGAACCCATGAATGTTGAGAAGAGCTGGAAAAGAAATACCTCACATCACGACACCAGAGTTGCTGGCAATACGCTACGCGTTGTTAGCATGAACCTGCGAATCTTCATGACCTTGTCTGCACGTACCGGCCAGAGCTCAGCAGCCTCCTTTCCGACAGGGCCAGTGATGGCAGAGCCCTTCATTTCACCCTTGGGGTTGACAATCTGTGCGCAATCCATCAGTCTCCAGTCCCATTTCTCTTCCATCCAGCACATTGTTCCACTCACCACACCAGCATTGTCCTCGAAGTATAGGAAGACACCGTCACCCCGTCTCCAGGGCTTGCTCTGTCGGACGACGACCGCGGGCATGACCTTCTTCCTGAGCTCAGGTTTTCCCTTTTTGACGGTGGCCATGACCATGTCACCGACACCGGCAGCCGGGAGACGGTTCAGACGCGCACCGATACCCTTGACGGAGATAATGTACAGGTTCCTGGCTCCCGAGTTGTCCGCGCAGTTCATGACGGCGCCGCTATTTGGTATCAGCATTCCAGGCGTTCGGTGGGCGCATCGCAGTTCGTGGAGGAGAGACGTACACAGGGAGAGCGAGGGTCATCTTGAGCTTGTTGCCAGAGGCGGAACTGTTGGTGTGCCATTAGCAAAATCCATGCGATCGGTTTTGGAATCACTGCAACCACCTACCCGCGTTTGGAGGCCATTGTAGCGGATTATCGAGAGTCGTTGGCGGGAAAAAGGTTGGGTGTGTCGGCGGCGTGTTGTCGGTCGAGAGAAGTTCTCGAAATCGGTTGTGCGTTCAAGCGAGGCGTGACCGGAAACGATAACGGCGAAATCTCGGCTAAAATGATAGCAACATAGCAACTACTGAAGCCTTGTTTTTCCCTATCCAAGACACTCGACCGCACGCCCTTGTCGTACACGGAGAGACTTCGATACAGCTCACGCAACCAGAGCTCGCGATTGCGTTTCTTGAGCACCGAACCATAACGCTCTGTCAAGATAGTCACGACCTTGAGCAAGGCATCATATGTCAGGATTTCCGTCCCATTGTGAAGCTACAGCTTCTTGGGTGCATATTTAGATTGTACATATATATCAGTCCGAATGTGTACGTGATCACTTGTGCCTCTCTAAAATCCACTCTGGTGAATACCAGCATCTTTGGTGTACCCTGCTTCCTAACTTTTTCTTCCCGAGATTGCATAATTGATTCCATCACAACTACTTCCCCACTGCTAATAGGGTAATATGTGTATCCCTTTCTGTCACCATGCATCCACACTATTGAATCGTGTTTCGACGTCGTTTGCCGGTATCCCCAAGAGCCTCAACCTGACATATTCACGGTTGAGAACGTGCTAGTGAGGATGCGTGCGAATTTGAGGGTGCCCATCGCGCGTACTGGGTGCACCATTCACGTCACCCATAAGAGGAATTTGCCAGCCTTCCGCCTCTACTTTCGTACACTTGTCCATGGGTAGACTTTGAAACTTCAATTTTCTGTCGTGTCGGTTTTCACTTCTTGCAGGAAAATTGTAGCTGGCCAGCCGTGCCGATGAACAAAGTCGCGGAGAAATGCTGGTGAAGACGATCCATTGTCATTATGTGTCAGTTTCGAGCTGTTGCTTCTGAAATATGCAGTTATTAATTTTGAAGGAAGAGTCCGATGCGATTGATATCCCAAGAGCATATTCGCAACAGGGGCGAATCGTGGGGACAAGATGGACACGACGAAGGGGGTGCGATTGTTGTATGCCGTTGGCGTGAGACTTTCTATTTCTCCGTTGGAGGTAGACTGATTTCACGACTCATGCCCACAATTTGAGTATACAAAGATTTGTGCGCTGTGAGTAAATCTAGAGATAACATTTTATGACGTCATTGAATGACTATATCTATTTAACAAGAACTGTATATATCTACGCTCTTTTACACGAGTGAATGTTCGGTATGTCTGTAACCATATCGATAGTGATTCGTCTTGTCCTGACTGCAATCACAACGCCTATGACCTTGGTGGATTCACTATCAATCCCAACCATTCTAGAGAGAATAATGTTGAAGGGTATAACTAGGTAATTATGACTTGTGAATCACTTCATAAAACGTGGAAAATCTGTGGTTGCTGGAAACTTGGAGATTTTATACTAGTTTCTTGTGGACAACAAAGAAAGAGTGACAACATTGCATTCCCTATCAACACTTCAATTATCTACATCGGCCTTTTTTCGCCTGGCCTGATTTCAAACTGACAGTCGTCTGATATCGGTCAATGATCGAATTGACAGGAGGATGCTAATAAAGGTCAAAGTTTCACGGGGGCTGATTTGAAGTTGCCAAAAAGCGATGCCGTTGAAGTGGCCATGGGAGACAATAGACGAATAATGCGGGCACTGCGTTTTGAAGTTCCAGGATGACAGTCTAGCTGGATACGAAATCATTGAGCAATTCACAAGATTTGTGTAGATCTTTGCACAGTTGTTTCGACATGATGACTTCCTCCGTATCATATGATTCGAAATAACGAAGGGCCTAAAGATTCTTAATTGCGTTTTTGTTCTGCTGTCGGAACACCACATTCCTAACTTGTTCTCCGAAGTTCATTTATTAGAAAATTCGGCATTCTAAATCATGAACTGGTCAGTCGACTGCTCTCGACTACTGGTATTCCGGTCCCAATTCTAGCGTCACTCAATGCAATCACCAGAACTCGGGATTAAGTACTAGCACTCCCCCGGTCGCAATTAAAAGCTGTGAACTACACCCATGGATCATTAATTATTAATTCTGAGTTGGAGTTTAGTGAGGTCGATAATTTGCCCTTCATATCGACTTTCGAAGTTCTGATCGGTTGGTTGTCGGGGCGTATATTAGTTAGATTTAGGTGGTCAGAAGTTTTAGTTGTCGCCTTTTTAGTACCTATATTTCTGTATCTATCGCTGTGTGTAAGATCCCCAAAACTCTTGTTACAAAAAAAACGATCTATATAGTTCACTGATACCTCCAGTCTCTACTCTGAAAACATGCAGTTCCCATATCAGATTAACATGCTTAGATACTGTGTGATATTCATACATGCTAGAAGCTTGCGGCAGTAAAAATGATGAAAGGGGTGTTCCCCGATTCCTGCTTTTGCCTATTGCAATAAGCTTGTGTGAAGGCTCTTTTGTATGAATTTTTGGTTATTACCTGTTTTTTGGTTCCTTTATCGTTGCAACCCTTCGCTGTGTGTAGGATCACCCAACCTCCAAGTCAGTAATTGTTGTATGCTCTAGAGTAGTGAAGCAATTTTGATAGTCTACCATGCACATATTATAATTTTTTGGAAACAGTAATTATATAAGAAGAGGAATACAACCGAAATATGAATATCGTCCTATTATAAGGGTGCACCAATTCTAGAATCAGCTATCAACACTCATTTAAAGCTTTATTTAATGTCTAGATCCTATTGAAAATCTGTATAATTCACGCTAGGACGTTATTTAATAGGGTATTGAAGTAGAATAGCAATTGACAGTGTATCTTTAGATGGACTAAATGTCGTTCTGAGGGTGGCGGGCTGAACCGACTCAGTTGGTTGATGTGCTCATTAACATGGGTGAACAATACAAGGGTGGACCTAATCTAGGATGAGCTATTAAAACTCACTTAATGCTTTACACTTAATCTAGGTCTACTCCATAACCATCTATTTATACTTTCTCAAGGTCTTACTGTATGTCTAGATCCTATTAATATCCTGTGTAAATCACGTTAAGATGCTAATCAACTGGGTACTAAAGTAGAATGAAAAGTTTACACCGTATCCTTAGGTAGTCTGAGTATTGCTCTAGGGGTTGTATGCTGAACTGACATAGTTGATCAACGTGATTATTAACACTTAGGGGGTAAACATTATAGGGGCGACCTTGCTTTACCCTAGGACCAGCTATCAACACTTATTTAAGGCTTTACTGTATGTCTAGATCCTCTTAACATCATAAAAAAACTATGTTGAAATGATAGTCAACAAGGTATCAAAGTAGAAAGAGAAGTTGACACAGGCGCAAATCTAAGCTTGCCAGTCGCGGAATACCCCATGGATCCGCACAGACAGCCATGTCGCCCATCCCCAGACGGAGGAAACGATGCCGATGGCACATTCCCGCCACTCGAAAGGTAGCATGTACTTACTATTCGTATGCAGCTATTGTTTTATTCGCATTTCAATGCCCGGAATGGCGTCTTCGCTGCTCTCTAGAGGCAGAAACATATGGACCAACCCAGGGTCAAAAGTGTCAAATTGTCATTGAAATTCGAAAGGACAAGCGCCCTCATCCAAGGTCTTGATTGCGATTGCCATACATTCCTAGGTTCCGAAACTGGGAGCAAGCTCAGTCACTTGCCATTCGAGTCGAGTGGGAGGATCCGCAACATCCAGGGAAATGGAGGTGCGAATATATGAACAGAAGAATGTCCTCGTCACTCAGAAACAACGATATTCCAGCGTCTTTTGAAAGCTATGCTAAAGCTATCGAGCTCTTGCAGTGCATGCTCCACGCCAGGCCATCTACTGTTCATAACTGGATTATTCAGCCGCCCTATGCCAACATTCTCATGGCTGATTATGATCACATGAAGCAAACTATTACTTTCCGTCCGCTCAACGATGAAGATCGTGTGGCTATAAAATCCTGCCTGCGCCTGCCAGCTAGTATGATCGAAGCGGAGATGAGGATGCCAGGCCGGTTGGGAAAGGTGGGCGGCTTGACACCTGGGACAAATCCACCACGCTGCGATCTATGCAAAATGACTCACGCTACTTGTCAACCAAATGCAAATGGCCTTTGCAAACAGTGCTGGAACCATGGCTTACCATATTGTTCCTGGTCGATTGACTCCCCGGGTGGGGCGACAGATGTTGGAAAATTATATCAAGGTATGTGGGATCATAAGTGCAGCATTGTGTGTTTCTGTCTCTATAAGCCCAACTAACAAATTGCTCGCAATATAGGCACATGCCCACCCTCCACCTCCGCGGACAAGTTCGCAGATATGACTAGAATCTATACGGCACTCCTGGGTAACACCAAAAACCCCCCAGTACCTGAGCGACTTCAAGGCTTCGACCTAGGTTTAATGCCGATCGAGAGTTCAGGAGATCGAGAGATTGAGGAGGAAGACAAGGACTGAGATGGATAGAGCAAGGGGGATCAAGGCCAGGCCTCTCCTCGACCGATGAAAGTGTCCTGACAAGCGGGGTGCCAAATACCAATCTTCTGGCTATACATATGTACAGAGCTACGGTATTTCCTAGGAATCAGTTGATTCGGATTGTAATAAAATAATACATCTGGGTAATAAAAAAGTCAATTGCTGCAATGGGGTTAGCGTGCCAAGTCTCGCTCGCTTAGCACTCCTCCCACATCGAGTTGGAAGTTGTGCATTTCGACTCCAACAATCTACCACTACGACCGGAGCGCCCAATTTTTTCCCAGGAACACCACATACACCACATTCCTGAAGCGCAGCGATGGCCCCTAAGAAGAACAAGAAGACCGCCGACTCCATCAACTCGCGCCTTGCGCTTGTGATGAAGTCCGGAAAGGTCACCTTGGGATACAAGTCTACCTTGAAGAGTCTCCGTACCGGAAAGGCCAAGCTCGTCATCATTGCTGGCAACACTCCTCCTCTCCGCAAGTCTGAGCTCGAGTACTACGCCATGGTACGTTTGTTCGAACTGGATCTCCGAGCCCAGCCGCTGACTGACTTTCACAGCTTTCCAAGACTTCCGTCCACCACTTCTCCGGCAACAACGTACGTACAATTCCTTGATCGCTCTCAAGGCCTAACGACGAGATTACACCACTGCGTGCTCTGAGGGCTGGCCCTGAGAAGAGGTCGTCCTGACTTCGGAGGGCTTAGAACTAATATGACTGTACACAGATCGAGCTTGGCACCGCTTGCGGTAAGCTCTTCCGCTGCTCCACCATGTCCATTCTCGACGCTGGTATGTGTTTCCGTCCGCAATTCTTTCTCACCCATAGCCGATAAACTAACAAATGCACCAGGTGACTCTGATATCTTGAGCACCAACACCGAGTAGATGGAAGGGGCTGGATGAAGGAATGTAAAAAGTGTAGAGGCGATGGAAAAGTTGAACTTCACGACAAAATACCCGCATCTACGGTAGCTTCTGAATGATGAGAACATGTCACATGAACTTGGTATCTTAGCTGGTTGCACATGCCTTCATGACAGCGAACCTGCGTTGTGACCATGCAGCGTGCGTATTGGTACCATTAAGTATCTTCGTAGTTCAACAGCAAATTTTGACTCCATCGCTCATTGACCTTCCACGTAACAAACATAAATATTTTCCGTGATGACAAATCGGTGGCGGATCACTAAGCCGAATCGGGACTAGATCCACCCACACAGAGTCGTGACTGCCTCGATTATGAATCACGCCTGCCCTTCAAGACCTGCGCCTTCCAAGTGTCCGACTCTCCAACACACCATATCCAAAGGTACGATTATCTCTCACGGTGACTGCACGACGCTCACTACGCCTGCTGCTCGCCGTTTCCTGAATCTCGTTGCAAATCGAATCTGACAGTCCGAGCAGGAAGCCAAATACCGTCAAAATGGCCCGCCGTCCCGCCCGTTGCTACAGGTACTGCAAGAACAAGCCGGTATGTTGAGCCTCGTGTAGATGTAGCAGGCAGATTTCTCACTCTTGTCACCAGTACCCCAAGTCGCGCTTCAACCGTGGTGTGCCCGACCCCAAGATCCGTATCTTCGATCTTGGCCGCAAGCGTGCCAACGCCGACGACTTCCCTCTCTGCATCCACCTTGTCTCCAACGAGTACGAACAGCTTTCCTCCGAGGCCCTCGAAGCTGCCCGTATTTGCGCCAACAAGTACCTCGTCAAGATTGCCGGAAAGGAAGGTTTCCATCTCCGTGTCCGCGCCCACCCTTACCATGTCGTCCGTATCAACAAGATGTTGTCGTGCGCTGGTGCCGATAGATTGCAGACGGGTATGCGTGGTGCCTTCGGAAAGCCCAATGGTACCGTTGCGCGTGTGAACATCGGTCAGATCATTCTGTCCGTCCGCACGAGGGACAACAACCGTGCCACCGCTCTCGAGGCTCTCAGGCGATCCCAGTACAAGGTATGTGTATCTCATTTCGATTTCGGCTGTTCATTATGCTAACGTGAGTAGTTCCCTGGTCGCCAAAAGATCATTGTCTCCAAGAACTGGGGTTTCACCAGCCTTCGTCGCGAGGACTACGTCGTCAAGCGCCGTGAGGGAAAGATCAAGATTGACGGTGCTTACGTTCAGTTCCTCCGCAACAAGGGCCCTCTCGAGAAGAACGTCCAGCGTTTCCCTGATGCTTTCGAGCAGGAGGCGTAGGTTTGCATTCTCTCCGGGGTCTTTGTGGCGTGATGATCGGCATGGGAATTAAGTGGAACACTGGTCAAGGCGTGTCTTGCTTTCTACATTTTCTTTACTCTGGTCATGCGTTAGGGTCTGACTATGACCTGTCTACGAATGAAACGTAGATTGATCGATATCCCACCTAGCAATGACAATGGTACATGAACAATTCAATCTGCTCGGCTGCGTGATGTCACGGAATTGTATATGTGGATTTCCTACCCCGGGCATGCCTGCTACCTATCTGATCATTATGTATTGTGCTTCCATGTCCTCACTAATTACCACTACTAATATAAATTCTGCCTCGTCATCATTCAACTCTGGGGGTATCGTTCAATTGCTCCGACTCTGATCTATCTCGCCGCTAATCTTTGACGGTTGCCGTGACAGTAGCCGTCTCCTTCTCTGTGGTTGTTGCAGTCACCGTGACAGTGAACAGTTGATTTGGGTTAATCGGCGTCACGATCAACGGACTATTCGATGTCCGTGACGGCGACACCGCAGGACTTGTGGATGATTGCCTAGATGAAGCAGGCGTAGTACTGGACGAAGGTACATCTGTGGTTGTAGCACCACCTGGGGACGACGATGTAGTGGGCGCAGGGCTCGCACCAACCGAACGTGTTGGATATTGGAACCCGCCATTTCCACCCGTGCTTCCCGCTGGAGCATTAGACGGCTTCAGCGTTTGGCTAGCCGCCGATGATTCTACGGCGCTTCCAGGGTCGCTCGCTACAGATGACGATGGTGGTGGGGCGCTTGGAGCGGGAATTGCTGGCGCTTGCGTTGTTGAGATCGAGGCGGCACTCGACGTGATCGTGACTGCTGGTGGAGGTCGGAGGGAGGTCGGAGGTAGACCAGCAGATGATGAGGATGCTGCTGGGGCACTCGACGGTTGCAAGCTAGAAACTGATGGAGCGGGTGTCTCAGACAAGGGCGCAGTCGTTGATGAAGCTTGAGAGGCAGATTCGACAGGAGGTGCGACTGTCGTGTACGAGGTTTGCGTAACATAGACGACTTTCTTTGAAGATGCAGCAGACGTCTGCTCAGTCTGAGTCTGGGGTTGCGTAGCTGTCCCCTGGGAATTTGATATTGTCTGATTTGATCCACCAGTGGGTCGTTGGATAGTGGGTATAGCTACTGGTGCCTTTGCTCCCGAGCTGGTCAGAGGCGAGCTCACTGATGTCGTAGTAGAATTTGAGCCTTGGGTTTCAGCCGACGACGAAGACTTCGACGGGGTGCTCTGACCACCAGTCCCTTTCGGTGAATACGTGAATGGTGGTTGGTCTTGAGGACTTGAAGAAGTAGATTGGGTCGTAGGTGTCCCAGTTGATGGCGTAGCAGAAGGTGTGCGGGAAGGCTCTGCACTAGGCGACTTCGATGGCACATCTTGGCTGGGTGTAGGCTGGGGTCGTGAGAAGTAGGAAGTGGAAAGAAGTGTCTCGGCGTCTTGAGTGAGCATGGGCCGTCCCTTGGGATCGAGAAAGGTAATCGCCGACTGGGTATGTGTGATGATTGTGTGTCCCACGGGCTCAACCACAACAGCTGTATTTGCCTCCGCTGTCTGGTTGGTAGGATTCGAACTTGAAATAGATACCGAAGTCGTTTGTTTTGAGCTCGTCAAAATAGTAGATGTTGTGGACGTAGAGCTTAGGGATGTTGTATTGCGAAAGTAAGGGTAACTGGATAGTATGAGAGATGAACGCTCACTCGAAGACATGCATTACTCACAATGGGCTTCGAAATTGCAAAGGCAGAGGTCCTGCCACTACACCAGACGAGAATGCTGCCAGCAGCCAAATGAAGAGAGCGACGATCATGTTGACGAATATCACTGAGTATGATCGCGGTGACCAGCGATAGCGAGAGTTGAAAGAACGCGCGCGCCTGGAAAAGGAAAAGGTCAACAAACGACAGAAAATGTGGGCGCCAGCAAGGTAAAGAGGCAGAAAATCAGAGACTGGAATGATTTCATAGAATTAAAACAAGGTCGAAACGGAAGACATCGCTCATACGATGCGAGACGAGAGAACAACGATCCACTTCCAAGTTGATCACTATCACAGCATTTGATTGATGGCGGGCAGCCATCTGGTTTTGAAGCTCCTGTAGCCGCTGTTTGATATCAAAATAGTATTGTCGAGGGTACTGGACCAGCATTGCCATTGGGAAAATTCATTTCAATATTTGATACAAACCAACCAGGTACGCGACCGAATGACTGGTGGAGAGTGTACGGTGTAAACGCGACTACGTGGGCGGGTAGTGTTTCGACTCAGGACCGATCGACCAATAGATCGACGAGCCGCAGTATAGCGCCTCGCCCATCTCCACCTCCCTCTACGTCAAAAACCATGAAATGTGAGATGCACACCTGCAAATATTGAATGCCTTATCGAATGCTATAATATGCGATATAAATACTTTGCCACCCTATCTTGAGTATGTACCTATCTCACCGCGCCCTAACGCATAGTCGATCTAGAATGGAGTCTGTCTGTAATGCTATCGACAGGGGTGTTGTAGTGTGGTCAGAATATTGTCCTCATTTCCAGTGTACTTGTGCATACACATGTATCCTCGAGAAAAGGGCATCATTAATCAGATCTTGCTGCGTAAATGACAGACATGTCTCGTAAACGTATGAAGCGCATCAGCCATGTCGATTCAAATGTTTCTTATGTATGTCTCGTATGCTCCCCATCTTCGACATCGATTTGAGAACGAATGTGTGTGTGTGGATTACAATATCGAGGAAGCACGTGAGACAGATTGAGAAGAGTACACTGTCAATCACACACTACAAAAAGGTTGAATCTGCAGAATGCGATTCTTCGTCTTGAACCCGATCATCGTGGAGAGAGCCCACGTGATCAGCACTAGAGCGTTGCTGGGGCGACCAGCGACTCGGCCACAACAGCAATCCCTGAACGAACGCTCGCACTGATCGCACCTCAGAGCTCAACGTCGTCATTCCCTTTCACTGTGTGAACAACCAAGTCTCCCTCGCCATTCCTCTTCATCTCCGCTACACGCATTCAATCTCCCTTCCTCGCACTTCCTCGCAACACGTCCCCGTTTCCATCACAGGCACGATGAGTGTCCGAGTAGTTGCAAGAATTCGGCCGCTGCTCAAACAAGAGCTCGACAAAGATACAATTGTGACGGCAGATCCGCCTACTAGTACCGACCCCAAAGCCAAACCTAGTCTCATAAGGATACCAAACCCCAAAAAGGAGAGCGAGTCCTTCAGCTTCCAATTTAGCTCTGTTTACGAGCAAAATTCCACGCAGCAAGAACTCTTTGATACTGAAAGTACGAGACAGCCTGCGAACTGGTAATATAGCTAGGAAACTAATGGGCTCGCAGTTGCACCGACAGTCAAGCACTTGTTCAATGGATTGTAGGTGCTTACGTGCGTCTTTCTTATTGCACAAGACTAATTTGACCAAAGCGATCTCTCGATATTCGCCCACGGCTGTACGGGAACCGGAAAAACGCACACCATGCGTGGCGGGAAATCGTTAGCGGATCGTGGCGTCATTCCCCGGTTACTGAGCGCTATATACCGACGCTGTAAGAAGGTCGAGAAGGACACAGCTGGGGAGACACAGGTCGAAGTCACACTTGAATATTTCGAAATCTACTGCGACCGTGTCTACGATCTATTTGAGCCTCCAGAGAAACGCACGGCCTCGGGACTGCCGATAAGAGACAATAACGGGAAAACGATAGTCGTGGGCCTGAAAGAAAAGCCGTGTGCAACGCTGAAGGAATTCGAACAAATCTACGATCAGGCCAACGTCAATCGGTCTACTTCTGCTACCAAGGTAAGCCGAAGTAATCAAGGCGAATAGATCTGGACGGCACTGACACAAACAAGTTAAACGCACATTCAAGTCGGTCGCATGCCATCCTCTGCGTGAAGGTGACCCAGACGACTGAAACCACGATACAAGTGAGCCGAGCATCGTGTATTGATCTCGCAGGCTCGGAAGATAATCGACGGACGGACAACAACAAAGAGAGGATGGTGGAGAGCAATGCCATCAACAGCTCGCTGTTCGCCCTGGCCAATTGTGTAGATGCTATCAACAGCAAAAAGTCGCGGATACCATACAGAGAGTCCAAGATGACGAGAATACTGTCATTAGGCCAGAACAGCGGTCTGACTGTCATGATATTGAATCTTGCACCGACACGGGCATACCATTTGGACACCATCAGCTCTCTGAACTTTGCCAGTCGAACAAAGAAGATTGAGACATGCGAAATCGAAAACGACCCGATGCTTCGGAATATTGCAAAGCCCCTCGGCGCAATCGCGGGCAGCAACATCACCAGACAACCTTTACGACCATTAACCGCAGCCCTTAACACAAATAAGCCTGATCAAGCACAGAAAAAGCCTGGGCTCAAGCCCGTGAAAGCGTTTTCTGTCTATTCCGACACTCGCAAACCAGCTCAGCGAGCTCCCCAACCTTCCCAAAACCAAGGTCTAAGACGAGACGTCAACAAACGGCCCGCCGACACGAGTGCTACTACAAACCGTCCCTCCAAAATGTATAAATCGGCAGACACAACATCTCGTATGCGCAATGCTGGGGTGGCAATGACCAAGGAGTCGATTGACGCTCTCATCTCTCAGCGAATCGAGGAAAAGCTTGCAGAGAAAGCTCTCCAAGACGCGGGAACTGCAGCTCCGGCTTTGTCCGCAGAATTACAAAAACGCCTTGATGACTTGGAGCATCGGATAGACGCCAAAGATGATGATGGCAAAGGCCAAGGGCTGCAATTCTTGCTCATGGCCAAACAACATGCCATGCGCGGCGAGGAAAGCAGTGCATTGAGGATGTATCAGCTCGCTGAGCCTTTCTTTCCCGGAAACCAGAAGTTGAGGTCGAAGATGGAGGCATTGGAAGAGCGGATACGCAACAAAAAGGATCTGACTGTACCGACAGCAGCCTCTGGGTTACACCGCACCACGGAAAAGAGAAAGCCAGCTGCTGCTGCGTATCAAGACGCTTCGGAGGATGAAGACTTTGCGCCAGTGGCCGAATCGGAGGCGGAGGAGTCGTACGCGTCAGATTCGAGTTTCAAATACAGGAAGCCGGCTCGTAAAGCAAGAGGTGGACGCAAAGTGGCCATCTTCCGCGACTCGGATGCGTGTGAGAGTAAAGCCAAGGTTGGCGAGCATACTCCACGGACAAGTCATCTGCTCAGGATTATCAATTCGCGGGACATATCACAGATCAAGGCACTCAAGGGAGTGGGGTCGAAGAGGGCAGAAGGCATCGTCAACTGCCTGGTGGAGATGGAAGACGTGGAGATTGACGACCTTGCAACGCTCTCCAGGGTCAAAGGCGTGGGAGGTAAGAGTGTGGAGACGATGAGACTTGGGTTGGACGTTTGTATATGAGCTGAAGGTAGCCAGGGTTGGGGATTGGCGGGTTCCTCTGATTGCATTTCATGGTGTTGTCATTGGTGGTGAGGTGTTTCTGGGATGGGGGATAGCACAGCATTAGCATAGGCATAGCATAGCATAGCATAGCGTGGGCGTCGTGGAGTTTGACGATGTGTTTATTCATTGACATTAGATGAAGTTGGACCTCGAGTCATGATGGGTGAGATGCTGCAATGAACAAAAGCGGCAAGCCGATGGCCTCTGGGATTCGGGCCATGTGTGATTGGGGGATGGGAATATACGGTGCATGTATGATGAGTGCTAGGTGGACGTTAGTTTGCCTACCCCTCAACACCACACAGGCGGGCAGAGTCTGGGACCTGGATCTGAATCTGGCTGTTTTGGCGACGGACCAACCAGGACGGGTGGCCAGGCTGTTAACCATGGTAACCGTGGTGCGGCTAAAAAGCCGTTCGGCGTTGCTTGCAGAGCACTCAGTCAGTTGGCACCATCGTCGTCATAGTTATCGCGACAGAAGCTTCGTTGATCGTCTCTCCCGGCCTGGTCTTTGGCAGTACATTACAGTACATTACATGACACACAACTCCCCAGGGCATCGCTGCCTGCCGCCATGGCGCACAGTCGACGGCATGAATGATGACAGCTTACAAGCAAGTGGTGATCTGTCTGTGGTCCATGGACCCAAGTGGAGCAGCACGGGACAACTAGCCGTTCGCTTCGGCAGGTACAATACATGAGGTGTATCGTACATGTCTATACATGTGCTTCATCTTCGCATCCATGCCTATGTACATATGTATCATTCAGGCTTGCCCGGTCCGTACTTGCACGGGTCGACATGCCCTTGCAGAAACACCTCTGTATCTGTTTTGGACGCCCCAACTCGAGGACCCGGCACATCCCTATATAGTCAAGACGCTGGCTGACGGGTACGCGTACGCGCATCCATGTACATGTGTCGTATATACTCTTGTGCATGTGAAACGCTTTCCCTTTGTTGCCTTTTGTTCCATGTCTTCTGCTTGTCCTGCCTCTGGGGTCCCTTCCCACCTCTCGTCGGCGGCACAGAGCAGATGGGAACAAGGTGGGAAGAGTCATGTAATGTAGGCGGTTGGCAGGTGGACAGGCACTTGCCGTCGGCCTGCTAGCTAGGTACGGTCCTGTAGTAGCTGCGAGTGCCCCGCGGGAGCTCGGGCGTCTCAAGTCTTTGTGCATAATAATAATAAAAAAGATGGCTGTACATTCAACTAGTCTGAGGTGGCGGCTTTCTAAGATCGCCCTCTCATTCATTACTTGCAACTGACTGAACTCCGAGACCCCGCCATCTATCATCACCACCACCACCACCACCACCATTACCACCGCCCTCACCTCAACCTCACCCACATTGCTCCTCACCCAGATGCTGCCCCTCGCCCGTCGTCACCAGCTCCGTCCACTCCAGAAACGTCCCTCTTCCTGCTGCTGCTGCTGCTGCTGCTGCTGTTGCTAGACGCATTCCGCGCTGCGCCCTTGCTCGTCCGCCAGCCCGCTCTCGTCCCCAGCTAAGGCTCGCATGCTGCTCTACCGCCGCCGCAATCTACCCGTCACCAGTCCACTCCCAGCCTCGAAACCCCGAGCACTACCCGCCTCAACCAACCGCCACTGCGCCTCCAGCGATACCTTCCATTTGCCCTAGCAGTCCTGCCTGCATCGCTGCAACCCACCGGCCAAGCGCCGCGTGCAGAGCATCCCATCGTGCCGGCAGTCAACCCACCCCACGCCGTTCCTTCCCACTCGTGCTCTTCACTGCATCCTTCTAGCACCACACAGCTATCACCATGTCTGCCTTCCAGGCCGTCAACACTGCCTTGACCGTGCCTGAGCCCCCACCAAGCCGTCCAGGCGAAGAGACAACCCCGACCACGCCCCGACCCAACTCCAACTTCTTTGTAGATACCGAACCGTCCGAACATGTACGAGCCGACGACCCAGCCGCCAGAACCCCTACCCGGAACAGCTTTGGTCTCGCCGCTCAGCGCCCTCTGCCGTCCTCGCCCTTCACCCCGTCGCGCGAGCTAAGTGAAAATCCGTCCAGCAGGCAAGGCGTGAAGAGGGAGAGCTCTCACCATTCTTCGCACTCGGTTGGTTCGCAGGATGTGGAGATGGGTGGCGGGGACGATGAGGGAGTACCCTCCGACGACGAAAGCACCAACGGCGATGCGAAACAGAGTTCGAAGAAGAAAAAAGGCCAGCGCTTCTTTTGTACTGACTTTCCGCCCTGTGCTTTGAGCTTCACAAGAAGTGAGCACCTGGCTCGTCATATCCGGTGCGTCTATCTACTTATCCTCTCCACTCTGATCACCCTAACTGACACATGTCCAGTAAACACACTGGCGAGCGGCCCTTTCAGTGCCACTGCGCACGGAGATTCTCGCGACTTGACAATTTGAGACAGCATGCACAAACGGTTCATGTCAACGAAGACATCCCTGGACACTCACTAGCCGCTCAGGGCACCCGTTATCAAAGGCAGATCAGGACAGATCGCGTGCGACCGCCAGGCAATCGGTCGAGGTCAAACACCCTGGGCAGCACAGCAGGAGGCCACAGCAGGGGTCCCAGTAAAGGCCATAGTAGGAACCTTTCGGCTTCCAGCATCACCTCTACCGCGTCAAGTATAAATCTTACTCAGTCGCCTGATATACGACGACGCCCACCCCCGTTAGCCATGGCTAACGAGGGTGCCGCCCGAACCCGATTATCCCTCAACATAGCAGACAGCCACAATCCTCCATTGATGGGGAGTCCGGGACCAGCCGTGATCGATTACAACACTCAGTCCAACGGAGCAAGCACGCCTACGTCAGCGACCTATTCTGGCGCGACTGGCAGCCCTAGTCGTTTTGGCTCCGCGCTACAATCCCCAATTTCAACTTCATCCCGCCCCGTCTCTTGGAGTGGTGCCGCCCCTAGCGGGCGACGTTTGTCGGTTCCTGCCAGCAACAACCCATTCTCGGGTCCACCAGGACAATTTGTCCCCTCTTTCATGAGTCCCCTGCCCTCCTCCACGTCTTCGACCTTTTCTGGTCAAAGCAGTATGTATGCTAGCCCTACTGCGTCGAACTTCCCAGAGTCCAGAAGAGAGTCAAATGCCGAAGCCGACTGGAGAAGGCGTACCTGGCATCCTGGAACGTACGCAGGCCCGCGCCCAGCTACCAGTGGGCTTGGCTATTATCAGAATCTGGATGCCCCAGGACCGTCTTTCACGTCACAGCCTGCAGCGTCTCAAACTACCAGACTCCCTGGTATCGAGAGCTTCGACCATGCACCTCCCATGCCGTCCCTACCTCGCCGCCAACCGAGTCCTATGCAGATCGACACCGCCGCCCGGCCCGTTACGTATCATGCACCAACGGATGTTACACCTCGCCCACGACACGAAAAACGTACGAGTATATCCTGGGACTTGACTTTGCAGAATGGAATCAACAGCCTTGAGATTGCGAGTCCGCATACCCCAAGAGAGCAGTGGTCGAATTACCGACACAGCACTGGACAGACAAGCAGTACGAGACCAACAACGGCACCTCACCAAGGGTATATACCTGAAGGGCAGACCAGCGGACCACCACCGCCCATTCAAGTGGTCTCGTCCGATCAGGCGCGAGGCTCACAAGAATCACCCGTGACACCGAAGAGAAACAAACGGCAAGCCTGGTACAACGGTCCACTGGCATATACACCCCAAGTTCAACATCAGTTACCACAAGTTCAAACCCACACTGCTACTGCTCGCTTCGTTCAACGCACCTCACCCGAGGATTCGAGCAGCAGTGAGGGAGTTCCAACTCCTTCAAACACATCCATGACTGAGTACCATCCAGCTATTGTTCACAGCAATGGATTTGTAGAATCGCATCCTCCTGGCCCATCAGGACCTCCTATGGAGGTGCAGAAGCCGGTACCTCAGGGATCCATTATGGATAGACCGCATCCGATCCATCATGGCTATCACTCGCAACATGCAAGTCAGCAATTTAACAGTTCGGCGTATAGGCCCCAACGAGAGCCAGAAAGAGCATCAATGACTTTCGGACAGCCACTACCCCCGCCGCCTGCAAACGATATGAGACGACTTGAGGCACTTGTCGCTGTGGCTACTGAAACACGACAGGCAATTGGCGACCAAACATAGAAGTAACGAGCAACACAGGTGGTGCTACCCACCACCAGATCTCATTCCCACCACCACCCCGCTTCAGTTCTACATATATATTAGGTCACCAATTTCTGGAACAGGGGACGAAATCAACGATTTCAGTACAACACACCGCTCAATTCACGAATCCCTTTTTTTTCTTGGTCGTCACGCAGAGTTTTTTCTCGAGTATCATTATCCCAGCACATGCATTTCTCGTTGTCTCGTTTATACGAAGAAGTTGAATTTACGAATCAACCTTCTCGGAGCATCGACGTCGATGATACCCAAGAGTAGTGAAAGAGACTTTGATTATTTGTTTTTTCTGCTATTCTTCCCTTTGTTATATCATCTTTCCATCAGTTACTTGATCAACGCGTACCACGATTCTCCTATTCACCTGCATACCGATGTACGCTTATCATGACAATGGGGGCATACTTGGGGCTGCGGGGGCCGCGGTAGGCGTTAATGGGCTTTGCTATCATGTTCTCCTGTGTTTCGGGCTTACGTTTTCGTTTCCGACTTTCTTGCCTTGCTGTACTTTCTCATGCTTGTCATTTTGTTAGGTGGACGTTGGGGAGAATACCTTTGATTATGAGACTGCCTTCTTTTTTGGTTTTAGTTGCGAAGGCAGTATAATGGGAAAGAGATGCTGGGACAATACTGTCCGGGTCGAGCTTGACCATTCGATGTGATTCTCATTATGCCTTTCGTGTTCGTTTGCTTGTATATGCTTTTATTTTTTATGATATCATTCTTAGTTTAAGTTTAGTTTTTTTATCGAAACAAACACGCAGTGTCAAGCCACTGTCCAGACCAAACCAGATCAATAATCGCGCAACTGCTACTACCTACAAGTTTTGACAACCATCCCAAACGGATATGCAATATATCCACCATTACACCCGTTAATCACCGTGCTTGAACCTTCCCTAGCATGTGCAACAATTCTTTTTACGATTCTGTTTTGTCACAGTTACACCAAAGGAGGGAGAACTAGAATAAGGGGTCATTGCACACTTTCCCCTCTCTCTCACCTCCATTTCGCCCTCACCCCTGGAAAGAGGAAAGCCGAGTTGCACTGCGTTTCTATTTGGAGCACTCGCTCGGGCGATACAAACAAGCTCCCCCTCTCTCCTCCCCTCTCGTGTACACTCGCAACCGACCGTTGGGCTAGTTATGCGGTGTCCCCCTCCCGCCCCCCCCCCCGTCCTTGCCCACCCGAGGGAAAAAGCATGTTGAAGGATTACGCTGTACCTCGTTTCTCTGGCTCTGGGATCTATGCATGCTACGCAAGTAGGCAACGTTGAACTACAATCACTAAGTTCTTGTGAGGGGGAAAAAGAAGCTGCCAAGGTTCCTTTTTTGGGGGGCGTGATTGTTTTTTTTTTTTTTTGGTTTTCAATTAGTCGTTTGCATTTCCACTGTTTAGATCTAAGTAGCTAGCTACACGGTTTGCTTTCTTTGTCAAGTTTTCGTCACTCATTAAGAGAAGGATGCGCAGACAGGCAGGCTGTTCAGAAGGAAACAGTTCCAAATCTCTCTCTCGCTTTGGGGGGAATTTCCAACTGTCATTCGTTCTCCAATTACTGGACAACCTATAGGCAAGACGTTAGCCGGCATTCCAGGTTTTACTCGGGCCCTGTTGAATCGAGAGAGGTATTAAGTCTCATGGTTGGGATCAGTAGACGTACCTTTTCTCTCAACATTCCAAGCCACTGCTGCAAGCTCACGCCCTGGTCCGCTCGGTCTTCAACGAGCAAAGTTTGCGCCCAGAGTTTCAGGCTTGGGTCACCGTCCTCTTTCACGACATAGAGCGTCGGCACGGTGATACTACCTACACCCTTTGCCTTGTGATCCCTGGACTTCTCCATGACAGCGTTTACGCGCTCGTTGAAATCGTTATCAAGGCGTGGCAATGTGGTTTTGCCCTGTTGAATCTGCGTGCGATCTTCCACCCCAAAGACATCCTGAATCAATGCTGGTACTGCGTCACGACCAACCCACCTGATCATAATTAGCACGTGAAATTTTGCAATCATGGATGGGTGGGTACACTTACAAGAATTGGTTGACACCATCGTCAAGAAGATACAGTCCATAGGGCACAATACGTTCAGATGACAAGTTCAGGAGTGGGGGCATAACGATAGTGCCAGTCTGGGGATCGCTTACGCCTGCATCGTCGGGCATATCATGCAAAGAGTAGAACGCAGGGTAGATATATCTCAAAAGTAACGCGGTTGGAAGTGTGGATATTAAGCAAAGCGCAGCGGCACGCAAATCCTTTGAGAATCAGTCAGCTAATAGCCTGAGGACCATTGCAAATGTAAAAGATAATGAAGTGATACATACCGAAGGTATTTGAGCGCTTTTCCTCAACCCCACGTTCTTAATCAGACCGAGGAACAAAACGGGGAGTGCTCGGAGGTTTGCAGGTAAAGCTGGGCGCGTCAATAACAAGCCAAAGAAACAGAGGCATAAAACTCACTAAGCCCACCAGCACTGCCGCCAGCCAAGTTTGATCTGTAGGTTGTCAAGATTTCAATAACCTTGGATTGCAAAGCGTCACGAGCAGCATCGAGGCCACTAGACAGTGCGCGCTCAACAGCTTTGTGGCTGAAATATGTAGTGATCGCCTGGGCGTCTGCCGAAGCGTAGACGTTGGCCAAATTCTCTGTGGTCGGGAGACCCAAAGTCATGACACGGATCCTTCTGGAACCGTTACAGCTCGTGTGGAGAACGGCGGCCTGCAGAAAGACTGAAGGGCGTGTCAAAGTCTCATCAATTGCAACCTCAACATTATATTGTTGATCCCTAGGGAAGGACGGAAACGCGCAAAGATCAGATGACCGATTGAAAAAGTTTCCATAGAATGCAGACATGCGCAGACCAGTGCTAGCACGAACTCGAAGTACAGCCTCGAGGCCAATTTCCGAGCTGAGATAGTTCGTAAACTCTTGGGCCAGTTTAATAGCATCTTCTTGTCGGGCAGCGTTCCATCCCGGGTAAAACCATGTCTGGCCTCCGGTGTATCGCGGAAGATTGCTCAGCGAAGCTACATCCTGGTATGCACTCGAGAAGAGGAACATATCAATCGAGACCTGGTTCTTCGAGCACTCCACGGCGAAGCTTTTGTAGAAAGAATTTTGGGTCTGCAAAAGACTTCCTTCCTTGCTGGTGCCTAGAATGTCTTTGCGCTCGCGATTCTCCAGCTTCCCGAATCCATGGTTTGGCAGAGAAGAAGAGATGACCGTGATTTTGGCACCAATAGCTGCCGTCATTCGATGACCAGCCCGAAGGGCAGAGCCCATGGCCGAAGCTGTTTGCATGTTGTCCTGGAACATGGTAGGGAGTTTTTCGAGGAAAGTTTGCACGTTCTGCATGGACTCGGAGAGTGTTACAAGCAGATTATCGGGCGTAGGAAGGAAGGGTTCGTCGAGGTCCGATATAACAAGCATGGAAGGGTCGTTGTTTTCGCTGCCATCGCGAGGGATAGAGAAATAATACAGGCTTGCATCGAAGCCGATGAAGCCAACGCGGGTTCTAACCAAATTAATGTCAGCCAAAAGCAAGGAGCAGATGAAATTGCTATCCACCAACATACCTGCCATCTGCATTGGGTATCCGCGGAAGAGCCTCGGAGATGATTCTTGAGACGGTGGCGCACAAGCCGTTGATGAGTGACGGTTGGCCAACCTCAATCAAGAAAAGGTAGACGAGCGGCTGAGGAGGGCGGACCATGTACTCCTGGGGGGCAACAAACTCGCAAACAGAGTAGTTGAGTTCGCTTCTCTGCCAGCGATCGACGCTCTTCTGTTGTGCTGCATCCCAATCGAAGGCCTACAGGCGGTAAGCAGTGAATCTCGGAGAAGGGAGTAAGGTTTAGGACACGAACCTGTGGAACGTCGTTGGTCAGATTGCACATGTTGCACCTCCATCTGTGGCCATGGTCGAGGAAGGTAACAAAGGGATTGATATATGCCCTGAACAAGTCAGCTCTTGGGGATTGTAGCAAGCGGGACAGGCTAGTACGTGCCTGCAGCGACGGCATCGGCTGATGACCTGGTCGTCTATAACGGGTACGGGGGCTTCATCGTCGTGCAGCGAGGTGTAGGGCTGAACGATGAGGGAAAAGGGAAGCTTGGACTTCTTGAGCAAGCTGTGGGTGGTGGGGACGCAGGCCAGGGTGGAGCGGATGTAGGGGGGCGGGCAGTTGGAGTGCGGGGACGGGGTGGCGGCGAGGTTCGCGGGCAGCTGGATGGGTGGAGGAGCTGAATCAATCTCCGAGGCATGGACAGGCTGTGCGATCAAGTCGGATGGGTAGAGTTGGTTCTGTTGTGCGGGCGCGGCCTGCTGCAACTGCGGCGTCACTTGGGTAGGCTGCGGGCCCAAGTTCATCTGCTGGAATTGCTGGCCGAGGGCATTCGGATCCTGCGTGGGAGACATTGGGATGCCTGGCGAATAGCCTCCATACTGGCCAGGTGCTGGAGGAGGCACGCCTGCTGCCGAAGCTGCGTTTGCTGGAACAGTGCCCGCTGCATTTGCGCCGAACTCGTACGCAGCGCCCGCATACCGGTCCCTCTTCTTGCGGTCCGCCATGGCACAAGCAGCGTGGATGTGTGTGTGGGTGTGGGTGGAGGATGCCGGTGGCTGTTAGGATGGGTGGAAGGGGTGGGAAAGATTGGACGTGGGAGTGGTGTGGTGTTGTCGTCCGGGGCACTTGTGTGTAGGCGGACAGTCGCAGGTAGCCCGGCGGAATTTGGAGGTGAGGTCAAGCTCCATGTGTCTTCTTGGACGGGGGTCCCAATGCGTGCCCGCGCTAAGACCCCACCAACATCATTAACATTATTATTTATCGCTACGTACTCATCCACCATCATCACCATTGCTGACTACTGCAATTATAACCACCGAATACCATCCCATTGCCGGTCCGATTCTTGAGGGGGCCACAGCCCTTCCTTTCCACCCACGCATCGCCTGTTCAAAACTACACGTAGTCGTACACCTCTCGTTGCAGCCACCTCATACAGCTTGTTGTACCTCGCCTGGATACTGAGGCTGCACTTCACCACTGCCGTCGACCTTTTTGGAAGTCGTACCTAAGAGCCCTCCATCGCTTCCGCTCCTGCTTCGGGTCGTCGTCCCTGCTGAGATCGAGTCTTCTTGCGCCGCTTCAGCCTCCAGACTGGCTTCGTTGCTATCTGAGCTGGTCGCATTGCCAACTATTCGGCTCTCAGGCATGGCTCCTCGTCCAAGGTTCCCGGCATAGGAATGGATTGGCTCTAGGTCGGGCTGCCAGCTGCGAAGGTCATTTTCTGCATCAGTCAGCAGCTGGCGGGCGCTTTCGGTGCCGTCGAACACGGGATGAGAGTCGCCAGGGACAATGGGCGCATCATCAAGAAGATTCAGCATGCGCCGAGCGTGTCTGGCAAGTATGATTTGCTTTTCGGCGCGTTCAATGGTAGCCGCAAAATGAACGTCATAGGCTTCCTTGAACTTCTGGCGCGTCTGAACCTGTCAGCATGCTGCATGTATATGTACCAAGAGAAGAAGCTGACTGACAACATTCGAAAGCTGTGCCTCCGCTACCAAGTTTTGCGCCTCGGAGCGGACAAGCTCCTGTTCAAGCTGCACAAGCTTAGTACTCTGTGGCTCTTTGTATTTCAACTTTGCAATCTCGTCCGACACCTGTAGTATGATGAGTGGAGCTCCACCAATGGACTTGACTAACAAGAACTCGAACCTTGGCTTTGTGATCTCGACTGGGCTGAACGGAACTCTCCGTATTTCGAATCTGCTTCAACAGCCCTCTGTAGCCTTCCAGTGACTGGGCGTAGGCCTCTTCTTGTTCTGCGATCTCTGCCAGCAGGACTCCCAGCTTGTCCGAGATTTCAGAAACGGCGTCGTCGTCGGTAGCCTCGCCCCATTCGGAAAGCTGCTGAGCAATGGCAACGCGCTCGCGGCCAGCTGTTTCATAAGCTCCGATGGCGCGGTTCTCCGACTTGATGAGCTTGTAGAGCTTCTTGGAGAGATCTGGTTGTTGCATGCCTCGCAGCGATGCCATGGTGAAGCGATGCTTGGGGACACTTTTGTCACCGGAGGAGCCATCTTTCTTGGAGCGGACCGATAGTGATCTGTTCCTAGAATTTGAGAGCACGCCGATTAGTGAGTGCGGCACGAAAGAAGATGCGACACGCCGGGAGAGGTCATGGTGCAGTAGGTAGGCATGCGAAGAGTGCAAGTAGTGTAGCGTGGGGAGCACGGATGGAACGAAGATCAGCCTACATTGTGCTGGACGACTGTGCTAATTGAAGGCAACGGACAGGCGGAGATGCAGTGCGATTTGTGGCAGCTTTTCCTGTGGTTTGTTTTGAAACAACAGTTGACGCGTTGCTGTATTGGTGCTGGAGCAAGGTCAGGTTGATGCTGGTTTGAGGAGGGGAAGGCGTCCAAACCAAAGCATGCACAACAGGCAGTGATGTCATTCCTTTTACTCACCCACATGTCTGACATGCCTCGACGAGGAACATTGACGGCTGGCCGCACTTCCTCTCCATGCACCACGAGTGTTTATTTCCATCAACAACAGCACATCATATATTCTGGTATTTGGCCAACGACAATCACTATCACAGCTGTATGCAACTGATGACATGACTACCAACAGGCCACAAGCCCGGTTAGATGCCTGTCCCCCGTGCACCGATGGTGCGCACTTGTATAGGTATGAAGGGTACCTGTACCATGTCATGTACCGGCATGTCACATGTACATGTACAACATCGATGGCCCTCCAGGCTGGATGCTAACATTGGTACCTGTCTTTGCGGAGTCCCATCCCTTCTTTTTCCAGCTCGTTCCATCCCACGTTGCTCGATGCTGCGCGTTTACTTGCGACGGCGTGACATACGACTTGCAGAGCTCAGCTGCCAGTTCCAGAATCTTCAGGCTTGCAACGAGCCCATGTCGCTACGGACGGCTGTGTCCATTCCATCACCTATCTGTGTGCCTTGTGAAACATTGCACTAGCCCAGTGGCGACGATAAACGTCCATCTTGACTCAAAATGAAGGCCGATGGATACAGGTGGCAGATGATGCCGCGTAGGTCGTTCCCGTCGACAGTTGATGGCATCTACACAGACAGGAACACAGCACAAGATTGACTGATGGGACGGATCTGTCGCGCATCTCGTGCGAAGACGCAATCGTGTATTCACAGCCTCGGGGGGCGTACATATTCTACCTTCCACATGTATACATGTGTGCGGCGGCTGGGAGGAGCGCATGGCTGCTTCTGGGTCAATGATTCCAAATCGCGCGGGTACGACATGAGGCAGTGCAGACAATGAAGGGTCAGTTTGGGAGGAGGACCAACTCCGCGAGGCAACGGAAGAAGACGAAGAAGATTGGAGTGGAGGGGAAAAGGAACAGGAAGGAGGAGGATTGTCTATACAGAGAGCACGCAACAGTGTAGGGTGCACTGGGCCTGCGAGATTCCTAATCAACAGGGCGATTGTCAATCCCGCCCATGTCCAGATGTTAGTCAGGCCGGATTAGCAAAGCATGGACATCTGGACCTTTGGCATGCCACAGATTACAACGCGTCTTCGTCGATTGGATTCGGGGAAATTTGCGCTCCATTCTTTTCCGCCGCCAAGCCGCGCGCCGCATCGGGGCTAGCCGCGCATGCCTGGCTATAGTGTGTGATCACAGCCCGCCAACGGCTATTGCTCTGCCGTCGACACTTGTGCTAGTTGTGGATTCATCGAAACCATTGTCGCATATACACGACGTTCTGCATGCATCCATCGCTTCCCATTCCCGGTACACTCCCTGAGCGATCAGCACCCCCGATCGCGCACTCGCATACGTACAATTAAACACTCAATCAATCTGTCTCTCTGACGTTTTATCATATTGACCTCCCGGAAGATATTGGAAAATGGCAGACTCTTCCCAACAACGGTCCATCATTGCCATATTTTCACGCCCAATATGGTGGCTAACACCTGCCTGAGCACTGTACCGCACTCAATTTCTTGCGGTTGGGTTACTCGACTATGCCTCCCAACGCTTTGGCGTCCTGGTGAACTCAAACCTCGTCGTCACAGCCAATCCCGCATCTCGTGCCGTTGCCTATCCCACGCATGCAGGCTTGGGTTCCTTGGGGGGGCCCACTGATCATCAGAGACTTGACTTTTTTTATTTTTCTTTCCAATCCAGGATACCTCGTCTGATTTGTATGCACCTCGCCCCAGCGGCACACGTTCCTCGGAAGCTATTCTCAAACAAAACATTGCTACCAAGGTAACAACCACCGTGGAACGATCAATTGTCTGCTTCATCATTGGTGAATTCACACACGCATCTCGAATGCTGTACTATCCCTTTCCAATCATCATGACTCCGCATGTGGCTTGTTTTGTATTGTACCACCCCTATCGGTCTGCACACTAGATACCAACATAGCACGTACGTCCGGGTCCCCGGCCTGACTTTGATAACGTCGAGTTGCCGCCCTTAATTAGTCCCCGGCTTTCACCATTACATTGGGCAATTTCAATGACGTCTGCTTTGCTCTCAGGAGATGTGCAACCCTGCTTGCAGCCTACATGGTAGGCCCAAGCTTGAAGTGTAGTGGGTACAATGAATGTCGACCGGCTGGTACCAGGTATGCCGGCCACGCAACTTATAAAAGGACTGTACATCCTCTTCACTTTTCCCTAGGTTTGCATCTTCACAGTACGCCAAAATGTATTCGTTACACATCCTTGCGTTGCTGGCTGCTTCCAGCCAGCTCTCCTATGCTGCCTGCCCGATGATGACTGGGGAAGAACTACCAGCTCACCATCCTCCGGTTCGACGACAAGCTTCCGGCCAAGAAGCTGAGTCCACTGACAGCTTCATGGCCAAATACGAAATCAACGATGAGGATACGTACTTGACCAGTGACGTTGGTGGTCCCATGTCCGACCAGGAAACCCTCAGCGCAGGTGAAAGAGGACCTACTTTGCTGGAAGACTTTGTCTTTAGACAAAAAGTATGTTCTTTTGATACCTTCCAGATAAATCGTCCCGTATAGTGCAGTCACTAACCTGGGGCCAGATAACACACTTCGACCATGAACGTGTACCAGAAAGAGGTACGAAGCACCTTCTGTAGTTTCTATATGTTGTACTAATCTCTCGGTACAGCGGTTCACGCCCGAGGAGCTGGAGCACACGGAGTCTTCACATCTTATGCAGACTGGTCCAACATCACCGATGCGTCGTTCTTGAAATCTGCAGGCAAAGAGACACCAGTCTTTGTACGGTACAGCACCGTAGCCGGGTCGCGCGGAAGCGCCGATACTGCTCGAGATGTCCATGGTTTTGCTACCAGATTCTACACCGATGAAGGCAATTTCGACATTGTTGGTAACAACATTCCAGTCTTTTTCATTCAAGATGCCATCAAGTTTCCCGATTTGATCCATGCGGTGAAACCCAAGCCCGACCGCGAAATTCCGCAAGCCGCGACTGCTCATGACAGTGCCTGGGATTTCTTCAGCCAACAGCCAAGCTCACTCCATACGCTCTTCTGGGCCATGAGTGGGCACGGAACTGTACGCTCATACCGTCATATGGATGGTTGGGGTGTTCATACCTTCCGATTTGTCACTGCTGATGGCGGGAGTAAGCTTGTTAAGTTCCGTCTGAGGACTCTGCAAGGTAAAGCATCGCTTCTGTGGGAGGAGGCTCAAGCGATTGCCGGCAAAAATCCAGACTTCCATCGTCAGGATCTCTTTGATAGCATTGAGGCTGGAGAATTTCCAGAGTACGAGGTATGTATCCCTTTGCATTTCGACTATTGGTCGTATTCGTTTGTTAACGAAGGTCGATAGTTTGAAGTACAAATCCTAGACGAGGAAGATCAGCTGCGTTATGGATTCGACGTTTTGGATCCTACGAAAATTATTCCCGAGGATCTTGTTCCATTCAAGCCTCTCGGAAAACTCACCTTGAACCGCAATCCAAGGAACTATTTCGCAGAGACGGAGCAAGTCATGGTACGTGATTGATACCTACCATACCTGCTCCATGCTAACCAAGTTTTAGTACCAAGTTGGACATGTTGTGCGCGGTATCGACTTCACTGAAGATCCTTTACTACAAGGCCGTTTGTTCTCCTACTTGGACACTCAGATTAACCGTCACGGAGGGCCCAACTTTGAACAACTCCCAATCAATCAACCGCGTGTTCCATGGCACAACAACAACCGTGATGGACAAGGTATGCTTGTTGCTTTTACCAAATGGGCTTCAGAAACAAAATAAGCTAACTTTTCCCAGGTCAAATGTATATTCCTTTGAACACGGCCGCGTATTCTCCCAACACGCTGAACGAAGGCTCTCCTCGTCAAGCAAACCAAACCGCGGGTCGTGGCTTCTTCACAGCACCCAACCGCTCCAGTGGTGGCAAAATCGTGCGCGCTGTATCCTCGACGTTTGCCGACGTCTGGTCCCAGCCAAGACTGTTCTTCAACTCCTTGCTTCCGGTTGAACAGCAATTCATCGTCAACGCTATGCGCTTCGAGACTGCTCAACTCACTAGCGATGTCGTCAAGAACAACGTACTCATTCAATTGAACCGAGTTAGCCATGATGTTGCTACTCGCGTCGCCAGCGCTCTGGGAATGACTGCTCCTGAGGCTGATCCGACATACTATCACGACAACCAGACTGTCGGTGTTTCGGCCGCCAAAGACCCACTCCTCAAACTAGATGGACTTAAAGTGGGATACCTTACTAGCAAATCGGTTTCAGGCAACTCTAGCATCGCGTCCGTCAAATCTACTCTTGCAGATTCGAAAGTCAAGCTCGTCGTTGTCGCCGAATCGCTGGGCAACGGGATTGATCAAACGTATTCAACAACCGACGCATCCCAGTTCGACGCTATCATCATCGCGGATGGTACCGGTCCTCTCTTCTCTACCAAGAACGATCTGTCAAACATGAACTCGACAACCGGACAAAACAACACCGCACCAAACTTTTCCACCCTGTATCCTGCTGGCCGTCCTCTCCAGATTGTTCAGGATAGTTACAGGTGGGGAAAGCCAATTGCTGCTGTAGGATTGGGCACGCAAGCATTCGAGGCCGCTGGTATTGTCGCTGGTACGCCAGGTGTATACAGCGAGAGTGAAGTCAACACCCTTTCTGATGATCTGACTGAAGGATTGAAGCAGTTCAAGTTTCTTGATCGATACCCGCTAGACGGCTAGTTACCTCTATAGTTGTACATAGCGTGACTGGAATTTTCATAGTCATCGTCGCAATCTGCAAATATTTGCCAATGCTATACTACACAATTTCACATACCTTTGATCGTAATTTTTTCCCACCGGTCTAAAGATGCCCGATAGCTCACGCATGTGGACAGATGGGGTGATGGGGTGATGTTACGCCAACATCTGGTGATCCGAACTAGCGAACCCACTGAATGTGGAGACGCTCATACTTGCGCGGCTCAGTTACATCACTACGCTGCAATGTTTAAATCCACTATGGAGCTGTTCCTCCAGCAGCCCACTCGTCATAGGTTGCATAGTACTAGTCTTCCGCATGATTCCGAAGCACCTTTAAACCGTTCCCATCCATCAAGATCGAAACGTCAACTGCTTAACCTCTACTGGAGGATAGATCAACAAGATGTCAGATATCCAAAAGAACACCGAAGAGCTTGATAAAATCAGCATTTCAGCTTACGGGAAGGCCCGAGCCTCCGTTAACGAAAACCCTCTTAGCAATGAAGAAGTACAAAAAATCGACGAGTATTTCCATGCGACTCTATACCTTTGCTTGGGAATGATATATCTGAGGGAGAATCCGCTTCTTCGCGAGCCTCTCAAGATTGAACACATCAAACGCCGACTGCTGGGTCATTGGGGCTCTGATGCCGGTCAGAGCTTTGCGTATATTCACATGAACCGATTGATCAAAAAGTACGATCTTGATGCTTTCTTCATCTCGGGGCCAGGCCACGGCGCGCCCGCAATCCTGTCAAACTCTTACCTGGAAGGCGTTTACTCTGAGGTTTACCCAAACAAGAGCGAGGATTCGGATGGGATGAGACGCTTTTTTAAAGAATTCTCTTTCCCCGGTGGAATTGGATCGCATGCCACTCCAGAGACTCCAGGATCAATCCATGAAGGCGGGGAGCTTGGATATTCCATCTCTCATGCTTTTGGCGCGGTCTTCGACTATCCCAATCTAATCGCCGTGACGATGGTCGGCGATGGAGAAGCTGAGACAGGTCCCCTTGCAACAAGTTGGCACTCTAACAAATTTCTGAATCCTAAAACAGATGGCGCCGTTCTTCCTATTCTTCACCTTAACGGCTATAAGGTTTGTTGCACATCTGAATCATTGAAAATATTACTGACCACATGTAGATCAACAATCCAACATTACTCTCGCGCATCAGCCATAAAGAGTTGGAGGCTCTGTTCGTCGGATACGGATGGACACCTTATTTCGTCGAGGGGAGTGATCAGCCTAGCATGCACCAGGCCATGGCAAGCACCATGGAGCGCTGTATTACAGAGATCAGAGACATCCAAAAGAAAGCTCGAGATTCTGGAAAAGCTGTAAGTACCTACCATATACCTAGGCACCAGATCAAGTGCTGGGTCAACAATACACATATAAACGATTTGGCTGATGTCATTGTTCAGTACCGCCCGCGCTGGCCCATGATTGTGCTCCGCACGCCAAAGGGCTGGACAGGCCCGCGAAAACTAGACGATCATTTCTTGGAGGGTTTCTGGAGGTCACACCAAGTCCCCATCACTGACGTTTTGGGTAACAAATCCAGCCTGCAAAAGTTGGAAGAATGGATGAAGAGCTATCAGCCAGACAAACTATTCGATGAAGCTGGTGCTTTGAGATCAGACCTCAAGGACCTAGCGCCCCAGGGGAAGAGGCGAATGAGCGCAAATCCCGTTACCAATGGTGGCGCCCTTACTCACAAGCTCCACCTTCCCGACTGGCGGGAATATACGGTGGAGGTGCAGAATGGAGGAAAGCAATTGCTTGGGAGTATGCAGCAGTTTGCAAGTTAGTAAGTGCACCCAGAACCCTGACTTCCTAGTCGTGCGGAAAACCACGTGGTATAGCGAGACTCTCGTTTGAACATCAACTGACTCAAATCTCATGAACATAGTCTCAGAGATGTCGTTGAGAAGAACCCTACTCAGTTCCGGGTCTTTGGCCCTGATGAGACTCAGTCCAACAAACTTGGAACGATTTATGAGGCTGGAAAAAAGGTGTGGCTGGGAGACTATCTCGAAGAGGACAAGGACGGAGGCAACCTTGCTTATGAAGGTAGGGTTATGGAGATGCTATCTGAGCACACTTGCGAGGTATGTTTCATGCGATCCACCAGCTTCATCTTAAGCTTACTCATATCATTATAGGGATGGTTGGAAGGTTATGTTCTCTCTGGTCGGCACGGCCTGTTGAACAGTTATGAGCCCTTTATCCACATCATCGATTCTATGGTCAACCAACATTGCAAGTGGTTGGAGAAGTGCCTCGAGGTAGAATGGAGAGTGAAGGTTCCCTCGCTCAACATCCTGCTCACTTCTACTGTTTGGAGACAAGACCACAATGGCTTCACCCACCAGGACCCTGGATTCCTAGACGTAGTCTGCAACAAAAGTCCGGAAGTGGTCCGGATATACCTGCCGCCCGACGCGAATTGTTTGCTATCTACTATGGATCACTGTTTCCGAAGCCAAAGCTACGTAAATGTGATCGTGGCGGATAAGCAAGAGCATTTGCAATTCCTAGACAAGGAGCAGGCCATCGCACACTGCACTAAAGGTGTCGGAATCTGGGACTTCGCCAGCAACGATCAAGGTGAAGAACCGGACGTTGTCATGGCTTCATGCGGCGACGTCGTCACTCAGGAAGCTTTGGCTGCAACAGCCTTACTTCGTGAACACCTGGCCGACCTCAAAATTCGATTCGTCAACGTGGTTGATCTCTTCAAACTCATTCCCGACATTGATCATCCACATGGTATGTCAGACCGAGAATTCAAGAGCATCTTCACCGAAGATAAGCCTTGCATTTTCAACTTCCACTCGTACCCCTGGTTGATCCACCGCCTTACCTATCGACGCAAAGGTCAGCACAATCTCCATGTTAAAGGCTACAGGGAGAAGGGCAACATCGACACTCCTCTTGAGTTGGCGATCCGAAATGGCGCTGATCGGTTCTCCTTGGCGATCGATGCTATTGACCAGATACCACACTTAGGCAACAAGGGTACATCTGCCCGAGAGGCGCTGCTGAACCAACAGATCAAGGCCAGAAATTATTCTTATCACGAGGGTGTGGACTTGGAGGAGATGACAAACTGGGTCTGGCCGTATTGACAAGGCTGAGTGCACGTAACTGATATTATACATTATCGTTTTGGAAATATCTATACTATTTGAACCCTTCTATCCTTACCGGAACTGGAGACCCCTCCTCGCGCAAGCCATAATACTCATAGAATTATCGTAGTTATAATGTTATAATTTAGTTACCTGGACATTGTTTATCCACAGTGCTCCACGCGCGTATAAATGTGAAGAGTCTACATGAAGTGAATAGACGCAACACGTAAGTGATCAAGATACTTCAACCGATTTCTACATGACATCCAGTCATTTTTTTAGTATCTAGAGAGAATTTCAAACGCTACAGATCACAGTATGAGGTCTCGTGTCACGAACACTTATAACCAATTCAATGTGTAAACCGTGGCAGCCTAAAAACAACAAAGTACAACATATAAGAACCATAAGTGAAGACAAACTGTACTCTGGTTCTCTGCCTCCCGTACCTTCAACCCCTAGCAATACATCTAGACTTCCTTTCAGAGAGGCGACTTTCTACAAGATGCCTACCCTCAAACAGCTCTGTATAGCCTCCCTGTTCGCCATCGGGATACTCTGCGCCAACACCACAGAGCCAGCAACTACCGCCTCGGCCGCCACACTCAAGAATCCTCTAGGTGGTTTCACGATGCCTCACGGGGCCGCATCGGCCGCAACCAACTCTTCGGGGCCCGCTATCAACGCAACATCCATACCATCGAACACCACATCGCAAGCCAAATCCGTGAAATCAACAGTCTTTATCACGTTGACTTCAACAACAACAATCATACCAACAGTACCAGATACTATTTCCATGAACCACGGAGGCGGATCAGCAGCAGTCAACTCTTCGAGCCTCGCTATCAACGCAACATTCACCACCTCGCAAGCCAAGCCCTTGAAATCAACAGTCTTTATCACATTAAAATCTACAACAACAATCACGCCGACGGTCCTAGAAACTAGTTCCATGAATCAGACTTCTGTTGCTGGGCCTTCGATGCCGATGATGACGTCGAATGGGACCTTGGTGCCGGAGAGTGGTGGGTGTCATAATGGTAAGACATTCCCGCCCATTCCTCCCTTACTTACCAGAATACGCTGATTGAGAAGTACCAGCTTCAGAGACTGCATCGTTGCCTTCTTCACCAGAATCAACGGCAACGACAGCATCGCCAATCTCAGAACTCACGACGACGCCGATTCCCACTACGTCCACGTCGTTGAGCAGCATAGAAGAACCCGGGAGCGTGACGCAAGAGACATATGCTGATCCCACGTCGTCTCTGGGAAGTAGTAGTAGCGGCATGCAAACTGGGGAGATAGAGAGTAGTAGTAGTACTGCTATATCGGTAAGATGACGAACCCCCCCGCCCCCAAACATCAAATCCGTGATCTGGTCCACTGATGTTTCGATTCCATATAAAAGGAATCTGCTAAACCTACTGCCGATGACCCTTCGGACGAATACAACGACGTCGCTAAGTTCAAGGGGGACTATGGGGAAGGGAAGCTCTCGGACGCGGGTATGAGCTATTTGAATCCCGCGCGAGATCCTCCGCGACTGACACCTCATGATAAGGATGACGATGGAGAAGATGTCGAGAAAGGTGTGCGCCATAGTGGGTTGGTGCGGGACGTTGAAGGGCGTGGGGAGAGACGAGTTCAGTTTCCTGGATGGAATATGGTTAGGTGGGTGATTGAACGTGTGCAGTGAGTGTGCATGGAACGAATGGATTTCGTGTGTTTAGTGGACTTGTGTTGGAGTTTGAGACAGGCGCGACGAATTTAGTTTGGCTCTCCGCATAAAGCGATGAATTGCGTTAGATGGTGCATCTGTTGATGTTCATACATGTATCACGAATTCGGAGATGCGGCGGGAGTCGAGCTGGCGCAGGTGGTTAGGGGACAGTTGTTTATCGTTTCCAAATCTCCGAACTCCGCCGAGGCACCGAACGGCCTAATTTGACTATCAGTGAACCTCATCACATTTTTTCAAATCACTGTATCCTATAGTGGCTCACGGCTTGTTGTTTGCATTCACCAAGAGTCGAGACTTAGTTCGATCTCACGTTACGTCGTGCATGAAGCAAAGAGGCGAAGAAGAAAGGATCAATTCTGGAGCTGTATGAAACAAACCCACGGATCGATCAGAGAAGACCAACCGCGCATTTTCTGCGGTCTGTATCAATCTTTAATTTCTTCGCAATAAAAGCGACTGTCTCCTGTCCCGGTAGAATGGTCCACCATCGATTGAAAGGACAAGGAGCTGATAGCAACCTGTTATAAGTCATAATTTCATGATCTCTTTAACGCCAACCCACGCATACGACCCCAAAGCCATCTGGCGGATGTCCTAACATCCTGCCAATCGCAAGCGCGACAATCCTTGGGGGCGGTGGAAGCTCGCGGTTTTTCCATCCACGTCGAGCCCGGCCTCGAAACACATATTGTGCTCGATGATGATTGTACCGTGTTGCTGAGACCCACGGGAGTTGCCTGTAATCGGCTCCTCTCGCGCACGTTCACCTGATCCGTGGGCCTCGCCTCATGCTAATCGATACCGTGTTGACGTTTGAGCTTTTCTAAGTTCTCTTGGCGCTCTGCGAGGTCGTTTGCTGCCTTGATCATCTTCTCTGGCTGGTGATATAACACTATCTTGGGTTAGATGGAGAAGAGAAAAGGACGGGAAACCACGCATACCAACAAGGTATCGGTTCTGGAAATTGAAGCCGTTGAGCTTGTCGCAGGCGGATTTCGCATCCATTACGTCTTCATAGACGACGAATGCAGTGCCTTTTGTGTTGTTTGCGATGCCTTGGCGGATTTGGCTGTCTGGAGTTAGCCACAACATAGCACAGCGGGTGCGCGGGAATGGAGTGCAATTGAGCGCATGATGCGAGGAAGAGATTGAGCGTACCGCACGGGGCCGAACTTTCCAAAGAGATCGAAAAGCTCTTCTGGGGTGACGTTGAAGCTGTGCACGTGGTCAGCGCAGAGTTCGAATACGGAGCGGGAACGCGCTCATGATCGGGATATATACCTCAGGTTCTTCACGAAGAGAGCTCTGTACAGCAAAATAAAGTCAGCGTAATTCAATGTGATGATGCGTGCGCCGGAGGGTAGAGTTGAGCAGGGCATAGCAGGGTAGGAGCAGGGTGGGTCCGTGGACAAAGGCTGGGATACGGATGAAGGTGCATGATGGCGTACCGGTTGACTTCGGGAGCAAGCTTTCCGCCGCGACTCATACTTTGGCGACGGAGGATGAATGGGCAAAACTGGCTGCTGCTGGTGTGTGCAGGTAGGTTGGCGGTCGGTGATAGAGTGGGAGGAATGAGGTCGCGGAATGGGAAGCACGCAACTGGAGGAGAGTCGAACCGGCCCCGGCGTGGCGCCGCTTACCTAACCCGTTTCTCCGAAGAGACACCACGGCCTGGTCTTGACCACCATCGTTGTTGGATGGAATGCGGCGGAGCCTGCGGAGATGAACCGACGACACCGCTGTACTTGAGTCGCGACGCTCACATCTGGTTCGCTATTCTCTGCGTACATACGATTGTACCTACTATACGGGGTGAGGGATGCAGTGTATATATTGAGGGTATATACAAGCGTCTACTCAGATAGGCACTATCGATGTTTACATGCATTCTGCACATACCTGGAAAAAGCATGCGCACACCTATGAGACACCAAGCTTGCAAACCCCTTCTCTCTAATCTTTTGCATGCACATTGATTGTTGTACACGGCGTAAGGATCCAAATCCACGTAATTGAAAGGTGTGTTCAACATGTGACGAGGATGCTGTTGATGTCGTCGCAAAGAGCCACTCACTTGGTGAACCACGAGTAGCAAGCGTTGGATTGTATCCACGAACCCACCCACCCTCTTGATTATAGAGTCTCCTCTCTCACGTCAACCACCGACGCTGGGTGTGCCAGTCATTGTTACTTTGTAGTGCCTATCAATGATGGCTTCCACATCCAGTGGTAACTAGTGTATCTGCGGCCAACTAGTGGTCGTAGCAGCTAGATCTTCCTCCCCCCGCCCTTCTCTCTCTTCTCGCGCATGTACCGCTTCCCTCTCCAACCCGGCTAACTGCAACACCTCAGTACATCAACGCACTTTCACCACCTTCACCCCCCTCCCCCCTACCCTGCACCACCACCTCCACCACACTCGTTCGCTCATATCGCGCTGCCGCTTCCGACCATATGCCTGCAACTAGCTGCACCGCCTGCTCCTGCTCTCCGCGCGCTGCTGCTCGGTAGCTAAACACTCGACGAGAACTCCGCGACTTCTGCATTGAGCCCGCACCTCCGACAAAACGACCCCCCTCCACCCCCTCCACCACACTCACAATTATCACCATGAAGCTGTATTCCTTCAAGAAACAGTTCACAAAATCTCCGCCGCGTCCTGCTACACCACCCGCCCCCGCCTGGGAGCCGCTGTCGCCCGTCCTACCTCCGCGCGAAGCGCCCATAACCCACCCCGCTAGCGGTCCCAGCAACCGCGTTGAGACGTCCGACAATGGCATCACCAGCCCAGCTCAGATCTACCCTCCGCTATCCAGATCGCCAGCGCACGCGCCGCCCCGTCTTGGTCTCCCTGCCGTGACGTGCGAGCCGTCGATGCGGTCCGCTCCTCTGCCACAGCGCAACACACCCTACTCGCAACCTTTGGGTTCTCCCATTGAGGCCCTGGCAGACGCTGCCATATCCTCCCTTCAACGCAGCCCTACACACGCAGACTTTTCCCACCGTGCTGCTCATACCTCAACCTCGCCCACCTCCCGTCCTCCCCCGTCTACCCAGCGCCCTCCTAAACACGCTCCCCATGACTACACCCAGACCGAACGCCCTTCCAAGCGCGCGCGCTCCGAATACTTCTCTTCCCCGCAATATGGCCAGCAGTACCCGAGGCCTGCTACAAGTCACAATTCAGGCTGGTCCTATAACGTGGAGCATATGGCGGACAACGGTCTACGCATGTACCAGGACGGTTCTGCGCCGCCCCAGCATCAGGAAGACAACAACCTGAAAAGGCTTTCCGATGCCCAGTTGCTGATGGACTTCGCCGTGAATGCTTCAACCCCACGACAGGCAACCTCGTCAAAAAGGTGGTCAATCTCTCACGCGGAGGCTTCCTCACCCTACTCACAGCATCATCTACATATGCCCCTCTCTTTCCCAGAACAGCTTCATCCACAGTATCCCACGGCATCTCCAATGCCTCTCCCGCCCGAATACAAATACCCGCAAGATCTCCAGTCCGATGCAGCCAAATTGGCCGACTACACCCAACCCACCTTGGCCGCTCAGACTCAGACACCACCCGAAGAATCTTTACAGGCACCACCCGAACCTGCAGTCGACAAGGCTGCTGCTGAAAGACCTGGAATCCCAAAACCAAAGAAAGCACAGGGTTGGCCAAAAGGTAAAGCTCGAGGCCCACGCAATAGTACGGCTGGTGGCAGGAAGAAGAAACCCACACCGAAACCCAAAGAATTGCCATCTACGGTGACGTCCGAAGTTCCCCAACAACTTCGTTCACCGCAAAGCCTTAAAGCCGAGCATCACACCAACCCCACCGAGGAGGCCCCCGCTCTAACTGGTTTGACATCGCCTTTGTTGCCAGTAGCTGTCAAACCCCGCCGCCATTCCTTCACAAACAATGGTTTATCACAAGAGGGCCCGGTCGATCAGTCTTTTGCACCAATCCGGGCTCAGTCTGTTCCTCTACAAGCTGATGCAACGATGACACCACCAGCGGACGAAATCAATGCAGTACAATCACACGTCTCCCTCGAGCCTGTGACCATCTGTGCCGGATGCAACTCTTCCGATTCAGAAACGAGGATTGGCGACGGGGAACAGTGGATTCGGTGCGATGGCTGTAAAGAATGGTACCACTATGTATGTGCGGGCTTTAAAAGCGAACGGGAGGTTCGCGATGTCGACAAGTTCTACTGTGCATCATGTGAACCAAAATTCGGCAAGACTACCAAAGTCCGAAAGTCTACAAGGGCGCACACTGCTGTAGACTACGCCGGTTTGAATGAAGGCATCCTGAAAACTTCTGACGATAACCCGGAACATCACTACATTGCTGCTTTCAAGAACGGGGATATTGAATTTGCCAAAGAGTCTTTTGCACGCCTTCCAGCCGAGTTGATTACCGCAGATTACTTCGAGAAGACGGATGGGTTCAGAGAGCCTGTATTGGTTCCAGCTGCTTCGAACCCCCGACCGCAACCATTGGATTCAAACCTGCCCGATAAGATTGAACTTGCCACGGATATCGACGGCCGGATCGATGACCCTTACGCCTATGAAATGGTGCCAGATGATGGCCAAGATAAGCTAGACATGGTCATCCCCGCAGGTCTCACTGTTCGCCGCGTTTGCGAACTATACGGACCGCAAGAAAAAGTTCCGGTCATCGACGTCAAAGCACAGGAAGGTGAAGATAAGAAATGGACCATGGCCAAATGGGCGGATTACTACGAGCAACAGGGTGAAAAGCCAGTCCGCAATGTCATCAGCTTGGAGGTTTCCAAAAGCCGGCTGGGCAGGTTGATACGCCGGCCTAAAGCGGTGCGCGATTTGGATCTTCAAGACTCTGTCTGGCGCGACGACGATAAGAAACCCCCGCCAGCCGTTCAATTCTATTGTCTTATGTCTGTCGCCGATTGCTACACCGACTTCCACATCGACTTTGGGGGTTCTTCGGTCTATTATCACATCGTCAAAGGCAAAAAGGTGTTCTTCTTCATCCCTCCTACGAAACAAAACCTCAAGAAGTACGAAGACTGGTGCCTTTCTCCCAAACAGGGGCACGAATTTCTGGGCCACCAAGTGAAAGAGTGCTATCGGGTTGACCTATACCCAGGGGATACGATGCTCATTCCCTCTGGGTGGATACATGCCGTTTGGACGCCCGATGATAGTCTCGTAATTGGTGGCAACTTTCTGACCAGAATGCACTACGACATGCAGATTAAGGTATTGGAGATCGAGAAAAGCACGAAGGTTGCGGCCATGTTTCGGTATCCATTTTTCCAAAAAATCATGTGGTTGACTTTGATCCGGTATCTGGAAGAGGACCCTCTGCCAGAGTCCGTTGAACGACACCTTCTTGATGGTAACCAGTTCGAACGCAATGTTCCATTATACTGTGAACCGCAAAAGTTTGGGCACAACTCCAACCTGGGACCAGAGAACTACAACCGGCGGTATTATCCCAAAGCTGAGCTCGAAGGTCTCCCCGATCTCGCCAATTACATCTGGAGGACTGTACTAGTATCGCTTGGTCGCATAGAAGGTATCACTGAAACGGTACGCAGAGCAGTCACTAGCTCCATTCCCAAAGGTTTTGGAGAGCCATTGGTATTGGCACGGCGGTTTGCCATGTGGATCGCCTGGAAGAGAGGAAATGAAAGCCTTCCCCAGTGGGCATACCCTGATGCCATTCTCCCCGAAAATATTGATGCGAACACCGAAAAGAAAGTGAGCGCCGCTCACCAGAAGCGAATGGATAAAGAGGCGTGGAACGAAACTTTACGAGCCACCGCCGAGAGGTTTTCTACTAGGATCAAAACTGCAGAACCCTCTCGTCAAAGTGTTGCAGATGGCCAAGTGACTGGTCAATCATCAGTTTCACAGCCCTTGACTGGGTTTCTACAGCAAACAGATCCTAGCAGGCCGCTGACAACACCGAAAACATCTCAGCTGGGGCCAAAGCGGATCGCTTGCGATGCATGCAGGAAGCGTAGGATACGCTGCAAGCATAAAGATGACCTCATCGAAACAGCAAAGTCTGGCAACGGCATGAACGGAGGAATGAACACCATCGATCTGTCTGGGTCTTTAGGTCTCTCGGTCAAACGACGTTACAGTGATCTTGATGAATCAACCAGGCAACAATCACATCCAGCCGAGGCCACAGCAGTCGTGAACGGAGGACCTCTTCTTGCTGACGTTAACGCCGACCCATACGCACTGAAATCGGGCCGGGTAAAAGCATGCGCAGACTGCCGCAAAAGCAAGGTAAGTTCGACTTGACATTCCGTGGACGAAACTTACGACCTCGTAGCGTCGATGTATTCATGATGAATACGGCAATGTCGATCCTATCAAGGCGAACGAGATTCCTATCCCAAGAGGCGCAGCTTCGAAAAAGCGACGGATCAGCGAGGAAGATCCTATGCCGGCCAGCCGCAGAATGAAGAAGGAGTCTGTCAACGGCGATTTTATTCACACACAGATGCGCCACCGTGTTTCGTTGCCCATCAACTTGAGCGCGTCTGGCTCCAACGACCTGCAGGACCTTGCATATTCCGCTCAGCAAGCGTTGAGTCAGGTGCTACCGGATGATCCAATGCCTATCGATCCCGCTCTGCAGTCATACGATAACGATGGAGATGTGGTTGCTTTCGACACCCCTTCACGTGCACCACATCAAGAAGTTGTCATGTCTTCGATCGAAGATGAAGATAACTTAGATACCCAAATGAAAGATGCGGACATTGTGGAAGCATCACCCACTGAATCTCGGGAGCCGTGCACAGAGCCTCCTGTTTCCGGAATGGGTTTGGTGAACAAGCAGGGTCTATCGAATGGCACCAGGCAAGTGCAACATCACGGCCCTCTATTTGAGGCTAGTGAATCTGCCATGGTCGCCCCTCCCATCACACCTAATCGATCCCGGTTCGCTAGAATGAGCTCCAGTGGCCAGAAATCGAATCACAATCCGCGATCCAGGAAGAATCAAACCTCGGGTTCACCGTCGAGAAGCCGTATACGAGAAAGCGGAGACATTGTCAAGATTGAGCCACGGTCTGACCAGAAAGCTCGAGCCGTTTCGTCAACAACGATGGATGGGGAAGAGGACATGGCCAGTCTAGCTCTGGCTATGAAATTACAGATGGAAGAGCATGGATTAAGGAGAAGAAGCAAGTGATTTTTTTAAGTCGCCTCTTTGTTGGCACTTCCTGTGTTCATTATATTCAGGACTATCATTTTCCTTTGTTTTTTCGCGTATTTCATGGTGCAATAAGGATCTGGCGTTAGGGTCGAATATGGATGGCTTCCGCGCCTCTTATACCCAGGCTTCCGAGGTATACCTTGTATTTTTTTTCATGGGGTATCATTCAATGGCGTTCGTTGGCACAGTACTATCGATAGTCGAAAGATTTTGAATCAAGTACATTCTTGATCTAAGTAAGAGGATATCGTTTTCGAGGTGAGCATTTTTCCAGGCAGATAGCGATACATGAATTCAGATCGTGTGCAATTCGAGTGCAGATGACCACAAGTCGTGCCTCATTACACACCTTGTATCCCATTGCTACAATTTCCCATCTTGCGTCATCATGTTCAAAGTATGTTGAGGTATGGATAATGTGTATTGAAAATCTGAAATTCTACCATAAGATAGCATATCGAAACTAAAGCCACTGATCCATTGTCCCGAAAGGAGGGAACCGAGACACCACGCTGCCTTTCCTACTCCCGTGCTTACCTCTGCTTGCATTCGCATCCCGCCCGCTAGCGACACTACTCACGCAGTCCCAATTCCAAGGGACTTCCCGTCCAAGGACCTCGTATCCAGCCACTCTTCTCAATCTGCCCCGATCTCTTCGCTCAGGACGTCCCTCTCTGAGCGCTATCCGCGTCGTTTCCCGGACTTCCTGTACTCTTGGCTCTACTATTTGCGTTTTGTAAACTGGCTCCCGTGGTGATGGGCATGAAGAAGGGCTTCGTGACGGTGGTGGAGGCGGGGGCCCTGGTGATGCCCGTCTTCTGCCAGAGCCGTGCAGTGTGTATGTGTCGTGGTGGTGATGGTTTCGATGGTGGTGAGAGTGTCCATGAAGAGGATGCATGTGCAAAGGATGTAAATGGGGGTGAAGATGAGGATGGTGGTGATGTAGATGAGGGTGAAGATGGCCAGAATGATGACTTCCCGGTGCTATGACATGGACTTTGTTGTAGCGGGGGCTACGAGCGTCGTGTCGAACTCGGACGAGCTCTTCCACGGAAGATCCATGTGTATCTGGAGAATGATGATGATGTGGATGTGGATGATGGTGGCGATGGTGACGATCTTTGGGAGAGAGTGTTATCCAACACATGTCGTCGTCGTGTCGATAGCGACGATATACTCGGCAACGGATTGTACTTGCTCAACGACGGCAGTGGACGAACGTAATGAGGGGGTGCTGAGCGACGGTACGAAGATGGTGAGTTGGGAGTGTAACAGTGTTTTGGCTGTGTAATCGAAGTGTAATAGTAGTGCTGAGGATTTTGTCGGGACATTAGAACGGTACTCTCAGAAAAAGACAAGCAGACGAAGAAGCAACAGCGAGGATCATAGCATATATAAGATGAGTTCGAGAGAGTCATACATCAGATGTACGATTATCGCGCCGTGCTAGCCTGGGTATCATACTGTTAGTCTACATATTCACGCGGGCGAGTCCCTTCTTGATAATACAAGACACAGAACCCTCCTGACTATATTTCTTCGCAGAAGGTACAAACATGTGTCTATAGTTCGCAGACAAATGACAGAGGCTGATGGTTGGACTACGCACATGGTACGTTTGGTTGTCTTAGATGACCCGAAATGGGATTTAGGGCACATGACGCGCCACCGAAACCTTTCCAAGAAATTGCAGGTTCAAGTAACAGAAGAAGCACGTTTTCGGGTTTTCTTTTGCACGGCGATACAGGATAATTCTGGTCTCCTGCCCGCTTCTCACAGATAATGTGGGCACTCCAGTATGATGGCATAGTCGGTACAGGTGATGGAAAGCGAGAGGGAGCCTACGAACAGACAGTGTGTTCCCAAGGATTGACTAGAAATCCGGATAACTATTCACGGGATTTTGAAATGTTTCCATGTTGCGAAATAATAGCTTTGAAATGGGGACACAAAGATCCGGGCAATGATTGTGATTTTGCAGAACATGGCTCATTAGAGAAGAAGCTGCTCCGGCTTCAGAGCATACAGGAGCAACTGGGAAAGTATTTTCTTTTTAATTCTGCAAGATGTCATTATGCGTACAGTGTTTAGCATGTGCTTACTATATGGCGAATATAGACCCGCGGGTTTTGTTGTTGAACCTGAATTGTGCGTAGGTTGATATGGTGGGGAAATGGCAAGTAGGCTTCCACCTTGACGCGCATCTACTTATGCCAAGACCCGGTACGACAGCTCGCCCGGAGCTTCTAGACATACCGCAACGCTTGGATTACAGCAATCCACAACCACCTTCTACACCACCCACCCGCACACCTCGAGCTACTTTCCCTTCGATATCGTGAACCTCCCAACATCATATAATCCAAAGACAAGAACGCGCAAAGATGGATTCGTTGGTTGCACAGTACACCACGCCGGCGTACACGGAGGAGGCCCAATCGCAGGAAGAACAGCAGGAGCTCCTCCAATCCACCCCCGAGCTGTCTCTGAAATTCGCTCTACCCCCGGTAGCTCAGGTAAGAGGGCAGCTATACCCGTATTTCCTCGGTATTGGTGCAAAGTTTTCTAACATCCGCTCCCCAGTCTGCCTCATGGCTCCGCGCAATGACCGACGACTATTCGAACCCCAACTGCCCCATCAAGATTGCCCACGGTACCACAACACTCGCTTTCCGATTCAAGGGCGGCATCATAGTGGCGACGGATTCTCGGGCCACTGCAGGGAACTGGATAGCAAGTCAGACGGTGAAGAAGGTTATTGAGATCAACAACTGCCTGCTAGGTACAATGGCTGGTGGCGCTGCGGTATGCCTCATTGAGAACACGCATACAGCCTCAATATGACTCTAACAATTGCATCAGGATTGTCAATACTGGTTGGCATACTTGGGTATGCAGTGTCGCCTGCACGAGCTACGACACAAGCGCCGCATTTCAGTTGCCGCTGCCTCCAAGATCCTCGCCAATCTTGTCTACTCATACAAGGGCATGGGTCTCTCTATGGTGCGTACATTCTGAAAGGCATGTTTAATGTTTTTGCTAACAAAGTGTGTAAAGGGTACTATGTGTGCTGGCGTAACCCCTCAAGAAGGCCCCGCTCTTTACTACATCGACAGCGACGGCACACGTCTCGCTGGTAACCTCTTCTGTGTTGGCTCCGGTCAAACTTTTGCCTACGGTGTGCTAGATGCAGAGTACAAGTACGACCTCTCAGACGAAGATGCCCTCGAACTTGGCAGGCGGAGTATCCTTGCAGCGACGCATCGTGATGCCTACTCCGGTGGTTTCATCAACCTGTACCACGTGAAGGAAGATGGATGGGTCAAGCATGGCTTCAACGACACGAACCCCATCTTCTGGAAGACTAAGCTTGAGAAGGGCGAGTTCTCCAATGTGACGGCAGACCTGGAGTAGACGACAAAGCACGAGTCAGATGAAATCATGGAAAAGACTACATGACGAGGGGCAACTCAGTCGAGTGTTGGAACGGCCGGAGTTCCAATCCTACCTATGTAGCATATAGACCCTTCCGCATCGAGAAGGGGAATGAAATCTTTGAATGCCCTCAATCCTTTCCGTATAGAGCAGTTCTGCAACCTCAGGAATGTCCGCAAACTGCAAGCTATAGCTAACCCTAGCCCAGTGTCTTCTTCTCTTTCTGACGCTCCATTGCCATCAAGACATCATTTGCGTTGTTCTTGTCCCCCTTCTTCTTCTTGGGGCCACGCTTCCGTTTCTTTGCACCCTTGTGCGCGTTCCCACCATCCTCGTCATCATCTTCCTCCGCTCCCAACCCTTTCCACTCGGACAACTTGATCTTCTCTCCTTCTCTCTCCATCTCATCAGCATCATCGAATCTTGAGCCACCAAAGCCCATATCCATATCCTCCATGTCTCGATCACTAGCTGCTAGCTCTCTAGCTCTCTTCTTCAGACGTGCTTCCTCGGAGTCGGGATCGTTTATGAGTGTAGAATCAGGATCAAGGCCACGCACTTTCTGCAAGGCAGCACGGACAGTCATATCAGCTGCAGACTGTTCCGAGGCGGCAGTGTCGTTGGTGCCAAATGTGCGAGACGTAGATGCGAAATAGTCGCGTTTTGACGGTCGAGTAGTACCTGGAGCTGTGGTTGCAGGGGTAGCATTCGTGTCTGATCCTGACGATGGGCTTCGTCGCTCGGATTTGGGCTCGGATTTATCTGTGGCCGAGGGTACCTTTTCTACAGCTGGTTCCGCTTCGCCTTCTTCATCAGAGCTGTCTTCGTTGTCGAGTTCAGCCAGTGGATTATAACTTGAGCCAACTCCTTCAAATATGTCATCGTCTTCCGAATCTTCCTCTTTTGGTGGGGGTATTTTAGGCGCGGGGATGTTGTGCATGTTGATTGGTTTTTTCTCATCGTCCAAGTCGCGACGGATCTCCATTGGGGGTTCCTCTACCCTCTGTTTCCGCACTTTTCGTTTCTCTTTGCCGTCAGCATCTGTGATAATCAAGACTTCTCGGCCTTTAGAGTCCGTCTCAATCCGTGTCGATTCGCCATTGTTGGCAACCTTGCGGAAGCCTGTACCGAGCGTAGGATATTTCTTTTCGTGTTCCTCCATGGCTGCAGCGGCCGCTTCTTCTCGCTGTCTTTTAAGATCAGCTAGGATATCTGCTCTACTTCTTTTAACGCCTGCAACCGAAGGTGGTGGTGCCATCTCCCCTCTCTTCTCTACTTTCGCCCGTGTCACCGTACCGATGTGCTGGTCAGCAAGCTCGTCGAACTCGTCCTCCAGATCAGATCCAGCCTCCTCTTCTGGTTCGGGTTCGGCATCGCCAGGGAGAACATCCTCGCCCTTTCTGACTCGTTCAAGCAGTTTCCGGTCCAAGCCTTTGACCAAGTGTGTAGAGCTGATATCTCCGCCCGTGATCTCCTGTACCAGTTTTTCGAAAGTCGCGCGGTCGAGCTGTCCCAGCTTCATAGACTCTTCAAGATTTTTGATGCGCTTCGCCTTTTCGTCTTCCTCATAGTCCTCGCGCGCTTTGGCGCGATCGGTGTAGCCGGCAGCGAGTTTGGTACCCTTGGGAGCGACGGAGCGGGATTTGCTCTTGGTGTCAGGTTTGGCGTTGCGCTGGGCGAGCTGGCGGGCGAAATCTGCTTGCACAGTACTTCGGCCTACTTGGCGACTGGATAAATGTTAGTCTACTCGTAATATCTCGGAAGAGAGCGAAAACGTACGGTGTCATATGGATGCTGCTATGCTTGCGCGCGCCCAGCACGGTGCCAGGCGCCCGCGAAGCTGGAGACTGCTCCTTGGTGGCACCATTTTGCTGGTTAGGAGATGACGGGGTTTCTTCGAGGATCAGGCGGCGGAACTGTTGGTTGTTCATTCCGAAGACACAGAAGCGGTGGATGATGTCGCGGAGAGCTAGAGTTTGTGTTTGTACGATTGTGGAAGTTGTAAAAGGTATCTTGAGATTCGCCGGCGTTGATTGGACGCGGAGCTCCTTCTGCATCTATATCCTTGCAGGTACCCCTCAAGCTCACCACGCGCTTTCGTCATCTGCCCCAGCCTTCCCGGATTTACGATCTGCGGGGAAGAAGAAATATATATATATTGATCCATAGGTAGCTAGATGTATTCAACATGACTGCAGGTGTATCAATTACCTCCCTTTACACATCATGTTCAAACTCCTCTCACTAGTCCTCTATGCAGCTCTCGCGTTATGTCAAAATAACACAAATTCAACCACTTATACCAACCCAATTCTGGATGCTGGTGGTGCGGATCCGTGAGTTTGAATGGAAGGTTTACATGTAGAAATGCGGTACCTGACCCGAGCTGTTGCAGATGGGTCATTCGTCACGATGGCTGGTATTACATGACCTTCACCAACAATAACGATGTTACCCTCTGGCGTAGCAAAATCCTTACGTGTGTTAATCTCCCTTCGAATAATAACATTCTCCATCTAACGGCATCCTCAGGAACTGGAACGAAGCAGAGTCGAGATTACTTTTTAAGCCTCCTCCAGGCCTCAACTACTCCACCGATCTATGGGCTCCCGAACTTCACAACTTGAACGGCGTGTGGTATGTCATCTTCACAGCCGATCCACGCAATGACAGTCCGCCACCCGAAGTCGAGATGTGGTGTGAATACAACTGTCCCGCCGTTCACCATCGAATGTTCACCCTCGAAGGACAAGGTGATGATCCATGGACTGCCGAATTCACATTCAAATCAGAACTCGACACATACGATCAATTTGCCATCGACGGCACCTACTTTCAGCATTCGACAGGCCTGTACCACATTTACAGCTGTTGGAACCGAGGTACCGATGGCTGGCCCGCCAACCTCTGCATCACCCAACTCGAGAATCCCTGGACGGTTTCCTCACCCTTTTCCGAGCGTCAAATCATCTCCGTGCCTACTCTGCCATGGGAGAAGACTCCATATGGCCGCACAGTCAATGACCGATTATCATCCAACGAAGGGCCCCAGCAACTCACCAACCCTACAACAGGCCAACAGTTTGTAATATTCAGCGCTGCTCGCTCCGACAATCGGAATTACTGTCTGGCCCAGCTGGAACTGGTTGGAGACAATCCGATGAACCCTTCCGATTGGCGCAAACATCAATACCCGATTTTCTTCCAGAACCCAGAAGAAGAGGCATACGGCGTCGGCCATGCAAGTTTTGTCAAGAGTCCAGATGAGACAGAAGACTGTAAGAACAAATGATCAGATCGAAGTGAAATCTCAATTACTGACGCGCAACAAGGGATCGTATATCACGGTATGAGGGACCCAACGAATGGGTGGGGAGCACGCACCATCAGAACACAGCGCTTCACGTGGAATGAGGATGGGAGCCCCAATTTCCCTGAGCCTGGGTACGGACCTTATCAAGTTCCCTCGGGGCAATCCTAGATAGCTGTTGGCCGCGGGAGTAAAAAAGCAGACTAAAATTTGGAAATATAATTTATGGGCTCGATTGATTACCTGCACCTTTCACACAAATATTTGATGGAAATCAAATAGATGAAACTTTTCTCATGATTGTCTTTTGCACAGCTGCAAGAGAGGATCAAACACAGAAGAGGGTAGTAGAGCATGTCCTTCAATCTGATGTTTCCAAATGGATGTGTATTCAAGAATCATTGTACAACAACATGCTATGAGCGCTCTTCCAATTGCCCAACAATCCGTACCCAAAGTGTCTACAAGAACGTTGAAATATACAAAAACCGCCCAATAATCTAACAGACAGACAAACAGACAAACCTCAGCTAAACAGAGCTTTTACCTCTGGCCTGGCGCAAAAGCCGGTTCTTCTCGGTCGCCTCTTCGATCTTCGCCTGGCGCCAGGTACAGATCTCGGCGAAATCGCACATGCGGCACTTGAACGCCTCTTCGATTTCCACGCCTTTGGCCTCTCGGTTGCCTTGCCACCACTTGATCTCGTCTACGCTATATGCATCGACAGTTTCTGGCTCATGAACGATGAACTCATTGCCGATGATGTCGCCCGTCTTGGAATATCGAAACTCCACACGGAGAACATCACTTATTGACGTGACCACTCGCTGGAACTCTTGGATCATCAAAGACCACAGAGACAGCAGATTGGGGTGCGTTTGTAATTCATTCAGATCAGAAGGGTTTGACAAATCTACGCCGTCTTCTTCAGTTTCCATGCGATCAAGGTTTCCAGCTTCCAGCATGAACGAGTCAGAGAATGTTTGCAAAGGTGCGAGATTATAACGCCTCAATACCGTTTCCGCATCCACGGTATTCAGGGAAAGAGCTTCGAGTAATTTCCGGTAGAGCATGAGCTGCATACGCGTCGGTCGTAATGAGGCGCCCTTGGGGATGTTGCGCACACCTCGTGTCTTGACATCTGCAATGTATATCCGTCGGTCCGACTCCAGGTTCCCTACCCAAGCGTCACGGTTGCCATCTGGCAACGCATTTGTGTGGGCTTGCGAGAAAGCGTGTTCTATGGTCAGCTGGCCCAAAGGTAATGTGCCACCGCTCTTCGCGACCTTGGCAAGATCAAGTTGTTCCTCCAGCTCCGGATTCGGGCATGCGAAACTGAGCTCATCAATAACTCCGTTGACGACCTGGCCGTCGATAACTCCCCAGACTTCCAGCTCTCTTGTCAAGCCCGTGTCATGCAAACAGCGCAATCCCTGTATGACATTCCATATTCTCAAACCAAAGCGATCTTCCTTGGTGATTACTCGGACCGGCACAGTAGTATGGACCTCCTCTTCCAGCGCATGGTGTATCTTGGTACCAGCCTTCATGGCACGCGTTGGTGGTTTGCGACCGAACTTGGTCAAGGTATACCAGTATTGGAGCTCACACCAAGCTGGTGAGACCAAATCGGTGACTGAAAGAGGTTTACGGGCGCGAAATCGTTCAAGCGGAGTGCGTGAGCTGTCTTTGGCTGACATGTCACGCTCGGGCGAAACTGCGTTCTCCGGGAGAGGATCCTCTCTGGGTACTAAGGACTGTCAGTCGTCAGTCGCAAAAGGTGATAAGTGTACTCATTACAGGTACATACCGCTGAAGGCACGCCGCGACGGAGCATCGTACTCGAACTCCACCGGCGACTTCTTGCGCTGCGGAGGCGAACTGTAAGCATATCGCAACGCGGGCCCACCGGGCCAATGTACAGCGATGCCTTCATCTCGACCTTCCAACACAGCTTGGAGTTCTACGCTTGGGTAAATAGCCGTTTTGGATGCGAGGGTGGCGATTTGGATAGGCACGTTGCCGGTTATCACACTGTCTTCGTCTATACCGTCGAGATCAATGTCTGAGCCATAGTCACTTGATGCGGTGATGTGAATCGAGTCAACATCAGAACCGTAATCACTATTAGTAGGTGCTTCCTTGAACCCTACTGTAGTGCTTCCGCGCTCCATTGTGTCATTTTGTTGTCGGTCGGCAATCGCACCAAGCGGACGCGTTTGCTGATGTTCGCGTTGTCGCCTCCGGCGCGCCATGCCCTGTCGTGAGGTCATGAAGAATCGGGCCAATCAAGGAATCGATGGGGGACAAGGCTCAAGAGAACAGCACGTTCAACAGAAGACGAAAATAAAGGAGAATTCGTGGAGGGAGATGAAACAGAAAAAGGGAGGTTTGGTAGTAGTCATATATAGCTATAGCTACAAATAAATTTGGTAAGTGAATTCGTTCGGTCACGATTGGCCACAGCACTTGAGGTCTTGTCACCCTCCCGCAACGAAATCGCACACGTCAATATGGTTTTGATCAATGAAACTGGGATGCAAATGACATACGAAATGAATACATATGTAGAATTGATTATATTTGTCTTGTTATTCATTGAGAGCAGTCAAGGCATTATTGAAGTCTGGTATATCGTCGGCACTCGCACTTGGGTGACTCCACTTCACAGTCCCGTCGCTCGCGACGGCAAAACTCCCCGCGCTTTGCCAGCGCGTGCCACTTTCCGTTGGCCTGTTCCAGATGTCTTCTTGTTTGCCCAATTTGTAAACTGAGTACATACTTGATGGGCTTAGGACATGCCAGAAAGAGGAAACGCCTAGCCCCCAGTCTGCGTAGAGGGATCGTTCATCGTCGACAATCATATCGACTGTACTGTTCTGAGATGGATCGGGGAGTGACTGTAGCCAGCGTCCAGTTGAAGCGGAATCACTGTGAGAGATCGCAACGAAACGCACTTCTGGATGGGTGGAAGCAGCTGCGCGTAGCTCCAGATATGTTTTCTCGGCGACTACCCAAATCAGCTGGCTGTTCTTCGTGATAGGACTCAGAAAGAGATCATACACGGGCATCCGCAATGGCGCAAGAAAGATACTACTGTTGGCTTCCCATCGATCGCGAGCAATTTTGAAGATGGAGCTTTCGAGCCCGCAGCAGGCACATCACTTGTCGGGGGGTTCGACGGGAACATCCATGATTTCAATTCTGTCTGCCACGACATGCCAGCAACGAGTTACAAGTTCACAAGGATGGATGCGGGACTGGAAGAGAGCGAAGATGAATCGCCGGAGAATATTAGACAGGGCTGCAGCACGTCATGCGAAGCACATATTACATAGCGTGTGAAGTGGGGGTAGCGTATCGCGAAAGAGATGAAGCGAGGCATCACGGGTTCGAGGTGTATCTCAGCATCACCGTGCTCGCCCCACATATGCACGGATAGCCCTACAGTTACCAGGCGCGTCGTTGTCGCGTTAAACATAAACAACCCGCTGGCGCGTGAAACGATGAGGCAAGTGACGAGGCATAGAGCTCATGCGTGTCGTGGCGAAGGATGCAGGGGCACTCGAAATCACAGGCGTGCACCGAAGAGCGCGTTCACGAGCATCATAGCAAAGAAGATGAATGAAGTAGAAGGGATTGATTATTCGTCATCAATCATCTCAGTGAACAAACACTGTGTGATGGTATACTACATCGCCGCACTGTGTGTGCTCCACCCATAAACCGTGAATCAAGAAAAAGACCCATTGACCGTGCTAGCCCAAACGCCGAAGAAACCAAGCTGACGAATCCGTCACCGAAGACGATCAGCCGAGAAGTTGAAGAGCAGCATGTTTAACCACGCTCACCGCGGAGACGACGGGCGAGTTGGATGTCCTTGGACTCTGCGATGATGTTAGTGATGCGCATAAGAGAAAAGTGTGAGGGTGAAACGTACGGATGGTGACACGCTTGGCGTGGATGGCGCACAAGTTGGTGTCCTCAAAGAGGGAGACGAGGTAGGCCTCAACGGACTCCTGGAGAGCGCCGATGGCAGAAGACTGGAAGCGGAGATCCGACTTGAAGTCCTGAGCGATCTCACGAACAAGACGCTGGAAAGGCAACTTGCGGATCAGAAGCTCCGTGGACTTCTGGTAGCGACGGATCTCACGGAGAGCGACGGTACCAGGCTTGTAGCGGTGAGGCTTCTTCACACCGCCGGTCGATGGGGCGGACTTGCGGGCAGCCTTGGAGGCAAGCTGCTTACGAGGAGCCTTGCCACCAGTGGACTTACGGGCGGTCTGCTTGGTGCGGGCTGGAGAGGAGTCAGTTGATGGCGATAAAGGTAAAAGGCATCTCAGAGGAGGACATACCCATGGTGTTGTAGAGAAGTTGATGAAATGGAGATGTGAAGATGAGTTGTCGTGGTTGGCGGGTTGTGGTGGAGGAGAGTGGAGTGGATGTGTGATGAGAAGTCGGAAGAGGGGGGGGCGGCGCGGGCTTATATGGGCGCAGGTGGCTGCCTGGATCAAACAAAGTGATTTGATCTGGGCGGCGGCGGGCGCAATCAAGCAAGCGAGCAGCGCTCACTGTGATCTGGCAAAACTTAGCGCTTTCTCTCTAACTCTCGCTTCGTCCGCCGCCGCCAGTTCCTAAACAAGTAGCGGCTTAAGCGAGCGTCGCTGCGCTAAACTGGAAGGGGGCCGCCCGCTCTGATCTGGGAGGCACGGGCCCCTTGTGATCCAGCGCGACCTCACAACTTTAACTACGACGCGTCTCGCTCTTCCTTCAACTCCATCATCCCACAGTCAGCTCTACTATCATCACAACCTCTCTTACTACGCCTCTCCAACCAACAACTCCAACTTCTCAAACTCCCCCCCACACTCTATCAACATGACTGGTCGTAAGTCTTCTCCCCCGCATCCTCTCACCCCACCTTCACTTGGACTACGCAACTCTTGTTGCTGTTGTCTCTGATGATGACTCAATGCTAACGCCTTCTCCAGGCGGCAAAGGTGGCAAGGGTCTCGGAAAGGGTGGTGCCAAGCGCCACAGGAAGATTCTTCGTGACAACATCCAGGGTATCACCAAGCCCGCTATCCGCCGTCTCGCGCGTCGTGGTGGTGTCAAGCGTATCTCCGCCATGATCTACGAGGAGACTCGTGGTGTCCTCAAGACCTTCCTTGAGAGCGTCATCCGTGATGCTGTCACCTACACTGAGCACGCAAAGAGGAAGACTGTCACTTCTCTCGATGTTGTCTACGCCCTCAAGCGACAAGGCCGTAAGTTTGCTCTGCATCCACTCTTCTCTGATGCTGTCTCTAACATTCCTCTCAGGTACCCTCTACGGTTTCGGTGGTTAAGCGTCTCGCTTTCTCCTTCTGCATTTTCACGACGATTTCCGACAGCGCGTCACAAATGGTCGCTTCTGTGGTTTGGTTGGTTGGGGTTCATGGTCACTGCGCCTTGTATTTTGTCAAAGGCTACGGAGTTAACGGCTTCTGGGTATTGCACCAGGGAATGATACCATAATTCTTCATATTGCGTCTTTGACTTGCTCTCTTGTGATGTTTGGTTGTGATCTGCTTGTTTCACTGCTCTCTTCGGCAAGGATCACGCGTCCATGAAGTGCCCCATCTGCGTTTCAATGCTTGCTGTGTGAAGGGTGTGGCTTTAATCATGATGCTACGCGTTCGCAGAGACATGTTGAGTGCGCTTTGTTGCATCGGGCAAAGGTTGGTCTCTCCTGCATTCGGTAGCCCAACCATCATTTGACTGCAACACCAACACGTAACAAAGAATTCCTCATGAGGGTAACATGTAAACTGCCATGGTTATTGCCATAATTCTTTTCCCCCAAAACTCCCATCACATTTTTCACAATCTTGCACTGCATCTCATGTACGTTCGATTCATTCGCTTTTCCGCTTTTTTCCGGTAACAACATCCGAGCGCTTTTCCGTCTGCCGCAATAATACCTACACCATCGCTACTATGCCTCCCTTGCCAATATCTACTATAAATCTCAAAGCCCCAGCGCCGTTACCATCTCCTCCTCGAGTAATAAAGGGCATCACGATGGCTTTACCCGCCCCGCCGAGGGCATTGTTTTTTGATGTATTTGGAACATGCGTCGACTGGCGCGAAACTGTGACGCAGGCCTTGGAAGCACAGGCGCATGTCGCTCTGAATTCTGCTACAGCCTCGTTAGCTACCCAATTGAGATTGCGGGCATCTAGTATGACTCCAACACACTGGCACGAGTTCGCGCAGCAGTGGCGAAATTCTTACAAAAAGTTCACCAGGGAACTGGCCGCAGATCCCCAGAAACCATGGAAGACTGTGGATGAACACCACCTCGATTCTCTGAGGGAACTTCTTGTGGAGTGGGAGCTCGACGGTCTCTGGACCGATGAGGATACCCGGACTTTGAGCTTAGTGTGGCACCAGCTTAAGCCGTGGTCTGATTCATCTCCGGGTATCGCGTTGCTTAATCAGTTGTTCTGTATGTCTACTCGGTTGCTTTCCGTGTCGGTGTATTGCTTTCTAACATGACATAGGGACTGCCACACTCTCAAACGGCAATGTGTCTTTGCTCTCCGATCTCAGGTCATTTGGAAGCTTGGACTTCACCCATATTCTCAGTGCGGAGCTATTCGGCTCATATAAGCCATCGCCGAAGGTCTATCTCGGTGCAGCCGAGAAGCTCGGCCTACGACCCGATGAGTGTTGCATGGTCGCTGCGCATCTGAATGATCTGCAGGCAGCCAAATCGCTTGGACTTCAAACCATATATGTTCAACGGCCTATGGAGGAAGACTGGCCGAATGAGGATGTTGACAAGGCTAGAAGCGATGGGTGGGTTGATCTTTGGATTGGGGAGGGGCAGCAAGGGTTTGTCACTGTAGCAGAGAAGCTTGGTGTGGAAATTCCTGTATCTAAACTAAAGCTCAGTTCCTCAGCGTAAATGAGTTTGTCTGGAGTATCACTTGAAACTTGTGGCCCAATCTTTGTCGTTGTAGTGTACCCATGTGCACAGCGCGGTGTAGCGATTCGTGTTCGCATGCATCTGACTCCACCGTTACTCTCTTGACGCAACATGACGGTGCATAGCTCGCCACGTATTGTCTTTTATGTCGATCTGATGCTTTCATATCATTAATTACTCTTTTTTAAGTCCGCTTATCGGATTTTTTGGACATTTGAAGAGATAGGTGGATGAGTGTAAATTCGTTGATACAAATATTGTCCTGTACCTAACATCCGTAACTAAAAACGTATTTTGTAATTGAACAATAAATTGTCAACAACCACCACAACCATCAAATCACCTAAAACTAAGCTCAAAGAAGTCGACAGCACTCAGAAGTGGTTTAAATATCGAAAAAAGAAATTTCAACCACATACCGCAGAGATAGGGCGATCTGAAGTTTCCAAGGCCCGACGTCAGGACGACAGCGGGACGCGCACGGAGGAGACACCCCAAACGACTCAGAAATACACGAATACACGTATGGGCGCAGGCTATAGTACACTTGGGCCAATTGATAGACTACATGACGGTCTATGGAGTGAAACTGCAGCCCTTCAAAAGAACAATATCCCAATGTTTACCGTTGGCGATATCTAATGGAATGTACTGGTACCAGTACAGCCAACAGCCAATATTTATGCGACAACAATGCACCAGGATCAAGTCCAAATCATCCAAATCCACCTATATAACTACAGGAAAACACAAGGGAAATCAAGCCAAGTAGACATGTATGTGTTCACGTTGCTCCCAACGGCCATGGGGATGAAATCTGGGGAGATACGGAAGAGGTTAGATGATTTGCGGGGTTGACCAATCCCAAGACGAGCTCGACGATTCCATGTGTGCGAAACACCTCGGCCAGCGTTACTCCGCGCGGTCGTCTTCCCGATATCCGATGTCCTACATAGTAATGACGCCCGATGCTTGTGTATGCGACATGTCCGAGCACTTAATTCACGCGATCAGATTCCACATATCTGGGAACTGACACATGCTCCTTTCCTAACCCAGTGGCTCTGGAAGTTTACCGCTGGACTGTCATCACTTTCATCTGGAGAAACCCAGTCGCAGCTGTCTGTAACATAAGCATCACCCACTACACACGTAGCTCACAAGTCGCACCACGCCGACCCACAGGCTCGGAATCTAATCACAGCACCATGCCACCATCAGACAGAGGAAAACACGTGCAAGATCGCGTCTATGAAGCCTCGATAGCGGACCCAGAGAGCTTTTGGCGTCAACAAGCTGCGCATGTTCATTGGCATAAGCAGCCATCGCAGGTGATTCGAAAGGGGAAGAAGACACTAGCCAAGAGCAGAGTAACTCATGACAGCTGGAGTTGGTTTCCCGATGGGGAGATCTCAACGACCTACAATTGCGTCGATCGCCACGTCCACAACGGAAATGGAGATAACGTTGCAATTTACTGGGACAGTGCAGTCACCGGGGTAAAGGAGAAGTACACGTACAAGCAACTGTTCAACGAGGTCGAAACATTGGCGGGGGTGTTGCGGGAAGAAGGTGTCAAGAAAGGCGACGTCGTGTTGATCTACATGCCGATGATTCCTGCTGCCTTGTTTGCTATGCTGGCCATCGCTCGACTCGGAGCGATTCACGCCGTTGTGTTCGGCGGCTTCTCTGCAGCCGCGTTGGCCCAGCGCATGGAGGCATCTCGTCCAAGGTATGTATATCCCAATACTAGTCTACTGCAATGTACGCCAGGAATCGACTGACAATGTTGTTCGTAGGGCTATTATGACTGCTTCTTGCGGAATCGAAGGAAGCAAAGGCCCGACTGCTTATAAACACCTCATAGAAGATGCAATCGAGAAGTCGAAATTCAAGCCTGGCAAGACGATCATATGGCAGCGTGAGTTTAACTCTGAGGTCGGACTCCAACGAAGACACCATATCGTGTGGCGTTGAGGCCCAAAAATCGCCCGAAACTTTTCTTGACCACATACTGATCACGATCCGTAATTCAGGTGACGAACTGCGCTGGGACCCAGTGCTCAAGGAGAACGGCCAGCGAAATTGGCAACGATTGGTGAAGAGCGCGCGAAACAGGGGATTGCGAGCCGATGCGGTACCAGTGCAGAGTAACGATGGGCTGTACATCATCTATACATCTGGTAAGAATCCCCGAAATCCACCCCTGGATGGGAGAGACCCAGCCACCGTAACGTAGTCGGTACTAATTGATTGTCAGGGACAACCGGCACACCAAAGGGCGTCCTTCGAACAGCTGGTGGACATGCTGTGGGCCTCAACTTTTCAATCAAGTATCTGTTTGGAATTCACGGCCCCAGCGATGTCATGTTCACAGCCAGCGACGTAGGTTGGGTTGTTGGCCATTCCTATATCCTCTATGCTCCCTTACTCGCCGGGGCGACCACTGTGCTATTCGAAGGCAAGCCAGTCGGATGCCCAGATGCGGGCACCTTCTGGCGCATCATCAACGAATACAAGGTGACAACTTTGTTTACAGCACCCACAGCTCTTCGCGCTATCCGGCGAGAGGACCCCAACAATGACTTTTTCCGAAAGACGTACGGTGGCAATGGCGGACTGAAGAGTCTACGGGCACTCTTCCTAGCAGGTGAACGGAGTGAGCCGAGCATCGTTCAGATGTATCAGAAGCTTCTCCGGGAATTCTGTGCAGAGGGAGCTACCGTAGTGGACAACTGGTGGTCCTCGGAGTCCGGATCGCCAATTTCAGGCATTGCATTGAGCGCATCTGCCGGGGAAGATTTCACTTCTGCCCACCGCGACAAAGCACTCACGACAAAACCCGGGTCTGCTGGGAAAGCCATGCCCGGATTTGATGTGCGGGTTGTGGATGATGAGGGCAATGAGGTGAAGCGTGGGGAGATGGGAAACATCGTTTTGGCTGTTCCACTCGCGCCTACAGCGTTCACGACTCTGTGGGAGGATGATGAGAGGTTCTACAAAGGGTATCTGAAGAGATTTAATGGGCGTTGGCTCGACACTGGGGATGCAGGTTTTATCGACGAGGATGGCTACATATCCATCATGTCAAGAGCCGACGATGTCATAAACGTAGCAGCGCATCGTTTCAGCACTGGTACGCTGTCCTATTGATGTCTTGTACGGACGATTTCATGACAGCTAACAAGGATTTGCAGGTCAGATCGAGCAAGCCATCACTACGCACACTGGCATTGCGGAAGCAGCAGTCATCGGTATTCCGGATGAGCTGAAAGGCCATCTACCATTCGCATTCGTCACGCTATCATCGCAAGAGCACCCCGAAAGCGCGGTCCCCAGCGAAAAGCTTGTGAAGGAAGTTCAGATGTTGATCCGCGAGCAGATTGGAGCCGTCGCAAGTCTGGGTGGGATGATCCAAGGTAAGGGAATCATCCCCAAGACGCGTAGTGGCAAGACGTTGCGGCGTGTGCTTCGCGAGCTTACCGAAAACGCGACTCACGGGGCGATGGACAAGGAGGTAGCTGTGCCGAGTACGATTGAGGACAGGGAAGCGGTGGATATTGCGCGTGGCAAAGTGAAGGAATACTTCGAGAAGAAAGGGAAAGATTTGCACAAGGCAACAGAGTCGAGAGCCAAACTGTAGTACATGACAACGATCACATGCTGTATGCCTACGAGTCAATACGATTATGTGTAATTTGAAGCTGGCCCGAGGGTGGTACACTGAGAGTGGGTGACTTGTTAAGCTCGTGCTGACCGTCCACAGCGTAGGTTTCTGGATTTGATGTGGTGGATGGATGGATGGAAGAGAGGATGGAGGGTGCATTGTAAGCCGTGCATTGCGAACGACAGTTGACGTCGGAATGTGGAAGGAGGTCTCGGCCGCTTATCGTAGTGGGATGCGCACAGCAGCACAAGACACGATGCCTACAAGAATGGTACATGGATGGGCAGCTTCTTGTTGATCTGCAGCACGAGGGACATTAACCAGAAAGCTTTGTTTCTTTGGGCTCTACCTGGACAGCACAAAGGCAGGCATAACTTTTGTACCTGTGTTGGCCGGGTGGATACAGGAATTCAGGCGCTCAAGGTCCATGACCCCTCCTTTCCTGACGGCGGGCGGGCAGTGCAGTGCAGTGCAGTGCAGCAGCAGAGGGCGAGTGGGAGAGAAAAGAAGGCAAGCAGAAGGTTCATGTCGTTGTACGCGAGACGAGTACAATGTGCAGCATCTGGAGACCCCACGAAGGGACATGGCATCCCACGCGACTGTGACGAGGATGGATGGATGTACATGTACCCGACTTGCAACTCTCTCCAGGCTCAGACTGCCTGACTGACGCATGGCGGGACGGCTTCGTTTTCACGTGGAACGGCGGGACACGAGCCAGGCTTTGATCGGATCCCTCGCTCGCCATGCGCTGCCAGGCCAGGCCAGGCCACTCTCTCGCCCGCGCCCGCTTGCCCGCCTGCCCGCCTGCTGCCCGCTCCACCGTTCGTTCGTTCCCATCCTCCCCCCCCAAACCTCTTCGCCTCGAAAGAAAAAAAAAACACCCCTACTCACCTTCCCATCTACCTGAACATAGCCATTTTTTTTTACAGCATACATACATCACCATCTGCCCCATCTCTATTGCTATTTCCTGCCGCTTGTTTGTATCACCAGGCACGGCATACCTACCTATACACCTCCATCATCTACTCCAAAGGTACTTGATGATACAGAGCTGTTCCTCTTTACCGTCTGCTCTCTCCAGCTAGCTACTGAGCAGTAGTCGACTCGTCTCCCCCAAAACCCTGCGGCCCAACTAACCCCATTACTTTCCCATACCCACTCCCTCTCCGCCTATCATTTGCTCAGACCTCGCCGTCCCATCCCATCTCATCCCATCCTATCCCATCCCATCCTGTCCTGCCGCGACGACCCTTCCTTCTCGCCCGTTCATCACCCTCTTTCTTCTCACTCGCTCTCTGTCTCCTACGCTCTGCCGCGCTTCGTCTTGTCTCGTCTTGTTTCATCGAGCCGACCTTCCTCCTCCTCCGCCCAGCGGTTCCCCCGGCTCGCCCCAAAGTCAAGACGCACGCACCCTCCCTCCGCCCACGACACACAGCTGCGCGGCAATCTGCCTTCGGCCTCGTTGTTGCACCCACTCTACGCCCGCCGCCCAAAAATCTACCACGCCAGCCGCTGAGTCGTGTGCCGCTGCCCCTGCCGCCTGTGTTGCTGTGTCCTACCCTTCGTCCTGTGCCTCCGCTTCCATCCATCACAGCCTGCAGCTATCCGTCCGCAGACACGCGCTGTTTGTACCCGCTTGCTGCCTTGACTCTTGGATACCCCAACGCCATACCACACAACGCGACACAACACGCACCGCAGGACACGACACGACCCGATTCACCTTGCTTTGCCATCCGCTGCTCATCGTCCCATAATCTAGACATACCCCCCCCCAGGCCCCCTTCCCCGCTTGCCTACCTGCCTGCTCCTCCTCCAGGTAGCCACCTCCCTGTCTCTGTAAGCTGAGCGACGACCGTCAGCTGCTATCGCCTCCCACTACACATCATCAGCAACATTGTCAGCATCCATCACCGTTTCCGATTTCGCCTCGTTGCTTCCGCGTCGTCACCACTCTGTTTCGAGTCCCCGTTGTGCCGCCATCTGCCGGTTTGCATCCATAGCACCATCCTCAACCTACACACTCCGCGACTGTGCAACTTAGTCCTTCGCTCAATCAACCATCATGGCGGGGAAAATGACGCTATACAAGCTGGTGGTGCTGGGTGACGGTGGCGTAGGCAAGACTGCTTTGACCATCCAGGTGAGCTCAAACCCCACCAATATCATGATACGGATCATGAGCAAATGGAGGGCTAACACACATCTAGCTCTGCCTGAACCACTTCGTCGAGACATACGACCCCACGATCGAAGATTCGTACCGCAAGCAGGTACAGATTGACGGACAGTCATGCATGCTCGAGGTACTCGACACCGCTGGCCAGGAAGAGTACATCGCTTTGCGTGATCAGTGGATACGTGATGGCGAAGGCTTCGTTCTTGTTTACAGCATCTCGTCCCGTTCATCTTTCGCCCGAATTCAACGTTTCCACAACCAGATCCAGCGCGTCAAGGAGACCTCGTTGTCCAGCTCCCCTACTTATCCCGGCTCCCCCGTGTCAGCATCCCCCATGGGTCATTTTTCGGGTCCGGCTCCTGTCATGCTCGTTGGCAACAAGTGCGACCGCGTCACGGAGCGTGAGGTTTCCACCCAAGAAGGCAGTGCTCTCGCCAAGGAGCTTGGCTGTGAATTCGTCGAGGCCTCTGCCAAAAACTGTGTCAATGTCGAAAAAGCTTTCTTTGAGGTTGTGAGGCTGCTGCGCCGCCAACGGCAGGGCGGCAGACCTGTCAAGACCAAAGTTGAACCCAAAGATCGGCCAGATGGTGGTCGTCCGCACCCCAAGAAACCCAAAGGGATGAAGTGTGTGATACTTTGATTCACGTCGGAATCGTCACACTGTCGTTCCTTCTGGCTTCACGGCATCTATGCATCGGCTCTCCATAGCTGCTGGGTTTCGCCAATTCCCCCCCCACCTCATCCCCCCTCTACCTACGTCCCAGCGTCCTCGCCGCAGCCTCGAATATCCATACCACAATCATTGATGATAGAAGACGCGGGTCCTTATTTCATTCTACATCACGACACTTGCGCACCCATCTTATGAAGCGATAGAACCAAGCCATCCGGCGTCGGCATGGGAGTGGCGTTTCCATCTTGGATGCGCTGGAGCATTCGGTCTCTTGCGAAAGGCCTCGGAGTTTATGGAGTTTCTAGGGCAATCACGCAAGCGCGGAATTTTCTGATTACGATTCACGGCCGGGCATTTTCTTCTTCTTTTCTTTTCAATCTCTTCCCAGCTGCGAGGCGCTTGGCAGTCCGTCTCGGGCTGGTCACGAGCAGGGTAGCTGGATTACAGGACGCCTCCCCCTTCCCTGGAGCATGAGACAGCTATCAGTATATCCACACGTCCGCCTCCCCCCTTTTTTTCGAATGCAATGTTGGATATGTACGCTAAGGGGAATGCTGGTCCTATTTGTTTCCATGTCGACACAAATCTACACCTGTTTCGTGACATATATGGTTACCGTCAGCCAGGGAGAGATTGAATTCACATATATATTTCTTCAGACCGTTCAGGAGTGATCTAGTGTTTTTGTATACATGTGAAAAGGTCTTGACCTTGCTAACTTCTCGATGATATATCCATCCCGGATTCACCATAGAGTAACTGACTTGACTATCATATGGTGTGTAATTGTAGGTTTCACTGATATCATATTTATCATAGCTAATCCATTAGGTCTAATCGTCAAAATCCCGGAAAAGGCAAAAGAAGAAGGATCATATCAAAAACGCCCAAGTCGCCCAGCCTTATTAGCATCGAATCGATTTCAAACCCATTTTGCATCCCGTCCCGAAGCCCGAATTAACGTCCTCCCTGCTTGGAAGCGAACCCAGCCAGCTGCTTAGCAATGTACTTGCCTCCCTGAGCCTTGATGACAGGAAGCGCATACTGCTTGAACAGATCCATGCCCTCCCTCTGCCAATCCGTCTTGGCACCCACCGACCTCCCTCGCTCGCGATACCCGCGACCGCCACCGCCATCCCGTCTGTGTCCGTCGTCGTGGTGGCGACGACTGCGGCCTGGCGGCGGGTCGCGGAACATGTCGTCGTACCGGTCATCGCGATATTTGGGGCGGCGATCCTGCCGCGAGTCCCCCCGTTCGTACTCGGAGTACTGTCGGCGAGGCCGGTTGTGCCTGTCGTCTGAGACGTAACCGCCTGGGTCGCGGGCTTCTCTGCGGCGACGCGGTGGCGGATCGCGGTCGTCGTACGAGTCGTAGCGATCGTAGTCGCGACGAGGTTCTGGACGGCGGTGTTCGCTGCGTCTTCGTCGCGGTGGTGGTGGGGAATCTGCGTCAGAGGAGTAGGAGGGTTGACGACGTCTTGGACGGGGTTCTATACACATCTTCTTGTTAGCGGGCGCTGCTGGTGAATTGGAATCGGTGGTTTCCTTTTGTGGGGGCTCTGGCATGTTTACCTGGAGGAGGATATTCAGGGCGACGCTCGTGAGGGCGGTATTCTCGCTCTGGTCTGCTGCTGCGGTCGCCTCTTCGTTCTCTGCGGTCGTCGCGAGAGGGCTTGGCGTATCGCCCGGCGTAGCCATCGTCGTCCATCTCGTAGGCCGCTGGAAAACAAACAGTATATGTCAGAAAATAAATAAATAACGAAAACTGGAACTGGGTGGTTGCTTGTAACTCGATCTATTTTTTTCTTCGAAATGCCCCGCGGTATGGATCTGCGGTGTAGTTATGTACTTACAGCGACGGTGGTCAGGGTATGACGGGGATGGCGATACTTCCTGGCGCCTCATGGTCGGTATTTATAGCCTTTATGTTTTTTTTCTGCAGTTGCTCGTGTATGTATGCAGGGAAGGATGATCTCCGGGTGTGCCTAATAAAGCAGGCTTCTTCCCCCCTCAAGGCCAGTTCAAGAAACGGGATGGGGGTGGTGTGACGATGGGAGCGTGGCTCGGTTTGTGACTACTGACCCTCCAAAGCTGTGGCTGTGGACGATCAGCTTCGCAGGGTTTCGTATTCGGCTGTGTTTCTTGGCTGACCACGTCATGTCACGCGCTTGAGCTGCCAATGGGCGGTGACTCCAGATGTCTGTGTGGTGCCTTTTGGTGGCAAGGCATGTGCAGGCCAATGTGTTAATCGGTAGGTGCCTCAGTGTATCCGGCACTTCTGGACCGAGTTCATTTGTATTTATTTTTCACGGCATTATCATTATGTGTTGAAACGGTGGTTTGTATACAGGGAGTTGATACGTTAGATGGTACATGCTAATATCATCATCACATTTCATTATTAATACCTTGTCGCGTTGCCCATCTGAACTGAAATGAATAGACAAATCAAAAGCCCGCAACAAGAAACCCCAATAGATAGAAAGAAAGAAAAAATGAACCCTCTAACTCAATACCTCACCCGACTAACACTCCTCCGTCTCTCCTCCACGAAGCTGCCCCTGCTGCCCCTAGGCTCAAAGTCCCGCTCACGAACCACACTTCGACTTCTTCTCCTTGCATGGTGATCATCGTACTCGATCGCTCTCGGCTCCGATCTCCGGTACTCAATCACCCTATGACCATCGTCGTGGAAGCTGGTCGTGGACGAGCGGCGGTACGAGTGTGTTGATCCGCGCGGAAGACGGACTTTCCCAGGTGGAGGGTGCGCTGAGAAACTGGAGCGGTACGGTGGTGGGTCGAGAACGCTACCTCTGTGTCCGCGCGTGGGCGTGGTGGAGATGAGACACATTGTTTGTCGATTATAATAGTAGATATTTGGGGTGGTTGGGGAGTGCAGTGGTTCGGTTTTCGAGTGACCTTTTGTGCTGGTGTTGTGGGTGTGAGGAGAGGAAAGAGGGTTCTCTAACTACTCCTTTGGGTTCGATTGTGCGAGATGTGATGATGATTGCTGTTTTGTACAATTGTCTACATGAATCGAAGTATATACGCCTAGTTTATGTACTCGTAGCGTAGTCCTAGAAATGCAACTTGGGGGATTCCAAGGACCTTGCAGCCGAATGACGTATGCCGAAAACCAAGAGACCGACCACCGTCTGTCGCTAATCTAGAATGAAGAGCACATCATCTATTGCGTTCCTGCAATCTCGCAGTCATGTACGCACCTCGATTTGAGATCTATCCTACGACTAACAGTACATTTCAAAATCTTGTGGAGATCCGCTACCCCTGCTTCACGAGTCGCACCACGTCTAAGCGGACGGTCTCTACCATAGTAGGATAGATGCAAACATCTAAGCGCCCTACTCAATTTTCGTGTACATGCAAAATTCTAACACCCCTCTATGGCTTTAAAGATTCCGTAGTATCCTCTTTGCTAGACTCCTCTACCTCATCTGAGAAAAGAGTCTCCTGTGCACTCCACAATTCAGAGTAAAGGCCGGCTCTGTCCACCAACTGCTCGTGTGTACCGCTTTCAGCTACACTTCCAGCTTTCAGTACAATAATTAGATCTGAATCGTAGATGGTGCGCAATCGATGCGCAACGAATACAGACGTTCGCTTCTTCTCTTTCAATATTGAACTGATCTGGGAAAGCAACGCTTGTTCAGTATGCGTGTCGAGCGCCGAGGTCTGCCATTGTCAGTCAACGAATATTGGGCATGAAATGATACAAACTTACTGCTTCGTCAAAGAAGAGGAGTGGTGGATCTTTGAGGATGAGGCGGGACACGGCTAAGCGTTGTTTCTCTCCTCCCGATATCATCATACCACGCTCTCCCACCATGGTACCGTAGCCGTCGGGGAAATGACTAATGGTGTCATGAAGACGAGCTCGTTTGGATGCCTCAATCACCTGTTCATCTGTCGCCTCTAAGTTTCCATAGCGGATGTTGTGTTCTATTGTGTTATTGAAGAGCGGCGTATCTTGAGGCACTACACCAATGGCTTTTCTCAAGCTATCGATGCTGACATCACGAATGTCTTGGCCATCAACGAGAATTCTTCCCTCTTGTACATCATAGAAGCGGAAGAGAAGACGAAGGATTGTGGATTTTCCACAGCCACTTGGTCCCACAATGGCGACCTTTTGCCCAGCCGGTATTGTGAGATTGAGATTTTTGAGAATGGGACGATCTGGACGATATCCGAACGTCACATTCTCAAACTTCAGTTCTCCTGCAGTCAGTAGCAGAGGCTTGGCATCAGCCTTGTTCTTCACGGCAACATTAACCTTTTGCAGGTTGAAGAGTGTCTCCATATCAAGCAAACTCTGTCTCAGCTCCCGATACACGGATCCGAGGAAGTTCAACGGGACCGAAAGTTGGAAAACTAACTGATTGACCATGACAAGATCACCAACAGTGAGTTGACCAGTAGCAACTCCGTCGGCAGCCAGGTACATCATAGCCGTCAATGCACTTGAGAAGATGAGGTTTTGGCCGGAATTCAGAAAGGCCAGAGAAGTGGCAATCTTTATGGAAGCTTTCTCATATGATTGAAGGGCTTTGTCGTACCTCCCCACTTCGAACTTTTCGTTGTTGAAGTACTGCAATCAAGTTAGCCTGTAATCTTTACCGATGAGGATTGAACTCCTAACCTTCACAGCCTCGTAGTTGATGAGGGAGTCCACAGCGACTGTGGCAGCTTTGTTGTCGGCAGCATTAGCTTGTTTACGAAACTTTGTCCGCCACGAGGTTGTAAGGATGGTGAAGGCAGTATAGGCCACCATAGTAGTGCCGGTGATGAGGGCAAACTTTGGGCCGTATTGGTACGTCTAGCAATGATCAGCGTGGGGTTATCATGGGAAGGGGTGCTTGAACGTACCAAAATACCGCACACCAGGGAGATTTCAAGGGCCGTGGGCAGAACGTGAAAGACCATTGAGGTGAGTAGAAAGCTGATGCCCTTGGTACCGCGGTCAATTGCACGAGTCAAACCTCCAGTCTGACGGGTCAGATGGAAACCGAGATCTAGCTTCAGAAGATGCTCGTAGACACTGCAGGCAACACCTCGAATGGCCTTTTGGGCAACACTGGCAAAGACAGCATTGCGTAGCTCCTGGAAAGCAGTAGCACCTATACGAGTAACGCCATCTGCAAGAGATGAGACTTAGTAACCTTCATTACACGCAACACGAATCGTCAAGCACGTGGGCACTGAGCAAGCTTACATGCCACGATCATAGAGCCAGCCACGGTCCAAGCAGTGCCGCCGACGGAGAGAAAGTCTATATTCATAGAGTCGACGATACTCTTGAAATAGAAGGGAACCTGCACATTGAGCAGCTTCGCGCCAACGAGCAGGCCAACACTCAGGCCAACGCGCGTACGGGTACCTAGGTTGTCCTTGGGCCAAAGATAGTGAGACATTTCCTTGATGATGGCCCAGTCGGCCTTGCGCTGTTCTTTATTGGAGACGGTTTGCTCGGCCAGAAGAGGGTCTTTTGGGGCCAGCTTCTTCTTCTGATCCACCAGGCCCGGGGCGGCCGGCGTGGGCTTATTGGATGCATCTTTCAGGCGGAGTGGACTGGATGTGAAAACGCGTGTGGAAACGTGTACGGGGGATGGCCGGCCATAGTGGGATATACGCTGAGGTATAGATAGAGATGAGCGCGGCAAGGCGCGCCCGAGGGGGTGTAGTAGCATAGCTTTCTTTCGGATATCGTTGCGCTGTTTATTTTACATGTTCGGAGTAACTGCTGGAGTTCTGAGGGTGTGAAGATGAGCGATCATCTACAGCCGTCAATTGCCCGGTAAAATGAAAGAAACATGAGCATAAATATATATATGTACTCAACAAATCATCACCACATAGTCATTGGAGGTTTGCAACGGAGCAGTGGGATGGAAGGATGGCGTCAGACTTGGCGGCTGTCGTCGTGCACCGACCAGATTGTCTCCACCCCGGTACAGTATTCAACCCAAAATACACTCGCCTTACCACCATTGTCCTCACTCATGGCGACGGGGACATGATATCCTGACAGCTCAATCAACCAATGGCCACACGCTTCCCATGTCTGGTCCGCCGCACATATGCCGCTGCCGGGCGGACGCCAATTGCTACGCGCAACATCTCCATCACTCCCACAACAGCTTCGTCTGAGCCCGCGCCCGACCATCTCCACCAACAACTGCACGGCGAGCAAACTCCGGATGCGCGCTTCGAAGTAGTGGGATCTCCATTCTCCCTCCTCTCCGTCTCTCTCGCCGCCTCTCAGAAGCTGCACACAAGACGCGGCACTCTCGTCGGCCTCAGCGGCAAGCCCGACAACGTCCTTTCCACCCTATCCTTCCTCGAGCCCTTCCGCCGTGCCCCCGTCGGCATTCCCTTTCTTTACCAGCAAGTTTCGTCAACGAGCCCGGTTACCGCCCTCATTTCCACCAAATCGCCCGTCACATCCATCGTCACCGTGCATCTTGATGGCAGGCAGGACTGGATTGTTGCCCAGCGCCAGGCCCTTCTTGCTTGGACTGGACAGACCCTCTCGTTGAAACCGCAGTATAATGTCAAGCTTGGGCTGGCCAATTGGGGCAATACCTATGTGACCGGTCGAGGTTTGCTTGCCCTTGCCGGCAATGGTCAAATTTACCAGGTCCATCTGAAGCCCGGTGAGAGCTACGTCGCCCACCCCAGCAACGTTGTCGCATACACCACCTCCTCCTCTCCACCACAGCCTTTCCGTTTCAGGTCCTCCATCCTGAGTTTCCAGGTGCCCGACCTCGGCTTTGGTTCGCTGCTACAGAATGTCAAATTCTTTAGAGTCATGTCTGAAACAGCGACGTGGAGGACATTGGCGTCTATATCCCATACCCTCAGCTTGTGGCTGCGGCGATCATTATGGGGTGATCGGGTACGTGCTCCCTCCTGCTACTCTATCCTGCCCAGTCTTACTCTGCCATGCTGACTGTTCTACAGCTTTTCCTCCGTTTCGAAGGCCCCTCCACTATGTTGATCCAGTCTCGAGCGTCACGTCTCAGCGATACACTGACACTACGCGATGTCAACGAGATTGCAGACACTCCACCGGGCGCTGTAGAAGACGCTGTCACACGGAAGATTAAAGAAGATATCAAGGGTTTATCGCAGTCTGCACCAGCAACACCGATTGCCTCTACTGGTTCGGAAGGCGCAAAGGTTCAATACGCAACCGTGAACCAAGGCAAAGCCCAATTCGAGAAGTCCCCGTAAAGGCTATCATGATTGGTCGACTTGCCTTTGTCCCTTTCATGATCCATCACTAGAAGGGAGTCAGACTGGGGTGAACGCTCCAACGGCTGGACGCCGATTATATTTTGTAGTTGTAGCATATCTGTACGTTACTCATCACTGTACGAATACCCAATGATACAAGGTGAACTCGTTACAAGCTCGCATTGAGCCTACATTCGAGTATTAAATGTCCTGTTCCATGTACTTTGCAAGAACCGATGTTGGGTATGATTTGCACACGGATTGAACCCCCCGAGGCCACACCGTGACCCTGACACCTCTTTTTTTTCTTTTTCTGTTTCCCATGCAAGTCTTCGAGCCGTACCTGATTAAAAACATGTCCGGAACAGAATACACACACTTTTGGTGGTGACACGTGCTTTTTATGTCCGTAATGAACATTCCTTTCGACTTCGTCATGGCCACACTTGCCAATCTCAAACTCAGTCAGCGGATCCAAGGTGATACGGTCTTCGAAACGTGCCACATGAAAGGCATAGGTGCCAGGGACTAATCATTGCATGATCGCCTTGCAGTCCCATACCAAGACTCTTTCGTCCCAGCCCGTACTCGCACACCATCCCTCTGCACCGAACAGACACCAGTCAACGCCAGTGACAAATTCGGTATGTCGGCCCATGCTTCCCATTTGCCTACCCCCACCAAGCACCATGGGATCTTCAAGCGTGTTGTCTTGCTTCATCGTGCCGGCGCCCATAGCGCTCCCGTCTGTCCACACCCGACACGTCATGTCATAGCTGGCGCTCAATAGAATATCTGATAGGTGAGGTGACCATGTGATGCGCCGCACTGCATAGTCGTGCCCGGGAAGTACAGCAATGGGGCCGGCGTTTGGCGCGCGGATATCAAACGTGCGAATCAAGCGGTCGACGCCTGCAGTTGCTACGATCGTGTCTCTGTACTTGTTCCAATCATGACTTAGTGCTTCGGATGGCTGGATACCAACCGGGGCCGGCACTCCCATCCGCGGCTTGGGTGGTGTGTGAATGGGAATACTGAAAGTGAGGTGGTTCGAGGCGGATGCGGGCGTCCGGAGGTCAAATATGCGTAGATGCGAGTCGGAACTGACACAGCTCACTGTGCTGGGATTGTGTGGGCTGAAGGCCGCCGAATAGGTGCATGAATGAGTCGGCAGTGTGGTCAAGCTGGCGCTCGCGTTTGGATTCCATATTTTGACGGTACCATCCCAACTACTGGACAAGAAAGTGTCTTTGGCCACAAGATTCCACTGCACCGAGAAGACCTCGCGCGCATGCTCTTGCCATGACTGGACAGGGAAGTCGGCAAGCGTGATATCGAACAGCTTGACCGAGCCATCGCCGCCAGCAGTCAAGAGCTGGTTCTCGTGTACCTCGGACCAGGACGTGTCAAAGAGAGAGTCCTGAGTGTCGAACCATTTCTCGGCGACGATGCCGTTGGGGGTCAGACCGAGCACATAAATCCTGCCATTGCCCACCAGTCCGAAGTTGGCCGACGCCGCAACGGCGATGCGCGAGTCGAAGAACGGCGAGTACTTGACACTGTAGCCGTTGTAGCCCTGTGTACGGTATTCTAGCATTGTGGACACCCGTATCTTCCGCGCTTCATGGTTGACTGTTGTGAGTGAGGTATCGGCCGGAGCGAAGTGGGCTGCAAGCCAGGCCACTTACTCTACCGCTGGGTTAGCCTAGGCAAATAGTCCTGAGTTACCCGTGCTGTTGAGTCTTCGGAAGCACATGCTTGTGGGGTTGTTGGTGGGGGTTAATTGCCAAGACGACCAGCACGTGTCGACGTGCAGGCGCGTTTATCCAAAGAGTGCTTAATTCCACACCACAACTACATCTGCACTCATAACCAGCCATGGATGCTTTCGTGTCGCGGAAGCGCCGGCGGATAGAAGCCTGTGGCACGCCTTGTCGCACTGAGGACGATATAGACCAGAACGGCGACACAGACTTCAAGCTTGCCGTTTTAGCGTCACTCCACCCCAATGTCGATAATTCCACTCTTCTAGAAGCGCTTCTTGCTTCCGACGGTATGGCTGAACGTGCTTCGGAGATGCTTACATCTGAAAGCGTCCCGACCCCTCGAAAGCGGCCTTTGTCCACCGCAAAATACCAAGCGTCCTTATCAAAATATCGACTGTCTCCAGCACACCGGAGTGGAGGCCCAGCAATAAAACCGCTCGTGCAAAAAGGAAAGACTCTTTTTCTGTACTCGCCGGAGGATATCGAAGCGCACACACCTTGTTCTATCATTCACAATTTTTTGCCTTCAGAGCAAGCCAACAGTCTACTAAAGGAACTGGTAGAAGAGGCGCCTTCTTATTCGAGCTTGGAGTTCAAGCTTTTCGATAGAGTAGTCACCAGTCCTCACACATTCTGTTTCTATGTCAACAGTTTGGCTGAGGCTGAGGAACAGAAGACTGAATATATCTATGATGGAAGAAAAGTGGATGATGTTCGCCAAAGCCCCCCAGAAATGCTCAAGGCATGCCCGCAAGTCGAGGAAGCTGTGAATGGTGAAATCCAGCGCCGGATCAGAGACTTCTATCCTGGACGCGAAAAGCTCAGATACCAAGACCCGACACCGTGGAAGGCAAACACGGCTTTTGTCAACTGCTATGATGGACCCAAGGAGTGCGTTGGGTACCATGCGGACCAGTTAACATACCTTGGGCCTCGCGCAGTCATCGGAAGTTTAAGCCTAGGAGTTGCCCGAGAATTCAGAGTGCGCAAGGTAGTCGCCGAGGACGAAGAGCATCGCAAAGAAGACGGTTCGCTGGCAGATGCCCAAGGCCAGATATCCATTCATCTTCCTCACAACTCCCTTCTCATCATGCACGCGGAAATGCAGGAAGAGTGGAAACACTCGATTGCTCCGGCGCAGACTGTTGAGCCTCACCCAATAGCGGGAAACAGACGTCTCAACATCACCTACCGGTACTATAAAGCCTCACTTCACCCTAAATTCACTCCAAAGTGTAAATGCGGTGTACCGACGGTGCTCCGATGCGTCACAAGACAGAAAGAAACGCGTGGTCGTTATATGTGGATGTGCCATACCAACTACGTGCCTGGTCAAGACGGATGTTCATTCTTCCAGTGGGCAGAGTTTGACGACGATGGCGAGCCGCCGTGGGTACACGCCGAACGATGAATTTACAATCAACTGCGCCCCTATGAGGTCCCTTGCCTTTAGAGCGATTCGTTATATTGATTTCAGGAACACGGCACTATAAATAGAATACGCGCGTACATTCCAACGTGTTGGCGAACGATTCAACACGTTTTGCAGTACGTGACATGAAGCCGACCTATAAAGCGTGCATTTCAACGACTACGGTGCGGCAGAGGTGTACATTGAGTAACGGTTGTCACCGATGCCACGCGGTAGAGTCAGTGTAGACGAAGGATGTGGACTGTCCCGAGGCCTTGGCTTGCGTCACTGGCAACGGAGGTTGTCCACTCCAGCCAATGCACATCCCTGCCACCACCTTTCAGGCAAATCGTGATTGAATGATCACTGCCGATAATGGCAACTCTCATGACGTTGAACAAGACAGGGACAGGGGCACGGCAGGCTCGAAGAGAACCGGACGTTTCGCTGCTGCTGCTGCTGATGTTGTTGTTGTTGCTTGCGAGCGTGTTCCTGTTGACCTTCTACGTTACATCTGCCTCCAGCGTTATTGTTGTCGCACCCTCGTCGTGCTGTGTACATAACTTGGTGTTTTTGCTTTGCTGCATCCTGCTTGCTCTCGGTCCTTGTCGATTTTCTAGCTGCAGGAATCCGAATTGCTCCTTATATTATGTCTGTTATCGCGACTTGATTACCTCCAGTTTTGAAATCCAGTTTCATCCCAGACGTCATCTTCCAGGTACCCGTTATCAAAAACTCTCCAGGTCGCAGACCCACACACACGCACAATTCGACATATCCATGGAGCGAGTGCGACCCCAACCTGCAAACCATGCCGCTGGCCGTCGTAAATCCGTATTCGCCGAAGTTGGGCTGATTGACGAGGGAAAGGCGCGTGAGGAACGCAGGACTGCGCCGGTATTAGTAGGCCCTGAGCCACATGACCGTCCCAAGGCACGAAGACCGGCCAGAAAAGTGCGGTTTCGAAGTCAAGCCGAGATTCTGCAATTGCAGAGCGAAGGGGAATACGACAGCGAAGATGATTGGGAGTCTGCCTCCGACTCCGACAATGACGACAGCCCAATGCCTACATTGCGCATGCATCAGGAATCAAGTTATACCAAGTTGTATCGATTAGGATTCCTCGCTGTTGTCTTCGCAATGCTGCTGCCTGTATTACAGTTCGATAAAACAGTGCCTGCTGGAGTCAGAGGAGGTGTTATTCCACGAAATGCCATGGAGACCAATCAACTTCAACGTCGGGAGGATTCTCCAGTCGAAGTGTGTAAAAGATGGAGTGGCCAATGTATGTTCATCCTATCTTCTCCCCCGGTGTGAACCGAAGACTGACCCACACAGCTGCTGTCATCAATGGCACTGCGTACATGTACGGCTTCCGTACTTTGACTGATGCGCAACAGACCGACAATAGTTGGAGTAAGTGACTAATGCATGAAAGCTACAAAACTCGGGTGCTAACCATCACGCTTCTTTAGCCAACGATTTTCTTTCGCTGGATCTCACCAAGTCCTGGCAAATTGCCAACCCTTCTCTCACTGGCTTGCCTAAACCTTCTGGACCGCCAGCTGTCTCGTTAGGGTATCTGTGGAACTCCCATTCGTCACTATTTCTCTACGGTGGTCAGTTTTCCGATAACCCGAAGAAAAGTCCCACTTCGAATTCAATCTGGGAATACAAGGCAGGCGACAAGGAATGGATCGAGCATAAAGACCCCAAAAGTTCCTCTGGCGACAATGCCAAGGAAGCTGGGCAATCTGTCCAGCGCGCTGCTGAAGGCGCTGGGGTCAGTGTCGCCAACTTAGGTCGAGCTTGGTACTTCGGTGGACATTTGGACGATTTCACGACCGAAGGCTGGTATGTGTAACATCTGGGAATAATTTACAGGCTGTTAGCTTACAACGAGTAGGAGCAACCAAATCCCCAGAGTCTACCTCAAATCGCTACTTGAGTTCACCTTTCCAGGGTATTCCAACGAGGCTGTGGACGATCTGAAAGGAGACAAGAAGGCCAGCGATGACGGCGTGTTCCGCAACGTTACCGAAGGTGGACTGCAAGGCACTGGCTCCTTTCCCGCACGCGCCGATGGCACTCTGGTCTATGTTCCTGGATTTGGCGAACAAGGAACGTTACTGGGTCTCACTGGTGGCGACAACGACACATTCGCCCAAATGAACGTCATCGACGTTTATGATGTCGCAAAATCGGAATGGTACAAACAGAGCACTTCTGGCCCAATGCCCAAGTATCGGGTGAATCCATGCGCCGTAGTCGCAGCTGCAGCAGAGTATGTTCCACCTGACAGTATCCCTAATCAAACTATATGTTAGCATGAACTGACACAATATTTAGTGGCTCCTCTTATAATGTCTACATGTTTGGAGGCCAAAATCTCCAACCCGCCAAGGAACAAATCCAGTATGACGACATGTGGATTCTTTCCGTTCCTTCTTTCACGTGGATAGAAGTGGATCAGAAGGACCAAAGCGTCCCGTACGCGCGTGCCGGCCACTCCTGTCACATATGGGACGGCCAAATGGTTGTGCTGGGTGGCTACGTAGGCCAGGAGCTTCAGTGCGATACCCCTGGAATTTACGTCTTCAATACGTCGAGTCTCCAATGGGGTGACCAATTCACGGCTCTAACGGGCGATAGAGCATTGAAGTCGTGGAATGGTCGGGACGATGACGACGGGAATCCGCTCGCACAACAAGCAAACCAGCGAGGCTTTGATGCCAAAGCCGGACTGCCAGGGAGTTATGGCTATACTGTACCTGAAGTCGTGCAATCCGCTATCGGCGGAAATGCAACCGGTGGCGCAACAGTGACGGCACCAATCCGAGCCCCAACAGAAGGACCCTTTAAATCGGGAACTCCGCAAACGTACACAGTGACAGGACCTAATGGTGCCGTCATCACTGAGACAGTTGGCAGCGGCAACAGCAACAATGGAGGAGGCGGAGGTCGAAATGTTGGAGCTATCGTGGCCGGTGTCGTTGCGGGAGTGTTTTTCATCATTGCGGCGTACTTTGCTTTCTGCACGTGGATCTACCGTCGGCAAGTCAAAATATGGAAAGAGCATGCAGCCATGGTAACGGCGCGCTCCGAGCAAGAGAAGAACGCTGCCCTCGTAGCTCCAGTCGGAACGCTTGCCAGCTCGCACAAGGGTTCCTCTGAACGCGCAAGACAGGAGAGGTTGGGCACACGATCAAGCAACGGCACTGGAAGCGCCGCCATACGTACAAGCGATGAGCGTGCTGGCCCATCCACATACACAGGAGCCGCCGGTGTGGCCGCCGGTGGTACAGATGCGATAGGCCGGAGAAGTAGCGAGGACAGTTCCACAGACGACCTACTTGCGGGCCTGGAGCCCAGCTTCTGGGGTCCCAGGGGAGTGTTGCTCAATCCCCGGAGAAGTTTGAGAGTCATCAACAGAGACTAACAAAATCTGCGAGGTGGTGATGATGCACCCTCTCTCCTGTGGTTTGAACGTCTCGTTTCCTATATTTTCTTATTTACATACCCTTTTTTATGTTCGCTATATTCCCTTTGATCTTTGTTAATCTTGGATCGTATTATGGTATCCCACAAAAGAAACGATTGGCTACGATAATAATGTAAGCGTGGTGGACAGTTGCCATTGTTGCTCAGCGATTGTCCGAATCTGTATATATACACTTTTAGTACATGGCTTTCTGGCAAGCACCAAAGCAATAAGAACGGTGCTCACGTATAAGGATTAGTTGTCTTCATTCACCTGTGTGGAAAAATTGAGCCTCTGCAATCGGGACATTGAAAGCGCATGCAGGAATATGATGTGCACGGCCGTTCACCACAGTTGCTGTAGGTCAGATATCATCATTCAATCCCGATATACCTGGTATTTCCCGAAAAAGCCCAAAAGCCCAATACCCTCAGATGGCATCCACTTCGCCATACGAACTGAGAGACACGGATAGCCCATCACCCCAAGAGAAATGTTTCCCTACCCACATCAAGGATGTCTCCAAACCAAACGCCGGAAACAGAAGAAAGCCGACTAGATCCGTAGATCATACCAGCTCACGAAAAAAAAGACCATATAGAGGCCCCATTGCATCACTCTCCCCAACAAACCTCCCAGCCACGCAAGAGATCGCAGGGGCAGAACAACCTTGGACAGAAGCCCGAAACCCAGATTCGCTCCCTCGACTCAAGCACCACCACCACCACCACACTTGAACGACAGCACCTTTCCAGCCCACTCCCCCATATCCCTCCACTCGAACACGCCGGCACCCGAATCCACACGCTTCGAAGGCGAATGGTTACCCGCCGCACAGCCAGTGTCGCGGTAGTAAGTGCAAACAGCGCCCTGATCCTGGGTGAGCGATTTGATGGCGCCAGAAGCGAAGTTGTTGCTGCATTTGTTGAGGACGTCGACGGCGGTGCAGGAGCCGAGGAAGTCGGGCTCACTGCAGGTCGTGATTGTTCCGCTGCTGGTGGTGTCTGTGATGGAGCCGATGCCTTCGGGTAGTTTGGATATGATGGATGTGGTCATGTCTGCTTGGGTCGTGGGGAGAGCCATGAGGAGAGTAACCATGATGGCTGTGATGAGGGAGATGATGCTCATTGTCAGTCGGATGGTATGTTAGTTGGTTGTGTGAGTAGGTTCTTAAGTGTCGATGGACCGATGGGGGTTGGCGAGTTGATATAAAGAGACAAAGAGAGGGCGGGCCAAGATTGTGCGGATAGGGGTTGACGTTGGGTATAGAAAGATCTGCAGGATGTAGGTGCTGCCGAGTGTGGTTCTCGTAGTGGAGTGTCAGAGGAAGTAGGTGAATCAGTCAATGTATCGAAGTGGAAGTCGTACGGAATAAGATTAAGGTACCACACGAGTCCTTATAGTTGCAAACCACAGCCTTCACCTCACGGTGATCCTTATCCCTATTACTTCTGTAGGCACCGCTCAATGTTGACCAGAATTTTACTTTATTTACAAGTACTATGACACACAGGAAAGTGATTATCACTATTCCAAAGTTATGAATACGTTGTCCCTTTATGTATCTCACATTTTAAACATCTTGACTTGACCGGCCGAGAGAGGCAAGCGTACGCGGGCAAATGAACAGTATTACAGCATGTCACCGCCTGTTACTTTTCCGTCTTTATGATACAATATATCGCAACATAATTATCTTACATGCAATCAGGGCTCCAGATCGCGACTGAAATGTAACTGCCGAAATCCGAAGCCGTCCATAGTCACTGTGTGACCCAAAGCTTCGAGTTTTGGCCACACGGAAGGATAGTTCTTCTTTATCCATTCCTCAAGCCTGGCCTGCCTATCAATATGTGTTGTCGCGTTAAACAGGTGGCCCAATCTGGCGTTCATCAGTATTAGTTTGTGGGGGAAATGCAGCAAGAGACATACATATATAGATCCGGAGTATAACCGTACTCTTCCTCCCCGGTCTCCAAAAGTGCGAGCGCTTCATCATAGAGCTGATTCCTGGCAATAGCTGATAGATATGCAGTGAAAATCTTCTTATCGATCTCGACATCCATCTCTTTCAGCCTACGCCAAATAGATTTTGCATGGCGATCACCGAAAGGCATTCCTTCACAAGATCTAAAAGCAATGGCAATGCTGTTGTATGTTGGGCCTTCTTTTGACGACCCTATTTTGGCCCAAATCTCAAGTGCATGAGTGTTGTTTCCCGTACACGCATAAGCCAACATCAGCGCATTCCTCAATTTCGTATCCATCTCAACGTTGAGATCGAGCTTGAGCTGGTTGTGGGCCAGCTCCAGGCTTTCGGCATCCGCATTTCGGGCAAACCCGGTGAAGGCGGCAACGTAGACTTCCTTAGTAGTCGTGATATGTGGTTCTGTACTGTTCCGCATATGGAAAAAGACGTGGCAAGCCATGTCGGAGCGATTTCGTGCAAAAAACTCCTTCATGATAGGAATGCGGTCGTCTCGTGGTGTTTCGGGGAAACAATTGCGCATGATCTGGTACGTATCCCAAGCATCGGAAGTGCTAGTCTGACCATCCATGATGAATGCCGCAAAGCTCGTACGTATAGTAATTCTTTGACTGAGTGAAAAGTTGAATGAATGTATTTGTAGGAGATCTGCGGCATCAAGCATTTCCCCACGGCGGAGATGTAAGACACACAGATCAGCCACAGTTTCTGGCGCAAGCAATACCTTGCGTTCGTGCAATTCGTCTACAATGGCCATAATCTCATCAAACACATGTTGTTGCGACCAACACAAGGCCTGTACGAGTGAATTGACCGCTTTGACGGTCTGGCCATTCTCGTAGGTGCTTCCCTGAAGGCCCGAGTATGCTGCTCGAGCTCCATCGAGGTCTTTTATGGAGAGCCTATAGTGGATCTGCATCGTGTACGTAGTTTCATCTGGGAATATGCCTCGCTTTTCCCCCAGCGCAACATAACGCTCGGCAGAATACGAATCTTGTTTGGAGATTGCAAGCTCAACTAGAGCATTGATGGTTTCGATGTCTGGGTGTGTTACTGCAAGAGCCGGGTCTTTCTGTCGTTCCTCGTTGTTACGGCGTATCATGACGTTCATCATCCGATCGATCTCATCGGGTCCCTTTCCTAGCGCGGCAGACCACAAGAATATAGCGTCCCATGTTTCTTTACGTGGTGTTTCCTTGAGTAGGGAAGTCACTATTTGCTGGCCGAATGCCTGGTCACCGTGCAGTGCGCAGGCTTTCAGTATGTCCGCGGAGGTGGTGTCCAGTGGTTCCATATGCTCAACGTCCGTATCGCGTGCGGGTGGTTGGAGATACCACTTCTTAGCCTCTTGTATATTTTTCTTTGATATGAAGTATGCGACGACAGTTCTCTGGATGGTTTGGAGGTAGGGGATAGAATATTCCTGCATCATGGCGAGGGTATTGAGCAGCTCCGCCTCATTATCCTCGGAAGCTAGACCATCAATAACATATCCCCAGCTTGAGTACACGGCCTCCGAAGCACGGATTTCTGGCTGGGAGGACGGATTCTGTACGCTGTGATAGGTCGAAAGGACATTTTCTCTAGCCATGAGAGCGGCACCGTACATGGTGAGAAGCCGTATCAATTTAGGCGCGAATACAACTTCATACTCGCTCGGTAGCGCAGGTGTGTCTTCGGCAGAGTCCCCGGCTTTGGGGTGAGTGAGATTTTTCAGTTGGTCAGCGAGCAGCTTCCCCAGAGAAAGATGAGGAGTCCCTCCGGTATGTGGTCGTCGGGTTATCAGCTGCTCCAACATTTGGTTAAGCTGCTCTTTTGAACACCAGGGTTGATTGTCGGTTCTGGGGTTCTCGAGCAGAAAGCGGAATGCGTTAAGGGCGTAGGCAACGTGGAAATTTTCCAGAGGGTACTTCTTTGGTGCGAAAAAAGAGAGGAGGGCAGAAGCCACATTGGCAGGCTTCGGCAAGCGTAAGTTGTCACGCTGCGAATGAGACAACTCCCCGAGGACATCCAGGCCAGGAGGCACCTGCGCAGTCTTGACCTTGCGGTGCGGCTTGAAGAGATTCAGGAAGGTGCGGTGCTGGGTCGCCAGCAGCGGACGAACGGCATTGCGATGTAGACATCCTCTATACAGGAGCGGCTTATTGGCAAGCAAGCGACGGAAGACGAGGCGATTCAATTGGGACGAGGGCATGGTGGCGGCGAACGGAGCTGATGCGGGTGATTTGTCGGTCGGAAGGGAGACGCAGATATCAATTGGGCGCGGTAGCGAGGTATTAGCGACGAACGGAGGATTCCATAGGTGATGTAAGGGGATATAAAATGTAGGAAGAATATAGAGAAGGGCAAGGTGCCATGTTCTGAGCTGCCTTGAGAAAACCAATGCTTCGCGCGTTGGTGACGTGTGGAGGAGGAGAGAGCTTGAGAGCTAGTTTAAAAAGTTATCTTGGCACCGTCCATCTTCCGTCCCGTACTGCATCGCATTGGGGCACCACTCCCAATCACCCTCCGCCCCGTCTCTTCAGAGTGTGTTCGATCCATCGGTCCTCCAGTTCCACCACCGCCATGTCCCTGACGCGGACATTTGCGCAGTCACTTGCACCCGGTCATGCGTGCGCCGCTCGCCATTTTTCGACAGCGCCGAAGTTACAGGCGGGAAGCGCTGATGGCATCCTCAAGACTCTCGCTGGAGCCAGCAACAACAATCAACCCAGGACATTTCGACAGAGCAATACTGGCCAAGTGAAGAGATTGGAACGCTCGGCGAATGCAAGTCTTCAATCTGAAGAGGAGCTCGCTGCAGCCGCCCAACGTACCGCATACCAAAAACACATGTACCGCAAATGGCAACCCGGCGACGTGTACGCTCCTCACGACCTTTCTGGCGCTGAGCAAAACAAGTGGAGGCTTGGTCGCAGTGCTCCTAAGACTGATGCTTTTGAGGTCTTGGGTATCAACCCCATCAATGAATACAAGGTGCGCCGGTGTGGATAGACATTGGGAAATATTGTGGATGCTGACTTGCCCTAGAACTTCACCATACTATCCGAATACATGACCGAGACGGGCCGTGTCAAGCACTCTAAGCTTACGGGGTTGCGCCCCAAGAGCCAGCGCAAGATTGCAAAAGCGATACGGAGGGCAGTCGGCCTTGGTCTTATGCCCAGTGTCCATAGACACCCGTTGGTGCTGAAGAACACCACTCCTGCCCGATTCTTCTAGACGCAGAGATGTTATTACCATGTAAAATATATAAGATGGTAGCCATGGAGAAAGGGAAGACGGCGTATTGTGTAACTCTAGCATAAGGACAATTTTCATGTCCGTGTATCATATCCAACGACCTTTATATTCTTCACCTCCTCGCTTTACTTAAGTCCGATCAGTCTGCAACAGTGCCTCCCTCTCGCTCGCATCTATGCCTTCCTCCGGCACCCGCACGAACCCTACAAACGACCACAGGTAGAATGCCCCCGTGAATGCCATGAACCATTCCAGGATCCCGGAAGTTCTCCAAAAGGACAATTGCATGAGGGTATAAAACGCCACACCCAGAACAAAATCAACCAACACAATCACTACACTCGTGATACAGCTATCGTGCACCGCTCGTTAGTAAATGAATGCTAGATAGGGGATCAGATAGCCATACCATGCCCGCAAGCTTCTGAATGGAGATGGTTTCCACGTTTGATCCCAGTATACCACAGTTGTCAACACCATGGTTGATACCAACCCGAGAAAAGTCACGAGCAGCAACACAGCATGCTCTTCATGGAATCTGAATGTATCCAAGATTGTCAAAAGGATCAGTCCGAGGCCAGCGACAACGCCACTTGCCATGGCCACGACCGATACCCACTGCTTCCATATAGCGTCTTTCATCCCGTACATGCGGTGGTCGTAACGGGCCAACTGCACGACAACCATCGTGGCCATGAAGCAAGACGCAGTCAGAATGCCTCCAATCAAGAATAGCGGCTTGAGTTCAAAAGCGCCCAAGTCGGAGATGAATCTGCCATGTGTATTAATTGTTAGCTTCTCCAACGTCCGCATGTACACGTTATTTTGTCACATTCCCTTGAATCGTGGTTCGTTGATTCTGACGTAGCTCCGTTTTGTTGATATAAAATTAAACCCACGTACGCAATGTATGGGTTTCGTTGCCCTGGATAAGTAGGACATCCTTTTGCAACCCAAGTCAACAGCATCGCCGCCAGAGTGACGAACCAACTCGCCCCCGCGATTGCTGGAAACAAGTATAGTCTCCGTAACGGAAGTACATGGACTGGGATCCTAGGCGCCATGTTCCTATCGTTTTTTCTCTCTGTTTCTTCTCTGTCTTTCTGGTATCTTTCTCACACGCTTGCGAACGTACTGCCGGTCAAATCAACGAAGAATGCTTAGGTGTGGTCTTGGAGGTACACACGTAGAGAGAGAGGATAGGAACTTTTGGTGTTTTGCACATTTTTGGATGACATCACTCGTTGCCGAGGCATTCGCTCAGGATCGTATGAGCCGAGATTCTTATTTCTGCACGGAAACTGTAATGGTTCCCATCATTTCCTCTTTTGAAATCGATAGTCGGCTAACAATCCTCTCGTGGAAACGAAGGCCGAATCGCGCAACCGACGCAAACATTGGAAAACTGAGAATGTGTGTAGACGCATTTCGACAGGTAGTATCGCAGAAATCATGAGCACGTCTGTCGTGCGATAAGTACAGAGGAAGCATTTCAGTGTATATTGTCTGGCGTGGTTGAAATTTCACAGGTCTCATTAGAGCAAGAAGTAAGGTTTCCTTCACCGCCACGGGTAAATCGCCTCGCAGTCAGTACGTCGATAACCGATTAACTTCCACTCTCCGGTATGATTTAAACCATCGTGGTCAATGAGATTTGGCATAACACAGAGCACGCGAAGAACATCAATTGGTCAAATGACTCGAGCCTGAGCACATCAACATTTGAATTGATGCTACGTAATGCCACATCACTCAATTCCCATTCTCCTCAATCCACTTCGCGATATCCTCCTGTTGCCTCGACACAATGTTCATTGCCTCATCAGTATCATACAAGTCATACCAACCAGGACTCTCATGGGGCGGGTCTCCAGCCCATACCTGAAAGGCGCGTTAGCCAACAGCAAGCTGGATATTTTTTTTCTTTTGCTGTAAAGAAGAGTAGGAAAAAAAAGAAACTCACCATGCCGAACTCGTTCATGATCTGAGTTTCCGGTCTCCAGATGCCACCATAGGCCCATGGACTAGTGCCAACGTATGCACCGCCATTCTTGAACTCGTCCATGACGGCCCCCATTATGGTTTCAAAGTACTCGTCTTTGTGGGTTGTGGTTGCACTGCTGAGGTATGGGTACTCTTTGTCCTTGTTAAGCCAGTTATCGCGAGCCATGCCAAATTCCTATTGGAAAAGTTAGCAATCAAGAATCCAATACGCTGGGGAGCGACATGCGCGGTGTTCTTTGGGATATGCATCCCTCTATTACGGTACCGGAGACTCACCTCGAGGAAGATGGGCTTCCCAACGTCCGAAGCCCATTTATTCGTGTCCTTCACGAACTGTTTGGCGAACGTCTGCGCATTGAGCAGACTCAAACCCGTTGGATCGTACATGTCGTAGTAGCCCCAATTCTGGACCCAGCAGTGTGATGTCGCGTAATCGACATTGGCAACACTGTGTACGGCTTTGAACACGATTTCGCCTTGCTTGCTCTCCAAACCGACGCTGATGAGCTGCTTAGGCGCGCGTTCGCGGATAAACGTAGAGATACGCTCGATCCATGGGTAGAACGTCTTCTCGTTGGTGATGAGATCGATACTTTGAGGCTCGTTGGCTAGTTGCCAGGTCATTATCGTCGGGTCCTCGGTGTAAAGGCGGCCATTGACAGTGTTACGCCGTGTTAGCACCGTAGTAATATGATCCTTGTACCATGTTTCGGCCTGCTCGTTTGTGTACATCTGGTTTGCAAAAGCTTCGAACTCGCCGTACGTAGCGGCACCGTCGAATATGTCGCTATAGTCACCCCAACCAGTGCGAGGTGTTGAGCGTTGAGGCGCTTTGGTCATGTTCCACGAGGATGGATAAGGGATACTCTTGTTGGTCGCCCAGCTCACGTATTGTCCAAACCCTCCTGACCACTGCCATTCATTGTTGAGTGTCATGGTGGCTCGCATGCCGCGTTTTGACATCTCATCCAGACAGATGTCCAGCCCTTGGAATACCTCTTCGTTGTATTCTCCGGGTGCTTTCATGAGTGGTGGGTCCATGCGGAATGGTTGCGGTGTAGGCGCACCCTCGGAAGAGGCCATCACACGCAGATGATTGACTCCTTTGGCAGCCATCTGGTCGAGCTCAGTGACAAGGCGTGAGTAGTTGCCTCCTTGCGATTCGGGAGCTGCCAAGTTGAGACATGCCCAGTAATTGAGACCCTACGAACCTTTCTCAGCGATATGTTTGGTACGTCTAAGTGGTGGTATAGGGATTTTTGTAGAGCTTTGTTCACAGAAGAACCATTACATGCCACACTCAATGTCATGGAGTTTCTCATGGTGAATTGGATTACGTACCGTGAGATAATGCAATCCATTTGCATCCTTAAGCCGTAGACCATCCACATATACGAAGTCGTTCTCATCGATCGCCCGCTTGGTATATGGGCGTGACTTCTCTCTGACTACAAGTGCATGAGACGTCAACGCCAAAGACAGGAAGATTGAAGCTGGGACCCTCATCATGAACGGGATAAACCAATCCAATTCCAAACAATGGTGAGAGGAGAAGAGGTGTTCGAAGAGAACAATCCTGTTCCTGAAAACACTACATCATAAATGATTGAATCTGGTCACGCACGCGCTAACGTCGACTGGTCAACTGGGGTGCGCGCATGCATCTGGAGGTTATTGCTAACCAGGGCGTGGCGGTATATAGCCTATTTGAGCGCGGAGCACCGTCGCCGAGGTACCATTCGAATACATCGGCTCCTGAGCTGCATGGACTAGCTGCTAAACAACCATGTGCAATGGGATCACAGTGTTGCATGACATCAATCTGGGTATTATTTGGGGTTGGGTATAGATGTACATAGGTAAGCTTGTACAATCAACCGTCTTCTAAATTTCCGTCCACCGTCTCTCTCTTAGCACATGTTGCCAGAGCTAACAGCGCCTCCCGCAGCACCTCCCGCGCGCTTGATGCGTTCGAAAATCTGCACAAATGCAGATGGGTCCTGCGCACCACCCACTTCCTCCGAATCATTCACTGTGAAGTTGGGGACGCCATGGATGTTCTTTGCATACGCGTCCTGGACTTCCTTGTCGACTGCAGGCCCGCCTTTACCATTTGAAAGCCAGTCTTGAACCTCGGCCTTGTCGAGCCCGGCCTTGACGGCGGCTTCGACGAGGACGTCTTGCGAGGTGATGTCCTTTTCGTTCTCGAAGTAGGCAGCGAAGAGCTCTTCGATGACGCGGGTTTGCATCTGCGGACCCTTTTGTTTACCGAGCTGGACGAGTCCTTGCTTGGGTGTTAGGACGTTCGTACGTACATGTGAACCATTACTTTGGATATAACTCACTATGCGAATCACGCGTGTTACCAGTCCGGCCTCCGTATTTGAAGTCGATTCCTTCTGCTTTTCCAATGCCCGTCATGTATTGATACATGGCCTGCGTGCGAGCCTCACCGAACTTGGCTTTGTAGAACTCCCTCTTGTCGATGTTCTTGGGCGCGTCAGGCATCAGATAGAAGGGGTACCAGGTAGTTGAGAAGGTGTCATTCGAATCTGGGTATTTTTGCTTGTATGCGGCGATGCCCTTCTCCAGCCGCTTCTTGCCTATGTAGCACCATGGGCAGACCGTGTCCGAGACGATTTTGATGTCGAAGTTGGTCATCCTGGCTACGCTTGCTTTGAACGCCACGATGAAGAGGAGATGAGGACTCTGTTTTCGAAGGAGAAAAGGTACTATGATAGACTTTCTGGATCTTTGGGGTGGTTTTGTATTTGGGTTTATAGCTTGGCTGATTAAAAAGGTTGTTCTGATGGCAATATGGGATTTGCACCCAATGCGATGACAAATAGAGCGTCGGGAACGTTCCGAGCTCGGGCGTAAACGGCGAATTATTTGTCGAGAACAAGTGCGACGTGCTCACTACGCCACAGCTTACAACGCCTCAAATTAGTTATAGTAGGTCTTCATATCTTCCACTCTAATCCTACTCACAGTGAAATATGAGCACTTATTTAATGAACATTCCTTGTGGATTTAGACATTGGCTATTTCGTCTGGATTTTCGGGCAATTTACAGTATTTATTGTACTGTTGCGCCAGATCTTAACGATCGCCATCGCCACAAACTTCTCACAGATGCTAGTTATAGCCCTTGATTACATTAAGACACCCAGAAGGCCTCCGATTGCACCGATATACCCTATAACAATTGCTAATCGAGCTACTTGGCCACTACTCAGTATATGATTAATACTTCTGCTTGCAGCACTTCCACTGCCAGTGGTTGTAGCGGCAGGACCAGCGGAAGGACCAGCGGAAGAATCAGTCTGGGCGCTGCTTGTTTCCACCGCATCGGATCTTGAGCTCTGGAATGTGCTGCTCGCTATGGTACGTGTGCCTGACGTCGTTTCCGTTCCGCTCATGGTTATAGTGGTTGTCTTTTCCTCTACAACAGTTGAAGTGACAGAGGCAACCTTCTGCTGAGCCGAGACTATTGTGGAATAGATATTGGTGGTGGTTGGATAGAAGATTGTCGACGTAGCCTGGATTGTGTCTGTACATTGTGGATCTTGCGAGGTAGAGCAGTAGCCGTCATCGGAGATCGTAGTAGTCCTCGTTGAAGTTCCAACGACTACTCGTTTCTGGAGTGGTCGCTCTTCATATGATAGTTCCGGTTGGCGAAGAGCAAGTTTCCTAGAAGGGTTGCTCTCTGTGACAGTCTTGGTTGTCGCCTGTTGTTCATTAGTACGTTTTTGTTGCGTGGCTTGAAGAGTCTACCTACTTCCGTGACCAACACCGTAGAGATCGTATTGTCGGTTTGAACGTTTGTGGTGTATTGCACACTGGTGAGGACACTGGAGTATGTGCTGACAGTAGCTACGTAATCTGTACTTGTGTACAGCGGCGTAAACACTCTAATACTCTTGGTGACGATCTCTATGCAATTCCCATATGTTCCTGCGCAAGTCTCGACAGAAAAATCGCAATAGGTATCGGTCGAGGGGCATTTACATGGGCCTGTACTCTGCTCGGAGCATGGTGTCTTGGGACAGTCTGAGAATGCTTCTAAGCAGATAAAAGCTACAGCCTGGTGCAGAGCAGAAAGCAAAATGATGATGCTCAACGTATTATAGAACATGATGAGTGAGTGTATCGACTGAGATTCGGTTGCAGCTCAAACTTAGATTTTTCTGAAATGTTTAATATGTCCCTTTGCCACACAGAAAGCTGTTATAAAGTGATACAACAAGAGAAAATGGGTATCCAGCTCGAACTTAAGTCATGAAGGAAGGAGCTAGAGACTTGGCCTCGTATTCATCATGAGTTGCTTTTGGAGTTGACGATAAGCCTTCCACTGTTGACTAACCGTGTGTATACGGCCAGCCTTGTCGATACGGACGCCACAGCGCAGCTTTGAGGTTTGATTTTGTCGATAGATATTGGGCGGGTGAGCTGTCGCAGAAGTCAGTAAATGACGTGCTAGCACGCGCTCAACATTGTTTACCCTGACTACTTAGTCAAGTACTTGATTTGACTTAACAGTGTTTATTGCCATCATTATCATGCAAATAAATCCAGGGCACACACCCACATAGGTAAAGAAGTAGGTACATGCGTAGGCATACGAGCCGCATTGGCTTAACCAGTCAAAAAGATTCTGTTTCCGGCTGTATACCTCTATTACTCATATGCCGCCGACGATGATTCATTAGAAAGGATTGGCGTGATGCAGCGCCACCAACCGAGCGGCCACGGGATGAAGTGCAGACGCAGATACATTCCTTTCATCACGTTGAACTTTTTTGCCTTGTTGGTGGTTTTTGCTCTCTTTGCTAGGTTTGAGGACGCCGTGCGATGTCATATCAGCCTAACCGAATTTGCGCCTCAGGCGGCTGAGGAGGACAGGTTCCAGGAGCTCTGTCAGGAGTTCAAGCTCTATACAGAAGACGATGGTTTTATGAAATATTGTCAGCAATTGGGACTTCATTGAGACGAACAGGAGCAAGACGCTTCGCAGCTCATGCTTCATGAGGTCATATCTGTGGCCGGACTCGAGGACGTGAAGGCACACTTTCGTAAGGTAAAAAAGAACATGGTGAATTTTCCAAAGACTCAGCCGAAGATGAATGCCAAAATTGGCGTACTAATCCCGATGAATGACCCACAAGCTCCGAGTCCATTACGCATCATGTGACAGAATGTTCCGCATTGTAAGCCAAAGTATAGCTGACGGCAGTAGGCGAGATGAAACTTAGCTAGACTGAACATAACTATATTCCCATGCAGATCTCAAATCTTGTCACCCTACATAATATATACTTTATTTGCTAGTCTTACCACATGGTAGAGGTTAGACGGTGGCACTTTGGGAGCGGCAAGCTCGTGAAATGATGATTTGGTATAGTGATGCAAGAATGGACTTGATTTCATTTCTTCGTGTCTTCTTATATACATGGATATCCGCCAGCAAGCAAGCAAGCACCTTCTCCAGTGGGCTCATCAGCAAGTGTTCAACATGCTGGTCAGAGCAGTTTTCTCCGCACTTGTTATGGTCAAAGCCCACACGCTCTTCACCTTGACCCACATCTTAGCGTACGTGCAGTAGTAGCTGGCTGTTTCCATTGCGTTAGTTCACTGTCTTGGAATGGCCATGTATTTTGCGACTTACTCAGCGGGGGCTTCCAATCTTCGGGTCCTTTGTCTCCCTTGGCTTGGTTCACATTGTCAGTGACTGCCAGCAATTGAGGATTCGTCAAATCATTCGCAAATTGCTGGCGACGGGCGGTAGTCCACGAAGCTGCACCGGACTGTTGTTTCTGTTTAACTATGTTGCTGCCGTGTTCGACTTGACTGTCTTACCTTCCAGGCGTTGCTGAGCGGCACCATGTGGTCAATGTCTACGTCCGAGGCAGCAGACCAGGTAGCTCCATCGTAGGGACTAAACCATGAACCCGAAGTCGAAGCACAGGCATCATTGGTCACAACGTTGGTTCCATCGCGCTTGAGGACTGTCTCGCGGGTGTTGCAAGAGCCACTCTGGGTGATCCAGTGAGGGAACAAATCGCGCGAGTAGCCATCCTGAGGGCCTTGTGCGGCCACGGTCAGACCTGCCAGCAAAGATTTGGCCGAAGACGTCGAGGGGACGTTTGGAGGCGCACGGCGGGCAAGGTCGGGGGTCGGGAGGGCAGCGGCCAGAGCCGTGAAGGCGGAAAGAAGGACAACGGAAGACTTCATGGCTGGCTGGCTGGAGAGCGAGTTACGGATGGATGGGTGCAGCTTAAATACCTTTGATAGACGTCTTGAAACAGGCCCAAGTAGTCCATGGTTATCCAATGATGATGCCGACGAGCAACCACGCGCGTACTGAGTTCGGGTACCCTTGCGTTTGTGCTACTTTGCAGTATGGACCTTGGATACCATCAGCTCCGAGAATCCTGAAGCAGCAGGTCCCTATCCAGGCCAAGGACCTTGCCCTGACGATCATCTAATACACTCTCGGCACATTTAGGCGGATGGCAGCGTTCTGCAATCTTATCGTTTCAAGGCAGCTATCTCCCCATCTCTGAGATTACCGCTGGCACACAGCTAGACAGCCCGCGAACCCGTGTCCCGCCATCACGGCGGCCATTCAGTCGGCGCACAAGGGTGAACAGCTTCCGCAAAGGTATTTCAAGTCCGGCCCTAGGCATTAGCACACGCACAGCGCATGGCAGCACGAGGTGGTGATGGTGGTCAGAGAGAACAACTCATGCTTGCGATGCGACAGGCAATTGGTCGAGGGGTGGGGTATTGGATCAATGTGGCAGGCGGCTTAGCATCTTACAGAAAGTGGGCGCGCCAAGGTCCAATGCAAGCATACGCGCAGATCGTCTTCTCCCGTCTATCCCAATCATCCCATCCCTCCCTTCTCCCCATGCTCGCCCTGCTGCAATTTCGACCTTCCCCTTCTCCAGCGACTTGAAACTTGTTGACCTTCTTTCCAATGGGAACGCCGTGCTGTGCAAACAAATAATCTGCTGCCATGCGCCGCGTGCGCGAACCAGTGGCAGTCGTTGTCTCGGCCCGAACCTTGCGTTGCCAACCCTCTAGTGCTCTGATCCATCATTTGGGCCATCGATATTACCGCTTTGGGCAGCTTGTCCAGTGACTGATTACCATTTCCTATCCGTTTGCCTACTGTACATACATAGTCATACAGACTGCAACGCTTGCTTTATCTCTTTTCTGTAAAGTCAAACTCTTCGAACGCCTCTTTGAATGTCGCCACGTCCTGCTTCTCTTCGGCGACCGATTGCCCGCACTCCTTCCAGTCAAGGCGTTCATCCAACCGCAGAAGCTTCGCCAGCACCTCGCGTCCAAATTGCACATGGAAATGCACACTTTCGTCGAAACGTAGAATCAGGCTCGTTTGCGCATTCGCCTCGTCCTGGGGATCCCAGATCAACACACGAAAGAAGTTGCCAGTCTCCTCGATACCATCCTTCACATCCTCCTTGGTGAATGCTGGCCATTCGTAGTTGCTCGCCAGCGTCTCGAATGCCGCCTCCAAAACGCCTTCGCGAATTAGATCCACATGTACAGGCATGTATTGCCAATGGCCATGCGGTAGGCTGGGTCTGCTGATTTCCCACGTCACCGAGCCATACTCCTCACCTGCACGGGCTTTGAGCATCTTGTTCATCGATGCCCTGTACTGTTGCATTTCGGTATATGTACTGTGACGCTCCTCCTCCTCCATTGATGCAAATGTCGGCGTGTGCGCATAGGGTATGATGAGGAGATGACATGGGAATCCCAGCTTTGGAAACGTTGCCGGGGTAGACAAAGGTCCTTTCGCAGTTGTCATATATGAGTTATCCCCAAGCGACGTCACCAAGTGGGTCGCAACGTTTTCATTCGAAAGGCAAAAGAAGCATTGGGAATCGTCAATAGGGCCCCTACGCTCAAACTTTCGCCGCTTGTGAGACCTCTGGCCTGGTCTACTTCCGTTGTCGTAGACTAGATCAGTGTCACGATGTGGAGGAGCAGGCCGCTTCCGGTTTTCGGAGTGTACTAATGGGCAAATAGTTGACCCTGATGGTGCGGATACAGGATCGCTGGCCTTCGGATCAAGCGAAAATGCATATATCCACTTCTGCTTCGAGGCATTGCCATATGCTGCCAGGCTGATGAAGCGCGTGATGGGGTAAAGGTTGTCTGTTTCCTCGCTTGGTAAGTGGAAAAAGGGCTCGCGTTCGTAGAAGTTGGGACCAGACGTAGAGAAGTGATAACGGGGTTTGAGTACAACATCCAGATCGGCAATGCATTGTTGGCCCAGAGGCTGATTCTCGGGATTGAAGGTGACTTTGGAATGCGAACGAATGCCCATGGGCCAGTCTCCAGTGACGAGGATGTCGGCAGAAGAGGCACCCCTGAGGAGTTTGCAGTCGGATTCGGAATAGTAAGGGAGGTATGCACCTTTGGACTGGCCAGAATTGATATTTGGATCGAGCTGGCCGCCAAGGGATACGATGCGGACTCCCTCAGACGTCTTCATGGTGGCTCGCTTGCCGAGAAAATGAAGATTGTCACACAACTCATCATCTGAGATTCTGAGCCGCTCTTTCACAGCTTCCGGCAAAGGATTGGTGCCAAGAGCAAAGTAAGTGGTGAAAGGGACTGCGATTTTGCCGCCGATAAGATCACTCACGTTTGCTTCATCCTTCTCGGTTGCGTCCACTGGGTTCGCAAACAGATTACCGGCAACGATGGCAAAGGCGAATTTGTTTTTGGCGTGAACAGAGGCAAGCTTTGTGAAGAGGGCAGGAAATTGGCCATTGATGTCGCCCACGACGGCGCTGTGACACGGTAAGCTCCTGTACGCGTCTTGTTGATCGCGATGGAGCGCATGGGGTTCTCGGGCATGGGGGGTTTGGCAATATGCACGGGGGGCTTATACTTACATTTTGAGCGCCATGATGGTGTGGGTGCGCCCGGTATTGCTGTGATGTTGGCGATAGTCGGGAGGTAGCCAAGTGTTGGTAGGTACTAGTCCAGGCAATTTATCGAGTACCTACGGTAGGGTAGGTGCCGTGGTTGGTTGGTTGGCAAGCGCGCATGCGACTTTTTCTTATCGATAGGGAAAACAAGAGAGGCCCGAGCTCGAAGATTTTATCGCGGCCGGCCATCCAAGCTGCGACCTCAACCAGACTTCTTTGCTGGAGAAGGGGGTTGAAGAAAAAGAACCCAAAAATAATCACTCCACAATGCCAGCCATGTCAAGAGGTCCTGTCACGGCCTCGAAACTCCGCGCACCCAAGCATGTCAAAGGCGGCACTGCTTCGAGCCGCAACCACCGCTTCGAGGGTTTTTCGTCTCGCATTGCGAAGCTCAAGATTGAACCTGTGCGCCGCGGTCGCAGTACCATACTCGACGATGCCGAACTCGAAAACACGTTCTCATACTTCCACGACGCCCTTGTTGAATGGCGCGACCTCAACATTTCTGACACGTTTTCCCGCTTTGCGCGCCAGGCCGCCCCACTGAGCGACAGCCTCCCCCAGGTCATCCACCATAGCGAACGAATCCTAGATCTGCTCATGGAATATATTGAAAAGGGGGACAAACACAGTGAGGAGCCGCTTCTCAATCTGCTAGCTCACCTGGCCCACGATCTGGGCGCACGCTTCGAAACATACTTTGAACGCGCTGTACGCACTGTTTCACACCTGGCCGCTACACATGCAGACGTCGAGGTGATAGAATGGAGCTTCACCTGCCTGGCATGGCTCTTCAAGTACCTCTCGCGCCTGCTGGTTCCCGATCTGCGCCCGCTATTCGACCTCATGGCTCCCCTGCTAGGCAAACAGCACCAAAAATCTTTCGTCTCCCGCTTTGCTTCTGACTCGCTCAGTTTCCTGGTCCGCAAGGCCGGTGCCGTTCACCACAGAGACAGCGCCCCGTTGAGACTTCTCATTAAACATATTACAGAACAGCTGAAAGATCTTCAAGGTTCTGGCAAAGACCATGAGTTCCAGCAGGGTCTCATGTCTTTGTTTGCCGAGTCCATCAAGGGGGTTCAGCGTGGCCTGCATTCCAGTGCTGTGGCCGTCACAAAAGAGCTTCTTGTTGCAACTTATGATGCTGAGTATAAACAGTTCCGGACCCCTCCTTTACAACCAATACTCGAAGGCGTTATTACAGCCACCATCCACCACACTGATGCGGAACACTTCAAGTCGGTGTTAGAGACTATCTTCACGCATGTTCAGACAACCGATTTCGACTCTTCGAGCCTTGCCATATCTTCGAGACTGATATTTATTGTTTGTGGCGTCAGGAAAGGTTCACGGGTGGCAGAATGGAGTCCCATCTTAGACGCGCTGGATCTGCTCATAGACGGAACCGATTCCTTCCCTTCCCTTGACCTTGAAGCTGCGCAGTCATACCAGTCAGCTGTTTCCGTTGTGTACCAGTATTGTCCACTTGATGCAGCAATTCCTCACGTCCAATCGCTGGAGAAACTTTCTCGCGGTCCCTGGGAAAAGCACTTTCTTACGTTCTGCGTGAATTTTGCAGATTTGGGCGCCGAGCGATTCAACACCCTTCTCATGTCTTATTTCAAAAGGTTATCACTATAGCCCAGTCTCTCTTTCGATTTCCCACTAACTTGAGTTACAGATACGTATCCCAAAAAGCGCACGAACATATCCAGAGTCTGTATCTCGTTCTACCTACCATGTATCGGAAGGGTTACATTCCAGCTTCTGCCATTCAATGCTCAACTGCATGGCAGGAGGCTATGATTAATCAATTCGAACTTTTTGCCAACGCGCAGCAATCGAGTGACGACCTGGCACAGATCGCATACGAATGCAATGCGGTATTAGATGCCATGGACAGCTTGGTCCTCGCCCAGGATAGAAAACACACGATGGCAAAACACTTACACCGAGCTCTTCAACACTCTCTCGAGATCACAGAATTCACCCGAGCACGACCCGTCGACATTGTAGCAGCTGGAAAAGGACTTTGTTTCTTAGCTGAGAACGGTGATATGTCCGATTCTCTTCTGGATCTCTGGCCGTTATTGTGTTCAGCTTCTGCTGTGTATGGCCACATCCTGCCGTTTTGGAAAGGCCTTCTTGCCCTGGCGAAGATGAGAAAAGGCATCATGGATCGACAGGGGCCACATATGGAAGTATTCAAACAAGCATTGATGCACTGCCTAGGGTCCCCATCCCAGGATTTACGCCTGATCGCTCTGGAACTACTCAAATTCTTGACGCCGCAGGATACACAATTAGAAACTGCCATCGCCACGGCAACGATCATTGAGCAAACACCGGCAAATATGGACACCCAGCGGTCCATTTCTATGCGGATTGGACAGCTTTCTTCGCTCTACCCCGAAATTGCTTCGAATGAATGGATCGGAGAAGCCATACCGACATTTTGCTTTGGTCTTCTTCATAAAAAACTAGCATCCGTTTGGAATGATACATGTGCGGCTTTGAAGGCTATGTGTACAACTAACGAAGGGGAATCGCACATAACGCAAATTGCATTTCAATGGATCGCCCAACCAGAAACCGAAAATCTCACGGCAAACAATCCCACAAGCCCGTCTATTCCGCGGTATGGGACGGAGTTTCAGTGCACCAATCTCATGCGGCTTGAGTATGTTATCACGGAAAACCAGAATATGTTTGAGTTTCCCAGCGATCAAATTCTCACCAGACATAATGTTACGCATGGCATGATGCCTTTCATTACGCCTTTCAGTCGAACACAGGCTCTACGTGTCTTGAATGAGATACCTTCGGTGGCGGAGAAGCGATCGCGGACTTTAGTTCCTGTGCTACTCGATTGGACGTCAGAACAACGAGTTGAAGGTGACTCTGAAGATGAGCCGCAGCCGGAAGAGACGAAGCCACACCGTTGGTCACGGAAAGACCAAAAAGCTATGCTCTCAGTATTCTCCAAGTTCGTCAATCCAAAGGTGCTCTTTAAATCTGCCGAGGTCTACGAAGCACTGCTGGCTCTATTAGCCAACGGTGATGTCGAGATACAAAAAGCATCTTTAGAAGCTCTTGTCACATGGAAAGATCCCGCCGTTACCACATATAAAGAAAACCTCTTTTTCCTTCTCGACGATGCCAGGTTCCGAGACGAGGTTTCCCATTTTCTCGATGTCGGCACAGACAACAGCTTAGTGAAAGCTGAGCACCGCGACCGTTTGCTTCCAGTGTTACTTCGTTTGCTGTACGGCAGAGTCATTAGTGGGAAGCGAGGTTTAGAAACCAAGAGAAAGGCAGTCTTCCAAACTCTTATCCGCTTTGAAGGAGACGCTATAAATCAATTTTTGGCTATCGCTCTTGGTAACTTGAATGGAATCTCCATCATCCGAGGGAATGGATTGGACGAAGGCGTACTGCAAGAAGAGCGGATAAACCCCCGAAGACAGCTTGGTATGCTGACTATGCTTGAGGATATGCTCAGTACTCTCCAAACGACCTTCCGCCCGTTTATTGATCAGATAATCGATCCAATCCTATACTGTCTCATCCGAGCTTCTCGAGAGCTGTCGAAAGAAAGCGTGGCTTCAAATTCAGAAACCAACGCATCCTCTTTAACCAGATTGATTCGTCAACGTTCTCTTGCCTCCGTCAATATTCTATTCGGATCCTGCCCTACGTTTTCCTGGGGCGCATATCCCGCGGCAATCGTGACGGAAATGATCAATCCCAGAATTCAACAGCTTCCGATCGAATCGGCACAGTCAGTATCAGGAATATTGAGGTTGTTCGCGGCCTGGTCCAAATCTTTGCACACAGCAACTTTCCTTGTTGACCATAATCCGGAAATTATGAGTAAGATCATCGAGATCCTAGGCATAGTATCTGCGAAAGACGAGGTGAAACGATTTGTGCTTGATGAAATCATACGGAGTTTGATTTCTTTAGCAACAAACACCGACGTGCCTGCTAGCGACAAGATTTTGAGAAACAAAGTTCACTCGAACATACTGCAACCCTTCTCAAACTCGATGCTCGTTGAAATTGGCGGTCTCCTCCGGAAAAGTCCAAGCAAAGAACTTTTGGAATCTGGCGTACATGCTATTGCGGAGCTTGCGCCTCATGTGATAGGCTCGGCAGAATCGCGCAGTATGCTTGAGATCTCTTCGTTTTTGCTGAGACAGCCAACGAACCGAGTTAGTCCTCAAACTAAACTTGGACTTCTGAGAATCTTACATGAGTTCGTACCTCGCTGCAATGACAACGATCTAGTACAGCTATTTGGTACTGTGTACGACGCGATTTGTCCGTTATTCTCATATTTCAAGGACCGAGCTTCCAGAGCAATTCTCTGCGATATCATACAAGACCTTGCAACAACCAACCAAGATCTTTCATCTCTGGCGGACCTGTGCCATAGCTTGAACGCTTTCTCGGCATCCCGATTGGATGAACCCGACTTCGACCGTCGCGCAGCAGCATTTGATGTCGTAACAGGAGATGCGGCCCAGTCATACTCACTCGCACAGTGGAAGCCCCTCGTGTTCAACATGCTTTACTTCATCAGGGACAATCAGGAATTGGGTATCCGTGTTAACGCCTCTCTATCGTTGAGACGATTTATCCAAGTCTCAATCAAGGACGAGGAGTATCGAAACTTTATATCTGCTGCCATTCTTCCTGGCATACAAAACGGGATGCGTGAATCGTCAGAGCTCGTGCGTGTGGAGTTCTTGGCTGTCCTTGCTCAGCTCATTGACACCTATCATGATTGGAAACCAGTTGCCGACCTCCGACTACTCGTCTCAGGTGATGAAGAGTCCTCATTCTTCTCCAACATCCTTCACATTCAAGGTCATCGACGACTGCGAGCTCTTCGTAGACTTGTAAGCCAAGCTACGCTACTTCAAAGTGGAAATATCTATCACATCCTGCTTCCATTGCTCGAGCATTTTGTATTCAACAAAGCCGAAGGCGAGGGTGCGAACAGCCTTTCCGGAGAAACCATCAAGACTATCTCGGCCTTGTCTCAAGGACTGGAATGGCCCCAATTTCGATCTTTGTTCAAGCGATACTCCGGTTATCTAACAAGCAAGGAAGATATGCAAAAGACCATGATAAAATTACTTGCTGGACTGATGGATGGATTGAGTCGATCGGGGCTTCGGAAAGGCTATGCAATAAATGGAAGAAGACAAGATGATGAGCCCACGACTCATGAATCTCATGATGTGGACGCAATGGAGGTGGATGTTGCGCTGCCTACACCAGCACTTGTCAAAACGCTGCCGCAGCAGGAGAAACTTGCAACCGATCTTATTGGCAATATTCTTCCTGACATGACAGAGTTCTTGCGCAAGAAAGATGACTCGACTGTCAGTCTACGCGTTCCCATCGCTGTTGCGGTCACGAAGGTTCTTTTGGTCTTACCGCCTGCGGAAATGGAGCTCCGACTACCTGCTCTACTCCTGGATATCGGACATATCCTTAAAAGTCGTGCACAGGATGCTAGAGACTTGGCAAGAAATACGTTGTCCGATATCGCTTGCATCACCGGACCAGCGTATTTGGGCTTTATTATCAAGGCACTGAGAATTGCATTACAGAGAGGCTCTCACTTGCATGTTCTGTCTTTCACTTTGCACAGCATTCTCGTCAAATTGTCAGAACAACTGCAACCGGGTGACTTAGATTATTGCCTCCCTGATATTGTTGACGTAATACTGGACGACACTTTCGGACTCACCGGGCAAGAGAAGGATGCTGAGGACTACACCAGTAAGATGAAGGAAGTGAAGAGCAGCAAGAGCTTTGACTCTATGGATCTGATCGCACGATCCGCCACTCCGACCCACTTAGTGGACCTGATAGCGCCCATTCGGTCTTTACTACTCGAAAAACTCAACTCCAGAGCAGTACAGAAAATCGATGAGCTTCTGCGGCGTATAGGACTCGGTATATTCCAAAATCCGTCCGTACAGAGTCGCGATATGCTGGTGTTTTGTTACGAGCTGATTCAAGACGTGTATAAAGCCACACAAAACCCCAAAGAGACACATCGTGTTGATCCCAAGAACAAGAGATACCTAATCAACATGAAAGGTGCCTCCAAGTCAGGTGCCAGACTCTCCACTTCATCCTATACTTTCAAGATCATACGGTTCAGTCTCGACTTACTGCGCACGGTTTTACGTAAGAACGAAGGGCTTCAGACTCCAAAACATCTGACCGGATTTCTGCCCATTGTTGGCGATGCATTGGTCGCTGGGCAGGAGGAGGTTCAGGTGTCCGCTATTCGACTGATCAGTACCATTATCAAAGTACCGATGCCGGAATTAGATGAAAGTTGTCCAGTTTACGTCGACGAAGCTGTCCGATCTATCAAAGGAGCACCATCTTCCAATACTGAGATTGCTCAGGCTTCTTTGAAACTGATCACCTCTGTTCTTCGGGAGCGGCCGAACGTAGAGATCAAGGAACGTCACTTGGCCGAGCTGCTCAAGCGTATCCGCCCAGATTTGGATGAGCCCGACCGCCAAGGTGTTACATTCGGCTTCCTCAAGGCAGTGATGAACCGCAAAATCGTCATCGCTGAGGTATATGAAGTCATGGATACGGTTGCAGCAATGATGATCACCAACCACACTAGATCTGCGCGGGACGTTGCTCGCAGCAACTACTTCAACTTCCTGATGGAGTATCCGCAAGCCAAGAACCGATTCCGGAAACAGGTGGAATTCTTGCTCAAGAATTTACGATATGATCATGTGGAAGGTAGGCAATCAGTTATGGAGGCCTTGAACTTGTTATTAAACAAGGTTGGGGACGATGCCCTCCAAGAGGAACTTGGCATGATGTTCATCCCGCTTGTGCACTCGATGGTCAACGACGACTCAAGTGACTGCCGAACTATGGCAGGCGCCTTGCTAACAAAGGTGTTCGAGCGTGCGGACCCCAAGCGACTCAAAAGTTTCACGGTCGACCTTCGAAGCTGGTTGGAGCAGGATGACAATTTGGGCATGAAGCGCCTGGGCATTCAGTGTTGGGGTCTTTACATTGAAGCGGTCGAGGTCAAACCCAAGGACTTGGTTTTCGTGCTGGATCAACTGCAGACTACCATGAAAACTTCACTCGATCGACGCGACGAGGATGATTGGGAGCTCCTTTACTACGCACTCATAGTCTTTATGAAACTGTGCAAGTCCATGCCGGACGTTATGTTTGCGTCTGACAAGAAGGCCTTCTGGTTAGCATTGCAGTCATGTGTTTCCTACCCTCATGCTTGGATCAAACTTACAGCTGCAAAGCTGATGGGAACACTCTTCGCCGACCTTGCTTCCACGAATGGGGAGGCTGGCCTTTCTCAACTGCCACTCAAAGGATCCAGAGGCCTGCAATTGGTCGAAGACGAGATGGTTAAATTAACGCATACATTTCTGAAGAATCTCGAGACTTCAAATGTCGGCGAGGAATTGTGCACACAGAGCATCCGTAATCTTGCTTTCTTGGGCCGCTGTCTCTCCGCGAACGGGGCAATGTGGACCTGGCAAAAAACAGACGACAGTGCCGACGCAGAGGAAGAAGAAGAAGAAGTCGACTCAATGGATGAAGACGCACAGAACGAACCCAGTCAAAAATCGGAAGAAGAATGGGGTGGATTCTCCCCATCGCCCAAACCCGCAAAAGCAACCCGGCCAACGGCTATCCACCGCCTCATGACGCGCCTCTCGGGCCTGATCCGCCGCGAGACAAAAATCATGAAAATCTCGTCACTGTACCCCAAAACAGCAACCATGACGCTCATCGAGACACTCACCCACAAACTCTCCATCGAGTCCCTCGCCTCGTCGCTGCCCCACCTCCTCACCACTTTCACTACCTTGACCGACCCCGCTACCACCATCCCCCGCTCCACGGATCCCGCTTTCAACGACACGTACCGCGCCCTCATCGACAAGGCGACGGAAATCATCAATATCCTGCAGAAGCGCATGGGCACGCCAGAGTATCTGCGCGTCATGGGTGAGGTGCAAAAGGGAGTCCGGCAGCGCCGCGAGGAGCGCAGGCAGAAGCGGAAGATTGAGGCGGTGAGCGCGCCGGAGAAGTGGGGGAAGGAGAAGCAGAGGAGGAACGAGGTGAAGAAGGTTAAGCGGAAGGAGAAGAACGAGGAGTATAGGGGGAAGAGGCGAGGGTGGTGATTGCGGTTTCTTTCCTTCTTTCTTCTTTCCCCCGTTGGAATGGTGAATATGGTGGTGGCATGTGGTTATATACTCTTCGAGTGCTTTCCATGGGTGGCTAGCTATCTTTTCTCTTTTTTTTTTTTTGCATGGCGTGTCGTGTCGATATTTCCTCCCCCTTTGTTCTTTTCATTCCTTTTCTGTCGTAGCATATCATCGTTTCCTCCAGGTCATTGAGAAGTGCAATCAAAAGTCCAATTTACAATTCAGAAAGGAATTGAATGTGAAGTATAATAGACCACAGCAACAATGGCACTATTCCATCCATGATGAGTCAGATATTGATTGTTTTCGAGAGAAGTGTTGAAGTCTATATGTTTCGCCTTGCTGTCTCGTAATCATTGTTCGTGATAAAATAGTTCGTGAAACCCAAGTCCGAACCGTCCGTTGAAACTAACCTATTCACACATGCAAAAGAAAACGAAACAAGAAGAAACCTCTAAAAACCCAAACTAGGGGAGAGTACGAACGAGGGATGAAACAGGAAGAAGGTTGATTTGCGATACAGGTATAGTTGAACAGTGTCTACAAAAGCGTCAAAACAGTTCTTCGCCATCCTCATTATTGGACAGGACACCCAGCATTCGACTTGTCTTTGATCCACGACTCGACCGAAGGCGGGAAAGCAGCCTCATTCCCGCCCCGACCGCTCGCATCCATTGATCCCGCAGTACTGCTCTTGGAAGTCGTCTGCTGATTGAAGTGATGCTGCTGGCCCATACTGGCGTACATTCTTGTCAAGCCAGCTTCGCCGCCATAATACGTTTCGAGCCAGATTTCGAGAGCCCTACCCTCGAGCTTGGCACGCTTAACTAGCCACCAGGGGTCGCCGTGCTCGAGCTGTCGGAACCACCATAGAAGGAGCAGTAAGGCTCTAGGATCCTTGAGCTCCAGCAGGTTCTTAAAGTCCGGCGGGATCAGGGCCATGAAGAGCAGGAATTCGATGACGTTGTCGTGATTGGGCGTTAGACCGTGTAGACGTGAGAGCATGATGATGGGGAGACAGTAGACGTTGTTCTGGGGTGTGGATTGTGGCGTGATACCGTACAGCTCCTTGAGGTGTTGTGGGAGAAACGAGAGGTCGAACTCGGCCAGCCAGTCGCTAACGCGGACGACCGACATTTTCAGTGCGATGCCTTTAAATATGGAATCAGGCCGTGTGGGGTCGGCTACCTGCCATATTGCCTTTTTGCCTTCGCTCAGCTTGAGCCAGTCGAGGTCGGTAGGCTCCGAGGGCTTAAGCGGCCATGATTCTTCGGGCTTGGAGGCCTCGACGTAGGCGAAGCTGGCAGCACCTAGAAGCGCCCCCGTCGCCCATACGGCATCTCGATACGAGGGTGGGATTGGGTTTGAAAGAACGTGTTTGAAAAGTTTGGTTGCTGTATTCCAATGTTGAAGAGATGCGTGGTGGTATTTGGCGCCTATTTCTTCCGAAAGCGGAGTGGAGAGATGTGCGTCGTGCATCAGTGTCAGACTGAGGACCATGTGCATGAGAAAAGGGTGCTGGGAATTTCTTATCAGCATGTTCCAGATTTATGATGAATCGGGATCAATTCGGTCATATGGATACGCAGATATATTCAGATACATATCCGTGAATAGTCGATAGAGATGCTGGGCTTGTAAGGTTGGAGTGATGAGAAGTTTCACATGAACTCACCGAGAATGCGAGATGAGAAATGCAGTCCCTGTAGGTAGGCGCTGTTTGCCTGTTTCCTATAGTAGAGACGGTCCGTTCTTGAAACCTCTTCAAGATGTCGAGATGCTCTTCGGTAAATGTCCACGAGGGGACTTGATGAAAAGTAGACATGCCAGGCATGTCTGCACTAGAGTTCAAAGCCGAGGATTTGTTCTGGAGGGAGGCATTCACCATGGATGCTATGGTTTTCCGAGTCGAGGGTGGTTTCGCAGGGCCCGGTATCGGTGTGGTCGCAGCATGGGGGGAATCAGAGGTTGCAGGCGAAGGTGTAGACTGGAACAGATCGACCTGGAAGGAGCCCTGGGCAGCCAGATCTAGCGACGGTCTTGATCCGTCATAGTCGCACGATACGCCGTAAGCGGCACATCGTTTACATCGAGGTCTGGTTTCGTCACACTAAAGACGACAGATTGATTAATCGTGGTGCGAGCAAGCGGTTTGATTTCTGTTCTTGAACTTCTTTTCCCTTTCTGTTTCGGGGCATGGACCGGGTATGTGTTCCTTCCCCCACGATCGGTAAAAAGAAAAAGAGAAGGAAAAAAAAAGAAAAAAAAAGGTGCGTGTTCTCACCTTTACGCGCCTCAGTTTGCAGTTGCCGCAGCCTTTGCGTGACTTAGCGTGGGCTTTCCTCTTACGTTCAGGCCCTTCTTGAAATCTTGAGACTGGTGGTGCAGGCGGCATTTTGGTGGAATGGACATGTATCACCACCAGAAGTCTACCCTATCGGAATAGATGATGACGATGATGATGATGATGATGATGACGGCCACACATCAACCGCGTAGTATCGTTGGCCACCGAAGCATGTGCGGGTAGGTGACTAACGTAGGCTCGTATTGACGGTGCAAGAAGAGGGAGGGGGAAACGACAAAGGGAAACGACAAGCGTCCCACTTTTGGCGTCTATCGTCTATCTCCACAGGCGTTTGGAAGCTGCTGGGCCAGGGACAGGCGGAGAGGATTGAGCAGTATCAGGACGAGGTTGGTCTCCCGAACGCCCCGAACTGGAGGAACAAACAGCCAACTATAGAGATGACAGGACGCTCGGTAAGCCTTTGGCGCTAAGCCTCTGGTCGTAAGTCTACTTGAGCGTCTACGCGCCATGATTGGCCACGTTTCATCCCTTCCTACACTTACGAGCCCCAGAGACTCATCAACATGCGACGGGGGCAGATACGACGGATGCTGACACCGAGCCCGTCCGTCCAGGCAGCCTTCACGCAAGACAAGACAACATCCACACTGCAAGCCAAGTGCAAGCTTTTGTAATCCATGGTATTCTCGCTAGTCTACACCAATCCGTCTCTTATAGGCAACAAAAGGGCTCTTCTTACAAAGTAGAAAGGTAAATAACAAATCAATACGAGCCAGGAAAACATGCACACACACATGGAAAAGATGCGAGCCGTCACCTGACCCTTTTCTTGCAAATGGCATAATAGCAAATTCGAAACTTCCTTGTTTCCCCAAAAGACCCTAGTGACGACAGAGAGAGAAAATGTACATCTTGTCGTATCCACGCGCCACGAACGCCAGACCCGTATACAGGCATCCGCCTGAATCGAGCTTTACCTCTCTTTCCGTTCCGTCTCCATCTATTTGGAAACGTAGATCTTACCAGTCTCGGAGAGGGCGCTGCCGGAACCAAGCATGTTGAACTTCTGGTCGAAGTTGCCAACAGCGAAGTACGAGTAACCGGCGCACTCGTTGAGGCTGTCGAGGTAAGGCAGAGCCTTGTTGAGGAACTCGGTGGATGCGGCCATGCTCTGTTCGGCGAGACCGAACTCGGTGACCCAAACACGGCCGTAAGTCTTGACAGCCTCGTCGATGTGGTCCTTGAACTCCTTGAAGCCGGCAGTGCCGTAACCGTACCAGTGGATGTTGACCGAGTCGAAGAGGGCTTGGCTGCAAGTGGACTTGAAAGTCTTGAGCCAATCAAGACCGAAGCCCGTCTGAGCTTGGCTGCTGACGGAGGGACCGACGAGTTCGATGTTGGGGTTCTTCTCCTTGATGGGGTTCAACCACTTCTGCCATTGCGTGCAAGCCACGCCGGGTTCCATGTGAGACTGGTCCTCCTTGTCAGGCTCGTTGAAGCCGAAGACGACCTTGGAGCCGGCGTCGATGGCCTTTTGAGCGTTGACAAACCAGTCCTTGGTGTTGGTTTCGGCGCTGGTGCGGAGGGTAGGGATGAACTGGGTAGCTCCGATATCACCACGAGAGTCGGACTCCCAGTTCCATGCGAAACCGGGCTTGAATTGGGAACCGATCGACTTGGCATCAGCAGCACCGTCCCACCTGTAGCAGATACCACGCTTGGAACCAGTGTAGCCGCCGCCGCCAGAAGAGGGCTTAGAGCTGGGGGCAGAGGAGGAGGAGCTAGGCTTCACAACACTGGGAGCCGCGGAAGAGCTGGGCTTGACGCTGGGGACAGCAGAAGAAGAGCTGGGCTTAGCGCTGGGAGCAGCGGAGGAAGCGGGAGGGGCAACCTCGGGAACCTTGGAGGAAGTGGGCTTCTCTACGACCTTGGAGGATGAAGGCTTCTCGACAACAGGGGCCTGGGTGGAGGAAGGCTTGGAGGAGGAGGACTCGACGACCTTGGTGGGGATGCCCTCAGCAGGCTTGGTGGAGGAGACGATGATGACGCTGGAGGAAGAGGTCACGGGGAGGATGGACATGACACCTTCATCGCTGGAGGGGGCAGCGCTGCTGCTGCTGGGGAGGCCACCGGCGGGAACGGTGACTGTGACCTGCTCGGTGGCAGTGACATAGACGGTTGGGGGACCGCACACATCGCCAGCTCCAGAAGCATCGGCGACAGCGGCATCGCTAGGCCTGGGGATAACGACGGTGCTCACGACGGTGGTGGTGGAGGTGGAGGTGGCATCAATGGTGGTGGTCTGGCCGCCGCCGACGCCGGATCCAGAGGGAGCTGGGGCAGTGGCATTGACACCGGGAGCCCAGTTGTACTGGTACTTGTCGTGACGAGGGTGCATGTGGTTGTGAACATGGGGAACGGCAGCCACGGAACCGGCCAAGGCGAGAAGGCTGATCTTCATGTTGGAAGGCATGTCAGTGATTTGGTTGGGTATTGGATGGTGGAGTCGCAGAATGTGCCGACCAGGGCTGTCGCTGGGTAAGATGAATGAGAGTGTGGTCTAAGGATAGACAATGAATGGAACGAGCGAATGCCCAAGTGAAGGAGCGCGAAGCACACGGTGACTGACGGACGGACAGGAAGGAGGTAGCACTTGGGAGCAGAGGTGGAAGGCAGGCGGGGAATGGGGGAGGGCTGAGTAGATATAGGGGCGGCGTGGGTCAGCAAGCAAGCAAGCAAGCGGCCAGCCAGCCAGCCAGCAGCAGGGCACGAATCCGTGCCGTTGGCGGCGGCAGAGGGACAGGACTGCGGCTGGGCTGCGCACTCGCTGGGTCGGTCAGGAACCAGGAACACTTCTCGCTCAACTTTTCTGGCTGGGGCCTTGGCCGGCCAGGGGCTCCATTCACTCACCCGCGTGCGCTAGCCCGTTAGGCGGCCATGTGCGCCAATCACGCGTGGCCGCCAGCCCGAGGCAGGCTAGCGCGGGCTGGTTCGGGATGACAGGATCAGCAGCGCAAAAGGCTTGTTTGCTGCCGTCCCCTTGTGGCGCCGAGTGCAATTTCAGGGCGCCGCCCGCGTCGGCCTCGATGGACGTTTCAACACACACCTCCATCCGTTGCCAGCGCAAGCACAGAGATGATCTCATCTCGTCTCCTCGTCATCCATCTCCTCGTCTCTGTTGCTCTGTTGTCCATTGCTGATTGACGTGGTGAAAGCCACCGACCGACTGGCCGAGTGCCGCTGCCAGGTCCCTCCCAGCCTGTCCCCACCGCACTTCGTCATGGCCACGCACAAATCACATTTCCTTGCGTGGTACTGCCTGCCTGCTCCATCGCCCAGTCTGCTCTGCTTGCGAATCTCCGCCACGAAATGAAGTGTCGTGAACGGCTTGACGTGAAATGCCTACATACTCCCGTGCACGCCAATCACGCTCCTGCACCTCGCGCATCCTGCCCACAAGTCCGTCGTGGCATTTCTGAGGTAATACCTGACAGAAACCACGCACCGACAATCTCCATGGCAACTAATTATACACCACCTCGCCAGTCCTTCTGAGGCCCCATGTCCAGAAATCCAGAATCCTCATCCCCACGAGCCAAACAACATGTGAAGGTTTGGTTCCTGGTGCCTTGCATAAGCGTGTGCCCATCAACCATCAACTTTGTGCTGCCCTCTTCGCCGTCGACGCACGCCAGCCCTGCACCTAACCGCACCCGCGCGGGCTCGCCTGCGCTGGCAATTTCCTCACATCAGCTAATCATCATCCACATCATCATCATCTCAATCCTTCGACATCTCCCTCGATCCGTTCCCCCTTTCTAAGCTAGTCATTCGACAATCTCCAACCACCGCCACAGGCAGAATGTTCAATTTGACGACGCTACCAAAACAGCAGTAGTTGATGCACCCAAGACGAACGACAAGACACCCAACTCTGTCCGCCCACACCCGCACACGCACTTCTACAAGCCTGGAGCGCCGTGGGTCCCGCGCTCACATGCCGCCCCCAAAGAATGCCGATCGCCTCCCTCTCCTTCCTGTTTCCGTGCCTGCTCCATCTTCGCCATCCTCAACGTTACATTTTGCTGTCCAACTGTGTCTTGCGTGAGAGCAATCTAGACTCTTCCATCTGTTGATCTTTTCCTCATCACCACCAGCAGTGTCCAGTTTTCTTGCTTCCAACCTGGAAAGACATCTCGATTGATATAGCGACAATGCTCTCCCCGATCTGCTGCGGCTACTCAAATTGCTTATCGGACCCTTTCCCTTCTCATGTCCTTTTTGTATCTTCTGGTTGCAATGGCAACTGACTGCGACTATACATACTTATGACACGCGCAGCACCTACTGCTTGACCTACAATTTCAACTTCCCTCTTCCCCCCTCGCCAAACTCAACACTCGGCATTTCCGCACCCTCCATCATCCCCACTTCCTCCACTTCAACCCATCGGGGCACCTTGCCAGTCCACACGCACCCGTGCACCCGCAACCCAATACCCACTTATAACCACAACCTTCAAAATGCTCCCTCCCCCATATCCAACCTTCCACCTATATCAGACCTCGCAATCGCAAACCACCCTCGTCCTCCATGAAACATGACAGAACATGACAGACAAGATCAAAAGAAGGAACCCATGGGACCTGCGTCGTTCGCGCCTTGCGCTGGCGTTTCACAATATTCCCAACTCCACTAGATCCCTCCCCTCCCCATAATTTGATCCCCGATTCGGGAAAAGCTGCAAGGAAAGAAAGAAAATAAGAAGAAGAAAAAATCATTGAATTCCCACGAGGCAGAGAGACACGTGAGAGAGAGAGCCCACTATGCAGTGCTGGCCTGGCTCCACTTTGCAATTCAACAAAGAGCGAAATATTTCCTCCCCCACTTTTAGAGTTTGATTAACCCTGGTCCAAGAGACTGATCTAGACGGTTTCTACACTACCACTTTAGTAAGAGACACGCACGCCGGCTGGGGGTGAGTGAGTCGTGCCTGCCATCCTACCTGCTTGCCCTATTCTTCACTCTAAAATAGTCTACATACATGGCCGCCAGCGCACTGCCACGCTACATTGGTTTTCTTGCAGTGCAGAAACAGCACGCTAGAAACTCCCCGCCAATGCGCATTCTACATGTATACTGCAGAATCTATAGAAAATTCAACCAAACAACATGCAGACCGCGTTTCACCTCTCTGTTGATGTCGATATTTTTATCACCCACGTTATCCCCCTCTCCTCCGCTTGCCGTGAATGGATGATTGGATGCATGCATGCATATATACGTCCAACGCAATTCTTCAACCAATCTCTCAATCTAATCTAATCTTGTCATAACTTTCTCACTCATCCATTGAATACCGAGACATCGCAGTCAGATGCTCTATGGTATCATTTTGCTACTCTACGCCCACTTGTTTCCTCGTCCCTCCCCCGGTAATCCCCTACCTGTGAATGTCCTCCCTCAACAAGATTGGCCAAAACCATCCCGCAAATGCTACCCAAAATGTACCCCTCTGTCAAGAACTCCGTCCCTAAGGCACCCTTGCCACGTCTTCCATACTAGAGGGAGAATTGAACAAAAACCCAATGGTGCCCAAACTCCGCAAAGCCATGCTTGAAAAACTCGACTTCAACGCTGCCGTGAGAGAACATGAACAACGGGTCGTAGAAACCCCATTGCCCCGGAAAGAAAGGACCTAGTTTTACCGAAACCTTCTATGCCAAGTACCGATATGAATCAACCGTTGCGCCATCTATCCGTTCGAGGTACTCGCGCTCAATCAACGACTCGATGCGCTTCTTGATCATGTTGACTTCGGGCTTGAACTGCGCCGTGAGCTGGCTGATGGTCTCGCTGATGAGTTTCTGATGCGCCAGTTCTTTTCGTTGCCTAGTTTCAATCATGTCAGTACCGTTGCGAAAAGACCATGGGCCCAAAAACTCACTTCATAATCCGCACTACCGCCGCCTCGATGCAGAAGTTGCGCGAGTCGTCGTTCTTCTTCTCCGTTTCCCGCCGCTCCCGATCCGATTCCACCTTGTTGCCGCTGCTCACCACGCCCACCTTGATCTTCACAAAGTTGCCCTTGAAGCCTTCGTTGAAGTAGAACTTGTCCGTGGCCTTCACGTCTTTGCTCATCGGCTCCTTGACCAAGATACGAGTCTTGGGCGCAACCGCGAGAGATTGAAGATTCCGCACTAGGTCGTGGTGGGGAATGTTGGTGTTCGCTTGGATTTCTTCAAAGGTAAGATGTTGCTCGGCGGCCAGATCGTTGAACAACAGCAATATCACCATCCCGTAAGTCGAGACATTGAGCTCGTGCCGGCGTTCTTTGAAAGAGCCGTCTTTTTGCTGGACCTTTGGGAATACCGCTTTGATATCCGCCGTGCCCATGTTAGGGAGCCAGGTGAGTTGGCGCCCAGAGTGCTTCTCGCTGTAGTATTTTTCGAAGCTCTGCTTGATGTTCTCCACGGCAAGAGGGAAATTGCATTTCGGTCGTTTACTCTGTTCGTCTTCGTTTCCAGTGCCGATCGTTTCCATGGGCCAGGTCATGCTCGTGAGAACGTTGATGGAAAGCTCGATACGTTTTGGATCACGGTCACCAAGACCCTCTATGTGTCGTTTGAAACCTACCGTGAGTTCTTCTGAAATCGTCATGTCTTTGAACATGGCTTCGAGCTTCATCGTGAAGTTGTTTCCGAGTTCAATCTTCATCTTTGAAATCATTTGTTTTTCCACCTCGTTGGAAATGGACTTGTTCATCAAAAGTCGTCGGCAGAGATGCTTCTTATAGTAGCGCTCGAAAAGATCCTTGTCCTGGACATAGCGAAGCAGAATGATGGCTTTTTCCAAGACCATGTCGATTTCCATCTCCGACTTGCCCTTAATACCCTTCTTCATGTTCTCATCGATGAAAAGGGAAATGTACTCAGAAGACCGGGGAAAGTTTGGCGAGTTGATGAAATCTGCAAAGCTCCTGGTGATGGCCGTCTGCAAAAGATTGTCTGAGAGAAATGACTGTTTCCAAATACGATCGAACTTGTCCTTGAGCACAAGCACGTCCTCCACCCACTTGATGGCAGCAGCCGTTTGTTGAGTTTGGCCCTTTTCCTGCGGCGGCGCCCTTGTTTTCTCTCCACCTTCTGCCGTGGGTGCGGAGGTCGGAGCTGAGACTTGTGAAGCTGCAATAGCGTCGTTGTTTAGCTCCGTGCCCATTTCCACGAGACGTTTTTGTATGGCACGAGTCACCTCCGCCTTTTGGTCATCAACGCGAGCGTTCAATTCATACACCAAGTTGAGCTCGTCTAGTCGATCATTGTCAATCATGAAACGAACCCCACTATCCATACCGACTAGTTCATGGATGCGGTTCTGAATCAGCTCCGTTTCTACCACTTTTTGTATCCTAGGCATTGTAGATTCTAGGAGAGTTGACCGGCACCGGTCGGCTTCTTCGTGGATACGCCTGCGAGCGTGCCTACAATACGCGCCAGCATCTGATTCGCGGAGCAGCATCTCGGCTTCGGCTTGGTAGAAGTCTCTACTCGTCTTCAAATATTCCTGCTCAAACGACACGTTGTACAGACGCTGATCGTCCGACTCCATGTCGTCTGCATGGAGACCATCGAGCATATGCACACACGACTTGATCAGATGCTTGTCTACCACATCGCCATGGCGCTCCATTTGAATCTGCTCGAGTATAACGTGATTGAGCAGACCGAGTACGAGTCGTTGATCGGTGTGGGATACGGTCGAATTCAGGATCTCGTTGCGGAACAGTATCATAGTCGCAGCATATATTGACGGACGTCGGTGATCCTGGCAATATACGCGATCCTGTCAATGTGGTCTATTAACTATTGAGTGCATCGTATGGAAGGGCGCGATACCTACCATGTACATAAGTACATCTGCCAGCATGCTCATGCACACTTGGTGGTCGCCCCATGCCTGCTTCAGACCTTTCAGGAACTTCTCTCCCGAAACACGACGTTCATTAGTTGTGGTGCCTCCGATGTGCTGCATGTTTGCCAGCAGGTTTGGAGACAGTAATTGCTGGATAGAAATGCGGACTTCGGTGCTCAGCCAATTGCGCTCGAATTCGTGAACGTGGCGGTACAGTTCCTCGCCACGTTTCTTGAGCACTATGCGATAGGCATGTCGATAGAGCTCCTCGTAGGACAGTTGAGAGGCATTCTTGGTGTGAATCTCGCCGAACGCATCTTCAATGATTTTCCACGTGCTTTCGAAATTGAGCTCGTCGCCATGAAGTCCCTGCATCATGGCTTAGTAGCTGGAAAGACGTAGCAGGCAATGACACTGGTGGGGTTGGGGTGGAAATGGAGGTGGAGGTGGGGGAAGAGACACACTCGTCGTGGGGGGCGTATCCGCTGCCTTCCTCGTCCAGCAATCATGGCAGATATCCTATTACTTCCACGCCCGAAATATAGCGGTGAAGAAGACGGAGGGACAGACCAAGTGAGGCTGTAGCAGTGATTTTGTGAGGACGGTGGTGGCGTGGCAAAGGCGGCGGTTAAGACGATCGGAGAGGTCGGGCTGGTGGGATGGGTTATCTGACGTCGCGCGAAGGGAACGGCCGAAATGAAGGGGTCGGGTGCAGAAGGGAGCGAGGAGACGAGGCAGATTGATTTGAAGGAGTGAGTATGGAAGAGGTGAGGTGAGGAAGTCTGGTGGAGGAGCGAAAGATGGAGTAGGTAGGTAAGTAGTGGTAGGGACGTAGGTAGAGACGTAGAGTGGAAAGAGGAGCTAGCGGCGGAGGTTGCGGGGATTGTCCATCACCAGACAGACAGGTTCATACATGTAGAGAATGACCAGCATCACCCAGATACGTCGCGAGTTCAGGAACCGTTCATTGCTGCTTGCAGAAGGTGACAGAACATCGGCCCGAGCGCTTTGATCATATCGCTGTTCAATATTGTATATCGGCGAATTCTCTGCCTGTCTTCTTCGATCCAGTTCTTCAACTGCAGCTTTGGTCGGTTGTTGTTCATTGCCTCCAGCTACGTGTAATGTGACGGCTAACCATCGACCAACGTCTTTTTCTCCTCACCCCACACAGGCTTGCCATGTGAAACAATTTCTTGCCATCATCCACCGTTGACTTATTGTCCTATACTAGCCATGCGCTCCGTTGTATCTTTATCGTCGTCTGGCCTAGGCCGCCTCGCCTCATCGCCGCTTCCGCGCATTCGATGCATTCCGGTGCCAAAACGCTTCCACCACTCGCTGCGAACGTCGACTGCTCCTCGGCCCTCACTCATCCCCAGCAACATACAATGTCAACGCCAGTGGCAGCGCCAGCCGGTTCGCTACGATTCCAGCTCCTCGTCTGCTGCCAGCCCCCCAGCGACCTCTACCACAGCCCCAGACTCGCGCCTCGAGCGTGACCAAGTGCCCGCCTACGAGCTGACCTTCACCTGCAAAGTCTGCAGTACGCGATCGTCGCACCGCGTGTCTAAGCAGGGCTATCATCATGGCACCGTCCTCATATCCTGTCCGGGCTGCAAAAACCGCCATCTCATCAGCGACCACATGAAAGTATGCGCATCTCCATCCCTACCGCCTCCACAGCTAACCCATCTAGATCTTCTCCGACAAAAGCGTCACCATCGAAGACATCATGCGCGAGAAAGGCGATCTGGTGAAGCGCGGCACGCTGGCCGCTGAAGGCGACGTAGAATTTTGGGAAGATGGATCTACCACCGATCGATCTGCTCACTTTCACCCAAACGCTTCTACCAAGAGCGACCCTGATGCCCCCGAAGGCACATTGACCGAACCCCCCGCGTCCGGGCAAAAACCATAAATACATTCAAGACGATTACACAAATGACCATCTGGGTTTGCGCCCACGATTGGAGTTGAGGGAAACGGGTGAAATCGATCAAATTCCTGGTTCTTTCACACAAAACAGGACCAGGGGTCCAACCTGCAGAAAACAGGGCAACGGCCCAATTGGTCAGAAGTTGGAATACACTTTTGACGTGGGAGACAGGGTGCTGATGCTTAAGCGTGAAGCTTCGGCGTTGGCCCCTGTGCAAGATGTCATTCTCCGACGACGCGAAGGCGAGAACCTGTTGCTCTCGGGGATGACAGAATTATCCTAGTCTCACACAAGAAGGATAGAGAAAGAAGAAGCACATTCACCGCTCTTATCATTCACCATGTCCAAAAATTGCTTATCGCAAGCCTTCTCATGTTTGCTGCACGTTGTAATTGCCAGGATCGTCCATGTCGCACAGGCGATACGAGCGCCCCGCCCCCTACTTCCTACTGTACCCTATTCATATACCTTATATACAAACATAGACGCCTGCATATGCCGCTGTTTATGTGAATGTCCCTCCGCTCATTCGGTCCCTGGCGAAGCGCGTGATTTGGATGTCGGCGCCACAATGTTTCGAAACCTTGAACAATATGGGTGCGTTCGGGCATCATCGTCCTCGCGCGCGCTCTTTTGGGCGGCTGCTCCCTGTCATCTAGACACCAACACGCTGCAGGAACCCGCAGCTCATTCACCCCCGTCTGTCATCTCAACGGGCGTCTTCAGGCGCACCATGCAGGGGCGTGTGTAGTAGATGATCACTGCCGAAGCGACCGTGACAGTGCTCGGTCGGTGTTTGATATCGGTGGCGTAGTAGATAGAGGATTATTTCTTTAGCGATGTCCCCCGATTTCTTCACATTTGCCAGTGCAAATCCGTCTGCCTCCTCTCAGTCTTTATTGTTCTTCATCGTTTACTCTCCAGGTTTGATACCTGTGTCCTTCATTTGGCTTCCGCGCTTATAGTCACTCCTTTGGAATCATTCTCTTCTACTATCCATTCACCACCCTCTCATTCTTCAGTGCTCCAGTGCTCACCTCTCTATACAACATGAAGTCCCTTCTGCTTGGCGCGTTCGTTGGTTCAGCTACCAGCACTTTTGTTGTGCAATGTACCAGTCGACTTTTCGATCAACGTGCCGACCCAGTCATTAACCCTGGCACTGCCTCTACTCATGTCCATACTATCAGCGGTGGTAATGGCTTCAACTTCTCTATGACCTACGAGGATGCCCGGTCTTCTGACTGTACAACTTGCAACATCAAGCAAGATCTGTCCAACTGTATGGTGCTTCCACTATAACGCTCCTGCTATTCATCACCACACTGACATGTTATCCATTCGCAGACTGGTCACCCAAGCTATACTACAAGGCCCAGGATGGCAGCTTCCTGGACGTACCTATCATCGGCGACACAGATGGAGGTAACCTGGGCGGCATGGCCATTTACTACTGTGCGTGACGTCACTATATTAGATACCACTCAGTCTGACTATTACAGTGACTCGTAGCGGACCTGACAATGACAAACTCCGCGCCTTTCCCCCGGGTTTTCGCATGGTTGCTGGAGACTCATCGAAGCGGAGCGAAACAGACGATTTCGCCGGCCGCGCTGTCACCCACAAATGCGTTGGAGGCTCCAATGGTCCTGACCCCAAACACCTGCCCAACGAAAAGTGTGATCAGATCAGAGTTCAAGTGACAGTATATATCCCATGGCCTTCCAATAGCTCTTGTACTGACACGACCAGTTTCCTTCATGCTGGGACGGCGTCAACGAGGATTCGGATGACCACAAAAGCCATGTTTCCTATCCAAAGGACGGAAACTACGATGGCGGTAGATGTCCCTCTTCGCACCCAGTCCACCTAGCTACTCTTTTCTACGAGGTATACTACGACACCGCCAGCTTCAAAGACAAATGGTACGGAGACAAGCAGCCGTTTGTCTTCGCGAACGGAGACGGCACTGGTTTTGGTTACCACGGCGATTTTGTACGTTACCAGCCCAACCTCTCGGTACATTGGAAACTAATATAGTTTATTTATCAGGTCAACGGTTGGAAAGAAGATGAGCTGCAGACAGCCCTCGATAAATGCGTAGATGGAGTCGATAAGTGTGCTGAACAAGTCTTCGGCACCTTCAACACACAAGGTGAAACGCAAGCATGCAAACTGCCATCCATGATCGACGAGTCTGTCGCTGGCCCTCTCAAGCAACTCCCCGGCTGTAACACTGTCACATATGGACCCGAAGCCGCGACCTCCCAGAAAGACTGCGCCGCACCCAAGCTCCTCACCCAGGCCACGCCCAAAATGGCCGGCTTCGTCGATCTGACGAGCAATAAGGGATTCAAATACCTAGGATGTGGCAAAGACAATGCGCTGACCCGGACACTTAACGAGGAACTGCTCACCGGCACCGACATGACGGTCGACAAGTGCATTGACTTCTGCAAAGGCAAGAACAAGAGCTACGCCGGATTGGAGTTTGGCAGCCAGTGCTACTGCGCCAACTCGCTGCCTGAGGATCGAGCACCCGGCCAGGGTGCGAGCAACTGCCTGATGAAGTGTGGCGGTGATGCGAACCAGGTTTGCGGAGGTGCTGATGCTATCAGCTTGTACCAGGCATGCTCTGGAGGCGCGTGCACGAATTCCGTCAAGAGGCAAAGTCGAAGGCTTGCAGGTATCGAAATGGCTATCGCGAACGCTGCCTCGTGAGTGTTCGTTATACACATATAAGATGTGTTCCTAAGCAACTGCCGTGACTGTCGCACTGCCCGATGTCAGTCTTTTGGCGAGGCTTTTGTATGAACGCGGTTTGGTGATGTGGTGAGTCAACTGGAACAATTCGTAGGGGCGTTTTCACTTCACTTCTTTGTAAATATATATACCCAAATTGAGACAGGATCACTTCCAGCTCTTGCACGACTGATTGCAAGCATCTCTCTATTCATCTTCCTTGGCGGGAGGACTACGTGAGAGCGCAAGCTCTTGTCAGCCTCCCATGTTTTCCTCGCACCGAAGCCTGTGACTCTCTTATCAGTTCACATTTCCCGAAAACCCTTCACTCGGAGCTTTGTCTGCCTGATGATACGTCATTTCCGTCCAGCCGCAGAATCAAAGATGCACGCTAGCGTTCCATCTCTACAATCTTTCTGCCTTATCGATCGTACCACCCGCCTTCACCGTGTCAGGTACTTGCATGTGCTAACCGGTCTAGTCAGCCATTGCAATTGCAAAAGAGTATGATGCCGTTATCATACATACGCCTATCTCGTCCACCACACTATTCCATTCCCCGAGTTTCGTTGTTAAGCTATCACGACAGAAATAGTACAAAGTCAACCCGAGGAGAATGACGAAACGATGCAGCAGTCGTTGATCTATGGCGCGCTTGTGATTGCTGTTCGGACCGAGCCATACAATAGCATGCACTTTGCATGATCGAGGGGACTGTGAAATGGCCAGGCACAATCCTTCTCGTGACATGAACAAACGCATGTATCATGAGGTGGAACTAGATGCAGTGTCTCTATACTGACATCTACATGTCGTGCGAGGTGAATTCATTTCCGTTCATCCCTTGGATCACTATGAAGCTTTTTAGAGAGGAGCAGATGATGACTGAAGATGTATACCACACTACTCCATCCAGGGTAGCCACTGAACCAGGATAACAGGGAGAGCAAACTTGAAGGCAACGAACCAAACCCCATCTTTTTTACTCACAAGAGACAGGATCAGGTACGTTGCCAAAGTGTTCTTCGATGCATCACATTAGTATTACTTGCGTTAGCAGATAAGCTTTACATCATGTTGGGGATATGCAGGTCAAGAGTCCGGTGAATCCGAAACAACCCACCCGCCACTGCAAACACTCCGACGCGCGAATGGTTGACCCTCATCTGATCATCGACTAGCCATCATCGAGTCTAGTAGCGATACAATGCACACTCTCCGCAGTAATCGCGCACCCGCTCGTGGCCGGACTTATGAGGCAACTAATCAGATGAGTTGAGGCACTTGTGCGGTCGGAACCAACCAATGGGACCACCCACGTTAGAAGAGAAAGGCAGCAGGATCAAGCCCGATGGCATCATCGAACCTGCGAGATGGATAGCTAAGAGGCCACTTTTGCATAGTAAGAGTAGTCCAGATCCAGGGACCCCTCTTTTGCCCGGCCGCAGAAACCACGCATCCAACGTCTATATAAGCATCACCTCTAGATCTGCTTGCTTCTCCCATCGACATCGCTCTTCGTATACTCACAACTGAACCTCAGAGACCAGCAACTTTTCTCTTCCGAAACCAAATCGATATCATATATTCCGACGCAATGGCAAACTGCGGCTGTGAAAACACAAAGACCTGCGGCTGCGGCACTCAGTGCACCTGCAACAACTGCCCCGTGGTACGTCATATACTGCTTATCAGCCCTACCCCCTCGACTTCGACCTCGATATTGATCACATGTTGATCCTCGATCATCCTGAGAGTCCCTTTCTCCCTTACATTCCTCGTCAGAGACAGATGTTGTTACTGACAGCAAGACATAGCACACCAAATAGATGACCTCGGTCTAACTGCGCGTGCAATGCCAATCATAAGTCGTGGTAAGCATCTAACAATTATCGAGACATTTCATACAGAGAAACTAATGCTCTGCTAAAGGCACGAAGTTACACGTTGGCGCAGTCTGAGAGGATCAATGCAATATTGATAGCTTGTCATAGGTGAAAGGTGGATGGGGGAATGGGTATATCCATTAGTAGTATAATGATAGACCGGTTGATGAATCTTGACGCAATCTGTGTGCCCATGTTTGACAATTCGCTACCGAAAGTGACCGATGATGCCGCTACGTGTGCTGAAGAAAGAGAGCCTTGTGGCAATTTATCGTTTGCCGAGTTGTATCAAACCACGTCACCGTTACCAATCTTAGTGTTGGTGTTCCTCCAATCGACTTTTCACCAATACTATTTTCTTGGAACCATGTATTCGTTCAGCCGCAACACACCGTGACTTCCTCTTCATTCCGATCGCTTGCTCCCGATTTTACGTTGAAGCTCTCCCAGCTGAAGATAAAGTATCCCAGGAAAGCGCCGATGAAGATGCAAATGATGAAGTACCCGTTGTAGTACATGGCGAGCAACATGACGAAGTAGGCGACCGCAAATTGCAGCATGTGGAGTAGCGCCTAGTAATATAGAGAGTGCAAAGTTAGCATCATGTGTGACTGTATTCAAGCAAGACACCAAACTTAGGGTTCGCGGTGCAACACGGACCCGCCCTGGAGTACGTACCCTAACAGCTTGCTGCAATATATTGGGACGAAAAGACGGGGTCGAAGTACGGACGGCAGCAGCTTCCCCGGCACTGGACGTAGCTGCAGTTTTACCAGCAGCGGTGGAAGAGTTGGAGGAAGAGGTAGTTGTTGTCGCCGAGGCCAGAGAGCGAGTGTGTTGCGCGAGGATGTATCGATCGTACTCCTTGCCGGCGCGGCGGAGGAACTCGAGGGAAAGGACGAGGAGGATTACACCGATGCAAGACCCTGCAAACATGCCTTTTGACGTGACATGCCATGATTCTGAAATAAAGCCTATAAATCACCAGCAGTTTGTCAGTCACAAGCTGGAAGACTAGGTGAGTGATGGTGATGGCGGGGGTTGTTCTGCGAATGTCTGATATGAGGTGCGACCTACAAGTGTCTATGGTGTTCCAATTCCAAAGCATCTGCCATCGCGGTGAGTAAGTATTGATAAGTGTATGCATTTGTTTGCTGAACTTACGCTGATCTTGCAGCTGCTCATACCTCCGTGACCACCACCTCCGTGATCCATTCCCCCCATGTCCATCTCTGACATGCCAGTGCTTGCGGGCATGGCTGCCGAAGAACTTGAACTCATGTGGCCCGAGTGATCCATTATCAAGGAGAGTGGGTGAGTATCTTCTTCCACTTAATCTTATTAACGGTTGAGACGGCGTAGGAAAAGGTAACGGAGTAGGCTTCACCGAGAGATAGATATAGGACAGATGCGATGTAAATCCGTTTGGTTCTCCTATTGCATGGCTCTGATTGGATCAGGGTGCGCGTGTATGAGCAGATTTATGGATACGAGGATTTGGGAGTGGGGTGATGGGCGAACTGAGCAGGTACCAAGCAGGAACCACACAATGACCCTTCAGTCGGCAGCAAGGTAGGAGAGATTATGAAAGCGCAGTCGCGCAGCTGGCATCTACTTCCGAATGAAGTCTTTCCATGAGAATGGATGTGATGGTAACATTGAAGACTTGTAGACTTTGGCTACCCGTGCTCCGCGCTTTCATCAGGAAGATTTAGCTATCACGAAGACCAACGGTCCGATCAGACATGCTCAACAGATACGCTGCTCTTTCGTGCGACCAATTATTCCCGTGCCGCCATGTGGATTGGTTGGTTCCATTTCGAGGTGCTTACATCTGGCCGCGGCGCGGATTTGCGCAAATTGTTGAGCACAAGCACGCTTGGCGAGGCCCTGCGCTGTTTGCATCGTATGTTTGGTGGCTAGCTGTATGCAACAAACCCGAGTTGATACAAATGGGTGAAAGCAGGTTGTTTGTAGTGCGAGTCTTTTAACGTTATTATGTAGTTTAGGTCAGATTGATTGACATTAATTAAAACAACGTGGACCTAATATGAGCTCGTATAAGCTATTACCAAACCCTTCAAGTTGCAGGGATGCTTAAGTTCGCCGCCTACCTAAGGAGTAAGTGTTTGTCTCGTGTAGTCATAATGGAACATGTGAATATAAAAATGTGGCTCATAGGAACTTTCAATCATCGCCTTGGTGTCGACGCCCTTGTCAAACAAAGCACCCAAGTAATTGGATGCAAACCGTTCGATGGTTAACAAAATCTGCGCTTCGTCAGCACGACTGGGCTTGATGTAGTCAACGCCCACAGCAGCTGTGCCAGCGCAAATGCACGAGATAATGTTTAATATATTTGAAATCAGTGTTCTTGGTCTATCGTCCTCTATTCGCAGATATCTGGTGTTGGAAGTGGTGACCATCTAGTGGTCAGGAAGCAGTGAACTAGGCCATTCCGAGAAAGGCGCGCCACTCAGCTTTCAACGACATCCCGCCATTCTCACCACTTCACTCACTTAAGCCCACGCTTCTTACATCGAGGGATTCCATTAAACCCCATCAACCCCCCACATTCGGGTCACTCCGTTAAAATTATTGGTTGTTTCACGATGCTCTCGTCACAGGTCAGTCGACGGGCTGCCCTATATCCTAATAATATTCCACGGCGACTTCAACATGGCCACAGCGAGATAGAATTGCCAAACGATAGCAGTAGGTAGAGTATTCGAACATCCAAACTGGGAGCCATAAGGAGCACTGTGTTATTCAGCCTACATGGCAACGAGTGCAGAGTCTCTCCCGGCTTCTGTGAAAATCCCTAAGAGGGGAAGTAGAAAGAGATAGTACATGGGGTTTCATCGACCGTGCGGAAGGGGGTATTAAACGTGGAAATGACACGTTATGACCTCTAAGATTATAACTAGATGCGCAAGTAAGAGTGAGGGAGATCTCATGGTCTCAAGGAAATTGCCGATACGCTTGGTTGCGTGGGTTGCGTTGGTGATGTCCGTTGCTAGCGATAGCCCTCTCGCTGCTCTGCGCATCACATCAGGCCCCGCACTATACCACACGATATTCTTCATCTCAACTAACCTCAGAATCGACTTTCTGAATCGACTTGCCACTCGCGTAGCCACGTCACCGTACCTTCTAGAAACACCCACACGTGGGCAAACAATCCAAGGGAAATCGATTGCGCTCAACACCATGGCGTCCAGAGCCTCATACTATTTATCAGAAGGATTTTGATTATTTGGAGTACTATTTAAATTATTAAACGGCAAATTCTGATATCAACACACATGGCGGATGCAGGCATCTCCTACGATCGTACCGAAAAAGTCCCTCGGTGCGTGAGTTCGAGTCGGGGTGCGCTCACTTTGAGCGTGCTATCAAACTTCTAAGATCCTGGTGTTTGACGGGCATAACAAATACAAAAAACCAATTGGCTAGGGGGTTTCAGTTTACCTTCGGGATTTCTGTTTTGAATTTTTTTTTGGAATTTTTTTTCTGTTATGATGAAGCCCTCAAAGGATAAAGGGCACAGGACTGCGTAGGGTGAGTGAGGACTTGGCGAGATTTTTACTTATATTCCAGCTAACTTTGTGCTGGCAATTGCGTGAGACACCATGCGCCGCAGTCACTTAAGGGCACTCTACATGGTTAGGTTGTGCGGAGTTTAGTAGACATTTGTACTGACGACCTTATATTATTGAACGACTTCTACGTCAATATTTGAGATCTTACATCCAATACATAGTTATGTGCGCTCATCGATTTACGCGTACACACAGATTTTTAGTTCTCACCACCAAGAATCGGGCGCCCTCACCAACTTCCCATGTGAGGGACTCGCCGAGCTCTCGATAACACCTTACATAGAATAGCAGCGCCTGGAGCTTACAAATATTGGGCATCAATAGCTGAAGCCTTAAGAGCAAAGAGACGGAAATTCAAATTCAATGAATGTATATACCTCAGACGACGACCTCTGCGAACTCAATAGCGCCAACTTAACAAACAAATTGTGCGGAGCCACAACAACAAAAACAAGAAATAGTAACAACATCAATACGCTACAACAATCAAAAGGAGTGGCATTTATCATCAGCATCATCATTCATATCTGATCACACCGCTGCGCCTCCCTCCTCCATGGGCTACAAGGCACACACAAGCCGCGCTAGTACCTTAGCGCGGACGGCACTCATCTACAACCTGGAGAGTCCAGTAATCTCTCTCGGCGCATGGTAAGGAGGAACCTTCATATCGAGAGCGGCGCCAGAATAACCAAGGTCTTCTGCGGTGAGCACGGCACATTTCTCGCCGATGAGGAGGGCGGTCGAGTAAGTGTTGCAACCGACGTTATCCTACATCATTTGCGTTAGCGGGCTGTACCGCGTCCTCTCGTATGGGTGGGGTGGGGAGGGAGGCGGCTTACGGGACAGATACTCAGATCCGCAACCTTCAAGCCTTTGACACCATGTACGTTGAGACGCTCGTCCAGCACGCCGTGCTTGACAATCGAGTTGCCCTCGCGTGGGGCCATCGAGCAGGTACCGAGTGAGTGCCATGTGGTCTCTACGTGACCTGTGTATATCATGCGGAATCAGCGCGCTGAAATCAGGCTTGCAAAGGGAGGTAGAGACCCACGTTTGGTCCAGTCTTCGATATGCTTGATATCTTCGTTGGAGTAGTTCAAGTCATCGAGAACATGCTGCGAGCTGGAGTTCAGGAACGTAGGTTCGGGCGCGCGACCCTGCTCAACCGGCATGCTCCATGAGCCGTGTTGGATTCCGGCGGTGACGTTGCCAGGGAGTGCGTACTAGTTTTCGCGTATCAGCTGTCAGCTCACTGTTTTGCGTTCGGGGCGATCGCAGAAAGAATGTCAACTCACAGCGTTGGTGGTGGCAAGGTCCATATCCTTGGCGCGTGCGGGTGAGTCGTATGCGTAGAATGGGTGCATGGCCTGCACTTCTCCGGCGTAGGCATCCATGCGACGCGCTGTCTCGCGGGATTTGATATATCCCCAGACCATTGGTGCCATGTCGCGTTTGTCGTTCATGAAGCCCGCATCGAAGCTGCAATCGATTTGTAAGTGTTCAGATCCAGAGGTTATTCGGGGAACGAAGGGAACAACAAACGTACTCGGGTGCCTCGTATGGATTTGCGGACACAATGTGGGTGGAGCCTCTCGAGAAGGGATACCTGTGGTTGGGAGCAAGCAGTCAATGACTAAACCCTTGGAGTGCCGCAACGCATGGCACCATGCTATTGATACATGGCCGAGTTAACTTACTCAAGGAAGTGGAACATCGTGAAGAATTTGCCGGGCGGCATGAGCATCTGTTGCCAATCATTCAGTTGTGGTTCGGAAATGCAGAGGACATTACTTACGTGGTCACCAAACCAGCCAGCAATGACAGCTAGACGCGGAACGTTAGCAACTCTTTTCCTCGCGATATATTATACCCCGAAAGGATCCCTCACAGTAGTGCATGACCGGCTTGTCCGGCTTGTTCTTGAAATAGTCGTCCCATCCCGACCTGAACTCCTTGCATGGCCAAGAATCCATCATTTTCAACTCCTCTTCGGTGGGTCGAACTTTGACGCCGGCTTCAATTCCATTAGTGGCAAGTGGGCCAGTACCGTTGATGTTCCATTGCTGGAACACTTTGTCCTGTGTCGCAGGGTCGCCTCGCACGAAATCGTCGAAAGACTCGACGTGCGGTTTAGCGCGGAACACGGAGAAAGTCTAGATAAATGGTCAGTCGAAGCATCTGGCTTAGTGATGCTGGAGGTCTCATACAAGATAGTGGTCCTGGAAGTTCAAGCCAACACCGGGCAGATCCACGATAGCTGTGTTCACGTTAAATTGCTTCTTGATCCGACCAACGGACATGACTTACGCTTCACACCGGCCTTGCGTAGCTTTTCGGGGTCACCGATACCAGATCGTTGAAGAATCAAAGGCGAGCTAAGTGTGCCGCCAGAGACGATAATCTGCTTACGAGCTCTGAAGACGCGGTTCGTAAGTTGTCCAGGTGAAAGCGGTTTCATCGGGACCGTATTGACGCCAACGGCGCGACCGCCCTCGATAATGACCTTGTCGATCTTGGTGTTACATGCCAGGTGCAAATTCTGATGAACAGCGCGGGTGCTGTGAATATAGCCATGGGCCGAGTCACTGCGCCTTCCCGTGTCGCGATTGATCCACTTCAGCCAGTGTTCCGCTCCGTGACCAGTTTCCAAATCCTGGAGGTCGTCTGTTGTTGGGATACCTTGCGATTCACTCGCCCGAAGGAAGTCTTCCTTGATTGGATATGTGTAGTTGCCGAACGAAACTTTGATGGGGCCTTCAAAGCCGTGCAGGTCGCGGTTATTGCAGGATCGCTAGACACTGTTAGATCCTGCCCATGTGGAAGGGAATTTGCGTTGCATGCTTACTTGGTATGTCTCATGTTTCTTCATCAGAGGAATCAATTCCTTGGTGGTCCAGCCCTTGGCTTGGAAGTCATCGTAATCAGATGCAGAAGCTCTCGTGTACATCTATATCGGCTGTCAACTGATGACCTGGTGATATAACCTCGTTGGGTGCAACCTTACCATGAAATTGATCGAGGATCCGCCGCCCAGGATGTTGGCGCAAGGCACCACAGCCCTCCGTCCATCAAGCCACTCGGAAGGTCGTGAATAGTAGAAGGATGCAGTCTTGCTGTCTAGTTTCATATTCCTCGGGTATATACCTGGGCGAAATACCCTGATGATGTAAACAGCCAATCTGCCATATCCTGCTGTTGGAAGCTTACCATGGGTTGTTCAAATTGGATTCTCCACCCTCAATCAGCAATACTTGAAGGTTGTGATCGAGGTTTGCGAGCCTTCCTGCCACGACGCAGCTATCACATTCCGATTGTGGTCAGCCAAACAGCACACCGTTGATCGAGATCAGTCCTGAACCCACCCGCAAGACCCGCCGCCGCAGACGATGATATCGACCTGCCATTGTGAGCAATGCTGCTTTCATGCGAACACTAATCGTCCTACCTCATCTGGGATCGTCATCTTGAAAGTTCAAACACGTTCAATGGGAACTAAAGAGCAGTAAGAGATGTCGCAAGGACCAGACAATATGTTGAAAGGTTCTGTACTGTATCGTGTACAAGGTAGTAAAGGGGCATTGCAATTGTCTACTATGGTCCAGATTATAAGGGTACCATCAGCCCCGCACGTATGGGTACCAAGTGATCCAGAAGTCAACATGGGGTTAGATCTTACGCTGCGGTATTGGCCCGGGTCATCACAACGTGCAGAGAGGGGGTGGTGTATGTACGTTTCCAGACAGAAACTCCGCACGAGTCTCTTTTGGTACGGTTGGGTTGAGTTTGGAGGAGGGGGGAATTGTGGGGATAGCGGACTGATGGGTGACTGGAGGATTTGGCAGCTGCGGATCCGCATCGAGACTCTTCAGAGCACGCAGAGACGAGAGAGCTGGGATAGTAGGTGCACATCCTGGCATATGTTCATGCATGGGTACATTGCCTGCGTTAAGCTACTGCCTCATTCCATGTATGATTGGTCGATGGACTTGTGTCGATATTGGTGTGGTCATGACAGGTCCGTCTACGTACTGTTCCGTTTTGCAAACTCTCTTCCATCGCGACTTGTTTCAAGGTAGAAACGATGATTGTTTGCAAGTCGTAGTTAGTTCCGTATTGATGATGGCTTGGCGATATGTATCTACAGAAGCGTTGAAGGCTGGGCGAAACAGCGAGTCGAGGAATCTGTGCAGGTGGTGACCTTCAAATAGGACTGAAGTCTTGGTACTCCATCTTGAGTGGAGGAACGAATGCCTGGGTGCGGCGGGGGACCTCGAGCTTCCACAATTGCTTCCTTGCATCGAACTCGACGTAGCCCTAGAGATTTGTATTGCGATTGCATTGGAGAATCAATCAACGTGTCCGCATAACGACACAGAGCTGCTGACCGGCGTTTCTTAGAGTTATTCCCGTGGACTAACACCGGGTGACGTACGCACACAGTCACCAAGGAACACTCCAACGTCGACTGCCTCGCCACTGTATGTCCGCCCGTCCAATTGCGGGGGTTTGGCACAAGGTGGTAATAGTGTTCGAAGGTGTTGGCTTGACGGATTCCACTAGGGAGTCGGCAAACGTGGATGCATGTGGGGTGCAGTAGCTTCCGGAGCTCTCCTCATTTGAATGCTGTGCGGTTCCAGTGTGTCGGGTGCGGGGTTAAGCTCCTCCACGGCAGCAATCTTTCTGGAGTTGTATCTTGGAAGTGAATAGCCGGAAATGACGTTCCATGAATCGTTCCAACACTGAGAGGGGCCTAGGTAGCTGGACACAGCAATTTGCAAGAAGAGGAGATCCATATCGCATACCCAAAGGAAGACAATGCACACTGGATCCGTCCAATTGCCGAAAATATAACCACCATTTCCTCGCAAAAACAAAAGAAAAAAGATCACAATGCTCCTGCTTCCACCAAGTTCACTATCATATACGTAGTGAGGGCGAGGTAAAGCCTAATCAGAAGTTTGGAGGCAGCTGAATTGTCGGTCACGTTCACAGGGAAAGACTTGAAGCTGCCCATGGACCCCCGCGTTGGTACTAGAGAAAGATAAGGAAAATGTAAGCAATTGATCGTCACGATGGACATATGATTTGAATGCATTCGTCTAACCTACAACCCCTGTTTGCTAAGGTGGATATCAATGCTGTGTTGTTGTGTCTAAGAAACAAACGCCATGCCGATGCTTTTGAGAGTGGAAAGGATATATGGTAGGAGAAAAAGAAATTATATCAGGACTATGCCTGCGAAGGATCCCAGAGAAAGAAAGAAAACCGGGCACAAGGCTAGATTACATCCGATCGTTCCCATCCAGTAGGGCGAGGAAACTTCAAGCCCTTGGTCGGATGCGGTTTGCTGCTATCCTTGTACTCGCTCACGTAGGGATTAGGGTCTTCGATCTGGTCTAGATTTCCTAGAGTGTGATTGACTTCTCGGTGCTTGCTCTCGTCGGCGCGAACTGAGTTGAATGGTCAGCAAACCAGTTACCTGCAAACACATCCGAAGAAGCGCAGCTAGAACTTACTATATAGGAGAAGGTCTCGCATAGAGCGGTTACCCTCTGGCATTTTCCAATAGTCGATGGCAATCTGTGGGGCTTGCAATTTCTCCCACTTGGGAAGTCGGCCAGCGTCGAGATCTGCAAGCTGGCGCGTGTATGTGAGGACGGCTTCTTCCTCCAGGTACCCAACGAAGCGATGAACCGTACGAGGGCTTATGAGATAGGCAAAGAAGAGAGCGTTGCACCAAACTCCCTGTGCACCTAGCACCATTGTCCGCATAAACCACCCAGGTTGGCTCATCTTGAGGAAGGTGAGGAGATGCATGCGTTCGTTGAAGCTTTCTTCAAGAAGACTCTCAATCCTAGCACGAATCTTCACGTTAGCATCGTATCATGGTCGACTACGTACACCTTCAAAGAGTAGGATGACTTGGTACATACCAGCCGTTGTCACGCTTCATACGTCGCATCGAGTGTAGGTGGCGAATCATTCCGGCTACCATGCCAGGAACACCGGCGACACTCTCCAGAAAGATGTTCCGAATCATATATTTCTCCTCCGTCATGGCATACTTCTTCCTCGCCGCTTCCGGATCTTTGGCGTTCAGGCTTGTTGCTTTTTGGTGCTTGTACCCAGTGGCAAAGTCAAGTCCCCACCTTAAGATCCTGACGGCTTGAAGAGCGACCTTATCGGACATGGTCTGGGCTTCCCGATGCGCCACCACAACGCTTTCCATCTGGTCATAGGTATAGATGGGATGGGGCCATGCCGGTGGTGTCTTGCGTACCTTGTCCGTCTCTTTTTGGACGAAGAATTCGTGGATCTTGGAATCTTTCGGTGTGGTGGAGAAGTGATGGCGCTGCGAAGGCGTCGCTACGATTAGGATAGCACTCGATCCTGGATGCAGTCCAAAGCTGGGTTTGCTGAGCCCATTGTTGGTGAGTGTCTTGAGGATGTGGGTGGCTCCTCGCCTGGAGGCCATGGACGTGCGTGCTGTTGCAGCGCTTGAGATCATGAGGACGATGTGTCTGTGTGTAGATGTGAAGTAGGAATGGCGCGTGAAAGGTTTGCTTGGATGGTTTGCTGATATGAGTAATAGGATTGCTTGTTATGGGGATAGGGACTGAGCTGAGGCAGCAACTGACTGCTCTTTATACAGGTACGGTCACACAAACAAAGTCCAGGCAAACTTGCCGCCTAGTGCCGTCGGCATCGTCCACGAGTACCCGATGACACAGCATCGGGGATCCAGACGAGTCACATCAAGTCCATTGTACCAAAAAATAACCCTTTGGAGTCTCGTGCGTTGAGAATTCTAGTGAGGCGTGCGGGATCGTCCGGGCTGATTCCGAATTATCTTCGCGCTGAGGTTTCTCGGCCACTCGGGCACTCGCACTCGCTTATATAATCGAGCTGGAAACCGCATTCAATGATGGCCACATCTTAATATATAATTACGTGCAGGATAACAGCAGGTTGCATTTAGAGCTGAGCAAATGTCTACTTTACATTGAACCCGCTCTCGCCTGATTTGGTGTTCACATCCGAATGCTCGACGCCATTGACGCTGGATGCAGGCGGCCCTTTGTTCAAGTGTTGGATGAATTCCTGGATGGCGTCTGCTGAGCCTTGCGCCTCGCCTTGGACCTACGAGCGAGCAGCGTCAGGAATTGTGGAAGAGGAATCATTTTATGAGCGTCGTACCGTTCCGTCCGACGCATTGGTTACATATCCTGTGACGCCGATGCTGTTGGCCTGTTTGGAGGTGAAGGAGCGGAAGTTTACGCCTTGCACCTGTCCTTTGACTGTGAAGGAGATCTAGAAGGCAGAAGTTAGATAATCGCGTGGGACGTGCCTCTTAGAAGGCAAAGACAAGTGGGCTGGTAGGTAGACGGACTCGTTTGTCAGACATTTTGGCTGCGTGAGAGGAGAAGAAGCGCTTTTCCACATTCAACAGAGATGTTAAGGCAGAATCGAGTTATTGCCAATGGATACCTGGCCAAGTGTGTACGCCCGAGTAGAGGTGTCGTCTCTTGGAGCTGCGGTATCCCGGATGGTGGACATGAATTAGACGCGAACCGCACGCGCGACGACGTCATTGTGACCAGACATTGAAATGCTCTTTAGATGTTCCATGTACCTGGTACATACATGTGTAGGATGTATGTTTGTATACTTTAGTGGATCATTTGTATCGGCTTCTCGTCCACACAAGTGAATACGAGGCAGTAATCATTTCCGTGTGCTTGAAGAAGCATGGTAATCACTGGAGTGAACAAAAGCGCCATTGATTGGACCTAATCCACGAACGGCCCGAGAGCACGTGATGACTTACCCCTGACTACACCTCCTACCTTAACGAGAATTGTTGGTGCGGGGTCTCTCGTGAACCCGACCGAGACAGCATCAACGAGAGCCAGTGGATCCGAGGAGAGGAGTGGAAAAAGAAACCTTAGGAAATTGTGGACCAGAACCTCAAGTTTTTTTCTCTCTTCATTCCATGACATGCCCTAATTTGCCCGGGCCCCGCAGACTCGAGGCCGCGGCTGTTGGGAGAGCAGTGTTGTTATTCTAGTTCGAGACACATCGCGCGTTGTTGTTTGTGCTCTGAAACCATTAACCTCATTTCAATCCAATCTCCTGCTGCCCGCGCAACCACCTCCGTCACCAAAATTCTGGCCCATCTGTTCATGGCACCTGTCACCCACCTGCTTTACTTTGATCTCTTCGCTCACTACACCTAAACAAACCTCGTCACCTTAATCTAATAAATTAAACTACCCACACCCTCCCTTCTGCCTTCCCTCCCCCTTCTCCTTCCTCTTCCTCTTCCACGGCACACCTCTCGGCCCTGATCTGATCTGAGCACGTCGCTCCCACCTCTGTCTCTCCGCCTCTCTACAACTACCGCTTCTCCTCTACAGCTGCCGTTATGGACCCCACGCCCTCCCCACCTCTCGATCGTGCCTCCTCACCAGACCCCTGGGTCTCACCATCACTCGCACTCAATGCAGTGCCACAACTCGACCGATCCGTTTCTACGGCTTCTACAGTCTCGTCCATTTCAGGCCGGTCCGCTAGCTCCCGTCTTTCCGACAGTGGGATTCCTGGGAGGAGAAGAGGCTACATGCGACCCGAGGGCACCGAGTTCTCGCGGTCCGCCCGGAGCAGAGAGAGTGTCATGAACCTGGGCACCATTGCACATCTACAATACTACTTTGCAAGGACTGGTCTGCTGGACGAGGCAACAGGCAGAGTGGCTAAGAAACGGAAGAATGGCACACGTACCGTCAGTGGTTCCGATCGTCCTCTGTCCGGCGCCGACGGCGAGTTGTTCGACCAGTTGGGAGAGGGGTTCGTGGAATCCCCCATCGACGACTCGGCCTCAGTCGCATGGGAAGACCCGGAGCCCATGATGCTTCCACCTACTGTCAGCACCTACAAGAACACTCCCATCTATGTTCCTCCGCCACCGGATATGACTATTCTACGAAGGGAACTACGCGAGTCCTTGCAGGAAAGCTCCACACATTTGCAGGAGCTTGAGAAGAATTTTGGTACAACAACTACGGAGGCTACTTCCAACGAACAACAAGGCATGGGTGATATGACGCCAGGAGATGGCCGAAGCTCAAGGCAGTCTGCAGATGCACCTGGTTGGCACCAGATTCAGGGACTCAATCTTCTCGACGTAGCCACGCTTGCTATTCGAGCTGCCAAGAACTATTACACCGCACACGAAGATCCACAGCGGCTATATGCCATCCGATCCGAGCGAGCGATACGCAAGGAGCTTTACGATGTTCTGGAGGTTCTTAAGCGTCTCGCCATACGCAACTTTGCTCACGGTGTACAGCCGTCCGAGACAGCAAGCATTAAGGACTGGGTTGACGGCATCACCAAGTTGCTCGACACCGAGGAAGAATTGGAACGTGCGGAGCAAGAGGAGAGAGAGACGTGGATCTGGCGAGAAGGCGATTGGACTGGACGGGAACGAGAGCGCGAATTGTTGTTTCTACGGTCGTTTGACAGCGATCCAGAGCCGCTCCCGGAATGGACCGAGGTTGACACCGAGGGTGCTGAGCTGCCCACACCGTTTCTTGCTTCATTGAGGACTGGCTTACGGTTGGTCCACCTACACAACGCCTTCATCAAGAAGTCACGACGCCACTTTGAAGAAATCAAGCAATATCACACCGACACAGCGAAACCGTACCGGTGCGCCGACAACCTCCGGTACTGGGCCAAGGCAGCAGAGCTACGATGGGATGTGAAGCTTGATGTGGATGTCATGGGGGTGGTGCAAGGAACAGAGGCAGCTGCCTGGAAGAAGTTTGACAGTGCATTGCTGAAGTGGAGCCAGCATGTGCGGGAGGAGTTGATGAAGGAGTGGAAGCAGCAAAAGAGCCAGACCAAGACGCCCACTCTTCAGATCGACACTGACTATGCAGAAGCTGTATAAGGCAGAAACACAACTGGTCGAACCTTGCTCTTCTGACTTCTTTCTCTTTCCGCCTTCACCTATCCCCAGTTTTGTTTGTTTTTGTTCTTCTCTCTTCTTGTCCCTTCTCTTCTTCATCTTCCCCATTCTCTTCTCACATGTGCATTTTTCACTTGACCGTCATCTTCTTGATATTTGGCCATTGCACCCCATAATTTGTACACGATGCATCCGACCTGTAGACGATTTCCTTGTTCTCCTGCTTGCGAAGGGGCTAGACTTGATTCCCATTTCGTATCTCATTACTCTTCCCCGTTCCGGCTTGTTTGACACATTGGCCGAGCTAGATACCCAACACCAAGCATAAAGATCTCTACCGAAGACTGCATACATAGTTTACCCATCCATTTATTTGTATAATTGTATTATTTTGGTCACGTACCCACAGGAAAAGAAAACATCATGGGAAGGGACAAACGGATGATGAATGGCGAGTGACGATGAATGGCGTGTTGCAATCTATTTACTGCCATGGCCGGGTTATCTTAAAGTACGAGAGACCGTACACTTGGTCAATGGTAATTCAATGGAGTAGGGTTCGGAACAAGTGGGGCGACGGACAGGGTAAAGGGTAGGGGGGCTGAGATGAGATGAGACAGTGCCGAACAGGTGGGCATTGACCGGGCAAGGAGGTTTGTCTCATTACCGGCGATTCATGACAATCCATCGCAAGTACCTCCTCGTATGCATGTATATACCGATCGTTTGACGTGTGTATACGAACAGGGCGAGCGTCTTGTGTAGATGGGAGAGGAAGAGGTGAGTACTGGCGATTGTTTGTTTGTTGTTGTTGTTGTTGTTGTTGTTGTTGTTGTTGTTGTTGTTGTTGTTGTTGTTGTTGTTGTTGTTGTTGTAATTGATTGTTGTTGTGTTTGTCGCGCAGAGCAGGCAAGACGCGTCTTGCCACGTTTACACGACATGGCCAACTATCTGCCTGGGTTTCATGCATCATGTACCCCCATACACATCCATCGCGCAGGTGTCACGGAAGCATATATTGTGTGCATTTTGTGAATCCATGTGATTGATGGATAGACACATACATATGTACATACTTAGGTAGAGACGCGCTCGTCTTCGCGTAGCTTATCCATCCATCCAGCATCCAACCATCCCAAGTCGACTGCGCGACATTGGCCGCTGCATCTCCCTTCATCATCTAACAGAAACGGCGCCCCTACCTGCGGTGCATCTAATTCCCGGCGAATCAACCTCCGTGTTGAGTTGCCCAGCCACGGTTTCAAACAACACAGTAGCCTGCTGCTGGCTGTTGTGGACGGCACTGCTCGCTGGCTGCTGCTGCTGCTGCTGCTGCGCACACAAACTGTCATCTGATTGCCCTTTCTTTTCCCTCCCGTCCGTCCGCAGATTATTGACAATCTCGACATCTGATGCCATGTCCCCAGTCGTCGCTATCAATATGCCAATATTGCAATTAGCATGAACAGCCCTCCTCCGCAGCCGACCCTGACCCCGTCGCCCCTTCCGTTCAGCACCACTCGTAGCGCAGCACCTGCCATGTCCGCCGCGACACCTCTGGGAAAATCAACAACATCAACAACAACAGCTCCATCCCAACAATCCACCTACACCACCACCTCCTCCCCCTCATTTAGCCCTGCACACGCCTCCGCACCGTCACCCGCTCACAGACCGCCCACCCTGTCTCCGTCTGCCTCTGCCCCTAATTCCACGCCCACGCCCACCCACACTCCGCCCACAGCCACCTCGTCCGCCGGAACCTCGCCTCGTCCTGACCGAACCGCAACCTCCAACGCCTTGGAAAGCTCCCGCAAGCTTGCGCGGAATGTGTCACCTGGTCTCCTGGCGCGCATGAAATTTCTGAACCAGGGCCCAGAGACACCAGCTCGACTCCCACCGCCCACCTCGCAGATCGGCCGCATCTCCGAGCACAAGATTCGCGAGCTCGACGACTTCCACCGCGACCGCACCGTGCGCATAGAGCGACGCGGCACTACCTGGAACGGCAGCGTCGCCGGTAGTATCAGCGGCAGTGTCACCGGCAGCCAGGTCAGCACGCCGTTGATTCCTCAACTGACTGGCGAGAGCGTCCCTGCCCTGGCAATGGACCAGAGTCCTGCCAGCGACCGTAGCAGCCTTGTGAGCACCAGCGACAAAGTCCTACCCTCCGATTCCGAGGCTGGCGAGAACCCGAGCGAGGACACCCAAAAGTATCGCCTGCCCGACATCACAAAGACCAAAAGCCTCACTCAATCCATCACCGAGAGCCCTGCTTCGAGCGAAGCCCAACTGACCCGACCTCCCACCCCTCCACCAAAAGATTCTCCTCCACTACCACAATCTCGACCTGAAGAGGAACCCTCCGTGTTGGATGGCGATCATGGTATCAATATCGAGGCCTACTTCCAGCGCCGCCACTTCTCGCGCGCGAATTCCATTTACACCCTCTCCCGTCTGAGCTTCACCAACCAAATCCAGCAACTGACGTCGATCAACCTTCCTCCGCCCCATTCGCTTTCCTCCGAGATCTCCGCTCTCCCTTCATCCACTGCCGCTGCTCGAGCATTACACGGCGCCGCTAATAGCATTCGACTATGGATGGCCAAGGCATCCGAAGTCCTTAATGGCCTCGATGCCGAAGACGATGTAGAGTGGGCAGCAGCCGCTGGTCGGGAAGGACTGGCTGAAGTCGATGCCGCAATTGGCAAATTTGAAGGGCTGGTCAATGTATACATCACCGCCATTGAGGATCTCCAGGGTCGGTCCGACATTGCCTCTCTCCCCACCCGCGATCTCACAACTCTGGTGACGCAGATGGAAGAGGTGGTCAGCAGTTGGTCCAAAATCAAACGCACACTCAAGGACATCAAAGCACAGGTGGAGATTGCAATGGAATGGGAAGAGCTGTGGAACATTGTCCTCGGAGAGATTGGACTCGAAGTCGAGAACCTTAGTCGCCTTGTGTTCGAAATGGAGGAACGACGGCACCGCGCCATCAGTGATTCAGTGGCGGAAAGTGCCGAGAAATTCGATATTGCAGAGCTAGAAACCATTGTCGAAGAGACCCCCCGTCAGCAGGCTCGCGAGCAGGCAAGACTGCAAAGCAACCGGTTTAGTATGCCGAATCCGGCCGCACTCTTGTCGCCCGTGTCGCCCATTCCTCAGATTGAGCAGGAAAACTCGAGACTACTTTCACTCTTTGCCAAACTGCAGCCCCTACGCGCCTCGCTCGACTTTCTTCCTATGCGACTGTCATCCTTCCAAATGCGCGCCAGCAAGATCTTTCCTTCGGCCTGTGAAGAACTCACGAGGCGCAAGGAGCAGCTGGAAAATCTCGAAAAGAAACTAGAGGCGGATGCAGATGCTTTACGTGAAGAGTTGGGCGAAGACAAGTGGGTGCACAGCTTTCGACAAGCCGCAAGTAAGGCCACAGCTATGTATGAGTCTCTCATGAAGAGCATGCAGAGACTGAAACAAGCCATCAACGAAAACGATGATGACAAACTCAATGCTCGTGTTTCCACCTACAAAGACAGGAGGGAGCATTACCCACCCGCCATGAAGCGTGTGTTACAGCTGATTGATATTGAAATGAAACACAGGTCTACTGTGAATGGCGAGATCTTGCGCATTCAGCAAGATGTTCGTCAAAAGGTCTCCGACCTAGAGGTTGACATGCAAGAGATGGATATAGTTCTGGAAGAGATCACAACCAGTCACAAACTTCGCGACTCGGTGTCGACGGTACTTTCCTCTCGTACCGAAATCTCATACGGTGGCTCGGCCCTGGATACCCCCAACAGCTCACCCGCGTCGAGCATCATTGTAAGTCGCAAGAGCCTCGACAATAGGTCTGGTACACCTTCAGGAAGACTATCCCGCCAGACAATCGCTTCCAGTGCGAAATCCAATATTCCCACCAACCGTCGTTACTCGAGCCTACCGATGGCTACAGGCACAACACCGCGTAAATCGCTACCTCCGTCCCGCTTGGAGACTGTTTCTCCGTATCCTCCGCGCGATTCTTCTAGTACTCCAACATGGTCACTGCGTTCATCAACCCCTTCTTCGGAAAGGACTCCTTCCACGAAGCCTCGTTGGAACTCTAGTACAAATATGCGCGATACTATAGTTGGTCATAACTACAAGCCTCTGTCGTTAACCACACCATCGCCTCATCGAAAGGCGCCACCAACTCCAGTGAGGACATTGCGAAGTGTGTCGAGCCATAGCGCCATTCCAGTTCGCAGTCCTCTTGGTCGTTCTTCTGCACTGTCACCGCCTCCCCACAATCGGCCTTCTTCGACCACTCCAGCACAACAAGCTTCAGCCCGTCGTCCGCTAGCAAGCCCAATGCAGTCACCCTCCACACCTGCTAGGCATATGTCACAAGTGCAAACAACTCCAGGCTCATCTTCGCTATCCACGGGTACTCCCTCATCTTCCCGTCGAGTGCAAATTGCTGAGCCTCCGCGTGAAGCGGAGAGTCCAGTTGCGCGCAGAGCTAGCAGGCCTGCCAGTGCGATGAATAGTCGTCGTACCAGCATGCTGCCCACACCCAAGCAACGGACTCCGAGCGGATCCAACATTCCTGTCATCACCACCCCAGCACGAGCTAGTAGCAGGGCTGGTAGTCGGGCTGGCAGTCGAATGGGGATGACCGAAGACGGTCGCAGGAGTAAAATGGGCAGTGCGAGTGGACGTCAGTCATCTCTCGAGACAAGACAACCCTGGAGGTGATTGTTTCCCTACTTAATCTGCCGGTGTGGGTGTAAATCGGGCTCTGAGTTCGGTATGAGCCAGCATCTCACTCTTTTCGATTCCCCCAGGCTGGGTGACGTGTGTGCATCTCACACCTTTTTCTTACATCATGTTGTCGATCTAGTTATCCATCTATGTATTGAGAATGGTATCATTGTTGGGGTCATATAGAGAAGGAGTTTCCCTTATTCCGCCCGCTTCTTATTCCTTTGCTCTGGGATGAAGGGGAAGAGAGTTTCGCGTCAAAGTTGTTACTTTTAAATACTTATATACCCCTCCAATACTTTACAGCCTCAACCCAATCTATAGCGTTTTTGTTTCGAATGCAGAATGATGTGATGGTCTTCCCTGTGACGTGATTGTACAGGCGTTTTCACAAATGCCTGAACTCATACATTCTACGTATATTCCTTCAGCCGCTTGTTGTATACCTTTGACCGGCCAAGTTGGTCATATGAACCTAACACTCATATCTCAGAAGTCGCCCAAGGAAAGAGGACACGAAGTAAGGTAACGCCAAAAAACAATCACGCATGGATAGAGTCAAACATAAGAAATGGCCAGCTTCGTTCTACTTTCCACCCTGTAACCGATATATGCTCAACTTCCCTTCAGAAAAGAAAGCAAATAACCAAGAGCTCCAAAGAACATCATCAACTAGCGACTACCCACCCAACTCCCAACCCCCCAAACACAACGACTCCAACGCCAGCAATCACAACACCACCAACAACCCTCCCCTCCCTACCACTACCATCACTCTTCGCAGCACGACCATCGCCCACACGACCGTTAATAGATGTACCCCCCAACTTCGTGACCGCCGCCCCTTCAGACCCCAACACCATCATCAAAGTTCCATTCACATTCGCATGACCATCCTTGCCCCCAGCTCCAACTCCAGAGACTGCTGCAGGTGAAGTTGAACTCGAAGAAGCAGACGGCGCATTCATGACGGTGCTGGAAACCGCAGTAGAAGGACTACCTCCTAGGAAAACGTAGAGCAGCGCGGCTGCGGCGCTGAGACTGAAGATGAGCGTGATGGCGGATGCGATGCGCAGGGGTGAGAGGGATTGCATGAATTGGATTGCTATTAGGGAGTCGGGGTCCTGGGTCCACGATGGTACTCGTATAGGTTTCATCTTTTGTCTTGGTTTGGCTTTGTTCTTGTTGTTGCGTTTTGTTTGGTGGGAAGTGAAAGGAGGAGGAAGAGGAGGCTGATTTTGTGTGGGGTTGGAGGGAATCTGGTTCCGTTTGTTCTGAGCTATTTGCTCGACTGGAGTCTTTTGGGTACTTTCGATTTCCGAGTCCACTGTGTCACTATCGTTTTCGTCATCCACTGTATCCGCTCCTGATGAGGAGGAAGAAGATGACGATGAAGATGGAGAAGAAGAATCATCGAAACAAGGCGCAGAAGGAGGTGAAGAAAGTCGTTGGGCCCAGTGAACCCACGTGTATCTCGCTTTCCCACGCTTCGGATCACGATACAACTCCATGAGTTTGTTCTCGGTGAAGATCTCAAGCTCTGTACCGTCCAAGCCACTGCCATCGCGTGCTGCGAGGAGTTGTCTCCCCGCCGGGCTACAAAAGCTACTGTGGTCAAGATCAAGTCTACCGCCGCTCCACTTGTCAATGTAGACTAGACGGATCCCAGTGAGCTTTCTGGCGCCAAAGACGCGGAGGACCCAGGGCCCGGCGAGGTTCTTGTATGCTTGACGAAGACGCTGCGCCAAGAGCATGTCGTCGAAATCAATAGAGGTTCCTGAATCGGTGTGTTGACTATAAGCTGCTGGCGTCCCTTCCCTCTTCTTATTTTTCTTTCGACCCATACGACTTGTTTTCTCGCTGACTGTGATGGTCAAGTTTCCAGGTATACAAAATCCCTCGACTCTCACCTGGCTTCCAAATGGATTCTTGCGCGGCCTTTGCAAAGTAAGCCATACCTTCGAATTAGTGGCCTGGGCGGATGTGGTTTTGTTACTCGAGACATGTGTTCTGACGACCCCCTGTGCATCTTGATTCCGCTCTAATCTGCTCCTCAGATCGGGTTCCTTCCCATCTTCTGTTGGGATTCCCAGGACTTGCTTCCCCTTTTTGGTGTCGTAAGTTGCGCGTGAAAACCGTCGATTCTCACTTGTCCGCTGGAGGAAGCTGCTGTCTTCACCAGAAGGATAAGGTGTCCTGATGTAGTGCGAATGATGATGGGCAGTGCGCTCATCTGTCCCCGAGCGCGTCTTAATAGGTGAGAGATGTGCATTTCGGTGCGTAGAAAAGGATATAGCTTTTGGCGTCGCATGAGATGCGGTCTTGTTGGTAGACGAGCTTGTTCGCTTTCGCGTTGGGGAGATGGAAGCATCGGATGGCAGCGATTCAAAAGCTTTCAGAGTTAGAGCGTGTACGTTGAGAATGGAGTCGGCAAGAACGCCCTCGGATGTGTTACGGCGAGGTCGCCCTCGAATCCTTGGATCCAAATCGACTTCAGAATTTCGGCCTTCGGGAGCACGATGATGGACGACGTAACCCTTTCCCAGACGACGTAGTGAAACTGGACGTGCTGTTTCGGTGCCTGTTTGGTCTGATGTAGATGCGGGCTCCTTAGTAGCGATTATTGCTTTAGAATCTGGATTGTCATTTGACTGTTGCACACCCTTCGTTGGTCCACTATTTTCCGGTCCCTCTTTTGTGGCGTTCGATTTCTCAGCTTCCGCGATGTGAGATTCTCCGTACAGAGTATGCGCAATGTCCGAGAGTTTCCAGGTTTCACTTTCGTCGCCCCATTCCGCTCCCTCGTCTTCTGAAGAATCCTCGAAGAAATCAGCACCAGGAGCAACACCTTGTTGCATGAGATGACTCATCTCGGGGCGTATTGATCTCGCCCGTGCAGGAGGCGACTCCACCAGTCGAGGAGACGATGCAGGACTGGAGGAGAGGCGGGCAGATGGGTTGCTGAGGATGAGTGTTTGTGTTGGGGGCGCGGGAGGTATTGCTGGCCGATTTGATGACGGAGGCGCCTCTTGTCCAGAATATGCTATCTTCTCTGTATGAGGCGGGTGATTCATGTTTGCTTAAAGGTGTTCTTCTTTTGATTATGTGTCACTGTTCGGGGTTTCTTCTCAGACTGATCCGCGACTATATCGCTCGTGGAGAAAGGCTCAATCCCGAGGGTAACCAGTGGCAACGAGTACAGTTGATGAATAAGGTCCCACCACAAGCTCCCGGCGAATGCGGATGCAGAGTTCCTGGAACAGAACGAGGCATGCGTCCCAAATTGGGCAGAGTACCGTAACCGGGACACAACGGAATGCACTATGTCGCTTTCATCCAACTTGCATTCCAATACACACACAAGATATTGGATGGATATCTCTAGGCTCGATAATCGAAAGCATATGCTAGGTCTATATTTTTCTCTAAGGTGCCAGTACGTCTATCGCGGCTGAGGGGGTCACAATACCTGTAACTGATGAACGCTTGAAATCGCTTGAAAAGTAATTACATTGAAAAGGAGTTACCACCAAGTCTTGCTCTATAACCGGAGGTCTTTCATCAACGCTTACTCTCCATCCCGATCAAACATCTTGTTCATTGCTTTGTGAGCCAGTTCCACACCCAAGAAGGTTGCTGCGTTCGCGGGCACAGCTCGTGCCATGGCAGGGCCCATGCCAGGGAAAAAGGCTTTCAAGCCGCCGCTGGCGTGAATGCCCTTGATAGTGCCGCTAATGGTCGGTCGACCTTCGGCACTCTGTAGTCGTGATTTGATGGTGTCGATGGGGAAAACGGGAATCCACATAGCAATACCAGCAGCACCGCCAGCCACCATAACAGCGGATAGCGATAGCTGACCTGGCTGGCCTGTCACCGGATCTTTGGGTGTCAACCTTCTCTTGACGATCTCGTATGTGGCGAAGTAGCATGCGGAGCCTGGTCCATCGCGGGCCAGCGTCATGGCGGAGCCGCGGAACACAGAGCGAACGCCTCCCTCTTTGTATAACTGGCGCACCACATCGACGCCGCCCGAATATTTGGGTTTCTCGCCAGGCGCAAGCTGTTTCTGGCCCTGAATCTGTAACAGAACTTTGACGCGTTCAAAAGGTGCGGTGATGAGAGTCATTGGGATGGCACTGAAGAAACCAGCAGCGGCGACCTGGCCCACGGAGAACTGGTTGTTCTCGACTTTGGAGAAAGAAGAGACGAGCTGTTTCCCGACATCGTAGCCCCAGAAGGAGACAGCAACTGGCAAAAATCAGTCTTGGTCCATTTTAGCATGTGATGGCAGATGAACATACACATGGGAGTTACGCCAACTAAGGGCGCAGATACACCTGCGTACAAACCGCGCGCAAGACCTTCACGCGCAATTGTTTTCCTGACAACGTCCATTGCACCGCTGTACACTCCCTTCTCTGCCGTCTGTAATCGCACCTTGACCAGATCGAAGGGGTGCCCCACGACCACAGCGCATACACCACCCACGCCGCCGGCAGCGAGGGCTCGCAGCGACTGCATGGAAGACTTGGAGGCGGCCTTGACGTCTTCCTTGAGCTCTTCTGCCGAAGGCAGTTTCTCTGTAACCTCGCCCATGATTGCGACTGAGAATCCGGAGTGAGTGTGGCTGGGAACGCAATGATGTGACAACAGGAGCGGAGTGGAAAGAGAAGAGAGCTCAGCAAGGGAACAGAGAAGAGCGGTCAAACAGCCGGCACAGCTCTGGGGCAGATGTGAGGAAGTTTGTTGATTTGCATGTGCGTTGCAGGGAAACACAGCATGTAAGAGGATAGCTAGCTCTCCAGCTGTCCGGCAGTATCCCCACAACGGGATGGGATGGGTTACTTAAGTACCTCGGCTGAAAGTCCGACAGCCGACCAGCTTCCCCGCGAGTGATGGCCTTGGAACGCTTGGAGGATAACTCTGGCGGCGTTTAATATTGCAGACGGGTGAATGGGACCAAGACAATTCTTGGCGCCGCATATCCAGAATGTGCATCCAGCTAGTTGATGGCATTCTGGCCGATCGGTGGTTGGCGCGTCGGATGAGATGGATGCTGGTAATATTGCAATCACGTGTTGAACTTTTGGGAGGACTTGATACATTCTGTGATGTCATATTACATGACATGGCACCAGCGCGTCCCATAAAGGTGCACGAAGCCCACCGAAACTTGGAAGAGGCTGGAGTTCGTCAAGCTCGTAGCAATAAGATAAAAGCAGGCCAATGCCAAAGTTCCCTTGTGCAGATCCAACTCACTCTCTGAATTGTTGGGCCTTCGGGTGAAGCCTGCTCTGCTGGTAGACGGCGTCGAGACGAGACATATCTCAGGAAGATAAAAGAGAGAATAAACCACCCTAAGCTCAATATATTGTTGCACTGTTCCACAGATATAATGTCTTTTACCAGCCCATCCCAAACAGGCACCACCACTGGATTCCTGTCATTCAACAGCCACCCGCCGAGAATATATCTAACCGCACCATCCGACCACACCCCCGAACGGGTACGTATCCTGGAGCCGAAAGTCCATTTTGAGACCCATTGATATATTCTTGCTTGCACTTCACTGACTCTGTGTGCCTGTCTGTCTAGGCGCTCCTCGAATGGCGAGACGAAGGGTACGAGGCTAGCTATCTCCCCTATAATCCGGACGCTCAGGCGAGCTACATCCATACCATAAAGACTCTACACGAGAACCTCAAGCTCGGTGAAAACTATGCCATTGTGTGCTACGGTGATGCCGCCAGCGTAGTGCTCAAGACAGCTCTTAAGCCTCTGGCGCATTGCTGCGCCATTGTGGCATATTATCCACCGATTCTTCCATCCCCCAAGGCCAAATTCTCTTCCCAGACTCGTATCCAGATCCACGTTGCTGGCTTGAGTCAAGTGAGTCCTCCGAGCGAACTATGCGAGTTCCAAGTCTATCGATACGAGTCTTGCGCTATGGGGCTTGCCGATCCCAGCGCCGACACCTACTCGGAAGTCGAGGCAAATCTCGCCGGTAGTCGGACACTTGGGTGCTTGCGAAAAGCGTTCAAGCTAGATGTCGACCTGGAGCCGATTGTAAACGCGGCGCACAAGGCAAAGTACCAAGATGAGGTACCGGAGAGGGCCAGTATGGCAGTAGTGAAGAGTATGACGCAGAACAGTCCCCACGTCACCATTGTGCCTACGCTCGAGGGCGGTATCGGGCGCAGGAGTCTGGAGGAATTCTACCGCGAGTATTTCGTACCAAGCCTAGTGGAGGACTTCAGCATGCGCCTGATATCTCGGACGATTGGAGTCGATCGTGTGGTAGACGAGATGGTAATCTCCTTTACTCATTCCGACGAAGTGGACTGGATACTACCGGGCGTTCCTGCTACCAACAAGAAAGTCGAAATTGCTATAGTGAGCATCATCACTGTGCGTGGGGGGAAACTGGTGTCGGAACACATGTATTGGGACAATGCATCCGTCTTGTATCAAGTCGGTCTCTTGGAGCGGTCCTTGATTCCCAAAGCGTTCAAGGACAAGGGCCTGAAGCACCTACCTGTGGTAGGGGCTGCAGCGGCGCACACACTTATAAAACCTAAGCAGGGAGAGTACAATGGTTTGTTGAGGGAAGCCGGTCTTCTGCCTGACTCGAGTACGCAAACGAATGGCCATTGAAGGGGCTACAAAGTATCTATCCAGCCCATAGCAGTATGGCTTTGCGTGACGCTGAGTTCTTGTACGTCGAAATGATATTCACAGGCTATAGTGCCATTGGTTGGCGTTTAGGTTCATCTACCCAGGCTCATAGCAACAGGCAAAAGTCAGGAAGTGATGATTTGCTGGCGAAACCATATACGAGATTCAATGTACCATGTAGCGGATAGATAGTGCGCGATCCGATTTAACGGGGCGGCGGGATCCAGTTTTCGAACCCCCGAATTTCGGCTGATAGCTTGGCATGCAATTAGTGTGCACAACGAGTGGACATGTAGAATGGAGATCGGGCAACACTCTGCTGCTGTTACAACTGATATATAACCTATTCTTTTCGTCTCATCCAGCATGAAATGAGCATAACAGCTCAACAGTTCCAAGCCCGTTTGGCTAAGTGGTATAGCGTCTCACTAGTAATACCTCTTAATGATCCCAAGCTATGAGAAGATCATCAGTTCGATTCTGATAATGGGCATCTCGATTTTTTTGGTGATGGATGCGGAAGTGGGGGCGATTATGTTGGCGCCGTCCTTTTTTCTTTTTTAGGACAAGCTCACAAAGTCTACACTGGGCTTTCTTTGGTGGGGAAGGAGAGCATCGACTTGGTAGATGGGGACACACTTGAGCTGTCTTAGTAATCTTAGTATGTATGCTGTCGAAGATGTCTGTATCCTCTGTCCATGGAACATGTTGTGCCGGCAAAAGTGGCAAGCGGATCACGGCAAGGGCATTCTATTTTTGCTGCGTCGGATTACCCGTTGTCTCTACAAGGGAGCGGAGTGTGGTAGAGACACAAGAAAGTGGAAATGACGACAGCGGTGCTAAGAGATGATGGAGATATGGAGGCAGTAGTAGTCGACTATAAAACATGACTTATACACTAGAGAACAGGATATGATGCTGTACGTGCTAGCTGGCAGCCCAGTGCAAACAACCACAGACAGGTACAGAGGCACGAGACTCGGAAGAAAGATGAGCAACAACCAAGGGCAATTTGGCTTCCACGAACCGGGGCAATGGGTGACTAAGGCTGATGGTTTATTTTCAATCTGCGTGCAATCAAGTGATATTGCCCAAGACCGCACGAGAGAGCGGGTTCGGCAAGGCTGCAGGGGAGCGCGACGAGTTTAATTGGCGTCATCTCGCTCACGGGCAGCCGGCCAATGAGGCAGCACGTGCCCCTGACAGGGAAGCGGCGGCTAGCCTGCACGAAGCCCGAAGGAATTGGCCCTGCCCGCTGCGTGTGCTGTGGCCCTGAGTGGTGCGCTGCCGTCACTGTGGTGTAGTCGGTAGCAGTCGATCGAATCGTCGTGCCTGCCCTACCCTACCTTTGTCGCCGCCCTGCTCTTTCCCTTCCTCACCTCGCTCTGGTCTCGACTACCTCTCTCTCCACCTTTCCTCCTCCTCCTCCTCCTCCTCCTCCTCACCACCACCACCGCTACCAGCACATCCCCCGCGATCTGGCTGCTGTCTGCCCTTCCTTCATCAGACGCAGTCCTCGCCCACATTCATTACACCTAATCCCGCTCTTTATACCCTGATGTATAGTGCCTATTAGTCCGCTTGCCTGTACCGCCTTGTTTGTGCTGCCCATCCATATACATATACACACACAACAAGCGCGTCGAACCACATTCCGCAACCACGCAGACAAGCCTCCCTTTCTTGCGCCACTCTGTATATACCCGGAAACTTTGCGCCATCCAGCCCTAATATCATTATTATAATTCACCACCATGGTCCACCCGCACCCCTTCGGCCATTCGCACTTGGTCCGTCGCCAGCGCCATCGCCAGCAAGAGGAGAATGAAGACGACGAGAATGTCGTCGTCGTTGTGACAACTTTGAAGAACACCTTCACCGGCGACGTCGTCTTTGTTACCCAGACCCCAGTGTCCTTGATCCCTCCCATGACGCAGCCCGATTCCGAGCCCACTGTTACCTCGCCGCCCCGGAGACCCGCCAGCAGCAGCAGCAAGGAAGAGGAGGAGAGCGAGCCCGAGGAGACCGCTAAGCCATCTTCCTCCGCCTCCACCTCTGCCTCTGAGAAATCGTCGCCATCAAGGGCTGCTGCTACTTCGTCGCCTTCCTCCATTGCCTCTTCAACGGGACTTGCAGCTGTTGCAAGCTCCACCGCTGGAACCACGGCACGCGCTTCCGTCTCTTCAGCACCGAGCCCTACTACATCCGCTGCTGCTGCTGAAAGCAGTGACAATGGCGGCATGTCTGGCGGTGCTAAAGCTGGTCTCGCTCTCGGTATCCTTATCGGTGTTGGTGCTCTCCTAGTCGGTATCTTGTTCATGTACCGCAAGAAGAAGAATGCTCAGGCAGGAAAGAACGACGACGATGAAAAGTTTGCCATGCAGAACGCCCCTCAACCGCCCGCGCCTCAGGTCACCACCATGCCTGCTTTCAACGAACCCATTCAATCGACTTCTCCGTCTACCGCACCTCAATTGAGCCTTCGACCCGTTACCCAATTCGATCCGGCCCTTCCAAACGGCGGCCTCGCAGCAACAGCAGCAGTGCCGCTTGCTGGCTCAACTGATCGCTCTGCGTCCCCTAATCAAGGTCACAGTGCATGGGAACGTCCTGGGACTGCCAATGCTGCCAACGCACCCGCCAATCCGTTCAACGACCCGCAGCCACCACGATCCAACAGTCCCGCTCAAAATCCGTTCGAAAACAGTGCTGCTATTCCGTTGTCGCCTACCTCGCCCATGGCTGCTAACAGTGCCACGCAACCCAACGCCAACTTTGCCAATCCTGCTCCCGCTATCGCTGCCGCGGCGGCAGTCGCTGCCGCAGCTCCTGCAGCCCGATCCGCTCAAGCACCCAAGGAGCCTGCCAGCCCCGCCTGGACCGATGATATTCCTGCTTCTCCCGGACCCGCCCCCTCTGGACCTTTGCCCATTGCAGCCAATGCTCGTCCCAGAAATGGTCCAGCTCCTGGACCCAATAACGTCCACCGTGTACAGCTCGACTTCAAGCCCTCCATGTCCGACGAACTTGGTCTACGCGCCGGTCAACTTGTTCGCATGCTTCACGAGTACGATGATGGCTGGGCTCTCTGCGTGCGCATGGACCGCTCCCAACAGGGTGTAGTCCCCCGTACCTGTCTCTCCAAGTTGCCCGTCAAACCTCGCACTGGTCCACCTCGACAACAGACTCCACCGGGCGGGCCGGGATCCCCTCGTATGCGTGGCCCACCACCGCCCTTGGGAGCGCAACCTCGACCTCTGTCTCCGGCAAGCGGACGCAATTCCCCGCACCCGCCCATGCTTTCATCAGGTAACGGCCGCATGTCTCCGGGCCCACGTACTATGAGTCCGGGACCCAACCGTCAACAGCAACCCCCGCAAGGCCGCAACCGTTCTCACAGCAATGCGCCTCGCGCTGCTTCTCCCGGCCCTCATTCCATGGCCCCACCTCAGATGGGACGTCCCCGTTCCAATTCTGCTGGCGGCGCTGCCCGTCGTGAGCCGCAGCAGGGCCATGGACCTAGTCCCATGAACCCCAACGCGGCCGCGAACGCCAATGTGAATGCTAGCGCACCCATGCCGACCAGAAAACCACTGCCGGGTCAAGCCATATGATCTATGTCTTGAACTGATGTGAATTTTCATGAATGAGCGTGCTTTGCCATGTATGAGACGAACGGAAGTATACCCTTTCCTCTCTTCTGCACTACTTTTGGTTTTCAATTTTGATATCTGCTTGTTGGAGTGTCACCTGCTGGGGGACGAGCCTACCTTTTCTTGGGTCAGACGTCGTTGACTCGGTTGTCCTGGTTTTTGCTTTGATCTTTTGATCTACTTGTTTCTTTTGTCATCCCTTCCCCCCTTTCTCTTTATCTTGTCAAAAGGCTAGGCCCCTTTGACGTCTACTTTTCCTTCTCTGTCTTGTTGGGAGGGAGGGAGGGTGGTATGATGTGATGTGATGGATAGATGGAGGAAGGGATGTGGCGATAGGCGCATGCCGAGTGTATGTATGTATCCATGTACATATGCTAGAATGTATCCTTTTCTCGTGAGTTTGGTTCATCCATGCCCAGTTGTGCTTTTGAGTGAGGTTGCATACTTGTTACATTGACCAAAAAGAAGTCGGATACGTAAGTGTACTGCATGCATGTAGCCAAGTGAACTGACGCCGTGAGATGGATTCCATATTCATATTGAGAATACGTATGGCTGGAAAGAAGACTGGGTTGTACAAAGAGACAGAACGTGGTCAGGTATGCAAACATCACTTTGCAAAACACTCTTGTGCGATTTCTTTTTCTTTCTTCATTCTCATTGATTGTGTGTGTGATGTTATATGTAATTGGTGAATAAGTATGACGTCTAAAGAAGAAGGAGAAATATTCTGACTACTCAATCGACCTTGATGGATCTGTAGATCTTGATGACGAACAATCCGCTGGCGAAGAACCCGATGGTGCCTGTTCAACGTACACGTGGTCAGCGTCTAGAAACTTCAATCGAACGGGCGCACGCCCATGCTTGCACGCAATGAGGGGCTTGGGAAAGGGAAGGAAGAAAGTACTCACCAGTCAAAACGAAGAACAACAAACTCAAGAGCAGACTGTAACCCAAGTAAACCACCCCCGAAGTCCAGCTTAAGAAGCTCACATCCTTGATCCAATACAGCAGCGCACTCGCAAACACGTACAGCGCCGAAGCACCCGCAGTGAAGAAGCTGCGCCATTGCCAGTGGTAGTTCTCGGCGCAGAGCAGGAAGTAGACCATGAGCACCGTCACGGCCGCTGATGTCATGATCATGAGTCCGTAACAAATGAAGAGGAATCCAAACATGTAGTAGACCTTGGAAAACCAAATCGACTTCAGGATGAAGTAAAGCTCGACAAAGATGGCACCGAACGGTAGGATTCCCGACAGCGCCATTGAGGGAAGGGGTCGTAGGTACCCGCCCGAGGGGGGGATTTGGCGCGGAATTTGGTTAGTGCGAACAGGAGATTCAATGACAGGCTGCTTGAAGCCAACCCAGGAGCCTGCGAAGCTGAGTGGGATGCTGACAACAAACCAGATAATGACGAGGACGAGCATAGTTGTGAATGGGACAGCTCCAGATGCGCCGCGGCCCCACACAAACAGGTTGAGCAGAAAGAAGACGGAGAAGACGATGCTGGGTAGTGCGAGTGGTGTGTAGAAGAAGCACAACTTCCAGGACTCGCCATTGAAGAACTTGTATACCCGCGACGACACGTATCCTCCAATGAAGCCAAAGAGAGTGTAGAAGACGATGATGACGGTGCCCAGAGCGCCGCGGTTGCTAGGCGAGAGGAATCCGAGCAGGGCAAAGGCGATAGTCAGACCGACCATCATGAAGAGCTGAGCCCCATTGCCTACGAGTACGGCAAGGAATAGGGGGTTTTTGGGTGGACGAAAAACATCGCCGTGAACCAATTTCCAACCCGAATCTTCTTGGACACCGTCCTCCACCGAGTCTTCCCCAAAGTCATCGAGGGCGAGTTGATCGAGTCTGTTGTACCTGGCAATGTCTTTCCTCAAGGTGCGTACAAGAATTGTGCTAACCATACCAATCAAGAATATAACAATGATGGCCGAGTTGATGAGTGAAAACCAATGGATCTTGGGGTCGTACACATGCAGGTATTTGTCCCAACGTGTAGCGAAAGGCGTAGGACTGGGGCGCCAGTAGACACTGTAGGTAAATGTCACAGCGTTATTGTCGTCTTCACTCAAGATAACTGGTTGTTGAGCCGTGGCGCAGTCATCACCGCTCGGGAGGCTGGTGTACTGATTCGACCGTGGTTCCACCAAAACGCCAACTACACGAAAGTTATCCGGACCGGCTTCATGATAGTCAATGATGATATCGTAGTGATTGTTGAATTCAGGCCTCTCATCCTCCACCTGACCAAGGGCAAACCCCGGACTATAAAACTGGGTGTCGGTGCTGGGATCTGACAGATGTTGAGCCGCAGGCAATCCATCAATGAGCCAGTTCATGTCGTAGTCCTGGTAAATGCGGGCGTTGACAAAAAGAGCATCGCGGCCAGGAAAATCCTCGGTGGAGCAAAGGACTTTGCAAGTTTGGTTTTCTGCCATCTTCAAATCGAAGGGACTGGTCTGTATGCGGTCGCCAAACAATATGCTGCCCAAGCTCTCCCGCACGTATTCGGGCCCATCTTTCGGCTGGCAAAAGTGGAAGGGCTGATGATAATAATCGAAGGAGAAGACGGAGCGAAGCTTCGGATCGTTTGCGGAGTCGGCAGGCGTGAGATGGTTCACGAAGAGCGGTACGGGTTGGCCTTTTTTGTAGGATGTGGGCGCAACACCTGGGAAGTAGAAAGCGGTACTAGGGACGGGCGCAAGAGCCAGCAGCGCGACCAGAGCCGCGCCAGGCCGTGATAGATCTCGCATGACGGGCGGGAAGAGTTGCGGGTGTAGGAGCAGAAGTGGTATCTGTGAACGGAGATGAGGGTTGAAGAGAGGAGGGCACTATGCCGACTGTCAGATCTCAGTGCTGCCAGGGGGATACGGGAAGCTCACAAGTGCCCGTTAGCGATGAGAGGCCAAGGTGCAATGGGCCGGGCTGCAGAGTCAGATGGAGCAGAGATGGGCTGTCTGGTGAGGGCGAATAAAGAATTGTGTCGGTATTCAGGCAAGCAGTGAGGAAACAAGCTACCTGGCCGCAAAAGAACATGAGCTGTAACCAGCCGACTTAGCACTTACTTACTTAGCTAACTTAACGAACCTCGCTGCTGGCTCGGAGGTGCCTGGTTGGCTGACTGACGGATGATCCGAGCGCCCGGAGCCGTGCGACTTGGTACATATGTACTGTCGAGTGTACACAGGCACTTACGTAGCCATCCATGTACATGTCCAGACAGTCAAGCACACTTTGCTGGTACGCGCAAGCAAACAGGCATTCACTCATCATCATCACTCTCCGTCACGGCCGGATAGAATTACATAGCTGATTTCCTGACTCTCATTCTACACCACCATGGTATGGCTACCTGCTCAACCTGTGGTCATTGTTTCATTTCGGTCTTGGGTCGTCGTCGCATCCGCTTTCACGCCGCGACGCCGCCCTATATACATGTGCAACCATCCATGTCTCCATTTGCTTCACCACACAGAGCGAGCATCATGAGCCCATGGCTAAATCTTCCCCCGCCCCTGGCCTCCTCGTCCAATCACAAAGATTGGCAGGTTGCATCGTATGCTAAAAGAAATCCATCCCATGCGCTGTTTGATATCAAGGCACCCAAAAACACCGGCAGAAACGACACGCCTCCCGCACTATCATCATCCGTTAGGACATAATGATGCCTCTTCTATACGAGGCCATCGTACAACGAGAGAGCCGACACGATTGTCTCATCACGCTTGGATCCTTCCTTGAATTCCGCCATATCCAGGCTGCCGTTCTCGTCCTTGTCCATCATCCGGAAGATCTTGCGCACGCGCTTCTCAGGCGTGTCTTCGTCCTCGGGAAGCTTGACCATGGATCCGACCTAGATTTTTCCAGTTAGTAGAGGGCCCATTGAGCACGTCTTTGGGTCTCACCATCTTGTATATAGCCTCGACGATGGCCAGCATTTCCTCGTAGCTAATCTTTCCATCGCCATCGATGTCGTACAACTGAAACGCCCAGTCAAGTTTATCCTCCATCTTTCCTCGGCTGGTCACGCTCAGAGCGCAGATGAATTCCTTGAAATCAATGGTTCCCGACTTGTCCGCATCGAAGACGTTGAAGACGTAATCTGCAAACGACGACGGATCGCCAAACGGAAAGAACTGCTTATAGATCTTCTGGAACTCTTCTTTGGTGAGCATGCCAGAGGGACAGTCCTTTAGAAAGCCTGTGCCGGGTCAGCCTCGTTCTCTCATAACGCTGTTTGTGTTCCCTCGCACCCTTGTACCATTGCTGCAGTTCCTTCTTGTCGAAATGGGTGGCTTTCTGGAGGTCGGCCAGCTCCTGCTGAGAGAGCTTGCTTTGACTGTGGTATTGCACAGTCAGCTTCTGATTCCCGAATACGATTGATTGCATGATGCCCCGACAAGCCAGGTCCTCGTTGAACAGTCTGAGCGCATTGGCCAGGGCGACATTCCGCTCGGTGTGGTAGTGCGGGTAACGTGCGTCGCCCGGGTGTGGTGGCTTCGTATGGTGTTGGCGCGCAAAGTTGAGTAGCGGGGCATGGTCGCTTTCCAGCAGAGGCACTTTGCGTTCGCCTAGCGGCATATGCGTGCGATCATGTGGTCCGGCAGGCATTGTCCAATGTTCGAGGGTCGAGTGTCGAGCGCGGTCACGGTGTTGATGGGGTGGGCGAGGCGGGTTGCGACGGCTGCGTCATGATGAAGGCTATGAGGATGTGCCTGCGTTTGCACTGGACATGCCCAGGACGACCTGGCTCTGGCCTTGAGGGTATACATGGAAAGCGTCGCCCAGAGTGAATGTGGGCGGGCCACGGCGGCGAAGAATGCAGCAAAAAGGGAAGCGAAGAGGAATGCGACTTACGATTTGCCCATGACTGGGAGCAGCTGTGGCCGCGGGGAAGTTGGGTGGAAAGGGCGAATTAACGGGGGTTCAGAGAGGACGGGTTTGGGATGGAGAACAGCAGACGGAAGAGGTCGGTGGAGTAGGCAGACGCGGAGATGCGAAGCGCTGGAGCTGAACGAGACGAGACGAGACGAGACAGTGGGGGTGGGGGCAAGTGCAGAGAGGTGTGGCGGGAGGCAACAAGTGAAGGGAGGCGATATCTGTGTAGATGTACATCTTGGTTAGAAGGGTCGGCGGCCACAGGCGAGCGGGTAGGCACGTACATATGTAGGTAGGCGGTAGGGGAAGGCAGGGCTGAGAAGGGGGGAGATCAAGTCGAGGCAGACGGGTGGTGGTAGGTAGATAGATGATGATGATGGGTAGCAGATGTCGTGGTAGCGGGGTTGGCCGGGTATGCTTAAGGACGCAGCCAAAGCAAAAGGCGACAACCACACACACAGTTCAACGGGGCGCAGTCGAGGACCGGTCGAGCGAACAGGTCAGCAATCAGTGTGAATGGGCAGGCATCGAGACGACGTCTTTGCGAAATCAAGTGCTTGCCAATGACTACAAAGCTATTGCATTGTTGCTTGGTATATATGTACCCAGGTAGCTGTGTTATGGTATGCGCAACTCGGCCATGGCAACCAAATGGAGACCGACTGGTTGGCTGCAAGAGCCAGCACTCTGCTGTTTCGGATGGGTGCAGCATGTCCATCCATCTGGTGAAGAAAGCAGGTACACGGGCATGACAATTGCTGCACGACACATTGAAGCGAGACGGATACGCAGGCGAATGGCGCAGTCTGTACAGATACAGTGGTCTGGCCTTCCCTTTGTTTGTGCCTGGTTTTTTTTTTCTGGGGCCATTGTTTGGCCGTAGCATTTCCCCCAAGATTGTGTGGATGGCAATCGTCATAATGTGCCTAGGGGTTAGGTGGGTGCTAGTCGCATACTACATCCACTACATCCATGCCGAGGGGAAGAGAGAAGGGAGTGTGGGTGTGGAGGGGCGGCGGCTGTATTACATAATCACATCTTCCAACACTCGACCCTCACTCACTCCAGCTGTACCTGTACAGCTGCCTCACATCCATTGGTGCTACACTCTCTCTCTCTTCTGCACGGGCTGCACTTCAACCGCGCGCCATGGACGCCACGCTGCAGGATCAATTCAACCGTGTTCAATCCGCGTTGGAAACCCTCGTTGATTCCATTGCCGCCTACAATCCATCCACTCAGGCTGCTGGCGAGCTGCTCGCTGCAAACGATTCTCTTGGTCGCGGCCTGGATCAGCGTACGACTTTCCTCCTTTCGTACTTTTCCAATTGCTACCGACTCTCGTCTCACGCTCTACATTGTTTCTATTCTTGCATCGTCGACTGACAAACACCCCAGTTGCTCAACATCAAGCAAACCATCGCCGCATCCAGTCCCTACGCACGCGCGCCGACGTCCTCGAAGAACAACTTCGGAGTTCGGTTGCCACCCTCGCCCATCTACGTCGTGAGCTCTTCACCACCCCTGCAACTACCTTTCCCGCCGATTCTCGTCCCGTCCCTGCCAGTGAACTGCTTCTTTACGCAAAGAACATCTCCCAATACACCGTTCCACCCACCTATCGTGAGCCCGTGCTGGCTCTTCCCGCGGAAGAAAACAAGAGCAGTACCCCTACAGCACAAGCTACTCCGGTCAACGCCGCTGCTACGGCTGTGCAAGATCCTCAAGCCAGCAATGGAGACACAGCACCTGAAAGCACGGCTGGTGTGACAGTCGAGGAGGCAGAATGGCTGAAGAAATTACAAGAGAGCAATACAGCTTGGGATCCATGGCCTAGCGATGAGAAGATTCGGAGCAGCAATTTAATGCAAATACAGTATCTGGTGGACACAGGCCAGGACCCAAAGCTGGTGGATCTGACAAAATTGGGAGAGGAAGAGAAGGAGCATATTGCAGCTGATGCACAACGCGCCGCCGATCAACTGCAGCAAGCCAGTGCGGAACCACACAGGGCTCAAGTACAGAATCCAAATCCATCGACGTCGGCGCATGCACCTGCTGCACCGAGGCCTCCAGCCGAGACATTCGGGGGATTTGATTTTCTGGAAGATGATGATGATTGAAATGAGAGAATCTAAAGTATCGGCAGATACTGATATCATTCTAGCAAATTGATGACTGCCGGGCCCATTGATCTGTCGCATACAAGCTACAAGGTTAGGGCATGTTCCCACCAAATCCTAAAGTAGTTTAGCCTAGTGCTCGATAGCGTCTTCGAATCTGAGGCCGGACAACCATGTTTCTTCGATGTCTTTTCACAACTTTCGATTTGTAACATAACATGCGTGCAACGACTAACCGTACCTAACAAAATTCGATGGCGAGCACTGCGCCACAGAGTCGCCCGTATCGATCCCATCGTGTTCCAGCATGCATCCGCTGTCGGTCGCGTAAAATCAGGTGCCAGATCGATATCCCGGGCGAACCATGCAACGCATGTCGGACAGCAACTCAGCCCGGTCAAGAACGCTTGCAATGCCAGTACATTGAGTCATCTTCTTCCAGCAAACCAGAATCTCCCAATAGTCGTCCCACGACTAAGCGACGCCGCATCAGCAATTATAACAATGTCAATGATTCCGAAGCCAATACGCCCGTACGACCATCCTCAGCACCACTATTGCATAAACCGTCTAGCCATCCATCAGCAAGTATTATTCTAGCCCCTCATGTAGCGGAAGACGTGGACATAGTCCAACGACACATCTCCCGAGATGCGAGCGCTTCTATACCAGGAACTACCTCTATGGGCAACTCGGGGACTGGCTCGGCGACTGCAACCACATCTGCGCCTGCAACTCAACCTTACTCAACTGTTTTCCGCGATGTTTCCAATCCCATTGTATATTTGACAGTGCCTCGATTCCGAACAGGTTTAGCGCCCGAGCTGGGCGCTGGCCGAGAGCAGTTCGAAGTGATTTCGCAGATTGTAGGTCCCTTCAAACGCGAAGTCGTGAACCTCTATATGAGTCACGTGCATTTTAGCTTTCCGATTCTTGACGAAGAAACGTGCGCACGCCTTCTACAGAAAGATGGCAATCAAGCGGTGCCAAATTCCGTCTTGTGCTGCGTGTATGCCGCAGGACTTACTCAATGGAATCTTTCTTCTACTCTCAGAATGCACCCCAAGCCAAATTTACATTTCGTTTTCACAAAGGCAAGTACTCGTCTCCACTATATATACTGGATCATGAAACTAATAGGAAAACCATGCTATAGGCTATCAGTGCCGTTTTGGAAGATTTTCTGAGTCCCAGTATGGGGACCGTTGCAGCGGCCCTGTTGGATCAGATTGGCCGTCCCAGCGTGTCTATTGTGGGAAACCTAACGCTCTGCGGGCGAACTGTGGCGCTGGCTCAGGCGTTTGGATTGCATCGAGACCCTTCGAAGTGGAATGTATGTACCAAAATACTCGCCAGTTTTACACACCACTCTGTTTTTGAGTTGTATATCCTTTGCCAATCAATTGTTCTATCAGTTTTTTTGTTTACTCCCATTAGAAAATCTTATGGATATACCTCGCTGCCTCTTGTCAACTCACGTGGTCGATTCAAACTCTTCTGTCGCATGTTGACTTTTCTGTAGATCACTTCCCCCGAAAAGGTTGCCCGTATACGTACCTGGTGGGGGGTTCTGATTACCGATCACTGGAGCAGTCTTGCACACGGCGTTCCTCCTCAAATTTCCAAAAGGTTTTACGATGTCCCACGACCGACTATTGCCACTCTTCTCCCATCTACATTTCCTGATGGCAGAATTGGTCCCACTGATACCCAAAAGCATGCCACAGCGAACTTTGTTCACCTGTGTGCCCTAACAGAGCTTCTCGGGGAAGTTCTCCCTCTTGTCTATCAAGTACAACCACTGGTCTCTGACCTGGACTCCGTATCTCACCCAGCCGTACCAGATCAAGCAATACAAGACTCCAAGACTCGACTCAGTATCTTAGAACACCAAATTCCACCCTGGCGATCTCAGGTCTCCAGTCCAGGTCTTAGTAATTTGTGGTTCTGTTTCCTTTCGACACGACTGTTATTAAGTCGAGTCACGCTGCGAGCCGCGGTCGTTAGAGGCGATGTAACGCGAAAGCTGGCTGGACTCCGGGAATTGCATAGTGCTGCGAAGGGAGTGCTGGAGTTCATACTTAGGTTAGGGCAGATCGAATTCAGGGATTTTTGGTTTCCATACGCTACGCATCTACTTGTGCAAGCTGTTACTGGTATGTTTCCTGTTTCCATTCTGTTTATCTTTACACGAATTCTGCCATCCCCTTGATCCAGTCATTTGATCCCCCTTCGCATTCGACCTGCATTATTTTTATTGTCTACTAACCTACGTTACCAGTTTCCCTCCGCTGCACTCTTGAGACCGAATCATCCGAGGCACGACAAGTTTCTGTGTCCATGCTCCAGCGCGTTCTCGACCACATTAGATACGCTCGAGACACCTATGACTGGGATGTAAGTTCACAAACCCCCCAACTAAAGTTCTCGTGGCTCTGTGAAGTAACTCAAGATCGCTTTTAACGGAAGTGAAGCACGGTTAAGAAGCATTTTATTCAAAACAAAGAAAGACTACTAAATATTTTGCCTCACAGATAGCAGACTATTGCCTTGAACGCTGCACCGACTCTGTTTCCAAAGTCGCCGCTATCTTCCAATCATCCCATTCCACCGCGTCCGCCACGGCATCTTCGCAATCCCAGCAATCGCATCAACTATCCCACGACCATTTACACCACTCACAGCTTCCACCACACCTCAATCAACACCGCTCTAACATCGCCAATACGTCCTCTTCCTCGACTATACCTCCCACAAACCATTCGCGTACTTACCCATCCTCTCCCGTCGATCTTCAACCTACTGTCACTGCTAGCGCAGATCCCCTTGCTTTTGCTGATCCAAACGCCGCTGATCCTCTCCCTCTATCTGATCTTCTTGATGCGAGCGGCAACTCGCTGTTTGATTTTGACTTTGATATGTCAATGTCATGGGAGGCATTGTGGGATGCCCCCAGCGGTGTGGGTATGGGTATGTGACATATTCACTAGGCTATTTATACATGAATGTAATAAGAGGGTGAAATATGAAAAGGACAGTTTTTTGTAATGGATAGGATCGATGTTTTGTATCATAAAAAGGTATGTGGATCGAGTGGCCCTATGCCATTCTTTTCATCACTTATCTTGATAATTTTCTATGGAGAATGAGATTTCAAGTGGGAATTGGAATCTCTTCTCTTTGTTTCAATTTCGGGGGGGAGGGCGAGCGGGGGCGGAGGGGTTGACTGTACGATTGTACGATCACTGGTGTATAAGTATTAAGTATGTGCGCAGTACGATGTGCTTCTCTCCCACTTTCATGAGTGGTCACAATCACTTTATAAATTTCTCGGCGCGGGGTATCTTTCCCAGATGACAAACTATTCTCAAAACAAAATGGTATATCGTTAAAAAAAAATCAACAAAATCATTACCGCCCCATACAAATGCCCACGCACTGTTTGTAGCCGAAAGCCAGAGAGTCGACGATTCTCGCAAAACCAATGGAAAGTGCCAAAAGAATTTAGACAAGAGCAATAAGTCATGGTGGAATCCGATCTTTACCCATATAGTCTATCTTTCCTTCACTCATCGGACATACCCTTGTACAGGCGCAGCTGCAGGCATCTCGTTCGGGGCCTGATTATACCCAGAATGCTGCGTCGTCTGATACGTCTGAGGATAGTAACCCTGCTGCTGCTGCGCAGCGTCATAGGGATATTGTCCCATGTCCGAAGTGACGTTGACATCGGTGCCTCCAATGGTAGCGAGTTCCCAAGAGCGGCATTTAGCGAGGAACAGAATCGCCGCGAAACCTAAGATCTGGAACAGATTCTCAACATAGTAGAGGGCATCGCCTGTGACTTGGGAAACGTTAAATCGCATCGAGGTCGAGTAGCCGGAGATGTCGAAGATGGATGAGAGGATTAGGGTGGCGAATATGATTGAGGTCCAGAGGATGAGGTCCTGTTAGAAAATCAGTACTGTTTCTTTTTGGTCTTTTGTGACATGGTGTTTGTGGTAAATGGACGTACCGAGACGGGAGTGCGGACCCTCGACCGCAAAGCAAAGATGGAATGCAAAGCAAGCCCATACCCAACCGCAAGACTGACAATGTAAAGGGCCACATAAGCCTGGTAAAGCTTTGGCAAAACGAGGCGGAGTTTTTGCGTTCTCAATCTGTACCCGTCGTAGCCATCCGAATCAAACTGCCCAGACGCCCAGACTAAGTAGCTAGATATACCGATGTAGACAGCCGTCAACACGCCCATGATAGCCAGAAGCGCGATTGGGACCATCTTGTGTATGCCAAGTTGGCCTTTCCTGCTCAGGCGCTCGCGGAGCATCGAGTTGATGCTCCATACTACCACGCAGAGTAGGAGGAAGGTGCCGAGGCGGAAGAACAGGCTGTATACAATCGAGAGATACAGTGGAGTCATGTAAGCAGACACTCCGCATTCTGCAAGTACCACAGTGATGATGGTGAGGATCCACGAAAACAACATGAACGAGAGCGCTGTGATGTAGATGGGCCCGAGTAACTTCTTGGTGCTGAGACCGCGATGACGTTTTCGCACACAACAGAGGCCGATATGAACCAGGAGCGTGAAGAAGCAGAAGAGAACGACTCCTACAAAGATGACGATGGTGGTGCCAAATCCTCTGTATCCTGTAAAGGCTCCGGGGCAGGCAGGGCTGGAATCAAGACCACCGCTGCTGCTGCTACCGCCGCCGCTGCTTCCACCGCGTCTAGGCGCCATCTCGAATCTAAGGAAATCTGTATGCGCGTTCGAAGTAGGGAACGAGGTGACGTTTGTTTGGTGATCTGGGAGGATCAAGCTATCACCAAAGCACTGATTTGGTCCTCGAGTTAATAAGAAGGAAGGGGGAGAAACCGAAACACTGACGAGGGAGCTAGTCAGCGTGGGAATAGTCGACAATAAAAAAGGCAATTTGGTGAGGAATCGGGGGCCCTTTGTAACATCTCGTTATACCGACATGTCTGCTGGACCGAGCTCAGCCCTCTCGCGATGGGCCTAAAAAGCCCTGCCTAGTCGCTTGAAGAATAGAAGCAACTGCAGGAATTCTTCGTGTAGTGGAAGGCGGCAGCAAATCAGACGACCGTGATTAGCCGCTAACCCCCTGAATACGAGGGCCAAGGCTCGTAGCCAGGGATGCGGAGAGTGTGGGCTTGTGACGGTAAGGTTGAATGCGAAGTAATACGACGCCGCAGGCTTGTAGTCTTTCTTGTGAGGCCCAAACCAGCTAGGATTTGCTGTGTGAAATGGTTTTTCACTCGTCAGGCGACTCCAGGCATCAACACCGCCCCTTTGAGGCCCTCTCGACTGCTCTTCCTGGTGGTGCCTATCTGATCGCGTTGATGGTGTTCGCCAAAGGTTGCCAATGAGGCGGAGTACGGTACAGAGAATCAAAATTAATGACTTCATCCCCTGCAAGTAAGCCAATACCTAGCAAGGGGAAATCGTAGCATCGGTTAAGAACTCCCTAAATTCCTGTAATTGGTTACTTGAATTTCTCCCAGATATAAGCGAAGCAATGCGCAAAATTCCAATGAAACCATTCTGAACACGAGTCTGACTCGGTTCTGTGTACTAAATCAATCGGGTACCATGCTTTTATGCAAATAGATCTTTGATTATACTAATGAGGTTCAAAAAGTTGTACACGTGAATTTAGAAAAGATAGAAACATTTGAAACCAAACGAATAAAGTCATTATACTTGACCAGCCATCCGTCGCATTCCCTTGTACGCCCGCATGAACTCATTACTTTCATTCCTGCGACCTCTTTCCTCCCAGCTCCCCGATGTATCATCTAGAGGAGTAGGAAAACAGAAGCCATCAATGCCGCGAATAAACCAAAAGATGCACTCCCTTGGAGGGATTGGGCAGCATTTTTATCACCAAAAGTCTCTGCTTGCCGGGAAAAGGTTACGTTCTGAGGTATAGTCTCGTTCAGGCAGTGTCCGCCGGATATATCCAGATTGCGAAGGTCGTCTGGCACCTTGAAGAACATGTAGCTCTTATTGTTCAAACCCTCGAAGCCCGAGGTGTCGTACGGAAACCAATTTTCAGCATCCGTAGCCGACGTATTTCTGAGAAGAATGCACTGCACTTGATTGGGATAGTCATGCGCAAGCTCGGGGTATGCCTTCATCACATCCGAGTTGGATGTGTCGGCGACAAGAACAAACTTTCGCTCCGGGTAGGTTTCGAATACTTTGGTCAAAAGGAATTTGCGAATGGAAAGCGTGGCTTGGACATCGGAGAAGTTTAAAGGGCGAGTGTCAAAAGAGCCTCCTGGGTATGTTTTGAAGATAAAGTCCATGTAATTTCTGGTGACTTGCTCGGGGGTAGTAGTAAGGTAATGGAAATGAGTGCTGTCAGGCAAAGATTGAGACCAGTTGGCGTAAATCTCTGGCATGTTCATCCATGGCGTGAATGCGCGTGCAAAAGAATTAAGTAAGCCTTCTTTGGGCTGGTAGATCTTGGTCACTCGGAGGATGTCGTCGATGTCGGAGATGAAAGTGATGCCTTTAGGTGGAACAAGGTAGGCGGTAGCATTCCCCGTCAGAGTGCCGTTGGTGTAGACGTTCAGGCGTTGAACTGTTTCTGTTTCGTTTCCTGCAAGAAGCCCGCTGCCCGATATGTTCTGAATCTGCACGAACGCATCAAAGTCGCCCTGGGAAGTGGTCTCATATGGGAATCGGACTTCCTCAGATCCATTCTGAGGGGTGGACGCTGGATTTCCACCAGGCTGACCGGAAGCACCCTGCAGCGGAGAGGGCTCTAGATGGAAGGACACGTTCCTTTCCCCTTGTTGTACGATGAAGATGGAACGGGTGAGGTTTCTGGCCTGTTCCTGCTGGTCCTGGGGAAGGTCTTCGATTTTTGTGTCGATCAAGAAGATGTTGGCAAGTTCATCCACCTTCTTCTGTTCGATGTCGGGGATTTTGTAAACATTTCCATGGAAGCGTACATTCCAACCGCGATCAGTCCAATTGGCATATGGCGGTATGTTCAGAACTTCGGTGGGTTTGGATGCGAGAGAATCGTCGTCAACGCCGAGGCGCGAAAGCACCTCACTACCCGTTGGAAGATCCTGGAACCAATTGGGGATGCCCTCGGTAAAGAAGCTTGGAAGATCAGTGCCTCTACAAGGGATTAGTAAAGAGATGGTATGGACATGGTGGTGAATCGAAAACTTACAGTACACTGCCCCATGACTTCGCAACGCTGTCAACACCAGAAGCAATGTCGGAAAGAACGTTTCTTTTATCGATTGCGTAGTAACTGCGGTCGCCATCGAACATGATGGGAGCCCGCGTGACGTGTGGGCGCTGGAGAGCGACATCTGGGAGGGAGACGGTACGGGTAGGCTCGGGAATGACTGCGGCGGTCGCCGCAGTGGCAAGCAACAACAGCAGTGCGGGCAGCGCGGACGGAGCCATGGCTGTGAAAGCTGTAGACCGGGGAAGGGAAGGAGAAGGAGGGGGAGGTGAGGGGTGATGTATAAGAGGGGGTGAAGAGGTCAGTCAATGGATAGAGGCAAGCACATGTAAACAAACTTGGGCAGGCAAGTGTGCCGATCTTGGAACCGGGATGGGATGCAGGAACACAATTTTAAAGTTGCAAGTGATGTCATCTTACGGGGCATCTTGGAACACCACCGCCAGCCACAACGCGACAAGTGGCTGACCGCGCTGTACACTCGTGCTAGAATTCACTCGTTGCCTACCTACCTAGGTATGTAGATACATGTACAACTCTGCGCTATAAAACGTGGAAGTTCAGTACAAGCAATGAGCCGATCCTACATTCGATCAAGATGCATGAGGGTCTATTGCTTGTCCGAAATGTTATAAAACCGCAGTCCGCCCGTTGCAGGGAAGGGCTGCGTTGGTTGTACACCAGCATCAACTGTTTATCATTTTGAACTACAGAAAGGGGGGCATGAATCAAATACAATTTGGAAACAACTATCAAGAAATATATATTCTGCTTCATTCCCGCGCACTATACACAACTTGCCCAACAATCTAAGCGCTCGATCCACCAAATTGCTGTTGAGCATCACCCTTGATGTGATTGCAGGCTAACTCTCATTCACCATTCCACCCTTTCCGCCGTTTTTGATCCAAGTTAGATAGATGCTTCCTCATCATGCTTGACAGCCCACTATCTTCCTCTTCTCCAAAGCTATCAACTCTTGGTTTAGTTGGGCGGGCCTCTACCTGCGATGCCGACTGGGAAGGCCTAATCGAAGAAGTAGAATCGGAGCCCTCTTCCTCATCAGCCTCACGTTGAATCCCCCTTTTACTCCATTGCGCCTCCAATTCATTTGGTGACTCCTCTTGCGATGCTCGACTCTCCAACGTAGAGCGGCGGTTCAGACCTGTAGGGCGAAGGCGGCTCCGCTGGTCGCCACTGGGAACTGCAAAAGCTACGGGTGCTGGTACTTCAGGAGCTACTATGCCAGCAAGTCGAGCTGAAGGCATAGGATCTTTTCGGCCAGGAGGATTGTTCGATGGCGCAGCAGGTGGTTCGTCGAGATCCTGGCTGGGGTGTATGGGTTGGTGCCGCGTACCGATTTTGAACCGACCATAATTTTGGTCTTTGGGAGGCTGAGAATAATCTGGGGGCGGGAATCTGGGCATAGTAGCATGCCTTGTCAGTGGAGGCGGAGGAGGGGGTGGAGGTGGTTGGCTGCCGCTCGTATCGATCGAACCCATCTTGATTCCGAGTTCGGTCACTGTATCTCTGTTGGAGCTGTTTGCATCTTTGTCCAAATCTCCATGACGAAGATCTACAGATGACTTGTGTTTGACAGCCTCCGGGTGCGTGCTTCCATCTTCAGCTGGTGGTCCGGACTTCTCTTCCATTTGCTCCTTGTGTTGTTCGCTCGACTTTTCGAGTACGTCTTCACCCAGCTGTGAGTTGTGTCGTTCAGCTCGTTCCCGACTTTCCTTGAGTACTCTAGCCAATGTTTCATCTTCCTGTGACTGGAAGTCTCGATATGACTCCTTCTGAACTTTGCGAAGGTGGGCTTCGTGTGCCTTCCGGTTCCTCTCCTGCTCTTCAGCATCCAAGCGTTTCGCTTTCTCTATGTCTCTTTGCAATGCTGCTTCGTCCGCATGCAACCTTTGGTGTTGCATGCACCGTGGGCAAAAGCCGTTCCGCTTCTTCACATCTACTTCGCACCGTGAGCGTTTGATCGTTGGGTTGTCAACATCGCAGTGCACGCCATCTGTCTTGTAATGGCTACAACCTCGAACGTTGTCCTCAGTACGATGACCACATTCGTAAAATGTGTAGGTAAACTTGCACATTCTGCGAGTGAGGTAGAAGATGAACTTGGACTTCCCGTCCGTGGAGTAAATGTGATTTACGAGGAGGCCAAGTCAAAGTGGTGTCTGACCGATTCGAATTTATAGATGATTGGCATGTGCCACCCAGGCAAGATTGTCACTGTGAAGGAACATACATGCACACCAACAACTGCATGTACTTAGGTACCATTCTCCACTTGCCTCGCACCGCACATGACCTTCGTGTCTTCCATTGCCAGCTTCATTTGCTTTCAGTGCCGAAAAGCGGCTTCCCTGCCCTTACGTTTGAATGAGGCGGGTGGATCTGGTGACAAAGCAGTGTGTTGTCGTATGCGCCATTCTTTACGGGAATAGTCACTGTGATGTGTTGGACGTCAGGATGTGGATAGAGCGTGCAGCGTTTGTAAACAATAGACGCTGATTGGCCGCGCCCGCCAAGCTTTGCATCTTCGACCGACAGCTACCGACAGCGGCCAGCAGTGGCCATCGCCAACATCCTCGAAGCTCTCGCAACACGTCCCACACCCACAATGGCCTCGAAGCTGACTCCTTTCCTCTGGCGCAGCGGCTCTCGTGCCCTGCGGCCAATCCAGCGGACTCAATGGCGTTCCTTCGCCGTCACGTCGCCTGCCCGCAGCGACTCTCTCAACGTGCACCGCAACACCCCCGAAAACAACCCCTCGATCCCCTTCAAGTTCACGCCCCAGAATGAGGAGCTCATCAAGGAGGTCCTCTCCCGGTATCCATCGCAATACAAGAAGGCCGCCGTGATGCCGCTTCTCGACCTTGGACAACGCCAGCATGGTTTCACCAGCATCAGCGTCATGAACGAAGTCGCCCGGTTACTTGAGATGCCCCCGATGCGTGTCTACGAAGTCGCGACCTTCTATACAATGTACAATCGTAACCCTGTTGGCAAATACCACGTCCAGGTCTGCACAACGGTGAGTGGGAACTACGCCGATTGCCACATTTATCAACGACATGACTAATCATGTATAGACTCCCTGCATGCTGCGCAACAGTGACGCTGTCATGAAGGCTTGTGAAGACACGCTCGGCATCCATCACGGACAGACTACCAAAGACGGCCTCTTCACCATGACTGAGGTTGAATGTCTTGGTGCTTGTGCCAACGCACCCATGGTGCAGATCAACGACGATTTCTACGAGGACCTCACCTATGAGACAACCGCTTCGCTACTCAATGCTTTGAAGCATGCTTCAGAAGCCACTGGAGCTCAACCGGGGGCTACTGGTCTTGCTGGCAAGGCCGGGGAGGGAGCCGCCACCGGTGACAACAAGGCCGTCAACGAGCAGGGACGGTCGTACGCAGCAAACGGCGTCAAGGTGCCCACACCGGGTCCTTTGAGCGGAAGGAAGAGCTGTGAGCCGGCTGGTGGTTTAACTTCGCTTACGAGTGAACCGTGGGGTAATGAAACGTTGAGGAAGGACGGTGAACTATAGGCTTGTATATATGTATGTCTCCTTTTTTCAATCTGTACGCATTTGGTCTAAAATTCGACCGCAGTATTCTGTAGAACAAGCATGTAAATGTTCCCAACAACGTTGCTATTGCTGCCTTCTGTGCATTGGTCTATGTATGAAGGTATCTTGTCCGACTACCCGGATAGACAAAGACGCACGTATCTATCATCATTGGTAAGAGAGATTGCCTAATGCTTTTTGGTCTAAGCTGTAGTACAACGGTCCCGTTCATCTTACTCACCGCTATATATCTTGCCTAGCGTGTACTCTTGCCCTTCCGTCGCTCACCCACTTACAGTACCCACCCACCTACCTACCCCCTTGTCTACTTACTCACCCACCACCTGGCACCTACCATCATCTGACTATAGTCTATAGCGCACTAATCTCGTCTTGAAATTCATCATGACCAAGAAGCTCTTAGTCTTTATGCTCTTCAACGGCAGCGTATGGAAACGGGTTTCAGGAACCCTGGTTGGTAATACTGTTGCATGTATCTTTGGATATGCGGAAGGGTAGTGGCTTGTCGGTAGGATCTGTTGATACTGTGTTTAAAATGAGAATTGGTTCATTGGTCAGCTATGCAAATCATGATACCAAGTACCATATATGAACCTACCTAGGTAGGTACCTAGGTATATACACTGGTCGACATGGACAATTTCGATAATAATTCTCTGCGAAAGTTATGACCCTTTCTAATACAGCGACTATATTTTGAATTTAGTTTGAACAATCGAGCGAATGCCGTCTGTAACATTGAATGTTCTAATGTTGGCATGCTCAGCAAATATTCGAACTGAGCGGAAGGGCAGTGTGCACGTGACCCCGAGACACAACCTTGGAAGCATCATAGTCCACAAGCTGATAGCTCCGGTCTCTAAGGACCCACCTCCACCTCCACCTTCACTTTCATACCATACGATGGCGGACGATACTACCACCGTGGAACCAACCCTCCGTTTCAAACGTCGCAAAACCACACACACACGACGAGTGTTAAACCAAGATGATGCGCCCAATACAACTGCCTCCGAAGCTCCTGCCGATTCCATGCCCACCCCGCTCAGCCACACACTCTCACCACCGTCAGGAGCGCCAGAAAATGCAGAAGACGACGAAGAAGGTGTGCCGAACCTGAAGGAAATCTTGCGCAATCGAAAACGACCGCGGGATCGTTTTAGAGAAGTTGCAGGCAAAGCAGACGCAACAAAGTCGCAGTCGCTCGTCCCGACAGATGCACCGAAGCAAGATGTCTACGGAAACAGGTTCATCGCGCAGACAGGACAGGTTGTAGATGCAGATGACCACCAGATGTAAGCTTGTCCGCCATTCAGTCGTTCCACCCCCAGCAACGATTAAAGGAGCATCGGGAGAGATACAAAAGCTAATCTATCAGGACCGAGTATGTAGAAGCGCGCTTGGCTGAAAAGAATCATCGCCTCCATGGATGGCCTATTCCTAAACATCTCGAAGCTGCCGTTGCTGACCTCGCCCCCGAGTCTCGTGAGAACCGCGCCATCGCTAGGACGAACATACCGGGAGGGAAAGACAACGCGAAAGCCAGCGACGAACATGATCTTCGATTAGCTGCCGGGAAAGGTAAACTACAGGAAGTAGAGCTGAGTTCGAGCAGTGCTGCTGTTCAGAATAAGGCAGCTGGGAATAATCCACCCAGCAAGGTACGACTGGGCAGAGACGGCAAACCTCGACGACATCCCAAACGCCGTAATAGCGAGGACTTGCGGAGAGATCAGCTGGTTGAGGCTGTCCTTAGTGAGGCTAAACGTAAGCCACGAAGCACCATATTCCACGTTTTTTTCTTTGAAGCTTACATTTGCAGTTGAATATTTCGAGGAAGACAAACCCACCAATCCATCTGCTACGGAGGGATGCGATAATGACGAAGCTATGGCAGAGAAATTCCGGCAGGATTTCCTAGAGTCCCTTGAATCGCGCCATAAGCGCAGACCGGCTGCTCCCCCAAATAACGCAAAAGGCGCAGATGCCGCTAAGAAAATCTCTCGGGGACCTAAACTGGGTGGTTCGAGAAGTGCAAGAGCGGCAATGCATTTGAAAAGATTGGAGGAGGCTGGGAAGACCAAAAGGTGATTTGCGCTGCGATGGAGCCTATACAAGACAGTTTGGATTCAAAACCAGTGGACAGGGTTTCTGCATGCTACTATATCAAGGGGAGAGAATGGGAATGGCACATGAACGAATAGGTTTTGCGACCATCAATGCCTTCTTTCTTGATTGAAGAAGAGGCTGGACATTTTGAACTACTTTTACATACAAATTGATCCGTGCGAGGGGTGGTAAAATATGAGTGAAATAAGAATACAAACGAGATGCTCAAACGAAACAAGATCATATGGGACGGATAATCGTGGCGCACATTACTGAAATTCCCATGAAGCCAGACAAACAAAACCCACCGCAACGCCTAGGCAGTATCCCAGCTGCTCATCAAAGATCATTACATTTGCACCGTGTAGGGCAACATGCCACGCGATAGTGATCTAGACCAAGCTTAGTGATGGACTTAAGCACCTTGTCGGGCCTTTTCAGAGCAGATCAAAGCAATGATCCTTGAAAGTTCGGCACTCTGGTTGAACTGCTCGCGTTTGGTGGCCTCGTCGACATCGTCGCTTGCGGCAATATCGTTGCTGACCTTGAGCATGCGGTTTTGCAGAGCCAGCAACTTGGAGAGGGTGTTGTCGAGGAATGGGGCAGAGAAGGTAACGTTGGTGGGAGAGGCGCCAGAGTTGGGGAGGCGCATTTCGAGCTTTCGTGGCGGCTTCTTCTGTGTTGTCTGGGGAGATGCGGGAGGAGACATTGGCCTGGAACATGGATGTTAGAAAAGAGCATTCGGGGAAGAGACGAGACGCAAACTTACTTTTCACGCTCGACAAAGGTCATGTTCTCGGCCATCTCAGCCACGCGGTTGGCGATTCGAGAAGCCATGATGCCGTATGGGGATGCACCGTTGGCAGCACCGTTGGCAGCACCGTTTACAGATTTGCTGTGGTTGATATTGGACTTAGCAGGCGCTTTCCGGGGTCGAGAGGCAGCGGCCTTGTTGGTTGTGCGGTTGACAGGAGCTGAGGCGACGGAAGCAGGCATCGTTACTGAAGGTGAAAGTACGTAGAGATGACAGAGGATGCAATATGGTTTGGACTGATGTCTTTTGTGGAAAGCGGAGAGCGGTAAAGTGTATTTGTAGTGGTAAGTATGTATGCAATAGCAAAGCGTAAAGGCAAAAGTCTGGAACAAGAGAAGTTGGTTGGGGCCGTGGCACAGAAGTTGGATAAGGGCACACGGGACACATAGCGAAGCGCCACAGGCTACGTCATGGGCTGCCCGCGGACTTCAGGATCCCATGTGTGTGTGGAGCCTGAACCGTCTGGCGACCGTTCCCATCTGCTCCGCGCCTGCAGGGGCCTGCGACCATTTAGCAGCGCGATGATCGAGTCCTGGAATCCTCTGCCTAGCTTGGCGCCCCGGAACACTCGCCCTGATCTGTCTACCGCAAACATCATCCCGTGTGTGCTGCATCGCGAACCTCATGTGTGTGTCTATGTGTCGCTGTTGACCACCCAACACCCTCAGCGCCATCATGTCACCCGCAATGCAGAGGAAGAAGAACGACTTGGGCGCCGGCTTGAAGGTCTCGAAGCAAAATGTCCAAGACCACCCAGCCGGCCCACCCAGATACGGCGAACTGTCGACTGCTGAGCGGGCATTTACACTAGCTTCGACGTTTTTATCTGGAGTTCTCGCGTGAGTAAACCTACCAGTCAACCCCGTTGTCGTCCATCATCGTGGCCGTCAGGCTTTGAACCTGTGCGCTTACAACCATGTAGGATAAGTGCATCTCAGTTCATGGGTGCGCCTCTGAAGCTCATTGACCCTGTCTTCTATGAGGGCTACATGGCCTATACCAAAGAATGCTTTGCCGTTTTGATCACGTGTCTGACACAGTGGTGGGCCCCGACCGTGGTGCGTGTCAGTGGTGACTCGAGCATGCTCGGCCAGCTCATTCGCAGAAAAGACGGGAGTTTGCAGTGCAATTTCTCCGATCGCATGTTGCTCATGGCGAACCACCAGCTGTACACCGATTGGCTATACCTTTGGTGGATCGCCTACACCAACAACATGCATGGCTTCGTCTACATCATTCTCAAGGAGTCCTTGAAGAATATTCCCATCATCGGCTGGGGAGCTCAGTTCTACAATTTCATCTTTCTTGCGCGAAACTGGGAGGAAGATCAGAAACGATTCAAGACGCACCTCGCCCAACTCAACAAGCCGAATGATCCCATGTGGCTCGTCATCTTTCCCGAAGGAACCAATCTCTCCGCAGTGACTCGGGAGAAGAGCCAGAAATGGGCGAAGAAGAATGGCCTGCAAGACATGAAGCATCAACTACTGCCTCGAAGCACCGGCTTGCGATTTTGTTTACAAGAACTCAAGGAGACGACAGAGTGGCTGTACGACTGTACAATCGCATATGAAGGTGTACCACCTGGGCAATTCGGTCAAGACATATTCACCCTTCGTTCGTCGTACTTCGAAGGTCGACCACCAAAATCCGTCAATATGCATTGGCGCCGCTTCCACATTGACTCTATCCCCATTGGTAATGCAAAGGCATTTGAGGTGTGGCTTCGCAACCGTTGGCGAGAGAAGGACTACATGCTCGAGTACTTTCAACGTCACACCCGGTTCCCTGCCGAGGAGTTCTGGAAGGATCATCTAGACATGGGCGATCGCAGCTCGCAAAGTCAGAGCATAAGATCTGTGCCTCGACCGGCCATCACCATCGAGACCGAAGTGAAATCTGGTAGCTGGAACGAATTCGTCAAGATCTTTGCACCTATAACTAGTGTTATGATGGCCTTATCGGTGGCATACGGTGTCTCTCCCAAAGATATACCCATTCCCGGCGGCACAGAGTTCTTTGAGAATCACATGAAAGCACTGTTGGGAAATGGCGAGATGAAAGGCCTTCCTTCGCCTGACGACCTCGAGAAAATGATCATGGGAGCTGCGAATTTAGGAGCAAAGCAGGCGGCAGGCCCACATGAACAGAGTCAAGTGCAGCAGCTCACACAAGAGAATCTAGCAAAGCTGGTACGTATTATGCAAAAACGTTTCTCGGTGGGTTCAAAGCTAATTACCCTTCCATAAACAGGTGAAAGAGACAGCGATGCAGAACGGAATAGGCCTACCAAGAGGAGTGCCGCGGTCGGTGCCCACCAAAGCGCCAGGTGCATCCCCAACCATTCGGAACAATCCCAAACCGAAAGCAAAAACACTCCAAAACGCACCTACCAGAGCAGTGAAGAAGCCCGGCAATGTCAAAACCGCTGCGAAACTAGGACAAGCCAAAGTATCATCTCCTCTGACGATAGGAGCCCGATCAAACACAGCCGTAAAGAAGATTCCGCAAAAGCCTGTTCAGTCAACTGAAACTCAGGAAGTCACCACAAAATCCGGGGTCAAGATCAAGATTCCGAAGACACAGCTAGAAGAGGCTAAGAAGACGGGTACCACCGTGGTAACAGCAAACGGGCTCTCCATTCGGGTCGGCAAGAAAGAAATTGAAGAGGCACAGAAGAGCAAAGGGGCTACTATCATGACTTCCTCGGGCGTACCACTCAAAATCACACCTAGCGGAGCCGCTACAATCGAAGCTCCCAAAACGACAAATCCTGCTAACGGACCGAAATATGTTTTCAAGCCTAGTGTTTCCAATCAGCCTCACACTAATAAGGCCAGAAGCCCTGCTATTGCTTCAGGGACGGGGGAAAAGACAACTCCCGCTCCATCCGGTACTGCAAGTACTGCACAGAAGGGAAGCTCTGCCACAAGGAAGCCAGCTCCTCTCGCTCCAAATAAACCCTCAGCGCCAAGGAAGTTGGGGACTTGAGAATAGCTAGGTGTATATTATACCGCCCGTTTGGTACGTTCCCAATTCTGCACAGAAGCAACATCTCAAGTCACTGGCGGGCTGGCTCGCCGGCAGTCTTGCGCCCTGTTGATGCTATTCATATACTTGTGGCCTTTATGCCGTTTCTTTTTGGTCTAGTGGAGGTGATCTTGTTATACATGGGAGTTTGGGCAATGAGCGTAACTGGTCGCGTGTCGTCGAAGTTCTTTCTAAATATTTGTACATATACCATGCCTTCCTAACTTACATGTATATGAGTTAATACACAAGCTTTTTACACAGAAGATTATCCGAGCTTTCTAAGTGTTGTCTAAGTTAAAAGAATCGCCTACAACATGAATGCAGTTCTGATATCCTGTGGCATCAAACGTGACGCTGCCAACTTCTGTCCAAGGGTCCTCTGATGTTGCGGTGGCATGCAGGTTCGTTCAGCCACACATAATACAAGGGGGTAAAAAGTTAGACAATGACGGCTCGGGAGGATAGTGTACCAAAGACACACTTGCAAATCAAATCCAGCGGACATGAATTTTGGCAGTAGTTAGTTTACCATATGTGATCGGTATCTTTAGATCGTCGGATAATGTTCGAACTGATCTGACTCTGAACCGCGTTCAATGATTGGTGCCCGTCTTACAGAGCCGCTTTTGGCTAGCCCTTGCACGTGCCAAATCACGACGTCATCGCCAACTAACTTTGCGGATCTGCGCACAGCGGCAGAGCCGAAAACCCTGTCACATTCCAGAAGCGTGTCATTTAGTGGAGAAAACCGGCTTCTCGCCCTTCTTGACGGATGTGGCGTTTACCCCGATCGACGGCGGTGTTTGCCTTTCTGCCTTTGCTTACGTACGGCGTTGCCCTGACGTATGCAGATTGTGAGGGTTTGGTTGGGTGATTCTGGCAACTCGTACCGCTGCTCAACACATTTGAGTCGAATTGCGTTAACTTATCGATATTCCTTCATTCATCAGTTCAGTAAAAATCAAAACTATCAATAATGGCGGGCTTTATTCAGAACATGATATGGAACTCGGTCGAGGGGTTCGTAGAAGCCGGGAAGAGGACGGTGGGAGGATATGCTGGAGATGCCTTGATCAAGGCTGGAGATGCGATTGAGAACGGAGGCAGGAGTGTAGGAACTGGTATGTTCTCTCAACTACCCATTTTCTATATACCTTTTCAGGGTAGAATGCTAATACTTTCGTTCCCACAGGCCTCGAACGCAAAGTCTCAGGCTATGGCAATACCATCTCCGGTCAAAAGTACCAAGGTTCCTCCCACTCGTCAGCACCAAAAAAGAAGGCTCTGCCAGCACCCAGCAAGCCCTCCGCACCTAAACGCTCAAATTCCTCGCCTGCCTCATCAGTACCCTCGAACATGAAGCGGCTCGGACCCACCAGCTCTACGCCGTTGGGCGCAAAGAAGGTTGCAAGCGGCGGCGCCAAATCTGCTCAAAAATCCCTCACCAACGGTGTAAACACTGGGAAATCTGTAGTTGGTGGCGGCTTTGGAGGTGCCAAAGGTGCTCTCGGATCTACAGCGAACAAAGCCGCGTCTACCACTAATCTCGCCGGCAACACCGCATCCAAGGCTACTAAATCGTTACCAAAACCGTATCCCCAAAATAACTCCGCGCTTTCGTACCCCACTGAGAAGAAGTCGGCTGTTAAGCCTGGTGCTCCTAAACCATTCACCCCTCCTGCTTCATCCAACTTCAACAAAAATTCTGCTAAGAAGGATGTGTCTCCCTACCCTGGGACGAATACCAAGCCAGGTGAAGCCAACACTGCACCTGTGAGGCGCAAGTTCAAGCCTATGGAGCGCGCGGCCCCACAAACTGAGCATGGGAAGATGCAGCATATCGCAGTCTAAGGGGCAGGTCCCATACTATGCGCTGTTGAAGTGGTGCTGGTAGACTCGAGTTAGTTTACAAGTAGCCAAAAGTGTGTGAATTCAGACACTTTTTGTATTGTTCATCTCATGTAAGGTTGAAAAACGATTCGGGCGTTTGTTTGGTAAGGTACGGAAATGGTCCCCGGTTTTTCTACAGACGTATCTTATATCATATCATAAATCACATGTCACTTTTCCTTAGTAGGACCTGTCACTTGTAAGAGTATGAATATCCCCGGCGTAATTGTCATGGTCGCTTTCCCAACATGTTCTGATCCAAATCGACGGTCGTTTCAATGATTGATGTACATTCGTCGCTAACATTGTCAAGTCGTTCAGCTAACACACCAACCAGTTCAGTGAAACTGAAGGTACAGTCTATAATCTACAGCTTCTCGCCCTGAAACGAAGACATGTCATAAAGTCTGCTCTCTCACTTCAGTCAGCGACATCATCCAACAATCCCTTCCAGTCCACTCCGCTCAGCCCACCACTCGATCCTCTCCCTCCCTACAATAAAAGTCCAATACATCCTGGCAAAAGAATCCACCTCACCAGCCTTATAACTCGCGATAATTGGCCCCGGTGAAAGCGACTTCACAAGAAGCGGCGACGTTCCACCGCCCGAAAGACGGCACCATTTCGTCGCCGTCTCAGCATCCCACAGCCCAGCCCGCGCCGTGAACATAACCGCCCCCGCACACTCAGCCCAACCTTTCGTCATAGTCTGGTAGATATTCGCGACAGCATCGATGATGAGGTGGGAACGACGGACGCTTTCAGTGAGGATCCAGAGATGCCATGACGCCGTCGCTGCTGAATAGTCTTTATCGGACTGTGTGTGCGTCTGGTCTTGCTGATTCCCACCAGCGGGATTGGGCGTAACTAAAGTGTCATCACCGCGATATTGCTGTATTGTCTCTCGCAAACTCGTCGTCCATTTTCGTAAGGTGGATAGTTGTAGCTCTGCGGAAGCTCGGACGCGGATTTCACCATCGAATAGACGGATGAATTCGTATACGAAGAGCGCATGTACCCGAGCTAGCTGGGTCAATATCCCTTCCTGGATAACGCTGCCTCCGTAAAACCCGCTCGTCGCACTATCCACATTATGGATATCTCCTTTCTGCTCGACAAGCCTCGCACAACGCTCTTCAGCAATCTGGAGGATGGTCTGCTTGACTGTTGGCGTGTGCGCCGTCATATACGATGCCAGTGTGGTGAAAGCGTCCTGGAGACAAGTCGACATGCCCTTTACGTATAAGCGGTGGTGGATGAAATTGTTATGTCCGTTTTGAACCCAGTTTTTGAGCATGTCTTTTACGCTGTTGATGAAGGGGTCTAGTTCGAGTAAGGCTGAGCTGGAGGGAGTTTCATCGCAGTGCTTCAGGGCCCATGTTTCTTCTTCGAGAAACCAGGGGCATGATGGTTTGGTGAGGTTGGTGCTATTGAAAATGGGGGGCTGTGTTGCTGTGGTGATGGTAGCAGATAGTTGTTGTGGTAGTGGTGGTATTGATGGGGGTTGGGGGAGCGTTCCTGACATGATGGTCGTCAGGGGCATGTACGGAAACGTCATGTCGTCGACTAAAGGGACATTCAACTCGATTTGATCCTGTGTGACTGTTTCCCAGCCGTACGCAAAGTCTAGATCCGCTGTATTGATATAACTCCCTTCGTTCATACTACTACTGTCCCCCATCGTGGTTGGATGGATAAACGGAAGATCTTGTGGTTGAGAGCCAACATGCTCTGTTACAGCGCTCTCCGAAAACGGGATATCGCGACGCCTTCGCGATCGTTTAGGCAATGGGTAACTGCAGTCGATATCTCTGTCTATACACCTTTGACATTCAGGAACTTGCTTATCGCAACTACGTTTCGCGCTGGCGCAAGGAATGCAGCATTTCCTCCGGGGAACGGCGGGCATTGTTGCGGAAAACCCTGCTGATTTTAGTGAGAAATCTGGGTGTAGATTGTTGAGGATGGTTTTGCGAGAAAATTGTTCATTGATATGAGCTGAATCGTTCACACCATGTAAGATTCGATTGCAGAGTTGGATTTGTCAGCTTGTGATCTTAGCAAATTTGGTCACTTTATTTTCCTTTGAGATATAGATGCGGAGAAATTGCGGAAGAATGGAGGAGTATTCTGATAGTTGAAGTCGGTGTGTATTTTCCTGTTATTGTTGCTGTTATTATGCGTAGTAATCGCTGATGAGCATATGCGGAAGTTCTGCGGGAAACTAGCGGAAAGATGACGGACAAAGCTGCGGAGTCGAGGAAAGTGACACGCTAAACGCAGTAAAGGATTGTAAAGATGACTACTTTGAAGAGAAGGTCCACGTGTAGTTGAGTATCATGGATGATCGGTCTGGTTCGTAAGTATGCCAACTCATGACGGACCAAAACATATAAAGTATGTCTGGATATCACCACCAGGCACTCCAGACAAATTTGAAAACTTGAAAGAGTCGATATCAGAACAACACAAAACACTGCAGACCTCCGAACCACTTTTTTTGCTGAAGAAACAAACATCAGAAGTCAACATGGCACCTTCACACCCCGTCAAAATTGTCCTAGGTACTCACCAGATAGGCGATGCCTCCGCCTGGCCCGGAATCATCCATTTCACAACGAAAGAGCAAGTCTTGGCCCTTACATCGGCATTCAAAGCCAGAGGCCACACCGATCTCGATACAGCGCGCAACTATCCGGGATCCGAAGCTCTTCTGGGGGCTACAGGCGCGCCATCTGAGTTTTCCATACACACAAAGATATTCGGTGGGGGCCCAGAAGCGACTGCATCAAAATGGCACTCAAGAGATGCAATCGCGGCCAGCATTGCGGCTTCGCTGGAAGATCTTGGTGTAGATAGCGTCGAAACCATGTTTCTTCATGTGCCTGATCGAGAGACGTCGTTGGAAGAGACGCTGAAGGCAATGGACGAAGCTCATGCTAAAGGACAGTTCAAGAAGCTTGGTGTATCGAATTATACGGCCAAAGAAGTCAGCGACATGCTAGAAATATGTGAGAGGGAGGGCTTTGAGAAGCCCAGTGTGTATCAGGGGCATTACAATGCGGTTTTTAGAAGCGGCGAGGAAGAATTGTTCCCCTTGTTGAGGAAGCATGGCATTGCCTTTTGGGCTTTCAGGTATGCAGAAATGGCTTGAATGTTGGAGAAAAGAATATCGAAGAGATTGGTCACTGACTTGTTGCGTTTTATCTCTAGTCCGGCAGCTGGTGGTTTCTTCTCGGACCAGAAGAAGGCTTCGGCACGCTGGGACGAAAAGGTACATATATCCTCTCAACTTCTCTTCCCAATTTAACTCATGGTGACCCGGCTAATTCTGAGTGCCTCGTTGTAAAGACCTTGGTGGGTCAACTCTATAATAACTTCTATGGTTCTCCAGCTATCGAGACTTCCGCCTCTGCCGTTCGCGCCTCCGCCTCCGCTCATGGCATCAATCCTCATGAAGCGGCATTGAGATGGACAGTCCATCACAGCATTCTGGATGGTACATTTGGAGATGCTGTATTGTTCGGTATGTCGAAGTTGGAACAGCTGGAACAAACGCTCGATGCTGTCGAGGCAGGACCGCTACCTGATGATCTTGCGACCCTGATCTCTGGTATTTATGCCACCTTTGATGGACCTGGACCTGCGTACCATCTTTGAGTTGAATATTGTGCTAGCACAGCAGACTGGGGTGGAGGAATGTGGCGCTCGGAGCTCGAATCGCTTACGAATGGTTAGCCTCCAGAAGCATTGAATCAATTGATTGCAGAATCTCAGATGGTCATTTAATCCGTATATCCGATACCTGCATGTGCGCCTGTGAAGGGTTGTCATGGGATACTGTAGTCATGTATTGCCGGGAAATATTTTCCGCATGTGCTAATTAGGTGTTTCTCCCCGCACCTATCTAACTGGCTCCCTATGAGCTGTTTCTGACCAGCTATAAGATGACTGCCAAAGCAACAGTGTGGGAAATCCGCCGCCGTAACGCACAATTATTATGCCACCACATTACACCTACCAGTTGCTGTACCTGGCAATAATTGACTTGTATACAACACGCTCAAGGGGAGCAACGCAAATGACAACAATGCCTGACGGGTACCTTGAGTGTGCACTGTGCACATCCTCCAGTGCCAGAACCGACTACGGCCAACCTATAAGCAATAGGGCTAGACCTTGGCGATCACCAAGCTTTATTGCTTGTTCGGCCGGATAAGTGGCACATCCGGGGATCCATGATCAAATCGATTCCGATTCGTGGTGACGATGATCTTAATTCGCATTCAAATGTTCCCCACATGTGGTTACATGCAGCTCTCACGTGTGCATGGCTAACCGCAAACAATTGCTGTCCTGTCAACACTGACTCTCGGTGTACAACGGAAACACACATAACTACAACCCACCCCGCCTCCTCGATTCGTCACATCTGCATCCTTCCTGGCCAGTCAGTCTTGGAGTTCTTCCGTAATAAATTCATAACAACGCTACGAAGAACACTGTCTTCAATGTCTCACGTTGCGAGTGTTGGCGAGAAGCCCCATTCAGCATCGCCTGTGGACCTCACGGCCGACAATCTCAATGGATCGGGAGCATCATCGCAGACGCAGACACATGCAGCAGCCGTCTCACCTACGACAATCGATGCTGCACTGGAGCGGAAAGTGAGAAGAAAACTGGATACACATGTGGTCCCGCTGGTGGCAGCCCTATATCTGTTTGCATTCCTCGATCGATCGAATATTGGGTAAGCAGTTCAACTTCCCATTTTTCTTTCGACTACGATTGAAATGTTACACTCGGGTTGTTATGTGCAGATTTATATCCAGTTTTGATTTAACTTGGAGTGGGCAGAAACGCACGCATTGCCGGATTTGAACGCGATCTCAATCTGACGGGTGATCAATATGACTGGCTTCTTACCATCTTCTACATATCGTACATCATCTGCGAGTTCTTAGGGATCATGTGGAAGATTGTCCCACCTCACAAGTGGGCGGCTTTCTGCGTATTTGGCTGGGGAGTTGTCTCTACAGTACAAGCTGGGATTAACACTTGGGGCGCGGCCATGGCATTACGGTTCCTGATGGGTGTCTTCGAGGCTGGATATGGGCCTGGCATCCCATTCCTGCTATCTTTCTTCTACCTCAGACATGAATTGGGACTGAGGGTGGGTATGTTCTTTGCAGCAGCCCCCTTGGCTAATACCTTTGCGGGTGCGCTGGCATACGGCATCACGAGCGGAAACCCAAGTCTCGCGAAGTGGCGAGTCTTGTTTCTAGTAGAGGGTTTACCTACGATTGCTATGGCAGTGGTGGCGTGGTTTTTCCTACCAGACAGCCCAGAGAAGGCCAGATTCTTGAACGAGGAAGAGAAGGAATTGGCTCGAGCGAGGGGTGTGAGGCAGGCGGGAGCTGCAACAAGGGTTGGAGGTGTGGACTGGACGCAATTCTTCAAAGGACTTGTAGACCCCAAAGGGTGGATTCTTGGAGTAAGTTACTTGGGAAACCAGGTACCTACCCGGTTGGAAATGGCAAAATCGACTAACAGATAATGGGGTATCTCCACAGATGATGTACTTTTCATGTAATGTCGCGTTCTCTTCGTTGTCGGTGTTTCTTCCCACAATACTGAAGGAGATGGGATTCTCGTCGATCAATGCACAGGGTCTCACAGCTCCTGTCTTCTTCTTGTCTTTTCTCATCACCATCACTACGCCGTACATTGCAGACCGGACAAAGCAGCGCGGCATCATGATCGTCATCTTGACAGTAGTCGGCGGGGTCGGGTATGTAATACTCGCCACGGCTCAATCAGTGGCAGCGAGGTATTTTGGATGCTTTATGGCGGCCGGGGGGATCTTTCCGGCCATTGCTAACATTCTGCCTTGGGTACTTAACAATCAAGGGTCGGATACGCGACGGGGCGCGGGCATTGTGCTGCTGAATCTAGTGGGGCAATGTGGCCCACTACTTGGAACACGCCTATACCCGAGCTCAGAAGGACCCTTTTATGTCAAAGGCCAGTCTGTGTGCGCAGGATTCATGTTCTTCACTACTCTGCTTGCCATTCTGTTGAGGACGTTGCTGGTACGGGAAAACCGAAAGCTGGATCGGGAGCATGGCACAATTGCTGACCCAAAGTCTGGGGAACATGAGGAGAGAAGAACAGCTGTGGAGAACTATGGGCCCCAATTCCGCTATGTCTTGTGAGAATGGACGGTGGTTGGTGAAGACGGAAGTTGAAAAACGACGGTGGATAGGTACAGACATCTGGACTGATGTACTATTATTGAGTTTTACGTGCTGAGTAAGCACTAAAGTAAAAGACTTAGTATTTTAAAAAGCTTAGGCGTTTTCAAAAGGCAGGCTAACTTAATTACTAAAAAAATATAAGTAAATATTACCCAAAAAAATTTTTAAACTACAGTATAATATTTTAACTATTTTAATAATAAGCATTTTAATAATAAGCATTTTAATAATAAGTATTTTATAATAACTACTATTTAGTAGTAAGTAAAAAATAAAGGGTTTTAACTTATTTATATACCTTTTGCTTCTTCTTTAATACTCTAATTATATATTACTTTATTATTATTTTTTTAACTATTAAATATTATACTAGTAAGTTACTTTTAAATATTAATTACTAATTATACTAAGCTTATATAAGTATTAGCTACTAAGTAAAGTACTTTATAGTAATATATAGTACTTTATAATAATAATTATTTTTTACTTGCTATTTATTACTATTTATTACTTTTACTTTTTAATATTTATTTTTTACTTACTATTTATTGCCTTTATTTTTTAATATTTTATTTTTATTTTAATTAATTTTACTCTTACTTATCTTTTAATATTTAATTTAACTACTTTTACTTTTACTTTTACTTTTACTATTAACTTTTTATTTTACTTAGTATTACTATATTTAGTACTACTATATCTAGTACTTTTACTATTAGCTAATAACTTTTATTTATTTAAGTAATAAATAGTACTTTTTTTACTTTTTTTTAGCTATATTAGTAAAACTAACCTTAATTTAAAAAAAAGCTTTATATGCGCGCGCGCCTTATAAGCTTATAAAAGTATATATAATACTTTTTTACTTACTTTTAACTTTATATATATATATATATATAAAGTACTTTATTTTTTATTAAAATAATAATACTTTTTACTGCTTTACTAATTATGCTTTATATAATTATTTATATTATTAATTTACTTTAATAAGTTTTTTAAAAAAAGTAAGCTAGATATTTACTAGTGCTGTTATTATAAAGTATAAAAAAAAAGTAACTAAATTAGTAAAGTAAATATTAATTATAAATATATTTACTATTTTAACTAATTTTAATACTAACTTTAATACTAACTCTAATTTAATTTAACCTTTAAATAAACTTATAATAAATAAAGCTGTTTTTCTAATAAATTAGCTAATATAAAAAAAATAGAGCTAAAATTTTTTAAAATTTTTTTATATATAAAAGTGCAGTAAGCATTAGCATTATAATAAGTTTTAAATATTTATTTTAATTTTTTTATATTATTATGTAACGTAATCTATTACTAAAATAGCTATATTACTAAGCTAGCTACTTTTGCTTAGTATAGCTATCTTTTTATTTAACGCGTTATATCTTAATAAAATAACATAATTTCTACTAAATAAGAAAGAAGAATTAAACTTACTCTTTAAGTTTATAATACTAGTTAATTTAAAAGCTTGCAACGCGCTGCTACAGCTTTTAATATTAAATACTAGTAACTCTTTAATTAACTATATAAAATTACTTTTTAACTCTAAACTACGCCTAACTGTTAGAAGCTATTCTTAACAAAAGAGTATATAATTACTTAATATATTCTTAACTTTAATTTATAAGAGTTTTTGCCTAAGCTATATAAAGTTGTAAATATAGTAGATAAACTGCTAAAAGTATAAAGTAGAAAGCTGTTACGAACCTAAGAATGGGGATGCACAGGTTATGAAGGAAGGTAATTACAAGAACACTCACGGTCAGCAAACAGGACACTACGTATGAACCAATAGACTTCGCCACCCCGCACGTCACGTGGTCCCACGAGTCTTGGCGGAAAGTTGCTGTGGGACAAGTCACGTGTGTCCCACAGGGTCCTACGAGATCCCACGATATCCCATCTATGAAACCCTATGGGACATATGGGAACTATGGGACAAAATATGTATATAGTCAGTAGACAAGAAGACCTTATGGTTCTTGTATTCACTCTAAGTTACAACCCACTTCTTGGAAATACAATCTAGTTGTTACTTTATACTTCTACCTTTGTTACTTCAGTGTTACCCGCTAGTCATCCGCGAAACCCAACCAGAGTTCTCCAAGATCTCAACAGTAATAGATTATGTTATTTTAGTTTAAAATTTTATTTAAATTTTATTTTTAGTATATAGCAGTTATAGTGCTATTCTACTTTAAGTATAGTAGTTACTTAAAAACTTAAAGTTAATTTTAAAATAAAAAAATAAAGCAAAAAAACTAGTTTTTTAGTGCTAGTACTTAATTAAAGCTAGTACTAAAAAGTACTTTTTAATTTTTACTTTTAAGTAAAAGTAAAAATTATTTAGTCTTTTTAGTTATTACTTATTTTTTTAGTTTATTTTTTATTATAACTTAATAAGTATATTAATAAAAATAAAAGTAAATTTACTAATAAATTTAATATATAAAAAAAAACTTAGCTAAAAAACTAAGTAGTAAATATTATAAAAATATTTAAATAAAAGTAGTAGTTTTAAATAAGTTAATACTTTTTAATTTTTTTTTAATTTTTTTATTTTTAAGAAAAAGTTAAGGTAATTCTTTACACAGCAATAAGTAACAATAATAAATAAACTAAAATAATAAGTAATAACTAAAAAGACATGTAATTTTTACCTTTACTTAAAGAAAAAATTAAGAGGTACTCTTTAGCACTAGCCCTAATTAGGCACTAGCGCTAAAAGATAAGTTTTTTTACTCTATTTTCTTATTTTAGAATTAACTCTAAGTCTTTAACTAACTACTACACCTAGAGCAGAACAGCAAATACTTTTTAATACTTACGCTTTATTATTAATAAAGCTTAAAAAAAGTTTAAAGTAAATATAAATAGCTTTTTATATTACTTATATAAATAAAAGAGCAGCACTTATAGTAATAATAATAAATATATAAAAAAGTAATTATATAAAGTAATTTAATACTATAAATAGTAGTAGCTGTATAAGTATTAAACTGTTAATAAAAAGTATTATATTATAAAGCTGTAATAAAACGTTAATTAACACTAACATATTATTATAAACAACAAGTGTCTACAAATTATACGGCGTGACCGGACTGATGTACCTAGGTAGTGATATAGGAAGGCTAGGCTGGAACAGGAAAGCTGGCTCGTGCTTACATACGTCACATCGAAGCAAGCACTTCAGCACAAGCAAAAGCGACATGCGATGATGATCGCGATCCACTAGGCGCCAAGCTGATTTACCCTCTCTCCCGTGCGTCTCTACAATCTTTCTTATCTACTGTGAAGCTGCCTCAACTTCCCTTGCATATGCCATTGTAGCATTATCGCCGCCATTTTTCCACCCCACCGTGCGCACAGCGACGCGCACCAGCTCTCCCACGAACCCCTCCGCCGGCTACACGCCTCTGCTACCCGCAATGGCTGACAACGCTCCCGGCAGCGCGCAGCCGTCTTCGGCCTCTGGCTCAGCAGCACAGCAAAAGAAACGCAAACACCGTGGCGGCAAGAAGCAGAAGCGTCGCAATCGTCGCCAGTCGTTTGCTGCTGTTGGCGAATCCCTCGAGAACGATGCCGCGAGCGACATGGCTGACAACCCGCGTCCCAGTCTGAACGAAGTCAATGAGCACTCTTCCCGCGCCAACTCCAGTTTCTACCGGCTGCGCAACAAGCGTAGCAATGACAGCCTGGAGAGCGAGGCTTTGCTGGACCATCGAGATCAACCTCCGTCCCTTCAGACTCGTCGCCAAAGTGTACAGCAATCGTCCCATCTACTACAACCGCGATCCACCTTACCCTTTGCAGACTCCCCGCAGCACCGCTCCAATCGCTCCAACAACCTCTCATACCAGCAGGATGGCGATGATGACGATCACGATGACGACGACCGCACCCCGCTGATGGCCAGTTCGATGCGGGACATCAGAAGCGGTACCAGCTATGGTGGCACCGGCGCTGCCTCTCGTCCACGTAGGATGAGCCTGTCCATGTCCATGTCGCCCAATGTGGCCATGCAACATCATTCGCAAAACAACATGGATGATTACGATGTCAACAATCCACCTTCGGTGCCAGGCAGTCCGGTTCTAGGCCCCGAGACCCCGTATGATGATGTAATGTTCAACGATAATCTGGATCACGGCTCTCATTCCCCCACGCCCCCAGGTAGCAGAGGCCGGATGCGCGATGTTCTTATCGATATCGATGAGGAACCTCCCGCCAATTCAAGTGCCAAATCGAAATCTGCCTCCCCGCCCGCCCCTGGCGATCTGCGGCGCCGCATGACGGTGATGCAGGCTGCTGAGGATGTCTGCTTTCCCCAAGAAGATATGTCCGAGATCGGAAATGAAGACTACATGAGCCGCCAAGACAATGGGGAACCGCGAGGACGCCGGCGTCGACGACGTTGGCCCGATTTGAATACGCTCGAGGCCTGGTCTCAGGAGGAAAAGGAGCAGCGTACGCTGGAAGGCATGCGTGCCCGTAAGATCAACGAACCCCTCATGGTCGACGGACGACTCCGCCCACAAAAACATGCCTGGCATCGTAATGCCGACGACGCTCCGTATCGCTTCACCTACTTCAATGAAGAGTTTGAAAATACCATACATAGTCAGACTATAAGCGAGCTTGTGCAGCCCGGTCAGACGTTCCGCAATCTTTTTATTCCTGATCCGCCCATCGTCGAAGACAGTACGGATGATGAGACTGACACTGATGAAGAATATATACCAATGTCGAGAGAGAATACTCTCGATAGGAGGTCAGGCATGAATGGCTACTCACGATCGAGCGTACAACCGCCACCTGTCAAACGAGAACTTAAGCAGTCATCTTCGGGCGAACAGACGCGGTCTAACACTCCTGGTCGTACTCCTGCCGACACACCACGCGCAATCATAGAGAAGCCTAAACGTTATGGCCCTAGGCCTGCTTTCTGGTTGGATGTTTTATCGCCTACAGACGCTGAGATGAAAGTGATAGCCAAAGCATTTGGCATACATCCGCTCACGGCTGAAGATATTCTCATGCAGGAGCAACGTGAGAAAGTTGAGTTGTTCAAGAACTACTACTTCATCAACTACCGGACATTTGAACAGGACGAGAATAGTGAGGACTATCTTGAGCCCGTCAATTTATACGTCGTCGTCTTCCGGGAGGGTGTGATTAGTTTCCACTTCTCCATGACGCCACACCCGGCCAATGTGCGCCGTCGTATTCGTCAATTGAAGGACTACTTGATTCTTTCTCCAGACTGGATATCGTATGCAATTATCGACGACATTACAGATGCATACGCGCCACTCAGTCAACGCATCGAGGAAGAGGTCGATGATATAGACGAGGCTGTTTTGCGTTCTTATTCGATCGAAGAGGAGCAAGAAATGAAGAAGCAGAATTTATCATCGTTCAATACATCATCCTTTGGAGGTCCTCGTTCCGAAAAAGACCCAGATGGTGCCAGACCGGCGCAGGATGGAGGTCGAGACATGCTGCGACGTGTGGGCGAATGCAGAAAGAAGGTCATGAGTCTATTCCGTCTATTAAGCACCAAAGCAGATGTCATCAAAGGATTCGCAAAGAGGTGCAATGAGCAGTGGGAGGTTGCACCCCGCAGCGAGATTGGCTTGTATCTGGGTGATATCCAGGATCATATTGTGACCATGACCGCAAACTTGAGTCATTATGAGACGTAAGTAAATTTCTAGCATCGGTCTTGTTTTTTTCGTACTAACACCTCAATTCTTGTTCTAGATTATTATCCCGCGCACACAGCAATTACCTTGCTCACGTCAACATCCGCATGAACGAGCGTCAGGAGAAGACTTCAGACATACTGGGTAAGCTCACCGTCTTGGGTACCATTGTTCTCCCCATGAATGTTGTCACTGGAATATGGGGAATGAATTGTAAGTCAAATTTGCCTCATCCCATCTTCTGCCTAACACAACTGACAATACCCCTTCTACATCAGGTCTGGTACCTGGTCAAGACATTGAGAACCTGAATTGGTTCTGGTGCATTACCTCCGGCTTAGTAATGTTTGGGCTCCTTTGCTATCTCATCGCTAAACGCGTTTACGGCATTGTGTAGATTAGACCCAGGAGCACATAGGTGAGCCCAGGCATGTCAGGGCTGGCGCATGTAGTTGCCGATGACTCGTGTCGAGCGTATAATTTACTTGTTGGATAATTGGAATGGATATACCTAAAGCGGAGTACAATAGGTAGGGAAGAGCAAAAGTGGATAACTTGAATCGTCAGGAAGGGGCGTACTGATTTCTTGGGGTAATTTGGAATATTCTTTTGTAATTGTTTCTTTTGTCGCCATATTTTTACACACGGTCGTCAGATTTTCTGACATAGAATGTATAACTCATCATCATCCTATGAGCTGGCCTGTACATATAGTTGAAAATGTGTTTTGATTTATCCTAGTTCTATGTGCAAAGTGAAGCCGAAGATTCGAATGAACCGCCAACGCAAGTGAAGGGGGTGGAAAACGAAGAAGCGAGCAAAACCCCCCAACGAAACAGAATGTAAACTAAACCATGATAAGGAAATCTTTACAGGAAGAACTGATAACGATTCAGGAACTCGTGGAAACAATTTGCAATAGGACAAACCCTGAGTATCGTGGCCTTCATAAGCAGAAAAAATGTTGCATCCGTTATTCATAAACAGAGAGCAGACAAGAATAACGACGATGAATAAGCAAGTGACATGTAATGTTGAACTGAGACAGATGGAAAAACAATTTGAGTTTGTGAAAAATGTATACAATACATGACCGGGGGAACACATAGGTTTCGACCCCGGTCAAAGACACAATTCAAGATACAGGCATGAGAAAAGGTGGAACTCCCTTGAGGGTTTGAAACAAACAACAGGTTGTTCTTCGATCTTGAAAACAATACACCACCCTGATACAAACAAAACATCAGTCATGACAGATGTCAAGGAAGTCGTGAACGTCGGTAAAAAAAGAATATAAAAAGCAAGGCTTGGAAGATAACATGAAGGAAACAAAAACTTCTTCATAACAAACCTAATCGAACCTCTGCTTCACCTCGCACCCAGAACCAGTATTAAGCGACGTCAGTGTTTCCATCCTTCTCTTGCACCGCCGCTTTTGTCCTCCTCTTCCTCTTGCCCTTCTCTTTTGCCCCCTCGTCAAAATCATCAAGGTCGACCTTATGAACAGACTTCTCATGCTCCCCTCTTTTATCTCTTCTGGTGCCGAAGCTCCTGCCCCGCCCAACCCCCACACCTTTTCCAATACCCTTCTCCGCAATCTTCGTCGCGCTTTTCTTCTTCAACACTCGACCGCCTTTAACGCCATTCTGGATCGAAGAATCAACGGCGGGAGCCCCGTCTCGACTACGCCAGCAACCTTCCACGCGACAAAAATACTGCGATCGAAGGCCTGGTTCATGACGCTGGCCATAATGCCGGAATAGGTCTGCGAGACGTCCAAACTGTACATTCGAGCACTCGGGGCTGATGCAGGTGAATATCCGGTTTGCAAAGACAGTTCCGATTGCTGGAGAATCCGTAGTGCTTGACTGTAGAAGCGGCGAGGTGGGAGGTGGGCTAAATGACGATGCGGTCGATTGATCTGTTTCTGGGATCGGAGACGGGGTTATAGATGTGGACGGGGGAACGATTGTTGTTTCGGGGGTATGTTGGGGCAACTGATGATAGGCGGGAGAGAGACTTGGTGAATACGGCAAGGCCCTGGATGTGTACAGTGTCAGTGGCAGTCTGAAGTGATGGGTAGTCGGGGCCAATTGCGAAAATGGATAGATCCAAAGAAACTTACTGGGAGGGTTGGGCAGGAGAAAAGGGCGATTCTTGGAACAATGCGTTGGCCGGGTGCAAGGTTGACATGTACGGTGGAAGTGGAGACTGTTGAGAGCTTTTGGAATACGTTAGACTGTGTAGTGGAGAGCGCAGACCAAAAGTATTTTACGAGAGTCCTGGAAAGGGCGCCAGAGGGTTGGATCCCAGACATGGATATGTCCCAGGTCGTCTTTCGAAATGAGTATGATGCGGGGTGAATCCTTCCAGTAGTCGTAGATACCTTGGTTAGTGGATCGAGTGGATCTGTCCAACCGGCTGGATTGTATGAGTCCGTTTACTTCATCAATTTGTATACGCGTAACAGCAATCTTGGGGTCGTGGACTGCATGGGGTTGACGAGTCATGGGATAAAGTGTGTCGTTGAGTCGCTAGGGGAAGGGAGGGGAGGGAAGCGGGAAGGCTGGGGGGTCCATTGATGGAATCCTGAAGTGATGTTCTGCATACATAGCCTGCTAACTTATCCACGGATCTGCAAGACAACATCGAATGTCCAGTCCACGCAGGAAGAGGATGATCGATTCATGATAGAAAATCATCGTCCAGTGTACCCGAAGTGATGCACCAAGGGAGATTTGCTGTTGGTAATAAAGGAAGATTCATTAAGAAAAGATGGTTACCGACCTAGATGGTACGACACAAGGTCTGAATGAACTGCCTTGATTTCCATACAACTCTGTGGCACAGCCTTTGCCATTTCCAGAAGTTCGTAAGAGGTTCGATCCATTTAATCCGGAAGTTGGCTAGATCCAAGTTAAAAGCAGGTGGTAATGACCAACGGTAGGGATAGGTCGTGATTGGAAGGTACTCGTCGTAATTGCTGCACCAGGGAAGAAAGGGGGACTCCAGTGGTGACTCAAATCGATCGATAGAAGAGACTCTCACGGTATTCCAGTCGAATTAATCGTGAAAGAAAGCAAGGGGCTGAGTAATTATGTACATCTTACAAGGGTCTAAAGGGATTTAGTCCGTCGTCCTGGGTGATCGCTGGATTATGGTGGGTTCCCACCCCTTCTTCGTTATAGATCGTACCCGCCATCTCTAGCATGGACACCAATCCAGGATTTTTTCCGAGGCCTCCAGACTTCCATATGGTGCGCGCCCTTAGGTATAACAAGGATTGGGTGCGTGGTCCTCAGATGATACGACTCGACCGCAACAGGGTACGGTCGCTGTAGCCGTGGGAACAAAGACAGGCCTAGGATTACGGAGATGTTCCCGAAAAGTACGGCCAGGCTGCTTCCAGAAGAATTATATCCTCTATAGGTCCACAGGATATCGATCGGTTTCCCTGTCGTGATAATCTCGGTCTTTTGATGTCTGTAGTTGTTGGAAGTATGACTTACCCTGGAGAGTCTCTTCTAACCGCTGTTGATGAGATAGTATTCACCGACCAATCATTGTAAGGATACGCAAAGCTGACATCCAGTGGTGTTGGTCTCATCTGGTTGTAGTGAGGTCTTGAAAAGCTCATAGGTTGTTGTGTTGAGATGGGGCGTGTGGGCGGATATGAGGGTGACGAGGAATTAGAAAGGCTAGGTTGAAGCTGTATTGGCGACATTGTGTCGTGCATACTGTTGCGTTGTGGTGGGGTTGGATCGAAGAGATCGTTCTGGTTCAGGACATATTGTTGTTGGTTGTTGGCTGGGTCATAGAGGTTGTGAGGCTGATCCATGAGTGTGGATAAAGTATATTGCTGGAAACAAGATAGTGTAGAGCTCATAGGAAGGCAAAATCAGAGTGTAGCAGGTGTGGTATTCGTGTAGCGGTGGCAACATCAGCTTATGTATATGCTGCTTTACCTTTGAAAGGGCAACTTATCGCTGGCATGCTCCTTGGCAGGCGCAGGATCCTGGTGCGTTTACTCCAGCAGACTGAAGAAAAGGCAACCACTCGATCCCACAAGGTAGAAAGAGCAATTAACAGCATACCTCGTATTCACATGACGTGCGGGGTAGAGTAATCGAAATCAGCTGTGGTTGGTTGTGCCGTCCGCCTCACTCTTCACCGGTGTATAAGCACAGCCCCCCATCATGTATAAATCTCTCTTTTGACTCCTATGTACCTTGCAAGGACTACAGTCACGCACTCAGTGCGCGACATCTACGCACCTCTCTCCATGGCCTCGATGTGCTTTTACCCGTGATATCAACTTTCCTTATGGAGCATGAGTACCAGCTATGTGGTCCAGAGGGCAACCGTTCCCTAGCCTTGGACCCATACTTTGACACTCGCGTCTCCGCCTGCAGAGATAATCTTTCCAGCCTTCTCCCACGCAACCCCTGTGACGCCATCCTTGTGTGCATTCACTGCCTTGATTCGCTTGCCTGGATCTTCTACACTCCATGCCATGACATTTGTATCAAGCGAACCACTTGCAGCATACTTCTCAGATTCATCCCAAGCGAGGCAGGTAACACGCGCTGTATGGGCGGACCATCTATCCGTGATGAGCTTCCACTCACCGGATGTCTCGAAGGCATAGATCTTGCCGTTGTTCGCGCCAACAGCCAGCTTCTCACCGGTCCTCGAAAAGGAAAGGGCAGAGACCGGGGCAGTCGCACGACGTAGCTCGATCCCGGCGTCGGTCAGTTCAGTACCGGCGAGTGTATAAACGTGCACCAGTTTATCATCTCCTCCGACTGCGACTTTTGTGCCATGTGCAGCTATACATGTAGGAGCGTACTTGACAGGAATAGAGCTCGCTTGCTTGCCATTTGAATAAACAGCTATTGAATCAGAAGAGGGGACAAGCACGACGTCTGATGTCGATGCAATACCCTTTGGCTGAAACTTGAGCTGAGCTGCTGTGCCAGTAAAAATCTTGCTCGGAACAGACACCGAACGAAGGGTATCATCCCACGCTACCGTGAAGACCTCAGCCTCACTTTTCGAGTCGGAGGCGGTGATGCCCGCCACGTAATTCGAGTGGCTGTCTCCTTCAACTTTATCAGCGATTCCAGACTCCGTATCCCATGCCAACACACGTCCTTCGTAGCTGCCTGTGAATAAGGTAGTCCCGGAGATTCCGACAGCGGTGATGTTCTTCTGGTGACCGCGGACCACGCGAGATGGTTTAGGATTTCCGTCTACAAGATAATTGAGATTTCCTTCGAGATCCACACTGATGATGAGGCCGTCGCTGCGGCCGCTCGGCCAAACCACACCAACCTGCTGATCGGGAATGCTAGGCACGCCCTCTTCACCCATTCTCCAAGACTGAACGGCCTTCCCAGCCTCGGGGTCCCAAATGCGCACTGTTTGATCTGCACTTGCAGTTACAAATCGCTTCGAGTCTTTAGACCAGGAGATACCAAAGATGCTGCCGGTATGTTCGCCCTCGCCTATCTGACCCTTGGCTTCGCCAGTCTTCCCATCGTACAGCCAAATACGTTTGTCTGCTCCAACACTGGCGAAAACAGAACCATCGGGTGCAAAAGCAGATCCGAAGACGAAACGGTTATGTTGACCTCTCAGACTGGTATTGAACTTGAAGGGCGCGCCGTGGTAGAAGACGAGGCTGGTATCGTCAGATCCGGTGACAGCACGCAGAGGTCTTTGCTGCCGGATAGCGACGGTATTGATCTGCGAGGAATGTCCTGCTAGTTTCAGCATCTTTGTTTCTCGTGCATCAGGGCCAATGAAGCCCTATTACTCCTGCATCTTGAAAAAAATGAAGCTCTCGGTTCATCACTTACCCGATATCTCGCCTACACTATTCCCGCTGTCCGCGGTAATGCAGTGCCCGAAGCGTTCTTTGCCATCGCCTACAGCAATGATGCGTTGCGAGTCTCCATCCCAGGCTAGATCATTGATACGACCAGCAATAATGTGATATTCTCCCTTGGTAGCGCCCTCGCCAGCACAGTCCCAAACTCTTACAGAGCCCGAGACATCTCCACTAGCCACGTAGAAGCCAGACGGCGAGAAGCGAGCGACGGTCGTTTGTGCGGTGTGCTGAGTGTATTGCTTGCTGATGGCGGGATTGTCGATAGATCGCAGAAAAACGGATTTCCCGGATGCATAAGCTATACGCTCTCCCTTGGGGTCGGACGAAAGAGGGGTCGCAGTGCCTCTAGCTGTGGTTGGAGAGGCCGCATAGATGGAGTCTAGGTGGAGGTTTGGCCATATCAGTATGCTGAATGCGTATCCAAGCGACAAAGTCTCATACCAGAAATCAGTGACATCGTGCGTTGATTTTTGTATGCAAGCCAGTAGCTGAAGGGACTCAGTCGTGCACTGTATACCTCGAATCTGTATTATGAGGTGGGATGGTGTTTACCTACAGAACAGTAAGCTAGGCGTCACCGCTCCAGCCACAGTGGGGGCTGTGGCTGCTCCCTCGTGAAGACGCGCGGTAGCTCCAAATGTGACAAAACCGCGTCACGTTCGGAAAACTCTCCATGCGCTGCAGACGCAAGGTACGGTCGGATTGGCATTATGGAGGACAGCAGTCGTGAAATGGGGCGCGACTTTCACCATCCTTATGAGCCATACGACATTCAGAAGCAGTTCATGGAAAGTGTTTATCAATGCCTAGAGGGCGGTCAAGTCGGAATATTCGAATCTCCTACAGGAACCGGAAAATCATTGAGTCTCATCTGTGGAGCATTGACATGGCTGCGTGATCAAAAAAGACAAAAGTTCGAAGACGGTTATCCTGCACAATCTGTGGATGGCAACGAGCCCGCATGGATGCTGGAGCATGCTCGCAAACGGAAACAACAGGATGCGCTCAATCGCAGACAGGAACTCCAAGATCGTATAACCAGGGTAAAAGCAGAGGAGAAGCAGATCAAAGAACGTTTCGAGAATGGAGGACCGCGTGTAAAACGACAGAAGGTTATGAAAACATCCAGCGTCATAGATGATGTAGACGAGGCACGTTTTGTCTTGGACGATTATGACAGTGACGCCGACTCGAAAAGCCGGAAAGCATCAGAGTTTGACGACTCGGGGTTATCTGCTGACACTCAGCGGCTGATGGAAGAACTTGGCATGTCATTAAAGCGAAATGGAGATCGTGAAGAGGACATGCCTCACGAAACCACCATATTCTTTTGCTCAAGGACTCATTCTCAGTTGACACAGTTCTCCAATGAACTAAGACGTGTGAAGATGCCACCAGCTATCTCGCCTGAGCCTTCAAAGAATACCTCTGAGCTGGATGTACTGGTCGAAGACGTCAAGCATTTGACACTAGGCTCAAGAAAGAATCTTTGCATCAACCCGAAAGTGCGCCGCCTCGGAAATGCAACGGCGATCAATGAGCGTTGCCTTGAGCTACAGCAACCAGGTTCTTCGCCAGACTGCAAGTGTTCTTTTATGCCTAACAACGAGAACCGTGCTTTGGTCAATGACTTTCGCGACCATACACTAGCGAAGATCAGAGACATAGAAGACCTGGGAGTTTTAGGGGGAAAAATCGGCATTTGCCCTTACTACGCCTCCCGTCCGACTATTAAAGACTGCGAGGTGAGAGCAATAGACCCCACTCTAGCCCAGAAACTGATGTAATAGGTTGTTACATTGCCGTATCCTCTGTTACTACAAAAATCTGCACGCACTGCATTGGACCTCTCTCTCACAGACCACGTTGTCATCATCGATGAAGCGCACAATCTTATGGACGCAATAGTGGGAATATATTCTCTGTCTGTAACACTAGATCAAGTACAGGAAGCGCGGACGCAGCTCACTGTATATCTACAAAAGTTCCGCAACAGATTGAAAGGAAAGAATCGCGTCTATGTCGCTCAAACCATACGCGTTATAGACTCGATCATTATGTATCTCCGGTCTAAAGATTTAGATTCGGGAGATGTTGATGGAATGGTCGAACTGGGAGAGCTCATGTCGGGTAAAGGTGTGGATTTGATCAACATCTATAAACTAAACACATATCTACAGGAAAGCAAACTCGCTCGCAAGGTCGATGGGTATACGACCTTTTCCGAACAGCCACAATCTGTAGATCTATCGAACAGCTCCGGTCTTGCTCAAAAACAGAACATCAGACAAACGATGCCCGTGTTAACTCACGTCCAGTCGTTCCTGTTGTCTCTTATGAATCCATCAGATGAAGGCCGCTTCTTCTACTCTAAAGACGATTCCGGAAGTATTGCCCTCAGGTATTTGCTTCTTGACCCAACATTCCATTTCAAAGAAATTGTAGAAGATGCTCGGGCTGTTATCCTGGCTGGTGGCACAATGTCTCCAGTAAGTTTAAAAGCGCGCTGTTTCTAGTAGCTACTCACACATTGCAGATGAGTGATTATGAGAAGCATTTACTGTCTTACCTAGATTCATCCAAGATACGGACTTTGTCATGCGGGCATGTTGTACCACCATCAAATCTTCTAGCAGTCCCCGTCACCCGCACGCATAAGGGAAACGAGTTTAATTTCACGTTCGAGAAACGCAACTCGGAACAAATGGTGTGGTATTTCCCCTTCAAATTGCACATTTCAGCTCTAACAAATAGTGCAGATGTTGGACCTTGGCTGCACTATTCTAGATGTCGCACGGAATATCCCGGACGGTGTTGTCGTTTTCTTCCCCAGTTACACCTATCTAGATGCCTGCATAGCCGCTTGGGGAAGAAGGCGTCTGGCTTCCGACGGAAAGTCGGTGTTGGATATGATGCGACACACCAAACCGCTTTTCTTCGAACAACGCAGCCAGCCCCAATCTCAGGAGGCCTCGGATAATACACCAACAAATAAAGAGGCTGTCGTTGATTCGGTTTTGAATGCCTACAGTTATGCCGTGAGTTCGGGCAACGGTCGTGGGGCATTGCTGTTTGCCGTTATTGGCGGGTCGTTATCTGAAGGCATCAATTTTAGCGATTCTCTCGGCCGAGGAGTGGTTGTGGTTGGCCTGCCATTCCCCAATCCTCATACTGCAGAGTGGAAAGCAAAGATGCAATATATTTCGTCAAAAGCAGCCAGTGCGGGACTAGACGGGAAAGCAGCAGCACGCGACTTTTATGAAAATACATGCATGCGCGCAGTCAATCAATGTGTGGGACGTGCGATCCGGCACCGGGCAGATTACGCTGCGATCCTCATGCTGGATAGTCGTTATGGTGGACAACGTATTCAGGCTAAGCTTCCTGGATGGATCCGAGGTAGTCTGACCAATGGTGCACAAGGAGGAGAGATCAAACGGCTTCTGGGCAACTTTTTCAGGGATAAGAGCACATAACCAAAGGTAGAGAGATCGTCCGTATGCAGAATTGCTCTCCCCACATTGGACTCTCACATGTGCGGTTGTGGCTTGTTGATCCAATGTTGATCCAGCTGGATCTTCCAGACGAATCCGATGCTCGATAAATCCTACGGACGACTACATCTCGATCGAAGCTTGTTTGTAGGTGTATGCCATGCGACGTGGTGACTAACTCCGTCCACAACCCACGATTCGGTTCGTGGAAAATGTTGCTTTTCGTCATGTCGTGAGACCCCGCCCCCTACATCCCTGTATCACCTGCCACCTTCCTCAAAAGCAATCTAATGATCTTCACGCCTGCTGAAGTTTATCTCGATGAGTATTGGGCACACCATGCAGACACAAGATAACGCCTAGACACAGCGTCGGCGTTGGCCTGCCAAAGTGTGCAACTTGGTGTGTAGGGGGCGACGCTGCAGGCTGGACCTGGGCACATCCCATCGGCCATATTACTGAAAACATTTCGACCACTCCGCAGTCAATCGTCTCGCCTGCCGCATCCGCGCTCCTCTCCAGCTTAAGAGCAGCAGCTCATCTTCTATTCCGCTTCGTACAATATTTGCCAACGAATTAAGTCAGGTGAATGCTGAAACTTTCCACCGATCGCACCCCCGAACCCGAAAGCGACATCGCTCTACCATTTGATGTCGGGAATTTTAGTAGAGACGATCTTATGACAAGGGCATAAAGCCGTTGCCGCAGCCTCTAGCAGATCAAATCGACCACCCCTCGTATCAACCACAAAACACCCAGTGCGCGCTACTCAACTTTTGATATCCTAATCTGGCGAGTCGCGAGAGCTGAGGCGCTCCCTCTCTGGAGCGAATACTGAACTCATTCCCACATATCATCCATTTCTTCGGACAATCTTTTACCGATCGATTGAAAACACCTCCGTCGCAATGTCGGATCCGTTCGGGACCAGCGGTCTGGATAAGAAAACACGCATCGGCATCATTGCTAGTGTCGTAGTCGTCGTTGTCTTGTTGGCCATGGGCTGTGCGATAGGCGTATTGGATTGCAGAAAGGGATATCTGCGACGCAAGCTTCGAACAAGGCAAAACCGCGAATCCGAATCGGCCGCGCTCGAGTCACAGATGCGAAGAGCTTCAACAACAACGCAGAATCAAACCGACCGGCGGAAACACGAGAACGGTTTGTGGGATTACTTGAAAAATCCACAATTGGGCGGGACCGGTGGAGAGCCTAGGGATATACAACAGAGTATCGATATGGAAAAGGGCATATCAGAACGCGTGGAAAATATCAAACAAAGACAACAAGAAGGAGTCGCATAGGGTCTAATTGCTACATAAGGGCCAATATGGAGGGGAAAATATGGTATGATCTACATGCCTGGGTCTGTTTTTACTGATATATACCAATGTGCCTGGGAATAGGTCTTTTGGAGTTATGATTAATGCATTATGATCAAACCACGTTCAAATTCAGTCTTGTCGTAACAAATTTTGATATCTAGTAGCTGCTGGTGGCTATCAATTGATGTCTTCATACCTACCTAGGTAGGTATAATGTATGCCTTACCTTCATGTGAGACCATCTGCTTTCTTTAACGAGCTAATATATTTCCATCGACTTTTTACCTTGAGAGTTGTCTTCCACGGAATTAACTTACTCATTAACTGTCTTCATTGACGCACTTTGATTTTGAGAAAACATTTATGTATATATATATCATGTGATTATCAGCTCCAGCTTCGATATCCGAAAGCTGTTCCTGAAACAAAGAGCCTGATTCTTTTATGCAGCAAGACTATATCAGTCACAGTCAGTCTTCGCACATATAATCCCCTTTCTCGAATTCGTGGTAGCGCCACAGGTGTGGCGCTGGAACGTGGCGTATTCAAGTCCAAATGCGGCATAGACCCTAATCTAAGTCCGTCTCATCTCCTGCTTCAAAGCTTCCAGTATCGTGGCTTCATTCGAAAAAAAAACCCCCCTCAATGAAAATCACCCGACACCGAGAGTTCTTCATCCGTCAACAATTTTACTATATATTTCGCTCATGCCCCTCTATCACTAAAGGCTCTTAAACTACGCTCAACGTCTTTAGGAGGGACGATGATAGGGGTATCAGATATCAAACGGCTATCTCCATTACTGCCTTACATAGGACGTTCATGAAATTCTTGACCATGTCTTCAACATGGCGCACACCTACAATGGAAGACAGAGGCGCATATATGAGCGTAGCGCAAGTCGATGATGGGAATGCGGAGCTGAATGCGCAGGGTCCAACAAATGGCTTGCTGTATGTTCCCTAAACTCTATTTTAATTCTTTGCGATTTTGTTCAGTCGAGTGGATTTCCTCCAATCCTCGTTCTGGGCTCAACGGTCGAAGCACATCCCAGACCCTGTCATTTGACGTGAACGTATCTATGACTGCTGACGAGATTATAGGAAAAATGCAGATGAATTTGACGCGGAGCTTGGTAACGCTCCGACACCAAGCGAGCTCGTGACTCTCCCCAAAGTCTCAGACAAACTCCCCTGGGGGGCCTTTTTGGTCGCAATCGTTGAACTCTGTGAGCGCTTCGCATATTACGGCCTATCTGGACCTTTTCAGAATTACATGGCCAACAAGTACCATGACCCTAATGGGCTGCCTGGGGCTCTCGGCTTAGCTCAGTCTGGCGCAACTGCCTTTAACAATGCTTTTCAACTATGGTGCTATGTCACACCGATCCTGGGCGCTGTGGTCGCTGACCAGTATCTTGGAAAGTACAAGACAATCAAGTATTTCTCCATCATCTACATGGTAGGAATACTCATTCTTTTCGCTACATCGCTACCCTTTTCCATCGAGAGAGGGGGCGCCTTACCCGGCCTCATCACAGCTATGGTCATCATCGGAATAGGCACCGGAGGCATCAAAGCCAATGTATCACCTTTGATCGCCGAACAAGTGCGATCTACCAAGCCATTTATCAAGCTTCTATCCAACGGCCGGAAAGTCATTGTAGATCCAGAGGTCACAGTGCAGCGCATATACATGATGTTCTATATGTGCATAAACGTCGGGTCGATTTCAGCTATCGCCACTACCATGCTCGAGCTTCATGTTGGGTTTTGGAGCGCCTATCTCCTAACGTTTCTCATGTTTTGCGTTGGCTTCTTTGTCCTACTGAACGGCAAAGATAAATACGTAATCAAGCCACCCCAAGGTGGAGTTATAAGTAACTGTTTCAAAGCCCTCTGGATTGCAATGCAAAACCGTTTTGATCTTGATCAGGCGAAACCTTCATTCCAAGCGAGAGGTGGCAGAAGAGGTGGCGTTCCATGGGATGATGCATTTATTGATGAGTTGAAAGCTTCTCTCGTAGCGTGCAAAGTTTGTCTCTTCTTTCCAATATACTGGGTGACCTACGGCCAGATGATGAATAACTTCGTCTCTCAAGGTAAGAAATGTCGTATTCATTAGGAATCTGCAGCAGAGCAGCTGACTTTACACAGCGGGAACAATGCAGCTGCATGGCCTTCCAAATGATATTCTACCCAACATCGACCCCGTCACCATAATTATCATGATCCCAGTTCTAGACCGATACGTCTATCCTTTCATACGTACGCGACTACACATACCATTTCGACCAATCGCACGCATGACGTGCGGGTTTCTCGTTTCTGCATCCGGCATGGCCTATGCAGCTGTACTACAATCACGCATTTACGCTTCTGGTCCCTGTTACGAAAACCCTTCTCATTGTGAAGCCGGAAAGATTGGGGAGAATAGATACAAGCCAAATAATATCCACGTGGCGTGGCAGACACCGGCATATATTTTGATCGCTTTGAGTGAGATCCTGGCGAGCGTAACGGGCTTAGAGCTGGCCTATTCTAAAGCGCCCGAAGGCATGAAGAGCTTCATCATGTCTCTGTACCTCCTGACTTCGGCTGTAGGCAGCGCCCTTGGAATTCTCATTGCGCCTTTCGCAAAGGATCCTAATCTGGTTTGGCTTTATGCCGGGTTAGCCTGTGCCGCTGGTGTTACAGGAGGGTTCTTTTATTGGACTTTCAAGGGTACAGACGAGCCAAAATCTGGACTAGAAAATATTGAGTTGATGGGAAGAAAGAGCGAAGAAGACGAAGAGGAAGAAGAAAGTGCCACACACGCATAGCTGTGTCTCGTCACGTAGCTTGGTTATGAAGATCTCGGGTCAAGGTCCAAAAAAAGAAAGGCTCGACAATAAAGCCTGGTGTCAATAGATGACGTCCACCCCGCTTAGACTTCATTTATATGCTCATCTTACCATCCGACAATTCCCTCCATCAAAAGGATGCTCGAAGCCAACAAGACCAAAGAGAAGACCTAGCAGCACTGCTGCCCCGAGAGAGATGAACTCTTACTTGGTGATATCATTAGGAACTTGTCAAGCCGAGGTTTAACCGATAAAGCGAGACGTTCGTGAAGCCAGAGTTCGACCCCGAAAGCTGAGTTGCAGCCTCAAAAAACAACTACGCCGCTTTTTACAATCGCCCAAATGACATTGAATATCTAAAAGCATGCAAAAAACACTTGCTTGGGCAGAGAATCGAACTCTGAACATCACGGCAGTCCTTCGAAGATTGATATTAAACCAATCGTGAAGCCCACAACGTGACGTGATACCATTTCACCACCCAAGCTTTGTGACCTGTTTGATGAAGAGAATCCAACTTCTATAGACTATAATTAAGCAGCAGAATTCGACCACTATTATCGTCTTGAAATACTCTGCCAGACGGGCTGTTCGGGATTCTCTCGCTTACAATGTTCTCTGTCGATTTTTTCTCCCATGCCCCACAAGAACTGGTAGGTGCTACCATTCCATCCACAGATTCAATTCTGTACTATGGTGGGCAATGAACCTCAAATCTTCATATAACAATGATCATCACTTGTCAAGCTGCTATACCCCGACTCTCAGATCTTCCAAACAGCCGTCTACTCATTCCGCGCATCATGTCGTGCGACCAACGGAATTCGTATTCGCCAAGTGATGCGTTCATCTCCTTCAATACTCGTTCCTGCATATGAGGCGTGCAGTATTCGTACGCCATGACAAGGCTCAAGGACGTTTTTGAGGCGCCCGAGATCCCGTTGTTGGTGGAACCCCACTGCATCATTTTGTAGATCTTGAGTGCTACGGTTCGAGATTCGGCTTCCATGGCGTAGTACATCGGCTTGTGGGGCGGAAGCAATTCCATCTATGCGTAAATATCCAGACATGATCAGCAAGGAATTTAGGAAATGCAATGATTATTTGCAAGATTGGGGAAGTTTGGTGTAATCTTACAATCATTCTATTCACCGTGAGGTGCAGCGCATTGCTCAAATTTGATATCGCTGCAGTGTGCTCATCGGAAATGTGGCTGCAGAGATCGGGTGTAGCCAAATCGATACCAAATGACTCCCTTAAAACATTGGCTTTCAACGCTATATCTATTTCCTGCAATTCTTCCTTGAAACGGTATAGCTTTTCGAGCAGAGAGCTGCTGGGATTCTTCGGTGAAGGACAGCGCTTTTTCAGAAACAAACTCTCCAGCGAAGGAAGGAATGCAGAGGTCGGGAATGTTGCGCGAATCGGGGCTATGTTGCCCAGCGTTTGTTCCGATGAAGAATATCGTTCAACCACGAGATTGCTTTGCAATGCCTGCGGCATGTCGGCATTTTGGTCCAATCCATTCATGCCTAGCTCTTCCATGTCGCCTAAAAACCCAGGCACATCTGCGGCAAGACGTAGGAGCTCAATTTCAGCATTCGGGTCGGAGCCAAGTCTATTGGAACTAAAGGCAGCGCCCTGCCACTCTAGTGAAGCCAAGAAACACCGTTTTCTGTCATAGATGGAGGTGAGTATCTACATCGGATTGTCAATTGACATATGCCTATATTCGTTGTACATACTCTATTGAGTTGGAGCGTTGAGAGGGGAGGTGGACGTACAATACTTCTTGTGCTGCATTGTAAGATGTCTCTCAAGAACTCATCTTGTAAGTATTTGCCCGGGCCTTGCAACTCTGCTAGCTTGCCAACTCCACGTATATGAGACAGGTAACGAGTGCCTGCTCTTGGTCCCGCTATTGCCTGTGATATGCATTAATGCCGCCTTCTTTGGTATCAATGGACATTCACTGACTTCAACAACTCCCAATAAAACTGCCGCGCAAAGCGTATTAGGCGAGAGCACTTGCTGGGGGTCTTCCAGACTTGCATTAAGTGTTCGAATGGCGCGCAAGTAGAGTCTTGGGTCTATGGCCTCACCCGGATTGGTTTGGTGGATCGGTGTGAAATGCGCATGGACTAGACAGGCTACCGCAGCATCGAGTGCGGCGCTGTGGTTGATTCGGGAAGGCACCTTGTGTATGAAGTCGCCCAATTTACAGAGTTGGAGCCCAACACCTTTGCTATGGAGTGCTTGGATAAGCGCTTGCGCGAGGGGGTCTTGTTGATAAGGAATCCCGGTGTTGAGTAATGGGGAGGGGTATGCCTCAGTTGAGAGAGTTTGTTCGCTTAGGGCTTGCAAACTATGGATTGGAGGAGATGCTTTCAATTGTTTGGAATGTCGGCCTGATCTTTGTCTGTTCAATATCTTGCCAGATATAGACTGTGTCTCGTAGAAAGAGCTATGTCTTGTACTCGAAGTAGCATCTTTAGATGCCAGCTTGGGCCCAAGGTCTCTGAAAGTATGGCGTTGAGGAGGCCCTGTACAGCACTTCCCATTTTTCTCGCAATTGAGGCAAAGAGGCCAGGTCTCGTCGCACTGGTTCGATATTGCATTTGCCGTCAGTTCAATCTTCTCTTCTGCACTATGAGTTGTTCAGTTTACCTTTATCTTTCTTTTTCTGCAAATAAGACAGCCGGTCGATTTGGGAACACCCACCATGATATGATCGGTGTATTGTGATTATCATCATATCATAACTTGGAGGATTAATTCGGCAGACGTTAAGGATTCGTCATGGAGATGTCCCACATATCATCTACGAGCAACCTTCATTCCCTGAGACATAGGAGACAGCTATATGAATATATACACAGATGTATCGTCAATCACGTGTTCGCAACATACTTCCTGTTTTGGCTTACTACCTCAAGTCACCCAACCAAATTGTTCAGCTGGCATAATAGCTAATACTTCAAGCATAATGATGACGGTATGGTGAATCGAGGTAAGCCGGAGCGCGACTCCGAACAGCCCGAACTTTTGAGAGGAAAGACCAGCTGACTTACTCAGCTTGAGAGCATGGATTGCAGCGTGGCAAGGCGGACTTCATGTTCTGAAAGGTTTCAGCCCTGACATCAAAGTTTATCCACTCGTATTAGCAGTCAGCAAAAGCCTGGACACTCCCATTGCAGTAATACAAGCGATACTGGCCAATTGATTGGAGTTGTTGCCTGTTGCGCATGACAATACAGTGGGACCTGTACCAAACCGCGCTACAACGACGAATCGGCCTGTCATGAATATCACAGCGAAGTGTGCTGACATGCCACAAGCAGAAGACAGAACGGCGATGACATGAACGCTGATGGGTAAGCTGAGGATCGCCGGCAGTTGAGAATCTGCTGCGTGTCATTGCCGTGTAGCCGCCTTCGATTGCCTTGGGACTTCTCTACTGATCGTCAGAGGACGATCTAAAGTGAAGCTTTGGTACAGTCAAGGCTCTCCACACCCTCAATAGTTTCAGCGAAGACTCGCGGCGTCATTCTTGAGAGGCATCCCAAGCGTGCTTAGCGCTGCCTAGCACTTTTATTATCAATGCTTTCCCAATCGGACAATGGGGTGACTCTCTTGGATGACTTTCTGGGTCATTTCTAGGCACGTTCTTGCGTCGAGTTGACCAGACCGTTGGTAGGATGCTGCATTTGTTGGTGGTCCGTGACCGCTCCATCTGTAGAATGGCCAACACTTCTTACAGGGTGACTGCAGCACATCACCCATTGCAGACAATACTGGTTAGCTTTCGGGCGAACCACAGTACCGGTGCGCTATTGATGAGAGAACGAAAAGACAAGAGAACCAAGCATCGAAGAATTAATATAAATGCCAGTAATATCTACAGAAGGCCCGATGTGTTTCAACACAGTCTTCCAGGGCACAAATTCGGTGACACTACCCCCAACATGTTAGCCGTAGACAAGGATTGACATTACATCAATGCGATCCAAATGGACACTGCTTATTCTAGAAAACTCAGGACCGTGTGTGAGCATTGCCATTCAAATACGAGGATTCGGCACATGTGCGGCTGCATACGTGGAACACCGACATGTTGGTGGTGGTAGGATTTGCCATGTCAGCCCGCTTAGAGCCGAATGCGTAACTCATGGCTACTAAACCCTTCCTGGGCTCTGCATTGACATGGTTCAACAACGAATCGTACTAAATAGCCTTACCGATATTGCGAGAACTGAGTATGCCGCTCCCGTCCCGTCCTGACATTCGATATCGCATTGCATACAGCAATCCCCCTGATTCCATCCCTGACCGCTACGACTGCTTCTTGATACGCAAAAAGATGAATGCCAAATAAGCTGGAGCTTATGTGTCAATATTTCGTACATAACCGAAGGGCATCCCACCCAGTCTAGTATCTAACGCCACGTTCAGTCATCACGAGAAGATACGAATGATTGACCCGAGCAACTACACAGGCACCTTGAGAATTGAACTGCCGATGCCGAATTTGTTGTGCCTCGTGGCAGTCCCTGAGTATTCGCATAGCCCTGCATTGCTTCGATTGCCCTAAAGGTCCGGCCCGCGTAGCAACGAGGGAGAGCAGCCCACTAATTGCCAATATCAGTTAAAGCCCATTCCTTTCAATAAATCTATACAAAGCATAAAACTAAAATACTGACTGTCAAACACCATGTCAGGGTTGGCTGGTTTTCAAAACTAAGCGAAATTTCATAGCGGTTATCTACGCGTCCATTGATCTTGATTATGTACCGAACCGCCGTGAAACCCAATATAGCCTATAGCTCGTATGTTATACGTGAAAACCTGGTTGGAAAAGAGGTCACGGCAATTGAACCTGGGTATCGGGCCACTGCACAGACAGGTACTCCGAGAACCCGGTACTAAAGAAAGAGGCGTTTTGGATACGATGGCATGGGAGTGTTCTATTTGTGAAGTCACGGTCCAGTCATTGCGCTTGTATGTGTTGTATTGAAAAAATCATCAAGTAATCCATTTCCAACGTATAACCTGTGCCTGACAGTCGATCGAGATGTTTACATGTGTCTTGAGTGAGCCATAAGTTGAACCTCGAAGGAGATTCGATATACTTCGATGCCGTTTACTCTATAATCTGCTTCAACGTGAACATCACATAAGCCCCAAACATCGCCTGTGGACGCCTATAATTCAGCCACAAAACACTAAATCAAGGTCTGTTGGTGGCTCTATGATTTTGCTGTGAGGGATCTCGCTTGCTTAGACCGCTTCGTGCATGGTGTGTTGGTAGCATTTGACCGTTCTAGTACTCACGACTCGATCCGTGTTGCATTCGGTTCCAAATTCTTTCGTCTGATGCAGCACAATTGCTTCCGAGCACGACCGAATGCAACCCTGAATTTGTGGGTCCAGGGTTCAGGTGTGAGATGGTGAGCTCACTGCAGCTTTTCTGCAGCATCGGGCGCGTATGGTACTGACTCTTTCTGGGAACATCGCTGAAGCTTACACCTGGCAGTCGGAACCGTGCATTGGTCAAGTTCTTACGCTGCAAGGTACGCGAGTACTCGAGGCAGGCGCTACTAGGCGTCTCTGACATAGGGACTTACTCACGGACTTCATGATCCTCCAGGAAGCAACGGCATTTGCCATAAGCCGAGTATCGGGTACGAACTAACACGAGAAAAAGGATTCATGTCAAAAGGCGCTACAGACATCGAACTTGCTAATCAGTCAATCATATCACGCACAGCGCCCCATAACGAACTGCCAAGACCGAATCCAGGAGTCTCTGAAGACTGCTCACTTGCATTCGATAGTTTAGGACAGTTCACTACTGCAAGCCTCCAAACAAAAGCTACGCCTGAACGGAAATTTCGAAGTCTAGCGACCATTGGACTGAGCTTCCACTACACCCTTCCGTCGAGATTCAAGGTTCGGTTATGCAAATACCGTCTTGCCACCCGCTGCCTTCCGTTCTTATGTGGACGATAACGTAGCGATATGGGATTCCTCAATACCGGTCAGGGTACAAAGTCCCGAAATACGATATTGCTCTGTAAAATACACCTAGAAACTGAGTTTTACGATACAGAACTCTAAGATCGTTCTCTGATCTAACCTAACAGAGTAGTCTTATATATAGCACATTTAGCACTGCCCAGCTAAACTTCTGGATGTTGGTCAACAACGAGGCAGTTGCCTGCAAAAATACCACCAACCCGTCATAATTTACGAATCCAAACCTCTATTCTCATATTATCAGGCCTCACATGGCTTTCCGGTGTGACAACGACTCGACCTTTTGGTGAGAAATGGGGTATATAAGTCAGTGTCTCTTCCCCCATCTTCAACTTCCTCACCTCACCTTCGAGTCCATACTTCCATCTTTTGGGTTCCCATTTCCCTTCTTTTTATCGGCTCTCGCTCCATTAATCCTTACACTATCGTTATCATGAAGTCCTTCCTTGCTTGGGGGGCAGCCCTCGTTGCCTTTTCGGCTCCTCTGATTGCTGGGAAACCACTTGAAGCAAAGCGCCTCGATACTACCACTGCGCTCGAGAAGAAGCAGGCCTGCGTCAATGGGCCTACCAGTCGTAACTGTTGGCTTCCTGGCTTCGATTCCAACACCAACCAATATGAGACCTGGCCGAGTGGTAAGATCGTCAGAAAGACTTTGACCATCACCAACACTACCTGCAACCCCGATGGGGCTGGAGAAAGGGTTTGCATGCTTGTTGACGGATCTCTACCCGGTAAGATTCTGTTATAGCTCTTGTCATCAGGCCTCGACTAACATCATATCCTTAGGTCCTACCATCATTGCAGACTGGGGAGACACACTGGAGATTACAGTGAGAAACCAGCTTCAACACAACGGAACTTCAATTCACTGGCATGGCTTTCGTATGCTTCACACCAACATGGAAGATGGCGTAAGTTATCCAACTTAGACAACACCACAGGATTCAGAATTCTAACATTTCCCAGGTCAACGGTGTGACCGAATGTGCACTTGCCCCTGGAGATTCCAAGACTTACCGGTTCCAAGCCACTGAGTACGGAACAACTTGGTACCACTCTCACTTCAGCGCCCAATACGGAGATGGAGTTGTCGGAACCATCATGTGCGTGTATCCATGTCTGCTATACTGATGAATCACTAATGGCCATGTAGTATCAATGGCCCAGCTACCGCTAACTACGATATTGACCTCGGCACCTGTAAGCACCATGACTCGAAACAAAAGATGATGAATGCTGACTATGCTCACAAGACGCCATCTCGGATTGGTACTACATGACTGCCTACCAAGCAGCTCGCCTGGCCTTCAATGGCCCCCAGCTACCCAACAACGTTATCATCAACGGAACCAACAAGAATACTGCTGGAGGTGGTCAATACAACAACGTCAAGCTCGAGCCCGGAAAGAAACACCGACTCCGTCTTGTCAACACTGCTGTGGACATTGCGACCCGCGTTTCCCTCGATGGCCATAACTTCACTGTCATCTCAGAAGATTTTGTCCCAGTCGTCCCCTACAACACTTCCTGGGTCCTCCTCGGCATCGGACAGCGATACGATGTCATCATTGATGCCACCCAATCCAACAGTAATGGAAACTTCTGGTTCCGTGCTATTCCCGAAGGTCTGTGCCGCAGCTCTACCATTGGCAACACCATTGGTCGTTCCATTTTCACCTACGCCAACTCGACCTTGGCCGATCCTCCAACCGATACACCTAACCAAAACCCGCCAACTGCGTGCATGGATCCAAACTCGACCCCGCAGATCCCAAGAGATGTACCCAGTGAGACCTTCGCAGCCCAGGCTCGGGATATTCCATTCACGTTCGAGGAAACAGTCGTTGTAAGTAAAAACCAATGCACTGCCGATATATAATGAGAGCCTTCGCTAATATGTATAGACCAACAACGAAAGTTTGGTGCTTTGGACTGTCAACGGATCCTCCATGATGTATGTCTCGGCGCTACTCTCCTTCCTATGCAATTGAGTTGTAACTCACACACTATAACAGGATCGATCCCGCTGAGCCAACACTTGAATATCTTGCCAAGGGCAACGAATCATTCCCTAAGCCATACAACCTTATCGAGGTCAACCCCGAAGCCGATGTAAGCTACGACCTAGACATCGTGAGGCGCTTATTTTTGAACACGACTAACAATTATACAGTGGACCTACTGGATCATCCAACAGATCGTTGACGCAAATGGACCATCCCCAGTAGCTCCTGGTATCCCGTAAGTACATTATCTCATCACACTTCCATCTCACCTGTCAACGCTCGGGAGTGAAGTTCCTAGATTCAACCAGTAGACTGACCATTGACCAGCCATCCCATTCACTTGCACGGCCACGACATGTTTGTCCTCGGTACTGGCGCTGGACAGTTCAACGTCGAGCAGCATTTCAGCTCTCTCAAGTTCCAGAATCCACCTCGCCGCGATGTCCACCACATTCCTGCACGAGGCTGGATGGTGATTGCATACCCCTCCGACAACGTAAGTTTTTTCATTCCCATTACACCCCCGCACTCTTGCTCCTGCCCAGTTGATAGGAAGCAAACTAACATACCCTGTTTCACAGCCCGGAGCCTGGCTCATGCACTGTCACATTGCTTTCCACGTCGCCATGGGTCTTAGCGTCCAATTCCTCGAACGCAAGGACGAGATTGTTCTTCCGGCCCCCGACAGCGAGTGGTTCAACACTTGCAACAACTACGAGAATTACATCCGCAATGGGCCCGAGTGGCCCCAGGACGATTCCGGCCTCAAGAAGAGATACCCTCCGCTAGCTGGCGAATTTGACTCAATGGCCATGTCCCCCGCCAAATTCTGAACAACGCAACGGCTGAAGTAGAGCAAGTTTCCAGCGAAACCGGCGATGATTGAGAGAGGAGCTGTGAGAGTTACACTTCACTGTTTATATTGAACCCTGTCCCTTGGAACCCATTTCCCGGGTTGGTAAGTGGGGGAATTGTGCAAGGAGCGAACTTACTTTTCGAGTGGTAAATACTTTGTGTCTGCGTCTTTGTTTCCTACACCCTACTTTTCTCTTTATCTCCTTTTGGAAGCTGCCTGCCTACGATCCACGAAGCGGGCAAGACGATCACTCACTCGATTTTCTCCTTTACCACAAACACAAACTCAACCCAGAATTATCTCTCTTATGTATATATGCCGTTGGCAAGATAATCAAGAATGTACATATGTTAGTCTTGAACAATATCACCTTCTCTATCATAACATCGATCACTGAACGTCGAAGTCATCTTTCTTTTACATCAAGTATGGCCAAAATTTCCGGAGCATCATTCATTCAGCCAAAGCGTTGTGATATGTCTTGGATTGAGAGAGGCTCAACACAGTGTGGCGCATCCTAACTAAAGTATTTCGGATATCACAGCTATTGCCAGTCGAGTACGAAGTGCAGCACAGGTGTTCGTGGAGTTGAGTATGCAGGTCAGTGCGGCGCTTGTGGGGGCGGAGGGAGGACTGTTCTGGGGCGGATGGTGTTCTCTATTGGAGGAGTCTTGTTCCTTTGCGTTGCGTTGGTTCTCCCATATCGGTTTTCCGAGTCTAGTCTAAAACACTGCAGTTCGACTCCATATCATCTGTGTAGTGAAAACTATCTCGTGCCCTGATCTGCCTCCACTTGTGCCGAAATCAAATTCGCAATGAAAATCTACATTGCGTTTTTTTGTGTCGCAGAACTAATAGGAAGAAAGACCTGGCCGACAGGACATGTCATCCACAAGAAAAAAGAGATCGCCGATTATCTGGATGAGCTGATGTAATAATTGATCTTCTTATTCTAGAAAAACGTTTGGGGACCGGCTAACTCATTTGGAAGACCAAACTTTTCCTTCACCACCGTTACCAAAAAAGGAACCCGTATGGCCCAGACATATATATATACCCATACCCAATGTATGTGTATATGCGCATTTGCCGTTTCCCTTGAAGCATGTCCCTATGACTCGTCCGTGTACATACTCATGCCCCATGTGTGTATTTAGAAGAAGATCTGGCAGCAACACCTGCAATGCAACACAATGACAAGAGAAAACCAAGCTAGCCCTGTGGGTTAAAGGAAACAAAAGTAAGACGTGAAACATTCGTTACCACAAGACGCCCAAATCAAAAGAGAAAAAGTATATAACCGAAGTAGAGTTTGCTCTCAATTCCTCTGCAGCATAGAAGTTGTCAAAGTGAAGTAAGCCGTTGATGGAATAGGATGGAGCGGAAGAGGATATAAAGTTCATCCCGATTATCAGCTGGCAGGGTCATTGCTACTCCCACTCCCCTCTTTGTCAGGAGCACGCCAACGCCGCGTGGTATTCATTCGAACCGAGCTAGGTCTCGATCTTGGCAGTTGGAGCTCCCCCTTTTCTCCGTCACCCCCATTGACGCCTTTTTCAGTTTCTGCGCTATATTCTACGTCTGTTGAGGCAGATTTGGCGTTGTGCAGCGCTTCTTGGACAATCTGTGCTGCTTGTGCCTGCAGATTTGGCATTGTCTCTCCTTCCTTTTTCGAAAGGTACGATTCGAGCAGGGCCTTGAGCGTTTGCGCACGGACAGGTTTTGCGAGGTAGTTGTTCATGCCTGATGCCAGACATTTCTCCCTGTCTCCTTGTATCGCCGAGGCAGTCATGGCGATGATGAGTACATTGCGAATGTTGGGATCGTGGTGTTTGCGTATCAAACGAGTTGCTTCATACCCATCGCAATGTGGCATCTGCACATCCATGAGGACAAGATGAAAAGGTCGCCCGTTGTCGCTCGCTCTTTCAAGTGCATCAATGGTTTTGAATCCGTCCAAGTATGCATCGCACTTGAAACCAAGCTTCTGCACGAATGAGATGGCGATCCTTTGGTTAATGAGATTGTCCTCTGCAATGCACACTTTTAACTCATTGCGTGGGATCGTACTGAGGTCAATACATGGAGTATCCTGTTCGTGACCGTTGTTCTCTTGGCTAGAGAATTTCGCCATTGGATCTGGCTCACGAGTCACGACTTGCCTGTTCTGCGCTTCGGTCTTGGGCACCTTTTGGAACCGTAGTGAAAACGACACTGATGTTCCCAGGCCAGGTGTCGATTCCATCCAGACTTTCCCTTCCATAACATTTTCGATCAAGGCTTTGCAAATACTCAAGCCAAGACCTGTACCGCCATAGCTGCGAGAACTTGAACTCTCGATTTGACTGAATGGGAGGAATAGTTTTTTCATCTGCTCTTCTGGAATGCCAATTCCAGTGTCGATGACGCTACATGTAACATCAATCCAACTCTCACTCTCTCGGTCAGCAGTAGCACGTACAGTGACAGAGCCTTTGGGGGTGAACTTGTAGGAGTTGGAAAGGAGATTCATGAGGATCTGATGTAAGCGAACGGGATCACCCATAACGAGGAGTTCAGGATCAATTTCCAGCTGTTCTACTGTCTTGAGGCCCCGCTCAGCATTCGTATAAGCCAAAGCTCGAACTACTTCGGTTATCGTTTCTGTTAGAGAGAGAGGCATGTTCATGACATTCATCTTCCCAGCTTCTAGCTTTGAATAATCGAGCAGGTCGTTGATGATCGATAGAAGAGTGTCGGCGCAGACACGAATAGAGTCAGCGTAGCCCGCTTGCTCGCTGTTCAAAGGACTGGCTTTGAGGAGTTCAGACATGCCGATCACGCCGTTGAGAGGAGTGCGAAGTTCATGGGAAACATTGGCAAGAAATAAGCTCTTTGCCTTGGCTGCTTCTTCTTTGAGCCTCATGTTACGAATGGCAATTGCTTCGGCTTCCTTTGCCTTAATTTCCGCAGCACGAGCTTGTGCTAACGCCCTCTTTTGCATCTCCAACATTGCTTCATTGGAAGCACTGACGCGTTCCACTTGCTTGAAAAGCAGTGCATTCGCGAGTGATATGGATACTTGGTTGACGAGCAGACGCAATACATTTGTGTTGCGCTCGGTGAATGAGTTCGGTGGGCCCTCCACATAAATTGCACCCATGAGATGCTCAAGATGTACAATAGGAATACAGATGATTGCTTTTCCGGCAGGGTTGCGTTTGAGGTAAGACTCGGAGACGTTTGAAAAGCGGTCGTCCTCAAGGAGATTCTGGCAAAAGACCGTCTCGCGAAACCTAAGAGTGTAACGTGTGACTTGTTGCGCTACAACATCTTCTACGGTATCCAATGGTTGTCCGGAAGGGAACGAAGCCACACCACCTGTAGGGCGTCCTTCAAGTTTGTCGTTTTCGTTTGTTGCTACACACGCAACACTCCATTCAATCTGAGCGTCTTCAATGACGATGCCGCAGAGTGATGAGCCGGTAGATTCCAATATGATACCTGCCATCTTGGCCATTAGCTTATCGAAATTCAGTTCGCTGGAAAGTAGTTGGCTGCTCTCGAGAATCGAGCTCAGATCGAGCATATCAAGACCAGTAGCTGAAAGGCCATTTTGAAGATTCTGTTGCGACCCATGCGGCTTCTTGGATTTTGGTACTACCCAGTCCTGCGTTCGATCAACTGCAGTTTCTGTCCCTAATAAACGGTCTTCTTGTTCCAAGTTCTGTTCCAACCGTAGAGAGGTGTTGCCGGTATCGATGATGGTTGTCTGTACGGCGACGTCCATGGTGCTTAGTGAGGAGGTTCCCCTGAGTAGCCACTCGTATTTAGAAGATAGTTGAGTGGCCTTTCCATATGCCGAGACTCGACGGTATGTCGAGATGCAATCCTTCAGTACGTGACGGGCAGGACGCAAAGACTTCTTGCGAATCAACCACTCAGCGTAGAGCTCGAAAGCCAGAGCCTCATCCAGAGTGAAGCCATGCACTTCACTGTGATCCAATGCGGACTCGAAGTGCTGTAATGCTCCTGGAGGATCACCAATAAGCTCAGATACGCCCGCCGATAGCAATGCAATCCAGTGTCGGTAGTTAACGTCGGTTATAACACAACAGGCGTCCAGCTTCTTGATAGCCTGCTGAACGAAATCTATCATCGGTCCCTTTTCAGCGTGATCAGGCTCTTCGCGTATCAAAGCCATATAGGCAAGAGACAGATAGAACCAGGTTCCATATACTATCCTTTGGCTCCACATACTCTCCATCATTGGTATAAGCCGCCTGCCAAGGTCAATTGCTTCACGCCAATGGCCGTATAAAACCAGGGCAGGAAGTTGCAAAGCGAGGTAGAAAGACTTGGGCCGCTTTGGGTTCGAGACGCTTTGCTCGATATATTCGATGTACTCCTGGCTGTTGTGCTCCTCGTCGGAAAAGATAAGTTCCGCACTATGGACACCTGTCTTACCTTGCAATGCCCTCGCCAGTTGCCGACTTGACGTAAGGAACATTCCTCCACGAAGATCGCGTGCCCAATTTTTGAACTCCACGGGTGCTTCCTCGATCCACAATTCCACATCAGCAACATCGGTAGATGCCATAAGCTGCATATGAGCGGTCAAACCAAAATTCATCAACGATAGAATCCTGTCGCCAGCAGTTGAAGAATTAATCAACCCGCCTGACATTGACGTTAGCACAAAGAGAACGCCCCTGGATAAGCGTTAACTTACTGTTCAGGTCAAATATTGCATCGGACAATGGCCCTGATAAGTGACTGATGAAAAGGCCGTACAGTGTTTGCCCTCGACCAACAGTATAACTGTCTTCTGGATATAATGCGAATAGTCGTTTCGCGACTGTACCACATTCGACAGCAAACTCAATCATACCAAAACGTCCTGCCGCAATTGAACCCAGATGAACATAACCGAGCCCCATCTGTGAGACTGTGCCCCGACGCAAATGCAAGTCCACGAGCATGAGAGTGACCTGGAAAAAAATCAGGCTATTCGACCAAAAAGCTGCACTAAGCAACTCAATGGCAATTGGCCCCAAAGTCATCAGCATGCGGTCATCTTTCGACTGAGGGCGCGAGAGTAGCTCTTCCTTGTTCATGCTCTGCAATTGAGCACAGATCTGTTGGAACTGGGAGTCACACTCTTCCCATGTGGTAGGTGGTATCGGTATTTCAAGCAGAGAACAGCAATCTTTCAACGACTGGAAAGCTCCAAAATGGTCCCCTCGGATTGCGTGAACACGAGACTGCAGAATGAAAGATGACGCCATGTCGGTCGCGTCTCGCGCATGTTTGAAGGTTGTTCGTATAAGAGATTGCGCTTCATCTATCATCCCTTGATGGAAGTAGCACTCTGCGGCACGTACAAAAAGTTGGAGTGTTTCTTGGTAAGACACATCAGGAAGATCATCATCCCAAGGATCATCTTGGAGAAGCAACAAACAGTGCGCGTAGTAATAGATACCAGTCGACCTGGCACCGGACTCGCAAGCAGTCTCTGCAGCCTGGTAAAGTACATCTCGAAAAGTAGCCCTACTGGTTTCTCGGGACTTTATAATGTCGGTCGCGAGGCATATGTGTCGACTCCGCGTATAGAGAGCTTGGGGACCGGCTTCTGCATCATTTCCAACCTCTTCCGACGTTGCCATCAGTTTCGCGATCATGTAGTGCATGGCTGTTGTGTCCCACTGGCTTTCTAACGATGAGATAGCGGCTGTCAAGTATCGGTCATGGCTGAACCGGAACCTGTCTTCTGCATCAGCAGGCATGATGATGAAGGCATTAATTGCAGTATTGAGAGCCGAGACACCGCCATCGCTGTCACGAAGTAGCGGTAGATTAGCCGCATCTTCAATTGCAATCTTCGGGTTCAGAAGCTTTTTGACCACAGAGAATGAGAAGTTTCCACCAAACAATGACGCCCACGCCAATAATTTGCGAGTGGCAAGTGGTAGCTCCGACAACCGGTTGGAGATGAAATCGTTGTTCACCAGAGAACCATATTCAGAGCTTTCAAATTCCGAAAAGATGAGATCCAAATCAAAAACCTGCCGAGTTGGTCAGCTCAGTATGCGGAATTCGACACGTTCAACTGACCCAATTTCCTTCTCTCCAACAGTAATACACGCAATGCTTGCGGTAGCAGGTATCCAGAATTTCGCGAATATAGAATATATTTCCACCGGATTTTTCTTGAACGACGGCTACCAGGGGAAGGATGTATTCTGTGTCACGATGTAAAGTTTCTGCTATATATTCGGCAGTTTGATCCTCTGTGAATGGAAACAGCTGGATTTTCTTCGCTGCATGTAACAGAGTGTGCAGTTCTTTCGGCACTTTTTCCTCATCTTGGTATGTGAAGATCATCACGATGGGTATCTTGGCTTTTCCTATATGAGAGATCAACTCAGCACTCTCCGGGTCGCTATTTTGCACATCTTCGAGAGACCATATGCAAAACTTTTGGGTTGCTAAGAGACGAAGAATATCGATAAAGATATTCATGAATCGAGAAGCTTTGGAAGCACCGCCACTGCGCAGCCAGGCATCGGCCGTATGACCAGAAGCGCCACAATGGACAGCTGGCGAGGATGCTCGTCTTTCACATTCTGATTTTACTGTATTTTGGGGTACTGGCGATTGGACCTGCGGCGTCTGAGGATTATCACCAGTTGACAGTAGCCATTCCGGTAGATCGAGGTAGGTGTGTAGGACTGCCCAAACCCCTGAATTTCTCAAGTAATTCCTTAAGTTTGTGTGAAATTCCTGTAACGACAACCCAGTTAGCCGGCGATTTTGCATGTACATTGAGCGAGAAGATGACTTGCCGTATTGACATCCGCTTCACTGAACATCTGGCGGAATAAGCTGGACATGAGCTTCAGAATAGGTTCAAATGGCGCCTTTTTCGCGGGATCGAACTTGGCGGAGGCGAAGTATCCGGCGCTCCGGGCGGTCGATTGTATACTCTGGACAAGTTTGGACTTGCCTAATCCCGCCGCCCCGGCAATAGCCACGACTTCGCACCGTGTTCTTCTCAGCTTTGAATTACGTACATTGGACATACTACGCATCAATGAGTCCGATCCTGGCTGCGTCGAACGGGACAGCGATAGAGAGCCTTCTATGCTATGATTCGAAGGACCTCGACTGGTTGTTTGCAATTGTGGCCTCGAGATATCTTCCCCCACAGACACATCGGAGCGAGTCACGCTGTCCTCGGACCTCTGATGAATAGAGCGCGCTGCTTCCATGAACACTGGACCGGAACCAGGGCTCGACACACTATTCAAGCGAGTATCGGAACCCCTAGAGCTTGTGCTGTCCGACAAAATGTCATCTAATTGATTGACTTCCATGCGCGGATCTGAATATGATGAACTCGAGCTGAGGCTGTTCAAAGCTTTGCTAAAGATGGGATTGGTGCGTCGACGTTTTGACGCTCGCTGGATCACTTCGACGATTGCTTCTTGTTCCTTGGTTCGTCCAAATTGTTTCAATGGAAGGTTAAAAAAGCAGCTGATGTCTTTGGAGCCTATTCGGAACGCTGCCAGACCGTCGCTGTCACCTTCTGACAAGAGCTCACGTATTTTGATCAAATCGAATTTGAGCCCACTTGTACTCTGTACATGATAGTGTTAGGGCACTCCTTGCCGGATTCGCCGGGGTACTGCTTGGACTCACATGATATCGATCTTCGATGTTCCTTTGCGTCATGCGCTGGATAACGTTTGACAAAGCTTCTGGTATATCTATACGTTTTGAGGACACGGGAGGTATACGTTTGTTCAATACATTCTGCATGACGTCTAGCGGAGTAGGACCATCGAAGGGGGTTTCGCCGCACAGCATCAGATAAAACAGAATGCCTAGACTGTAGAGATCAGTACGGCTATCGGGTTCCGCTGGCATACGCCCAGTCTGCTCCGGGGCGATGAAAGCAAGCTTCATCTCAACGCCGCGTTCCTTACTCAAGATGTTCCATCCGGCAGACGTAAGGCCGTTCTCAAAGGCCCGTGCTCCACTTCCAAAGTTGAACATCCTGACTGTGCCATCTTCCGAAAAATGAAATGCATCTCCTCGTATCTCCCCATGGACGAGTTCATGACCATGATGTAGGATTTCCAGGCACTCGGCTGCCCCCACGGCGAAGTCCAGAAACGTCCGCAATGCGATACATTGCTCGTGCTGGAGCTGGCGAAACTTCCATTTGTTATCTTGCCGTATGACCTTGTAAGAGTTTGGGCCGAACTGAACCAGATCTTTCAGATAATTGGGTCCCGGTGCCTCTACTATGCTGACAGCCAGCGGCTCAGTGTTGCCTGGCTTCACAGGCAATCGCAGAAAGTCAATGGGCTTGACAAAATGGCGGCCAGTGGGATCAGATTTTTTATGAATAAGCTGACAGAGTTGAAACTCACGCTCCAGGCGAAGAGCATGCGCCGAGACACGGCAAACGACCACACAGTCCTGGTGTGTCTCGGTATTGAGCGCCCCTTGTGAATCATGCGTTCCTTGGGCAGCGTGTGTGATTATGCTTGTGTTGCTTCCAGATGATTTGTGACTACGAGCCAAGCTCGGGCGATCTGCGTCGGGAGAGGTCGAGGAAGAGCCGGAAGCGGCACCAAAACTGCGCCCTCTAGAGACTGGGCGATCGCGAGGAGACTTTTGGACTCCAGCGAAGTGCCAGTTGTCGTAGCTCGAATGGAAAGGTTCGATGTCGGTGCTCCAGGTATAGTTGGGCAATTCTTGTAGACGCGAAAGGATCTGCGAGAAGCGCGCACTACGGCGGGTATCTTCTTCGGGAGCAGCCATGCTAGCTGTTTGTCACCAGGGATGGGAAATCTCCGGCATGATCCAAGCAAAGAGCGGGAGGTGGGTGAGGGCGTGAGCAGAGAGGGGGGGGGAGCGCGGGCAGCGTGTGTTATCGTGTGGTGTGATGATGTGATGCCGATTACGATAGAGCGGTACTTGCAGTCGACATGATGTTGGAGAGTGTAGATGAGTAGGTAGTTGGACGGATGGATTGACGAATGGGCGGGCAGGATAGGTTTGCTCTAGTGAGATGGGACGATAGAGCGAAGGAGTCGAAGTGCTTCAAGCAAGCAAGCAAGCAAGCAAGCAGCAGACGCAATGTCGTGAAGGCGGGCGCGACTAGGCAGGCAAGTGAGTAATGTGAGTAACTAGCGGTGGTCTAGGTCTGAGCTCGTCGCTGACTGATGCACCCGCGCGTCCATCAATCATGGCGATCTCTGGTGAATGAAGTTGTTGATGTAATCAACCAGAGCCCCACCCTCGGGCGCCTGTCCAAGGACGGGACGGGACTAGTCAACCCTGGCCGCGTCCACCGGAACAAACGACATCACACCTCCAACTTGTACATATTGCTTCCGCAGTGTTCGCTCCGTTCAAATCGTGCACAAGCTCGCGCGCATAAGCTCAGTGTGCTGGATACCGGACAGAGTCATGCATCGTTAACTCGGACCCTGTTGCATGCATTCCGTCTACGCTTTCTATTTTCGCCCTCTCCCCTTCCGTATCGAGTCCTCTTCAGGCAACCCCCCCTCCCTTCGCTTCCAGACCACACTTTGGCACTTTCCCCAGCACCGCAGCGCAAGCAACAGACATCGAATTCCTGACTCCCGACCGAATTCAAGCAGGCAACCACAATCCGTACACATCGTCCCCATAAAGCAGCAAGCCACGCGGACAGAGCGCACCTCACCGCGGCCAGGGCTACCTGCCCAATCTCGATAGATGTGGCACGATGGACTCCCCTACCAACGAACACACCTTCACAGGCGACCCCAAGCCCAAGCCTCGCCAGCTGCCTGTAGACCTTCCCACCTCGCTCGATGACAGACGGCCGGCCTCAATGATGATGAGCGAGGAGACAGAAATCTACGATGCCTGGCAGGGTGAGTGCTTCGCCAGTCACCTACCATGCATGACCGTCTGACACTGCAAACAGGCCAGTCGCAATTCCTCACCACTCCGATGCCTGCCCAGCCCCTCACGTTCAATCTCTCCCTCGATGATTCCAATTACGCCGACGAGGACATGCAGCAACTCGATGACAGCGACAGTCGTTTGGTACAGATGCTGGCGCACCAGGCCCGCCTCAAGAACGACAACGCTGGGGATGAGGCCAAAGTGGTGGCTGATGAACAGCTCTCGCACGATGAGAAACGGGAGGCGTTGCAGGGCCTTTTTGCCCTAGCAACTTCGAATGGCGAATTGGAACGCATAAAGCGATTACTCGACGGCAAGGCCCGCGAATACATTAGTGTGGATGCTGTGGATGCTGAGGGAACTCCGCCCTTGGTTTACGCGAGTTGTTTTGGTCACCAAGACGTTGCGGAGCTCTTGATCAAAGAAGGCGCGACTGTTGATGCGCAAGACAAGAACCGCTGGACACCCCTGATGTGGGCCATGACCAATCGCCACAAAGATATCGTGAAGCTTCTTCTAGACAACGGCGCTTCAACTGACGTCAAGTCGTCTGCCGGCAGAACCGCATTCGACTTTGTGGAGCCCAACGGCGAGATATCAGACTATCTCCACGAGAGCGGCTACACCAATATTGGCAACGCGGGTGTGTCGGACGATTTCTATAGTTCGGGGTTCTCGCAAGACCGGTTTGAACAAGAAATGCAAGAAAACGACATGAAGCGGCGCATGATGATGGAAAGCGCTTTCAATTTGGAGGTTGACATCGGTAACCTTGGCCTCGATGAACAGCCCGAGGTATGCAAACATCTTCAGTCCAACCGTGTAATCATATTGACTCTTGCAGTCCCCTGAAGCAGCAGAAGAAGAGCAAGAATTTGTTTGGGATCGTTGCCTTCACGATCAGATGTTTGTCTTCCAGGAGAACGAATTGGACCGCATACTCGATATTATAATCACCAACATGACGCCGCAACGATCTCCATCTCAGAAGCCCATTCCTGCAAACATATTGTTTCTGAGCGCCCGCTATGCGCATTACCATGCCGGAACCGAGCTACTAGAGGTCCTTCTCATCGCAGCCATGGACAAGATCAATGTGGTGGTGGAGAAGCACCAGTGGGATATGACCGTACTTGCGTTCTGGATATCAAATGCAACCTTGCTACTACACTACTTGAAAAAAGATACGGGACTTGCCACTGCCACCATCCAATTCCAACTGCAACTGGCAGAACTTGTGAACGACATCTTCATCTTGATTATCAGAGATGCTGAGCGCCGAATGGACAAAAGCCTGGATCAGGCTATGCTGGACCATGAACCAATGCCTGGTTTTGAAGATGTCACTTTCCAACATGAGTGGAAAATTTTCAAGTCCAAACCGAAAGCGAAACCAGTCGAACCGTTAGAAAAGCGATTCCGCCCGCCATCCCCGAAACAACGAATGAAGCCCTCCCCTCGAAATATCACCTCTCTTCTTTCTTCTACCCTATTCGTTCTGGATTTGTACGACATCCATTCGGTCATCATAGCTCAGGTTCTCGGCCAGTTGGTGTACTGGTTATCAACAGAGATGTTCAACCGTATCATGTCAGACCGTAAATATCTCGCTCGCACCAAAGCCATGCAGATTCGAATGAATGTTTCTACACTCGAAGATTGGGCTCGCACCAATAATCGTCAACCTGAACACTACGAAAATGGATCAATGACATCAACTGGTGAAAATACAATGGAAGCGTCGCAGCGACACCTTGAACCTCTTGTGCAGCTTCTCCAGTGGTTACAGTGTTTTTCCTCTCTCGGGGAAGATTTGGAGTCTCTCGTAGGTACATTACAACAGTTGCCGCGCTTAACGCATCAACAATTGCTCCACGCCGCGAAAAACTACAGACCCGAGGTCGGCGAGAAAGGCCTGACTAAAAGTGCACGCAATTACATTATCCATCTCCAGAAAGCCGCAGCAGAGAGAAGGGCCGCACGAGCGAAGTCGCCGAACCCCCAGAAGAAAGCTCCCGATTCAACACCGTCAACGCCCGTGAAGCCTACGCCACAGCCTTCTACTTCGCCATCGCCGGCGCCTTCCAGGGCTTCTGAAGATCACGATCAAGAGGAACCGCCAGATGATTTACTCCTCGATCCCTCGTATATGCTTCCGTTCCACCTTCCGACTTCAACGGACATGCTCATCACGTATGGTGCCGGGTTCGGCGGTGTAAACAAAGAGAGAGAACGCAAATACATCCCCACAGTACCTCCAGAATTTATGTCGAAATTGGACCTGAGTGGCGGGAACAGAAACGGTGGTAACCTATACGACGATACCCGTTGGGATGATAGCACAAACTATGGATGAAGACCGAAGGATAGTACTTGAAACCCCATCCAATACTGGCTGAGACATGACATCTTCCGACTCATAAGACCTATAACAGCGTCACAATGAAGAGGCAGAGGATATTGCCAACCAATATTTCCTGTCAGGCGGAAAGAGGTTGTAACAGAGCGCTGTGTCGAAGTCTTGGATACAACAGCTCGCGATACTGTGCCGCTCACTCGAACAAAGCATGAATAGGCAGAGATTGGTCAAGCGTGTTAGGCATTAGCTGTTTTTGAATATAGCATCTTGGTTTGAGCGTTACTGTACGTCTCAGATTTGACTAGTCGCAATGTACGATAAGTTGGATAGATTGCATTAATCGTATCTACATGGGTCGCCCATGAGTTTTCTGCGCTAGGCCTGTGTTCAGCTTCCAACAGGTGATGCGAAGAATTTGATGAAAAATGATAGGAAGTGGTCAATTTCTGTTACTCGATTGAATGATGCTCTCCGCTATCGGTGGTGTCGGCCGCCTCCGACTTCATGCTACCCCACCCACTAGTACCCCACCTATAAACAATCATACCTCCAGGCACACGACCTCACCCCGACTTATTGCTTTTTTTTTGTGAAATTTACAATTCCATTGCAATCAAGCTCGATTGTCTTCGATCCCCAAAAGACATAAACAACCATGGCTTCCGCTGACGTGCGCAATATCCCAATCGATCAGATAGATTCGACGTTCAAGTCCAAATACACAGGTACATCAATCATAAGACGTTTCGAGGGCACCCACCAAATGCTAATGTATCAAGTATAGACCTCATTTCCGCGCCTCTCGGTTCAGAAATAGTTTCCTTTAGCGACGAATGGTTCGCTGCTGCCTCGAACCTAATCACACCTACACCACCGATCCGCAAGCCTGGTGTTTTCGTACACTCCGGCGCCTGGTACGATGGCTGGGAGACACGGAGACACAATACTGAGCCTGCAGATTGGGTAGTCATCAAACTTGGCGTGGCAAGTGGGAAGGTAGCTGGGGTGGAAATCGACACTGCCTTTTTCAATGGAAATCATGCTCCCGAGATCGCCGTAGAAGGGTACTTCGCTAAGAGCGAGGAAGAAGAGAAGGAACTAGCGAGTGCAAGTTTCCAGAAATGGGAGACGATATTGAGCAAGCAGGAGTGTGGTCCCAGTCAGCGACACGGGTGGGCTTTGCCCAACATTACCGAGAAGGCCTATACGCACGTAAGATTGCTCATGTATCCCGACGGTGGCATCGCCCGCTTCCGCCTCTACGGTGTCGCTGTTCCCGTCTTTCCGCAGTCTCCAGGTGCTATCTTCGAGCTTTCTGCGACCGTCATGGGTGGAGTGGCTACTTCATGCTCGGATCAGCACTTCGGTACTAAAGACAACCTCCTTCTTCCTGGCCGTGGAAAGGATATGGGCGATGGGTGGGAGACCAAGCGCACACGCGGCGAGCACGTAGATTGGACAATCGTCAAACTTGGTTCCAGAGGCGAAATTGACCACATAATCATCGATACGGCGCACTTCAGGGGCAACTTCCCACAGAAGGTTCAGGTATTCGCTGGGGAATTCACCGAGGAGCCAAGTCACGATGACGCGAAATGGGTGGAAATTTTGGAGCCACAAAAATCAGGACCGGACAAGGAGCATGATTACAAGAGCGAACTGAAAGCTGTTCAAGGAAAAGGATATACTCATGCGAAGCTTGTGATTATACCAGATGGAGGGGTGAAGAGGTTCCGCGTATTTGGAAAGAAGATGTAAGAGGAGTGAACTAGAGCAAAGGAAGTCATGGTGAAAGAAGGCTATTAACAATACATGTCACCAATGTTCCTTAACTTCTGATCTTGTATACTTACGTACTTACTTACTGGAGTTGCCTGTACAACTACAAATTACATGCGACAGATTAGATGTATTTGAAGCCTCGGACAGCTTTTGAATGACAGTGGCTCTAACCACATACATACTAGTGCTTTCACCCTGCATCACTAGCGTGCCATACTATCGATAAGGATGAAAAATGTCTGCGTCGCTACTCGCATTTACACTTTCTCATCCAGCCATACATTTTTTTGTTGTGCACCACCTCTCATTATGGGTAAACGCGCGATTTCCGAAGTCATTCCCGAGGAAGACGTTGCCGTCAAGTCGGAGGGCCTTTCGAGGAAGAAGAGCAAGAAAGATAAAAAAGACAAAAAGCAACAGTCAACGGACGCCGAGGGAGTAAACGGAAACGAAGTACACCAGCATGACGAGGATAACGAAGCAACCGTGAAATCCGGTGACGAAGAGAAACTTTCCAAGGCTGAGCGCAAAGCTGCGAAACAAGCGCGCAGAGAAGCAAAGGAAGCAAAGAAGGCCGGAAAGCAAACTTCGAGCGGCGCGGACACTGCAGATGTGGTCATGAAGGATGATGATGTTGACGAAACTGACGAGAAAGCGGCAAAGAAAGCACGCAAGGCAGAGAAGGCTGAAAAGAAGAGGCTCAAGGAACTGAAAAAGGCTGGAGGCGATATCGATTCCGCCACCCCTTCATCCAAAATTACATCTCAGGCTACGTCTGCAGTGGCTTCTACAGTGGAATCTTCAGCAACTAGCCCAGAACCGGTTGGCCCTGGTCCTTATACCGAGAACAAGGAGCTCGCTGCTCTTCCGCAGTCGGAGATCGATGCCTACCTCGCTGAGAATTTTGTGACAGTCGATGACCCTCGGACTACTGATCGCAAACTACGCCCCATCATCAAGTTCTCGTACTTGCCCGTTGCCGACGCTTCGCAGCGTGCACCGTTTGCGACCTTCACCGCTCCTACACCCATTCAAGCTGTAACATGGCCTGCCTTACTATCTGGAAGGGATATGGTCGGTGTCGCAGAAACGGGATCAGGAAAAACGCTTGCTTTCGGCGTGCCTTGCATTAGGTTCATCACTTCCCTCCCCAAGAAGCAGCAGAAAGGCATCAAGGCGGTCATCGTCTCTCCTACCCGAGAATTAGCCGTACAGATTCACGACCAATTGGTGCAGCTCGCAAAGCCAGCTGGTCTCCAAGTGGTTTGTGTATATGGAGGTGTACCCAAGGACCCGCAGGTGGCAGCTTGCCGCACGGCGTCCATTGTTGTCGCTACTCCTGGTCGATTGAATGATCTGATCAGCGACGGATCTGCGGACCTCAGTCAAGCCGAGTATGTTGTACTCGACGAAGCTGACAGAATGTTGGACAAGGGATTCGAGGAAGCCATTCGCCAGATCATCAGTTGCACTCCCAACAAGCGCCAAACGCTCATGTTCACTGCCACCTGGCCACCTTCTGTCCGTGATCTGGCTTCCACCTTCATGCAATCGCCCGTCAAGATCACCATCGGCGATAATGTGTCTGGCGAACTTCGTGCCAACACTCGCATCAAGCAAGAGGTAGAGGTCGTCGATCCTCGCGGAAAGGAAACCCGCCTTTTGCAACTACTCAAGCAGTATCAGTCCGGAAAAAACAAGGATGACCGCATTCTGGTTTTCTGCTTGTACAAGAAGGAAGCCATGCGCATCGAAAGCTTCATCAGGGCCAAGGGCTTCCGTGTGGGTGGAATCCATGGCGATCTCAGCCAGGACAAGCGCACAGCCTCGCTCGCTGCATTCAAGGACGGCCGCATCCCGCTGCTCGTAGCCACGGATGTCGCTGCTCGAGGTCTTGACATCCCGGCCGTCAAGGTAGTCATCAACGTTACCTTCCCGCTCACGGCAGAAGACTATGTGCACCGCATCGGCCGAACTGGACGCGCAGGCAAAGAGGGTCTGGCCATCACCCTCTTCACTGAGCACGATAAGGCACTTTCTGGAGCGTAAGTACACTCTCTTGGTTTTTTCCAATCCAACCTGTTTACGAATACAAATGGATCTTATCGCTAATATTATTTAGTCTCATCAACGTCCTCAAGGGCGCCGGCCAACCCGTTCCAGAGGATCTTCTGAAGTTCGGTACCACGGTCAAGAAGAAGGAGCACGGTGCTTACGGTGCTTTTTACAAGGACGTTGACATGACCAAGAAGGCGACCAAGGTCACTTTTGATTAGATCAAGCAAGCAAGCGGACAGCCAAGCGGTGCAAAGTAAACCAAAGTCCGCTAATTCCCACGAAAATCCTTTTACGCACGTGCAACACACAGACGCTCTCTGGGCTCGTCTGAAAGGTCGGCGAAGTTGGGGAAACGTATGCTCGCACGCACGTACAACACGGGCTGTTGATCTCTGTAGTCCAAACTTACACGCGTACATATATGCATTGTTGCGATACCCGCATAGATACAGTACCGGTGTTTTGATTGATTTACTTCCATAAAAGCAGTTTCTTCCGGCGTTTGATATCTCCTTTTTTTCCTTCTGGTTGTTGGCTCTACATAGTTCGGCGATCACGAATGTGCATCGGTTCTTACATACCTAGGTACATATTCACACGCGTCATATTCGTACGCCAACATCACATTAACAACCAACACCACATCCTACTAAACCCCGCTTACCTTTGTCATCAGCTAAATCCACATATATAACCTGTTCGCCTCCTCTCCCCTGTCACATTGTCTAATCCTCGCCGGAATCTGCGAACCCACCTACGCGCATATAACGCACTTTAACATCCTAGCTTGTCATCGGCGACCACAAGAACTCAATCCGCATCCACTCAATCCGCCGCTCCCCGTTCGCCGTCTGATAACGGACAATACCACCCCAGACGGGAGAAACGACGAAGAAGGGAATCGGACCTTCTCTGCATGACCGTTTACGCATAACCCTCGTTCGCCGGGAAGGATTTTTTTGTGGGTCGTCGCCGATTACTGGGAACATGTGTGTGAATTATCAGCTCACTACTGTTGATGTTCATCCTTCACCCCGCTCCTCGTCGGCGAGGTTTCCTGATGGGTTGAGGGGGTTGCGATGAGCGGACGTGGATGCGGAAGGAGATGTTGGATGTGTAATCTTTTACTCAATGCCGAGACAGGACTGATAGGTGTTGTGGATATGGATTAGTAGCCAGTGACATATTGCTTTGCATAGACTTGCTTAGATTGATAGTTAGTGCAAGTGCTATCGTCCAGGTTATCGTCCAGGTTATCGTCCAGGTAGTCTTTCAAGCTTCAAGGTGGGATGACTGCAATATTGCAACTCGCTCTCCCATGCACCTCGGGAGAAAGAAGACCCCCTCGGGGGATATTCCTCCATACGCCATCGCACATCAATCATATGCACTGTACAATGAATGCCGAACAATAGCCCTTAGCAAGATGCGATACCAATACACATACACATGCACTTACAAATCCCAACACATAAAAGATGACCCCCAATAAACACCACCACCACCACCAACAATCATCACCATCATCGATAATAGCCAAAAATAAAGCCTCGCCGACCACCAAAATAAAATTCCGCACTCCGTCCGCATCATGGTCAACTCCGTATCGCGACCGCAACCACGCCGGCGCCGCAATGGCTAGAAACAAGCGAACGCAGAAGATTTCGCAATGCATTGCCGTTCCTAGCTCTTTTTGACGAAGCAGCAGAACGCCTCTCCCGCTCTCGCTCGCTCGCTGACCCCTCTTCTGGGTTAGCGACGGACGCGGGCAATGGGCCCGGGGACCAGAGTCTTGGGAGGAATCCTGTTGACTTTTTTTTCTTTTTTTACTTTTTCGTCCGTCGGGTACACACCTAATTGTGTATACGCACGTGGGGTTAGTTTAGTGTGTGCTGGAGAGGGGTAGGGTGGGAGGGTGAAGTGGTTGCGCTGGATCGTCCGTTCGTTCTGTTTCGTCCTCTGTTGTCTGTTGAGTAAGGGACACAGGAAGAAAAGCGATTAATGTTATAAGTCATGAAGATGACATTCCGAGTGTGTACAATGAATCGAGCCGGGAAATCATATCCACTATCCCATCGCATCTCAAACAAAAAAAAAAACGAAGGTATGGTTACATGCAACAACTGAAGCCATTATCTAAGCTTCTCTATCCATCTAACCAGTCCATCTCGTTCCTATTCCTACTCCAAAATTCACCAGCTACCTTACCACATGGGCAACCCAACAACTCTTTACCTGTACAGTGGATCACCTATACGGGAGACATACGCGAATGGCTGGCTGGCTGGCGGAGCCCGATCGAAGCTACTTAGTGTACAAGCCTACTCCACGACGGCGCGCTGGGATTTTATAAACAGTGGGGATGTCGCTATCCCTTGTATAGGCGGGGAGAGCGAGAGTGAGTAGGCATCAAGCGCTTTACTGTGTCAGGGAACCGCTGGTTGCGAGTTGTTGTGTGTATGGGATTGTGTTTAGTTAGGCGGATGGACTGGATGGTTTGAGTGGGGGTAAAGGAGAGGAAGGGTGTTAGTTTGGGGGGAGGGTGGGTGAGGTTGGATGGCTTGGGGTGAAGTTGCTATGCAGGTAGCCGAGGTATGGTGGGATGGGAGTGGAATGAGTTGGGAGATATGTGTTTGTGTACGATATTCTCATCGATGCTTGGTGTTCATGCACTTTCGCAGTCGGCTGGCTATATGACGCATAAGAAGATATCTGTCTTGATAGAGATTAAGTTGCGAACAAAGCACATGTCGATTGATCGCAGTCCACTTGACCTACAGTGAAGCCAGGCACAGAACGCGCAATCGACACCGCAATCCTCCTACACCGCCCACGCTTCAATCCCCGCCATCCCATCTACCGAGAGGCCTCACTTCACTCGTGCCTTCAGCCAGTGTTGCCTACGATCCAAAGTGTTCGGCGAGGTGAGGTAAGAGCACGAGCCTTCAAAGGGTTTAGCTTGCTTCCTAACATCGCCTAACTCACCGCTAAGGTAAGTTCGGCGAGGTCGGTCGATCGACTTAAACTGGTGGGCTTCGTTCCATCATGCGCCGAATATGATTTCTGCAGCCTTCTCTGCTGCTTGGGCGAATTGCAAGGGCGAATGGGTATAGTGTACGGACATTACACATTTGGGATTCTGATATTTTTGTGGGGTTTCTGTTGGATGGTTTGGTCTGATTTCTAACGGTTGAGTAGCCTCTATGCATAGGGGGTCGAATGAGATAAGTATATATATGCGCGCCGTCTGGTGTAGCTCCTTCGAGGTTTGATATTTCCACAACATTGTCCAGCAGTGCCTGCTCGTCTTCTCCCACCTTCAACTCATCTTTTTTGTACGCCGTGCATAAGACTCCAGGTTGCAAATAACTGTCGTCCTCTCCCACCTTTTGCTTTCGCATACGTACCATTGACCCCGGCTCGTACCATCTTACCGGAATCCTCTCACATTACACGAAGGCATCACTTCATCTCATCCAACCACATACATACTCAAACGAACAAACAATCATGTGTCGCAAGGCCACGTGCGAGTCCTGTGGTAACCCCAGTCTCTCTCTCTCCGCATTCCTGCCACTTCACTTTTCCAGTGATATCTCCCAGCTACTTATCCCATCACGTATACACACGTAAGTTGCATCGCTGATGTTGATATTTGACAACAGATAAGACGACATGGTTTGGTTGCGGCAATCATATCTCCGGTGTCATGAATGCTATTCCGCATGAGCAATGGTGTACGTGCGGACCCAAGATCGAAAAGGACGGAAACGAATACCCCCCCAAAGGCACTCCTTGATTATGCCATGAGACGCCGCGACTGGGACAATTGAAAGTTGGAGTCTAAATCCACTTGGTGATGCAGAGATTTGGACTCCGGGTTGGAGGTGCAGTGTTGTAATACGGCAGGCTGTGTCTACCAGGAAGAGATGGACCGTGGTGGATAACGGGATACAAAGAGGAAAGGGAACGAATTGAGGATATCGAGGAAATGAAGAGGAGAACACAGAACGTGGTCAGGAGGAGGAAGAGGAGGAGCAAGACCTAGAGTGAATGGGAAATGAAGGAGAAGAAGAGATAGGCTCCAAGGGCGGACCGCGGGTAGACACATCGTTTCTGGTAGATGTCCCTATGCGAGCGTCATGATACATCCTTTTCATCGCAGTCATCTCTCGCGTGGTGCTGTTCACATCCATATTCTCTTCGCATCGCCTCTCAATAGGAGCGGAATTTTGTCGCCTTGCCTTGGAACGAGGCTCACTGTATCGAATGCCGCATTCGAATCTGTAGGCGACAAAGTTGGATTTGTAAGAGGCTCAAAGCACTGTTCGTGAGACACTTGAAATTGGCGCTATCCTGCTGCAATCACAGAGTTGAGGATCAATGTTCCGGTGGTGACGATAGGACTAGCGGAGACGGAATGTCTTCACTGACTCGGTGAGAGGGTCGGGGAGAGAAGGCAAAGTCCGGAACTGGATACGAAGAATTCGTTGCACAAAAAAAGATGTGATGGATATGTTTTCCTCGTGCAGCAACGTAGTAAGAGCGATGGGCTTCTGGGAGTGACCTCATGATGAACGAGGGACAGTCATCAACGAGGGTCTAGATGAGCCGTGCCCTGGCTCGGGACAGATGGGAGCCGCACGCTTAGGCAGCATCTGGGTTTGGAGAAGGCGGGACGCTAAGGTTAGAGATTCAGAGGTGCAACTTGGCCCCCTGCAGCGGAAGTGTGTCGTCTAACGAAGGGTCGGAGAGGTTTCAGAAAGCTGCCCTACGATGCTTGGCGGGATTGTGCGGCAGATGGACGGTAAGTTGAACGCGGTATGGACCTTGGCAGGGCGGCGCACAGGGAACGCGGGCTGGTTGGTGGAGGGTTGGCGGCAGCGAGAGAGCTGGATGCGGACTGAGATAGGAGGCCAAGGGGCGCAGCAGCCTGGGGGACTGTCTCTTGTTGAGTGTGGTGGTCTGGTCAGTGGTTGATGGTGGTGCGTGATATGACGGAGGGCGTCTGGGGTCCATGGTGGTGGATTGGACGTGGTTTGGGAGAAGAGGCGTGGGCGACGGGCCAATGGAGACCAGGCATTGGCCTCCAGCGGCTACAGCACCATACCGTACAGCACTAACAGTACAGCCAAAAGCCCCCTCCCTCACAAAGGCGGGTGACTGGGAACACCGCTGTGTATAACTGATCGCATATCCACCTGGCCAAGGCAGTCTCCCCTCTCCTCTCTCTCTCTCTCCGCGTTCTGCAGCAAATCGACTTTGGACCATCTATTCGCTCGTGGGATTACAGTGCTCGAGTACATATATATACAGGCACAAGTAATTGGAGTGTACTGTACTGTACTGTACTGCAGCGTACCTGGTGCTTGCAAGGAAGCAAGGCCGCCCCGCTATTCCATCCCCACCTCCCAAACACGGCGGCCACATATCTAGCAGAGACACAAGGCCAGCCCGCCTCCTCCTCCTCTGTCTTTCTTCTCTCTCCGCACTGTCTGTCTGTCTGTCTGTCTGTTTACACCTTTTTGCTCCGTCTTGCATTGCCTTTGTCTTGTGCTCTTCCCCGGACACTGCGGTGCCGACCAAAGTACGTGCGTATTGCCTTCACCCAGTCGTTTGTCCCCTCCCCGTGCCTTGCCTTGCCTGTACACACGCACGCCTTTGACTCTCCGCCGCCCCTCCCATTGTTCGACTCCACCGCGAAACCTGCTCGCACGCACGCACATACTCACGCTGACTTGGCACAGATCGATACAACAACACAGCACTCCCGCTCTCCTACCCATACACGCACCCGCGCACCCACTACGGCCACGCCCGCAAAAGGACCACACAGACCAGACCCTGAAAACACGCCTACCCCTCCTCACGCAGGAACCGAACACACACACCTTCTTCAACCCTCTCCTCCCTCCTCTGCCGTGCCTCCGTCTGCCGCTGCAGTCTACCTACATCTCTCCTTGCGCTACTACCCGGCCTACCGACTTCCCTCCACACCCGCCCTCGTCTCCCATTGTCGGTTGCAGCAGACGTTAGTCCCTCACTAAACGTCAAACACCCAGGCTGCGATTCGCTCTTTTGCAACACACTATACTCGCTAGTCGCGAGGGTACCGCCAAACACATCGCCTTCCTACTGGTATGTTGCGCGTCCTTTTATTCACCCTACTCAAGCCCTCCGTCTCTGTCGAGCTTGCCTCGTGGTACAAGACAATTCACTCTCTGTTCCCAAACGGGTCAGAAGTGGGGCACCAGCACCCCAATGCAGACGAGCTCGCCTCGCTCACCCCACTGCAAGGGAAACGCCCCGGATCACTTCCCTATCCAGAACAATTATACCCGCGCAAGCGTCCGGTCACACTGACAATAAACTCATCCAGGTTTTTGCCGACAGCTCCTATTTCCTCAACACCAGCGCAAAAGCGCACCAGAATCTAAGCCATGTCTCGCGCACCTGCAGGGAGCGGCAGCTCCAGGAAGATTTCCTTCAATGTCTCCGAGCAATACGACATCCAGGATGTAGTTGGCGAGGGCGCTTACGGCGTTGTCTGGTAAGCTGCATGCTTTGCATCCAATGTCGAGTCTGGTACTGACTTCTTCGGCAGCTCTGCGCTCCACAAACCTTCAAGCCAAAAGGTCGCCATCAAGAAGATCACCCCCTTCGACCATTCCATGTTCTGCCTTCGAACGCTGCGAGAGATGAAGCTGTTGAGATACTTCAACCATGAAAACATCATCTCCATTCTAGATATTCAGAAGCCTCGGAATTACGAGACATTTACTGAAGTGTATCTGATCCAGGTACGTCGCAGTGCTGGAGCGGTTCTCCGGGAATTCATCGTGTTAACCATATATGCAGGAACTCATGGAGACGGACATGCACCGCGTCATTCGTACACAGGAACTCTCCGATGACCATTGCCAGTATTTCATCTACCAAACGCTTCGTGCCCTCAAAGCGATGCACTCTGCGAACGTGCTGCACCGTGATCTCAAGCCTTCCAATCTCCTTCTCAACGCCAACTGCGATCTCAAAGTCTGTGACTTTGGTCTCGCGCGATCAGCCGCCTCGACAGAAGACAATTCGGGTTTCATGACGGAATACGTTGCCACTCGCTGGTACCGTGCTCCCGAAATCATGTTGACGTTCAAAGAATATACCAAGGCCATCGACGTCTGGAGTGTAGGCTGCATCTTGGCCGAGATGCTGAGCGGGAAGCCTTTGTTCCCTGGCAAGGACTGTAAGCTCTAATTCTGGTCCATGTAACTGCATCGCAACTGACATTTCCTAGACCACCACCAGTTGACATTGATCCTCGACGTGCTCGGTACACCGACCATGGAAGACTACTATGGAATCAAATCTCGCCGTGCTCGCGAGTACATTCGTTCGCTTCCCTTCAAGAAGAAGATTCCATGGAAAGCCATGTTCCCCAAGACATCCGACCTTGCGCTGGATCTTTTGGAGAGGTTACTTGCTTTCAACCCTGTCAAGCGTATCACTGTCGAGGACGCTCTCAAACACCCATACCTTGAACCGTACCATGACCCGGATGATGAGCCGACTGCAGACCCCATTCCCGAGGAGTTCTTCGATTTCGACAAGAACAAGGACAACCTGACCAAAGAGCAGTTGAAACGTGAGTCTGCATGATTATCCCCACTTGTGCAGTTTTGGAGCTAACGTATGCTACAGTTCTCATCTACCAGGAGATTATGCGATAAACGCTAGTCATTCCAGAATTAGCATCAGTTTTGTGTTCGTGTAACACTTTTGACTAGGTCGAAGGAGGAGGATAATACCGCATGTTTGCAGCCACTTGAGCAGATGGCCAGTCTGGGTGCATCTTGGGTTGTTCAAAACGGTCTCGTGGGTTATGGAATTGTATCGTCTTGCCTTGGTCCCCATGGATGCTCGCGCATCTGACATTGAGAGGTGTATAGTGGTTGGTAATGAAAGTCAGCCTTTTTTTTTGTTTGCAGTAGCACATGAACACCACCGCAGAGGAGGCTATCCCTACATGATGCCCGAAGCAGTTTTCCAGCGCCCGTCTTTGTATAGAGGAAGAGAGAAGCAATCAAAAGTTCATTTCGAATTGTGCCACCGCCCACTTGACCCACTCACGGAGTACATGATGAAGCCTGAGATACAGGAGGAGTTTATCTGATATGATGCGGGCTTCTTTGCCCCCGCAATGATGCTGTTTTGGGTTCGTTTTTGCCTTCAAATACCTTATCATGCAGGACGTGGCGCAGAATGAGTTGATTCATTCGCTTCGTTTGGTAGAAAGTGGGCGGAGATGTGATCTCAGAGAAGGAGATGGAATAAACACATACAGCTAGGTAGCTAGGTGTGAGTAAAGAGTGATTCATATATACAGAAAGTAGATAACTGAGCAGTGAAGTGATCCAATATATATATACAAGACAATGATTGACGATTATTGTCTCCTGCTCCCGAGATCCTACATTCCCAGGTCCCTATTGCGCCGTCTATGCGATGGTTGATGTTGTTACAACATATAAGTGATGGTCTTCCACCCAAAAGAAAATGCAGGCGTTATGAAGTGCAACCAATCCTAGCCAATACAGAGAATATTCGTCCACCTCTCTCCGCACTTCTACTCCTCAAAACCCCTCTATTGTCTTAACATACCGCCCTGATCTCCGATAACGAATCCCCACGATTCCTACTTATCCGCACCTCCCATCCTTCCAGCCGGTCCGCCACCGCTCCTCCCACCTCCCACAGTCAAATACTTGCTTCCCCAGCTTGACATTAACCGCATTATGCGCCTCGCACATCCAACGACCAAACTCCTCGCGGCTGCTCACACGCGGCGCATTCCCATCGCGGCGCATCCACTCCTGGAAATCACCCGCGCAATGCCAGCACGGGTACAGCTTCGCGAACGTGGAGACGAAAGACCGCGTTTCGGCTTGTAGTGTGGGGGACGGGTTGGTAGGGTATGCGCCTGTTATGGAGTGGAGGAGCGTCCAGGAGGAGCGGCCGAGCTGTTCAACGTCGGGAGGGCAGTCAATGGGGTAAGTGGTTGTGGTGGTAGCGGGGACGGGTTTGGAGGATTTGGTAGAGGTGCTTTTTGAGAGGGCGAGGAGCGAGGAGACGTTGGAGCAGGTGCGGCATCTGGTGGGTTGGTAGATGGGTCAGTCGTTGAATTGATTGCGTATGGGATACTTGAAAGACTGGGTTGCGTAGAAGGAGGCCTTCGTCTCTCTTCACATACTATTCATACTTACGGTTTGCCATCAGGACCCAGCACCACGCCTTTGGGGAGATCTTTTGGAGGCGCAACAGCAGCTGGGGTTTGTTGCTCCTGCTCAGTTGGTTCTGTAGCTCCAGGCGCCATTTTTCGATTCCCAGGAAACTGAATACGGGTGCCAAATGAATGTGAGTTTTGTTGTTGTGTGCAAAAGTGAGGTTCAAGAATTTCGATGCTTGGAAATCATTCCGAGCTCGAAGCATTCCCGCCGGTTCCTGTCCGCGCTAGTGGCTCGAGGAAGCAGGGATCTTTTGCGCTAGGGCCGGTGGATCCTTTTCCATTGACGTGAGCGTGGGGGCGTCGAGCCACTCAGTTGAACTCCATCTCATCTTCCATCAACAGGACAGATTTTGATCTCTGATGGATGTTCCAGTAGCAGCCAACGTGCTGGGTACAATTGGTGCCGTATGTAATCGTCCCATATCGAAACCCAACTAGAAACTAACGTCAGTAGGTCTGCTGGTCCATTCAAGTATGCGCAAACTGCTTTGATAGAATGATGAAAGAGATGGCAACAATGATTGACAATGCGGTAGCTTCTTCCCCAGATTTGGATAAACTGGCAACGACATAATGCTGTCGGACTCCAGCCAACCATGATGATGCTGTGGGCATGGGCTGGTGTGCCTCTCGGAGTGTACAATATTGTGGAAGAGTTCAATATTGCTCTCAGGATCCAACCTCAAATCCTGACGTTGTTGAGCTTGGTGACCTGGATACAATGCTTTTACTATGAGAAGGTATCGTCAGGCGCATAGAAGCCATTGGTCCAAGACCGCGAGGATATTCGCTGATCAGGATGATAGAAATGGTCCGTCCTTCGGTCTCTTGCCGTAGTGGTCCCAGTAGCATGCATCATGGGTGGCATTCAAGCTGCTCTAATCCTGGCATTGCGCATCGCAAGGGACAGAAATGTTCAATGGCCGCTCACCCTAATGGCAGTCCTTTCGGCCGTCCTCCTTGCCGCCGGCGTCCTCAGGCATTACTGGGATATATACGTTCACAGGACTGTCCGCGGCATCTCGTTTCTGTTTGTCGGCATCGATGCAGCAGGTGATCTGTTCTCCCTGGTATCCATCGTCTTCCAGGCCCGGCTCGATGTTTTAGGCACGGTCATTTACGGAACCGAATTGATGCTATGGATTGGCGTGTTTGCGTGTGGGGGATACTACAATCTCCTCCCGTGGGTCACGAAGAAGCTCAATCGTCGCAAAGTCGGTGTGCAGGATACTGCTGCCAATCCTGGCCCGACTTTGTCCAGCGTGGGCGGTGGGGGAACGCCTGTAGCGTTGCACAGCTTGCCATCGAGCACATCAGTTTTCAGGACACCCTCTGCGGAGGTTGAGAGTTTGCGCCAACGAAATACAGCAACGGGTGGTAGTGAATGGAATGACTGTAATGGCGCTTGAGCTGTTCGCAGAGGGGTGTTTGCTGCTGCTGCTGCTGGTTGGGCGTTTGCGTGAAAGCCCCTCCCGTGACGGGGAAGGCACGAGCAAAGACCACATTCTCTTGCCTCTTCACCTCTACTCATCCCTAAACCATTCACTTACCCCCCACCGCCACCCACCTCTCGAAATGCTTTGCGGAGTAATCACATGCTCTACATTGATGGTCTATGAGTTTGCCTTCCACCTCCACATTTGATCCACGACTTGCGAGCTAAACCTCGCCTTGACACCTGCCTGCGCTGCAAACCTTTGCCCACCCAACCACCACCTTTCCTCTGCTTCTGCTTCTTCTCTTATACACCCCACATACGCAACCATGGCTATGGCCTATGCCGAATCCCCCGTCATGTACTTGTCCAGGTCCGCTACGGTGGAGTCGCCCAGCGGCTTCCCGGCCCCTCCAAATGCTACGCCCCGAACCGACGATGGCATCGAAAACGTCTCGCCTAGTCCCCGCCTGGTAAGTGGAACGTCTACCTTATAAAGCTCTCACCTAGTAACCCGCTCTTTAGGACGCAGTTGGAAACGCTCTTAAGCCGATCCAGGAAGCCTTGAACGAGAGCGCCGAAGCCGCGATGCTTCCAAGCCCTCCTTCCAATACACCGTTCTCTTTCTCGCCGGCCCCTTCTCTCTACAAGGGCGCCCGCAATCGTGGTTTGAGCGCTGTCGGCGACCGTCTGCTTAAGCTCAAACTTGAAGAGCACGGCTTCGACAAGGATGCTTATGCTACATCCAGCAGCCGCTCTGTCACCGCTTCAACTGTTGAAGAAGACATTGACGAGGACGCCGAGGTCGAAAGCCATGCTTCTCCAGTCAAATATGCCTCCTTGAACGCTCCCATCCACGATGCCTCTTCTATTTCTCGCATCTCACCCACGGCAGGTACAATTCCGCTCGAGATGGGTTCTCCTCTTGCGAATCCTCGCATTGACGAGTACATCAACTTCCAGAGCGCGGACCTTCCCGTCGTCAACCCCAATATCAAAGGATCATCCTCGACTGCTGCCGCTCACGAAACTGCTGGCACTATTAGCGAACTGTCTGTCAAGAGCGACAAGGTCGAGACGATCACCAATGAGAAGGGAGACCAGGGCGAAGGTGTCGCAGAGAAAAGCAACTGGGCTGAGGAGCTCGAGGAGGCTGCTGAACGCATCTTCCTGCAAATGGAGCAACTTGCAGTGGACGAGGTGGCAAGCAACCGTAAGTTGTACCTGCGAAATGTGACCCAAGACGAATGCTGATTACCTTTCACTCATAGCAAATCAAACATTCGAGCAATGCTACTCCGGTCGTCTTGCTCGCCTTCTTGCCGGTAACGATAGAGCTGTTAAGCTCGAGGTTCGCCAGAAATGGTAGTTTCGGAACCAAACAATGATGATGACGTCAACCGTCTGTGCCGGAGGATTTCAGGAACGATGTTGTCGTCAGGCTTTTTCTGTGGAGGATAAATGGATGGAATCTGGCATGCTTGACATGATAATGCAATCACCATGTATATTGCTTTCCTGGGGCCGCGACGATGGGACATCTGAGTTCAGAGCACATCTCGCACCACAATGCAATATTTTGGTTCGCTGTCTTTGTCTACGATGCGCGTGCATGCCCACGTCTTTGTAATGAGATAGTAATTCGATGCACTTCACTGGGATACCTTCATAGCGAAGCAAGCCAAAGAAAATCATAAGCATGGAGAACATCTATGACTGTTAAGTTTGTTACCACCATTGCTTCTGTCGATGTGCCAACATGGCAGCGTAATAGAACTGACGGATAGCGTTACAGTGCTGCTTGGCTGATGGCCTGAGGCCCTCGTAGCACCCAGAATGAGTTGGACAAAACAGTTTTCTACCCGTTCCATTGTGTTGGATACAGTGTCCCACCAGTGACGTATAACATGTGGCTGGAAAAGCTCATGCATATATTTATACATGTACAGCTGATTCCATAAGATGCCATATTTAGAAATGCAAAGGCGTTGACCAAGTGGAAGCAAGCGCGATTCATCAATCCAGTGGAGAAGCAAAACAGTAAGAGGAAACGCATCCGAACATGCAAATATTTCGCTACCGCACTTTTTGTCAATACGAGGGCGTGAGATTCTTGGACTTGGAAGGAACACGAAGGTCACACGAGGAAGGGGGTGGGTCTTGCTTCACGCTTACATACATACATATGTACATATGTATATGTACATGAGTACCTAGATACCCAGGTATGTATGTGAAAAGCAATTGGGTCAGCAGGAGGCAGAGGCACCTCGTATTCATGATGTGCGAACGATCATCAAAAGAGGCAGATCCCGAAGATGATCGGTGCCATGAATTGATTGCTCTTATCCCCGAGAACATGAGAGAGTACCTATGGAGATAGTTCTGTAAGGAAAGACAGCTTTCGATAAGGTCAGATGCCATTTGATCCTTCATGATGCTCCTCCTCATTCCCCACAATTCGAAAATACAAAAAGATCCGATCTGGTAGAGACATCGTGCCGTACCGTACCGTGACTATACCATACCCCGAGTCTACATAAAACGGAAGCGAGGCATTTTTGCGTCCGCGGAGAGAGCTGCAATCAGGGCATGTACTTGACCAATTGTGCAGAGCAACCAATTGTGCAGACGGCGGTTCCTCGACAAAGACCATCATTGCCTAGATGGTAAGCGCCCACTTGTTGCCGCCGTGCTACAATCTACCCGTTTGCGCCATGGATCTGCAGATACATATATGCAATCCCGCCCTCAAGGCTCCAGCCCAGAGTTGACCAGAACTTGGAAGAGTGGCGGCGAGCAATTGCCTAGTGTGGCGCAACGGCCGTGACTGAATTGGGAACGATTGGCTTACTGCGCTCAATCAGGGACGAGAAACGAGATAAGTAAGGTACAGGTTTTGTAGCCACATGAGCAGCTGTGGGGAGTGGGGATGGATGAGATTCACGGGGTTTTCCCTGAAGCGGCGACGCTACATGTACAATATGTATGTTGCTCCAACGAGGTCAATATATACGGGTCGTGAAGGGAGCGATCGACGACCTGTTGTTATCTCTGATCGCCGTGAGCGGACGTGCACCTGACTCGAGTATGCTGATGATGATTCATCTGTATGTATGTACATGTACGTACATGTCATATCTGTGGGGTCAGGACTCGAGAGGTTGGTTCGTGACCTGGGGGGGGCAACGATTAATCAAACAAGTCTTCCGCTGCGGCGCTGAATTTCCTTGATGGAAAATGCTGGTGGGTCAGCCAGACAGACAGTACATGAGAGAGTGCTTGGATGCCACAAAAGCCGTTCAGGATTCGAGTGGCTTGCCAGGACTCGGTACTCTACCTTCTTCTAGAATCCTTCCATGGCAGGGGTGAGGGAAAGAACAAGAGGACCCTTGCTGCATGGTCTAGTTGGGGTTGGGCAGCAAAAAGGTATACACGAGATTATTATATGACAGCCTTCGGCCGACAAGCAGAACAGCTTCCAAGAAACTCCCATGGTAAGATGACCTATGCTGGAGCGGTCAACGTTGGATTTCTGAGGCTTGGCAGGCAATATAGTAGTTGCACCGCTACATGCTAGGTGCCTTGTAGCGGATTCATGAATGCAGGTCCATTGCTACATGACGATAACGGGGCCCCGGTCTTTGCGTTGGGGTGGATATTTTTTTTCGTTCTTGATTCCTTTCCCCTGCTTGTCCAAGCAAATGACGGGTGCTACCACCACCACAAGGGACTAGAAGCTTATGAATGGATGGATGGAAGGATGGCTGCTTGCTGCTGCTTCCTTTTATTAGCCTGTATACGAAGAGAAAATGTATCGCGCGCTTAGGCCGGCCTGCAAAACGGACACGGAAAACGCTGCACATTCCATCCATTTTGATGGCACCAGACCGGTTGCGGTATGACTTGCGCCGTCAGGATTCTGGATACTCTGCGGTTCCTTTGGTTTCTTGCATCGATCGATTCCAGATAATGTTGGGAACATTCATTCACACACACACACGACGCAATACATAACCATGCTGTGTTTCTGCTGCGCCGAGTATCGGTGCGCCCGCCCTGCATCTCGCTCTGTTCTCGAACGTCGGGCGAAGAAATTTCTTCCTGTTCTCCGAAGAGTCTGGAAGACAGGCACCGCCACGGTCGAAAAAGACAGACAGCACCAAGCATCAGGGTCCGCGGGTGGATGTTGAATTGCACCTGGGTCTCGTCTGGAGTGGGTATGGCGATGGTGGCAGGGCAATTTAACCTCTGGCGGCAGTGTGTTGTTGGTGAGGTTGGTCGGTCGGTCTGACTGAGAGACTATGCTATGCTATTCCATGGCCCCCTGGTCCTTGCCCTTGTCCCTGTGCGTGCAGGGTAGATGCAGCGTGCAGCGTTAGGTACAGTTTCCAAGTACACGCCATGGAGTTGATTGTGCGCGCGATGAGGAGGTACATGGTGCGCGTCCAGCAGCGACCATGTGTGTGTGTGTGAGTGTGTGTGTATGCGTGGAGACGCCTCGTCGAAGTGAAATGTGGAGTGCTCCACGATGACCCTGGACCCCCCCCGCACTGGAGAGATGATGGTCATCTCGCTCGGCTGGCGATGTCTGGAGATGTGCCTGGGGATGGTTAGAGCGCTCGAGCAAGCGAGGAGCAGAGGAGCACATGTCGTGGTCTTCGTCACCAGAATTTTGATTGCTGTGGTGTCGTGGGCAATCTGGCTGCTGCTACTTAACTCTGCGTTGATCCCTTTATTGCTGCTGCTGGTACATGATACATGTAGTCGCCCTCGTCGTTGATATATATATCCTCCAGTTTCAACCATATCACAGCGTCGCCCCGTCGGGTCCATACATGGCCACTTAGCAGCACCCGCCCATCCATCCATCCATCCATCCATCCATTCATTCTCTCTTTGTTACTTAGCCAGACCCATCGACGTGCAGCCGTGCGTGTCCCCGTCGCCGACCAATCATGGCGATGACACCCTCTCCTGAGCCAATCAGTCCCGCCGTGTCAGCAGCTACAAGCAATGGTCTCTTCCCGCGAGACTCGCTCTGCCTGAATCTCTCCAGCCTCTCCGATGCATCCAACTTCTCTCTCAAGTCTGCCCTCAAGTCTCCGCACCTCCTCGAGTCGCCCGTCGGCTTCAACTCCACCGCCTCCTTCTTGAATGCTTCCTTCAAGAAGCGCCCGCGGAACATGTCTCAGTCGTCTGGTACTGATCGGGAAATGTCCAGCGAGGCCACCACCGCCCCGCTGCCCAATGGTGTTGCTCCCCCCACCAGCAACGGCATCGAGCCTCGCCCGCCCAACAAGAAGCGCCCCAGCACCGATGCCATCGACTATCCTCGCCGCCGTGCCACCATTGCTTGCGAGATCTGCCGCTCCAGAAAGTCTCGCTGCGATGGAACCCGCCCAAAGTGCAGGCTCTGCACCGAACTCAATGCCGAGTGCGTCTATCGAGAGCCCGGCATCAAGCTCGACGCCGGCGACAAGCTCATCCTCGAGCATCTGAACCGCATCGAAGGCCTTTTGCAGTCAAACATGTCCAATGGCCTGTCTTTATCCACCCACTCACCCGCCGCAAGTAATTCCACGAGTGATGACTTCCTCGCTCGCTCCACCGGCATTTTGGGCATGGTCCAGCCAATCAACGGCATCGGCACCTGGACCAGCACCTCGTCCAACATCTCCACCATGCCCAAAACTCACACCACCGCTGCTTTGAATTTGCTGCAATCCCCCATGATCCGCGAGCTGGTCTCGAGGCCCTATGACCCAAAGATTCTTCTCCAGCTCGAGATGAGCCGCGAGCCGCTGAGCCTCGGCACTTCGCTCGGCTTGGATCTTTCCAACACCGGCACTTATGTGCAGGCATTCTTCGAGCGCGTCAACGTCTTCTACGCCTGTTTGAACCCATACACATGGACCAGCTACTATCAGACTGCTCTCTCACGCGGGTTTCGTGAGGGTGCTGAGAGCTGCATCGTCCTGCTGGTTCTCGCCCTCGGTCACGCAGGGAGCATGGGGAGCATCTCTCAGCAACCTGCTGATAAAGATCCACCGGGCTTAGCTTACTTCGCTGCAGCCTGGGCTCTTCTCCCGAGCTTGATGACGAGAAACAACATGCTAGCAGCCCAGTGCCAGATTTTGGCTGCTGCGTACTTGGTTTATCTTGCGCGCCCTGTGGAAGCCTGGAATGTCCTTTCCAGCGCCAGCATGAAACTTCAACTTCTCCTCAGCGCCCCAGGCAGGGTCTCACCCGCTGAAGAGGAGTTGAGCAAGAGAGTTTATTGGAATGCCATCATGATTGAGAGCGACCTATTGGCCGAATTGGACCTCCCTCATTCCGGTATTGAGGCATATGAGGACAGTTTCACTCTACCTACGGGCTTCGAAGATATGGGTACAGAGCCTGTCGGCAGGGATGAACTGTGGTACTTCCTCGCGGAAATCGCCTTGCGAAGATTGCTCAACCGTGTGAGCTCCATGCTCTACCAGAGGACATCGAATCTGTCCAAATCACCGACGCTGGCGTCTGTGGCGCAACTGGACCCTCTCGTTCTGGAACTCGACTACCAGCTCAATCAATGGTACGCCGGGCTTCCACCAGCGATGCAATTTCCCCTGGATCGGGTCCCACTACAGAATCCCGTGCAAACTGTACTAAGACTGCGATATTTTGCCTGTCGAACCATCATCTACAGGCCATATGTCCTCCTGGTACTACAAGACGAGACACTGGCTTTAGACTCGGGCGTACAAGATAATTGCCACAAGTGTCTAGAGGCATGCATTCGACAACTCGAATACATCACCGCGCATCATGCCGGGCATCTTCCCTACCTATTCCAAGGCGCTCTTTCGTAAGTAGCTCGAAAATACATGCCCGTGCTCGTATATGAGAAGAACTAACAGCTTGGCAGGATCATCTCACAGACTTTACTGGTTATGGGAGCGACGATGAGCCCTTCCCTATCCGCTCTGCTCCCTCCCCCTGCCACCATGGACGACATCATCACCAATGTAGTCCACGAAATGGAGCGCCTCGCTCACCTTGCTCCGAGCCTGCATCTTGGGTCAGAGCTAATCAGGGAGGCCGAAAACAAACGCCAAATGTGGTTACGTACAGCTGGTCTCAAGTTCGACAATTGAAAAATGGCCCAATCAAGTGGAATTTAATATGGCAATCCTGGGGAACGTATGCAGGAACCCACACGTACTTCCCCAAACAATCTCGTCGAGAGTAGACGGGATGATTAGACACGATTGCAACCCCATGCACGTCACCATTGCAAGAATGGACACTCGGCCGCGGTCGGAGGATTTATTCAGGGAACACATATTCCCAGGCTAGCTCCATTCCGAAGACGTGACCGACGACCGAACATTACGTCCGTTGTCGTCGTCGCTGGATTGTTACTGGGTGGGCTGACAGAAATTCGTGTTCGATGATACTATCGAGCACCCCTGCCAGACCGCTGTGGTTTGCCAGAGAAGCCGCTAGGCGCAGGCGCTCCAATCTGTTGCACCCACCGGTTAATCCCGCAGGGATGATCGCCGCCCCTCTTCTTCTCGAAGCCTTCTCTGCAGCTTCGTGCTTCCCAATCATCAGATCGTGGGATATTAAAGAGGATGCAGACCCGGCGCACAAGTCAGGGTCATGTACAAGGGAAGAGGAAGATCAAACCAGCCAGTGTCACTCGTCACGGCAGAGGTGCTTGATCCGGCATGCTATGCATGTCGGCGCACTTGGGTGTCGTGGAGATGTGATGACAGGCGTCTTCCCGCGGGGTTGCTGAGCACACACAGATGCCCACCGCGCAAAGCTGGCCGAAAACTGGGGGCAGGTACCAAGTTGCTAGGCCGCGTGAAGGTGTTTGAATCATGTGCACAAGATTGTATATATTAAAAAAGCCGCAGGGCGGAGGCGCCGACTGGGATCGGTAAGGACAGCGCAGGGTGGGTGATGGGCTGAGAGGTGGATTCATAGACATTCTTAGCTACGAAGAAACTTTCGGTACCGAACGTTGTCCTACCACATCCTGTCGTGACATGTTCGCGAAGGTCGTCTGTCTTATCTGTGGGGTAACAGAAGCATGGGGAACGATAGCCCAAGAGAAACGGCAGCCAATGGAGACGGTCGTTTCGTGTTTAAATCTGATTTACCCAGTCTGGTCTCATGATATGTCGGACGTGGTATAGGTACCTAGCTATACTATATAGCGACTGTGATATTATGCCTCGAGGTAGTGCGACAGCATTGCTTTGCCATGAGCCATTCGTTGTACTACCTTTGACCTTGGTCCTGTTCTGGCATGGCCCTTTGATCCTCAAATCTCGATGTCATTCCGTCACAGCCCCACCATAGAGCCCCTCGATTCATACATTCACATCCAACTCTTGCTTGCTTGCTTGCTTACACATGTACATTCGAAAGATCACTACCCCCCTGCGGCTTGCTTACACTGCACGCAGCAACACTCGGGTACTCAATCTTACTACACCTCTTTCTTTTTTCCACGCCCATTCCCCAGACCAACCACAACCACTGCCACACTCGCACCACCGTCATCATCATCGTCATCACCATCATCATCAATCCCCCCCTCGTAATCACAGCATGTACGCAAGCCAAACTGAGTAGAAAAAAGAACCGCCATCGTTCGGACCACCGGACCGCACCGCTTCGCTTCACCTCTCGTACCCCTGGTGCTCCAGCAAGCGTAGTCTAGATTTAGCGTAGGTATACCGTCTTCATTCGCTCATCATCGTTTGTTTAATCAATGTTGTTCGTGCTATACCTTCCCAGCAACCCGGAATCTGAGGCGCGGGGAGAAAAAGAAATGACCGAAGAACAATAAAAAAACAGGGAAAATAGATGGCTTGGAAGCGTGGTCTTGTGTTCATCTTCGAGAAGGAACGAAGGAAGGAGCTTCTGGAAGGCGGGCAATGGAAGGAATGGAAGGTGTGGAAGGGGGTTTTTTTTTCCTTGAGGGTTAGACGGTTCATCTAGTTTATTAGAGGTGGTGCAGGGGCGGAGGGGAGTGTAGTGAGTGGGATGCCCAGGACCCTATTTGTGTTATTCTTATTCACTTTTTTCTACTCGGATTGATGTTTTTTCTTGAGGGTCATCATCATCATCATCACGTATCGTGTAGGTGAATGGGACATGTTGTAGAGATCAGCATCTCGTCATCTACCCTGCTGCAAACCCGGGCGCATCCTGTTCTTCACATTTTCCATTCTGACAATCCGACGCTTGGTGGCCCTACATGCACATACATAGACCGCATGCATAGCCTGCCTACATGTACAGCGCAAGCGTCACGCACGGAAAGCGAAGCTCCCGTCTGCAATTCCCATTCAGATTGTGGAGTTGTGGAGTTCACGTCTGCATGCAGATCCGCGGTCCAGGGAATCAGAATAGGAAGAAGAGGGAAAAGAGAGAGACGGGGGAAAAGACGGTTTTGCATGTGGGGGAGCGTACGATGGGACCATGGGTATGCGGATCTGGGGGGGAAAGTGAATCCTTCCATCATTGTTCTTCCACCAACGCTTCTTTTTCTTCTTCGCTAAACGAGGCGCGTTGCGTTATCTTTGTCGCATCCTTGTTCCTAGGACGTTCCGGCCGAGCGCCGGGGTGTAGATGTGTGCGTGTGTGAGTGTGGCAGGGCACCTTTTTTTTTTTCTTCCTTTGACTAGAGAGAGGGCTTGCAACAAATTAGGGCCTTTCCCGTTGAGACTGCTTCGCATGACGATGATGAGTGTGGTGGAGGCTCGATGACACAGCTGCAATCAAGTTTGAGGCGGCAATCTCCAAAAGCCAAAATGAAAGGACCGTGTTACCGTCCAACGTCATCTCATCCCCAGATCTCGCCTCCAATTTTTCATGCCTGGCCAAGCGGTATATTCGGTATTGCATGGCACGACGTGTGCGTGCAAGAGAGAGTGTGTGTGGAGAAAACATGCACCCAATATCCACCACATGAACGATGGAGATACAAGGTACACAGGTAATGCAATGTCGACATGTACTGTACTGTACACACAACCACTAGGCGGCCAACAGCAACACGACCGAGCCTATAATAGCGAGCACATATAGCTGTAGAGCCAGACAGGGGTGCCGCCATGGCCCAAACCCAATCAGGGCAGCGGTTAGGCCCCGTACATATGCAAATCCCAACCACCATCACACACGCATCACACACCTTACTATTGTATCCTGTATCTCGTATCTACGCAGTGCCATCGTGCCATTGATGCGAGCCACGGCTACACGTATCAAAGCACCGACTAGGCGCCTCAGCCAGACAGACCCACTGCCCGCACCCAGGCAGGCATCCAACCCACAACGCCACGACCCATCACGGATGCGCCTGCAGCATCTCTGTTTTGCTCCTCACCATCTCTCTATTCCTCTCGGCCGTGAGGTCACAAGCCCGTCCATCTAGGATTGCAAACTAAACTCACCGTACTCGCTGCTCCAAACCTTCCCGCTCCCTTAAGGGTCCTGTCTGGGCCTGCCTTAGCTTCCTTCTTTGCCCTTCCCATCACTTGCATCGCGTCTCCACGCTCATCCGCAATTTTGCAGGGGGACGAGGCAAGGTAGATGGTCTTACCATCATGGTTTCGCCGCCGCTCTGCATGCTTTCTGACGGCCTGACCTGGAATCTGGGGCCGGCTAGACGAATAATGCTGCTGCAGTATACCCGGAAGGAAGGTGTGCTATGCTATTTTTTTTTGTTCTCTTCCCTTGACTCTCTTGTGCCTTGTTCTACCTGTCTACTACCGTCATTCCCATTATTCTATCTAATCTTAAATCTTCTCGCCCTCGTTCCGCGTGTATAGCTGATCGGCTGCTTGCTTGCTTGCTTGCTTGCTATCCTATGCTCTTTTCAACGTGAAGCGCGTAGCTACCGGGCGCGAAAGGATACTCGTCCAAGGGAAATGAAAAGGATCTCAAAGAAAAACTTTGTCGATCCCACGCGTAGCTTGCAGTAAGTTTTGTCTCCTATGGAGATTAGATTGGATGTTTGAGGAAGAGGAGAGGAGAAGATTGACTACGCGTCACGCCAGCCCAGTCGATCCCGGATACGATACGGCGTAACGTCCCTCGATCTTCTTCTCTTGTGAATGGTTGGCGAATGGTCACGCGGGGCGAAAGTGTGCACATCATTTACTCTCACTCGTCTCGTATGCTCGCTGTCAGCGATGATATCGTTGATGCTTGAGGAAGACATTGAGAACTAGGTAAAGAGCGAACTTGTAGAACTGTTTATTCAAGACCACAGAAAAACGTATTGGTACCCACTCAATCCCTCTTCGTAATGCCATAAGATATCACCACGGCATAAGCAAAACTACTCTCAAGTAAGCTATAGCTGTTACGCCTCCCACGCCTCACCACTTCATCAGAAATTAGAGATCCACCAAGCAATCAAGGCATGCCCAACCACCACCACGACCGTCACCGTTCACCCAACAGCAGCAGAACAAATCCTGCAATACCCGTACACTAACAAAGCGGGGCCATCATGCAATGTGCCAGCACTCCATTCTCCATCACCCCCTCTCATATATTAATCAACTCCACCCCCAAGCTATACTATACTACCCAACAGGGTCTCCTTCCTTCTAGAAGCCCACTAGAAAGACCCACTCCACTCCACCCTTCCATTGTAACTAGACTATCACCATCGCAACTGCCAAGAATATATAGACTAGGTGTGGAAGTAGACAGGTACCTGGGCCCCTTGCAACTTGGTCCAAGTTGTTGCCTCGTCTTCGTTGTCTGATGCCTGGTTTGGTTGGCTGGCTGGCTGGCTGGCTGACTTGTTCAAGTGAGTGACATGGCTTTCCCGCAACGGCCTTCACCGACATGAATTGTGGGGAACACGGGTGATGGTTGGGATCCATGATGTCTATGCTTTCGTCTTTGAAGCCTGTTTTCTTTTGTTTCTTCATCTTGTCGTTGGGAGATGAAGTCGAAGTTGTTGGACGGGGATGGAAGTGGGACTCGGCCAGAGGTCATGCGTAGATCTAGACTTACTTGGCTTGACTCTGCTTCGTCTTCGGGCGTTCCTTGTGATGTGTTGTTCCACTGTCAAGCGAAAATGATGCGAGTGTGTGCATAGGAAGTCCCTGGGAGACAACAATGATGCATTGTTGTCAAAGGTTTTTGTCGCATAAACTACTACTCTATTTCGTACTTACAACTTGAAGTCAGTAGTTTTCTTTAGATGTCTCCGTCGCCATTGAATAGCCTACATTGCGAGAACACAAGTCAGATTCTTCATTCCAGAACACATAGATAAGCAGCAGCACAAGCAAGCAACTCCAACGCCTTCCGCTCGGGCAACTACCGGACTTTGCCGGGCTCTACGAATAAGAGAGATTAGGAGTGAGCCATACGCGCTCGCTCGCTCGGGCACTGCCGGGTGATCCGTAACCCTACAAATGAGAGGGGTCGGTAGCATATCTACACGCCCATGAAGATCTTATGCCGCGAGGCACACGTACGTGCCTACAATGTAGACCCGCATCACCACCCCTTCCCAGCTATGATCTCCACAACATGCTAGCCGGACGTTGAGGGTCTTGGGGTCCTGGTCTGTTATAGCCATGGGGTATTTGTCTATCATCTTGTCTGTCTATTCCTGGGGGAGTGGGTGGGTACTCTACACGGACTCTTGTTCATGTATAGATCTTACGCATGTATACGCATGTATGCTTCCGCACGCACTTTTTCCTCGCTATCCTACCATCCTATCAAACTAGATATCTTGAAAATAGAGTAGAATCTACGATATACGACGAGAGACGCGAGATGGTGATGCTAACGCCCCTCCACTTCATTCCAATCTCACAAGCTTGCGGTGTTCCGTTTTCTTCTTGGTTAGTCTTCGTGCTCCAGTGACCAGGTTTTCTCACGGAGAGATCCGCTGTCCCTTCTCATCACCTGCCCGCTGTCTCATTGATACCAGGGGAAGCTTTGGTGAGCGAGGGGTACACATGGAGCAGCTGTTATACACAAGGGACCCTTCACTGTCTCCTTTTGCGTTCGCTTGCGCCTGGTAACGCCTCTTTCGTGTACGGGAACGAGGTGTAATACTCAAGGGAGGTGCGGAGAGGATACTTGCTTAGAGACGGAGCGAGGTGGAGAGATTGATCACGGTGATCATATGCATCTATTTGCGCAAGGTATGGCTGTTGGCCCCGCAAATCTTCGTACTCAATTCCTGCGGGATCTCCTTGCTCGTTCTGCTTGACCGTTGATGTGTTATGGGTATGGATGCGGCATGGGACCGTTGTCAGTGAGGATGCGTGGACGTTGCCACTTGGATCTTCAAGAATAGAGTTTGGTCATCTCGGCGGTATGTGTGGAATGGGCAAAGTGATTCGAATGTTGTCCGGGGGGGTTGCATCTGATGTGAGAGTCCAGTACGATGAGGCAACGAGATTGGCCATTACACACGAGGAACGTAATCAAAAGGTCGATCGTTCGATTCCAGAATCGTCGCCGCCACGATTTAACCAAAGTTTAGAGATATCATACAATTTCGCCAAATCTAAAAAAAAAAGGAATCGGCAGGGTGTGCCACAGGCGGCGACAAGATTTTCTACTTTCTGTGCCTCGATACTACTTTTCTCCGCTTCTCGAACGCGTCACCAATGGCTGACCCACTGTTCACGGGGCCATCCTCGATGGGCCTCTTTCGACTCTTTGCCAATGATCCAGATCCCCCCGACTTCCTCTGCGTCAACCGCTCGATACGATCCAGCCCCGCCCCAATTCCTCTCCACTCCTCGCCGCCAAAGGCACCCTGCTGTGTCCTCCCCTTCGCCTTCAGATCCTTCTTAGAAAGTGCTGGAAGACGAGTGAAATTGGACTCTTCGTAGTCTCTACGCTCGGCCTCCTCTCTGCGTTCTTTGTCGGATTTCATGCGACGCCCACCGTGGACGATGGTGCTACCAATACTGGGTTGAGCGAGCGGCGCTGTCGACATCTCGCTCGCTACAAACTCGTCCATGGTCGCGGATTTCCCGGGTCGGCGCGCCTGGCGAGCTTCGCGACTTTCTGTCGTAGGCATAGACACAGGCGTGATCTTGGGAGGACGATAGATACCGTCCTTGGACGATGCGGCAGCGGAGGATCCTCTCTGGCCCTTCTCGCCGCCGGATTTGGCGCGTGCAAAAGTAGCAGCCGAGGGTCCGTACGTCATTTCGTCGACGTCTTCCTCGCTCTGGTCCGTTCCGGCGTCTGATTCAGCGTCACTGGCGTCGGAATCCGAGCCCGAGTCTGCTTTAGATTTCTTGGATTGTTTGGCGGGTGCCTGTTTGGCGGACTGAGCTTGTTTGCGCCCGGCATCGTCTGCTGCGCGAATGATTTTGTCGATTTGATACTTGAGGCGGTTTTCCAAGGGACGGACGCCCTTCTCCAGGTACACACGTAGTTCGACCAGTTTCTTTACTACCTCATCCTGCGGGTTTAGGGATGCGTTTGCTCCCTCCTCCTTACCCGATTGGGCTCGAATTTTCAAGAGAATCAGGAATACAAGATTTTGCAGGCTGTATTACGAGTACAAAGTCAGTATAGCTCGACCAGACATGTCTCAGTAGGCAATTAACGTCCCGAAGCACTACTCGAGATGGTATTCTAGTATGTGACCTAGTACCCGGGAATTACATACTATGAGAGTAAAAGTTCATTTTTGACATCGAAGAGTGAAATGCCTTCCTTGGGCGGAAGAATATCATGGTTAGATAGAGCTTCGGTAGCGGACTGAATAGATGTCGTAAGCGTAGCCAATAGTGACTGAAGTGAATTATCGACAGCCATCTTTTAGGACCCGTGAAAATACGAGCTGATGTTGTTGTATAGTTGCGCTTTAGGTCAAAGATGTGAGGTTTAGAAATTTTAGAGATGCCAAGATTTCGCGGCGCTAAGAGGTACTATCCCCAATCTGGCCTACCTCGGCTGCCGAGTTTCTATGCCTCGCGAGAGTCAGTAGATCATCTCTCAGCAAGGCGGTATATTTATAGTCATTACAATCGTAGTGCATCGATCTGAAAGAGCTCTGTTACGTCTTAGCTCATCCTATACTGTCATCAAAAAAGCCAAAGAACCCCCAAAATGGTCTCCACACAACATCCCCTTCTGCTTGCGACCACGGCGGTCCATGCTTTTCTTGTGGCAGGACACACTGTAAGACCATATCACGATCAAAGCACTTCACAGTATGTAGAAGCTGACTATAATTCACATGATAGAGCAAAGGACTTGAGATGTTTCAGCACCCATCCCTGGACAAAGTGCCATCTATCCTCAAAGACACCGTCCGCATTGGATGGTATGAAGGCAGTGCCTTCTTCGCGATAATGGGTGAGGGCAAATCTCAAGTAGTTGGTGAGGCACCACGTTGTACTGATGAATCCATGTGTAGCGTGTATAAACTACAAATGGAGCCAGAGTGGCTTGGTGGATGGCGCAGACAAGAGCATCGCTGGGTTGCTGGTAGCACTTCTGTTCGGTGCAGGAGCAAACTACGCACGCGCTGGTGACAAAGGGCTTGGAGTGGTTCTGAGTGCTATCGGTGCTCTGCAAGCCGTTGCTGCGAGAAAGGCAACGCTGTAGAGCATATCGGAGAGCGGTTAACCGGCCGTATGATGGCTTGTGTCATCAACAGTAGGGTATATGGTCGTGAAGGTCTGTCAACCAACAGCGATGAGATGATTCTGTACAAATTATGTACTTGCAATAGCTCTTCCGATATAGCTTAGCATCTGTCCGATATTCCCGATCCTAAGCAAGCGCAGAGCGGTTCAAGTGTCAATGCCTTGATGCTTATCTGCTCACTGCGATCGGTTTCAACACTACAAGGCTCCTTGCTTGTAGATAGGTACGTCCAATCCCAAACCCCACCAATCAGGATGAGCATGTAGAGAAAAGGTCGTACACATGTATGAAGTCAGAGAAGCAATCATGTGGGAGCGGGGTAGAAAACAGAAGCCGCTAGGCTCAATCGGCAAAGTACACGCGATCTGGTGAATGGCCCCATTCTTTCGATCCACCCCGACCGATATCGTGTCGATTGCAAACATGATGATCCGCGTCCGCAAGACGCTGCAAACGATTGCCTATTTTCTAATGCATACTTAAATATCCTACGTTAGCCGCTCCCGCTTGCGCCATCCTTCATCTCTTGTTTTATCTTTGTTTATCGAGTTCGTTGGCTGTGCATACTACATTGAACGAAGGCGCGGCGAAACTATGTCTACCCAAAGCGTTACTATAGACTCTCCGCAAGTTGCCAAGAGCAGCTTTTGCCATCCGTTAGCACCATTATCGGCTGATGAGATCAAGAACGCTGCGGCAATCATCAAAGCTTCATGGCCTGCACATACTGAGTTGCATTTCAAGGCTATCACGCTCGAGGAACCCCTCAAGGCAGAAAGCTTGCAGTATCTCGAAGCGGAACATAATGGAGCATCTCGACCATCGATCTCCAGGAAGGCATTTATCAACTATTACATCCGCAATACTGTGCGTCCAGATCTTGAAAGTTGACAGAATGAATATCTTGAGCTGACACTAGAAATAGAACAAATATCATGAAGCCATTGTAGACCTGAGTTCTGGCCGTGTACTACGTAACGTTCTTTTGGGTAAATTCGTACACGCAAATGGAGACGGCGACGAGATCGTTGAAATCGAGAAGATCGTGCTCGCAGACGAAGGTGTCAAGGCCGCTATTGCAAAACTTGAACTCCCAGCGGGCACTGTAGTCATCAGCGACCCGTGGATCTACGGTATATACACCCAACCCTGATTTTTTCAAAGCGGACAATAGACTGACCGAGAAAGGTTCGGATGGCATTGATGACGAAGATCGACTATACCAGTGTTTCCTCTATATGCGCGACCCTCTCAATCCTGCTGAAGCCGACTCCAATCACTATGCACTACCTCTTCCCATCTCACCAGTGTTGACCACCGAGAACATGAAAATCATTCGGATTGACACCCTCCCGACAGGCGCAGACAATACGCTCAAACCGTTTGAAAAATTTACGGTACATCCACCGAATGAATACATCCCCGAGCACCAGGATCTGAGAACGGATTTGAAACCTCTGAACGTCGTGCAGCCAGAGGGCGCGAGCTTCACAGTCACGCAAGAAGGCACATCGAGTATCCTTCAATGGCAGAAGTGGAAGTTCAGGGTTGGTTTTAACCAACGCGAGGGCATGGTGTTGTACGATGTGCGATATGACAACCGCAGTCTTTTTTACCGGTTGTCTTTGAGTGACATGAACATACCGTATGCTGATCCCCGACATCCATTCCATAAAAAGAGTGCTTTTGATTTGGGCGATGCTGGTGCAGGCATCATGGCAAACAACCTCAAACTTGGCTGCGATTGTCTTGGATCTATCCACTACCTCAGTGCTGTGCTTTCGGACCCTAAGGGTGGTGTTGTTCCCATGGACAACTGCGTATGCATCCACGAACAGGATGCAGGCATAGGCTGGAAACATACCAATTACCGAACAGGACGCGCTGCCGTTGTTCGATCAAGGGAGCTCGTCTTACAATCCATCATTACTGTTTCGAACTACGAGTACATCTTGGCCTTCATCTTCAACCAAGCAGGGGAACTTAGCTATGAGATCCGAGCGACTGGAATTCTCAGCACACAGCCCATTGACGAAGATATCGAAGTACCATTCGGAACTGTGGTTCATCCAGGTGTGCTCGCAGTCCATCACCAACATATCTTCAGTCTGCGAGTCGACCCGTACCTCGAGGGTCCTGATAACCGTCTTGTCTATGATGAGGCATTTCCCATGCCCCGTTCGGATTTCAATCCTCATGGTACCGGCTACTATGTGCAGGAAACCGTGGTCAGCGAGTCCGGCGGCTACGACATCGCCTATGAAAACAACCGTACCTTCAAGATTCAGAATGCCAACATCCGGAATCCTATCAACGGCAAACCAGTCGCTTATAAGATCCAGGCGCCGCCGTTCCAGAAGATCTTGTCAGACAAAGACAGCTTTAATTATAAAAGAGCAGAGTTTTCGGATCACAACATTTATGTTATAGGATACAGGGATGGCGAGTTGTACGCCGGAGGAAAATACACGAATCAATCGAGAGGTGGAACCGGCGTTAGGTCGTGGGCTGACCGAAAAGACAACGTCAAGGACTCTGATTTCGTCGTATATATACAGGCAGGGATCAACCATATTCCAAGAATCGAGGTGAGATTTCTGCTGTTATGTATCATGAGACAGAATACTAACGATGAGATTCGTAGGACTTTCCTGTAATGCCTTGCGAGATTCTCAAGATCCACCTCAAGCCAGTAAACTTCTTTGATAAGAACCCCGCACTGGACGTTCCGCCAAGTGAGCAAATCTTCAACAAGAGTGTGCTGGTCAGTGAGCAACATCATCAACCGACACAAGAGGCGAAAGTTGGTCAGGACATTGTGTGCTGCGGTGCTCCGAAGTTATGAGAACGCATTGATGAGATTGATGTGATAGTGAAATGTAAAGAAACAATGTGATACTATATAGGATGCAGCATCAACACATGGGTATGAAGTCGTTTCATACTGGGGTATCAAATGGTGCAGCGTCTCGTCAGCCTGACAGCACATTGAACTATTACAATGTCTACGTTGATTGCACCAACCTCGTAGTCGTCGTTTGACACACTACAATTACGGATACGTGGTAGGTAAAATCCATCCAAATATGTTTCAGTATGCTGTAAATGTGTCAAACCACTGTACAACCTGATGTCTCGACATCTAATGAGTTCTTATGCGGGGTATAATACACTGCAAGTAACCAGGACTCAGTTATACAGCATGGCTAGAGACAGTCAGCGAGTCATCTCAATTTCGTGATGCAAAATGCTCCCACTCAGATTTTTATTCGTCATTGGTGCTCCAAGCTACACCCAGGGCACTTGAAGTGAGGACAGTGAACTCAGACAAAGGAGTGCCCCTCCCCGATCTCTGCTTTTGCTTATTACAATTCTGCGTTGTCAAAGCTTACGAGAGCTTTTCTTTTTGGTAATCACTTTTTTCGTACTTGATCGCTGTAAATATCGCTTTGGACATTACTGTGTAGGCAAACCCAAACTCCAAATCCAGAATCCATTACTAACGAGCATCAGCCTCTTATGATCCTTTACCCATCTCTCAGACTCAGCTGTATGCATGATGCTTGGATTCATTATGTGAAGACAATCCGCTATACTGCTTAGCGTTAGCGTGGGTGGTCCGCGCGCCTTTTCTAGACAGCAAGCTCGATGCGACGATTGTTCCTCACGAGTCTCTCACACACCTCGACACAATCCAGGATGGCACCCAATGACAAAGCTGGGCGCGTCGTGTTCATCGGAAATATTCCTTACGGTAAGTCTAGAAGGTTCATGTTTTCCACGGCCATATGACGCTGGCTGTTTCCATGTCTAACAAAGCGCAGGAGGCACTGAGGAGCTCATTGTCGAGACTCTTGAGCGCGTAGGAAAGGTCATCAATTTCCGCCTCGTATATGACAAGGAAACCGGCCGCCCCAAAGGCTTTGGTTTCGCCGAGTTCGAAGACGCCGATGCGGCAGCATCCGCCGTGCGCAACCTGAACGACCACGAGCTCATGAACAGGAAGTTGCGTGTCGATTGGTCAAACGATAACGGTGCTGGAGACAATGCGCCTTCTTCACACAATCCTCAACCCTCAATGAACGGTCAACCTACAGCGCCCGCAGCGCCGGTTGCGATTCCTCCCATTCCTGCAGGCGCCGACATCCCACCCAACCTTGACGCTCCCGATGCCATTTCACGCACTCTGTCTACGCTCCCCACGCCGCAGCTTCTCGATATTCTCTCGCAGATGAAAGGGCTCGTCATGTCTGACCCTGCAAAAGCGACTGAACTTCTCAGACAGGCACCCCAGCTCTCCTACGCCATCTTCCAGTCTCTCCTTCTTCTTAACTTGGTGGATCCCACGGTTATTGGAGGATTGGTCGAAGCGACTGCGCCCGCGCCCGCGCCAGCTCCTCCGCCCCAGATGCAGACTCCTCTGCAGCCTCCTCCTCAGGCCCAACCTCCTCGACCACCGCAAGGATATGCCGCATATCCTCCAGCCCCTGTTCCCACACCACCCCAGCCGTACACGCAAGCTCCACAACAGCCCCCTCCCCAACCAGCTCAGGCTATGGATGCGCAGCAAGCGGCATATGCTCAGATTATGGCTATGTCACAACAGCAGATTGACATGCTTCCGCCTGAACACCGAGCCCAGATTATGCAAATTCGACAGATGCTTCTGGCTGGTCAGCGTTAGGAGGCTGAATCTGAGGGGCATTTGCCAGTTGAATCCGGGAGAAACCCGCAGGCTATTTTTGAGGAGTGTTCACCACCTGAGCTCGAAGAAAGCTCGCGTTCTACGCCCGAAGAATATTTTCCACCGGAGCCTGAGGAATATGGACATAGCAGGTCTGAGGTTCACTCAGCTCCTGCATCTGACGGGAAACCGGAGGCTATACTAGGAGTATATCCGCAGATGGGACGAGCAGATTTGGTCTCGCATTGATAGCTATGCACCTAGGTGTTGGCAGCCGTGTGGACGATCAGGGCTAACGGATATGCTTGGAAGAAAGCCACCATATGATATTTTGCATCTTCACATCGGCGTAAAAGGATTTTAATTGGGCCATTGATGAGTAGCGAAACTACACAGCGTGGAGTTTGGCGGGTCATTTTTCAATGATAAAAGACGGGTTGGGACACAAAGTCGATATGTATTGTAGAATTACTAGTACCATGCAAGATGCCCAAACGACCGGCATCTTCCCTGAATAGGAGATGAGTTGTCGTTATACGATGGCGCGAACGCGCACTTTCCCCTCTTCTTGCCGTGCCATTTTGCGATTTGTACTCCTTGAAGTGAAACGCGAGCCGGGGATTTCCACACAGTGAGATGAGTTGGTTCAAGTGTGTGAGGATTGCAATGGGGGGTCCACTTAAGCTTCTCCATGGCGATCCACCTTCCCGTGGGGGTTGACATGATGAGAGAGGGCGAGTGTCAGGAATGCGGTGCTCGAAGAGTCACCAAGATGCACATGAAGTCGCGATAGGTTACCTGCGCAGGCAAACCAAACTTCCGCTGGGAGCCAGATTCGATCTGGTGCATGGCCACGATGCTGGTTTACTTGTCTCTCGCGCCGATTGGGAGCAGCTGTGTACTTGGAGATGAGATGGGATTGGCCCAGCCACCCCTGCTTGGGCAAGTCAGACCTCCACCCAGCTCGGCTCGCCACCAAACCAAACAACAACTCAGCTATCAAGCATCCTCGCGCGCATAATCCACCGGTCAGGGTGAGCGAGGGACGCCCATCCATCTGCATTTCCAGCGTCTTTGCATCTCCTTCCGATTGCTTCTTGTACACTATAATGACATGACGACGTGACGACGACTCCCTGCGTCGATACACACAGTACAAACTCACCTTAATTACCCAGTCCGCGATACCCCCAGCCTGCCTCTTTTCGCGAGCGATATTTTTTGCACCATCGCCCAGAGTGCGCACACTCAGTGCCCCGTAAACGACACCGAACAATCGCACCATGTGGAGCAGGATCACAGGCAAGAGCGACGGCTCGTCGCGCGACAAAGATGAGGGTGATGGCCGGCGGAAAAGGAGCGATTCCTCGGCCTCGCGTCGCTCCAAGACTGCCGAATCCGTGGTTTCGTCCAGTTCGACGAGGAGACCTTCGGGACGCGAACGCGAACGAGAGCGAGAACGAGAACGCGACCGCGACTCCAAATCCAGGGTCCCCGAGAGCGTCGCTAGTACCTACGCTACCTTCGCAACCGCCAGGGACGACCGCGACGATACGAGGAGCAGCGCAGATCTGTATGAGGATCCCCACGATGAAGATAGAAGGAGGCGGCGCCGCGACGATGATGAGAGGTCGACGTATTCACGAAAAGAGCGCTCGCCTAGCCGGGAACGAGGGAAAAGCGAGAAGAAGAGCTCGGGCAAGGACAAGAATCGGGACAAGAGCTCCAAGAGGAAGAGTCGCTCCGAGGCTGGAGGCTCGCGTCCCCAAGAGATAGTGGAGAGCCCACGACGAGGAACACGGCCGGCGGTTGGCGAGATAGAAAATCGCGCATATGATCCCTCGCAGTCGCAATACCCCCCAGCGTCTGATGGACAGTACATGATGTCTGGTGCTCTACCTGCAGGTACCCTATCATCTCATGTACAGGACCAGTTCCCTGGCCAGGATCCCGCGCAGTTTGCAGCCCCTTATATCCCTCAAAGCCATCCTGTCCATACAGATTCATTTGGTGAGGCGTCTAACTACTACGGCGACCAAGGACAGTCGGTTCATGAGCAGCCTGGTGTGCGACCAGATGCACCCTCTGTGCTTATGCCCTTGGACACTCCTCACCTTGTTTCAGCTTCATCACAAGCTAACCCAGTCGCTGATACCGGAAATGGTGCTGCTGCTGAGTTTTATGGGGCATCCGACAACGATGCTCTTCCATCCAAGCCGCCGCGTCCTTCGTCTATGCCCGGCGCTTTCACGGACGAGGAGACATCGCCACCGAAACCCCCACGACCATCCTCAAGGCCCGATAAACCGAGCAAACTTACTTCAGCTGCAGCAATGGCTAGCGCAGCTGGTTTAGGTTATGCCGCAGGTCATAGCTCCTCTCAATCGCACACACAACACACTCAGAACATACACGAAACCACACATTACTCTACTACGCAAACTGGACCTGGCGCTTCTGGGCCTGCTTATGGCTTTGATGATAATGCATCTTATGCTGCTACCGAATACACACATCTGCCCAACTATTCTGAGGCCATGGAAGGCCAACCGCCCGTGAAGCCTCCACGGCCAAGCAAGTCCGGAAAAGATCCTCACCACTCTTCCCACACAGGTTTATATGCTGGAGTTGCTGGAGCTGCTGCCGCTTACGGATTAGCACACCAGCATTCGCACAATCACTCACATCACCACACCTCATCTATGCCTGGCGGGTTCCCTTCAGATCCTTACGGACCTTCACCTAGCCCGTTTATGTCGGGCGGTATGGCTCATCGTCATGAACATAAAGGGCCAGGGACCAGATTTGCAGATTGGTGGAAGAACTACGATGATGTACGCAAGATGGAGGAGTATACCGAATACATTGGAGTCTGCCGTGGCTGCTTTGACCCCCGATCTTCGCCCTTAGATGCTCCTCGGAAGCATCACTACCATCGCAGGAGGTCAGGTGAATTGCGAGCCTCTGGAATCCCAGAAAAGCACTCGAGATACGGTCTTTCGGAGAAGGCCTCGCGACATTCTTTCTCGGGTGATGAGAAACAATCGCGGTACGGTTTGTCCAAGAAAGCCTCCCGCAATTCATTCTCAAGCGACGAGCGGCGACATAAGCGCAAGAGTGGTAGTAACGGTGTTGGATGGCTTGCTGCAGGACTGGGAACTGTCGGCCTTGCCCAAGCCAGTAAAGCGCTTTTGAATCAACGTAGAGATGATTTTGATGATACCTATAGCGTCAAGTCTGGACATCGTTCTCGTTCTCACAGGAGAGATAGCAGCAGCAGTTCTAGCGACGATCGCAAGCATAGCCACAAGCACCGTTCGTCCGGTCGTTCTGAAATACGACACAGGAGCCGTTCCCGGGATCGTATGTCTGTGGGTATAACTGGGAACCGTAAGTCAACTATCAGACACAGGTCAAGATCAAGGTCCCGCTCTCCATCCAGAGACCGCAAATCCGGCCTTCTAGGTGCTGCTCTTGGAGCTGGAGTCGCCGCGAGTGCCATGGGTGCATCACGACGAAAGAACCAGAGTCGAAGCCGTAGCCGTTCCCACTCACCTCGAGGTTATCAAGTGCGCCATCGACGGGACAGCAGCGATCATGAGAAGAGGCGTCAAAAGACCAAACGGGTCAGCCAGAAGTCATCACGAAGTTCGGTCGCATCGGGCCACATGGTCGACATCTCCCAATCGCATGAATCTCAAGGTGGTTTCTTAGGAGGGTTCTTTACGGCCCCGCCCCCTAAAACAGCCAAGCGTCGCAAGAGTCATTCTAAATTGAAAAAGAAGAAGACGGGATTCTTCAATTTCGGCAATGCCTCATCCAGTTCTTCCGATTCAGATATTGCATTTGGCACTGGGTACGTCAGAAGCAAGAAGCGACCATCTCGTAAAAGTTCAGATGAGAAGTTGAAAACAACTCTTCTCGGATTGGGTGCTACAGCTGCTGCTATCACGGCAGCGCAAGCCAGTCGCAACAAAGGCAAAGTCGTTGCTGTGCGGGATAATCGCCACCCACGCTTGGGTAACGATCGTCGGCGTTCTGGTGCATCATCTCGTTATGGTGATCATCAGGATGTTGACGGCTGGGAAGATTTGCCGGATGACGATACCGCGGATACCTCAAGTGTGAGCTCCGGTCTTGCTTTTGGTGATTGGAGAGGAAGGAGTCAAGAGTCGCTCGCATCGAATGGCTCAGGCACCAACAAATGGGGTTGGCGTTGGGGAAGCAAAAAGGAAAAGAAGAAGCCCTCGTCTGAAAACCTGTACAATCAAGGTGGGAACTCATCCTTTGTTGCACCTGCTGCAGCTGGCGCGCTTGCTGGCGCAGCAATAGGCACAGGGCTCAGTCGACATGATAGCAGTGCAAGCAGCGCTCCGACCCTTCAGTCTGTTTATCCAATAGCTTCTAACGACCCTACCACATTCGATGCCCGGCGCACAAGTAGCACTATGCCTACACCTCAACCATTAGTGACCAATCGACCGGGCGCCATCAATCTCCAGCACCCACAACCGATTCATCAAGTCCCGGATGCCATGTACACCCAAGGCCCTGCTCAACAGGGCTACGTTGCTCCTAATGGTCCTCCCGTTTTCTCTCAAGCGACATCGCAAGTCGCGCAGCCACACTCTGTCTATGATAACTCCCGCCCATATCCTCCTACTCCACGCCGCGCCAACTCATCTCCTATCCAGTCATCAAGTTGGAAACAAAATGCGGCACTCGCCGGTGTAGCTGCTGCTGGTGCATTTGCTCTTACGAAAGGCCAGGAGCGCCCTCTTAGTTCTGCTTCCAATGTTCGCTTCGATCTGACCGAAGAGCAAGCACGTAAAGCTAGACGTCAGCATCACCGTGAAGAAGAGGAAGAGCGCCGTCGCCGCCACGATGAGGACAAGGTCGAAGAGGAGCGACGTCATCGTGAGTTGTCGCGTCAACAAGAAGAAGCTAGATTGCGCCAGCAGGAAGAGGAGCGACGACATCGTGAATTGTCGCGTCAACAAGAAGAAGCCAGGGTGCGTCAGCAAGAAGAGGATAGGAAACAACTTGAGGCTGAGAGGCTTTTTCAAATCAAGGAGGAACAGCGGCGCCGCGACTTCGAGGAAGAAGAAAGACGAGTCCGTGCACTTGAAGAGGCTGATGAGAGAGATCGTTTGGAACGAGAGTCTCGCAAAGAAGCGCAGCGTAGAGCGGAGCTTGACTCTGAAGCTGAAAAAGTGCGACTTGCCCGTCAAGCAGCTGATCGTCGTGAATCCGAACGTCGCGAAGGCGAGATTCGCGAAGACACTGAACGCCGCCGCTGGGAATCTGATCGCTATGAAGACGATCGCGAACGTCGAAAGCTGGATGCACAACTGACTGGTACTAGTTCGGTTGCTAGTGCTGTGCCACGGAAGGAACGCGAGCTTGATGACCGAGAACGCGATATCATTCGGCCTGATACTTCCAAATCTACTGTTCCAGCTGCCTTGGTCGCTGGTGTCGCAGCTGGCGCCCTGGGTGCTGCTATACAGTCTTCCAAGCGTGACAATCACAAAACCACGACGGTAGAACCAGCAGTGACCTATGTTGAACCCAGCAAAATTGAACAGGACTATGCTGATGACGATATTTTCAATCCTAATTTGTTCAAGAACAAGAAAAAGTCTCGAAAACAGTCTCCTCCTAGTGGTTCAGCCACTAATGTTCTGCAAGAGTGGGAGAAGTGGCACGACGAGAAACCTGTTTCCCAAGCGGAGTTCTTTGCGCCCAAGGAACTCCGTGAACCTAGTTCTGTGTCCCCGAAGATTGATCCGAACGAAGGAGCCACCGATCTACATGTTTACCAAGCGCACGACGACTTTGACATTGGTCCGCCAAAGACCCCACCATACCCTCCTTCCTACTCGTTCACGGCCTCAAGAGATGGTCGCAGTGGCCCACCAGGCCCAACGTGGTCAGTGCCTGCACTGAATCTCATTCAGCCTACACCTCCCGGTAGCACTGCAAACTCCGTTCGTGCTGTGTCACAGCCTCCTTCGCCTGCCATCGAACCAGCTTCAAATCCTGAGCAGAAGAAAGAAGAAGCACAACCAGACGCGTACACCAGAAGAGGCTCAAGAGTCAGCTGGGGCACCAACCAGTTCCACAATTACGAAGTGCCGACTCCAGATTCTTATCGTGAGCAATTTATAGCGGATGACGATATCAAGAAAGGGTCTATTGCATCGCATGATGAGATTGTTGTGGAGCGTGACTCTCCCAACTCTGGCAAGATGACGTCTACTTATCGACCATATCATCCAGAATCTAGTGCGGATTCTCAAGACATACCAGAGCCAGATGACGACAGCTGGAATAGCATCTCCACAAAGAAGTTAAGCAAGAAAGATAAGAAAAAGGCCAAGGCTGCCGCCGCCGCCGCCGCTGCCGCAGCAGCGGCAGGAGCTGCTATTCTTTCCCAAGATGACAAGCTGGACACAGCTTCTACTGTAACGGATCCGTTCGCGGACAAATACGCTTCATCGGATGTGCAGTCGTCATTTTCTCGAAGTAACGGCCATCATTCGTCACAGTACGAGACGATCGAGCCCCGAAGTATCGTGTATGATGAGATTGCGACTGAGCCGGCCCAGATACACGTGCCTGGCGGCTTCGAGGATGAGCCGCCTCTGGAGTCGGAAAATCCTGTCGAGGATGAGTGGGCAGCACCCATTAAGAAGAAGAAAGGCAAGAAAGGAAAGAAGTCCAAGGAGAATGAAGAAGACTCGTCTCTGCACCAAACAGCTCAGACCACCGAACCCACAATTCCAGTCACCCGTCAATCAGAGTCTGAACCCTTACCCATTTTTTCCGAAGAGCCAGAGCAGTCGGTTGAAGATGATTGGGCCACCTCTGCGAAATCTAGCAAGAAAGACAAGAAGAAGAAGAAATCGCAGAGCATTGCCGATGACCCTTGGGGACAAGAATCATCAAAATCCGTCGACCTGGAACCCGTATTTGGCACAGCGACTGCTCCAGAGCCCGAACCCGTCGTTGAGCCTGTTCGCGAGCCCGAGAAACCCTTGGAGGAGGAACATGCCGCGCCTCTTTCTAAGAAGGACAGGAAAAAGAAGAAAAAGACACTTAGCACTGTCGAAGATCCTTCCTCTCACGATGTGCCCCGAGCTACAGAAATCATCCCAGAGATCCAAACTACCAAGGAACCACAGCCAGAGCCAGAACCAATTGTTGATGATGAGTGGTCGGCGCCAGCCAAATTGAGCAAAAAGGACAAGAAAAAGAAGGCGAAGGCTGCCAAACGCACTGATAGCTGGGAAGACACTGAAACTAATACCCCTGTGCTGGAACGCGATATTCGAGACATGGAGCCTGCTTATACGACTCAAGACAGTTTCGCACGCCCGGAAAGTTCGAGCAATGTAGCAGCGAGCGCTTTGGCTGGAGGATTTGCAGGCCTTCTTGCTTCCACCATGAAGCAGGATCAGGATCGGCTGGCCCAAGATCGACAGCATGCACGCGAGAACCTAAATGCTGCCGAAAATAGTGTCTCAAACGGAACTGGCTCATATGACGAACAAGATCGCAAGTCCACAATGCCTAGCAGTATTGCCGAAGAAGATTTGAGTAGCTTCCAAACCCCGAAGAAGACCAAGAATAAGAGACATAGTGGCATGTACTCTCCTTCGATTGGGTCGCCGCTTCGATCAGAACTGCAATACGATGATTATGTTGGCACGACCGTCAAGCCCCGCGCACCGATCGAAGACGTAGGCATTCACTACTCCAATCTTCCCATCAACCCCGCGGTGCCCGATTCTGCCCCGCCAGTCTCTAAAAGTGTTCGTGATCTCAGCGATCATGCACTAGATGATCAGCCGGAGATCGATGGTGCGGATCGTGACTCGGATGAATTCTTCTCAGCGGGTTCAGACGACCGCAAGAAATCAAAGGAGAAATCTCCAACTTACGACCGATATGATGACCGTGACAACAGGTCGGTCATCTCATCAGGCAGTCGGTACGAGGATGCTGTTGACCGAGAAGAACGACGCCGTCACCGCCACGGTGACCGCTCTGTAAGCCCGGATCGTGGTTATGCGCTAGACGATGGTGACAACAAACGTAGACACCACCGACGTCGTGGAACTGATGAGTGGGATACCAGATCAATGGTATCAGAGGCACGTTCAGAAGCTACGGGCGAGCGAAGACGCAAGCACAGAACCAGAGATGGTGAGCGCAATGGCTCTCCAGAACCACATATTGCATCATCTGCCGCTTCCGACCCTGGTGATCTCTACGAACGGGAGCGCAAGTCTTCCCGACGGAAATCAAGACGCGATGGGGATGACGATAACGTGTCCATAATCTCATCTCCACCGCGCTATGATGAAGAACGCAACAGCCCTAAGAAGGAGAAGCGGTCATCGGGCCTTTTTGGACTCTTCAGCAAGTCAAGGGAAAGTTTACCTGAACCTTCGAGTAAATCGTCCAAGACCAAAGATGATGAGTACGATGGCGAGCGAAAGCACCGGAAAAAGAAGAAGAGTGATCGAGGCTCTGCATATGGCTCGGATGACGATGATGTACGCTCTACTGTTTCATCAAGCAGTAGTAGGCACAAGCGGAGGAGTCGAACCGATAGTTGGGAGAATGAAGGCAGCAAGGTATAGCCCAATATTTCCTTGCGGCTGCGTTTTGTATCATGTATCGTAGATTGTTAATTTATTTTCCTTTTTGTCTAGGAACCCTCATCCTCCCGCCCCCGCTCCCGATATGCCGATGAAGACAAATCTTTTTTAGACGATAGGGCAGTGGCGGCCACACCACTGCCCACAGGTGTGCTCTCGTCTCTTCACGACCAAGATAACCTTCCCGATAGTGGTATTTCCGGAGATCGATCTCAACCTCTCCCATCTATTGACACCTCCGTCCCGTCTTCGAACGATTCTCGCGATGCCGAAATTGCACGTCCTGTGACTCCTGCTAACGAGGATCCCAAAACGTTTTTGACTAGGCTCACGGGCTTACAGCCATGGCAACTTGAAGCTTTCCCCGATGAGCTGCCACCGCTGCCACTGTCAAGACCGGTTAGTCCCAGCTTGCAAACACCAGAGCAGTACCAACTAAGTCCTCTTGCTGAACGCAACACGACGCCGACTTCTGTCCCTATTCGATTTCGTCGGATGACTTCTTCACCTGGTGTCATGCAGCAACGGGATCTCGGACTTGATCTGTCAAGCCCCCTCGCATCACCTCGTCGTCCTCAACATCCGCGACATTCAAAATCCAACTCAGCGGAGTTCAAGTCATCCCGCGAGTTCAGGCCTCTTTATCTAGTTGAGCGCAACCGGAAGTCTGTAGACATGGAAGATGAAATGCTTCCGTCTCTACCCTCAAGCGGTAGTCCTTCACAGGCTTCTTCCACGACTGGAGATGAGTTTCAATCTGCGCTTCAATCACCGGATCTCAGCACCAGCGATTCTTCTGAACATCCTTTCCTGGACACCTTAAATTTCATTTCGCCGCCATACGCTGGTCCTGAGATTCAGCATCCCGAACTTGAAAATCGTGAGATTGAAGAGCTGGATGAGAGCCAGCAGTCTACACCTAAAGCTTCTACATTTTCTGCTGGAATTACAGGTGACGATCCAGATTCTAGACTGCCTGCTGACGTACTTGCTGCTCGCCTGGCAGACGTTCAAAAAGATGAAGGCCAGGGTCTCGGTCTTTCTCTATCGGAGCCGCAACCACGAAGTACTCCTGCTGAAATTGCTTATGCCAATGAAGTTGATACACGAGATGTTTCTAAGTCTCACAGTGGCAGAGCTTCGCCTTCTAACTCGTCTTCACCCCTCAAAGGTGCCGCTCTTGGCGCCGTCGTGGGTGGTGTTGCGGCCGCTGCATTGGGCGAGAGTTCTTCGACTACTGCGAACTACGAAGATGACTTCATGGGCGGAGATCTCGATCAAGATACTATCGAAGCTACCGCTAACTACTTGCCCCTCACCAAAGACAAAGAAGAAGTAGAGCGGCAATCTCTCACGCCTGCACCTTCGTCTTCTACTAAGAAGGGAAAGAAAGGCAAGAAAGGCTCCAAGGGTAAAAGTATCGATCTCGACTCAAGCGAGAGCCCGAAGGAACTTACAGCTGAAGACTATCAAAAGATCAGGGCGCAAGATGCTGCAGATGCCATTGATGGTTGGTTCGATACACCTGTGGAGAAACCCAAGGATGAAGAAGAAAAGAAAGAGCCAATCAAGATTCCAGAGTCTCAGCCTGATCCCAGCCTTCTTCGTCGCGAAAGCAAAGGAAAGGGGAAGAAGAAAGCAAAGTCTAAGAAGGGATCTATCTCAGTCTCTAGCTTGCCAGAAACGTCTGCCCCTGCGAACAAGGAGGAGCTACCTGCATCTCAAATTGCAACAAAAGACTTTGTCTCTACTGGATACGAACCTGGTTCTTCCGCCAACTTTGTCCCGACCTTCAATGACAATGAAGATGATTGGGCGAACAATCGTGCTGGATCGGACACTTTCGATGACGCTACCCTTGTTGGTGAACCCGGGACTTTGAGCTCACCAGAAGCCTTGAGTAAGGAATTTAGACGTCAGAAAATTCTCGAGCACACACAACCTGGAGGTTTCGAAGATGCTGCTGTAAGACGCGCTGAGTTGGGCAGTCCTGATGTCTCGAGAGGTGCCGATGAGCCCACTGCCTCACTCCCGGAAAGCAGTTACGAGGATTTGGAAAAAGAGGTGAAGCCTACAAAGCCTGCTGATCTCTGGGCTGCTACTACCTCTAAACTCAGCCGGAGTGAAGGAACAGAATTGGCTTCGACACATCTTGCAGATTTGCCTCCAGTTGCGGCGTCCGAGGTAGCTACGAAGGGAAAGAAAGGGAAGAAGCAGAAGAAGGGTAAGCGTGACAGTCACGCCATTGAGCCTGGAACCATCTCTCTACCTTCCGAAGAAGTTTCTGAAGAAGTTGAACCCAGAGCAATGGTCGAGCATGACATTTTGAAGCCAGCCTTTGATGCAGGGGACATGACCAAGTATCTAGACACCCGCGCTTCTCCCCCGGAATTGAGTGAAGACGCAGCTGCCAGCGAGCAAAAAGTGACCGAATCTGGCGAACAAGACATACCACAGAACATTGACGTTATGAACTTTCTAGTAAAGGATGACTCAAGTTCTTCGCTGCCCGAGGAGCAGGAAACCAAGATCGTCCCTGCACTCGAACCTGCTTCTTCACTTACTGAGTCCATCGAGGAGAAGAAGCCCATTGACCCCATGGATTTCCTTGTACAAGACTCCTCATCTGGATCTAGCACACCTGCTCCGATTACAACGCAAAAACAGGCAAAGGCTGTAGCCACCCCTGAGCCTTCACCATCGTGGGGTTCGTCGTTCCTGGGCGCCTTTGGGTTCGGAAAGAAGAAAAGCAAATCTCAACTGAATGCACGTGAACCCAAGAGTCCTGTCACAGCGTCTGCAACAGAGAAGCAAGTTGAAGTAGGACCGGCGTCCGCCGAAGTTAAAGTAGAGACAATTTCCACACCAAGCCAGGAGATTGAGAAGGCAGCGAAAGGAGATTTGAGTCTTACCCCTGCTGTCGCTGAAGCTGTTATCAACGAACCCAAACCTCTTGAGAAGGACGAACCACAAACTGCTACCGAACCATCGTCAGCAAAGAAAAGCGCAAAGGGCAAGAAAGAGAGGCGCGCTTCAAGGAAGGCGAGCGGCGCAGAAACGCGGTCTGAGATGCAAAGCACGCTTACTACGGAAACTCCGCATCTTGAAGCTGCGGATATCGGACCAGAATCTGGCGTTGACATGCAACTGCTACCCAAGGATACACCGACACCGGTTCCAGAACCAAAAAGAGATGATCTATCTGTCTCTACCGTTGCCGACAAAGCTGACAGTCTCGATTCTGAACAACCTTTACTTCCCGAACCAGCACAAGAAGATGAATGGGCGCCTATTCCGAAGAAGAAGGGTGGCAAGAAAGGAAAGAAGGGCAGGCAAATTAGTGTCCAGGATCCTGATTTGACAACCACAGAACCGATCTCCTCGGCAAACGATAAGTCACCAGATGATGTGGCCGGCGGTGTGTCTTTGGAGACATCTCGTGTCGTGGATGCGGATAGCGAGGCAAGCCAGCGAGATCTGAAGGTGTCGTCTCCTGAAGAACCTATTATCGCCCCTGTGGCTGCCGAACCTAATATTATGGGCCTTGACCCATCCGCTCAGCCTTTGACTGAAGTCGATGCCGGAACAATTTCCGAACCTTCAGAGGTTGACCAGAACGCTGCATCTCTAGTTGCCAGCATCACGGACGCGCCTTCTGAACTCCCGAAACCCATTCAAGATGATACCTTCCCGGATGTTGTTGAGATTAGCGAGCAAGACCAAATAGTTCCTTCTGAGACCCGAACGCCAATCGAAGATGAGGAACGGGGCACCACTTCTAAGAACAACAAGAAGAAAAGTAAGAAAGAGAAGAAAGCAGCGCAGCGCGGAATTACAGAGTCCAAAACTGCTCAAGAGGAAACATCAACGCTGGCAACTGTTCTCGAGCGACCCACGACCCCAGTTCTCTCGTCAACAGGCGAAGCTTCCCGAGAGATTGCTCCCACTATCGAACATGAACAATTACAGCCTTCGGAGCCGGCCGTCGAAAGTGAAAAGATTTCTAGCGACGAGCTTGATCAACTTCGACATCCCGCAGAAGCGACTGGGCCGCCACTATCCACTCCGGAAACAAACGAGCTTCCCAGCGATGGCATCTCTATTCCCGTGCCAGTTGAGACCCCCATCACGGTAGAAGAGTCCGCACCTTTGTCCAAAAAAGCTAAGAAGAAGAAGGGGAAGAAAGGGAAGAGCATTGAGATTGAATCCAGCACTCCCGATGTCCAGCCTGATCAAGAGACAGATCAAAATCAAGACCACTCTGTTTCTAGGCAAGAACGACAATCTTCTGTGGATGAACCTCAACCGGAGTCCAGCATAGCCTTGAGTGTTGCAGATGAGCCAATTCAGGATATATCACTATCCATGCAAAATGATGCCGGTGATGTTCTAGAGGATGGAACATCCTTGAAAGTAGAGCCACCTTCTGAGCCTGTGGTTCAAGATGGCGCTGATGTTCCGACAACGTCGAAGAAGAATAAGAAGAAGGGCAAGAAAAACAAGCTCTCGGTTGCTGAGTCAAGCCTGCCAGCGGTTGTGATGGAAGATGAATATGTGCCATCTGATGTCAAGCCCGAAGGCCTGGTCACAATTGAACCTACCACTCCCATTGAGGCTCCTCACGTTGCTGTTCAACAAGAGGTCGAGAAGCCTGCACTACCCATCGCTGAAGACGAACCTGTATCATCCGACTCTACGCCTTTAGAACCTCTTACTGTTGAAGCCAATTCCGATGACCCTGCCACGATTGATCCTAGCACTGAGACCGGGATCTCGAGCAATGCTATCCAAGAGGTCGTGCAACCCGTCGCTGAGGGTGAAACGACAACAGTGTCCTTGTCAAAGAAGGACAAGAAGAAATTGAAAAAGGCAGCAAAGAAAGGCAAACCGGCAAACACTGATGTCGAGCCAACTCTTCCTGGAGACGCTACCGTCGAGTCAGAAGATGTGTCGCAGTCATTGGACTCGACTGTCCTACAAGCCGTCCGTGAGACAGCCAAAGATGATAGCACAGTCCAAGAGCCTATCCAACCTTTGGAGCCTGCCATTACTGAAGACGAGGCCAGGGCCGAGCCCCCTTCTTCCGATACTATTCAGGAAATTACCGAAGAATCTGCCAAATCGGAAGAGCCCATTCCAGATGTCAAGACGGAGGAGACAATAGCACTATCCACCTTATCCAAGAAAGAAAAGAAGAAGAAAGGCAAAAAGGGCGCATCTCAAAGCTCAGAACCAAGCACTCCTTCCATCGAGCTTACTGAAGAGCCGATTTTGTCATCCGAGCAAGCTTCCACTCAGCCTGAATCCGCCCCCGAAGAAACCACCACCGAACCCGAGAGTGTACCTGTGTCTGAAATAGCTCCTGCTGAGTCTATCGCTGAGAGTGGAACTAATGAGCCTCGAGCGAGCGAGCCTCCGGCATTGGATGACGATACCCCCTTGCAGCCCACTTCCAAGAAATCGAAGAAGAAGAATAAGAAGGGCAAGTCGTCAGTTTCTGAGCCCAGTACCCCGGCTATTGAGAAAGAAGAGCCTGTCCTGGTTTCTGAACTGATCACTCCTACCGCCGAAAAGGAAGAACCTGCCCTTGTTTCCGAGCCGATTGCTCCTGCTGTCGAAAAAGATGAGCCAATTCTAGTGTCCGAGCCGGCTCTTGAAGTCCCTTCTGTAAAGCCCGACAATGACGTCGATCCCGCTGAGAATGTTGCTGACCCCGCGCTCGCCGTGCCTCTTGAGGAAAATCGAGAGGTCACCCTAGAAAGCGAGAAGACCTCCGATGATCCAATCACTGCACCTTCTACGAAGAAAGACAAGAAAAAGAAGGGCAAGAACAGTAGAGCATCTATATCGGAGCCTAGTACCCCTTCCGCTGAGTTGAAAGAGGAGCCAAAGTTGTCAGTTGACTTGTCTACGACGGACATTGCTCCTTCTGAGTCTGGGCAAAAGGAAACATCTGAGCCCATTTTCGAACCTACAAGAGACATCGATTTGAAAGAAGAACCAAAGCTATCAGGTGAACATTCTCCAGTCGAAATTCTTCCGGTTGAGTCGGAAAACAAGGGCTTATCTGAACCTCTGCCTGAGCCTACGCGAGAGGCTGCCGGACCTTCCACTGAAGGCGAAAAAGAAAACGAGCCAATCACACCATTGTCCAAGAAAGAGAGGAAGAAGAAGAACAGAAAGATCAAGGGTCCAGGCGAGGAGCCAACCGTCTTGGAGTCGATTGAAAAGGCTACAGAATCTTCGCTGCCTACTGAACCTGCTCCTGGCGACGATAAACCGAATTCTGTTATTGAAGTGTCTGAGAGCCTAACTACCGATGCTGAACCACTCCCCAATCGAGATATTTCACAAGCTGCGCCAGTGGAAATTGAACAGTCTGCACCTGTGTCCAAAAAAGAGAAGAAAAAGAAGGGCAAGAAAGCGAACCAGACTGAAAAGGATCAAGACCAGCTGCAAACAGATAGTTCAGTGACTGAACCCATCGTTGTCGAGCCGCATGGCAACGATACCGGCACGGATACTCCTTCTGAGAGCAAGATAGAGACAAATCTTGAACTCGACCAATCGCCGCCTTCAATCCAGGAACTTGGAGAGGCCGTGCCTTCTTCCGATGATAAGATTGTTCAAGAAGAGGAGCCATCGGGGGATCAATTAAGGTCTGACCTGATCATTGACGTCGATAAAGTGGCTGAGGCTGACGAACTTACAATTGATTCGGAGCCAAGGAACGACATCACAAACGACTCAATCTTGACGCAAGAAGACGGCTCCTCCGCACCTCTTTCCAAGAAAGAGAGGAAGAAAAAGAATAAACAGCGGAAATCGGTGTCTTTTGACCCAAGCGTACCAATTCCAGAGGAGCTTAGCGAGCCATCCAAAGACAATGCAGAGTTTAGTGATACTCCGCAGATGGTTGACGCAGCTTTGCCCGCGGAAGAAGAGAGCGTTCGTGATATCACAGAGCCTTCTACGTCAGTGGCGGAAACCTCTCTGGAAGCGCCCTCTACAACTTCGAAGAAGGACAGGAAGAAGAAAGGTGGAAAAAGCATCACTAGTCAAGACGCCGACTCCACACAACCGTCCCAGAAGCCCGTGCCCGATGAAGATCTTGTGGGCCCGTCTACAGAACCCACCACCGTGCGCAACGACGTGTTGTCAGGTGACAAGGATCTTTCACCGCTAGTTGGACCCACTTCGCCTCCATCCGAACCGATTACCGAAGATGTCGAAAAAGATGACAAGAAGACTACTTCGCAAGCTGCTGCTGGGCAAGCAGAGGAGGTTGTGGACGAGTGGGCCATGCCGTCCAAGAAGGATAAAAAGAAGAAGGGTAAGAAGGCGGCGAATGATGTCGCCGCACAGACCTCAGCAACCCCAGAGATCCAATCTGAGGTATCTCACGGACTTGAAGCAGGTCAAGAAGCTGTTACTGCTCCTTCTGAAGTTACTGGAGATGGTTCCCCGGTCGTTCAGGATGTCCTTGTTGCGGCAGAACCCGAGTTGCCGTCTTTGCCCGAAGTAGTGCCAGAGCCAAAGACGGAGGATGTGGAGGATGAATGGGCTGCACCCGTTTCCAAGAAGGATAAAAAGAAGAACAAAAAAGGAAAGAAGAGTCTCCTCGAAGATGATGTTCCTTCTGTTGCATCGACGACTATCGAGAAGAAAATTATCCCGGTCATTGAGGAATCACCAAAGTCTCCACTTCCTGAAGAGCCCTCGAACCAAGCAAACGGGAAATCTTCAGAGCCACTCGCGGAATCCCCAGCCGATCAGTCTATAGATCAGCCAGCAGAACCTCCCGTTGTCGATGTCGCCGATGAAATTACCCCTTTGTCGAAGAAAGCCAAGAAGAAGGCAAAGAAGACTAAAAAGAACATCGGAAAGGATGAGAGTGACCCATCTACTGGTCTAGAGTCGAGCACTGGGGTTGATGCAACTAAAACCATTCATGAGATTCCAGTAGTAGACGCGCCGACAGAGGTCCTTGCCGCTGACGAATCATCTACGCCCTCGTCTTCGACCGAAATTCCTGAGAGAAATGAGGATACGGAGAGTCTCAGTAAAGCAGATGCACCTGTTGCCATCGATGAACCTAGGATTCAAGGACCGGAAGCCCCACAAGTCGAACAAGAAACAGGGCCTGAGCCAGCCAGGACGCCCACCGACGATGCAGATCAAAAGACGACGTCCAAGAGCAAAAAGAAAAAGAAGGGCAAAAAGTCTGCCGTCGAAACCGAAGCACCCGAGACTACCACTCCATTTTCTGGAGAGGATCGGGTCCTACAAGATCCTTCGGTTGTAATCGATGCGCCAAATACTCTTGAACCTCAGTCGGAAATTGAATCAATCACGCAGCCTCTTCAGACTCCAAGTTTCGAGCCCACTATCCCCGAATCGACTTCTATCACACATGAAGTTGTTCCTCAAGTAGCTCCGGAACAAGCCACACAGTCTGACGAGAGTCTGAAGCCCGAGCCCATCGTCTCTGAATCGACTCCTATCACACAGGAAGTTGCTCTTCCAGAATCAGTTCAAGAAAATGACACCCCAGCACCGCCGCTTTCCAAGAAAGATAAGAAGAAGGCAAAGAAAGGCAAGCGTGCCTCAACCACACTCCAGGAAGAACCTGCTACCCCCATCGTCACCCCAAGTGAAGAAGTCAAAGAAGACGAGACGTCCGTCGCTCGGCCTGAGCCAACGCAAGTCACACCGGACGTGGTTGAAGATGTACAAGCTGCAACTTCTGATGTCGCTCTCGCTGGGGATGGCACGCAGGAGCCAATTGAGAAGGATGATGAAGAAACAGTGCCATTGTCGAAGAAAGATAGGAAGAAGGCCAAGAAGGCTCAACGCAAGTCGTTGCTTAGTGAGGATGTCTCTGAGCCTTCGAAGGAGACGACTTCCATTGAAGAGACTGTTCGCACCCCCGATGATCTAGAAAAGCTAGTTGAAGATTCGACTGCCCAATCCGAGATCCAAGCGACTCAGGCTGAAAATTCGACTTATACTTCTGACATCCAGGAAACCCCGGTCGCAGAATCAATTTCTACTCCTGATGTCCAGGAACACCCTGCCGAAGAGTTCTTACCCACACCATCTAAACCCGAGCTCAAGGAAGGAGCAGACGAACTTGATGAGTGGGCTACACTCTCCAAGAAGGACAAAAAGAAGAAGAAGAAGGGTAAAAAGGGGAAGCTAGATGAAAGCGAAACTCCCACGCCAACCATTACCAGCCCTCACCCCGAAGAATCACAGCCTGTTCACGTCCAGGAAGATCCCACTTCTGCAACTCCAATTTCCGAACAAGCCATCGAGGCCGAAGAAACAATACCTTCTGTAACGCCCGTAACCGAGGAGCCTGCAGCAGAGGAGACCCGATCCGATCCAATCCAAGAGGAATCTGCTTCTCCACTCCCACTCACTGAGCAAGTGACTGCAGTAGAAGAAAGAGCTCTCCTCGCAACGTCCGTGGTGGAAGACTCTCCGTCCGAGAAGCCTCAGGAAGTCGATGAGTGGGCGCCTATTCCCAAAAAGAGTAAGAAGAAGGGCAAAAAGGGGAGGGATGTCCCGCCTGCAGTGGATGAGCCTTCCACGCACAATGAGACGCCGACACAAAACATTAAAGAGGCACCTTCGGATGAGCCAAGCGCTTCTACTCCACTGGATGTTGAGCCGCAAGTTTTGAATCGCGAAGTGACCCTTGAGGACAATGCACAATCACCTGTCGATAATGTCGATGTAAATGCTCCAGTGGAAGCTGAACCGGCGGTGCCAATGTCGAAGAAGGATAGAAAGAAAGCGAAGAAGGCCAAACAAACCACATTGGATGGGGGCGAGCCTCTTGAATCTGTCGCTGAGACCCAAGGTCCTATCCCAGAAGCCCCTTTGGAAACAGAGGCTACTCCTACCCCGTCTGAGGTCGTTGTCGATACTGTACAGCAGCAACCTCTAGAAGATGAATGGGCGGCGCCGTTGACAAAGAAGGACAAGAAGAAGGGTAAAAAGGCTAAACAATCTCCTGTTCCCGAGATCCAACCATCTGAGCCCGTTGAGATTGTTGCTACATCTACGGAGGAAACACCCCAACCCGAGGTTGATGACAAGCCTGTCGTTCCCTCCGAAAAGTTCGTCATTCCAGAGACAGCAGTCGATGAGCAGCCCGTTGTTTCCACCGAGCATTCTAGCACTGGAGAGACAGTAGTCGATGAACAGCCTGCTGTACGTACTGGGCAATCTCAAGACATTGTAACGCCGACAGTGGAAGAAGATTTCGCGCCTCTTTCCAAGAAAGCGAAAAAGAAGGCCAAGAAGGGCAAACGTGCATCCACAATTGAAGACCAGGCTTCTCCTCCCATTGAAGAGCTTCAAAGCACTGCGTCCACTGAAGAGGCGACTCTTTTGCCCGAAGAGTCAATAACTGTGCCAGCGGAAGCACGATCTGTTCCAGTAGAAGACGGATCATCCGAATCGGCTCCTCTTCCAACAACACTGGAGAATGTCGCCTCAGAAGCTTCTGAACAGTTGCCTACGCCAATCGAACCTACAGAGGCAGCAGAAAATGACCAGGACGCTGCGCCAACGAAGAAGAGTAAGAAGAATAAGAAAAGCAAAACCCGGGTACCAGCTCTCGAGGAACCCCCACCCGAAACTTCATCACCAGCTGTGGAAGACGAGAAGCCCCCCATCAATATCGATTCTACACTGCCTGCATCGACTGCAGCTCTTGGTGACGCTCCAGGTATCTCCGACACTTCACCTACTGACGATTCATCCCTTGTACCTGAACCTATTATCGAAGCGACAAATAAAATCGTCGAAGAAGCTCCGACTGCCCCCGCCGAGCCCTTAATTCCAGAATCAGAATTGGCCAAAGAAGAGGAAGAGCCTAGCACAAGTTCAACCAAGAAAAAGAAGAAGGGGAAGAAAGGGAAGCGTGCTTCCACTATAGAGGAATCTGTCCAAGAGACAAGCACACCCGAGGTTGATGCCGAGTCTCCTCAAGTTGCGGACGACCTCGTCGTTCCTGTATCGGAGGAGTTGAGTGTGCCCATCATTGAAACAGAGAAGCCTATCGAAGATGCCGTTGCACCCGAAGAGCAAAAGATCAATGAATCCGCCAACGATTCCATATCTGCATCAACCGAGCCTACTCAGGCTGAAGATGCTCCTGTAGACGAAGTGGCTGCTCCCCTTTCCAAGAAGGACAAGAAGAGGGCGAGGAAGGCCAAAAAGTCGGCACAATCTACACTTCCTGACGATGAAGCTGTGGCCGAAGCTGCTTCAGAACCTTCTCGTGGAGTAATATCTTCTGCGAGTGAAAATGTACAGATCGAGGAAATTCCGGTTGGCAATGACTTAATTTCGAGCTCTAAAGTGGACGAGCAGAGCGATGAGAAGAACAAGAAACAAGACGATACTGAAACCATCACGCTCCTGAGAGATGCAGCAATCGCTCCTGAAAGTGGGGATTCCGCGAAAGAAATTGAGAAGATTGACCCTGAGCCTTCAAAGGACGATATCCCCACAGCGAGTGAGACCGTTCAGTTAAGTGAAGGAGCTTCGACCGAGCAGCTGCCGCCATCCAGCCAAGACGATTGGGCCAACTTCTCAACTAAAACTAAGAAAGGAAGGAAGGGCAAGGGCAAATCTTCAGACCCTATCACCCTGGCCGAAGAGGTTATCCCCCAGGCCCAGCCAGAACCGGTCCAGGAGCCTATCTCTTCTCTTGCCATCCAGGAACAGAATTCGGCTGAGGTCCCGGAGCAAACCGTTGATGATGATGATTGGGGCGCTCCTATAACGAAGAAAAACAAGAAGAAGGGCAAGAAAGGGAAGGAAAAGCAGCAACCGGAGTCGGTTGTACCAGCTACTGAGGAGCTGCCTAAAGTTTCAGTCGACGAGTCTGCTGTTGAAACCACGTCAGAAGTGCAGGTGGATTCTGCTGCCAAGGACGAAACAATTGATGATCTGAACGATGCCACTTCAAACCCTTCGGCTAATGAAAGACTCACAAAATTCGCGGAGCCGTCTATCGCGCCTGAGTCTGGTGATTTGTCGACAGCTGCCAATGTTCCTGAAGTGGTAGAAGATACTCCGCCTATCATTGAAGAGGTCCAAGAGAGTCGCGATTCCAAAGACAACACAACTCCGACCGACCAAGACGATCCTGTAGTTGACGAATGGGCTCCAATCTCCAAAAAGAAAAAAGGCAAGAAGAGCAAGAAGTCAGACTCTGTTACACCTCCAGTGACCACTATCTCTGGTGTTGCCAACGAGCTTGTCGGCCAACCATCGGAGGTTGTTAGGGAAATTTCGGCGTCTGAAGAAGTTCTGGAGCCAAAGGCGAAACTGATCGTTGAGGAACCAGCCCAGCTTGAGCAGCCTATCCAGAACACGGAACAAGTCAAGGGGGTCGATTCTGCAGTATTACAGCAGCCAGACGAAACCATCGACGAGCGGGCACTGCCAGCTTCTTCGAAAAAGAAGAAGGGTAAGAAGGAAAAGCGTCAATCCAACGCTGCAGTACCCCTTGTCCAAGAAGTTAAAATACCTGCGGAGAAGGTACCGGACCTCAAAGACCCAGAGATTGGGAAGGATGATATCGAGAGCATCACTGAGAACAAGACTGAACAAGACAATAGTTCAGTGCAAGAATCCAAAGAAGATGCTACAGCCACGCCTGAACCAGCTGCAGAGATCATAGATGAATGGGCAACGCCAATCTCGAAAAAGAAAGGTAAAAAGAGCAAAGGCAAAAAATCCGAGCCACAAACGCCAGCGATTGAAATGAATGAGCCTCTCCTCGAAAGCGCTCCCGCTGCGCCACCATCTGTAGAGGCTGATAGAGAGTTGGAAGTGCCTGAACAAGATTCTCTTGCGGTAGTTGAAGAAGCTACAAAGAAGGAGGATGTGTCAAAGCCTGATCTTACCCGGAAAATGAGTAAAAAAGAGAAGAAGGCGAAGAAGAAAGGCCTACTGGCACCGCCATCGGAAAGCTTGCCTGATGTTATCGAGCCAACGAAAGAAGATAACGGCACTATTGATGAGGACACATCATCCAAATATGGGGACGTTGCTACTTCGGAAGAACCTCAATCTAACCTTCCTACCCAAAATGAGTCCTCGCTTCCTATGCCGGAAACGGTCCCAGAACCCATTGATCCTTCCCCGCAGGAAAACAATGTGGAAGACGAATGGGCGGCTACAACGTCGAAGAAAGGAAAGCGCCAGTCGACGGTGGACGTGAAAACAGAAGAGACGCAAGTGCCGTCGATCCTGCCAGAAGCAGAGTTTGCCCAAGAAACTCCTGCAACTCAATCCGCCGAAAGCTCTTTCGAGTCGAAGGATCAGACTACCGAGCTTATCCGTGAAAGTGTGCAGCCCGAAGAATCAGTTGCAATCTCAAATCCTCCCATCGATGTATTGGAAGACCGACCTACTCGACTACAACCCGAAGCTGTTCAGGAGATCTCGAATGAACCTGAAGTCGACGAGTGGGCAGTCCCGACAAAGGCTTCCAAGAAGAATAAGAAAGGGAAGAAGGAAAAGGCAACAGTCACCATGGTCGACAATAACAAAGAATCGATAGCGGCTGCTCCGTCTTCAGAACTCGAGAAAGCGGCTGAGAAGCCAACTACCTCAACGCCTTCCGAAGAAGAAGCACAACTACCTTCCGTCGAAGATGAGCAAGTCGACGAGTGGGCCGTTCCTGCCAAGAAATCGAAGAAGGATAAGAAGAAGGGTAAAAAGGGACAACCCGTATCAGCCATTCCAGCTTCTACTACCGAGAAGGAGCTCGAGCCGGGCAAGGAACTTGACATTGAGGTTCCTCCGCTTCCACCACCTCAAGATGATGTTAAATCCAGCGAGCAACCCTCAGATGCTCAGGGAAACATCAGCGATACCGGCATTCTCAGCAAAGAACTCGACCTCGGTGATGACCGCATGCAACCAAATGAACCGATCGCGGAGCCCATGTCTGTTGAATCCACGGAGAATGTACCCGTCGAGCCGCTATCTCCTTCTTCGAAAGCTCTGCTCAATGAAGTCGCCGACTTTAAGCAACGAGCTGAAACCCTCGACCGGGATTTAGCGGCCCAAGAAGAACAACAGACTCCTTCTACCCCGGCATCAACCATGTTCGACGTTGTGGGCAAACTCAGCAAGAAAGATAAGAAGAAGGCCAAGAAGAGCAACGCTGCCCCAGTCGAATCGTCAGAAGTCACGGAGCCTGTTGCCGGTTTCGTTACAAGAGAGATTACAGATCCTGATATTGAATCTGCGGAGCGGGAAGTCAGCGAACCACAGAGTATTCCGTCAACAGAGCAGGTTTCGGAAAGTATCAAAGAAGACGAACCCACTGTTGTCGAAACACCTTCCCGTAAATTGAGCAAGAAGGAGAAGAAGAAGAAGGCAAAGACTGATTCTTCATCGACTTTGAATGAGTTTACTCCAGAGTCTGTTCCTACTCTGCAAGAGAATCAGCCCGTTGTCGAGGAAACGATCACGACACCCAATGCTGCTCAAGATACATTACAAATTGATGTACAAGAGGAGGCTACCGCATTTGGTCAGAATAAGTCAGCAACAGAAGAATCAGGGACTGTGCAAGATCTGAACACTAAGGCCGATGAAGCATCCGAACCTCAAGAGATCCAATCGGAAACCACTTCTCAAGCACCCTTGCCGGAGCGCATACCAGCGTCTAGCGTTCCGGAGGTTGCCGAAGATAATGTGACACCTCTCTCTCGATCCGCTAGCAAGAAGGCAAAGAAGAAAGCGAACAGAACTAGTGTTTCTTGGAGCGAGCCAGCCGAGGAAATTGCTATGCCTGATGTTTCCGAGAGCCGAACTGTCGATCTTGTTGAATCTGTACCAGATGCAATCATAGGCACAGAGGCATTGGCTCAGGGAGATCCTATCGCCCCACCCATCACGGAAACTCAAGAGACAGTGGTTGAAGAAGCACCTGTCCCCTCTCGCAAGCTTAGCAAAAAGGACAAGAAAAAGGCTAAACGGGCAGCTTCTTCATGGGATGATGAGCCTAGCACGGAACTCTCGCAGTCAATTACTACAACGGAAGACATCTCTGCTCAAGACAGTGCGATCGAGCCTACTCCGGTCAAAGTAGACATCAATTCAGCTGTTGAGGAGGCGCCCGTCATGTCTCGCAAACTCAGCAAAAAGGAAAAGAAAAAATCCAAGAACGCCGCTCTTAACGTGGAAGAATCGGAACAGAGCTCCAAGCTTGAAGAATCTGTTCCCGCAGTCGTGGGGGAGCCTGCCTTCCAGGTTGAGCGCGACATCAGTCATAACACAGAGTCATCTATCTCTGCTGAACAAGTCACTGAGCAGCTTTCCGATGTCCCAGCCACAATCACACAAGGCATCACGAAACAAGAAGAAACGACAACGCCAGTGGCTTTGGAAGATACTCCTGCCTTGACACTCAAGCAGGGTAAGAAGGAAACGAAGAAGAATGCCGCTAGTGTAGCGTTGGATCTAGATACTCCAGCTGTTGAAGACCTCCCTGCTCCTACCGAACCTGATATGCCTTCCCAAGCAGAGAACGTAGACAATAGTGTCCAAGCACCCTTCAACAAGAAAGATAAGAAAAAGAAGGGCAAGAAGAGTTCTGCTGCTGCGGCGTGGGACGAACCTCAAGCCATCGAAACCGTGAAAGAGCCTTTAAAAGCAAATGATCAAGATCAGAAGCCCGAGGATCTCCCAGGATCAATCACTCTCACAGACGATGTTAGCCGGAGTTTACCTATAAATGAGCATGTCACCCCATCAAGCGCAGAAACCCCAAGCGCTCACGACACTATCGCAACTGAGCCTGATGATGAATGGGCTCTTCCAGTGAAGAAGTTGAAGAAAGAGAAACGGAAATCGAAAACCGTGGGCGTTATATTGGAAGACCCCATCACTGTTTCACAGGAACCTACACAGTCAAATATTGATGCCAACGTAGATGTCACTCAAACGGCTGAACCAAGTAAAGACTTGACTCCTCCCGCACGTGAATCTCTTCCGACTCCGATTGAAATCGAAGCTTTCGAGCCAACCAAGCCAAGCAAAAAGAAGGGAAAGAAACACAAACTCTCTGCTATGTTCGAGCCTGATACCCCAGAAGAAACACTACCTGAAGGGTTCCAATCTAAACCGTCTGTTGAAGAAGTTGTGGAAGTCCAGAAAGCTCAAACGGAACCAGCAATCGAACCGAAGTCACCCGAGCAAGATATAGACTTCGCTGCGACAGTCGCTGCAGGCCTGAAGGAGTCCGGCTTCGACGCAAATCTGGTACTGGACGATCCAACCTTCCACCGATCCAAGTCTCCACCAGGCCAAACCCGAGATATCTCACCTGAGGAGGACGTCCTCGCTGCCAAGGAGAGCGCAATCAAGTCAAAGTTTGGACGTCTGAGCCGATCGCCATCGCCAACGGAACGCAACATCACCGAGGTCGAGAATAAACGGGCTCAGCCTGATGAGCCACTCACCTTCAACGCTGCCGATAGTGCTGCTACATTCAATCCTATGGACATTCTCAGCGATCCTGCTTTTTCACAACGTAAGACTCCGCCAGGCGTGCTCGAAGAGGCCGATCCTGATGAGCTCTGGTCATCGTCAAAGAAAGGCAAAAAGAACAAGAAAAAGAACAGAACATCTACGTTCGATATCGGAGTAGAGAGGAAGCAAGACCCTGTTGCGGCGGGTCCGACTGAATCGATTCACTTTGCTGAAGCGAAACAGGATGATGCTCCGGATGTTCTTGAGGCTACCCCGACTGTGGAGCAAGAGCCCGGAGACACGTGGGGTTCTAGTACTAGGAAAGGCAAAAAGGGGAAGAATGGAAGGAAAGTCGAGGATCCTGCAGCGGTCCCGCTTGACGCTCCGGACACTATGAAGTCAATCTCGCGAGATGTTCATGATCTAAATCTTGAAGAGCCACCAACAGAAGCAGCTATTAGTATCGTGCCTGCTTCGGAACAGGAGCAATCTCATAATTTGGTTCTGTCACACGATCAGCCTAAATCAGAGGATATTGCAGAGACGGGTGAAGACGTATGGGATGAACAACCAAGGAAGAAGGGGAAGAAAGGCAGAGGCAAATCGAAGGTTATTGACATAACAGAGAACAATGTAGAATCTTCCACGCCTGTGCTCGCTAGTCTCGAGGAAGATGCGGAGCAGCGATCAAGAAAAGAGAAGGAATTGACCGGATATGAGCAGACAAAGCAAGAAGAAGGATGGTCATCGCCGAAGAAAAAGAGCAAGAAAGACCAGAAAGGGGGCGTTGAGGTTGCAGCTCTGGCAGCAGCTGGTGCGGCTGCACTCGGATCTATTGCTTACGCCAAGGCAAAAGAGGACAAGACAAGTGATGATGTTGGAGTCACCGACTTCCCCACGACTTTCGACGTGAAACCAAAGTCTTTCAATGAGAAAGAAGTAACGGAATATCCATTTCCGCACGTGGAAACTCCGAAAGAAGAGAAGGTCTCTATACAAGAAGAGGTTGACGAATGGACTTTGCCAGAAAAGAAGAAGGAAAAGAAGGGCAAGAAGGGTAAAAGAAAAGCGGATGTCTCAGTCGAGAATGCAGACACCCACGTGTCTCGAGCAGCTACTCCTGAAGTCAGTGCCAACATACACGAAGGGATAAAACGACACGAACATCCAACATCCCCAGATGCGCAGCCAGAAGAGAAACGGGTGCACCTCTCCGAATCTCTTGCAAACACGCCTGCAGCAATCGAACCGACGTGGTCCTTCGGTGGAGTACGCGACAGCGCTGTACACGTGGCGGACTCCCCGGAAGTTTCGGCTACCCCACGCTTCACAGACGATGCAAATGTTCGTGATAGTGGGTACCATGATGTAGCATCTACCTCAATTCACCACGAATCAGAGAAGCTCTCTCTAGGCTCTCCGATGAGGGAAAGGCGACGTGCAAAGCAGCCGGAAACACCGCGCCATTCACGTGATCTTTCAATCGGCGAGCATGATCACACTCGATCAAGGAGCCCATCGCTCCCAGAGTTGCCTTTGCTTGCCGGGGCTGCAGGTGTCGTGGCCGCAGCGGCTGCCATTGGTGCCATGGGTTCTTCCGATGCCATAGACTCAGCAACCAAGGAACGAACTTCATACCTGTTTGATTCGTCACCCTCAACCCGTCAGTATGGGGAGTCGCCTTCAGTCTCATTGAGACATCGCTCACAGGAACATGCTTCTGGTGACAAAGTCCATTCGCCAGTTGAGGCTCGTAACGAAAAATCGCGACAAGCCAAATCATCGCACTCGGAGTCTCTCGAAGAATTTGTCACACCCACAAAAGAGTCGAAGCATAGGAGGGCGAGCATAGAGCATGTGTCACCTACAAAGGAGCAAAACCATGAGAAGCCATATCAATCTATCTTTGGAGATCCGAGTGAAAAAAAGCAGGAAAAGTCGGCAACATTATCTACACCTACTGCGAAGCAAACCCGGACTCCTAGCAGCATACTCGGGACCATCAAAGAGAGCAGTCCAGACGATTCGCCCTTGCACAAGAAGGGACGGGACATCTCCGACGTTGGGGCATCTGAGCACGGTGTCAAATCTGCTCGGCGCAGCATCAACACCAAGTCCGTGTCTGAGCGGGTGAGGTCACCAGCACCGGTGACGCCTACGCCAGCTGGTCGCAAGAGCACTGCCTCCACTGCCGTCGAAACCTCAACTCCCGCGAGAGATTCGCCATGGCGTCAAGTTCACGAGAGTGTGGACAGGAGCATGACACTGAGCCCTGCACGTAAACGACTACCACACCAGGAACACTCTACGCCCACTCCAGACCCGGCCAAACGACGCGTGAGTGAACAACGCTCTCCAAGTGCTTCTTTGAGAAGCCCTGATCTGGAGCGGCCGCTCAGTGCCTTGAGCAACATATCTGCACACTCCAATCACTCGTTACGACGAGTGGATAGAAGCAGGTCAGGTGACCTAAGGGCTGCCGCCAGTCTTGGCGAGGTCAATGCGGGCGCTAAAACCAAATCATCCGAACCCAATCTCGCCGGCATTGCACTTGCTGCCGGAGCAACCGCAGCAATCGCGGCGGGCATCGCCAGCTCATCAAAGTACGACCCGATCAAAGACAAAGGCAAGGGTCGGGGCGACATGGCTGATGTCTACGTAAGTTCTCTCACTGCCATTCACTCTATTGAAACCGACGCTGACACAAGTTTGCAGGAGGCATGGGGCGAGGCTCAAGGCTCGCCAATGTCACCAACCCGCCCGCCTAGCGTGCGTAAGCGCCAGAGCATGCAGATATTGGACATGCAACAACAGCTCGAGAATCTTGCAGCCCATAATCGATCTCTTGAGGAGGCCAAAGCCAAAGCCGAGGAGACTTTGCAAGCAGCCAATTACCAGCGCGAAGTCGATTCTCAGGTAATCTCCGAGGCTGTTGCCGCACGTGACCGGGAACTTCGCCAGCGCGATATCGACATTGCTCAGCTTCGAGACACTCTGCAGAGCCTTCAGAGGGAGATTGCCAGGCTTACCGAACTCAACAATACTCTCACCGAGGCGAACCGAAACTTGACCAATGATGTCAACCAGAGATATGCCGCTCTACAATCCGAAGGCCAACAAGCACACGACCAATGGCAGCAGTCAGCAAGAGAGCTCGAAGAACTTCGAGCGGCGCACAGCCACCTCAAGAATGGCATGCAAGCTGCCTTAAGTAGTGAGATTGGTATAGCCCTCAGCGACCGTGATGCCGAGATCAATCGCCTGAATGCGGAATTGGCGAGTGCAAAGGAGAAGGTCAAATCATTGCAGAAGCAAATCCTTGCTACCAAGACTCCAAACGAAAGTTTCCTTACCGTACGTGACGAGGATTACTTCGACAGCGCCTGCCAGCAACTTTGCAAGCACGTTCAGCAATGGGTATTGCGCTTCTCAAAATTCTCTGATCAACGCGCTTGCCGTCTCACGTCCGAGATTGCAGCCGACACTAGGCTGGATACCGCGACGCGGCAAAAGATCGACACCCGTCTTGATGATTGTATCTTAGATGGCTCTGATGTCGATGCCCTCTTGGCCGATCGAGTGAAGCGACGGGATGTTTTCATGTCCGTCGTCATGACCATGATTTGGGAGTATGTCTTCACAAGGTATCTATTCGGTATGGATCGAGAACAACGACAGAAACTCAAGTCGCTGGAGAAGACGTTGAACGAAGTTGGTAAGTAAATACATCTTGCATAGATTCCCCATGCCATCAACTAACACTCCTTCAGGTCCACCACGCGCGGTAGCACAATGGCGAGCCATCACATTGACTCTTCTCTCCAAACGAGAACCTTTCGTTCAACAACGTACTCAGGATACCGAAGCTGTTGTCCACGAAATCTACAGCACCCTTGCCATCCTTCTGCCACCACCTTCACACCTCCAGCGGCAGATCCAAGAGTCATTACGCAACGTCATGCGCCTCGCAGTCTCCCTCGCCATCGAGATGCGCACCCAACGTGCCGAGTACATCATGTTACCCCCTCTACAACCCGAGTATGACACTAACGGCGACCTGGTCGCCAAAGTCAACTTCAATGCGCAACTCATGAACGAGCGCTCTGGAGAGTTCACATCCAACGATGAGCTAGAAGCCCGCAAGGCGGTTGTCAAGATCGTCCTCTTTAACCTTGTGGTCAAAAAGGGTGACGATTACGGCGAAGGCGGCGACGAGATTGTCGTGTGTCCTGCGCAAGTGTTAATCGCGAGGCCGAACAACAAGAAAGTGGTTCGTGTGATGAGCGGAGCTATGAGCCTTGCTAGTCGACGAAGCAGTCCCAGCCTTGCTCCCGAGAGCTCCGTCATGGACATCGATAACCCCAACAATATGATATAAAGCGAACAGGGGTTTGGGCTCTACAACTTCGGGTTTTTACCCTGGCAGCGGTGGCGTTTCTTGGTTCATTATTGTTTACCTGCCTCTAGCCCTTGACGAGTTTCATACCTTACACTTTGAGATTTTTTTCCTATGTTAGCGTATTTGATTTTTCTTTTTCTAATATTCTTATTTGATTCACATTTTTCAGTTTGTTTCTATTTTTGTTCGCGGGTGTTTTGATAATTTAATAGGCAGGATATCCACTGGCATCGATTCTTTATTACTGAAGCGTATACACAAGGGCACTAAAGCATATTCTGGGCGTTATACCAATGGAAAACTTGATCAATTCATTCCAACTTTGACAGTTGTTGCTCTTCTCGTGACCATAACCACCCAGCTTGCTGTCTATGGACACAATCAAGCGTTCCTATTATCAGTGGAAATGAAATAACCCGGGATAAGTACTGCACTCCCGAGAGGAAGATCAATATCACAGAGCATTGAAGAGGCACCCATTTAATATATACAATCTTCAGCCTGTAAGATTGTACCTATAATGACGATAAAAAGCTACATACATAGTCTGTACGTGTGTGCGCGCGCGCACGTAGCCCTTCTCTATAGACAAGTCCCTCGTAACGAAGCCAAGAAACTGTGCTTGGAGAAGGGAAGAAGAAAATAAAACAGGAGAGATATGCGCGCCCATGAACTTTACGCCGACTCATTTCCCAAAATGTGAAGACTCAAACACAGAATGTCGCTATACATCGATATCCATGAACAAACATACCAGGAATCGCTCATCCTTTCGTTGCAGAATAGAAAGGAAAAAAAGAGCACACCAACTCTCATTACAGGTCCCAATCCCTATCCCCAAAATAGTGAATGATATTAGGAAATTTTGAACCCAATTGAATGATTGAGGTCATGCAACATGGTTTCATCTTCCCATATGCTTCTTTTGGTGGAACGCCGGTCATTAATGTCGCAAATGCAAAAAAGAAACTTATCATACATGCATCCTTCTCGTTGGTGGAAACAGGCCAACCCATCTACATGGAAAAGTCCAAAAACTCATCCATTGAAGTAAACTCGTCCATAGCCTTCATCTCGAGATCGAACTGGGAACAGGTGTTATCAGGGAGCCCGTCGAAAAGCTGCTCAAGTTCATCTTTGATCTCGGCAGGAGACGTTGGGGGAGTAGAGAACGGATTCGACTGAACCGATGACTGAGACGGTGTTGATGAGCCTTTCAGAGGGCTGCTGGCCTGAACGGGAAGCTTGGCTTGGCTCCCTGAGTCGGATGAGGTGGGTCGATACTCGGCAGGGGACATCGGGGGTGTGTGTCGATTGTTTGAGGAGAGATGTTGCAAAAGATGCATTGAAGCGACTTCGCTGGCGTACGAGCTTGATGATAAGAAGCTAGAGTTTACGGCATTGGCGGTGTCGTAAGAACTTGGGGCAGTATCAAAACTGTTGTCGCTATCAGCATAGAACTTTGTCTTAGACGGTGAGTGAACAATTACTGACCTGAAAGGATTGGAAGATTCGTTCATACTATCGTTGAATGATCCGGTCTCTGAAAGGACCTTCATCAAAGGCTGAGGTTGCAGAATATCCTCCAAGGGAGACGAAGAGCGATTTTCGGAATCAGGAGAGTCGGCAGATACTGACGATGACGCAGAGACGAGTGCTCGTCTGGTCTTGTTGGCTTTGTCGGTGCGCTCTTCAATATCTGGTCGTTGTTTCTTTGGTCGGCCGCGCTTCGCTTGCCGCCGCACGGCATCGGCGAATCCACCAACGCACATACCGCGTTGCCTGTGACGAGTCAACGCATCTTGACGTGCAAATCCTGCGCCGCATGGGCATTTGTAGGGTTTATTTCCCGTGTGGATCTTGGCGTGGCGTTTGAGGTCGTGTTGGCGGACAAATCGCTTTCCGCAGCCAAGGCATTTGAATTGTCTATCGCCGAGATGTGTTTGGACATGGGACCGAATGTTCTCTCTTCTTCCGAAAACTTTTCCACATTCGGGGTACATGCATGTCCATTTGCTAGTGGTGGTGTCCTGCTCACTGATATATCGTTGTACGTCTTCTGGAGAAATACCAGTGAATTCGTGTGTTGCATCGTCTTCGAGTTCAGGTAGAAGAGTCGGTTGTGGGGCAAATACGCTTGAAATGAAATTGCCCTCCATTGGAATCGGCACCTCTGATGTGGCATACATCTCCTGGTGTGGAAATGAAGATTCTTCAATGGGAACCTCTTCAATGCCTGCGAGAAAAGGCTGGGCGAGTCGTTGATGCGGGGAGGAGATAGGTGAAGGAGAAAGAGCATCCGAGGTATAGTTTGAGGAAGATTCGTAGCCAAAGTCCACATCAGGATGGTCGAAATCGAAAGTCATAGCGCTTGACGTTGGCTCAAAATTGATGTTGGCCATGGAAGAGAAGTCCGTGGACAGTGGGGTTTGCTCAAAACTGGGTACTTGAGGCTGCTTTTGGGGTGTTTGAGTTGGAGGAAGCTGGATGTTGATGAATACGGGTCCGTTGCTTCCGTAAACAGATTGTATATGCTCCTTTAACTCCTCCAACTCTTTGGCGGACGGGGTTTTAGTAGGGGAGTTAGGGAAGGAATGCTTGGGAGACTGATTTCTCAGCATCCGATGAGGAGTTCGAGGTGATGGGAGAGATGTATGTACTGAGGATTGCGAAAAGGTATCCTGGGGGCCCGGCTGGGGCATGCTGTGCGGTTGCGCTACTTGCATAGATTGCTGTGATGTTTGTCCTAGGTTAGTAATACTTACCACACTATCCTGATGTTGAAAGGATGTCGTGTTTGTTGATCCTGGTGGTTTCTGATCCGATTGGGGGGTAGCAGCAGACATGGCCACGGTCTCAAGGTTGAGTCCTCTGAGATCCAAGCTCATGCCTGACCGCAGGTGTCGTCGCTGTTGTATGTTAGCAGGTAGTTGTCGTGGTTTTTGCGCCTCGTATATGGCAGGTGTCGAGATTTGTCTCCGATGTTGCGTTCTTCGGCGTTGTATGCCTGAGGGCGAGTGTGTGGACAGCATATCGTATGCTCGTCGAGTCCGGGTGGGTTGTCCAAGGAAGGTTTTCCTGTTGTGTCCGAATCTATACACATGGAAGTTAGCTTTTGGCTCGTAACACAGTCAACTCCTTGATGTATCCGCACTCAACAAACTTACCTCACGCAAGTTGCAAGCGGCGCTCCGCCGGGCGATTGGTATCCTTATGGGCTCCTCAGTACAGTACAGTCTCCCAGCAACCTGCTCAAGTAAGCTCTAGGCCGAAGCCTTTGACGGGAAGTTTTAGTAAAGTTGGTAGAGTAGTTTTAGTATCTCTGCACTCGCGATCTTAAGCGTGCAGTAAGTTGATCCAAAAAACTAAAGGTGGAGATGGTGCAGGAACGAAGATGCGATGGATGGATGACGGTGTTGGTACTCCATAATGGGAACTAAGTCAACACAGACCTGGCAATCGGTGTCCACAGCAACGGAAGTAGCGCACAAGCCACGAGCTTCGGTTCGGCGCCACTTATGATGCACCTCGGCTGCGCCGCCGCCTTAGTCAGCTATCGGATCGCCAAGCCCACATTATAATTTCTCTCGCTAAAATCCCAACGCCATCTTCAAATCTTTCCTGCACGACGACTGAGGAAGACAAAGCTATTGTCTAGGTACGGCCATCTCCCACGATATTGCGCTTGCGCATTATACTGATTGCTTCAAGGCCGCCATGCAGATCTTCGTCAAAACCCTTACGGGTAAGACTATCACCCTCGAGGTGGAGTCTTCCGATACCATCGACAATGTGAAGTCCAAGATTCAAGGTACGCATCTTTTCCCATGTACGCAAGCATCGAAGCATTTGACTGACAGCTCTCAGATAAGGAGGGCATTCCCCCAGACCAGCAGCGTCTCATCTTCGCTGGAAAGCAGCTCGAGGACGGTCGCACCCTCTCCGACTACAACATCCAGAAGGAGTCGACTCTCCACCTGGTCCTTCGCCTCCGTGGTGGAGGTAAGAAGAGGAAGAAGAAGGTGTACACCACCCCCAAGAAGATCAAGCACAAGAGGAAGAAGACCAAGCTGGCTGTCCTCAAGTACTACAAGGTCGACGGCGACGGCAAGATCGAGCGCCTCAGGAGGGAGTGCCCCCAGGCTGAGTGCGGTGCCGGTGTCTTCATGGCTGCCATGCACAACCGCCAGTACTGCGGACGCTGCCACCTTACCTACGTCTTTGATGAGTCCAAATAAACGGATCTGGGGATGCGATATGATGGAAATGGTTACGACAGCATGAACAACTAGGTGGACTCAATGGGTTTATCAGATGTCGATCATCTATAACATCAATCAAACTTGTCGCTGAACTCAAACAACTATTGCCTTGTGCGTGATCATGATAGATAGTGCATCCCAACATTGAATGTCTGCTCGTCACAATCTTGGCCTGTCCCTAAAAACCAAGTGGATAAAATACAAATGCATAGAGCAGAAGATATACAATTAGAACTCCATCGCGTCTCCTCCCTCCTCTCTTGGTCTCTTCAACCCACCCCCATCTTTCTCATCCTTCAGCAATCCAGCGACAAATATCCTGAATTGATTGATATACGGCCTGAGGCTTGTCTTCTCCCAATCTTGCAGTTTCTTCTCGCCATTCTCATCCTCGTCTCCTTGCCAGTCGTCAATCTCTTTCAGTAAATCAAGCACTGTTGGCACACTGAGCGGATCAAATTCATCCACATTCTGTGGATCAATTGGTACGCAGATGCGCCCGGTCGCTGGATGCACAACGAACGGCGATTTGAGCAAATGGTTCATCTTCTTCGATACATCTGCATCAAGGCGTGGGTATGTGTATTCGAGAACAATGTCCTGCTTCGCCTCCAACAAGTCTCTCGAGGATTTGGATAGCGCACCAGACTTGGCGACACTGTCAATGTCTGCCCATTTCGAGGCGCTGGGGCGTGAAGGCGAAGACTCCCACTTCTTCTGCAGTGCAGCGCGGAGTGTTGTATCAGGAATCAGGCCTAACAAGTGTGCAGCCTTCTCCTCGTCAGCCCACGGATCTTGCTCATCTAGAATGGTGGTTGAGAAATGCTCCTTGAGAATGTTCAAGCTACGTTCCACGTGCGGATGTAGTGGCCGGCGCACGTTGACTTTCTTTCCACCCTGGTCACCGCCCTTGAGGAGTTCCAGATAGCCAGCTACTGCCCGACGCTTTGAGTCGTCCATCTCACGCGCCCTTTTGTCGCAAACCCAGGCGTGAGCACCACGTCGACCAGAGTAGTTCCACAGGATATGCTTGAAACCAAAATCCTCCCTCAACGCACTGTCAACAACTTTTATGGCCATGGTTATGAACGCCCAGCATTTTCGACAAATATTGGCACCGGTACAGCATGTTCTGATGTCGTCGTAGTCGTTCATATCAATATCGAACACCAGCTCCCTCGAGACCGGAACGAACGAGCTAGCTTTCCGCAGCGTCTTCCTGTCGCGTGGATTTGTTGAATATATGGGGCCAATATCGATTCTCGGAGGCACATCTTGTACACAGGCTTTGCGAAGCAGGTCGTGGGTTGGGTAGGACTGGTAACGGACCAGTATGTTATTCTGAAGCGCAAAGGCAAATTCTCGGTGGGCGAATTCCTTGCTCGGCACGACGGAATGGTTGAGCCACTGGAAAAAGAAACGAAATGGAAAGAGACGCTGATAAAAGGCACGCATGACATCAGGCTCCGAGAAAGACGATCGGTCGGAAATCTTGCTGAACTATGTGTTACGAGGCGTTGCTATGGAAGCGGAGGGTGAGCTTGCTTACAATGTTGCGGCTGGTTGTTGCTGCGATGATTTCTCTTCCTTTGGTTTAGGCTGAGGCGCACTCGAAGTGAACTCATCGTCTGAATCGTCATCATCGAACATGTCCTCCAGTTTCACTTTTGCTGCTTCTGTTGCTGCGGGAGTCGACGCCTCTCCCATCGTCACATCTTCCTGGGTTCCTGGCCCAGTCTGGCTTGTGGCTTGCGACATTGTCTGCGTCGATTCATCTGCGGGTGCGCTTTCAGGCGATACAGAGTGTGGCATCTTGCAGCGGTTCGTTCAGTATGAAAGATGTTGATCTTGAGTGTGTACTGGTGTGAAATGAGACGCGCTTTCCTCTAGCGCGTCTCTCTCGCGCTCGCGTAAAGTGGCAGGACCGAAGGGGAAAGAACACCATCCCGGTCGGTACCTTCCATTCGCAGGGATCACATCATTTACCTCCCTCATCTCAGCTTCCTCAGTGGCATGGTACAACTTTATGCCCGTCATTCCAGGCCGAGATGAGAGAGGTGGAGTTCGTCAGTGGTGAGGGCTGGATATCCGATGATTCAAGCCTCTACGGTAATACCCTTTCACCCAAGGCACATAGATTGCTTACGAGCTTTATTCTCGTCTGCATTATCACGCTGTAATATACTTCCTGACTTCAGCTCTAGGTGAAGAGGGCAATCAATCTTTCGGTGATAGAACGATCACTGATATCAACCGTCACCAAAAGGGTCTCAATGCGGCGCTCTTGTGCGAGCCACCGCTGCCAGTCACCCTGGACTTGAACAATGCTGGACGATATAGCTGGCATCAATCTGAGTCTCCGGAGGAGTTCGTTAGGCGTGTGCCCCCTCTTACCACCACTATACAGCAATGTGACTGGATTTGGGTGCACAATCCCTATCTAAGCAACAAAGCAATGGAGGAAGCCAGACTTATGCGTTGTGGACAAGAATTGCTAAAGAGTAAAGAAATAACTGGCGAGGATTTACAGGAAGAGATTACAGATCTTGCTGTGGAAACTAATGTCCTCAGTGGAAAGTGGATGTTGTTTCCCAAGCTAGACGCTGTTACCCGAGTATGGCGGCTTGTGGTTGAAGGTGTGATCAACAACAAACTTGGGCCAACCGCCAAAGTGTCTCCATTCAATGAGGAAAACAATGCTCGCCTTATATGCGTCTATACAAAGGACTTCACAGATCAAGAGGATGTATTCCGTGTCCTCCTAGAGCTGGTAGCTATGGGTGTCGTGAGCTCCAACCAGGCTATTTACTACAAGTGAGTGCGGCCTCCGTCCTGATGGGCAGGTGCAAAAGCTAACCGTGTAGGACTGATGTGTACACCATGCTTGGTATCTACGGTGCCAACGCTGCCGGTTACGGGCTTAAAGCCAGTCACTTCTCCAGCCAAAAGATGTTGGCGGACGGACCGATCAAGCAAAGGGGGCCAAGGCAGCGGGAATTGACAGAACCCCTGCCTCGAAAGAGACAGAAAACGCTCGACGGGCTGATCAAGCCTGGAGGCACACAGATTCCCAAGTGATGTGAAGGGGGAAGTGGTGAAATGATTGCCATTATATGGCGTGCGCACAATGTATGATACCAGAGTACGACGTGAATAAGAACAAATCGTACGACAGATATCACAGCCGCGTTTACTTCTCGTGGCGCTGTTTGCCGACCAGCCTTTTCATCTCTGCAAACAGTTGGACGGTCCGAGAGCGTGCACAGTGGCGATCTGACGAGCCCAATCCGCACCTCGCGTATGGTTGTCAAATCGATATTTGTATCCATTTAGCCTAATCGTCTCACTTGCGGTTTACGAATCCTCGAGAGGATCATCCATGACATTTGTTGGGGAAAGCGTGCATGTCAGAGCAACGCGTTTGAATGGGGAGGTCGCCCACTAGTAACCTTGCCGGGCAGCTTGGAGACGCTGGTACACGCACTGTCAATTTTAGCAGACATGAAAAATTATGGTCGGTACCTGGTTAGGGTTCAAAGCTAGAGGAAAAGACGATGTTGGAGGGGCTACGGGGGGCGAGACAAAATGCGGAAGCTCGCAAAGGAATCTGTTACTCGATCATAACTCAGGGCTGGTGACGCTACCGTCGGGCACTCCCTAGCCTGCACCAATTTGTTCCGGGACGTTGCCAACTCAGAGCACAGTAAGCTTTCTAAATCCAGCTGTTGCCGAATGCTGTTTCCTTGTGTATGAACAGTGATGGATTTCACCTGTCCCCGGCCCCTTCAAGGCTGGTCGTGAGATAGCCCTAGGTCCCGCAAGGAAAGGAGAGCAAAGTTGGGTATGTTGTTGGGTGTATCTGACTGAAGCGGTAAAGAAGGGTGGTCGGGTAAGTACGCAGGAGGGATTACGCCAGCTCCAACCGCATGTGCAGTCCAAGGTGATGTTTGGAATCGCAGCGTCGGCTCATGTCATTGCTAGGGCTGAGTAGCGAATCATAGCTGGCGGTCAAGAGTGGTGTGGTCCGGTCACCTCCGACGCGATGCCAGGCTGGAGGGAAGTTTGAGGTCGGATGAGTTTTGATCGAGTAATGAGATGCCATCAAGTTTTAACAAGGGACGCTGACAGTTTCCAGGTCGCTGCTTAGCTTGCCTGCCGCCGAAACTCGGCGCTTTGGTGAATCTCCGCGGCCCTAGCGCACGGCTCGTGAGCAGAACAACTGCAATGCCAGGAGGCGCATGCAACAAGAGTAGAAGTGAAGTCTCGGTTTGGAAGTGAAGGCGACGCTCACCGGAGCAACATGTGCTTTAAGTATTTGGCTGTGTCGCGCCCATTGGTTTGTCCCTGGACGAGAGAGATGATCAGTCTATCGATAGGCGCATGTCATCCCTGCCTACCTTATCTTGCATTCCAGATCTCCACTAGCTAGCCAACGCTAACGGCAGGGGTAACTTATCAGTGCCAGCAAAACGCTGACCGCAAACCATGACAACACTTCACACTCCACGACGCCACGCCCGGCTCACACCATGCATACCCACAACGACTTCAGAAAACGACGGCCTGGCCGCAGGAAATCTCCACAAGAGGGTCTCGAGAGGGTCCATCTCAAACATGGGGCAAAAATGCAAGACCGATTCCGAGGCTAACGGCAACTCCAGAACCACGCCTCGATAGCTTCACCTACCGCTATCAGTCCACCTTTCGACTACCAGTTTTGATCGAGTAACGAGGACATGGCGCCGAAAAGGCCGAGGTGGCACACTACAGCCCCCTGCCATGTCTCTAGGTATCTGTATAGTAGTAGTACCACGGTCCACACCGGCAGCAGATAAGGGCTTCTGCACCCCGGATTCTCTTTGATCAAATCCCATAGCTCACTCTTCCCCAGCTATTCTTCTTTGTCTTGTCTGATCGTCAGCATTCCGGGGAAATAACAATAACTTTGCCCTTCTACTCACTTTCCTCTTTGATACTACCTGCCTGCAGTCCTCTGTGTACATTGGACACATCCATTCTTATCTATCGTGCTTATCACACACATCCCTCGCGACCACGTGTGGAACATAACCGACCATTTCCGAATTCCGATTGCATATAGCTTAGGCTTTCTCACGCCCAAATTACTCTCCAAACCAACTTGTCTTTTCTTCCCACTACATCTTACATCAAGCCTACACACAAATACTTTCCAACATGGCTCCTCACGCGGATAGCCCTCCACCTATGCCCCACAGCATGCCCATACATCCCATCACTGTCCTCGTATCCTCGCGGGCTGTCGTGGCAGGAAGACTGACGGAAGCAACCATTGTTGTATCCAACGTCACAGGAAAAATCACTTCAGTCTTCCACTCAATTCTACCGCCCACAGACTTTCCAGAGGGAACGGCCTACACCGATTACTCGCCCCACATTCTGCTTCCGGGCCTGGTAGACGCCCATGTGCATCTCAACGAGCCAGGTCGTACGGAATGGGAAGGATTCTGGACCGGCACACGTGCTGCTGCGTTCGGTGGTGTGACGACCGTCATTGACATGCCGCTCAATGCCATACCTCCCACTACCACTGTGGAAAACTTGCATGTCAAGATTGAAGCTGCTCAGGGCAAATGCTGGGTAGACGTTGGCTTCTATGGTGGAGTGGTGCCAGGCAACGCTGGCGAACTGAAGGCACTTGTTCAGGAAGGTGTACGCGGCTTCAAGGGCTTCCTGATCGACAGTGGTGTAAGTCATCTTTCATGCGAAGCTAGCCCAAAGCTAACATGGCACAGGTGGAAGAATTCCCTGCTGTTGCTTCTACCGATATCGAGAAAGCTCTTCTGGAACTCAAGGACTCATCCACTACTCTCATGTTCCACGCCGAGATGATCCCACCCATCGCAGACTCCGTTGGTGACGACGTTCAACGTGCACACCCACCACTTGCCCCTACAGGTCCTCTTACCCACTATTCCACCTTCCTCGACTCACGTCCCCCATCTTTCGAAACCTACGCCATTGCCGAAATCCTCTCCCTCGCCCACCTCGCCCCAGAACTCCAACTCCACATCGTCCACCTCTCCGCCATTGAAGCCATCCCGCTCCTCCGCGAAGCCCGCTTAAGGGGCGTAAAAATCACTGCAGAAACATGTTTCCACTATCTTACCCTCGCCGCTGAAGCCATTCAAGAAGGCGACACCCGTCACAAATGCTGTCCCCCTATTCGCTCGCAGAACAACCAAGACGGACTCTGGGAAGAACTCGTGCAGGACCGCGCCGATGGTGTTATCAAAACAGTCGTCTCTGATCACTCTCCTTGCACACCCAACATCAAGCTCCTTCCCGCTGCCTACGCGCCTCAGAAGCCGTCGCTGAGGAAAGAAGGTCACGCTTCTGATTGCGGAAGCTGCGAGAGCTCGGAGGGCGAGGAGGAAGGGCCTGAGGAGAAAGGCGATTTTTTCAGCGCGTGGGGTGGCATCTCGAGTGTCGGCCTTGGACTACCGATTCTGTGGACTGAGGGTAAGAGACGCGATGCCGAATTCAGCATCGAAGATATCGTGAGGTGGTGCTGCCACAACACGGCGAAGCAGGTCGGACTGGAGAAGAGCAAAGGAGATATCGGTGTCGGGTTCGATGCTGATATTGTGGTGTTTGACGATGCGGCCGAGTTTAAGGTATGTCCTCATTCTTCATTCCCAACCACGAATCATCGTAAAAGAAATTCATCTCGGAAAGTGAATGCACAAAGCACACTCGCTAACACATGTGCAGGTCGAACCCAGCACCATGCTCTTCAGAAACAAAGTCTCGCCTTACGAAAACAAAACTTTAAAAGGTGTCGTGCGCGAGACGTGGCTGCGCGGCCGCCGCATCTTCTCCCGCGAAGACGGCTTCGTGGAGAAGGCTGGACCTAGCGGGAAGCTGCTGCTTGAGCCTCGAACTACACCGTCAGTGTGAAGTGACGTGTTCGCTCGGTCGGTTTGAATAGATGTGCAAATGGTCATTGTTTCTGCGCTTGCAGATGTGTGGGATTTTCTTCGCCGTCATCATTTTTTAAAGGTTGTCATTTTAGCATGGTTTGCTTGTGAGCTTTAGCTATCTAGAGCTGCGATGAAGGGGAGAGGTCTACCTTTTTGGGACAAAGCATTATATCATGGTTCATGTAAGCATTAGAGGCGTCTGGCATTTATTTATCATTGCTCTACCTGAGAATAAGTCGTGCCATCTGTTGTCCGTTACTGGGTTGACTCCTGTTGAATGAAGCGTTTGTAGCATGAATACTCGCCATCTTAGCAGACTAAACACCACAGCATGCACGTGTACAACAGTGGTTTTCGATGACGGCAACCAATTCAAGCGAAATGAAAAAAAAAAGTCTTGTGTCATTGGAGTGTGTGAGGAATCTGTTTACCATTTAAGACAAGAGTGGAAAGCTAGTGGCCATGCATAACCCACGCTCAACGTTCAACCTTCTTCCTATCTCCTGATCGCTAATTATACACGGCATGTGGTTATACAGTTAATGAATTTTGTTTCTCTCTGCTTGCTCTTCGACCAGCCACCACGCACTTCGAACCGCTTATTTGGCCCTCTTCTCCTTATCCGAGAGCGATTGGCTGATGTTGAGACCCAGGCCGCTGGTATCCAGATAGACCTTGTTCTGCGATTGTTGCAATATCTGCGCAATGCTCTTCGCGTTCTCGAACTCCCTCAGATCGACGTATGACCTCGACTTCTTGATGGCATCACCAATCAGCTCGGCGGAACGTGCCTCACCCTGGGCGCGGACGACGGTGGCCTGCTTCTCCTGGCGGGCCTTGTCAACGACGAAGGCAGCGCGCTGCGCTTCTTGCTGTGCGACTTGCTTGGCCTCAACGGCGGCAGTGAATTCGGGGGAGAAGGCAAGGTGCTAAGATGGTCAGTTCTGGCTTTGATGGCGAGTGGCGAACATGGACTTACAGTTAGGGAAACATCATCGAGCATGATGTTGAACCTCGCCGCTCTCCTCACCAAGTTGTCCCTCACCATGCGACTGACGTTCTCACGCTGCGTGATCAACTGACTAGCATTGAACTGCGCAACGACACTCTTGAGCACTTCGTTGACAATCGACGGGAGCACGCGCTCATCGTAATCGGTTCCGAGAGTTCTGTAGATCTGGGGCAGAGCTTCGACGCGCGGTCGAGAAAGAACACGGCACGTTATGTTAACCATCTGCAAATCCTTGGTGCCAGTAAGAGAGGCGACATTTCGCGGCTTCGCGCGCACGTCGTAGGTGATGGGTGTTTCGAACCAGGGAAGTCGGAAATGTGTTCCTTCGCTGTAAATCTCCTTTTGAACACCGCCTAACCTTGTGTACTTGATTGCTCGGTGACCTCCGTCAACTGTGTGAGGGTTAGTACTCTGTCGCTCGTGGTTTGGCCACCCCACACGAGCGTCTCTCCGGACGCATTTCCTGTGGCATAGAACGTACCATTGAACAGCGCGTTGTTTGCAACAAATACACCACCGACTATCAAACCGATAGCCGCCAATCCGGAGCCCATGCCCTTTGGTGGACCGCCGCCGGCACCTCCGAATCGAGAGGTGCGGCGAGCGAGTTCGGTTTGGAGACGATTCCAAGCTTCTCTAGGATCGGGAGAAGCCATGTTGACGGATAGGATGGGGTTGGAGGGGGGTTGACGACGCTGGTGTCGGGGCGAATGGGATGAGATGGGCGTTGATGGAGCTCGTAGTGGTGAGGTCGACGAAAAGAATGCTCGGCGAAATCGAGCTGCAACTTCCCTGCAAAAACGCCAAGGCGTACAGTAAGTACCCCAGATGACATGAACCGCTCGAGGCCATCCTTTTTGTATATTCACACATATGACAGCACCCATATACTTGTTCCTCTGGGAATACTGGTGCAATAAAGAGGGAAAGGCGCAAAATGTATTATTTCATGGGCAGACTGCGAGATCAAATGGATACATACGCAAAGAGAATCTTTATAATCTCGACTCCTGCTTCTTCCTGCGAACAGGAGCTCCCTCCTGCAAGTAATGTCATGCTTGGATGATATGATGGATGCACCCTTTCTTTTTGCCAGACCAGCTGGAGCCATTCAATGAAATTCCAAACTCTTCTCAAACAATTCGCCATGTTTCCTGCTATCCACTTGGCCGTGACGCCCGCTCAAACATTGGCCCCAATAATGCCCGCGTTTCCGTTGGGTGCACGGATCAGGCAACCCAAGCCCGCCCGCCCGCGAGGGTATCTGTCTCTTAAGCACAGCTGTCCAGATGAAATAATTCCTCCGGACAACTCTCACTATCTTGCTATCCTCCTAATAGTGTATTTATCCCCGTGAGCTGGTTTTGCGATTGTCATTCTTCCGGTTTCTTCTTTCTGAGATACCCTTTTTCTAACCCACTGGGATTCCTCCAAGCTCTGCGACTGCGTCACTTGGAGCTGTAGTGCTGTTAGCTCTTCGTATGTCTTTCTTTGAACACGACGCCAGATGCGCCCATATTAACTCTTCATTGACAGCCAATTCAGGAGTGCTGGACCACCGAATCTACCTCCTCGCACTAACACTCACTACCAATCAATTGTTACTTGCAGCCACATCGCTTTCAACTCCCATCATCTGAGCGCGAACCGCATCCCACACCACCATGTACCTGTCCTCTTCGGCGCTCCGAGGCGTCGCGTGGTCTGCCATCGCCTTTTCGGCTGCTCAGGCCTCGTACATTATAGACTCTCACAGTTTTGGCCAAGATGGCAAAGCAGTCTCCCCGAACTTGCGCGCCATACCCCACTTCAACCTGAAAGGAGAAGCGTGGGACCCTGAGATCCACTCCGATCGTGTGATTCTTACTCCTCCATGGCCTGGAAACAAGCGCGGTGCTCTGTGGAGTGAAGAGCCCCTACATCATGCTGGCGATTGGCAAGTTGATTTGGCCTTTCGTGTGTCGGGTATGGACAGGGGAGGTGGAAACCTCCAGTTGTGGTACACGAGAGACTCGCAGAAGGACAGTCCGCCCGCAAGCTTGTACACTGCGAACAAGTTTGATGGCTTGGTGCTGGTCATAGATCAATACGAAGGACGGGGAGGATCCATCCGCGGTTTCTTGAACGATGGCAACATGGATATCAAGGCCCATTCAGATCCAGATACGCTCTCTTTTGGCCAGTGCGACTATGCGTACAGAAATCTTGGTGCATTGAGCAACATCCGTCTCAAGCAAGCACATGGCACTCTTGAAGTCACCATTGATGGTCGCCCTTGCTTCTCCACCAACAAGGTATTGCCCACCGATCATCGCGTGCACATTGAACAATTGGATTAATGAGCTACAGGTCAAACTCCCTGAAGGCTACTACTTTGGAATCTCCGCGTCCAGCGCTGAAAACCCCGATTCATTCGAAATCCATCGCTTCATCGTCTCCACCACAAACACATACACACGCGAGGAGCCCGGGAGCCACCACCAACAACAACAAGATCACCAGCAACAGAGTCCAGACAAGGTCCCACCCCGCGTGCACCAAGCCTACCGACAAATGCTCAAAGACCGCGACCAGCAGCGCCACGATGCAAGCCCCAACATCCCACAAATGGTCGAAGACGTCTTCGCTGCCAACATCAAGTCGCAACAGGACCAATTCGAAGACTTGCACAACCGCATTCAGATCATCACGCACCGTATCGATGACCTCTTCGATATGCTCGACCAGTACATGATCGACCAGGACGAGCGCTTCAACCAGATCATGGGTCGCATGACCCCGATGCATGACCAAGTCTCCGCTATTCAGCGCAACGTCGAGAAGGTCGAGCGCACATCTATGGAGACACTCAGGGACTTGGAGAGCAAGGACTTCAAGGATATGATTTATCAACTCCACCTAGCTGTGGAACAAGGCCACACCAGGATCAGCAGCGCACTGCCTACTCAAATGGCCGATGGTAAGTCTTACCCCATGTAATCTCCCGCACTAAATAGATTATACACTAACATTCAAGTAGTCGTCGGCAAACACGGCCCCAGTATGACAACTTTCCTCTTCATCGCTGTCGCTATGCAGATCATGGTCCTAGGAGCTTGGAGAGTATACAAAGCGAGGAGACACGGCGCACCCAAGAAGTACCTATAAGCCAGTATCAGCTCTTCTTTCTCGCGCCAACAGTTCGTCTGATGGACGTGTGGGTCTTTTCATACCCTTTCTCTCTTCCCCTCCCTACCTCCCTTTGTCAACTCACTCACTCACCCCATACATACACGTATACACAAGCACTCATATCGCCCCCAGCTTGCTTGTATTATAACAACAGCGGGATTGAATTTTTCTTTTTGTCTCCAGTTTATTGTGTGTTTTGGATTGTGCTGGGTATGTATCGGCCTTTGTAGCATTGATGGCGTTGGTTTTCGTTGGATAGCTGGGGTAGCGTATGTCTTTGCTCATGGAGTGCGTGAATGTGTACGCATGCCGCTGTTCGATGGGAAGCTCAGAGTGAGCGAGAACTGTGAGGAACCAATGGCAGGACGAGAGCGGAGTGAAGATGGTCAAAGAGGAGCGAAATGTGGGGCATATGAGGGTAGATGGACTAGGGGAATTGAATTGTTGTATGTCTGTGTGTATACTCGAGCAGAAAAAAAATGCATTTCCTACTTTTTGTTTTGTTTTGGATGACACTATGTTGATCTGAGTTCTTGTCCTGGATCACCTCTTCTCGGTTTGCTATTCTATGATGTTTGACTTGAGTATATCCACACATAGAAAATCAACTGTGTTTGTTCGCCTCCTTACGACCTTTTATGTGGACACTCTGCAGCTGCATATTCTTCTGTTAAGAACTTGTTTCTTTTCTCACAACACTTGAACAGCGGGGTTTTTCTTTTTGTGTAACCGAAGGGCAGGTTGAACAGTTTCACTATAATACATTCTGTACCTGCTGTATTTGTGCTGTTGCCGTATCTATGATTGATCGCGATAACCTCACACTTATTGAGTCACTTTACTGGTAGAGTTTATTTCTTTTCCTCATATGCTAATCATCGTCATGTAAGATAAAGAGCATGTGCTCACCCGTTCACGCCATAAGAATCGCCCGAGCAGTTTCCTACATCTGGACCCAAATTATATACAAAAGCATGGCTCGCAGTGATTTTTCTTTCCCCTCGGCCCTCCTCACTCATTTTCATCTTCCCATCTCTTTTCTCACCTCGTCCTGCGTTTTTTGTGGAGAGAAGCGGAACAAGCAAGAATTTTATAGCATAGGCTTAACATCATCCGCGACCTTGAAATCCGCACCCGTCTTAGACCTTACTTCCTCAACCGTGACACCATCCGCGAGTTCGATAAGCGTCAATCCAGACGAAAAATCAACATCAAACACACACAAATCCGTGATGATGCGACTCACGCACGCCTTACCCGTGAGCGGGAACTCACACTGCTTCAGGATCTTGGGCGTGCCCTTTTTATCCGTGTGCTCCATGGTGACGACGACTTTTGTCGCGCTCGGGTTGCTGACGAGATCCATGGCACCACCAAATCCCTTGACTTTGCCTGGAAGCATCCAGTTTGCGAGATCGCCGTGCGCGCTGACTTGCATGGCGCCTAGGATCGTGAGGTCAATTTTGCCCGCGCGGATCATGCCAAAGGACTCTTCTGAGCCAAACGTGCTGGCGCCGGGAAGGAGGGTGACGGTTTCCTTGCCAGCATTGATGAGATCTGCGTCCTCGAGGCCCTTGGCTGGGTATGGTCCGAGACCCAGGATGCCGTTCTCGGATTGCAGTTGTAGTTCGATAGATGGGTCTACAAAGGAGGGAGCCAGCATGGGCATACCGATCCCTAGATTGGCATACATGCCGTTTTTGAATTCTTTGGCGGCGCGTCGAACGATGCGTTCGCGCTTGCTGGCTGTGTCGCCTTTTCCGAGCGCGCTGGCTGCAGACGAATCATCAGCGGGGTCTCTGGCGTTGACAATCTTTTCGATGTTTTTGGGCGCTGTGGACTGGATTACGCGATCGACGTAGATTCCTGGGACGTGGACGCCGTTTGCGGGGATGTCACCCACTTCGACGATGTGCTCGGCCTCGACGATTGTGGTCTTCGCATTTCGCGCCATAGCGCCGTTGAAGTTCTGCGCGGAGAGCCGGAATTGAAGGTTCCCCAGTCTATCAGCTTTCCAGGCTTTGATGAAGGCGTAGTCGCCTTTGATGGCTTCCTCCATGACGTACGATTTCCCTGCAAAAACCTTGACATCGCGGGGTGTGCTGAACTGGGCTACTGAGCCATCGGGGGCGTGTCTGAGGGCGAGTTCGCCGGTTTGAACGACAGTTCCAAAGGCAGCGGGCGTGAAAAAAGCAGGGATACCGGCGCCTCCTGCTCTGCAACGTTCAGCTAATGTGCCTTGGGGTGTGAGTTCGAGCTCGAGCTCCCCTGAGAGGTACATTTGCTCGAGGACCTTGTTCTCGCCGACGTAGGATGCAATCATCTTCTTGACTTGTTTGCTCTCGAGGAGTAGGCCCAGTCCTGAACCAACAACTCCAGCATTGTTGGATACAGCTGTAAGACCAGTGATTGATGGAGTGTCTTTGACTTGATTGATCAGGGTATCTGGAACTCCGGACAAGCCGAAGCCGCCGCAGAGTAGTGTGCTATCCGACTGCATATCCGCGACTGCGGCAGCGGGCGAAGAGTAGATCTTGTTGATTTCATTGCGGCGGTAGGTGGTGGAGAAGCTGCGTGAAAAGTTGAAGTATGTCTATGGAAATCCATCGTCAGTCTATCATCAATCAATACCAAGAATGTCGCGTACATACTTTGGTGGTGCTCCGCGAGAGATGTGAAGCGACTCGGAAAGTGCGGGTTAGCGACGGCATGTCGATAGATGTGTAGCAGCTGTGTACAAACTCGGGGTATCTCAGGGCCACGAACGGAACAGACACAACAAATACAATTCGTGAAGGGTATTCAGTCAATATACGTTCTTCAAACGGTGGATTGTCGGAATATGAAAGAAGAAAACGAACGGAAAGTGGAGGTTGAGCTGATGCGCTCACGAAGCTCAGCCATGGTATGGCTTCCCTCGGCATTGACATACGGGACGCGGAATGCATCCCGCCCCTCCTCCATCTTCCTCACACAAGTCAGTAGCAGGGCTAGACGCGGAGTTTGCGGGAAGACCAGACTCGGCTCGAATGAAAAATGGTTAGGTTCCTGACTATCACTGTGATTGCATTAGTGAGGTGTATCCGGACCGGGCCTCTACGGTTCACCACATGTGCATGCAAACAATCAGGGTGCATGTGATGGTTGGTGTCAAAGTACGAGCGGTTTGAGTTCTTACAGCACGTATACACATGCACTGATGTCTCTTGAAAGTGCTATATCGTATAATTCTCAAAAGAGTAAATAATAACTAATGGGTATCTAAGCCTACTACTACGTTATCCAAGAATCTCGCGATTTTGCAATTGTGTGCAGCTGCGTACATGTTCTGGTCAAAGCGCCATGATCGAACCGTGAAATCAACCCAAGAAGAAAGAAAAGGGGATCACTGTATTTCCGCAGGAAGAAATCGTGATGCTGGACCAAAAGGAGAGTGCTATGTATATGATGATAGAGAAACGTCGGAAACAGAAATCGTTAACCCATATCAAACAAGATTCAACATAAAAAAGCAATGGTGTGTACATATGTACGGCTCTAGCGTGAAAATTCCGGTTTCCGCGCCATGTTGACTGGCGGTGGCCCGTCCGATTCAGGATAAGGTAGCGGCGCGCCCGGTGGTGGTCTAGGAAGGGCTGATGTTGGCGGAGGAAGTATAGGTGAGCCTGTCAAGTGAGATGGTCTCGTATCATTTTGAAGTGGGGTCTTTGGTGGACGTGGCGGCGGACTATGCCTACCGACTTGATCGATGCTGATGCGAGGAGAACCGGGCATGGAGCCGACTTGAAATTGCTCGTCAGACCGACGATTGGGGTCAACGAGTTCTCCCGAGTGTCGGGGATCCAGGCTGGAGATAGGTTGGGGGTATTCATCGGAGGAAACGATGGCGAACTTTTCGTTGTCTGAGGGCCGACGATACACCGATGGCGAAATACGAAACGCTTGAGAATGTGGAGAGTGGGTGTCACTGTAATAATCAGGTGTCACCTCTTCGGCAGGGAGCTCAACAGCCAGGGGCGAAGCATCTGGGATGGGCGAGAGGGTATTAGTGTTTGACTCCCATGACAGCGGTCTCAAGGCTGGATGGATCTCAGACAGACCAGCCTGCGACTTCATCTCCGCTCTCTCCCATCGGATTTTGGCGCGATATATCCTGGCCATCTTTCCGGCGGCGTCGCGGGTCCTTCCCTCATTCGTTGGGTCCGACAGGTACATGCGGGTGTTGGTACTGATCTCGGCAAGCCGATGCCATTCATTCATGCCAAACTCGCCCACACCAACATCGACGTTGAAGCGGTAGTAGTGTTCGGGGTTGACTTGCCGCTTTGCCAAGTGATCCTTCATAGCAAGGTGCGTCTTTTCGCAATCCTCAATCTTGCTGATGAGCCTTCTTCTTGCCTCTGCGAAGTCGCCAACTCCGCTCGAGACGAAACCTTCCCACCACAAGTGTTGCTGTGAGTTTGTGCCTTCAGGACGTTTTCCAGTTCCAATACTGATGAAGACACCTACTTCACGTCCGGGCCATTCGTTCACAACGGCTTCATCGAGAACCATTGGTGCTGGATTATACTTGCCAACACCGTCATCGAGAAATACAGACTGCCCGATCTGAATAGGCTTGAAAGCAAGGGCAGTTGCGCATGTTGCTCTGCCAGCTTGCCATATGGACGCATTGGGCTCGATCGAAGTTTCCTTTCGCGAGTCGTAGGATCGGAGAAAGACCTGACCATTCTTGGGACTCTTTGAGCCTTTGTAGACGGCGGTGATTGCACTGTGCATGTCAGTATTGCTGCGTATTCATGGGAACCCAAGCGCTTATATTTACCATTTGGTGCGCTCTTCTCTGTTGTCGTATAGGCGTGCGTTTGGATTACCCCATTTCAAAGCTGCCATGCGCATGTTCACAGGCGTCATGCCAATCTGGCTGTACCTACTAGCATTACTGGCACTCCTGTTCATCCTGGGACCGGCGCTGCCTGGAGACATGGGTACGCGTAAATCCTGTGAAGACAGCATGCCGCTTCCGTTTTCGCTATCGTTGCCCTCGTCGTCGTAGATGGTGTGTTCCCGCACGCACTCCATGATGGCTTCTTCCAGTTTCGAAGCTTTGAACAGTGTGGACCTATACGGTATCCCGGCAAACGTCTTATCGGTCTCAAAAACTCTCCTCGTCATGCGCACGTAAACGTCTTTGCAGGTTTCAACGTCCATCCTCAGGCGCCCAAGCATGATGGCGATCAAGCCGCCGGTACCAGTGCCGGCGATAAGATCAAAGTGGTCGCATGGTTTCGGGATTTCGTTTCGTTTTGGCGCTCTCCCCTCGGTTTCAACGAATGTTCGGTGCATGAGCTGTTGCAGGATGATGAGCATGGAATATCCGCGCACGCCCCCGCCATCTGCCCCGCGTTAATGGATGGGTGATTGCAAGAAGGAGGACTGGATGGTGGATACATACCCAAGGACAAAATGCGCAGCGGCGGACCTTTGGTAGTGTCCTTGCGGCGGATCCCGTTGTTTGACATTGCGGCAGCGACAGAGTTTGCAAGTGAGAGGCAACCAGATGGAGGCTGAGGGTTGGGTGTGGGCAGCCTGGCGTTGTTTTAGGTCCGCGTGTGCGGTTCAGGCGAGAGAGGTGTAGAGCGATCTGGCGCGGAGGGGAGCGGATGGGTTCAGGCCAAGCAGGCACGGCCAGACGGAAGGATGAGGCAGGTATGAAGAGGGCGTATAGTGTTTGCAGACACAAGGTAAGGCAAGGCAGGATAAGATACGGTTACGGTGGAGGGGCCGAGGCGAGCTGACTGGATCTTGGTGATCTTGGTGTTATGCGCGCCCGCTGAGAAGGGCTCAGCTTGGGAATGGATGGGGACAAGGTTGAGAGTAACGACCGGAGCGAAAGTGTGAAAAGGGCAGTCACATTCATTCAAATGGGAGTGAAGAGGAGGTGGGTGGTGCATGCGACGAACGGGCGGCACGTGGTAAAGGAAGGCGGTCTCACGCGTGTTGGGGTAATGTAATGCAAAGGCAAAGGCAGTGTAGGATGCAGATTGAACCTTTCATTCACCCAGCGCTTCTTTCAATGGAGCTGACCCTGTTTCCTGCGTCTGTCCTGCCCTTCCCTCCCATCGTGGATTGGCCCGAAGTCTGACGTATCTTCTCTGCACCCCTGCCGCTGTTCCCACCTCTAGCCATATTTCGATGCTGCTCAGCCACACTTCCGCCACCTCGCTTCCACCCTCACCTTCTCGTCATCCTTGGGTCGGGCATGCCCGTTCAAAACTCGCCATACCCGTCTCCACCTGGGTTGCAGCCGTGGGCACGCGGGAATATCGGTTAGCCAAGTCAAGTACAAGATGCAGCAAACACCAGACGTCGATGATATTCATAAAAAAGAAACCCAACAATGGCCCCTGCATCCGTTCGCCGCCGCCGCCGCCGCTGCATGCATGCTTTGCTGGACCTCCTGCCTCATCCATTCAGTAGCCACATCGACCCCGCGCTGCATAAACTCCCCTACTTGTACCTCGGCCGCTCCGGTTCCAACACCTGATCCTTTATGACTCTTGGCCTATCCATGCCGTCGATCAAGGGAAACACTCCAGTCCTCGCCCGCTGCTTTCCAGGCAGCAGTGGCCGTCGTTGCGTGCTGCTTACATATGTACCGAGCTACTAACCAATCCTACGGGGTGACATGCTAGCAGCTACAGTGCAATATGTGTACTGAGTAGCTCGTGGGCGGCAAACCCCTCACTATTCTGCACAGCAGCAACCTCCTTTCATCTCGCATTGCTCGTGCAACATGTCTACATCTCAGTTGTACTGGGCCGTGGGAGCCATCGCTCTGGCCCTACTGTACCAATTATACAGTTACACCCGGCTCTCGTCCCACCACTCACAGAAGCCTTTGAAGATCAGCCAAGTACACCAATTACCCGCGCTCGTCATATTTCCCTCGAGCCCAGCCAGGACTGACAACCTCCTTTCAGATACTTGTCTACCCTATCAAGTCGCTTCGGCCCACCCAGTTGACATCTGCTCTGGCTACCCAATATGGCTTTCTGCACGATCGCGTCTTTATGCTTCTCAAAGTCACACCTGATGGACGCGAGAACATGGCCATCTCCAAGTTCCCCGAAATGTCCCGCTTCCTGACTTCCATGCATCTCGACGAGTCCGGAAATGGCTTTGTCAAAGTAACTTTCCATTTGGTTGGGAATAGCAACCACCTCCGAACGCTTGAGATTCCACTCAGTCCTGACGTCGAGAATTTGCAAGATATCGAAATCAACTTGGAGGGCAGTCCTACAAAGGCTTTGCAAATGCAAGATACCGTCAACAAATGGTTTTCCGAGTGTTTTGGCTACGAGGTAGTGATGGCCTTCCTAGGCGATAACAAGCGGGGCACCCGTTTCCAGGATATGCTGGCGCCGGCTCCCGCACCGAACACATGGCTCCCCAGCATTTTGTTGAAGAAACCTGCCTCGCCACAATCAAAGTCTCTTACCTTCGCCGATTGCGCCCCGTACCTTGTCGTTTCTGCGACGTCCCTTGATGACGTCTCCAGCCGGCTGCCCGACGGGCAAGAGATGGATGTCACTAAATTTCGGCCCAACATTGTTTTGTCAGGCGCGAGCAAGGCTTGGGAAGAAGATTACTGGCGCTGTATCAAGATTTGGGATACTGAACTTGTTATGATGCACAACTGCGTGAGGTGTAAGAGCATCAACGTCGATTACGAAACGGGAGACTTTGGGACCGGAGATTCGGGACAGGTGTTGAAGAAACTGCAAAAGGACCGAAGGGTAGATACCGGAGCGAAATGGAGCCCTGTTTTCGGGAGATATAGTTTCTGGAGCTCCAACAACAAGTCTGCCGTCCAGAAGCTTCGAGTCGCAGATGAGGTCCGGGTTATAGAAGTGAACGAGCAGCGTACCACTTGGAGTAAGATGCCCGTATCCTAGCTATTTCGCTGTTGATCTAACAGAAATATAGCGTGGCCGGGTTTGAGTTGATGACAGCGCATCGTACCACCGCGGAGCCCCGTGTGTAAGACCCGGTAGCTCGGTAACTCATCATTTAGGCTTGAATCACACCGTAACCAAGAATCGCCGTAGCTACACCTTGAACGAGGCATGGAAGTCTGTGGTGTTTGTTTTGAACAAAACTATAATCCATAGAAGCTGGCAGCTCGAATCGGTCGTCACCTGGGGGGCAGGCGTTTTGCACCGTTAGACTAGCAATGATTGTATTCGATCAGGCTACTTGTAGCCTTCTCTTCCTGTCGACTACTGTCGTATACCGGACTAGGTAATTTCCACGTCAGACCGAACAAAGATTTCAAGAACCGTATGTACATATCTATAGACAGATGGAAAAGCTAGACATGGAATATAATACAAGCATGAGAAAATGATCAGTCATGAGAACCAATCCTTCTATGCTCTCTCCAGCCTAACATCAAGTGCAACAGAGTGGCATATGTGGAAGCCATATATCTTCCAAACTCTCATTCTCAGTCTCGCTATAGACAACGTCTGATCATCACTTTACTCATCTATACTGCACATCGTAAGCCCAACGAGGTTTTACACATCCTTCCCCCACCTTTTCCCAAACACCTCAACAAAGTGAGTGCAATCAACTATACTCCCCCCCCCCCCCCCCTCCTCCCCCCCTCACAGCTTCCCCCCCTCCCCATCCCCCTTAAAATCCCCTCTCAAAACATCCCTAACCAACCTCATCCCCTCGACGGCAAAAGCAACCATATTCCTTTCCCTGTCTCCACCCAGCCCCGTCTCAACCTCCCTCGTAAACTTCACCCCACCCTCCCCAACAACAGCAAGCGCCACATACCCCGGTGTGCGATTCCTCGCCTCCCCACCCGTAGGCCCGGCCGTCCCGCTCTCGCCAACCGTCCACGTCGACCGCAGCGTCTCGCGCGTGTGTGCAGCGAGGTCCGCTACAATGGCTGGTGTAGGACCAGAGTACGTGGATAGCGTTTCCTGGGTCCAGCCTGCGAAAGCGATGCGCGAGGCGAGCGTGTAGAGGGTCAGGCCGCCGGCGTAGAAGGTTGATGCGCCTGGGTAGGAGAGTAGAGAAGCGGAGATTAGACCGCCTGCTGCCTATTTTTGTTTTCCGGCTGGTTAGCTGTGTTTTCTTGTCGTGGATTATCTTAGGGGAAGATGTACGGTTTCTGCTACTGAGATTGTTTCTTTGCGGTCTTTTAGGAGGGTCGCGACTTCTTGGACGAGCTCGCGGAGCTCGGGGGTTGGAAAGGGCGATGTCATGTTTCTTTTTCCCCTTCTTTTTGACGGTATTGAGAAGAGTAGAAGCTGCAACTAGAGCGATACAGTGCTTGAATAATTTGCTGAAGAAAGGTGAATGATGTTTATATATCGGTGTGAATATGTAAACTGATTAGAAATGTAGCGAGATTCTGGAGCTGCCCAAAAATGGTAAGTAGCGTAAGGTATGACGCGCTGTGGGGTAAGGTCAAGATGAACCGCGGTGTGCAAAATTATAGTAATCTAGAAAATGCATAATCACACATCTTGACAGGCTGAGAAATAGAATATGGCTAGTTGATTAGTGGTAGTTCTAGACGATGAGAACACTACATGGGAGCCAGAAATGTGCATTTTTGGAAACCTACGCCCGAACATAAAGTGTCAGGAAACCCCGCCAAATGACTGCGCCTGGGAAAGAACCCGTTGATAAAGACAAAGCCAACGCCGTCCGCTAAAGTAATGTTGACGTTGGGTATAAAAAGGAAAGAACGTATGACCAAAGCATCGCTTGAAAGATGAATAGACGTTGGTCTGGAGCGTTCGAAAGCCGATACTACCATACCCAAGTATCTGGAAAGCGATGACTCAAAACTGTGGGGCACGTCCTCCAAGACAAGCGCCAAAGTCGCATGAGTCGAGAATAGAACTGCTGAAGCCTAGGCTTCGCCGCCAATTATTATGATGCTTGAGGATCCTGTAAGGGATGTGGCGTATCGACTGGAATTGTTGTTGCAGGGCTAACATGCTGCGAACTCTCGGGAGAGTTGTTTTTGGATGACTCGGGAGAGTTGAATCTGGACGATTCGGGGCTGGGCGTGACGGATCGTGACACAATGTAGAGCTCGGGGTACGAGTTGAAAAGAAGGCGTTTCCAATAGGCACTTGACGGGAGACCAACGTTGGCGAGCGAAGATTTGAGAGTCGGCTTCATGGCGAACTTCTCGACGTCGTCTGGCGGCAGAAGATCCTCGGTGCGGACCTCTAGGCGGCTATTGCCACGAGGGATATGCTTCTTGGTGACGCGCATATAGGGCAGGTTTTCGTCGTCTGGAGAGACCGCCCTTTGTTAGCCGACAAAGCACAACGAAGGGTATGCTAGAGCGCAAGATGTGGTGTGACTGGAGCGCTTACCTTGGTCCAACGTTTTGCACAAGTCATGCTGGGAAGTGACTTCCAAAGACTTGCTCCCCGAGCGATACCTATAAACGAGAATGTTCGCTTTGTCTTCCTCATCCAGACCGAAGAGGGAGCTCGCTCTGCTCGCGGACGAGCCGCTGGTCGAAGTGCTCTTCCAGGTCATGGTTGGGCTCGTGCACTCCAAGTTGAGAAGATGAGGCTGAAACAATGTAGTACGGAGAGGATGAGGGTCGCGGTCAGGACGGTGAATAAGTTTGCAGTGGGTTTGGGGCCGCAGGAAGTGATGGACGAGTTTGTATAGAAAAGGGCGCGAGTGAGGCAGTGTGCAAGTCTTGTGATGTTGAGAGGAAAGGAAAGGTGAGGGTGGAGTGAGGCCAGGCCTTGAAAGCTGCTCAACAGCGTCACCACTGTGGCTGCGCCCACTAGAACGGAAGCGTGCGCGCCAATCGGAGCGTCGGAGGGTTTGCAAGCGGCGGCGACACCCGGCGGTATTGGACCCTTTGTGGATTGTGTTGACGACTAAAAAGAAATCTCTTGTAATTTAAAGAGTGTACTTGAACATGATAGGGTCATGCCAGTACCGAAAGAAGATTTTATATGGTCAGGGTACTCAACACCGCTTGGTGACGACTCAGGGTTCTTACTTGTTCGACAATGTCACAACAGACATGCCGCCGGATTGTTTGCCAGTCTGCGGTTTGCGTATCACAACATAAGATGGTGCTCTCAAGTGCTGGGAAGTATATACCTGAATGAGTAGCGATCACGGTCTCAGGCGTGATGCTGACCACATTCTCGCTCCTGTCTTGGGCACTTGACTGCGAGGCTGGTCACTGCGGTGCAGGACCAGGCAGGGTGGCCTGGACAGTCAGCAATGGATGATATTGACTCCTGAGGCAGATAGATTGATCGCCTGGGCATTCTGATATCGGAAAGGATTCCCTGGGTGACTTATGACGCCATATCCCTGGCTGCGATGCTACTGTGTCATGAAGGCGCTGGTAATTGGGTACATGAGGTCTGTATATGCATTATAGTCTCCACGGTTAAGTTCCGATGCAGTCACACGTAGGGCCGTCATCTGGCCGTTATTGTGGGGGCGTTTGCTGCCAGCCTGATGGAGCCAGAGTTATGTCGCGCATCTGTCTTTGCAGGTGGTCCATCCGTGCAACAGAATGATATTTTTTTCTGCTCTCTTTCAGCTTCCCACTGCAGAATGCTTGCATGCCCGTGCCGCCCCCGGATGGATGGTGGATGATGATCGCAAGGTAATCGCGGGAGCGGGAACGATGACCTAATCTTACCGGGGGAAGCAACCGTGCCGTACCGTATGTACATACATATGTAGAGATAGTAGTATCCATCTCCTGCTCGAGACTCGTCTCAAACATATTTGCTCGCAGCGCTAAGGTGTGAGTCTTTTCATCGCGACCAGACAGCAGGCAATAAAGCAGAATGCACATGTATCCAGCGGGCGCAGCAGCAGACTCAGGTGCACCGCCGTCGCCAGCCGTGGCATTCTGCGCGGGCACGGACAAATCAAGACGCGCTCCCGCAGCGTCGAAGCACTTGACCCCTTGGGAGCCCGCAAGCCTTCAGCCATTCCCGCGCCTTCTTGACCCACCACAACCTCGACTCCACAGTGAAGCTTGCACACCTGCCCATGAGGCTTACCTGCTCCTCTGATGTTTGCCCGTCTTTATCATTGCTAGGTTCCCCCTAGCCTGTCGGCCACTCTCCTTGCGACCATAGCAAATCCTTTTCCGTTCTGATACTTGATCATACTCGATACCCACCCAACCGTACCAACAAACTGACCATCTCTGCCTGCCCTGGCACTCCTCCGCGAATCCCCAGTCCTCTCTATACAACAGGCGGCCCACCCGCTGCTCCCGTCAACATGTTGCAACCCACTCTTCCCACCGACTCGCCGCGCGCCCTCTCGATAATGACCACGGCCACGACCGCCTCATCTGCAGACAAAACTGGACACGCCTGGAGCATAGCCGTCAACGAGGACAACTGCTGGGAGGATCTGATATTGACTCTCGGTAGGTTGCATACACCGCATACATACACACCTTGCTTGATGTCTCCGCGACGCGGGAACCTCGGAGTGGTTGTGGTTGGCCAGCACAAGCTATCTTGTAAAGTCAAGCAACCACTACCACCACCTAGTTCCCGTAGCGCACCAGCCTGTCGAATCACTGTCGCGTAGTAAGCTGCAATATCATCGCACAGGTCGCACCTCAAAACTCGTTGAAGAGAACCGCGCTGTGAATACATGGAAAGCTAACGTTGCGTCACTCAGATGGTGGTGGCATCCGCGGATATGCCAGTCTCATTATCCTCCAACGCCTCATGCACGAGGTTGCCGACTGCGAACGACGGCTCCAAGACGAACACGGCCCCGTGGCAGACTCGACGAGACATACATTCAACGAGGATGAATTGCTACCCTGTCACTACTTCGATTACATGTATGGTACTAGCACTGGTGGCCTCATATCGGTAATGCTCGCACGATTGCGCATGACGGTTCCACAGTGCTTGGAGATATACCGAAAAGTTGGCGATGACCTGTTTGGCCATCGAAGAAATGTGTACGTCTCATGTCAGAGTCCTATGCAGTGTCGGGTTTCCACACCTTGATAATGCATTATAGACTGTGGATACACTAACCTCGTACAGTTTACCTCTGGCCACCAAATTCCACCACAAGCCTCTGGAAAAGGCTGTGCAGAGTATCGTCGGCGAGTATTGTAAACACCACACCAAATGCGACGGCCATGATTGGCATCCGTGGGATATCAACTCAAAGGAAGACCTCTCGGCACACACTTCGCAAGAGTCATCCTTTTGCAGCAATATTCCAAAACAACAAGACAGGATTTGTCAGTCCATCTGCTTGACTGCCACACACTCTGGTCAAATCGATGAAGCCTATCTATTGCGAACTTATGACCACAGATATGATCCGGATGTTTCACCTGGTACGTAAACTATACCTGCATTTTGCTCTCGTGTCCACCCAGACAGTTTTCCTGTGTGATGTATTTGAAAATTAGTAGTACACTATCATTACCCAGCATGCATTGTGCTAATTCTATGTTTAGTCTGGGTAACACCGTACAACGAAGGTGCCGACAAGCTAAAAATATGGGAGGTCACACGAGCTACCTCCGCAGCGCCTTTCTTCTTCAAGATGCTCGAGGCTGATTTTGGGTCGCGGGGGAAGATCGGGTTCAAAGACGGCGGCATACGCGAAAACAATCCGTGAGTATATTCAATATATAGTTGTCGATCAACGGGGCGCCATCAAGTGCAGTGTTTAATCACTATGAGGATGAAATATGCTAATTTTGGATATTTTCTCCAGGTCCTACGCAGCGTATAGCGAGCATGCCTCACTCAAGGGAGAAGATCACGAACCCGCGTTGCTACTTTCCATTGGCACAGGAAGACCAGATACGTCACATGATGGCTTTGCCTCAGTTTGGCCAGGCCCATTCGGAAAAGTGCCACTGATGAAAAAATGGTACGTATATCCCAGGTGATATGTGGGAGTGTCATTCCACACCCTGGTAGCCCATAATTATATGCTTGCTCGCTTTTTACTGATCTTGCTTTTTGGCTTAGGTCGGAAAAACTAGCAGTTTTCAAAAATGTTTTGATCAAGTACACGGAAGGTGAAGATCGCCACAAAATGATGCGCACGATCGCAAAAGGCGAGCATCGTTGGTACAAACGCCTGAATGTCGACAAGGGTCTCGAAGACATGCCGTTGGATAGTTGGGAAAAGGGCCAGTGGCACAATCCACGAACCGGTATAACGAAGGAGGTGCCGGGCGGAAAATCGCTTTCTAGAATGGAGGACGTAACAAGAGCATATTTGGACAGGGATCAAGCGAAGAAAGATATTTTACTCGAATATGCGCCTCCCAAGATTGTTCTCCAGCAGGTTGCGGAACGACTGGTGAGGCACAGGCGAATGAGGGAGGCCACAAAAAGAGACGACCTGCGCCGGTGGCAAACACACATGGGCCAATGGTTGACGGGTGAGCTGAAAAACGAGGATAGCATGATCCGAACAGATCACGATCCGCCAGTCGCGCCCAAAACGACTTCGAGGAATTCTACTGCACCTGCAGCCTCTGCTGAAGTGGATAACCCAGAAACACCAACCGCCGCAGCCCCAATGAAGGATATTCCGGCAATAGTTATACGGCAGCCTAGCGCTGCTAGTAAAGTACACCAGCTCCAGGACACGACCAACTCATCAACCCCCACCGCGCCGAACGAATCCAAAGTATGAGGAACCTTATGTTACCCCAATGCATATTCCGCCACAATATTCCAGGATCCACTGACGTTCAGTCATTCCGCATGATTTCACAGTTTCGCAATATATCCGGCGTAGTTATCGCCATCCCTAAAATCACCTCACGGTCGCCATTCAGGATCAAACCGGCATATGATTCCCCATCACGAATCATCATAATCGGCGTTTTTCATCATTGTTCTTTACATGGTATAGCATAGCAAGCATTCATACGAAGCACGGTCATATTTGTTTATCTTGGGGCATTTGCTTGTTCGCGAAAATACCACCCATCTTTGCCTAATGTCACTCATGTATACTTGTTCTTTTACGGTAATGTTGTTCTTTTTTTTTTGGCAATCGCCTGTTATTTCGGTTCCTCTTATTGCCGTGGATTCTTCGCTGTCTGTAGGAGTACCCAAACTCCAACTCAGAATTCAATTCACAATTCACGGTCGTATTTTCATGCGCGGTATATGTTGGAATCATACTGGGATGCTGTTGTTTGGATGAAAACAATTGTTTGTTTTCGATGTCACTAATTTTCGGTCCCATCGCTTGACTTGTTGATTAAGATGGTAAGGGGCGAGTTAATCAAGGCAAACATGTGCAAACATGCCATGCTTTAAAGCGCATTAACTGTTCGTTCTTCTTCCATCTTTTGCAGCCTTTGAACGTGACTATTTCAAGTGCTACTTGAATGAATGATTGGGTGTTTGCTTGGTCGTGTGATGTCTTGTATGTAATAGCATACAGATCTGGTGAGCTCGTCTCGAGAAAGAAAAGGATAGTCACGAGAGTAATCTGGCTAGTTTTAGAATAGAGTAGAGGCCTGATCGCGATGGGATGACTACTTAGCACCTAGCATCTTCTTCTCCCTTCTATTTCAGCTACTTGTTTCCTTGATTCTTTGAAACCAAGGGAATGAAGCGGACTAGCTCTTACTGGAAACTATGGATGGTTGGATTGCCTCTATGGGCAAATGGCTAGCTTGTATCGTAGATTGTTTTCCGTTCGTCCGATTGTTGTTTGTGTCTTGAGTGCTTGAGGTCTTACGTGTCGGTGTTACCATGCATATACATAACACCGTCTTTTGCTGAGATATATGTTCATCACCTGTGGGGATTCTCATTACTTCCATACGTCGACGTCTCCTCTCTCTCTAGATTCTCCCTCTCGAATCGCACCTTGTAGCTACAAAAGCATAACTACACCAATACCAACCCTCTCCAAGAAGCAAACCTACATTTTCATTCCTGAGTAATGATCCTTCAAGGCGGTATATTCCCACTCCCTCACCGCATCCGCAACGGACTCGCTCAACCACCCCTACTCCCTCAGAACCAACACCGCCATCATCACCGCAATCACAATCACAATCATAACCATGCCGCGGCGCAACCACAAAGATACCACTTCGACGACACCATCGCACTCCTCCTCAGAGAGCTCACCCCGGCACGGAAAGACCTAGAGTGCGCTGTCCTAGACTTCGAGCGGGAGATCAGAGGCGTGAAGGCTTATGCTTCACGGGAGGTTCTCGATCGGCTGTGGGAGCTGAAAGTCGGCAGTGGCAAGGGGGGGTCAAAGGTACGTATCTTCCCCCTCCCCAATCTGACATCCTCGAACGCAATATACCTGCATGAAATGAAAAAGAAAAAACTGACCTTTAGATGTATGGTAGCTTCGTATCGCTCTCTCCCCGCTCTCACGAGCGCTAGATATCTTGACACATCGCACGAGCTCGTCGATCAGTTCGCGTCATCGACATGCGCGTCTTGCTCGCGATCCTGTTGCTGTTGATCAAGGGCTTTTGAGGTTGAAGAATGCCGGGGCGCGGTGTGAGGCAATTTTGATGAAGTTGGGGACAAAGGCCTGTTATGGGAGGGAGTTGGATGATGAGCTGATGAGGCTTAGGAGGTTGGTTGAAGGATGGGATTTTAGTGGTGGGGGTGGGGGACGTGGGAATGGGGTAAGGGGACTTGGAGGGATGGGTGGTTTCGTAGTGTCTTGAAGAAGAGAGATGAACTGGGGGTCGCTGTCGTTGGGTTTTTTGAGGCTTTGGGTGTGGCGTGGAGGGTAAGAGTATACTTTGTGTATCTTAGGGGAACAATGACGGCTTCAAACATCAGGTGGGTTCCATTTGCTCATTCTTCAGTTTTCATTCCTCGCTTCGATGCTACATATCGAGCTCCTGCCAATTCCCTATCTGTTCAAGCTCGATTAAACGCATGTAACTAGCAAATACTCGATGAACGATGAAATAAATGTAATACGCGAACACATATGAGGGAAAAACGCCCAAGGACCACCGCTACAGCGGAAAACCCCCCAAAAGGTCTCACCATTCGTCCTGAGGCATCTTTTGTCGGTGCAGGTGCCTGATATACGTATCGATACCCTTAAGAGCAAGTTCGACACCCATAATCTCAGCAGCTGCAACACTCCTATGCGTTCCTTGCACACAACACACCTCAATCAGCGCTTCGTCGTGATTCCTCGAGAGATAACCTATAGTTTCATTCATAGCAACGTTCCTAGCACCACGCAGATACCGTCAGTAAACGTTATTCTCCCCATCAAGACAATCTCCCCCTCCTCCTCTCAAAAAGTAAGATAGAGGGAGAGAAAGAGAGAGGTTAGGCGATGAAAATAGCAGGAAGAAACTCACATATCCCTCCTAGCTTCCTTCAATCTCCCAACAAACCGCTGCACCTCCTCATTAATTCCACTCCATTTCTCACACACCTCCCGCGGCGGCGGCTTCCAATCCATCGCACACACAGTCAACAACGGCTTCAGCCCTGGTTGTCGCGAGTCCACCACTCGCTCATGCTCCGTTTTACTACGCTTCACTACTGAATTAGAGTAGGTGTTGATATACACTCTTTTCGGCTTCTTGAAAAGTGGTGGGTGTTGGGTTTCGCAAGCATGGTTGTGCTTGACGATGTCGTGATCAGGAGGTGCGTCTTTGGGGTGTGACATTGATTGATGGGAGGTGGGGTCTTGGGAAGCGGGTTTTGCAGGTTCCTTGGGAGGGGATGTGGGTTGGCGGGGACGCGGTGGAGCGAGGGAGTTCCAAACTGGGAGGCGTGGGAAATAAGAGTAGGGGAACATTGTTGTTGGTGACTGACGTGAGCATCTGAGTTTTGAAGCGGTTATGTACGAGGCTCGGTGTTGCGTTGCAGATATTATGAATGGGGTGACGGGGGTATCGGTTTGAAAGAAGTGCGTCGAGTACGTGGATGACTGGTGGAGAGGAAATTTTTATGTGATATGAACGCCTACTTGAATGGCGACGTGACTCGCAGTTGTCAATGTATAGACGAGTCTGTGTTGTTATCTACCAGCAAGCCTCCAATGAGCAAACTTTAAACTCGTGTCAAGAACAATCCTTCCATCGTTTTCTGAGTTGCTCGTAGAGCCTTGTACTTGGGCTTGAAACAAAACCTTTAGTCTTTGTTCTAAGAATCAATGCTAAATAAATTACGGGAACGTCAATATCGGAGTTACGATTATAAGATCGAGTTGAAATGCTCGAAACACCAGATCAGCCCAGACACACCATGTAGTAGCCAGAAGACGTCACGGGAATATAACCATCATTAAATTCCATTACCTAGACCGGGCTTGAATGTAAGCAGTGTGTCACTTCACTCTGAACAGCGCACACGTCGCCTAAGTATTCACATACTGAACGAGTCCGGTCAAAACCGGCGCGCATCCCTCTTCCTCGACACCCACTCGTACAAAGCCCAGATCGCATATACTATGAGTGTGAGTGCCATCGTGGCGCCCACGTAAACACGCCAGCTGGTGCCTTGTTCCATCGAGAATATGCCTGCATCCCATAGTGACTGTATAGATGTTTTCCACAGTAAGCTTCGAAGACAATGGCCAATGTGCAACGCATGTTGATGAAGAAAAGGGAGTTGCAAAGAAAACATACCGCAAGCATTGTTCCCGGGAGAAATGTTAAAGTCAAGACGGTGATAGTCTTCATAGTCCGACTATCGTTCGCGGTAAGGCGAGCAATTTGGTAGTTCTGCTCGTTGCCCTTTTGCGCGATGAAACTGTAGACCTAAATTTTTGATCTCAGCTTCGGCATTGCCCCCAGCCATGCTTGGAATACCACAATAAGCATACCAGATTGATCTGCGCGCCCATCCGATCAAGCAGCTGCCTATTCTTCTCCGCCATCCCCCTCAAAACAGCATCTACAAACTTGACCCTACCGTCCAAAAAGGCCCTGTGTCCTGGCTTCATAGCCTCCAGCCCAGCACTACTTCTTAAACTTTCTACCTCCTCTACCATTCTTCCCAGGTCCTCACACAATCCCACGGCAGCCCAAACAACTGTCAAGGCGATCCTCGATTCTCTATTCACCGCATGGAGCTCTCTGAGAAGTGTCGTCAGTCCTCTAGCCAAAGAATCGACAACTTGTTGTCGTCGATCGCCGTTGCGGGGAAATGGATGACCTGGCGTCATCCACGTAGAGTCCTCCAGCAGCTCGATGCGATGCCACTGATGCAGTAGCCAAGCTTCGAGGTCATCGCGCGCGTGGTCGAGGATGAAGCGGAGAAGGTGGAGTGGCGACTGTTGGATTAGATCTAGTGACTGAATACACTGGGCTCGCAAAGCATCGGTGATGGTACTAGTAGAGGAGCTGAGCAGACAGGTTGTACTCAGAGTTTCGAGCGTGATCTTCAAAGAACAATGGATCGAATCAGTGCGAGTTAGAACTCGGACGAGGATGTCTGAGAAGAGATGATCAGCCCTGCGAATGTATATCTGTGATATATTTAGAGGGAGTGTGCGAACATACACAGGGATTCGGGTGTAGTCTGGTCCTCATCGTATTCTACGTAGTATGAGCAGTGAGGCCGCACTGTGCGATAAACGGCTTCTATATCCGGGTGAACGAGTTTACATTCTATGAGAGAAAGAAGCATGCTAGAGGATAGTCGCAGAGGGGTATCCGGCTCTGATGGATCGCCAACGGCCGTCCTTCTCTACGCGTTAGAATACTACGATGTTGTAAGTGGTGAGGAAGTACATCAGGGTGAAAGTAGCTGCATTCTCAGTTTTTGGTATATCCGTCCCATCCTGCGATATGCTGCGGCTCTAGAGCATGTGTATCAGAATTTATCGCATCTCAATGGGGCACTGTGTCTACGTACGGAAGATTTGAGTTTGGATTCTAATGAATAGTCATCGTGAGATTCATTGGTGGTATACGCGTCTCGGCTATCGAAATACTGTATCTGTGACTTCGCAGCAAAGTACAAACCGCGCCAGCGGCTATACTCTGCCACACTCATAGATAATACCGAGCAAAGTTCTGTTCGTTTGACTGATCAAGTGGCACATTAACATCACAAGTATCTAGGTAAATACCAACAGTGATGTCGCATCCTATACGAGGCTGAGATGCACTAGCCGTATGCAGAAGGTGCATTGGATATCTGACTGAGGCATTGCTGAATAACACCTACAATATCAATCCCATAAGTCTAGGGTTATGTTTCAGGCGTACTTGTAATGTCCGTATAGGGAGGGTATCGCCGTCTTTTTGCGTTGATATGTGGCCATGACGATCGGTAAGAGCTGCCACAAAGTATCACGGTCTTCATCTCTAATGGAAGATTTATTGTATTGTCGTTCTATCGCACGGTAGCGCGTAGGAACATTGAAGATCTCGTGGAATTCGCTCGGCAGTTACTCATATGCTGTATTCAACAGCGATTAGAGTCCGTAGGCAGACATCTTGTGGAGGAGGTGTGGCGACATATTAGTAGCGGGATGGTAGCTCCTCCTTAGAAGGCCGGGGTCAATTAAGCTGATTCGCCATCGATGACTCAAAATGAGCTTCGCAGCAATGATACAATACATCGCAGATGCACTTGTCACCATGATAGCATTACGCATATGACATCTGGAGGCTTCACACTCGAGCATTGATAGTTGCTGGCACACAATTGAGGAGGCCGTGGAACATAGCTTCACTGATGTGGGTTCTGTTGCGCTACTGAGAGGTGAACGATGTAGGACGATGTGAAAGCTTGACACATATTCATATCTGGGAACTATAACAACCGTATACTACCAGAGATCACGAATTATGTTCAAAAACCATAGATAACCCAATTAAAACTCCTGAGAACATCTGAATGCACGACGGCATGAGTGTCTCGAGGTGCTCGTGACACGGATCAGCATGAAGAAGCTAGTCCAGGTATAGGTTAGCGCATCTTGGCAACACACACCTCAAGCGATATTTTGTAACTTGTTGTAAATGTAACTCCTCAACACCACGACCGTCGCCGACACACCAATCCATCAAAATGTAAGGACCCAGGCCCTCGCTGCTCTCCTCTATCGCGAACAACACAATCCCGAACGTCTATACACCGCCCGCCCTGTCGAACTGCTAGACCGGCGCTCCGGATGTGGCGACAACCCCTCTTTTCACACACCCTCCTTCCTGGCCCATGAAGAACACTTTGGCAGACAGAACTGACGCTCACTGTCTCATAGGGTCAATCTCCGCACGCAGAAGCGCCTTGCGGCGTCCGTTGTCGGCTGCGGAAAGCGCAAGATCTGGCTCGACCCCAACGAGGTTAACGAAATCTCCAACGCCAACTCCCGTCAAACCATCCGCAAGCTCGTCAGCGATGGCCTCATCATCCGCAAGCCGGTTACTACACACTCCCGTGCCCGTGCCCGAGAGCTGACCGCTGCCCGACGAATTGGCCGACACCGTGGTTTCGGTAAGAGGAAGGGTACCAAGGATGCTCGTATGCCCAGGTATGCAGCTTACACCGCCTATATTCCGCACAATCCAGAGGCTCTATAACGAGAATTGGGTGATTGTGCTTTGTTGAGGATAGTTGCTGATGTGGGTGTATAGCCAAGTTCTCTGGATGCGCCGTCTCCGAGTCCTCCGCCGTCTTCTCGTCAAGTACCGTGCCGCCGGAAAGATCGACAAGCACCTCTACCACGAGCTCTACCACCTCTCCAAGGGTAACACCTTCAAGCACAAGCGTGCTCTCGTTGAACACGTACGTTGCATCATATGACATCATGACATGTTAGTTCGCTCAAGTTCGGCAAACTGACACTCGCGACAGATTCACAAGGCCAAGGCCGAGAAGGCCCGTGAGAGGCACATCAAGGAGGAGATGGACGCCAAGCGCGCGAAGACCAAGGCTGCGAGGGAGAGGAAGTTGCAGCGCGCGGAGGCCAAGAGGGTCGAGTTGATGGGTGGCGACGACGAGTAAACTGCGGGCATGAATATTGGCGTGGGTCTTCTTACAGGCAAAGGAGGCGTCTATCTCCTTTCTTAACTGGGGCATATGCGGTCATGTTTTCATGTACGTCAGGGTATTTGCAAAAGAGTTTTTTTTCTCTCCACGCATGCTCGGCTTTCATGACTGCCCTTCTCGTCTCGATGCATAATGTCCATAACACGAGGATAAAAGGATGCATTGAGATAGAAAAAATGAGTGATCGCAAACCAATTCATTTCCGTTGATGTGATATGTCTACATGAGCATGTACGAACCGGGAGTCGAAACTCGAGAACACCCAGTTCCCAGTGGTCGATGGGCTTGATGCCTTTCTGATCCTAGCTCCACCCGCGCTACCAACGGCAAAAGGTCAAGTGACAAAATAAGATGAATGCATGCAGGAATGCTTCAGCATGGCTTCGATGCCGCAAAATACCACACTGCATGGTGGCATGACATGTGACAAGTCTGTACCTGGGGTATAACGTCTCTCAATGAACCATAACGCCGAACTGCCCAATCGTAATAGCCTCGCGAGTTGAATAATGTCAAATCTGTATATATTGTTAGTATCGCTCTTGAAAAAACATCGCAGTGAACATCGACTTACCAGTCGTAAAGCCGAACGGTGCACAGTCTTCGTGAAATTCAACATGGCCTTGCTCTTGTTGTTGCCCTTCTGCAACCGGCGATAAGCCTCCTGCACGTGTGCCGTCTGAACGGGCTCCCTAGCCTCCTCTGGAGGATCAAATAGACCCCTCTCGCGCTTGCGCTTCAAGCTCTTCTCCTCTTTCCCTCCGCCACCGTTGCTCTTCTTGTAGAGATCCTCGGCATGCTTGACCTTCAGTGCTTCCTCGGTCAATGTCTGCACGATCTCAAAAGTGAGGAAACCGAGGATATCGATGATGTCGTCGGAAGGCTTGGAATCCGTGATGAGGCCAAAGCCAGCCCACTCCTTGAAGCGCTTGCCTTTACGATACGTGAAAGAAGCTTGACGGCAGTCAGACCAGTGGACGTATTCCTCGCGAGTCATGTGCTTGGTGCGCTCATCAGCGTTCTTGAGACGCAGGAGGGTCGCGTAAGTCATCTCTTCTTCTTCCTCGTCTTCGACATCATCCATCAAGGGAGGATTCTCGCCGAAGAAGGACTGCACGTCCCAAACAAGATCAACCTTCGCACGCTTGGCCTTCTTCCCCGCGTCCATGCCGCCTCCAGGTGCTCCAGGTCCAGCGCCAGCTCCAGGCAAGAGATCCGCATCAGCACCTACGTCCGCGCCGGCATCGCCGCCCTTATCGTCACTGTCTTTAACAGAGCGACGGACATCCTTCCACTGCAGAAAATGGCGAAGGCGGGAGATTTTGGCGCGGTCATGCCGGATAAGCATGAACAGGTCATCTGTGCTGATTGATTTGGAGCCACGACGGGTAGCGAGATTCGTACACTCTCGGAGCATATGCTGAACCTGATCTTGGACGATTTGCTCGATCAAGGTCGTGGTCTCCGGGGTTGGCTCGCCAGTTTCGCCGGACACGAACATCATCTTAGACAAGTTAGCTATTGTGTATCCCATAGGAATCATGATAGACTCGTGAAACATGGTGTAGATGAATAGGGGGGTATAAGAGAATTTAAGGTAGAGGAGAAGTATCAGTGACTCGAATAACTCATGAAAGCTGTGACAGGTTGTACGAGAAGCACAGGACGGAGAGAGCTTATATAGACGAGCTGGAGGAGAGTAAAGGTGAGAATCAAACAGGTAAGAGACTCAACTGCGATCCACAGCTCGCAACCCTTCAAAGTAAGAGACGATGGAAGATATGTCCGAGACATAAGGTGGTGTAATAGAAGTGTTAACACACTTTACTACCACCTGAGCCTCTGTCGATCCCCAACATGGTCTCCTCTGGAATGGTGCCGGCGAACATGACTTTCGACACCGGAAGCTCTTGAACTGCTGAAAGAAAGGAATGGAAATTGAAGTGCAAAATGTGAGAGTGTTCCAAAGCAGACTCACCTGCTGGATTTCGGTCCGGTACTTCGCCATCTTATCCTTCTCCGACATCTTGCCTGCTTTTCAAACAACACCCCCTATGATAACTCTTTCGATCCGGTTGTCGATATAATACTGGCAACAGCTTCTTCTTCTTAAAGACCAGCCGCCGGCGCTGTCTTCGTGAGTTTACTGTCCAAGGTTTAGCTAGAACGGAAGCTGGAGATGGATGTTGCAGTTGGGTTGACGTTCACAGAAGCGGGTTGGGATGGCTGTAGCGCGCTAGCCCGGAATGAATTAGCTCAGCCTTACCGCGTGAATCGTGGGAATCCACTCAGCGCCCCGCCAAAGATTTTCGAGAACCCCCGCCAAAAATCATTCACTTTCCAACATTCGAAAGACGGTATTCACACGCAGCGATTCACGATGTTGTATCTCGTGGGGCTAGGTCTTGCGGACGAGAAGGATATCACAGTCAAGGGATTGGAAATTGTGAAGAAGGCTGAGCGCGTCTATCTCGAAGCATACACGGCTGTGCTACTGGTGGAAAAAGATGTGCTTGTGAGTGTCGTCTACTGTCATGGGCGGGAATGAAAGTGACTAATTTTCACGGCAGTAGGAAGCTTTCTATGGTCGAGAAGTCATAATTGCCGACCGTGAAACAGTCGAATCCGAGAGCGACGCCATCCTCAAAGACGCCGACAAAGTAGATGTTGCGTTCCTTGTAGTTGGAGATCCATTTGGGTACGATTTCTATCTGCTTTTATCTCCGCGAACAGGATTCTGACTGCGACCAGAGCTACCACACACACTGACCTCGTCCTCCGCGCTCGCGAACTCTCCATTCCCACTCGCTCCATTCCCAATGCCAGTATTTTGACCTCGATCGGTACCACCGGTCTACAACTCTACAATTTCGGCCAAACAGTTTCGATGGTGTTCTTCCTAGAAAACTGGAAACCTGCTTCCTTCTACGATCGCATCAAGGAGAATGCTTCAATCGGCCTCCATACTCTTGTGCTACTTGACATAAAGGTCAAGGAACAGTCCATTGAAAACATGGCACGGGGCCGGAAGATCTATGAACCTCCGCGGTACATGACGGTCGCACAATGCGCACAACAAATGTTGGAAATTGAGGAAGACGTCAAGAAAGAAGGAGCCTATACGAGAGATAGCCTGGCTGTGGGTGTTGCGAGGGTTGGTAGCGAGGATCAGAAGATAGTGGCGGGAACACTAGGTCAGCTGTGCGATGCGGACCTAGGGGCACCCTTGCACAGTCTAGTGCTGCTGGGACGGAGGACGCACGACTTGGAGAAGGATTTCCTCGAAGAGTTCGCGGTCGACAAGGAGGGATTCAAGGAGATCTGGAAGAAGGATTATGAGGGCAAAGCATAGATGGGTCTTATAGCCAATACTGTGTGCTTGAAATAACCCGAAACTTCAAAAGCAGGGTATACTCTCTGATCTGGGTTGCAACAATACTTTATGTCTGTGTCGTGTGTATATAGGCCCGAGGTATCCTCACAACCTATTTTGCGGTCACCATGAAATTTTTCTAAGGCTCTGCCGCACCCTGTCACCAAGCTGTCTAGTGATAGATTTCATGGCTGCTGCATCTACAAGCGACGAACCAACACACCGCCATAGGAAATTTTCCGTGAGGGGAAGATTGCACTGCCCGTATACGCAGCACGCTGTGTAACATAGCTAAAGAAATTTCTATTGCGATGTGTCACTCCTTATCAGGCACCAATGGAGTAGCAGCTGACTGAAGTACGGAAGACTTCGAAGTCACGGGTCCTCGAGCTCTACGCTGCCTCTCGCAAGTATAAATACGTGCCCGCTCGCCTCCTTCCTCCTTTCTTCCCATTTCCTGAGCAAAACTTATACTTCATAAATTATCACATCAAAATTGGTAGCTCTTCGACATGAGCTTCGGTGGGAATCAGAAGTTTGAAAGTTTTCCATTCATCAAAAGACTTGGTTCCTCTACATATGATCATTTTTGAGGAGAGAAACGGTCAAAGCTATCTAATATCTTTTTCAAATCTCTACAATAATATATTGGACATATCTGTATGGACGGCATACTTTATCCACTAAGAAAATTTATGGACCATTCGACATGCCCCAAAAACCAATCTGTGAAAGATTTACGGCGTCAAATATCATGATTAGAAACCTACTACGTACTGCTTCATGTACGGACATTACACACTAGTTCCACCCGATGTCTCAAACGTCCGTTTCTCTGGTAATCCTAGGGACATTGAACTCATGGAAAACATGGACCACCTACTTTTCCGAAAAACATTTTGATCAGCCTTTTGAGTGTGGGAAACACTTCGACTTCCCTCATGATCGATAGCACTGTCAATGACTAAAAACCTTCCGATCTACATATCACGAGAGGTACCCAAAGATACATGTAATGACATACCACTTCATATTGTATCAACAATCGAGTTTTCACATGGCTTGGGGGTTTTTGAACGTGCACGAGTACATGGCATGTTCTTTTGTCTCGTTCAAAACTAGCATAATCCCATGATTATCTCTGCGCGAAAACATGATTCTTGATTTACTGCATCAATGCTAATTTGGAGGAATTTACGACAATCTGTTATTGCGCGAAACCCTTCTCTGAAAACCCCATGTTTTGTTTTATTTCACTGTTAAATGCAAATACAAGTGGAGTCAAGAGAAGAGCATGCATTTCTATCAATTATATGAATACAAATTTGAAACCTCGTCGTTTCATGCCTTATGTGCTGTCTCGGTTTACAGATCTAGTCTATGCTGTCAGAATATGCCTGCGGAGTCCAAAGTTTAAAGCCGCGCCAGTGTCAATCCCATGTGCTGTTTTGCTGCCTTGGGAACACAGAAGACGACCGCAGTCAAATTATGAGGACCTTTTTCGCCTGGTTCTATCAACAGTATTGAGAATCAAAAGATGCTATGCCATTTTTTAACGACACGTTCTAACTATGAAAATATTATCCTTTGCAATCCTCCATGATCTGCAGCTATGTTTTTCTGCTATACAAACAAGTTCTGCTATCTTGAAATGGGAACAGATTAGTCAAACTGTCAAACAAGATGAATGCCAGTATGATGTTCTAGAATTTGAACAAAAGCACTAGTTTAACATAAGAAGAGTCATTCTACATTCATTATGACCATCTCCAAAGATCGATTTCCATGGGATACAAGTCTGTATCAGAACTCATCACCAAAGACAATTATGTAAGCTCAAAGACAATCTACCAATGAGGTATAACACCTGTCTCGGAGAATGCATGTTTGTTGGATAAAGCGCCTTTTTTAGTTCTCCGTGAAAAGTCCTTTCTACTTTATCCAAAAAATTGCATAAAACTGTACAGCCTGTGACTCATGTGTTATTCTAAATACCCTATTTCCAAAAATGATATGCCCAAGAGATCCTCAGTAACGTTCATAATATGCTCGTCTCAAGTACGAGTCTCCCAAAAATAAAACAACAGGCCAACATCGTTATGAAATCACAAAACGCTATCTCAACAGTTTGAAGATGTTTGTCTGCGCTTCAAAAATCATGATCAATCTGGAGAATGGAGAGGAATATTTTATCAACAAACATAAAATTACAAAGACGCCAAATTATGTTTATATACAGCTGTTCAAAAAAGTGCCTAACTGACATATCATGTTTGTCTGAATCAGAGATTCGCAAGCCGTCCGTGGATGTCTCTCGTTCTTTCTGAGATTCCGAGTATTAATACCTCCGCAAAAAACATCACATGTTCCCGTGGAGATCCCTTCCCCTTTCAAAAACATTTACTATAAAGAATAATACAGTGTCTCTGCAACGCCATGTGTAAAGGAGCTGAACCCCGAAAAAGGGAAACGTGCTAGCTTTATTTTTCTTTCTGTAATAAGAATAATCCACGAACGGCTATAAGAGAGTATTTGAAACGCAATGCTGCAACCGCGCATGTCCTGTGCGGGAGGTTAACCTATTCCTACATCTTAAACTTGACAATCCTATTCCATTCACCTTTATGATTCTTTTCCTTTTAACAATTAATAAATAACGCCGGAGTATAATGCAGTCCCCTAACTACTCCGTTCATGTTTCTCCTGTTCCTCTTTGTCCTCCCCAATATTCTGTTCCAAAAACTGATTATGTGAAAGAAATGAGAAAAACTATGCAACAAGATCAATTATAGACACATATATTTTAAACAACAGTTGATGGAAAACGCTATGTTTGGAGTCTTTGAGAAAATTGATGACACAAATATGACACCTCGGGACAGAGAATCAAGATTTTAAAAAAACCTATGCGGGGGGACGCCATATGGGAAGGCGCGTGTGCGTGGTTAGTGTGGGGTATTTTGGTGATGATGGTGAGCATCACTATTGTTTGAGAAATTGAAGAGATGTGGAGAAGGATAGATGCGTCGGGAAAGACACTGAGGATAGGAGAAGGTACGCATGGAGAGGGTGATGGTGAGGGGTAGGGGCTGGGGAACTACCAGTAGCGCACCGTAGTAATGGTGGTCAAAGTTCAGTGAAGCTTCAACTCGAGATAGATCAATGAATAATCCAGTTTCATATCTTCGAATAATGATAGTGTACTGCTCCGTGACGGTCTCAATACACGCGTGTCCGGACCCAACGTTGTGTCCACTGACACAGAGATTGCATACGTCGAAGGACGACTGATTCATTATTTCCCCCACCAGGTTCATTCATTTGCTTGGATGGGAGATGTATATTCATTTCTCTCTCTCTGTCACGAAGCTCTCTTCAATCGGAGCTTGTTATATACTGATTTTTCTGTATCGATTTCTCACATAGGACAAGGAAAAAGAGGGGGGCAGTTGGAGCGAGTTGCTAATCACAATATATCATACACAGAAAAACAAGAAAGGCTCAATACATGCAGATGAGGAAAGGCAAGAAAAAGACCCCTGATATGCACTGTTTTTCCCGCCCGGTGAACATCGCAGAGGTAAGAAAGAGGACGAGGTAAGAAAGGACACTGTACACAAACGCTGAGGTGAACAAGCTTGAGAAACAAAAGTAACTGAACAACTTCCCTCCTTTTTCCCTTTCGGCGAGAGTGCGCGGCGGGAATAGCTACACCTTTTCCCTCGCTCATATCCAGCTTGGTACCAGCGCCCAACGAAAGGAATCCTGATTGATCGCAAGTGCATAGTAGTAGTGGTAAAATGCAAGGTCTTTTCAACTTCGCAGTACACCCAAAAGTGTGTCGTAGACATCATCGGCGTCCTCGTCTTCGTCATCATCTTCGTCGTCATCTTGTTCCTCTGCAGCTCCTCGCTCGAGCTGGTGGGGGTTCTGTGCTCCGAACACACCCTCATCGGCATCGTCATTCACGCTGTCGTTGTCGTCTTGCCCGTCACTGTCGAATATGCTTTCACCCTCGACATCAGAGAGTGAGTTCATTTGAAATTCGGCGCCTGCCTCTGTGTCGCCTGCGGAGTCACTGTCGTCTTCCCCAGTCGTGACCCCGCGCCAACTCTGTTCACCATCGTCGTCATCGACCTGGTAGATGTCATCGTCGGCTTCCGTGTCTCCCTTTCCAGCTCCACCAAATTCTAAAGCGTTGATGAATGCGCCAGAGTGAGGGGTCGCATAAGCAGACGGCGTTAGCCTGCTACCTGGAGCAGCGGACCTTTGGCTTGGTCTGCTGAAATCAGAGCTAGTCCGCGGTAGACGAATATGGGGTTCGGACGAATAGAAAGGTGAAGGCGGCTCGCGAGAACGGCGAGGAGTGTTTGCCCAAATGGTGGGTTGCGCTTCCCGCGTGTCCGACTGCGGCTGAGGCGAAGACGAGTTCCCGACTCGCCGACGCTTCAGCCTGGAGATAGCCTGGCTGGGCGCACGAGTCTGAGATTGCGGTGCAGATGTGTGCTTCACGGGTGAGCTGTTCAGGCGACGCTTCGACGATGACAATACGGCAGGGTCCGCGGTCGAAGCCGAAAGAGTACGGTAGTGAATTGGCGGTCGCGAGTGGAACTCGCTCTGAGGTGAGATTGGCTGTGGAGGCTGTCTATTCTTGAGAATTGAGCTCGGCGTCATGGATCGTCGCCAGTCGCGCTCAGCGGGCCGCATGGATAACTGAACAGAGTGCATGCTCGCGAAAGATGAGTTGACACTAGCGGGAGGAGCATCAAGGGCATCAACGAAGGACCAGCATGGCTCCCGTGCATCTGCCTCAGGAACCTGGGCTTGGCCATTTTCTTCTTTATCCTGCATCGGCGAATCAGCATCGGGCTGCCATCGAGGCAGAAGTCGCATCTCGTGCCATGTCCATATGTCACCCGTTTGATCCATTGGTTGAATGTAGGACTCGCGCTGTGTGACATAGAGTCGCTTCTTACCGCCTGAGACGCGCATTAGCACACCAGAAGCGAGGAACTGAGCGGTCCACAATGCAGAACTGGCCATTTCGCTGGGAGTTAGGAAGCGTAACCTCGAGTCCTTGATTATTTTCTTGAGCGGTATGAACGATGCACGGAGACCAGGGTAAGAACTGATCATTGGGTTTTCGTCATCGTCATTGTATTTGAAGCGGCCCAAAAGGTTTTTGAAGGCATGGGAAATCGTCTTTTGAATATCATTGGCATTGGCGCTTGTGAGTTTCACACCAACGACGAAGCCTCTGCTCTTCAATCGTTTGTAGACCAGATTGTTGCTGCCACAAGCCTTGGGCGATAGCAATTCATCTGGTGAACCTGATACCCATTCTCCAATCTCTTGACTACTCCATCCGCTCTCTGTGTCGCTGAAAGGGTGCGAGCTTCTGGACGCGCCTTTGACACCTGGGTGTGGACTTGAATCAGTGTCCCGGAACGGCACCAAAGAGGTCCGGGAATGACCAAGTGTCAAACTGCGGGCTTGAGTCCACTCCTCAGACTCTTGGGTGGTAGTCTTTGAAGTGTCGTGCATCGGTTCTTCAGGCGAAAACCATATGCCGCGCAAGTCACGACCCCATGGCAGTAAGACAATCTCCACTTCCCACGGATTGAGAGATGTAGGCGGGGCAGTAGCTTCAAGCTGGTCAAGTCGCTCTTTGACGCCTCCGAGCTCGGTAGCTATCTCCTTCCGATCCATAGCTGCAATGATGAGAGCGGAAGAGGTAGAAGATTGAATGGAGTGGGCTGAGGTGAATGATTCGTTCACAGCTGAGATGCGTCCACGCGAGTTGCTGCTCTGGTCGGCATCAATGGCTGTATGTAACGCCTCGTGATCGTCCATGCGGTTCTCGAGGTGAAGCAATCGCCCATCGAATGTATCAAATTGTTGATTAAGGTCGTCTGGCTGCACATAGTTGAATGAATTGTTCTGTTCGAGCATCGCAATACGATCGTCATGCTCTCTCATACTTTTAGCAACATGTGGCATGGACGTCAAAAGATTGTGAAGCGGTTTGAGATATGAGAGGAGTTTCGGAATGGCTTGAGGAGATGCAGATTCTAGGGTGGTTCGAAGCTGGTCTTCTGTGGCATGAAGAGAGCTCGGCAGCAACAAGTTTTGGGTGAGACCTGAAGCTCCCTTGGTTGGTTGTACACCAGCGACATCACGCTGCTCCACACTGGACGTCAATTGTACAAGGCCCTCTATGAACTTCCTCCCTTCTTCAACAGCGTTGTCTGCGATACCGAGGTCGGGCGTGTGTGTGACGCTGGGTGTAGCAATATTTGTAGCACTCTGAATGAAGTCGTCGGGATTATACGTATCGGGAATGGTGTCGCCCTCAACGTTGAGGTGAAGGAGTGGATCCTGTTCGAGGATGGCTTGCAGTGCCCCTGGCGTTGGCCTTGTTAACGAGGGCTGACCATCTGAGACGGAATGAGCTTTTGTGGAAGCAATGTCTAGCTCACCATGGGCTCCTTGAAATTGAGGTGCGTAGGGATCGACTTCAGTAGGCACAGTTGATACGACAGAGGGTGGGCCATTATTGGGATTTTGTGTCGCATCTACGTTCAGCATAGACAGACCGAGACCCGCAAGGGATCCGCGTGACTGATCTGTTTCATTCCTAATGATTGTGTTAGTCGCAGAATACCGATCATTAGATAAGAGGCACATGGAGGGTATGCGAGGAAGCCCAGTAGTACTGGACAGCGTCGACTCGCCCCGTGCTTGCTCATCTAGACCGAACGTGTTGGCTTGAGATGCTGCGTTGCTTGTGAGCCGTTGCTCGCCATTGTTGTTAGTTGGAGTGAGGAAGCGTGCAGGCGACTGGGTTCCTGTCGCAAGGACCTGATGGCGCCTGGGATGAGGAGACTTGTGATGATCGCACCCCATCCCATACAAACGACATCGCCCATCACATCTGTCAGGAGGACGCGCTTGCACTTGCGATGGTGCAGGTGGCTGGCTCTGCGCATTCGAGTACTCGTGAAAACAAGCATGGTGACCGCAGACGCAATAGGTCGATCGTTCACTGCCCGACTTGCGTTCTTTACTGTGCTGGTGTATCTCAGCACTGCATTTATCCCAAAACTGGCGGCATCCACAGGAGCCAGTCACGTCGCGATGATTACAAGGGCCGGCCGGGAGGGCACGAGGGGGCGGTGGAGGAGAGGTGAGTCGCGCAAGACCGGGCTGCCCGAGTCCCGCCATGGGTGCCTAATCTGAGCATCCCAGTGCGAGAAGCGGAAGAGTCTAGTATGGAGCCATGGCTTGGATCTATGGAGAAGCTTGGTCGAGTTAGCCATTGACCTGAGAAAGAGTGGAACGGAAGGTGGGCGCCTACCGAAGCAACGTGAATGAGGTGGGAAAGGGAGCAAGTGGTTGCAGGATGCGCCGGGAACTTTATAGGTAAGTATGTAGCGAGGGCATCGGGTGGGACGGCAAAGGGAACGGGCGAGCAGGCGGGGTCTACCAGCAGATCAAGTCAGGTCGAGGATGTAGGGAGGAAGAGGAGGCCGTCGATAATATCATCAGTCAGTCAGTCAGTCAGTCAATTGTCAGAGAGATGGCAGAAACTAGGTAAACATGGATGGGGGAGCTCGGTGACTCTTTACGATCCGTGCCTAGCCCGCTTGAGGCTTAACGTTTCCGGGGAAAGCGGCCGTTCCGCCGGTAACGCCATGTGACTGGCTGCTGTGGCCTGAACCCTGGCTCAACCTCCAAAAGAAAACTGCCACCATGCAAGATAGACGCCCTGTACACCCTCACCTTCATGTCACTCCTGTCCACTGTTTTCGTCACCTGAAACATTGCAAGTCAGTTCGTGCCTGTGTGACATGCCGCCATCACGAGCAGCTTGGTCTCTGCAACTCTGCACTCTGCTGCTTGATCTTCGTCCTGCTTCCAGGCAGCAGCGCGATAGGTACATATGTACATTGGCGACCATTTGCGTGCTTATCGGAACGCGTACCATTGCTCAAAAAGCAACTGCGGTGCACGGATGGGGCTGGCCAATCTGTGGCCAGATGCATTTCTCCCATTGGCCCCGATCCCTCAGCGCATGCGGGTTCAATGCTTTTGGGGTAATCAGCTAATGCACCCAAGCCGCTCTCTCTTCTGCTCATCCAACTCATCCACCACCAAAAAGTGACCGATCCGACTTTCGTCCTGCTTCTCGTCCCATCGCGTGCCCATCCAAGACGAGTCGAATCCCCAACTCTCCATATTGTCCATCGCGTGAGCACGTTCGCCATCTTGAATGGCATGGGCTAACCGCTCCTCGAATGCCATTTCTCCACTTTTGCCATTCGCAAAAAGCAATCTTCGCGCGTCTTTGCTCTTCCCTGCTCTGAGACATGCATCTGCGCCAAGTCGCTTTCTGCGTACGCACAACAACCTCACTCCATGTCCGCCCATGCATCCCACCGCAAACGTATCGGTTGGCAGGGATAACGCAGCTATGGCAGTCTTGTGTTTCTATTGATATGCGGCCGACGAGGCAAACTATTCTACATGTTTCTAGGGGACGCCCACTCATCACGCAAGAACCAACCCGTTCTTTTCAGGCTTGAACCACTCTCTGAGCAAATCGGCTTGTATCTCCTTCGCCCCATCTTTGGCCTCTTTGCTGCTCTTTCCCGAACTTTCAATATACAGCTTGATCTTGGGTTCCGTGCCAGATCCGCGGACCGTGAACCTCGCCCCATCATCAAGTTCGCAGGTGATCATTTGAGCGCTTGCGTCAACAGGTAAATCCGGTACGTGGTCTTTGCTTTTGGAGTCATACCCCACCGTTAGATCTCGCCATCGCACAATCTTACGTGTCCCGATGTGCGTTGGGTGCGGGTCGCCCAGTCCACGAATCTCCGTAAACACGCCCGTCGTGATAGCTGGGGATGGGGATATGAGGTACGTGTTCGCATCCTCGAAGTAACCAATGTGCTCGTATATCTTTTGCAGTTTACCGTAGGGCGTCAGACCTTGCCCTTTCCAGTGCGACACTGCTGTCAAGAACACTGCCGCGGCACTTATCGAATCCTTGTCGTGGACCGTCTGCGGTATCATGTAGCCCAGTGCTTCTTCGTAGGCGTAAATTACATCGTAGCCCTGTTTGTCCAGGTCCCTCGCTACGTTTCCGAGCCACTTGAATCCCGTCAGGGTTTCGGTAAAATGGAAGCCCTCCTTTTCAGCGAGGGCATGAAGCATGCGAGAGCTGACTGTCGATGCCAGCATGGCCACTTTGTCCCGAGGTTTCGACTGCGGATATCTTTCGAATAGATAGGAGCCGATTAGGATGCCGAGTTCATTGCCGGTGAAGATATGCCACGAGTCGGATGCCTTTTCCGCTGCAGCAAGTCGGTCAGCATCAGGATCGCTAGCTAGTATCAATGTTACCGAAGCCGCATCAGCTGTTGCCATGGCTAGATCCAAGGCCCCCTTTTCCTCTGGATTCGGGAACTTGACAGTTGGAAAATCGGGATCAGGTTTCGCTTGAGCATCTACCACAATCATCTGAGACGCAAGCCCCAGATCTTGTGCACATCGCTCCATCGCTGGAAGGCCGACACCATGCATGGGCGTATACACGAATCTTAGTCCTGGACCAAGGTTTCCTGGTTGTTCACCTGGCTGTGCTGCTGTGCAGATGGCCTTGTGGTATTTGTCTTGTACCAGACCTAGCGAGCCTTCAATCAGCAGAGTTGGGCTATCTACCACGGAAGTATCCCAGCTGACTGGCTCCAAGTTTTCTAAAATAGCGTTCGCAATGCCAGTGTCGTGCGGCGGGATGATTTGGCAGCCATTGGACCAGTACACTTTGTAGCCGTTATCACGGGCCGGGTTGTGACTTGCCGTAATCATAATGCCAGCAACTGCGTCCAACTCCCTCACGCCGAATGGGACCAGAGGGGTATGAGTCGGGATATCGTACCACCAAACTTTGATCCCTTTGGCAACGAAAGCTGCAGCAGTCAATTTGGCAAACTTCTCGGAGTTATGGCGGGCATCGCGGCCAATGACAACGCCCCTGCGTTTGGCGTGCTGCTCAGTCTTTAGGAGGTATGCTGCTAGACCTTGAGATGCTTGAATCACAGTCAATGAGTTCATGCACGCGAATCCCGCTTGCATGGGGCCTCGTAAACCAGCGGTTCCGAAAGCGATGCGATTGCGGAGTCGTTTTCCTAGCTCATCGTGATTGCCCTGGTTAAGCAGCCTGTATATCTCATCTCTTGTCGCTTCGTCTTTGTCCAGTCGCAACCACTCCTCGGCAAGCCTATTTACCAATGCATGTCAGTGAATGCTGTGTATCAAAGGCCCGCAGTGCCTTGTCTACATGTAAAGACAATGGACCGATTAATCGAATTTACTGACTGTTTCACGTCGACTGCCGCGGCCATTTTCGTAGAATTATGATTGTCCTGATGTCGATTGGATCCGGAGGATTTGATATGGTCTGGCACGAATGGATGCAGATCTAGAGGGGGTGGCGGTGCAGGGAGCTAGATACATGTAAGTATCCCTCCCACGCCGCGCTGAGCCAGTACATAACGGCGTGTCCGCTACACTAAGACGCCGAGCCGCTGACCGACACCTCCGACCGCCGACCCTTCAATCCTTCCCACTTACATCTTCTCACGCCTCCCTCACACCACGCCTTGGATCAAAACTTTCTCTCCCCAATCACGTTCAAATCGGTCAATCTTCGCGGATATGCTTGCATTCGTATTCTAATCACATTAGCTGTCCCCCACAGCTTCTCTTATCTGCTCTGCATTTCGAATAACCCCCACCACCTAGCTATCCACCCTACTCGACCATGGCAACAATGAACATGGCACAGCAACGAAAGTCGAGAGTCTACACCAGACGCGAAATCGAGGCTCTTATTGCCAGCGGTCGCTCCATAATCATTGTACGAGGTAAAGTGTTGAAGGTGGACGCATGGTTGCCTTACCATCCAGGCGGCGATAAAGCTCTCCAGCACATGATCGGACGGGATGCTACAGATGAAGTGGAACAGTAAGAAAATATGTACCGTTGCATGCGAGGTCAATAACCGACATTTTCTTAGGTTTCACTCCGCCGAGACATTGCGATTCGCCGAGCGCTACCAAATTGGCCGCATAGAAGGACTATGGGCCAACTTTCTACCGCCGATACAAGGAGGAAAGTTCCGGACCCAGGAAGAGCTGGATAGAATACCCTCAAACGACAATGAAGAAACAATCTCTTCGGGCAGCGAATCCGAAAACACGGCCTCGTCAGCAGATCAAAGCCCCGTCTTCGAACCTGCAGAACAGGATGCCGCCTCGCTCCGCAAGCGCACTGCCGTCCCACGCACTTCATCCGCGTCCTCTGTATCGTCGGTCGATCTCGATGATATGAAGGAGACGCCGAAAATGTCCCTGTTAGATGCCCGAACACAAAAGGAGATCGACTTGGACAGCGTCACATACCCTGCTCTGGACCCACAAACGCAAGCGAATGTCGTACACAAGTATCGTGAGCTACAGAAGCGTATAGAAGCGGAGGGACTGTATGATTGCAACTATATGGCTTACGGAATCGAGGGTATTCGCTACACAATTGCGCTGACTCTGTTTATTTTCCTCCTACGATCCGGTTGGTACATCACATCCGCGTTCCCGCTTGGCTTCCTTTGGCACCAGCTTGCTTTTGTCGTTCACGATGCTTCTCACATGGGCATCACGCACGACTTTATTACAGACTCCACAATCGCCATGTTCACCGCCAGTTATCTGGGTGGCTTGAGCGCTGGGTGGTGGAAGTCCAATCACAATGTGCACCACATCGTTACGAATTCACCCGAGCACGACCCCGATATCGAGCACATGCCATTTTTCGCTATCTCGCATCGCTTTTTCGAAAACCTATTTTCTACGTATTACGAACGCGCCATGACTTATGATGCATTTGCGAAGTTTATGATACTGTATCAGAATTACACGTACTACCCTATCATGTTGTTTGGTAGATTCAACCTGTATAGATTGGGTTGGGCACATCTCTTATTGGGCCTGGGTCCAAAGAAGGGCATTGCATGGTGGTTCCGGTGGTTTGAGATTGTTGGGCAGGTTGTTTTCTGGACTTGGTACGGATATGGAGTGGTCTACAAGACTATTCCTGGTGGATGGAACCGATTTTGGTTTGTGTTGATTAGTCACGCCATCACAGCTCCTCTTCACGTACAAATCACGCTCAGTCATTTCGCTATGAGCACCGCCGATCTGGGCGTCACCGAATCGTTCCCCCAGAAGATGTTGCGCACGACCATGGACGTGGATTGTCCACAGTGGCTCGATTTCTTCCACGGCGGCCTTCAGTTCCAAGCTATCCACCATCTCTACCCTCGCATCCCCAGGCACAACTTGCGGAAGACACAGAGGCTTGTGCAGGACTTTTGCAACGACGTGGATATACCTTATGCTCTGTACGGATTTGTAGATGGAAACAAGGTAGTCATTGGAAAGCTCCGGGACGTAGGACGCCAAGCAGCCATCCTTGCTGAGTGCCAGCGAACAATCGTAGAGGGAGAATTTGGTTCGCACACTCATTGATACTGAACAATAGTAGCCACCATATTCATGGTCATTGAAAGTCACAGGACTAATATGACGATATCACAGAATGTGATGGACTGTGCTACTTCGTCGACCATACAATAATCCAACGTTGAATTTAGATGTACTCTCACAACTTCACACCAGATCTGAATACGATTATCATCGACCCGTCTTCCATCCATGTTTCTGCCTCTCTTTGACACCCCCAACATCTATCCTCCACGATAAGACCCCACAAACAAGCAAACACTACCCCCTTTACCAAAAGAAAAGCCCGTCGCTCATACCACAGATTTTGTACAGTAACCCTACCCTATACCATCCACAATGCAAGAAATCGAGCTCAATCCCTCCCCTTTCTCCCCATCGTACACCTCACCCCACTCACCCCCATCCCCCAACCACATCTCGCTTTGTATTTCAGCTCTCCGCCACTCTGCTTCAACCCGCCTCTCTGACCCACCAACCCGTATCTTGCAAAGTAACACAAACCCACTAGACCGAGGGCTAGAAACCCTAATATTCCGCGAGATCCTCGCGCACAAGTCACTTACACACATTGCCAGTAACCTCGCTCTAGACGGTACAAATCCCTTTCCTCTCCTCCAAAACAAAGCACACAAGATTTCAAATCCAATCGTTTATAGATGACTAACAAGCTGAGAACAGGAAAATACCACAGCCCAACACACTACCCGGAAGCCTACACCTACCTCCTCTCCAACCGACCCCGTCTCACCGCCGACGACCTCCTCCGCCACGTGCTCTGGCGTCTGGACAAAAGCGAGTGGTGGCAGGAGAAATGGGAGAGTGCGTTGTTTGGGGAGGGCGGTAAGGAAGGAGTTGCGTGGGCGCTTTGTGAGACCGAGTACAGGGAGAGTAAAGGGAAGCAGAGGGCAAAGGGGCCCATGATGAATTGGGAAGGGGATAAGCATGGTGGGACATACTGTGTGCATGGGAAGAGGGTTAGGGGGAGGGGTTGCTGTGGGGTGTGGTAGGATGAGGGAGAAGACTGAGGAGTAGTCGGGTGTTGGTTTCGGGAGATCTTTCTCCTCAAGCATGAGATCTCTTTTGCACGGGGTGGGAGTGATTGCGGGTTTGGTTTGTGGGTAAGATCGGGCCGGATGCCCATTCGCTCTGACCGAACGTGCGTGTTGAGTTGGGCTTGATCAGGTCACTGCGGCCAGATAGATGACCCGTGTAAGTCCAACTACTTCTAAACAGTCCTAGAGGAACTGCGTGATCTGCTTGATTGGAGAGCGTGGCATGTTGATTTAAGGCATGACTCCGTATTTTGAGTTCCTGGAGAGAAAGGGCCCTTGTGTGTGCAGGACGTTGACTTTATTGAAAAGTGAGATGCGGGCGTAGAAACGGTGATCGTTATGCACTCATCTACCAGAAATCTGGATTAGTACTATTTCTTTTCTCAGCTACCATTCCGCTTTGAGATTTGGGGATCATATGATGATGGTGAGTAACTCCAAGCGATGACTGCAAGCGATGACTTCTCTACATGGTATATACCGATAGCAATTGCCTTGGTCGATGACCATACCGATGATGACGGTGATACAATCCACAATCTATAACATCACCGCCTATTCTTGAGTCAATTCGTTTCATGTTCCTACCATTGCCGGAGAGTTATGTGTGAGATCACCTAGTACGAATTGCGGTCAGTCGGTCTACGCATCGGGAGTGCGAGATAGAGGTGGGGGAAATATTATGCTTATGCATTGGAATAACGGAAGTTGCCGGTATAGACTACTTTGTCATATACCCCAATTTACTCTGTAAAGTAGATGGGTGGACATCGAGAGGCACATACACGTGGCGCGGAATCCCTTCTTGTTGGATCGCAATTTAACGAACATCCAATTTTCTGGAACAGCTCGTAAGATAGAGTTTCCGGGCAGTGATTTTAGAGAGCTCTCTTGTACGTGTCGACCACTCAGGCATACCGTTAGAGCGTGTGTCGTAGAGATTGAAAATCACTTGACGGCGATTCTAGGCACTTCTGGTATGCCAAGCTCTTGGGCTAGACACAGTTCTGGGGGATACTTGTAATCACTCTTGAGAATATTATTCCTCTGGCACATGCTGCTCATGATCCTTGTCATGCACGTTTTATCCCTCGTCTTCACCCATGTACGAAGTCTAGAATCTCCCAAAAGCATCGGTTGCAGCGTGTGAGAGCCTCAATCGCCTTGACTTCCTTCAGCTGTGCAAAGCGATAATCGGTCCGAGCTAATATATGGAACCTATGAACCAGAAACCGTTAGAAGTGCTGATGGAGTAAGCTCGTATTACCGGTAGAAGAGGAGAGTTTGGATTTGGATATTACAAGCTGAAAAAGTTATATGATGAGACTTGGACAGATCGGGTTTAAGAAGCTGCTCGGATATTCGGAAAGCAACCGAGCGGCTGTCTAGATGTGACCGGTCAAAACGGCGACTTTTACAGGATGTGTAACACAGCATGTACTTGCGCAGGGATATATAGTGAGGCATGGCCGGATGCGGGAGTGCTGGAGCTTAGTTCCCCGCACAATGTGTCTGCATCTGGCCTAGAAATCTGACTTGGGGGCTTTTTTTGGTGGCGTCTGTAAACTGATTTTGACAGACGCAGGTTCCTGGGGGTGACTTTAGGTTGTGGGCAGGGGTTGTGGATTAGAAGGGATGACATGCAGGTAGTGTAACCATTGGCATTACAGGGTGCTCGAATGCTCGATATACTTTGTTTGCTCTACATATGACGAGAATATATAAAGGACATTGAAGAGATAGATTTTTGAATTATCACGCAAGCTTCAATCCCAATTCAAAGACCCAGTTCAGTGACTCAACAAGTTCAACGCTACCTTCAAGATGCAGTTCTTCAAGCAGATTCTTCTCTTTACCAGCGCCGTCTCTGCGGTTAGCATTGCTCTTTACGAGTCCGCCGGCCAATGCACTGGTACTTTCCCCCATTTATCAATCCATTGAAGTTTCGGGGCACTGATCGTTAGCCAGGCAACAACGTGGTCTGCAGCAATGTAAATGCCGACACCTGCTGCTTCGTCAACAGCGGCAATGCTCGAGGTGCCATTTACTTTACGAATCTGCCTAACCCTGCCCTCGTTCGCACATACGGCCGAGGTGAAGGATGTGCCAACCAGATTCGCTCGGATCGCACCACCTCGCTGAACTGGTGTGTTTTCAACCTGGCCAATTCGATTACCGGCGGTCGTTGGGCTTTTACCTCGAAGAGACGCGCCATAGGAGAACAGAAGAACTCTGACTGCGTGCGCCCGGATACCGGCTACGTTCAGGGACGTCAGTTCAACCTGACAGGCCTGGATGACAAGGCTTTCGAAGACTTTTTGGTCTATATGAAGAGTGTTGAGCCTGCTGTTCCAGAGCAATTCTTGAACGTCGAGGTCGTTAGTAGCGAGGGAAGCGCTAAGGCAATTGAGTAGTTTCCCCGGAGGTCTTGCTGTATGTACTTTTTCGGGAGTACAGTGGGACGGTTCATCACTGGGATCCGAAAGAATGATTGTCGGATGCCCGGCCGATTCATCTGACGGAGCAGATTGCATTGTGCAGACGTTGTTTCTTCTCCTCAAAATTGGCCTGGACGTTTTAGTTCTCGAGGCTAGATAGCGCTGTCTTGCCTCGCTGGATATTCTGTCTTTATTGTTTAGTTCAGCTACAGCGATGTAATGTTGTTGGTCGAAGATGAGTCCTCTATGACCTCAAAAAAGCTTGAGGGAAACCAAACTGACTGCTCAATGTTCCTGCTCTGATGTCCTGTGATCTTCAATCCGTTGATTATATCCTGCTGAGCACTGGTCTCACAATTACGCGGAGCGGATCGAAGTACACAGACTCAACTCTACGCCTCGCCGATGATCTTCTAATAAAGTTCGTGAATATAAGGAAACCATTCTCTGACATTGCATTGTGGTTTAGGTCATTGGCACCGCTCAGCTTCCATTGAACGTTCAGCCGTGAATTAGACCCTGATAACCACGAGCCAATCACCATCTTGCTGAGTCATTTACACGCGCGCTAGCACTATCGCACTACTGCAAGGTCCCGGCTGCCCCTCCGCCCCTCGTAACAGCTGCACAATGTTTCACCACGCTATAAATTGCACCAGGCCCGGGATCTCAATTACTTCCAATGTAGACTCTCCCCTTCCACTGCTGTTACGTATCTGACACTCAAATTCTTTACTCTGCACGTGGCATTTTTTTTTACTGACGTAACAGTCCTCCAGACCAACTAAATATGGACAAATCGAGATATGCCCCTCGTACACCATCCGCCATCAGTACACCTTTAGACAACTTGAAACAAACTAACGAGGAGAAATTGAAGGCGGGCAAAGAAAAGGCCGCTCGGCTGTTGGTACGAGTGCAATGGAAAGCAGAAACATTAATGGATTCATATATTCGAGCTGTCAACATTGTTATCGCTCATGAGCAAGACGGGTTCTCGAACGGCTACCCAGACCAAAAAAATGCGTCGAATGACTCGAGAGGTGTGAGTGGGACCCCAATCCGGCCGCTGAACGCAATTAACAATCCGCAGAGGCAGGCGGAGTCGATGTTCAAGGTAGACTTTTTTGAGTTCTACACTCTCCTAGAACGTTTCATTTCCGCATGCCTGGAGACCTTTAATATTTATATATCCGGCACGCCTCCACAAACAAACGTGAACGCCTTGCGCTTCGTTACCAATCCCGGACTCGCAAAGTCGCGCCCCGAAGCATCTCATGCGTATCACGCGAACCTCCTGGAGGCACTCGAAAAGGAGTCTTGTCCACTGCACCAATCATTAGGAAACTCTGAAGTGCGGACCCAACTTGGCCTTGCTAAAGACTTCCGCAATGCGTGGAAGGATGTGGACGCTGAAAAGTCATCAGACAGTCATAACCACCATCAAGAACGCAGAAATATTCGTCTGCAAGACCTGAATTTACAGAAGATGCTAGAGTCACTGGTGTTGGGGTGCATTCAAGCGCATAGTGTGATGCAAGGGCGCTCAGGACCAGAGCTCAGCCACATCACTAGCAAAGACTTCGTCCCTACCACTTATGGTGCCGATACTGATATGGAGGATATTCCGTTTGAATACATGGACGATGCAATGGATCTGGACTGATGGATGAGTTTCTAAGCATCACCATTGACTTGCTACTCTCGGTTCACCTGGACCTACCAACTAGTTCACTTCGCTGCATCGCTCCAGGTTCCGAGATCGAAAACACATGTTCTCAGCACATCAAGCGCTTCTCATAATAGATGGGGAGTATGTACAAAAAAGGTAAAGCCTCCCATTGGGTATTCCCTCTCCGCCATACGCTCTTACTAGCTTATTCCCTCTCTTTTTGTTATATCGATTCTACCTGCCCCATTCTCTCTTCGATGCCCCCAACATTCCCAATCGGTGTCTTTGGTGGAGACATGATTCCAATCTTGGTCATCAAATCTTCCTGTACTGGCTCATCTTCAAGCACACTGTCAGCTCTTGTTCTGTTCACCTCTGTCTTATCATCACCCTGACTCTTGCTTTCCTCTGTGTTCTTCTCTTGCTCTAGCTCCCATTTACACCTTTCTTTACAATCCCAGCATACAGTTCTCTTGCAGACCTGCACATCATACTTCCATTCACTTCTGTTCAGCATTTCCTGGCAATGGTTGCAATTCATAGGAATCACCACAGTCTCAGTATCGCCGCGTCGCCGCGCGATAGTCAATCCCTTGCTCGTGCGAACCTTGAATTTCACCTCTTCTCCTTCAACTTCCTCCGCGCCATCGAATACGACCACCTTATCGTACTTGCACCACCACGTGGGTCTGTTGCTCTTTTCTGTGTGTCCTCGCACCGACCAGCCCTTGAAAGCTTCCATTTGTGCTGTCGGGCCAGGCAGAATGCACCCGTTCAGCATTGGCTTTGGCGGGGTAAAGACACGTACACGCTCAAGACCGGCTTTCTTCGGCGACATATTCAGGCGGTCATTAAGCAGCTGCGTAGGCGAGCGAAGAGCCGCTTTGCTCTGGCTTTGTGAATTACGGATCAGATCAAATCGCAGCTCCAGTTCAGATTTCGGTCTTTTAGAGTTGGGTGTAGTGCCTAGGTTCATCTCGGCGGGTCTACACAGGCGACGAGTAGACGAGTCGCTTTGGTACAGCTGTGGAGATTTGATCGACAGCGAGGATTTTATTGACGCGGCCGATAGTCGTGATGAAGGCGTGCGAGGTACATCTTCTGTGTTGAAGAAGACACCTGAGTCTCTGCTGTGTGGATTTGTGTCTTCAATTGAATCTCGTTTGGCTATGTCGATATCGACAGGAGGGGGGATGGAAAGAGCGGTATCCTGATCGTAAGGAGCAAAACCGGGGACGTTGGTTAACTCCGTCATGGTGTCTTTGTAATGAATGTGGATTGTAGTAAAGAGAGCGAATATGGCAGTGGTATGTGCCGTAGAGATCAACGAATGTACATATGTATTTACCAAAGCAAGACGGGATTTCGACGAAAGGAAAAATAGAGGGCGTATGAAACGAAAGGAATGAAAAGCAGAGTTTTTGCTATTTGAAACAGTGCAAGCAAATTCATTGAAATACTTCCTCACCTGGCTTCTTTCCTCTCCTGATCCTTCCACTTGCGCATCCTCCATCAATCGAAGAATGGAACACTATTTTTACACCCAACGCACTGATTCAGCCTAACAAGTAACGCATAAACACGCAATCAGGATCTGTAACATTCCCTTCCTTGCAAGGGTGTGGTCGCCTACCCCATAGAATGTTTCATACTCCACCCAGGCAGCCCACCAATCACAGACGGCCTTTCTTACACTACCAACCCAGAGCCCCGGGTATCTAGAAACATTCCACAATTAACATTCATGCTATACTTGCAGCACACCTGATGCTGACAGCTTGGGAACACGCGGAATATCCGGCGAAGCTTCAGCCTGAGTAGGATGGCGTGGCACTGCTAATCTATGGAAAACATGGTAATACGATGGGATTATTGCGAACGCAATGCGGCTGTGTAGAGACTCTTCTTCTGCGTTAGGTCTATGTCTTTGGGCCTCTGGGGAATTTTCCATCCTCGTCTTTGGTAGATGAAGGGATGGAGGGGGAGATTAAGAGGGTCGGGAGGATGAATGACCATGTTGGTCTTTCGTACGCTGCGATCGAGGGACCCTGCCAACCAATCTGACCCTCTCTAGAGTGGTGGGCAAGTCGATACTATTGCTGGTCCCAGGCGAGAGTTGGCTTATTGCCCAGTCTCTCCACCATCCCAAGGAAGTGAATGTGGTTTGATCCTCGCAGTGTTATTTTAGGTCATGCTGTGAGCGCAGAAGCATCCGAGTGCATCTCAAGTTGAGTATGTATGCTAAATTCGAATATAGATGATAGAAAAACTAGCGCGAAATCGAACGGACGCGTACTCCTCATGGTCAGTCAATTTTGTTATCGATATCATTAGACACAAAACAACATGCGGGGTGGTCTAAAGAAAATCATTCAAAGATAAGGGGGTATTAAAGCTCCGAGACCTCGAGCATAGACAGCGGGTCACTGCATGGGCACGATCGTGTTTCAAAGTTGTTGGTGACTACATTTACCCTACTATCTGATCTAGTGGGTTCTCATGTTAGAGACAGATCACCTCACCGAAAAGACGGGAGGGATACAAGGGATAGGAAGATAAGGAACAAATCCACGACATTCGTAGTGTATGAGTAACTATCATAAGAGCTACCCTTTTCCTTTTATTCCGGCCACTGAGGTGTAGGCGCAGGTGATAGTGGCATTGAACGTGCAAGACTGCGGTATTTTATGCGACGTACACGATGAGTTGAATATACATGCAACATAGCCACCGCTCTCATTTGTAAGTCGATGCGAAAATTTTCCCACTTTTGGTTCCATGACTTCCAACAGTCGAGGAAATTCACTAATCGAATTCGTTTTCTTTGCCGTTATACTGACGGCATACTCATTACAAATGAGATATAAACAGCAATGATGAAACGCGTGAGCTAGAACTAGAGACACGAGTGTGTAGTAGTGCTACTGCAGGTTGCGTAACTACAAGACGATATAAAAATGACAGAATAGGGCAATTAAAGCAGAACAGAATGAAAAGGGTATTTTGAAAGTGTATATGTAAGTTGCAATGATAGCAAGTCGATCGAGAGCTCGTGTTCCGCGACCAGTGGCATTTGGGGTGGTGTTTGCGGTCGTTCAGTACCTATATGGTCAGCTTGGAAACATGCCAGATGCGAAGCCAAGGTCACGTAAGAATTGTGGGGAACTGCTCACCGGTAGTCTGGACTCCTCCTACGACTGCCTCTGGCCGAACGGTACTCGTCATGGTCTTCAATCACCTCTACGATATCGTCGCCCGGTCGCCGCGATTCCATTACGATACTCCTGCTTCTTGCCCTTGGCGCTGGCCGCCTCTCCTCGACGATCACCGTCGACCTTCCACCAGATTGCCTTGGACTCCTGCTGTACTCGCGTATTTCGCTACGGCGGCGTCCGGCATGTGAATTGGACTTTCGCCGGGCCCTTCGCACCACATACTCTTCTTCCCCAGCTATGACTCCACTGGCGCCGCTTCTGCCCACATTGCCTTGCGTAAGGGAAAAGATGAGCCAACATAGCAAGATGAAGCCAGCCACACTGCCGAAAACAATGCCTACTACCGTTCCAGGTGCAGGCCCATCGACCACGTAGTAGGTAGGAATGATACCGGCCGTGATCTGTTGCCGCGCTTCGATCGTTCGGTCGACGAGTAGTTTGTGAGTCGATTGCTCAAGCGGTTGGGGTGCCATTGCGTTATGCGCATCATTTCCGCGGGCGAGGCTGTCTGAAGGAGGCGCCATTGCGAAGCCAGCAGCAGTAGCAGCAGCAGCAGTCGACTCGAGGTGAGGGTCAGGAATTGGCGGAAGCGACCAAATCGCCGGCGTCTGCGGAGGGGCGGTGTCGCAACGTTTTGGAGGATTGATTGTTTGTCAACAGTCAATACGATCGACGCCGCGGAGGGTCAGTGGTTCCTCGTGGTGATGGGGGCGCTTGGACGGGGGAGCCCGGCGCTAGATGGGGCACAGACGTAAACACGAAGTCCAGACGAGACTTGATGGCTAAGTTGCAATGTTCGCAAAAGAAGCGATGGAGGTGAAGCGACAAAATTCGAACAGCAGAAATCATGATGCCATTACGCATCGTGCAGCTCCCTACGCTTTCTAGCTCAAGCTGTGTTACTTATCTTCTCGCCAAACCCCGCATAGCAAGTCTGGTATTTGTTTACCAACTACGTCCCATGCATTTCCTTGCCAACCCCGTCGTGTGTTCAAACGCTGTCGATCATTGGATTACATATAACAGATTTCTTGACCCGTCAGTCTTGCATCATGACGGCCTTTCCCATCGGTTGCGGTTCACTATACCGAGGTCAATTAAATTTTGAAATCTGCAAATCCCTCGAGTCAGTCGTGCGCTCAAAACCAAATCCCCCGAGCAAATCGAAGAGGCGCTGTGAGGACAAGCAGGTCCATTGACCGACGAAATGTATAACTCCTGGATACAAATTGTAGTCATCTTCGAACTTTCTTTACCAGCACTATACTAGGAATGGTTGACATGTTTCGAACCTCACTTTTTTCGATTCGCACATAAATTCTCAAGTATACGCAGTCGACAAGAACATACAAGCCGGTACTAACGCACCTTGGCATAATGAAAGAATGAAAGACTCGGGAGAGACAACCATCATGATGAGCTGGTAGGCTCTCAAATGGCATCTGTAAGAGGAGTAGGTACGCGCGACATACAACTTACCCAATTAGGCATGTAGACCCAATACTATTGATCACTGCATGGACCTTGAGGACCTGCTTTGCATTTCATGTCCTTAGCCAAGAGCCAAGACATCTACTTATGGCTAGCTGTATCTTCTAACACAGAGCTACAGTCAGAATTAGAGGGTTAAAGACTCGAAGGCAGGATCTGTAAGATATTATAGAGTGGAGTGGAGATGTTCTTGGCATGTCCTCACCGTAGTAAATCCATGTCCCTAAAAGCCTCGATTATGACTAAATTAGGTTTAGTCATGTCCTCATCGTAATGAATCCAGGTCCCAAAGACCTTCATCCTGGTACAGTCAGCAGTATATATAGCGCCAAAGTTTCTTTAAACATTACATCGATTCTCGTGTCCTTTGCAATGGATCAATGGAAGCGTAAATTTGATTTACGGTAGAGGCTATACGGGAATCTTCCAGAGCACCGTCAATTGCCTTCATACGACCTCCGAAACCGAGAATTGCGGGTTAAGCAACGATCCTTCCGGTTGAAATAGCTCTGTTAATATACATATATTGCGCTGCAAGCCACAATTCGCTGGTCTAGAAGTATGCGTTGCACCCAAAAGATGTCTTGACCCTCCATATTTCTGATGCGCGCAGCAACCAATTAGCAATATCACATGTATTTCGACGATTGATCTTCAATAAAATTCAACATGCAGCCACGATTCGCAGTGTTCTCCGCGCTTTTGGCCCTGACCACATCAACTCCTCTCTATGTTCCCGAACACCTGCCAAACCCTATCAAATGTCCCATAATCTTCGATGGCCGCATCCCGGAAAACCAGACCCTAGCTTCCTTTGATACGTCATCCTCTCCTTACAGCCCCACGTACGTCAAAGGCGAAAACCTCACCTGGTCCTCAATCCTCCTACTACCTAATGCTTCGCACTCACGTTTCGACACCCCGTCTCGCAAACCCCTCGAAGTAACCATCAATGACGCATCCCTCTTTCGTCCAGGTGGTGGCGATCTCCAAGTCGGATTCCGACGGGTGGGGCTCCTCCTGAAAGATGATAAGAACGATCCGGGCGCAGATGCAGCTGATAGCGGTATCGTCACTTTCCATTGGAGTGTAAAGCAGGATGCAGCAAGACCTTTCAATCTAAGCCATGAGTATATGAACGTATGGCATGAGAGGGCAGATTATGCGGGAAATCAGTTCACGTTTGTAGGCGGAGTCGTGTTGGAAGTGGATGGAGGAACAGGAGAGGATACGAAAGAGGAAAGAGAGTCGTGGAAGGTGCAAGGGAAATCCAATAACGTTGTGTTTCGCACCCCAATTGTTTTCGATGAGTGGCAGAATTTTGCGATACAATTGGATTATGTGAACAAGTAAGCCATGTTTTTTTTGCTGATTGTGTGGATGGAATGCTGACAAGTTGCGCAGTACTTTGCAAGTTTTCTACAGTGAGGGAAACGCTGAATTGGAAGCTGGGACGGAGAAGATCGAGAATGACAACAGTGGAGGTGGGCAGCTGCAACTGGGCATCGCCAAAAAGCCCACCGAAACTGAGACAGTTGTTTTCGATGGCTATCAAGAGAGCATACAAGGAAGAGAGGGACAAATATATGGTGGAGTTTTCGTTGAGAATAGTAGTGAGGGCTGCTTGAGTATCTGAACGTCATGATCGCATAGTTTTTGTATTAAAAATCGAGTATGTATATTGGAAAATGGGGATTCTACTTTGATATCCGACATATTTGATCCATATAGGTTCGTAAGTTGAGAGGGTCCATGGTGTAGCAGGGTATATGATGTGCATCAGGAGCTTGAGCCACTTCGCCTAGCCACAGCTTCACCCCGCGCTTTACCACCCCACATGAAGCTTGATTACCGACCTCCGTATTCAAGTCTCTACCTACCACACTTGCCTCCTACGTAGAACAACTCACACAATCGCTAGATTAGTTTCGACCCTCTAGTCTAATCTTTCGCCCCTCAATATGGCGCCAGTAGCTCCCCTCGTGGTTGGTTTGTCGCATTCATGCGCTTTGACAGAGCACTAACATCAGCAAGACGAGGCTCAAGGTGCAACTCAAGCTCTCGATATCCAGACTTCGGATGGTTCAGCAGAAGGATACCGCAAAGGCGAAACAACAGCGAAGAGAAATGGCGCATCTTCTTGAAGTACGTAGCCACCTGCGTCCGACTTCGAGTTGTATCGTGTAGCTCTAGGCATCACTCATTCGATACTAACGTCTTACCCCAAGGCTGGCAAGATCCAATCCGCCAGAATACGCGTCGAGAACATCATCCGATCCGATATACAAACCGAACTGCACGAGATCCTTGAGCTGTACTGCGAACTCTTGCTCGCGCGATCCCAGCTCCTCGATCCTCCGGTTTCGCCGCAAGGAGGTGTCTCCACACAGATCCCCCTGGATCCTGCCCTAGAGGAAGCCGTCCGGAGCATCATATATGCATCTCCTCGAACAGAGATCAAGGAGCTCCACGCAGTCCGCGTGCTGCTGGTGGAGAAGTTCGGAAAGGACGTTGCGCTCGCGAGCATGGAAGGGGAGGGTGTGGCAGAGAAAGTGATGAAGAAGTTAAAAGTAGAGACACCGAAGGAGGAGCTTGTAGACGCATACCTTACCGAAATTGCGCGGTTCTATGGCGTACCTTTTGGAGAAGACGCGACGCCCGACGATGAGGACGATGACGAACCCTCGGGCGGGATTGCAGATGAGGCAGATGGGGAACTCGAGCCTGCGCTGGAAGCCGACACTGGTAAAGCCAAGCCGTCGAAAGAAGATGAGGAAGAGGAACTCGTCAAGGCGACGCCACCCAAGAAGTTTGGCCCGCAGAGTCCACTGAGGGTTGTGCCACCGAGTCCCAGTACAGACAACGTGGCGCCTAAGTTGAAACTCCCTGGAAGTGCGACGGCGAAGCTGAACAAGCCTGAAGTCAAGAAGCCAGCGGCTAAGAAGGATGATGGACCTGGTGGCAAGATCCCTGATGTAGACGAGCTGGCGAAGAGGTTTGCGCAGCTAAAGCGTTGAGAATGACGCGGTACAATTAAGTTTCATTCATACTTTATTAGTAGGGAGGGATTTTGAGGAGAAGTCCGCGTGTTTGCTACTAACCTTTTGTCTTTCTCTTTCTCGTTCAGGAGCGAAGAGCCAACCATCTTATATCACGATATCTACTCTGTTCTCAAACCTCAATCCACATGATGCATCGATGAAAAGAAACAACATTTGAACCATTCAATCGCACGTGCACAGATCATATGTGTTGATGTATTTGACATTCGTCGGTCTGGAAGTGCTGTTTTAGAAAATACGCCCAGCTAAGATCTGTGGTCTCTGTTAACTGGGAGGCACAATTCCTAGATCGCATGTGCCCGGGCTTAATTCCAAGTTTCGTAGCAACAATTGTTGTGATGGCATTGTGGGAGGCGTGTGGGGATAGCGCAAGCCCCTTTCAAGGCCGAGTCTAGGACTATGTGCACATGGGCTGCTCAGATACAAAGCATGTCCTTGCTCATACCAAATCAAGAAAGCTTGTTTCTGGTTTTTGATAACTTAGTACCAAGTCAGTATTTGTTTGGGGGCTATTTGCTGAGGATTTATGCCCGAAGGTAGATGCGAAAGTCTCTTAAGGCATTGAAAAAGTGGGATTGCAGACTGAGGACAGAAGGCGTTCCATGATAATCCATTGATCTATACTCTCTTTCGGATATACATGACTCACAAGATGGATACATTGTGCCCAAACACCAACACAAAAGCATTAAAACAATGTATACTTTTCTTATAAGCCCCTTCCTTCTGTTGCGGGCGCCGTATGAGCGCCAGGCAAACACACTGAATCCGCTGCGATGATTATTTGGCATGGAGTTATGGCGATGTGAACATTTCATACTCAGTCATTACCAGTCTGTTCGTCTGCTTCGAAGTCATCCGTGGGTCGAACGATTTGAACACTTCGTACCAAGACATTTCAAGTGCTCGATACGCTCGGCGACTGCTGTTTGGTTTGTTTTATAGTTGGGTGCCTGGCTTTCACTTGGGCTGCACCACGTGGGTGATGGCCCTTCACTGAACTGTGAATACAAAATCCTTCCTCCAAGATGTCAACTTATATATAACCTCTACCATTCTCATTCATAACCACCAGTGACCACTCGACCGCTTTCAACCATTGGAACTTCTCATTCACAACATCACTTGGGTATCTTATCGCTCAAGCAACGTCACCAAGACAAAGCCCAACGGTCACCAGTGAAACACTGACAACGTATCAACCCATACAAAAATGTGAGCAACCCAAATTCAAGTACAATATGTCTTCGATATTGACCCATACAACTAGCTTCAATCATGGTGGTCACCACTATTCCGTACGAAGAGCGCCCGCAGCGCAACATGGCCAACACCGCGCGTACAGAACCTCTGCCTGAACTTGGCGACTTTCCATCACTGGGTGAGTCAATGGTTAGGTTGGGATTCCAATCCCCAGCGCCGTCTCCAATCATGCGACTACCCTTGGAGATCCATGAGAAGATTTGGAAAGAGACCATGCTCCTAGAGCTCGGCAACGACCCAGCTATTCGAGTTCGGAATTATATCAAATCTCCTGCTACCCGTCCAGGGTTCCTTCCGAAATCTCTTCTGATATCCAAGATGGTCTTGAGGGAGATGCACCCTGTATTTGTCCGACTTATCACCTTCCGGACCAACTCGATCGGCGATAATGAATATCTGCGACGATATCTAGATTTGCCTAATGGGGGTAGGCACAATGTTCGGAGTCTTCGATTTGACTTCTTCGATTGCTTTCCATTGGGCCTTCCAATCAATCATGACCTGGCGTTGGCCACGAGCTGCAAGGGCTTGACGACTATTCAGATCACGCTCCACTGGAGCCGTGTTCATAGGTATGAGATTCTCCAGCAAGCTTCTTACGTCGTGATCAATATACTGACACACTGTAGGACGGTAGATGAGATCGTGTCTCACTACCACCTAAAGAAGGTCCTGGACTGCAAGTCGTTGACCACGTTCAACCTTGCAAAGAAAGGTGATTTTCGAGAAGAGGAAGAGGATAAAATCCTCATGTTGGCATCGTGGGTGGAGTGTGCCTTTCAGGCACAGGGTCAGGTGGTCACTTGCCACGTGTTTCCTTACCGTCGATAGTCGTGAGTCTCGACAATAGGGAGGAAGGAAGATTGATCGCTCATAGCCGATCATTCCATATAAATAGATGTTTAGTGTCCGACATCTACAAATGTATGCACGAAATGTATATGTAACAGCAAATTCATAGAAAGTCCACAGAGCATAGACGCTAGAGATCAATTGATACTAATTGTGATGAAATCGACAGTTCATAACTCAATCGAGAATGACATGTTCTGGGATATATGCTTCCATATACTTGAGGCTTGTCGATAGTACACATTCAGTGGCGGTAAAAGCGATTTTGGACATATTCATTCAAGATCCAAGAGTACCTGCGGCGACCTTCGAAAGCTCTATTTTAATTCCACCATCAACACATCTTTTGGAATCACTTGGCGCTCTACTTAGTGAACTCCAGTTCTGTACATTGTATAGTAATAACACTGATCTACTCCTGATAGTAGGACAACTTTCTGAGTACGTACCCAATCTCGAGTCTCGACTACTTCTTCATTTCGGGGTTTAGTTACTTAAGATCGACGTGTGACAGTGAGTTGCGCCTGTTGTCGAGTCTCTAGTGCTTGTTTCTGTTGAGAAGTCCCGCAAATATCATCCCACAGCTATAATCTATAGCTGATATCAAGATAGACTGCATGCTCAAGAGGCAAGCTTTGTAGAAGATGATATTCGATCAACAGGGGGATTACGGGTAGAAGAGGGTTTCGATTCACCAAATAGTGCGTAATAATCGTGAAAACACTCTTACGCCGCAGCATTGACAGCACCAGTTTGAAACTGAGCCAGAATTCAGGACTCAGTACCACGTGCTTTTACTAGCTCAGTGAATTCATACGAACGAACTTAGAGAGCGTTTGCATTTCGGCATGGTATTTTCCGTGCAAACGTACGCACACCAATACATATATAAAGTTCCTCACTCAAATCTTAATCACACATCTAATCTCTACCACAACCCTCCCAGTCACTCGCCTCGACCAATCGCTATACACAAGCAAGCTAAGTTTTTGCTACAACTCGAAAAGATAGTATCAACCCCCAGTACTGGTAAGTATCTCAACAAGTGACTGTGCGCACAAACCTGAGTACTGAATGTCTTGAAGGGATCTTCATTATGCCTGTTTCAACGATTCCCTACAATGATGATCCACGCCCCCACAAGCATGATACTGCTGCATGCCCTGTTCTGACCTTTTCTAACGCGGAATTCCCGACTCTATTGGAGGCGATGAGCTTCATGGGACATATGAACTTTCCCGTCATGAAACTTCCAGCCGAGATCCGGGAGAAAATCTGGGAACAGGAGATTCTGGAGGATTGTGATTACCTCGAGCGTATGAGGATCGAACCATACGTGGCGGACTCACCTAAATGCCCCACGTTTCTTCCGAGGCGAGCACTGGCTTCCAAGCAGATGATGAACGAGATTGTACCTGTGTTCATCAAGCTCGCCAAATTCGCAATGTCATCCATCGGCGATAATGAGTTTTTCTGCAGCTTTCTTGACTCAGTTCCGAAAGGTCGGGCGTATGTACGCCGATTACGATTCGACTTCTTCGATTGTGTTCTTTACGGGCACCCAGAGAATCTAGACTTGAAGCTAGCTGCGTCGTGCTCCGGCCTCCGGGAAATTCAGCTCACATTCCACTGGCGAAATGTTCGTCGGTAAGTAACTGATTGGCATGCTACTATATATATGAACTAACATTTACATCTAGACCTGTGGATGCCATCGTTCAACACTACCATCTGAAAATGCTGCTCAACTGCAAGCAGCTGTCTCGAGTTATCTTGATCACCATGGGGTATTACTCCATTGAAGCGCTTGAAACTCTCCATGACCTCGGACAATGGATTGAAAATCAATTCCATGACCAGGGACAAACGGTCAAATACAGTGTTCTTTGAGTCGCGTCGCAAGGATCACTTGGTCGATATGGTGTAACTCTCTAGTCAAGTCAAGATGGATATTCGAACGCTAGAATTCAGAGGGTGAAAGGTGTTTGAACAGTCATTGGTGCATCATGTTTGTTTATTACTCTGTATCTCATCTCCGTGTTGTCAAAATCCACGCTGTATATCACATTTTTAGGGAGATTGGAAGCGATTAAAGAAATTTGTTTTCTTGGAAGCTTCGATAGATATCCAGAATAGCGAATCCTATCTATTCTCTTCAATCTGGGGCTGTCAAGATCCGATTTGCTCGCAATTCCCTAAAGGTCTACAACTGTGCATGAAGCCGAGCCGGTGTAAAGCCACCAACGGGGTATGTGCTTTTCTCACTTGAACCATTAAGGCCTTGGTACACACATAAATCTGTTCCTATTAAATAATTTAAGCGGATACCAACCCACTGAAAGTCCTTGCAAGCTGCGATGTTGGAAGAGCAAGCGCACATCACGTGATAGATTCTTATTCACCACAACAACAACAAAGCCCCGCCAAGCCTACCCGTATGGGGAATAAGCGAGCGCTAGCACGTGCTTACGGTCCGACAGTATTTCCGGTTCATGTTTATAAAGCTCCGCTGTGTTTGCTCTGTGTTGCCCACCTCACCAGCCCACCGCCAGGCAATTAGCACCCGCATGGTGGTCGTGTTGGTGAATAGCGATGGACACACGGGAATATTGTATGTACCCATTACCCCGGCATAAGCACCGCGAGAAGTAAGCTGACTCTTGCAGTGACCTGACAGATGATTTGTCGATATTTCCGCCCGGCAACCCCGGTCAAGATCTCCTACGTACAGGGCGCGGTCGGTTGGGACTGCATGTCGCTTTCGATGTCACTTCGGTGACCCGTTTGCAATTGCTGTTTTTCGCGCAGTCATCTTCCTTTCTTCGAAGGGCAGATTGAAGGAAGTTAGTTCAATTCTAACACCGACCATATGCACTGCCCCGCCAACAGCTGACGTTCCATCCATGGATGCGAACACTCTTCGATGCCGATGGGGTCTGAGATCAGCGGTTGGAAGATGCCTGCGATATTGGGATGTCTCTTGTCTTGCTTGTTCGCTTTCATGCTTGCTTGCACTTCGAAGACTCTCTGATAGGCCGCAAGGTCCATGGCATATATTGTATCGCAGGCACCCTTTGATGTGTCTGCTGTAGTGCACCTACAGCTCTGCGAGATTACAAGAGCCTGAAAAGCTCTAAATGGCTTGCTTCAATTTCTGTAAGGCTTGATGAGACTTGGAGCATGTCCAGTTCTGACCGGTACTTCTTAATGCCGGGCTAAACGAAGGGAATGAAAGGCTATTCAGCCTAGACCCACCAATTTTCACGAGTATCTAGGCTTAGGCTGGTGATACTCGGACGCTTGGAAATTTTTCCAGCGTAATTTTTCGTCCAACCCTGTGTCAATGCGACGCTCACCAATTTTTTAATTTTTTTTCATTGTGTGTCTTGCCATAGATGGCGTGCCTCGAGGAAGAAAAAGCAGAGCGAGTTTGTTGTTCGAGTCGAGTGGAGGGTATAACGATACTTCTGATATATGCAGGTCGATATAGCGGCTCACCCAGCATTTAAAGCTAATGTCCTATCATATACCCTCGTGCTGGTAGCTGTCAAGAGCGGAGCATACTGTAGACGGCTGATATAAAACATCACATCAACCCTAGCACATTACGGATTGAATTTGCAACCAATCACGACCCGATGGGGAGTGACTACACTGAATCAGTTGGAAGGAATTCGATGATAAGCACCACGCTCAAACATTATCGATACCCAACCTCACCGCTGTCCCACATAGATATTATTGGCGGGAAGAACGAAAGCGATTCATCAACTTACACCATTACTCTTATTTCTAGACAAATTCTTAAGTCATCATCACCTTCGCGCTTGTATTCCTTCGACGCCCTCCGCTCCGCTATCACCCGAAGCTGCGCCTCAACCTGCTTGTCCAACTCAGTTTGCCTGTCCTCGATTAGGTTATTGGGTTCCCCCTCCTGATTATAGCCTACCTTTTCAATTTGCGTTCTATATCGCACATGAGTACCCGCAGATGTCGGTTCTCAACACTTTGAGATGTTCGGTGTAGAAACCTTTTGCACCCACTTCTATGTGCTAAGTTTCTTTTCTTGTCCCTCTTATGATAGCGCTTCCGATGCTTTTTGTTGGGAAATTCATAAGTGTCCTCTAAGTTTGCTATCTTGCGACGGGAAGACTAACCTGTTCCCATTGTGAAACTTTCTGATGAATCAAGCCGTATCTGTTCTCGATTCCTGCGGTGTGGCCGCAGATGAAGTAGGGAATGGTGAATGGGAGAAGGTAAAGGAATTTAGCAGCAGCTATGGCAGCACCCCGGAAGGTAGCGAACAGATTATGGCGTTTATCTACGAATGTTCAGAAGAAGTCCGAAGGGTGTATGGACAGGAAAACGAAGGAAAATGCTAGGCGGAGCAGACCTAGTGAGCTTGATATGCCGCTTTTTCAGACAGATATGCGAAAGTAATTAAGAAGACGGAAGGTACAGTTTGTCTCTTGACCGAGTCCGATCACTGCGTAATTGCACTTAAATTGAAATTACACCAGGGCGCGTACAGACACGATTGATCAGCTGAAGACCTCTTAATCATGAGATTCTTATCCAGTGTATCTTGTGATGTTTGCACGTAGCGGGGAAATGCTGTGATGCTTCGTAGGCGTATGAATGTGTATTAAATAGAAGTAATACTTGAAATAACAGCTATCATTTTCCATCAGATAGTAGTTAGAACTATATTCAGAGTTCAATTGCTTCATAATTATGGTGACTATTTGTGACAAGTGTAGCAAGACGTAGTTTACAACCCTGGAATTCTGCGCTCTACCATGATTGATATGTGATTAACACTTGCTAAGACATCATGACTTCTTCCTGTTCTTCTCTTTCCTTTTCGATCCCAGCTCCTTCATTTTCTTCCTCTCTGCCTTTGATTCAAATTGAGCTTGCTACTCTTTCTGTTGAGCTTGTTGCTCTAGCTCGTCTTTTCTACTCCATTCCTGTGTACTCATGCCGTCGACGTCACGTATCTACGGTTTAATGCCCACATTAGATATGAAAGCTAAAGTTTTTTCAAACGCTTCTGTTCGCTTGAAATGTAAATTAATGTTGTGACCAAGGTCGTCGATAATGACGGCTTCAGACTTAGTTTGATCTCTGTTAGGGAAGAAGCCTTCCAAGGCAGCTAAAGTAGCGTCATTTCCCCCAGCAAGACAATTGCCTTGGCAGTAGAAGTAGTCTTGTACTCCATTGAGGATCTGCACAGGCCGGGTGTAAGCTGGCGCAGGCACATAAAGGCTTCCAGCTGTCAGTGTTTCTCCGATTGCATTGGTCTGCCGCGTGTTGAATTCCTGATAGAAAACTGATGCTTTTCAGTGTCAATTCGAAGTTTGAATCATTGGAACGTACGGGTAATGTTGAAGAAAAGATAATAGAAGAAAGCGAACTGCAAGGTTTGAGGAATCGGGCCCAAGGAGAAGTACCCATTCGGAAGACCCTTCAGCTCGGGACGATCTGGGAGGGTGTTTGCAATCTGTTGAGCTGCTGCTGCGAAGCCGATCGTTCCTCCCGCCGAGCCTTGAGAATGACCCGTCAGAGCGAGGGCGCTGAAATCTTCAGGGTATTTGGATGCGATGCCCTGGGTGAGAACTGAGCCCAGTGAATGACCGACTCCGACCACGCTATTGAAGCGAATGCCACCAATACTACCCGCCTTCATCTTCTGAATGAGAACGTGGGCAAGGTCAACTTGAAGAGGGCCCTGTACGATTTGTTTGGGGTCTGGATGACTTGACTTGCCTATACCCAGACGATCGTACGAGAATGTGGCGTAGCCTTGCTCGGCTGCAGCGTCCACATAGCTGTAACCGGCAGCGAAATCCCAGTAGTTGTAATCAGTCGTGCCGCCATGCGTGAGGAATTGTAAGCTGGAAAGCTTGCTTGCTTGGACAGCATCGTTAGGCACGCAGAGTTTTGAGAAGATGGAGAAGGTGTCCGAAACCTGGCGAGTGTCGCCAATGTACGCAGGGAAAGTACTTTGGCTGCGCGCGTAGTTTGTTATGAACTCGGTAAATTCATAGTTGTTGGCAGGCCCTGGATAATTGACGATGGTAGTGTTTGCAACGACGGGAACGTCTACCAGGCCAGTGACGCAGACTGCTTTGTGACCGGCTGATTATGAGAAGGCAGCATCGGCGAGACCAGTGGCATATAGGCTACCAAACGAAGAGATATCAGCTAGAGAGGCCATTGTATCGGAGGAGTTGGCAGCAAAGAAGCCGTTCCAGATGTATGCGGCCTGTGAAAAGGAGTTAAGTACGTTCTGCATCCTGGGCGGAGGGAGGGAAGAGACTATCATGATAAACAAGGGGTGAGATGCCTGGCTTATGGAGGGATGGCTTGTCGCGCAAGCATCCTATTGGCCACAGGCGCAAGTTCCAACACTGGACACGAGCTTCCCGTGTGTAGGATCGAGATAGCGAACCTTGAACACAGAGAACGTGAATTGTAGCGTGCACGTGCAGCTAAGCCTACATACATACATATTCTAGATATGTACGTATGTATGTAAGAGTGGAAGTCGGACGTACTGATTGGTAAACTACATCTAGTCTAGTTAGCTAAATCTACACTAGCAATCAGCACGAAGCTTATCCACACTCCCATCTCCCCACCCCTCTCTCCATTCCATTGCATGCTCCGTCATCCTGAGATAGCACTTTCCGCGCGAGAGAGGGTCGCAGGACCGACTCAAATACGGGCCTTGCTACCGCCACGAACAGCGCCGCACTGAATGCTTACCCGGCACAACGACTGCCGTACCAATAGGGATCTCGGTTCGCGTGAGCTCGGGTTGGATGGCTACGATGGGCATCTGCACGATGGGCGCAAATCCCAGTCCGCTGGAGATCTGCAATTCCGCCCACGCTCCGGCCGAGCTGATGGGTTTGAGCATCGTATTGATTACGGCTCCTATGATGAGACATGCCACGCTGAAGAGTGGGAAGAAAATCATAGTATGACGATCTCGCAACTGCTGACATTTAGCTGGGTTTGCTTCCTACCCAATGCCCCACAAAAGATGACACCAGTGACGCTTTTGGTAATCGCCTATTTTTTGGTACCTTTGTTATTACAACTATTGATCAATGTGTGTAGGATCACTCCAACTCCAACTTACAATTTATTTACTTATGGCACCAATGACGGTTGGAAGATGCATCATAACGCTTTTGAGCGGACTCCTAACTGGAACCGAATCTGGAGATGGCACAGGACGACGAAGAACCCCCATTTCCAAAGAGGGCGATAAGCACGCCGAGAGAAATTACTCGGTTCTTAAACAAATGCGGAGGAAGTGCTGCTTTGTTACCAAGATTAAGTTGCCATGCTATTGTTGTGGCGGCAAAACTCGCAATGAGTCCAATAATCACCGTGTCATGCCACGCATATCTGAATCCCACTCACCGAAGGGCGATCAAGAGCTGAAGTACAGCTTTGTTGAAGGGTTCAAAGCCACTAGGAAGTCTATGGAGCTTACAATTCAACAAGTCAAAGATCACTACAGCAAAGATGATGTCATAAAAAGCATGCAAATAAACTTCAATATCAACGCTGAAAGCCTAAGGAAGTGAAACCCTATTGCACAGAGCATAGAAGCAGAAGAGAGCATAACAAATTTCATTTCATTTCATTTCATTTCATTTCATTTCATTTCTTCTCCTTCTTCTCCCCTTCCCGTTCACTCTGGCGCTTCAACTTCCTGGCTTCATTTTCCTCCCTGCGCTTCTCCTCCGCCAGCATCTGTTTCCTCTCCTGTATCTTCTCTTCGTCCTTTCTCAGTTCTGCGTACTACATCAGATCAATCATTCCTCAACATCATATCAAAGCAAAGGGTAATACATACTCTTTTCCGCCTGCCGTCTCCGCCGCGCTTTCTCTCTATCTTGCTCTGTTGGAGGTCTCGTTGGGCGTTGGAAAACAATAGAATCATCGATGGATGAGTCTTGAAATGCAGCGGCTTCACTGTTGGGATACGTATGCTCGGGGTCCTGGGGTTGGCTGGAGGTAGGTTCGGCACCATGGGTTTCCTCGCTGGGTTCGGGGTAGCTCTGGGTGAATTGAGATATAGAGGGCGATGAGGAGGGAGAAGAATTTGCGGAGAACAGTAGCCTAGCGAGGGTTTTGGATGACAGAGATCGGTTCATGATGTCTGGTGGGATCGCTGGGAGAACCAATGCAAGGACAAAAAACCTCCGGATAGCTTGTGATCAATGCAAAGAGCGAGCAGTTTGGCACAGGGGATACTTTTTGGAGGCTTTGGATGCATTTAAGTACTTTCCCTAGAATTCTATTATCCATAGATTGCTTGCTGTCCTCAAAAGCGTTCTTCGGTGAAGCCGAGAAGTCGGCCTCCGTCTAACCCAGAGCCCTGGCAAACGGTGACACAGCATCAGCATGCGAACAAGCAAATAAAGGAATGCATATTGCCTTCTTTTTTTTTTTTTCACTTGCAGACGGCTCTCTACTGCAGTTACCTCCTTGCTCCGTGGTGCTTTCCAAGTGTTGTGGAAGAAAAAAAGGGGTAAAAAACTTAGAGATCGTTTTCTCATCTCAAGTGCTATAATTTACATGCAGCTAAGTACGCCAAATAAGCCAGGGGGTGAAGAGGCCGGCATACAATACATCAACAAGCGCGATTCTCTCAATTTCCATTTTTCTTTGTTCATTTCTACGATACACACTATTGAGGCTTATGTACTATGGCATGTGAAAATGCATACATACATATACACACATGCTACACAATGCAATGCACGCACGACACACCTACCAACCCCGGCTTCGTCAGTGTCCCGTTACACAAGGGATCCACATGAGCGCTACCAAGCAATGGTTAAAGTATGGTGGAAAGTAATAATCATTGGAAGTCTGAAATGATCAGGTGCATTGCTAGGATTAGGAAAGCGAGATTTGGAGGAAGGAGAAAAAGCGAAGAGACTAGGCATCAACCACAACTTCCCTACACTGTACATATGCTAATGCAAGGTTCTACGAGTTGGAAATAGGACGTAGAAACACACTGCATGAATGAACATCAAGAATTACGTTACATCTCAGGGCCCACCGCTCAAGATCTCACGCTAACTCGGCTCCCCAACACAAAGATTTCTCTACTTCAATCTATGATCTTGCGGACAAACTTGCAGAATAACACATTTGTGTACCAAATATCATTCGTAGTCTATGAGACTATACAACTGAGTGCTGCGAGCATCACAAAGTCACCGACTAACCTCACTGGCCATTCCCGCTGCTGAGCTCCTGCAACATCTCCCTCGTCGCGCTCAAGCTCCCCGAATCACCGTAAATCGCGGCAATGAGACTCGAGTCGATATTTGGGAATTCTCGTTGAAGGATGGATTGGTTAAGCTGCACGTGTGATTTCGAGTTAGTCAAACCATTCGATCACGTGATGTGATTTCATACGTGCTCGAGTTGAGCAGGGTGGTTTGAATAGATATGCGGAATCTCGATGAACGTACCTCATCCTCGGTCTGCTCCCGACTCATCTCGTAGCTCTGCATGACCTCGACCTGGTGACTGTGATCTTGGCCTTGCGGCAGCGCCTGCTCTGTCGCCGAGCGGCGAGGCGGTAATCCAGGTGGTACTTCGGCGCCAGCTCCTCCTATCCCACCCAATCCACTTTGTTGCTGCGGATGCTCAGGATACTGCTGTTGGGGTGGCGGCTGATACTGCTGCTGCTGGTGAGGTTCATCCTCTCGCCATGGGTCTTGTGGTGGTTGGTATTGTTGCGTAGGCTGTTGCTGTTGATGCTGTTGGTCTTGCTGGTAGTGGGGTGTGTAAGATCCGGCGTTGCCGCTGCCCTGCTGGCTTGCCCATGGGTTGGATGAGTCCATTATAGGGTTTGTTGGATTTTTTTTTCCTTTGGTGAAAGAGCAAGAGGGTAGTCAGATTGAAAGAGAAGGAATATTGGCGCCGAGATGTGGTGAGGCGGCAGGTGATGGCGTGTAGGTGGGGTTAGGTCCGCCTAAACGCTCACAAGCTCTTGTTTAGTACTGGTGAGGGGTAACAATGTCGATACGTGAGGTGCTAGTGAGATGCTTTCATAAGGAAGAATTTCGGTGTGGTAGGGAAGTGCGAACAGGTGTCTGTGGCGTCGCAGTCCCCTGTTGCTCGGTGAAGGGGGCTGTGAAGATCAGCGTGGTGGGTGTCCGTCCGCTTCTCTGTTGCTGATGCTGCTGATGACGTAGGCTGGCTTCTAGATTGGGCTGTTCCTGGGGAAGTTGGTGAACTGGGATTAGCGTCGATCTACAGATGGAAGAGCCACACGAGACCTCACTTTATTGTTAGGCAGCAGCTTGTCGAGTATACAGATCGACAAGATCGTGGTGATTCTCTTTACTTTAGCGGAAGAAAACCGCGACATCAGCTGTATTGTTTTGGTTTCCGAAGAAAGAGACAGTGGCGGTAGAAGCACGACGAAGGTCTCCACACAGCAGTCATTACGGTATCGTGCATGATTCCAATGTTTCAACATTGGCAAGGGCCGATCAGGTCTTGCTATCAATCGCTACGACTATAGCTATCATGTCCTCGCTCTTTTTTGTGGCTTGTCGGCATCCAAGCAATGCCGATTTTTCTTCCTTGATTATGTGAGGACTAAATGCGATGAGAAGAAAGCATACAAGTAAAATACATTCAACGCGCACCAAAACAAGCAAGCCCCAACAAGCTTCATCAGTCGTTGTATAGAATCATCGTGATTCCGCCACCTTTCGCTCAAAGGGAGGCCTTGAGCAGTATGGACACCGGAAAGTAAAGATCCCCGTCTGCTGCTACTGCTGCTGCTAGGCAAATGCAACACCAAATTCGCAAAATACCAGAAGAACGCCCAGGCACCGCTAAGACTTTTGTTTCACTCCGCGAGGAGTATGCGTTTTTATGATGGCAGGTGGCTTGAAGAAGAAAGATGAATGGGAGTAAAAGAAGAACCGGCTTTCTCAATCTTGTGGTGCAACGGAGCCCAGCATTGAATTCGTCAAACTAACAAACAGAGCTCGGAACGCTAAACAGGACGACACGAGCCGTATGAAAAGGGGAGCACTGGAAGTTTATGTTGGACGAACATAGAAAAGAGATTGCAAACGAGCGTAGTTGGGCGGCAACAGCCACCGACCTCCAAGTGTTTAAGAAAGAAAACAAACTGCGGGGAAGGAAGCATTGCTCCCCTTTCATTAAACGATTCGCTATGATAACATGTGCACACCTTTCGCTGAAGCGCTCATAAACACCGGAATTTAAGCCACCATCGTTGTTGACATGACATAAGATGATACAGTGGCAGCCACCTTGTACAAGTGGCACAGAAGATGCAATAAAACGGGGCAAAGAAAAGAATCGTAAATGGCTGTTGAGTTGAAATAATCGTGAGCAATTTGCGGCGGGCAAATCGATGTACGGTACAAGTCTATAGGTCGTAAATTCGCATGGATCCGGGGGTATCTGATTTTCTCACGGCAATGGTGAAGCCGAGTATGGTCCAATTCGGTCAAGTATAGGAAAGGATTATGGGAAGGACCGGCCCACGAGCGGCAAGGCTCTACGACGGAACCGTCCTACTGTCGCTGTTGATACAGGCGTTGAAAACAAATTCTCTGATCTCTTGTTCTCCTCTTCGAGTATTTTCAACTTCTTCTTCTCAGCGTCGGGATCGTATGAATAGGTGGCAATGATTGAAACCCTGCGTTCGCGGGTACTCAGAGGAAGCTGATACTTGAAGGTGCCGCGAACAATAAGCTGGAACTGATACTGTAGTACTTCTTCCCATCGTTCAGTACCACCAGTCTCAGTCTTGTTGCCAGGCCTCGAAAGACGAATCTGGCCGGTAGAGGCCGCAGGATGCCGTCTGAAGAAGGTGCCATCGAAATTGAGCGGGGTGTCGAAATAAAGTATTTTACCCAGAGACATCATCTGAGGCTCGCCAACTTCGGGATCAGGCATCGGGTCCGTGCCATGATCCACCCCGCCGCGAGCAACAACCTTCTCCTCGTCTACTTTGATGGGTGCCCAGTCTTCCTCGTTGTTCTCGGGCTCACCGCCTCCATGTTCGCGCCACCATTTGTCTGTGCCGACATGTTTGCTCTTGGCGAATACAAGGCAGTCCATGTCAGTGATGGTGACACCTATGATATTCGGGTTCACTGCGTCGACCACAAGATCCAGAATAAGTTCGTCCGGGCTGGCGATGACGTTACGAATCTCACGAACATTGACATCCTCCAATGGTTTGGTGGTAGCAAATACTAGGCCAACAGCACTGAATACAACGACGAAAAGCAGAATACAGAGTACAAGACAGCCAGCAAATTGTCGGCACCATCCACCGCCGCGACGGTGCCGGTGTTCGCGTTGTCGTAGCGTGGCATTGTGCCTGCTACGAGGTGTCCTCGCACGTGGACTGCGCGAGGGAATCAGTGGCGTCCGCTCATCGTCGGCGACATTTTCCATGTCGATGTCGTAAGCTGAATATTCTCCATGTTTCTTTAACCCATTGCCGTTAACGGTTCCATTTCCGAAGTTTGGCGTCTGGAATCTAGGGCTATTTGGCTGTGAAGGATGGCGAGAGGAAGGTCCACGTGCCCGCGAAGATTGTGGCATGGATGAGTCACTGTCGACATTAATGTGGCTGAGAGCTCCGCGCCCTTGACCATGGCGGCCAATGTGATGGTGATGGCTACCACCACTGATCCTGCCAGAGCCAATACGAATGGTCCCGTCGCCACGCTCACCGTCGACATCTCCGTTGGTGTTGTTATAGGGATTCGCAAACTTCATGCTACTCTTCTTGTTCGGGTTCTTGTGTGCATCGCGTATAACAAGTCTGGGATCCACAAGGCTGGCTATGGAAGTCATGCTTGGGGTGCGCGAATGGTGATGTTGTCGGCTGCGGTGTGGCTGTTGATCGGGCGGGTTGGACTCGTAAATAAAGGTAGCATCAGAGTCGGACGAATCGGCTTCATCGACCGCTGTGGCAACTTTCTGTTCAAAGACATCTGCCTTGGAAGATGCTTTGCGATGTCTCGCGTTAGTGATTGGATAGAAATAATTGAGTGAAGGGGGGGTTGGGGAAAGGGGAATTGATTTTCGCGGCAGTTCCGGGCTCGAGGGCGAGGTTGTCCATGAAGAACACCCATCGTCGAACGAGTAAAGGATTGGACTGCCAAACGAAGTAACTGTTGGCAATCGGGGAACTCGCTCTGGTCGAGTCGGGTGGAGATGAGGGTGATATGAAGTGCTTAGTGACCTACCGTTGATGGATGGTGCTTTTCTCTTTGGTTGTTTCCTCTCTTTCTTTGGTCGTATCGTTTCGTTGCTCGGTTTCAAGCGGAGACTACCGTCAACACGCCCTGACGCTGATCGATCTTGATTGCCGATAGTCGACTGAGCTACCGACGGAACCGTCTCCGTCTCGACCGTCATGTTTCGCAAAGGCGGTTCGGTCCGTGACCTGATGGCAGAAAGAGATGAGAGAGACGGTTTATTTGAAAGGGGCGCGCGTTGGGTCGAAGCAGATCGCGCTTCCTGCATTTTGCCCTTGGCGGATTTCGAACCAGCGTCGGTAGTGCTTTCCGCGGGTTTGGATAGGCTCGCGCTGAGGTCTTCGGTAATTTTCGAAGAGGTGACGTCATTTCGTGGTTCATCATTGAATTTTGGGGCTGTCGGCGTGGACGACAAACTAGCATAGAGTTAGTATGACGTTGTAGAAGCAAGAGAAGCGGTCGTCGCTAGATTGTCTAGACCAAGTGGAGTGGGGCGTGCGGGGAAGAGCGTACCTTTCAGCCTCGGTCTCATCCAGCCCAGGAGTGGTTGGTACACTGGATTCTTGGACTGTTTCGAGCTTGGGAGCATTGCCGCTGGCTCCACGGGTTCCTGCTTTCATGCTCGAGGTTTGGTCGTCAGGTTCAGCGACTGCAGTCTCATCCTTGGCGGGAATGCGTGATGCTGGGCCAGGCGAAGAGCTTTGTACGACGATGGACGGCGTGGGCGCCACCTCTGGTTTCTTTTGCTGGGAACGCAGAGAGTTTCTCCGCGACCGGGAGCGAGCTTCGTTTGGCGGCGGAGACTTCAGACGCGGTGAGATGGGCCAATGGGGTGTGGTCTCTCCAGAGTTGGACCCCGACACAGACTTTTGTGGCCTAGAAGGACGCGAAGAGTCCTGGGTTGCGGCAGGCGAAAGAGAAGGTATGTTGGAAGACGACAGAGCACGTTGGATAGCAGCAGCGGATGGTACGGTGGTGCTGGATCCTGCCAGGTTGGAGCCCCGATTAGGGCTGACGTCGGTGCTGCTTTTGCGCGAGAGGCGCCCTGACTTTTGCAGAACAGCTGACGAAGATGCACTGGTACGTGCCGGCGAAGTGTCCCGCGATGACAAGGGCGAGTTGGATGTGGACGGCGAGCCAGACACGTTGAGCGAGCGTGCGCCGTTGAGAGGTGTCTGATGTCGCATGGAACCAGGGACAGCAGCGGGAGCGGCGGCAGGTACAGAAGGCTTTGACGAATGAGCAGCAGCAGATGTGGGCGTAGTGCTGGCACTGGAGGCAGGCTCTGTAGAGTCGATGCTGGCGGTGGTGGAAGAAAGGGAATCGTCGGTTGGTTCGGTCATGATGGAAGGCTGGATGAAGTGCGTGGGGGCCCGGGGCCGAAGGGCATGCTGGTGCAGCGATTCGGAGGGCAAGGCGGCGTGAGACGTGGATAGTGGGTAGAGAGGTGGGTGAATGAGTTGTGCAGTGCGAGCGTGGGCAGCAGCGAGGCCCGAGATGCGCACAGGCAGGCGAGAGCGGTGGCGGTCAGAGTCGAGTGAATGTCAAATTGGCCTAGAAGAAAGACACCCTGGCCCAGGCTTGGAACGCGGCGCGCCCTCAGTGGCCCACAGGCTACAGCGGGGGGACTGGCCGTCTGAGGAGAGATGGTGGCGCAAGCGAGCCGGGGCGCATTTGCTGGCACACAACAACGGAGGGACGGCCGGGTAAGGTGAGGTGAGGTGGATGTTGTTGTTGTTGTTGTTGTTGTTGTTGTTGTTGTTGTTGTTGTTGTTGTTGTTGTTGTTGTTGTTGTTTGTTGTTGGTTGGGGGGGAAGGGGAGAGGAGAAGAAGGAGGAGATGGTTGCAGCCGCTGACGAGCTGGATTTCTGGGCCGGCACAGGGCAGGGCAGGGCAGGATGGATGACGGCTGGCAGTTAGCCCCGAGCAACGTGACAGGTACCAGCCAGTGTTCTACTGCCACTACCACTGACTGTATATGCCCAGGTGTATTCTCCCGTGGGAATTACTCGTACGGGGACGACTGGCTGGGTACATGGTGGTGCACAATCACCCACTCACCCACCCTCACCGGGCAACGTCGACAGCCGCCCCCTGCATCATCCTTCGACGATTACCATCATCATGACTGCCAGCGCAGCACGGCAAAAACATGGCCAACTGCGAATCCCATCGCCCTCGCTCAGGCGTCGGTCAGCTGATGGCCGCTCGCCTGCAGCCCCTGCCAGGTTGATCTGCCAATGGGACATGGCATGACGCTGCCCTCTGCCCGCCTGATATGCGATCCAACATTCCCGCATTCGATAGGGCTGCGCATGCCCTCGACCAGACGTCTCTCCAGCTGGAGTCCTCTCAGCGCTCTCCACGTCTGCAGAACCCGACACGTGCTCTGCTCCCACGCCGAGCCTCTCAACCACGGAAAAAGCACCGTCTAGACCCTCGCTGTGCAACGTGTACCGCTTATTCACCTCTGCTTCCGCGTACCTGATTCCTCACCTCACCTCAGCCCCAATCGGCACTTGGCCTTCGGCCCGTGCCATGGCTCTACTATTACACCATGTACCACCTAACCCGGCGCTCTATTGTGCCGCTCTCCAACGTCATCACCGCGAAGCCTACCTGCCTGTCCTGTGTTGCACTTCCGACCGAGTGACAAATCTATCTCCCAAATCTCGATGCCAAATCTCGCTTTCGTGCTTGGTGGGCCACACCGGGCCGTCTCGGATGTAACAGCGCACCACATCTTTCACAAAATATCACAATCAGACCCCTTTGTTCAAAACCTACACCGACACACTACTATACCAGAGTCAAGACGGATTGCGCTACCACGCAGCGTCTCGAGCGCCGGTCCTGACTCACAAACGCAGTTTCTCACCACCTTCCGCAGACACGGCTATTTTCCAGCGTGTGGTTGGGGACACGTACTGTGCCGTGCCGATTCGCGTATAATTTAACCCGTCTTCTTCAATCTCATTTGCTGCAATTTTTTTTCTCTCCTATTCTCCGCCAATTACACACATGTTGGATATTAATGAATTTGCTCGGGCTACCAGCCCGTGCGGTTGGCACGAAATCTGCTGAACTGAACAATGAAGACACTCCAGTTCCCAACTGATGTCCTTTTGTCCTACATCCGATCTGCACGTCTGCCATGAGACGTGCGAAAATAGCAATATCACAGTCACACACCCGGATCCAATATGAATCTGAAATAGCTTCGTCCGACTAGATCACTCCATGACAGACTTGATGACCAGAGATCGGGAATGTAGCCGTCATCACTTCAGCGTTGGACGCACCCCATTCCGGGTCTTTTGCAGCAGATGCGGACAGTTACCAGGATACGTTACACAGCGCCGTCGTGTAAGTCAATTGGGAAATTCGTATTCGGAATGTGCAATGCCGTGTTCGTCAAAGTTTTAGTTTTTTTTTTTGAAGACACGTAATTTGCGTGCAATCAAAACAGCGACTTGTCACATATTGCACTATACAGGGGATTCAAGAAAAGTCTACTGATATTGCTAGATTGCTAAAACTCCGTTTAAGAGAGATACGAAATTTCGTTGATGCAGGTCGCTGTCATACATATCGTATGCAGACTATTTACGAAAATAACTCAGAACGAACAGTCCCGATCCCGAAACCCGATGATGGTGATGGCATTGTACTCCTACGGTTGCGCGCACTACGCAAAGATGCGAAGGCTGGTGGTAAAGTAAAAAGAGCAGTTCTAGGGCGAGTAATCACAATAACCGTTTGGTCTACTATTTTCTATTCAATAACACACATCAACACATAGCAACATGACCCATTGAGAAACAGAAAAAGTAAACTCTGTTCCGGAAAAAAACATACAATGCACAGAGAATCCCCGACCAAAGATTGTACAAACTCCATCATAAGTCAACCAAATAACAGCCAGATTGAGTCCTCTCAAACCCATATAAATTTCTTACAATCTTCCTTCCCTAGTGGCTGTCATGACAACCTCATATGTTGGCAGACGATCTCCATTCCCAGGAATAGCATCAGTACGAACCACACCACTTTCCATCCCATTCTCCGCGTCTTCGTACTTGCCATTCCTCCTCTTGGCCTTCATACCATTCAACTTGCCCCGCACCGCAGCCTTCGTCCCCGAGCAACACATTATCGTCGAGAATATGGCACTCGCCAGCCACAAGACAAAATTCACAAGATCCAACCAAACCGCATTTCGCATACGCCTCAATTCCACGTTAGCGTACCTCGGGTCGAGACTCATTTCCTGATCGATGTAGATTGTGTAAAACACGCCAAAGAGCGCGAGCCATAGGATGCAAATGACAGATTCGACTAGGAAGACGGCCCGGAACGATCGTAGTGTTATGGCTTCGATGATGAGTGTGAGGAGGGTCAGACCGAATACTACTTGCGTGTATATGAAGGAGGGAGAGGTGTTGCTGTGCGAGAGCTCGATGGCGTAGGAGATGCCGGATGCGAGGGCAAAGATGAATTGGAAAATGCGGATGCCGAGTTCGAAGAGGCCTGCTAGGGGTCTTGATCGTCGTGTGTAGACGGCGTCCTTGAAGCTTGTTGAAGTTTTTATGTATTGGATGTCTGGCTCTATCGAAGGTTCTCGTGGCTGGGAGTTGCCGAGTGCCATTGTCACGAATGAGAGTATACAGGACTTAAAGAATATAAATGAGTTAAAGAGTACTCTGGAAGTTGCGGATGGAGCACAAAGCAAGACTTCAGGGACGTGCCATTTTCTGGCTTATATACAGTTTCAAAATGCTAAACATAGCTCCATTGATATCGTAATCTGGCTACCAAGATAGTTTCAATAGACTGTACCACTTAGCATACAAGCGAAAACAATGGTCGACCAGTACGCATAAACACATCATAGTTTTTACAGCCAAGCCGTCCCTGGTAGACGGGGATTTTTCCGATGTTCAGCCAGACCATACTTGATTGGGTTTGGCATGTCACTCCGTAGTAAGTTGAACGCGCGGCAACATCCGTTGTAAAAGGCGCCCTGCTCTCGTACACGATCGTACTCGCGAACTTCGTTTAACGTCATTCCCAGAAGGTCGACAATCCACATCATGCAACATGGTACTCCACAATCTATCGAGAGCGCTGCCGTGAGTGGCAAAGACGATGCCGCATCTGTAGCAGATGGCATGGGATCAGCTGCAGAAGATAGGTCGAAACAGCGACGCGCGCATCGCAAGTCGAGGTATTTTCCATCCATTCATGCGCTACGCCCCCTCTAACCAACTGACAAGATTTGGCTGCAAAACCTGCAAGAAAAGACGAATAAAAGTAGGTTCGAGCTGATTCTGGACTCGCGGCCTGGACTGATCTCCAGCAAAAGTGTGATGAAAGGAAACCCGAATGTTCGAATTGTACGAGTCGTCAAGTCCGTTGCGACTACGCAACTGGCCTCGCGAGAACGCCCGATCATGAACCGGTCAGAAGCCACAGTAAAGCCTCAACAGCTTCTTCTGCAAGCCTTGGTATGGCTGATCTCGAACTCATGTATCACTGGACTACGTCGACTTGCCATACACTAAGTACTACCTATGCGAGTAATATGTATTGGAAGCATGAAGTGACTGAAGTCGGCCTTGCTAATGAGTACGTCTTGAAATTGGTACTAGCTACTGCAGCATTGCATCTGGCTTACTTGCGGCCAAATCGACGTGAAGAGTATACAAAACTCGCGAATGCGCATTACTCTGCCGCACTGCCTGTTTTGGTGAGTGAGCCCACAATTTGGTAGTTGATATCGGATGCATAGCGAGCTAACAGAGCTGGGTAGACCGCGGAAATATCTCAATTAGCTGGTGCCAATATCGATGCTGTCCTCCTTGGTGAGAGGATGTTAAATTTCGTTGTGTGGGCTCATGGACCCAGGCCTGGAGAATACCTAGCATTTGGGGACGGCGGTCGTTCAGAATGGCTTACTTTATTCCGTGGCATCCGTACCACCGTCGAAGCCTTAGGAGATACAGCCAGAGTCAAATTACAAGGGCCTACAATGACTGGCAAAAATAGGCCACTTCCTGCCAGAGAACCTCCATTCGAATACAAACAGCCACTTACTGCGCTCCGCGATTATGTCACCTACAACTCGTCTCCGTCTTCGCTTGCAACCAACATCCAGAGTATAGACCTACTATATGACTGCTATCATAACCGCTATGAAGGCGTTGATAGTGAGTATCACATGGCATTTGCATGGCTGTACAAGATGAAGGACGACTTTGTAGAAGCACTGCAACGTCACGAGACGGTCGAAATGGCAATCTATGCGCACTTTGTGGTTCTATTGTGGGAACTGGAACGGTTCTGGTACATGAAGGGGTGGACATCGCATGTCTTGGGTGCCATCTGGGATATCCTCAGAGATGAAGATCGAGTCCACATCAGGTGGCCATGTTCCATTGTGGGTTGGGTGGCTCCGAATTGAAAGTGTCTGGAACAGCACAACCAATTGAACGACAACACGCCAATCGAATCTCACTGATGCGCGCATCATATCTTGAGAAGACAACCACTCATTTCTGGGAAGTCTGGTGCCACAGTCGCTGGAGGTCTGATATCTTTCTAGAATTTCTGATACCCTTTTCCTGGCACAAACGTCTGTTGCCACGGTCCCTGCGTCTTGCCTTCAGAGAGCTCAACGTACAGCTTTCCATGCGCATCGCCATGAAGTTCTTGCCCGGCCGACGATCCATCCGACTTCCGCTCATCGGCGTAGTAAAACCTGCATTGGATTAGCACTTATCAACACAGATGATATAATATATCACTTACTTATATCCCTTCTCCTGGTATACCGTAGAAGCAGCCTTGATAGCATACGCTGTCGCCGTCTTCCCCATCCCAAGATCGATGAACGGGGGAGAAATCTTCTCGTTCAAGCTATTTCCCGTGAAAATAAAAGTCTTGGATGCTTCCTCTGGCAACTCTTCAAATACCTTGACCGCTTCATGTGCCGCGGCGTAGACGCTCGTGGTGTTGATGGTGAGGTCTCGAGCAAAGGCTGCCAGCGGAATAGACAGAGGGTCATTCGCTTTAGCAAACGTCAACGACGCAGCTGCAAGTTCGTCAAAATAAGGCTTCTCTACAAGATAACGTGCGAGTGTCATGTATGCGTACCATTGTATACCACCACACTAGGAGATCCAAGCTTCTCCTTCACTCTGCTGAAGAGATCAACTACCGATTCCGCGCTCGATACATCGGCATCGAAGTGGATTTGCTCGGCTGTGTCGGGATTTCGTTGTGTTCGGGACTGTGTCGAGCTGAAGTTAGTGTTTGGACCAATTGCGAAAAATAAATAAAGCACTGTTGTAAGGAAAGAGAGGGGTGGGCAGCTTACCGCGAGCGCAACCTTGTACCCTTTCTCCACAAATGCGCGAGCCACGCCATCCCCAACTCTGGGACCCGCACCGATCAGAAGTAAGATCTTAGAAGCACTCATGCTCGTTCGCAAATCACCAACAGTAGCAATAGGCTTTTGGAATTCTGCACAATATTTCAGAAGCTCTTAATGTTCAAACTCCAACCTCAATGCTCTTCCCCAACTATGTAGGAATTACCCTCATTATATACTGCACACAATAAATCGTCTAACTCAACTCTCGTACAACAATGTTGTTGGTGGTTGGTTCGATGGATTACACAATCCGACGCGCCTCTTTCCACATCCGGCATCCAAGCGCTGTGATTGGATGAAATGGGTTTTACTGAGGGAGAATTAATAATCATCTCGGACAATGAGCGGGGGGATAAGAGCGAGGGTCTTCGAATGATCAATCAGCCGAACTTGCGATCAGAGAAAACAGTAAGAGCGATTGTACGCTTGCTGGATCGGGCAATGTACGGTTGGTTTGAGTTATTTGGTTTAACGTCCGTAAGGGACCTCCCGAAGGGTATTTGGATGGGCGAGCTATGGAGTTGCGTACGTACGTACATGCGTCAGTCATAGCGGCTAGATTGCTGAAGGCGAAGAAGCGGACAAAGAAGATTGTTCTGCTGCGTGAGCAATCTCTTCTACAGTGTCAGGTAGACTTTTAGATGGTGAAGTTCTGCATCACCAGGTGACTGAACAGGAGCAGGGAAAGGACAAAAGAGAGTAGGGCATTGTAATGCATGGCTGGGAGCAGATGAATAGCGGATTTGATGTGCGCGCGAATAACAATAATATACTTGTCTACCAATTGTGCGTAGGGAGAGAGTACCTCACGAGTGCGGAATTTTACGGGTGTTATGCTACAGATACTAAGTGTTCAATGTACTACCTCCCTTGCAGCCTTCATGAGAACTAGAAATGTGCTCTTGAGGGAAAAGATTCTATGTCTATAAGTCTAATCTACAACGTACAAGAGATTGTGCTTGCAGAGGTGCAACCCGACGAATGCAAAATATATCCAAGAAAGATGTTCCTGCCATCCCATGCTCTACCGCGCATATAACTCCTAAAAGAGAAGTAGCATTTCAAAGCTCATTGAGCACACAGCCTCACCGTATACCTACCTCCACGAGCAAAATCACGGACGCAAAGCCTTGATCTGGTAAGTATACGGCGTGGACACGAACTTCCCACCACTCTTCGAATCCCTCACGATGCAAGTCTTCAGAACACTGAGGAACCCTGCCTTGCATTCATCAACGGATGGTATTGCCGAACCCGAACCCACAATCTGATACTCCCACGCAGCGGTTTTATGTTTATTCCCGGCGGCGGAGCCGCATAGCGCTTTCACGGCCTCGAGGTATTCGGGGTTCTCCTCTGGGCGGAGCTGCAGATATTCGGTCTGAGGAGATATCTTGTCGTCGCACACGAGGTTCCCTGGGGACCCTGAAGCGGTGGGTTGCGCGGACGGTGTAGCCGACGACGTGGATGTAGTAACGGCATTCTTACTCGGGATCGAGATAACGAAGGACGAGGGTTTGACTTCGCTCGATACTCTAGTCAGAGACACGCCGGTAGTCGTAGCAGAAGCTGCCTTGCGCGATCTAGTCGTGACAGATGATAATCCGCTTGAAGGAACAGCAGCGGAAGTTTCTTTGATTTCGAAGCGGTCTTGGCCTATTACGACCGAGCCGGACTTTTTCAAGTCCTTCATCATGCAAGTGCTGAAGACGCTCATGAAGCCCGCTTTGCAATCTTGCTCGGACACTTTGTTGTAAGTCGCCAATGCGAATACCCAATTTGGGGCTATGTAGGAGCCTTTCCAGTTATCTGGGTCGCAGTAGGTTTTCATGGCGTCTAGGAATTCTTGGGGATATTGGTCGGGTTTGAGTGAAGTGGTGGCTGGGTTGGTGGACTTGTCGGGGTCACAAATCGCTGCAGGAATGGCAGAGTACGGTGCAGAGAGTCCAGTGGGTGTGGTTATAGCGGTAGAAGAGAAAGTCGAAGTTGGGGCAGGGGCAGCATAGGTTGTGGCGTACCACAGAGCCAGGGAGAGGAGTGTGGAGTACATAATCGCGTTTGTGAGGCAATGAACGACAAGGTTGGAAATGAAGGTGAGGAAAATTGGAGCAGGAATTCAAGGTGATAACAGCAGAATTTGGATTTGATCTTGGAAAGAAGAGCACGTAGTTCATTCTCACCAGGTAGTTATAGATATCTCCGTCATTTCAGGTGTCCACTGTACTTCACGCCTAAACAATCTGATGATTGCAGGAGTGGAGGTCGCCCTACGCTGAAATATTCATTGATTGACACTTTTGGCTGCGCATGATCTGAGATTTCTCCGAGCTGCCAAATTTAGGACACATACCTGGTGAAAATCCTGGCTGTGGTGGCTTCCGCGCGAGAGATGGGGCGTAAGCAATCGCACGAAACGATCGCATATATCATGAGCCTCGCGCGAAGGAATGGACATGGATCACAAAGAACTTCCAGAGAAAAATACTGTTCAAGAGATTTTAATTCAATCAGTTTTTGAAGACAGTTCTAACTTGCTATCCTAATCTATTCAAAATGTCAGGCCGCAGGTGGTCCAATGTGTTCGTACTTTTCGCTTCATTATCGTTCTCGATGAACCGTGGATTTCGCATCCGTAGTGAACCGTGGTACACCGACACAACAGATCTTATCTACAAAGGATAATTACACAACACAACGGCAAACAATGTTGAATCATGGATCTTCGAAACCGCCATCGAAGGAATCGCGGATCGACGTCGCATCAATCGTCAGTGCGCGTCGATATAGCCATTAACGGAATGTCCAGCGTAGCACAGACGATGACATAGTTGGAGCCAATCAGCGGCTTGGGGGAAATACTTGTCGAAACAGACATGCTAGAATGAGCTGTGTAGATCTTTGCGCAGCAGCTCTCTGATGTAATACGGGGGGGCTTCATCTTTTCCAAACTGATTAATGTCCGATGTTAGGTCAGATGCATTCGACACGAGACAGAGCTAATGAAACAGACCTCCGATTCAGGAGCTGTCATACATTCATAGCTCTTCCACATGATATCAGCTTAGCTTTAGGCCTCGTCTCTTTTGGCCGTCGAAATTCAGCCTTCAAGTGCAGCCGCTGGCCACACTCTAGATCGTCCAGCTCGGAAAAGAATGCCACTTGAACTTATCATTACCATGTTCAATATATCAAACGTAATATTTATTCTGGTGCAAGATCATTCGTACAAAGAATATAAACTTGGAAGATGTGCAATTCATCTCCACTGAAGAGATATACATGTCAGTGACTGGGTGAACGTTAAATTTGGAGAACAATAATGTCGGAATATGACGAATCCTGTCCAATTGAGATAGCTCTATTATTAAATGATCGTAGGAAGACTTCTCCTCGAGAGATTGTTCCATGAAGGCCCTCTCCATCTTACTAAGATCGTCATTGTCACAAGGCGGACGTTAACAGTCGACAGAACGCGGAGAGGTGGCGAAAGCCACGCGACAGCACGAAACAGGCTGCCCCTTACAGCTGTAAAATAAACTCTGTGCAAAGTCACAATGTGCTGAGTGCAAATTAAGGTTCAGGGTTGGGAGAATCTGGCCACCGATAGGTCATGCGATTAGGACTATCGATCGCACTTGCGTTCACCATTGTGCCATTATAACTCGGCAAGGTATAACCTGGCTGTTCTCATGTATTCACGAGACTTATAGACGCTGAAAATTTGAAGGGTGCAAAATCCCCAAAACATCATTAAAGAGTGGATTGGCAGGGCTAGAACCCGGCAATCAGCTTTGCTCCTGCGAGCAAGTACATCATATCAATCTCATATCAATGCATCGAGTTCGAGGACTCAACAAAGAAATCAACAACCAAAGATTCATACCACACCATTGCCACTCTTCCCTGGCAAACCTTTCATCACACCAACCACTGTCTCACGACACCGGCCATCTCCTCCGCCCTATCCCAAGTCCCCAACCTGTTATCTTCCGCATACACAGACGCACCGTCCGTTCCCAACCCCTCTCTGCCCATCTCGACCCTCACCCCCGCCGGCACCGGCAAAAGCAAATCACGCGTAAAGTACGTAACCCACGGTGTCGCGGGCGCATGTGATACGCGCTGATTTTCCACTTTACGCGCTCTAAGACTAGTGCGAACCAAACTCTACGCGTCTGCAGTGCTGGGCATTACTGGCCGACTGCATTTGATGTGACAGACCAGCGCGGGACGAGAGCAGCGGAAAGTGACGACGCGTGCGCGATGTCTGCTTTTCCATCTAGCTCTGGGATTCTGGACTGACGTTGAAGTGTTAATGCGGGACTTGTATAGATAGATGGAGAGGGCTATCCAGTTTTGTTCCACATCACATCATCCAGCGCAGCTCAGAGGCTACTCGGTCAGGGTTACTCGTTGTCGATTCTTGATAATAGGGCCGTTCTATCGGTCTAGGGAATATACTATCGTTCGCCTAAGCTGTCATTACCAGCCACCTGTATCTGAAATTGATATACCGTCCTCAAGATGCCTGGTCCTCTGTTGCAAACAGTTCCAACCATCACTTTGGACATCTTCCTCTTTCCACCCTCCCTGAGTTGCTCGTCGTCATGCTCAATGCTCCGCAGACAAGCAACCTGAAGCTCAGCAGATCTTACATGAAGTACATAATCGGTATATATTTGCAACCCACTAATCCGGATTCCAAATTCCAGTTACTCGAAACAGGCGAAACGGTACACTATCGATAAACAGCAGGCGGCCCGGTGTAATTACGACAAACCTGCTATCGATACCCCAAAACCTATGTACGTGCGTGCAGAAAGCCAGGCTATCGATTGCAGAGAACCAATATAACTCTCCCGCATCCGCGCACTCGTCCGCCGAACATAGGCAAATTGTCACCGGGACAACGAGTGAATTTTTCTTCCTTGCCATGACATCCGAGACCTGGATCCACCGCCCAAGAAATCTCTTGCTTGCAGAGCGGGGAAACGCAAGAGGAGAAACTGCAAGTGTTCGGAAGAGGGAAAAACGATCGAGCAAACCGTTCTTGCAGCTGAACCGACGGATGTCTTGTCTTGTTCTCTAGTTAGCACCATGGCTTTTTTTATCTCTTTTGCTTTCCTCTTCTTTTATTTTGGTATCCCTCGTTTGTCAATTGAATTTGTTTGTCAGTTCATTGAGTTGATTGATTGCTCGCGTCAACGTTGTTTCCCTTCCGGATCCAAGGATACATAATCGATAAGGAAAGTTCTTCCCGACTACTTTTCGGCCGGACTAACAAAAACTCGGCATGCACGCACGCATCGATCATCATCGTCGTCAATCGAGGGACACACGAAAACCTCTTTGCATGAGCGGGGCCACATCTGTGCTTCTTCTTTTCTGCCTCTTTGTCAATTTCATCCCTTCTCCTCACACCTGCCTGCCTCACGATTTATCATTCCTTTGTGCTTCAATACCAACTGTTATCCATTTCCTGTTCTTGCAAGATTATTGCGTGGGCGGTACTAATTCGGCATGCATCGAGCATCGTCGTCAATCGGGAAAGAATCAATTGATCCGATCTTCGCAAGACCAGCAGGACCAGCAGGAATGAAATTTCCTCACCCCTTTTTTTTCTTCCCTCTCTCTTCCTCCTCCTCCAGCTTGTTCCTCTCCTGGAGAATCAATGGTATCAAACAATCTTGTTGTTCATGTCCTCTCAAGGTTAATTACCTCGAATGCGGTACGCATGCCTGCCATTGACAACCTCCACTCATCGCCGCCATCGCCGTCAATCGGAACAGCAATTGACAAGATGAACCTTACACAAGAGACATCTTCATCTGGTCAATACTGGACTTCATCCTCCCCGCCCGGTTTGCCCTTCACCTCGGCCTCTGATTCCAACTCTTGCATTCCCTCTCGCCCGCTTTCTCCTCAGTCTTCCTCCCCATCCTCTCCCGCCTTCCCCCTCTCCCCCCCCCCCCCCCCCCCCCCAAAAAAAATACTACCAATCAAACAATGATGATAGTGGTGTCTTTCCCTTCCTTACCTACCCACATAATGTCCTACCTATCCCGACATATCAGCTTAGCTGAGACCTAGCTGACAGACCAGACATCCAAGCTGACCTCACCGCCCCCACTTAGACACACACCCACAGATACAGGTGGAAAAAAAGAACAAGCAACGTTGTTGATTTCCGCTTTCCGTTGTCTCTCCCGGAGGCCGAGTCGGAAATTCTCCTGTCACCACCAGTTCCTTCTCACAAACCCGACCTCCTTCTTTCTTCTCCATTCCCTGTCAATTGCTGCTGGCTGGCTCTTTCTTCTGTTTGGATCCAGCATGTTTGGTCCGTTGAAAAGGACTCCAGGACGCAACCATTCAACTCCACCGACCGGCAGTCCGGAGACAAGAACCCCCCTTCCCCTCCCCATCCCCGGGTGAATCACCCAGATGTTCAGAAACCCCCCCGAACGACACGCAATCAAGGATCCAAACCATGCACAAGTCACAATCACATATTCAACAGCAACAGCAAAAGAAGGCGAGGGTTGTTCGAAGCTAAAACAAGATCGATCATTGACATCATCATAAAGACTTAAGTAGGTTTATGGAGAGCTGGTAATACTCCCAAGCTCCCCGTTGAACTAATTATCAGAACCAAAAGCACGAACATGAAAACCAAAAATGTGGATGACCCAGGATTCCGTCATAAACAGAGCGATCGTTCCGTCATGAGCAAGAGAGAAGGGAAGGCGTTTCAGTGTATGATAAAATGGGGAAAGAAGAAGTTGTGACAAAGGAAAATTGCATAGAGGCACTGGTTCTTCCAGGTCGAGAGAAGCGCAGTATGGAAGAGGAGGGAGTGTGGAGGTAAGATTGTTGCAAGGAAAAGATATGGATCGTGCAGTGTGTGCGTGTGGAATGTACAAGACAAAAAAGAGAAGGAAACAAAAGACGAGGCTCGGCTTAGTAGGTGCGACTCCAAGGGCTTCCGAGGACGAAACGACCAGAGCAGGCGGCATATATCATGCAATGCCTCCCAACGACAACAAGCCATGGCTCGTTCGCTACATCCACCCACAAAGTGCAACCATATTAGCCAGCCGACCGTCGAATTAATGAAGTGGGTAAAAGGATGAACTATATGTTCATGTCATCATCATTGGTCAAACCCAAACGAAGAGAAAGAGGAAGCAACAAAAGAAAGTGAAAGATTTGGCCGATCCTCAATGTCATCAAATATAGTCCCCGAAGAAAGGTAAGCACATCAAATGTGAGGCGGCCAGGTCGAAAGGTATGAACAGACATAGGAGATGCTTTTCAAATGGTAGAGAACCGGCCACAAGTCCAGGCAAGTGTTCTCATAAGATGATGCCCAAATGCAAGGGACAGCACTTTGAAGCTGCCGATGCTAACGCCGATGATGCTATGCGTAAAGATAGACAAGGCAACTGCCGACTAATGGTGAGGAAGGCTCGCAAAACGCTCTTCAAAGGATGCTGGAGGTTCGAAGCCATATGAAGTAGAGGCCCGTGGGAAGGTATTGTTCGGGCGAGCCCCGAAAGGTGAACCAAGGCGGACAGTCGCTTGCTCTTGAAGGTCCGGAGAATCATGGGACATCGAGTTGGCGGGCGACGGCAGCGCTTGAGCTGTCGTCTTGTCGTTGAGAGTTGCAAACGGGTTGAGCTCGGTCGGACCAGTCGTGGACAACGGCAGTCGTCGCGCACCCTCTACCATATCACCAAGGCTGAAGCCACGACTCCGCACACGGCGATGGCTAGACTGGGCTGGAGCACCGAAGACTTGGTCGATGAAGCTGTTGCCCCGGCTTCGTGCTTGCTCCTCAAAGTTGTGGAGAGCACGTCGCTTGAACGGTCGAGATATAGGCCGAGGGGAGTGCAACTGAAGAGGCGAGCCTAACCGGGATGGCCGGGCAGATGGCGCATGCCACGTCCGCGAACTGTGCTGGTTCATGCTGATATCGGTCATCTGAGACATGGTCTGGAAAGAGTTCTGGAGACCGAGACCGATACCAAGGCCGATGTGGAGAGACTGGGACTTCTGGTGTGCGTATGCTCGTAGATTGGCGCGATCTTCTATTGGTCGTGGCGTTATACCGTTGGCCAGCTGGGCCAAGGGATTGCCAGCCTGCATGGATGGTGCAGTGCTGGTGGTGAGTGATACGTTCATATCGCGGGTAGAGAATGACGCAGGCACTTGGGTGAATGGCGACGAAAGCACAGGCGGGCGAGTTGACGAAGATTCCTCTTCCGGTGAAGATTGGAAGGGCGATGGTGAACGGCGGAGGAGACGTTGGTAGTGGGCAGAAAGCGTGGGCTTCTGTCGAGCCAAGTAGCGGAGTCGCTTTCGTGTGGACTTCTCATCGGGATGCCGGGCGTAGGGCTTTTTGGGCACGGGGGTGCTGCTGCCACTTTTGGTAGGTTTGATCGTATCCGGAGTGCCGCCTCGAGTTTGGTAGCGGGAGACGGAGCGCAACTTGGAAAACATGGGAGCAGACTTTCCGCCTTTCCAGGTCCTGCGGGCAAGTCGGGCTACGCGATGGCAAACGCCATTTGGCGGGACTGTGCTGGGGAGCGCCTTGAAGGGGGTCACGGTAGGATCTTGCAAGTACTTGAGGTATGTCATCCAGAGATGGTTATCCATCTCCTCGGTGAATGTTGCCCTTAGTTTCAGTGTCTTGGGCGGCCGAGCCTGGCGTGGTGCAATGGGGGAATCCAGTTGCGGGGGGTGTTTCTGCACGGGAGAGAACTCGAAAGGATCGGTCATTTCTTCTTCTGGACTGGTGCAGCTTCCTCCCAAGGATGGGAACGATTCAAAGCTCTCCCTCGATGAAATTGAAGAGTCCGAGAACCCACCAGAAGAGGTGGGTCGGCTCGAAGACTCACTTTGGTTACAATTGTCTACATCGGACCAGTGTTGGGGGCCATCAAAGCTGGCGAGACTTCCCATTTGAGCAATGGGAGTTTTTGGTGGTGAAAGCATGCGTCCAAAGGTGAGTGGCGGAGAAAGGAGCTCTTTGTCTACTGAAGAGTGCAGGTTGGGAAGGTCCGAAGAGGTGTTTGGGAGGTATTCCGGGCCCTCGATGGTCGGAATTGGGTTGTCGTTGACCATGTCAAGGTCATTTGCTTGGGAGGTAGGAGCGAAGGTGCCACGACGACGACGCACCTTGAGCATTTGTCGAGGTGGTGGGGGAGGTACGAGCTCGTCAGGCTGAGACTCGGGTTCTGGAGTTTGTGGGAGCTGACCATCCCGATAATGGAACATGAAGTTCCTCGGGAGGGTGATTGAGAGATGAGGGCGTTCGGATTCCATATTGCAGATGGTTGTGGGACGGCGAAGATGGGGTCGTTGAGGTCTTGTTAATTGGAGCAGGGCCTCGGATTTTGCACACCAATGGACGCGTCTCCTAGAACAGTCGAGAAATGACAGGTGCAATGGGAGCTGATGCAGGAACGAATGTACTGCAGTGTAATTGCTGATGGACAAGTGCCGCTTATGCAGGGCGGTGCTGATGAGAACAGACGGGCGCTGACAGGTGTTTGGGAGCTGCGAACGCGACCGTGAGGCTGCACAAGAGGTTACACGGTCTATCAGGGCGGCGTACGAACTGAGCCAGGTTGCTCGAGCGTGCGCAGGACGAGATGCGCAATTTTATGCGCTGTGGCGGGCGTCGCAAAAGCGCGTCAGGCAAGGAGAGGCGGGTGGTGAAAAGTCGAAAGGGGTGGTTTTTTGTAGGTGGCGCGTCTGGTTTGACGCAGCTACAACGGGCGGAGCAGCGGCAACAAGACGAGGGTGCCGTGCAGCTGAAGGCGTGATAGCGCAAGGAACAGAGGGACTAATCGCGGACAGCACTGGAGTTGCGAGGGCAAGTGGTTGTCGCAGCGGTGGATTGGCGCGGGTCGAAGCGACAGCGGGCACTTGGTGGTTACTCGTAGTCCATGGGGCGGCGTGGGTGTCGAGGAGGAGTGCGAGGGGGGCGATGGGCGGGTGGATAGCCTGGCAGAAAGAGTAGACAGACAGAGAGAGAGGACGGGATGGGTGTTGTCGCGAAGTGCCTCAGGGCATCGCTCGAGGGCGACTGGCGACGGGTGGGATGTCGAGGCGGAGGAGAGGTGGTGGTGGGCGGGAGATGAAGTTAGTTGGGGGAGAGTAGGCAGGCGGAGGGAGGGCTGGGCAGGACAAAGCAGGACAGGACAGGACAGGGCAAGCGCTGGGGGGGGAGTTGCAACTTGCAAGGAAAGAGCGATCGGGCGGTCTGCGCTAACGCGTTTACCGAAAGCGCAATGACATGACACGCACGCACGCACCATGCCCAACCACCACGACGACAGACCACAGGGCATTATTATTATTCTATTCACATTGAATGGATTGACAGCAGGCAGCGGCGCATGAATTCGATACTTTGCAGGGGACACGGTCTCGCATGTCGCTGAGCTGAGGCGCGGATAGGACGGCGGGCGGATCATGTGGTTTTGTTGTTTCTTTCTGTCGCGACGCGTCGCTGTGAATTGACGGCGCTAGGGCCGAGTTAGGCCGCATCCGAACGGCCCACACAAGCCTGTGCGCGCCCACGGCGGCCCCTGTGCAGGCCGCTGGTGTCCTGCAAGAACACTTGTCACGGCCGCGACTGGACCTCCAAACCTGACCCCACGACTGCGTTTCGCCTGGCAAGTGCAGCATCATCACTGCGCTGTCCGGCGGGGGGCCAGTCGTGGCCGGCAAGCAGGTGAATCAAGGCCCGGGGGAAGCGCCAGGTCCACTTCTTTGACTTCGCCTGCTGCTGCTGCTGCTGCTGTTGCTGCTGCTGCTCGCTGTTGTGCGTGGATGGCGTCTGCAGAACGAGCACACCCACCCACCTGTCCACCAACTGCTGCCCGCTGCCCGGCCTCAGGTGAAACGAACGGCTGCGCAGCGGATGCTCGCAGAATCTCTGCCGCCTGCTGGCTCCCTCTTCTCTGCTCCTTCTACTGCCAAATACGACTGCACAGAACTTGCATTGCTGTGCAGCTCGATCCCATCACACATTACATGTCCGGCCATCCCTGCTTTTTCTTCTTCTTCTTCTTCTTCTTCTTCTTCTTCTTCTCTCTCTCGCTGTGAATGACCAGTCGGCCCTCATATCCTGCCACTCCATCCAGAAACCGTTGGGGCCTCATTTTCCCGCTTGCCCCCAACCGGCCTCGCTTCGCTACCTTGCAGGCGATCGTTTCCTTTTCCCAATTCTCCTGTCCCAATCCGGCCACCCTTTCTCACTCCCCAGAGCTAATTCGTACCCGGCACTGCACTTCCTCGCTCCATTTGCTAGCCTACGGGCGGCCTTCCTGTCCGTCTCTCACAGTGCGCGTGCCTCTGTTTGCGTCCTCGATATATCTTTGTATTTGCCATGTACTGTATCAGCCACTCTGTACCAGTGCCAATACGCCCAGCGGACAATGGTGCCGCCATGTAAACCACCAACAACGAACGCCAGTATACGTATGCCACTTGAACTCCCGAGAACAATCCATGGCCTCTCGCTCTGTAGGCAATCAATCCGGGATATCTACCTGGAGTGCATGCAGTCCATACTAGCACAATTCGACGCACAACACCGACCACTACAGATATGCACGTGTCTATCTTCTATGCATCCTCACCATCCCTCCTGTTTCTCTCTCTTCTTTGCTTTGCTTTTTTTATCCCCACTCTCAGCTGCTAGCTGCCAGCTGCACCGCCCTGGCCCGCGCTTTTTTGTACCCATCGTCTTTTCCCCCGCCATCGACCCGGTTCGATATCGATAAGCTCCAGAGCGTACATGTGGAGCAAAAGGCGCACGAGCTCGAGCCCCATCATCCATTTGTTTTGCTGCCACTCCGCCGGCTCTGTTCCTTTTTAACAATGGGTCCTAGCTGACAGGTGCCACCGCGACTGATTCCGGAGCGTGATAACCTGTTGGGTCGTACATATGTTGAAACATCACCGTACTTTGGCTCGAGGTTGTTCAAGGTTGATAGACTTTATGCTACTTTCGTTACTTGCTATCAGGTCGGCATGATTTCACTGTCTGTTGCAGAGAATAATCAATAGGAGCGGGCATGCTCTTCTGGGCGTGTTATTTGCTTCCCAATGTCTTTTTGTGAGAACGAGCAACTACACATTTGTGGACTTCAGTACTTCAGCATTTAGCGCATAGGAGATGACTAAGCATCGTGCGGGTCGCCGCTTGAGGTGGTTCCCACTATCATATGCCAGCCCAAGAACCGACTCGTCGTCAATCACATCGTCGGCTACCTTTTGAGACGAAAGGCTCTTTGTCTTCGCACATCTCGAGTACCCCGCACATCTGATGCGATGACAGTCTGCTTTCCGACGAGATGCGCACTGCTGATTCAGATGCTTATGTACACATGCATACAACAGGCGTCCAGCCGCTGCCTGCTGCCTGCTGCTGTATCGCACGATACATACATACTGATATATATGTCCTCGACACATCAACGTATTACGCACTCGACTAACAGCTAGACCGACGCTTCCACTTCTATTTTCACTCGTATTCAATTGTGTTTATACATACCCTCTTCCAGCCATCATGTCTGGCGGCGGAGGCGACGATGTAGTTGTGATCGATCGTGACGATGTCAGCAATTACAATCCCGAGCAAATTCTTCCACAGTCTCCCGAGGAAATCAGAAAAATCAGAGACTGGCTCGAACCGACCGAATACTGGCTAGGCACCGGTGAATATCGGAAACACTTGGCTTCTCATGTATCTGGGACAGGCGCTTGGTTGACATCCAGTGAAACGTACTGCGAGTGGCTGAACAGCATCGAACAAGGTCTGCTGTGGATCAAGGGTATTCCAGGCTCGGGCAAGTCCGTCGTTGCAGCACATTTGATCAATCAATTGACGCAATCTAATCCTAGGGCCCCGGTTCTATACTTCTTCTTCCGCCAGATCATTGATGCCAACCACGGACCTACTGCTTTGCTTCGAGATTGGCTTGATCAGATACTCCAATACAGCCCTCCCCTGCAAAAGCGGTTGAAGGAGCTCAGAGAAGACCGTCGCACAATCGATAGTATGTCCATGGAAGATCTATGGAAGCTGTTACGACTTGCCCTTTCCGGACTTCCAGCTAAAGCAACATGCATTGCAGATGCCCTTGATGAGATGGATCAGGGCAACGATCAATTCATTCGGTCTTTAGCCGAGCTAGGACAATGGAAGCCCTCGCAAGTGAAGGTTCTCATTACCAGCCGCCCGGTGCCTAGTGTGGAAGCTCCTTTACGAAATATCAAAGGATTTCAAATGCGACTGGTGGAGGAAAAGGTCGACCTAGACATCTCAAGTTTTGTTGAGCACGGATTGGAACATACATCCATCAACACCGATGACCGAGCACTCATGAAGGAAGCAATACCTGGGCGGGCCAATGGTTTATTTCTTTACGCCAAGCTTGCCATGGACGCGTTTCTCAAGCCCGGTGCTCGCACCCGTGATGTTATTCAATCGCTCCCTGCAGATTTGCACGAACTCTACACGAACCTGCTACATGAACATGCTCGTAGGTCTGGGGTACCGCATGACGTTCAGCTACTTATTCTCCAATGGGTGACACACGCAACCCGCCCTTTGCGACTTATAGAGCTTGCGGAAGTCCTACATACTACTCATAGTGTAGACCAAAATCGCGATTTTAAGACCTCCAAGGACCTCGTGCGAGCTGCAGCAGGTCCGTTGTTAGAAATCCTGGCGGATGAAACAGTTTCCGTCCTACATCATTCGTTCACTGAATATTTAAAATGCGTAACCAGATCTGAAGATGCTGTTGGATATTCCATTCTACGCACGGAACAAACTCATTCTCGACTTGCTTTAGCATGTTTGAAGTACCTGCAAGAAGGCTGTCTCGATCATATACAGGCACCTATAGAAACATCCGCATACGATTGGGACTTGTCACTATCTATTCCAAGTAGCAGCTACATCTCGCATGATGACCGCGAGGAAAACAGGGGGGAACGACAAGCACATCTCGATTTTCCGTTCTTTCCTTATGCAGCGGCCAATTGGCACGTCCACGTTTTACGCTCGGCCAATGCAGGTCATCATCAGAGTGAGGTCGACACTTCCGCCGACACTTTTCTCAACAACGATCACTATTTTAGAGCTTGGTAAGTCACTATCCGAAGTCACTTGTATCAGTTAATTGATGTGGTTGTAGGCTCAAGGTCGGGTGGCCAAAGGACGATCTCGATACAACTGGCGCCACCCCTCTCCACATTGCCGCTAAGTTAGGGCTTGGCCACATTATCAAAAATCTCATATCAAGAGGCGTCACGATCGATGCTGCCGATAGACATGGGAGGACACCTATCTGGTGGGCTGCTGCATCTGGTCAAGGTAGTATAATTACGATTTTGGTTCAATCCGGATTCAATCCAGATATTGATGATGCTGACGGACTCAAACCACTTCACGTAGCTGCAGAAAAGGGTCACGACAAAGCTGTTCATGCTCTATTGGCCGCTGGCGTGGATCCTCTCACACGGAAAACACAGGAATATCGTGGATTGCAGTGTGGTAACGCGCCACGTTCCACAGGTCATGCGCCGCTGATGGTGAGCCTTTCCAGAAAATCATGCCTGGAGAACTTGATCTAAATAGCTATAGTATGCTTGTAAGAACGGTCACCTCGAAGCCGTTGAAGCCTTCCTACCATTCCTAAACGACATCGAAGTTGTGCATCAGGCCTTGATCTGGTCTGCAGAGAAAGGCCAGTGTCAACTGGTAAAACGGATTCTTCAACATCCACAAATCGATATTGATGCCGGGGTGCGCGGGAAAACTGCACTGTTTGCAGCGAGTAGCATACCAGATCGAAACACCATAAGAGCACTGATTGAAGCAAATGCAAATGCTGCCGTCATCTGCCACCCCGAAGGTGATGAGTCTGGCCGTCAGCGGTGGCTATCAGCGAAAGAAAGGAACGACACGACACGGGGGGATACTGCTCTGCAAACATTTTGTCAATCACAGAGTAAATCTGCGAATCCATTTTCCTCTGCGAGACTTGGCCCAGATGAGTCGTACGAGATATTTTCGCTATTGATACAAGGTGGAGCCAATATTCATCAATGTACTTTGGAGGGTGACACGATACTTCATACGGCTGTCAATGACTCGGTACTGGTGCGTATGCTTTTGAACGCTGGTGCGGATGCGAATGCTGTCAATAACGAAGATTTATCGCCTTTACACAAAATCGTTTCGCCCGACTCATTGGCCACCCTCGTCGAGGAAGGTAATGCCGATGTCAACAAAGTCCAGAAAGCAAGCGGGAAGACGCCCCTACTATCGCTACTGGCTTCAGGCTCCTATTACCGAGGCCACATCGCAGAAACCATACAGAAGTTGTTACACTACAAGCCTGATCTCAAAGCTAAGAATAAAGGCGGAGAGGGTCCGCTACATGTAGCACTCAAGAATAGTCGTATAGAGCAACCTGTCATCCGAGCTCTCCTTGACTCGGGAGCGGATGTCCATGAACAAAATGCCGCAGGCAATACCCCGCTCTTGGCTCTGGATGTCAGCGGTGAGTCGTCTGGTGAAATACTAGGTTTGCTCATCGAAGCAGGAGCAAATGTCAATGAAAGAGATAGTCAAGGTGAAACACTGCTTTGGCGTGCAATCGGATATCACCGTTACGTCAAATCCTTCATCTTAAAGCTGATCGAAAAAGGTGCGGAAATCAATGTTCGCAACCATGTAGGAAGAACTCTGCTCCACGTTGCAGTGGCGTCGCGTGACATCTCAAATTACAATAGTAAAGATGACGTTCGACAACACTATCTAGTCAAAAAAGGCCTCAATATCCATGCAACTGATCACCATGGAAACACCTTAATTCACGAATGGGCGAAAAGAAATTTCAGCTCACACTATTCCAAGGCGTACACTGCCCTTGGCCAGGAACTTGTTACTATGGGGCTTTCTTTGGATCAACACAATCATGAAGGCGAGAGTGCACTTCATATTCTGATCAATGTGCATTTCAACTTTCAACAGCCTGGTGCACATATTGAACTGGCTCCCTTTGATTGGATCATATCCAATATCAAGAACATTGATCAACCGGACGGCCAAGGCAACACTGCATTGCATCTCGCAGTCAAGAACTCCGACGCTCTTACGCTAAGACTTGTTAATGCCAGCGCTGATCTTGGTCTTAAGAACAAGGAAGGTTTGACACCTCTACATGTCGCTGCTCTTTTTCGGAGATGCAACGCGCTTACAATCATCCTCGATGCTGCCAAGTCTCATGGACAAGACCTCTTGGATGTTAAAGATGGCAACCTGAATACGCCGCTATATTACGCAGTTCGATCCGGAAGGCTGGAGTCAGTCAAAATGCTAGTTGATGCAGGGGCAGACATAACCTCCAATACTCTGTTTGCTGCCTGTGCAGATTTCGAGAAAGAGTCAAACTCTGATGTCACAAACAACGGTTATTGCCGTGAGGCATCTATGGGAGAGAAGCACACATTGAGGCTAGAAGAGATCGTTCAAATTTTGATGAAAAACGGAAAGGCTGCGTACGACTTTCTGGAAACCAGGCGTTGGCACGGTCATTTCAATCTAGACAATATCTCTAAAATGGGCCACGAGTATACTTACACGATCCTCCTTCAAGCACGCGATGAATTATCTCGCGACTCCGAAGGTGTGCCAGATAATGTTCCAGAGGCCGAAGACCAGGACGATGACGCAGATGATATAACGTTGTTCCTCAACCGACCTTTGCCTCCCGCACCCGAGAAACCTTTCCTAGAGCACGAAGCCAGATGCAGAAAGGAGGCACAATTGAGAGCTGTCCAGGAGTATACTGGCTATGTTGAAAACGATCCGAACAGTGAATTGATTATTCATCTACTCAAAACCAGAAAATATGACTCGTTCCGAATACTCTTCGATAAAGGCGTTGATTTTCAAGCCCCGCACAGTTCTGGCATATTCAAGGATTGTTCGACGCTTGATATCTTTGCACAGTACGGATTCACAACCCTGCTTGATCAGATTGTTCCGCTTGTAGCCCAAGCAAACTCTGGAAAATTCGAAGCTGGCGTTTTCGGTACGACTCCAATACTTTTTCGAGCCATTGATCGAGAGATTCCCAACATGGATGCGGTACGCTTATTGGTTGAGAAATTTCATGTTGATGTCAACTACATTAACCATGTGAAATCTAGCCATTCATCTGGAAACTCGAGCAATACTGTGTTGCATCATCTTGCCGAAGGCAAATATTGGTGGCACACAGCGCTTGCCATCCCCTATCTGCTGTTCAAGGGAGCTGATTCAGACTTGAAAGACGACCAAGGCCGCACGCCTTTACATGTGGCCCTCAAAAATGTATCGCGGTCATCCCATGGAAAACCATTTATAAGAGAGGCTGCTCATGCTCTCATAGATGGCGGAGCCAATGTCAATATATTAGACAGCCAAGACAAAAGCTGTCTCGCGTATGCGTTGGACGATGAGACGTTGATCAAAGCTTTGCTGGAGCGGGGTGCAGAGGTCAAAGTTGACGCGCTGTCTGCCACTCTCGAGAAGTCCGACCCAGCGATGCTCCGTCTACTCCTCGCAGCTGGAGCAGGCTCAAGCATGGTCGAGGGCGATTCTCCATTGCGCACTGTTGCAAAGAAACATGGCTACCTAGACAACTTGCATAATTCACCACCAAAAGAACAAAGAGCAGCGAATAAAAGAAGACAAGAGCAATTGTTCGAGATGTTACTGAAATCTGGCGCTGATCCCTATGCGACTTTCAGCGAGAGCTCTACAACTTACGCGTGCGACGAGAACGCCTTGGACTACGATGATATTCCCTTGCTATTGCATGGTACGGCAAACAAAGAAGAGCTCGGGAATGTTACGGTCTTACATGATCTTCTTGCTAGAGGTTATCTTGTGCATCCTATTTTGATGACAAGAGACTTCGACCCGAATCGTCGCGACCAGCGAGGCCAGACCGCATTGCACGCAGCATGTCGCAGTCACCATGGCATCAACGCACCTATCAATGCCGCGCATGAAGAAGCTCTGGAACCTTCATCACTACCAGCACCATCATTCTTAGAACACTTGTTGTCTAGGGGCGCGGACCCCTTAGCAGTCGACAAGGATGGCCGTAATATGCTACACTACATGTTCATTGGTGTCCATGAGACAAAGTACACAAGCCCAGATGCTGGAGCTGTCACCCACCTAGCAACAACATACCCAAGTCTGATCAACCAAGCTGACAGATATGGAAAGACACCTTTCCTCCTTGCCTTGAGAAACACCGTACTCCAGGATGACACCACGGCTGCTTTAGCTCTCTTCAATGCAGGAGCTGATCCACGTGCCGTCGACTCGGATCTCAACACAGCGCTTCACATTCTCACCTTTGGGATCTGTACCTACTCAAAAACTGCAAACGTCGCTATACGCTCGCTCTTCACAACCCTCCTCGATCGCGGTCTCGACATCAATGCCCGGAACGCCCGCGGCGAAACACCTATATTCAATGTCCAAAAGCCCATGCGTAGACACCATCCAAGATCTGAGGAATATCTCATCTACTCCGGGTACTGGGAGCTGGGCAGATTCCACAAACTCGAAATGTTCGGGAGTGATGTACGCGGCGCGATATCCTTATTCGTATCTGCTGGGGCAGACTTCTTCGCTACTGATAATCAAGGGCGAGGATTGCTACATCACTGTGCGCGGACGAGTTCCTACCTGCTACATCACTGTGCGCGGACGAGTTCCTACCTCTTTGAAGTGTTGTTGGAGAAGGGGCTCGATCCGGCGCTCGAGGATAAGAAGAAGAGGACTGCACTCGACATTGCTGTGGTGTATAACAAACAGAGTATTTTGGATCTATTTGGCAAAGATGGGAAACCAAAGGTGAAGAATGAGTCTGGCAACGATGGTGACGATGAAGGAATGAAAGTAGAGGAGGAAGTGAAGGAAGAAGAAGATGAGGACGAGGACGACTATTCAAATTTATCATGCTAAGATAGACAGCGATGGGGGAAGATCACATTCATTGATTTCTTCAACTTCATCACAATAGAACAAGGGGATGTAACGCGTGGTGAGATGGCTCAAGTACAAATACACTTTTCCTCCTCACATCCAATCGAAGATCGGGATCGATTTACTCGGAGATGTCTCCTTCACATGACCAAGCAGAAAGCGACATGTCAAAGGCAAGCAAGGTGTTGAAAAAAGTAACTCCGTCATATATTTGGTATATCTAGTCTGAACGAAGAAAAAAGAACACTGAGGCAAGGAAACTCGTCACTACTACAAAGAAGAATTTGGGGAAAAGAGGGAGAAGACGAGTAGACGATGAGTATACAAAACACATCCCGGCGTCAATATATCCTCGTCCCTACCCTGTCATTCAACCCATCTATCCCTTCGCACTGAGCCCCCTCTCTCTCCATCGCATATCAAACTACTCGTTTTACAACATGATAGCTTACAAGCCAAGAGCCGAGTTGAAGCTGTCAGCAGCAGCCTGGCCGGTCAAACCGCTAGCCTTGACAGCGGCATCAGCGGCATCGCACTGAGTGACGGCATCAGCAGAGGCCTTGCACTTGTTGGTGAGCTGGTCGCAGATGAAGCTGGAGATGATGCCGATGCCGTTGGCGGAGCCGTGGTTGAAGTTAGTCAGGTCAGCGGGCTCGAAGGCATCCTCCTTGCGACCGTCAGAGGTGGGGCCGAAAACAATGGATGGGTCGGTGCATGAACCGAAGTCTGCGGCTCCAGCGGCGGCGGTTGCAGCTCCTCCAGTTGCTGCTGCTCCTGTAGCAGCGCCAGCGGCTCCAGCGTTCGCGTTCGCATCAGCAGCGGCGCCAGCATTGGCCTGGGCTCCGGCGTTTGCTTTGGCATCAGCAGCGGCAGCACCGGCTTGGTTGGCGGCTCCCTTTCCTTTGCCTACAGCTTGGTTCGCAGCAGCTCCCATGGCGGCGTCGGCATTTCCTGCGGCGGCTTGGTTGGCGTCTGCGGCAGCGGCATTACCCTGAGCAGCCTTGTCCTTGTTGGCCTTGCCCTTGGCCTTCGCCTTTCCGGCTTTGCCCTTGGCCTTTCCACCAGCGACGGCTGTCGCGTTGTTTCCAGCAGCAGCAAGGGTCGCGTTGGCAGCTCCAGCACCCTGTCCTCCCTCAATGGCTGCGATCTCAGCAGCACTGAGATCGTCCACGCGGAGGTTCTGGGAGTTGATGCAGCCGAGATCATCTTCAGCGTCATCGCAAGTGTTGCCAGCTCCTGTTGGGTCACCGATCTCACCAGGCGCGAAAGTGCTAGCCTCGTTGGCAAGGCTCACATCACCACCAATGGCGGCGATCTGCTCAGCAAGCTTGGTGGTGATCTGCTTGTTCAATTCTTGAGCGCCTTCACCAGCGGGATCCTGGTGCTGCTCGAGAGCGGCGATCTCTGGGTTCACGGCCTGGATAGACTCGCAGGGAACTGAAGCGAGACCGACAGAGCCAGTGTTGCGCTCCAAGGCACGGAAGATCATGGCAAAAGTCATGCCGTTGACATCACCGGCCTCCTTTGCGTTGGTGAAAGCCTGGTCGGCGGTGGCCTGCTGGAGACAGTCGGCATCCGCGATCTTTCCGGCGCCCTCAATACCGGCAGCGGCACCGAGGAGACCAAAGATGGGGTCCTGGATCTCATCGGGGTTGTTGAGGTCCAAAAGCTTGGTGATCTCCAAGTTGACGTTCCTGTGAGCGTGCTCCTGGGGAACCTCACGCTTGACCTTGCCGAAGGACCAAACGTTGGGGCGTGCGGCGACAGCGCCAATCAAGGGAAGAGTGTAGAGAATGGACTGCTTCATCTTGACAAAAATGTTAAGGGCAAAGATTGAAAAAAGGATGAAAAATAAGAGTGTACAGTTGAAGGGTTGTTAAAAAGGACCGGCCAAAATCGTTTCTCCAGGAACGATAAAGAAGGGAAGCAAAGAAGAGAGAGACTGAACGATAACGAAAGACTTCGCAAGTGGATGGATTGAGATGATGAAGTTGTAAGGGCGCGACAATGCATTGCCCTTATATACAGGCAAAACTGACGTGCCGCTATGCAGTTTCCAGGTCTGACACCGACTGACAAGCACTCTGACGTGCGTCAGTTCCCTCGCCCCATTCCTGGTGGTAAAATGCCTGAGCACTTCCAAACAACCTCGTGTTGCATCATTGCCTCCTGAATAATTGATGCCTGGATTCCTGGCGCGCGGGATGGGTAGCGAGGGCGATCATGCTGTTGGGTTTCGAGGGAGTTTGCGTGTGGAGGAAGCTAGCATGCTTTGGGCGGTGAAAGTGCTTAAGGAGCGGCTGGCCATTGGTGGAAGCTGCCAAGCTTCCCTTCGGCAAGAACGACCCCGAAAGCTTGGAGACAACGTCTGTCTCGCATCTCAACTCTCTAACAACCCCATCCACAACGAGAAGAAAAAAGTAGCGCTCACTGTCTGGCTAGATCTCACGAGATGTGAAAGTATTCGCTTCAACGATTGCTTTGTGCCGTGGTCCGCGGTACTCGTATGACCCCGGACCTTTCTGGAAAATAGCGCCTGGGAGCAGTTCCTCACGAACGTATCGCTACGCTTCACTTCCGTGTTTTTCTGCTGCCTTCACAAAGGGCTGGCTCTGAGGTACTCACTATCCATTGCTCAATCTCAGATTGCTTGATCTATAATATTAGCCGCTGGAAATGTAGAATATGCAAGGCATCTCCGACTTGGCTTGCCACAGTCTGTCTGCAATCTGCGTCTCTGCATTCCAGTCTGAGGTTTAATGAGTTTTCATGCTGTTGAATCATGTCACTCTTGTGGCGATTCAACATGTGAGCATACTGTGTAGTGGATGCAGTTTGATCCGGACCAAGCGGCAGTGATCGACACATATTGAGCTTATTCGGTACCCTCTCGTCCTCTTATTTTACCTGTCCCTATATCGAAGCAACGCTTTCATTCTATTCTCGTCCTGTGCACATACGTACACGCTTGATCGCATTGATGGAATGCTTCCATGGAATTTTGCGAGAAGGACGGTACTGTTAAGCTGATGAGTTGCCTTGCTCGCTGTTTCCCCACTACTCTAAACACCGGTTAGCACCCGATTCTCAACGCATTGTTGAGGTGTACGCTTCTCTAGAAAGTTATTTGGTTTGGAATACGGTCTAGATACTGCTCCATTGTTCTCTCTGACCATTTAGTTCACGTTGCGTGTCTGCAATCCAAATGGCCGAACTCATAATGTTGTGACGGCTGCCGTGCAGGTTTGGCCCAACGCCCTTCACAACGGATCATACAGAACCGATCCACAAGCTTCGACAATCATGGCCGGAACGTCTGGAAACCTTCTGTATCTAGTCAGCGTTTTTGCACCTTCCCGAACCCAGTTAAGTCCCTGGTCCGGCTCTGGTTTGGCCGCCGGGGGCCACGATGACTTCAAACCGTTCATGTCTCGGTAAACCCTCCGTCAGCCAGAGGAACCAACAGATTCCCATTGAACCACTTGTCAGTCACCGGCTCCCGTTCGAGCCAGTGTAACGCAGGTGCAGCTTGAAGCAAAGACCTTTGGTCTGATGCAAGCAAAAACGATCCATGCCACGGCTGTGGCCGTTCCTGTTGGGAACTGCTTAGCATTGCAACCTCTTCAGCTTGGATAAAATGTCCGCGAATGCGTCTCACACGCCGCCTATTCAAGATCCCCTTCTCCAATTTTTTTTCCCTCCCGCGTCTCCTGCGGCGTCTACTACGGAACCGCAATTTATTCGAAACATTGATCTCCCTTTACCCAGTGCATTAGGAAACCCACGCACTAGCATCGGTTCACATTTGTGCAAAGCACAGCCATGTCCAAGCCGAATACGCTCCGCATCTCCGCACCATTCGACCCACGTCATGTGAGCGGCGCTGGTATACCTGGGGCCGCTATGCCTCTCCGCGAGATAGAACCGGCGACCACCCAGTTAGAGCCCGATGAAACCCCTTCCCACACATTCGTCGCGACCGGAAATATTGAAGTTCCCAGGCGATCAAACTCCATCGCCGAATCCTTCAGCCGACCGAGCCTACGCCTCAAGACGTCAATATCGTTGTTACGGGGGCACTCTCGATCGAACTCTGCCTGTCCAGCGAGCGCACAATCCAAGAAAAAGGAGGGAGATTCTCCAATGGACAACACAGATACAAGCCCATATCAAAGGACAACACCAGTCCAGAGTCTGAGAAAGAAGCCCAGTTCTTCACGTCTATGGAGGAAAGTCCAATACGACGAACCACCAGCCCCAGCGCTTCCTCCAAAGCCTCAAAAACTTACACATCATGAATCAAGGCCATCCAATGTAGAAAGCAATCACCGCCACCCTTCCGCCCACGTCACCTCCTACGGAAGCGCTGCACCACCCCCTACTACCAATCCCTACAAGTATCGCAGTCAGTCATTACCTGGATACGCACCTATCCCGCCTCCAAAGCCAGAGCCTCCCGTCCCCGTTAGGCCGAAGCGTGCTGACTCGGGAACTGCTATCGAATTCGACAGCATTCCCCCAGCGGAGAGACCGCTTGGTTTCCAGGAGATCCAGGCAGTTTCGAGCCGTGCGGAGCGTATGGTGTTGTATAAGAATACTAGAGAGTATTGGGCGACTGCAGATCATGGCTTGGACGATTGGGTGGAGCAGACTAGGAGACCTAAGCAGATGCCTTCGTTTTTCTAGCCTGAGATAGCTGTCTTTCTTCTCTCATTGGATTTTTGCATGATTCCCTCTCTTTTGATTCCATACAAAACGGGCGTTTATAAAACAATCTCTTGAGCATTAGACGCCTTTGTCTCACAGTTCTGGCAAGTGCTGCTAGATTTTTACTTCATGATTCACGACTGTTACGACATTCCTTTCCTATCAGATTCATAGATATGGTAGAACGCTGGACTCGCTGCACCAAAATCTTTGTTAATAAAAAGTTTCATTTTTCTCTCTCCCTGCATATTGATCCGAGCCAAAGCATGTTGGTGGACTACAAATGTAGTCAAATAAAAAGACAAAAAATCACGGAGCAGAATCCAAATCTTAGAAAACACGACTAAAGAACAAACATGATAACAAATCTCCACATCTCCTTAACCCACAAGACGAGTCGCTGCACGAAATGTCCACTTCACCAAAACGCGCTCCGACACAAGACAACTACCAATTGCCCAATAGGAAGAATTCTAGGTAATCCGTGGCATTGATCAAATCACCAACACACAACCTGCTTTAGAATCTTCATGGAACAGCCTATCCTGCGGAGCACAACCCGCAACGCGAGATAGAGTTTGTCCTTTTTGTTTTGGGGTTTCGGATCCGGCATGGGCACAACACCAAACTAAAACTTTATCGGGGAATGTGCGACCACAGGGGGCGGGAGGTCTAGAAGGCTAGCAACAGGACGAACAGAAAGTGTTTGAGAATTTGGTCCGGTTGAAATATCAAATAAGGAAACGCGCGATAGACGTTGTAACCACTAATTCTATTGATTTTCGGGTGATGCTACTGGTGGGCGTGGACTAAACGAATGGGGATAATGATTGGGCTCCTTGTCGGTTAGACGTCAAACTCCGAGTTTCAGAGATTTGGTTGGCTGGATTGGAGGCTAGACGAGCTGGGGGCCGTGTTATCTGTACGGGTTTAACCTTATAAAGGAATGTACGGGAAAGCCTAGAACATGGGGATATATACATAGTAGCTTTGAAGGCCGGATGGTGTGCAATGTAAAAGTCCTTGATGGCTTTCGATGTCATGTACGATAAAGGTGACTGTAGCGGTGACCAACAGACACCGTGACTCATAGCAGCTTGAACATGTACCTGGAAGTATTGGCATCGATTGATCATTGCAGTAACAACGACCACAGTACCCATCATTAGCTAGAAAGTATGTCATCAATGAAGTGGGGGATGGTTTTCTCATCCACTCATGTTGAACTAACGGCTTAATTCCGCACCTTTTCGAGTTAGTACCTACACCTATGTAAGCAGGTAACATCAGCCAAGTTCCATGCCTAGAGTAAGCAGCAACTAGGTCTTCATTGATGGCACACTGCTTATATAGTATGCGATCCAACAACGACGTCTAGTCCATGTAAAATCCTCACGACACCGGAATCAGAATTCACCATGTCGCAGACCACCGAAGTCGAGGCGTACCCGCTGTCTGCACTGCAACCGCCACCCAGTGCGCATACCAAAGATGGAAGCGTAAACTCACCGGCATCCATCGATGAATCGTCTGCGAACATTGCTCCTGCCAGACCGACAGTGAATCCGTCAAAAACTACATCAGCGATTGTGGTCGTGACTGTTGTGTGTGTCACTATGATCAGCACGTTACTTGCCGGTTTGGTCACTGTTGGTTTGCCAACCATGGCCGCGGACTTGAACATCCCGCCTAATCTGTTACTTTGGTGAGTAGACAGTTATCAGTCAGAGCATATCGCATGGGAGTTGCCTCCGCGTCTACTCATTCACACATTACAACTGAGATGAGCCTACAATTGCTAACTTTTCTTCAGGCCAATTTCCGTGTATGCGCTCGCATGCGGTTGCACGCTTCTTCTGCTGGGATCCATATCAGATGTAGTAGGTAGTCGGCCAATGTACCTTACAGGATGCGTTCTGCAATCTGGGTTTACTCTAGCATGCGGTCTAGCCCAGACACCCACGCAAATGATCGTCTTCCGTGCCTTGGCTGGTGTAGCCATCTCCTTTTGTCTTCCGTCGGCGGTTAGTATCATCACCAGCACGTTTCCAGAAGGACGAGGCAGGAACATTGCGTTCGCTTCTATGGGGGGTGGCCAACCTATTGGATTCTCGACCGGATTAATCGTCGGAGGTGTGCTCACCAACTCTATTGGTTGGAGGTGGGGTTTCCACATAGCTGCCGTCATCAACTCCATTGTGTTCGTAGTGGGCTTTTTTGGACTGCCAAAGATTCAAGAGAAGCGCCCGAATACGCTCAAGAGATTGAGGGATGAGATAGATTGGGTTGGGATAAGTATTGGCAGCGTGTGTCTAGCGCTTCTATCCTACTCATACAGGTAAGTCATACGGCTTGAGAATTCCTGATATGTGACTAACCCGATCACAGTCTTATCAGTGAAAGTACCGAGATGATCAAGAAACCGCTCACGCTTTCAACGTTGATAATCTCTATTGCGCTTATTCCTGCCTTCATATTCTGGGTCGGTCGTCAGGAGAGGCTTGGCAGACCGGCTGTCATACCTAACTCGTTGTGGCGGAACCGCATCTTCACCACCATCTGCGTGGCCGTCTTCTTAACGTGGGGAATTTTCAACGCCCTCGAGACCTACCTGACACTCTTTTTTCAAGAAGTCCAGCATGCTTCCCCTTTGGAGACTGCAATCCGCTTTCTGCCCACCCCCATTGTAGGCGCTTTGGTCAACATCTTCATGGGCGCGTACTCACATAAATTCCGCGCCGACTATACTCTCATTTTTGGCGCAATCCTGACTTGTATCGCGGCCTTGCTATTCTGCATGATCCAGCCTGAATGGATTTATTGGGCTTGCGCATTCCCTGTGGTGGCCCTCAATCCCATTGGTGCCGACACTCTTTTCACCATCTCTAATCTCGTCATAGTATCGGTTTTCCCGGAGCGTACGCAGGGTCTGGCCGGCGGTGTGTTCAACACTATCTCGCAACTCGGAAAGAGTGTTGGATTGGCGACTTCCGGGGTTATTGCAACCTCTGTTACAGAAGGCAGCGAATTTCAACATAAGGAAAGCCCCGAAGCGTTGATGGAAGGGTACCGCGCGGCTTTGTGGTTCAATTTCGCATGTAGTGCTGTGACGGTAATACTTCTAGGATGGGGCCTGAGAGGTATTGGAAAAGTTGGTGCGAAGAGGGACTAAGTTGTGCGTTTGCTTGGGCAAGGTGCCGGTCTTGTATACATTACATGTCTGCAAGTCATTGTTACGCCTGCATACTCACTCTTATCAGTCACTGGCGATCAGTCAATTTAGCTTTTCTGTCGATTTTGACTCCATATCGTTACTCGTTTAGTACTATAACAGATTATTGAATAATATGATAGGAACAATGATTTCGACCACTCCGCTGCAACGAATTAGCAATCGAATACATGACTGATGGCCAATAGTCAGCATCCGTATAGCCCTATCCTCCGGTCATACACATCATGATGCGATAAATGACTTGTTCAATAGGTCCAAATTGCCACAGTGCACCCCATTAAGACGCGGACTCCTATTTCTAGCTTTTCACACCTTTGCAGGGGTAAGCTTGTGCTCAAGCCTGCCTGCACAGCGTTTGTTCCCATCTTTTGGCTCTAAAAGAACAAAGGTCATGGTCGCCAACATCATTTCGGTTCAGAACTTCAGATGCGTGTGCATGTCAATGTGTCAAAGTCTGACTCCAACAACAAGATACTGCAAAGTCTCTACGACTCACATAAGTGGCTATAAGAAACGCTCTCTTCACGCGATCCCACTTGCACTTCAGACATCAGTTTTCTTTCCCACCCTAGACTATCGTTGAGTTACGTCTTTGCATTTCCATCAAAAGTTTCTCTTCCTTTTCCGAAATTTACGCACCGCGAGCCGCGCGAAGAGAACAGAAATAAATATGCAAATATTCAGCATCCTCGCAATCTACATCTTCGCCGCATCAGCATCCCCAGCCGTTAGGTCTCATCCTCGAAAGCCGCTGGACCACGACTCCACCTTGATCCAACACCACGAGCCACACGCGGCTGGCTACACATGGCGCAGACGAATGTACTCCCGCAAACGAGATTACCCACCCCCTAATTTGCCTGCCCTCAAAATCCTCGACGACGGAAACCGCTACGGTAACGTGATAATCGTCAACAACTGCGAGGAACAACTCTATCTGCACTCAGTAGGTGCATGGTACGTGAACGGCACAAGTGGAGATGACGATACCACGATACTCGCACCAAACGCCACACACTCGGAACCCTACCGCGTGACCTGTTTCGACAAAAAGAACGGCAACTGGGACTGCGAGGCACAAAACAAACTCGGCGGCCAAGGCGTGTCCATCAAACTATCTAGGAACGATAAAGACTGGAGCAATGTAGCGCAGATCGAGTACGCTCTCGGCATGAATCCTGAAAATGGCGATCATTTCAAACGTCTATATTACGATATTAGTTTTCTGGATTGCGGAGCGCCGGAAGATATATTCATCAAAGACTCGACGGCAAAGACTGAGCAGAATCAGAAGAAGTTGGACCAATGCCCTGGATACAAGGGCGGTGTGTCAGTGATGTTTGACGGCGATTCCAATGGCACAAATTGTATGCCTATATGGTGTGATTCAGACATGCAGTGTCCGATGGTGTATATGTGGGATAGGACCAGGCCAAAGGAAGCATCGTTCCAGTGTGAGCGAGAGTACAGGGCGAACATGAGAGTCGAACTATGTGCAAATCGTGGACAAAACAGAGTGTAAGTCATAAGTCTCCACCTCACATCCAAAAAGTTGCACAAAGCTGATCTTGGGCCATATGTCTACAGTGACGACAGAACCATATTCGATAGCTACACCGCCACGGCTGCTCACGAAGTTATCTCAGCGTTCAAATCAGCGACCAGATGGGGTCCCAATTCTGCTGCAGAACCCACACCAGCTCCCAATACCGAGACGAACGTCATCACTACGGTAACTACCACCACAATAACCGTCACTGTCACCGGATCAACACCATCCTCGCAGACTTCCAATCCCACAACGACTCAGTCAATAAGAACGTTGACAGCAACAAATACAACAACAATAATGAAACCAAGCTCCCATGCAGATTCTACCGTACTATCGAGCATGGCTGACTTCACTTGGCCCAAAAGCAGCAGTAATTCCCCCTCCACAAGCACGGAGAGTCCACCCGGCACACCGAGTTCGCAAGCTTCGCAGCTAAAGGCCAGGTCCCCTCCAGATTATTCTGTCGCCCCGGCCCCGGCTCCATCTGCATCAAAGCCTCCGTCATCTTCTAGGTCACAGAACCTCGTCACCACCACACCAGCAAGTGGCAGAAAATCATCCACGAAGGTGATCACTGTGAATTTGTCTCCCACTCCCCTTCCCACGTCAGAAACGACTTTATATACGACTGTTTCCGCTCTTTAGGCCAGTATGTTCGAGGAGTCCGACTTGTTTTCCTGTCTGTTTCATGTTCTTCTCCGCCCCTTTCGGCGAATCGAGTTGAGCTATGCAATTTCTGTTACTAGTGTCTCTCCTTTACATTTGCATTGGGAGGAAGATCGAAGTATTATGGCGTCGCTCTTTCGATTTCTTTGCAATATCAATTTCACATGCTGGCGTTTCTCATATGCAGTCCTGCGTTTCGTTACATATCCTTGTCTCGTCTATTTTAACCTTTTTGTGTACATGTAGTTAGTCAAGTAGATGTTATAATGACAGTCGCGCCTTAAATTCTTCTTCGCATGATTTGGGCACAAGGTTTGTATGAGAAAACGTTGAAAAATGGTATTTATGCACAAACAAACCGATACCCGAAGGTGATAGATGATGTGCCCCAAAGCCTTACGAAACGCCTTTGCCATACCGGGCAGATTTCCATGCTAAACCCAATGAATCACATAATACCTGCCATGCACTCGTCAAGTCGTTACCCGTGGATCACTCGATTACGCCGTAGCCTGCACAACCTTGAAGCCATCTGCAACCAATTTCTGAATCTCCTCATCCTTATGTTGTAGTTGGTTAAGCGTGAAAGCCACGTCGTTCCATGCTCTCTCGTTCTCGGCTCTTGGTAGCCTGGCAGCAAGCTTATTCGATAACTGTTTCGCGTGCTTGTCCTACAATTTGTTAGTATACTGCCTAGGAACAATGTGCCAATTATAAGACGTACCTTTTCGATGAAACCAGCCAAAAACTTGATGATCCTCTTGAACGCTTCAGCATCCAGAGCCGAGTCAGCACTCAACACGCTGAACATGTCGACAAACTGGTTGTACACGGCGTTATCCTTGGTTGCGAGTTCGGTGAAGAACATGCGTGCCATATCCGCGATCTTTCTATCGCTATCTTCCAAGCATTTGGCCATCTCACCCAACTGTCCTTTCACCTTGACCTGGCCTGCTAGGATCAAGAAAGTCAGAGTCATTAAGCATGTGCGCTTGACACTTGGATCACCATCGTTGAGACGTCGGTAAAGGAAATCGGTGTTCTCATCGATGAGATGGTTGAAGCAAACTGCCATATCACCAAGAGCAACGACAAGATTGCTCCGAACGACAGCATCTTTGCTTCGCTCTAGAATTGTGAGGAGCAGGCCTAGGTTCCCCTCACAGTATTCCGAGCTCACGCACATAAGCTTTGCTAAACAGAGGGCTGCTTGAGCTTGCAACGTGGGATGGTTATATGAGGTGTTGTTTGCACATATATCGGCCACTAAGGGTCCGAAATTCGACAGAAGTGATTGCGGTCCGTAGAGAAGTTCACGCTCACGGATTTGGGCTATTGCGTCTGTAAAATCATCCTCCGTGGTTCCAGCCATCAAGTCAAGCTCATCAACTTCCTCCTCGGGAGCTGGGGTCTTTTCTTTCGCAGACTTCTTGCGGCCTTTCTTTACGGGTGTTGGATTCTCGGATGCGAGTGATTTGCGTGGCGCCGGAGGAGCGTTCTTTTCCTTTTCAGCTTTCCGCCTCTTGAACTCGAGTTCACAAAGTTCCAAGTGAACTATTTGTTTGATGGCGACATGCCCGACAATAAACAACAATTGTGAGAGGGCAAGCGCAGGGTTCTGTTTTCTCGGGGCCTGCGTGTCGACAGGAGGGGTGGCTACGGCTTCTTCTTCGAGAGCCGGTTTCTGATCTAGGTCCTCTGCACCTGATCCGCTGGATGTCGGCCGTGACGACGCTTGTGGGGCGAAAACATGCTTGGTTTTCCTTCTCAACACCTCTGAGCAGAGTACATCAGGGTGTTTCGACAGGACGTAGATGGCGCTGATGGCTTGTTCTGCAACACCGTACCATTCTTTGCTATCGGAGACGATTTCGCACATGGCAGCCAATTTGACCAAGATTGCATGATCGTTGGGAAGTTTTACAACTTGAGCAGGGGCTACGTTTCCAGCTTGCTTGCCCGGCGGGGGGCTGATTCGACGGAGCGCAATACAGGTGTAGCGGGCCAGACCGAAATCTCGTCGGCCAAGCTCTCCTAGGCCAATGCGCAGGCACGTTTCCATCTCTTGTACAATAATGTTTGGCTGTGCGAGAGCAAGCATGCCCAGGACAATGATGGCTCCGCGCCGCTGGCTCTTCGAGATCTCCTTCTTCTGGAAACCATAGACTTGCCATAGCTTCTGTACAACCAAATCATTCACTAAGCCTTGTTTCGTCATGGTACTCAACAGCTGTTCGAGCGATGTAAGCTCGGCTGGTGTCGTGCCAAACGTCAAACTAATCATATTCTTGGCAATGTAGTTGGCAGAATCGTTTGCGTCGTAGTTAGGGGGTGCGTCGAAGAAAAGTCCCTTGTAGCACTCAATGAGGTGAGTCTGAATACCCTTGCCCTCATCGCTGTTACCCTTGGTCCAGATGAGACGCAGCATTCTACGAATGCCACTTCGTGAGTTTGGAATCTTGTACGCATCGATGATGACGAAGAAATCCATGGCTTCAATAACTTCGCTCTTGTTCTTGGAGGACAACAGCTGTGTAACGATCTCGGCTGATTCGTCCACGATTTCGATAAACCTTAGAGCCTCCAGATAATATTTTCGGGTTTTCTGAAGCATGTCCATCATCTGTGCGGTCGCAGCCTCTTCTTGAACCTTTTTCACCGCGGCTTCCTTCTCTTCTTCAGACATTTCGTTGGGATGTTTCGGTTCCTCTGGCTCCTCGTTTTCCGCCCGCGTAGCATCTTGCAATAGTGTCTCGTCCACTGTCTGCTCGCCAGGAGCCGGCTTCTCCCTCAACTCTTCCGGAGGTTTCAACGCGTTGATTTGAGCTTCACAGTCCTCCAGGCGCGCAGCCCATTCTTTCGTGGAGAGTAATCCGCCGTGCAGGGCGGTGAAGGGATGCGTAGCAACGAGCTTTCCCAGAAGTTTGATGGCATTCCGACGGACGTTGCTGCTTTTGTCTTCCAGACTCCGTGCTGCCAGTTCCGCCGCCTTTTGTCGACGCTTGGGAAACTTTTGCTCAAGATCGCAAAGCCTGACATATACCTGTATAACACGGCAACGGCAATAAGGATTGATGTCCAAAAATCGTTCCTCGAGGACGTCGAAAAAGATACGAATTTGCGTCTTATGGTTTTCACTCCGCTCATCTCCGTCCTGCTTGCTCAGCATAGCAATCAGATTGCCGCAAACATCGATCATAGCACAGCGGAGAGTGTATGATTCGCTATCCAAAAGGTTCGCAAGGAGGGTCATCTGCTTGATGACAAGATGCGGGAGGAGCTCGGAGATCTTCGTTAAGAATGTCGATATCGATTTGGGGCCCTTCTGGTCTGTGCCGCTGAATTCCTTGTTGCTGACGTCTCGAAGTACTTCTTCCGTGAGCTGCGGGTAATCGTATTGCTCGGCAAGAATCTGTAGGAACTCGGCCATCGGCTCTGAAAGATGCTCAAAGTAGGTCAAACTTTGGTTGATCGATGTTTGAGCGGTGTATGCATGTCCATGATGCTTGACAGCGATACACAGTACCCTGAAGCAGTGCATCCGGATCACTGTGCTTTTCACTCTTGCCTCGTTCTCGAGTATGTAGTACACAGGCTTCGTGAATAAACTCATGAAGGTATCCCGCTCAGAGGTTGTAACAAACACGCGCCCTAGTTTCAGCTTCAGGACCTTGCTCATCCGGTCCAGGGCCACCTCTAGTTGTGCCGACGCATCCCAGCTCCCGTCTTTGGCTGTCTTCGACTTCGCAGCTTTCCCGCGGCCTCGTACAGCCGGCGCTGATGCCGACTTCTCAAGCGCCCTCGTTTCCACAGCTGATATGGTCCATCGCAGGAGAAAGCCATACATCTCCAGGATCTGCTTATGGTGCGGTAACGCCTCTTGTTCTTCGGCTTCTATATCAGTGTGTGCGAGATCGGCTTGCGTTGATAATGCTGAAACGATCAAATCAAGGATTTTTCCCAGCGTAGCAGGCGGAATTTGCGCTGAGTACCTAGAGTTCCGGAAAAGCGCACAGTCAGGCTTTGTGTCTTTGCTGGGAGTAGAATGGTATATAGGAGATGCGGGGACGCACTTGAGGAGAAACTGTAAAGTATCAAAGTATGCACTTCGAGTGATAGCATCAGGGCTCTCAGCGACAGCATCGACAACAGGATTGAGTTCGCTGTTGATCAGCGCCGCCGACGCCAGTGCTTCTGGTTCATTTTCGCAGTCTTGAAGCGCTTGAGGGGCCTCTGGTGTATGTATAGTCAGCGGATCATTGTCGTAGGCCTTGATAGCCTCGTTGATGTCGAAATCAACCCGCGCGTCCATGATGCGCAGCAAAAATGAGGGGAAGCAGCGACGCTTGAAAAGGTGGGACGAAAACAAAAGGTGATTAGCAGCGACTTAGTCAGTCGTTGTTGATTGTTGTTGTTGCTGCTCGTTCACTTGGCGGGCGCTCGGAAAGCGCGACATTGTTTGGCGGGCGCATGTGTGAATGTTTTGGTTTAGCCTATCGCAGACTAGCGCCACCAATTCGATCGGAACGAACGCGCTTTCCCATAGTTAAGTCACGTCCACATAATATCTCGACATAAGACCACGCTCCGGAAATGGCTTATGGACTCCAACCACAACATCAATTCGACACAGCGATCATGGCGAAAGCAGGCACCAATGTGCAACCATGCATGGAGGTTCATCCCGCCGATTTCGAGGAAGAAGACCCAGAAGAGGTTCTAGATGAGAGCGCCGACCCGCTAGAAGAGAGCGGACACACTGTTGACAGTAGCGATGAAGAGATAGACGAGAGTGTCGCTGATGACATGGCACGCTTCGAAGAGAGCTTTGCGGGCATTAGCAAACGTTATCGGCTCATTAATCGCATTGGAGAAGGTATGTTTCATCATTGGCTCGGCTCCAGTATGGCGGCATTGTAGACTGACTTCTGCAATCAACAGGTACCTTTTCTACCGTATACAAGGCCGAAGATCTCGAGTACAACAACTACGACAACCGATGGGATGTCGAAGAGCGTGAGCGGCGCAAATGGCAGTCGCCTTCAGGTCGGAAACGCCTGTCTCGCCGTCCCCACTACGTTGCCATAAAAAAGATCTATGTCACTAGCAGTCCCATTCGCATATTCAACGAGCTGGAATTACTGCGTGACTTGAAAAACGGCGACTCTGTCTGCCCTCTGATCACGGCTTTTCGGCACCACGACCAGGTCATTGCTGTTCTACCATACTACCATCACCATGACTTCCGAGATTACTACCGGGACATGACTATCTCCGAGATGCGCTTATACATGAAGAGCCTGTTCACAGCATTACGTGCAGTACACCAAAACAAGATCCTTCACCGAGATGTGAAGCCTACCAACTTCCTCTACAACCCTCAGCAATCGCGTGGGGTCCTGGTGGATTTTGGTCTTGCGGAGCGAGAAGGAACTGATTGGCACAAGTGCGTCTGCACAGAAACCCTAGAAGAGCGTCGGTATCAAGTCGCCCATAGCATGTATATGCAAAACCAGCAAGCGGGCCACCAAACGACCAGTTATCCCAAAAACGATACCCGGAACAGTCGTCGGGCAAACCGTGCAGGCACCCGTGGCTTCCGCGCCCCAGAAGTGTTGCTGAAATGCACACAGCAGAACACATCCATCGACATGTGGAGTGCCGGCGTGATACTTCTGACTTTACTCACACGCCGATTCCCATTCTTCCACAGTGCGGATGATATCGATGCGCTGCTCGAAATCACCACCATATTTGGTCGAAAGAAGATGAGGGAAACTGCTTTCCTACACGGCCAGGTCTTTGAGACCAATGTCCCCAGCTATAGTGAGCATGGACATACCCTCGAAAAGATCATCCTCTGGTGCACTGGCCGCACTAGTAGCGATAAAGGAGCTCCCAAAAAAGAGCTCAGCGACGAAGAAAAGGAAGCTGCCGCTTTCCTCTACCGCCTTCTCGAGTGTGACTCTGCAAAGCGCATCACTGCGGACGAAGCACTACATCATCCCTTTATTACGAAAGCTTACGAAGAGAACGAAGCAGAGCAAGATATGCCTGACTTGGTAGACGCGTGAATAAAGTCTACGGAAAGTTGCACGATTATGATACCCTTGGCGTTGATAGGTTTTGGTGTTAGCATTCGTAGGAACACTCATTGTTTTATCTTCTTTCGACTGGCACAAAGCTAGTCTGCGATGTTATTTGCCAAACAGTTTGTTTATCAAATTGGTGGATGGTCGTGCTATTAGGATACCTGAAGTTAGAATACCCTCGAGCATCGAAATGGCGCAGACAGGCCTACGATAGAAGCTTCAATTGGTCAAGACGTGGCAATTTCGAGTACATAAAGAGTATTCAAAACGGACATTCGAGTTTATACAAACGATGAGTTGTATATCATACAATGATTCCAATACACGTCTAAATCTGCACAATATTCATACAGCGGAGTCCTCCATACAGTCAATCGCACGCAAGCACCTTTAAGACTCTACTTTCTGTTGCCTCACCCGCTGCAACTCAATCTCCGCATCTCTTTCTGCCGTGGTCTTTGCCGCCATTCTCTTCCTATTCGTCTCCAACTGTGCCATTTGCCCCTTGTGCGCCTCCCTCGCCGCGGCCTTAGCCGCTTTACCCTTGACTCCCTCCTTAGTGTTCTCCTCCAGTTCCTCTGCGATTCTCACACTCGCCATAGCTGTCTCCAGATCTGGAATCTCGAGACCCTGTCTCCTGGCACGGGCGAGTCTTTGCAGACTCACTTGACGGCCGCGCGAAGCAGCACGTACGTCTTTGGAGATACGCTCTTGGATGCGGAGTTGCATGCGCTGTTCCTCGGATAGCACGGGTGGACGATCCTCGACGGGCGCGCCGAAGGGGGCTACGATGGCAGTTACGACATGTCGGATGTTTTTTGAGGTGCGCCAACCTGAGGCAATGCGTACGATGTCGCCTTCCACGAGGGAGTTTTGCGGATCGGATACTAGGTGCGTTATGGGTGATGGGAAGTGCTGTAATCAATATAGTTGTTAGCTCAACGATTTCGATATGGAAGCTGCGCGGCTCATGCGATTTAACGGTAGAATGATAGTTGGTAGGAGGCGAAGGGCAGTGGATTGATTAAACGCACCTTTTTGAACTTTTTGTTCCATTCTTGAGATGCTAAACGCACTTTTACTGCGCGGTCCATCTTCCCTGCTGAAACCACTACACCAACTTTGGAGCTGGAGATCAGCTTTCGCACTATAGGCTCTTTGGCCTTGGATATCACCGCCATTTTGATGTTTCGTGCTCGAAGCAGATGGGTGTGTATATGTAGGGGAAAGGTGGTCGAGGGGGCGCCGATGGGCGCTTCAATTGAGATTATCGCAGATCGGTGGGGCGAGATAGAAGACGACAAATCAATGCGTCCTCGAGAAATGGCGGATTCGAGAGCGAGTGTGGTTGTAGATGTTTGGTGTATGTGTCGTGGGATTCGTTGACGTTCCTCCACACGTGCAGACGAAAGTTCCTCGAAAAGTGAACCCCCAGACCGGAGGCATAATGCCAAGACGCGCTTCACTCCGATTGGCTGATTACCACAGCTACTGGCCAGATAATGGTTTCCAGTGAAAGCTATCTACAGCTCACCCAGATTCGTTCTCTATATTATAAACGTAGCCTTCCCCATTTCTCCCCCGCGCTACATTTACCCTCGAGTCTTGAAGGGTCTCACACTTTCAACCTTCATGTAAATCCACTTCTTTTTTCTACACACCAATTTGGATTATACGTATATCCACCACTCACCCTTCGGTTCGCTTTCTAAGGCGCGGTGCGCCGGCGCAATTGAGCAAGATGCTTTTGAGAATATTGTTACTATTGGGGTGCCTGATGCTAGCAGTATCGGCCGCGGAAGATTTCTACAAGGTATGCAAAGAAAGAATGCATCCATGTATTCGAGAAGAGCATCGCGGGAATGCGCCATTGCCATATGGTCCAAGTGCTGACTTTCAATCTAGCTACTCGGAATCAAGAAGGATGCCTCGGAACGCGAGATCAAAAAGGCATACCGCACGCTGAGCAAGAAATACCACCCAGACAAGAACCCGTACGTGCTTCCGCTCCGCTTCCGCACCATCTGTATACTAACAACTCTAAAGCGGCAACAAAGAGGCAGAAGAGAAATTCGTCCAGGTAGCTGAGGCATACGAGATCCTTTCTGAGGAAGAAACCCGGAAGATCTACGACCAGTATGGTCATGAGGGCATCGAGCAGCACAAGCGCGGAGGCGGCCCACGCCAACAACACGACCCGTTCGACCTTTTCTCGCGCTTCTTTGGTGGAAGCGGACATTTTGGGCACCACGGAGGCGAGCGCAAAGGGCCCGACATGGAAGTTCGCGTCGCTGTTCCCCTTCGCGACTTCTATAACAGTCGCAAGACAACGTTCACAGTGGAGAAACAAGCCGTCTGTTCGGCCTGCGAGGGTTCTGGAAGTGAAGATGGGCACGTCGACCAGTGCGACGTGTGCGGTGGCCATGGAAGAATCATTCGCAAGCAACAATTGGCGCCGGGCATGTTCCAACAAATCCAAATGCAATGCGATAAGTGCGGCGGACGCGGAAAGACGATCAAACATGTCTGCCCCGTATGTCAGGGCAACCGCGTCGTCCGCGAACCCGAGACGCACGAGCTCGAAATCGAGAAGGGAATGCCACGGGGCGTACGTGTCACATATGAGAACGAGGCGGATGAGAGCCCAGACTGGGTAGCCGGTGACTTGATCGTGCATCTCCAGGAAACCGAGCCAGCCCTTGGCCAACAAGACCACGAGCGCACCGACGGAACGTTCTTCCGTCGTCGCGGTAATGATCTCTTATGGAGGGAAGTACTCTCCTTGCGTGAGGCATGGATGGGCGACTGGACTCGTAACATCACGCACCTTGACGGCCATATTGTCCAGCTTTCTAGGAAACGTGGCGAAGTGGTCCAGCCACAGACAGTAGAGGTCGTACCGGATGAGGGTATGCCGATATGGCACCAGCATCTCGAGAATAACGCTGGCGAAGTGTTCGGTTCTCTCCACGTCGAGTATGTCGTCGTGTTGCCTGATCAAATGGAGAAGGGCATGGAAAAAGACTTCTGGGCCACATGGGAGAAATGGAGGAAGAAGAACGGCAAGAACCTGGACGCGGAATGGGAGAGACCAAAGGAGCCCATTGTGATGCCGACGGCGGACGATGAAGGACACAGTGAGTTGTGAGGTAGAGGAAGATGATTGGGCGACATCTACACGAAACGTGAATGTGTATAATACGACTTGATGGTTCGAGCATGATTAGGGGAGCGAGTAGAATAAGCGCCTGGGCGGATGAGTATACCCGTTGGGAGTTTGGAGTTCTGGGCCGAGCAACGTATAGATATTAGACGGATATCAAGACTTGTCAAACTTGCATGTGCCAGTGGGAGAGATAGGGAATCGGCAAAAAAAAAGGTTGTGGAATGCATGCAGACAGTTGTATCAGGGACCGATCGCTGATGGTATATGGTGTTGATCTACTCTTGCTGCCTTCCGTCTATCGGAGATAGATCCCAACTGATGCTCACTGTGCTTTGCTCTTCCTCTCAGTAAACGCAGTGGGGGAGTCGGTCTCCAGAGGCATGTTTTGCCCTACCTGCGACTAAGACGAAGTCAAATGGGGGGTTCTCCATCGTCCTCGTTGGCACTTGGTGATTATACACCTCTTTCACGTCACAGTGCCTTCGCTATTAATCGTGTCTTCCTGAGCAGCTGCCGGACCATATCCTCTATATTCCTCCATTCTTGGCGGCATGCCCAGATCTCCACTATCTCCCGGTCGTTTCATTGCGGTGCCTTCTTTGAGATATAGCAGCAACCTAAATGCCGCATTTCCATTCAGGTAATATCTGTGTAGTCTTTTGCTCCGCAAAAACCCCAAACGTTCATACAGTTTCAAGGATGCTGTGTTGGTGACTTCAGTCTCGAGGACAATCTCATCGGCATCGCGGGCAGTCATGGCCTCGATTGCCATGCACACGAGTTTCGTCGCTATTCCCTGACCACGGTGGGATTCTTGGACTGCGAGCATAGCGATGTAGCCACGAAAGGTGCCGCTTCGGTGGGGCTCGAGCTTGCATACTACTACGCCGATAAGCTTGTTTTGGGAGTCGAGAGCCTTTGATGCTGTTAGAGAGTTCCCATAGTGGCTTGTGATAGGAGTTTCGAGTTACCATGTAACACAGATCACCCCACTGATAGAGGAAGTACCGGTACACATAGATGCTGTAAGGTTCCGAGAGGTCCTTGGAGATCAGTTGTCGGATTGCGGGGAGGTATGTCTCCTCCTTGGAACCATGATACTGGACATATCGCAGCTCATCTTCAGCTTTTGCTGCTGAAGAGCTTGATTCGGCCATAGGCACTCCGGTATGCTGCGGAGGGAGATGGGCGAGGAGGGTCGGAGGGGTTACTTTCGCAGTAATGGGGCACACGGTACCGAAGCACTGATTTCACTCAATAGACCAAGCATGTGAATTTCGATCAGTTCGTTCACAAGCAAGGATTCGGTATCATAATGTACTACTTCCAACATGATTACAAGGTCATTTCAAGATTGTAACTCTGACTTCTTCATTCCGAGACGCTCATGCATCGATGCAAGTCACCGAGCGATGCCTGGTGTCTGGCTCGGAATGGTTCCCCGCGGTGGCTCTAGCCTTCATACTTACGCGAGGGAGCTACGAGCTAGCTGCGATGACGATCCTTCCCTTCTTTCACGTGGGACGAAACCTAAGGAATACATGTATCAGGTCAGGCACCCGAGACCTTATCTTCTTTACAATCCTCACACTCACGTTCACGAAGCTTCGTTCGCTATCATCCATACCTGCAGTCCATCGCTATATTCATGTCGTTTTTACGCCGCCGCTTCGGCGGCAACGAAACCCCATCCCCCATCGCTTCTCGCGAACCTACGCCCGACCCAGACAAGCCAAATAGACCGTCGAATCTGCGCGTGATAACAGCAGAGCAGTTGCACACACTTAGGAAGGGAAAGAATAGCAAGAGAAAAAACACATGGATCTTTGTTCTAGGCGCGTTGGTCGGTGTTGTTGCCGCTGCTCTTTTGGCAGGGAGCAACGACTACATAGATCTGAGCAGCTTGGAGGGCATGAACCTGGAGAACATACTCGAGGCTCTACCAGCCGGGTTTATGAAAGATGCGCAGATGCTACAGGTGCGCATGGTCCGGAGCTTGAAAGAGCTAAGAGCCGAGTGCTGATCCCACTCACTCTGTAGAAACAAGAACGAGACGCTGTTAATTACGATTCCTTCGCTGTCGGACTCCATGCGAGGTCTCAAGGAGTAAAAGCCGTACATCCTGTCATTATGATCCCAGGCGTTATTTCCACCGGGCTCGAGTCCTGGGGAACCGAACCCGAGTCCCGACAGTACTTTCGCAAACGGCTTTGGGGCTCCTGGTCCATGATGCGAGCTCTAGTTTTGGACAAGCCTGGGTGGAAGAGGCACATCATGCTGGACAAGGACACAGGTCTGGATCCACCAGGTGTCAAGATGCGCGCTGCGCAAGGATTCGATGCGACGGACTTCTTCATCACAGGCTACTGGATTTGGAACAAAATCTTGGAGAATCTGGCTACCATAGGTTACGACCCGACAAATGCCTTCACGGCGGCTTACGACTGGCGCATGACATACATGAACTATGAGAAAAGAGACCAGTACTTCACTCGGCTCAAGTCGCATATTGAAATCGCGGTGCGTGTGTCTAACAAGAAGGTTGTGCTTCTATCCCATAGTATGGGCTCTCAGGTGCTATACTATTTCCTCCACTGGGTTGAAGCGGATGGTTACGGGAACGGTGGTCCAGGATGGGTCGATGCATACATCGACTCTTGGATCAATATCAGTGGTTGCATGCTCGGTGCTCTAAAAGGTCTACCCGCTGTTCTATCTGGAGAGATGAAAGATACCGCTCAGCTGAATGCCTTTGCTGTGTATGGCCTCGAAAAGTTTTTATCGCGACATGAACGCGCTGAGATATTCCGTGCGATGCCAGGAATATCATCGATGCTACCCATGGGAGGTAACGCTGTGTGGGGTGACCAGGACGGAGCCCCAGATGATGAGCCAAATCAAGACGTTTCTTACGGCAATTTCATTCGCTTCAAAGACAGCAACACCACTTTGACAGCAAAGAACCTCACAGTCGAGGAGAGCTTGCCGTATCTGTTTAAGAATACCGAGGAATGGTACAAGGACATGGTCCAGCGCAGCTATTCCAACGGCGTCGCGCACACCCGCCAAGTAGTCGAAGATAACCAGCTCGTTCCCGCGAAATGGATTAACCCGCTCGAAACCCGCCTGCCACTTGCCCCGAATCTAAAAATCTACTGCTTCTACGGCATCGGGAAGCCAACCGAACGCGCCTACTATTACCGGGATGATCATGATCCACTCAGTAATCTAAACGTCACCATCGATACAAGCCACACAGAAGAGTTGAAGTCTGATCGCGGCGTTGTCATGGGTGAGGGCGATGGAACAGTCAACCTCCTCAGCGCAGGTTACATGTGCGCCAAAGGCTGGAAGATGAAGCGGTACAACCCCGCGGGAGTGCAGATCAAGACATACGAGATGCCTCATGAGCCGGATCGATTCAGTCCCAGAGGCGGACCTAATACAGGTAAGTGATATATTTTGAATGGCTTCTCGAATTCTTAAATTTCTTTACTGACTGTCGTCCTTCAGGTGATCATGTCGATATATTAGGACGCGCTTCTCTTAACGACCTGATCTTGCGCGTTGCGGGCGGCCGTGGTGAGCTTATCGATGAGAATATACAATCCAATATCCTCAAGTATGCCGAGAAGGTGAAGATTTACGACGAGGAAGAGTAACAACGCGCTCGGGTATAGGTGTGCCTATTCCTGCAACGTTTATCTGTTGCGAGGGAGCACCTTTGTACTTATAAGCTGTGTGGTCGGTCGGCGTCTGTGGCGCTTTGATGTATAGAAGTGCTTGCTTTTTTGTTCCTGGGTCTCTTGCAAGATCGGATCGGTAGGGATGATACCCCCCTCGGATTTATAGATACTCATGTAATTCACTTGCTGCTTATTTTATTTTTTGCAATGGCATTTGCCCATGATGATGATGATAATGATTACTAGTGACGGTAATGGTGATGATGATTACCATCATCATCGTTGTTCATACCTCCAGACGTCCACGACCGTCACAACTGCTAAGCCATCATCTGGGAAAGCTTGCTTGCCCAGACATGATGTATCGCTTGGAATACTCGGTATTGTAAGGTGATGCCAAACACGCTTCTGATTTGATTTGACTTGATTTGATTTGATGTATGCAATGATTCACCTCCAAAACAGCATCTGGCCATCGTATTGGAGTTTTGACATGCGGGGCGGGAGGGTTTCGTTCGGAAATTCATGGTTTTGGATTGTTTCGATTTCATTCCGAGACTAGCTCCTTCTCTCTCTGTGTGTCTCACGATATCCATAACCTTGGAAAGTTTAGCGATCTTCACCCTTATGCATAGTAAAATGTATGTGGAAGGGCTCTATGCCATCGCGCGGCGTTGGTGTGAGGGTGGGTGCCATGGTGAGGTAGGTAGGGTAAGGCGAACCGGTTGATAGAAGTGGGAAGCCTTGTAAGAACTCTGCTGTAGCTTTTATAGCAGAGGGTGACGAGCGTATTATAGTTCTTCAACTACCTCAACACCACAAATTTCAAATCCGTACATCTCCACTGGTTGTTGGGACGTCACATACGTCACTAAGTCAAATGCGCAGCCAATAGCAAAATGTAGAGTAATAAGGGGTGTCAGTGTAGTTCTAGCGAGTAAGCACTACATAGGTGCAGCAATACAATCAACATCGGTATGACCATTATGTGCCCGAGTACCCGTGCCCCACGGTAATTCGGCGTCAGAATGGGTAGCAAATTTAGACCAATGGGTGGTAAGCTCTTGGCATCCTTCAACAACTGATTCTCTTATTTACGGAAATAGTATGAACATCAGCAAATTGTCACGATGGGTTGATGTGTAAGCGGAATTATCGCGCCAGCACGGATGGCTGTGCTGTGCGGACTACTTTCGTCAGTCAGGGAGATGGTCGACACTGCTAGTGAAATTCACGAAAATAGTCGTCAACAGAAGGATATAAAGCATGTCACTCGCTGGATCATGTTATCAGTATCAACATCCAAATTTCTAATCATATGATCTACTTTTTCCATCTGCTTTTAGTCTATTAAACCATTCCCAGAGTCTATCCTTGAATTCTACATTCTTAGTGCATCATGTTGTACTCGGTTCTTGCTTTGATTCTAGCTGGGGCATCTCTCGTTCGTTCTTCTCCAGTTACTACAGTGGATACTACTTTGAAGCCTCGACAAGCGTTCTTCATCGGCAACATCAATCTTGATGCGGCCTTCAGGACATGCCCTGGAAGACAGGAAGACATAATAAAGGCGTTCCGAGACATGCACCTCCTCACCGACGCAGTTAAGAATATTGATACCAACACTCAATCTTTCAAAGACTATTTTGGCGAAGGCTGGGACCAGACTGAAAATCTAAAAGTATATGCACAAGAGATCAAGAACAATATCGCAAAGGCGCAACGGTTCGTAGATGGAGCGTCCGACTTGCCGACCATCCACGTCACCTGCGAGAATTTACCTAGGACGTGTTCACAAAAGAGGACTATGGCCACCACTCTTGTTGACTCGGGCCGCATAAGACTCTGTCCCTTTGTATTCAACACGGAACCTGGTCAGGGCGCAAATCTCAACCATGTAGCTGAGCGTGTCAACGGTGGTGCGACCACCAGTGGCTCTGGGCTTACCAGCTGGCAGCATGTCGTTCTACACGAACTCCTCCATGTACGAGCAGGAGGATACAAGACCATTCGTACAGGAGATGGTGACCTTCAATACAGTGAGTCTCTCGCCCGTTCTGTATTCTATTCAATCACTCCTCTGGCACACTGCCTGGACCTAATTTTGATCCATGAACTCTAACAAGCCATCATAGTCACTGATATCTCCGCACGTGTAAGCAATCTCGACAAATCGAAGGTGCCGATCTACGGATCCTCCCTCTGCCATCAATACGCACAATTCAAGCAGCCCGCTAAATACGCCATGTCCAACGCCGACAGTTATGCTTGGATGGCGACTGCGAAGTACTATCTCGATAACTGGGGAACCCGCATCACGAGGCGTGAATTTGAGGAAAATAACGCGCAACCCGATGACACCATTGAGACTCCCGAGTCCTACTGCGAGTCCCAAGTTCAGCCCGAAGCCGCGGATTGCAGTCTCATCACTATGCCTACTGGCCTGGAATATATCAAATTTGACGGGCTTGCATGCTATTCCAATGGTAATCGTGCATGGTGCGATGTACACACATTTGGTACATGTCAAGTTTCCATTGGATATGATATGAACGAAGGCCAACCGAACGTGACAAAGGAAGATTTGAAGAAAATCGTCAATAACAACTTGGGCAAAGACCAGTGCTCAGCGCATATGGAGGATACCCACAGAATTTGTGCAGTTGGTGCTTCAGTCTGTACTATCCCATGGAAGTTCTGCATGAAGAGAGTTGGGGTTGACTGCAGGTAGACTGATGCTCGTGCCGGTTTTGACTTTCACATTGTTTTTTTGCACTCATATCACCTTAGAGGCAGAGAGCTTGTACATACTCCCATCTCAGTCAACTTTCCTCAGTCACTTGGCGCCATATTCTAGTCTCTGTTGTATAATATCTTTCTCAATTAAATGCATCTCGTGTTAATATCCCTCGTGCGACTAAACTATGAAAGAAGATAGCTTAATTTCACCATCTTTAACCTTAATCACAGCCAAAGGAGAGTGCGCAAACTTTAGAAGAACTCTAATCACGCGATAAAGAACTGTATTAAAAATCATACGCTCCTATATTCTCAATGATATATATAGAATACCTGTCGCTGACTAGGGAGCGGCAACATTCAAGTAGTATAAGCTCTACTAGGATTTCCCCCATTCGATACAAGATATGCCACAGAAAATGCCCGGCCCTTCCCATCAAAGGTTTCTGTAGAGATACTTTTAATAGAAAATTAGCAGTCTGATCATTTATGTTTAGTATCCATGATCGTATATCCCTGTGTAGCTTATCTATTCAACCATGCCGTCCATTACACTCAGCTTTTCAACCTTCCAGCCTCCTAGACATAAAGACGTGATATCTTCCTGTGATTGAAAGAGGCCGTAGTGATCAACGACATCTGGCGCCAGGCTAGAAAAAGTCTTGTGAAAAAAATCTACAGTTTTCATAGACGAAGCATGTAAATGGTGGGGATATCGTTTCAGACAAATATTCTTGATAGCAAAGGCTGAAATTCGGTTAACTTTGGGTTAGAAAAAGGTTGATTCATATAACTGCGTTAAACGCCAGAAAAGAGAGGAACACATGGCCGAAGCCACTGCAGATTTTGAAGATGATCAAGAAAAGGATTCCGGACAGTTCCCATGGAATGGCCGAATGCTCTTTTGGACTCCTCTGGCAGAGGATCTCCGTAATTCTTTTAGAAATCATAAATATCCAAAGTGTTGAATTGATTTTTTTTAAAAGATCATGGACTTATAAATTGTGCTGTTCTGAATAGCAATATGTCGCTGATCCGTAGACTGTTTACAGAGTACTTATCTATCATATCGAAAGATTATAAAAGATTATATAGTTAGAAGAAGATGTAACTTTCAGAGTGACGTCTTCCAACGATAACATCAAGCATGTGTGCCTCGCATCTTTGAACAGGTAAACATGCATAAATCGTATTCAAGTACCAGTTTTCAGTTGAAGCCATTGCTTTCTTTACATCCTACGATAGGCAGAGACAACTTGGGACCTGTCGACAGTTTTTAAGAGACAACATCGACGTGGTCGCGCCACGCTTTTTGAAGCACTAAAATCTGCACATACGCACCACGCGACGATCATTCTAGTATGAAATTCATGATATCTAACATCATAGAACCTTGCACAAAAGAAACACGATGCATACGAAATGATTCTTCCAAAATGCTCCTTTTAAGATATGATCATGATTCGTTTCAGAAAAAACACCCATGTGTAATTCGTAATTCCTGCGAGGGGAGAGCATCCTGTCGAGAATATGATGGGTTTTCCATGGTCCAAATGATGCCTGGCTTCCAAAATTTCCAAAAGCAGAGATTATATTGCTTTTCCAGGTCATTCACGGATGAATCCTCTTTTTATGCTACCGCACCCCATAGATTTCGAAGAAAATAATGCCACATGAGAATTCCGCACAAGCAATTCCGCACAGAGAGAAGAAATGTAGGTGTCGTATGCACTTTCTGTCGACATTATTCTCTCATGTAATATCTGGTAGCTCTTTCAACATTCTTTCCCCCAAGAATTGTTCAAAAAACTCTGCCCAAAGCGACACAGGACCTTGAGCCATCAGGAATGATATAAGTTTTGATTCTCAGGGCTCTCAACATGTATTCGCAGTTGATATTCTTCCAGAGACCTTCCTCCAAAAACGGTTCCACTCCTGAGGCATGCGAGGATATGATTTTTTATTGGAAAGAAGAAGCTTCCCTCGCCCAGGTCCACCACATTCCTCCTTACGCAAAGGTCTTTTCGGTAAAACATCATCCCCCTCATCTTCCCCCAAAACACCATCACTTTCATTGCCAGTTCAGATCCTCTCACTCAATGGTCGTGTGAGAAGGGAAAAAGAAGAAAGAAAATCAAGTTCATCAGCGACAACGGGCACCCTTATATACACCACGATCTACTAAAGTCACGGGAGCACGCTTAGCAAGCATGGGCATAGAGAAAAGGAGGCTGTATCTGTGATTGGAGTATTTGGAAGAGGGGAAATAGAGAAATGACGTTTCCGTTATCTTATGAGGGTACACAGTGAGGGTAAAGCGAAGGGTATGTGTTACGTGGAGAGATTGCGGTGCGGGAAGTTGGAGCAGGGGGACAGGAAAGGGAAGGAGGATAGTGAGTGGATGAAAAATGGGTAATGACTTTTCTGATAAGGTAGACGATAGGAGTGTATTAGAGGTAGGATAGAACAGTGTGTGATTCTGACATTGAACAAAGGGAGAGACTAAGAATCTCGAGGTTTCACTTTACAGAAGATATTATCACCGATCTATTTCTTTTTCCCCCTTCCGCCCCTCGCCGCCTTTTTCTTCGCACCACCTTGTCCCCCGCCGCCACCGTTGTAGCCCCCTCCCATCATAATCCTGACCTTTCCGACGGGCACAGCACCAACAACCTCGGCGTCTTTCCAGCCCCTCACTAGCTCCAACTCCTGCGGCCAAATTCTCTCCACATCTTGCGCGTTCTGATCCACAGCCTTGGGATTTTTACCTGCGGCGTCCCATCGGGTGAGGATTTCCTTGACCGCCTTCCCGCGCTTAAGAGCGCCGGGTTGTAATTTGGCTTTGTATTTGTAAGTCGAGAGTGCAGACCAGGGCGCGCAGACAGGGATGGCGGAGATGAGGGTATCTTTGGGAAGAGGACGACCGGTGAAGGAATCCAGGTTCATGAGGTTAGCTTTCAGCGCCTCGTCACCTTCGTCGTCGTCTTCTTGGGCGTTTTCATCCTGCGCGGCGCGGCGCGCTTCTTCGGCCGCTTTACCCACGGCTTGGGCTCGAAGATGCTGGTCCCGGCGGCGCTGCTTGTTTGCCGCTGCTTCTTCTTCCTTGGAGCGTTTGGTTTGTGCAGTCGTCTCAGCGGCGCTTTGCTCCAACTTCGCACCAAGGAGACGCAGCGCAAGTTCTCGATCCTCCTCGTCCTGGCCGGCGTACTTTGCAGCCAGCTTCTTGGCTTTACCTCGTTTGCCACGAGGAAGTGGGCCTTTGCTTGCTTTTGAGGCCTGGGAATCCACGGTCTCCGGCCCTTTAGGTACAGAAGGAACCTCTTCCCGGGCATCCTGATCGGCATTGGCCTCTGTCCAAGTGGCAGAAGCAGCATCGGAAGTTGTTGATGTAGTCCCGGGTAATTGTCCTTTTTTCAAGAGTCTTCGTTCTTTAGCTGATAAGTGACGTCGACCTGTCTTTTGTGATTGCTCTGAGTCCGCAACTGATCCAGAATCTTCAGGTGATCCTTCTTCCAATGCCATTCTGTGTCCCAACACTGTGTCTCGAGAATGTGTATCCTCATCTTCCGAGTCTGAATCTGCACTATTATTGCCATTCCTCGTCTGCAAAGGATTGCTTTGTTGCCCAGCATCTGACTCTCCATCACTGCCCTCTGAGTCCTCCAACTTAGTGTCAGGGAAATCATCATCCGATTCAGAAGCAGGCTTCGCATCGGGAAATTCATCCTCACTCTCATCCTGAGCTTCTTCCGCAGCTTTCCCTGTCAATTCTGCGACTGGCTCAGAGGCAGTGACCGGTGCAGCAGTCTCTTGAGGTGGTGTATCCGCAGGCTCGGTGATACGATGTTTGGTGTGCTGGGCTTTGCTGTCTTCACTGATCTCAAACATGACTGCCAGCCCAACAATGAGCTGGGCTGGGGGCAAAAATTCCTTTCTCCCTGTGATATTGAACAATCCCGGGCCGAGAAATTCGCCCGTTTGACCAGTTTTGCTGACCTGGTCGGCATTTACCCACCAAGCAGACATGACGGCCTTGGAGTCCCATGCTTCCGAGGTACATATCGAAAGATTTCCAGCCTGTGAGAGAGTCGATGGAGGTATGGGGGCATTCGGTGTGTTGGGCTTGTTCTTGATAATCATGGGTGTCGCTGCTTTTAAGTCTGCATGAACATATACATCACCCTTTCTGAGATACCTTCGATAGATAATCTCATTTTGCTGGGCATCCTTTCCACCAATAACCAAGTACCCATCGGATGATAAGAAGAACACAAACTTCTCAAACCATTGCTGGCGTCGCACTGGACGCAAAATCTCTTTCTCTTGCTTCAATCCTTTCTTCAAATCCGCTGCCACCTTGCGTTCATGGTTCTTCAGCGCCAAAGAAGAAGCCTCCTGTGTGCGAGACTGCTTCCCCTTGGCCGCTTTCTTTTCGTCAAAGTATTCGCTAGAGTTAGCCCAAGCAGACAGGCCAAGATCAATATCAATAGCCAACTGGCGCTCTGCAGCTGCCTGTGGTCCTGCAGGCTTCTTCTTGGATTCTTTCGTTTTCTCCCCCTCATCCTCTTCTTCGCTCTCTTCGCTAACGGAACTGGTTTCATAACCTTCGTTTTCGCCCTCGTTGTCTTGGTCCCAATTTGTCTCATCGAGTAGCAGAGTCACTGTGTTCTCGTGCAGCTTAAGTGGAAGTTTAATTAGTTGGGCAACTGGATTACCCTGGTTTTGTTCGCGGTCAATAAGTCGTGCGATTTCGCCCCAGTCCATTCCTTGACCGATGAGCCCATTTACCGCAGCAATGGTTTCTTCGACACGGTGGACATTGGCCAAGATGGATTCGGCCTTTTTAAAGTTCAACTCCTGAACCTGCTGGAGCCCGCCAATGCGATTTTCGTGCTCTTTGCGAGCATGCTCCAGTTTCTTCTTTGCAGCAAGTTCGCGTTCGTGCAACTTGGACTCCAGTTTTTGGCCTTCAATAGAGGAAAAGAATTCGTCGACAGTTCTATTGAAGCCTTCGAATTCCAGAGACGTGTAATCCGAACTCTCAAATTGTTGCGGTTGGAAGGGATGGAAGTCATCATACAAATACTTTGACTGATCGGAACTATCCGGAGCCTCCGTTGAAGCTGCCGGATTTGGTTTTGCCAATATGTAGCCTTTGATAATTTCCGGTTTTGTGATATCTTCGGATATACTGCGCGCATGTTGCAAAACGTTGACGAGTTTCGTCAGAAGCGTATCGTCCTCCAAGACTTGGTCAGGTTTTAACGTAGTATCGTATTGTGCAACGTGCAATGCATGATCCACTAGTAGCGGTGGACACTCAGTGATTGATACAGCCAAAGATTTTCGTAGAGCATCCTTCGTTTGTTTCTTGGCCTTTTTTCCAGGTGCTTCGAGTTGCGATTTTTGCCGGTCAAGGGCTTTCTGGAGACCTTCGCGGACCCTCTCCTTCGTAATTTCCGGTGTTCCTCCATAATTCTGTCTTAGCGATAGATTGTATTCCAGTCCAACTCGTAGGCGCTCATGCTCCGCGCCTTCCTCCACGTTGCGCAACAAACTTAGGATCTTCAAATCGCCATCTGTGAGCACAATGTTCCCGCCCGCGTAGAATTCGAAGTAGAGCTTATAGAGGCCGTCCGAGAATTGAAACTCTATTATACGATCTGTTCCAATCTGCGAGACCGCTGTCACGCGACGCGTCTTGAGATATTTTCGAAGTTTGCTGACAAACGCCGACGGTGCGGATGCAGTTGTCCGGGCGTAGGATGTTAGGTGACAACGAAAGCCGGATTCCACAATTAATTGCTCACGGTGGTCGGGTTTATGGAACTTGAAGAGAAAAATGCGCTGCATGAAAGGTCAGAAACTAACAGAGGGTGGTGGCGTAAAAATTGCAGTGGAAAGAAGAAGTACCGAAGAGAGATCGTAGACGTTGGTGACTCTAAGCGGGACAATGGTCTTGGAGAGCTCGTGGGCGATGACCTACAATCAATTAATGGGGGACGAAGGAAGACGTAGATGCGCAGCTGACCTTCACATCCAGGGAGGAGAATCGTTGCTTCATACTGCCGGGCGCAAAGAGGAACAAGAAAGAATGAGAGGTTAGTGGGGTGGTGATCGGAGGTTGGGCAATGACGAAGTCGTGTGCATAGGGCTGAACTAGTCCCCTCGATCCCTAATTGTTACATAATCAGCGTCAATCTCCCGTGCAGGTTCATAGGTACACGGGGTATTCATCTGAACCGCCTACTCGAAGAAAGTGGAAACTCGATACTGGTTTTATGCAGCTGATTATCGATAAAGCAGAGCCTACAGGTCTATTAAATCTACAGCAAAAGCAAACTGGCCCTCGCCGTGTGCGAATGTAGCCTGGGACGCCTCCAACGCCAGATGTACCCTCATAAAAGTGCTCATAGACCCTGCCGTATTCTCTCCGCCAATTGTCGCTTGCCAAATTCCCAGGCGTTGAGAAAGCCCTGCTCCGAAAGGTCGATGTTCTTCATCGAAGTCATATCTTGTTGGGGTGGTTTGCTAACGCGCGATGCGATGACGACCGGGTCGGTCTCAAGGATGATGCCGTCGTCCACCAGCTCATCGACAGCGAGTGACTATACATGTTAGGTCATGACCATGCACTTGGAAACATGTCAAACATACCACCAGATCATAGTTCTCAATCACAGTACGCTTATCGACCGAGTTCCTGTGCGAAGCAATTAGCGGTGGCGCGACTGGTTTACAAGTTGATGCATACTTGAGAAGAATATTCAGCGAGTCGCGTAGAGCCAACACAACACTGCCATTGATTAGCATTCGAACTCCTACGTCGCCGAGCGTAGAGAATTCACCTGTACAACAGGACCTCATTTTCCTCAGCACCGCCCACAACATAGAGCATAACATCCGACTCCATCTTGAACACGATTACTTTCTGATCATAAAGAATGATGTCGGTTGTTTGTTTTGCCGTTTTCTCTGTACATTCCCGTCAGACACCATCACCAACTATGTCCACAGCTCCATACAACCCACCTAGTAGACCTTTTTCGAAGGCTTTCTGGTCTTTTACTGTCTTATAAGCGATTTGACCGGGGTATTCGGCAGGGTTGCCTTGGGGCGGGTGTGGGCTCTGGTAGTATTTTGTGAGGATGCGTGAGCTGTCGTCGATAGCGAGGATGAGGATCGCGGACACGCTGAAGAGAGAGAGAGGGCGCGCCATGTTGCCGGATTTCGCAAGAATCAATCAATTGTCGGCCGTTTCGCGTGTACGCCTGGGGGATGTTTCGAGAACTCGTGAGCGTGTCGGTATCCCAAGCTCTCATCAATGTATAGAGTAGCGGGGAATCTACTTGAGAGGTGTCCGCTCCATAGCAGTGGAGCCAATGAGAATGCCAGGGGGCTTGGCAAAAAAAAGTATCGGAGCTTCAAGCACCGCACTCCACCGAGCACAACATCATGCAATTGGATTGATGCGCCTGGTGGTGAATTGATCATCATCCGCAATGCTCGCTGTACCTAAGACGTCTCTTGCCTCTATCATATGCCCGGTGGCTCCATTTCTCGTCCCCCGATTGCTGCGCTCGCCAGCTCCGCGTGCCCTCCTCACCCAATTCTCAACCCGCTCGACGTACGCTACAGACGCGAAATCAAATAGCAAAAGAACAAGACAACCCGGGGTCAAATCTGCCACCAGGGGGCCGAAAATCATCAAATATGACGCCTCCGGACGCAGTGCTACCCTCCCCGAGGTTAGTACCAATTTCCCGCACTTTTCAATCCATAGACGCAGTGTAGCTAACAGCACCAGACTGCCCCGATGCTGGTCCGGATGCAGCACGCATGTACTACGCGTAATATACAGGCAGTAATGGACTTATACCCGACCCTTCTCGAATCACGCTCCTTGCATGTAACGAGCAAACTCCGTATAGCCGAAGCCATTCACACTGTGGTCCGAAACCTGCCACCTTCCAGTCCCGCATTGAAAGGCATCTTTCCCTTTCTACAACGCATGGTGGAGGACATCAAATCTGGTAAACTGCCCCCGGATGCCTATGCTCACGTGCACCTATTGGGTGCTTTCAAATCCTTCCAGAAATATGAAGAAGGTTTCGCCTTCTGGCAATGGCTTGCGAAGCAAGATGACACATATGTATCGCAGGCTGTCTATGGCGCTGCTATAGAACTTATGGCGTACGGAAATATAGGCGCCCTTTCCGATTTGGAGGGCATATACATGGATGGTCTCAAACGATTTCCTGGCACCTTCGCCGAATACCACCTATCTCCGAATGCTATTGTTCCCAACCGGGACCAGAACGTTGCCATGGTCGATTTGCCTATTATGCTGTTGCAAGGTATTTGTACTGCCCGCATTGTGCACGGCGAGTGGAAAAACGCCTATCTAGCTTTTGACACTGCCTTGCGCTTAAAACCCACGCAAGTTCCTATTCGGTTCTTCGAATTATTTATGACCGAACGGCCTGTTCAAGAAGCCTACACGGCCTATCTTGTTGCCTGCCGTATAGGAATCGTTTTCAAGCCTAGTCATTTGACTGGCTTAACTAAGAAGATTCGAGATGCTATGGCTTCGTCATCGTCTCTCAACACACGTATGGTGCTTCTTCGCGCCATCGCAAACTCTCTCTATGCTTATCAACAGTCCGGTGGCACGTTGGAAGGTGTCCACATCGGCGCTTTCATTTCTGCCTGTGAAACTTTGTTGCCCGAAAGGGGACCAGGGGAGGTGTTGACGGGAATTCAGGCCGAGTATCGTGACGCTATTGTACATATGGCTCACGATTTGACTTCACAACTCCTGCAGGCTGGCATGCCCCCTCATCCGCGTTTTTTCACTTCTCTCATCGGCTTGGCAGGGTCACAGGGAGCCGACAAATTGCTCCATGCTACACTCAAAGACATCCGATCCGCAAAACTAGACCTCGACCAGGTAGGGAGAAGAATTGTCATGAAAAGTGCTGGCCTACTCGGTGACTTCACTTTACTCGTCCAGTATTGGAACCGAATTGTTACCTTGGCTGAAAATGAGCACCAACGAATAGCCGACATTGATTGGGTAACTTTCGTGAGGGCTTGCAAACACCTTGACCAGGTTCAATACTGCAAGGAGCAGTTATCCCATCTGGAGATTACCCTCACGACCTCGCTCACTGTTCGGTTGCATACCATTTTGGACGCTCCACCACGTCAACCACGCCCAGTCAAGCTGACAGGTTTGGAGAACTTTGCATCGCAGATGAAGGAACTGAAGGCCCAGTTTAGCAAAATCGTCACTGTTGTCATGTCTGGACAACCTTTGAATCCAAGAAGAAACCCTTTTTACATGGCAATAGATCCAACTCAGAAGTCTTTAGGCACGATTGAGGACATGCGGACAATCTACGATGAGTTCACTATTGACCCTCATCAGCCGCCCTCTACATCCGAGCAGAACGTCCTCGCAACACCCACAGGCCTATCTTTAGGCAGTCTGCGCTACCTGAACTGGGTCTCGGTTGTAGAGATGATGCATCAAGCCAGTCTATTGGAACAAAAACAACAGGGTCCAGATTCTTTCCCATTGAATGTTTCATTCGATCTTTGCCATCGGAACGCACAAAACGCGAACGATCGAAATCTACCTCTTCCGTTGGACGCCCTACGAAGCTACATCAAAACACTACGCGCCCCCTCACCGATCGACTACCATCATGACACACTTGCCCATCAAAATTTTGATGCTCAGAATAATGCAACTGAGTCTATACCACCACAGTTTCTAGAGGCTAATATGTCGCTCAACGACGGACCGACAACCACTATACCCAGACGCAGTCGAACCCCTATCAAAAAACCCAAGCACCCTTTGGGCTTGCAAGAAGAGCACGCGGGTGAATCGTGAACTGAAAACGCCGGGGTCACTTCCAGACGTTGCGGGTAGAGATATATTCACTCGATCTTTGCCTTCTTCATTATCGTAGCATTTTCATCTTGGGTTAATTGTATCATAAGGGGCAAGCATACCGTGTATTAATATGTGTACCATCTTTTAAAATAGATATCCAGAGTACAAGGGGTGGAATAGAAGGTTAGGAAACTTCAATATGCATCTTCCCCTGATTGAATAATTCGATGGGGATTCCAGTCCAGCCCAAAACATATAACAATGCGTGATGTTCAAATATTAGCCTCTCTACCTGTTCACCTTGGAACCTGTTGTGTCTGCTATCTGTCCCCACAAGGCACGCGGTCTATCATGAAATTGTACATGCATGGCCTGCCATGTCATTTCACAACCATGCTCTTCCCCGCAAAGCTTCAAATCTCCCGTCACAGCGGCTATCTTGTTTTCCACGGAGACATGGCCGGTATAGCTCTGTTGAAACCCCGTTGGCTCTTTCCGCAAGCTCGAACACGGATATTCGTAGAACGGAAGTGCACTGAACTAGGAAACCCCCGTTCATTTTACGTTCAGCGGATCTTGAAAACTGCACTGTTAATACGGCGACAGTTGTTGTTGCACTACGAAAGTGATCTCGATCGAAAGACCAATATGTCTATCACACAAAAGACGAGTACGAAACATCATGAAACAAGACGTTAATTGTTTGCATCGGCTAATGCGTCACAAACGATTGATTTTGGAAATGTAGAACTCACGGCGATATGACGATGTACTCTTTAGGCAGTTACACATAATATTCGTGAGATTCTAATGGTGATGCTGTCGTGGCGGTATACGTGTATGACCATAGACGAGCCTCGGTTCCATGATTTGTGTACTTGCTCGAGTTCGGACTTAGGTGCCCATACGCACGGAAAAATGGTAGACATGTGAGCCCCGAGCATTACTACCAATTTCTGATGCATCAATAAGCTACCCCATTTTCCAACTCGAAGGATTATGTCAATGGTTCGTATGATGGGCAGATATCTAGGGCCGCAACGTACTGGCCAACGTTTTTACCCGCGTCCCGGCTACCGGGAATACTCAGAACCAAGAATCATGCAATGCCAATCACATCAATATGTGGCAATGAAGAGAATAAAAATAGTTATACATCTCGCTGGGTTCATTTAACGTTTGGAAGCATGCATCCGCGCTGAAAAACGGGAAAAGAATTATCTTGTTTAGTCAAGGACGCATCGTCTCCGCGTTACCTGATGCATTCATCCAGCAGCCGATCTGATGTGTCGGTACGTGCCTAGTCAACAGTTCGTATCTATGCTGCTGTGTATGCATCTGCGCTGATGTCGTCTGGGTAATGAGTCGTCATAGTCAGCGATTCATGGGTTACTTGCTCATATGGGTTCCAAGCAGAGAAGAACCAACCGAAGCTTCCATGCATTGCGCTTACAAGATCTTCCAAGAATCTACTTATATCATGCGGTAATAAGGTATGCATAATAGTACGCCACAACTATGTGTGATCATGTAATACCACACTTGAATTGAAATGATAGCTGAGAGAACGCGCACGAGAGCGGCGCAGCAATAATATTCGTCGTAGCGTATTATACACACCACTGTCACCGCAATTCCCCGCAAAGGGCACCCTGACTTTACGGGACAAGAACCTGTTGGTTTTTCTTTGTAGATTTCCGCATTCTTTGAGGATAGCAGCGACTCCATTGGCAGTACGGGGAAAAGCGACTGTTGACTGGGGTAAGGTCACTACGGAGAAAACCGAAACAGAAGGTCGGAGTCGGTGATTGGGCGAATGTCCGATGGTATGAGGCTAATGGCATGACATGTAGCTTCGCTTACCCTTTGAGGATGGTCTAAGGCTTAATGTATAAGGAATTGATTGAGGCGAGGAAAACAGAGAGGTCACTGTATAGCACGCCTATTTTTTATGTTTGCCGGAAAGGAACATGGCGGATTGAAAGAGGCTGTGTTGAAAGCTGGGTTGACTGTGAATTGCTAGTTGATGATTGGACTGATGGAGATGGGTTATCACCATTATGACGCTAGACGATCCAATTTGAATAACGACTTTTGTGCGACTCAACATGACACGAATAGATCGTTAATATCTATGCTTCATTTCGACTCTACTAATTATCGTCTCTGCGATCTAGGATGCGGCGCAGGGAGGGTTAATCCTCAACGCGTAGTCGAATGTACACTGCCAATCATCACGGGAAATCACATTAAGAGCTAGGGATACACTGTACAATACAGCGTGTTAAGGCGGTCTTTACTGCCTGGCAAACGCAAAGGGCCTAACATGAAACAGACCTTGTTCACACTCCTCATCCAGGCCTCCCACTCATATGCTATCCCACTACGGCATGCCGATGGCAGGGCTGTGCACAAGGCTATCTGTTCATATATTAGGGACACGATATTCTGCATTCAATTCTTTTTCGTATACAATTCAACCTCTTCTTACTTCCACTTCCTTCTTGCATCATCGCATTTGTTCATTTTCGTTCTTCACTTTGCTTTTAGAAAGCTGTGCTTCTGACACTCATTTATCTCTCTGCATATTTCATTCCCTTCATCTCACTTTTCGGATCAAGCAAAAGTCTCCTTACCCACATCTCCAATAAAAAAAAGTCTCAACATGGGTGCTATTTCAAAAATCTGCGCGATCGCCCTTCTGGCTGGATCTTTGGGTGTTAATGCGAGTGGCATGGAGCACCAAGCGCGCGCGGTTTCCATGTCTGCGGACAGCCAAGATGCCTTGGAAAAAACCATTAAAGATATTCCCGAGGAGGACATCATTAAACAGGTCCGTACTTACTGAGCACAAAATCATGGCATGCTGAAACATCACGTGGGTCGGCATTTGGGGGCACTGGTGTTGGATTCAAACATCCATGATTGACTGCTTGAACTTTACTAACATAGTATCTGTGACTATAGTTCAAAGCCGAATACATCAATACAGTCGCCAAAAACGTCGTGGGGAGTCTGCCGGACACTGCGGTCAACCCATTTGCTGAACCCCCCAAAGCCTCTGCGTCCAACATGTACCCGACGGTAACTGGCACCTCGCCTAGATACCCAGTCACTACAGGCTATTCCCACCCTCCTTCAAACTTTCCCTATAATATCCTTGGCAAACCCGATGTCTGCATTTACCAGCTGGCCCCACTTATGGGCCACGAAGAAGAGACGGCGAAGCTTGCTGTTTACGCAAACACATGTATCCCAAGTCTTCTGAGCGCTTACCCCGATCAAGAGAAATGCGAGCTCCAAAAGGTCATTATGAATATAGTGATGAGTTTTGTTCGAGCCCCCATTACTAGCCCGCAGGATTTCGCCAAAGTCAAGGACGAGCAGACTCTCCAGGAAATACGCGCCATGGCTAAGGAAGGTCTTACCAAAGACGAATTGTTGAACAAGCTCAAGGAACTCGCACTCAATGGGCCTAAAGATAAATCCAAGCGTAATATTGCAGCTCGCCAGATGTCCGACGATGAGGCTCTCCGCATAACCGGAATGTATGCCGCTGCCGACGCCATTAAGACGGGCGACAAGAAGCTCGTCGAGAGCAAATTGAACAACCTCAGGCTTCAAATCGATTACCTGAGCACCGATACACGTGCGCAGAATGACGAGATCGAGAGCAAGGCCAGGAAGCTCATCTTCAGCATTCCTTCTTCCACGCCTCTTGACAAGATCCAGAAGCGCCTCGCCAAACTCGTCAGACTCATCATTAGCAGTGGTCCCGCGAAGGACATGACCAAGAAATTCGACGAGTGGGTATCTGAGTTTGCCAGCCCCAACAGGCGTCGCGGCGCTGCCTCTTACAGTGACCCCAACACCTGCATGGAAAAGATCGCTGTTGCCCAAAGCGCTGGCGTTAACAATGTCGTGGACTTTGTTGACCAATGTATCCCGGCCCTCGTTGGAAAGACGGCCTACAGCAAAGATGAGAAGGCTGCTCTTGTTGAGAAGGTTAGGATGATCGTCCTCAGCATTCCCCCCAGGAGGCCAATTGAGGTTCAGAAGCAGAGAACCGAGACTGTCCGCAAGTTGGTTGCTGCCAAGTCCTCTTACAACGAGTTGATCAAACAGCTCAACAAAGCCACCCCTGCCTTGCTGTCGGTGTAAATCTGCAGAGATGCGGTTTAGATCGAGGCCGAAGAGAGTGACATATCCAGCATGCTTATGTCGTGGCGGCCTTGTATGAATGGATTCAGTCTCTTGTGTTCTGGATTGCGCTTTGGGAAGGTCGACAGAGTAGGATGGGGTGGTCGGATGTGGTGACTTTAATTAGACTTTTGTTTCTCTGTACATAATTCATCATTGTATATACCATGGCCAATGCGCGCAGTCTGGAATGTGATGAATGCATGGCCTGAATATCTTCATTCCAATTTACAACCCAGCAGCCACTGAGCTCATCAGTCTAATAACAATTGCAATGTTAGCATCTCTGTATAACCGCTTACGCACCCTAATCATCATCCGCACCAAAAAAGGAAATTCCCTACCTCAGATCCGACAAAGCACGATCAAGCCCACACCCGGCCAAGAAACCCCCGTTTTCGCAATCCCTTCCTTTTCGCTCTCTTAAAGAAACACCGCGCGCGCAACCTCGTATAGAGACCCGAACAACAGTCAGACCAGCGCTGACACAGCTGATCTTACCTCCTTGTTCACCTCACCCATTGTACACCGTTCATTACCCGGGTCCAGCTAATAATCCTTTACGATTCCGACACGGGAGCGGCGCGGCGCGCAGACATGATTACTTACCGGTAGCCAGCTATCGTACGCGGTACTTACTCCTTCTAGTCTGCATGAGTAAGGTAAGTAAGCGCATCGCATTGCCATCGGGTTATGCGCTTATGTCTTTTCACCCGGGATGTTTTTTTTTGCTTTTCGCATGTGGTCCGGGGAAGGGGGGGCGGGATGCCGAGGTATGAAAGGATTCTGGCATATGAATCGGGTTGGGTCCGGGATGGAATGGGATGAGTCTATGATGCTGATGACATGTGTGGATTTTTCGCTGTTGCTGATTGCACGATCTTTGGGTTCGCGGAGTTAGATAGGAGGACTGGAAGGGGCGGTGAAGAGAGGTGAACTGGTGCTGGGTTGAAGGTCTTCTGTCAAGGCGTTCATTCGTGGTGTGATTCTCGGTACTTGGTCGATGTGCGATGTTAACATGATTTGACATCGTTTCCTTTTTCTCGGCCCTTCTTGTTTCTACTTGTCTCAGTCGTCGGATTTTTCTATTTGCGTTTTTGGTGGTGTTACTATTTTCTTTTTTCGCCCCGGGAACACGTGTGATTGCGCTGCCTGATTATTAGCTGTCTATCGTACGGGGACGAAGGATTATGTGGATAAATGGTGGTCGGGGCTTACGGCAGTATGAAGGATGAGGTGAGCTTGGTGAGGGAGGATTCTACCCCGGCGTGGGGGTTTGGAATCTGGTGTGTAAGATTGTGTGAAAAGACTTATGCCCGTGAAAGGAAAGGTCGGCCAGCTCCTGTTTTTACCTTCGGCTGATCAGGCGTATACATTTCTTTCTTCACCTCTCGACGGAGCGAGGGAAAGTGTAAATGAGGGAAATGGGATATTTTCTGGTGCGGACACAGATTGTTATTGATTCTTGCCAAGTATGGACCACCCATCGAAATTAGGAAATAAGTAGCCAGAGAGAAAAAAAAAAGGCCATTACATCAAAAGTAAAGCCCGGCGGCTTCGGATGAATCCAATGCGCTGGTGAATGCGAATATGACCCTTTCTATAACAACAATATACAATAGTGGACAACAGGGGAATCTGGAATGAGAAAAATGTTGTAAACCCAAAATAAGGCGATCGACGCCTGTGTACAGAACCGGATAAAAGTCCCACGCGAACAAGAGGAAACAATAGGAGAGAAGCCCTTTCTACCCCGGAGCATAATAGCGCCTTCACGCTCCTTTTTCCTACTGGGAGACCAATCCGATGGTGAATCCAGAACCCCAAGCTAGAACCCACCCGCTAAATGCACAATCATGATGGAAGTCGAAATCGAACCATTCGCTTGTTCGAAGAAGTCGCAAACGGTGTTGGTGGGGGACTAATTCGAGTCGCTTCCAGCAGGACTACGTTGCTCAGCTGGCGTAGAGGGGAAAGAGAAATCGATGGGAGATGGCGGCGGTGCTGGTGTCTCGCCATACTCCTGGGTCGCGCGTGAAGACATGGTGCTCGATGCTTGGAAAGCGGCCGAGACGTCGCGTCCGAGAGATGCGTTGGTGATGATGGAAAGGCGCTGACGAGGGTTGGAAACGCTGACTTGGTGAAGAGGCATTTTTGCGGGTTGAAAAGCGTATGTCTTGTGATGATTGATGTTTCCAAGTAAAGACAGAAAGTGTCAAGACGAAATGGCAGACGAGGTGGACTTGGTATGATGGGGGCCGGAGCTATATGCGGATTGTGGAGTAATCTGGGGGAGGAAGCCGGGGAAAGTAGGCTAAATATTCGGGTTCCGGTAGTACAGAGCAGAAGCGTGCGTGCGTGTCTCTCGGCTTCTGGGTCAACGATGTGTGGATTGGATTGAACAAGATTCGGAAGGCGTTCCAATATTATGAGTTGTCTCGGACAAGCAATAAAATTGCTGGCAGAATGGCGAGAGCTGACTTGTCCCGGTCTGAATGCAGGAAGGGCTGAGTATGCAATGCGAAAAGAGTCTGGGATCCATGAGTCAGATTTTAATATGAAGGGAGTGCAGGGCTGATATTGTGCGTTGGCATGATAATGCTGGGGACCAAGCAATTCACGGGAAGCCGAACACGCAAGCATGGTCGGAACAAGGGGGCGTCCAAAGGGGCACTTACATCTTGTGCTAGCTGACAGTCCAGTGTACACGGCGGCGACAATGGTGTTTTGCTGATGAGGAGGTATGATTGGCGACTCAGCGGAGCTAACGAGTAATGGTCACAGAAGTGCAAGTGTCAACCCAGGTGCGAACTTGAGGGTTTCAAAAGAGGAACGTAATCTGTACGAGCGAGCGAGTTTTCTGGGGACTGGAGAAGGGGGGGGATGCTGGTTTTCTTTATAGATGGGGCGACTGTATACAAGTATACACGGCTAACCTGACTCGCAAGGGGGGAAGACGGAAGGGGACGCTTTGAGCAGAAGAAAGTTACAGAACCAGCATGATCCATCATCAATCAAAGGATCCGGACGGGGCAGCGGGCAAACACACTCCTTGCTTTCCTGCTTCCCCGGCCGTTGCACATGAAGCGGAGCTAGGGCGACATGCCGATTCGATATCACGACCAAGAGACGAGACCACCCCACGCCCCAACACCCACGTTGGCGGTCGGAGATCCCCCCCCCCCCAAGATTTCCCTCCAATGTGTATACGTGTACCCTCCCTCTCGTTTTGTGGGAGGAGCTAACACTGTCCGGATGGCAATCTGGGGGGTTAGACCAACAGCATGGCAAAGCTACGATGCACACGATGATGCATTCATACATGCATACATACATGAATGTTTCTATGTACGGTGTGAGTACATGGTCGCAACTGACCAAGCAACTTAGTGACCTCGCTACTTACCGCCAGCAGTGCAGCGCAGCGCATTGCATTGCATTGCATGGCTGTAGACAGAGAAAAGAAATGACATGGTACGTAAAAGGAAGACGGCGATGCCAGGGGGGTAGACAAGGAGAAGAAACAAAAAAGAAAGAGCACAAACAGGCTGATTGTGCCTGGGGAGCTTCCCTCCCGTCCATCCGCGGGCTGCAAGAAGGAAGGGCACATACGACAGGGCCATGTTGATCATCAGGAGTATTGCTTCTGACGTGTACTATACATACGAGAGCGTCGGCGATGGCATCGGGGAGTTGGTTGGTGGTCATGGGCAGATGGCAATGGGATGGTGAGGTGTGAGTGACTGACCGCCTTATGCAACCCCCCCCCAGCTGCATTTCCCCACGCGAGGGCTTTCCCAACTTCCCCGGCTTCCACGCTTCTGGGACGTCTTGCACATCATCACCCCGTCCCATCTACCCGCCATGAGACCCACCCCTTGCCTCGCCCATTGTCTCTCGACCTTCTGCTATAGGTAGCCCGACTGACTAACCACCACCCACTTTTGTTATCTTGCCCGGCACCATCTTCCTGTCAGCTTCCTGCCAAAGCTTCCAGAAGGACGCTCGGGCTGTCTCGACTCTCCCCCATCTGGCCCGTTCACCCTCTAAACGGTCCGCCCGCCTTCCGCTCATCCCATTGTCTATAGACCGGCAGATATCCGGGTGAAGCCATCAATCACTTCTTCGCTCTGGTTTCATCCGCCTGATTGTCGTATCCGTTGCGTCCTTTGCATCATCTCCTTCTTCTGCTGGCCCCTATGTTGCTTACTTCCCATCAGATCAAGGCAAAGATAACATTTTCTACCTCGCAACTTCAATATTGGCGCCAACTTCCGTCGTACACAGCGGCATACACAACCGCTCCGCATCATTCCACAGCCCGCAATCCCGGTCCTGGAAAATGCTACGTCGCATGGCAACAGTATGTGTGTGTGTGTGTGTGTGTGTGTGTGTGTTGCCGCCACCAATTGCCGCGACGACCTTACCTACTTGGCTCCCATGTCGCGCAAAAGGCTTGGACCATGTCAAAGGAGGCTTCTTTAATACCTACCGCGGTTGAGACAAATTCGTGAATCGTACCATTATCCCCGGCAGCAGATTTGTGTCATGACCTTAAACACAAGGTTTGCTTGGCCCATCAAACGCGCACTAGGGTCCGCACTTTCTTCCCAAAGAGAAAATGCCCGATCTGGGGAAAGTCTCCCATCCTTGCTTCATCTACCCATCATGCACCATCCCCCCTAGGAATCCTGTGAAACCGTGCCATTTTGTTTGACGATGCTGTGCGCACTGTGGGCTGCACGTCGGGTATACGCGCCTGGAAAACATGGTCTCGAAACGACCATGTTGGCGAGACAAGCGCGACGGTCTTGCGGGTGGACCCCCTATTGGCGAGTTACTTCATGCCAACCTGCAAATGATTGCGTTTTTTTGCATGTATTTCCTCCCGACGGCCTGCAGCTTTCCTCTCTCAATTATCTTTCTCCTTCACCGGTCAGCGACGTCGCTCACCGCAACTTGGATTGCCAGAGCAGGCGTCAAATTGGGTAGCGACATGCTGAAGTCAGGTAACGAAAGTTGCGCTTGCAAATCTCTTATTTTGGCTTCGGAAAGTGGAAGGTGATGGATATCACTTTCCGAGGGATTAGCACACAACTCTCTTATCCCCGACGGCATTGTATTGCTTTTGCTCTGGCGTTATGCCCGGGCAAACAACCCGGACACAAGGCCAATCAATTGTCAGGTAAACTAACAATCACATCCACGAATGAGCAGAACTCAAATAAATATCGACTTCTGGCCAGCTCCAAGAAAAGCAATGGAGGACAAGTGATTGGCTCTGGGCAAGAACTGCATATTTACATCACAAGCATCCAACCATTCTTGCGTCTTTACGTAATCGCCATCTTCTTTTTGCTGGAACAAGGTGATCGAGTGAAAATGAACACCATATTCGACATATGTCCGCAACTCCACGCACTCATACTGAGATTATGCCTGATTTGATCGATCTAGTCGATTTACAAGGAGGTGTAGAGGTATTGCAGCGCTTGTAAATCGCTATTGAAGAGAGTCGGAATACGGTGTAATCTAGTGTTCTTTATAAAGGGCACATTGACAATTGACAATATAGGTCATATATCAAAACACGCATGTCTAGTCTTACAACGATATAATGAGCAGAACGAGCTGCTACTGTCGACCTTTTCTCTTTGGGAAAGGTGTAACCAAATAATAAAATAATCAACATATTTGTAGTACATGTAAATCAAAGCCAGGGCAACTATGCGATACGTCTATTTGAAGACAATTGAAGAATGTTCATGTTACGTTCCACTTGCTAGTTAAAAGCAGCCACTTTGCGACATTGTTTACATGTATAATTTGGGCAGGGCAGATGACTGTTGGCGAGTATCTACTACCATGTACCCAGGTAGTTTTGCCCCATGTGGCAGTCATATATTCTAAATGTGACACTATATAGAACCCTGAATAGAGAATGAGAACACGCGTGTGTGCATACTAATTGAGGCGATACATTTTTCGATATAAACATGATGGTCCCATGCACAAATTCAATCATTGCTGTTTCCCATTTCTCCCTGAAGGATCCCCAGGAAACGCACCATATCTCCCCCATCCTATACCCTCCATCGTCTTATCCTCGTCTTTACCAGGCCAGAGCAACTCTCCAGTCCACACCGCCTTGACGCACGCAACTGCCACCAGAAGCCACATCACCACCAACAAAACCGTCAGCGCACTACAAATGCCGCGAATCCCATCACTGTTTAATGCCTTTGCTACTTGTATTGCTGCCAGCGTTAACCCTGCATTCGGGAAAATGAAAGCCCACCAGTTCAGTGTAAACGACATGCGGCGAATACCGGTGATGACGGCGACAGTGGAGATACAGAAGAACCAAAAGGAAAACAGGATAATGAAGAGACCACAGAGAATCCCAAGGGCTTTGATGAGGTTCCCATCAGGATAGGAACCTTGGTTGAACTGCGATACCGGCACGACGTTCGGTGCTTGGGTCGCGAGCGAAATGAGGCCTGCGGCCGTGTAGCCGGCGGGACCGACCGACACGTACATACCCGGGCGTGTAGATGGAGTGGGAAGTTCGCTGGTCATGAGCCGTTGTGTGTAGAGCGAGTACATCATGAGTGCAACGACCCAGGAAAGTCCTTGCAAGGCCACCGCCCCGACCCCTGCATTACGTTAGCCAAACTCCTCGTTCGACCTTTTGTAGGGAAAAAGAAAAGAAAAGAACAAAACTACTTACACATGTTCCAACCACGATCTGGCGGCTGGCTTGGAATCATGGTTCCGGCCATGGTCCCTACCACAAGGAGAGGATAGATGGGGAAGATCCACGCCGGCACCGCATCCTGGACGTTGAGCTTGACGCTTTGGAAAAAGATGTAGTACTGTCCAACGCCTACGACGAACACTATAGCGCAGTACATCCAGTAGCAGATTTCCAGAGCCTTTATCAGCCATGGTCCGCTAGAAGGTACGCCATACGATTGTGCTCCGTTCAGAATCAACGAGACAGATACCCAGTAGGCGCCGAAGAATAGACCTTCGACGGGATGGAGTAGAGAAGCGACGAATTTGGGTGGCACAAGAATAAATCGGGTTACGATAAGAGCAGTGAAGCAGAGGAAGAGGACCAGGTTCGCGATGTAGAAGATCTTTCCGATGGTCTTCAAGCCGGTGAAAGTATTGGGGGTATTAGCAAGCACGACCGCCACAGCGCCAGTGGACATAGTGCAGGAGAACCTGTAGGATGATTAGTACCCATTGAGCAAGAAGATGATTGCTGTTGGTGGTGGTGGTGTTTTGGGTCTTACCATGGCCTACACGTACGTCGTTAGCTACAGTCCATGTCAGCTTCATCCTCAACTCACCAGGTGAAATGCGCAATCCGATCTCTCAGACCCGCTTTCACGGGAGGAACTTCGGCGTTCCGTGACGAGGCATCTTCCTCGTCGGCCCTGCGTGTTTTATCTTCAAATCGCATTTAGTTGAAGCGGGTTGGAGTCTGGACGTATCTGCGCTTTACGCTGCCTCAACTCTTTGTAGTTCCTTCCATACGAAGCCTGCTTTCGTAGCTGTCTGATGTCATGTCTAGGAAAGCGCGGGAGTTCGGCACCCCTTGGTCCGGTGGTGTTGCTTAAGCACGGCCGATGTGCGCACTACCGGCTAGGGCGGCCTGGGCCGATTGAGTCTATACGCAGAAAACGAAAGGTGATGAGAAGAAACAGGGATGTAATGATTCCCTCATCGTTCTCTGCGCGCATAGTAGACGGCGGGTCATAGAATATAGGGGAGGCGTTGCTTAATAAATTTTGTATGATTACAGGTTTACTAAATACGGAACTTTGATAAACGGCGAGTCAGAGAAGAAGATCTTTTTCTTATTCCTATGGTCGTACGTGTCAGACTTGCCTAGTTTCTAGTCTTAAGATCTTATCATTGCTTGTTCTCTTACATTCATATCGCAGTCAAGCCGTTGTCTATCTATTCATCAGCAAACTCTGTTGATAGAATAACAACACAATCTCCTTAATATTATGCATCTGGACCCATATTCGGTTTTCGGCTACTTTGTAAGTGTTGTTAGGACTCGCGACTGAATAGCGCGATATCAACACAGTACAGTACAGGTAAATACTACATATCCTCTTTGAGCTGTCAAGAGACACACGGAGGTAGCTACTTCATCAATGTGTGTTATTTTGCATCAAACGTGCTGCCCGATCACTGCAGTTATCTCAACTGAGCATACAATTTCTGTGCTATTCTCTAAACCACTGTCTTTGGTGACAGCGTATTCATCGTAGAGTCTTCAAATTGCACTGGGTAGTCCAGTCTTCCAGTCATTTCAATATTGCCTGTCAAGGTTGCTGCATTGAAATGTTGGAGATAAGATGACATCGCGCACTGATATTCTGTGATTTCATCTATTTATCGCCAGTCTTAGTACCACACGGTCCCATGTCTTGTCACCCATATGGCTTGTCGCAGCCAAACATCTACCTTACGATGAGAATCAAAGCTTTCCATCTTACGTATTGCTAGCGCTTAACCCCATCTCCTTGGTATCGTACCCATTAGCTTCGAGGTAATTCCTAAACCTGACGTCCTCGTCCTCAAGATTAACAGGAGCCTGCAGGACGACGTTAGTTGAATCAGAAAGCAGGGCGAGCGTCAAAACTTACATCTGGGATGAGAAACCACACACAGAGAGTCCCAACAACAGATATAGCACTGCCAATCAGAAAGATAGCTTGCTGACCCTTGGTCGGATTATCGAATGACGCTAAAGCCTCACTCAAGGTCGTTGTGCCAATCGCAGCACCCACTTTTCCAATAGCTGCGGCAAAACCCAAGAAGTGACCACGAAGGGGCGTCGGAAACGACTCGGAGGAGACTAGGAAGTTGCAGTCACCAGGACCAACAGAGAGGAACGTCTGAAAGAGCGCGTACAAAACAACAAACAGGGGGAAGATATTCTTGAGCTGGATCATGGAGCCGCCGATCGCGAAGCCAAAGTCACACACTATAGACCAACCCAACGCATAAGTTTGCCGTCGCCCGATACGGTCCATCAGAAGAGCGCCGATGAAGGAGCCAGGGAGCGCGAAGAAGTTGACGAGGGCGCTCCATCCAATGCTCGAGATCATGGATTGGTCTTTGGAAAAGCCGGATACGAGGGTGGGCGCTAATAGGTTGAATGGGTAGACAACAAAGTCGTAGAGGAACCAGGCGGAGCAGCAACCGAGTAAGGGACGCCAGTAGAATTTGATGGCGAGCCAGTATGGCATCTTACTGTGTATAGCGTGTTTTCGATACTGTTCTGAGTCGTTCAACCGCATGCGGAAAAAGAAGATGGCTAGAGGTAACTAAGCAATACGGTCAGTACGTTCGGACGTGCGGAGGTGTGGCATTGGACTCACGATAATGCCGATACCGAAGCAGATGCGCCAGATGCCATCGCTAGGCTTGCCACCATATGCTGCGATGACGATGAGAGATACAATGCTGGAGCCGACGAAACCAGATATGATGGCTGCATTTGTCGAAACTGCTACGAGCATACCGCGGCGTCTGCGCATCTCCGGGGTGCTGTCAGCGCATTCCAGCGCTTGACTTGTACATACAGTGTACTCTCCTCCTGCCAAACTTGTTAGAATATTGGAATAGGAATGAAATCAAAGTAGAAGTACCAGCACCCACACCGGCCACGCCACGCCCGGTAACCATCATCCAAAACATACCCTCGACAGTCGCGCCGTGCGAGGCCGTTGCGAGGATGATTCCGAAAACGAGAAATAAAGTTGTCAGAATGATACCAACGCGGCGGCCGAAACGATCAATGCAAAGGCCAAACAGCAGCATACCAAAGATGTCGCCAATGAGAATGGAATTGGATAGTCGCGTCTTGACTTGGGTCGTCATTTGCTTTGGATAAAGCTTGGCTAGCACTGTGTTCATATATCCGATGATTTGGATGTTGTAGCCGTCCGAGAACAGTGCGACGCCCTGGATCAGGACGTCGATCTTACCAGCTTGTCGCTGAGCCGGAGCGGTAGAGGCACTGTCTCGAGATGAGCTTGTTGTTTTGGAGCTGGCCAAGGCGGCTGATGCCTTGGATTGTTCCTCTGCAATACCCATTGTGCTGATCGTGTTAGATATCGATGAAATAGCGATTAGGGGTCGATGTTGAAACGATAGATCAATCCTTCAGCGAGAACTTGCATTCCCCTACCATTGCTCTCCAGAGAGAAGCCGTGTCTTATATGTCCCTTGATACACGGGTTACAACAACTTACAGCAGTGGTTACGGTTGGTAAATGCCGTGAACTATCGATAATCAGAACGAATGCTATTACTACGGTGGGGCTTATCAAACCCGAAGCAGCCATATAAGCTGTCAACCCAATACACGTGCTAGCTGACTGATACCCAACTCTATCAGACTCCAGTTTTATCGGGTTGTAGATATGTACTATAGTTTTGTTGCGGACTCTACCGTTAACAAAATCGGCCCTTCGGGAAAATTTGCGTACCCTAAATAATTTCGCCTACTTCAGCCTACTTCAACCTACTAATCATACTCACTTAACTCGCCACGTGCAGTGGGGTGCAATGCCTACATTATAGGAATAAGATACGATGTAAAATCAGCGCCTCCGAAGATTACAACTTAGACCCATTATGCATGCGACACAGCACGCATCGCTTTATAAAGGCAAATAACGCGATTTATTTTCCACGTAGCGAAGCTCCTCCAACAGAAAAGTGACAAGGCTTACGATGTTCGTGTCATCCGTTCTTGATGCGGTACTTGCAGCTACCACCATAACCTTGAGATACTCGACTATTTTGTTCGTACGATTCGTATGTGCTACTCTTTCCCACGCAACCATTCTCCAGCTCATCAAAGCCGAAAGTACCCGATTGCCCGTTATCTGCCCCGAATATATATCAATTTCGCTGCATATGCGCTGCTGGCTCTGCTGCAGTTGATTCTGAGTTTCCGTTATGCAGCCAAGCGACGTCGATCCCCTTCTTTCGTTGTGCTTTTGGGGTGGCTTGACGTGACAAGACCTCTGCTCTCTACACTGACTGCTCTCGCCAATGTTCTCTGCCTTGTCGCTGCCGTCGACTTTGTCTACAGGGGCCAGTACTTCCATCCAAGCCATGACTTATCGTTTTCACGAATGGGTTATGTTGATGCTACTTCTGCCCGTATCGTGGTCCGGGCTCCGCAAGCATCGATCGTGGAGCTGCAGCTCAGGCTAGACACAAAGACCGGCAACCAAGCACCCGCAATCGTTCGTGGCCTTTCAGGAGCAACTGACTGGGTGGGGACTTTCACACTCGAAAATTTAATGCCAGATTCCTCATATATTTATGAGACTAATGCGAGTCATGCTGGAACTTTTAAAACGGCAAAAGAGCACCCAAAAAGGTGGTCGATGATTCAGACCAGCTGTGTCAAGCCCTTCTACCCGTACAGCCCCTTGGATCACGCCTTGGATGTTAAGGGACTGGACCATCTCGGTCGGTATCTCAGTAACCGCACTGCAGACTTTATGCTGTTTCTCGGAGATTTCATCTACATCGACTTGCCATATCCGCTCGGTTGGACTCAGGATCACTATACGAAACTGTACCGTCAGACCTACGCCTCACCCAGTTGGACCACGGAACTCCGAGCACTGCCGTGGTTGCATGTTTATGACGACCACGAGTTTGTTAATGACTGGTCTGGAAATGAGACGGGTCTGTACCAGACAGCAGTGGCGCCATACTGGCATTATCAGGGTCATGCAAACCCGCCGTCTCCCACTCAATTCGGTACGGGTGCATCGTATTATACGTTTTCTCGGGGCGACGTTGCCTTTTTCGTGCTCGACACACGTCGGTACAGATCCCCGTCAGACAAGTTAGATGGCCCTGATAAAACCATGTTAGGGCATGTGCAGCGAGAACACCTCCGAAAGTGGCTTCGAGAGGAACGCAGGTGGAAAGTCGTCGTGAGCAGTGTGCCTTGGACACGCACGTGGGTTAGTCAAGACCAGAGCGATCGGTGGGCTGGCTATATGCATGAGCGAGAAATGCTGTTTGAGTGGATGAAGGAAACCGATGGCGTTCTTCTTTTGAGTGGTGTTAGTTTTCATTTTATGTTAATCGGTATTGTAGCACTTCAAATACGCTGACCGAGTCACAGGACCGCCATGAACACACAACCACTCTCTTCCCACATTCTTCAGAAAAGGGAAAGACGCTTATTGAGTTCTCGACGTCCGCCCTGAATCAGTTCTATGAGCCGTTTGATCGTTTTCATGTCCCGGTTTATGGAAATGATGAGGCGGTATATAACCACTATCGAGGCAACTCCAAATTTGCGTACTTCTCATTTGATACGACGGATCCATCTCTTTGGGTGATTCAGTTTGACCTGATCGTGGATGGGGAGAAGGTTTGGAATTATGAGTGGGTATACAAGAGGAAATCATATCCCTCCTGAACTTTAAAAATGAAGCATAATAGTTTTACTACTGTTAGCTGTGCAATACAGATAAGGAAGTTTGATCGATCATCATGAGCTAGACACCATTAAAGAAAAATATAGCTTTTGTGCTAGATCCTATCTATGCTGATAGCGTCAACCACTGCTTGAATTGATTGGCCGAGCATCGCGATCAATAGATCCGACACATGCCAAACAAGATAACTGTGATTTGCCTAGGGCTTCAGGCTGAACACATGTCACGTTATATTACATGACCTCAATTGCGACAGATCAGTAAGCGAAATCACTAGGCAACCTCTCCAAGCCGGGAATACCCTCTTACACCTCCAACTTAGCTACCGGTAAGGTCTGGGTCAATTGATATCGACAGGGCAATCATTATAAGTGGGAATGCCTCTATGCACCACACTATCAGCATCTTTATCACCGAAACATCTGTTCAATGACAGATATGAGCAGAGAGCAACACTTACATGAACAACCAGCCACCAGCTCTCGTCATACCGCCGGATTCACACCCGGTGATCTCATCCATCAGTCTTTCGAAGCACTCGACATCTGTGATGTTCCCATGGCCCCAGCCTGTCCAGGTTATGCTGAATTGCGCATTTACGGGCTGATACGCGACCTGTGCACAGCGTCTTCTCGTCTCATCTTGTCTGTAGGTGCCGTTCAGGTCCGTCCTACATAATCCCAAGGCGTAGCTTGCGGTCTGCTCGAGTGTGATGGGCCTATGTATAGGAGAATCTCGGTTAGACTGTTTTGGATGTAGTATAAAAGTGAGGTAGTTGAGGGGGAGGGGCTATGATGTATGACTTGAAACTTACCAGTGAGGGTCGAACCAGGCTTTGTTACATGTTGCATCCACCTTGGTCAGGACGGGGGCTAGGATGGCGAGAATAGCGAAGAGCCGCATGTTGAATTGAACGTTGAATATGTGGAATAGGGGTGAGGGGTTCGAAGGAAAAGAGTGTAAGAATCCGCAAACAGCAAAGAAGATATGAACAATTTATGGATTTGGGGCAAAATCTTTTGCAGTGCGGTGTATTCTGCTTATACCGCGGTTCGCTGTGTACTCTATGATCATGATTTAGGTAGATGAACAACTACATACTGTGTCGTAGCCAATAAAGTCACGTTTCACGAGGATATCATGTGAGATGTTGAATTCATCTCATCAGTAGATACGCTCATAACCGCTCCTCGCACCACACATACTCATCCCTAAACAAATGGTACAGAGAATCGCTACCAAATATGCCAAAACTCCAATAAGCATAAGAAAAACTAAAATCAAAAGCACCAAGCTACCCATTGAACAGATGAGCCACGGAATACCATTGTACGCGTCGCAACCAGTGTAATTGTTCGCCAAATTGATGTACATATTGGGAACTTGTTGGCGTGGATCACTTAAGACCAAATGTAGGCGTCGTGTATAGTACAATTTGTGTCCGTAGATGGAATATGGATAGCGTTGTTGTCGTATTCGAAATTGTGTGGCGTGTGCGGTTGGATACGGTGATGAATTCGGTACGGAGTGGAGAAGAAAGTGAGGTTCGAAGTTCAACAACGAGTAGTTGGGCAGACGCTGATTTGTTGGGCGCAGATTGGTGACAACATAGAGATCCCATCACTCTTGGGGCAGGGTCAGACTAAGTACTCGATCTACCTGTCATTGACACGGAAGTAATCAGACTGTGATGCAGGATGAAGTGGCAACAACATCAACCAGGGAGCGACCGGTGAGGCTTTCGTAGTGTGCGTATAGATTGAGGGTGACTTGATTTATCAATGCTCATTGGCTGCAAGCAGACAAGGCTGAGAAAGGTAGATCCGGTCACGTCTTCAAATTTGCCCAGCTGAAGCTTATACTCCAGTATAGACCATCATGCTCACTCTTCGTGGAGAATTCACTACCGCCTTTAAGGCATGGATGTGGTGTTTCATCGTTTGGACCAATGAGTGCAACGAGTGGATTTCAAGGTGAGAACGGCGTGCATTCTCATGTAACACATCAAGTTTTCTCACCATGAGAAAGAAACATAAACTAAAAAAGAATAGAAACCGCGGTCATAAAAACTTCTATAGAATTTCTTATGCCCGACGCATGATAGCACCATCGCCGAAAGAGGTAATCAAGAAGCGGGCGTTCATCTGTAGGCCCCCAATACCACCGCCAAGCGACCGCCTAACCGTCTCCCTTCTCGCACGGTATCTCACTCCACCACACCAACTTCCTCAACTTTTCCATGCCTTGCAAAAATCAAAAAGAACCTCTCTAAATGTCATATCCAGCTGGGCCACCACCACTACCAACACCAGCTCCCCCGTCCCCTCAAACCCAACAACTCCGTGCAACCCTAAAATTACACATAGAAGCAGGCGCCTTTGAATCCTTCCTCACGGCCTTAGAGACTCCCCACAAGCTCCAAAAGTCAGAGATCCAACAACGCGTTAAAGGCGCAGCTAACCGCGCTATTCTCATCGCTATAGAGAAAGATGATTGTGCTCGTGTCCGCGATATCGTTTCTCAATGGAAGGAAAGCGCAGTTGAACCGGAGGATTCTGATACAAAAATCGACGAAGAAGCGCTAGTAGTAGCAGTTCAGCGGCGGCATGGTGAAATCGCTGCGCTGCTTGTGGAAAGTGGTGCTATGGTGGGTAAAGATGTTCTCCGAGCAATGCTAGATGGGTTCGCGGATGCGGATGCGGACTACAAAGAGATGGAAGAGTTGCTTGAGAGATTGGTCAAGGCAGGCTGGGATGTTAATGCCCAAGTAAAGTGTCCTATGAATACTTATGCGCTTCAGTAAGAGATGATTTTTTTTGTACAATCTCGGACCCCCTGCTATAACTCCACCCAATGACCTGGACTTACATTGTTCATTGGTTGCGAATAGGCTCGCGGTCCGAGCAGCTTCATCGGCAGGCAACACGCGCTTTCTAGACTGGCTGCTTGAGCACGGCGCATCACCAGATATAAGCGTGGTTCACTGGACGGGGTTCTCCAAAGGCGCCGATACAGCTTTTGCATGGACGAAACGGCAGGCTTCACCTTGGACTACATTTATCAGAGAGTTGGCCCCGATTTCGTGTATTCGAAAATTGTTGAACCACGGCGCAAAGCCGGATAACAACGTTCTTCACGCTGCTATCCGATTACCCAGGGAGAATGATGACCGCATGCTGATTATACAGTTGATGCTGGCTCGTGGGGCAGATGTCAATGCGTTGGAAACGGATATTTTATGGGTTTCTAATGGTTCGAGAGTGACTATCACGCATGCGACGCCGTTGTACGAGGCTGTTATCCAGGACGACTTAGCTGTGATGAAGTTACTTGTGGAGCATGGAGCGAATGCTCGAGTGCGGAATAGTATAAGACAATGGAGCTCAGTGAAACCGGGGATGAATGCTCTAGACGCAATGAGGCGGTCTACGAATGAGGAGATGAGAGCTTTAGCGGACGAGCGATGGGGTAAGGAGACTCGAGCGCAGCAGAAGGAAAGGAAAGATCTTTTGGGAGCACTTGAACCGAGGAAAGCGTTTCCGGTCAAGTCTAAGCGCCGCCGTTTGTAATTGTTACATCGTATCTCGCGAAACGAATGAGCTTGAGTTCAGTGTGGGACCAATTGACAGACATAGAAATGGATATATACTCGCACTCCCACAACGTCCCCTAATAAAACACAAAAGCTCTGACCTCCACACTCCACCTCGGCACTCCACTCCCTCTACTTCCCAAATCAAACGAACAATGCGGGACAGCCCTCACCTGCCCATCCTCCGAATCATACGCCTGGAAAATCACAACCTCAGAGTCCAGCTGGTCGGGAACCCAATACCACTTATGCGCCGGGTTGTGATGGATCTGGAAGACTTCATTGGCGACGGTGGGGAAAACCTCGTCGACGGTGAAGAAGTCCTTTGACTGGTCGACGCTGGTGGGGTCGAGATAGGCCATGGGGAAGTCGCGGCAGGGACCGGGGAGGAGGGGCTTCCATATACTGAGAAGGAAAGGTCAGATGGATGGAGGGGAGAAGGGAAGGGGGGCTACGCACTTTATGACCTGGTATTTACGGTTCTTGATACTTTCCTTCTCATCGCCAAAGTACTGGTCCAGCCTCCCATCGAGCTCAGCCGTGGTATAATCTACCCCAAATCAGAACTCAACATCCAAAATAACAATTCAGTACAACAACAAAGAAGAAAGAAAGGGAGAGGGTATACTAACCGATATGCGCACTCAAACTCGGCTGATTCTCCCCCTCATTCTCCTCCCCGCGGTTCCTCTCCGGAAAACTCTGCGCCCTCTTCCTCAACATCCAATCGAAAACAGTGACCTCCTTGACCCCCAAGCTATCCTTCAACACGCGCTGCAGCTCCCTCAAATACACGCTCTCGATCCAGTCGTCGTCGTCGAACTTCTCCGGTGCCCAACTACCCGACATTTCGGTATCGAGGGACGCGATTTTCAGGCCATGGGTAGAGTATGTGATGGGTGAGGTGCGCAGGTTGCGGATCTTTTGGTTGGCGTGGGGAACGATGGTGAAGTTGTTCTGGGGAAAGGGGGGAGGGGCCGCGTAGTGCAGGATGTAGCCTTTCTCTGTAGGTGAGGTTGTTGGGGAGCGTTCGGCGTAGCGAATTGAGGCCAGGACGGTGTCGAGAGGGGGATCTTGAGGGGGTGCTTCGGGGGGAAGAGTCATGGTCGTGGTGGTAGTCATGTTGGACAAGTGAATGGGAGTGTACACTGGGAGGTTTGAGTTCAAAGAGAGGAGGGATGGAGGGGTGAAGAGTTGAAGTTGAGGCGGGTATCTTGGATTATGAGTTTATGGGGTTTAGTTGCATGGATTCATTGACTGGGAAGTGGGACGGTCGAGATCTTGCCCTAGTCTCCCCTCATTCATCGTCTCTCGGATAGTTTGTTTGTTTGGCGGTTAGCAAAAGAATCATGTGCTACAACTCGAGCAATCAATTCCCCGAATGGCGTGTTGATACTACAGCGTGAGTTTGAACTGACGAAATCACGAAACTCGTATCTGCACACCCAACCACCAACTCCAATGACGGAAAGCAGACTACATCTGATACGTACTCCTGAGCAAATTCGAGAGAGTTTCCAGCGCAGTACTAATCATGACAATTCATCTATCGTGAACGGAACTTCTGCATGTGTTTACACGTGCCTATATTCCCCCTCTTCTGGAGGTCGTATTAACATTAATTGAGGTGTATGGCGATACATCTCATTGGTGGTGTTGTTCTACACAAAACAGCTTGGCACGTCCGCTTCGCGTAACTCACCTGCATGTGAGCGCATTAGAGATGATATTCCAAGACTATTCTGTGACAACATTTGATGTGTTTGCGTGATTGACATAGGGGCTGGAGTGGAGCGCTTGCTGCGGGACAATGCGTCCGGCTTAATACATGTGATCTGTATTGAGGTTTGTAGAGAAAGCTGAGCATGAGTTAGCTTGATATCGTATAGCGAGTTGGTTTTGGGTTGGAAGCTTGCTCATGTGGCCTCCACTCCGTGTGGGGTTTTAGGGTAGCGAGACGATACAAAGGCCGTTATCATCGGGCTATTTGCTGCTTCTAGGCGTGGATGAGGTCAAGTGGGATGGGTGCGCAAGTTCGAGCGCAGAGCAATCCCTACCGCTTCAACATCCCAACTCGTATTGCTCGCGTCTCATCTCTAGACACATTGTCGGCAATTCAACGTCATTCTTCGTCTTTCGACATACGCTATTGCACCAACGGATCCGACCATCTTATCCTAAGCGAGCTCAGCCAGGAGGCCAAAGAAGAAACATATAAACCTGCCCACCAACCCTCCCTCCAAGCTCTTTTCTTCACAGCAAACCACAATCACTATTCTTTAACATCAACAAACTTCTTTTCAAAGAACCAACTCTTTTCGAAATGGCACCTACCACTCAACAGCCCTGGAAGTCCGTCTGGCCCCCAGCTCAGGTCGTCGACCAGGCCAACAACATCCCCCAGGGCCTCTCCTCCGAGGAAGTCACCAACCAGCGCGCCTTCGGCTCCCACGCCTCCAACACCAAGGGCCGCATCGTTCGCTTGAACTGTAAGTTCATCTTTTCCCACAAGCGTGGAAAATGACACCAGACAGAGCTGACTATGAGTGAAGAAGCGTGTGATTGAATGGGTCCACTGGGGAGATTGATGGATAGATGTATGTAGTTAGTTATAGAAGGCAAGGGTATTACCATTCTCAGGAGTCGTGTAATCGACAAGACCTATCCTTCTTGATACAGACGAATATACCACCTGTCAATCTGAATACTCCTTCAAGTTGTTCGTGATTGCGTTGTCCCTTTTGCTCTCCGCTGCTAGGCAGTGCCTTGATATCGCGTCGCCCGGCCAATGCTTCGCGATATCTGCTCAAGGCCTCACCCAAGATAGACACGTTTCACTCCAAACCAGCGATACGTCTAGTTTCCTTTGGCCAAAGGCTATCTCTTTAGTGGATCACATTGTGGAGCGATCACATGTTAAAGATTGTGGCCATGGGTACGCCGAGTGAAATATTATAATTTTAATATAGATGAATGAGCCTATCTGACTACTATCAGCGCAAAAGGCCACCATATCTGCACACATACTATTGTGAGAGGTGTATGCAACAGTCTCTCGACCTAGACAGTCGAACACGCCCTGTGTATATCCCCTCGAGCTTTCACACCTAATGGCGATTTTACAGTTCTCCTGTAATATTCCTAGCCAAAAGGTCCTCGCCCCCCACCACATGCGCTCGCCTCCCCACAAGCTTTGGGTCTATGGGCGAGGTTCTTCATCCACCCTTGCGAGGAGCGATGGGTGTAGCTACGGGTGCTCGAACACTGCCGACCTTCTTACGCTGGAAGAATTGCTCCATGATTTTGCGGACTTGGGCAACACTCTGCTCTTTGCCGGCAGGCGCTTTTATGCTGTCTACGGTGTAAGGAGGCTGCACGAGAACAGCATCGTTTACGACGATCTGAGCATCCGCCCAGCGAGTAGGAAGACTGAAGCCGGTGTTAGCACGTGTATTTTTTCCATTATGCAAAATGGGAATCCAATACTCACGTCCTGGCAATGGCATCGAAAATCTCCTGAGCCTCCTTAGTGACTCCTTTGCCCTTCTGCGCATCCTTCTTTTTCATCTCACGAATAGTTTGCTCTTCTCTCGCTCTGATCGCGTCCACGTCAACCTTGGCGATGCTGGGAAGAGCACCGTCAAAGCCAGGTCCGGCTTCCGCAACCCGCTCTCCCGCTCCGATGAGCTCGAAGCTTAGAATGTGGGCAAAAGGGATGATGTGGTAATTACCAGGCTGGCTGGAGAGAGACGCAGAGGGGTTCGGCGGGGCGGGTGCAGTATTGATGGCAATAGCATTTGTGATACTGCATGTGGTGAAAAGGGTGCCCTCGAGGACATTGTTATGGGGAGCGCATGTGATTTTGATGCTACACAGTTGTCAGTGGAGCGTGACAGTCGCCTGGGAATTGAATGATGTCGTACCGGGCTCCAACGGCTTTGTACAAGTTGGAATCAGCATCGGTCACGTCCTTGGAAGGACCCAGCTTAGGCGTCGCAATCTTGCCGGCGATGCTCTGACGCTTGTTGTCTGCCATGATTGCAGTCTTGTCTTGTTGCACTTTTTAGTTGGTGTCGTGCTCCGAACGCAGCAGCTGCAGGTAAAGGCAGGCGGATTATTAGGCGTTCGTTGGCTGTAGGTAGCTCCTGTTAAGATCGCGAGGCTCGCCAAAGACTCCCAAAGCCCAACGCCGGAGTCATGCAAGCAAGCAGGCAAGCAAAGAAAGCGCAATGCAAAGGAGCGACAAGAAGAAGAGGGAGCACTAAGCGCGCATAGGACCCCAAGGGCGGAAGAGGAGGAGGGAGGGGTGGGGAGATGGTCGAGGTGCGGAAGCAAGCGGTGGTGCGGTGCTGCTGTCGGTGGGTCGTCGGTCGCTTCGGTCCCTGGCCGCCGCCGTGGGCACTGGGAGTGATGGGTGGATGGTACGGTAGGGGCGCTTACTGCCGTGCTGGTGACAACGGCGTATCTACGTATACACCTTTGTAGCCTGAGAGGAACAATGATGAGTAGCCAAACTTGTCTCGGATCAACGCGTCAGTGGTTAATTATTCCGCTAGAATAGCGTACAGGCTGTCCAACTTCCAAAATCCTCTTGTTACAATGGGAAAACGTCAACTTCAGGGTCTGGAGGCTAACCGGTATCGGCTTAGCTCTGTCGTCCATCTCCTCACCTACATACCTAGGTATGTACATGTACATATCATACATGTATGTATACCTAGGTAGGTATCATTCATGGTGCTCGTGTTGAGGGCATGCGTTTCAAACACGCTCAGATCAATTCCATATTATGTACCTACATGCTCATCATTTTCCTCTATGAGATTGTGCAAATGACTTTGCCTTTGGTCTTATTCTCCTCCAGCAACCTATGCGCATCCTGGATCTTTTCCCACGGCAACACCTTTTCCACATACACCTTGAAACTCCCATCCCGCAACTTGGGGAGCGCGTGCTCGACCAATTGATCCCTCAGCTTTCCTTGATAATCTTCGTCGCGACTCCGTAGCGTGCTGCCCACATACGTGATCCTCTTCATCAAGATAGGTGCGATGTTTACATCCCCTTCAACCACTGCTCCACCCATAAGCCCGAGCGCGACAATGACACCATCTCTCGCAGCAGCCGTCAAGTTGTCCCGGAAGTACCCGGCGCCGATGAAATCGATAATGATATCAACGCCCTTGCCATCGGTAGCCTTGAGCACTTCGTCCGCCCAGTTTGACCTAGTCGTATTGAATGCAGCAGTGGCACCCAACTTGTCCACCGCAAAGGCACACTTCTCATCCTGTCTCGCCGTAGCATACACTCCGCTCGCGCCCTCCGCCTTTGCCAATTGAATTCCCGCAATGGACACCGAAGACGCTGCCGCATGCCACAGTACGCTCTTCCCTTTCGTGAAGTTGGCCACGAGGTACAGCGCCTGCGTCGCGGTAATCCACGTTTCGGGAATCCCCGCGCACTCCTCCCAGCTCAGCTCTTTGGGTTTTCGGACCAGCATGTGGACGCTAACGGCAATGTATTCAGCGTACGCACCGCCGTACGCAAGGCCAAAGACTTCGTCCCCAACTGCGAAATTTTCGGCGCCTCCGCCCGAGGACCCGAGAGACTCGATGGTGCCGCTGAACTCGACGCCCAGTGTTGCAGGGGCCTGTGGCGGAACGGGGTATTGTCCTTCGCGCTGGAGCAAGTCCATGCGATTTAAGCCAAAGGCCTTGACGCGGACGAGTGCTTGGGAGTCAGTCGGTGTCGGGCGGGGTATGTCTTTGATGTGCAGGGCCGAGATGGGGCCCTTGCCATTCTCAATGTCTTTCGGGCTGTCAGTACTCGTGGATCTTGGGATTATGAATCTTGAGCTTTGAACGAACCTACGGCGCGCATTGTTCCACTCATTTTGCTGTGTACGAATCGCGGTGTGGATGATGGATGGCGGAGAGCTATAGATGTATCAAACAGCTGAAGAAGGAAAGGATGTTTCTGGCAAATAAATCTGCAACCAAGCTACACGACCGGACTTCTTAGAGCTTCTCTTTCCGTTTGTCAGGCGCGAACAAGCGTATCAAGATGACGTTCCGCTTTGAATATTTAAATTACTGATGCTAACCGCGAAATTCCGAGCCCTTTCCGAGGCCGATTTGTAATGACGTAGTGGGGCTACAGTACTTTCGTCGCGAGAAAGTGGAAACAACAGCACTTGAGCACGACAGCAATATGTCAAAGCACATGATTGTGGGAATTATTGTTCATTTGCACAAAAGCTAATGATGTGCAGAAGAGCAATATACAATGCTTCAAGGGCAGTGGACTAGTACGAATCAGCATATCAGCGATTTAATTCATATGTACCTAGGTAAGTACCCTCCAACCGTAATGTAAACCGAAATCTATTAGCTTTTGCCTAATATCTAGGGGGAAAAGAAAGAAACAAGAAAAAACTACCACCAGTTTCCCATTCATGCACCATCCCTATCGGGGACGGTGAGAAAATCCTTGATTATTTGTCCCGAGCCCGCCTGTCTCTTCACTTTTGAGCCATCACCAGAAGGGACAAAGAAATCATCGAGGGCTTCCCCAAAAGCAGTCTGTCTCTTCTCCCTTGCACCATCTCGGCCAGGAACAGTCAAGAAGTCTTTGATGATTTGCCCAGTACCCGCCTGACGCTTAACACCTCCTTGAGCTGGACTGCTACCTGCCCCATTGCGATTCTCGTCGCCAGGGGCGCCGCCTGCCGGGGGAGGGGGAGGGGGAACAGTAGCGGGAGGTGCTTGTTGCTGAGGAGGATTGATAAGATCGATGAGTCGACCCGGAATTTCCACTTGCCTCCTCCCTTTGCTGCTAGTTCCAACACCACTTGAAGGAGCGGGAACAACGGTAATAACGGGAACAGACGGAGGGGGGTTCAAGAGATCAATGACTTGGCCTTGGGTATCTGCTTGACGCTTCGCTTTGGTGTTACTTCGTTGAGTGACAGCATTGGTTGCTGCAGCTGATGCGGGCAGCGTTATGACAGTAGTAGCAGATCCTCCTTGTGGAGGCGCGGGAGCTGGCTGGGGTGGGTTCAAGAAACCACCGATTCGCTCTCCAATATTTTGTCGCTTGATCTTTCTTCCTGGAATGCTTTCTGAATTGTCATCCCGTTTGATAACAGGCGTCACTGTCACTGTTGGGGGCGCGGGATCTGCTTGAGGTGGATTCAAGAACTCAATCACCCGACCTGGTATATCTCCTTGCGGGGTGGGAGCTGCGATGACGGAGGGCCCCAGAATAACGAAGGCTGCAGCAGCAGTGATGGAAAGCTTCATAGTTGCTAAAGTCGGTACTGACGAGGATCGATCGAAGGAGAATATATTGGTACGACTTCTATACTGGATAGGTTTGAAAAGTGAGAGGAAAGCCGGACCTGCCGAAGAAGAATTGAAAAGTAAACCAAAGAAGAAGTAGAGTGGTACTGGAGCTGTTGTGGTCCACTCATGTTGATATTGTAACTGTTGACTTTATATCATGTCAAATGTGGAGCACCGCGGCAGACGGACGATCGGTCGGTCATAAAAGGTATAGTGTGCTCTATAGCTCTATAGCATTACCGCCATGCAATTGCCCTGATTCTGAAACTCCGTGTTGCATAATGTACCCAGGTAGGTAGGTGTCGATGGTAAGCGATTTGGTGAGTAAGGCCGAAACAAGCGCGGGTGTCCCAGTTCGTTGCGACAACACCGATGTGGGAATCAAACCAACCAAGCAATGATCTTGAAGCGTTCCTGCTCCATGAAGTAAACTGATGATTCACAAGCCTCCAGGGTCCTACGGTACGCAAACTGTCACAAGGAACTGGTCGCTGCTCCAAGTGTCAACTGTTACATCGGCCCTACTTTTGACACGCGCCCGCACCCTGAGTTTGAAGGTAGTCTGAACATGCAGCTACATGGCATGTTGTGAGTGGGCGCATTACTGAAAGATTTCTGTATCAAAGGTTCAATGGCTTGGCATATTAAAAGTCTGTTCTAGAAGAGTATGAACGCAGGTCTAAGGCGGAATCCGCGGGATTTTGACTGCGGACCAACGATGCTGAGACTGGCGGCAGCAAATCTCTAGGTGTCATAGAATTAAACTATTCGTAGCTAACACTATGCACGCTGTACGTATCCCTCGCCAGTCATACGATCGTCATGTCTTCCATCCACCATATCCGAGCATCGAAGCAGATGGCTAGTTCTGAGCCACGAAACCCCGATTTTGATTCATACAAAGGTGCGGATTGCATGCCTCTCTAGCTAAGAGCGGATCTAGGTGTGAGGAAACGTGCGTGGGTCTTTGACGGCCTGTGGGCCATTCTCTTCACTGTACAAACAGACTTTCGTCTTCTTTCAAATCATACTGGTCGATCAGCTGGGCCAGCTGGCCGCATTCCTTCGAATAGTCGGGCAAGCTTGCACGTTGTACTTGATAACGAGGTCTGCCATGGTGTCAATGTGATGTTTACCGATTGAAAATGAAATTTATTGACTCACTTGGGTTCGTTCTGGTATGTCTCCATCTTGGCCCTCACCGTGAAGTTGACGGTCTGGCCGCATGCCTCGCGAAGCCTCAGATCAGCGTTCTTGGTTCCATTTTCTTCATCATCTTGTCTGAGTCTCTGAATAGAATTCGCATCGGTGCCAACGATTAGCTGAGCAGTGTCGTCGAAGCAGCTTAGATACATCGAGCCGGTATGATCTGCCACATTGATGCTCAATATGTAGCGATACTTTGGTTCTGGGTGTGTCATTTGACACTTTTCGCATCGCCATTCATTCGGATTTTCTTCCAACACCTTCTTGTTGCAGCCTTCACTCGCGCATGCTGGGTAGGCGAAGCTGACTGATTTGACGTAAACAATAGATGCCTGCAAATTGATGTAGACGGGAGCGTCTAGTAGGTATTGTTCGCCTGCGATGATATCTGCAATTAACTTGGTCTCGTTTTTGGAGCTACCGCCGGCGCCGCCTGATAGATTCTGATGGGTTGCGAAGGTCACGCTCTGGTCCAATGCGTTGAACCAGCCTCTCAACTTGTGCGCCTCGTCGATATCGGGATCAACCATCATAGTGCCAGAACTGAGAAGACTCAGGCTCCGGCCGCCGAAATCCGAAACCCTGACACCCTTGAACGCCAGGATTGAGTCCACCGGGACGTCAAAGGATTGAGCGGTTTGGCCCCAGATTGTGAGCCTCACCGATGTCTGGCTATCATCGGCAAGAACCAATTCCCGCTTCTGAAAATCCTTGTTCGCCTTGGTAGTGATCGTGTTCACCTCACCAACCTCCTTAAGCACACCAATGGTGTCAATAGTGGCATCCTTTTCCACGGAGTCCAAACCGCCAATTTTGGTGAAGTTATATCGTATCTGAGGCTTGTTTTCTTGATCCGAGGCTTTCTCTACCAGAGTGCTCTGATCGAACTGCAGCTCATACTCGTGTGACAATCCAGAAAATTGCTTCTTCGCCATCTGTACGCGACATGGTGCGGTAACATAGTAGAGAGAACCCACTTCGAAAAGAGGGTAGAGCTTCTCAGCGACATCGTTGAAGGCAGTGGCCCTGATCTCGTCTGATTCATCCAGCAGATTCACACTGAAGAGCTTTCCCTCGCCTCTCGCATTATGCCACGTCTTCATATCACTTTTGTACGTACAACGGGCTCGAATAGTCCATTTTTGTATGAACATGCTGATCGACTCGATTGGGTAGAGGTGACTATGAGTGGGAACGCCGGGATTGTTCTGGATAACGGGCAGCGATCGTTGTTGTGGTTGTTGTTGCTGTTGTTGCTGGGGTGATTGTGCGGGCTTCCCATAAAATTTGGACCCAGATATCGCGGCGGGCTGAGCTTCAGACTTGACGACGTCCAAAGCTTCCGGCTGACCAATCTTTTCGTGTTCGCCGTGTTCCTCGAGAACCTCAAGATCCATGATGATAAGAATTTTCTTATCCTTGACCTGCTGTGGATTGTATTGGAGAACGCGAACGATGACACCTTTCTTGAGCTTTCCTGACAGAACGATATCGTTGGCGGCTAGAGGAGCATTAGCTGCAAGTTGCTGGAATGTCTACCTGGTTGCGCTCACATGTGGCAATCACAGTCTGGATGAAATTGCGTATGTCACTCAAGACGACACGGAAACGCTGCACCGGCTCCCCGGCTTTAGGGTCCATGGGTTTGATCTGAACGCATTGCAGGATTGGGTGTTCGACGAAGCAACCTTGGGGCTCGAAAATGCTCCTGCCGAACAGTTAGCCTCCAGTACTGGGAGAAGGCGAGCCTTGCATACCGAATAGCACCCTGTGTAATGACAGATTCCGCCATCTTGAATTATACTCAAGTGCGTAGCAGGAGGGAAGGGTGTTGTGTTGTGAGGACGTGGAGTGGGGTGGCGGCGAATGGATGAGGCAGACAAGTTTGAATGAGTGCTGGATAGGCGACGCGTCTCGCGAAGAGCAGTCGCGTCAGGGCGCACGTGACCGGTCTGCCCCGCATTGATTGAATCTAAAGTGGCAGGGACAGGACCCGCCACGCTACGTAATTGGTTCTCTCTAGGGCTCACCTGCGCCGTAGGCTTGCAGTAACAAATACACCAAGTTACACTACACATTTCACTCCGGGTAAACACCACGAGAACATCACCATGGCCGACCACGACGTCGCTACCAAAGCTCCGGAAAGCGATGCGCAGGAGGGTGTGCCCGCAGCAGAGGGTCAGAGTCTCTTCACAGGAGACACTGTCGCCCAAACAGGCCCCACCATGGGCGTAAGCTGTCCACACCCGTACGGGAACAAGTCGCCCTTTGCTGACCCGTACCACTGTAGGAGCATTGCACTACAGACAGGCCGACGCCCAAAGGCGAGGTTCCTTCTGGCGAGCTGAGCAAGCTTGGTGATGTGTATGTATTCTCCACTCACCCCCGCAGCATGTGCACTTGGGCTGGTAGCGTTGCTGCGGCTCTCGTAGGCCTTGATAGCTCCGACGATGCGCTTATACTCCTTCTTGGCTGACTCTTGCTCCTCTGCTGCAGCGATGTGTACATAGCGAAGCCCTCCGATTATCCCCATTCCCCGTCCAAACTACTCCTTCTCTTGACGGGCGGAACCGGCATCAAATCAAACAACAATCAGCTACAAGCAGACAAATTTGCCGCTGAAGGCTATCTTGTCATTATGCCCGACCAATTTAATAATGACCCCGCACCAAATACCGTCAACATGGCCGAACTGCCCCAGGACGCCTCGTGGCTCGAGTCCATCAAGCTTAAAACAGCCGAAGGGGTCAAGGCTTTCATGATTGATATGTGGCTCGCTAGGCATACTCCCGAGAAGGTCATACCTCTGCTACACAAAGTCATCGAGGGAGCCAAAGAAGAATTTGCCGATGCTGTAGCTAACGGAGGGGGCATATATGGTGTCGGTTACTGTTTTGGTGCCAAATACATACTCCTGTTGGCAGGCGAGCACCCTGATACCGTTGCCTGGGAACAGGAAGAGCGAAATGATGAGGAGCAAGGCACCGCTAAGAAGGCGCCTGTTCTGAAGGCAGGCGCTATTGCGCATGGCACCATGGTTACCAAAGAGGATATGGAGGCTGTCAAGGCCCCTGTGTATATTGCTGCCGTGAAGGATGATCCTATGTTTCCCGAGGACGTCCTTACCCCTGGACGTCGTGCGCTAGAAGCAAACAAAGTGGAGCACGAAGTCCAAGTATATCCCGGAGTTCCGCACGGTTTTGCTGTCTATGGCGATTATGACGATCCCAAGATCAAGCAGTCGCAACAAGAGGCATTCGGGCAGATGCTTGGCTGGATCCAATCACATTGAAGTGTCTCTATCCCGAATATTCCCTGGTATGTACGTTGGCGTTAAGGTTCCAATAGGATTATGATAACGCATTGATTCTCCCTGTTTAATCAAGGTACGGCAATCGGTTGCTGTAAAATGCATCTCATCCATTGTATCTCATACGCCGTCTCTAATATGACACAATCTGCTTGCCTGATATACCTTGAACGGGGTGGAAATGGTGAGGGCAGGCGAGCATTCACAGTGACCACGAAGGAATTGTACTCTAGTTCGCCATTTGCTGAATTGCATATTTGCTCCATGGTCTTAACAACCTCTATAGCCGGGTGTTTTAAGCAACGTCGGCAGTTGCGAAATGATGGCTTCACTAACGTGCAATAGATGGCTTTTATTGACTACACCCCTGTTCGCATGCAACGTCCAATAATGCGAAATCGTCTTTATGAATGTCGGGCCACGATTTATACTTCTTGAAACGGCCCATCAGAGCCTGTACATACATACTTTGTCGCCTCAGCTGTGATCACACTGCAAAGTCTCTTCACGAGTCAATAGAAAACCTCCTTCCAAAAACAAGATTCAAATCCGATCAACCATGCAGTTCTTCTCAGCATTCCTCTTTCTCACGTTCCTATTCCCTTTTGTCTCCTCTCTCAAAATTGGATCATCCCTCCAATGGATCGAACACACCCCGCAACCCTACGCCATCGCCAACTTCTACAAAGGACAGTCCGCCGCTTCTCTAGTCTCAGGCGGAGTCGCAAACCTGGGAAGTGACACGTCCTTCGACCTCGCCGCCAATGCGGAAACCCAAGGACTAAAGCAATATGCCAACCACAAAAACATCCGTCTCATCTACGTTATCTGCGAAGTTCCCTATCGCCTGGTCGCGCGCAAAAGTGCGAGGATCGCAACCCTCGCGGATCTCAAGGGTAAGAAAATCGGGACCATTTTGGGCACCAGCGCGAATGTCTTTGTCCAGCGGATGCTGGCGTCTGCCGGTGTGCAGGAAGGTCAGTATACCGTTGTCAGCGGAGACGTTTGCATGAAAACTCCCTGCGGAGACAAGACACTACCCAATATGCTCAAGAGCGGTCAGATCGATGCTTTTGGCATTTGGGAGCCTGCTGTTGAACTTGGTGCCCGCGCCCTGGGCGAGCAAAACGCGATCCTATTCCAAAACATCAGTACCTACCGCGAAGTCTACAGTCTCTACAGCACTACGGAGAAGCTCAATGATCCTCAGAAACGCAAAGATGTTGTTGCTTTCGTGCGTGCGCTGAATCAGACCAGGGACGTGTATACGCGTACCCCGGGAGAGAACGGCGTATACGAGTTCGTGGCGAAGAAAGTTGGCATGGATGTCGACATTGTGAAGGCAGTTTGGGGCGATCATCTTTGGAATGGTGTTTGGGGGGACGATTTGATTGATTTGCTGGTCAGTGAGGATCAGTATCTAGCGAAGGCGGATAAGAGGCCTGGGGCTTCGAGAGCGGAGCTAGAAAGGTTTCTAGATAAGAGCGTTATTGAGGAATTGTAATAGGTACAATTTTCCAAGGAGCATAAGAAGCCGGGAGGTATGCATTTGTGTGGAGTTGGTTCTTGTTGACGCGTCAGTTTCGAGAGCTATGTTTCTAACTATCAACAGCCGCGTTCTTTTGGAATACCGAAACGGTTCGTACTCCAAGAAAACAGTATCCAAATCTCGCTATACAAGTCCAATACATGTCCGCTCAAACCATCACATCGTACTTCACTTCAAATGTGATATCTGATGACTCAGTCATATATCAAGTGGCGTTTGAAACTCGAAACGTGGAGTTCGGAACTACATGGGAGATGGTGTGGCAATTGCCCTACCCAAACAATTGTCAAAAGTTTCTTTGCTAGTGCTCCACCAGTCCGCAACAGCAGCTGATACGAATGACAAAGCTTGCTTTAGTTGACTGGATGCTGTGGTAAGTGTTGTTCTTATTTTTCCTCTTATGATTGAGCCTTCCGGGGACTATCAGAAAGTCATTTCTCTTTCTTGAAGTCCCATTTTCTCATATTTGTTGTTCAGCAGTGAACAGAACTAGGATATATCGTTGCTTAGTTTTTTTTCGCATCCTTTGTTTGCCCATATTGGGCATAACTCGGAAGCCATGGCAACAACAACTATGACGAGTACGCGTTTGCGCTTGAACTCCTCAACACAATTGCGGTCGCGCACAATGAAGGCGGCTGTAAATCTACAGCTTGCCGAGTATGATCGTGCTGGAACTTTAAAAGCACAAGACATCGAGTCGGTATCTAGTGTCCCCTCAAAGAATACTTCCAACATATCATCCCGCATCGATATTCTGGTTCGTCTATGACCCTTCCATTCACCCCAATCCCCGCCCATACCCACTCATTGAAAAAGAGCTATACTGAAATGGAAATCTAGCATCCAACCCCCCGCAAACAAGTATGGCGCAAAATCCTCGACGTCTTCCTTCCAGACGGCTACCCTAACAGTGTAAGCTCCGACTACACATCCTACCAAATCTACGACTCCTTCCAAGCCTTTGCAGGCACCATCGCAGGCATGATCTCCTCGCGCGCAGTCTGGGAAGGTCTTGGTGTCGGCGACAGCAGTGCTTCACCCACAGGCGCGATGCTCATCCAAGTGATCCGCGAATGCATGGGCAAACTCGGCACTATCTACTTCGCGCACCTAATTGGAACGAGTATCGAAGCCGAGTGCAAGGCGTATAGATTGGGCGCGGACGTGCTTACCGATGCAGCCATGGTGTTGGATTGCATGAGTCCTTACTTCCCTGGTGAAGTGCGGTTTCTGGTGCTATGCTGTAGCAGTGTGATGTTCAGTGCCGCGGGGGTTGCAGGGGGCGCGAGCAAGAGTTCTCTGAGCGGACACTTCGCGAAGTGGAATAATCTGGGGGAGCTGAATGCTAAGGATGGGAGTCAGGAGACTGTCATTAGTCTTATGGGGATGCTTACGGGAACGCTGGTAGTAAGTTGGTTGACTACGCCAGCACTTACTTGGATCGCACTTGTTGGTCTGCTAGGCCTACACATGTTCCCCAACTGGATGGGTGTAAGGGCTGTGAAGATGACGAGCCTCAATAGGCAGAGAGCTTCAATTGTGTTCACTAAGCTGGCAGAGGAGAACAGAGTACTAGGACCTGCTGAGGTATCGGAGTGCGAGCGCATTTTCGAAAAGAAAGGCGGTGCTGTATTGAGGTGGAACGAAGGCTCTGTACTTGGACACTGCAGATTCGGAGTTTCGATCAAAACCCTACTGACAACACTCGCGGACGAGTCGACCAACGAAAAGAAGGGTTCCATGAATCTCAATGATGTCAGCCTTTCCGAACTTATGCATCTGTTCCAAGATGAACGATATCTACTTTGGTGCCGAAGGACCTCTTCGCCAGAGATTGAGGTTCTGGTGGTGCTCAAAAACGGCGTCGACGCTCGTGAGCAACTACGAGCCTGGTACCATGCTTTGCTTCTCGCTCAGCGACTGCAATCCTCCTCTTATCAAGAAGTCACGAAGAAAAAGGATCTGCTTGAACATGTGGTCGCGACTTTGGGAAAGAATCGGATGACCTTTGAGGAGTACGCAAAGAGACTGGCCACGGCGGGATGGGACTTGGATGTTGGGGTTTTGGAGACAAGTTCCGGATTACGGGTCAAGACACGAATAGACTCTTGATAAACTCTGATATTGTGCTACTGAGGTAATGCTTCCAAAAATGATGTATATTCTAGTGTTATATTACCAAATACGTAATGATAATGAGCTTGCTTCCAGATTATCTACTCGTTGACTGTGCTACAAAAGTGCATTGCCCTTTTCTTTAACCATCTCCTAAAGAAGAAAAGAAGCTGGCCCGTGATCACTGAGTAGCTTAGAATTGGCGAGAGTCGGATGAATGGAGATGTAATTATACATTTTGACACGTATTTGAAGCAATAATCTCATCATTCTTGCGAGAAGGTCTGTTTGGATTCGGGTTGTCTGTATCGCTATTGTCTGGCATTCAAGACTGTCTATTTTCAGGTATCGTAATAGCTTTAAGGTCAATATGAGAAAAAGTAAGGTATAGACATCGAAAACGAGCCTATACCCGTGTCCGATCAGAACGCCTTGCTTCTTATCCTTTCCACATTTCTCCAACTTCGCATTCGCAATCCGATACTGGAATAAACCTAAAGTCATGAATATTTCCAAAACAGTCCCCACGAAAGCTACAAAACGAGCCGAACAAACCCCGTTCATCAACTCCGATCGTCCGTCTTCCGCAGTGATCCGAATGCACATGGGGAAATAGGCGGGGCGAAGATACGGATCGATCAACCGAAACTCAATAACAACGACAACCTAGAAACATTCGAGTGTTCCATTTGCCATCCAGGCTAGACTAGAAGAGTATGCGAAGCGAATCCGATAGCGAAGTGCGCGTGAAATTGGCGAGAGTATGCTTCGAGACGCGCTAAGGCAGGTACCAAACCGACCAGAGGGTGTTGTGAAAAGGATAGCGGATACGTCGTACTGAGTACGACGGTTGTAATTCTCATTTGATGACCGACGCTAGAAATAACGACTCGACGTAGTCAGACGAATACGGTAGCAGTGCGAAGGCGGTTTGTCGGTAGATCGATGTAGCAATATAGCTAGCCACCCTAGTCGAGTGATTACCTACGAATACGGTGCATACGGTGACCCTGATCGATTGTCATGGAGTTATAGCTTTACATTTCACGAAACTACAGCAAAAGATCAATATGTATATGTTCCAAAGGGAAGAATTGTCCCTTGCTTTTCCGCATAGGACCTCACGGTATACTGTTGGATAGCATGCACCTGCACTGATGAATCACATTCTCTCAACATACCTGATAGCATACAAGAGTCTTGAAATTTCTCAATATGCATGCGGGAAGAACTGTCAAAACTCCAGGACAATCAATGTTTCACTAACTTCATGGGAATTGACCCCTTACTTCTTGTCAACCAACATCATCAAGCGGCACTTCCCGGAAGTACGACTAAGCAGTCCTCTGGTATCATTTGTTTATGATCTTAAAGATTAATGCATCCTATAAAGGTATGGCCCTGTCGAATGCTTTCTGTTCATTCAGCTTTCGTCAATCTTATCTTCCAATACCTTAATCATGACGCGCCATCCTCAGATATCGTTCCCTCCTTCTCCGCCTAAGAGCCCAAAGCTCAATGGTATTCGTGTTCAAATACCTGAGAATCCAGTTCTTATGGAAGCCTTTCAATGGCACGCACCCGGGGATCACAAGCATTGGAAACGATTACAAGCTGCGCTTCCCTCATTGTCGGCGATTGGCATCACAGATCTTTGGCTACCACCAGGCTCGAAGGGAAAAGACGCTGAGAGCAATGGTTACGACATCTACGATGCATGGGATCTGGGAGAATTTGACCAGAAAGGCACCATACCGACTAAATGGGGGACCAAGCAAGATCTTGTTAACCTTGCAGTGAACGGCAGGCATTACGGCATTGGCTTGATGTGGGATGCGATTCTCAACCACCGAGCTTTCGCAGATGAGACTGAGACAGTGAAAGTCGTGGAAGTGGATCCAAGAAGTATGAACATATCCTTCCTCTCTGCTATACTATGCCTAATTGATTCTCAATTGCCAGATCGGAACGAAGACATCACCGAACCCTTCGATATTACAGCTTGGTCAAAGTTCAACTTCGAAGGTCGAAACGGAAAATACAGCACTTTCAAATTCAATAAGAAGCATTTCAACGGTACGGACTGGGATCAGCGGACGGAAAAGCGCAGCATCTACCGATTCGTCGAAGACGGCAAAGATTGGGCCCAGGATGTGGGCAAGCTACAAGGCAACGCTGATTATCTCATGCTCGAGAACATTGACTACACTAGCGCCGAGGTCGTAGTAGACACTACACGGTGGGGGGAGTGGATCGTGGAAGAGCTAGGCTTGAGCGGGTTCCGCTTGGATGCCGTGCAGCACTATAGCTGGAACTTCGCCGATAAATGGACACAACACCTGAAGAGAACAAGCCCAAATGAATTGCTGTGTGTAGGCGAGTTCTGGAATGGGGATGTGAACGTTTTGCTGGAATGGATGGAGAATGTCTCGCCCGACTTCAAATTATATGACGTCCCTCTCATGTATAGACTGGCGCGACTATCGAGCTTCGAGGATACCGATCTTAGAGCAGTGTTTCACGATACGCTTGTGCAGCGAAAGCCCAACTCTGCAGTCGTAAGTTACCCCACTCAACGCCACGCTGTGAATCTAACAAGGGACTAACCTATCGTGATAGACTTTCCTCCGTAACCATGATACACAAAAGGGTCAAGACATGGACACGCCCATCGCGTACAGTTTCACACCACATACGCACTCACTCCTCCTCTTGCGACAAGATGGACACCCTTGCATCTTTTTTGGCGACCTCTATGGTATATCCTCAGGACCCTGCCTCGAACCACCAACCTGCTACGGTAGACTCCCTGGTTTGATCTTAGCTCGGAAGCTCTACGCCTATGGTCCGCAAACCGACTATTTTGAACGTTCCGATCGCATAGGCTGGACGCGAGCAGGCACCGAAACCCATCCCGATGGTATGGCGGTCATTCTTTCATGGATACAGGGTGAAGATTGGGAAAGCACCATGCCGAGTATAAAAATGAGTGTTGGAATCGATCACGCCGGAGAGCTGTGGACAGACGTTTTGGGGTTCGAGTGGAGTGCCGTTGTTATTGATGACGAGGGTTGGGGCCGGTTCCCGTGCCAGAAGAACGGAATGGCGTGTTTTGTCAACGAAGTGGCAAAGGGGAGGGAACAATTTCCGGTGCGGTTCAATACAGATTTCCAAAGTCTGGTATTGTAGGAGATGTGTAATGATATGGTCAGGGATGGTATAATATTTGGCGTTTGTGATATTGGATACCTAGGTAAAATGAAACTGCATGCTGCAGGTAGCATAGCATAATCGTGATCGTGTAAATAGCTGATAACGCACATTAATATTGATCGATCTAGTTGACAGTCGGGATTGTATTTGTGTTCACATGAGATGATATCTGGTGAGATTACTCGAACATGGTGAATTCATTTGTCCTTCACGACAGTGTGGAACTAGTCTTGTATGGAAGAAAACTGCACTTACCTTCCAGACAAAGGCACGGTCCACCACCAACATTCAGATATGCCCAAGCAGACTTGACCGATACCTGTCCTCCTTTATCAAGCTACCTCCCAGGTTTAAATTTGTCGGCATCTTCTCCGTATAGATCTTTGCGATGAGGTGAGGCGTAAGTACTCCAAAGCACGATTTGTCTGTTAGGCACGAAAATAGGGGCTTTTCTACCTTTTCCGCCTCTCGTGTTATCTTGATAGTTTTGCATTCATGTACTTCTTTCGCTATTCGGATGCAGATCCCCGCACGATCGATTGGGTGTTACTTGCAATCCACGCCTAGTCATTGCGTGGAAGGGAGAATAGAAGAGAGGTGAGCCGTGGGGTGGGGTGGCTATTTGAACGAACAGATCACCCCCTGCTGTCGCTGCCTCAGCTCATCTCTTTCACAGAGTGAATATGTAAGCCATCCAGTGGTTCTTGTAGCATCATAAAAAGGATTCCTATCAGTCATCATCATCAGCACTTAAGCCACAATGTTCAGCTTACCACGAAGTAATCGAACACCCCTGTGTGAGGACTTTTACCCGCTACCCCACTTCACCATCCATCACTGACCCCACCACCCCTCAACTTCCCTTGAACTTCGCTCATGTCTCAAATCATTGTCAGTTATATAATTCAAAGAATTGGTCATTCCTCCATCACACACGATTGGTATCGCAAAAGGTCGACTAGCTCAGCTGGTTAGAGCGTGGTGCTAATAACTCCTTGTTAACGCCAAGGTCGTGAGTTCGATCCTCGGCAAGTGCCCTTTGAAATATCAAAGAAACCTGAACATTATACTAACAGATCAATAGCGTTGACCTGATTCCAAACACCTTATTTTTTTTATGATTTTTTTGTTGGATGGTGTCTGCTCGCTTAGTTGGGCAGGCTAACAGCAGCACTCGCTGGATCGCTGAACATCCATAGGTTTTGCATCTCTTTTTTGCCAGGCAATTTTTTATTTTGAAAGGCAGGAATATGTACTAAGTGTATGCCCAGGTTCTTACAGATACTGAAATTGTTCTGTCACTATAGTGTCCTGCTTCTGACGCCGTCAAGTGCAGTGTCGTTCTGTTGAGAGGTGAGTGAGCAGCCTGAGGAACACGGATTGTGGACGTTTCGCAAGCATCTCAACAATCACTTTAACCTGAGATATCAGATCTCACAGACAGACCAGATGCGATTGAGGCAAGACAGAGCAACAAGGCGAAAATCTGAAAAATGATCCATGAAATCAATTCGCGCAAACTTATACTTCTAGCACTATCGCATTACCCTTCTATCGCAGATACCATCAAGCATCAATCACGCGTCATAAAAAATGATGCATACAATAAAATCCCAACGCAACATCATACATTCGTACCCTGTTGATTGCTCCAATCTGCGCACTGCTACGGTCCCTCATGTGAATCCCCCAGCCTGTAAATCCCACGGACTCGCCACCCTCAAGATATGCACGTCTCCAACAGGCGTCGGGAACTCATGCGACGACTTCGCAGGTTCAATCTCTTGCCACGATACCGATATTTCGAGGCCATTGAGGGGAGTCAGAGTACTGCGACTCTTCTCGCTGTCGGCCTGTGTATCGTTTTCTTCACGTCAGCGCACGATTCTTATACATCACCATCCATAGATATCCCAACTTCACTTCCTCCATCTCTCAGGCTTCAACAAAAATGGAGAAATGATATCAGACTTCCCATTTGAGAAGCGGCGAGAAAATGGAAAAACTCACAATGACAACTCTCCACCTCAACCTCCTCCCCAAAAACCCCCTGACATCATCCTCCTCCAACCCCTGCAGCTCGCCCTCCCGGATCTTTCCCTCCAAAGCCGCCGTAAGCGGCACGATCGTATTAGCTTTCTTCTTATCCCTATCTCCATACATCTTTCCTCCACTACTCTTACCATCATACCCAGAATCACTATCATCGTCATCCGAAACAGTAGACGAAGAAGTCGTAGCAAGAATACTCGAAAACCCCACAAAACCAGCCTCCTCGACCCACGAGTCGACGTTCGTGGAAACTGGATCAGCGAGAAAGAAGTAGAATTTGAGGGAGCCTTTGATGGAGGAGGCATAGAGGGAGACGTGGATTGTGTATTGCCTGCGGTGGGTGAATGACAGGGCGTTTGTGAGTTCTATACTCCTCTTCATATGCTTTCTCATCATCAGTTTTCGCAGCTTCGGTGGATTAGTGTGGGCGGCAGTGGTTTTTATATCCGGCGACGTCAGGTATGGCGGAGGTGCAGGGACGCTTGGTGGAGGGGGAGAAGGACCGTATGTTTGGTTGAAGTAGTCGACGGTGGATGGTTTGTAGGAGCGTGGGGTAGCTTCGGGTCCGTAGAGGGTGTTGACGCGGCTGATGAGTGTGTCTTGGTCGGTGAGGTTCTGCACGTCGTTGTATGTGTAGCCGAAGACGCGCCAGTCGCGGACGTCTTCTGAGGTCCAGAAGTCGTTTCTGGAGTCGGATTTGCGAAATGGTTTGAGAGCTGTCGGTTGTTAGAAGGTATAGTATAGGGAGGGCGTGACTAACGTGTTTTTCCATTTACTACTGTGCCGGATGAAATCGCGAAGGAGGCTTCTTCGTTGGTGGAGTCAGTGGCCAGCCAGCTCTCGCGATTCTGTTAAAAGGGTTAGTGTTGGTGTTTCTACTTCTGAGCAATCTTGCCATAGGCGTCAATAGGGTAATTATGCGCACCCACGACTGGCATGCTGATTTTCGAATCATGGTTGGATGAAATACGTACCAATTCTTGCCAAATTGCAATCAAGCGATCAACGTTTCTGGAAGAACGTCAGTTCCATCTCGCACGCAGACAAACAGATTGAACCTACGTGTGATGCAGCCAAAAAATGGGGTCATAAGCCGAGTACTGCAACCAAAGCATATGTCCATCGCCTCCCACCATATCATGGATCGTCCCGTGTATACTCTCCAAGCTATCGCCTGGTTGTAGCTTGTTACTCATTGGCAGGTAATCATGCTGCAACGCCAACAGTCCAAAAACTCTTGTTTGCATGCTAGGGCGGTTCCCGTCTAGCATACCTGCAATCTTGGCATTTTGACTGACTGCGTTTGAGTCTAGTGTTGTGGGATGCCTCAAAGTACGTTGCCACATCTTCCATCGCTCGTCATCTTCAGCTTCCCAGTCCGGAATGGAGTGAAAGGTGAACGAGTAAAGTGGATTGGCGATTTCCGTAGGTCCACCAGGAACATCAATGGTTAGAGTTGGCTGTTGAAGGGAGTGTGGAAGGGAACCTTCGCCGACCGGAGGTATGGCTGCCCAGTCCCAATACGGGAGGCGAAGCTCATGTAGTGCGGCTATATAGTCATCTTTCAGCGTGCCTGCGGGAAATTCGGAGATGACTTGACGAGCATTGAGATACAGCATTTCCTGAATTTTATTCGTTAATAAACATAGTAAGTGGTTTAGTGAAGGGTGCAATACTTCAAATAGGGCAAGATAGGGCCGGTGCCACGAGGGAAATAAAGCGCTACTATGTTGACAGTAACCATGTTGCAGGCTATTTGGATTACCTTCGACATTGTCCCAAGCTACCCATGGTCGGCCGTGGATTCCTGCAGATAATCTCGTTAGTACCAATTCAAGCACTTTTTTGTACTCGCCTACTTTTTGTTACCCTTTTTATCATCCTTTTTAAGTGTAGGAACCACTGTAACTTCCAATCAAAAAAAAAAAACTTAAACCAATTCAAGCAATTTGGGAGATTCCCGGAACACACTATGCGTTCCTGTATAGTAACCCGTAACCCAGCAGCCAAGGTGTCTGAGACAGGACAACAAATAATGCAAAAGATTACAACGTACCAGCTATTTGGAAATAAGAGAGTGTGTCGCTTTGACTCGCGTTTTGAAAGCGTTGCAATCCCAAAATAAACACACTCCAAAGCGTTTTCTCTTTTTCTAATTCGCGAATCTCCAGTCGCGGATGCGCTGTGCCGTCCTGCTCTTCTAGTCCAGCAATACCAAGCACAGAGAAGAGTCCCTTGTACTGTCGGGCATCAAGACTCGGTGAGCTACGCGTGGAATGCCGCCATTCACTGGAAGATTTTGGAGAGCTGGCGACGAGTAGACAGTCGAAAACAGTGGAGAAGAGAAGCAAGAGTATCCAATGGCCGCCGGTTCTGTGATTGGGATTGAAAGTCCTAATTCCACGGTTGTTCATCTTGAAGCTTTTCGACGAGAAGAGATGATTGGAAAGATAGATACATCCGAGCCCACACGGATAGTTGCAGAAGTAAGCGATGATAACACCTAGGGAATACCTATAATCTTGACACCGGATGATATCGTGAAGTAGCACTAGCTTACACTTGTGACTATCACATAGGTACCAGTAGGTTCAAATCAATATATATGGAAATGAAGCGATGGATTCACCCGGCAGCGGGAAATGCAGGTTGCCGTAGCATCTTCGGCGTTTTTTCATCTTGATTCTCCGGTATATGGTTTGACAGGGAAAAGTGGTCCTTGAGCTATTAATATGCTCTTCTGGAAGCTTGAAGTGGGATGCAAGCACGCTAGTTCCAAGCAGATGAGAGTGTCTTTGCTGCATACCTACGTCAGATTTTCTCCCATGGCTCGATACCATGCTCAGCTGTCTAAGAGTAACAGTCCTAATGAGCCGTGGCGTCAATTTCGTCGTGGGAACCGTACGATGTATTCGCTTACGATCTGACCAGTCTGTTCTCATTACATCGCGTGGGGCACGAAGCGGGAGACCCAGGGTTGTACAGCTACTGAACACGATGCAAGCCACTTGACTGGCGTTGAAACGGTGACTGAGGCGGTCTTGTGTGAGGTTGAACAGGTGTCGGTACTGCTCTGAGCAACGATGGAGGTGACGATACGGCCGCATATCGATTGCTTTGGCTGGTGTAGTGATCGCGGTGAAGGAAATGCCCTTCGTCCTCTCTCCGTGGACGTTACTTCTCCTATGGGGACAATCAAGGCTCTCAATGCCATGATTGCATTCGGCAACACCTTCGCAGAAATGGGAAACTCAAAAATGAAGTTACAGGTTTCTAATTGAATAGGCGAATGTAACCTATCTTCGTGTGGTAGTACAAACAACATGGGAGCTTAGGCGAACAGCAGTGAGCGGTACGCAATAGATCAGCATGAAACAACATGTAAGGAGGAGGGATGAGATGTGGTAGATCATAGAGCGATGGAATGAAGTCACGTGATTGGAATGGTATAATCGAAGAGGAAATAGCAGAACATAAGTCAATGTTGTCGATTAGAAGCCCTACCTCCCTACCCAAAAGAATACATCGGGCATACTGGATCCTACGGTCTCAGTGAAACGCCAAAAGAAAAAGAACGCCCCACATAGTTGGTACAAACAAACAGCCCAGGCATTCCTAGAACGCCACATCGTACTTTGCAAGTGGGTCAAGTACCTTCGTTCCAGTAGTTCAGATATTGAGCGTAAGCAGACGAAGGTGAGATTGGTGCATCCTATGCATTCTCTCCCATCCCTTGGAAAGCATCACCAAATGCTGAATCGTCCACCAAATCCAAGCCCATAGTATCGTCAGCGGGAAAATCTGCTAACGCATCCCCAGCAGAGTCTAGGTTTTCGAAATTGCCAAACTCTCCACTGAACATGTCCCCAGCTTCTGCGTCAACGCTGGTGGTAGGTGGCGCACTTGCATCTGCTGGAGTCGCAGTACTAGCGGGAGGTTGCGAAGGCTGTTGCGCGGTTCCGTTATTTTGCTCGTCCACCATGACCCAGTCACCCTCTGCTTTTCCGCTTGTGTTAGCCATACCAGACATTTCCACATCCAGATCAAGCAATTCATTTTCCACATTCGTAGTGGTATCGAGGTCTGCAGTTTGCTCATCGAAAGCTGAGGGTCTGGCTGCATCAGCTACCTCAGCAGCCTGAGCTGCAGGTGCTGCAGGTGTAGCGACCGCGGATTGCGATTGGCTTTGTGGCTGTGATAACGCAGGGACCGATAGATTGCCTCCGGGGGTCCCGGTGAGTGAGCCCGAACCAAACTGATCTAGCAAGCCTGCGGCAGTATTGTCTCCTTCGGTCGCTCCATCAGCTGGATCATTGTTCGAGTTGGAAGGTGTATTGCCGTTAGTTTGGGGTTTTGGTGGCGGTGGTGGTTGCACTTCCATGAAGCCGCCCTTGTCTACACATACTACTAGTTTTTTGGTGCCGAAATTGGTGCCTACTGATTTTTCCAAATCCTTCACGACAGTATCCACCGGGTCCGCACCATCCTTCTCGGGATCGTATGGATGATTCGCCTCCCACAGTCGCCGTTCGGCTTTGATGTACGTTCGCGACTTCTTGAGGGCCCCCATCTTTTTGGCATGTGCGGCCTTCATCTTTTCGATTTCAGCCTCCTCTTTCGACACATATGCTGCAACCCGAGTCTCAAATTCTTTAAGTTGCTCTGGCCGTAGTTTTTCATAGTTCTTCACTTTGTTCTTGTAGTCCGGGTTGGCTTCTCCATCGACGTCAATGGGAGCGTCGCCTGTAGGTGTATCCAGAAGATTCGCGGTCAATGGGGCCAGCTCCCCCATAAGCCCAAATCCAAGATCGATAGGCATGATCTTCCCAATCGTGTGGGGAGAAGCGAAGATCTCCTCCATCCACTCGTGATGTTGCTTGTATCTTGAAAGGCTAATCTCCCGCGGCGTCATGAAATCGAAGAGATCTTGTGTGCCATTCTCTTCCTCTTCTAGAGCTGTGTCTGGCGCTATAGCAGCCGGTCCGGATGGGCGTGTTTGTTGTTGAGGTGGACCGCGTTGGCGCTTGGCGGGTGGTGGGCCCACGCCGTTTTGATATGATTGAGGCCTCTGCATGGGATTATAATACGCCTGCTGGCCCCGCGCGGTGGGTTGTGCGAATTCCACTTTTGGCCAATTCGCACTATCGTATAGCATGAATTCTTTGCGCACCAATTGTCCAGCGCTCTGAAGCTGCGCACGCATGGCTAGCTGCGCGTGGACGTCTCTCGCTATGGGAATCTGGCTTGCGGGTATCCTGTGACTCGGATCGGCCATGGTATAGTGCACTATCCACAAGCTGGGGTCGAATGTGCCGCTGGGCCCATTGACAATCCTGTAGCGGTAGCGCGCATGAGTCGCAACCGGCTCGTGAGGATGATGGAAACCCGATTTGTGTTGGAACATTTGAAGTTGCTAGGAGTTGTCAGACGTACGATGAGGCGCAAGACTCGCAAAAGGTGAACCTACATAGCCCCTGTGATTCATATCGAAAGCTACTTCTGGATCACCCCATACTAAGCCATCTGAAGCAAAGTGTGTTTGTAGGCGCTGCGGTTGCCAGGTCAAAAGCACAGTGCCGTCTGCTGGCGGAGAAGGGAGATAGGTCCAAGCAACGGCCGCGGCGTCCTTGACTATGGATGGGCCCTTGAGAAGGTAGTCGAGCGCATGTTGCGGTTGGAGCGACGCGACTGTAGGGAATCGGTATTGAGATATCAGATGAACATGTGGAAGCTGTGAAGTCAGCAAGAGTTGCGAAAGTCTGAGTGAAGAACACGCACCAATTGTGCTGGCACCTGCGCACTAGGATCGGGCACGTTGTAGGCTTGGTTAGCACCGTACATGGCGATAGTATCAGCGCGACAAAATTGTCGCTTCGATATGGTTTCGCAGATCGAGTTGGCCAGGCGCGTTCGGTTGGATGATGGAGTCGTTCACCCCCGGGGACAGTCGCGTCGTGCAAGCGCAAAGCACAGACCAGTTGATGCTTCACTTTCTCACGTGATATGCTAGCTCGGCATCTTCCAGATGGAGTTGTGCATTAAGTAAACCCTACATGTCGATTTGAACATTTGATTAAAACACCTACGTACCAAGGAAGTCACCATATCTCTTAAATACAAGTCTTATTATAATAGCCATGCATGTCAGTACTACTCTTGATTCTAATGCTCTACCAGTCGTTCACCATAGCACTATCATATGAACTCCCATAAGCCACAGCAAAACCAAGAGTTGTGGGTATTATGAATATGCCCTAGAGCATCACCCACAATTAAGAATGTTGACAAACGCCATGAATCTGACCCAAGGTGTCTCGGCTAACCAAACACCCACATCACTATCCGAATGCCTCCAAGCATCTGCTGTTTCCAAGTGAGGGGCCCCATTCTGTACGGACCCAATCCAGCACTTGCTAACGACCGAGCGCTTTCCTAAGATTGCAGATGCCGCATCCACCATATAGGTATCGAGGTAAGCCAGATTGGACAACCTTTCACCCCAGCATTCGTGGTCCAGCATTTTTCCCCTTCTTGTGCACACCGTTGGTTGTAGAGAATGGAACCATACCAGGCATTGTAGTTGCTCCTTCGGCGGTGGCCCCTTTGTTCTTGTTGTTCTTGTTCTTATTGTTGTTCTTATTGTTCTTTCCATATTTGCCGTGCCTGTCATCACGTTTTACCGTGGCCTTGACTTCCGAAGTCGCTCGCTTGATTAAGACAGGGTGGCTGCCGATATACTTGCCCTGCATCTCCTTGGCAGCGCGGAAGTAATCGTCGGTGTCAGAAAAGCTCACAAATCCATAACTCTTGCTTTTGGTTGACCTCTTGTCGCGAACAACGCGCGCCTTGACCACAGAAGGATACTTGGAAAAGGCCTTGAGTAGAGAATCGTCAGTCACTTCGCCAGCAAGATTGCCAATGAATAAGCGAGGATGTTGAGGATTCCACTCAAGCAAAGATGGATCCTCCCAAGTTTTCCCGCCTGCCTCTCGAAGAACAGTTTTCTGCTTGTCCGAGCCCGTTGCTCCGGTTTGCGAACCAGTGGTCTGATTGGCATCAACGCGAGCTGCAGTGTGTGTCGCTACGGGTTTCTTCCCCTCGTTGTCTCCACGAGTATACGCGCTGTTCCATTCAGCAATGCGAGCTTCCTCCTCAGGGTCGTAATTGCTGGGATATCCGCTGTTCACAGCAGTGGGTGCCGAGTAGGCAGCTGCTGGGGCGGAATTGCCATAGGCTTGATAGGTAGGGTAGTAAGTATTGCTGGACGAGTAAGTTGTAGGTTGGTATGGGGCGCTCACAGTCGGCTGAGAGTAAACAGTCGGCGGTGCAGCAATCTGGACAGGAGACTGGGCTACCACTGCTCGTGGAGTGAAACCGCTATAGGTTCGCGCGCCGCTACCACCTCCGCTGGCGGTGTTGGCATTGTTGGCATTGTTGTTGCGCTGTGGTGGGGCGGAATAGGTGGATGGAGGTGGACGCGCAGGCAACGAGGGATGGGGGGTGAGGTTGGGATTGTCTTTGCTGCTCATGTCGGCGGTCTGCGGTTTCGAATACGTGAGAGTTTGCTGGCTGCTGATTGGGGCGGGTTTGCGCGTTCGGAGGCAGGCAATATCTGATGAACCGATTCAGACTCGAGTCGCCGGGCGGGTCGATCAGTTGGTGGAAGCGCCTATATCGGGGGAACAATAGCACGCGTCGGTGGTGGAGAGGGACAGACAGGGTTGGTTGCGTAGATGGTCCCAAAATGTCCCACGGATGTCGCAAATGAGGTTGGAGGTAGCCGGTTGAGCTAGCTTGGCGGCTGCTGACAAAGCTTGATTCCAGGCGCGCGCGAAAAAATGGGTCTTGCCGTACCGAAGCACGAGCTTTCTCGCGGCAACGTCACAGTGGGACAGTGAAGAAAAAAAAAGACTTCTGATTGCGACAGCCTACAGGGAGCGCCGGGCCGACAGAGAGCGGATGGGCCGGAGTTGGGTGCGTCAATTATCGTTGCTAGGACGATTGATTTGTTGTCGAGTACATGTGCCACAAAGGGCCTGCTTGGCCTGCAGCGCCGCCTCGTTTTTCCGGCTTCCGGTCAAAGGTGACGGGCCTTCAGCCTTACTTTCAGATAGCTACTAGGTACATAGCTTACAGAGATTTATCTATGGGCAGACTACGGGGCCTTTGTATGGCGATCGCAGCCAGGCAGCTAGCACGGATAGGAGGATGTGCCAGCTGGGTACATGGCTGTGCTTGACCGTTTCACGGAAGAATTGGCACAGGAGGAGGGCGGAAGGCCTTCCCTTCACCATGGCAAAGTGACTGAGTAATCCGTCTACACGGAACTGTTACCAAGCAACATTTTCCTCTTTCCGTTTCCGCACCAGGCCGCCCGCAAATCTTCACATCGCAGCACACGGTGGCATGAATCAGGCTGAGAGGAGGGACGGGGACACTGGCAGGCAGGCCTGCAGATGAATATATAGCACAGTAATTGCATCAAAGTGAGCCCTGCGCCGATAGACCCGCGGCCGAACGTGGGATGTTTTGTTGGACGAGGATTGGGATTAGGTATGGATTATGTGCATCTGCCCTCGCAGTCCATCACGTACCGCCCCGCCCACCTATTGCAGGCGCTGTGCTTGCCCCGCTGATGCCACTCACACTCCAAACTCGTGCCGTCGGAAATCTACTACTTATTACCCATCGCCTGCCCGGTCCCCCACCCTCTCTCTCTCCTACATCAATCAAACTACCTACGCCTCCATCAACCACCTCCCCCTTCTTCATCCAATTGCTGCTGTTGTTGTTGCGCGCAAGCCGCTGCAACTACCCCGCCATCACCCCTCCATCCCGCCAAATCCACTCTGTCCACCATGGCTGAAGCTGTTGGTGACTTCGGCCTCATCGGCCTGGCTGTAAGTACAATGCCCAACCTCAGCCATTCGTTTCCCTCCTTCTGCTGCTGCTCGACGAGCGAAGCGCCCAAATACGCCCTGGACTTGCGCTCACGCTCTCATGAATAGGTCATGGGTCAGAACTTGATCCTCAATGCGTAAGCTACCGCCGCCCCCTCCTCCCCTTTACCCCTCCAAACTTGTCCACATATATGGCTGACACGGCAACACAGGGCTGATCACGGTTTCACGGTACGATATGCAATCCACGTCCCCACATAAGCAGGTTAGGTACTAATACGACTGAAGGTTGTAGCTTTCAACCGAACGTAAGAGCACTCCCACACCTCCTCTTCACGGACAACTGCTGACGGCAACTAGGGTATCCAAGGTCGACCGTTTCCTCAACGATGGTAAAGTCAATCCCGGCTACAAACAAGGAGCGTGGGCACTAATTCGCAGCAGAGGCCAAGGGCAAGAGCATCGTCGGCGCAAACTCCATCAAGGATTTCGTTTCAAAGCTCAAGAAGCCCCGCCGTATGATGTTGCTCGTCATGGCCGGTAAGCCCGTCGACGACTTCATTGAGATGCTCTTGAACGAGGGCGGCATTGAAGAGGGTGACATCGTCATCGACGGCGGCAACTCCCACTACCCCGACACGAACCGCCGAACAAAGTACCTTGCCCAGAAGGGTATCCGCTTCGTCGGTAGCGGTGTTTCTGGAGGAGAGGAAGGTGCCCGATACGGTCCCAGCATCATGCCTGGTGGTAACGAGGAGGCATGGCCTTACATCAAGGACGTCCTCCAGTCCATCTCCGCCAAATCCGATGGCGAGGCCTGCTGCCAATGGGTCGGTGACGAGGGTGCCGGTCACTATGTCAAGATGGTGCACAACGGTATTGAGTACGGTGACATGCAGTTGATCTGCGAGGTGAGTAGCACATGAACCTGAGTGGCGTGCATAGAACTGACCACCTCTCCATTAGGCGTACGATATCATGAAGCGCGGTTTGGGAATGAAGAACAAGGAAATCGGTGACGTCTTCACTGAGTGGAACAAGGGTGTCCTCGACTCCTTCCTGATCGAAATCACCCGCGACATCATGTACAAGAATGACGACAAGGACGGAACCCCAATTGTCGAGAAGATCCTCGACTCTGCTGGCCAGAAGGGTACTGGAAAGTGGACCGCCATCAATGCTTTGGACCTTGGTATGCCCGTGACTTTGATTGGAGAGGCTGTCTTTGCCCGATGCCTGTCTTCCCTCAAGGCTGAGCGTGGCCGTGCATCCCAACTTCTCGATGGCCCCAGCCCCAGCTTCAGCGGCGACAAGAAACAATTCATTGCAAACCTCGAGCAGGCCCTTTACGCATCCAAGATCATCTCGTATGCCCAAGGTTTCATGTTGATCCAGAACGCCGCCAAGGAGTACAACTGGAAGTTGAACAAGCCCGAGATCGCCCTCATGTGGCGTGGTGGCTGCATCATCCGCTCCGTCTTCTTGAAGGACATCACCAAGGCGTAAGTCAGAGTTTATGGATTGATAGGTAAAATTACTGACCAAATCATAGCTACCGCGCCAACCCCCAACTCGAGAACTTGCTGTTCGACGACTTCTTCAACAAGGCCATTCACAACGCCCAGGCCGGATGGAGAGAGTGAGTATCTCCTCGTGTTCAATGAAAGCTTAATGCTAATAATGTGTAGCGTTGTCTCCAAGGGTGCTCTCTGGGGTATCCCCACTCCCGCTTTCAGCACCGCTCTCAGCTTCTACGACGGTTACCGCACCAAGGACCTTCCCGCCAACTTGCTCCAGGCTCAGCGTGATTACTTCGGTGCCCACACCTTCCGCGTCAAGCCCGAATTTGCCAGCGAGGAATACCCCGAGGGCAAGGACATCCACGTAAACTGGACCGGTAGGGGAGGAAACGTCTCTGCTTCAACATACAACGCATAAGCGGGGATTCGTGATGAACAAATTGCAGTGAACGGAGTAAAGAGTGGCCGCCTATCACATGTGCTTGAGTCGTCGCATAACGAAAACTACGCATATAAGATCAATGCCATTTCGAGAATGCGCTAAATGAACACACGGCTCATGATTGAATACAAATGTTTAAAAAAAAACTTCACCGATTGTCCATATCATTTCCTTTTCTCGCATATCATTGAATGTGATGTGTCCCGCTTGTTAGAGCCTTTCACCCTGTAAACCGGCCCTCAACTGAACACATGAATCAGATGTTTCCCACTCCTCATATTGAACTCAACCATCTCGACTAACAAAGCGACAAATATACATATGTAGGTAATGACACTGATCACAAAAAATCTGCATTGCACGTGTTGTTCACGGCATTTAATCTTTGGGCGATCTCTCGTTTGTTTGATTTATTTATTAATTCTGAGTTGGAGTTGGAGTGATTGTACACACAGTGATAGTTACGACGATAAATGAACCAGATATCCATCCCCATACCTATGCGGAGTGTAGGATCACCCAACTTAGAATTTATAATTCGAAGCATGCAAGCGCCAGTCCTGCAATGCTGGGCGCTAGCAATCACAACTCACTCATTCCCATGATTTCAAGAGGAAGATGAGAATCAAAATGAAGATTCTACTCTCCAACCGACAGCAAAAAGAGAAAATTTGGAAGAACGAATGCGACGCCCACAGGATTCGAACCTGTGCTCCCGAAGGAATAAGATTTCTAGTCTTACGCAATAACCACTCTGCCAGAGCGCCAGTTGTGATGTTCCAATTGATGGAATTTTGACCTTTTTCCCATTTCATATAGCCTGTTATCAATTTTCATAGTTATTGAAGTGTAGACAATACTCTTGGAAACACTCGTACGATCTCAATGATGGTCATGGTGGGGTATCAGATGTGGATACCCTTGCTTAGCGTGCACAAGTAGAGTGGGTAGGGTGGGAACGGAGGTACCATCTTCTTCTGCGCAGCAAGAATTGATTGGTGGACCACTGAGTCGTGGGCGCTGAGTTGATTCGTATCTTGTACAGATTTTCACCTGTTGGGTGGTGCTTAGCATCTCCGGTTTCGCCGTGGAAGTGTTAGTTCGCATGAGCTTTGGTTATCGGTGGGATCATGTACTGGGTTTGATGCACTGTTGTAGTTTGAAGGGGGCACGAATGATGTTTAATATTTTCCCTCCTTCGGAACCCAGACTTTTCCGCGGAGGAATTGAGTATGGCTTTGGAAGGCGAAGGCTAAGAGTAATCTCGTAGGGGAGTGTTCCAAGTATCGATCGATTTCTCAACACTTTGTCACGCCTCCACTATTGCTTGCCTGTCTTTCGCTATATCAGCAACTGTCATTATCTTCATCGCGTCGCTGCGAAGACAGTTCAACTGATCATAGTTCGTATATGCTCTCTCCGTAACGTCATCTCGCCAGCAAAGTCTGATAACGTGGTATGTTGCATCAACATAGCGGCCTTCGTAATTGCTATATCTCGTAGTAGGCGGTCTAAAACTTTTGCCTTCCCACGTGAACTCCATCGATTTCGCAGCTGCAAACTCCAGCCTAGTACCATCTCGCCTGGCCAAGCTGATCGGCTGGCATCGCTCTGCGCCTTCGCAAAGCACCTTCCTCTGGAATGGAAGATCGAGAAGCGATTCAAACTCGAGATTGAACTCGTGGCATGAGTCTGGCAATATTGTACTTTTAAGATGTCGGTCCATGTCGAGATACATCGTCATATCCTGGCGTTCATATTCAGATGTGCAGAGTGTGTACGTTAGCTTCTTCCAATGTAGATGCTCGTTAAAATGAGCATTGAAATCGAAATAAACTGCCCACCTCCACCTGGTAACATGGAGATGATAGAGGTTCCGCCCAACCTGGCTGGACATGTGAAAAAGGTAATGATCCCAGTCCCGCGGATCAAACGATTCGAAAGGGAGCTGATATATATGGTGTGTTGTCGAGCGGGCAGGAATCGCCTTAGTCTCGTAGTAGATGAGGCGACATGTTCTTAGAAGAGATGTGTTGATGCATGCTTTGTGTATGTGGCCAGGTCGCTCTTGGTGCGATTCTTTGGGTATTGGCGCAGATAGATTGTGATCTTGGCAGACAGCGTACTTGAATATGACTGAAAGTTGCAAATTCAAAGTCAGTGGTGGATTCTATGAGGCTGCAAAAGCTACCTTATGCAGGGTGCGTTTGATGATATGATATTGTATCTGAGAGATACGTACGATTCCGGATCTCGCTTGGAATTGAAAACAATAGCGATTGTGACTGAGGGTGTGAATTGCAGGGTGCAATGCTCGCGAGAGCCTGTCTTCTAGCTCGTGACGTGATGTGTCGCAGAGAAGGCGACTCAGGACTATGTCCCTTTATAATGCTATCTTCATTTTGATTCCTGGTTTGCGAATGAGGTGCTTGTCAATTTGCGGGGTAACAGAGGCGCCAGCTTACATGATGTCGTTTATTTGGATTCTCAACGGAAGATGCCCGAATTAAAAGTCGAAAATATAAAATGCGTACTGCCGGCAGAGCAAGCCATTCCTTTACTTAGCGCAATGCAATAAATTCATAGAGAGCGAAGTACCAATAAGCGCACATCACTCTAGATCGAATAGCACTTGCTTTTTCAGGCGTATAGACAGAGTCTGAAACGCAACGAAAGTGATGTCGCGTGAGGAAACTGATGTGGAGTTTGGTTGGAGTCCCGGAAAAGACGGCATTGACGCTAGAGTGATTAGTAAGCGTTTGCAGCGAATGTGTACCGTGGAAGAGAACGGAGTAGAACATGGTACTGTGTTTCCAGTGAGTGATCAACCGGAAACTCAATAATAGCTCATGGGCAGAGCATCAGAACATCAATTTGAACAAATATATACTTACACAATCATGTTGGTGAAGTTAACAACAAATATACGACCAGGACATCAGTGACAAACTGCAGTCCTTTAACAAAAAAAACCCCCCCAGAACACGAAACCCTGGGAACACCAAAGAAAAAACACGAACTATACCCTGTGTACGAAGACATGTAAGCTCTGACCGCCTGGCCGATTTCTCTTATTGTCCCAACCAGCGTCCTTCACTGTCAAAACCAGACTCATGGCTTCACCGAAAACAAATGTCTGTCCTTTTTCCCACATCCCGTTCACCATTTCGTGACACTCTGTAATTGCCCAACCGTTACAGTCATCCTGAATGTTCGGCATACAGACCTGTATTAGACGGTTCATACCCGTGGAACACCCGACATGAAGGATCTCAACTTCCATCGGGTTACCATGATTAAGCCAAGGGTAAAATGGATATGTTGGATCAATTCCAGGAGGAGCTTTCAGCAAGTGTATAATAGCATGTTCTCCTGATTCAACATGAGTGACACCCGGTGGAATGCCGCCGGGGATCATTGTTGGGTCTTCCTGGGTTGGCTGTTCATTTCCTGTTGCTTCCGTTATCATGGCCGGAGCTGGCTGCGGCATGTCTGGCCAGATTCCTCCCATGCCCATGCCCATGCCCATGCCCATGCCCATGTCCATTCCCATACCATATGGCATTCCCATGCCCATTCCTCCCAGACCAAATCCGTGACCAGGAGCTACTACAGCAGGCGCAGCGCCGCCCCAAGTTGCTCCGAGTGGCCCGAAAGGTGCTACAACGGCAGGATCGATTCCAGGGGGCGGAGGAGGCATTTCCCCTGGTGGATATCCTACATGTGGCGCTCCTGGAACGCAAGCCCCGCGGGATGTGCTTGGATTACCCATCAAGCCGGGAGTGTTCCAAGGATTTCTGGGAGGAGCCAGGGGACCGGCGCTTTGCACACCTGCGAATCCAGATCCGAGGCCGTCAAAGGGACCAAATGGTAATGGCATCCCGATTCCCATATGCATCATCGGGGGTGGCGGAATACCAATGCCAATCAGAGGGCCAGCGGAGGGAAATCCTTGCGGTATATTAGCATCGGGTTGGTTTGCTGGTGGTAGTGGGTCGACTGTAATAGGTGGTGGAGGCGGATCACGGTCGAGATTAACATTCGCACCGCCGTTTATAGGCCATGGATGGCCTAAGGGAGGTGGTGTGGCCATATTGATGACTGGTAGTGAGGAGAAGTAGCTACGAGATGCAGTTAAGGATATTCTTTGAGGACCTGATGGAGAATGCACCGGCAGTTCGTCAGTAATATATGCGTGACATGTTCGACTTAAATATATCATAGCGGTGTTTGTATAAGTGGAAGATTCCGGCGTCTTCACGAGTGGATAGTTGAGTGTACACATGAAATCTGGAGTAGTGAATTGTGTTGATCGAGAAAAACGGCTCGGTGGCCGTGTGAACTGTTCTGTGTCATTGACCCAATTTGTGACGTGGCAGAGGAACATCGCTATTACCGCTCACCACATTGCCAGGAGCACATTTGATGAACGCTGTAGACTAGAAGGATTCGACAAAGAGGTGTACTTTAAAAGGTCACTATTGGTGACGTTGAAGAAAGTCAAGCTTGGTGGGTTAGTGAGTATGAGGTCTCTTCATCTTTCATGCGGGATATGTGTTAACCTCTTGAGGAGCAGATGTGAAGTTTTAGTGATTCATAGATAATCGGAGGAATTAACAGTGAAGTTTCCGTGAGTGTAGATTACATTCGTGTCGATACACATTCACCCTCGACAAAAATGGTGGATGTGAATATTATGGAAATTCGTAATGTAAAACTGTAACAATGTGATACAGCGCTCGTTAATTGATTCACATCAACCCGGATATCTGGAATCGGGTTTAGCCCCCCTTTAGCCCCCCGCAACGACAGCTAGACCCTCATAGATCTTCTTCTTCACTTGGAAGAACGTGAGATTCTGAGAACTCTTCATATCCGAGAAGCCATAAGCCCCGCCATCAACCTCAATTTTCCCTGTAGCTGTTTTGCGTACTGCTACAGTACCGTTGATGACTAGCACACCCTCTCCTCTGAATTCAGCAGTCATTCCAGAAGCTTGCATGATCCTCCTAAGATCAGCGAGTCTAAGGTCACCAACATGGAATGGCTGGGCAACAGATCGAACAGCAGTGGCCATGCTTGTAGGGACAACGTCGAGAACGGGTGTCGTGTCCATCTTGTCTTCTCCAGCAAGCGCAGCGACTGAATTATCCAGCTTCGCCTTCTTCTTTGCTGTAACATCTTCCTCCTTGGGCTCTGTTTCAAGGGATGCGGCAGCAAGTCTACCGGTGATTGCGACAACGCCTAGTCCACGCACTTTCTGCCACTGAAGTTTGCGCACCATATCGCGACTCAATTTGACAGACCATGAGTTTGTATCCACGCTTGCATTGACCATCATACCATTAGTCGGTATGAACACGTCCACTGCGTTGGCCGTGTCATCCAGGCTTGCATTAAGCACTTTGCGACAATCTTCAGCAAGGCTGTTTGTTTCTGCTTCGTTCCCAGCGACAAGAATAAGTTTCCTAGGCTTGATCAAAGGCATCATCATCTGGACTGTGCGTCTGTCGTGCAGGCCCGAGAAGTCGACAAATGCTAAACGGCAATGCAATTGCAGCATTTCAGTACCAATGATGACTTTAGAGGGTCCGTCGACCTTGTCAGGGTCATTATCAGCTTCATCTTCTGATGACTCTGCATCGTCGTTCGCTTCGGCACTGTTTGGCTCAGCTCTACGACGCTTCGTGGTACCATTGAGCGGCCGGCGTCCATTTTCACCCGCTACGGCGACACCTTCCCACCTCCTCTTTTGTCCCACCGCATTCTCTTTCTTGATGCCATCACCACGAAGAGTTTCCCCGGCAATATCGTCGTTTTCATCAGCCCGAACAAACTCTTCTGGTCGGATCAGGTCCCCAAAATCATCTGCCCTTCGGCGTTTTGCCACGTACGGAAACATCTTTTCCCTGCCCTTCTTTCCTCTAACCTCATAATCGTACACATTTTTACGTCTGATCAGTATGTTGATTCCTAATTCCGCATCACTCAACCCGAGTTTATTGCGAGCATGCTGTAGCGTGGTTGCCGTGTTCAAAGCCTTGCCTTGATATTCAATGTCGGAATCTCCTGATGAATCAGAGGATGAAGAAGAGCGATCGTCTACCACATCAGCAGATGTTTCTAAAGAGGTGCCTGAATCACCTTGCGTGGTGTTTTGAAGTTGTCGCTGTGTGGCAAGGTATTGTTGATAAAGTGGAAGCTCGCTTCCTTGTAATGCAGCCGCTTGGTATTTCTGTAAAGATATCTGCTCGCCACCAGTGCTCACAATAGCCGCACCAGACGATTCTGAGTCAGATGAAACACTACGCTCGGTCCACAGGTCCCACAGATATGTGCCCAAACCTTTGTGCTGAGCATCGTACTCTGCAATGCGTTCGGTGAGGATAATGAGATTACGCTCATCAGATGCAAGATTACGGACGGCATCTTTAGAGAAACCCCATTCGAGTGACGTGTCACTAGCAAGGATGACGCGAGGTTCGGCAGTGTTTAGCATTCGAGAGACTCGAGATTTGCGTTCAATCAAATTGATATGTTTGAAGTCGAACGGCGCACGAGGTTTGTCGTCTTCGCCCTTAGATCCGCTTTGATACCCGCGATTGCGCATCTGCTCCTGCGCTTCTTGGGCACCAGTCGCAGTTTCAAATTCCTTCACTATGCCTTCCTCCATCCACTCAAGCATACTACGCACGTATCGCATGGTAGCTCCAGCAGTTCGGCTGGCCAGGTAAAGTTTAGTATTCTTGAGGGGACTGTTACTTTCAGACTTGGAAGTTTCCTTTTGCCAGGTCTCTTCCAACAGGTATGCCAACTCCAGAATTCGCGCGCTGGAATCCGATGGTATCAGTACGGAGCCGCCGTTTGCCACTGTGTCCCGGATCAATGAAAGCAGAGCTTCATCCCGCTTGCTGCGCTGTTTTGAGATTCCAGGTGATCCTCTGCTGCTGCAGATCATAGCAGTCGGGCGACGCAACTGCTCCAGGACTTCGGATCCTCCTGTTCCAGGCCCTCCCAGCCACGCTGCGCCTGAAAGGACGTGTTCTTTGGCTTGATTCCAGTCTACAGCATAGACGACAGATTCCATGTTGTGTTGTAGGTGCCATATAGTGCCCCCCAGTGTGTGACCTGCACTGTAAGCAGTTATGGTAAGCCCACCCAAAGGAGGCGAAAACGGTGATGGTAGTGGTTGATGCGGTTGGGAATATTTGAGTGCGTTGATTAGCCCGAAATAACTGGCAATCTCTTCCGGTGTCGGCGCCTGCATAAGTATATTGGGGTTGCTGCCATCTTTCAAAGATGGAAATGAAAAGGAAGATTCAGCGAGCGCATCTGTGGGGATCGTAGAGCACGCGAGTGGAGTAGATTCGTATAGATCTTGTAGAAGCGTCCGTCCGAGAGATATGACCGGCGTGGTCGCGTAGATTGGTATACGTGTGAATAGCGGAAAGTGCTTGCAGCAGTGGACAAAGGCACCAAGGTGTGCCGTGGTCGCATGAGTAAGTAAGATGAATGAGAGGGTTGGTACATGCCTAGCTACTATCAGTATTGCTTGAAGGACGTCATCTTTAGAGTATACAGTCAAAACTGTTGCATGTATACGGGTGGCACAATTGCTCTGGAACCTACTTCTCAAGCTCCTTCAGCTTCCCAGCATCGAAGCTCTCGTCCCAACCGACATCCACCAGTACCTTAACGCCGCCATCGAATTCTAGCAGGGATTGAGTTGCAGGCGACGCCGACTGAGCGCCCAGAAGAGGCGTGAAATTGAACATTATGGTCCTTTACCAGTCGATATGAGGTGCACGACCGCGGAACAGTGCCAGCATAGTGATGCGCTCACAGTGCGAATGACGATAGCTGCTAGTGCTGAGGTATCTGAAGTACCGGATGCGCGTTGCAGCACAACCACGAACGTCGTACACGCAGGGGCCGGATTCGGAATAATTCGGCCCGGATCTGCTTATATCAGCACGACTCCAGGTCTCAGCCTTGGAATCACTTAACACTGTGAACAGCCATTTAATCAATCGAAGAACAGAAGACATTGGATCATCAATGTCTTATGGTTTACAAACTAAACGATCGATCAAGGTTATGCATACCTACCTAGGTAGGTAGGTACCCAGTACTTGAGGTGGAGAATCTATCATGTGACCTGCAATCGCTCACCCGATCCTGCATATGCACGGCATACTCAATCGAGCAATACTCATCAAGATCACACAGGAACTGTACCGATCGCCTTGTCGTGATTACGACGGCGAGAAGCACACGCAGTCCGCTCAGGCGCCAGCAGAATGTCTCACCGCATTGCCTGTAGAATGCGATGCGAGAGTAGGGCTAATGATGGCACAACCCTCATTCCATTCCGCGTTCCGGATCGAAGGTGTTCAGAGAATCGCCGCCTTGCCTCAGGGAGCTTTTCCAAGCTACTGCATGCTCAAGGGCCTCGTTTCGTCTCGTCAGCAAATGGAAACACTGAACACCGACCCCGCTCGCGAATAGCCGCTAATATCTGCACGTCACATTGACCCTCCCTTACTTCTCTCCACTCGGTACGACTTGCTCTGAGCCGTTTTCCTTGATGCCTCAAAAACGGGCTAACGCCAACCATCCTTCCAGACGGCAGAGATAACATTGTCGAACCAAAGACTGACTGCATGGACGAGATTGGGCAAATTTATACTTGATTATTGACATACTCACCCGTAGGAAGTACACCACGCGGCACCTTGCACGCTACCAAGACTAAACGAATGTCATTATGTACACAATGCGATGCTACAGCTCCACTTTATTAGAATCCGTTGGCTGATGAAGCGGCGATTGACTGGGTGGCATTTGCCGTGGGCGATGGCCATCAATCATGACTGATTTAGCGACGTATGCTGAGCTTATGACCCAGGCTCAGCAGGAAGGTGTAGGAACACAGACGGGTACCAACATGTTCCTACTTATGCTATTGTCAATATCGAAAAGTGTATGATTCATGCAGTGCCTACTGCAAGATTCCCTTCACGGCCGTCGGTTACATCCGAAATAGTTGGGTAGGCCAGGGTTTACGGGGCGAAGACTGGAGCCAGCTTCAGGAGCGTGCTCATAAACTTCAGTCCCGTCCCGTTCCCGCTCCGTCCCAAGTTCCCACCAGCATAGCTGTCAAGCAGCACGTTTCGACACGTTTTTTGCGAGAATTGTAACGACAGAGACAACGCGGCGCTTCTCCGTTTGGCTATCGCACATTGTACGGCAATCTTGCAGCTACGCCGTAAGCAGTCAGGCCTGGGGGTGCTTATGGCTCTCGCTGATGGGCTTGAACCGGACGTCGACCCAACACATGAGCCCTGCGGGGACTGCACACCTCTCTCAAACAAAGTTTACGCCGGCCGCTGTCTTGTCCGTTCTGGCAGAGTCCGTGCGCAGATCCCCAGGATCGTCGCCATCTGTTCAGGGCCCTTCCCAGTCTTTGCTTTTACATAGTGCTGCCAGTGCATAGCTTCAAAGCGTAAAACGTTCAACGCAGCCACATTAGCTTCAAACCAATACGTGTGGCGAACAAATGGCAGTCTGCTATCCTGGATCAGGAGGGTTGTCCCGTCTTCCTCAATGCCTTGGTGTGGGAAAACGGCAAGCATCACGATCATCTGTGGCACAACGATAATGCACAGTAGCACCACAGTCTTCAAGCGTCGCGCTCTGTGGGGCAGAGCTCCATCCAAAGACGCCCCATTCAAGATCGCGCCGTCACTAATTCAACTTTCATGCCGTCATTTCGATGGCGTTTGGGTGGTGTGAAGGAAATAGCAATGATCAGGTTGCGGATCATCTAGGCATAGCGTACACGGGCTAATCAAAAGCTGGAATGAATGCGTCCCGCAGCTTCATTCACAATATGGCTTGCCGATACCCATACTGTGCATACTATACGTGCAAGACAAGCTGTTCGATTAGTCGATGCCGTGCTGCAACCAAACGAGCAAATGGCAGCGCGCGAGTACTACGAGATACTTAGATATGTACTCTGCAGTACATGCCAGGAGCATGCACGGTGGAAAGGGGGCGAAAAGGGGACGTTGATTACATACTTACATAAGAATCATGTCCGCCAGAAAGTTATACATACATACGACAGGGCACGAGAGATTACGTCCCCCACCCGCTCTTCGCAGACAGCCCAGTACCAATGAGTAGTGCTCACTCCTCAGGCTGGCTGTCGAGCAAGTACGAAGCCAGTGCAGGCCCCAATCCCATCCGAGGACACATGCATCTACACTGCTCGATTAGTGACCAGAGCTTCGATCAAGTCCTGGCAGCCACTGCACGGTGCTTGGAGTTTTATAAGGAGGCCCGGCACAACGGATTCCCTGTCAAGGATCATTCATCCCATGCGCTCCACACGAGAGTCCTGAGTCGAGTTTGGATGGCAGGCAGCGAAATAGTTTGCTTGTAACCATCTACTGTGGACATCTTGTACGACCCAGCCTGGAGGTGGTCGGGGTCTTCTTCCTGACCCTGCCCCCGGCACTTTACCTCTGGCTTCCTAGTCGATAGGGTGGGTGTATAAGCGTAGCCATCCCCGCTCAGACGATCACCCTCCTACTACGCTTTCTCGCCGTTGCTCTCCGCACGGCACACGTCGCCCGCCTCCTGCATCCTACCAGTAACAGCATTTTTGTTCATAGGCTCCTCTGTCCTCGCCACCGTGCATTGCGTTGCTGATTTCAAACTACCACCATTTTGGTACGACATTTGCAGTTGCACATCCCCAGGCTTTATTGGTGCTCGCGCTACCTCTCCGACTCGCTAAGTCTCCCCCGCGGCCATCTTGCGGTTGCTTGCACCATCCAAACACCACCATTCTAGCGAACCATTTCCACATTTTGAGACAACGCACCGTTCCTTCCACCAGGGAATAGTGCAAATCTACACCGTTCTGGTTCCGACTGCGTAGTCCTCGAATCCTCGAGTATTCGGTGCCATCCTCGCTACGCAGGGAATCGGCTTGCTCCTAATGTCCACTTCGTCCACTCCTCAACTCTCTAGACATATGTCAGCCACCGATGCCTACCAGCTTTCGCCGACGGCCATTGAACATCCCTCTCTCGATCGCATGATTCCTTCGTCTGCCTTTGGGCATCCGCCCTCCGAAGTGCAGCCGCGCCTGAGCATCAGTTCCTCCCCACAGCCCTCCATGTCATCGAGTAGCGATTCACACGATACGCCTGCCTTCGATACAGACACAGTTACGACCGCCGAGTCGCACCCTGAGACCCAACTGGACTCGCGGGCTGAATATGAAGACGTTGTACCCAAGGTCGAGGAATCTGAGGTACGCTTAGCAGACGTCAAAGTTGAACCTACTGCCGACGACACGCCAATATCCCCCACCGAGCCTGTGCGGCTACGTCGCGCTCGAGGTCGACCCCGAATTAATCCTCCTCGCTCTCCCACCACAGCTGCAAAACAGGCCAAGGCGCGATCGAAAACCGGATGTACAACGTGTCGGAAGCGGAAAAAGAAGTGCGATGAAACAAAACCTTTTTGTAAATTCCCTTAGTGCTCCAATCAGTCTGCAACCCTACTAATGTGGAATAGGTCTTTCATGCCAGAAGAACAATATTCACTGTGAAGGCTACAAGCCCGTCGAAATATGGAAGAGCGGTAAAGACAAAGCTGCAGAAGGTTGGTGACTTTTCAACGCCATATGCAGGGCTTTACTGACGCTTGTGTAGCGCGACGGTTAAGCATGGATACTAAATTTGACCTTCCGCCGCTAATGGAGGGGGTTGAGAGCGACTTGGACCGTATACTTCTGCAGCACTTTGTAACTAGAGCAAGTGCTGTCCTGACCTTGCACTCTGACCAGGCTTTGAATCCTTTTACCAAGATATTGCTGCCTATGGCATTGCAGCACGAGGGTTTGATGCACTCTGTCCTCTGTCTTTCTGCCTCTCATCTCTGCTCGCTCACCCCTTCCAAGGATTACGAGGATCGCCAGGTTTTCCACCGTGGCAAAGCATTGCATCTACTTAATCAAGATCTCAAACGGCAACAAGCCGGCGAAGGCGGCGTCATCGTGTACGAAGACTCCAACGTCGCCCAGATACTGGTTCACCTATTACACTCGATATGCGACGGCAACACCTCAGGGGAATACAGGATGCACATGGTAGCAGCTAGATCGATCGCCCAAAATCAAAAGCTGCGAAGCCCGGAGTTGCAAACACTCTTCGACGAGTTCTTCTACTACCACTGGATAGCAAGCGAAATCACCTCTCTGGATGGTGCCGAGGTGCCCATGATGGAAAATTTCAGACTTCCGTTTGAGATCAATCCTGAAACTGCTGCCCTGATCGGAGTGTCCGATGGCCTGTTCGGTTTCATCTCCAAAATCAGTAATTTGCGCAGAAGACTTAGGTCAAGAATCGATGAGGGACTGGAGCCTCCGATGGACTATGAAGCCCTGCTTGCCGCCCATGCCATCGACACCGGGCTCCGCAGTTGGGTATGCCCTGTGAGTCCTGGTACGCCTCGGTACACGATCTCCATGCTCTATCGACAAGCCACCTGGGTCTATCTGTATCGTACAACCAAAGATTCTCGTCCGCATCATTTCATCAAAGCAGCAGTGGATAACGGAATCAAGTACATCAAGGAACTACCGGCGGAAGGCTGGATACAGTCGAATGTGCTACTTCCGCTATTTTTGCTTGGTTGTGCAGCTTTTGAGAAAGGACAAAGAGTTGAAATCGACCGAGCCTTCAGCGGCCTCATGGCTGTTACCGGACTAGGCAACATTAATCACGCTAAAGAGGTTGTGGATCGCATCTGGGAGCTGATGGATGCAAATGATAGCGAGAGCTGGGATTGGGAAAAGTTAATTCATCAAAAGGGGTGGGATTTCCTTGCGACTTGAGATGGGCACGTCTGTGCTCAACACGATTTCCTACGTGTGCTCTGACGAATTAGTATTTCTTTTTGGGAGGCTTAAAATCTTGGAGTTCACTGGGCTCGGTGAGGCAATATAGGGTAAGGCACATATGCATCTGACGGGTATGTCTTTTGCTTGGTATGGGAGGTATGCTTGCTTTTACCATTTTGTTCTTCCTATTCTCCCGCTTCATCGTCAAATCTTGCATTCCATCGCTACTCTTTGCCTATTTCATTTTTTACTTCTACATTCGTCCTTTTCTACGACGAGTTTTTCTACAGAGACGTATCATCTGCGATATCGCCTGTACTGGGAGGCCTTCGCATCCACTTACGTTGAGCGATTCATCTACCGATTTGTTATTCTTTTGGGCGGTAGTTGTATACCAAAGCAAAACTTGAGCGTTGGAGCAGAGCCCCATGCCTCTTATCATACCTGGGTTATTAGTAGAGCGTTGTCCAGAATTTGCAGCCTAGTTAGTATGCCTACTTGTCATGACACGTATGTACGCATTATGTATGCAGAAGGCGAATTGCCTTTCCAACCCATATCCTAGTCTAGAGCCGTCTTGAGACCAATTGATTCCACGGGTGCTATTCAAAAGAAGCGGCCAAGCCATGTCAGCACTTTTGGAGAGCCACACAGAGTCTTGCATGCTTTGGTAAACAATGAATCATTCTTTACACAACTAGCTCCCCCTCTTTCCCAAGAAATTAGAGTGGTAGCCACAAAGGATTATATCTGACGCCCACGTATTCGCTTGCGTGATGCAATGCAGAGAAGTTCCTCCAATCAATAATTCATCACAGCACAGGGGAGAAGAGGTGGGGAGGATTGCTCCAAAGACTCTCAACGCTAATCGCAAAGGCATCACCGAGCGGCATCTCCTCCAAAACGCGTTATTCGGTGACTGGGGTGCAAGCGGCAAATGCCGGGGACTGTCTAACCCCCCCTCGCTGTTCACGACTCACCATCCTGTTCCTCGGCGTCTCGATGAACCGAGAGAGTAACATTCCCAATAGTGAAAAAAGCGCGGTGCGTGCGTGCATAGACGCACATGCGGTATTTTACATACATGCACAGCAGATACATTTCAATTATTTGGGTAGTACTTTAGCCGGAGAGGCACTGGGCAGAGGGAGGGAAGACAGACGATACATTAGAGGGGAAAAGCAGCAAGCCGGAATTAGCTTTCCTTCACGGATTACCTATGTGGGTACAAGCGGGATGGGGACCCATTCGCTTCCTTCGCGCCTCGCTGCCATGTCCACCGAAACCCTTTTTTATCCAGAACCTTGAACCTCACAGCACAAGAAACAGGCCGCGGAACGAGCGTGGGCGGGTGAAGATGAATTCCCAATAATTTGGGGCAGAGTGGGGGGCGAAGCCGGGAATTGAGTGGGTTGTCTTGGATATCTTCGCACATCAGTGCCATATCCTCAGTAGAGTCTTGGATGCACGGAGGAGTCTCATAGCCTAGCGAGATGATTGTTTGCTAGGAATAGCACGTTTCTCAGGGGTGTGAATATTATCCAGCCAGTTGTTGAAAGGCATCAGTACACTCCCAATGCACGCAATCCTTCGGAGAGTCGGAAGTGCACGCACCGCACCGGGGATAAGGAGAGGCGTGCAGTTTTCCTAGCTTTTCAACATGTATCGCTGTATATGATGCTGGTACATTTACTGAACGTACGAATCGCGAGGCCTGCAGCTTGCTGGCAAGTAGATGGAGAAGGTGGGATCCTCACTTACCCCCCCACGCCAATTTACCAACCGCGTGCACCCGAAATACAACTTATTGTCGGGTCCTGGAAGTTATTGTGGCACATGCGATGATGATCATGGCTGTATGGCTTGGGGATGGCTTGATATGGACGGCGTGTACGAGGATGTAAGCAAGCGAGACCTGAATATCATACCGCAACTGCGTGCCTAGGTATATACCGCCGAACAAGGCAGGGTATCAGGAGTTATTGATACAGTGCTATATTCGATGTGAAGGTCACCATTGTGTCTTGTCGTCTTGTCCTCGTCATCAACGGCTTGGAAACTGGAAGCCTAGTCCATCACTGGCACATGTGATAGTATATCCGGATAAGAAATCCACCGACTAGAAGTCAAGACAAAGTGGTCGCCCATCATCTGCCCATTGTAAACCCTCACCGCCACTCCGGGGCTCTACATGAACAAAAAAGATGCTGCTTAGGAAGGAGTGGTTCCATAAAAAGCAATAAAGCAGAGACTCTGACGAGAACCGCGATGCTGATTTGACCGAGGAAGCATGAATGACCCTAATCGGTGACGGTTACACACACGCAAGGCGACGGAATTCCGTACGCAAATGGACACCGTGACAGACCGGACGTAGAACACCTTCCGTCCAGGCTTTCCAGATCGAAAGCAGCTGGGAATGGCTTGCTTGCGCTCACCGATGTAAGCAAGGGCTAAAGACGATGGGATGGTAAAAGCATGGGCCCCACGAGAGCGAGGCGTTCTCTCGCCCGCACGTATGCCATAGCAGTCGTTTGATTTGATAGACGGCATAAGACTTCAGCCCTACGGCTGTGTAGGCCGCAGACGGTTGCGTTCACTTGATCAAGGCAATATGGACCAGTCAGCAATGGTAATTATCGAATGTTTGATCACACCGATTGTCGGATTCTCCATGTAGCATCAGCAACAATGATGATGTGAATGCGAGGCCGATGACCTGAGTCAGTCGAGTGGTAGCATCGGAGGACTATGGTGAAATAGAAATGGGATCTGGAGCTATGCAGGGATAGCAATGGCTGAAGGGCGCGTGCGAGAGAGATTGTGTGCGTGTGGAGAAAGAAGGGCTAGTGCGTAGTCGCGCTTCAAGCCTCATGAGTAAGCGCGTCGTCGATCACGCTCGTGTAACGATAGGATAATGTTCGGCTGGGTAAACGATGGTGCTATATTGTGGAGGCGAAAGGCTCACCTCATCTTTGAGCCATCTCCTAAGGTCAAACAAGGAAATTGAAGTTGCCGTCAGACGAAGCTGAGTGCCCAGATACCCAGACACGCAGCTGGATCCGCTTGCGGTTAACTGCATTGGGAGACGAGGTTCCGTCACTTTGTTATCTCTTTGGCAGGTCCTCGGTCGCGAGAACTTCCCAAATCACAACGTTTCTCGTATTGTGCTGCACTCCTGCATCTCATCATCACATCTACTCCGCGTTGGTGAGACGGAGAATTGAATCCTCTGCAGTGGTCCCAGATTCCCAGAGGTCTGGCCAGCTTATGCGAGAAGTCGGCTCCGCGCTGCGATGGATGCGATGGATATCGACTACGCTTCAATTTCATATTTCATCCACCACTGGGACATCAGAACCATGGGCTTGAGCTCATCTCTCCTTGGATTCAATACCTTGCAGCGCTTTTTTACCGGTAACAATGGACATGCAAGTGAATCCGACAGGATGGCAGTCCATGCTTCCCACTCGCCACATCGCCAATCGCTCCCTCGGCATGTATCCACGGCGTAGGGTACAAAAATGGCCGTCGGAGCCATCAGAAGCTTTTGATAACTGGCAGCAGAGCCCGTGTACCTGTATGTGGCGCAGATATGCCTGCGATATGCAAGAGCAGTGTTTCGGCTTATCGTATGCGGCAGATTATCAGCAACAAGCTTACAACGTGAGCGATAGACTGGAGAAGTCTGTTCAGAATCCAGATCATGCGAACGAAACTTTTATTCTATTGAACTCAGTCTACTTGTCACTTGTTACGGGCTTTGCCACTTGCAGGCGTCACAATGAGCCATGGGCATCTCATTTGTGCGCATGACGCCTTTTTGTAGACACCCCCCACGCAGTTCACAGCGCCTGGCATACTACAATGCAAACGGTTAGATTTACGCTAATCAAGTAATGCGATCTTACGAGCAAGTGTGCAGGAAGAGCTGCTATAGTTCTGAGGGGTGGTATACGGCGGTGTAAGTGTAGCGGATGGTTGATCAAACACACCAAGACAGCGGACCAGACGCTTCTGAAGCTGCAACACGGTGATACTTGCCTGTGTAGGGAAGGCATCATGTATTCATATGGAAGGTCGGCACGGCAGTGTTCCAACACTGAGTATTGAGGATTCTGTCCACTCAGACTCGTTGGATCTCGTGCGGGGAACTGAGCCAGAGCTTTGAGTATACAAAGCTGATGGTGGAATGCGCCTTACATCCTGCAAGTCGACGGATTCGGACTGTTGAGGGTTTACAACACCCCGAGCTGACACAGTGTGTTGGTTGTGTGAGGGGACTTCGTATCGGCTACGAAGAACCAACAGTGTCGTGCTGTTGTATGGCCGTAAGGCTCCGATTATCACACGAAATGTTACTTGTACTCGGCAACAGACTTTTGCGACCCACGGCCTGCCTTTTCGGCCTTCTCGTTAAAGCTATAGTAGCGTCAATTATGACCCTTGTAACCCCAGAACCTGGATTAGTGCTAAGACATTGTTGCCGAAGACTCGCCTCGTGGTGAGCCATTTCCCAAAGATTCTTCATGCTATGGACTCACATAGAAGGATATGGGCAGCTAGAGGTTGAAACCGTGTCTCGCGGTTGGATGAAACAGGTGGGTGAGGTGAAGAATATGTATGGATCATGCGTTCTTGCATGGGTGCGGGAGTTGGCAACCATGAACAAGAACAGCTGTGTTGGGTCGATTATGGCACAACTGCTATACTCGAGAGGATAATGTTGGAAGACGCTACCATGTCCGATGCTCGCATACAGCCCTGATTCGAGCTGCTTGGTGAAGACCGTTGAAACCTGTCAGAGAGAGAGGGTGTGTTCCGGCCCCGAAGAGTGATGAGCGTTGCAACCGAAGTTGGAGATCGCCTCGGCTGCTTAGCGAGGGCCTGGGTTCAACGGCGCTCGTCGAATCGCAGCCTGGGGAAGGAGCAAAGGACATCGTCTGCCGATGGGAAGGCCCGCATCGGACATTTCTGAGCACGCTGGAGCACTTGCTTCCTCCCGACTCCTTTTCCTCTCATCACCTCTCTTATGAATCACTCCAGAAGCAATGGAGAAAGAGTCGGCGACGAGCCATTCGATGGGCGATACTGAGAAGACGGCCAGTCAACCAGCTCCACAAGAGATGGACATCGATGCGGAACAACCCCAGTCAACCGACAATGCTGCACTCCGGCCAACCGTCACCAGCAGCAGCGTGGCATCGCAGGTCAGAAATACAATGTCTTTGCAAGAGGTGGATCCTGTTTCGCTCCACATTGAACATCTTTCGGTTTCTGTGGACGAATCGCCCAGTTTGATCACCAAACTGTTTGCGAAGAATGGCTCAGCGGGTGACGCAAGTGGTAGCCATACGAAGAAGATCCTGGACGATATTTCCGCCGATATGCCGAGTGGATCTTTAACAGCCATTATTGGAGGAAGTGGAAGTGGGAAAACATCCCTACTCAACCAGATGAGTGGGCGAATGAAGGGCAACAGACTATCGACAACCGGTAGAACGCTTTTCAACGGCAGCGAGGATGCCTCGGGTATCCGAAGCGCGTATTGTATACAGCAAGACTTGCTATTACCAACTCTGACAGTCCGAGAAACTTTGACATACGCTGCGCAGCTTCGGTTGCCGCCATCCACAGGTCGAGATGAGAGGACTCGTTTGGTTGAAGAGGTCATCATGGAATTGGGTTTGAAAGAGGCCGCAGATACTCGAATTGGGAATCACGAGCATCGTGGTTGCAGTGGAGGAGAGAAACGACGAACAAGTATCGGAGTGCAAGTAAGCGTGAATTTCGAAACAGTGGCGATAAGGCACTCAACTAAGCTATCCACAGTTACTTTCCAACCCCAGTCTGCTCTGGCTTGATGAGCCGACCACCGGATTAGATTCGACAAGCGCCTATCAAATCGTAAAAACTCTCCGGAACCTAGCACAAAAAGGCAGAACCATCATCGTCACAAGTAAGCAACCTTTACATCCCAGTGAAGCATGGCAACACGCTGATCTTGAAAGTACATCAACCCCGTTCTGAAATTTGGAGCTTATTCGACAACCTCATCCTCTTGACCAAAGGGCGCCCCGCGTATGCCGGCAGTGCAAAAGAATGCCTGTCCTACTTTGCGAAACTAGGGCACGAGATGCCCGCATTCACAAACCCTGCCGAGTACTTGATTGACGTGGTTAGCGTCGACAACAGGAGCGTAGAGGCCGAGGCCGAGGCCAAAGTTCGCGTTGATCGTATCGTAGAAGCATGGCGAGATCATTCTTCCAGCACTACCTCGGAAAAGAAAGAACAGGAAACGACTGCGATTGCCAAGTCCACATCGAAAACCTTCAAGATGCGACATACTTCGCTCTTCCAGCAAGTCAATGTCTTAACCAGGCGAACTTTCAAAGTCACAACAAGAGATCCAATGGGCATGTTTGGAAGTTTGGTAGAAGCTATCGGAATGGCTGTCATCACAGGTTGGATTTTCCTGCACGTAGATGGATCTCTTTCTGGAATTCGTTCTCGACAGGGTGCACTGTACACAGCAGCTGCGCTTCAGGGGTATCTAATCCTCCTCTACGAAACATACCGTCTCACCATCGATATCCAACTCTTCGACGAAGAAGCTCGGCAAGGAGTCGTCAGTATTCCTGCATTTCTCATGTCGAGGCGATTCGCGCGACTTTTCATTGAAGATATACCTGTCCCACTGATCTTCTCTCTTATCGTTTACTTCATGGCCGGATTTAGAAAAGACGGGGCCGTATTCCTCACCTTTTTTAGCGTGATTCTCCTAGAGCAGTACATCGCTGTGTGCTTCGCGACAATGTGTGTGGCCGTCTCCCGGCATTTTGCAGGTGTACGTACAAACATACAGCTATATATTTGCATTGTCTCAGCTGATTCTGATTTCTATAGGCAAGCTTGGTTGCGAACCTCGCGTATACCCTTCAGTCTATGGCATGTGGTTACTTCATTCAAGCCAACACAATCCCAATCTATGTACGCTGGACCAAGTGGACAGCATATGTATTTTATGCATTTGGGGCACTTGTCTCCAATGAATTCACTGGGAGCTTCTACGATTGCCCTTTGGAAGGAGGACCCTCGAATCCTGCCTGCAAAGAGTACACCGGCGAGTTCATCATCGACTCACTCGGATTCCCCAAAGACTGGATCTGGCGCCCGATTCTAGCTCTCTTTGGTTTTGTGGTCGCTTTCTATCTCGGTGCTGCGTTACTACTGAAATTCTGGAGTGCAGAGATCGCCATGGCAAGGGCAAGGCCTTCTAATATAGACGCTTCCGCTGGTAAAGAAAATATGGCCGTTCGGTCTCAGGACGAAGTCCGCACCATCACCATCCGGCTGGAGGGGTACGGACTCGATATCGAGAAACGCTCCTTGAAGACCAAAACCACGAAACAGATCTTGAAACCGCTCACCTCTGAATTTCAACCAGGAACATTGAACGTCATAATGGGTCCCTCTGGATCAGGCAAGACGTCCTTGTTAAATAGCATGGCTGGTCGACTTCGCGATGACCTGACGACGCACTACAAGAGGTTTGGCAATATGACTTTCAACGGTCTAGAACCATCGGAGGACGTCATTCACGCTATATGCTCATTCGTCACACAGGATGATGATGCCCTTCTGGCCTCTCTAACAGTTCGTGAGACCCTCCGTTACGCAGCTGGGCTAAGACTACCCAAATACATGACACGAGCCCAAAAGTACCAGAAAGCCGAAGAAATCCTCTTGAAAATGGGATTGAAAGATTGTGCGGACAACCTTATTGGTAACGACCTCATCAAAGGCATCAGTGGCGGTGAGAAACGAAGAGTCACTATCGCCGTGCAAATCCTGACTGAGCCTCGAATTCTTCTTCTGGACGAGCCCCTGTCCGGTCTGGATGCATTTACAGCACTATCCATCATGGACGTCCTCCGCGGTCTGGCAAATGAAGGTCGTACGCTGATTGTTACTATACACCAGCCTCGTTCTGATCTCTTCGTTCACTTCGGAAACATGCTTTTGCTAGCCCGTGGTGGGCATCCCGTCTACGCAGGCCCTGCTAGTAACATGCTTCCGCACTTCGAAAGTCAGGGGCATCACTGCCCGCGGCACGTCAACCCAGCAGACTTCGCCCTCGATCTCGTCACGGTTGATCTCCAGCACGAGACCAAGGAAGCAGCGAGTCGCGCTAAAGTTCGACGTCTGATCGACTCGTGGACCCCTGATATGTTCCCTGCCGCACGCACTGGCTCCATAGCCACGCCTGCTGAACTGGGTAGTTTGGCCCGCGAGCCTGCGTCGTTTGCGTCCGCCTTTTCCATCCTCATTCGAAGGGCAACGAAGAACTTCTTCCGACAGCCAGACCTATTGACCGCGAGAATCATGCAAGTCGTAGGATTGGGTATCGTCCTCGCGCTATTCTTCGCACCTCTGAAGAGCGACTACTTCGCTGTTCAAAACAGGCTGGGCTTCCTCGTAGAAATTGCACCACTTTACTTCGTCGGCAGTATGTCCATCTTCCCCCATCTCCCCGTCATCATATGAAAAAGCTAACATATTTCGCAACAGTGCTTCAGAACGTCGCCGTCTACCCCATCGAGCGCGACGTCTTCTACCGCGACTACGACGACCGTATCTACGGCGTAGAATCCTTCTTCCTAACTTACACCATCCTCGAAACGCCCTTCGAGATTGTGAGCTGCATCATCTTCGCTATCCTGACGTGTCTAGCCTGTGGCCTCGAACGCGATGCACCGACCTTCTTCATCATCACATTCAACGCGTTCTGCATCGTCAGTTGCGGCGAGTCGCTTGGGATAGCGTTTAATACACTATTCACGCACACGGGGTTCTCCGTGAACTGCATGAGTGTGTTTTTGTCGGTTGCGCAGATCATGGGTACGTTTTCTTTTGCACATACTCTTTCTTCATACAGCAACACTGCCCTTCGCTCATTCGCTATCCTGAACCTGTGTAAGCCATACTGACATCGAACAGGAGGCGTCATCTCCCTCAACGTTCCTTCTTTCCTCCAAGCCTTCAACCATCTCTCCCCTATCAAATACGCCGTAGGCAACATGGCGCCCTACACGCTCCGCGGGATCCGTTTCACATGTGAGGAGTACCAGAAGATTCAAGGGCGTTGCCCCATCTCGACGGGCGAAGAAGCACTTGATTTGTATCGTCTAAACAAAGACCCCGAGATGAACATTATGGCGCTGGGGATCTGCGTTGTGGTGTACAGGGTAGTAGCATATGCCATTCTGAAGGTCGTGAAGGAGAGGTGGGTGGGCAGGGCTTGGGCAAAGGTTAGTGGGGGGAAGAAGTAGGAAGGTTTAGTTCGGTTGAGAGGGAGAGGTAGAGAGATTGTGTGTAGGGACTTTGCTATATTGAAATGGGTATACCCAGATTGAGTAGATGATGAATAATATCGTGTTCAATTTCATCTTCCACTTATGAGACTTGGTGCTCATTATCGTGCCCTCTCGGTCATGTCAAAAGATGTATGAATGAGACATCGAATTAAGTTCTCGAATAACAGACAAGAAGAATTGTGTAAAAACACCCTGATATCAACCCAACCCACATCAACGCCCCCCTAAACAAAAAGGTCATCACTCCGTTGTCGACAATCACACACAGCTATAACCATCTTCTGACCCTACTTTCCCCCAATTTCTCAACTCTGCTTCCTTACCCTCACACAATTCTTTTTCCTTTCCCAACCGCCTGCCTCTTTCCCTACATTCCATCAACCACCCCACCCTCCACAAAGATACGCCCTCAGCCTTTCATCATAAGCTCTCCTCAAACAAGCCTCCGACTCTTTAATCCTCAACGCCCTCAAAGTCTCCGCCCTCGGACTCGCTCTCCTCCTAAGCCGGCACCTAGGAACTGCAAACTGGGGCGTAGCGACTCGAATGGGATCCCCACCTTCCCCCTTACTCCTCGAGGTAGATGAACCGGAAAGTGAAGGAGGCAAAAAAGAAGGGGATGAAGTGGATATACGTGAAGGTAAAGTTGGAAGAGTGTGAGGTTGTTGTAGGAGAGGTGAAGGTGGTGGCGATAGCGAAGAAGAAGACGTGGTTGAAAGTGGTGCAGAAGGTGGGTTTGCCGGGGCGTGTAGGTTGTGCAGGGCTACATAAAGCGGTTTTGGGTGTTTAATTTTGCGGTTGGAGGTGATGTCGTAATAATCGTAGTTGGTGCTACTGCTGTTGCTGTTGCTGTTGCTGAATAGCGGCGGTGGGATCAGATCGGCTTCTTCATGCTCGGGGATCCGGAAAACGCCCTCGTAGGTTGGTGGCAAGAGAAATCCGTTTCGTCTGTGGGCGATTTCGTGACGCTCGTATTTGCGGCTTGGGTGTCGTGATGGGAGCTGTGGTGTCGTTGTGTAGGGTTGAGGAGACTGCGAAGTCGACATCGCGTTCACTCGGGCGACCATTTGGAAGAGGAAGGTAAGGTCAATCGCAGGAGCAAGAAGATATTGAGAAGAGAGTTTTCTTTGGTAAATGTATCAATTGTGTGTTATTTGCCAGTGTTGGAAAACATCAAACTATATGTGCATGCAATGCGGGTTGTATGCGATCTTCTTATACCAGCTACTGGGGAAGGAAACAGGATGATGCACGCCTTGCCGTCTTCCTGCATCTCACACACGTACCGTCATCACAGGGACCTCTATCAGTTAGATAGATTTCAAAATTCGGGCGAAGCGTGGCTAATTATTGGTTAGCTAGTAGGTAGCAAGCAACAGGGTGTATCTGCTTCCAGCGCTGCCAAAGAGAATCGGCTTTTTTTCTCGCTCACGAGCAGTTACGTGCATGATGCATATGCACCTGTGATAGCGAGCGCTGAGTGAATCTGTAGTGCTGAGAACGATGGCAGTCGCGATGATGACAGCAATACGAAGCGGCTGGGATTACGGCTATCTTACCAGAGCTGAACGTGTAAGTGGATCCCGGCTTCCTGGATATGGATTTACAGCTGCACGAGTCGCATCTTTTGCAGCTGAGACAGATGGCGATGATTGATTGAGTGATGGGTACCGTAATGGATGGTAGCTCCATTAATTGCTTGGTGCATGTACATGTAATGATTAAGCAGTCACCGTTCTTTGTCCCGACTGATACCTGCTCAATTCCGCAACATGAACGATTGATGGGTTCTTTCTTGTTCCTCATTTTTCTGAATGACCATGATGATCATGCGACGGTGATGGATAGGATGAAACGTCTCCACTGTGTAGTGTTTACGAAGTTCTTGGTTCCAATTTGCGGTTTCTGGACGAGGTTGGTGTATTATCGCTACTCAAACTTAATTGCTCGGTTCCACCAAGTGAAGGCACACGCAAGCATTTTCGTACCACTGGCCATGATGTCGTGACGCTCGCAAACCTTGCGACCCGCAAAATGTCCCAAGGCTTGCCCATCCGAACAAAGTTGCACTAGAGCCCTAGAACATGAGACCTCCCATCAAAGAACCCCCCAGTATACCTGCTGCTAGTGGTGCTCCCATTCCCATTCCTCCTCCGTATCCATATCCGTACGGTCTGCCATAGGGCATTCCAGGCCGCATGTACCTCGTATTTGGACTTGCATACAAACCCGAACTGAATGGACTGTAACCGTACCCTCCATTCGCGTATCTTCCAGGGTAGCCTCCGCGTGCAGCTGGTTCGAGATAGACATCGCGGCCTCTTGAGTCTTTGCCTAAGAACTGGGGCTCTCCGGTTTGCATGGCACGAATCATGGCTTGCCGCATTTTCAAGTGCTGTTGATAAGCACGGCGCTCTTCTTCCTCACGTTGAGCGCGCTGTACTTGTCGTTCTTCGTGCGTGGTAGATGTGATTTTGTCCTTCATCCTTCGCGTAAACTTGTGAAGGCCTTTCGGCGCAGGTTCTCCTCTGTCTGGAAGCGCTCCAGGCGTGGATCCCGGGCCAGCTCGTCGTTGTTGTGAAGTTTGACTCGGACCGCCTCTGTGATCGTCGTCGTCGTCGCTTGACTCTGCAGCGATATCGTCTATAGACATAGTGCGGTGCAAACTTGAATGCTCTTTTCTCTCTTCGGGGCTCAGTGAGGATAAGTACTCTTCATCATCGTATGGGTGTGTCCATATACTTCTGGGAGGGTCTGCTTTGGTATCTACGAAGAACTGATGCTGCTCCTCTGGATCGAAAGAACGAACCCAGCCGTCTGGTAACGGCCTAGCCAAATCTTCCATTGAACGTCGCGCTTCTGGAGAGATCCCATTGCGTGCTCTACGTGCGCCGGGACCATCGGTGGGAACGCGGCGGATACCTTGTTGAGGAGCTGAGGATGAACCAATGGCTGATTCGTATGAGGGAGGCGCATCATGAGGGTGTGCACTCGACATGTTGGCTGATGTACAGAGGGTTGAGGATGAAAGTGATGATTTTATGTGTGAGATTAGTAGGAAAGAGTTTTGGAGCTGGGTGGTAGAGAAGAGCGACGTGAAAGATGTGGCGAGGTTCGCTGTTTTCAACTACACCGCCCTCTCTTCATTACACTATTCAGAAGCAAGGCGACGTGAATACCAGAATATCAGTCGCGCTTGCACTTTCGATGACCGGCGATGACGTTGTGGCGGTGCATGCCACTTGTGGACCTCCAACCCAATTGCAATCGTACGTAGCGCGTAGTGTAAATTTTGATGCTCTACTATGAAGATCAACAGGTCTTCGCTTTGTTTGATTGCCTGATTGTTTGTCCTTGTTGCTCGGATTCCTATGTGGTTATATCAACAGGTTGAGGGTGAATTATGGCAGCTTCGCAGATCCCATGGAACCGCAGTCGCTCGTTACTCTATATATGGTGCGTTGCCATGTAGTCCTATTTTGAATTGGACCAACATATTTTATTGCTTCTTGAGGGCATTACATTAGATATGTCTTACGTTGTGGCTGTGCCTTTTCATGCCACCGACAAGCACGCAAACTCTATAGTAGGGCAAATGACAGAAAAGCATGGAAGCATTCATGGGCGCCCTGGGGTTATCTCGGCATGCGCAGGCCAGCACTGAATGCGCGAAAATTCAATCAATCACAGTCGCAATGCCAAGTATTTGTTCGTTGAGTAGAGGGCCCGTAGACCCTCCCTCTTCAATGGAAGTCCTTATTATTTCTTCTTCTCTCTATGGATCATTCCTTTCCTTTCCTTACCAGGCAGAGCCGGAGTACCAAAACTCACGCTCCTATGCAATGTTGAATCGGTTGCGACCGCTACTCGCTAATAGCGGCGGCGTGAATATCTCTCTAATGAAAAGTGACTCGGGGAAAGCGTTTCCGTCAGATGAATGCAGAAAAGCTTTTAGTTGATAAAGGGGGTATCAGATTCCCGACGCCGAAACTTGTTGAAAGACGATAGATCTTTTTTTGTGTGTGTAGTGAGCCCGCCAAAGATATGCATGTCATGTCGTCATAAAACCAGGGACCGTTGTGGTTGAAGTTGATTCAAACCACGCATGCAATTACAAAATATCATAATACATTTAGAGCTTAAGCTCCTTGGGCTTCTCCCAGGTGAATCCCTGTCACGATGTTAGTAAACAAAATTTTCTTTGCATCATGGTCTGTGCTCTTACCTGGTCGCTGAAGTGGCCGTTCTTGGCCGTCTGGAAGTAGATGGGGTTAGTGAGGTTAAGTTCCTTGACAATGACACCAGGTCGGAGGTCAAAGTTCTTGTGGATGATCTCAACAAGCTGGTCAGAAGACTTGTCGGAGGTGCCGTAGGTCTCGACGAAGAGCGAAAGAGGCTCAGCAACACCAATGGCGTAGGAAAGCTGGACGAGAGCACGGCGGGCCAACTTGGCGTTGACCAGGGACTTGGCGATCCAGCGAGCGAGGTAGGCAGCGGAACGGTCGACCTTGGAGTAGTCCTTTCCGGAGAAAGCACCACCACCGTGGGCTCCCCATCCACCATAGGTATCGACGATGATCTTGCGACCAGTCAAACCGGCGTCACCCTGGGGTCCACCAATGATGAACAGACCAGAGGGTTGGATCTGGATCGCAAGGTTAGCTCAATAATCAATCTTGTCACATAGATCAGACATACGTGGTAGACGGTCTTTTCATCAAGGTACTTGGCGGGGATGACCTTCTTGATGATCTTCTCGAGGATTTCCTTGCGGAGCTCCTCGGTGCCGATGACCTCGCTGTGTTGAGCGGAGACGACGACGGTGTCGACACGCTTGGGGACGACAGCGCCGTTGTCGTGCTCGTACTCAACGGTGACCTGAGTCTTGGTGTCGGGGCGCAACCAGGGGAGGCTGCCGTCGTTACGGGCATCCTTCATGGCCTTGTTGAGCTTGTGGGAGAGCAACAGAGTCAAGGGCAACAGCTCGGGGGTCTCGTCGGTGGCGTATCCGAACATGATACCCTGGTCACCGGCACCGAGCTTCTCCAAAGCCTCATCGTAGTGGAGACCCTGGGCAATGTCGGGCGACTGTTGCTCGATGGCGACGAGCACGTTGCAGGTCTTGTAGTCGAAGCCCTTGTCGGAGTGGTCGTAACCAATGTCCTTGATGGCACCACGGATGACCTTTTGGTAGTCGAGGTGGGCCTTGGTGGTGATCTCGCCGAAGACCATGACCATACCAGTCTTGGTGGCCGTCTCACAGGCCACCTTGGAGAGAGGATCCTCCTTCAGGCAGGCATCGAGGATGGCATCAGAGACTTGATCGCTGTGCAAAAGTTAGTTGTATTGATCACATAGAATCCCCACTTTTCCGCTCCGGGAGACGTGATTTGTTAGGGAACGCTCCGGACAATGTTCCCATTGGGCTGGTAATATTATACAGAGAGTTTTTTTGTTGGCAGGGTGGGGGGAGAGCGGGAAAACAAGGCCAGATAACCATGATAAAGAAAGGGGGGGAAAAGAGTGGGAAAAAAAAAGAAGAAAAAAAAAAAAACTCACCAGATCTTGTCGGGGTGGCCCTCACCGACGGACTCGGAGGTGAAAAGGAAGGTGCCCTGAAGAACAAGAGTAAGTAGGTGGTGGATAGACGTAAGCCGGAGCAGAGTCGTGTGAGGGGCGTAGCCGGAGATGCAGGGCAAGCAGGATTGATACGACGTACCTTGGAGGGGACGGAGGTACCGTTGGTGGTCATGTTGGCGATTGGGACGAGATTGGGGATGCTCGTAGTGTAGGACTCGCGACCGGGTTTGGAGGAGAGAAGAGAGAGAGAAAGGAAGACGGAGGAAGAGAAGGTGTTGGTGGTGGTGATGAAGTGGGGAGGGGGGGTCAACAGAGGGGTTTTAAGGCGGGCGGAATAGGGAACTGGCAAGGGTTCGGCTGGCTAACCGGGGGCTTGTCCTCAGCGACGGCCAGCGATTCTTCCTCGCAAAACGAATTGCCGAAAAAAACGTGCACAGCAAAAAGTGACCCGACGTCGCAGGTGTGTTGCTAGCACGCCATTCACCACGACGTGCCACCAATCACGGCGCCGCCCCACGGTGGGCTTGACCGCCCTGGCCGCGGCGCGGGGCAGAAAAATGATAGTCGCCGGCGTGCGTCGACATACCTTCATTGTCTCCGCCAACGTTGTTCATCACGTTTGCTGTTTTATCCCTCCGAAGCCTGCTTCCGTCGTCGTTCCATGAGCCCAGTCATACACCAGCCGCCGCCATGAGCAAATACGGAACCCTGGTCATGGTGAGTCAGACGACACCACCTCGGCTACTTCTCCTCTGCCTCCCCTCCTCCTACTCCACCTGCTCTCCATTGTATCCGAATTCCCAAGACGTCACCACCCCATGCTAACACCACATTTCCAACAAAGGGCCCCGCCGGCGCGGGTAAATCCACCTTTTGCTCCTCGCTGATCCAGCATCTGCAAAACAACAAGCGACCATGCTACTATGTCAACCTCGACCCAGCCGCCGAAGAGTTCGACTTCGAGCCGGACCTCGACATCAAGGACCTCGTCAGTCTCTCCGACGTCATGGATGAGATGAGCCTTGGTCCCAACGGCGGTCTTATCTACTGCTTCGAGTTCCTCATGGACAACCTCGATTTCCTGACCGAACCGCTCGAGGAGGTGACGGACGAGTACCTTATCATCATCGATATGCCCGGCCAGATTGAACTATACACACACGTACCGATCCTGCCGGACCTTGTGCGTACGCTGATGCGTGGCTCTCTCAATATAAATCTGTGTGCAGCATACTTGCTCGAGGCCACGTTCATCGTGGATCGACCAAAGTTCTTCTCCGGCACGCTGTCGGCCATGTCCGCTATGCTCATGCTGGAGATGCCACACATTAACATCCTGAGCAAGATGGATCTGGTAAAGGGCCAGGTCAAACACCGCGAGCTCAAGCGCTTCATCGATCCTGATCCGAACCTGCTCGATGATGACCCCACGCGGAAGACGAAGGGCGAGGATAAGGATGAGCTGAAGGAGTACGAGGACCCGGGCTTGACCAGCAGCGTCATGAGCGGATCGTCTTTTGACCGTCTGAACAAGGCGGTCGCGCAGCTCATCGACGACTTTAGCATGGTCTCTTTCCTCAGGCTTGATGTCAAGGACGAGGATAGTCTTGCAGCCGTACTGAGCTATATTGATGACGCGATACAGTATCATGAAGCGCAGGAGCCAAAGGAGCCCAAGGACGAGGCGATGGAAGAGTCTATGGGACTTAGTGGTTGAGGGGCAAAAATAACATGAGTGGATATGGTCCTGGATACACCATAAAACGAAGCATTTGAAGGCGTTAACTCGGAAGGTCAAGAAGGGTCCCTCTTCGTTTTGGATACGCATACTTTGCATGATCAGGAATAGAGGAGCAGCAAGAAGGATGAACAAAAAAGGAACTAGGAAAAGAAAAACCAAGAGCTCAGCATTTTGCATAATGATACCCAAACAATCAAAACTCATGACATGACTTACCCTCTCCAATCCATGAGCGTGAATGATGCTGTGACCTTCCACCATTGGTATACACACCATGAGAAGCCTCGAACAAGTCACCGAGTCACCATAACAATATCACAATGAATCACGACAATATATCCAATCCAAAAGACAATAAAAAGCAGAAAGGAGGTTCATTCCCATTACTCGAAACCCTATTCCCTCATTCCCCATTTCCCCATCATTGAAACCCCAACCAACTTACGCCCAGGTCCCCTACGCCAATGCTCCCATAAAAAAAGAGAAGAAGAGTAAAGGAACTTGGAAAGCAGTAGCCTGAAAAAAGCACAGAAAGTACAAGGAAAGAGGAAGACGGGGAAAGAGGGGGGAAAGAAGCCAGACAACCATGATCAAAAGAGGGAAACAGAGAGGCGGAAGAAGGCCGGATAGCTTCACTGGTGTGTGGAAGGATAGATAATCCACACCTTGATACCAACCGCACTGCCTCTTATTCCGCAAGAACAAAGGACGTCCAGCAAGTTGGAAAAATGTGTGTATGTACGACGAGGGTGGGGGGAACAACACGGTCCTTCCAAGTGAACGCGTCCTGTGCAATCCTTTCTTTTCGCCTCATCTTTCCTCATCATTTGAGTCCATTTCAAGTGCAGTAGCTGTATCATATCCCAGCCAGAGAGAAAAGCATAATGGGAGATCAAACGAGCTCCCAGCAAACAACATCAAGTCCCATGACGTGAAAGTGTCGCACGGGCGAAGAAACATGACGCGTTTAAGCTGCCACCGTCATCTTCTTGGTGCCGGGAGCGGCGACCTTCTTGGTGGTGGTGGATTTCTCCTTCTGTGGAAGCGGGAGCGCGGATGTGTCAGCCTAAAGTTTTGTCTTCTCGAGTTTTGTATGTTGGCGCTCGGTTGCTTGGGCAGAGAAGGAGGAGGAGGAGGAGGAAGAGGAAAAGAAGAGGCGCGAATAGCGGGAGAATGTACAAGAAACACAATCGTAGGGGGGATGGGGGACGAGGCAGGCAGGCCACGAGAAATGAGATCAGCTTACCCTAGCACCAGCGGCCTTCTTTCCAGGCTTCCCTTCGATCTTGCCCTTGGCCTTCTCGACCTTGCCCGCGACCTTATCCGTCACCTGCTTTGCCGGCGACTTCTTCTTGTGGATCGTCTTCTTGGGACCAGCACCAGTGCCGTTGGTCTTGGTGGTCTTGGTGGTAGTCGTAGTGGTCGTGGTGCTCGACTTGGCCTTGGGAGTCTTGCCCACGCGTCCCGAGGCGACTTTCTTGTCGCGCGGCTTGCTCGTGTTGGCCGTCGTCTTCTTCCTGGACGAGGTTGGGGCCGGGGAAAGAGTGGCCTCGATTTTGGCGGGGAGGTTCCCGGTCTTAGTGCGCGTTACTGCTGGCATTTTGAATCTTTATATAGGTATGAACTCGTGTGTGAGGGTTATGAGGTAGGTCCAGGAAAGTGCTGCTTGTCTTGTAAGTGGTATGTCAATAAGAATGTCGGTCTCGCTCGTCTGATTTCTGCGCGATTGGCCCGCAGACTGTGCCGACACAAACAATAGCGATTGGCGAGGGTTTCCGGAGTGCCTGTACGATCGAATGCGCGCGCAGGTGCAACGAGCAGTGTTGTCCTGGGACCAAGGAATGGAAGTGAAGTTCGTGGGAAACAACAACCCCAGGCCAATTCCAAGCAGCCGTCCCCCCACCTTGCACGCTCTTTTCCACGCAATCGCGGGATTGAAGCGGAGGCAGACAGAAAAGCGGAGAAGAAGGTTCGACTCATGCAACAGCTGTGCGCGCTCTGAAGCTACTCCTTCAACTGCATGTGGCACACATGTGTCCACGCGTGTATATGTTGCTCCTTCCTAACCAAGGCTGGGGAAAACCACCTTACCACGAAGGAGAAGCAGAAACAGACGCAACACGAGACAAGGAAGAAAAATAGCTTGCGGGTGAGGGAGAAAATACTTACGCGACTGAGAAATTGTCGAAGGCGCACTATCTGCGCGTGGTGTGGTTGGGTGCGAACGGTTGGCGCGTTGGTCAACAGAAGGCGGTAGTGACGTTGGAGAGAGAGTTGGAGGAGACGGGCAGCTAAAGGAAGCAGTACGCAGCAAGTCAAGCTAGATGGGTGCGCTGACGAGGAGGTTGGGCACGCGTGCGTAAACAAAGAATGCAATCAGCCAAAACAACCTTGGAATAGATTATTGAGACAAACGGGCGTGTGTGGTGGAGGGAAGAGAGGGAAAAAGAGCTGGAACGGGGAACGGGGGAACATGGAGGAGGGAGGGGATGAGCGCAAGCAATATGCAATACCTCGTTTCAAACGAACCCAACAACAAACAACATGGGCCGGACTTGGAACTTGGCCACTAAGGGTCAGCAGACGGCAGCTCATACGCGCTTGATGCTTTTGCGCGCTTGCAGTGTAGAGCCCATCGAAGTATGCCTCTATGTCTTTTCCTTCTTCGGATGTGTTGTTTTGGCTGCTGCGTTGGGAAGGTAATAGTTAGCTATGACCTGCGTGTTTCGCCTACCATCATCATCGGGCCAGGGACGCCGCCACTCGCGACAGCTTTCCACGAGCCCTTTGCCTTCGCCAATAATGTCACGCGAGGAACCAGAGTGAACAGCATGTAAATGAACCAAATCTAGTTTACTGCCGAGTGCTGTTTACGGCCTCCAGAGATTGATTGGCCTTTATCTTCGTATCCAATTGTCCCGAGATCTACATTGAACATATATGTAGCCGCCCGTCACTCTGGACTTCAATCGGCCTCCGTACGCGCCTTATGGAGAATCCAAAGAGGCTCGTATTCAATCAACGGCCAAACGCGACCGTGCCTGGAAAAGATGGAAAGAAATTCAATGCTTCGCCGTCAATGCCATGGTGTACTTTTTCTACAACTTTTGATCCCCCAAGAACGCCGTGTAAGACTCAGTGAAAATGAGCGTCGATGTACCAATCCTCCGGCCACGTCACCAGTTGACATGACCAATGCGCACTCTTCGAAGCACTTAGGCCTTGTTGAGCTTCGCTGTGCGCTTACTCATGAAATCGAAGAATGCGAATTGACTGGCATTGATGCCGTACGTGTATACAAATCGACTGGCCAAGTAGCTGCCGAAAATGGCACGTAGGTAGTTATCAGGCACCTGATAAAGGTTAATAAACACAACTTGATACACAGGGAAAAATGATGCCACTTACTCTCTCCATGAGCTTGTCGAGTCCAATTTGCTCGAGCAACAGATTTGGCAATGCCTCGCCCAAGACAGACTGCCTGAACTCAACATTGTTCCACAGGTCGGTGTTTTGCAGCTCCTCGTCCAACTTGGTGATCGCGATACTCAGCGTGTCGCTCAGCGTGCTTCGAGGCTGGCCGGTGGCTTGATGTTCCCTCCAGATGGCTTCAAACTCCAATCGAGCATTGTTCTGGATGGTGGCTTGTACTTGCTTCACGTAGTTGTTATAGAACTCAGGAGCAGTGCCATCCTCGCGGATGCACATGTGTTGAATGAAGCTTTCATCATCGAAAGACAGCGACGCCAATACCTCCAGAGACGAAGAGGTGACACCACCTTTGTTGGCGGATGCATCCTTGTACAAGATGCACCCTGCTTTCTCCAGGCGCAGCTTTGCGTCTTGAGTGATGAAGAGATTGGCCCCCTCAACCATGTACGGGATAACGCATTTGCCATCGACAATGAGCTTGTTCGCGGTAGTGAGATCAATGGATTCCGGGCGTCCACCGCAAGGTACAAAGGTGTCATACTTTTCTCCACTCCGAAGATGGAAAGTATTGCGGAAAGCTGTTCCATTGTAGACCATCTCGCCCGACGGTAGTCTGACGTTAGTCTCATCCACGAGAACGCGATAACCTTCTGGCGATAGTTTGGTGATGTCGAAGTTGTTGATCATGAGTCTAGCCTTTGCGAGTCGTAGAAGCTCCTCGTGGTTGATACCTTGAGGATCAACGAGAACACCAGCTCCATCGACGATGGATACGTATTTCTCGTTGCTGAGCAAGATTTCGTTGGAGCCAAGGTCACCATCCGGGCCACCAGTTTGGAGCTTCCTGACCTTGCTAGGATCGAGGTTCAGCTTCCTGTAAATGCCCAGAACGTATTCGCGAACAGAAAGAGTGGTCATGCCATATCTGTCATGCGGAATACCACCAAGCTTGGGACTCTTGCCAGTGAAGAAAGACTTCCACCAAGGTGCTCCTCGGAATCGAGCGTGTTCTGTCGCCCAATCAACCAGATCGGCAGTGTTCTCGTCTGGGCCCATGAACAAAATCTCCTCTTTGCCGTGCAGATCAACGATAGGATCCTTAATACCCGGGCTGGTTGGCGGCAGGAGGAGATCCAGGATACTATCGATGTACTTCTCAAACGCGCCCCGAGCTTTGTCCTGATGATGAAAGTCCAGAAGAACGACACCCTTGGAGCCACCCTCAGGAATATCTTTGTTCTTGCGCTGCTGTGTGTTGGCGAGGTTGTAGTTCTCGTCGAATAGAGACCTCGCGTTGATAGCATAAGCCTCCTGGCTTCGAGACTTGACGATTCGGATACCACCACGAGCGATGTCACGGAAACGCAGGTGGAAACCGCGGAACTCAGAGCTGATGACAAGGAACATGCCGTACAGAGGTTGAGGATATTCCGAAGGCGGGAGGAATTGAGGGTTAAGACGGAAGCTTAGTGCCACTTTAGTTGGTGTGTAGAAGTTGGTCTTGAGAACAGAGTTGTTGAAAATGCGGAACGAGTTCATCACAATCTGATGATGATCGTTGACCACAGCCTTGTTGATGGCATCCGTTAGCTCCTCGTCAGTGAGGACTTTGTCGACCTGCAGGCGCAGGAAACTCAGGGTGGGCAGGAAGTCGTCCTCCTTGCCCCGAGTCTGTACATAGTGGGTGCCCGCGAATGACAGGTATAGGCTGTGAATGAGTTCTGGGTATGAGTTGATGATCTCGAGGATGTAATCAGCTGTAAATGTTTCCGTGCGTAGCCTGCGCTTCAGCTTTGACAGAAGCTCTGCATGAGCGCTGTTCTCCTTGTTCAAAATCGATGCCAAAGCATTGTACTCGTTCCCGAGACGGTTGAGGAAATGAGAGACAAAGACCCACACACAGTGGGCATATATGGTTTCCTGCAGACTCAATCGGCCAGTAGCAAAGTGTGCTTGGAACTTGTTTTGTGGGATGCAGTATAAGAGGGAAACCTCTTTGATGATCTGGTGAACAGATGCTTCAATCGGGGGGTGCTTGCCTCCCGGGGTTTGTGTAAGGTAGAGGGACATGGCAGTGTACCCGTTGGAGAACTGTTCGACATATTTACGCGTGGTTGTCAATCCGTAGTAATGGTACAGATCGCTCAAGGCGCTGAAGAAGCCCATGGCAGAGCCCTGCTTATAGGCCACCACCAGGCGCTTGTCGCGAGAACCCTCAATGTCAAAGTATTCGATGACGGGGCCAGTGCGCTCTACTGCCACTTCCAGAGCTTCCTGATAGATGCGTTTCGTGTTGGCGGTAGCCTTCTGCAAGAAACGTTTGTCACCGATTTTCTCGAGGTTGGTCTCTGTCTCGCTGGGGTGGGGGTCCACGAAGTCGCACTCGTAGACGAAGTAGCAACGAAGTTGCTGATTCTGGCTTCCAGGCAGCGGGCTTGCAGAGCGGAAACTCTCGACACGGTAGCCCACGGAGCCTTTTGAGCCATTGAGATACTTCTCGTCAATGCGTTGTTCGTATTGCGGCCCATTTACCACCGAGACACCTGGTCGGCTTGTATCTATGTATACCGCATGGTCGGCAGCTTCCTTGTCTAATCGGATCTCGAGGCGCTTGTCATCGCGGGCGTAGGCAGCCACCTTGGCGGCGTATAGGGAATGGATGTGGTTGACGATACTATCTGCATATTAGAACTGGTTTTCTAGGTTCATCCTGTGAAAGTGGGGTCACTTACGCTTCTACAGTCTCGGTCGCAAAGTACATGTCGTCGATACCGAGCTCGTTGTAGAACCAGGTAGTCTCGGATTCTACAAAGTCTTGGGGAATGAAGCCTTTGTCTTCGACGCCGTCCATGACAGCTTCCATCTGCTTCTCCTTGCCCTCAAAAGTAGGAGCAACGTAGCCAGAGCCACCAGAGCCCTCTTGAGGAATGGTGCGAGGAGTGGCATGTCCGGACCCTGGGATGCTCAAATGTGTGGGCATTGGCGACGGGCGTCGATCCGGGGTACGGATGACTGGGTCGAGGTGTTTATTGGGTGGAGGCATAGCTCCATTGACTGGAGTTGAAGACATATTGCGTGTTGTGATGTTTGGTTGGTGCAGTGGGCGTGGGTATAATAAATAGTAGATGGTTCGGCTGGAATCGGCTTTAGAGGAGAGCACGACTCAAAACGCTAGAGGAGCAATTGACAGCCGTAGAGGTTGTTTGGCGCAAAGAGAGGGTTCGAAGGGGGGGTAGAAAGTGAGGGATTATAAGTTTGCGCAATGAAAGCACCGATTCGGAGGTGGAGGGGCTGCTTGACCGGCGGTGGGGTGGTGGGTGGTCGATGCTTTTTAAAGACGCAGCAGCGAGCGAGCGAGCAAGATACGGTTGTCCTGTGTTTTGAAGCTAAATTAGACAATTGAAAGCTGAGAAGAGTAAAACTCAGTAGTAGAAGCGCCACGGGCAGCACAGACTGAGCGATAGGCGGGTTTCCAGGCCGTCTATCTATAGTGCTGTCGGTGGCATTTGTGCGAAAGGAAGAGGCTTAGGGTTCTGATAAAGGAGTCTATTTTAGACAGATGGGAATATGACGCACTGTGCTCACCTAACTAACCAAACTACCTACTTGACGCTGGTCGAGTAGCACTTGGCGGGAGATTCGGGCGGATAGGGTAGGATAAGGGCCAGAGGTCCAATTGGGTACGTTTCCACCGCTTTTTGGGAGCTGCTGGTGGTCGGGGCGGATCAGCACAGCTGTCGTGGCCCAACAACGGGTGGAATTGCTTGTGGTTGCGGCGGCGGCGGTGGTGGTGGTGCTGCTGCTGAGGCGACGTCGGGATCCGTCTGTGCGACTGAAACCTTGGACTGGCGGTATAGACGGGCAGAGAAGGAGATGGCTAGATAAGAAGCCGTGCAAGAGGAACCAGAAAAGGGAAGATGAGAGAGAGGGGGGGGGATAGGTATATCTGTGTGTTTGTTTGTTTGTTTGCCCTCACAGCTGTGACAGACAGAGAGACAGACAGACAACAGGGACGGGGGGGAGAGGTATGAGGTACGATGGGATGGGATGGATTAGTTGACGACGGGCGGGGAGAAGGCATCTATTTATGGGGGACGAGCAAGAGAGGAGGGAATCATGGTCCTCATCACGACGATGGTCTCTCCAGGAGGCCGTCCAGGTGCCCGCAAGGAGCGACCATGGAAGGACGGTGCAATCGTCAGGCACAGGCACAGCAGCCTCTCCCCTCCCCCGCCCTCAGCCGAGCGCTCGCGCTGAGTGAGCTTCCCCAGACAAATGCCTCTCCCTAGCGGCCCTAGCGCAATGCAGCCCATCGTGAGCCTCGCAACTTCACGTAATAGCGAGGCAAAATCGGACAACATGACCTGCAAAAACACGCACTCGCCTGCAAACTTTTATCGCCAGGCGCCCCTGGAGCGGAGTCCCCTGTGCCCCAGCGCCCGTCTGGCCCCGTCCCATTCGCTGCCCGCCTCCACAGCGCCCCTCGACCAGCGCCTCCACAATTTCCCACAGTGGCCATGCAACGAACCTCACGATCCTTGGCATTGACTCAATCCCATCGCTGCATCACTTCGTGTTTGGGCCGCCCTCTTGCGTGCCCGCTGCTGGCCCAGGGGTACAGCACGTGTTCTTTCAGCAGTGGCCCTTCCACACTACCCGCAGGTCACGATGCCAGAAGAATGACGCCGTCCCCAGCCGAATTTCCGCCGCCCAGTCCGTGGAATGATCAGGATGACCAAACTCACCGCTCTAGGTCACCATGGCTCTATATTGCATGATGGCACAGCATATAGTGATTCATCATCACAAATCACTTCACCTCGTACTCTCTGCTCATGTCAAGTCCTTGTTCCCCGCTGTGAAAACTATCAAGATCGGTAACAGAAACCCTATGCACACTTCCACCCAACTTTGCCTCGTCATGTCCGTCATTGATATCGTCATACTCTAATCTTTCCCTCGGACGGTTCGAATCACTCTTCGCTATACTCTTTCCCATTGACCGTAACCTGCACTTTATGGCCCTCTGCGCCCTGCCAGTGCTTCTTCTTCCCAGCCTTTCCCACCTTCAATAGCGCCCCGTGCAGTGCTTCATCCAGCTCGTCAATCTTTTGCGTAAAGCCAAAATCAATGCATAGTTTCTCGTTTCCTTTCTTTGTTGTTTCCCATCTAGTGTCCAATTTGACTCGCTTTTCCGATCCTACACCAGCTGGATGAACTTTGGCCAACACGCCAGCGATGCGACCAAACACTAAGCATCGCCAAAACGTGCCATCCGGTAGCAATTGCATCATCCGATGATAGAAATCTTGCTCCGTTGGACTTATCGAGCCAAATCCGCCATATCGTTCGCAGAGGAGAATAGCGAGTAGAGCACGTTGTTCGTGACTGATCCCATGAGCTGCAGCGAAGAAACCCGTTGTTGTACTGCGAAGTGCTGCTCCAGCAGAAAGGTCCTTGGGAAAAGCTGCATGAACATACATTGCTTGTGCAAACGCTGTTACAAGAGCAAGACTGAAAATCGTCTCTCGGGGTCCAGAGAGCGAACCTTGGGCAACTTCAAGGAGTAGCTCTACAATCCCCTGGATCGGATGTTGGGCGTATGGCTTCGTCGCTGTGACCAATGGGTCTTCCAATCGCTGACTAGCATCCAAATTCGAGAAGTGTGTTCCTTCTCTTACCCCTCCTTGACAGAAATACACGTTGGTAACACTGGGCAGCGTCTTTGCCAGACAATCCACCAGGAAAGCCACCGCAGGCACCTGGCCAGCCCGCCTCTGAGACACACGGAAGATATCCGGAGTTTCCTCACCGTTCACCGCAGCTTTGACCGTCTGCGTATTGTGGAACGACTCCACAGAAGTCCGGAACCCATTGATGATGGGGATCGGATATGGCGTGATATGGTGTTGTGACATGAGCAAGAACCCCCATCCACGGAACCCACCACCGGAAACGTAAAGCGAGAGTCCCCCCTCTTGCTCGATCAAATCCCGTGGAATGTCAATCGTCTTTACTGCCGCCGTCAAGTCGCCAATAACCTGCTTCTCGAAAATGGCAAAAGCCTCACTCTGGCGCGATGCCCCTGCAGTCTGCAACCCTTTCATGAGTGCTGCTGCACCGTACGGCAAGCTCACACTCCCCTTCTCATACATATCAATTCTTCCATCTTGAGTCCGCACCCACGTAATCTGCGTACTGCCACCTCCCAAGTCCATGACTAAACCCTTCACGTCTGCAAAACTGCTGGCAACTCCATGTGCGCCCACCCTCCCTTCAACCTCTTTTTCTAGTAGCTCAACATTCCATCCCGTCTTGTCAAGTATTTCAGCGCGGAACTCGGCAGAGTTGATGGCTTTTCGTGTTGCTTCCGTAGCGACTACACGTACGTGGTGTTCCGGCACGCCAAAGTCGGCACAGGTGAGTTTGAAATGCAGCAGCGCATTGATGACGCTTTTGATAGTCTCCTTGGGAATGGGCACTGGTGCGGTGGCATTGGGTGGGTATTGAGCATCGTAAAGAGAGATGGCGGCTCGAGAGAGGTAGACGGTTGGAAGTATGCGAGCAGTTGCGGGCGAGAGGTCGGTGATGGAGCAGCGGATGCCGTTACTGGTGGTGTTTGCATCTCGTTAGTTGGTCTGCTCTGTAAGAACTCGAGAAAGAGGGATATGCTGATCTGCTGCACCACAACATCCCCCTCAAGGCCAGCATCCAACATATATTTACATTAGAAAAAAATGTGTAGTGCACCCATCTCTACTCAATCCCATTCTGTCAGTTGTCCCAAACAAATGAGAGCACCGCGTATCACAGCAAAACTGCAATCGCCCAACACTCGTGAACACCAAACATCACGCCCACTCTCTACGCCCACCTGGGCAATATCAAAACACTCAAATTTTGTAAATCTTACCTGCCCATATCAACCAACCCACGGTACGACGTCTGCTTCTCCATCTTCTCCACGCCCGCCATCGCACGCCAAACAATAGAAACCCTTGACCGTCAAATGGCGTGATAGCGTCTAGAACCTGTCTCACTACGGCACCGAACCTTCCGAGAACCGGAGATCCAGAATATTCCTGAATCGAAATCGAATTCGCATTCGACAGTTTTTTTAGTGTAGCGGGGATGGAGGGGGAGGGATGAGTTTCTCTTACCCCCAGAAAACTCCAGATGCAGTAAAGCAGGCTAGCGTAGAAGCTGTAGACGCCCCAAAATTAGTACGAAAAAAAACCCTGGTGTTAAATCGTTTGCAGAAGTTCGAAGACGACCGACGACGTATTGATTCTGTGTAGCCGCGAAAAAAAAAGGTGTTTCTATTACCCCCTTTTTACATAATATGGCTCCAGGGGTTGTGCGGGGAGGAACGCACGTTGTTATATGGTACGTAAGTTGAAGGTTTTATTCGTCTGTGCGCTTTGAGTCGGGTTGGAAAAAATGACTCTGGGGATGTGTTTACGGCCGGAAAGGAAAGTCTTTGGATGATGCAAGCCAGCAAGGTTTCGTGGTTCGATGTCGAGATTTTCTTTGCCTCTTCTTGTGTGATGGTGATGGGCATGTTGCGGTATTTTGATGATTGGGTCGGCGCTAGTGGAGGGGTGAGGTGTTGGGCTTGTTTTGCGTGGTGCGGGGGTGGTAGTTGGAAGTTGCAATGTGGAGTATGGAGAAGAATTTGTAAGGGACATCTTTTTTCTCGTGTGATATCAGTCATCCGTTGAATCGTCACCTACTTGCTTCTTACTGGAAATAAGGTGAATGTGAAGAAAGGGGTGAAAAAACAAATTCTTTCTACAAGATGGTGTTACAATTGAGGGCTCCCAAATGCTTTTCTATCACTTGAGAGAGACCCTTCTCGTCTGCATCTATTCCGTCTTTCCCTCAGGGTTCGAGGGTCTCGAAGACGCCGGCCTCAGCAAGTGATAGCACTCACCCAAGAATCCCCTTTCGCAGAAAAGTACATATACAACAAAAGGCGCGGCAACTAACCCTGCACTAATCAACTCTCCCAACACTCCGAATCTCTCCAGATAGACCATACCTGGTTTGATCTGAATAAGGTACGGCACAAGCGGTGCAACTGCCACGGTCGTGATAGTCGGGAACGTGTCTGTAAGCTGCCATTTCATTGCCCTCTCTCCGAACCACCCTTTGATAAACCATAAATTCCACACGATCCTTAGGCCCATGTTCACTGTGTTGGCAGCGACAACTCCGCTACCTCCCCACCCCAGCTGAGCAATAAAGAACCACGCACTACCCGCGAACAGCGCAAAGAAGATGCCCATGGAAAGCGATTGTGTGTAGAGCTGCGTGCTAGTGGCCACAGCGGCGACGAAAGCCTCGGTCACGCCGTTAATGGCGAGGAATGGTATGTAGTAGCAGTAGGTCGAGAGTACGCTCGACGCTTCGGTCGATGACCAGCGGGAGCCGGCTACGATAGAGAGAAGGAGTGGAGAAAGAGAGGGACCCAAGGTAAGTGCGAATACTGATAACAGAGCATAGAGATGTAGTGTTGTAGCGAGGACGTTGCGTGCCTGGTGAAGAGATGATGTTCGAGCTTCTTTGTCCTCGTGGGTTTCAGATGATGTGGACGAGAGAGGAGGTATGTCGGCACAGAGTTTGGCAAAAAGGTTTCGACTGCTTTCTTCAATGGGTTGGAAGAGCATGCGGGCTACGAGTCCACCATAGTTAGATGCTAGAGCATACGCTCCCTGGTCTGCGAGAGATGCCAGGGACGTAATAAGGAGAGAGTCACCCTGCGTTAAGATATACTTGAACGAGGATTGCAGGGTCAAAGACCCTGTAAGACGTAGCAAAGGCAAGGAAAAGTGATCGAGAATCACTGGCGCCTCTTTGGTCGACGGTATCTGTTTCGGTAGTAAGGAAAATCCATCTTGCCTCGCCACAGGCCAAGTCTTCCAGGTGTACACAGTCAAAAGAGCGAGGGCGTAGATCAATTGTCCTACTGCGAAAGGCAATACCCCAACATCAAGCCCAAAGTACGAAGCCAGAAACACGCTTCCACATGTCCCGAAACATCTTGAAAGGGTGGCCGCTCCTTCAGCATAGGCACGTATTTTATACAATAACTTCTGCTGCACGGCCGAAAATGCTGGTTCGGATAGGAGTTCTAGAAAGGTGGCCAAGCAGTAGATACTCAAAGCATCAACAAAATATGGCACTTGGAGCGTTTCCGAACGCATACACAAGATAGCGAGACCGTAGATCAAGGGGACACCGAAAAAGACAGCCAGGTAGGATAGGTTGATTACAGCTTGCGTTCCATGAGCTTGGCGTTGCAAGGCCACGCGCAGACTCTCGCGCGCAAAGTAGAGAGCCGAAATGGAAAAGAGTTCGAGTTGAGCCGATAGACCTAGGATCTCTGGGTACAAGTAGCGAAGGACCACTTGGTTCACCGCGAACGTCAGCGCTCGAGATGCAACCTGCAGGCCGATGAGAAAAGTGGCGCCCTTAGCAGATGCAGAGAGGATGGAAGACGACATTAGAGGCGGGAAATTTCCTGGACGGTGTGATAGGGAGCTAAGATTAGATGGTAATCGTTCTGGCCGGCATCATCGAATCGCAATGTCTGTTGTGGGCGTTGATAACACTTCGCACAGTGGACAGATCATACTGGATGAGATGACTTGTCCACTGCTGTTGGTGGTGGAAAGTCGGTGTCTCAAACAGGTTAGCGTTTTGCTATTCTCAAGCTAGCTGAAGTGCTGGCAATCATGTATCAAGTTAACCCCCGGTCATCGTTCAAGTCCTTAAATACGACACCGCGCACCACACCATGATTTCCTTCTCGTCTATATTCGGGGGTTTCGGTTCAAAATGGTTGTCGTCGATCCTAGCATCACGGCTCGGACGGAGAGGTTGCTGATCAGGCCGCTGATTATGGATGACGCAGAGGACATTGTGCTCATGCGAAGCCAACCAGAGATCATGAAGCACACGTAAGGTTCTCATGTTTCTCACTGTTAGCTCCGCTGGCAAGCATTACTAACGGCTGCATGAGCCCTTTGCTTCCCTCTGCCGACGTGGATCTCTCGAAAGCGTGGATTCAAGGTTGCCTGGACCGGGACAATTGCTGGAATTTTGTGATCGAACTTCTTCCCTCGTCGCTTTCCACCACCAAGACCGCCCCAAGAGTCATCGGATTGGTTGGGGCTGTGCGTGCTCCAGAGATTGGTTACATGTTCAATATCGATTATTGGGGGAAAGGATACGCGACCGAAGCCTTGCGGGCATTCATGCCACTTTTCTTCGACCATTACTCGGGTGGCGTAAACCAAAGGTATGAGTTCGCAGAAGCGCATACAGATCCCGAGCTTCTAGCGAGTCACAATGTATTGGAGAAGGCTGGGTTCAAGTTGCACGAAAGAAGGGAGAAGGATTTTGACAACCCTGTTTTGGGGTTACGGGATACGCTGGTGTATAGGCTCTATCGACCAGACGCTGAATCTGGTGCACGCGAGGCTGGAGCTTAACGCAAGGTTCCGATGAAGCCTCATGTCGTGCAAACTAGGAATCGCCGCCCACACCCTTTGCCTCAAACATGTAGGCAACCAAGTCGTCAAATTCGATCGAGTCATTATCACTATTCTGCCTTGATCAAGATCGTTTCGCGTTCAATGTGGTCTGTATGACACAACTCAAGACGCTGCTATAGTACATATGCTAAGTAGTCAACATGTAATCATACGTCGCATGACCGTTTACACATGTAGGTAGGTAAGGCTGCTCACGTTCCTAGACCGGTGAATACAGAGATTTGGGACCAGGTACTACAGTCTCATCCTTATTGCTCACTTTGATACCCGCCATCAGGACAGTGAAGCCGAATCAATAAGGTGGCTGCTCTTGCGTCCGCAACAGGTGAAACTTTGCGGCTCATGCCTGTTGGTGTGGTCAGGTATTTCAGGTAGCAAGCCTGATTTGTCACTTGAGGAGCCTCATGAATACGGTCCGGTCTATCAGCTTCATTGTAAACTAGTATTTGCTGACCTACTTTACGTATCTTTGGAGGCGCAGCAGCCTGATGTAGTTGATTGGCGGTGTTCGGTATTGGCCCCCAGATGTTCGTCTCGGACTACCATTTCATACTACAGATCCGGTTACGGATCTCGGCACCCGCGGAAGCTTGGTAATAATGTTACCGATCTCTTATTCGGCCTCCAGCAGAGCACCACATGCGTTGAAACTGGAGCCTTACCCTCCATAGCTGGATCCGTAGGCCAGTGCGTATGCGCCCCGTAGTATAAATGCGGATGTGGCGCTGGGCACATGAACGACGCGTACAGCTTAAACGAGCCCAATAAACGATATAAAGCCATCGCAGATATAATCGAATTAGAACGTCTCGCTACATATTTACATTCGACCCCCCGACATCATTGTGGACACCTGATCCGCTATTCGATTAGGCAGCTAAAGTGAACCGCCGCCCTACTCTGGCTGCGGCCGAAACCGTATAGGGTGACTCACGGCACCATTTTCATACGCTGAAGGAGGCCTTGAAGACTTTCTCGCCACATCGCATGTTTACTCGAGTATAGCTTGACAACCCATTCATTGAAACGCTTTCCACAGAAGACACGCCCCACGAAACCCACAATCTATACTCGGATCGTTAGAAACAAGGCTTGATCGTGGAGTTATCAACTTGCCAATAACAATTCTGAGATTCTAACGTTCATCACCTGCCATTATTCCAAAACAGCCTGTATAGGCTGCAACGCTACTCCGCGCAGGAGCTTGCTCATACTCGATACTACAACACTCACCCCACCTCGGAGCGACTTCGAACCTGGATATAGGACAATGGAGCTTTCGAGCGTCGAAAACAACCCTCATGCACCTCTACGTCTTTTGTCGCTGGATGGAGGAGGTGTGAGGGGACTCTCTTCATTGATGGTACTTGATGACCTGATGGAGAACATTGCACAAGAGGAAAAAAGGTTAGGAAGGCGACCAAACAACGACTCTGAAGCATTGAAACCATGCGACTATTTCGATCTGATTGGCGGTACCAGCACTGGCGGAATCATAGCTATTTTACTTTCCAGGCTCCGGCTTGACTGCAAGTCGTGCATTCGAATCTATTCAACCCTCGCTCAGCAGATTTTCGAGCACGACAGGTCAATTAAAGTCTACGGCGTGAAGATACCAACAGGCGCCAGCCGATTCTCAGGCGTCGTACTAGAACGAGCAATCAAGCAAGCCTTAAGAGACCTCGGCTATGATCCTGATGAGTTGATGTGGGACGATTCGCTTTTCGAAGAAGTTCCTGACAATGGTTTGCCGCGTGACAGCATCTGGTCAGACGTGGTACCCGCACCCAAAATCACCGAGAGTCCAGTAGCCACGCTCAAGACCACTAGCGGTACGGCATCGAACAGCAACAACGGCCATATGTCAGCACACGATGAACTCGAAGAGCAGCCACTGATCAAAATCGGTGATATCGCCCGCAAGCTCTCCAATCTGACCAGATCGAATACCTGGAAGCTCCACCCTCGACAGAGTGTTCATAGGAGGAGGGGTGCCAGAGGCTGCCGCGGCTTCGTTCTCACAACTTTGAAGAATGCCCTGGGCTTACCTCGAATCATCTCAACATATGATCCAAACGATCGTACCACACGAATATGGGAGGCACTCCGCGCTACATCCGCAGCACCTACGTTTTTTGAAGAAATGACATTTGGCACGCCCCGAGTAACATATCTTGACGGCGGTGTTGGCTTCAACAATCCTTGTGCAGAAGTCGATTACGCTGCCAAAGCACTATGGGAGGGACGATCCATCGGTGTCATAGTCTCAGTCGGCACCGGCCTTCAATCTATACCATCAGTCAAGAAAATGGCTTCATGGCTGCCTTTTGGACTCGGCACTGATATCGCATTGGCCTCAGCTCTTGCTGGTATGGCGACCGGTACTGCCCGCGTAGATAACGAGATGAAGCGCATGTACTACAATACGTCTACCCAGTATTACCGTTTTGACGTGGATCGCGGCCTGGCAAACATCAGTCTTGAACAGTGGATGAAAGAAGATGAGATGGCGGCCCTCACTGAGCTCTACATGAGAGATGCAAAGCAGTCGCGCTCGGCTCAGAACTTTGGCGATATCATGGCAAAACTGTCTGCTCTACCACCGAAGTTTGAAATTGGAGCAACGCACTTCAAAGTTGGCATAGATGGAAGAGGACTCATGGATCAATCTTTCTCGTTAGTGCAGTTGGACTTCAAAACAGGTATGCCGCTAGGCGTCGTTTCGCATCTCGAAGACGTACCTCGCATGAGTCAATTCCGCGATACTTCACCTAGCGGCGAGGGAGGGCTTGCAGTTGGCATGGATGGCAAATTGAAGAAAATTTACCCGGTGGCCGAAGATCTAGATGGAGACGGCCGGCGGGAGGAGGCGGCTGTCTATCAGTGCGTGCGTGGCAACAACATCTGCCTTAGAACCATCAAGACTGGCATTCCTCAAGGACGTTATCGCGTTCAGTTCATTGTCAGCTTCCACAATAGCAAAAATACCCCGCCGCATGATCTTGTCTTCTCAGTAGGCAAGCCTTTCGACAAGAATACATTTGCACAGCGTTATGTTGATGTCAAAATCACACCGGATGTTGTCCCCGTACTACTCCATCCAGACGCAGTCAGGGTACGCATAGGAAGCAGGAGGTATGCCGAGCACAAAGGGAAAGGGTGGATGGAAATTGAAGGGGATGTTGAAATAAATGTTGGTCTCGACGGGGCGCTGGGGTTTGTGATCAGCAAGAAGTTCGAAGAAGACGTTTTTGTAGATGGTTGGAGTTTCGGGGGAGTCCGACTCGAGCCTGTGTTCGGAAAGCCTGGAGAACTAGTCACAAAAAGTCTCATTTGAGTGAGATGTTGTATGTTGGCTCATTGGTTTTCGACATATCAGTTTTTTCGGCATTTTAGCGCGAACGGGCATTGCATTGGTGTTTCTAAGAAAGCTGGACTGGGGCGTTTGTGAGATTTAGCTATCTAAGCTTAGAAAATTTGCCCCTCTGTAACTGTCGTTGCTGATTAGAGCATCTAGATGTTAGAGGAATTCTGCATCTAGAACATTGGTCGTGTAAGCGTTATTTGTAGTAGACTGCTTTTCTATGGTGGTGTCTCTAAATGCAGCCTTTAGGTTGCCTAGCTATTTGTTGTAATGCTTTTAGGGGTTTGGGAGGCTGTCCTGTAAGACTAGAACGCGACAGGAATCTGGAATCTTAAACCTATCTTGGTGCGCTTGAATAAAGTCTGCGTTGGTACCCTGAATGATGGGGCTAGCAGCCACGCCACGATGATTGGGCTCGGTTATGTGGATATCGTTAATGCGATCCGCTACAACTGACTGCTCATCTTTTCGTGTAGATGGATGCAGGTACAGTCGTTGCTCCTTCTTGAGTTCCCGCTTCTCCTGTCTGGCTAATTTCCTGCGTAGGTTCCTCTCTTTACTGCGCTGGGAGCTCGGGCCTGGGGATAGCATCATAATGCGACCGGGACATCCAGTCCCTCACGCAGTATTCACGGAAAGTAGCCCCCTTATGACTGGGGGTATGCTCTGGGCATACAAAGACGTGAAGGGCACAATGGACCAGCTTCTGTGGATCTCTAAGAACACGACTAACAAACACATCCCTTGACAACTGCTGCAACTTCTAGAGGAGCTAAAGGTGCTGTGCAGATTGGACCTAGCAAGGTTTGACGAAGGTGCAGAGCACGCAGTTGAGAAGGCTGTAGAGGAACTGAAACCGCTTATGTCATGCAGTTGCATGGGGAGAGCCTGCACGGTGAGAGCATTTACATACGGTTATAATAAGTGTCTATGCTCTATTGAGAGCGAGGCAGGTGGAGTGTACAGTGTGGTGTTGTAAGGGCGATTGCGTAATGGGGGATGGCAGCAAACTATTGCGTGCTTGCATGTTAGGCTGGCTGCTAAAACGATTGTAGACGCAGCGCTAACTAAACGCTTGGTGATAGAGTTACGCGTTTTAAGATCTTGGGAATCCGCGTTAAAGGTTGAAAAAGTTTGGGTGAAAAGTCGCCTTTGTTGGTGGCTGTGGGAGTCGGGCGATATGCGTTGCGGAACGTTTCTGTCTCCTGTCGCCAAGACGCTAGTCAGTGGGGCTAAGCTAAAATGATTACCACGTTAGCTTCGCCTTAACTTTTTGACATCTTCATGATACATGGCGATGGCGCCCTCTGAGGAAGACGAGTGGGAGTACGAGTATGATGAAGAAGAGACCGAAGACTTTTATATTCCCATCGACCTATCGAATGTTCCTGAGCTTCAAGCTCCGACCACCGAGCCTAAGCAAAGACTTGGACACCCATGGCTTCTGAAAACGAAACTACGAGCATTCTACGCCAACCGCAAAGGAGCGGCAAATTTGCAAGCCAGAACGTCTATCAACAATCCCGAAAATCCCGAAAATCATGACTCCATGGGTGAAATGCAACTCATCGGCCTGCATACACCCAATCCACTGATCATGTACAATGGTCAGTTGCTCAGCTGCCACTGGGCATCTGCTATTGGGACTGACTTTTTATTCACCAAACCTGATTCAGTGGTGGGAGACGAGGAGAGGCCATTGCGGAACTTACCAGATGTGGATCTGATTGGTACGAGCTCGGCAAGGCTGGTCGCTAGAGTTGGACAACTGCGCCCAAAGGACGAAGCTTTAGAAAGGATGAGCAGTACGAGACAAGATGAACAGACTAGTGAATTGAGGGTTTCAGATTCGAGTGCTCCGGATGAGATAGCGGATGAGCAACATGACGCAGCGATGGCAGGAGGTACCGGAGAAGCTAGTGCACCAGCACCATCTACTTTCTTAGAGCGACTGAATGCAGCCAAATCAAAACGAGGAGACAAGTCCAGGCTGATGGTATCAACTTCCACCGGTCAGCCTCATCTTGTAGCTCAAAGTGTTGTAGCAAATCCAAACTCGGACGACACTGTCATGGAAGATGCCTGAGTAGATAGAGAAGGAGCTTCCAGGTCTGTCGACAGCGACATCATTCTAGCGCGACTTCCAACATTCTCAGCCTCGCACACAGATTGAACCACGTTTTCAATACTGGTCGACTGTCGCATCGACATCTACCTCGTTAGCAGCGTGTGCCGCACCCCCTATGACACCTATGATACCTATGGCATAACCGAGTCATACAGCGCAATACAATCTCTCTATTAGCCGCCGCCGCTGCTGCCTGGAATGGAGGTGGCTTCAGCTTTATGCCCTAAACGTCACGGCCAATATTGTCGATCAAGCTTCGAATTTGACGCCCCTGCAGGAGCCGACGGCACGGCATCAGGCCCCACGTACCTTTCTTCGCTGTTTGGAGACGTTTTTGAAGCAAGACACCATTACACGGTCGGTAGTGATGGAAGCAACAGCAGGAGATGCAGCACCCGAGGAGATCTCAGGGCGGATGCGATCGTTGCCGAGATTGCTTATTTTCTGGAGTTGATGGAACGAGACGAGTATCCTTACAAATCACATTCACGCAAAGTGCGAGTCTCAAAATTCCGAGTGAACGTCTATGAAGCATGATCGTGGCTCTCTAACCTTTTCTAGATCAATCCCACGTTGAACGAAGCAGTTAATCAGCTCATCACTTCTTGCAACACCATGGCGTCGACTGCCACCTCAGCATGTCTTCCACCCGACCACGTAATCCGGCTTATCGCTGTGCAGCTACTTGCTTCTTGCTATACGCTCCTCCCGGCTACTAGTTCGCACAGCTTTCCCCTAATCAGGCAAAGAAAGACCCCTCGAGTAATCACTGCTCTGCGGCTCCATACGTATTTTCGTTATTCCCCCGCCGCGGGCTATCACGCTCGTGACCCTTCTGAGACAACTCCGTGGCCCGGCCTTTACAGAGGATCATTTATAGGCGAGGAGGTTTTTGATACGACGACGGGATACACGAAGCAGGACTCTGCGAATCAGAAGACGGACTTGAAGCATGAATATCACACGGGAGCCTGGAACGATGGCTCTGCAGAGGAACGTCAGGGCCGTAATAGGTCATTGCCATCAAGCCCTACCTCACGCGCAGGCAAAGAACTGGGACTCAACTGGAGACTCATCTGTCAAACTTTAGCATTGCGAGGCCCGAATCGAAAAGCACGCCCATCAAAACAGCATCCAGTCAAAAACCACAAGAAATTGTTCTTTTTCAACCGATCTGGTGGACGGACAAGAAAGCCTACGGACGAGATACACACAACAAATACCCCACCGGCTCGTCCGAAGCCTGGTCCTATTCGAATGCCATCCGTCGATGATGCATACAGAATTCCGTCTAAGCATCGTCTGCGCAGAACACACTCTGCTCCTCGGACTCCTGCCTTTGATGAGCCACTTGATGTCTCGCCTCTATATAGTCAGCGGAATAGCTCCACTCCTACTTTAGGATCCTTCATGCCATACCATTTTGAGGTCCCGGAAATTCGTCGAATATCAGCTTCTACAACAGCAGGGAGTTTGAGGTCAGTGATTATGACCAGGAGACCAGATCTACTTCACGTCGAGGGATATTTTCCTAAACTCCCCTCTAAGTCTTTTGATTCAACCCGGCTGTACCCGTTCGAGGAAGTACCATCCGTTTCAAGACCCGCTACCCCAATAGGGGGATTATCGCCAATGGCATTATATACAGTGATTCCAGAAGCTAGCGGTCTACAAAACGATTACTTCTCACTACCATCCCTTCCGAGCCCCGGAGACGGAGGGGCTGTCTATGAGGCGGACGGGCATGACCTTTTCCAATTTACAGTGAAGGATACAGACACAAGCTCAGAGGAAAGTGTGCTGAATGAGCAGAAGCGGAGACACTCTGAGTTGTTATCAGGCTCAGATAGCGCGGATTCAATTGTACGCAAACGAAGTGACGAAGATAGTCAAAAGTCACGATGCAGTCGCTCGAAATGAGTTGCATTGTCATATTGATAATGAAATTCATATGACGTAAATACCTATAGGGACATATGAATCGTCTATAATGGTTCCTCCCGTGAACAGAAATTCTTTCCGTTTATCGTTGTGGTGGTGAAGTACGTGAACTAACATGAGTAGAATACCTAGGTATTTAGGGAAGTTGGGCATCTAGTATGAGTGCAGATCCCATCTAGTAGCAGTGTTGCTGGACGTGAGCTATGGTCAGTCACTGATCATTTATTTTGTGTTAAACGAATGATGAATTTGGAACCGACTGAGAAGCAGGTGCAATACTCAGAATTGTGCATCGTGTGTCACAAAAGGCGCAACCGTCAGTTATCACGGCTGTGCGTGGGACAAATGAGATACATGTAAAACGACATTGCCCAGCCCACCCGCAAAACCACTCATGTAAATCCCCAGCACGGGATATACCCAGATCATTTGTCTCCTCTGTGGACTGAATACCTCACCGAGTCTAGCAAGACCTGGCGTAGTACACACTGGCTGTATTCTAGCGCACCTGCCACATGCTACATGCTACACGTCGTTCCGTAGGCTGCTACTCACAATGTACATCTACCATTCCGTTCACCTTTTTCCAGAACCAAACACACAAACAAGCTCGAAGTTGCTATGATCGCTGACTCGGCTGAGAAACCTGACTGAAAACAGATACACAAGTGCTAATTGCCATGCTGCTGTCAGGGCCACCATCCCGTCCATTGTTCATTGCTTCTTTTTTGCTGTTGTTTATCTTCATAGGGAGCCATTTGCGACACAATCTCACCTCACCGGCGACCTTGTTACAACGAACGAGTCCAGCGCCGCGTTCCACTACCAATCCTCTGGATTTCAGTATTCCGCTCCAATTCGAAGAAGGAAAGCCCAAACCGCCAGAGGAAACCTATTCCTGGACAGTCGTTGTTCCAAAGACAGCTGAAGAAGATCTGAGATGGCTCGAAATCGAAGTTCCTAGCGAACAGTTGATGGTTTACGAAGTGGACAATCCAAACGCACAGAACAGAGTCCCCAAAAACAAGGGTAAGGAAGCTATGGTATGCAACTCAACTCAAATAGATATGCAAACAGCGTGATCTCTGACCAAATCAATCGATCCAGGTATACCTGAGTTATCTGATCGACCATTACGATAATCTCACCGACACCATCATCTTCTTGCACGCCCACAATGAAGCTTGGCATAACAATGAGTTGCTCGAGCAAAAAACCGTCCCTATGATCAAGAGACTGAGTCATGACCGCGTTGCGCGACTGGGTTACATGAACCTGCGTTGCCGCCACGATCCTGGGTGTCCAGATTGGCTTCACCTCAACAGACCGGGCGGTGATTTTGACTTCGTTCGCAAGCCGGAGGAGATATACTGGAGGCGCCACATCTGGGAGGAATTACATCCCGGCGCTCCTATTCCGCAGTCGTTGTCTGGTGTTTGTTGCGCACAGTTCGCTCTCAGTAGAGACCGTGTACGTCAGGTCCCGATCGAGAGGCTTCGTCATTACCGCAGGTGGCTTCTCAACACGAGCGCTTCAGACTACTATTCTGGCCGAATCTTCGAGTATCTCTGGCACTACATCTTCACCGGCCACGAAGTCTAATGCCCCGCGCGGAATACATGCTATTGCGATGGTTACGGAGTGTGCTTTGGTGGGCGTCAAAACTTCGATGAATATTGGGATACAAGTACTCAACACAGTAAAGATTGGAATGAACTTGAACGGCATAGGAACGCGCTGGTAGAAGCTGAGAGGAATAACGAGACGCAGGAACAGATACAGAGACTTCAATGGAAAGTGGAAGAGCTAAGCAAAGCGGTCTTGGATGCGCGTGAATGGATGGAGCAGAGGCGAAAAAAGGCATTTGAGCGAGGGGAGGATCCGGAGAAGAGAGCGGCAGAAACGGAAGATTGGGATTTTTCCGGGATCGAGAAATTTCTACCTGATGATGCGGGACGTTGAAAAGAAACGGTGTTGTGTTTTGTTTTGGCCAATGGAATTGTCACTCAATGCCCCCTGGAGAGGCATTATGGACAGACGGGACGTACATGAATAGGCAGTTGGATAGGGATAGATAGATAGATCAAAAAAGCATTTTAACGTCCGTAATGCTATCAATTTCTCTTACTTGGGCCGTACTTCTCGCATCACACCTCTCACCTAGGCTTGACCATGGTGTAAACCCCAGTTCGCCCAAGTGCTCGAGAGCATCCTACCATACATCTAAGTACATGTACACAGGTATACAACAACTTCGCTGGCCGCTCAACAGCCTATGACACGAGCAGCGGCGGCAGTACCCTAGCCCTGCATCTGTCCAGATGTCTGCAGGTTAGCTCCCGAGCTCGCCTCTCGTACGCGCATGTGACCGCGCGAGAGCGCGCCGGCATCGGATATTCGCGTCATACCATGTCTACGAGGTAGTTGTTCCTCAAGTTGAAGCAGGACTATCAAAAGCCAATCGCTTTATGTATACATATATGTATCAACGCAGCAACAAAGCGCGCGACAGCAATCATCTACTACCCCGATTGGGATGGCTGATCGCTCCCTCCTTCTCTTTGCGGACTCCGCGACTACACTCTAAACGATGACACCCCCGTCGCTTCCACGAATATCGCTTCCACCCCGCTCTTGCCTGCCATATCCTGCTCTTCTGGTGGCAGTAGACATCCTCACTCTTCTTCCACGCCTTTGTCCCGTGTTTGCCGGCAGTCGCGTGGACTGGCGTTTGACAGAGTTTGACTCTCTTACCTGTCTTACCTCTGTCTTCACTCCATATTTGCTAGAGCTGGCTTCATCAACCGCCTCTCTCACGACGCGACGGCTATGTTTTATCTCTCTCATTCCTACCCCATGATACGGCTACCACTTTTTCGCCGCGAGTAGCAAGAAACGCATTCACGATGGCTTGTAGAAGTCCGCCGAGCGTGGCGCAACCCCCGCGCATGCGACCACCTAGCCCCCAGGTTGTCGTGGGGAATGAAATGAGGGATAGTCCTCCGTACGACTACGCTCCGTCAATGCGACCGCGACAAGGAAGCCCGCAGGTGGTGATCAATACCAGGCGAGACGGATTGAACCCCGACTATGCGCAATCGCACAATCTGAATTGGCAGCCTAGCTGGCCTATAACCTCTGAGCAAGAAGCCCTGCCGAAACTCAAGGTACGATCCCGCTTTGTTCAAACCTGGCTCATTACTTACCATGAAACAGGTCGAGTGGGAAACGCGACCGCACGCAGACCCGGCCGTAGCTTACGAGGGCTTCGAGAATGTCCTTGTTATCGAGCTCAACGACTTCGAGATCTACGTATGCCCTGATTCCAAATACGGCGGCGAGCTTTGTTCACTCGAATATCTGGATGTTCGAGGAAAAAAGCTGTGGGTCGATGGTATTCTTTCCATGGGCAACCAACGATTTTACGTACAAAAAATGCATATCAAGTCATACTCAGTCAGCGGCTATGGAATAGAAGACGAGGACTCTGACACGGAAGTATACATCCAATCTCAAATTGCGAGTCAAGATCAGCAATTCGACATCTGGTATCTGTTAAAAGCCCCTCGTGGGCGGTACAAGCACATCCAAGAGCTCTTTTCCTGGGTCACAGTGTTGGGCAAGCACGTCGTTGATTACCTGGAGCTCCAGCCTGACGGCATTTGCATAGGATTAAGATCATTCGAGAAGGATTTCCATGGATGGCTTACATCCCATTACCCAAAGAATCAGGCCATCCAGCAATGGGTCAATGCACACGAAGGGACCGACTTCCGGAAAGCTGTTCACGCTCACATCGACTACATAAGCCAAGAAGTCTACAACCTGGCCAACCAAGAGTTGCTGGTAGAACATTCGCTCTGGGGTGACTGCATGAGAGACGACCATGGGTCAATCATACCGCAACCACTCGTGCAATCTAATACTATCGTAACCCCTCACACATACGCGTGCTTCAAGAACAGATATTTTGGTTCAAAACTAGCAGAGATGCCCCCAGCTGAAGAGATGGCTATTGAGCAAGAGAATCGAAAGCGGTTACTAGGTTTCCCAGCGGGTGCACCGCGTGGTCGATTGCCGCGCTTAGGGGACCACAACCATCAATCCACGGAGATCCGAGTTGGAGAGGTTGTTTCGTTCACCCCAAACGACGAAGAGAAACGTATTTGGAGAGAAGATGAGAGTTCCAACCAGTGGTTTGCCTTTGTGCGCGATGTTAAGCCAATGAGCAATGGTACCCAACGCATCTACGTCATCTGGTTATACCGACCAGAGGACACGACTATATCGACTATGGATTATCCAGTGAAGAATGAGCTTTTTCTCTCAGATTCATGCAATTGCAACGACGAAGCAATACACTCCTCTGAAGTTACGGGACGATACAGCATCGAATGGTTTGCCACTACTTTCAGCTCTGAGAAAGATTATATTGTTCGTCAGAAGTATTTGACCGAGAGCAGCTCTTTTGTGAGCTTGTCCAGATCAGACTTCGATTGCGACTGTCACGAGAACGACGAGATGAAAAAGGCTCGTACGTACCAACGTGGGGATACTATATACATAGCCCGTCGTGGGGCGGAATTTCTTTCCCCCGTGGTGGTACATGATATCGACTTCAAAAGGCAGGACATCACAGTGCGTGTTCTCTTACGATACAAAACTTGCGCCGAGTACATTGGCTACCTACCTCGAACTAAAGACATCGATAACGAGCTGGTTTGGACAAAAGAGTTCTTTACTGTCCCGTTGCGTCGTGTTGGGCGCAGATGCCATATCCGCTATTTCACCCCAGAGGGCATCGAACAGTTACCATACCCCTACAACAGAAATGGCGCAGGTGACTATTGGGTGATATCGACATTTGCCATGAAGCAAGATAGCAGGCCTCATATAAGGCTTCTACCAGCAGCGCCTTCTAGCCTACTTCAGGCTCCTGATCTGAGTCCCCTCGAGGACAAGAACAAACTCCCTGGCCTGAGTTTGTTCAGTGGTCTCGGTAATCTTGACAAAGGACTTGAACAGAGCGGTATGGTGAATACCAAAGCTTTCGTTGACATGTGCCCTGAAGCTATTCATACGCTCTACGCAAACGCTGAGGATCCCGACAAACTCAAACTATGGTTAGGATCAGTAGATGATTACCTGGCAACGTTGCTGTCTGGCAAAGGCACAAAAGACAGCGCCGTTTTGTCCATTGGGGAAGCAGCAGTCATTTCAGCAGGAAGCCCATGTCCAGGGTTCTCAACTTTGCAGCTGAACTCGCTAAGCGATGAATCGTTACGGAACGCCTCCCATGTGACGACGATATGTTCATTCGTTGACATGTACCGGCCAAAATGGGCATTCCTTGAGAACGTCGTGAATATGGCGTCCACACGCAAAAAGCAAGATGGAGAATTAGTACTTTCCCAGCTTGTAGCATGCCTTGTTTCTATGGGATATCAAGTGCAACAGTTTATCATGAACGCCTGGAGCTACGGGAGTTGTCAGCGTCGATCTCGGCTCATTCTCTCAATCTCTGCCCCGGGGCTTGTTCCAATAACCCCTCCAGCAGCTACCCATTCGAACCCCGAAGGCTTCAACGCCAGGCGAGTCGGAGAGCTCCGTAACGGACAGGGCTTTGGCGCGCAAGAAAATTGCCTCACGCCATTTCCTTACGTTTCAGCGGCCCGAGCACTGAGTCACTTGCCCGACATAGGTAACGGGGTCATAGGTGGATGCATTCGTCATCCAGATCATCGTCTCTGGGCACCAATGAATTCGGTCCATCGCACAATCATGCAACGGATTCCTAGAGAACCGCAAGGGTCGGGCTTGAAAGAAGCCATTCAAATGAAGCTCATACCTTCTCATCTTATTAAGAGTAGGAAAAAAGAAGTCGGTAAAGCCTACCAAAGAATCAAGAAAGATGGCCTTGTGTCAACTATCTTGACTCAACCATTCCCTGCGGACGCCAGACAGGGCGGCATTGTTCATTGGGCCCAAGATCGTCCTATTACTATCGAGGAAGCCCGCAAAACTCAGGGGATTCCAGTATCTGATGTGATAGTTGGTTCACAATCTGCACAGATGCGGATGATCGGCAATGCTGTTGATCGACATGTCTCAGAGGCTTTGTCATTGGAATTGCGTTATGCTGTGCAAAAGAGCATACGTTTCAATCCAGAGCAAGAAACCAATTCATTTGTCCGTATTCAGGTCGCAGGTTGCAACTCAGTAGCAACCGCAACATCTACACAATCACAAGGGCATGACCCTCGTTATCTAAGGGAAATGAAGCCAGTGCTTTCGACTTCTAGTACCACATCTGAAGACATTGTGAGAGCTCGAGTGTCGCAACGAGATAGGGAAGACAAGAACACCACAAAGGCCTGGGTAGCACAGGGCTTGCTACGTTATCCTGCATGTAGCCAGTCATCCTTGTCAGTCCTTAGCAAGCGTACATACGAAGAGGTGCCGGCGTCTGTGGATACTCCTGGGACTATAAAATACCTTGCCTCGCCCAACCCTGTCAAAAAACAAAAGCGAGAGGAAAATACTAGTTCAGTCTCGAACAACATTGGGAATCCGCATGGATTGCCAAACGGATCATGCTCTTTCTCCCCTCCTAGGTCAACTCCAACCGTTGATTCAGATGATTCAGAGGGCAGAAAAACACGACATTCTGGTCTTGAAGTCGAGTTTACGCCAAGCGTCTGGCACAGGACACCAGAATTCCTTACCATGAAAGCTAGACGTGAAAAGGAGAGAAGAGATTCGCTTCCATATGCGTAACGTCTTTCCAGATAGTGGAATGATATATATGGAACATGATATGGCGGAAAGACGGAGTGGGCATATTTGAGCTCGGCGATACAATCGCTATTTATTTTTATTTTTCTTCCTTTCTTCAATGCGTAGCAGAGATCTGGTTTGATATACCCCGGTGCTGGTTGCGGAGGAACTTTATACTGAACGCAACACTTCGCGATTCTGCTTCGGCATCACACATATCGAATACGAATATTCAAACATGTTTACGAGCGTCATTTTCCTCAACAGCTCCAATACATTATTCAATATATTTCGTTCATATTCACTTTACCTCCAGACTTATTCATTTTCCAACTTGATAGACCCTTTCCTTCGGTTTTCCCCGATCGAGGCTAGTGCGGGCAGAAATCTTAGACTACCGAAAACAGTTCCCACCTTCAACATCACACCTTCGTTACGTACAATTCGAGACATTCATACGTCTCTAGCCTTGAGCTTCCAAGATCAGAGACCAGGATCTAGGCGAAAGCAATCATACGAATCGCGAGAAATACCATAAGCAAAAGCGAAGAGATATGGCTGGCTTCACGCAATGGGAGGAGCTCGAGCTCCCCGCGGCGTTTGACGCCCATGTGCATCTGCGGGATGGGGAAATGTCGAAATTGGTCACGCCGACGATTCGTAACGGTGGCGTGGATACGGTGTATGTGATGGTGAGTGTTTTTCGATATGTTCCTTCGTTCGCGTCGTTCAGCTTCGATTGAGGGTGTGTTGATATCCCATCTTGCTCTATTCGTCTTTCCCGTATGTGAGAAAGACGCAATGGATACAGTTATTGATTTCTGGATTTTCACTTTAATAATTGTACATCCGAGAACACTGCTCCCTTTTCTTCCTTTACTCTCAGTGGCACTCATTATACATGGTATACATTTGCGGTCACTTCCAACTTCCAACTCCACCCTCCACCCTCTCCTCTCATATACATTTTTCAATTGTCTGCGCAATATGATGCTAATGAATTCTTGTGAAACAACAGCCCAACTTGGTCCCTCCTGTCACTACAGTTCAGCAGTGTCTCGAATACAAAGAGCGGCTGCAGAAGATCGAGCCCAATGTCGAGTATCACATGAGTCTCTACTTGCACGAGAGTATCACCCCCGAGGTGATCCGGGAGGCGAAGAAGGCTGGAGTCACGGGCGTCAAGAGTTATCCTGCTGGAGTTACTACTGTGAGTTCAATTCTTTTCTTTGTTTGATTCTATGCGTAGATTTGTATCTGGCTGGTTCCATGTCTGCTGGTTTCCAGGATTCATGGAATCATCCACAGTCTAATAACAAAGCGTCTGTTGCGGATGTTGGATATTGCTTTTCTGAAACGACATGTTACGAGTAAAGAGATACCAAGGCAAGAGAACCATTGGACTAACCATACGACAATCTACACAGAACTCCTCCTCAGGCGTCTTGGACTACGAAACCTTCTACCCCGTCTTCGCGGAAATGGAAGCCCAGAACATGATCCTAAACCTCCACGGCGAAGTCCCATCAACCCCACCCCACGCCCCTCTCACATCCGCCTCGGAACCAGCAACTGCAATCACCATTCTCAACGCCGAACCGGCATTCCTCCCCACCTTGAAAAACCTACACACGCGCTTCCCAAAGCTCCGCATCATCCTCGAGCACTGCAGCACAGCGGCGGCACTATCCGCCGTGCGCGCCTGCGGCCCTACAGTTGCGGGAACCATCACCGCGCACCACCTCAGCCTCATCATCGATGACTGGGCGGGCGACCCATTTTGCTTCTGCAAGCCTGTAGCCAAGACGCCCGAAGACCGCGATGCGCTGCTGCGCGCCGTCGTAGGGAGCGAGGGTCGCTTTTTCTTGGGTACGGACAGCGCGCCGCATGCGCTGGGGAAGAAGAGGGGCGAGGATAAGGTTGCTGCGGGCGTTTTCACGCAGCCGTATGCTGTAGGTTATGTGCTTGATGCGTTGACGAAGGGGGTTGAGAGGGGCGTGGTGAAGGAAGGTGATGTCACCAAGGAGGTGCTGGAGGGGTTCTTTTCTGGGTGGGGAAGAAAGTTCTATGGGGTTCAAGAGAAGGGGGCTAGGATTTTAGTGAGGAAGGGGAAGGAGAGGGTGGTTGATGTGTTGAAGGCGGAAGGCGTTGAGGTCGAGGTTGTGCCATTTAGGAGGGGCGAGGCAACGTGGAGTGTGGAGTGGAAGTGAGAAAGAGTGCCGGTAGTTCCTTAGATGAGATTGGAAATTGCAATGTCTGCTGTGAGTCTGAGTCGCAGGTGGCTGCAGTACGTTGCAATGAGCAGTTGATTTCGAACAAAGACGCGGGAGTAAGGATGGTTTTGACAGGGATGTTATATGAAAGTCTATAGTCCATTCCTTCGCGAGTAAATGCTAATCCTTTATATTCCAATCCTATACATCCAGAAAGGCGTATCAGAGACCAGGCTGATAGCTTCTCGATTAAATTGTCATCAACAGGTTTACCCCAGAAGTGTATAACCATGTTCCAACCGCTAAAATCGAGCAAATGAAGACAGTAAGAAAGGCTGCAATGCAGCCAACATGCTGTACAAATACTTGGAGCTAGGAAGAAAATATTACCCCTGTCCAACCTTGAGTGTTCATTCGATCGTTACACATTGCTCATCTGCCGCAACCTGTTTTGAATCAGGCAGCGCAGTATCCTCGTAAGCTCTCCAGGTGAGGCAAAGAACTACCTAGGTACATGCTACATACGAGCCACGTGCAAGCTAACAAAAGACTGAAACTGCGACAGGGCAGTCAATACGTTTGAGCGAGCGAGTGTTTGCCCCTCAGGGGCATTCACGTGAGTGACACGATGAATTCCCAGTTACCTGTTGCGTTGTTAATTATCCAATAAAAAAGGAGGGATGAGGGAAAGATATTACCTTGCTTTAGGTTCTCAGCTGTATCGTTGAGCAATATGATGCGGCGCTTATTGCAATACGCTGTCTTGTCCATCATATCAACTTTGAGCCCCTGCAGTTGATCAATCGGCTTCTCAAACATCTCCGACAAGTTCTCAACAGCCATCTCCAGATCTTTCTGGTTGTCCTCGAAGATTTCGGTTAGGTTGTTGCGTGCGAGGTAGTACGCAAAGGCGTAAGTCCACTTGAGCGTCTGTCGACACTGCTGAAGGGCCTGCGAAGCGGTATCGAGATATTGGACTTCGATCCATGACATGCCTGTGCTGTTTTGTAGTTGCTGCATCTTCTTTTCCGTCTTGAGGTAGATGTCTTTGTCTAACTTTGCCGATTGTTCGTGATTGGCGTAACGATTATAATAATGCAAGTATCGCTCAAGTGACTGCCTGGATTTGGCTTGAGCATCCCTAGCTTCGGAGCCGCTCTTCTCCTCGAAACGGTTGCAATTGTACCAGCTGGTACCGTGTTCGGACCATACGCCCATGCACATCCAGCAGAACTCATTGCGACATTTCCTGCATGTCATGTGGTTGCAACCTCCGTTCTTTTCGATGGTTGATTGACACTTTGGACACTCTTTGGTGTTTGCCGATATCCAATTGGCCGTCTCGGAATCATCCTCACACTTCTTAAGCCATTTCTTAACCAAGCCACAAGGGGCAGGTTGATGGTCGTTCAGAGAGCAGCCAAAGCAGAAGTAGTGTCCACAATCACAGTGTACCGTCGGGACGACCCGGGGAAGTTCTCGATCCTTCACCGAACATTCAACAGCGTAGACGCAGTTTGGTGCGGGGCACCATCGAAGGTTCTCCTTATCATCGACGTAGGTGCGGGTAAGAAGCTCGTGGTATCTAGTCATGAGTGGTAAGTGCACGCCTGTTTACATGTACCCAAAAATCAGCATACCTGTCGCGGAGATCATCGCCAACCAGCAAATCCAGCGATTTAGAGTCCACTACCCTGTTGCATTTGTCACCGGGACACCGAATGCGGGCAGCTTCGCCTTCGTCCTTGATCTTGGTGTATAGATACTGCCTATAGCAATCCACGCAAAAACGATGATTGCATTTCATAGCAAAGGTGTCCAGGTCAGAACCATCCTCGCAACAAATGTCGCACATGAAGCCCTTGACTTTGGTGATCTTAGGAGGGTTTGCCTCGGAAGATTCGCCCAGACCAGCGTTCTCCAACACCTCTTCGGGCTTTTCCATGTATTGGTCAATCAAGCGCTCCTTGTTCCATCGCAAGTGCCGGAGGAGGATAGCCGTGGCTTCGGGTGGTTGTACAAGAATGTTGGAGACCTCGGCAATCTGCTTATCCTGCGAATCTTGTATCTGGGGGGGGTCGAATACTTTGAACTCGGTCTCGTAGGCTTGCTTGGTCGGTTTGATGTCCTTGTCCTGACTCTCAAACCCCACGTCTTGGTCATCCATGTCCAAATCGGAATCTAGAGGCACGTGTCAGGTTTCCCGTCAAATGGAGGCGCCGAGTGCCAGTATTTACCATCGTCAAAGTCAGCACCGCTGTCCTCCATAAACTCGTCCTGGCTCGCCTGGGAGCTGTTGAAGTCGTCGTCTGAATCCATGGTGGCGGCTGTGGTGGTGTCGGGGGTGGCGGGTAGGTCTATGGCAGACTCTGGAGTCTTTTTCTTGCGTGGAACCTGTGATACAGAAAGACTATCCCCCAGGTCTTCTGCCTTGCGTTTGTAGGCAGGGGGCGGCGTGGTGATATAGTGGTAGTGCTGATCCCGCCGCGATGACGGAGACCAGGCTACTACGAGCGAGAGTGGAAGGTTTCGGGGGTTTCGAGTTGGAGTTAGGCTGAGTTGGGGGGACGGTAAGGCACGCGGTCGGTGGCTGATGACTGTCTCGCAGGCAGCAGGATAGGAAGGGCGTAGGTGGATTTGGCTCAGCTTATAGCACAGGGCAGAGTCACAAGAGTAGGTGTCGGAACTGATTGCGCTGTAGGTGCGGGCAAGTCGGGACCCAGCGCGCTAGCCTACTCGGGCTGTCTTATGGGGGCTTTGCCGCCGCAGTTGCCTGACACCTTACCTGCCCAGGTACACATCACTGCCTCAACGTTCTAGGTTATCGATCCTCTGCCAATTTAGTGCGACTGCGCAAAGACAGACTTGGATACTCATGCACCGCTAATATGTTCATTGTTTTTTTTTGTCTACTCGGAATCATCTTCGTCATCGTCATCTTCCTCCTCGCTGCTTTCCTCCCCTGAAGATTGGTTGAGGAAGTCGATCAGCTGCTGTGTTTTCCCCCGTACCTTCCTCAGCTCCTCATTATCCGTACTCTTTGCATCTTCCCACCACTGCAGGACTCCAGTATCTTCAATGGTTTCCAGCTCCACTAGCTTGGTGGCGGCCGTCAAAAGTATCGACTCTCCATGGTCTCGGTGAGCCAGATCCGCTTGCAGTAGCAGCATAAAATCTATCTGATCCGACTTGCTCGCTGCATTTTTGTCGAAAATGGACCGGTCCACGAGATCTTTATGTTGCACAAACACCTGTGCGATGGCTTCGCGTATACTGGTTCCTGAATTGATGAGCTGGACTATGCGCTTCACAAAGGCGGATACCACTGAACGTCGAACTTGATGATCGGAGGCGTTGGTGCTCATTCGTAGGGCCGTCAATTCAAGCTGTATGTTTGCGGATTCGTGCCCTTCAACCAGTGAATCGTAGATGCTGGCCGATGCGTCCTGGTCAAAGTTGTGGGCGTGTCCGCTATCTTCTGATCCAACAGACAGGAAACTACCCGCAGCCGATCGATCCCGTCCCTGATCGAAATAGTCTGCTTCCGAATCGGAATTGAGCGTCGATATGGACTCTGAGGAAAGTGAGAGGTGAGCGAGATTGTATACTGTTTATGTCAGCATTTCGCGTGTTATACTGCTCACAAGAATCATTACCTGGACCGATAGGGATGAGGCTGTCTACAACCTCATCCTCGTCCTCCTCTTCTGAATCCTGGTATTCGAAACCAACACCTCCTTTGCCTACCACGGCGGGATCGGGTTCTCCTTGTAGAGGCTCTTGCCCATCCTCGGGTCTTCGCTTTATCTTGGTGATGCGCGAGCCACCACGAATGGTCGTTCCTTCAGATATGTTGACCCCATATGAAACAAGCGCACCAGCCTCAACAGTACATCTCTTCCCAATGTACGCTTCGTTGGCGATCACAGACTTGTTGATAACACAACCGTCTCCAATACTCGCATAGTCCCAGATATATGCTCCATCAATTTTGACACCCTTGCCGATATGGCAATACCGACCGATGATGCTGTTAGAAATAACGCTTCCATCGCCAATGCTAGTTGCTCTTCCGATAACTGTTTTGGAGTTGAGGACGCAGTCGCGAGCTAGAATTACACCATCCTCTTTGTAGATATTGCCTTTGCCTAACCGGTATGACTGTCCTTGGACAAGATTGCTATCGGGACACAATGGATAGGCCCACCTTGATACTATGTCTTTGCTCACGGAATCATATGCGTTGAGGTTTCTAACCCTTGCGGCGTAGTAATCCGAGACGATGTGGGTGTGAATAGTTTTGCCGTTCAGTTCGTAGTCTTTCAGGACACTGTGTAGGAATCCCTTGCGGGGTGCTTGGAAATCGAAGTTGTCGCTCCATAATGCCAGGACATCCGGTGTGCAAATATCTATGCCGCAATCAATCAAGTCCTGTCGAATTTCGAGCTCCTGGTTTTCCTTTAGGAGATCGGGATCTAGTGAGAGGCGATGTGTCTGTTCCTTGTTGGGCATCTGTTCGAAATGTAGGCACCGATCCTTGGTGGGATTGATGACGAATATGGGGCTCGTACCCTGCGCTTTTGTCCTGTGTGTCGTGCCCGCCTCCCGCAGAACCATTGTCATGATAGCATTTTTATCCTTTGCGCGGCGTGCGCGATGGGCAGCCAGCGCACTCTCCAATGGTACATTGCTAACGACATCTCCATATACCAGTAGGAAATCCCCCACCAACAGGCCCCTCGAATCGAGATCGCGCATGGCATCGCCGATAGAATGGGACGTGGACTGGATAAGCTCGAGCCTGGAAAAGGGTGATGAACGAGCCGATGTCCATTTCGAGCGCTTGATGTACTCTTCCACTTGGTCCTTGTGTGCGCCACAGTATACAAAAATTTCCTCGACGCCGGCGTTGGCTAGGAATTCGAACGTGTACTCAATGAGCGGGGTATTCGCGAGGGGTAATAAACACTACTCGTACATTAGATGGGCGCATCGAGGGCAGCGGAGGCATACAAACCCTCGGGCGCTCAAGAGTGAAGGGACTGAAGCGAGTCTCGAAGGGATCGGCCAGAATCTACGAAAACGATCAGTATGGCCTGGCAGGTCATCGAACACAAACGCGCAATACTCACCACCGCTTGGAGGGGTTGGTCGCGGTCATCTTCCCCCCCTTTTTTGTCATTCGACTGCCCCTTCTTTCCTTTGGGCGGCATTGTGTGGTGTGAAGAGGAGAAGACAAAGTGGGGTCGCAAGTGGTGGTGGGGTTGTGGTCGGGATCGAGTGGGATCTTGGTGTTGCACTTCAGACACCACCAAAAAAAAACATCCGAGTCGGAACTTGACCGATGACTCAGGAACAGCAAAAAAACGGCACAACAAGGCTCAAGCTGCGTCAGAACCCGGGAATCAGGATCACACTTAGGGTGGGGCTTACGGCAGCCTGGCAACAGGGGAGCACGGAGGCTTTCCCTCTCCCTGCCTTTCAAGTTGGGGCGATGGTGGTCTAGAACCTCGACCTGGTCACAACTTGCAATGCTTAAAGCGACGACAACTGGGAAAGCCTGTGCTTCACAGTAGGAAGTTATATATGCGAGAGCAAGTTCGATTGTTTATTCCAACGACACCTGCTTTCAGTTGGATTCAACGACGTGGTACACTCGATACCTGTGGAGCTACCAGGACGATATATCGATATTCTGATATCACAAACAGATGGCTTTCAGGCATCCCGAAGGTATTTCCCGGACTACATACCTAGGTATATACATACTCGCTGGCATTCACATGATTTGGAAAACGAACGGGAATTTGTGTGGAACTGCGCAAGCGCTCATCATTACGTATACTACATATGTACAGCATCTGACAATTGGTCTTGAATGACCATGGCTATCTATTGACCGCGCGTCGCAGTAACCTTGGAATTGATTTGTTTTCCCACAATACTAACCGCCGGTACTCCAAACCCACTTCTTCGCTGAAAAAACCAGAAGGGTATACCGCTTTCAGTCGCGTCAGGCTATCAAAGCAATGAATTGAAAAGGATCAATCCCAAATAAGAGAAAGTGGATGATTGAAAGCAGAGTATCATCCAAGTCTGCTAACGAGGGCCTTGAATGGGATTTCACTTCTAGTGCTTCTTCTCTGTCGTCCTATTCGACGTCGTCCAGTCAACTGCCTTGCACAGATAGTATGGCTTGGGATCAACCTGCCCGTCGGTTTCGGTGTCGTGATCGGCTTACTCTAACTTGTACCGCAACTACACCGCGCTTTTCAACGAGGCCGTTGCATAGGGTTCATGGGTTGTGGTGGCATTACGCCGTTTCCATACATAGCCTGTTGTCGCTTTGCTGGATTGTTCATATCATCTCCCCCCGAGATATCTGAGATTTGTCGTCGATGGCCTGCATGCTGTCGAGCTTGAGCCGATTGCATTGCCATTTGAGGCGATGCATTATACATATTTCCTGGCATTTGCCCTGGTGGTGCATAATTTGCGGCGTTTGCATGCACCGCATGCATGTATTCGTCCGTGACATTGTTTGCTACTGGGGAGACGCCAGTAATCTGATTCGGTGAGTTCCCCCACGTGGTAGCAGGCGATTTGGCAGGTGAGTCTTCTTCCTTCAATATTTGTCTTGCAGTAGCCAATGGTTGAGGAGCAACCAAGCCATCCGGCTGCAAATGCGTCGAAGTCTTTTTGAGATGCGCGAGATGCTTTTCGAGCATCTGTAATAGACCTTCCTTTGTAAACGGCTTAGGCAAAACATCGTTCATTCCTTAAAAAAAAGATATTAGCCCATGTCAAAAGATGAAGGGAATAATGCATACCGTGTTGAAAGTACATGGAGATATCATCGCTTCTTATGTTCGAGGTCATGGCGATAATGGGGGTGGAGTCAAATTGGCGGATCAAATGGGTGGTGGATACACCGTCTAGGTTTGGCATGATAATATCCATGAGGATCAGATCGTATTTTTTGCCTGTCTGCATTCTGTTCACAGCTTCGAGGCCATCCAGCTGAGCCAGGTTAGAAATCGTGCTAGCATTTTCCAGTGTAAACAGAGATACTTACTGCGCTGTCAATAGTGCAATGGAACGCATGCAGAAATTTGCTGCCGATTCTACGGCAAGTAGGGTCGTCCTCAACGAGTAGAATCTGTGGTTGCCGTACCCATCCAGGATCAACCTGTGCACTTTTTTTACGGGGCTCTTGAAATCGTGTATCCGCGGGTTCGGCTGGTTTGGGTGGCATCGAGTAAGGAATATTGTTGATATGTTCGCTAAATGTTGGGTCTATTCCGTTTGTCTGACCCACAGGGTATACGAGGTTGTCAAGATCACCAATCCGCATAGAGTTGACGGAGCTTCCTGCAGAAGGGGGTCCACGGCTTGCCGGTCGGGCGCTGCGAATAAAATCCGGAGGGGGGGTTGTCAGAGTTCCGTTCATACGTATTGACATTTCGTTCATGTGCTCCAGATTGCGTGGGTTCAGCATTACATCTGCATTGGTTTCGCTCAGCAGTTTTGCAGCGTGCTGAAGCGGTGAGGCAGGGATGTCATCCTCTTGGGCTTGGCTCTGGATCTCCACGGCACCATTCTGAGCCTGGACCCCGTTTTGTGAGAAAGGATTTCCCATCCTACTGTCTCGTCGCCGCTGAGCATCTATGTTGTGCAAAAAGGTCATGACATTCTGCATGACGTGTTCGTGATTCACAACCGTCTTCTGTAAGCCAATGACCTCTTGCAGCAACATACTATGATGAATACTAAGTTCATTGTAGCGGCTTTCAAGGGCATGTAGTTGGGCCTGAGTTGCGACCAACTGGTTGCTCATCATGTCCATTTGTTGCGCGGGTATGATCATCTCCTCCGCGGTGGTGTTTGTCTTGCGCGGAGCAGGGGCTTTGCGGCGAATATTGTCCAACGCATCCTTGTTATTCATCTTGAAATCCGGGTGTTTGAATTCCCAGGCCTAGATGATCAATCAGTCAATCAGTCAGGCCAGAACAAGAAGAAGAAGCTGTCGAGGAGCACTCACACCAGGACCATACGGCGACTGGCCGTTTTCCTCGTTGTTATGGCGCACTTTGTGAAAATCATACTTGTTGAGCTGTCGAACAAAACTGGCAAAGTTGCTGTGCTTGAAGTGCTTTGGCAAAATGTGTTTCGTGAATTTTTCGTTCTAGGAGCAGGGGTCAGCGGAGGTCGGCACCGTTCAAATCGGAGCAGCACACACCTCGAGGACTACAAAACTATCGCCGTCGTTGCCCCACCGTACAACGCTTTCGTCACTCGGGGTTTCGAGCATTCTGTTCGCGCGTCAGTCAGCTGCTTTGCGCCGGTCGTGAATTCAAAGTGATCGAGGCGTGGCATACTTGTACAATTTGCGAACCTATGTCCTCAATTAGCAACGGGGAACAATACACAGTCCATGCGAATCAACCTACAAAGTCGCTCGAGCTATTCGAGCCCTGTTGACCGGAATCCATGATGGGAGCGGTCTGCGAAGTAAGAGTTTTTTTTTTTCTCCCTGTGCTTCCTTGATTCCTTGCGACGTTGAGGGTATGGATGTGCACCGCTCGGAATGCTGTGAGCGATGGTAAAAATAAGGATAGCGATATAAACCAAGGTCGAAAGAAAGTATACGGGACGGTCTAGGGGTGTCTATGTGGATGCGACTCGGGAGCGATGGGGGTGGTAGGCGCGAAGGCTGCGATGGCAATGTCGATGGATGGGCTATCACCCGCCTCGAAGCGACCGACTCGGCGGTCTGATGGGGGTGACGTCTGAGCAAGCAAGTATCAGGTAGGAAGGATGGTGGCACATGGACCCGCGAGCAAGGGCGAAGGGATGGCGGCGAGGTAGGGGATGGGTGGAAGGAGGCGGACAGCGAGGAGATGAAGAGGTTGAGATTGGCAAAAGGTAGTTTAAGATGGCTCGTCGGTCTGTCGGTGGGTACGGTATGGAGCACTAAAGCAGGCCTGGTGGAATGCGCAGCGCAGACGGGTGTCTAGTGGCTGAATGGCGGCGCTGAGAGTGGACTGGGTAGTGGGTGGGCGGACAGGGAGGGCGAAGGTCGTGTTCCTACTATGCTATACTACTCGCGTCCAGCGACATGGACGAGGAACGCGAGCCGAGGGCAGAGCGACAAGGGCATCGGCAAAGGAGGGAGCGGGATGGGATGCGATAGCATGCAAGAGGATAGCAGGGGAGATTAGCGGGCGGGCGGGTGTTGAAAGAAATAAGCATGCCTGCCTCCACCCGTGCATGCCGTATGTATCCATCCATCCCATGCACCCAGCTCCCAAAATACCTCGTCCCTCGTCATTATATAGTTTTGATAGTAATATTAGCCGGCCACAACCATATGATTCAATCACACATGCCCTCACACATGAACACATATCCTCAACACAGGACGAACGAGTCGGCGCTGGCGAGCGGGAGAGAGGCACGCAAATAGTGGGAACCGTGGACGGCAGCCATGGTGCTGTTGCTGTATGTGTGAATTGGGGGGGTTTGGTTTGGTTTTATTTCTTTTCTTTTCTTTTCGACAGTACCTCTCTCTCTCTCTCTCTCTCTCTCTCTCTTTTTCTCTTTCTACTGGACGGCCACCTTGAGACGTACTAGCAGTTCAACGACCAACGTTCCTGTGGTGCTAGTACTGATGCCTACTTGGCTATCCCCACAGAAAGGAAGAAAGGGATGATTGCTGCCCCTTTGCCCAGGGAGCGATGCCCACGTTCAACAGTCGAGTCGGCGAGATCGGGCGGCCCCCAGTCGCGCGCGATGACGGCAGAACGGCAACGCTGATGGACCAATGCGAGGGCAGCCAAGCGCCCAGTTGGCAGAAATTACCTACATAGATGGATACAGCACATGGCCCCTCGGGCGCTGCAAAAAACAAAGTCGCAATCAATGACAACAGAGCTGCCCGGAGCGCCACCTGCAAGCGTATACGAGGCATGGAAGTCCCCGTGGGAGCATGGACGGACGGAGGTCACGTATCCTTCCCTCCTCTGCCAGACTGCGCGCATCGCTAGCATTCAAGTCACCAAGAAGCGGTTGGCGCACAGCAACTCGGATCGCTTCCACGGGTGAGCACAGCGCAAATGCATCTGGTTAGCCGGCCTGCTTGTTGGAAACCCGATTGAGCTGAATAACTGGCGACATGACGACCAAGGAGCATAGTCCATCCGCCAGGCCACCGACGCATCCTAGGGGCCCATTCTTTTGCAGTCCACCAACAATCGTCAACAACAAAGAAGCCACTGGGCGGGAACCAGCAGTGCACAAGCTCTTCTTCACTCGAGACCCGTGGACGCCAGACAGAACAGGCAGAGGGGTGACCCGTTGGACGCCAAACAGGTCGTTTAGTGGTCGGTTATGTACTTAGCCATGTAATTTACGGCTCCGTCGATAGTATTTTTGCCCCATTCAACGCGGTTAATATCGATACCTGCCAACATGGACAGTCGCTAGGAAGACAATTACATATGTCATGGCCGCCCAGGGTCGCACGCAGATCTTATCCGCACTCAAACCCAGTCAGCCGGGGCCAGGCGTCCAATCACCTGTTGCCATCCTCGAGCCCTTTGCTCGCAACCTCAAGCCTCCCGTCGAGGTACTGCACACTCCTCCACTGCCATCCATCCCACCACCTGCATCTTCTGCCCGTTCCATTTCCCTTCTTCCGCTCGGCTCACTTCTCCGCCATCATGTTCGCCCTCCGTCGCCTGTCAATGGCCCCCTCCCTTGGCGCCCGCCGCATGTTCCATCAGTCTTCTCCAGCCCTTGTGAGCGTTGGCGACAGAATTCCCAATGTGGAACTCATGGAGGGCTCCCCGGGAAACAAGGTCAACATCGCAGATGAGCTCAAGTCCGGAAAAGGTCTGATTGTCGGTATGTTCCACAAGGAGAAATCAATCAATCCATCCTTCACACACACACACAGCTCCCAAATGCAGCCGTGACTCACCAGATGGAACAGGCGTCCCAGCTGCCTTCTCCCCCTCTTGTTCCGAAAGCCATATTCCCGGCTACGTCAACTCCAAACAGCTCAAATCAGCTGGTCGTGTATATGTTGTCTCTGGTACGTCTACTTTCCTTTCTCAGTCTAGCGCATTCGCCAGACTGGATACCTAATTCCAACATGTCTTGTGCTTCTACGCTGACACTGACATGTTTCTCAGTCAATGATGCCTTCGTGTAAGAAATAAACTCCACTGACGCCCAAAATCTTGCACGTGCTCTACGGTGCTGCTCGAGTGCTTTCCAGCTGCACTCGTCTCAATTTTGCTCGCTCGACGTCATCTGAAGTTTTTGGCTCGTGATCATGAGAGCTAACAGTTCTCAGCATGAAAGCGTGGGGTAAAACCCTAGATCCTAGTGGTTCAAGCGGCGTGAGTAGCTCCTTTTTGTCCACCAGATTCGCTTTGATCAACCTTCGTTGCTACTTGAAAAAGTTTACATTCAAAAATGCATCTTTTCCACGATAACTGACCTCCTATATCACAGATTCGCTTCCTCGCTGACCCCGATCTGCGCTTCACCAAGGCTCTCGATCTCTCTTTCGACGGTGCGGCAATTTTCGGCGGTGACCGATCCAAGCGTTATGCGTTGGTCGTCGAGGATGGCGTAGTCAAGGATGCCCATGTAGAGTCGGACAACACTGGTTTGAATGGTAAACAGCCACGCTCACGCTTCTCAGCCCTCGTTCCCTACTAACTCCGAGTAGTGTCTGCCGCCGACAAGGTTCTGGGACAATAGTCGCGCTCATATATATGTATCGCGTCTGGTGTCATTGGCCCTAAACAGGGAGGTCCCCTTTAGTTACTGTACAACAAATAAAATTCAATCGCACAGAAATCACTCTGTATCTACCAACTTATACCACTCTTCGAAGGCGACAACTTGTCACTACCGATGATCAGAACATACAGCAGTGGAAAATGGAACCGGGGCATCCCGTTCATATTTCGCAGAATTCAGAGGAGCAACCCTTTAACGGAGACCAGGATAAAAGACATTCACTTCAGCTGACGCAATGACTGAATCGCAATTGGAAGCCATGGTCAGTGGCAGCTGTACAAAACTCTCCTTGGAAGTCGGTCACCGATCCCTATACGCAAGCACCAGCATCCTCTAGATCCCTTCAACATTGACATCTATTGTTATTATCGCCGGTGTCAACTTGCTGAATCTAAGGACTTCTGCAATCCGGTGGAAATGGGGAGATTCTCCATCCTTATGCTCCCACTGTCTCCCTTGGCACGATATCTTGGATGTATTCGATGATTGTTAAATCCGCTGTAATGTGTACGCATCGTGATAGAGTTCTACTCGTAGACAAATCTATAAAGTTGTCAACTGTAATTCTTTGCCAGAAATCGAAAACCATGAGATAATCACTCACGATAGTAGTTCTGCGAACGAACAGTGCAAGAATGTCAGATATACATTTCACCCCGTCACAATCTCTCATATTCCCGTTTCAAGTTCAATAAGGACGGCATCAGAAATAACAAAAATGAGATTTCAGTATCGAGCTTATCAAGTCCCATATCCAGCCCTCGTGTGTGTACATGAAAACATTACGAAAAGACGAAGAAGAAAACAGGTGGCGTGAGCCTCACCTCACCTCACCCCAGCAAAGAAAAAAACCCGCGGTTATGTATGCACGCCCATGACGAATGATTCCAACGACACTCTCACATACACATCCCCAACCGTTCTCTTTTTCTCTCCCCACCCCACACCGGCGCGGCTATTGCCTGCTTGCTGTTCTTCTGTTTGGGTTTTGTTCGATGCATATGCAGGTGCATGTGGTGCATGTATCGAAATGCGTGACGCTGCATACGGTTGAGACCCTTCTTCTCTTTATTTTTCTCGGTCGAACGGGATATACCTCCTGCGAGATCTCTCCATCAGGCCAATGCCGGATCCAAAGGGTGTGTGAGTGTATGTGTGTCCATGATACCGCAGTGGGACGACTCTACACGCACGACCATACAACCTCCATCCATATCGTCGACGACAACGATGAACAAGTGAGTCTTTCAAACTTTTTTTCTTCTTCATTGAGCTAGGTTACTTTATATCCTACTGCTGATGATGCGCAACAAGCATACCCACACGCACAACGAATCGCGAGACGTATATACATATGTTTGCGCTTTCAATTGCATGCTCGTTCACTTGTTTTCTGGTTGTTTTGGCTGCTTGGTCAACGCATACCCAATCCAAAACGCTCGGAACTCCAATATGCCTCCACAGCTCGATCGTCCCCCCAAAAAACATATACAGGCACGCAACAAGCGAAAGACCTAGAAACTGAACAAAAGTTTCAAGCGTAAAAGATAAAAATCAGGTTTGTAATATACACCACCACCCCGCCCCTTCTTTTTCATCGGCTGTGCTCCGGCCTCAGGTATCAATCTAGGTTCATCTCATTCTTCATTTACGCAGACGCGGTGGCAGACCCCACAACCGTCTCGACCTCTACCTTAGGCAACGGTGCCGACTTGCCGCCGAGATCCGTGCTCCGCGCATTGGGGTTCTTGGTGTAGTAGTTCGAGATGGCGGATTTGATAGCGTCCTCCGCAAGCATGGAGCAATGCACTGTGGCCGACCAGTCAGCCATCAATATTACGGAATTCTACATTCGCGCGGAAAAGTTGGAAGGGTATAGACTTACACTTGACAGGAGGCAGGCAAAGCTCTTTGGCGATTTCAGTGTTCCGGATTTTGGCCGCGTCTTCCAGCGTCATTCCTCGCACCAACTCAGTCAAATAGCTCGAGCTCGCAATCGCGCTTCCGCAACCAAACGTCTTGAATTTGACGTCCGAGATGGTGTTGTTGTCGGGGTCGACGCGGATTTGCAACTTCATGACGTCGCCGCAGGCCGGAGCGCCGACGAGACCGGTACCGACATCGGTGTCAGTTTTGGACATGGAGCCTACATTGCGTGGCTTGTTGTAATGATCTAACAGTGAAGGAGTGTCAGTCAGACGAACTACGGGTGCAAATGCGTGCGTGGGTGGATGGGTGCAGCCGGAACCTGAGCGAGATAACGGACAAGACCTCGGATATGCTCAATCATATCCGAAACTCTTGCTTTAGGATCTCTACGGGTCCCTCGAGTGATTGAACGGGAAGACTTATCTTTCTCGTGATACTGTCGCCTTCCGTTGCTCGATACAATTGCGGGTGCTGCTGTGCGGATGGGAGAGGCGATATTGGGACGCACGCTCGCCGCTGCTATCCTGCCGATCTGAGCGGGGGCTGTCGCTGCGATCCTTCTGAACATGATGATTGATTGCAAAGGTGATATTCCGAAATTTGGTCGTTGTTTGACTGTAGGGTTTGGCGAAAGTGGATGGTCGTCGATGGTTGTGAAGGGAAGATGGGCGCAGACGGGAAGTCGTGGGGCGAAACTACCATTTATGACATATAATGGTCCGTGCACGTGAAGGATTCAAAGATCTTAACTCCGAGGCATTCTTATCAGATTAACGACATCTGATTATGATAATTATTTATCATTCATCTACTGCAATAATGCAGTTCTAATTCATGTTTGCGCCCTCCGTATGATCTTGCAAGCCTTCATCTGCTCAGTGCCTGTGACCCAAGTATAACCAAGTGGCGCGTCCAACCCTGAGACACGTGCCATCTAGACCTTTTCGCCTTACAAACGTCTGAAGAAATAGACATACGCAAACTTCTTCATCTCCTCTACATCTCCAGCCTTAGCTACCTTCTCATCATTGAAGAGTACCCAAGATGCCGACTCCTCATTTGGTGCCTGCTTTCGAACAAATGCAACATAGTGGCTGTAATCCAGTCAGCATAATTCTGTCGTGGCTCTCGGAAAGATGATACTGACCCTGCGTGAATGGAGCTGCCCTTATGGCACACAATTGATTGAAGCTGAAAGTTAGCTGGAAGCTTGTCACTTCCAGGCTTCTCTTTCTCCGCGGTCTCGACCGGCGCCTAAGTGATTCGGTGTTAGTTATACCCGATGTCGGCGAATTCGGTGTTTGACATACTTCTGAGCTACCACCCTCATCAAAATCGCCTACAGCATCAGGGTGGCTGAACAGCCAGTCCACGGCTCGTTCCATGTCGCTTCCAGTCTCCTTCAAGGCCTGTCGCGCTTGGGGAGCGCTGAAGCCCATAGCGCATAAGTTTTCAATTTGCTCAGGATTGACTACTGACGAGTCTCCTCCGGCACCACTGCTTGCGTTGAAGTCTACTGGCGTATCAATATCAGGGTCGTCCATGTGTGAGAACAGCCAATTTGACGCAGCTTCAGGGTCGGCATTGCCGGTCGCATGTAACGCCTTCTCGCACCTTACACGTGGAAAGCCCATCGCTTCCAGCATCGATAGTGCACCCTCGTTCGGGACCCATTTGTTAGCAGCACTTCCGGTGTCACCATCCTCGGGAAGTAGTTCTTCATCATCCTGAAGACCTTTAGACTTGTACGCATCGAAAGAGAACGCCTCATCCCCAACAATGACCGGAACGTCTTGCTTTGTTGGCACCCAATTAACAACCTCGAAGCGACGGGCGTTGACAGCCAGTACCGCTGGAAATGTCTTGAACATGCTTCTCTTGAGGAAACCGTCTTTGTTTCCGCAAGCCCCACACGTGAGTTCAACGAGCTCCTCCGCAGTGAATATGTCTAGACACTCCTTCAACGTGACCGGCTCAAATTCTTCCTTGGCTTTCTCCTTGCCCTGACTATCCGTCACTTCCATCGAGTTGTCCGCAGGAATCCTTCGAATGGGAACAGGTATCGAGATATTCTCTTGCTCGTCTTCCCGGAACCGCACTTTCTTGCAGCCCAGACACTTTAACCGCTGTTCCATCACGAATCTGAAAGCATCGACCGGATCTTTCTGAGGAGCAACATGCTGTGTCCGTGAGATTAGCTTCAAGAGGTGAAGCAAGAATTCGAAAGCATCTTGTTGTCGCATCGTAGAGAACTCTGGATGACCTCGTCCGATAAGGTGCTTCAGCATAGCAGGCGCAAGACCCTTCTGATGCGGGTTTTCCGGGGTGTGCTCGGATGCAATAACATCGCTGTCCGGCTTGGAATAACGTCCAGATAGGAGGCCATCGGCAACCTTTCGAAGCTGAGTTTCCAGATCTTCTGCTGGTCTTGAGCTCGCCGGGAGGTCTTGATTGGGGATGTGGTACCGCTCTGCAAATTCTGGCATCGAGAAGAGAGCTTGCAATGTACTGGCAAGGTAACAGCTATTGCCCAGATTCTTCAGACCTGTAAAGCCCGGACCAAACAGTGGTTTCAATTCTTTTCCGTCTTCAGTTGTCATTGAGAATTCCCAAAGAAGATTCTGTTCCACCTGCATTTCCGTCAAGCTCTTCTCAGTCTTGATTCTGTCCTTGATGTTGATACCCCAATGCAGCAAGTGGTTAGGCAGCTCAGGATCAACCCTCTCGTCATCGCACGCATAGCAGTAAATATCAGCAGTTCCATCAGCAGTCAAAGAGCCTAGCTTGACAGCTACCGGGTGGCCTGTAGATTGTGTGTGTGCTAATCCATGAGAATTGCCACCAACGCCACCGAACTGTGATCGGCCACATCCTAGGTTACCGCAAGTCAGACAGAGCCACAGATTCTCCTTGAGATCACACGCGGAGCAATGCCCTAAGCTCTGTTCGATTTGTCTCGTCGCATCCTGCTCTAAACACAAGGTGTGCTCACAAGCAGTGAGCTCTTGCTCCCACGCCTTGACCTCCTCCTGCCGGGCAAATGTGTTCGCTTTGAGAACAGCATCCACGACATGAGATAGTTTCCCCAAGTTCTTATCTACGCCTGTGACTCCGCATGCATAGCAGTTGATTTGGGTTGTTGTATCGTAGCGGTCGGCCTCGGTCTCCGCAGCGATGGCCAGCTTAGAGACTTTCTGTGGCGGCTCTTCGCGCCGTACGTTCTTGCGCGTACGTTTGATGTTCAGAACGAGTGGGTGGTTGGACGAGGAGAAATGGAGAGCAGAGTGATTGCGATCGCCGGTGCATCCGCCGTTGAAACAGAAGAGGCAAACATCAAGTCCGCTGGGGTCGTCCTAAACATTCTTCAGCTTGCCACCCTCAGAGAGAATACTGTGAGCTCATAGGAATTCTTACGATCGAGTCGAAGCATTGCGTGCAATCTTCGCGGTATACTGACTGGTTTGGTCCCGGAGCTTGAAGCTCTAGAAATTGTTAGAGGGGCACTGTAGATTGAGAGGGGTAGGAAAGGAAGCGCATACCCGGAGCATCGATATGCGTACAAGCCATTGCTATTCCTGATACAGCTGAGTGCGACCAGAAAATTGGTGACCGAGTTTATGGTGAGTGAAGGAAAGTTTCTGTGCAGTTGACAGCTGTGGGGTGAAAGTAAGAGCCCTGAGGGCGGAATGACGGAGCTTTGGTGGGGCAACTAGGCAGGCGCAAGCAGACTAGGCAGGCACGCCCAAAACAGCTTGAGAAGCAAGCAAGTCACTTCGCTTGCCACTGCAGGTAAGCATGCTTACTACGTACCTAGGTACCTATAAGTCCATACGTACATACCTAGGTATGTATGTACATTTATATATGTAAGGAGGTAGTACAACATTGTGACATCAATGACTGCACACGAGCTGAGAAGTATGACCCTGATTTGCAGCTGGATATGGTTGCAATCGTTACATAAATATATAGGTATGTCTTGCTCATGTTTCACTAGCACAATCTAGAGGGGCGACTACACTTTGGATTGAGGGTTGTATCTAAGGGTATCGAGTTTATATATGTGCATGCTTCCAAACATTTGTGCTGTGTTTCAGCTAAGTTCACTTTTTGTTCTTCTTCTGTGCATTAGAGGTCCGGAACTGGGTAGACCAGTTCAGGAACTGCGAGAACAGTACTGGTTGTGTTGATACCTTCTGCTCAATGAACCACTTCTTTTGGCTGTCCGCATAGATATCTGCTGCTCCGACATAGTTGTCCTTGTTCAGGCCTACCAGAACTTTGACAAGATGAAGGCTTGCGGTGCTGCACGTGTTTGCATGGACAAGAGCACCGCCGCCCAATGTAACTTCCTCGTGGATCTGTTTCAAGATCTCCATAGCAGCCTGTGTATCTTCTGGCTCAGGCAGAGGCGTCTTCTGCTTGGAGTGCGACTCAAAAGTAGATTTGAGCAGTTTTGCGCTCTTGTCCGACAGTTGCTTGTTGGCGCTGGCTCTAGTCAGGCGCAGAATGGGAAGCAATGCATCCAAGGACAGCGGGTTCGAATACTGTTTGTCCAAAAAAATGGCCAGAAGGTCTAAAACGCGCGATTTGAATTGGACCATATTTTTCTTGGCATCTGTACGTTCCTTCTTTCCGGTTATCTGGCTCCTCTGCTTGAAAATCTGGGAGAGGTGGGGGTCCAATGCCATCATCTGGTCGTCGTCCATGTCTGATTCGTCTGACGTGTCTTCATCCGCTTCGCCATTTTCATTTGGTTTCGAAGTTTGCAGAGTCAAAGCCAGCATATTGTTGAATTGTGTGAGTTCCTCATCCTCATCGCTGTCATCTTCTGCGTTGGAATCGCTCTCTGTGTCGTCGTCGTCATCCTCGTCCGAGCCATCCTCATTGCTAGATCCGTCCAGCATTTCGACATCAGATGCATCTTCTACGTCGTCGTCGTCGTCGTCTTCCTCTTCTCCTTCCTCGTCGGCAGGTGCAAATAGCTGCTTTTGACCTTCTAAAGTCTCGTCTGCGTTGAGAATGTCTATCAGCGAGAGAAGGCCTTCAGAACTGAGTTCCGAGGCGAAGGCAGTGAAAGCTTCGTTCGCTATCTTATGGAAGAGCGTCCGCGGGTTGCCCAGAAAAGACAGCAAGATTTCAACAAACCCATCCTGACCTTGCTCGGTATTGTCTTTTGTTGTCTTCGACATGGCTTTCCTCGATGAGTCGATATCATCCAGCATCATGACTGCGTCTGTATCGCCATTATAAACTTGAATTAGCGTGAAGGTGTACAGCAAAATAAAACCAGGCGCGGCAGACGATTTAGAACTCTACCAAGAAGTTAGCGATCTTCTTCTTCTGTCGAAGATATGACAGGTACTTACTTTGGTCACGATTCTGTCCAGAGATTTGAAGGCCTTCTCAACGGTCTCCGAGACCGATTCGTCGGCTTCGAAGACAGCCTTCAGAGAAGAAGAGGACGTAGCTTTCGATCTGATCAATTGAACCACTGCCAGTCCGAATGAGGTTTGAGAATCCACAGTAAGTAACCGGGTGAGACAGGAAGAGAGCCGTTCTTGGAACACACGTCTACTGTTCTCGCTGATGGGAGGCAGGGGTACTTTTCGTGTTTTCGCACTCGAAGTGGGCACAAAGTAAGCGTGTTCGACCATGATATCGAGAGCAGTTCTGAGCCAATTGTCTTTCTCAACCACCTCGTGTGAGATATCTTCATATCGCTTATATTGGCGTACAATGCTCAAGAGCAGATCCGCAATGGTCTGTCGCCGATGATCGGCTACAGACTGCTCGGAAGTTCCTGGGCGAACAATCAGGGAGTGTAGATGGCGCACGATCTTTCGAAGAGTCTCATCGTCAGCTTCCAGTAGGATACTCTCAAGAGTCTTGAATTTCGTATGATTGTCGAAATCAGCGGTACCATTCTTGGAAGTGAGCCCCATGACGAGATTCAGAGCGGACTCGGGCGACTGCTGCGCTCGAATGGGGAGTGATTTCCACGCGCTCAACGCCGCTGCATGGAGAAGTCGATTTTCCATCTTTGTTTGGTTGAGTAATGTGCGCATGAGATTTGGGCTGAAAAGTGCTGGCAAGGCCCATTCAGGTGCTTGAGGCACCCATTTCGCGAACAACTTGAATCCCCAAGACTTGCGTTCATGCGTAGCGGATAACCCGAACAGATGAGCTAAACACAGGTTAATAACGGATCAACAACTGGGCAGCACATAACCTACCATCAACACTGTCTAGCCAGAAACGAGAAAATTCCGACTTTTCGCAGTCCACCTTATCACCCTTTGCTTCATTGTCTGCTTGTATGAATTTAGAGAGAATCACATCCCAGACGAATGAAGGATTGTGATGGGCGGCTGCGGACTTTACATCCTCGGATTTGTTGTCCCCAGATGGGTTTCGATAGTTCTCCTTTAGGACTTTGGCAAGGCGATCCCGTTCCTTCTTTGCGAGAGGATCGTTGGAGTGCCATATTTTCTCGGGAAGGACCGTTGCATATGCCGAATCTTTCAAAGCAAGCCAAACCGCAACTCCTTCGGGTGTATTCACTAGATTGAACGACACCAAACGCTGCACTAGCTCTCGGGCGCAGGGTTCGAGATCAGCCCTGGAATCCAGGCTTTGAATTGCCTGGACAATAATCATAGCGCATTCCTCGCGTAACCAGGGTACGTCGCGTGCCATCTCATATATCCGATTCAGAAGCTCATTCCAGCTCTCCAAGGACAATTGAGGCTTGATGAGGACTGATGATTGCATGATGGCCTTGTAAGCAAACAGCTTTCCAATGAGATGGTCTCTTCGTTCCTGCCGTCCTCATGAGTAATTGCGATTGCAGTTCAAGTGCAGTTACTTACCAGCCCAGACACGTTGCCTTCAATCTTGGTATGCGATTCCACACGCTTGAGAAACGAATTTATGTCGAGATTCAATCCCTCAATAGACGGAGTAGATGATCCCAGAAATTGTTGCAAGAGTTCTGTTAGAGTGATGCAGAATCCGAATCTAGCTGCTTTGCGCTGTGTGCAAAGACCTCTTATCAATCGATTGAGGACCTCATTGATTTCTTTTGCGCTAGGCTGGTTCTCCGGAGAGAACCTCACAATGAGTTGCTTAGCAGCTTCCAGTCGCACCTCATCTGACTCTGAGGCCAGCTGCTCATAGAGGCTGTAGAGTTGAAGCTTGTCACTGGTGACTTGGCGTTTGCGCTGAACAGGCTCCTCGGAGCCGGCACCTCCCTGGAACTCATCTCTTCCTCTTTTCTTACTTTTCTTACTCATTGCAATAGAAGATCACAAGGCAATGGCGATGTATAAGAACTGATGTATACTACCTACTTGGAGAAAGAAAAAAGTTGAGCACATACGGACTAGCCCGATTCATCGTCGGATAAAATATGGTCCGACGGGCACGTGCGTAAGCTCCCCCGCGATAGCTGAGAGCTCCCCTCATTGAGCAGAATGTAAACACTGAAACAACTGTACAGACTCAACCTTCTGCTCGATGAATTCTGCACCGGTTCTTCTCTCGTGATTAAAAACCATGTTGAACTCGTACTATTCAAAGTGTAGATAGTCATTGATGGGCCTGACCTCACAGCGCTTACCCGCATACATCCTAAGTCAACAATGGCACGTTCTACATAGCTACCCATGTGTTCTTATGTAGAGACAATGGGCAACCGTACATCCGCTCAGCTTATGCACGCATTGTTGATAAACATGCGGTTTCGGACTTTTGAGCAACTGGCTAGGCCTTTATTCTTAGACTGGTCGTGGACGACTGGTCAGCTGAGGATGCTGTTCGTAGATCATCAGCTTGCCCGCGTTCGTACTTGTATATAAGGCAGAGCGGCCCACATGATGGTGTATGAAACCCGGAGGCGCTGCAGATAAAGGCGGGCGAGCAAGCTGAAGGGAGCGATATGCAGTGTGATTGGCAGATTGCTATCGGGCAGGATCATTGTAGACTGGCAGACCAACCATGTGCTGGGGCGACGGGAGGGGCACACTGACACAGCCTGATCACTCTATGATTCTCTGTGCTGTGATTGACGGTCCTGCGCCAAGGCCATTCGAGTGTCCCGTAGCTCCTACAACGAGTGTCTCGCCTGAGGCAGTCGTCTGCCGATTTGAGTTCAGTCCCTTTACTCGTTCCCGATTTTTTTTTCTGCTCGACGAGCATCTTGTCATGAGGGCCCCATCAATCTATTGAGTTCGTCAGGTCCCACTCCGCTGCTGGCTAAAGTCGCCTGCAAATTCTCAGGGTGTTGAAACACGGCTCGGTGGTGCGGGTCCAGGACTCTGGGGTAGGATTCAATATCCATGCCGGGCCGGACTTCAGGGCAGGTATAGCAGTCACGAGACCACGTACTATTCCATCTCGGAGGTTTGTTTACCGTCGCGTTGACCTGGAAGCACGCGGCGACCTTCTTCGTTCAGCGCGAGCAACCCTGCAAGCGCAGGTTGGCGCTGCAGCAGACAGTCAGCTTCTGCAGATGAGGGGTCACCGGCGTTGGTGGGGTCTGGAATGGGTCATGAATCTGCGGTTTGTGAAGGTTTTGTGCGTGAATACTCTGCTTTTATCCACATTGTGGAGGGCAGGGTTCTGTTTTTTTTTTCTCACGGCGGCTTCAGCCCGCCACGACGGCGGAATGGCGACGATGGGGCGGCAGGGCCGAATTACGCAAGCCGGATGGTGGATGAAGGCACACCCGCCAGCAGCGGTGATTGCGAGCGCCAGGGCGTGAGGCACATGCAGACAATAGTCTGGCTGTAGCGGACTGGGCAGCAGGACGGAAAAGTCACTATGACGTGGGAACGATCGCGACATCTCGATGCTGGAGAGAACAGGTCGATCTCCAGCACTGGACGGACTGCGTTAGAGCGAGGAGCAGCCGGTTTTTCTGGGCTGGCAGCGCAAGCCCAAGGGGGATGATGGAAGACTCGACGGGCCTCGCTCGCAAGCGTCGCGGAAAGCCTGGCAAGTGCTGCGACGTGGGCCAGGGCGCGTGCGGATAAGAATAGAGGCTTCACTATTATTCGCGCGGCCGGCCCAATCAGGACCCGTAAGGCTGCTAAAGCGCTGGGGGCTGGCCAACGGGAGCGCGCAGGCACAGGCGGCCTCGAGGGCGTTTCCCTGGCAGGCGCGGCCAAGCGAGCCCATAATGACGAAACCTCTTACGAGCTGACACCGGGAACAACCAGGACGAGAGGGCCAGGCGTGCGATAACGACGAGCTACGACGGAAAAGCCGCAGAGGGATCCATTCCGTCTTGACTGATGCATCAGTGCGTGTGTATTCATCGTGCTGTGATGATTGTTTAATGATTGCACGCTGCTCCGTCTGTTGCGTAGTGGAGTCGCCGGCGTGGCGTGTGCAGTGGTACCAACACCACCTTGGGCCATCTCGTGCGCGCGTCTCCCAGGGAAACGGCCATCGTCTGCTGGAGGGCTAAAACGTAGGTGGAGAGCCCAGCAGGCAGTGGAACGGCTTCGAGCAATTCTGCTACGTCTAGTACGTGCCATGGCAGCACATTAGCTGTCGGCAAGTGGAGGGCAAGCAAACAGCATGGGACGCGGAAAGCGTGGTTGGAGGCAACATGCCTGCTGGCTGTGCCCGGTGCCGAATGCTCTGGCAACGCCGTCGCAGACGCTTTGGCATGACATGACGTGCGAAGAAAAAATCATCATCAAACGGGGCATTGAGGAGAATTGGTGACCAGGCAGGTTTAGTCGTTGGCCAAGTTCGGCATCGCAGGACTGAATGTGGTAGTTTGTTGGCAGCAAGGTGAGTGACCAAACCGTCATGCGATGCTATGCCATGGCAGGTCGAATAGGTAGACGGGCAGACCAGATGTCTGGAGGCGGGAATCGCTGTGCCTGCATTGCCGTCCCCCCCGTACTGCTGTGACGCGCAGTGTTGGATGGAGATTGCCGGCCCAATGGCCAGAGGGTACTAGAGTCGAGTGCAATACATGGTGCTGCTGCTGCTGCTGCGGGAGCCGAATCGCGATTTGCTACTCGCTGGTGCTGCTGCTGCTGCTGCTGCTGCTCACTCGTTCGTTCGCTCGTCCCCCCCTCGTTGCTGGCGGGCTGCGAACTGTTGTTTACGCGAGCGGTGCCTGCTTGCTTAGCTGCAGCAGAAGCCGCTTCCTCCAGCACTACAGTACATAACAGTAAGTACATGTGAGATGCAACAAACAACAACAACAACAGCAGCATCAACCTAATGCCACAACGGCGACCGTGCCAGAGAGTGATTTTATTCAGAATGGATACAGGCAGCGTGACAACGCAGCATCGAATCTATCGATTGTGCCAACTATTGCGTGCACTGATGATGTAGAAGGCCATTCCATGATGCAAAAAGCAAGCAAACTGCGCAGGAGCCAGCCAGAGCCGCAAGGGGTCGGCGTGTAATTGGTGAATGGCAAGGTGAGCCTGGTGAGGGAGCCTGGTCTACAAGCGCTCACGCTCGGACTCAGAACGGCGAGCATGCTTGTTTCCCAAGCAACTCCCAACCCGGCATCTTCACCTGCTGAACCTTCAAGACCTTCTTCCTTCCCTACCCTTCGCCCGACACAAGAAGGTTCTCATTCCTCTTAAAGCCGTCTTTGGCTGGGTTGCTGGTCGTCTGTTGGATAGATATTCACCACATTGGGCCTTTTCCTTCCCCTTGCTCCTATCTATCCCTCCTCGACCACACCTCTGCTCTCTCTCCCATGTCCGCTGCGAGAGGACGGTAGTACACCCACCCGACCCGACCTGCTCCACCCACCCTACCTGTGTGAGAGAGCTCCCCGTAGCATATCTAGATCAGAATTAGCTTTCTTGATTTTTATATGCTTATCCACCACCGCCGCCTCTCTTCGTCTCTCCATTTCGTCTCGCCGTCGACCGCTGCAAACACGCTCGTTTGATGCTGCTGCTGTTGCTGCTCTTGTAACTGCACACCCCAGCTCTCACTCGACTCGACCTCTCAGCCACGCCCGCCCCCGTTGCCTATACAACACCACCTCCAACAAACCCTCTCCAACACCATTCACACATACCATCACCACCACCATGGAGATGTCGTCACCTCTGGCAGCCATGCAACCACCACCGTTGCCTTGCGGCCCGTGGGGTTACCGCCGTGACTTTCCTTCAAAGCCGCTCTTCGCATCCCACCCCAAGAACTTCAACTTCCGCGACCTCAGCATGAAGAAGCCAAATATCGACTACTTCAGCTTACAACCCATTGCTGGTTCGTCGCCGACTGCGAGTCTTGCCGCCGACATGTCTTCCAACTTGCACGTCGATCAGAGGTATACTTCTACCCTCGCACTTCCTCCCTTGCATCGTGCCATGATACTGACACTGCTCTAGCCCCCAGCTCGCTACGCCTCGGAGATCGTTGTTCACATCAAATCTGATGCAGCAATTAGACAATCGAGGTATGTTCACCATCACAAGCCACCGAGCTTGGATGAGAGCAGTCACTGATGCCAATGTGTAGCAGAAGATACCAAGACACCCCCAGTCCGCTGGGAAGGCGTCACGACACCACCGATCCCTTCATCGTCGCCCAACTTTGTTCCTGACTCGATGGACATGTCGCCTCTACCACACAAAGCTCCCTTCAGCTTCGCCAAGGAGCGTTTCCTGCCTTCGCCTTGCCCAATCGACACTGCGACCGCAAACGCTGCATCGCCAATGGATGATGATATGCTGTCTCCTTGTGGCCTGCCAGCTCCTCCTCCTCCATTTCCCTTGCCGCAGATAGAAGAACCACGACCGGTATCATCTTCCGAGTAAGCATTCTCTATTACCGCATATTGCTCCATCACTCGATCGTGTACTAACTACTTCTTGCAGAAACCGAAAGTCGATTCTTCTACGACCGAGTCTGGCAAAGTCGAAGAACTACTCCACTAACACCGTAACCTTCAAGTCACAAGAACAAAACCCCCTGCCCCCTTTCAAGTTTGGCGCCGGAGTTGACTGCTTCACTACGAAGATGTCCCTTGACGAATGCTTTACCACCTCCTCCCCACCAGAACGTCGACCCATCAGCTCTCATCTTGCACCCTCGAGACCCAAGATGTTCGAGCGTAGCACCAGCGCCTCCCGTGCTAGCGGTTCTCCCATGTGTGCTATTAGGAAGCCTGTTGGTCCATCCGCCCGCCGTCCTACCAAGTTTCGACGATCGCTCAGCATGTACGAACACCCTGGCGACGTGATGAATGCCAAGCAAGAGAAGGAGGACTACGCCCCGAGCTGCTTGCAGTCAGTGATGGACGTTGATGAGGTCGCCCCCCCGAAGCTGCCTTTCCTCGCGAGTGAAGAGCCAGACAGCCTCCCTCGTATTTCCAATACTACCCTCGTGGAAGTTCTGGATGGCAACTACGATCACCTCTACGACAAAAAGGTCATTGTCGACTGTCGGTTTGAATATGAATACACTGGGGGCCACATCGATGGTGCCGTCAACTACTGCGATAAAGACCTCCTCGGACAGCGGCTGTTCACCCCCGAGTCTGCAACTACCACTAGCAACACCTTGATCATTCTTCACTGCGAGTACTCTGCGCATCGCGCTCCTCTCATGTAAGTTTCTTAACTAGTTCAACCTCTTATCAATCTCTGACCATTCCCAGGGCTAAATACGTGCGAAACGAGGACCGCAAGGTCAACGGCCATCGCTATCCGCAACTCACCTATCCCGAGGTGTACATTCTTGATGGAGGCTACAGCTCCTTTTTCGAGTCTCACCGTAGTCGCTGCTTTCCTCAACAGTACCTTCGCATGGATGCCAAGGAGCACCAAGATAAATGCGAGCGCGGCATGGACAAGCTTCGTCAGCGATCCAAGCTTAGCCGTGCTCAGACCTTTGCTGTCGGCCAGCGAAGCCCCGGTCTCGAAGAGAGCCCTACCGCCATCGGTCGTGTGCGCAGCGGCAGCAACTTGAACCTTTCATCCGACACTCTCAGCATTGGTCGGCTTGGAACCCGCCGCATGGCTTCTTATTAACATTCGGCGACCCCAATGATTTCCTTACGATTTTCACCCCGATGCTTACGGCGAATGGACCCAACGGCGTTATTGATTGAAAACGGCATTTCTCAGCCTGGAGTTTTTTGATCTGATCTCTGTTACATTGTCCCTGCAGTTGAGCAACCTTGGCATTGCATCAATCTTCGGCATTTGCATACAGCGACACATTTGACAACCTACTGCAACCAGCCTCTGGCTGGATTGCGTACCCCCACTAGTCCTACCCAATTTCCATTCTACACCTTTGCTTTCTCGGCCCTGTTACGATTTATATTTGCCGCGAGGATTGCTGGATACCCACTTTTTTTTATAACAGCAAGCTGAGCAGCACTTGATGCGTGCCTCGCGAGCTTTTGTTCCCTTTGTCTATTCTCACGCCCATCCTCTACGGATTTTCCTATGCCCCTACAGAGCGCGAATACTGCTCTTACATGTTCCAAAGAACATTTAAAGAATCATCACGACACAAATACCAGGCGGGCCTACGTGCCTAATACAATACCTTCATCCTCAAACCAACCACCTCTTCATCTCATTTCTCGACTGTTTCATCTTTTCTTTCATTGGTAATGCGCAACCCGCCAACAGATTGAACCCTTCACTTTCTACTCTTGGATTTCCCCATCAGTCGCTTTCTTCGGTCCCCCGGTTCCTCTCTTAGTGTCACTTTTCACCTTTTCTCGGCTCATCAATAAAAAAAAGGGGTTTCCTTTCTTGCTCGGAACTATCATTCGGTTGCTTGCATCTGACTGAGCTGCTACGCTTATCACTTCTTTCTCTGCGGGGTCGGGGGTGCGAGGCGTAGAAACAACGTCAGATTTGTATATAGCTGGAGATTATAGACCTCGCAGAGACATTGATTATAGCTAAAGGGGATAAGGGATACCTCGTCGTAATGCGGTAGAGGACGCAGGTGGATTGAAGAGTCTGTTTGTGCTTATCCAAAACAATTAAACAGTATATCCAAACCTCTCTGTGCACCTGCTGTGAAGTTTAACGTAGGATCTAAAGGAAGACTAAGAGGGAGATCTCGAAATTGACAGCCAATCAGAGGTTCCGGATTAGACGAGATATTAGTGTGGTCTTAGTGGCCCGGATCTATGCTTATTTGGATCAACGCATCCCCACATTTTTGGTGGCCCCGCCCCTTCGCGTGCAATGTCTCACATCGCGCCAACTGTCAACCCAGACGCCAACCCGTAAACTGCAAAACCCCATTCAATTCTTCAATGGGGCGCCGAAGGCATCCCTCTCCTCTGTGATCAACGCAACCGCCCCGCCTCTCTCTCTCTCACTCTCTCTCTCTCACCACGAGTTTTTCCCAAGACCACGTCTACTATGGACGACATTGACGACATTCTTGCAGAGATTGCCGTCGACTCTATACCACAGGAGACTCGCGATTTGCAAGAGCTAACGCGATGTTGGGTGGCAGAGCGGGTGGCTCCGGAGCTCCTGCCTTGGCCGGAAGAAGTGGTTGAGCGCGTGCTAGAGAGAATCAGGAGGCAGATAGAGTTGGTCGAGGACCAGACGGGGGACATGGACCCTAAGACGGGGTTTCGCCTGATCGTGGTGCAGACCGAGCTGGAGAGGTTTAAGTTCCTGGTTCGGAGCTTTTTGAGGGCCCGGTTGAGAAAGGTAACGTAGCCTTGTTCCCCGGTACCCACACAACAAGGGTTGGAAAAAAGGGAGATTCTGGTTAGAGTCGGATCATTCAGGGTCAGGGGGAAAGAAACACGAAGAAACAAACTTCAATAAAAGGGGGCGGGGTGGAACATGAGACATGGAAGGGGAAGAAAAATATTTTTCCTTCTGGGTTTTTCTAATCGCCTACAACAGATCGATGCCCACCCGCTCCACATCCTTAATCAACACAAGGACTCGCTCGAAATATCCCGGCCATTGCTCTCTGCGTCCGAGCACCAGTACCTCACAACGCACCAATCGCTGCTCGCCACGCACTACAACTCCTCTTTCCTCTCGCAATTCCCGGCCTCGCTCCAACGTCTTGATGATACAACTGGGGGCATTAGCATGGTTGATAAGCCGGACGAGGATGCTGCCATCTTCGTCAGGTGTCTGAGAGACGTGGGAGAGATTTTAATTGACGGGACAGAGACGAGAATAGACATGAAACGAGGCGATGTCTGGGTGGTGAGATGGAGTGCGGTCAAACAATGGGTGGAGGTGGGAGATCTGGAAGTGATATGATTTCATGTGGAATCATACACAGTACATACGATGCAGTTCCGCTCTCAGTCGAACAACTGAGGAGGCGTGCTACAAGCATTAAGATAACGGCAAATTTGAGCAAGACACATGGTTTTGGATGATACCCTCGAAAGGAAATAGGAACTTCTTTTGAATACGATGGCTTTCCAGAAGAGGGTCATGCTCTGGTTAGACATTTCGACATGGATGCTTTCAGCACTATCGCTTCTGGCCTCGTTCATGCAGGGAAAGTCTGTACAAGACAATGCAAATGAACGCTCAGATAGAGGCATCGGGTATCAGGGCATGGCATGGCGTAGTGCGGCTGGATGACTCACGGTTGCATTCCCGCCTGGTGTCAATTATGTCGTTGCCGACAATGTTGGTGCTGTTTGAATTGATGGTAAGTGATGGAATCACAACAATTGAGCACCACGGTGCACGAGTCATTCGCACGACTTTCATGTTGGAAAAAAGCCTACAATATGAAAGTGCTCCTGTGGAGTCAGTCCCCAAATCTTACCAAATTCAACACTGTACCATGCTTTTCCATCCCCAGGTGTGTTCTTGACTTTGAACTTGATATCGTCAAATCGTTCAGATGCTTGTCCTAAACAGAGGGTACCATGACGTAATTCACACTCTACTCAACGGACATGTGAAAACCCACACCTGATCCAGCTCACCTCCCATCAAAACAATACCTTCCCTCGAATTTAGAGAGAAAATATTCGAAGAATCGATTCACAGCATCACCAGAACACACTGATATCGTTTTTCCTACACATATCTCATCAAATTCGGTCTCGCAAACGAAGAAGATGGAGAATCCAGGTATGCCTATCACTTTAAACTCGGAACTCAAGCGTATACACATACGCTACCCATACGAGGAAACTCACACCTATGTGTATAGTGAAGGAGATATCCGGGGTAATCCACCTACTCACACAATCCCCTCCATCGATCCAGCGCGAGACAATCGACACTTATTTCACGCCTGACGCGACTTTCACGCATCCCTTCTGCCGGACAGGTAGCTGGGATAACTCGCGGTTCTTGATCCAGGTGATTTATCGATGGTACAAGATCATGAGTCCGAGAATTGAAATGACTGTGAATTCGATAGGTATGCAGCGAATCTCAATCTTTCCATCCCAGGATCGCATATGTATCTCTCGACTCTTCCATCCAAGAAAAAACCGACAATTCGCAATGATTCGCCTAAACTAACATGTCCATGGGAAACGTATAGCCTTCGACGAACCGAACTCAACCCTCTACATCTCGCTCCACCAAATCTTCCGCATCCGCGTCATCCCTTTGCACGCCTCGCCCGTAAACCTAACTACAGTCTTAACTCTCCGCTTCAACCGCGGCGACGAAAAATACTACATCGCCTCGCAAAACGATCTCTACCAAGTTAACGAATTCTTCAGGTTTCTGTTCCCGTTTGGGTGGGTGTTGGTGTGGGTGTGGCAGGTTTGCGCCACGCTGTTTTGCTTGCTGGGGGCGCTGGTTTTGGCGCCTGTTTCTTGGATCGAGGAAAAGGGGTGGGAAGGGAGTGAGAGTGGCGGGTATGGGGTTGTCAAGGGGAGTCGGTTGGGGGAGATTGTGGGGAGGGGGAAGGGGAGGTTAGATGGTGAGGGCGGGTTGTTGGTTGATGGGGATGGAGAGGGAGAGGGAGGGAAGAAGAAGGGGAAGATGGTTGATGGTTGATGGGGAGGGAAGTTAGCTCATTGTTTTCTGGGAATTGGCTTGATGATACCTTGTTCTTGATTATTCTGCCAGTTAAATGGTCAAGCTGATATGCTATTGACCAGACCTCTTTTGTACCGCAATGTCGTCATCTATTTTAGTGTGTTGCTTGTTCAGCTTCAAAGGCCTTCTTATCTCTCGAGAAACATCCAGTCGAGCAATCCAATCCTCACGTACATCCATCTAATCATCACTGAAGTCTCACTTGCCAGCTAGCTACATCATATCGAACAGATAACCCCATGGTATGCAGAACAATAATCCCAATATCAAGTTAACCAATCAACGAACAATATCACGAATCAACACGATCAGCATGTGTCCAATGAAGCACCACTCTAACCCATCTTCTGCATTCCCCTATCTATCCTCTCACACCCACTCACCCTCCTCGCCAAGCAACGACAACAACTCATCCAACACCACAGAATCACAAAAACCAGAAACACCCAACCACATCCACCAAACAACCGCAACCCAAAAGCCCACGTACACATGCCCCACTCCCCATCATCTCCATCCATCCCAATCCAACTCCCCCCAAGAAAAGAAATGACACCATAATACCAACACGATAAGCTCTATTTGAAAAAGACCAACCCAGACCTCTCTCCCAAGCCACCACATAAACCCCCCGCCCCTCTCCATGAGCGAGCTGAACGGCCCAACCTCCCTCGTTCTCTGAGAGGATACACGCCCAAAGGTTAAAATCGAACACGCGATAATACGTCTGTCAGTCACGATAAGCGTGTGCAACCAATCATAGTAGAAGATTAGCCGAGTCAACTTTCCCGCTGCCTTATCAGCGGATGATGAGAATGTGAAGGACGGGAGCAGGAGGGCAGGCATGGGATCGGAGATCGCCAAGGGATATTGTTGGGGAGAAGAGCTTATGGAGGGGGGTGGGAAAAATCTTGGTTATCGTGCGTGGTTTTTTTCATTTCTTGGTGTTCTGTTGGGACTTGTGGGGGTAATGTGTGCGGATTTGAGTTGGCGCTGGCTTGTTGAGGCATGTCTTGGATGGGAGGACTGTGTGGTTCCGATTTCCGAGGTTTCCGATGGAGAAGTGTGTTGGTATAGATTGGAAGGGAAGGAGGATGGTGTACGACTGTGGGCTTGGAGCACGTGGAGCACTGATCTCTTCTCCTTTGAGCTCTACATTTGCATGGGATGAGATCTTTCATACGCATGTGTATACAATAAGTTGTGGGGAAGAAAAAGTTGGACTTGTTTGTCTAAGGTTGTGGGGAAATAAGAATAGTGGGGCACATTGAAGGTAATTTCTGACATAAAATTTATATCGACTTTCAAATGTACATGTTTGTGTGCGAGAGAAACATCTCACACCGACACAACCTCCCCCCTCCGGCAGCCAATTCTCTTCCCATTCTTTGTTTGTTCTTCGTTTTTCCCCCTCGGGAACGAAGCCGGGAAAGACAGACACAGTAGTGGTATCTCAAACGCCATTCAAAATGCTCGATTAAAAAAAAGTAAGGTGAGGGTGGGGATTGCCAGCAAAAACAAGGACGAAAAATTAAAGACCAACGAAAAATTATCCGACCACAAATGGTCTGAAAGGTAAACGAACAGGCTAGAAGGCGAACAGACTGGATATTTCACAACGCGAGAAAAAAGAAGAGGATTTAACCGCGGGAAGAAGGAAGTTCAGTCTTCTCGTGAACGCCCTCAGGGCCCATCGCCATAGCGTGGCGGTCACCTCCAATACCAGTGTGAGCTCCATCGTGGCTGCTCTCGCTGGGTGCCTTGCCCTCAAGCATCTGGCTGTGTTGAGCGATGCCGTGGCGGTCGCCCTGAGGGATCGAGTGCTCGGCGCTGATGGGGTCGGACTTGGCTGGGGTCCAAGCGAGGTAGTCACGACGAACCTCAACGTAGTCGTACGCAAACTCGCCAAGCTGGTCATCGTCCATACCGAGGAGCTCAGCTTCCTCGGATGCGCGGAGGTGAAGGCCGGGGATCTTGTCGATGCCGTATGCGAGGGCTGCGCTAACGACGAAGGTGTAGGCAGTGCAAGCCACGATGTAGGCGATCTGGATGTACATTTGCTTCCAGTTGTGGTGGATCCATCCTCCCTCGGTGGAACCGTTGTTCACTCCATCGAGACCGACAACGTAGGTGGCAGCGAAGAGACCGTTGAAGATGAGACCGACCATTCCGGCGACACCGTGCTCAGCGAAGACATCGAGCGCATCGTCGATCTTGATCCAGAACTTGACTGTTGGAATATTAGTACGAAGGACTGATAAGTTAGAGTGAGGATGCACGTACTCTTGGTGGCAAAATTGGCAACAATGCCAGTGGTGATGCCGAGAGCAACGCTAGCCCAAGGTGTGATGAAACCAGAAGCGGGAGTAGCAGCGACAAGTCCAGAAATGCATCCTGAGCACCAACCGACCATGGACCACTTGCGGGCGAGGCGCCAATCGAGGATCGTCCAGGTCATAGCAGCGAACATGGCAGTCAAGTTGCTGTTCCAGCAAGCCATAGTAGCGCGGAGGTTGGCACCGAAAGCGGATCCTCCGTTGAAACCGAGCCATCCAAACCAAAGCAAGACGGTTCCAAGAGTGATGAGGGACACGTTGTGGGGACGGAAGTTGAGCATCATCTTCTCCTGGCGACGTCCAAGAACCCAAGAGTAGGCGAGGGCAGTCAGACCGGAGACGATTTCGACGGGACCTCCTCCAGCATAATCAAGACCACCCCATGCGAAGAACCATCCGTTGGAGTTCCAGGCCCAGCACGCGACGGGGCAGTATACGATGGTAGCCCAAAGCCAGATGAAGACCATCATGGGGATCAATCGGCCACGTTCAGCAACGGCGCCCACAATAATGGCAGCGGTGACGGAGCAGAATTGCATCTAGAGGACTCAGTTAGCCATGTTTCTTTGGAAAAAGTGGTAAATCAAATTCTTACCTGGTAGAAAGCGTAAAGGAGCTCGGGAATCAAAGGACTTCCGGGACTGGGGGCACCGAGCACAGTCTTGAGACCAAATTTGTCGAGATTGCCAATGAAGCCATTGGTGGCAGTTGGGCTGAAGGCCAGCGTATAACCCCAAAAGTACCATTGGAAAGTGACGACGGATGCAGAGAACATGCAAGCCCAGATCAAGGACAGAGCAGACTTTCTCCTCGCGAGACCGGAGTATAGGAAGGCTAGACCAGGAACCATGATCAAGACCATGGCGGAGGCCACGATGATGTAGGCGGTGTCTCCCGTGGAGTACCATTGGTTCAAGTTTTCGGTACCTGTTGGTGGTGTCGCTGTCAGTACTTGTGCTGATAGCAGGAGAAGCTATGACATATGATGGTGGTCGCGTGGGCAACATGTGCAAGCAGGAGGGTGGACATACTTGAATCACCACCGGTTCCCTCGGTGCCATTGAACTCGGTGGGCGCACCGATCCATGAGTAGGACATGGTGGGCGAAGTTGCGACTAGAGGACTGCAAAGGGTGTATGCAAGTGGAGCCGGATAGGCGGGTGGTAGAAGGGTGGAACGAGTACAAAGTTGTCGACCTCTAGTAGGTGGCTGCAGGTGAGGGAAAAGGAAGGGCAAAAGATGGGGAGAAGGGGTATGATATAAAAAAGACGGGACAATGATTATGCAAGGGAGGAGGGCCAACTAGCGGATGATCCAAGCAGCAGGTAGGTCGGCGGGCTCTTTTATGTGATTGACGAATGCTTTCCTCTTATCAGGGCTGGGTGGTTGATGCAGGCGGCCGGGCGGGCGTGGATTCGAAATAAACGAGGAATACAAGCGTCACCCACAGGACAACAGGCGCGCGCCGTGGGGTCGCGTCAGATGGAGAGGACAGGGCATCATGCGTGCCGGGTTCGGGGGGGCTCTCCTTTGGCGTCACTATACGTGCGCGCACTGTCTCTTTGGTCAAAGGGCAGGTCTTATCTTTGCTGGTTTCGGTGTGTTGACTACTATTCAACGCTATAGCGGGAGCATAGATAAGGGACCGGGGCCTGGTTCAGCCTCCACCGCCACGGCGCGGCCGGCCTGGCTCTGGGACAGATGAGATTGCTGAGTATCGACGATGGATAGGTACCTGGACATAGATGATGGTCATTCCTGTGTCACTGACTGCGCTCTGCCTCTGGCTGTTCATGGCATCAGCGCAAACCGAGTCGGGTGTGACGTGGAGCATTACCCAATATGCGACAATGTCGGGATGCTTGGATGTTCTCCCGCTGCTTGGCCGTTCCTTTCACGTGGGATGGGTTGGTAAGGCGATTATTCAAGTCTTCAGAGGGTACAAGCAGGCAGAGATAAAGCAGCGGGCGCTGATTGGTGCGCTGGCGGCAGGGCGACGCTAGCCCATCTGGACCCGCGGGTACTTCCCTGCTCGCGGCCAGACACCAATCGCTGGGACCGGTGCCGATACAATCATCAAACGAAACCGCCATGCGCCAAACATGATGGATGCTCCATTTACACCATTCCGCTGCTCATGCCGCCAATGCTGCTGATAACACCGCCCTCCACCGGCGAATCCTGTCTCCACACATCCAGGGTGATTCCGGAACCTCTGCTTGGCGCAATGGGAAAAGAAAGCACAATAACCCCTTGGGCGGGCCTGCTCATTCGCCATCAGCGACATATTCCCCCAGACTTTCCGGCCGCCCGGTCTCCACGCTGCATTGGTGCAACTGGCGGATGCGCTCAGCTGTCCGTTGTCGTCTCATCGTGGATGATACCATCGCCTCTGCATGTGATCGTCCATGGCATTTCTCTAACCATCCGCCGTCTTTGTTGCATCTCGGTCGGCTAAACATGGCGGAAAACAGTCGTCAATGGGCAGTGATTAATTCTCCGCCGCTCCCGTTGCTGTGGTCCTGTGTCTGCGTTGGTCAAGGCCCTGGCATGCACTCCATGCATAAGTATTTGCCTGCCTGTGTAGACCCAACAGAGGGCTTGTGCCTGCCTGCTTATTCTTAGCACCCACCCAATCCCAACTGATTGCTGCCACATCGTTGAGACATGCACTTTGGTAATCATGCTGCTTGCTGCCTGCTGCCCAGAAAGCGTGGGCAGCTACGATCCACGCTTTCTTGTACCAAGAAGCCAGAACCCCTGCAGGCCAGCCTTCCTCCCGCCGCCCCGCTCTGCAAGGCGGGAACATCGTCAGCCCATCCTCATGGCTCTTTTTTTTCAGCTGCCATGCTGTAAATAACCATCCGACCATCTCTGCTGTCTGGTTGGGGGTTCAATGTCGTGTGAGAGATTGAGCGTGGGGCTGACGACACAGAACGACCCGACCATCCCGACCCAATGGCCACGAACCTGTAATTGGGCTTGCTTGACACCTCGTAAATCCGTCGTTTGTTTCCTCTTCGTGTCTCCCTCGTGGCGATGGCTTGGCGTAAATCCCCCGAGCTGTTATCTTTAGTCTGCGGTGTGAATGGTTTGGCAGCCCGGCGGCCAAAGAAAGATGCCCCATTTGCGCCGATTTCGGCCACTGTATTTGATAGCCAGCCCATGGGGTTGTATCCATCAACGCACCCTGAATGCTGGTTTCATTCTTCTAGAATCATGTCGGCGTTTGTTAGCATCCAAGCGGACAGTCCTTACAGGAGTGACACGCCCTGCCTGGTACATGCGGCACTTGGAAGCCCTGTCTTTTTTGTTTCTCTTCTGTACAACGTGACCCTGCCCGCGTGCACATTCTCGTTATGTTCGCTGGTTCATACTTCACCGCCGCTGATTAATAAATGCTGGTAACCGTCATCGGCATTACTTCGTGGTTCGTGCTTAGTTGATGGGATGGTGGTTTGCGTCGTCGCACGTTGTCCATGTGCGTATGCAAGACATCCACGGTCAAACTAGACTAATGCGAATCAAGACTAGCGCCTCTCAGTATCCAATGAAGCGAGTGTCGAGTTGAAGTCCCATCCGATGACTGTACCAGAGCATTGCACAGCATCAGTGAACAGCACAATATGAATCACACCGCTTGAACCTAAGCTTGCAATACGGGAAGAGCAAGGAAACTATCAAGCAAAGGGAAACCATCATGGCGCACCAACTTGAAATCGCATGCTTTAACGCATCTTCCGCCATCCTCGCCGCGCAGAAAGGCGCCCATCGCATAGAGCTATGCGCCGACTATCTTGCAGGCGGTACGTACATATAGGCATAGAAAAGATGAGAATTCGCAGTGGCTCGCTCGTACTGTGCAACGTTGCGGCAAGTCCAGACCTCCGAAATACTGTGGAGAGCAGTACGTACAGAGTAGCATCAAAACACACACACACCTTAAGTACACATGTACACATGTACACTGCATACTCGCACGTGGCTAGCACTTGAAGAAACCAGCCTCCCCAATCTGTAGTCATTTTGTAGAATGCCTATTCACCCATCAGCTTCATTTTTCTCTGATAAACTCTATATACACCTGCTCACACTCCACATATCTAGGCCTCACCCCATCCCCTGCAATCCTCCAACAAATCCGCAAAAACACCACTCCACATCTCCCCATCAACATCATGATTCGCCCTCGCGCAGGTGACTTCACATACACCGACTCCGAATTCGCCGCCATGAAAGCCTCCATCGCGCTCTTCAAAGCCGAACAAGGCACGGCGGCAGCAGCCAGCGGCTTCGTGTTCGGGATCCTGAATTCAGATGGCGCGACTGTAGATATATCTCGGAACCGCGAGCTCGTCGAACTGGCCGCCCCGCTGCCGTGTACGTTCCACCGCGCGTTCGACCAAGTGCGGGATATGCGCGCTGCGGCGGAGGAGCTTGTTGCGTGTGGGTTTGCTGCTATTTTGACGAGTGGGGTGCCTGTTGGGGGAGCGATTGCTGGGGCTGAGGTCGTGAGGAGGTTAGAGGGGGATGTGGGTGGGAGGATTGCGTTGATTTTGGGGGGTGGGGTTAGGGAGGGGAATGTTGGGGAATTGAGGAGGGTGACGGGGGTCAGGTGGTTTCATTCTGCTGCTGTTACTGCGGATGTTGGGGAGGATGTTGATGGTGCTGAGGTGGAGAGGTTGAGGGCTAGGTTGGATGAGGAGGTGTAGTGATTCGGGGAAGTGTGGTTTCATATGGTACACAGTCGATCGTAGGAAACGACAGAGAGAGATGTGTATGTGGACATTTACAGTATATACATTAATAACCGTGGATACTATTTTTAACAATGCTTGATAAAGCTAATATGTACACAGGCCTGCACAGTGTCGACGACCTCGAAAATCGTTCCATACGAAATGCGGCATGCTTGCCGTGAGAAAATGTAGATAACAACTTCTACCCTCTTTCGCCTTTCGCCTTTCGCCACGCCGCTCATGTTCAAGATATACACAATTAGATCATCACTCATATCAAATAAAGTCTTCATCATGTGTTGTTGAGCCCAACCATTCGTTTCCTGCAATGCTTCCTTAAACTCAGAAAGCAAAGAGCAAGCAGACAAGTCCAGAAATAATAGTCATACCGAACGATTTCGTCGAGTCAATAGCGACATGCCCCGCTGCGTTACCCTGCGGCGAGGCACCTGCCGTCCCCTGCGATTCCGCAGGAGCACCCGAGTTCGACGTCGGTCTCGACGAGTTCTCCGCATCACCCGTAGGCATAGAACTCGGAGCCGTCGTCGTCATCGTCACTGGCCCCGCAGAACCCGTCGAAGTCGTGGTAATCAACGACGCGATTTCCGAAGCAGGAATAGCACTTCCCACGCCAGTCCCCGTGAACTGTGGTGGGATCGAAAGAGTCGCCGTGTTTGGTTTTGCGGCGGCGTCGTTTGCATATATGTTGCCCGATTCGCCTCCGTCCTTGGAATACTGCCCGGTGAAGAGGTTGGCTTTCGATCCTCCCGAGGAGAAGTCGCCTGTGGTCAGGGATCCGTAAGAACCGTCTGGGAGTTGGAAGTTTGTGGTGAACTTGTCGTAGCACATGGGGATGTTTAGGTTTTGGATGTTCACGCAGTCCAGCGACTCGCGGCAGCAGAACGCATCTGCGCGCGAGGAGAGGGAAGAACTATCACCATTTTCAGGGGAAGTTGCGTCTACGTTGCGCTTCCGGAAATGAATGTCCTTGACAGAGCCGAGGACGTCGGTGTACAAAGTCTTCAGATCAGGGCCAAAGGACGGCGAGGACGACCCTGTCGCGCCTTGCGGGCGACAAGGGTTACAGTCATCGCGAGGCGCGTTGTTGATTAAGGTTGCTTGAGAAGTTGCGAGGAAGCCAAGGGTTATGATTCTGGTCAACATGGTGAACGAGTGTGGTGTTAGTGAGTTTGGTCTCTTGGTTTTTGGGTTGTGACGATGAGTGTATCGCTGGGTTCCGATGTCAAAGATCGGGCTGACTGGGGTTCGGGTCCTGCGACGAAAATGAAAGGATCAAGCAAATAACGGGACCAGATCGACGTGAAGACTGAAACGAGGGGAATGGATCTTTGATCTCGGGGAGGGTAGTGTCTTAAAGACGGGAAAGTGGCAGCAGGGGGAGCGAGGTGAAGTCGCTCGGGGGCAGACGGATATATATTCCAAGGCCATAGCTAATAGTCTGTGGTTGTCGGACGGGTTAGGCCCTGTTCGTTTTCAGATTCCAAGCGTCGGGCGATCAAGTGCTGGTTTTTCCAGCGTGTGCTGCAGGGCACTATCTAACACGGAACGTCTTCTGCCAGGGTGACGATTGGCTCGGAGTCCTTGCTATTCGCATTTTGCAGTGGCATAGTAGCATGTCATTGGTCCGACCTTGTCCTGAGGCGCATGGATAGTGAAGTCGGGGTGGGAATATTGGCGCAAGACGTCCCAGGACTCGCATGTGCTGCTATCGGCAGGGTTGCGGCGTCGCCCCCTGAACTCGGCATCCTTGGATCTTATGCAACTCAACTTCTTGTTTCAGATTAATATTTGCGATAGAGCTCATATGAACAACAGTGTCCTATACTGGAAGCCTCTTCGGTCTGAGTCTGCTGTCACCTGCCTCTCCCGCCTTTCTGTCCCACACTGGATAGGCTTGATCTTCACCCCACATTTGAAAAGCCATTGAAGTGGGGACGCTTCGAGTCCTGCTCACCAACTTGGGTTCGCAGGCACCCTCAACACAAAACTAAGCAACCATCAAATAGTCTGCATCGCTGCTAAAGAGTTCGACCGAAACCAGTAAAATGCTGACCCATTCATTTTCCAGCACGCAGAGACTCTCGGCTTGCTGCTCGCAACTACCGAAGGTTTTCTTCAGCTCACATTAGCCTACCTAGCATTCCACCCTTTCAGCCCAGATCATCAGCAGACCTCTCCTCTGGCAGATGTCAAAACTGTCTCGTGGCCACGCCAGCTGGTCGCGCAGTCCAACGGTTACAGCTCGAGCCCACACCTTAATTCAGCCACCGACCTTCGTGTCGAGATCGCGTGGTTTCCTTCGCAATGCCAGTCATAGCCAACCTCATTCGACTTAGTAAATCTGCGAACCATGTTCTCGAACGGGGCTGCGCTACCAATTTTTTTTTTCCTCTGCTCCTCGGGCCAGGTTGTCAGGAAACTCACGCGAATGACGTCAGCTATATATCTCAATGGAGAATGGCTCTTATTACACTCTGATATTATTGAAGATCAATGCTACTGTGGATTTGACAAGCAACTTCATTGGGAATCATCTATAGGAGCTGAGGTTAGTGTCTTGCTCGCTCCTGTCCGTTACTTGAGCTATTTACTCGGCACCTTTGTCTTCCCAAGGGTGGAAGCAAAGTCTTCGCTGTTGCCGACATTCATTACATGATTGGATGCCGATTAATCACTGCTCGAGTCAGTCTGAGTGACCGATTGTTCCACTCACTCACTCATTCTCCCTCACTGAGCCCGTCAGTTTCTCATCAAACGCATAATAGATTTATGTTCATAGTTAGATAGTCATGTGGCTTATAGACTGAGGATCTAACATCTGTGTAGTGTACGTTTATCTCGATAAATGTGGGGAAGCGATACACTATGGAAAGTGTCAATGCATGCATTCGGCGTTAACTAGGGGAAGCGGATACATCAAGTAGAAGACAATAATTTAGTATTGACCGTGCGCGCTACAGACAAGCTCGTAGGGTAACCCTGAACAAGAGATCGAATCGCTGTAGCCATTACATGGTATACCTTACGACTGAGAAGAGTTGTATTCGCATAGTACTTACTTTGGGGGTCTCCACACTGTGCAAATGTTCAGAATCTGGCTGTCTTAAACATGACTACCCGCAAGTATGGGTATATTCCATTCAAGGGTGCATGGTTACTGATCAAGTGCCGTTCAACCTCTTGCCTCGACGATCCTTGTGACTGCCAATGATATTGTTCGAATTGCATTGATGCTCGCGCGGAACGCATAATTCTGCTTGATCCTACCACTGACCGACCCAGATCCATATTCGCAGACACCTCGTGCCGTTCCATCGGTAAGTAGAACAAAGAGACTGTTACTCTAGAAACATGCACGCGCTTCGCAGATCCCACCACCCTAATCGCAGACAAAGCCGAAAATGAACTGGAAATCTGTCAAACAAAGACGTGCTTGTCCGGCAGGTTTATGGCTGGATGTGAAACTGACAAAGAGGAATGATGGCAAAGTCTCCTCGCCTCCATAGATCATTTCTCGCGCGGATCTGATGTATATGCCCACGCGTCTTGCTTCTGCCGTCTGCGTTTGCTGTCGTTTGTGAAGTTCATATGGTGGTAACTACCTTTCCATATCAATCCACATCCATTGAAGACTTAGCGAAGCCGGTCTTTGCGATTATTCCCAATCGTTATATGCAGCAATAGCCCATCAGATACACACAAGCGTCACTCCGGAGTCCACGAGACAATTGAAACAACCAACACGACATCACCCACCATAGCCATCCCGGGAAGAACCACGAAACATGGTCCACGATAAGAACAAAGTCCAGCTCAAGATCAACCCAGAGCCATTCAAACCCTCCCACCTCTCTATCCCCCCATCCCCATTTTCTCCACAAACCCCCCTCACAAACACAATCAACCGACCTTCTACGCGCCGGACTAAAACCTATCGACGCCCCGCCACCGAAACACCTCCCCCTCCCCTCCAATGGCTCTGGCAATGCCACCAATGCCATCGCTCCTACTCCCTCGGCGTAACCCGCCGCTGTCTGGAAGACGGCCACCATTTCTGCGCCGGCACCACAACAGTAAAGACCTGGCGCAAGCCCCTCCGAGCTAGAAAGTTCAAGAGACACCGAGCCTGCGCCAGCGAGTTCGATTACCAAGGATGGAAGAACTGGGGACGATGGAGGAGGAGTGGGCGTAAGGATTCCATCTACGACGACGACGAAGACAGCTCTTCGTCATCCTCATCAACTTCTTCCGCGTCGCCGTATTCCTCCTCTTCGGCATCGTCGGGTTCAGAGGATGCACAGAGCCAGGGTTCCCAGGCTCTTCAAGAGAAGGACTGCTGGAATGCGTGTGACTACCCTTCCGAATGTCGGTGGGGGAAACGGTTTGGTGTGCACACGCCTACTTCGGCCACTTTTCCGACGTTTGAAATTGTTTCTGCTTCGTCGGTTTCCAATGCTCCGCCTACGTCTGATCCTTCTCCTGCTGCGGTTACCACCACCACGGCTACGACCAAGGCTGTCGAAGGTGTGCTGAACCCAGAGAACTACCAACCCGATCTTGGGAAGAAACCGCTGAAGACCGATCTCTGGGATGCCCTCGTCGCGAGCGCCACCCGGCGGAAGAGCGTGCCTCCTAGTTCGCCGTTGGCGTCGGTGGCGGAGGAACCTGGTGTCAACGATCCGTCGGTGGTTGAGAAGGATAGAGATGGGGACGTTGTCATGTCTTGTTCCGAGGAGCAGGCGTCATCGTCGCAGGCATTCTCACCGCCTGCTACTTCTGCGCTGGCCTCTCTGAAGGGTGTGTTTCGCAGGAGTTCGAAGATTTACTCGAAGTCGGTTAGGAGGGGGACGGAGGTGAAGGATGCTGGCTTGGTGGATGAGTTGACGCCCTTGGAGAGGGTAAAGAGTAGGGATAGTGGGTATCACTCCAATCAGGATCTGTTTTGAGTGGGTTCATTTTTGCTTGTAGAAGATAAAGTCTGTTCTTGTATCATATTATTTTCCCCACACCCTTGGTTTCCTTTGTATCATGCTTGTCTATAATCACTCAACTCATACATTTCGATGCTTTTGAGCTTTGCTAAGTGCCTCCGGAATTACAACATACATAGTATCGATCTTTTCGTCGCTGTCATTCCCCGCTGTTCCAAGCCACAAACAGCAGGAACCCATCAATGATGCCATGGAACCCCCCTTCCAAGTCACCACAGCATACCAGTAGCAATAGCTCCGGCTACAAAAGTCAACAATACACGCGACCACCCAGACTGAGTGATGAACGAGGCATTGCTCCCGTGAGGTATCGCGCCCGTAGCGCTACCGCCCATATACCAGGACCCAATATCCGTCAGCGCGCCATTCTCGGTCAACATGGCAGAATTCGGCCCAATGTTCGAGACATCGGAGCGGAACGCGCCGAAATAAGAATACCGCTCAACAGCCCTACATGCATCCAAGATGTCCCAAACGGTCAGTCAACGAACCGAGCAGATCCCAGCACAAAGATCCGCAGATATATATAAAAGCGAGGGGGGAAGGAGGGGATAGAAAACGACTTACTCCCATCGATCCAGCATAGCCACCGAATCCGCATACATATCCTGCGTCTCCGCCAACCCCTGATCCACACAACCCCACTCGGTAACCCAGACCTTCAACCCGGGGAACGTCGCAGTGACCTGTCCAACATGGCTGGCCAAGCCCTCGAAATTCCCGTACCAATGTACAGGAATGAAGTCGGGATTACACCCACCGCCACACGCCTCGAGCCAGTCGGCCAACCACTCAAATCCATTCGGGCTCCCCGTGACGGCCGGAGCACCGAGCTTGACGCCCAGTTTCTTGAGGGGCTCGATCTCGCGCTGCCAGACCAAGGCGGCGGTGATGGGGGAGATGTTGGAGCCGCCGTAGATGTAGGGCCCGTCGGGCTCGTTGAAGCCTAGGACGTGGGTGATGTTTGCGCCGGATTCGAGCTGTGCGGTGACAGCGTCGAGGAAAGGTGTGCCTTGGGAGCTATCGGAGGCGCCCCATAGCATGGGCACGAACTCGAGGTCTTTTTGGTCGGCAAAGGATGGTGAGGGTGCGGCTTTGTAGTTGTAGTACCATGTTAGGTGGGAACCGTGTGCTGGTTTCCATATTATGTCGTCGGTGGGATGTAAGGAGGAGGGGACGTGTACAAGACCACGCTTCGGAGAGGTGGGTGCTGCTGGTGCGGCCCTATAGAGATATGAGCCAGTCGGCATAACCCATGAAGTAGCTGCCATGATCAAACCGCGGGATATTATTGGTATGATAGAGTGGTCTTGGGGATGATAAAGATATTGGGTGGTCATTGAGAAAGGGAGGAAATAACAAATATAGAAGGCAATAGGGAATACTCAACTGTCGAGTGAGAAGTGTTGACAATGAAGCATATGTCATCGAGAGGAGTGGTACGGTAATTATGTAGACGACCCCATGGTCAATGAATCTTGGATATGTACTTGGAATAAACGTGAGTGGGCGAGATATTGTCAAGCAAAAAGCGCCGACCAATATCGTGTTGAATTTGTCCAAGTAGTCATCATCGACAGCATGAGTGGACCGAGGTGATGGGATTGAAGAAATTCTGACGTCTTACTCTTCAATCATGGAAACATCTGTCTGGCATACAAAACAATATTTGGCACCAAGATATGGTCGTAATAGATAATTTGATTCTCTCATCTCTCCAAGAATTTATCTACGCGGAAGGTCTAGCCACCGCCGTTCATGAATTACAAAGATTTTCTTTTTCTTCAGAATGCTCAAAAATACATATGGGATATTAGATGGCGTTCCTGTCGTCAGGAAGCGCAGATACACACTCCGTGATTGCCCGTGGGCTCACGTTCGAAGATCTCGACACACTGTCTGTAGATCAGATTTCTTCCAGCACATTGTACGCTAAAAATTCAACTACCCATATTCAACATATACAATACCGAGTAAAACGAACCAATGTACAAAACCACGCGCTTTTCTAGAATGCGCACACCTAGAAAGCCTGCCCTCTATAGGTTTGTTGCTGCAGTGGCCCTGAAGGGGTGGGTGCATAGGCCGTCTGCTGAGGACCAAGCAGATCCACGGAAGGTAGGCGTGGTGCCCGGGAGTTTGGAGGGCTAACGCTGCGCTCGGCACTAACGCTCCTGGTGTGACCGATAGTCTGCGTTTCGGCGAGAAGGTGCTCTTGTCCGTCATACGGACGAGCTCCGTTGTAACGTGTGTTTTGTTCGGTCAAGGGGATTGGGTCGTAACCAGCGCGGGCCCCAAACTTGTTTGCGACTGAACTGCGCTTGTACTCGATAGGGTCCATCAGGAGCGAGTTACGAGCGTCAAGGGGAGTAAGGTTGTCTACGTCGCGTGCTTTTTCTGTGAAACGTGTCAGTAGCGCGACAGGTGACGGGCCTTGTGATTTACTTACCAGCATCTTTACGCTTCTTCTCATGGGGGTTCTTCTTGCAGCAGATGACGATGGCGTTGACAGCAATCAAGATCGCCAACAGACCGGTCAATACGGCCTGCATGATGACCAACACAAGACCAGTGACGGTTTTGGTGGTCTTTGCGACACCGAGCTCCTCGACGAAGACCAGAATGCAAACAACCGACAGCACACGAACAACCTGGATGGAGATGTTGATCCAGTTGCTAGATTTGAGCGAGAATGGGCGACAGAAGAGAAGCAGACCCAAAAGGAGAGCCTCGACGACGAGTTGTCCACCAGCTTGAACCATACCGTGGCCATCTGCGCCAGCAATAACGCATCCGCGGGTGAACATGTAGATGATGGCCGGGACGAAGATCCACCAGTAGCTCTTCTTGTAGTTCTCGTAGAAGATGTTGTACTTTCTCCAGACTTCCTTGTTTTCATATAGAGCGGACGAATCACCTTCCATCTTCTTAAACTTGCGCGCGATGCTCCAAATCTTCCAGGTGAAGAAAGCAAGGACAGCAGTGAAGAGACCAAGGGTAAGACCAGCCAGAAGTTTAGCAGCCCAGGAATCACCCTCCTTGAACTGGTAGACGCAATACATGGTCCAGATACCATACAGGAGGAGCACCAAACTGGTAATGGTCTTTGCTAGAATCCACCAGTATTGCTTGCGGAAGTTGGTCAACTTCTTCGGGAACGATCCAAACAGGGCCCAGGTTTCCAGGATGACCTTGAAGAGCAGAATGGCAACTGTGATGGCAGCGATGACGATGGCGAAGGCAAGGAGGACCGTCATGAACGTGTTTGCTTTCGGGATGGTGTATTCCTCAACATAACCCTGGATGCCCTTGACGGCATGCATGACTTTGTTGTCCCCCTCAGTCCCGTTGGCGGTTCCATTGACGTTGGTCTCCAATTCGTCACGAGCCCACAGCATTGCAGCACCGAGGCCACGTTTTGTCAGGTTGACCTTCTGATCGACGTGAACAAGAGTCGCGGTCTTTAGAAATTCGACACTGTTCTCGGTGAGGTTACCACCAGTGTTGTTGCGGAAAGTGTCAATCTGCTTTTGGGCGCTCTCCCAGGATATAAGACCAGTACTGAATCCGAAGTTCTTGGCCCAAGACGTGTAGATACCGGGAAGTTCAGCGGACATCATTCCGTTGAGCGACATGGACTGGAACCAGCCGACGACCTCGAAGAAGGTAGGGCTAGCTGTGGGAGCACCGGCATTACCTGCTCCAGCGAGAGCACCCAAACCCGATACGGCAAGAGCGGCTACAGCCATTCCGGCGGCAACATATTGAACGCTCTTGGTGGAAATACTCTTTCCGTTGCTGACTTGCGATGTGATACAAGCCAGCTGCTTGCCCCCATCTTTGGCGGTGAGCTGCATAGTAGCTTGACTGTCCAGGTCAGGGACATTGAAGGCGATGGCCGGAATCTGTGATAGGTACGAGTCGGGGATGCTCTGTTCGCCCTTTGCGCTGAACTTTCCGTTTGGCACTGCTCTCGTTAGGGGACAATTGTTGATGCTGTCTCAATCGACCGACTTACCTGGGCATAGTTGGTCCACTTTGGTGTCGCTGGCGCAAGGGTCGAACTTGTTTCGGTACAGTTCCCTGCCGTACGCGTTGACAATCAATGTGGCTTCGATCTCCTGCTGTTTTTTGCTGGTACCGGCGACATCGAACACGACCTTCTTGGTGTCTTTGTCGAACTCGATGTTCAGGTTATCGACTGTAACTTCCGAGTTGTCCAAGCAGGTGCTGTATCCTTGTGTCTTGAGTACATTTGCGGCCAAAACACCCAGAGGGGCAGAAGCCAATAATATGAACGGTGCGAGCATGGATGAATATGTCGCGTGAGCCCTCATACTGTGCTACGGTCGCCCAGGGGCGAGGGATTGCGAGATCAGGTATCGATGAAGGTGTAGGAAGATCGGCGAGGATGGTACAGAAGTGGGTTTAGATGGGTAGGGCGCTGGGCATACACGGATGAACGGTTGGCGGGTCAAGCAAAGCCTTGGGGGGGATCGATGTTTGGGTGGGCCAAGGGGTATATGGTCCGGTATCCAAAGGAGGTTGCGGGAGGTGTGAAGTCTAGGGAGAAGAATAACAAAAGGAAGGCAAAAATGAGGAAGCGACAACGACAGAGGGAAGAAGAGTGATGATGATGATGATGAAGAAGCAGCAGAGTAGGAGGAGGAAAAGTGAAACGATTGACAGACGACAAAAGGCGCCGACGATGGTGGAAGAGGCAGCGAGTGCAGGGCAGGGCGGGAGACAAGAGAGGTCTGGGGCTGGTGCTGAAACCTTGGCAAGGATTAGGGCAAGGGCCACGGACCGTTAGACAGAAGGGGAAGGGACGCGTGGCGCTCTGTTCAAACAATGGCAGCTCGTCTCCGCAGGATTATCGATGGTCGATTGATGAGATGGCGAGATAGGGTGACAAGCAGGGAGAGCAATGGTTCGAGACGGGTCGGGCGGATCTTTGCCAGAAATTGCGAGATGAGGGCAAAATGTTGGCCAGAAGCTTTTGTTCGCCTCCACAACAGCACCCTCTGCGCTATTAATGCTGCTCGGCACGAAGAATGCAGCAGAGTAAAAAAAACATGAATAAAAGGATGTTCACGACCAGATGCACTTCGCCTCGTGCTCACAGCGTATGACTGGGTAGGGGAGGCGTGGTAGCTGAGGGAGCGGACGCCAAAAAGGAGCCGGGCGAGCCTATCAGGGGTTCGTGGGGCAGCTAGCGATGGACTTGTTGCGAATAAGCTGGACTGGTTGGTGGTCTTGGGCTCTTGGTCCCCTTTTTTTTGGCGGCCTGTGGGTGCAGCGCCTCCAGGCTATGTGACCCGCATGATAGGCTGGCAGCTACCAGTTGACGGCTATCCTGTCTGTCTAACAGTAGGTATCTATCTAGGTATCTACCCATCCAGCTATTGTTTACATGCGAGTTGGCGAGTCTGCTGGTTGCGACATGATGCCATCATCCCGCGTTGATGCATGCTGCTTCGTCTTCTGTTTCGGCCTCCACTGGCTACTGACTGCTACAGGACCCTATCGCCTACGACTGCCGCCAGTTTGCCAGTGACAGCTGGAGTTCTCTTTCTTTGACAGCCTACATACTGGGTGCATGTACATGCATTAACGCACGTAGACTGATACGTGGTACTCTGATGTTTGCAAACGTGCCGCCCTCTGTGCCATGTGTGCAACGTGCGCGCGTGCCGACTTGGTCCAGAAGCACATGCAGACAGACAGCAGACTGTGGCTCCGTGGCTGTGCAATATTGGATGCTCGTAAAAATAGCCTCCCTTATCCACCACCACCGCGACCGCGACCCACCCCGACGCCAAGCCGTACCTTTGTGCACAATCAGCTAGCCACCTTCATGGCTGGCTCGGGAGATCTGAGTCCATCCATTTCGCCATCATCATCATCATCATCTCACCAAGAACCGTCAACGTGTGTTGTCCATCCGGTGGAATCTTGCGCCACAGCTATGCATGTAACAACAGTTGCATTCTCTCCTATTCACAGTATCATCACTACATGCTTCAAATTTCGGGTGCTATTACCCGCCCACTTTTACAAACCGCTCCGTGTCGCGTGCTTCCGTCAGCCATCGTGGCTCTTCAAGACATACGCCCCGCTGACAAAGTCGGCTATACCCACCCAAACAGGTCATTCTTCTTCTTTCGCCGAACAGAATTTGCATTCAGGAAGCACACTGTCTTAAAGTGCTAGGTAGAAGAAGAAGGGGAGGAGGAGGCACAGTTAGTTAGTCAGCGTCTACGTTACGCTCTCCACCAATCAAGGCACTCTTGTCTTGCTCAACATGGTTAGCCCTCTCGAAACATACATGTACCATCCAAAAATCAACATCACCATCTTCCTTACTTGCATGCATGAGAGTCCTATCGTGCTCACACCTTCCGCCCTGCAAGGCAATCCTCACGAAAGGAGCCCTGATGACAGCTGCTAGATAACGTAATCCATCTCACCTCACCCATCCCAGCACCCTAAACTCTTTCGAGCAATTGTTCCCCAATTTTTTCGCGGTCGGTCAAACTCCAGCCTCGAAAATGAGACACTCGATCCATCGCCTACCATCCGCCGGAGCGCACATTCGGCATTCAATTCTTCTCATACGTCGTAGCTTCAGGACGCGTACTAACAGGAAGTGTGTGAACGTTGTTGGTGCCTGGATTAGGCCGTGCTGCCCGTCTCACTTTCCAATGTCATTCAGGCAGTGCAATACATATGCCCGTGGCGGCCCCGCGTTCTCGCGGACAACAACCCGCAGCCTTACGCCCAAGTGACCGTTTCTCCTCCGCTGCTATCCTAGCTTCAGCATTCAATTTCATCCGGGGTTCAATTCTGTACTTGCTGCTAAAATCTCTGCCGCACCACGCGGTATGCCTAGTTTTTGAAACAGCACCAGCCAAACGTCCAGGGAATTACTCTGCGTACCAAACTTTTCCTGGGTACTGTAGCTTGTCTTCGATTCGACCCTCTTCTCTTTACTTGCTCAAACGTTTCATCGTTGCTTCCAAACGTCGTTCCATTATGTGGTTTGTTGCCTGACTTGATGTATACTAAAGTACATCTGCAGCACGACGTGTCGGACATCGACATCCCTGGCACCATACTTGCCGATAGTATACTTACATGCAGCTTCCTGGTAAAAATCCGATATGATCCACACTTGGTGGAGATACTATACACTTGCCCGGATCTTCTGTGTCCGCGAGAAAGCCGATGGAGGGAACGAATGCCGTCCACACTATGAGATTGATTCACCACGAATCATACCAGAACCTAGTTTTCATACGTTAGCAAGTGGGCACTGCGAGACTGCTTCCACGCTTCCTTTCTTGATGCCAACAGCAATTCCTTCTGCGAGAAGAGTATGTATGGGCTTAATCAGCATCATACGGACCAGCATATGATCTACTATGAATGGTGGGCGAGACTTCAGGACGAGCTGCTTATATGATGATGCCAAAGAGGAAAGAGAAGGAACCTGTGGTTTTCCCCATAATAACCGGTGGAGAGCAGCATACAACTTGCTGTGCCCTGATCTGACATATTCATCGCGATATGAGAAGCGCGGTAGGTAGGAAAATGTTACGAACAAGTCTCTTCACTTAGAAGCTGCCCACTCATTAACCCACCGAAGCTCTTGCAGCGGTGTCGAATTCCCCTTGCCTCAGGATTCTTGCGGGGGCAACAATTAGGACTACCGGTTCCCATCGCCCTCATCCTTCTACGCATGAGCTTTTTGTACGAAGCAGCGACATACCCTAGCCGTCTATTCCAACAAGCTGGGGAAAAGAAGTCGATGAAATACAGTCTGCCTCTCATGCCCACTATCAGAGCGGCAACCGGTGTCTCCGAGACCGATCTCGCGCACCTAGACGGGTACAGGAGCACCCAGCCCTTCAAGGAAAGCGACGGCGCAGCGTATCACATGCGGCTTTGCGCCCATGATAAGCTGATGGATGGCATTCACCTCTCGAACAGGATTGGAAAACTTACAGCGTAAGATGAGCAGCTTTCGATGGGTGATTAAACCTATTATGTTTTGACAGAATGGTAAGACAAAGATGTTGTGGGCTAAGTCGTGATACCCTGCTGTGGCAGAGCGGTTCCACACCCAGAAAGTATGCTGACTTGAGTGTCTCTGGTCATTCTAGGAGGTAGAGAGACAGCGGCAGAGCTTCGTATGCTTCAAAATTGTGAGCCGAGCGATCCATTTAGGCTTAGGAGACAAACACTGTTTTCTATGCTCAAGCCGTGTCGACCGGCACTAAAGCGCAAGACGGACTCTACGGACAGGAGTGTAATGTGAGCTGGAAATCTTCATGCCGAAGTTATAAATCAAACGATGTTCTAGACTCGTCGACTCTCACCGCACCACTGGTGTTTCCCACATCAACGGCGGTCCCGAGATCTTTAAAGACACTATAATGCATCACGAAGCCACCGGAGATAGGCGGATTAGGTCTTGAGCAAAGGGATTATATGCCGATACAAGTACGCGAAGAGTGATGACGGTCAGAAGATGCCTTGATTGCTTTGCTTGTGCGCCTTTGGGGTGACAGAAGTCGCATGGCGTTTGTCTCAACACCTCAACGGGAATTGTGCTACCCAGCACTGCCTACCCAGCTCTACGTCTGGACTACAGCTGCCTTATCCCTTGTGGCGGGGGTTCCGGTCTTGCCAGTTTCGCTACCAGTGGCAGAGGAGCGCGCGGCCGCGAAGGAGCTTTTATGCAAGTTTTGCTGCATACTTCCCCATGTGTACACTTTCCCGATACGCCATGTGGGTTCTGCGCGGTATGAAGCTGTAAGATGATTACACCTCTGCAAAGAATCTCGACTGACCGCTTGTTTTGATATTTGGTTCGGCCTGTTGAAGGGCTGGCAATGGTACAGAGCTCCTCGGTACCTGCAGTTTTAACGTTTGACCCATCTGACGCGTGTACAACCGACGGGCCCATCTGAACCAAATTATTTGACTTGGGCTGTCAGTATCATCGAAAACATACTGAGTTTCGGCAACGTGCACATGCTCCCCGAAGAGATGTTTGGATGAGTAACTCGGTAATACGCCGCACACGTTCAATCACATGGTGCCGATCTCTGCCGTGTCCATTGTGGACAAGAGTTTGGGCAGCAGGTGAGTGAGGAAGGTGGAACATGGTGCTTTTCCCATGTGTTTATTTTATTTTTCTCTTGGGTCACGTTGCGCGCGGCACTGGAATCTGCCTCGCTGCCGGTTAGTTGTTTCGAGAGACTTGGATCATACTATGCAACCTCCCGTGGAGTCGGCACTTTGACCGCAAGCGGTACTCCAGGATCATATGGGCTAATTTTAACATGTTCACAAGCCCAAAGACACTGAGATGAGGCGATTGGTCGGACCACTATATACAAGGACACGGATAGAGAAATGACGAGTTTCAAACGGTGTCTGTTGGTGATGTGCCATGATTAGCAGCATGGCGAATGAAACGGAGGATTCACTGAGGTCCTCCTGAGGTTATATTATTCTCGCCCCTCTCATCTGATCGATGGCGCCCTCACTCGTGATTAGCCGGATCTGCAGCGTTTGCCGGGTAAGGGCTCGTGCATCTGCAGCACCGGATTCGTCAGCCGTCCTCGTCTCGTTTTCCTTTAATCCAACGTCGACCTGTCACGTCTCGAGGCCGCACATTTTACACCTCCCATTTCGAGAGCATGTCACAACCTTATACGCAACTGACCACGGCTCACGCAGAGTGGATATCCGCTTTGACTTTGGCACGCAAGAGCTGGCTCATCCGATACCGTGATTGCGCGCGCTGACCCAGTCGCTCTTGACATACATGCGCACACAAACGGATACGCATGTCATCTCTCCATTTGCGCGCCCATAACTCTCCGAGGAGATTAAAAGAAGAGTCTTGTCTTTGTGGGGAGAGCAGGTGCTTCGAGCATGCAAGGCGGCACGCCGAGGCACGAATCCTCCGGGCGCGTGTGGAGAGTCGCGCTCCTTCCACATGTAGTAAAACATGAATCCAATTACCGCTTTCAAAGAGACATTTACCCCGGGCATTTTGCAGCAAATCCGTGACATGGGTGAATGATGGGAGATCGCTTGAGGTGAATGCGATGTGACACTGGGCTAAGAAAGGCTGAGGTTACTACCAGGTCACATCGTCGGCCATTTCACTCATGTGCAGCTTCAGGCTATGTGGACCGGCAAGTCATGTCGTCTGAATATCGCGTTTCTATCTCGATCGTGTCTCTGAACTTCGGCTACTCCTGGAGAGACACGACGTCTTTGATGAACAAGATTCAAGCTAGGTCGAATGCTGATTCAACAACGCGAGTACACAAACGCCCGACCCAACGGCTGCGCAGCCCACACGATCTTCCGGGTATGGCCCCAGACTCCCAGGAGTGGACCCCTGCGCCGTGTCGTGACACCTCCCCAGGGATGTAAGAGTCTAGTTTGTGTAACACTCACGACGGTACCTGCAGATCGATGCCTGCTTTTGGTAAAGCCACCGTGGACGGGTCTCCGCCTCGCCCTTCACCATCTCAGTCCCATGTCTACCTTCCGTAAATGAGTACGTAGACTTGTGAATCATAGAGCAGGGGAGATGGCGCCAGACACTTCTATACCAAGATCTTGTGTATATAACAGAGCTTCACTGCGCCTGTCGTCACATTCCTGGCAGCTCATCAGTTCATTCTTGGAGTTCAGTTCGCATTCCATAGACATCAGCCCTAAACACGGCCTGTGTTGGTCTCGTTTCTTTACTTTACGAAGTTGCTTGAAGCAACACTGTCGATCCCTACTTTTGCATACTGTCCTTTCAGGTCAATATCCTCTTCCACTCTGACAGTCCTTTCTCGATATGCCGAGATTAGCTACGTTGCTGGGCTTGGCCCCAGCTCTTCTCGTGCAAGGCTTGCCTGCACCAGAAATAGGAGCTTGGAAAACTCAGGGCGATCATAAATACACGAATCCGATGAAAATACAAGCTACTTCGACATACAGCTCCAAACCGTCCTCTTTCCAATCAGCATCTCAGACTGTGTCGCCGTCGATCACAGGTGTGAGTATGGATCAAACTGGATGTAAAAATCAATTCAGCTGACAAAATCTCTATAGTCTGTTCAAACCTCACTTCCGACTCTTGGTTTCTCGCAAAATCCCATAATGTCGAGCTCTATTCCGACACCGCAGACTTCTTTATCACCGATCCAATCCACTCTGGTGCCTGAACCTACCAGTCAACTCAAAGTTGAAGGGAATATTTTCGTGCCCATGGCTTCGGATGCCCCCCCTCAACAGATTACGAGTCGCGGTGATCATGCAGTGAAGAAGCTGAACATTGTCGACCAGGATTCCCCCATTGGAACGAACAAGTTCTACGCGAACTTGTTTTTGGGTAACCAGAATAATCCAGTCTGGACACAGCCTTATGCTTTGGCCTGGACCAAAGGCACTGGCAACACCTACGGAATATCGGTCACTCACACCGAACGGGATCAGCTAGCTTTTGATCAAAACACGCCACCACGATACTTTATCGCTCCTCAGGGCATGCAACAAATCGTGCTCTCTGCGACAGAGCTCCAGCAGAATACGGTGCTCTCTACCGAGGACATCACGGGATTCTCTGTATATGCCAACCTAGCCCCTTCAGCAGATTCTACGCCTGTCATGTCATTTCCTTTAGTACAAGGAATGGGCTTTGTTACCGCTCTTTACAACAGCGGAACGCCTCGATTGACTTCCGGCGTATTCTTCCGGTCATTGGAGTATGTAGGGCAACTCAATGATATCACGTACAAGTATAGGATCGTATTGAACGACAATTCGAACTGGCTCATTTACGCTACGCCTACAGGCACTCTCGGCGCTCCTCCATTCACCCTGGCCAACAGCACCACCATCGATGGCCCGAGCGGCTACACCGGAATGATCCAAGTTGCAAAGAATCCAGCCCAGACCTCGGGCGAAGACTCCTACGACTCCGCTGCTGGAGCCTTCGCGGCAAATGCCACAATCTCTGGCACTGCCGACGGTTCCTCCGGAAGCTACACCCTCACATGGGGCAAAGGCGGTGTCGCAGACACTCCTTTGATCATGTTCGGTCTGCCGCACCACTTGGAATCTCTGGACGAGAACACCCGATCGAAACTGACCGATATCGAGCTTGTCACCGGCACCAAGGGAGTTGCCCGTGCTATCGTTGCCAATGCCATGACCCTGAGCGAACCCAACCTCCCCGACAGCATCGGTTTCGACCCATGGGTCGTCAACGCCGCGGGCACTGGAGGCACCAGCAACACCAATATTGACGAAAGTGCCCTTGCTGCAGTCCGTAACTCAGCAGCCATCGAACTTGCCCAAGATTTTGACAAGCAAACGCGGCTCAACAGCATGTACTACAGCGGCAAAGCGCTCGCCAAGTTCGCCGTCACCATCTACACAACCCACCAAATCGCAAAAGACACTCAACTCGCAGCGGCGGGCCTAGCCAAACTCAAAGACTCCTTCAAAGTCTTCACCGACAACACCCAGCCACTTCCCCTCGTCTACGACACCGTCTGGAAAGGCGTCGTCTCCTCAGGGACCTACCAAAACGGCGACACAGGTCTAGACTTTGGCAACACGCTCTACAACGACCACCACTTCCACTACGGCTACTTCGTCTACACGGCCGCCGTCATCGGCTACCTCGACCCGGCGTGGCTCGACCAAGGCACCAACCGCGCCTGGGTCAACACGCTCGTCCGCGACTTCGCCAACCCCGTCGAGTCGGACCCCTTCTTCCCCTTCCAGCGCTCCTTCGACTGGTACAACGGCCACTCGTGGGCCAAGGGCCTCTTCGACTCGGGCGACGGCAAAGACCAAGAATCCACCTCCGAAGACACATTCGCGACCTACGGCCTCAAAATGTGGGGCAAAATCTCGGGCGACGCAAACATGGAAGCGCGCGCGAACCTGCAGCTCGCGGTCCAGAAACGCTCCCTCATAAACTACTTCCTCCTCCAGAGCGACAACAAAGTCCAGCCGCCCTCGTTCATCCCGAATAAAGTCACGGGCATCCTCTTCGAGAACAAGGTCGATCATATCACGTATTTTGGCGGCAATATCGAGTATATCCAGGGCATCCACATGTTGCCCATCAACCCTTCGTCCGCGTACACACGTCCAAAGAAGTTTGTGCAGGAGGAGTGGGATCAGTATTTCAGCAATGGCCGTGTCGATCAGGTCGAGGGGGGTTGGAGGGGCGTCTTGTACTCGAACCTCGCGCTGATTGATCCTACCACGGCGTATAATTGGTTCGCGAGGCAGGATTTCGATATGCAGTATCTCGATGGCGGGATGAGTCGGACGTGGTTTATTGCGTTTTCGGCGGCGTTGAGGGCGGGCGGTGGGTCTTGAGCTGGGACTTTTGTTCCTGCCCTTCTCTTCCTCTTCTCTTTCTGATTATCTTTCCCCCAAGACTCAAGAGAGATGATGGGGAGATGTTTACCTCTTGCCGACCGAATCCTGAAACGACGGATGACGGACACACGATGACAACGATCCACGGTCTTTCTAGGGAGTTCTGCCCTCCCATCCCTTTCCTTTCTTATTCTCTTTGTCGGCGTTTTCTTATCCTTTGCATCTTCTCCCTTCTAGTCATTTACTTTTGCCTTTTCTCTTCTTCCCCTCCCTTCCTTCCCGTATGTTTTTGCAACCCTATCCCTCTCTTCCTTCTCTCCACATCAACCAAGCTTAGAAAGCTCAACTTTTCTTTTTTCCGTCATTATAGAAGGTCCGGCGAAAGAGCTGATTTGTGCTTGTTGTGATAATACCATAACAAGCGAATGGCTGTGTTATCTTATCCGGGATTCAACTGTATCTATCTTTCAAATCCAAAGGTACTCTTTCTTTTTTTAACAGTATTCATTCATCTTGCTGTGAGACCTAACTCATTATCCCCCTCTCGTGGCTTCGATCTCTTCTGTGGAGAGGTGGAAAGATTTGCGATTGTTGGGGAAGGAAGTGAAAGCTTACCATGACCTTCCAGATGTCTTCCTCCCCTCCCCCGCTATGTATTGTTCTCGATTTCGAATCAGCTGAAATCCTTCTGCTTTTCTCCGGTGCTAATCCTTCTTGCGGGGAGATGTTGTATATCTTCTGTTCTCTGTCTTCTTAGACTTCGTCGTCCGCGAGTTGACTGCCATGCACGACCATACACGTAGTATGCAAATGAGAAGAATAGAATGTGAGAAAGAGAAGGAAAAAAGAAAAGACAATTGAGTTTCTTCCCCTTCTTTCTTGCCAGACGAAGCAAGAAAGGTATAAGAGGAAAGATTTAGCATTAAGTATTATACTAATAGTTGATTAATGTTGTTCCCCTCCCAACAAACAGCTGGCGAACAACTGGAGGAACGGGCGAAGCATCCTTGGCTTCTTCCTTCATGCGTTCATGCATCCATCCCTCAAGCCCCCCTTTTTCCCTAATCATCCACATGTCATTGCCATACTTCTTTCCAACTCTTTTCCTGCTCGTGAAAACCGCTGCAAAACTTCTCCCCCCAATATGGATACGAAGCCGGATGTGAACCGAAGAAGAAGTGAAGATCCGGCTCGTGTTACAGCGAACGTAATAGTACAATCGGTACAAAAAAGCTTTGGTTATCGCGCTTTTTCCTCCTAACCAAAAAATCGAAGAATCTACCAGGAAGCGACCGACGGGGTATCAATCCGAGAATGTCGAATAAGAACAAGAAAGTAAAAAAAGACATTATCCTCCTCTCTTTTGTTTCAAACGACCCACACACAGCTTCGCAAAGAAGCCGAAGAAGAAGAAGAAGAAGAAGAAGAAGAAGAAGAAGAAGAAGAAGAAGAAGAAGAAGAAGAAGAAAGAAGAGTATGGGTCAACCACCGGTATGAAGAAAAGTTTATGAATGCGGAAAGCGTCGGCCAACGCCCGTCTAGCGATGCTTTGCTCTCTAAAATGTCCAAACAATGTATGGATGAGATGAATTGTTGCGCTGGAAAATGCTCGATAAAACTCCGTTTAATGCATGAATTCGTCGTAGGCCGTTCCCAATGGAGGGATGAGATGATTTGGGGGTGATGATAGTGTGGTTGTGAGGTCATGCGCTACCGAGTTGGCTCAATGTCGGATCCCACGGTTTCGCCATCCCACAAACTTTGTGCGTCGTCAACAGGAGATCTGGCACCTGCAGATGGGCTTCTGCCACCGGTGGAGTAGGACGAGGAAGAACCGCTTGCCCAGTCGTCGGAATCGGAAAGCGGGTGGAACTCTTCGTATATGTCGAGCATGCTGTAGCTGGTATCCTGTGGGTCGCCGATCTCAACGTACTCGTAGTCCCAGCGGAACTCTTTGTCGGCTTGAACACGGGGCAAGAATTTACCACGAGCCCAGAAGTAAGCAATACCAGCAACTGTGTTGGGGTTAGCAAACGAACATGAGGATGTAGATTAATGAGGTAGGCTTACGTAGACTGCCTGCAACTAGATCAACAGCATAGTGGTGGGAGAGGTACATGGTGGACCACCACAACCACATGGTGTAGAAAATGTAGACCGGGAACAGCTTGGGGAAGCAGTGTCCCATGAAAAGGGTCTCAAGAGTGGCCCAGCCGGAGTGAAGGGAAGGCATGGCACCAAAGACCATGGGTGAGGCGTGGAAAGTGGAGGTATAAAGATCAATACCCAACAACTTGTCGATTGCCTTCAAGCCCGCAGCGTCGCCGGGGATGGAGTAGTTGGCGGGAGCGAGACCGTAGTTGTTCTCGTACCACGGAGGAGCGCAAGGGAAGATGATCTGGATAATGACGGCTGTCATATTCATATAACCAAAAGCGCGTGCCCAGATGGGCATGGTACCGGGAGGGCCCCAGATGAACATGCAGCCGCTGACCACGATGGGTGACACATAGTGGATGACACCGTAAGGAATAACAGCCAAGATATCCAAAACTGTGTGCTTGTGGGCGGAGAGGATATTGCTCAAGTTGGCACCGTACAGAATGTTTTCTAGCGCTGGGAGGACACGGACAGATATGGTGGGTCTGTACTCTGCTGGGATGTACCTGAAGGGTGTCACAAGTTAGCATGTTTGTGCAGCAGACGAGGCCAAGGGAAAGGTTCATGATGACGCATGTTGGCGGGCTGGTACAGGATCTTCAGGGAAAGGTGGGGGATACGCACTTGCAGCTGGAGAACAGGAACAGCCATGTGAGAGCGGGGAGAAAGGGCAGGAGGAACTGGCGCGATATGGGCATCATCAGGCCAGCCATGAGCATAGCGGCGGCGAAGGTCTTTGCGAAGGGGCCAGGGGCTTCGCTGACGCACAGCGAGAAGATGGCGACGATGGCGAGGATGAGGTACTGGCCATCGTATATGGACCACGGGTGGGTTCGCAGCGACCGCAGGGTATCGGCGGGGGAGAAAGAGGTTTCGAGCGAGGAGATGGACGAGGTGGGCGATTGGCGACTGCGTATGCGCGAGCGCGTGGCTCTCCATTTCCTGCGGACACGGTGGGGGATGAAGCTGGGCAGGGCGGAGAGGCCGGGGATTTTGGACTGCGACATCATCTTAGAGGGCTCTTCGAGGATGCCACCGAGGTAGCTTTGGACGGCCATTGTTGGATGGATCCTATTTGCAACGGGGTCGGGGGTGTGGAGGTGTGGTGAAAGCGAGCAGGCACAGACAGGCACACACGGGGCCACGAGGAACACGCGATCAAGGGCTGCTGGGTGGGTCGGGAGAGTTTGTCTTTGCGGGATCTTTTTTTCTTTTCTTTTTCAGAGGGCCAGCAAGCCTTGAAGGGTGAGGGAGGAGTAGTGGGATAGTGAAATGCACAGTTAAGCAAGACAGAGAAAGAGAGAAGGGAAGAGGCGGAGGGAGGCGGAATTATCAAGGCTCGCAAGGTCGTCGGGATTGGGCGGATGGGGCTTGTCAGAAGAGCAGGGGTGGGTGAAATTAGCCTTTGCAGGGGGTGGACCAGCCACACGCTTGCATGCCTGACTGACTGAACAATCCTCACTCTGTCGCCAGTCGCTGGACGATGGCACTGATTCATGCATGTTTACTTGTTACTTTTGTTTTCCTGATGTGTATATACTTGACCATGTTCAAGTATATGCATGATGGCTGTCGAGGGTCATGATTACATAGCTACCTAGGTATGTAAGTATTGTCGCAGGAGCAAATGCATTGGGGTTCCTTTGTCATGACGCACCGCATGAAGCAGCACGGCGTTATCTATTCCCCACGCATCATGACCACGCAACCACAGAAACAGACTACACGGACGCACGTCGTTGGCAAAGGCTGCTCGCGTGATACAAGTGTTGCATGGGATATATTCCTGAATCGATCGGTTACAGCGCGGTGCACGATGGACTCTGCGCGAGTGGTTTGGCCATGACATCAGTTGCTGTGGCTTCGTCGCTGCCGGCAGCGCATCAACCCAGGCGCCGAGCTCGTTAGCAGCCTCTAGCCAGCGCATCCGCCGTATTCTCTGCTTTTGCTTCTTCCAAGACATCATCACGAGCGAGAGAGGGAGAGAGGCCACCCGTCCTCAGCCTCAAACAATCCGCAGCCGCATCACATACATACGTACAACCGTCGTCGTCGTCAGTTCGTGGCGCAACGGCTTGGGTTCGAGTCGAAGCAAGCATGCGTGCTTGGTGCTGACTCACTCTCACTCTGCTTCAACGTACGAGGCACTCGCTGTGTGCAGTGAGCAGTGCATGCAGCGCAGAGCAGTGCACAAAACAAAACACACGTCCCCCTATCATCTCGCTCATCCCCCTGCTGCTCAAACATGGGTTCAAACACTCTCCACATCGCAAGCCTCACCCCCGTCTTCCCTACCCATTGCCCATCCCAACCCGATTCCAATCTCCCACCCGACCCCGTTGCTGACCCATCATCTCATCAACATCCAACCCCTCGGCACGGAGCTTGCACCCCCCCGATTACCTCCGCCCTCAATGCTGTCCGTCCGCCTGTCATCGCTCCAACTTGACCCGGACCAGGTGCTCGGACGAATCAATTCAATGTTGCCACTCTCCATCTCCAAGCTCTACAGTTGACTGTCGCCGAATCAGACGTGCCGCCCTCGTCCTTGTTTGCAGTACGCGCTAGCAATCACCACATCTACTTTCTGCAAACTGCGAGTGAATTACCAATACGAAATACGCGTATATCAGGACTCAACGCGGAACAGAATCCAATTCATTGTTCCCACCCCTTATTTCCAATCATTATGCCGCTCCCCAAGCTTGTCATACCACTCCTCTCAGGCTAATAAACCTAAACACTTCACCCTGTACCATCACACGATTCCGGCCCATCGCAATCTCTTTTGTCCCAAATTTTCTTCACTATGTTCCCTTTTCGATACTTTTTTTCTGCTCTTTTTTTTTTTTTACCCGGCCATGTCTTAATCCTACGCTTAAGCGCCGCGCCGTTTTTTGTCTTCGCCTCTTTTTCCCAATTCTTCAACTTATGGGTCCCTGGGTCTTGACTTTTGACTTTTGACTCTTGATACCATCTCCAATAATCCCGCTCCCGCTCCCACCACCGCCGCCCCCATCTCACCTCTTCCCCTTTCGCACCAAAATATCACCTCTCTCTTTCCACCAATCTTAGTCATACTGAGAACAGCTTGCTGGTTAACCGCCCGCCAAGTCTTCGCACCATTGCGCCTAAAATACCATGAAACGCTGCGCACCATCAGAAAGATGAATTCGACAACCATGCCGTGGCTGAGGGAGAGAGCAAGCTAAATTCCTCTCTCGTCTTCGCTACCTAACTAGCCGGGCTCCGGCCAGTCGCAATCCATCAGGTCAAGCTCGCGCTGCTGCCCGCTCCCCCTTGCAAACCCGGGCGCGGGTACGCTTGGTCGAAGCTGCGCATCATAAAATGGACGTTGATTAGGCCCCAAGCCGCCCATGCAAAGTCCGTACGAGGGTCCGCACACCTATTTTTTCTTCCTCTCTTTTCTTGCTATAGCGGCCCATGCCCACGCGTGCCCGCCTCGTGCATACAGAATCCACGCTTTCGCATGCACGCACCCACCGCACTGCGAATGCACGCGCGAGTCGGCACTGTGCGGTCCGCCTTCGTCCTGCGCTAATGTGTCTCCGTTGACACTGGCCGCTGTTTTGTTTCCTGTTTTCCCTCTAAACACTTGGCTTGCTCGTCATAGACTCGTCGACTATCCTGGCTTGCTTTGTGTTTGGTTTGTTTGGTTTGTCTGCCTTTCCATTGTTTTGGCTCGCAAACAGACTACTTTCCCACCGTTTCAACTTGCCAGCGGAACATGGCAGCATCTCTTGGCATGTTTTTGTGTTACGCGTTGGCAGATAGGTCTAGGTACTATGAGATATCCTCCTCTCACGTTCTACGAGTGTTGGCCGAATAAATTCATCTAGTATATCTAGTATACATGGGAACACAAGGAAAGACAACACGAGTCTTGCAATGAAGAATCAAACCTTACAACCAAGAAAAAAACCATGACCTCATCTCCTATCCTTCTTAATCCAAGAGGAATCCTCACATTCCGCAAATCCACACCATAGAAAAAGACGGTGAAGTAACGAATCAAACTAGGTAGTAGCACTTTGGTCTGCTAATTATCTACAACTAGATTGAATGAATGAATGAATGAGTGAAGGAAGGACGCATGTAGACCAACTCCGTATCAAGACGTCACACCACCCCGTCAACGAGTATAAAATAAAATAAAATAAATTACATGTTCTCTGCATTGCACAGATAAGTTTATGTATATGGACATCGCCGTTGTTGTTTAGATGGGCGTGGTTTTCGGCGCTGATGCTGGAAAGTGGATGAGGGTTGTGGGATAGAACGTAGGCGTGGTTGATATGTGCATGACAAGTGGAAAGTAAGAAAAGAAGAAGACGAACTGAATACAAGCCAAAAAATAAGATGACACAAGATTTGATGGGGAAATATATAAGATATCTCTTGTCAAAGAGAAGCGGCACCACAAAGACACATCTACAGAGACGGTACGAAGAGACAGAGGGATAGAGAGCGCCAATGGCGTCAGATATTTATGATTAAACAGGTGAGGACAGAAAGTAGAGAGGAACAGATATGTATAGTGGGTTGTATTTCCTCCTCATGCATGTGACGTGACAGTACGTATATCCATATACCCAATGTAAATGGAAACGAATCTTCCACGAAAAAAAAAAAAACTCAACACGGACTGGATCCGAAGCAAGTGTATAGAAACACACCGTATGGGACCAAAGTCTTATATGCCCTCAGCCCAAATACCATACACATATGCACAAACCATAAGCATAATTACATGAGCACGCGCCGTAACGGACGGGAGCAATAACGACGTCTGGCTCTCCCTTGCAACAATATCCACTTTCCAAAGCGATACACAGGTAAAACCATGGTTCCATGCGCCCGTTACATCGATACAAACATGCAAAAGTCTCTTTCCAGATCCAGTTGGCATGTAATCGTATGCAGATATACAGCTAGCACAGTCCCATCATACCAGTATCTCATTGGAAGCGATGACGAAGGCAGGCCAGCCAAGATAATCCACATCATCGCAAATTGCCGCACAAGCAACAGAGAAGAACAAAGCTTCTAAGGCGTATCAATCAAAGCCTCCAGGTAATCGTCCAATTCGATGATCTTGAACCGATCACCCCATTTGGCCCGGAACTTCTTGTTTCGGTATCCGCCGTTGGTCTGCTGTCTCCAGCTAACCAGCTCGATCTTCCATCCTTTCTTGAGCGCACGCTCTACATGAGCGAGGAATCCGTCCGAATGCTCGGCCTCGGCTCCATCGCCAGTCGCGAGCACCATTGTGGTTGGGACTTCGGTGTCGATGATGCTCTGACACATCTTTAGGTGTATAATTTCATCGACACCTTGCTCCACCCATCTCGGAGTGGCAGGCGCCAACGGAGCAGCATCATCAGCAGCGCCCGTTTCAGAGTCGCTGCCGCTTCCGCTACCGCGTTTGGACTTTTCGACAGCCTTTTGGAAGCCCATCTTTTCAACGTCTTTGAAGAATTTCTTCCTCTCCGAGTCTTCTCGATTGATAAGCACCTGTTCATTGATAGTGTTTTCGTAGCCCACAGCTTTCGACATTTGGTGCAACTTCGTAATGCAAGGATTCGGGCTAGCTTCCCTGTGGGAGCCAGCAAACACCCGTTTCGCTACTGGTCGACGTCGTTCCATCAACAACGCCAGGCTGTCAAAGGATATCTCGAATGGTGCAACGCGATATTTCTTCATTGCCCACTGGAATCCAATCATGATGTTTGATGCATCCACAAATACATGGAGGCCTTGGGGGACCTTTTTCTCGTTGCAGAGCTGCATTGGAGAGACAAGCCACTGCAAGTCTTCTGGGAAGTTGCCCAACAGTTGATTGAAAAAGTGAAAGTTTCGGTCTGTCTTGGGTCTAACAGTAAGTGGCCCAGCCAGCTTTCCAGGTGTGAATGGCATGCGCGTTGCCTGCGGATACACTACAGAATGCTGAGCCGGTTGCATCTGGTGTTGTGGGATAATAGGGATCTCCGATCGCGGCACCTTAGTCGGCTGTACAGTCCGCGGGATCAGGCCGTGATTCTGTATCGAAGTTTTCTGAGCTTGCGGGGTGTAATAAGTGTTCACGGAAGAACGCGGTGGAGTGGACATATGTTGAGAGGGCACCGGTAGAGGTACCGATTGGACTAGTGGAGTTGGGTTCGAAGATTTGGAAGGGAAAGACCCATTTTCGGATTGATAAGAAATAACATGCGTAGGCTGATTTGGAACGGAGGCGTTGTGAGAAAGTGCATCAACCGAAGAAGGTGCAGGTTGGGATGAAGCAAGTGGCACAAATGCAGCAGCCAGTGGATTCTGGGATAATTTGGAGAGAATGATGGGTGTGGATACGACTTGAACTGGAGTCGCCGGACGTATCTTAGCGCCGACATTCGATCGAGAAGGAGTGCGAGATTGCTGCTTCAAATCCGATTCCTTGTGTGCAAGAGCCTTTGTATTGGTCGTATTTGCAGGTACAACAAGGATCGGACGGGCTTTTTCGTCTTTTGGTGGATCTGCGGCCTTTTTCTCAAGCGGTGCAACCGGCTCCGTCTTATTCGCAAGAGCCTTTTCCAACTGCTTACGCGCTCGTCTACGTGCGCCTTTGCTGAGACCCGCCGGAATGGAATTTTCGAGGGATTTGGTCGGCGATCGGGATCTCTCTTCGTCTTCACTGAGTGCCTTGGGCGTCAACGCCGTGGGACTCTTTGTGCCATCTACAAGCCGTGCGGGTGCCTCTTTGGTTGACTTGATCTTTTTCGGTTGGGCCGGGGGTTGTACACAGTTGCCATCGCTGGAACTGCTCAGCTCAGCAGAGTCCGTTTCCACAGGGCTGATTGGAGGAACTGGAATATTTCCAACAATCCCAAGCTCGGCGAAAAGCTTCCCGAAGTTGCCCAATCGCAGGCTCTGTTGGCTTGTCTTCTCGTGGAGGATCTTTGGCGTGGGAACGGAAACTCTGAGAGCATCATTGCTACTGGACAGCCCAGGAGGATTGATGCGGGTGTCTGAGCTAATGAGGTCTAGAGCGGCGCCAAACTCCCAACCGGGGTCCGTAGGTCGTGAGGGCATCGTTGGGGATGGTTACCGCGGCGTTGACAAAGATAAAGGCGGATGTGGCTGATGCGGCTGATGCAAGTAAAAGTAGAGAAGGAGGTTAGAGGAGAGAGGAAACTTCATGGTTGTCAGTTTGTGTCTTGAGCAAGCCGTGAAAGTGAAGACTAACGGTGAATGTCTTCGCAAAGTAACCTGAATCGCTCCCACATATTCAATAAAGACGGTGTCTCAAGTGGGTGTCGTCTTCCAGGCCAATCGAGCGCAAGAAGGACTGTCAACGAAGGATAGTAGAAGATAGATGGTAGCGAAAGGTGCAGTGTAGAAGAGGAGGGTGAGGTGAGGGTGTGTAGGGTTAAAGGTAACAAACAAGAGTGGCGGTGGGGAAGGAAGGACGGAGGTAGTGTTGCTCTGAGCCTCCACGCTAGCGCGGTTTCATGGCCCGTGTGCCACTTATAGTGATGATGATTCACAGATGCAAGTGATGACTGGCCTTTGCCACCCAGATCGCATAGATGATGTTTCGACCCCGTAGACCGATCGACAATGCCTTGTGCCTTGCCCCGGCCCTCCCGCGCAATGTCTCAACATCAAGCTGGCTCTGAACAGCTTTCCGCATAACCTTTGCACAATAGACTGTGACCGACTGACGTTGGCATGGGGACGGGACGCTGGGGCTTGCCCTTTGAGAGCCTCGGATACCTAAAGTAGAGCTGCCCCACTACCCACCACGGCTATCGTACTCTACCCCTCCATAATCGAATGGCGACTATGGCGGATTACAAGCCTACAAAAATATCTCGACCATGTCCGCCGATTTTTGGGCCGGCTACGTTTCTGGAGCAGTGGGAATCTTGATTGGAAACCCGCTGGACCTAGTCAAGACGCGATTGCAGGCTGGACAGACCACTCACGCTTCATCAGCGTCTCCAGGGTCGTCTCCAGCATCGCAAAGCGTCGGACAGTCCTCAGCACCACCACCACAAAATTTCAAACAGCACTTTGATCGCGCGGGAACGCTGGTTAGGGGTGGGCTCTTCCATTGTTTTTACATGCCGTCCTTGCCAATTCCGTGGCATGTCGAGTGCGCCAGAACGCTAACAGACGTACAACCCCAGTGTAGGCAGTACAGCTCCCATCCTTGGTTACGGCGCCCTCAACGCCCTCCTCTTCGTAACGTACAATCGCGCACTCTCCCTTCTAAATGATGACCCTGCTCAACCGACTTCCTTCGGCAAAATCTGGTGTGCGGGCGCCGCAGGCGGGCTCGCCTCCTTCGTCGTTTCGGCTCCTACCGAGCTGATCAAATGTCGAGCCCAAGTGGCTACAGATCGCCATGCTAGCTCCTGGAGAATAGCAAAAGATGTATGGAGGGTGGAAGGCATACGTGGAATGTACTACGGAGGTGGAATAACCAGTGTTCGCGATGCTGTCGGCTATGGCTTCTAGTATGTCTATTCCTTTGACATGGGACGATGGTTGGAATCAGAGTTTAATTGATTGCAGTTTTTGGTCCTACGAGTGGAGCAAACAGGCTTTAGCCTCGCCTGACGATACTGGCAAACAAACTGCCATGAAGGTGCTACTCTGCGGAGGTTTGGCGGGTGTAATTACTTGGGCATCCATCTTCCCCCTCGATGTGATCAAGACGAGATTCCAGATACAAGTGCCACGTTCGACGTTGGGCCCCGTAGGAGAGAGCAGTGCGTTACTGCAACAGCACGCACGACAAAAACGATTGAGCACACTTGAGATTGCTCGAGAAGCCTACAGATCCGAGGGTGCTGGCGTCTTCTTTCGCGGGTTAGGCATATGCAGTGTTCGAGCCTTTGTCGTCAATGCAGTCCAATGGGCTGTCTACGAGTGGATGATGCAACTTTTACAGCAAGCTTGAGCGTACGAGTCGTAGGTAGCAGGAAAAAAAAGAATTAGATCATCTTGCACGACGCCAAACTTTTGGTCCCTTGCACGTTACCCCAGTTAAGTATACAAATCACCGCGACTGGGACATGTTGGAGTGTCCCGCCCTTCCATCAAGACCTATCAATCCCAAGTATTTCATTCCAGCAGGTAGCAGCTATATTCCCATGTCGCTCAATCTAGAATACAGAAGGAAATTTCTCCATTATCGCATCCATCTTCCGTCACTCAGCCGTCCTTTGCGCGGCACTATCCGCTGTAGATAGCAGTCTCGTGACAAGATGCAGCGGACGAGGAGACATGTAGTGTCCTCGAACCGACTGCCCGTGGTAATGGAAACAGATGGTCGAGTCTCGACCAAGATCAGCCTTGAGAACAAACGGAATGTCGTCTACATGATCTGATCTTGGGTAAGACCGCCAGTAGCTTCGGTACCTTCCATAGCATCCATGCTGTTTTGGTTCGAGTATTTGGCATACGCCAGACCAAGCGGTCGACCGCCATATTGATAGCCGGTGAATTTTTCTGCCGTTGTTAGATGTGTTGTATTATATAGATAAAGTACATTTAACTTACGGATAGCAGTCTCAGCATCGGGCTGGGATTCGAATTCAACGACTCCAGTGCCGCGGGAGCGGCCGTTGGGCTCGTACTGGATTTCGGCACGTTTTACGGAGCCAATTGTGGTAAAGAGCTCGACGAGGTCCTCGTTGCTGGTCGACCAGGGCAAGTTACGGACGTAGATCAGGTTACTAGGATCACCACCGGACGTTGCGAAGTCAGTAAACGGGTTAGGTGCAGCAGGCGCAGCGTTGGGATCGAATCCGGCACCACCACCAGCACCTCCACCAGGGCCGCCGCCATAGCCACCGCCTCCGCCGTAGCCTCCACGACCCCCGAATCCGCCTCCACCGTAGCCTCCGCGGCCACCGAAGCCGCCGCCACGACCTCCGAAACCACCAAAGCCACCGCGACCGCCGCCGAAACCTCCACGGAAACCTCCGGGGCCGCCTCCGGCGAAACGGTCTTCGCGAACCTCGAGGTTGCGTCCCTGCCACTCATATCCGTTGAATTGAGTGATGGCATTGCGGGCGTCTTCTGGGGTGTCGAAAGCGACGATACCGGAGCCCTTGGGGCGACCGTCTGGAGCAATGTGAACGTCGGCGCGGATTACGCTGCCAGTCACAGCAGCTTGGCGGAAAAGGTCCTTCAAATCCTGCCAACCGACATTGTATGGAAGCTAGGGCGATGTCAGCACAAATGATTTCAGAAACGCATGTAAGAATACCCACGTTGGCGACGTAAACCTGTCGAGAACCACCTGGAGGGGGACCGCCGAAATTGCCTCCGCCTGGGCCACCAAAGTGCTGACCACCACCGTACGGGCCTCCGCCATGGCCTCCACGAGAGGAGCTAGGGTTGCTGAAACGAGGCTCGGCCTCTCGGTCTTCGCGCACATAGACAAGGCGTCCCATGAGGTTCTGGTTGCTGAGACTTGTAACGGCGTTCTGAGCCTGGTCCCGCGTCGCATATTCCACGATGCCACATCCCTACACCCGAGCAAAAGCCGTCAACCTCCATCCATCTCATGAACCAACCATCAATCAATCAGACCATTACCTTTGACATTCCGTTCGGGAGCAGCAGTACGTCTGCGAATAAGACTTCGCCGGCTACGAGGGTGTTAGCCGTGCTGGAGTTTGTCGTGCGCATCGGGCGCAAGCTCACCTTGTCTCATAAAGTCTTTCAAGTGATGCCACTTGACGTCGTAGGAGAGGTTGCCCACATAGACACGGCGGTCCTGTTGGGACGAGTCGCGAATGCTTTGCATCATGGTTTCCTTGTTGGCAGAGTCGGGGCGCGCGCCTCCACGAGCTGATCCGTATGATTGATAACCTCCCGTGCCCTGCGCACCACCCGGCGAACGTGACCGACGGTCACTACGGCGATAGTCCTCTCTGCTGCGTGATCGGCTGCGAGGAGAGTACGAGCGTCTAGAGCGGCGCGGCGAGCGTGACCGACGACGGGGCGAGCGGTCGCGTTCGCGCTGGTCATAGTTGTCAGCCTCGTACGACATCTCCACGAGGATAGCGATTGACGGTGTGGGAAGAGAATGAAGGGAAGGGGAAAGTGTGGGGAAGGGAAGGGTGGGTGGACGCGAGGGAGATGGAGCGACGTGAATAGTCGAGGTCCGGGTTCGCGAGAGGGAGACAAGCGTCGGCAAGGCAAACAGGTAACGGGCTTGGCGGCAGGTTCCGAGCCGTCACGTGCCAGCCTTGAGGACTGCTGCCTGCCCAGCGAAGGATGGGGCAAAGCAAACACGGGTAATGGAAGGATTTTTTTTTCTTCGGCGGTTGGGCAAACAATTGACTGCGGTGAAGAGCAGTATGAGCGTGTTGAGAATAAGAGGAAAGAAAAAGAAGGGAGCTGATTGGTGGACAGACAAAAGAGGGAATTCAATGGAATCGTCGCCCGTGGATGAGGGCTGTGTGTATGTACGTAGGTATGTATGTATGGGAAGGACGGACAGATAGACAGATAGACAGACAACAAAGGGAAGCAGAGTGGAACTCACCGGTTGGTAGGAGGAATCCGAGACTGAACAAGGGAAGAAGGGAGGGCAAAGTCAATACCCAGGCAAGCAGGATCAATGGAACGAAGAGGTAGGAGAGGTAGGGGGAGGTCAAGAGTGCGGAGGAGTGAGTGGTTGGAAGGGGAATGGAGGCAGGAATGAGGAAGGATAGCAATAGAGAGCGGTAGGCAAGGCGAGGTCGGGTCAGGTCAGGTAAGGTAAGGTAAGGTGAGGTGAGGTGAGGCAGGCGGTAGGGAATGTGAAAGAGGGGAAGGGAAGGAGGGACGAAGGTAAGTAATGCCGGGGACACCTACCCATTTGCCAGACAGTGAATGACTGAGCAGCTGCGGCGTGAAAGCACACACTCGCTCGACCGTCTCTTACTCTGGGCCAGTGTGTCTCTCTCGGTCAACGCAGACAAACAGAACAGTCAGCGTGGGACAAGGACGTGGAGCAGACGAGCTTAGAGGCCCGCGGGGACCAGGCCAGCCGCCAGCCGCCAACCAGCCAGCCAGCAAGCCAGCAAGCCGGGCAGCTGAAACCCGCTGCAAGTGAATTTGGGCGGCCTCTTTCTGTTTGCTGGCGTGCTTGTTTTGCCTGGTTTTGCCTTGCGGTGCCGTGTGTACGTGCGTACGTGCGTGCGTATGTGCGTATGTGCTTGCTTGCTTGCTTGCTTGCTTGCTTGGATGGATGGATGGACGGATGCATCATGGATGGATGGGTGGCCGTGGAGCCAATTGGCAAGGGATGCCCTCGTCCTGCTGAGCCTACTGTACTGTATCGCTACCGGCTGCAGCTGGTCTACTGGTGGTTGACTTTACACATGCATCACCGCAAACTTGCAGTGGGTTCGTTGCAGACTGGCTGGCAGATGGGACAGGCAGGCAAATGGGACAAGCACACGATGGCCAGCGCCCACGCCCGTTGCACGCCCGTTGCACGCATCTTGGATCGCCGTACCAGTTGACGCGGTTGATGCAGCACATGGCGTGTAGGCAGTCGCTGTGGCATCGTGTCTACTATGTAGCTATGTACCAGAGAGCATCCACGCCCCTTCGTTGACGCATCCATGCATTCATTCATCGATAAATGGTCATGTACCTGGTCATAGCAATCAAAACAGGCCCCACTCTTGCGGCAGAGCAGCAACCCATGGCCGGTGCGCGCGGGACCTTGGCTGTGTTCCCCGCCCGCAGGCCCGCCTGCTTAGCTGCCACCGCCTACCTACCTAGAGACCCTACAGCGAGTGAGTACCTACATGTACCTACCAAGTATGGTATGCTGTTCTATGCTAGCTATGCTGCCAGCCCGAGCTTACCTGTGAACCTCACCTCCTGCTTCCCTCTGCCTCCCTCTACATGCACCCACTCCACAGCAATCATAGTCCCCCGCCATCAATCGCCATCCCATACACAAATCTTGCACATCTGCTCGGCAACCCTCAGCTCCCTCTCACTCAGCCTGACGCCGGCAGGGTTCCCGTCGTCAGTGTGCAACTTTCTGCGACGGGACCGCTTGCTTCTGCAGATTACACCTTCTCCGAAACCACCATTGTGCTCGGGGATTGGCTGCCGCTCTAATAACAGAAATTTCACGGTGCAGCTTGACTCTCCCAATTGGGTATTTTCGGCATCCCCCATCAACCCGCCTGCCCCCTCGCACCGGCACCTTGGTTGTGTCAATGGACCGAAGCATTCGGAGCCTGCTTCATTGCCCTTTTTGCATCCTGCCATGGGAAAAGAAAAAATCCCTCGACTGCGACCTCTCTCCGTGCCCCTCTCTCTTTCTCTCCTCTGCCTCTCACAACTCTTCCCCGCCTCCGTTGAATTTCGTTTCTGCGCCGCCAGCTAACGACGCAAGAGGCATACAATACGCAGTCGAGTACTCACACCATGTGCTCTGGCGACATGGGAAGACGCGTTCTCAGTACCGACCCACTCCTGCAGCTAACAGGACGACGCACCTGAATGAACCCTTGGCAATGCCTTCAACATCGCCGATGCCCAATTGAGTATCACTCCTACATGGACATGCTCGGTCCGCCTCCCAACCATCGTTGCCCGCTCGGCCCAGCCTGGCTATAGTTCTGTTGCACTGCCGCCCATTCATGACACTGCAGCTTGTCCCTCTGCCGTCGGTACAAAAGGGTTGGCTTTGCTATCCTCCACAGAGCTGCTTGTAGACCCTGCCCGCTATAGCAGCCAGCTTGTTGAGTGTCCTCCGGCTGCTAATTCCATGTTGAACGTGCTGTGTATCCTTGTTTGTTAGCTCATAGGGTATTTAGCCATGTTGTTCCATGTGGGTCTCGTCCCTCCATGTACTGATAAATGTAGTAACTGGAGGGTTCCATTTCTGCCGTTCCAAGTACATGTGCATCAGATCCGGTGCTATCACTTCTCTCCAGCGAATTTCGCTCCGCTTGCACACCGAAATTTCCCTGCTATTTCACACTACACTGAACTCGGTTCCTGCTTTCCATTGCTGACGGAGCGTTCCCTGGAATTGTCAGCGCGGAGTAATTACTCCAGCTACTCTTTCCACGGGGCTGTCACACCGTTTTCCTCTTATCGTGCCGATCAATGCCTGTCGGAATCGTATCGGTCGTAAGTGAAAAAACCCCATGGCCGAGAACAATCGGTATTGTCAGCTCAGCATTGAATGTCGTCGGCCGAATCTGTTCTTTTCTTTTCTTGTTTTTGTTCAGGCAGCAATCTCTTGCAAATGGAGAACTTTAGTGAAGCCCAACAATCAAATTGGAACGAATAGGTACAACCAGAGAAAAGCAGTGGAATGGCTTGTTCTCAATTGCTTTTAACGAATCCAATCTGGAGCTGTTTTTCGACCAAATGCCTTATCTAACATCTTGCATCTTAGCCACGTACCTAACATTCAAACAAGAATGATGCACAGTGCCATCTCATTAACACATCCGCATAACTTAACAAACTGGAAGAGCAATCATGACGCAGCACTGTTCTGCATCTGATCGGAGTACGGCATCATCAAGTGGTACGGGGTTGGTAGGTAGATGCCATCTGGAGAGAGCCTAGCGAGCTGGAACACCTACTCGGCTATCTTAGCACAGCGAGAACCCTCAAAATCACCTCTGAGGTCCAGATACTCAAAGGATTGTCTGGAAAATTATCTTATTCGTCATCTTCCCTGTCTTTCTTTCTTCTTATTCTTCACTTTCACTTTACTTCGGCGAGATTATGTCATACATACCTAGGTACACGTACAAAGTATTTGCCACCTCCAAAGAACATCAAAACTTTGCATCCACATGCATCTCAGTTAAGACACGTCACGCCATCTACCGGGTGCTGCATCATTCATAAGGAAGAGTGAAGTACGACAGCCAATTCACCATCTCACGATCATAACGCTGCCTACTACACTTGGACCACCGTGTCGCTCGAACACGCTTGTATCCTTCTGACTCGACTAGCATGTTGACCTCCGTAAAGTGAGAACTGATGGATGTTTCATTCGCCCAAACCCACGTACAGTACAGGTATCCAAGCTATCGACCTCTTTTCGCTATCGCCATGCTTGGAGGCTCGCGGTGCATACATGTATCCGCATGATCAGCGTCGCTATTACTCACATACATACTAACGCCGGAAAACCATTCTACTTCGGATCGCCATCGAGCCACTCAGTAATCTCTTTACCGGAACTTTCATGGTGTTTCTCAGGTTTTGAGCTCCAGACCCACAAATATCAAATCAGCAAGGGGATATCCGAATTTTCTCCTTGAGGCTGTCGAGCGCTATTCCCAATCCGCCAACTAGTTGCATCATATGCCTGGAACGCCTAGTTTAAAATAACGATTCCGAGCGATCTCCGTAAAATGGATGTTATGTTCACAGTCATGAGCATGTTCGATAAGAGATTTTTTTTTGATGGGGCTCGCACGAGGCAACCAGAATTCCAACTATATATACCCCAGAAGATATGGGTCGACGCGTTTTGCAACTGCGGAATCCGCTCGTCTTCCTAGTACTCAGGGACAACCTTTTACTTCTGGAGTCTACCATCTGAAAACACGCTTCTTCCTTTTGGCCAGAGCGCCTTCGAGTACCGGACACTTATCAAAATGACGGCACCTACGCATACCCAGCAGTCCGCTGCCAGCTCCACTGATACCCTTCAAGATTCCCACCCAAAGCCCGTCTTCCGATCCATCACCCACGACCCAGTGCCGTCTCCTGATGGCGCCGATGTCGTCAATCTTCCATATCGAACCCTTACCGCCGATGCCCCCCTCGAAGAGTATACCCAGGAAACCACCACGGGGCAAATCCTTCGCGAGGTGCGCTCGAATCAGACCGGGAAGATGGAACGATATGAACTTGTTACATGGAAAATCGACGACCCCGAGAATCCCAAAAATTGGAGCAAAGCCTTCAAGTGGTGGTGCACCATGTGCGTTGCGCTTGTATGCTTTGTAGTGGCGTTCAACTCTGCGGTCATCACCGCTGACATCGAGGGAGTAGCCGGGGAGTTTAATGTCAGTGAGGAGGTTGCACTGCTCACCATCACCTTGTTCGTTGTTGGATTCGGTGTGGGCCCGATGCTGTTCGCGCCCTTGAGTGAAATCCTTGGGAGAAGAATTATCTACGGCTCTACACTTTTCTTGGCTGTTATCTTCACTATCCCTGGGGCCGTGGCCAAGAACATCGCCACTCTGTTGGTGACCCGAGCTATCGCTGGTATTGCGTTCTCCGCACCAATGACTCTCGTCGGGGGCACACTCGCAGACTTGTGGAAGAATGAGGAACGAGGTGTTCCCATGGCAGCATTCAGTGCTGCTCCCTTCATAGGTCCTGCCGTTGGCCCCCTAGTTGGTGGCTTTCTTTCAGATGCTACAGGTTGGAGATGGCTATACTGGATTCAGCTTATCGTCTCTGCAGTTGCTTGGGCGCTCATTACCTTCACTGTACCTGAGACCTACACACCGACACTACTTGGCACAAGGGCAAAGAAGATGAGGAAAGAAACTGGGGACGACAAGTACGTCACAGAGGAAGATATCGACAAGCGCCCTATGGCTCAGCGTCTTCGCGTTTTCCTACTACGACCATTTCAACTACTGTTCCAGGAGCTCATTGTATTCTTCATCTCCGTCTACATGTCGGTTTTGTACGGATTATTGTACATGTTTTTCGTGGCGTAAGTATTATGCAAATTACGATAAGCGAAGACGGTAGCTAAACAAGCATTAGATTCCCAATCGTATACCAGAAGGGCAAAGGCTACAGTGCCAGTTCGACTGGTCTAATGTTCATCCCCCTAATGATCGGTGTCCTGCTTAGTGCAGCCTGCTCCCCTCTCGTCAACAAGCATTACCTCACGCTCGTTCAAAAGCACAACGGCAAGCCGCCTGCGGAAGCTCGACTGATCCCCATGATGATCTCATGCTGGTTCATTCCCCTCGGCCTTTTCATCTTCGCCTGGACGTCTTATCCTCGCCTCCACTGGATCGGCCCTGCCATTGGGGGTTTCCCAGTAGGCTTTGGCTTCATATTTTTATATAATAGGTGAGCCTTTTTGTCCTCGCCTACTTTTGTCACCTTGTTTATCTGCCTTTTTGAGTGTAGCAAACACTGTAACTTCCAATCAAAAAAACTAACTTATATAATGATAGCGCAAACAACTATTTGGTTGACTCATACCAGCATCAGGCTGCGTCGGCGTTAGCTGCTAAGACGTTCTTGCGCTCCTTTTGGGGTGCCGCTGTTGTGCTGTTCACGAACCAGATGTATGATCGTTTAGGATACCAGTGGGCGAGTACGCTACTTGCTTTTATCGGTCTTGCATGCTGTGGAATTCCATTTGTGTTTTATTTCAAGGGAGCGGCGATTCGCAAGCATTCGCATTTTGCCTACAGTGCGGATGAAGAGAATGAGGGAGGAAAGAAGGAGGTGTCGTGAGTCACCAGGGAAGGCTGATGGCAGCTATCTTATGATTTTCAAATATCTCGATGGGAATAGCAAAGTAAAAAATAGTCGTAATGATACCAAAAATTGATATCCAAGATTCTACCGGTTTGTCTAGCATTGCCGGCTCAATTGATGTGCACACGATCTGTAAGTTTATTTGGAGGGACGGACTTTGAGTACACAGAGGGGAAGAAAGCCAAACATATCATGAATATTTGCTAGGCTTTCAGAGTGACACAAGTTATAGGAGTTCAGAGTAGCATTTGTTTAAAACCAATTCATTCCATGTTAAAGCGATTTTGGATCCCATGTCATGTACAATCAGATGAACGGAGTCCTACTTTTCACTCAGTAGAGGAGCAAGATTCCTAGATTAGCGTGCATGAGCAATTCACCCGTATGGCAACGTGAACTAAGCCAATGATAGAAGTTCTGCCAATACATGCCGCCAAGCAAGTCGAACAACCCTGTCATATGGGCCCCACTTGTCCATCCTTCCCTTCTCCAACCGTCGACTAGTTGCTACGACGCTAACGCCAGCGCTTCACTCTTCCTACATCACTCTCTGAGTCGATGGTATACCTTTGCGCGCCATGGATGAAGGGACGACGAACCAGCAGCCACACGCGACTGGAAATTACGGGCAAGAGACGCCCGCCCGCGCTGACATCGACGAGATACTGAGAAGGAAACGAAAAGCGCGCGAGTACAAGGTACGAGCTCACCGTCACGCCTCGCCCAGGTCTCCCAACAGACAATTGACCAGGGCACGAGAAGCTTCTGAGGCGCATGGCTGACATTGGGTATAGGCCTGCTATCCATGCCGCCAGCGCAAAGTGAAATGCGATCAAGCAGTGCCGTGCAAAACATGCGTCGTCCGAGAGCATCCGGAACTATGCACCTATCACCCACCGACCGAGTCGCATCCACCAGCAAAGCGTGTAAGCATGGGGCTTGGACAGAACGGGACCGCGGACTTTTCGAACGGAATGGTTCATATCCATGGCGGGACAGTCACGCTGCCGCGCGAGGTACGGTTGTCACCTCTCATTCGATACGAGGGGGGGTTTGACTGACGGAATCAGGACTGGGAGCGCATATGCGCAAAACTGCAGACAGCAGAGAAGTCTTTAGCTGAGCTGAAGAACTCGATTAGCAGCGTATCTGAGGTGTCCCCAAACGCCCCGCCCAATGGTTATTCGCCTGCAACCGCCGGAAATACGCCTCTGGCAGCGCCAGCTGGAATCGATAGCGAAACAAACCACGTACGAACACAAGGAATTCACACATACAACGACTTCACCGGTCAAACTATTCATGTGGGGCCCAGTTCAGTACCAGCTCTAGTCATGGCGCTTGGAAGAGGAGATAGTCAGTGGCCAGGGATACAGGATGTGCTGGGTAAGAAGAGCATGCTGCCCATTTTTGGTCTAGACAACGAGTCTGCGACGTATCCATTTGTCGACCTGTGGGGTTTGCCGCATGGCTCCATCCAGCGTGCGACTGAGTTAGCGAATGCTTTGCCAAACGATACAGAGTGTTTGAGTTTCTTCCGCTGCTATAGGGAAACGGCACACGTAGTATACCCTGCTGCTCCCGACATTGAAAGCATCGAATCCGATCTACTTCTTTTCCTTATAAATCGAGCCAGTTCACAGGGCAGTAACGGAGTGACGGATCAGCAAATACACGGCAAAGACTTTCATTGGATTGGACTTGTGTTTGCAATTCTTGCGTCAGGCTGCCAATGTTCCACGTTACCCAGAAAGGAACGTGAGCTCACATCGCAGGTCTATATTTGCTGCAGCTTCGAGTGTCTTCGTTTTACCAATTTCCTTTCGCATGCGACTCTGGAGAACATCCAGACACTTTTAATCCTCGGCAATGTTATCGGCAACAATATGAACGCCGGTGTCTCATGGAGTTTGATGGGCCTCACTGTCCGTCTCTCACAAACACTTGGGTTGCATCGAATGTGCCCTCCTTCTACACCTGCACCGCAAAAAATTGTTCGAAGCAAAGTATGGTGGGCTTTACTCTGGCAGGATTCACTACTGTCTATCTCGTACGATAGAGCTTCTTCGACAACTACTATCGACCACACAGTCCCCTTCAACCCAACTACTTCGCCCGGGACAAGATCGTATGTCGAGAGCATGTATCGCCTCTGTAAAGTGGGACTTGACATCGTGCGCGAACGCCAACGCCCGCAAAATTCACACGATGCACTGATACGTATTACCGAGCACCGGAATGAACTTCAAGAGATCATGGTTGATGCAGCGGATTATCTAAAAGATTCGAGAAGATGCCGATCCATGCGAGATCAGCTTGAACACTGGGCACTTTACCTTCACATCTCATACGTCACCTCCGAACTCTGCAGGCCTGCCATTAGCCCAAGTGCCAAAGGTTTCGATCTTTCAAAAACATTGCGGAAGACCTGCATTGACAGTCTCACAAATACAGTCGAGGCGTTTCTGGGTCTGCAAAACATGACGGTATTCGCAACCCGCTCCTGGGCTTCAGTTCATCGCTCCCTCAGCTCAGCACTGTTGCTAGGGATATTGGGCGAACACACTCGCAATGAGCGAGCACGGTCGCTTCTCACCAATCTAATTCAGGTCCTCACTGATGTCACGGCAAATGTAGACCCAGCAGAGCTCGCTGCACCAATCTCACGCTCTGTCTCTGCACTGCAGCGGCTGCTTAACCTTCCCTTTACGTCCCAACGGAAAGCTAGTGAATCCGGATCGCAATCTTCGCCGTCTTTGACTACTTTCACAGCGGATGAACTTAATGGCGTTCTTAATGCGGACGGAGGCTCATTGACGCAGTCGCCGTTGTTGAATCTCGATCTTGATTCTTCCCCTTACGCGCTTATGGAGTCAATCGTTTGGGGTGCCCAGAAAACACCTTGAAAATATCTTCCTTCTCTTCATTAGATAGTGCGATGTCGCCAACCTTGGCCAAACCCCCACTCGACCAGTTCGGATTAATCAGGATTTAGTATCTTATGGAACATCTCACGAGGAGGCCAACGTCGGAAGGAACATGAGACTGAACACGATACCCTATCAACATACTCTATGTTTTCTACAGTTTGGTTTGCTATGCATACCCCGAGGTCCAAAATTACCCAACTTGACCAATAGCCGATGGCCGATGACAGCCTTCTCCATGGACCTCATACACCTGAAAACATCCGGTGGCCAGCGTACCACATCAAGTCACGGGATTTTCAAAACACTGCTCTCTATTGGCCCATATGTTCCACGAGCAATTTTTTCAAGCAAACCCGTGGTTTACCTTCACGGTTAGCAAATGCACAAGAGATATAGCAATCTGGGTGGATATTGGACTATTATGCGTGCGTTCAGTGCCAGAACACTTGATGTGGGCTGTTAGAGCATCGAGCCCTTTCTAATCATTTGTGGGCATGAAGAACATGCAAAAAAATGACACCTTACTGGAACAGCCGGGGCTCTCTCTTCCCTTATAAAAGAAGATTAAGGCGCTAGTCGTGGCTTCTCCGGGTCGAGAAGAAGTTGGTCGATATATTTTCCATTACTAGATTGCGCACCAATAGTTAGTTTTGGTAACATGGTCGGAAGCCTCGTAGTGTCAGCCTTGATTTGATATTGCTCAACATCTTTGTTTGCAACGCTGCCCGTCGCGTGGTCCCCGCATTTCACATATAAACGCTTGCACTCGCCTGGGAGAATTCTACCACCTTTCGCTCATCATCACTTAGCTTTTTTCTCACCCGTTTCGACGTGATACACCCGGTCTTACTTTTCCATAATCGTCCCCAGGGTGTTGAGGCATGCAGAGGCCACACGATACCCAGTTTCTGAGTGAGGCCCTCAGCTCAGTCGAGCCGGGCCTCATCTATCCTGAAGCCAAACGCCAATACGAGGCGCTCGTGCAAGCTTCCCGCAGCGAGAGCGATGGCCCCATTATCAGCGTCTCCGACACGAATAGCTGCCTGTGGGAGGATGCGGTATTTCGCTTACCATCGTCTTGGAAGATGCACTTGCAGACAATATGCTTTGCGTACAAGACGAAGCAGAAGGTTATGCACTACCTCCATCTCCTAGGGAACCGATTCCGATGGGCACCGCCCTTGTTAGGGTTCGTGCGCAAGCACGGGTTGGACTCTGCCTTTGACAAAGCTACAGACAGTGGTGAATTCAAGCCGTGCCGAGAGGTATGTGAACTTTGCCATGCCCCAAATTTAATCAATCCAGAAACTGATATATCGAGCAAGTTCCAATACTTCATACGCGTCCAGCAACGCGGACTCAAAATCAGCACCCGCGACTCTCCAACCCAGCCAAACCACGCCCTCCCCGCAAAATCAATCTTCATCATCCCGACTCTCCCCCTCGCCAACCCCACCGCCTTCTTCTCCTGCCTCGGTACCCAAGGTTCCATAGCATCCCTATGCAACACCCAAGCCCTCCTTACATTCCCCGCCGCCATGCTCCTAGATATGGAACCCAGAATCAAACACGACCTCCGCAACAACCCCCCGCTCTTCCACCCTCCCTTCAACACCACCATCGGACACAACCACCCCTACAACCCCCAGAAAAAAGAATGGGACGCGCTCTTCGAGCACCTCCTCAAAGGCAATTTCCCGCTCCTAAAGAAGGAAGGCGGCGCCATCGAGCGCGAGCGCGATGGGTACGGGCTCGTGGATCTGAGTATCTGGTGTGCAGGCTGGATCAGCGAGCGCGGCAAAACAGGAACGTCGGAGGAAGGGAAAGCCGAGCGCGTTCGTCTGCGTGCGTCCAAGGATGAACAGAAATTGAAGGACGCTACTACTGGGTTCCAGAAATGGCTTGTTAGTCAGTTTGGGGTTGCTCGCGAGATGGGAAGGAGTGCTGGTGCTTCTTCTAGTAGCTCTGCTGCTCTTGTGGATAATGAGGCTTCGCGTCAGGCGGGTGGAGGTGCTGGGTCTTCAGCTGGAAGCGACAGGTCCTCTGATGGTTATCCTGGAATATCTGGTGGAAGTGCAAGCTCCTCTACCGGAAGTACTGCCCTTTCTCATGAAAGCGCTTCGCCTTCCTTCGGGAAAAACACGGATATCACAGCTCGTGATACTCCGAGGAGACCTAGGTCCACGAGCCGCAGAGACAGACGAAGGAGCAGTCTAATTGAGGGTGTGGATGAGGTCATTGCCGAGGGGGCCACCGATACCATTCCTTTCCGGCTCGGGCGCGGAAGCGCGACCAAGGAGAGCCGTGAGGATGCCTGACCGTCTTTTATCGCTTCTTGATGGTTTGGTATACTCCGCTTGGAAAGTTCTTGCGCAGAGTAGTATATGGAACAGGTGCGTTTGGATGGTTCGGACGGGCGTGTTGAGATGTTGTAAAAGATAAACTGTATCTTCACTCTGTTTTTTTTTCCCCTCGGGGAAAGGCAAGGCCTGCGAGGGTATCTTTCGTTGTGGTGTTTTTTATCCATTTTTTTGAGTGTAGGAAACCCTGTAACTTCCAATCAACAAAAAACTCTTAAAAACTTAACCCTTGTATGAAAACTATCGTAATATCAACTCTCTCTCTCTCTCTCTCTCTCCACCTATGATATCTATCAACATCGATTACCCGCTCGCTGCGTAGTTACTTCGCCTTCCCCGCTTGTATTATAAACTGTGAGAAAGCTTCCGTGTTATTGCTCTTCTCGTAGTAAATTGTAAGTGGGGATTTGGGTGATCCTATACACAGTGATAGTTAACAGCAATAGAGCAACCAAGAAAACCCTCCATATACGGAGCGTGTCTCTTTTGTATACACGGGATGATGTTTCATGATAGAAATTCTCCAAATATGCGTAGTGATATGAAGAAGAAGAAAAGAACTCGAGAAGTTATCTGTTTTTCAATCATAAACCTGTATGTGTGAGACTTTTCATTACGCCACAGGAGAACCCTTCGCAATAGACCTCAAAGACACACTCTTAACCACGTCTTATCCACCTAAGCATAACGCTCATATGATCCTACCCTCGTATACAGACACAGAACAGATTATTCCCTCCATGTAACTGCTTATATTTCCGTCAACTTCTCTGTTGTCGTTATCCCGAAGCTCACCGCGATGCACTTTAGCGCTTTCCTTATATTAACGCCCCCAATCCTTCCTTCTGAATCCTTCCAATCCTCCAAAACCAAAAATCCTCCTTTTTTCCTCGTCACCCTGCGTACGCCCCATCGTTTATAAATCCTCGATTAAAAAAAATGCTCCGAAGACATCGCAAAGCGAGCATTGCATTCGCCTACCTTAATGTCTGTCTCCCTCCCCCCCTCTTTCTCTCCTTTCTCAACAATACGACAAGAATAAATCTCATGCCGAGTCAGTACATTACATCAGCAAGCAAGCAAAGTCAGTCAGTCTCACGCGTATGTAGGATTCGATGCTACGCCGTGCCCTAACCCCCCAAGAAACGTGGCCAACGTGGCGGCATTAGAATTTATTATTAACCACTTGGCCTTGGGACTTGCTTTCGGGGGCGGTTACGCCCCAGATGTACGTCCGGAGACGGGTTATGTATGTAGGTGGGGTAAGTGAGGCGCAGGATACTCCTTTGTCTCAATGTCATTTTCTTTTATTTTGTTATTTTAGTTTTTGGTATGTGGGTTTGTTAAGCTTGGTAGGTTTGGGATTGAGGGTTGTGCGGGGAGGGGGGCTTAGTGATTTTTGGGGGGAAGGGAAGGGTGAGAGAGGTGGAGATTGATGTACTTTGTTGTGTACGAAAATAGAATGCGGGTTTTGGCCTCTTTTTTAGGGGGATTGGGAGAAAGCTACGCTGCTTGTAGTTTATTGCTCTAAAAGGGCTTGTGGTCGTTGTCCATACGAGATACATTGAAATGGTGTGCTTACTCGAACGTTTGAGATGATCAAATGGAGGTAGAAAATGAGATAGTCCTGGCAATCTGGAATCTAACGCGAGGCGATGCGCTGCGTATGTAAGCTTAGTATAAGTACATACGATGGTGGCTGGCTGCTCCCTTGATCTGATATGCGTATCCTGATTCCTCATCGTTCCGAGTTCATGGGATAGTTCTTTTGAGTTTTTATTTCTTCTTTTGTGTTGGCGAGGCTCTGGGAATATCTATTCCTTTCTTGCTTCACGGTTGCCACGAGCTGTAGGATCTTGCATACTTGTCATCATACGATTCATTCCGTAAGAATAGATGTCAGCATGCTAACGAGATTTCGCTACATTCTATGGTGACAGCAAAAATAGACTCTTGTGTACCCACATACTTGCCGACGATACGCGCAGGGTAAGCACACAGGCAAATGAATCCCGCTAGATCGAAAGTGCGGTTTCTGAGCTTTCGCTGCGTTCCCACTTTGTGTGACGGCAATCGCATTGGCGATGCGAGAAAAAAAAAGAGCGAGAAGAGTGCAGGCTGCCGCTATCTCACATACGGATGGTATGCAGTCTTGTAGTACAAATAATCCCAAAACGAAACATCGACCAGGGAAGCACTCAGCGCTGACCAAAAAACCCTCTCTGGCTTCCCCAAAGTTTGGGGTCTAACCTAAGCCACACGTTGATGCCCGTCTAGTATGCATACATTGACGCATAATACAAGATATGATGTTATACTGCCGACGTGTGAGAGTGCAGGCGAGGCAAGCAGCAGCAGCAGCATGTAGGCCTAAGTGATAATGTAATATGAAGGCGTCGAAGCACTGTGCGAGCTGGGGCGGGAAAAAGTATGTGTGGGAGATTACAACCGTTTACCCTTCGCGTACGAAAAAAAAAAAGAACCCTGATCACCAGCTTTTCCCGATCACCGAAACTCCCCAGCTGGGTCTGGGTCAGCAAGTTCTCGGCCCCACCCGCATCGAACGCGTGTAAGCGGTCTTTTTTGGATTAGACTTTACGAGCGCGGGGGGGACAGACTAGAGGTGCAGACGAAGGATTCAGGTTTGGGGACGAGTCTAAGAGAAAATAGGGAATAGGTGCGTAGGGGCGGAGTTCGGTTGGATGTTGGGATGTGGTTTTAAGCTCAAGCTTTCAAAGAAGTGTATAGGAAGGTTAGAGGGGGGATTGATTGATGTGACATATGTCAAAGTGTTGCTTGTGTGACTAGAGCGTTTTGGCGCCGTGTCTACGGGGAACAGAGTAAGACAGGAAGGGTGCTGAGATGGATTTAGGTGCGGCGGAGGTGTTGCAAGATGCAGATATGGATGGAAGGGTTAGAAGAGACACGGCGTACAAGGCTACATGCCTACCTTGTAACATGCTTGTGTAACGTCTGCACCAAATGTCACTAGGCGCTGGCTGTCAATAGTTCATCCAAGTGGCGGAAAGAAGATTGTTGCCCTCAATATTGGAAGAGGGTAGTGGATGTCTTGTCTTGTTTCCTTCTCGTGCGGAGTCTCGCAAAACTCGCAGATGCGAGATACAACCCGTATACGGATGTGAGACAGGTAGATCCGATTCATCACGGCGTTATTGACCCATGACAGGAGGACGTATTAATCGCGTGTTTCTGCTGATTCAATTATGCTTCCTTTCTCTTGGCTATGCTGTGCCAGAGGACATGTTCGCATCCATTGGTGGCACATACAGAATATGTTTGCCTTGGGGCGGGCTTCTTGCAGGCAATGCGACATGGAGCAGGTCGCTTTGCCAGGTCGTGTGTAGGAACGAAAGACGTTGTAGGGGCCGGGCGACAGATGCCCGATTCCCATATTAAGCTGCAAGGATCAATGGTGCGACTTTCCTGATGCGGTCAATCATGGAGTAGACAGTGTTTGAGCATGTGAATAGAATGGATTGGCACTGAGCAGATCAACGTATGATGCCTTTGTTGAAACTCGGCCCGTGAAACTGCAAATCGTGTCTCAATGTATGAAGATTAGGAGTTGATTACACATCAACGTATGCATTTGTTTTGGGTTGACTGATTGACTGACTGATTGTACCAGCAGCTTAGTAGAACGTTCAGGTAATACCCGGAGTTGGGTGACAAGCAGACGGATAAGGTTCTGAGATAAGCTGCTTGCCTTCCTGCAAGGCTAATACGGCGTATGCTAGCCTAGGCCTTGCACATAGTAGGCAATGTAGGGAAAAGTACGATGAGTGACGAAGAGAACATTGCGGACCCCCGTGAAACGCTTGGTCTTGTGTAATCTCTGGAAGGGAAGTGCCAAGAGATGATCCTCGTCTCATTACTGAATCGTTCTGTAGCGTATCGCATGATTCACGGCAATGGTAATGCTTGGTAACATTAAACATACGACAGCTACATGCCGGGGCTTGGTAGCGAAGATGCATTGTTCATTAGTGATGCGCTCGCAAACCCGGTTTCCGTGGACAGCGGGTTCGGTTTTCATCTAGGTCGTACTGAGGGCAATCAAAAATGAATTGCGAAGGGGGGGTAAAATCGGTTGGATCGTGGGGCGAGCAAAAGGGCAAGGGTACCGGGAGCATCGGGAAGTGTCAGTTGCTTGAATGCTTGGCCTACCTTAAAATCGTTTCTTGGTTTCCGTAGGATCACGAGGGTGGGCGTGGCGCAAATCTAGATGTCTTCGGGCGTGGGCTTCTTTGTTGGATACGGAGGGTTTGGCGAGACTCGTATCCGGCTATCCAATTCCTTTTTATGATAGGAAACAAGGAAGCACTGCATGCTGAGGGAGGAGGGACCTGAGGGACAAGGGCTGGCTGCAACAACACTGCACTGCAGCGCAGCGAGGGTTGATTGAGTGGATAGGAGTGTCGGAGTCAGACCCAGACTCAGCATTAGCTAGCGATGATTCCGTTCAGCGCTGAGATCAGGACAACATGCCAGGGCTTGGCATTACTTGGCCGACGTGAAAACTTACGAAAGCGCTGCTCAATCAAGCATGTGGCGTCTCGTGGCTTGCTGTGCCGGCACCGACTGGTCCGCTAAGCGAAACAGCGGGTCAGATTTTATGCTTAACTGTCTTTAACCTTATCTGTATGGGACCTCAAAATTCGGGCTGATCATTCGCACCAAGCTCTACCCGCATCGTCGCCAACTTGGCCAGTCAACTGTACAAATCCGTCTGCAAGTCGGTGTGACTGGCGCCTTGTGTCCTTGTACACCGTCTCGCGCGTCGTAGCAAACAAGACTGCCCAGCTGTAGTGGAGCTTGACGATAAGACGGCAGATCCAGAGGTCCCACGCTTACGTGGCTAGGCTCCAAGCAATCCGTCCTATTGACAAGGCGCTCCGTGGCGCGAGCCTTGGCCCGTGTCGAAACATAATCCGCGTTTGCGGCTTGGCTTTGCTTGTGTGTGTCTGGCTGCGGCAAGCTGAGACGACGCCAGCTCGCCTGATGGCATTGGCAAAGTCTGTGTATTTTGGAAGACCCAGGCAGGTACTTTCTAGTGTTGTAGGAATACAGCGAGTGCGATTGATCCCCCAGCATCTCCTCGCGCTGATAAGCAGGATACCATCGGCGTATTATATGTGATGGGAATGGTCCAGTTGAGTCCCAACTGTACCCCACCGCCTGGTGAGATACCCCAGGCGAAACAGAAGAAACGACGACACTCTACCAGCCACAGCGCGTGGATAGAGTGGGTACGCTCGACTCTGCCAATGCTTCAGCATCCGTCTATGCGGTTGCAAAGAGTAAGCCCAGCAAACAGTGGCCTAGCACCCAGCGGATTGCGTCACAGGGGCTACCAATCGTGATTCCCTGAGTGTTTGCATCACGATATCGCTTCGTACGGGGACAATTATTTTGCCACATTGACATGATCAAGCCAGAATGTTCAGGTGTTTCCGTCAGTGTGGGAGCCAGAGCGAGCTGTCGTGGAGCGCACATAAGCTTAAAACTGCAAATGGAACCAAGCTTATCACCCAGACCCTAGTTCTCGTATAAGAGACTACATCAGGTGGAGCCGAGCGAGTTTTGTCGCTATTTTCCCAGGAAATCGCTGAATTGCGCCCGGGCTTGTGATTGGGTTTACGGATCCCACGCCGTGCAATAGCGTTGCTATAATACGCACTCCTCCTATCCGCTAACAAAAATCTTTCTCTCGCGCGAAGCCAGCCACTACGCTGGCTGGCTGGGGTAAGCGATGACATGATGTTTTGCCAACATACGAAGTGAGCGCCGCTCGCTATTTTTGACCACTTTCAAAGGATGAGAGATTGAATGACAAGGTCAGCAATGAGCGTGCCGAGAAAGACAATCTGGAGAGGACGGAGCAAAGGTGCCGTAGTACGTTCCTAGGCCAGAAATGACATTCCATCATGGGCCGCCGGGGCTTGGATACCAAGCAAGCCAGGGCTTGTCGTGGGAATGCTGATGGAAATCCAATCCCCCGCCGGACAGAGATCTTGGCCTCGCGGCGGACTAGGCATGCCAATGGCTGTCACGGTGCAAAAGGGTCTTGGGGCGCTCTGGACAGCGGAACTGGGCAATGGCAATGTGGCCCCAAAACAAGAGCCTCGTAATGAGCCTGCTTGACTTGACTTGTTTTGGCGTTGTGCCACGCCATGCCATGCTATGATGCCGTGCTGTGCCGTTCTGCTTCGCCCTTGTGTGACTGTGTGCGGCGAGGGCCAACGGGCTCCACGCCTCAGGTCAGACAGACACAGGAGTACATGCACTTGTACTGCTTAGTCGTTGCGCGCGCCCTGCATCAGTGTCCGAATCGGTGTCGGTGAGCAATCTCTGGCCCTTTTTCTCTTGGACTCGTATCCAGGTCCTCCTCTGTGGTGCTGTGATGGGGACGGATAGGCAGGGGTAGCGCTGGTGGTGGTGGACAGAGTTAGCATTAAAACGGCGTTTAAATAAAGCTTGTCCCGACAGCTTGATGACCTTATTTTGCCGTCGGCGCCACACCAAGGCCCTCGGCGGCGATCAGATACAGTCTTTATGATCAGGCGCGCGCCCAGAAGCCAAAGACATTCCTGTGCCAAACACGCCAGAATACTACAAGAGCTTGCCGGCGCACGTCAGGAGCAGCTTTTGGCTTCTTTTGCATTCCCACTACCTTCCCCCGCCCACACCTACCTCTTACCTGTGAACCAATCTGAGCAGCCACATTGACACCGCCAATCGTCCATTGCTGCCTGCCTGTCTCTTCAACACACAAACACACACACACCGGCCTCCATCTGCTCACAGTCTTTGACGTCGCCTGTCTATTCGACTCACCGACCGACATTGACATTCTCTTATACCGCCCCGGCCCGGCCCCTCCTTTGCTGCCTGTTTGCCTCGACCACACAGCAGAACACAACAGCATTGTCGCGCTGATCGGTCGACCACTACTACTCATTGCATCCAAAGCTACTCTCCGTAAGTTTCTGTCTTTCCACACTCTCGCTTCATCCGTTGCTCGGCCCGTCTCCCATCTGCCTTCATTGTTTGGTTCGACACATACGGATCCCAAAACTTTGATCGCCCCTTGTTCGCACCAAAAGTCGCATCTGGTCTTCGCATCCTCTGCTGCTGGTATGGACTGCGGACTTTGGCGAGGCTGTCACCCTCACCCCTGATGCCCTCTTCTTCCCCATCCTATCTCTGCAGCCTTTGCACGGACTCGGACACAGACCGGGGCACGGGGCACAGCCCTCCAAACACACAAGAGGCTAGTGTCACGTTCGAGGCGCTTTTTTTTATTTCCCACGGAAGCTTATCGGCAGTAGTTCGCATTGCATTAACTAACACTCCGTCTAGCCGTGCCAGTGGAAATGAACATATAGACGGCTCATCGTCATTGTCCAATCTGAAGTATCTGAAAATTTCAAACCACCGGCCTGAAAACACCCGCTTCAATTTCACCACATCTACCCCGCCATGGAGACCTACCACGGCCATGTACGCACGCCTAATGATGCGATATTACTTTTCGAGGCTTGCCGAATTGGATTGCTGCCTCGCGTCCAGCGCCGTTTGTCGGAGAAAGAGCGCCAGCAGATCAAGTCCGGATCCGTCTTCGTCTGGGATGAGAGGGAAGCTGGTATGAGGCGGTGGACGGATGGCAAGTCGTGGAGCGCCAGTCGAGTATCCGGCAGTTTCCTCACCTATCGAGAGATGGAAGGCAAGCGCGGAGGAAGCAACCTGAGCCAGCCAGCGCCGAAACGAGCAAGCGGCAAGTCGCCAGATGGCTCGGCAACTGGAGATTCGGAAGGCGAGGGCCCTGACGGTTACCGGTACAAACCAGATGGTCTGATGAAACAGTCCTTCAGCATTACCGCGTCCAGTGGCCAACATCTCCATCTTATCAGCTACTACACTCGCTCCAACAACCAGCCGTTGACACAGCCTTCCACCGATCCGTCTCTGCGACACATTCGTCCTCCCAAGAACATGTATCCGGAATCAACCGTGAATGAGACGCCAACTGTACCTGCTGTAACCCGAGGCCCCATGCCTGGCTCGCCTTACTCCTCTACGCCGCACTCCATCACTCCATCTTCGCCCTACCAGCGCCCTGGACCACACCAGCAGCCTGTCTATGTACCCGTATATCACCCTCCACCCACTCCACCCAATGCTCCATCGCCTTATCAGCATGCCTACTATGGTCACCACCCGCAATACCAGTACTTCCCCTACGCTGGAGTGATATACGCGCCTCCAAACTACCCCCACCCTGCGCAAGGCCACGTGTTTGACCGCCCGCCTCAGATGGGCGGTTCTCCCCTGCACCATCCTCCCCCCGGGCATTCTATTATGGGCGCGCACCCTGGACACCCGGCTCATCCACCACAATATGTCCATGGTGGACCACCGCGACCATTACAACAGTCGGAAATGCCACAACATGCTCAGCACCCTCAACATCCTCAACATCCTCAACATTCCCAACCTCCTCCCAATCCCAATCATGTTGCGGCAGCATCGCACGCGTCAATTCCAGAGCAGGGCCCGCAATTGCCTGCTATTAATAACCCTACGACAAGCACACCCAATGCAGGACCCAAGCCACCTACACCGCAACCATCTGAGCAGCGAGCGCAAGAGTCGCAAACGAACGCGGATTCGAATAATGCGACGGCGGGTACGGAGAACGCACCTGCACGTACCATCCCGAAGATTGGATCTATTCTGAATAACCAAGATCATGCGCCAGAAAATCAAGGCAACAGCCGATCGGGAAGCAAGAGTCCAAACAACTCTCAACCGCCGATTCGCGAGCTTCCCCCGGACCGGCTTGCAAGCATGAGCGCAAGTACTGATACACGGGCTCTCGACAAACTCAACAGGAACATGTTTGTACGAACATAGGTGGACGCGATATTTCCTACCAAATTTTCCTCTCGGTGCTCCAGAGCACCATCTTTTGCTCATCTCTCAACGACAGCATTCAACGGCGTTCAGGACAAAACAGATGTGATCTGAATGTGGTTTGATATCCAGGGCAAACCGGATCAGGCTCTGGTGTAAAGGCGTTTCAGCATTATGCGGGGTCACAATGGGAATCTCAGGGCTTTAACAGCTCTTCCGTGACAGTACGGACGGAGTTAATCGGGTGTTGTTGTTTTTCGGTATTTAGCATCTTTCCTTCACCGAGCGAGACCATTCTGCTCGTAATTGCATGTTTATAGTGGAAATACACGTACATATCACAAGTCACAAGTGTCGATTCCATGTGAAGTGAGTTTTGCAATCTTTCTACTGTGTTCAAGAGGCGCTGCTCGTGCAACAGAAGTTGATTGATTGCCCGCCAAGCAGTGACCCGAGGCATGTAGTCAAAGCAGCATTTGGCATTAACGTTAAGATTAAGATTAAGAAACGATTGGCGGCAAGGCGGGGTTCGCTTGCTCCCTTTCCTTCCTCATTAGTTGCCATGATAAGACTTCTTGATCAAGCTACATCGACCGTTGCGACTACTGCATGGACCTTCATAGCGCCTTCCCTTTACGATGGTACGCCTTCCCAAAAGAAGCACCCGCACTGCAACATCACTCAAGACCCAGATCTCGACTTGCACTCTTCTTTCTGTATTGCAACATTGTTTTCTCCACTCTGACAAGCAAGCGACTGGAGATGCATACATAGTATCCTTACTATACTTGTGCCTGTTATCAGGTACCCTGAGAAGAGAGAGGGGGGGGGGTATCGTTCTTATCGTTCCATTCAGCCGATCGCACGCACGCACAAGTGACGTTATCAGTCAATTCAGCCAACCAATTCATCGGCTCGCTCATTCTTCGGGGGTTTTCATTACGTGGAGATAAACACAGAAGGTGCTATTAAGAGAGAGGCGCCGTGTACACCCTCTCGTTTGATTCGTATGTCTCATGCTACACACATCCTGGCTTCTGGGTCACATTGCATGCTACTTACATAAAGAACGACCCTTCGATAGCTCGTCTGCGTTTGCGAAACGGAGAAGGTCCACGGGATCCTAGCCGGAAAACGGACGGATTCGCGTTGCTTGCTGCTGTGTGCAGGTACCAAGGTTGCACGGTGCTTGTCTTGTGACAAATGAGATCGGACATGGCGAGTGATACGGTGGAAGGGTATGCGAATGAGAAACAGAAGACTGAGGATTTGGCCAAGCACGTGGACGAGAATGTTCTGAAGCACTCGCATGACGCGGATGCGGCGCTCAAAGCTTTCGAGGAGTTCGAGGGGCAGACGCTCGAGTTGAGCGAGGAGACGAACAAGAGGCTGCTGAGGAAGATCGATTGGCACTTGATGCCGGTACGTGGGTCTCTTCTCATATTGAGTAAGATCTTCGTCTAAAGGGAATCTCGCTGACTTTCACGCAACCCGGAAGATCATGTGTCTTGTCTATGGACTCAATTATCTCGACAAGACCACCCTCAGCTATGCGTCAGTCATGGGGCTTAGGCTGCCTTCATCTGACGACAAACTCAAAAGTGGCATTGATTTGACCGGCTCAGAATACTCGTGGCTTGGGAGCATGTTCTACTTTGGCTACATAATATGGGAGTATCCAACTAGCCAACTGCTACAAAGACTCCCGCTAGGAAAATATTGTACGTGCTCAAGTTGCTCATATTTATGCCGTGCGATCTACCGATGCTGATGGTTTCACAGCGGCCTTCAACATCATCATATGGGGTTTGGTTCTTGCATGCTTTGCGGCGGTGGAGAACTATGCGGGAGCTATGGCCATCCGCTTCTTTCTGGGAGTCTTCGAAGCGGCTGTAACCCCTGGCTTTGCCCTTTTTACTTCGCAATGGTATACACGTAAAGAGCAAGGCCTTCGAACATCAATCTGGTTCAGCTTCAATGGTTTTGCCCAGGTGAGCATAGTTCAACATCTTCTGCGTCTTGATGCTATCACATATCGTGGACCAGCAAGTGATGATGAGCTCACACGTACTAGATCTTCGGCGGTCTTCTCGCCTACGGCATAGCAGTCGGAAGCCGCAAGCACGGCACTATCCTAGAGCCGTGGAAAATCATTTTCCTCGTCACGGGGTTGCTCACGTCTGCCGTTGGCTTTCTGTTCCGTAAGTGAGCTCTCAATATATTGCTCAAAATCATGTACGTATTTCGAGTTTACTAATTGCCATCTCGAATTTAGTCTGGATAGTACCAGACAATCAACTCAACTGTCGCTGGCTAAGCAAAGAAGATCGGATCCTTGCCATCGAGCGAATCCGTGTCAACGGACAAGGAGTGGGTAACAAGCACTTCAAATTGTATCAGCTCAAAGAGGCACTTCTTGATCCTTTGAGCTGGTCCTTTTTCTTCTTCGCTTTAATAGTCAGCATTCCAAATGGTAAACTTCACTCTTGCGTTTTTGATCTGCATTGGACAGGGCTGATTCTTAGTGCAGGCGGTATCACCAACTTCTTCTCTCAGATGATTGTCGGGTTTGGCTACTCGCCCGAGGAATCTCTTCTCTACGGCACACCCGGAGGCGCTGTCGAGATTGTAGCACTCATTGTTTGTGGGTGGGCCGGAGACAGGCATGTCAACTTTTTCCTTAGTCACTATTTCACGTCAACTTCAACTACTAACTATCATCAGATACGGCCATCGCATCCTGATCGGCATGAGTGGTCTTCTCCTCTCCATCCTTGGCATGATTCTCATCGTCGCGCTACCACTTTCCAACAATTCTGGCCGTCTCGCCGGCTACTACCTTACCCAAGCCGCACCCACAGCCTTCGTAGCCCTTCTCAGCCTCATCAGCTCAAACGTCGCGGGCTACACCAAGAAAACCACCGTTGCTGCTATGTACCTGATCGGATATTGCGTCGGTAATGTCATTGGACCCCAGACCTTCAAATCCAAAGACGCACCTCGCTATGTTCCCGCTGAGATCACAGTCATAGTGTGCTGGGGTGTTTGCCTGGCGCTTCTGGCATTTGTATATCTGTTCTGTGTGAGGGAGAATCGAAGGAAGGAGAAAATTAGGGCAGCTGTGGGGTATGTGAAGCTGGAGAATCAGGAATGGTTGGATCTGACGGATCGTGAGAATGCGGAGTTTGTGTATACGCTTTGAGAGTCCGGACCTGCTATCATGTGGAGAGAGAGAGAGAGAGAGAGAGAGACAAATGGTGCCGGATGTAGTGTGGTGTACCAGGACTTTATATTGCATAGTCGAAGTATTCATAGCGCCACTGTGTTCTTCTGAATTGTATATCTGGTTGATATGCCTCGGTATACTGCTACGCCCTACTTTGAGAGCGTTATCTAGTCCACCATGAGAGGCTAACAGTCTACACAACATTACAAGATTATCCATCCTACATCCTCCAACCTTGCAAGACATGCATCATGCCATCGTTTTAGACCGCGCAACACACTATTACAAAAAATAAAAAACAATCTCAAACCTACTATCCTTGCCATGGATACACAAAAACGAGGGTTGTCGCCTTCCTTGCAATCAGCCCACGTCATGGAATATCATTCAATCTTTAAATAACCCCCCAAATTATTCACTCTCTATTCGAACACACGGCAAATACATGAATGAATCAATGAATCAATGCTTGCATTTTTGATTTTGTTTGCTCGCTAGGCACATGCAAGAGATGGACGGAGAAACGTTTGACCTTGGAAACAACGTACCTTGAGTGCATATTTATTTACCCAGCTTCGACATAAGTGTTGGAGATACGGGATCGAGTTCATTCCTATTTTGTTTTTCACTGTTCAATTAGATTTTCAGCAAAAGTCGTAATTAGCTGGCTGTAGCGTCAAATTGGATTTCTCAGCGCCCTACGATAGATATTCATTATACTGGTACTGTACTGTAATCTGACCAAAAGAAAAAAAGAATTTCTATTTCGAAAGGAGTAGACAAGGGGGGGTAACAATGATCCCATTTCAAACGCCGGCGTCCTTTCCATGATGATCTGTTTCGGTGGATTCAAGTAATGGGCAAGTGACTTGGAGTGAAAAGATGGACATGATCGATTTTGATTTTTGATAGCAAAAAATACAAGTCTCAGTATAATGTAACTGCGCTATCATTCCTGCCAGGGAATTTGGCGTAATTTGCCGAGCTAGCATTCCCATATACTCGATCAACATTTTTTTATCTCGTGTCCTTGTCATCGCACCTTTCAATTTCAGAACAGGGCGATAAAATTCACAATTGTAGTCAGTCCTGGAAATTGAGAAACATGTCTTGTCTTATTCATTGTCCCACCCCGGGTAACAGCGGGGGAATCGAGCAGACAGAGAAGAAGAAGAAGAAAAACGCCGTTTTATGCAGTTTTGTATCATACACACAGCTGCCAGCCAAGCAAAATCCATAGATGCAGGCATAACATCCAACGCAAACAATCAACTCACCGATACTCAGCGGTCGACGTTGTATCTAAGGCGAACGTTCATGGAGGCCAGTTCTACATCGAGGTATTTCAGGACACCCGGAACCGCGACCACAGCAATGTTATCACCTCCGTGGTACCTGATGCCCTGACCATCCGACCAGACTTCGCTTTTAGGTGCAGCATTATCTGCAAGCTTAGCACAGCGTCTGCACCTCACCGTCAATGCCCCCCTCTTCTTGCGTGTGAACTCGCTGATAGTCGGAGTGGTGGAGAGAAAAGAGCCACAGCCGCGGCACAAGGTGGTTTTTGTGTAGTCGGAGCAATTGAAGAGTCTGTCCTGGAGAAGATACGCGGTGCCGTGGGCGAGGAGGGCGTCCCGCTCCATTTCGCCGACCCGGATACCCCCTCCCTTCTTACGTCCTTTAATAGCTGAGATGAAAGAGTTAGCATAATGATTACGATTGGTGTTGATATAGGGAAAAAAATGAACTTACGTTGTCCTGTAAGAGAATTAATGGGTCCAGTTGTCCGAACCTGGTACTTGTCGTTGACCATGTGCCTCAGACGCTGGTAGTACACCACTCCTATGTAGATGTCGGCGCTGAGTTCTTGGCCAGTAATGCCGCTGTACATTGGCTCATTTCCATGATAATTATAGCCTTGTTTTCGGAGCTGTTCGCCGAAATGATCGATCGCTGTGTTCTTCTCATCGAATTGCCAAGGGCTTCCGTCCACAGCTTGTCCTGAGAGGGCTCCAGATTTGCCGGCCATCGATTCGACGAACATGCCTATGGTCATACGGGACGGGAACGCATGTGGATTGATGATGACATCAGGCTGGAGGCCAGACTCGGAGAAAGGTAAGTCGGTTGCCGGCCATTTCTGCGACAAGACACCCTTTTGCCCGTGGCGGGAGGAGAATTTGTCACCGATGACTGGAGTTCGAGGTATACGTAATTTGATCGAGATTTTTTGCAAAGGATCTGTCCCGGTTTCACTACCAATAACGCGAACCCTAAAATCGCAAGGACGAAGTCAGCAATAGTGTCTCATGACACCACCGGATACCCGGGATATACGTACTCTTCAACGAAGGCAAGCTCATCGTCTTTGTATTTGAAAAATTGCGTGTTTCCATCCTTGTTGTCGAACTCGCCAGTAGCATTATCGTACGAGACAGTATGCCAAGCAGCGATATAATCGCCATTCTGCAGCATCGTACCTATGATACGTTACGTTAGTGTTTGATTTTAGAGTGATAGATGGTACATTACTTACCAACGCGCGGCAGGCCGTCCTCGTCAAGTTTCTCCCTCATAGCCGCTGTAACGGTCCCGATAGGGGAGAATCCGAACAACTTCTGTATGTTCTTCTTTCCACGTCCAGCCTTGCCTTCCTCGAGATCGCAGACCTTGGTCTTGTAGATGGAACCATAGCCAAAGGATCTCTCTAATGCACTTTTGTTGATTATCATAGCGTCGTCCATGTCATATCCCGTGTAACTGATAACCTAAAATTCGCGGGTACAAAGTCAGCTTATCTCAAGCAGGGATGACTCGGTGAGGGATGAAAGTCTCAAAACGCCACGCCACATGGTGTCTTGATACTACTTCGTACCCGGGAAAACGTACTGCAACCACTGCATTGGCGCCCTGTGGAAAATTGTCGAGTCCGTATGATCCATAACTAGAGCTGCGAACTATAGGCGACTGCCCTGTTTGGATACGGTACGATTTATTGTCGGTCCTATAATTCAAATTCGTCCCGGGTGTACCCATTGTCTGTTTACCTAAGATTCGCGGATACGAAGTCAGCTCAACTCAACCAGTGGTGATATTAGTGAGACGTACCCATTTGACACTGGTACATATTACGCGGACTCTGATTCTGGTCGCTAAATGGTGTTTGATTGGCAACTACACTCAGCATAGCCCTGGCGTCGTATTCGACATGTGTGCTGTCACCGGACACGATCTCGGGATCCGTCACAGCTATCGACATGTAAGGCTGTTCGAATGGGCCGACGTAATCCAGCTGATCCAGAGGGAGGTATTTGACAGGGCGGAAAAACCGAGACGGCTGAGAGAACAGGTATACACCGGGGTATTGTCCACCGTTCGAGTGGGGAACATAGCCGATCTCCATTTCGACTGGTACGCCGTGACCGCCTTCCACCTTCCAATATCGAAGTGTATCAGATATAACCTTAGATTGTTTTTTGGAACAATAACCTAGAACTCGGCCGTCCAGTTGCACAACCATGCTGTTCTCCAATAGCGCAGAAACTTGATCTGATACACCTAATCCAGCAACCAGCTTAGGAACGGCCGAGACGTCGACAGATTGGGTTGCTATTTTGCATTTATGAGCCAACTGTTGAACGTCAGCGCATGTATACTATATAGAGATAAGGGGGGTAAAACTTGCATGGGAAAGAAGTCCGCAGGGCGCTCCGTCAGGGGTGTGAGAAGGACAGAGATAACCCCAGGAGTGGCTTTTTCAGAGTTAGTAAGACGGACATGTTTTATTCAAGACTCGGAACGAGGCACAACATACCCTGTCAGCTTTCTGACAGTCGTGGTCTTCAGTTGTGCGAAGAAAGCACCTCGATGTATCATGCGGAAGTGACTAATGAATCTGAAGAAGTTCAATTTTTCCGCGACGACGCAAAACCCAGCAGTCTGTTGGAGGTCTAGCCCAGTGGGACTAACGAGGTTGCCTGTCGAGAGGAAGTACTAAAATTCGCGGGAACAAAGTCAGCTTAATTCAATCAGAGGTGATTCAGTGAGTGATGAAGGTCTCAAAACGCCACTCCGCGTGGGATCTTGATACTACGTAGTGCCCGGGAAAACGTACAGACATGGCTTTTCCGAGGTCTTCTCCCTGCGCTCTCGCAAGGATCTTTGGGACGAAGTCTGTCTGGAACTGCTGGGAGGTGAATGGCTTCCAATCTTGCTTCCGCCCCCACTCGTTCAGGGGATATCGCAGCGAGTTCAACCATTCTTCCAGCTTTTCCTTGATGATCATTCCGTACAATTGGCCTCCAAGCAGAGCCTCTTGGTGTTGCAACGTGTCTGGGTTGTCCTCGCAAGACTCACCCTCCACAAGAGAGTACAGTTTTCTTATCATGAAGAGTAACATTCGATATTTGTCATTGTCGGCTCCCAGGTGTGGCAATACGATCTTTCTCAAGAAATAGGTTCCAGCGTCTTCGTCGCTCGTAAGCTCGTCGAGCTGCAAAACACTCCGGAATTTGGAACCAAGATAAGCCCTGGTCATGGCTCGCGAGTGCAGGCCGTAGACTTTGTAGGCACGTAGCAGTAACTCAACACGATCAATGACAAATTGCCTCTGACCCAGTCCCTCTGACTGGGCTGTACCGACAATTGCTTGGAACACCTCTCTATCATTGGTTTCGACAAGGGCGTTTAGAATCATCATGGTGGGAACCAGGTATTCAGCCTTCCTCCAGGAAAACCGGAAGTTGACGTTACCATCATTGAGATAGTGCAGCGCATTAGTCTGAGAGGACTGATCGGGTCTCACAGAGCGTACGAGTACGGCAAATTCCGAATAGCCAGGTCCTCGGTTCTTAAAGGCCATTCTCCTGATCGACATCGGGTAATTGCGACGCTGAACCTGGAGCATACGAATGATCTTCTCGATACCGTTGACGATGAAGTATCCGCCGAATTCCTCCGACTCCTCCTTGTAGTTGACGAGCTGTGCAGGGGTCGAGGATTCAAGATGGCAGCGACTGGACTGTCACGAGGGCATTAGCAAGTGGCTAGCGATAGCTTGTCAGACGCGGAAACAGCTTACCCTCAACATGATGGGCACATAGCCGAGATCGCGGTCCAGCGATTGCCAATCACCGTTGTTGACCTTGAAATTTAGCCTGGCAGACATTTTTCCGCGATAGGTCGAGTGTCGCTCGCGCGCTTCGGCAGGCAGGACCTTGCGGTTTTCGGGTTTGAGAACGACCTTGTTGGTTGGGGGCAGCATGGACTTGTCATAGAAGATCTTTTCTATGCGAAGAGACAATCGATTTCCATGGCGATCAGAAAATGACTTCTCGCCGATATCCTTGATGGCTTCCTCGAGCTGGCCGCCATCTTTGAAGATGGCGTTGAAAGAAGCTATGTGTGGTTCAACCAATTCCAACAGCTCGGGATAGGCTGTTCGGTCTTTGGGCGGGTTGGAGAAGAGGTGGTGCTTGCGCGCATTCTCGAAATCGACGGACCATTGCTGGTCGGTTTTGGAAGGCGCCATGGCGGGCGGCGGGAGATGGGAAGGAAGCAGAGGCTTGTGTATTGCGGGTGTACGCGCGTGGACGGGGAACTGGTACAGGTTTATGGCAGGCGTGTGTGCCGTGGCATGGCGGGGTTCGTGGTGGTGGTGGTGGTGGAGGTGGAGAGAAGGAGCTGTGTAGCAGCAGCTATGCGGTGCTACTAGGCAGGTGCGTGCAGCTTGAAGAAAGAAAAAAAAGTCGCACTGGAAAGCCGATAAGAAGTCGTATCGGGCGGTGGTCCAATGGTCCAATCGCCAGATGGCAGCTAAGCGAGCGAAATGGCACGCACGGACTCGGGTCCAAGTCAAGTCACACGGACGAGCTTGGCGCGAAGGCGGCTCGAATACGTGCGTGCGTGTGGGCGTGCGGGCGGGCTGGCGGGCGGGCGTGCGAGCACAATAATGTTGCTACCTTACTGACTGACTGACTGACTTACCTACCTTACCTACCTACGTTACGCTTTGCTCTCTGCTCTGTGCAGCTCTCCTAGCTTTCCGCTAGAGCGGCGCAGTCTTCACGTCTGCTGTTCTCTCACTCACTGCCTACTTGCATACTTCCTTGCACTGCTGCATCTTTTTGGACTCTTGCCCGGTCGCGAATCTGATTCTTTACTTGCCTTCCTACCATCCTACCTACCTACCTGCCTACATCTACACTCTGTTTGTCTGTCTGTCTGTCTGTCTGTACCTACCCGCCTACCTGCCTACCTACCTTGCTGTCCCTTCTCTCGTGATCGCCAAAACCTTGCCCACCACCCCGCAAGGATTCCTGGCCTTCCCACCGTCCTCCACCCATCATACATAGCCATCGTCGTCACCCATATACGCCAGTCCTCAAGCAGCTGCCGGTCCATTCACTCACCAAACCCTTCTCCAGACCTCATCTACCATGGCGGGCATATTCCGTCGCATCTACGACTGGCTGCTGCGCCTGTTCTGGTGTGTTTCCCTCTCGTTTCCCTCGCCGGACCTGCGCTTCTGCTCTTCTGCTGCTGCCCCCCCAGCGAATGTGCATCTCGTCCGGAGCCATGCAAAACCCACCAAATCCCCAGTTCAGCATCCAATACTGACTTTGCTTCACTGTCTAGGGCCACCGAGATGGACATCACCATGATCGGGCTGCAGAATGCTGGCAAGACGTCGTTGTTGAGAGTTCTAGCGGTGAGTCGCATCCCATTTCGGAATTACCAGAGGACCCTGCCACTTGGTTCCGACCAGCAGCATCCGCATCCGCACCCGCGACTCATCTACACATTTCACCGTCCGACTGACTGGCTGACTGACTTTCCGTTCATAGGGAGGGGAATTCACAGTCGAGTACGTCCACTTGCACAACTTTGCAGCGCAAGCCTGAGCCCAGCACTGTTTCCGCAGTGTCTGCCTCTGCGGCTTTGCGCTACCCATGTGCACCAATGTGGTTGGTCCATGCGCTGATCCTTGGCCATAGCTCCATCCCCACCGTCGGCTTCAACATGAAGCGTGTCCAAAAGGGACATGTAACGCTGAAATGGTGAGCCGGTCCTGATATTCGTCTGGTCACGCACATCCGCCTCTTGCAGCGCCAAGCCTGTTTGATGCCGCGTCGCGGGCTGCAGGTTAATGTCCCCTGTTGAAAACCCCACCAGCTGACCACCACCTGCATCATAGTTGGGATCTGGGAGGCCAACCTAGGTTTCGTTCCATGTGGGAGAGATATTGTCGCGGCGTCAACGCCATGGTGTAAGTCGGTCTTCTCCGCATGCTGGGAGAAGATGCTCATCGTGCCAGGTTCATCGTGGATTCCGCCGACCGCGAGGCTCTGCCCGTTGCGCGCGAAGAGTTGAAGCTCTTGCTCGAGAAGCCGGCGTTGGAGGGCATTCCCCTTCTCGTCCTGGGCAACAAGTCCGATCTTCCCAACAAGCTTTCGGTGGACGAGCTCATCGAAGCTCTGAACCTCAAGGCTGTGTCGCACCGTGAAGTGAGCTGCTACGGCATCAGTGCCAAGGAAGAGACCAATCTGGATGCTGTACTTCAATGGTTGATTGCCCGCGCGAGCAAATAATCTCGGTAGGTAACTCCATGTGTGGCCGGCAACGTGACCTGCGAAGCTCGTTGCGGTCATGTACTGACGGGGAGCCGAGTTGGAAGCTGGACAAGGACCAACTCATGATTGACTGGATTCGACGACTTCTGGCGGGCGTGCGATGTGTTGCATGTGGCCGTTAGCTTTTTATTATACGACATACTTAATGATTCTTACGACGTGACGGAAAGAAAGACGGGCAGTTTGATCTGCAGGCTAGCGATGGCCATCTCGAAATCACCCTTTTGCACGTTTCTCTAATTTTCGGTTACCTTTGTTTCCCTGTTTGCAGCGCGGATCTCTAGTAGCAGGTCCTTGTTCACCGTCGAGTATGTTGGATTCACGAGGAATCAAACTGTGGGAGTTGGACTTGGTCACTGTGTTATTGGCCGTTTGAGATTCTCTTCTTCATTGGCGGTGATATGCTGAAGGGTGTCGAGGGTTTTCACATTGGGGGGCTTCCTTGTGTTTGCAAGATGTCGTGCCGGGTGATAGTTTGGTACCGAGGCAGACGGAACTGGCTGGACCCCCTTTTTCTCTCTCTCTACTTTGGACCTGGCAGCTTTTACAATAGCACTCTTTTTTTTGTTTGGCATGATGGACTCGGTGTGCAAGTAGTGAATGAGGGACCATTGGGCGCGCAACAACAAGGGGCGATGACAGCAGCAAGAGCTTGCTAATTGGCGATAATGTCTACGATGAAGGGCGAGTTTGGTCAGCTACGGCGCAGCCACGGACATGGGGAGCAGAATGCAAAGGAAGACCAGGACGACCATGTGGGCAGAAAAGGGAGCGAAGGGAAGAAAGTGAAGGAACCAAGGGCAAAGCAACGCGCGCGCGCTCACAGTCTATTTGATCTGGCTCTGTTGCAGCGCGCGACGCAGCCAGCGAAGCCAGCACACACATTAACAATTGACCCCGTTGACACTTCATCATGCATTAGCGCTGCTAGGCGGCTCGCGCCCTGTGATTGGCCCTGAGCGCCATGCACCCCTGCCTGCTTGGAGGGTTCGCGAACAGCACACAGACTCTGTGGAATTCTGCATTTCTGCAACAAAGAGAGAGAGACAGACAGACACCGCAATGACTCCAGGCAGTACGTGCAGTAGCACCAAGTGCCTAATCAAGTCGGGCGACGAGGCGGTGCTCAACGGGTTTGGGGGTGGTGGATCCGATAACTGTGGGGCTGTTTGGTTTAGAAAGGGTTTTGGGTGTGGCTGGTGATGGCATGGTTGGAATCAACAATTCATGTTTCCAAATCATCACCATCGTCAACCAGCCGCCCAAGTGACCAGAGGTCGGGAGCTTTGCTGTGTGTCTGTTTGGAAAATGACCGCATTCCGCGAGCCGAGATTGGTTGCATTCTTGTTCGCTGGCCTGTCTTGTCATCACCACCACAAGTCATCGGATGGCTTGGACTGCGCCCACACATGATGATTCCTGCTTACAACACGTATGTGCGTACACATGTAGCTATGGATTGGCGTCGGATACTCGTGTAGAAACAAGTACGAGTTTCCAAGTGATGCCGAATGCCAAGATGCACTCACCATGGCACTTTTTTCCCAAGTACGTGCCTTTGTAGAATTCAGAGATGCATGATGCGCAGAATCATGGAATCGAGGAAGCCGAGATGCCGGACCCTGTCCCTCCGGCGAGAACTGCCCGTGATCTGCATCCTGCATCCTTCATGAGCCACACAGAGTCGTTCTATAGACGTCTTTGCGCTGTGCGACAAACGACAACGGTTGAGTTGGAAGCGTCGTAACATGCAATGACCGCAGCAGGACCGACCACCACATCTGGCGCATACACATGACAAAGCCCTCCGCATCTCGCATCGCTAGGGCTCCGTAGGCCACTGCACTGTACTGTGCTGTGTCTATGTACGCAAGGCCACGGCGTCGACTAAATCGCCGCTCCATCCGGCGCCGAGGCGGACGCGCTTGGCTGTGGCTGAGCTCTCGCCCATTCTGCATATCAATCCGCGTCATACCCAGCCCTAAGCTTTCTTTGTTACTTCATCATCCGCTCACCACACCTCATCCTCCACCGAAACCAGTATTCGACGTCGTTTGCTAGCACCAACAATGCCCACCTTAGCACCCAGATGGTATGACTACGACGAGTAAGTTTGCCCCACCATCTTCTTTGGTTTATATCTAGGTCGTGACGCCCCAGTGCTTTGCTTTGCTTTGCGTCACATCACCAACCAACCATCACCTACACCATTTCCACATTTCATTTCCACCTCCTCACAACTCTGACACAACATGGCTAGGTGCTACATCCGCAATGGCTACCGTTACTGCGACCGTAGTGCATGGAACTCATGGGTACGATGGGTAGTCCTCGCCGTCGTCGTCTTTGGCTTTCTCGCGCTTTTCTTCCTCTGCAGGTAAGCCATCTCTCAATCCGATGAATCCCTTATATACTCGTACCAGCTCACTAACCCTTCGCGCTCAGTTGTCTCTCAGCTCGCCGCCGCCGCAAAGCCGGTCGTCAACCCTTCTACGGTACAGGATGGGCCGCCCGACCCGGCAACCAACCCTACTACAATCAGCAACATAGCGCTCAACCCTACTACAACAATAACGGCCAAAATTACGCACAACCGCCACCCCAGTACACACCCCAGCCTCAGTACGGTGCTCAAAATCAGGGTTACTACGGCGCGCAACAACCCAAGTACGGCCAAGAGAACGGCGTCGAACTCCAACAGCCCCAACCTACGTACAACCGTGGCCCCGAGGCCGAGTACGCTCCTCCACCAGGCCCTCCACCCGCCAAGAACGATGGTATCGTCCGTTAAACTTCGATCCTCCCCGATGTAATAAAACCGGGTTGCGCGCTGCGAGTCTTTGTTTCAAAGTCGTTAAATCGATGTGTATTATCGGAATTATTTTATGCTTGGGTACTTGGGCGTTCTTTTCCTTTTGCCGAGAATGGCCACGATATCCCTCTTTACGCTCTATGTCTACTTCACGAATCCCTGTGCTCCTCCACCATTACCTATTACCTGTAACTTGGAAGAAATGGAAGTTAAATTTAATACTGTCTCTCTGTAATCACAGAAGCAAATCCCGGATTTGGATACCTACTGTGAATGATGCCATAAATGTCTTGTCTAACGCATGTGGCGAGACAAAACGTAGAAGAATGATACATTTGCTGCAGTGCTGTTGGAGTCTAATCCCATTCTCTATACTTTTCACTGATGATGTCAGAGAACTACTCCAGCCAGCTCCCCTGCCTTTTGTCAATCGTCTAATCCCTGTTCGGAAAAAGTTCGATTGTTCATATGACGATTCGCTTAAGCACAGTGAGGTCAAATTATACAACAGAAGCAAGATTGAGTTTTTTTTTTTAATTTCTTTATCTCATCTATCTTCCACAAGAGTGGTTTAAGTATGGAAATGATGTTGTATAGAAATACATGACTAAGACATATAAGGAGTATAATGGTATAGAGAAGATGACGATGGAAAGGTCTTGGAGTCTGACAATTTGGAAACCATTCCCATCGACGAGGAAGACCCAATTTAGCTCGCGGTCAACTAAACAAAGGAAACCGATCAACATGATGAAAAATGGTGCAGGAGTGACGATAACCTAGACAGCAGCCGCCCATGGGGTATCTGAAAAAGAAATCGCCCTCCCAGTCTATAAGAAGACACAAAAAAACATGCAAAAGAGGAATACAAATGAAATGGGAAAGGAGTTCTCGGGGGTGGAGTATAACAGCTCACGACCACTCACGCATCGCTCCCGTTCCTCAACGCCCTCGTCTTCTCCGACTCACCCCCATTCTGCTGCTGCTGGGGCATCTGGGCCAACCAACTCGGCGGCGCCATACCAGTCTGATCGTGGATCGTGCTCAGAAGCGGCGGCAGGTTCTGGAAAAGATTTCGAATCGGCGCCGATGGGTCCGCAACCGCACCATCACCTCCAGCAGCCCCGGTATTCCAAACATTGATCTTGGGCTGGAGTCCATGGATTGCCTTGGCATTCGCATTTGCAAGCGACTCGTACGTGCCGTTGGTCAACATCAGGTACTGCATCAAGCCCTGAGGACCACCCAGCACGCCCGCGAGATCGCCGTACGCCTTCGCCATGGCTGTTAGACCTTCTGCTTCGCGGTGCTTGGCTTCGGCTTCGCGCTCGCGGCGGAAGTATTCTGCTTCGGCTGCTCGTTTCGAGACCACGTAGTCGGCTTCTGCTTCTCGCTCTTTGGCCTCGTAGTTCGCCTCGGCCTGCTTCAGCATCCTGAACGCCGCGGCCTCTGCATCCGCAATCTCGGCGTACTTCTTTCCCTCGGCGGTCTTCTGCTCAGAGTACAGCTCCGCGTCGGCGCGCTGCTGGCTCGATTCCTTCGCAATCGTAGCCTGCGTCACCGTCGTCGCACGCAGCCTTTCGAGCTCCATGAGCGCCTTCTTCTTCTCGACTTCTGTGTTGAGTTCCGCATCGCGACGCTCCGCCTCGCGCTTCGCGTTGATACGCGCCAAGTTCAGCTCTTTGCCGATAACGATTTCCTTGTCTGTGAGTTTTGCGTCGGCGGCGGCTTTTTCGGCTTTGCGCTCCGTTTCCAGGACCGCGGTCGCGGCGTGGATCTTTGCTACTTCTTGCTTCGTTTTGCCTTGCTTTTCGGCTTCGCCTACTTCGCCTCGCATCCGGGCATCGGCTACGTCTACTTTGGCTTGGTTAAGGGCGCCCTCGTGCGCTTTGCGCGAGAGGAAGGCGAAGTATTCCGAGCCGGGGGTGTCTTGGAGTTCTTTGACGTTTGCGTTGTAGATGCCTGATCACGCGTCATGATTAGCCATGAAATTTTCCAAAAGCAAGGATTAAAAAGTTGGCAGAAAAGGGGGGTTTATGTTGATGCCCATCCAAATCAGGGAGGCGAGAGAAAACTTACAAAGACCAAACTGATCAAGTTCAGACTGCACCTGCTGGATGACCTTATCCTTGAACACTTTCCGCTCGCGGAACAGTTCTTCCATGGTCATGGTGGAAACGATACTACGCGTTTCACCCTCGATGATACCCTTAACGATATCTTGAACATGGTTGCGTCCAGCGGCGACCGTGACAGCGCCCTTGTTTGCAGGTGCCGTAGGCCGTCCATCAGACTCGCCGGTCAGCAGCACAGCGTACTTCTCCAGCGATCCAGGACTATCAGCTGGACCGATAGTGAATACAGCCGGTAGCGAGAACTTCAATTTCTCGACTGTCATGGCTTGCAAGGCCATGGAGAAGTCAAAGGGCGTAATGCTGATCTTGGAGACTTTTTGGAAGGGGTAGACGAATGCCTGTTTTTTTACACCATGTGTTAGCTTCGTGCTGTGAAATTTTGTGGGCTCTGATATAGGATGGAGGTGAGGCCGACCTTCTTTTTGATGAGAACCTTGTCGATACCTACACCCGTGATGACGAGGTAGGCATTCGGCTCTGCTACGTGATACCAGATTCCCATAATGGCGGTTTGAGATTGTTTCTTGTTCTTGTGGGAAGATGGGATAGCGAGATCGGAAGTTCAACGAATTTGAACTATTTGGGGGTTTCAAGTTGAGTCGTTCAAAAACAAAGAGAGAGAGCTCGTGGTAGCTCTTTATAAGATGTATTGGAGGCTATGCCTGGCGCAAACCAAAAGTATCAATCAAAACGTATGTAATGCAATCCGTAACAAGCGTTCCAAAATTCCCTCAATGTGTTACGGGAATGAAAGCGAATGTTCTTTATTCGTTGTAGTAATCCAAGCTAATGATGAGGCTTGGATATCGATTCCGATGTTTTCGAGTAAAGGACCAATTCAATGATTGGTATTTCCAATTGGATGATATATGTATAATTCAAGATTGGATAACGAGGGTGTCACAGCCTCTTTATATACACATCCAATTCCATCTTCACAGCATCTTCAAGTCCAAGCAACGGTATATTTCCGTAAAGGTGCGGAAGGCTCGGCACCGGTGAAGCCAATGTAGACAGATGTAGTCGGCACGGAGCATGGCGCTATACCGACATTGGCATAGCCGACGGCAATCAGGCTTACTCGGGCATCCAACCCACAGCCACAATGGGAATGCTCATGTGATGCGTGAACAGGTGTTGGGCTCTTGCTGGTGTTTGAGAAAGCATTTAGAGCTCTGTAGCTACGATGCGGTTGGACTTTAGGGGACCTGGAAAACCAGCCTTTTGGCGCGGTCAGATTCACGAGGTTTAGCTGATGATCAGCCCTAGGCCGCCAGGAACACCTTAACTCTTTCTGTTCGGCTGCTGAGCCTCGATTTACTTGACGAGATATCCGACTTGTAACATGTTATTCCATCCCCATTGAAAGATCGATACTTCGTACACACTGACTCTTCCCATGTCGCCACCTATTCCCGGAGCCCAACCGCACAACCCCAAATCGCCACTTCTGAGCAATTACTTCCGCTTTGAGTCGTCTAACCTTGTCACCCTCGGAACTCGGATCGGTCACGTTCTCTTCACCCAAGACAATTGACTCTTTGGAGTGGCGGGTTAGCGCATTTCCCATACGAGGAGGCTGTGCCCCAGGCAGAATCCCCACTCACCCACTGCCAGCTAAGACAATGCAATAGTCACCCATCACATTACATATCGTGGAATGATTAGCGAGCGGGAGTTTGGCCGCATGATAAAGACCAGCGCTCCGATTCGCTGAATGGTCCTGAACTAGAGTGTAGGAATATCATTGCAAGGTGGCTAAGCGTTTTTTTGGGGAGGTTTCTTTTCGGAAAACAACGTTATATTCAACCTTGGTACCTGCTCGACTCACCGGCCTGGAACTCAGCTCTTTACGATCAACACGAGTTGGAAAATTGCCTCACTTTTGGATTGTTTTTTTCCTTGGGTAGCCACCTGGTCTTTGTGAAAGAGTACGGAGATACCACGACGACTACTACTACAATCGCATCAGTCATCCAGTATCCATTCATTAATTGCTCATCCACCCATTCAAACACCTACCTCCACCGACCCTTCTCAAACCCACCATCACAACTCCAACTCCAACTCCAACAAAAAAACATGTCGACCCAAGAAAAAGAACCCTCCCCACCTCCATACTCGGAATCCACAGCCCAACAATCCCCATACTCTTCCCTGGCAACATCATCAACATCAACAAGCCACCCACCACCCTCCTCAAACCTCCTCACGCAGCTCTCGTCCGTCCGCGCAACCCACCTCCACACCATCATAACATCCCACATTCTCCCACTGATCGAACAGCAAGCCACCTACGGCATCTCGGAAACCAACATCGCCCTGCTCCCCTCAGACGTCTCCCTCCCCATCCACACAGCCCCCGAGAAATCCGAATTCAGCTTCGACACCACCGACGACGCCACAGAGAAGAAGCTGGAAATCATAGGCTTCAGTTCAGACGAAGAACCGAAATTGATACGCCTCGAAGGTTCGATGAATAAAACTGAGTTCTGGAGAGTCCCCGCTGTGGTCGAGGATATGGAGGAAAGGTTGAGGGCATGTTTGAATGCTGCTGCTGCACAAGCTGTCACAGCGTCGTCTTCTCAGCAGCAGCAGCAGGTATCTTCTTCTGCGCCGCGGGGAGTAACGAAACGAGGGTTTTTGGGTAAACTGGCGAATTTCATTGAGCAGGAAAAGAGGTCGTCGCCGTTTGTTGGGAAGGAGGCGGAGCGGGGGATGGGGCAGGTTGTGGTCAGAGTTAGGCTCGAGGAGATTTGCTTGAGGACTGTGAATGAGTTTGGCTTGTACGATACCTTGTCGAAACCGTGTGTTACCGTGTGGGTGGATGCAAGGTGTTGAGGAGGAAAGTAGGGAAATGAGTTGGAGGGTGATAACGTCAGGTTGCTGTGGGTTTGACTGCGCATTCGACGTAGTGACGTATATGACGTCCCAACGATCCAGTGGAGATGTACGGATTTGTAGTGTTGAGGTTGGGAACCATGGTACGCTTTTCGCCCTCTGATATAAAAAGAGCAGAGTTCTCACAAGGCTTTCTACTTCTATCAACCCCTACTTGCCTCACGATGCCACTTATCCTGGCACCTACCCTGACACCAACACACCGCGACGAGCCCTTCAACATCAATATTAAGGGACTTATTATTAATTTTAAAGAATACTTTGATAGCCAATATTTCTGAGGTCGTCCTTCAAGTTGTTGTTGGAGTATTCTCTAAAATCAATAATAAGTCTCTCAATATTGATGTTGAAGGGCTCGTCGCGGTGCGTTGGTGTCAGGGTAGGTGCCAGGATAAGCTAGATTTGGGTCCAGTGGGATGGGGTTTTTTGGGATCGTATTTGACGGTGACTAGGTAGGGCCAGGATGGATGAGTGTTGGTCCATGTACTACAAATGGGACGTTGGATGTTCTGCACGACTCCGAGGCTTAGGGAGACATGCCCATCTTCCAAGTCACACAATGCCATCTAAAAGTGGCAAGTAAAATGCCAAGTCAAGGAACTAAGCACCTAGCCATGCCATCTATATGAGGAACACATTTGAATATATTGAACAATCGTTTCTTAATCTGGGTTACATGAACCTAGTGGCCAACGAATTTGAATTGGAAGATCCATGGTGCATTGGATCACCAACAAGTGTAACAAAAGGTGCAATCGAGTGAAATCTGTAGTGTGGTGCATTTCTCATGAACTCCTTCACCATGCCTGAGTGGTACCGAAGTGAATTTATGTGCATGATGCAGAACATCTCTTACACCTGCTGATGGAACACCCCCCCTTTTTTGAGATACCCAGTAGATGTGGGAATTTTATCTCACCCCCAGGACATGTATAGCTTTGACCGAGTGGCCGGCAATAATCGCGGAAACCAGTAATATCCAGTATGCGGGTTGAAAACGTGCAAAACGGACACTAAAGCATCTTGACAGAGAAGCGTGGGACGGCAGTGGTTCTCACATATGTGGACACTGAACATGCTGAGAATGAGGATGACCTGGCACCGTTCCATCTTGAATGATTCCCTTCTGAACCTGGTCTTCATGACGTTTAATTTGAAGCTCTGCTCTTTCCTAAACTTCAAGTCTCAGTCATCTTCTCCCCTTGCGCATTGAAGCCCAGGTTTTCCAGTTGCCGGATCAATTCGTTCATTTTAATCACCTTTTCGAATTGCTCCGGCAGCAGAACACCGCCCTGTTCCTTCTTGTCTTTGAGGTCTCGTGCCTGTCGCAACTTCTTCGACAGCTTCTTTGCTTCTTTCTCCTTCTCCGCTTCCGGGTCAACAGGCTTCTCTTGTTCGGGTTTGACCTGTGCATCCGAGGTTTTCACCTCCTCCTGGCCATCGACCGTTGAAGCAGCGGCTTTCTTCCTTGCTTCCCTTCGTTTGGCATTTTTGCTGGCGGCGGCGGTGTTTGGCTTGGTGGGCTCGGCCTCTGATTTTAAACCTTCGGCCCCTGGAACCCCGCCCTTTCCGCGGTTCTTCCAGCCCTCTGCGGTTCGGTTCTTGTAGATCTCGACATCCTCGGGAGGACGATAGCCCGGGCGTACCTTGATTTCTTTCCGGACGGAACCGTCGGCGCGTGTCGAAGAGGGAATGTGTCGCTCGCCAGTCGCAGAGGTAGTGATTCCGGCGCGGGATACAGGCGTGGTTTCGACGGTAGGCATTTTGCTGTTGTGTGGTATGAAGAACCTGGCGAGCGGATATATGGGGTTGTTGTCTTGAGCTTTTCAGCCGCTAATGATGCGGTGCTCTAGCGAGCACGTTCGCAAATTATACCGTATCGTAAGCAGATTTAATGCAATTGTTTGTTGCAACTGTTAGTATAGCAGCCAGCGTTCCAATGATGAGTGGTGAGGAACGGGACAGAGTGAGCGAGGTGGGGTTCGCGGCACAGGCTAGATGCAAGACATGCTGGATGAGGCTTGTTTGAATGGGCATGCAGGAAGCCGTGGCCGGGTAGCCAATCACAGCAGGCGCAATCAAGGCACCTTGGCGAAGATGTCGAACCCGAGCTTCTTCACCACCACGACACCACCATCGACTTTGTGAGAACACCGGCTTTTGCAGCTCCAACCCCTCTCTTAACCCGCCCAAAATGGCCAGCGTAAGCCAATTGATCCCTTTACCACTTTGCGATAACTTTGCTGACTCTTGTGCGCTTCAGTTCATCTACAAGCAAGCCTCTCCTCGAACCGCCCTTCCCATTTACTTTTACTAACAATCGGCTGCAGCGCTCTCTTCCGCAGCAACACTGCTATGTTGGCCACTGTATTCGGAAGCGCTTTCGCCTTACAACTGTACGTGATCTCAGAGTGTTGCAGCGTCCAAACTCTGGGGGAGATGGGGTGTATTAACGGTGCGACAGGGCTTTCGATACCTCTTCGAACAAGATTTGGGATACCGTCAACAAGGGAGTACGTATTTCAGGTGGTTGATAAGTCTATTCTGTCGGCTAACAGGTGGGCAGCGGCAATGGAAGGACATCAAGTCGGCATACGTTAACAAGCCCGAGGACGACGAATAGTGCGATACTTTGCGAGGGGTTTGAGTGGCAATGAATAGATTTCCAGGCTCTCTGTCAATTATTTCATGACAGAACAATGTACAATTGTGTATTACAGCATTGAATTATCGGCCTCTAATACCACAACCGTTTCGCGATCATGAATGTGATGGACTGCGAAAGAATGTCTACCCTCTTCGGCCGAATCATCAACTTCGATATGCGGCATCAAAACACGACAATACATATAAATTTCTTGAATGTCCGAGTGTGTGTTGTCGATTTGTTTTTTATCTTGACCCTTGTGGCGACCCATGTAAAGGCAGGCGCATTCCTCACATGCAAGCGTCCCATCCAGAGTGAACAATCTCATCTACTACCTGCCTTACTTGTGTGGAAAACTTGTACTAGATTCGTTCAGTTAGCATCGGGAAACAAGTAGGTGTTGATCGCACAGCAACGAGACTGCAGGTAATAACTCCAGATGTTTGCTTGGCGGCTGGCTGGCGGCTGGCTATGTCATAAGCTCGCTCATCCTCATCCATCAATTTATTGTCTACACCTACGCCAAACAACCTCACCCACCCACCCATACACTACCACTTCTACCGTCACACGAACCTCATACACCGTCTAATAGTGGCCGGCCCACGCACACTATTCTACCTATTCGCACGACTCACGCGTTGTCGCAGTTGATACCCGGCCCGCGCTTGCACCCGTGCCTCTAACCCCGCTACATCCCACTACGATCCAACAATTCGCCATGTTGGTGTCACTACAAGAGCAGGAGCTATGCCAGCACCTACGTGAGCTTCCACGGAGACACGATTATGCCTATACTCCTGAGGCGACGCGAGAACTACACCAAATCCTATTTCGCTCCCTCGCTGGCCGGCCCGAACACCTTTCGCTCTTCTTCCCAAATGGCCCTCCGACCGACTCAAACACGCCCTGGAGCCTGCGCGATGCTCAGGGTGCCGTAGAAGGCGCTGAATACATGGAATCAGCTCGAGGCAAGCCGTGCGGACATATTTTCAAGAGTGGCGAGGCAACCTATCGGTGCAAAACTTGCACTAATGACGATACCTGCGTCCAGTGCGCGCGGTGTTTTGATGCCTCTGATCATGAAGGCCACCAGGTTTTTGTAAGCGTATCGCCAGGAAACTCTGGCTGCTGTGATTGCGGCGATGATGAGGCTTGGATCCGTCCTGTCCATTGCACCATACATTCTGTCGCTGCCTCCCCCAAAACGGATGACACTGGCAAGGCAGATACGGGCCCTTCTTTGCCAGATGAGCTCGTGCAAAGTATGAGGATGACAATCGCTCGAGCGCTCGACTACCTCATTGATGTTTTTTCGTGCTCTCCCGAGCAACTTCGTCTGCCCAAAACCGAAGAATCTATATTGCAGGATGAGCGGTCATCACGTCTCACATCGAAGTGGTATGGGCCGGGCGACCATTTGGATGAAGAACAAAAATTCTGCCTCGTATTATGGAATGATGAGAAGCACACAGTACACGATGTACAAGACCAGGTTGCCCGTGCCTGCAAACAAAAAATGGCATTTGGTCTTGCCAAAGCACATGAGGTTAATGACGTCGGACGAGCTACTATCGTGACTCGTGGCAGTATCAAAGATCTTCTTCGCATGGCCAAAATCATCGAAGACATTAAACTCACAGTCACCATCCGATCCGCGCGAGATACTTTTCGCGAACAGATGGGCGGCGCTCTTGTAGAATGGATCTCGGATATCGCAGGATCCAGCGTGGGAGATGACGCTCACATACTTCGACGGCTTGTGTGTGAAGAACTGCTGAAGCCGTGGCGAGTCGGCAGTGAAGCCTCCAACATAGGAATTGGAAAAAACGGCCTTGATGATCACGAGATGGAGGATCGGGAACCGGATATGGATGGTTTCTACTATCGTTACTTGAATCAACAACGCCGTGCGCAGCTGGCCCGGATTCGCCGGCAACGCGAGGCAGCTGCGAACCCAGATACAGCAGCTTCAGACGCTGATGCGGATGAAGAAGAAGAAAGCGCCGGCGACACTGGAGACGGTGGCGATGGAATGGATCTTGATGATTTCCTGGCGCAGGATCCCGATGGTGATATCACTATGGAAGCGGGCGAAACTTTGGAGGTTTTCATAACAACGCCTGCAAATATTCCTCGCACTGCCCCTGCCGTAAACCAGCAAGAACAAACGCAGAATCTCACTCCTGTCGACTCAGACAGTGAACCAGTAGCTGCCGCCCCATCATTGAGTCACGTAGAACCGTCTCTACAAGTTCCCGAAACCCCTCGAGCGAAGTCTTTACCTTTGCGCCATGCGCGACCGCCACAGTATTGGCTCGAAAAACCAACCAATTACGGGAAAAAACCGGGAACGCCTGCTCATGAAGATCTCTGGCAGCGCCTGAGGCTGGACCATCTGATTCTCTACGATCTCCGTATGTGGAAACAGCTGCGAATCGGTGTACGGGATGTCTTCATTAGTACTGTAGTCGCTATACCTCAATTTAAGCGTCTGCTGAGTTTACGTTTTGCGGGTGTTTACACCGCACTTGCCCAACTCTACCTCATCGCAGACCGGGAGCCAGATCATTCGATTATCAATCTGTCTTTACAGATGCTCACAACCCCATCTATCACTTATGAGATTGTGGAGCGCGGCAACTTTCTCACTAATCTCATGGCCATTTTGTATACCTTCTTGACAACACGTCAAGTGGGTTACCCCTGGAATGTGGAATCTCAGGCCACTCTGGCGTTTGAACAAGGTGCCGTCACCAACCGACGTATGTACCATTTCTTCCTCGACATGAAGTATCTTCTCGGATCCACGCATGTCCAAGAACGAATCCGAGAGGAAGAGCGGTATCTTCTCCAGTTTCTGGATTTGGTCAAGTTACATCAAGGCATATGCCCCAATGTGCGTGCTGTTGGTGAGCATCTTGAGTACGAGACCGAGGCCTGGATTAGCGCATCTTTGATCACCCGTGAGATAAACAAGCTGTGCAGGCAATTTTCCGAAGCATTCGTTTGGGACCGTGATGAAGATCCCACGACCATAAATCGAGCAATCAAGGCTGCAGTGAAGGTTGCCATTATAAACTCTCTGGGAGTTGAGCGAAAGAGGTTTGATCAGGCAGAATTGAAGGCAGAAACGCAGTTCAAACCCATCGATGTCCTGGAGTTTGATGCTGAGCCTGCGACTTCCAGTGGTCCTTCATATAGGATCGTCGATTACGTCGTGGCGAAAGAGCCAATGAGTTTTCATCATGCTCTGCATTACACTGTGTCGTGGCTCCTTGACCGCGCGCGAAGCATGCCTCGCGATCACGTAGCAAGCTTACTGCATTTCTCTCAGAACGAGCTTCAGGAAGGCTTAAGTCCCACAACAGTAACCGTACCGGAGCACCAGGCCGAGGAATACCTGTTGGCTATGTTCGATTTTCCCCTCAGAGTATGTGCATGGCTTGCCCAGATGAGGGCAGGGATTTGGGTCCGCAATGGTGTTACGCTTCGACATCAGATGACGCAGTACCGTAACATCTCTCAACGGGATGTGTCCTACCTTCGAGACATTTTCCTTCTTCAAGCAGGCTTGGTTTTGTGCAATCCCTCCGTTTTTCTAGCTTCCATGATCGATCGGTTCGGAGTGCTCTCTTGGATGACCGGCAAATATGAAGCTGTGCACCATGGTTTTGAAGACACGCAAGGTGTTGATATTGTGGAGGACTTTGTCCATCTTCTCATCATACTTCTCAGTGATCGAAACTCGCTCGTACCGATTGAGAACGACTCCAATCCGCATATTGTGGCAATGCGGAAAGACATTGCTCATGTTCTGTGCTTTAAACCGCTGTCATATTCAGACATGACTGCCAGGCTGTCTGAAAAGCACCAAAATACGGACGAATTCCCCGACGTACTGGCCGAAATGGCAAATTTCCGAGCACCTGAGGGTCTAGCAGACTCCGGGACATTTGAACTAAAGGAACAGTACATTGAATTAGTTGATCCTTACATGCATCAGTATACACGAAATCAACGTGAAGAGGCCGAGACTATTTACAAGAACCACATGGCTAAGAAGACAGGAAAACGAGCTTCAGATATCGTTTTTGAGCCCAAACTTCGACCCATTCCCTCAGGTTTATTCAAGGATCTTTCTGACTTCACTCGGCGACCGATCTTCTCGCAAATTATCTACTATTTATTAGGGTATGGCTTGATGGCACCAACCGCCACCCCCGGAGTTCCTTCCACCCGCATTGAGACCTATCTACAAACTGTCCTTCAGTTGCTTTTAGTTGCCGTTCTCGAAGACAACTCTGAACATCACGAGTGGTCTCAAGATGCTCCGGATTCTTTTGTCACGTCGGTTCTTACTAAGCATGCGAACTTTGGCTTACCAGAACATCCTACTATTCTCTCTCTCCTGAAGACATTGTCTGAGAAAGAAGAATTTCAATCATGCGAGCCAAAAATCAGATTGATATTGCACCGACTCAAACAACGTCAACAGAGCACATTCATTATTGCATCCGCTGCGCTCAATATGACTACCGAGAGATTGGATACCGCATCGCCTGCTGCTGTTACTCTCCAAGAGAAGGAGCTCAAGAAAAAGCAAGCATTGGAGAGACAGGCACGGGTGATGGCTTCCTTCAAAGAACAGCAAGGCCAATTTTTGGCCAATCAGGATTTCGATTGGGGGGAAGACCTTAGTGACCTAGAAGATGAAGCAAACACATCTTTGGTGGAACAGGAGAAGATTGAGAAATACCCTTCTGACAAGTGTATAATGTGTCAGGAAGAGACGGACGACCAAAGATTATATGGATGCTTCGGTTACGTCTCGCCAAGTAACATACTCCGACAAACCGATCTCCAAGATGAAGATTGGATTTCAGAAGTCACGCAAACTCCCACCAGTCTTGATCGTTCTGCAGATGAGCTTCGACCATTTGGCGTATCTGGCAAGAACCGGCGCACGGTTGAAAAGGTCTCATCGACTGGAGAAAAGGTTTTTATTGAGCGACAGGAGCTAGGGAAAGGCTTCCCCCGGCATCAAACGAAAGTAGGACCCGTCTCTTCGGGCTGTGGACATCTGATGCATTACCACTGCTTCGAGGTGTACTTGCAAGGGACACAACGACGCCATGTTAATCAGATAGCGCGAGATCATCCTGAGCGCCCAGAGTTCAAGGAGTTCCAGTGCCCCCTGTGTAAGGCTCTCGGGAATATTTTCTTGCCAATCATATGGAAGGGCAAGAAGATTTCATACCCCGGTATTCTGGAAACCACCAGTTCGTTCGACGACTGGATTACCTCTCAACTAGCTATTGGCATTTCCAAACTCAATCAGGCTTCAGAGGGAGGAGCTACTGATGATGAATCCGCGAGTCGCACTCGTCAACAAAAAGCATTGTTTGATTATGGCAGCCAAGATTTCATCCACATTGTGGCCAGCCGACTGTCAGAAGCTACCAAATCAGACTTTGCCACAGTACCTACACCTCAGTCATCAATACCTCGACTTCCAATGCAAGCACTAATGTCAATTTCAAATGACGAACCGCGGGAGCCAATTGTAGTCTCATCCGAGATCAGTAACACGCAGAACTATCCTATGCTTGAGCTACTAAGGGTCTACGAACGTCTCAGGGATACATTCCAGGCGAATGGAATCCCATCCGCTTTCCAATCTCCACGTACTGTAGGATCTGTTTATGTGGAGGATCTGACTCACACCGATGCTCTTGCCCAAGCTCTCGGGTATTCAATCTCGGCGGTTGAGATTGCTCAGCGCGGAGTTCAGAGTGATTCGATGAGGGGCAGCCTGCTCGAGCGAATCTCCCAACAGGCGCTTACACATCTGCGGATCTACTCGGAGACGATCTCGTCTTATCTTGCAGTCGGAAGTCTACGAAACCAAGCGTCAAACAAGACAATGGAAGAGTATCTGCATACACAGGCTCATCAGCTCCACCAGTTATTTATTGGTCACCCTAATATCTTTGACCCGGAAAGCTTACCGTATGATCTGAAGAGTATCGAGCCTCTCCTCCTGAAAGACTCATTCAACTTCCTTTGCGAGAGTGCGGTCTGCGTTGTTCCAGCTTACGATCTTGATATTCACCATGTGATCCGCCTCTGCTACTTGGCAGAGATGGTGCGAGTGGTCATTGCTTTTGCGAGTAGTTCTACGGAGGATCAATCGCTTGCTTTCGAAAGTTTCATCAATGAAGAGAAAGTAAAGTTTGGCACATTCAGCTCGGAGCAACTGAACAATATGCTAAGCTTTGTATCTCTCGTCTTCAACGTTGCTCGATCAGGGAACTCTCAAATTTCGATACCTATTCCGGATCGATTTCACGACCCCAAGTTCTTCTACTTCATTTACACAATGGCTTCGACCTACGCCCTGCCGTTTGTGCGTAAAACAGCGATCTTGATGCACGTCCGTTATGGCGTTGAACTACCTAGTGTGCCTTTCGATCAAGTGGAAGAGCCTGAACTTGATCGATTATCGTCATTATTGAGGCTTCCTTCTCTGCACGAGCTATTTGCGCCTTTCGCAAGCGAGTCGCAGAGTGCACGAGTCACCAGGTCAGTAGTGGGCGGGTGGATAAGGCACTGGGTTTGGTTCCGGGAGGGCAAACACCTTCCCTCACTTGTGTCGCTCTCTCATCCAGCCATCTTCGAGCTTGTAGGGCTTCCCAAGAACTATGATGTACTCACCGACGAGGCGATTCGACGCAAATGCCCTACAACTGGGAAAGAGCTTACTGATCCATCTTTGTGCCTTCTTTGTGGCGAGATCATGTGCAGTCAAGGTGTCTGCTGCATGACAGACAAGCATCGTGGCGGCCTCAATAAGCACCAGGCCAAATGTGGTGGCAATATTGGGCTGTTCATGAACATCAGGAAATGTATGGTGCTCTTCTTGAATCAGGACCATGGTGCGTGGACCGTGGCACCATACTTGGACAAGCATGGGGAGGTGGATCCTACGCTACGACGACATCATCAGCTGTTCCTAAATCAGAAGAGGTATGATGCGCTGTTGAGAAAAGTTTGGCTTGATGGTGGAGTCCAAAGTCTCATCGCCAGAAGACTGGAGGGAGAGATCAATACGGGCGGTTGGGAAACTCTGTGAGTGGGCAACTAGGAACTTAGGAGTATAGGCGTTCTGCATGAATCAAAGTGTAACTTAGTACAAACTGATGATTCATGGTCATTCTCTCTATATTCGAGCATATGTATTGGGCCATTGGCCGTAGCGTACCTACATTGCTAATAATTTTGTTAAATATATGCACAGTAACTGTTATGCGCAGCGCGCTGGGCATGCTCGCGCTCGGACCACCACCACTAACTTCCGGCGAGGGTCCACGGATGCTCCGAGAGCAACAACTTTTCCCTCGCCATCTCCTTCAGACTACACCACACACTTGGCTCATTATTTCGGGTTGCATCTGAGTATCAGTGCGGTGTACTACGTCAATGTCGATATGTTGGTGTGGCCATCGAGCAATCTCTCGCTCGCCTCTACAGCCTGCGAAAACACTTGCGCCTTTTCTGTACCAGACCGCGACACTCCTGCAATGCAGACCTGATACGCATCCAATTGCCCGCCGACATGCATCTTCCCGACCGCGATACGATCATGACGTTCCTTTCGAGAATGATTTGCAGTCTACAGCTGCAGAACAAGAGCCCCCACGCAATACCACCATAACAGGGTCTGAGCGCATGGCCTTTCGAAAACTTTACAACAAGTTCACTGCGCCAAAAGACGATTTCGAAGATTTTGTGGATAAATATCAGGGGGGAAAAGAGACTACGCCCGAAAAAGAACACCAGGACCTGGACTCCTTGTTCGACGATGTCATGTCAGGCCGCGCAAACAAATGGCGAGAATCCTCATCTAGACAGCGACTGCCGCCCAAAAAGAAGTCGGATAATAATATAGCTTCGCTCGCTGCTTCTATTTTGAATCCAGGCATGAAAGAGGCAGAAAAGGAAGCGAAAAGATTGGCCGAACAACAAGCAGCCGAGCTCCTTATGGTACAGGAAGAAGAAAGGCGCAGGATTCACGAGTTGTTCGACAAGGCAAAAACCGACCATGAATTGTGGAAAATCTTGAAGGAAGAGGTCTTTGAGCCTATTAGCAGTCTCGATCTAGATTCGGATGGAGGGCACAAGAAGGAGGACAAGCCGTCGAAACCCACCAAAATGTCGAAGCCTGCCAAACAGAGCAAGCACTCGTTCCCAACCTCTCCAGTTCATACCAAATACCAACCTTCGGCACACAAACCCTCCCCGAAAGATGCTAAGGTTCTTTTTCATAACTATCCGACTCACTTGATCGCAGCCGCTAAAGTTTTCGATCAAAACTTTCCCGCCTCGTCGCTTATCTTCTCTATTCTTCCATTCCTAAAGTCGCAAGGGCGATCTGCCTATGCTTTAGGCGCAACCGAAGAACTTTATAACAATATCATTCGCATTACCTGGCAGAAGAATGCATCCTATTCGCAGGTTTGCAACTTGCTTCAAGAGATGGATAATGGCGGCATTGAACTTAAGCATCGAATCTTAGAAGTGATCGAGCTTATCCAAGCAGAACATGAAGACGCCACATCAGGAAGAATGGGCCAACCTTTGGCAGAAGTAGTGAAAATGGAGTTATACATAAAGGACATGCAGCAGTTGATCGCGTGGAAAAATGTCGTACGGAAGAGACTGGGGATGGCGGATGAACCTATCAGACGCACCCCCAGACGGATAGTAGGAAAGGAACATATAACTTTATCATTCCAATGATACCTCATATGAAGGGGGGGTAGGGAAGCCTCATTCTAGAGTGCCATCGTTGTATCAGAATTTTAAATGTAATATAATCACGGTCACAAAGGGAATCGAACGAGGATTTATGGCGCAATATGTGATATTAAGAGCTGAATTTACATATTAGGGTTTCACTTAAGTCGCCAGGCCAGATAGGCAGCGACAAGCGCTGCCACACCACTTGCTCTCAACACCCAAGCCAAACTGACATCTTGGTCCGGTTTACTTTCTTCGAAAATCCAGAATACGACACTGCTTCCTAGCGCCGCCAGAATTTGGGGCAATGATATAGCAGCATTGTGAACGCCCATCATTGCACCGCTCTGACTGCTCATCCATCGCTGCCCGCCTTTCTCCATCCTCGAGTCCTTTTCGATATGGTGTGTTGCAATGTCCTCGCCAATCAGAGCAAAAGGTGCCCATTGTGTAATCCCCCAAGAAATGCCAGTCACGGTGACCAGGATAATGGCCGCGGATACTGTGGATACAAAGATAGTGCAGAACGTGCATAACGCATACAAGAGGTGACTCACAAACCAGAGAATGTGAGTTTCTCGCCACCACTCGGTCTTCGAGTTCGTCGAAGAAGCGACATAAGGAGCCACGATTGTCGTTGCCAGAGCCAATATTGCCGATAGGAGACTCGCAAAGGTGCCTAGCCGAACTCCTGCATCCCCAAGGTATTCAACTTTCTGCTCGACCCCTCTTTTGCGCTCTTCGATCATGTATAGGCTTGCGATATAAGATGTGGAATAGAAGAGAAACCCAAACCATCCCATCCAAGCGAAGAATTGCACGAAGCACACGCGACGTGACTGTAGTGGCATGTATTTCCAACCATCCTTCACATCCCGCAGACAACGAACAACCAGATTGCTTCCCTCGGGCGTATACTCTTTCTCGCCGAAATCCTCCTCCTTAATGAAGTAGACAGTAGCGAGGATAGTGACAGCCAAGACCGATATCGACAGCACTGTCATGAACCGAAACCTCGTAGTCTCATCCCCATTACCATTACCACTGTTTTCCGTTATAGCCCCCCAAAGTGGCAACGACCCAAAAACATATCCCAGAATATTACTCCCTCCAGCGAGCCTTCCCGCCCAAGCACTAGCCACCGACTGTTGCTCTTTGGGACAAACATCCACAATCAGCGCTCGAAGTCCTGCTTGCAGTGGTTGCATCGACACGTTCAGAACCAGAATACAGATGATTGCAGCAGCCTGCACTATCATTGCATTACTTCCCCCAATGCTCCCCACCCAAGCGAGAGTGAGAAGTGAAAGGCACACCCCCAATCCCCCGCCCACTATGAATGGCCGCCGTCTCCCCCATCGTGACCGCGAACTATCTGATATTGCGCCTACGATAGGCTGCACGAGGGCGCCGCAGATGGGTGCGATGGCCCAGATCAGCGAGGATTGCGTTTTAGTGATACCGAGGGTGAAGAGGTAGGCTGAGCCATGAGAGAAGACAGTTGACCATATGAGTTGGAGTCTGTATCCGGGAAACAAGCACCAGGATAAAACATTAGCAATTTTCTTTCTTTTGAGGTTATGGAAGACGATGTTGTTCACGAGAAGATGAACAGAAGTGATGTCTTTGACATTACGTACCCTCCTATCGCGCATGTCAACGCGAATAACAAACTAGTAGATAACTGGGGAACGATGAGATTGTCTTCGAATTCCAGAGTGGATATTGAGGATTCGCTATCCCGCCGGGCTGGTATTTGCTGCATTGCAGCCTAGTGTTTACGCCGGAGGTGTGGGTGCGAAGTCGTCGCTTTTCCGTCTATCAGACAAGTGAAGTCTGCGCGAAGAAGATGGTTCGTTCGTGAGAGGTTGTTAGAGAATGGTTTGCCGGTGTCGTTATTGAGAGCGATCTGCACAATGCGGGGTTGATCTGCCCTTGTCACTTGGTCTTGGTCAAAGGGCGTCTTTGTATGCGGGTTTATCCATTCACCTTCCCTTTGTAGGTCTCGTGTTGGGGGCTGCTCGTATATGTGGAGTATATGGAGCTTATGAGTTTTATTTAGCTCTTGGAGTGGCATTTTCACCCGAGTTCCAGGAACGTCTGGCCTTTTTGTTTTGCCAACGACTTATTTCTTGGTGTGTGCTTACTTGTTGATTTATTGGGACGGGGATCCGGGAACCACGTAGGTGGGCATCGCCTAACGCCAATAAAATATATTGTCTGGATCCTTCAATACGGGATTGCCCTTTGTGGCGAGGAATAAGTTGGTTGGCTCGCTAATACTTACACAAACTTTGCTGTGTGCTTCTATGGTGGACCAGGTACGGAGTTTCGTAAAACACCAATATTATCATTGCATTATTCTGCCAATAGTAGGTGCACCTTTTGCGATTACTGATAGGAGCTGCTTCGCCCCAGATGGTCTTACATGTAGGTTATCATTATCTGTACCTAACCTGGGCTGTCTTGATGCCGAGCACCAGTACTGACTTTGTTGAATACCCTTCAATGTTGTCAGAAATTCTATCACTGTTCAAGTACCACATTACTCCGACAATAATTTTCCGATGGCTGTTCAAATCAACGTCTTTGGCATGGCCACTAAGAACATAACTTGCACAGCAGTAAGACTTTAGCTAAAAGCAGAATAGCTCGGGATTCTCTTTCATCACTGCTTGGTAATCCGAGCCGTACCACTTGGGGTACTCTAGTGACATCTCACATTGGGACCATACTGCGGTTGAAGCCCCATCATAATAATGAGAAGCAACGACGGTTGTTGGACATGCAAATTGAGAAAGAAGCGATGCGACGAGTCGAAGCCAGCGTGCAGGAATTGCTCCACACTGGAGATAACATGCAACTTCGACGCTCAGAGGCCATCATGGATGGATAACGGACCTAATCAAAAACAAAAGACCGCAGAGATCAAACACGAAGTCAAAGCTGCTGCTGCGCGCCGACGTGGAATGGTGTCGATGAACGCTTTGGATCCTACTGCCGCAGAATTTGATGGAGAGGATGGATTGACAGCGAATTCGCCCGGCCAACAACTTATGCCCCCTATAGATTCGATTACTCACCATGAAGAAATCTCAGACTACATCTCAGTCTCAGCACCAATGCCTACACCGCCTAACAGCGATCTGGTAGCGAGCCATATCGACCAGAATCATTGGAATTCAATGAACTGGTCGCCGGCTGGGAATTTTAGTGACAGAAGACCAGAAGGTCTAGAACTCGATCGACGTTTTCTGATGTTCTACTTCGACCATTTTTTCCCATTCTTATTCCCGTTCTACAAGCCGCCACTGCTCGAAGGTGGACGCAGCTGGATCATGGAGCTTGTGGTATACAACCAAGCTATGTGGCATACAACTCTTTGTTTGAGCTCGTACTTCGTCTCAGTTGCGTTTGATGGCGCTATCTCGGAGAAAACTCTATGCAAGTCGCTTGCATGGGACAAGCTATTGAAGCAGATGAATATCACATTTCAGATGCTCCAGCACGATCTCCATGAAGTAACGTCAAATGATACGCCGAAATCTATAGTTAAGGCTTCCAGAATCATGGGGAGCATTATTCAGCTTCAACGCTTCGAAATCTCGATAGGTAATTCCGAGAGTTGTCAGCAGCACCTGGGCGCAGCTATCACACTGTTTCAAGAAATCTTTCACCTTGCACGGCACGATGGCGATGGCTACAGTATGACCACTCTATCTGACGTCCTTGGTTATATGGGACGACCACTTTGGGCCATCAACTCCCAGCCTAGCGGGGGAGCCTGGAGTTCCGATCAAGCAGCCTTTCGATTCTACACAGCACTTCTGATTGTCGATGACATCGTTGCCAGCACGTGTACATCAGAGCCACCTAGATTAATCGATTATCACGCTAGTGCCCTCGCAAACGACCGCAATTCCGACGCGAAGCCCCTGCTAAATCTCCAAGACTTTGTTGGCTGTGAAAACTGGGTCATGTTACAGATCAGCGAGATCTCAGCACTCGACGCATGGAAGAGTTCTATGAAGAAGGCGGGTCAGCTCGACATGATGGAGTTGGTAGCGCGCGCGTCAGGTATCAAGTCGGCACTGGTTGGCAACCTCGCACGTCTTGACGCTACTGTTAATGCGCCAAAGGCTAACCCGCTTGGGTTGTTCGCAGTATACAATGACCAGTTACCATATATTTCTGGTGGATGCAATACTTTTGTGACCCGTGTGTGGGCGCACGCCGCATTGCTCTACCTGTCAGTGGCTGTCTCTGGATGGCAGCCTGCAAGTGCTGGCATTAGAGAGAATGTGATCAGAATATTAGCTCTTTTGGACCAAATGCCGGCACCAGAGCTTCTAAGAACTATGGTCTGGCCGTACTGTTTATCTGGCTGTCTGGCCGAGCCCCACGAAGAAAACCGCTTTCGAGCAATGGCCGATGCACTGGTCCCATATCGACTGTTCGGAGCCGGGCGCAAAGCGCTCGAGATTATGGAGAATGTATGGAAGTGCAGAGGTGAGCTGAGTATTGACACAGACTTTTCTGCATGTGTCTCTAGTTTGGGCTATATATCTTTGTTGGTCTAATAGGAGAAGTGGTATAGTAGATATTAGAACATCAGCTCCTTGTGATAGGTGATTCACTCGAGGCCATTGGCCCAATAAATAACATGTCGCATCACGCACACTATACAAGGAACAACGACTGCAAGATCATGATAGTTTCGTCGCTCATTATCTTTGCCTTTAGTTAGGAGTACCCCCTTATCCACTACAGTGAAACACTTTGGATTCAAACTATCTCACAAGATTTCTGCACTTTGGTGCATCATTAACAGTCGAGTCTCCATACGTGTGCATCAATTCCTATCTGGAATCTATCTGAAAACCTCCATATCTAGAACTTGACGTAGCCCTTTCCCTTAACAAAGGTAGCGTGCCATGGAACTTCGCCCTGGCCACTTGCAAGCTGCGCGAAAAATTCGCCATGAGCGTCGCCATCAAGCTGCATTCCCTTGATACCACCGTCCTCAGTGCGCTCATCGGCGTAGTAGAATCTTTTGCAAGTGTTAGCACTTCACTCAAGTTTTTAGCGTTTATCAGATTTGAACTCACCGATAGCCCAGTTTCGAGTAGTACAGGTCGGCCGCGCCGACGAGATAGGAAGAAGCCGATTTTCCAACACTCAGAGTCAGCGTGAGTGGAATCGGAAGGATGGTGGTGTTTGATTTGTTTCCAGTGTAGATGAAAACCTTCTTCGCATCCGTGGTGAGCGTCTCCCATCCTTTGACAGCTTGCTGAGCAGCTGCATAAAAGGAAACTGTGTTCGTGTTGAGGGTGTTGGCGAGAGCCTCCGCTGGGATGGAGAAGATGTCGTCGCCATTGGGTGGGACTAAGGCGGCAGCGTTGTATACCACGACGCTTGGTGCGATTTGATACTCTGATTTGACAGCATCAAAGATCGCTGGGATGGATGACGGGTTCGACAGGTCTCCTTGAATGGACAGATAGCCTTCGGCCGTCTTGCCCCCTGCTGCCTTGCGAGAAACAACGGCTACATTATAACCAGTGCTGGAAAGTTGCTTGGCTACTGCAGCACCGACTCTGGGTCCGGAGCCTAGGATGAGAGCGATGGGTTTGGAAGACATGATTTAGTATTCAGATAATCGTAGATGACGAATTGAGAGTTGAGACGATTGCAATGCGTGAAGGATATCCGGCATAGTTTGCGAGACATTGATCGATATTTATACACGAATTTATACGTTTCCAAGGGTTTCTCAGTTCTTACTAGCTTTTGGATACTTTCTAACGCCTATCACCATAGGGCGATTGATCAATAGCGCGCGGGCTGGTTCCCGCGCGGGAAGGTAGCACTGCCTTGTGATAGTGGGTAACTTTCGTAGGGATGCCAGATATTCTCATACTAGATGCTTCAGGCCAATAAAGTTGATCTAATCTGTACATTCAACTTTCTCCTTGCTATTAACAAGAACAGGAATCAAAGCAGTATTCATAGTATGCCACATGTAGGGCACTGCCGTCCAACTTCACTCGCCAAAGAAATAGAAGACATGAATCCCAGAGTACGAAATATGTTCCATGCTCGCAGCCTTGGATAAACAAGAGTTCTGCTGTGATGTATGCCTCTCATATTGAGAAGACGAGCAATGGTCATTACGGATACGTCGGTGGTGGTAATATGTCAAGTGCGCGCGCGGCTTCAAAGTACGAAATAGGATTAGTGACATTCCCGCGCGGGTAGTGGGGAATGCTCTGTGAGAGGAACACACGGTTACACGAGATTCTTAGAAATCAACATAATAGTTTGAATACTAGAGTCAGACACACGATACTCTGGCAATAGTGGGCAATAATACTCTACTGATTTTGTCTTGCTCCCCGCGACTTGATTGGAGACAGCACAGTGGGGGCTTTTTGAGCCTTCCCCCTAAATTTAGGAGCCGGGGCACTGTGCATACACGGGGATCAATTAGGAATCGCATCATCAGGCAAAAATATCTCAACTCCCTTCTGATATAATTGAGCTGTGGTCTTCTGCTGTACAATTTGGGTGAATGAGTGTAAATAGTATCAATTGACTGCCTCAAACCACTCATCGCGCTCAGTCAACCCCACCCTCTCCACTTTGGTAGTAAAGGTATTGAAATACCGTTGACTCCCGCACTCGCCTATTCTGTGAGAAATATGGGTGTGTGTTTTATTTTGTCAAACTCCCAAAGATATGAGGCACCGTGGCATGCCAAGCTCCCAGCTCCTCAGGTGGTTGTGCGAGATCGATCTTCGACCATTTTCCAGCTTGTTCCAGACTGTTTCGCGTATCCTTGCAGAGTTGACAGCCACCATAAGCATACGGCCAGAAGACGTTTACAAGTGCTGTGATTTATTAACACGTTTTTGACTTTTCAGCTCAATCGAATCTTGGTTGCGTACCTTGATACCATCTCATCGGCCAGTAATCTTTGACGACTACATGCTCGTACAAGTACCATCGTCCGCCTTCCTTCAAGTATCCATGTAGCTCTTTGATGTTCTTTTCCGGCTCAGGGATACTGCACAAGCAGAGCAGCGATACGATGCAATCCACGCTCCCTTTCTGGATCGGTTTTGCCGTTCCATCCGGAGAGGCGCTAGAGATTGCTTCAATACCCACTGGCAATATCTCATACACGCCGTCCAACCCCGCCTCTTTCACTTTCTGCCTCAGGCTCGGCCAAGAATCCGCATTAGGTTCAACACCATATACCTTTGTGATGGCCTTCTCACCCCCTCGAGTGCCATTTGCATCTTGGCCAACAGGTATATCGGTGCTAGCATACAAATCCACCCAATATCCGCCACCTGGGCCGATATCTAAAACTGTACCACTCACAGATTGCATAACAACATTTTCATTGACCTGTCCGTTTGTCACCCGTCCCTCAAGCAACGCGATGATGCGAGGCCCTCTTCCTTTTCGAATAAGCGGCCCCCAATAGGACCAAAATCTTTGGAACCACGCGTTTTGAACACGGCTCCAAGAGAAGAGAGAACTGAAACCCGAAGTTTTGTACAAGTGCGAAATAGTACCAGGGAGGAAGGCCAGAGACATCCACAACATTTGCCATGGCATCAACAATGACCAAAAGGCCTCACGGGTCTTCTGAAAGAGAACCATGGCTGGAAGAGTAATAATTGATTCGAGTAAGGTAAGAACAAATTTTCCCTCTTTTTCAAGTTTTGCTTAGGGAAATGGAGATAAGAAAAAGTGCGGAATGAGATGGACGAATTTATACTATGTGTACTACGTGGAGCTAACCCGGATTGGGAGTTGTGAGCGATTTTAGAAATTATGCGAGATGCTCATCTGATGACAAAGGTGCTTCGTATGATACAACACTCGTTGAATCTTTCGAAATATTTTTCGTTGCGATAGTTTAGAGTGTTAAGTCTACCGAAACCATGTACCTCCCAAGATTCTTGTATGCATACATCGATGGTGGTGAGTAAAGTTTTGCTTCAAAGAGGCCGAGATAGTTGATGGCCCCCTAAAGGGCTTACGGTACACGGTACAAACAACTTGGTGGGCACGCTAGCACTAATGAGACCTTGTGATTATATTGCCACTGAAGCACACGATAAGACTAACAGAATTATTGAAAGAAATAGACGGCTGCAAAAATTCTAGCAGCAGTGGACTGCCTCAAGTGAAGTTGCAGAGTCTCAGTGAAGTCAAACAAATCTAGTGAAGCTGATTTCCAGCAAGTGATCAGAGATTGACTTCCGTTGGCTAAATGAACTTTGCGCTGCTTGCTCTCGCGAATCATGGATGGTGTGGGTGTGATTCGCGGTGTTCCACTAGTATCTCAATAATGTCATGGGTGAAATCCGTCACCCATATATTCTCAAAGCGACATAAGTTTGCTATGGTCAGATTACGGGCGCAAACGTGAATGATCTGTTGTCTCATACGAGCAAACCATTTCCACACAATCAACCGCGCATTGAATATATTAACTCGGCCAGGTCACTTTCATCAACAACACATCACAGTGCAACGTCACAACTCACTTTGAAGGAGACTGCAAGCAAGAAAATCAAAGTTTTGATCCCTCGCACCGTGAATAAAATATCTTTGAGTCAGCCATGTCAGATGCAGACGCGCTACAAAACGCTCGTCGCCAGGACCCCGAATCTCCAAACAACGCCACCCAACCCTCGATACAGAGCTGTCCCAAGAATACAGAGAAAGAGGCAACTAAAAATACATCAAGTTCGAATATAGACCAGGAAGGAGAAAAGGAGAAAATGGAAGACCCCAGCACCACAAACGCTCCTCCCCTGCCAAACTCCGAACCTGCCTCGCTCCAAGAAGCCCATCAGGACGACCAACCTTCCAGCTTCAGCACTGCCGTGGATCCACCTCCACAGCCACCCCGAGTTCTCCACGAAGCTACTCAATATACCCCAGAGATCAATCTTACTGTCAACACCCTTCAAATCGCTCCTCACACCATCAATCTTCTTAACAGTCTCTACCCACCGCCTCTCCCTCCACCTACCGCCCCTGCCGCGACAAGAGCGTACATCATTCCTCAGAGGAGACCTGAAAAGCAAACCCCGCACATAGTCGAAAATCCAGATACTGCGACGGAGTTCCCACGACCAGCCGAGAGAGAGTATCTCTTGAGATCAATATCGGAATGGGATACCGAGGACGCGCTCTTCTTTCAAAAGCAGATGCGTATGCAGGAAGACTTGGCGAAGATTGCGCGGGATAATCTAGAGGGATGGTTCCTCGGGCTAAGGGGTGAGTTTGAGGAGAAGACAGGACGCGTCTTGGGTAGATGTTCGGTTGGAGAGGAAGAGGGGAATGAGGATCTGGGGACGTGGAATCTTTGGGAAGACGAGGATGAGGACAGTAACGTGGACGAGGTTGGAGATGAAGACGAGGGTGAAAATCAGGAGTAGTCGAACGAGGACTGTGAGACATGATGGGAATTTTGATGTAACAAGCAAGATCCCATGGGATGAAGAATCATTTCTGGATCTGGGGTTTTCTGGGCTTATTCTGGATATTGATTTAGTTGTGTATCCTTTAGAGTTGTTTTGAATATGATCACTCTTGATTGATGGTAGTTTGAGCTTCATACTTCATAATCGCGGCATGCATCAACGATGAGACGCATGTCCATTGTGTCCTTTTATGACCATATGCGACCGCCATCTGACACGGATGTCTTTCGCTGGTTTTGCTACATACATACGTAGTGTCTATGCATTAACTTAGGACGATATCAATGAGACATCACCTCTCGAACATCAAACAGCATAAACCTTGCCACCTGAGAAGAACTACGCGAATGACACAATACGATCATTCTTCGATATGAAGCTTGCCGCGGACTTCGGAGATGGATTTGGGCGAGCGACCATCGAACCCGGATTTCTGGTCATCATCATTCACGTGGCTCTCGAGTTTTGACCGGCGCGTTGTAAAGACGACTCTATCCCATCCTGTGTTCGTAGTGGGCCATCAAAGGGTTCGAGAAACGTAGAATATAACGCTCGGTACGCTGCGTGCTACCGGTTTTGAGGTCTTTGATCGATGATCTCCTTCAGGTCCACGGATATGGCATCGCTCCTTCACTATTTGGCCCACCTAATGGCTGTTGTGTTCCGTCCTCGGTATCCGGAAAGAAACCAGTCCACATTCCATCCTGCATAAGTACGTCCACCTCACTGGGGTTAGCGTTCGGCCACATCATGGCATACACATTATTGATCTGTGTCTGAGGAGATTCTTGAGTCGGAAATTCTAGAATAGCGCTTCCCGGAGTAATGTCTAGAGATGCTGAGCTCTGGTCGGGGGGCTGCGGATGCAGGAATGGACCACAAAGTCGCTGGATTACGTTGTAGCACTCTTGGGCGCTAGGGTTTGTGGGCGAGATGAGCTTCATCGTATGCATTGTTTGGCGGATTTGCGAGCGCCAATTCTGTGCCATGGGGGATGACGGTTCGGACGTGTTGCGCAGACACACACAGGGAATGAGTGAGGCCTGGAATAGAAAGTATCTGAGGAGATCAGTTCAGGCTCGTTGATGACATGAAACGAATTGTACATACAATGCGTACCACGCAGCTAATCTGGTCTGTGATGCGCTTGACCAAAAGCTACTAATTGTGTTGATGCTTATCTCTGCTTCATGAAGACATCGGTTGTACGCCTCTTGCGCGGCTTGAGGCATACTCGTGTTGCTCTCTTGAGACCTCGCTTGAAGTACATGGCGCATTACGTACGGTCTGTACATGATGATCCTGAAATTACTCTTGCGCCACCACATTATAGCATGTCCAGTAGCAAACTGGGGAGGTACAGTGGCATCTCTGGAGTACCACGACGGTACTTTAGACTCCCAGGTCTTTATCCGATCATCGTCGAGGCGGATCAATTCGGCCGTGGTAGGATAAGGCATGGAAATAACTCGCGCGTAAATGTCGTTAGTCAACATATGGAACTTAGACTGCATGATTACAGCACTATAAGTAGTGATGTGATCAGCTTCCGAGGGAATAGATCGTGACAAGTTGTTGATAGCCCTGGAAGAAACGTTCAATGGTAACGACAGTTCCACGTTCCCAGGCCACGCTACTGGGCGTCCGAAGGTGATGGCGGCCCCCACATTGAAGACGAAAATGCACCACCAAACTCGCCTGCGGATCTCCATATTCAGAGGCGAGATATCCCAGCCCTGGAATTCTTTATGTAGACCGAGACCCATGGCCATGTGCAATGCGAGTCCGAGATAGTTATATCCACTGTTGGGTTTATTTTTCTTCTGGAGATAATTCGACATAAGTGTCAACGTCTGCACAAGAGTGATGTTCCCCGTTTCAAGACTTTCAATCGACAAATTCGACTGAGCAGCGATGAAAAGCCTCCGATCGGTGTCTGTTTGATCCGTGGCGGTGGTGAAATGTCCAATTGCAGCTATGATGAAAGCCAGAGCATGCCAGCTTCGGCCATTAGGCCGGGGAATGACATGACCGAACTGTGCACGAAAGGTATGTCTGTTCAGTGGTTGCAGAGTTAGAAAGATTCCGCTGCAAGTGATGTAGAGCAATGCAATTGACAGATTACTGGCTTGATATTGCCTCCTGATATCCTGTACAAGGGGGGATACATACTCTTCGACTAGCGGATAGGAGTTATGATATAGACCAAAATAGCCGTTGATTGCAGCATCAAAGTCGACATTAAAGAGGCGGAGTTTGTCCCACAAGGGGGTCTCTAGTAAGTGATTTGACATATTTGCAGGTTGCGTGCTTTGTCTACTCGATCGAGTTGTGGGTCTCGCTGGTCTGTCGTGATTTGCGTCCGGGAGTAGCAGTCTGAGCATGGCTGCGCCAGATGCTACGCCTAGATAACCGGCTTCATTTTCATCCACTGTCAACGAAGCCATGCCATCAGCTGTTCGGTCGTCTTCCTCTGGCGATCCATAAGACTGAGAAACACCTATATCGCAGGTACAAAGTTAGTTGAATACAGGCGGTGATGATGAAATGAGCGTCAACATTCTACGCACCTATTTCGGTCTGGATGGCTTCCGGTGACTGCTCGTCCCAGCTGAAATCAGCCGGTCCAGAAGGAGGACCTTCAAATGATAACGGCGGCTCGTCTGTTGCATACGTCCCTGCGTCTTCAGTAGCTGCATGCTCTACAACGTTCTCTGGGGGGATTGTGAACTGTTCACTGTCGCTGTGCTCCGGGATGGACGCGTGTTGTGATTGAGATTGAGATTGCAACCGACTCTCCGCCAGCCGAGCACGATCTTCAGCGCGTACCGCTTGCAGCTGAGCGCGGCGAAGCTGCTCTTCGATCTCGGTCAAGTATTTCCGTGTCAGGGGTGTTTTGCTGTTTCGGGCGTACAGACAGTGTCTTTTGTTCTTTTTGCAGGGAGAGCACTCGGGTACGAGTTTATCGCATCTCGCCTTTCTACGTCGGCATTCATTACAAGCCTGGTCTCGATCACGATTGTCGACGCCTTCCATCTGCGTTTTACAAAATGTTTAGATGCATGGTCCAAATTAACCTTGCCCCTCGAAATGTGGAGTCACACGCCATCATCAAATTATGGCCGGAAAGGCACCGACCGAATGCTTAATAAGCTGATCTGGTCTATGACGAATGAGAAAGTAACAACTGAATTGATCCTACAACTACCACCACTTCATACTATCTAAACTAAGCAACTTCCGTGTGCAGTTTGTCAGCATAGTGCGTCTTCTTCTCAACTTCGTCTACATCAACTGCAGCCTGTGGACCGTCAAAAATCTCCGCTATCTCCTCCAAGCTACGCCCCTTAGTCTCTGGGAAGAAGAAGAAAGTGATGGCCAAGAAGACGACCAGAAGACAACAGAAGACAATGTAGTACTTCCATCCCAGATTTTCCATCCCCACGGGGTTGACGAAGGCTGCAATCACCAATGAGCCATATATCGACAACAGTTCACACGTAAGACCCTTCGATCGAAGACTGTAAGGGAAGATCTCCGTAGGGTAGGACATGAGCAGTGGTGTGTAGGCGATATCGTAATGGAAATAGAATGCGAAGAGGCAGACAACGACAACATATCCAGCCGCTTTGTTGTTGTCTTCGTTATTGACTGCCGAACACGCTGTCCACACCACGTAGCTTACGAGCATCCCAATACCAGACCAGATGAAGAGTGTTCGTCGTCCGAGTCTGTCTACAAGCAAAGCAGCACTCACAGCTGCTGCGAAGTTGAAGATCTGGAGGAGGCCGTTAATGAGGGTCTGGTCGAACGAATTCGTGATACCGATGGAGTTGAGCACGAGGGTTAAATAGTAGCTGACAACACTAAAGAAGACATGTCAGTATCAGAATACAGTGACTCTATGGTGCTATAGCTTACCCTATTCCGTTCCATTGAGCGAAAGCTCCCAGGCAAACAGCAATGAACAGGCGTTTCCGATTTCCAGGAGTGGCCACCAAGGCACTCCACTTCACGGAGGCAGATGCTTGCTCATTTCTGATGGCTTGCACAATCTCGGAAATTTCTCTGCTGACTAGAGGGCTGTTCTCATCGCCGCCGGCGTGGTACTGAGCAAGGATAGCACGAGCTTCCTCCGTTCGCTCTTTAGCCACCAACCATCTGTGTCGCGTTAGCCGATATACCATATAATTAACCGCTGTGTCACATACCTAGGAGACTCAGGCACCATCCAGAAAAATGCCAATTGGACCAGTGGATACGCTGCTTGGAGAATCGTGGGAACCCTCCAGCTCCAGTTATCATTATATCTCTCCGTGCCAAAAGTAGCCCAAGCTGCAAGAATGGCGCCCAAATAGTACATACACCAGAAAGCACTAGTGTATTTGCCACGGTGGGTGGGATATGCCAGTTCTGCAATCAACATGGGTGAAGGCTGCACAACGAACATGCCAGCAACTCCCACCACAAAACGAGAGACGACAAATTGTGCCAACGTAGTCGCTGTTGCCTGAATTATGGTAGCCACAACGACTCCAATGATGCCGCTCAGAAGCACAACACGTCTGCCATATTTATCCGAGAATGTTCCAACGAAGGGCAAAGCAACCACAGAACCGGCTGATTGAGCGGCGTTGACGAGCCCGAGCAAGGCGCCTGCAGGGTTTCCGAAATAGTCTTTCCATTGGTTCAATGCCTGAAGACCATTCATTAAAGAGCCTGGGAAAGTCAGTCCTTTGCAGCCTTGTTGCGATTGAAAGAAGGATGCGTACCATCGTAACCGGCCACAGCAGAAGAAAGTAGTGGAACAAGTAGAATCAAGTTCAGTCGAAGTAAATGAGGTATTTGGAACCAGTATTTGGTGGTTTGAGGAAGCACTTCGGCCAAAGATTGGCCAACAATGTCTGCGTCCTTCATGTTGTACGAGCAGATGATACAAGAATTTTGACGTATGGAGTAAGGTAAGATGGGTGATCAGCGATAGACATGTCAGAATGGGGCGGTAGGCAGCCATCTTATATATCCACTTTTAACGGAGCCGCATTACTCGGTTGACAGGACGTAAACAGCTTACTGGCGAGTCGAGTGGTGTGATAGCGGGTTAACGCTGGATTGGATTGTGTGGAGACCCCGGAATCGCGACCCCAGATCCCACAAGCGAGACCCGATCAGTCGGAATGTGGTAATGTGATTTGTGAGGGTGACTCTCACCCCAATGGACATCGGGCCGATGCTTATACAGAATGGGCGATGTTCACGATGGGGACCATGACCCGCTTGACGTCACTTTAGTCTCGTGCCAGTAGAACGCTGAATTCTGGTAAGCGAATCGCGCTCCGCGTTGAATAGAACATGACCCCAAACGTGACAGGCTACGGAACGTGGTGCGTTGTCAAAGTGATCGTTAATAGTGCCTGCGGCATCGTCTACTGCGTGAAAAATTATTCTCAAGATCAATGAATCTGCATGGACATCACACTGCTTTCTTGTTCCAGTTATATTAATCTAAGATTTGAAAAGGAGGCCCATTTGAGGGTATAAGATATTGTCAAAGACGATAACTAGTTTTGATACTGTTTCTTGTACCACGAATATGTTTTGTTCGACATGGTCATATTCTCGTGAGCGCATAACTGATGTTTTCCAAGACTACAGAATGCTGAGATACAGTATCGTGACAACGATCTCCATCGTATCAAGATATTCCGTAAGCATTAGGTCATGAATGTTAGCATTACTCGTTCAGTCAGATGAGGATGTTCAACGTGCTACTTTTCTCTAAAATAAAGCGACAAAAAGATACAATGTTATCAGACGGCACATGATGATAACCTGGAAATTTGAATTGAATTGAAAATAAGGTTATCTGCATACATAGCCTCCATCAACCACAATATCGGTACCCGTGCAGTAGGTACTAGCATCACTCGCCAGGTATAGATAAGCGCCCTTCAACTCCCTAGGATCGGCATCACGCTTCATGGGCGTCAAGCTAAACCACTCTTCCTTCATCTCAAACGGGCAATCCCCCGAAATGGCAGTGTCAATATATCCAGGGCTGACGCAGTTGACCCTTCCTCCCCACTTGGCCCACTCGACGGCCAGTGATTTGGTGAGGTGGATGACACCCGCTTTGCAGGCATTGTAGCAAGACTGTTCTTGCGGGACATTGGCCGCGTGGCCGGACATGGATGCTGTGAAGATGCAGTTTCCGTCTGCAATTGTATCAGCTTATTATTCTTGTTATTTTTCCGAGAGTCTGATACTCACGTCCTTGTTTCCTGAACACGAGACCGGCTGCTCGGGCACAGTAGTATGCGCCATCGAAGTCGATGGCTCTCACGCGGTTCCAGTCCTCGATCTTGTCATCGAGACCACCAGCTTTTGTAGGGATACCAGCGTTCGCGATCATGACATCCAAACGGCCAAAGTCTTGCACGACCTCGGCAACGGCCTTCTCGACGGCGGCGTAATCTTCTACTGCTACTTGGTATGTCTTGGTCTTTACGTTGAAGTCTTTGGTGATGGATGCGGCGAGCTTTTCGGCAGATTTCGAGGAGTTGTACCATATGGCGATCTGTTATATGAATTGATGAGCTTTTTATTCTGAAATTGAGTTGGAAAAGGGTGTATTATACGTTGGCACCTGCTTCTGCCAAACCTCTGGCGATCTCATATCCAATGCCTCCCGCGCCTCCTGTTATTATGACAGTCTTACCGTCCATTCTGAACATCTTGAAGACGCTGTCTTCTACAGGAGGATTGGGTGCGCGTATGGAAACGCGAGTTCCATTTCCGTTTGTGACAGTCATTGTGGGTGATTTGTTGTTTCGTTTGTGATGTACGGGGATTTTGTGGATATAGCGAGAGCTGCTTGTCCAAGGTTCAAATTCGAGAGATGCAAAAGTTACTTGAGGTACTACACAATGCGATGCTCCTTTCTCTTAAACACTCGCACACCGAAGAATTCGCGCGATGAGACACTGGGAAGTTCTCCACTCCAAAAGCATAGAGGGTCACCCCATGGGGGAGCGACAGTGCGCTCTGGGTGTGAGACCGCGAGTTACTCCGTAAATTCATTTCGCGGTGCACCTCTTCCGAACCACACTGTATGACCTGCAGGGCAGAGTAAGACTTTACCAAGGATGCGGATTCGCTCGCTAGCATTAATCAAGCAATCGGAATCGATGCATAAATCGTGATCGGAAACTTTCGTTGCATGTGGTAGGGGCACATAAAGTGGATTGGGGTGACCTCCTCCGTAGCCAAGGCCTCCGTATTCACCCGGGTCCAACCCGTTTGGAGCAACGGTAAACTGGATGTTGATTGATGTTAGCATCGGGAACTACGCTACCAAACATGGTAGCCCCACTCAGCGCCCCAGGTTTCGGACGGGTTGGAATATGCCAGAATAGCAGCGGCATCTTGAAGTGGAATGAGCGCAGTAATTGTTGTGCTCCGCGCGGACGACAGTCACCTGCTTGGAATTCGGCAATCTGCCTCCGACTGGCATTCACTCTGAAGCCTCTAGATCATAAGTCGGTTTGCTAATGATTAGATGTGTGGGTCGCAGGATTCAGACTCGAGTAAGTCCGGCTCTAGATCAAGTCTCAATTAGTGGAGATATGGGGCGATGCAACATGGCTCTTGCAAGAAACGGCACTGAGTATGTAGGCAAACTATTGGCTAAGCCATGAATATTTCAACGTTCTTGTGGAGAGTCTGAGGACATGGCGATCGATGAGATCTGGCATCTCAATTCCAGCACTTGACATCCAGCTATAGTCTATTCACTGAGGCTGACTGTGTCCAGAACATCTGATGATACGAAAAAGCATACCGCGCTCATGTGCGCAGAAAACCTCGATGCTTGGACATTTATGGAATTTCGTAGAATTTAAGAAACAAAAGTGATATCTTGTTTATTGCACGCCTTCAATCACGACTTTGAACACGCCTTCTTGCGCCGCTTTCACCAGCTCAAAAGCCTTTTCCGCCTCCTCAAACTTGAACCGATTCGTGATCAACTTCTTCACGTCAACTTTCCCCGATGCCACCAAATCCACGGCATTGGGATAGCAGCCCGTCGAGTACCTAATAGAGCCCTTGATAGTCAATGCTCGAATGCAGGCAGTGGTGATCGGGAAGACGACGTTCTGTGATTGCAAAGCCACGGTCAGTAAGTACTAAACAGTTGTCGGGAAACGGGAATATCCTCACCTCTTTGCCCATGCCAGCCTGAACGTATGTAGCTCCTTTTCTTGCGACATTGATGCCCGCCTGGATGCAGGGCTCCGCACCTGTACATTCGAGCACCACGTCCGCACCCTCACCCAGATCGAACTGCTCCTTGATCAAACGCGCGACCTTCTCCGAGTGCGCAACGGCATCAACGCCCTGCTCCGCTTTCGGCGGGATAAACGTTCCATCTGCCGCAAAGCCCTTTGCAAAATCCAGCCTCGCTGCCGAGATATCGACAGCAATCACCTTCTTCGCACCTGATGCTTTCGCGACCGCTTGCGAAAGCAGACCAATCGGCCCAGCGCCAAATACAACCACAATCTGATTCGCTCTCAGATCTGCAACTTTGCAGATCTGGACGGCTACTGATACGGGCTCCACCATAGCCGCCTCCTCCATATCCATATGATCGGGGATCTTGTAGCAGTAATCGCTCGCAACCGTGTAATACTTAGCAAGCGTGCCATCCCACGGCGGCGTCGCCGCAAAAATAGTATCATTGCATAGCCCGTAGCTTCCTGAGCGGCAGTAATCGCATCGACGGCAGGGCACTCCGGGTTCGATAGCCACGCGATCGCCGACTTTGAGGTTGGTTACTTTGGAGCCGGTCTCGACGACTACGCCTGAGCTCTCGTGACCGAGAATAATGGGCGAGTTGAGGACGAAGTCGCCAATCCGACCTCGTTGCCAGTAGTGTACGTCTGAGCCGCAGATTCCGGTTTGAGAGACGTGGACGCGGACTTCATATTCGTCTCGGAGTTTGGGGATGGGTCGGTCTTCGAATGCTACGTCTTTTACGGCGCGGAGCACGAATGCGGGATTCTTTTTCGATGTATTAGTTTTAAACTTTATTGCCATTGATGTAATGTGTTATAGAGGGATTATTGCTCACTGTGTCGGTGGTGGTTGCTGAAGACATGACGATGGGCGAATTGTTGACAGTAGAAGGATAAGGAAACGAAAGATGAAGTTTCTAGCAGTGAGACATCCAAACGTCAAATAAGTTTTTGTAGAGGCTCGAATTTTTCGTATAGTAAATCATGAATGCAGCCCCATGCCTTGATCATGATTATTCGGGTGCGGGGTCTCCATGTGGAGAAGAAAGGGTCGCCCAAACCCCAGCGGCGTGGACCCCCGACACACCATCGCGCGAGGCAAAAGAAAAAACAAAAGGTGCACCCTCTCCGAAGATGAGCACGAAAAGAACAATCGACCCACATATCACCGGCGTCATCAAGAACCAAACAAGTCACAAGATATTATATGCGCCATAGTCTCCTCCGCAATGAAGCAGTCCTCAATCCCCAAACTTCCACCCCCTCCCCATCCCTCAATCATCTACCCTTCTTGAACCACCCTCCACAATGCCTCTCTACAAGCCCTCAAACACCAACGTGCACGTGACCGCGCAATTCTCCCTCAAAGGCAAAACCGCAGCGGTAACGGGAGGCGTCCGAGGCATCGGCCTAGCCGCGTCGCGCGCTCTAGCAGAAGCGGGCGCGAACGTAGCGATCCTCTACAGCAGCAGCAAAGACGCCGAATCCACCGCATCAACACTGGCGTCTGAAACGGGCGTAACAGTCAAAGCCTACAAAGCCTCCGTGCAGAACAAAGACGAGATCGACAGCGTGCTCAAGACCATCGCATCCGACTTCGGCGGGACGCTGGACATTGTCGTCGCGAACGCGGGCATCGCGAATCACTATCCCGCCGAGGAGTACACAGAAGAGCAGTGGCGCGAGGTCATGGCCGTGAACCTCGACGGAGCGTTCTACACTGCGCAATCGGCCGGCAACATCTTCAAGAAACAGGGCCACGGGAACTTGATCTTCACTGCGTCCGTCTCGGCGATCCTCGTCAACGTTCCCCAGAAGCAGGCCGCTTATAATGCGTCAAAGGCCGGTGTCGTGCAGCTTGCGCGCTGCTTGAGTGTCGAGTGGGTTGATTTCGCGAGAGTCAATTGTATTAGTCCTGGGTTCATTGCTACGGATATGCTGGATGTGCATCCGCAGGAGTGGAGGGATAAGTGGTTTGGCATGATTCCGGCCAAGAGGCTGTGTGATCCGGAGGAGTTGAAGGGGGCTTATGTGTTTTTGGCTAGTGATGCTAGCACGTATATGAGTAAGTTTATCTTCCCTGTTTGCTTGCTTTGTTGCTTGCGTTTGAGGAATTGGATGTGTGTTAACTTGTGTTTGCAGCTGGTGCGAACATGGTGATTGATGGTGGTTACACATTGCCTTGAGTGGGATTTTTGGCTTCATTTTTGTACATGTTTTTTTTTAGAAATAGTTGGTTAAGAAATAAGAGCGTTACTTCCAAATTCACATTCAAATTCTACAAGCTACTCATGAAACATTCGTAATCAAAAACAGTTCGATAAATCAGGCAGTTCATCGTTACCAAGTAGTGCTCGCTCCACTCAGCTAACTTTCGCAAAGCAGATTTCGCGGAAGAACACCACTACTCTAACAAAATACCAAACAGCCCAATACGACGCACTTTGAATTTTCCATCTAAAGACCCCTAGAACATCTATCAATTCACAATAACAACATCGACCTCCCCCAGCGCTCTCCTAACAACCTCCCCATTAACAAGATCATTCCCCTCAACCCTCTTCACTGCCTTTTCCACCTTCGTCTCAATCCCCGCCGCCAGATGCCTCTTAACCAACCTATCCTTCACAATCTCCGGATCCGCATCCACAAACCACTTCTGATCCCAAACTCCCCTCAATCGACTCCAAGGCTCAATATCCAATAACGTGTAGTTCCCCTCGACAATCACAACCCTGCTCCGACTCGAGATGGCGATTGCATCTGGAACAGGGTCTTGAACCGCGTGGTCGAAACTCGGAGCGTACATGAATTGTTCGTTGACCTCGGGTTCGACGGATCCAACAATATCACCCGCTCCCCGCGTCGCAGGATCTAGCGACGGAGAAGAGGAGGAAGAAGAAGAAGAAGAAGAAGAAGAAGAAGAAGAAGAAGAAGAAGAAGAAGAAGAAGAAGAAGAAGAAGAAGAAGAAGAAGAAGAAGAAGAAGTAACAGGAAACTCATTTAGCTTCATCACAAGCTCTACAAACCCCTCCGCATCAAAAGTAAACGCCGCACCGCGTCTACGGAACGCAGTCACCGGGTCTTCCATCGACGATAGCGCCGCTTTGGTGTAGTGGAATCCATCCTGGTAGAAGAAAAGTATTTGATCAGCGACTACCCACCAAAAAAAAAGCCCCCCTCCAGTTATGGATAGAAAAAGGACAAGGGTGTATATACCATGGGAACTACGACGACTTGACCGCTTTGCCCACCGACGTCAACGCCCCTTTTTGCCAACTCGAGGAGCAGTGCGGCACTGACGGTCGATTTGCCGGATCCGGGGACGCCGGCTAGACCGATGAGGATGCGCTTTTGACACTTGTGCCCTGCATTTCCTTTTTGGACAGGATTTGAAGTTCCGTTGCGGTTTTCGGGCGTGGTAGGGTCGTTGGTTTGTTGTTTCAGTAACGATTGGACGCGCGATGCGAGATCGGAAATTGTTGCTTGAAACGAGTCTTCTCCTTTCTTGACTTCTTTTGAAAGGAGCTGTATCTCGGCCATGGTTTTATTTGACAGCGGAAAGGTTATGAATAGAGTGATTCTGGAATCAGCGGTCGACTTCCAGAAAAGGTTTTTTGAGCTGATCGTTGAGGAATTTGGCGGGTTTTCCTTGGGATAATTTAAAGCTTTCTAGCACAAACCTATCAACTGTAAAGAAGTTGAGAATATGCAATTATAATCAGTCTGTGGTTGTTGTGGAACACTCTGCAAGTCTTTGGCACGGATTGTTTCTCGTATCAACCTCGCGATGTTGAACGATACCGAACACTCACAAGTGATACACGGAGCAGACAGGGATCATCTACTTGCACCTGTGAGCTAAGAAGACACATGCAGGAAATCCGGGGAGAAGAGACGGGAACTCCCAGGCACGGAGAAGGAAATGCGCCAAAGCGGTGCTCTGTCGACCGGCCGGTTCGGAGCAGCTCACCCCCGCTCCCCAATCACACAACATGGGTGTGAAAGGGTCTATTCGATTTCAGGAACAGATAAACTCGGATCTTAACATGGTCGTCTGCCTGACTACTTTGGTAGCTTAACTTTATTCACAGAGATGACGACATTGGATGGCGAGATTGTATATCACGTGATATCGTATTTGTGCACGGTCCATATCTGATCGATTGTCCAGGAACATTTGAAGACTTCATTGGGAGACCTTTCAACAGTGTTTCTTTTCGGTCTCTTGCGATATTATCGCAGGTTTGGAGTCTGGCCAACCAAAGTGTCTGCAAAGACGAGCACGCTAGGTGAAGCGCTCCTCGCATTCAAACCAATTTGTCCTGATACCTTCCGTACAATAACCCTTCCTCGAGGGAGTTGAAAAAGAAAATTTCCAGTCTAACTTTTTTTTGATACATTGACCAGAACATACACCGATTGCGAGTTCGCCTCATGCCCCACCCGAAAGATTATAGAAATACATGTAGTATGCCGCTTATTGAACGCCAGATGAAGTTTGCAGTGATTCCATGGCAGACGCTATGATTGTCATTGTTGCATATTGTGATTTTGCGTGCTGTTCATCATGTTCACATTGCTCGGAAGTTGCATGTTGGGAGGCAGTCCAGCACTGTTGGGGGGTTGCATATTGTTCTGCAATCCCGCGCTATTGGGCGGTTGCATTGGGCTGTTGAAATTTGGAATCGCGCCAGATTGAGAAGATGTCGAATTGAGCCGCTGGGGACCGGGGGATGCCTTGTTGGCAGGTGCGCCTCTCCATCCAGGAAACAAGGACTGCAGTTTGGTATATAATTTTGCAAACTCATCGGATGATGTCGGAGGGGACATTATAGCAGGTCCGGGTAGTACAGATTGGTTGGGTTTCGAGTGTCGTTCAGCGTTGTTCGCAAGATAGGAGAGATTGGCTTGGAGACGGCGCATACACCTGAGGATGTCAATATCAATGTAGGGTTGCAAGGCTGGTGAGAACATACTCTCTATACTCCACAGACGACTGTTGCGGCTTGTCACCCTCGGCTTTCCCATCGGGCGAGGGACCGATCTGACCAGCTTTACCCTGGCTTTGCAAGTCTATCACCTCCTGTATCAACATCTGGTTTATGTCGAGCAGGGTATCTATCCGCTGCTTTTCGCGCAGCTGGGAGCCAGGCGACACAGGGGATGGGGGGACGGGCTTCACAGGAGTCTGGACTTGTGACATGGCAGATTGACCGGTTGATTGGTTCATAGGCTGGGTAGTTGAGGGTACACTGGGCGATTGGCGGTGCTGGGCATTCGGGGTGGCATATGGGGGAGCGGCGTGGTTGTTGATGTTGTTGTTATTGTTGCTGCTGCTTACGCTGGATGGCGACGCGGTCTGGCGATGCTGGACGAACTGATGCTGCTGCTGCTGCTGCTGTTGTGGATGTTGGGAAGGATGGGCAGGGGAGGCAAGGGGTTGGGCGAAGGGCGCGCTCGAGTAAGGGCTGGGCGAGGGCTGTTGCTGCTGCTGATGATGCTGCATTTGTTGCTGGTGTGCTTCACAGGAAGGATTAGCAGGTAAGCGACGGACAGGACGTGGAGGCGTATAGTCGGTGTACCGCGAGCACAGTAGAGTAGTTGTACATGGTAACCATGTGGGAGTGGGATGCGGGCGCTAGGCTGGCTTGCTTACCTCGTGCTTGAGCTTGAGCCTGGACCTGGGCCTGGGCGTGATGAAGCTGTTGTTGCTGCTGCTGCGACGACAGGGCTTGGCCTTGATGCATCATCGAGGCGCCACCGGTCAGGGAGGAGGTACCGCTCGAGGAGTGGGCGGGAAACCCCCCGGGCTGGCCATTGGTGAAGTGGTGTTGCTGCTGCTGCTGCTGGTTGTAGGGGAAAGGGGAAGGCTGGTTCGGGATCTGCTGCTGCTGGTGGTGCTGCTGCTGGTGGTGTTGGTGGGCGGCGGGCAGCTGGTGTGCCTGGTGCTGGGAATGCTGCTGGTGTAGCCGGGCCTGTGGATCCGCGTACAGTTGCGGGGAAGGAGAGTGTGACTGCGAGGGTTGGGACGAGGTGGGTGGTGTGGGCGCTGAGGAGAAGGCCCCGGGAGCGCCAAACGAGGGCTGGGGGCTGTTGAATGTTTGGTAATCCATCAAGACGGGCCTACTGTGTCATTGGGTACGTCGCACAGAGGATTGATTGGAAGATGGGCTTGTGTTGATCAAAAGAAGGAATTATTACGTGCGGAGGTGGGTTGGTTGGGTTAAGGTTGGCGGAAAGCCTTTTTCGCTCGAGTCGGGGGCCTGCTCTGCTGCCTGGACATGGCGCCATACGTAAGTGGCCCAGCCGGCGCATTCAGATGCTTTCTTACATATCAAACTGCCTCGATTGCATCCCATGGAATGCCCATCTACACACTGTGTACGTACATACATGCCTAGATATGTTCTGCACATACATACTTACATCCATACGCAAGCTACATCTCTTTTCCATTCAATAATGGCTTCAACGAAGGCCGAGGGCAGAGAAGCGAATCCGCGCATCCGTCGTGCTAAGCTTTCTTCGCTGTGTGTTTTGCATATGTACATACAGAACGCCCGGTTTGATTACATCATTATATAAGCATAACCACGTGCTGAAAAACCTGGCGCCATGGAACCATTGGCGGGACGAGCCTGTCGCTAAGTTCCGAATCCATGTAACCCATCATTACGTTGCTGATTACCGGTATTCACTACACCACGCATCGTCCCTTTCCCCACACGCACGCACGCACACAGACACACTTTGGCCTTCGTCACCCCTGCAGCTCCACTACCCGCGACATGTCAAGCATCATGCACATGTGCCTGTCGACATGCATCCGGGCCGTCATGAGCTGCATCTAGATTCAAACTGCTGCCACCGTTGAACCGTCCTGCCCTACCATGCCCAACCGCCCCTTGGTCCTTTCCCAACCGACCACTGTACCCTGTCCACCCCTACATCCAGATTCCAGCATTCATGCCCCGTATTCACCCGCCCAAGATACATATCAATCACTTCCCTCCCCACTCTCCTCCTCATCCAACGCCAGTCTGTACTCGACTGGAGACTTCGTGCGTCCGCCCGCTAGCTCCCGCGGAAGGGCCAACACCTCGTGCTCGTCGAATAGGTCTTCAAGATAGTCGCATTTTGTGGGACTCGAAAACAGTGCTTTGATTTTAGCGTCCGACTCGGTTCTGAACAGCCTGAGGAGCCGCCATATCACGTTCCGGGTATCCTGGCCTCGAGCACCTGGCTGTGCGAAGAAGCGCAATCCATCCACCATGACTACCAACAGTACCCGGGGCCCAAGGCTCGTCACGGCCGTTTCAAACATGGAACAAATAGACTCCACGTTGCCTCCTTTGGTCTTGTCGTAGCACTGCTGCAAAGTGGCACTGTCTAGGTCGTTCCGACCCCGATCTATCAGCTGTAATAGAAGACTCATGGCCATTTCTTCGGGGTTTGCATTGCTGTCTGTATGCAAGTCTCGATGTTGTCCACAAAAGAATGCCAGTGGTATGATCCTTATCTCGGCATCCCCAACACCCACGTTCTTGCCATGAGACTCCAGAAGAGCTTGGAATACTTGTGCTGAGAAGAACGAGACTGCCGAATCTGGTCGCGACTCGGTTCGACCATTCAGAAAAAGAAGGGACGATTCGTCTACAGCCAGCCAAGCTTGCAAACGAAGGTTGTTGTGGAGGGCGATGAGACGCCCTGGGTCACGACTTGTTCGACGTGACTGTTTCGCTCGATTCACCAGGTTGCGGGAATCCTCAATAACTAGATCAGATTCGTAAGAAAAGCGCCTCAGGATTTTTTCGGGGTTGATAGCAGGTATTTCCTTGATCCGCTTGCGATCTGGTGTCGACGTGTTCCGCTCTTGAAGCTCATCCCGTACCATCTTCAATCCTAGCTTCAACGACTCCAGCACTTCGAGTCGAGCGCCTCTTTCATCCGAGATCGCTTGCTCAATATGTTGGAGTTTTGTGTGGATCGAGTATGCGCTTGAATAGGTGAATTGCTGTGTCTCTTGCACCGAGTCTCGAGTAAGCTTGTCAAGGCGTGCGGCAAAACTCTGAGAGGCAGTTTTCAGCTCCGCCTGCAAATCTTGGAGTCTGTCCATGAACCCAGTTGGGTCAAGTAACAGTTTTACACCAGTCCCTAGCAATATCAGTCAGTAGAGTTGCTCTGTAAGAATTACAATCCAAATACTCACGCATATTGCTCTTCAGGAACCACAGGAGGATATGATTCAAAAGTTTGAAGGCGGCAGCATATAATGCTGCAGCACGTTGGTGGATCTGCCTATCCAAATAGTTCATGCTAACATCCGCCGCTATATCCTTCAACCGCTGAGGCAAGTCTTCCAAAGTTCTGTATACTTCAATTCGATGTCGGCCGGTGGCTTGTAAGCCAGTGAATACCACTTTCAGACTTCCGCAGAGGACCGAAGTTAGGCCAAACGAGTCGTTGGGTATTAGATTCGCTGCAGTTCTTCCCGCTCCTGCGTTATTGCATAGACCTCGGAATGCTCGTTTGAATTTGCCCTGCCAACCTGATATCTCTTTGTCCTTAGTAGCCAGGGTTTCGAGCCCGACGCATGCATTCTGCACCGAGTCTTCGACTTCCTTCCAATTGTGACTGGCATTGAAATCGATCACTGGTAGCTTCATCTTCTCTCGATATCTGTTGCAAGTTTCCAAGAGTTGATCTCTGGCCTCGAATGCAGCATGGTAAATATCATCGTAAGGTAGCGCGGCGCTGTCTCTGTCAGATTCCAACACCCATTGCTTCCTGATGCCATCGAAAACCACACCCGTTCCCGGCCTGCCTAGGAGCGCTGGGTGCTGAACTCCGTCGAGTCTTACCATATACTCTGCAACCTCATATTCTGTCATAGTTGCTGAGCGATTCAACCAAGCAGGGCGTCCTACACGCTTCGATACCCTCCTAATATGTCATTGCGTAGGCGCAATTGCAGTGCCCCCAAGGCTGAGGTTTGTATTCCTTAAACACGTGCATCAGATGCCAGGGTCTGCGGATCCCATTGGCTCGAATGCTGGAAGGAAATACGATGATAGCTTAGATATGCATGTCATACGATCTGGGCTCTCTCATTGGTTCTGTGGCGGGAGGGACGAGCACCTTGGGGCCAGAACAACCGCATACAAAGTCTTGAAGGCACAGCCTCGCTGCTCAAAATTCGAAATTCGAAATTCCGCAGCTTTTCATCTTTTCGTATGAATGCATGAGGCAGTGCAAGAATCTTCAATCACGTACCTACCACGTAACACAGCTTGACTATGACGGAAGCGGCTAGCGAAGCTGGTGGTACCAGCGGTGCACTCCCACCGAAGGAAGGCGATATCTCAACTACTGACAAGACCACCATCAACAAAGAACAAGAGACAGAAATTCCAGGTGCCGGATCTGACGCGATTCATGATCCAGAGAAACCTCATGGCAAGGAGAAAGATGGGTCCGATAGCAGTCCAGAAGATGGACCAAAGAAAGAGGTGAAGGGGAATGATGGAGGAGGAAAAAAGGACGAAGAGGAAAAGAGCGTGGCAGAGGAAGAAAATGTAATCAGTGTTTTGCCAGTGAAGAACAAACCGGAAGAAGCTTATCAGGAACCTGGGAGACCGTTCCGGCGTTTTAAAGAGTCCTTGTCAGAATATCAGTGAGCTCCACTCAACTAATCCCGTGCTAACAGCTACTAATGAACGCTCTACAGCAAGCGGTTGTGGAAAGTGGAGGTTGAGCGTACGGACATGGTAGCTTGGAGAAAACGAGACCTTTGGTTATCTCCAACTTATCCTTTACCAATCATCGAGGTTTTCTACCACCGAAAGCCTGATGATTCGAGTCAACCGCCAGACGCAGCTAACACGACTGAGTCAGTCGCGAATGAAGCCAACGAAGATACAGACGAATTATTTCGAAGGTCGAAAAACGTCCACAGAATCGCGATTCACTCGGAGCAGATCATTGAAGAGTTGGATATGATCTTAGGTGTTTCTACTATCCGGTACCCTCTAGCGTAAGCAAGACGCGTGAGTGCAAATTCCCGTAATTTTCTATGCTTACTGTTACACCAGTATCTCTCCGCCGTACAAGGTAAACCATAAGTATAGCATCATTTCGCAGTCGCGGTGCTAATCTACCTATTTAGTATCTTGTGTGCACATATCCGGGCATACCTGCTCGGCTAGCGAAGCTCCGAGAGGAGATCGAGGTAGCAAACGGCAAAATTGACGAGAAAAAGTCACAGCTACCCAAGGAAGTCGTCGAAAATGAGTCAGCGGACAAGACTTCTGAAGATTCACCTATTTCACCCAAAACAGATGTAAAAGAACCATCGTTGGTAGCCCCGAAGGGCGACGAGGGAAGTGATGATGATTCCGCTTCCGAATCAGATTCTGCGCCTGATATCAAAATCAAAGACCAGATCAAGGCAGAAACTGAGCAACGAGACCTGCTTGAAGATCGGTACAGCCATCTGAAGCTTCTGTACGATTTCGTCTCGAAAGAGCTTGCCTTCGTCTTCGAGTTTCGGAAAAAGATTGTCGAAGGCACACTGACAAAAATCCGATTCGATGATTTATGGCATCTTTTCATGCCAGGTGAGAGAATCTTCTCGGATGAGAATGGATTCAAGCAGCTGTATACTGTGTACTCTGTAACAGGTGGCTTGCCACTTTTGCGACGCCCAAATGCCCAAGAGATCACATACATGGACCAACTACGCGATAAGGTACGTACGCTTGGATGTTAATTGGATGTTAACTGGAATCCACCAAAATTCAACGACAATACTATCCACTTCCAGTAGTACAGACAGCTAAGCTGATAACTCTGAACATAGGTCAGGTATTGGGCTCCACCCCCGGCACCTTTCGAAAAAGACGAAGAAGAGCACATTGAGCAGTTGCTTCGGGGCGAAAGCCCAAGTAAGGACTCATGGACACCATTGAAGATAGACTGCTACTACGTGGCATTTGACGGCGAATACTGCGGACCAGTCGACCAAAGCAGAAAGATTGCTCCCTATACCGGCGAAATCGACATTGTGGACCTTCCGTTCTTCCCTCTACGATTCCACCCAGAACATCAAATCCTTCTTCGTGATCTGGAATCACGTGGACGCAAGGTGCTGTTTTCTAGTGGACACAAGAGCTATGAGGGCTACACGCTTGCAATGAAGCGCACCGATAGCCGTGTCGAAGTACAGAGCGATGTCTATATTGATTTCCAGGCCTATTATAATGATGTTCCAGATAAAAAACCAAGAGTCGGAAGACTTTTGAGGACTAGGCAGGATTTTGCCTTGGTGGAAGAGAGCAGCTATCAATTCTTCATTCCTTTGAGCGGACACGAGATCGATACAATGCTATCTGACGAATACCTGACGAAGAACCGGAAGTCACTAGAGCGGGTCAAGCCCGTCGAAGATAAACTCGACGCAGAATATCTTCGTCTGTTGCCACATTATGCGTTGGGATATATATTTCAGCTGAGGAGGTGGGGTAAGTACTTTACTACACATATGAGGAGCTGATTATCGTATTCTGACCAATCTAGAATATCTGGACATCGACTTGGTCAAAGACATCGACCAAGAATCAGCAGAAGCGAGAGCCGCAGGTTTCAACGACCTTGTCATTCCCAAGCGATACCGCGACTTACTCGTTGCTCTTGTGGACTCCCACGTGTCAGGACTAGATCGTGGCAAGGCAAAATCGAAAAAGACACCAACGCAGGTTGACTTGGTCAGAGGGAAAGGTCAAGGCCTAATCGTTCTACTGCATGGTCCTCCTGGTATGTAAATCCCATTCACAGCTACATGTGTAAGTATGTTCTTCACACTGACTGTCGACAGGATCTGGTAAAACGAGTACTGCGGAAACAATTGCAGCATATACTCGCCGCCCGTTATACTCAATCACTTGCGGCGATCTTGGCACTCAAGCTGTTTTGGTGGAGGCCAATCTCTTGACTCACACCAAAAGAGCGGATAGGTACGTTTCCCTAGGAACTCAGTAAATGAGACATCGCTTTGTCGCATTCCAAGACCAAATCTTTTGGAGTATTTTGCAGCTCCGATGGCATAAATAAAATCTCTACGCACGATATACTGACATACATTTAGATGGGGTTGTGTACTACTCTTGGATGAGGCCGACGTTTTCCTCGCCCGTCGTGACTGGAACAACATGGAACGCAATGCCTTGGTATCAAGTCCGTGAAATCTCTCTTCCAGATAGTATTCACCCTGAAGTTAACAATATCCTAGTATTTCTCCGTCAGCTAGAATACTACGGCGGTATCCTCTTCCTGACCACCAACCGCCTCGGCGGCATCGACGAAGCCTTCAAATCCCGCATCCACATCTCCCTCCGCTACCCCAGCATCGATCTCACCTCCACCCGCCAAATGTGGACCAACATCATGAAACGCCTCGAAAAAGACAACAAGGAAACTGACGTAAAAGTCCTCTTCGACGAAGAATCCCTCCTCGAATTCGCACAGACGCATTTCGAGAAATGCAAAAAGGAAGGAGTGACTTGGAACGGTCGGCAGATCCGCAATGCGTTCCAAACCGCGCTGGCATTGGGCCACTACGACCGCCTTTCCAAGATCAAAGAAGCGGGCCTGACGGTTGAAGAGGCCATGGCGTCGGGGAAGAAGAAGTGGCGCAGTGTTAAGTTGACCAAGGCGAATTTCCAGAAAGTGGCTAGGACGTCCAAGGAGTTTGAGGAGTATATTGCTGCGGTGCGTGGGCAGGATGATAAGAACGCCATCGATGATGAGTTGAGGCGCGATGATTATGATGCCGAACGGCCGAAGGCTAGGAAGTCGTATTCGAAAGCGCAGAAGGGGAAGAAGGCAGTGAGGAAAGAGCAGGTTTCTTCTGAGGATGAGGAGGATGAGGATGAGGATGAACAGGACAGTGAAGAGCTTGGCGATGAGGACGATGATGATAGTGATTGATATACAGACAAAGTCATGCTATTCTTTTCTCACTTCTTTTTCATTCGGTTGTCATTGGAAAAGACAGCAAAGCAGTTCAAGAGCTGAGTTGAGCATAAACAAACACCGAAACAGTGCAAATGAACGAGATTCAAATACCCAATCCCCATCTATACCCCCCCTCTCAGCAACCTTACACAGTTACATCTAATAAGAAAAAAAGTAACGAAAAAGAAATCATCTCTTCCACCCAGCCTTCTCATAAACCTCGCCAATAAACCTATGCCTCTCAACCGCCTGCTCAAACCCCAAAACCCCATCCCCCTCTCCCTTCCCCTCAGCAAAAGCCTCATACAACCTCGCAATATTCCTCGCAAACAGCGGCACCCCACCCCCATCCTCGCGACTCCACTCATCCAACTCAAGCACCACCTCCTCAACCTCCCCACTCTTATGCTCAAACACCTCGATCCTAAAATCCGTGGTATCCGCAATATTCATAAAGGTGTTCGGGCCCGTGACCTGGATCTCGCCGTCAGTGCCGAAGAGGCGCCATACGAGACCGGCGTGGGGGGAATTTGCAAAGGCCGGGCCGCCGCGGAGGTGGTAGGAGAAGACTGCGTTGTTGGCGAGGGTGCCTTGGAGGAGGATCTGGTCTGGGGTTGTGCGGGGTTGGAGGGTCGTTGGGGTGCCGGTTTGCGTTGTTAGTTGGATTGAGGGGTGCGTGGTTGCGAGGTGGGATTGGAAGGATTTGATGGGGGAGATTGCATGGGTTAGGCCTTCGAGTGCTATTTTCTGTTAATTTTGGATTTTCTCTCTCTTTCTTTCTCGGTTTTTGGTGATGGAGGGTGGAGGGAGGGAAGTAGAAAGGTTGCGCGGGGAGGGTGGTTTCCAGTGATGGGACGGGGTGTTTTGAACTTACAGTGCCCTCCGTAGATAGTGAGGAGATTCCCACCGGAGGTATCATCGTTCTGATACGCTATACTTTCCATCATAGTAGGCGTAAAGAACGGCGATGTTCCATGGAAAGAAGTGCTCAAGAGCGTCCCAATGCGGCCGCTGTCGAGCAATTCACGGATCTTCTTGACGGTGGGGCTCTGGTTAGACTGCAATCCGACAAGCGTCTTTACACCCTTCTCCTTTGCGAGTTTGAGCATCTCGTCTGCTTGAGCGGCATCTTTGGCGAGCGGCCACTCGCAGAAGATGTCCTTTCCCGCTTTGATGGAGGGAAGAAGCGCTTCGTAGTGCTTGTCGACACGGATGCTGCAAACTACGAGCTCGACATTGGGGTCGGAGGCGAGGTCTTCGTAGCTTCCATAGGCTTTGATAGTGGAAGAGAGTTCATGGGCTTTGATGGCAGCTTCGGCACTGGCTACGGAACTGTTGCACAGGGCTACAATCTCGTATTTGGTGGTATTCTTGAGGTATGGGAGATGAGCCCAAACCGCCCATGACTGACCAGAGGAGAGTCCAATGATGCCGATCTTGATGGGTGCCATTTTTGAGTCAAAGAATTCGATGTGGTTGAATAAGTGTGGAATTGAGGCAGTGCTAAAGAAGAAATTGGATAAATGGTGGCGCACAAGTGATTTTGTTGCAAGTCGCGATGGAACTGAAAGATGTGAGATGATTGAAAGTGAAAAAAGGCATTTTTATACATGATTTTATAGTCATGGTGGATGCTTCAGGGGATGACAAAATGTTGCGGAGGACCTTGCGGAGCGTTTTGCGGACATGCGGAGGAGATGGATTGATAATGTAATGCCGGTAAAAGAGGACTTGAATCTGCGGAGAAGATAAAAGTGCAATTATAATTCACGAAAACGGACTACAAATCTTTATCATCTATGTTGTCATGGGATTGAAGTCGAGGGGGAGTGATGAAGATGGTGAATTGCCCGCACGTGCATGGCAGGGACCAGGGGCTACGACGCGTTGATTGGGCAATGGGCCAGAATGCGCCGCGGTTCGAGAGTCAACCTTCTTTCCCCCCACCATCCGCGTTGCACAGAGGAGGGGACACTCAGAAAAAACTGGTTTTCATGTTGATCGATAGATCTCGTCACCATTTCTATAGAAAGCGAACAAAGCTTGGAATCTAAAGAAAAGAGAAGAATTCAAGTTGTTCAGATAAAGCGGACAGGAAACTACCCACGTGCGCTAGATCGCGGCTTCTTATGGCCTGGCTGCTGCAGCGGGTGGGCCTTGACTTCAAGCTTTCGGTCCAAGCTCGCTCGCCCATGCACGCACGCACATGAACGCAGAACCTGCAAACTTCTGTTCCTCGCCTCTCATTCTTTGCATCCTCTCCCAACTCTATTCTTACTGATCGCTTGGCCTTCGTGGGAGCAATTGCGCTGATAACTCTTTCATTGCTTGCCCAGCATGAGGTATGTCGCTTCCGCTGCACCTACCCTAGCCCGTCTCGGCTCTTCTCGTTCAACGGTGCGGAGCTATGACGACGGCCTCGTCAACAAAAACAACACCAACAACACCGCAAAACATCATGCCAGCCACTAACCTACCGCACGCAGGTTCGGTCAGCAGCTCAAGCAGTCGCTCAACCGAGAATGGATGTTCAACTATATCGATTACGAGGGTCTTAAGCATACCTTGCGCGCCCCCCGCCATTGGGACCACGAGGCCGAACAGAGCTTTGTTGAGCAGCTCGAGAAGGAGCTCGACAAAGTCTACACCTTCCAGCAGGTAAAGGCAGAGGAGATTATTCGTCGCATCGCCTCATCCGAGAAGGAGGTCAACGAGTGCGTATCTAAGCTGGACAACCACGTCGACGAACAAGACCTGCCCTCCGACGACGACTTCGAGCTTCTTGAGGAGGATGTGAGCGATGTCATTGCTGATGTCCATGACTTGGCCAAATTCACCCAGCTCAATTACACGGGGTTTCAGAAGATAATCAAAAAGCATGATGTGCATATCCCAGCTCCGCTTGAATCCATACCACAGCTGACACATGACAGAAAGTCACTGGCCTGATCCTGAAACCTGTCTTCGCAACACGATTAAAGTCCAAAGCCTTTTACCAAGATAACTACGATGCCTACGTACTCAAGCTCTCCAAGCTCTACGATACCGTGAGGACGCGAGGGAACCCGATCAAAGGCGATTCGTCTGCTGGTGGAAAGCAGCAGAACTTTGTTCGCCAAACAACAAAATACTGGGTACATCCAGATAATGTCTTGGAACTCAAACTTATCATCTTGAAGCATCTGCCTGTACTGGTCTTTAACGCGAGCAAGGACTGGAGCGAGGATGACACTGCCATCTCATCAATCTACTTCGACAACACTGAAACATGGGAATTGTACCAGGGGCGGCTCAAGAAAACAGAAGGCGCTGAAGCTATTCGTATCCGTTGGTATGGTGGTATGGAATCCGATACCGCTTTCATAGAGCGAAAGACGCACAGAGAGGATTGGACCGGCGAAGAGTCAGTCAAGGCGCGTTTCAAACTCAAGGAGAAGAATGTCAACGCCTTTCTGCGTGGAGAACTCACACCAGAGAAGATATTTGAGAAGGAGCGCAAGGACCGTAAGAGGCCTGAGAAAGACATTGCATCTGATGAACAACTCGCCCGGGAAATCCAGTACCGTGTGCTTACGCGCAAGCTGGGACCCGTCACTCGGTCTTTTTACCACCGTACAGCTTTCCAGCTGCCTGGCGATGCCCGCGTTCGCATATCGCTTGACACAGAATTGGCAATGGTGCGCGAAGATAATCTTGACGGTCGGCAACGGGCAGGTGACAACTGGCGCCGAATGGACATAGGGGTCGATTGGCCCTTCAAGCAAATCCCCAAATCAGATGTGGAACTCTTCCCCTACGCTGTTCTAGAGGTCAAACTGCAGACACAAGCTGGACAGGAGCCGCCGCAATGGATTAGGGACCTGACCGCCTCCCATATCGTAGAAGCAGTGCCCAAGTTCTCCAAATATATCCATGGAACTGCAACCCTCAACCCCAAAAGGATCAATCTCATTCCTTATTGGATGCCACAAATGGACATCGACATCCGCAAACCTGTCAGTCACAATTTTGGTATCGAGAGATCAGGCGCTAGCAACGACATTAGCACTAGCGGTAATATGGATGATGATAGCGACGATGAGGACGATCTTCCACCAGCCATCGACGGAAATCAGGATGATGAAGGATTGCGAAGGCTTCGCGAGGCACGCGACTTGAGAGAACAGAATGAATCCGATCTTCGACGGGATTATGGCACAATTGCAAACAGTGAGGGGCCCAACGCCCTGGACGTTGAGGAACGCATTTCAGCACAGCAATTACACCAGAACGACTATCCCATTTATGACTCTGATAGCGACGATGAAGACGAGGACGAACTAGAAGTCGCACGGCGAGAAGGGGGTATAAAGTACCACTCTCTTGTCGTCAAGCGAACTGCAAAGAAGGTCGGGAATGGACTGGTTAATGGCCTAATCGCTATCATTCCTCGACCACGGCCAACTGATGTTGGAGACGGCGGATTTCAATTAGGTGTGCCTACCTGGAAACAAGCAGGCGAAATGAAACGCTTCAAAGCTCCAAAGGGAAAACGTAAGTCCGAAATACTTCTCCCTCCCACATACCTACGAGCATTTGTGCACATTACTGACCTTGCTACCAGGCATCCACGTCCTCGTTCGCGTCGAACCGAAAGTGCAACTCGCTACCGAACGTACATTCCTCTCGTGGCTCGAATTCAGCATCATCCTCGGCTCCATTGCGGCAACCCTACTTAACTTCGGAGATAACCTGGCCATCGCGGGCGCCTGGGGCTTCACTATCATCGCGTGCTGCGCGCTGCTGTACTCGGCTGGACTCTACCTATGGAGAGTCCGTATGATCCGCAAGAGACGGGCCGTCACGTACCACGACCGCATCGGACCTACTCTCCTTTGTCTCGGGCTGTTCGTTGCTGTCGGAGTCAGTTTCGGGTTTAGGTTGGGCGAGGGTGGGTTCAGTGGGGGTTTGAAGGATGGTGGGATGAAGGGATGATATGCATTACTGATTGTTGGATAGGAAGGGGCGGTTGAATGATTCAACGTGTATTTTTCTTTCTTTCTTTTCTTTTGTTAACTGTGGGTTGTGGTTCGTGTTGGGTAGCCCGGGCAATCGTTTTTGCTTCTTTCTATCTTTCCTTGTCATGTATGTATGTATGCTTGCTTGGAGGAGACGTGACGGGCAATATCATGAGCTGGATCGTTGTGTATCGAGGCATGCAGTGTAGTATAGTATAGTAGTATATCGCAACGAATATTCACCAGTACTGGATTTTCCCTTCGCCACGATTGAATCGAAGTAGTAGAACTCATGTTTCGAGTGACATTTTTTTCGATGTAAAAAATGGTATCAAATGGTACATGTACCTACCTAGGTACATATGAACAGTAACCCCCCAGCCCCTGAAAACGCCTCCCCATTAATTCCATGATCAATCTCGTTTAGGGGTTCAAAGGGGAAAACCCCTTGCCGACTCAGCTAAAAAAGTACATGAAAGGAAGATGATACGGAAGAAGCAAAATATACCTGACACTTTTGTTCCTGTTTTGCTCGTTCGAAAAGTAACCTTTTGTTTTTCTCAAGCCAAAATCGAACTATCGAACCGATAAAAAGGCAGGAAAGAAACCAAAAAACACTGCCAGTGGTCGTGATCGAAACTTGGGCATAATCTTACAACATCATGGCGTGCAAATCAAAAACATCGTTCCTCCAGCCTCCCTCGTCCCACTCCTCGATGCGTTCGTCAGCGCGCGCTCCTTCTTCTTCCCAGAGCTTGACAACGCTACCAGGCGTATATTTGCCCTTGAACACGCCCTGGCCCGGCTCCGTGACGCCAACACGGCTATACACATCCGGATCCTCGGCAGGCGTCAAGCGCGTTAGCACAGCCTTGAAAAAGGTCCTAAGATCATCTGGATCGGAAATACGTGTAGCGCGCAGACGCTCACGGGCAAATAGGAGCTCACGGTTAGCAGCGTGAATGCCATCTGCGATGGCGGTCGCCAGTTGCTTTTCCATGACTTTGCGGATGATAGGGCGGAGGAGGGGTTTGAGGAGCCAGCCGAAGAGCGAGAATTTGGAGCGGCGGAGTGTATATGAGAGTTTGTGGATGTGAACGCGGACAGCGTTTAGAGTCAAGATTTGCTCCTGACGCTCTTTAGCAATTTCGACGTCGAGGTGGATGTCGATGCCGCGCTCGTCGAGTTGAAAGGAGGCGATGCCTTCGTCGGCAAGGCGAAGGAGCCCACTATGGGCACGAAGGAGGAAGCCGATTTCGTCGGCTCGTAGAGAGATACCGTCGATTTTGATGGTGAGTTTGGAGGTCATGGACGATGCGGTGCGGAAGCGAGCTTTGTAGATTTCAAGGTCGTTGTAGGTTTCGACGCGGAAACGGAATGGGAGGAAAGAGGTGTTGTTGATGGTTTGGCCAGGCTCAATGATGAGATTTTCGAGGAGGAGGTCGATTTCGGGGGTGGAGACTTCGAGACGTGGGATGGGAATATACTGTATGGCTTGTATAAGGAGAGGGACGAAGACCTTGATTGCATCTTGAACAAGATCATTGTTGGCGTACTGATTCCTGGGAGAGAGGACGTTGAATATCTGAACGCTTGTTTTGAGAAGCTTGGCGATATCTTCGTCATGGGTTACCGAGCGGAAAGTGTTTTGTGCTTGCTCAAAGAACTTGTCCACGTCCTCGCGCAGAGACGAATCGGTGCCGACGTTGCGAGACTTTTTTCTGAGTTCTTGAAACTTGTCATCTGCGTGATCGAAGAAAGAAGGATCAGTGAGTAACTTTTGGAGTGAGTTGCCGATATCGGTCATGAGGTCCTCAAACTCCGGGTCCTTTCGAGAATGGTCCAGGACATTGTGAAAACATTCCTCGAGCTTCTTCCAATCGTCTCGATTACCGAACGACGACAGAAAAGTCCAAAAGTTCTTGACGGCACGATCCATGGCCCGATTCGTATGCACATCTTTCTGGGTAGCACCCATTGTATCCTCGGCAACCCGAGAATAAGACACGGCATATCGTTGGAGCAGCAGAGATAAGGTTGACACAGAATCCGAATAGTCGTCCTTCTTCCGGAGATTCGTCACTGTTTTCTTCAGACGATACAACAGCGAGTCACCTTCCTCGGCTGTGAGCTTGTCTGCCAGGCTATGTTGTGCTTCTTTGGCGACCTTTGCTGTGCCCGACTCCACCACCTTGGCAACTTCGGAGACGTCGCCATTGAGTTGGTCTGCCGATGGGGCAGGACCTGAATCTGCACCGGGTTCTTTGAGAGTCTTCTGCTCTGCTTGTGTGGGCTCAATCTTGTTCCCTGCCTCTTTCGCAACCTCGGACAATGTAAAGGCGGTGTCTTTGAATACTTCGCGGCCGACCACGTTGAGATCCGAAAGGAAGATGCGGAAATCCGAATTGGTGAGGAGCAACGATCCAACCGTTTTTAAGCTGCTGTACGCTTTACGGGCTTAGCTTAAGTCTTCACATGATTGCCATTACATTGACATACCTGCTTCGGCGTCTGATTTGACTTTGGACTTGGTGGCCCGGTGGGCAATGTCTTGCACATCCACTGAGACTCTTGCCTTGGAGAGATACCAAAGGAAGTCTTGTATCTGATCCTTGTCGTTTTTGTTCTGCAGTAGATCGATGAACTCATGCAAGAATCTCTTGGTGTACCTCACCAGCAGCCGTCCGGAGTCGCTTAGGTCTGGATTGTCGGGATTGAGAATGTCGGCGGCAAGTAGGCTTCGTAGATTGATGACGGCTTGCTCATTGGACGGCATGAAACCTTTTGATAAGGCACGTATCATCTGATACGAGTGCAGCTTCTGGTGAAGCTCGCGCTGCAAAGTCGTGTCATCACGGTACTGGGGTAGCAGGGGACGGTGGTCTTCATCGCGCGAATTGCGGAACCCGAAGCAGGACGACATGATGGCACACAGATTGATTTGATATGGATAAAGTTAAATGGGGCGTTTGGGAACGGCCCAAAGGGTGGTGGAGAGGATGGATGAAGGGCTTCGTGCAGGAGCTCATGGTGACGGAGTACAGTAAACGGCAGCAGCCTGGAACGACGTCATGCATCTGCGAAGCCAAAACGGGACTAGCGTGGACGGGGAGCGAGAGAACGATCTGGAGCGCCAGCGGCATGGGAAATCATGGAAATGCATGCGTCCCCATGTGGAAGGGAATTTTTAAGTGTGCCACCACGCCAACCCCCACGCTTCCGGTCCCAAGTATAGCTAGATATGCAGGTCGATATATATATATATATATATATGTACTTGGTTAGGTACCCATTGAAACTCGTTTGTACATGTGCATATGTATGTACGGTTGCGACTTGTTGAAACAGCTGTACGTAGGAAGCTGTTGGGAGCAGGCCACCGGGTCAACCAGATGGTTGTCACTTGAAATGAAATCGGAGGGGGGGAAGAAAGTTGGGTAGCGCGCATGAGGATAGGAACATCAAGATGGTGTGAAGCTGTGGCGACAAGATATGAGATGGGTGTTCCCGTTCTGGGCGGTCGCGTGCTCGCACAGATTGAGCGGCAGGACGGCAATTGCGGTTTGGGAATGGCATGCCCATCGCTGCACACGCAGTCTACACACCCGGTGGGATAAATTGCTCTACAGACCAAGCATCGTCAAGCTTTCCCCACAACCGTCGGTCGAAATTGCGATTGATGGAATCCACTTGGCAATTATCTAGTTGCATGCTGTGTACCGCGGGAGAAGACGACGGCATCTCTTCCGGTACAGACGTGCGTCGACCTGGTCCTTCAACATGATATGATAATGCCGCATGCAACGACGACGACAGCGACGACGACGATGATGATCATGTTGAGACAGACTGGGAAAGAAGGTTCCCCCCGGCTGAATATGTATTACAGCGATACAATTAACAGATTTGGAGATTAAAGGGGTGGGAGGGGTGACATGGCCAACGTGTCATGATCCCAACATGAATGAGGCCGCACATGGTCGTTGCTGGGAGACGGGGTAAGGGTAAGGGACCAAAAAAAAAGGGACAAGCAAGACGACGACTGTGGAGACTAGTCTGGCGGTGCTCTGGACCACCTGTACGGACAACCACGGACAGTGCCTCACGATACCGTTCGAGGATCCGAGACTGACCCGAGACGAGACGCCAGGCCCCGGGGGCGTCGATATCGTATGTTTGCTGACAGACCAAGAAATCGCAGGCTCAGCGAGAGTGAGCAACGAGCACCGAAAATGCCTCTCCCGAGACCCGATGGAGGATGGATGACCCGTCGTGGGCATCGTCGTCGTCGCCGCCTCCGCTCGCAATCATGCCCAAAGGGGAAAGCAATATTCGGGGCAATACTTGGGATTGACGATGCGGCAGCGTCTGCCATCTGCCGCCACGCTGAAGTTTCCACGGTGTGGCTGTTGTTGGGATCGAGACGAAAGAGAGGGGCGCGCGGGGCCGTGGAGATCAGACAGGGCAGGGGAGACTGGCAGACAGGCTGAACTGTCAAGATGCTAAGCTGGTGGTGTGTCGACTAGTTACTCCAGCTTTTGGCGTGCGGATGGGCCACATGTTGGTGTCTTCCAAGGTGGACAACTAGCGGTGTCTAGCCGGCCTCTTGGTTCCGACATGTTCCGAAAAGCGGTGTTGGCCCCGGCGCCCTGAAGGAAGCTCTTTGGGCAACCTTTTTTTTTTGTAACGCGGACGGTGCCAGACAAGACCTGCCGACGGCTCTCCTCCTTGCTCTGTCATTACCAATTGGCCTTTCCGATTGGCCTGTCATCCCTCACCCTCACTCCGCAGGCGGTTGATTCCCAACTCCCAAATCTTTTTTCGCCAAAAAGCCCGCAGCCGCTTACCTCCATCTGATTACCCCCAGCTGTTTGCCTGTCAATCAATGCAGGCCCTGAAGTCCTTAAAGCCTCGCCTGCTCCTCTCGAGCTCCAGTTTCTGCAAACCCTCCTTCCGCTCTTCAGCTTCCACCCGTTCTTTGGCTTCAGTATCAAACATGTCTCCTGCAACCACACAGTCCAGGCCTGCCATGCCCACCAGGCAGCTCAGCACAACTGGCGGTGACTATGATATGGCGAATCCTCCAGAGCTTCGCAAGTATCTAGGCACCTACGGTCTAACTCCTCCTGCCGTTGAGAACTACGAAGTTCAGGCACAGCGATGTGAGCTCTCCCTGCACCCTTCCTAGCTACACCTGAAAATTTCCGCCATGCTGACTTCTCTGTCCAGGCCTCCGTTTGCTCGCCATGAAGCCCACCCCCATTGAGAAGTTCCAGTACTTGGTACACCTCAGGGCTACAAATGTTCACCTCTTCTACAGACTGCTCTCAGAAAACATCAAGGTGAGTCATCACCATTTCTTGCAAGCTTGGACAGCACACAGAAACTGACTTTTGACCAGGAACTCACCCCTCTCATCTACACCCCCACCGTCGGAGAAGCCTGCGTACGATGGCACGAGATTTGGACACAACCCGAGGGCATGTACCTTTCTTGGAGTGATCGTGGCAACCTCCGCAGAATCTTGGACAACTGGCCGCACGAGGTTGAGATTACCGTCCTTACCGATGGATCACGTATCCTTGGTCTCGGCGATCTTGGTGTGAACGGTATGGGAATTCCAGTGGGCAAGCTGGCCTTGTACACTGCTTGCGCTGGTATCAAGCCAGAGGGCACCCTCCCTCTTACTCTGGACTTGGGCACCAACAACATGACTCTCCGCGAGGATCCTCTGTACATGGGTTCGCGCATGCCCAAAGTCACTGCTGAGCAAGAAAAGGAGTTCTTGGACGAGTTGATGGAAGCACTTGTCGACAAGTGGCCCAGGTAAGTTTTGGCTTTTTACCCGTTCCTACTACACCAACCTGGAAACTAATCGCGTTTGTAGCATTGTTATCCAGTACGAAGATTTCAAGAACCCTTTCCCCGCTCTCGAGCGATACCAAAACACATACTGCATGTTCAACGATGACGTGCAGGGAACCGGAGCTGTCATCGTTGGCGGTTTCATCAACGCTGTCAGGGCTTCTGGCGTGCCCGCTAAGGACCACCGTGCCATTTTCCTCGGCGCTGGCAGTGCTGGTGTCGGTGTTGCCAAACAGATTGTGGAATACTTCGTCAAGGAGGGCGTAAGCGAGGAGGACGCCCGCCGCAAGTTCTGGTTTGTTGATTCCAACGGTCTCGTCACTCTCGATCGTGGCGACAAGCTTGCTGAGCACAAGGTCTACTTTGCTCGTGAAGACAACAACGGTCGCCAATACCAGTCTCTGAGCCGCCTCATAGACTTTGTTCAGCCAACCATCCTGATGGGTCTCTCTACCATCGGCGGTGCTTTCAACAAGGACATCCTGCAACGGATGGCTAAGTTGAACGACAGGCCCATCATCTTCCCTCTCTCCAACCCCTCCAGCAAATCCGAGTGCAACTTCGAAGAAGCCGTTCTCAACACCGATGGTCGCTGCTTGTTCGCCTCTGGATCTCCTTTCCCATCTCTGGAGCACAACGGTAGACTTCTTACCCCCGGACAAGGTAACAACATGTATGTCTTCCCCGGTATCGGTCTCGGAGCCATTCTCTCCAAGTCTATCCATATCACACAAGACATGATCTACGCTTCCGCCGAGTCACTGTCTACCTCCCTCAACAAGAAGGAAGTGGCCGACGGATGGTTGTACCCCGACATCCGTCGCATTCGCGAAGTGTCCGTCGTCGTCACTCGCGGTGTCATCCGCGCTGCTCAGCAGAACGGCGTCGACCGTGCTGTCGAGCTCCGCAACTACAGCGACGAGCAGCTCGACGCTTTCATCAAGCAGAGCATGTACGACCCCTTCAACGAGTCCACTCAGCTTCTCAACGCTGCTTCCAACGGTCGCTCCCACTTGAACGGCAACGGTGTCAGCGGCATCAGCAACGGCCTCGAGGCCTCCCACCTATAAACACCTGCGTTTATACTCTTGTCACTCACTGTTGACATTCTGCTCTTGGCACCACGCTTTTCGCCAGTAATAACTTCTCGCGGCATGTGAACCGGCGCTTTGATCTCACTTTTTTCAACTTTAGAGCGGTTTCCCCTTTTGTTCGCTTTTTTGTTACTCTGGGATATTACACACTTGGGACCCCCAAAATGACTTGGATGGATGGACTTAACAACAACTAAGATTCGATACCCCCCCTTTTTTCTCTCCTCCACCTCACCAGAGTCGACACAAATTGGACTAGATAGATCTCGATTCTACCTTCCTTAATTCGCTGTTCCTGGGAAATGGGGAGGACAAAGGACAAAATAGAAAAACTTCACGTAATCAAGAAACACAAAAACACAAAAACACAATTACTTATTCTTAATGTTACACCTTGCTTGCATGTGCATGGAACTGTTCTGCGACAACCCTTTTTCTCATTTCTACAAATTTTTCGTTCTATGTTTTCCCTCGACGACAAATCAACATGATATACCCAAACAGTGGCCCGACTCGCAGATAACACGGAATACCTCCAACCTCTCAAATCGTTCTTTATCCGTTCTCCAGTCGCAACATCGCTTGCTTTAGAGACAGGGACGCTTCCAGCTGTAACCTCGCAGGCCCCCGAGACTTATCATGTGGAGCAAACCCCACGCTTTCGACTGGCGGCGGCTCTTTTCTTGGCGTTTGCAACGCCACTAGTGGCCCTAGACACTACCGCACATCTCCCACCATGCATCATCGTCGTCGTTGTCTTTGGTGGAACGGAAAAGAATCAAATGCTCCGATCAACTGCAATGATGCGGAGAGTCTCCTTGGGATGATGCTGTGACTGAGTTACGATTGTTGTTTGGTGAGGAGATTTTCTCAAACACCAAATTTCAACCGTGGAGCACAAGTGTATGGACTACAATGCCCTAACCAAGTCTTCAGCTCAGAATCAGGTAGATCAGATAGTCTACCCGAAAAAGAGTGGTTTCATAGCTGACACTCTAGTAGAGCTCGAAGAGCCACCTTTCGATCCTAATGCTAGCAGTTAGAACCGATTGAGATATTAAACGGTTTTCAAAAGCTCTCAAATTATGAACAGTATCATATTTTCTCAAGTAACAAGGTTTGAAGTTCCTGATATGTCCTTTCTACATCACCAATCTTGACTTCACGCAGACCAACGATGTCCACGTCCAGTTTCACTCAATGCCAGCCTGAATATATAACAAGAAAGTTTGGGAGCTTCATTAAACGCAATCTCGTCCCTCGAAGAGACTTCTGTAATAAGGATTAGAGAAATTAGCATGTGTAGCTCATAACCCATACTGTCTTTTCTATCTGCCCACCCGTGTAAAGTTCAGGGTAGGCGAAGTTGAGTCAGCTCTGCCAGCTGTCCACATTTGCAGTGAAGATCCAGCGAAATGAAAACGGTAAACTTCCAGCCCCTCGATACTATCACTTGCCTTACCACCCGCTGGTATATCTACTGCGACCGCGGTATCTTTCCCACGAGCTTGCGTTGCATTGTTGAAATCCAACGTCGCTACCAATGATCCCGTGCTAATCCCATCAGATCGCGTCTCCCAGATAGAGAGACGATCAGTCGTCTCAGAATATCTGTAAACCTTCCGTGCAGCCAGTTTCCCATTTTCAATCTCGTCCACCAAATACTCCGAAGTGAAAGATGGATCTGTCGGAAATCTGAAGCCAAAGGATTTCTGCGAGAAGTTCATAGAACCATTGCCATCGGTGGATCTCGTGGCAGCTATCCAGTCGCCCAAAAGACCGAGAGAAACGGCCCGCGCAAGGAAGCGGCCAGAGTCACGCGCCTCCCGCTGTACCTTCTGAACCTCTGACAGCGTTGCAATAGCTTCATGCTTTTCACTACCGGGATCTAGGTAACGTGAAGGGCATACAAATCCCTGCGACTCGGAGAACCCTAGATCGAAGCGTTCTAAATCTAGTTCACGGCTCGCTTGCTCCATAGCTCCTACTTCGTCACCGAATGGATTGGACGGCACTTCGTGCTTCCTACCCTCTTTGGCAGCTTTTCTCAGGTCTCGATAGTATTCCCGGAGCTTTTTGTCTTCGACCGAATTCTGGGCCCAGCTCTCTGAGGCCTCGCTTTCTCCTTGTGTCCAAGCCTGCACAATAGCGCGTGCCTGCATCTCAAATAAACCCCAGTAAGCGCCTTTGATGCCAACGAAGGCAAACGTCGGCACTTGAGCGTTTTGGGTTAAGAAATTGCAATCAAGAACGATTCGGGCTACCGAGCAAGCGGTATCAAATTCGAGTGCGGTTTTGGTCTCGTTGTCGAAGATCGAGAAAGGAGACGCGGTGTTGAAGCCTGTGGCGTAAACAATCGCACAAACATTTGAGATGAATGTCACTTTTCTGGTGGTATAATCTCTGACGGCGGCGGTGACGAGACAGTCACCCTCTTGATGTGAAAGCGTTTCAAGTGTTCCGCGAGACTGTATAATTTTGCCAGTCTTCACGAATTGCGTATAGAGATCTCCGACGACAGCTACTGGCGCAAGATGATCGGCTTGATGCCCATTGAGATAACCTTGATTGCCATCTTGGATAGTATGCAGCAACTTTCGTGTTGCGGTTACCTTCTCAGGGGTAACAAGTCCGTAAGAGAAGGAGGGCGGCGGTTCAACCGGCCGGCTTGACCGATTGAAAAGCTTGAAGTCAATCGGTTGAAACGTGCATAAAGAGGCAGTAGAGTCTCGGATCACCGCCGGAATTCCAAACATCTCGTGGGAGCTGACATGTGCCACTTCGGTGTTCTTCCAAACGTCTCGAACATTCTCTGTCAGTTCGGGAGCATTTTTGATATCGGACAGCTGTCGGGCCACCAAATCGGCGACTTCTGCGCCGGAATGAGAGCCCCCGACCACCAAGACTCGTTTTCGTCCCGGAGCGGCAAGGGGTTCGTGATGCTGCAACTCACTCAACGTCCGGTACCTTGTACTGTGCATGACGGGTAGCCTTGCAGGAGAGCCAAGATCATTTATGTCCATGTTCCATTGATTTGGTACACGGTAGACGCCTGGTGCTGCGACCAGATAATCAAATACCTCTTCCCAACACTTTGTTACCGAATTCTTCACAGAAGCCTTGCACAACTTCAGCTTCCAGAGGCACATCTTGGCTCCCGGTTGCTGACTGTTGGGCACCAGTTCGCAGCTTTTGACCTCTGTCCCGAGATGCAACCGATCCGGCGACAAATATCTTTTGCAATAGGCTTGAAGATATTCGAAAACCTGAGAAGCTTGTGGGTACACAGGGTACGCTTTGCCGGACTGATCGATGGATTCCCATGAGAAATCGGAGAAAGACATTGTAAATTTGGACTGATTCGTACGCATTTCCGGGTTGATGATGCCTCCAGGGGCCCAGGATCCGCCAATCTCGTCAGCTTTCTCGAAGACATGCACCTGGAACTTGCCTGATTGAGACAGCTTGCGAGCTGCAATGATGCCTGCGGGTCCAGCCCCAATAACTGCGACAGACTTCATATTCACTGCTTGATTCATGAGCTTGTAGCTTTGGAAGCATGGACTTCACACGGAGATAAATACCATGTTCACGCCAAAGGCAAATGTCGACTTTCGATAGTCGTTCGGCTGCGTGATTGAGGCGTCTCAAGCTTTCCTCGGCAAGATAATAAGCACCAACATAGGCTTTGTATGCTTGCCGTTGATCTAGTGGACGTAATACACTGAGACATACCATATCTGGTTAATTGAAAGTCGTATTCATCTATCCCGCATCGCCAAGGGCACACTTCGGGATGTTGAGGCCAACGACTCCGATAGAATAATTTGGCATTCTGTGCGCCGCTCTCACTGTGTTCATCAGTTCGAGTGGCGTAGTCACCATACTTTCAGTGTTTTGGCACTGTGGTAGCCCGCGAACACTCATGGATCCCGGTGAGTGACCTGAATCGATTCTTACATTGTCCTGCTTACCACTTCCTAGCGGCATGCAAGAAAAACATTCCTCGAGCTCTTTCCATAATGTACCTAGGGGCTATATTGCCCATTGTGGGGGATCCACTTTGCAAGATTCACACCTTGACACTGTCAACGTGAGCTCATCAATACATCAGTGATGTTGTTACCATTGGCCATGGTACGCAAGCTGAAGATGAAAACTCGAGAGAAGGTGGCCCTTGCAGTCGTTTTTGGCATTGTGTTGCTAGACGTGACCTTCACAGCTTTAAGGGTCGTTTTTACTGTCAAAATATCCTTCAGCAAACTCCCCGAAGCGAATACCTTGTGGACGAATCTGGATCCCTTGGTAGCGGTCCTGATATGCGTTCTGCCTTGCTACCGCGCTGTGTTGTCGCCGTCTAGAAACCAACCTGTCAATGGAAATGCATACATCTCAATCTCCGAGAGATGGAGAAGCAAAGGCTCAACTTTTGCAAAGAAGAGCAATATGACCAAAACGGAAATCCAGACTCTTAGTACGGTTCATCTTTCAAGCCGCGATTCAAGCCAAGTTTGATTTGACTCTGACGGGGTATCGATATGGGAGAAGTGAGAATATGTAGTTCAGATTGCGGCGCAGAAGTTGCACTGGAACCGATTACTTAAATGAGAACAGACATGATTCCGGCCTGAAAGTTTCCGTAGGTTGATGATATATTACAAGCTCAAGTCGCTTCTATACATAGTTTTCTACCTACTACCAACTCGTTAGTTCAGCCAGCCACTGCTCACGAATTGTTCGTTCTGATTCTCTTCTAAAATGGCCCTCCTTATTGGTCGCTTCTTTCGACTTTCATTTTGATCCGCATTGTGGCTTGTATTGTGTAAGTTTGCTACGGAATTCTTCAATAGGAAACCATCTACGTAAGTTTCTATAGATCTCGAGAGTCGGGTCAAGGGGCGTCACAGCCTTTTCCCCACAGCCTGCCCCAAGCCAACAACCTCACACAACGACCAACCAAAAAAAAGGAGAGAAAACCAAGATAACTTAGAGCGTGCGGGTTAGCTGGACCCTTTCCCCCCCTTCTCCTCCGCTCCTCCCTCAAAAGGACAAAAAAAAAAAGCCACACCGCTTGGCACGCGCTATTCATACCAGAAAAAAAAACGAGGCACCCACCGACGGGTGGAACCGGGACGAGCGTGCCCTTGTTTTTTGCTGTGTTAAGGAAAGTGTGGGTTAGTGTGGGGGTAGTGTGGTGGAGAATCGAGATGACTAGCTGAGAGGTGGGGGGGAGGTTTTTTTCCTTTTCCCTTTCTTTTCTTTTTGCGTGCTATTCTTCAGTGAGTGGACCCACGGAGCTAAGAGATGGGAAGTGGGGTGGACGGGAGAAATATCAGGGACACGGAACGGGATAGAGATGCTGTTTTATGCTCCGTTTCCTTTTTTTTGCAGCCCAACTTTAGTTGCGGTTTGGAATTTCTGTATGTTTTAGTACTGTAGACGTGAAGGGTAGGACATAGCGAGGAAGGGGATCATGATATCTGATGCATGCATGATGTGGTATAGAATTTTGGTATCTAGATTTTTTGATGTTTCCCTCCCCCTAGTGGTCCTTCGCCATGGGGGTTTCCCCACTGAACCTAATCTTCCTCGTGCATACATGCTTGACTGCCTGCTCTGCTCTGCTATGCTTCCACCCTCTCGATCCAGCTACGTATGAAGGAGGAAATGCTTCCGATAAAACGCCGTCGCTTGGTGTTGAAGAGTCTCGTCGAAGAAATGACCGCGAGACTTTGAATAAGATACAAAATGGAAAAGGGGGAGGTGGGGGGAAGGTAAAGAATTTGGAAAATGTCCCAGGGAAAGAATTCGGTTCGTTTCCTCTTATCCAAAAACCCTTTTTCTTGGGAAATTCCCAAGTAACCCCATGTGCGAGCCCCAACCTTTGATGCAAGATGGTGATTTGTAACGAAAGAAAGATTTTTCCCTTGGTAATGATGTACAGTGTATCAGGAGGTTCCGGAATTGAGTCTCAACCGGAAGAGGAATACGTAGAATGATAACCCCTATCCTTGTAATCAGATGCGATCTGATCAGAATCAGTGTCACTTGCGTGTCGGGGGTAGGCGCTTCATAGGAACTCAGATCGATGCTTCCCCATAACGAAATCGCGGGTCATTTCGAAACTCAGCCAGCTAGATGCCATACTGGGAGCAACTTTGAGTAGATTCGGAACGATGCCCTTGTACAAACCCCGGACGCCTTCAGTCTTGATGATGTTGATGATTGCGTCAGTCACTCCAGCATACTTGTATCCCATGCCGGTCATGGTATTGACCTGGAAGCGACGGCGGAGGACATCGAAGGGGTACGTGCAAGTTTGTGCAACAGCGCCAGACACAGCGCCCGCAGCAAGCTTGCCAATGGCGCTAGGATCTTTCTCTCCTTCTGCCGTAAACTGTGTGCGGGCCATCTCGTAGACCATGAAGTTGAGGCCAACATATGGTGCGACTCCCGCAACGGTAGGGATGATGCCGCGATAGAGGGCTAAGAAGCCACCTTCATTCTTGTACATGCCCTTCATGATTCCCCACATGCCTGGGAGCTTTTGTCCGGGGTCGCGCTTGAGGCTCTCGAAAGAGGCGGATTGGATCGAAAGGCGTGTACGCACAATGTCCAGAGGGTATGTGCAGGTCACAGAAGTGATACCGGCTAGACCACCGCAGAAAAGACGTTGATATGCGCCCAAGGGTGCGCCGGGTTCGCTCTCGAAGAACTTGATAATCGTTAGTGTGTGGCTTTTGGTTTCGACCCAATGTTCCGTCTGCCAACTCCGACTTCTTGAAAGCATATTTATGCTCGTTCCAAACCTTTAGTCGACCATGATTCAGTCTCGAATCCAACTCATCTGCATTTCGACCGAACTTTCCGTCGCATCCTTCTGATCATACCATTTTCCCATGTTTCCTTTGATTCAAACCGAAGAGACGATCATAAAAACGAACAGGGGAGTAGAACAGCTTGGCAGGCTGGATGCAGGAGAATTGTACTTACGCCCTTGTAGATATTGTATGCGCCGAACTGGACAGCGGAATAAGGAACAATGCGAATGCAGTTGGTTCCGTTACCAGCCATGAAACCCCTCCATCCTTCATCCCTCCACATCTTGGCCAGAGCCTTGGGTACAGACATCTGGTATTCATTCCGGCCGACGCTTTGGACTTGGAAGAGAATCTTCAGACGTTCGAGGGGCGAGACGACGGTACGCGAGACGGCACCGGCGACACCACCAGCGACAAAGGAGGCTACGAAGGGTTGCTGGAAGAATTCGCGAAACCTGTCAATTGACGGAACAGGGCCAATTGGAGCCTGGAATTGCGCGTTAGTGCTGAGATGGCAAGTCTGGAAAAGCAACAAACACATACGGCTGGCCCACCAGGTGGTGAAGGCTTTTTTGGGCTTTGGTCTGCCATCGTTGGAGAGAACAGACGGCGAACAAGATGGTTGCGCGCGTAAGAGGACGGCGAATGTGGCGGTCAAAAGAAAAGAGAAGTGGAGAAGAGCTATGACTTGCTCATCTGCTCGAGTTCAATTGGTGTATGCGGGAGAATGGGTAGCAGACGGCTTGCCGGAGGAGAAGTGGACGGGGAGCGGCGTCTGCGGTTGTACTTGAGAATGCCATTCAATGCGTCGAGGGGGATTACAGAGGTAAATGGGCGGGCGAGAACAGCCTTCACCTCTGGTAGCAGAGCGAAAGTGGAGGTGAAGGTGATGTCGAAGTTGGGAAGTGCTTCACTTTGACTTGGACGGACTAGAGAGATGTTCGGCGTTGGGGGATTTTAGCGCAAAAGATCGATTGCCGATTGATAGCCAGTGCTGTGACCGTCCGCTTTCGTACTGGTGTCTTGCCTGCTCAGCGCCAAACCTTCCAGCGCCATTGTAGACCTGAGCATCTATATATACCATCCGACCCAATGTACCATCTAATAGTAAGTACATACCGTGACTGATACTAAGCAGACCGCCTTTGCGCACGTGGTTTGGCATGGTTTGCTTCATAGTGGCCCCTAGGAGCTCTCCAAACTCACGACAGTTTCACCCTCTGCGAATCACGACCAGCTGTCCAGCCACATCCAGTACCTTCATCTCCCGAATGACGATTTCAGCAGCCTCCAAGTCGCAATCAGGTGTCACGCAGTGGAACAGAAGCGCTTGTCACCCGCCGCCAGGTTCGACCCCAGCGCGACATCAGCTCCCGTGATCATGCCACCAAAGCCCCTTTGATCCCACTCAGTAATCAGCTCGTCCAGCCTGGGCCTGGGTACCCCGTCGGTTCCACTTCACTATCTCTTCCCTTGGCCCGCTATGCACGAGTGGGGAGTATCTTAGATAGTTAAAATCCGGGGACGAGCCAGCTGTCTATGCCACCATGCCACCACGATAATATATCGGGTACACATGAACGCCTACAGTCTTCCATTGAACGTAGTCAACGGGCACGTATCTCACCTCCGCTATGCTAGCAACTGCTCCATGCTGTATATATCTGGCAGTGTTCAGCTATGGTATAGTGATCAAGCAAACTTGGTGCCGACAAGTCGTCGTGTAGTGTAGCCTTGTCATCAATTGATCTTGGTCCAGTCAATGGTTCCAGTGAAACAGAAAGAGAGGAAAAGATCAAGTCAAATATGCCAATAAAGTAGACCAATATTTAGATGAATAGTTCACATCCGATTCTGAGATAACAGTAAACTCTAACCAACATCGTTCCGCGGTCAGGAGGAGGAGCTCGGTGGTGCGCCACACGCACAGCCACACCTATTTTATCCAAGAAGCTATGACTTCAAGAGCTACCATGCATGTACCTCACGATTCTACATTCCAATGCTTTCGCGTCGCATTTTCCAGCAGCTGACCGATAGCTTCCTATACGGATCCAATCGACTCGTAGCAGGTCGGATTTGCTCCGCGTCCAAATGTACCTCCTGCTCTGCGCGTAGGCAAACCACTCCAAACGCGATCCGCCACGCTTCGTCCTCGTCCTCGACGAGATGGAAATCACGCCAAGGCAACGACTTCTTCGCCCGAGAAGCAAGAGTGCAAGGACTCAAGAGTCGAGCGGCATTCAAATTGCTCGAGGTGCGAGCCGAATCTTTTGCAGTGACCCCCACCCATGTCCCCTCTAAACTTTCAATCAGTTGAATGAAAAGCATAAATTGTTCAAGCCTGGCCAGACGGTTGTAGACCTTGTAAGAAAACGCCCCTTCTCGTGGATTTTTAATGTGGTGAGCACGTTGCTGAGTGCTCTAAAAGGGCTTTGCTCCTGGTTCATGGTCCCAGGTAGCCGTCAACAGAACAGCCCCAAACGGCCGCGTAGTCGGAATCGATCTCATCCCGGCGCAACCCCCGCGAGGCGTATCTACGATCCAAGGGAACTTCCTCTCCCCTACCGTCCAAGCCGAAGTCCGCGCATACGTCCAAGACCCCGACCTCGGCCGACCACGTCGCCAGATATCCTCGCAACAAGACGGTGGGTTCACAGAGGACGATGTAGAGGAGCTGGAACGGGGCTACATCGACCTTGAGCGGCAGGCACATCTGGACGCAGAAGGAGCAGTGGTAGAGGAGGCAACGGAACCAGCGGAGACGAAAACGTCTATAAAAGCGCCTTCCCAGAAGGAGAGGGATGCCGGCCAAGGCAGGGTCGTGGATGTGGTGTTGAGCGACATGTCAGAACCCTGGGACCAGACCACTGGATTTCATAATAGAAGCTTAAGTGACCCTTATCACAGGTTGATGAACACGTCGGGAATCCCTTTCAAGGACCATGCGGGGAGTATGGTACGTCTCTTCCCACCCCCTTCTATCCCATCACATCCATATGCACGTCATTTATACATGGTCAACCGTATATCAATACCATCAAAGGTACTAAAAATTTTCACCGCAGGATCTATGCATGGCAGCGTTGACTTTCTGCTTCGACACGCTTCGCACGGGCGGACACTTCATGTGCAAGTTTTACCAGGGCTCCGAAGAGAAAGCGCTCGAGACAAAACTCAAGCGCCTGTTTACTAAAGTGCACAGAGAGAAGCCCGATTCCTCTCGAAGTGTAAGATTCGCACTTTCTTCTTCTTCTTCCTTTTTATTCTTTACTTAATCCCCCCGCCCCTTTTTCTGATGATTGCTGACCTCTCGCGGGGGCGCAGGCTTCCAAAGAAGCATATTTTGTCGCTTTGAAGCGCAAGGAGGCACCGACGAGGGAAGACGTGTTTCGGTAACTCTTGAGCTTTTTTGGATAGATTGGTGTTGTCGTCGTTGAATGATGTGTACAAGTTGCGAAGCGGGATTCTATAGTCGTTAAGGGAGGTAATTGTATTAGTATATGTATCATGGGTTTAATACGCGGATTCCTTAATGTTGTTGACATGCCTTCGCCCCGGATAATTCAGTGGGGTAGTCAGAGTAAAGAAAATGGAAGAAAGTTAGAAAGGTCTTTTGCACTTATGCTACCGTGGGTGGTTACATGGGACTCTGTGAGACGAAGTCAGAGTGCAAAGTGGTTTATGCGGCACTTTATACATCCATATACAGCGCAACATAAAGGTACATACATATAAACGTGCCTGTGCACATATAAGCATCGAAAGCAAGGTAGATATACATACACCTATGTTCTTTTGGTTATCGCTCGTTTTTTGGTCTATTTTATCGCTGTAAACCCATCGCTGTGTGTACGATCACCTAAACTCCAACTCAAAATAAATAAAAAAACATACACCTACACGCGCTTATGCAGATCCATCTATGAACGATTATTCGCAAGTTTCGGGAGAGGTTACCTTTGAAGAACCGCAGTAGCAAATAGATTAGACATTCCATCGCTTCGCATACCACAGTAAAGAAATGTCCATATACAACAGCCCCGTAACTTCCAACTCGCCAGTTCGCTTCACCCCATCGTCCATCCGATGCGTATACAAAACGCAACCATAAGGCGCGGAGACTACAAAAAAAACCCCCCGCCTTTCTTCCCCATTCGAACTCATCAAACCCTCCTCCCTCCTCCTTCGTCCTGCCCCTGCCCTTGCCCCTGTCCTCCATCAAAAGGACTAGGCCACTCCCCACCACCACCATGATTCGAATCCCCCCATCCAAACCCATGACCCTGCCCCAACAGCCCACCGCCAGGATCCGCCAAAACTCCCGTCCCCAACTCCCTCATCCTCGCGCGCTGCGCGTCTGATAAATGCATCAACGGGTCTAGAAGAGGCGGTTGTTGTTGGGCTGAGCTCGACGAGGGGGTGGTAGCGGTGTATGTGCTGTGGGGAGTTGGATAAGCGTCGTGCGAGATGGGCGTAAAGTCCAGCGCGGGGTTGCGGTATGCTGTTATGTGCGGGAAGGGGACGAGGGAGGTCGGGGGGTGGAGGGCTGGGATGGGGAGGAAGGGTTCTGTGGTAGGTGGTGTGTATACGGATGTAGATGTCGATGTGTCTGGTGGGATGGGTGGATGTTGTGTGAAGGGTTGTTGAGTTGATGATGGACCTGATGCTGGGATTTCCGTTTCGTTGTTGTTATTGCTGTTGTGATTGTCGTCTTGATGTTGCTCCTCCTGGATCTTGCCGAGATTCGTGTTGGTAGATGCGTTAGGAGGACCAAAGTTCGTCGCGTTGGGCCAGTATTCTTTCGTGAGATCTGTGTTGCGGAAGACGTGGTGGACTTGACGGCGATGGAGGATTAGATTGCTCATGTGGCGAAAGGTGGAGGAGCAGATTTCGCATTTGTAAGTGCCTTTGGGGTGTGGGAACGGCGAGTAGTATGTTGCCATGCCGCGCAGCATGTCTCCACTGGGGACAATATCAGGGGTTAGTAAACCTCCGGGACGCTCCAGGAGCCACATTTCCATGCTGATGCCGTTGCTGAAGTGAGATACTATGTGACTAGCGTTCATCAGTTGCGTGAGTGTGGAATTGGAAGACAACTACATACTCGGCTCTTGCTCCCCAGTCTGGCAGAACGCTCACACATAGTCCGCATAATATTGATACGTCGTGACTGATGGGTCGACACCAACTCTTGATCATCTTGGGTGGCTGGCAAGCATGGACTTGTTTGATATGCTGAATGAGCTTGTCTTTTCGTAGAAATGCCCTTTGGGCATGGGGGGCATCCGAGCATTCGATGCTCCTATGCGAATCCAGATGGCGTTTATCAGGGTCGTGGTGATTGCAAAAGACACAGCGTGAATTGTCATCTACAGGGCCATCTGGCATACAAACCCATTCCTTCTGAGGAAAATGAACAGACTCCTCATGGCGTCTCCAATCATACTTTTGGACAAAGTCGAGGGTGCAGAATGTGCACTGGAATCTTCGCGAGGGACTCGACGGTTTGCGAGCGACGCTAGTTATTTGCTTTTTCGATGAGTCTTGCCGTCTCCGGCGGCCTCTTCTCGCTCCGCGGTGGTGGAACGAGTCGTAGTTTTGACTACGACTACTCTCTGCACTCCCCGCGGATGAACTCGACGACCCTGCATTACTGCCTGATGCCGACAAAGCGGCGTTGGACATGCGACGTCTTCTTTCTCGTAGTGGCCGTCTCAACCTCTTTGCAGCTTCTTGTATATCATCTTCAACGGCAGCTTCTTGGTCGGAAGAGCTAGACAAATATCGCTCTAGCGGATCACTGGGTTGTTCATTGGCAACAGGAGGATTCTTTGTGTCTGAAGCCTCGGATTTGCTTGGGTCTACGACTGGAGGTAATTTTCGAGCTCTGGCATTAGCGAAATATGTACGGACTTGTCTAACGGTTAAACCGGTGAGTGTGACAAGCTCTTGAAGTTCCTCCGGCGGGACATAAGGATGTGCTCTGTGACGTTCGAAACTGTCCTCTAGCAATTTTCTTGCTGTGAAAGGAATTCGACGCCTTTCTTTCTTATCAACATTTCCCGTTTCTAGTGGATATGTGGAAGGAAGAACAGCTACTTGAGGAGGAATTTGAGGCTGTGGGTATGATTGCGCAGGAATCTGCCATTGTAATTCGTTTAGAGGATTCCCCGCTTCAGCAATCTCCGGCCACAACTGATCCATGAGAGGGGGTTCAGAAGGGTGAAGATTGCCAGTAAAGTCGTGTATGAGGTCGGCATCGGGGCGTTGAAGAAACCAATCGGGATACTCGCCGAATGCATTGGATGGTTGCCTGTTAGGTAACGGTGCATGTACATGGTCAGCCGTAGAGAAAGGCGGGAAGTCGCTGGATCCGCTCCGCTCCTGATCGTCCATGGTCGTTTGCGACAATGCCTTTGATTCAGCTGTTCATGTCGAGTATTGTAGTCAGAAAGAACTGTGAGGCCGACCTTTATGAAGAAAGGCAGACTACGAACCTTGGTTAGATCTTGGGGTCTTCGAGAACGGACCGTTCCATTGGCTCAAAAACGACCGGGGGTAAGTCCGCCTTTCACACGAGCGGAAGAGCAGAGCGCGTTAATCTTCTAGGCTTACACAATTCTATTATAAGGAAAATATATTTTGTCGTTGTATAGGTAGTCATAAGCTCGAGGATGACTGGCTTACCGTAAGATGGTATTGCTCTTGAGCCTAATGTTGATCGTTTAATACCCTTCAACGGTCGCATTGTAGCTCGGAAAAAAGCCGATGACTTCCCAGATGCACGGGCCCATCAACGGAGCGGACTACGACGATAAAAATATCGAGGCGGAAAAACACACGCTTTGGTTGTGGCCTATAAGAAATAGGCCACCAGTAATCTGGTTGACCGTTTTGCATGATCGACTAAGATGATCACGCATTGACGAAACTTTTCACAGTCCAAAACAGGATTGTCCCGTGTTCATGGAAAAACCCCCTATGATTAGGTATACAGCTCCTGCCATCATCCATTTGATATATAGCTTGCTCCAGCCACCACAGTCTTGCTTCCGAATATCTTCTACACATTATTCTTCAGCTGAACTGCTTCCGTGGCGTTTGACGGGTTTCTGGTTGAAGTTTCTCCTTCAACATCTCAAGATTAGGGATGTCGAGATTCTGCCAAGGAAGGCTCAGAAATTCGTGCTTATTTTTCCAGCGAAGTGACTCTTGCTTGTACTCCTCAGCCTCGGATGGTGGCGGTGGAGGCTCGGTAACTTTTGTGATCAAGTAAGCTGTCGAAGCTTCGGCCAGACCGTAAATTAAGACACCGAACATGGGTATTTTCACGAAGGCGTAGAAGCCAAGCCCGAACCCAAATAGGACACCAGCCCGATCTTTGAACCAGACCTGTTTCTGTTCTTTGGTATATTTCACACGAGCAAAGTATGGCTCCAGCTGTGTACACGTCAATTGGCGCGAATGTAATTGTCAAGAGTGGGTTGACTTACAAGCTCCCGCATCAATGTTCTCGAGGAGAAGTAGGCCTGGAGAAAACTGACCAAATAACGCCGCGGCATTATGAGGGATGCAGCGAATATTGCTCCCGCAGGTTGGGGGCCCACAGACTTTTGGAAAGTATGAAAACTGGCAGCGGGCAAGACGAAGCGGCCTACATACGGGAGATATGAGAGGGCCAGGACTGTCAGTGATATCCCAGCCTTTCGACCGTACTTGATGGCGAACATAGTGAGGGCTTGCTTCATAGGAGTCTTTTGTCGCTTGTCATTGGGGACATGCAGTGGGTATTGTTGAAGGTTGGGATAGTACATGGCGCGAAGACTGTGAGGATCTTCCGACTTATGCTTCTGGACATAGGTCTGGTCGACCCAGCGCAAGGAGTCCATGAACATTTGATCGAGGGTCGGAGTGATGTATCGCATGAGTGTCATGAGAAAGAAAGGGACTTGGAGCACAGTGTGCTCCAGAAAGTGCAGACCTCCTACCACTGATTCATCCCATTGGGCATGATCCATATCTACCGTGAAGGAAATGATCCATAGCAGTAGCCTTACTCCTTCTACCTAAGAAATGGGTTAGAATATAGCGAAGACGGGCTGATTGAACAGTTTCTACGAGAGCTTTCGAAACGTTTGTGCAGTGAACGTACAGGAATGGCCACGAGTATGCGAATAGCTATGCCAGCAGCAACAGCCAGAGCCGCTTGGCGATAATGGTTTGAAGTGAATAAGGCCGGGTTCTGCAGTGCGCGATGTACTAGGTGCGGGTCAGCAAAAGATGCAGTGGTGATGTATGGCACTTCGGCGGAGACGCACCGCCCACTAGAGTGAGCTGTGCTCCTCGTAATATGGCATTGGGATCGAAGTTTCCCAGAGAAGACATTGCGTTGGGGTCCCGAATTCTGCCCAGAGAATACTGTTAATATTCGAAGGTGGTGTTGGATGCGCAACGTGCTGGGTATCTCGGAAGCAGAGGGAGTTACGGAACTGGGGGGGCACAATGACGTAGCGTGGATTGTGGGTCTATTTTTATGTAGCTAGTGCAAACCCTTGTGCCTGTGCCCGATGGCTGCTCCATGTTCGAATGCTTTGTTTTTCCATCATGCACCAATGTACATATGTGCAGATTTCCGGAACAAACCCATGTGAAGAACTATCCATCGGAAAAGCTGGCCAGACGCACATTCTCCTTGGATCGTCGCTGCGCCCACCACGTGCCGATTGCATCCAGTCTGTTTTGCGTCCCTTACTAATGCGAGGTATGCTCGTGTGATCTTGGATCGATCCCTTGTACAAGGACGCAGTTCAACAAGACTTTTAACATATCGGGTTCGAAAGTCTTATACTTTGAGGGAAACTTTATCTGAGCTTATGGGCGATATGTTTGGTGCGCATAGAAGATCCGCTGGACTTCCACGTACTTGTTCCTGGATTCAAAACGTCCTTAAGCTATGGTATGACACGCCCATCATCGATGGTGTGACAACAAATGCCCGGCAAAGCAGAAGGTGATGAACTCGGAAGGCAGAGTACTTTCCCTTCGCCGTCAGGTACAAAGAATTGTCCTCGCCGAGCAGAGTTTTATCGTAACAATGCACACGACATGCTTATTGACGCGAATGAGAAAAGTGTATAGGGCGGCACTAGGAGTAGCGGAGTGCATGAACCTCGAGACGCCCTGGGAACCCCAGCCACACTACGCCTGACTTGACTTGACCCTCGCTCCCTCGCTCCCATCTTGCCGTTCCAACTTCTCCTCCGACTGACATCAATGCAATCATTCCTGCACCGCCAGTCAGCAAACCGAAACCCCCCGCCCTCGCCTTCTTTCGCCTGATCACCCGACTCTTGATGATGCCACCGTGATCCCTTCATCATGTCCCTACCGGATGCCTCCAAGACACCCGAGCACGCGCCAGTCGCTGCAGCTATGAATCCCGCCCGCCGCTCCTTCACCCTCCCCGCCCGCATATCGCCGAAGCCACCGCGTCCCGCCCAACCCGCAAACACAGCCGACGGAATAGAGACTCTGTTCGTCTGCACCTCCACCAAGATTGTTTCCTTCACTGCCTCCAACCAAGCCAGGCCGACTTCGCCGTCACGGCGCAACCAGCGCGATGCCGAGGACCAAACACAGACAATTCCATGGCGGTCGCCTACGGAGCGCACCATGGCTGTGGGTTAGTCAGGCGGTCTATTCAGATCAAATGCATATGCTGATCATTTCTTAGGGGTGTTGAGAATATACCGTGTGATCTCGTCCAATGTCTCATTCCTTAACTCGGGCAATCTCTTGCATACTATTTTTCCCAGATCGCAATGCTGGTGCGTCGATGGCGAGTCCGTCTTCGTCCTTCGCGTACGACAAGATTCTTATTACCGGATGGAACTACCCCACGAATCTTCAGAGGATAAGGAGAAGGTGGACCAGTTCAAAGCCGTCCTTGGCCAAGTGTTGCAGTTTGAAAAAACCCAATGCCCGTTCACCCGCGAGTTCGAAGTTGAACTACCCGAGCGTCCAAAGACTCCGCCGCGCAGGCGCTCTACTATTCGGGCCCCCGGGAAGGCCAAAAAGTGGCTATTTGACAAGAAGTGGATGCCCGAGGATCATTCTAGGCCTTCCACGCCATCTTTAGAGGGCACTGATTCCGGCCCTGCGTCGTCTTGTGAGGAGGATGACCGGTCAAGTATCAACACCGAAAAGAGCGAGACACTAGCAGAGGTGGCATCGGAGCCAACGGAGAGCCTTCCGACTGCCATGATACCCAAGCCTGCACACAGACTATCTGTCACGGAGCGGGCAAAGACCTTTCAAATGCGATCGGTGACTGCGCCAACTTCATTAGACGCCCAACGGCCATCCCGTGTAGAGGAGCTAGCGAAGATCAATGAACGCAACGATACATCTGTGGAGGAACTTCCCGAGAACCCTGGCAGGAGCGCACGCATGCCCCTGGACCGCAAGGAGTCAGTAGACGCACAGAGCATCATGTCTAGCGTCGACTCATTTTACTCGGTTGAAGCTCCTACCCGTAGCCCTTCTCCACCCTACGTTGATGCTGAGGGGGATTCAATCAACCCTTGGGCTGACATGCAGGCTCTTCCAGAGCTGGAGATAGAAACACGAGGTCGTAGCAAGCACCGTCGAGATACATCAGAGATGACAGTACGAGCGTCTTCCCTAGGAGATGCTAGGAAAGATTTGCCCGTCACACCCACAATGGGGGAAACGCCCTCTGCCGACATCCATCCGTCCTCTGCCCCCTCAACGCCGCCTCTTGTCAGCGACTCTGACGACGACAGCATTGGTCCCCCTTCTTTAGATGCACCGACACCACCTGCCAACATTCGCATGAAGCGACTCACCGGAGCTTCACAAAGGCGCGCTTTCTCGCCGATGCCACAACCTCAAAACTTATTTCGCCCACCAACCACCACCAGTGCAGGCAAGCAGTTCACGACTGCATTAATTCGTAAGACGTGTGAAGTTGTTCTTGGACCTCCAGCCCATCTAGTACAGCTGATGCTCAGCATAGCCGCCAGTGTATCCGACGGCATTTTTGGTTTCAACACGTACCGGGTGCGTCACAGTAGCGAGAAAAAGATACCTTGTTCTTGGGAATCCAGCGACGAGGAAGATTGGCCTGAAGAGGATGATTTCGGCATTCCACTACGAACTTTTGATGACTCCACGACCGTTCGAAGGACTGGATTCTCCAAGGATATTGACTGATAAGTTGAGTAAGAGAAAGCGACTACAAAACACTTTGATTATTCAGTAGTTTGATTAAACTGCATAGTATTCTGTCTTGCATGAAGGCTTCCCGTTTTTATCATTGCATTTCAGAGATACCAGGCGTTCATGGGATACTGGCTTTTGTCACGAGAATCGAAGGAAAGCATCTGACCCGAGTTTTACTCTTGATTTTCTTTTCGGGTCAGCATTTTGTACGATACAGCACGATATATATGGTGTTTCCGTTAAGTTTGGAGGGTACATTTTTTGTAATATCATGGGTTCTTTTCAATGGCCATCTTTCACGATAGAACCGAGAAATGAATGTAGTCGAATTCGCACTTGACATCTTCTAAACTAGGCCTTCACGTCAGATCGATAGAGTCATGTAAAAATACTAAGACTACATATCTAGAGTATGACGGTGGTGGTGGTCTGCCATACAAATACAAATACCCCGCAGCGGAGCGGGGCTACAGCTACTCTCACTGACGCTTCTTCCGACGATACGTAACGAAACCGTCTATCTTAGCTTATCAACTTCCTTGTATCTTCATTCGACCGGACGAGGGTCAAGCTCCACGGAAGCTAGATATGGCATTGTCAATACCAGCCGGGCAGGGTTAGGTACAGGACTCCCCCGCACGTTTACTTGCCTATATCTAGGTACCCCTTCCTGCATTACCATTACTCTTCATCTCATTCAAATCCTCGATTGATCTTGATACGTACCTGAACTTCCTCTAATATCAATTTCTATAATCTTGATTGAATAAGAAAATCACACGGAGCAAGATGGGCAAGGAAGGAATCCGATATGCCGCAAAAGTATCTCTAGATAAGCCCGCTGCAGAGCAAGATTGCCTCCACGTAAGGTCCACCCACTCACCTATAAAGCACGCTTCCAACACACAACTGACTCTCTTCCAAGAATCGCTGGCACCCAGATGGTACACATAACCCAACTTTCATATCGTCCGCACACAAACTCAGCTTACCACCCTAGTTCCCTCATACACCACCATCAAAAACAACGAAGTGGTGAAAATCGAATGCGTAGACTGGACCGGCGGTCAAATCGGCAACAACGACTCTGCCGACGATGTCAGAGATGTAGATTTGACTCGCATTCACTACCTCACTGGCCCGTTCGACATCGAGACGGCAGAACCGGGTGATGTTTTGCTTGTGGAGATTCAGGACGTTCAGCCTATGCAGGACCAGCCGTGGGGGTTTACGGGCATCTTCGCAAAGGAGAATGGGGGTGGGTTCTTGGATGAGATTTATCCCAAGCCTGCGAAGGCGATCTGGGATTTTGAAGGTGAGTTATCGTTGGGTGAGGTGGGTAGTTGATTGGTTTGCTGATGCTTTTGTTGTGTAGGCATCTTTTGCTCGAGCCGTCATATCCCAGGAGTTCGTTTCGCTGGATTGATACACCCAGGTATTCTGGTCAGTTCCCTCCGTTCCAAGGCACTGCAGCGAGCGATTTTAGTCTATGACGCTGTTTTCGTTGGGGTTTCAGTACCTGGATTGCAAACGTCGAGTTTACCGTTCCTCCCCTTCTGCATACTTCGGATCATGTTCACTGCGAAAAACAACAACCATAACTTGATACTGACTTGGTGTACCTGGAAATCTAGGGATGTGCACCATCCGCCGAAGTCCTAGACACATGGAACAAGCGTGAAGCCGAGCTGATCTCGGCCTGTAGCCACATGGACCGCGACGTAGCTCTGCCCCCTGAGCCAAAAAACGTCCACGCCGGTACGTATCTGCATATATACGAAATTCTTCCCACACAGTACCCACCGTTCCAGCACTCCAAATAACCCACAGATACATGATCCCTACTCAAAACCCTAACATCTGTATCTCACTACCCCACAGGAAACGCCCCTTCCTCCATCAAAGACAAAATCGGCAAAGAAGGCGCCCGCACCGTCCCCGGCCGCCCCGAACACGGCGGGAACTGCGACATCAAAAACCTGTCGCGGGGCAGCAAAGTATACCTCCCTGTGCACGTCTCGGGCGCCAAATTCAGCGTTGGCGACCTGCACTTCAGCCAAGGCGACGGCGAAATCTCCTTCTGCGGCGCCATTGAAATGGCCGGCGTCATCACGCTGAAATTCACCGTCCTGAAAAACGGCATGAGCGACCTCGCCATGAAATCCCCGCTGTACATCCCGGGACCCGTGGAACCGCAGTTCGGGCCGGGACGGTATTTGTATTTTGAAGGGTTCAGCGTGGATGAAGCCGGGAAGCAGCATTATTTGGATGCGACGGTCGCGTATCGCCAGACTTGTTTGAGGGTGATTGAGTATCTGAGACGATATGGTGAGGGATTTACACTCCCCTTTTTTTTATCTTTCTCTTCCCCGGAAACTTTTTCTACGCGGCTGGAAAACTGCAATTACTTTGCTGACTTTCGGGGATTTCTCCCGTTGGACAGGCTACGACGATTACCAAATCTACCTCCTCCTCTCGTGCGCCCCGATCCAGGGCCATATCGCGGGTCTCGTCGATATCCCAAACGCATGCACCACCATCGGGCTACCCATGGATATCTTCGACTTCGATATTAGTCCGCATGCGAAAGCGGAGAAGAAGGATCTGGGGAGCTGCGCTAAGGTTGGTGGAGGGAAGTGAAGGGCTGCGAAGATGTGTTGAGGATTTCGAAGGCTAGAGTAGTGAGGGAAGAGGGCAGAGTAGGAGATTGTGGGTGTGTATAGTAAGTAAGTAATGACATTAATCGAATACACATGATTGTATATGATTCTGCGGTTTAATCTCACATTTGCAATCAACATCAAGTATTGCGATCTGTAGCCTCCACAGTGGTGCGTGGTGGTGGGAGAAGGTTGTTTAGATTTATGTACCCACTAACTACCTTTGCTCGTGCCTTGTCTTCGGTACTACTAGATAATGTTACCGCAGAAGCCGTGATGGGAGAATAATGGTTGCTTTCATTACATGCTTGCTCATGTGCCGAAAGTTGATCGCTCTCTATGCTGAGTTGTTGATCTGTGAACTACATATATATTCATTTCACGATCATCATGCCCCAGGCTATATAGACCAAAGAGGGATGTACTCAACGTCAAAATCCACGGTGATATAAAGGTAAAGGTCTCGATTGGATGCACGCTATCTGCCTGACTAACCGACTGACCAGTTGTCTTTTTTCCGTTCTGCCACGCCACATTTGTGCATCATCTGTCTATATGCCGTTTGACGCCAAGCTTAATGCAAAAGACCCCAGCACTCAAAATTGTGAGAAACGGGGTAGAGACCAAAGAAAAGGAACGAAAAGAAAATATACCATCGAGTTTTCCATATACGCCTCTGATCTGTTCGATCATGCAATATCATTCACCGTGCCTCATGAGAAGGAACCAACCCCAGTTCTGCTGGACAGCTTGGCTGGTTGGCGGAGTTCGTCGCAGACGAAGCGTTCATCGCTTAGTCTTGGCTGTTCTGAGTACCGCCATGTGGGATCTCCGCACGCCGTGCTTTGCGTTCAGCATGACTAGATATCCTTGACAGCTCGTTGACGAAAGATTGGCCCCACCATGCGCTGATACTTGTTAGTCGATACATGTGTAATGAAGAAGGTGCATCTTACCTAGTATACTTCCGGATGTACTTGGACAGCTTTTGATAGTTGTGGTTGCGCTGTTCATCACCCATGGTGACTGCGTCGTGAATAGCATCAGCGAGCTCCTCGGTGTTCCAGGGGTTGACGATGAGACTGCCGTTCAAGCTCTGTGCAGCGCCGGTGAATTCTGATAGGATCATAACTCCGTGACGCTTCTCTTGAGTAGCGATATACTCGTATGAGACCAAGTTCATGCCGTCGCGAGTTGACGAGACGAGACAGGCATCAGAGACAGAGTACAACGCAATCAACTCATCGAACGAGACTGATTTGTGCATGAAGTGAATAGGCATGAACTCGATAGTGCCGAACTTTCCGTTGATCCTGCCAACGAGCTCATTGACGACAGCACGAAGGTTCTGGTACTCTTCGACATCTTGTCGGCTGGGCACAGCGACTTGAACAAGAACCACTTTACCGATCCACTCGGGGTGCTCAGTCAAGAAGACCTCTAGTGCATGCAGCTTTTGGGGTACGCCCTTGATGTAGTCCAGACGATCGACTCCGACAATGAGTTTAACGCCTTGGAACTTCTTCTCGAGTGTTGCAATGCGCTCCTGTACCTTTGGCTTCTGGAGACCCTCGTCGAACTTCTCGGGATCAATGCCGATAGGGAAAGCGCCAACAGTAACCAACTTGCCTTCGAACTCGACACCGTTGGGTGTGGTAGAGAGTCCCCTGGGTATTTGTTAGTTCACTGTTACATTACCGAGCGGGGTTCACTTACAGAATACGCGAGCAGCTGCTCAAGAAGTGGCGAGCGTAGTCGTAGGTATGGAAGCCGATAAGATCACAGTGAAGCACACCCAAGAGGATGTCATTCCGAACAGGGAGAATGCGATAGATTTCCGAGCTGGGGAAAGGGGTATGAAGGAAGAAGCCAACTTTTACGTTCTTCTTGGTATTGCCAATCTCCTCTCGTAACATAGATGGTAGAAGCATTAGGTGGTAGTCGTGGACCCAGACCTTGTCGTTGTCCTGAACGTCTTTGGCGATGGCTTTTGCGAACAGGCGATTGGCCTCTTTGTAGGCTTCCCATGCAGACTCATCGAACGTGATCTCACCGGGGTGGTAATGGAACAGTGGCCAAAGGATAGAGTCTATAGTAGTTTAGCATGATAAACCCGATATTCCAAGGGGGATGATGCTTACTGGAGAATCCGTTGTAGTGGCGGTCGGCAAGCTCATCATCCAACATGATTGGAACTGCATTGTAATCTTTCTTGAGTTGCGCCTTGAGGTCACCGATCTCGTCCTCGGGAATCTCCATGCCCGGCCAGCCATACCACTGGAAAGTGGTGGTTTTGGACATGCCGCTTAGGCCGCTGACGAGGCCACCTGAGGACATGGATGTCTCGTATTTTCCGTCGTCGGAACGCTTGATGGTTATAGGTAGACGATTAGATACAAGCAAGAGGCGACCCTCGGTCTGCTGGCGGCGCGGCACCGAAGTGGGTTGTGGTTTCGTAGACTCAGCCATGGCGACGGTAGAATGGCGACAGCTTGTAGAGTGGTGGTATGAAGGGTTTGCGCGAAGGCGAGGGTTCTCTCGAGCAGGGTTATCGGAGTCGTATATGCAGGATTTGCTTGTGAATCGGTCGATGTGACGACAGGATGATACTGTAGGTTAATAGGCCCACGAAACCAAGCGCTGGGCAGCGGCAGGTTCTCGCAAGTTTTGCGAAGTGCGAATTTGAGGTAGGGGGAGGCACGCTGGCAACGCAAGGCTTAAAGCAATGTAGGGAATACTAACTCTTGTTGCGCAGATGGTGTAGGGAGGGTGCGCAAATATTTGCGAGGGGAGTGATATAGGTGTGGAGTCGAGGTGATAGTGGGCTAGCGGTCGAGTAGGGCGGCGGGTTAAGAAAAAGGCATGTTTGGATAGGCATAATCACGATGCGAGATTTAAGAGTGACGTCGGTTTAGTCTAATAGCGGGGCACGGTGCAGCAGCTGTCAACATTTGAACACCTGTATCAATCCGCCTGAGCCTGAGTCTCCACATCAAGAGAAGCAGAAACGAGTGACTAGATGGAACTTAAAAAGACTGACGGCGGAGAATTGATTGTTTACATCGACTAGCCCTGTAGATAGACGCTGCTCACATGTTGCGTTGCATATGCTCTGCAGCCATCCGTCTATTGCCTTCCGCTTCCGCCCGCACTTGATTGGTTCCCCCCACACAGTGCTGCCAGCCCACTTCACGTGATCGTTATCAAAGCTTCAAATGCTCAAACGCGTCGAGCGCGTTGCCAGTTTTGCTTTGCTTACTTTCGACCGAACCCCCATTTACCCTTCCCCTGTTCCCGCTCACATCTCACGCATACACTTCGTGTCTACACGCAAGTTGCGACAAGCCAACTGTTCAATTGCGCTTTCCCGTCACCCATCCATACCTCTCGCACACCATGTCCGACTCCGAGTCCGCATACGCACCTTCGGAAGCCGACATTTCCCGCGCGTTAATCGATGCCGTGGTCTCTATATACAAGTCAGGCAACGAAGCCGACCTCACCATCAAACGTGTCAGAGCTCGAGTCGAAACAGAATTTGGTTTACCCAGCGGCTTGCTCAAGAAACCTGGGTGGGGCGACAAAACCAGGACAGTCATTACTGAAGCCGTGGAAAAGTATTGTCAGGAGGACGCCGAAGAACTTCCAACACCCCCGCCGAAGGAGACAAAGAAAGCCCCGAAAGAGAAGACACAGGGCGTAAAGAGAAAGGCGGCCGCAACCCCAAAGAAGGCTCTTAAGCGCAGAAAGCCCTTCTCGTCAGATGAAGAATCAGAACTCAGTGAGGAAGAACCGCCCAAGAAACCTGCCTGGCGACAGAAGAAAGTAGTGGAAGACGAGGAGTCGGATGGCGAAGAAGAAACTCGACCTGTGAAAGCTATCGCGCAAGAGGAGGATGGAGAAGATGATGGAGATGTGGCAATGCAGACACCGCCACCTGCAAAGGCCCAGGACGAAGGATCCGACAGCGAGATGTCTGTTCTGATAGACGAATCGCCGGTTAAGAAGCGGCAGAAATCGTCACAGAAGCCCGCAAAGGAGAAGAAGAAAGTCAGTGCACCCAAAACCACAAAAGCAAAGCCTGCCTCAAAAGTGGACGACGATCCCAATCAAGCGGAGATCAAACGCCTGCAAGGATGGCTAGTGAAATGCGGCATTCGGAAAGTTTGGGGCAAGGAACTGGCAAAATGTGACACGCCTAAAGACAAGATCAGGCACCTCAAAGGATTGCTATCAGACGCGGGTATGGAAGGCAAATTTTCTGTGGAGAAGGCTGCCAAGATCAAAGAGCAACGTGAGTTTGCAAAGGATCTAGAGGAGATTCAAGCCGGAGAAGCGGCGTGGGGCAAGCAGGAGGTCACACAAACAGGCAGACCCCGTCGTGCCGCAAACAGGCCTCCCCCCAAAGTGGAGTTCCCCAAATTTAGTGATGATGAAGAGGAGGAGGAGGGTACTGGGAACGTGAAGGCAGGCCGCGCACAAGATGATAGGACTGATGATGACGACGACGACGACGACGACGGGGATGCAGAAGATTCTGAAGCGTCCGCTAGCGGAGCAGACGACGATGATTCCGAGTAATTGGGGCGTGTAATACCAATTTGCTTTACTTCTGTACCGATAGCGTGGTGGCATGTTTCGTTTCACGTCAATTGTATTCTTATATACCTACATGTAAGTATACATAGGTGTACAAATTCAGGTACCTAGACATGGTACCTGAATCGATTGTACAGAAAACACCAGTTTACCCCATACTCCTTGAAAAATGACGTGTACAAGCATATGATGACGCCTGGAAACCATGAAGTTGTCTTGTTCCCCTGTCGAGATGCATAGCTTACAAGACCTTTTCATGTCATCTTGGGTGGAGCCATGCGCTGCGCTACCAAGCTGTACACGGCGACCGAAGACATGAATCCCACAAGATTGTAAAACTGCAGTTCTTCAATTAGATAAATCGGAACATGATGCAGCAAACTCACAGCATTTCTGGAATACGCGCTCTCCTCAGCCTCTGTCCGAGCTTCGACAAAGAGGCGTCGTAGGTTCGGCAGATTTGAGGGTTTCGAGGCCTTTTTCGAGTTAAAAAACAACTCGCAATATCAATTCGCATCGGAAAATCACCTACCATTCTGGTCATGACATGAGCTGCAAGTGGAGGTGTTGATGCTGAACGCGGCCCTGTGATTGTTCTAGTCGTCCCTGAGAGGCCAGAGACCCGCATCGCATGCACGGGCCACACTTCATCGTCAATGTGGCAGCTGGTCTGCACCGAACTGCAGGTCCGCGAAATTAAGCTCTCCACTCTCACAAACACACGACACTCCTCGATCACGACTTTCAGTTTATTTGCTGTTACGGAGTGGCCCTTGCATTTTGATATCGACGCGATACCTCCGCCCGCCGATTCCGTCACTCCCCCTCGACTCGAACCCAGTAGTGCATGAGGGGTCCGGCTGCGGTCGCAGCCTCCGGTCTTGAAGCATAGATATGGCGGTCAACAGGATAAAGGGCGCTTTCGCCGTACCGCGGAAAGGAGAGACATTCGAATTGAGGGCAGGCCTCGTGTATGCATTCATCTATTCACAATCGATTACAACATATCCACTAACTGCTGCCTCCAGATCTCAATATGCCTACGAACGGTTTGTTCACCATCCCTGCTTACTTCGAACTATGCGTTCTAAATGTAGAACAGGAAAGAAGCTATCCAGAAAACTATCATGTCCATGACGTTGGGCAAAGATGTGTCTGCGCTATTCCCCGATGTGCTGAAGAACATTGCGACGGCGGATCTGGATCAGAAGAAGCTGGTTTATTTGTACCTCATGTGTGTACCAGATATAATGCTCTGATTCTTGGAAACTTATAGAAAATCATAGGAACTACGCCAAATCACATCCCGATCTCTGTATTCTCGCCGTAAACACCTTCGTTCAGGATTCCGAAGATCCCAATCCCCTCGTACGTGCTCTCGCTATACGGACAATGGGTTGCATTCGAGTAGACAAAATGGTAGACTATATGGAAGAGCCGCTGAGAAAGACTTTGCGAGACGAATCACCATACGTGCGCAAGACCGCAGCCTTATGCGTGGCGAAACTTTTCGACCTCAACCCTTCAATGTGCATAGAGAATGGTTTCATCGAGCAACTACAAGAGATGGTCGGTGACCCCAACCCGATGGTGGTCGCCAATTCTGTCACCGCTTTGGTCGAAATCCAGGAAGCGAGCACAGAAGGAGAAGTCTTCGTCATTAGTGCGGCTACGTTGAAGAAGATGTTGATGGCTCTCAACGAGTGTACAGAGTGGGGTCGAGTGAGCATCTTGACCACATTGGCCGACTACAAGGCGTTGGATGTTAAAGAATCGGAACACATATGCGAGAGGGTCTCTCCGCAATTCCAGCATGTTAATCCGAGTGTAGTTCTGGCTGCCGTCAAAGTTGTGTTCCTTCACATGCGCTACGTCTCTCCGGAACTCATGAAATCCTATCTGAAAAAGATGGCTCCGCCTCTCGGTAATAGCATCGTCCATTAATTCGGGTCTTGGCTAACTCGATACAGTCACCCTTGTATCGTCCCAACCCGAAGTCCAGTACGTTGCGCTCAAGAATATCGATCTACTTTTGCAAAAGCAGCCGGATATTCTCACCAAAGAAATGAGAGTTTTCTTCTGTAAATATAACGACCCTCCTTACTTGAAACTGCAAAAACTCGAAATCATGGTACGGATAGCAGGAGATAAGAACGTGGACCAGCTTTTGGCCGAGCTCAAAGAGTATGCGTTGGAGGTCGACATGGATTTTGTTCGCCGAGCTGTCAAAGCTATTGGTCAGGTGGCGATCAAGATCGAGAGTGCCAGCGAGAAGTGCGTTAATACGTTGTTGGATTTGATCAACACGAAAGTCAACTACGTTGTTCAAGAAGCAATCGTGGTCATCAAGGATATTTTCCGAAAATACCCAGGTTACGAAGGCATAATACCGACATTGTGCCAGTGTATTGACGAGTTGGATGAGCCCAATGCCCGAGCATCCCTTATCTGGATAGTTGGAGAATATGCCGAGAAGATTGACAACGCTGGAGAGATTTTAACTGGCTTTGTCGATACATTTGGCGAAGAATTTTCTCAGGTATGTGAATCAAGTGCGGCTCCTTCACTGATATCAATACTCATATCCGTTGTAGGTTCAACTGCAAATTCTTACAGCTGTGGTGAAACTATTTTTGAAGAAACCGGACCAATCGCAGGGATTGGTTCAGAAGGTTCTGCAAGCAGCTACTGCGGAGAACGACAACCCCGACATTCGAGACCGCGCATACGTATACTGGAGACTTCTGTCAAGTGATCCACAGGTCACCAAGGTACGCATCTAATCCAAATAGTTTGTAGAATTGAGCTCTAACCACTCATAGTCCATTGTGCTATCCGACAAGCCCGCCATCACTACAACGATCCAATCGCTTCCCACACAGTTGTTGGATCAATTACTCACGGAACTTTCTACGCTGGCTTCAGTATATCATAAACCCCCAGAGGCATTCCTTGGACAAGGGCGTTTCGGTGCCGAGGCGATGCAAAAGGCAGCCATCGAGTATGTTGTTCCTACCGCAGTACCTGAGAGTCTTTTACTGATGATGGAAAAGGGAACAAAGAGAGGAAGCTCGAGAAAATCCAATCGCTGCGGATGCGGTTGCTGCTGCGGCGGCCGGTCAGGCACCACCACAATCCAACGTGGAGAACTTGTTGGATATCGATTTCGATGGATCCGCACCGGCATCATTACAGAAGGAAATTACCCCTGGACAGTCTGGATTAGAAGGCCTGGCAGGCACACCTCAGCGCGTGGCTTCGCCCGCGAGCGGAAATGCAGCACCAACTTCCAATATGGATGACTTGATGGGGTTGTTCGGAAACACAGGCACCGCCAACAACGCACCTAGTGCAGCGCCTATGAGCAACGACGATATCATGAACGGATTTGCAGGAATGGACCTGTCCGGGAGCAGCCAACCGCCACCTGCTACGCAGCAACTGGCTGAACAAAAGGCGCCGAAGAGCAACCAGGATCTGTTGGACTTGTTCTAGTCGCCGGTGGGGTTTGACATTCGCAATTGATGGCATGGGGTTTTGATTCAAGGCGGGGACAAGCGACCAACAGCATCGGAGGCGAATCCATGTGTTTTACCAATCGCTGTTTATATAGACAATGGAGTTATGAATCCATGGTGCCACAAGACGTATGATTAAAATGCAGCATGCCAACATGCCAACATTTGAAACCAACGAGCACTGTTGGGGGGTGAGTGGCGACGAAGCTTGGCAGATGTAATCTCGTTTGCTGTTGTTTGGGTGATGGTGCCGCCCGCTTGTCTCTGATATGACAATCGGTCTTCCTTTTACCTTGCAGGCTCCCACTTGCTCGCACACACGCACATGCATGGAACGTGAGCAGAACCCCGACAAGCTTTCGTAAGGTTAGACCCGCCTCTCCTGTTCCCCGACTGCCCAGCTCCCCCGGCCAGCAGGTGCTCCGCTCGCCATGTTTATGCTTCGAAACCGTATGTTTGTGGTGCCCCGCCCCCGCTATTTCTTCCTGTGTAATATACATGCAAACAACCCAACGCTAACTTGAGCGCGTCTGCACAGTGAGCAAGTTTGTCTTTGGCGACGGATCCAAGGAGTCCATCGTTGAAATATCACAAGGCCAGCTCTATCTTGTTCGTCCGCGTTCTGTCAAGGGCTACTCGGAACTCATCTTCAAAGACGCCGCCGCTACCATCCGTCGCACCGGCCAAGAATTCCAATACCAGCTTGTTGTCCAGCGTGCATACGAGGAAGGAGAAGAGGATTTGCTAGAGGAAGGTGACGAGGACGGAGGTGTCAATACTTTGGGCGGCGACAAGGACGAAAAGACATTTTTGTTGGACGAGGGCTTGCAGTTCCGCACCGACGTTCGCTCCACGGGCGAAAAGATCTTTGCCTGGCGCGATCTCAGCGGTGACGTTACAGACCTCTGGGAATTTGTCTGTGACTCTTCCGTCAAGCCAGAGACCGCTGCCCTCTTCGAGCGCGTCGCCCTCCAGTGCCAGTACGAGCGCAAACACCGCCGCAGCCACGAGTTCGCTACCGAGGACGATCTAGAGTCGCTCGCCTACTACGAAGAGTCCATTCCAGACGCAAGCCCTCTCTCCAGTCCCATCACCAAATCCCCAGCTCACGCTCCCGCACCTACCGCCGCCGAGCTCTTTCCAAACACCACCGCGGAGAATATGGCGAAAAAGGCAGCTGGCAAGGGCAAGGCTCCAGAGCCCATCGAGGAAGCCACTACTGCACCACCATCCGCTGCTCAGCCTGAGGTACTAGGCACACTGGCCAGCGCGACCGCCGAACTCCACTTGTTTGATCATCCATCAGCCACATTCGTGAAGCAAGACGCGAAAGTGCATGCTACAGTATCCGAGATTGGCAACTGGGAGTACTGGTTGCACATTGTTGGCGATGACCGGGAGTGGCTAGGCCAGCCTGTGGTGGAAGACATCAATCCTGTCTTCAACTTCGAGTACAAGTCGTTCATATTTAACCATTATCTGGATGATGGCTCCGCTTTCTCGTGGCTCCTACGCTTCACTAATGAGGAGGACCTAGACACTTTCCAACACGGTGTTATGCAAGCGTTGTGGGAACATCTGAATCAAACAAAATGGGCCAAAGCCAAAGATACGGACCGGGAGTACGTTATGGAAGCTTTCCAAGATCTCACGATGGAAGACGCCCCCGACGCTGAAGAGGAGGAGGAAGAGGAAGAAGATGATTATGAAGATGCGTCTGACGGTCAGCGGAGCGAGCACTACGACGAGGATGAATCGGAAGATGACGTTGAGACCGACTTGAAAGATGGTGACATCAACTCTCAGCTTGCAGTCGGTTATAAACACGACAGATCTTTTGTTGTGCGCGGCAACAAGATTGGCGTTTTCAAGCATACTGCGGATAATCAGCTACAATTTGCTACCGCCATCAGCAGCATCAAGACTCCCAAGGGCAAAGCATTCAACCCCAACAAGGTCATGCTTCATCAAGAGGATACAAACATGATCTTGCAGAATATGGACAACCCGAACTCGCTCTATAAAATGGATTTGGAGACCGGTACAGTTGTAGATGAGTGGAAGGTCCACGATGACATCCCCGTCAAGGTGTTTGCACCAGAAAACGTAGGTTGATCTGCTACCGAGTACCTTTGACTTGTCTAACCCTTTTATAGAAATTCGCGCAGATGAGTGGTGAACAGACTTTCCTTGGTCTGTCTGGTAACGCTCTATACCGAGTGGATCCACGTCTTAGTGGAAACAAACTGGTCGATGAACAGTACAAGCAATATGCCACCAAGAACGCATTTTCGGCTGCTGCCACGACTGAGAAGGGGCATATCGCGGTCGCTTCAGAGAAGGGTGATATTCGTCTTTATGACCGCCTAGGTATCAATGCAAAGACATTGATTCCCGCCCTGGGAGATCCCATCATCGGCATGGACGTGTCAGCAGACGGTCGCTGGGTACTTGCTACAACTCGCACATACCTCTTGCTCATTGATGCTCTCCAACAAGGAGGCAAGAATGACGGCAAGCTCGGCTTCGAGAAAGCATTCGCCAAAGATGACAAGCCTCGTCCGCGCCGTCTCGCCCTGACGCCAGCTCACGTAGCGCAATTCCAGCACGAGACCAAGGCACCCATTTCCTTCACAGCCGCGCGATTCAACACCGGCCTCGACGACAAGGAGACCACTATCATCACCGCCACGGGTCCATTTATCGTGACCTGGAGTATCAAGAAAGTACTTGCCAACCGCCGAGACGCATATAGTATCAAGCGGTACGCGGAGGAAGTCAAAGCCGACAACTTCAAGTTCGGCTCCGACAAGAACTTGATTGTGGCGCTGCCGAATGAGGTCGACATGGTGGCAAAGCGCGCGCTCCAGCGACCAACCCGCGAAAGTATTGCCACTCCAAGTCGCGTCGGAGCCCGGCGGGCCGGTGCGAGGGGAAGCTATCTTGGAAGGAACGACATTGTCGATAGCCCTTACTGAAAGTACCTCTGTTAAGATGACGAGGCAATGCATACGCAAACGGAGGATATAGAAACCAGGGGCTTTTGGCCGTGTGGGGCACGAGAAATCATCTCATTCCTCTTTGTCGCCAATGATCGGGTATTGGCGTTTGTGTTATTCCCCCCTTTCTCTTCCTACTTCCCTGGATGATACACATTATTGGGATCGAGGTGGAGAGTTTTGGTCGTTTGCCTTTACACGTCTAGAGGAAGGAAGAACTCTTATGTATTCTTCCTTCCTCCCGCCCTCTTCCTTTTCTACTCTTTTTAATCCCCCCCCCCTTCTTTTCCTTGAACTTTTTTTTCCCCTGTTCACCAGATTCCCCCCCAAGAACAGAGCCTATGGCTAGTAGCGAGATAGGTTTCGAAACGAGCAAATGACGAATCATCGTAATGAATGGAACAAGATGTCCTTGAATTGTCTATCATGCATCCATGATAAATGGTCAATCTTTGAGATTACACGCCAAGTGCAGTCATACACACACAGACACACACATTTTAACATAGTTTGAGAACAGTCGTTTCGTTATAGAAGAAAAAATTGGAATAAGGGAGAAGAGGAAAAAAAGAAGATATGTAACAGAAAAACTGCCTTCGCGGCAGATGATTGTGAGAGAGAATTGAAGACGGAGGAGAGAAGAAAGAGAGAGGGAAGGGGAAAGAACATGGAGACGCTCGTTCCCTGAACACTCCATCTACCACCCTCGCTCCTCCACCTCCTTCCTCCCTTCATGTGTGTGTATGTGTATGCATGTCTCTCCCCCTCCCCCAGATGTCCTTTCCAACCCAAACCAACCCATGGAAAGCACACAAGGCCCCCAAAAACCTTCCCAACACCCCCACACCTCCCTGCACCCCCTAATAAAGAACTCGCCCCCCAAAGAAGTATAAACCCCCCATCCAAATTCCCATCTACCTCGTCCTCGACCTCGCAGTCACCGGCCTCCCACCCGCACTCGCGCTTCCACCTTTAACCGTCTTGCCCGTACTCTCGCTCTCCTTTGCGGCATTCCACGTCTTGACAAACGCGCGCTGTGTCCTATCCTCGTAGTCCTCGGTCTTGACTTCGCGCACGGCGACTTTTGCGCCGTCCTTTGTGAAGACGACGTTCTTCTTCTCCATCTTGCGCACGCCGCGCGAGGCGAGCTCGTTGGAGTAGAGGTAGATCTGCTGTGGTTAGTTGTGTTTTTTTTTTCTTTTATGGGGGAGAGGGAGAGAAGTGGACGACGTACTTGGTATCCTACGTAACCGAGGCCAGCGACGACGGCGAAGAGGATGACGAGCGGGATTAGGTTGGTTATTGCGCCCATGGTGGTGGATTTCGGGATTATTTCTCGTTTCTGCGGGTTGAGGTGGGAAGGAGAGGAGGACGTAGGGGTATAGGTAATAGTGAGGGTCGCGTGCGTGTGTGCGGTGGTGTGGTATCGCGCGTGGACGTTGTTATGTTGGAGGGAAAGTGTTGAGGTTGGTTGGGTAAGTAGGGCGGAGCAAAGGCTATGCTAATCCCTGACGTCTATCAAGAATTGCGAATGCAGAACATCAATCCACACCCCTGTGATGGTATGGCTATGATGTGAAGAAGAAGAAGAAGAAAAGCAGATGAAGAATCAGAGGTCGAAAGGTTGCCGCCCCCAAGGAGAGAGGTACAGGAAAAGTGCAAGGACTGTGTGGAAATTTCCAAATTAGAAACTGTCGGAGTTTGCGTCTGCGCAACGGTGCGCTGCGCCAAAAGAGAGCCCAGCTGACGCCTGAAACACGAGCGCGGCCAGGCCCCGATTCTGATGAGACGACGTGACAGATGGCAGACAGGGGGGGTTTGGTAGATGCGGGCGGGGCGAACGGATGGATGGACGGACGGCCAAAGCGGGGCAGGGGTCCAAACAATCCAGGGAGAGAGATTGCGACAATGGGCGCATGTGATAATCCCATTCCGTTACTTGTATTCACCTACTTTAGTCAATGACCATTCTCGTCAGCTATTGAGATCTCACTCTCAGCACAAAGTTACATGCAACATGCACGAATCGTTTTTCCGTTTGGCTACACGGATTCATCGACTTCTTATACTGATGCCATTATTCGCAAGTGCCAATGACCAAGGACATCAACGAGTCATGCAGTTGGTATAAATGGTATTGGTCGGTACATAAATGTATTCGCATAGTGTACCAAGCATCGGAATTCATCTACTACGCACAGCTTAAGAATCTACAAAATCCCATAATGTTGTGGGATCATGAACAAGGGAATGGAAAAAGTGGGACAATTGATGCACGAACTACAGCCCCCTTGTAGTAAACCATCAATCTGGCAATGCCCAGTTAAACATTGTCTACACGTATTTCTCTCTACTGGGTCTCAAGCGATGGTCCCAACTGAATGGGGTTTTGCAGCAAGATGGAGCAAAGATAGCAAGACCAATAAATGTTATTGTCAACAAACCCGACACTACAATAATCCCCACTAGCTCAAGTATTCTTTCGATTCCAATTTCTGTGATCGTCGTAACTCGAATATATCCATTTCATCAGTAGTCCAGCTCACTGAAAGGATTCTACTATCCCGTGCTATGGAAATAGGGCCCCACAAGTGAGTACATGCTGCTTCGCCATCACCAAGACTTGCACGTTCGATAACCCGAACCGTTCTCCGATATAGTGGAGTCTGTTAAGAAACCACATCTTCTGCTCTTGAGGCACTGTTTCCGCATTGGCTGCGACATATAGTGGCCAGACTAAACTGTAGGCCCCAAATCCTTCCGCAGCTGCCATGTAACGTTAGCAAAAATGTTTGATTCACTTTGGACATGTCGCTGCCGTGCTGTGAAGTCTTGACTCACCAGTCCTTTCTTGTTCAAGCATCTGCGCTACCGGTTGCATATCGTAGGATAGGTGGAACGGCACGCAAGCCGCGATGTCATTGACCATCTGCTGAATAATGAAAGCGGCGCTGTCATAGGTAGCGTTGTCGAGCCTGTGCGTTGGATTCGTCGTGATATAAGTCGTACAGTGGAGGATAGCACGCTGGCAGAAGATGCGGCACACGCGGTATTCGTTCACGATGCTCGCGAGCGGCACATCATGATACGCATGTTGTTCTCCCGGCCACGCCGCCGTATTCGCTCCTTCAGGACCGATTCCGCTTTCAAGACCTATGAATTGGTGCTGCCACGAGTCTGGTAGTGTTTCGTACCACTTCTGCAGGCTCTGGTCAACTGTCTGTGCGAATTCGATGATATTCAAAGCCTCAGACACCAGTCCTTCATGATATGAAGATTGAATAAGTGTGTTGGTTCTTGCGCGAATGCTGGGAATATCGATACAGATCAATGTGAGACGATTCGCCGCGTTTTCGTTTTTGAATTCTGTTCCCATCCATCGATCTCCTCCAGGGAACGGCACGAGATCCACAGGCTTTGACCGTTGCACGCAACTAATAACCTACGTCTTTGGTCAGTGGGGAAATTTTCCGGGATTACTTCATACTAACCATCATCGATCGCACCGCTCGAAACACTTCATGAGACAAGGGGTCCTTGAACTGATCTGCTCCTCTCAGTTTTGTCAACGCTATTGCGCCGTCGACATGATTTCCCCAGGCTTGAACTGTATCGCTGGTGGAAGTGATGTTCTGCATCTCGTCAACATCTCCTGCACTTGCTGACACACATACGTGGGGGAAAACTACTGGATGTTTTGCAGAAGTAATCACTTGACTTACTTCATACAAGGAGAACAACAACGTTGCTAGAATACTCTCGTCTGATCTCGCAATAGCAGGATCTGTCAAGTCTTCGTTGAGCTTGAGAATCGCTTCGCCATAGGCCTTTGCTGCATCTTCGATGAGATGCTTTTTACCGGGATAATTTCCGTATGCGGCAAGGGCAACCGCCTTGGTGGCAAGGTGCAAAGTAGAGGACGATAGATTCCTGTTATACAGCGGCAAAAGAAGCTCTAGGTAGCCTCGCATGCTATCTGCCTGCTGAGGTAATGCAACGAAGTTGCGGAAGAAAAAGGGTACCGCTTCGGATTCCGGAGACACAGTGATGCTCGCAGGAAGTGCATGCTCGAGGCTTCCAAGAAAGTTATGCCATACACTTTGATTTGCGTCCAATGATGTCCCGGGGAAAGGAACATCGTCAAGCTGAGGGTCTGGAAGTAGAAGCGGAGTCCCGTATGGGGATTGGTGTAAGCCTTGGTCGCTGGGAGTGCTGATTAGGAGTTAGCCACCGTTCCTTCTGTTATCAATTCCTTGCTTATTTCGGCATGAGCATGTGCAGAGCACTAGTCATGCATATTATGCACGCGTGGCAACGTTCCTTCGTTCCTCCCCTTCCTTTTCCCTGCACACGCTAACGAGAGTCTCTATAAATCTCTTGGTCCCCACCTACTATGCCACGCATGCCAATTCGAAGACCCGACCAAGGAAAAGCTGATCAACTTACACCGACCGACTGTTCTGGTCTCTCCTTCTGCTGGAATTTCGCACTCTTCTTGCCATCGCCTTGTTCTCGTCTCGAAACATAATATCAAATTCCTGTCGGTATCCGGGACATCTCCTTTTGCTCTTGACACAGTTCCCGCATGCTGGCTTCTGCTCATCACACTGACGAAATGTTAGTCTGTCCAATATCCAGTCTTCGGTGCTCTTGACCAGAAGGACACCCATGAAGACATGGTCGACCCGGGTGGTGCACGCCAGGCCATAAAAATGATAGCACAACACGGACATACCTTGATTCTCCGACTCTTGCACATATCGCACCCCTTCGATGGTTTTCCTGTATAAGGCATGGTCTGATCTGGAGTATCGCGGATCCTCTTTCGGGAAAGATGAAGCACCAAAACAATTCACAGAACAGCCAACACGGAGACTTCACATGTGGATCTTCAACGCCTCCATCCGAATATCAACAGACTATATACAGTCGGCTCGCTCAATGATCTCATGAACGAGGAGGGTAGTCCCGCCATTCTGCTTCGCTTTACCCCAGACTCCGCCTTGCAGGCTGTACAAAACTATCATCGTAGCCCCAAAGCCCCTCTGACTAGGCGGTGGGTGATAGTAAGATCAAACGAGGAGTATGTCGCTCGATCGGCCGTATCTTCGCGTTATGTTTTATTTTCCGCTGCACTCTGGATTGTTGTCGTTTATCCATCCATGTGGTTGAACGAAACTCTCCGGATTGGCTGTCGAGGTGCATAGCCACGGTCCGCATGGACGTTGCCCGCTTCAGTGGGCGAATTTCGCACCAGGTATTGTACTTGAGCTACCAGATGAAAACACATCACATAAGCGCGTATCACCGCGATACAGCCAATGACCATAACATAATAAAAATACCAGATTTCGTATTCACCGACCGGAATATCTAACCATCAGCAACTGTGGCGCTTTTTCAACATCAACTGTTTCGTGGCTGGCCTCAGCGGTGCAGTTCGAACACTCAAATTCATCTTACAATAGCGAGTTCACACCATCATGCAAAGAGAAGCTCCCAATGTAAACATATTTAGGCACTTCAAGATCCAGGAACCTAAACTTGTATAGCAAAACCGCCTAACAACACATACTACAGATTTCTCGCCGTATGCGTGACAATTGTAACTTCCGGTCCACAACGAAGCTATGCAGCCGCAAATCTTATTTCGCGAGCACGAGCGAGCAGCGCCTATACCAGTGGATCGGTCATCCTAATCGTGCGCCATTGAGTTCACCACACCGCAAACCCCACTCCGTCATCGTTCAATCGTTCAACCTGCATCGTTCACTCCGCAGATCGAGCGAATTCGCTTCTCCTCGCGTAGGCCGCGCTCGCTCATCAAAATTAAACGAGCCCCTGGCCCCCAACTCCCTCTTACCATTCACTTCACTAGACCGGCACTTGGTCATGTACTGGTTCTCACAACTCAGGCAAGCTGACTTCTTTTTCTGTCGGACTTCGCCGCTTGTTGGATATTCCACATACTATCTTCGTTGCTAAACGCCAAGCGCAGTTTGCGGTCTGGATGTCAGCAGCTATATCCATGAGTTCCCTGCTCTTTACTTTTCTCCTACTATTATTTCTGTCTGAGCTGGTTGCTTAGAACCATCGAAATCGAACAAAGCAACTAGAACAGGGGGTTTCGTCCGATATTCGAGTGCGGCAGCGCCCACTCGAAGACAAAGTGGGGGCTGACTGTCATACACACATGAAATCCAAGTCTACAGTGAATTGATTACGCTTGAATTTCATTGCTAAAGGTAGATAGAGTACGACATGAGCAGGTTCGTATGGATTTTCGACATATAAAAATTCATTAAAAGAGTGACATTGTTTAACCACGTTGGAGTCATTCGTATTACTTCTCTGCTGAAAGGAATCAAATTTTCGTGTAACATCCATCTTCAAATCCGTAAATACGCTTTCAAATGTTTAGCTGTTCCGTGGGATTGAGGTGAAACGCCTCGACAGCTATTGAAAACGCTTCTACCTGGACTACTTCGACTTTGATCATCACGAAGGAAAAAATATTACAAGAGAAGGGGCATCTAGCAAAAGCAAATTCGTATTAACTATTTGATCGTGTGTCCGATCTTCATCCAATAGATTTTTCTAAGCACTGCAGTGCTGCAAAGAAACACGAGAAGAGAACCAAAAAAAATACAACACGATCTTCGCCTCAAAAAGGCTCATGAATCAACTCAGCCTCATCCTTCTCCTCCCCTCCAGGCTCCTCAAACTGCGAGAATCCCTTGCACTCAAACGTAAAGGATTGCTTACCACACATGATATAATACTCCCTGAGCCATTCCCCCAAAGCTTTCAGCGCCCAAAACTCCTGCTGCCAGCTCATCCAAGGCGCCTTTGGCACAAAAACATCTTTCCAGCCATAAATTGTCAGAGACTTGACATTGCAGAGACCAAACAGCACCCGCAGATGATGAGACTCCATGATCTCGTAAGCTTTGAGCGCACAGTACCCACCGCGCAGACCGCGGGTCTCTCGAACACTACTGCTGTTGCTGCCTGGCTCGTATGGCGCAGGTTTCAGGATCTTGGAGTACTCGAAGCGCAGGCTAAGTTTCTCGATATTGGGGCACCGTGACACAAATTCCGCCATTTGCGCAAAATCCTGCGGGTGGGTCATCAGCGAGAGATTGATATCCCGGATTGAGAGGAGGGGGTTTGGGAGGGGGAATGTGCTGAGGAGGTTGGTTAGCGAGGTTATTGATGCAACGCTGTCGATGCGGAAGGTCTGTCTACCGATGAAGTAGGAGAGGACTTGTTTGTGGATGTGCGGTATGTCGATGTGTTGCTTTGAAGGGTCGTAGCCAGCTTCGAAGTTCCAGTCTGCTGTGAGGTGATCGAAATATGCGGTTTCGGATTCGAAGCAGGATCGTGGGAACGACATGGTGAGATTGGTTAATTGAATTGCTGTGAAATTCGCGTATTTGGTTGTTTAGTGGATTGTTGGTGTATGTACTGTTTATAGGGGGAATGTACGATCTCGAAGAATATGATCTAGCTGTATATATTTGCCAAAGAGACGGTATGAGAATATGTCACACAATGGAAGGATCACCTCATTGTAGACGGACCCAATGTACATTGTTAAATAGCACGATGTGTAGGAATGAGATGTGGTAGATTAGATGGATGATATTCAGAGGACATTGATCTACGAGCTACCTAAATACACGAGTAATATGTTTGTCACATTATGAGACCAAAGGAAACAATCAGTTAGTCAACCAAGCAATCAGCTTTACTCGCCGGATAGATATGCATGGAATGAAAGGAACCAACACGATGTAAAGAAGTATATCAGGACGCTGTTTATGCGCTGTTAACTAGGAAAACAAAACTATAATCGTACATCGCAGAGGACACCTCTAAAAAAAATAGGAAATGCATCGTTATGCTGATATCAAGCAGCCGCTCCAATCTCACCAAACCACCTCTCCAGATCCCGCATCAGACGTCCCCCAACCTCCGGACCAACCACACAATCCTGCCATGTACCCGTCATGCACATATCACCGCCCTTCATCGTCATAGCCCCAATCTGAATCGCCGCATCCGGCGTATCGGCACCCAGAACAAGCATACCGCGTCTTACAGTCCAGTTTTCCCTGTTGGCCAATTCTCGTTCCTGATCACCGCCGTCAAACACACCGATATTGGTGATTAGCCAAGAGAAATGTCTTTTCCCTTTTGCTCCCTTCTTCTGCTGAGCTCGCCAGTCTAATACGACTTTCATAATGCCAAGCATGTCGTTTTTCATGCCCATGTCAAGACGTGCCTCTATTTCACGACGAATGCGGGCAGAGGTAGCCCATATATCATCTAACATGTCGGTAGTTAGAGCAGTATCTTCCTTCTCTTTCCGTGCTGGAAGCCTAGAGCGTATGCCGGAGACCGTTTTGGCGTCGAAGTCATGGTCAACTACCGACACGTAATTGCACATTGTCTTCTTCGGGTCGAGGGAGGGATATTTTGGTGGGTTTGACGGGAGAATGGTTCGGAGGTTGTAAGGGGTTCTGCTCATGAATCCCTTGTGCTTCGGAATCGAGCTTGAAAGTGAGATGAGAACGAGGGCATGGATGAGGCCGGTTATGGTGGTGTGGTGCTTTCGGCAAGTAGCGATTAAGTTCTTGACAGTGCGGTTGTCGATTACCAAGTTGTGGACTTTGGTTTTGTAAGGAGATGGTTTGATCGGAGCCTGGGATCGCGCGTAAAAAAGTTAGTAAATGTGGACGGGGTATAATTCAAGGGGTTATCAAAGTATCAGAACGCCAAAAAAGGATACATTATCAGAAATTTTGCAGGGGAGTGTACTGACCCAGGTTGCGCAGAGATCCGCCGGTGGGTTTAGCTGCCTCCAGACGGCTGATACGAAACTTTTCGGCGCCATAGGCCATGAGGACAGCTTTTCAGGGTTGGGAGCTAGAGTAGCGGTTGGATCAGGCAGTTGAAGAATCCGGCTTTCTGATTGCTCATCGACCGTGAGCACTGACTCCTTGCTCTCCGCAGACGCGTCGTTGAGATTTTGAAGCAAACTCTCATGAAAAATCTTTGCACCCATTCCATCATGATGAATATGATTCCAGGCGTATGATATTTCTATCGAATCCATACCGGGTTTGTGAAGGACAACAATGCGCCAGCCAGGTATAGTGGAAATATTGTCGAAGCGAGAATCGAGTTGAGTCTGCATCGATATTTCATGCATGTGTTCGAAGTCATCTTCCTCGTCCAAGGATGTCCAAACAACGTGATTTCGAAGATCAATACTACCAAGGCGAATGAAACCAGGATTTTTAGTATCAATGCCGGCGACACCAAGTTGAAGATGACCCTGGCTCAATACAACACGGGCTACAGCCTCGTAAATTTTCGTCTTGAGGGTAGCCAAGTCCTCTGGACGAGCAAGAGTAGACGGCAAGTAATATCGGCATGCCACGACAGTTCCTCGATATTGGTCCAGTGAACTTAATGCTGCTTGGAGTTTCTCGCTATAAGGTGTGAGAATGAGCCTACCAGTGATGGGCATATACTTACTGGCAACCCATGCCGCGAACCCGGGAACCGACTTCGGTCTGGGTAGCACGACTTCCATTAGAGCGGTTGCTCATTGTGGCGTTTTAGACCAGAATACTCTTGCAGTGGTGAAAGATAGATTTGTGGTGACCGAATAACGTGATGTTGGAAAAACAATAACCATTGGCTGGGTGCGGTCGAAAATGGTACTTGAACGATATCTCAAACAGTTTGAGGAATAATGCCGACACAAGTAATTTTCTGATGTGTCTATCGCATGATTTCCCTTATATATGTGTGTACATATATGTAGGTGTCTTTGAAAATTCTTACGTGCGTACCTTTGATACTCGTACGTGAGCAGGTATCCGCGAATATAGGTAATAGGGGACGTATACACCCCGAGGCTAAGGCTGAGCGTAGCCAATCATAGCTCTCATCCGGTCCGTGGATCCCGATGCTTGGCCATCTATCATCCCTCTTTTATCGACTGTGGAAGTTCTTCCAAGCTATCAATCATGATCATCATTCAGCTCGGTCTTATTGCATCGTGCAGCTCTTTCTTGAGTGACCTTCTGTCGTCAGTGCTATGCGGAATAAATGAAGCCCGCATGCAGTATATAAGATCCTGAGCTATACAACCTGTAGTTGTAGCAAATACTGCAACATAGAACATATAGATGTACAGGTTTGCTTCTCGATTAGTTGAAATGAACTCTATATTTTCACATAATGATGTTTGAAGAAATTGGGCTTCAAATTTCACTTCGAGTTTGGTTCGGTCGTTACGGATTCCGAGGTTCTTGCACGCGATGCCTGTTATGGATGATGGTTGTTTACCAAGGCTTTATACTCTGAACACATCCTCGGCCGAAGTACGTACTTTCTTAGTTCTCATCTGATACCATAGATTGGTATTTGATGACGATGTTTGAAAGTGACGTGTTGCCACCCATATGGAACTGTAGTTGGACCGCATTCTGCTGCGACAAGTCGTTGTGAAGTTGTTAATGACGTACGTTGGGACTAGCTGACTGCGGTGACAGCTGCAATCCACGTTGCTCAAGATATCACGGAAGGTTGCACTCTCACAGTTAGGTAGTTTGTTGAATAATATCTGCCTGGCGTTTACTGACTTTTACCCGCACCGTTTGCAAGACGGCGTCTAGTTCGGCCCTCACTCAACGTCAGATAGATTTTGAACTGTAGATCAAAAATGACTGCCCTATACTACAAGTCGTATCCTCATCCCTCCTCTGCTCGTTTTTGTCTCGAACGCCTAATCTCAGAGGCTCAGTCAACATTGATGTCACGTTCTGTCACATCCAGACCCGTACATCGTCGTCCCTTGATGTGTCGATCATTACACTTAAAAGGGAGGCAACCAGAATTGGTAGCCTCCATTCTTGGTGCGGAACACGCTCAGGAGAAAGCTGTACATGCACAGTAGCAGACCGCTCCATACGAAGACTGCGACCTGCTGAGCTTGCGCATTGGCGATGCGGGGTACTTTGAGCGCCAGAGAGATGGTCGCGAAGGAAAGGACACCATCTAAGTAATAGTCAGTACATCCGGAATGCTTTGATATTTCGGTTGAGATAGATGGTACGTACAGATAGCCGCAACGATTTGAGACTCGAGGCCGAACTGGTTGCTGAAACCTCCGGCGAAGTAGTTGATGCCCCCCTTTCCATCACCAGATACGTAAGGCACTTTACGGATGTGGTTGAACATGTGTCCACTGGTAAAGAGCAGTACGGCAATCAGGCTGAATGCGGCCCAGAGGTTGCGATTTTGTAGGATGGGAAGAATGTAGGGAGAAGCAACTGCGAAAAAGGTGATGACACCAAGAACACCCGTCGTGACGGTGATGATCTTGACCCAGTTAATCGGGCGGCTGACGGCAGGCTTAGGTGTATCGGCGGGGAGATGGCGAGAAATCCAGGTGTGGATAACTTCTGCGGATTGTGGCCTATAGATTCATCAGTCTCCAGCCTTTAATACTCAGATATTTATAAACTTACCCAGCAGTGAAATCGAAGCGTACGGGCTGCGCATCGACTTTGGCATTGGGGCCAGTGGTGGGGGGGAAATAAAGAAGAACTGGAGCGGTTTGCAATTGCAACTACAACACTGTCAGTAAAAGTATCTTCATTATAGATTCCAGATTGTAGCATACAGATTGGAAGGTGTTTTTTCCATCGATGAAGTCAAGAGTACCGAACAGCACCCTGCTCTCGCCCTTCCTGTCACCCTTGGCCCAACTCTTTCCTAGCAAGTCCCATTCGGGCTGAAATTCCCTACATAGCTGGCATCCAAACCGAGCCTCCAAAGCGGTCAGCAGTACTGCAACGCTGTAATCTCTTGGACTTTTGGTCAATCGCGCATATGTCGGGTCGTCGAGCTTCACCGGGCCGGAGGAGGATCTGGCGTGAAAGTCGCTGAAACGATCGGCTGCCGGCTTCTTGGCTGCCAGAGCCGTGAATGGCAGGAGAGACGCTGCGAGAAGCTGTATCCACCGCATTGTGTTGATTTGGCTTTGTGGAGTGGAGTTATCGAAGCTTGGGAGATGGATGTGTGGTTGGACACGTTCACCATTCGAGTTGGACTACGTAATCAATGCCAAGTAATCTTGATTGGCGCAGGGATCTGGTGGTGCCTGAACGAGTGAGTTGTGAACAAACATGTGTATTCATATAGCCACGACATAGCCCAAGATAATAACATATCTTCGCTTTGTGAAAGTCGTAGTTTAGTTCAGAATCGAAATTCTTATAAATTATTGTTCACCAAACATCCTCCCAGCGAGTAGATCGGGCCTTGGCAACGGTCGGGGATTGTTTGTGTTTACCGACGCGTTCGACTCTTGTCAACAACACTACCCCTCTAACACTTTCACTATCTACAGCCCCCCTTCCCATTATTCAATCCGAAGTCATACACAATGACTTCTGATGTGGATTCAGAGTTCGAGTCCGAAATCAAAGATGTATGTGAAAGTCCGTCAGGTAGTTCACATTGAGAACTGACACAGATACAGCTAAAGCATACGCTCCGAACCGCAGACTTGGAGCTCAGCCTCGAACGCAGCAAACACTCAGTCGAGATCGTCGCTAAGGATGAGGAAGTTCGGAAGTTGCGGGTAGCCCAGTGCCTATTGCAGGATCAGAGTAGCGAACTCCGGGAACAACTCGAGGAAGAGCAAGAGCGCTCCGATGCTCTGGAAACCGCGCTGGATGGGGCACTCATGCAATTAGACGAGCAAGCCGCGGTGGCGGAGATGGCCCAAAACCAGATCCGCACGCAATCGCGTGAAGTCGCCAACCTCAAGGTGCGTTTGCTTTCCGTTTGCATATAGCACAAAAGTTTTTCCGCTGACAAACGCAGGCCGAGCTTAAAGCTATGGAGAATGTTACTTCTGACTCGAATAAGATTCTCTCCGAGAAGCTCTCACTCAACCGCGAACTCTCCTCCCTCCGCCCTGAGGTTGAACACTTACGCGCCCAAGTCGAATCCAACCAAGGTCTACTGTCCGAGAAATTATCTCTACAACGTCAGTTGAATACTGCGCAGGTCGAGCTGGAGAACGAAAAGCGCATGGCTGCGCGCGCTATTGCTAAGCAAGAGAAGAAGATGGAGCAAGATGAGGAATTGCGCACTGAAATGGAGGAGCTTCGCAAGGAGTTAGCAAAGGAAAGGAAGGATCGCTTGAAAGTCGAGGCTACACTTGCAAAGACCGAGAAAGCTGTCGAGAAGACACAGGCAGATCTCGAAGCCCAACAACAAGCCACTGAGCGCGTTCAGGTATGTTTCCTAAGAGTACACTGGGGCACCATGAGACACATTTTGCGTGCCTTTTTGATGTCTTGTCAACTCATTGACACCTTTTTGCTTGAACTCCGCTAATTCCATACCCTTGCTAGGCCAAGCTGGAGAAGGCCGCAAAGAAAGAGGCCGCTGCTGCGAGCAAACACTCAGAGGAGCAGGATGCTGCATTGGAGAAACTTGGTACGTTCTCATGGGTTGTGAAGTTCACTATAATCAAGTCAGCTGTGATATTTGATGACTTCAACAACCCGCTGAACTATTCGTGGCGAAACTTTACTGACATTATATCTGTTCCTTTAGGCGATGAATTGGCGAACGAAAAGGCTGCTCGTATAGCCGCAGAAAAGGCCAACAAGAAATCAGGAAACAGCGATGCCGAACTAGACAGACTGCGAACAGAGCTCGAAACGGAGAGACAACGACGCCAACAACTTTCCAAGACCATGAAGAAAAGCAGTCAAGAAGACGGATCCGTATCTGACGACCTTAAAAAAGAGTTGGAAGAAGAGAAACGTGAGCGCAAGCAGCAAGAGAAGGAGTTTTCTAAGACGCTGGCGGAATTGCAGGGTCGCAACACGGTGCTGGACGACAAGCTTAACGCCTTCCGAGAGAAATTACGTTCGACAAAGGAGAAACTCAAGGAGAAGGAAGCTGAGCTCGAGAAGATGGAGCGAGCTCAAACGGTGCCTCCTATAAGAACTACCCGCGAAACCTCGGTCAAGCCCGCAAAGAACGCTCGCAAACGCGTTGCCGCCTCTGTCGAGCCCGAGACTAATCTAGGCACCCCAGGAAATGGCTTCCCAGCTAAAAAGACAAAGCATATCGCGTCCTCCTCAGTCGGCGACACCTCAACCTTTTCACTCACACCGTTCCTCAACCGCACCTCAAGCGTTGCACCTGGCGAGACCATCATTGAAGAGGAAGATGAGAACATGGAAGCTGGCGCTCAAGAGGCCACACCAACTGCTCCACCCAAGAAGGCACCAAAGAAAGCAGTGGAACCCAAAAAGGCACTGGCACCCTCCGCATCTAACAAGGCAAACGCAAAGCCTCGCAAAAAGGCAACTGCAACAGCTCTGGAGATGGTTACAGAGGAAGTCTCGGATATCTCGTCATCCAAAGACAACTCGGAGAATGCGCCTGTTACTGTACCTCTCAAATCCGCCGATGATGGTGATGCTCCAAAGGACAAGTCGCTCAAGCCCAAAGTCAAGCCTCGCAAGTCCCTCATGTCTTTCGCAACATTCACGGAAGAGCCCGCCGCCGAGAAGAAAAAGAAGCGCAAACTAGGCGCTTCCTCTACCAATGGGGGAGGACTAGGTAAGACGCTGTTCGACGCTGAAGAAGAGGATGCCGCCCCCGCCAAGGCTACATCTAGCAAGGGCATCTTCGCTGCTAGAGCTATAGGCAAGAGCATGTTGGGTAAAGGCAGGGCTCAACAGGGACCAATCAGCGGTGGATATAATATGATGAGCGAGGAAGGCTTCTCGTTCAGTCCGCTCAAGAAGGATCGGAGGAGTGTCAGCATCCTCAAATAATCACTCCGACCTGTAGGATCGCGGTTACTTCCTCATCTGTCTAGGCCGCAGAAACATGCATATTCTGGCGTTCGGTTTCATGGGTCTTTGGACTTGGTTAGTTTTCATCTAGTTAACAATCGAGGCGGTGAGCTCTTCGATTTACGCGTGATCTAGATATGTAGCGATCGAATCTAGTTAACAATTCCGCCTGACGTCGCCGATGCTTTGTTGTCATGCATGAATCTGACTATGCAGCCCTATCGCAAGTCAGCATTCACCGATGTGTGTATACATCCCCGGGATTTTCGCGCCTCATAGGGATACCGTTAAACAAGGACTCTAAACAGACTCTGAAATACGGCGATCTTCAGTGACATGCCGAATATACTTCGAAACAGCCGTGAAATTAAGCCTGATACTGGCGGCGACGTCCATGACATGTGGTTGTCGCCTTTAATAAATAGTCGCATCAGATCAATTACATGTCACCCCTACGGTAGGGCTGAAACCAACCGTCGAAACTGTTGTAGGCTCATCTCGCTTTCTGAGATTGATGACATGTGTATATGGTGGGGCGTGGTAGGTGCAGGATGACTTGAACTTACTGCTTACCTGCTTGTTTTGGGCAACTTTCCTCGATTTGCAATCATAGCAATATGTATATGAGCAATTGAATCTCGAGTCTCGATCTGCGCGACATGGTCATCACGTGATGTACACTCACGCAGCAACACATGCACATGTGCACATGTGTGCATCATCATCCCAATCAAATATTGGTGTAGTTATCCAAGTACCCCATCCGTGCTTACTTTCGCTATACATGCAATTCCAATATACAATATGTAATATGCACGTATGTATGTATGTTAATCTCACCTCATCCCATCTCACTCCCCAAAGCGACGAAACCTCGACTGTACATAGTCGAGCGTGGGGAAATGCCAAGACTTTGATCTAGATTTGGAGAATCTTCGCGATGGGAGAAGGGGGGAGGCCTAAGGCTGAGGAGGAGCCACGCGCAGATTGTGAGGTTTTGAGATTATTGCTGGTATACATATGTACGATGTATAGGAGTGGTAGGAAGTATGCACATATGTAGGTGAGATTGTATTCTGGGCAGGCAAGTGTTGATGTGTAATGCACGTATGTATGTATGCGAGGTATCTGCGTGTGACAATGCAGGAATGGACGCCTTTTCTCAGGCAAATTGAAGCCTGGGGTGCTGGTTGTGGTAAATGGCGAGGGTGGTGATAAGCAGGTGGAGGACTTGCTTTGGTCACTGGTGTTTGTCATTGCCTGGGGAGATTTTTGGAGGACACCAGGGGGGCGTTGGAGAGAGTGGACGGTAAGATGGCACGACACGGGTACATTCCAAATGCTCAAATGTTTCCACGGTCTGGCTTGCAGGTAATTTAAAACTCTGCAAAATATTTACATGGATCTTGGTATACACTTTACCTGGAGTAAATAACATCTTTGATCACTCTGCTCTGTAAACCAACGAGGACGCAGAATCAGAACGACCTGTCGTCCAGAAAGTCGTCGGTCGATCATTTTCTAGAATCCCGCTAGAAGCCCGACCATCACCCCCCCCCAATCGCCTCCACACAGCTCAGCTCAACCAGCCGCCCGCCCTTCCGCCCCTGCGGAAATTCGCGCCTACGAGAAAAGCAAGGAAAAGAATCCCACCACATTCAACGCACAGATCCCAGTTCGAAAATCCAATCTAGGTAAATGCCACAGAATTACATATCTACTCAATGAGCCATTGAGTGATTTTGTGGCATTTACACCTAGGTTACTTGAGTTATCGGGCTTGCCTGCCTTTCCACAAGACACCATTTCTCGGAAGACCCTTGGGTTTTTTTTCACTTCAGTGCTCAGCACGAAAATGAAAATGCATGTTAGTGCGGCGCAGTCCCTAGGGTGTAGATTGACTTTTGGAGGGAAGATAAAACTGGGATACTTGGCCTCGGTTCTTGGGATGCATGCTGAGATGATTACCTAGATAGGTAATTGACTCCGGCAATGCGACGTGTTTCATGACCATCAAGGCTTTCCGCAGGGCTCAACAACCAGGACAGGAGTTTTGTGGTCCCAGAAGAGCGTTTCGTCGAATCGAAACCATGGCGGTTGTATGAATTTCCGGGGTTGAAAGTGTGGAACTTGGGTACTCGGGGTTCTTGCGTGGAAAATGGGCCTTCTCTTTAGCCGTGACTATTGATAGAATATACTCCTGCTGTGGCGAGACTATCGAGGCTCTTTACCGCTCTTTTGAAATCATCGTAGGTTGCCTAACGTGACCTGGCATGCGTCGTCGAGCCGTGGATGGATTGATGGATGGGTAGCGGGCGTGTGCATGACCGAGGTTATCAGAGCGGACGGATCAAGTGGACTGCACCAAAAAAGTTATGCATGTCTGATTTGACCAGACAAGCACAAAAAAAGTAAGGCAATGCCGAATTCATCTCCTCTCCCGGAATCGAACCAGGGACTGTGATATTTGTTAGAATTTGATTCCGAAGTCAGAATCTGAAGCGTGAACTTACCCTTTCGATTACATATAGCAATTACAGTCGAACGTGATGAACCAACTACACCAAGAGGAGGCGCTGGACATTTGAATATACAGTATTTTCTAATAACAAAATAAATAAAGCAAAACTAAGTTGAAAATTTTGGTTGAGGTGTGGGTTCACCGGCCACCATCCATCATCCCGCCGTTAAGCGAGTCCAGATAGGCATCGTTCACCCTCAAACGACGGCATCCTGCTTCTGCTTATGTGTTTTCCAAGTTCTACAACAGCCATCACGCAGTACACCAGTCTGTCAACCGGCCGGCGCCTTTTCCCACGGCAACACGACCTGCAGCAACAAAAAAACAGGAGACTTTCACATGAGATGAGGGTCCGATGATGATGATCACCACGAGAAGGCCAATGCGGAAACTTGTTCCAACGCATCCATTTTGATAGGCCTTTACCCTTTCACACTACTGGCAAAAGTACGGAAAAATCTCCCGACGCTGTAGGATCGCCGGACTGTGGCTCATGATGCTGCAAGAAGGTTATTACCGCAATAAGACGCCAATGTACATGTTATTCGGTGCCAGGGAACAGTTGATGTTGTGACTTTAGCCTTTACTGGGCCCGTAGGATGCAGCAACGACGCGGTGAGGGAGAATGATTTTGCGAGAGCATAGTCTGGCGACGTATTACATGTATTGCATGGGCATAACCAACGGCATTCCAATCCTGGACAGGGCGGGTGGACACGTGCTGCTGCCGCCCGCCTCAACGGGCCTTGCATGCTCGGCTGATGGTGCGAACTTCCGTAGACGGGTACAGGTTCTCGCTTCAAGCACTGCAAGTGGAATGTGGACGGCAGCGCGTGCAGGGCTATGCGATAAGGCGGTGATGCGCCCAAGGTACGCAGCCCAACGTTACAGCAAAATACAGAGTGACATGCACGGACAGGGACCCACGACTGTATATGCAACGGTGTGTACCGGGGAGCGCTCGAATGAATGAATGAATGACTGAGTGAATGAATGGATGGATGGACACGGTCCGTGAGTAGTCGGCCCGCTCGCTGTTTGCAGCAAAGGATAGGATGGACGGATTGACCGCGCATAGAGAGAGATATGACGACAGCCAATCTTCCCAGCTCACCATGTTCATAGCTAGGTACCGTACAGTACCGTACCACGGCGAAACTGTTGCCTTCTTGAACACATATATCCTCGGTCAGCTTGGCTCTCCCCGATGGGCCAATCGAACGTCTGTCCCCTTCACCGCCTGGCACCTCCAACCCTCCAGACTTCAGACGAAAGGACAATGGGTCAGGGGTGAGATGGACAGCCATTACCTTATGGCAGCGACAGCACGACACATCTGAATCGCGAAGCTCGAGCCGCAGTCACATAATTTTGGGGTTGTGCGTCATGGCCGCTACGCTACGATGCTGGACCGAGGCCTTGACATTGATCTAACTATCCATTGGCGCCGTCAAAGTGCGTTGCGTCGGAAATGAGCTCGACTGGAGGAAGACAAGGCAAGGCAAGGGAAAAAGCAAACCTCGACAGACAGTGGGCTGGTGCGCGCCCAACTATCTCATTTCTCATGCGCATTTCACATACGATAATGTGCGAACGCGCGTGGGCGGCGTGGGAGACACCACATGGAGAATGCCGATGGCAGCTGCAGCACACCACAGACTGACTTGGATGTGGAGTGCTTGCTGGATGTACGAGATACAGGACTCGGTGATTGTTGCAGGCAAAAAATAATACATAATGTTGGTAACTAGCCAATCTCGGCCCGGTAGGCTGGTACCGGTCATCCTGGGCCGTTGTAACATGTCCTCAGTCGTCCTCCACACCAGAAACCATCCCTTGAATCAAAGTACCTTTCCTGGACACAACTCCTCGTTACCCTTCCTTCCGGCTGCCGGCTTACGTCCAGCTGTGGCAGTCTTTGCACATATTCCTGCTCACTCGAGTCCCCCCCACATAGATTGCCTCTCGTACTAGCTCACCCTGCTGCCCTCTATCCCCGGGTCATCATGGCCTAGCAAGCTCATTACCCTGACCGGAAGAAGGTGAGTGCCGCTCTTCGTTCCGTGGCATGCTGGCCTGTTCGCGGTGCTGCCCCAGATGGTCTGAGGTCGGTGTGCCAATCACCCAGCCCAACTATCGTGTAATAGCATGTACATATTCGCTATGCCTCCCAGGTTCCCTCGCGCTACTAAGCCCTATCCCTTCCTGTTCGAGAAACATATCCTAAGACGGCCTGCCTTAAACCGTTGTCGTCCATTCTTTTCCTCCTACGCCCCTGCCCCACTGACCTCCATCCATCCATCCATTATACCAATTCTCTCCGCTGCCATAGCCATTTCCTACTGATTCGTGCCCTCTCCTCACCGTGTCTCGTTACTCTTTGCTCCTTCCCAATGTCAAGTTTCTAAGCATCGTATCATGGCAACCAGTTCGAAACCCGAGAAAGGTTCCTTGCCGACCCAGCAGCCAGAAAGCAACCTCCAGCGCATACCGTCCCATTCTTCCAAAGCCGCCGAAGCAGCACAGCACGCCCCACAGTCGCATAACATGGCTACCATTGCAGACGACGACGACAGGCTACTTGAGCGCATCGGATACACACCCGTGAGTTCTACGTGACTATACATCATTACCCTGGTTCCTCAATTGATCTTCCTAGGTCCTCCAAAGACACTTTTCAAGATGGTCGACTGTGTCCTATGCCATCTCCATTCTAGGAGTACTCGGTTCCGTTCCAGCGACATTCGGTAGCCCAATGCACTCTGGCGGTCCGGCGACTGCAGTATGGGCATGGCTGATAGGCAGTGTCATGGCTTACTGTATAGCAAGTTCAGGTGTGTTGAATTGTATTCAATCAGAAGAACTGCGCCCTCACTAACTCTGGATTGCACAGTCGCCGAGCTGGTATCGGCATATCCAACAGCTGGCGGCATGTACTATGTCACAAAGCATGTTGTTCCCAAGGATCATGTCGCACCGTGGGCATGGATCATTGGGTGGTGTAATTTCCTTGGTCAGGCGGCCGGAGTTGCTAGTCTTGCCTATACGATCTCGCAAATGATCCTCGCGACAGCCGTCATGCATACATTTGAGAAAGGGGAAGCAGCCTTTGTGCCGTAAGTCACGATTTCCATTTGAACCGGCTACGTGACATGACTGACCAACCTACAGGACTGCTTTGCAAACGGTCTTGTTGGCCATCTTCGTCTTATGCCTGTTCGGCACCATCTGCTCCTTCCCAACCAATTGGCTGCACCGCATCATTTTATGGTTCGCTCCCATCAACAGTGAGTTTTGGATCAAGTCTCGCGATCAGCTGTCTTCTGACTAGATACTAGTCGTCGCCTCGGTATGCATCTGCATCGCTCTTCTCATTCTCACACCGGAAAAGCAAAGCGCAAAATGGGTCTTCACTGAGTTCATGGATGGCTCGGGTTGGGGAAGCAAGGGATTCTCTTTCCTACTGGGGTTCGTCAACCTGCTATTTCAACCATAGTAGAGCCAATCTAACGCGCGCAGGTTCTTGTCCGTGGCATGGACCATGACGGACTATGATGGAACAACCCAGTAGGTCTTACCCCGGCGCTCTCTACCTAGTGACCGCAACTGACCTGGTGCATAGCATGTCGGAAGAAACCCACGATGCCGCGATTCGAGGCCCCGTTGCCATTAGAGCCGCCATCCTCGTATCTGGTGTTGTGGGCTGGATGCTCACGGTGACCTTTTGCTTCTGCATGTCCGACTACGAGGACATCATGGCCACTCCGACTGGTCTACCGGTCGCACAGATATTCTTAAACGCAGGTGGAAAAACGGGGGGGACGATCATGTGGTTCTTCGTCATTCTCGTGCAATTCTTCACCGGTTGTTCTGCCATGCTGGCTAATGCACGTATGGCTTGGGCCTTTGCCCGCGACGCTGCATTTCCGTTCTCAGGGTAAGTCGCATACAACCGTGACTGTCCCATCGGTGGACCCAAGGCTGATGTGAGATGAACAGCTTCTGGAGCAAAGTCAACGAGACAACTCACACGCCAGTGAACGCGGTGTGGTTGGTAGTGGCCTTCTGCAGCTGCTTGGATCTGATCGGTATCGGAAGTACGTTGACGATTGTAGCCATTTTCAACATCACGGCGCCAGCGCTAGACATCAGCTACATCGCCGTCATCATCGCGCACAGGGTCTACGAGCACAGAGTACAGTTCATCCCAGGACCGTACACAATGGGTCGGTGGAGCAAGCCGGTCAATGCGATTGCGGTCACATGGGTGTGCTTTATCAGCGTGGTGCTGTTCTTCCCCACTATCAAGCCGGTCACGGCTTCCAATATGAACTACGCCATCTGTGTGGCCGCCTTCATTGGACTGTTCAGCATGGCGTGGTGGTACGCAGGGGCTAGGAAGTGAGTGATACGAGAAAGGAGATAGGAGGGGGTGGTGCTGGCAGCTAACTAACATGCGACACAGGACATACACCGGTCCCCGAACGAATGATACCATTGATATGCTTCCACCCGAGGATCCGGACGACATTCTCAGCGACGTGGGCAACGAATACGATCTAGCATGAATGACTTTGTCTCGAGAGTGCAAGGCGGCCCAATCGCGAACGTACAACGCATCCAACTGCATCGAGTCACATCGGCATCGGCATCCGCAGCGGCATTGCATAGCATCTGCAGGCAATGCGCCCTTCGGCGATTTGTCGTCCGCGTTGGTCATGGACGTACTCACATCGAAACGACAGGGGTCCGTCTTCCATGGGACTCTCTTCTTTCTATTCTTGTTTTTTTCATTCGCTTTCTTTTCGGTTTGTTCAGGGACTTATATGGGCATAACTATCGTGGAGGATCCATGCTAGACAGCCATGCAATCGGGCGTTGATTTTGCAAGGCACATCTGGTCCTTTTTTCGGTTTTCTAATTTCCCACAGTTTGGAAGTTCTCTTGTTTTCGGTATCCAGCTTTCAGTCTCTGTTTTCCAAGCGATGGATTGATACCAAACCCCCAGCAGGCACGTGGATGAATTAGGAAGCAAAAGACATGTAGGGGGGAATAACCATATATGCATAGATTCGGTAGGACAAGAAGAGATACCCAGAGAATAGCGATCAATGAATACATGTTTGAATTTCGACCGAGGCGAAAGAAGAGGTCGTGGACTTGAATTGGGATATCAATTGATCTCTGACGGCAATAGCTGGCTAGCACAGTTGCGGACTGGCTGGGGGAGGCGGACAGCGGGAAGCGGCCGCTTGGACCGACAGGCGAACCAAACCCTGACGCAAGCTTGCCTCACCCTGCAGGCTGAAGAAGACTGAATGGAAGCCCATCCAGCTTTCCATCTGTTTGTTGGCCGCATTCAATTCCGCATATTGAATTCCTGTCGTTGCAATTCCATCTACCACTCCCTCCAGTCGCTCGTTGCGCCTCTGTGCCACCACGAGAAGCGGCGCCAGGCAGACAGGCAGGCAAAATTGCATCGCATTGCCTCACTGGTCCACCGCTGGCATAGATGCTAGCCCGCCTCGATCCGATTGTCGCCTTCACAAGAAGTTTTGCGACCGCGATCCCACGACCTTCACTTCACACCTCCCGCTTATATACCCACCACTCCCGCTTCCTTCTTCCGCCAAACCCCTCTCACCGCCTTCCCCAGCACTCAGCCTTCCTTAATCTGCGCCTATTAAGTGCTCAAGCAACCCCAATGTCTTCAGAGCAGAACCGAGATACTTCAGAAGCTCGCTCCAAGCGCAAGCAACCACCCACCCCCTCCAACGAGCGTCCCATGAAACAGATCAAGCCCGAAACAGACGCGCATGCGCGAAATGTTACATACGCCCCAGAGTCCGACGTTCCCGCGCTCGATCTCACTCCTTCCCCCGACACAGAGACGATCCTCGAAGATCTTGCTTCCGCCCCCGTGGCCGGCGCATTGCAAGACACCGTCGAATGGCAGAAGACGATAGAGAGCGTCGTCAAGAGCGTCGTCTCTATTCATTTCTGTCAAACCTGCTCCTTCGATACAGACTCGGCCATCTCCTCTGAAGCAACTGGCTTCGTCGTGGACGCGGAGAGGGGTTACATTTTGACCAACAGGCATGTCGTTGGCGCGGGGCCCTTCACCGGCCACTGTATTTTCGACAACCACGAAGAGGCAAGTCTGACAATTTTTCTGACATGTGCTTTATATTATTCCAGCTAACCAGCTCCCAGTGCGATGTCTACCCTGTGTACCGCGATCCCGTTCACGACTTCGGTATCTTACGCTTCGACCCCAAAGCTATCAAGTACATGCCCCTGACCGCGCTCAAATTGCGCCCCGACTGCGCTAAAGTTGGTGTCGAGATTCGCGTTGTCGGTAACGATGCCGGCGAGAAGCTCAGTATTTTGTCCGGTGTCATCAGTCGTTTGGATCGCAATGCGCCCGAGTACGGTGAAGGCTACTCGGATTTCAACACAAACTACATCCAAGCCGCAGCAGCCGCCAGTGGTGGAAGTTCTGGTAGTCCCGTGGTCAACAAGGATGGTTTTGCGATAGCCCTACAAGCTGGTGGTCGGTCAGACGGTGCCGCGACCGATTACTTTCTTCCCTTAGATCGGCCGTTACGCACTCTGGAGCTCATCCGGCAAGGGAAATTTGTGACCCGTGGAACGATACAGACACAATGGATTCTCAAGCCTTTCGACGAATGCCGCAGGTTAGGCCTTTCCCCGGAATGGGAAGAGGCAGTACGCACGAAATTTCCCCTCGAGACCGGCATGCTGGTTGGTGAGGTGATTTTGCCAGATGGACCGGCGTCCAAACTGATCCAAGAGGGAGACATACTTCTCAAGGTCAATGGTGATATCGTCACTAAATTTGTTGACCTGGACTCGATACTTGACAACAGCGTTAGCGACAAAGTCAGCTTGACTATACAACGCGCAGGAGAGAACATTGACGTGGAAGTGAATGTTGCTAATTTGCATGACATCACCCCCGACAAGTTTGTCTCAGTGGCAGGTGCTTCGTTCCACGATCTTTCGTACCAACAGGCCAGGTTGTACGCCATCTCACTCAAGGACTCAGGCGTATATGTTTGCGAGGCCGCTGGATCTTTCCGTTTCGCCGATGGATATACATCAGGATGGCTAGTTCAGGAAATCGATAATCGCCCTACACCCAACCTGGATACGTTTATCGAAGTCATGAAGAAGATTCCCGATAAGAAGCGCGTGGTCATCAGCTATAAGCATCTCCGGGATCTGCACACCTCCAACACAAGCATCACGGCCATTGACCGACATTGGCATGCTAAGATGCGGATAGCCAAGCGTAATGATGTTACTGGTTTGTGGGACTTTAGCACTCTTTCAGATGCTATACCCGCTGTTCCCGCTGTTCCGCGCCGCGCAAACTTCGTCAAGCTCAGCTCCAAATACCCGGAAGCTGTTGACATCGTACGAAGCTTCGTCCGTGTCCACGTGTCTCTACCAGTCAAGCTCGATGGCTACCCGAGAGCACATAGGCAAGGGTACGGCTTGGTGGTAGATGCCGAACAAGGCCTTGTACTCGTATCGCGGGCTTTCTTACCCTACGATCTTGTAGATATTTCACTGATCTTTGCCGATTCAATCTTTGTGGATGGAAAGGTTGTTTTCTTGCACCCACTGCAAAATTACGCAATTGTCAAGTATGACACGTCGCTAGTCAATGCACCAGTCAAGACTCCGAAATTCGCCACGGATTCCATCAAGAAGGGAGATGAGACCATCTTCTTTGGCTTGAACCAAAACTTCCGACCTGTGGTTGCCAAAACTGTAGTCACTGATATCTCCACGGTAGCCATTCCTGCCAGTGCAGTGACACCGCGCTACCGCGCCACAAACTTCGATGCCATTACTGTAGACACTACTCAAGCATCTCACAGCGCTTGCGGTGTTTTGATAGCTGAAGACGGCACTGTTCAAGCCTTATGGTTGTCATATCTGGGTGAGCGTACCCCTCACAATGGCAAGGATGTCGAATACCACCTCGGTCTCGCAACACCTATGATCCTCCCTGTTCTCAATGAGATCAAGAGCGGTAGAACGCCCAAACTGCAGATCCTGAACGTCGAATTCCAGACCGTCCAAATGAGCCAAGCTAGAGTCATGGGTGTCTCAGAAGAATGGATCGAGCGAACCGAGCAAGAAGATCCAGAGCGTCACCAGCTCTTCATGGTGCGAAAAGTCGACTCCGGCCACGAAGACGGCCTTCAAGAAGGCGATATCCTCCTGACCCTCAACGGCACGCTCGTCACACGAGCATCCCATTTGGATGTCATGTACAACAACCCACACCTCGATGCCGTCATCGTGCGCAAACGTAAAGAAGTCACCCTCAAAGTCCCAACGGTCGCGACCGAGGACCTCGAAACCGACCGCGTCATCAACTTCTGCGGCGCCACCCTCCACCAACCCCACCAAGCCGTCCGCCAACAAATCAGCAAGATTCACTCCGACATCTACATCTCCTCGCGCGCCCGCGGTTCCCCCGCGATGCAGTACGGCATCGCCGCCACAAACTTCATCACCCACGTCAACGGCGTCGCCACCCCGGACCTCGACGCCTTCCTCAACGAAGTCAAGAAGATCGGCGACAACACTTACTTCCGCCTCAAGGTCATGACATTCGACAATGTCCCCTGGGTCGCCACCCTCAAGAAAAACGAACACTATTTCCCAACCATCGAATACGTCAAGGATCCCACCGCGGACCTGGGCTGGAGGAAGATTGTGCACGAGGCTGAGGCTGGCGGTGCCATGGAGGAGTTGGGTCCCAGCGAGATGGAAATGGATGAGGGCCACGATGAGGGTGCGGATTCTGGGGGTGGTGGTGATGGTGTTGGCATCGGGAGGGATGGCGCGAGGGAGGTTCGGTCTATGCTCTAAGAGAGAGTGGAAGGAATCGGGATAGAAATTCAGAAAAATGGTAACCTTATGAAATCTCAGAAAAGAAAAAGGCGACTTTTTTCTTGGGAGGAGGGAGAACTGGAGTTGGGGGTCCTTTTTGCTAGGATAACGCAAATGGAGAACAGGGACTCTTTTTATTGCTTTTTTGTTTTGAGTGTGTAAGAATATATTTGTCTGATATATGGTTTTGAATATAGATTATTGTTTATATCCTTTATTTATTTTTATATCCTTCCAACGTCCCTTGTGCTTCTCCTTCTTTTGTCTTTTCCATCGTGAGTTAAAGGCGAGAATTGGTCAGTAGACTGCTTGTCCTCCCCCCTCCCTCCTTGGTTTCTGCTTTCCCTCCCCAATTTTTTTAAATCTTCTCGGTTTCACTATCTTTATTATCTTCTTTAGGCCTCGGGGGTGAACGGCTGAATGTCGTGCAGGAGGTTGCATGGCAGCCAATCACACATGTATGTGTGGAGAGCTGAGATTGCGTTTACATTGTGCAACCAAATTGTAAGTCAGCTGGTGCTGACGCATAGACATCTACGGGAAGGCTTTGGGTGTGAGAAGCTGCAGTTCAGTTACTCATACTGCATACGATATGTCATATGCCGTATCATTGTCGATATAGTAAAATGACATGGTCGAGATGGTGCGAAGATATTCAAGTACAAAGTAATGACAGGAGTTCCCCACGATCTATGCTTTTACTTTTAAGTTTTTTTTTCCTTCTTTTTTCTTTTGCTTGTTGTAATAAACATGTATGAAAGCTTTTTCGCTCTTCTTTTTTGTAGTCTCCTTTCTTTTGGTTTCTCTATTGTTATAACTAGGTCGCTGTGTGTAAGATTACCTAAGCTCCAACTTACAATTCACAACTCAATTCACAATTCAATTCATTCACAAAGTGGGTAATGGCATGCAAGCTAATCACAAATCACATCATGTGCGTGAATTGAGAATTTCTCTAGTGTAACAAACCCCTCCCTTGTGATTACTTGCTATACTAGCAAGTGATACATATGGCTTATGCACCCACAATAGCATTCTGTCCACGTTCCAATATTCTTCGACTCAAGAAATCTTATACTACCTACTCCCTCATATTCCATTCATCATTTACAGTTCTAGAAATCATGTGGGTTTTCGCGAGCGTGAGCGGGATCGTATGCGCGGGCAGATATTACTACACCCAAGAAAGTCCTTTCAGTTCCTGCCTACCGCCAGATAATCGCCAAATTCCAGCCACCTCTACCGCGAAGACAAATAAATCTCAAAACCTGTCGAGTTCCATTCAAAATGAACCAGAAAATTGCCCAGAACGAGAATTCAAATATTTCATGGATCTCCCTCGCGAACTGCGTGACCTCATCTACTGGCAATCTTTCCTCGACCTCCTCGGTCGCGACAGAGCGCTTTGGCAACCAGGCATTCTGTCTGTTGGCAACAAACAGGTGCGGACAGAAGCAGCACAAATTTACCTCAAGACGATCGACTTCTTCGTATTCTATGCACCAGTGCAAATCGAGCAACACCTGAAATATCTAGAACTCGAGAACCCCAAGAGCTTGGTGAGGGGTTTGTCTTTCGGGCTCTTTCCCTGCGCTCACGAGAACCCGTGTTACCAGCCGAATTCCCGTCGCTCGTTCAATTACGCCGGACACTACATCAATCTCCGCCGTTTGCGACTCGTGTGCCACAGAATCTTTTGCTCTCGGTACTTGGAGGAACCCATAGGTCCGAAGATACCAGTGGAGACATCTATGGAATACTTGGGTCTACGTGCTCTTCTCGAATGCAAAAAGCTTGAGTATATTCAGTTGGAAGCTGATAGTGCTGAGGAGATCATGGACTCATTATTCAAAAAGATAGCCTTTTGGTTGAAGGAAAATCTTCCGATGGGCAAGGATTCTGTCAAGGTCTGGCAATATTCAAAAGACAATACTGGTGAAAACCCATGGACTTTACTTTGAAAGGACAGGACACTCTATCAAACTAGTACTGCATATCTTTGGGGTGTTGCGTGGACTTGGTGGGCTCGGCTAAGGTTTCGGCTGGGTCAAGTTTCCTTATGTGTCTTTCGTACAGTCCATCCATCCTTCTTATCATCAGATTTACGAGTCTGTCAAAGATTCGGATATAATGTTTAATATGACTGGTTTCTAGTTACAATTCCTGTCTCTAATACTATTCTTATTATGCATAGTAGTGCATCATGGCTTTCCTTTTTTCACGAAAAAAGATGTCGATAGGTCCACTTGTATAGACGGCTTCCATCAAACCATGCGGTTTTCTCTGTTTCAGTCTACCAAGCAATCTTCTATGTTCAAACAGAGAGTTATGACGGCCGCCAGTATTATGACAGACATTGTTGAGTGTGTTGCACAATGTAGATCCCCTTGTTGTCGTTAGTAAACAAAAGCCAGAGACCAAAAAATTATCAACCCACTTGATTCTGAGCGAGAGTGTCTTAGTAAGTTGTCTAGGTCCCAGAAGATTGCATTATGTACCATTGTTTTGTAATAATTTCAGTCCATCGCACGTCGAATTACGGTGTTTGGCGAGGTTTTGCCATTCTGGCAGCTCATTGAGGTGCACGGAAATACGTCTCACGACTCTCATCGAGTTTGTACCGACAAACTTGCATGCTGCGTATAAATACAACTCTTGTGTACGGCAGTCTTCTGGTATCGATGACCTTGGTAAAATGAAAATGAGTTGCTTTGTATTGGGCATTCCCATCCACGTATATACTCTCAAATTCTCGAATGAAAGTATTTACTCATGGTGTGTATATTTCTAAAGCTCGGTGCTGGGTGTTCTTTCACAACGAAATGCACCTTGGTGTATGATGAGTGTAAACAACTCTAACGGAGTGGATTTATATAAGTAGTCTTCTGTGATGAGAGACCAGTCTCTCTGTTTCACTACCACACTCAACCGAGCAGATCAGCCTCAACCAGTGATCACGAACTCAACCCAAATCTTTCACAATGGCCCGCCTCACTGAGCTCCTTTCCGAGAAACTACACCCCAATCCAATTGTCATCCAACGCTTTGATGATGGCAGGCCGAAGCCGAAGCCCAAAGGTTACCGCAAGAAGACTAAAACATTGATCAAAGCCTTGGTCGGGGCTATAAAACCAGTGCGAGTCCAGTTCAAGGATTTCCTGAGACTTCCTCGTGAAATCCGCGATCGAATCTACGAGGAACATATGTTCAACCCGAAAGATCGTACCGTCGAACGCCTTGACCTGTTGAACGTACGCAATCGGCAAGTTCAGGAAGAGTCCAGCGAAGTCTATCTGATGAGAACTCGACTCTTCCACCTCGACTACCGTAACCAGAGGGCCTTCACGCTGCGGCTGTACAGCCTTCCCGTGAAAAACAAGTACCGATTCATCACTGGACTTACGCTGTCAGATTACCAGACGGACATCCTACGAGATTTCGATATCTACAGCACCACAATATCACATATCGAATGGGCGACTATGTTCCCCAACTTGCGTCGTCTGCATTTCTCGATGTTTCCAATTGGATGCATGCGGGTGCTCGCACACAGCAGGATGTATACCAAACTGCGGGCAGTTCTTCAAGCGGCTCACGAGCCTCGAGAAAAGATCATGATCGCATACAACCTGAAGAAGCTTCTCGAGCTTGGAAACATCAAGAATATTCGACTCACCGGGCTGTACCAGTGGTTTTCATGGGCTGTTCCCATATATGGCCCCGCCTATTGGGAGGCTGACCGGCCAGAGACGATGAAGCCTGTGTGGGATGCCGCGAGTTGGGTAAGGGAAGAGTTCCGGAAACAGGGAATGAACGTATTGTTCGAATGTCGATATCGTTGGGCCTTGCTCGACGATCTCCTCAATCCCGACGAAACGGTCGACTATCTACAGACCAGCTGGTTTCCACTCGGCTCAGATCATGGCACGATTATCCGTGCAACACCCTGGACCATTAGGGAACCCTCCAACTGAAATCTTCCTTCTGTCTTGAAAGTTATGATATTGATAACCATCATCTGCTCGGCTGTATGTGGGGGAACATCTAGTTGTGTGTACGTAAAAGTCTTGTTATAGTTAATTGAGGGATCAAAGGGCGAAAACCCGCCTCAGTGCGGTTTCTAGGCCGGATACTTTACAAAAGTGATAATAATATGTCAAAATTTTTCCAATAAATTGTCTAGTGCAAATTCATTGTGGTTGTGTAGTGAGAAGTTGTGGCAACCTGATACCGAAACATGTCTGCGACTATTGAGATACCACGCGGCATGCCATATTGAGATGTTGGCGATGTTTCACGACATCTCTGATTATTTTTCTGTTAGTATTCTAATCCACAGTGAAATTTTTACATGCCGATCACTCTCAATCCTTTGTGCGATAGATATGAATAAATAGCACTTCCGTCCCCTCGCAGTATCTATTGAACACGGTAAATATCGGTCACTATTTCACATAGAGTGTCGTCGGGTTCATGATTCACCTTCATGATTCACCTTCATCTTCACTTCATGAACTCCAGCCCCTCGGTCAAGTTCATCTTTATTTGTGGGGACCTCACTTTCACCTTCACCTTACATGAGTATCCCGCCTGTAGCACGTGGCCAGCCATATAAAAGGCCCCCCTCCCCCCAAAATCTTCTTTCCTCTATTCACTTCGCAACATACCATCCGTCCCCAGATCCTCACAGTCCATCCTCCGTCCAACTCAATCAAATCCCATTTCAACTATCTACACTCAATCCATTATCGACATGTCTGACGTCGACAAGTCCAACGCTGGAGCCAAACCTGGTGGTGGCTGGACAGACAAGGAGCGCGTGAGTTTCTCTTCACTTCAATATTCTAACCAATTGTTTGATTCTAATCTTCTCCCCGCAATAGCTCGTCTACCTCTATGCCCTAGTCGAGCAGACTGGTATCAAGCCCGACTACAAGAACACTCCCCGCCCTAATAACCGCACTGAGCTTGCCTGCGAGCGCATGATCGGTAGGCTTAAGAATACACTCAAGGACGAACTCGACGCTCTTAAGGCGGGAACCTACGGCGGCGATGAAGTCGTGACTCCCCGCAAGCGCAAGACCCCCGCGAAAGACAAGAGCAAGGATGACCAGGTCAATGGTGACGCTGATGGTTCTCCCAAGAAGCGCGGACGCAAGAAGAAGGTGGACATCGAGGCTGCCAAGAAGGATGCCGCAGACGCTGATGCCAAGATGATGAGTGAGGACATTTGAGGTGGTACATTCGAAGTGGTATCTTCTGGAGGTCAACAAAACAGTGGAAACATCCGAAGTTGGTGATGATTTCGCTAAGAGAGGTGGCTATTTGAGGCCGTATTGGCGGATAGCCTTGATAACACGTTCTACCCAGACCATATGCGTCCACGTGGAATTGAACACAGATCTCAATCAATAATGATTCAATGATATAAGTGCATTATTTCGTGATGTAAATATCATTCATATGTGTGCGCGAATGATCCAAGATCGCCAGAATCTAGTGCCGCTTCGCCGTGGATCCAGTGTCTGTCATACTGGGCTCTAGGTATAGGTCGCGCAAACGGGCTCATTTCTGGCATTATTCTTTATGGTAGACAGCACTAACAATCTGACAGTGAGTACTTGTCAATTCACCCCCGATGCCCCACCAACAAAAACACCACACTTTGTTATCAACACCACGTGTATTAAGGCGCTTTATCTGGCGAGGCAAATTACTCATTTGAAGCGCACGGCGAAGATGAATATATTCTCGAATGTTCATCCACGAAATTATTTCAAGTGGCGAGATTGCGCGAGAATGCACTTGAAAATTCTGATAGCATCTCGACATATACCTGGGTACTTTGTGCAGTGCTGTCGACGTTTATTGTATGTAAAATGGAATGCCCGCCCACGTTCGAAACACCTGTCTGTAGATGTTTAGGCATTTGTATCTGACGCATATGCGAGTCGAAAGAACCTAGAGGCATTGAAAGTCTTATCCAATAGTACCAAGTGTTTGAACAGTCAATGAACTTGCAAGTCACGGGTCATTCCATACCCTTATGTGCATATTCACGAGAGTGAGCCCGCCATTGCTCATACAAAGATTATGGCCACGACAGCTTCAGACTAATCTATTCATTCCATTTTTTCATGCTTCTTCAAAAACCCATTCTGGATGAATATATATTTCAACTCCCATGTACAAAATCCGCTCGCCCACAGGCGCGTCCCCTCTGCTTTCTCACCCAGCGTCGAGACAGCGGGAAAACACACCCCCAACTCCAGAATGAATAACAAAATTGGAACTAGGGAAAAACGAAAAGGATCCCGCCACGTACATTTCGCCGACGTAGCGACTTCGTCTTCAAACAACGCTGATGCACCCTTCCTCCCACCCGTAGCGTCAAGACAACAGGAAAATACACCCTCCAGGACGAGCAACAACACTGAAGCTAAGAAGAAAGGGAAAGGCTTCCGCCACGTACATTTCGCCAACGCAGCAGCCTCGTATCCATCTAAAGCTGATCCGCCTCCTGCTCCCGCTCCACCCCCGCCACAGCTTTTGATAGCAGAGTTCGCTTATAATCAAACTACAAGTTCAAGAGGAGAAAATCCCGATAGTACTGGCAGTCAATCCTCCACAGAAGATACGACCGAGAGGAGGATTGTGAAGATTAAGTCGCAACCATATCACTCCCAACAACTCGTTGTCGCACAACACCCGTCTTTAAAAGCGAAGGACCGATCGTCCGAAAAGAAAGCGATCTCATATAGCAAGGAGGACGCGGCGGATACGCCACCTACCACCTCTGCACGGGATTCGTCAAGTAGGGCGAAGCACCACTATCCCAAACCGAAAGCAAACGCAGATAAACACGCAGAGGAATCGAGTACACAACAGTCTGCTACATCTGCCATTACACGAGTGCCATCTAGTAAAGTTAAGGATCGTGTCATAGAGACGAAAGCAATCGCGGATCAACACGCAGAACTAACGTATTCGAAACAAACCAAAATTGCACGAAGATTATCCACTAAAGCAAAGGACCGCTCTTCCAATACAGAACCACAGCAGCCAGAGAAGTCCTTCTACAAAGAGGACCCACATCAGGTCGTTCCCAAACAGCCAGCTAAAACAGCCAAGGACTATTTTTCTAGCAGGAAGGAATACACAGAGAAAATAGCGAGCGTAAATCCACGACATCCTCGCGATAATCCGCAACAAAAAGCAGCCAGAGCTGAGAAGGAGTGCTCTCCCACTAAAAACAAAATCCCAGAGAAAGCATCGAGCAGGAAAGACGAAAATTATCATCCTCGACCTGCTAGGCCCAGACAGAGTCGCTCTTCCACGAATTACAAGCTATCCGAGGGAAATTCAAACGCAGAAAACACGCAGCAAAAACAGCCACGTAGCTATACAGACCCCATCGCTTGTTCAGATACAGCCACAACCACACCCAAAGCAACCCATTCTTTGCGATACCGACACTCCCGACCTCAACGCCAACGTCCCCCACCTCCACAAACCTACACTCACGCTCAACCAACCGCCGGTCCACCATCGTCCGACGATAGTCTATACACAGATAGCTACGCAGGATCATACACCGGTGCTCGATCAACTGGTAACTCCATGTACAGCACCAGGACTTCCTCACCCCCCACACCAGTATACCTCTCCTCACCCCCTACAGAAACACAAACACAACCTCAGCCGTCCACCTCACCAACCCCTTTATACTATTACTACTACACCACTCCCGATTCCAGCTCTACCGCCTCCTCCTCATCTTCCTCTGAAACCCCTCCGTTCCGTCTCCCTGTTCCTCTCGCCCCACGCCCTACCGCTCCTGCCCATGCAAACTCCCAAGCAGCGACGCCAGGCAGCTTAACTTTCTCCCCTCACTTCTCCCAGATCTACTATCAGAGATATATAGCGCTTGTCCCGCCGCACATGCGACCACCGCCGCCAGGTCCGGGTGCGGTGATTACGCTGGGACCGGCGTTGGCGGCGGCTTTCAGGGAAGGGTTTAGACGGGGGAGGGCAGTTCTGAGGACGATGATGGAAGAGGAGAGAAGGAGGAGGGAGGGGACGAATGGGTAGAGATGACAGGGGGGAAGTTTTGTAAGGACTTATCTGGTTTCACGGGAAGGCTAGGGCGGAAGGGAAGGAGGTGGATAGATCTATCGTTTTGGACAATATCTTGATCAACAAGTTTTTTTGATTTTCGTTTAGTTCTGATCTTACGGTGTTGCATATACCACACTAACGCCGCGCGATGGCAGGAAGCCTTGTAGGAACTCTGCTCTTTTATATGTAGAGGGCGACAAGCGTACCGTGATTCTTCAACCTCAACACTACAGATGTTTCAAATCCGTACATCTCCACTGGTTCGATGGGACGTCACGTGCGTCAAATGCGCAGTCAACATGTATCCTGACGTACTCGTAGATGAGTAGAAAGGTTGAGATGAATGATTGGATTGCTGCATGCGACAAGCGTACACTGCGCCCTTGATTCCATCTCCTTGTGCATATATGATCTTCCTTCCCATCGTTACATGATAAATGCAATGAACATGCAAAACAAATTGCCAACTTCCCCATGTGAAACTATTCCCCGTTCCCGTCGATTTGCAGGAGCGTCATCCCAAAAAGAAAATAATCTGTTTTACTGCACGGGTTTGTCCGTACAGTGATGCATGCCACCATACGATGCTTGCTTGTGGTGTAGGGTAAAACAAGAAAAAAAAAACGCCGGTGTAACATGAATTCATGGAGAAAGACAGGAAAGGAAACTAAAACAATCATTCAAGCAAATGATAGGAAAAGAAAAAAGACCTAGAAATAAACGCAGGAAGCGAGCAAGAAAGAAAGGGGAGAAAGAAGAAGGAGGGGGTATCATTCCCGAAAACAAGAGCAAAAACAAAGAAGCAAAACCAAGCATATAGACAAACCAGGAGTCCCGTTCAACACAGCCTAGGCTAGGACAGAGCAACGCGAAGCGCAAGAAAACCAAAACGCCATCTGGTGACACATACCAAGTCCTGTAGCCGTTGCCACCAAGACATTAAAGAGTGCCAAGTTCGAGCACAGAATCTAACGCAATATCCATGTCTTCCACGTCTTTGACGCTACCACCTTGCCACGCCAAGTCGTCATCCAGTACCATGGAGTCGCCAAGGTCAATCGTCCATGACTGTTGATTTGTCGTATTTGTTTTTGAACCAGCAACTGCGGCGCCGTTGATGCCGTTGGTGGCAGGAACGCCATTCGCGATGGCTTTGCTGGGCACAAAAGGCTCGTAGATGTCTTCGACGCCTGGGGTATCCAGAAAATGTGAATTGGATATAGAGCTGGATATCAAGGGAACTTGGCCGAGGTACCCGTCGCCTAAGAGGATCGCAAGGCGAAGGTCTTCTGTACACATGGCCGGCCTTTTTCGTCGTTCTTCGGCTTCGATGGGAAGTTCGCCACCCGCCACTCTCTGGAGTTCTCCTCTTTCTACGCGGCGCTCTTCGCGCTCAATCTTCTTTTTGAAGTCGGCGGTACGGATATAGTTTGAGCCGTTGGAGCTGATGAGCTGGAAGAAATTGGTGAGGGCTTCCTTGATGAATGTTTCAGTCGCAATATTCATATACTCGGCGCAATCCGCGGTATGGCCGTTGGCAAGGCCCGATTCGTAGCAAATAGGCAAGAGACGGTGGGAGATTGTGGTGGCGGTGGGGAACTCGTGTGTTTCTATGAACAGGGAGGATGTGTAGCGCTTGCGGATTTCGAGGTCCCAATCTAGCCAAGATGATTAGTACGAGTGAAAGAAGATTGCAATGCAGCCTGGGCCTACTGGTCTTTCCATATCCTCCAGCAGCGCTTGTAGGACCACTGTCTGGCATTTTGGCCCGACGAGCCTCGTGGTATTCCTGCATCACACCCCCGGTGCCGTCGCTCGCGACCCAGGGAGCATCTGGCCCCGCATTTGCACTCTGATGAAGTGTCTTTAGCCTCTTTCTTTCTCTTCGACTCAACTGCATGACTTCGTGCTTCATGCGCTTCTCACTCTCGTCACCAGTGCCCTTGGTGACATTACTACTCGGTTTGGCATTGCTGCTAACCCAGTTTGCGACTCCCGGCTCGGGAGTATCCCGCCACATGTTGGCATACATGCCCATCATAAAGGCATTGTGTGCATGCTCCAGAGCCGGGGTGCTGAGTATCCTATCCAAGCGTTGCGACAACTCATCCTGATTGAGATTGCCCAGCAAGAAGGAGGTCAACGAGGACTTGTATGTGGTGAATTCTGAATCGCTGATGGAAGACTTGATGGTGGTATAGAGGGGTTCGATGTCGATTCGAGGAGCACGGGGGAGGGCAGGTTTCTTGGAATCGGATTTGAGGAGGTCGATACCGGGGAGGGTTTTGGAGGAGAGAACGGGGGTGGTGGAGACGTTCATCTCATTGGGGCGCATTGTGCCAGCCATTACGGCGGCGGGGTCGACGACAAGCGATCGGGGAGGCGCTCAATGTGATTGATGTGGATAGAGATGGGCGGCGTCGCGTCGAGGGGAGCCCAGCGGCGGGCCGACTGCGCGTGACGGTGATGCAGGGCGGAGGTGCGGAACAAGCGATAGGTGGAAGCAGCGACAACAACGGCTGCAGAGAAGCGCCCAAGAGAGCTGGAAACTATTGGAGATGCGCGCTGGGATCGCGGAGGTCAGCCAGTGCCGAATCCGATGAGCAGACGATGCATCCAGATGGAGGCGCGTCGGAAATGGTGATGGACCTGCGCAGGGAGTGAGTGAGGTTGGGTTGATGTTGGATTAAGGTCCGACGTGGTGGGCGACTGCCTTGTCCGGCCAGCCCTGCACCTGCACCGTGCCCTGGGGTCTCCGCGTTCGAGTACACATTAGGTACTCACTACCACCATGTCACCTGCTTTTGATACTCATGTAGAGACGTTATCGGAGTGCACTTTTGTGATCCATCCATACTGGTATATGCCACAATGAATAATTCGTGCAACGTAATCATCATTTTTATGTGCGGTCTGCAGCTACTTTTTCCACCATAAACACCGTCACTATGCACATCCATCTATATCACACAACCGTTTTCCCCCCTAGTATTCCCTGACCATGACCAAGCTTTTCTCAATATTTTTACTGTTATGCTGAATATACCTCAAGAATCATCGCCAAAAACATCCGTCAGCTCCACCATCCCCACACTCCACAGTTCTCTCTCGTCTTCCATTTCGTCGCTGGACAAGCCCAACCCGCCAGCACCCCCTTCGGCTTCTCTGCGCTCTTTCGCTTGCGCTGCAAGTCGGAGTGCGACACGTTTGAAATAATCGCCCATGCTGCGCTGTTGACCCGTAGTGAGGCTCTTGCCTGGTCCAGACATGTACTTGTCAAACACTGCGCTGCCTTCATCCACGACGGAGAAGATGGCTAGGAAAGCAGCTTCGGCCGAGAGCTTGATCGGTATAATAGGATCACGAACAGAAGCAAATACAGGTGCCGTGAGCAGTGGGATGTGCGGCCGCACCAGCTCGTTGTGCTGTCTTGCTATCGTCCTTAGTACCACGAGCGAGAGGCGTCGGGTATCTGCCGCGTTTCCAGGCTCGATTGCTGGCGCCAAAGCCTCAAACAAGGGCTTGGTGTGATCGTATGTTTTGTTGCTGTTCTCTACCAAAAGGTACTTGCCTGCGGCTAGGACGGAATTGTCCGAGATGCTCGGCTGTGAGTGTGCGATACCTTGAGCGATGACGTGTACAGTTTCGTCCGGGAATGTCTCGATCAGCGTGTCAGGTGAGTCGACAAGAGTTGCGTTCAGTGCAAGTATTGACGCCTTGCTGAAGTGAGTGGTGAGAACCCGGGATTTAATCACACCGGCAGCAGTCTCTGCGGGGAGACAACTGATGAGCGCACCAAGCAATCGGGCATTCGTCATAGCCATGGTGTCTGCCATCTGTTAGCCTATCCGAACACTATATTTGTAGTCGTGAAGAATAATTGCTCACCATCAGATTCATCGGCATCCGTGTCAATGAGCCCTAAAATTGACGTTCTGCTAGCTTCATTCATGTTCTTGCCCACTTTGCTCACCACTTCGTATAGCGCCTTAAACATAGCAGCCTTGACAGCCTGGTCAGTTGTCTTTGAGCCAGCCACCAATTCTGCGATGAGGGGATCAACCCTGGGAGTGAGCTTGATCAAGGTACCAAGCGCTTTAGCAGCTCGTGCACGCAGTAGATCCGACGAAGTATCTGCTAGAGACTTTGCGAATGTTCGCTGGAGCTGTGGCAAGAAAGGCTTGAGGAATGTAGGAATCTTTTCCAGTAAATTATTAAGCGTGAGTAGGATAGCGGCCTTGACTTCAGGCGATCGTTCTGTAACCACACGGATGAGTGGTCCAGTGATTTGAGTAACGAAAGGCTGCAAAGCTTTGGCATCTGTGCGGTCGACAATGTCCGATATAGCGAGTGCAGCTTGAATTCGCTGCTCCATGGATCCGTTCATAAGACCTTGCACAAAGATAGGTAGGATGGCCATGATACCCTTGGGCAATGAGAAACCAGCCAGGTTAGAGCCTGCAACACCAACTTGCAGCAGGGTCTGCCTCGTCGAAGAAACAAGTGTCTCCATCTCTTCTTTGCGCAGTTGCTTGGTAAGCGCACTCAACGCGGTCCATGCAGCCTTGACCACTTCCTTGTCACTATCATCAAATGATACCAACAGGGCTGAGATGAGGTTGGGGTAGTATCGTGAGAAGTCATTTTCAGTCTCTTCAAAGAACTTGGCCAGGTGCATATCAGCTCTCGCGCGTCTCTTTTCGTCATCGTGCTTGGCCAATGCAAGCATGACGCTCATGGCTGTGTTGAGACCGTCAAATTCGTCAACGGAGAGAAGTACACTGTCAAAGGCGGTTTCAAGTTCTGATCTCAAATCTTCGTTCTTGCAGGTGATTATGTTGTCCATGATAGTGTTGAGAACGTTTGGTAGTCGTCTAGTCATGGCACCGCTGGCGACATCGGCCAAAGAGGCAATTGCTCTAGCATTGAACGCTGACATGGGCGATTTAAGCAGTGTTGGCAATAGATTAGGTAAGATGATATTGGATCTTGCGTTGTCAGTGAGAAGAGTAAGGAGGGCAGACAAGGCATTTTGAGCCTCATCTTCATCTCGCAGAAGGTGGAGAAGGTTAGGTAGCACTTGATCAATGGCCTTCTTGCCGAGCACTTCTTGCAGAGAATCAAATGCCTCAGCAGCCGCTTCACGAACTTCGCCGTTGGGATCCACCAGTGCGGACCGCACAACGGAAATCAAGGTTGCTTCATAATCTTCCAGCTGCTCAGGAGAGGCGGCACCAATGAGCTCCTTGAGAGCCATACAGATGCCTTGCTTAGCGTCCGTATCGGTCGACTGCAATCCTTCTTCCAGCGTAGGTAGTAAACTTGCGAGAACACCGTCTCCAGCCTTCCGTATAAGTTCACCCAAAGCGTTGCCAGCAATGATCTTCTGCTCCATGTTTGAGCTGGCAAGACGGCGAATAATGAGCTGGGTAAGAGTGGGAATGAGCTCGCGCAGAGTGCGAGGAGTTGCCACGAGCGCTTTCCAGACATTGATTGCTGCTGATCGGACAAGACCAGAGGTATCGCACCTGCAGATGTAAAGTGCCGAGAGCACTTTGTTGCGCTTTTCTTCTCCAAGGACTTCGAGTAGGGACTGGCCAGCTTCTTTCGCTCCTTCTTCAGCTTCGTCGTCATCAACCTTGCTACTGATACCAGTCAGGTTGAATAGCAAGTCTCCAACAAGCTCGACAGAGCTGAGTCGGATTCGGTGGCTGTCATCTGCTAGGCCTCGCTCCAATTCGGGTAGCAGAAGATCAATAGCTTTGGTAGCAAAATTCTTGACCAAAAGACGGCCAGCGCGAAGTGCAGTTTCGCGGATAGATTCAATGTCATCTGCGAGACCACCAAGAATGGGTGGAATGATCTTGCTGAGATAGTTTGCAAAGCTGTTCCCGAAACACGCAGGCAAGAAGATGAATAATGACATAAAACCTTCGCGTACGGATGACCTGCTGCTGGAAACATTCTGCAATATGCTTGGAAGTGTTTCCTCGAGACGCCCTGTTCCAAGACCGGCAAGAACTTCGGAAAGAGCCTGTGCGGAACCCAGTCTGTCTCCGGCACCAGTGTCGGATTTGAGAGTAGCCATGAGACTGGGGATAAGATCTGGCAACGCATCTTCTCCAAGTTTTTCCATAAGCGAACCCAACGCTTTGGAGGCTGTTGCACGAGTGGTCGGCACTGGGTCAACGATAGCTTCCCGTAAGCCGCTGACCAGCACCGGCAAATGTGAGATGAGGTCTTTCCGCTCCGTAAGATGAGCTAAACTACCGATAATTTGTGAAGCCTTGCGTTTCGTTGCAGACCTGTCACCCAAGCCTCGTTCCAAGATTCGTACTACAAGGGCAAGCGAGGGAGCATCGAGATAATGCGCGAATTGGACCTTGATCAGTTTGTCGAGTGCATCATCGGTATGTTTTGTCGGATCGCTAAGAGCTTTGAGGAGAATGTTGACAACGCTCTTGATCTCAGGGTTGCTGATGACTTCACCAAATCGCTGCAAGCTTCGGTTGGCGGACGCGCGGACTTCTTTGTGACTGTCAGTCAAAACAGTTGTGAGGGGTGGGATAATGTCAGGCAAGCTCAGTGAGAGCATATGGGGGTCAAGGTACGCCATAGCCCCCAGTGAGTCGCATGCTCCCTTTTTGCTTCGCCATTGGTGATCATCCAGGCCTTCCAAAAGAATTGGCAAGATCTGTTTCACGCCATAGGAGGAAAGTGTCGAGAAACAAGTCTTTGCAGCGTCTAGACAGGCTTCTCTGACATCAGCGCTGGAATCACCGAATCCAGCGAGGAGCTGAGGAACAAGTTCTATGACGTAAGGTTCGAAGATGCGCCCAAGGATCAGAGAAAATAGCTCGTATGCCAGGAACGCTCCCTGCCTTTGGTGAACTTCCTTCTTGTTCTCAGCGGCGCCTCGCAGTGTAGAAAGTATACGGTACTCCTTGAGTACTTTGACACCTTTACCGCGGACAATGCCCGCCAGTCCATATGCAGCACCACGCTGGGCGGGGTATTTCTTGGATTGTAACAACTGCTCCAGCATTTTCTCGACATAGGTCGAGAGCTCTTGCTCGGATGTCCTTACTAGAGGTGGGAGACATTGTGCTACTGCATATTGGACAGTCTCCGATGGTGTGCTCAAAGTGGCCAGCAGCCGCTGAACGACTTTTGGTACGCGCTCATCGCCTGCTTTGAGATGGAGGCCTAACGCACCATACAGAATAATGACAGCTTCGTTGACTTCGTCGTACATCTCGGATTTGCGGTCTGGTCCCTCCAGTGCGTTCTCAAAAAGTTCCATCAGAGGCTCCACTTTTGATTGCGCTTTGCTTCTGATGACAGATGCCGCTGCCTCCACCATTTCATTTCGCACGGTGGCACTACGGTCACCCAGAGGGCCATTGTATATCATAAACTCCAGGAAGTTGACCAAATCGTCTTCTTTGAAGCAGCTAGTCAGTTCCCTAAACGCGAGGGCAATACCATCTCGAGCCTCCCAGGGATCCCGAAGATCGACCTTACGCGGCATACCATACTCGTCTCGCTCGGGCACACGTGGTTTTGCCTTCTCTTTGTACGTTTCTTGCAAGGTAGCCAGAATGGAATGGAAGATATCCGGGTATTTGGAGACTGTATCCCCAATTGAACGGGCGGCAGCACGTCTAAGTTGCTTGTCGGGTGAGTCCAGATATGGCGCCATCTTGATTGCAACCCCCGCGTTCAGCTCCAGCGCATTGTCTTCCCAGATAGTTTTGGCCAACTCCACGTTTTCCTCTACATCATCGTGATAAGCCAGCCATACCTCATCACTGAATTCAAAGTCATCCAGGTCGAGTTCATTGTCAATTGCTTGTAGTACTGTAGTGCGTACTGCGACCTCAGGGACGATGGTTCCTTTCAAGAGAGCTCCCAGTTCTTCGTTAGTAATGGTAGGTGCGAGCCCGCGTGCGAGATCCATTATGCAGTCTTTCACTAGCTTGTAGTGCTGGTTGTAACTTTGCATCGAGAAGATCAAAATCTCAATCAAATGTTTACGTGGAAGACGGTTATCCGAGCAGAAGTTGGTGTGGAACAACAAAAATTCGAGAGCAAGAATCAACTGCTCATCAGCTTCCTCGGGCGCAGGCTTTGCGATCCCACCTTTTTCCAAGACAAGAAAAACGAGGGGGAAGCAGTAGGCAAGTGAAACAGGATCTAGAGGGCGCTGTTCACTCATGAATCGCAAGCGATACAGAACCCTGGTGACAAGATCTCCAAGATCTTCTTCATCAAAGCCAGCTGATATTTGAATGGAGCCAATTGTTCTCAGAGTAGCAATGCCGACGAAAGGTCGCAATGCCCCTAAGCGTGTTGAAATCCGCTCTGAGCATTTCACGAAAGCTGTCGCGGGTAGGTCGCCCAAAAGTAGACCTGCACCGGCTCGCACAATCTGGATTAATAGCTCCACTGCTGGGCCCATCCACCGTTCTGCCTCAGTTGGCGGGCCGGTAGCCAGACTATGAATGATGCCAACCCCACGCCGCATCTTGTGTTCAACAGAAGTAACAGCATGCCTGATGCTGGACTCTTTCGCCAGCTGAGCGTTGACTTTGGCTTGTTCGTCAGGTGTCAGCTTCTTTTTCTGGCCGGTTTTTTGGGCCAGTTGTGCTCGCAACTCTTCCTCCCATTTCAACGTATCATAGTCTTTGGTATTCTTGTCTATTACGACAGGAGCTTTTTTCGAGAGCACATCAACGTATGCGGTTCCTTCAGGCGTGCGGAAAATGGCAGCCTCAGTGGGGCCAATCGATTCAAGCTGTTCGGGATTTAGATCATCGCTAAACTGCTCAACAATTACTGGCAGGGCAACATCTGGTGCAACAAAGGCCAGATCTGTATACGCGCTGTATGCAGCTTGTGGGATGGCTGGGAACGTGTCGCCATCCTTGCTCTGGAAAGGTGTTAGCCTAGCTCCGTACAATTACAATGAAGAATACACACCACTGTCGCCTTATATATCAATTTCATACAGTCCTCAAGACGTGTTTGAACAAGCTGGCCTGGGTCAATTCCCATTCGCAGGGTAGTATCGATCCATGATGTTCGTGGTAGAAGTTCTGGCCGTGCTAGCACAAGCAAGTTTATCGACTGCTCTTGCTTTTCCTCGGTAGAAAGTTTGACGGCAAGCTTATTGGAAGTCTCTTCTGGGAGACATATGCATCCGAGTACTGAATAGAGCTCAGATGATCCAGTCTTGGCCGCGATAGCAGCACTCTCTTTGTCGCCTTGTGCATCGGCCTTGTACCATGACCACAGACCAGCAACAATAACGTTACTGACTTTAGTTGGTGCCCGAGCATAAACTTCCGTCAACGCAGATTTTGCGGCCGATCTCGCTTTCCCTGAGATACTGCTGGAAACTATAGAGTATATAAATGCGTGTGCCCAAGCTTCTTGCGCATCAGTCGAAACGCTGTCCTCTGAAAGCCAAGGTGCAACTGCTGACAACGCGCGTACTGCTATAGTGACATCTTCCTCAGTCGTTAGTTTGGAGTAGACGCGGGGGTTGAGTAAGAAAGAAGGTTTAGGCTTCAACATCAGAGATTGAGAGATGACATCAGACTTTTTGTAGGCAGCTGCCAATTTGGCGTCATCTGTCGTACGGATCTTGGAGAGTAGAGCTGTTACATAATGAGCCACGGTTACCAACCCATTTTGGGTTGCAGGGACAGGGTTTGCGATGACTTCTTGCCAAATCTCCAAAAGCTTTGGGAGTGTCTCTTGACAGAAAGTCAAAATGTCTGGTTGAGATAACTGAGTAAGAGTAAAACTCCACCAGAGGTCAGCTGTGCGTATAGCCCAGAGTCGTCGAATAGGGATACGCTTATCAGCCATGCCTTTGATGAATGCATCTGAAACAGGCTTCTCCAATACAACACCGTTGGCTATGCCAAAAGCAAGATGTTTAGACAAAGCAGAAACTTGTGCAATCACTGCAGCTTCATTGGGCTCCTTCAACGCGACAGCAGCAATGCTGGAGGGTATCTTTTGCGATAAGGAAACGGATCCAGGCAGAGCTGACAGCATCTGTGCATGCATGACCTTTTGGTCTACTCCGCTGACTTTACCTTGCTTTAGAGGATTCAAAATCTCATCGGTTACTTTTCCAACAGCAGCTTCATTGGTAGAACGCGATGCGATAGCCTGGAAGGTCCGCAGGGCACCGGCGCGGGTGGCAGGGTTTGTAGCCTTGATATTCGATAACAGAGGTTTCATGAGATTGTCTAGAAGAACTTCGGAGAGATCCATTGACTCAGGTAAAGCCAGAATCATGGGCGACACAATGTCATTCAGGACCACTTCGGGAGCTCGAAGCAGTGCTTTTTGAATTGGCGCGATGATCTCTGTGCGTAATTCTTCGAATGAAACAAATGCTTCAAAAAAGTCGTGAAGGGCATGAGAAATGTAGTCGGGTAATTGAGTGCGCGAGCCAACTATATCACGCACGTAGAAAGTGTAGTATGCTTGTTTGTGGCGTTCCAGAGTAGGCTTTACTGATGGTTTGCGGGAGCAGACACCAGCAATGACCCCAAGAAGCACGGCGTTTCCAGCTGTTGAGCCCTTGGCAGTAAGGGTATCCACCAGCTTGTTAAGCACTTGATCCGTCAAGTCTTTGCGTGTAACAAGGTGACGCAAAGCCCTTCGTGCCGAGACAATTGCAGAGTCCTGAATGCGCCTCCCGCGGCGATCATCTCCAGTGCTTAAGCATGTTTCCAGAGCTCTTGCCATCGCTAGGGCCACGTCTAGTCCGTGATTCTCCCATAGTGTTGTTGTAGGCGCTTTCGCGAATTCCAGCAGCAGCACAGAGCACCAGTCGTTCAAAACGAAGGCGTTTACGTGGGCCACGCCCTTCTTGGAGCACTCCCGCTTCAAGAAATTGACCACCGCAGGCAGAGCAATGGCGCCATTGGGACCGTGAACAAGAGATATGAGGACATGTTCCACAGCTCGTCTTGATTCGCGGTCAATGTAGAGTGGGTAGGTTTCGAAAAGAAGCTCGAGGACGGATTTAAGATCGGGGTTTGCGAGGGCTGCCAGTGTCAGTTGACAATTTTATACCACACCATTGAACAGTGAGTATCTTACTGTTCTCTTGCAGCTGGTGTTGTAAGCTCGAGAGCTCTGCAATTCTTCGCTTGGTGGAGCTCTGAATCAGCGCCTGCCGCAGATTTGTGCGGTCGATGGCAGCAGGCGCGCTGTTCACCTCGTCTGCGGCCATCATGTATCTCCAAGTGTGACGGTGTCCATAAGATGAAGCGCGGGGCTTGTATGGTGGGGGGTCGATTGAGGCGTCGCGAGATAGCTCGTTAATGGGATAATTCCTTGATGCAAAGGTGTCGCGGGAAAGTCGAGTCTCAGTGGGGGAAGGTTTAACCGACTTGTCCCCACCTATGACATGTCTGATCGGTACTATAGCGTCGACTACATACAAAAAAGTACACAGCCGCTCTATGGCTCATTATCACTCATAGATGTCGTCCCTGATACGCCTTTTGTCCTTCAACCGCTAAAAAAAGATAACCCTTGTTCGCTTTTTCATACCAATCTACCCTTTTTGGACCCATTCACTATCAAGTCCCGAGGCTCGAAACGATCCCAGTATCCTGCACGTGCCTTTTCACTCTTCGTCCTGCTATTTGCATTCATAGGCATCCGTACATATCGGCGTACGTGCACTCGTTGCAAGGCACCTGTGGACGTTCAAGCAGAACCCGTGTACAAAAATCATGGCTCCAAACAAGAAGAAGAAAAAGCCCGCCGGCAACCCTGCACGCGGCTTTGCAACCACTTCCATTGCGAGCAAACCCAAGCAGGAGAAAATAATTGCCAGCAAAGAAGAACAGATCCCTGTCAAGGACGGTCAAGTTGAAACAACTGCAATTTCTGAGCCCCAGTCTACTGCCGCGCCTGCTCCAGCAAAACCGGACCCTACTCCTGAGGAATTAGAGGCCCAACTTGAGCGGGATGAGCTTCAACTGCTGGTCGAGAAGATCGCACCAAAGGTTCGTCGAGAGGCTCAACGCCAGGCTCTCAAGTGCCATACCGACCGGAGACTGCTTCGATCCCAGGCCGAAAACATGACCGTACACGACTGGCTATCAAATGATGTAGTCGACACCATCATCTCACTCGCACAAACGGAATCCAACGATTCGAATAGACGACAAGGACAGCAATCGCTTCTCAAAGTGCTGTCCGAAGAAGATGCTTTAACCAAGTTGTGGCTACTAGATCTCATACTACGTGACTTGCGCTTTCTTCCAGAACACACTGAGCCTGTTCTCCGTTGGCTCTGCGCGAATGCAGCCAGCATTGACAAATCGACCGGCATTTGGGGCCTGCAAGAAGCTTTAGAGTGGCTAGCCTTGGATCACTGTGAAGATGCATCTTTCTCATACGAAGAGCCTAAACCACAACGGTCACGTGCAGACTCTTCGTCTAGCCCATCGCGCCCAGGTGAGTTGACCCAAAAAAGGCTTTGAGCCGTATATGCCACAAAAGCCTCCTATCGTCGAAAGCCTCCTATCGTCGAAAGCCCTGACAACCCACCCTAAAAATAACATTTGTTCTGATGGAACTGATTGTACAGGTACTCCTACCGCCGACAGTGCGACTCATGTAGAACCATCGGCCGGCAATCCTACATCTATGGCACAGGATCGATCAGACACAACTGTAGAAATCTCGTCAAAATCTGGTTCTGTTGAACATGTTTCTAGCGACATAGCTGTTAGTGACATTGATAGCGATCTAGAGCCTGATCAACTCATCCCTACTTATCTAAAAGTAAAAAGCAAACTCTTTGAACTCGATCCAGATGCTGCGGACCCCGTCGTCAGGAAGCAGGGGAAGAAGGGGAAAGGTCGGGGTGCGAAGGCCACTCAGGTACCACAATCACCAGCTGTCCGCAAACTCATATCCCAGATCCAGCAGCTTGAATCCGATGCTCTCTTCGATGCAGAAGAGGCTGAGGCTCAATGGCCCGAGAAGCGGAATGAGATTGCTCGAATGAAGGCTGTTCAGAGGTCAAATGCCGATTCTTCACCGGCAACATCCGACCAAAAATCCCAACCCGATGTCCAAGAACGAAAACCTGTGGTGACCCCACAACAGCTTAAGCCAACTAAGCAGAAGGTTGACTCGAGTACGGAAGATCCAGTCTCTGATGGTGATGATGGTGGACTTTTAGGCGATATGTTTTCCTCGATTCCTGACGATGTTGCACCCGTGGATGTTCCTGTTCAACAGGCAACATCTGAAAAGGTAACATTACGAGATTTCGGGAAACAGACTGGCATGACTCCGCGACGGGTTTTGGAAGAAGCCGTACGGTCAAGGTTAGTTGTTCCAACACTGTCATATCAATTCTCCTCATGACTTTGCTCCCAGGGATCCGGACGCTCGTATAGCGTACAAAATAGTGTCTCCAACCGTGTACTCTTGCCGGCATCTACTGACAATCAACTGGTCTCGAGCTCAAACTAGCGAAGTTGATACCGATATTGATGGAGTCGTTGCGACACATTCGGCGAAGCGTTCTTCCTTTGAAGCATCTTCCATCGCTGCCATTACTGTTGACCAAAGCGAAAGCTTCATTTCTACAGTTGCACTTTTCAGTATATGTGCTGCTTTGCCTAAAGAAGAAAAGGTATTCTTGCGACTGCCCTCTAATTGGCGAGATGTATATCGAGATTATTTGGAGCATCGCAAGACCAGGCTGGACGCTGTTGACCGTGATACGATCAAGTATATTCGGTCGATAATTCAGGATCAGTTGGACAACGAAGAGTCTGATGGAGTCGTTTTAACTAGCCGTTTCAAGGCTCGCAATCAGCAAGCAGCCACCTCTAACGGTTCCAGTTCGGGCTACAGTACTCCTCGGCAAGCACTTGATGGCTTGAAGGAATTGTGGATGCAAAAAGCATCGACTGCTTCGTACCAGCACATGCTTACAGGCCGTAGCTCGCTTCCAGTCTTCGGCTTCAGGCAATCAATTCTCGCGACAATCGATAAACATCAAGTAACAATAATATGCGGTGAGACGGGCTGCGGAAAAAGCACTCAAATACCTTCATTTCTCCTCGAGCATGAACTTTCTCAAGGAAAATCCTGCAAAATTTTCTGTACAGAACCTCGCCGTATCTCAGCCATATCACTTGCTCAACGTGTAAGTGAGGAATTGGGCGAGGGACCAAAGGATCTGGGCACGTTCCGCTCTTTGGTCGGTTATGCCATTCGTTTGGAATCGAAGACAGCGCCGTCGACTAGGCTTGTATTTGCAACAGTCGGAGTAGTATTACGCATGCTCGAGTCAACCCAAGACTTGAATGAGGTCACGCATTTGGTCATAGACGAAGTCCATGAAAGGAGGTAAGTGATTGCCTGTTTTCTGATCTTTGTGAGCCCCAGCTTACATGAGGTAGTATCGATACAGATTTCTTGCTTATCATTCTGCGCTCACTGATGCTCAAACGGCCGGAACTAAAGGTCGTTCTCATGAGTGCAACAGTAGATGCTCAGCGGTTTTCACGGTACTTGAACGACGCGCCGATATTGAACGTACCTGGACGAACGTTCCCAGTACAAACAAAGTTTCTTGAAGACGCCATTGAGTTGACACATTATACTTCCTCGTCGGCGGACCAGCCGAAAGAAACGAAAACTAGCGACGATGATGAAGAAGAGATGATTTCGAAAGAAAAGTCCGGAATACCCAACAAGCTCCCTGGCTATAGTACTGCCACGAAGAACGTTCTGTCAGAATACGACGAGTATGCTATAGATTACGAGCTTATTGTTCGTTTGATGGAAGTCGTTGCGTACGACGCCCAATTGAGTCGATACAGCAGCGCTATTCTGTGTTTCCTTCCTGGTATTGCTGAGATTCGACAATTGAATGACTTGCTCGTCACTCATCCCTCTTTCAATAAGCATTGGTTGATATATCCTCTGCACTCCACCATCTCGAGTGAGGAGCAGCAAGCTGCCTTCCTAGTTCCACCGCCTGGAATGAGAAAGATAGTTCTTGCAACTAATATTGCGGAGACTGGTGTTACTATTCCTGATATCACCTGTGTCATCGACACAGGCAAACACAAAGAAATGCGCTTTGATGAACGCAGGCAACTCTCTCGACTCACTCAGTCATTCATTTCCCGTGCCAATGCGAAGCAACGACGAGGCCGTGCGGGACGTGTGCAAGAGGGTCTCAGTTTTCACCTGTTCACCAAATACCGCCACGACAATCTTATGATGGAACAGCAAACTCCAGAGATGCTGCGACTGTCACTCCAAGATCTAGTCATGCGAACCAAAATTTGCAAGCTCGGTGATATCGAGAAAACTCTGTCGGAGGCTTTGGACCCTCCGTCGGCACGAAACATACGTCGAGCCATAGATGCTCTTATCGAAGTAGATGCCCTCACACCTGGAGAAGAACTGACCCCCCTTGGACGTCAAATCGCGATTCTCCCATTAGATGCACATCTGGGAAAGCTTGTCCTATTAGCTAGTATATTCGGCTGTGTAGATGTAGCTGTTACCATCGCCGCCATTCTCTCCTCGAAGTCACCTTTCCTCACGCCGTTCGGCGGAAAGTCGCGGGCTGATGCAGCACGATTAGCGTTCAAGAAAGGCGACTCCGACCTCGTCACCACCTACAACGCTTACAAGTCGTGGAAAACCGCATGCACAACTGCAGGCCGCTCCGAACTTTCTTTCTGCCACAAAAACTTCCTTAGCGCCCAAACTCTGGGAAACATCGAAGATCTCAAAGCACAGCTCCTCTCATCCCTTGCCGAAGCGGGCTTTGTTCAGCTCTCCCCGGACGAGCGCCGCGCTTTAAGCAGATACCGCAGCACGTCCTCGCGCCACCGCGTCTTCGTATCCGTCCCACCTGCCTACGACGCGAATTCGGACAACGAAATCCTCGTCAACTCGGTAATCGCCGCGGCATTCTACCCCAAGATCCTGACACGCGACGGAAAAGGCTGGCGCAACATCACCAACAACCAAACCGTCTCGCTATCTCCAACATCTGTCAACAAAGCCACCACCATCAACAACGCTTCTTCTGCCCGCTACCTCTCATACTACCACATCATGCAATCAACGTCTAAATTCTACAACGCGCATTCTACATCAGCGGCGTATCCTCTGCCCATGGTCCTCATGGTCGGTGCTGATATGGACTTCAAGCTTCATGCCGGCGTCGTCGGGTTCCCTAATAACGCGCTTCGCTTCGCCGTTAAGGACTGGCGTGCCGCGGTCGCGCTTAAGGCGCTTAGACGAAGAGTCAAGGAGATAATGGCGGCTACATGGCGGAACCCGGGACGTGGACTCAATGGGAGGGACAAGGAATGGGTGGAGATCTTCCAGCGTGTCTTCGTGGAGAGGTTTGAGAAGGAGGAGAAAATTAGAGAGAAGAGCGGGTTAAAGGGGAAATAAGTGCCGTGTTTTCCGCTATGATTTCTTGTGTTGCATTTGCACCAACATCAGCATCATGTTCGCAGGGTTTTTGTGCTTTGCGTGCGCGCTATACGGAAAATTGTGGCTTTTTACTACTTGCATTGCATTGCATTGCATTGCATTCTTGCATAGGTGAAATTGAGATGTTCCGACATTGCTGGAACACTTTCCGGTTCAGTGTAAGAGGGAGAAAAAAGAAAGCTTTGTTTTTCTGTGGGCGCCAATTTGCTGTTTCTAGGTTCTTTAGATGGAGGCTCTTGAATTTGGGTTCAAATAAGATGAATCAATGAATGAACTCTGCCGATATATTCTCGAGGTTCTGAAAGCTCTGAGACGTTGTATTTGCCCTTGAATAACTGGTTTATTTGATGGTAGATTGGTTTGGTGGGTTGTTGTTAATGACACAGGAGTAGGACAAGGTCGTTCATCATTCTGATGTCGATACGATGGGTGGATCTTAAGAAAAGCGCAAGTGGATTGAAAATGACGATTGTTCACCTTGGCGGTAGATATTGACGCAAGGTACTGTGATTCATTGTAACTGAATTATGGGCGTACAGGGTCGTATGAGTTCTCTAGTAAAACGTGTACAGATCAATCATGGTGGGGTAACCTGCAGTTACCGTCGATGTTTGCCTGATTTTGAACCGTTTTCCGTTCTCAAATTGTTCCCATAGACCCTTTTTCATTAGATAGATACATCATGTGTGAGATGAATACTAGTTTCAGACAGCTTGAACAGTCGATATAGTGCACAAAGTTAAGCCATTGGGCGTATTGACATTCCAAAAACAAGGCATTGGTTTCATTCGAGGCCTATGCTATTTATACAGAGGCTCTTGGATGGAAGTAAACTGCAATATCATCCAGGCGACATACATACGAACAAACATCCTCCGTTGTACTTTACGTCAACACTTTTTTTGTACTTTCTTGGGCCGACTCTTTTGTTCGTGAACAAGGAGATCTTTGCTAGCTGTCATGGCTAGCAAAGCAGCGAGACTCTTCTTCGCTGGGGAATAATGAAAAAGGAGACGTTACGAGATCGGATACCCCTATCCAGTCTGGAAGAAGGCAGATCAAAGAGAAACGATCAGCAGACTCGATTATGCTCAGGCAAGGACCTTGAGCACAACCATGCGTGCACTGACACCGGCACCTTTGCGGTAGTCACCAGAGTCGGCACTGACAAGCTCAGCCTTCTTGCTAGCGACCAACTTGTCGATCTCAGCGCGGTAGCCGACAGGCTCCCAGATATCATCCAGAACAGTAGCGATGATCCAGCCGTCCTTCCTCACAACACGCACGAACTCAGACAAGACCTCGGGGCCGACATGAGCGTGGGTCAAGGTTCCGATGCAGGTAACGACGTCGTACGAATCGGTCTCTTTCTCGAGGGGCTTGGAGAGGTCGGCGGTTTCGAGGACAGAGTATGCGTTCGTCTTGCGGGCGACGTCGAGCATGCCTTGCGAGAGGTCCACGCCGTCGATTTGCTTGGAGCCTAGGTTGGCGAGAGCGGCGCCTACAAGGCCCGTTCCGCACCCAGCGTCGAGGATCTTGAGTGCGGCTGGGTTTCCGGCATATTTGGCGACAGTGGCGGCGGAAAGCGCGGGTGCTACGTAGTTCTGGTCTGACTTGGAAAGGTCAGAGTCATATGAGGCGGCCCACTCGTCGTAGAGGGAGCGGAGGGCTGGGAGGCCATCAGCAGAGTAGGCACGGTTGAGCCATTCGATGTTGGTGGTGACGGGCTCTTTGTTGCTTTTGGTGGACTGCTGGGTGGTTGCTGGGGAGTTGTTGCTTTGGATCATTTTGGCTGATTTCTTTTGGGGGACTTGGCTTGGTGGAGTGTTTTGGTTGATGGAATGGGCTTTGTCGGGCTTTGGGCTCTGCCTTCGCTTTTGGGAGTCACGAGTGAAGGCTGGGGCTTTTGGTACTCTTCTTGTGTTTCGCAATGGGTAGGCTGGGTGGTTGAATTGTTCGTTCACTCACTCGTCACTTACTCACAATTCACTGACCAAGGTCTTGAGCAGTTGATAGGGAAACAAAGGGTATAATTGAAGGTTGATCTCCAAAGCTTGTTCAAACAATGAACGATGATGTTTTGAAAGTGGTTTCGACGAATTCAGTTTGTTGAAAATGAAGTCTGTTATGATTCACAAACTTGGGAGATACACGGGTACCTATATACCTTTTGGAGAGGCGATGGGGACAGTGCCACACCCTACCGGCCTTTCCAGCAATTGGCTTTGGCATCTTTCGTCCTTTGATCTCTCCAGAACTGCCGAGCACCTCCCAGTCCACTTCCCCGCTTCTCATAATTGGAGTTGTAGTACTGTGCATAGCGCGGCTTACTCCTTCCAGTCCTGAGAGAAGCAGAGTCGCGAGACGGACGGTCTTGGCGGGCCGCAGTATAGACCAAAGAGGTGTGGTGTGGTGTAGTGAGAGTGGGACGCTATGGATTAAAAGTTCGAACCGCCGCGGGCGCACATTAATTATTGCAATCATGAGCTTTTTTTTCTGTCCCTTGGGTGTTGGTGGTGCATGATGATTGCATCCACCCATCCTAACCCCCCACGTTCAACTTTTTGCTGCCGATCCCCCGCTTTCGTCATGTTTAGTGGGGAGCTCAGCACCTCTGGTGTTTATCCGATCCAATCCTTCTCGCTTCTCATCATGTGTGAGAGAATGGGCTACTGCAAGGGCAGTAGGGGTGCCATTGCGACATCTGCTTCGCCTCCGGTTGTTCGGCCCTGTGTATGGCATCGAGAGGGCAGTCAGCCAAAATACACGCTCAGTTACTACTGAAACACTGATAGATTTATGTTTGCATGTAAATTACGGGTCCATGTGCACGTGTAGGGATGAACATCATGTGAAATCAGAGAATTCAAAGACGTATGCATGTTTCTACAGATCCATCGCAGGGTCATCAAGGGGAAAATTGTGGTTTCCTAGCGCAGAGCAATCATACGATACTGGTACTGTAATCCAATACACGGCTTTCGTTGTGAGCTCTTTTATTTCGCCGCGATCGTCCGTATGACTTAGATCTAGAATGTTTACGTTCTTTATATCCGTTGACATTTGTTTGTCCTGGAGTTCAATTGAACGCGAATTAGGAGTGGTTGACAATACGATTGCTACCCAAATATTCATTCAAGTGTCTGGATTCTGTGAACCAGGTCAAACAAGTGAAATTGCCTATTTCGAGGCTCTATCTCCCATGTTCGACACATTAACCTACCGTTTGGCCACCGTTACATAAACATGTCCTCTCTGTATAGTTCTAGATTCTAATAATTACTACAGAGTGAGCCTGCTCTATCTACCGAGGTAGCCGTGAGTGACAAGCAACTGTGTTGTTTCAATGGTGGGGCTACGGTATGATTTAGCGCGGCATTTTCAGTCGTTGAGATGCCGTATATGCGGGAGGTGGGCTTGAATCGAGGTGTTGGTAAATAGGCAACGTAAAAACCACAACGTGTTTCTAGGATGGTTGTAGTCATTTGCGCTACATCGTCCGCCACCATGTACATACATGGGCTGTACTGCAGCGTGTATTCGAAAAACAGGTTTGACGGTTTAGCATGGTAAGCACCTCGGTTGTTGTAATGTTTTAGGGCTGAACGTGTTCGAGAGATTTCGATTGATAAACAGACGAGTCAATTATTTTCCGTTGTATCTATTTTGAGAGACAAGTGAGATGGTGAAGCAGTTTATTTCACAGGACGATAAACGCGCACTTTGTTAAGGTCAACGCGTATTACGCAAACAAAATACACCCCACCACAACACCAAGACAACATACGAGCCTGGCCACATATCTATTAAACGATTGCCGAGATAAGCACAAACGCAAGGCACAAAACAGTATGGAGGCATGACCTGGAGTTTGGGGGTTATGAACCAGAACCTTGCCTGCAGGAACTTGCCCCCACTACAATGCACAGCCGCTGCTCGTAAGCAGGGCCTTCTCGATCAAGCTTTTCACCCGAGCTCAACAGATTCGCTTCAGGTTTGTTCTACGTCATGTCAGATGATAGTACCAAACTCAGCACTGAACAATAGGCAGGAACATAGTCGGATCCATTCGAACGGGACGGGTGTCTAGCATCGCTTTTGCCCGCAAGGCACCAGTCAATATATCGCTGCATGGCCTGTCATCTCCTTATTGGATATTAGCGTGATGCAGAAGATGGAAGAGGCGTACCTAGGGCTGTATACAGACCCTTTGAAAGCGGAAGTGATTCTCCGCTCACGGGTCGATTACTGTGGTGTAGGCCAGAGATCACTCCTGGAACGAGAACCCGCCGCTGCGGTATTGGATGAGAGCGAATTTTCGACTACATCCCCCAGATGAAGTTAGAAGATGCATGTATGAATGTAACAATGCATGTGGGCAAAGGCGAATGCCTTTAATGCCTCTACGCATCACCACTGCGTACATATGTATCACGATCCCTAGGCCAACGAAATCGTTTCTCACGTTGCAGCTTGCAGCTTGGCCACAGAAGCTCCACATAACAAGGCTACAAATCAAATTGTACGCATGATCATGCGAGGGATTTGAATGGTGGCCTAAATGGGTGAGGGGTGCGTGGTGTCCATTGGTGATGGTAGGTTGCCGGCGAATGATGAGGCTCATGCGATGAGTGACGTGAATTGTGGAGCCTATGTCTTGAACCGAAGCTGCCCTACTGCCATGTGATTGTAACTCGGCAGCTGTGTGGCCGTGTGCGATGGCAGTCTGCGTAATTATAGGGTCGGTTATATAGGCCATGTGCGCGTTATGAATAGCTGAACTAGCTCAAATGGCAAGGCATCAAGAGGCGCCTTTCATTGCAGTTCTTACTACAATGTATTGTTCATACGTCTTCAACAAGAACGTTGATCAACATACTTAATAGTACTCTGATAGCTTATAAAGATGATTTACTAAATCCAAAAATCCAAAAACTCGGAGAGTGAGATTTGAACACGTCAGTAGTCTTTGTGTTGATATTAATACGTGCCAAAAAGTACCTACCTAGGTAAGTAATGGACACGCAGTTTTCTGTTATTCCCCAAAACCTGATTTCTTTCACTATGCATTGTCACGTGTGTCTGAGACACCTGATTTCAAACTCGAGGCGTAGAATGACTATCATCGAGCATATCCTGATTACCTAATACCCCATTTTGACTTCCAATGTTCAAGAAATCACGTTCCTGTCACGTGAACAGATCAAGCTTCCAAGGTTCTAAGGTTGTATAGAGCAAGTTCTTTCAACATTCCAAGTTCGATAAATTGATCGCCTAAACCCCAACTTACAAATCATTCATCAAAGCATTTTATCGACTTCCAACCTTCTCGTGACGGGGACACGTCGCAATCTCAAGTGCCGTATGTGATCACGGACAGTTTTACACTCAGCAACGTGTGAAGACGGTGTCACTTATAACCCATCATCAACAACTCAGCAAATAGTGAGTAGATAAGTCTACTTCAAAGAAAATGCGATATGTGCGTTACAATGGAATATTCTTCTCTCATATCCACACGTTGCGCAATGCCATATGTTGTTGAGCCCAGAATGTCGTGGACATCACAAATGATGATAAAAACTGCGCAGAAATTTGTACTCTACCATAGGTTTCAATGTTCCTCAATCATTCGTAGGTGACTTCTGAGAGCTTCAGTGACTGCAATAGTCAGGAATAAAGCTATTCGTACGAAACATCATCGACATCACACATAATTTGTATTCACTTACACTGTTCTTTATAAAGATGGAAACTCAGTCCAACTACTAACCACTCCGCTCCACCGATCGACACTTCAAACCACCAGGAAGTCTCATATAATCCCCAACTACCAGCTGAGACATAATGTACAACAACCGCAGGAGAAGGAGCTCCCGACGAGAGAATCGCGATGAAAATCGCAATGCTCGCAATGAAACCCGGGATCACCGAGACCAAAACCGTGATGCTGGCAACGATAGTAGACAACAGCCCGCTCGGGACCTCCCACGACTGACATTAGGCAACTCTTACCAGAAGCCTCGCCCTTCCGAAGATGATCTGTCCAGTCCAGAATTAAGTCCCCGCCGTCGCTACTCAAATTACAGCCCTCCATCACCCGGCCCATCACGCAACCCAAGGGCAATTGGTCGCTCTAACCAAAACTCCTCGCGTTATCCCGGCGGTCCTAGCCGTAATCGAGGTACAAATATCCAGGCTAGCCATCCGCCTATTGGCACTACGGTGACGTTCACACCGGCTATGATGTCTCGGCTGCCGCAGGCTATGGCAAATTGTCCAGCGGGCTTCATGTGGGTCAAGATCCATGGCGGGTATCGCTGCCAAGGGGGTTCACATTGGCTCTCGGATCGAGAGATGGAGCAGTATCAGCAGGACCCGATGTTTTGGGGAGGTCGCCCTCCAGTTGGGTTCCGACAGCAGTGGTGGTAGGGAGTGAGGAATGAGGTATCGAAGGAGATTTTTTTGGGTCAGTTGGTGGCATTTTGCCGTGATGTGGTGTCTGATGCCTTATAGTCCATTATGAGAAAGGTCTATCACGTGACAAATGCTGACGCTCGTGGATACCTTGCTCATGTGGAACTGTCATCTTTATGGAATTCGAGGAAGACATATCAAACAGTAACGTCATCTCCAAAATTAATGATATGGCAATATGATAATCTGTGGAAAGAGTTGGCGGTAGTGAGAACATCCAGTTCTTTGAAATTAACATTTGAAACCCTATCTCTGCTCTCACAACCAGTCTGTGTGAGGGCTGATGCTTTTTCGGGATTTTTCTGTTATCGCTTGTCTGTTTGGAGCTTATATTTGCAAATATCGTGTGTCAGGATCATCCAAAAATCCAATACGGAGATTATCATTGTAAATAAGACAAAATAGAATAGCAGACCGTACATACGCTAGCATCCTTACATTCCGAGCTTTCTCAAATCAGGGCTCACGCTTTCTTTGCTCTTCAAGCTTAACAGTGACGCTTTCTGTGCGAATTCAACCGCGTCCCTTACTTTCTTCCCTTTGACCAACCCGGTGGCCAGCGCGCCGACGAACGTATCACCTATGCCGTTCACACTGACAACTTCTTCATCCTTAAGTACTCTTTCAGGTGCATACAGCCTGACATAGAGACCTCCCACGTTCGCATCTCCAGTCGTATTTCGCGCAAGCACGTACTGAGCCTGCTCGGGAGAAGAAAGAATAGGGTCGTTTGGTTCGATGATTTGCGTAAGTAGAACACCTTGAGGACCCAACTTCGTGAGAATCGTTGAAAAGAAAGGTAGAAGCTTGATAGCCTGTTGAGGAATGCCCGAGTCTACTATGGCAGGAGTGGTAGTAACGCTGAGTGGAACGCGCAACCCTGATGATGGGATACCCAGTGCGTCAATTGTGGCAAACCAAGCTGGATTGTCAAAAAGACTCATGGAATAGGCATGATCATGCAGTGCTTTCAGTTCGAAATCGTTTGGTGTTATTATGTCCACAATTGGGGTGTGATCGGGCTTGGGAGGTAGGATGCGGAGGGCTTTGGCGGTGGAGACCGGTTCGAAAATGGTAGTAGTAGACGAAGAACTTTTACCGAGAGCAAGGTATTTGTGGAGAGTGATACTATCCCAATTGGCATCGAGAATGAGAAGCTTTGGAGAAGCAGATGACGCCTCACGAAGCATGGCGTCAACTGTTGTGGTGGGAATGGATTCGAGAATCTTCATGTCTGCCATTGCAAGGGTAAGATCTTTCCGAGAATTGTTGATGGCTACATACTGTGCCGTTCGAGCTGGCTGTGGAAGAACCTTGATACTGTCAATTGACATGCCATCTTCACTGAGTTGACCAAGGGCTGCGCGTCCACTCAGATCGTCACCAACGGCACTGTGGAGTTGCACAGAAGCACCAAGAAGATGAGCGGCTTTTGCTATATTATGGGCGACACCTCCAAGAGTCTGATTGATAATAGCTGGGTTCGATGTATGGAGTGCCGGATCGATTGCAGACGAAGTGTTAGTGAAAGGCGCAAAGTCACAGGAGAAATCTACCGCTAGAGCCCCTGCTACAACGATTTCGGACTTCGAAACGACTGTAGGATTCCTCTTCGTAGGGATTGCATTGTTCAAGGGCTGTTCGGGCGATGAAGCAGGGCTAGAGAACACTGGATTGAAACTTGATGAGGTGCGTCTAATACTTACAATCAGCGACAGAATTTACAAGTGGACATAAAATGGCCTCCCTCACCCTTGCGCCTCTTCCTGGCTCTTTTCTAGAATCGCTAGCTCTCTTGCCATTATAGTGGCTCTTCGCACGTTCGATTCAATCAATGCCCCGTTTGCGGGTACCGATTTTCCTTCTGTGAGCTCTTTGACTTTGTTCAGGACAAACGGTGTGTTGTCCTTTCCAGTTGCACCAGAAGCTTCGGCTTGACGTAGGGCTTCAGTAATGACTGATTCCATGGTCTCGTTTGGAATAGCAGCTTCCACAGGAATAGGATTTGCGAAGTGCAATCCAGATTGAATATTCAATGTGTGCTGTGCATCTGCTCTGGAGGTCAGCCACACAGCTAAAACATGGCACTTTTGGTGTGAGTGGATGACTTACGAATGATAGCTGCAGCTTCAATTTCATTCTGGATAGTCATAGGACTCTTCAGGCCGCTGTCCCGCGACCAGAAAGCTGGGAAGTCGACCTTGCCCTCTCGCCCATCAGCAAATGTTCCAACGAACACACCTTCAGTCTCAAGGTATTCGAGTGTACGAGGGATGTCAAGGAAGCTCTTGCAGCCACTGGAGACCACAGCGACTGGTGTTCGGCCCAGCTCTGTTAAGTCTGCAGAGATGTCCATGCTGGACTCCGCACCCCTGTGAACTCCACCAAGGCCACCCGTTGCAAACACTTTTATACCAGCCAAGTGTGATAGAAGCATGGTACCGGCAACGGTTGTTCCTCCATTGAAATTTTTGCCCGCCAATCGCAAGCCACATACATAGCTGAGATCTCTTCGAGAAAGTTTCAAGGTCGTGGATTGTCCAGCAGAAGAGGCCAGCCTTATTAACTCTTCTGGTTCCAAGCCGACATGGACAACTCCATCCAGAACTCCAACGGTAGCGGGTACACCACCATTTACACGCACTGTGCTTTCAAGAAGAGATGCCAAGGCTACATTGTCCGGATAGGGATATCCTGTTGAAAATGATCAGCTTTTGCATGATACTCGCCCAACTATCATGATAGATGATTACCATGGGTATATATCGTCGTCTCAAGGGCAACGACAGGCTTCTTTGAGTTGAGTGCCTCCCGCACCTCCTCCGAAACTCGGAAGAAGCCATTGTTGGTGAGAAAGCGCTTTCCCAGCACAGCAGAAGCTACGCGAGGTGCACAAGAGCCTCGTATTAAACTCGGCCTGCAAATTGACTGATTCAAAAACCTCATTTCGAATTTATGGCGAATATTTGAACGAAACCTGCGCTGTTCTGAAGCTGATACACGAACGCGGGACGATGATTCAGCCGAGGTAGCTCCAGATAGCAAGCTCGACAGCGGACCTCTTGGCAGGGGAACGCGGAGCGGAGCGGAGGAGCCTGGGATCACCGCCCGGCAGAATCAAGTGGACACGACGCATCAGCTCCAACATTCGCAAGCATTCACGACAAGCCCGCCATTACCTTTTCTCATAACCAGCCATCCTCATCTATGCCGGGGCAACTTGACTGCTGCTCAAGATGAGGTCAATTGCCTTTATTTCCAGCTGCTTAGCAGCTCTGTCGAGCTTCGCCTCCGCCGACCCGAATGCCTCGCAGCCGTTACTTTCACGATCCGTGCTTCCTAGCACCTTCAAACCGCCTCAGGTCTTCAAGAATGCGAACCTGGTCCGGAGCATAAATTTGGACAAAGCGTATCCCCGAGAGACCATTAACGTTATCGTTGAGAACGTCGATTCTAAACCGCAATCGGAATACTATCTTCCTTTCGAGGCGAGCTTGCTGGCCAGAATTGGTGGATTAGAGGTACGGGACAAGAAGGATGCTGAGAAGGGCACTTTTGCGGTGGAGGTAGTGGGACTGGATACCGAGAGGTAATATTCTCACCCCCCTATGGAACAGAAATGTATATGCTGACACTACATACAAGCTCTACCGAGTTCTTCCTAATCCACCTTCCGAAGCCTCTTGGTCCTAAGGAGCAGCAGACTTTGAGCATCTCTTACTCTGTCCTTTCCGCTCTCGCGCCTATGCCTGCCAAGATTGGTCAGTCCGAGAAGCAATACGTACAATATACCTTCAGCGCCTACAGCCCATCGGCATATGTCACCGAGAAGCAGAAGACGAAGCTCAAGTTCCCTAGCGGCGATGTGCCCGACTACACCAGTCTGCCTGCTGAATTGAATGCCGAAAAGAAAGCCGACCCTCAGAAGCAGGGCTCTACGTTCACCTACGGGCCGTACAACAATGTGCCTGCAGGCGCAGAGGAATTTGCCAGTGTGCGGTATGAATTCACGAAGCCGCTCACCCACGCCACACTTCTCGAGCGCGATATCGAGGTTTCGCATTGGGGCGGCAATTTGGCTTTGGAAGAGCGATACTGGCTTGTGAACCAGGGCGCTCAATTGAAGAACCACTTCTCTCGCGTTGAGTGGCAGAAGACACAATATTTGAACCCGCCCTCTTCTGCGCTCAGGGAGCTAAAGCTTCCCCTGCAACCTGGATCTGTGGATCCCTACTTCACGGACGATATTGGCAACGTATCTACTTCGCGCTTCCGACCTGGTAACAAGGAGGCTCTTCTTGAGTTGAAACCCCGTTACCCTGTTTTTGGAGGCTGGAAGTACAGCTTCCGCGTTGGGTGGAACGCCGAATTGAGCTCCTACTTGCGTAAGCTGTCGACTGGCGAGTCCTACGTCCTGAAAGTTCCGTTCCTTGAAGGTCCTCGCATTGGTGAAGGCATCGGCTACGCTCGCGTCAACCTTCGAGTTATTCTTCCCGAAGGAGCCACCAATGTGAAGTATTCGACCTCCATCGCTCTCATTGATAGCAAGACAAGCGTCCACAAAACATTCATGGATACCCTGGGCAGACCCACAGTGGAACTTTCTGCTATCAATGTTGTCGATGACTTCCGCGGGCGGGACTTGTTCGTGACATATGATTACCCCTGGACGGCTGGCCTCAGGAAACCGATTGTACTCACTCTAGGGCTGTTCGCGGTGTTCGGAGTGACATGGGTGCTTGGAAACATCGACACTAGCATTGGCAAGAAGAAGACTGTGTAAATTGCTTCATGCTCTGGAGCTAGTAAGATCATGGTTTGTAAAGCGGCGTTGTGGAGAATTAAGAACTGCTTGAGCGCGATTTAGCCCGGAGGAGCGTATCATAGTGCAAAGTCATATAGGAGGATGAAAGACTGGAAGGTTTCTGGGCGAGAAAAAGTTACCGTTTCCTTGATGTAGAACAAAACAACACAGTTCACTATCAACAACGGATGTTCAGAAAATATTGTAGCCTACAACCAATTTTTGTACATGACTAAGATTGAGTAGTCCAACCAATGTGCCCGAAGTAAAGTCACTAATCCCAAGAAGTTCCGATATTGAAATGAATGTGATGCAGAAGTTGATATTGGCTTCCGGTCAAACAGCGCATGACCGGCGGCGGTGTTTAGCCTGGTGGAACGCACCGCGGGGGTCCTCCCACCACACTATGACTCTGCCCCGCTTAGACTCATAACAACGACTTTTTTCCAGCACGAGCTACAAATCACTCCCGAACTCCAGCACACCTTCTCTGGCCTCGGGATTATAGGTTGCCACCCTTATCAACTTTGCAATTCCGCAATTGTGCTCGCACATAACCAATACCCCGCCGTGCAATCCAGACTACCCCCACCATGGCGGACTCGACGTCGGGCAATTCAGCGGCCGCGGTTCAGGATGAGATTGCAGTTCTAGAAAAGAACATTGCGGAACTTCAGGCGCAATTGAGAGATGCAAAGGACAGATTACAGAAGAAGCAGTCAGAGGGCGCGAGCAGCACAGACGACAAACCGTTGTCGCGTGAAGAGCAGATGAGTCTGATCAAGGTGAACTTGAAAGAGGTGTTGAACCCGGAAATCATGGAGTCGGTCTTGGACAAGGGAAACAGCCTAAAGATCTACTGGGGAACCGCGACGACGGGAAGGCCGCATTGTGGATACGTACGTATATTATACATTGCATCGAGCAACCTCGAGTAGACTGGCACATTGGGCACTAAAGCGCTAACTAACGTCGTTCAGTTCGTTCCGATTCTCAAGATCGCCCAATTCCTTCGCGCAGGATGCCATGTCAAGATCCTCCTTGCCGACATCCACGGCTTCCTCGACAACCTGAAGGCCCCAATCGAACTTGTCAAGTACCGTGCCCAGTACTACCGCTTCGTCATTACCTCACTACTCAAAGCTTGCAATGTGCCCATCAACAAACTCGAATTCGTTCTTGGCTCTAAGTTCGAGCTGACACCGGAATACATGATGGACGTCCTCAGACTAGCCAGCATCACCAGCGAGCACGACGCAAAGAAGGCGGGCGCAGAAGTCGTCAAGCAAACCGAGAACGCGCCCTTGAGCGGCCTCCTCTACCCGCTAATGCAAGCCCTCGACGAGCAGTACCTCGACGTCGACGTCCAATTTGGCGGCGTCGACCAACGCAAGATCTTCGCCCTCGCAAAGGACGTCCTCCCCAAAATCGGATACAAAGAACGCGCTCACCTAATGAACCCCATGGTCCCAGGCCTCCAGGGTGGCAAAATGAGCGCCAGCGACCCAGACTCCAAAATCGACGTCCTAGACACCCCGGACGTCATCAAGAAGAAACTCAAAAAAGCCTTCGCCCCGCCAAAACAAGTCGAGGACAACGGCGTCCTGAGTTTCGTCGAATACGTGCTTCTCCCCGCCGGCGAACTCCGCTTCGGGACCCCGAAATTCGTCGTCGAGAGGCGCGAGGGGGAACCGCTCGTGTACACTGATATCAAGCAGATGCACGACGACTACAAGAACGACGTTGTAAGTTCCCCTCCTTTCCCCTCCATTCCCACTTCTCGCTCCTTCACATCCTTATCAAACAACCCCTCTCCCCTCTTCATCCCCTCCCCTTCCCAAACTAAAAAAAAACTAAAAAAGAACTCGGCTATATACTAACACCCACACAGCTCTCCCCACAAATCCTCAAACCCGCCGTTACAGACGCCCTCATCGCCCTCCTCGCCCCTGTCCAATCCGAGTTCCAACAAAACGAAACCTGGAAAGACATCCAACTCAAAGCATACCCCCCACCGCCCGCCCCACCCAAAAAAGAAAAGAAGAAGAAGGACAAAGGGACCGGATACCCCGGCGGAGGAGCTGCTGCTTCCGCTGCGAAGAAGAATAATGTAGAGGTCAAGGCTGATGGACATGTTGAAGGCGAGGGGAAGAGGGAGGTGGATGTCGGTGTTGAAGGTGGGGCTGAGGCGTTGGGGAAGTTGAGCGTTGGGTGAGGATGTAGATTGATGTGTGTGTGTTAGGGATGAATTGGAATATTTTTTTTTTTCGTGTTTGGCTTTTTTTTAAGAGAGAGGAGGGGAGTTGGGGGTTGTTTGATGAGATGCTTTTGGTGTCCTGCAAGGGAGTGGCTAGCTGTATAGCATGCATGCATGGGTATCTATCGTCCTACTACTTCCCCACTGAACTTTTGCAACCAAAAAAAGAAAAAAAAACATCTACCTTTCTAATACAAGATACGTGGATAGAGTGTGCAAGCCCCCTCATCAGCAAGCCTCGCATCCATCCATGCAATGAACAACATGTTCAAATCAACGGCATGTGTATGTGGAGAGCATACCGCACAATCACAAGAACTCTCCATAGAAAACTGGACGATGACGAGAAAGAAAACCGAGAAAGGATAAATCTGTTGTTCATTGATGTCATTTGCTTTGTGTGATTCCAAAAAAAGGTTCATGTCTATGCACATTCAATGTCTTGATGATGCTCATTTCGAGGAAAGAAAAGAGAAAAAGCAATAGATACGTAAAAAGGGGGGGTTCGCTAGCATAGTGATATTGGTATGATGAATTCCAGCATGTGCAGGCATGGAAGACCAAAAAAACAACGGATAGCAAGAACAGCGTAAACGAGCATTATCATCAAAGAATCATTCAAATCGTATCCTCGTTTCGATCGTGAGAGCCCAAAATAAAAGCAAGAACGCAAAAACGATGATACTCGTCCCCAGTATTCAACCTTGACTTCTAAGAAGAGGAGGCGGAGGGAGAGGAAGACAGATCAAGAAGACTCATACTCGACGTCCATAGTCTCCTCAGCCCCCACACTATCCGTCTCCTCGACCTCCCAAAACGGCAACTCGTCCAACGTGAAAGCGTCATCAGACGGAATCGACGGCGGGCCTTTGGAATGCAAGATGTAGCCTTCAACAGGCTCCTCGACCTCGGCGATGTTATTCGAGTTCGCAAAGCCCCGATCTTCAAAAACCAGCGACTGTCTCCGATCAGTGGGTCCACGGACTCTTCGCCTCAGTCGACGAGCAGTCGAGTCGACGTCATCGAGGGGATCGTTATCGGAGTAGCTAGAGTCGCCTTCGATGGACTGGGAGTGCGAGCGTTTGAAGATTCCAGCGCTCCAGCGCTTTTTCTTGCGGCGGTAGATGCGCTCACGCTCTTCTTCGTCTGAGGAGTCTTCCAGGACTTGCATTTCTTTGAATTTGGAGAGAATGCTTTCGCTGCGGTCGGATTTGGCGTCTGAGAAGTGGTCCGGGTGCACAACTTCGACGTCACTGGCGTAGCCGGCGTCGCTGCTGTTTAGCTCTTCTAGGATGAAGGAGACATCGGCTTCGTCGATGCGGCGGGACGAGTTTGATTGTTGTTGGTGGCTATCGTGAAGTCGGTGGTTGTGGGTGGCGTGCGGATGGTTGCTGTCTTCCTCGGAGCTAGAGGAGGAGGCATCGTCCTCGGAGTCTCGGGGCGTGGTTGCGCAGGCGGTGGACGGGCGTGAGGATGCTCCTCTGGATTGCAGGCGGGTGAAGTTGAATCCTGGACCATTCCCAATGGGCACGATGAATTCCAACGGGGGCGACTGTGCCAATTGTGCGATTGACAATTTCCTATATATCGGAGAGGTCTGACTTGTCTGCGGAGGATATCGGGACTGGGTGTGTAGACGTGTGCCGGGGGTCATGGGTGGTGAGGTTGGGTGGCCATCCGGGAAGGCGTAGGCTGGAAGACGTTCGGTCGTCGTCTCCATGGCGAAGGACAAGTGTGGCGGGTTGTGGTGGAAGTCCCCCGGAAATAAAAGGCACAGCGAAGCTGGCGGGTATTTGGTATATATGTACGGAGCCGGGCGCTGACGAGGGATTGGGTGGTGCGCCCAAGATGGAGTGGAATCAAGGAATCAATGTCCGACGAAGAGGTCTGATGTGCGATGATAAATGAGGCGAGAGTTTTGCGGACAATATCATTTTCTACAGGTAATCTGGACTTGAGGGGGGAGTTTGATTGCGGGTGCTGAAGGGCCACTGGGAGGGTGGGTAGTTTTGACAGGACAGACCCTGCAACGCTTGGCTTATCGTGCGTACAGTGGGAGTCGAAGCAGACGGGCACAGGCAGCAATGCAGGAATTGCAGGTCGGGGGGGACCAGATTAGCCACAGAATGCGTTGAATACGGTCGCAGTGCGTCGAGGGGGGGGTGGCCAGATGGAGGGGTTGAAGATCAACTCGACGAGAGGAGAAGGGGAGAAGAAAGGGCAGAAGAGGCGGGCCTGCAGAGTTCCCTAGGGACTGGAGCTGGGGAAGAGCGGGAAGACAGCCAGATAGATATTCAGCTGCGATGAGGCAGTACGAGGCAATGGCGAGCTGCTGGGTGAGTTGGCGGGCACAGAGAGAGCGGGTCAATTTGCAGATTTTTGTTCCCTGGTCAGACTGGATGCCGTGGTGGCCAGCGATTAGCGGCCGCTGTCTGCCAGCGTGCAATGCAGATTGTCCAAGTCTCACCTTGCGTCGGCGCACAACGGTGCTGTCCAATGGCCGTCCGGCACAATATTGCGGCGCGCAGGGCTGCTGGGGGGGATGAGGAATCGCTGGCACGCCTTGGGTAGCCGTGGGTTTTGTGGGCAGCAGGCAAACGGCTGCTACTGGCTGATGTCGCTATATGCGTGTGTGAGTCGGAGTGTACGAGTGTCGTCAGAGCAGTACCTACACCGACCGCCCACGCAGAGTGTCTATGTGCGTGGTTGGGGTTGGGGTAGGCGATGGGAAAGTGTGGAGTCGGACTCTTGTGCGGCTCTGTTGGGGGACGAGAATAGATCAGAACCACGGTGGTGTCGTCGTCTGCCCTGCCTGCCTGCCTGACTACCACCAGACGAGATGGAGATGGTACATATTATATCCAAACTACCTATGAGATGGCGTTTCGAGATTTATACCCAAACATCTCGCGGCTTCCCACCACATTCGGGAATCGAGGCATTGGCACCCGACATTGGCCCCATCTGCGCAAAAACAAACACCTGTACGTTTGTACACATGAATGACGGCCCATAGAATCCCCCAGCGGCGACAATGGGCGTCATCAATCTGCAGGCGGGCAGGTTGCGTCTCTGCACGGGAGCGGGCGCGCGCACGTGATGATGGCGGGGGAGGAAGGGTGAACCCTCGCGCGCTAGCATGCATTGGGTAGGCGTCTTGGCCAGGCCTGATCTCCGTCGATGCCACATTGAACATTACATTTGGCCGTAGCAGCAGCTCAAGAGGCAGCAACATCACCATTCGCATCCCTCCCCCACCCCGCCCTCGAACCCCCCAATTCTTGCACTCCTCCCGAGTCGTCTTGATTGACGCTACCGATTGACCATTTCCGCGCGCCAACGGGGGCTGCGGCTTCTCCCTTCTTCACCATGTCGTCGACATCCCCGAACATGTTGACCAAGGTAGACAGAGCTCCCCGCAACATGGCTCCACGCACATCGTCCACTGACTGTGCTACAGTTCGAATCAAAGTCCTCGAGAGCAAAGGGTATCGCTTTTCACCCAAAGAGGTAAACTCGCGCTGCCCATTCGATTGTTTAACAACCTCGATGCTGACCGCTTCAGGCCATGGATCCTCGTCTCGCTGCATTCCTCTACAATCCAACTGTGGGACTACCGCATGGGCACTTTGATTGATCGCTTCGAAGAACACGATGGTCCGGTTCGTGGCGTAGATTTCCACAAGACACAACCTCTGTGAGCATGACTTCTATAACCCCTCGCGGGAGGCTATGGCGCAGCTGGATATACATACTGAGACTCGCCAGGTTCGTCTCCGGCGGTGACGATTACAAGATCAAGGTCTGGTCGTATCAGACGCGCCGGTGCCTTTTCACCCTGAATGGCCATTTGGACTATGTCCGTACCGTCTTCTTCCACCACGAGCTGCCATGGATATTGAGCAGCTCCGATGACCGTAAGCTGGCGCTAAACTAGCTACAACATGCAGTGCTGATGAACATTTTTACAGAGACCATTCGTATCTGGAACTGGCAAAACAGTAAGTCATCTGTGCAACTACCATTTCAGACTGTTACTAACATGTGTAGGATCCCTAAGTAAGTTTGAGCCTCGCGTTCCACCACCACCGTCTCTAACCATACCAAGTATGCACCATGACCGGCCACAACCATTACACAATGTGCGCACAATTCCACCCCAAAGAAGACCTCGTCGTTTCTGCCTCGCTCGATCAATCGGTCCGCGTTTGGGATATATCGGGACTCAGGAAGAAGCACTCTGCGCCGACCTCGATGTCGTTCGAAGACCAGGTTGCGCGTTCCAACCAGAATCAGGCAGACATGTTTGGAAACACAGATGCAGTGGTCAAGTTCGTTCTCGAGGGCCACGATCGGGGTGTCAATTGGGTCGCCTTCCACCCTACGCTTCCATTGATCGTTTCCGCTGGTGACGATCGTTTAGTGAAGCTTTGGAGAATGTCTGAGACTAAAGCGTGGGAGGTTGATACATGCCGAGGGCATTTCCAGAATGCGTCAGCTTGTCTTTTCCATCCCCATCAAGACTTGATACTCTCAGTGGGCGAAGATAAGACCATTCGCGTGTGGGATCTTAATCGGAGGACTTCGGTACAATCTTTCAAGCGCGAGAACGATCGATTCTGGGTCATCGCTGCCCACCCAGAAATCAACTTGTTTGCTGCTGGTCACGACAATGGAGTCATGGTCTTCAAGCTGGAACGCGAACGCCCCGCATCTGCCGTTTACCAAAACAACCTTTTCTACATCACCAAGGAGAAGCACGTTCGATCATATGATTTCCAGAAGAACATTGAGTCTCCCTCAATGTTGTCGCTAAAGAAGCTTGGAAGCGCATGGATGCCTCCACGTACTCTTTCTTACAACCCCGCAGAGCGATCTATCCTGGTCATTTCACCTGCTGATGGCGGCACGTACGAACTTATCAGCCTTCCTCGGGATGCTACGGGTGCGGTGGAACCTACAGATACTAAGCGTGGCTCCGGAAACTCTGCGGTGTTTGTTGCACGCAATCGCTTCGCAGTTTTCAGTTCATCAAACCAGCAAATCGACATCAAAGACCTTAACAACTCAACGACGAAGACCATCAAACCCCCTCACGGAACCACAGACATCTACTTTGGCGGCACTGGAAATCTCCTGCTGATCACACCCACCAGCGTTGTTCTCTACGATATCCAAGCGAAGAAAAATCTCGCTGAACTCGCTGTCAATGGAGTCAAATACGTCGTGTGGTCCTCTGATGGTCTCCATGCTGCTCTTCTAAGCAAACACAACGTCACTATTGTTAACAAGAATCTCGATCAAATCAGTACTCTACACGAGACAATCCGCATCAAGAGCGCGACGTGGGACGACGCCGGTGTTCTTCTTTACTCCACTCTCAATCACATCAAGTACAGTCTCATGAATGGTGACAACGGAATTGTCCGGACTTTGGAACACACCGTGTACTTGGTCAAGGTCAAGGGCCGAAACGTGTATTGCTTGGATCGCGCAGCAAAGCCCAAAATTCTACAGATCGACCCCACCGAGTACCGTTTCAAGCTGGCGTTGGTAAAGCGCAACTACGACGAGATGTTGAACATCATCAAAAACTCAAGTCTTGTTGGACAAAGCATCATTTCTTACCTTCAGAAGAAGGGCTACCCAGAAATTGCTCTCCAATTCGTGCAAGACCCTCAAACTCGCTTCGAACTTGCTATTGAATGTGGTAACCTTGATGTGGCCGTTGAGATGGCTAGACAGCTCGACCGACCCAAACTTTGGCAGCGTTTGAGCTCCGAGGCCCTTGCGCACGGCAATCACCAAGTGGTGGAGATGACCTACCAGAAGTTGCGAAACTTCGACAAGCTTTCCTTCTTGTATCTGTCAACAGGAGATCAAGAGAAGTTGAAGCGTATGGCCAAGATTGCTGAACACCGTGGAGATGTCACTGCCCGCTTCCAGAATTCGCTCTATCTGGGCGATGTGCAGAACCGTATCGAGATGTTCCAGGAAATCGACCTTTACCCTCTGGCCTACGCCACGGCCAAGGCTCACGGTTTAGACGACCAGGCCGAATCTATCCTCGAAGCAAGCGGCCTCACCGAGGATCAGATCAACATGCCGTCTGTAGGCGCTGCTCTTCTGCCTCCTCGACCTATCGTTCCCACCCACAAGGCGAATTGGCCTACGCGAGCAGCATCCTCCACTGTCTTTGAAAAGGCATTATTGGGCGAAAGTGATGGCGCAGGTATCGATGAGCCAGCTGCCAACGGTTATGGTGACGAAGACCTCTTGGGCGAAGAAGCGCCTGCTGCCGTTGTCGATGAACTAGGTGGGGAAGAGGAAGACGACGTTGGTGGATGGGACATGGGTGATGATGGGGAAGCTGAAGCCGAAGATGACTTTGTCGAGGTCGAAGGTGCGGAAGCCGGTGCTGGTAGCAGCGAGGCAGATCTGTGGGCCCGAAACTCTCCTTTGGCGGCAGACCACATTGCTGCGGGTTCATTCGAGACAGCCATGCAACTTTTGAACCGCCAAATAGGTGCTGTCAATTTTGCACCGCTCGAGGGACGTTTTGAGGAGATATACCAGGCTTCAAGGACCTTCCTGCCTGCTACTCCAAACATGCCGTCACTCGTCAACTACGTACGGAGAACTGTCAACGAGACGGATTCTCGCAAGATTCTACCAATCATCCCACAGGACCTGCAGTCCATTCTATCCAGCTATCTCCAAGCGGGCAAGTCTTCCATGGTAAAGAATCAATTGGAAGAGGGTGTGAACTTGTTCAAAAAACTGCTCCACTCATTGATCATCAACGTTGTCTCATCACAAGCGGAGCTTTCAGAGGTATGTTTCATTTACTTACCAGGGTCGAATGATAGGTACTAACACTGCAATTTAGGCGAGAAAGGCCATCAGCACTGCAGCTCAATACACTCTCGCCATGTCTATCGAGCTGTCCCGACGCGCTCTCGTTCAGGGTGCTGCAGCCGCAGATATCTCTCACCTTCCAGAAGATACCCGCAAGCGTGCGCTTGAACTGTCCGCATACTTCACTGTCCCTGAGCTCGAGGGTGCACACAGATCCTTACCCCTTTCAGCTGCCATGAACTTCGCCAACAAGAATAAGCAACTCAACACCGCGCTTAATTTCGCCAACGCTCTGTTGGATCGAACGGGTAATGCTAAGCTGAAGGAAGCAGCGAAGAGAGTGAAGACGGTCGCAGAGCGGAACCCTGCCGACGCCATCGAGATTGATTTTGATCAATTTGCCGACTTCGAGATCTGTGCGGCATCTTACACACCCATCTACCAAGGCAATCCATCTGCCGCGTGTCCCTACGACGGCTCAAAATACCACGCCAAATACAAGGGCACTGTATGCAAGATCTGCGAGGTCTGTCAAATTGGTGCCCCGGCGAGTGGGTTGAGGCTTGTTGGCTGAGAATTCTTTGATCACACAAGGTTTTCTGACTCTTTTAATATCCAGCCATTAAGTTGATTTAGCGCATACTTTTGTTAGCACGAGGTAGATCTGTGAGTACCATGGTATCGGGGGGATGAGTAGTATTAAAGCGATGTAGCGGGGGCATGAAAAGGGAGATATACTCCATGTCCACAAAATGCGAAATGAAACCACTTTTGATCATGCACACTCGTCTTACTTTGTCTGTCCGCGCATGTGCCCCTTTTGGTCGATCTGGATTTGTTACTTGCTGATATTTTGAGCCCATGGTGATCAATGAGATGTTGCACAACACAGTACTACAGACACTGCAACTCAGTGACACCTTTTGACTATCTGTTTGCATCTTTCACATATCTTCTTCGTGATTAACTCAAGGCAGGCGCGGTACGCACACCGAAAAACGTGCTCTCTTCCGTAAGTTACTAACATGACGTACTCCATAAGCATTGTACAACATTACTATTTTGGTTGATTGACTCACGAAGACTGGCAAGCATAACCTACCGACTGCCTTCCGGGGTTGATATGACTACTTAAGTAGTCACCGCACACGGTCATACTTCATGCTGTCTTTCTACAATCTCAACATCCTTAGTTTGACCGAATCCCACTTCTTCCTACATTGCCTAGCATCTCCGCCCACCTTTAATCTCAATTTGCAAATCACCTGTGAAACAAAACACCATGGGATCAGCCTTCTTCATACCACCCAGCTATTACTCAGAGGCGATAGCCAGATCATACAGTACCTGGGGATCCTCACAGCCCGACAAAGAAGAGCGGCGACGAGAAAACACAAAACGGCCCAGTGGTCCACGACGCACACGATCCGATGAATCCGAGCATCACCACCACCATCATCGCTCCCACAACCACAACCGCCACAGACACCCCAAGCCAGAATCCGCAAACACCCTCAGCACCTCACACTCAGCCCCGCACCGCCCAACGACGCCAAATACCCCATCCTCGATGCCCTCGGTCCACATTATCACCTACGGCCTCCACTACGCCCCCAACCCATCCGACGTCAAGCAGATCCTCGCAAAATACCTTCCCCCGGGGACAACGCACCTGTACAACATCGCGGCGCAGACCTTCACGCCACCCCCCGAAGACATGTGCAAGCTCTACTCGGGCATATCGCCGGCCATCCAGGACATTGTCATGCGCGACCCGCTCGCCCGCGGCGCCGTCATGGTCGGGGTCGAGGACATTATGACCTTTTTGCGCGCCCGGGATCGCAAGGATGGCTTCGATGTCGCGATTAGCGTCTGTTGCCAGATCGGCACGCATCGCAGCGTTTCGGTCGCGGAGAGGATCGCTAGGGGGGTTGAGGGCTGCTGTGAGAGGGAGGCGAGGAAGGCTATGGTTAGGCTGGTGCATATTCATCGGCATAGGGGGGATAAAGATGCTTATTGATTCTTTTTTTTGTTCCTTCCTTGGGGGAGAGAAGGGGGGATATCCGGAGAGGGGAGGGGAGTGGGGGGGGTTTTTTTTTTTTGTCGTGTTGGATGCGGAAGGATTGTCAGTGTTTTATTCTTGGTTGTTGGTTTCTGGAGTGGGTTGGGTTGTTTGTGTAGTTACTTCTTTTTCTTCCTCGTCATGGAGTGATGAGTTAGTTTCTTGCGGTTACTACTTGATATAAAATTGCTTTACACATGAAAAAACTTTGCAAAAAAACAAGAAACAATGGAGAAGCTAAGAGATCAAGGCAGGTGGTTCGTTGTGATTTTTCTTTCTTTCTGTTCTTTTCGAATTATACTTTTTCTTTGTCTTTTTGGTTATCGCCTGTTATTTTGGTTTATTTATTGTTGTCACTCATCGCTGTGTGTAGGATCACCTTAACTCCATCTCAAAAAAAAAAAAAAAAAAAAAAAAAAATCCTTTTTCTTTTCATGAATCTATTCATTCATCTACATACAAGTATATACACCCATCTTGCTCTTCCCAACCCACCACTCCTCCCACCACAACTCTCTCTCTATACACATTCTACCCCGACACCCACAGATGAGCATTTAAAAACGGAAGAAATGAACGAACAAGAAGGGAAAAATACACGAGTTCGCCCCTTACGCACTAGCCTCTGCAGTAGCCATCCTCTCCGCCACGCTGCCCATCCTCCACCCAACCCTCGGATCAACCTTCTTCTTCTCCAACGCCGTGCTCTCTTCGCCCGGGGCACCCCACCCGCCGCCGCCGGGCGTGTAGATGATGATGCGTTCGCCGGGCTGCATGCTTGCCGTATTTTTGGCGCCGAGGTTGATGAAGCGGTATTCTTCAGTCTCATCTTCTTCTCCTTTGTCTGAACTCCGAGTCTCCTCAGAAGGCAGAGAAGAAGAGGAAGAAGAAGTAGAGACTTTCCTCGCCCACATATTAACCCCGCAAGCGGCGTCGCCACCGCCATTCATGCCATACGGATGATACACCCTTCGCTCGCTCAAGATGCTGACTTGGACGGGGATGCGGAACTCGATGTCGCGGACCACGCCTTCCCCGCCGTCGTGCATGCCCTTCCCCGCGGAACCCTCGCGCAGCGAGAAGTCGCGCAGGATCACGGGGTACCGGCGCTCGAAGACTTCCGAGTCGGTGATGCGCGTGTTGGTCATGTGGGTGTGGACGCCCGAGGTGCCGTGCCAGGATGGCCCCGCGCCGGAGCCGCCGGCGATGGTTTCGTAGTAGCCGAAGCCTTTTGTTTCTGTGCGCGGGGAAGAGGAAGAGGAGGAGGAGTAGGAGCCGCCGAAGCCGAAGGTGAGGTTGTTTGTGTCGCCTTGGGAGGCGGCGCAGGCTTTGAAGGCTTTGAGGACGACGTCGGTGACGCGCTGGGAGGTGAGGACGTTGCCGCCGACGACGGCGGCGTTGTGCGAGGGCGACAGGAACGATTTCTTGGGGATGAGGACGTGGATTGGTTTCAGGCAGCCTTGGTTTAAAGGTATGTCTTCGCTGATGAGGCAGCGGAGGCAGTAGATGATGGCCGAGTACGTCACCGCTTCGGGGGCGTTGATGTTGCCGTAGACTTCTGGGCCTGTGCCGCTGAAGTCGAAGATTGCTTCGCCCTTTTCCGGGTCGATTGTTACTTTGAGCCGGATTGGGGAGCCGTCGTCCATGTATTCGACTGCTGAGAGGTCTTGGCCTTCGAAGCGCTTGTGCACGTCTTTGAGGAGGTTGCGGACCGAGGCTTCGGCGTTGGATTGGATGTTGTGCATGTAGAAGGTTACTACTTCCTCGCCGTAGTCGGACATGAGGGTGGAGATGAGGTTGATGCCCTTTTGGTTGGCCGCGATTTGCGCTTTGAGATCGTTGATGTTGTCGGAGAGGCAGCGCGTTCCCGAGCATCCAGGGTACTGTCCAGGTTCGTCGTAAAGCAGTTCAGTGATTCGTTTCTCGTTGAAATGACCTTCAGAAACCAACTTCTCCGACTTGATAGCGGCGCCCTCTTGGAACAGCTCGCGTGAATGCGGGGGCATGCTGCCTGGTAGAATACCACCGATATCAGCATGATGGGCGCGGGATGCAACGTAGAATATGATCTTGTCGCCACTAAAAGCCGGTGTGATGGTAGTGATGTCTGGAAGATGAGTGCCACCAAACATCGGGTGATTGGAAACGAGAACATCGCCCTTCTTGAGCTTGCCTTTCCAGATGGAAGCTTGTTTGCGCACGCAAGTAGACATGCTTCCAAGATGAACCGGGAGATGGGGTGCTAGGCATGTTAGCTTATGTGTATCTTACAATGAATAATGTGTGATAATTACCGTTTGCAACAAGACCACCCTCGGCGTCGAACAAGGCGCAAGAGTAATCTAGGCGCTCCTTGACATTCGTAGATACACTTGTCTTTTGCAAAGCCCGTCCCATCTGCTCTGCTATGGCCATGAAGCGATGCGCAAAGATCGATAGCAGGATAGGATCTACTTCCTTTGTGCCAATCTGCTTATCTTGGCCATCACTCTCGCCAATATTGATCACAACGTGGGTCTCGATGAGCAGCGCGGAAGCTCCGGGGGTGACAACAATGGTTTGCGTACCATCCGCAATGATGGCGGGACCCCTGATCCGATCCCCTGTAGAGAGATCTTCTAGTTTGTATATCGCCGTCTCTTGCCGCCCGCCCTCGAAGAACACATTACGTGTTCCATAGACTTTGTCGCCTTTGCTTAGATCTTTGGGCTGTATCTCCTTGAGTTGCTGATCGACCGTCTTCTCCAGCCCTTCAAAAGTCTTCCCAATACCGCGGGCTCGGACGTCATCGACAATGATATCACGGTCGGGGAGAGTAAAGCCAAACTCTTGTTCATGCTGCTTCACGAAAGCCTTCCCGAAAGCCCACTCATCTCCCCCATACTCTTGATCTGCTTCTTCCTTGGTCGGCTTGACGATCATGAGAGCAGACTCGGTCCCGCGATATCTCAGATTCAAATATTCTTCAAAGTGAATTTGGTCTTCGCCGAACCCTTGATCAGCGAGCGTCGCTGTTGACTTCTTTCTCAGCTCGCTCATCTTCTGCTGCAGATATTCCCGAGTTTCTTTTTCGTCTGACCATACTTTTGATTCCGGCTCCTGCCTCTCATCGACAACGTCTGCAAGAGCCATCCCGTAAGCGGATAGCACTGATGAGTATCGGTGCACGAGAATCTGCGAAATGCCCAGGGCTTCCGCAATCGCCACAGCATGCTGCCCGCCAGCGCCACCAAAGGTAGCCAGTCTATGTTTCGAGGTGTCGTGCCCACGAGCCTCGGTCAAGCTTCGAATCGGTCGCGTCATAGTCTCATTCGCAATCTTGATGAAACCGTGCGCGATCTCGTCCAGTGTCATTTCCTTTTCTTTGTTGTCGCCTGCGACCTCTTTATTAATCTGCTCTGCGAGCTCCTTGAACAGCTTTTCGCTGGCATCTGCGTCCAGTCCCTCATCTTCGTTTTTGCCGAAGATTTTTGGGAAAAAGTCGGGGAGTAGTCGTCCCAGGAATAAATTCGCATCGGTGATGGTCAATGGCCCGCCTTTACGGTAGCAGGCAGGACCAGGGTGTGCACTCGCTGATTCTGGTCCGACAACGAACAAGCCATTCTTCCAGAAGAGACGGGAACCGCCTCCTGCAGCGACTGTGTTGATGTCGAGCTGAGGCGACTGGATAGTCACGCCAGCAGTCGTAGTTTCGAAGACGTGATCGTACCTCCCTGCACCATACCTACTCACATCTGTACTCGTGCCGCCCATGTCGAAGCCAATGACAGGGATCTTGGTTTGCGGATCATACGAAGTCAGAGCATATCCAACAACTCCACCCGCTGGCCCCGACAGTATAGCCTTGAGACCTGAGAACAAATCCACATCAACCAATCCACCATCAGATTGCATGAACTCGCACCGTGCACCTTTAGAACCCGCCTCCCTCTTCACGCTCTTGGAACCCAGACCTCCCTCAAAGCCCTTGGAAAACCCATCAATATACTTCCGTATCGCAGGCGTCAAATACGCGTCGGCGCAAGCAGAAGTAGCCCTTGGAACCAACTTAATCATAGGCATGAGCTCATGGCTCAAGCTGACATGCTCAAACCCAATCTCCTTGGCGATCTTCCCAACCAAAGCTTCATGCTTCGGATACGTATACCCATGCATCAAGCAAACAGCGATACTCCTCAGCCCCTCATCATACACCTCTTGCAGCTGCCGCCTGATCTCTTCTTCGCGCGGTCGCCGTAGTATCCGCACCGTTTCTCCAGACAACCCCTTCACCAGTTCTTCGCTGTCGCCGACTTCCTCAATCGCCTTCGCATCCGTGACTTTACGCGTCGGATCCTCGGCGTAGTCCTCCAATGTAACTCTTTCTTCAACCTCGACAACCTTCTTATACAGAACTTCTGGCTTCTGAATATCCAGCGCGAAAATGTTAGGCCGGCTCTGATTCCCAATCGCCAGGCAGTCTTTAAACCCCTTGGTAACCACCATAGCAATATCCTCGCCCTTGCGTTCCAGAAGCGCATTGGTAGCGACGGTAGTTCCCATACGTATAGACTCGATTTTCGAGGTATCGAGGGGTGCGCCACGGGGGATATCGGTATTTGTGAATTTCGAGAGTAGGCGGCGGATGCCTTCGAGGGGGGCGTCCGAGTAGTTTGAGGGATCGACCGAGAGGAGTTTTATCACGACGTCGTCGGACATTCTGCCTGTGCCGGGGTTGCCTACGCAGTCGGTGAATGTGCCGCCTCTCTGGGGATTGTTAGCTTCGAGGTATTAGGTGTTGGTGGACGTGGAAGAGGGACGTACGTCTATTGCGATGCGGATGCCCCGCGAACTTATATCTGTTGAACCCATGGTGTTGGATACGTTGGATATGTGCGCGTTCGAGTGTGTGTGGGTGTGAGTTGTGTAGTAGGTCGTAGGTTCAAGTAGTTATCCTTCTGCAGCAACTACAGAAAAGCTTCCAAGTACTCAACACCAAACACGCACAACCGCTGGTAATCAGATCTCTTTCCAAGTCGTCGTCGCGTTCAATTATCCGTTCGTCCAAACACTCTTCTTCTTCCCAGTAGTCGCAAAAGAACTCTTCGTCAATGATAACCGTCGGAAAAGAACCACACAATCCCAGCCTTCGCAACTCGTAGTGTGTAGAACGACCAACAATAATGATGATGATGACAAATTGACGATCCACGAAACGGAATCCAGTCAGTTACGTGATCATTATTATATATATACTCGCACTAGCTGGTTTGTCTATTCTCCAATTAATCGAATCAATGGGGGGAGAGCAGGTAGGTCGAAGAGTGGGGTTGCTGATGAGATGCCCCGCGATTTCGGAGCTCCTGTCGGAATGCGTCATCGGCTGGCCGCGGCTCGTTCGTGCTGAAGAGTGGAGAGTGAGTGGAGACCATGAAAGCGTGCAGGGAGAGGAGAAGTGGAGTTTCAGAGATAACTGGTGTGTGTGGTGATAGATAGCTAAATAATGAGCAAGTAGATGCTGATATGGAGTCAATTAGATAGGTATTTTGTCTCGGCGTGTATCGCGCTTGAAGAGACAATCTGCACGCTTGCTGATGTGTAGATAGAGCGTGGTATACATGAATAACGCCCTTTTCACACGCAAGCAATGAGGGAATAGACATAGGATGTAGGGAAAAAAAAGATTTGTGTATAGTATATCAAACATCAAACGCCGTCCCGCTCAATCATCTCTCGTGCTTTCCCCAACATATACATGGCCACCCCACCAACCAATGTTCCCCGTCACAAGCATTTCCCAAAGCTCGAAAAACCTATCCACACACGCGTTGTAACAGAAATCTACAGCTCATCTCTAGGCCTTTCTCCCTCTTCCTCCTTCTTCGCCTCAGCCTCCTTCTTCTCCCTCTCCTTGATCTGCTCCAACTCTTGAATATCAACAACCTGCTCGATTTTCCCCTGCTCGCCTCGAACCCGCTTGGCAAGCGCCCCAATCTCCTCATCATACACATTCCACTCAGGGACCTGTCTGCGCGCACGATCGAGCTTCGGTTCCTTGGTCTGGGGATTATTGCAAAGATCGATAGTCTTTGCGTCTTTCAAACTCTCGTCGGAACACCAAGTTTCGCACCACAGCCATTCCTGCGGCAGACTCTTGATCTCGAGATTGAACTGCATATTGTTGGGCAGATCTTGGTCGAGGTTTGAGAGGGAGTTTGGATCGGCAGAAAGGGAGTGGTATTGTTGGCGGAGACGGTCGCCTGCGGCGAGGGCACGGAAACGTTGGAGGTCTACTACATAGAGGGCGGAGATGTGGTAGGGGCGGCCGCGGAGGAAGTTGGCCCAGTAGCCTGTTTTCCAGAAGCGGAAGCCTTCCATCGAGGTGCGGGAATCGCACATGGGGGTGAAGCCGTAGGGTGCGCCTTGGAGGTCAAATTGCACGAGTTCGTACATGTCGGTGCGCACGATTTGGTCGGCGTCTACGAAGATGACTTTGTCGAGATCGAGGGGGAAGAGGACGTCTAGGAAGAGGATTTTGTAGCCCCAGATTTCACGCTGTTTTTCGGATTGTTGGCGGAGCCAGTGTGGCCATTTGAATGTGACCATCTCGTAGTCGAATCCGTATTCTGCGGCCATGTGCGGCAGGAAGGACTTGAAGGATGGCGAGAGGAACTGTTCTATGAACCAAAACTTGACAGAATGCTTGGTGTGCTTGGTGACGGAAAGCATCATGATGTTCAACATTCGCTCGTACAGATGTCCCGAGGCGACCGAGAAGATGTTGATGTCGGCCTGCGTACGTTTGGCGGCTGTAGAGGATTTTCCGCCTGCAAAGAAAGAGGCTCCCTTCTTCAACACTTTTTCGCTGTTGATGTTCAACCCCATCTTGTTGAACAGCTTGTTGACCTGCTGCGAGCCCTTTTCAGCCAATTCGGAGGCGAGAGACTCTTCAGGGGCGAGAACATCAGTAAGCTCCTGGCCAGGATTACGAGATAGACGAGGAAACAATGTAGTTCCCTGGAAAGACATGAGAACAAGTTCACTAGTCTCATCGCCAGCCGCAGGAGCCCAACCAAGGGGTCCAGCACTCTCAAGAGTGAAGACCTCTTGGCTACGACCACTCTTCAGGTGTATGTTGTAGAAGCCTGGGTTGGCTTTGAACTGGAAATACCCCAGATTGGCCATGATGATGGTGTCAGCAAGATGCGGGTCCTTTTCGGTAGCCAGCACGACTTCGGCACCACGTGGCGGTTGGCCTCCATTGGTGACATCACGAGAGTGGCCCTCGATGAGAATGCTTTCGAGCCCATAGATAGCGTCAATGTTCGCACCAGCAGGTAAAGAGCTCAGCTTTATGTTGTCCAGATCGTGAATAGACTCTTCAGGCGCCACGAGCCAAGCTGGGGGAACGTCCATGGCCAGATTCAGCAGAGCCTCCTTGGGAATGCCATTAAAGTGAGCTTGGAGATCTTGAAAAGACCCATCCTTGGCAAAGCTAGGCTTGGAATCGAGGATGTAGCGGTAGAAACGCTTTACGGGCAATTCTGAGAGCGATTCCTTGGGGTTGAGGAACAGCTTGAGGTGGACGCCAGCCATGTCTGACAGTGTCTTCAAGATCGGCACCCATCTTTGAGCAAGCTCCGTGGCGGGATCGATCGAAGCGACGATCTGAAAGGTTGCCTGGTCATGGTCGCCTTTCGTGATGACGGTGTGACTCTGATTCCACTTATTGAAATAATTGACTCTGACCGTCGAAGCAGACTCATAAATGCCTTCGGGTCCATCCGAAACAGATGAGAGTGCAACCAGAGACTGGATCTTGGCTGCACTGAAAGGCGATGAGATCTTCTCGCCGAATTTCAAATCTTCGATAGCTTTACCCAACGGCTGGATACGCTTGTTCGTCTCATACGTGACCAGCATTTCCACGTCGTCCTTACTGAAGGGCCTTTTATCGGAGAGAGGTCCCACAAAGCGACCGTTGACCAACAATCCGCTCTGGCCGGGTTGAAGACCCAGAGCTTCGTAGATCCCTTCGGCAGCTTTCCAGAAAGCTGTCGCATTGGCCGTGCTAGGTGTCATGACGATCGGCGGGCTCAAAACGTCCATCAATAGTTCAATACTGATGGCACGGCCGGACTTGACCCATTTTTCCAAGAGATCTTCAGAAACGCCCGCATATGCAGCGTCTGGCTGTGGGTTGTGAATGAGTTTGACTTCAACATTCGGGTTCTCGTCGCGATATAGCGCAACAGCTCGAAGCAGTTCAACACTCTTCTTATCGTCAAAGTCTGCGACAACAGTGACGTGCACCCATTCTGCTTGGCTCGCAGATTCCGCGACTTTAACGGATGGCATCTTGTGGAAAGCCTCTCCATGCACGCTTTCGAACTCTGCCATATCGACAAGAGTGACGTTCTTTTCGTCTTCGGGAATGATGAGTGAATTGCGCTTCGGCAAAGCTTGGAACAGAAAGAATTTCGGCACCCAGGTATCTTCTTCGAAGGCTCGTTCAAAAACACCTCGTTGAATCTGGCTAAGGTCCATCGAGACACGTTGACTCAACATCCCGAGCCAATTGCCAACTTTTGGCATAGGAATTCCGTTGATAAAGAACGGAGCGCTAGGCTGATTCGCAGAAAGACGGTTCAGATACTTAGTCGCGCCACCAATCCGGGTTTCACGATCCTCGGATGCGAGTACATCGGCGAGTTCGAGTGCTTCACGCTCAGGGAGAAGCTCGGCACCCTCGACCACTGCATCAAAAACCTTCTTGCTGGGGAGATCGAACGTCTTCGACTGAACGACAGCTTGAAGATATTTGGTCACGGAAGACAAACCATACGTGTCCAGGAGATAATAGACAACTTTAGCTTGATCCTTTGCACCCGCAGTGCTAGTGATAGGAACAAAGCCCCACCGAAGAGGGATGTTGCGTTCGATGATGTTGAGGGCAGTCTCCACAATAGAGGTAATATCATCCTCCGAAGTTAGATCGACGGGAAGGATAGCGTTGTGTATGTCACGTCGAACACTAGGCAGACTGCCTGGATATGTCCTCTGCAACAGCTGGACGAATATTAGACTTTGTAAGATTAATTTTGAACTTCTCAATACTTACAGCTTGCAATGTGGAGGGCCAATTCGCGTATCTTTCGTCTTTCTCAATATCATTCAACCACACAATGACATCGCCACCCTCAATCTCATCACGGAAGTCATAACGCTGCGGTTCATCCTCCGACTGAGTCTCTGTGATAGCCGAGTGCGAAAGAAGTGAGATAGCTTCAGGCCCCGAGAGTCCCTGGCTGCGTAGCCCACCAATCAAGGAGCGCTCCTGGCGTAGGTGCTCCAGCAATGCAAACGGGTTGATATCTCTGGCCGGTATTTGCACTCCGTTAATGAAGAAGCTCTGGCTTCCCGGTTGAGAGAAGTATCCAGGAATTTGTTCAAGATTCCACGCTTGCTCCTTGATGAATGCTTCAGATGCATTATTCGCCACGATCGCGGAAGAGTATTTGGGGAAATCCTGAATCAACCGTAGCAGCGTGTCCATTGGGTTTTCGCTCTGCTTGACAAAGCTCGCGGCCTTGAGACTCAGCCCGGAGATATCATCCTTGGAAAGCGGCTTCAGATCAGACACATCTTCGTCATCGTGCAGCTCTGTATCCAAAGATTTCTGCGTCGCCGCCTTCTCGCCTTGCTCTGCCTGTCGGTCATCGATGACGATATAGTCGGTCCTCTTCAATTGCAGGCTGACACCGTATCCGTTCACAACCAGAGGCGCCTTTGGCAAATTTGTGGAAGGCTTGTGTCGAACGCGATAGGATGTCTTTCCCTCTGCAGCGGTCGTACGTAGGACTTTGTGGAATTTCGCGAACGACGGTGATGTGATATCGGCGTAGAGAATAGAAGGGAGCGCATGCGAGCTGTTTCCAAGGATACGGTCGAAAGGTAACTTTTTTGTTCTAAACAGCCATTAGCATCTCGGCATTTGAACAAGTATAGTTGCGTCTCACCGTTCTCCTTTAATGCTTCCATGACTTTCTTTCAATCCCGAGGAGCAGTACTGCTTTCCTCCGAATGCTACCCATGTATCACAATCCGCGCCCTGTTCTCCCTCCAGCGAGGGCTCCACGGATGTATTATAGAACTGATAGTGTGCTTCTATGCGCGGCGCGGCGGAGCGGACAGAAAGCGCAAACTGGAAGGAAGAAAGCGTAGAGGGGTCGGTAATGTGTTCATCTGTCTCAAGTAGCTTTACAAAAGACTCAAAGAGTTCCTGGTCCGTCTTTGCTTTGTCAAAGTGACCGTCAGCTATCCGATCGAGGATGGGGAAGTATGCTGTCGAGTTTTCTTCGGCGGCGGTTTCTCTGTTGGTACATTAGCGTTTTTTCACCCGCTGATTATACGAAAACAACATACAGTAGCTCTACTAAGTATGGTGCAGAGTCGAACGAAGCTCGCAGAGCGACATTGATACTCGGACCAGCGAGTACACCAGTTTGCCAGAGCGCACCGAGCAGCGCAAGGCTCTGCGCGCGAACCAGCGAATTAAGCACCCGCATCACGCTGGCGACGTGTAGATATAATTGCGGCGTACAGAAATCAGCGTCAGGAGATTATGTTGTGCAGGTCCGGGAGTCGTGGTAAAAGTGAACACAGGTCAAGATTATGCACGAAGATGCAACGTATAGCACTCGACCTCGTCACTTCATGAAATGGGTCTGTTTGAACGCTCAGCACCTCATCAATGCCGAATTTGATTGCAGAATAAGAAACAAAATACTACTCGACAGCTTCAGACTGTGCTCAGGATACTGGAAATGTCAGAGAAACTATCTGGCCAGGGATGCGTTGCCCTGAGGCGGTGGTGAGCTTAATCTTGGCTTTGAGGGTTGTCGCCCCACCATTGTGGCACCTCCGCGTACCGTGCCGTATGCGGGGACTGCTGGTCCGATATCTATACATCACCAGAATCATGAAAACAGCATAGTCGGGTACCGTACTTTGTCATGTCGTGTATAAATTAAACAACTGCATGGATTCCAAAAAATATATATATCGTGAGCACATGAGTTCCACTTCAATTGTGCCTTACACGCATCAATGGTATGCTGTGCAACGCTTTGCTCGCGTCGATAAACTACATCCAATCTCAAGGATGCTATGCTTCGCTTCAAAGATCAAACTTGAAAGTCTCCTCACCCCTCTTGACCAATCGCAAAGGAATCTTAGCGCCTCTCAATTGCAGCGTAATGATACTCGCTGTTTTGTTTTGAAGAAGATGCTGTGTCTTGTCCGCTGCCTTCCTCCACACCTTCTCCTTGGACTCGTCATCCATGTTAGCAACCTCATCGTCGGTAGCAAACTCGTCCACCGCGAGCTCCACACTGTACTGCGAGAAGATGACGGCAAACGCGGCAAGAAGCTCCACCTGAGCGAATCTGCGTCCAATACAGGATCGATAGCCATCGCTAAACGGAATGTAGGAGCCTTTGACGGGCTTGAAAAGCGACGAGGAAGTGTCTTCTCCGGAGGGACCACGAAGCTCTTCGTCGTCGTAGTCGATCTCGACAAAGTCTGCGTTCGGTTTCTTGTCGAGAAGCCAGCGTTCCGGACGGAATCGGTCAGTGTCTCTGACATTGGCCTTCTTGTCATTCTCGTTCGAAGGCTCAGGCCAATACTTGGGATTGCGGTGGACTGCGCAGCTGAGCAGGATATGAGCACCTCCAGGCATCGTATGCTGCTGGCCATTCATGGTGAAGGGTTGCGGACGTCCAGGGGCAGTAGATTTCGGAATATTGATGACGGGCTGGAGCAGCCGGAGTGTCTCGTTCATGACAGCTGCGGGCATACATTGGAACAGCTTTGGAAAATCCTCTTCGTACTTCCACTCTTCGATCGGTCGTCCTTGTATGATCTTGCTGACATCGTCCTGTAGGCGTTTTTGCGAGGACCAATGCATGGCTAGATAGATCAAAGAGAAATGAAGCGAGTTGGCCGTGGTCTCATGTCCTGCCAACATAAGGACAAATGCATTACCCAGAATATCGCTCTTCTTGACGATAGTCTGCTTTTCGTCGACAATCCCGCTAGCGCGGATGAGTGCCTGAAATAGGTCCATACCGTCAGACTGTTTGCCTGAAGTTACCTGTTCCTTCTTAATCTCATACACCTCATCCATATATTGACCCCATTCAGACACGGCAGTTCCTACGGTCCTGTGAACTTTCATGGGCGATTTTTCTGTGAATGTCTTAGCAAAAACCCTCGCCATTTGAGTCACTAGAGCGTCCACACAAGAAGCGGTAGCTCGATTGACTTACTAAGAAGCTTGGGGGAGCCCATCATAGTCCACATGATGTTGTGAAGCAACTCACTAAGCGCCTCCCGATAACTCATCTCGTGACCCGCCGGCACCTCTGATCCCATCATGACTGAGCTTTCGTTTGGCTTCTGCGTAGCTTTCTGCTTCCCCTCACCCTCTTCATGCGGCCAGTTTACTCGAACATTAAAGCCGGCACCGCTGATGATGTAGAGCGCCCATCTCATGGTGTCGCTCGCAACGTCGAGATTCTTGTCGCTAGTTGTTCCTTTCTCGGTCCATAAACGGAGGAGAGACTGTGTATGATGCAGCGTCTCATTGAAAACCAGTTCATTATTGCGTTCGCCAAAACTAGGTGCAGTCATTTTCCTGTGCATACGCCAGTCGGACCCCTCGGTCGATACTAGGTTTTTTCCGTAAATGTCCAGCCGGCCATACATTTCCAGAGGTTTGGGAAAGTCATTTCGCCTGGTGGTAATTTGGGTGATAACATCTGCATCGGCAACAAAACATACAATTTTGGCAGGCGACACAGCTAGGAAGACATCGGAGCCCATCTTCTCAAAAGGTCCGTATCCAAGCCTGTAACCCCATTCCGGATCAAGTATACTACAGGGAAAATTAACGGGGGATGATATACAAGGGTGTTGATATCAATCGAGAGACACCTACTCTGAGAACACGCCATCTTTCTTGGACGCGGGTAGTAAACTGCGTAAGATGGGCGACCAGAACCAGAACGTAGCTAACCAAAACACACCAAAGACATTGGCTGGCGTGAGTACATAGGGGAATCCTGAGCGCTTCGCGATGGCGATATTGCGTCTAAGGTCACGATACAAGAGCAACAGTTGAACGGCAGCGATGGAGGCAGTGGCGCCAAGAATGAGTGACGTTAAAGCCATGTCGGCAAATCACCGCCCTTGAACCCGTTCGTCGCGAAAGCAGCGGCTTAGGAGCAGAAGATGAACAGCGTTTGCAAGCTCACGCACGCAGAGGAGTGACGATAGGCAAAGTCGCGGATCTGGAGGGCTCAATAAAGCGCGAATAATGAAGGTGGTGATGTCAAAAATATTAACGGTTCGGGGTGCCTCATTGGCGTTTCAAGCGCTCTGTAAACGTCTCGGGAAGTCCTGTTCCCGGGCACATGATTCACCCGCTGGCAACAACACGAGACTCTATAGTAGACTACATTGCGAAAATAAGTTGAACAGATCCTAGTTGAAATTCCTTTCAAAAGGTGAAGGAAGCAACGCTGTATTGTATGAAGATATCATGAAGGCGGTGATGTCTCACACACAACTAAGAGATCGAAAAGATGTTGCCAACATTTGACCGTTCAACGCTAGTGCGCACGTGACAATGGCAGACATCTGGACTCTGGAGTGCTGGCAGACTTCAATGTTCATTCCACAGGCTGGCTTCTGGGTCAAGGTCAGGTTCCACGACGTGTGTATATACTGACTCCTCGACGTTTCGCAGCCCTAGGGGTGACACCTCGTGTGAGCTGTCACTTTCCGACGGGAGGACCCATTGGGCGAGAATCAATAGCGACGCGGGGAACACGAAGCCACGGTCACACAAAGATGCGTTGTATCCGGGCAACGGAAGGGGTTTTGCGAGGATCAATGTATGCTTTTTGGACTAGCGACGATCTGTCACCGGACCCGACCTCAACAAGAGTTTGCTGCATTGCATATAGAGACAGACGGAAGAGGGGAGATTGGAGTGTGGAAAATGAGGGGGTGGATACGGCTCTCACACGAGGTGTAGTTGTCTGAACGGTGAGCGTTCACACGAGCAGCGAGCATATCCGACCTCAACAACAGGTTCAGTTGACCGTTTGGAATAGTCAGACGGCCAGAAGAGGGAGGGAGACAGAAAACGAAGGTTGACAGTTCTCCACCGCCGCGTCTAGAAAGTGGAGAGGGGCAAAAAAGAAACGCGGTATATCTACAGACACTACAGATCTGTAGAGCAGTTAGCGCCAGATGCTGGACGATGGCGGTCCTGAAGGGTGGTGGCACGGGTGGGGAAAGATGTTCTTTTCTTGACCGTTCACGCTCGGTGCGAACCGTGATGGGAAAGAAGGTTTTGTCGACGACGACAAGTGCACATCAAGACATGGCATGTCGGTGTTGACTGCACACCGGATGGGCCTTGGTGATGCCATGACGACCACGTGGGGATGCTGACAATCAATGGCTTACTGTCGTCTGGTAGGGCTCACCGCTACGTGGACATTGCTGTACCAAGTAAGCACCATGCTCGTCGCGAACGCGAGAGTCCCTCGAGCGGAAGAAGGTGTTCCCTTGGATGGGATCATCACGACAGAAGAGGCATGTTTCACTGTTGGGTGACTGGCTCCGGCGAGCAGTGGTTGGCTGGCGCGACATGCGGACGGATAAAATGCTGTTGCTGTACGTGCGTGCGTAGCCATCTAAATGCTGACCGGAGAAAAGCTCCTGGGTACGATGCGACATGTTTTCCTTTTTCTCCCTCTGGTCTTCTGCGCAGGTGACCATGCTGCTGCAAGGCATCAGTCATGAATCATGAGATGAGATTGTACCATGTCTGTACTATAGGCGGTAATAAGTCGTGTATCATGTCGGCTGGGGGGTTTGTTGCTGTCTTGCGCAAAACCCGGAGCAGAGTCGACAAGCGACCAGGCTTTTGCGCACGCACATCCATCCTAGCGCGGCATCATATCTCAACGTTGCATAGGATTATTGGAACATGGAGCACCGAGTCGAATGTGGTGTTGCATGCCTGGGCATCATATTGCACTGGAGACACGGGGGAGCAGAGCTGGGATGGTGACTGCACTCGGCGGTGCACTGTTGTTTGCGCCGTGGCCCCGCCGTGGAGTGCAAAAACAGCATGCCGCTCCGGCCATTGCACTGAGTGCACTTCATTTGACGATGCGGGTGTATACATGCGCGAGGCGCAAACTCTGATTTGACAATCAGTGCCATGTATGCACAGGAACGAAGATGCGGTCTGGGTTTTTCTTTTTTTCAATTCGAATTTGCTTTGCTGTCTTCGTTTTTTGTTTGGGACGGCGTCGGGCACTATCGCTGTAGTCTGCTTCGGGTGTACGATATGCCGACCCCGCGCCAGTGCGAGCCAGAAGAAAGAGAAAAAAAATTGATTGATTAACCTTGCAGCAAGCATGCCGCGGATCAGCCAGCCTAACAGCCTGCCAGTCTACCTAGCACAGCTTGTACCGACGACGACGACGACGTAGGTACACGGTACAATCTCCCTCACCGGCCGATGAGCTTCGTCACACGCTTGCCTGCCAGCGATCGCGAAGGAGCATTTTCCGCAATGTGGGCTCACTCCCATGTCATGGCAAAAGAGGCGCCGTAGCCAGCTCAGGCAGCCAGCCAATCTCACATCAAAAGGTTTTCTCCTCCGTCATGGAGGGTGTGGTACCTGAATCGTCGCGAAACAACGGCGGGACATGGCCAAGGGGAGCAGACTCCACCGCGCGACAGAGATCAATCATGACGCGATCAGCGAGGCCCACGCATCGATTCACAGGCTAGGGGCATTTTCATCCAATTCCAATGCGCGACCGGCGCAGGCCCCCTTCCACTGAGCTTCTCGAAAGGGTCGTGATACCATGGTGGGGCTGCTACATGGCAGATGTGACCAAAGAGTCGACTGGATGACCTCGTGGTAGGTTGCACGGTGATTGAGGATTGCGAACGGACGTGCGTGCAAGCTTTGGTGCTTCACGTGCACCTACGGGAACCATCATCAACATCATCATCGTCATCATCGTCACAGCATTGCTGAGGTCTGAGAGCGAACGGAGAAGAGCGCAGCCAGCGGCGTCATTCACCCCAATGCCACCAGAGAAGTGTCTTTGCGGGTGCCGCCCATATACGCACGCACTACCGCAGACACTTACTTATACATCCAAATAAACATGCACATAGCAGCCTCTCTGTTTCAGCGACGACGAAGCCGCAACTGGCGACGGAGGTGATGGGATGAGATGAGATGGGATGAATTGGGGTAAGGTTTGACGTTGTTGCCGAGAAGTGTTCGGATAGCAGGATCACTGCATATGTTGATCACTTGACATGATGAATTGTCTGACAAATAACGTAGCTGAATGTACAATAGGCTCCCAACGTTGCGATGCTTACGGCCACCCAAGAGAGATAGGTACATGGAGTGCCATCTGCTGAGGTACTCTGCTCATCCCCCATGTGAGAGCCCATGGACAATGAAGAAGGTCGAAGCGATCTAGGCGCAGGACTGAGCAGCAGGACACGGCGGTTGGAGGCCTTCTTTTTCCAGGACTCCGGGCCTGGGATAGGATGGCTGGGCGAGGCGTCGTCAAGCGAGGGTGAATGAATCGCGCGCCTTTGTGCCGTGTTTCCAGTGGCCATCCACCACGAGATGATAGTCCCCACACACACATGCCCTGCGCAGGGTCTCTTGCTCTTCTCCAACGAGAGACTGGCATTTGCAGGACTCCGCGACGGAATCCCTGCCCATGTGATAAATGATATTGTTATAGTGTGTATACAGTACACTGGACACAGGACATGGCGTTTGGGGTTTATCAACTTGATCTCGGTGAAGCCCTAGCTGGCGAATGTGTATGCAAAGACTACCTGGCGATTGATTGAATCACGGTAGAAGATGCACATGGGGATATGTAGTAGTACTTTGATGCAATGCACAATAGCGGGGGGGGAACTGCAGGTCCACAGCATTATCTTTGGCAACAGCACAAGACGCATGTAACGAAAACGAGATGTGCAGAGACTGCAAATGCCCGTAAAAGAAAGGGAGGCTCTACTGCGTCCCCCTACATAGCTACGTACAAAGGTAGACAGGTAACTGACTAGGACGGATGGCTGCTGGGATGGTGAGTCTGCGTTTACCGCCTGGGCCGGCCAGAAGTGGGATGGGCGTGTCGGTGAGGAATTGCTGCTATACTGCACACAGCTCGCGGTTGTTCGATTGCGGCCAAGTGAAGCATCGACTTCATGTCATGCCGGCAAACCCCCCTCCCCCGACTCATCACTCCTTGACCACAACCCCTCCCATCACATCCCATCCGTCCATCCACCCATACCTCCCTCCATCCATCCACGCCGTTGTCTACCGTCCATTTGCACACGGCGCACGCAGGCATCAGTGAGTGACACCACCACCTCTGTCATTACGCGACGCGCCCAAACAGCAGCAGCGGCAACAAGACCAAGATTGCCATCGTTTTCGTCTGGGCGCCCGTTGTCGTCGATTCGCCTCATCTTGCACCCAGCGGCCATTCGCTGCTTCACCTTGCTGTCTTGCTTGCTTGCTTGCTGCCCATCACCGGCAATCATCACTTGTCCCTGCTGAACCTTGCCACCCCTCCAGCACCAGCACCCGACGGGGGGTCGCGAGCAGCTTTCTCCACGGGCTCCATCCGAACCCGTTGCGGCAGTCTGTTGTTGTTGTTCCTGCTGCTCCCTTCCGCCACGGTGCTACGTGCCCTGCCTTTTGCTTGTCCAAAGGATTGGGGGTGCGAGCTTGGCAGCAGAGTGCACGGTTAGCCCGCTGCTGCCGGCGACAGACAAACAAATCCAGCGCGCATCCATCCACCCATTCACCCAGCCAGCTCTGCTTTGCTTTGCTTTGCGTTGCGTTGCTTTGCGCGCTGCACTTGATTGCTGCTTGTGTCTGCTTGCTTTGCCGTCTCATCATCGTCCCCCATCCTTCGTCATCGCCCTCACCAATCCTCGGGCCATCAGTCGCATCCATCCACTATCCATCCACCACCACCAAGACCGCGCAAGCGCATCCTTCCCCTCGCTACTCCCTCCGGACGGGCCTCTCTCTGCCTGACTTGTTGCGCCGTCCGCTTCCAGTAATTGTCTCCGACTCCATGGTAAGCTTTCACCACCAGCTCCCGCGCCCCCCCACCTACCACGCCCCCCCTACCCATCGGCCTAGTGGACCTCACTCACCCTCCCAGGTCGTCGCAAATCGTTTCTCGTCCGCTGGTGTGCTTTTGCCTGCCTGACTGACCTTGCTTTGCTCTTTCGCCTCGCGGTTGTCTGTTCGTGCCCTGCGACGCTTGTCAAACCCTCATCTCCCCCCCAGTAATGACGCGGATTGGTCCGTCATCTGCTCCTCATCTCTGCCCTGTCACTCTCTGACGAAACACTCTTTTCTGCTTGCTTGCTTGCTTGCTTGCTGCCCAGCTCTCTTTGGCCTCTGCTCTTGCCGTGCCTGGTCGGCCGCTCCACCTATACAGCCCAACTGACGGAATCGTTGCCGCATGGCTTGAGCGTTTTTTCCCTTTGACCAAAAAAAAACCATGGACGGCGGTGATCCGGCAATGCCCACCTCCAAGAGGCCCCGTTTGGATTCGGCCAATACCGCGTATATCGCTGGTCATCCCCCTCCACCAACAACCCAACCTGCCCATTCTTCTGCCCAATCCAGTCGCCATTCCTCCCTCTCGACGCCTGTCCACCCGTCTCCTCCACCGAACCGTCACTATCCTCCTCCACCACCACCACCACCACCTCATCACCCTCATCCTCCGCCTCCACCGCACTCCCGGCCGCCTCACCAACCCTACTCTCTACCTGCGCCTCCTCCACCTCCTCCACCTCAGTACCCCCAGCATCATCAACCGCAACAGCAGCAGCAGCAGCAACATCAGTCTCCTTCTCATCCTCAACTACCCCACCCTTCCAAGCTGCCTCCTCCGAATCCGAGTCACCGCATTAATGGCCTTTCAGGCACTCCAGTGACCCACTCGGTGAGAGTCTCTCAGGACAACATCGACACATATCGCCCGTCACCTACACCACAGCCGACTTCAGCACCCGAGCCCCCACCTTCCAGGGCGCACAGCGTCCACGAGGATCCTAGGATGGCCAACACCAATCCTTCGAGCCCGTGGCACGCGAACTCAGATCCCCGCAATGGACATCCAATTCCAAATGGATATCACACCATGAGTCCCCCCAATCAGGTCGAGCAGCCCTTCCAAGCCCCACCTACACAGCCGGGTCAACATTATGCGCCGCCCCCTCCCGTTGGTGGATACAACCCATCCTCTTACATGTCGCCGCAGTATGCTTCAGGATCCGCCCAAGTGAGAAGGAAACAAGTTCGAGCTACCCAAGCCTGTAACCATTGCCGCTCGCGGAAGCAGAAATGTGACGAGGCCAGGCCATGCCAATTTTGTCGCGAAAACAACTTCGATTGCCAGTATAAAGACGTTCCAGTTCCAAAACAGGATCGTACCATGATGCAGCTGCAGGAGGGTCAGAATGAGATCGCTGCAACGCTCAAGAGCTTTATTGACAGTTTCAACGTCTGGAAACAGAACATTGAAACTCGATTACCACCAACCAATGGTAGCGATGGTTTGACCATGAGCATGGAGCAACCGTCTCCGAGCAACACCTTTGACGCTCGAGGTTCCATGAGCGAACGGCGCACCTCCCAAATGCCTACTCCTGTCCAGCCACGATCGCAGTTGAGCCGTGTCAACAGCATGAAAACAGAGTCGCCAAACGCCATGAACTCGCACATATCGCCTGTACCTACTACTGCCTCCACCCCCATCAAGCAAGAGGCGCCTGCTCCAACATTCCAACCACCCCCTACACCCGTTGGGAGCGTACATCGTTCCCAATCTGCTGGTGATAACCCTGAGGGGCTGCAGAGCGACCACACGACCCCGGCCCATATGCTGCTGCCTCGGCTGGCTGCGCAGTGGAACCTAGATCAACGAATTCCCGAGCTTAAATGGCTTACAGACATCGGCAAACTCATCACGGACTACCCTCTGCACTATGAGCAGGATCGAGGATTGCTTCGTGTTTGGGGGGTCGGCGAGGGTCACGATCTGCAAGACGGCGTACAAGGGGTTGCGAGCCCAGCAAGCCACTATGATTCAGAAGCTGCGTCGCCTGCAACGCAGCCTCAGAGAGAATCATCAGTGTATGGTCCACCCGTCGATCAATCGAGCCCCAGTACCGTCAGTGGCGATACCATTCAAGATTCTGTTGGCGGTTTGGGCCCGGATGGCAGACCCGACTTCAGGCAAGCAACTTTAAAGAAGCTTCACAAGGAATACGAAAATCACATCCATGTTCTGCATCCTTTTATGAACCCCTACCAACTAGAGAAGATGATCACCGAGTTCGGTGCGGTATATAGCCCTGAGGCCAGGGCCACCCAGACCACCATGTCACCCGCTGCTGTGGAACGCCTCCATCCGACTGGCGTGAAGAGGAAACGATCCAACAGCATATACCTCGAAAACCAAGAGCTCTACCCCAAAGGATACGTCGCAAAGTCACTACGCAATGGCATCGTTCTACTTGTGCTCGCACTCGGCAAAGTCTGTGAATACAAGGGACCTCTACCCAGCCCTCATTCGGACAGAAATCCTCTGGGTAATGGAGCTGGCAGCTTCTACCGTGATTCACCACGGTCATACAACGGCAGCTTCCACAGTGATGATGGCGACGCCAGACAAAGGAACCTTGATATTATCCCGGGAATGGCCTACTTCTCGCTGGCAACCGATATCATGGGCAACAACACTGCTGGAAACACGGTTGCGCATGCACAAGCCAACCTTTTGGCAGCATTGTATATTGCTCAGTTTGCCCGCGTCATGGAAAGTTGGAGCTGGATCAGCAATGCCTGCAGAATAGCTCTGGTCCTGATCAAGGCTGATTATACGTATATCAACCGAGATCTTCTCCTCCGAAATGAGCAGGGGCAGACCCCGGCTACGGCCCCCTCTCCACTTCCAACCGTCCCTCGCAAAGATCGTCATCGATTGAACCTCGTCAAAGTCATCTATTACACTTGCCTGCAGTTGGAAACGGACATATTGGCGGAGTTGAGCACCTTGCCTCCTACGGGTATATCCAATTTTCAGAGTGATATATTCTATCCCGAGGGCGTTTATGAACACGCGCATGGCGCCAAACATCAGGCGGAGCTTGCGCCGGACTCTGATCTAACCTTCTTCATCTATTCCGGCATGATCTCTCTGCGTGTTCTCCTAAATGGCGCGCACAATTCACTTTATAGCGTCATGGGAAACCCCCAGAGTAACACCCTCCTTACTGCGAAAACAATGGCGGCCATTCTTCACAACTGGCGAGGGTGTCTACCACCGGTCCTTACTTGGGATGACAAGGAACCGCCCTCTACTGACCTCAGCGTAGCTCGGTTGCGAGCCAAAGTATACGGCGCGAAATACGTAATTTTGCGACCAGTCCTCTTTTCCGCACTCGAAAAAATCAAAGAGCCAAGACTTGTGCCCCGTTCAAGCGTCGAATCTCCGGCTTCAAGCGCTGCAATGTCTGCATCTACACCAGGAAACGATGGAGTTTATGCAAACGGCGAGCTACCAGGATCGATGCATAACAATTCAGGACGTCAAGTCCTAAGCGACAATTTGCAGGACCTAGCAAATTCAGCACATGAATGTATCGAGGCTGCTGTTCAGAGCACTATAGCCTTCGATCGTGTGGGTGCATCCCCAAATGAGCCCTACAAGGACTACGTCAGCGCCAGGAAGGTCAGGCTCATTGTGACCAACATCGCCGGGACATTGCATGCGTAAGTTCCAGCAGCTTGTTATCATTTGGAAAGGACGTAATGCTAACCGTCATCGCAGGCAGTTCGGAAACATGATTGTATTAGCAGCGGTGTGGTCTTCGCCCCTGAGCACATGGCTACCACCCGACTCGGCCTTGAATAAAGAAAATCTTTCTCGATTATTCCACCGAACCATGTCCATATTGGATGAGATGGCACCCAACTCCCCGATTTTAAGGATCGATTGCGCCATCCTCCACGAGATTCAACGGCAGCTTGACCTTTAGCCCGCGAATTGTCAGCAATTTCCTTTTGGGACCACACTTTTCTGTTTTCCTTTTCCTTTTGAGCCTCGTCGATTTTGTCGCTAGGACGGCTTCTCCGTTAGAATCTTGTCGGATATACCCCTTGTTTACTGTGGGACACAAAGTGCATGCATTGCCAGAAAACAGCGTCGCGTAACTTACACACAACATCATCTCTGTTTCATACTCTTGTCCAAATTTCCTTTGGCATCCATCTCGACGCCAATGTATGGATTAATGGTCCATACTGTGTCATGGTCGCGTCCGTTATATATATTTTCCTGTTTCCCTTGTATATCAACATTGGGTGGCTAGCGCTCGTTTTGCATCAACCGTTGTTTATGATTGAGTCGTATCTTCTCATGTACGATGAACTGGTTCAATCACATTTCCGTTGATGGTGATCTCTCTTTTTCCTCTATTGCGAAGGAAGAAGACAGCGGGATCCCTCGATTCGAATCATCATCTCCATCACCTACTATTTTCTGTTCGTCATTTCTATCGTCTGTCCAATATACCCGGAAAGCAACTGTAGTTTTTGGAGGCAAGGGCAACATTTATCGGTGAGGAGGGGAGAGAACTAACGCTGGACACTGTTCCATCCTTCCTCTTTTCCTTTACGACTTTTTCCTTGGAATATCTACATTTATATACATTTTATCTCCGCGCAAGCAATTTCAACCCATACAATCTAGCAATGTATGTAGGTAGTCCCCCTCCGTGGTTACGATAGCATGCGTAATCCAGCCTATCTCTCGCGCGAGCGCATGCGTGCGTGCGTACGCATTTTCTGAAATATATGTCAGACTCCATTTTGGGTAACTCTATTCAATCTTGCTCCCCCTTTTTTATGCGTAACAGTGAAACTAGACTATCAGACTCTAACTCTCTTTTTCTTTTCTTTTTTCTTCTTCTTCTTCTCCCTCTTTCTTGGTGCCTTACGTTACCCCCCAGCCCTTTCCCGCTTTCACACCGTTCAGCCCATCCCGTCCCCGTTCACCGTTTACATTAAAAAAACAGACTACTGAAGTAGGACCGACCGAACTAGCACAGGGTTTACACACCAAAAGAAAGCGCGCGTAAAGCCCTTGCCTAGTTTTTTCTCTCCAAAACCTTAATTCCATCTGATCTGCATTATCTAGGTACACGTGTGTGTGTGTCTGTGTGTTTAAGGACCGGCCCGATTTTGGGCAGCAGCGAGAACGCCGACCAACCACTTCACAACAAAAACAAAATAGTTGAATCTTGACTCGGAAGTCCGACTGACCAACACACACACTTGCCTAACCCCCCTACATACATGCCATGCACGTATGCATGCACACAGACAATCCAAGAATCTCAAAAGAAACAAAGATAGTGTATTATCGCGTAAATCTGTCACAACATCTTTAACTCGATCGAGGAATAAAGTCCCCCTTCTCCTTCGCTTGTTTTTGATCGGCGACGCCTAGGCATGCTTGCATGCATGCAACCATTCAGTGATATGGAAATGAGCTGTTGTGTGTGTGATAATATGACACTAGGAAACTGTTGATGCTTTTTAGGGGGGGCGTTTTAATTTAGAGAATCGAGATAAAGTTTTAATTTTCAAGGGCTCATTTTCTTCTCTTTGGTGGTGGTGGTGGTGGTGGTGGTAGCGGTAGGGGGATTTTTGTATAGAGATAGAAGAGAGAGGAAGGGGGGGCATGGGCATGTGGGTTTGTAGGAAGAATTTGAAAGGTTAAATAACATACTATAAAATCTGATATATTCGAGATTGGAAGTAGTTGAGTGGGAGACCCAGAACTTGTATTTCTTTTCCTCTGGGAAGTTGTATTATAAAAACATGAAAGAAGAGAAGAAAAAAAAAGAATGCTGGTGAAGTTTGGTATATATCCTCATCCTAATCTGGCGTACCAACGTGGGGAGAAGATGTAACACGCGTGCATCCTGATCATTATTCTCCTCCTCCTCCTCCTCCTCCTCTTTGTTCTGCTATTGTTGACAATTTGTTAACTTAAGCATGTCTTAATTTGCTATGTCTGAAATCTAACTCTTTATCACGAACTCCCTCCCCCCTGCTTTTGTTAATATAAGAAGAGAAAGTAGAAGAGAGAGGAAATTATAATGTATACGCGACTAACTACTTCGACAAACTACAAAAAAAAAGCATGTATCAATAACATCATCGCTATCAACTCCCATCAAAACAGCAAACACAATCCATCCATCCATCCATCTAGAACTCTCTCCTCCTACATCCCAAGCGCGCAAAGCGCACAACTCGAACCTACCCTATCTCCCCCCCCTCTCTTTCCTTCTCCCGTCGCAAAGAAAACGCACGTGTCTCGTATACCTATTTCCCCATCCGTCCATCCGTCCATCCTACACGCACTCGGCTCCATGACATCGGCTCACCAATCCTCCGTCGTCCCCACCTAAAAAACAGAAAGGAGAAACTCGCCCGCACGTCCCCCAGTTCAGTTCGGTTCGGTCTCGAGCTTGTCCGTTCGGTTCCAGGGGGGAGGAGGATGATTGATTCCTTTCGGGACGAAAGATCCCGATGGTAGGGAGAAAGTGTGCCGATGGGAAGGCTTGGGAAGGTTTGGGGGAGTGTGCGGAGGATTAGGGCGTTTGAAGGATTGCGAGCACGTGTGCGCGCAATATACGCACGGGGCAGAGTTGGGTAGGGCGGGGGTAAGAGGAGAGCAGGTCGTCACGAAGGATGGGAGCGTGAAGGATTTTTGGATGGATGGATCGGGGGTGGGCGAGACGAGACGAGACGAGGCGATGATGTTATTGTGGGTGGATTGGGGGTTCTTGCTACAACGGTTTCGTCCCTGGTCTCCGTCCCTTCCCCCCCGGCTAAGTTTTATCTATTTACTTACCTTGCCTCACAGCTTTCTTACTCTATTTCCGCTAATACGCAAACATGACAGCACTTGAAACCCCGTAAATGTTTCTTCTCTCAATTCAAGCGCTGTCAGCAAAGAGCCAAAAACGTTTGCGAAAACGACCACGCCTCCTTCGTATTCGCATTACCAACCCAACGCGCCCCCAAAACGCCCACGCTTCCCCCAAACGAGAATTTCCCAGGGAACAGATTACGGGGAATCCCATCCCTTCTCTTTCCCCCAACTTTGGGGAAAGACAAGAACGCCACATGAGACCCTTTTTTTCTTGTTTCCATTTCGGCCCCCCCTTTTTGGATTCGTGTTATTACCGTGCCGTGCTGTTTGTGTGAGGGGGGAAGGACGGGTGGGGTGGGATAGGATAGGATAGGATAGGATAGGATAGGGGAAAGAAGCAGAGGCAGAGAAGAAGAAGGAAAACATGATAGAGTTTGGTGTTAGTGGAGAAGCATTTACTTTAATTTAGACCGTCGTTTTTATTTTTTATTTTTTATTTCAACTTTTGCGTTTTACAAGAGAGAGGGCGAAGGAAGGTTGACTTCGCTTTTTTCTGTTTCAATAAGTATTAGTCGACCCTTCAACAACAAACCTAAAAAGAAAGTAAACAGCAAAGCATCATCTGCATGCTGACCAAGAAAACTCCTAAGTTCAAGAAAATCCTTTCGTCTTTACTATCGTTATCTCCATAAACACCTGCGTTACACCGCCTCCTCTCCCACCCCTAAAAGTCAGCTCTTGGGTTAGAGTAGCATGATCAAAACCAACTCCAGCAATGATCGCACTCGATGTACCAAGAAAAAAACTACATAGCACGATTCCAAGATAGATCCCTCTAGATAACACACCTATCTATCCGACCAACCACAAAATACAATAAGCAGACCCGAGTATACACATCACCTCCCTCACCCATAAGTACACGACCTCACAATCCAATCCGAGATACCAAACACGCAAGATACCACGACTGCCATGCCGCCAAGCAATCCTCCCATCGCGTCCTCTAGCATCCCGTCGTTATCGTACGAATCCGCTATACATAACACGTGGACGGACATTACTACGGTAAGCAAGCACCACGTGAACGGACATTACGATGAGAAAACACCGCGTGAAGCGGAGTGTTTGTTTTTGCGAGTTAGTTATCTATTCGCCTCACTTTCAACTTCCCGTGCTCCCATTTTCTTATTCCGTTTCCGCCTCACTGTCGATATCGGTATTAGTGAAGTTGGGTTTGGAGGTAGGGTAGAGAGGACTGTTGAAGGATTTTGAGTGCATATGTAGTGTAGCATGTGTTTTATGGATATTTTGCAGTAGGGTTGGTGGTGGGGAGGAGATTGTAGTTTATGTGGCTTGTGTGTGTAGGGGGTTGTTAGGTAAGAATGTTGAAAAGGTAATTGTTATTTTTTTCTTCTTCGTGGTTGTAAGGTCTTGGGAACCGACTTTACCCTTTTCTTCCAGGTTTAATAGGCTAGTGTAGGCGCGTTTGTTTTATAAGAGAGAGTGAGAGAAAGATGTAGATGCCAATATATGTGTATCGTCAAAGACTCAGATACAGTATTAAATCTATAAAATATATATCTTGTATATTGAATCCAAGGAAATCCGCGTGCGACGTTTCCTAAGCTTGTACACCCCCCCAAAAAATATTAGGCGCTTGTCTAGACAAGACAAATAAGAGAGACAGGCAGTGCGTTATAGATCCATGTTCGACAGCTCAAAACATGGAGATTGGGTTCGCGAGCTCTCGTCCCTTCCCTTCCCTTCACGAACACCCTTAGCTGTTATTCTTTGTCAATATAATTGATACGAATTAGCTTGCTAGCAGATGGCATACTCCCATTGAAATTCTCATAGATGATATAGCAAGACTCTTGATAGAATATTTTCACTCTTATCTGCAATTCGTGTTTACTAACTCACCAGCTATACATCAGAAATCAAACACGTTTAAACTGCAATTTAGATTATTACTATCGTTTCACAGTATACCTATGCTCAATACCCATTCAAATAAGATAACATTGTAATGTCTTCGAAGCAGCCTACTGATTTATCTAACTACCCCATCTACCTTTCCTTCAACACCAAGAGAGGAATCCCGTGGACAATATGTGTATATGTAGTTATATATCAATTTGTGTGTTTGCGTGTGTGTGTTGAAGAATAGATGTAGGTTTATTATATACATGGTAATTTATATATCGCTATATTTCAGACTAGGCAGACATTCTCTTTCCTGGCTTTCTACTTCTTCGTTGAGTAAGATCGTACAGCAGCGGGGTCTGGTCCAGGGAGAAAGGGGGAGAGGGGTGAAGAGTATGTCGTTTGTGGTTTCGATATAGGGGTGTGAGGGCGAGGGTGAGGATGTTGTGTCGTTTGGTAATGTCCGGGTTTGTTTCCAAGCGGGGGAAAGAAGGTAGGGAAAGGAGTAAGCTGTATCGAATTGTGGGTATCGATGTTTGATGGCAATTGCGCGGTTGTTTCCATGTAGGATGTGCAAGAGTTACGTGGACTAGCCTAGCATGACTATATCCAAGTAAGGAGAGAGAATAAAGATCAGCGTTCATTCCAATTCACTTCAAAACTCGAACAATTCTACATCAACATGAACGAACAGAAAAGGAGAAATGGTAGAAAACAGGAAAAAGAGAAGAAGAAACTTACCTTCCCACCCCCAATCCTCCATGACGCCCAGAAAATGCAACCTCCCTCGAACAGTATACTCCAGACTCCCACTCCTCGTCATACAATCGACGCCCTTCTTGAACGCCGCGGAGATGGGGAATTCGCAGCGCCCCGCTGCTGCTGTCGTTGTCGGCGCTGTTATCGAGGAAGACCGTCTTGGTGCGATACTAGCACTGCCGTTGGCCCAGGGCGTTGTTTCCTTCTCGGTTCGGGGTTGCGTGGGGTCGATATCGCAGAGTGATGTGGGGAGGTGGTCGTTGAGCGCTGAGTCGATACGATGATGATGATGGTGGTGGTGGTGGGGATGGTCGGGCGAGTTTCTAGCGTTTGTAGTGGGTGTAGGACTACTTGCATGTCTGTGTGCATTTCCATTCCCATTTCCGATGTTTCCATTGTTGCCGTTACTGTTGATATTCGTGTTGTTACTGTTAGTGAGGAGTTGCGAATGCGGGTCTCCGATAAACGCATCGCGTCTATGCCAGACTTCCTCTGTGATCTCTAGACACCGATCTACGATGCCAGTCCTCATCCGCTTTGACAGCGATTGCCAGCGTTCTCTCACAAACTCGCGGTCATCTTCCTCCACGGCTTCGGACCCCGCTACCATGAGCGGGTATGTGTGCACGATGGCAGTGTGCGAGGAGGACGGGACAGTAGCGATATATACCAGCGTCTTGCGGCCTAGTTCGCCGACGGAAGATAGATTCGGGAGTTCAGGAACTGCTTGCTGGAGATAGAGGAGGGTGCACCAGCGGTAGGCTTCTGCGGTTTGGATGGCGTCGGACATGTTGGAGGTGGGGTTGTCGATGTGCTCGAGGGAGATGGCAAGGGTCCAGTTTTCAATTTCTCTACGGAGGTCGATGGCTCGGGAGATGATGGCAGGGGAGTTGTTGCGGGTGCTACAGCGGTTGCGGATCTGGGTGACGAGATCGCCTACGCGCCCGATGAGGGGGAAGAGGGTGGAGGCGTACCCCATGAGTGAGTCGAGCTCGTTGGTTCCGGGGTGGGGCTCGTACTGTCCGAACAACGAGAGCACTTCTGAGTTCAAGGGGGTACCACAGTCGGAGGTTAATCGTGCGATGACGTCCATGTAGATCCAGGTGTTTGCGAGGAAATGGAGGCGTGCAGATTGTTCGGTCGAAATGCCGTTATGTGGGGACGACATGTGGTTCGAGAGAGACTGTTGGAGGAGGATTCTCGCGCCTTTAATGTGGTCACGCCCCTTGGAGGATTTCTTGTGGTCCCAGGTCTCTGCAAACCCGAGAGCAATGGTTGCGGCGAGTGCGGCTTCCATCTGCATGGAACCACTGTTGAGCTCAAGCTCGAGAGCTTGCGTGCTCTTCTGAATATGTACGAGTCCTCGGTCACGCATGGCGGGTTCCGAGTGGCTCAACTGTAAACACGTCATAGCTGCTACAGCGTGGAAAAGAGCCTTTGAATCTTTGACCATGGGCCATATGAGAGTGCTCCAGGGGTTTTTACTAGGCTCCTCATATATGGAGAGGAGTTGACAAGTCTGCTGGTGAAAGAGCGAAGCAACCCTTTCAATACTGTCTGTTTCCTCTTGCGAATGAGGACCGAATGGAAGACCAGATGCATCGTATTCGAGCGTGGGAGACGGCGAACACGTGAGCAGAAAGTTACTCAGGTCGAGATTGAGGGGAGTGGGCCCCATCCCGTTGTCGTCGAATCCGACTCCTTGATCGAAAGCGATCGATCCATCATTCACACCGGAAACATCAAAATGCGGATGTGGAAGGATATGCCAGGGCAACTCCAATCCGATATCTGGCATTGAAAGATCAAATTCAGCCGCACCAGGCCAGGCGTCGGTGGTAGCAAGAGTCGATGAATCCTCAACACTGGACAAAACAAGGTCGTCATTGCCGGGATTCGAAAACTCTAGGTCATGAACATGGTCATTTCTAGCGTGGGAGGTACTGTGTGCAGCTTTACCAAGCGATATAGTGACATTCCTTGGGCGATCTGGTTTAGTACGAGCAGCAGCCAGCGGTTTTTCCACAGGGCGGAATCTGATATCTTTCCGATAACCTCCACAGCTCATTCTACGGCGGGCACATTGGTTGCAAGCGGGTTTCGTTTCGTCGCACTTGACTCTTCTCGCCTTGCATGTAACGCATCCTTGTTCTACTCGTTAGCATCGCCATTCACGTGGTCAATGTTGCAAAATGAAAAGTGAAGAAACGAACATGCCATTGCGACTCTTCGTAGATGATTTCCGCCGGGATGTGTCCTCGGGAAAGGACGATGCGTAGTCTCTGGCTGCGGAGGCCCTCGAGGCACCCGCAGTACCGTTATTAGCGGCGGCTTGTGGGTCGTTTGTCTCTTGCGACATGGTATTTTTGAGGCTCGGGGTGGGTTGGTCGGCCTGTTGTTTGCTTTTGTTCTCTTTCTTCTCCTCTTCGGGTTCTTATTTGCCCTAGTCCGCCGACTTATCTCGCCACGGAGGTGACCCAATGAACACGTCAACGTCCAGCAGCAGTTTCCACGAATGATATCAAGACAGTCAGGTATACTTCTCAAATCAAAAAGGAAATAAAAATCATGATGTGAGGATATCGCAGAAAGATGATTGATCACGGACGGCAATCTAACGCTCAAGTGCTCTCTCTACGAGACCCCGCGCAAATCCCAAAACGGAAAAACTTCCCATAGACTAAGGTAGCATGTGATATTAATTTGGTAACCACTCTAGAGATACACGGACTTTTTATATGTCACCGCTGGGTCATGGCATTAATCGCAGCGCGCGTACACGTCAGCAGACCCTGTTCATCTTCCCCATCCTTACATATACGGTCGTTGATCCTGAAGATGTTTCTACTTCTTTGTCAGAACGGTAGCGGAGGTATTTCACGACCCGAGAATATAGTAGCCATGGTACACCTGCGTCAGCACCACTCAACGGTTAGCAGCGGCAATGTTCACACCCGAAACACCTTTATAAATCTCACAAAGCAAGTCGCGATATCAACATTGCAATCCTGGAGGTAGATCTTTAAAAAGGTCTAGCGCGATGTGTTTGCCACATACTCAATTGATCCTTCGAAAGATAAGTACTTAGCTTAACCAACGTCTGCACGACCGCCAGCGCATCGGCTGAAGCAACGGGAATGATTATCTCTCTTATCAGAATACGGAGGTGCAGAAATCGGCCCGTTGCAATCTAGGAAGCCATGTATCTTTGCTTCGTCAAAGCCGGTTTCGGCTTTTAACCGAGCGGAATTGAGCTTCTATTGACTTTAAGCCTCTCTTTCCTTGATACCTTGTCACCAATTCTATAGTTATCCAGCTTTGTGATGTAGTTGATTGATTCTGTACAAGAAAATCGCCCCATTGGCCGCAATACACTAGTATGCATGGTATCACCCGCAAAGCCGTTATCCTTAAGTAGTCCATTGATTCACCAATTCGTTCAGATCATATAACTGAGAAGAGATCACACCTTTTTCCAGGCCGTAACAAATCGTGAAAAAATAAATAAAAATATCCTCAGACACCGAAAAGCTCGCTCGCTGGACTACGCGACATGAGAGCAAGACACAACCACAAACCTGACTCGTCGAATTGAAAAAAGGGAAAGAAAAGGACAATTCACGTATATCCCACTTCAGAAAAAAAAAAAAAACTCCCTCCTCATCGACTCACCTCGCCTCACCGAAACTCCCGTTCCCTCTCTCTCAACCCCGCGACACTCCCAACCACACTTCCCCTCCGCCCCTCAACCTCCTTAACAACAGCAACCTCTCTCAAATCCCTCTCCCTCTCCAACTCTCCAACTTCATGAAACCTGCCCACATGATTAACCAAGGCCTCGACCGTCCTACAGATAGCATCGCGCTCGCGGAACCGGCTACACAGCACACACGCGAACTCGCCATCGCGGGTATGACACTTGATAACGAAGCGCTGTCCGAGATGAAACTCACGCGTCTCCATGACGACTTCGTCGGGGCGGATGGTTGGGATCGGGGTTGTTTTGCCAATGGCCCAGAAGTCGGATGGGGCGATGTCGAGCGAAGTTAGGCAAGATGGGCAGGTTCGGGGACCGGAGGGACTGAAGGAGGTGGAGAGGGGGTGATGGGGGTTTGCTTGCAGTTGAGCGCTGTAGGAACAGAAGAGGGAGGAGTCTGGTTCTGTGTCTTGGAGGATGATGGTGGAGGAGCGTTTTGGGGCGCGGGCGAGTTGATGTGGGGGAGGGGATGGGGATGATCGTCGGTCTTGGAGGGCGAGGTAGCGGGAAGAGGGGGGAGGAGGGGCGTCGTGGTCGTAGTCGAGTGCGAGACGTTGCTGTTGGTCGCGGAGGGCTTCGATGGAACCTTGTCGTGCTGCGTCCGAGGCTGAGACCAGCTTTGCCATGTCGGATCTTGTTAGTTGGCGGTCGTTTGCCAGTGCGTCTTGTAAGACCTGGATTACGGTTTGTTGGAGCGCAATGATCTGGCGTTGTAGCTGATTTTCTGTGAGGGTATCTCCTCTTGCGAATCGGCTTCCTAACCGGCCATAGCCTTCGTCAAACTGGCGTTGAATGAGAGCGCCTGAGCGCTCGAAGCTGTCGCCGACTTCATCATCATCGTATCTTCTCCGTGGTGATTGGCCTCCTCCTCGTCGGAACTCGTCTCGTTCTTTCTCGGCTTTGTCAGCGCGCTCCTGGAGTTTCTTGATGGCTTCCTCCTGCTTGAGGTCGCGTTTGCCCTGGCGGCGCTTATCTTGTACCCGATCCCAGAGCCCAATGGACGACGTGAAGGTTCCCACAAGGGTTGAACAGAGGGTTGCGATTATGAAAGTCTTCTGTGGTACGTCATGTCAGCATTTACGTGGCTTCGGCGGGGAACATGGAGAAGGCTGTTATGTAGGTAGTTCGTACTTTGAGGTTCTTCTCCTCAATCATATTGGCGTAATTCATGGTTACAGATGATGGACGGTAATTCCGTCTTCTCACACTGTTCGTGTCTTCCGGCGACAAATCCGAATATGAATATTCGCAGTTGTGCGGGATGCGGGAAAGCGCGATGAAGGGATGTCAAGCTCGCTGTACCAAAATAGAAAACACGCTGCACTAAATGTGGATGAAACCAAAGGATGATGAAGGGGACAGGAAGTAGATTCGACGAAAAAGAAGAATAGAGTTAGGAATAGCGAGGATGAGGATGAGGATGAGGATGATGATGGTGTCGTGTGTGTGCCCAGGTTTAATACCCCAACCTCGTCCGTCGAACAGTCAAGGGGTGTGTCATTCAAGCAATTCCCTCAGCCCATGGATCAATCAGCACGCAATCTCCCGCTCGGCTCCAGCAAATAGTGACATTGCGACTCCGCCCGCAGGATCCTTTTTTCTTTTGTTTCCATATGCCGCGAGCTTGACCGCCCTCTCCGTTGTGCGATTTGGAGAGAAGAGGACGCAGGGTGCAGGCAGATGATGTCATGGCGCGTAAGCTATAGGCCAAGCTTCACGGTGTTGCCTTGTTAGGGTTAGCACACGGGAGCTTGGTTTCTGAGTTGACTACGATGGGTTATTAATCCTGGGACGGGATTCTCGATCGATAGTCCGTTGATTTGCTTTGTGCTTCTTACATGCAGTAGTAGAATGTCGGGGTTCATACGAGGGAGCTGATCGTTATTATTAGTTGACAAGGGAAATCATCACATCGTCACAAGAAGCCATTACCAGGTCAAAGACGCTTTTTTTGAGTTTCATTCATTCCCACTATCTCCCTATACTCGATCAATCTGTAGGGGCGGCAAGCAAAACAAGCCTAACTAGGTAGATACAGCAACTGAAAAACGAAGAGGCTGAGTGTTGGGTGGCGAGAGGAATCGTTATTGTCTCGACCGCAGCGACGAGAAGGCCATGCCAGATACCGAAGTAGAACATGTTTGCCAGAAAACGGACGACGCAGCGCAAGTCCAGGCTGCTCTCCCATCCCAATCTTTTTCATTCAACCATGTCGACAAGAATCCCCAAATACAAACACAAAGACGCTCCAGTGCATATCCAGCCAGTCCATCCAACCTGTCCCAAAGACTATACACAGAGAAGCTGAGGAATACAAAAGAATCATGTTTTTCCTTTTCATTGCACCAAGTAGGCACAAAGCCAGTTTAAGATGTTGACCGCGTGTTGATTTCCCCATCCACGCTACAAAGACCCCAAATCCAGCCGAAGTCGAATAAAACATATAAAAGAAAGAAATGACTGTTGAAATGATCCGTCTCGTCATCTCTCCCGCGAGAGAAAGACTCTAGGAACGCCGTGCGCCTGTCCTTTGAATGCCAGGTGGGTTATTATCATCCATATTGCTGTTGACAAGATAAAGAAGATGGAGAAGATGGATTGTGGTGAGCGCCAGGGCATTTGGTCGCTCATGCGTGATAAAAGTCGGTGAAGAGTGCGCCAAAGAGTGAGAAAGTCTGTACAATGGATCGACCATGAATTTTTCCGGTCAATATTGAGCGTTGACCGTCGTTCTAGGTCGTCAACGATAGTGACAACGAGAAACTTCCAGGTATCCTTATCCGAGATAATGATAGTCTGGGGCACGTTGTTTGCGATTCTTATTTTGGCTGCGGTGTGGGTTCAATGGCTTGCGCTCGTATGCGTCCTCCTGGTCTGGCTGCTGCTGGTTCACAAAGTTGCCTTGTCCACCACCGTTCTGGAAGCCCATATTGCCATTTCCTTGCTGAAAGCCTTGGTTCTGATTCCATCCCCAACCGGATGAACCGCGCATGTTCATACCATTCATGTTGTTCATGCCGTAGCCCATCTGTTGTTGAGCGTTGTACCCGTTGTTCCAGCCTTGGTTCATGTTGTTGAAGCCCATTCCGTTCTGTGCAAAGCCCTGATTGTAACCGTTCCATTGATTCATAGCGGGGTATCCTTGATTCATGCCGTTCATATTGGCCATTGGGTGCATGCCGTTCATACCATTCATCCCGTTCATTCCGTTCATGCCATTCATGCCATTCATTCCGTTCATACCAGCCATACCGTTCATGTTCTGCGGCATCATACCCATCATAGGATTATTTGGCATGTTTGCACCCGCGTTTAGTGGCGCGTTGGCACCAGGCGTCTCTTGCATCTGCTTGAGTGCCTCCATGGATTGGAAGAAGTCCTTCTCCATAGCGGAGGATTGATCCTGAACCTGGCGCTCTTGTTGCTCCTTCTGCTGTCGCATGGCTTTGGGGGCGGTGGGAGGTTTGATCTCTGTCGGAGCCTCCTTACGCTTCTTGGACGTTGTGGATGTGTCAGTATCTGAGCCATTACCGCCCACAGCTGGTGAAAGACTAGAGAGTGGCTTCGCTGTAATTGTCAAGGGAGAATTGACATCAGAAGATGAAGGAGGAACACTCGTGTTACTCGGCTTTGGTGATTTTGAACCAGCTTGACTGGTCTCACCAGCCTTGGCTTTTTCATCGATTGAGGGCAAAGAACTGTTTTCTTTATTTTTAGAAGGAGATGAGGGATTTGCAGCCGCCTGTACTTCCTCCTTTGCCTGCTGCTCCTTCTCCAGCTTCTGCTTTGCTTTCTCTGCCTCAAAATCCTTGATCTTCTGCACCATATCCTCATCCGCCGCCAGATCATCAATCAAGACACCGTCCTGTGAACAATTCGGACAAACCAAATCTCCATCTGCCAAGGCATTCTCGATGCAGTCGTGACAATACGTCTTGCCGCAGCACGGCGTCTTCACGGGGTCCACATACATGCGCTTGTCGATTGGGCATTCAAGACCTCGATCCCTCGCTTCCTTGTTAGCTGCATCTACATCGGCAGCCTGCGCCTTAGTTGCGATTGCCTTCTCTTGAAACTTCTCCCATGCTTTTGTGTCCGTCAGAACTTGCACGTATTCACCGTCGGCATTTAACATGATACCACGGGCATCTTCATCGTCCGCGGGCTTTTCAACCGTTTTCAAGAAAGACCGCGGGATGCCGGTCGTCCGCTTGGCTCGGGCCGTTGGTTTGAAATCGGGGTCGTTGTTGGTAGGGCAATCTTGGATCCAGTGTCCTTTCTTGTTGCAGCGATAGCAGACGTACCCTATCGGTATGTTATCGGGGGTGGCGTTGGGTTTGCGGATGGGTTGCCGGCGAGCGTTTTTAGCGGTGGATAGATTTGCTTTCTGCTGGTCCCAAACTTGAGCAGATTCAGCTAAGAAGGCAGCTTCCGCATCCAGTTCATTGGGGGCTTCTCCAGACCCGGCGCCGGCGGGTTTGTTTGCTTTCTTGATTGCTCGGACAGGGGCGCGTCCAGAGATATAGCGGGCTGCGCGGCCATGGCCGCGAGCAGCTGGCCTACGTACGCATATCACAGTACTCGAGCGTGAGATCAAGGTAGTGTCATCGTCGTATTCGGTTGTGGGTTGGTCTTCCGGGTATATGTGAAAGTCAAAGTCGAGGCCGTCGCCGAGTCCGCAGGTAATGATGATCTCGCGCTTCAGCTCGAACACTGAAATATCAGTGCCATCGAAAACGATTCGTGACGGCTCCTTGGAGTTTTTGAATCTGTAGAACACCGAAGACGACATGGTGGCGTGTACGAGGGTGATTGCCTAGGAAGGCGGAGTTAGGGGGCTTGACCGCCGGCGCAGTCACTTGGACTGCTAAACAGCTGCAATGAGTCGGAAGTTCAAGAAGTGGTACGACTTTGGATGAGAGCAGAATAGCGCAACTAGTATATTGCTACGTAAAGGGGAACAAGAAGGGCAGAAGGAAGTGAGGGAAGGCGGCAAGGGCCGGTAGCCCAAGAGTGAAAGCTGTTAGTATATATACTTGATGTAAGCGTGTAAAAAGCCTGCGCGTCTTCGTGTCACCGATGCTGAGGAGTAGCGAGCGACGCCTGATCCCAGTGTCGCTTTGAGGTTGTGTTAAGTGAGAAGGACAAAGTTGCGAGGTGTCGAGGGTGTGGTTGAAAGAGAAAGACTGCGGAGAACAAAGCTGTCGGTATGAGCGGCGCTGCCAAGAGATGACTAAGACAGTCACGTGATCTGATCCACGGCAGCAAGCACACGCGCATGTTCCAGCCACCTGCATGTACCCGTAGACAAATCTAGGTGGTACAGGTTGCGTCAAGAATTCATTGTTGGCAGCTCGTCTTAAATCCTGTGTAGTCTCACGCACAAATTTCATGAATGTTTAGTGAAGGGAGTGAAAGAACAGCAGTCGAGCAAGGCCAATCTTGCTATCGGATTGATTGACTCCGTGTATTTATTATACAGATTTGGGATTGTCTCCCGATTAACCATCCACCCCAATATTCATTCGTGGATGTTCAGGCTCTGGCCTGATTCCGCATTTTCAGAGAACCACCAACTTGAACGCCATAGAGCCCCAATAGCTCCAAAGCCCAGTGACAGAAGAAACGTTCAGAATATAAGAACTCAAAATGCCATGATGGACGAAACAAACAAACATTTGAAGTCGCCGCGCACAAGCAGGGCATAAGTCATTCGACCTTGCGCAAGTTGATGGCGATAACGAATCCAGTGCTCAACCACGTCCTCCGTACGGATTGTGGCGGAAACTGCCGCCGCCTCTCCCTCCACCACGATAATTGGCTCCAGGCTTGCCCGCATTTTTGGGGCCCGTTGGGGCGTTGGCAGGCGCATTTGGAGCTCCTGCAGGTGGCTGGCTTGAGCCTTGACGACCTCGACCGTTGTGCTTATTGAAGTTACCTCCATGCATGCGGTGGGCACCAGGTCCCTGAGGGATACCGGCTGGCTGCGGGGCATCGTCGTACATTCCCTCCCATGCAGTTGGACCGCCAGCACCACCATACCCACCGGCTTGCTGCATACGTCGCTGTTGCTGCTGTTCGTATTTTTGCTGTTCAAAGGCGTGCTGCTCTTGGGGGTTGAAGCGTCCAGCATTGGCAGCAGCCATCATTGCTTGGTCACCTCCAAAGCCTGGTGAGGCATTACCACCTTGCATGTTGGCGAATTGGGCGGCCATCATGGGGTTCATCCCACCACCTTGACCCATGCCTCCCATCATACCCATCATCGCAGGATTCATACCGGCCGGCATGTTGGCCATCTGAGCGGGCATACCATTCCCAGGGGTACCTTGAGCGGCTGCGAGATTTTGTTGCATCTGGCGGAAGTACTGCTGCATTCGCTGCCAGTACTGTGCCATCATGGCGGGAGTCATAGAACCGTTCGCACCACCCTGCTGATTGGCATTGTTCTGGCCAGCGTCATAACCAGCGTTGCCGTTATTATTGCCGCCATTGTTGAGACCACCAGCATCGCGGCTACCAAATTTCCCTCGACCGAACTTTTTGTTTTCCTCCTCTTCGCGCATGTTGCCACGGGGTTGAGCACGCTTGACTTCGATTGGCTTTCCATGGATCTGCAGAGGACCGGACAGGCACGCATCGACGGCGGCATCACCATCAAATGTAACGAATCCAAAACCGCGAGGGCGGCCAGTGTCCTTATCCATCATCAAAGTGGCATCGACGACCCGGCCAAACTGCTTGAAGAAGTTTTTGAAGTCGTCTTCGGTGGCTTCTTGACTCACACCCCCAACAAAGATCTTGCTGGTGCGTTCTTGCTCCTCGCGCGGAATCGCTCGCTTAGGATCAATCTGATGATGTTAGCCACAGCTAGAGCAAGGCATTGGGCAGTACTGACGATTTTTCCATCCAGATAGTGCTCTTTCACCATGACAGTGTTTACGCACTTGGGATCTTTGAACGTCAAGAAACCGAAGCCTCGAGACCGGCCGGTGGCATTATCACGCATGACACTGCAATCGCTGACTTCACCAAATTGAGAAAAATATCCTTTGAGTGAATCTAACGACTGAAGTCAGTATATAATAATACCAAGTGAATACAGCAACTCAAGTTCTTCTGAATTGAGCGTCTTACCTTCTGTTGTTTCCCAGTTCAATCCACCGATGAACATTTTTCTGCAATGCATGTTAGTGACAATCAGAGTAATTAGTTCAATCATTGAGCAATTCTTTATTTGTATCGTGCGACCCCAGGGTGTCGTAGTTCCAGGTAAACATGGTATGGGCTGAATTTTCGAGTGGAGGCCGCGCCAGGCAACTTTGATCAGATTCGATGGTGTCGGCATGTTCCTGAACAACCCCACAAGAGGCTGGTACTGAGGGCAGCCAGTTGCTCATCAAATCGTACGTCGCAAATTAGATGGTGGAAAGGGTAGGTATGGATCAAGATCGGCCATGGTTATTCAAGCTGTTCATAGAGAGCCGTACAGGCTACGTGCTCAAAGAGTGTGCGTGCATGTTCCAATCCAGTCTCAGACGCCCATTGTGTTAGGGGCATGGAGGGAGATATTTGCTTCCCCGAGACATTGCTTAACTGTTGAGCGGTGGATGGATAAAATGACAAGCCATGCACAACACCAAGCGTTTGGAATGCCTGCTCTTCAATCGCTTCGACTTTTGTTGATGTTGTCTTGCGCTTTCTCATGAACCACGCCACGCAGGTCGTACATATCCAATATCAAAAGCCCGTCCAGAGTTGAGGGACAAGTCGCCTTGCAGAGCAACAGAAATGTTTCGGGTGAAGCGTCTGTGTTTTGCTATGGAGGCAAGCATGGATATAATTATCCAACGCTTGGGACTACCCTCAGCTCGCAGCTGGTACGCTATCAAGTACCTAGGTACACATCGATATGTAAAGGGCGCTGCCAAATCTGAGGGCAACCTGCGACTTCCTTCGCATGCCTTGGTAAGGTCGGATGAAAAACTTGTCGGCTACCCCAGGCGAGCTTTTTATATGCTCCGAAACGCACTGCTGGATGCATGTACTGACTTGCTCAGATCTCCGACCACTTGTTCCCGTGCTCCGTTCCACAATCCATAGAACTCATAATGATTCGTGCACCCATCTCTGATAGCCAATGTGCATTCGCAATCCCTGAGTATGTCGATGGCTGCGCTCCATCGACATTGCGCATCATTCAGACACGCCAGGCACAAGTGATGATCTTTGTGCCGTACCCAGGTATGATTGTGGCATCATCCAGATAGTTCTTTCACGAGTCCGGTTTTTGTAGAATTGGCGATGTTGATGGTTGCTGATGTTTGTAGCACTTGCGGGCTTTGATACGTTTACGTGCACCGGTGTCGCACTTCATCAGTGCGGACACTCGATGTCCTCGGAAAACTCACCTACCCTAGATCGCACGATACAAGACGGCAAACACACCAAGGATCATGTACAAGATAGAAAAGAAAGATTAGGCGAAGGGACAGCCAGAAGTGCCTTGGCTAGAGGGCTTCTGACAATGCTAATACGTACCCATCTTCTTTGACGTTGATCGGACCATAACCGTCATCGCCACCTTGCGCATTACCCTGCATTTGATGGCTGTTGTCGTTTCCGTTCCAGGTGGCACCACCCATGTTCGAATCCTCATGCTCCTCGACGGGTTCATCCTTGATAGGAGCGGCGTCGCTGGCTTCTTGAACGGGGGGCGCAACATCCTCCAGCTTCACAGCGGAGGGTTCGGGCTCAGTTTTGACTGCGGAAGCGGCGGGTGCAGCTTGTGGTTCCTCATCGTAGCTGCGGATACAGTCAACCCAGTTGCGCGAGATAGAATAGCAATAGCGTATGTCCACTTACAGATCGTCAAAGATGTCCTCGTCGAAGTCGTCGGCCATGGCAGGCAACGAATTGCGGAAGCGGGTTGTTGTGAGGAGGTGAGGATTGGGAAATGAAAGCTTGCGCCTTTAAGTTGGTGCGCGCTCTCACCAAATGCCAACGCCCGTGAGGGAGACCAAAGAGAAGAAGGGGATTTGTATAAATGGAAGGCGGTGACCTGGATGGCGTCGATAGAACACGTATCGAAAGTAAGAGAAGAAGAATGGAATGAGAACGCGTCCAGGAGGGTGAAGGCGAAGATGAAGCAGACGGTGGCAGAGGCAGTTAGTCGAGTTAAAGTCAGAGAGCCTGTGTCTGTGCCCGTCTTGGTCGGCCGTTGCTAAAGTGAGGAGTTGGTTAGCTCGCCGATAAAGAACGCTAACCCCGACTCGGCCCGTCGGCCTTGGCGATCCTTGAGGCGGGGCGTCACCGTGGCCGTGTCTGTGTGCAGCATTCAGAGCTACATGGTAGAAGAGTGGGCGGCACTTGGACAATTGAGAGAGCGGAACATGGCTAACAAGAAACAGCAGCAGGTAAGCATATTCAAAACACTCTTCATGGCTCATATCACCCATTTTTACGGCCGTCGCTAATCCCCCAATTCAAGGAAATGGTACAGGTTGGTCCGTATATAGCCTTTCTGTTCCACCTCCGCCATGGCAAACAACATCACTGACAAAAGCGTTCCTCTGTGAACAGACCGATCCTCGTACGTCCATGGAAATTACCAGATCATCAATTCATCGTGGACACGGCTCACTAACCACAATGATCAGGTCGGCATCCCCATTCTGGCGAACTACTTCGAATACCTCCAAGCCATACGAGAACAAGAAGATCATCGGCGCCTCTTACTCGCATGCGGATATCTTGAAGTTTGAATCTCTGTATGCGATACGTACCCTCTCTAATCTTCTGAGCTTACCGTTCAAGTTCACCCCCAGCCTCCAGTTCGCGCCCCAGAACACCGCCATCCGCCAGTTTTAGCCGCGACTCGAGTGCTCTACCCTCGCGCACTGGGAGCAACAGTTCCCCCGCCGCTTCCAAGAAGACGTATAGCAGTTTCTTGCGCGACACCCATAACGACTGGGATGAGCAGGATGAAGATGACGACATCATGTTTGAGGATGACGAGGACGAGTTCGGGCTTCCCAGTATAGCGAGTATGCGCAGGAAGGGCAGACGGAAAGAATCGAGACATCCAAAAGACCCGGGTGGCATGGCTGCTAAAAATGACACAAATGCGACCGCATGGCGAGCAATTGACAGTGGAGACATCGCAGAAGAGAGAGGAATACCCAACTACCCAACTGCGAAAAAGGTCGAGGGAAAGATCTTACGGCCACAATATCAGGAGATACTACGAGACCCAGCGAATTCATTACACCTCATTTCACATCCCCCTACCCCCGCCAATGCTTCCGCGAAGGAAGTTGAAGAGCATTCCGCTCGAATAGGTCGCATCAACAAGTTCAAACGCATATTGCAAACAAGCACAATATCGTTGTCTGATCTACGAGATTCAGCATGGTCAGGCATACCATTTGAAGTCCGCGCCATGGCCTGGCAGGTTCTGCTCGGTTATCTCCCCACAAGTAGTGAACGAAGAGTGGCAACCCTGGAAAGAAAGAGAAAAGAGTATCTGGATGGAGTGCGACAGGCTTTCGAACGGGGCAGTTCGGGAAATGCCAGCTCCGTGACCGCTGGCATGGCTGGAGCTTCGTCGAACCCCTCGGCAAATCGCGGGCGAGGCCGTGGGTTAGATGAGGCCATCTGGCATCAGATCAGCATTGACGTACCGCGAACCAACCCACACTTGGAACTCTATAGCTACGAGGCCACACAAAGATCATTGGAACGGATACTTTACGTATGGGCGATAAGACACCCAGCTTCGGGCTATGTACAAGGCATCAACGACTTGGTTACTCCATTCTGGCAGGTATTCCTGGCCGCGTACATTTCAGATTCCGATGTGGAGTCCGGAATGGACCCTGGCCAGCTGCCAAAGCAAGTTTTGGACGCGGTCGAAGCCGACTCTTTCTGGTGTCTCACAAAACTCCTGGACGGTATACAGGATAATTACATATCTCATCAACCTGGCATACAGAGGCAGGTTGCTAGTCTCAGGGATCTGACAACACGCATCGACGATGGTTTAGCGAAACATTTGCAAAATGAGGGTGTGGAATTTATACAGTTCAGCTTCCGGTGGATGAACTGTCTTCTCATGCGAGAGATATCCGTGAAGAACACAATACGGATGTGGGATACGTACTTGGTACAAAACCACCAATTCTCTTTTGAAAAAGTGCTAACAACTCACAGGCAGAAGAAAATGGGTTTTCCTCGTTCCATCTTTACGTATGCGCCGCTTTTTTGGTCAAATGGTCTGATCAGCTACGCAAGATGGATTTCCAAGAAATCATGATGTTTTTGCAATCCCTGCCTACCCGGCAATGGACGGAAAAAGACATTGAACTGCTACTGAGTGAGGCATTCATCTGGCAGAGTTTATTCAGGGGAAGCAGTGCACACTTGAGGAATACAGGGTCCAAAGGCGGGCTAGAGGTTGGCATGGGCCCTAACAGCTAGCCCGTATCTTGATTGTGTCTGTCTTGTCAGTAGATAGCATATAAACTCAACTCGAGTGACATGGGTGAGATGCCAGAGTCAAATGCAACTTGCTGTATCGCCTTTGGTGCTGCAGTGCCCACGTCCAAAAAAGTCAGTCTAAGAGTGAGCAGTCCAACACTGATATACCAAGAAAAGTGACGATGGAGACTACGTAGAGCTACATCAATTCGATAAATACACAGTAAAGTACAGTGACCATAGTGACCCCCACTTCCCCAACTCTCGACCCCGCTATTAGACTGCGTACATCATCAATCTGATCCCGAGGCCCGACTTCCTTCACACTATCCCATCTGATCGTCTGAACACTATTAAACAACATTCATCACGAATCCTTCCCATCTTCAACTATTTTCAACTCCACAAAGACAAAAGGAGAAGGATAAAACAGCCAAACAAATCAGGAAAACCATCATGACCATCCCACCACGACCCCCATTCACCTCCCTCCCTCTAGACCCAAACGGACCCCCAGGAAACGCTTGGGGTCTCTACGGCGCCTCCGACGAGCTCGGCGCTCTAAACATGCTCACCCCATCCGTCGTCAAAAACGCCGCCCGCCAGATCCAAACCGGCGAGCGCATCTCCCTAGATTGGACCCTCAATCTGCCTTCCTACCCTTCCTTCTCCCGGCCGCCGTTCCAATGGCGTCTTCATCATAAAACGCATCCAGACGGTACCTTCCGCATGGTCAATGATGACTACTTGCACTTCAATACCCAGGGGAGTAGCCAATGGGATGGTTTCCGGCATTATGGGTATCAGAAGGCGAAGTTGTATTTTGGGGGTAGGACGCAGGAGGAGATTGAGGGGAGTGAGGTCATTGGGATTGACAGGGTGGTGGAGGCTGGTGGGATCACGACGAGGGGTGTTGTGTTGGATTATCCGAGGTGGAGGGAGAAGATGGGGCTGGGTGAGGTGGATGCGATGAGTGCGGAGAGCATTGGTGTTAAAGAGTTGAGGGGCATGCTGGAGGATACTGGGGTTGAGACGAGGGAGGGTGATTTGCTGTTGTTGAGGACAGGGTTTACAAAGGCGTATGAGGGATTGGGGGATGAGGCGAGGAAGGTGAGTTTTCTTCTTCTTGTTGATCTGTGGAATCGCATGTGATATGGAGAAATCTGTGGTTATGGAATGATGACCGGTTTCAGGAATTCGCGAACAAAACCCCAACATTTCTGGGTGTCGAGTCCAGCAAAGAAGTTCTGCAGTGGATATGGGAAAGTGGTTTTGCTGCTGTTGCTGGGTAAGTCATTGCCGCCTTCCACTGTTCTCAAATTCTGCCGTTATAGGCTACTGATGTACAGAACAAAGTGATGCACCAAGTTTTGAGATGTCTCCATTAGTAGGTGATCACACAAAGCCTGGGGAGCTCTGGAAGGGTGAGGCGTGGGAACAAGAGATGCAAGGCGGAGGTTTGCTCCATCAGTGGTGTCTTGCTGGATGGGGTGAGTTCATCTCTCTTTCCATGAAAATATCAGCTGAATTTTGAGTAGGCCTTATGATTGGCGAGATGTTTGATCTGGAGCGATTGTGTCAGAAAGCCCACAAATTGGGAAGATACACATGCTTTGTGAGCAGCGTGCCTCTAAAAGTAAACAATAACCATACCATCCATAATTCCGGAAATAAACAACCACTAACAGCTAACCCGTTGTTCAGGTTCCGGGTGGAGTAGCGAGCCCGCCGAACGCTGTTGCAATCTTCTAGTTCCGATTCCTCATGACAGCATTCCTGGTATCCATGCCTACCAATCCATTCCTTGATTTGGCACCACAACATCTACAATATATCAATCAGCTTTTCCATCTATCTGCATTAGAATCTTATGCGCCTCCTTGTCTCGACCTTCACTCAATCACTCCTTCCCAAACAAGTCTTGATCGCAAAACACCATCATAATGAAGCCAACCACCCTCCTCCTCACCCTCACCACAACATTCCTTTCCTGCTCCTTAGGCGCAAAATTGACCACCACCACTACTGCTGTCTCTACTTTGTCCCCCACTTCCAGCATCACTAAATCGAAAACAACTACTGTCACCACCCTCCTAACAACCACGTCACCTACTACATCATCATTAACGAAGATCGCGATCCCAACACCGTACATTTCATACCTCAACACGACCTCCGGCTCCGAAATCTACGCCCTGTTCAACATCACCTCTGACTCTCTCAACGGCACCTACTACGACTCCTCTTCCACTAAACCCAAGAAATCGAAGAAGAAGGGCAAGAAAGGGAAGAAAGGTGGCAAGAAAGGAGGGAAGAAGGGGGGCAAGAAAGCTTGCACTAAGATGTGTGCTGCGAAGCGGAAGGGGATGAAGTGTGGGAAGGGAAACAAAGCTTCAAAGGTCGGGGTATGTGGTTTCTAATCTTTTTTTTTCTTCGTTCTGGATTTATAAGGACCTGGGCTAATTGAGTTTTGTGTTTAGGGTTGCTGGACGTGCTGTAAAGCGTAGAGGGTGAAACCAAGGGGTGAGAAGGCGGAATACAGGAAACTTCAGAGGGTGAAAGTGAGGGTAAGGGTGAGGGTGAGGAAGGATGTGGTAATTTAGGCTAGGGTGGGAGCAGTGAACCGTGAGAAGAGAAGGGACTCTGTTTCAATGCTTTCTTCCTTTTATTATGTGAAATATATTCGCTTCTGTGTCATCGTTTGTTGCATTTTCAAAGGACGGGAATGCTGTGCGTCGTGGAAATTTGTGCATTCAAAACGCAGATATTCAACCAGACACTCACTGTTTCCAACATCGAAGAACTCCAAGGTTGCGCACGTGCGATGACATTGTCGCAATATTATGAACCCATCCCACGGAAAGCGATGAAATAAAGCAAGTCATTGCGCTGCATCAATCTACAAGGACGCGGATCCCCTTGTTGCTTGCGTGTCCTACCTCGAAACAATCGTCTGCATTCACAAGACACATTAGTTCCTGCGCTATCCATACCTCCATCCCTCTATACACCAATAATCCAGAAAGAGAGTAAAAATTGAGGTTATCAGATGTAGGCACTCACGATCATAAACCATCTCATCAGCCGCAGTCTCATAAAGTCTCATCCGACGGCCAAACCGCCTAATGAACATGGCAGCTTCAATATGCATGACCATCCACGCAAAACTATCGCACACAATCCCCCACGTCAGTGACTTTTCTCTAGCCACGCATTCCCACCACCACCAATGACTCCTCACCGAAAAGAACAAAAAAAGCAGAAAATTGGAAATCAGACTCACTTGATACCAACACAGCCCCTAGTGCCTTTCGAAAACGGCAAAAACCCAATGTCAAGCTCATTGTGTCTCTTGCCATCTGCATCGAGCCAGCGCTCCGGCATCCACTTCTCCGGCTCCGGGAAGACATCCGGGTTATTATGCATGTGGTACGGCGATGTAGACATGGGTGTGCGTGCGGGGATTGTGTAAGTGTACTGTTTGCCGGTGGGATTGTACGTCGACGGTGCTGTGGAGGAAGTGTAGAGAATTTGCTCGTGAGGAACGCGTGGAGAGCGGGACTATCGGGGTTAGTAGGGAGATTCATTATGCGTCTAAGGTAAAATAGAGGAAAGGAGAGGAACGCACTGCGATGCCGCATGAGAAACGGAGGGTCTCATGTAAACAGCCGTTTAGGTACGGCAATTTCTCTAGCTCGGTGGATGGGGGGAGGTTTGATGGGTCTGGGATTGCGGTTTCGAGTTCTATGTTGAGTTTTTCTAAGGTGCTGGGGTTGGCGTGGAGGTAGTAGCTTAGATATGTAATTGCTGGAGATTGTAAAGAAAAGATATTAGCGTTTCGAGCTTTTCGTAAGTGTGGCATGTTCAGTGGCTGACCTGTGCTAGTTGTGAGGGCTCCTGCGCCAATGACTTCGCGAGCTCCTTCTTTGAGTCGGTTTCTGGATTTTTCTTGGGCGGGAAAATTGCCGTCGAGGATTTCTCTGAAGATGGTTTTGTGGCCCTCGTGTTTGCTCCATTCTTGCTTGCTGTCGAATACGTCGTCGACGGTTTGGAAGATTTGCTGGGTCACCAAGTCAGTGGCAAATTGAACAGAGCAAAAGAGTTTTTAAGGGATTCAGGGTGTGTGTTGACTTTTGACTGGGCTATCGTATCTACGCACCTTCTCGAACATGATCCATTCACTCATTTTGGGGTCGAGTTTGAGCATCACACTCTCGGGGATCCACTCGCTCATCAAAGGGTATAGAAATGGAATATGTCGTAAAGCGTGCGCCATGCCCATAGAAGCGCGCAGTGGTCCAAACAGATTAGGTTCGAAATCTCGGTGATTGGCATACCCGCGATCCCAGCCAAAAGCGACATATGTGATGAGATCGATACTGAGCGATACGAATGCTAAAGTCAAGTTGCACACTTCCCCAGTTTTGGAGTAGCTATCGATTTGATCGAACGACTTGTTGATATACTGCTTGATACTTGTCTCGAATTCCCTGACGTTTGTCCTGGAAAAGAATGGGTTAAGACTTGCACGACGCAGGCGGTGTAAATCATGGTCTGCAGTTCCAAAACACGATTCGTAGATAGGGAAGGCCCGGAGGTAGAAGTCTGATTTGTCTCTCTTCCTGCCACCGCTGGCGCTTGCGTAGATGGTGTCGACGAAGGCCGGATCCATGCAGTGTAGTTCGTCTGCGTTGATCCGGACAATTGGGCCGTACTTCTTGTGCCATTCCGGATATTTTTCTAGTGTTTTCCCTCCCAAAATCACGTCGTAGTAAAACTCATACCACAATGTGATTATTGGAAGCTTCGGGCCTGGAATATGGGCGAGGGGGTGGAGGAAGAGTCGGTAGAAAGCCAGCAGCCAGAAGTAAACGATGCTAGTAACTATAATGGCGAGTATTGGATGGGCTCCAAGAGCAGCACCAACGGTAGCAAGCTCCATGACACGCAAGGTATGAAAAATGAAGGTTCAACCGTGAGCAAGTCGGAATAGGACCTCAAATCGCCAGCGCATTGAACTTTAATATAGGAGACGTGTGAATACACGGGCCCTCGCGTATACCCGTCCCAAGTCTTTCCAACCAATCATAATGCAACCGCCCGCGGGAAGCTGTAGTCTAGTGAATGGCTTATCTTGAATGGGATCCCGCTAGGACAATTCATGGCAGGAGAACTGCGGGGTTAATCTTCATCAGCAAATACCACTGGCCCAGCGATGGAGTCGCATCATCGTGGTCAGAGCTTTTCACATCGGTAATTGAGCTCGTTCCGCTGATTCCGTATTGTTTGGACCCAGAACCCTCGAATGGGGACGGCAACCTTGTAATAGTAGGATCCGTAGGCATGGGTGAACATGTGCCATTGGAATGGTACATACGAGTTCGTATAATGCTGGCTCTCTTCAACCTCACTTACGGGGTCTTGGCCGCGTGGGTAAATAAATCACTGCATGTACGAGGAACAGCGTGATAGTAGTATGATGTGCTATATTATACAATTAAGCTGATTGCAGTTTACATTAAAGAGAATATTTTCATTTCTTCTAAGATTTTTAAGTAGGCTTAAAACAAGGATTTTTCAAAAAGCAGGCGGTAACAAAAAATACTTTTTCCACAGCCGCGATCTCTTCTGAGAAACTCCGCTACTGGTTGCGCCTGTCTTGAGTAGTTTTTGTTGTTGTGTTTCGTACTGTGCAGATTTGCTTGAGGGTGCCCGGGAATGAGTAGCAAGACATATTGGCTAGCATCAACAATCGCATGTCTACCCCTAAAGGCTAGGACGCTACGAGCAGAGTTATTTCGCTATCAGAAGACTGCTGTACATTAGAATTTTCATTCCTTGGCTTTTAGTATTTGAACATTATATCATCCCACAAAGCCCCTACTACACGCAAGTAGATATTCCTGAAATCTAATAACAGAAGGAATCTTAAGAGGACTTGTAGTCGGAGTGTTCTTAAAAGCAGCAACCCTAGGTGTTGTACAGAAATAGAATAGTGAAAGTGCAGCATACTACTCACATATTACTATGAAATGTAGCCTTGCTACGCAGTACTGAGTATTGCCACTACCTACGGCGTAATAGCTGACTAGTTCCTGCCCTAATCTTGCGCTGATAGCAACAAAGAGGTGATTGTCGATACAAGGTGTGGTAGGAGCTTGTACAAGCTCCCGATCATGCACTTGATCTGTGATAGGGAGCCACACTATTACTCGTTGTCGGATCCGCAACGGTGACCAAAAAAAAATAAAGAAAAACGTTTCGTACAGTAGCCCCGTCGCGGACCGGACTCGTAGCCGGACCGTGCCCACTTTTCTTTGCCGCGAATGAAACGTCCATCCCGAATTGCGTAATTATAATCATGTAGTATCCTCCTGTCAGGTCGTGGCAAACATTGTCTCGTCCCACTATCCCGTCATTACTGATGATCAGTAGATATCGTAGCTCTCATACATACTCAGACACCTTGCTTGGATGTCGTCTTCTTGGTCGTGCCCCTGCCGCTTCATTTTTGGGCGGCGAAGTGGAACCTAGGGGCTTTCTACCACCGATTCCTTCATGTACATAGAACACAGACGTCAGAGTGTGTGTCACTCAGTCCACGCCTTGTGCAATACCAAATCCTGAAGTCGGAATCGGAGACGCTCCCCACCATGACTTCATTGAAACGTCACGGTATCAATCTGGCAAATGTGGATGAGAACCGGACAATCGCGTACACTTAAAGCTCTTGACACATCCGTGTCTCATACGAATTCACACATGACCAACCTGTTCTCTCATGTTAAAATGTCTTCGGAAATGAAAGCCATCGGTGTAGCCCAATATGGAGCAGTTGACAACCTCGAATCAAAGCGGATCCCCCGCCCATCGAAACCGACAGGACGACAGATGCGCGTGCAAACCAAAGCTATTTCCATCAATCCCATCGACATCAAAGTACGACAGGGCACTTACGATGATGCGCCCGACTATTACGACCGCGTCCGGGCTTTAACGCAGGAGGACCCCAAATTCCATGTCATCGGTTACGACGGCGCAGGCATCGTTCTGGAGGTCGGGCCCGACGTAAAGCATTTCCAGCCCGGCGAGGAGATTTATTACCTAGGTAACCCGGTAATGCAGGGCTGCTACGCCGAGGAGGTACTGGTGGATGAGCGGCACGCCGGTCACAAGCCGCGCCGCCTTGATTTCGTGGAGTCGGCTGCCATGCCGCTGACCTACGGAACGGCCTTTGAATCACTGGTGGACCGACTGGGTATCCAGAAGGGCGAGCGTGCGGGTATCTTGATCATCAATGGGGGCGGCGGTCTAGGCTCCATTGCCTCGCAGATCGCTCGGCACTACCTGAACCTTCCGGTAGTCATCACCACGGCCTCGCGCCCAGAGACAAAGGCTTTCTCGCAGGATATGGGTGCCACACACGTGGTTAACCACCGCGAAGATATCGTGAAGCAGATACGTGATCTTCAGCTCCCGCCGATGTGCCACTCAAGTACGCCTACATCACGTCGCGAACGGAGCAGTACATCAAGCCCATTGCGGAAGTTTTGGCTCCCTTTGGCAAGGTTTGCAGCATCGTGCAGGCCAAGTTCGACATGTACGGGTCGCAGTTCATGAGCAAGTCTCTCACCTTTGTTTGGTGCTGGCTGGTCTCGGGAGCCTACCACTCCTACGTCAACGACCAGGAGGAGAAGCATCATGTATGGTACGAAGAGCTGGCCGAGCTGCTGGATACGGGCGTGATCAAATGTCATCTCACGCGTAGAGCCAAACTGACATTGGGTAACCTCCAAGAGGCTCACAGGGTGATGGAAGCTGGAAAGGGAGTGGGCAAAACGGCATTAGGGGTGGATGAACCCGAAGAGCGGGAAGCATTCTGCTAAACTTCGAGGGTGATGAAATGCTGAGACACCCACTCCGAAAACATCACACATCCAGCATTCTGTAAATTTTGCTAGCTATGAAAAAATGTAAATGTTAAAGTGATATAAAATTGTAGCGGTCCAGAGACACTGGCTTGCAGCTTTGTATCTTATTGGATATGTGTCACTTCTGCTTATTAGAAGGATCAACCGATAACACGCAAGTATAAAAAATTCCTCTATTCGTACGTAGTTGTCCATTGACCACACCGTTATGTGGCCAGAACTACGCCACACAGATGGATCATGGCGCATTCCTATTCGCCAAATCTCCCATTCAGAAGTGAAAGCTTGAGAACTTGCAATTTCCGGCGCGAGATAATGATGCTTGAGGGTGCACAGCATCCAAGAATTGGTTATGCCAAGACACAAGCATCATGACTTCGGGAAAGTTTAAAAAGAATCAACTAGTGAAACTATTGTTATGTGGACATATTAGAATGACATCAAGAAACTTGCATTATCAAGTCAGAACAGTGTTCGTCCCTCCGAAACTAATTAGAGATACGGAAATGCGTCTGGACAACCGGCTTTCCATCTCTATATCGATCCAAAACCTCGTTCACCGCATCCGCATTCAAGCCTACCCCATCCGCAATCGCGTATTTCAATGGGAAAATCTTCCTCGCCTCCAAGTACTCAGTGATATGCTCCCACTGCTTCTTTCCAACAGAGCGCAACTGCGGGATACCAGTGGTATTAATAACCTGGTAAGTCCCGGGTTCCCTCGTGACATTCGTAGTGTCGTGAGGCGCACTAGGACGTAGTCGAGAAAGCTTGCCATGTCCGGAAGACGAAAGCGCATTGATACCAACGTACTGCCCGTCCGGCGTGTTCACAGCATCTACAGCGTACAATAGATTATCGCCCACCGCTGCTTGGATGCGGGCACGAACAGCTTCATATCCGCCATGTCGATCAAGGACGGTTGTGGCACCGTATTTTTTCAGTTCTTCCTCGTTTCCACCTAGAACCACGATCTTTCCGAAGCCGGAAATACCTGCTAATTGCACTAGAAACTTGCCACAGTTACTTCCGCCGCCAATTATTAGGATCGTTTCGCTGGCAAGATCAACCGATTCAGCTTTCGAAGACCCAGGGATAGGGAGTCCCAGACCCGATTCCTCGTCGTACAGCGTGATATAAGCCGCCGAGAAATTAACAGGAATGGTCGCAACTTCGTGATCACTATAGCCTTCTGGGACCTTTGCAGTGTATGCCTCATCCGAAATTGCATACTGCTGCAGCCCGTTTTGGGCATGTCCTGGCTCAAACATGTTTCCGTATGTGAAGGCGTGGTCGCCAACTTTGAATTTGGTCACCTCGGATCCGACAGCGTGGACAATTCCGACAATGTCGGCACCCAGAGGGGTCGGTAAGGTGTCTTTGATGAAGAGGCCATAATCGCGACCATAATGGTCGTGGGGATTGAGTCCTGTGAGGGTTACTCGGAGAAGAAGTTGGTTAGGTTTAGGTTGGTGAAGTGGCCATGTTGAGGTCGCAGTCAATGGTTTTCCGAGTTCGGTGACGAGGAGGGCGTTTTGAGTCGACATTGTTGGAATGGATATGAGCTTCGTATTTCGTATCCGTACTGAGTGATCTTGTAGCTATTGGTATATTTTGAGCGATTGCAGAATCGATGTGTATTCGTATGTATACTTCCAGAAATGTTTCCAAAGCCACGTCTTCTCATATTTATACCTTCTTTACATGTACATCGATCAGTAATATCATGTATCGGGTCAAACACTCTAACTCAAAAATCACAGCCAGTTGGATAATACCTACGGTTGCCGATCGGTGCCGTGCCGCATGCAGGCGCGTGCTTGATTGTGTGACCATGATCAGTAATACTCGTCACTCCAAAGACACCATTTGCTTGAATTATCTCCGGCAGCTTATTCATCGTATAATTTATGCAACGTGTCAGTAAATGAATTTGATACTCGAGTGTTATAGCTGCTGAGGCATGATAAATCATGATGTGCGCTGACACGATGCCATACGTTCAGTATTAGTTATTTGTAAGTTGGGGTTGGAGTGATCCTACACAGAGCGATATATTTATAACAATAGAGGTCCCAAAATAAAACATGCGATTACCAAAAATAATAGCGAAAAATGCCTCCTTACATTCGGTGATGAATAAAATTAACCTAGATCCCAATGGAATTGACTTGAGTATAGGGATACTCTCCCCCATCCCCATAGTAATCGTCTCCGAACTTCACTAGTTGAGAATAAAAAATCGCACATGGGAACCTTGAGTTGACATCGTTTACACGACGATAAATCGATCCAAATTGTCTAGCCGCTCGATGCTGTCTGGTTGCGATTTCCCATAGTGATTGACTAGCGATTCCAAACACGAACCTACTCAGACATGTACCCGATCAGGATGGAAAGCTTCCCCGTTGATGTAAGAGCAAAGAGACAAAGAGCCATCGTTCTTGAAGCTAGTCCCAATGTAGGTTTGATATCCGCTATGCATATCGAGAGTACGATGCGTACACGTACGCTGCAATGCTCTCATATAGTCGGGAAAGCATGCGTCTTGTTGCCGACTTTTGAGATACATACCCAATCCATTCGCCGCCGAAGCATCACTAGTTGCATAGTGTCTAATTGGGATGTATAGCTTAGGCTGCAAGCCCGAGCCATTGATCTGAATGTCGAAGTAGTACAGTATACCGGCAGTTTCGTGATCTTTGGAATGTAATTCGCTGTGTTCGGAGAAGTCGGAGGGGAGACCCAGAGTCAGACGCCATAGATCTTTCAGGTTGGTTCGAGTGTCGTCGGAAAGTGTATCCAACGTGTTTCCGAGTGTGAGTGTTTCGCAGACTTTTGAGAAGCTGGTGTGGGGGGAGCGTAGGTACACTTTCAGGCGGGAGTCTTTAGGTTCGACGCAATCGATTCCGACTATGATGATTTCTAGAGAGGAACCTTGTTCTGTTGCCATGAATCTTAAGAGCTTCTCATATCCTGTGCACGGATATCCGCTCTTGCGGAGGGCCTCGATTGCTTGGGTGAGAACGGTGACACGCGATATGCCATGTTGCTCGGCTTTGACTAAAGGAGAAGGCACAGTGTCAGTGAATCTCGAAAATCAAGCACTTTAGGGGCAACATTTTCTTGTAAAATACTCACCAGGCATGAAATAAGCTTTTGTTGCGATGCGCTTTCCTAGCTCAAACGCAAGAAACAACGAGGAAGGCGAGCTACGGTTGGCCACATCAGGTGCGGTCTCGGCAAGAGTGACTATGGGGTCATAGAAAACCTTTTGCATAACGTTAAACAGACTCGTATTTGTCCCTGGAAGGTCCCACTGTAGTTGATCGCAAAGCTCTATGGTCGAATGTTGGTTGTGCGGGTCAATTGATGACCCAGCATGATCCCCAATCAGCTCGACGCTGTACCGTATGTTTGGACTACTGTTATTTGTCCCCCAATTCCAGCTGTACTCCAAAGGCGAGAAGTCATCCGTCATGAAGCTCTTCCACTTTTGAGTGTATGAAGGGGCGCGACCGAGACGAGGGACGATATAGTATAAATGGAAAATAAGATACTCGTATTGGCTTTGTAAATCGTAGCCGGCTTCCTGCATCAGAGTGCCAAGGATGAATCCCGAGAGATTCCACCAGGATTTTATGTTCGAGTCTCTAGAGAAATTGGCTAGTCGATTGAGCGTTTGCCATGATTGCTCTCGCTCCCTAGTCTTCGTCTTGACGATTTTTTGCTCAGGTGGCTAACCACATGTCAACAAAGTGTTTACTGAAACGATAGAGATTGGACTTACGGATTTCTCGAAGTACCCCGGCACATCCTCAATTATGAACATTTTGTTGCAGGCAGAAAGATCAGTGAAGGATTTTAAGATGCAATGGTTATGTGGACTGTGTTCCTAACATGAGTTGGCGCTGACAACTCGTAAGGACGACTTCTTGCAAGTTTGGAGTTGATGAATTCTACCAATTGTAACTCCTCCATCCAGTAGTCTTATATGACTATCTGCCAAGACATGATCGTACAGTCCTGCACACACGCAAGCTGATCATGCCGAATGTTTCGAGGACAACCGCAGATACGCAAGAATTTTCACGGCGCGGTGTGCACGATACGATATTGGGTTCAGCTTCGGTGACCGTCGAGAGATCAAAACAAATGGCAAGGTCTTGGGAGACCACCAGTGAACCTCTCGTGCATATCCGCCATGCTAATCCCGAAGCAGGTGCACCTGTTTACCGATTGCATATTTTCGCAAAATGTGTGTGATTATACATATGTGTACATCTCTTGTCCGTATAGATCGCATTGATGACTATTCATCGCCTAGTCACTCCTTTGGTGCCTGGACCTGCGTATGCGCTTCACTGCCCCGACGCACAAGCATCGAGACCAGATGGTCTTGGAGCACACCTATGGCATACAGACTCACCGCATAAGGCTTGATATGAAGACAGCTGAAGATCATGTTGAGCTGTTGGTGTCATTGTAAACATTATTTATTTGCATACACGGTGAATATTTCCATGAGGCTGAAGCTGAAAGCTGAAAGGCAGTGTGAGAGCACGCGGTGGTTCTGGCATCTCGCGCGTACATCTCAAGCGGTGGATTAGGCAGGAATCAGTTTACCAAAATATAATTCACGGCGTATGGTACATGTTGAGAGTTTTCATGTAGACATTGCATACTGAATAGACTCCGAATTGAGTCGCAAATCTAAGCAATCAGGTTCGCTGTCAGTCGATGATTCTTCGAGGCGATCGTGAGATCTGGCACAACACAAAACAAAGGAGGAACACGGTTAATTACCCAAGGACTCAGGCAAACACACATGTCTGCCCTATTGCACATGCAAGGCTGTTAAGTCTGGGGACATATGATTCAATTTGGATTGTATACACATTTTTCCACCGATTCGGGAAAGAGCCCACTGGGTGAGTAAGAATTTACGGGCTGATTCAGAGCTGGATCAAGACGGTGGGGGTGGGAGAAAATGTAAGGCCAGCGCAAGCCACCGACTTCGGTTCTGGGAAATACGAAACGACCCCTGGGCCCAAACAATACCTGAATTGCGGTCTGGGCACCATTTTTTTCTGGCGGTAGAATCCTGCAGTTGTAAGCACGGGAAGGGCGATATTATTTGTGCAGGATAGTTTGTTTACGTTAAGCCAGTATTTGGGAGTCTGAAAAAGTCTCAGTTACAGCACAAATTGTTCTTAAGGCAAGTGCCTTAGCTTAAGTATCCTTCCCTTCCAGGGCTTTTCTGAGCTGTTCTCATCATGAACCTGCCATTTTCCCCAACGAACCTGAACCGGTCCGATCATAACTTCTTTGCGGTGCTTGCAAAATAACAGAGTCATGGAGCCTTTAGTTAGCGAGTCGATCTATGCGGAGGGGTCTGTCAAGGTCATCTGCATTGGAGCAGGAGCTTCTGGACTTCTTATGGCATACAAGCTCAACAAACACTGCAGTAACTTCAACCTCACAGTGAGTCTGTAACCATTCATGTTTGAAGCAGATGCCTGACATCTTCTAGATCTATGAGAAAAACGACGATCTCGCGGGTACTTGGCATGAAAACCGATACCCAGGGTAAGTATCGCCGCCATCAATGCTGATTATTGAACTGACAATAAATTGAAGCTGTGCTTGCGATGTTCCCGCTCATAACTACACGTACTCGTTCGAACCTAAGACCGACTGGACCTCTGTCTATGCAAGCTCGACCGAGATCAAACAGTATTTTGTGAATTTCTGCGACAAATACAGACTACGCCAGCACATCAAGCTCTCACATTGCATTCAGAACGCCGAATGGATTGATTCTGATGGAGAATGGGAGGTAGAAGTGTCGGATCTGAACAGCGAGAAGACATTCAAAGACCGCTGTCACATCCTGATCCACGCATGTGGGTATCTCAACAAACCTGCCTTTCCAAATATACCCGGAAGGGATAAGTTCAAAGGCAGTCTTGTACACAGTGCAGCGTGGGATAAATCTGTTGAGCTATCTGGCAAGAAAGTGGCTCTATTAGGAAGCGGGTATGTGGAATTGTACTGACTTATCAGTGTGTGAGAATCTAACAGCTTACTAGATCATCCGCACTGCAAATACTTCCCGCTATACAACCGACCGTCAAAAGTGTCGTGAACTTCGTCCGATCGCCCATCTGGGTACTTCCCACAATCTCCGCTGGATCATCAAAAACGTTCACGAAAGCCGATATGGAAGAATTTCGGGAGAATCCCGACAAGCACATCGCTCTACGCATGTACAACGAAAGTGTCATGAACAGCATTTTTTGTAAGTTTCAGGGCTATCAACGACAGTCACCGGGTGCTAACAATGTATCTTTCTCACATATAGGCATGTACCTCGCGGGCTCTAAACTGCAAGTTGAGTTCAAGGAGATTCTGAAACGCTCAATGAAAGATGCGCTTCAAAACGAAGATCTCGAAGCCGCATTGGTGCCCAATTGGGATGTTGGTTGTAGACGACTAGCACCTGATACTGGATATCTTGGGGTAAGAACTCGTCGAGCTATTTTCTTGCGATGATTCGCTGATTAGTTACAGAGCATCGTCCAGCCGAACGTTCACACCATCAAAGCTGGCGTATCTGCATTTTATTCAGAAGGGTGTATTGATGATTTGGGAGACCGCCACGAAGTAGACGTAATCATATGCGCAACAGGCTTTGACACATCTTATGTGCCCCGATTCCCCATCATCGGGAATCAAGGTCTGAACCTTCAGAATGCTTGGGAGGAGGCCCCTACTTCCTACATGGGCGTTGGCATCGCTAGATTCCCCAATTTCATGACGCTCCTCGGGCCATATAGCCCCGTGGCAAACGGTCCTACTGTGGCTTCCATGGGTGGGTGCTTTTCTCGAACATCTCTCAAGCAGTGCTGACACGAGGATAGAAGCGCAAGCCGACTATATAGTCCGCATGATCGATCGATACCAAACGGAACCCATACATTCCTTTCACCCTACCCCTGCCGCCGAAGCAGACTTCATGGAACATGTCAAAGGCTTCATGAAGAAGACAGTTTACACAGACAACTGCCGATCCGGTCATAAGAATCACACGGTAGCAGGTCGAGTACCTACACTCTGGCCTGGAAGTGCTTTGCATTACCTCCAGGCTATGCAGGAGATTCGGACCGAGGATTGGCAGTTCTCGTACACCAAGAATCGTTTCTCTTTTCTGGGCAATGGAGTCAGCCATGCTGAGTTCGATCCAACGAGCGATTTGGCTTATTACATTCGGGAATATGACGATGGACCGCCTCTGAGCCGGAAGGGGCGCATGAAGAAGGCTATGCACGCGGGATCTCAGCCATCTAGGCTACTTCATTCGATACATAAACCCGGTGTTGTAAACCTGGCTCCTTGCGTACGGAAAGGCAGGCCGGTGCCACGGCGAAATATGCTTGTGTCGTTTGATTCAAGTCAAGAATGAAAAGGTGTAGTTGGCGAAGTTGACTACATGGAGCATTCTGAATGCTTCCAAGCATGTCTACCACGTATGCTGGTATAGAGATGAGCTTCATGAGTATCAATAATCCATAATGATCAGAATGTTCCCAAAACATCAACAGCACAATTCAAGTTCTGACGTGACGAGTAGTATACATGGCGACAAGGATGCTTTGATGCTTCGCTTGGACAGCCAATGAGATGGAATGGGCCTCTCCACGCGCACTTTTCCGGCCGGAAACGAATGGGAGGCCGAATTCTCTCGCGGCCCCGTCTCTGGTCTTCTGCTTTTCCATCCCTCCACTGTTATCTATCAGCCCATTTCCGAATGGTTTGCTAACACTATGGCGCACGCAACCTCTTCCCCAGCTGTGCAGCCTCCCGCCCCAGCCTGGGTCCATGTGGCCGGGAGCCCAGCCGTGGCACCGGCAGGAAGCGGCGAAACCTCGCCTCTGAACGACGCTGACCGTGCCGATGCAGATGAGACGGCACCTCCAGCAGCGAAGCGGAGAAGGGAAGACAAAGAGAGGACCAGAGTTAGTCGCGCATGCGATCGATGTAAAAAGTGAGTCACTCAATCTGGCTCTCGACATACCACTCGGTCAATCGATTCATGATGGGAACGCATGTTCATGCGGCAGATCCATCTAGCGCATGGATACTGACTCAACATCAATCTCATGTAGGAAGAAAACACGATGCTCTGGGCGTTGCCCTTGTGCACTGTGTCTGAAGACGGGACTTCCATGCGAATTCACCGCTGCATACACAAGAGGCAGACTGCCATCCGTGATTGTAGACGAGAATGCAATTGCAGCAACCCCAAGCACACGCCCACGCGTTTCTATGCCAGCAACTATTCCGGTATCAGTACAGGAACAAACACCACCCATTCCGCCATCACCATCATTTCAGTTGCCAAAACCCATTGTACTGCCGCCCATGAATCTTCCTAGCCCGGGCGATATCTTCTCGAGAGACCGCCTCACTGTTCCAAACATTGAAGATCTGGACCGGTCGCGTGATCCTCCTTCTCGCACCTCCCCTGAACCTCCTCAGACTGACCTTCAAGGACACTATGTCGGCCCGGCTTCAGGAGTGTCCTTTCTTCTTCGTATTCAAAAGCGCCTGCATCAGAACAGCTCGCACTCTCATGACTCTTCCATCTTCACTTTTGGCGATGCTCCGCTTCCTGAGTTTGACCCTACTTTCTTCGTCTTACCCCCGAAGGATGATGCGCGAAAATTAGTTGCGCGATACTTTGATTTCGCAGCGCCTACTCATCGCTTTCTTCATCGGCCCAGTATCGAAAAGCTGCTAGATGAGTTCTACGAGACGCAGGGTAATATGAGAAGTAAAGAGGATGCCCCATCCAAAACAGCATTGCTGTTAGTAGTCATGGCGCAAGCCAAAGCCTACAGTGCCAACGATACCTTGCCCAACGATCATAGGTATGCCGATGCTGTCCAAAAATCATTCAACGTCATGTTCCCCAATTCTGATCAATAGTAGTGCGCGTTATTACGCAGCATCCGAACATCAGCTCTCAAAAGAGCGGGGGGCTGTCCGACTTGCCAGTGTTCAGGCAAGATTAGGCCAATGTTTCTATCTTTTGAGTCAATCCCGAGTGAACCACTGTTGGAGTCTCTTCGGCACCATGGCCCATCTGGCATTCGCGATCGGTCTCAATCGCGGCAGAAGAAGTGAGCCCTCAGGGACCGTCGATTACATTGAGGTGGAAAGCCGAAGACGTTGTTTCTGGATCGCCTATGTGCTCGATAAATACCTGGCAGCCGCTCTGGGAAGACCACGAACTTTCAAAGACGAAGACATTGATCAGGTAAGACTATCGATTTTCAATGCAAGAATCCTGAACTGACGTTCGTTTAGGAATTCCCCACTATTGTCCACGACAACGATCTCCTGTGTAATTCTATCACCCCGGCGCCATTAAACGGGTACGAAATTCCTTTGTCCATGGCCCCTATAGAACATGTAAAGTACGTATTTCTCCACGTTTCTATATCACCATAAAAAATACCAATCTCTGACACCATCTCACAGAATATCTCGCATAATAGCCCAAGTTCTCAAAGACCTCTACGCTATCAACCCGCCACCAACCCCTTCTCAACGCCTCGCCCTATCCGCAAAACACATGTCCTCGCTGCGAGACTGGCGAGCCAACCTAACCCGCTTCCTTGATACCTCCGAAACCCCATCATCAGTTCTAATCCCCATCTACCAACGTCAACGCAATGTCCTCAACCTGGCCTACTTCCATGCCGTCATCCTCATCAACCGCCCCTTCCTCCTCTCCAACTTCGCAAACCTCACCCGCAAAGAAGGTCCGATCTGCGGCCCAAGCGCAGACACCAAAGAAAACGTCCAAGCCTGTCTCGACGCCGCAATGGGCATCGTCCACGTCATCGACGATTACAGTGCTAGCGGCATGCAGCTCGTCCGCGCCTTCTGGTTCACGCAATACTACGCTTTCTGCGCCGTCGTTGTCCTCTACGTCTACCGCATCCAGCAGGGCATCGTGGACCCCGGGAAATGCCAGGGCTATTTCACAGCCGGCCAACGCACCCAAGGCGTTCTGGAAAACATCTCCGAAAGCGACTGTCTCTCCAAACGCTACTGTCTCGTCCTCGAGGAACTCAGACTCGAAGCAGCTAGACATCGCGCCTCTACATCTTCCATCCCCTCCTCCATCAACAACGGCATCAACGCAGCTACAGCCCCCGACCCATCGTCTTCCTCTTCCCTCGACCCCATCTCCGCCCTCTCCCCAGCGATCCCCCCGATCCTGCCTCCCCCCCATAACTCGAACCTCGGGATCCCCGCTCCTGCAGCATCCCCTTCCAACGGTCCAGCCCCTCAACGCGACGTCCCCAGCCCTGGCTTATTCTACAGCACCACCTCGGCCGGCGCTGGTCTGCCGACCCCGGAAAGCGCCCTCTTCGGCACCGACTTCATGAGCCCGGATAGCATCATGGCGGATCTGACGGGGTGGGGCCAGTTCGATAGTCTGGTCACCGCGGGCATCGGCATGATGGATGGCGTTGGGGGGTTTCCCGGTAGCGTCGGCGGAGGGGGAGGCAGTGCAGATACGGGCATGGGATTTGGGTTTGGCTGAATCATGTCCTGTAAAAAGTTTTTGTCTAAGCTTTTTTTTAATGGAAGTTACAGTGTTTCCTACACAAAGTTCTTTTTTTTTTGTGAATATTGAGGTTGGCGGTTGGTTGGGGGTTAAGGCGATTCATGATCAGTGAAAGTGAAAGTGAAAATAAGAGTGAAAGTGAAAATAAGAATGAAAATAAGAGTGAAAATAAGAGTGAAAGTGAGAGTGAAAGTGAGAGTGAAAATGAGGGTGAAAGTGGAAGAAATGGATACAGTTTCCCTGCTATACCGCCTCTTTTTACAACCTGAATTACGGTTTATAGCTTAAGCTTAGGGTTTTTCTTTTTCTGCAATGCCTTGTCTGGTTCTTTTGAGGTGTACCCGAATTATCAAATAAACAATAAAACAAACAATAAAACAAACAAACAAATCTAATCGAGCCCTATTCCATCTTCGCTTCGTCCAGAGAAAGTGTAGCTAGTCATAAAGAGAGATGGAGAGAGACCAGGAGAAAAAAAAGGGACATTAAGTTACCGCAAGCACACATCCACACCTTCACACAAATAAAAAAATTATAATGAGGAGAGGACTTGTTTCCCTCAAAAAAGGTTTGTCAAAAAGTTTTGGTTTATTGGAATATGGAGCCACCATCTAACCCTCTGTTCTTGTCTCGAATAATTCCCCCCCTTCCATGTGCCCATTCATTCATCCATCCATCTTTACCTGATATTGCCGACTCGCAGATTTTCCACATGAACGGCCCCAACCCTCTCACGACCACGATCCACATGCCACACGAGCCCACGGAAACGAAAAGTCGTAATTTTTCCTTCGCGCACTCGATCCCAAAATCAGATACCATGGGAGGGATAGAAACTCGCGCATACCGACAGGTTTGAAAGGGGAAACGCAAGGGTTCATGTGGTATTCATAGGAAGGGCAAACCTCGCACGGGAAATGCAGAGAGAACAAATGAATGGGGGGATGGAGTGACCGTGTTGTAGAACGTAGGGCAGGCAGACATATAAACACCAAGTAGTCAAACGAGTTTTCAACCGAATATTTCAGGCTAGGATTGGCCAAACAAGGCGATGGCAATAGTATGAACGGCAGTGAGACAAACAAGCAGTGCATCTAGAGCGCCGCAGCAGCGCAGCCACCACGGAGAGCGAGGACCAAATGGAGCGTGGCACCGCCTTCGAGCTGATAGTCGGCTGCGGATTTGTCGTCGGCCCTGTTGCATCTCGCGGTCAGTATGCGCATTCCCATCAATCCTCCCGAGCAGAAAGAAGAGAAAGAAGAAGAAGAAGAGGGGATTCGTTACATTTGCTTTCCGCCGTAGATGAGACGCTGTTGCGCGGGTGGGATGCCTTCCTTCTCCTCGACACGCTCCTTTATCCTTGAGACCTATTGGTGTATCGTCAGCTGGATTGGTCTTGTGCCTGTCGATCTATTCTTCCGTTTGCTTTGCATTGTATGTTTCTCCGGTGGCGTCCCGTGCCGAGATTCTGGATGCGTATGGAGGGGTGCGTACCTTGTAATCGGGCTCAATGTCCAACTCAATCTCCTTGCCGGTGAGGGTGCGTACTCTATGCAGGAACAAATCACGTCAGCACCACTGAACAGTCGAAGCAGAAAAGGAAAACAGCCGCGATTGGACACGCACTTGATCTGCATCGTTGCCTTGTGTCTTGCGCTATTCTAAACAGTTCCTCCGGGTCGTAGGTTGGCAGCCTGTCCGTTTGTTGGTGCGTGTGAGGTGCGTTCGTTCGGGGAATGCTTCACGAGCGTGGTGTACAAGGTCGTAGAAGATGTCGCTCGCCGGGAAGAAAAAGTTGAAGCAAAACCAGTGGGGTTCGCAGATGTCGAAGCAAAAAGTCGGTCCCAGTCTTTCCACTTTACCGCAGCGGGTTAAGTGATGTCTGACTGGTGTCGTTGCGGGTCGTTTGACAATCGCAAGGTAAGTTGGTCTGCGCGGGCAGCAAGCGAGCAAGCAGGGAACGCAGGCAAGCAAGCAAGAGGTGGTAGATGGGTGGTGATTGAGCAGGAAGTGAGGTAGGTCTCCAAGAGGTGTGGTTCGTGATACGACTGCCTGGTTTGGGTGGCTGACTGACTAATAGAGACAACCCACCGAGGCTTGAGTTGGGCTAGGCTGCCGCGGGGCAGCGACTGACGAGAGAAATTGGCTGCCAGAGCGGGGCAGCTTCATGTGTGGCGGGGTAGGTACTCGTCTCACGTAAACAAACAAGCTATGCACAGTTGTGGCGCACCGCGAAAGAGCAGGCCATCGTGGAGCGTGCAAAAGGGTTTGAATGGCATTGATAAGGTCTCTTCCAGTTTTACCATCCACGGCTTTCTGGATAATTCTGCATGATTGGGACTTCCATGATACCATGTGAGCTGCGATAGCATGTAGTAGGTGAATTGGAGGCCAATGGGCCATCCCCGTTTTCCCATCTCTCTCCTTCATATGCTACCTAAACTTATATCATCATGTAGGATAAAGAGAGCATCGAGTTTGCCCTGCTCAACATGCCGAATCTTCTCCTATCTAAACCCCCCTTGACGTAAAAAAATGTCTCATCTACCGATCTACCCGCCCATCGATGACAGAACAGACCGGCAGGAGCCCAGAAGCCAGGACTGGAGAAGATCAGAAACAAAAGAAGTAGAAAGTAAGACGACTTATACAGAAGAGAATGGAAAACTAAACAAAAGAACCGAAAATTTAAAAGAATCCAGGGTATATGGGTTATGAATGAAGACACATATTTGTCATGTGTAAACCTAAAATTCCGAGAAGAAAAGAAGAGATTTCATGGAGAGCAATTTCATTCTCCCAGAGGAGACCAAAGATGAAAAGTCGAAAGGAATTGTCTCTCTTCCTGGAGACATGGGGCAAAGCCGATCCCCTCCCTTATGATAAAATGCATAGAAACCTGCTATGATGATGACGATGACGATGATGTTAATGATGACGATATTGCTGCGATGGTGGGCAGATGCAAGAACCAAAACCCAGAGATGGTTCGGACGAATAGGAAAAAAACCAGGAAGCGTTCAAGGACTCGGAAGGTGGGCACATCGGGGAACGTGTCGAGTGTGGCAACTCTGCTCGTCCCGTCACGCCTGGCATACCAGGCCTTGATATAGCGCAGGGTGTTGTTTTATACAGGCAAGATGTCGTTGGTGGCCAAAATTGCGCTCGGTAGTTGGAGGTCAGTCGAACCCATGGCGGGCAGGCGGTAGGATGGCCATTGGCAAGAGACGCAACACGAGACCAAGCGTTGCCACCAGCGGTGCTGATCGTGAAAGGACTCTCCCTTGAAACCGGGGCCTTGCAGGTGCGGTATTCAGTTTCTCAGGCGATTGTGGCTTCGGGGTGTTGAGCTGATAACGAGCAGGCCAAGAAGGGGGCTGGGATGGTGATGCTGGTTGCTTTGTCTGGGAGCAGCATCGCACGTATTGCTCAATCGGAAGGTAGAGGCCATGTAGGGAAATCATGACAATCCATCGAGATGGGCCTGCGCGTTTGCCTGGTGCAGCTCGTTTTGGCGTTTCACAATCAACAGGGGTGACATGCTGGCTGACGAGAGCACTCTACCATGGATGCATGTGACAACCTGACATGGAAAATGAAGGATGCGATGACATGTACACTGTGCCATGTTGGCCAGCCATCCAGATGTCCAAGTTGGTCGTGAGGCGGCCAGTATGTGAAACGGGACGAGGGCCGGCGGGCGCCAAATTTGTGGGGGGTGATGAAGACGCTTGAAGCAATCTCGGCATCAGGACAGGAGCGGGCGGACCGGTGATTTTGTGGCCCAAGGCCGATGCGGAAGCGCACATGAACTGCATCTAGAAGCAATCTTGCAAGATTGCAAATTCGAGCCCGACTCCCGCCAGCTTAAAGTTTCGACGGGTCCGAGCGCGCCGTCTTATTTCGGCGTCGAGATCAAAGTGGTTTGTGGTGGTGGAGCTCATTTCGCTTGCTTTGATAATACCCGCGTAAACCTGTCCCAATGGGGTACCTGATATGAGCAAATCTTAGACGCCGCACCCAACATGTTCTGCTTGCCTGTCAACCCCACGATCGATTCCAGCCTGTCTGCGTTCCCTTTTCTGGCTTCAGGCACAGCTAGGCCCACCGGTGCGAAGAATCCAAATTGGAATTCTATTGATCGCCGCCTTCCCACTTGGGGAACGGAGCAGTTCCTCGATCGTGATGTTGTTGTTGCTGCGGCTGCGGCTGCTGCGGTTGCTGCTGATGTGATGCGAATGATCGAGGGTCTGCATGGAATACCGCCTGCGGTTGGTGTTGCTCGTGGGGACGTCCCTCGCTCCTCTGTCCCGCTGGCGCATAAGCCGATTCACTCTGTTGACCATGAGTCTCCTCGCGGCCTCGCGGCTGCGACTGGAAGCGCTGCTGCTGTTGTTCGGGGGCATCGCGGAGCTGTGAAGGTCCCAGGTCCGGGTGGGTCTGGCTCGAAACCGTCGTGCGCCTGCTCACAGAAGAGACATGGCCGTCTCCTCTCGAAGATATGTCGGAGCGGGTTCTCGCGTGACCCCTTCGTCCTGGGGTGGAAGCGGAAGACGTTGATACGTGCGAGAAGGACGGCGAAGTGTAGGATTGAGGCGCTGATGTTGGAGGTGGTGGCGCCTGGTGGCCGCCTTGGGCCTTCCGCTTTTTGGGGGAGCTGGTGTAATCTGGGTCAGACGCATGAGATGTCGCACGTTGACGGGCAAGCGTCGAGGGTGAGGCTCTGTATTTACCTGAAGGCGTCGCTGGTGGGTTCGCGCTGGACGAGGCTTTGTCCTGCTGCGACGTCGGAGGCACCCAGTGGTGGAAGTAAATGGACGGAGAAGCCTGTTCTTGCTGTCCCGGCTGAGTGTTCTGCATCTGCACGCTGGAAGCCGCCGTAGGAGTCTGCTGGACATGGATTTCGTTTGTGGTCAGCCTGGGAAGCTGCGATTGAGGTGGGGGACGGGGAGCGGATGTAGGAGCACCAACATGTCCTGGCTGCCCAGCAGCTCCCCGCGACCGCGGAGACATGGTTCCACTCGAGTACGAGGCCGAGAAAGTGGCCTGCTGAGGCTGCGAAGGCAAAGGCTGCCCAGGGAGCACCGCGGTTGGGGGAAGAACCGACTGCGGCGTTTGCGGTTGCTGAGTTGCAAAAGCTCCCGGCGGTGGCTGGCCGATCAATCTTGAATCTCTGCCGTGTTCGGGTGATAGCTGTGCTTGTGCGTGGGCCTGGGCCTGCTGTTGCTGCTGCTGCTGTTGTTGATGCTGCTGCTGCTGCTGCTGTTGCTGTGTTGCTTGCAATGTGGATTGATAGGACTGGATCCACTCGGCGCTGATGGTCGCAAGGTTCCCTCCACCGATGCCGGCAAAAATGATGGGAACCAGATGCGGAGGTATGCCGCCCTGTATGGACGTTTCGAGCATTCTGACCTCAATCTTGCGCTGCTCCAGCTTCAAGTTCTCCTGCCTCGTCTTCTCCTCCTCTTGCTTGCGCTTCTCCTCCTCGGCTTTGGCAGCCAGCCAGTTCTTCATGCCGTCTTCGGCGCCCTGCCATTGGGAAGGAGCGGCCGGAAGAGCGCCCAGAGAAGAAGATAGTGGAGGGGGAGGAGCCCGGCTAGGGTCTGGCAAAGTCATGGCCGAAGGGGGAGGAAGCCCCCGGTGCGGAGTGCCCATGGTGGAGGCGGGACTGTCCCTTCTGTGGGAAGGCAATTGGCCGTTGGTAAGCTTTGGAGAGAATCGTGCAGCCGTAGAGGAAGAAAATGTTGGAGAGTAATCATGAGTCTTGAAATCAAAAGCTGGTTTGGGTGGTTTAGCGAGTGTGAGCAACATTGAGGGTGGTAGTGGCAGTGAAGATGACGGGGGTGGTTGCAGTGTGGTGGTGGCAAGAGGAAGTCGACATAGGAAACAACGAGTGGGTGGGTAGAGACTTGGACTTGCCAAAAGTTCGGGCAGGGGACCGAGGGCGGAGGCCCAGGCAGATGGGACATATATGTACTTACACAGCTATGATCCGAACAGCTTCTCCAGGGATCAGCGTCCACTTCCGAGCCACGAGCAGCGAAGCTCCAGGGCTGGGCGCAATGCTTGCCTGCCTGGTTGGTTGGTCGATGAGAAGGCGGCGGCCCACTTTGATTCGCGGATAAAGGCGAGACTAGACAAAAGTACTGTACATGTATGGATGGGTTAAAGTAGGATGGAAATTGTAATAATGCAAAAAAGCAAATGACAGGTTCGAATGGAATAAAAAACCGTCGGGCGGCGGTGGCGGCGACGAGAGAGGATGGATGATGTTAGGACGACGGATGGGGGCTGCTGGCTGGACGCGAATGGATGCAGGTCAAGGCGGGCCAGCAGGTAGTCCGGGATGGGATGGACGAGGACGAGGAACGTCGGGGGGGTTTAGTGAAGAAGGGGAGCAAGCGGAGCAGCAGCAGCCAGCGGCCAGCAGGCGGCGGCGAGAGAATGTTTGTAACGAGTGTACGAGAAGGGAAGAAAGGCCGGCTAGAATGGGACCAGCCGGCGTAAATGACTACCGTTACCAGGTGCAGCGATCTACGGTACGAAGGAGGAGCGGGCAGCCTGCCTGCGCGACCCAGGCCAGGTCAGGTCAGGCCAGGACAGGACAGGACAGCCGGTTGCGTGGCGTGCGAGCGGGCGGTGGTAGTCGGTGGAGAGGCATCATTTCCATTGTCTCTGGCAGGGATACGCATAGAGGAGAGAGAGGTGGATTCATCAGGTTAGTCAGTCATCACTCCGTCTCATTCACTCTCCATCTGTTCAGTCATTTCACACTTCAACCTGTCTTGGCGGCCAAGTTGGTCAAGTCAAAAGTCACTTCATCGGTCAGCACATACCTAGGTACACACACATGTATGTATATAGCTACTTTGAACCTGGTACCTACTATTCACCTACTCTGGTCTTGACCCTTCTTGCAAGACTCCACCTACATACCTACATGCCTACTTGACTACCTAGGTACTGCCCGAACAAGCGTCCGAGGTACTTTACTCGGTTGCCTTTCCTGGACGTCTGAATTATGGAGCCCGTCAGTCACTTGCTTGCTCCCTCATTACGGCATCCTCCTGCTGGTGGCGCTAGCATCGGCGCACGACTGTTTTTGACATGCGTCTAGCCAAGCAGAGATGGTGATTGTTTGACACGAGAACTGGGTCTGCTTTGGTTTGATGTGGAGAGGACGCCTGGGGCCAAGTACGTTAGGCCACAATGCTAGTCACCCTACCTCCATTCTGCGCCAGCAGAAGCCTCTACCTATCAACACGTCCCCACGGCTTCTACCGCCCCGTTAGTTGCAGGATTCCAACAGCGGTACATGCCCAGCTGAGAAGCCCGTTGACCGCCGTCCGAGGTTTCGTTTCCGGGAACAGACAACGACTACGGTTCGGAGAGATACGTACGACCACGTACTTGCCTCGCGGTTACACTAGCATATTCCCCATCATTGATTGCTACAAATCTTAGTGCCGGCGGTGGACATGTCCACGTAATCCTTCTGTGTTTGCATGCAAAATGGAATAACGCAAAGCCGTTGCTTTGGTGCATCACATCACGGAGACTACTCTGACGGTGGACCAAGACTTGGGCTCAATCTATCCCAGGACCCGCCTGTCAAGGAATTTTCCGCAGATTGCACTCGCTCCCAGGCCAGCCGTGCAGTATGCGTACACACGTACGTACAGGGACATTGTGTAATTTGTACTTGCGGACAGCCGAAGGATGAAATGGCGAGATGGGTAGGGCTGCCCGCGGCAAGCTAGGTGGCCGGGATGTCGAGTACCCAGTTAGGATTTCGGAACTGGGGGAGGCGAGGATTGATTCGGTGGGATTTTCAAGGCAGCTAGCTACGTACATGTATTTGTGCCTAGCAATTTAAGTGACCGGGGTCAATCGGCCCATGGACCGCTGGACAGGGTCAAACGTTCGGGAGGAAGCGAGGGCATTTCCCAACCATCCATCTCGTTCCAAGCAGGCAGGCTGCTGGAAGATTAATAACGCCTTGGCCGCACGGACGCGGTCCTTGATCATTCGAGAGGGTCATCATTTTGTGATTGCGGAGGGATGCTGCAGGTGTTTGCGGGCTGCCAGATGGGTCGAGGCAAGGCAGCGGGAAATGAAGGGCTGTCAGACCTTGAAATGGAGGTGGAAATAACGGCCCAAAGCAGCAATCGTAGCGCGGCAGAGCTAGGAGGGTTAGAATGCGAGAGCGGCATGCGTGTTTGGTGGAGCCGCCGCGTCGTGTATCGTGTATCGTGTGCCAGTGTGTCTTGTGTGTGTCGGTGTCTGTGGTCCAAAACATTCAAAGACGGGCAGACAAGACACGACAAGGACAAAACCGGTCCCACCAAACCAGCGGCGGCGTGCAGGTTGCATTGCAAGCTAAGTGGGCATGCATGTACGTGCATGCTCAGCTGCGTCTTTGTGTCGAGCAAGAGACTGCGAGAGGGAGAGTCACGAACCAACAACGTAATGAATGCGGATCGACGAGCGAGGCCCGGGCGGCACGCGAATCGATAAGAGCAGCAGATGTGTAAGTAACGTGTAGTCGTGCTGTAGCCCTGCAAGCGGCCAAGGGCGTTGGTTGGCTACATAAGACACGCATACATGTGAGTAGGTTGTAGGTATACCCGTGTGGCTGGCCGTGGAGATAGGCGCCCGTGGTGGGGGGCTCAAGACAGCGGCCATGTTTGCACCGCGGCTTGATGTCGCCCACGAAGATTGTGGTGCAGTGTGCTGTATCCATGTACCGCGTACTTGAGGTGTACCGTGTACATTGGGAGGTACATGCATGGCAATTTCAGCAGCCTCCCACACGAACGGGTTGACATCAAACGACCAACTGGTGCTTGGCTGGATTGGGAGTGGACGCGGCGCTTAACAAGATTTCGAATGGGGAGAACAGGAGAGGGGTTGCGCAATGCAATCACCGAGCGCCTGGCCACTGGCAACGAGCGGCTCAGCATGGGTGTTTGGTGTTGGTGGATGGTGGTGGTGGTGGCAGCAGCAGGCCGTGGGTAAGCAAGTAAGCAAACAAGCTGAAAACAGACCACGCAACGCGGGTCACGACGACGATGATGATGATGAGGGGACAATGAGGAAAAAATCCCCGTGTGGCCGGTGGTGAGACGACGCACGCACGCACACGCACGCGCGAAGGATGGTGTATTGTGGATGTGGTGGATAGTGGAGGATGCATGGATGGATGGTGGAGAGGAACAAACAAGCGAGCAAGGAAGGGGAAAGCAAGAGAGGCGCCTTGCCCCATTGGGCCCACACGAGCACGCGGCCATCTCTACCTGAAACGTGTGGCGCCAGATTCCAGATTCCAGATGGCATCCCCAATCAACCCTGGAACACGCTTCCGTCCGCCATGCTTCCTCTTTCTTCCAGAACATGGCGACCATCGTCTCTCTTTTGCCTTTGTTTGATTGATTGATTGCATCAGATGAATCAAATCTTCGATACGAACCTGGCCCCCAGATTGCACCTCGGCGCCTCCGCCCGTTCGTTCCTTGCCGTCTCCCATCATCGTCATCATCATCATCATCATGGTCAGCTCAGCTCCATCAATCACATTACCTATTTCCGCTTGGAGGCAGTCAACATGTCCAATTTCGAACAATCGTCTCTAGCCTTCTCTTCCAAACTTTACCCATTACCGCATATGCCTTGGTGTGCCTAACTGACATGTGCTATCCGCCGGAGATTAATTCACCACTTAGGCAGATATATATCATACCCTTTGAGAAATAAGCAGCCCATCTCGGAGAAATGATATCCCCTCGCTGACAACCGACATGTCACCTAAAAACCCTCTTCCAAGTTTTAACCCTCATCTCGCTCGCTGACGATGATAATGATAATGATGACCCCATTTCAACTGCCAAATCGGGACATCATGGCAGAACCAAAGCAAATGGGGAATGCAAGTACACCCGAGTCCATTCAAAATAGAACAGAAAAAGAAACAAGGGAAATGCCAGCAGAAGGGAAAAAAAAAAGATAACCTGATGGTGGCAAAAGTTGCCTCTTGGTCCCTCCCTCGCGTACCGCTTCACTTCTCGTCTGCGCCTGCCACGCAGCCTGACCCCACCACCATCCGTGTTTCCCTTTCGGGCAGTCGGCGCATACAACATGGCATTCAACGTGATCGGTCCGGTCCTGTTGGTGGTGGCGGTCGCTTCCACCGACCTTCCAATACTTACTTTTTTCCTCCTTCCTTTTCGCATCCAGTCAATGATCGCCATTGTTTTTCTATTCTTGTAGTTGATGTGTGAGCTCGGTTACAGAATGATCGTCGGTGTCGAGCATGTTTCGTTCCACGTGTTGGATCTCGTATATTCGAATGTTGCCACATGGGACGATCATGTCGAAGAGCCGTGTACAATACGAAGAGAACGGCGGATGATCCTTTCCATGTCTTGTTGTGACGAACGACTCCCCGAGCTGTTCTACAAAAAATAAACAAAGAAGAAGAAAAAAAAGCAAACAACTTCGCAAAATGAACGCTCTTTGGGTTTTGGAGAAGTGGAACTTTTGTTCACTTCACAGGCAACAAAATTCCATTTCCAGACATGCAAAATACAACATATATGGCAAAAAGGAAACCCCAGTCTTGCTATTTCCAATCCCCATCTCACCAGACTCACCCTACCCCGCCCCAAAACAATCATCATCCAAACAACCTCTTTTCTTCCTCCAACCATTCACTGAATTTCATTATTGGGTTTCAACCGAGAACCATGCCAAAACTATACACCTACATACACGCAAGAAAAACCAACTAACCCCCTTTCCCTCCCTCCGTTTCCACTCCCCTCCCTCTTCCCTACACACATATAACATATGTAGGGCACAGCACAGCATGGTATGGGGGCACGTTTTGATCCATCGCCCGCAAGGATGTATGCATGCCAGCGTATAATGGTATCGTCATGTCAAGTCTCGCCTGTGTGGATCATTTGGCATTTCGCAATGTCGCATTCATGTTTTCCGAATTAGAAAACTTTTAATTTTCTATTTTATCTTTTGGACGTGAAATCAGGGTTGATTTTGATACTAGCTCACATGATTAAGTTTAATTGAATAAGGGGAGTGGGGGAGAGAGACCGAGTATTTGGTCCATAGTCACAGCAGACGACTACTTGACTACCGTGCATTTCATAGGTAAATATCGATAAACAAGGAAGAAGAAGACGATGATGATGATGATGATGATGATGGTGATGACTACGATAAGACGTAAAGTAGATCTGCAAACCAAGTAATTGATTATTATTATTGTTGTTATTATTGTTTTGAAGAAAAAGGGTTTATAAATTATGTAAATAGGTAGGTTATCAAGTATATAATTCCCGCACTCAATTCATCATCGTTTCAAACAAAAAACAGGAGAGAGGAAAGCAAGCAAGCAAGCAAGCTCTACTACTACTGGCTGTCTCCAGCCCCCCATTCGACGGGCATATCCATCCATGGTTGTTTCCCCTATCGACCGTCCACACGAACAAACCCAACCCAAAAGAATGATGAAAGAGAGAAAAAAGATGAAGGGGGGAAATCGCATCCTTTCTCCCCCCTCCCGCCGTAATGGTATCTTAATGTTTGCCCAGGACAAAACCCCCAAATTAAACCAGGCAAACGTACAAACAAGGCCCAAAAACCTGCATATAACAGGGGCAGACGAATGGGGTGAAGCGAAATCAACAAACGAGAGAGACAGAAAGAAAGAAGATTATTAAAATATTGGTACGCTTTGGTTTTGAAATGAATACTTCAGTTAGTAGGGGGGACCCTCCCCAAAAAGCCCCAGAAGAAATGAACAATGTAAAAGAAGAAGAAAAAGGGGGCGAGGGGGCAAGAGAAAAAAAACGTAAAACTTCCAAAAAGACACGGGTATATATCGTTCGTTTCAGGGTACTCCGCCCATCCTTTTCTCTCCTTTCTTTCCTAATTAACTTTCCTGTTTCCCTTCATTCTTTGTGCTGCAACAGACTCAGGGGTGGGTAGGTGGGTATAACACTGTTGCCTCGCAACCACATGTTAGGCGTAAAGGCGAAACACAAGGGAAGAGTACCGATATAATGCCACCAACATGATAGTAGTGACACATCGCTAGCACTTCTCCCAAAGTAAAGGTCCCAGTCGTGAAACCGGAACACAACAACATCAAGAATAGAACTTGAAAGCGGTCATCAAAGACGCGTAAGAAGACGAAGGTGAAACTTCGAGCGACGAGGACAGCAGCACTGATGCATGCAGTACCACGGTCGGAGCCGTTAGAGAATATCGCATGCAGATGGGTATCGAAAATGCCGGTTCCCCGTTTCTCACCCTCTCACGCAAGACGGGTCCAAGAAGCTGGCTCAACGTTGAGTTAGAGGGGGGCAAGAAGGGGGCGGGCTTGCGCACGGTCGAGGTCAACCGGTTTGGTGGGCGAACCCGCCGCCTCACTCGACCACGAAAAACAAAGACAGCGAATAAGAAGAGACCAGTCCAAACCAAAAACGAGGGGTGGAAATGCACCACTGCTAACGTACAGCGGCGCGTTTCTTGCGTAGTTTGTATTCGGTCTTGGCCACTCGCATCAAGAGGTCCTCGTCCTTGATCGGTACCCACGAAGTCAGGACTTTCATTGCATTTTCGAAATCAGAGTCCATTAGGATTTCGCGGGTCGCGTCGATCAGTGCTGCGGAGGTTGCATGCAGCACGTCCAGATCGCCGCTAAATTTCGATGCCGGGTCGTTTGAATAGGAGGCGTCGCCCAATAGCATAAAGATGTCCCATACGCGGAGTTGGGCGGGGAAAGGAAGCGAATAGTTGAACAAGGTTAGATACCATCGCGTACCATATGCGGTCGAGGTTATGCATAACTCCTCCTGTAATCATTTCGTTAGCTTGCACATCGGGTACCAGACAATCCAACGGGCCCGGCCACGCCTAGCACAGCCACCATCTCACTAAATGACGGAGCGGATAGGGAACAAGCAAGCGTCGAATGCGCCTTTTGCCGGTAGCGACTTAGACAAACGTACCAGTTTCTTGGCTACATCGCCATTGCGTAGCCAATTCTTTTCGAAATCGTCCAAGGCATCCATCAATCCAGCGAATCCGGATTCATACAGGCGTTCCAAGCCCCGAAGCATCCACAAGCGAACTAACATAACAAAGGCCCTATCCTCTTCGTAGTAGCAGAGCAGTGTGGCCGCCAGTGCAGCCATGCCTTGCACATAGCCCGTATCAGGGAGGTAAAGGGACATGGCGTGGAGGACTCGAAAAAGAAGGCGTTGGCTGTGAGAGAATATTAGCTCATGCTCCTGTTCATCGAAAGCCGCGTAGAGTGCAACTTACCCTCCTCGATACCTGCGGCGAAACATGATGTGCCGATTGATGGTTCGAGGCACATCAACATCAATCTGCATGTCATCTGCAGAGCTTTCTTCCTGCAATTCATAGTAGCTAGCGACCAGCTCCTCATCGGTCGGGCTGTCTTTGTCGGCTTTGGCACTGGCAGCGAGGAAGGCATACCACGCTGTAGCCCTCCAACGATCCGGAATGCCTTTCCAGGTACGTGACACAACTTTGGGATCTTTGACGTCGAATTCAAACATCATGGCTCCACTGCTTGCGCCACTCTGCACCACCTTGGCCATTTTCCGCCATTTCTCCTCGCGCTCAATCTCTTTGGCCTTCATCAGTCTGGCGTGCCTACCGCCTTCCTTCTCCTCGGCCATTTCAGCAAGACCTGGGGGGAGTTTGAGCATGTCGCTTGCTTCATCGAGTAGCCGTCGATTTCTGTTGTGGGGTAACCTGTTGGTGGCTGACCGTATCTTTTGCGGCGTGCTCCGAGCTGTGCGATTCGAGAATATGGATGAGGCTGGCTTGTTGGACTTCTGCGACAGACGCCGCCTGCGGGTCTCTGTGTTGGATTTTGATGTGGCGGCGGAGCGTGCTTTGGAAACACTGCGACCAATTCCCCGTTTCCTAGGCTCTTCTGATACCAGCTGCAGGGCAGTTGTGACACGGTGCATCCGAGGTACGTCTGGACCATCGATGCCGTTTTGTGATCCTTGCGAATCTACCTTTTTCGGGATGATGAAGCCATAACGGTCGACCTCCCCACCCTCCATCTCGGACCAATCCTCGATACCCCCCGCAATCTCATTTGGTTCTTTGGCGATCAGCGATTGGCTGCCCCGTCTCGAGCTCATAATCGAGGCCGCTTCGTCGCGAGTTTTATCCACGGTCAAAGTGGAGCCACCAGCCGTTGTATCGACGAAACTGCCATCGTCTGCGGTACTTTTGTTGACACTTTCGTCCTCTTCTTCCACCGTGTCCCAACCCGCTGCGCTTTCGTTTCCATGCTGGTACATGGCGCGGACCTTGCGCGAAAGCATCATCTCATCGGTTGACAAGACACGGTTGCTGATCACGCGACCCCTAGCGGAGTACCGCGACGAAGGGCGAGGCGCCAGCCGCGGCGTCGCGGATGTAGTTTGCTGTTCGTCTTGCGATTGAGGTTTGGCATTTGCGTCTTGCCCATCCTGCCCATCCTTTTCGTTGTTCTCGCTGTTGTCTTCTTGCGGCGGGGACACTGTGGGCGTGGGTGGTGTTTCGGCGGCGGGACCAGATTGCTTGTTCATTCTATTTGCACGCTTTCCACCCAGCAGCATGCTTCCCCTCTTGGAAAAGGAGACCTGACTGGGCGAGGTAAGGTCGTCGAATCCGCCAGTGGGGATGATGGTATCGAGGGTGAAGGGGTCCTGGAGGTCCTGCTGCGGGGGCAGGTTTGGAGGTGGCGAGCGTGTCGCTGATCGGGACAGACGTGACGTATCTCGACTAGGGCGCGGCGAAGGGTCATTCTGAACGACGATGGCGGGCAAACTCGGTGTCGGGCGCAGGCTGTCGGGCGTGGACGGGGCAAGGTGAGTGTTGAGGTCGGTGCTGGCGGTGGAGTTGGAGGACGCTAGGGCCGAATCTCTCCGCGCATCATCTTCGGTCAGTAGTGTTCTCTTCAATGCTGATGCTCTGGGACCTGGCGACGTCTTTGGGCGGCGCACGCTGCTCAACCAGCCGCGCGAGGACGAGGCGGGCAACAGGACCTTTGGGGCGGCATTGCTCGACGTGGTGGGTCTGGACGGGCTTGTCTGCGCATCTGCTGGCGCTGTTCCGTCGTGGCTATCATGGTTCGCGACCAGTACTGGCGCTGCCGCGGCATCTTCAGCCACAGGGCCGTCTGCATCTCGGGCCCTCGCAGCGTCGAGGCTCATGATGAGGAGCGAGGTTCTCTCTCATCAAGAGACGTGCTGTATTCGGAAATTAGGGCAATCCTTGCGCTCGAGGAAATTGGAGGCGCGCGGCTCGTCAGAGAAGGGTGAATTGGAATGCAAGCAGGTCCAGGAGAAAACGAGGGTGAAATTGAGGGCGGGTGGTAATGTGTAACAGCGGGAAGGTAATGTCGCTCGGGTCAATCAATGAATGAATTGGATCGAGTAGGGTCCAGGAAGGAATGACAGGGGGCGGTCGTAGCAGCAGCAAGTATAGTACCGATTGACAGTATGTAGTATGTGCGATGGATAGATGGGACAAAGTAGGAATCAGCGAGACCTGTTGCTGTCCAGGCAGGCAGGCAGGCTGGCAGCTAAGCAAGCAAGCAAGTAAGTGAGGAAGTGAGTGAGTGAAGATTAATAAAATAACCACTCCATCCACCACCCTCTCTCGTCGTCCTCTACGCGAACGCACGCTTACATGCTTCTGGCCGTTCCGCTGCTGGGAAAAAGGGGCCATGTCGCGCCCCCATCTGTGGGGCACAGCTGTGAGTAAAAGAGCGTGTGCTTCGGAAATTTGCCCCTTGCCTTGACGGTTCTGATAGGTCCCGCGTCCCTTTGCAACACCAAACTCTAATCTGTCCACTGCCATTGTTGCCTTTGTGCCATCATCATCCTAGCCACCAATGCAACCTTGACCAACCTATACGCGACCTATTATACACGCTATCAATTGATATCTATTGATTCTCGACACCACTCACACCCAGTGCAACCCGCCGCCCCTCTCTCGTTACTTTTCTTTCTCCTTCCCGTTCCTTTTGTTGATTCCGTCTTCCTTTTCTGTACTCTCTCATATTCGTCCTGGCTGCTGATTTGTTTACCTCTTCGTCTCAATCACGCACGGTAATGCTTCCCGAAAAACTCTCGCAAATCCGCCGTCATCTCCTCGGGGCATACTGTATATGCACAATGTCCTCCATGGTCTCGGTCGTCTACGACAATCTTACCGTTCTTACCCCATGGTCTTCAATTTCATTCATCATCTCCTTTACAACTGTAACCCACTTCGGAAGAACCTGAGATTCGTCGTTGCCGTTTCTACCCCAGTCTTGGATGCAGGAAATGCGTCATAAGGGACCAACATTCAAACACTGCAAGTCAGTAATCTCCACCAAAAAACGTCTCGATCGATGGTATACAACCACCATCTCAATCCATCGACCCCATCGAGATATACCACCACGTGCTATCTATCCCAACGATATTTCTGTACCCGGAAATCACTCACACGAGCTAACCCCCCGCGGAACTCTAATCAACTTCTCCTCTCTAGCATCAAACTCAGTACACTCCTCATGCCTCACATGACAGTAACAGCAAAAGCATCGACATGGCAACCGACGACGGCGTGGAAATATAAAAGTACAAACTCGACGTCGAAAAGACATCGTTGAGGAACCGGGTACTCTCCAACGTCGCCGTCCCCAGACCCGGGTACAGCCAATTCGTGGTACTTTTCCCCAACAAACATCATGATGCCGACCGGGTAGTCGTTGAACTCTACCTTCCAGTAGTCTGCGGCCGAGTCCCCATCTCGATCGCGAAGCCCATGTGGTCCTCGTACCTGCATCGTGTGCCAGGTATGTATACACAGTGAGCGTGTGCGTGGCGAACGAAACCATAAAACGTCCCCCGGCTACCCATGCACCATCCACCACGAAATCGCCTTCTCCTGCCTCATTCCAACCCTCTCGTGAACGTTTTGACCCCCCAATCTCCGTTTTATAGTGATGCCATGCGGAAATCGCTTTTTTTTTTTGCGCTTCTACCCACAAAAGTCTTCGTAGACGCAGTCGTTGTACAGGTTTATGTACCCGTTCCAGTGACGGGCCTGTACAAGCACTACATCAACAACCCAGAAACTCCATATCCCCAAAGAAAATGATATATGCCACGGTTATGTATTTAAGGGCTAGCCCACCACAATCCCATGCCAGCATCTAGCACCACAGCATCGCTGCGGAGCCGTGTGTCTTCTACCTCAACGTCAGAGCCGAAGTATCTCGTTCTCTACGATTGAACATGAGTCGAAAGCCGAGATATTATCTGTAATCTTTCTTTTCCTATCACTCTCGGCTTTGCTCTTTTGCAGATTCTGGGGATTTTTGAATAGAGGCAAGTTGGGCATGTGCAACGATCATGTGGTTGTTCCGATTAGGTAGTTGTTTTGTTCTTGTTTTTAATTTGTGCTGTGTGTTTTTCTTCTTCTTCTTCCGATTTGGGATCTTCATGACTGGATACAAGGCCTGGAATACATCAAGTAAGTGATGGAAATAGCTGTCTAAAACGAGCGAATTGAAGCAAATAATTAAACCATTTCATGCAGTCGGGGCTGTTGTTGTCGTGAAGAACCTTAAGTCCATTATTAACATATTTCCCAACTCTCTATCCAAAACATTCACCAAATCCCTTTCAATCCTTAATACAAACTTCAAGAAGATCATCCTTGAACTCTTTATTCAAGTTTGGATATATACAAAAAACGCCAGATTTTTTTTTGCACATGAGTGGGAAAGAATCCTAGAATATATACAAGAAAACCCCCCTACTTTCCTTCACCCATTCATTCCCTCCCTCGAGGATATTTATATACTTATGCTACCTCGTTCATAAAAACCCCTGCTCTCCGCTTCACCCAGAAAAAATAACTCCCATATATCCTCATATCTCGTTCGCAGAATGGGGAAGTTAAATGCTTGCTTGCTTGCTTGCCCTATGCTGATCGCAGAGCCTGAAGCCACCCCCGTCCTCGATAAGAAGCAAGAATAAAACGCCAGTAACGCTGGAAATATGCCTGCCGTCCCCAAGAATAGAAGAAAAAGCGATGATGGTATGATATGATACATAAACTTTCGTGAAAACCCCAGGAGTCGAAACATCCTTGGAAATGAGTAAGGGGAGGACTGGTTGGATGGGGATTCTGTTGGGGGCGAGGTGTGGGCATCGATGTGATGGGTTTTGGTAGAGAGGTGGGAGGGGGAGAGGGGGATTGATCGTGGGAGAGCTGGGCCCACGTCTTACTTGATACACCTCTCCCACTCTTTCTTCTTCTCTCTACCCATTATCAACGTCCTCACCGCACCACACCCGCCGGCGCCGTCGTCGGTTCCGTCGTAGCATCCCCATGTACAACTGCATCATTCGCCCCCCCTCTTACCCGCGCACTAGTTCCACTCCCACTAGCATCCCCCCCATCTTCACCATCCGTCTCGTTTTCCCCCTTCCCAGCCTCTTTCCCCGTTTCGAAAAACACGGCCCTGCATACGGGACAGCTGACTTTGCCCAACACGCACCAGCTCAGCAGACACGCGTCGTGGAATTCGTGGTGGCAGATTTTGAGGCGCAGGATCGCGGTCGAGGAGGGGTCTTGCGGGGGTTGGATTGCGGGGGTTTCGGGGGCGGAGGCGGATGGAGATGTTGGAAGAGGGATACTCGGTGGTGGTGGTGAGGAGGAAGGACGGGGTAGGACGGCTGCAGGTGGAGGAGGGATAGGTAGAGTGGTTGATGAGAGGGCGGAAAGACATATCGCACTATTTTGTGATTCCCATGTTCTCGTCAGCTTCTTTTCCTTCGTTTTGATTTTCTCGATGTTGGGGGCGGGGGTGTTTTTTTTTTTCTTTTCTTCTCCTGATATTCGTGTCTACGGGGCAGAAAGGGATATAATAAAGAGGAATCAAACTTACCAGTCTCGTTCGCCGATTGACAGCGTGTCGTGGTGGGCACCACCGCCTTTTTCCAGATCCTCGTCGGACGGTTTGAGCGTGGAAATGCTGGGCTGCCGATGGGCATCTGTTTCAGAGATCTCGGCCGCGCCATCGAGGCGCTGTCGCGCTTCTTCGTGGGAGATTGCTGGTGTCTTTTTGGCGGCCGAGGAGCGGTTGGTTGCGCGGAGGTCCGAGACGATGGTTTGCATGGCTTGTTGGCGGCGCTTTTTGCGGATGAAGAGGAAGATTCTATGAGGGGAGATTAGATTAGTTTCGTGTGAATGATATAGATGGTTGTGAGGTTGGTGGGATTTGAGATTGAGGGAAATGGGTCTTTCGGTCTCCCATCTTCGTCGTTTATTTTCTCGGGGTTGAATATTGATGATGAGAACATGGGGGAGGTTGCTCGAACTTACAAAGGTCCAACGATGACGATTAAAAAGAGAGGAGCCAGGAAACTCAACATCGAGGGCGTAATGTTGTATTGTCCGCCTCCATATCTAGGGCTATTGTCGACCGATTGTCGTTTGGATAGATGATTTGAGGGTGCTGCTTCCTCCCTCCCCTCTGCGGGTATCGTTGGCATCTTTGAGGACTTGTGCTGCGTTATGCTTCTTCCGACCCTCTTCTTTATTCCTCTCAGTAATTCGAGGGGATAATAGCGCAATGCGCAATACTATGTTTCTTCTTCTTATTCAGTTCTCGACGATGCGCTCGTGAAGTTCCTCGTACGGTTTGCGAAAAGGGCGTTTCCTCTTTACGCGCGTCGTACCACCGAGTATAGTGGTAATACAGTCGCTTTTTCTCTACAGAATTGCGCCTTGACCGTCCCTCTCTTAAGGTTTAACTATTTGTTCCGGTCCAATTACTTCGAGCCGGTGCCGTTGTACGTAAGTAGTTCGGTTAAGTAGAGTTTCGACTGAATTCCTCAAGTCCCAAACGAATCTTATCCTCAACAACAATTGTTCAATAGAGAAAGGAATAATCAAGCAACACGAATCAGTAGCAGCACCGATGGAAGGAATGGCATTCGTGATGTTATTAGTTCAAAGCAAAGAGGCGAAATGTGTAGGAACACAACGTGTGCCACGCGAGACATGGACTAAAACTAAGAACGATGACGCTTCTATATCAACCACCGCCACACACGCCCACACACTCTTCCACACACACGTGTACGTTCAGTGACAGATGGCTTGCACAGCCCCAACCACACCAGCCTCCTACCAATCAATAGCACGACAAAAGTCTTGTCCGGGGACCTCACTCGTAATCTCTCGTATGTACTCTACTCAGCCATGTCGCGGCCTCTTATCTATTTGTCTTGACCACTCCCCTATCGGTCCTTGGCTAACTAAGGCGCTACGACTCTCCCTCCAAGACAATTCCTCGCTATCTCGCAAGAGAAGGGAAAGAAAGTAGCGCATCAAGTGCGGAACGGTAGCGCTGTTGAGGTGTGGGAGAAAAGATGGAGACTTCCTCTCGGCCGTCAATGGCACTACCCGTCCCGCGGTTGGCCTCGATTCTTTAGCGATTGCTGCGCTGAGGGGAAGAAACCCCCGCTGGCAAGGCTTGGCTCAAGACTCCCGAGGAATGAGCGAGGGCTGGGCGGACGAGCGATGGACCGACGGGGTTAACAGTAACGAACAGCAACTTGATCTGCGATTGCGTGGACGGGACGTGATGGGAGGGCGGAGCAACTTCTCCCCCTCGTCAGCAAGTCACAGTCAGATTGCGAGAGAAATCAGCATGGTTGTCAGCACCTGGCGGAATAGGAAAACCATGGAATTTGAAGAGGAGGGGGGAAAGAGAAGGGAACTTATAGTGAATGAACTAACGAATTACTCGACTACTGGGACGGGAGAATGGAGAGGAGAGAGGAGAGGAGAGGGAACCACCGAGCCCCTCCACACCTCACACGTACCCCGCCAACCCACCAAGACATGCCCGGACAGCGGATTTTGTTACTGTCGGGCATGAATACTTAGGTAGCACTTACGTACACCTCATATGTAGTCTCGAACGCCTCAAAGCGAACAAGATGCGAGATGCGAGATGCGAGGAGTAAAACAACAACTCCACTAACAATCAAGAGCACAACAAGAACAACCCCCTCCCACTCCGCCATGATCCCATTCCCCCCGCCACCACCCATCGCCCAAATCTCCCCATCCCCCCTGTCCAACTCCCACTCCATCCACCACCAAGGCAAGAAAGAAAAGAACAACTCCCCCAGCCAACAAAGCCAAAAAGCCCACCACCACATCTCCGCTCGGCACACGTCAGCCCAGAAACCCCACCGGGTCCCGCCAAGCGCCAAGCCCCTGCCGAGCGTGCCGCGCGTGCCGAGATGCGAGAAAAACCGCCCCTCTCTCAAATCTCTCTCTTCCATCTAGCCCCCTACCCACCCTTCTCCCTCGGCTGAAGGGGATGATTGGGGTAGAAACGCCCAGCCTTTTCAAATGACAGGGGTGTGACTGGAAAGCGGGTTTTGGTGGTGGAGCGGGGCGGAGATCTGTAGGTGCGATTGATGTGTAGGAGGAGAGTCATGTGAAGATGCGCACGTGGGGTGTACAAGGTCTGGGCGAATTGTTCTTGGAGTTTTTATCTTTTCGCTTTGTTTCTTCTCGCTGGTATTTCGCGAGGGGGAGGGGAGGGTTTAGATTAATTTCAGGTTATAATAGTGTTCGTTTTTTCTTTGTTCTTCTATTTTGGATGAATTGGTGGGGAAGTGGTGCGGTCTGGAATGGAGTTGCTGAGGGGAGCGGCGGGGGGACCGGAACTCGGCGCACACGGTTGCTGGGAAGTATGTGCTATGATGATTTATCTTGATCACGACTTAAACATGGGGGCATGTCATCGTATGTCTGTATGTATGTGTGTGTGTGTGTGAAATGTCAGACTTGCATGCATGCATTGTGCATAGCATGTACCAAGAATCAAAGCGGCAAGTGATGGTGTGACTGATCCTCCCCCCAGTTCTTTTGCTCAGGCCATTCTGCCTGGGTGGGGAGTCTCTGGGCATTCCCGACTTGTGGTGAAACTTGGGAGTTTGGGGGAAAGTTGGCACGAGTTCGGTGGGGGATCAGGCGTAGAGCGAGAGTTGATTTTGAAGTTTTTTTGATTTCCATATTTCCTGTAAGAGGACTACGTACATACTTGCAGTTGTTGGCAAGTTTTTGATATCAAACTATGTAAAAGAAAAACCCTGATAGATAAAAAGAAAACGTCCAAAGAATCCTATAGATATTAGACTAGAACCATCGTGAGTCCTTCCCGTTTTGAACTCCAAAGCAAAGTGTCCCGCCTGCGTGAGGTGGAAAAAATATAAGGGAAGAAAAATTGGTCTTCTCAGGATTCAGTCTCATCGTGAATCTCTCAAATATCTCTCTACACCTTCTCGTCGTCAGTGGAAACAGCCGTGCTGAGGTATCTCTCAAAAGTCCTCTTCTCCAAATCAATGCTGCCTCTGCGGATGCCCTTCTTGGAGTCCGTCTTCCTCAAGTAGATTCTCTTGGCCCATTTCCACGACTCAATGCCCAGGAAGAACAGGATCGTGGCAATGAACACAATACCCCATTCCCAGCTAATACCCTTGTGCTTGAACACTGTGTCATTGATGACAGGAATGTAGAGGACGGGGAAGATGGTGATGAAACCAGCGCAGATTGAGTAGAACAGGAACTTGTTGCGCCACACGTCGTGGAACCACTGGGTGAAGTACTTGTTGGAGTTGGGCTGCATCATGAAGAAGGAGCGGCGCATATCCACCATCTGCCAGGCGAGGAACAGAGAGAACCAGGTCAGGCATGCGAAGCAAGTGGCACGAGCTCGGAACACAGTGTCACAAGAGTCCGAGTAAGAGTCGTTGCAGTTGGAACCAAGGTCGCCATTGCCCCAGCCGTGCAAAACAAGTGTGAAGGATGCAAGGCAAAGAGCAGCGATCCAGAGTCCATAGACGAGCATATCCAGCATGACTTCAATGGTGAAGACACCGCGCTTGAGACTTTGCGGTGGGCGGCTCAAGATATCGGGAGATGCCACTTCATAACCGAGACCCATATCGGGAAGCGACGAGGTAACCATGATAATCCACATGACCTCAACAGGCGAAAGTGGGAAAACGGAGAGACCAGTATCGTCCTTGAACACCAGACCAATTAGCAGAATGCAAGCTTGAGCGATGTTCTGGGCGAGCAAATGGAGGATGAATTTCTGGATGTTGTCGAACATGCGGCGGCCCTCTTCGATGGCGTTCAGGATGGAGGCGAAGTTGTCGTCAGTGAGAACAATGTCAGAGGCATCTTTAGCAACATCAGAACCAGTACCCATTCCGATACCAACATCAGAGCGCTTGAGAGATGGGGAGTCATTGACACCGTCACCAGTCATGGCGGCAAAAGCCTTCCTGCGGTGTAGGGCGTCGATCATTCGAACCTTGGTGGTGGGGGCGCATCGTGCAATGACCAAAGGAAGCAGGGGAAGGGCGTCGATTTGGTCGTCACTGAGCTTGTCGAATTGGGTAGCAGTCATGACCATTGCATCGGCAATTTCCTTGCTGACAGTCGCCATGTGAGAGGGCAAGATTCCGACTTCCTCAGCAATCGCCCTGGCAGTTCCCGGGTGGTCACCAGTCAACATGTGGACCTGAATACCTGCTTTCTGGCACTGTCGTACGGAGCCAGCAGTTTCCGGGCGAGGTGGGTCATACAGACCGACAAGACCTCTGAATACCAATTGCTCTTCGATTTCGTTCCTGTTGACTTCCTCGCCCTTTGTGATTGTGCCCTCCCATGGTTTGCTGGCAAGAGCGAGGACTCGGAGACCTAGAGCGGCCAAGGATTCCATGTTGGCAAGGATATCGTCGCGGATAGCGTCGGTCATTTCGATGGACTCGTTGCCCTCACCGTTGAACATGGATGTGCAAGAATAGATGACTCGCTCTACAGCACCCTTGGTGAAGACGAATTTCTTGTTTGTTGCAGTCTCTTCAAAGATGACGGACATCTTCTTGACGGTGGAGTCGAATGGGAATTCAGCCAACTGCTTCCAGGCAGGCTTGTCACCCTGTGTGTAGTCGAGACGGTTCCACTGGAAACGGGAAGCGAAAACTTGGATAGCAATTTCAGTCGGGTCACCACGGGCGTTCCAGTCACCTCCTTCGTCATTACGGTGAACGTGGGCGAGATTGGCCAGTGAGGCGACCTTGAGGTATTCTGTGAGGTGAAGATTGCCCTCCAATAGCTTGTCGAATGCTGTAGGAGCCTCCTCCTTCTCGAAGTCAATTTTCCTGGGCTCTTGAGGGGAGAAGCTTATATCGCCGACAGTAGGGTTGAACGGGGAGTCAGTGACACCAATAGAGTAGGTTCCTTTGGCAGGGATCCAGGCTCGCTTGGCTACCATCTTTCCTTGTGTGAGTGTACCGGTTTTATCAGAGCAGATGTCTATGAAACTCGTTAGATTCTCAGCCTGTAAATAGGAGATTGGTTACTTACCAGTTACTCCACCAAGAGCTTCTAGCGATTTGAGGTTACGAACAATGACGTTCCTTTCCACCATTCGCTTAGTACCAGCAGCCATGGTGATGGTCAAGACGACGATAAGAGACGCGGGAATCATACTGAGGCCAGTGGCAACAGCGTAGATGATGACTTCCTGATCGTTGGCAAAGCTGTTGGCAGCCATAACAATGATCGCACAGATAACAGCGATTCCTAGAAGGAGCAATGCGAGACGAGCAAGCTTCTTCTGGAGAGGAGTGCCGACGTTGACACCGAGAAAATGGCCGATGCCGTCAGTCGCAGTCAATCCCCAAGCTTGCAAATATCTGTGAAAGCCAGCGGAACCATCTTCCTTGCGCTTCACTGGGCGGCGGTGGGAGTTTCCTCCACGAAGAGACATGGCGATGCTGCCGATTTCAGTGTACATTCCGGTAGCGAAGACAACACCCCTAGCGCGACCCTTGGTAACAGTAGAAGAGCTAAAAGCCACATTGAGTCGGTCACCAGGGCCGGTTTCATCGTCAAACTCGGCATCGGCGTCTTTCATAACTGGCAAAGACTCGCCAGTCAAGAGAGCTTCATCGGTTTCAAAGTTGACGGCTTCGATAAGTCTGCAATGGTGTTAGTAACAGATTTAGAGAACAGGGATGAGGGCAGAGTGCGACTAACCGAACATCTGCGGGGACTGTGTCACCAGTCTTCATTTCGACCATGTCACCAGGGACGACTTCAATGGTGGGAACAGTGTTGGTTTTTCCATCTCGTACGGCGGTGGCGGTGGGAGAACTAAGAGATCGCAGAGAGTCCATTGTCTTTTCAGCATTGAACTCTTGCATAAATCCGACGACAATGTTCAAGATGATGATGGCGGTAACTACACCACCCTCAATCCATGACTGGATAGCAAAACTGACAGCCATTGCAATGATGAGCACGAGGGTCATGGCCTAGACGTTGGGTTAGCTCGAGTCGGAAACGCGGAAGGGAAATAGTCCCAAGGAGGAGGAAGACATACATTTGCTACCTGTCGAAGTAGAATCTTGCCGGGCTGGACGCCGCCGCCGTCGCCCAAGTCGTTGTCACCCCATTGTTCGTGACGCTTCTTGGCCTCAGCCGTGGACAGGCCGTCTTCTTCGCTGCACTTCAATTCCTCTCGGACTGCGGAGTGGGAGAGACAATGGGCGGGCCGAGATAGAGGGTTGTTGGACTGTCCGGAGACATGACCCTCGAGTGTAGGTTGCTTTGACTTTCCCATAATGAATGGATGGTCAAGTTCACTTGGACTATCTGGAGAAGCAACAGAAGAAATCCGGGGGCAGCATTGCCTTTAAACCCATCCGCGGGAGCTCAAGTGGGATGCTGCATATGGCGACAGCCAAGACCTCGATGTTTTCCACAGCTTGGCGCTGTGTCCACTTTCTTGGGACCTGTCGACCGGTCGTTCCATACGGTCCTCAGAGTTCCCGTGCACATTCCTTAGCACACGAGTTGTTCCCTAGTGCAATTGAAGTGGGATGTTGCATGGCGTCCATGTGCGAATGACGGAGCACCACATCGACGTCGCACCCGTCGCCGGGACTGGGGCTGGCGGAACGAGCAAATGGGGATGGCAACGATGGTTCCGCGTCCGTCGTCCTCGATTTTCTTTTCCCCGTGGCCATCTCCTTCTTTCTCCATGCCCCCTCCTCCATACCGGCCGGCGGCAATGGCTAGCAGCGGCGATGACGATGGTGGGGTTCATCGATGGCGAGCTGGGGAAATGCATGTCAGGTGAAGGGTGGCCACAACGGCGCGGGCGTCTTTGGTCTTGGTATTCCGCCCTTGGCGCCGCTAATCAGGTATGGCGTGGCGGTCTCCGCCTATCGCCTGCGCGTCCTAGAACCAAGACCAACCTCATCGGAAGTCGGCACCAGAACAGACACTTAACGTCATCTTGTCCGCCTGGCATCCGAAGCCCTTCTGCAAGTTTTGGTGGGCGTGCAAGCCTGATTAGCTCGATAGCCTCACACCTCTGCCGCCAAGCTCTTGTCCGCTCTTGTTCCAGAGCCAGCAGAGATGCAGCCTTGCTGCTAGCCGGTTGGCATTTCTTCGTCATACACCAGCTTGGAGCCGAAGCTTGTTCAGAACGCAAACCTGTTGACCGATTCCTCCCAATTCCAGCCCGGCCCTCTATCGGCGAACCCATCTTTCAGCCTCTCAGTGGCGCAATCCGCCCCTGTGCTGGCTGAATCAGTCGTCGATGCTTACATCTGTTAAGGGTCTTGACTTCGACCTTGGTACACTTTTTCCAGCCCATTGCTGCAGGTGGCTTCTGGCTTGACACTTGCTGCCCCACAATTCTCAGCCAGTTTACGTGTGGATATGACGAACTGTATCGTCAGCCCGTCTTCTGTTTCGTCTGTCTGATGTATGTATGTGCATGGATTGATATTCACCCGGGATGCTGATGCATCTTGAACTCGTGATGCTTCCTTCATGTACATACACGCAATCCGGTCAGTGGCCTGTTCCGCGAGGCTTACACGCTGAAGCTTCCGAATCAAGCAGCCACTTCATCCGAGCATCCGTCCTTTGAACACGTTCAGCTCCATTCCCGTGCACAGGTACAGTCTTCAAATGTCCTTAATGCCTCATCGAATCAAACACCTGGATAGCTGCAGCGTGGCCAATGTTGCACGGTGGGGCTTCGGGTCTATACACCTCTACTTTAATCCTCCAAGTTATCCCATCTTCGAAGGGTTTCAATCTTCGTATTGGCCAGTAGGATCCCTGCATGATCCTAATGTCTTGGACTCTCTTGTATGCATCAATCGGAAAGATGGGTCTTATCAGTGGGGAAGGGACCGTACTTGGGCATCAAGATAGCGGTACCCGGTTTTTTTACTTGTAGTCCGGTGCAAAGTCTTGTATCCCTCCTCTCCAGATTCGATGCAGCTTCCTCAAAAGTAGCAATTGATCTTCGCGTGGAGAAGCATATGAGCAGATTATGGAGTAGAACAGTGCGGACGTTTCAATATTTCCTATGTTCTTCGTTAACTATAAGCTTAGCGTTCACTCTCTCTTTCATCGTCCCATGCATCCACAGAAAAAAAATTGAGAATTTGAAGGGAGTATACCCACCGTGACCATCAGGGAACCTGGTTTACATGGCCTGATATCTACGTCCCTCATTATCGAAAATCATCTTTTTTTAAACCAGCGCCGACCCTCTCCCTCTTGGCAATCCTCGTTCTATTTCGTATTCGCTACAGATAACCGTGTAGACTAGACTTTCTTCAGTATCCTAGTCACACATTCCATGGAGTGAGCGATGACGACATACCACTCGTGTGAACCCTCCCTGATGTCGAAGCGAAATTCGCATCAATAATATTACCAACTTTCTTGAGCAACTATGTCATATTATTCTATGATGTTCTGTCGCTTTCTATATTGATGACAGGTAGAGTGTTGGATGCGTTCGAGGGTAGTTGTTCCGCTATCCGCCATTTGGTTTCTCGTGGGGTTCTTTTGATTCCACTGTTTGCGAGGTATGGTTCAAGGACACTACAATCCATGTCGGCATCACGATCAAGCGTTTCCCCTCAGACTTCAATGCTTGAACAGCTTTGATGAATGCATTGCCGGCAGTCAAAATTTCATTACGCCATCGAGGATGAAAGTGTGCGGAGAAATGCGACAAGATTAATTGACTGGTACGTAAAAACATTCTTGTACGGAGAATAGGACGTCACGCAATTGAACAATTTGTGATCACCGAAGACTACAAAAGTCTTGATGAATTCATGTAGACTGGGAGACCCGGAGTTATCGATAAGAAAAGGTCAAAGATTATTATTAGGTAGAGTATCATCACAGTTGATTATGAGTCAATACACGTGCATCGATGCATATACCCCCAATTCTCTAATAGTGCGTAGGTCGTGGCACAGTTGGATAGCCCTGAACCGTAGAACTCGATTTCTTTGTCGAAGAACTCTTTTGCGAAGTAGTCTTGACCGAAGATGACGACTTCGAAGTAGTTTTAGTAGTTGCAGGTGGACAAATAAGACCGAGCCAGCAGCTCGTTGACGGATTACCAGGTGGAGGCCAACAAAGGATACCCTGACATGGTGGGATCGTGGGTTTCAACGTCGGCGCGGTAGTCGTACGAAGAGTTGTCGACGTGGCACATTGGTATCCCGAACACTTTGTCGTGGAAGGTTTGAGAGTTGAAGTGGGCTTTGATGTGGGTTTGGTGGCCTTGGCCGTGGAGGTGCTACTTGGCTTTACTGGGGGTGGGATAGCGCAGTAGCCCGTACATTTTGTCGTAGAAGACTTGGGTGTGGAGGTGCTAGTTTTAGATGTCGATGAGCTCGGCTTAGTCGTAATGGGGCAATAATGCCCTGCACAAGGGGTTGTTGTCGACGACTTTGGTGTGGATGTCGAAGGTGTACTAGGGGAGGAAGTGGGGGTTGAAGATGTCGGTGTAGGAGTAGGCGTCGGCGTAGTTGATGAGATGATTGGTGGAGCGCATGGGTCGGTGGACTCGAGATTCTTAGCGACGTACAAAGAGAGTCGATCAGGCCCTCCACAGGTTTCCGTGCTGTTACCAGTGCATGGAGTGGAGCATTGCCCAGCGTCTGTAGGTAATGTGCCGTTCCCTAGAACCACGCCGCAATAACATTCACGCCCAAATTCGGTGCCAGCAAATGGGAAACCCTTTTTCCCACAGGTAGTGAGACAAGTCTCGGTAGTCATTGAAGATACGTTGAGAAAGTCCCATTGAGAGTACTCTAGCGACCGGCCATTTGTACCTTCCGTGTAACATCCTAGTGACATATAGTCGGACGATATGGCGATGTCATCCGCATCGGGAAACGTGGGATCTTGGTATATCGACAAGCGATCTTGTCCCCCACAAACTTGAGTTGAATCACCTAATAGTCATCAGAAAGGGATCACAGCCGAGGACGAACGGGAGGAATTGATGAATTACCGTTACAAGGCAAGTTGCACTCTGCCTCCGAAGCCGCAGAAGATGAAACACTCGCCCCGCAAAAACATTGGCCAAAATATTCAAGCCCGGCATATCGATAGCCGTTGCCTTTGCAGTAAGCTGTACATTGCTCTACGGTAGCGTTGTTGAATTCGAGCTGAGTCATGAAGGGCAGAGCTCGGCCAGACACGGAGTCGACAAAGCAGCCGGAATATACAAATTTCGTGAAAGGGTACACGCATGGCGGAGCGGGTGTACCTGTAGCCGATACCACTGCCGCAAGGGAAAATAATGTAAGCAAAGACAACATCTTGGCTATCATATCACGCTGCAACAAAACCAGTCAGGAGATTCGCAGAGAATTTGATAGAAAGAGTGAAGTCTGATCTTGAAAATGTGTCCAGGCTATATATCTACCCTCTAGCATTCTCTAGAGTTCAGTCCATATCTGCAACAATCTATTGTTCTGCAAGCCTTCGAGGCATGGTGAGTTGATATGTATTAACCGAGGGGCGAATATCGTGGAAACACGAAAGGTCTAGACTGGCGTCCCTGTTTTCACAGGAGATAATCGACGAAAGCGTCATAATCGTCAGGCACAGCTTCCTAATCGGGAAGTGATTCTGCAGGCTGAACGCGAAATCGACAGAAAACGATACGCCCGCTTCGTATTGCGGACAGGGCTGTGGCCGTTGGATAAGACTCTCGACATCGATGCTTGTTGGTTTCCAGGCGATGGTAAGTCGCCAGCTGAGCACAAACAGTCCGACGTAGATAGCCGCCTCTTACTGATTCGCTAAAACATGTGCCGACAATTGGTGTAAGTTGGATGTTGTCGACTCCGTGCAAGTTTGAACATGTTCAAAGCCCCCTAGTCGCCATTGTCTATTGGTACATAACTTGTAGGTACATGGTCCGTGCATTATCGCTAAATGCCCACCCCGGACGTCAACTCCCTGTTGAGATACGGACACCATCGTGGCTTTTCAATATGTTGGTGTTCTCGTCCTATCTGTCGCGCGCGTGCATGCACGTCGATATTTTAAGATGCCTACATACATATGTACATGTATGTATGAACCAACGTGAACGTGTCTCGTCTCATAGGTGACGGCGTGGATGCTGCTTCCAGTGGACGTCGCTTCCATCAGCCTGATGGCAAAGCAAGAAAGAGGAGGAGATCCACCATGATGACTTCCTGTTGTCTGGTATCGATACTCTCACACCCAGCTCTGTTGTTCCCGCTTCTCTGCTATACAAATCGCGACCACCCCACCCCGCATTCTCGAAGGCTGTACTGCATGGTTTCCATTCATCCTCATCTCTATTACTAGCAATCGTCATCACGTCCTTCAGTATGAAGCCTTTCGCTGCCTCCAATAAAAGAAAGGATGTTCGTCTCGCGACAACCATCTCTGCGGAGAAATGCAAGGTTCGCATCCTGGACAACCTCGCCTTTGATCGAGTGAAGTCCATTTTCCACAGAAGTAAAGGTACGTCCTATTGACTCAGGATGTACACTACAAGTTGCTAACGCGTAGCAAAGGATCATCGCCGAGCGCCGTTATCACTATACCCGGCCGTGAATACTCTGATGGTACCTCCACCGAGATCGACCATGCAAATGCCGTTCGCACCAACGTTGGGCAAAGTGAAGAAACACTGCGGCTAGGTGTTGATGCAGCTCCGGCTCTTCCAATCATCGATTCCATTGGATTCGATGGCGAGTCTGATCATTCGATTGGCCTGACGGACAAAGGCGCCACAGCCCTGCAAACACGTAGCTCAGTATCAGAGTTATCTCGTCGGATCAGTCAGCGGTCTTCACCAGATTTCTTGGTTAGTCCGACCGTAGTTTATCGACCCAAACTCGAATCGCGCCCAACAGTGCTATCGGTAGCCTTTGGCCAGCAAGTAGATGACGCAATCAATGGACGAGGATTGTCCGAAATTCGTGGCGATTCTTCTTCGTCGCCTTCACAAGTGTTCAGTGCTGGAGGAGGCAGCAGCCCTCCGCCAAGTTTTCAATCCACTGCACCTACTTCACCCACATCTTCCGGAGCGCCTCGGTCGGCGGAAACTGCACAGCGTACACAACAAAGATACAACAGTGTTCAAACTGTTGAAACGCCGTTGTATGAAAAGACTCTAGAACAGACGGAGAGTCAGTGGCTTGTTTTTCCTCAACAGAACGCCCCCAGACTATCCCAGCCCTCCATAGCAACTGTCGAGAAGGCCGCTGCTGCAAAGATAGCCCTGGAGTCTCACTTTGATAGCTTACTATCCACTAAACCTAGCCCTCGGTCCCTTCGACGGCGACACTTCGAGCGAAAGATGTTTGCTATGGGTCTGTCTGTTGAGAAGCGTTTAGAACAGAGGCAACAATTGACATTTGCCGAGACCAGCCACTTGCGTCAAACGAGAGTGCTCAAATCAAAAACCCTAGCACGTCAGAGCATGCGGGGAGTGCATGCGTCCAATTACGAAATCGTTCGAGTTCTCGGAAAAGGCAGCTTTGGTGTTGTCCGATTAGTATGCGAGAGATCTGAAAATACCAGTAATCGTGATAGTTCGGGCACAGATGGATCTACCAAGGTGTCTGGAATGGATGGTGCAAATGTTGCTTCTTCGCCATCTAAGGAGTCCAGGAGTATCAAGCAGGTCTATGCTATGAAAGTTATTCGAAAGTCAGACATGCTGCGGAATAGCCAGGAGGGTCATCTGCGCGCCGAAAGAGACTTTCTTGTGGCATCTGAGAATTCCCGTTGGGTTGTTCCTCTGATTGCTAGCTTTCAAGACAATATCAATCTTTATCTGGTTATGGAGTATATGATTGGAGGCGATTTCCTGGGCCTCTTGCTGCGAGAGGATATACTCGATGAGAATGTCGCGAAATAGTACATCGCGGAGATGATTTTGGGAATTGAAGAAGCGCACAGGATGAATTGGATTCACCGCGACATCAAGCCTGACAACTTCCTCATTACCGCGTCCGGACATCTCAAGATATCAGACTTTGGTCTAGCATTCGATGGCCACTGGACTCACAACCAAAACTACTACAACGAGCAAAGATACGGGTTGCTCAATGATCTGGACCTGGATGTTGATGGTGATTTGATTGACCGGGACGAAGATGCGCAGAGGCACGAGGCACGGAAGAATTTCGAGCTCATGCATGGCATAAAGTCTGGCAAGGAAAGTTTTCAGGCGAAAGCGGAGAAGACGAACGGGTCGATTCTCGATTGGTTAAACATGACGAAACGACGTCAGTTTGCCAAAAGTGTCGTCGGCACAAGTCAATACATGGCACCTGAAGTGATCCGTGGAGATAACTATGATGGGCGATGTGACTAGTGGAGCATTGGCATCATACTTTACGAGGTAAGTGGGTGCGGTGTCTGTCCCCGAACCGATGACTGATGGCGCAGTGCCTATATGGACGTACACCTTTCTTCTGTGACAACAGACAGTCCACCAAAGCCAGAATAATTGTAAGCTGATCCTTTGTTTTGCATGTTGAATACTAACTGCGGTTAGGAGCACAGAAACTATCTCACGTTTCCGTCTGAGCCACGTTACGCTCGACCTAATCTGGATCACGTGCCGTTGAGGCCAGTGACGCCTATCGCGATCGACCTTATCATGCGACTGTTAGACGAAAGGCAGGAAAGACTCTCGTCGAAACGCTATAGAGAGAACGACCGCACTCTGCAAGACCGCTACCTATTGTCTCGGCAGATGCGCAATACACTACACGGCGGCCAGATAGTTTTCCCTGGGGATGCGGAGGACATTAAAAATCATCCGTTTTTTCGTCAGATATCGTGGTCGACAATCCACATGTCGCGACCCCCTTTGATTCCTAAAATTCGCAACGGGCAACCTATCACGAAATACTTTGACGACGAAGCCGAAATCATGAGCGATTCCGATCACTTGGATTCAGATTCAAGCGACGATGACATGGTTCCTGCGACGGCAGAGGGACAACCGAAGAGGCGCCATGGGGCCAAGGACAAGAAAAGACCTCGTGACAAGTTACTGCGGGATCCTACGGTCGGTCGTACGGTGTTGGAACTCCGCAAAAAAGGTGCTTTCATAGGTTATACTTATCGTAGACCTACTTTTACGCTGTTGGACTTGGAGGACAAGTTTGCTACGTGTGGATGAATATGGGTGTGATGCAGGGATGGGGCCTTGTTCTCGCGTTGTGTTTTTTTGGTATTCTTAGAAGATTGACCCTATGAGTTGATGATTGAATTGAATGTTGCTCATGTTTGACTACTATTTCGATGTAAGATATGCGTGACATGCGACACAGCTTCTAATGTCCGTTCTTTGCTTTGTTCTTTCTAACTACTCAGCTTTGCTTCTTACTTGTTATAGCGTGACTTAGCTATTCACGCTGTTGTATGCACTTTGTTCTTCTAGAATGTTTTCCGCGCTTGAGGGCTTTATAAACAGACGCCACTTGTTTTCGTTGATATTCCAGTATATACCTAGGTACATATGTATGTTCCAATATGAATTGTTGCAACGCTGCAATTTTCCCGCATTTATCTTTTCAATCTATATTACTTATACCACGGAATTAAGCACAACATTGCAACACTTTATATATGCCCGCTTATTTGATGGGCGTTTATGTTGTTGTATAAGGTCTGAATAGGCTGCTAAGATCCTTTGCTTTCTTGCCGTACATCAATGTATGAATCTATGATATGTCAAGTACCCGGCCATCCACCAAAAATACAATCCCTCGCTCACCCACTCACTCAAGCGTAAACGGCTGCCTCTCCAAAAACTCCTCAAAAGTAGTCAACTTCCCCCTCACCACCTTGACAGCCTCATTCACCAGCTCCTCTTGCCCAGGCCCAAAATACCCAAACTCCTCCCCCCACTTCGACGCCTCGACAAAAACCTCTTGCAAAACAGGAATCCCCTTTGCAAACTCCTCGCTGGAAACCTGCTGGAACACAATCTTCTTCCCAGAGCTCTTCTCCAACAACGCAATGACCTCAGCGTACGTGTAAATCTTCGCCGCGCAATGCAACCTCTTTCCCTCGAATTCAGCAGGGGCCGCGAGGATGGCGCCGACGAATTTCCCGGTATCAGATGTAGCGTCGAGGAGGGGCCACAAAGTATCCAAACTGTGGTTTCGCTTCAAGATGTACTCCCCAGCATCGTTTTTCTGCGGTTTGAGAAAGAACTGCTCTTCGTAGTTCTCCATGAACGAGCCCAGCGACACGAACGCGCTCTTGATGGGTAAGGTGCGGATATAGTCTTCAATCTCCGCTTTGACGTCGAAGACGGTGACTTTTGTATATTTACCTTGAGAGATGGTCTTGATGGCGGGGAGCGTCGAGTAGATGATGTACTGCGCGCCCTGGGCGACGGCGACGTCGGCGACCATGGTGCCCGACGTGTACTGGTGGTCGCGGTCTTTGTCGGCTTCCCAGGACGGGAAGGTGGTGTAGAAGATTGTGTGGGCGTCCTTGAGGGCCGCGGTGATGGAGTCGCGGGATGTGATGTCTGCTTGGACGACTTGGACTTTGGAGGCCAGCGCGACGGATTTGGCCGACGTGGTGTCGCGGGTGATGGCGCGGATTTTGTAGATGGAGGAGAGGGTTGGGTCGGCGAAGACGTGGTTGATTAGGGAGGTGCCTTGGTGGCCTGTTGCGCCGAGGACTACGAGAAGTTTGGACATTGTTGGGGTTGAGTTTGGGGTGAGGTTGTTAGCTGGGAAACTGTTGGTTTGGGGGAAGGCGAGAGGATTGGATGAGTTGGTTGAATTGATGGTGTTTTGTTCATAACGAAGGGTCATCGCTCTGCTTTAAATATCATTTCTTCGTACTTGTTTCTGCTTGTCTTCAAAAGCAAGATGCATGGAGGATGTCGCCGAGATGCGTACCCGTTGCGATTTAGTAAGCATATTCACATCTCGTTCTTTGCAATTCTTACTACATTGGGGTCAGGCTTCCGGTGCAAATTGTCTAGCTCAGGATCTCAAAACCTTGGGCATTTCTATCACTCCGACCTTTCACTTGTTTGTGAATAATTTGCGCTTCGTTGAACTTCCATGGCTATGTTTTGTACATTTTGTTCCGGGCGAGGGTGGCACGATAGTCGGCTTAACAATCTGCCCGCGTCGTCACTGTTCGGGCGAAATGCGGAGAGAAATGTTTCGTTGCTAGCGGGCGTATAATCTCTACCACGAACCGATATTCCTCTTAATCTTTCGAGTTACCATTTGCTCATGCGTTAGAGGTTCTTGGTGTGATGTACTTGGGTGGACGCAGACCTCGCACCACCAATCGCAATGCTCGGTAGCTTTGCAAGCGAGTCTTACTTCACCAATCACGTACGACCTGCACTTCATAAGTAAGACATTTGACGTGAGCTGGAATTCCGTGATTTTAACTGCATTTGGGCGTCGATCATGGAGTATTCAAGACTTTGGAGCCATTATTTGTAGTTATGCAGGTGTGCAACTTAGAAGGGTTTATGATCTTGGGAACGTCTTGTGAAAGGAGTCTTGAATACTACCTCTCTACCGTACTTAAGCATTCGCAGCGGACTCTTTTGCGCCGCGCGTATTTCTGTTATCTTCTCGACCGTTTGAATTTTTTATAAACAGCCACAGGTGAGAGGTCATTCCAGTGAGCAGTTGTAAGAATTGACTATCTCCAAGAAGCAACGATCCTATTCATGTTCGTGAGAGAACGTGGTACGCTACAATCCAGAACCACGAGATCACTCCTGTACCATCTGATTGTTTGCCACAGGACTATTCATTCAAAAATATAATTATCACTATTGAATGCCGACAATCTAATGCATACTGTGTCTAGATTACAGCGGGACCAAAGAGCACCTTGTCACTCCACGATCAAAGCAGATTTATCGTGTTTTCAATACCCAGTGTTTGTGCCGCATGGAAATGCGATGAATCATTATTACTTTTAGTCACTCCACGATGATTTCTGTATATGCGAACTGGAGCCAACATCAACCCACTGCATTCCCTGATAGCCGCCACCCTAATTCTAGCCCAATCGATCTCCGCACCTTGAGAATGCTGAAAACACCCTAATGTACAACCTACACAACCTGGCGGCACTAGCCCACCAGATCCAACAACTCCGCGGATTCCCGTTGGTGGTAACAACAACAGCCATGCATTTCCGATAGGAGAAACAAGCTCATGTCACCATACACATGCATCTTTCTGACGCGTACATATCAATCCTACAGTACACACATTTATGTCGAAATCCCGACGGATTCTTTGAATCTCTTCGTTGATGTCTGCGATTATGCGAGTTGCTTACTCTTGAGATCCTCGTTATTGAAGTGATTCCTGGTTGAATTGACGGGTCGAGACACTGCTTTTGTGAGAATCGAGATGGAACCAGCGTTCCCAGCTCCAGTGCCTACATGGCACAACGATATATACCCGGCCATCGACCCTACGAACCCAGCGCTTAGCCAGGCCGGGAAGACTGTCATCATTACTGGCGCCGTGAGTAGATTCCCCTCTGTATCTGCCTTTCTCTATTCAAGAAAGAAAAGGGTTCGTTTTGACAAAATTCTGAATCTGTGCACAGGGTACGGGTATCGGACGTGCGACAGCTCTCGCGTTTGCGGCCGCGAAAGCAAAGCATATAATCTTACTCGGACGCACCATGTCGACTCTGAAAGAGACCTTATCGCTCATAAGAGGGGCTCCCAATGCATCGTCCACGAAAGTGACAATCTTCCAAGCATCTGTGACAGATGCGTCTCGAATCAACGATCTCGTAGCCCTCTGTACAAAACCTCCGCCTCTTCTCTCCAACAACATGGATGCCATTTTCCAGGAAGAAAGCAACAACTTGCGTGAATTTAGAGCAGAAGAGGTGGGAGGCGAGAATGGAAGCGAAGTGGCCACAGGTTGGGACGTTTTAATCCTCAATGCGGCAACTGCTGGTACGCCCCAAACCGAGCCAACAGCCCTCTCGACCTCCATTGCATCCATCCACGAAATCTTCGCTACAAACACATTTCCACTGCTTACCTTCTCCGCTGCATTGCTACCCTGCGCGAATGTGAACCCTGTCGTTTTCAATGTCACATCACTAGGCGCCGTAGTACCAGCGCGCCTGAGTCCGCGCATAGGACTGTACGTAGCAAGTAAAGCCGCAGCCGCAAAACTCATCGAGGTCCTTGCGCTAGAGAACCCACAAGTATTCTGGGCGAGTGTGCATCCTGGGGTTGTGAAGACTAAGCTATTCGAGAATGCGGGGTTGGACGCGGAGGTGCTGCCGATGGATGGAGCAGAGTTGGCAGGCGGGTTCATGGTGTGGTTGGCTGCGAAGACCGGCGGGTTCGCTGCAGACGGGAGGGAATTTGGGTTGAAGAGGGATTTGACTGGGCGATTTTTGTGTTCGAATTGGGATGTTGAGGAGTTGGAGGCAAGGAGTGGGAAGATTGGACGAGATGAGAATACGGTTACCTTGGCCGGGTTTCCCTATGGACAAGTCATGAAATTGTAGCCGGAGATAGGGTGGAAGAATTAGCATAAGATAAGTATATGAACCGTAATTGCAAGAGACGAGAACCAGAAAAGGCACCAGTGGTATCTCACGGAAGTAACAATGGCGTGAAAATACTGAAATCGACAAATGGGTGGTGAATTTTACTATTACATTGTTATTCAAAACGAGAATTAGTGAACGCCGCCCAATGCAAGAACCATGAACAACCTCTACCGAATCTAGTTTGGGGAATCAAAATGCGCTTTGAAGCACCAAATGAGAACAACAATCGAATGAACGCCGTGCCTGTAACATGGACTGATAGACGATATAGAATTCTGGTAGGCGGAATTAAGGCTTTCGTCTCTTGTTCTCGTGGAATAACTTTGCAGGCTCCTCCGCCCGTCTCTTCGCAGGAGGCGTACCCGCTGGGCGTTGAGACGGTAGTCTTGGTGCCGAAAATCTGTGACCCTCCGGAAGCCGTGTCTGCTGTGAAGGAGTCGGGGTAGCTGAGCTTGACTGCGGCATTGATCTTGACTTGATGTTGGGTCGACTGGTGATAGGAGATGCAGTGTCACGAGCGGCGATGGAGGCCGACGCCCCTTTGGATATGACCATACGCTGTGGTCCTTCGTTCGTCGAGGAAATTTCAGCCTGCCGCACCATCCTTGCCGGTGCTTGCTGCACAGCTCTCTTTCTCTCGGCCAGTATGTGCGCAGGCATCATTGATGCCTTGGGTCGCGCCTGCTTCTGGTCATATATGCCTCTTCTCAGCTTGTCGAAGGCAGCTTTCCCCGTCTGCTTCGGTGCAGATGAGCGGCTCCATGAACTGCCGGTGGTGAAACCGAAAGCTTTACGTGTAGCGCTAGGGACCTGGCCGGTTCGGCCCTCGATTATAGTGGTTTGGTGACCCTGCCGATTCTGTTGTAGGGCTTGCATTTGCTGCTTCAAAGCTTCCTTTTGTGCCTCTTCCTCTCTCTCGGAATCCCTCTTCAGTTTGCGGTAGACCTTGCTCCAGTTTTTCTCGTCACGAGGTTTGTGCGCCTGCTTCTGGTAATCCGGAATATCTCGTTTGATGAATTTCATCCATATTTCGCCTGTCTCACCCAGAAGCTGCGGACAGTTGGCTTCCAGGGCTATGAGTTGATCGGGATTCTTTATTTGTCGCAGAACGGGTGCAAGAAATCCATAGGGTAAGTCGCCGACATCCTCAAGCATGTGGATGTTCCGTATGAGCTGTCGCTTCGTCATCTCTAGCAGGCTATCTGCACCTTGACCCATCTTGCACAGTTGACTACAAAGCCAAGCCACATGCACATTAAACAAGATCTGGATACGTCGGGACTTGGAATGATTGTAGCTCTGAGGAGGTGTCGAAGGCCACGTAAGGCCACAATCCGGAGGCAACAGGGTGGAGCGGGCGTTATACGAGCGGAATGCGGGCGGACAAGATAGGTAGCTGATAGGCGGGAGCTATGCGAAATGTTCCAGTGTTGGAATTTGATTAAGGCGATGGATGACGGAGAGTGTACGATGGCGGCTCTAGACAATGAAGCGGTAGGATAGAAATAAGAAAAAGAGTGTGAAGGTCTCTTTGTTGAGTGAAGTAGAGAGTAGGTGCGACGGCGATCGGGGCGTGACGTTACGCACGCAGCCGCCGGGGTGGTGAGTTAGCGCGTCTTGGCGTGAATCCAAGGGCAATGCTGAGCTATCAATCTTTAGTTGGTAATCAATCATACCCTCAAGAACATCGATTCGTCGCCCACCAGCCCAGAAAGCCAGTCTGACCTCCAGGGGAACTCTACATATACACGCACCGTAGGATATGCCGATCAAGAACTGGGGGCAACTGCCTCAGGCAGATGAAGGTGACTCGTTCCCGTTTGGCAATCGCAAAACCAAAGCTTACCGTCGCAGATGCCCTACACAATGTATCGCGACTCCTGGCCGTTGAAGTCCGTCCTTTTTCGCGTGTCTCCACTCGCCTCATGAAAAACGATAATGTCACCACTCAACGCCCCAAACAACTCCCATCGCCGCCCCCAGATGCTTCTGCCGCGGACGAAAGCGCCGCCGCGATAGCTGCCGAACGCGAGAATCCGATTGCTAAACTGAAAGGCTGGCAAAATGATCTTATGAGCGACTTGGAGCTTTTGGATTTCACCGTGCTGCGTTTTGAACTTACGACGAAAAGCAATATTGTTGAACGAGAGCGATATGCGCAAGAGAAAATTGCAATCAAGGACAAGCAGGAGTACGTGAAGCAGACAATCGAAAATCTGCGCGTGGATTTGCAGAATGCAAAAGAAACACTGGAGGTTCGCAAATCGTACGATGAGTTGACGGAGAAAATCACCAACAGCAAGATGCTTAAGACGAGGCACGAACAGCATGTCGCCCATGCGAAGTTGGATGAAGAAATCTCAGAGCTGCAAAATGAGGTGGAAAATGCTAAGGCTACTTGGAATGAGCGCCGCCAGCAGTTTTTCCGTATTGATGAGGCTGCCCAGGCAATGCATCGCATGATCAAAGACGAGAAGGAGGAGGCAGAGCGCAAAGAGGGTATGATGAAGGACAGAGATGAGGAGGGCGACGGCGATACCACCCGCGGGGATGTTAGTCATGCGGGTACACCGCGGCCAGATGGCGGTATGACCCCCATTCATGTTAGCCAATCTGCGGACGCTTCGAACACGCTCAAAGTTCCCCAAGATCGACTTGCACCCCTATCGAGAAGCCAGAGTGTGGCGTCTACATCTCGACGATCCATTATTGATGAGGACACAAAGATGGAGTCGATGGATACAGCGGAGGATGGCCAGGAGGATGATTCTTCGGGATTAGAAGAAGGAGAGGACATTGAAGAGGGAGAGCACGAGGAAGGGCAATCCGAACAAGCGGGGGGCTCTGATCGTGAAATGGATGGGTAAACTGTTCCATCCGCCTCTCATTGTTGGCAATTCTTATATACCCTATATTGCATAGCGTTGGTGTTTGGGCATGGATATCTCTGAATTATGTACAGGTAACACAATGAGTCTGACTACGAGTTTGCAGTCCTCTCAAAGTTCAAAATCAAGCACTCTGAGCAAGAGCCTTCTTTCCGGCGGCAATGGCGTCCTGCGCTTTGGTGACTTCTTCGGGGGATGCCGCGCCGCCGTCCTTATTGTTCTCCTTAAACGATAATCAGTCAAGGAATTGTGACCAAACGCGGAGACGAGCTTACCAGCTCCTCTTCCAATTGCTCGAGGGTCTGTTCAATCTTCTCCCGGACAGTTGGCAGAACCTTCTTGGTTTCCTCCAAAGCTTGACGCTAGATGCGTAGACAAGTCAGCGGACAGGTCGCAGGTTGGGTTGACAAAGTCAGCATTTATGAGTACCCACTTCTTGCTTGAGAAGGTAATCGGCGTTGTCCTCGCCTGGGTTTGATTGAAGCTTGGTAATGCGGCTCTCCTGTTGTTCAAGCTCCTTATGGTAGCTTGCTTCCTCCTTGACGAGGCGCTGGAGGGCGGAAGCTTGAACACCGAGTTTCGAAGGAGGGGCCATTTCAGATATCGAGTCGCAAGAAGGGCAGAGTGGAGTATAGAAAGAGAGCAGTATGTGATTCAAGGATTGAATATATGCAAATGGTCAATTGCTACTGCCTGGAGCTGGTCCGTGTTTATTGTCCCTCGCCGAAAATACACAATCTCTACCAAACCCCGCGACGACCTTTGCTTATCGATAGGGCAGGCTTGCTAGGCCAATTCGAGGTTTGATTGGAACGCGTGCCAGCGCTTAATTAACGACGCGAAAAGCATTCAGGACGCGTTACCCTCCCAACCCACCTTGTTTTGTCCCTAGCTCACGTCACCCCCTCCCCACCAGACGTCAACAATCGTTTGCATCTGTCTGCTGCGAACATGTCTTCTCCCGAGAAGCGTCGCTCCCAGCGCACTTCAGCATCTGTCACACCCCGAAAAAGCGGTCGAAATGGGCGGGGTGCAGGCCAATCCAGCCCACCAGGGCCAGACGCCCAACTGCAATCCGAGGCCTCTCAAGCTTCGCAGCGTGGCTCCCAGGCTACTCCCAGAAATTCTAGATTCCAGAGTGCAGCTACGCAGTCGCCGCTATTCTTTCGCTCTTCACCCGCAGCTGGGTCAGGGGCCGCAAACAATGCACCCGAGAGCGATGGCGGAGCAACGCCAAAGGCCAGTGTTATGAACATTGGAGGTAACTCAGGATTCACTCTGCAAACACGGATTGATTCAACTGACGCCGAAAAGATTCTTCTCCCATCCGCTATGCCTCCAGTTCTAGCCCTGGCAACGCTCGTCGTGCCCAGAATACCGATATTGCGAGCAGCAGCAGCGCGCTCTTCGTTGGTGGATACGGCGATACTGGGGCTCGCAACCGCCGCAGCGATGTTCATTCCGATATTCTCGGTCCTAGCTCGACGGGAAGGCGCCGAAGATTGTTCGTCGACGAGCATGGTGTCGCTGTTCATGACGCATCGGATGCCGCTACCTTTTCGAATCTGAACCCGGATACCTCAGACGCTGACGTACTTGGTGGCAACTCTTCCCGGGTCATTTGGGGTACTAATGTGTCCCTTTCCGACTCGATGAGCGCGATGAAGGATTTCCTGTTCAACTTTCAGAGAAAGTACCGCATGATCCAGGATGGCGAGTTAGAGGAGGGCGCCAATCTACCGGCAGAGGACCCAGCCATGGCAAAGGAGTACATCGAAACGATGAAGATGATGTTGGAATTGGGTGTCACTCCATTGAATTTGGATGCTCGAAATTTGAAAGCCTATCCTGCGACAAGGAAACTGTGGCACCAACTTCAAGCCTTTCCAAACGAGATTATCCCTCTGATGGATGTGGCTGTGAAAGATGTCATGATCGAACTTGCTGAGAAGCGCATGGCTGAAATGCGTGTCCAAATGTCGCAAGCTCAGCGTGGCCCACAACGAGGCCACGACTCCTCTTCCCTCCCACCAATGCTGAGTTCAGATGCTCCGACTCCTGGTGCGCCGTCGCCCGCCCCCGCTGGTATCGATATCCCCGATCTAGTCAAAGAGGTCGATCAAAAGACATACCGTGTCCGGCCGTTTGGCCTCGATAGCACAACCAATCTCCGAGACCTCAATCCCGCTGATATGGACAAGCTGGTCAGTGTCAAAGGACTAGTCATACGCACCACGCCAATCATCCCTGATATGAAAGATGGTAAGTCACGAAATGGACAATTTGACGTGTGAGATTTTCTGACTGTTTGTAGCTTTCTTCAAATGCTCTGTATGCAATCACACAGTCAAGGTAGATATCGACCGTGGTAAGATTACCGAGCCTACGCGATGCCCTCGTCCAGTCTGCGAGTCCGCAAACTCCATGCAAATTGTGCACAACCGATCTGGATTTGCCGATAAGCAGGTCATTAAGCTCCAAGAGACACCAGACAATGTTCCTGATGGCCAAACACCGCATTCGGTGTCACTCTGCGCATATGATGAGCTGGTTGATGTCTGCAAAGCTGGTGACCGTGTAGAGATTACAGGAATCTTCAAGTGCAACCAAGTGCGTATCAATCCCCGCCAACGATCCGTGAAGAACATTTTCAAGACATATGTGGACACGCTTCACATTCAGAAAGTGGACAAGAAACGTATGGGCATTGATGCATCCACTATTGAGGAAGAGCTCGCCGAGCATGCAGCCGGGGAGGTACAAGAAACGCGCAAGGTCAGTGAAGAAGAGGAAGCCAAGATCAAAGCGACCGCGGAACGTCCTGATGTCTACGAGCTCCTCTCTCGATCATTAGCACCCAGTCTCTACGAAATGGATGATGTCAAGAAAGGCATCCTCCTTCAGCTATTTGGCGGGACAAACAAATCCTTTGAAAAGGGAGGAAGCCCCAAATATAGAGGAGACATCAACGTTCTCCTTTGTGGTGATCCCTCGACGGCCAAGTCTCAGATTCTTCAATATGTTCATCGTATTGCACCTCGTGGTGTCTACACATCTGGTAAAGGTTCTTCCGCCGTGGGTCTTACCGCCTATGTGACACGCGATCCCGAGACACGTCAATTGGTCCTTGAGTCGGGAGCTCTTGTCCTCTCCGACGGTGGTGTGTGCTGCATTGATGAGTTTGACAAGATGTCGGACGCAACACGCTCAGTTCTACACGAAGTGATGGAACAGCAAACCGTCTCCATTGCTAAAGCGGGTATTATAACCACTCTAAATGCTCGCACTTCGATTCTCGCCTCGGCCAACCCCATCGGTTCCAAGTATGACGTGAACCTTCCTGTGCCGCAAAACATCGATCTCCCGCCCACTCTTCTCTCGCGTTTCGACCTGGTTTACCTCGTCCTCGACCGTATTGACGAGATGAACGATCGTCGCCTCGCTCGCCACCTGGTCGGCATGTACCTCGAAGACACGCCCGAAAACGCTTCCCGCAACGAGATCCTACCCATCGAGTTCCTCACTGCCTACATCTCCTATGCACGCACCAACATTCACCCCACCATCACAGACAGCGCGCAGAAAGCACTTGTGGACGCCTACGTCGCGATGCGCGCTTTAGGCGCCGATGTGCGCTCGCAAGAACGCCGCATCACCGCGACAACGCGTCAACTAGAATCCATGATCCGCCTCTCCGAAGCACATGCTAAGATGCGCCTCTCAGAGGTCGTGACAGAAGACGACGTCCACGAAGCTGTACGCCTCATCAAGTCAGCGCTCAAGCAGGCCGCGACCGACGCCCGCACCGGCCTCATCGACATGTCTCTCCTGACCGAAGGCCAGAGCACCATGGACCGCCGCCGGAAAGAGGATCTCAAGCGCGCGGTGCTGTCCTCGCTCGACGAGATGGGTGGTGTGGGCCAGAGCGTACGGCTCAACGATCTTGTCAAGAAGGTGCGCGATGCGAGTGGGGAGCAGATTGAGAATGCAGAGTTTTTGGAGGTGCTGAGGTCTGCTGAGGCGGAGGGCGGTGTGCAAGTCACCGGCGAGGGACCCAGGAGGTCCGTCAAAAGGATCGTCGGCGCTTTTTAGTCGGGGGAATAGGAATATGTCAGAGATGTTGCAGTTGAACTGACTTTCCCAATGTGTTATGGGATGCATAGCTTGATTGGACGGATTCTTACGTACATGACCTTGTATAGATGTGCATTATGAATGGAATGATAATTCGATGTCTATTTCGATGCATTCTCTTCTTCATTCTCTCCTTCTTTCAACCTCCTATTAGTCTTCTTTTTTCTTCGTCGTTGTTGCCGTGATGTTTGCCCACACCATCTGCGTGACAGTTGTTTCCGCGATTCTCGGCAATCTTTGTCTTCTTTCTTTCTTCCGTTGAGTCGGACTTTGCTCTTAAGACTAGAAGCATTATAGAGACAGAGACAGAGAGAGAGGTAAGGCGATGGCTCACTCTTTTTGATCCTTCTCTGAAACGCACGTTGGATGTTATGCTGCAGGTAGGAGGGGGGAGAAGAATTTAAGCGTAAGCAAGCAGGACAGACATATACCACGAAGCAACATGAAGACAGAACAATTGAAGAAGGCTGAAGATTTCCACGTGAGCTAATCAAAAGCCCCACTGCATTGATTCAAAACAGAGTCTTACCCTACTAATCTCTCTTTCCAAAAAAAAAAAAAAAGGGAATCGAATCACTGAAACCCCATCTTGAGCAAATGCGGCCTCCGCTTCTCCAAATCCAGCACCATGACGCCAAACAAGCCATTAGCCCAACTAAACCACTGTCTCGACCACACCCCAGCATCGTGCGCATCAACGCTCTCATGCATGAGGCCCAAGCCATCGGTACTCTGCACCAGCCACTTCAAATTCGCCACAATCTCGTCATCGTCGTCGCTGGTTAGAATCGTCATGATGTTAGCCATGGGCCACGGTTTCCCGGGCCGCGTATGCATGCTGGCTACGCCGGAGATGGCAGGGCCCCAGGCGTAGTAAGGGTTTGAGCGGGAGAGGATGCGGGCGCGCGTGTTTTGGTAGACGGGGTTTGAGGCCGGGGTGTAGCCGATGAAGGGGGCGGAGAGGAGGGAGGGCAGGTTTGGGTCGTCCATTAGGATTACGGAGCCGTAGCCGTCGATTTCGTAGGCGTATATGGGGCCGTGGATGGGGTCGTTGATTACGGCGTGGGTTTCTATGCCGGTGCGGATCGAGGTCGACATGTTGCGCATGCGCGCTGTTAGGGGTTGCGAGGTGGATGGTTCGAGTTGGGCCATTATGGAGGAGGAGAGGTTGAGAGCTACGCTGTACATCATGTTGCTGGGGATCAGGTATTGGTAGATGCAGCTATCGTCGGAGGGACGCTGGAAACTGCGGACCAGGCCGATGTTGCCACGGTGGGGAGAGCCATTGCAGTCGTTGATGGGAGTTCCGCCGTAGGGGGCGCAATAGGTGTATGGCGTGTGCTGCCATGTACCGTCTTCCGCGTAGCTGTCTATGGTCATGGATTGGGTGATGTTGAGGACTTTGGTAACAGCACGGGTCCAGTTGTGTTTGCCAAAGAACTCCCAGTCGCCTGTCGCAGAATAGTAGTCGTGTGAGAGCTGGAGGAACGAAGCGACTGAGTCCAGTTCCCACTGGCAGCTGAAGACGCGGAAGTAGTCGTAGGGAGGACTGATCTTGTCGCTGTTTTGCGAGCTGTGGTGAGGAATCCCGCTCTCGTCTGGGCTTTGAAAAGCATTACAGAATGGGTCCCCCAAAATATATCGTGCTTGAAGATTGATAGCGCCGCGGAAAAGGCTGGCGAGAGAACTGTTGTCTTTACCTCCGTCCGCCTTCAAAAGCGACACATACGCTTGAAGCTGGTTCGCCGAATCACGAAGCCACATGGCCTCGATGTCTCCGGTAATGACAAAACTGAGTTCTGCAGGATCCTCCATTTGGCCATCTTCCTTTTCAGTCACATTTGACAGTCCTTTCCAGCCAATAGTGGTGTCCAGGGTAGAAGGCCAGGCGTTCTCGAAAAGGCGAAACAAATCGGGATCAACAATAACCCCCTTGATCCTCTCAACCTCCCTCTCCATGTCCTCCGAATAGAAAGTCCGACAAGGCGGAATGGGCCGCATAGAAGAAAGATTCCATCTCCCCGTCGAAAACGGCTCGTGGCGCGCGTTGGCGTAGTTTGTGTAGATGGGACATTGCGCATAAGCGGTAGAGATGAGTAAACATGCGAGCACCAACACACGTAATACCAAGGGTGGGACTGGGCCAATAGGAGCCATGATTATTTTACCCGCGCAAGAAACAAAGAAAAAACGGGTGTTACCGCATACCAAAAAAAGGGACGTTGGTATGTGCACGCCCTTATACAAGAGACAACGGCATAAGACCAGTAGAGGATTGAGTGGAAGGAGGATCCGACGATGCGCAAAGGTGGCACTGCGGCTGCCAAGCCTCTCGAACCTAAACAGGGTCCAGCCTCGGTCCCTTGTTTCTCCACACTATAAGGATTTGATTAACTGCATGCAGAATCCATATTGTTGATATACAAGTAGACATTTTTATTGCATCGTGACTGGGAACGACCATGCGCCCCGCTCTTATGCACAAGACCCCGAATCAGGAATCAGGAGATCTGCATTCAGTGCCGTAGATACTATAAATAGCCAATCTTGCGATGAGATGTTCAGTTGTCAACAAGGATGCGAGCCAAACTCACAGAACGGTCCTGGTATATATTGACAATATCAAGGTATCTGGCAAAGGCTTTGCTTCTTACCAAACCACACTTACCGTCCCCCCTTCACGATGCTTCTAGCAAAATTGCGTTCGTCCGCAGACAATACCCATTGATAGCCCGAGTCACCCGCTTGTTCTTGGCTGACTTCCTCCCACTCATCGTCTTCCATGTTCATAATCAGCGTCATTTGCGTGCACTTGGCGAACGCATCGCGCAGGCCGTACTTGCCACCAGCGACAGCGGCCGTAATGATGCCTGAAATGTCGCGCTCGAGACGAACAGCGCCAAGCTCGTTGACTAGACCATGATAGCTCATGATTCTCTTCTCGAGCGCAGAGGCTAGATATGGGAGGGCCACCTTGAGTAGGCGATCAAAATTAGCGGGGGTGAGGATTCGTTTGATGGGTCGAGTGAGGGCGCTCCAACCACGGTCAAAGCGTGATTTGACTAGATCGGCGTCTCCGTCGTCTTCATCGCCAGGATTGCCATCCAAAGGTTTGTAGTTGATCTCGCGGAAAGCTTCCGTCAGAGTAGGGCGAACGCGCGGTTTCAGCACATGGTGGAACGCCACTTGAATGCCATCGTTTAGCAGTTCACTGCTCTTGGCTGCGAAAGCGTGCTCCATGGCCTTGAGACAATTTTCGACAAATTTGGCGTCGTGGCCGAAGGGGAACAGATTCTCCAGGTTGGATTTGGGCGCCTCTTCCCCATGGGATTGCTCCTTCGGTCCCAACTGCTGCTCGACAATGCGTTTGATATAGTCATTTGCAACGTCCAAGTTGTTGATCAAAACCAAAAATGGGATGACCTTATCCTCAGGAGGTAATCCACCTTGAATGACAGGCCTGGGATAGCTCTCATCGCGCATCTTGCGCTGCACCATACCCACAAAGTCAGTGCTCAAGACTTGTCCGGCGCCTGGGATTACACTGGCGACAACAGCTCGCTGCGAAGTAGCCAAGGCCCGCTGTAACACCTGGTTAAGAATGTACATGACAGTATCGACGGCAGTCGTGATAAATGGCGGATCGGCACCAAGGGGTTTTGCAGGGTTGAGGTTCAGACCTGAGGGCGATTGGTCCATTTGAAAGGCTTTTTCCACAGATCGACGGAGGAAAAAGGTCGTCATTAGGTTGAATGGATCAATCAAATGACTTGCTACTTTTTTGTTCAGATTGCTGCTGGCCAGAAACTTTGGCATAACAAGTCCATGGTCGATACGATCCTCCGGCTCCGCTGGCTGTATGCTTGTTAGTGATTACATTGGCTGAATATGTTCTTATGGAGGACTAACCGGGCACTTGGACGAGAGAAAGCGCGAGTATAGAGCCCATCGACCCAGCATCAAGGCACTCTCTGCGAGAAGCCCGTCAATCTCCTTCATGTCGACCCCCTCATCCTCGCTTGGGCGCCCCATGGCATTAGCGGGGGAGTTGGGACGAGCACTCCCAGTGGATGGTTTCTGGGACGAGACAAAGCTCTGCACGAGGAACGAAAAGGCATATGATTTGATTTCGGTCAGTTTGCGATCTATGGCGCGTTCGTCGTGCCACGTATCCAACACGATTCCCCCTTGCACATCGGCTTCGATCTGAAGGCGCTCAACGACTTTGGCCATCATACCTGGGCCATAGTGGCGTTCCACAAGCGGCTCATGTCCGTCGACAATCTGCGCGATATGTTCAAACAGCTTGGTGATGACGTTGCCGTAGAAGAAGCCTTCCTGCCTCTGAGCTGGGGCAGCCGAGTTGAAAAGAGTACGAGCCCTCGAAGCGACGCCCTGACACACATATCTGCCATATGCGTCCAAGCCTACATCCGTCCTCCCAATCAAGGGAAACAGTTTGAAGAACCTTGTGACGCGCGAACCGTCGCCCTCGTGGGCAGCCTTGTCGAACTCACGCAAGAAAAGGCCACACAGCGACTCGGCTGCAGCATTCAGTGTTACTCGAGGCGGGTCAGGGACCTCTGCTGTGGGCACGATTTCCTCGGCAAAAGAGCCATCTATGACATGGTCAGGTATCTGAGAGGCTCTGCTGAGGTAGCCGGCGGCGGTTTCCCAATCCTGCGGAGCACCCATTGAACCGTGAACACCCAACACGCAAGACTTGAGCTCAGCGACCTGCTCGACGACTTGGAGGGTGGCCTTGACATTGGATTGTTCGTGATCGAGGCGTTTGACGGCGCTGGAGATGCGATTGGCGGTGGAGGCGGCGTCGGCGAGCATGCCATTGCTGATGGCACGAGTATTGACAACCTGGGTGCCTAGATGACCGCGCAGCAGATCGAGACGGCCGAGCTCACGGGATAGATCCTTTTGGGAGGCGATGAGGTCGTTCAGGCGTTGGGTCACGGTGGCCTCTTGTTGGTGCAGGTGGTCGAGGACGGCGTGGATTTCAGCGACCGAGGTGGCGTGGTGGATGTCGGGGACGCCATTTTCGGTGCTTTCTAGCATGCCGGCCGTCGAGGGAAAAGGAGAGGGCGGGGATTGGTGGGATTGGGATGAGACGGGATCGTGAGGTCTCGAATAAGTTCTGAGAGGGTGATGATGGGTGCGTATGTAAGTACTTGGTGGGGCTAGGCGTGCGTGGGGGGTTAGTCAGGAACGAGCGACACTACTTAGCCCAGGTATCTACCCATCCATCGTCACATCACATATCACACACCTCGCAACAGCATCCATGGTTTGAAGCATGACGTGCATATGTATGTAGCTATGTGTTCCAATGTTGAGCTGGATGCATCATTGCCGTCCGTGCTGCAGGGCAGTGAGAAGCATGGCTTCGCCTGGTTGCCCCGATGTCCAGTACCCCATGGATGGGATGGAGCTATGATGGCATAGCGCGCGTCTGTTATTGATATGTCCGCCATCATCCTCGTTCCCTATCCAACCGACGCCGCCTTTGTTCGGCTGTGCTACCATGCTACACCAGTGTTGATCTTCAACTGCTGTTATTGTGCCCGAGATAGTCATGACTTGCAATTCATTGACCACTCGCGGTGTAGCGCCCCTAGTGTGTGCCTAAGCCGTACATGTAGCATCTTGTCCAGCGTCTAAAGGTTAACATGGCTACAAGTAGACATTGGGCAATGGCCCCCCAGTCATTCATCCATCACCACCCTCCTCTGCAACACCGCAACCGCACCTGAAACTGTTTCTCTTCATCGTCTCCATACTCGGTGAAACATTGTTACCATCTACCAAAACGTGTTCCTTTTTTCTTTCTAGTGTTGTTCTCGCCCACATTCCAACGTCCACAGGCGACCGACGGACGTCACAAGTTGGCGGCAGAACCCTGTCAACTTGAACTTGCTTGTCCGAGCTTATTCGCAACCCGCTCCTCTTCCCATCAAATAAACAATCCCACCCTTTTTGCTTTCGCTGCAAACTCTCCCAGTCGTCGGATATCCATTCACAGGCAATCCTTTCCCATGTCTCATCCGCAATAATACCTAATCCACCTCCTCGGCTCCCAACATACCCACTCAGCCCGCCGCTCGTCGTCGTCGTCATAACACACGCACGCACCCACGCAGCCGCACCAACATTCGCCGCCGACGGTTGCTGCTGCCGCCGCTGCGCCTCAGCGACGATAAACAGACGGCCATAACAGCGCATTCGACTCCCGCGACGCAGAAATCGTCCTCTGCCCTCCTGCCCGTGTGCTTTCATCATGGATTCCGCCGCCCACATCCTCTCCTCCACCGCCTCGCTTCACCACCAACTCGATGCACGATCTGGAGGCATGGGGGGCGACCCCTCCAACAGACCCCCCGCATACAAAGTCGTCGGAATCGTTCTCGCCATCTCCTCCGGTCTTTTTATCGGCGTCTCCTTCGTTCTCAAGAAGCACGGCCTACTCAAAGCAAATGAAAAATACAATGAAGAGGCTGGAGAGGGTTATGGATACCTCAAGAACTTCTGGTGGTGGACCGGCATGACCCTCATGATTGTTGGCGAAATCTGCAATCTTGTCGCATATGCTTTTGTCGACGCAATTCTCGTTACTCCCATGGGTGCCCTCTCCGTCGTTGTCTGCGCCATTCTGTCCGCCATCTTTCTGAAAGAGCGCCTGAGTTTCGTGGGCAAGGTCGGCTGCTTCAACTGCATCGTTGGCTCCATTGTCATCGTTATCAACGTCCCCGCACAGTCAGCTGTCGCCAACATTCAGGACATGAAGAAGCTCGTCATAGCACCCGGCTTCCTCAGCTACGCTGGCGTTGTCATCGTCGCCTCGGTTGTCGCTGCTCTGTGGTTGGGCCCAAAGTACGGGAAGAAGACCATGATGGTTTACATCTCCATCTGCAGTATGATCGGAGGTCTCAGTGTTGTCACCATTCAGGGTCTCGGTGCCGCTGTCATTGCACAGATCAACGGCAGCCATGGCGGGCAATTCAAGGAATGGTTCTTTTACGTCCTGTTGGTCTTCGTCGTTGCGACTTTGCTCACCGAGATCATCTATCTGAATGTAAGTTCTGGTTCCTCCTATGCATTGCTTTGGCCCTCCCATGTCTGACACATCTTCCTTATAGAAAGCACTCAATCTTTTCAACGCCGCCCTTGTTACTCCCACATATTACGTTTTCTTCACCTCTGCTACAATCGTCACTTCCACGATCCTGTTCCGGGGTTTCAAGGGCACCGCGTCCTCCATATCGACCGTCATCATGGGCTTTTTGCAGATTTGTACTGGTGTTGTGCTGCTGCAGCTATCCAAATCCGCCAAAGACGTCCCTGATTCCGCCGTGTTCAAAGGCGATCTGGACCAGGTGCGAACCGTCGCAGAGCAGGAAGAGCCCGAGTACGAACCCAGAGCAGACGCGATTCGAGGCAGTGCCGCTATTCTCCGCTCCATGTCCAAGGCGCGCAGTGAAAAGGAGGCTAAGGAACTCGCCCGGATCAAAGAGGAGCAAATGCAGGTCATAGGCGAAGACGAGCAGGTCGAATGGGACGGTCTCCGCCGACGCAAAACGGTCCTCGACCCCAACCGCCCACCATCGCGCAATCCCACACTGGTCCGCCAAAAGACTGTCCACCCACCCCTTGGCATGTCGCAATTCCCCACTGACGATTCCGACGACGAAAGCTTGCATCCGGGCTTCTTCCAGCGCCTACGGTCCCGAGGGAAATCCACTAGCAGTTCCAACGCACCCGTAGGCCTCCGCTCTCTGTCCTCGCGCTCTGGTCAACCTAATACCAGCAATCTCGATGGTGCTTCCGACACCGCCTATCATCCCCCTCACTCCCCAACCATCCAATTTGGTAACCTTCCGCACCCACCCCATCCACACAGCCCCGAACGCCGCCTTGAATCCGCCGACTCTCTCCGCCCACCACTCCCTCCTCCCCACACCGCAAAACGCCAATTCTCATTCCAAAACGTCTTCGGCCGTAGCCGCGCCGAATCCACAGGGTCAAATCATGCCCCGCCCTCGAGCCGACATTCACGAAAGAGCAGCCTGAACGCGAAATCAGATGCCACCGAGGAGGAGCGTCTGGGCCTCGTTAAGGGTGATTCGAATTCGCACATGCTCTTCCCGATTGCGAGTCGCGATAGCAGAGATGGCAGTCCGGTGCGCGAGGACGAGTACTCGGATCACGTCGAGACCGTAGACTGGGGAATGACGAGGAGCGACAGCCCTGCAACGAGATCGCCTGCGCCGGGACCTCCAGATGGGAGAGGAGATATGAGAAGAGTGCGGACTAGTGATTCAGAAAGCGACGATCTAGATCTGCAGGCCGAGAAAGACTACGAGAATTTAAGAAGTGGCGGGGGTAAGAGAGGTGGAGGGTCTTCGGGCGCTTTCTTGTAAAGGTTTGTCCTTATTCTGTTGTCCTATTATCTCTCGTCTCCTAGATTCGATATTTGTCTTGTCGTCTTGGATGGGCAAAAAGCTGTTTCTGTCTTTCAGCTTTGCTCTGTTGTTGTTTCTCTATTCGTCTCCTCCTGTTGATGTCGTCTTAGCGTTTATGAGTATTCCTTTCTTCCCGTCTTGTTTTCATAAGTCCATTTTTCCATGTCGTACACGAAAGAGAGAGGGAAAGGCAACATCAGGAGATCGCAAAAGAAACACGCCGTGAATGCGAAATGTAAACGAACAAGGGAAAAAGAAGAGAGAGGCAAGGGAGTTGCCCTTGAAAGCGAAACCGTAAATATGGGGGGGTGTCCACCAATGGAGGATTACGCACATTGTCCATTTTTTTATCTAATGGCCCGCACATGATGGAAATCATCTTGTTCTTTCTTGCTCTAGTTTCTTGGTGGTCATGAGCGAGTGGGATTTCCCTTTTTCTATTCTATATCTTATTCTGAAGGAATCAGCGATCATGAGCCTCGCCCGATACATTAATAGCGAACGAGGAAGCGGTGTGGGTGTCGTTGGTATATATATTTTCCCCCAGTTGCGTACATAACCGAATTGCTGAATACCAATACTCATGCATCTACACGGCATAATCGACCACTTAAGTGCAAAAATAACACACACATCCCTCCCTCTTCCCCCCATGAAAACAATAAACATATGATCCCCCTGTCCCTCCTCCCAAATCTTCGAATTCTCCATCCCACCTTTTCTTTCGATTAGAACTCCATCGCTCTTCTTCCCTCTCTCCTCCCTCACAATATCCGATTAACAAAAAAAGAAGTAATGTTTGCCCCTTCTACCCCCTAATCCCCTTCTCTCTTTCGCAACGAACTGCAGATCTACGACCTCGGTTGACGCCTCTTCACATCTTGTTCCCGCGAAGTAAGAAGTGGGAGATGATTCTTGATATACGAGAGGATTGCGTGGGCGGAGGTCGTTATGCGTGTTATAATCCCCATTATCTTTTTTTTCTCTTTCTGTCTTTGCAGCAGAGTTCGGTGGGGTTGTGGTTTGGAATATTTCTTGGAGAGGGTGTTAAGAAGAGAGTTGAAGTTGTATGTATGTGTGTGTGGGAGAAAGAGAGAGAGGAAGAAGTGGTTGGGGACGATGAGGTTGGGCTGGTGGTGGGCTGTGTTGTGTTGTGTTGTTGCTACGCCTCTTTATCCAATAGGAATAAACTATCTTTGAGAAAGAGGAGAGAGAAGGGATGATCTGTTCCTCATTTTTAACTTTTTTTTTCCCCGACGCCGTTTTTTTTTATGGATTTGTCTATGTTCTTTTTTTGGTATGGAGAGTGTGTGAATGGGACTGGTTAAGTTAGATATCGGGATAACGCGTATTTTGCTGGCTATAAGCGGCGCGGGCGCGTAGTATTCGTTCAATCGACATGCGCGGACTTGATGTTGCTGTATTCAACCGTACACTAGAACTTGCATAGTCTTTAACCAAGAAATATGTGAAGTCGATGGGGTTTTTCGTTCATACTCACCACGAGGTGCTGGTACTGACATCGGATATACCGACGTCACGTGATACTTTTTCCTCCAGCCTAGAGTGGGCAGATCGTACCTAGGTATTCCACCACCAAACATGAACGCTGTCAAACCGCATTATAATCCACACGGAGATTAATGTAGAGCTTGAAGTAAACTTGAGTTTCGAAACAGAAAAACGAGATCAATGAGCGAACGATCGTGGGATCGGAGGGCATGGATGAATGGGGGCTGAGCAGCAGTCGTACGTCCGATCTCCGGTGGTATGTAGCTAATGACATGATTTACTTTTCTCGGTTGGCGCTTTGTTGGGGAAGGTGTTGGGTGTGGTGTGTATGTATGTGTTTAGGTGGGTCTGGTTGTTAGGCGAGAGAGAGGGATATGTCACTGGGGTGGACGCCTGTTGTGGTTTATAGGGGATGAGAGGGGAGATGTTGGATCCCTGGCTGTAGGAAGGGGGGTCTGCGTTTTGTTTAATGGCGATAAAGCCGCTCTATAGATTATTGTGTTGAGAAAGTTGGTGGAGATGGGTAGGTGTGTAGATGAGATCATGAATGTGAGAGTAGTGCTCGCGTTGATGGTTTTGAACGATGGTGGAACCACGAATGCATTTGTCCTTCGTTTTTGCGCATTATCTTCCCGCATGTTATATGCATGGTTGCACTACCAAAAAGTATAGAGAATGTCATTTTCGGCAATTTGTTTAGGGCTCGGTGGTGTCTATAAATCGGTGCCCGAATGGCTACTGTCAATCTGCCTTAGGTGTTGATCCCATATACCGCAATCAAGCATCTGCACCACCAATCATTGTGTTAGTAAATCTCCGTAAGGAACGTTAGCTTCGGGGTACCGTTCACTGAGTTGTGTGAAGTTTGCAAGATCTAACATGAAACAAGTGTCATTCGTTCTTTTCAACCCCCAGGCCACCAGCTAATAACGAACCAAGTACCGATCTACGGCACGCCTCAGGCAGAGAACTCATTCTCCTATAGTATACAAGCGGCAAGGCTATGTCCGGGATTGAGACTTTATATATTGAAGCCAACAATTGCGTCTGAGGATTTCTCCTTCCTTCCAATCCAGTATACCATTCCACTTCTTCATTTTCCAGACCTATAACTGTCATTCTTTACAGAAAGCTGTGCTTCTCGTCCACTCATTCATCAACTCGTCTACATTTTTTCTTCGTAACGTCTCCGATTACAAAATTTTTCACAACATCTTCCAAAACACACTACTCACCTAACAATTAAAAAAATGGGTGCTGTCTCGAAACTCTGCACACTCGCTCTCGTGGCTGGATCCATGGGTGTCAACGCAAACGGTCTGCAGCACGAAGCCCGCGATCTCTCCGTCTCCGACCAGATTCTCGCAAACACTCCCTTGGATCTCCTGAGCAAGATCCCCGACGATGTAATTGAGGGCCTCCCCAAGGACCTTAAGGATAAGCTTTCTTTTGACGGCAAGATCCCGGAAGAAATCAAGGATAAGATCCCCACTGGTGTCAAGTCTAAGTTTGCGGGCAGACCAGGATCCACTGGCACACCTTCGAAGTACCATGGTGGTAAGCCTGGATCTACTGGAACTGCACACAAGGGTCCCTTCTCCGAATCCGACTCTGATGAAACTGCGCCGAAATACCCAATCGGTAAACCCGAATCTACTGGAGCTCCGTCCGAACTTCCAATCTCCAAGCCCGGTCCTACCGGAATCAGCTCGACAGGCACTGTAGCCGACTACCCCGTCGCTCGAGCCGCCACGACTAGCAGCGCCGCCTCAAAGTCGTCCGACAAATCCGAGCACTATAAAGCCGCCAAACCCCTCTCGGAAGAAATCGTCAAAGGCGACAAAGGCACGCTCCGCTTAAAAGCCTACGACTGGGCCCAAGACGTCGTGCTACTAGATATGTACCCCTTCGCAGTCCAGTCCCGCCTGCGCTCCGAACTCATCAAGCTCATCCTCCTCATACCCAAGACCGTCTCCCGCGAAGAAGCAGAGGGTAAGCTCCTCCTCCTCGTCGACCTCGTCTACGCAGAGCTCCCCGCCACAGACCTCATCAAGCAGTTCGAACGCAACGCCGATATGTTCTCCAAGAAAACGGGCGTGCCCCCGCGTCCTGAGGTACGTCGTAGGGCGGAGGCCAAGGAGGAGAGCTGTAGCTGTACTTCGGCGGTTACGGTGACCGTGACATTGCCTCCTAAGGCTCCTGCGACGTCTGCGGCTTCGAGCGTGGTGCCTCCCTCGTCGGTGAATGCTACGGGGAGTGTTGTGCCGAGGCCCTCGAACCCGCCTGCGCAGCAGAACGGTACGAATGGAACTGCGGCTTATACCGGTGCTGCTGCGAGTGTTGGTGGATCGGGTATGATGCAGACTGTTGGTGCCATGGTTGTCGGGTCGTTGGTTGCTGCGTTTTTGTTGTAGAGTACTTGGATTTTCTGAGGAGGGTTTGGGGGTGTAGATAGATTATCGTATTTCTCTGTGTATATATTGATCACTGGTACCCTGAGTATCTCCTACATTACAGAAGAGTGCCTAACTAAGGATATTGTGTTAACTGCTGTTTCTACTTCAATGTTCTGTTCAATAGCATCTTAACATACTTTTAACAGGCTGTTAACAGGATCTAGACATAACATAGGGCCTTAAATAAGGGTTAATAGCTAATCTTAGGGTGGGCCTGCCCCTGTAATGTACAATTAAAATAAGTGTGGCTGTTCGTTGTAGTTTCCTATTCTACGTCAACATAGTTTTGATCCTGTCCTGGCCCTTGGTCTTCAGTACATACATATGTATCACAAACCAACTATCCACACCGCCCTTCCCCCCACCAAAATCCCGCAAAGCCCCTCTCAAGTCGCCCAATCAGGCACCATAGTTCTCTCAATCTTTTAATCCATAACTTCATCAGCTTACAATTGATCACTGGCGTGAAGGTAGCAGATAGGGTATGGTTTGGTTATGCTCTGAATAGTTGAAAATATTCCAAACTGTTGGATAATCTCTTACTTAAAGTAACCTCACCTCCCCCATTTCTTTAGCCGGAAACGACAATAGCGATCATGAAAGGATCTGATTTATCGAGTCGGCGGATACAAATGAAGTGAAATCAAGCCCGAGATAATGTCTACCAATTATTCACTCGCGACGCTTGAGCTGATGTATGATTGGAATGCGCAAATACGCCGGATTCGAGTTTTGCAGATCCATTAATACGAAATTTTATCGACTTCATATTTCGAAGCCTAAAACTAAAATGCGGAATGCGATCTGAAGTGTAAAGAACTACCATCGCTAAATATGCTCACAAAGTGCTCCTATTAGCCTCATCCCATTATGATATCATGCCATATAACCGTGATCTTGACCGTGCGCAGAGCTAGACAACAGGAGTAATGCTCCTCAGTTCTTCTAGTCCACCGAAGTAAGGGATGTCCTTTCAGTTTCCCCGCCCGATTAACGCCGTAGAGAAACGCCAGACATGCACTACAATGCATTGCCGCACAGTTGCATGCGCCTTCACTCCTCTTCATCCTCATCCTCGTTCACTTCTTCCTCGTCCTCACCGCCGGCGTCTTTATCGACCGCGGACTGTCCATTGTATTCGGGACGCGCGACAGTTTCTTTACGCTTGATGAGCACGGATTCGAGGAGCGGCGCGGCGGCGAGGAAGGCGTTGTATTGGTCAATGGTAAGAGCGATACCCTAGTAGAAAGCTCAGGTTAGTCTTGGACACTCACCCCGATAAAGAAGTGGGGAGATGGGCGTGATGTACCTTCTTGCCAGGCTTCATGTCACCGCCAGCATCTTCATAGTACTCGCGAATACTGACTAGCGTCTTGCCCTTGAAGTCGCTAACTGTGACGCGTCGGGTGCCATTCGCTTTGATCTGAAGGGCGCAAGGTCAGCGAGCAGCATTATTCCTTGCAGGTGATTGATGGACCTTACAGCAACGAATTTGTTTTCATCATCGTCGACTTCAATTTTTGGAACTAAAGGGACGATCTCATCTTTCGTTTGTCCTTTTGACTTCTTGTTGGGGCGCGAATCTGCGTCCTCGGAATCGGGGGACGAGCGCTTCTTTGGGAACGAGACTTTGGCAAAACCACTTCCTCCACCACCACGACGTGCGAATTGTTTCGGTGGCATGAGGAACGACGTAGGAGATTTGTTATCAAAGTTGATTGGAAGAGAGAGTTGAAATTACGGGTACGAAGATGACGAGATTATGTGTAGGTATTAAGTGTGGTCTGGGGTGACGCGCGAGTGGGCACCTCAAGATCGCGCTAGAACACGGGTCATGTGACTGATTATATAACATTCAATCAATTGATGTTCATTCCAATGTTCATTTAAACATGGGAACATAGGCGAAAATCTGTAATGGCTGTGATTCATCTATTTAGTATCATTAGCCATTGTACTGGGGTTGAAAATGCTCCCTTGTCGCAAAACCCGATTTTCTTGAAATCACTAATGGCAATAGCAAGTTGATATTCTGACTTTCGGGGAGCATCAAAACGGAATCTAAGTAGCAATTACACACTCGTCCTATGCGCTCAGTCCAACAAATATGTTCTAGCCTATGAGCACTCCTCACAGAATTTACTAATCCGCTCACACGGCCAGCTTGCCGGTTCCGACCCAACCAGTTACCCACACACCACCAACATCTTTAGCGATATCTTCAGCCGTTTTGCCATTGGCATCTTTCAATGACCGAATATCCACTTTATCCTCTGTGATTCCTCTCATGATACCTAATGCTTCGGCTTCTTGGAAAACTTCGGGTGGAATCTCCAACAAGGGGATATTGCTAGCCAGCAGCAACAGAAGCCATGCAACCTCCCTGCTTTGCGCATGTACTGCCGCGTGAAGTCCCGACTGCATGTCGCCAATAGGGTCCTGATATCGCAACATCGCATCCACCCCGACTTCCTTGCCGGAGTCGTCTTGAACTCCCTCCATATCCTCATCTTCGTCGTCGTCGCTTTCGTCGTCTTGTAGCATGCCTACTATCGCTTGGACGTCGCCCTCGCGGCAAAATTCGAGGAAGGCGCGGTTCTTACGGTCTTCGGGATAGGCTTTGAGGTAGCTTTCCTCTGTTAGGAGCGGGAGGATATCAAGATTCTCTTGGAGACCGCCTTCATTGTTTAGGTTGCAGAGGACTTGCTGAGAGCCGTCGGATGATGTTGAAGCGATATCTTTTCCGCAATTCGAGCACTCGGTGACTTGATACGCCTCAAGAAGACAGTCCCTACAACCAGAATTAGCAATCAATGGCCAACGAGATGCGCATCGCAAGCACCCAGAGCTATATCACTTACCAGTGAAAGTGGCATCCACAGCTCAATTGCACGTCATCTGGGTATGTTTCCGGCGCAGCGGCAGGCGCTTTGCTGGAAGAACCGCTCATTTGCACATCGTCCTCCTCTGGCTCGATTTCCACCTCGAGGGGCTTTTTGCATGTGGCGCATACACTCATGGTGAGTTTTTATTGATCTGTGAAATCTTTTTTCGAAAAGCTGGTGGAGGAGAACAGGGAGGAGAAAATTACTGCTCCATGTGTAATGTTTTGGTGGGGTTCACCGCGGGGTTCACCGAAAAATTTGGGGGACCGTGCGAGAGTTCAGACGCGAGGACGCGTCTACGTCATCTCAGGGTCTATTTTGTAACTTCATTATATTCTCCACTCACCTCTTACTTGCACGTATGAAAATTTGCCATGTATCCCACCGACTTTTGATTGCGTCTCTGCAAGCTGCCACACAATTCTATTATCGCAGACAGTCATTGAACGGCCAAACATTGGCCGTGGTACCATTTCGTGGAACCTGGTGATGTTGCCAATTTGTACTCGCTCATATGCTTGAGCAATCTGATTTTGTCCTTCTTCTCCTCGATTCAACATGATTCGATTCTTTTTCAAATCTGCTTGCTATTTCGCAGCTTTACCTGTCCTTTCACGCGAAGCGAAAACGTTTGAGGTTTGTATGCTCCACCGCGATCAGTGACTTCAAATCTGGCATAGCCACTGGAGACACATTGAATGCCCGATAAATATGGCCTTTCCTTCGCCCATATCTATCTTAAGTAAAACAATACAGTACATGATGTTGTGGCGCGCATACTGTTAAGTCTGCGAGGAGATGATTAATTGGGCATTATGTACATTGGAGCTCATCTTGGCTTCCCTTTGCAAAGTAAAGATACTAAACTCCCGCACCCTTTGAATCTTCAAATGCCCTTTCAATTTTAGAAGTGGATATCCACAATGCTAATCTGGAGATTGTAAATACCATCTCATCCACCGCCCATCTATATCAGGCCACTCACAAATCCATTCACCGGCACGGTCCAAAGGTAGGTCACTCAGCGCATACCACTTCTTCCTCACATGACCCGGTGGGTACATATCTAATCTTGCTGTCTGTGGTGGGAAAGAGCACTGCATACTCAGCCAGTTCCAGGAGAAAGGAGATCTACAATCTCCGATCTCGCGCCAGACGATGATCTTAAGGGCATACCCGGCACGAGCTCCATGTCACATAAGCTCGATGCAGAAGTCTGTCATACACCACGCACAAGATTTAAAAGACTTTGTGTAGGGCGGAAGGGAACCTGGTGAATCTTCAAGTATTTCCGGGATCTTTATGAAGCCTTTCACACCTCGCTGCAGTATAGTAACATGGGAGCATATATCCGTTCTGTAAAAACCAAGGGCTTCCCGAAGGTCTTGTGTACGTCCTTTGTGGTTCCAGTAAGTTTTTACCGACAATGTCAAGAGGCTGTTGTCGATTACACGAGCGTCGAGTGTCTCGTTCTTCTCCCAAGACCGTGGAAGACTGTGTCGGCTTTGCCTTTGTAGAAACTCTAAAGGTAGACCATGGGTGGGTCCGTTCAATTGCCGATTCATGACCAGTCTCATTATGTAGTATGGTATACTGAAGGATTCCACGAGCGTTATCTTCCCGTGATCGGTGACACTCCAGCGGCATGGTGCTTTCTCATCACTAGGATATTCCAATGACCCCAGTATTTCCTGCTGCGAGTGAAGTTTGATGCAGCAATGACAGAAAAACATGGATGGTGTATCTTTCTCGAGCAAAATCAGGAGTTCCTGTTTGTCGCTGTCCTTGAGTCTACCCAGCGTCGGAAAAATGAGTCTGTTCAGACTTCGACAGGTCAAAGACAAAGACGTAGTTGAAGCGGCATCTAGGTTTTCGGCGATCATAAAGATAAGCTCGGCGGGAAGAACAAGTGTACCCATGCTCGAAGGAATGTGTTGCTGGATGTTTGTTGCTTTTTGGTAGTGTCGCATGAGCCAGCCGCGTATAGATTTCATGGTATCGGTTGAAGATGACAACACCGGGATATGCTATCGCCGTAGTAGCGATGCTGAGTGTGTCTTTCGGTGATTCGAGTATCGCAGTATAGTTTTGTGCGGGCGTTTTTTTTTTTTTTTTTTTGTTTCGGGAGCCGAAAATCTGAGTTTTGAATTGCTCAATGACATCGTTGTTGAATCAACTCTGGAGTATTTCAAATACCAGTTCCATGGTTGACTTACCGTGCAGCAGGTGTCATATCTCTGACTGATAACTGTGAACCTTTTACAAATTACACGCATTTATTGAACCTGAAGATTGATAAGCAGCCCAAATCTGGGGATGGCAGCAGTTAGCCTACACTTCATGTGATTAAAGGGTCATCTTGATCAAGAGATCTGGTACTAACGCGAACAATGAAAACATTGGGAGATCTTATAAGCTCCAGACAATATAGATCATAGATCTAGTGGTAGCTTGTCTGAAGATTATTGCAAGCACTGATCAATCGTTCGCTGGCTAAACTGATTTTGTTTTCTCTAATTATGAAGCTATATGATGAAGCATTGCGAAGAAACAGAACAGCATACCATATTAACAAGCCGGACGAATTTCAATGACGTCCAGGCAGCGCTCATACACCAAAATGAACAGACGGAGCCCAACACCCCGAACTCATTATCGATGTATCCATAGGGAACATGTGTGGGAAGAAATTACAACATATGTAGGTGATTCGAATTCGATGCGGCTGCTCCTTTAACCTACCCCTCCACGTCGAATATCACGACCTCACTCTCAATGTCGCTCACGCGTCATTCTTGATATCGTCCGCAAATTTCTCCGCATGCGCATCTTTGATTCCGTGTTAGCAATACACCTACAAACTTCCAAGGCGAGTATACTTACATGTATATCCCTGGGTATGGCCTGGTGGACAGAACGGCCAAGCAGATGCATCCACTACTCTGACGCCTTGTACGCCATAGACCCTTCCTTTGGAATCAACCACGGCCATTGGATCGTCTTTGGTCCCCATTTTACCTATTCATCGCGTTAGCAACCCTGCCACAGGTTATCAAGTTGCAAGAGTATAATACTTACAAGTCGCAGAAAGATGATGCGACGGCACCGCTGCAAGCTGGATCGCCTCCCACAGCTCCTCGTCCGTCTGAACCGTCTCTCCAGGAAACATCTCTACCCCTTTTGCGTGATCTGGCACAGCCGCCCAAGCCTGTCGCATCCGCTTGTATCCTGCAATCGCAACCCTGCGATCGGTCTCCTCCTGCAAGAAATTGAGGTGTATGATAGGATCGTCAAACGGATTTGCAGATGCGAGTGTCACGTTTCCGCGTGAGAGTGTCGCGACCAGTGTGACACCAAAACCTGCGTAGTCATGGCCTGGCTCGGCGTTTGGCAATGATACTCCGTTGATTACGAGATACTCAAGTTCAGGCCAGTCGTCAGCAAATGCAGAGAGATGTTCCAGTGCATTGGAACCCAGCGCATCTCGTTCGGTGGCTGGAACCTTTTCCCAGCCTATGTAGTCAGGGCCAGAATTGGTGAGAAAGCCTGCGCCCTGCTCTTTATAGAGAGACTCTTGCTCAGCCGCGAACGTGCTGTTTTCGAGGCGAGCTTTCGTTGCTAGGGGCACTTCGTGCACGACTCCGCCGGCCTGAGCACTGTTCCACATGTTTTTTCCTACTCCGGGAAGGTCGACTCGCATCGTGATATTGTGTTGCTCAAGCGTAGATGCGGCTCCAATACCAGAAAGCATTAGAAGTTTAGGAGAATTGATCTGGTTTAACGTCAGGTCCTTAGCCATGCATGAGTTGAGTAAGTGTATGCAACTAACCGCACCAGCAGCGACGATTACCTCTTTGCGCGCATGTATATCAAACTCTAATCCCATGAACTCCGCTCGCACGCCTGTCGCTCTCTTCTGCTCATCAATTAAAATCTTGGTCGCCCGCGTGTGGATGAACGCCGTGAGACCGGTTGTCTGAAATGCCTGGTTGAGAAAGGATGTTTCAGCCGAGCTACGCACGCCGTCTGGAGACTGCGTGAAGGCCATCCACGCGTGTCCATCAAGTTTACCGCTGTTATGGTCTAGCATGGCATTCATCCCGATAGAACTAAAGGCATTCGAGGCGTCTGCGTATGTCAGTCATCTGCTAGTAACTATTGGGTGGCACTTCCAAAGACGCTTTTCACTCACGAGTACTGAATGGCCACCCGAAACTGGGAAATGAGAGCTGCAACGGTCCACCTTCTTCCTTATAGCTGTCTGGGTTCCAAGTCACCGACGCGTTGTCCGCGCGCAGATCCAGGTTCGAGGTACTGAAATTGATACTTCTTTGGAAGTACTGCTGCATGTTGTCATACAGGAAGCTGTCATCACCCACTTGCGCAGCCCATTGTGCATAGGAGCCGTGTGTACCACTATCCGCGTGGTGTTAGCTTGCTGAGCTTCATCGGCCATAGAGACTCGGGAAGTGAACACTCGAGCGACTCACCGGTGATAGATCAGTGCGTTGCGAACGGAACTGTGACGCCCGAGTTAGCCTTGCATACTTCCTCAAGTTTCGAGGCTTTCACCAACCTTCCACCTAGATTTCGCCCTTGCGCTTCATGTATCCTCCTCCCACCAAGAGCCTGTTCGGAAAGTTAGTTATGTACATCATCGTGACCGTCAAATATGCTCTTAAAGGGCGGAAGACACTTACCACCTCCGGTTCGCTCACAAAACCCCAGTCGATGCCGGGTTGCCTGTTACCAGTCTCCCAATCACCACCATCTGTGTCCTCAAATTTCCCGGTATACCCTGGAACCCGTGACAGATTTCCGTTCACGAGATCCGCATAACCTCCTGCCTCTATGACGGCAACAGATACGTTGGGATCTTCCGCGAGGCGTGCAGCAACAACAGAGCCGGCGATTCCACCGCCAACTATGATATAGTCATAAGTTGAGTTCTGCGCGGGTATTCCGAATGAGTCACCGGTAAGGCGCGTGGGAGATGTTCGGATGTTGAGGACCTGGGCGGTGGTGGTGAGAAATTGGAAAGTGACTACCGCAGTGGTGAAGTAATTGATCATCATTTTGATGGATGTGAGGTTATGATGATGGGACTGTAGGAAGGTTACTTGTGAATGAGAAGACTCTGTTCATGGCAAAGGCAGACTATATTTATATTTTTCTTATAAGATCTCGTTCATTTCCCACTGCCAATGTAGGCAAAGCCAAGCCAGCTAGATGGCGAATATCTCTAACCACTGAAAGCAGCAATACGCATAGTACACGTAATTGACAGAGGATCTTACATCTTTCGCAAATCTACTGCCCTGCGCTCAAGCAGCTGTATACGCAAATGGGGAACATGATGAGTCGTGCACGGGATCCAGAGCGCGCTTCCTCTGAATAACCAGGACGAACAACGATGATCATTTCTCTAAATGGCAATTTTGTTGCGAGAGGCTAGGTGATGTTGTCAGCCCCGTCGCACTCTCGCATTAGCTTCTATTACCTAGCGGCCGTCAACCCCGATCAAAGCCCCATTTTAATAAATAGGTCCCATGTTGCACATCTCAGTCGCAACAGACTTTCTTCTTTGGTCTTCACAGCGCTGACACTTTCCAATCAAACTCCGCGTCATGGTCAATCGGGGTGTCTCGCACGGCTGCAATACTTGCAAAAAACGACGAGTCAAATGCGACGAGTCCAAACCTACGTGCAACGAATGCATCCGCGTTGGACGGCAATGTGCGGGTTATGGGAAGCCCCAAGTTCGAGTGAGGTTCCGGGACCTCACTTCGCAATACTTGAAGACACCGTCCGATCAGACGACAACCGCCAAAAATAACAACCATGAGAAGCAGAGAAAACATTCGTGTGTTCAGCGGTCCCCTCGTCGCCCACTGCACCTTCTCGCGATACCTGAAAGTCTACTTCCGAAACAGCTGGACATTGCTGTTGCATTCTACCTCAGATACATCACCGATGTCGGTCGCAATCTGCAGTCGACGCGCGGTTTCCTAGAGTTTGTTCGTCCCGTTCTGGCTTCCGAGTCCCACGGGTCAGCTTTGAGCACTGCGGTCAATGCCGCTGCAACCGAACTATGGGCATTGCTGAGACCTTCCGATGTTACTGGCTCCCAGCCCATTCAGCTGCACCAAAAAGCTTTAGTGAGATTAAAGCAAGCTATCTCTACACCAGAGGAAAGAAGGAGCGATGCTGTAGTTCTTGCAACGCTAGTACTACAACATCTGGACGGCCTGATCGCTGTGTTCAACCGTCAAGAGCCCCGAAGCACGCATCGTGAAGGGGCATTAGCGTTGCTCACGCAGAAGGGTCGCGACACAAAAAGCCCAAAGTATTATCCGCATTTGCTAGGAAATCTCCTCCACTCGAAGATTTCCTTTTGCGTCAGGAATAAGATACCGTTGGCTGTTGGTGAACTGATGTGGCTTCAGACTGAAGTTATTCCTACCCTACCTGATAACCCGAGCTCTCAGCTCGATGTCATTGGCATATCGGTTTCAAGGCTTCAAAATACGTTCTGCCAGCTTGAATCACAAGGAAGTATGGCAGTGGCTGCATCAGGAGCTTTAATAGCTACCATACAAAATGTCGACGCCCAGCTCCGGGGATGGCTGCACCATGTGCCGGATGTATGGCGCCCCAGACGAATTCCAGGCGAGACCCCCGTTCTTTTATCCATTTTTACCTACCATGACTCTTGCGATATATACCCAAGTGTTCAGGTTGCAAATATATGGAATACGTGGCGGACGTATCGTCTCATTGTAGAGTCCATCAGAACGAAAATCACTCGTGCGCTTCGGGTCGTTTTCGAGGAAGGAGACTTCGCCATGCCCACAGACGAGCTGTTGAGTGACGAGGGCGAAACGCATCGAGAGACCCCGAACCTGATTGAATCCATATGTCGAAGTATACCTTTCTATCTTGGGAGCTTCACTCGACCATTGACGTACTCCGATATCCATGTCCCTCTATTAGTTTTTCCTAGTTATCATGACCTACGGCCCGATGACCCCGCATTCACCATTTACAAGAACAGCGATGACTACGCTTCTAAGGAGGATCATTGCCGGCACACTGCTCTTCACGGCCCTCTACACGCCTTGACTATTTTGTCCAGTCTCATGGACCTGCTCTCTGAGCAGCCATGCCCCAAGACCGCACACAGTCTGATAAACCGGCAGAAGCAGTGGGTTAAAGAGCAGCTTAATCGCTGTCTTTATCTGACTCGTCTCGATTTGCGCATCGCTGAGCGTATAAAAACATCCAACCATCTTGCATCCCCAGGCCAAGCATCAGCACCTGAGGAGTTTGCTCAAGCAGTGCGCCGAGCACTGACACCTGTCACCATATTGTGAGGGCCCTTGCGAACGAACCCATATACTCTTAGGCGTTCACGCATAGTCCCACATCCTTCTTTTTCCAGCCAACCCCTCTACAAACCAGGCCTCCATGTAAATCTCTTCACAATTCATATCCTGTACCCGATGACTCTTCATATCTTCTCTACGCCGTACAGGAGTGCTAGAAAGATCGTGCAAGCCAGATCAACAGAATCTTTCGCGCATTCCAACGTTTCACAATTCTTTATTCCAAGAACTCATTTGACAACACTTCGCACAGTAATCTTCTGTTAAGCTTTCCACGGCGAAAAACTCAAACTTCCGGTCTGCATCCCGTCACTTCTAACTATTATTGAATTTATTCTATCTTTGATCCTGCATACATCAATGTTATTTTGGGCGATTCTCTCCAATCCAAGACAGGTGTGGTCTAGGCCTCCGTTTCTGTACTGCGCACAACTTTGACCGTTTAACAATCGCTGCGCTTTTCAGCTAGCTACAAAACATACAGTCGCTCCTCTCAACGGTCGAGTTAACGGTGTTCCCATCATTTGTGGCTAGCTGTGTTACAATAGCTCAGTCTCGCGTAGCCTAACCGAACACCGTGAATACGAAACCAGCACCGCTTTAGATTTATCTTCTGCAGCAGGAATTTGACGATCAGCTTTTCAACCTATTCTCGAAAATTGAGCTTTCGTTTACGCACAGCTGAGATCTGGGGAAACCAGCTGATGTAAGTCGGCTGCTACCTTGGTAGCTGAAACGCATCGTAACACAGCCAGCCTCGCCAGCCTTAACATCTTGGCGTAGCTGGTTGGTACTATGAGATCGAAGACTTCAAGATCGGATATTGTTTATAAAGAAGGAAAAGTGGGCCTCCAGATTGCCATTCATCCTCATCACTGGACATCTAATCACTCGCCGAAATCATGCGCACACCAATCTTTTCTGTATTGTTGCTTTTTGGCTCAGCTTTTGCTACAGCCATTCCTTCCCTGGTCCATAGTCTTCCTTCGGACCTAATCGATAAACGTCAGTCAAAAGGTCGCTGCGCCGATTATGGAGCTGCAAGTAACAAGCCTACGCCCGATGCCCTGATTCAGAAGCCAGCAGATGGCACATGCTGTGGATCACCCGATTCACCCCAACCGAAACCCTTCGTTAAGTACACATGGACTATCACCGAAGGTTTTGTCACGGTACTTGGAGAATGCAAGTTCATGCATATAGTCAACGATGCGTGGCCACCACCCCAGATTGTCGTGAACAAAGGAACTGTCATTAGACTCGAAGTGATCAATCGTTTAGCGACCGATCCTATTACTCTACACGCTCATGGACTCGACCAGAAGAACACTCAGTGGATGGATGGTCCCGAGAGTCTTGTACAAAGGTAAGTGCAGAGGACAAGCTTCCTTTTGTTACAGGAAACCATGCGACTTTCTAACCGTGTCCTAGGGGTATCCCACCCGGTAGGAAGTTCGTCTACGAGTACGATACCTCCAAAGAGTCGGCGGGTACTTATTGGATTCACAACCACGTAGCCGGACAATATCCAAAAGGTCTTCGTGCGCCGCTTATCATCCTGGATCAAAATCGGCAAATTGAAGCCAACAACTGGAAGAAAAGTACAAGCGACGAGAATGTCTGGGACGGAAATATGGATAACATACTTTCGTTGAGTGATTGGTAAGATATCACAATTCTTATGACATTATGAGCAACTGACCACTCCAGGTTCTCTCAAGACTGGGGCAAATGGGAGGGTCTCTATCAGGAAGGAAAATGTGGGAAGGGAGTTGAAGTACCCCCAGTTGGTCAGTTAAAGTATCAGGACTTTGAGACATATCTGACAAAAATTAGATTTTCTCGTCAACGATCTTCGCGCAGATAAAGACAATACTCAGACATACGATTTCCGCACATCGAAAACGAATCCAAAATCGGGTCGCGTAAGACTGATCAACATGTCTGCTTTCACTACATTTTACGTATACATGGCCCCCACGCAATCTAGCGGCATTTCTTCGATGAAGTTGAAAGTCATCGAAGCGGACGGGGTGCTCATGGATGGCAATCAAGTTTCCCAAGTCGTTGAAATCGCGCCTGGCCAGCGGCTCTCAGTACTTGTTGATCCAGAGAACTGGGCAATTGGGGAAGCGCAACCAAACAAGTATCGAATGGTCATCACAGTCAACCCGTATGAGTGGCGCCACACGCAGATTAAATCGAAAAGCGGAGACGCCAACGTCGACCCTAAATGCTATGAAGGGCCCAACGATGTAGAATATCTGAAAACCAAACTACCGGTTCATCATATCGACATCATGATGGGAGAGCGCAAAGACGGTGATCCTCAACTCGGCCCGGCTCCCACCTTCTACGACAAGTACAGGGTCCTCGAAGACACTAATAGCAAAACATACCGCGCTTGTTTTATTGGCGTGGGAAAAGGCGACTGCACAAATGATTCCCAATATCCGATCTCTACAAACTTTGCAGACTTTGACGACATGGATTTGAAACCGCTGGTACCCGGAAATGTACAGATGCCGACTGATCAAGCTGCCCGGTACTTGATTGAGACATGGGAAGACCAAAGCGGGACGAGGCGTGCGAACCTGCGTGTGATTCGGTCTGACCAGCAGAGCGATATCTCCAATAGTCAACGGTACGATTTCTTCGCGCCTCAGGATACTCCTGCCATAGAGCTCATCAGAACGGGCAAGAGAACATATGCGGATTTCGCTCCCTGGAAACATACAATGATTGTGCCTGACAACCAGGACTCCTACATTGTTGCGCTGTACTCTTGGACGGGAACACACCCGAGTAAGTGAATCGCCATGAGATATTTGCCGCCTAAAATAGAAAATGAAGCCTAACACATCAATCTAGTTCATCTCCACGGCCATAAATTCCGCGTCCTCTACCGCGAGCGGCAGCAAACCACTTCGGAAGTAGCGAACTCCATCACCCTCCCAGACAGATTAAAGAAAATCTTTACCTTTGACATGACCAGCGCCAATCCTCTGCGTTCCCTCGATAACACGGCCGTCACACTCAAGCAAAACCCACTTCAGCGCGATACCATTACTTTATACAAATTCGGACTCGTTGTGCTGCAGATCGAGGCTGATAACCCTGGAGCTTGGTTCCTGCATTGCCATAATGATTTCCACGCGCATACGGGCATGGCATCGATGGTTATTGAAAAGCCGGATGCGATGAAAGCGCGATTGGAAGAAATCCATAGGTTGAATGGCAGGGAGGTCGATGATTACCGGAAGCTGGTGAATGGTAATGCATTTGACCCGGCTTAGCGTGTGCCTGGAATTTCGCAGAGTTTCTTTTGTGGAACGCTTGCTCAACAATACAGCTACGAGTTTTCCAGTTTCGCCAAATCCAGTTGCCCTCTATGGCGTCAGTCGCAAAAAGATTTCTAGTCTGTCTCGCGATACGATGTAAACTCCAGAATGATACGATCTCAGTTGAAGACCCGTTAGCTTAGTTTCTTAGCGTCATTATGGTTTCTCAACTTTAAACGTTCTTGCTACGTGTCGTCACGTGATGCCGATGACCTGTGTTGTGTCGGATTGTATTGATCGTGACACCCTCAGATCACTGATCATTAATTACGGGGTGCTGTAGTTTGGTAGGTCTGATGATACAGTCAACGTTCTTTTTCCTGTAGCTTTCGATGCATCCTTAGCTCTTGGTGGTTACGTTATGCTTGATCGTTTGAGGTAACATTTGAATAAAAATCTCATTTGGGCGCGTGGGAACAAATATAGAATGCCCGAATGCTCCAGATCTGCGGAGCTTTTGGGTTTGAGTTCTGTTTGTTGTACTGGGTTGTGCAAGTTTTCATTGATCACCATGGCGTCGAAAATCAACAAATACTCAACCTCTGGAAACTCGTTGGACCCCGAACCATGATGTCTTGTAATATCTATCGTGTCAGTATGTCGCAGCTATTTTGGTCAGATTTTCGCCTTCTGAGGAGGGCGTGGCATAATTTTGCTTGGCACAGGGTTTTGCACTACATCGCTACGAGACATCAGATTTAGCTATGCAGTGGACTTTGTACGATATCCGAAGCGTTGGAGCCGATTGACACAAAGTACGCGAGGTAGCCCGACCTTAATGATTTTGCCGAAGATGAGTAGCAAATAAGTCGCGAAAGCTTGCAGATGCTTGAAATTCACGCCTGGCTACCAGAACCAACAGTTGCCGGCGGAAGCTGGTAAATTTAATTGAGCAACATGATAGAACTTCATGGATTTGGAAACCAATGTGCATGATACGAAACTTTCGTAGTAAGTGAATCCATTCAATTCAACCCTAAATTCTGTCACTTCAATTTATATACAGCATCCTAATTACTGACATCCTTCTATTCAATGAGCCAATATCAACCTCAGAACCTTCGATTCCTCGCTATCATCCTCTGTCCACTCCACGCTCGCAAATCCAGCCGACTCGAGCGTGATCTTCCACGATTTTACGTCCATGATTGCGTGATCTCTACCGTCGTTGAAAGCCCACCATCCATCGAACTGCCCAAAAATAAGGTCGAGCATAGGAAGCCTTCGCGTGTATTCTAAAAGGGTGAAAACGCCTCCTGGTCGAAGCATCTGACGGACATTCCGGACGCTATCGCATACATTGGGAGTTGCGTGTATCACGTTTGTTGCAATAATCATGTCGAACCGCCGCTCGAGATCAGGCGGAGGGGTTTGGGTGACGTCAAGCGTGCGGTATACGACGAATTTAGTGTCGCGCAGTTTCGATTTTGCAGCCGCCACAAAGGATTGTGATATATCGCTGAAAGTGTACTCAACTGGGATCCCAAGCTTGGAAAAAGCGTCAGTCGCATACAAGGTTGTGCCACAGGTACCTCCCCCAATTTCGAGGATGCGGAGAGTGCGGGGTAGAGGCTTCAAGCCGAAGCATTGCTTGATAAACTCTGCGAGCTGCTTTGAGACTGAAGATTGAATAGGTCCCAGGAGATACTGATCTGCCATCAGTTTGCGGTTTTCTTGCTGACCAAAGAGAAGGGAAACGGGATCTAGCTCTCCCGAAAGGCATTCGTGTAGCCTCGATCCGACTGCATGAAGTAGTTTATGTTCACAGGCAAATTTCGGGAAGTCGGACAATATTTTGTCGAAGTTTGAGGCTAATGGCAACTCATAGGGAAGGGGCATGGCAGTTCGGACCCAGCCCTGACCGGTCTCTTCAAGATAACCCACATCTCGCAGAATGCACATGAAGCGGCGCACTAGCTGTTCCTTCGGCGAAAGGGGGATTTCAATCGTATCCCCGTAGTCCAGAGTGGTGAGGTCACAGTGGAGTTTAGATAAGGCCTGAATGATATAAGAAATGACCAGACTCGTTTGGGCAGGATACACATTTGACCAAAAACCCTCGCATCCTGTTTCCTTTGCTAGGGCATCGAATGTCCTACGCACGGCATTGAAAGCTCTTGGAACGTCATAAGAAGTTTCAAAAAGCGATTCAGAGCCCGATGGAGTATTGACGTAGATAATATCAGAGTCTTCGGTAGTGGAAAACCCCGAAACAGACTTGTCCGCTGCGTGAAGTGTTGCTGTGACCGCACCCGGCTTTTCGATTCGGTCTAGCGCGTCGTTTGAAAAACCCAATGCTTTGCCATCTATGAATTTGCATAGATTTCCCACGCTATCTAGACTTGTAAGCTCCCGGAAGGTTATTGAGATGGCAAATGCATTCTGTATCTCGCTTGCAACCTCAATCGCCATCAGCGAATCGATACCCAAGTCTGCCATGGGAAGATCTGCGCGGATGCTATCCTTATCAAGATCTGCTACACGAGCGAGCAAATCGTACAGTTTTTGTTCCGTGTTTTGCATGGTAGTAGACTGGTGAGCAGTTTCGCGGCGGTGGGGTGTGAAACTTTGCTGATCTTTAATTTTGGGGTTCACAAAACCCACTGATTGAGGCTCGGAATATGAAATATTCTGAGGTTCCTTCGTCGCATGACCCGGGAAGTTTTCCGAAGATTTTTTGTTTGAGGCTATTCCCTCATCGTGAGCGATATTGTGAGTGTGTCTGGTAATATCTACGTAGACCTCGCCCGATGATTCAACATTCATCTTGGTAAATTCTACATCCAAGATGACAGCACAAAGCCGATCGTACTGTTCGTCCCATACGAACAAATGGAACATTATTTGTTCACTTGCTGTGGAGGTAGATTTTGAAAACACAATTAGACGATTTCTCGACAAAGGACTCTGGGGAAGTTGCTGGTGGAATTCAGCAGAGCCGATGGCTGTGTTGATGTAAAGTTCGTCGTTTTGGCGGTCAGTCAATCCATTCAGACATATCAAGGGAACTTGAATGATGTCTTCCAAGATAAAAGACAAGTCATTACTCTGCGGATAAAGGTAGGCCGCAGATGCGCTTCCCTTGGAAGAGATCTCCTTGATGTTTTGTCGTTGTTTCGATATGTGAATCAAGGGTGCGAGGCTGTGATATACTCCTTTTCCTCTGGCAGAGTCTGCGTTGGAATCTGTGAACAGACGTTTCATACCATCAACATCCAGAAGGATTTGAAAATGGCGGAATTTATCCTGCATTTCAATTCCAGGAGTGAGAAGTGTAACAACCCCGAAAGCGAACGGGATTGTTGACTTGTCGCTCGCGCTTGTCATTATAAAGTCCAGGTTACCATTATCCGGGGTGATGGTCAAGTTGACGGGCTTTTCGTGGTGGCTCAGAATCAAACCTTGTATTTTTAGGTTGCAGATGGCCATGTTTACTGGGCCGATTTCGGAGTCACCCTGTATCATCTCGTTACCCTTGAGTACCAGAGCCAGAATGAATGATAATGGACAGCTTGGTAGTTCATGAATCTTGTAATTGGAACAGGCTGTGTGCCACTCGGAGTGATCAGTGTCTATCTGGAACTCGCTACTGTGTTCCGTCTGCTTAATTAGCTTCAATGGTCCGGCTGGGATTTGATCTTTTTCTCCAGGTTCCTTGACTGTTGGCATTTCGATCCGATTCATCCAGTGTCGGAACTTGTCAAACTGATATGGAGGAAGATTAAGCGTGTTATAATGCTCCTGCTGATCATGATGGAAGGGCCAATATTGGGTATGGATTCCTAACCCCCAAAGATGAGAAGTGAGCTCTCCTAAATCAGTCAAATGACTATCCGCATCAGGACCCAACGACTCTAGATGGTGCAAAGATGCTCGCTTTCCGAGGGCGCGCCTGAGAATGGGAAGTGCAGATTCTGAGCCGACTTCGAGCCACACACACGGCCCGAGCTGCTCATCAATTCTGTCAACAGCCTGAGTGAAGTATACAGGCTCGCGAGTGTGTGAAACAAGAAGTTTCGGCGTTACCGTTCTCCAATTAGATTCTTTTGAGCAGGGTTCGAGCACCAATTCCGCATCGTGAAAGTCTAGTTGTTCCGCTGTTTCCTGCAGCGGTTCGAGCAATGGATCGCATAGTACCGAATGAAATGCGTTTGATACCTCGAGTCGTTTATACTTTTGTGTTCCAGACTGCAGGAAATTTTCGAGGAGGTTCACGGAGGAAGTAGATCCCGCTACTACCACGCTCTGGGGGCCGTTGTGACAAGCTACTTCAAGACGTAGATCAGCATGTTGTGATAGAATGTGCGAGATCGTAGGCATATTTGCCTCAATCGAGATCATCGATCCGGTATCATTTCCCCAATAATCTCGTATGTAGCGAGCACGAGTACTGACGAATCGTAAGCCATCCCGTAAAGAAAGCACACCTGCGACACACAAAGCTGTGAGTTGACCAAAGCTATGCCCGATCAGCCGGGCGGGCTTCAGCCCACAAGCTAACCAAGACATTGCGTGAGAGTACTGTACGCAAAAGAGATTTGTGTGGAGCTCAATGATGTCTTTGTCCTGACTTTTTCCAAAGATATCTGGAAAGATGCTTGTCATTCCCAAGCTGCGTATGGCGATTTCGCATGCATGGAGATTTTCTTTGAATACGGTGCACGAATCGTACAATGCTTGAGAAGCTTGTACCCTCTTTCCTGTCTGCCCACCGAAAAGTAGAACGACAGGGGTCGCCTTTTCTGGAGATTCCTTTATCTGAAGAGTATCTGCTGATTCGCACAGTCTTCTGAGTTCGCCGAGAGACGAGATCGTTGTACATAGAGAGAACGGAAGTTTAGGGTTTCGGCGTCGTGACAAGTGATACGCAATGTTCTCAGCTGAGTGGTCGACGGATTTGGTAGAGTTGATAAATCTCAACAGCGTAGAAAGATATGCTACGAGACTGGAGGTACTGGATGCGGCGACGAAAATAGGATACTTCGCTTTGATGCTCGAAACTGGCTTGTCTTCGGGAATCACGCCTCTAGTCGGGGGCTGGGTGACAATCATCACAGCATTACTTCCCGAAGCCCCATAGTTGTTGACACATGCTGCTTTGTATGATGTCGTCCAAGGAATATTCTGCAGCGGGATCTGGATGCCATCTGAACCAAACGGTCGTATGGCTGGATTGAGCTCATTCAGGAATGCCTGCCGCGGAATTATCTTCTTTTCCATCATCAAAAGGACCTTGATCAGCCCGGAGACACCGGATGTTGCTTCTGTGTGCCCGATATTGCTTTTCAATGCCCCGAGGTATGTGTTTTCGTGTTCTTCATGGCGCTGACTTCCGAACACTCCCCTAATGCTCTCGACTTCGATGGGATCTCCTACGGGGGTACCTGGAGTGGAATTAGCTGGGATTTATGGATGGACGAAGAGAGGGAGAGCGGCACCTGTCCCGTGTGCTTCAACGTAAGAGATCTCCCGAGGATCTAAACGTGCGGCTCGCAAGGTTTTGCGGTAGAGACTCATTTGTGAGGGACCGTGAGGAACTGTAATGGCCGTCTCATTCGCATTTTGGCCGACTGCTGTCGCAGCAATCACCCCACGAATTCGATCACCGTCTCTAAGAGCTGCCGAGAGTTTCTTGAGTGTAACCATCGCTACGCCCTCCCCTCGGCAGTAACCATCTGCCGAACTATCAAAGGTCTTCGATAAACCTGTGCGGCTGATAAAGTGCCCAGCAGCCAGATTCTGGAATGTTTCTGGGCTGACAAAGATATTGACCCCTCCGGCTACCGCTTCACTGACTTCTCCTGTCGAAATAGCTTGGCAGGCTTGATGAATGGCCGCTCCTGAGGCCGCACACGCCGTATCATACATGATGGCCGGACCTGTCCAACCAAAGTAATGGCTCAGCTTACCCGCAATGAATGGCCGAATTGATCCAGTCAAGGAGTACGCGGAGGGGGTGTGAGTACATACGTTGTCATAATACTCGTTCGTGCATGCACCTAAATACACTCCGACATTACGGTTTGTCTGCACAGTACCGCTGTTAAAGTAGCCCGACGATTCCAAAGCCTGATAGGTAACCTGCAGCGCAAGTCTCTGCTGTGGATCCATGAAAGCTGCCTCACGGCTCGAGATGTGAAAGAATTTGTGGTCAAAAGTGTCAATATCCTCCAGGAAATTCGCTTTGAAGCTCTTCGGGAAAGATCTTCGTTCAAATGCCGCGTCCGGGAACCGATCGTTCGGGAGATCTTGGCACATGATTTTTGCTGATTCTAGGATATCCCAAAACTCATCCAGAGAGCTTGCTCCAGAGAAATTACATGCCATTCCCGTAACCGCAACAGCGGAGTCAGGTAGATGCCGATACTCTTCGGACAAAGAGGGAATACTAGGAAACGGCTTTTCCTGTGGTGAAATTTGGTCTCGGCTTCCTTTGGACATCGTGTTGGCCACGATCACTCGGAAGCCTGCCCTATCCATTGGATTTGGTGGGATACTTGAACCTACAAACAATGCAATGGGTGCATCACTTCCTTCCGCATGGGGTATGCGGGAGACATCGGTTGACCAGTCCTCTGGAAGCGACAAGATGGACGCCAAGATGGGCTTTAAAGCGTGACTGGATACCAACCGAAGACTTGGATCACCGCTTGCAAGGGCAAGGATCTTGTCGACCACCCATGACATTTGCTTGCAGTGAAATCGTCCAAAGAGATCAAAAGGAGCGACTATGAACCCAGCATTGGTGAGAGATTGGGTCAAATCCTCCTTATGAGCCTTTCCCACGGTGATTGTCCACTTAGATCTTTGCTTGACGGACAAGTAGGCCTGAGTACATAGTCAGCGCCTCTTCCGGTTTGTGGCGGAGGTACTTACATCGTCATATCTCAGCAGTATAGCATGAAGATGTTCAAGTACAAGAGCGTCGTGACGCCTAACCACCACACATACTGTTTCGGCTTGCGAACCCAAGCGGTGGCGGTCGAGGTCCACATATGCGCCGATGCAGAATGCGAGTCTCAAAGCGACTGCCAGCAACGTGGCCATTTGCTCATCGCCCCAGGAAAGTCGTATTACTGTCGCAGCCAATTTTCCTATGCAGAGTCCCTCCAAAACTGTGTCCGACTCAATGAAGTCTTGGCCCTGCAGGCATGGATGGCTTTCCGGGTGTTTTTTAACAAGGAGCACCTGGTGAAGAACTGTGAGAGCACTCGCAATAGCGTTGGAGTGACGATTTACTGCATCAGAGATGCCTTCATCGTCATCCCATTTCATCCAATTTGAGAAGAAGGATGAAGTTTTCTGTGCTTCAACTTTCTTCAGTTCTGGATCCGCAAGCTCCAACCGCTCACCATAGTCTCCAAACCCGATCATTGCATCGTGCAGGACTTGCAGATCCGATCTTGATGTGACATATTTCCGAATATGTTGCAGCTCCTCTATTCCAACGTCGGCCAGCTGTCCCCCAAAGAATATCGCGCTGTACATGATAAAGCAGGGTGCTGTTTCACAGGCACATTGGGAGCTGAGCAGAATCAAACGGCACGTAGACTGCGAAGAGACGAGGGGGAAGGTGCATGCCCACACTTTTGCAGAGTCGTATTGTGCAGGATCAGTTTCCGGTCCACCCTCCAATGGACTTCAGGCGTCCTAATCCAAATTGCAATATTTACGTGGCGAGGCTGAATGGTAGCCGGCGCCTACCTGATTTGGGGGACTCGTCGGACTGCATTGTGAAGACGCTTGTAAGCTGCAGATCGCGTTCCACACCAGTGAATATTCCAAACTCCGAATGGCTTTACTTTTCCGTTCCAAGACTGGTTGGGACACTTTCTGAAGGATTGATGAGGTAGGGATAGCAAATACACTTGTATTGCACACTCTACTCTACGCGTTGCAGGAATTTAACGGTACACACGCAAGCGTGTGTATTGTTTTGCAGGCCTTTGTAATACGAGCGCTGGTTGGCGTTGTATATAAAAACTTCAATCAGATAAAGCTAGTTCCCATTGGAGCTAGCTTCGATACAGGATCGATCTGTCCTCCGCTTTTATAGGCTCCTGGATCTTACTAGATTTATTTCTGCTACATGTAACACTTACTCATAGTAGCAGTAAAATATCTGATATATAAAGTATCGATTTTGCGGTCCTCGCTCCGAGGGGATATTGAAAATCCTTTGGTTCCGGTTAAACATAATAGACAGTTTTCGCAAAGGATGATGACCACAACTGACTCGCCATCATTGATGTCAGTTCACTTTATCGATGGCGTACACAGTAACTAAAAACCAGGAGACATTTCCCTCCCCAACTCAGACCGTCACGGGTGTGGCAGTCGGCCCGCATCCACTCTACGTCCTGAGATCTTAGTACTGGATCTACTACGCGCACCACACTTTTTTAAAACATCAATACATTCATCTCATATAAGACTGGAGTACACCTACTCTAACGTTTGGAATCTGGATGTCTCCTTCGCGATCCGCAGTCGTCCAGCGTCCAGCATTGCACGAAAAAATATAGAAAGTAACCCATCCATTAAGTTCCTAACGTTCCATACGCGTGCCTTCTTTGCGTACTGATTGCATTGCGCCCCATGACAAAGAAAAGAAAGCAGTGCTATTATCGAAACTGAGAATTGTTATTTCCATGGTGGACCTCCACAGTGGTGCGTATGCCAGGGGAGGACGACTTCTTGTAGCCGTAATTGTAATCCTTTCGATCTTCGAACGTGACATCGAGAGTTTTGGATTGATAGATGTTGAGTTCGTGGACATGATCGGAGGAGCCTAATTCAGTAGCTCCACCACTGCGGTTGGCAAATCTGTTCAAGCGTCCGGTGCCGCTCCCATATCGCATATCGTAGCCGGATTGATTCATGCTTGTGCCTTTGACATTTTCGCCCCTGATCCATAGGTACAGAGGACGCAAGGTAGGAATGCACGCTGCTATGTTGATGAGAGCCAGCTCCACGCAGGACCAAATGATAAGCGGAATCGTATCATCTAAGACGTGGTCAGCTTTTGAACACATAGAGTCATAGATATACACACATGTGTAGTCGGCATGTGCGCCGAGGGTACTCGTGTAATAGATCTTCATGATGGAGCAAACACCAGCCGCAAATCCAGCACTCAGCGCGACTCCAACACTGAGCTTTTCTTTGAGGCTGATCTGGACCTTGGTGATGTAAAACCAAGGCAGAAGAGCAAAAACGAAGTCAGTCAACGCACCAGTCACTATAGACAATCAGTCTTTGTAAAGTCTTCTGTCCAATGCCAAACATACCGCCAGTGAGAAATCCCCATACAATCACAACTTGTGGGTTCCAGCACTTTCCCCCTGGGATAGAGTGATCCCACTGGAATGCCACGGGCTGGCATTGTACCAAGATAAAGATCGCATCGATGTAGAAGAACACGGCGTTGGCGGCTACAAATGTCCAGAGAAACCAGCGCAGTTTCTTTCCTGGGAACAGCCGAAGAAGTAAAACTGCGATGGATGCCTTTCCTGATGGAAATGACGCTATAGCGAATACCTGCCCGATGACTTCCGCGTGTATCGCTTCGACATATCTCTCTGGTAGCAGTGCTGTGACATGCCGTCCATAGCCACGGTGGACCGATATGAACATGGCAATGTTGTAGCCGAGAATCAGGAACTGTGGAAATGAGTCATTATAGCGTATCTGGTGGGGGGTGATGAAGAACATACCCAGGTAAGCACAATCAAGGCATCGTCGAGCCCAAAGAAAGGCCTGATGACCGTACGTGTGAAGACACGCGCCCACACAAATACACCACCAACAGCGATCGTGGAGGCCATCACCCTCACAATCATAGGGCCTTTGTCTACATGATCATCATTCATGATGAAAGCCAGATATGCCCAGGGAATTGGACTTGCGACAAAAAAGAAAAAGTTTTAGCGCAGAAAATTGGACACACGACTCGCGACGACGTGGTAGTCTAAAGTAAGCTAAAGAAATGTTCTTACTGAGATCGAGAAAGATGGCGAAATGGGACGGGCTATAGGTCTGCACGGTTCTACCCGTGCCGTACTGTTACATACCTTGATCGCATATTACCATAGTATTCGCCTATTCTGGAGTCACACGAACAGGGCGGTAAGTCTGACAGGGGAATTGCTGCGATTTTCGGTGTCGAATCATAGTAAGGGTGGCTGTATAGCGTAGACGGTGATTGAACAGCCCAAGCTTTTGATCATGGCCACCGATCATGATTATTAGCCTGAACCGGCTATCAGCCCCCCTCATATGCATGCATGCGACGATCATGAACCAGAGATTTCAAATTGCTATACACAATTCAAGCCGAACATATACATCTGGTTTCGTGTATACTCGTAAGTTCTACAGGTATAATCCATCCATGTCGTCAATGATATCAACAACTCACAATCTGTATGGTGCAGGAGAACTACCACAACAACTCGCACTTGCAACTGTTTTACCCGCTTGGGAGCCAGCCATCTCGCTTCGGAGAAGCCACCCCCATCAACTTATTACCGGATGACCAACATACACCAACACCAACTTGCAGATCAAGGGACCGCGCCCAACCCAGACAAAAACTGTTTCGTTGCTTGTTTGAACATCATTACCTTTCCTGGGGATATATACCATGGGCGGCTCGGTTTATTCCCGAATCGGATCATCAAAGCGACAGTGCAGGTCCTGCACTGTAACTATACTGATCCTACAGTCAGCCAGGATTTCGGATGAAGGATGGTCACTCGCCAGCTTAGATGAGCTTGTCTGGAATTATCTCGGCTTCACCCGGCTTGGGAGTAAGGCGGTTTTGCAACTTACCAACAATACAACCAATTGACTGGGGACCATGTTCTCCACACAGTCCTTCATGTGTTCCTCTGTCTTACCCTACGGAGTCCACTCTTTTTTCAAAGCCCACAGTCGACTGCTTGAGACACCGGCAAGATGCCATCTTTAGTAGCACTAGCGGAGGAGTTATTGGTCTACGCGAAACAAGTCGAGGGGTCTCTGGAAAGCAACGGTCTCGCACAAACATCTTTCGAAGCAGACACGTTGGAATTATTACCTCGAGAAGAACAAAACACGCGATGGAAACTTTTGGATCTTAGCCACAACTTCAGGCAGCTGGTGCGAGGTGCCCGACTTTCTGGGCTGGATGTTGCTTACAATGTAGTGCTTCTCCCCGATACGACCTGAAATTACCTGACAAGATGTAGTGGACCGATCAAGTGGTTCTGCGCATCATATGGCAATTCAAGCTTGCTTCGACGATACCCGTAAACGAAAGCGCAACGTACGATGAGATATCCGCGCGAAGTGGCCTCAGCAAGTCCATAGTCGCCCGCACTATTAGATCAGCGATCCCGATGAACATTTTCGACGAGTGTACTCCAGGTCACATCTCTCATACTGCCATTAGTAAATTGCTTGCGGAGAACCCTCTGTATTACGAAACTGTTGGCCTACAGCTTGTAGACCTCGGTCCTGCCAGCTTGAAACTCATAGACGTATGGGAACAGTTTGGTGATGGTATGGGTGAACCACATGAATGTGCATTCAGTTTGAACAATGGCGGGAGGTCACTGTTCACTGTCCTGGCGGAGGAGCCTGTCCGGGCGCATCGATTCGATTCTGCCATGAAGTTCTCTATACAAGACCAGGATCCCGACTTCAAAGAGGTACTGACAGCGTTTGACTGGCAATCGCTCGATAAACCTGGGGCACGCCTGGTCGATGTTGGGGGTAATCATGGCAGAGTCTCGCAAGCTATTGCCAGGCACACAAAGCATCTTAACTTCGTAGTACAGGATCTTCCCCGTGTTATAGAGCAGGGAAGAGCGTCACTTCCATCAGAGTTTCAAGAGAGGATCGAGTTCCAAGCGCATGATTTCAAGAAACCGCAAGTGTCCGAGAGCCCATCAGATGCATATCTTATCAGTCGTTGTATTCACAACTGGAGCGACCATCATGCTACGAAAATTCTTCAAGCGCTTGTTCCTGGGCTCAAACCTGGCTCTCACGTCTTGATTTGGGATGCCATAATAGACAGTGAACCGGTCAAAAACCTGTCTGAAAAATTTAACTTACAACAAGATTTCCTCATGGCGACCGTATTCAACGGAAAAGATAGGACCGCGGAAGAAACTGAACAGCTCTTAAAGTCTGCAGATCCGCGTTTCAAAATGGTCAAGGTACACAAGTCGAAGAAGTGCAACTTGGGCATGATTGATGCAATCTTTGATAGTTCGAGGTGAGAACCCATCAGGGGCCCATGGTTCAATCTTGGAACCTGGCCAGAGAAATCATTGGTGTGAATTTGATTTTGCGAAAGGTGAAGTTGCGGGGTGGCCACTACATAGATGTACTCCAGATCTTCATGGGATGTCAATACGCTTGATTTGAGCCACATAGCCTGTGAAAATAAATTAAGCTGCATGATGGCTATAGTCAGATACCTACTTGTGTAGATAAAACACGTCATGCATTTTCATTACATGAAAGGCGGCTAATAGCATCTGAAAACCTGAAGTCAATAATTTCAGATAGATAACAATGGATTGGAACCGAGGTCCACAAGAGTACAATTCACCCGCCAGAATCAATCCAATGAAGATCGACAACTTGCATTCGAATAAGGTTTGTAGGAAACTTAATACATATTACCTGTGTCCCGCGTCCTGCAATATGTACCTAGCTTACGCGCAATTGTGGCGCTGCTCGTCCCTGCCTCGTGTTGCGCTACCACACGACACAGATTGGGCAGGTCCTTGCAGCCCCTCAAGCTCCCTGCATTCACCATCCTCGTATTCACAAACTTTCAAATTGCCACTACCTTCGCGACATTCCTCATGTTGACTTGAGCTCCGTGTTCTTAGGAAAGACACCTGACCGCCAGTTTTCACATCCAAACTCTATCCAGTATGTCTGTAGATATCTCGACATCCGGCAAGTACTCTTCCTTGAAATTGGATATGACGATGTGGCTAACGTAGAACACCAAGACTACCTCGCCATTCGTAACATCGCTTTCGAGTGGTCAGAAAGCTACGATCACAAAGACTGGACCCGCCTCCACAATATCCTCGCTCCCTCCATCCAACTCGATTTCCGCGCGCTGCGAGGCGAGCTTCACGAGAACTTGACTCCAGACGAATATGTCGCCATACTCCAGCGTAAGAATTTGCTGGGCGACCCGCGCCTGAAAACTCAGCACCTCTTGGGAGGTTCGAAATGGGAGGTCCTGAGTGATGGTCAAGTGCAGGTCGATCACCAGATTCGAGTGGCTCATCAGCGATACAAGACTGAAGAGCTCACTGAGGTGCTTAACAAAGGACATGGACTTGGAGTCACTCAGCATGTGTATAAGAAGATCGATGGTGCGTGGTTGATTACCCGTGTTGCGCCTAGCTTGAACTGGTTCGAGTTTGATTTGTTTGGTACATTGACCCCGCCGGAGGATGAATAGAAATAGCCCAGCATCATACGGTGTTGTGTCGTCCTTGTTATATTACCAATTCTGGAGTACTTTTGAGTTACGGCTTCAGGTAGCTGTTTGAAACACTGTGTAAAATCATTAGTATCGCACATCAATTCTTTAACACGAAGTATACTCAAATGCTGCAAGTAACTGTGTTGCATCCAATAGTCGGCGAGCATGTCCATTGTTCAGTACATAGCAACTTATAGATAGTGGCACTTGCTGATGAGTAAAACGTAAGCCCTCCCTTATATCTGCGGTAGTTGCATATGTACATATGTATACATATAGTGAACGTCTTGTGACAACAAAGTCACGTGTCCGGGCGCACTAGCCTCTGCATACATTACGCAATGATGTATTCGTACACAGGTATCTACATCACTGAGCATATTTATTTATTTTAAGTAAGAGTTTAGGTGTTCTCACACACGACGATGGATTTTGACGATAGAAATGGACGAAACGGGCGATTAAAGCGAAATTAACACTGAGCATATAACTATCAATTTCTAAGCTTCGATATCCAGCTAGCTGACGATTGATAATATGCTAGCAAATAATTTGGAGTGGGCTAGTGTTAGATGTAGGAACGTTAGAAGATTTGCGCCGAATATGAGTGAACAACTCGCAGTGCACTTGAGCAGATAGTGAAGAGAACATATTAACGAGTTCCTTAAACGCATCAACTTTATTAGACTAGTGCTTGGCGGCAATTGTGTACTTAAGGGTTACATATCTGATATTATATTGACTAAGTTAAGTTAATTAAACAACAAGTCACGGAACACACTAAAATAAATCCACTTCCATCATCCATCATCCATCATCCATCATCCATCATCCATCATCCATCATCCATCATCCATCATCCATCATCCATCATCCATCATCCATCATCCATCATCCATCTTCTCAGAGCCTAGCGAGTTCTCATTTACTGAGTTTTTGAGACTGGAATAAATTTGAATGGGGCAGAGCAAGTAGTCGCCGGCATTTCATTCATCAGACTCACGGTTTCAGGGTGACATGAGGGTTTTGCCCAACGAAACTGGTTCTGTCAGAACGCTTCGCATATGTGAGGGGAGCTACACACCGTGTAAGAAGCAGGTCGATCCATTTCATGTCATCGTCGGTTGTGTTATATAATTCCATATCAAAGCGTCGAAAGAGATTGGCAAGAAGTGTGTAGATTTCGCAAAGTGCAAGACTGGCCAGGTCAGTAATCGACTTTTTTTTTGTCGCAAATATCTCTTGGTAAAATATGACCTACTCTTTTCCTAAACGCTGCCTAGATCCTCGATAGAAACTTGTCATGAACTTGTCGAGGTGCGCTGAGTCATTGACCAACCAACGCTCTGGGCGAAAGTCGTAGGCATCGGATCCCCATATCGATGGATGTCGATTCAAAAGGTACGACGAAGTGTTGATAACGGTCTGTGCAGATAGTTTAGGTATGATAAAAACACTGGAATAGTTATAGTCGAACCTGTGGAGAAACCTTTTGTCCATAGAGCGTCCAACCTTCCTTCGGCACTACCTTCGGTGCTTTGTCTGGTAATGGGTTGCTATATCGAAGTGTCTCTTTGACGACCGCCGTCTGAACATACATCAGTAAACACGACGACACGACAGTATACGGCAATACTCACAAGATAGGGAAGCTTTGAAGCGTTATTGTAAGTAATTTCTCTGTTGCGAGGAAATGCGGCGGCGAGCTCTTGAGACAGCTTGTCATGGATGGAGCTATTTCTTAGGACCTGATAGATTCCCACAATAATCGCATCCGAAGTAGTATCATTTCCCGCGGAAAGGAGCATGATGACTTCTTCGGCAAGCTGACTGGCATCAAGCACGCTTTGATCTTTAGCCGAGGTGGGGTCGACTAGAGTGTCAATTACGACTGATTTGTTGAAGTCAACTTTCTTGGTGAAATTCTCCGTTACACCTACTCTGGGAGCATTGCGCACTCGGAGATATTCGTCGACAAGAATGATGCACTGCTTTTTGAACTGCATGATGGGAATAGGGAATAAAGCAGTAGAAAGCCAATCTGGTAACGACAAGGAAAAGATTGTCATGTTAGGGAACGCCGTTGCTGTCCATCCCATGTCGAATGTGAAGTGTAAATATTCAATGAATTGATTTCTGTAGCCCGGATCCATCATAAAGCCGAGTTCCTTCCCCAGTACGATCTCTGAAATGACATCCATGGTAAATGCTTTGACGGCCATGGAAAGATTGACAGGTTCAGAGCGATTCGATGACTCCACAAATCGTTCCAATAGCCTGTCAACTTTGTCTTTCACTGATGTCGCCAGCTCGCTGGCTCGTGATGGGGAAAAAGCGGGGGTGAGTACTTGACGTTGGATACGACTTCGCGACGCATCAGTTTCCCCGATCGAAGTTCCGGGGAAAGTTATGAAGTTGTAGAATCCGGGATCTTTGGTGAATGGTGACCCGATCTTAGTGATCTCCTGGAATACATCTGTATCGTTAATGTGAAGTTCATTCGGTGCGATGCGAACAACAGGTCCTTTGGAGTTGTTAACGGAATGTATCGTACATCTCAGAGGGTTATGTATTGTTCAAACCAACCTAATTGTTGATGCAACCGTTCAATTTCGAATAACAGCATTCCTTTCTGGTGAAAATTCCAGTACCACTCATACCAAGGCTTCGAAACAGCAGCGAGCTTCGAACCCGGATAACCTGCAAGAGGATGGAAAAATAGCCGATAAACCGCCCGAAAACCCCAGAAAATGGCTTATATAACGCTCATTATCAAGACACCCGAAAAGATCTGTGTTGGGCGCTCCATAGTGTAGTGGCTACTGTATTTCCAAACCGATGAAGAGTACGGAAGTTCTTATGAGTGGGGAGCTTCAAAGAGCGGGGAGTTGAAGGGAGCTGTGCAGCGATCCAACGGTGAGGCCGCGCCGCAATTTGAGGATGATAGTATGCTAGATCTAATATCATATGTATGTGCCCACTTCAATCACGTTATCTTCGGGCAGCGAGCCTGACTTGTAGTACGTTTCATACTCCCCGATGATAAGTGTAGTGTACGCACCAGGACTCAGCCTCGGGGCAATCACTATGTGCGCATAGAGCCTGGCCAACACTGAGATACAGGTGGACGGCTCACGAACACCCCACGGCACGGCCAGCTTACATTGAACTACTCAGAACCTTGGAAAATGTCCCGTTGTTAGGCTGTCGTTCGATACCCACGTAATCCGTACGTCGTTCCTCATTACGGTGTAGAAGCTCTACTCAACCCCGATGATGGGAGCACGGAAAGATATAACTTGCAAGGAATCCCAATTCAAAATGGGTTTAAAATGCCCAAAATCAATGTTTGTGTACATCATTCCGTGATAAGCTCACCGATCTGATGAACGTGGACGTGAACCGAGTAGTTACCTGATAAACTTTTGAAGCCACAACGTTCGCTCTCGACAATCTAACATACGTAGATATCGCAAGAATAACACAGAAGCAAATGAATTAGCTGTCAGCTCTTGATGAGGAGTCGATGTTTCTCATGCCTCAGTCCAGCACAAAATAGATGATACATGAATCCAGATTCCGTGCACAAATCCCAGTAACGACTAGTTGGACTCTAAGACCTCAGTGTGGTTCTGTATAGATGTTGGCTGGAATCTGTTGGCTCTCCATTCACTGCTCAGCTTCTACTGAATCTAGAAACTGACAACGCGCAAGTAAAGATTCTCATGGAAAGTATTAAGCGCATCGAAGAAGTTATGAAGAATCACAATCTCTACGCAGGGTACATACCGAAGCTTTGAACTGCGTATTTACCGGAAGATGAATCGGATAAGCCCAACAGTGAATTCTAGGGGCATTTTTTAACATCAGATCTTAGGAGGGTTTAAAATTCAGCGATAGTTCACATGTTTTCCGTTGATCAGAGATGACAAGAGGAGGACCTGCACGGGGTCAGGGGTGGCAAGCCTCCTAACCATATTGGTCCAGGTTTCTGCATACGCCGCAAAATCAATCAAATGATTGTTACACAGCACTGCCCGCCTTTAGTTTGTTTGTCTGGAGCTTGTTTGCCCTTTGCCTTCTACATCCCACGACTTCTCCTTCTCTCGTCTCAATCGTTCCCACTATCAGATATTGGAACAATGGGTGGATTCCTTGACTTCTGTTACCGTCAGCTGACTTATAAGCCAAAGCCTCTTCCCACCGCGGTCTCTTTCGTCGGCAAGATAGCGCTCATCACAGGCGCAAATAGTGGTTTGGGCTTAGAAGCTGCCCACGAGCTCGCTTCCCATGGAATCTCAAGACTTATCCTCGCAGTACGTGATGCAGAGAAAGGAGAATCTGCCAAGACCTCGATTCTCGCGCGTTCTGCAGAAACAAATGTTGAAGTGTGGCTCCTCGATCACGACTCTTACGAGAGCATTGTTGCCTTTTCGCGACGCTTATCAGATATCGACAGACTAGACTATGCCTTGCTCAACGCTGGCCTGAAGAAGATGGAATACAGTACCGCGAATACTGGACACGAGCTGAACGTCCAAATCAATCACATCGCGACTTCAGCAGTTTCTTTTGCTGCTGTGCGTGCACTGAGTGCGACGGCCGGAAAGACGCACGTACCAGGTCGTTTGACCATCGTTTCTTCCGAGGGCCATTTCTGGATTCCTTTCAAGGAAAGACACGCCGAGAAGATCTTGGAAAGAATGGATGATAAAGAAACGTTTGGAAGCCAAATGCAGAGATACTACACAACGAAGTTGCTCAATGTACTTTGGACAAGAAGCCTCGCAGAGAAGATTCCCGCTACTGAGATCATCATCAACACAGTGAATCCGGGATTCTGCTACAGCGGATTGCATCGGCATGAAGGCACTGGCATCATCAAAATCTTCCTGTGGATGTTCGGGTGGACTAGCGAGCAGGGCGGGCACTGTCTAGTGGATGCTCTAACCCAGCACGATAATTCACACGGAAAGTATCTCAGTGACCAGAAGGAGACAGAGTAAGTGATTTGACACCAGTTCACCCTCATTTTCTGACTTGAAACGCTAGCCCTTCGCCTTTCGTCCTGTCGGACGAAGGAAAAGCCGATACGAAGAGGATTTGGGAGGAAACCACTGCCTTACTTCGAAAAGAAGCGCCTGGCGTTGATATGTCGCCGTTGGTTTAGATATACGGGCGTCGGAAATTCGTAATGGATGGGATAGCCTTCAATCTGTTCATCAGAAAGATTTCCTACATGTTGATTAATTTCATATTATATTGCTGCGGTCTCGAATGTAGTCTCAAATGACATCCGATCTTCTTCGCGTTTATAGCATTACATCTTACCACATGAGGTGGGCAAATTTGCTCAGACAAGTCACTCACATCATTGGAACAATGTGCAGTGAATCCCGAACCGAGTATTCGGGAACTTCATTTGAATCCTCCAGTTTGTTTATAATATATACTATTGACAGTACTGCCTTCCTATTTGACGAAGCCAGACAACTCTTGATCTATCTATATTCCCTATCCAACCCCGACAAGTACCCCAAAAGCGAAAACCCAACAGTCAAGCCGATGCACTATCGACAAGACCCCATATTTTCCCCCATAATATACAAAGATCTCTATCGGTCTATATCTATCTCTGTTTGGGCATCTCACTCCACGGTCTAGCCGGCCTAGCCATTACAGCCTCCTCAGGCCTCCTCAACCCCAACGGTCCCGAAATCCCCGCATCGACCCCGCTCCTATCGCTCTCCCTCGAATAACGGCCTCCCATATCCGCGGCGCCTCCGATCAGCCCCTTCTCTTCGTCCATCATCGCCACAGGCGCAGGCCTCAGTGGATCGTACATCCCTGGTACCTCCCCGTATACTGAAGATGCAGGGGATGCATCTGTAAGTGGGGCGCTAGCCTGGTACCCGTGGCTCATTCCGAGCGTAGACGCCGTGGGTTCGAATGAGCACGCTTTCGTGCTTCGGTTGTTCTGCACGATTTGGATGGTTGACGCGATGGTGGTTGTAAGGAGGAGTAGGCCTGCGGAGCCGGAGGCGATGGTGTAGGTTTGCGAGAAGGGTGGCATTGCGGAGAAGGATTTCAGGGCGCGGGAGGTAGATGTTGAGAGGTAGATCATTTGGGGTGGGGGGTTGGAGGGAGCGATGTTGAAGGAGAAGTTTGTCAGGGCGAGGGTTGCGCTGAGGGTGAATGCGAAGGCAGTTGTTGTGGCGAGGAATGCGAGAGCTTGGAGCATGGTGGTGATTAGGGGGCGGAGGTGGAGTTTTGTGAAAAGTTTTGTGAAAAGGTTTGAGAGGAGGACTGTTAGGGTTGCTAGGAAAGTGAAGGAGCCCTGTGGTTTCATTGGTTAGTCTTGAATTGGGGTAAGATTGGAGGTGGTGAGGAACGTACGCATGCAAGGGCTATCCAGATTTTGAAGCCGTTGTCTAGAACAGTGGAGAAGAATAGCCGCCAATCTTCACGGTCTTGCTCTGTGTTGAAGATCATAGTGTCGACTACGCTAGCTCCGCGGTTCTCGATGTCGATGATGATGATTTTTGCTGTTGAAATTCTTGGTCAGCAAGATACTAGATACCCGTGAAAATGACACGGAATGGATAGATCCCGAATCAAAGACATGTCCAGAAAAAAAAAGAAAAACATATGTAGCGAGAAGTAGAAACTTACACCACGCAGTCAATGCAACCACTCCCATTGTAACCACGAGGGCCAGTGCCCTCAGGCTGATTAACGCTGCATGACCAGCACCCATGATTGATATCGAGAGGGCGATGATTGGACAAAGCAAATCGTTCTCTTCTTTTCTTTTGCCTATCCTTACTCTTGTACAGATGCTCAGTATCGATTACCCGCTGTAAGCACCAGCAAAAAGAAATTATCCGCAACTATAACAGCTGGTAATCGAGTCCCGAGTGAGTGGAGGACGAACGACTAAAAAAGAATTGAAGAAAAGAATGATGATCTATAATAAGATTAAGCCAGACCAGCTGGGTAGCAAGCTTCCAGAGCGCTGAAGAAACGAAAGATCACGGGGGCGTGAGAAAAGAGGTGACAACCAAAAAGCAGTGGAGGTACAAAATCAGAATCAGGCTGAAGTGACCGCCTTAAAGCCTACCCAGAGAGGAGGGCTGGGCATGGCGTTGCAAAACACACAGACAACAACATTCTGTAATGGTCAAGATCCAGCTAAACCGGCTTGAGCCAGGCCTGAGGCAATGCAAGGCCGGCTCGCGTATATGCCGGCCAAGCGCATGCGTACGTGTAGTGTTCCTGAGGCGGGAAACAAGACAGCATACATGAACGCACGTCCCCGATCCAACGTCCTTTCGGCGAATCATAGCGTACACGATTCGAACGAGGGGGTGGAAGATCCCCCCAGAAATTCTCAGATCGCTTCCTATACTGTGTCGACTCGGTGCCACGAGGTACTTGGTCTTACACGGGGTACATATTCTCGACAGTCTGGAGTCACAGCGAAGCGCCGAGTGTTGCTCCTAATTGCGGAAAATTTTGGCACGGAGAAATCATTGATGATGATAGCAACTGGCTAGTCATTTTGAGTTACTGTAGTCGAGCTGCCGCCTCAGCTGTCGTTAACTTGTTGACAGCGGCATGGCTCAAGGACATCATGCAGGTCCGTGTCGAAGCAGCAATCGAGCATTAGGTGAACGGTGGGGCACAGCAGAGCGGATATCGGCGTGCGTAATAAAGGGTTATGGTCGTTAGTGGGCTGAAGCAGAGGGAGCAGCGCAGTGAACTTTGGGGATGGAACCTTGGGATTGAGGGATGAGACGTTGGTGAAGCAGGGCTTGGTAGGGCTGAAACGGGAGTGTGTGGGGTGCGCGGGATGAGAATGGCGCTAGTGACTCGGTATGTAGTGTATCATTTTCCTGTGGACTTCTCACTTCCACTACTGATATCCAGATGATACATGTATGCAGCAATAATAAATAGAAGTAAATAGATTGCTATACTAAGCTGTGTGACTGAGTTTGAAGAAAATGAAACAACCATATATAGTCCTCAAGGACGCCGCGCACCACTGTTGAAATACTACAAGCTTATACTGCATTCCGGATATGAATGATGATCAAAGGAAAGTGATTCATGCTATACTGGCAGTTCAGTGCTATGCATCATGGCCCATGAACAAGGCAGAAAAATTCTCCGAACTGCCTTGGTCGTGACTCAATACCCCCAGGCTTCAAACTGTTCGGACCGTTTACATCGACAGACAGCATATACCTGGCGGTATGAACGTGTTCCGGATGGATCCCTTTAGCTGCAAGTGGGTGGGACTCAACAGCTATGATGCGATTGATCTTCGCAAGGGCATCAGCACTGGAGTTGAGTGGGAAAAGGAGACGCATGTCATCTGACGGGTGGATGAGGGAGATAGCATTGAAACTACGCGCCAATGGAGAGATTTTGGTGCATTTTTGACAGCCCAGGAGAGTCTGGCCAGGAAAATTCTTTCGCTCCTCTCTTCGTCATTCTCCACACTACTGTAACACGGCTCGCCGTACTTCCTTTTCGAGAGCCTTGTGAAGACTGGGCGCAGGCTGCCACGTATACCGGCGGGAATCAATGCAAGACTTTGTAGTAAGCATAGTACAAGAGAAGGTATCTATGTGCCCCTTTTACAGACGAAGTGTCTATATCGATTTTCCAGATATCTCATCGTGGCTATGTGCACCTGGTCCACGGTGCATGGAAACGGGTAGCATGACGCTGGGCAGAGTTAGCGGTATGTGGTATGGATACCTCGTACAAGGTATGTAGTTGGGGTTGGCCTCAATAAATTGGATGATGATTGATCGCCGAGAAAACAAGACAGTTGTACAGCTTGCAGACTAAAATTCGGGATAAGTGTGCCTGAAATACAGGAAGTAGTCGGTTGATGAATTATGGTGTTGATGGTTGAGCTACGCAGATGGCGATCGTCCCTTGCAGGCTAGTGGATTAGGCGAGGTGACGGTATCAGATGGGACCAGCTGTCTGTCTCGGCCATTCATGTGATCGCGGATTGATGACTTCACACCTTCAACACATCAGAAACAATTCAACATTGTGATCAACTGACCACCCCATCGCTATTCTCGACAGTCTTTCTACGTAACCGAACTCGCACGTCCTCTCACTTTGCTCCTTCACCTAACTGCTTCAACCAACGCGTTTTCCTTCGCACTGGCTAGCTCCCCGCATCTCCACCACCTCATTCCTCGGCTTCGTCTTCCTCCTCAGCTTGTCGCTGCGGTAACAATACCAACAACACATTGTACACGTCATATCCGACGGAGTTATTGGGCTGCTGGATGGGCGAACATGTCGGTTCCCGACACTAAGCAAGGCTTCCTCTCGGCAGGCATCAACGCATTCTCGCCTTGGGGCTCGCGGAGTGCCACCCCCAAGTCGCCCCAGACTCCGAGATTGCCAGAAGATGGAAAAGACAAGGAAAGGGAGATGGATAATGCTGCCTCTGGGGCTACGGCAGCTCAAAGGGGAGGAGATCACAAGATCAATCGGCGCCATAGGCTCAGCTTGAAACGTTATCCACAAGATTGCCCACCTCTTGTCGTGAGGTGGTTCCATGCGGTAGATGTCAGTCTTCCAAATTCTATGCATCGTAACAAGGCAACTAATACTACATGACAGTTACCCAAGCGCAAACCGTTGTCCTCCACCAGCACCGCCGTACCCGACAAGACCCAGCCGAAGCCCAAGAAGTGGATTCCCTTCTCCCCCGAAGACTCCCGCGCTATCGAGACCGCTTTCCAGAAGACCGCCGATGATGAGGATGCCGCCGAACTGCGGAGGGGTCTCGCTAGCCCTCAAACCCCCGAGGCCGCTTTGCAGCAACAACCCGAGACTACCACAAAGGTACCCGTCAACGAGGATTATCTCTTTGACGTCGAATTAGAAACACGCGAGCTCGCTCCTGCATATTGGTTGGGTCCTGTTTACGATGTCAAGCGCGCTACTTGGTTCTCGCCTGACGGCGAGCCATGTGATGAGCACTTAGCCAATCAGTTAGAAGAAGGCTACCTCAAGGTCAAACCCTGGCGATTCGCAAAGCCTGTAGAGAAGGAAAAGGAGAAAGAGAAGCGTGCTAGCTCACAACCGCGCACTCGTCCCATATCGCTCAATATGAAAGTCAGCGACGACTACCGGAAGGAGCTCAGCAGATTGAACAGTCGCGACTCTACATCGAATCCTGTCACCCCGAAGGGCTCCTTCGATAATCTGAGGGGTGAGGCAAGCCGTGACTTTGAACCCAGTTCGGCTGATAGCAAATCTTCGAGCCTGCCTGACGAAACACCAAGATCATATCGTTTATTCGGAGCGCATATGAATTCAGTCGCAACATACCAAGATGATACTACCGCCTATCTCTTGACTGACGATATGTGGTCTCGCATGGGAAGCACACTATACCAGAGATTTGGCGGCGCTGCGCATTACGCTGGTACCAAGTATGTCCGTGGCTACACCGATCCGGCAAAGAAAAAGGACGAAAAGCCTTCAAAGGAAGACGAAGGTGTCAAGAAGGACACGGACCGCCCCGTCACGCCTTCTTTGGCGTATGGTGAGGACAATAGCAATCAACGCACAGATACCAACTCGAGAGATGGATCTGACGCAGGCGATACGGAGGAGGGTCCTGCGCCTGAATCCTCGCCTTCGCAGACCCGTAGAAAGAATCTCGAGCGTCAAATGTCTTCGCTTATCACATCTTTGGGTACCGAAGATCCTAGCCAGCAGGAAGAAGCGATGCGTAAGCGCAACGAGCAGGAGATGCGCGAAGATTATCGAGATCAAACCCCCAGCGAGCAAGGCAGAGATATCGAGCATCTGCTTCTCGTGACCCATGGTATCGGTCAACGCTTGGGCATGCGTATGGATAGCATCAATTTCATCGGAGACGTCAACGCTATGCGCAAGTCCTTCAAAGCGGTGTATGCCAACTCACATGACTTGCAGGCTTTAAATTCGGATCAAGACAAGAATGAGAAGAACAGCCGCATTCAGGTTCTTCCCATTTGTTGGCGTCATTTGTTAGACTTTCCTAAGCAGAGCCTGAGACATAACCGGAAAGAGCATGACCTAGGCGATCTGGACGTCGACGACCAGGAGTACCCGAATCTAGAGGATATCACTGTCGATGGTGTTCCGGCCGTACGGAACTTGTTGACCGACCTAGCGCTGGACATTCTCCTTTACCAGAGTCCGGCTTACAAGGGCCACATATCTCGCATTGTCGTAGACGAATGCAACCGTATTTTTCGGTTGTTCAAGGAGCGCAACCCGAAATTCAATGGCAAGGTAAGCCTGGTGGGTCACTCATTGGGTTCCGCCATTATGTTCGATTTGTTATGCTTGCAGAAAGACCCAAATGCAAAACCCTCACAATCAAGTAGACCTCGGCGTCCGCAAGACGACGGTCTGAAATTTGATTTTGAAGTAGAAGACTTCTACGCTCTCGGCTCGCCCATTGGCCTCTTCCAGATGCTGAAAGGGCGTACCATTGCTGCCCGGCCGTCCAACGCATACGTACCGCCCGAGACACCAGCTACACCACTTGACGATCCATTTTCTGCTACTGCCACCGACAATCCTGCATCCGACATGGTCATTTCATCGCCGCTGTGCAAACAGCTCTACAACATCTTTCACCCGACTGACCCTATCAGCTACCGTATGGAACCCCTCGTTTCGCCTACTATGTCTCAGCTCAAAGCGCAGCCTCTACCATATACGAAGAAAGGCCTCTTCGGCACACCAGCTTCCCAAGGAATTACCGGTATAACCTCACGAGTAGGACAAGGCGTGACTGACTTCTGGACATCTGTGAGCTCGGGAATCGCCAGCGGGCTCCTCAACCGCAGTCTAGGCATAACGGGAACCGACGCCACGAACATGAAGAACGATTTGGTTCGCTCGTCGCGCCCTCTCTCCTTCGGACCGATTCCTAGTACAAGTAACCCCGGCTCTAATACCGCTGGTGCTCCTGAACCGGGAAGTGATCCGGTGAACGCATTCATCAATGAGGAACGGAGACGCCGCCTTAGCAGCGAGCCCATAACTGCCGGTGACAACGGTGAACACCCGCCCACACTCATCGAGTCGGAGATCCAGACGCTGTATGCAGGGTTTCATAAAAGAAGACAAAGCAGCAAAAACGAAGGCGAGGAAAACGTGGAACGTGATCTTGAGTGGCAGGAGCTCGAAGAACGTAGCCGCAAGTTACGAAAGGAGGAAGGTAAAGTGCGGAGCCTCAACGCCAATGGACGAGTGGATTACAGCATCCAGGAAGGCGCCTTCGATATTTCCATCCTCGCCAGCATCGCGTCGCATCTCTCGTACTGGGCTGACGAGGACGTTTCTCACTTCATGATATCCCAGCTCTTAGCTAGACATAGAGTTTTCAAGAACACCACCTGAACAGCGTGTGGAAACTGAGAGCAGTATCCCCTCCTCATGAATCATTTTTTTCGCGGCTTTTGAGCGGTATGTGTAACACTTGGATATACGCGACTCAAATTCCTGTTGCACAGCATTTTGCTGCATTCTGCCTTTTCACAGATCAAACAAGCCCGTTGAACTGCAAATTTCAGGTCTAGCTTTGTAGATGTGCCTTTGCGTTTGTTATTTTATCTTGTTGTATTCCGTGATTGATTATGTGTGTCTTGGAGGACTGCATCGAGCAGTAGTGTGTTTATGTCGACACCTGACTTTGCCTGTCTCCTGATTCACATATATCTCTACACTCGTAAATCTATCTCGGACAAATACTATTTTAAAAATGATATACCCACAAGTTTATAGTTGACTGCATCAATACTTTAAATCTTGCACGCGTTGATTATAAGCACAAAAATCCCTGTCGCGATCTCTGGAATTTATTAAGTGTACGTAGTACACGTTCCTTTTTCCTCCTCACCTAGTATTAATAAGTTGATTTTTTGTTTGTATAGTCCAGAGTTCATTTATATAAATACGCAAATAGACTTTTGATAGAAATGGATAGTAATTGAAGAGCAGACGACCGCAGTCTAGGCGAATGACAATGAGAACTGTATACATATACTCCACGACTCTTTATGGACTATACATGGATAGCTGATTATAAGGCAGATAATATACCTATCACGTCAGAAATCAAGAGCTTCCGTGCTGGAATGGAATGAACAGCTTGGCCATAAAGACTGAGATGTCGAGTACCTACGTAGAAACAGAAAGAAACCCAGACCTTCCTTTGTACCCCAAAAGATGACACATACAGAAATATACGAAATGAACTGAAATGGAACCTTGATACCCAGGGAGAAGAAAAAGAGAGGGAAAAAAATTCTACACGGTAATCGGCGCCGAAGTATTCCCAAAAGCATTCGAGAGCCGCCTCAAGGTAAGCGGCACAGGTAACTTGAGCAGCTCCGCATCCGAAGGCGTGCACAAAGGATCCAGACTCTCTTCCCTGGAAAACGACATGTAATCAGCAATGGCGTTCCAACAATATAGACTTCGTGGGCGCGATGAAGAAAAGAAAAACAAACTCACAACTGCATGGCATCGTTCGTCGACGCCGTCTGATCCCCAGCAGCCTTCCCGTCCTTGCCCAGGTCGAAAGCAAAGTAATCTCCATTTTCCTTGAACGGGCTCATACCCGCATCTGCGATGGAAGAATCGTGGACGCTAGGCGTCGGCGGGATGGTAGTTAGTAGAGTAGGGAAATGCTCTGGGTAGTTTGAGATGCGCGTCGGACACGCGACGCTCATGCTAGCTCTCAACCCGCGAGAATTAACATCCGGGAGAGGGAGGGAGCCAGCGCGGCCGGATTTGGGTCCAGGGGGTGGCATCATATTGTTGTTGTGGGTGAAGGCGCGTTTGATGAGGCTGAAGGCGGAGGCGGTGGACGAGTTCCTGCTGCGGAAGCTGCTGGGGCCGTCTGAGCCCGTTGCGGAGGAGACGCTGAGGTTGCGGGAGGGAGGGGAGAGGGCGGCGGGGGTGTTGTTTGGGCGTTCCATGAGGCTGAAAATGCCGCGGAGGGCGGAGACGGCGGCGTCGACGGAGGTCTGGATGCTGGACCAGGCGTATTCGAGGCGGATGAAGTCGTCGAGGTTGTCTTCCATGGATTCCATTTGGGTTAGGCAGACGGAGATGGAGTCGGCGATGATGGTGGTCCCCGTGATCCAGGCGTTGGCGACGGCGTCTTGACACTGCGGGGGTTGGGCTTGGATGAGCTGGATGGCTGAGTTTGCGGTCTTGTCGATGGCGTGGTCGGCCAGGTCACGTTGTTGCGAGACGTCGACGCGGATGAGGGACCGCCTGCTGGAGTCGGTGGTGTCGGGTTTGTACATGGTCGATTTGGCGCTGTCGTAGACTGCTTTGAACGCATCTTGGTGGACGTATGCGATGCCAGCGTTGAGGTTGTCCAGTGTAGAGAGGACTGAGTCCGCGTCATTCCCCAGGACCGTGTAAAGGATCGCTACGTGGTCGGTTCCGTCTATAAGAGCATGGGCTTGCAGGGTTTTGAAGAATGTGAAGTCCATAGTCCTTCGAGCTGAATGGAGATTGTGCCTGACAAGCGCCACGCGTTGTGTCCAATGCAGTCTCTGTGTCCCGTCAACTGTCATTATGTCTATTTGTCTTGTCACTATCACGGTATATTGCAGGATTTTGAAAAGTCTGCGAATTCAGCGGTGAATACTGAAGAGCACCAGCGCATCTGCTGTACAAATAGGCAAGTGGACATCATTGTGGCCTTTGGGCTGATGACGCCATGATCAGATCGGTGATTTCGCTGCGCAGGCACTTCTTGTGGGCAGCCAGACTAACATGCAAGGAGCTGTTTTGATTCAGTTGCTATCGACTATAGTTGAAGAGTTTTGTTGGTGAAAAGAAAAAAAAGCAGCAATTCTCGGTGCGTAAGAGGATTGCGGATAAGACATTGGACAATTTGCCGAGAGACATGAAGTCATGTCATTACTTCATCTTTGGGATTTTCTTTGTCCTTCTCCGGAGAAAGTTGAATTTTGTAAGCAGAACCAAACCCCCAAGACTTAATGCCAGTTAAGTAAATAGCTTGGTAGGTATAGTTGTGGTCCAGGCGATCTGTGTTGGTGACAGGAGAAACATGCCATGTTCTCGACATCCATAGGGCTGAAACAATACACTTATACTGGCGATCGCGAAGAGCAATCATAGTATAAAATCGACTCCATACGACGATTTGGTAAGAAGAAAACCCATAATGAGAGTTCCAGCCTTTTCCGGCGCAAGTCTGGAAACATACTAGTGATATCTGCTAGATTGTTCTGTCACACGGATGTTGTTTGCAGCGCAAGACCATTCGAAGAAGACTGAACGAGTATCGACTGGAAATTGAGACGGATGGTCTCTCGTAGTGATCGATCTATGGCTCGACGGAAAAGTGACAAGCCAGTCATCACAATAAGTGGGCCAAGCGGACAGAGTATCTGAGGGCGATGAGTATCTCCAGCCGAAAAGTGCTCAGCGATGAGTCAAGTAGTAGCACGAATGCGATGAACTTCCCCATGGGAGGTTTGCACCGTTGCATGCAACATTGGCCGCCACTGCCGGGGCCAGCAAGAGGACTGCGTTGGGGTCAATGGCGGCTCTTCCGTGTGGTCCCACTCCCCACTCCGCAATCAGTGATTTATCAAATACAATTGCGTGAATTGAGTCAGCCGCGAAGAGTATAGGGCTGGTAAGTCGTCACGGCGACGACGGCGATGCCCGTTGCAATATTCGATTGTCAGAGGGATGACAGCCGGGTATAAGGTGAAAGTCAAGCCATCGCCGCCACTCTTGGATGACTAAGGCAAAAAAGTGTCATCCGACGATGGCCCGACCCGAACACAAGACTCTCAGCCCCTTCGTTGTCGCGATTTTCACACGCTCCAGACAGGCAGAGTTTTCAGGTTCCCAACAGTTCAGATAATGCGGTTGCATCCGTTATGGCCACCCCATCACTGGTTACTCTTTCTGGCGTGCCCCTTTACGGCAGCCGGACATAACCTAAGATAGCCGCGGCCTTTTGCCGACGCAGAAAATTCTTCCTGGACCCTCCAGTCAGTGGTAGTAGGAGGCACGGATCAGCAAGTCACAATTGCCTCATGTTAGTGTGGCCCCACGATGCAAACTTTGCTCGGGTGCAGCTTGCCAGAGCTGGGGGACCTAGATAAGGGTTTTTGTGGATCGATGAAAATTGCCAGTCAGAGTCTTCAAATAGAATTGCTTCTCCATAGTTAATCCAAAGCCATTCGACTCATTCCGACCTCCCTGACCACTTCGCAAGTAAAGGTTTGGGTGATACCCTCCTCATCCAACTCTACGCGACCAATATGGCGGCCACTCAAGATGCGATATATCCTAAGGGAGATCGCCAATCCGACAAATCGCTCTCCGCGTATAACGATGCTGAGAAGCAGAGCCAACCGGCTGGTGATGAGCTGAAGAGGAAGCTCAACAGTCGGCATTTGCAGTTTGTTGCCATCGGTAAGATGTCTGCCGTGTAGTTCCATCACTCCACATGCTGACAGCTGTAACTTCCAGGTGGAACCGTTGGTACGGGTGTATTCATCGCATCTGGCGGGTCCATTGCGAAAGCTGGTCCAGTCGGTGCCCTCCTCGCATACGTTTTCGTCGGAACTCTTGTCTACTCGGTCATGTTGTCTCTCGCTGAGATGTCCACCTACCTCCCCGTTTCCGGAGCCTTCACTCAATACGCCGCGCGATTCGTCGATCCTAGTTTGAGCTTTTCAATGGGCTGGGTATACTGGTTCTCTTGGAGTCTCACCTACGCTCTCGAACTCACAGCAGCCGCGCTGGTCATTCAATGGTGGAATCCCGGTCTCAATATTGGCATCTTCATTACAATATTCTTTGTGCCACTCACGGCCGTGAATTTCCTGCCGGTTGACGTATTTGGTGAATTCGAGTTCTGGTTTGCGTCATTGAAGGTCATCTGTTTGATCGGATTCTGGATATTTTCCATCTGCATCAATGCAGGCGCTGGCGACCAAGGATATCTCGGATTCAAGTACTACAACGAGCCGGGTCCATTTGCTCCCTACCTTACCGATGGACCCAAGGCCAAGTTCGTTGGATTCTGGGCTGTCTTGATCGAGGCCAGCTTCGCTTTCCAGGGAACTGAATTGGTTGCCATTGGAGCCGGAGAAAGCGCGAACCCGAGAATCACGATGCCAAGGGCTATCCGCAACACGTTCTGGAGCATTTTCTGCCTATTCGTTTTCACCATCTTTTTCATTGGGATCCTCGTTCCCTACGACAACAAGGACCTCATGTTGGGCACCACGGACGCTAGTTCCTCACCATTGGTGATCGCGGCACAGCTGGCTGGCGTCAAAGTGCTCCCACACATCATCAATGCAGTGCTCTTGACAGTTGTTCTGTCCGCCGCTAGTTCAAATGTATACTCCTCGAGCCGAGTGCTAGTTGGACTTGCAGAGGAGCATTGCGCACCGCAATTCTTCAAGAAAACCACTAAGCGCGGCGTTCCGGTCTATGCCACGGCAGTCTCGGCCGCTATGGGATTGCTCGCATACATGAACTTGTCCAACAACGGAGGCGAAGTGTTTGAATGGTTCTTGGCCATTGTCAGTGTTGCTGGTCTCATCGCGTGGGCATGCGTCTGCATCTGTCACTTGCGTTTCATGGATGCTTTGAAGGCACAGAACATTGCTCGCGATACCCTGCCATACGTTTCCTGGGGTGGGCGCTGGCTTGCTTACTACGGTCTCGTCTTCTGCGTCATCATTACCATTACACAGGGATTTACAGCATTTGTTCCCTGGAGTACCGAGGACTTCTTCATCAGATACATCAGTTTGATCCTCTTCGTCGTTCTTTACGTTGGGCACAAGGTCGTCAAGCGCACAAAGTTTGTGGATGTCTCTCAGTCTGATCTCAAGACCGGGGTATTCGAGGAACAAATCGCACAAACCTGGGAGGAGAGCCCGCGCAGTTGGTGGAAGAAGACGCTCAACACCATTCACGTCTCGTAATTCTCGGCATGCACAGAGGGGCACCAATCATCTCGCATTTCAGTTGTACATATAGCATCGGTGGAGTCAAAAAGTGTTTTCTGGCATGGTGTTGCATAGCGTCGAGTTCGGTTACTTGTTCTTTTGTGCCATGTCAATGTCCTTTAATATAATTCAATACCCATCATCATATATCTTGTGTTTGATGTAGTTGATATGGTACCATAAACATGTCATAGGCAAACGATTTCACGGCTCAGATGCCGTTTGCCGGTGTCTTCTCTGAGGCCTCCTATTTTGAAAGCTCGGCCTGTGTCATGATCAATTATCGTCATCGTCATCAGATTATGGGGTTCGACGTCTAGACTCAGAGACAGGCCCAGATCCCCCTGTGTTTCAATTACATGGTATAAGCTGCAGTCACAGCACACATTCAACTCGCAGGCACAGCGCGCGAGCGGCAAAAAGGGGAGGGATCGAGAGTCGCTTGGAATAAATATCCTTCGCTTAAACAACAAATTCGATTTTCTGACATGTAAGACCAATGGCACGATGGCAATTGTGAAATGCCGTTGAACACGATGATGATAGACATGCCAATCGTTACCGGAACGGGCGGCCCGCCAGGTACAGTACCGGTTTGGCATCACTCAGTGACGTCGATCGCCATGTAAGCGAGGTGGACCTCGAGCTTGTCCGCTCGCCAACACCAACTTCCACCCCCTAGCAGACTCATCCTTCACGACTCTCTCGAATCTCTGAACAACACCAGCGCCACGTCGTCAGGCAACAATATGATTTCGCTGCACGATGAACGCAGGGACAGTCCTCGTCGCCAACATTGCCACAACGAGATGAGAGCCTTATGCCGTTCTTGCAGCTATATATCAATATCCTTGTGTAATAACAACAACAAGTCACTCACATCTACATCGCCCCATTCGAAATACAAGTTTCTTAGTCCAAGTCCACGTCCAGGTTTCATCTCTGATTCGTCGCTGTGTACATTTCTTCTAGTCGTAGTGTCTCGACCGCCATTGATCGGCACGTCCATGCCGAACGTTTTCTGGCCAGTGGGCACGTTTCAAACGGCCGTCACTGGCGTAAGGCCATAAGCCCAATTCGCCACTAATCACAGAGGTACCTATCAGGAGTTCTATGGCATACATACGCATGTATCCTGCGGTGCGACTGCGGTGTGTACTTACACATCGCGTAGTGGGCAGTCAGTCTAGTGTACAGAATACAAAAGACTATTGAATAGAGGCGTAGGAATGAATACGATTGCGCTTGATCGCATCCATGATCTCTCTGACGCAGGGTCCCTCCCGACAGTGACCCTCGCCTCATGGTCCGTACCACATCTGATTCGTTTTCGCGACAGTCTCCTTTTCCAGAAATGCAGTAAGAGGCCGGGGGTAGAGCCCAAGTTCCACACCCCCGCATGTTTTCAGTCTGGTAGTTGCGTCGGAGATGAGCTCCTAATGCTATCCATCGCGGCTAGTTTACTTTTTCTCTTCGACGTCACTCGTTCTATAACACTATAGCCCTATAGCGCATACCAACGCTCATCACAATCGCAGTATAGGCACCAAAGTATGCAATTGACTGTTGTGATGAAGCGTAGCAAGTGATCCACAGATCTGTTCAGCAATGGCTGATGCATCTGATAACGAGGCAACATTGCTGAGCCGCATGCAACATTGAACAGCCACTGCCAGCACAAACGTTTGATAGTGGCGCGACATAAACACTTGCAACTTTGCACACAAAAGCGGATCCCTTCTGTTTACAGCCGTTCCCCCGAACTCGACTGATGAAGGCCCAATTCTCATCTATCAATCCCCCATACTCAGGGGCGACCCCAGCATGCACAGTAAGCTTAATGGCCAGCCCTTTTCCTAATTTTACTCATTCGCCTTGTCGATCCTTCGTGGCATTTTTACCACAACACAGCGATCGACGTCACTCCTACTAGGTACGTACTGGGATTGGCCGCAGGCCATCTTGAATTGTCCCCTGAACAGCTGCTTGGAACTTGCGGGAAGCTCCACAAAAGCGATTGTCGATGTATCGACGATGATCATGTCCTCGGAGGTAACGAGCTTACGATGACGATGGCGAAGTTGGCTTCTGCATTTTCCAAGATGGAAGTGGCACAGGTAGGGGGTCGTTATGCTTCGCTGGACCAAGACCCATCCACAACGTTGTACCCACATAGCCATAGTACCCGTCCCCATAGGTACCTAAAAAGTATAAGAAGGACCGGTTTCGACGTCGATAATCACCCATCATCTCACGACATCAATCAACATCCACATCCAATCCATTCAATCACTCTACAAAACTTTCCTCTCACTCTAAAACCAACCAACCTCCACCCAACAATCAAAATGCAGTTCACCATCACCGCCATTGTTGCCTTCGCCGCCGCCGCCATGGCCGCTCCCGTCCTTGAGGACCGCCAGGCTGGCCTTTGCACTGGCGGAGGCCAGGCCCAGTGCTGTGCCACTGACGTCCTGAACCTCGCTGACCTCGACTGCGCTACTCGTACGTTCCCCATCCGAGCCCCCAGATCTCCACATGATCCATCATCTCCATACCACCTCCAAAGCCCCCCTTCCTCACTATATTATCTACACATCTTCTTCCCACTATTGCAATTGCTAACATAACCCCTCAGCCCCCACCACCCCCACCGATGTCAACTCCTTCATCGACATCTGCGCCGAGGGCGGCCAGCAAGCCAAGTGCTGTGTCCTCCCCATCCTCGGCCAGGCCCTCTTCTGCGCCGACGTCAACCCCACTGCTGAGGCTCCCGCTCCTTCCGCCGCATAAACGCATCACCCATCTATCCCCTCCCCCGCTCACCACGCTCATCGAACTCTTCCGTGTACGCGCTCTGTAACAGGAACACCAGTACGTGGAATCGATAGCAGTGGTTTCTAAGGGTGGACGATGGCAATGTACTTTTATGCTTTACAGAAATCGGCGGTTTCTTTTGTTTGGCTATGTGTTGATGAGATGCATGGATTTTTATCTTTTTCGAATTGTTTGATACGATAGGGAGGAATTGTAATACATATGGAAATGGAAATATCTTAAGAAAAGAAAGAGACACACCTCTACCATGCCTGTGATGATTGTGTATGCGGAGGCCTCATCTTGGGTTTACTCGTGGGTGATGACCAGGCTTGTGCACGCAATAAGTAAAAAACTCTCAAGTCGTCAGCAACAACGATACAGACGATTACATTATTCTACGCTGAAAAAACGCGAATGTCACTTGCGCCCAGTTTCCAACTTTCCAACGCAGCGCGTGTCTAGTCCGTACTTCCGTTCGTTAACGCGGCTCCTTCCCGCTTCGCTCAGACCTCCTACCTATCTATCCACTTCGGAGGTTTTTTATCTGTCTTGGTTGGCATGTACACATGTGGTTCGTCGGGCTTATTGTGGGGGCGAGGCTAAGTAGACGAGTGTCGTGATCCACTTTACATACGTACGAGTGATTCCGGGAAACAACTATATACATCAAAGCTGGTGTATGGTTTTAGAAGATTAGATGTATTATTGATGATCGTGGACGCAACCATATAGTACGCCGATTATAATTAAGTGGGAGGTAGAAAAGAGAATGTCACTTTCTACACACTCTTCAAAACCTCTTGTTCATGTACGCGCCAGGGTATCGCGCTGAGCCTCTTGAGCCTCTCCTCTTTCCATCTACAAGTATGGAATGAGCGCAAGTACTATAGACCCACACACTCCCCCCACACCCAATGTGAACATTCACCACAACGCACCCCCATCCCCACTCATCCTAGTCCCCCCCTCATTAAGCGGACTCATCGGCCGCCTCGGCACAACCCTCAAATGGTTCTTACTCTGACTATGCATGATCTTGCACCCCTCGGGGATCAAATGCGCAAGCGGTTGATTCCACGCATACGACTTCCCCGACACCGAGCTCGAGCCCGAATTCGACCGTGCTCGGTGGTGAAATTGCAGCGTCAATTTTGGCGATGACGGAGGGGACGGCGAAGCATTGGATGGAGTTGTCGATGTGGTGGATATGTAGAGAGGCGATACACTAGTTGTGGTTTTGCGCCCGCGGTATCGCGTGCGCGATGCGATTTCTGGGGGGAGGGTTTGGAGGACGGAGAGTCGGGGGGAGGGCTTTCTTGAGGGAGGCGGGATTTGTGGTAGTGGGGGGGTTGGGGGCCTGGGGGAGATATGGTAGAGTCGTGGTGGTACTGTTTTGCTTCTAGATATGTGTGGTGGTGGAGTGATGATGGAGTAGGGGTGGAATGAAGGGATGACATCGGCTTCGGTTTCTTCGGCGAGGCTGTAGAGGGTTTCGCTGTCGATCTCGCGGTGGCGTTGGGAGGCGGTGCTGTTTAGGTATGTGTGGGGTGGGGAGAGTTGGAGTGGACTTGTGTTGAAGATTGATCGCCCGAATTCGGTCATCTCTTGCGTCCATGAGGATGGTCTGGTGGTGACATCTTCCTGCTCAATGGGTGTGATTTCGACCGTGATGTTGGAAGCTGTCTCCGCTGCCTCCGCTGCCTCCTCTTTGGGAACGAATGGCTCCTGGTTCGAAGCGTTAGGAAGCGGCATCCCTGGGACATCGTTTATCAGCGGAGAGGGCCGCTTGTTTCGATATCGTGAAGGGCGCGACACAGGCTTATCACTTTCGCTAATATTTGGAGTCTTCGGGCTGTCTTCGTTTTGAATCCCTGAAGTTACATCGTGTTCGGGCTGTAGATCCCAGTCGTTTTCATCTCCAGCATGGTGTTGATTTATAGAGACAGATTGATTTGGGATCGACTGCGTGGACTCCTCAGCGCGGTTGCACAAAAGACCACAAGATAATCTTCTCAAAGTTTTCCTGAGACTAGGGATGTGAATGATGATTTTCACCATTGAATGTTTATTTGCCCTTCCGAGGCTGGCTTTGGCTTTCGTAAACGTCTTTACCACTGGAATTGGTGGGTATATAGCGGAACAGGAATTCCAAACAGGAGAATGAATGACTGGGATTCGAGGGGTCGGCGAGCGAATTATCGTGGTGATCGATTAGAATGGAGATATTGAAGGTAACGAGAGAAAATTAAAATTAAATTGGAAAACGAGAGTGTGTTCAGTACTCGGAGCGAGAAAGAGAGAGACAACATGAAAGGCGGCTCTATTCATTGACCTCATTATCTGCCGTCGACCATAGTGAAATAGTAGAAAAGGGTAAAGCGGAACAGAGGACACGTTTTTCTAATTTCTTAAATCAAACCCGTGATTTCGGGAATGCCGGACTCAGCAACTGTGATTCGCATATGCTCCCCTCCCAACCGAACAGACCGCTCCCCTATCAAGTCATTATTGAAGTCATCATCGTCTCAAATCGTCCATCCACTCCACTCCATCCACAACTAAGACACCCAATTCCCCAACAGTCCCCCATACGTGCACCAAAGCACATGCTGGGCTCGTAATGCCTTGATCCTACCAATCCCACTGGTCCTCCCGTTCCCAAAACCTCCACCACCCACACCAACGACCCTCAGATCAGTACCCCAATCTACGAAACGATGCTCCTCCCTAACTCTACAGCATTGCCCAACGAGCGTGCGCCAATCGATTTCCAAAAACCCCCCATCCGTCACACTTCCCTTGAAATCGCATCGCACAATAGGAAGAAGCCGCACTACGTTCTCCGTCGTGTCCGACCACAACGGCCATGAACTCGAGGTATTTGCACGACGAAGATCTTGATTGAATGCCCAGTAAGAGGACCAGCCATTTTGATGATGTTCATGATAACGCACAAGATCCTTCTCATCGCGCTGCTGTTGTACATACTCCAGCAGCCGCCGATGCTCCTCGCTATTTGAGGGCTTGATTAATCGTACAGCGTAGTACCCAACATATCTGTCCGCAAAAGAGCCGCAGAAAGAGCTAGCTGCGCGCGTGTAGTGGTGGAATGACGCTGCGATAGTTTCTCCGTTTCCATCCCCGTTCCGTGTCGCGATGTTCGCGTCATTGATGTACAGTGAGTTCCATGGGTTCAAGGGCTTAGCTAGCTCAAACAGGACTTTGGTGGGGTCTGGGTGCGGGATGCGTGAGGGCGTGTAGTAGGTTAATATACGTTCTGGGATGGGAGAGGTGACAGTTGGAGGGTCGAGATATATGCGTTTTGGGTCGGTGCTCTCGTTGCTGTAGAATGTTTCCGGGATGTCATGTCTCCAAGAAACATGTGTTGGATCTGAGGGTGAGGAGGAGGACGTGGGGGGAGTAATCGGGTTTGCGTAGACCAAAGTAGCAAGTTGAAGCCGTGGGATGTAGTTTCTGTAGTAAATCTCCTCCACCCGGAATTTGAAGTCATGGCATACGGGCCGGCAGTTTAGCCAAAGGAAGCCGTCGTCTGAGATATCGACCTCGTCGAGGATCTGGAAAAGGAGCTCTGTAGGGAAGTGTCGGCCTTGGAGGCATCTTGGTACCTCGGCAGAACTTTCCTCACTGTACGTGAGAGCGCATGCCTTGTTGGAAATTTGCGGAAACTTTTCATTGATCAGTTTCGGTGGAAGGAACGTATCGAGAAAGTAGTTAATAAGCCAAACTGAACACGAGACACAGCTCGACAGGATCAAGCCCATGTTGAAGTCTTGTAGCTTGAGATGATTCGAGAGGAAATAAATTGCGCAGAATCTGATTTGAATAGATGCCAACGCGATCGTAATATGCAAACACTAGCGAAAGCCCGTGACGGCCCAAAATGAAAAGGTGCAAGCAACAGGCGTGATATATACGTCACTCAAAGCCCAGCCCAAGCCCATAACATCCGCGCTATCTTACTTCTCAACAGGCGTCAGTTTAATCATTAAAGGCTTTTTGTCCCACAGAATGTAGACGTTCTGGTCAGGCCAGACCGTATCGTCGGCTAGTTCAAGATCGAAGTTCAAGAGGACGCTAGCTAGTATCAAACGCATCTCGTGATAAGCCAGACTAATAAGCAATATGTTATTAGTATTCATTCTTCACCACTAATATCTTCGGATAAATCACTCACTTGCGTCCCAAGCAGTTCCGCGGGCCATGCGAAAAGGGAATGAATACGTGTTTGTGGTCAGAGCCGTACTCCTTTTGACCCTCAGGTATCCAACGCTCGGGGATGAATGAGTCGGCGTTCTTGAAATTGATCTCGCTGTGGTAAGACGCGTACTGTGCAAGAGATACAACTGTCTACGCAAAGTCAGTTTACCGGCTCAGATTTCTCGTATGGATCATTGTCATCAGCACTTACCCCTCCGGGTACCCACTCCCCATTCACTGTCGCGCCACCGATGGGAACTTGACGTGGCAAATTCGTGGGTACTGGCGGGTATATCCGCAAGCCTTCTTCAATGCACGCATTTAGGTATTCCAATTGGGTAATATTGATCAAATCGATATCGTCGGAAGAGTTGAAAGCGCCCCGAACCTCTTTTACCAAACGAGCCATTTTGGACGGGTCTTTCAAGAGATGGTAGGTCATACCACTAAGCTCGGTTGCTGTCGTTTCTGTACCTATTTCGTAGAGTCAGCATTGCCTGTCCAAGCCGATTAACAATCGTGAACAGAGAGGGACCAATTTCCTACCAGCTAGCATGAAAAGCGCGCCATTGCTATGCATCTCACTGGGATACAATGATTCTCCAGAGTCTTTCCCCATATGACGTGTGACATATGTCCAAATATCCGGTCTGTCAGTCTCGCGCGCAAGTCGTTTATCAACACGAGTAGAGGAATGTGCCAAGTGAAGTTTTTGCTTCTCTTTGAGCTTGCGCGGCACCATTTTCTGAAACAATGTTTCGAGGAGTTCCCAACGTCGGATCACGCTGCTTATCGTAATGGTCTTCATGTGACCGAATAGTGCAGCTACCCATTCCGTATACTCGGATCCTTCCAACAGACCCAGCGGCTCCCCAAATGTGAGATCGGCCATAATATCGAAAGTGGTGAAATTGTACCATTTTACCATATCCACTGGCTTCTTCTCTGCCGCACGCTCTTTGAGTTTACTGAGGAGGAGTCCGACGTAGTGCTTGAAAATGTCTTCTTGATCGCGCAAAGCCTTGTCACTGAATGCATGCGACACCAATTTTCGCTGTCGAGCATGGGACTCTTTGTTGGCTCGAATCATACCTGGCGGGCTGCCGTATAGATCTTTGCCATAGAAAACCGATTGTTTCTGGAAATCGGATTTCCCGTGCCCATAGACGCTCTTGACTACGTCGCTCTCGATATAGGACAGTTCGTTAGGCGCATAACGGACAACAGGCCCGTATCTGAGGTGAAGTTCGTGCATCCAGCGAGGAAATGCCCCGTCTAGCTGCTGCTTCTGCATGGTCGCAATGGTGGCGCGGGCCAACAGCGGGCCAGGGTATTTTCTGAGGGGATGCAGGAATACATTGTAGAGTAGTATTGAAATGGTGTAAATGACCTATGACCGACGGTTAGCTCTCTTCCTGTGTCTCATGAGAATTATGAACTAACACCAAGTGTCACCGCAGACAAGATCGTCTTAGTAACCGAGAATTCTATCGCCATGGCGTTCGTAACCCGTGATATTGTGTAAAGACCAAAGTCGCCTAATGTCGCATATCGGAAATTCTGACGAGGGGTTCTTGGAATTTATAATTGAGTCGCGTGGGCCAGATGATCGGAAAGGATGCTAGAACCTTGTTGGCAGGAGAGAGTGGTTAGTGGAAAGCAGCTATCTAGGATGTCTCGCCCGGCTGGCAACGCATTCTTTTTTACTCCCCCATGATTCGCAGGTCATAGCTGTCACCATAGCAAGCCATGCGTGAAGGATGCTGATAGGATGTGGCTGCGTACTCGTGCGTGCTACCCACATTTTGTGCTACCACTGTTTCGGTGAAAGGATTCGCGAATCTTTCATCTAACAAAACTGAGGTCTTCGGCCGATGCTGCTGCTTCATCTTTGATCCTCGGCCGATGTACCCCTCCTTCACCTGCTCATCTACCTATCTAGTGATCACATACTGCATACAGACATGTAGCAGGCATCCGTCGTAGACTCTGCACTGACACCCCTTCACGACACCCCGAAAAGAGCTCTCCGCATCAAAAAGTGCAGTGCGCCAGCTAGACCCTCCACCTTTACCCTCCATCATCCGGCTATTTCTCCCAGTTTGTAGCGAGAAGAGTTCTAGATGAGGGAAAGTCTGCCGATGGGAATAGAGGCGAGTGTGGATCCCGGCACTAGTTGACTTAGAAAACGGCAGCCACTGCCGTCGACGGGATCCAACCGGTACCCTCTTCAAGGGAGTATCCGAGACTATATTCTAGGAACAATTTAAGGGCATTTGTGATAGTATATTCATTTGTTGTTTATCTGGGCATTTCGTCTTGAAGGCGAGGTTTCTGGAAGACGCAAGCATTCTTGTGGATGATTCGCAGTGCAGTACCCGATATTCCAAGCAACGATCAGCAAAGCTAAACAACATGATTCGATCAAAGCACTAGATTTCTAATACTACTATACATTCAGCTAAGTACTGCATCTCATGGGTATATCGACAGAAAACAAACATAAACCACTCAGAAATAAGAGGTAAAAAGATACATGCAAGCAAGGACGCGCCTCACCCTCCGACGCTCCATCCCGACCGTCCATCTTTTGCGTGTTGACCCCTGGCAAGGTGTCGCATTTCCGATCCTCCGCTCTCTTCACGTCCTCCACGTCCTCCATTAAGCTATCTGCTCTCTTTCGCACTATTCGCCCGTAGCTCTTTTGATTGCTCTCCAAGATTGCATGCAAGTGTAAGGCTCCACTGCATGACATCCTTAGGTATGGGTTGTTCAGGACCCTGGACGAGATCGCTCCAAATGGCATGGGCTCTGGATTTTGGCGCTAGTATCTGTATGTGCTTGTGTCGTAATGAAATTTTGTCTCTCCGACGCGATCGAGCCGAGTCCAGTTTGAGTCCTCGTTCTCTAATGAGAGAGGTTGCCGCGAATCCCGAGCCACATCGTACAACGAAGCAATCGACCGTACAAAAACAATCGATCGTACAACGGAGTAATCGATCGTACCATTTCGCTCCGAGATCGCGGCCGTAATATTCTTTGACCACACCCATTTGTTGAAGCAACGCCGGCCGCTTTCGAGTGATAGTCGGCTACGGTAATAGAGCTCAGTCAATCCCACTCCCCACAGCGACCCACGGAGGTCAAACTTCTGGGGTTTACTACTAATCAGTGAGAGACGTGTCATTTTGTCTACGCGACTCAGTCTCTCGGTTTTGCTCTCGCGCTCTCGAAACTCTCATCACACCAGTCTTCCCGTTGAGCTCGATCTCTGCTGCTGCAAGTATACCTCACTCAACGGACTCACAGACAGGGGGCTGACGCCTACAGACGAACGTCCCTCGCTGGCACTCAGTGGGGAAAGAACGTCACTGCCCATCGAATAATATCGGCCTTTCTTTCCCACTTTTTGGGGTTTCTTTTCGGTGTTCATCAGGGTCAATTGCGGTCGCTGCAAGGACGTGTCAACTTCCCCAATGTTTTCGCTCGGAGGTAAAGTGTTTTGCGACCGCGTTTCTTCTATTATCGGTGTGTCATATAGATTATAAGATGAATCTGGTGGGGGGGGTGGTATGGACGGTGCTTGTGTAGGTAGCGGTGGTATCGACGTTGTTGCAGTAGGAGAAGACGCCGACTCCGAAGATCCTAACGCTTTCGTCCATTTCGCCCAATTCCTCAAAACCACTCCCTGGCTCTGGCTCTGGCTCCGCTTCAACGCCTCCTCATCCTCCGCCGAGCGTGGCGCAACCCCTCCGCTATCCACTGCATTCGCCTCGAGCTCTTGCACATTGACTTTGGTAGGCAATTCAGGCATCGGCCCTGCACCGTCGAGTTCATGGATACTCCGCGCATCTGCCTCGACGGCTGGAAACTGGCGCCAGTACTGAAATGCTGGTTTCTTTTCTTGGTTTGGGTCTTCGCTAAAAGGCAGCGGTTGTTGTTCAATGTCGGAGGTAGGGTTTTCGAGTTCTTTTGCTTTCTTTTCGCGGAGGAGGCGTCGGCGGCGTAAGGCTAGGTATGTGACGATTGCAATGATGATGATGGTGAGGCTTGCTACTACGCCGATTCCTATCCCGCGCTTCATTCCCGGGAGGGAGGAGGACGAGGGGGAGGAGGATTCCTGGGGTTGAGGCGCCATTGTGATATATTGTGAAGAGTAATTCTTCAGTCACGAAGGCTACTCATCCAATGAACATTCACTCATGTGAACAAAACGAGGATGCAGATATGCGCAGAATTATTCAATAAGAACGAAGCTCAACAGGCAAGGAAAGAAACAAACAGGTGTGGAAAAACAGCAGAAAAACCCCAAGACTTTTTGGGGCGGAGGAGGGAGGAACTGGCGGATCCCACCCATCTTTTAGTTACCTACGACGACCTGGCTCTCCCCGGAGAAAAATAGATGGTGCTGAAACGAAATCGTACGTGCGGTTGCGGCGCAGCCTTGCTTTGCAGGTAATGGTACAGACAAGGCATGGTTTGGCGGCTGAAGCGAGGCGTTTCCGCAACAACATGTTGATCACCGTTCCGCGCCCACCCCCCTCAGCTTTCACGCAAATATCTGATTCCAAATCTTCTATGATAGTAGGAAGATTCGAAAACAATGGGAACGCACAATTATACTGTCTGTTCTTCCTACTGAACAAAATCACAATTCGCCGACCTCAATAGGATGAATAAGACTGACCCCCCTCCCCTGCAACTCCGCCCCCAAACTCTCTCTCCCATGCAAGCATCTTTTCTAAGACCTTTCCCTCTTCGCGCCGCAGCTCCACCCGAGCAATAGCGCGAGCTTTCGGGCTTCACGAAAGCACAGCCAATCGATTCTTCGAACCGATCACCTACCCTCCCCTGGCTAATTCTGCCTGTGCCTCGCCCCCGTTGCGATCGTCGCTAGCCTGGTCACCACCTTTTCTCAGGCAGGAATATCTCATGAAGGAATCGAATAAATGATAAGCGTTGAGAAACAGGTGTGGTGGCTTGTCTCTGAACACGATGGTGGCGGTTTTATCTGGGGTACTCTATGTCTGGGTTGGTCAGTTAGGCAATTTTGGGGATTCTGCCTTTTCTCGTGTAAGAGGCGTACCAAGCACCACGAACAAACTGTATACATAACCCAGTGTATGCTCAACATCCCCCCTTGATTTGCTATAGCACTGACAGTGGCAATCATTTGTCGTCGTGTATTATCTGATTCTGCCAAACAAGCAGCCCCCACCTGTTCACTCACCCACCCACGGATCCCTTGTCCGTCCCTCCGCATCGTCCACAGCTAGTCCCATTGCTTCCTAAACACCACAGCAGATAAACTCCTCAAACCCAGAGGCAAGTCCATACAGTCTTCGCATGAACGTGAACAAGATTAAGGCATGAAATCAGTCCACTTAAGAAGCTCTCATTCACATCCCGTCCCGTTCCCCCTCGTTGCATTAGCAAATCGGTATACCCCCGAACCCTCAGGAATTCTCCGATCCAAAATCTGCGACAGCCTCAAACCGCTTCTACGTAGCGTAGCAGTCCGACTTTGCGTGAGAAAGGAAAAAGAAAGTAGCGTCATAAAATCATCACCCACGCAGGTCTATCTCGCACGGTAGTACACACCATGAATGTAACGTAGATGCTCGCATCTTCGTCCTTCCCCCTCACTCGTTTCAGGACTTTTGTGAAACTCGGGAGACGCTTTTGTGCTTATCTTCCCTCGAAAAGAATCTACAGAAAATACGCGCGCTAGAGTGTGAAGCAAAATACCGTATTTTCAATTGATTAATTGGTATTGAAGCCGAGAGGATTGGAGCACTGTCAAGCTGCGCAGGCTTAGACTATTGCTGATACTAATTCTAGAAAGAAATGGGAATTGCGCACAATCCCACAATCCTTCCTGGAGGCTTGTAGTTGCTGATGGCACAGCTTGCTTATGGATAATGGGCGTACCTGCTACGCCGCAGGTCTGCATAGTCCGGTGTTCCGTTTCGCGCTGTTGCCCAAATCTAGTAAGCTAGGTTCAGTCTAGATGCCAGCTGCGGGCGGCAAGGCAAAGCGGTGTGCATCAACAATGACAATGACGAAAAGCTCTTTTGTAACGATGACGAAGTTGATGGGGATCATGAAGCTGGACCACCAGAGGAATAAAAATTGGGCGAGCTCTAGACTCCCAGCCGTGCGACTGTACATTGTTGGCGACATAGGCTTGTCACGTGATGATCATCTCGAACACGTGACATTGGTGCCGACATCTCCAGGGCATGACGCCCAAGCGCATTGCCTGCGCTCCTTTGAAGAGTCTAGAGAAGCTAGAGGTCCAAATTGCGCACAAAAAATGCGTGTGGAAACAATGAGGCGAGGTGTGGATTATTATCATTGCGCGATATATTTCTGCTCTGGGCCAGGAATCAAAGTCGACGTCTCACGATCAATGATAGCAGGTAAATGAGACGAGATAGTTGGCACATCCGACTCATACGTGCTGTGAACCTCAGGCGTGAGCACTATCCTAACTCGTTTGGTGTCTCGTTCACTGTCCAATAGTGTGACCGTTGCTTTCGTGTATCTGGGATCCGTTGTTTCCGGAATAGTCACAAGAGTGCACGAGGACTTGGTTCCCGACTCAGTGTCAAGCCGTGTAAGTTGAATGCCGTGAGAGTATCCCAGTTCTTCGGTGTGCGCGGGCGATATGGACAAGGCCATGTTAGCTTCGGGATCTACTATGGTAGATGAGCTATCGACATTGTATGACCCGTTAGCGCTGGAAATCATCATTTCGAAAGAATCCGTCGGGGTATGCTCGAGCTTGCGCTTCTTTTTGAGACTTATTTGTGGAGGAGATGCCGGGTTGGACATGTCGTCTTCTGTAACCTGCCACGGAACGGGGAAAATGTGTGGATGGGATTGATCTCCGAACTTTATGACATAATATTTGCCACACTGGGAGAACTCGATATTGCTGCAATCAAACGGGTTTGGTGGATGCGCGTAAAACTCTTTTCCTATCAACTTGTCAGGAATTTAACGGGACAAGCCATTGTCGAAGCAACTCACCTGTCCTGATGTCCCTGAATATTAACCTGTGACTGTGAAGTGTCATAAACTTCAAGTCAACAGGGTGTATTGCAAAAAGTGGCAGCCTGGTAACTCCTTCTAATTCCTGGCCCTCTACCAAAAGACTTTGGATTCTCGAGTAGGTCCGTTCCAGACGAAATGTGACCAAAGAGCCGAAAGAAGTATGCATATCCCAATCTCTGAATATGGCATAAGAATTGTCGCTACTGAATGCCCATTCATAAAAGTAGGACAGGGTGGGCATGATGGCCTTTTTAGACCATGTGCGACACAGACGCTCGGAACCGTCAAATTTCGCGACATCCGTGAGGATTCTGTCCTGCTTATTCGACCTCTGGAAAGCTGGATTGGTTGTAATGAAAGTCCTCAAGATGATAATGGTGCTCAGATCCGAGCTTATAGCCATTGGAAACTTGAACTTCCAGGCTCTCACTACGGAAAGCCTGAACGAAAACTGCATCTGGAGACGGATCTCGTCAGGGCTTAGAGAGAAATGCTCTGAGAGTAGCGTTTCGTTCTCTTCTCCAATTCGATGGATCTGGTATTGGCCGGACCACCCACTGCAGAGCTCCAGAAGTCGTGTGTCGTCGAAGGACTCAAACCAGTTTTCTTCATATTTCACAGGTTTACTTCTCCACACTTCCTCGAAAGCGCTGTGCAATCGGAGTTAAAGGTGCTTTCATCAAAAATGTCAAGAAATCTGGAAACTTACATGGAAGGGAAGATAGTCAGCTTTCCAATCATGGTAGAACTGCTGTTTTTCGATGCTATGCAAAAAATGGGATCTACTTGCTTAGTCGGGTGATCTTCTCGAGAAGGCGCGAACGTTGCGATGGCGTCCGTCTGATTCTGGGCGAGGAATTGGCTTTTGGTGAAGGAGGAAACGTCGCCCCAGATTCGGTGTGGCCATTCCTTGAGGATACTTCTCCAGTGCTTATTGATCTGCTCTACATCTTTCTTGAACAATCCTAAAGTTTTCAGAGTCGGGTAAAACTCGCCAAAGTCTGTAGGTTCGCTGGAGGACGCGGGGAGCTCAGACGGAATATCCAACACTGTACATAGGGGAACGCCATTTCCGAATAGATAGGAAGCTTCAATCCAGACTGTGATGTTGCCTGGGTGGTTCAAAAATCTGTCGATCAGGTTGAACATTTCTGCTACCTCATCGCGTCTTTCTGGCCTTGTAGTATACGCCCGAGTGGATTCGATACTTTCAAGCGTGTGTTTCGGCCAGTACAGTGCTGCATATGATAGAAGGGGACATTCTTCTTGGAGCAAAGTCGAACTGGCTGGACTAGATAGACGTCCTGCTAGTGGCTGAGCTGGAATAGAGTAGAGCAAGTATGACAGACACCGGCTTGCGATTTCAGCGTGTGCTTCTGAGGCAGGCGATAGAATGTGGCTCATTACTTTGGACTCCTCGGAAAGAACATGTTCCTTAGCAGTGAGATGAACGAACCGCAGAATGTTGTCATGACGTTTCTCAATCAGGCCACAGCATACAACAATGACAGAATTGTCTATGAACTGCTTCTTTTCTGCCAGATCTTCTTGCTGCGTTTCGCAATACACCACCTCGCTGTACTCTTCAACCGTCAGGTCCTTTTGGGCGTAAGTTATCCAGTTAAAGGTCGTAAGTGCAAGCTGCTGGCTAGGGTGGTCCATGGATTTGATCTGGTCACATATCCTGTCGTACATTTGGCGCAAGCCGATGGGTGTGGTCTTGAAGATGGTTGACATTCTTTGCGACTTGGTTAGAGCGGGAGATCTCAAGTAGCCAATCATCAGCCTTGCCCACAGGAACATCCCATCGGCTCGTTCTACAATCTGATTCTCTACCGAGAGTAGGTCTGTATCTGCCGGGAACTTATTTCGTTCGTTGAGGTCCGCGATTTGATGTTTGACAAATACATGTATGTCAACGCTCATTATGCTCCGGATCATAGTTATGGTCTGATGCGAGGAAAGAATGTCGCGAAGAGGGGCTACATGGGGTCTGCTGAACATTACAAGTTTCGCCGAAGATGCCCTGCACAGACCGCGGAGATCAGCCAAAAACTTGTCTACGTCGCACATTTCGTCCAGACCATCCAAGACTAAATAGAATTCCGATAGCAGTGGAATGATCATGCTGAGTATATCCCGAAGTTCGTGCTCCGAAGCTACAGAGTTGCTTCCATCATTCGCGAGTGCGTAAATGTTGTGGATCTCTTCCATACCGTGGCATCTCTGAAATATTTGGGATGCAATCGCCCGATAAACTCTAGTGCGAGCAAAAGAGGCCGCCGCGGTATCTTCCTCGTTAAAAAAGTAATAGCATATGACTGGTTCGGTCCCGTTTGATGCTTGTTTGGATTCCAATTCCTCGACAGTTGAAGCAGCCATGACGCTTTTGCCCCAGCCTGGATTTCCTAGAACATGCAAGTCAGAGACGTGTAAAATGCAAAGGGATCCAACATACCTTGGATCCAGAGCATGCAATCCGAAAGACTATCGCTCCTACTGGCTGACATGGAGTCCCATCTCCTATATTTTGGATCTTCAAAAAGCCACTCTGCGGTACCTTCCTCTCGCGCCTCCAGTGCATTCTCAAAGTTCTGTTTAAAGTGCGGGGGTGCAAGCCAGGTTACGACTTGGGCACGAAATGCGCCTAAAAAAGTCAGTCGATCAGCATTTCAAGTGTTAATACCTCCTAACTCACGTTGCGCATGCTCAGAAAACAGTTCTTTGATATCGTTCGTGAGTTTGATATTTCTATGCGCTTCCAAGCGCGCATCTTCGGCTCTTTTCCGCTCGAGGTCTGATTCCAGCCGGGCCCGTTCAGCTTCCTTCTGTTCGGAATCCATCTTGTGTTGCATAGTCTGCATGAACGCTAGTTGCAGTTCATCTTTGAGGACAGACTGATGGTGGTTCATTCGCTCAAGAATATCTTGGAAGCGAGTTTCAAAAGGACACCACATTAGCTCAGCAATAACTACGGGTGTTCTTTTGAGTTCTAGCCAGAGACATATTAGTAAGAGACAAGTACATAGCAGGTATTCTGAAACATACTCCCGCACGGCTTTGTGAATACGCCGCCTACTGCCTGAAAGAAATCGAGAATATCGACATAAAATCGCATCAAGGAATCTGAAAGTCTATGCGAGACACGGTACTTGGGGGTCAAAATGACTGACTCATAGTACTCCGTATAGTGAGGTAGCCTCGTTGTGAGCTTCTCAATCAACTTAGTCAACTTTTCAAAGAATGTAGAAAAATTCGAGGCAAGCTTTGCAACTTTGTTAGTGGAGACGGAAAGTTGGTGTTACAAGCTTCCTTACTTGGAGAACAAGGCGAAAGGCGCCCCAAGCCACACAAGACCACTCAGGATTGGACTGACAGACGATCTCGATAACTTTAAAGTATGGCGACAAGCATTCGCTAAATCTATGAATCTTAGTCATCATAGGCAGTCCTCTCCGAGCTTTGGGTAGGTGGTTGAGGGCCCGAATATCTGTAAGAAGCTCGTCGGCGGATTTGCAGGGAGAAAAACTGCGTCGTTCCTCCGGTGTCAGCGTGGCCAGGAAGCTTGTCTTCGCATTACTGAATACACTGTCCAATTCGATGTTAGTCGAAGATTTCAACGGTGTTACAGGCGCAGAGTAATCTTTGTGACCTTGTGCCATTTTCACGGCGATGGAGGCGCTGTCGAATCCTGCTGAGTGTGTCTGGTGATGCCAGCCTAATATGTTTCGATGGGTCAAGGTCGCGTCGGCCGCGCCCCCTGCGATGCCGCGCTGCCTGCGCCTCACTGCCTATCCAGCTAGTCTATTCTTGAATAACTCTAAGGAAACTCGCATATCCTACAAAGTGCAAAGAAAAATATCTTATGTTGTGAGGCAAAACTAGAGCAATATCACGGCTTCAATTATCTCTACTCTAGCTAATCAATCTTCACGATATATATGAGATTCGACATTCGTTATTCTTGTAACTCTTGCTATTTCTCAGCACCTTTCTCAGTCTCCAAAAATATTTTCTTACTTTATGAAGGGCTGAAGGGGATCTGTGAGGAAGGATTTGTGACGACGGCTAGGCCTAGTGGAGTAATGGTGGTGAGTAGTCAGAGCAATTCATCACCTCATCGTACTTCTTCGTTGACTGGCTGGCACAAATATTCTTCATTTGGATTCTCTATACCATACTTTCATTGCGAGGAAAGATAACGCTAGCTTCCTTCTTGGTACTTGCGACATACTTCGTATTCTGTCCAAGCTCACGCTCGGAGCCTGGAAGCCGCTCCATATTGTGAGGATAAAAATCAGGTTGTCGGTCGCTTCTACTTCTGCCGATTCTGGACTTAATCGAGCTGGCATACCGACCGACGGCATTGGAGATCGGGGACCAGACGGGCTTATACAGAGGAAGGCAAGCGCACACGATAGCGGTAGCATCATGGATGTTCGTCCACTGCTCAGCCTCGGGGTGTTTGACTATCGAGGTCAGCTATATGTGATGATTGGGGCATTGAAAGACTTACTCCACCGCGAATTAGGGTGGTAGACATAGACGATTCTCATGATCTGAGCTACCACGACAAATCCACCAAGTGCAAAAATGCTCGCGACAGCGATCTTGGTCCTAGTGGGCAGTTGCAGTTTGAAAGCCATACGAATCGGAAGTGCGAGGATAGCGGCATCGATGAAGAGATCCACAAGCCCCATCCCAAGGTACATCTCGTTGTAGTTGTAGCATCTTCCTGATTTCGATCGGTCCCAGAATGCATTCAGTGGTATGCAGGTCAACAAGTTGGCGACTTGAATCGCAATGAAGTGGGCTGTAGAGATGGCGATGAGAGACACTGAAATTCGTTTGTATCCGCTAGTGACGAAGAATATCCGCCAGTAGAACATAAGAATCGACATCTTAACGCAGTAGACTGAAGTGATGGCGAACGTATAAGCCAAGAGGATAGACTGCGCAACAAATCAGCAAAGTTGCCCAGTACCCCGTCGCCTGGATCGTACCTCGAGGTATGTCGACATAATCTTCAACGCCGCAGGATCTTGCTTGAGTACAGCCAGGACTCCCACGACACCGTGCTCGCCGCCGCCCGTTATGACAAGACCCCATATTCCGAATGCCACAGCAACGCAGTAGCAGGAGAGCGCAGCGAGAATCCAGTAGTCGTCCGCCTGGATACCCGTCTTCGTACGCAGCTTGCACAAAAGCCTCACCGCGACCGCCACGGTCGCGAGGACCGCCAAAGCCACCAGAGCATCGAAAGACGTTTGGCCCTCAGCGTTGAGCTCCAGCATGATTGATTTTAGAACATGAGAGATTGGGGTTCGATAACAAGAAGCAGGGCAACTTGTGCAGCGATAAATGATGGTTGGAACCTGTATTTCGACGGCGGCAAGTACCGTGGCTGTGGACGCTTCCAAACCCTACAAATCTGACATAGACATAGGGGCACAATACGCGGGGCATATGATTGGACCTGTCGAATCCCGAGTTCGGATCCCGAAGAGTGAAGATCTTCAAGGGTAGGCGCACAGGTGCGTCGGAGGCAGTTGTTCCTTTCGGCATGTGCTTGGGGCCGAAAGAACAAGACCATGGTGCAGTCAGGGAGTCCTTCGCACAGTGTATGATTGGGAATCAGATTAGATACATGGAACTTCATTGAAAGTGCGATATCTTCAAGCAGATCACTTGGTCTATGTCAAACGATTATTTTTGGCTCGCACGTGCGCCTGGACCTATGTAATCAAGCATTTGAGAAGACAGGCCAGTCGGCTTCGCCGTGCAGGGGTGCAAAGACAAAAGCAACATGCGATCTGCCTCGAGCAGAACTGTGGGGAAGTTCGGAGCCCACCAAACAGGAACTGCCAATATTTTCCTGAGTTGAGTATTTGCACCGTGACGTCGGCAACGTACCTGGTGCGCAGGTGTATGAAAATAGATTGAGGGTGTGTGCTATCTATCCCGAGTCGTATCGCTCCAAATCCGGAAGCTCGTGTGGCGTAGGATAAATTGATGTGACACTGTGGAGTTATAGCCGCGAAATGGAGCCTGCAGAGGACTCACATTATTCTTGGTCAAAGGAAACTGACTCTCGAATGGCGAGAAAAAATGAGTCTACTCGCCTCGTATCTGGCATGTTGGGTAAAAAAACTTCTTTTTCATGATCAACCGTATGAAGGATGGGTTCGTTTCAAGATGGTACTTCATTCTGATCGTTTGTAGTTGCAAGAAACCACAGATGGTTTATCCCAGACCTCTCACATTTTACCTTTTAGTTCAGGGGGACAATTCTACGTATTTTCGATAATACCGTTAAACTATGTCGCAGTCGCGTGATCAGTGCTGCGTATAATACAGAAGCTGCCGAGAGGAATTGTTCCCCAGAAAGAATTCCAAAGCAGCCCTTTCGTCCTCAATTTATCATCGCACTTGCACTCCGCTATTGGCTTGTATCCTCCAAATTGTCCGCTCTATAGCGCGGGCACTTCCAACCACACCCGCACGATTCTCGACATTGGGAACTTCTAAACCCCCGTCGTGAACGAACACCTCTCTCACCTGATCCTTGCATAATTTAACCAGACCCTCAGATTCCGCGCAGTCCGCAAGCCCCATGATGTGCGCGGTGGGAATGCAGATCACTTCCCCTACAGTCCCGTGGTCCAGATTACTCAGCTTGCCATCAGCAAGAAGATCAGGGTCCAGTGGAGCTTGACCGGAGAAAAAGACAGCCATCCCAATACCCAGTGATTTCGGGTTTCTGCGCGCTTGACGCACCAAAAACGTCGACGCAAGAACGCCGGCATCAGAGAACGCAATCAACCCATCGAATGGCCCTTCCAGCTCGACATAACGCTCCAGGTCATTCAGGGCCGCCAGTAAAGACTGTGGTGAGTCGGGTTCGAAGTAGGCGAAGTTCCTTGCATCAGGAGACAAAGTAGACGTAACCCCTGCAAGTTTTTTTTTTAATTAGCTGGCGGCGCTGTGGTGATGCACGAAGGTCGGAAAATACCCAAATCTGCCTTGGCGGCAAGTGTACCCTCCACGAACTCATATTGATGCCGGCCTCCGAGTTGATAGCGGATAGCGCCTATGTGGGACTTTGTTAGGTGAGGAATGTTTTGAATTTTGGTGTGGAAGCAACTCACTGAGCTGGTCTTCGAATGTTTGTGCATTTGAGCCGGAGGCGTGGAGGCAGAGAACCCGCATTATGAGAGATGGATACTCACATGAGTACTCAGCAGAGTAGAAATAGACTCGTAACTGGCCGTCTCACGACTGCGTCTTCAATATCTTCGTAACGGATATCAAGACCGTTTAGTATCTTCAGCCCGGAACCTACGTAATCATGTTCTTCCAATGAAATGCGCCACTACCATGCATCAGCCTGGTGGCTACAGGTGGCTAACTTTTCGCATGTGACGATCTTCTACCAGGTCTGTCCAACCTCACTTAAACCTGCCGCGAGCCAGTCTTGATCCATGGTCGCTTCCGGGATCTGACATACGGGTTGTTTTCCTGTTCAGTGCGGGCCTACGTCACTGTCGAAAGGGTACACCCCAAACGAGTGTGGGTTAGCAGTTTTGGGGTGCGTGATCGCACTTTTTGGCCCCATCCTACACGCCATTTTATTCCTCAAAGTCAGTGTGGGAACCTTGGGTGTCCTTTTCGATACTTATGTTGTTGTATTGGTTTTTAGGATTTTATCTTCGTCTTCAACACTCGATTCTGAGTTGTTTTTCGAAGTTCCATCTTGAATCCTAGCACTGAGACCGCGCCTCTGGGCACGGGATCGCAACCACTACCACCCTCTACTCAAACGTCAACGACCTCAATGTTCGATATGCAGCCGAAACTCACCACTCCCCTCCAGCCAAAATCAACAACACCACTAACCCCTGCATCCTCATCCCCTATCAACAATGGCACTCCAGCTAATGACACCATCGCCATCGTCGGCTTCTCACTCCGCCTACCCGGCGATGCCACTTCTACTGATGCATTCTGGAAGATGCTCATGGAGGGCCGAACAACAGATTCTGAATTCCCGACGGACAGAATATCACATAAAGCGCATCACTGTACAGATCCAAGTGTGATGGGCACAGTAAGATCTACCCTCTATCGCAGTGCACAACCAATGCTGATTGTACGCAGATCCGTTCCCAGCACGGAAGTTTCCTTCAAGACGACATAGCTGCTTTTGACTCACAGTTCTTTGGATATTCAGAACAAGAGGTCATGGCGATGGATCCGCAGCAGAGGATACTGTTGGAGACAACATATCATGCACTCGAAAACGGTGAGTCAAGTTCGCTTGACAATACAAAAAGACACGAAACCATCATCTTGATCACATTGCTCTTCGCGATTTCCAGTCGACTTTAGTCTTGGATCTCGTGTCGTGAATGACCAGCTCAAGCCGGCTTTGTCATTCATAGCTTTTACTATTCTGCAAGCCGTTGCGGGGGGTAAGCATTGTACTAAAAAATTTGTAGCTGGTATGCCTCTCGATAGAGTTTACGGAACCGACACTTCCGTCCACACTGGTTGCTTTAGTGCAGACTACCTCCTCATGACTGGCAAAGATCCCGAACTCATGCCCAAATACAGCGGCACCGGTGTTGCGGCAGCAATGCTTTCAAATCGCATAAGTTCTTTCTTCAATTTTCGGGGCCCGAGTCTAACGATAGATACGGCGTGTTCGAGTAGTCTTGTTGCGCTTGATCAGTCTTGTCAGTCTCTGAAACTAGGCTCGAGCTCTATGGTGCGTCAAGTACATGATTCCACCGCATGTTCAAGGCTGACAATTTCTTTTCAGGGGGTCGTGGCAGGCTGCAATCTCATATTCTCACTTGACACAACAATTGGTCTCTCAAACCTGGGTTTCCTCTCCCCACAGGGCGTAAGTTCCAGCTTCGACTACAAAGCCGACGGATACGGTCGCGGCGAAGGCTTTGGCGTCGTAATATTGAAGCGACTGGCAGACGCTGTGAGAGACGGAGATACCGTCAGAGCTGTCATTAGGGGAACTGGAACTAATCAAGACGGTGACACGCCGCTTGCGCAACCAAGTAGAGAGGCGCAGGCGCGATTGATTAAGAGTGTTTATGAGAAAGCGGAACTGGATCCGGCTGAGACGCGATATGTTGAAGCACACGGTATAGTCATGATGTTGGTCTGGATTAGGTGAAATTCGGCACTGATGTCTGCAGGCACTGGAACCGCTGTAGGCGATCCTTTAGAAGCGACAGCAATCGGGCTCTCATTCGCTTCGAAAAGACCCGCAAACGAAGGCGTATATGTTTCCTCACTCAAAGCCAACTTTGGGCATTTGGAAGGCGCAGCAGGAATAGCCGGACTGATCAAAACCGTCCTCGTTCTGGAGTACGGAATGATACCACCACTGGCACGACTAGAGAAAGTGAACCCGAATATCGATGTAGAGTTTCTCAAGATCCAATTTCCGACAGAACCTAAGCCGTGGCCTGAAGATGGGGTACGGCGTGCATCAGTGAACTCGTTTGGGTTTGGTGGTACAAATGCGCATGCTATTGTGGAAGATGCATACCACTATATGCAGAAACTTGGGATCGAGGGGAAACATCGCACAAGAATTTCCCGTCTTGGACAAGACACTACATCCAGCGATAATTCTGGGAAAGACAATGTAATTGCGAGCCCCACGGAGAGTGGGCCGTCAAAGCCACAAGTGCTTGTGTTCTCTGCACACGAAGAGTGGAGTTTAACGGAGAATATGGAGAATCTAAAGTCTTCTGAAGGGTTTCAACAACAACAAGAATTCTTCGATAAACGAAACGCACTTCCTTCGTTAGCACACAATCTGCTTACAAAAAGATCACTGCTTCCCTGGAGAAGCTTCGCTGTCGTCGATTCGAATCAACATCTGAAAAATCTCTCAGTTTCCAAGCCTATTCTGTCGCTGCCCAGGAACCAGCTCTCACTTGCTTTTGTATTCACTGGCCAGGGTGCCCAGTGGTGCAGAATGGGCAAAGAACTCTTTGCATATGAAACCTTTCGCCAAAGCGTCGCGGGCGCGACTTTATACCTAAACGAGCAGGGCTGTGATCTGGAGCTAGAAGCCGCTTTGACAGGAACTCTCGAGAGTATCAATCAGCTGGACAGTCCCGATTTCGCACAACCTGCATGCACCATCATACAAACAGCTCTAATTGATCTCTTAGCCTCCGTTAATGTCCACCCATCGGTCGTTGTGGGTCACTCTTCTGGCGAGATCGCTGCTGCATATGCAGCAAGGGCAATCTCACGAGAGAATGCTTGGAAGCTGGCATGGCTTAGGGGAAAGTACTCAAAAGAGGTGGCCTTGAATCCAGATACTCACGGTGCGATGGTCGCCGTTGGATTGTCGGCGGAACAAGCACACGACTACATATATTCGACCCATGCGGCGCTTGGGCCGGGAACTCTGACTGTTGCTTGTGTCAATAGCCCTACCAATGTCACTGTTTCGGGGAACAAACCCCTTGTCGAAGCGCTCACACACAGAGTCCAACGGGATGGCCATTTCGCGAGGCTACTCAAAGTTCCTGTTGCATACCACAGCGGTCATATGCATCAGATCGCGGACTTGTATTGCGACGCCATTGGATCATTGGACCCACAAGTGTCCACCTCTTCAAGATATGTTAACATGGTATCCTCTGTCACTGGTCGCCCGATATCCCACGCTGAGCTTCGCGACCCATCATACTGGGTGCGCAATCTCACATCTGAAGTCAAGTTCCAACACGCTATGAGTCACATCTTCTCCACACCAGCACAAAGAAAAGTCAAGAAGCTCAACCTCTCTCATCGCGAAGTCATCTGGGCTACCGATATACTGGAGATTGGACCGCACAGCGCTTTAGCCGGACCAATTCGCGATTGCCTCCGACCACTCCCACACACCAAAGATGTCAAATACTACTCCACACTAATCCGGAATCAAGACGGAGCCAAATCCGTGTTGACGAGCGTTGCAATGTTGCACTGTCGGGGGTACTCTCCCGACATCGTCCAACTGAACGACTTCCTTGAAGAAGATCTCACACCCATTCCCGACCTCCCTCCCTATCAATTCAATCACAGTAAAACTTTTTGGCACGAGCCGCGACTAAGTAAAACTCTCCGCTTCCGACAGCACGGAAGAGATCCCTTCGTGGGTACCCCGTCCGCAGACTGGAACCCCTCAGACGCGCGCTGGCGACACTTCCTCAGACTCGAAGAAGCACCCTGGATTGGTGACCACGTGATCAATGGCAGCATCATCTACCCTGCGGCGGGTATGCTGACTATGGCTATCAACGCCGCACTACAGCTATGCAATGACGATGGGGTGAACGTTGCTGCATTTGAGTTATCCGACATTGCGTTTCATTCAGGTCTTGATCTTTCTGACAACTCGGAGGTTGAGGTCCAAATGCACCTTGTGCGGCAAGATAGTGGCGGAAATAGTGCAGCGCCAAGTTTCCTTTGGGCGCTACGGGCGTATCGCGAAAAGTGGAGCGAGATATCTCGAGGCAAGATCAGAATTATCCCAGCGGTGGATGGAGGGAACGCTGTAGATGGAAGCACCGAACAAGAGCATTTGCGTGTGCGAAGCAAGGGAGTATTTGACACTATATGCGCACATCCGATGAAGCCTATTCAGGGTGAGGTACTCTACGATCGTCTGCGAGATTGCGGATACCACTTTGGGCTGAGTTTCAAACGAATTCAGAGCGCAAGACAGGCCAGTGGCAAAGCATGGGCGGAGGTCAACATACTCAAGTCACCCAGTACAGAAACGCCAGCAATCATTCATCCAGCAACACTTGATGGCATTCTGCAGATCTTACTTCCAGGAGCGACTGAGCATGGTAAAGAATCACGTCTAAGAACATCAGTGCCGACAAGGATCAATCGACTTTGGATCTCTAAGAATGGACTTGTTCATGGAGATGCGAACCCCATTGAAGTTGCTGTTTCGATGAAGCAAACAGGATTCCGGAATACCAGCGCTGACATCGTCGCTTTCGCTGAGAATGGTGATCTGCGTGTCGTTGGTGACGGTATTGAGACAACCGCCATTACTGACAACACTGAAGACTCTACCGAAGGAACCGATGCACATAATAGAGTGTGTTGGAATATCTTGCGGAAGCCGGACATCGATCTCTTCCAGACTCCCGCTGCTATTGAGAAATATCTCACCATAGACGCACCAAACGTCTCGCCTACTTCTGAATACTTCCGGAACTTGGATGTTGGGCTCTATGCCTTCCTGTACAAAGCCAGTATGCAGTTGGAAAAACTTCCTTCTCGGAGCTCTGCTGAACATCTGGAAAACTACTTACACTGGATGCAATCCAAACTCAATGACAACAACGACACTATCGATGAAGCAAAGTGTCTCATAAAAGAAGAGAATGCTTCACTGATCGCCAAAGTCACAGAAGGTATCGCGCATCAACATCCCGAACGTAGCCGCATTCTCCTAGACACAGCCAACGAACTCGTAAATATCCTTCGAGGCAACACAGACCCACTGAACTTCCTCTTCACTGACACAAAAATGACGGACTACTACAACGCCATCCTGGAACAAGCCAACTTTGTGCACCCTCTCATTCAGTGGCTTGATCTTTACACTCACAAGAACCCCAACGCTTCGATCCTGGAAGTCGGCGCAGGAACGGGTAGCTTAACAAAGCATATCATGAAATCGCTCGTAGTGCCGACCTGGAAGGGGTCAAGAGCAAAGTACAGCCAGTTCTGCTTCACTGATGTCTCCCCTTCTTTCTTCGCGCAAGCTAAGGAAGATTTCAGTGGGTGCCCGGGAATGGAGTTCAAGACGCTAGATCTAGAACAAGATCCTATGGAGCAAGGATACGCGCCAGAATCCTTCGATATAATATTCGCGTGTCTGGTATTGCATGCTACATCTCCCCTCGATCAGACACTGGCGCATCTTCGGACGCTGTTGAAACCGGGTGGGAAGTTGATTTTTGTTGAAATTACAAATACTGGGTCCCTTGAGGCGGGATTTGTGTTTGGATTACTACCTGGATGGTGGACCTACAAAACTGGCGATCCGGACCGCGAGGGGGGGTCAAGTCCTCTTTTAGATGCGAAGGAGTGGGATGCTGTTTTGGCGCGGAATGGGTTCAGTGGTGCAGACCATGTGTTGAAAGACAATGAAGCTGAGATGTATTGGAAGACTTCATTGCTCATTTCAACGAGGGTGGACGGTCAGAAACCGGAAGAGGTGAAGATGAGAGAGACTGCTGCGGTCATAGTCACTGCATCAGACGCAAACGAGGAGTATGTTCGAATGTGCGAAGGAGAACTTCGAAGTTTCTGGGCGAAGATATCTCGACAAGAACTTGCGACACTGGCTGCAGAGAATTTCAGTGCCGACACACTTCTCGTGATCATCGATGGGCCGAACAACATCCTGCTAAATGAGCTGGACGAGGAATCTTTCACAGTTTTCCGGGAAGCTTTGACAAGAACAACGAACATTTTGTGGATTTCCCCAAGTCATGGAAACGTTCCCAATGTTAATGCAGGAGCAGTGCATGGCCTTGCACGGACATTACAATCGGAAGCCGCGACATTAAAATTCACTGTTTTCGAGGCCGACATTGCGCAGCCAACAATATCTCAACAGGTCCACATCAACAACGTCCTGAAATCACTGCCCGGAATCGGTCACGACGCATGCACAGAAGACGAAATCACAGAGATTGGGGGAGTACTCTGCACGCCTCGTGTAGTCGAAGACGGTTCAACGAACGACCGCTTACAGCATCAAGGCTCCCACAGTCAACACACTCAAGACATCAATTTCTCTACCAGCAGCCTACACCTCACGATCAGGACACCTGGTCTGCTCGACACACTCACATTTGAGCAGAAAGACGACATCCCATCCGAGCTAGGCCCACAAGAAGTACAAGTCCGCGTTAAAGCCATCGGCGCAAACTTTAAAGACTGCCTCGTAACCCTCGGCCGCATCCCCGAAACTAGTATCGGTACTGATTGCGCCGGCGTCGTCGAACGCGTCGGTTCAAATTGCAGTACTGTTGTTCCCGGCGATCACGTAGCAGTTCTTGCACACGACACGTACAGCAGCGTCCTCTGTTGCCATGAAAACCTCGTTGTAAAGATTTCCGAATCCATCAATTTCACCGACGCAGCCAAACTCCCGACGAATTTCGTTACTGCTTATCATTCCTTGATTGAAGTTGGTCGACTTTGTCCCGGTGAATCAGTGCTGATACATTCCGGAGCTGGTGGAACTGGGCAGGCTGCTGTCCAGATCGCTCAGATTTATGGGGCTGAGGTGTTCGTTACGGTCGGCAGCAAGAGCAAGAAGGATCTGCTAATAAACGACTATTCAATTCCTGAGGACCACATTTTCTACTCGCGCGATCTTTCTTTCGCCGAGGGGATTAAAGCCCGCACCGGCGGTCGCGGAGTCGATCTCATCCTAAACTCTCTTGCCAAAGACCAGTTGAAGGCTTCGTGGTCGTGTCTTGCACCGTACGGACGATTCCTAGAGATTGGGAAACAAGACTTACTTGCGAATGAGAATTTGCCTATGCGGCAGTTCGCAAGGAACGTATCTTTTGCGGCAATAGATGTCGCGGCGATGATAACGGAGCGCCCGCATCTCATTCAAAAGTCGTTGAGAGCCGTGAGGGACATGTTAGAAGAGAAGAGGATCAGGATTGCGGCACCGATGAAGATATTTGGGATCAATGAGGTTGAGAATGCGCTGAGGCACCTTCAAGGTGGTACGAATGCTGGTAGTGTGGCGATTGAGGTCAATGATGATGCAACTGTTCCGGTGAGTAGCGAAGTGAAAGGGCGAAACTATGTCACTGACGAATTGCAGGTTCTGACCTCGTCGATACGCAAAAACATCTTCAAAAGCGATGCTACCTACGTAATTTCTGGTGGTCTAGGTGGCCAAGGCAGAAGTATTGCGAAATGGATGTGTTCACACGGTGCTAAAAACCTGCTGCTACTTTCGAGATCGGGAGGCCGAGACGGTGACGCGAAGACATTCGTCTCTGAGTTGGCAGAGTCAGGGGTCAACATTGCGACGCCGGCTTGCGATGTTACCGACTCGGACGCCCTGGCGAAGGTGCTCGATTATGTAAAACTACGACTACCGCCGATAAAGGGCTGCATTCAAGCCTCGATGGTTTTGAAGGTAAGTATCCAGTACATGGGACTTTGTAGGAGAAGACGTCACTAATAGATCTGTGTAGGATACCCTCTTCAGCTCTATGACGCACACCCACTGGAAAGCCGCGATCGACCCAAAGGTTTCCGGTTCCTGGAATCTTCACCACCTCCTACCCGCCAACCTCGACTTCTTCGTCATGCTATCGTCTATTAGCGGTATGGTCGGCTCGGCCGCTCAGTCCAACTACGCTGCCGGAAATACTTATCAAGATGCTCTAGCTGCCTTCCGGGTCTCGAACGGGCTCAAAGCAGTCTCGCTGAATCTGGGTGTAATGAAGGACGAAGGGTATCTAGTTGGTCGAGACGAGGTTAAGGAACAACTATTGCATAGGAAGAAACTGATCGAGATACCCCAAGAAGACCTCTTCAATCTCTTGGAGCACTACTGCGATCCAGACTTGGGTATTGAACAGATGCAGAGCCAGGTGCTCATGGGATTGTCGCTTCCTGCAGATGTCCTCAGTCGTGGCGAGGACCTCGCGTTGTGGATGGAGCGTCCGCTGTTCGCACATTTGCACAATGTGCCTTCTTCTTCCGCATCTCACAAGAAGAAAGTTCAAAGCTCCGGACAGAATACTCTAGCAAAGATCGATGCGACAATGCCACACACAGAGGTCGCCACGCTGATTACAAGTGCACTGCAGGAGAAGTTGGCGCGGGTTCTGTCTCGCTCACGCGAAGATGTGGACACGACGAAGTCTATATCCGCGCATGGGGTGGATTCGCTTGTTGCGGTAGAGCTGCGGAACTGGTTCCTTAAAGTTGTGAAGGTGGATGTTCCAATTTTCGAGTTGTTAGGTGGAGGCGCAATAGATGCACTGGCGCGGAGTGTTGCGGAGAAATTGGGGACGATGGCTAAATGATGTAGCGGTGAACCTCTAGTAGTATTTGTTGTTGTCGCAAAAATAAGGCGTACTAGTGCTGTGGTTGACATAGAGTGCACTAATGCAACCAGATTGTCTGCTTTTTAATTGTTATTAGTTACCTTACGAAGCCCACTGTTAATTCTGTGTATCGTAAATCTCTTGAAAAGTTGCGATTTATTCCCTCCGAACTCTATTATATCTGAGTTGGTAGTAAATTCCTGCTTATTACACAACACGTTGTGAGCACTTTATCATCTCCAGCAGCATCGCCTCTTTTCGAAATGGGGCACACAATATGGTTGAGTTATGGTCGTTTTTAGATTACAACAACTCATGTCTCATCGTATCGTGTCTGTAATCCTGGTGAACGATGACGAGAATAAGCAGTCAGAGTCCAGACCGTGTTGTCGGCTGCGCAAGGCACTCCACTTGGGCACTAGGAATCCTACGTTGTCGCCGCTGTCAGCAGCAAATATTACATCTTCAACACTGGCCTGAAAGGGATCAGTCTCTCTGGCGTAGTTGAATATACCAGCTTCTTCAGCATTCTTGTTCCGGCTTTCTACCATAACGGTGGCCAGAATGATAGGCTGAAGCGGCGTTGGTGTCGCTGCCCAGATGCGCTGAATTCTTAGCCTCCTCTAGCCAGTGTCCTCCAGTTTCGCACCACAATTATGCAAAATGGTCCATTGGTAGCTCTAGCTCTACAAGCGACCATATTATCTGTAAAATCCTTGCGAATAACTGCTCGAATGTAACTAAAAGACTCCGACAGACATGGCAACTGTCTGCTCAATTCGAGTGAAACAAGAAAAGCAAAGAACGCAGCGGCTTCCTGAGCTTCAATCTGGATGAGAAGGTTTTTTAGGTGTGGTGAGAAATGATCGTGAGAGGATTTTCTATGCGGCAAACGTCACCGTACAGCAGTCGTAGCACACACGCATGCCAAGGGAAAATATACTAGATTCAGGATACCGAAAGCTCAGCCCGCTCGTAAACCATGCCGCTGCACTGTTGCCAAAGAATAGAATATCTAAAATGGGCACCCCCTAGTCACGCCAAAGGCCTCTGGCGAATTACAACCCTGTCTGGTGACCCAACGTCAGCCTCAAGCGAGCCTTCCCATGCAACCACGCGATAGATTATTCCCAAGAGGTAAGATCGGGGAACGAAAAGAGGTGCCCGATGAAGGCGCAGCATCACGAGAGCAGAAGACTAGAGCCTCGCCTCTATACGGCGAAGCTGTTCTTAATGGTGTTGGTGTCGCATCCCGAATATTGTTTCTAGCATATGTTTTTTCACCCCACAATCATTCGTAGGCGTACTACTTTCATTAACTTGGAGACACTTGGTGGTGGCTAGGGAATTATGGCAGTCTTTACTTCGTTCGTTTTCGTTTTTGCTGTTTTTGCTACTGTCACTACAACCAATGCGCTTCCTATATGGGAGCACCATGGCCAAGTTCAACGGCGCTCTCCGGAATCGCAGAAAGATAGAATAACTATGGGGTTTGGCATCGCGATCGCTATCATCGTCATCGCAACACTCGTTTTCTATTTAGGTCTTCGGCGTGGTCAGACGGGAACATGGCTTTGGTGGCGGACTCGTGCTTCTGAGAGTCTACCCAAGCCCACAAGATCACTGGAGTCATATTCCCGCTCAGCCTCTCTTAATTCCGCGAAACTCTCAAGAAGCAAGAGCAATCAGTCCATATCAACCATCAGCATCTCAACACCCGAACCCGTCCACATATCTACGTTCCCCATAGTCAGTCCCGTTCAAGAAGATTTTCCGCGAGATCGCCAATCTTCGCAACACCAACCCGAAAGCGTCCCCCGCGTACACGCAAGACCTACAGTATTTACGCACAAGGTTTACGAACTGCGCGATTCCGTCCCCACGATGCCCCCCAGCATCGCAAAACCAACAAAATCTTCCGAACGTATGCGAAACACTTATCTACTGGCACGAAGCACGCAAGACATGAGACGAAGCCGCTATCTAAGCGTTCGCAGACCCAATGTCCCGAAAACGACCAACCCCCCCGCGAAAGAACAAAGTCGGAAGGTTAGTTTCGACGAGTGGAGGAGCGAGTATGCACCCAGCCGCAGCGGCACAATAGTGCAGCAACCTAGTCGCACGAAATCGCCTCAGCCATGGCTCTGCGAAAATACAGCGGTGGTGCTTGATAAAGAGGTTGAGTTCGCGATCTTCGAATTGGATGAGGATAACGAGATGGGAGTCGGATCAAGGCCTTGTAGCAGGTCGTCTCAAGATACTTTAGTAACGCCTGTTTCGCCACGACTGTTACCAACGGGGGAGAAAGAAATGGAATGGCCTAGCCCACCTGGTTCACTTCAGTATCCACAGCCGCTACTCATCAGACTAAGGTCAATGATAGGGGAGTGTGATGACGAGTGGGAGTGCTCGAGTACAACTGACATAGAAGAATGTTCTTCGAGTGACAGCGACTGCTGCAGCGACGAGGAAAGTGACGAGGAAGATCACGATGAGTTCGAATATGACGTCAAGTTTGATTTTGATATCCAAGCTATCGAAGCCGGGGTTGCTCAAAGGACTGAATCTTGGGTCAAAAATGATTTTCCCAGTGGCATGGTGGCGTTCGAGGAGGGTATTGATGCAGAAGACGAAGAAAAAGAGGGTGTCGAGAAGGATCGCTACCATGGAACTGTCAAAGCTCAGAGTGCAAAGATAGTCGGATGCATAGAGCCGCTGAAAGAGTCGACAGACGATGACATTTCGTCAGAACATCAGTCACATTCACTAAGCCGCAGCGAGGAAAACATGGACTGGACAGGCATCGAGTGGATTAAAAGGGTGTATACACGAAGACAGGGTAGCGACACAAGTTTCCTGAAGGTGAATTAGAGCACTGGTCACTCTAATATCCCAGATGATGTGGCTGGCGCAGGGAAACATCAGCCGTCTTCACCATACAAATTTCCTCATTTCGTCTCCAACACTTCTCACGCATTACGCATACGCAGTTCACGGTCTCTACTTTCTCTTTTTCTGGATTCATCACGTCACTCATTACGATACCATAAACTCTCCTTTATTGCATGGTACCTGGTTGGCCTATTTAACGTTCATTTGGATTATCGGGTCTTGGTCTATACATTAGCGGAGAACAACATACATTCATTACAGATCGCAAATGTCTTTGTTATTTTCGAGCAAGCAAATTCCCAGTGATTGACTCAAACTTTGCATCCTTGTGTTGGAAGTCAGACTCGTGCCAAGTAAGGTCGAAACCCCCACATTGCACGAGTCACATTGCTCTAGGTGCTGTGTACTTGGAGTAAGATGCTGCGCTGGATCGATTCATCGATGTGGTAAGATGGACTTTCGATCTTCCAAACAGGAATTTTTCTCCCCTGAGGATCAGGCTACCCTGCGAATAGACAACGAGCCGATTAGTGACATTCATCATGACGCTGTGGGAATTCACTATGTAGATTAGCGAGCGCAAAAAGCTTGGTTTTCTTGTGCTGCTGTGTGCCAAGTGTAATCCTCCATTAAACTGAAAAACACTGCCATAATTCTTCGGACAACTTTTCCTGATACGTTTTGGTTACAAAGTAGACTAGTCCATCTTTTACAGCTTAACGTGAAAGACTTGGTGGCGTTCAATAGCAGGGCTGTACCGCCTTCGTACACATCAGCATGTAACTTCAAATCCTGCCATTGGAAGAAGATGCGTTACTGTATTTAGTTGAAGATATAGAAAATTATATCGTCATCTACACAACTCACTATTGAGTGCGCGCACTGCCATGATATCACAGCCGTCCACTGTTCGGCAGCGGGCATTTTGCACAGTGGTACAGGCCGGAGTTTCAGTCGAACCTTCTCACATTCCGTTCGTTCTCGAGAAAGAAATAAGCTTGCCGTTTTTCAAAAAGTAGTTAGCGCTTACCAGATTAATTTCTGGAATCGTCCGATGAAGGCGCAGCCTAGACAGCTGTCAGGTAGCCACATTGATTCGGTCCTGTGTTGACAAAAGCTTGTCCGACAACCAAGCCCTGCCAATATAGATTAAGTATAGATGAACATCAAGGCAAACTCATGACGGTTCCGAGACAATTCAGCATAGGCATGATCGAATATGACGTAGCCGTTCTGTAGATTCTGTAGGTGAAGCTTATTGGCCCCCATCTGAATTTTACCGGTTTTGTGCAGAACAACCCATGCCTGGATATGTACAAACATTCGAGTCTGCAGGCTCATTTGCTCGCTTCGCTCACTCACCGAGATCCCTGTGTCAAGAGCCATGTCATCGTCCCTCTTCATATCTACCAGAATGCCGATCAATTTTCAGCTCGCCGCAAGATGACGCCAAGCGAGGTGTGAGCTCCCTAACAGAGGAAGTCTTTGCTCGTATGGCAATGATATTTAAGACGCGGTAACGTCCAGAAGATGAGATTTTTCATCATCACACTCTCAAACATCAAACCCTACTACCAGCTACATCATAAAAACTACGAATCTTCATTCTCGATATCTCTATTATTATTTTTTACAAAGCTCGACTACCCTCACGCAACATGAAATTCGCAGTAGCAACATCCCTCCTCTTCGCAACTCTCGCACTCGCCAACCCAGCGCCTGTCGCGCAACCCGAAGCCCTTCAAGCTTCCCCAGAGCAACCGCGTTATCCAATCGGCGGTGCAATTCTAGCTCCTGAGCTTTCAGGGCGCAGCAGCTCTTCTTCCAAGTCTTCCAGATCTCCAAAGAAAAGCAAGCCTAAGCCATCCAAGCCCAAGAATTCGAACGAGACAAACAGCACAGAGGAAGACACGTCTGCCGCTCCTAGTGTTGTGCTTCCCAATCTTGCACTCGAACTAGGTGCGCTTAGTGTTGGGGTTATAGAACTTGTGCGTCTGTGGGGTTGAACATGAGCGCCGTGAGCCAATCAGGATATAATTTGTCGTTATCGCACGGGCTGTAAGATATGAGGGGGGTTTTGTATTGCGATTCTATCTATGGCATAAATGAGCGTTTTAGTAATGTTAAAGTAACGAATGTCAATATTGTTTCCTATCTTTCACATTCAAATTTGAATGTCATATGCGAGCGTGAGTTCGTCCTCATCCATGCAGTTTACTCGCCAGTATCAACAGTACTTTTCAGCTCGGTGATATCCGGGGCGGATCGCTTACTGTATATGCCAAGGCAGTGAAGCTCAGACAGAACTACCCCTGATTAATCATGCTTAGGCACAACACATGTTCGGCTGTTTTCATTGGCTACGAACCATTGTCTCTATCTCATGCTGAGGACAGCAAGTGGATCCTATTCAATCTGGGAAACATTGATACCATAATCAAATTTGAAGCATAATGAGGTTGCGGTATCTAACTAACTTATTGAGCTTCCCCAAATTATCATTGCCCGTCAACCTCAAAAACCCTGCATCCATCTGACATGCCTGAGCTTTGACGGTAAGACTTCTTTTTTACTTGGAATGGACTAGACGAAAAGTATGAACCAACCTCAGCTCGCAACATCAAGCATTCATCAGGATAAGTTCAACACCCTGGAAAGACTCTCACTTCCGAAGAACCTGAGTTTTCACGTCGTCTCCTGGCACCTTGTGTTCGAAATTTAGATACTCGTCTTTAGTCACATACTAAACGCGATTTTTCGCAGCATACAATCCAGAGTCGGAGACACACTGATTCACGAAAGACGTCATAGACTTTGGAGCTGTAAGTATATAGAAAGCGCACAATTGCGCAGAACGTATTTCCCATCACAAACAATCACTTCAAACTACCGTTATTCTCCAGTCAATTTGCAATTAAACAGACCCTTCTTTCGTTCAAGATTTCAATACTTTCAATCTGTTCCTTGTCCTCAAATACATATTCCGAAATCCAAACAACCTCCGTCCAACATGAGAACCGCTCCGACTCTTCTTTTCGCTACTCTCGTGCTTGCCAATCCAGCACCTATCACGAACCCAGAAGCTTCGCAAATCCAGAAAGCAGATGTTCCGGTTCTCGCCCGCGACTTCTCCGCTCATGAAGTGCGCAAGGTCTCGTCCGCAGCCGGGGCCGCCGCTGGAGCTGCCGGTCGCGCAGGCGGAGCAGCCGCAAACAAGGCGAACAACACTCTTGACAATGCAGCGGGGGCATTTCTTCCTAATCGAGCACTTGAATGGGGTGTACTTGGACTGGGCGTCGTAGAGATCGTTCGCTTGTGGGGGTAGAATCTTGTAACACTTCTACTATACGGCATGTTATTGTATGGGAATTCCTTTTAAACTACTGGATGTTGGCTGTAATCCTTCTTTTCTTTTGTAAGAGGGCGCGATGTACTATCAGTCAGGGTAGCGGGTCTACAATTAGGAACTGTTTCTGAGCTGGTTCTAGTGAATCTTCTATGTTTCTGTCCTTTCCGATCAATACCAATATTTCGCAACATGCTCTTCCTCTTAATTTATGTGCTTTTTCAAAATTTTGAACTTGGCGATTGGAATGTCAGAGATACGGGAGAGCATCAGTCACATAATAGTAGTGTAACCATGAGGTCCCCAGCTTGAAGACTTCATATCTTCTCCAGATACTCATGTAAGTCATTACAGGATGATCTCGCCGTGCTTTCAAAGACTATCACCTGATCTTGAATCTGATCGGGATACGTGGGAGACAAATAGTTAGACATGAATCATGACAGATCTGATCAACACCAACTTGGCTTTCCACTGCCATGAAACGACCCATCGCATCCAGTACTCGGATTGTCTTTGTGGCTCCAGATGCGCTGAATATAGGGAGTTGTTTGAAATGGATTGAAGTTAACCGGTTGTCCATCATCCTTTGATTGGTGAGAATGCTTTTGAAAATGTAGCTTCACCCGTTTTCTAGTAATCTTGCGTTATTGACGAGTGAAATTTGATGGGAACAACATCAAGGTTTATTCAATACGTTATGAGTTTCGGTGGTCAAATTTGCGAGACGAGTATTTAAGCATGGAAGTGGTTTATTGATTGCGTTCAGTACAACAGACCGTGTCTAAATTAAATGGTCTAAGAACCGCGATTATGCAAAAGCCTTGCGGACCGAGGCTCCCGACAATCCACGTTCTTAGTTCTTCCATGTCCTTTCCTGAACTCTTCTGCGCTGCATACTTGCTCTATTTCGGCCAAATCGCATCTTGATTGAACATGCAGACATTTGATTTTGCGAAGTTGAACCTATGCTTCGAAAGACCTAGCCGTCAAAGCGCCACTCCAGACAGCCGGTCCAGGAACAACATAGTCGGGGTGGCTAGGACCTGTCTCGTGAATGTTCAGCATGAACCCGGGCTCGCCTCCAGTGTAAAGTGTCCTGGCATCAACTCCGCCAGTGACCTGTTTGGTGCCGCTTCCCGTAACCTTCAGATTGATGCACTGGGGGTAGAACTCGGCGCCTTCCTTGGAGTACGGTCCAGTGCTTTTTCCGGCAGGGTGCAGAGCAACCAGCTCGTGACGTAGTACGTACTCGCCAGGGGCAAGACCGGAAGGAATGCGGATATTCCACTGTCCGTCGTTGTCGATGATCAAGTCGGTAGCCCAGTTCCCTTCGCCGTCGTTGCCGGGGTCGGAAGAGTCAATCCAGCCGCGCTGTGCAATCTTCACGAACTTGAGAGTAGTCATGTCGACTTTGGAGCAAGGTCCGTTGCAAGGCGCAATATAGTCGATGACGGGACCATGGTGGCCTCGGGGCCACGTTTGTCCAGCCATCCACCAACGAACGCGAACGTCGGTTCCCGGGCTCACCGGCGCAGAGGTATTGGCGTTAGAGCCGCCTCGAGCGCAGATGATCATAGGATCCCGGAGCTCAAAAGGGTTGATTGGTCCTCCGCCACGGTTTGCTGTAAACCATGCAGGAGTGGTAGATGGGTAGGCAGAGAGATCACCGTTCGCGTCCCATCCATCGTAATGTACTCCATTAGCCCAGATCTGCTGCACAAAACTGTGACTGAGGGCCACAGAAGTGAAGGAAGATAGGAAGACAACAGTAGTGGCGAGTTTGGAGAACATGATTGCTTTATCGGATGGAATGGCTAGTGAAGGAGGAGCAAATGATTGCGATGTGGAGGTGAGGAGCGAGACTTTACTGAGTGATATGCCCTTCCTTATGTACTTTTAGTTTCTCCACCAGCAGTGAATTTCTTCTTTTTTGTTTCCCTTTTCGTCAAAGATACAGATGGTGGTTGGAGCTTCATCCTTCGAACCTAGTGCTTTAGCCCCCGGGAAATGTTCTGGGGCTTGGGCGCGAATACGATGGTGAGATGCACGGTCAAGATGCTGATGCTTCCAATTGAACGAGTGCTAACTGACCAGTGAAGCTCTATTTCCTGGTTATTTACAGCTTATTTAACTGTTTTGATGGATGATTCGGCATTTTGAACATGCTCGTGGCGGTTTGGGGTGAGCGGAAGGAAGATCTAGAACCCTCAAAAGACAGCACATGGATTCGAGAGAAAGCCACGAACAATACAGTTTACAGAACATGGGAACAAGAACCAATCTGATTGATATTTGTGGATGCTCAGACAGCTGAAAGAGGATAAAGTTGTGGTCTCTTTCGTTCAGAAGCTTACATGTGCCAAAAACCTCACCGTTAGTGCTATCATAGTCTGGCTTTCTCATTCGTATGACCTAGTTGGTGAACCAATTGAGAATTGCTCGTCAGTAAGATATCACATTCGCTAATGGAGAATTTTCAGGAGTACAGTGATTTAAGATACTAACCTCTTCTGTTGTGCGATTCTAGAAGAATCAAGGCTAAGCCGGTGTGAAAACTTCAAATACTCATTTTATGTTGTATATTCACTCACACATGTTTCACGCTTGACGATGAGATCCTCTCATCTGCAGGCTTGGTATCGCCTATGGCATATTTCCCAATCCATACTCGATCTGTCCAACTGATTGGATGTGTGATGAAGATGTTGGTCCGTGCATTCACATACAGGGGTGCAGAGCAAGCGGGTCATCGGATCTCAGATCTGACCACAAGATGCCCCATTTTCTGGCGTGTGCCTAAGAAGAAATTGCCCAGTAAGCTACCGAATGTAGAAGTAGGAGTCTGCGTATTATTTGCTGATCACCTAAGAGTTCCAAGCCAGATAGATCCTGTAGGATCAATCCATCACTCACGAGAATATGTTTCGGCTGCAAATAGGAAGCACGTAAGCCTCGTAATATTTTTGAATACGAACACTGTAGAATTTGAGTTTGAAACCTCAACGTTCTGCTAACAATCTTGCACCTGCCGAGAAGAGCGAATGCGTCCAGTGATCTTTGGACAGAGAGGATCTTTGTATGAATTTCTTTCTCTTGATTGTCGCTCGAGGTGGGCTACGATACAACAATCCTAGAAACGCATTAAAGTAATGAAGGATGCGCTTAGCGGTCTCCGCAAACCGTCCCATTGGGGCCCGCGTCCGCACCGGCATTGAATGCCGCCCGCAACCGCTTTTCCCCAATATCGCTCCCGCTTGGACGTCTTGGAAAAGTTACTTTACTCGATTCAAGTCTGATAGGAATTCTCACGCACACGGCAGTTCGTAGCTGCCAGAACAAACACCCAGTAAGCATCTAGAACAATCCCATTGTCACCAATTTCAGTCATCTTCACGAGCGCACCCTCTTGGCTTCTGCCTACTAAGTAGATATAGTGGTTCAGCCACTTTAAGCACTGAACATTCTCCAAGATACGTATAAGGAAAGAGTGTCGTTGAGCTCGCACACATGACTCAGATAATTATTTTGCGAGCCAACTGCGCTGGACTCCGCTGTTTGTTTTAACCGATGACACGGGACAGTGAAATGTTGAAGAAGTCTTTCCTACGAGTGGATCCCGATGTATGGAATAGTCTTCCAGAAAATCGTGTTAGTCAGTTCCCAGACTCTAAGACCACCTCGCTTGACAAGGAACGTACGAAGTCCCTTGCATCGGCAGAGATTGCCTCGCTTTGGTATATGCCATGGCTATGAGGCGTTCAGCCATGATCCTGTAGATGGTAGCCGGTAGAACCGGTCAGGTGGCAAACGAGAATAAGATCTGGTAAAGGTAGCTCTATACCAATTTCGGATCCTTTCACACTCCCAATATAGATCAGGGACACGTGCTCTATTCTGCCCATGTATGTCGACAAGCGTGAATCCGCGAGTCATCTAAGATAGAGTACCAACCTACATCGTGATAACGCTTCGAAGATAACAAGCACTCATGTTGGAGCTGCGGGTGCTCCGGCACACAACAATAATGACAATGATGAGGTTTCAAAAAACAGGCAATACGCTCTAACAGGAACTTCCTTTCTCAGCGGCTCAAACTCATCTCGAGTAGTCGCTTCCGCTATTACATCTATCGATAACAGAGCATTGACGAATGCACGGACGCATCGTATAGATGACCAAAGATTTATTAGCACTCTTTTCTTCGCACATACTAGAGCGTTACGGCTGTCCGATGGAAATGCTGTTTCCGGTGACACACGGTCCGACTGAACACCTCTGCTAAAGCCACTCAGAGAGTGAAGACTGGCCACACTGACCCGCTACGAAGCCACCACATGACACACCGACATCGAAGATGAGAGTAAAAACAATATGGAACCACATACTTCCTTTTTTATTTCATGTGCCGGACCGCTAATGTGAACCACATCACGTATCACAAAGTGCTCAGAAGCAAGAAACCGCAGTATTATTGCCCACTTGAAAGGGATTGTTTGATTTTGTTGGTCGGTTCTACATAGTAGCCCGTTTCTGTCTTCGACCTATCAATTAAGGTCGGCTCTCACTACCTCCAAATAAGAAGAAAAAATATACAAAGAAGAATTATAACGGAAAAGGTCGTACAAGTAGACCGCCCATTCTAAGCACCCATAGCAACAACCTGGAAGTTGTAGTTGCAAACCGAGTCAGAGGTCTTGACCTCCTTGGGTCCGTAACCTCCAGAAACCATGGTAGATCCCTCCCAAACCTCAACCTGGACTTTGCCAGCGCCCAAGCCGGTGAATTTGAACCTGTTGAAGCCCTCCTTGAGACCCTGCTTGCCGAGCTCCTTGTCGCCGTTCTTGACGACGACAGTCAAGCCAGACTTGCCCTTTGCGACGAGGATAACGCCGGTGACGGCGTCTTCAGCAGCGGAAGCAGTCGAGGGTTTCTTGATGGGGTCGCTGCCGCAGTTGCCGCCGACGGTGAGGGTGTGGTGCCAGAAGGTTCCTTGGACGCTCTTGCCGTTGGTGGGGACCATGTTCTTGGTGTCCTTGTCGCCGCGCTTGTAGGCTTGGATGAAGGAGGGGAGGATTTGCCAGTAGCCGGTATGGTCGTAGCCGTCGACGTATTTCTTGATGGCAGCAGCGTCGGTCATGGGTTCTGGCCACAGCTTGCCCATGTAGTGGCCCTCGCCACCGTCATTCCAGGTTTGGAGCTCGAGCATTTGGGGCTGGACGTCGAGGACTTGCTCGATGCGTAGCTCGAGGTTATCTTCGCCGCGGCGGTAGCGGTTTTCCTGATTGTCCATGTGTTTGAACTGAAGGGGAGACATGCCCATCATGAAGAGTTTGCCGTTGGTGGCGGCGCTCTTGAAGGTCTTGTCTCCAGCGGCCGAGACCTTGGTCTTGGATCCGGCCTCGGGCCAAGAGTTCCAGTTGAAAATGCCGTCAAGACCGTTGTTCTTCTCAAATACCTTGCCATCTGCTTGTTCGGATTGGTAGTATCCGGGGACAACAATCGAGTTGCCCACGTTCTCCTTGAACTTGATCCATTGGGTGGCACTGACTTCCTCACCACCAAAGGTGGAGACTAGGTTTTTGCCTCCATACTTGTAGTAGGATTTTCGCTTGAGAAAATTCTTCAAGTAGTCCTGGAACTGATCAGGGGCGGTGAAGTATCCCGCGTCCTTGGCCATGTCAAAGGAGAAGAAAAGTCCAAAGCCTTTCGCATCAGCGTGCTTGAACAGGCGGTCGACGGTGTTGACCGACCACGAATCCTTGATATTATCTGGGACAGGTCAGTATAGTCTCATCGCGAATTAGATTGAATGTTGACGTACTGATGTTCAAGGCGAAGGCATCGATGCCCAAAGCCTTCGCGTCTGAAATGTCTTGTTCCGTGTGATCGTCGAAGATCTCGCCGATCATGTAATGCGCGAAACTAAACTGTCAGCTACAAATGCCATGAATCTTTGAACATTTGCGAATACATACACTGGGGGCTGGTCAGGCGCGCGCGGGCTGGGGCGAGCTGTTGCAATAGCGGCGAGCAAGCTCACCGACAAAGTAGTGACGAAATGCATGTTAGATTCAATCTATACAGCAATAAATAACGTGATAGCAGGAATGAATGGAAAATTGCAGTAGTAAAGAGTGACTGAGTGAATGATTTAACGAGTGAAAGGAATGAAGTTGAATAATGAGTATTCCCAAAAGGGCCGACCCCAACTCTACTTAAACAACAACCCAACTCCTTTACAGATGCACACATGTTTCGAAAGCACCCCACAATTGGCGCAATCTCTTTGAACAAGATGGGCCTAGGAACATGCGGCGTCTAACAGTCGCGAGAACAACTTTCGATCAATGATTCGCGCAAAAGAAAGCCTCGAGGCAGGGTGTATTGTGATTGGCCGGAGTACCAACTGTGACATTCCACGCAGCCGTGAAAGGTCAAAAGTGTTAGTGATTAGGCGTGCGACTACGGAGACTGAAAAGTTAGTATGCCAGAGTAGTCTGGTCCCTAGAAGTGTGAAACAGTAACACGTCGTAGGTAATTTCCGACCTCCGTGGCGCCCATCTAGGCATCGTGAAAGGCAGGAGATCAAGGATTGTTCCCTGCAATGAGATCTGCATCTACTTTTTGACAGGCTTTATGGTCTTCTGTACTCAAGCAAATGACTTTATTCCCGGTTGTCGATGGGAATGAACGTAGATGTGGATAGTAAATGGGAACTCCCGCGATCAAAACAAAGGGGCGCAAAGGAGATATTGATGGCGCTAAACCTAATGCAGATCTCCGAAATCCACATCGGTCCCGCTATAAGGCAAAGCTTCATTTCACCGAATCATTGTTCGATTCTGCCTTCTAGAAGTTTTGAGGCTGTTCTTGTCGTTGGTGTTCTCGCTAATCCTCATTCACAAAATGCTAGACGGACAACCCCGAATGTTCCTGTTCCGGTACCCGGGGCGATACTCTGATCGTGTCAGCAACAACAGAGGTGTTGCACAGTGGATTCTATGTCGTCTGTGAACACATTATATTCCTTTCGAGTAGGAGGTCTTTCTGAATCCAATACTCCACATATTCCACGGAATATATTCATGATCGTATTTACTTATGCATAACCGTTTTGTACAATGCATCATTCGTTATCCTACACTGATTCGCTCACTCATGACAAACATACAGTTCGCATATCTACCAGGAACATAACGGAGAGTTAGGAAACGGTAAAAGATGTCCGATAATAGATTCCTAACATACGACGCGAACAGGCAGTATATAGACGCTGTACACGGGTTGATGTCACCACGGAACCAACTCGTATGCAGAAACCAACCCTTGTCGTCCTGCATCATGCAATTCCCCTCGAAGTTTCAATAAACCCCGATGACATCTCCACATGCTGCAGCTACAGCGCCGAAGATGGAAACTAACCTACATATATTGCTCTCTGTAACTAAAACCCTGCCAGACAGCATCAGGTTCATAAAGTCAAGAGTTGGAAAACGAAAAAAAACTACTCACTGTAGGGAGTCTATAACTCGTCACCCCGTCAAGATAGATAAACAATTCAGCTAGTATGCTCGAAAATCACACAAGATCAAAAGTCTCACAAAGATCTCATCATATTCACACGAATTCAAGAAACAATCTTGATCATAATACAAAACTACTCACAGGAAACAACCGTACACGCTACCCAGAAATAAAGGAAAAATTCGCTAACAAAATGAAAAACACTACTTCTACCTATTCACCCATCACTCAACACCTCCTCCCCCGTCCCCCCATCAGCCCTCCCATTCCGCCCATCCCTCCACCCATTCTTCGTCCCCCTCCTATACCACCGCCCATTCCCCCACCCATCCTACGCCCTCCACCCATCATGCCGCCGCCAATTTGGCCCATGGGAGGACCGCCTCCGCCGTGGTGGTGGTGATGCACTTCTGCGGTCCTTCCGCCGCCGCCGAAACGAGATGTTCGAGCTGGACGAGCGCTCCCGAGGCCGCCGGTTTGGTAGGGGTCGCGGCGAGAAGAGAGACGGGAGGGTCCGCAGCCCATTTCGATTTTTGGTTGTTGTGTTTGTATGTAGCTTGGTGGAGGTTTGAAGGTTGTTCAGAGAGAGGGGTGATGGGGCGGTCGTATATACGCTCTGATTTATGTTGGTTCGATTTCTGTGAGGATTGATGGTACAAATTGAAGGTTTGATTTGAGATAGAGCAGATTGGTGTTTAGGTATGATTTAGACGGCTAATTGGTTTTTTTTTTGGAGTTCGAGGGTTGTTAAGTAATGTGTAGTGTTGACTTTTGATGTTTTGGAAGAAAATTGTGATGGCGACAACAACACGTACTTATATCTGTACATTACGTTGTAGAGCGACCATACTGCCAACATACTCATCCAACTTACGTCAATTGACACCATGCTCCATAACCACACCCAGACAGATGGATCCCGCTACCCGTCTTCATGCCGTATTTCCACACCAGAGCGCCACACTAAAGCCACTCTCTACGAGAAATGATGTATGCCACTGCCTCGCATGACATACGCCAATGTGGCGTTTGCGCTTGGGGTGAACGTCCCAAGAGAGATGCGCACGCATGCGCGTAAAGTGTTATGAGTTTACTCTGAGAAGGGACACGTTCTAGATCTTTTAGTGGGAGACGTGAAAGAACGTTTCCAGAAAAGAAGGGTTACTTGGCAGCTAAGCTACCTAGCGGAGCGGAAAAGACGGCGGGCAATGACGCGCGTGTGGGTGGAGCCAACAGGATTTCTTTAGTATGATGAGCAAACGCGGTAGGGTCAGTAGCGTATGATATCCATTTTGAGGGTGAGGTTGGATGGATATATCGGTGTTTTGTGGGACCTAGAAGGATCTATCGCCTAGATTAAATGGGTGTTGGCAGGTTATAGTCCCGACTAGGTACGTAAAGTACCAGAATCCTGTTCATTCGACGATGCCGAGTTTTGCGCAAAACCGTCATTTAGGGCTGAGCACATAGGTATGACGGTACAAATCGGATGAGACGGCGGTTGCACAGAAGCATAAGTGTTTGTAAGGGGTAAAATCTTGATTCTTGATTCTTGAAGTGTCTAAAATTTTTGACCTTGAGAAGAACAAAAGTCGTGTATTATGTGTACACTCTGCGCAGTTCCCAAGCCGTCATAGCCGTGAGGCTGCGTGGAACAGGGTCTAAAGCGTAGAGTGGTTTTTATGCGCTACCCGAGTGGGACATCATTCATGGAGGAGCGGAATGAAGGCCCAAAGAAGATAGCAAAGTTGATACAATGTGATCACATCATCGTTAAATTGTTAGTTGCTTGAAGAGGTGCGCAGCATCATCATTCAGATCTTAACGAATTTGGTGTGCGAGCCTGTGGCAACGATGGGACCAGGCTTGCCCTCGACGAGCTTGTATATGGTGGCGGTAGTGAAGGCCAGAGTGCCCCCAACTTTGCCAGCGATGCCTTCAATCTCAATGGTGTCGCCATCTTTCGCAGAGCTCTGGTAGGAGATGTGGATATCGGTGCTCACGCCGGTCTTAGTCCTGTTGTCCCATGCAGCAATAGCCATTCCACCAACCCAGTCTATAAGAGTGGCGGATACAGAGCCGTGAATACCGCCGTGAGCATTGACGTGGTTCTTGGTCAGCGGGAGACGGGCACGAACAAGGCCTTTGGAAGCGTGAGTCAATTCAATGTCCGACAAAAGAAACTCGTATATCGGAGAATGGGGTTTGCGGCTCTGCCAGAACTTCTCGACGTGAGCGAGGGTTTCAGGGTTGTTTTCGGCGGTGGTGGAAGCCATCATGTGAGATGAGATGAGATGAAATGGGAGTGGGTAGGTAGGTGGATGGAGGATGTAGAAAGATCGGGACGGGAGTGAACGGGGAACCATAGAGTGTGGGGAGACGTGGGGGTTCTCGGAGGTCGGCGATACGTTTGACCGAAGGGGCCGATGAAACAGCTGAGGACGACGGGGAAGGGGATGAATAAGAATAGATATCTGAAACGCCACATTGCTTGTTGGCCTCGATCTATTCACATATAGCACCCTCCCCACTTCTAAAACAATTCACCGATATTCAAACTCCTAGGGCTGTTTGTCCTTCCATATAATGTGCTGATGTCAACTCTCACAACCACCACCAACCTGGCACCATGAGCTATCCCCTCGGACCGCCGGCGAGCTTGCTCGAGTCGCAAGCAACATCAGACGAACTCAATACTGCTACTGCGCCTACATCCGATTCGGAGTCGAAAGAGTCAAAAGAAGACGCGAATACACCAAAACATGACAATTCCGCCGTTCCGAACGCACCGCCCCTCGATGTGAAAGCACTCACTGACCGCGCCCTCACGTTTCTGGCAACGGCCAGCAATGAATCACTAGGCGCATGCCTCGTGGGACTGGGTGCCAGCACATACTTGATTCTAGGCCAGTTTGGCCTGTTGCTGATTGGCGTAGTGGGTGGCGTGGTGCTTCATGCTACATGGGAGGGTCAAGGACACGACACCCAAGGTCGCAATGCTGGACAAGCGGCTGAGCCTCGCAGGCGTGAATTGGGTGTCGACATCGCGCGCAGAGTGCTTGACTGGCGGGATGTAGCCGGTCGAATCAAGAATGGGGATATTCAGACAGACGAAAACGCTCGAAATGAAAAGGAGGACACAGACCTAGCTGTCAAGTTAGCCTCTGGGAAAGAGCTAGGCTTCTCGGAATTTCGTCCGGAGACGGCAGCAGCCCTCACTGAGCTCACTGACGCCGTCATCCGGGACTATGTCAAGTATGTGGATAACCTACTCTATGTCTAGACATATTCATCTAATTCCTGGCAGATGGTGGTATGCGCCGATCCTCCCCACAGAAGATGTATTCCCAAGAGCGAGTCGCCAGACATTTGCAGCTTTCATCCTTGCTTTGTCCAACCACCTTTCGCGAAAGCGTCCGGCGGACATTTTCATTGACTTCACAACCCGCTCCTCCTCCTTCATGATCATCATTTTTCAAGAACTGTCAAACGCTATCATGGCATCGCCCGGCGACACCGCTGCCGAAGCCATCGACTCATACCTGAAAATGAAACGCGACAGCACGCTTGCCAACATACTTAGCCATGATTATCAGGCTAAACAGTTTGATGTGGCTGCTGAAGACATCCTCCAAAATTATCTTGAATCGAAGACATACAATTGTCCGCCTGCACGCGTCTTCTTACACCAAATCCTAGCCAAGACTGTTCTAGAGATGATTGTCACCACTTGTTCGAAACCGGAATGGATAAATGGTTGGATCGTATACCTATTGGAGGATGGCGAGCCAGAGCTGCTGAATGCCATCGATGCCGGTGTGGAAGGCTCATCTGCGCGTTCAGCCGAGGGAGCGATAAGAAACAGCACAGGAGGGAGCACTGCCGAGGATTCTGTAGAGGTCAAGAAACATAAGCGGGCTGTTAGTCAGGCCCAGCAGGCTATGGACGATGCCCTGATGGAGGCTCAGCGACTGAGCCAGATGATCGCCGACGAAGATGCGAAACGTCTCAAGGACCAGCAAACCCCATCGAATTCGTCTCTCACCGATGATCAATCTGAGAGCACCACTCAAGGAATTATCACACCGACTTCTTCTCAAAGCGAGACACTAGCTGAGAATGACAACATGTCGACCTCCATAACTTCTAACGCGCCCACGAAACCATTATCCGAAGCCAGCCTGCCCCCGACCACGAGCATACCGGACTCCCCGCCTAAGCAAGAATCTAAGCAATCTTTCACCAGTTTTGATCAGATTCTCCCGCCAGCGAATGCGCCGACAGCCTTGTTGGACGATCCCCCACCTCCTCCCCCACCACTCACTTTACACAACTGTAGGCTCACCATTTTCGACGATGCTCAGCCTGGAGAAAAGGCCATAATACGAAACAAGCCAATGGTTGAGTACCTGATTCAGATCGAGCCCTCCCTGGATTATTATAAGGGATGGATGTCAGCAAAGAGATACTCTGACTTTGAAACACTTCATGAGGTACTTCGACGAATTGCGCCCATCGCAGGCGCAACAGGCTTCATCGAAGCACACAAAGAACTACCCACCTGGAAGAACCACACCAAACCCTCCTTAAGGGGTGAGCTGGAGCGCTATCTGAATGACGCCGTCCAATACAAACCTCTTGCGGAGAGCGAAGGAATGAAGCGCTTCCTCGACAAAGAGATTGGGTCTGGCAAGTCTCCCAGCGGTAGTGGCATATGGCCAGGGCAGGCCTTCGAGACTATGGGGAAAGGCATGATGGATGTCCTCACTAAAGCGCCCAAAGAGGTTGCTGGGGGTGGCAAAGCTCTTTTTGGAGGCGTGACTGGTGTATTGGGCAGCGTGGGAACCCCGTTTGCTGCAAAGAAGAATCGCGAATCCACTACAACGAGTAGTCCTGCTAGTATATCGCGCACATCGACATCTTCGACTCCGAATGCGCAGATTCAGACTCGCCACAATCGGGCGGAGAGCACCGTATCTGAACTTCCAACACATATCCGCACTGAAAGCTCGTTATCCCTAGCGGCGACAAGACGAACATCTACCGAATCGCTCCGCAATCCTAACTCTCCCATAATTGACCAACAGCCGCAGCGCGAAGCTCTTATGGAACGTCGACCTAGCTACAATCCTGATGGCGATGGCAAGAAATCAGGTCGGTCGTCCGTCTACGGCGCATCGCGCAGCAACAGTCGCGCACCGTCAGCCCGTGAGAGCTTCGATCTGTCCCCCACCATGGGCGGCGATCAGATCCTCAATCTTCCACCAATGCCCTCCGAGATCACGGATGACTATACTTCTTCACCTGCTCGTAATTCTACTACCTCCCTGTCTCTCACCAAAACCAATGAAAGCGACGCTCCACCTTCTCTCCCACGCCGCCTCTCCGCCATTTCTCTCGCTTCGCCTCCCAAAAACCCACCAACAGCACGGACTGCTCAGCCTTCCAAACCCACCCCCTCAAAACCGCGGACACACTCATCACTCTCCGAGCAGGAGACTACTGTCATCATCGAGCTCATGTTTGCCGTTATCACAGAGCTTTATACACTCTCTTCTGCATGGACCCTCCGCCGCACTCTCCTCAATGCCGCAAAAACATTCCTTCTCCGCCCCGGAAACCCGCAACTCACCTCCATTCAAGCACTCCTACAAACCTCCGTTCTTGAAGCCTCAGCTTCAGATGCCGGGCTCGCTGCTCAAATTCGCAAGATGCGCGCCAACGCGCTGCCCACGCCCGACGAACTTGCGGCTTGGCCGGCGCCTCCGAATGAGGACGAGAAGGAAGCGTTGAGGATCAAGGCGCGGAAATTGTTAGTCGAGAGGGGCATGCCTCAGGCACTAACAAGTGTTATGGGAAATGCAGCGAGTGGAGAAGCATTGGGCAAAGTTTTTGACGCTATGCAAGTCGAGAGTGTGGCTAGAGGTGTTATCTTCGGGCTCGTGTTGCAAGGTCTGAGAGGTGTTACTCAGTAGATCTGTCATTCTTGTCTGGAGTTTGGACATTTGATGGTAAGTGAGAATGTGCTTTGACAGCTTGCCTTACCCTCCCCCTTCTTTACGCCTCGCGTCCTTGACGAGCCACTTGCTTGCTTTTTTGTCCGAGTTGCAGCGACGGGCTTTTCCGTCTGCTTTAGCGGATTGCTTCATATGTTTTTTATTCCCTTTCTTTCTTCTTATGGGTATGTCAAGATATGAGTCGTCAGAGGGAAAGCGAAACGCAATCCACACGGGAGGTTTGACTGTTTGAAACGAGAATGCGCAAATGGGAAATGGGACATGGAAACGCAAACTGCGAACATGATGAGATAAACGATGGCAGGGCCTAACTAGTATAATTATATATAATAACCAATTAAATGATGGATGATGAAGAAAATATCCATGCAAACTACTAGGAAGAATCAATCTCGTAGAGCTAGTCATTTGTCTATTGATTTTGAACCTTTTTTCCGGCTAAGGGTTGGCTATACGGCTCTCACTCACCAATCAAGGACCCAACAGCATTTTTGTTATTTTTCACGCACGTACATTTCGATGCGCCTACATCATGATCTTTTTAGCGCCGTGGGCGCTATTTGTCGTTGGCGGAGGTCAGGTTCCAGCGCTTACATGTGTACTTTCTGTAGTGTTTCGGCTTAGCCGCTGAGAGGGTGGGGACCGCGGGCGCTTGTTTTCTTGTTATTGTTTGATGGGCATGTGTGCACATACACACACGCATACATGTATATATATAGCGCGTGGAGTTTGGGGATACGGATGGGGGCGGCGTAGTTGATTCGAACATGTTTTGAAGGGGGTCTTTGGGGGTTATAAAGAAGTTAGGATTTGTGCGAGCTGAGGAGGTTTGACGATAACTTCATTCCATTCCAATCTAAACCTCTTCAGTTCTTTCGCTCATACAAGTGTTTTCTTTATAAGAGGTTGTTCCAGCTTTTATCTTGTTCTCTCCTTATTATTGGCATCGTCCAAGAAGAATACTCCGTAGTCTTGACTTTCTGGAAAAAGAAGACTGCAAACATATCCACATTCGCGAAGATGTCATACAACCCCAGCATCCGCCTCACCTCAGGCGAGCACGTCGAAATCGTCGACCGCACGCATCTCCCCTTCCACCGCATCGGCCGCCTCGGCATGGGCGCCAGCGCCCAAGTCGAAGTCGTCGAAGAGCCCACCACACGCCGACGCTACGCGCACAAAATCTTCACCCCCTACTACGGCCACACCCTCGAACGCTTCAAGAAAGAAGTGCAAAACGAAATCGCAATCATCAAGCGTCTCCGCGGACATCCACACATCGTCAACGTGGAATGGTCGTACGCGTGCGGCCGCGAGCTCGGGATCCTTCTCACGCCCGTTGCCAGCGATGGCGATCTCAGCGCGTACTTGTATGAGATACGGGTTCCTCAGGATGGCGGTAGCAATGGAAATGGTGGTGTTTCGTCTGCTACACGAGAGCAGAGAGCTGTTCTTGTGAAGGCTTTTGGGTGTCTTGCTAGTGGGCTTGCGTTCATGCATGGTTTGAAGATCCGCCACAAGGATATAAAACCTAGTAATATTCTTGTGCATAACGGTCATATGGTATATACGGATTTCGGCATCGCGAAGGACTTGGTGGGGATGAATACCATGACGAGCGGGAAGCCGGGAGGTTTCACGGACCGATATTGTCCTCCCGAAGTCGCGGAGTGGGATCCGAGGAATCGGAAGTCTGATGTGTTTTCCTTGGGGTGTGTGTTTATTGAGATCATGGCGGTTTTGTTCTCGGACGCGAGGGAGTTGGCAGAGGATCGTACGCCTTATCGGAAACGCCTTCAGGATGTGCAGGGGACTTTGATCCAGTGCAGTGTTGCCGATTTTGATCTTCGTCAATTGTTTGTCGTTATTTTGGGTATGGTTGAGGAGATGAGTGAGGACAGAGTTGGAGCTACCGATCTGGTGGACTGCTTGATGGATCTGAAGATGCCTTGCGCGGAGTCACTGTTCTGCAGACAATGCGGCGGTACCTGATTGCAGGATATTGCTTAGGAAGGGAGGTTTGTACAGCGTTCCCGCTTGATTTCGTTCTCCGTTCATTTGGGTGTTGGCGTTTTGTTTTTGCAGATCATCACAAATTTCAACTGTTATCACCAGTCTTGTTAAGCGTTCCTCTGCATTGACTTCACCTCGTTTCAATCGTATACATGTACATACAAGATGAATTCCCTCAATTTACTTGATAAACAATACCTAGTATTAGTGTGGCCATCCGCAGCTTCTCAGAATCAAGAAGAAGCGATAGGTCACGCATGCTCAGGACAGAAGGGTGCATAACAAGAGAGTCATCATTGACCTGTGAAAATCCTTCATCCCGACACGCCTATCCAATCCCTTCCCTTCCAAAACACCTACGCAAGACAAAGAAAAAAAAATACAGTCTCCTCGACAACCCAAACTCCTACAAAACCCTAGAGCCAATGATGACCGAAAAGGAAGTAGCTAGCTACAAAGAAAAGAAGTTCTTACCGAGCAAACTCGGTAAACACCACCAATGTTATTCTTCCACCTCATCGATCATCTCTCTCAGCGAAGGAACCCTTCACCCCATATTCCAGCAATAGCAAAACCATCCATTATTGCCCTCGTGAACCCCCTAGCCCGACATTGAACGTGGGTGACCGATCGGGAACAATGGTACAAAAGAAGAGAATAAATCATTCTTTTTTCGAACAACCATGGAAAAAAGCACCAAAACATCACACTCCGCGTCTCAAACTCACCCAACCGTACTCTCCTCCTCTGCCGCGCGCCTGAAGTAATCAGCGTCCACATCGCTCTGATTCCCAAGGTCCGCGGTGGGCAAATCTGTGCCGACGCCGGAATCGCTGGGCAGGGCGAATTTGCCATCTTTGAGCTCTTCGGCGATGACTTCCTCGACAGCGCGGTTGATCTCGGACTGCGTATGCAATGGTCCATCGTCGCTACCAGCAGTGGTGGTAGAAAGTTCAGAGCCAGTTACTTCGGATGCAGTGATCTCGGAAGGAGCAGCGAAATCGGTTTTATCGATCGTGGCGGTGGGATCGTCATCTTCAGCGTCGGATTGGTCGAGCTCGGATATCTCGTCCTCACTTTCCTCGTCGATACTCTCGGCGGTGTCGTGTACGGCCGAGTGTGCCATCGAGTTAAAAGATGTGCGGCGGTCGCCGTCGCTGTTGGTGAAGTAAGAGGAGCCAGAGTACATGCTATCAGTGCCGCCGTATTCCGATCGACTGTCGTAACCAGGAGTTTCGCCGTCAGTGTAGGATGTTGCATCAAGACTATGGCGGCGTTCGGTTCCTGTCTGGCTTCCAATATCGTCGTTGTTTTCCTCGATGATGAGATCAGCGTGGGTAGGGGTGCCTCGCTCAGTGGCAGCCTCATCCTCTTCACTCAAAATCTCGTTCTCTTTGTTCGCAATCGTCGCAGTAGGTCCCCAGGAACCTTTGCGAAGATTGTTCGTTCGAACTGATTGGCTTCGTTTGAGTCCAGCATTAGACAGACTGATGTTGGTCACGGGATAAGCCTGAGCCCCGGTAGGAGCATTGCCGCTGATTTGGCTCAAAGAATGGATACGACGACTGGCAGGATTTGGTGGGCCGTTACGACGAATAGCTGGTCGAGGCTTCAGGGCGAGAGACAATCCGTTGGCTACCGCACTTGGAGGAGGCATCAGCTTGCTTGTATCGGCGGGAACATCCACGCTCATACGCTTTTTCTGTTTGATGGGGCTCTTTCGTCCATCCTTCGCAATCATGAGTGCGCGGGAGTGGTCCATCAAACCATTGACAATGCGGCGTTCGAGAGCGTCGGCTTTGGCATCCATCATGTGAAGTTCCTCTCGTCGAATATCAAGTGCGGTGTGCAGAGAGGAGACTTGACCGGTAAGACGGATCTTCTGGCTAGCGAGGTTTTCCCGCTCAGCTTGTAGGGTAGCCACCACAGCAAGAAGGGAGTCCTTTTCTTCTTTGACTTCCTGGATAGTACGTTCTTTCTCTTCTTTCAATTCAGCCATGGCACGTTCCTTTTCTTCCTTGAGCTCCTGCATTACTTGCTGTTTCTCCGCCTTTAGAGCTTCAATGTCAGCTTCGAGCGATTCCTTTTGGGTTGATCTGCGCTCGACCAAGAGAGCGAGCTCCTCGGCCTCTCGCTCTTTCGTCTCGTTGCCATCTGTGATGAATTGAGTTTGTTTGGCGACGAATTCACTAACTTCAGTGGCGGTCGCTTTGACTTGAGCGTGAATCTCGTCCAGACGCTCCACTTGATCCGCAGCCTTGTCGGCTTCATCAACGTGACCCAGCAGTCTATCGAGCTTCTCTTGTACCTGAGCGTCATCGTACTTCTCGGGCATTTCGATGGTCGGTGCAGGCGCGGGGAGAAGCGCTGGTAGAGATGAAAAGTGTTTCTGGAGTTCTTCAGCGCGAGATTTGGCGTCCTCGTTCATTGCTCGAGCATGCTCTTCCGCATCATCTTTCATCTTCTGGGCGTGATCGTAATGCGCCTTGACTAATGCCTCGATCTCCCGAAGCGCAACCATGAATTTGGGGTGATATTCAGTGACATTATCCTGGAGACCGATAAAGATGCGTTCGATGTTCTTGATTTCATCGCGAGTGTGCGAATGCTCCGTCTTGTCTTCAAGCTTCTGGTCCTCAAGCTTCACCAATGCCTCGTCTACTTTGGTGAAGACTGTTGAAGAATCCGTCGACCACTTCTGAGTTGTTTCCTCAAATTTGTCGTTCATGTTGGTGATGGAGCTGCCCAGGGTGTCGATGGTAAGACGAAGTTCGTCGGCCATGGTCTTGGCTTCTTCGAGGATCTTCTCCTGCGATTCCGCCTTCTCTTTCATTACCTTGGCCTGCTCATCAGCAAGAAGTTGAGCATCGTCGTATTTGGCCATCAGGGTGTCGAAGCGCTCATCGATCTTCTCTGTAAAGCTCGCAATGATGGCATCTTTCGCTTCGCTGGTCTTCTCGACTTGGTTGACTTGAAGGTCCGCAATTGATCCATGGGCACGTTCGAACTCGCGTGCAACAGTCTCCATCAACTCCTTTATGTCAGGGGTGATGTTGAAGTTCGTGATGACATTATCTTCCATTGCTTTGAAAGAGTCTTTCAGTCCATCGAGTGACCCACCCTCAGTGAGGGAAGCAACGATGTGCTCCTTTACCTCATCTAGAGTAGTCTTGACCTCGCCCAAATCCTCAGACAAGCCTTTTGCTTCGTTTCGCCGGTCATCGAAACTCTTGGCCGTCACTGCGATGTCGTCCTCGTATCGTTCCTTCAAGTCGTTGACACAGTCATTGAGTTGGTCGAAATCAGTCTTCGTTGGAAGTTGTTCGGGGTCGGAGATCTTCAGTTCATCGAGCTTGATTTTAAGATCATCAACAAGTAGTGACAGGGCATCAACGTCGGCCTTGCTGGCTTGCGGGTTGTCGTCTTCTTCAGACTTTGATGATTTCATCTCATCTAAAGCAGTCTTGATATCATCAGCAATCACCTGTACTACCGTGACGTCTGCCTTCGAAGCTCCTTCCTCCTCAATCTTTTTAGCCAGGGTTTCGATGGCTTCCGACGTGGATCGAACTGCCAGCTCGACCTCCTCCAAATGCTCCTTGGTCGCACTGGTTGCTGGATCGGGAAGTGGGAGCTCTTCGAGTTTGGCTCTCATGTTATCAAGCAATGTCTCGATAGCATCGGTGTCTTCTTTGGACGCAAGTCCCTCGGCAGGAGGTGCGGGGGTTTGCTGATCCTGTAATACCAGAACAGCAGCATGGACGTCTTTGAGGAGCTCCTCGATGCTGACAAGATCATCTTTCAATGCCATACCAGTGAGATCATCCTTCATTGCTGTACCTGGAGCTGCAATAGGCTCAGGGGTCGAGGGATTCTGAATGTTGGCATCCATAGCTTCTACTTTGATCTGTAGCTGTGCGAGTATGACTTCCATTTTTTCGAGATCATTGCGTCGCAAAGAGTCGGAGTCAGAGTCGGGGACTATCTCACGGCTAGTTGTATCAGGTTGAGCTTGTTCGGGATCCTCTGCGAGCACGACTTCATTGCCGGTCGTTACCGGCGTTTCTCCATCTTCATTGGTCCTGGAGGCAGCTTTGAGCTTCTCAATATCTTCCCGTAGCTCTCCCAGTCCGGACTTGAGCGTGTCCAGAATCTCATAGGAGACAGTCATGTCCACAGGCTTGTTGACGGCCTTGTCGACATCTGTTCTCAGCCCCTCTAAACCTTCATTGAGTACATCCAGAATGTCGTTGGTGGCTGACATCTGTCGATCAGGGTTGTCAAGCTTCTTCTCCAAATGCGACCGAAGATCATCAACGTTCAAGCGAATTTGATCTAGCATCTCTACGGATTCGTCGTGCGTACGCTGCTGGATTTGTGCTGTCGAAATGCGGAATTCGCCCCGGAAGGCTTCAAGCAGCTCGGCATTAACATTTCCAGAGGCAGAGCCAGCTTTAAGTTCCTCCAGGGCGGCTTTGATAGCGTCAAGTATGTCGGCCTTCTCCGCGGGATCTTCTGCTTTGACAAGACTACTTCCAAACGACTCTTTCAGGTTGTCAAGGTCTTGTTGGAAGGCGGCCAGTGATTCTTTGGCTGTAGTTTCTTGGTCAACGCGGAGACCGTCTCTTATCTCACGTACAGCATCGATAATATCCTCCTTGTCTGCCGGGCCGCCGGATCGTATAAGGCCACCGGCGAGCGTTTCACGGAGATGCTCGAATTCCTCTTTCATGGCAACGAGTACTTCATCGTTGGTGCCAGACGAAGTATTGGCATGCTCTTGGAATAGCACATGTAGACCGTCGAAGCCGTTTTGCAACTTCTCAATTACTTCGCCCTTGTGTGTTGAGTGGTCGGCTAGAAGGCTGTCCTTGAGTAACTCAAGCTCCTCCTTCATGACCGCATCGAATTCCTCGTTCGACCCCGGATCCATGTTACGGGTAACGACTTGAGAGTTCATGCCACCAAACCCAGCGTTCAAAGCCTGGAGGATCTCTTCCTTGTCGTCGTTGGTGGGAACCTTCTGCTTCGCCATCTCCTCTAAGAGATGCTCAAACTCAGACTTTATATATGTGATCAAGTCTTCTTGCTTGAATTCTTGGTCCCCACGCAAGCCTTCGGCTACATAACCTTGAACATCGATCCGAAGCTGACCAAGTTCTGCGTGGAGGTTGTCCAGAATTTCGTCCTTGTGTGTGGTGTCCTGGGCTTTGTCGACGTAGCCGTCAATTTGGGATCGAAGATTGTCTAATCCCTCACGGAGAGCCTCAAGCACTTGTTCCGTGTCGTTTCCTTTTCCAGAAGATGTTTTGAATTCGGAATGCATCTCTTGTACTAGAGATTGGAGATGTTGCATTGCGGGCTCATCGTTGGTAGGGGCAGATAAAGCGCGGGATGATTCCAAGCCGACTTTAACAGCATCGTACAGAGCCTCCGGTGGAATGTCCAGAGTCTGGCCTTCGGGCTGATGTTCGGCGAGAGCTTGCTTCATGGCATCAAGAATGAGTTCTCGAGAGACACCTTCTGATGAGGATTGTTGAGACACAAGAGAAGGTTTGAAATCCTCTAGACATTCTCGAACCGCGAAAAGAACTTCATCGCGCATTTCGTGGGCTTCGTTGACCGGCGCAGGTAGCTGAACATGTCGCAATGACTCTTGGATGGTTTGTTCGATGTGCTCTCTAGAAACTCCATTGTTGGCTTGATAGTCCTGCAGTCCCTCACGAAGACAATCAAGAACTTCTTCGTTTTTCAGTCCGATCGTCTGAATTTCAATATTGGGCTGATATTCTTCAAAAGCGACCTTGACTGCCGAAACAATGGCCTCCTTGTCTAAGGATGCTGCGTCCGGGGAGTATTTATCGAGGCCGCGTTCAGCAAGAGCATGCTTGACGACGTCGTAAACTTCGTTGCTATCAACTGTGTTGCGAGTTGTCACTGAAGACATTGACTGCCGCCTCCGGTCGCGCATGACCCGATCCATGTGCTCCTTGAGGTCTTCTAGACCGGCCTGAACGATTTGCCCTACCTCCTCGTTAGGTCGACCAGATTCGAGAGCAGGCTGTTCAGATCTCTCCATCATTGCCTCCTCGATCTTACGAGCCAGTTCTCGGCCCATCCCTAGGACTTCGCCACGAAGGTCCTGGATCAAGGCCTTGTTGCTCATAGTGACACCACCGGCCTCGGCTACACTATCTTTGATTTTGCGAAGAAATTTGAGCATTTCCTCGCTGACAAAATCAGCAGCCTTGGGGCTGCTGTATGGTTTCCCGCTTTCCGAGACCTTGTGCAGTGAGACCCCCTCGCTGACAGTGCGAGTGAGCGGGCCTGCACCATTTGGAGACGACTGTGAGGCGTTGGCGGCGTTATTGTTCGTAGAACTTTGCTTGACGAACTCTACCATCTCAGTAACCTTTTTCGCTGTCTCCCCGGTTGCGCGATCGACAATCTTTTCCAAGGCATTGACGAGTCGGTCCTGGCCGTCCTTGGTCACCATCTCGCGAATAATCTTCTCAAGCATGGCAACACTCGCAGCACCTTCCACAGAGTATGGATTCGGGCTACCTATTCTATCTTCCATGATGAAACCAGGAGATCCAGCTCTCGGAGGCATAGCGAAAGGTTTCGTGGGGGTCATGAAAGGGTCTTTGGCACCCAGGCTGCTTCCGGATCGGGAGAACTCTGCAGGGCCACTTATAGCATGTTGCGTCTGGCCCATGGAGCATACAAGGTCCTTGAGAGACTTTCGAATGTCCTCGTCACGCTGATTTGTAGCTTCTTTGAGGCCGTGCAGATCCATTGCGTTGTCCTTGCTGCGGCGGCTCAATTGCGACATGTCCTTTTGCAGACTGGAGACAATGTTGGTGATACTGAGCAATTGGGTTGATATAGCATCCGAAGGCTCAGCAGAGGTGACGGCCGGTGACGGCGCTAGTGGAGGTGGGGATGATTTGGAGGGAGTGCTATTCACGCTGTGGGTGGGGGGATCGAGCATGTGAGGCGGGATGGTCATGTTCTGCAGGGCCATCATAGTGGCGGATGGAGGAGTGTTTTCGCCGAGAATGGATTTATGGGTGAGGCGAGCGGAGGGTCGAAGCGGGGGAATTTCTTTGAGGACATCAGGAGATGAGATGGAAGGTGCAGCATCTACGCCGAAGTAGTCGTGTTCAGACTCGCGTGGAGGTGTTCCTGACCGTGTCTTCGGTCGTTCTGTCGAGCGTTCTGGGCGCTCTGGGGAACGATGTGTGTCGAGGTAACTACGCAAGTCTCGAAGGCCTGATGTCTGCAGTGACTGCATGCGCTTGTGGTGGGCGCCTTTGATCAGGGAACGCTCCGGAGATCTCTGTGGCAGGGGGTTAGTAGTGTATGAGCTCGTAGGCATGCTTTCGCGCGCCTTCTCTTCCAATGCTCTTGCAGCGTTGGCTATGGCCGACGAGGTGCCAGGGCGAGTGGTCAAGACTGGCGACCCTGGATTGAGCGGAAGAGGCGGCGGCGCACGATCCGGGTCTGAACTGTCCCACCTGTGGAGAGTTGCAACGTCAGCTGACGACTCATTTTGGCGTTTTCTGTGACTGGGAGCGGCGTACATTGGGATCAGTATCTTGCCGTCTGCCGACGAGAAAGAATGTGAGTGTCGAACTAGCTCTCTATCTCGAGAGCTCTCCCTCTCCACAGACATGTTGGAGGTCTGCTGGAAGCTGGGACTAAGATGTGGAGTAGTGTGGATTGCGGCCTATGGTAGGCAGAACGACCGGCGCAGATGCAATGCGCGCGGTAGTGTGATAAGTCGAGTAGACGGGATTGAGATGATATTCTCAAGTGATGGTCTCAAACGGGCGCGTGCAGCATTCAAGCGTGGGTATCGATTTCTAGTACGGCTCAAGGGACCATGGAGTGGAGAGCGGAGGATGTGTTTGTGGGGGAAGTGAGTACGTATAATTGTGAGGCGGTCAGTGAGGTGTTGATGTATCAATGTTTGGAGTCCCGAGCGCAATGATATCATTGGTGCGGACCATTGCCAGCGCACCTGATCGTTTCCCCAGCAACCAAAATATCATCTCCCCATCGATTGCTACGCACAGCACCGCTATTCGGCACAGCGGACTCCAGTCAACGCCATTTCAAGAGAATAAATTCATGACAACGGCCAATGTAGTTGCGGACCATTCTGATTTGCGTGAGCATAACAGAATTCTACGCATATAGCGGGAGTGAGGTTGGTGATGCTGTACATAGTAGCGGGGGCAACCAGAACCCTCGGCGGGCGGCGAAACGTAAATCCGCAGCCCGCCGCCACCATCCATGACCGATGTTGGGAGAGCTCAGGCTGATGGCAAGCGGTCGATTCATAGCTTCACCGTAGCCAACCCAGCCCTTCCATCGCCCGCATCAACACCCCTTCTACCTCGATCTCCTGCTCTTGCTTGCATACATCTGACTCGACGACGAGGACGACAGTACCCACTGTCCCGCACGTGCACGCCTACGCCTAGTACCCACGTCCATACACATCCACCCGACCGCCATGGCTGTCCCCGAGACCAGCAAGCAAATAGTCGAGGCGCAAAAGATTGCGAAGACGGACCCGAAGAAGGCTGAGCAGGTCTTCAAGGAGGTCTTGTCAACAAACCCCGGGTCCAATGAGGCCGCCATCAAGAACTACGAGAGTGCCTTGATCAGTCTGGGAGAGCTGTTTCGCGACCAACGTCGCGTGGATGCCCTCGCCGAACTTGTGAGGCAAACACGATCGGTGCTTTCGTCTTTTGCGAAAGCAAAGACGGCAAAGTTAGGTAAGTGAGCAACAGCAAGAGTCGGGCACAGGTACTTGCATCTATGCATGTATGCATGCATCCCGGCCACATCCTGCCCACACGCCATGTGCGTACGTACGCGCATGTTCATGTTCCCGCTAACCCAACTGTAGTGCGGCAGTTGCTCGACCTCTTCACCACCATCCCCAACACCACCGATGTCCAAATCGCCGTCACCAAGTCATGCATAGAGTGGGCCGTATCGGAGCGAAGAGGCTTCCTGCGCCAGAACCTGGAGACCCGCCTTGTCTCCCTCCACATGCAAAAACAATCCTACTACGACGCTCTCACCCTCATCAACAGCCTGCTCAAGGAGCTCAAGCGATTGGATGACAAGCTGGTGCTAGTCGAGGTGCAGCTGTTGGAGTCAAAGGTCTATCATGCTTTAGGCAACATACCCAAGGGGAGAGCCGCCCTAACGTCGGCCCGAACTTCAGCTGCTTCGGTCTACACGCCCCCGCTGCTGCAGGCTGGCCTCGACATGCAGAGCGGTATGCTTCACGCCGAGGATGGTGACTTCAACACATCCTTTTCCTACTTTATCGAGGCCATGGAGGGATATCACTCGCAGGATGAGGCACAAAAAGCCACGTCCGCACTCCAATACATGCTTCTTTGCAAAATCATGCTCAACCTAGGCGATGACGTGACGTCGCTCATGGCGTCGAAACACGCCATCAAATACGCAGGCAAGAGCTTAGATGCCATGAAGGCTGTAGCGCGTGCCCATACCAACCGCAGCCTGGAAGAGTATGAGACGGCGCTGGAGGACTACCGACGGGAACTGGGAAGCGACCGATTCATCACAAGTCACCTTCGGCGATTGTACGATAATATGCTGGAGCAAAACCTGATCAAGGTCATTGAGCCGTTCAGCAGGGTAGAGATTGAGCACATTGCCAAGATGGTGGGCCTTGACACGGTTCAAGTAGAGCGGAAGCTGTCACAGATGATTCTGGATAAGGTCATCATCGGAGTTCTGGACCAGGGAGCTGGTTGTTTGATCGTCTTCGACGAGTCCGAGAGGGATCAATCGTATGACGCGGCTCTCGACACAATCGAGAAGATGAGTAATGTGGTTGATGTGCTCTACACGAACCAGGCGTCGTTGCTAGAGTAGGTCGCGTGGGCCACGGCGGAGGATGGTGGAATCCAAGTTAAATTAGGAGGGGGAGCGGGTCCTTGATGATCCCTGCCCCAACGTCTCTACTCGGAGCTACCACGGCATTGTCCACAGTTATACTGAGAAGAACGAACTGGCAGGGCGCCCTGTTCTGCTGAATAGAGAAGACACTACGGGGAAATTCACTCGAATGACGAATCAACAATTGAACACTATCATTGGCTTCTTCGGGGGTGTGTGTGTGTGTGTGTGTTTATGTGACTGTCCACGACAAAGGGTGTGGACAAACAGGTGGGAGCAAGATGGGAATAAGCACTGTGCCTCGTCCGCTTGCTCGTACGTCTCCCGATGTAGATGTATATAGCATTATAGCATACAACCTTGGGCCTATAAGATGTGCATCTGAGACAATGGACGTAGATGGAAAGCATCGAACATGGGGTGTAACAAGTCAGTGAATGGAATTCAGCATGGCAAAAGTAGACAGAGGGAACAGGAAAGACAACAGGACAATTAGCCCCTTCTCACAGTCCGGAGCAGCAGCACCAACCGTGCTGGCCCCCGGGGGCTTGGCGGATTACAAGAGGTAAGAATTGGGATGCAGCCAAAAGGATGCAGACAGTGTAAGCAGAGCAAGGAGGGGCTCCAGAGTAGCTAGCGCTGTTGTAAAGTGATGATGAGTCGTGACAAGGTATTGCCCCCCTGTTCTACCACGAGGTGACGATTCGTTCGCGTGCCGTGTATGCCCTTGTCGTATTGTGTTTCGTGTATGGAAGGGGCTGAAGTGATTAGCGTCGGAGATACTAAAGACGACGATGCACACTTAGCGTACATGGGAGACAGCAACTCGACACACTGCTAGGAAGCAGGCATGAGGTAACTGGGCATGTATGTATGCGATGATGGTGCGGTACTATAGGGAGAAGCAGCCGGCCGATAATGCCCTGCAGCGGATTCAGGTGCCCACTACTTTGCAGTCAACTGATGATTCGAGCACACAGGCAGACAGAAGGAGAGGCAGAGAAGAGAGAGACTGGCAGAGTGTCAGGTCGAGCCCTGCATGGCTCCCTGCACTTCTGACAGGTTTGATCCCCCTTCTAGAAGCTTTTGGAGTCTTTTCTCTCAATTTTTTTTTTCTTCCTTTTCAGCTGGGTTCCAACACCACACTAGCTGGCTGGCTGGCGGATGGTGGTTCCCGCGCTCAGGGCTACACTACACTACGTACGCTACGTACGCTACAACATGGTCAAGGTCTCTTACCATCGTCCTCTGTCTATGGATGGATGCAGCGTGTGCGCACAAACGGATTTCGGCCTTCAAGTGCTGTTCTCCGCCTTTTTTTGCTCAGTCTGTCGACTGTCCATCCTGTGTATTCTGCTCGCCCTCCCCAGCGCTGAGGCATCTGAGCTTGGTTCTCGCCAATGCTGCACCACCACCACCACGAGCACCACCACCACCATCATCACCGTATACACTAGGCGCTACCCGCGCGGCATGTTTCTCGCTTCCCCTTTTGACTTTGTCCCCTCAGAAAACAGCCTCCACCTAAACGGCGCCAGCAGCCATGTTTCTATTCTCAACACTCGCTCGCGTTCCCTTGTTGGTGCCGGTCCGGGTTGGGTTTCGTCAAGACCAAATAAGCACTTGGTCAAGAGCGCCCGCTCGTAAAGCCTCCCAACACCAATCACTGCGCCCGTCAGGCCGACAGACGAGTCAAACACGACCTCGCACCCAGAAAAGGTTGCCGAAATTCTCCACACCTCCCATGTGCGCGACCAGGCCTGGCAGATCTCGTCCCGAACGCAAGTCAGCAAAGCCCGGGGCTCGGTCACAGTCGACTGCTGGCTAGTCGAGATGTGATCAAGCTTGGTGTTCAACACTTCCAACCAGCACCATGTTTCGGCCCCCGACAGACGAATCGCTTCTAAATGAAACGGAGCTTATCCCCATTCCCTCGCCTCAGTAGTGTGCCGCAAGGGTCACTAAGATGGTGTTAAGTTGGAAGCCAAGCCTATACTACCGGTATAGTTGCTGCTGTCCATCTATGTCCATGTGCGGCAGCACACACGCCTGTATGCCGTCGCTTCATCCTCCCGCCACCCAGCAGCAGCAGCATGCAAACCATCCACCCACCAGCAGAATCAATAGATGCACAAGCAAGCATGATAGATGGAGAGACACACACACCGTACCATGGCGACAACCCGCGATGCAGCCGCCCGTGTGGAGGCCGAGACTTCACCTCTCGTGCCCCCGTCGCTCGACGCGGGAGCGGTTGATCGATTGATTGCTTCGACGTACTGCTCGGCCCAATGCTGAGTCCGACATCAGATCAGCTTTGGATTGGACGAGGGACTGGTCACTGGGAAGCCCGAAAGCCCTCGCCGCTTGCGTTACAGATACCTCGCTGGGGTCGTTGGTTGTCAAAGTCCGTAGGTAGGTAATACCTCGCTCGCTCGTCTCCCCTTTCCTCCCAGCATTACCAACCCACATCAGCAGCTGGCTAGTTTACGGATACTTGCCTCATCTTGATGGCCAACTTGTGGGCATCTCTCTTGCTGCCTGCTGAGGCTCCAAATCCTTTGGTGCAGTGCCCACCATCTGCCCGCGCATCTAACGCAGCCATTTTCATCCTTCGATCCATATTGTATGGCCTATCCACACCGCATCGCATGACAGCATATGCTATAGTCGTCATCAGCATCATCGTCATCATCATCATTCCTTGCTTGTTTGCTTGCATCTGCCTGCATCCACCAGCCTACATACATAACACATACATACATACATATATACATGCCTACATACGTACATACTTACATACACCCTGACATGACCCCTACCTGCTGCGTGCGTATGTAAGTATAGGAACCTATCCCCCTCCTCTACCATGCACGTCGTTCCTATCTTCCGGAACAGCAAGGGTCTGCTCTTACCACGTGGAAGCAGAGCACCAAGGAGCCATCTCTGGCGCATCGTCTTCAAAGTTTACGCTGTGGCGCTCGCCACGCTCTGCTCGGCATTTTCCTGCCAATGGATGGGGGGATTCGGACCCAGGCGTTCACCACCAACGGACCCTCCTGTGCCCTCGCGTGGAATGGATCAATGCCATGATGCATTTTGTCTACCCTCCAGCCAGCGGCAGGTCTAACCATCTTCATGCGCTGAGCACTGTAAGCCAACCAAACCCAATGACGAGGGCCCACTTAGCAAGTGTTGTAGCGCCCTGCATGCCTCCACCATGGCGGCATTACTCCATCGAATATACGAACCTGACTGACTTTGGCCTCGCAAAGTGGTTTGGCACAATAGGCGGTCTGTGGAGAGAATGAGGGACCGGACGGGGGTCCATGTGCACGTGCAGAGCCCTAATATCTGCCGTACCGTACAATGTACATGCTTGGTATGACCTAGCTGTGCGTTGGGTCCATTTGCCTGTCTTATTTTAGGGTCACTGCGTGCGATGCTCGCGGAGCGCAACATTCTGATACCCAGTGATGACAACACTATGGTACGGCCTGCACCTCACGACCCGCGCCCAGGCTTGTGCAGCTCCCTGTGCAAATGAAAAAAAAGTCTGCAGACCATCTTCCTATCGTGGAACTTCGTTTAGCCTACTTTACCTGGCTACACCTGGAGTTATATATCTCGTGCCTGGAAACGTGACTTCTGGTACACACATGCAGCTGTGTACTTGCCTTACATATACTTGCACCGAATCTTAACCCCTCCTTCCTTCACCTGTCATCCCATCTCACTTACACCACATCTCTCAACATCTGCCCGCTGCTGTCGGCAAACACCACTCCTCCCTCGGGCTTTCGGATCATGGCAAGACGAAGAATCCTCGTGACCGGCGCACACAGCCTTATAGGGTCGCATATCCTCCGCCAACTACTATCTTACAATGTATCCGTCCGGGCCGTAGTCGGATCCACTGGAGATGTGCAGAGTCTACGTCAGCAGTATCCCCCAACGACCTATCCAGACCTGGATTTCACTGTCGTACCTCACCATCAACTCACTCGACCGAATGCCTTCCAACAGTCTCTGAGGGACGATCGGGACCCTTTCGATACAGTCATCCACACGGTGACTGCGGATCCTTCGGACGAAGCCGACTGCCTTGCTCGATTCATCAACTTGGAATCCGAGTCCTTGACCAACTTTCTCAAGCTTGTCAGCCAATCCGCCCCTCAAGCCCAGAGGGTAGTTTTTGCAACTTCACTATCGCCCTTTGCTCGCTGGCTGGTTGATCCCCAGGTGGCAAGAAGTCCCTTTGCCGGCACTCCGAACCACTCTCGGGCAGCAAGCATTGACTCGGAGTATGTTCTCGCGACCAGTCAAGCCAGCGATAACATTGTCTACGATGCTTTGTCAACGTGGATGAGGGACAACCGAGCCAGGTTTGATCTCGTCTATCTCACCGCACCTAGCGTCTACGGTCCATCAATACGGCCCCTGGAGAATTCCTCCGACTTGCAAGAAGCAAACCGGAGGATATGGAACATTTGCAGCAATGACTCGAGCGAACGCATGACTTCACCTCCCTACGGAATAGACTACTTCGCAGATGTCAGAGTAAGTCGAACATGTCACAGTCTACATTCTCGATGGTGAATGCTAACATCAGGACTCCAAAGGATCTGGTTTATGCCTGCGTGGAATCCGCGTTTGTGCCGCAGGCCGGTAACAAGCGATTTGTGATATCCGCAGGGACAATGCCATCGAGTGCAGCAATTGCAGATTTCCTCATCCATAGGTTTCCCGAGCTCGGAAGCCGAGTCAGATCCGAGGGCTCGCCACCGCGCCGGACCACGCCTGGAGAGGCGCCACTGGAGTTTGTTGACACACGTCTGGCTGCGTCGGTCCTTGGCTTGGGGCAGTACCGCAAGGTGGAAGATACTCTGACCGACCTTACCCAACAGATTCTGGAGCTCCATCGCCGCAAAGAATGGAAGAGGGTCATCCAAAGCTAAAGCGAGTACAGTTCGGCGAGAGAAGCTTGACGTCTTAGTTTACATGGAGCAAGCAGAGCAAAGGTGACGGCTATGCACACGGTAGAGCGTAGAGGACTTTCCCCTGGGATTGTGCTAGATGCACAAGAGGTGAAGCCGTGTGTACTCGTGCAACAGGTGTCGCGAGCAGGCTGCCGTTTCCAGCAGTGTCCAAGGATGTAGCAGCGGCGTTCGACCCCACATGGCTACGAGATTCCACTAGCCCAAGCATATCATGGCAGTAGATCGACATGTCCGGAGATTCCAACGGTCAGCGTGCCATACACCCTCGTCGACTTGCTGCAACGGTTGTGACGTCGCACACAGTTAGTGTAGCAAAGACTGGGCTGGACGAGAAAGAGGGCGACGGCTCGATACCAAGTGGCTGGGACACACGGGAATTATGCGAAAGCATTGGGCGCATCCCAGTTAGTCGAGCCTCCATCTGGACTTGGGCGACTATGCAATGCGCGCGCATGTACGATGTTCCAACCTCATCCAGAAAAAGGCAAACATCCTATTCTCACGTACGACACAGATTGGCCGAGTGACAAGCAGAACGAAAAGAGGCGGGAGAGAAATAGCAACACACAGCGCTCGAGACTGATCAGAGTCGATCTGACTCCATCCCCATTCCGCATCTCGTATATTTTCATCAGACGCCCCGTTCCGCACAGCTCTGAGGTTGAAATTGGCGTGGGCGTTCGCTCGTGGTTCTAACCCGCGTTCGGATACTGGCCCGTTTGGGGAAGGTGTTATTACCCGATTCCCGGTACAAGAATCAGCGCGCGGGCGTCTTCTTTTTCCCTTCTTCGCAAATTCCCTGTTCTTCTGCTCCATCGACGTCCGAAGTCCGGCGACGGCGACGTCGTTGCGCATACACACGCCTGCGCCGCCCACACGTGAGCACAACATGGCTGCCTGCCCTGGCCCATACTTTCGCTACGCCGCCAACAAAGGCAATCCGTAACAATCAGCAGGAATGCGCTCGAGGCATCTAGAGACTTGCACGTTACTCCACCATATGCACGGGGATGCGGCCCAGACTCCAATCTCAGTCGTCTCTGCTGCCAAACCCGCACGCGAAGCCCAAAGCAAAGAGTGAAGCGAGGCATCGGCGAAGGATCCGATCCCGCGGGCCGCGTGCGGATCTCTGCTGTTACGCTGGTCTAGCTCTTGAATCATGGTCGCTCATGTCCGTCCCCAATTGCGAGATGGGAAGAAAGAATAAGGAAGACGAAACGGCAATTGTCGTCGCCGCCGCCATTGTCGGTCTGCGCTTTTCTTCCATGCCCGTCTTGGCTCTACGGATTCATCTATCGTGAATAGTGGAGCGTTTGGATTCTTGGGAATAACAACGCCCCAGCTAGCCATCCCGCCACTATGCTTGACTAGGAACTCCGTCCATCATCTTTAGATTTCCCGATCTGGGGGTCCTCTTCGTTGGTGTTTTAGCTAACTCGTTTTTCTTTTACGGCGAGGCGATTCCGGCGTTTAAGGTCTGTTGAGTCGCTGTCGTTGTTCTTCCCGCGGGAAAGAGGGTGAGATTCGAACGGGACGTGTCAAATGCCCCTGGCGGGCGTTGCATGGCAGATTCTCCAAATAAGAGAGGTCTCATGGTTTAACAAAGAAAATGAAGTTTGGACATCTGGGACGCTTTACGCGGGGAAACTTGACGAGAATTTGCATCTTTTTCTCCCTAGTTGTTCTCATCTTATCTCTAAACATACTTATATACCCCCTCAATCATGATATATTACTCTCTCTCTCATCGTCCACAATGACTTGGTGTTTTCTATACTCTATTATTTGTCGCTTTTTGAAACCGCTTTCCCTTCTTTATAGTCAAATCATGTACATACACGAACGGACTAACTGTATACACCACCTCAACTCAAAAAGCTACAAACACCCCATCGCGCGTTCAGACGCGGTGGCAAACACTTTAATCATTACATATATATAAATCCAACCGCCCCAACCCATCAAGTCCTCAAAGCTAGTAGAAAGGAAAAAAACCCATCTGTTTTTTTTTCTTTTCTAGCAGAGAGCTAAAAACACAGAAAGAAAAGAGGAATAAAAGAAAAGGGGGGGGGGGCGCTATATATACTCGCCAACGTATAATCTTACGTTTCGTCGGTTTTCACTGCTCATGTTATGGATGGGACAGTTTTGTTTCTATTTATTGTGTCTTGCACAGCCTTGCATTTGTCTTTTACTACATGTAAGGAGGTATGTACATAGCTATGTACTTACATACGCAGCCTTGCTTACCTAAGAAAGAAGTCGTCTTGATTTGCGTGGCTGATCTGTCTCTCTTCCCTTGCTTGCCCCGCTTCCCATTCACCTATCTTACCTAACTCTCTCTCTGCGTACATGCGCGCTGAACCAACTAAAGCCTAATAAACAAAAGAAAAAATATATTAAAATCAACCTCTTTTCTTTGTTGAATTTCTGCATCCCCGCGATCCTGAGAGAGAGAAAGAGAAAAGAGGGTGGGCAAGGAATAATGGCGACGATAACGGTTGAACTGCAAACGGGCGACTTGGCGTGTGGCGAGTACACGATTCACGCGAGAGATGCTGACGGTATGTTTTTTCTTATGTTATTTCTTATGTTTAAGGACAGACTTTGATTTTTACGATTTTTATTTTATCTTTTTGAGTGAAACGGGATTTTGGTCCTACGAATTCTTGTTCTTTTTTATGCTTTAATCAACTGGGGAAATTGACAGATAATATTCAGTGTTCATATATACAAATATTGTATGCTGGAAATGTTTGATAGAGAGAAGGATGCTTAAGGTGTATTTCTTTAATACGCCTTCGTCTAGACTCTTCCTTTTTGTTTATATACTTGTCTGCTTTCAACTCTTCAGTCATGTTGTATTATTTTCTTTCTTTTTTCTCACTGTCTCACCAACTGGAACTTAATAAATCAACTAGAGTTATCGATTTTATGCTCGCTGCCTCCTGGGCAGCTCGTTGGAGCGAAACTGGTCGTTCATCGAGGTATGTTCTTTCTAATCATTCCCAATCTCTTCGCTCCAAAGGAGGAGGGTCTAAAGCGCCCAATATACAGAAGCCCCAGTGAGTTCATGGGTAAGATATGGGGGAACAATCAATGGTGTATCTGCGGTACTGGGATGGACTGCGGCTGTTATGATTTACCTGAGAAGGTAACGGAAAACAAAAAAAAACAGGGGGTTATTATGAGCTTCTGTAATGCTATCGGCAGACATGGACATGTTTTTTTTAGTTGTTCTTGTGTCTTTTGGTCATTGGACATTGGGTGTTTCCAGAAAGTTGATATTCATCGTGCCCCGATTTTCAACAGCGTTGTCTCGATAGTCTGCCTGCACGAGCGAGCGAGCAACATACCCGATTCAGTACTCGTACGATAGATAGGACGAGTGTAGTAAGAGCCGCACAAAGCGCAGTAGCACCGAGTATGGTAGAGTTAGACCAAGGAATCGGTTTGAGTATGTCACCGTGTCCAGCTAAATCCCTTGCAGAGTTCCGCAGTAAGCAGTGCGCCTTGTTGTATTACACTATACCGAGCTATTCTTTACACAGGTATAAGCAATGAATAGCGCAAGTATAATTGAGACACTCACCGTTATGCGTTCTTGGTAAACAGGTCGGCGATTCGATTGTGGGTTTCATGTTCCTGTTGTATAGGCGGGCCTGACCATGCATCACTACAACTCGTCCAATCAAGTCGTCTCACCCATCGCTGTTGAGTTCGAAGTCGCGATACCAGTGAGACTAATTCCGCCTGAGCAAATCGTGTATGAGTGTAAGCCTTGTTGTTATACTCGATAATGTTTTCAAATCTTAAGCGCGGACACGGTAGACTAGCAGCTCACGGTATGCTGTCGCTAAATAACAATCGGTTGGTTTGTGTTGTTCGTGTTTCACTCCAAGGGCGGCTGTGATTGGTGATTTTCGTTTCAACTCCCGACGTGTGGCTTTTTTGCGGATGGCCGCTCAAAAGCGTACTGCTAACCAGAATCAACTCTTGTTTATTACGCGGAGGGAAACAAAAAAAAAACGATTTGATCCAACAGTTTGCGACATCTCACTTCGAACCGACTTGCACGAACTGGGTATTTTGTTTTCATAAAGGGCCGACGACTTGAACCGCGTTGCCGGGCATGATACCACATGTTTTTCTCCGGAAAGGGACCATGTCCGTGTCAATGACATGCTTCGATGCCTTTTTTTCCTTGTCCAAGGTTTGCACGGGCGGCACAGGCGGGGTAGTTTTGAGCATGAAAGGTTTGCATGTGGCTGCAGGCGTGGGTTATGTAGGTATGGGGCGTAAAGGATTGGTGCTGGTTTGTCTGGTTTTACAACCCTCTTCCACGAGTCTTCGATGTCGGAACTCATAGTTAGGGATGTCTCAGCGAAAGATGCATTATCGGCATCTCGAGTACTGTCGTTGGTCTAGAGTCGAATCATCTGTCCTGAACATACATGATGATTGCATTGGGCGACATGCAATTCCCCGAGTACGTGGGCGATGCAATGCAATGCAGGAAAAACATCTCCGATCAGGGTATACCTCAATCTGCGCTCCGTCACCGACCAGACAGCCGATCTTCAGCTTCAGCTCCAGAGCCAGAGATATCAGCCCCCAATTCCACGTAGTCTTCGCGGTGAACGTCGGGCTTAGGTTTCGGGCAGACGCAGTGCAGATTACCCTACGTTGGCTCGGCTGTGGTATAATCTGTTGCACACCGCATTTTGTTCGTGCATATAGTGCATGACTCCATCGCCACCGCGGCGGTCTATATTCATGTTAGCTTGAGTTGGTGGGTATCACGAGGTGCGATCCATCTGGCGGTTTGCCTCGGTCTCAGTGCCGCGAGACCCTCAACGTATTGCTTTATCAGGACTTCAAGGGGTATATTCGTTGAGAATCACATCATCGCTGCCGGTGCGTGATGCAGTGCAGGTAGTTATTGGCCCATCGATGAGGTGCGTGGCGACATCAAAGGCCTGTTGGTTGGGCACCATAGTTGAATGGGCTTCAACGCCTGGCCTGAGATTTAGGGATATAAGCAAAAGCAACGTGTTGGAGTATTGTGTCTTGGATTTTCAATGTCGGGTATCGTGTTGGTGTTCAACTATTGCGGGGAAATGAAGCAAGCTCTCTAGGCCATCAGTCACTAAACCTAGATGTGAGATGCCAGGATGTCCTGTAAGATATCTTTTTGAGGTAGCACTCTCAAGCAATGATGAGCAAGTTAGAGTAGTCAGTGGTAGTTCAAAGCATTTGCTGAGCTCTTGTCGGGTTGGAACGGAAGCCATCGGCTGAAGATGAACTGAGAAGTAGCGAGTGGTCCACGTCGTTTCTCACACTGGGAAGCCACCATCGTCTATCCCAAATCGAACGTCATGTCGTAGTAGAAGCTCTAGCCCTCAACGTCATACTGGCAGCCTCCTCACCATCACTGCACTTATACCTCCCTATTACTTCACTCCTCAAACCTGAACCACCTTGCAAGAAAACATGTCGAAAGTATTTTCATCTCGAAGAATTCCCTATGGCGTACCACGCTTTGCTACCGAGCATGGTATCAGACCAGTGGATGCTTATCCTCAAGGATACATTTGACTGACCAACTCTCCAGCACCACTCGTATTACTCTCTTCCAACGACCCATATCGTCCCGCTTCGATGGCTGCAACCCTCCTACACACTCGCCTGTATATCGCATCCCAGTACATCGCCGTCCCGACTGAGCCGCTCACATTGTACAATCTTGATAATCTGAATTCAGTGGGATATCGAGGTGGTGAAGATGTCTACCTCACTTCCGATATCGACATTTCCACAAACCTCGATTGGCTGAAAGGGTGCACAGTCGAGAAAGATGGCGGAACTGGCAAGCAGAAGACTGGCGTGATCATCCTTGTGGATAAAGGTGAAGGTGTCGTAGACGTTTTTTATTTCTATTTCTGGGCTTTCAACTACGGAGGTACTATACTTGAAAGACAGCTGGGTGAGTTGCTATGAACCTATGCATTCCACTGCTGGCCGTGATTTTGAATGTGAAAGGGTTGAGTCTCATTGGAAAAGGTCTAATCGAAAATTTCTAGGTGATCACGTCGGTGACTAGCAGCACAACATGATAAGATTCCAAGATGGCGAACCAAAGTGTATGTGGTTCTCTCAACACACGACGGGCGAAGCATACATTTTCGACGCCGTACAGAAAGATAAGTCGGGAAAACGTGTAAGCAGTATTTCCTCTAATTCTGCTTCACTCATGGTTCAGTAATTGTTTTTCACACGTAACTAACCTGCGGATTTTCATAGCCGCTTGTCTACTGTGCCAACGGCTCACACGCTCTGTATCCTCTTCCAGGCCCGCACGAATACACCATACCCAACTTATCCGTTCCCTTCCGTTTCCGGCTCGTGGACGAAACCGACACTGCAGGTCCCGTGTACGACCCCCTTCTCACGTCATACTACTATATCTTCACGCCTTTCTTGTCAACTTTCATGCCTTTCCCCACCATGGTATCTTCCCTACCGTCATCCAAATCACACGTTCCTACTGGGTTTCTATACTTCAAGGGTCGTTGGGGGGATCGTCAGCTTGAATCAAGAACTACGTCCGTGATAGAACAGCTTGAAGGCAAGAGTGAGAAAGGAAGTGGCAAGACTTTTGTCAGTGGGCCAACAGGCCCTTTAGATAAGCAATTAAGTCGATCCGAGGTGTGGCCTAGAGATGCAGATTATAAGCCTCTGCTGAGACACTCTCTCAATTACTCATGGATCTTGGAGAAGTGGCTGGGGAGTATGAACTGTATGTGGGAGGATATGAAGGTCAAGGGTGTCAAGGTCAGCGGCGAGCTCGTGGAATGAGCTTTGGTAAAGTGTATGGGGTGCTGCCTGTAGCGAGGCTTTCCTATTGATATAAATTTCTAAGCATTCGGAATCAGTAGAGTTTCGAATTCTCCTTGTCTTGTGTCTCGCCATCCGCGATATGCGTATCTCAGGGAGTAATCGGCCACATGCTTCCATCTTCATCGGCTCCTGTTCCCCCATGCTACTACTTCCTCCCCCATGAGATTTTCGATACCCTGAACGTGCAGTTCTCGCCTTTCATCTCCTTTTATTCGCTTATCCCGTCGTCGTGCATGTAAAGAGAACCCGGCCCTCCACAACGTTGCTTCGCCAACAAGTCCGGCAACTCACCATCTCTCGTACGTATCACGAGCACGAGCACAAGCACAATCACCCTTACCCTTCAACCTAAAATGAAGTCTTCTTCTGCCCAGGAAAACAACAGTGCCGCATCTATACATTAGTATATATCTTTATGTATGCATGTCTCGGACCCTTCCCCATCCGGCAAAATATAGACATGACACCTTCCGTATTCAGAACATGGGGATGAACGGACCTTTTCTGTTCTGTGACCGTTAGTGTAGTCCGTGTTTACTTTGCATCTAACGGTGTCATGTGAACTTTTGCATGGTGAATTTGAACCTGCATTTGAGTATACATATGTAGAGCTGAGATGCATCGTCATATGACTGTTTTTCCCTCTTACTCCTGGGGGGAAGGGGGTTAGGGGGTGAATTGGGAAGAAGTGCGGTGGGATTTTGTGCTATAATAAGTGTGTTTTTCCGGAGTTTGGTTTGTCAGCGGTGGAGGGGTGCGGTGGTTGGTGCTTACGTGTGAGACATTCTCGATTTTTGGGAAAGGAGGAAAGTGAAGGGGGCTTTTTTTTTCCTTGTATGAATGTATGTCTTTGTGGCAGTTTTAGTATCTGCATTTAGGAAACTTTGTGACTTGTTGGAGGCGCTAAACGCATGTACACATACACCCCCTTCCTAATATCTTTCGAAACAGGAAAATTATTGGGAAGGGTTGTTGAGGCAACTTTCACATCAGAACTTCTATCAACATGCCTTTGCGTTGCCGCAGCACTCTTTCGGTTGCATCGTGAAGCGCTTGCCGGAATTGCTCGACTGTGCTGACTCTCACGCCTTTCATCCAATTCCCATCGACACTAGCATTATCAACGTCGGAGGGGAGATTCGCTCCTGCTGCTGCTTCGGCTAGTAAGGCGTAGTTCGGGGTCGGGGAGAAGGAAGTATTGATCTCCTCATCCGAAGCATTTTGATTCAGACCATCTGGATAAACGAGTTGGGTCGAGTTACGGGGAGCTTTCCAGCCTACATAGTTCAAAGTTAACATGATGATGAATTCAACCAAAAGCAGCCAACTTCATTCGCGAAAGCGGGGAAGCAGAAATCAAATGTTAGATAAAACCTACCGCCGTTGTTCAACACAACAGTGAGCAATGGAACATTATATTTGCTAGCAACCCATAGCGCGCTGGAAGGTGCCGCACACATAAAACTCCCATCTCCGACGACGTGACAAACGAGTTTCTCGTCAGATCCCTCGTCTTTGATTGAGTCGCTCAAAGCCATTTTAACGCCTACGGCTGCACCATTGCTCCACCCGATGCCTGTGCCGCCGCAATTGATCCAGCTGCCAGGACGAGAGGGTTGGATCTGATCGTGAAGGGTTTGCGATGCCGTTACGGCTTCGACGACGAAATCCGTAGAAGAGGGGAGAGTCTCTCGGAGTAGGTGGCCAATATTATTTGGGTTGAGCGAGTCCGTGGGCGATAGCTGACCAGCTTGAGACTGGATATTTGCGAGACGAGAACGATGTTTTTGGGCTTGGAGTCTGGCGCGTGTGGTATATTTTTCGTCTTTGAGAGTCGAAGTGAGCGCGTGATCGTTCTTGATGTGGTCCACGAGCTGGCTGAGCGCGGTGAAACTATCCGCCCTCCATCGCCCATGAGCTGGAAAGAAAGATACCGGAATCTGTTGGTTCAGTGGGTCAATGTCAATTTGGTAGATTTTTGCGGTTCTGGGAGGGGGGTTGCGTGATGGAATCCATGGGACGTCGCAATCCAGAAGCAGAATTGTATCTGCATCCTTTGTGCAGTCGTCGAAACTGAGCCGGAATCCTTCAGACGCTGGATGCGAGGATGGAAAACACACGTCACTACCGCCGGTATCGTGAACACGAATGCCCGGGATTAGATCTGCGAGCTCCACAAGAAGCTCTGGAGTACGTCTGTCTCTTCCGGAGTAACCTGTGATGATTAGTGGCTTCTTGGATTCAACAAGTTTCGCTGTTATCTCGGATACTGCGTTCTGAGGAAGTGCGCCGGGTCCGATGGGAATCCATTCATCTTGATTTAATGAATATGGTTCCACTTCTTCTGCTAGCACCTCCCGTGCGGCAGTAAGGTATACTGGTCCCTTGGGTGCGCTCATGGCAAATTGCAAAGCGCGGCCAATAGACTGCTTGACGTTGAGTCCTGTACGAACTTCACCGGTGTATCTGCAATACTGCCGCACAATAGCCTTTTGATCATGCGGTTCCTGCAACCAGTGCATATATTCCGTCCGTGAACCCTTCATCTCACCCGACTCTGTATATGGACACATTCCAGCAAAAATGAACACAGGAGCACGGCCAACACTTGCATTATGCACGCCTTGTCCCAGCGCTTGAGTGCCCACGTCTACATGGACAACAACGGCTTGCGGTTTTCCAGTCACCCTTGCGTAACCGTCTGCCATAGAGATTGCCGTGACTTCAGAGGGACACGTGATCATCCGTGGCCATGCATTTGGGCGCTCTCGCTTTCCTTTGATGATGGCCTCGATAATAGAAGGGTGGTCTGATCCCACATTGACGAAACAGGTTGTTATACCGGCTTCCCAGAGGGCTTCGAACAAGGCAAATGAGGTGGTGTACCGCTTATCTGGTGAATTTGAGGTTTGAGTCGACATGCTGCGTCCACTTCGATTATGTAAAAGGGGAAAGACGGCAGGCTTGACTGGGTGGGAAAATGGACCACAAGATAAATAGGAACCCCGTGCGCTACGTGGCAAGGTATTGCGAGTAAGTAGTCTGCATGCTACTGTGCGAAACATGGTGTTGGTGTCAGACGTTGTTCAGGTTGTGCGGAGATGATTCAATCGCGTGCATGTTCATCTATATGGCGGTGTGAACATAGTGGAATAATTTAGGTGTAGCTACCATGATAGGCAAGTAGGATTCTGTTTACGTCAGCTCGTGCTTCCCCTCTACAGTATCCATTTCCACCACGCCACACCTTCATCCTGATATAAGTTTACCATCACGCCTTCTGACTTACATCCTGAGTAGTGGCTCGTCATTTGGAACGAGGCAAACTCCATTTTGTCATAGACACTTGATTGATCACTCCTAGTATACTTGGAGATATCGACTTCATTGGTCAAGTGACAGCAGTTTTCACGTCACAGTACGGCTTTGAATACCATCTCCTTTTTTCGTTCTTTTTTCGCTTTCCTTTTCTTTTTCGTTTTTCGTTTTTCTTTTCTTTTCTTGACCAGCTAATACGATGTGATTTTCTCCTGGGAGATGCGTCTATCTTGAGGTTGGAAAGACAATGCTGCAAGTCTTTAGGAAGCAGCAGGCCCTCATCAACACTGACATATCGCAGGAAAGATGAAGAAAAAGACGTCTGATTATATTTTAGGTGTACAAATTGTACCTAAAAGGCCTACATAACTACATACACACATGCCGACATGCACAACTGATGTTTTCCATCAGAAAGGAAACAACGTCAACGGACAAGTACAGAAGCAGAACGCCCTATCACCCACCTAACACCCGTTTCATGTAGAAGAAAAACAAGAACCCGCAAGAGCGCTCGCGTACTATGCATCCACCATCTCGACGTCATCACCGCCCTCTACCCCATCCACAACATCCTCTTCATCCTTTAGTGGATCCCATATTTGCACGGGCGCCAGGACATCGAAAGCGCCAGTACCAGCCTTTCCGAGTCTGCCAGCGACGATTCTAGCGGAGGGGTTACTCAAATCGTCCATGTCGCGCTCCAGCACGGCGTCCTTGAGGAAGCCGACGGTGGTCTCGAAACTCATCTTCATGAAGGGCGAAGGGTTGCTCTTCATACCGATGCGGTTGAAAGGAAGGAAACCACCGGCCTTAGTCATGGTGTCAGCAATGAGATTGAGGTGACGGTTGTCGACCGAAATTCCGTGACCCGAGAAAACGGCGTGCATTTCGCGGACAATGGACGCACGGCAGGCCTCCACACCGTAAAGATGAAGCATAGAAACGATGTCGTTTGTGAAGATCCGCGACGTGTCAATGATGTCGGGGAATTCGCGCATGGCAACCAAATTGGAGCCTTCGGTCATGATGATGGGAACCTCGACATCGGCGCCTGTAATCGGATCTTTACCCTTCTCTTTGGAGACGAGGGCTGAGGTGATACCGGGGATCACGTGGATGGTAGCGAACTCTGCGGCAGCTTCCACATGGTGAAGCATAAGCAGTTTGGCAGCCGAGGCAGAAAATTCCATAGTTATCTCACAGTAGGCCCCCGCTTTGTCGTCAAATTTGAAGACGCTGATGTCCTTGCACTGTTGAATGATACGTTCGTGCCGGATTTCAGATGATTCCTCCTTGGGGACCAGAATTTCATCTTCAGATTCGGAGTCCGCCTCAGGGGAGGTGTTGCGCGATGGCTTGGGGCTACCACCATACGTTTCGTCGTCGCTTGCTTCGCGGTCGATCTCGTCGGTTATGGCTTTCTCATCATCCTCGGGAGCATCAAACTCAACGCTGTCTTCGCGCCTGTTTCGTGACTTGACATTGGTCGCGTCGCCATCATCATCACCTCCGTCGTCACTTTCAGCATCGTCGATTCCGCCCTCGTCATCGGCATCATCTTGTCGAACGGTTTGCTGTTCAATGGTGCCGGATGACTCGCCAACAGTAGGTAGACCTGCTGCTCGTGCTGTAGACAAGGATTTGCTCTCCCCTTTCTTCTTCAGATCCGCTTTGACCATCTTCTGTAGGCGTGGGCAGAATTTCTTCTCGATGGAGTCTGCAACATCCCGGACTTTGATAGCATACTCTTCTGTGTATTCCTCGACGGGATAGAAGTCTAACCGAATCCTGTATCTCCTTGCTTGCGAGTATTGTGTGCCAGCGCCCACTGTTTCTGTGACAGTAACCTTATCAAGGACGGAAGACAATGGGAGGCGACTGATACTCTTAGCAAACTTCTCGGTATCCGCAGCTGATAGTTCCGGGTGAGGATACAATGTCATGGCCGGAGTGGAGATCTTTGCACTAGCAGTCATGACAATCTCACGGAGACGAGGGATACCCAACGTGACGTTCTTGGCAGCGTGACCTGCCAAATGGAAAGTGTTGAGCGTCATTTGTGTGGAGGGCTCGCCAATAGATTGTCCAGCCACCACGCCGACAGCTTCTCCAGGCTCTACCAGTGATCGCAAGTACTTCATATCAAGCATAGCTTCGAAGTTCTTCTTCAGAACCTCACCCTGAGCATCGTGCTTCTTGTTCTTGAGGAGCTTGTCTGGATTTGTTTCACAATACTACATCATGTTAGAAATCAAGACTGTACTTTGGGAAGATTTAATACTCACATTGCGTTTTGAAGCAAGGAACTTCTCCGAGGTACTGCCGCTGTAACGGCTGGGTTCATATACTGCAATAGCCGGGTCCATAGCTGCACGATTGCGAGTCTTTCGGCATTTCTTCCAAGCTGTTTTGTTGTACTCGGTCGCTTCTTTGCTGACGACGTGCTGGTAGCTGTCGACTGCATTTAGAGACTGGCCCAGGGAGACGAAGTTTTCAGCTTGGAACTTGAAATCATTCAAGTACTTCTGTTTGGTTGTGTCCAGTCCATCCTCTCCGTAGAGGAACTGGATCATACTTCCGTCCGAATCTCGAACCGATGTATCGTATTCAACGTGCAGACCCTCCATACCCTTGATGATACAGCGCTGAAGGTATCCGGATCGAGATGTCTTGACCGCCGTATCAATGAGACCTTCACGACCAGCCATAGTATGAAAGTAATATTCTTGTGGACGAATACCAGTCAAGAAACGATTGACCACATATCCACCAGCGCGAACACTGGTCTCAAATGGCTTGAAGCACGGAAGAGTCTTTCCACTGACCATAACCGGGACACGACGACCTTCGAGAACCTGTTGTCCAAGATTACATGAAATCTGGTTGGCGTTGACCAAACTACCCTTGGCACCGGAACCTGTCATGGTCTGCATTTGATTCTTTGGGAACAGCTTGATGAGTTTGTCCGGGAGACAGGCCTTGGTGACGTTAGAAGAAACCTCTGAGTTGGCAGCGTTGGTCAGCATATCTAGAGCATGCTGTTTCGAATCGTCACGAACAACTTGTTCCAGTCGCCTTCGCAGTTCGGGGTTGGTAGGTGTTATGTCATCAGGCTTTAGGGTAACGTATTTAGAGGCGACCTGGAAACCGACTGTCTCTGCCTTCTTCAATTCCGCCAGCCGTGCTTCGTCACCTTCACGGGTAAGAATAAGATCTTCGACGCCACATGAGAATGCGCGCACGTTGAGTAGTCTCGTCAGCAGGCGACCAAGAACACTCAATACCTGACCAGCCGATTTAGGTCCGTACACCTCATAGATGCCGTTCACCAAACCACCACCCGCAGGACCGATCTGACTTTTATCGAGAATACCACAAAGGAGTTCACCGTGTTGAACAATAACGTTTCCTTCCTCTGAATCAGGACCCCAAAGCTTGCTGTTGGTTTGTGATTTAGAGGACATAGTCAACTCGACATATTCCTGGGGCTTGATATTTTTAAGGACAGTAGTGATGACTTGTTTTCCAGTCCAGAGAGGTTGAGGTTTCAAGATAGCAGGGTCGACAGTAAGTAGGGTGCCGGACGTTGTGTGTCCATCCTCGGGTCGCAAAGAACAGTAAAGCAGTTGTTGATACTCCTCGCGTGTAAAGAACATATCCTTGTTGGTGAGCCATACAGCCATAGAGATGTGATCCTGAATGAGACCTCTTAATGGTTTTCCAGCCGTTGCGGACAAATATTGGTTATCGGTGTTGGCGATCAGCATTGCCTCAGCCCGAGCCAATTCGTTTTGTGGGAAATGCATATTCATCTCGTCACCGTCAAAATCGGCATTGTAAGTGTTGCAGTTGGCGTAGTGCATACGGATCGTTTTCTCTCCAGGCAAGACACGTGCGCGATGCGCCATCATAGACGGCTTGTGCAGCGTTGGTTGACGATTCATAATGACTACATCGCCGTTGTTGAGATGCCTGTGCACCTTCTTGTTCTTAGAGCCATTCACAGATGTATTAGAAGGGGCCAAAAGCTGATTAGCCAGTGCCTGACGTTCCTCATAGTTTTTCTTCCTCAAAGACACCACCTGGCCAAACTCATTCTCGATCGCCACGGCTCCTGGCCATTTATCAGGACCATTGAGCACGGCTTCCTTAAGGTCGTAGAAGTTGTGATTCGTGACAGGCTCAGGGTATGTCAACTTCTTGGCGAATACAGGCGGTACACCAATCTGGTTTGTTTCGATATTGGGGTCGGGAGAGATGACACTTCGAGCGGCAAAATTGACACGCTTGCCCATCATGTTTTTACGGAAGAGACCTTCCTTCTTCTCTAGATGTTGCTTGATACCGTCCGCGTTGGATTTTCCAGCAGCACCTTGCACGGGGTTGGCGTCCCTGTCAATCAGCGAGTTGACTGCACCCTGAAGATTGACCCAGATGGTTTGAAGATCCCCAAAATCACGGCGCCGGTACCCTGCCGCATTCTCTTTACCCTGCATTTCCTCTGTAATCTGTCGCATCGACTCGCACTCTCTGAGAATATTCTTGAAGAGGCCATTCCTAGGATTCTCGGCAATAGAATCGCCAGTCTTGTCTTCCATCCTGTACCGATTAGGCGCGACTACGACATTGTGTATGAAGAACATGTCCGCGGTCACGTCGCTCAGAGACGATTTGGACCGTGCATACGGACTGTAGAGCATGCGTAGAATTTCTTCCTCCTTCTCAAATAGCAAAATCATGGCCGCACGAATTTCTGCCGGGTTCAGATACTCCTGTATACTCTCTTGTGCCTCCGCTGTTGCTTGTATTTTGTTTCTTGAGGCGGTCATTGACTCGGACACCACCAGTGATCCGTCGGCGTCCATCATATCTATGTCCGATTCTTCTTCCGAAGCAGGGTCCAGATCAGCGACGCCCTCGTCGGCGTGAACGGGCTGCTTCTTTGCCTTCGCATCTCTCCTCCTCAAGACATCAAGTGGGTTTTCGTAACGTTTCTCTGCAGCAGCCATTGCTGCCTTTTCTTTTGTGCTCAAGTTCTTGCGGAAAATCTTGATGCCACGATCTTTCCGATAAGTTGGGTTGACGCCTGCACAATTGCGGCACTTCTTGCCTGCGACGATGGAAGCATAAAACTCCTTGATCAGTTCACGGCGGGCTTCGGCAACAGCCTCAGTCTTGTGTCTCATGGCATGGGCGTCGCCCTTCGAGATTCCAGCGCGCTTCATACATCTTTTGACGTAACTGTTCCGCTCGCTGATAATATCATCGTCATCGTTCTCCTCGTCCGATGACTCTTCACCTTTGTTCGTTTTTCCCTTGTGTTCGTGGACATGCTCACGCATAGCGTTTGCCTCTTTGATCAGACCGCAGCGTATCAGGCGTAGCTTAGAGGCTATTTCGTGGGTGTTCTTGCGCGCGACACGGAAGTGATGGCAATAGACGCACTTGCCGCGGAGGAGTCGGTAGAGCTGATCGAGAAAGCTCAGGTGGTAGACAGGAACGGGTAATTCGATGTGACCGCAGTGACCCGGGCAACCGTTGTCGGTAGTTAATCCGCAAGTAGAGCAACTGCTTAATGTTAGCTCTTGGTGCCCACCTACACAATCTATACAAAGATTCTGGGCTGGCTTACGCATTGTCGAGGAAAGCACCCATAGCAGCATCGTGTAGACCACCGGGTACAGGGTGCAGCAAACTGTCGAAGGTAGTTGGATTCGTGATGCGCTTCACCGAGATTGTTCGAATATCCTCTTTGGTGAGGAAACCAAATTGCACGCCATCAATGGCGGAGGAAACGGGCTGAGAGGTATTCATGATGGTAGCTCAGCACGCGCTTCACCCGCGCCTGCAATGTGTATGAAGAAAAAGTTTTGAATCGGCCTGCGCAACGGCGATACAAAAGAAGCTTGTAGCCTTGCGGGGACAATTTTTCGGCATGGAAAAAGTTCGCCCGGGGTTTTGCCGATGCGCCAAGTCGCACTAGGCTGTGGGCCAGTTTTTGGGGCAGCAGGCGTTCAGGTAGCAGCTACTGTCGCGTCACTCTCTTTACTTCCTTACATCTTCACTTCCCCACATCCTCTGTCCTTCCTCCTTCACACCACCATCGCTTTCGTCGCTGCGTGGATTCGATCGGCATCAAGACTGCGTCACGGATACCGCAGAGCAGCTGATACCTGATCAGGCAGTGTCATAAGGGCAGCCGCCAACTCTTCCGCGCAGACTCAGACCTGACAACAGCTTCCGCAGCTCTATCCGCAAGCAACCTCACCTGCATCATGGTCGAGAAACGCCCTTATCCTGGCGACCATGGCGACCCTAACAAACGCTCCCGACCTGATCCTGTAGCCATGGCTCGCGCAAAGGCTGCTGAAATCTCCGCCAAAGCGAAGGCCGCCGAAATTGCTGCCAGAGCAAAAGCTGCCCAGATCATGTCGCAGAGACCCGCGAATGGAGCCTCTCCCTCACCGGCTCCGGTCGCCTCTCCTACCCCGCCAGCCCCCGCTCCGTCGGCCTCGTCGAGGCTGCAGGCCCTCAAGGCCAGATTGGCTGACATGACTGCCGTGGCAAAAAATGCTAATGGCGGCCCCTTTATTTCCACTTTCACTTCCACTGAAGGTTCCCGTCCTACCACGATCGATCCGAAACCCTCTCAACCAGAACCTCAGCCAGAGCCCAAAAAGGAAGAGCTACCCAACAATCCCTATTTCGATCCCAAAAACGCAGGTACCGCGCGATCCAAAAACCCGCGCACGCTTCAATTCAGCCGAACTGGAAAATACCTCGAGCAAGGTTCCAAACTACGCGCTCAGCAGCGTCTAGAACACATCAAGAAAACGTTGGCCATTCAAGCTCGCCGCGCAGGCCTTGACGAGAATAGCGAGCGAGGTTATCTAGTCCAGCCTCCTCCTGACATAGAATGGTGGGACGAAGGTCTGCTAGAAGACAAGACGTACGACTGTCTGGACAGCCCAGACAAGGTTAAGCTGGATGGGGACGATACTGTCATCACACTCTATGTTCAACATCCTCCTTACCTCAAAGCACCCCAGGATCAGCTGCTCCATGTAGCCAAACCAATGTACCTGACATCCAAGGAACAAGCCAAATTACGACGGATGCGTCGCAGGGAGGATCTGAAGGAAGAACAGGCCAAGATCCGTTTGGGCCTGAAGCCACCACCACCACCCAAGGTGAAGCGCGGCAACATGATGCGTGTCATGGGCGAGCAAGCTATCGCAGATCCAACAGCTGTGGAGCAGTTGGTCGAGTCCCAGATCAAGGAGCGCCACGATCAGCATCTGACGGCAAACGAAGAACGTAAATTGACCAAAGAACAGCGACTTGCAAAACTCGAGGAACAACAGCAGAAAGACGCCCAGAAGGGACTCTACATGTGTGTCTTCAAGGTTGATACGTTGGCGTTTGGCAAACATCGATCGAAGGTTGATCTGAATTCCAAGCAACTGGCACTCACCGGCATCACTCTATTCAACCCAACAATGAACTTGATAATCATCGAAGGCGGCATCCATTCAGTCAACAAGTACAAAAAGCTGATGCTTCAGCGCATCAAATGGTCGGAAAATGCGCTTCCTACGGATACACAGGCCGAGAAGCAAGTGAACGATCCACAATGGATGAAGTCAGTAGATGCCCAGGGTCAGCTGAAGGACTTGTCTTACAACAGTTGTAAACTGGTTTTCGAAGGCGAGGTCAAGCAGCGAAATTTCCGGAAATGGGGCTCTAAACGATGTGAAACCGATGGCGAGGCGCGGGAGTTCCTCTCACGAAGCAAGCTGGATAGTCTGTGGGCTCTCGCGAAGAACTCACCTGGACTCTAAATTGTTGGCTAGGAGTTTTTGCAGTGGGGGTCTGTTTTAGTGCTCAGTTGATGTAAGTTTACTCAAACCACCTATAGCTCCAGAGAGAGAGAAATTTCAAACGTTAATTGCAAATCTTTGTTCGCGGTGGTGTTCAGACTATCATGCTTTGCATTGTCCAAGCTTGACCCCGAATGGGGGGTTAACATACGCTCCGGTAAGACATCAGCGGCCTAGGTATGCGCAGCAGTCCTCCCTCCCTCCCTCCCTCCTTCCTCTTTTTCTCGTTCTCTTTCTCTGCCTGTTCTATCCCCTTTCCTTCGTCCCCTTGTTCTCTTGTGGAAATGAGGTAGGTTCCTCGCATCTGTTCTATGTGCCGTGCTCCTACACCTCATTCCAGCTCCAATTCCCATGTCCATCCCCTCTCCTCCCCCACTTCCACATCGCGCGCAAAACCCCAATGCAACAACACACTTTCTCAGCATAGTTTGCCAGAATAGAGAACCCCCCCTTCTTCCTCCTTGGCCAGCCCGTCTCCGCCCTGTGAATAGAATAGTGTTTGTAGTGGTGATGTGTGTATACGTGCTTTGCTTTCCTCGATCCTGCCTTGCCTTGCCTTGATTTGACTCAACTCCACTGAAACTCCACTGGGGAGTCACCAGGCTTAGTTTTGATTTGTGTTTTCGTACGAGTTGTGTGCATCCTCTCGCGATGAGAGCAGAGAAGTAAAGAGATGGTAGTGTTCTTTTATCAATTCTTATGGTATTCGTATATGTGTGTATGCACTTGATTTGTACCGTAGTAAGAGGAGAGGAGGGATATATGATAATGAGATAGTCATTCATCCATGTATCCATTCTTATGCACTATCTAGACATTCATCAACGATCAGATGAATTGATTGATGGGAGGTAACAACTGCTCAGTCACATACATCAGAAACAAAAGAGAACCCCAAACTCCCCTCCAACCCGACAGAAGAGGGTAGATTAGAGTGGATATGATATGATCCACAGGAGTGTTATGCAATCCGATTTTTTTTGTGTTATTAGTTTGTACATAGGATTGGATTAAGTGTAAGAAGAGGGCAGGCAACGTTAAAAAAAGTATCATCTTGCTGGATACTGCTCGATCCATCCCTACACAATCCATAATCTGTTTCACGATAATAACGATATAAAAAAAAGATCCAAGAGTGTCTAGAGATGTTAATGAAGTAGACATTGCATCAGAGTTATCGTTTGCGTGGTTTTTCTTTCTCTCTTATCACTGTGGGTGATTTGTGTTTTCTCGCAGTTACATCACTAGAGTGTGTCGGTATACAAGATTACATGTACATGCATACGGGCAAAGTATTGCGTTTTTCGGGAGAGAAATATCGATAAGCAAAGTGCCGTGGGGGTTAGCTATATGCAATGAAGTTCTGGTTGCTGGCTTGTTACATTGATTGCTCTCCATTGAGCTCGAAACGTGTTAGTCGATTCAATACAGTACCACGCAACGAAAGAACACCGGGCTACCGTCAATTTATATACGCGAGGGGTTGGATGAAGGTGCAATACTGGAAGCCTCGCACATGAAGTATTTTTTTTTTGTTATCCCCGGGGTTCCAATTGACCAATGCCTGGCACGTTCCATAGATGGGAACTTGCGTTGTCCGGGTGGGGCGATCTGGACTCATTTCGTGTTCCTCGGTTTCCAGTTTCCCTTTTCCCAATGGATTTTCTGCCGTTACATTGTCAGAGGGAGTGGCATGTGCTAACTATGAGCTGGGATTGGTTCTGATGGTGGTGGAAGCAGAAGAAGCAGCTTGGCGGAAGGCCTCATTGTTTGCCTAGATGCATACCTGCGTATACGTATGCACATATGTAATGACTGTCAGGGTACTGTTGCCTGTTTGTCTGTTTTACTATGTAAAGATGCAGTCACCGAGTTGGACAAGAAAAGAACATGTCGTCCAACTAACCTCAACAATGCAGCCGATCCCTCCCGTCGGCCACGCTTATCAGCCCCCATACCCCGGTCTGTTGAGCTCGCGTCGCATCGATGGCGGCGGGTCAGCCACAAGGAGTGCATGAACTTGCACGTGAAAGTAGCCGGCGTATTCACACCACAGGCGCCCCACGGTGGTGGCACTGACAGTCGTTAGGATTGATGGATGCGAGGCGAGCAGTCGTGCTTTCGGTGATTGTGGGGCCATGTCGGGTTCGCCATACCGAGGCGAACGAGGACGGTTCGGCAGCATCTGATATTTATTCTTGTTGCCTGGTTATCGAAGGGAGCGGAGCCGACTGCATACTGTGATGGATGAACGAATGCATCTATAGGGTGACTAAGCAGACTTCGCCTGGAGTGGGGGTGTGTTCCGTCCATCTTCTTTTTCACATGCGTCTGTATGTATGTATGCGCGACCGTTTCTGTGCGACACATCTCAACATGCCACGGTCTTGATTCACCTGCGCTGCACAGCGCGAATCAATGCCCCGTTTATTATGGCTCCCCGTTGTACGCGCATGTAGAGCAAGATTCGGACACCGAGACGAAGACGAAGACAAAGACGACGACAATATCGACGATAAGGCGTCGGGATGGGATAGGGTCCAGCACCTCATCCAGACTCACCGTTGAGGAAGAGTACGCCCATGCACAACCCCTCATTTTTTGATTCATCTGTTCCATCCCCTATCTATGACATGGAGATGAATGGTTGGACCAGTCTCCCGGTCCCACTGCGCAGGCCTGGTGGAATGCAATGTAAAGCGCACGTTCAAGGGGATCGCGCATAACAGCAGGTCAGCCAACAATGGCGTCGCTTGCTCTGATGATGCCATGTTTGCTCTGCCTGCGTCTCTTGCTGATGATTTGGAAGGCATCATCAGGCATTTCAGATGTTTCCGGTTGACGACCAGAGAATTCGATGCCAATGGCTGGACACGGAATAGACACGGGATGGTAGTGTCTGTATAGACTGACATGGCCTGGGGCGTTACCTTGGCTTGCTTCCCGTAGAACTAGAGGCGTGAGCGATGTCACGACCGGCCGGCGCGGATTGGTTCTCCAGGTAAGATAATACAAAACAAGCGCGCGCGGCGTAGGGAACGATGCAGGTCAACAAATAGTCGGATCCCAGTGATTGTCGTTGCGGTGCTGCCTGGCCCTTATCTTGAGGCTTGAAAAGAGAGCGAGCCGTGACGTTTGCTTGACAGAAAAAGGTGGGAGGGCCCGTGCACGCTTTCACATGTCTGTCTGCCGGTAGAGATTGATTGATTGCTTGCTGGGTGGATGGATGAATGAATGGATGCATGGATGCATCTGTGTTTCCAATCAAGCAATCAGCCATTTTCATTCATTCATTCACTCCAATCAATCATACATACATACATAGCGCTGTGCCTTGTCCACATAGCTAGTCCGTAACCCAGCTGCTGGCTGCAGAGAAGCAGAGTTTAGGTGCTTCTATAACTTGAACCGGCCTCCACCCCCCTCTTTGTTTCTCTTCTCTCTCGCCCTCTGGTTTCTGGTCCCCTTCTCCGAAACAACAAGGAGATATACCTCGGAAGAGAAGACAAAAAAGGTGTGTATACGCGATCTCCAATTCTACACGCAAGAAGACATAGCAGCAGCATCGTGGAGCCCTGTCGTCGCCTTATCGATAAAAAAGTGGGCGCAGATGCACGAACCCTTTCACATGCCATTTCGCATCATTCCTTGCTGCTGCTTGTTGCTGCTGGCTGCGCTTTTTCTGCTATGCCCACTCCGCCCTCCGCTGCTGAGCAGTTTCTGGCGCCATTTCCCCCCCAAGACCGCGCCCGCCGTTTTCAGCAGCCCCAATCACGCCGTCCGTCGTCATTTTTCCTTCAACTACCGCCTGTCTGCCCACCTGTGTGCCTCCCATAAATAATCCTCTCTGCATTCGCCCGCCCCGTCCTCCACCTCTCTTATATTCCACTCTCAGCTGCCTTCGGACCCTTCTGAACCTTCTGACCTTTGCCACCAGCATATATCTCTCTGCCAATATCAGTCTTGAACAAACAGTTGCACAGCGTGGGATAGGTTTCCCTCCAGCCTTCAGAACAATATGCCTCACGCCGAACACACCAATGGCGACAGCCATGACGACGCTCCCTTGACCAACGGCGACAAGCCACACTCCAAGGTCCTCTCGGTACGTATTGCATACAATTCTTCGTTCAAGCACGCCATTGGGTGCTATCACCGGCTTTTCATTCCACCAAAGCTTCACCGACGGGCCAACCACGTCGAGCCATCAGTCCACACTTCCCTCAAGACGGCAAACGCAAACCAGCTGACACATTCACCTAGCATCTCTCCACCTACCCGGTCTTGAACGACACCTACAGCGCCTACAAATCCCACCCATACGGCCAGAAATCGCTCTCGCTCGCCCACCAAACTTACGTTCGCTTCATTGCTCCTCTGCACCCTTACCTACAGACGCCCTACTCGTACGTCTCGCCTTACTTGACGCGCGCCGATGAGCTCGGCGACACGGGCCTGAGCAAGGTCGACTCGCGCTTCCCCATTGTCAAGGAAGACACGAGCAAGCTCAAGGAGACCGTCATCAACTACGTACACGTGCCGCTGCAGCTGGTGGGCCAGGGCAAGGACTACTTGTTCTCCACCTTCAAGGACGAGTACAGCAAGACTAATGGCGACGACGGCGTTGTCAAGAACATCAAGGCCCTCGTCAGTACCGAGCTCAAGATTGGCCAGGACGGCTACCAAATTGCTCGGTCCTACCTTGGCAAGGGCAAGAAGGAGGTCAACAAGAAGGTGAATTAGAGCACCCATGACGGGATGGTGTAGAGGCAGTTGAAGTGAGTTAGTGGGTGGGCGAGGGGTGAGATTCTCTTCATGTACTCTTTCCGTGTTCTAGATACCTGTTGTTTTCGAGAGCCTGTGGCTCATGCACATTATGGATTCTCGTCCAAGTCCTGGAAGGCGTGTTGCGGTGTCCAATATCTATGGTACCATGGCGATTCGGGGGAGGTTCTTCTGGGGATAGATTGATATTAATCACGACAAAACTTCTCTTCTTGCTGTTCACGATGCTTTTCCGCTTTCGCCTGTGTGGGACTGTACGATTAGCAAGGGCACACACACGGTGACATGGTGACGGTGCATTGAGATTGATGATGGGGAATGAATCCATATTTTGTGATCGTGACTCGTTGCAGAAACCGACCCAGAAGCCTGAAATGTTTTTTTGGTATGCTCTGAATTTCGAGAAAAGTACACGCCCGGGTGGCAGGCCGACTGTCATGGGAAATGCTATCCCACCACCACCCGGTCGAGTGATTGGACAAACATAACAAATCCCACGGACATGCTCATTCATGACGTTGACATGCTATGACATGATTGCAGGACCACCTCGCTTGTCAAACCGATGGACACCATTTCATTTCTTTGATTTCGTAGTGTACGCCCCAGGGATTTTTCCCCCCCAAACCGAACTCAGAAAGTTAAGGGAAAGGAAAAAGCGTCTAGAACTGTAACGGGGTGAAGAACCACCTGTTCTTGCCCGACTGGTATCGCTCCTCAAACGCCTTCTTGACCTGCTTCTTGGCATCCTCCCTCTGCGAAACCTCCTTGAATGTGTCGTTGGACACGACGCCCTTGAGGGTCTCGAGCTCGATCGTGTAGCGCGTGGGCATCAGGTGGGTGTCTGTTCATCCAAGATATCGAATTAGCCTTCCGAACTCATTCCACTACATTTGGTCCTCGCGAAAAGAAAACCATGTCCCATAGAACTGAAACCGATTGGGGCCGGGGAACGGAGAATGGACGTACAGTTGACCTGCTTGATGAAGGGCTTGACCTTGCTCTTCTTGGCCTGCTTGGTTTTCGACATGCGGCGGGTGACCTTGGAGGGGTAGCGCTCGATGCCGGCGACGAGGGCGTGGGGGAAGGGGTGCGACTTGGTGCCGTTGTCAAGCGGCGAGATGATCACGCACTTCTTGCCCGCATAGCGGCCCCTGGTGATGATCTGGAAACGAATTGTAAGTCTTTATCGGATGGGGGGTTTTTCTCTTTGCGAAGGATATGCTGGATTCGTCTTCGGGGGATGTAGAAGGGTGTAAACGTACGACAACGCGTCCGACCTTGAGGCTGTGGGCAAAAATGTTAGCCTTTTTTCACTTTCTTGGATTCCGTTTAATATGTAGTAGGGTAGCGACTGGAGAGACGTCGGATTGCGCGCTCATCGTTGCCAATCGCCATGCCTCTCCAACACTGTGTCGCTCGTGGGGGATAGATGAATGGATGTGTACGTACAACTTCATCTTCGCTGTTCTTTCGGGGCGGGTGGTGGATTATGGGTCGTCGGTTCGTTGTGAGGTTGAATGGGAGCTCGCGGACCCAAAATGTGCTCGGTTCGTGTGCGCCGTCCTCGCTAAAATATTTCGCCGGTCCCGCTGGTCTTGGCAAAGAATTTCTGTGAACCGCTGGGTTGCGTAGGCCCTATTGCCGCCCGCGCCCGCGAAAAACGAAAGGCTCGACCCGCCGAAAATAAATTATTTTCCCGGCAGCTGTCTGATGTGAGGGTAGAGCTGTGAATTCATACGATTTCCCTACCTTGGTTTCGTACTGTTCTCTCCATCATGAAGATCAAGGCGCTTTCACGATCTGGCGCTTCCGCGCAGGCACCTGGAGCAAATGTTGCCAAACTCACGCGCAACCTCGATCCCAACCAGCATCCCTTCGAACGGGCCCGCGAGTACACGAGAGCGCTCAATGCCACTAAACTCGAGCGCATGTTTGCGAAGCCCTTCCTGGGCGACTTTGCACCGGGCCATGTCGACGGTGTCTACAGCTTCGCCAAAGACCCGGGGAGCCTCGAACATTTTGCATCTGGCAGTGGCGACGGCATCGTCAAGATGTGGAACATGACGAGCCGAGAGGAAAAGTGGCAGAGCCAGGCGCATCAAAATATTGTCAAGGACATGTGCTGGACGAGAGACAGAAAATTGTTGACTTGCGGAAGCGACCAAAAAGTTAACCTATTCGACCCATACAATACCACATCAAAAAGTCCGCCCGTGGCTACATGGCATGGCGGCGCATTCACTTCATTGTCGCATCACCGAAATCTACCCTCTTTCGCAGTAGCCTCGGATAAAGTGTCCATCTACGATATATCAAGGACTTCTGGTGCACCTACGCAGACTCTGCAATGGCCGTCAGCGATCGACACTATCAGTGCTTTGGCATGGAATCAGTCAGAAACGTCCATTATAGCCTCTGCCGCTACAGACCGCGCCGTTATTCTCTACGACTTGCGGACCAACTCGCCTCTTCATCGAACAGTGTTGCATTTGGCTTCCAACTCAATTGCTTGGAATCCTATGGAGCCCTTCAACTTTGCTATCGGCAACGAAGACCACAACATCTATGGGTAAGTGAAGACATATTTTCACATGCCCTACAAATCTTTACTAATACTTGCTAGATTCGACATGCGAAACATGAAACGCGCCCTCAATGTATACAAAGGGCATGTTGCCGCCGTCATGAGCGTCGAGTTCAGCCCGACCGGAGAGAAGCTAGTATCTGGTTCCTATGACCGAACCGTTCGTCTATGGGATCGCCAGAAGGGTCACTCAGAAGACATATATCACACCAAGCGCATGCAGAGAGTCTTCTCCGTAGCTTGGTCGGCCGACAATAACTACGTCTTGAGCGGTAGCGACGATGGCAACGTCCGGTTATGGCGAGCAAAGGCTTCGTCCAGGCAAGGTGTCAAAACTGCCGCGCTCCGTCAGAAACTAGACTATAACGACGCGCTCAAGGAGCGGTACAAGCACATGCCTGAGATCAGACGCATTGCGCGCCACAGGCACGTGCCCAAGGTGATCAAGAAGGCTGGTGAGATCAAGACTGAGGAGCTCAAGGCTATCAAGAGGAAGGAAGAGAATGAGCGCCGACACTCGAAGAAGGGCGAGGTTAGACGTCAAGCTGAGCGTGAAAAGATGATATTGGCCCGGGAGCAGTAGTGGCGGTTGACTGGTTGTTCATTCTAGCATGCATAGCGATGGCGTTACTCTTCTATACTGATTTAGGTACTCGAGGGATCTCAAAAAGGGTAGGATAAAAAGCTTTGCATTGGCAGTTCGGGGCGGTTCGTCAGTAAATAATACCCAAAGACTAGGGAATAGAAATCTCGAAATCCATTCATCTCCAATCACCCGCCTACCAAACCACTACTAATCAATGGAGCAGCCTTACAACACTCCCTTCTACGCACCTACCCTCCCAAATAGCCTCCCATTTCCTATCCAACCACCTTCTTCAACCACTTCACAACCGCCTCGCCCGTCTCCCTCGGCGCCTCCTCAGCCCCAAAATGCCCAATCCCATCTCCCAAAGCCAGCCCCTCAACCTCAACCCCATCCGCCACCCAATCCCTCCACTCTCCAAAAACATCATACCTCTTCCCCAAATTCGCCTCACTCCACACCAACAACACACCAACGCCAATCTTCTTCCCACTCTCCTGATCCACCTTCTGCATCTCCACGTCCGTGGTAGCGCCGGCTTCGTAGTCCTTACACGAAGCTTCGATGACGGCCGGGTCGTCCATGAACTCGGCGTAGATGTCGAGGGCGGAAGAAGAGTGGAGATTCGAGAGGCCGGCGGCGGATGTTCCGGCCCAGGAGGCGATCATGGTTTTGCACCAGCGCGAGCCGGTGTAGGCGGTTATCAGGGGTGTTGCGGTGGATGGGTTCGCGAGGAAGGGCCAGTGCCAGTAGGTTGTTAGTTCGCGTGGGGAGGTGCCGGAGGTGCGCCATTGGGTTGTTGTTGGGACCTTTGGGCTTTGTTAGAGGGGTTGAAGGGGAGATTTTACGGAAAGTGCTAAAATAATTGGAGGGAGGGAGATGTGTGTATGACGGGCATGGCAGGATGAAAAGTGACTTTTTCTCTCGACCTCGAATTACGCCAGAAAACACACACAACCAACATTCAAACAGCAAATATGGAAGAGGGGGAGAAAGGAACTCACAATATCAACCATAACCACCCCTCTAACTTTCACTCCCTCCAACTCCCCCTCGCTAACAGCCAACCGATGCGCAACCCTCGCCCCGCGATCATGTCCAATAAGTACAATATGCAGATCATCTCCCTCTTTCGTTCCCTTCGCCTGAGATACCGCGGCTTTGAGCGCCGAGATGATGATCTTGCCGACAGAGAGCTTGTCGTGCTGGCCGGTGGGTGCCGTGCTGGCGCCGTAGCCGGGGAGGTCGGGAACGTAGAGGGGAGACGTTGGGGGGAGGTAAGGGATCAGGTTTCGCCACCTATTGATGGGTTAGAGTGGGAGAGCGGTGGCAGACTGTTTAGGGGAGTTGGGGTCGGGAGACAAGATGGGTGATTGTATCCTTTTTTGGGGGAGCGGGATTCTTGGGAACGGGATGGGAGCAATTGCAGGGGTGTACACATCAAAAAAACATAGGACAAAAAGGCAAGGAAAGCAAAGGAAAGTACAGCATGAATTCCAGCTTCAAACTTAGATGAAGAAAAGAAGAAAGGTTAAGTAGCAAATTGCGCATCCGAAATACTCTTGCGAACTCCAGATTAACTTCTTCGCCCTCCCTCTCTTCCACGAGACAACAATTCATCCCCACCCCCAGAAGATATAGGGATTCGAGAAGGAAGAGAACTTACATATAACTACTCTGGGGATACCCATGCAAAAGCACCAACACCGGATTCCCAACTGCCACAGAATCGAGACCACGCATATACGCATTCACATATCCCTCTCCTCCTACCTCTTTCTCTCCCAGCTCGGATTTAGAAAGCCCGAGGGAAGCAAACTTGGAATCTTGTTTGGAGAGGGCCGACATTTCTTCTTGTTCTTCCGTAGATGGAGGCAAAGAATACTGTTGATGCGGGTTGGGTGCGAGAGGGATGACGTGCAGTGAATGTAGTCGATGTGTATAAGCAGACTAAATATGGTATGCACAAAGCCTGAGGGGATAACTGGGTGTGCGTGGTTTCGTTAGTCGGTGTGGTTCTTATGCGAGTTAGGAATTCGAGCAATTGTTTGCATGCGTCGGATGTGTTGGAGATGTGCTGTGATGGCAAGATAAGCTTATGCGTGGGCCTCGAGTAGAGGATGGATACATTTAATGCAGTGAAGAGAGAGAGAAAAAAAACAGATATGTAGCTGTAGTGATGTGTCAAACATACATAAGAGTAAAATATACGCACAACATAAAACAGTTACAAGAAGAAGCTCACAACTCCAGTATGTACCTTGCGCACACTTTTATATCCCCAGATAGATCACATTGCTAGACTAGACAGCGTCCCCGCAATTACCCCTTCAGAGACAGGACTAATTGCGGAAGAAACGTCAAATGTCGCTTCAAGCACGCACGCCCTACGCATGTCAAGCCGCCACTACTACAATTGCAATCGACCCAATTTTCGTGTAAAGCCTTGGGCGGCAGATAGCTCAGTGTAACTAGATGTACGGTTGATGACAAATCAACTTTTCGAGATTACCTGTGTTGTTGGTCAAGTGAGGTGGACGTTCAGTAATCGAATACAGTATGGTTTAGAGGCTGGAGAAGAGTGCGCGGGGGGGGGTGGAGTGGGGTAAACGATTATCCGTTGGGCATGAGATGTTAGCGTATAGCTGCATATGCACGTCATTCATTCTTCAGACAATTCAGAAGAGGGTGTTGGCCAGCTGGGTTTCTGTGGTAGCAGGGAAATTATACATGCATATACAGTTAGTTTGTTTCCGTTCAATTGTGAGATGATGATGATGATGATGATCAAGCGCAACTTGAGAGAGGGACAAATGTGATATCGCAAACTACTTTGACAAGCAGAAAAGGAATTAGAAGACCTGATCTCCAGAAATTTACACAAAAAGAGACAGCAGAAAGAGGGCGAGGTGAAGAAAATTGATGCAACGAATAGTGAATCAAAGCAACTCTCCTTCTCCTTCGTCCATCTCACCATCCTCATCATCCCAATCCACATCCTCAGCCATCTCGTCCGCCCTCCTCTGCACCTCCGCCAATCCAGACATCTCTTCGACCCATCCCCGTTCGTTAAGCGCCTTCTTCACGAAGCCCCACCCATCCGCTTCATATGCTTTTATAACCTTGTCGCTACACGCGGAGCAGCAGTCATACGGTTGGCCCTTGACTTGGAGATTGCTAAAGTTGTTCAAGTAGCCACGGATAGTATGTGGAACGCTTCCTAGAGGGTGCACAAAAGGTGCAGGAAGCGAAGGGTGTGAGGATGATGGAGATTGTGGAGGGACGGTATTGGGGTTATTTGCAGGGTCGACGGGGGCGCGAGCTTTAGAGGGGTGTTGGAGAATGCTGACAAGGAGTTCGACGAGGAGACTGGAGGCTAGGGGTGCTACGCCGGGGCGAGTGACGGTACATTGTTGGTCTAGAGTTGCGTTGCTGAGAGACTGTCGTTGGGGTGTCAATGTCAATTCAGTGTTGCAAGGTGGGGTGGATTGAGGTAGAATGCGGAAACTTACATCTGCAGGTGCGACCACGTCGTTGCAAAAGTAGCAGCCCAGCTCTTCTTCGCCGGTTTCCGAGTTCACTTTGAGACCGTGCCGCATTACGACGTAGGTATCGAAGCCTAGGGCTGCGTTGAGAACTATCTTGCCAGTTGCTTTCCCCATGACGGTAGGCAACCATCTGCTTTCACGGGTATCCATGAGTAAAAATATAGCATCGTGCTCGTCTATCAACTTTTTCAGCTTCTCAAAGTGGTCTTTCGTCTTCTGTTCGTCGGCAATCGGGTGACCCAACATGGGAACCTCCATCACGTGGCCATTTGAGTCAACACCAGGATAGATCTCTTCGAGGACTTCGGCTGCGCGTTGGGCCTTCTTCGCACCTCCTTGCAAGCAGTCTTGAAAATTGAATAATGGCTGTCGAACAGGATTTGAGAAGCTGACGTTTGCATTGTCGATGAATGTGATCTTCCTTACACCCCAGCCCATTAAGGTTCGTGAGACATAAGAGCCGAGGGTACCGGCTCCCAGAAGCAGGCATTTGCAATTTTTAATGACATCCAGATCTATGTTCGGAGCAATTCGCCACTTGATGAGTTTGAGGTTGAGATCAACAGCTTGGTCGGCAAGCTTGCGTTCATCCATGTACTCAGAAAGGTCAACGCTACGAGAAGTGAGTTTTCCAGCATCGTTGCGCTCCCAACCTGTGACCTTGGGCATTTTTGGGGCTTTTGGGCGTGGCCCATCGTCTATAGATGATGTAGACTCCTCGGGAACATGATCAGATTGGAGTCGAAAAATAAGGGAATTTGCATTGTCACGCTGGACGTGGGTGTCGCGATAACACAAGATTTGCACGTCGTTCAGTCGCCAACGATGTCGTATCAAAATCAGTAAGTTTCGCAAAGGCCAGCCCGGATTCTCCTCGTACGTAGACGGGTCGGCAAACGAAACGAAGCAATCCTCTTTGTTAACGCCGTCGAAGAAGCCTTTCTCGTACGATTCGAGTCTTCCAATAACCCACCGGTAGCCAATGTCGTGGCCATGTGTGGTAGGCGTTTCAGGCTGGTCTTCGCCGTCTGAACTTCCTCCACGAACCCGTTTGGCTAGGAAGAATCCTCGCTGGCGCGTATCGGAGCTGTATTTCCACGTCTGGACCGCATCAACAAGTTGGGTCGTCTCATGAGAATTTAACCGGCCGACAGCGCCTATTTGTCTCCACACGGGATCCGATTGGATAGCTGGAAAACCAAAGTGGTATGAGAACTTGTATTTTTTGAGGTTGGCGAAAGTAATGAGGGTGAAGGCAGAGAGAAGAGATGGGCACTCGTATATGGATCCGTCATGAATGGCTTCCCATATCTATGCCATGTCAGCTTGGCAGGGCAAGTAGGCGGAGTTGGGGCTTATGGTGTACCGTCTGACCACATCGTTCGAGAATTGCTGGTCGGTCTAGGTTTTTGAAGTCTTCAATAGTATTGCAATTCTTGATGATGCCCTCGGCGCGACAGAAGTTAGGTGGAGTACTGAGAGCAGGTGTCAGCGACACAGCGATTACAACGCTGGAGAAGGGTTTCTGCGTACTCGTCGGAAGTTAGAGCGTTTGGGTGGATCTGGATGCGCATAGAGCGAGCCGAGTGATCTCCAGGACGGACTTCGTACAAGCCCAGGACTTTGCGAGCCGAGTCGTTTAGCCGGTCGTGGTTGATCTTGATGTGAGCTAGAGCAGCATAGAACTGGACATCAACATCGCTTTGCCAGGGCGCGAATCGAAGGGGGGTGGTGGTGTCTGTAGTCGCCATGGTTGGCGCGATTACACTGGAAGGTGACGATAGAAACGGCGAAACAAGCTTTGGCTAATATAGGGCGGCGCTGCTGGTGAGTGGTGGTGGTGAAGGAGGAGGGTGAAGAGAAGATGCAAGGCAACAAAGGATCATGTATGGGTGTATAGCCGGAGTGAAGTGTTCATGTAATCAAACATGGGACGCTTGATATGAGCAGCACATGTACATATGAATGCAAGTAGGTAGCTATTTTTGTAAATATGTATGGGCCGGACGTGGTCACGGGAACAAAGGCGCGTGGTGTATATGTCTCAGCTGCTCAAGGTCATGTACCTGGAGGAGTACTCCATGCACGCATACACTACTTACGACATGATGGCCTCGTTGCGATGCATTGCCCCGCCACCCCGCCATTTTGCCAAGACGTCCCAAAAGAGAGACGCGCCACAACCACGTCGACGCGTTCCTGACTTTGATACTTGCATGTACTGAATTGCCGCACTCGTTACTGTGAAGAGACACCACGATACTGAAGCTAATTTCATTCCCTGTGGGATATACACATATCAACGCCATGATCATCGGGCTGTGCGGAGGCAACACCACCTTCCCCGACGCTCACCTCTGGCAGCTATAATAACCAGTTACATCAGGCATCTGCGCTGGCAAGACCACCATTGCATCCTATCTGACCGAGCAACACCAATTTACGAGGATTTACCTCTCTCGTCCCTCTTCGACTCCCGCCGTCGCAAAATCAGCCTCCAACACCCCTGTCCCCTCTCTCGACCAGGTCCCCACCGATGCTCGTCATACTTTTGCCAATGTCGATGAACTGCTCGAGTTTGTGACGCTGCGCTGGAGGGAACGTTTCGTCACAACCGATATCTGGGATGACAAGGTGCTCGATGCCCTGCTGCGTCGTCCGTTCTTCTTGCTCGTCAGTGTCGATGCCCCCGTGAGCATTCGATGGAAACGCTTCACGAACCGGTGCGCCGCTAGCAAGCTCACCCCTCCCACTCTCGAAGAGTTTGTCCTGAGAAACGATGACCACCTGTTTGCCCCAAATACTGGTCTTCAAGTCATCTTTGAACGAGCCCAGTTGAAGCTGCTCAACTCGGCTACTCTACTTCCACCTCTGTATACAGCCTTGAATGCCCTCGATCTGCCCAACGAAGCCCGCCTGCGTCCTAGCTGGGACCAATATTTCATGCAGCTTGCAGATCTCGCTGCACATAGAAGCAACTGTATGAAGAGGCGCGTCGGATGCGTCGTCGTGCGGGAGAAGAGGGTTATCAGCACCGGCTACAATGGCACCCCCAGGGGTATGACTAATTGCAATGGAGGAGGGTGCGCACGCTGCAACGGCGCTGCGAAGGGCGGATCGGACCTTTCTGCATGTCTATGTCTCCATGCCGAGGAAAATGCTCTTCTCGAGGCTGGCCGTGACCGCATCGGAGAAAATGCCACGCTCTACTGCAATACGTGTCCTTGCCTTACTTGCAGCGTCAAAATCACCCAGGTCGGCATCAGCGAGGTCGTTTACAATCAAGGATATCTCGTGGATACAAAGACTGCTGAGATCTTTGCCGAGAGTGGGGTACGTCTGAGACAATTCACCCCGCCTCGTGAAGGACTGGTGCATCTCTCGCAGACCTCTTTGCAACATTCAGCTTCGGACCGATTCGATAAATCCAGCGCAGTGGACGATGTTCGTGAGGCCCTGGAAAGCACGGATTTCTTGAGGCCGCTCAAGTGAATTGAACTGGGAAAGTGCAGAGTACATATCTTGGACACTTGCATCATCTCCATGCATCTTATTTTTTTTTCGCTACCTCTCTTGATCGCTTGTGACATGCCCGTCGTGTGTGTACATTCTTCTTCTCTGACGCTGATATCGGCCCCCACTTGCGGATGTGGCTGTGCAGCCTGACGAACGGGCTCGGGGCTGTGCAGCATCAGTCTGGTCAGCTCCCTTTAAGATGTTATTTTCTCGCCTGTCTATGTCCTCATGACTGGACTACCTGCGTATGTCTACTAACAGCATTTACGTGCCGTTGAACCCTAGGGGACGAAAAATCAGACTTCTGGAGCTGCAGCCAGGGCAGTGGGACGACACTATCAGTGTGAACCTCATCGAGAGCACAATTGGAGATGGTACTGACTACATCACCATCTCCTACACCTGGGGCAGCGTTGATGTTGCCAGGCAAGTTCTCGTACGGTGCAATGGAGTAAACTATTCGATAAGCGAAAATCTCTTCACTATACTCCGCCGGTTGCGCTGGTCGCATGGTAAAGCAATTCTTGTCTGGGCGGACGCTTTATGCATAAACCAGACTGATACGACAGAGCGCACGCATCAAGTTGGACTTATGGGCGAGATCTACAGAAACAGCTCTGAGACTGTGATATGGCTTGGAGAACAAAGCCCTCAGGATGATGTGGGCTCTCGCTTCCTAGATCGAAACACCAGCTCGCATGCCATAATGACGAGTAGTCCAATTCAGATAGCCTGGAAGGGAAACAGTCGGGACCAAGAACTTCTTCAAGCGTATCTCTTGGACCAGGAAGAGGAAAGCTGGCAGAACGATGTGTTTGGGGCCTTTTGTCTCATTTCAAGTATTGCAGAGGGTACCAGCGATTCCATGTTCAAACTATTTGACAGTCGACCGACGGATACGCGCCATCCCTTTTTATATCTCATGGACATGCAAAATTCGAAGGCATCAAGAATTTTAAGTGGTTTGCAGAGGTTGATCAGTTCACCTTGGGTAAGTGCTTCTCGTTTTTCCGCAATGAGTCGCTGAACCCCCATGCCTATGCGACCGGATGCTTACCATTTCTTGAGCAGTGGCGAAGGATCTGGGTGGTTCAGGAAACTGTCTTGGCTCGTAAAGCAACTGTACAATACGGCATACTTTCAGCTCCTTGGACCATGTTGGCAAAGGCTGCGACTCGTTGGGCACAAGACCAGCATTCACTCTGCTTGGATCTCTCCGGGACTTTCCAAGGTCACGGAGTTCTGAACAAGTTCAGTACCGCAGTTCTCCAGTTTAACGAGACGCGCAATGATCATCAAAGCTCGGCACAGGACTCCACCTTGCTTTCATTACTCTGGAAATTTCGACCGCTGGAGGCAACTGACAAACGCGACAAGGTCTATGCACTGCTTGGAATGACGACGAACTGGCAAGGTCGGCCGCCTATGACGCCCGATTACAGTATCAGCGCGAGCGCAGTTTTCCTTCGAACGACTATAAACAACATTCACAGAGCGCAATCACTCACGGTTCTTGCTGGCGACCTCGAAGCTATACTTAACCGTAAAAGTATAGCCGAAATGCCTTCATGGGTCATGGATTGGTCGCTACCATGCCTTTCCCAGGAGGTATCCAGAGTCGCTTCACTCAATCTATATAATGCGGATGGAGGCCTGACTGGCCCTGTGCGTACTCACCGAAAAGATCCCATTCTCGAAATTGAAGGCGTCTACCTCGACCCCGTTGTCGTTGTGGGGAATGTCAGTCGACATACGCAGGTCAGCGACACCCACGCCGTACTCCGTGAGTGGCGCTTATTGTCGCGGGCACAAGAGCAAAAGCGTGGACGCTACCCCGTAACTTGGGACACCTACGAAGACGCCTTTTGGCGCACCCTCATCGGCGACCAAGTCTACGACAATTCCAACATAGACAGCCATCATCTCCCCGCTCCCTACGACGAGAACTCATTCCACGTCGACACAAGCATGGACGAGAACAGGACAGGCCAGCCCAACCGTCGTCGCGCTACCCCAGATGACGAGAACTCGTTCCGCGCCTGGCACATGTGGTCGCGCTGCATCACCCGCGACACCATCGATCGCCGCGCCTTCCTCTCTGAACGGGATCTCTCCGAAGGCATCTCATCCATCCACTACGCGCTCAAGACCACAACCGCATCACGTCGCTTCTTCATCACACAAAGCGGATTCATGGGGATCGGGCCGCGGACTACGAGGATCGGAGACGAGGTGTATGTCGTTAAGAATAGCCGTGTACCTTTCCTGCTTAGACGGCGGTTTGAACGTCGTCGTGCGTTCCGCGAGAAGGATTGGTATTCGTTGATCCGAGGTCACAGCTCTGGTCCTGCTATAAAACCAGATAAAGCATCCAAGGAGAAGAAGCTGTGTCATCGGTTGGTTGGGGATTGTTTTGTGTATGGGGTTATGGATGGTGTTGTGCTTGAGGATCCGGACGTCAAAGTTGAGAAGCTATACTTGGTTTGACGGCACGTCTGTTCCTCCTCCGCTTCTCTCCTTTCAACCTTCTTTTTCTTTCCCGCGGGACTGGTCTCGCAAGTGGGGAACGTATCTAAAGTAGTAATATTTTTTCTTGTTTAGATACCCCTATTCCTAATCGTAATTCTACATTTATTCTAAGCTGATTCTGAGTTGTAATTCCGCATTTTTTTTTTGGTTTTTGAGTTGGAGTTTAGGTAATCCTACACACAGCGATGGGTTACAACGAGGAAAATACCAAAATAACGAGCGATTAATAAAAGGACTGTAATTCTGCATACATGGCTGGATATATCTTGTCATCATTAAGACACCAGCACGTTCTTTCCCCCCTTTTCCTTTCACAAAGCATTTCTCTGCCGTAGTTAATATATGTTAAATGGGCCTCTAAGACACGCCTATCTATTCATCTAAACACATTTAACACATCATACAACTTCCAAAAAACGAAAAAAAAAAGAGAAAAAGTAGCAGGTATCAGAGTCACAACCAGCATTGAATACTCCAGGGACACAGGCAGTCCCAGAGACACTCAATTCCCAGCTTTTCTTTAATGTTTGTTGTAATGCCGAATCTGGACTTGTAGAATTACATATGTATATGCACACACACACACACACACACAAGCTTCGTTTCCTCAATCTCCAAATATAGAAAATCATATAGACCCACGGCACCCTTTACATGCACGTCTAGACTTGATGATGCATAACAGGGCTTTGATATACGTAGAAGAAGGCGTAGGAGGAGAACAAGGGAAGGGAGCAATGATATCAGAGTTTTACAGTCTCCCATTTTGTTAAATTTACCTAAAATGTAATTTTAATTATCCCTTTTTCTTACATACAAGATGCTAGAATTAAGAATGTTAGGAGGAAGAGGAGAAGTGCAAGGCCTAGTTAACACATACTCTTTTCTTTTCTTTTATTTTTTCTTTTTCTAGATAGATGGATGGATTATATAGAGCGTGAAGTAAAGAGAAGATTATTAAAAAATAAGTTATAACAAGGTACTTCTCTTCTATTCTGATGTTATCTTAGATATATATAAAATCTATATAGCCTTTCTTATTTATGCAGTATAAAAACTTTCCACTCTATATATCTGTTATCATCTTGTTCCTACGCACACCCTTTTCTCTCTTCTCTTTATCTTGTATATTCCTATAATTATCATCGTTTGATTTTTTAGTTACTAGTTGATTTTTTTAGTCTGTTTATTGTCGCAACTTATTGCTGTGTGTTCCCAAGGATTACCTACACTTCAATTCAAAATAAATAAAATAAATAAAACGACGACGACCAACAACAACCAACAACAATAATCAATAACCAACAGCCAACACATTGCAACGCCGCCCCCGACCGCCGTAGAGCTGCATATTACATGCCGCTTTTCATGGTCTGCCGAAATGGGTTTTCCAAAATCACGTCATTTCATTCTCCAGAGATTTGGGGGAGTTTACTGCGATTGAGAAGGGAAGGAAGGGCAGCGGGTATGAGGCGCTGTTCATGCTTGGTCAAAATGTCTACAAATTGACAATGTGGTAGAAATCTTAAGGGTGGGTTCGTTAGTGGCGGGAGTTGGGGGGGGGAAAGACATAGAGTGTAGTTTGTTTGGTTCATGCAAGGACTGCAAGTTGATTGATGTATGGGTTTGCTTGTCTGCGTGTTGGTTTTTTTTCTTTACTTTGTGTAGTTGGGAAATTGAAATTAGGATTCAATCCAATGTGATGATGACCGACGAGACACGGTAAACGGGAGAAGACGGTTCTCCAGTGTCGTAATCTCGACCCAGAAACAGCAATTCTGCATCGAGTTTCCCCGCTGCCAATCGCATAGCACAGCACTTTTTTTCCCTCTGGTTTGTTGCCGTTTAGAGAGGGGGAGAGTTATGCATCTCGCTTACTTACGTTTGTGTATGCTTACGTAGCTGCGATTTCGACACACAAACGACAGCCACGAGCAACAGAAGCAGAGCTCACGTCACGAGGCGCACACCCCTCTTCTCCCCGCGCTCCCCGATAACGCTCTTCCTCAGTTGTGTTTATAACGATGGCTTGGCCTTTTGCTGGCCTTTGCCTTCTCGACGTGGCTTATGCTGATTGGATCGCGAGGTGAAGAGGGAGGGAGGGCCGGCCATCTAATTCGCAATCCAACTTGGTTGCCTACCTACCATTCACCTGGCCCCCCCTCCACCCTCGCTGATGGGTGATGTCGAAGTCTGGAGAATGCTTATCAATGGAATGATTGATCAAAGCGTCGTCATGGTGTCGCTGTTGCGTTGCACGTGTGGCTCTCGACTAAAAGCGCGGAAGAGATGGGGTGCAACGTGACTATTGTTGCAAAACGGGCACACGGCCACGATGAGGATAGCTTGGAGGATAGCATTCCATATGGTGGAATCTCTGGTGAGGCGTGAGAATGGGCGAGACCATGGATGGGGTGAGACGGGTACGCGGCCTTGGCGAGGTGAGTGTGTACGCTAATATACTTTGAGCGAGCGGGTAAGGGTTGATGATGGTGGAGGAAATGGGCGCTAGGGAACCCGTTCCATCATCACACGCATATGCACAGCGGGAGTGCTGGTCCCTTTTTGTTCCCTCGTTCATAGCCCGTCGAGAGTTTCCCTCCGCGGGCTCTAGAAGAGCGCAAGATTGAATCAGTAGAGCAGACAATAGAGCGTCTCTAGGTGCCCAAGCTTGATTGTGCACCTCTTCCCCCCGCCGCTGCCCGCAACCGAAGATCCTTGAACGAACAAGGGCGCTAGGGAACCCGCTCCATCATCACACGCATATGCACAGCGGGAGTGCTGCAGCTAGAACATGCCCAATCGGGGCCCCTTGTTGGTTGTCTTCCCTAAGCCTCTTTTGCTGGCCGCCTGGCAATGAGGATGGGCATGGACCACCACTTCGCCCTTCCCTTTCACACATCATCTGCAAGGAACGCTGGCCGACCGTCAGACAGTGGACAGCCAGACAACGAAGAAGCCCACGTTTCCCATCCTTCGCAAAATGGTCAAACGGTGTTATAATTCATATAAGCGATTTCCTTGTCAAAGACCATGTCCTTTCCGAGAAATCGTGCCCTGTGCCGCTGACTGTACAGTCCACCATCTGTTATTGCATCCACGGCTCTCGAACCGTCCGTGCCGTGCCGCAATGGGCCTCGAAGCCTCGAAGTCGACGGTAAAAAGCAAAAACGAACAACAAGACAAGACAAGACGGACGGATTAGCTTTCGGTTCATCTTCTCTTCTTTTCGCGTCTCGGTCCGGCATCTTTGTGACCTCTCGTCTCAGTGCTCACCACCCTACGGATTCCGATTCCAGATTGCAGAAAGGGTGGGTGTGTATGGGTGTGCCCTATTTTGCCCGCTATGGTTGTTGGAGGACGGAGAGCGACACGAAACGAGACGCTTTGAAAATCGATTTCCCCACACTGTGGTTCGGCGCACAAACACGAAACGGAAACCTGGCCTGATATTATCCAGTCTAGACAACTTTGCGCCCGAGTCATGGGTTTCTACGGGATCTGCTTTCGGATTGTCGCTCGTATTGGACTGGGCGGGGCAGGGAGGGTGGCCTTTACTTCCCGTTTGTGTGAGGGACTCCGTGGCCTCGTAGGTAACTATACAGCAGCCTGCGAATCGTTTCCCTTTCCCGATTGTGCGAGGACTCCGCAAGTAAACAACTCACGAAGCGACTCCAAACGAGGTAGGTGATCACCATCGAAGAGAGCAGTCGAGAACCCGAGCCCGAGCCCATCCTCTCACCCTAGCAGGATCAACGGATATGGGCAGAGAGAAGCGATTGTTGTCATCATCCATCGACTTTCCTCTTCTTGCCACGAGGGTGGTCAGCAAGTATCATGTAGAAACGGGCGGCGGCATCCCACACGATCCGCAGTCACCCACATCGCGCCGGATGCGCTGCACGTTTATTTTTCGCCTTCGCACACCTACATAGCACATACATGATGATCTGCTGGGGGGCCCCTCTGGCGCACGCGAGTGGGCGCGGTAGCGTACGACGCTGGGTGACCTTTTTTTGTAATTGAGATCAGAAGTTGCTACTTGCGTCCGACATTCGACCATCTTCTGTTGTTGATGGTAGCGCACGCACGCACATAGTGGGACGGGAGCGGGTCGCTTGACGCCACCGCATTAAGAGGTTGCACAAGGTCAGTCTTCTAGTATTCCGTGCTCGCTGTGCAATGGATACGAAGCTTGTCTGCTCTGTGTGTGCGTGGGTGTCAACAGTTGTTGGTCGTTATCATCCACTCATCCCTCGTACGCAGCCATCTGATGCCGGCAATGGTCGTACGCCTATGTAATCATCGGACTAGGAGCAGGTATGGTGCACGAGCAGTTTTCCCTTGTCTCACCACGCGCCCAGAACGCGAGGGAGGGAGGCTGCGCGGCGGCTAACCAAGCCAATACATGGCAGGGCATGTATGAACCGTTGCGTGCGAGAGATCGGAGCGCCTGAGGCAACGAACCAGCCACCTCACACAGAGTGCTCTGGATAAGGCTTGTATGAAGGGCTTGTACCTGTATGCTCTGCAATGCACTTCCACTGCTGTGTATATCCTGCACATTCAAGACTTTTCGGGCATCCCGCCAAAAATTGATGTGGCTGGCAGAAGCGTTTGTTGCATCTGAGGCTGTCACAGTTCGCATGACAGGTGCATGAACAGACGAGGGCGGTAGACAGGGCCGCGATTGCAAAGTAAAAGTCAGGTGATGTTGGCAAAGCAGCCAATGTCGATGAGATTGATCAACGTTTATCAGGGTGTAGCCTGCCATGGTCAACAAGCGAAATGGTATTTGTCGCACAATATTGTGGCTTTTGGCCTTTGTCACGATAGAGGGATGCATGTACGGCAACGGGAGAAGCTCAAGATTGAACATGGAGCTCCATGTCGACAGCAAACATAGACGAGAGATCGATCTGGCTTTTTGTGTATAGGTGGCCCGGCAGATGACGAGATTCGAGACTGGTGTGCTCAAAAGGATGGATGACTTGTATGTCTTGCGCACCCACACACCACACCTCTACACGACCCCTCCTGGCCCCCCCTCTCACCGGAATAGCGGGACGATATTGAGTTGAGTCCGATTGGGAGAAAGAGTGGTGTGTGTGTGAGAGAGTGAAGTTGAGTGAAGTTGTTGTTGTACGCTGTGGCAGGCCAAGGCGCAGGGGTGAAGAAGTGAGGGTATTGCAAAAGAGGCGTGACTTTGACGAACCAAGCCGATGAGGGTTAGCGGCTGCCAGCACATCGCTGCTCACACCGCAAGAGCCTGTGGAGCAATCAGAAGCGGCGGCGGGACACATCCAAAAGTCCAGGAAACTCTCTCGACGGCAACTTTTGAACAGCACACACACTTCCAGGGAGGGCGGAGAACAACGGGTGCATGTGAGTGGCCAACGTGGGCAGTGGAGGTAGAAGGTCCCAACATTTGCACAGTCGTCGTCGTGGCCTCCCTGACCTCTCGGCCTGTCATGCTCGCCCGTTCGATTTCGTACTCTGTCAAGTCTCCACGTAGCACCACCAAAGCTGGAGGATAAGGCCTCGCCTCGCAGCTCCCGTCCAAACAACAACGTGCGAGTCCGTCAGCTGTGCACCCGTGGGATGGACGCACACTTTGCGCTCTGACCTGGGGGGGCGCTATCGACGCCATACATCAAGTTGATCTACCTAACATGCTGGAAGAGCGGTGGTATTACTAAAATGTCGTTGGGACTATGGGACTGGCTGCCTGGCAAAACGTAAAACACGTCCCTCCACGTAGTCGGATCGTAGACGCAGCCATCCAACCGCATGCATCTGCAATCGAGGCGGCGATAACGGGGGAGCTCCCTGCGCCATCTGGATGATTCGCTTTTGGGGGAAGCAAGTATCCTGGCATCTGTCGTCGGACCATCCATACTGAACTGTGCACATGTTTATCTGCGTATCGCGGACAGCGGGCATTTAGCCTGAGATGGCCATGGCTCGTTTTGGTATGCCCTCCTCATACAGCCTCCCCTCTCAAGCCCGAAGCACCAGTCCCCGTTGTGAAAAAGGAAAGACGCGCGACACATTCCGGGCCACGATCATGACGGCTGTGTGCAGCACGTTTCAGAGCGGGAACGTGGCTGTCCCGGGCAAAGGCTGGTCGTCGTGAATCATCATGTGCTGTGTTGTGCTGTATTGTTGTACTACTGACAAACTGACCGTCTGTGTACGGTACGGTAACCAGACAAATGTACATTCAGTACTCGGACATTGGCACTCAGTACTCATCCAAGGGCTTGCCTGGTGTTGATCTTGACTTGCAGAACCGCCGGTGCAAATCATCGCGTCTGACGGCCCACCAAACCAAACGCTCAACAGACTGGTAATGCTTCTCATTCTGGCTTGCTTGTGCGCAAAACGTTTGGCAAGAGGCAGGGGTCGCCTTGGATCGTAGGCTAGCTACTTTTGCTGTGTCTGTAGTCTCTAGTGTGTAGTCTCCACACTGCCGACCGACCGCGTTTAGCTATCGCACATGCCGGCTGCTCAACGAGCAAACGGGCCCTTGCGCAGGCTCCAAACTCCATGTTACATGATCTATGCGGAGTAGAGGCGTAGTGCGATCCATGGGGCAGGTACAGTGCAGTAGCAGAGCAAGCCGGCGGTCAACAAGACAACAAAAAGGGTCTTGAAAGTGCGCATCATCAGCAACAGCGCGCAGTCTGACTGAGTGTCTCTGCATCGGAATGGGATTACCGCATCATGTCCTGCTGGCGCTGGCGTTGAATATCTCCGGCCCCGCTGAGTGGCCGAATGAATTCAGCCGTGGTTTCTCCCTATCGGCACCCCAGCCGACAAAAAAGCGCCATCGACAACAGCGACCGCACAATTGCGAAGGGGTGGATGCTAAACAGCCACGGGAAAAGGAATGAAGAGCAGACGCCCGCTAAAACGCCCAAGGCGCACGCGTCTCCTTTGCCCCGTGCGTGTCCTTTTGCCTATGGTCGAGTCCCGACATTTGCCAGGCCATTGAATGAGAGGGTGAAATAAATAATGACGAGATGCGGGCCAACCATGTCACTGGGCGTTTACCTGAGCATGTTGAGGAGATGGCGGATTGGAGCGGCTACAGCCACGGGCAGGCCAAGTTCAAGTGCAGGCGTATAGCGGCGGCATCGGATCTTGCATTGGAGTTTTGTGGACAAACGGAGAGCTAAACATGAAACGAGTGGATGACAGTCGCGAGTAAGGTTAGGCACGGGTTACGGGCTTGCAACGGGCTCGCATCTGATCTGCTGTGCGGACTGTGGAGTTGGACGACGGTTGCAAGCGTCGACGGCGGCGAAAGCAGTGGTGGTGGTGATGGTGGTGGATGTCGTCGTCGTCAGGTGGCTGGTGTGTGCCGGGCTGCTTCTCGCTTAGCTCAGCTTGCATGGCATTCGACCAGCGTTAGCATGGCATTAGCCTAGCATAAGGTTGGCGGCGCGGGAATGGGTACTTGGTTGACCATGGCTAGAGAACAACAAGCTCCACGCCGTCGCGCGCACATGTCTGGCGCTCGAGAACGAGATGGAGACATTTTTGGCAGATCGGGCCCAGCCCACGTCCATCAGTCAGTCGGCCGTCTACCATCAGTCAGTCAGTCAGTCAGCCAGCTCAGCCAGCCAGTTGGTTGGTTTCGATGCCAACAACTCAATCAATCGAGCAAGCAATCAAACCAGTCCATTCCATTCATTCGTCGATTCATCTTGTCCGGGAGTCCGTCCCCTTCGGTCAGCAAGATGGCATGTCGGGGACGTGATTGATTGAATGATTGATTGATGATGGATTGGGGGGGGGGGGGGGGGGGCGGGTAACGATAGCGATAGTCCGTGCTGCTCGGCTGCGACAACGGGTTCTGCCTTCTTTTTTCCTCACTCTCTCTTCTTTCGTTTCTTCTGGGTGCACGTACGTTTTGTTTCCCTTTTGCAATTGACGGGACTCACCACTCGGTCCAAGTGAGAAGTGCGCAGGCCGGCCCACCAACCCAAGTTGGCTCCAGCCATCCATGATGATTGATCCTATTCCATGCCGTCCATCCATCCATCCAATCCATGCCCATATGCCCAAGCCATGCGCCTGTCCCGTCATTCCACGCCAATGTTCATGCTCCCCCCTGCTCAGGTTCCCGTCGTTTGATTGCTGAATCGCATTGTCTGGTGGGGGGCTCTTTTGCATCGGTTTTTTCTTTGTTTTATTGATTGTTCCCAATTGGCACAATACTGCCCTTGCCCCAGACGAAGCGAAGGCCGAGAAGCGCGAGTGACATGACGGCTCAATGCGAATGGCTTTTTCTTCTTCATTTCAAATCGGAAAGGCCGTGGTTCGTGGGGTGGGCGTCGCACGTCGGCGGGGAGGGAGGGGAGGAAGTTGGAAATCAAGTGCGGTGTGGTGTGGAATCTTTTTGGTTTTGGTTTTTCTGGTGTGGGGGTGGGAACATGGAGGAGCCACGGTCCACGGTGCATTTCAACGTCCTTACATGCACATGTACATGTACGTACATACATACATACATACATGAGGAAGAGTTGCAAGCGGGCGGATATGTGCATCAACTGGTAACTGGGTAACCGCAATTGCAATTCTACACGTATTCATCATGTACACGGGCAAATGTACATGCAAGTCTGTACCTGCCTACATACACAGGTCATGATGTTTGCGGATCGGGTTCGCTCCTTGGGTGTTTCTGTCCTCATGGAGGTGTCTCATATTGCATATGGCATAATTGTTCATAATAATACCAGGCCAGGCAGGGCGGTTCGCAGGTCCCCCCCGACCCTTGGATCGGTGAATGGCCATTGCAGAGCAGCGCAGTGCAGAGCAGCAGCAGCGCATCGCATCAGCGCGGCGGTTCTGCAAACTCGCGCCGTCCCGTCCACGCAGGTTGGCAAGCAGTTGGGTAGGGGAATTGTTAGCCTGCTGGTTAGTGACCAAGTGCGTGTAAGGGTGTCGAGGTATGGGTCTGGTACTGTGCTGTTCTGTACGAGGCCAAGTGGGAAGAGAGCATTAGTCGGTAGTAGGCTGAAGAGATGCTAGTGCATGGCCTTGCAAGGCCATCATGGTCGTTGTCTGTTACCATCTGGTACGACTCCCACCACCACCACCACGGCTACCACTACCACCTGGACTGTGTGGAGAATGACAACTCCTGCTTGCTAGGTCTCTCTTCCTCGCCAACTTTTCCATCATCACCGAAGCTCGTTTCCGCAAAACGAGACAGAGGACAGAGACGGAAAGCGGCCTGGCTGGTCGATTGATTGATTGATTGATGCAACGATGGAGCGAGCGAGTGGTTGGTTAAGCTAGGCCACGGGCATGCATCCTGATCCATGCATCCTGATACTGGCCGATAGTGCTAACACACAGACAGTCGATATCATACACATAGCCCGCACCCCTGCCCTGCTGCCCCCTAGGCGGACGGACAGCACTAAGACGTGCTCTACTGTACCCGGGCTGTTTGGAAGAGCGAGCGGCGGCGGCGTTCGCGCATGGACTCGGCCCTCTGGTGGGTTCTGCGCCGGCCGCAAAACGAAAATGCAGCCATGGCAAGCCCCCCCTCCCCTGGCGGCTGTCTGCCCGGACTCTGCTGCGAGCTGTGCGCACCCTCGCCTGTCTCGGTCAGCCTTCTTAGCCTGCGCGGCGGCCTGTCTGGTCTGCTGGAGCGAGGGCCCTGCCACTTTGCCTGCAGAGAATCCTGCGCTGCAGCCAACCCGCCCGGCATCAAAGACGAGAACGTCCCGCCCGTCCTTGTTTCTCCTTCTCCACATTACATTGCATTGCCCTGCTGCTTGATCTGTCCGTCTGTCTGCTCGACTGACTGTCTGTCAACCTGCACGCAACCAGGCACCATATTCCTTCTTCTTCTTCGTCTTGCTGTTGTTCGTGGTTGACTTTGTCTTCTTTTGCTGGTTCCACGGCTTCAAGTGTGTACCGAGTCATAAGCTATCAACCGACAGCCATTACGCGCACACGCACACACACCGAGAAACGGAAGCAAGCGCGCGAGAACAGAGGAGAAAAAAAAAGACTGAGAGGGAAGACTTGGAGGATCCCCGCCATCCCAACCAAGCTCTCTGCTAGCCGCCGAATTTAGTCGCGTCCACTCGTTGCCAGCATTGCACCCATCCATCTATCCAACCATCCACTCACCCACTACCCATCAATTGTACACGCACACGCAACCGTTGTTCCGCCCATCCATATCCGCAAGCGTGAGAGAGTGAGTCTTCCCTTTTTCCTTTGCTGCCGTTGATTCCTGGTTCCGCAAGTCAGTGTGTATTTTCACCATCATGACTTGCTCGCCACTACCACTACCACACACGACCGCAACCACCGCTCCCGCCGTCGTCATCACCATCATCGTCGTCATGGTCGGCCTCTGCAAGCTCCGGCTGGTCGCGGTGGTGCCGTGGATGGCAGAGGGCGCGGGTGGTGGTGGGTTTGGTGGGCACTTTGCAGGCAGCGCAGCGACTGAGCAGTGGCGGGCTGTGAGTGGTGGACGGGCAGCGTAGGGTAATGAACGGGCCTCGCCTCGCCCCAGCCAGCGAATGCCTCGCCTATCTTTTTTGGTTGACGGCTCGGCGCTAGCCTGCAATCCCAACCACCTCCGCCTCTAAACCTCCGCTCTCCCCCGCCCGCCAACCCAAGCCAGCCAGCCTCTGCTTGCTTGCTTGCTTGCTTGTACTGTCCCGTACTGTACTCATCCTGTCCTGCACTGCACTGCAACTGCACGCAAACTGCAAAAAAGCCTCCTCGTCCGCCTCCTCATCCACCTCTTCTTCCTTACCACTTCCTCCCTTGTTTCTTTTTCTTCTTGTTGCTCCACTCCCGCACCGACGTCGACCCGTTCGTCTGCTGCCCGCTATCAATGCCATTGTTGCTGACTCCTCCTCTTGTTCCCTCCCGCCCAGTCCTCGCCTCGCCCACCAGCGATCCTGTCTCGCTCGTTCTTCTCCGACCGTCTGACTGACGGCTGACGTCTGGCCTTCTTCCCCGCTGCACTGCACTGCACTGCACTGTACTGTACTGTTCTGTACGGCACCCAACTCGACGTCTGTCCAGCCATCCAGAAGCTCGGCCCGCAGCTAGAGCTAGCTAGCGAGACCACGACGACGACATAACGACCGCTAACGATTCCCCTCCACCACCTCCATCTCACGACGCAACAATTGCACTCGCTGCAATTCCCCCGTCTCCTCGACGCACACAAAGAAGCAGCTCCAGCAGATGCTCCCGGCTTTTGAAATAAAATTGCCGTCCCTGCTGTTGCCGACACACGCTTCGTTGCCGTGCCGAATAATTGTTTCTCGCTCTTGAAACGAAACGAATCAAGCCTCCCCGCATCCATACTCACTCCTACATATACGTCTCGCGCCTCCCCCCACTGTAGTCCGTTTACTTGCCCCCCCGGCTTTACGACTGCGACGACCTAACGACGTGCTTTTTGTTATCTTCAGCATTGTTTGCAGCGTTTTGTTCCATTTCGCGGCTCCCACGCGTGTACTGAGCATTCCTCCGTCCGCTCTCTGCCCGCTTCACGAATTTCTCGGTCAGTCGCCCCACTCCCCGTTCAATTCTCTTCATTCGTTGCCGTATGCAGCCCTGCTCCCATTCAACCCGCACACATCGGTTTCCTGTCCGTGATCTTGTGTTGGTGCACTTGCCGCATTGGTCGTGTTTGCCCACGTGTTTGACCGCTTGTCGTTGGTCCAACCTGCATCTGCCGGGAAGGATTCTTTCGTGCCCGAGCAAACAAAACTGACGTGCAGTCTAGACACACGGCCCCGCCACGCCTTCTGTCGGGCTATATCACCACTCAACTATCACCTCTCCGGTTACCTGCGCTCCTTCTGCGACCTATCGTCGTTGTAGAGCTCGCCTGCTTGTCTACGCTCATCAACACCTCTTGCTCGGTTATCTTGTAACCGTCTCGAGTTCTTGTGGGAGCTTTCACAATCTGTTGCAGCGCGCCCATTCGCCGCTGATTCAATACCGTAAAGCTGGCTTTGCCATCGATTTCGTCGGTTCACGCCCGAGGCCCAGTCGATACCTGGTACAATTCCAATTACGCGCCAAAACCATCCGTGTCTAGCGAACGACTACCGGCTCTTCCACAGATACATCCGCACGCGACCACTTCCGCTTCCTCGTCGCCTCGGGGCGGATCCTTCAGCTCTTCATCCGTCGACCACGGAAGCACGAGCTCAAACACGTCCTATTCCGCATCCGTGAACGGACAAGCGACGGGGTTCAAGACTCCCTCGCCCGAACAGCATCCCCAGTCTTTAAACCGCGACGGTCAGGCAGTGCATGTCAGTTCACAGCAAACATCTCCGTACGGTACCCAGCAAGGCTACGGTTACTCTCCCGACGGCTACAACAGCAACAGCATGAACCAGATGCAATCGTACGCTGACGTACATCAACCACAAATGTCTGCCGCTACTGCACACGCTCCAGCTACGGCTGCCCCAGGAAGCCTATCACACTACTCATATCCTTCTCAACCTCCGCTGTTGCCCCCAGGTTCGCAATATGCCTCGGCTCCGGCCGCTTATCCGCAATACGGCTACCCCAATGGCGTTCCCTCCCAGTTGCCCGTGTCCTCCTCGATGAGCAATGCCATGGTCCCTCAATCCCTTCAGCTTCCAGGTGAGTCCAACGTTCATATTCCCGTTTCTAAGATTTGAGGCTAACGAACAGTAGCTATGACTTCTGCTGCACCACCGTCGGGTATGGCCAGCGCACAGGGCTACCAATCGCACACCTTTGATCACACTGGACAAGTTGCACCTCCGGGGATGAAGCCCCGGGTAACAGCAACCTTGTGGGAAGACGAAGGTAGCCTTTGCTTCCAAGTCGAAGCCAAAGGTGTTTGTGTAGCGCGTCGTGAAGATAATCACTTCATCAACGGCACAAAGTTACTCAACGTCGCAGGCATGACCCGTGGACGTCGAGATGGTATCCTCAAGAGTGAGAAGACCAGGCATGTGGTCAAGATTGGCCCCATGCACTTGAAGGGCGTCTGGATCCCATTCGACCGTGCCCTAGAATTCGCCAACAAGGAGAAGATCACCGAGTCGCTCTACCCGCTTTTCGTGCATGACATCGGAGCTCTCCTATATCACCCCTCCAATCAGACTAGGTCGAGTGTAGGTGGCGCTGCCATGGCCGCCGTGGACCGCAACCGGAGACCCGATTCCATGCAAAGCAACCGATATCTCGCTGGACCCACAGCTACTACGCAGGCTCCATCACTTGTCCACCATCACTCGATGAGCAACCCAGTTGGAGCAGCCATGTCGCAACCGCCACATGCAATCCAACCGCATCCCTCGTCAGGCAGACCGGGCATTGACCGCGCACACACCTTCCCCACCCCTCCCACAAGTGCGTCGAGCATCATGGGTATGGGCAACCAGGGCAGTTCTTACGAGTGGAGTGGAGCCAATGTGCAGAATGTTGCTGGCAGCCAGCCGCTGTCCATTGATACTGGTTTGAGCAATAACCGATCTGTCCCTACAACACCCGCTAGCACACCGCCTGGCTCTGTGCAGCCTGGTATGGGCTATCAGACGGCTCAGAGCTACGACAGCTCGCGGCCTATGTATTCGGCACCACCCTCGCAGCCCACCCAATACAACACCCAGTCGCAGCAAATGATGGGTTACCCCAAATCCGAGATGGCGCCACCTGCCCGCGCGGGAGACCACGGTGATGTGAAGCCCGCCGAAGGCATGTTGTCTCAGACCGACGAGCAGGTCAATCACGGGCCGACTGGAGACGACAACGACAATGATCACGAATACACCCACAGCAATAATGCATACAACGGTGGCCGTGCTCCTTACGCGTACGGATCAAACTCAGCCCCCGCACCCATGGCGGAACATCCCCACCTTTCCCCGGAAATGACTGGCTCTCCTCATCAGAATGGTTCGGGGCGTGCCACTCCGCGTACGACCAACACCAGCCAGACACAGTGGACATCCGGATACCCAACGCCTCAGCGCCAGGGTCCTTCCAGCAACCTCTACAGCGTCATGAGTGACAACCGTACCACCAACGGCAATGGGCCTTCAGATGGATACCAGCCCTCGGGAACGGTACCACAATACCCAAGTCAGGCCTACGCCACCCCCAACGGTGTTCCCACACCCGGAAAGCGTGGACGCGAGGACGATGACCAAGATCCCTATGGGCGCCCCGGAAGCGTTCAAGGCGATGATATCGATGGTCTTAAGAGACGCAAGACCATGGATAGTGGAACTGTCCCACCTTATGCGCAGGATCCCAACGGCGGACTTCAGCGCTCGCGCACTACAATGGCGCAGCGCAGGAGGTAGATGCTTCTGATGCTGCTGCTGATCTGGATGGTTTAGAAGCACCGTCTTCAAGTCACGCACAACAGACGTTCAACGAGCTCTCGGACACACGGCACTCGTGGTCTGGACCGTGTCTGCACTAACGACCCCGACTTTGATCCATCACGGATATTTCCTTGTGTTCTATTTTCTTTGTATTTCCTGTGTCCCTTCTCGAGCTTCCCCATAACGAAGCCTTGACGATTTTAACGACCATTTCTCTCAACTAGAAACCGTGCGTTTCGAGCCTCCATACCTTGGATCCTGTTTCTTCTTCTTGCTCTCATGATATACGACTCCCTGCTTGCATGAGGCATATGCACCTGTGCAGTAGATGCCAACGTTGGTGCTATTGCTCAGTGTTGCAGGTGACGATTCTGTACTTTCTACACAACTTGTTTTCCTTGTGACGGCCTAAAACCTTGGACCCGACGATGTTGGGGGCCGCCCTGCCACGAACCACTCCTAAAAAAAACGCAAACCCAAAAGCCAGGTATTGCAGCACGAGATGGATAGCCCAAATATATATATCAGCGACACCTACACACACGAATCACACAGACACAGTGGCAGCGCGGCCGTGGTCCAGGATTCTCACGATGAACGACACATGGTGGGCATTTGAAACGAACATTTGCAGCGAAGTGGTGGCCTAAAAATCTTGTTGCCTCATTCACCATCGTCATCCTCATCATCATCATCGTCGTCATGACTTGTTTCGGCGCCTTGGCCATGATCTGTACCTCATTTGGGAGCGTTTGACGCAGCAGTACGATCAAACGAAGCGCAAATGCGGGGGATCAAGGCGGCGATTAGAATGCTTCTTTATAGGGTGGGGGTGTTTGCGCGTGCAAGCAAGCTCACATCAAAACCTTGTTCCATTTTCCATTTTTCTTCTCCTTTTTACCTTTCTTACTATTAAGTATCTGTTCTTAGCTGGGCGGGTCCGGATGGGGGGGAAGACAAAGTATTTGGCGCCCACCGGCCCAACCAGGCAAATAGTGTCTTGGTTGATGATTTGAGCGGAGGATTGTGTTTATTCTGGAAGACGGAGTAGGGCGAGATTATGGCTCGGAAATGATAATGAGAAATCAAAAGCAGTGGTTTTTTCTACTTTGAACGCTGGTGGTATTGTCTGGTGTACGTGAATGATGAGGTGATAATCGGAGTGAATGGGGGGGAACGGATTTGAACTGAGAAAAAGTGATGCCTAATTGTTGTCCGAAGCGTCGAGTAATGAATGGTACGTAAGTATGGGAAAGACGCGTACGCATTTGTAAGAGATGGCTAGTAGGCTTCCACGTTGGCGAAATGGAGCCAAAAGGAAAAGTGTTGGAGTTGTTTCTGGTACTGTACTCTACTGTACGGTACTGTGTGCATGCATGCACGCATGCATGTATGCATACTAACTAAGCAACGTTGCTGCCCTGTTCTCGTGCGCCCCTCGAGCCTTGCCTTGGCACTTTTGGCCCCACGGCGTCATCGGGTGAGGTAATACAACAACCCTCCGTCGAGCCCAACGCGCAAACAATCGAGGCTGAGCCCAGGCTACCACCCCAAAGAAATAAGTCTCGCTCGGGGGCACATCACTCTTGTTCTTCTATCCTCACCCAGATACCTACCATTGTATATCTCTTCCGGCTATGAACGTCATCAAACTGCAGAGGTCAGTCACTCCTTGCCCGCGCTTCCCGCTGGCTTACCCCTCGCTCGCTGGACATCCTCGAAAGGGGACCTCCACCACAAACATACATGGATGCGATATGTCGAACAAAGCAGAGTTGCTAATCTGGTGTGACTGCTTCTAGGAAATATCCTCAATTCGAACAGGGCGAAATCTTTGGCCTGCAGGATGCCTTTCGCAAGCTCGATGTAGACGACAAGGGCTATCTCGACGAGGCCACCGTCATCAAGTCGACGCAGCAGTCCGAACACCAGCCTTACGATGTGGTGCGCCAGGCGCTGAAGGAGGTCGAGCTGGATAGCTCCAGGAGGGTCGAACTCGACGATTATGTTGATCTCATTGCCAAACTCCGCCAATCCTCACCCGCCCAACAGCGTATGAACACCGGTCCTGTACGCGCGCGAGCTGGCACCGGCCCAGGCAATGCGCCTCCTGCGCCCGGCCATGCCCACAAGACAAGCACTGGTGGAGGTGGCCGGATCCAAGTCCAAGGCTCTTCCGCCAACGTGACACACACCATCAACGAGGACGAGCGAACCGAGTTTACTCGCCACATCAATGCCGTGCTCGCTGGCGACCCTGACATTGGCGATCGTCTGCCTTTCCCTACCGATACTTTTGAGATGTTCGACGAGTGCAAGGACGGTTTGGTTCTGTGCAAGCTGATCAATGATAGCGTGCCGGATACTATTGACGAGCGTGTATTGAACAAGGTCGGGAAAAAGATCAAGTCGCTCAATGCTTTCCACATGTCGGAGAACAACAACATCGTAATTGAATCTGCTAAAGGTATCGGGTGCTCCGTGGTGAACATTGGCAGCGGAGACATCATCGAGGTTAGAGAGCATCTTATTCTAGGCTTGATCTGGCAGATCATCCGTCGCGGTCTTCTCGGAAAAATCGATATCAAGCTTCATCCCGAGCTGTACAGACTTTTGGAAGATGACGAGACATTGGAGCAATTCCTTCGCTTGCCTCCGGAGCAGATTCTCCTGAGATGGTTCAACTACCACCTCAAGAACGCCAAGTGGAACCGCAAGTGAGTGTCAGATGTGCTCATGCATTGAGTTGCGCTAATACAACAAAAGGGTCACCAACTTCTCGACCGACGTCAAGGACGGCGAGAACTACACAGTCCTCCTCAATCAGCTTAAACCCGAGCAGTGCTCCCGCGCACCCCTACAAACCAGCGATCTTCACCAGCGAGCTGAGCAAGTTCTTCAAAATGCCGATGCTCTCGGGTGCCGTAAATTCCTAACACCCACATCTCTCGTAGCTGGGAACCCCAAGTTGAATCTGGCATTCGTTGCCAATCTTTTCAATACCCACCCAGGTCTCGACCCCATCACGGAAGAAGAGAAGGCAGACATCGAGGATTTCGATGCAGAGGGCGAACGTGAAGCTCGTGTCTTTACTCTCTGGCTCAACTCTCTGGACGTGCAACCAGTCGTACAGTCTTTCTTCGAAGACTTGAAAGACGGAGGCGTCCTGCTCCAAGCGTACGACAAAGTTATTCCCGGCAGCGTCAACTGGCGCCACGTGAACAAGCCTCGAGAAGGACAAGAACTGATGCGCTTCAAGGCGCTCGAAAACACAAACTACGCCGTTGAACTCGGCAAACACAACTCGTTCTCTCTGCCTGGTATCCAAGGCGCCGACATCACTGATGGCCAGCGAACGCTTACCTTGGGCCTCGTGTGGCAACTGATGCGCAGAGATATCGTCAGCACGCTCAAGGGCCTGGCGCAACGGCTCGGCAAGCGCGAGATCTCGGACCCAGACATGATCCGGTGGGCCAACGATATGGCGAAGCGGGGCACCGGCCAGGGCACGCAGATCCGCTCGTTCAAGGACTCATCACTCGCCAACGCCATCTTCCTACTCGATGTGCTCTCGGGCATGAAGAGCTCGTACGTCGACTACGATCTCGTCGCCCCCGGCCGCAACGACGACGAGTGCTACCAGAACGCTAAGCTCGCCATTTCCATTGCTAGAAAGATGGGCGCTACGATCTGGCTGGTTCCCGAGGACATTGTGGCTGTGCAGTCGAGGTTGATTACGACGTTTATCGGAAGTTTGATGGCTACGCAGGAGAGACTTGGTGGTAACTAGAGCGCTTGGAAGTTGGGAGAGCAGCATTCGGTCGGAGAATCCGCCTAGGGGGGGCAAATTATGGGGATTCTGCACCCTCTCGTCTCTCCTCAAGTCTTCCGTTCCCTCTCTTCTTCTCTTCTATGTCGAATCTCGGAGGGAGGAGAAAAGCGCGGAGCGCCCCGTGAACAAGGGGAACATGGGGATGGTGCGGAAAACTGAGAGAGGGTGGGAGTATGTGTGTGTCTGTGTTTGGGGAAAAATGAGGGGACATTGGAGCGGTCAAGGCTTTTCTTGTGGTTTATTGGGGTGAGGGGAAGACATGCAAGACCAAAATTCAATATCTTTTTTTTTTGACTTCTCAATCCTCTTTTTCTAGTTCTCCCCCTATTGTGTGTGTGTGTGTGTGTGTGTGTGAAATCGTTCCCTCCTTTTACAACTTGCATCTATAGGAAAGAGGAAGAGGAAGAGGAAGAGGAGGAAGAGAGCCTTGTATAAACAGTAAAAAGTAAAAGAAAGAAAGGGTTAAGAGATAGAATAGATAAAAAATGGGAGATGATATTCAATATTAAGTCTCTTTAACAAGTTCTAATTAACTAAAACATGATAGTATAACAGGTGTAAAGTCCTTTTGGTAATCGCTCGTTTTTTGGTCTTTTTATCGCTGTAACCCATCGCTGTGTGTAGGATCACCTAAACTCCAACCCAAAATAAATTAATAACAGGTGTGAATGTATTTATGAAATGATTTTTGCTATATATATATATATTCTGTCTTCTTTAGTCCTTCTGTTCTCTCTATAATAGTCTTTCAGAGACGGCACAGCACAACAGGGCCAGCAGGGCATGCAGGGGCGTTTTGTGGAAATAAGGTTTATTTTTGTCTTCCGAAAACAAGTTGTGTATTCGTTTCTCTCTCTCTTGTCTCTCATGTCCAGAACTTCTAGTAGCTCGAACCTTGTCTATCATCTAAAAAAAAAAATTAGAAAAAAGATTCACACAAATTAGCCACAAAAAAAAACTCATCCAGCAGATACTTTGCAATTTCAAAGGGGGGTAAAAAGCTGAAAGGAGGAAGAAGAAGATAGACTTACAATTCGCACCCATGGCCTTGCGAAGCTTCATCGTCACGGCGTCGGCGTCGAGTTCGCGTTTATCGCTGGTTTGGATTTCGACGGCGTAGGTGCGGATTACTTGCTTGACTTGGCCGCTTTGGAAACTCATCTTGGCTTTGCGCATGATTTTTGTTTGGGGGCCTGTATTGGGGTTTTGGTTGGTTGGTTGGTTGAGTTTGAGGTTGAGGTTGGAGAGGTGGTGGCAGGGGGAGTGAAGAAGAGTTTGGGTTTGTGTTGGGTTATATATGTGTGAGGGTAGGGTTGGTTGAGAGGGCATCCTTTGGTTTGGGGCGGGGGTTGATCGAGTGCTGATACCTCCCCTTCTGCTCTCCAAAGAAAGATGCTGAAGGGTATAACTCGACACCGTGAGACCACAGTTAACCCAACAATCCCCACGAAAACCCCCAAAACCAACCCCTCGAAAAGAAAAAAGAAACACGATAAAGAAAAGATGAAGAACCAAGAAGCAGAAAGACTTGGAAAAAAGAAAAGGATCTTAGAAAATAGAGACTGACCAGCCCAAACCACAAACACAAATTTCGTGCGTTCCGAATACTCGTCATTGCCCAGCTTCATCCTCACGTAGGCATACGCGGCTTCGTCGTCGGCCAGCTCCTCGCACACTTGGCTGATTTCACCTTCGCCCGTCTTCGCCAGCGTCAGGGAATCTGATGTTGCGGAGGCGTACTTGAGCACCAGCCACGTGAGCGGCGACTTGTCGGACCGCACGTCCTCGTACGCTTGCGCGATTTCAGGGTCCGAGAGGAGATCGCCGGCGGGTGCCATGGTTCGAGTATTTCAAAGTTTTGTTTTTCCTTTCTCTTTTTTCTTTCTCCTGTTTAGGTTTTTGGATCGAGGACAGGGGGGGGGGGAGGTTGGTTAATTGGGAGAGAACGAAAAAGGACCAAGGAAAATGTTGCGAGGAAGGCACGGGACTGGACTGGGGAGGAAAAGGAGGTTGTGGAGTGGAGCGGTGGAGGTTCGTTGGTGGTGGTGTTGGTTTGGTGGGGGTTCTAGCTGAGGGGTCTTGAGTGTTTTAGGATTAGGGAGGGGCTTATGCTTATGCTGGTGGTTTAGTTCGTGGGGTGGCTGAATCACCCGTGGCGGTGTGTTGGTGTTCTCTTTTTTTCTTGTTGTGAAGCACGGAATGCAATAGGAAGGTCACAGAAAACTAGCCAGGGGGTATCATCATTGCGGGTGTCCGCAGAAAACTGTATAATTCATGTGCACCGAATTTCGTCCACGTCTACTGCTCGTCGCATCGAGAACAATCCGTGGACCCGCCGAATATCAGGTATTGCGATTTCGAAATATCGCATGCAAAAATTCCTGAGCATCCCCACGCCGGCCGAAAGGACGCCCAAACAAGTTCCAAATCTTTCATCGACAAGGCTTAAAACCCAAGCACTATTGACGACCATCCTATCAATGACCATTCTTCGTACCTCCAGACTCGTTGTCTGAAAGGCCAAGAAGCCAAAGTCCTCTCCACGTCGCTGGCCAAATGATTTGCTTCAAACAATCAATCATGTCCCAAATAGCGTACAAAAGTTGTTTCTGGATAGCTTCTGGGGTAAGCTGCAGAACGGGGAAGCGACATCAGGAGGGACACATAAGCGTAAGACGAAAGGTCGGTATTATAATTTGTGGCCAAGGCTGATTTTCAGGAGTAATACGCGCGATTAAGGGCTCATCGCGTTCTCTTGAGAATGGCTCTTACAGCGTCGGCTTCTTCTCGATCCATGGAAATACGTGCTGCAGACCCCCTGAACTGGACTTGGATGTGCTACCACTGCCTGTGTGTAAGGCATTGACCGAAGGTGTGGTTTCTTCGTTCTCCTGAATGCGTGCAAATTTGTTGTCGACATGATTTGCCAGCCACTCGTGTTGCTCTTGGTGGAGCTTCAAGCTCTTTTCCACCTCTTCAGTCAACTTGTCGACCTCTTCCGCCAGTTTTTCGTCACGAGTCTTCTTGGGTTCCTCGACCTTCTTTTTCTCGATTCGCGGCTGACCAGGTGCCGTCTCTGACCACGTGTTTTCTAGCTCTTCCAACCAACCGCATGCCTCTGCGAGCTTCCTTACACCGGCATCGCAGTCCTCCAGGAGAAGTACATCATCGGCTCGAGAACCCAACGAACCCACTTGTTCCGAGTTGATGAGTAGTCTTGGGGTCGATTCACCGCAAGCTTGCGGCAGTGACGCGAAAGGCTGCACAGAGAGACTAGTTCCCATGACTATGCATAGGTCAGAATCCTCTGGGAGGAACCGGTTTCGGAAGAATGACTCGGGCAGCTGCTCTCCAAAGAATACAATCTCAGGCTTGACTAGGCCGTTGCACTCGGAATTTAAGCACCTGGGGACAGATTTGTCTTTGATTGCCTGCTGCATCTGGTCTTTGGGATACGGATATTTGCATTCGATGCAACTCTGCTTCGCGAAGCTACCGTGGGCTTCGATGATTTTATCATCTGGCACCCCTGCTTCTCGCTCCAAACAATCGATGTTCTGAGTGAAGAGTTTCAACAGCAGCCCTTTATCGTGCAGGAGTTTTATGAAGGAATGTGTGATGGTCGGTCGGTAGCTTCCAGGGTAGAGTTCCTGCGCGAGAGCATAGAAAGGGTCCGGGTTCTTGCGAAAGTAGTCGATATCGAAGACGGCCTCGGCGTAGGGCAGATTTAGGCGCTGGAGATTGGCGTAGAGGCCAGTATCTGGAGATCTGAAGTCAGGAATACCTGCTGATGTGCTGATTCCGGCTCCAGTCTGTATCCGCGAATTAGCAACATTACTCAATTAATAAGGGTTCAAGAGCTTACCATGACCACGATGCGCTTCGCCCGCCCATCTTTGATATACTTTGCGAGAGATTCGAGGGAACGACTGTCCAATGTCTTTGGTGGGGTGTCATCATCTACCATGCGCGACTCGTCCTGGCCCATCTTGTTGCGTCCGACTCTGCCTCTGCCTTTGCCTTTACTCGACTTGTCACCTTTTCGACCTTTTTCCGATTTGCGCCACGGCTTGCTCTGCTCGAGCTGCTGGCGGTGGGCTTTGTGTTTTCGACCTATCTTGAAGAAGGCGCGGATATTTTCCCAGTGGGAAGAAAGTATGGTATTGGGAAGTGACGTGGCAGAGGATGTTATTTGTGAGCGTGGTGTGCTACTTAACCCCGCGCGTTGTAGGAGGCAGCAACAAATTATGAAGCTTGGGCCACAGGTTTGCGTCACGCCAAGACTCAACCGGCTAGCCGTAATAGGCAAACTGTAGACTTCATCAGGGCAGCTCCGGGCTAGCCATTATACCGAGTAGTGTGGCTAGTCGACCTGCTGTGGATGTTTTGCGAGATGGTATCACGGTCTGTAGAGTCCTTTGAACGCTAGTTTGTTCATGCTGGTTAGTGTAGAGGGGTGTTTAGCCCCTAGCACGCGCTCTCTCGTCTCTGTAACTTGCAGTAATAGCTTTTCAGCCTCCTTCCACCGACGCTGCTTCCTATACGTCGAAGCTAGGTTGGCTCTGCTGTTCAAGGTCTCGGGATGCTCATCCCCAAGTACCCTCTCTCTCGTCTCTATAGCCTGTAGAAACAATTGTTCAGCCTTCTTTAACTGGCCCTGACTCTTATACGTAGACGCTAGGTTGGCCATGCTATTTAGCGTCTCATGATGCTCATCTCCAAGTGCCCTTTCTCTTGTCTCTATAACTTGTAGAAACAACTCTTCAGCCTTCTTTAACCAGCCTTGATTCCTATATATAGAGGCTACATTAGCTATGCTGTTCAGCGTAGAGAGATGCTCGTCTCCAAGTACTCTCTTTCTGATCCGTATAACCTGTAAAAACAGCTCTTTGGCCTCCTTCCACCAGCTACGCTGTTTAGCGTCTCAAGATGCTCATCTCCAAGTACTCTCTTCCGCATCTCAGTAACTTAAAGAAATTGCTTTTCAGCCTCTTCGTATTGTCCGTCACTTAGTAGTGCCTCAGCACATTTCCATGCTAGCCCCATCTGTTCTATGCCTTCTTGTTCAGGACGAGTATGCAACCAAACGTACTTTACATGGGGCATCATTCGTCTCCATTTACTTCTGTTTCCATGACTGTTGTTTGGAAACACCTTTGATAGCCTCGTGACAGCTATTCCAGTCCATTCGTCTAACATTCGATGCTTCCATAGCCATCCTCAGAGAGCGCTATGTACTAAGCGGTGGAGGTCAAGCGCGGATTCTACTAGTCGCCTCGTAACAAGCTTATAACTAGTAAGGACTTGTATTGCATCATCTCTCTCCAAACGTAAAGGTGCTTCGAGGAATTCAAACAATATGTCTTTTCAATCAACGCACGCGGCAAGGAACAGGTATTCAGCTGCCAACGGGAGATCATGGCGGATCTGCTCTATGGAGAGATAAAACGTCGTAGCTACAGAACTGTCCTTGTCGTATTCTTAAAGCCTATCCCCTCCTAATTTGCTACTACTTTCAGAGTCCGTTTAACGCTGTTTAGTTAGTCGCGTGCGGTACTCTTGCAGCGTAATGCCTCTGATATTAATATAGGCTGCTGCAAGGACAATCGCTAGCGGAAGATGTAACACCTCTTAGAGCAAGAGCTTAGCTTGCAGTTGTTCGTCTCCCAACCATGGACTGTCCAAGTATCGTTCCAGCATGTCTTGAGCCGTATCTTCTTCCATTTTCTATAGCTCTATGACGTTTTAAGATAATAATGTTCTAGCAGCATCGCCGTTCGTCGTCGTTAAGAGGATAGAACATAGTTCAGATTGTGGTAAATAGTTCGTCAAGCTGAACTCATGTTCCATAGAAGTTCTATCAGATTGTACGTCAACGCTGTCCGCATTGTCGAAAATGAGTAACAACTCCCCTATGTCGCTCCTACCTAGATGTTGCTTCACAATGTGTTTGATATCTGTCTTTCCATCGTTCCAACCAGGAAGCTTGAGCCTTCGTGCGATGTTTAAGTATGATTGATAGACTCCGTCTACGCTACTCGCATCAATCCAATAAATAGAGCGGCCCTTGTTCGTTTGTCTGGTTCGATACGCAAGCTCGAGCGCTAACTGCGACTTCCCAGATCCTCAAGGTCCTGCTATCGCCACGATAGAGGCTTGCCTGCTCTTAAAAAGTCTCGTTTCTAGCTCAGCTAGCTGCGACTCTCGGCCAACAAAGTTTTCGTTTTAGGAAAACGGGATAAGGAATAGCGCGCTGCTGCTCATTTCAGCTTCAAGCCGTGTATAGGCTTTGTCGCGTCCCTCGCCATAGGATACAGGCATAGAGACATCAAGAATACCAAGAAGACAGTATACAATGTCTTCTTCTTCCGTTGTTGTGCGGTTTTTCGCCCACTCCATTCGCTCTAGTATAGTAAATTTCTCTAGAGAACACCCTTGCAGCGCCTTAATCGAGACGTTGCTAATTTCGTGGACCAGCTGCTCAAGGGATCGCTTATCGCCAATACGTTGCCCTTCTTAGGAGAAAAACTCAACTGACTCTGGCGCAATCAATTCCTAGAGTGTCCAGCCCCAGCAGAACCACTCACTCTTCCAGAACGATGCTTCCCAATCGCTTTGTTGGGTTACCGCTGCTGTTGTAGGTACAGAAACGTCCAGCAGGAATACATAGCATTTTTTCGCATTCTCGTACCAGTTAAACATAGAATTAATCAACCTAGAGAGCTCGTTGATATTCCATTTGTCAATACAACAGGTGTCAATCCAGAAGTACTGTAGCTGATCCTCAGTTGCCTGCTTAGCGCAGAACTCAATTTTCTGGTACCCTCCTTTTTTCTTCTTATAGCCTCCGTTTGCAATATCTGCAAAAAGAACCTCTGAGTCTCCCCATCTGTGCGACAAGATGGCATAAGGCGGAATTGCTGCCTTACCGCTGAAGTCTGTTGAGATGAGCTTTCCATCCTGATTAAAATGAAGAAGTCTCATTGTTATGAGGGTGTGGAAGAATAGTGATATAGCGGGAGGTGGGGCTCTTAAAGGTGCAGACAGGCTAAGCCGCTGCCACCTTAGATGGCATGGCTGTCTGACATAGCCACAGTGTTTTCTAACGAATAATGTTCCCAGGTTTCTCACTCGCCTAAGGCTTTCGGTGAAGCGAAGCAGAGCTACTCCATACAGTTTACCTACACCAGAAGTATAAACCCGATTATGTTTGTTCGTGTAGTCGATCAATTGTCTAGCCCTCGGGTTCTCGGGGTTTACTCTTGTAAAGATTACATGGAATACTATGTGAGAAGTTGAAACGATTAAGTGGTGCGTCGATATATTGGACACTTGTGAGTCGCCGAAAATTTCCCATGCGTTGCTTACTAACTCTCGACCGCTGATGTTTGGAGATGAAGAGGAGATGACGGCGCTCTTTGAGCTAGTACACATCCAGTTCCATCAGTTATTCAGCGACATTCTTTATCACTTGGTATGGAATGCTTCAGATGATGCTACATATCGGAAATGGTTCCGGAAGAGCTGTTCGGCCGCAAATCAAAAGTCGGAGATGATCATTTTATCCGATGCCGAATTCACCGTTATACCCGTTGTGCAAAAAGCACATGCTGTGATTGTGATTTTGATACTCTTTTTGGCTGAAAGTCCCCTTTGATGATATTAAGATAGAGAGCCCGTATTTAGTATAAATACTACTGTTCATCAACAGCTTCGCGCCTCTCCAATGTCTCACACCTACCTCTCTTGTATACAGTCCCAAATCCTGCTTTGACGTAGAAAAAGCGTCCTTCGATGTCGCTCAACATCCTCGTAGTCGGAGCAGGCCTTGCTGGTCCCGCTCTTGCCTCTCTTCTCCAACGTTCATCTATCACAAGTGCCCATCATATCACCGTGGTAGAACGAAACCCTTCACTTCGAACCGCCGGTCAGCAGATTGACATCAAAGCGCAAGGTATTCCCATATTGAAGAAGATGAATTTATTGAAGACCATGCGACAACATTGCGTGGCTGAAACCGGGTTCGAATTCCTGGATAAGAACGACAATATGATCGCGCAATTCGGCGTGAATCCAGTCGACAAGAGAGGCTTCGGCCTGACAAGCGAATATGAGATCATGAGGGGGGATATGGTCAAGGTGTTGTATGATGACAGCCTTTCGCAAAGAGCAGAAGTGGAGAAAGAACAGTCCCAATCCACGAGGGGATCATTGACCTACGAATTCGACAAGAGCATCGAAACGCTTGAGCAATCCGCCTCCCACGCTGAAGTCACTTTCTCGGATGGCCAAAGGAAACGTTACGATCTTGTTGTTGCAGCCGATGGACAAGCTTCTCGCACAAGGCGTCTTGCGTTCGGAAAGGAAATTAGCGACGCATCGTTCAGATCTATGGGTCTTCACACTGGCTATTTCGACGTCCCACGTCTACCCAACGAGAACAGTGTGGCTCGAGGTCATTCCGCGCAGCAGCGCTTGTTCATCACGCGACCCAGTGGTCGTCCAGTGACGGGTGTGTATATCTTCACTAAGAAAGATTTTGAAGGTTTGCGCGGGTCTTACGATCAATCCATCGAGAAGCAAAAAGAGATCTGGATACGCAATCTGGACGGTTTGGAATGGCAGAAAGAGCGATTCGCAGAAGGAATCAGAAATTGCACTGATTTTTATGCGCATGAGCAGGGTCAGGTGAGGATGGAAAAGTTGTACAAAGGGCGTGTTGTACTTTTGGGTGATTCGGGTTATTGCCCTTCACCTTTTACTGGGTACGTCCATTCCTTCCCTATCGAAACATTACAATCCTGCTTCAAGGACATTAGGCAATGTTTGCAGTATATTGTTTGTTTGCCAACTCCGTACGCTAATTCCGCTTTCACTGCTGCAGACTAGGGACGGTGCGTACATCCTCAGTACAATATATCTCGATAAAACACCGGAGATAATGCCCGAAAATCTCGAGGAACAATGAAACATTATACATACCTTTTACTGACTTTGTTTTAGACAAGCGCACTGATTGGTGCCTATGTTCTTGCCGGCGAACTCGCACGGAACGGTACAAACGTCGACGCTGCACTGGAAAACTACCAGAAGCTGGCGAAGCCGCCCGTTACGGCGCTGCAGCATCTACCCACGGAAAACATGGGATTTTTGTTTCCATCGAGTCGGCTCGGTGTGTGGGTATTGAGTAGTGTTATGAGAGCTATATACAAGCTGGGGATCGACAAGATGATGCCGGATATTATGGATAGTGCTGGAGGGACCAAGTGGTCACTACCCGAGTATCCCGAGATGAAATTCAACGCTGATGAACCATCGACTTGAAGTGTTGGAAGGGGGTGGATGTTGTTGTTGTATGTTATTGTGTATGATAGGACGGCCCGAATCGCTACTCATCTCATTTCCGCCATGAATGTCATTGGTTCCACGAGACAGTGCAGTGTATGTTTGTGGAGACCGGGAGAAAATCATCGCATTGTTACATGTGGTGCAAGGTTGCGGTATTAAGGTAATCCAGATGTCTCACATTCAAACCAGATGTCATCACTGAGCGTCTACTGTATAGCACGTGAGTAGATACACTAAAAAGACAGAAGGTGTTTCAGCTCGGGATATGGGGTGCATCGGGTGAGACGGTTATTCGTTGGAGTTTAAATCCTACAACGTACGATCTATGGATTCCATGCCCGGTATAGTAGTCGTTCCCAGATAGGGCATACGCTTGTATATTGTGTACTCCGATCATCAGTCGCAGTTGTTGGTTTTCTGAAAAAGATCAACGGTCAGATTATTACTTGACGACTCAGAAAGGAGAGTCTTACACCCAATTGAAATGAAAGGCCTCACACCCGGTGCACGCCCACTAGGACAGATGGAGAACATAGGACGGGTGGCCTGAAATAGATTCAGGCCACCCACTTGTGTTGCACAACCAAGGCTCAGAAAGGCACTAAAAGTTCAGCTATGCAAGCGACCACTGGCGACCCATCATACTTCTTGGCTGGAATGACACGAGGGTTCAAACTTAGGTACTTAGTCGTTAGGGGAATTTTCTTTACGGGGATTTGCGTTAGGCCTACTGCGCCTAAGCCCAATCAGCCCCCATGCATACTACTGTACTTCGCCATTTGCCCGAAAATCGAATGTGGGTTCTTGATTATGGGTCAACATGAAACCTTCCCTTTTCTTTTACCCTTTTCTTTTACCCTTTTCTCCTTCACTTCGCGCGCCTGCCATCCTACTCTTCTTCACCTGTTAGAACGTGATTGACAGAGAGCGCCGTTTGCGATCACCTCTTACGCAGGTACCAGACATAGTATAACTGCCACAGCAACTGTTACACTTTTTGTTCCAACGTCGACCCTCATCGATGTTCAGATTACCTCCCCTACTTCTGGTAGGCCTCATTGGCCTACTCGTGCCAGTCAAGTCCGCGACTGAGTGTGGCTACGAAGGAGGATGGGCACTCCGAGTTGATGATACTACCTGCCCTAAGGACGCGCCTGTCAACTGTGGTACTGGCGAACAACTGCGTTGCTGTCCTAATGGCTTAAAGTGTGCTGGAGAGGGCGACTACGGAGGTAACTACTGCTGCAAGGAAGGCGAAGATTGCAGATCAGAGTCCTCATCGACTCCACAGGTAACTTCCCCTCATCCCCCACTCGACTTTCGTATGATGTGGATCAACGATCACAAAAGCTGACAGCGTAACATTAGTGCCCGGATCAATCATGGACGTTATTCGGAGGCAATGGAACGTTAGAAAAAGGCGGATGGTGCTGTGAGCCCGGAACCAACGGTTACTACCGAGGAAACATGGACGCAGTAGGATGCACGGCGGCGGGCGTTCGTACCTTACCCACTCGACTATCTTTTGCTTCGACCATTGCGACCAACGCCTGCGTCCCACCAACATCAACAGCTTCCTCGACACCGGCCTCGACCAGCAGTACCCCAACGAGCACACCGTCGCAGTCGAACGAGCCGCCGTCACCGTCACCGTCATCATCTTCGGCCGGTATGCCAGGCGCTCAGATCGGTGGAATCGTGGGAGGTGTTGTCGGCGGTTTAGCCCTCATCGGGGCCATTGTCGGATTCATTTTGTTCCGGAGAAAACGCCAGAGCCAGTCCCCGGCCGAAGTGGGAAAGGACCATAGCGAGATGCCCTCCGAAAAGAACGCCGACCGATACGGATATTATGCTCAACCCGACGCGCAGGCCGCCGCATATGAGCTTCCTCCTAACGACCGGCAAGTGCGACATGAATTGAGCAATGGCGATACACCTAAGCCTCCACCTCCGGCTGCACCCCAGGAGATGCCGTGATTTGGTTTTGTGATGAGATAGACGCAACGGAGAAAGTGGTGGACGTTGGGAACGTCCAGATTTTGTAGCCGAAGTGGCTCTAGATCTAATATTAGGACATTAGGGACACTCGAGTTGTATTATGTATTAATCGACGACATGGACGACAGGAAATGCGTGACTGTCAGTTTGTAGGAGCAAATACCCGTATCGTTCAAATTTTGTATATAGACGGTTTGCTGCAGCGTTGGGGACATTGCATGCAATCAATTGATCTTCAGATAGATGTTCAACATTGATTGTGCCAATTGGTGTAACTTTGGAAACGTGACTACGCGCATACGCGACCGCGTAGGTTCTTGGCATTTTCTTCCTTCGTTCATGCATTGAATCCAAGTACCCCGACTGTTCAGTCTGTACACTCTCATATCGTCATTTACTTCGCGTTTCACACTTACTGGTATTCATTCGATGCCATAGGTATTTCTTATCTGGGAGAGTACTCTATTGCGTCGCTCGCCATGGGGCTCATCAGGTAGGGACAAATAATCACTTGACATACGCACGCATGCTGATCAAGTACCAGCATCTGGCCGGACCTTGCAAAACATATCCGTGTCGAAGAGATGGCCAAATTGGCTATGGACCATCACGATACTTATGGCCGACCTTTTAGGATAGCCGTTGATGTGGCGGGTTGGATTTTCAAAAACCTGACTCAAGAGCAGCAGAGGGACATTCGTAACATGAGTGAGAGATGACTTCTATAACGCAATACGTTCCGCTGATGTGTGTTTCGAGGTCGCGAGTCATCACGTCCCATCGCGAAGACCATGTACTGCCATATCACTACGCTGCTGGCACTCCCAATAGAAATGCTGTTCATCTTCGACGGAGAACATCGCGCCCCCAAAAAGTCGCGTGGCTTCAATGGTAGGGGTATACCAATGGGACACGAACTCAACAGGGACCTTCGTGACGCTGAAAGCATTGAGCATCCCCTTTTATCAAGCTCCTGGCGAAGCGGAAGCGGAGTGTGCAATGTTGCAAATGAAAGGATTTGTTGACGCCGTGTGGTCTGAGGACTCAGATGCTCTTATGTTTGGCTGCAGCCTGATGTTGCGCTATCACCGCGGCTTGAAAGGGAAAGAATGGCACACAGCCGAAACTTTGCGCATTGATGATCTTCACCGCGAGCTCGGATTTGACCGCGAGGCTCTTGTGCTTTATGCCGTTGTAGCCGGCGGCGATTATGGTGAGGGCTTGATTGGATGCGGTCGCGAGCTGGCCAAACAGATAATACGGGGTGGTCTCGCTCGAAGCCTGGTTCAGTGTAGGAATCAATCGGATTGCAAAGCATGGCGGGTACAGTTGGAGCAAGAGTTGGCCCAATATCCGAAGGGGAGATCAGTGATTGTTCCCCTCGACTTTCCACGCTACGAAGTTCTGCGAAACTATTGGCAGCCCCGAGTCTCCAATGATATGGACCTAGGCAAGCTATCGTTTGTTCAAGGACGCCCACGTCACGAGTTCGACGAACTGAAGCTTTTCGATCTTAGTTCGGGATACTTCAACCAGTTTGGAAAACTATACATGGATCATGTAGCTCCCATCTTCCTGACACGGTGGCTCTTGAAAGCGACCGAGCTTGACGGCATTAACAACCCTCATGGGATCAAGATCGTGAGAAAACGGAACAAACCTGACAATGCCCAGGATGAATCGAGCTTTATAGAGGTCAAATTCTCGCCTTTTGGTCTCTCGCGGTTGCCCGTCAGTGTTTTCGCAGGCGAATGGGAAAAAGTGCAACCCAAGAACAGGGAGTTCAAAAAGCAGGTATACAACCCTACATACCTAGTCAAGTTCGAGTATGTACCTCGCGCTTTAATGCACAGGGTGCTTCCGCAACTTTTCGAAAGGACACAAAAGGTGGTGCGAAACGGAAAAACTGCTGGAAAGCGGAAACAGCCCAACAGCCCTGGAGAGATCCGGAAACGAGTAAAACCGCAAACCCCATCGACACCGGACTCCACCATTCGAGGGAAAGTTAATTCTGTCTCCAAACACACGCAGTCATCTGCAACGGTGAAAACGTGTCCAATCACACACGTAAACGGGGACGCACCCGCATCGGCACCCTCGAAATTCAACGCTTTCAAGGCTTTTGATCAGCCCAACAAGCCACCGGGAAAGCTGGAGCTTTTGACTTTGTCAGAAACTGATGATGACGATGATCAATGGGAGAAGGAAAACAATCATCCAAGGCAGACGTATTTTGGATCAAGAAGCCAGGCCTCAGTGCCGAGTTCAAGCAAGGCCGAGGTGCGGATTGAGGCTCCAAGCAAGGGAATTGGTACCGACGTGATTGACCTAACAGAAGATTGAAAGAAAAGAGGATGTACGTCTGAGAATAAGCAGGAGACAAGAGAAGATTATTTTACTTTCCATGTACGTATTCAGTAGGTAGCTACGACGTTACATATGTACGCAATGTCAACCATAGAAAGCCGTGCTGATGACGATCCATCAGATAGCCTTTCAGGTAGTTCAGGGTTTTTTTGGCGGGGGCCTGAAAAAGTCCGTGCGCCCTTGTTGCCTGCGCGACTGACATCACATAACAAACCTGTCGCTTGTTCATTCCTTCACCCTCCACGTCAACCCCGGCTACATATGTACTTTGGCCCACGTTTTTTTGGCGCACCTCACAGCTTTTCAAGTCGACCTACTGATCATTCTGCGCCAAGATGGCTGATGCGCGTGGCGAGTACTGGTACTTCGACCCCAACGTCGATCCCAGCAAAATCCTCGTACCCGAGCTGCGTAGCATCCTGCTGAAGCACGGTGTAAGATACCCAGCGTCTGCCAAAAAGCCTGCCTTGGTCAGCCTCTTTGTCGAACAGGTCCTTCCCCAAGCGTCCAAGCTACAACGGGACTATGCGCGAACCAAGCGGTCTACGCGGGGCATCGAGGATGTACCCTCCAGCACTGCCAGCACGACCGATTCACAGGAGATGGCTACAGAAGACGAGACGCTTATTGCGCCTGAGACCGTCAAACGTACAACTCGACGGACTGCCCGAGCTACGACAGAAGAGGCTGCGGAAAGGGCTACACCGGCGCGCCGTGCGAAAACTCCTTCTCGTACTGTCCCCACGAAACATGCTCGGGAGGTAGAAATCGACGATGGGCAACAGCCTGCTTTCCGCCGCTCTCGCAAAAGTAGCGTGCCACCCACCAAGGAGCCAACTCCCGATCCTGAGGCATGGCATCGCAACGATGTAGCAAGTCCATTTACCCAGGATAATCCCTTCCAAAGTGGCAGCTCTCCCTCGGTCCCAGAGTCACGCGACCGACGAAGGAAAACACTGGGGTTTGAGCACAAGGAAAGACGCAAAAGCGAAGTCAGTCGTCGTAGGACATTACAACCCAAGTCTGAGCAGGCAGAACGGGGCATAGTGGTGCCGACGCGCAAGACATTTGAGGTGCCTTATCGACGTTCTGAGACAGAAGATGATGCGGATGCCGTCCAGCCCTATGATAGTGGTGATACTGGCGAGGAATTCTCACCCGAAGAGCAACTGGAGATCGAACGAGAGCAAAAGAAGAACGGAGAAACCGCTCTTCTGCCTCCACAACGACGAAAACGACGCACCAAGGCTGCCGGCACGGCCAAAGCATTTGTTTCTACGCTCTTCTTCTCTGCTGCTGTCTTGTTTGGTGGACTGTGGCGTCAAGAGAAGTTCGAGGTTGGTTTCTGTGGTGTTGGCAAAGATTTTTCGACATCGCTTGCTGGCATCGAGATTCCAGAGGTGTTGGCCGAAAATCTGTTGGCGTGCGAGCCATGCCCACCACATGCCGAATGTTACAAAGACCTGAAAGTCAAGTGCGAAGGAGGTTTTGTGGAGAAAGATCACCCTCTGTCACTCGGTGGCCTAATTCCTCTTCCGCCGACTTGTGAACCAGATACCCAGATGACGAGAAAGGTCAACCAGGTCGCTGACCGCACAGTCAAGACTCTTCGGGAGCGAAAAGCGCAATATGAATGCCAAACTCCAGACGCCAAAGGCAAGATTCCGAAAAGCCCTGATATCAGCGTCGAAGAGTTGAAGGAAGAGATTGTCGCGCTCAAAAAGCATGATATGTCAGACGAAGCGTTCGATGAACTGTTTGCCAAAGCCATTGGCGAAACTACACAACGAGCGGAAATAGTCGCCGAAGGGTGAGTTGTACTCCCGTGTTCCATTATCATCATACCTTGTCTGACTGAAATTTACTAACCAGATCTCTTATTGTTGATGCAGAGAAACTGGACCAGCACAGCGACTCTCTTCAACCTCCCTCGCAGAGCTCCCCCTCGGCTGCAGCATCAAGCGATCCCTCCGAGAAACGCTGGAACGACATATTTTCACAGTTGCAATGATCATATTGGCGATTACATCTGCATCTTATGGAAAGTATTCGTTCACTACGAATCGAGCCATGGAGGCCCGCGCGAAGCAGCTTGCAAGCGATGTTTTCGACCACCTTGCCAATCAAGCTGCAATGGCGCGCCAAGATCCCGGTTCATATCAGGATCGTGGTTTGAGTATGAATCAACTTCGAGATGACGTCTTGAGGACTGAGTTCTCTGCAGCTCGAAGAATCAAGTTGTGGGGAAGGGTGCAGAAGAAGGTAGAGAACAACGCCAATGTCCGAGCTGCAGTACGCGAAGGACAAAGTGGCGATATAACGCGAATGTGGGAATGGACAGGACCAGTTCGGATGATTGAAGGCGGTTATAGTAGTGGCAAGCGCGATGGTGGACGTCACAGTCTGGGTGGGTTACAGGAGAGTCCTTTGGAGGCCAAAGAGACCAAGGAGAGGAAACAGTTGGATGAGGGGCGTCCGATCTATTGATTGCTGCACTTTCTGTTGATTTTCTTGGGAATCAGTTTTTGGTTTCTGGAAGGTTTTTTCCTGTCTTAATCGGATGATACCATAACGCTACGGAATTCTATCTTTCATATTGTCTGCGATATTTCTACGGTCGTCATTTGTAGTGGAAGACCGAGATGTGACGATGTGATTGGCGCAGTGGGGGTTGCTTACCTAATACAGAGCCGAGCGCACACATGGAACTAGTGAATTTCGATGGGCGCGCACGACTTCAACCATCATCAACACCCACTACCCTTCGCCCACTAACCCACAGCGCGAAATCAGTCAAAATGGTGAGTTCTGCACATTTTGTTTCTTGCATTATACGATCGAGACGATTGCGACGAGCTGTAACTTGAACGAGCCGGCCCTCCCGACCTCTATCTACCACGAACTTCGACGCACACAGGATCAGCCAAGCGACATGACGCAGACGGACAATTTTGGACAGCAGCGAGGGGATCTCCAGAGTGTATGGGATGATGGCAGAGACATGTTGCCTGCGATTACATTGTGGTGAAAACACCGATGTTTTGTATGCCGAAAATCGAGAAGAATTGGATGGGTTACGTTTGGAGTTGCCATACACCTTCCCTCGTCACTACTTCGAATTACCGACTGTTTAATCGTCGCCATGATCGGCCGACACGACACCGCCTCCGTACAGCTCGTTCATACCTGCAGCTCGTCGTTTGCGATTTTCGAGACGCTCCATGACCAAATGAATGGCATTATAGCTGACACTCGCCTTTCAGGTCAACGTACCCAAGACCCGCCGAACCTACTGCAAGGGCAAGGACTGCAAGAAGCGTTAGTGATATACGGTGCTTTGGGATTGACAGGATACTAAGACCCGGCAGACACTCAGCACAAGGTCACACAGTACAAGGCCGGAAAAGCTTCGCTGTTCGCCCAGGGAAAGCGTCGTTATGACCGCAAGCAGAGTGGTTATGGTGGTCAGACCAAGCCCGTTTTCCACAAGGTACGGCTCTCTTCCGTCGCGCCCTTTGAATGTGCTAACATGACGGCAGAGGGCGAAAACCACCAAGAAGGTCGTGCTCCGATTAGAATGCACTCAGTGCAAGGTATGAAGCACCACCTTGCAATGTACGAACAACTTCTGACAATGCGCAGACCAAGGCACAGCTTGCCCTCAAGCGTTGCAAGCACTTCGAGCTCGGTGGTGACAAGAAGACCAAGGGTGCCGCTCTTGTGTTCTAAGCATGTTCCCTTGTTCTCTCTTTTTTGCTGGGCCCTCGGCGTCGTCTTCAATGGTGGCTAGGGATGGGACGGCTTTCCCAATCGACTCATACAATACGAATAAGCATGGCGGAGCAGCGGGCATGATTCTGGGGAAAGGATAAAATAGATGCCGGTCACGACATTATGGACTGTAACCTACATATGCATCAAATGGAGCTCGATTGAAGGCCTCATCTTCGTTCCAATCATGTCGCGCATCATCGAGATTATTTGTGAATTATCCGACAACTGGATCCGTCACCCGGAGTCGGAGTTCCCAATCCAAATGCCCCACTAACCCCACTTGTAACTTCAACACCTTCATCCTTCGACCGAGTGAGTCACCTGCTTTGAACTGGGCATCTATCGCAATGTCTAACATTAAGAAGAAGAGTGTACTTGTCATTGGTGGTGGTTCCGTTGGGACGATAGCAGCGCTCAATCTGCAAGCAGGCGGCTTAGCCAGTGTGACTCTGGTTTTGCGTTCGAATTACAACGTGGTGAACGACAACGGATTCGACATTGAAAGTTGCGATCATGGCATACTGAAAGGATGGAAGCCAAGCGTAGGTATGTCGTCTACTTGAGTGATCACCAACGAGGCGATTGTGCGCTGACACTGCAATCAGTCCGCAACACGGTCCCAAATCTCGTCGAGGAAAACCTCGAACCCTATGACTACATTCTCCTATCAACGAAAAACATTCCGGATATACCACCTACCATCGTCGATCTGGTGAAGCCAGCTCTCCCATCCACCAACACTCACACTACCCTCGTCCTTATTCAAAATGGACTCAATATAGAAAAGCCATTTCTGCAATCCCACCCCAAAACCGTCGTACTAAGCGGCGTCAGTCTTATCGGTAGCGCAGAGCCCTCTCCTGGCAAAATTGTCCAAGACGACCGTGACCGCCTTCTCATCGGCGCATTCGCCAATTCCAACTTGGACACGACCGCCGCTACAGAAGACCTAGCACGCGAATTTGTCGAAATTTATGCCAAAGGTGGAAAGACGGACTGTGTTTTCTCGCCCAACGTGCTGCATGATCGATGGCGCAAGCTAGTCTACAATGCCTGCCTGAACCCTATCTGCGCCATCACTGGTCTGGACACGGGCCGCATCCGCTTAGCTGATGGTGCCCTCGCTGGCTTGGTCCGGCCGGCTATGTTGGAGATTGTGGAGGCGGCAAAGAAGAGTGCGGGCGTGCAGCTAGGAGATGACGTAGTGGATTTCATGATTGAGGTGGATGAGCTGCAACTGTACCTCAGCCCGAGTATGCTTGCTGATGTCCGAAAGGTAAAGTTATTTTCTCTCTTTACATACAATCTTCAATGCTCTTTAGCTGACGCTTACTTCTCTGTGATCAGGGAAACTTCATCGAGTTTGAGAACTTGTTAGGCGAGCCGCTCCGGGAGGGCCAAAAGGCTGGGGTGGCGATGCCCACTCTCCAGGTGCTATACAACATCGCAAAGGCTGTGCAGTGGAGAACCAAGGAACAGCGTGGACTCGTGCAAATACCACCCAAGAAAAAGAAGGGAGAATAACTTTCATTCACTGAAACGTGACAAGCATTGAAAGAAACGGTTTAACACATACATGATAATTGATTCATTGTTGTACAAGACATAACTCATTTGAAATTCATTCGTTTCAGCACCCTTGCCAACAACCTCTCAAGATCCATCATATCGAACAAATGGAAATGCTTCGTGACTGATGCTCATCTTACATCTTTCCTCCCCTACTAAACCAGACCTCAAACTATCCAAGCCATCCTCGATTGCCCCTTCACTTCCCCAACCCAGCGACCTTCAAACTGATCCTCCTCAGCCGCTTCCTGGTACTCGACTCCGCACTATCCCTTCGCTCCACCTCATCGTCTTCGTCGTCTTCCCCTAACGCAGGAAACGCCTCACCATCGTGCTTCTGTGCATAATACCGCTGCTTTGGAGCCGCGGCGACAGGCGGCGATGGTGGTTGTGATGCGTACATGTCTTTGTCTTGGCTCACGACGATGAGTGGAGGGGCGGGTTGTGTGAGCGACGTGTTCCGCGGGCGCCGAATGGCGGATTTGCGGCGGAGAGTTGAGGTGGTTGGGGTTGATGAAGTGGTTGAGGAGGGTGGAGATGTGTTGTTGTTGTAGTAGTAATCTTGGTTGTAGGTGTTCGTGTATGGTTGGTCATACGGTGGTGTTGTATGGTAGTATTCGTTATTTGGGGTGGCGAATTGAGGCTGGTGGTAGTTGTGGTTATACATGTTATTATGCTCGTCGTAAGGGTTGTAGAAAGTATATTGTTGTTGTGGTTGTTGCATCGTCAAGACTTTTACAATAGTGACAAGTCACAAACGACAATTTTCTCGGAGTGTTTGTGTTTTGATATTCTCCAGTTTATTTTGGGATATGTAGAAGAAATCAGCAGAACCAGTTTTATATACCCGTTGAAGATTCCTACTCTACAAAAATAACCACCACTTGGAAGGAAGAGCAGCATCCGACCTCCCAAGAGAATCCATCAGCGATCCATCGCCCGCAACAGCAAAAAAGAGCTGAATGACACAACTCGAACGCAACTCTGAAACCACCCAACCAGCATCTCCCGGCTCTCCCACAAAGACCCATCACAGGCAAAAAAAGGCATCCCAGAAACCGCAGTGGCGTCGTACAGCCATAATCCACATCCAGCGCACGAATCAAGATTTTGTGGTGCTTACTCCCGATTGGATGGGGTGTAGAAGGATTAGGCCCTTCAGCAAGGGCTGTGGCCGCCTAAATCTCAGAGAGGGAAGATCGATGGGGGCCGATCATGCGAAGGGACGGGAAACATGTGCGGAAGTGCTTGTCGTGTGGTGATGACGTTGGTGATGGCGGTGCAGGCTCGCGTCGGCTGGGTGGCGAGTCATCGCGCCGAACCGAGATTCGGATCGGGGAAGTTGGGGGATTATCTTGCTGGTGAATTCCACGTTGTTGGCAGCGATCTGGGTGTATGTATGTGCTAGGCTTTTTGGGAAATGTGTGTATTACGATGAGGTTCCTCGGAGACGCGACATTATGTCTTGCTCCTTGTATATTCTAGCTAAGGCATCATTGCTGGATTTCACCGAGAACCAAGAATTGTAGGATAATTCTAGAACACAACATTTCTCGGCTATTTGCTTATTTGAATGTTTTCGATGTTAGGGACGTGCTAGGTTTGGAACTGAGGAATTCATGTTGATTTCCTAATCGTAGGGTTCTATAAACAATAAGAGAAATGCGATCGCCTGTTTTTTGGTTCCTCTATTGTAATGACTATTTCGCTACATGGAGAATCACCCAAGCTCCTGCTTGCAAACTATACCTACAGAGAAGTGAGATCAAAAAGTGAAGAAGCAAGAAAGCGGGACCGATCCCTACAACCGTGGCAACACCATATCCTAGGATCTTCAGGCCTAGTTCAGTGTTTTTGAGCATACCGATGGAGAATGAGGAAAGTAGGACTGCCCATGTTGCAACGATAACAAATACGCGCATTACGAATCCTGCTGACCCAAGAAACCATCTGAAGTCAAAATCTCGATTGAATTGCATCCATAGCTCTTTACCCCGTACATAAAACTTTAACATGAGCAGAAGAATTATAACAATTGAGCCGATCAACACAAGAACGCCAAAAAAGTCGTAAATCAAGTAACCAAGGTCTGCGAATCGAGTCTGCATGCTGAGTAGGCCGCTGGCAAGCGAGAGTGGCAAGAAGATACTTGCTAAGATACCCAGATACCGGACCTTCTGGGCTTCGTGCATTCCTCGTAAGAGTTCGAACAATCTGAGGCGGCGCTCGAGAGTAACCAAAAAAGTATCTGTGATTCTTCTTAGGTCCGTACAGGTTGACTTTAGATCGACGGCGAGACTCTGTAATTCACAGGAATCTGCTGTATCCATGACTTGTAGTTTCAAGGCTTCGACCAAAGTATCAACAGCCCCAGACAACTTATCAAGCATCTCATGGACCTCTTCATAGAGACATGAATCTCTTGAAATTTCCTTCAGCATGGAGGTTGTCAATTTGGTCCTTCTGGGGTCTGACAAGGCTTCTTTTCTCCTGGCGTACTCTTGGAGGAGGTATACTTGTCGGCAGTAATCTTCTACCAGGACTTGGCTATACAGTAATAAGAGAAATTGTTTACGGCCTTTTAGGGAATCGAGTTGCGTGAAAATACTCGAATGGTTTTCCATCAGGGCTCGCAGTCTGTCGCAGAACTTATTCCAAGGTTCGCAAGCATCTCTTTCGCTAGGCGTTTCAATATCATATCGTATTAGGCGTTCTAGACCGAATAATATATGTATATCTGGTTCCATAATATTGGTCTTGATATGCCCTGAATCTTAGCAAAATTTGCCTCTGGTATTGCGGAATAAGCTTACATAGGACTCGATCATCACCTGTTGAGTGAAACCTGCATCTGAAAGTTTTTCGAATGGTTCTAGCAGTTATTGCTAAAGAGTCTATATAAATACCGTAAGTGAAACCGGATAGCATAGGTTTGAGTGAAAAGTGGTAGGATTCAATCTCCCAGTATGTCTGTTGGGTCGGCCCCAAGAGTCGGCCCCACTGTGATGTTATGGAAGTCGACAAAGGCTGATCAAGACGATATGGACGCTCGGATTCAACTTCGAAGTAAATGCGAATGGTGTGCTCTGTCTGTACTGGGATTTCTTCAACCCCATGATTGAGATAGGGTTTACCAGGTTTTCCTGTCGAAAGTGGAATATCATAGACCTGAACAAAATTTGGGGTTGTACCGGAAGCTGGTGTCCAAGAATCGTCAATGTCATAAAGCTTCAAACGCTCCATTAGTAAATCCCTGTCTCTCTTTGCGTAGTGTCGGATGTGTTTAAAGAAATGTTTCAGCGCTAGGTGAGGCCTCCTCAACATAGGGATGACCGTTTTGAGGAACCCATCTTCGTCTTGAGCAACATCGTCCAAGAAGCTGTCCATGGCTCTGAAAATGTGGATGGTGTGGCCTGAGATATTATGATTTTAGCTTGCGTGCGATTGCGTTGTTGTTGAGCAAAGAAATTTGCAGGAAAACTGTCTTGAGCGATGATTGCTTCTCAGATGAAGGTCTCAATTTCTTAGCTATGGTACCGCTATGCTCATAATATATATACAACACTTTTTTCAAATACTAGCCAGCCAAACATAGCCAAATGCGGAACGGTGCTACGATCACGTTCGATGACGCAAGCTGTAACATAACCGGATGCACATGTGGCCCAGACCCCCTCTTAACTAAATAACGTAAGCAATGCTTTGATTCTGTTCTTCGCGTCTTTATTGCTGTGTCCGTCACAGTTGCCTACGAGTTGATTCGTCGTGTAGTATTCCAAACCCCATCGTACGACCCGCTCATACAGCGTTTCAGGAAGGTGGCATAGCAAGCTCATATATGTGACATGCAGTGCTTTATTGAATTTTCGCAAGTTGGTAACAATGAGCCTAGGAAGTGTTCCACGAAAGCTGCAGGTCGATGACCTTGTGGATCTGTGTTTCTTAGTGGTGTCCTGTGTACGTACAGCATGGATTTGATTATCAATGCAAGGCGCATTCTATCCAACCATGAGAAGTTTGAATAAATCTAATCGCATGTACAAGATTCTTGTCAAGATGCCCTGGGGTACTTTGATCAGTCGACCCCGGTGATGGAGCATCTATGGCCGAGTATTAATGGAAACTAGTCCATCATTCCGCAGAAAATGACTCTTGCGTGTCTTGGCCTGAGTTTTTGAGTAATTCCCTGTTTTTTCTTTTGTATTTCGTGACGCTAGGTGACAGGTCTCACCGCAAGAGTTCCCATAAAGTGGGCCAAGCGATCATGCCCTCACGTAGCGCTACGGAGGTACCAAATGTTCGAGTACGTGTTATATCGGCTCTAAATGAATGTGTATCCTGAAACAAATCCCTCCGCAATGTGTTATAAATGCTGTTGTTTCTAGTCTCCTACTTCGACACCCAAAGGAATGAAAGGTGGAAAGCTGCATACCGAAATTTCACAACGATATCCTTCCCGTTATTGCTAGACACCGATAGCTTCCTCAGTTCAACTTTGATTCATCTCCGATGTGAACGCCCGAAGAGTTGACGACGGCTGATTTCCCAGTGGCAGAAGGGGCAGGCCTGGGAAGTACCTTCCATGGCTGGGACTTCTCGAGTGGGGGTTGCATGATGATATGATTGTTGTCATAAATCATAAAGAAAAGGTTAGTTGTGTGAATATATCCCAGATTGGTATCTAACATACGGAGGTCGGAGATGATGTGTGTGAGGTTTGTTTAACAACAGAAAGTTCTTGTTTATCGCTCTTTTATGGACTACGCCGGGGAAAAGGCTGTCATTTATCCTCCACCACCGAGAAAACAATGCCTGGTTTATCAGCGTTGATTTCAAATCTGATACAAGTAGATAGATTCACGACACATCAATACCCCGTAAAACTTCTGATTCATTGTGCAGTCACGTGCAGATAGTCGAAAATAATGAACGCACATTGCCGTTCAAATCTATAGATTTGAATGGTACTGTAAACGAGAACAGGAAATTCACGAATTAGAGCTTGTGATATCTTACGCATGATTGCATGCAGTATAATATTAGAATGGTTGACGCGTCCCTCAACTACACGAAAGTGAAGCTGTAGACTTTTAACTGGCTGCATGCAGAGAGCCAATATAAAGGATCATGTCGAGTACCATTGCGATGGATTGGCCTGAGTAGCATAATCCAAAGGAATACCTAGGTATGCATGCTGCAGTTTGCTCAATCAGTTCCTCCCAAAGCAAGCCACAGAATCCTATCCCCATCTCAAAACAGTAACTTGCGATGTCATACCATAAGACTCTACGTTCTAGACTTGATGAGTGTATCGGATAGTAAATTTTTTGGTTTTATCTAAAGATAAGCAAAGTATATTCCTGGATCTGTCATTATTATCAAATGCTAGTTTGCGACTTTGTCAAGCAGAAGGAACTCGTCCTAACACTCACAACACGGCATCAGTTGTTGCGCAAATCGACTATCTCGCCAAAGACGCAAAATTCGACAATGAAAAGCCCTATTACATATACTATGCATACGATGACACTATCCCACGAACAAACACCAAATCCTCCACAAAGACAGTGCGCATCAAGGACGCCCGCGAGATCGAAATGTCGGAGGCAAAGATGTTTACCGAGTATGGCTCTGCAAAGATGCTTATAACTAATCCACTATCCATCCTTAATTATCATGATACCGAGCGGGTTGCAAAAATCTTGTACCCCAAATGTGTTGGCATCGCACAATCTCTCTTCCCAGACGCGGATCGCATCGAGATTTTGGAGCACGCAGTAAGTGTAGCGATATCCAGTTTGCGAAGATGCTGGACTACATTAACAGCATCAGGTGCGTAGACGCAACCCTCAGTACCTAGCCTCGAGACGTCGATTACGATACGCAGACTATCAGCAACGACATTGTGACTGCAAGCTATATCAATGAGAACACGAGAGTGTATCATGGTCAAGGTCATCAATGGTACTGTTGGAGTGCATTGAGGGAAGATGAAGCTGTTGTGTCTATGCAGTCGGATTCTGAGGCGGGGGATCGAGCTGGTATGGTGTCGATAGGTTTATTATGTGAAAAGCTGACAAGTGTTATAGGCGTTCCTCATAATGCGTTTGCTTGTCCAGCAGCTCCTGAGAATGCGGCTTTGTGACAGAGTGTTGAGGTCAGGGTGTTTGCGTATTTCAAGTGATGGGTGCTTGTTTTTGGTGTGGTGTATAGGATACTCTAAGATCGTGGAAAAACAGATTGACTTGGAATTGTGAGATCAACAATTGAATATCCAATGCTTTAGGTACATACGCCTCGCAACTGAGGTGATGCTGCTAATGAGTTTTTTTTTTTCGCTTTGAGCCAACAACATTCAACTTTAGTTTATCTAACGAAGTTCTCAACTGCATCGCTGTTCTCGCCCACTCTATCATCAGTTTGGGACAACACTCCCTTGGGATTTGGCCAACCCATGTTCTGTGCTTCAGCTTGCATCCCCCATATTTTTGAACGGAAGGCTTTTGCGTGCTCGATTCTCACACCAGGGCACTTTTGGCATCTATACTCAATCTCTGTACCCGTTAGATTGAAGAATTGAGCACCTGATTCGCGGGAAGCTACAATGTGAGGTAGTATAGGAGGGGTGTCAAACTAAAGTCATCTGTTAGCTTTCTCCGAAATCGTGTTGGAATTAACAACCAAGCTTACATTCTGCATAATCCATTCCCTCAATTCTGCGTTCGTCCAAGTAACCGGGACCATTGGATCAGAAACCATCTTCCCACTGACCGGGATCAAAACACGTAGCAACTCCGCGAAGCGCAATGTATTCTTACTCGGCCCCACATCCGCTAGACTTGGATTCACGCAAGCTATAACAACCGTCTTGCACTTCTGAGCACCGACCGGATCGAACACATGCTTCAAAACCTTCGTCAAAGCGCTGCGTCGGAACGGGATATGTGGCATTTTAGCGCCCGGCTTCCGTCTAGCGGAGGACTGCAGAGCATCCGCTTCTGCCTTTCCGCGAATGCAATCTTTGAGGACAGAGAGACTGTTGTTGATTTCGCGCGTCTCGCGCATGCGATCTGCGCCGTGCGATGCGACGTCGCGAGCGCCTTCTGATCCAGCGAGGTCGATCAAGTAGAGTAACCCATCTGTTCCGGTGGCCGGATCTTTGATGCGGATGCGACAGATGGCGTGAGATCTTGATGAAGCGTCGTTTTTGAAGGTTGAGGCTGTTCGTCTGAAGGACGTTGCTTGCTCAACTAGAATCTTCATTTCTTCCTTGTTGCGTACTTGGTACTCTTTTGCTCCGACCATCTGCGTGAATCCAAAGGAATCTTCGAGGAGGGAGACTGGCTGGCGTTTTGAGAGAAGATCGAAAGCTGCGTTTCCGGCCAGATCGATGATTGTCATGTGTATCTCTCTGTCGCCTTCCAGAGTCCCATTCATTAGCGTTTCAGCGACGAGTTGCTCCAGTCGGCTGACTGTGAACGTTTTGCCTGACCCAGTCTGTCCATATGCAAATAGAGTACCGATTCCACCGTTCCAAGCAAAGGGAACTAGATCAGCCACAAGTCTCTCGTAGATCTCGTCTGTAGTCGACTCCGGATTGAAAAGTTGATCTACTTGATAGTCAAAAGACTACAGAAAGTTTGTTAGCAAAAACCATTGTCACAAAGAGCTTGCCTACTTACCTTGAGTATGGGATTGCCTTTCGGGTGGTTATAAAGGTCGTGTATGTCAACAACATTTTGCTGAACAGACCGAGGATAGATGGCGGATGGGAAGTCCTCATCTTGGGAAAGAGGCCTGATCCTTGCGCTGACAACCATATTTGGACTGGCTGTTCCTGCTGGTATTCTCGGCTTTGGCGTTGGGTCTATGCGTTCAACGAGGGTGTGGTATCTCGCGACATTCTTGAGGTAGAATTGCTCCATCTGGATAAGTATGTTTTGATTTGATTTTTTTTTCGGTAGGATTGCGATTGTCGTCCCTGTCAATGTTGCGGGATTGATGTGCCTTTAAAAGTCCTGCTTAAGACTTGTTCAATTGCCAACAAATGCCCTGTGCAGTCGCAGTTTGCCAGAAGTTTAACTTGAAACAGATTGGTATCAAGCCTGCTAGATTGGGAGAAATAGTGTCTTGATGGATGGTGTTTATGCACGCCACAACTCAAGTAAATAGTGGAGGTGTGTACTGTGCAGGGGCGGGGTTGAGACGTCTTGTTTACGCCTGCTTGGCAAACAAATCAGGCAGCAACAATAAACAAGTGTGATACACATGTTGAATGAGACATGTATTCTAGATCAACCAAACATCTATGTATTCTTGCGTGTCTTGAAATCTATGTGTGCCCGCATGCAGAAAAGAGAAAGATGATGAAATCTTTTGTAAGCAGCAATCTGGCTTTTTGTCCGTGTTCATTGAAGTAGCTCAGTTAGCTGCTTGATATCTTCCTCTGTTGTTGAGAAACTGGTCACAAATCGACAGAGCTGCTCGTCATCTGTGATTTCGAGATCTTTAGGTACGGGCCACGGGTTGTAAAAAACAGCCCCCTTTTCCTTCGCCATAGATATGAAGGAGGTAGACAGTACCACAAATACCTCGTTGGCTCGAGGACTTCCTACTAGCCTGGCCGATTTAGAGGCGATAATCGACTCTGCAAGTTTCGCAGCCATTCCGTTCGCGTGTCGAGCCAGTTCGAGCCATAGTCCATCGCGCAAATACGCCTCAAACTGCGCTGAGATAAAACGGGATTTAGAAAACAGTTGCGCGGCGCGTTTCCGGATATATGGGAAGTTCTCAGCATGGAGCTTCGTTTTGTCGAATAAAACGACGGCTTCTGCGCACCAACATCCGTTCTTGGTGGCTCCAAAGGACAGCATGTCGACTCCACGTTTCCATGTCATTTCTGCTGGTGTGCAACCCAGCGATACAAGAGCATTCGCAAATCGAGCCCCATCCATGTGCAGCGGGAGGTTGTAATCGCGGGCGACAGACGCAATGGCATCAATCTCATCGAGCGAGTAGATTGTTCCTGCTTCTGTAGACTGCGTAATTGAGATAGCATTCGTTCGGCCAGCGTGTACATTTTCACCCGCCATGCTTTCGACCTTCTTCCTCAGCAGTTTGGCATCGATTTTCCCCTCCGGGCCATCAACAGTCGCAAGGCGTAGCTGGCCTCCGGAAAGATACTCGGGAGCCCCGCACTCATCTGCAACAAGATGCGCATCGCGGTGCGCAAGGGCAATACCGCCCGGCTTGCCTACGAGGCTCAGTGCGAGAGAGTTTGCAGCAGTTCCGGTCGCGACATAGAAGACGGCCACATCACGCTCGAAAATCTCGCCGAATCGTTTTTCCACAGTCTTGTCGAGTTCGGAATCGCTGTATGGCTGGCTGTAACCGTTGGCATGTTCCGTCAACGAGGCTGCGATGGTGGGATGCGCCCCAGCCCAGTTGTCCGAGGCAAAATGCATGGCCGGCAAGCGAAAGGTGGAATATCGGATTCGTCTTGCACGAAGATGTTGCAGCGCAAAGCGACTACACCTGCTTGCATTCAGAGCTTTAATTCGGTTCATAGATGGCCGGTGGCTTAGGTCATCGTTTTGTAGAGCTTTGCGAGGAACTCGGTGAGAGTCATCTGTTGTGGGTCTCGTAGAGTCTAGGCCGAGGGGTTAGTCTAGTCTAGTCTAGTATGCGCAGAACCAACAATATACCTCGCTGCTTCATTAACTTGATAAAGCTATGCATATCCCATATTCCTGAACGGGGCATGGTCCGCAGAGATTGGGCGGGAAATTAAGCTGAGAGTGTGTGTCGGTAGATATGAGGCCAGATGTGTGAAGTCACGACTGTCATGTCACACTTAAGCAAAGCATCGATCATGTTGAAGCAGAAGTCCTAGAGAATAGAGACACATTTAAATCATGTACTAACAGACAGTACTGGGATATGCCAACAAAGATTACAAATTTCTAGACAACGCATACCAGGAAATGCGTGTCAAAATCACCAGTGAAAAAATATTCACTATAGACATGCAATTCAGATATTCAAGGATACGCTTCAGCTTTCGTTACAAACTTCAATTCTGCGATTATCGAGGCCATCCAACGCGGTGACGCCTCTAATATGACGCTGTATGGCATTCGTACAGCAAAAAGGCACTGCGGATGAACTCTTGGAGGGTTATGCGTGCACGAAGGCCTTCGAAGGCTGACGACTAATATAGAGGTCAAGTTGACAGCCCTCTGGACCTTATTCGAAATCTAATATCGAATTCAATCCAGAGAATTCGTATGTAGCGCTGTCTTGTGCAGAATATAAAAGTAACGATTGGATGGAGTTAAGCCCTGAAGGACCCACAATGTGTACAATTAAACCAGCTCCTGATCTGCTTTTCCTCTCACTGACAACAGCATAGCCTTACAATGAGATACAGAAACCATTACTTATAGACTGAAATACCCCCGTGGCGTTTTCCTGTTCAGCTTAAGGTCTGTGAGCGCCGCGCAGAAGGGCATTTGAATCACGTGACAGTGTGGCAGCCTACGCGCCCGCTGTCTCCTGTACATGTATATAACCGCACCCGAGTAAAAGACTATAATGAGAAAATCCAGGAAGAGCCTTCAACAAAAAACGATGTATGAACCACCTGTTTCATTCTTTGAAAATCATTATGCGAACGGCGGGGAATTTGCACTCCACCGAGCCGTTATAAGCGGGAATCTGCAAGACATCCACAACCTTATCAGTCTTGGATTCGACATCAACGTCAGCGACACAATCACACACACATATGAAAACTTCGGCACACCCCTCCATCTGGCGGTATGGTGTAACCGACCCGCGTCTCTCGAAGCGCTCTTGTCTCGTGGATGCGACCTCAACGTGCTAGACGAAGGGAGCTACGTTCGTGATAGGGACACACCAATAACAATGGCGATTGCACTTGGAAGACGCGAAATGGTCAAGAGACTGTTCGATGCAGGCGCTGAGCACAGCAAGTATGATGAGGTGACTGGAGAGTGGTCTCGCTGGTCTCTGCTCACAGTTGCAGCGTACCACGGCCGTGACGACATACTCCAGGATCTGTTCTTGTGGCGTGCAGAGTGGCCACAAATCCACCGAGATAATGCTTTGTACCTCTACACTACGGCAGTATACCCAGATGTGGTTGGAGTTTTGATCGAGAACGGCAACTACACTGCAGAAACGCTGAGGGATGGTATACAGTTTGCCACTACCAATGAACCGTGCTTGGAACAGCAAGACTGGCCGCCACCGTCTACAAATGCAAGATTATCGACTCTTGATGGTGATTCTCTCCGCCAGGAAAAGTCTCTTGGTGCTCTTTTGGATGCTTATGCTGCGAGGGTCGAAGATAGTACAGTTTACTTCGCGACTTTGAATTCTTTACTCCATGCTTCGTGCTCATCACCTTTCACAATCGGTGCTCTGAGGTTGTTGCTGAGAAGAGGCGCTGATGTGAATTTTCGGAGCGAGAGAAGGAAAGAATCGCCTATGCATATTGCAGTTCGTCGAAGGAGGGACACGCGTAAGTGTAACGAGGAAGGTGTTGTACAGCTTTTGAAATACGGAGCAAGCCTTGATATTCGTGATGAAGAAGGTAAAACAGTTGTTGATATTGCTAAAAGGGAGGGGAATGAAGATATTGCAGAGCTGCTTCTTCAATGTGGGGTTTCTATGAGTTGGTAGCTATTCGATGGCTCACCGCCATTGGCATTTGGTAAGGTCATGTTGGAGTCATGGTGACTGGGCCTAATCTAGACAGCCCATTTGATCATGGATCATGAGGTAACATTGAAAGTATCAATGTGGCAGTCGGTGATAGTGGCTGGTGGAGAAGGGAAGGATGAAACGGATGGTGCCGCAGCGCGACCGGCTGGCGAGCAATTAAGGTTTAGCGTGTGGCGTGGCGGCGACGTGTGCCAAGCAAATCATCCATCGCACCCATGGTCGGTCGAGCAACTGCAAGTCTTCTGACCTGCATGCGCGCCAGCTCGTGTTGAAAACTTTGGAACTCTCTGCCTCTCTTTGCTCTTTGTGCATCGGAAGCTTCATTTCAATGCTTTGATCATTCAAAATCCCAATCTCGGAGTTCGAGAAGCCCACATTCTTCGTCGCATTCATTGATCGCATCCAACCACCCATTCGTCTGTGTGGAGTTGTCTACTATCTACGTATCTGATCTGTCAGCGTCATCCTGCGAAAGCGGCGACAACGCAGCAGGGACATCCACATCCATCCAACTACCTATTCTCCCTTCCACCCACCATACGTTCTCAACCCTGGTTGGGCCAGCCCACATTCTGAAGTCATCACTCGTCGTGTCCGCTTCTTCCGCTTTCGATTCCCACCTATTTCTAATCTCGCTCCCGTTAGTTCCGGGGGAGCTGGGAATTCCCCACGTCTGCTCCACTCTGGTACATCTGGCACCGCTTATTCATTCCGCGTGCTTCCTACCACACCCTGATCGCTGCCGGTGCGGACGTTTCCTCATGTCTCTGTGACCGTAATCGGCTTCTCCGGGTCCAGCATTGTCACCAGTACATCATACTCTTCCTTTTGCATTCAATTGGCTTCAACACTAACCTACCTAGTGCCTATCGTGCCTCACGCCCAACATGGAGGTGGCCAGGTGCCTCTCCAGGGCTCTTTTGCCCATACATCTTGGACTACCTCGTCCACTTATGCTGTGCTTCCAACCTTTCCTCCCGTCGCTGTAACTTCTCCGTCCAACTCGCCCAACGAGATCCCTTACGTAGCGCCGGACGCATCTGACAAATCTCCTCGTCCCATCGTTCAAATATCGACATCACACCCTTTGCGTGAGCAAGAAAAGCCAGATACAACAATACCGGTGGCTTGTGAGGATAATCTTTCCGCGATATCTGACGATCAAATGAAAGGCCGTAAGCCAGCCATCGCTGCTGGTGGGACCTTCTTCAGCCTCTTCACGTTTTCCCAGCTCTACCAACATGTACTGTTCAATAAGATCACCCCGCCGTCGGAGCGCGCAGAGAATGCATCTTTTGTTGGATCGTCCCGGTCGTGGCTCGATAAGAACGTCTGCAATTGGTTTGGGCTTTGCGGGCTGGCGCATTTAGACCAGGCGCATTGGGTCAGCAAGGAGGGTTCCAGACATAGCACGGTTCAGGTGACAGAGAGCGATAAGGAGGACAAAATAGACCTCGAGGGATTCGCAAAAGACGCGTATGCGCTACCAGAAGATTGGTCAGAAACGGAGTTTGGGGATAGCGAAATACCTCAATATGTTTTGGACCATGCGCCCCTTATCCATCTCTACTCCGGCGAAGAATTCTGGCCGGGTGACATGGGTGATCACCTCTATCACACGACCCCTCATCTCAACTATACCCCCCTCCAAGCTATCGATGATCATCCTACTCTCCGTAACCTTAATCGCTTAAATAACTGGGGTCGTTTCGTCTATCTCACGAGTGACGACAACCCAGAAGACAAACCTCCACCAGAATGGCTAGCCGGTGAAAGCAATATACCCAATGTGCCAGATGATCCGGACGAGAAAGATCCGGGCGAAGGGGACGAGGCAGGCGGTCATTTTGAGGAAGACACGGAAGCCGAGAAATCGACTTGGTTCCACTCTGGAGTCGGCGATACCAAGGATCGAGGGGGCATTCGAGCGACTGAATCAGCTACATCAGGTTTTGCTGTGCCTACCAAGACGCCGGAGGGCGAGGAACTAGTGGAAGAAGATGAGCAATGGAATTCTGAACTCCATAGACGCCGGGTAAATCTGCGAGGTCGAAAGGTGGTGGGTGGTAAAAGCGATGCGCCTGCCGTGCTTATTGTCGTGCCCAAAGATGATGGTGTTGTGGACGCGTTTTGGTTCTTCTTTTACAGTTTCAACAAAGGCAACTCTGTCTTCAATGTCGTTTTCGGCAATCATGTTGGCGACTGGGAACATACGACAGTTCGCTTCCAACACGGGGTACCCAAGGCAATTTTCTTCAGTGAACACAGTTTCGGTGAAGCATATACATGGGATGCGGTGGAGAAATCCGGTAAGAGAGTAAGTGAATCCCCCAACGTTTGTTTTTCTGGCTGAAACTAACCAATTTCAGCCTGTGGGTTTCTCTGCTACAGGTTCCCATGCAATGTATGCGACGCCTGGAGTTCACCCCTACATCTTACCCGGTGGCATTCTCCACGACGTTACCGACCGCGGCCCTCTCTGGGATCCAACTCTCAACTACTACTCGTACACATACGATTATCGTAGAGACCACCTGCAAAGTTCTAACCTCACGCCCGATGCACCAAGAATGTGGTTCTATTTCTGGGGCCATTGGGGCGACAAATTTTACCCGCTCAGCGATCCCCGCCAGTACCGTTTCTTGGGTCAATATCATTACGTCAACGGGCCCTTGGGACCGCGCTTCAAGAATCTGGGTCGTCAGCACATCTGCCAGGGCAACGACGAGTGTGTGCTCAAGAAGTGGATTGGGGATAAGCGAGTTGCGGGAAGCTCGCGGAGAAAACGATGGCCGGATGTAGGGCAGGGCGAGGAGATGAGCGGCGAAGATGTACGGCGGTTCGTGGGGCCGGAGCATGAGTTTGCCTGATTTACGTTTTTGTTCACGAACGCCGAAGTTGGTTGTCATTATTGTACACACGTCCATTCAACGATTCAAATGTTTTCTTATATAGACGTCACGAGAGCGATCATTTTGGGCCCTTTTGGATATATTTCATTTCACGGACTGCTAGCAAGAATCTGGTCATTCGTTTTCCATGGAGTGTTTATGTATACGTGTACATGCTATGCATCTGTTTTAGTTTGCTTATTCTCTGTTCTTCTCTATTTTCCTTTCTTTTGGTACGGGCTGCGTAAAGACAAGAATCCAAGTCGTCATTCCTAACCCAGAACGGTTACTTTTCTCTTGATACAAAGGTTAGAAGATGGAGATTTTAACGGGAGTTATTGGAAAATGGTAAATCCTGAGTTCTACGACCGCGTGCAGTATTAGGAGGGTTATATATTGTTCGTCTACCCTATTACCCTCTGTGTTCTCGGAACCTAGCAACACTACACCAGAAACTAAATCATGTCTAAACGAAGCCTTTACACCCGTTATCAAAAACCATTTATTCCAAATTATATAGTTCTGTAAGTCACATAAATCTCCACCCCAAAAGACAAATGAGTACCTACATAGGTACCTACATAGGGATCTACTCATCTGTCGTACCCCTCGCGACATTGTGCTAATAACAAACAACATCAACTTACCGCAAGCTAATCAGAATCCCAATAAATTCCAAGTCACCTCCACGACAGCCGAGGTATAAAGGACTCAAACATCGGATAGAGTATATCCACGGTTGAGTTAGAGTGGCCCCAACGCTGTGGGAGCACGTGGGGCGGCTCGGGACCGTTACGACTAGCGTGCCTACCTTAATACCAACAACTACACCGACGTAAGGCGCACACTAGGTGGGAATGAATAGATATAGCAAACACTCTGATCAATAGAGTTGAGTATCTCAAGGGAAACCTTAATCCTCGTCAGATGTCATGGTGTTTACAATGATGGTGTCAGTCTGAATCCCACCGTAGACGTTTTCTCGGTGCGGAAGAAGGTACTTTTCAGTGGTAGTTTGGCTAGAGCGCTTAGGATTGCATGCAGGAAAGACGTATGTTCTAGAAGATTTTTTCTAGATGTTTGGAACTAGTCTAATTAATTTCTTTCTTGGGGGTGTAGGTTTCTGTGGGAAAGTGATTGAACCGTCTCCAGGCCAAGAATGGGTATTTCTTTCGTAGTTTTCTATATTGCATCGTATACTGGACCGATAGCTCCAACTGTATATTTCTTAGCTTTCTTGCAACTAGCAGAACAACTTCTGCTTTGCGTGAGAGCGGGGACGATGAGAATGTTTGATTCTATTAATCTATTTACCGCACGACCAAAGATTCCCCAAGAAAGCGAGATCATATTCTAATCATGTATATATCGTGATACTGGAATAGCTACTGGGCTTATTAGCGGAGTAGAATACTTGGTGCTGACATTGAGTGGCAATCTTGTACTGCGTTCAAGGACTTGACGATAAACGATGATCTCCTTATCAAAAACCTATATCAACACTTTGCGTTGGGTTCATTTTGAAGAATATAAAAACGTGCTACATAATACCGCGTTCGAGGCTGTTCGTAAAAGCAACCACTGAACCGATTAACGTTTAATAATCGCAGACCGGTCTAGGCACGACTTCACTACTGCAGAAGTAGCGGACCAAAAACGGGATGAGAGAATCCATTTGAGAAATACCTGGAATCGGCGTCATCCAATCGCTGCGACCCGATACCCGTGCCAAGATCTTTTTGGGTAAGACATGTCGTATTTAAGAGTTATAAAGTCCATTCCCCGTCATGTATTGACTGTGCCGCACGCGAACATTACGCAAAGTAATTGAGACACTTCATTCGTCAAAATTTGAAGGAAAGGCGGAGATAGCGGTATTATGGAGACTCTTTATATATTTTGTGTGTATTGGCGTGCTATTCGCTCGGTATAATAGCTCTGCGGGAATCATGCATAAAAACCTGTGATATATTAGACATAGAATTGAAGGACTTTCCCCGATTAATTCGGGCTCCTTGTGCATATCATTTTCTTAGTAGCAATAATCGGCATCACATTCGATATTCGACACCACCATCTACAGGTTTATCCCCCACCTAACCCATGTCTCCAGACCTCCAAAAACGAGCCCGCTCAGAGTCCACATTCCTAGCATCGGTGTCGCGACAACTAACAAAGCCAAAACCCCTCCCCGATACCATCCGCCTCACAGCTCAAGTCGCAATCATAACAGGCAGCAATGTCGGGCTCGGCTTCGAAGCTTCGCGGCAGCTCTTGCAGCTCGGGCTCGCACATTTAGTGATGGGTGTACGCTCCGAAGCCAAAGGCGACGCCGCAGCCGCTACCTTGCGCGAAGAATTCCCAAACGCGACGATCTCCGTCTGGGTCGTCGATATGGCATCGTACGCCTCGATCCGGGCGTTTGTGGAGCGCTGCGCATCGCTGCCGCGCATCGACATCACGATACTGAATGCCGGACTGACCGTGCAAAGGTTCGCCGCGGTGGCAGCTACAGGCCACGAAACGACGGTGCAGGTCAACTACCTTTCTACAGCGTTGTTGTCAATATTACTCCTGCCTATCCTCAAATCCAAGAACAAAGCCACTACTAGACCGCCGGTCCTGACTCTCGTCGGCTCCGATAGTACATACACGGCAAAAGTCGATGTACAGAGTGCGGCCGTGCTGCAGCAATTCGACAATCCGGGGGCCTACGAGCAGTTTTCGTGGTACGCGGCTTCGAAACTGTTACTCGCATTCTTCGCTATCCAACTGGCCGAGTACGTCGATCCCGAAGAAGTGCTGGTGAATGTGGTGAACCCCGGTTTGACCAAAGGCACCGGGTTCTTCGGGGACATGCCGTTGATAATCGGATTTCTGATGCGCTTGGCGTCGTTTCTGCTTGCGCGGTCGGCGGAAGTAGGGGCTAGTAATTACGTGGATGCTGTTGTTGCTCGAGGGGCGGAGAGTCACGGGCTGTTCCTCAGCGATTGGGGGGTGAAACCGTGGGTATTCCCCTTTTGCTGGCCTTTGATATACTTTTCTCGTTTTCTTGATATTTTGATGCAAGGCAAGTTGGCGATGGGTGTTGGGTGCTGATTATTCGTGTGCAGGTATCCCGAGATGACGTATACGGCAGAGGGCAAGGCATTCAGTGAGCGACTGTGGGATCAAACGATGGAAGAGCTTCGGTTCGTGGACGCGTCGAAAATAGTGGACGGCTTGAAGAACAGCCGCTGAGGTTCAATCACTTTGCTGGAAATTTACATGTTGAGCTGATGTGATCTTCTCGCGTTGGACCTGTCAGAGGGGTTCGAAGGGATAAATGTGCAAATCACCTGCCCTTACATGTTTATAAGTCCATGCGTAGATGTAGATTGATGCCTTTCCATGGCATTGATCGATCACTTGATGTATCCAATTGTCTCCTTTTCCAACGCTCCCGTTCAAGCTAAGAGTAGCCGACCAGTACTTCTCTTGGAGCTATTACGTTTGTAACCGGTGAGCATTATCTTCTGTCTGGTAAATGTTTTACCGCGAGCTCGGGGGGCTGTACCAAGTCTTTGCAGCTCTGTTCTCAATCTTTCTTGCTTTTTGTGCTTGTTTGACGACGACACACATTATGTCTGGACGGACGGGTCACATGAGCAGTAGCCTCTTAACATTCCATTGGTCAAATGCTCCAAGGTTGAACATACATTCCAGTGTTGGCTCTCTGAAATCGGGTTTTGAGCAATCATATGACTAATCTTGCACTTGATATATGCACAGCAAGACGCCGCTTCCCGTTGTTTTCCATAGCATCATAAACACATGGCCCTGAACGTCAACACCAGGTTTCTTACACCTGCAGCCAAAACGGCTTAGTGCGGGGAGACGATTACATAAGTAGCGGGAAGAGCGGTGCTCGCACCAATCGTCACCAGTGCCCCGCTTTCGGCGGTACTCTTGTTATCGATAGGATAGCGATAAGAGATTGGCAAGTGGGAGCGTGATGATGGTGGAATATGTGGGACCATTTGACATGAAATGACATCTGCAAGTTTCTGTTTTTTCGGCGGAATTGCGGTGGTTGACAGAAGGCTTGTTTTGGAACGAGGTAGCGAGAGGGAGGGAAGGGAGAGAGGCGTGCAGATCGCGTGTGGTTTCCAAACTCAATTTGCTATGTAGGGGTGGGTGAACTCGGGTGGCCCGTGAGGAGCTTATATTCTGAGGTCGTTGACTTTCTTCATTATTCAGAGACTGGAAGAGATTTCTTGGGCGGTGGTTGAGTCATCTTGGTGCTTAGCATCATTGATGGGGTGGATGGCGAAACTGCTGTGCTGGGGTTGCATGCCAGATGAGATGAGATGAGAGGATTATACATAGCTCAATATGTATGTCAGTACATATGTAGGTAGTGCCGATCCGGGCTTATCACTCTGACGACGACCAAGCATAACCGGGTAGCTACGTGTAACGATCATCAATGTCTTTTTTTGTCTCGGACTGTCGATGAGGTGAGCGGCACATATGTGCATGTTAGACATCTTCTGCCTATCAGACACACAGTTGCTTAGTGTTGAGCCGACTCCAATAAGCCCCGGTGAGGCTGCGTGGCTGCTCAACAGCGACTTGTCCTCCACCCCTTTCTTCGTCCTCCTCCTCTCTTCTTTTCCTCTCCTGCTCTTCGTTTTGCTTCCGTCTTTGCATCGTCGCACGCTTGATCAGTAGCTCGGCCCCGATGATCGTGGATTGGTGTCAGGAACAACAAACTGGACTTGTTTGTTTCCCGCATGACCCCCGATCCTGCCTCGTCTGAAACGGCGCGTCTGATTGTCGCCTAGCGCCAAATGACATCGTCCATCCACCCCATAGCTACTTTATCATAATCATTCTACCCCGTGTCCCTGTAGCGGAGGGTTCGTCCTTTACCGCCCTGATCCACACCATCGCCAGCCTCGACACGAGCTTCCGCCAGCCTACCCACTTTCCCTGTAAAAGCCAACTCACCCTGTTTTGGTTTCCCGCTCCCATATCTCATCCTTACAGCCCACGCCCAACCGCCCGTCACATATCGCCGCTGCTCTTCCTACCTACTTTTCCCGCTCCTAAGAGGGCTCCCTTGCGCGTAATCAATTATCGCGCTAGAAACACAATTTCCACCACCTATTCTGCATCATGGCATTCCGACAACAACACCGGCCCCAGTCTTCAAGACAGCTTTCCTACCATGAACCACCACCTACAGAAACTGGCCAGGCCTCGTCGCCGCAACTCAAACGCCCTCTAGAGGAATCCGAGGAATGGATTCTCTTTTCGCCAGCAGCTCCATCTACAACCGCGCGCACGCATACCACCTCCACCGAGCGAACGCCTCGCACCACTGGCTTATCGCGCTTCAGTGACTTTGGATCTCTTGATACAGCCGCACGATCGGAACAGGATGACGACGTCGGAACATGGAATGGTACAGAAGAGGGCGAGGACTTGGACAGTCTAGATGATGGCCTTTATGCCTTCCACGAGCCGTCAGAGCACACTGGGCCGGCTGCGGGCAAATTGCAGCAAAGCGGCGACACCGTATTACCCACTCACGATGGACTTGGCACTTTCCAGCCCAACGCGAACGTACAGGAACACATGTGGCAATTCGAGAGGTCCGCGCCGCGAAGACGACAAGCCAGAAGAAGGTCTAGTGTGCAACGGCGCTTTGATGCGCTGGAAGAGACGGAAGAGCTGAGTCAAGAACAGGAACGACGTCAGAGAATAGAGAAATGGCGGATGGATCAAAGTAAAGCCCTGATTGAGGAGATAGAAAGAGAGACTAGAAGAAGACGGAGGATGAGTATGGTCAGCGGAAGTCGCGCGGATAGCGCCAATGGAGAAGTCGCGAGATCCATATCGCAAGCTGCAAGATCCCGCTCAGACGCTCACAGCGATACTTCGGACGAAAGTGCAGAAGGTTTGTCGTTTTGGCAGCGCTTGACTAGAAGGGTGATTAGGGACCTGATGGGGATTGACGAAGAAACACTCGCTGTTATCTTCGGCGAATGCTTACCAGAAGAAGCAATGTCTTCGCCCCTGGACCCTTCTGAGATACGCCCGTCAATAGACGCTACGTTACGAGCATTCGATGAACAGTCAATTCCCCAAGATGCGTGGCAACACAAACTCTTGGAACGCGTTGCCCGCGAGCTTGGCATCATCGTCCACCAACTCTCCGAACATCCAGGCGCTTTCTCCACGTATAGACTCACCCAAGAAACCCCTGCCTACGCCGGCCTTTCCACAACACAATCGACATCATCAATCTCTTCCGACCGCAATCCCACCCCCCTCGCCACCTCCAACCCATCGATCACCTCTCCACCCTCGGCTCATTTCGCGCCTACCTTCCCCGCTCACCAATCATCAGCTACATATAGCGAAGCCTCGCTCTGGGGCATAGAAGAAGAACCCGAGCTTATCGATCCCTTATCGTCTTTCCGCAACCCGAAACCCCCTGCACCCGTGAATCTAGCTGAGGAAGCGGCACGTGACCAGGAATACTGGGAGCAGGAACTCGATGTGAAAATGATCTTCCAATTCCTCGTCAAGCGTTTCTCCTCACGTCGGCCCAGCACCTCATCATCATCGTCGCCAGCGGCGTCGCAGTCACGGCGCGGTCCATCACATCAGCAGACTGGAATGGACGCCTCGTCCGCTCTCAACGAGTACTCATCCGCCCGCAGAGCAGCGATCATCCGCCAGCACCACCCCCTTGTCAACAACAGCCGCGTCAAAGAAAACAGTCTCCCAACTAGCTCCACCGCCACCCACAAACAGCGGCACGACGTTTCCCCACCTCCTGTGTTCAAGACTCATTACTCGCCACCTAGCAATCGCCGCGGGCAGGTGTTAAGGAGTAGTTCGAGTTGCGCTAGTCAAAGCACACGGAAGAGTAAGAGAAGTGGTGGTGGGAGCGCAGCAAGAACCGGGACTGGAGGGAGGAATTACTGGGACATGAGTGGGAGTGTGGGGAGTGGAAGTGTTATTGCTAGCGAGGTGTGATGGGGGCTCGGTGTTTCTGTCTGCTGGATCTTTTTCTTCTTCCCCTTTTCTGATGATGTACACGGGATTTACGCTATTCTGGGACCTTTTGATGGCTGGAGGCACTTTTGTTTTTCTACTTTCTTTCTTGTATTGGCTTGGTGTAGGTGCAGATTCTCTTCTTCCTCTTTACTCTTTTTCTTCCCCCCCCCCCTCTCCTCTCTTGGTGGTATATCTCCCTCCCTCTCCCTTTTTTTTGGTTTTATCAGCATATGAGTAGCGATAGCATGTACCAAGTCTCCTCTTTTTTTTTCCGGGTTAGATGGATGTGGATAACGTCGATGTTTCCAAGTAGGTAGAAGTAGAGTAGATAAGTCGAGAGTTTACGTACTCACTTGATGGGGCTGAGCGTCTTTTGTACGTGTGATCTGGAGAGGTTGTGTTGCGAGGCCGATGGGGTTCGAGAGGCGGATATACATCTATGTCTGCAATGCATCATCTAGCGTGCGATTCAAGCATGCCAGATATAAAGTGCAGAAAACACATTAGAACGTGATCTACGTTTGATTTGCGTCTAACCACGGCTCCACGTATCCAAAGACGCATGCATCCAACATGCAATCCACATTTCTAGGTAGTCTAATAATTGTTCATCTGTCGGTCAATCGCACCTACCTACCTCCCAAAGCCGCGACTGCAGCTGCGGTTAAGTCCCATACCACCACCACCAAGGAAGGAGGCGAGGGAGGAGGGGACGAAGAACGCAAACCCCTCGATCCAACAACTTCGTTTCTCATTGCCTTCTCCCCTCCCCCCATGTCTGCAGTTCATGCCTGCAATTCGATCGTCCCCGCGAGGCTATTGGCACGTCGTATCCAGGCTGTACAGTGCAGGTCCAGGATCGGGCTAGCGTGTCGTGGCTATGCGTATGCGTTGGGGGGTTCATAAGCAGGCGCCGCCTTGCGGGGTTTTGCTGCGTCGCTCATACACGATTGCGATATCATGCAGACTGGCGGTTCTTCCAATACGCGGCTTGTGAGGAGGTATAGTTTTGATTCCGACAAAAAAATTGTGAGGACGCATGATGTTGAAGAGGAGGAGCCTGGTGGAAAGGCGGCGCGGGGATCATCGAGGCGTTCGGGAAAAGGTTTGGGGTATTTGCCAGAGCTCAGGTATGCTCGCCTCCTTTAGTAGGGTCGACACTGAACTGATAATTTGGAAGCAAATTGGATGAACTCTCTATAAAAGCAAGGGCGCTGCAGCGGCTATTGCCAAGGTCCCAAATGGAACCCCCCCAGCAAGATCAGATGCACCATGAAACCGAGTTTTCGTCCATACCGCCAGCTGCTAAAGCTGTGAGGGATGCAGCTAGAAGATGGCAAGAAGAGCGAGGAAATGGCGAACGAAACAAAGTGAACTCCTACTTCCGTCGATTTGCTGGCACGCTTGAATCACATGAAAAGTTGATGAAAATGCTGCCCCGAGGAGATAAATGGGTCTCTATTTTCGCTCGTACGTCGATCCGGTGATCTTTTTCTGCATCCCATTGAGAATTTGTGCAGGTAGCATCGTGACAATTTTACATGACAGCGACAACCACCAGGAGATAGCCGGAGACATAGCTCGGGCCCTTTACAATATCAGTGATCATATCACTAGCTGCCAAACTAATCTCACATTTGTCGACAATGCGGAGATGAGAAGTGACACAGCAGATCTCTATGCGCACATTTTCCAATTTTTGTACGACGCCTTGAATTGGCTCCGCAGGCGACATCAGCCTCTACCATACTATTTAAACAAAACATTGTTTGACCTGTTCCAGTACCAAATTGACAGTATCTGTTATATATCAAGAATCCTTGAGAGGAAAGCGATGGAACTCTCTGCAACAGAATTGAGGAATATGCGGCTGCAATTTGAGCAAATCTCTCGCGATAAGCGCAATGCACTGCTTATACACCAATCGCAATATGACTATTTTCAGCAATTGGCGATAAAACGAGCGAGATTAGAGACATTGGCCGGGAATAGCTCCTCGAAGAAGCCCTACGAGGGTATCGTTACACGATTGAGAAGAGTGGCGACCAACGCTCCAGCGAGGGACTCCCCTGCCAGATTATACAATGATATTTCTTCCGAAATTCATAACCATGCTCCGATCGATCACCCTGATAGAACTTATAGCGATCTTTCTTACGCAACTCATAACCTTTCAGGTAAACCTTTACCCCAGCAAGACACTGATCCCGACATGACCGACCTATCCTCCATCTTCTCGGAAGCTTCAACGGATTCCTCTGTATCATCATTGGGGCCCAGTGGCGATGCTTATGGTAAAGCCGCTAACATCTTGCAGATGCATTCCTCGAAGACATTTACATGTGGAAGCTATATACTGAAGCAGTATCCCATTCCGACCACGACACATTTTCTCGAAATCACAATGCACTTCTAAAGAAGTATTTTGGGGAATTGCGACCCCTGGCCAAAACCAGAGATGAAATTTGGGCAGTCAGACATCTTCGAAAGCGGGATAAGCGACACGATGTTACCAGGATCGTCTACGAGACCGTTTGTGATATCGGTTCAGTCGAGGTAGCGGAAGAGGAGGGTGTTCAACAAGTCTTGTCGGATCATCCTTCGGAACCAGCAGTCGAAGACGACATGAGAGATTTCAGCAGTAGCGAGGATGATATTGATGGTGAAAACGAGGACCGTCACAATACTGCTTCTATCCATCGTTTTCTCACCAACGGGTCCCCCTTCCAGCACTTCAAGAATGGCTTCTATTGCTTTGTTCATCCATCGACAACGATAAGACAAGCACTCGAATATCGTATGCATGGTGCGCTGGAAAAACTTCTGCAGAACGATTTTGAGCGTGCAACTAGCGAGGAGTACCTTTGGTTGCGCGAGCTAGATGATGTGGGATACAGCCGATCTGAAATCGCAAATCTACTGCTCGAAGAGGCTCATGATGTTCCTTGGATATACAATACTCTCGCGGAAGGCTTGCTTCCATCGAATTCGCTGGCTGATGGTCCCGCTAGCGTCGCTTCTCTTAACACACATCGTACGTATACGCGGCAAGAGGTTGAGATGATGATTCATCACCTCTGTGGCTTGGCCGGTGTTTCACCAGTATCTCGATCACCCGAAGATTGGAACGGGGAGGTCATCTTTGAGCATGATTACTCCGTGTCGTACATATCGTATGCGGAAAACTCGAAACACAATGAGTCTTCTGCGACGCTCACTCGGCTCAAACGAGTGCTGAAATCTTTACGCCTCGCAGCCGAAGTACTTCAAAAAGCTGGTCTGTGTCAGGATTACTTCACGATCGTTCGAAAGGAGTCTGCGTCTGAGATAGAGCTTGACTGGATCAGTATCGCTCACACTATCTCGTTTTGCGAGGTTATCGACCAATCCCCGACTGTGGATGAAATCCACTCGAAGTATCCCACACAAATCAATCCCATCATGTTTCGAATTCTTGAGTCTATGCGCTGTTGGAGACTGCTTAGAGCAATTTCGTGTCCCAGTATTGAGGGCATTATTCATATGTGTTGTATAACAGCGCAATTTCTATGTCTCGGTCTAGTATCTTTCTGTCAGGACCACGTTGGACCATTGGAGCTACCCTTTATCAATAGACCACAGACGAGCATGACATTACTCGGCAGCTACTCTAAGGATTGGATCGATTTCCCTATAATCAAGGTCGACCTTTCACAGCTTACTTGCTTTGGAGAGTTGACTGGGGGGCCCCTTCTCACGTTCGGCTCGTTTGAAGGCCGGCCGGAAATGTTAACGGGACGACACGAAGATGCGTTAGTACGGATAGAAGAGAAGGAAAACGAGAAGAGGGAAGTCGTGGAAGATGACCCCGTGCAGCCATTAAGTGAGGACAACAAGAAGGCGGCCGCCGACACCAAGTACCATTTAGCTGGCGCCGTCAAGGACATAATTTCTACTTGGGGGCCTGGTCATTTCATTTCACCAGACCCCAGTGCGCCAGATATGCGAGCCATCGCTATAGGAGGTGGCGTGTTATATCCTCGACCAGGCCGTGACAGCGACTTCCATTGGGAAGATGGCCCCGGACCTAAACCACTCCCAACGACAAGTGTTGATATGAGAACTAGAATCACGATTGGGACCCCAATAACAAAGAATCCCACACCATGCGCGTTTCCATGGCAGGACTGGAGAAGCAGGTGCAGATTGCAATATCTGGGTGTGGAACCACAACGTTGGGAGCCAAATCAACGGCAGCTGGGTTTTCAGGCTGGATCTGAGAACGTACTGTTCCAAGGAAACCAAACATGGACCAAAATTCCTGCAAGACTCCTAAAGCAGTATCAACTCGAACAACGGGGTGTCGATATCGTGAACTTCTTGGGCTGTTATATGGGCGTGCAAGTGAGCTGTTGCACTGGTGTAGCTCGTCGGGTCTCGCTGCAGAAACTCTTGGCAGATTTGGTACCCATCTACTGCCGAACAAATCTGGGCAGTGCCTGCTGGGAAGAGTGGAACCGAATCTACAAAATCGTGGATGCAATGAACGGGGACAACTTCACAGGCTGGCTAACGGACCTCAACCACGAATCCCCAGACGCCGGAAAATCTTTCATGGACGCCGTCTGCGGTATCCTCGAGATTATCAGACCAACGGGTCTGAGTCGCGATCAGAAATTCCTCCTTGTTGCATGGCCACAGGAACGCGATTTCCTCCGCGGGCTCAGGATCCCCTGTACAGACGAACGCCTGTGGACCAAAATCCTAGTCGACTCGGTAGAATCCGTCACCTTTGCATACATGACACACGAATGCCTCGTCCTCCCCAACACGCTCTGCCAACAGCAAGCAAAAGCATGGCGGCCCACCACCAAATGCCTCGGAACCGCCGTCACGCGGTATCGCGAGGAAACGGATCTCGAGCCCGACCCGGGCACTTGGAGATTGAAAGAAGGCAGCACGTACCACGTGTGGAATGCCAAAGGCGCCATCAAATTGGTGGCCGAGGGAACCGCGGGCGGTGAGGCTCGGCTCGTTGCGTCCAAAAGTAAGATCCCGGCCGCTGAGATGAAGAGGCTGTTTTATGGACGGTACTGGAGGACCGAGTTTTTGATCCGCGAGCATCATCGTCCGGAGGATTCGGCGGATCAGGTTGTTATTCTTGATAAGGTGTGAGATTGTGTGTGTGTGATGTTGCTGCGGCTAAAGAAGCGGAGGAAAGGGGAAGACATTCGTATATACAAGGAGTTGGTGATTTGACCACGATCTTGAATTTTTTTTTTCTCTCGAAGCGTTTGGTAGCAGGAAGTTGAATGTGGAGATTGTGCAATTACGCGTATTTATGCAGACAATATTAAGGCTCTCTACCCCCGCCTTTTTTTGGGTGTATGTAGCAGTTGAACACAGCATATGTATATAACTGAACTCTTCTATTACAGCACGACGATCCACTGAAACTTAACAAACAGACGTAACTAGAAGAAAAGCCAAAAGAAAACAAAAAAAGAAGAAAGAGGTACAAGCCGTTGTCAAGACTTCAACTAAAAGAAAGAAAAAGAAAAAAAAAGTTGAAGAAAGGTGCCAACTAACAGCAGTCACAAGTTGCAAACCCCTTCTCTGCGCGCTACGCGACTTCAGCTTTCAACAAAGCATGCATTATATATCTGAATAAAATATGCTAATTCACAGCTTTGTAATTTTTTTCTTTTTAGTTTTTTATTAAATGCTAATGCTACTTGTAATATTGAACTACTTGTTTTAAGCATATTTCTAGTGTTTTTGCATTAAGCGTGGTTGGCGCTTATGTATTACATGTAAGTATTTAACTTTTACGTTCTCAGGAGAGGCATGTATGTGATTCATCTATTTAGCTGCGAGTGGATGTGGCAAGTTGTTGATGGGGATGTTTTTAAGGGTAGTACATGTACTTATGTGGTTTAGTGGAGTGTGTTTTGAAGACGGATCTTGATGTCTTCAAAGGTTGTTGATCACGTGATTGATATTATGAGCAGCGACGTCCGTCGGTGCTGCTTCATCGCCCGCGTCAAATCAAGTCGTTGCTATACTATTCAAACAGAGAGAGGGCTGTTTCTCTTGGAATAGTGCCCAAAGCCGATCGAGACCCGATGGAAAAATGATTGCAGTGGCATGTTCAATACGAAGATGGCGAAGATATAAGGCTGTTTAAGCTGGGCTTAGCAGCCGGTGAGTCACGGTTGCTATGTGCTTCGATGTTGTATATGGAGGCTCCACGGATAGATGCCCAAACGTAGTACGCGGTCAAAGTCAACGGGCTACTCGACTCACCGGCGCGTATTCGGTTCGACAACAGTCGAGAGTGGCTGCGTATTCATACGATCAAGTTGCTCGACAGGCTGAAGTGTTTGCAATGACGGAATGGGCAGTATGCAAGGGGATACCCTGAAGTCGAATCCCTGACAGCACCAAAAACGAACAAAGGTTACGAGATTGAAATAAGAAGAAGAAGAAGAGGCGGAAAGATCCGACACGCTCTGGAAAAGTAGAAGCCACGTTCCGGTGACAGAATGGCCCATTATGAGAAGCTTACCGTCATACGTTGGGCGAGCATGACATTGACGGGGTCGAGGTGCAGAAGGGAGAACATGGTTGACCTAGACACGGGACCCTGTGACTGTCGCAACGTGGACGCTAGAGCACAGCAGCAGACTCGGAGAGATCAATCAGTACAAGGCCGATGAGATGAGATGAGTGAGGACAGGCAGCAGTTTTGTAAGTGAGGTCAGCTTGGTCTTTTTTTCCGAACCCTGTCTCTCATCGTCTCACGGTCGAAGGGGCTATGCAAAGATGCGTGTTGACTTAAAAGAGACACTGGGCCTTGATGGAAAGGCGAGAGGTGAGCGGATGATAAGTAGGAGTCTGTTCGTGTCATGTCGAGTGCGCAAAGGGTGTTCTTATGCAGGTGGCCGGGTTGACGGGAAGCAGGTTCTGGCTCGTGGCCGGGTTTTGGGGGCGCAAAGGTGATGCCGTGGACCGTAGCGGGGGGACGGACAGCTGCATACTCGATGATATTTTTCAGCGCCAGGCAGTAGCTTTTGGTGTTGCTGAGGTCGACCCTGAGGGCGCACACATATGAAGCCGGTGATTCTGGGTTGTTGCTTGTGTTTCTTCACTTTGAAGGTGCATAGAGTGAAGCAACGGGGAAGGCTGGCGGCGGTGACATCATCCACGCGACCGCACCCCCAGGCCATGCACACACACCACGCTAAACCGGGCAGCAAGCAAGCAAACAAGCAAACAAGCAGGCAAGGCCAGGCCTTCCGTCAACCGCCTCTGCGCCTGATCTGATCTGATCGATCCCTCGTTCCCTCATATTGCCGTCTGCTTGTTGGTTTGCTTGCTCTTAATACCACCCTCCCTGTCCGTTCCCCCCTCCCTCTTCTACCCTTTCTCTCTCACCTCCTCGCCCATTTCTACCACCGTCCGCCCCCCCGGAACTGCTGCGAACGACGCACGCACATAAGCACGCACTGTCGAATCCTCCCAACCACCACCGAACTCCATCACCAGCGTTGGCCCTCGCTTCAGCCCCCCCGCCCCCTCCATCCGCCGCCCACTCACACTTCGACTTTCGCCGGCGCGTCCTCAGCGTCATCGCTTCACCACTGCCATTTTGCCAACCTGCTTGATTTCTTGGCCTACCAACATCTGAATACATTCCAAGAAATACAAGATACCCCGCCTGTTTCTACTTTCCACTCCATCCGCATTCCCCCCTCCTTTGCGACCGTCATGTCAACCGTTTACCGGGCAGAGCGCGAGCGCGAGCGCGAGTGGGAGACCTCTTCACATGGCGGCCGTAGCTACACCACCGTCAAGCGCTACAAGATTCCCGATCGCTCCCTGGAAGAAGATACATATGAGTCCGAGATGCGCCTCGTTCATCGCTCTCGAGATCCCGTTCATGAGCGTCGCGAGACCCACGAGTACCACCATCTCGACCATGACGACAGCCGCGACCGTGAGGTCCGGGAATATCGCTACACCGAGCGCGAAGTCGAGCGCTCGCCCTCACCCGTTCGCCATGAAGTTCGCGAGTACCGCATCGAACGCGAAGTAGAGCGCTCGCCTTCCCCTCCGAACGTGAGGGAGTATCGCGTCGAACGCCAGTACGATCTTGAGCCGCCACGGGAACCTTATGGGGAACTAGAGAGGTACTCTAGGTCCACAGAGTTCTTCCGCCCCGAGCAGCCTCCACCACAGCCTATTGTTATTCGCAATGAGGCACCCCAGCCCATTATCGTCCAGGAACCCGCCGCACAGCAAATCATAGTACGCCGTGAGGAGCCCGCTTACGAGCTGGTGGAGCGCAGGGAGCCTCGTCGCGAAGAGGATTACTACTACGAGCGCAAGGTCAAGGAAATCGATCGAGGTCGCCGACACCATGATCGATACTACGATGAGCGCGAATATGGTCGTGAACGCGATGCATACAGTGACGATGAATTGGTCTACGTCCACAAGGAGAAGGACACCTGGGGTCGCGATTCAAGTCCCGGTAGCAAACGTCATATCGCGGGAGGCGTCATTGCCGGCGTTGGGGCTGCCCAGGTTCTGAGACATCATCGCAAGAGACAGGGAGAAGATCCCGGTCATGCCGTCCGTCAAGCTGTCGGTTACGGCGCTTTGGGCGCAGTGGGCGCTGAAGTCATCAACCGGGTGCGCAACCGATCCAGATCAAGCTCTTACGAGCGCGACTCGAGGGGAAGGCGACACCATAGGAGTAAATCCCGCCACAGGAGCAGATCATCGTCGCGTGTCAAGAAAATCGGTACCCTGGCTGCCGTCGCGGGCATTGGAGCCCTGGCCTATGCCGCTGGTCGCAAGAACAATAAGGTGGAAAAGACCACTGTCATTGAAGACCGTCGCAGCAGATCTCGAAGGCGGAAATCTTCTGTATCTAGATCTCGAGCTCGCTCAACGGGTTCTAGAGGTCGATCCGCTAGTCGACCAGCCAGCGAAAGCGCCCTGGATCCTGAACATCGTAATCGTCGAGCCGCCCAAGCTGGTCTTGCCACGGCTGCTGTTGCCGGCATCGTTGAGCACCATCGGAACAAATCTCGCGAGCGCAAAGGGGAGAGGAGTCGCAGCCGTATTCGCACTGGTGTTCCGATTGCTGCTGCTGGCGTTGCTGGCGCAGCTGTCACTGGCCTGTACGAGAGGCAGAAGGCCAAGAAGGAGGCCAAGGAATTGTCTAGATCAAGGTCAAGGTCAAGGTCAAAGTCAAGATCCAAGTCAGTACGCTCTGATAGGCGACATAGCACAGCAAGTGACGGAGGTTTAGTAGAGTACGGTGGTAGCCCAATCTACTCTGATCCCGCGCCCGTTCGTCGCACGCGCGATTACGACGACCCAGCCGATTATAGGCACAGGCGTCGCAGCTCATCGTCCTCGTCGAGCGGTGGGCGGCGAAGGCGGCAACGCTCTCGGTCAAGCCGCAGCCGCAGCCGAAGCAAGAGTAGGACTAGGAAAGCTGCTGAGACGGCTGCGGTCGCTGGTGTAGCTGGTTTGGCAGCTCACGAAGCGGCTAAGCGTCGCGATCGCAAGAAGGCTGAAAAGGAGCGACAGCGTAAGTGCCATGTTGTCCCTACTGGCGAGTAGGGTGCTAACTCTGTTGCCAGGACGTGAGGAAGACTCGGCCTATTCTACGGGCAGCTATAGTCCACCCCCTACGACAGTCGACGGTCAGGATCCTCGTTACTTCCCCCAGACCAATTACTTCCCACCTCCGCCCCACCAGTCCGCAGATCCTCAATATCCACCATACAACCCCGCAGACTATCCCGCGCCGCCCCAACACAGCACATACCCGCAACAGCACATCGATGGTGGCCTGCCCCCCACGGGCTACACTCCCGAACCCGGCAACCCGTACGCACACCAGGACCCCCGGTACCGGCGCCAGGATGATAATGTGAGTGCTCAGCAATATGAACCCCTTCTCGAGCACATGCAAGCGCGTCGCGGTGAGAGGCTTCCGCCTGCCTCCCAAGATATGAATGATAGCCTGGTTAACGCTGTGCCCGCTGCAGATCGTCTAAGACACAAGACCTCGGAGCCCATTCGCAACGGCTACATCCCCCACGCGAGCTCCCCCATCCACCAAGACTTCGCCTTTCGTCCTGCCAACCACGAATCCCCCATCAACAACGAACTCCAGTACAGTCTCCCTTCGTCCCCTGCCACAAACCATCGCAAGCCCCCTTCCCCCGTCGCCCCCGTCGCCGTGTCTGACGTTAAGTCCGTCAAATTCGACCTCAACCCTCAGGAGAAATCGCCGGACCGCGACACCTCGCGCTCGCACAGCGAGAGGGCATCAAGCGATGATGAACCTCGTCGCCACAGGGACGCGCATGAGAGAGATTCAGACCGTCGGAGTCGGCATCGCAGGAGGGAAGACGAGCGCGGGGGTCGTTCGCGCAGAGATGAGTCGGCTGATTCGGCCACGTCGGAGGGTACCATTGAGCTCCCTCCGCGCTTCGACGAGCAGGGGAGGAGGAAGGAGGATGATCCGCTTGCTGACCAGTTGGAGAGCGTTTTGGCGGGGCTGTTTAGGTAGTTTCTTTTTGTGCTTTCTTGTCGTCTGTTTAGGCGGGGTGGGCTGCTTTTTTTTTATTTATTCTTGTCTCGAGCTGTCCCTGACTGTTTCTTGCCTTCTTTCTTTCTTTCTTCTTTATAGGTGGTCTCTAATCCTTTATTTCTCTTTTTTTTTTCTTATTTTAGCTCTCTCCCTTTCTTGGGTTCAACTTGTTGGTCCCCCCTCTTATTCCCTTTTTTTTTTCTTTCTTTTTTTTTCCTTTTTCTCTTTTTCTTTACCAATACCAACGACTCGAAACGAAATGAGTAACGATCCATCATCATGTCATGAAAACATCTTGAATAGTTCTTAACAATTAATATACCTTTTCCATCTCAGACGCAACAAGACCTGATGAAACCTTGTTTACCGTTAAATAGGCAATTAGAGAAGAAGACATAGGTACCTAGGTATGCCTAATAACTTATTATCTTTCCCCAAGCTATAATCCAAGCCTGCGCGTGTTTATTTACAGCTTAGTAATTATAATATCTCATTCTTCCTTTGCTAATTGGGATAATCTTATACTTGGTTTTTTATTCTTGCATTCTTGCGGGAAAACCTCAAGTAGTACAGAATGCTGTCCAATTTGCAGTTCGCAACGAATCACTGTTAGGAAACCTCCTCGATTGTAGTTTCCATGAAAAACTTCCTGTTTCGCAAGACATGCACAAGCAGCAGGGCGATGGGGTGTACGTGGATAGATCCAACCGCGCCTAAAGGACGCATGTATCGGGTTTGATCGTCATCCAGGGTTGACTTTCCGCCCCTGAAGAATTCGAGCGTCACAGCCGCGCGAAGCTCGTGGAATTGTAGCGTGACGTTTTCTGCAAGATAGAGTTCGATGTGTTTATACTGCATGTGTTTCCAGTCCAGTGTATCTTTGGCTCTGCGAATCATGTCCGCTTCAGCAACCTAAGGAGGAGGTGAGAACGATTTGAAAGCACTTTAACATGACGATGTTAAAATTTAAGGCGCCATGATTAATGTAGTGTTGTATGAAGACGCAAACGAGGCGTGATGAAGTTGCAAGCCCAAGCCACGCACGCCTGCGCTATGAACCCTGAACTAGACGTCCTTCCTTTACGGCTTGTATAGTGGAATACTTGAACTTAAAGGAATCATAGGTTGTAATCCTGAAATGGTCTTCAGGCTAGCAGAATACACTATGCTAATCGAGGCATTTGTATACGTCTTAAACTACGTCTAAAACTGATGGCTGGCTTTCTGGAATCGCAGGGACAAAGCTTCTCTAGATCTCAATTAGCAAGGAACAAGAGAATCTCTTCAAAGTTGAAGCGAAATGACATCTCCTGATGCAAATATAATAAAAACTATGAAACGCACCAGATCCTGATCCTGACCAGAAAACGGCTTGTCCTTTGGATGACGGAGTCACAGACTCCCTGAAAACATTCATCAAAGCGTCTTACCCAAACCGATTGTTTGTATTCGGTACCCGGCGCGTTGGCTTGAAACTCCGGCTGTTTGTAGGTCTTTTTGCTGGATAGGCGGCTGCGCTCGGCGTCCGCCAGCATGCAGTCAATGGAAGGCTGACCACGAGGCTTTTTATGGAGTATTGGAGCCCCGTTGTCGAGCTCCACATTAGATGAGTTGATGTCTTAGACCTTTTTCATGGCGTGTGAGAGAGGAATGTAGGTAAGAGACGGCGCAAGAGATGACGCGAGAGAGTGAGGGCGCGCCCAGCTGTTGCAGACTCAGCAGAAGAAGAAGAATGGAGGAAGAGACAGGATGAGGGGTAGGCGAGGTTGGATCACAATCTGGCGGGTTAGTTATATCAGGCGGTGAAGTTAAATGTGGCAGTCGCGATCCAGTGGGAAAGTGCACCCCCGACCCCTCCCCCACCTACTATGCCCCTATATAATCTACATTTATAGCTACATTACATGGTTCAGCCTACCGTAGGATCAGCTATTAACACTCATTCAAGGCTTTACTATATGTCTAGATGCTCTTAACACCCTAAAAAAACCAGATTGAGAAGTTGTTTGACAGGATCTCAGAGTAACATTCAGTGCTACGTAGCAGGCGTGGTTTAATCAAGAAGTAGTTCTAATGACTACGAACGATGGTAAAAGTCCATTCAAGTTGATTCGCTCGGTATTTGTAATGGTTGTTCGAGCTGGTGGAATAGAATATGTGACTCGCGAGTAAATATCACAAAGACGTACGTCGATCGAGCCATTCCATCTTCCCAACTAGAAGTTCAAGCTGTGTATAGATGACGTCGAGATAATTGACTTCGTTACTAAGTCGTAAGTCAAGGTTAGGATTTTTTTACGCTCTGCGCAGTTATCTGGTGGTGTGGTAGAGGGAGGTGGTGAATGGCGTTGGCATAAGGTGGGTGCCCTGGCGTGCCCTGGCGTGCCCTGAAGTGCTCTGAAGTGCCCGTGGAAGCCCTGATGCGCAATGCGCTGCAGTGATCGATGGAATTCGTTAATCGGGTTCGGAATCTTCCCGATTAGGAAGGTTCAGATCTGAGGAGTAACACCCAACTCAACAGCAGCAGCACCAGCAGCAGCACCCGAGACCAGTGCATCAATGTATCTTATGTCTGTATCACAATCATTGTTTAGGTCTTCTGCTTGAATATATGGGTTTTACAACTTTTTTTTTTCAATTGGTTTTTTTCTAGTGCTCTGGGTAGATGCTATAGATAGCGAGAGTGAGTGAAGTGCTGAAGATGCCCCCAAAAAGATTCTCACAAGTCGCAAAGACGCAGGCAATCTGGATATAAGATGACAAAAAAAGACGCAACCTTTACTAAAATAGGAAAATAGAAAAAATTTGGGGGGTATCGCGTACAAAGATCCATCCGTCCAACCTGAAAAGAATAGCATCGCGTTATACAAGAATAAGATGTTACAAATGCGGAGTACACGTTCTGTCTCCGCCAAACACAAACACACACTTAGTGTATTCTACATATTCTCGATGATATGAGAGTTGATGGCGCTCTGGAAACCATCATTGCCCTGCCCATATTCGGCCGCTGCGCCGCCACTGTTGTTGTTGTTGTTGCTGTTCGCCCTGTACTTGCTAGGACCTTCACCATACGCATCCGCGGTCGCGAGCTGGCTTTGAACAGTTTGATTCGTTGCCGGGAGAAAAATGACTTTTGAGTTTGCTGATTTGGCCATGGCTTGCATGGCTTCGAGGTAGCGGATCTGCATGGCGGGTGCGGAGCTGAGGATATCTGCTGCTTGGCGCATGAGCTGGTACAATCGTTAGCATCTATACTTGAGTATCAATGTGATGAGTGTTAAAAAAACGTACCTTGGCGCTCTCAACTTCAGCGCGAGCAGCAATAACTTTGGCTTCACCGGTCCTCTTGCTCTGTGCGGCCATGCTCAGCGAGTCCTGGAGGTCCTGGCTGAAGATGATGTCCTTGACAAGCATGGACTCGACTTCGACACCCCAGCCCGCGGCAATTTCCTCGATGATCTCACGGATGGACTGTGCGATTTCCTCGCGGCGCTCAATTACGTCTTGCAGGACGCGCGCACCAATGACGTGGCGGAGCGTGGTTTGCGTGCGCTCGATGAGCGCTTGGCGGATGTTGGAGATGCCGAAGGCGGCTTTGTGGGGGGAGGTGATGCGGTAGTAGATTACGGAGGTGAGTTGGAGGGAGACGTTGTCTTTTGTCATGCAGACTTGTTTGGGGACCTCTGCAGAGTAGCATATATCAGTTAAACCATCCTCGCATAACTCTCAAGACGTTTGAAGAGTATAAACTTACCAACAATCTGGATCTTGACATCGACTTGGATCAGGTTCTCGGAGAGAGGGTTGATCTGGACTAGACCGGGATCTACGGCCCTCTCGAATCGTCCAAACTTGGTCACCAAGCCCACATTGCCCTGGTGCACCGTCTTGAACGGGTTGGGGCAGAGAATGCAGCACGGGATCGCTCCAAGAGCGCCCATACATTGACCGATGGAGTGTCTAGCCTTGGGGTACCATCCTACGGTGCTGTCGTCTTGGTCGTCGGCTTTGATAACGCGGGCGTATGATGGTTGGAGGTCCTCGCGTCGTGGTGGTTGGACCTTCACCAAGGGCTCATCGAGACGATGGCCATTGACTGGTGCTTTGCCGTTGCTGCCATTTGTGACTGAGCTGGTAGTGGGAGCTGTTGTTGTTTGAGAGGACATGATGGCGATGAGGTTGATGTTGTTGTTAGGTGCGAAGAGAGAGTGATGGTTTGCTGCTGTGGAATGCGATTATCTTATAGCGATGTTGCAGATTGTAGAGAAGAGTAGATGTTCGTATCTGTGGGTATCGTGCCGATATTACTAAGTTGGAATGAAGAAAGATGATGCTGACGATGTCAAGCCTAGATGGGCCGGAGAAATCAGGGTGTGGTCACTTCTTTATATGCATGTGGTTGGGACAGGGATGGGCAGACTACGTAACGATGGGAGCGGGGAAGCTACAACTAAGCTTCAGCGATAGGTGTACCCTTGCTGCCGTATACCGTAGTCTACATGGTCTTGGCTGCTTGGAGCCTAGCATTGCATTCATGAGTAAGGACGTGCACCAGCTTCCAAGGGGGCTGTGCTGCATCTATGAACTTGACATCTTCATTGTCATCGCGTGGAAGAGACAAGGACCACACGAGTAGCATACGCCTTAATGTCAGCACGACGAGGGAATCGGCGCAGCGAAACACGGCACAGTCGTCAAGATACAACACCAAGCGATGGATTCGATTCACGGAAGAAGAGTAAATTGTATCTAGGTTTCATCAATGTACAGTACATTTCCCCAAATGGCGGGAATAAGTGTGTTCGTCACTGGCTACTCTGACGGGTGAAAAGAATGCAACTCCTCGTATGTCGAAGATCGACATACACCCAAGTCGCCACGCCCGGTTAGCACGGCCGCATCCTAACGACCCAAGGCCCCCAGTCATTCGATGGCCTCATCGCGTCTCCGGTGAGCCATCACAAGACCCGGCCGAGCATCATAGATAACGTTATAAGCCACCCAAGGCGGTATTATCCTCGTATTCGAGCACACCACCTCATTGCCTATTCGCTCTTTCGCGCACGTCAAGACTTGATTGATGTTCTTGGGTTTTGCCGAATGCGACCGATCCTACTCTTGGATTTCGAAGACATAATCGGTGATGGATCGATTTGTCGGGGGACTCCTCACTTGCACAGCCTTTACTCGATGGGTCACGCGCCGTACATTTGCATTTTGGTTGATGCTAGAATTGATTCTTTGTTGTTGCTCCAGGACTCAGCCCTACGGGGCGGGTACAGCTAAGCCCGATTGGGGAACGAGTGATGATTGGCTGATCATCTACCAGCCTCAAAACCAACTCCACACGCCATCGAAGATGACCTAATATGAGGCTGGTGAGGTGGAGGTGTGCCTGAGGTATCAACGAGGATCGAGGCAGCCACCACTGGTCATTTCCGCTCATGAGCAACGCACCAGATTTGTTTCAATCCCTCTCAGGATCAATTACTCTAATCGTAGGGGAAGCACTGTGGCAATCAGCACGCATCGCCCGCTATGCAACCAGTCAATGCTATAGTCAGCCTTCCCGGAAGGGTGGATCATTCAGAACTCTAGATTTGCGACAGCTATTGGAAGTGAGGAGATGCGATATACACAGTCTATCGAGAACTTCTGACCGGTATGTTTCTCACCAATGTGCGCCTTACTGGATATTATCGACCTGCCCCTAAAGCAAAACTTCTAGCGAGCAAGTACACCGCCTGACCCTTCCAAACATTACCGAGCCGGTGAGCTCGAGGCAGCGCTCGCATGAACTCTGGGTAATGATTGCAGCACTGCCTCCAAATCACGAGCCATGTCGCCGCCTCCAACCAGAAACATGGCCAAAATGCCAACAACAGACATACAACATTTCTAGAAACCCCAATAGCATGCTTCCCCTGTCCTAAAGCCCCGTTACCATCAAGGTACCGTCTGCATTCGTTGTAGAATTGCCCCGTCTCACTCGTCCGGAGCAAAAAAGAAACTTCTATGTATATCTGCGGCACAGTCGACATCGTTACACTCGCCTACTGGCCCGGGATTTTCTCCACCGCAACTAGAAAAAGCCTTGACCTTTTTTTTTCCTTCCATTAGAGAAGCTGGTTCGGGGATTTGGTTCGGGCTTTGTTGCGGCGTATGTTGTTGTCCAGCGTCCTTCTCTGATTTTTTCATCCTTTCTTTCTTGGCTAGTTTTTGGTTTTTCAGAGATCCCGTCTTGATTTCTTTCCTTCATTCCATGACACTGAGACCTGATATCTTTAGACACTATATCCACATGCCCTTAACTTTTATACTATGTGTAGTGCGTAGTGCGCTGGAAATGTGAACGACAACTTTTTCGTTCCCAATGACAGTGTCTCCAACTCTAGCACCGCCCTTAACCACTAGTCTTTCCCCCCAGCCAAGCAGCATTGGCGGCGTAGATGTAGACTCCCATACACTCCACCTTTCCACGGCGCTCCTACGTCCTCCTCGAGATCTATTTCTAACAAGAAGGATGAGAAGGGTGGAACTCGGTGAGGCTTGGAGCTGCAAGGACCGTGTGCGCGTACGCGCCGAGCGGGAGAGGGAAAAAGAGGGGTAGCGAGGTGATGTCGCAGGTATTGACAGCCTTCGGGTCATACGGGAGCTGCGGTATTTAGGCTCGAGTAATTCCTCCTTGCTTGTTCGCTTTGTGTACAGACGAAGGCGCTTTTGGGCCAAGCCACTGTACGCGTGCAAGGGAGAGAGTGGATTGCGCGCTCTCTCCCTCTGCTCTGAATATCACACTTTGCATCTCGTTACTGCACTCTATGATTCTCGAGCAGAACTGGTTAACTTGTGATTTCTGTAGGTTTTGGCTTCAGAGCTGCTTACCATGCACGATTGTCTACCAACTGGACTTTAAACTCCCTCTCGTGAAAATCAGCTTATCCTCTTCTCTAGGTATCGAGACACGTCTCCGTTCGTATGCAAAAGGTTCTTATAGGCTGTGATGGTGAGTCAATGTTTGCGATTGGAGAAACCACGGACACATTACCCTCCTGTCCCCGAGGCTTCTGATTCATTGAACCTACACTTCTTTCCGTTTGAAGCCCACCAGAAAAGGTATGTATTCAAGACAGATAGGTGTTTTCCGGGAGGAGCATAGATGCTGGTATTTGACACGGCAGAAGTCTGACCCGAGTCACCCGACGCCAAATGTCGGTCTACAGAATTAGTTGGGTGAATCTTCATTATGAATGCACTACTGGCGAAACAAATTAGCATTAGTAAAGCAACCTCTTTGAGTGAGAAAATGGGACTCTTAACTGTATTGCTTGCACACCGTCGAGGGATAGTGTACGGCTTTATCCAACAAATAGTCGGATGTAAATCAGTTTAACTAACTTCAATGTGTACTAGTCATCGATAGAGATACCCAGGAGAGCTACAAATCTCGGAATACCAGAACTGTAAGTTCACATAACGCGCTGTACTTCTCACGCGCACGAAAGTTCTGATGTCGTCCGCATCGCAACTATCTATAGGCCACCAAGATTTTCCGCTTTTTCCTAGTGATCCTTAGAATACAGTGGTGTGTACAGCATGATCACAATGAATCAAGAATCGCTAAGTCATGCTAGCACACGCAGGGCAGAAGCAGCGTGCTACAAGCAGCTTAAGTACGCAGGATTTGCCATTCTTCAATTTTGTGGACTCGCCTGCACTTCGGATAAACATAAGTTGATGTATCACACCCCTAAAGGCAGACTGAAAAAATAATCATGAAAATCAAAAAAGATGCTCTCAATTGACTTTACATTAATTAGTTTGAAATAAAATTCACGAACACTTCCGTTCATTCAGAAGGCATGATTGTGTAGTGTTTTTCAGTAAGATTATGTCGGAGTTGCCTCTCTAACATCATTTAAGTACGCGTGCGGCGCAGACCGTACATCGCCGATTAAACGGACCAATGCGAGCACTAGATTAACCCACCTGCTAAAAAAGTGTGGCTCAGTTCAGTTTTGCGCTGTGAGTTCAACACAAGAAAATGCAAATAGTCTGCAGATCTCGTTAGTCTGGAACGTAGCTCTACGGCACACTTTGATACCTTTTGCTTGATCGACTCTTGGACGTCTGACTATAGCACTTCTGACTGGAAATGTATATCGGATATATTCAAGTTCATCTCAAATACTATGTTCAAGCTCCTGGGAAGCTATCCAATGTGAAATGTTCTGGCTGATGCGCTGGTGGACTTTCGAGCTCCCAAGTAAATTGACACTGATAAGGATACCCATTAGGTCCACGTCGGCCTAGAGAAGACGCAATGACGGCTATAGGCATAGGATTGTGCGAGGTGAAGTAGGGTAGGCGTATTTCTATCGGGGTCCATCAAAGTTGTCGGTATGTCTCTGGCGCAGCACAAGTTCATTGCCCAACAACGCCAAGCCAAGCCTGCCAGGATGGTGAGATTCATGACTTGTAGCACGCTTCCAGTCTTCAGAGAATCGCTAGAAACATCATATTGAGAGAGGTGCAAACCTTCGCGCCATTACAACATCCAATATTTACCTCGATTCTCGACTTCGCCTAAAATTGCAGCCCAGATTCATTGACCAGAATAAGAAGTCCGTCTTATGTATGCTCCGTATCGGGTGCTATTATCACTCCCCACGCCTCTTCCTCCCCGAAAAAGGCTACCACACTCTCCAGAAAAAGCTTCAGCATCCAAATCAGCAGCGTCTAAGTCAAGCGGAAAGCCTACCACTCTCTCCAAGAAGGCCTCAACAACCAGGAAGGGAGCCGCCAGGACTACGGCCAACGCAAAGAAGACCAAAGCTCCCAAATAGTGTCCTTTGGGAAAGGGAATGATCTTGTAGATTTGTGTCAATGTGATTATTCGGGTGACAGAGCAGTTTTTCAGGGCGATTTATGTCATGGCATGCACCAGTATGTGCTACCTTTCGATTCTCTCCTATTTGAAAGTGATAGATTTGATTATGGATTGAATATTGACTCTTACTTCTCGTACTGAAACGTAGGAACAAGCACCGTTCGTCACATTATTTTTTGATCATGTGTTTATAGGACGGGAGTCTAATTAGGTTGTACCATATAAAGCACTTAAGATTAGTAGGCATCCTTTCATGTTCGCAAACAATCGAAATATTTCAGCGTTTGTGTGATTCTTGGATACGCTTAATATCGTATCAACTTACACTTCCTTCCATGCCCATCTTTTGCCCATCCATTTAACGAGATAGACCAACCCCACCAGCACAGGGACCTCGATCAAAGGCCCAACTGTTGCTGCAAGAGCCTGATCGCTATCAGCACCATATGTAGCAACAGCAACGGCAATAGCTAGTTCGAAGTTGTTACTCGCTGCCGTGAAACTCTGCGTCGCCCCAAGTCCATACCCGTACCCCAGTTTCCTACACACTACCAGTGTCGCAAAGAAAATGACCAAAAAATATACAATAAGTGGAGCTGCGACACGCACCACGGAGACAATCTGGTGCACAACTTGACGCCCTTGCGACGCGAAAAGTACAAGAATAGTGTACAACAGTCCGATTAGCGACCACGGCGCAATCCATTTAAGGAATACTTTATCGTACCACTCTGCGTTGACTAGTTTACGGAGCGTGAGACGCGTTACGATGGCCGCACCGAGCGGGATGCCGAGGAAGACGGCGACGCTTATGGCGACAGTGGAGTAGGAGACGGCAACGGCACCCGTCTCACGGCTAATGACTTTTATAAAAAGCACGGCGAGCGGCGCGTAAAGAACTATTTGTAGAATAGAGTTAACGGCTACGAGGATGGCGCAATACTCCTCATCGCCCCCGGCGAGATTGGTCCAGATCAAGACCTATTCAATTATAAGTGATGATCATCGCGGAATGGGTTTTGTCATCTCACCATGGCAATGCAACGAGCCAGCCCGACTAAGATCAATCCAATCCGCAATTCGCTCTTGTCGGGTAGAAATGCCCACGCAAGACCGAGCTGAAACCGCATTAGCTCCATGTGAGACATACTGGACAGTGTTGAAAAGACTGGAACGTACCATAAGAAGCGGCGCAATAATCCAATTCACAATTACACTGAATCCAATCTGCACCCAAAGTTTCTTCTCGCGGAACAAAACATGCAGACTCTCGTAGCGCACTTTGCAAAGGATAGGATACATCATGACGAGTAGACCCAACGCAATCGGCACAGACACGCCTACGAATTTCCCCTTTTGCAGAGCTGGACCGGTCGAGGGGACGAAGTTGCCGAGGAGGATACCGATAATCATGGCGAGGAGAATCCAAACCGCGAGGAAGCGATCAAGCCATCCTAGGCCTTTTATCACCGAATTGCTGTCTTCCGAAGACTGTTGACTATCATGAACATTTTCCGGGTCCAATTGATGTTTTGACGATGGCATCGATTTCGAATCGGGGGGGTTTTGATCGGGTGTTGGTAATGTGACCATGGTATTGAGAGACGTGTGGTTGATTATCGAGACTCTGAAGATCCGAGTAATCCGGTTTGCAACAATAGGCGATTAGAACTGGGATGTATTTCAAATGCTGTTGAATATCAATACATCTGATTGTGAATGAGATATCAAATCCCCAGCCGCAGTTTATATGGATTTTAGTGCCTTAGATCATGCAGGGATGTGCTCTAGCGAGCCAATCATCGTCCGACTGTGCGTCACTGCGGAGAGTTTTAGTGCCAAGATATTTTTTCCTTCTCATCCTGTGAGAGACGAGCGCCATCACCAATCACTCCCATGCAATCATCGCCAAGGTGTACTTATATTCTCTGCTCTCATAATCCACTAAGCTATATCAAGTCAGGCTTGATGAAAGATTCTACCATTTTAGCGTTACCACGTAACTCCGCTGAACATACTCCACACACCGTAAACTGGCATGCGATACTAGTGTACACGTGCCTAGAAGAGGTCCTGTCAAATCGACCCATCGTATTATCCGATACACTCTCATCTTCCGGACCGAACCATCTTGAAAGACAACTCAAGGAAGAAGCAGAGGAAGAGAAACATGACACAACATTGGCACTCTACCATACACCCCTCTCACAACTCTCAATCCCCGTCTGTCCCTTGTCCAACCGACAAACACCGCATACGCGAAAATCAGCGTCGCAGCCGTGCCCGAAAATCTCAACTTCTCCAAGATCTCCAAGCACGAGTGCTAGCATACGAGCGTGAGGGTGTCTCCGCCACGCAGGAGGTTCAGTACGCAGCAAGGCGGGTCGCTCTAGAAAATGAGCGCTTAAGAACGTTATTAGCGAGGTACGGGGTCATGAAGAGAGAGGTGGACGGGTATTTGCGATCTTTTGGGGAAGAAGAGACTGAGTGGGGTGGATCTGCATTTGCGAATGTGCCTCCAAGGCATGCAAGTGAAGGGTATAGAGAGGGAGAATGGACTGGGAGGGACGGAGCATCAAATTCCCTAAGGCCGATCACTACGCAACATCAGCAATCTCAACCATGTGAAAGACAATTCGGCCTTCCACACCCTCCTCTAGCGAGCTTTGGTGGGTCTTATCCCCCTCATGTACCAACAGAATCATCTCTACATGCGACATATATAAGAGAACCGCCATCGCCACCTTCCTCGACAAACCGGCAGAACTGCAAACTGTCTCCCACGACTCCAAATCAACCCCCTGTTATCTCTCCCGAAAGGCAAAGTCATATGCAATCTCGTGAGCTCGATTGTCCAAATTCATTGACTTGCTTCTGCGCTCCGTCACCTCCACCACCAGCCATACCCGCACCCCCTCCTAGCTCGGGTCTGGAGATATCGTGCGAGGATGCCGCGAGAATCATCGCAGACATGCGGGGCAGTGGCGGTGTAGATCAGCGCGATGTGATTCGCGCTTCGCTTGGTTGCGGCACCCGAGAGGAACGGGAGTGCAAGGTTAAAAATTCGGTTGTTCTGCAGATTATGAGTGAGAAATAAGAGATATGCGACGGTGGCTGTTTTAAAATATGCAGCCGTATTTGCACCTCCGAAAGAAAGACGGTGAGGAAGAGGCTATGGGCAAGACTGAAGACTCGTCAGGAAGAGCGAAGTCAAGCACACCTCTGGGGTCACCACAACATGTGTATATATTCAAGCAAACAGATCTAATTTTCTGGAGTGAAATGTTCCCTCGGACTTGACTGATGAAGATGAAGCCCATGCCAAATTTCATAACGGAACTCAAATCAATCAATAACTACGTAGTTATAGTATCTCGGAGTACGAGAGACTACTGAGTTTTTTACGTGCTGAGTGAGCACTGAAGTAAAAAACTTGGTGTTTCAAAAGAGTACGAGAGACCTGGATTGAAAATCAGTATCCCAACGCTTTAGAACTAGCCCCCCCTACACTCTCATGTTATGCTTCAGAGGGAATGGAGAATTCGCAGTCTCATTGTCTGCTTCACTTTCGACCGGTAGAGAGTCGATGTCCACATAATGATAAGCCCAGAAAGAACAGAACAGAAAGATCGGACCGGCTGCGGCGGCGACTGTCAGGTACATTATGGCAATCTACATTGAATCAAAATCTGAACACTCTCAGTCAAGACAGGGTGAGCTTACGTTATATCCTGGACCCCGGCCTTCTCTCATAATGAGCGGACTGCAAACGAGGACAGTAAGACCAGCTAGAAACAAACAAGCGGAGTAGCTCATCAACATTATAGGCCCCTGCCACGTGAATAGCATCTTTTTCCGTGGTACGAATCCAGTCGGGGTATCTGATATTAGCAGTGGGGAGTATCTAGCGATGGTGACCTTTGCTCTGTCCGGTTCCAAAGCATGAATTCTCTTTGGGATGGAAGCAGGTCCTAGAGATTGCAACGCAGCAGCCTGCGATGCGGAGAGAAGAATCCCAAGTGTCGACAGAACGAGAGAAGAGTGCCAGAATCCATGTGTAAGCCAATATGTGTGTTGGACTGTGTCCCAAGAAAATGCGCCTATGACCGCGGCGGCAAGGACAGTGCACTATATGTAAGATTTAGCGACTTTTGGTGGGCGTATGATAGACGAGAGTAGCTCACAGCGATGGACACATATTGTAGTTCCGCGAGTTTTCTCTCTCTCCAAAACGCAATCAAGCGGAGGAGGTCCATCGATTCTGTTGACTGTGTAGCGAGGTTCGCGATCATCAGTAGTGGTTTTGAAGTGTTGAATTGATAAGCGCGATAATATGGAAGCGTTGCAATGCTGATCGCGGTATCTAACATGGTGGTAACCATGACCTTCTAGCATGTTAGCATGAGAGACAAATCGCTCGGTGCCAGCGGCGGGACGATTATGTTACACACATTGATTGGACGTCGGATGTGCCTCAGCTTTGCTAAGACGTGACCCATGGCAGTGGAGCGGCTGGCGCAAGGACGATGAAGCTTCAGCAAAATACGCCTTGAGTGGGACCTTGTACATCAGGGTCTTTACCAGTCTACAGCAAAAGATATAAAGGAGTCAGAAGTTGCAGTCCTCACCGGAATTGTTACGTGGGGCTGAAGCTGAGTGTGGCAACAGGGATGGGGATTTTGGGGGTGGTATTGCACATTAGCCGATTTTCACAGAAATTAGATTCTCAGCCTTGAGCAGCTGTAGACCATTAGATGAAGTCTTAGTGGCAAAAACTGTGCATGCTAACATTCAAGATCTGTAGTATTTCTATCTCATCAACACACTCAGTATCATTATGTTCAGATTCCCTTCCGAGGGATTCAAGCCACATTGTAAGATCTGGCAAGTAAATTGTTTCCAGAACCAGTATATATCATTCTATTACTTTTGTAGACCGTATAAAACCATAAAAAAATACAGAGAATACAGAGACTATTTGACTATTTGACTTCCATGCTAGATGTTCGAATGAAAGGTATCTGCTTTTCTCCTTTCGCTCTGTACATCATGACCGTACAGCCTGCTTTGGTTGTGCGTTACAATACCAACCCAGGCGAAAGGATATGCTCTAAAATTCCGAAAGTGTCTACTTCAAAGGACTACTCAACCATCATTTCTTGGACGTGTTTGATATTGCCACCTTCTAGTCATTGACTTGACATATCTCGTGATATCCTCGTCATCGTCAACAAAGTGATCGCTCCGTAGATGATTTTCTAGTTCATATTTGGAGGCGTATTTAGTGTTGGGGCACGCGCTGAACGTGCATAAGAATACCGCACCGGTTGCATAGGCTTCCCACTTGGACGCGTCCTTTGCCCTGGCTTTCCGCCTCTCGACCAGTGCTTTCGCGCAGCTTCTCAGATATCTTTCATTGTTTCCATCGTTGGCCCATTTGTTGAAGTGATTCTTTATTGTTTTCAGCGTCTCCTCTCCAGGCTCCTTTCCATGTGTGCGGCCACGAGGTTCCCACTCGTCGAATTCAACATGCATACCCGAGACACTGTCATTGAGCCGCCAGTAATTCTTAGGCATTGATTTTGCCACTTCATCGTGTACTTTCTCCGTATCTGTGGACTCCTCGAAAGCTCGTCGAATTTGTCGCTTGGCAAAGATTCGTGTGGGCTTTCCGGTGCCTTTAGAACTTCCAACGCTGACGACCAGTCCAACATTTGCTTTACTATGCAACTCCTCGATTTCTTTGATGCCTTCGTCTGTTGGATTACTGCGATGGGAAAAGCCACCGTCGGAGAAGTATGTGTCTATCTTTTTCTCGATCGTACTCCTCGAAATTTTGACCGGCTTGAAGTACGAAGGAGCTGCTATTGCTGCCATTGCCACCTGCCAAATCTTCAGGGTATCAGCTTGGCCGTAATTTTTTCTATTTGAAGACATCGGTGGTTGATCTGTAGTTACGCGACCGTTTGGATGTAGAGGCAGTTCTTGTTTCCTTTCATGATCATATGATCGAAACAAGTACGGCTTGAGCTCGCTCTGGTTATTTTTATCATTCCGCAGGCTGGTAACGAATCTATCGACGCTTTTAGTGGCCAGGAGCATTATACGACGTGAATTTCACCTACACTTTACACATAGTTGGATTAGAAGGTAGTTGCGTGTCGTTGATGCGTTGAGCCCTTTCACTACGTCGAGCAATTACGTCCTTCAGCACACTTTTCATATCTTCCGTACTGTATCGACACCATTGTCCCCCTACTATGTCTCTTCTTGACAATGGTCGTGGTTTGCCAAACACCCGATTCCCCATCCTTTCGTATTCACCCAGGCAATCGAGAACACTCATTCTAAATCTACCAAGCATAATTGCAATGAGTCTGTAGGATTTTCAGCAATACATTCAATCATGAAGTGTTTGACTTACGATCCAGTGCTGGTCCCACAAATATAATCAAAGTAATGACACGGCAGAAATTTACGGCTGCCTCTGAAGTGGCTAGCCGGTACGCTATCGCCATTATGAGCATTCTCGCTCTCCAGCTCGTCTTTAGTGAGCTTTTCGTGGGTAGCGCCCTCAGGAAACGCATGAGGTGCGAAACTACCGCATTCCTTAGCAGGCTCAGTTTCACCCGAACCCTGTTTTGTTTCTTGATATGCGACATTTTCCATCAATTTCTCCAGCACCAAAAGACTCCAATATCCTCGTATCCCGCCGCCATCTGGATCAATCAATCGATGTTCCATCTTTGGAGTGCAATATCAACTTACCCAGACTGAGAAGATTCTGCTGGTCCCAAGCGTCTTCGGTAGAGATCTCGGGTCCATTCTCGATCGTTGCAGATGTTCCAACACGATTGATTATGTGATTTGGGGCGCTTTGGATGTCGGATGATGAGACGTCTGCACTTCCATGTCCAGAGCTGCTACCGTTATGTATCGCAAGCAGAGGTTGTAACATAGCTGGAAGTATATGAACAGCTCAGTTACAATTTATATTTGGTTTCGGGATACATATGAAGAAAGTTGGGTAGTTCATAGGTCATGTTATATATGTAGGGCGTTCGCTGCAGCCCGCAACATGGTTCTCTGGATTCTCAGCCTGATGGACAAGGCAGCTCACAGAGCCTCTACGACCCCCCAACAAGGCCTTGTCGGAGGCAAAAAGATGTTGCTATCGAATGTCGGCTTTTTCATGAATTGCGCCACGTCAGGGTAACCAGCGAATAAGCCATTGAGGTCGGATCGTAAGATCAGCCGGAGCGGGAGGAATACGCATGAACTCCTTCCATCTCGGTATTCTACGGGCTTGCTGGGTGATGACATGCATATAGATATGCCCTGGTTGGAAAATGGAAGCGACTGCCTCAGCCAGTCAGATGTTTCCCAATACGAGCTGATAATTTGCAATGTTTTCATTCTTGGAAAAAGGAAAAGGACTGGAGCCGGCGCTACTGCGACAATACTAGATGATTTGGACCATTCATTTGAAAGCTACTCCGGGCGTCAAACCAGAATGTTTCACGTCGCTGAGTATGGGGCATCGCTTGACACTTATGCTGCCGGATTTACTCTGAAGCAGAATCAGCTTCAGCCTTGTTGCCACACGTTCGTTCCCATGTGGGCACACGCGCACGTAATTTCAGAGGGACGAACGCCTCTTCTGCGCAATAATATCAGACGTATCGCTATTGGATAAGGGACTGACACAAAGCCGCCTGGTGCCACTTGTGAAGATGATGGTGTCCTCGAATAATCAACCTGCATGTGCGGGATACGAGTGGCTCAGCCTGACCGGTGAATGGTCATGGGGCCGCGAATCTGACGGCTGATCTTCTGTCAGGATCATATATGCTGTCACTTCCCCTTGGATACGTTAAGTTTGCCCATCAATGCTTTCAATTTCTTCACTAGTTCTCTAGCTTGGCAGATATTCCCAATCTTTCATCGCTGTTTTTGCCCTCTGCAAGAATTACTGGATACAACAAGGCTCATTAGAATGATTTTTAGCAAGAGCTACGCTGGGGTAACAGCCGCAGATCTCAAAGACCCAACTTTCAAGAAACCCTCTCGGACAGGGAGTTGGGATCGAGTCATAGTTTACGATCCTGAAAGTGGCGATTTAAGCAGACATAGGAAATCCACCGTAGACGAAGGTAAATGAAAGATTTCCAAAGACGGGAAGCATAAGAATACTAATAATAATGCTGTGACAGATCATGCATACCAAAAATTCGAAATACCCAGAGGGAGGAGGGAATTGTCGTTATTTGTGGATTCAGAGACGGAGACAAGGCTGAAAACAGACGCAGAGGAACAAATTGGGAACTACCTGTTTTACGCGAAGTTGAGATTCGATAAGCTGGGGCCAGTTAATCACCTCTTGGAAATTTTTGGTGTCTTGTCTCTCAGAAACCTATACGTCTCCGGTCTATGCCGTACTGAAGAGTCAAAGGATGAGGAACAAAAGCATAGATTCTAATCCCACTTCCACTTCTCCTTACTGCCTGAACCTTTTCATAAGCCATTCTTTATAGTTGTTGTAGTAGTCGCATTTGAATTTATTGGTCGTTGTGATCCGAGTCGGAAAACGGGTAACGTGATTGTGAGATAAGATGTCTCCCTTGCGCAAGCTACGAGCAGGATATAACACATTGTTCAAAAAAGGTGGGTTCTTCTCGTGTTCTACTGATTGTCTCACAATGACTAGTCCAATTGAACATATAAACATGATCACTGCTCCCCTTGCGGCCTTGCCCTAACTAACCTTCCGCTTTCTCGACTAATGCTTTTACGCAGCTTCTTATGTACCCCCCCATTTTGTCCGTTGTTACAATATTTGTTGAAGTGATTTCTTATCTATGTATACTTATATAAGAGGTAGACAGTTTACTTGTATGGACAGTTCGCATGTAAAATAAGTTATCCACTAGATAAATTGTTGCGCATACACAAGTGATCCATTTCTAACAACGCAACACATCTCGACTAACTAAAGATAAAACAAAAAAGTCTAAATACAACTCGACTGAACGGTACAACAAAGAGGGTCTTGCTGGTAAACAGCCATTCGCTTTACAAAATCTGGTGCTGACTGAATTTAGCCTTGGAAAGCTACAGCTCTTTTGCTTTTGGCAGATTCAGTCTCGCCAACTTCAGCGGTGGAAGGGATATCCTTGATGTCCACCTCCGGGCACTGTGCCACAGAGGTTCCATAAGATACACTACTAGCATGGCCTTTAGTGAGGTAGGAAAATTTAGTGCCGTCTTCTAGCTTTGTTACGAGAGTGCCAGTGTAATCACTCTCATAAGTTCCGCTAATTGCCCAGGCCGAACAATGGACAGCTTTTCCAGGTTCAAGGAAGTTGCTCGCGCCAGGAGAAGCTATATCGTAACTGAGGTCCGTCGCGGTTGACTCCGAGTTGGTGGTGGTTTTCTGCATCTCGAATGTATATCCAAAGTTCCACGCGGTTTGAACGCTCGCTTTGGTAATAAGCGGTACTCCAAACTCAGCATTAACCGTAAATGTTACACCCGCAGTAATACTGTGCGATTTCATGTCCGCTACCGAGTGTGATTTCGTGCGTGACTCCTTGTTAGAGAATTTGTAGGTGACGTTCGACCCACCCGGCTTGTTCGGGTTGAGGAAGAAAGTGTCTTTCAAATCAATTCTTTCCAAGCCCTGGTTCCTGGCGTTCCAATCTTTTAGATCTTCATCAAGCTTCATGTCGACCAGAGTCGTGCTGACTACCTTCGACTTAAGGAACTTGAAATCCAAGCTTTCGACCCAGTCTACGCCGCGGGCTTTAACTCCAAGAAGGATTCCTGCACCATTTGGGACTTCAAGAGCATCTGATTGAATGGCTCCCTTTCCAGTGGCCCAAACGGCCCAGATAGACTGGCCGTTTACGAAGAATTCGATCTTTCCAATGCCGTTGGATTGTTCTTTGTCCTTCATTTGCTTCCTGTTGCCGTTGATCTTGATATCTGTGTACCCATGATTTAGCATCTCAAAAGACTGAAAAGCTAGTAAATGAGCATAGCAAAAGGGGATAACGTACCGACTGCCTCGCCAGCCCCCCAGGTTGTCTTGTCTTTCCTCATCTTCATGCTAGCATGGCCGTTGTCATTTTCGTATTTCCTCCCGTACCAGGGTGTCTCTTCACCACTTGCATAGTGGAACTTTATGCCCTCGACGGCGAATTCCGTTGCCCAACCTTCGACTCCGATAATGGTGTCTCCTTCGTGCCACCTGGAAGCACAGTCCCAATCCCCCATGCCACCTGGTCCACCCAACCCTACCATGGTAGAAGCGGCAAAGGGGGGATCTTCACCATCTTTCCCTTTGTAGAATTGGCACTCTTTGGATTCACGCGTACCCTCCGCCGCTTGACCGAAGGCTGCCAAAGAGGCCACGAGCAAGGCGACTTTGGGGAAGGAGAGAAGCATGATGATCGAAACGCTTTGCAAGAGAAACGAATGTAAAAGCAGGTGAAGCGAGTGAAAGAAAGATAAAGACTTTGATCGAGAAACGAATGTAAAAGAATGAACGTTGGGGAAATGCCCGCTGTAGAGATCCTCAGGCAAGTGATAAGAGTTGAAAGAGAGGTGATCTGTTGTATGTAATGTGCAAATTCTGCTGAATATATACCAAAAAAAAGGTGGCTATGGAAAATACATCTAGCGTGCCGTGGTTCCGTTTCCCATGCATTTGTCTAAGATAGGAGTTCGACTACATCACGGGTGATTATCCCACTGACTGTGCCGCCCAGGAATATCGGTTTATAATGACCGACGTGATTAGTATTCACGCAGTGTCTAATTAGGCACATGTGCATATTTTTAAAGCCACTGCGCCGAGCCCCACAATGCTAGATGTTGTATGGGGGATTCTACATTAGCGGGTAGTGGAATCTTGTTATTATGCATTACCTTCGAGTTTTATGATATAGCTAACCCGAATAATCGAATGTGCCGCAAAAGCGCAGTTTAACTGAGTCTCAAAAGTCCGGAGTTGCTTATTACCGCTAACCCGAATGATTTACTGTGCCACCTACGGGCAGTCTAACACAGCACAGACGTGATACACAAGAACAATCTCCCTTGTAGATACCACATATAGAAGATGAAAACTTTTTCATCATCTTCTCCTTCGACTTCTACACTCTTCATTAGACAGGATAAATCCAATCCTTGTGCTTGGCGGCTACGGAGCTCTGGGCCACCATATTATTAAACAACTTCTGAGACAAACAAGGCATGACATGTGACCTCATTTGATATTCGAACTAATGTAAGCACCGTATATCAAAGGAAGTATTGGTTTAGAAAAAGATGTCCTCTCAGTCCTTAAAGCTATTAAGCCTACGGTAATTATGCACATTTTGTCTCTGCAGCTTATAGGTTGAAAGAACACTGCGACTTTTGTGGAGGCGACCATTACCGAAACAAAGGAAATTGAGGGTGGCTTCGAGGTAAACGATGAAAAGAGAGAGATTAGGCAAGGTACGAAAACTGCCTCTTGCCACGGGTGTCGAGGATATCTACCTCGCTATTAATAGATATACTGTGTTGTGCCGTCGGGATGTAAGTGTAGTCCTATACGCGCTGTAGTGTCTAGGGATGTCAACAGCTTCATGGCTATCACTGCTTCTCCTGCAAAGGATTCGAAGATCACGGTTGCAGATAAAGCGTCATTCTCGCCGTTAAAATGCTCGCTAATGTCCTCTTCAACGTGCATGCTACGCGCCATGCAACCCAGCTCTCTTAAAAGGTAGTTATTTACATAAACGACGACATAGCTCTAGCAGAACAATCCAAATAAGCCATCAATGGCTATATCGCTTGCAGCATGCAAAACCGTAGGATTAAGAAGCCCCTGAAGTGTGCTTCTAGAGGAGCAGTTCGTATTCACTTTGGGAAGGTACCAAGATTTCAGAAGGCTTCCTTAGCCACGCTCCCCGGACAAAAGCGAACGTGATTTTTGCCGAGCAGCTGGGTCTAGATAAAACACCCACGGGTGACCTAATAACAAACCCGCCCTTCGCCTTAGAGGAGCGAGAAAGATGTTTTTGCAGCGGGAGACAACAGTGCACTCATGAAAACTACACTGAACGCGCTGTGTACTGGGATTTTGAATGGTGCTGGAGTATCGGCACAAGTAGTTGCGGAGAAGCTTAGGCGGCCTAGTATGGTCTGTGTTTTTAATACTAAGTATCTGTGCCGCATTGGAAATGCGATGATTCACCACTACGCTTAGTATGGTCCGATGGAAGCTGCTCACACTACATTATGTTTCAATAGCTTATAGTTTTGCCTAAGTTTTGAGGACGGGAAGTAAATAGCTATGTATCCGTTACGTGCTTGCCTCAGCCAAATACATGCCTGCTTTTGTCAAACCAGCCACTTGCTCTCAACCCACTGTAATTCTCGCTTGAGCCACTCCTCTTCGTCCTCTTTCGTCTCCATGTCGAACCCATGATCTCCGTCCCTAGCCACAAGCCTAATCTCTGTATCCTTGAACATCTTCATCACCTTCTCCACAAACACTTCAGTATCCTCAAACGCCACAGCCGAGTCCTGACGCCCATGAAAGATAGTAGTAGGGGGCCAACTCTTCGCATCGCCAATCGCCGTAACCGGCCAAAGTGACTTCCCAGTTCCGAAGAACTCCTCGAACCGCTGATACGCATTCAAAGCGCTAGATAGCGGCTTTCGACTCTGATCTGTGGTTGGATCACTCGAGGAGCGGATATCACCTGGTTTCATGCTTTGGATATATGTGTCCAACCACGTCTTGGGCGGCGGCGCTACGCCAAATGGTCGATCATCAGGTGTACGGCGGCTTACGTTAGTCATGGGATACTGCGCAAGAACCACCTTGATCTCGCCTTCAGGCCGCTGGACTGCGGACTGTAGTGCCATGTATCCGCCGGCAGAATCACCGGTGACGAAGAGCTTCGTATAATCGATTTCAAGTTGGACATCTTTCGAAGCCAGATAAGTGTCCAACTTTCGATTTTTGAGTAGCCAGTCCCAAAAATCAGAGAGGTCTTCCAAGATTTCGGTACCGCTGGCTTCTGGGGTTAGACGGTAGTTGGGGAGCACGGTTATGGCGGAGTTGCGGTGGAGGAATGGTACCCAGAAGGCGGAGATCCAGGGCGCGTAGAGACAGTCGCCATTGACCTGGGAGGTGTCAATCACACGTATACGTTTTGCCATTCATTTGAATGCGTGCCGATATCCCGTGTTAGACAGCTAGTGCAGGATTTGACGGGGACTTACCAGACCGCCTCCGTGGAACTTTACAACCAGGGGGTGCTTCTCGAGATTGAGGTTCTTGGGTATTAGGATTCCAACATCGATTTCGTGGGAGCCGATGGTCTTGTAGCTGGTTCGAAGAACGATGAAGCTATCGAAGCGAGTCTCTTCGGTTGTGTCGTCGAGGGCTACCATTTCGACTTTCAATTGCGAAGTTTTCTGTTGACCACGACAGTTCCCAGAAGCTCGGAATGATGTAAGAGTCAGTGGATGGTGCCGTAGCAGGGTGAGATGCGTGTTTGACTTGCCGAGGAAGCAGCGTCGCAGTCAGATCTTATAGATGATACAGTGCAGTCAGTGACCCCTCTTTTGCTCAGGGCTTAGATAATTACAATGTAGTTCATGCCACGTCACGCTCTTTCACTTGAGGGACATCAGAAAACTTAGTGTAAATGGGCTTCTAGATATAAACATTTTACCTGTGTTTTTCTGGATAGCTGAGGCTAAAATTGGAAACCTATGGCTCCTCGATTACGCAGAGAAGGTGGGGGGACAATGCTTAGCGCCCGGTTGGCATACGTCGACTAGTCGAATGGTATAATCTCGCTTTTTATTCTTACTCGTGCACGTGAAAAGTATCTTTACCTGCCGAATGCGGCGATCATCGATGATGATATTCTGGTTATTTTCTCTCTCTATATCTTCCCAGCTAATTGAATTCCGAGGCATCTATCGAATCCTCCGTCTTTTGAATCCTGCCCAACACCTTGCCCCACTTCTCCCAAGCTCCGTCTGGCAATTTGCCCTTCAGAGGTAGGCGCCCGCCTTCCAGTGTGCCTAGTCCTAGAACGCGATGAACAGCCTCTTTGATCCCGATGATACCACCCGCTACCACGTACTCTTCAGCGGCGCTCACAGTGTACTGCAGCTCCTTTATCTTCTGCAGGGTGGCATCGTCTAATGGCCGTTTCTCTGCCAGTTTGAACAGTAGTGATACCGTTTTCGGGTATATCGCTGCCAGGCCATCAATCACACCCGCAGCGTCGAAGAGAACAATTGGTCCAAGCTGTTGCCCAAAGCCGCTGTATACTTTAAACTTCTTATGATCAATCTCTGGGTCTAGCGATACCTGGACGTGATACGAAACGTTGCCGTGGGACATTTTGCAGCCGACGATGTTGGGATGTTGTGCGAGGGTGCGGTATGTGTCCGGGGTCAGCATGACGTTGTTTGTGACGCCAGGGTAATTGTAGCTGCGATTAGATGTCAGAACAAGTTATGTTACCCAATTCCCTGTCGCGAATCCGAAATTAAGAAGTGCTTACATGAGAATAGGGATTGGTGACCGGTCAGCTACGAGTCTATACCATTCTATGATGTTTTCTTGACTCGCTGCTGCCCCGAAGTATCCCGGCGCAAGCACTAATCCCCATTGTGCGCCCGCTTTCTTGAAGTCTTCCAACCATTCCAAAACTTCATCTACACTGTTGATAAGAACACCGGCCATGATTGGGTAATCTTGAAACCCGGCATCGTTCAGTCCTTTGCGTACACCAGAGACTTGGTCGAACCGCTCTTGTCGTGACATGTGAATTGCCTCACCGGTCGAGCCCAAGAGCACGAGGCCGCGCACGCCATTTTTAGCAAGATGAATGGAGTGTGCGACTTGTGTTTCGACGTCGATAGCTGCTTGGAGAGACGAAGAGGCGGATGCCGGTTTGAAGAATGTCGGGACTGGAACGAAGACGCCAGTGGGTGGTGATGAAGTCATGGTGTTCGGTGGCTTGTGCGCTGCGGGGTTCTCTACTGTACGGTGGTGCAGTTCGGATGTCGAGCGTCTGTGTCAACAACAAACATCAAAGACTCGGAAACTTTTGCTTTGACTGGAAAGCGGATCGACTGTGAATTATAAAGCACGTAATAGCTAACCTTCGGTGTTGTTTTAACCCGCAACCCGAGGCTAGAGCCGTTGAAAGTGGAGCTCGCTGTCCCTCATCGTCACCCCGCGCTGTTACTACAGCTTCCCCGACATCGCGTGGATGTACCGAAGTTGAGCGTAAATCAACCCACTCCAATATTAACACAAAATATCAATTACGAGTCACCCTGATTGCCGCTTACGAACTCCCTGCTCTTGGGATCTGAACTATTATTGGACGTGGCGCAACCAATCTTAGGTCCCCTGTCTTGTTATTCAGCACCATAGGAACTATGGGGAAAATTGCGAGCATAGAATACTTCAGAGTACCTCCGCGCTGGCTATTCGTAAAGATCACAGACGAAGATGGCAACGTAGGCTGGGGGGAAGCTTCTCTGGAAGGGCACACTCAAGCAGTGGAAGGGTGCTTGGATGCCTGGATCGAGAGATATATAGGATATGAAGCAGAGTCAGTTCGCATCTGATATTCCTGAAGCCCGTGGTATATGCTGATTCAAGAACGCAGCGAGATCGAACACATCTGGCAGATGTGCTGGCGCACAAGCTTTTACCGCGGAGGACCCGTCTTCATGAGTGCATTGGCAGGCCTTGACATCGCCTTATGGGACCTCAAAGCCAAGAAGCTCGGGGTACCGATCCACCAGCTTTTGGGCGGGAAGCTACGAGACAAATTGAAAGTTTACGCATGGATAGGCGGTGACAGACCATCTGATGTAAAAGAGCAAGCGTAAGTTTTCTCGACCGACATGATTTCGTATCCAAACATGTCGTGCGTTCTTCAATAAACTCACCGACTGACTATACTGCTAGCGAAGCCCGAAAGAAGCAAGGTTTTACAGCAGTCAAGATGAACGCTACCGAAGACCTCGGCTGGCTTGACTCACCAGCCGCTCTCGAATCCTCTGTCGCACGACTGCAAACTGTAAAAGAATTAGGTATGGACGCAGGAATGGATTTTCACGGTCGCGTACACAAGCCCATGGCGAAGCAACTAGCCGCAGCCCTCGAACCCCATCACCCACTCTTCATCGAAGAGCCGCTTCTCTCTGAGCATATAGTTGGTATCAAGGAGCTTTCCCAGCATACATCAATCCCCATTGCCCTGGGAGAACGCCTGCACAGCCGTTGGGATGTTCGTCCGTTTCTGGAAGCCGGTTGTGTAGATATCTTGCAGGTCGATATCGCACACTGCGGTGGCATTTCTGAACTCAAGCGCATCGCCGCGATGGCGGAGACATATGATGTTGCGCTCGCGCCGCACTGTCCGCTTGGTCCAATTGCGCTGGCCGCGTGTATACAGGTTGATGCCACGTCTGCGAATTTCGCGATCCAAGAGATGAGTTTGGGAATTCACTATAATGCTGGCAGCGAGGATCTCACAAGTTATGTTAAGAATCCAGAGGTTTGGAATGTCAAGGTTGGGGGATATCTGGAGCTGATGAATGGCCCAGGACTGGGAATTGAGATCGACGAGGAGTGGGTTAGGAGGGAGAGCAAGGAAGCAAAGGCGTGGGTGTCTCCAGGATTTATTGGTCCTGGTGGTGAGATTAGGGAGTGGTAGGAGGCAAAGAAGCTGTCTTGTAGCGCCCGACGTAATTCGGCGTTCAACCAACATACGGTATCTAGGGACAGTACTATCGCTGTGTAGAGGTGGCAAATAACCACTTGATGAATTGCCAGGGCTATTGAATGCCTGCTTAGTATTTGAAATTTATATGTGTCTAAAACTAAGTCACTTACTGTCCACGATATATGTTAATTGTAGCGTTAACTCTACCTGATTGCTTGTACAATTTTCATTGTCCCCAAAAATAATAGGTTTTACCATAAAAGCCTTTTCTTCGTGCTCAAAGATCATCTCTTTTTACACGCCTTCCGCGTGTTGATGCTACTCACCTGTTTTGTGGCCATACTTAGACTAGCAATGCGCGATTTTTCTCCTTCCCGTGCGCGATTTTCCTAACTGAAAGCGCCTCCACGCGCACAAAAATCTTGCCAGCCCAATTTAAGTCAAGACGAATGAGGGATAGACAATCTCGGCGACTTACACAGCCCCTTTGTCATTCAATAGGTCTTGAATCCTGTGCATTGATGTTTTTCACCTACTCAACAGTAAACAACTCAATATCAACAACCTCTACGTTGGCCTGACATTGATTCCGACTTGCTGCTTATAGGGAGCGAACATGTGGAAACCACCAATCAATTTCATCACTCTGCATTGCAAGTTCTCAAACGGGACTGATCACTGAGCCATTTTCTAAAGATGCGTAGATGCCTACATAATCACCTTTGGCATTCTTGCCCTGGCCATCATTTATCCATATGGCAACCTTCAACCCATTGATGCATACTTCTTTGGCGTCAGTGCCTCGACTGAGTCCGGTTTAAATACGTAAGTGCTTCCATGCTTGTCTCAAGATATATCTAAGCTAACGATTACCTCTCAAGTGTGGATGTCAAAGACCTAAAAACCTACCAACAAGTCTTTATTTACATTGTGCCCATCATCACCAACCTAGGTTTCGTCAACATTGTGGTTGTTATCTTTAGACTACGATGGTTTCAGCAGCGCTTCAAGAAAATCGGTAAGATGGGATTTTCAGTCAAGCGATGTCAGTTCTAACGCGATAGATAGCTACAAGAAAGCCGATCCAATCAAGAAAGCTCGAATCCGAAGCCCCGAATACCGCCGACACAGGTGACCTCGAGGAAGGCATAACAATGGATACTAGCAGCGATGAGAGGCAACACATTGCGCTTGAGCGCTCACAAGACGGAGCTAATCACATCAGATTTTCTCCCGATATCAAGCAAGAGCATGAGAAAACTTCAGATGAGCATGTTACATCGCTTTCGGATGGTAAGCACATGCAGTTCAGTCCATGACTTGGTCAAGCTAACGCCGAGTGAACAACGAAGACGAAGATGCGATCAAAATCGCCCCAGCTGGCTCAGCCTCGGATAACGCCATGCATCATCGAAAACCTCGCAGAGGTAGCCAAAGTGTATATGCTTCAATGGACAACGCCGTATCGTCAATATTTGTTCTTGGGAAGACAGCTACCAGCAACAGCCGTGACAAAGGAAGGGAGCTGGAACCTCACGATTTGGCATCGCTGAGCCGAGAGGAACTGGGGGGTATCGAATACCGCGCACTAAGGGTTTTGCTGAAAATAACAACTGGTGCGCATTTATCACGGGTGAGACGAATGAAGGATACTCACATCTGCAGGGTATTTCTTCGGCCTCCACCTTTTTGGTGTGGTTTGCTTACTTCCCTGGATTCATACGGCGAATCCAAAGTACACCGACTACCTCGCTTCGCTAGGCCAGAATAAAACATGGTGGTATGTATGAAATGGGTATTGAGACCTATGAAGCACACCACTAATATTCTGCAGGGCTTTCTACTCTTCGCAAACCATGGTCGACAATCTTGGGTTTACTCTCACTCCCGATAGCATGATTACTTTCCGAGACGCGACTTGGCCCATGCTAATAATGTCTTTCCTTGCCTATGCAGGGAACACATTCTACCCTTGCTTCCTGCGTCTTCTTGTATGGATCATTTACAAGCTAGTACCGGCCTCGTCATCACTAAAGGAATCACTGCGTTTCCTATTGGACCATCCACGGCGATGCTACACTCTTCTTTTTCCGAGCTCGGTGACCTGGGTACTTGCTGTTGTTCTTTTTGTACTGAATTTCATCGACATCCTCCTCATCATCACACTCGATCTTGACAATCCGGAACTCACCTCTCTACCCTTGGGCCCTAGGATACTCGCCTCCATATTCCAGGCCGCATCAGCACGCCACACGGGTGCTGCTACTTTCAATCTCGCCAACGTGAATCCCGCCGTCCAGTTCAGTCTCCTTGTTATGATGTACATATCTGTTTATCCGATTGCGATTAGCATCCGGATGAGCAGCAGCTACGAGGAAAACCCAGTGGGTATATATGGCGGGGACGATATTCCGGATGAGCAAAGAGGAAAAGCATACTTGCTTGGTCATCTACGAAACCAGTTGAGCTTTGATCTGTGGTACATTTTCCTTGGCGTATTCTGTATCTGTGCTACCGAAAGTAAACGAATCATGGACGCTGAGGACCCGGTGAGTCACAAGAGCAAGCCCGCACACAATATAGCTTTATTCTGACAGAGTTTGCAGTCGTTCAATGTGTTCGCAATCTTTTTCGAAGTGGTCTCCGCGTACGGTAATGTGGGCTTGTCGCTTGGACACTCTAGTAATCTCACTTCATTGTGCGGTCATTTTATGCCTTTCAGCAAGCTCGTCATCTGTGCCATGATGATCCGCGGAAGACATAGGGGTATGCCGTATTCACTCGATCGTGCCATTACTCTGCCCAGCGATCGAATGGCCGAATCGGATGAGAATGAATACGGTCAGGCGCACGAGAGGGTGGCAGAGAAGCAGAGCTCAGCTTCTAAAAGCCATGTCAGCTAACACGCAGTCACATCGGGCGACGTTGGAAGGAGCATATCGGATTTTGGAAGTAGACAAGCATGCAAAGCAAACATCCATATGTATAGTCGGCACTTGAGTGTATATAAACACACATACATATGCTATAAGAAACATACGGTCATGAATTCCAAAGTACGATTAATATTAGAACTTGAGTATCCTCCAAGATCTTTGGGATGTATCCCTGGTATATATGCCCTCCCTAACCCACTTCTCACTTCGGCTAACCTGTAGCCTGTTCCATATACATCAATGTCGAAGTGTCTTCAGCTTCCAACTTCCAAGTTGTCTTGCGTCGCGGGTCGTTCAAATCACATCAACCTGCCATTACGACTGCAACCGTGACAAAAAACATACTCCACATGCTGGGCCACCGTACCTTTAACATCTTGTTGCCAGCTCCCAAAGCCCCGTTGCCATTAATTCCAGTGTTCCCAGTCCCAATTGAACCCTGTCCTCCTCCACCATTTCCACCATTGCCGGTCGAACCACCACTTCCTCCGCCTCCATTCGAGGATCCAGGGCCGCCCACCTGACCGCCGTCTGTTCTCTGTGATGTTTCGATCGCGATGTCTTGGTATGGTTGACCTGGAGGGTTGTTCACACTCGCAACTAGAGAAGCGAAGTCTATCATGGGATTGTTGATGAGATCGCAACTTATTCTTCCTCCAGTCGTACTGAGAGGTCCCGGGGGAGGTTTGGTGAGCAGTTGGCTGGCCCCAGGGAACTGACTGATACTGTTGGTGACAGAAATCGGAAGATTGAATATACTGTAGTGACTCGACCCATTGAGTCTGAAGTTCTGGTGGATCGAGATGTTGTAATCGCCGCGAGCTGTAGTGTTGAACTCATCGTTTCCATCACCGACTAAACAATCCGGCCACTCGAAATTGATGTGTTTGACCGTTTGCCCGGACTCTTGATTCATGATGTTGGCGAGGGGCGGAGTCGTGGTGGTTATGTTTGAGATTGTGAAATTTTTGGACAAGGTGTTTGACGTCAAAAACAGAGTGAAGTTGAATACTTGGGTCAAGGGATCGTCAATATTTCGTGGTGGAACTTGGAGCTTGCCATCACCAGAGACGTCGAGAGCTATATGGAGGAAATCACCGCCCATAGGCGTGAATGGTTGAGGCTGAGAACTGTCAATCTCACGTTGACGTAGAGCTTTGAGGAGGTACTTACCGCAAGTACTATTCCCAGTCCTGGCGTCAGTATCCGTCCGTTCATTATGTTGAATCCATCCTTGTTTGGTCCGTTGTTGTTGTTATTGTTGTTCCCGTTATTGTTGTTGCCATTGCCATTGTTGTTATTCCCGTTGCCATTTCCGTTCTGCCTCTCACGCAGCCTTTGGTCACCTCGAGATGGTCGCGCAAGCCCGAATTGCCCCAACATTTGCGCTTCGACATGCTTTGCGCCCCATTCTGAAATTACTAAAAAGACGAAGATTCGAATTAAGTGGGATAGTTTGATCATTGCACAGCAACGGTTGATCGCATTCTCTCGCGCCGGCGAAGGAATCACAGATAAGAATAGAATATAATAAACAGGGCGAGGAGGGTGCGAGAAGGAAGCAAAGCAGAACAGAACAGAAAAGCAAAACACCGAGATGTCATGGTCTCAAAATCAGATTGCGGCCTTGGTAAGCCAGCAGGAGCGCATGAGCGGCATGAACTCATGGGATTCGTTGCCGGGCATCCGTTGCGCGTTCTAGGCAAATTCGGTGGCATTTCATACGAGCATGGTGAGTGGCGGGTACTTATTGCATTAGATTATAATTGTTGACAGATCCTTGAGACCTGTAGTGTAACAGGATGAGTGCGGAGCTTGGCCTTGGACGGCTGGACGACGCTAGGCCGGTAGTGGTCTAGTCGATTAATCTGGTATATCTTCAATCAACTTCAAGCTGCCATTCAAATCAATCTTAAACATAGAATTCATGCTTTTTCGCGTATTCTTTCATAGAATGCCTTTCAAACGAACTGATTCAAAATCCTTGGAGTTCGCTGGTAGCTATGAGATGTGACTTTACGCTAACACTGAGCATGTGAACTAACACTTTGACTGCGCTGCCTTATCACATTAAACGACATAAGAATTTCTCTATATTATTTGATGGAAACTGTAGCAGTCCTGAGAGTCTACAGAAACGAAGATTATTCTTAGGGGCTCCCATTTGAAGGCCATAGAGCATGGACAGAGTCGCGCAGCCATATAGGATCTAGTTGAAGACAAACATTTCCACCAACACATGGAGCCATCGCGCTTCCATTTTCTCATTTCTACTATGCGCTTCAAAAGTCGAAAGATTTGAGTTTGTCTTCATGTATCCCATGGAAATCTGCTGTGCTTCACTGCTGGCTTGCCAATGTGCATTTACCCGCCACCATCTCCTTATGCCATAATCATAATCATAACAAAACTGATATCGTGACAACCTGATCAAGTTTTGCAAGCAGTGACGTGGTTAACTCAGCACACTATTGAACATAAGCTAGTACGCAATATATGAGCTACCTTATGTGATTCTTACACTCGACCATGTCTCGTATCTACGTTATCTGTACGTTGCCATTGCTACTATGATGAGGTTCAGTACTTCTATCACTTTTGGCTGATTCAAAGAATCAATTACTTTTTGTCGCCCCCCTTTTGAGTGTAGGAAAAACTGTAACTTCCAATTAAAAAAATCAAAGAATCAAAGAATCAAACTCTAGAAGAATGATAACGCTGTGTTGAATTAGCAGCGTAGTGTAGGGTGTACTTTGTGTGTACATTTTGTCGCATCCATATCTTGTATACAGACTTCCAAAATTATGGATGATAAACCAGTGGAACAATCCAGTAGCCAAATATTGACTTGATTGTGTGGTTTGATGCTGCATGCAAATCTGCTGTTTCTCCGTCGATAAGTGTCACGTGCGCAAGCAAACAATTCACAGCTTGCAAACAGTGCACAACCAATCACCAAACCCCTCACGGAATTTCTCAATATTAATTGGGTGAGATAGCGGCGGCGCTAACTGGTCAAACAAACACATTACCTACACAGGCAACTAGCTGTACGCCCACAAACAAACACACAACCTTATCAACGGGCCTACGCTTCTGCTCCCAGCTAAGCCCGCCTCTTCGAATCTGCAACCAGTACCAGTGCACTGAGCCCTAAAAATCAACCTTAATTTCTCCTCAGTCGAAGAAGCCTAAAATTTCACCTAATTCAACCCGCGAGGGCGGCAACACAACGCCCGACTTGCCCACCCCCAAGCTGTAATCAGCAACCCCCAAAATGACCTTCCCAACACCGGACCAAAACCACTACAGGACGCTCGGTATTCTGCAAACCAGCACTCTCACCGAGATCCGCCTCGCCTACCACGCCCTCATCCATCCCAACCACCCAGACCACCCCGATCACGCTGTCACCGAAGCCGAGTATGATGAATGCTTCACTCGGCGCGTCGCCATCCAGGACGCTTTCTACGCGCTTAATGATGAGGAGCGCAAGCGAACGTACGATGCCGATCTATCAGCTAACACGGCGCTTTGGAAGCGGATGCAAAAACGCGAGAAAGTGCGTAGAGAGGGGGAGGTTCGTGAGATGGAGCCGTATGAGATGGAGTCGCTGTGGGGTACCCCTTCGCCACTACGTAACCACCGCGATATTCAAGGTCCAGAAACAGAAGACAACGGTCTGCAGTCTGAATCAGCTGAACGTGCCGGCAATGAAGGTGACGTGAACTTCGTTTCAAGCCCACTAAATGACTCCGAGCTCACTGCCAAAGAATTCGAGCATGAATCGTCATATATCCGCTCAGCTCGCCCACCCACCACTGGTCACACGAGCAACGATGTCCCGCATGGAGCGTATACTCGTCCAACTCCCCCTCGTTCCACCCCCCGCAAGTTCGAGCGTCAAAATCTATTTCGCCCTTCACTTACCGACCTCCTTTCCCCGCCGCCCAATTTCAATGCTAGCAATGACCATCTCTGTTCTTCGTCCCAGTGGACGCTTACAGATGTCGTTGCCGAGGGAATTGCTGCGTACATTCTACTGATGTACCGCATTATGGAATATCAGATTGCTATGTCATATCTTGGGTACCAGCTTGTGGTTGTCTTTGCCCGGTGGGCTGTGCGACGTCCCGAGTATGCGATGGCTTTGGCGGTTGGTGTTATTGGTATCGTAGCTTGTCTCTCTGTGGATGTGAAGATCTGGCTTGCTGGTTGGGAGTGGGCGGTGAACGTGTGGGTGCGATCGGGACGAAATGATTGAGAGGTATTGTGGTGAGAATTGGACACATGTATTGAGTCGGAGGTTGAAGAATCTGTTTGGAGGTCAACTGAAACGGGAACTTTGCACAGAAAGATAATGCATAGGTGGCGACCCAATAGGTAGAGCGTCATGAGCGCTGCTCGAACATACAGTTTGATTCATGCGAATAATCATTAGTGAGGTCTGAAGACCAACATTCATGCCAAAAGAGCCACAAAAAGAGTTCATAAACTACCACATCATCCCTCCGTCCTCAAAACTCCAGTATTTTCCCGTACGTCGAATTCCACCCACCGTGCTCGTCCTTCCTGCCTGCCTCTCCCGTCACTCCCATCAATAGGCCCTGGGTTCATAACGGTGCACCCGCAATATTTGACCACAAAGGCTGGTGCCTCGCTATCTGCTAATACGACACTTGTAGGTAGGGGATAGAGATTGAGCGCATGTGCGAAGTCCCAGTGTAGCGGCCGTACGGATAGCGGAAACGGCGATAGATGTGATTGCGAGAGTAATGTACGAGTAAGTGCACGCGCAATTAGGGTATCATGATCGATCTGGGGGTCTTGGATTTGACGGGGAGGTCTCGAGGATGGAGCATCGACATCCATAGCATCTTCTTGGGTGTCGCCAGTGGGCAACAAAACCGGATCGGGCACAGCATCGTCATTTTCCTCTTCAGGGTTGGTGAATCTCACGCTTGTTCTTTGCAGACGGCCCAGGACGTCGTCGCGCAGGAGAACCATCTCGCCCTTGACTCCGAACCATGTTAGTCTGCTGGGGTTACTGGTCCATACCACCTCGCCCTCTTTCCCTTTCTTTTTTGTGGCGCCTGCACCCCAGACTTCTCTGTTCGCTGTTGCAATGATCCGTGATACGCGGTTCGTGAAGATCTCTGGGACTTGTTTTCTCGGTAAGGGTGTTGATGCACCAGACGAGAAGGCACTGGGCCATGAATCATTATCTCCAGGTACAAAGACAAGCGTTGTGTGTGCTAGGAGGTTCTGGAAAGGTTTTTCGGCAAGCATGGAAGCAAGAGCGTTGAAATGTTCTTTGTATTCAATGCTACCGGCACCAGAGACGCCCGCGAGACTGGCTTTGGAGATGAAGTTGCCCATTAGGATGATTGCCAGCGGATAAGTGGGTTGCGATTCTGGGGGGTCAGAATAAGTTTTGAGTAGAGAACGCAGCGCCGAGAACGTTGAAGGTCGGTCGAGGTGTATTTCTGACGCTATTACAACTGTGTGTGAGTGCTCAGGGGTGAGAAGCTTCGATGCGATACGGTTCATACGTGCCCCGGTTGCGCGCTCAGAGCCTACGCCGAGGAAATCAGTCCAGCCAAATGCCGGGCCATTTAAGTTATTCCTGTCTGTTTCTTCCGTACCACCTAACGTGGTTGATCGTCGTTCACATGGGGGGTGTCCGACAGAGAAACCGATGAACTTGCCACCTATTGTTCCACCGATACCCCCGTTTCCCCCTAACGCGGCAGACGAGCCTGAAGTGGGATTTGCGTAGTCCTCCTCGTAACTGCCTTCAACCAGCACTATCATACCTGGGGTGAAGTATGTTCCATCGGCAGGTATAGGTTGGGCGTGTTGAATGTCAAGGGCTATGGTCCCGGTGAGATCTGATATTGACAACGCACCGGTGGGTGATACTGTAAGCATACCGAGCAGGAGATGGGTGCTTCCACTTCGACCTAACAGATTTGAGACCGGAGTGATTGTGTTCGTTTGAGAAATGGCGACAGAACCTGTCCGATTGAGCGTTGCAGAACGTGTGGCGGAGAAAGTTGGGGTCTGGAATGTTTCATTTCGGAGAATTCGCTGATGCACAATGTGATATCGTTGACGAAACAGGTCGGTCTTGTGTGAAGGGTTTGGGAAAAGAGAGGGTTTGGTGGCGGATTTATCGAAATGCCTTTGCGAGACATTGTAAACCAGTTTTGGCTGATCGAAAGCCCCCACAACTTTGATCCACTCTCGAGGATCTTTCAACAACTCTTCCTCTTCGTCTTTATCTTCAACGCCCAAGTTTGACAGGCCAAAACTCGTATTGCTGTCCAGACCTGGCCTTCCTTCTGGTATTGAACCTTCCTGACCGTCTGTGTCCTGCCCGAATGTGAAACTGCTCTGTCTCCCCAGGCTGGAGCCAGCGACTACTCTCCCCCCGCTCATCGAACCCTCTAAATTCTTCAGGATTCCCTTTAACGTGTCCCCATCTCCCTCCACGATTACCTGACCCGTGCTCTTTTTCCATGTCTTAGCCACCTCCTCCAACACTTTCTCTGCCAATCCTTCTTCTCTCCATCCAGAGCCGCAGTGCTTCCCAATGAATTCGGCTAGTGCAGCAAGCGCGGACGAAGTAAGAGTTATGTTGTGTTTTTTTGTGAACGTTCTGAATGCGAGAGGACGAAGTGTGGCTACTGGCAAGTTTATGGGGAGAACTGTAGATCTGACTGGGGGTTTCAGAGCAGGCGGCGCACGAATGGGAGCTGTTCGGCGGGGGTGGATAGGGTGTTTAGGTGTTGCAAATGCGGGCGAAGAAGAAGGAATCGAGCTATTGGGGATCAAGGAGGGCTTTTCCGGTCTTCTTGAAGTCGCCATATTGCCGTAAAATTCTGTCGATTCGTATGTGTCACTTCAAGTGAGTGATGCTGAGAGTGATTGCTTAATTGATTTCGTCGCGTCGACGCGCTGTCACGATTTCGCGTGCGCACGGACCTCGTTCTCCACCTTTCGGCGCCATCACCGTAGCAATACAACGCCATCTAAACAAACTCTTGCGCCCGAAGCCCTCTTTCTCTCTTGCCAGTAAAATCTGTCGCATTGTTCATTCTGAACAAAATCCGCATCCATCATGTCAGAAGAGACCCCGATCGTGCTTGATACCCCCGAACCCCCAGCCACAGGCGCAGAAGAACTACCCCGGACGAAAGAGAAACTGGAGGAGATCACCAGGGCTGCCTCGCTTCAATATTCACTCAAGAATTTTGCTGCTTCCGCAGATCACTATGCCGATGCCGTCGAGATCCAAGCTGAACTCAATGGCGAAATGGCTCCGGAGAACGCCGAGTTGCTTTTCTACTACGGTCGGGCGCTATACAAGGTCGCAATCGCAAAGAGCGACGTGTTAGGTGGTAAGGTTGCACAAGAGGAAAAGAAGAAACCGAAAGCCCCGAAAGCGCCCAAAAAGGATACCAGCGGGCCTTCCAATGGGGCGGTGAAGGAGGCAGATGAGAGTACAAATGTAGAGTCCAAGCCTTTCTTCCAACTCACCGGCGATGAGAACTGGACCGACTCAGAGGACGAGGAAGAAGATGGAGAAGGGGATCAAGAAGAAGAGCAGGACGACTTTGCCGCTGCATATGAGGTTTTTGAGATCTCGCGGGTACTCTACACAAAGCAGCTCGAAGCGCACGACGCGAGCGCAGATTCGGACAAGGGCAAAGGCAAAGCGGAACTTAATCCCCAAGCGCGCGCCATCAAAGAGAAGCTAGCAGACTGTCATGGTTTCCTCGTGGAGATCTCCCTCGAAAATGAGCGATTCCACGACGCCGTTACCGATGCTCGATCAGCCGTCGCCCTGCAGGAGGAGCTGCACCCAATCGAGCACGAGAACGTGACGGAGGCGCATTACTCACTTTCCTTGGCTTTAGAGTTTGCGTCTACATCAAAGGTTTTTGCGGACGGCGAGGAAGCAGAACCACCAAAAGATGACGCTCCGCCCCCGATTGATTGGGATTTGCGCAAAGAAGCGAGGAAGCACACCGAGTTGGCAGTGGAGGGACTGGAGAAACGCTTGAAGGTCGAAGAGGCAGCCCTCACATCTGACTCTCTAACGCCAGAGCAAAAGAAAGAGAAAGAAGCTGTCATCGTAGACAAAAAGGGTCTTCTGGAGGATCTGAAAACGAGGGTACGTCCCACCAACGTCCTGAACCTCTGCTACCTTTTTATGCGAAGCTAACGATTTGGATAGATTAATGACCTCAAAGCCGATCCTACCCAGCAACCCGTCGATGGCCTCGATCCATCCCTCTTCCAAGGCCTAATTGGAGGTCTCCTCGGCGCAGACGCTGCAACGCAAAAAGCGAAGCTCGCAGAGGCGAAATCAGGCGCAAACGATATCTCAGGGTTAGTCAAAACCAAGAAGAAGGACCAGGCCCCTGCACTTGTCCCCGCAGCTTCCGCGACCGATGACGCCAGCGGAAGTGGGAAGCGCAAGCTTGATGTGGATGCAGACGGTACGAACGGGAAGCGGGCAAAGACGGAAGAAATGCAGTGATTATCTGCATTGTTCCCTGCTCTCCTGTTTTGCCGTGTGTTTCGGAAGTTCTCATGATAACTGCATAATGATATGCTGCAATTTCTGTTTGTTTCGCGATACCTGCGGGTTGGGTTACTAAAGGGTACCTAGGTATCCAGGCGCATTGTCTATAGCTATTGTATGTGCTTTGGTAGTCATTCCCACAATCATCCATACCATCAATCAAAAAGGCTCTTTTCTTCGTTCATTTAGTTCCCAGGTTCGCTCGAGCTCATGTGTTGTAATCGTTCTGTAACCATTACAGTTTCGACCTAAGACTTCGAAGCCCGTCGACACGCGAGCGATTGCGCTACCGTGTTTAAGCTTAAATGCAGCAGTGATCCACACCTGCCTAATCCAGTAGGTTTCTCATACAACCGTACTTTAAGCTTAAATTGTTTAATATATTCCCAACGAGTACTGACAGATTTGGATATTAGTGTTGATTGATGCGTGTCGTCTTTGTGAGCATCAACTGCTTTGGTCTGCCTGGGTGTTCAAATGCTGTTTGAGAAGTATGACTATGTTCGCACTGCGCTGTCAACGTCCACTCTCTTTTTCCGTGGACGACTCACTCCGAGGGGGACTGTGTTTTGTTCTGAGGAGTTGCGTAAACAAATGCGTGGTACTCTGTAAGTGTATCCAGCTGTGCATTCGATGTAGAGTTGTCCGTGCCTTGACCGGATTCTCGATCGGATCGGCCAAACAAGTCTTTCCACGACCTCGACGACGTCATGGTCACCAAGCTATTTTTGTGAGTGCTCATACGGACGGCGTGTTCCGCATCATGTGTTGAAACCTCGGAACCCTTCGAGAGAGAAAGTTTCACAAGTACTTTCCGATATATCGATTGAGCCCGTCCGTTATCATCTCGCTGCGCCCCTGTAAACACAGTTCGAAGAGCAGAGATCGAGCCCATTAGAACAGCAACGCCGCTTTCTATCTGGATTAGGAGAGTGGTGTAGATGATGCTGGCTTCTTGCTTGCCGTTGACAACGTGGACTAAGCTCGATGAAGTTCGCACGGCGGCGATGATAATCATTGCGCTGGATAGACATAGAAAGAAACCTATACGGAGCCCTTGGTACATGTCCAAGTTCGCTAGGCGAAGTATGAAGATGGGTATGCTGACGACTGGGATGTTTAGTCAAAATAGAAGAGTAAGAGAGGCGTAATGATGGACAGTACATACCCACGATATCCGTGCTGATATCGAAGAAACACAGTAGCCCTAGATAAAGGTACTGCTGTGTTCGAAGACATTGATCTGGGAAATCTCTTAATGAAACGAAACGCAAATAGAACGGGGAGGTAGTCACATTGATCTGCAAGATTCCCTCGGCAGATTATGAAAGCCAGCGAAACTCTAAAGGTGAAACATATTGGAATATAGATCACCGAAAAGATAAAGTAATATTCCAGCGGCAAGGAAACATGTCGAACCAGCGGACGGAAGACGGCAAGAAACGATGCCTTGATCGAAAAACTCGCCGCCGTGAGCAGACAGCGAGCAAAGTTGAGCAAGATGGTAGGCCCGTTTCCAGAAATCTTCTGAGTCTCTGCAAGGGAGAGGTCGAAATCCGGGGTTGTCGTCTTTGCTTCAATTAAGTAGAATGCATCGGTTAAGCGATAGTAGCAGGCAGTTGCAGTGATGAGGAAGACTGTAGCAATGACTACAAAGCCATCATCCCATTTAAACAATCTCTTGGTTCCGGTGCGGAAGATGATTCGAAGAGAGCATGCAACTGAAGGGACGGTCATAAAAGTGAATAATATTGCCTACGCGCATCGTTAGTGTTGTAGATTTCATCAAGACAACTATCTGACAGCTCACCAGGAAACTTGTCCGGTCTACTCTTCCCATGTGGTCGATTTTCCATTTTCGACTAGGAGAATCAGAGTCCATAGTTGAGTGTCAATTGTCTGATCACACTAAAGGATGAATGGATGCAGTCCGATAACCGCGCACGCTGATCGAAGAGTCATGGGTCTTGTCTGATCCTGTCCCAAGTTCAGTGGGATGAGGTGTATAACAGCTGCGTATGCCCTGGAGTTCTAATGACTGAAATAGCAGATTTGTGCATACCCAAGCCAGCGATTCTGCTGCACCCGTCCAGTGTCCCCACATCACACAGCCCACACATTCTGCTGCGCCTGCTCTGTGATCAACATCTTGTGTGTCGGCTACCAGAAGCAATGGTGGGGGCTGATGAGATGATCCAGTAAGACGTGTTGTTTTACCGAAACTTCCCAGGTAAAATATATTGCCTTTCTCACTTCCCCGCTACAGCCTTGTGCCCCCATTTGCCTTTCTCGTCCGTGGTGTTGCCTGCTTGCAACCAGTTGCCTTGATGCAGACTTGCCCCCCCGGGCGGCGGTCGGCTGGTGGTTTTTACATCACACATGACATTTCTCCACAGCCTCTCGAAATTTAGCTGTTCATCTTTCGCGGAAAAAATTGGAAGAACTCTGTGCAACCTCGACCTGAAAATTAATCTGATGTGATACCACAACGCAAAGGGCTTTATGGTAAAAGCGAAGCCGTCCGCGAGCCACGGAAAACCCTACTACGTGCAGAGCGCCCTAGCCTAATCAGGTAGAGCGCTATTCAGCTCAACAACCCTCAAGCCTTACCGGCAAGATAGACTCTAGTGCTTAGCTACCTACATATGTAGTTATGTACGAATAGTCAACGCTTTCGGCTTATCTGTTCCGACTGCATCTATATGCGACACAGAGCAACGGCGCTGCCATCAAGCGCAAAACTCCACGATATATTCCAACCTTCAAATGCTGGAGAGACGTTTGGGGCGATACTGGTCACGTGGATCCATGTCATCTTGTTACGTCAGCAGCGTGGAAAATCTTGGAAGGCACGACTTGAATTACGATAGTAGACCCCACCGTTCAACGAGAACCACAGCCCCCACATACCCCATCGCAACCAACATTTGAATCCAATTGATCCCAATCACACTCTCCCGGCATGGCTAGTAGTGATGCTTTTTGCGTTCTTTGCGGAGGTCCTGCATTCGCAGGGCCTTTTTTCTCGGAGGACGATGAAGGCAATTTCGATCCGCAATATGAGCTGGAATACAAAGATACGAAGTGGTTGGCACGTTGTAGGGTCATAGCGGGCCGCCCTCTCACGCCTGGCGAAAATATCGGGAATCGTGGCTGATGAATTAATCGTAGGACGTTTATATCGAGAAGGGGAGACTGCAATGGAGTAAGTGAACTGCGTCAGTATAAACGCGATGGGATTCTTGATTGACCACAAATAGAGGAGTTTTTGTCCGTATGACACGAACGATGAAGAGACTTACAGCGAAGATAGTGACGATGCGGGTGTGCCTAGTGGCGAGGTGGATGGAAATAGCGACGATACAGGTGACGATCGAAAGCACAAACACCGTCATGAAAAGCAGAGATACGATGCTGGCGGATTTGAAGGTTTGGATCCCTTTACCCTTTGAACTTTGAGCTGTGTGCTAAAAGATGGCAGCTCCCGACCCAAACGATCCCCGCGATTATGTCTACCGGTGGTAAGACAATTTGCATGCATCTCCTGCGTCTTACTAAATTACTCCAGCTACGTTGAATCCGAGGACTTCACATACTCATTCCCATTCCATGAAAGCTGTTGGTTTCTTCTTGCACGAATCCTTGGCTATTCAAGTCATACGCAGATCGAAAAACGGGCCATGCGCTCGGCTCTCCGGTACGTACGCTTCTTGCAAATGATTCGAGGTCATGTCAATCAAGGAGATCTGGCACAGAAACATTGGCTTATCTGGCAAATGTGTTCTAAAATTGTTCCAGGGAGATTACGCAGTCTGGTCACTGCGAATGGTGCGCCACGGACCTAGATTACGGCTCTGTGGGACACAGCGAATACTTCACCTGCGAACACGCACACGAGGTTAGTCCCCATTCAAATTCTCTCGAACCGATAGGATATCTAGAGGTGAAAGCTAACCTGTTATAAGTCTGTGATATGCGAGCCAAAACTAGACGTACCAGTCGACATGTCGTTATTCCCAAAAGGAGAAGCATCCACCTCACCTCTCCAACTCGAACACAAAGTGCTCCGCGATCCATTCTCGAGACTGCCTTACGATGTATTGCATGGCATTATGCCGTATCTATCATCTGAATCGCGGTTCAACTTCATGTTCGCATCGCACTATACCTACACGAAACTGCAGTCTGAAGACGCATTCTGGAAATGGATGATTAAAATAGACATCGGGCCTTGGTATCCCGAGATCATACCTCTGCTACCGCAACTCTGCGCCCCGGATATAAACGTCAAGCAGACGTATCTCTATCTGCGGTCGTCTATCTTGCACGTCGGCACTGCAGACGACGATGAAGACGACGATGATGAAGACGACGACGATGACGAGGATGAAGACTCGGAGGCCCGCTGTTCATGTAAAGCTTGCGTCGGGGATGAAGACGAGGATGAAGACGAGGATGAAGACGAGGATGAAGACGACGATGATGACGACGACGACGATGATGACAGAGACGAAGACGACGATGGAGACGAAAACCCATTCCTAGGCGTCATAAACCGCATGCGCATCAAACTAGCCTGCCTAAAGCTCGCACGAGCTTATTTAAAAAAAGTACATGCCCCAGCAACCGGTATCTTAAAACAGCTGGAGCACGTGGAGCCCGAGGAGCTAGAGAAGCTCAAGTTGATATGGTATGAAAAGAGCAGTGGCTTCAGATCGCTCATGGATTCGTATCGTTGCATCTCCAAAGGCGACAGCGACGGGGCAGGAGACTACTCCCACCCTCCGTGGGGTGTTTTGGGGGGATACGACAGCGACGAGGCAGGAGGCCTTTGGCGTCCTCCGTGGGCTGGTCAGGAATACGACAGCGACGATTCTCAATATGATCGAGAGCTGCATTATCATGAGTCGCCTTTCTTTGATGGAGACATTAACCAATATAATAGATTGGCCGAACTTCATTCTTTGTGGGATGGGATGCGACGATGAATGTGATGAGCAGCTACGTCAAGTTGGATATTATCAATGCGTGATAAGATCGCGACAGACCTAAACAAAATAGCCTTAGTTAGATATATAGAGGTATACAAAGAAGATAGAGCATAGCTCTTCAACCTAAAGTCATATCCTTACCCGTTCATACATTGACGTTGATGATGTAGTTGACAAGATAAAATTTTTCATCTCAGGAATCAATCGCATTTATAACTGTCAAACAACGTTTTTAACAATACCTCTTACTCTTTTACTCTTCCCTCCACCACTACAACTGTTTTCTTTACTTGTAGACAATGTTCTTAACGCTATTGAACTAATCTACGCCACTGTGCATAAAAAAAAAATTTTTTGATTGACTGTTCTAATGCAATTTTTTGGCTTGTTTATGTTGTATATTTAAGTAAGTAGCATTGCGCGCCTACGCTGCTGTTGTAGTAGTATGTAAAAAGGATAAGCTAGAGAGAATTTTTTTTTGTGTTGTGAGATAGTGCGGTACTGGGATGTGAATGTTCTTATTTTGGGAGAGGGGGAGAGGGGTTTATCTTGCGTTGAGCATGATGGCAGAACTATGACACAACCTGAGAATGTAGAACTGTGGATGTGTTGGATTGAAATGGGGAATGGGTAGTTACACTATTCTTTGTTTGGTCGGGCATCGCCCTGCATAATAGAGAAATGTGTACCGCGAAAAAAGCCGATATCGCACGTTTTCAAATTCATCGTTTGTTCATTCATTCATTGATGTAGAAACCAAGAGGAAAAAAAAAGTCCCAAATGACAAAGCACAGACCTGACTTTGATTCCCTGGGTATTTCCATTCCCACCGTAAACCATTTGCTTTTTCCAAGACGCCAATGAAATGCTTTTTTTTTCTTGTCCCTTTGAGTGGAGAGATCCCACAAATGCAGCTTACGCTATAAGCAACGAGATTTCCGAGCAAGGAAACCGGAATAATACAATACCATGAAATCCTCCATCGATATACATCATATGCGAAGGTATCGCTGGGGAAACAGTTCACGCAAACATGGCTATCTGAAACGCTTCAAGACCTCCGGCGGAGCAGAGATGTGGATCTTGAAGGTAGAAGGATATCCAGCAGTGATGATGGCGCGCTGGAAGCTCTTCAGCGTATCCTCGACGAGATCCAAGGGCTCGTCATCCGGATGCTTGAAGGTCACGGACTCGAGGTTGGGGAAGCATTTGAAGATTTTGCTCCAATCGCTGCTAGGGTCGTCGAGGTTGTCGATCTCACGGTTGAAGACTTCACCCAGTTCTGCAGTGTGGATTGGGGAGAGAACGACAAGATGCTTGCAGTGCATGCCGACGCGTTCCAGAGCAGCAACGACGTGATCGGCGTGGACCTTGTTGATGTCCTTGTTGATCAGAACGCGCTCGAAGATTTCATCGAGTTTAGCAATTGGCTTAAGGCCTTTCCAAAAAGGCGAGAGATGGTGAAGTGTAGTTGAAGACATGGGGAGATAGAGTAATCCATCATAGGTTACCATTGACTCGCGCAGGTGCTTATCCAACTCGGGTTGGTCGCTTAGAGTCGACCGACGCGATTTGGGGCTGCTACGTGACGCCATGAAGCTCGCAGGGAATCCATGTCCGGGGCGTGGCTTGCCGCAGACACGGTAGGGAAGCCAACTAGTCTGATTGCCAAAGGAAGGCACCGTATTCCCACGGCTGCGTCCTGACCTAGGCATGTCCTCAGGGGAGGAACTAGGAACATTGTCCTCATTTGCTGGATTGAAATTAGCTGAAAAATACTCCGGCAGGTCACAAAGATGTTGACATACCATCTCGGGGGTGGAGCTCGTCTCCGCTGAGATCAAGATCAGAGCTTGCGTATTTCTCCGACATGATTTCCACCAGTACCTGTGCCGATGTGACAATGGAAGTTGCTTTGGATATAATGGAGAGGGTTTGGTATACTTGATTGTGGTTTTTCCAAAGTGACGAAAGTTGGGGCAGAGTGGAAAGCAGCAAGGGAGTGAGAAGAGGTATCGGGACGGATATGGTTGAACCGCGGCGGAGTCGAGGTTGGAGGCAGCTGTGATGTTGAATTCACAGGTGCGGGTTTCAGCGGGTTGAAAAAATTTGCTCTCGTAGTCGAGGTTGTACAACCGAAGGAGGGTGCAGAGAGGATAAAGTTGTGAAGCACAGACAGACGGCAGGGATAGAAACAGAAGTCCGGCATCGCAGATAAACAGACTCATTATCGTGAGCTAGGCAACGACGTCGACAGTATCGGAGCCTATGACGCAATAGGCTCATTTCCTATTGTAGGAGCGCAATAAGGTAATTGGACCAACGGAGTACCGTAGGGGACCCCTCGTGATTGGGGGTTCACTCCGTCTGGGGAGTCATTGCTTCCACGTGGGAATTACAGCCATAGGGCTGTTACCCCACAAAGACCCGGGGAGTCAAATCATGAAACATTGCCGGCGATACAGCTGCAGTTAGAAGGGGTACATCACCGTGGTAAATAGATGCACGCTGGTTGCACGCAGCGGGTATCTCAAGATGCGAACCGCAGGGGATGCAGAGGGACGTGGACCCAGGCTCCGATGCATGTTTGTTTTTGAGGGAGTCGAAGAGGCGAATAGAGCTGAAAGTGAGGATACTTGGTAGGAGAGGCTTGTTCAGGAACGAGAACAGACGTTGAAATGTAAAGCAGCACTGAGTGAATGTCCTGAGGACTAACAACTGGTTGGACGGTACAAGTTTGGAATCCGGTATAGATTTGGTCAGCTGTGCACGATGATGGAAGAGTCGAATAGAATTCACGGCAAAAGCGATATGAGATTAGTGAAGAGGTGGTCAGTTGGTCTCGATAGTAAGACACAAGGCGGTGGTGGTAATGATAGTTGGGGATGTTGTGGTTGAGGGCTCCGGACGGTGATTGGCCAGGAGACTAGCTCGTGCACGCCGGAGACACGTTTCTCCGGGCGAGATCGGAAGCACAGCCGGGCATGCATGCAACGGAGGGAAGGCGCGTCATTACTCGCTAAAGGGCCCGTGCGCGTGTCCCAGGCCGTCGGCGGCAGCGGCAGCGGCAAGTGGCAGGAAGGAAGGAAGGAAGCATGGAAGGGAAGCGAAGGGTCGGCAAGGAAGGAGGGAAGAATGAGTGGGGGCGTCTTCCCAATGCTGCCCCTCTACCTATCATCATTATCAGTTCTTGTTGGGTGCAGACTTTCGTCATCCTCATCCCCAACTCTTTTTTCTGGTCTACTTATCTATCCATCTGTTGCTTTTTCAATTGAGATACCTGCACACCACTGTTCGCCAGCCCACTTTGCAGGTCCTCGTTGCTAGCCGGCCACTTCCTCAACCTCGCAGCTATTGGCGGGGTAATAGTGACACAGCAATAACATAACCCTTCGTAAGCGCAGCTCCCTCCACACTTTGTCCCAAAGAGCAACTGCAGGAACACCACCATGCATATTGCCTGGATACCCATTTGTCTCGATTCATTCAGACACCACCACCCTCCTTTGCTTTTCCCCACATGACCAATCGCGTCCCTTGGCTTGCAAATGCCCCGGTCCCGTCGCAAGCTCATATAGCTAGCTGTCCCACGCCGCTGATTCGCATTCCAGTTTTTTCATTCATCGCTCAACAACCTCCTCTTCAGTCCATTGCCTTTCGTCTCGTTGCAAATCACGCCAATCGCACAGTACCCCTCTCTATCCTATACGCATAAATCGCCATCATGGTCGGAGTTGGCGCGAAGAAGCCCCCTTCCCGCAGAGGTACGCTGTTTCCATTTGCGCCTTTACCTTGATTACCTCTCCGTCCGCCATCCGCAACGAACCATCGAGGCTGGTCTCTATCACAGCATGGGATCGTTAACACCTGCTGTAGGATCCACTGCCGATCTTCCCAAGAGCTTGGTCTCTCAGATCGAAAGGCTCGAAGAGCTGTTCACCGTGCCGGCTGAGAAGCTCAAGGAGATCACCAACCACTTCGTCTCGGAGCTCGAGAGGGGCTTGCGCGAGGAGAATTCAACTATTGTCAGTCACCCCTTCTGCGTATACCACAGACCGCTATGCAGTCTCTAACTCGAACAGCCCATGAACGCGACCTGGTGTATGGAATTCCCAGACGGTCATGAAACAGGCACTTTCCTCGCCCTCGACATGGGTGGCACCAACCTCCGCGTCTGCGAAGTCACCCTTACCAAGGAAAAGGGCGAGTTTGACATCATACAATCCAAATACCGCATGCCCGAGGAGCTCAAGACAGGCACCGCAGATGAATTGTGGGGATATGTAGCGGACTGCTTGCAGCAATTCGTCGAGTACCACCACGGAACAGAGCAGGTCGAGCAGCTGCCTCTTGGTTTCACCTTCTCCTACCCGGCCACCCAGGAATACATTGACCACGGCATCTTGCAGCGCTGGACCAAGGGATTCGATATCGATGGCGTCGAAGGCAAGGACGTGGTCCCTCCCTTTGAGGCAGCGCTCAAAGAACGTGGTGTACCGATCAAGTTGACCGCTCTCGTGAATGATACCACGGGAACCATGATCGCATCCGCCTACACCGATCCCCTCATGAAGATTGGCTGCATTTTCGGCACTGGCTGCAACGCCGCATACATGGAGAACTGCGGCTCCATCCCCAAGCTGGCTCACATGAACCTGGACCCCAACCTGCCCATGGCCATCAACTGCGAATACGGTGCGTTTGATAGCGAGCACAAAGTTCTCCCTCGCACGCCGTTCGATATCATCATCGATAAGGAATCCCCTCGCCCGGATCAGCAGGCATTCGAGAAGATGATCGCTGGCTTGTACCTGGGTGAGATTTTCCGCCTGGTCTTGCTCGATCTCCACCAACAGCCAGAATGCCACATGTTTGAGGGGCAAGATGTCTCCAAGCTCAAGAAGGCCTACTCTCTCGACGCAGGCTTCCTAGCCGCCATCGAGGAAGACCCATTTGAGAACTTGTCCGAGACCCAAGACCTGGTCCTCAAAACACTTTCCCTCACTTGCACAAAACAGGAGCTTGAACTCATTCGCCGCCTCGCCGAGCTGATCGGCATCCGCGCCGCTCGGCTATCGGCTTGCGGAGTGGCTGCAATCTGCAAAAAGAAAGGCTGGACTACCTGCCATGTTGGCGCTGATGGCTCCGTCTTCAACAAGTACCCACACTTCAAGGTCAGAGGTGCTCAAGCCCTCAAGGAGATTCTCGACTGGCCAGAAGAGAAGGGCAAGGGCAAAGGCGACCCTGTCGAGCTGTTCCCTGCCGAAGATGGATCTGGTGTGGGTGCGGCTCTTATCGCGGCTCTAACGCTCAAGCGAGTGGAGCGCGGCCAGAACGCGGGTATTAGAGATCCAGCGGCCATGAAGGTAGCGGCCGCAACAGCCCAGAAGCTTCAAGCGAACAAATAGACGCCACTGGAAAGTTTTGTATGTATCGCAATGTATTTGACTGTAGCTCTGTCTTAGATATGGATCAAACAATTGGATTATGATTTGACTCAGAGAACAAACATCACACCTTACTTTCTCGATAACAAACGACAGCCTGATCGAAGACACCCATTGTCAGACATGTCTCAGGTTTCACTAGATCTATTGAAGACGTTTTATCTTCTGCTTTTCGTCGACAGTCACAACTTCACCCGGAGATCATCTTCGTCTCGTACTTACCATTTCACTCCACCTCAGAGTATCACAGCCCTCCCATCTCACGACTTCATCTAGATTCCCGAGAACAAGACATTTCGAACTGTAGCAACAAATCTGAAAAGGTGTCAAGCTCCAACTCAATCCTTCCATCCTAGTAACAGCTTCAACCACGATTTTCTCGAAGGATATCTACAAATACTATTCCAACTTCTCCTCTTGCAGATCATATACACTATCCTAACTCTGGGTACACCAAAACAACTTGTCCTCCCGTATTTCACATACCCGATTCAGCACCATGACATCCAACATGAGGTCAACTGTCATCCGACTCCTGGCCACACTCACAATCGTGCTCTCCGTCGCCGCCATAAAAGACATCCCAGAACTCCCTCTGACAACATCATGGTATGAATCCTCCGCGCTCGCCCTCGCCCACACCATCCGTCTCCTCATCCCCCCGGCATTCTTTTGCTTCACCACCTGCATCCTTGCCATCCCACATCTCCATCATACAACCGCCCTTTCTCATCTCGCCACAATCCCGGGTACATTATCCCGCGCCTGCAAAACCTTCCCCCTCCACCTTACCACTCGTATCAACCGGCTCTACCAACACTACAATAGCCCCTCTACTGAAAATATCTTACGCACCCACATCGCACACCTCTCCCTCGCCCTCCAAGAATCCAGCCTAAAAATATCAACCCTGCAAAACACACACACCACCGCCCTTTCCGCCCTCACGCGCGAAACTTCGATCCTCCGCGCGCAAAACCACTCTCTGCAATCCCACCTCGCAGTAGCGTCGTCAAAACATACATCCGCTACCGCGCATCCATCGCAGAACCCACCCATCGCGTCGTCACCGGATGCGCTCGAAGCCGAAACCCCACTACCCCGAGAAGAAGAAGAAGAAGGCAGCAGCAGCAGCAGCAGCAGATACACGGCGCTTCGCCTGGCAGCGACGGCGCTTCTGCAGCGCCGCGCCAACGATCTCGAGGAGGAGCTGCGGTACGAGAGATGCGTTGTTAGGAAGGCGAATCACGAGGTAGTAAAGGTGTGTAGAACTAGGGTTGCGGAGCTGGAGAGCGTGGTGGAGGGGTATGTGGGGAGGATTGGGGAGTTGGAATGCGAGGTTAGAACGTTGAGGGGGAAAATTTAGGGTGGGTAGGTGTAAGTATTGGGAGCGTGGGGATGTTATTGCTACTGCTGCTGCTGCTGCTGCTGCTGCTGCTGCTGAGACGCTGTCTTGTGTTTCTGGTGGGGGTGTTGAGGGGAAGAGCGAGGGGGGAGGGGGGTGAGATTTCTGGTACTCCTGTGTTGAAAGAAGAGAATGGGTTGCGCTTTTTGGAGGAGGTGGGTGATGGGGGGCTGCTTCTATTGCGATGATTTACGCTGCGATGTCCTTGGCTTCGTCTAGCTGAATAGATACGTATCCATTGCTGAGTCTTTTGCTTGTGAGGGGTGGAAGTGCAAAGGGGAGAGGACGTATAGATACCGAGGGGGGATTTTTTCCTGGGTGGTTGTGGAGTTTTGTGTCTGTGTGTTTGTAGGGGATGGGCGTTGGGTTAATAGGGCTCTGTAGAGCATTTCCACAGGGCAGTTTACATATCCTGAATACATGATCATGGCGCCTTATTTTCTGTTTGACATTGTAGTGATCTATGTGTAGATTAATGGTTGGCGCTTTTTCAATGCCCATATCTTGAAGTTTGGAATACTAGGCTTATGTGAATGAGCTGATTTCTGCATTTACCAATGCTATACAGGATACGTGGAATCGTTCTACTAACCATCCCTCGAGTAGAATTGTTATGGGAATGATGAGAATTTATTATGTTTTGAGAATTTTGTCTAGCGACGAGATGAACTGTCGTTCATGCTATGCTAGTCAACATGAGGTTGACATAAGCTTTAGGTTGGAAAGCATGCCGCGCGACCGGCCTCCATCCCATGTTACCCCTCCCCAATCCAACTTCAATACCACCTGCCAGTAAGTCTTATCGATTTCCAATCCCTTAGCATACTTGAGCCCTGATATCCAATTAGCAGGGTCTAATGTTGAACATCCCTCGTGTAAGACGATGCTTTGTATACCGGCTCCCCACACGGAGCCAGCATCGGACTCCCGAGCAATCGGACAACGCATCTCCTCCGGTCTCTGACGTCTGCGCATCAATAAATAAACCGTACAACCCCGCATTGTGAATCTCGGATTGCGCATTATTCAAATCATCGACCTTGCTCTCCATCGATTTGATCATAGTCTCTCGGTATAAGAATAAACTTCGAAAATCCAAAACTGCCAACACCATGGCAGCACCGGGCGGGAAGTTCTTCATAGAAGACAATCTCCAAATCAAAGCAAAGCATCATGAAAGCTTCGAGCAGCTTTGGGAGACAAAATGGAAACAGCCTGTACAGATTCCCGCTCCGAATTTACCATGCCTTTTCTTACCATCTCTAATCAACAATCTACCAGGCTGAAATGGGCGTCTACCCCTTCATGTTCAGCACCGCAGCAGATTTCGAGCCCGTCGTCAAAGAACTTGTCGCGAAAGGCTTCAAAGAACCCTACAACTGGGATGAATACGCCAAAGTGTACTTCCCGCAAGCAGAGCGCCTCGCGGATGTAGCGCGGGAAGCGCAAGCCAAGGGCGAGAAAGAAAAAGCATCCGAATACTGGTTAAGAGCGAGCGCCGTGTATAGAATAAGCCGGTTCCCAGCACCCAGAAGCGATGTTCAAAGAGAGGCGTGGAGGATCGGGAAGGAATATGCCATTACAGGACTCGGGTATGCACAACATCCACCACTTCACCACCCAAAATTTCCGCAAAAGCGAAATCAAAAGCTAACAACAGTCCCACAGCCTCCGTCCCCACCCCGTCCACGAAGTCCAAATCCCACACACCCACCGCCTCCCCAACGAAGGCCCCACAATCCCAGCCTACCACCTCGTCCCTTCACACGCAACCCCCCAATCCCCCGTCCCACTCCTCATAATCTTCACGGGGCTCGACGGCTACCGCACAGAACTCGCCGTGTGGATGGAAGGCTGGCGCCAAAACGGCATCGCAACGCTCGTCCTCGAAATCCCCGGCACAGGCGACTGTCCCGCGGAACCATCCGACCCCAAATCCCCAGACCGCCTCTACGACTCGCTCTTCGCATGGACAGACACACACTCGTTAATCGACAAGACAAAAATCGCCATCTGGGCATTCAGCACGGGCGGCTTCTACGCCATCCGCGTCGCGCACACGCACGCATCCAAACTCGCGGGCGTCGTCGCCCTCGGCGGCGGCTGCCACTACATGTTTTCCCCCAAATGGCTCGCCGCCGTCAACCACCTCGAATACCCCTTCGACCTCGCCGACACGCTCGCCTACAAGTGGGGCTACGGCTCCGACGTCGCCGCCTTCACGCGCGACGCCATGGCAAAATTCTCCCTCCTCAACGACGGAACCTTGGATACGCCTGAGTGCGCCCGTCTGCTCCTCGTCAACGGCACCCACGATGAGATCTTCCCCATCGACGACTACTATCTCGCGCTCATGAGGGGCGGGGTCAAGGAGGTTAGGTTCGTCGAGGGCGTCAAGCACATGGGGGAGCCCATGAGCTTTTTTGTTATTTTGAAGTGGTTGTATGGCGTTTTTGGGGTCGAGGGCGCAGATGCGGTAAAGCAGATGCAGACTTTGCCTTTTAAGCCAAAGTATTGATTTTGTTTTTTTTTTCTCTCTCTAGACGTGGGACTTGGAGGAGATTTTTTAGATCGATTGATGTTTTGACTTCATAGATGCATCTCTGCATTGCTGATTAAATGTTTTTTTTTTCGTACTGTACTGTGCTATCCTAGATCCAAGTAATCGCCACCCCCCCCCCCCCCCTCATATTATCATCCCCTCGTGCATGCATTAAAGATTTCCAAAACACAGCCTTATTAAAATCATCGTTCGCTTCAATACCATCTATCTATCTATCTAAGCAAGTCACATGCCCCTCCCCTCCCCCTCCCCCTCCCCCCCAAAATTCCTATCTAATACCAGAAACCCTGATATCTAATTATCAATTTACTCCAAAACTACACAATTTTTTTTTAGCGCTTCCTAACATCTACATTCTTAGTTTAGATAATATAATGTTTTCTTTGTGGTATAAGTACATAAAAACAGATAAATAAATAATAATGATAATAATAAAGTTGAAATATTGATGATAATGATAAGATTAATTTAGAGAAAGTAGGGTTAAACACGTTTATATAGATTAGAAAAAGAAGACGTGGATTTTGTTCCATGTGTGGATTTTAATCTGTAGGTAGACTAACTAATTAATAGAGTGTAAAGGAGAAGAGGGGATCTAGCAGGTAGTGTTAGAGGGAGACTTAGAGGGTGTGTAGGATTGTATATATGGGTTTATGAGGAGGGTTGGATGGGGGGGATTTGTAGAGGTGGGGTGGAAAGAGATAAAGTTTTTGAGGAGAATTGAAAGAGTTTATAGGATGAAGAAAAGTGGTAGGATAGGAATGAAGTCTGCTAATATATATATATATTATTGAAAAGAAGATGGAGAATTCACGAGATGGGAAGGCGTACTATTAATATTGGATCTAGGAGGGAAAAGAAAAAGGGGGGGGAGGGAAGTAAATAAAACCCATGCTCCATCCGCACCGTAAAATCAAATTTTGACGACAATCTTCTCGGCCCTCAACCCACCTTGTCTGACAACGTCCAACGCGGCATCCAACGCTTCCAGCCCCTCCCCAACGACCCTAGCCTCAGGCCTTACGACAAACTCGCCTCTCTCCAACGCGCCCTCCAGAAACCCGGCATACACCATCTTCCCGAGCTCGCACCCAACGACATCGCTGCCCCAGATAAACTTGACCCCCACGCCGTTGACCAGGCACGATAGTTTCGTAGAAACGCTGAACCAGAGGTACTTTGCGATGAACTTGGCCATGGCGAAGCCTTTGGGCGGCATAGAGTCGGGGGTAGGGACGCTGGCTTGGGCGATGAACTTGCGGCCCGTGGACGCGGCGACGATGGGGATGCATTTCTGGGTTGAGGCGGGGCCGATGGCGAGGGCGCCTGCGGAGGGCTTGCCGCGCATGGCGGCGATGATGTCCGGGACGGCCGTGGGGCTCGCGTAGTCGAATGTTTTTGTGGCGCCGAGGGCGCGGAGGAGTGGGTACGAGGCTGGCGAGGATGTGGTGTAGACTGTGTAGTTTGAGGCGAGGGCGAGTTGGAGGGCTGATGTGCCGACTGTTGTTGCGGCGCCCCAGATGAGGAGGATCGGCTTTTCTGTGAACGGTTTGTCGGTTGGTTCGGGGTGTGGTGATGATGATTGAGGTGGAGGGGTTTGGGAGAGGGAGAAAGATGCCGGATGGGTTAGGTTGAGGAGGTCAGGGAGGTAGAGGCCGCATGCTGCGGTGGAGAGAGTGAGCGGGACCATGCAGGCGCGCTCGTATTCTAGTGAATTGGGGATCTTGCTGGTGAGGTCTTGCTGGAGAACCACGTAGGACTGGAATGCGCCTTCGCATGCGCGGTTGCTGCGTTTGTCTGTTCCCGCGGCGTGTCCGAGGACGCGATCGCCTGGTTTGAAGCGTGTTACGGACGAGCCGACTTCTACAACTTCACCGGCGACGTCTGAGCCGGGGATAAAGGGGTGCTTGAGCCATGGGGTTACGTTGCTGCTCATGTGCTGGACAACGACATCGAACCAGTTTAGTGCTATTGCGTGGGTTTTGATGACGAGTTCATTGCTTCTGGCTGGAGTGTATGGAGCGGGCTTTACTGCCAAAGGAGACGAGGGAGTGGTGAGGTAGGCGGCGGCGTTGACAGGCTGTGACATCGTTCTGCTGTTCCTATGCTGTGGATTGCGAACTATGAATTATCCTGAGTTTTGAATTATATGTCGAGGAAAGAGAATTGAAAGAAGAAGAGCAATTAGGAATTTGCTAGCAGGAATAGTAGGGTTGAGCTCCATTTTATGTTGATCATGTTCGCCATCAGTGCAGGACGCATACGAGAGACGCGGACTATCATCGAGTCTAGTTGAGATGCAAAAGTGCCGCGCCGTAGACAGATCGCGGATAGATGGGCTGTCTTGTATGTCCGACTTATGTGCGGCAATCAATGGTGTTTAATAATCTACCCGGTTCGGGCATCGAGACGCCGCATTTCGAGAGATGAGGTAAACCAGTAATTCTGACGCAATTGATCGTTCAGCCTATCTCTCTCGTTAGATACGGTTAGTTGGAAGACTCTGAGCTGTTGGTATACAATGTTCCGATGTGCGTCCCCCTGTAGAGCGTTAGCGCTTATTATATTCCACGATCGCGGTGGGGGCCGGACGTAAAGCAGCATCGGCGGGAAAGAAGTTGCGCCGATCCGTGATCAAAAAAAGGTAAATGCAATTTTCAAATTTGGTTTGCGTCAAGGCAAGGTTCAAGTAGATTGGCAAGCCGGTGTTTATGACGAGCTGGCCTCCACTGGTACCCCAAAAGTAGGAAGCAACAGCATGGGGTCCTGCTTCGTCCATCCTTCATAGTCTTGCTCTGAGGTCATCCACACCATCCCTATCATTGCAGCTGCATTTGCTCCCAAATCTCCAATCCAGCCAGTCCTCCGTGGAATAACCATGATCCAGTCTTTCACCAAGATGAGATTGTGTGCTGACTCTTGTCCGAGAGTTAGATGCGACAGGAGGTCGTGATAGATGCTGGCGAGAATATTCTCATTGATCTCGTTGGGCAACCACTGTACAGCATGTTGGAATGGTATGTTCGGGACTGAGTATATGCCTATGTGAAACCGAGTTGGTAAGTCTGTTGTTGAAGCTTCATAGGGTATCAACGCCTTACCATCTTGGGCGGGAACTGTATCGGGAAAGAATTGAAAGTCGGAGCCTCCAGGATGAGGCAAGATCTGCATATGCTTGTGTCCGACCGACGCTCCGGCATCAACACCGCAGTTGAAGATGGCAATGTGCTCGGATTGCAGGCTTTGGAGAACATGCCACAGCGACCCTAGGTCTGCGCTATCCAAAGCTCGCTGCTGAGGCACGAACTCGACCGTGTGAAGCACAAACTGCGGACGAACCACACAGAACTTGTTCAAAATGAGCTTATGGTTAGGCCCGATCAAACCCAGACTGAAGTCGGGATTGTCGTCGGCAAAGGCATTCACGACTTTTTTCTGGTGTGCTGTCCTGGGCTTCTTCGCTAAGCTGGCTGCCACACGGAACTCAAACTTCAAACAGGGTCTTAGTAGAAGGTACCAGGAGACTTTCAATTCGATGTGCTACTTACGTTGAAAGGTGAGGATGGGACATGGCGGGGTGCAGTCTCTTTCCACAACAGTTCTCCTGATTGCACAAGGCGATCAAACGCCGCCAGCGCCTTGGTTTCGAGATTCATGGTTGAAGAAGTTGCAAAAAAACGAGAGACTATCCGAGAAAGAGCGCTCGGCGACCAGAAGAAGAGGAGCGAGTGCGATTGTAGAATTTTGTACATCAATGTTATCTAGGAATTGTCGGTGTAACTGATCCAACCAATGGCATCGCACTATACTGCTGACACATCATCGGAGATTTGAGCAGACCAAGTTAGTCTGCGATGGTCGGCACGCGTGCTGATCGAATGCGGCATGGATAATTGAAATGACAATGTCTGGAGAAGAGATGCAAAGCCTTGTGCTGATATCCGACGCAGGTACGGATACGGGAAATGGTTGGAGCGGCACCAAACGTGGTGTCTGCCTTTGACCTGCGCCGGAAGAACCTTTTGTCCGGCGGGCACTTGGTTCCGATGCTCGCAAGTAGACCGAGGTAAAGGCGGAGCTGACTTGATGCAATGCGACTCCAAAAAGGAGGATGAAGATGAATTGGACTGTGAAGTATCGCTGCAGATAACTTGTTACTTTGATGTTGTATGTATTATATAAATGTGGATATATTGCTGCTGCATGGAAAGGGTTATTTCAAGTAGGTAGGGTAAAGAGATAAAACACATTCTACACTGTCGTTTTTATAATATTTCAAGAATTAGATTCCAGGTAGTTGTTGATATTTCATCGACGACATTTTTCTCCGCGCCCAAGAGAGGAAGAAGGTAGGGGAGGGAAAACGATGAAGATGTTGGCTTAGGTGGATGTGTTGGTGTATTCGCCTTGTCCTGCTGCTATTTGTCAATCTACGTTACTGCGGGCGAGAGAGCGAGTAAGCACGGTAATCATGTTCCAGGGTCACGTATATAGCATCAAGTCATTGAACACATATAAGGAAGCAGGAAGGACACAAAGGAAGAGAAGAGGGCGAACAAGTACTTGCTCAGCCTCCTCAGCGGCACTACGACGGCGGGAAATGGGAACAAGGGTCAAAGGGGTGGAAAAAAGGGTATAGGGCGAGCAAGTTGAACCCAAGAAACAAAAAGTCGATGAGTTGCCCTTACGACGTTCGTTGTTGCTTGGGAGGTGTTGACCGGCGGGAAAACCGAGGCTGATTCGGCAAGACCAAACAAAGGAAAAAAAAGGGTACACGTAATGGGCTTGCGAATTGCGAACAAGAGAGTGGTGGTGGGAAAGGATGGTTCTTTCCCAACCAAGCGTAAGGTTCTGTCGTGGGTGCTGGTGTGTGCGTCGTGTGCGTGACATGTGTTGGGTAAGTGGTGAGGATATAGCAGGACGAAGCAGAATGGAAAAGTCGGTCGGGCTTGACAAGTGAATGCCATGTTCGGGATGGTGGGCGTGGGTTGGATGGATGATGCTGGTCGCGGGGTGGGCAAGGCTGTGGTTCGTGAGGCTGAAGATGGGATGCTGGCTGCAGGCAGATGCACGATGCACGATGCAAGATGCGAGCTGGGAGCTCGGACGCAGCGTTACGGCGAAGATGGCGAGGAGATGGGAACTTGCCAGTATGGTGAGACGTGACCGGAAATAGACAACTGGAGGGAGGTGAGTAGGATTGGTGCGGTTGTCAGGGCTGTCACGAATCGATTAGCGGTGCAAAAGGCGGTCGGCGGTTTGGTGGGCAGCTTGTTTGCTAGGGTGAAACTACTCGGATGCGTGGGAAGGGAAAATCAGGGAAGTGGACAAACTGGCGGGAATGTTCCCTAGGGGACATTGATGGATGCAGGCAAGCTCGAGAGAACAGCGGTGTCGATTGACCGGAGCGAGGCAGGCGATTGATTGTCAGTCAGTCAGTCAGTCTAGCGGGTTAGTTGATCGGTACCTACATGAGGATGCAGAAGCAGCAAGCTGGCGGAAGCGTAGCTCAACACGGCCCGTTTGAGCAAATTGCCACGGCGAGTGGACGAGAGGACGGGGCTCCGGCTTGGAGGCGTAGTTGGCGCTGCGGGCTTGGAGGACAGATGATGATTTTTTTTTCTCTCTTCTCTTCTTTTCTTTTCTTTGTGATGCTCCATGGTCAGAGGGCGGGGCTCCGCAGAAACAGGATGCACAGAGATGGAGAGAGTGGTGGTTGGGCAGTGGCTTCGACCACATATAAAGTTAGTTCGCTGTTTGCAGCAATGGCGCGCAGTAGAGGGCACGTAGACGATCAACGATGGGGTCTAGGTATCGATATGGGTGATAACACAGGGCGTTATGCGGGAGGAGGTGGAGTCAGTCAGTCGTAAGCCGGCCGGCACGGTGGGCTCCTCGCTGGTGGGCTCGCTGGTGGTGGTCTGATCATCATCCAGCAGCCCCGTGCATGCATCGGTGCCGATTGATTGATTAATCCATTGATTGATGGATGGATGATGGATGCACGGTACATGGCATCGAGGGCGTTGGCTGAGCTGGCTAGCCCCTATTTGGGACGGCGTAGAGCTGTGCATGAATGTCTGAGATTGGCTTATTACGCCTGGCACGGGCATCGTGGCTGCGGACAATACCTAGGGAGGTATATACATATGGTGTTTGCTATGTGGCATCTTATGCCATGGGCGCAATGAGATGAGAGGGTGGGATGGAGAGATGACGACGGACGCACGCACGCACGCACGCACTGATTCAATCAATCTGATCCGTCATGAGGCATCCATCATCCTCGTCCATGATCCTCGTCCATGATCCTCGTCCATGTCTCTGTTCTTGTCGTCTGTCGTCGGGGGGGCCTGTGATGAGTCTGACAGAACAGAACAGCGACCGGCGGGTCGGAGGGCGCTAACCCTGTTTGGGACAAACAACAATAAACAACAACAACAACAACAACAACAACAACAAACAATAACAACAACAAACACGACCAAACAGTAAACAGTAAACAACAACAACAACAACCATAGAAAATAACTTTTGACGCGTTCATCAAACAAAGGAGGTTGAGCCAGGATGGAGAGTTGCGCTGGGGGTTATTTTATTTTTAATTTGCAACAACTCGATTGCTTTTCACAGTGAGGAACCAGGCGGCAGCCAGACGTCAGGTCACGCAGCACGACGGCGGCGACAGCAAGCGTTTCTGGAGGCGCGCTGGCTCAGTCCAACTGGCCTGAGGCTGCGAGACGATTCGGTGAGGGCGGCTCGGTTCGATACCCAGCCCAACGGCTGCTGCTGCTGCTGCTGCTGCTGCAGGTTCGCTCGCTCGCTCGCCCGGATAGATCAGCGGGCCCCTGTCCATCAAAACAACAGCCCGTATCGCCGCCTGCGTGCCCCGAAAAAAAAAAAAAGCATCGCCCACACCCATGCCTGCACCCATGCACCCATGCACCCATGCACCCATGGCCTCGCTCGCGCCAGCAAGCGCGTCGCCCGCCCGCCGGCTTTCCGCCTCTGCCTGCCTGCCTGCCTGCCAGCCTGCCTGCTTGTAGAGTACTCACTACCACTACTACCGACTGGTAGCGTGTCGTGGCGCACTGGCTCTCTCGTCTTTCCCCTTCCCATCCCGCCCGTCGTCTGCTGCTGCTACTTCCCCCATCATCCCTCACTCTCCCTCATCGCCCGATCGCAACCTTTCGCCAATTCCCTCCTGCATCGCGCGTCGCGTCCTACCCTTTGATCGTTCCCCTACTACTGCTGCTCTTTCGCCTCCTCCGTCATTACTGCCCTTCCTCCCGCGATCATTGCATCACTGCTGTGTTCGTCGTCCTGCTCGTTCCATCTCAACTGAGTTGGGGGCAGGCGCACCCGCGTGTGTGTGTTTACGCCGACGCGCATTCCGCCTCCACGCCCGCCACTTCCCACCACCACCATCACCACCAAACCACCGCACCACACGACTTCTGCACGTCCGCCACTCCTCCATAGTCGTCGCCGCCGTCATCACTTTGCCTGTTTTCCCCCTGCTCTTCCCGTCCGCCGTCCGTCCCTCCTCGCCCAGGCCTTGCATGGAGACGCGCGCGAACACAATCATCGCTCGTTGAGGTGGACTTACGGGTGAGCCGTGAAGTAGTCTTGCATCTTCCCATCGACAAAAAAGAAAAAGAAAACAACAAACGCCAATAGCGGAAGCGCCCTTCTGCTCTATCCCTAGTTATCGTCGACAACAACAGATTGTACACCTGTTTTTGCCCAAGACTGTCGCTGTTGCTGCCTGCTTCATCTATCCATCTCGACACCATTCACCGCCAGCCAACAACACCAACTGCAAACCACCACCCGGTCCCGTCCCAATATTCACAGTACTGCGTACTCTATATACGACAAACTGGAGCTCGGCCGTTCGACACGCACACCTTCCCGGTCGCTCACCTCCCGCCTCGAGCGTCCCGTCACCCCTCCCATCGACAGCAGCCCCGACGCGCGAGTGAACAACTCCAGCTCGTCGCCTGTCACACCCCCAGCGCGTTCATCGTCTTCGTTCGACATGGACTTCGCTTATTCCCCGCACCGCGAGGGCGGTGCCATGCACCTGCCTTCTCCCACCCACCAAGGCTACCGCCTGGAGAACCCGCACTTCAACTCGCTCCAACAACTCCGACGCTCCCTCTCGCGCTCCCCCTCCAAACCATCCCGCTTTCAGCTGCGCACCACAAAAGCAGACCCGCCAGGCTCTCCACTCTCCCCGCTCGCTCTGGCGCGCGCCTTTACACCCAAGACGCAGAAACCCGCCAGCCCCATTGCCTCCCAGTACGAGTCGCCCTTCACCTCCCAAACCGTGCCGGCCAAGAAGAAATTCACACTGCGTCGCCCGGGTCCCTTCAGGTCTTCGCCGCGCAATCGCGCCAACCAAAAGAGCCCGCGCCGCGCTCTTGTCGACTCGACCGACCTCGGCAACGCGACTCCCTTCGCGTCGCGTTCGCTGTTCGGCGACGACAAAAGCTACACGCCCGCTCCGGTGCGCAAACCCAGCGTCGACTTCTGGGACGCCGCCGAAAGCATGCGCTTCGACATTGACGACAAGCCCATCAAGTTCGGCATCTCGCGCTCGCAGACGACGAGCTCAAACGCGCCGGGTGCCAACTGCTTCACCCCCAGCCAGGCAAGCCCGCTCAAGCGTCGCGATGGGAACCCCGCCTTCGACTCGGAGAGCACCATGACACCGAATCCAAAGCGCAGGAGTTTGCACGGCCCCCCCGCCGGCGCCGACTTCAGCATCTTTGAGACGCCAGTCCGATCCGCCGCTCCCGTTGCCGATGACTCACCTCGTGCGCAAGATAGCGAGCCGTTCAACCTGTTCTCCACGCCTGCAAACAACGCGCAAACCCCAATGAAGCGGCCAATGTCGGTCAGGCGGTCCACTTCGCAGCGCAATGCCGTTGGCTCGCCCCGTCCCAAATCTCTCTTTGACGGCGAGTTTGCTATGCCCGGTTTGGCTGCTTCCAAGAGCAAGCAGAGGACTTCCTTGGATGGGGCTGGTCTTCGCAGCAGCATGGGTGGCCAGACACGGCACCCGCTTGCCAACTCGCTCACTGCCACGTCCTCATCGCCTGCCGTAGGAGGTGATTCTCCTGCTCAAATGCCTGCCCCTCCGACCCCCGCGCCCGCCTCCAACAAGCACCTCTTCGCCAAGTCTCTTCCCATCGGTGCATCTCGCCCGACCGAGACTGGTACGGATCAGCTCTTTGCGACTCCAGCTGCCCTGAAACACGTGAAGCAGCATGTCATGCCTGTCCCCCTCTCTACTGGTGGGCTCATGTCTAAAAAGCATCGCGATATCTCGTTGGAAATCGACGAGTACAAACCACCCGGTACTCCCATCAAGCGGCAGTCCTATCCTCCGGCTTTGGCCGAAACACCGACTTCGAATCGTCGCAGCCAGTCTTTCAAGCCTCTCCAACAGCCAGTGTTTGGCACCGTCAGCACACCCTTCAATGCCATCCAGACGTCCAATCAGGGTAGCAACTTCTTCAGCGACATGTCGAACCCCCAGGTTCGTCGTCGGAGCTTTGTCGACATTGACGGAGATAGTGATTGCAATGAATCGCCGACCGGCAACAAGCACACTACTATGACCGATAGCCAGTCTAGTGCAGACGACGGTCCGCCCACCCCTACTAAGCCTAGCGGTGACGGTCGACGTTCCAAAGAGAGCAGCTTGAGGCGCAAGACCTTTGGTCGCTCCCGTCCTTCCCTCAGCAATGCATTCCCGTTGGAGGAAACCTCCATCTCCATCCCCAATGCTTCCGAGTCTCTGCCTTCCAAAGGCTCCCCTCACACCCCTAATGAATCGTTCCTCGCCTTGGATCCAAGCGGCCTCTCCATTTCCGGCTCCCGTCGCGACTCATTGCGCGATTCACTGTCCTTCAACAGCAGCCTGGGCAGCACATCGTTCCCGCCCGCCACCCCCACCGGTCACCGCGGGAGCTTTGGGTTCTTCAACCAGAGCCAAATCATCTCCGTCACCGAGAACGATGTGGACGAATCGTTGGCCGGTCGCTTCCGCTCAGTAGAGAAGCTCGATGGCGCCGAGGGCGAATTCTCCCAAGTCTTCAAGGTCAGCCGCCCCATCAAGCAGCTTTCCGATAGCCCCTCATCGCCCGGAAGTGGCTGCTGGGTTGTCAAGAAGTCCAAGAAGCCCCTCATGGGATCCAAAGACCTCGCACAGAAGCAACGCGAGGTGAGGGCGCTTGAAGCACTTCGTGGTCATGAACACATTGTCGCATTCGAGGATAGCTGGGTCGATCAGAGTCACCTCTACATCCAGACCGAGTACTGTGAGAATGGCAATCTACGCCAGTTCCTTCAATCGTATGCTCGTGCTGGATGTCTAGATAACTTTAGGACCTGGAAGATGCTCCTAGAGCTGTCCTCTGTAAGTTGTCATTTCTACCTGGATCGATTGCTCCTGCTAATCTTATTCTAGGGTCTCAAGCACATCCACCGAAGCAACTTCATCCATCTCGACCTCAAACCTGCCAACATCCTCATCGACTTCTCCGGTAACCTCAAGATTGCGGACTTTGGCATGGCCGCCGAGTGGCCTCTGCCCGAGCACTTTGACGGGGAGGGCGATCGTCACTACCTGGCTCTGGAAGCCATGAACGGAAACCCTGACAAGCCTTCTGACGTCTTTGCTCTTGGCTTGATGATGGTCGAAATATGTAGCAACTGTTTCATGCCAGAGATGGGTGATGATTGGTACAGGCTTCGATCGGGCAACTTTGTCGACGTTCCAAGCCTGACTTGGAGCGAGGACAGCACATTGCTGCGCGACTCGGATGGTCTTCCCATCTCGCGGGAGGACTCTGGTTTCGTCGACCCGAGCATGATGGACGACTCCGATTACAGCTTCTCCAGCTCGCTCGGCCTCGCTGTGGGCATCGACGAGGAGAAGGAATTCGCAAAGGCGCCTGATTTCATGAGGGACGCCGTCAGCCCATACTCCATGGACCAGATCGTTCGGGCTATGCTGGATCCCAACCCCGAGCAGCGACCCACCGCAGATGATGTCAACCGATCTTTCGGCTGTCAGTGGGTCGATCAGCGCCGACGTGCCGGTGCGACCATCTACGAGGGCAACTTCGGTCCCGACTACGATGTCTTGGCCTCGTACGGTGACCACCCCGACGCGATGGACACTAGCTGAAGAATTCGGTCCAACTACTTGTTCCCACCACCTCTCCGCCATCTTTTTGGATTGGTCCACTACCTCACGATTGTTGTCTACTTGCGGTCATTGTTGCGATGATGAGCCGGACTCCGGCAAACCTTGTTTGGGCTGCGTACGCCCCCGCAGTGCCACCATATCACCATATCGACATTCCCCGGAAAAAAAGTAAAAAGTTTTACGGAAGCATTCTTCCACAACACACCATCGACACTCCGAGGTTCGACTACTCACCATCTCTACCGATATCAGTCTAACCACATCGTCGATCGATATACGGTCTGCGCTTACGGCCGTGCTCTGTGTTTTTTCTTGGTACAATAGATGTTTTGGTTGTTAATGAATCATACACTTGGTGCCTGGGGTTTTTTGGTTGCTTCTTTTTCTGTTCTCTGCTTTTTTCTTCCAGGCATGTTTGCATCTTCCCTCAATAGTACCCTCGCTATACCCACATGTATGCGAACTGAGGGAGCGGGCGTTTTTTTCTTCTTTTACTTTCTCCACATATCTGGATTTGTCCTCTTTCTGAGGCTATGGTGTTTTTTTATTCCTCCCTCTCCTTTGATGTTTCGCATCAAGCAAGGATCGACGGGAGACAATCCGGCACTATTATGCCCTTCATGTATGGTACGGATATGATCAACATGGAAAATGATGTCCTCTTTTATATTACTGCTTCTTCTTCTCTCTTCGACTGAACTGAACTGAACTGAACGGCCTTTTTTTTTTATATCACACGTGTATCAAAGTCTCATTATACTGGATCCTGTTAATGGTTGGTGTGGCTGTTGGGTGTCTGTGTCTATCGGGGGGGAAGGGGGGGGGGAGTCGGGGGTCACCAATGTCTGATAAACTCTTCATCTGTTCTTCTTTCTTCTTTTGCCCGCGGCGATCGGGTGGTTGGTGGTGAAGTGAGGGCGAGAAAACCACTTTCCGCTTTGCCTCATCTATTCAATTAACCACCCACCCTCCTAACTGCATGCCATGCTAATTGCAAATGCAAGATGCAAGATGCAAATAGCACAAAATAGAAGAAAGAAAGCGAGAATATATTAAGAAAAATTTATTGGAATTTTGTACACACTCTTTTAATAGACTGGAATAGATAGAATGGCTTTAAGTCCTACCTAATGTGTGGGTAGTGTGGGTGCAAAAGATGTTGATGTTATTTTAGGGGTTATAGCGACGGTGATGTGTGGTGTTGTTGCTGATGTTGTGAGTGATGGCTAATAACTAATTACTAACGTGTGTGTATGTAAGGTGTATATAAAGCCCCCTCTCTTCTATTCTATTCTCTTCTTCTTTACTACACACAAAGCTACAGTTGTAGCAAGAGAAGGAGGAAAAGACCGGAATAAAAGGATTGCACGCTAGATATTATGTGTGCGTGCTGCTAGTATATATAAGAGCTCTTTTTATATATGTAAAGGCGATAATAAGCAGCACTGCTAGCGCAGTTTAATGTTAAGGAGAGCTAGGATAAGGTAGCTTAGGTAAGGTAGCTAGGATAAAGTATATAAACCTCTTCTTCTTCTCTTGTTCTTTTTCTTCTTTTTTACTACACAGCTACAGCTGTAGCAAGAGAAGAGAGAATAAAGACTAAAAAAATAAAAAAAGACAAAATGCTATGTGCGTGTGCGTGTGCTCGCGCGTGTTTATCTTTTAATAAATAGTATAAGACTCCTTTTAGTAAATAAGAGTAATGATGATAAGCAGCACTCTAGCGTACATAAATAGCTAGGATAGGGTATATAAACCCCTTCTTCTCCTTTGTTCTCTTCTTCTTCACTACACAGAGCTACAGTTGTAGCAAGAGAAAAAGAAAAACAAACTAAACACTCAGAAACTAGAGATGCATGTTGCGTGCGTGCGCGCGCGCGCGCGTGTTTATCTCCTAATAACTAGTATAAGACCCCTTTTTAGTAAATTAAGGCAGTAATAATAATAAGCAGTAGCACTGTTAAGTAGTTAGAGCAGTTAGAGGCGTTAGAGTGCCTTAAGTAAGGTATATAAACCCCTTCTTCTTCTTTATTCTCTTCTTCTTTACTACAGTGAGCTACAGTTGTGGCAAGAAAATAGAGAGAATAAAGAAGGTAAAAGCAGTCCAATTTATGCAGATGCGCGTAAGCGCGTGTTTAAGTATATATAAAAACAATAATAATAAGCAGCACTGTTAAGTGCCTTAAGAAAAGTATATAAACCCCCTTTCTTCTCTCTTTTCCTCTTCTTCTCTTTCTTCTACACAGAGCTGCAATTGTAGTAAATAAAGAGGGGAAGAGGCCTAAAATAAAATTCTATAACGAACTTATAATGTTTGCGTTTGTGTGCTCGCGGAGGCGCGTGTGCTGCTAGCATAGAACATAAACGTCCTTTTTATATATACATGCGATAGTAATAATGATGATAATAACAATAATAATAATTATAGGAAGCAGCGCTGTTATAGCAGTTAGGGTGCCTTAAGTAAAGTATATAAACCCCCTTTATTCTCCCTTTTCTCTTCTTCTTCTTCTACACAGGGCTGCGTATGCAGTAAAAAGAGAGCAAAAAGAAAGACATGTACACCGTCACATGAGTGTGCGTACAGTTCATATTTTAGTTTTTTAACAAGACCTTTAGTAGAAGGCGATGATAACAGTACTAAGAATAATGTTGCTGCTTGCTATCACTGTATTAGACGATAGTTAGGTTGTTGGAATGGGGTATATAAACCCACTCTCCTCTCTCCCTCCTCTCCTCTTCTTTTTCTACGCAAAGCTGCGTATGCAGTAAAAAGAGAAAAAAGAAGCTCAATTCACACTTCCACGAGTGTGTGCGTGTGCGGTGCTCGTTCGAGTATTATACATTATTATTAGACTTTTGGTATAGGGTGACAATGCTGCCGCTCATTATCACAGCATTAGAGGATAGTTAGGTTGTTTGAATAGAGTATATAAACCTCCTATCTCCCTTTCTTTCCCCTATTCTTCTACACAGAGTTCTGTGTGTAGTAAAAAAAAGAAAGGGAGAACTAAGAAACAATAAGGATACAGACGATATGTTTGTGCAAGTGTGTATAGCATGAGCGTACATAACACTACTTGCAAGGTTTTTAGTAGGCAAGCAATAGTGACGAGCATTAGCAGTAAAAGAAGGGGAAATTTACGAGTTAGGTGAAGTCAATCATTTTAGAAGAGAATCAATCATGTTCATTGCGCAATGGTTTTCCAGTTGCTCAAAGTTCAAATCCCCTTCATCTAACTCGACACATAGGGGAAGCACGCTGACCTGAAAATCACTGTACTTTATAGCATACAAACAGAATATACCAGCCATCTCTCTCCCTTCGCAACCTCCTCCGTTTCCATCTCACTCTCTTCACCATAGTCGTCCAAGCCCTGCTCAAACCCAGCTTCTACTTTCCAAGTCGTGCCGGTCTCATCGCCAACCTGCTTCCAGAACCTTGCAAACGATTCCACATTATGCCTGAATAGTGGTTTCCCAGAGATGAACCGGTACATCATCGGACGCGCATCGACATGCCCCAGCTGTCGTCCAACCACCATGCTATAAGGTCGAGCCTTCAGAAGCCGCACAACGCACTTCGCTGCCTTGATCTGCTCGTCCCAGTCGAAAAGATGGAAAAAAGACGCCGCATGCACAATATCCACCGTACCCTCCAACGAATTCAGTTCCGAGTCGGCATCGAAGATATCGGCTTCGATAAATGTGGTTTTGAGCGTGGCGCGGTCGCGGAAAAGAGCGTACCCGACGTCGATGAAGTCGCCCTTCATGTCGGATCCGTATGTATTCTCTGACGGCGCACCGTCGGCGACGAGGCTGCGGATGTCCTGCCCGATGCAGCATCCGATGTCCAAGTACCGGTCGCCGTTCTTGATTCGCGAAAGTACTTGTGGGTATTGAGGTGATTGGCGGAGACGGAGATCGAGGAATGCCCAGCGTCCTAGACAGGGGTAGGGGTACTTTTTGCTTGTGAGTGGTTTGACTTTTCTTGGTTGCTCACTAGAGAGACGGGGGCTTTGCTTACGATCTGAAAGGCATTGTCTCTCTGTGGTTTGTTCGAGTCAGCTGCGCTGTCATCACAACATACTCTGTTCGCGCTTTTGGCTTACGATGGCTTTGATATGAGGAATTACTTCATGATGTGGATTCTTGCTGTACTTCTCAAAAAGCGCTCGAGCTTCCGGAGTGAGAGTCGGGGGTTCCTCAATGAGCCATTTTTCAGGATTCTGGGATTTTTCGGTGACCTTTCCGGCTACAGCAGTGTTGGACATGATGTTAGGCAACGGAGGGGTACAGAATCAAGGAATTTTCAAGATCAATGTACGTCTTCTTTATATAGCATCTCTTCGTACCTGGTTACATACATCTGTACGTGAATGGCTGATGATGTGCGTAAGGTGCAATGAGTATTGACGCCACCTTGATCATCATCCAAGAGTGTGCATTAGTACTCTTGATCGAGAGATCACGTGATACTTGATTTTGTTCTCCGGTTATTTTCAATAAGTAACCAAGAGGCCATAGCGATGATATCCTTAAGCCTTGCGTACTAAAGAAGAACCTGGGGTGCGTATAGGTGATGCTAGATGTTATACGCGGACAAGGAAGACATAGATTAAAGCTTTACCAAGCCTTTAGTACGTAAAAGGGTAATAATGATGCTGATTAACACCACAACGCATTTTTGTAACATGGGTCAGTAACTAGATGAAGTATAGTCGCAGAAACAAGGGGGGTATAAGGTATATAAACCCCCTCTCTTCTATGTCTAACTTTTCTTTCTTCTTTCCTTTACACTGCTGTGTAAGCTACAAATAAGGAACGAGAAAGTTCTCCTGCTCTTTCTGATGTGGGTGTGTGTGGTGCTGGGCGTATACGTAGAGTAGAATACTACATTAACTATAGAATCGCTAGGACTTTTAGTAGAGAGATAGCAGCGATGATGCTTATTAGCAGAACTGTGTAAAACACCTACTTATATAAATCATACTTGTATTATGGATCTACTAAATGTTTAGCAGGGGAGAGGCGCCTTCTCAATCTAGTCAGATACTTCAGATTAGCTAATTATCGTCAGATGTGTCCTGCCTGGAATTCAAAGGCAAATTTATCATAGTTTCCAGTACCTGGTGTTTGTGCCGCACAGAATATACGATGATTAAATAATAGACTTAGTTTATCAGAGAGATAATAATGATGCTGAGTAGTTAGACTGTAAGGAGATAAATAGGCAAATTAGGCATAGCGTTAGGAAGTGATGAGAGAGACGGAGAAGAGTATAAATATCCCCTCTTTTCTACAAAGCTACCTGCGTATGCAGTAGAGAGAAGAGGAGAAGTAAAACAAAAATAGAAGACGACTTATGTGCGTGTGTGGTGTGGGCGAGAGCGTATGTGCGATATATTATATATTTATTAGAGTTTTTGTATAGAGGCGATGGTGATAAGCAGCACTATAGGAAGGAAGAAGATAGGGTATATAAACCTCTTCCTTCTACATCTCTCTTCTTCCTTCCTATACATTAGCTAGTTTGGTAGAGAGAAGAGAAAAGAAAGAACTAAAAGACTTAGACAGTAACAAGATGTGCTTGTCTAGCCCTTCTTTCTTGCCTTTTTGAAGCATGTGTGTCTATGGTCGTATTTATCTAAGAACAGAAATCAAAATTTACTGGACTCTTGGTATTTAGGCGATGATGCTCACCATAAAGAAAGACAATATATAATAATTACGCCATTCAGACTTAGAGGTACAATGAATGAGGGGGATTAGTACATAGCTGAGTCTGCTGGATTTCAATGACTTAATGAAGCTGCTCATCATCAAGATTATCCCCTAGATTTTACAAATGAGGTCTAGTGAGTTCTGAGTACCGTGTATAAGTATTCCATTCTCCTTCTTTCATCTTCTTTTCCTATTCCTACAGACTGGTAAACTATTGAGGGAGGGACTAAAGTCTCGATGAAGCCCAGAATATGAGCGCCTTTGGTGTGGTGTTGGTGACGTGCAGATATTGAAGATTCACTCTCGCTTTGCATTCAGATGATGATGCTTGTCATTGTAGAAAGATGCGTAGGATTTTTTTTAGAACTATGGGTGTATTCATTTTGCTTTGGTGTGCTCCTTGACGACGGAATGACATGATGATTATGCTAAATTATTGTAGAAGGCAAGGTTCTAGTAAATTTGGAGGCGATGATGCTAATCACTACATTACAACGAATAGACAGGATACATAGCGTAAAGAAAAGATGTAAACGTGCCCCCTTTTCGTCTCTTTGACGCGGTTTTTTATTGAGGCGTATCGAAATTACGAGGCCACTGCTTCGGAGACACGGTGAAAACCGTAGAGATGGTCATCATCATGGGAACTAAGTGGACGATTTAGGCAAAGTGGAAGATTGGCGAGTGGGAGAGGGGTATAAAAACCTCCTTCCCACCCGTTTCCCTTTTCTTCACCTTTCTCAACGCAACTGTGCGACCATCAATAGGGGGACTTAAATGTGTAAACCACGCAACCCATGTGTTCTTTTGCTCGCGGTGTACAAATGTACGGTTTACCTCATAGACCGCTGATTTTAGTACGTGAACGGTAATTGAAGTGATGTTCATCATCAGAACGAGCATTGACAGTAAAAATTAGGCAAATTCGACTGGAAAGCGAGTATAGATGTCTCTTCCTTCTGATCCCTTCCTTCTTTCCAACACACAGTTGCTAGTAAGCAGCAGCTGACGGAGATACTCCATGATATTCAGTGTACCAACTGTGGAGATATACGAAAGGAAACTTCAATTAAAATTTCCACTTGATCAGAATCGTGTGTATCCTTAGCCCTGCTGTGGAGAACATGCGTCCCAGCTTTGGGCGCATTTCAGTAGGCAGATCAATAGGAGACTTGAACCAATAAGGGATGGTAGGAGAAAGATGAGCAAGGCAGGAGTACATCAACTCACTTTCTCCCCTCTCCATACTTAGTAAATACTTGCACGACTATTAGTGGATCAATAAAATGAAAGTCGACGAAACAGTCACATGCGTGGTCTAGGCTGTTGACTGCGTCACGGAGAATAGTACCATGAATCTAGCCAGTGAACCTGTAAGAAGTGGCGGCGATAATGATGAAATGGCGCGGACTATCCAGGAGACAGGTAATTCCCTGGAGCCCCTGACTCCCCGTCAGATTCCCCTTTCTTTTTATACGATGTGATAATCTAGGAGGAAGCACGAGGGAGCATCACATATCTCATGTGCGGCGCGCTAGTTGGTGTTGAGAGTCAACAACATGGGGATACGTTTTTAATGCATGATTGGCAGTGGTGATGGCAATCCCACAAATTGCGGTCAAACGTCCGAAGCTGACAGTGCCGATGAATGAGGATATGATCTTTGTGTTGAGGTCGATTTAGACGCCAGAACGTTCGGGGGTTCTTCCATGAGTAGATATCGATTATATCCAACTATCCATCCTTGATCGTAAGCCCCTAATAACGTGATATTGAATTTCATCGTGTATTATCACGAACACGTGGAGTTGCGAAACCTGCGCACTGTTCATAAACTGTATCTGAAGTCAGGGTGCCTTTCACCGAGATCTTCAACGCTACCCTCGTCTAAAACATCTGGCAACTCTTTGCGCCTGTGGTCGCGACGCTTGTTACCGAGATAAGTGCCAACAAACATAACAGTTGCGGCTAACGCGCCCATTGAGCAGAGCCCCAGACCAGTGCTGAACCCAGTATGGAATTTTGGCTCTTCACGTTTCAGAAATACGTTCGTACCGACGAAGGCACCAGCGTTTCCGAAGCAAACAATAGCTCCAAGAGCGACGGTGCGCTTATATCCCTTTCCGACGTTAATGGCTATCCAGACGACAGCGAGAGGCATAACGAGATATGCCCCAGCAGTCATGAAAAACAGACCCATGTAGCGAATTCCAGGCGCTCTAGGTTGCACTATCTCTACGATGAGACCCGCGGCAATAGTGGCAAACCCAATCATACAAAAGAGGTAGCGCTTTTGAAGGTATTCGGCCAGATAACCAAGGGACATGGAGTAACTCGCTGCCACAATGTAGACTGGAATTGTGCGAATTTGTGCACCAGTTGCTGTATACCCAATGCCTTTCAAGATGGTCGGTTGGAAACTAGTGATGGAGTTGGCGTTCTCTGCCGCACCACAATAAATGAGCACTGCAGCCCATATTTTCCAATCTCCGAGAATTTGGAGAATGCGCCTCGCAGTGAGGTCATCATGAGCGACGGCACCGCCGTCATCTTTCAATCGAGCCAGGAGCAGGGCCTTCTCATCGGGCGTGAAGAAAGTGCAATCTTCAGGGAAAGGGACGATGAAGAAGAAAGAGAAGATGCTTATGCCGATGGTTATTGCGCCTTCGATGATAAAAATCCTGATTTCCATTAGTAAATGTCGATGATTAGTGCCAAGTGCAATAGTCATACAACTTACCATCGCCAGGCTTTGTAACCGGAGATGCCGTCCATCTTTGCGATTAGAGACGATAGGAAACCATTGAATGCGCCCGCGCAAATACCCGCGCTGAAGAAAACAACGTAACGCTTCAGGAACTCATCTCTCTTGTAGTAAGAGCCGATGAGATATGCAGCCCCAGGAACATACGCTGACTCTGCAACACCCTCCAAAAACCGACATGCGACAAGTCCTCGGTAGCCCCTGGTGACTCCGCATCCTATGACGGTAATTCCTAGCTACTGTCAGCCCAATTGCCTGGTGATTCGGCGTTATTGGAATGAAATTACCCCAGCAGAACATCATGACAGCGAGAGATCTTGGACCAGTCTTTTTATAGACGATGCTCAGCGGTATCCCAGCGAGCAAGTAACCGATGTTGAATACAAAGACAGCTACGTTATATTTTTGACCTGTAAGCTTGAGCTCAACATCCATGCCCTGAATCTTTGCATTTCCAATATTGCTGCGATCGACGAAGCAAACAAGATAAAGCAACCAAAGAATGGGTAAAACTCTGAAGTCGAGTTTTCGCAGAATTTTTTGTTCGGCTCTCTTATCAAACTGAGTAAGAGGGGCTTCCATCACCGGTTCATTCTCCACGACTGGTGGTTTCTCCGGGTCGTTGTGCTTGGCCATGGCTCGACGCGGATGTATTCGAGAGGGGGGAAATGAAGTAAACAAACTTTTGGAGCTCCTGGGTTGAAACAGAAAGCAGGATGGGTATAACGGCGAAATGAATAGTGAAACCTATCACAAAGCGAAGCAAATCGGATCATGTCCCACTTTCAAGACTTCTGGTGGCGAGGGCAAACCGTATTTACATTGTCATAATGACTGCATCCGAGGGACCTGGAAATGTAACAGGAAGCAAAGATATGATGGGAATAATTGGCACACAAGCGAAGCCTGGCCTCTGAAGAGAAGATGCCCTAACAGTGTCGGCAGTTACGCGAACGAAAGCTGACACCGATCACCACGAAATATCTTGCACAATAGTAGACGGTGAGGGGATGTCGTATCACCCACACTATAGCGATGAGCGATGAGCGAAGCCAACCGCAGTGGGCGGGGGTGAGTATCATCGGTGTAAGACCAGCACATTGCTCATATGCAAATCAAAGGCGGTCGTTTGGAGATCAGCGGGCGGGAGGACCTTGAGCGGGTGAAAATGGCGGGAGCTGCCGAAGAGCTTCGTACAACGATCAATCAATGAATTAAATGACATGGATATGCCCCGCAGCGATGCAGTAATGCATGCAATTTTACTCCTCGTCACATTTCAGCTGACAAGCAGATTGCGGTACCGGCCTCCAGTAAAACGCGAGAAAAGTACACATCTGCGCTTAGCGCAACATTTAGCAATTTTTACTTTGCATTGAAGGACTTGATCAGCTTTGTGTTATATTACATTGCAGATGCACTCATTCCCGAGCAAGAAACCGCATAAGGTGGCCCATGTGGATGGTGATAACGACCACATATCTTGAACCTGTGACGTGACAGATTTTGCCAATTCCTTGCGCTCGCCGCAGTAGTCCTCCATCACACCCTTCTTTCAAAGAGTAGAAAAAAAAGTACGGGAGCTTATGCGAACAGTCTAAGGCATGTCTCTTAGGCATTGGAGTGGAGCGCTACTCAATCGAAAGAGTGGATAATAAAGCAGAGTTTGTCCACAGCCTTTCGTACTCACGGTATCCTTGGAACCACAGATGGTTGTGATCTTTGCGTCTGTGTAACCTGCAAATGGATACGAGTCCGGTCATAGGGCTGTCCAAACCCCTGCACAATAGCCGGCAATTCATAGAGGCGGCACGGCGCGACTCATATGCAAGGTGAGCGTCCAAGACACTGCAATGCTTGCATTTGCTTATCAGAACTTGTTGCGATTTTTTCGCCTAAGGATCAATTGAGAAAAGTTCAAGAGGTCTCTAAACCCAAGCATTCATCACGCATTTCGGCGTGCGCGGATACAGAGCGGTATCGGTCCTTCACATTGCGCAAAGTCATCATGCAGCCACTCAAGATTGTAATTGTCGGGGCTGGTATCGGGGGTTTATCGTGCGCAATCATATCGCGAAAGAAGGGCCTAGATGTCATCGTACTTGAAAAGGCGGAGAAACTTACACCGGTGCGTTCCACACAGTTTGCAATGCCAAATTTCTCAGTCCCGCAACCGAGGAGAATAGACTCGATAAAGTTTCCGTATTTTATGGCTCCCTTTGCAGCCGTTGTTGACGGTGTACAGGTTGGAGCAGGCATTCAAATTCCGCCCAATGCGTCACGGATTTGGGCGCAATACGGCCTCCTTGAAAAACTCAAAGAGTTCTCGGTCATTTCAAAGGCGAATCAGCTACGAAGATGGAAGGATGGCAGTCTTTTGTGTTCTCGAAGTATTGGAGAAACTCTGAATCCGCAATGGCCATGGCTGTGAGCTTTGCTGGTTCCACGAGATGGCCTATATCTGACCATGAAAGTGTTATCCATAGAGCAGACTACCAGAAGGTTCTCGTGAAAGAATGCGAGCGTTTACATGTCGATATACGACTTAAATCAGAAGTCTACGATGTCGATTTTGAGAATACGAGGGTACTTTTAAAGAATGGAGACGTAGTATCGGGCGACGTAATCGTCGGTGCGGACGGTATATATTCTCATTCTCTTTCCCCTCGCATGGCCCGACACATATCATATCGCTTGATATTATTGCACGCCGATCGAATCTGACGTTCTCAGGCCTATGGTCAACTCTCCGTACACGTGTGCTCGGACATGCGTCTCCACCGCAGGAGACAGGAGATCTAGCGTACCGAGGGACTTTCTCTCTAGAAGCCCTCCAGACACTTCGTGACCCTAAAGTAGATGAGCTGTGTCTGCGAAATCTTGTCACAATGTGGATAGGTCCGGAGAGTCATGCAGTATTCTATCCTGTTAGGTGTGGCAGAGAGTTCAACCTCGTCATGACACAACCAGATGACTTACCAGCATATATAAAAACAAAGCAGGGGAATCTTGAAGAAATGAAGACAACTTTCAAAGACTGGGATCCTTTGTACGTGTATTCTCGTCCTTGCAGGTTGAAAAGAGGTCCTATTGACATCACTTAATCACAGGCTTACGAAACTCTTGACTGCATTTCCCTCCGTGTTAAAATGGAAGATGATGCATCATGACGAGCTTCCATCGTGGACGAAGGTATCCAATCCGTCTTTTCCCTCTCTGAAAGTGAAATCATAGCTAACCTCTTCCAGAAGAACTTTGTCCTGCTAGGAGATGCATGCCATCCGTCTCTTCCATATCAGGCCCAAGGCGCAGCCATGGCTGTAGAAGATGGTACCATCATTGCCAACTTACTAGCGGCGTATCAGGACGCAAAAGCAAGCTCATTGACGCATCCATCTCTGCCAGAAACGCTCAAATTATACGAGTTGCTTCAAAAGGAGCGCACAACTACTCTCCACCTGGGATCAATTTCCAATCAACGTCTTTACCATTTAGACGATGGCCAAGAGCAAGAAGAGCGAGATCTGATTCTCAAGAACGCAAGCTTTGAAGATTTACCCGATGGATCTTCTGAGCCTTTCATCTGGATTGATGCGCGATACCAGAAAGCAATATTAGGTCGGGATGTTGTTGGTGATGCGCAGGATAGTTGGGAACAGGCAGTGAGAAACGGAAGTAGATGAGTGATCCACATTGTTAATCCCGATTCCTCCAACATATATTTGCAAATAACATTTATTCCATGATTGCGAACTTTAGCATAAGCAAAACACATTCTCGAGTACCTGAAAGCATGGTCGATAAATGAGCCAAATCGCCGAAAACTGCTTAGATGACAGCAGACCTCAATATTAGTAATACCCATTCCATGCGAAGATCAAAACAAAGATTCAGGAGTCAGGAAAAGAACAAAATCTCGAAGTTCTCTCCAATGATGACAAAGATCCTGACGGAGTCTGTGTGAACGAGTGGAGTTTAGCGTGAGGTCATCGCTATTTTTAGCAAGGCCGGCTATCCCCTTTTTTCCGCCCTTCCCGTAGCATCTTCTACCAGCATTCATCGCAAATCGTTGCGACCAACTATATTCGCTCTTTTCTTCTTCATCGGGGACGATGGTTCGCAGGACATCATGTCGAATTCTACGAATTCTAGCTATGCCATGGATTGTCATGTTCGGTCTATGGTACTTGATGCCTTCGCCGGAGACAGACATGTCGGAAATGGCAAGGATCCATCGTCTGGAGAAAACGCTGAGAACAGGCAACGAAGTCACAGCTGTCCATGAGATGGGCTCCTTGGAACGAAGACGACCAAACGGAATTTCCGTCTCCGATTGCAGCGATCTCATCATCCCGTGGCGTTTGTCCAGTCCTGTACCTGCAGCTTCATCCGTCACAAACAGGTCCTTGTTTCTCCACTTAGACGAGAATCATCCAATCAACATAACACAGACGTTCATCAACGCGCGGCAATTCAACGACAATAAGACACAACCCCACGAGTGGGTCCCGTGGTTCGAAGATTCTCAGGAGATCGCGCCTTATTGCGGATCACTTGATCACATGATTAATATGCCCTGGTTCCATGCTGCGGACGCAAAACTCTTCCAAAACGCCATGCACAATTTCCAAAGAACATCTCCAATCGTGGTCGTTGTCCCAAAACCCGACGTGATTGAAGTGTGGGAAGACGCGCCGGTTCAAGATGCAATCCTTATCGCCAAACACCACTCCGAGGGTGACTCTCAAAAGGAAGACGTGTACGCGCTCAGTCCAGAAGTTCATTCGCTACTCACACGGAATATGTTTCAATCTGCACTCCTTGCGCGGTTCCAAATTCCCAGTAGTGAGGACATGACAGAGCTAGTTCTGGATGATATATACGGCGAGTTACCTTCTGCGACATACCCAATACGCGCAGCACTCTTGGTCATTCTGGCTCCTGTTTTCTCAATCGGTTGGTTTCTACTAGAATGGCTCCTCCCAAAATTCATCAAAATAGTGCTGGCCTTAGCAATATGGCATTTAGCATTTGTGGTATTATCCTGGGCGTTAAAGGAACGCCAAACCCCGTTCTGGGTCTATTTTCGAGAGCACTGGATGAAGTTCTGGTTGTGCTACAAGAGAGATCGGAAAGAGAGTAAAAAGGGCTATGTCTGGGGGCCTGCTGGGCCAATTGCAGCGATCAATCGCCGCAACTGGCGTCCGGCAGTTGATGAAGAGAGTAGAATTGGTTTGCAGAAACCGCATTCCGTCAGGCTTGGGCGTAGCCGAAAACGATAAGAATCGTGGAAATTTATTGATGCGTCAAAACAATCCTTTAAATCAGTCTGCCCCCATGGTTCATCATATATTATCAGCATTAACACTTTGTTTCCATCTATTTGAAGCTCATCGAAAAATTCTTCCATTATGCCCACTAATCCTCACCTTCTCAAGGCTAAAGTAACTAAGTGAGGAAACAACGGATACCAATTTGTCACATTTCAGACATAGTTACATACAGCTTCCAACTAACACGCATATTGACGGTTTACTACAAGCAGGAGCCTGATTAATGATAATCTTCATCACTGTTTAACATGTCTTCGCTAGTAAGCTGACTCGAATATAAATTCCCGTGTATCATATTCTGCAAACGTGCTCCACAAGTCTTTAGTGATAAACAGGCTAGAGAGTAGTTGCTAAACACATTCTAAACAACACCTCATGCCTTTGGGAAGGAGGAGATGCATTTTAGTCAAGTCACAGTAGCAATAATGATAATCACTATCGCATGGCGATTCCTGACTGATAGTGGTGGGATCAAATCCCCAGCACGTATGAGTATAGGCTGCTCCTTTTGCCGCTCCTTCTCCACTCACTTTCGCGCTTGAGCTATGATGTATACTAGAATATGCATTTTTTCTCCGGTATGCCTGCGCTGGGAACATGTCAGGGCTTTCGGGATTGAATTCATGAAACTGATATTGTGATTCTAATGTTAATGCAATTTGAGCGATGACGATGATGAATCAAGACTACACGTCACTGGAGTCGGTGAAGAAGAGCGTGACAGTTGGTCCTAGCTTCATTTTCTCCGAGCCTCCGATATAAATATGAGGCTCTCTAACCCTTTGATCTTCTTTTCCTTCCTTCTTACTCCTGGGGGCTGCCATAAAAGAGTCTACCACTAAAGATGGACTAAACTCATGTCCTTCACCTTATTATGGCTGGGTTTGGGGAGTGCGTTGTTTTTATGGCACCTTTCTACCGTGTGGACACATGAATTGCATGGTCTAGCTTTTAGTATACTGTAGCGGTGATGATGGTGGTGATGGGTACATTATTGTGAAGGGCGGGGGTTTGTGTTACTGAGTGAGCATGTCCAGGTGTGTCCCGCATGTATAAATACCGAGTCTGTCTTTCTTGTCCTTTCTTCTTTTTCTTCTTCGCGAATACACTAAAATGTATGTCTATTCTACTATAAAGAACTTGCAAGTGGAATTCCATGAGCTTCGTGTCTCCAGGTTACTGCACATCGGATTATTGATCTTCTTTAGATGATTCAGCGAGACGATGATGATGAAGACTTACCAAACTAGCGTATTCTGGTGCATATAAATACCTGCTCTTGACTTCTCATCTCCCTACCGCAAACAATTGCGCTATATCACAATTCGCTGAACAACAACCGAGGTTGACTGTCAATATATGGCAACAGGGCGTTATTGCCGTTACTCCGGCATTTATAGCGTTATCTTCTTTCGTTTCTAGAGTATGACAGTGATGATGATGACAATACACCAATAGTCATGGTCACTGCTTCTGCGTATTCGACATATATATATTTCTACTTCGTCTTTTCTAGTTCCACGCTCTTTCATTGCCAGCTCTAGTGGTCTCTCTCTAAAACTTCCAGCACTCGATGCTCATGCGGCAAACCGGGCTCGTCATTACTATCTCAATAGCATGATTTCCAGATCTTTGATATCAAGCGATTGTAATGATGATGGCAGGTATGTCAGATGGATTAGGCGTTAGTCTCTTTCGCCGTCTCTGGCTGAGGTATAAATATCTGCCTTCTTTTCTTTTCTTGCTTTCTTTCCTGTTTTCACTACACTACGGTGTTTTAACCTTCAAATTTCTCCAGAAGCACAGTGTGCTCAACTCTATGGGAGTTGGAGGGAGAGTGCGTTAGCTGTATCATGTTTCAATACCCAGTTTTCAGTATCAAGCGACGATGATGATAATAACAACCCTCATCATCAGGGCGAACACAGACAATCCAGTTCTCTCGCTTACCTCATTCACCAAGGTCTAAGCACTCCCCGCTTTTGCACCTTCTACCTTGCTTTTTTTTCTTCTCGCACACAGAACTAAGGATTGTTGATTTCTGTCCAAAAGGGCTGAATCTTCAGACTATGTGGTTTATGGAGCAGCAACTCGCATTGGATTTCTAATGTGAGATTTTAATGGTGATGATGATAATGCTCGCCATCATCAATCAAAACATGAAGTGACCAGCACCCTCGCTTACCTCAGTCACTGAAGTATAAATACCCTCCCTTCTGTCCTTCTTCTCTCGTTCATTTTATGCTCTACACATACGAGGAAGTCATCTATTGCATTAAAACACTGGCCTCGGTAAGACATGTGGGTTGGTGGAGGATTTCGGTCCATCCCATCGTGCGTAGATACAACATAATACCCGTCTTTTTAATCTCGAGCAATGATAATGACCGTCATCACAAACCCGAGTGAATTAGTAATATCGCTTACAGTTATCTCGACCTTGTGTATAAATATCTGCTCTAAGGTCTCTCTCTTCTACTTTCTTTTCTTTTCTCTACTCACACACATAAGAGTGCGGTTGTTGGCGGTTGCTACTGAAACGGGGAAATCAGATATGACATGGCTGGTCCGGAGTCGCGTCGCTCTACCCTACAATAATAAGAATAACGAAAATAACGACGGTGATGATGGAGGTCTCCATCTTTTGATCAGTCTGCATGTTTCGCTATTCAGTATTGGTTGGCTTTGATGAGGATGCCCGTGCGCACGCCGGGTGGTGTATATATACCAGCCCTGAGCACCCTCTGCTCTTCTTTCTCCTCTCTCTACACATTCACCTATTGCGGTGAAGTTGCGATGGTGTTTAAAAAAAATATCGGTTGCGTGTCCAATGTCTGCCGTCGTACAGTGCGGTGTATCATACCCTCTTTTAGCTAACTACGCAATAATGATAATGATGGAGCTTCCCACAATAACACTCACTCTTATTGGATCCAATGAAGTCATCCGTGCGTTAGGCGAAAGGTATAAATATCTGCTCCGAGTACGCTCTGTCTGCTCTCTTTTCTCTTCATGCACACACGCATGGTCAGAACAAATGGCTCCTCTAGAGATCATACATTATGAAAACCTATGTTTTGTGTGTCTGTGTGTGTGTGAGCGACACACGTAAAAACATCAAAATTTTCTAATTAAATCTGGACAACAGCGACGACGGTGATGCTGAAGAGCTTCATCATGAATCAGTATTCTTTCATGTTACGATTGGCTATAGCTATAGCGCGTAGACGTTGCGGACGTATATAAATACCCCCTCCATTTCCACACTTCCTTTTCTTTTCTTTCCACATATACAATAGTACTGGAGGGGGAACTCGTTAATGACTAGAAAAATTCGCCAAAGACAGTGATGTGTTCTTGGCTTTCGTCCAGCCATCTTAGATACATGGGATCCTCGCTGTGATCTCATAGCACATTATCGAAACACTTTTTATTTTTGCCAACGCGACGATGATGCTGAGTATCACGAAAGACATGAATATCCAAATCTCCTTTTTTGATTCGTTGAACCGCACAGTCCGTGCGTGTGCTAAGATGTATAAACTATTATTGAGTTTTACGTGCTGAGTGAGCACTGAAGTAAAAAACTTGGTGTTTCAAAAAGATGTATAAATACCCCTCTCTTTTCTCCCTTCTTCCTTCTTTTTTTTTTCTTCTACACACGGTGTCAGTGGTTGGGAAACTCGACAAGAACTGTAAAGAGTTACACATGAAGTTTCTAGAAGGACAGCATATCAAGAACATATGTCCCGCGGTCTTCCGAGAGCGCAAACCATCGCAAATGTCCTTATAACCCAATTATCAACAATGATGAACCTCATCACCGCCGAACCCTCCTTTATGACTGGTCGAGCCAATATGCCCCGTGCGTAGCTAGAGAAGTATAAATACCCCCTCTGATTCTCTACTTTCATCTTCTTTTTTTTTCTACACTTTGTCTTGCTGGAGGCGTGAGGCCCTAGTCTACAAGGCTTTAAAAAGAATATCATATACTATGTATGTTGTGGAGGAGTGTCCTGTGGAAACAGTAACCCTACATTTCCCTTTTTTAGTTGTATTTTTTAAATAGACAATAATAATGGTTATGATGAGTATCATCGTATCTAGAAATTTTAGATGTGATATTAAATAATCGAAAGGGAGGGCTCTGTGCGCAGCCCGAGAGGTATAAATACCACCCCCCCTTTCCTGTTCTCCTTACATAGTCACTAACGACGCAATCCCATCATCCCTCAAAAGATACCAGATAGGAACCTACAATGGCTCGACTATCATCGTCTCCCATCTCAAATCATATGGTTGCTGTGGTCTGTGGGGTTCTGGTACTCGCATGTTCTTTTGATATTTGAATGTGTAAGTAGTGATGATGATGATGGAGAATGATAAACATCATGTCCCATGGATGTCGAATTTTAACTGGTTGATTTGATGTGTCCCGTGCGTAGGATGGGGTGTATAAATATCCACCTCGATTCTGCTTTCCTGCTTTCTCTTTTCTTTACACTGCACACGGTGTGGTTTACCTGATGGTGAACTAAATCAAGCGAGGCGGTGTTGGATGTGCTCATAAAAATCAGTCCAGAAAGCGTGATGGTTGCCGTGCTTCCGGTGATCGCATATCTCATTTTCGCGTCCGCGCAAAACCTTTGATAGTCCAGACAATAATAGTAATGATAATGACCACCACATCATCACAACCCCACAACCAGTCACCATCCACCGAAAAGGAATAGTCAAAAAACGGCTCGTGCGTAGCTGAGAAAGTATAAATATCTTCCTTCAGTCCGTTGTTCTTGACTTCTTTTCTTCTACAGTGACATGCGGCTCTTCTTGAATAAACTAAAGCCGGACGCACAAATCAACCATGGTGCTTCTTCTTCGACAAGGATTAACGCACAGTGCGTATGCGTGGTGTTTCTTTTCGCCAACGGCCATGCATAGCGCATATACGTGAACTCTTGTATATGTTCGACAATGATGGTAGTGATGATGATTATCATCGCAATTGTTATCCATTCTCTCTTTTAATAGGTTGGAGTGGGAACGTCCGTGCGTGTCTGAGAAGTATATAAACCCGCTGTATCCGCGTTTCCTTCTCTTTTCTTTCCTTGCACTTGTTAGCAAGTTCTTCTCTCTGATGAGTAAAAAACCGGTTGACGGTGTGGAATGGCGTGGTGAGAAGCAGCACGGAAGATGCTACATGGCTGGTGTGGTTCTGGTGCTGGGGGAGTGCTGAGACATGGCAAGGCAATGCGTTTTGATGGACCGTAGCGACAATGATACTAATGACGATTATCATCGTGAGCCACGGAACATGTGTGTTTTGCTTAGAGGTCAAAGGAAGTTGTATCATGTGATTTTATAATACCAAGTGTTTTGTGCCGCATTGAACATGCGATTATCGCATAATAGACCTAGATGATGATGATGATAGTTAAAACAACATATATATTTCAAAGTTCGTTTGTTTTTTTGATTGGATGGAGAACGTTAGTTGTTAGTTGCAAACAAGTCCGTGCATATCAAGAGAAGTATAAATATCTGCTGCAAGGTCTGCTTCTCTTCTAATTTTCCTCTGTATACATAGATTGGAGATACTTCGCCAACTCAATACTCAGCCCGGACAACGAATGGGAATGGGCGGACGGTGTGTCTTCTACTTTTTCAAATCAAAGATTTCACACCCTACGGTGTGTTTAGCGGTTATAGTGTAGACAATAGACGCAGAATCCTGCGATGATGGTCTTCATCATCGTCTCTGCGTGAGCTTTCTTTAGATGAGTATGAAATAGGCTAGATCTGTATTGAGTCGAAAGGTATATAAACGTTTGCGTCTCCCCTCTTCTTGCTTTTCCTTTCCTCCACTGGTATGCAGCCAAATCGCTGCTACTAGAATAAATATGTCCACCATCTTATGAGAGAATCGTGAGCCTGACAGGGAAGAAAAAAAAGTACATATGCGGTGTACCAAAAGCCCGCCGCATCTATTATGTGCTGTGGACGTTTGTTGGGGAGTAGTCTGTGAGGTTGAGCGACGCCAAGACGACCCGATCGGGTGTTAGCGATGATGAACATGCAAGCCACGTGACGCGATATTTTAGGCGGACAAGCGTTACACAAAAACGAGGCGAAGCCGTCGATGATTGGTCGCCCAGCGACGACCCTTATTTTAGTTCAACATGAGACTTGCCGTGTCAGGTAAAAACCAAAAGGGGTTCAACGCAAATAGAAACTCTGCCATTGCGTTACATGTATACTGCGAACAAGAAAGAAAAGAGAAGAGAAGAAGAAATGGTGGCTTGATCGTTTTTCTTCGCTCGATTCCTTCCTCTTCCGGAGTCAATCATGACACGAACAAGCAACGTCCATGCGGCAAAGCACGTGCTGACGGCGCGCAAGATGGAATCAATCGCCGGGCAGGGGGGAGGGAATAGCACGAGCCACCGTGGGCGTGCTACTCATTTGGTGTCCAGAGCAACCACGACAGAGTGACAGCAACGGGGAAAAGGGGATGCGGGTTTTTGCCACGTCGAAGTGGTGAGGGCCAGGAAACCATGGATTGTTACTTGCCTGTAGCGTGGGAAATGGAGGCCGTGACTTGATGGTTTTTTTCTTTTCTTCTTCTTTTTCTGATGGTGGTGCTTGCTCGGCTCGGTCTACGAGGGCTGGTGGGTTGTTGTTAGTTCGGGGTTGGCGGCGAGTTGGAAGGAGATGTGGTTGTTTGTATACGTAGAATGGTATTCCGTGAATTCCAAGCGGCGGAGAAGAAGATTGGCAATAGTGAATAGTAATTGGGTAGGAAGTGATTACTACCTCGAAGATACATAGATATGTAGTTATCAACCAACACGTATGGCAGAGAGAAAGGAGTCAGTAGCAGCAGGAGATGCATCAGGCCTAGCGCAGCCATGGCCCAAGTACAACAGTGCTCATTCGCAATCTCGATTACGGGCCAACGACCCTGCGCCCTGTCGACGTCGGGGGGAATTGTCCATGGGGGGGACCTGCAGGCAATGGAGTGAATCCGGCTGCGCTTATGCGAAACACATGTTTGGCGACAGACGGCGGGTGTTGCCAACAAACGGCGGCCACTCTGTCCACCCCGTAAACACGCTCCACTCCACTTTATTCCACCACTTTACCTGGCTGCCTCGCATTCTCTCCTACCTCACACCCTACTTACTCACTTTCCACGGCTTGCTCGCCTCCCTCACCCAGTTCAAATAACCACCCAACCCACCTGAGCACGAGCAAGAGCGATCGGCCGGCTCACTCACTCAGCCTTCGTACTCGTAAAACCCCCCCTCCCTTCAACCTCGACAGGGCGCAACAGCTTCCCACCAAAACATCGCCTAGGACAACGACCCGACACCCGTTTCAGCACCAAACACACTTCCATCACAGCTCCTACAATGTCGTCCACGACGGCGAGGAAGCCCGCACCGCCAGGCACGCCCGCCCGCGATCCTGCCAGCAAGACGTCGTCCTCCCCCGGCGCCGCCAGCCGCACTCCAGCGCGTTCATCCACCCCGACTGCCAACGGCGCCAACGGCGCCAACGGCGTGGCGAGAAACCGATCCGTCAGGTCTTCTGTGAACGGCACCCCCGTCTCCGCCCGCTCTGCCGTCAAACGGCCACACGGTCCATCCTCCAGTCTCAGCATGAGTTCATCGCGGGCCGATAGCCCAGAGAACGACGCCGCTCGCGAAGAGGCCGCCGCATACATGGCCGACCTCAAGGAGCGCCTGCAGAAGGCCGAGGTAGAGGTCGACGAGCGCAAGAAGCAGATCGAGGTCCTCACTGCCCGCCTCGACGACTCTCTCCTGGAGCAGTCCAAGTTGGAGGAGCGCGCGCACGAGGAGGAGGAAAAGGTCGAGGCGCTCGATAACGAGAAGCGCGAGCTGACCCGTCAGCAGCGAGAGCTCGAGAGCATCTACGAAGCCGAGCGCGCGCAGACCATGAAAGAGAAGGAGGAGGCTCAGACCAAGGAGGAGGAGCTTCAGGAGACTATTCAGCGGCTAAAGGAGGCTATGGCGACCAAGAATATCCAGCTGAACAGTGATAGCGACGAGCCCGGCCGCCTCTCGCGAACTTGTAAGTGCTTATGTCCTGCTTTGAACTATGCCGCCTCCGCCATCCCTCAGCCACTGATATCTGAGACAGCAAGCTTCCGTAACAACCCCTCGCGCAACAGCTCGTCACAGAATCTCGAGACCACCAGCTCATTTGCGCCGCCCTCGTCGGTTCAACGCAGCGACTCGCGCAACCAGTCCAAACTCATCCACCAAAAGGACAAGATTATCGAAGATTTGCGCCTCGAGATGGCTGAAGTTCAGATCAAGCTGATGGAAGCTGAGAACGTCGGCGGCGGACGTATGCAAGATCTGGAGAAGCAGCTCCTGGAGACACGCATGACCAATGCTAGACTCATGGAAGACAACGAGAGCTTCCAGCTCTTGCTTGGTGAGAAGACGCTCAACGGAGATCTCAGCCGCGGCGAGTTTCTGCGTCCGTCCTCCTCGCACGAAGAGCGCGCCCCGTCCCGCAACGGCCCTATGACCAGTCTCGCCGACGAACTCGACTCTGCCGAAGGCGCCGAGGGAGAGATCATTCGCAAGCTCGAAACTGAAATTAACAATCTCAAGGGCGAGAACAAAGCACTAACTCTCTACATCAACAAAATCATCGGCCGTCTGCTCACGCACCAGGGCTTCGAGTCTGTGCTCGGCGACGACCATGCTCCGCCAGCAGCCGACATCAACAAGGACCTGCCTCCTCCACCCCCACCAAAGGAGAACGAGCAACCGCAGGGTTTCTTGCAGCGCGCCAAATCCGTCGTTGGCGGTGGTCGCAACAAGCCGCGTCCTATGAGCTACGCGGCTCCCGCACCCTCGCAGACTCTCCACGAAGATCCCAACCTCGCACCCAGCATCCCCCTGCAGCGTTCGCAGACCGGCCAGACATCAAGGAGCAGCAGCTACCAGCAACACAGGCACTCGACATCCGATGCCACGCAGGTCGGCGGCGCCGCCAACGTCATTACAAACATGTTCCGGATTCCCCCGCCCTCCGTAAGCCCGGGTCAGACCTCGCCAGGCATCGTGTCCCCGCGCAACTCGTTCTTCGGGCTCCCCATCAACGGTGCCAACGGCGCTGGCAACAGCAACCCCTCATCGCGCGTGCCTTCCTCTGGCGGCGCGATCCGAGAGGAAAAGGACGAAAAGGACGACGCCAAGTCCACGCTCTCATCAGAGACGAGCCACGTCGATACGCCCAGCCCACCGCGCGCCAAGGAGACGAGCACTATGACCGGCAAGCAGATGCGCCCGCTCCGCCTGGTGCAGAACGAGGAGGCCGCCATGCGCGAGCGCAAAGCCGCGAACCGCGCTTCATGGTTCGGAGGACTGTTCGGCGGAGGCGATCAGCAACAGCAGCAGGGCCAGCAACAGCAGCAGCAGAAGATACCCGAGGCCTCGTAAATGCGGTGTTCGGCCTTCTCTCCTTCTCCTTTCTACTCTTCTGATGTAAATGATGACGACGACGATGACGACGACCCTCGCTTCTTGGTTGCTTCTTTTTCCTTGGATCAAATGATACCACTGGCCTTTGAAACTTCTTTCTGGATTTGCGAAAGCTGGATTGTATACAACCACCCCCTTTTTTTCCCACGCGACCTAGTATATGTAATGAGCAGAGACGGAGCTGGATATGGGGACGCGAAAAAGGGGTCACTAGTATAGCATTTGGGAAAAACGAGAATCACGAACACACATTCCATCTACGATGTAAGGAGTAGGACACAGTCTTGTTTGGGGTCGCGTTGTTATGTGCGTGCAGCCCTGTCCTTGGCTTCTTTTGTATACCCCCTCACCACCCCCTTTTTTGTTGCCTTTGCCTGGATGGCCTCCCTTTTTTCGGGGGGTGTGTAATGAACCGAACGAACGACCATGGATTGGATATCTCCTGGTTTTCTTGGATGCGACACGAAAGGGAATTGGCTCGCTGGGACTTGTCCTAATTTTTTTTGCTTTTTCTACATAGGGCGTTTTGTTTTTCGAACGAGAGAGAGAGACAGAGAGGGAGGACTATATATATCTTATAAACATGCACTTAATTCCCAGATTCTGCATCGTATTTATACTTGGGACGTGAGTTTAAATATAACTAACGTTCCAAGCGATGGTCCGCAAGTACTTCCGCCCGTTAAAGCTCCTGCATACATGACTTTTCCAACACCACTTGCGCGCCATCTATCAACACCTACACACGCATATACTTACTCTAACAACTGAAAAAAAAAAAAAAAAAACACAAAACAAAACGAATAAATCTCCCCAAAAAGCCTCCAACTAATCACACAGATGTCCCCTCCTCCCCCTCTCTCAACAACTTTTCTCCCCATCTCTCTCTCTCTCTCTCCCTCCCCTAAAAGAAAATAAAATTAAACAAAACCATCCCTCTCACGCAGCACGAGCAGTACCCTCAACCCCCTCCAGGCAGCACACTCAAACTCGCTACCCTCGCTCTCCTTCCTCCCTCGCCCCTAGAAACACAACATCCACACATCATCGTCATCATCGCCACCATATCTTCCTCTCCTTCTCCCTCTCCTTCCTTTTCACTTCCCCCCTGCGTCTCTCCTTCTTCTTGACTATCATCCTCCTCCACACCCCCTTTCCCTTTCCCTTTCCCTCCACCCCCCTCTCCTTCTTTATCACAATCGTCCATGCTAGATTTATTGTATCCGGCCTCAAATCTCCACTGCTCTTGAAGTTGTCGCTGTCGTTGTTGGAATTGGCGTAGTTGGCGAAGCTGCCGCGCTGGACACGTCCCCGGGTCCGAAGCGTTGTACGCACACGCTTGATATGTAATGGCGTATGCGAAGTTGCAGTTTACGCATCTATGTAGGATGTGTGTGCACATATCTCCTCTCTTTCTCTTTCCTGTCTATCTTTCTCCTCTTCCTTTTTCTTGGTAGTGGTGGTGGGGGGATGCGATTTGCTGCGAGGTTTGGGATGGCGCGGGGAGGAGTTTTTAGTGGTTAGAAGGGGAATAGAGTAATAGGTTGGTGTTGGGCTGATAGAGAGATGATGTTGTGCTTGTTTCTTTTCTTTTTCTTTTTTTTCTGTTGGTGGTGGTGGTGGGAAGTTAGTTAGTTAGTTAGGTGATTGATTGGGTTTATAGATAGATGGAAGGGTGGATTAACTGACTGAACTGTAACAGTTGCTTTCTTTCCCCTTAGAGGATAAGAGGATAGGGGAGGTTTTTTTTTCACGCGGGGTGTTATGTACATGAGAAGCTAAATAAATAAATGACTGATTGACAGTGGTAGTAGATTGTTAGAGCGTTGTCTTGTCCAACTGCTTGTTGTTTGTTGTATGCAATGCTTATACATGAAATCCAATGTTTCTCTTCTCTTTCTTTGAGCGAGTTGGCTTTGCGGGTTTTGTTTTGTGACAAACGGCTTTCTCTGTCTCTCTGCATGTGTGACAATCCATTAATTTTTTTTTCCTCCTTTGATTTGTACGGCAAAGTCTTACTTTCCATGTTTTACTTTGAAGTTTTGCGAATTAGAGTCTAAGGTTTAGAGGGATATGTAGCAAGACAAGTAAGATAGATAGATGTCCACAATACGTAAGACTGTGACTTAGATATAAGTTACAAAGACGTATACAAAACTCTTCTATTCTATATCTTGGAGCATTAGGGCAGAAATTGGTTATCCTCAAATGCTATCAGAGTACATGTTTACAAGCGGATGCATGTGGTAAACCCATTGATCCTCCAACTTTCCCAATCCAGTAACTTCTGCAGACAATACGTAACACCCGTTGATTGATCCCACGTGCGTTTTAGTTAGCTCCTCTGTCTTACTAGAGTCTTACCTTGTGATTCGCTGCTGCGCAAACACGCAAAAGTGTCTATTAACTTACTTGAACGAGGAATTCTGTGGGAGGTGTGGAATATGGTGGTGATAGATGCTTTTGTGAGCGGTTATTGGTGGAGTGTAGGTGGATGATGCAGATGGGCTTGCAGATGCTGCGCGTGAAAATGCCCTATACGGTAAGTTTTCTTTTTATATAGAGAAACCTGCTGAAAGCTGCGGGAATGAGATTACGGTCACGCATATTCATGATTGCGCGCGCTGGAGACGAAGCGTTGACTGCGAAATTCGAGAGTGGTAGGTGGTGAACAACAGGACGACAACGACTTGAAGCAGAGTAGGTATGCTTAGATCTGCAAAAAGTATAAAGAAAACTATAAACTGCGTAGAATCTGTTGACACTCTTTTCTACTCTTCACTGTTGTTATGCGCACTCTCTACAGTCATATTTTCCAGATAAAATCTCAACCTTCCTAATCCGGTAAGTCTACTACACAGCGCGCAAAATCCGTAGATTACTGCAGTGAAAGTGAAAGCGTTACACCCGCTCCTACTCAACCTTTCTAATCAAGTAAGTATGCACCACCAAGCGCAAAAACCATTAATTGCAGCAGTGACACTGAAAACTCTTTATCTGCCCGTGCTAAATCAACCTTCCTGATACAGTAGGTAAGAGCACCTAAGACGCGAGAGCTGTTGATTACAGCTCTGATGGGGGTCAACCTTCCTAATACAGAAACTACACTAGAGCGCCGCCGCTAGTTCAACCTTCCTAAAACGGTATTTTTGTAGAAAACTGTTGAAAGATGCTGTTGAGACGACCACTTGCACGCTTTTTAACTGGCTGCTTTGCGGGTTGGCCTGGCTGATGAGGGAGGTGGTAGGGCTATTATTATTTTCATAAGAAATCTCAAGTTCTTAATATATGTTCTTTTTCTTCTCATTGTTCTTGTCTTATGTGGCTTACGAATGATTTTCTGGTCATTGGGAGGTGTTGTTGTTGTTGTTGTTGTTGTTGTTGTTGTTGTTTTCGTTGTAGTTATGGTAGTGGTGGTGTGGTAGCGGAAGCGCACAAAACTTGAACGCGGCCTATCAGGCTCATCAGTTCTCACAGGTCGTTTATTTCTATGTCCTCCTGTCATTGGGCTATTCTAAAACTGTTATTTCATGATGAATTCGCGCTTTTATGTGAATATGGAATGTACTATCGCACGCGCAGTCATTCAGTTGGAGCCACGTTTTCGCGCATATACATAAAACCACACCGTGGGTAGTGTTGTATTGTGACTGTATAAGAGCAACACAGTTGCCTATCCAAAATGAGAACTGGATATATGTGTGTGCAAGTACACGCTCAAAGACATGGAGTCGCATGGACTCGGTAAAAGTACAGGTACACCGATCAGTGATGGGCAGACCACCCAACTTGCGGGTGCGGAACCAAGCAAAAAGCCCGCCCGATGATGAGCATATCCCATCAGTAGTTGCAGCAGATTCACCCTTATTTTCAATATCGAAATCTCGTATCTCGAATCAAACATGTTGGTGGATGCTGTGGGACTGTCAGAAAAGATTCCCTTCACGCCATCCCTACGCACGATCATGGCGGGCTCACTCACAATACAGGATCTTGTCCCAGTCCCCATCCGCGACCTCCGTAGAATAATTACTAGTGCTCTTCCTTTGTGGTATCTTGGTTATACCACACATCAAAGAGTGTAGTGTATTCGCCAAATTTTGCTGACAACACCTTCTTCCTCTCTCTCCACTCTATCTCCTTCTGCATCTTCTGCAGCTCCTGTTCCTCAGCCTCGTACGTTTTGCGACTATTGAAGATCGACTTGTATTTGTTAAGCTTTTGTCTGTGCTTCTTTCGATTCATTTCTGCCCTGAGCTCGTCGTCATCGAGGGAATTATAGGCTTGGGGGGGTGTCGGAATCCGGGACGACTCTTGCCCTGTGGTGACACTCCAGTGATTCTTGGTGATATCGCACTGAACGTTTTCTTCATTTTCGAGCGTAAAGCAATATTCGGGGAAATCAAAAGGCTCTTGGCCTCTGATTAGATAATTTTCCACAGGCACAAATACGACTCTGAAGCTTCCACAGGGTTTCAATCCGCTGGCTTTCCGACTGAGAACCATGTATTTGTATGCACTGCGACAACTTTTGTAGTTGAATAGTTTCTCATACTCTTTCGGTGTCGTTAGACGGTTGATATGCAGTTCAATCAACCAAACATCCTGGAAGAGTGAGACTTCACGAAAGATCCGGAAAGGCCAGCCATCCTGTATGTTGATAGTAAGGTAGAATTCGGAAATCTTAGGGCACAGCTGCCTTAATCTGTAGATGTCAGATTCTCCATGTATGGTACCTCGCTCGGGATTGGCCCGATGACTCTTGATCCTGCAGGTGTCGAGATTTGGCATCAATCTTAGAAGATCCAGATTCAACGTCTTGTAGATGTCGGTATTAAAGAAAACTAACTTGTCGCAAGCAGTCAGAGTATGCAATTTCTCGAGAGTGGGCTTAGCATATGATGTGCTCAACCACTCGTTCATGTATTGGTCGAGCGACGTCAGAATGTATAATGAGCACAAGCTGGGTGTGTTTTCGAGAAAGACAGGAACGAATTTCGAAGGGATAAATAATCTGCGAGACGAGTTAAATAATCTCCTGTGGTTGACACTTAGTACTTACTCGTCCATGTCTTCCCAGGTATTGTCCTTACCCCACAGAACCAATTCTTGAATCGAGAACATCTTGATATTGGTATCCAACTTGAGCACTCGTAGTTTCGGAAATTGATGCGTGCTAAATTCCAGGGCCATTTCAGGGTATTCAATGTTGCAATGGCACTGCGGCATGATCGCGAGTACCAACAGTACGCTGTTGGACTTGAGCATAGTCACCAAATCTTTCTTGAACCCTTCGTAGAATTGCTCTGTATCATCGGGAACCCATTCAAACATGGTCAACAAGGATGCGACTGGATGTGTAAGAAAATCCCACCGACCCCCTTGAACTTGTGGCCATTTTATATAACTGTCATTGCGCAGGGCTTCTATAACAAACTCGAGCTCGGGGTATGATGCAAGCACATCGAGACATTCAGGGGGTATCGACATCTTTCCGCGCCAAATGATCAATGTCAAATTGGGCAATTTTTTGAGTAGGGACACCAAGGCGGTGGTGTTAGAGCTGTCGTCGGCAGGGTTCCAGTTGGGGTGCGGCTCAACATACATAGTTATAATCTTATTACGAAAACGTGGGGTCGCATTCATCAATCGTCGAAGTTTGTGGTTTTCCCTCGTATCTAGGAAGTTAATGGTGATGGCGCTATACCATATCCGAACCGTTAACGTGTAGTATCGACGGGAAGTAAGACACAAAGAGATGAGACCTTCTGTACCCCATATCGTCCACACTTCCGAGATGATCATTCTCAAGCAATCATCGTTGAGTATATCGAGAGAATCGCGAGGAGGCTCGCCATATTCCGATTTCGCCGATTGGGTGTCGTCTCCCATGGTGTGTAAGTAGTCTTGGCAAGGTCCTGGCAAAGAATACGGTATACCGACAAGGAGTAGTAGGAAACTCCCAGCCGTGAGGATGTTTAAGTAGGTCTCGAGAGGTGAGGGTTTGGAAAACTGTTTGTCGACTAGGACGAAGCTGCGAACGCCAGAATAGATTGTGACAGAACCCACCAATTCACATCTTGGTCAGACCATTCACATACCCCGCCACATTGATCATGATAAACGCACGGATCGTACATGTGCATATACTCCAGTGTATGCAACCGCATTGTGACACGAGAGTCGACGTGAGAGTAAAACTTTTCGGTTGTACGATGTATAACGAACGGCATGAGTCAATGCAGCGCGGCAGGACACGTTTGAGGCTTCGAATGCCACCAGAACATAGACGTGTTGGGATTGTGCCAGCAAACGAATCCTCTGGGACTCAGAAAGTGAACAGATCAGTATGTTAGCTACAACGCGACGAGAAGACAGTCAAGTCAACGACGCTCGAGAGCGTCAGCTCTCTCAAAACATTAACCGTTTGTACAACAGAATGGCCGTCGGGGCCAGCACACTCAAAGAAGGTATACTCGAGTCCAAAACGCAACATCAACAAGCAAACACAGCCGTCCCCCAAGGGAATCAAAAAAAAATTGAAGTCGTACATACACACATATAAACGGGACACATGCAGTTAGTTCACCGAAGACACGCGGAGCAGCCTTACTAATCCCCTCTAATCCACCAACCCCAGCACCCGCGCCCTCTCCCCCACCCCTCCACCAATCACACCCCCGCAAATCCCGCTGACCTCAAAAACAACCTCGGCAACTACCAACCCAACTCGCAACTCCACCGCGGTCTTCCGCTACTCTTACCCTTCCACTTACCCTTCCCCAGATTTCCTCTCTCCTCTCTCTCTCCTTCATATCCCCCAGACTTCTTCTCGCTCTCCCGCGCCACAGACCCAATCCTCACAATAAAAAAAAACCCCCCGAGAACGACGGAACCAGAATCGCAACGACCAAAAAAAAAGATGTCAGAATCCTTCACCCCCTCACAAGTCGCGGCCCACGCGACCGTCGAAACAGGTCTCTACATCATCATCGACTCGTCCGTCTACGCGCTGGATAAATTCGTCGACGAGCATCCCGGCGGCGCGAAGATCTTGAAAAGGGTCGGTGGCAAAGATGCTAGTAAGCAGTTTTGGAAGGTATGTATATGTAGGGATAAATTTTTTTTGGTTGTACTCGAACTTTTATATAAAGGAAAGAGGAAAGAGATGGGGCTAATAAGAGGTAGTACCACAACGAACACGTGTTGAAGAAGTACGGGGAGAAGCTTAAAGTTGGTGTGGTTAAGGAGGAAGCGAAACTGTGAAGAACGGGGTTTTTTTTATAAAAAAAAATGAATGAATGGATGAATAATGTGAACAATGGGGAATCTCTGAGCCTTCAACATCAACATTCCAGAATCAAATGTATTGCATCAGAGAACATTTATTTCAGGGTCGAAAACTACGTTAAAGTACATACACACCTCTTTGGGCTTCTTTTCTGGACTTGATATACCCCCCCCCCCTTAGATATACCTATGCAGGAATCAAAGAGAAGCAGCGGCGAAATCGGAAGATCCCAGGAAATCTGCACAAACTTCGTTCCGACTTCATTCTCTTTGTGGTTTATGATGGTGTGTGAAGGGTTGTATAGAACAAGTACTTCTTTTATTTGTATAAATGAAATCATTATATCGATTTTTTTTTTCTTTCTTCAATTGCTGGGAATGGCGATGCGAACAATGCGAACAATGATACCATCTATCAAACCCAACCTATGTAACTAACAAACTCAACTGCTCTGCTCTGCTCTGCTACGCAACGTCAAACTCATGCTATACGACTATAAACATTATATCTAAAAAGGAACGAGTGAAAAAGAATAAAAGGTTGGAAGGGGGAAACATGAGATATGCAAGGTCTTGATAATCATCATCGTCATCAACAACAACAACAACAGACAAGATAGGAAGAGAAAGAAACATCATATGCCAGTACAAACCATTGGGGGTATCATGACGGGAACAAACGAGAGGAAAGAAACGAAAAAAAGGACGAGGAAAAGAGCAGGTCGACCGTCAAATGCAAACCACAAGCCACCCCTCAGAAGAAGGAACAAGAGAAGAAACAGGAGAACAGCAAAAGCAATTCTCCAATCACGCCAACATCGCTGCTCAAAAACATCCCCACTTCCGCTCCTTCTCCTTCCCAGTACCACGAGCAAGCCGTTCCAGCTTACCCCTCTGCATCCTCAGCCCCTCCTTCTCCTTCTCAAGCCCATCACCAGCTGCATGCTCATCATCATCATCATCAGCAGCAGCAAGCTCAACACGATATCGTCTCACGGAACCCCCATCGCCACCAGAGTCTTTCTCATAGAACCCCTGCGCAGTCGGCCCAGAAACGCACCGCGGCAGAATGCGTCTGACGAAGCCGCGAACACCGGTAGTCTCGCGGTCGATTTCAGCGTATTGCATGTGGCGCGTCGTGGGCGAATTCCAGTACATGGTGGATTCCTGCGCATTCTCATAGGAAGAGGCGGGGAGGTTGATGAGGGCGGTTTGTTCGTTTGAGGTTGGAGAAGGGGGGTCGTACTGCGCTCGAGTGTCGTGATGGTGGGGGGCGAAGAAAAGATGCGATGGTGCTGTTTCGGGGCGTGCTGTTGGCGGGAGAGAAGAGGAAGATGTGGGAACGAAGTCTGTGGTTGCTGCTCTTCGGGGGAGACCTGGTGGACCTGCTGCTACCGTGGCATCGATGGATGGACGCCCTTCACCGAGCCCGTGGGGAATGTGGGTTAGACCATTGGAGGAGCGCGGAGGGCTGTTTGGGAGGGAGCTGGATTGGTAGGAAGGGTTTTGGAAGATGCTGCAGGCGCGAAAGTGCAGGGCGAGCACGTCATCGACGTCGCCGTTGAGAGTTGGGCATGTTTGAGCGCTCTTGATCCGGTAATGGCGCGCTGGACGTGAGGGGTCGATGATTGTACAGGAGGTTCGCCGTGAGGAGGGGTGGGAGGAGCCTGGGTTGTTGCGTTTGCGGGACTTGGTTGCGGATGAAGAGGTAGAAGAGGCCGTAGATTTTTGCTGTGGTTTAGGTTGCGTTGCGGTCGCCGGGGGGGTTTTGGAGGCTTTCATTGCTGGCTGGTCCTTTGAAGAGTAGCGGGGAGATTGAGGTTTGGAAGATCGATCCTTCTTTGAAGAGGGGGTGTTCTTATAAGCGTGACGCTTTGCGCTTTGTGACTGTCTTGGGCGAAAGGATTCATCGAAAGCGCTATCAGTCCGGTTCATGATGGGCACATGAAGATGGCGATATTTGGCGGAAATAAGATGGGAGTGAGTATGCTCTCGAACAGGGCGACCAAGACCAGGAATAGAGGAGAAAAGGAAACAAAAAATCCAAGAAGATAAATGCAAACTGGGAGGAGGAATTGAGCTGTGGGAGCACAGGTGGAAAGAAAAGTGCGGTGACCAGCAGCACAGACACAATCTCTCTTGCGAAGACAGACAGTTGACGTAGAAACGGAAGAAAAGTGCGGTCAGGGCGATGGAGCAGCGCAAAAAGAGTGGAGGCGAAAGTGTTGAGTTATAAAAGTGTAGTGTAGCGCCTGGCGTGGCTAGGGACGGAGATGGGCCTGGTGACAGCAGGCTAGAGGATTGCCAGAAGCGTGAGGGCTGCAGGCTTGCTTGACTCCTGTAGACGGCGGTTGGTTGCAATTAAACGCCTGCAGTTCACCGCCTCGAGCGCCAGAACGAGCAGGCCTAGCTGGCTAGCGGACCCGCTGCGGGAGAATTAACTGGGGAATCAGTGAACAATAAACAATAATCGGATGGGTAACTAGGGAGCTAGCGAGGGAGTAGTAGGAGCAAGCGTTCATAAAATGAATCATCGGGGTTGGTGCAAGCGTCGGAAAGGGAGGAGAGTAGGAGATTGACAATCTTCGCCCTTCACATTGCGCAGTCAAGAGAGATATGCTGTATGATGTTGTCGGCTTTTCACATGCGAGTGGACGTCACCCTGGCCCAGCCCGTGATAGCAGAGCCAGTACAAACAGTACAACAGCGAGCGCGGCATGTCCGAAGAGGAGGGCAGGCTGGTAGCCTCGTCGTGCGCATCGCATAATGCCACCGTACAGCACTGACCCCACACAAACCAGCGGCCATCGTCATGCGCAAAGCGGTAGCGACATCGGGCAGGTCACCCGCCCACGACCATCGATGATTCCCTAACGTGGACGGAAGGGGGGGTCTTGGATCTGCGACACCCGCGAGGCCTAGATCTCGTGAGAGCGTGTAGGTTGGAGGGGTGGTTTGTCCCGCGTTCGCCGGTGGAAGAAGAGAAGCAACGATGGGGTCTGGAAGGAGTCTGGACGTTTGCGAGAAAAGCAAATCCCGTCACTGACAGTTCCCGCTGCATGCATGCATGCACGCACGCACGCACAGTGGATAGGTGGTGGTTGAGGAACGAACGGTATGGAAATAGAGATACGGGACGGGCAACGTGTGCATGCATCCATCTGCATCTGCACCCTTTGCAGTGTTTGCACCCTTTGCCTTGGCGTGCCAAGCCACGCAAACATTTGAACACCAATGACCATCTCACGCGAGTCCACACCTTTTCTTAGATGCACGCCGTTCCTTTCTTATCGAGGCATCGAATCCCGCTCTCGCAGAGACGACAACCCCAAAGAAGAATTCAAACCTCCCAGCAAAGATCCTCCCCTACATATGTATGTACTTACTTACTGAATCTCGTGATAGAAATCCAAAATCCTCTGCCCCACCTCCTCAAAGGCCTCCAAACAGTGCCAATGTCCGACCCCTTCCATAACCACAATCCTCTTCTCCCCCGTCCCAATCTCTTCAAACATCTTCTTGCACCCTTCCAACGGCGCGCTTTTATCCTCTTCCCCCGCCAAAATCAACACCGGCACTTCAATCGTCCCGTACGCGGGCGGCTCCGCTCCCATGATGACCCTACAGTTTGAGCAGTACCCCGCGGGGTCTTGCGCGAGTAGTAGTTCACGCATGAAGCCTTTGGCTAGGAGCGATGCTTTACTGCCGAGCGCCGCGTCTGGAATCGTGTTGGCCATGGCCTCCATGCCATCCTTCTCCACCGTCTCGATGCGTTTTGCGAAGATGGGGCGTGTGGATTGGGAAGGGTACACCGGTCCGATTAGGATGGCTGATACTACGCGGTCGCTGCGCGTGGCGGCGAGATGGGCTGCCACGATTCTGTTGCTCGCGCAAATCGCCAAGGTGTTATTGTCAGTCGCCAATTAACTAACCAACCAACTAACCGCTCGCATTTCTTCTTTTCCTCTCTCTCTCTCTCTCTCTCTTTTCATCTTCGCAGACAAGAAGATGCATGTTTGTGGTTGCAGTGAAGAACGACTTTGATATGAGCTTTTGACTTACCCTCCCATGCTATGCCCCACAACGACAGCCTTCGCAACCCCCAATCCATCCAGAACCCCAATCACATCATCGCTCAAGCTCTGAATGCTCTGTTCCACAAACGTGTACGGAGATCGCCCCGCACCTGTTGTGTCAAACAGGATACACCGGAAGTTGTGACTTCTTAGTCCCTCTGCTACCGCGAGGTAGTAGTTCTGCGACGACCCGAGCCCGTGCATGAAGATGAATGTTTCGCGTGCATCGTTGCCCGACGGTTCGAGGTCCGTGTAGTGGATTCTCTTGTAGCTGTTTACTTGAAGAAAAGGCATTTCGGGTTCGGAGGGAGTTGGTTGTGGTTGTGGTTGTTTCTCCATCAGCTAATTGCGGCATGGATGGTTTGCTATCGATTGATGCTATGGTGGGGTAGCTTCAGGTGGGGGTGCTTGAGCGCTGTGTGGGCTAGGAGTGTATTCCGATCAACGGCCCGATGCCCTTGACCGAATCTTTTCATTTTTCTCCTACCGCATCATTCATCATCGCTGCTCTCTAGCGAATCCGACTCTTCGTGGAAACGAGAGAAATGCGTCGTGCAGATTCATTACCCAGACGCTATGGGAATCCCAAAACTCTACCGTCAATGTCTCATAGATCCTGGTGTTCGATATATCTATTAAAGTGGTGTCGTTAGTAGCACCGCACATGTCTCAGCGCTATTTGCTGGTATATCAACGGGTGCTGGAGTTCTCGTGCAAAGCTCTGAACGTTCCAATACTCTAGACTTGACTTTTGGATCTGTCAAAACCCGTTCTTCATGTATTCCATAAAATGCTGTGTTACATGCCACGGGTATACGACATGAAGAATTATTCGAGTCGATACCAGGGCCAGTTTCCCAGATATATCCCCTAAAAACTTCATCATTCTATGCAAGTCGATTAGGAGACGACTGTTTAATCATGCGACTCCATATTCACAAACGACATTGCACGACAGCGCCACATCCAGAAGAGTGAACAGAAAAAATACGCCTGGCCGACGACGATTAAATAGATTTCACAAAGATAGGTCGGTATACCACCCAAAGATCAGATTAGCAACAGCTTTGAAAGAAACTCGAGCGATCCCAACACCCAGCAGATTCCCCTACGCCGCGCCGTTCCCAGCATCTCGAGGCGGATTCTGCGCGAACCAAGACTCTGACCTCGAGGGGTCCAACGACTGCATCTGAGGCTCGGCATTGAACCCCGCCGGACTTCTTATAGTCGGCAGTTCCTGAACAGCCACTGTCGGTGAATGTGTATGCGGCGGCCCTGGCGATGAATGCATCGACGGGTGATAATAGTGGCTGTGGTCGCTCGGACTGCGCGAGTGGGGATAGCTATACGCCACAGGCGCAGCGTAAACGGTTTGTCCGGGCGAGCCGGGGTACGCAGGTGCAGCGTTTCCATGCGGCGACCATGCGCTCTCGGGCGATGGGAGCGGGGACATGCCTTGGGGAGTCAAGGTGTAGTGAGATGGATGCGACGATGCGTAGACCATCTGGCTTGGTGAGGCTGATGGGATCTTGGTTTCGTTGGGCATTAATGGGGACATGGGTTGAGAATGGAGCTCAGGGGGAGGAGGAGGACTCTTTGGACGGCTTCTCTTCTTGCGTCGCCACGTGCATATACCGACGCCTACTGCCACCAGGAGCAGGAGACCCCCGACCCCACCGCCCACAGCACCGCCGATTGTTGCTTTGCTTGGGCCAGAAGATCCTGAGTTGGAAGGTGTGCTAGCTGCTCCAGTGGAAGATGGAAGGGATCGGGTTGGGGTTCTTGTTGTCGGCGTGTATTGTCGTCCAAGTAGCGTTTGTAGGTCGCGATCTGCCCATCCACTTGTAGGAGCCAGTACAGTTGCCCCCCCTGACGCTCCGCCGCCGATAGTCTGAGCGATTTCGCTCGGAACCTTATACGTCGTGAGTTTGGGATCAAATTTGGCCCATTTCGCGTTCTCGGCGTTGGATTTTCCGAGATCGAGGCCGTGTTGGCCCTGGATGGTTGGAACGTCGCAGTCTGTGATATTCGTGAAGTGGCCGCCCATGATAATCATCTGAGAATTCCCAATGACATCGCAGCTGAGCGAGTGATGGGGAAATGTTTTGCCTTCGCCATCTCCTTCCCTAGGCCAGAACTGATTGCGTCAGTATTGGTATGAAGGAAAATTTACAAGTTGATTATTTTACGAACCTTGATCCATTTGAAAGAAGGGAGACTCAAGACCCAAACATCTCCATATCCAACTCCTTCTCCTATCGATGCCCCGCCGAATAGATAGCTGCACGGGAAGATTAGCCAGATGTATCACAGATGCGTACTTGTTCTTACATGTTGTAAGACGAACGGTCCTCGGCCCAAGCAGCGCCAGCGCAGAATCGTCTACGGTTGCCTGGTATGTCGTCACCGCTCGCAGTCTGCTTGTACCAGAGAACATTTGCAATGTCATAGATGTATATGTCCTAGGGAACGTCAGTTGCTACACGCTTATACAAGCAGCTCTACCACCAGGCAAGAACGCGTACCGTCATTGGCGACTATAAGAGTTAGCGTATGTTCACATTTTTTCAAATTTGAGACTTACTGCCACCACGGTGTTGTTGTTGAAAGGCGTTTGTATACCGCCAAAATACACCAAAAGACCTGAATCTCCGGCAGGAATATATAGCATCACGCCTTCAGCGCGGGGAACGTCATCTGGTCCGGACTGATTGCGGAACGAATTCCCCAGCATGTCATAGACAAGCATGTTTTTGAGGACTGTTCGTGAGTTGTAGCCAGGCACCGATGCATTGGTCAGCCACCCGCCGTAATAATATCCTATTCCCTTGTCTTGGTCCACCGCGCCAGCCCCTTGGATTGTTAGTAAGCTCTCAAGGAAGAGTTGGAGTGAATCCTACCCCAAGATGCCCGCCGTGTATCGGAGGTAGACACATTGGATATGTTCCATATTTTGTATGCAACATCGTAGGACCAGAGCCGGAAGTCTTCTGGCTTGCCGTTACCATATTCGCCGCCGTATTGATATACAATCTTGTTCGCTTCGTCCGCCCAGAGTACACCTCCAACGGTCGATGGTACTGTTTCGTTTTTGTCTAGTTTGAATTGTCGCGGAAAACCGTCATTACTGTCATCCAGGTGGCCAGATTTGAGCCAAGTACCTGGAAGTAAAAGCGTCAAAGGCCATTGTGCGGTCATGGAATAGGTTTATAGACTCACTAGTGTAGTTTGTGGATTCTGCAGAAATGGGAGCCCAATTTACAAACCCGCCGTCTATTATCATCTCCCGATCGACGATAGTTGTAGAGTGGCCATGGAGTCGACAAAAGTTATCAAGCGGATCTCTTTGGCCATTGGAAATTGAAACCAGGAAGAGTACCAGCACACTTAATCTATGACCGAAAGACATGGGTCCGGAAGTTGCACAAGGCTGAGTTTCAGCTCAAGAAAACGAAAGGAAGAATAGAAAAACTAATGGACAAGCCAGCACTTAAGTCTCCCACTGCTGGGTTCGCCAAGCCGGTCAAAGCCCCAGGCTGAGTACACTTGATCATCGTAACCTAAGCTATGATTCACAGCATGGCGTGTGAAAGCTGCTTCTGAAGCGCAATCTTGGGAAGAGCGCCTTGGTAACCATGCCCAATGCGTTTGTGTGGCCGAAAACTACCAAAAGTATTGGTGAATCTCGACAAAGGCCTGGTTGGGTATATCAGCCTGGACCACGTGTCTGGAACCGGAGGTTCAAATATATGTATAGATTCGGTATCTTCCGGACACTGATCTGATGGAACTCTCAGATGCACAGAAACTTCACAATCACAGCTTATACACTGAATCAGACGGCGTAAAAACGTAGGAACTTGACATTCATTGATCCCGACAATAGACCTCGATGTGCTCAATAAAGTACAGCGTTAGCCTGGATACAGCGCCGGAACCCCACCAGCGCGAGTTCAGCCCCCGTGGACCCACGGTATCTTTGCCCCGCCTAAATTATCGACATGCGTCAGACACGGTACAACTAACTGGAGAAGCAGATGGAAAAACGCAGTTGGTTTTCAGCTATGGGGCCAGCCTACCGCCACATTCGCTTGCGGCTGAGGAATAAGCAAGTCGTGGGCTTCAACAGGAACGCGAGTACGAAAAAGACGATGGCGCGATATTGAGCCACCTTAGTCGCAGTAGTGAGTTCTGAGCGATGGGCTGTGTTTCTTAAAAAGTCGTACGCTCTTGCAAAGTTGGAGACAAGCTGCATGCCTACGTACTCACAACTAGAACTTATACTTGTTCATCCGACATTCGCATAATTCAAGATATTTTAACAGAAGGCGGAGCCTGTACGCAGCATCTATAGTTTGAAATAAATGTACTTGTAGGGTGATCTCCAGCGACACTGCGTTATGGCTACGTGATTAAGTCTAATGGAGGGTTTCGCTGCACTCAACAGATTTTGCTTGCATGAGGATCCTGCGCGCTGATGTAAATGGCAATTACATCATGTCTTGGCTCCCATATATGTATATATCCACAAGTGAATGACCCGTTACTCACATGCAATCGATTATCTGCTTCCTCATGCCTTCTTGCAGACCGCAGTGCTCATTTCCACAATTGGCGCGCGTAGTCGAAACTGAGAATGTTCACTTCTCCATAGGATCTGTTTCAAGCAAGAATATATCAAAAGCCCGTAGGATTGCATATATATGCTCTACTTTTTTTTTCTGTTGGAGTTTAGGTGATCCTACACACAGCGAAGGGTTACAGTCATGCTCTAATAACTGACCATGATGTGATGAGACGGGTGTCAACCGGAGTGACACGTCAAGAGGTGACAGCTCGGGTGCACAGTGTAACAAAAGTGATTTCGCAAATCACGCACAGTATACATTTGTAATACTCCTGTTAATTTGCAGAATGCTAGTCCTCCTGAAATGTCATCTGCTGACGTACTACCTCCCTGTACATACATCACGCTACCGACAAAACCTAGCTTTGGCAAAATATCCCATTTCCACCAAATTCCAGGGTAGCCCCAGCTTTTGGCTATTGCTATACTGCGCCTCTCGTGGCTATAAGTGCTTCAAGATAAATAGCCGCCTTAACATGAATTAGTGAAAGCTAGCAACTCTGCCACGGAACCTATAGGAGTTCGACGCCATAGCAGACATCGTCATGGAAAAACGAGCAATTTCTCAATCAGATAAGTCAAATCTGTCAACCATCTCGTATTCAACAGCTAGCCACAGGAATTCATGCAAAGCGGGGAATGCGCCGTAATCAGTCAGCGCAGCCAACGCAGCAGCTTCTCAGGGCTCTACCGTTATCTCAGCCGCAAACCGGGAGCGTTTACAGGTGTCGACAGGCGCAACAACTTTTCATTAAAAACAGTATCTCAATTGAGATACCCTTGGCTCAGAGAACTTGCGCAAGTGTCGAATCCACTGTCTTGATGCACGAATCACTGAAAGGCAGTGTACGACATCGTTCCCCCATGAGAGATGACTACTATAACTTATTCTGTTCCGTGTCAGACTGTTCCCACCGAATACACTCCAGTAGGTTGTGGCAAAAAGGAATATCCAAGTTCTTCTGGTACACGCGATTGCGCAGATCACTCGGGCGCGGAGGAGTAACCGCCCAACAACCACGTGACTATCGAACATTCACCTCAGCAACCATCTTCGTCTCCCAACATGACACCACCACCAACACTACTACGGGCAAAAAAATGGTGGAGATGCAGGGAATCGAACCCTGGACCACTCCCATGCTAAGGGAGTATTATACCACTAAACCACATCCCCATCGAAGAGTATTGTACTCTTTGTTGAAGAAACCTCCGGTGATTTAATTTATATAGCTTGTCAAAATTGCAGTTGTACAAAGGACACTATCTACTCGCAACATCTCAGAAACAACGACCTCCAACGCAATTTTGAAAAACTTTGTGCAAAATTCATCTGCAGGATCGCATATTAGTGCCGTTAGACCGGCGGAACGAAGCGAGATCGACAGATGGATGCCCCACTTGAGGCTCTATTCAGATATCGTGACCGCCTTTTCGACCCACCTTCACCCGACTGCCATATCAACGAAATCAAGGGCAATGATTTACTGAGTAGCAGGCTTACAATATTTCCCCATGAATTCGAATGTCTGCATGTCTCTTATTGACTATTGCGGAATGATCTACGCTACGGAACACTAAGGCGTTATTTCAATCACGGGCATGTTCTTCAGTGATGAAACATGCAAACCAGGGTATTTTTTCCTAGTTCAAACTTCAAACTCTGAACAAAACCGTGAAGCCTTCCCCAGAAAGAGAAGAAGAAGCAAATAAAACCATGGAATTAGGATCGGAGATCTATAATCTTGCAATTGCCCCTCAAACAGAATGTCGGAAGTGATACCTGTCCGTATATAAGCTCAAAGCTGTCTTCTTAGCCTAAACCTTGATCCATCCCTGGGCAATCCGCAAATCATCATCGGTGACTGGACCCTCGTCGCCCTTGCACTCTCCCTCAAAAGTCTCAGATACGTTGCCAGCAGGAACGTACACAGACTTGTCTTTCTCGGTACTCTTGTCCAGCCATCCACTGATCTACTTTTATGCCCACATTCTAGAGTGTCAATGGCGGTGCAAAAATGCCGTCCTCGTATATTCAACTATCTCGAATCTTCAGTGGGAGTTCAATCTATTGTCGGTGGATTTGGGGAAGTCGCGGCCATTCTGGGTGACGTTTTATCTTGAACCGTGTTGCGATGGGTGGACGGAGGCTCCTATGTGCTCTGGAGTAATCTTGTTCGATCTTCACATAGAGCGAATTATCGGACGACATGAACAACGCATATCAAAGCTAAAATGGAGAGTATTGATGATTAGAGCTCGAAAGAGCAGTTCGAAGTCGTAGCCGCAAAAGTAATTCAATGCAGTTTGTTTCCAAGCAGAAAGTGATACTCTTTCATACTGAATAGGTAATGGAAGACTTTCGCGAAGCTGGGAGTTGCTTCTAGTCTTCCATTGCCCGAAAATTCGTTGTCGTAGACTTATTTTTCTCGTTCCGAACTAGAACGATACGCCGTTTCAATGCGTACCGTGAAACAGATACAATGGTTTAAATCCTGTTCATCATTGTCTCAATCGCTATTCTGCGAGATGTCAACGTCACGACAAAAACCACCGCCATCATCCAAGGGGTTATGCATACCGAAAGTGGATCATTGGATGATTGGCGGACAAAAGTTCTGAATGACTCGGAATGGAATGAGGAATTAGCACATCGAAAATGATGTACTTTCAGATAGCGTAAGAATAGGTATAAAGACGAGACTCAGTAGCAAAAGTAATATACAAGCATATTAGTCACTATCGTCTGCCTCTTAGACTCAATGGAGGTGTTGTCGCACCTGCAGTATACAAAGATATGGTCCAGCGGTATTCATGTCATGATTAGTACAGTCTTGCGTCTAATATAATGAAAAAGGGAATGACAACGAAACAGATTTGAAGGAGGGGCGGAGATATATTTGTCTCCCATTTTACGTCAGCTGAACATTGAACATGACTTCAACAAAACAATCACAATTAGTGTGATATCCCCGTAGGCATTATTGATTCGGCACTCCGTTTCCAACCGTCTTTACTTTAGTCATGTCTATTCGATTATCCCCAATCCCCCATCATGACTGTGTCTTTGGATCCCGCCATCTACCCGCCAATGAGGCATTTTTGAAGCTATGTCAACAAGTTGTAACAGGCGCGTAGCTGTCTCCAGACACTGATGAAAGCATATATATCCGTGATCGAAGAAAGCAAAAGAGAAACGAGGCTGCTTATCGTCTGTAGCGCTTCATTGTAATCTCTCCCCTGTCAACGGAGCCTAGATAGCAATTTCAATCGAACGAACGAACAAAGGAAAGAAAGAGAGAGAGGATTACAAAATACCAAACCAGTGATTCACATCGCAAGTGTAGCAACAGCACATCTTTCCATCGACAGAGCCCAAGCAAAACTTCAGTAACAATCGCATTCTACAGGATTTGTAGCGCCTCGCTAACAATCTAAATCCACCGCCAACCTTTATCATCACCTCACTCCTCTCCATCCTCCACACGCTTCCCTTTCTTCCCAAACTTCCCTCCGCTCGAAATCACTCGCTAACGTCGGTATGCCCCAATATATCCTCTCGCCTCCTCGCCGCCGCCGCCGCCACATCAGATAACGAGCCCACTCTTCGAATTGCAAACGCTCGCGCTGAAACCTTCGCTGCTCTTCTTCGAACCGACATACGTTGACATGGAACTCGAATCGTCGTTGCTCGAAGACATGTTGGCGATGTTCCAAGTCTGCGATAGAGAGCGAGAGATAGGTTTCGCGGTCGTAAAGCGTGGGGTTATCAGGGTAGCGAGGTGGATACATATTTGCGGGATAAGTATCGATGTGAGGGGGATGACAAGGCGAGGTAATGTTGGGTGGTGAGCTGTATGATAGACTGGATATCCGTGGACTCAGCTCTTCGTCTTCTTCAGTAGCGGGTTCGTCGTGAGAGAGGGGCATGTGTGTTTCTATTTCTTCATTATCGTCATCGATATCGTCTTCTGAGTGGTCGGAGTCTTCGTGGATGGTTTCGGCGTAGCCCGTTGTTGGTTCTTGGAGCTTGTCTTCATCGATTATGTTTTCAGCTCGTATTGGTCTTTCGGCTGGTGAGGTTTGGTTTTCATCCTCGTAAAATGGAGTCGATAAGGTTGTTGTTTCTTGGTATTGCGAAGGATACATTCGGCGAGGAGGTAGATGGAAGAATAGTTGGGTCTGCCACGGATTGAATGAAGACATCGATATGATCCGATCATTCCTCGTTTGATCTAGATTGGCAGGATCTAGCCAACGCGTAGCCATGTCTTTTGTACTAAAGCATATGCAAACACAAAGGTGATCTTTGGGAGACAGATCATTAAAGAAAAGATGTCAGGTTTGATGAGTGTTCTGGTTGGCAGCAAGTCTGTTCGTAATCGATTGTAGAATTAATACATATCCAGACCTGGTAACCTAGCTGTAGTTCATAGGGGGCTATGTAAATGGATCCACGTAGGAAGCAAACAATGCTTGTGCTGCTGGTGTAATGATGTGCTAGACCTGAGTAACATTGCGAGGAACAGCTGGACCTAGCATACCTAACTCGCCAGAACCATCATACCAAACGAAGCCCGTCAAAATAGTCGACTCTAAATAGGAAGAATTCACTGCAACCGCAGGTCCTCGTCACTAAGCACGCCGTACAGCTTCTCGATTTCCTGCCCGATTACCTTGAGGTTCTGCGCAAGCTGTCCAGTCACCAGAGCTACGAAACATATCAGCCAATGTACTGATTTCTCAAGATCGAGAACGAACTTACCATAAGCGTACAGCAACTCGTAATCCTCATCGGTAGTCACCACCTTGCTTAGTTCGCTCCTTCGGAACTCAAATACCTTAGCCAGCAGCCGGTCGCGCGTATGTTCGACGTCGGGTAAAACGTCGTTGAGCGGATATTCTAACTTCATAGAGGATGCCATGACTATAGCTTGATTAGCGCCAGACCTCATGTGCAGTCGCAATTCGTATACTAACCGGAGAACAGATGACTAATCCGCCAACTCAAATCCATCCACTCTTTCTTCGTGTACTTCAGGATCTCTTTCTCGCCCTCACTCGCCTTCAAGTCTTTGAGAATAATGACATTCATAGCATGAAAGCTGTCTAGTATGCGACTCGTTGCATCTAGTATGACCTTGAAATTCGAGTCGGGGAACGGGCCCTTGAGTTCAAACTCCGATGCCGCAGAGTTACGCAGGCCGTCCAGATTGTTCAAGAATCGGCGAAGTTCGGTTTCCTCACGCAGCGTCATGTAGCTTGGATTTGAGCCGTCTTCCGAGGTGACTGACTCAAGAAGTGTCTTCAGCGGCCCTTGCTTCATGACCAAACTCATCTTAAGCCAAAGCAGGGAGGTTCCTTTCTTGACCTTTTTGCGTGCTGAAATGGGCCATATGAGTCGTGTGACGACAATGCCCCACAAGCAGCCTATCATAACTGCTACCACACGGTGGATGACGATTTCCCAGATCTCGGGCGAGATGCCACCTTCGTCGTCATCGTCATCGTCATCGCGGACGGAGAGCGAGTATGCATATAGAGCGGACAGGTTATATGTCAGCATGATGAATCGGCCCATGGGACCTTTCCCTTGGGCTACAATGATGTAAAAGCACCCCATTGACACTATCCAGCCAAACAGTCCAAGCACGAATGGATTCTCATGGGCAGCGATCCATGCAATGATCGCAAACACAGCGCCCAAGCATGTGCCGAAGAAACGTTGGAAGCCGGTAGTATTGGAAGCACCGATTGTCTTGAGCAAGTCAGCAAACAAGTCTCATGGGGACATGAGGGGACCATACCATTGAACAGACCAACATATACGATAAAAGACCCCACTCGCCTCGCCAGTGACCATAAAATTCTCGAGTTTCCGGGATGAAGGACCACATGGCGTAGAGAACAGCGCCAATGCCGACCTTGGCCGCATATCGGATGTCGTCGCGACGGAAAACACTGAGTTTAAGCCACACTCGGTAGGACAGTGGTTGCTCATGGACTGACTTGTCTGGATTGCCTCGTGTAGACTTGCGATAGATGGGTCGGTGGATCTCCCGATTCCCATGCTCTACACGATCATCAAGTAGACTCGCATGTGCTGGAGAACATTAGCTTGCAGGAACTCAAATCGATGACTCTCAATACACACCCTTGTCGTCTTGATGCGTCATTTTTCGGAGCCATGACCATCTCCGCCAAAACTTCAACCAGTTCCAAGTACGTCGGCGCGGCCAGCGCTTGGCACAATCTTTCAATTCATCGAGTACATCTAAAAACACGACCATATCTTCCGTGAAGTCCTGAAGAGATGAACTGAAATAGCCGCAGGACGCTGCGACCTCTTCGAAATCAGCAGCAACAGCAACCGAGCCGGTCTTGGTAGGAATCTTATTCCCGTAGACGGATGCGAGAGCTTCTTTCCTAGCATTGATAAAGAGCTTGTTTGCATCAATCAAGCTGTGGCGGAAATGCTCGTTGATAGACATTTCATAGTCTGGCCCAGGGCCATATGGAAGCTCATCAAGCACTTCGCGCAGTGTGTAGGCCAGCGATTTCTGAATGAAATTAACTTTTGCACCAAGAGCTCGAAAATTTTACTCACCATAGGAGGACCCAACTGCGCGATGAAAACAGAAAACATGTCAGCAGGTGTGAAGTTTGATTGCATTGGTTCGGGGATCTTGAATGAGCCGTTTTTGGGCCTACTCGACTCGTCCTCTGAATTTTCAGCAGAAGTCTCTTGGACCTCATCAATGGAAGCGAGCACGCTTGTTCTTCGTTCCGAATGGCTCAAGGCCGGAGAAAGGACTGGGGATATCTCGCTGTCGGAGAACACACGCGAACTGGACCTGCTTAAAACGGATCTTTCCGCAGCTGTTCCATGCTGGGGATCTGTTTGTGAGAGAAGTGTGAACTGTGTCTCCGCCGCACTGCGCAATCCACCGATACTCTGCATGAGCTGCTCGAGACACTTGACTAGTTGTGATGAGATCCTGTGTTCTTCCTCCGTTCCAAAAGCATAATGCTCATATTTTGCTTCTCCGAGATTTTTAAGAAGTGTTTTGTACAAAGCCTTGCTCTGATTAGAAGCTTTGACAAAAGCTGGGTTCTTCAGGTCCTCCTCAGAGCCAGAAAGAAAGCTCCGAGTGATATCAGTCAACATCTCCCCCATAGAATCGCAAGCCTTGATGAAGGTATCACGGAATTCTTTCCGGGCAGAACTCGGCTTGATCAGGAGAGAGACGGCGGAGGTAGCCATTGTTCCCATGATGATCATCTTCAGGACTTGCCAGATCTTGTTATACGAGAAATGGGCTTCCTGCACCGCGCCTTCCTTGGTCAAGACTGTGATGAGAGCTAGGGAAGTCAACGAGCAAGCAACGTTTACCAGCGGGTTTCCTAGTCTCTGCTTTGTCCAACCGACAAGGCCTAATCCGCCACCACAAAACATAACGAGCACGATGACATGACCGACAATGAGGTGGTGCTGGCTGTTGAAGAAGACAGACACGGCCATACTCGTAAAGGAGATGAAAGCAGCATACAAGAATGCTGCGAATGCCAATATGATAGCCTCAATCATGCTTCCCGCGGAGCGTGCTGGGTGGAAATAAACCGTGATTGTCGCTACCATGTGTTTTCCATCATTTCTCCCTAGCAGTCCCGATATAACGGGCACAAACGTTGCCAGACTGCCTAGCATGTATGCTATCGAGCATTTCAAAATGTTGATGCCCATTGGAGATTTTGCAAACTTGTAGGCGGATTGCGCTCGAGACTTGCAGCCCTTCGTAAAAGCCTCCACCTTGCCCATTTCTCGGTAGCGGTCTGGGTCCGATTGTCCAGGATCAAGGAGAAAGTCGGCCGATTCGTGGGAGGCGGAGCGGGCTCTGCGGAGGGTGAAGCTTTTCTTGACGCGCTGGCCAGTGCTCGCTTGAATCATTGTCGCTGAACGTAGCTGGGTTATTGTGAGCATCATCCGTTCATCCTATTGAGCCAACCGCGTGGATGGCGCGTCAAAGAAACTTACGCTGGGCCGTAAAGCACGGCGCTCTGCCGCCGACTGCGACGATTCAACCATACTGATGGCGTTTTGAATTGTATCAGGCTACCGGAATGTTGCTAACATTGTCGTTGGTATCGACATGGAGTTGGTGGGTGGAAAGGCGTTGAACGGAGTGAGCGACTTCATCAAGCTCCAACGATCGCCAAGCGCCAGTCTTACGTCGTCATGGTGCATGCTACGTACTACAAGTGGATGTACCATTGATATAGCGAATAGGCAGAAGGCTGCATCGCGTTTACAGACTTGCTCATCTTGGAGGTCTATAGAGTTGAATGATAATCCATTAGCAATAGACCACTATTCTCTCGAATGTAAAGCCACAATCGGTGTCTACTAACTTGGATGCTTAGGTACATGGAGGATTGCTCGTTGCCGCACTCCGATTGGTCGCTGCTGCCAGCTGTCTGCTAGCGCGTGCTTAGCTAAGCTTGAGGTGCTAGCTTTTGTGTTGTTCTGTATAGGGCCTTGAACGTTAACCTGACAGGCGAAATCCACCACACCGGTTGAACATATCAGGAAAACCGAAAAGATGGACGACGAGGAAATTAATGACGATATGCTCGCGGCAATGGGGTTCTCGTCCTTTGGCGGTACCAAGAAGAGAAAGTTTGATCACACCAATTCGCCGAAGACAGGACCGGATGTCAGTGGTGCAAACACAACCCAGCTCGGCACTCGACCCAAAATCAAAAAGGACAATGACATGGGCGCATTCGGAGCGGATAATACTACAGGCGATACTGGGTCCAAGGAGAAGCAAAAACAAAAGCAACCAGCGCCGTCAGGTCTCGCTGCTTTCTTGAACCGGGGACAGAACTTACCTAACAAGCCGCCAATGTCAACAACCAACGAGGCTCGTCAACCAACTCCAATCGGTCACCAAAATCAAGACGCCACTTTCATGGTATCCTTCGGAGGACCCTCAATCCCTCGAGCGGAACTGAATGCACTGCGGACTGGCGTACTAGCCTCCAACGGAAAGGACACCGCCTACTTTCTCCCAAGTTTCGTCGAGGATCCGTGGTCCAGCTCTCGGAAAGCCTGAAGCAAGAACGCGCAATGTCTTGCAGCGCTCAAAAACACTCTTCCTTGGGCTGTTGCTCGCGGAGACTCGTATTGCTGGGATCTGCCGAGACCCAAAACCCGAATCAACGCGCCTCAAGCCACCCGAGACTTACATATGACATTCCCGTGCTGCGCCATACACGTTGTACATATACACATGCCCGGCTCACATCTATGCGTCCGCCACAGTATCACTGCAGGAAGGGCGGACGTTTCAAAAGCCCCCTACCCGTTGAACTTGCCCCGCATCTTACTCCTCATCATTCGTGTTATGTTCCTGCGACAACCTTCCGAGGAGCCTCGGAACCACCACCGTTACCGTCAATTTTCGTGTCGTACTTGGGCTTCACCGACGGTCAACTCCATGTGCAGCGGTGACGTCTCCACATGATTTGTTCGACCGGAGCATGGTAATTTGGGTTCTACAACTAGGTACCGACGAGAATTTTGTCCAACAGCCACGCGGCAGTTCTCGAGGACTGTTTCACGGAGGACAGGCCTGGGCTTGAAGGGGACGCGCTATTATATCCCGGGACACTTGGGTATCTGATATTGAATACCTTCAAGTATTTGAAGTTTCAAACAACCATCAAATGCCTTCAATTAGTCAGACACAAAAGTATGCAACCCCCTTCCTTCCTTTGCCTGCCAAACCCTGCCCCTAGACACCCACCCCCCATTGTTTGCCTATTTCGAGAGCCAACCCCACACCCGATGCGATGCTGTGTATTCCAAATGAACTTTCTCCTTCTATTCGCCGTGCAAAAAAAAAAAAACTCTTGAAGCAAGGTAAGCTTGTAGTCTGTGCTGTGCTTCCATCCCCAACATAATGACCTTTTCTTGAATTCCCGTTTCTGGGTACTACCTCGGTTCAACTTCCCCCGTACACAGCTATACGACTCTCCATACGAAATCCCCCCCATACAAACAAAACCCATCTACAACAACGCACCACCCCCATCTACCCGCGCGCGTCTATCCTTCCTCCTCTCTACCTTAAACTCGCTCGCCCGCTCACATCCCCTATCACGATTCAAACCCCATTTTACCCTCTCAACAGAAAAAGAAAAAATCAGCAAAGAATCTACATATCTATACAGCCTTTCATCTTCCCTAGCACTACTATCTCTTATCCTACTGTCTCCTCCTCCTCTTCACTCCACTACATTACACTACACTACACTGCACTGCACTATACACTCTCTTATCCCCCTCAAGTCCTCTATGAGAAAAGAAAAAAGGGGATAAAAATGATGGGACATGAATATACTACACCACCCACCATGGACAGAAAAGCCAAAAAAAAGAAGAGGAAGAGAAAAGAGGAAAAGAAAGAGGAACAAGAAAGACAAAAAAAAAGATTAGAATTGTTTCCTATTACAATCATATATATAGGTATGTGATTGCGTGAGTACAAAATAGGCAAAACACGCACTACTCAGACAACATACACACTTATGTATACTCGCACGCACGCTAGCTATATATACATAAATAAATATACATACATATATATATATATATATATATATGCCCAACCACACAACAACCCTCCCCATCTTACTCCATCCATCACACCCATCTCGTACCTAGCTAGCCGACCCATCCCCATCCCCATCCACATCCACATCCACACATCCACACACGTAGCAACAAACCACCCATTTCGTAATCACATCCCTACCACATCACAATCACAATCACATTGCATGAACGAGCTCGCTCGGCGGGCCGACCCGCTGTATGCTTCCGGCACATAGTCACCGCGACCACCCACCAGTGATACACTACTGCAAGGGCATGTATGAAAAATCAAGAAGCAAGCACGCTATCAACCGCACCGCTGGGACACGCTGGGGCGGGGGCTAGAACAAAGACGGATGGATGGATGGATGGATGGATAGGATAGGATAGCTAGAACGGAGGGGTCTGCACATGGAGAGAATGAATGAGGGTTCCGGGGGAGTGGGTCGGTGGGTTAGTCAGGGGGAGCGAGGGGGGGGGGATTGTGCGGATGTTGTGGATGTGGATGCGGGATTAAAGCAGCGAGGGAGTGGGATTGGGGGGGAGGGTTTGTGGGTTAGGGGACTTGATGGATGGGGGCTTTGCAGGGAGAGTGAGTGTTTGAGGATAGAAATAGTTAATTTCCTTTTTCTTTTTTCCTCTTCTTTTTTAGGGGCAAGGAGGAGGAGTGTGCTCTTTTCTGGGCAGTCATGGTGCGGAGGAGAAGAGGGGGGCATGTGTGGAGCCTTGGGGCAGCGGGATAGGATGTCGTGGTGTTTTGAGAACTTTTTTTTTTCTTCTCTCGTTGTTTTGCGTGCTTGCGTGCTTGCGTGCTTGCTTGCTTGATTAGTTACCAGGGGAGACGGGTGTGTTGCTGGGGGGAAGAACATCGTATCCAGCGAGGGTGAAGGGGGGGTAAAGGAAATTGAACCGCAGACATGGGAAAACTAGTGAAATTGTGTATCTCTGTAGAAACGATGGCAGAAAAACCAGGCGCCGGATGAGAAGATAACATAAAAGCAGAAATCCACCCTAGCTGTCCCACATTTTCATTCACTTCGAGATATCTGTCCGTATAAGAGGTTGTAAAAAAAGTGAAAAAAAGGTGAATGAACTGAATATTTCGAGATCGCCGCCGTTTCATCCGTGATGTTGTGTATTCTTAAGACAGTGAGATAGTAAAGGACTCTGAAAAGAGAGGGGGAAGGGAACACAGGGAAAGTGGCCGTAATCGTATCGTAGCGTAGAAAAGATTCATCAACAGGAGACGAGTTTTCATATATCGTCGTTTTTCCGCTTTCAGAAAAGAGAAGGAGGTGGTTGGCTGGAATGAAAAAGAAGGTTGGATATCCGATCTCGGCCAGCCGATTTATACAGAGGGGGTGAGGGAGAAGAGAAAAAGAATCTCTTTTCCTCTAGTAATCAACGGGTGCCGGGTATCGTCGCTGAGCAGCCTTGAATTGTTCGGGATATTTCTTAGCGGCGCGATTGTTCAATGAACTGTCGATTTTGCGTTCATGGTCAGCTTACGTGGTTCCAAACAAACCAACAGATAACAAACAGGGAAACAAAACAACGTTTGCTGGATCGGCTGCGGCGCGTGGGTTTTTGGCGCTTGCAAACAAACTCGAGCGAGGGGAAAAAAATGGATGCGTTGTTTGATGATGGTTCGCACGCAGGAGCGAAGGAAGATGAACTGGTGGGGTAGTACTGACTCGACACGCTGCTGCGTCCACTGCAAATCCTTCTGCACTCCCCTCGCGGTCCTCATGCCCTCTGCAAAATTCACTTTGACGCCTGCGAGTCTTTGTTGTGCGAGGGCCTGCAATTGGAGGAGCTCGCGGTGTTTTGCGTTGAGCTCTCCGGATCTGATGACCGTTCAAATCTCGTTAGCATGTTGCTGTTGTCTTCAGGTAGTTTCCCCGGGATCCATTGAACCGTTTGATTGGGGGGGATCAGAAACTCACGCTTTGGCTTGCGTTGCTAGACTTCGGTCCAAGCGTGTTGAATCGAGGCTGCCGTTCAATCGCTCGCCCATGTACTCTAGCAAATCGACACCGCCTGCCGCACCGCCGCTGGCGGAATCGTAGTCTGACGCGCTTCCTGCATAGCTAGATGACGTGGCAGACGGTTCGTAGGAGGCAACACCCGAGGTTGTGGCACTGTGGGGTGCTTCGGGGGGTGAGGCGGAGACGTGTGAGTATTGCTGATTTGGTTGAGGGTAGTAGTAGCCTGGCTTCTGTGGCATATGGATGGGTAGAGGAGACGACGATGGGTAGGAAGGGTGGTGGGGTTGGTTGGGGTATGAGTACATCATGTGGGCGTTAGACATGTCGACGGGCTTTTGAGAAGATGATGAGGGTCCGGTCCTGTATTGTGAAGCTGTATAGGGTGTGGTAGGGTGTGTTTGATACTGAGCACTGGTGGAAGGCATGTATGTATGTTGGAAGACGGCACAACGTAGTAGTTGATGTAGCTTGAAGGCAAGATATCTCAAAGTCCAAAAGAATTGAGGGAAAAGAGAATGAGAAATCCAAACTCGCCTTCCCTCGATCAAGACTCCCTTTTATACCTGCTTCCGGCATAAGTACGGCAATATGGTCCACGGGGGGTGGGCATCTTGGAGACCCCCTATACGTCCATGGCAAGATATGACCTTTGTGAACCCCGCCCCGGGTGATGATACAGGCTGCATAGTCCCACGACCACTGAGAGTCAATTGCCGTCGAGATCCGAAGCTAAGAAGCACGAGAAGGTCTGGGTCTGGGGTGGATGAGAGTGGACGAAGCTCAAGGCGGCGAATGGATGCACGATGCACGAGTGGAATGGCATGCTCTCGGGCCCAGCACGCGTGGTGTCGGACCAAACAGCCAAATGGAAAACGATGGAGGAATTTCCAGATCAGGAAGAGTGCAAAGAACGATTCCATCAGGCGTGCCATGGCCCTGGTTGAATTGGACACATGGTATGCAGATTGACAGGTGTGTAGATGGTAAGCCGGCAAGCAAGCAGATACGGTAGTGTCAGTTGTAGAGCAGCAGCAGCAGCAGCAGCGCAAGCAGTGAGAAGGGAAGAAAAAAAAAAGGTAAAGGCAGCAAGACATTGGGTCCAAGGCTAAGCGCAGCAGACGCGGACCCCAGCTCCAGGGCAAAAGCAGCAAGGGAGGGAGCTGTGGGCTGGCAGTAGGTGCATAAACGGACATGCTAAGTGCTGTCAAAAGTGATGCGTTGGCTCGACAGCACGCCAGCGCCTTCGAAGCAGGCAATCTGGCAATGGCAGGTCGGGAGTCGTAATGATCATCGAGCTAGGCGCTGCAAGTGCCAATTGCCAGATGGATGCGAGATTGAGGGCGATGGAAGTGGCATTGTTGGAAGAGGGAATGGTTGTTGGATGGGGGGGAAGATTGGTGTTGTCTGTCCACGTCGGGGTGTCGTCGTTGAACACCACCACCACCAGCAACAAACACCACAAACACAAACACCACCACCACCACCACCACAACCTCAGCAACGCTAAACGTTGGCAAACGAAACGAATTTCGGGCCGGCGCGAGCCCCTCCCTCCCTTCCTTCGCATTCTCACTCTCACTCTCACTCTCCAGCGCGAACGGACGAACGAACCATGAGCCCACTGGTGATCCATGTTCTTTGCCGGTGCGTCATTCTCGCCAGTTCATCAGGGCTGAAGACGGGCATTGCATTGGCTGAATTCAACCCCCATGTCATGCCTGGAGTAAGATGGACCAGGTATTGATGCCCTACCACCACCACCATCCCCATCACCGAATAAGAACCCCTGTCGACAACGTACATACATACATACATACCTACATACATTACATTTCCTCCCTACCTATCTACATACAACACACGTAGCATAGCAATATGTCCTGTAAGACCCCAACACCCGTCTTTTTCCCCCCCTAACCCCCCGTTCGTGTTTCGGTACTACACAACTCGCATATCCCGCAAACGCCGCAGAAGCAAACCATCAATTTCCATGCGCTCGCTCGCTCCCATCCCTCCTTCACCGCCACCACAAAGGACAATGGTGGATTGAGCGTTCCACGACATGCCCCGATCGTTCCCTTCAACATTTCCATGTAGCTTCATGTGACCGGCCGCCCCCCCTGCAATATCCGCTGCTTTGCTCACCAGCTAGCTAGCTACTACAGCTGATTCGGCACTCCCGCCTTTAATCCAACCCCCCTGTCTGTTCACCGTCTGTGAAAATACATATATCCCGTTGCACCGGGGCCCTCGCCAAATCTAGTCTCGAACCCACGGGATGCCAAAAAAAAAAATTGAAACGAAATGCCCCGACTCCATGGACGACCCGTTGTCAGAGGGCAAAAACTATATTTGCTATATGCGCCGCAACGCAGAGCCTTGGCTGGAATATCGTACCCCGTTACACGATCCACACACACACACACACACATACGGGGGAGTGCAATGCAGTGACTTTTTGTGTTTGCGATGGAGCACTTCCGGTATACTCACGCACCTTGTACTAAGCATATATGCGCTTGCGGTATAATTGCTTGATAAAGCAGAAAATAAAAACCTAATAATGTATCATAACGTGCTGCAAAGCATAAAGTAGTAAAGAATAAAGCTGTACTACTCATAAGCTTAACGAACGGCAGCTCCCCGACTACCACCCAACTATATACGCCTGACTATTCTGCCTCGCAGAACAAAGAAAGAAAAAAGAATTTTATATGGGATTGTAACGTGCTATAAAGCGGAGAGTAGTAAAGAGATGAGTAGTAGTATATATAAGCCTAGTAGCGAACAACTTTATTTTAATGTTTTGCAGTATGGTACTTCTAGGATACTTATAAACCTTCTACTAAGCAGCTGTAAAGCTGGATATACTACTTAGCCAACAGATTACAAGAAGCTAATGATCAATTGTAAGGTGCTGTATAATGTAAGGTAGTAATAGGTAGGCAGCAGTACTTATAAGTATAGCAGATGACGACACTATTAGTGTCACGTAGTTGGAGTGCCATGCTGTGCACGAAAGAATGACTAGATGATATGTATTCCTGCCACCCAACGCAAACATCTATATACGTAGTGTGTCTCGATGCATTATGCACATGTACAAAAAACAAATCTACTTGTTGGCAGCAATGGCCGAAGAGATGATTCTAGCAAAGCGGCCCGGCACATCCTGATCTTCTTTGGCGGTTTCAATCGCCGTCAGGATCCTCTTGATCCCGACACCTACCGCTGCGCTACCTGTAATCTCCTGTATTTCGCCAATCGCTCGTCGCATGTCATGCTCGGGGAATCCGCCAGAATGTTGCAGAATGTGCGCGAGCTCTGCTTGCGAGTTGACGTTGGGCACTGCAATCTCGGCGTCAAACCGGCTGAAGAGCTCTAGCTGTTGCAATACCGATCGCATTGTCGTGGTAACAAAAATCAGCAATCGGCGGTCCTGTTCATAGTATTAGTGTGCATCCTCCAGTGACAGATAGCTCTCTAAACTCACCTTTGGCGGCCGTTTGCCGAGCAAGACCTTCAGAGCTACAAGCACAGTGTTGCTGAAACGAGGGCCAATGGGCACCCAGTCCACCAACGTCTCGATATCGTCAATCACAACGATGCTAAGAGGACTCTTGTACGCATCTCGGAAGATCTTATCGAGCTGCTGGACCTTCTGCATTTCGCTAAACCCTACCATGTCCTCTGGGGAAACGAGTTTGATGAATGGGAATTCCGAATCGAGGGCCATTTTGGACGCGAGCGCCGTCTTACCACTACCCGGTGGTCCGTGCAGAGCAACAGAGAGCAGTGGCGTGGAACCGGTCCCAACCTGTTTGATGTATAACCTGGCGTCTTCAAGAATGTCATTGATGAATGGCGAGAAGTGGAGGATACCGCCCGATAAACGCTGCGTCAACTCTCCCTCAGCCGCACCGAACAAGGGCTGCACCTCGTCCAACGCACTCAGGAAATCCAGGCGATTGACCTTCATGTGCTCAACGCTGGGGTCTATCGAGGCCATGGTACCGACTTTGATGTGGCGATTGAAAGCAAACGACGACGCAGCCTTTACTAGACCGTTGATCTCGGCACCTGAGAAGTTCTTGGTGAGCTTGGCGATCTCGTCGACATTGACGTCGCTATCGAGAACGTTGTCGGCCCGCATTTTGGTGGTGTGGATCTTCAGAATCTGGGCACGGCCAGCCTCGTCGGGGAGGGAGATTTCCATGTGAACCTCAAGACGTCCAGCACGGAGTAGCGCTTCATCGATCATGTCCTTCCTGTTTGTCATACCAATGAGCAAGATGTTATTCAACTGATCCACGCCGTCAAGCTTGGAAAGCAGCTGATTGACCACACTGTCCCCAACACCAGTGCCGCCCGAACCAGATCCTCTCTGCTTGCACACGGCATCCAACTCGTCGAAGATGATGATGTGCAGGCCAGACTCGTCGCCCTTTTCCTTGTATTCCTTTTCCGCGTCCGCGAAGAGTTTGCGGATATTTTCTTCAGATTGTCCAACGTATTTGTTCAAAACCTCGGGTCCGTTGATCACCTTGGGCGGTCTAGCGTTCAGCATGTTGCCGATTTGACGAGCGATGAGTGTCTTTCCGGTTCCGGGGGGACCATACAACAAGATACCCTTGACGTGCTGAATACCGAGCTTTTCCACCAAGCCGGGCGGGAAGATGCGAGAGGCGAAGGCTCTTCGGAAGATGGCACTGAACTCCTTATCCAGACCACCAATGCCCATATCCTCGAACTTGAAACCTGGCTGGACAATGGAGTTGGCAGCAGGGCGTCTGCTGGAGGCCTTAATCTTGATGTCGGTTCGTGCGTCCTTGAAGAAATCGGCTTGTGTGTTGGGGGTGAGAATACCGCGGGCATTCATATCAGTGACAGGAGCTCCAGCCGCAGTTTCCTTTTCCATAGCAAGGTGGACCAGCTGAACTGTTCGGACAGATAGTCTCAAAACGATGCTCTTAAAATCCATGAGAAGTTGTTGTCCGGGAGCGAGAATTTGGTTTTCAAAGTTCTGTTAAGTGTCAGGCGCGTACTTTGCGCCGCAAAAGATTCACTCACCTTCTTTAGCAGCGCACCAAGCTCTTCTTGGTCGTATGGTGTCTCTGTTGTTTTCCTTGTAGCAAATCCGACCTCGATTTCGACATTTCCCAGGTAGGCCTGGTCGCCTTGGCTGAAAGCATCATAGTTCTCCACTGTGACCATATCATTTGGCCCAAGAGCAACTCCCGCCCACGTGCGTTGTACATCTGTCAGACCAATTTCGCCTGGTGGGCACTGCTCCATCGGTCGGGCAGAGAGAACGAAGCTTCCGTTGATGCGCACGTAGATATCTGAACCATCGCGAGACGGTGGGAAGTCCCTCGGATTCACGGCCACTCTGTGTATCGTGTTAACTTTAGACAAGTTTTGCCAAGTTCAATTATCAAAGGTCCTTACGTACAAGTTGCTCAAGGCGTATGAGTTGCCGCCCGGGCTCTTGATGGGGCGAAGTTGTAGAGGTCTCCCACCGCCCCGTACATCGGGCGGAGGAGCCCTCGAGGGCATCTGCTGGCCGTACTGAGGTGCGCCGCCCATTCTGGGATCTGGGTAGCCTGGCGATCTTTGTGGTGGGGGTTGCTGTTGTTGCGGAGGTGGGCGCCCGTAACCGTCGTTGCGTTGCGGCGGGCGAGGCGAACTGCCTGGTAAACCGGGAACTCGATCGCGATTGAACATGATTGTGAGGTGTGAGAAGACGCTATGAGGTGGTTGTATGTGTGTTATATAGACTATCGCGGTGGACACGTATCGTGGGAGAAGGGTTGCCCCGCGGGTCAGACAAAGGATGGTGCGGTCGCAAGTAGCGTAGGCGGCCGGATGGGTACTCGAGTACCAATGAGTAATTCCAGGCAGCAGGTGAGATTCACAGAATCCGTGGGAGAGTGGTTGCGATTATTAGTTGGTTGGCTGGGGAGGAGACAAGTGGAACATGTCGGCGCGGTCGCAATGGACGTTTCGCTTTCTGTCAGCTCGCAAGCAGGGACCAGAGCTCGGGCCTCGCCTCCGCTTAACACTATCTACACCCCGCATCATCGCATTTCCATGCGGCACAATCACTTGCACAGTCTCAAATCACAATCAAACCGCCTTCGAGCTCCAGGCAGAACACACATTTTCCGTGGTTCACGAAACTGACGAGTCATTGATAGCTGAGTGCTTCGCAGTCATAATATCTTGTTACCATTTGATTTCTATAGTATATAATGCGTCTACATATCCATGTCTAGCCTCGACTGCATCAATGAATGAACCAAACTCTTCGTCTTCCGCATAGAGTTGCAAGTGTATTGTATATTGTATAGTCTACTGTTACTTGGCCTATCACTTAGCCGGTGACGGCTGTGTTCACGGCTGCCTGATCAGAACCCCCGGCCTTCGCTGACCGACTTGCCGTCGCCGTACCTGTTCATCATGTCAGTGAATGATGATGAAAGACCGCCGCTTGACTTACCAGAGCCTTCCCATGCGGCAGTGCAGTCCCTTCTCTTCGCCCAAGATCCAGTTTCCACCATCCGGAATCTTGCCGTCATTGAACTCGGGCCAGAACTCTTTTTGCAGCCAACTGTTGATCTCCTCGATCTTTTGGATGAAACCCTCCATTTTCTGCCCATCATACGGGGCTGTGTCATTAGCAAAGTCCTTGGAGTCAATGAACCGCCCAATGGTCAAATGGCTCGATGGAACCACGTAGCGTGAGTCGACTGCCACACCAGTCTCTTTGCAGAGAGTGAACAGATCGCGTCGAAGATGGTGGTACGTGTACGCGTCATCGGCAAGGCTTCTGCCTTGGGGGAGTCCTTCGCCCGCCGCAGGTACAAAGCTCAGAGCCAGTGCAGAGGCATCGTATCCGATCATGGGTTTGATGAGGCGGGTCCTGTGGGAGTAGGTGTAGTCGGTGATGGACGGGATCTTTGGCTGCATCATGTCAACCAGCTGTTCGATTTCTCCAGCGGTTTTGGAGTGGGTGATTTCGAGCGCGGTGATGTGGAGGTTGTCTCGTGGCATGAGCCAGAGATGTGGAACGACACTACGAAGCTCTTGCTGCACTCGGTGGATCAAGTCTTTGATCTTCTCTGTAGGCCGTCCCCAGAACACGAGGCAATTTCTGGGATCCACGTATCCTGGCTCAATGGTTTGATCGTCCAGCTTCCTCAGGATGGGATCAATGATGGGTCCGGTGAAGCCCTTGTCGAGTATCTTTGCCTTCTGCTGAGCATTTCTGGCGCTGCGATGCTGGGCATATCGCTCCTGCAATTGGACCTGTTGCGTCTGTCAACCTTGCTGTTGTTCATCAAGCCATTTCGAATCAAGACCCAAGGACCTACCGGGTCATTGTTCGAGGCTGCAATCAAGGCATCGTAGGGGTTCTCGAATGCTGCCGTCGATACCCCACTCAGGTCTTCGAATGCATTGCTGGTCTGTGCTGACATCTTCATGCAGGGTTTGTCGGCGTGTTGTAGCGACTGCAGTGTCCCAGTGAGTTGTATATGTACTCCCGATGCGCGATGAGTCGTACGCACGAGAATTAGTAATGCAGTGTGCCTGGAACCTCACCACCAAGAGGTTGTCGGTGGTATTATCAGACTGTAGGTTCGAGGTGAGTCCCCCAAATGGCAATGCATCCGCTAGACGCAAGCCACGTCTCAATTGATACATACACTAAGTACCCGAGTACTTGGTAGTTTACATATGTACATAAAAACAACTACGATTAGGCACGACACGCGAAGAGCAAACATTCAAATGTTTGAAGACAGCTGGAGGGTCCGCACGCCCTCACGTGCCTCTCACGGTCTGACGCTAACGAGGAAGGAGCGGTCAACTGAACGGCAAGTACACTTGAACGTACCAGTTGACCTATTCAGTCGAGGTCAAAGCTCCTAGCAATCTGCACGTGGTTGCACTTCTACATTGAATATTGTTTGTTCCCCTCATATCTTCTTCAACTCCGGACATTGGCTTCGATGTGGCTCGCCCAATGGCCGTGAGCTTGTTCCCAAAGCGACCTACATAGTGTCCAGCCATCCTTACACAATGCCAAAGAGAAAATTTCCCACCCCTCGTGCTCAAAGCGTCGAGGTTCTGGACAGCATTGTTGTTGCTACAGGTCCACCGCAAGGACAGCCCGGGCTTAAGAAGCAAAAACAATCTCATTTATCACATACCGAAGACCGGCGTACTCCAAAGGAACCGCCGCCCAAAACACGCACTCCAGGTATGCGCTCTTCGACACCTAAATGAATTGATGCTGATCATTGTAGCTCGCAAGTCTGAACGCCTCGCGGCTCTCTGTCCGTGCCACGACCCGCCGGAGCCGTCGCCGCATGAGCCAGCTTGGAGGAGGCTCGGTCTTCGCCTTAAGAACGAGGACGACGAAGCCTCCTCTCCAAGTCAAACTCCAGTTCAGGAACCCCATAGGGCCGAGGAAGCCCAGGATACCTCTACAGAAAAAAGACAGTCCGACATCCCGATAATCGTTCTGGACGATTCTGATGATGGAGTCACAGCCGATGATGATGAGCTCACAGCAACTACTTCAATCCAAGACAGCTTACCTGAGACTCGAGCAACCTCTGTGACGCAGAACTCTGGAGATGATGCCCTGGATGTGGCCGCTATGCGCGGCAGACTACGAGCGCGGAAGAGGATCTCGTACTTTGGGATGAACCTGGGACCTGACCTAAATGACTCCGAAGCAACTCATGAAGATTCAGATTCCGAGCTTTCAACAGAGGTACCAGTACCAGTACCCGTACCAGCCCTCGCTGGTCACCGACGACGCCGCCAGGCTAGTGCCAGGAACGATCCAAAAAGGAGCGATGCCATTGATACGTCTCTCCCCCCGGTCAACAATGTCGAAGATTGCGTGTTAGACATGTGTTCCAAAGCCCTCGGGAAGGGTTTGGAAGAAGCTCTCGAGAGATTTGCCGGTCGGCAGATTAACGTTGCGACAATGATGTCGGGAACTGAATCGCCTGTCATCTTCATGCAGCTTTTGTCGAACAGCCTTCAAACGCTCGGGAAGGAACCAGTTCACATCAATCATGTCTTCAGTGCAGAGATAGACGCTATGAAGCAGGCATTCATCGAGAGAAATTTCCGCCCCTCGATACTGTTCAGGGACGCACGAGAATTTATTGCCGACAATACACATACAGCCTTCACCGCTTACGGCGCCGAGGTTCCAATCCCCGGCTTTCTTGACATACTCATCGCCGGGTTCGTGTGCAAGGACATATCGAGACTCAACAACAATCGCAAGGGTCTAGATGACAATGGCGAGTCGGGAGATACCTGGAGAGCTATCTACAGCTACTGTAAACGCTTTCGCCCCAGCATCGTTCTGCTAGAGAACGTCACAGGTTTGAAAGAGTACTGGAACAGCTTCGTATCCAAATGGAACGACATCGGCTACGATTGCGCCTGGATGATTGCAGATACCAAGGACTACTACATCCCGCAGACCCGCAACCGGATGTACATGATCGCAGTTAACCGAGAGCACTGCAGCTCCTCAGATGATTGCGCACGTACTGTGCGAGAATGGCAACAATTAATGAAACATTTTGAGCGCCCATGCAGCAGTTCCTTTGACCAATTTCTGCCAGAGACTGCCTTTGAACGCACCGAGCACAAGAGCCTTAGCTCAGAACCCGATTGGCCCTTATGCCGTCTCAGATATGCCCAAATCCGTTCTGAAGAGCACCTGGGTCTCCGCCGCCCTTTCACCCAATGGAGTGAAAACGGTTCAATCAAACCGGTTGATTTTGCAAATCGGACGTTTCTCAAATCCCAGTCATCTCGCGTCGCGGACTGCATCGAGATCCAATCTCTGCGGTCTGCGAAGACAGGATATGATGCACGATACTCCATGGAAATATGGGATGTGTCACAAAATGTTGACCGGTTCAAAAGCACCCAAGGAATAGTCCCTTGTATCACACCTAACGGTATTCCGTTCGCTACCCATATTCAAGATGTTTTAAATGGAAGGCAGTTGCTGCTGCTGCAAGGCATGCCTGAGGGGAAACTACTCTTCGGTTCAGAAACGCAGAAAGACTGTCAAGATCTTGCAGGAAACGCAATGACCACTACAGTGATTGGTGCATCGATCATCTCAGCGCTCATCGCCACCTCACGCACCGTAAACACTGTAGACCCTCCCAAAAATGCGCACAAACTCCTTGATTATGTCAACGTTGTGAGCGATTTGATTCCTCTAGTAGTTGAATCAATAATCATAACTTATCTCCACAAAGCTGCCGAGCTAGACCTCAAACAACTCCTTGTGGAAGCGAGACTCAGCTCAAAGCTTTGCGGGTGCGAGGGATCACAATTGACGTCAAAAGCCGATATACGTGTCTGTAATGAGTGTGGACATACAGCATGTACAGGGTGCTCGGGAAACCCCCATCATCAATTCAATCCTGGTGTCGGAAGGTATCATCGTATGTCGCCAGATGCGTTTGAAAACAAATGGCAGTCGCTACTCCCATCCCGTCTCTGCTTCCAAGGCCGCCTAGATCCTTCATCCTATCTCAAGAATATTCACCAAGCTCTCGCATCCTACATTGCCGGCATCAAACTCTCTTCTCAGCGATTTTATCTTTCAAAATTCATCAGACAAGAGCGATCTTGGAGCGTAATTTACGATTCGGAAAAAGCCACGTTAGTGCTTTCAATCACTGATCATGCTGAGTGGTTGATGACTTTTACATGTGACAGGAACGAGCCTGGCAACAGTAAATTAAGGGAAGCGCTTGCACAAGATTTTATTCGCGGTAAAGTCAGCACCGACCTTCTCAATCCCCGCTGGGAGATGCGATTGCCTACATCTGAATTTTTCTCCATGAATGCCACCTCATCTGAGCGCCGAATTAGTTCATGGAGAAATCGTCTTGGTCTTGTTGAATTTTGCGATGAGTCTGTCCCATTTGCACTCAAGTTCGAAAGTTCGGAATCTTCGGGTCAACGCCTCGTCGAGCTCGGTATCACGGGGAATTTCACGCTGCTACCAAATTGCGGCACAGCCATGGAAACCCTGTACAAATCTGAAAATGGGGTCTACTTGTTTCTTGATCAGAATCCCATCCGGTGGAGTGAGTCAAGCTTCGTATTCTCCCGAGATTGCCGCCGTATGGACCATGGGAATATCCGTCAAGTGCTCGCTCGCCTTGCTCCGTCATGGCGGCCTTGGAACCAGAAAGAGGAGCGTCTTCAAGTTCAGTTGTCTGTTCACGAGGTTTGGGCGCCCAGCGCCATAATGCTTTGCCCGCTCGTTTCACCACTTTCTGTCGGCTTTCCCAAGGCTTCTGCTTTGTCTGCAATCGATCTCCGCGACTGCGGACAAACCGTCATTGTTTCGGACATCAAAGTCGAAAAATCCATGCAATTCAATGAGGACTCACAGACTTCTTGTATCTTTAATGAGCTAAGGGAATTACCGGAATTCATGCATGCTGATTGGCATCCAGTGGAGTACCCAGTACCACTGTCATGCAACTGTTCGCCGACATTTCCGCGTTTGACATGGAGTGTTGATGCGAAAGGGGCAACTCCGCACGAAGACCGCAGGGAGGCTGCAATTTATGAGTGCAACATTAAATCTCGACGGTCGGTTTTTAAGGTTTTGTCATCTTGCTCTGATACAAGTGGTGATCTACAAGTGCAAGTCAGCATAAATCTGGCTTCACTAATTCATCGAGTCCGCGGCAAGTGGCCAAATCGTGCGCCCCGACTCTCCTGGAGAGTTATCAAAAATCATTCAAATCGCGCTTTGAATCAGCTCTCGAGCTTTGAACTACGTGATACAATCACAGAGACTCTGCATTGTCCACCGACTGGGTTTTTGTATGACCTGACTCAGGGCCAGAGGCGATCTCTGACTTGGATGGCGTCCCAAGAATCAGGAAATCCAGTTCTTTCTGTTTCTGAGATTGAAGAAGAAGTTGACAGTGAGCTTCGTTGGAGAGTAGAAGCAAAAGCAGAGGTTGATATGACACTACGGGGTGGTGTACTAGCCGATCTCCCCTCCTTTGGAAAAACCGTGACAACGATCGCATTGATCGAGAGCGAGCTACAGAAATGCACCCTAGATCAAATCGTCGCCCAGAACCGAAAAATCAGTCCCGAATTTCCAGCTCTCATAGAACTTGTCTCAACTCTGGTCATCTGCCCACCACATATCGTGCGCCAATGGCGATTGGAGTTTGAAAGCTGCCTGGGCGCAAAGCGCTGTGAGAACCTTGGGATTATTGCTATTGAGACCTTCGCCGATCTGGAGAAGATAAGCCATGGCGAGTTGTGTAACAGCCATGTTGTTATCGTGTCCTGGTCAGTTTTGGCGGACGAAAACTACATTACTCGACTTGCACAATTTGCCGCGATGCCGCCCCCCGCTAGTTTTCACGGGCGCGCATTCGATGCCTGGCTGGACTACGCATTGATCCAAGTTAAAGCTCGTGTCGAGAAACATATCAATCTAAATTCAGAGGAGCTTGACCTTGCCTTTCAATCACCGGATTTCAAGTCAGAGACCGAACGCTTGTACAAACAGCAACTGGAACACGAAGACTTCAAGACGATGGTGCCACTGAGATTACAGCACGGAAAAAACTATCAATCCTTTGAAGCAAGCCTATCAATGCCAACAAAGACAAAGGAGACTAATAACGCCCCATTGAAGAAATTGAAGCACGCGAAAGTAATACCACTCCTTCAGCTGTTCAACTTCAATCGCATTGTCGTCGATGAGTACCACTATCTGCGAGATGTCAGCATTGACCTATATCCAGCTTTTGCGGCTATTCAACGATTATCAGGCTACAAGCGCTGGGTACTCTCAGGCACACCTTCGATATCGAACTTCGAGGATGTTCATGACCTATCATTATTCCTGGGGGCGAGGCTGGCAGCGGACACCCGAAACCCCCAAAGCGAACAAACGGATGTTGAGAGGTTCATCGCTCGTACAGAAGTGAAGTCGTACCAGTGGCACCATGCACGACATGTTCAAGCTCAAAAGTTCTTGGATCGCTTTGCTCGACAGAATACGCCAGAACTGAGTCATATCGAATCAGTAGAGACATTGCAACCAGTTGAACTTCACACAGGACATTATGCTATATACCTTGAGCATTCGCAAATCTTGGTGGCTCATGAAATGCAGTTGAAAAAGCAGACCAAGTTCGGCGACCGATGGGATAGATTCAACGCCACCTTCAACAACGCGCGAACCGCTGAGGAAGCTCTTCAAAACATTGCTTTACTATATGAGACTGAGCAAGGAACTTCTAGCCTAGACTCATTGATTAAGCACCGGAAAGCCGATTGCGAGCGTGCGGAAGAAGACTTTCTCCGCCGCGCAAGACAACTGCACCGCTCAAATGACTCGAAGGCAATTGACTACTACCAGAATTTCAAGCAAGACGTTGTCAATAACAACATAGTTGGAGATCAAAAAGTGCGAGAGGTCATTTTGAGCTTGTTTCACGACGCAGAGAAGCACTCAGCAACCCTTGTTGAGCCCATCACTGCAACTGCCGTCAAACAATACGCCTCTGAGCTGCGAGAAATCGCCTATGAGCTGGCGCGTAGAGTGCGCAACGAGAGATTTATTCGCACCATAGAAGAACATTTACCCCACCTAGAAAATACTGCCAGCGAGCAGCTATACCAATGCAGCGCATCCGGTTGTTTAGGCGTCAGCAACCTTGATCAGTTGTTTCTGATTGCTCATTGCGGGCACACTGTCTGCCAAATTTGCCTGCAAACTAACGAGATCTCCCAATCATGCTTGGCACCTCAGTGTGAAAGCCATGTTCATTCAGTGAACTTGGTCAAAGTCACCGACTTGAGTTGTCGTCGAGAAACGACAGAAGTGAAGAGCTATGGAGCCAAGCTGGACGAAATTGCTCAAACAATCAACCGCATACCAGACGATGATCAGGTAATTTTGTTCGTTCCGAATTCCGAAGCTTCGAAATATATGGAGCGATTGTTTAAGACCGAGGACATTTCATTCTACTCACTAGGTACACGGAAGTCTGCCGCCGCTGGTATCCTAGAGGATTTCAAATCCCACGACACCGAAAAGAAGAGGAAGCTTCTGGTTCTGAATATCATGAATGAGTTCGCGGCTGGCGCGTACGTAATCTCCATCTGCCAACCTTATTGATTGCCCCACAACTAACAAACATCAGCAACCTAGTCAATGCGAACCATATCATCTTTGTGGCACCCCTCCTAACCAAGGACCAGTCGACCTACGATTCAGTCATGGCCCAAGCAATCGCGCGCTGCCGTCGTTACAGGCAAACCAAAACTGTACACGTCTACCATTTCGCGGCGCTGAAAACCATCGACATCGATATCTTGGAACACCGCCATAAGCTCTCTAGCCCGCTTCTCCAGTCTGATGCCGCGTCGGAGAACTGGCCTTGTGCCCCCGGAAAAAAGGGGAAATCGAAAATGATTCGCACATCGAACGGCGAAGTTGCTCTGGTGCCTCGGTCCTTGATCAAGAATGAGAAGCTGTGCAGTGAGATGGGTGTCACTGGTGAGACTTTCACCAGCTTGATCGGATTTTCAAACGCCTTTGAAGTGGAGCACGACGACTGAGCGAGAACTCGTCCATGCCTACCCTGCCGATTTGCGCCTTTGTTGCTAGGCATTGCTGTTGGTAGGCGTATTTGTAAAAGTTTTGGGTCCGGGAAGGACGTAATGAAATGTGTGAACAAAGTTCTTCTTTTTCTTTTTTTTTCCACGGGGCCGGAGTCGTTGTATTAATGCGCGCTTGGAAGTGGGATTGTGTTTTTTAAATGTGTGTTTGTATACTTGTTCTGCGATCCCTGTTCTATGCTTATTGCGTTTTTGCTTGTAAGATTAGTCTCCCCGTTTCAGGATTATACCCGCCTTTTTATTGGGCATTTTTGCTTGCCCCTTCTAATCCGACTTGTTCAATCTTCTTCAATCACACTTTAACCAATCGATGCATTTGCAAAAAAACTCTCAACCCATCTATCTATATCATCGAAGTCGGCAGAGTCAATGTTGGCTGGCGTTTTGAAGAATAAACACCCACCTTCGTATTCATCCTTCCCCCCTCCCCCAACCATCCCCCCTTTCTTTTATTCCCCTCGTCTTTGTCCTACGAAGAATCCCATAGTCAACAGCAGTAGTTCAGAGATTTCTCTCTCTTCAGTGGCTTTTTTTTTGGGGGGGACCAGGCACAGGTACCAAACCAGCAAACGGGGTAGATAGATGCTTTCAAGCATATTCCCAAATGGATTGGATGGGCTATTTTCCCTGAACACGATGCGTGTTTTATGATCGAACTTGTTAGACTCGAAGAATTTAACCCGCGGATTTGGCGAGTGAGGATCTGAGCACGAGCTCGAATGATAGAGAAGAAAAAAAAAAGGGGGGGGGGAATTGGATATCAATATGTGAATTTTTTTTTATGTTACAGCCAGACGATGATGCTGGTAATTGGAGAAAAAGAGAGAGAAAATAAAAAGGGGGTTGATTGATAGAATAGAAAGGTATACATGTTCTTTCCCAATGCCCAAAAGGCTAACGGCTATATCGATACATATGCATGCATGCATGCAAGAAAAAAAAAACGCAGTGACGAAACCAATGCAGGCACCTCAGGCGCGGCGCAAAACCCACGGTTCGTCGGCAACACGGCCTTCCAAGCCTGTAGCTCGTTCTCTCCACCCGCTGCCTCTCAACCCTCTGACGACCCACCACGCCTGCGCCGTGCAACTATTCACCGCGACGCCATTATACTGCGCGCCCGCGAGCCGTACGCGGCCACGGAATTTATTCCTAGTCTCAACGACGTGGTCGCGGAGTCTGTCTTCGTAGCCGACCGTGTATTGCGGGATGCAGTCCTTCCACAGGCCGACGTGGGTTGCGGCGGGCTCGTCGGTGATGTTGAGGTGGCGACGGACAATGGATTTGGCGAGCTCGACGCCTTCTGCGGAATCGGGGTACGAGTCCCAGCCGTCCCACCAGTGGCCGCCGAGCATGACGGTGAGTTTTGTGCCTTGGGCTGTGTCTTGCCCTTTGATGGCGTCCGAGTCGAAGGTTACGCCCAGAGCGCGCTCGGGGTTTTGGTCGAATGGAACGCCTTGTGGGATGAGGTAGCCGAAGCCCGGCACGGGGTTGAGGTTGGGTTTGGTGTAGTAGAGGTTGACTGTCATGACTGTGACATAAGGAGTAAGGGAGGGTTCACGGAGAGTGGAGATGACAATGTCGAAGTCGCGGGATGGTTCGCCCTGTGGTTGATGTTAGACAAGGGAGAGCGAGCTGGCGAGTCAAATAAGTAGTCTTACTTGAGCAACGACTTTGACCTTCTGCACTCCGTTGGTAGCCATCTCATATGATTCCACGCGAGTCCCGAGTTTCATGCGTACTCGAGGATTCCTGACGAGATTTTTGTGTAGAGCATCGGTCAACTGCTGGGTGCCGTTCTTGAACGTAAAGACACTGCACCTGCTGAGCAATCTTTCCAGGACGTGGTCCAGTTTGATCTCTTCGTCTTTGGCTTCCATGGCCTCTACGTAGTAAGGGGGACATAACCAGTGCGCCTTTCCATTTCGATAGGTCTGCATGTGAGCATCCAGAACTCCATTGCCTCTCACTTCCAAATGCCAGAGTTGTGACAGCAGTGACCTTGCACTGAGCTTCCACACGTCGCCCGCATAAATCCCATGAAAGACTGCGGATGCCAGACGCTGCACTAACCGCTCGTCCCACCGCCGGCTTATAAAGGAACCAATAGACTCGTCTTTCAATGAAGACCCACGTACGGGCCTGAACGGCTCTCGAAAAATTGTATGTATACCAGCCATTACGCCGCTCCGGATCAAACTGAACAAATTCGCCAGGCCCTGCCCGTTCGGCATGAGGTTGAGGCGATCGGGATAAAAGACGTACCGATTCTTCGCGCCGGGCGCTGTTTTGGAAGTAGTGAGGAGATCCTTCTTGAGACCCAATTCTTGAATCTGGTTTATATCAACGAAGATGCCTTTGCCAGAGATTTTTGGAGCTTACCAATTTCGCTGTTGGCAAATAGTCTACGGGCCTCAGCGTCCTGGGACCACATTCGAATAGTACATCGCCGCCTGCGACGGGAACTCGTTTGGATTGCACCCAGCCGCCTGGCTGTATTCCTGCTTCATACACGGTAATTTTACTTTCTGGGAACTCCTTGGAAGCGAAGTAGGCACTGGCGAGTCCAGCGATGCCTCCACCGAACACGGCGATATTTTCAGGATACGCTGCCGGAGAAGAGGCGTATCGGCGGCAACGAATGCATAGCGTGTTGGCGATGGAGGGGACAATCGCGCGTCTCATCGACGATTCCAGGAGTGGCACATGTCGCATGAGTCGCATTGCCATGTATGGGTGGGCAATTGAGCAGGACCTTGCGAATGCGGGTCAGGCGGAGCTACGTTGAGGTTGGATGTATGGAGGCTCGAGTACTGTACATAGATAGCTACTAGCGGCCGAGGGGTGAAGCTCGGGCCAGACCAAATCACATCATGTACGTCAGGCCATGTCAATCTTCACTATGAGTGCATGTAGACCAAGAAAAGCTTGTACAGACAAGAGCAGCCCCAAGGCCGCAAAGAAAAACAGAATCATGTTATTTTCCAGCCTCCAAGATGCCTGACCAAGAGCTGTCCAACGCCGACCCATTTCGGTACCCTAGCCTATATTACACAATCCATCCACTGTTGCATTGCTTTGCCAATCTAAGATTCATCCTGCCGGCCAAACTCCTGCAGCTTACAATGCTGCTTCTACCATCTCCGTGTTCGACTGCTGCTGTGTCTTGTCCGGGATAATTGGCTCCTCCTCCTTGCTCTCGTCTATAAATCTCCTCTGGCTCACATGATCCGTGTTCGCCTCTCCTCCATTCTTCGGCGCAACCCAGACATTGCTTTTCGCAGCTCCCTGCTTCTGACCCTCCTCATGCTTGTAAGGGCATCCTTGTCGAGTGCAAGGGTTGTATTTGCACATGACTTTGGAGTGATAGAATAAACAATTTGGCGTCGTGCAGTCGGCACCATTGCGACAGACGGGCGCAGTGGGGTGCTTATACGGGCAGTTCTTCTGATCGCGACAGTTTGGATAGAAGACGCAATCTTGTTCCGCTTGATATTGTTGCTTCTGAGCAGGAGAAGGGTGTTTGCCCACACATTTGCTGTTCTTGCAGGCTACGCCATACTCGCATGTCACATTCATATCCAGGGTGATTCCTCGAGGCGCGGCTGGAGACGAGTGCACGTACGGGCATTCGGCCTTTGCGCATCGTGTGTTGAAAACACAAACAGTCATAGATGGGTCGCGGCGTGGTGTTTCAGGTTCCTGCGCAGTTCCGTTCTCTGTAGCAGCAGTGTCGTCGGTCATGACATCATCCTGTCCTTCTTTCTTGGGGAATTTGGAGGACGCAGGCATGTTGTGCTTGTTTCCTTGATGACCGCCGCGGTTAGAGCCCTGGGATTTCTTACCACCCCTTGGTTGAAACGAGGGGTTGGGGAAGTTTGTGGGGACCTGGCCGGCAAAGATTTGCTGCATCATGGTCGCCTGTTGCTCGTACATGCTCATGAGAGCCATCTGCTGTGAAGGATTGAGCATGCCGGGCATGTTGTTCTGCCCCATGCCACCAGCCATGGGCATTCCAGGCATTGCGTTCATGTTGCTCATTCCGTTGTTGGCGTTGCCGGGTACCAAGTTCATGTTGTTCATGCCCCTGCCGCCGGCAAGAGCATCGAGCCCGCGTCCAACTTGCGATCCGTTGCGGGGTCCTTTTGGTGGTTCACGGGCGTTTCCGACGCGACCTGTACCTTGCGACCCCCGAACGCGATGCAAGGCGGAATCATCATGCCGGTTCATAGACTTGTTCATTTGATTGAGCATGCGACCACCGCGCGCGGGCTTAGGGCCACTGCCGTTGCGCATTGCTTTGGGTCCAGTAGGACTGTTCTTTGTCAGAATAAATCGTTTCATACCTGCTGGATGAGTAGGAGGGGGAGGAAGAGGATGTTGCCGGGACGTCGCAGTAAACTCTCGCGGAGATACGTCGATTGAAAGAATCGGTAATTCGCGAGTGTTTCTCTGGCGTCGAGCCGGAACTTTGGAAGAAGGGGGTAAGGAGATTGTAGTGTGCGCGTACATGTTACCTGACGAAGTCTCTGCGGTGCCCTCCATTTCCGTGTCCTGCGCATTTGCGGGAGCATCATTGGGGGCGTCGTCCATGCGATTTTGATCGGCATGCGCGATCTGGGCATTGCCAGCGGCATTGCCGCCGTTCAGCTGTTGGCGGAGGGTATCGATTTTCTCGAACAACCAGTGCGCAAACTGCTGTGTCTCGACATTTTCCGGGCCCAGATCAAGAAGATCGTTGGAAAGCTCAGAGGCGACTTGCGCTTCGTTCTTGTCGTTCGCAAGCATGAGAAGAATGTAGTCGAATAGAGTAGTGTCATCGCCGCCCGTGGTCCATCCACACTCGGCGAGCTTGGGTTGGACAAGAAGCTGCAGCTCCCTCGAGAGGGGCGAGCCAGCCGCAAACTCCTCCATGTTGATAGTGTCGGGGTGGGTAGAGCGGCTGTGCAGCTGGGTACCAGGCGGTCTTTGTAGCAACAGGCTTCGAGATAAAGGGAGAGATGGAGTGGCGACGGGTAAGTGCGCCTAGGTCGCGGGTTTTTGTCTGGCGCGCGAGGAGCCTGGTCAAAGGAAAGCTGGCAATAAAGAAAAGTGACCTGTATCCGCAGTAAACGGTAACTGCGAAGAGGGTTCGACTGCGAGTAGTGGGGGTTGACTTTGTGGTGTGCGGATGAAGATGGAGGCCGGAGAGCAGAGCACGTCTTATCACTGTGGTTGTTTGGAGGGAGACAGTTTCTTAGACGGCGCGCTAGTATGGTGGCCCGAGCGCCGACAGGTATGTATTGTACATTTATAGGATGTATGTAATGCACTGCTCGGAGGACCACCACCTGTACTTGAGCAGTCACCAATTAACTAATTGCTATTGTTGGCGTCAGTACTAACGCTCAAGAAAGAATACGGCATGCCACCCGGAGCTTGACTCATACTCAAGTTTACTAATGACTAATCTATTCCAACCCGCTGGTTCTTCTTGCTTCCATCATCTCGTCTTCACGTATAAACTTCTACTCGTTCGTGTCCAGACGTCGTCTCTAGTCTTGCCTCGGTTTCAGCATGTGTATTTGAATGCTGGCTCTACACATACTTCACTCTACAGATATACACGTACTTATAAGTAATCATACCTCTGCACCTGTCCATTGGTCATCAACGGAGTTCACATGGGATCACATTATGTGCCCATTTATATGTCGGTACCTTCGTGTTATGCACCTTGTTGTCAAACATTTTTCGCAAACACACTCACGCAATCATTCTTTCAGGCAATCGAACTGTTCAACTGAATACTTAGCCAGCTTCACCCAGATAAGTATATTTATAATCCAAATGCGGGTGCGCGTGTCTGCCTCCCGTCCCTTCCTTTGTACTACGACCAATGCCATCATCGACGAATCGGGACTAGCGCCAAGCTAGATTCAGCTTTTGCTTCTGAAAGGCCTCTTGCGCACCTCTCCACCACCCCAACCACCCCAACACCCACCCGTATCCCATCCATTACTCTACTCCCCCCCATCTTCTCTGCCTTATACTGCGTCCCGCAGCCTCCCCCCAATACCTCTGCCTCCTGCACTCACCATGTCTCGTGGCGGCGGTACCACTCTCTACGTGACGGGCTTCGGTCACGGCACTCGCGCCCGCGATCTTGCCTTCGAATTCGAACGGTACGTCTTGCAGTCCCTCCCTCTCACGATCGCAGCCCGCCAAGCTCCGATCGTGCAGCGCTTCTCTTTACCTCGCTCAGCGCCCTTCTCTTCCCTCGACGCTCTCCTTTTGCTTTCCGCGATCCCTCCCACTGCCTCCATGCTCCTGCTCCCAGTCCTCCGCCGCCGCCGCTGCTATGACGCGCAAACAATCACCATTGTCGATGCCCTACACCTTCTCCGCCTTGCCACGTAACCCGTCCGACCACCCTTTCTAACACCTTCCAGCTACGGTAGACTGGTTCGATGCGACATTCCTGCGCCGCGCTCTGCTTCCAGCAGGCTGTGAGTATTTGTTTTCCCCGGCTGTCCAAGCACGCAGCTGACCAGCCTAGGTTTGCTTTTGTCGAGTACGAGAACCGTCGCGACGCCGATGATGCCTACCACGAGATGCATAACAAGCGTATCGGCCGCGACGATCTGTTGAAGATCGAGGTATGTCCTCACGCAACGCGCCTGCTATGGCCTTCCACTGACTTGTAACAGTGGGCTCGTACTCCTCCATCGGCTTCTTGGCGCTTCGACTCCGGCCGCGATCGTCCTAGGGATGGTGGTCGTGGTGACCGTCGTGGTGGTGACCGAGGCGACCGCGAACGCTCTCCTCGCCGCGGACGTAGTGGATCTCCTCGTCGGGGCCGTGGTGGCGACGGCTACTCTCCTCGCAAGGATGACCGCCGTGATCGTGACTACGACCGACGCGCCGACCGCGACCGATCCAGGAGCCCTGTCGATGGCGACCGCGAGATGAAGGATGTACGTGACCGTGATGATGACCGTGAACGCGGAGATCGTGGAGACCGTGCCGACCGCGCAGACCGTGGTGGCGACCGCGAACGCGAGCGTGAGCGCGAGCCTGGCGCCAATGGCGAAGAACTCAAGAGTATGCTCCCTCTCCCAGATGAGGACGATTTTCCCTGACAGACCCAGACGAGTCCCCGCCTCCAGTCGCCCATGACGACTTGGATGTTGCAGAGTAAATTTCCAGTTCCCCTGTCCCTTGCTCGTGTCTGGTTCGTTGGTTCACTCAAAATGTCAAAAGCAATATGGTGGTTCCGGTCGGAGTTGAAGGTTAAGGGCTTTCCATAGTCATTCCTCCTCGGAAGGCTTGGCGACATTGCGCTCGCCCCATTAATGAAGCAAGCAGACCTTTCGAATCGGAACCTTTGTTTTTTTATAGCGATCGGTCACGGCGATATCCCTTTCGGTACGGTCGGAAATATCACTCTCGAGCGATCGGTCGAGCCCTCGGCGCCGTTTGGCGATTCCCTTCTTGTACTTTACACGAACGATTACCGTAGCACCTCGAATCCTTTCCCTCCTTTCTTCGTCCCCGATACCTTCTCTCGATTCGGTACATGCAACCTCACAGGGTTTGTATGTTTTTATAAAGATTGCATCATAATGAGCTTCCATATTGTGATGACTGCCAACCCCAGCAACTACGCTTCTACCACACTATGAATGCTAGTCCTTCTCACGAGCTACGTCTGCCGACTAGGCCATGTTGTGGTATCCTAGGCGACTGTTGCTTGTTGCGCTCTTGAATGTTAAGGGCAAGACCAACTGCGCGCGACTCTCCAGTATCGTTTAGTAGGCTAACCAAAAACATCTGCTTGTGACTACGATGTTGATGAAATGACTATATATGCGCTGCACTCCCGCTCCACATATATGGCTAAGTCTATGCTTCGTGGTGTGGTATAGAAAGTGCGGTCCACTAGTCGTTGTTCCGGCTGGATACTACAAATCAGATGGTCCCGGAGATGTTGGGTCTGTGGCATGGCCATCATTCGACAAGATTGAATTGATGCTGCTACTGATTGGCTCATGATTGGCATTGCGCCGACTCCCTTACTTATATCCTTTACTGAATCCGAAGTAGAAATGATAACTTATTTTCTTTATGTTTCCATCACGCCACAGCCTGTTTGACTCCAACTGCCCAGTAGCTTTTCGGTACTCTACTATCTCGTCCATGTCAACCACAGTACACTCTCCACGCGGCGGTGCCACAATGTCGTCTTGCTGCTGTCGCTACCTCATTGCTTCCACAGGTGCTATCCATCCTACACCCCGAAAATCCCGTTCCCGTGACACAAAAGAAAAGTGAAGACATATACATCAGTTATCTAGACCGTGTTGTTTTTTGGATGGAAGAGCATCATATCATTCGCTTCGATACGATGTCATCTCTCTCTCAAAGTCTGATTGGTGTGTATCTTTTGATCCCAAGTTTCTGTATATTCGGACACAGCGTACGGTTGAAAAACGATCCGAAGTCTAGCATTTGTAAAAAGGGAAACGAATGAAGCAAGAATGAGAGCGCGGGGAGAAGGGGGGGGAAAAAAAAAAAAAGAAGAGTCTACGCTACTCGGTACACTTTTTAGCTGGTCTCCTCATGATCTGCGAGATATGTGCATACTTTGTTAGCTTGTTTTATCTCAAATCGTTGTCGTCGTTCTGCTGCTGTCACGATTCATATCCTTGTACACAACAGTATAAAGAAGAGGGAGGACGAGTACGAAGAAGAAGATAGGAAAAGAGAGAGAGAGAGAGAGAGAGAGAGAGAAAAGAAAAAAATACTCACCGTCCAACAAATCTCCTCGTCGCCCCCCCACCTCGTCAAATCCAACGAAATCTCCCTCACAGCAACGAACCCAAACCGTTCATACAGCGGTCTCCCCATGACACTGCTCTCGAGATAGCACTCGAGGCCTTCCTCGTCGACCCTCCTCAGGCCTTCCTCGAGCAGCGCCTTGCCGGCGCCTTTGCGGTGATGGTCCGGATGCGTGACCAGGGTGTCGAGCTTGAAGAACGGCCTTAGACCCATGACGTCGCGTTTGACGGAGTGGAAGAGGTCGAAGAACTCGTTCCACATGGCCGTGTTGGATTCTGGGTAGGGATCTGGGATTGTGTAGTCTTTGTCTAGGTCGGCGGGGGTGCGTAGATTTGTTTGGGGAAGAGGAGAGGGGGAAGTACAGGGTTGGGAGGGGGGGGAGGGTTTGTAGTGGGTCCAGCGGGCGCCTGCGATGATTGTAGGTGGTGATGTTTCAGAGGAGGAGGAGGAGGAGATTGTGGCGGTTGTGGGAGGAGGTGTTTCGACGCATTTTGTGAAGATGATGCCTTTGTTGAGGATGCCGTCTTGGATGCTGCTTGTTACTGCTGAGAGGGTTGATGGGGAGGGGTTGTATTGGGGTGCGTTGGCGTAGAGGATTTTGTTGATGTCGTGGCGGAAGGCGGTGTGGCGGATTAGCACTGAGTGTGATGTTGTGTCAGTCTTGGGGTGGTGGTGAAGAGTATGTATATAGATTCTGGGTATTCCGCGATCTTCTTGTGTTCGATAGATAATTGGATGGTTGCGAGGTTACCAATTCTACTTACTATACTGCTCTGCTTGGTCCGGAGTGAGGAGAGACACCTCGAGGTTCTTGTTGTTGGACATTGCGAAGGTTTCTTTGCTATTGTTGGAGCCGTAGGTTTCGAGGGGGAGAACCAAAGTAGTGCAGTGAAGGAGTGTGGGGTATAGGGTATGCAGCGGCTCGGAACATTTAACACGATGGTTAGCAGCAGCTCAAACCGTTCTGCGTGAATGGGATACGACGGTCAAACACGTCTGTGTAACTTCCAGTGTTGTTATAAAGCCGTCACCACCCGCTCTTTGTACGATGGTGGTTGGCATCCACGTGAGTCACACACGTGAGTCATGAACTCGGCTCGGAACAAGTCGAAGATGCATAGCAGGATACCTAGGTATAGACAGTCGGGAAGGATTCAACTAAAACGTAAGACATGGCTCAACCTACTTCATCTGGAAAGCATCGTGAGCGTGGGTGGAGCTGTTCCGAGCGTACAGCTCGCAAGCCATGACGGCATTGGTCCAACGTCTCGGAATCGGAATAGACCGATCGCATGCGCGGCGCATGATCTCCATTGCGTACGGGACTGTACCTACGTAGCCCGCCTTATACCGTTTTCTCCGGTTACCAACGGACTGCCGAGGTTGTGTGGGGGGAACTACAAAAACATCGTATCATGGCAGTGTGCGAGGCCTGAGTGTCATTGTGAGTTGTAATTGGGCATCGAGGACGTGAACGTTGCTGGCGGGGCATTGGCGTCGAGGTGGGAACGTCTCCAAGCGATGGGCATTGGAACCACACAGCGACAGCCGCATAGTCGGATGTTTGGGCTCAGACCGACAGCTTGAAATCATCGAGGTTCGGAGTAACATTGGCCCTGAAGCGGAGTGATTGATTGATCAAGATCATGGACAAGACATGTCCTCGATGCTTTTCCACAAGAGTTGCAGTCGTTGGAGTCGCTTACCCCTGCTAGCGCAGAAAGCTTAAGTCGGACCCCTGCAACAATTTTGCCGACCTCAATTTTTCCGCGCAGTGAGCCTCTGCTTCATGCAATACCTCGCCCGCCATGGCTCCCAGCACCATCACCGCAGCCCGAAAGGCGAGCAATCGCCAAAGATTTACACCTTCCAAGGCCAAGGATGCCCTGCTATTTCCTCCCGAACATTCGCTCGAGACAGATGATGATGCCGACTCTGGCGCACTGCAGCCCGTAGACGTCCCCAGTGCCGATGAGGAGGGTTCTGGTTCAGAGGAAGAAGACCAGGACGATGAGGATGGTGACAGCACCGAGGCCGAGGAAATCGACGACGACGACGACGAAGAAGAAGAAGAAGAAGAAGAAGACAAAGAGCATGTGAAGATGGTTGTCGACAACAAGGACAAGAAAGACAAGAAGGAAAAGGAAAAGGAAAAGGAAAAGATAGTGTTACCAAAAGATGCAGAAGAAGAAGAGCTCGAACGTATCATCTTTGGAGACAACGCGGGGTTCAGAGAAGGCATCGAAGGCTTCTCATTGGATCATACCGCTGGAAGGTTTGAGCAGGAGTCGTCCGATGAACAGGATGACAATGAAGATTACGAGAATGCAGACGACCAAGATTTGTTCTTCTTCGATGCCGGCCCAACCGCTGCTCCTGCAGCATCTGGAACTGTTCAAACAGCAGAAGAACCGGAGGATGAGGATGACAAGCCTGCTTGGGAAGATAGCGACGACGAACGTCTAGTCGTTAGCCTTGCCACCGTTCCACGATTGAGAAAGTTGCGAGAAACCGCCGAAGATGACATCGTCAGCGGAAAGGAATACGTTCGTCGACTTCGGAAGCAGTACGAAAGACTATATTCCACACCCGAGTGGGCATTGAAAGCGAGTGGAAAATCAAAGAGGAAGAGGCAATATGCACTCGAGGATGGTGACAGCGATGCTGAGTCAATGAGCGACATGGACGTCGATGACGAGGATCTATCAACACAACCGCTCGCGAGACTTCTCCAAAACGCCGATATCCTGTCAAAGGCGTCCAGAGTGCCCGCGAAGAGAAGGAAATTGCAGGCAGGTACCATTGGCGTACAGCGTTTGAAGGATGTCAGCCAAGCCGCACCGGTATGTACTTTTCTTGCAAACCATGGAACCATACTAACTCGATATGCAGTCTGCTGTCACTTCACTGTCTTTCCACCCGACATATCCATTGCTGCTTTCGTCTGGACCCAGCTCTACAATGTCTTTGCATCACGTAGACCCCAGCTCGCCAACCCCACATCCGCTGCTTACGTCTTTGCATATCAAGCGAACGCCCCTCACGACCACAGCTTTCCACCCGTCATCGGCCGACTCTCGAATCTTTATTAGTGCTCGACGAAAGTACTTCCACGTTTGGAACCTTGCGACAGGTACCGTTGAGAAGGTGTCACGAGTCTATGGTCATCAACATCAACAACGAACGATGGAGTACTTTTCGCTGTCCCCCAATGGGAAGTACATGGCTTTGCGAGGATCTTCCAAGAAGGGTGGTGGTGTCATCAATGTGCTGGATGCTTACACGCTGCAATGGGTCACACAAGTGCGCATCGAATCTAGGGGTGGTGTCGCGGACTTTGCGTGGTGGGGCAACGGGACCGGGCTCAGTGTGGTAGGCAAGAATGGAGAGGTGACGGAGTGGAGTGTGCAAGATGGAGTGCTAGGAAGATGGGTTGACGACGGCGCAGTGGGCACCACGGTCATTTCACTGGGCGGTAAAAGCGGGCATGATGGATGGCTCGGCGGAGACAGATGGGTTGCGGTGGGCAGTTCAAGCGGCATTGTGAACATCTACGATCGAAGAGCATGGATAAAAGCGGACAGCCAGGGTCCGGACGCTGTGGCTGATGACAACAACAACAACAACATTCCAAAGGCTCCCAAGCCGCTGCGCGTCCTGGACCAACTGACTACGCCCATCTCGCATCTGGCATTCACCGAGGACGGACAGATCCTGGCGATGGCGAGTCGCTGGAAGAACAATGCGCTGAGGCTGGTCCATCTGCCTTCGGCTACTGTTTTCAGGAACTGGCCAAAGCAGAAGACTCCGCTTGGTAGGATCACGGCACTTTCATGGGGCAGACCAGTTGAAGAAGAGGAGCGCGAAGGGAGCCTAGCGATACTGGGGATTGGCACGGAGATGGGACGAATCAGACTGTGGGACGTGCGAGCGTAAGAGAAGAAGATAATGATGACGACATGGTACTCTACATGGATGATTGCTGGCAAAGCCTGCCTAGCATGTGCATGCTTGCGTATGTGTGTGTGTGCATGTGTATGTGTGCGTGTGTGCATCTGGTTGCTGAACGTGTGATGGGAATGAACTGGGGTAGCGGGCTGGTAGGTATGGGAAAAGATGTGACGAGTCGGTGATATGGGATGATGGTTGCACGCACCGAGGGAAACGACCAATCTATAACTTGATGGGGGTGAAGTGACGAGAAAGGCCAGGGTCGGTGGACGGCCGAGGCCAGTGGATCAACAGCGCGTGGCTCGTGAGGGCTCGGGTACGACGCTGCAGTGCTGCACGATGATATCGCAGCAGGGCACCCAGGATGGCAAAGATAAATTGGGTTGAGGCACGCTGCTTTGTAATACCCGTGTGGTTCGATGCATTCTGGGGTATACATATATATGGCGGGACATGGTGATGTCTATGTATATGGGGTGCCGGGGTGAGGGCATGCATATATATGCACATGCAATTTGCAGTGGCTAATAATAATAGGAAGGAGCCATCGTGACCCGACCGCTCAGATTAGAACATGCCAATGCAATCATCAACACCAACCCACCTACCTACACGAATCCCCGTATATCGCCATATCGCTGAGCTTTGCTATGCCGGGTATGCCACAGGAACCGCCCGGATATACATGTACCTACTTACATATGTAAGGGCGTGTATGAGTCTTTTCTGTGCCTGGCAGACCTCGACCATCCTTCGTTCCTGACCCGGCCCGGCCCACCTCCTTCTCCTCCTTCACTCTCTCTTACTTACTACGAGGCCAACTGCAGTCCATGGTTATCTTCAACACCATTGTCCCTCCCTAACACAGGGCTTGCCGGCCGCAAAGATGGAAGGAAGTACGCTGCATGCGACAAACACCTCTCAGCAATCGTGCTGCAGGCTTCCGTCTCCTCACTCTACATCCCACGTATTGGTCTCCGTCTGCCACTTATTGTGCAATACACTTCTTTCAGCATCTTCGAACCCGTATCATAACCGCAGCATCTTCTCGAATCCTTCCGTACTATGGGCAAAAACAAACAGCGTAAAGGAAAACCTGCTGCCCAGCACCGTAACAACCAAAAGTCGACCGGCCATTCCTCTAGTATATCATCCAGTCTGAGCGGTGCTTCCACTCCAGCCGAAATCCGTACTTCGGACGGCACAGTACCTTCACCAGCCCCTTCCAGCATGTCTTCATATGATTCCAACATTGAACGTCAAGCACAGTCCAACATGAAAGACTTGCAACATTACCACAGGCTTTCTAGCCAACGCAAGGGCTGGAGGCGATATCTGCCCCAGCCTTGCCAATGGTGGCCATGTCGAACATACCGATGGCTTCGCGATTTCTTCCGAATCTTCGCTCGAGGTTTCTACGCCCCGTACTGGTACGATCGATTCTTCACGTGCTTCCTCTTTGTCCTGTTTCTTAGCAGCTGTTGGCTGAGCATTGAGGGGTTTTTGAGGCTTATCCAGCCTGTTGCTGCTCAAGAGACCAGCTGCAGTGTTGCCTATGTCACCATTCCAGGTCCCATCATCACAGTCTCCTTGATTGGCGCCACTCCCACTGATCCGAATCATGGCACATATTACTACTCGGTCGTCAATGGCACAACGCAGTGGCTCAACAGCATTGCACCTACCCGGCCGAGCATTTTAACCTCGACCAGCGTCGGACCCACGACTGTGCCTTCAGGACAACCTCCTGTGACGCCTGCCCCTTCAAATCCATCGACTCTCGTCGGTGCTCCGCCGCCTGGATCGTCACCAGTACCACCTAGCGTGCCCTTCTCTAGTCACCCCCCGGGGACACCGATTGCAGGCACTTCGAATCCAGCAGCGCAGCCGTCAAGTGGCGTCGTATCTCCGAGTGTAGGCCCCAGTTCACCCGGTATTATCCCATCGCTGCCATCGCCAAGTTCGGCCACAGCGTCTCCAGGAAGTCACAGCCTGCCTTCAAACAGTCCAAGTACAATCGGACCTTCTAGTCCTTCGATTCCAACAACTGCTTCTCTTCCAGCGAGCAATCCGTCCGTGCCGTCGTTTTCAGCAAACCCTCCACCCAAACCACCAGCTTCTACAAGTGTCGGTGGGTCCAGTGCTTTGAGCAACACACAATCAAAAAGCACTGGCGTAGAGAGTTCTTCTCCAGGAATTCATTCGACTGTACCCGTTTCTCCTGGTTCCTCTCCCCCTTCGTCTACGATACCGACGCCTACATCCACAGCTACCTCAAGTACCCAGCCTTCTTTATCTCCTTCTTTTCATACTTCCGATCCGCAAATACCTAGCCCATCCCCATCACCGAATCCATCGGGAGAAACGAACCCGCCAATGCAGACTTCTTCTTGGACGGCCTTACCATCCACCAACTCTGGACTGCTTTCGTCATCGCCTGCTGTGTCTGGACCCGTGTTGTCTTCGAATACACCTCCAACTATATCTTCATCCTCATCCAAGAATACTGAATCTAGCTCTGCACAGGCTTCTTCTTCCAACCCAAGCTCTTCATCAGATATTGAACACACGTCGAGTCGACCTCTGTTGAGCAGTTCGTCGACTGCCACTTCATCGTCAGCTTCGATTCGCAGTTCTTCAACAAGTGGAGCGGCTTCGCCAACATCGAGACTGCCCACTTCAAGTGCTGTTAGCGAATCTACTTCGGTATCACTGTCCAAAATGTCGTCTTCAGCCTTGTCCTCGGAACGTCCGGATCAGACCCCCAGCAGCACTTCTGGGTCACCGACAAGCACGATCCCTCCCTCTGTCGCCACAACTACGACTACCACCAGGGTACCTCCGTTTACGAGCTTCTCAAATTCGAGCTCTTCAAGCACTCTGAGCTCCAGCTCCACGTTGAATTCGTCGTCTGTGTCAAGCAACTCGTCGGCCACCGCAACATGTAATGGTCAAACCTCAGACGGCCAGTGTCAATCCAATGCCCGAAATCTCATGACCAAGGTTATTGCGTATGGTGCCAAATCATTTAGCTTCGTTTTCCCTACCCCGTCGATTGTTACCACTGTATCTTACTGGACTGGGACCTATCCATCGCTCACGGGACCGGACTGGACAGATTTGCCTTTGACCACCAGGACCATTCGACAGACGCCACTATCGGAATTACCGCCTCTCAAGCTGCTTGAACCAGATCCGGCGCCTACCAAATTTAAGACAGTCGTCAGCACTACAGTAATGGATGCCCCAGGCAAGGTTTTGGATACAAAGATAGGGCCAAGACAGGAGCCTCCACCGGCACTGTGCGGAGAGTCGGGATTGTTCACACTGAGTTTCGATGACACGACGGCAAGCGGGGACCGAGGCATTGTTCTTCCCGTCAATGGTATGAAGAACCCTTATCACCACTTGTTCTACTCGAACGGATTTGCGTACGTACCTGACAAATGGGAGCCGTTCCCCGCTCGATCACAGCCCAATGTGGCCATGTTCCTGCCGATAGCCAGCAGTCTTCTGCCGAACTCTGCATTTGCGGGGACATTGCTACCGGGAGAACTGGGGGCAGGGCCTCGAGCGCCAGTGGACGCGTACTGGTTCCATGCACACTCTGGGTTCTTTGGTTGTGCACTGAATGGGATCACTTCGTGCCGACTGCGAATCTCGGGATACCGATGGGATGCAACGTTGAAAAAGGAAGTGGTGGCGGCGGAGCAGAATGTGGTGATTCCGCCGTGCAAAGGGTACATCAACTGCCAGCTCACCAAGGTGGACTTTGATGGCAGATTCCGAGGGCTTTCTGGAATCCAGTTCAACGCATTCACATCGAACCTGGGGGTGCCTCAGGTTTTTGTAATGGACGATTTGCAGATGGAATGGTACAACAACACGTGCTCGGCGGGGATCCTTCGCATTGGACACAGTTAGTGATTCTACCGCGGAGAGGGCAAGTTGAGCATGGCGCTAACTTTGGAATTTGCAGACTATTGAAGGTGGGGATGGATCACGTTTTGGGGATGCAGGTTGAGGAACAGGAGCGACAAGTGGAGAGAGATATGGAGAGGTTGTATATGACGACTATTCAGGATATAGATAGATGAGTGTATGATTAGCACGAATACCACATGGATTGCTTTTTCCGAGGTGTGGAGAATGAATGGATGTGCAAGACTGGGCGAACTGGTGACTTTTGGATCGAGGGGATGATTGACGGAAAAGAAGGGTGGCTGGGGGTGGGGATGATGGTGGTTGCCGCGTGATATCAGGTCGAATGGGTGGGAAGGGGGTCATGGTACCCTCCATAGTCCTACGACTCCCCACGTCGGTCGCCCCCGACCCTCCCCCGCGGGCGCATGGACGGTGGCGAAGGAAGACAGGAACAATACGGTGTTTGGTTTGTATCAGCAATGGGGAATGCTGGCAGTGATTTGAAATGCTGCTGTCATGGATGGGATGGCGCATGATGATGGTGGCTGTGTCGCCGCAAGGTCAGGTATGTGTGTAGAGGGAAGGGATTGGATTGGATTGGAAGTCATGGGCCCGGGAATAATCCAGTCTCGGAGGTTTGTAACATGAGCGATCTTTTCTTGTATTGATGTTTTTTTTTTGTGGATATGATATGTTGTGCGCGAACAAGAAGAATGAAGATGATGAAGATGACGATGAAGAAGAAGAAGAAGAAGCAGGTGGAGTGTGACGGGAGAGGGCGGTCCTGCAGCACCTTCGCATGACCCTTTCCTGGACGGGCTAGCGTTCTTGCCTTGCCCTGTGTGCCTGCCTGCCTGCCTGCTGGCTAGCTACTACCTATTGCATGCCTACTTACTTACTTACCCTCTCTCTTCTCCTCTCTCTCTCTCTTGAACAACCTCTCTTTCTTCTTCCTCCCCCCCTCGAGGCCGCAGAGGGCACTTTTATTCTCTTCCATAGACTCCCTCTCCCCCCCCCCCCCCCGCTATCCGTCGGCGCCTTCATAATATATACAGCACTGAAGTTGCTCGCGCCATGGCTGCCTTCGTATCGACCGAAGTCGACGACGATAAGCCCCACTACAACGACGTGCCCCCACCACCGCTCCAACCGCAACAGCACGCCTTCGCTCACCAACTCAGCCCGCCTCCTCCACCTCCTCCTCACAGCTACTCGTCCACGCCCACCACCACAAATTCCGCCTCGTCCTCGTCCCAACCCCCGCGCATCTCCCACCGCCCGTCTGGCGATTTCCGCCACACCTCCTCGGGCAACATGCCTGCTCAGAACCCCAACGGGTCCATGCCCGTGCCCGCCGCCGCCGCGTCGCATAGCCGCATGAGCAACGGTCACGCCCAACCTTCGAACATGCGAGACATGGCCTTTGCCGGCCCGCGCAGTCCCCCGAACAACAAGAGCACTTCCCATGTGCCTTGCAAATTCTATCGCCAAGGCGCCTGCCAGGCCGGCAAAGCCTGTCCTTTTCTGCACTCTGACGAGCCGCTGACCGAGCGCGCGCCCTGCAAATACTTCACAAAGGTATGTCCGAGTGCGCCGAGTACATGGTCCTACTCGAAGCTCGTCCCAGACTGACACAAGCGCCGCCCAGGGAAACTGCAAATTCGGCCCCAAGTGCGCCCTCGCTCACATCCTACCCAACGGCCATGTCGTGAACCGGAACAACGGCGGCGGAGGGGGAGGTGCCGGTCCATTCGGCCGCATGAACATCCCGCACCACCCCGATCCTGCACCCAACAGCTCTCTTCTCACCATGCAAGCTCACATGGCGCCCATGCAGCAGAACTATCCTCCGTATGCCATGCACGACGACTTCCTGCAGAAATCCCATTACGACATGATCCCCACCATCGATACCACCTTCTCTTCCCACCCAGGTTCCAACTATGGTTCCCCACCAAACGAAAATGGTCGCACGCCCATGTCACCTCCTCTGAAAGGCCTCACGGTCGCAGATGTGGGCCTACCTGCGTCTTTCGATAGTCAAGGCATCTCTGAAATGGCGAGGTGGGGTCCTGTTGCCTCGTCTGTCCCTACCAAGTTCCTCGCCAACTCTCCGCCTTCATCCTTCGCTGGTGATTCCTCAGCTCTGCGAAACTTGCACGATTCCGCCTTTGGAAACGGATCGCGGAGACCTGCTGCTGCCTTGGGCTCCTCGCCACCCGATCCGACTGACCCTTATTACGGACGTCGCATCATGCATTCGGAACTCGGCGCCCCTCGGTCGCGCGGTATGCTCTCAGCTAGCGTTGGAGCTCGTGGTCCATTTGCGGCTAATGACGAGTGGGACGATTCGGATCTTATAGGAAAATTCGAGGAGGACATGCTCCCTAGCTCGCTGAACGATTTGTTGACGCCGGAGGAGAAGTTCCGCCGGTTTTCTCGCGACCAGAACGAGAATGACGGAAATCTGCTCTCCCATCGGGGATCCATGTCCAGGCTGGGCGCGTCGCCAACAGCGTCAGACATGAAGATTGGATCGCCATCCGGTGCAACCTCGTCGCCCTCTCGCTATCAATCTCTCTGGGGAAAACGACCGGGCCAGGATGGTGCCGAGACTAACTCTGCAGCTTCGCAGTTCGGCCACGTCGGATCTCCTCTTCGCAATTCGTCTCTGCATCCAAACGCCAGCCCTTCTCTGCGTGCCCTACCTCGACCTGCGCCCGGCGATTCCAGTTCTTTCTTCGCTTCTCCTCCCCGTCAAGCTTCTATGAGCATGATCAGTCAGCAGCTCCAGCGCACTCGACTCTCGTCGCGCGCTTCGGAAGATGGCGCTTTGCCCGTCCATATGCCTGTACACCCCGGGATGAACCGACTTACTTCAGCGTCGAGTGTTGGTAGCTCAACTGGCCGTATGGGTATTGACCGCGCCGTCAGCAGTAGCAGCATCAACCGGGAGCGGATCGAGGAGGAGCAGGGCTTATTCAGCATGGAAGAAGAGGACGACGTGAATGGAAAGAGCAAGGACGGTGCTTCGACTACTTCGAGCACCAGCAACAAACGATTAAGCGGCCTTTCCTGGGGCAGTGGCGGCAAAGCGAGTCCCAACCCCGCTCCCATCGGTGCCCAGAGAGCTCCCGCCAAGTACTGAGAGGCCCCGGACCAACTCTAACGAATCACACCGGATTTCTCCTCCTCCGAAACTTGTTCTTGTACGGGAAAAACGACACATAATGCGTATTAATTATAGAGACGAGCGAGCCTGTGCTCTTGTTGTTTTCCAACTCCCTCGCTCTCATACGGAAAACTCGGTGTTTTATTGGCGTACAGATGACATACAAAATCTCCACTGCTGTTGAAGCGAATGATCTACATGAGCGCAAAAAGACAAGAGGTGGATGTGTACACATTTTCCAGCATTTGCCCTTCTTTTATGCGTCTTGGTTTCTTCTCCTTCTTTTCATGTTGTACTCTGCAACGGTCTTGTGCTCACAGACATTATCACAGGCGCGTGCACATGGACATGGACACGCGTTTGTTATGTTTATACATACATGGCGACGGCGATGGGAATAGGGATAAAGCTTTAGGGATATGGATCATGACAAAAAGAGAACAAGAAAAAAAGTTTATAGCACTCCCACGGAGCTTTTGCGTCGGCTTCGTCGACTTTTTTATTATCGCAAGATGGGATGATGACGACGATGATGACGATGAAAGAGCGATGGGCAGGGGGGGGAAAGGCATTTCTTTACTTTTATTTGCTGTTGTTGTTTCTATTAGCTCTGCATCAACCGAGGAGCAAGGCAAGGGAAAGGAATGGAGAGGCGTTGCACTCATCTTCTTCTTCATGTTGTTCATGTCTACAACGTCTTACGGGGTATTATATGTATGTAGATCAAGACTCTTCTTTTTTTTTCTTTCCCCCTTTTTTCTGTTATCACATGTGTGTGTGTGTGTGTGTGTTGTAGACTGACTACATTATGTATCTAAATAATGGGAAATCAGAGTATGTTTAACTTTTAGTCTATGTATAGAGAGAGAGAGAGAGAGAAGGATGATGATGTCACACGCTTAATACAAGAAGAAGAAGAAGAAGAAGAAAAGAGGGAAAGTTAGTTGTTATTTTTGCTTAACGAATATCTGATTCATTATAAAAATTATAATCAAGGTTCCCTTCTTCCCCATGTGGCCAGTTTATTCATGTTTTGTGGTATCTAGTTATTTCTCACTGAAAAAAAAAACAAGGAGAAGAAGGAGAAGAAGGAGAAGAAGGAGAAGAAGGAGAAGAAGGAGAAGAAGGAGAAGAAGGAGAAGAAGGAGAAGAAGGAGAAGAAGGAGAAGAAGGAGAAGAAGGAGAAGAAGGAGAAGAAGGAGAAGAAGGAGAAGAAGGAGAAGAAGGAGAAGAAGGAGAAGAAGGAGAAGAAGGAGAAGAAGGAGAAGAAGGAGAAGAAGGAGAAGAAGGAGAAGAAGGAGAAGAAGGAGAAGAAGGAGAAGACGAAACGCATCCCCCCTCCCCACACAGAAGAGAGAGAGAAAAAAAGAGAAGTCGTGATTACAGTTACACGGAGACAAAACTACAGACACAAAACTAACACGATAAGAGTGTCTCTTGTTAAACCCCTAACCCCTAACCCCAACCCTCCCACGGAAAAAAAAAGCACCCAATCAATACACACAAAAAGTCTCCCCCCTGCCCCCAAGATGTTCACTCAGCCTTTGCAGCAGCAATCCTCAGAATCTCCTCGACGCTTTTGCGGAAGTTCTTGGGATCCTTATTAACCGCCTGCCAAACCTCGCCGTGTTTTGGTTCCGCAGCAGCGATCCTACCAAGGACCTCGCCCTTCTTCTCCTCAGTCCCATGCATATCCAGAAACTTCCAATACCAGACCCAGGCGTCGCCGAAATCCGGGTCGAGGAGGAGGGCTTTGGTGAACCAGGTAGCTGCTTTATCGAGGCGGCGCTCGGCCCAGAAGATGCGGGCGACGACTGCGAAGAGGAGGGGATCCTGTTCGACTTTTTTGATGGCTTCGAGGGCGCGGGGTTTGCGCTGGGTGCGGGATTCGAGGGCCATAATTTTTTCGGCCCAGAGGAGGCCCGAGGTTGGGCATTCTTGGAGGGCGGCGGCCATGATTTTGGCGGCGGCGTTGGTGTTGGATTGGCGGCGCTCGAGGCGGACTGCTTCGACGAGGAGGAGGGGTTCTTTGGGGTTCTGTTGGCGGCCTCTGTCGAGCGTGGACCGCGCTTTTACGACTAGGCCTGTTTTTTCTTGGATCCGCGATAGGAGTGTGTATAGGACCGGTGCTTTGGGCGCCGCGCGCGTGCCGAGGGAATAGGCTTCTTCGGCTTCTTTGAGCTTGCCTAGGGCTTCGTAGATTTGGCCTTTGACGGCGTGGATTTTCCAGCTGCCGGGGAAGGTTTGCAGGCCTTCGTTGCACAGGTCGAGCGCGGTTTCAAAGGAGCCGAGTTGGCGCTCGAGCACGGCGGATTTGAAGTAGATGCGGTCCGTGGGCGAGGAATTCCGGGCAATGTGGAGGAACTGTCGCGCCTTGTCGTATTCCCCGGCATCCACTTCAAGGTCGACTGCTCGGACGTATAGGTTTTCGTTGTTTTGAACTTCGGCGAAACTCCGCGCCAGCACTTCTCGAGCGCCTTCTGGGTTACCGGCTTGCCACATTTCGCGTGCATACATGAGCCAGAGCGATTCTTGCTTGGGACAAGCCGTGACGGCACGTTCGAGGATCTGCTGTAATGCTTCCGCGGTACCGTGGTGTTTCTCCAGGTCGGCAGAGGCGAGCCAAACCCGAGTACTGTAGGGAAACATGCTTACCGTGTACGCCAAAATGGCTCGCGCAGTCGCATAGCGTCCGTGAGCGGTGCAATTCTTCGCATCTTCCAGCCAAGTATCCTTGCGTTCATCATTTTCGTCCAGCTTCCAGCCGATGGTGGCTTTGATGATGGCACCTGCCGTAACCACATCACCTTCCTCTTCGCAAATTTCTGCCTGTGTGATCCAATCTTCGCGACTCGGCATGGCATTTTCTTTGATGAGTGCCTTGACTGCCCTCTCCATGATCTTGTCGCAAGTGCTGTTCTTTCCAAGCTCTTCTTGTAGGCGACACGCGTGAACCCAGATCAACCAGCTCGTCGGTATGGCTTTGCGAGCAGCGTTTAGAATCTGCTGGGCTTCTTCAGGTCCACTCACACGGGCATATGAGATCCACAGCTCCTCTGAGAGCTTCACAGTGTCAGTAGCTTTGGCAAAGAGAAGCTTCACACTTTCAATGTCTTCGGTGTCGTTGATCAGAATCTTCCACAACTCAACAGACTGGGGGTTACGGTCGATGGCCTGGCGAGTGACCTTCTTTCGAGCCGCCGGTGTTTGTTCCAGATCGATAGCAGCCATCCAAAGTTTGATGGCTCTTGGGTTAGTCTTGATCCCGTTGGCAGCAATGATTTTGGCGTTTGGTAATTGCTCCCGGTTCAAACGAATGGCTTCCTCCCATACCACAATAGACTTGGGACACATATCACATCCCTTCTCAATGATCTTTTTCGCAGTATGCACTTTTCCTGCAACTTCTTCAAGTCGTGCAAGGGCAACATAACTGGGTCCGTTATGAACGTTGGTCTTGACAGCAGACTCTAGCAACATCCTGGCGCGATTGACATCCTCCACGGGGAGCTCTTCGCCCCTAGCCTGCTTCTTGTCCAACTCGGTCATGTATCCCTTGGCATCTACTGAAGTAGAGGTTCCAGAAGCATTTGTGCGAGTTCCCGAGCTGTTCGCCGCAGAATCAAGTCGAACTTGAAGCGCAGATTTTTGAGCGGCACCGATAGAAGCAAAATTCGTCATGGTTCCTTCACCGTCCGATGAGGATATGGATGTCTCTAGTTGACCAGAAGACGCAGCGGCCTGTAGCACACTGTCCGGAACGGCATACGATCGAGCATTGGCCATGCGATTCTCCCGTTCGCGCTTTGCTCTGCCCGTCATGTCTCCCACTTCCGGTAGTGCAGCCCATTGGTCTTCCGAGACACTTCCGAGGGCTCGTTTCAGATCGGCGAATTGTAGCTGGATCTTGGGGTTGTTTTTCTCGTATTCGTCTCGTTCTTTTTGCTCGCGCGCTTCCCTAGACATCGGAGTTGGGTCGGTATCTGTTCGTCGCAAATACAATGTTGATGAACACTTTAACGACTTCAAGCAACGGAAAGAAGAGGAAAATGTCCGGGCTAAGGGGGAAAGAAATGAGGGTACTAACCTTCTGGCTCGTCGACGCTTGTCCATCTTCTCATCCACATCTTGATATATCCTGTCCGCTTCGTCGTCGTCCTTGTCGTAATTCATGCCATTCGAGAAAAGACCGACCTCATTATCTGGGTCTTGAAACCGATCCTCTTCCTCGTCTTCCTCCTTCTTTTCCACCGCACCGTAGGCTGAAGGCGCAGGCTGTCCCAATTGCGCAGCTCGCTTGGCCAGCATCTCCTTCATTTGCTCCTCCGAAGGTCCTTCACGCGCGGGTCCCAAATCGGATCGGGTCGTGAATCCCGTCGCACCACGCCCAAGACCAGCAACATAGTTCTCGGGCGCGGGCATCGACAGAAAATCACGTCGGCCGCTCATGGTGACGGTAGGCGCTCACTGCGCAGGAATTTCTCGAGATATAGGCGGCGGCGGATGGCAGCAAATGGTAGCCAAGCGTTGATCGTGAGCGTCTTGTTGGGACGACGAAGAGTTCCTGGAAGTTCAGAGTCCCGCACGGCCAAAGAGTCTCGCGAGCTCTCGAACGACTAAAGAAGAGTTTGCGCCGGCACACAATCTCTGATAACTTCCGCTCAGGTGGGAGGCAGATTCTGAACAATCTGTGAGGGAAGGCGGTCGGTGAGACTGGAATAATGGTGGTGGAGGAAGCGGGGTTTGCAGTTGTTGAAGTGCCCGTGATATAGTTGAGGAGCCAAACAGGCAGATGCGAGTCACGTGATCTGTCTGGGCACTAAGCCACTTCAAGTAATTTATATATATACCTAGGTATATGGTGCCCAATCAGAAGCATTGCGTTTGATGTATTATATCATTACAGTATAGGCCGACATTTTCTGCACTTTCGCGTTCGATACTTGGAACATGCTCACTTCCTATTGATCGACACGTACATTGATTAATTCTTCTCTTGAGGTCATGTAAGAACAGATAGATACGTTGTAAAACAGTGTTAGGATCGCGGTTCTCTTTGATTTGAGAGATCATATTGATGTGTGTTTGGTTGATTTTGCTATATCCGATTTATCATCTTGCAGCTCTGCGACTCTTTTTGGGCTCGGTACAGGTTGGTCTTCAGCGGCGAGTGGAGAGGCCTTTGATGGTCGCACAGCGAGATCACTTTTCAGGTCTCTGAAACTGAAGCACACTGTCAGTAACCGGAATCATGTGGCGAACTGGCGACGGGGGATTGAAGCTCACCTTCTGACCTTCTTCACCTTTCCTAGCCACTTCTTGAAACCGCCTTTCTTTACTTCTTCTTGATCACCAACATGTTCCGGCTTAGCCCGACTGTTTTCCATCTCGATAACGGTTGGCTGGCTGCTTGCATTTGACTCCATCTCCTCGGCTTCCTTTTCCTCATCATCTACTGGTGGCACCCAACGTTCCACGTCGCCATTGACCACTATATACCAGCCGATTTTCTCGCCCGGGGCAAGTTCGTTACGTAGCCCTACCAGCGCATTCCATGATTCGCTTGGTATTCCTCTGTTCTTGAAGTCGTCGACATCTGCGCCCAATCGGATTTCGTGTATTTGCTCGCAGACGTAGGCATATGGCTGCTCCGAAGTTGCTTCATCGTCGGGATCGTACTGTTCTATAAATTGCAGGTCCGGGAGAGACTTGATTTGATCAGGATACAGGGTTTGGAAGTTGTCCATCAGTTCGGCACTGGTGTCCGGCGCCATGAGCCATCCCACGGCGCAATCTTCCAGGTTATGAAGAATGACATGTATGTTGATGGCGCGGCGAGGCCAACGAAAACCATAAACAAGCCAGGTCGGCATCCTGTAAAGAGACTAGCACTTGTGCGACCTGGCACGTGGTGGATTGCAATGGAGGCTCGAGGAAGTGTAGACTGGTACGGTTGTTTCAACAGATCTTCCTCTTGAGGCCGGACATTGTTACTGGACAAAAGGAAAGGTGATGCATATACATGTAGCCGCCAGGTGAATGGGAGATGAGGATGACGGATGAGTGTTTGAACCAGAAAGTGATGGACAAGCGAGAAACGAGCGAGGAACGAACATGGATGGAAGGATGGAGTGGGATGGAGGCATGGATGGGTGGATGGATGGGTAGGCGGAAAGTGGGGACCGGCCGATAAGCCAATGCGGCCCGCTGCAGCCCTATACATGTCGCCTTCTCTATAGTACACTACTAGGCACGCTACCACGTCCACCACTTCGACACTCGTCAGCATCAACATGCCTTTCCATTAAACTCCTTCCACCCATATAACCCACCGTCTGCCGGCTTTTGGCGTGCGCACTTGAAGCAAACACATCCATCATGCCACTGTAAGTCATTCAACCCCCCTCCGCATCATATCCCTTCAGCCGTACTGATTCTTGTCGCAGCCACCTGTTGGGCAAAAAAGTAAGCACCATAAATAAGGCCTTCTGCATCTGGTCGTCCCTTGGCACGCAGTCTATATTGATGTAGATGCACAACACTGACACCTCCAGTCATGGAACGTCTACAATCCCGCCAACATAGCTCGCGTCAAGGCCGACGAAGCCGCCGCCGATGCACGAGAGGCCGCGGAGGACCAACGTCGGCAAGAGCTAGATGCCGCACGTCGAGCTGCTATTCTGCGGGGTCAGACACCACCGCCACTACTAGATGAGGAAAGTGTACGTGTAGAAGAGCCAGCAGGCAGAAGCGATGGCCGTCAACGGAAGAGAAGGAAATTGGCGGGCGAGGACGACACAGACATGGACATTCGACTAGCAGCCTCTGCTACAACGTCCAGCAAAGACGGGGATAGTACCCACGTAAAAACAATGAAGCTACGGAAACCTAACGATGACGCCCCATTACACGATCCCACGGGCAACATTAACCTTTTCCCTATTGACTTGAAAGAGATGGCTAAACGTGAAAAGAATATCGAAGCCGAAGAAAGGAAGAAGAAAAGAGAAAGAGTGCTAGAAGACCAGTATACCATGCGATTTTCCAATGCCGCTGGCAGAGCCGGTAGCCTGGATCAGCCCTGGTACACGTCCCAACACCGACCATCTTCTGAGCATAAAGATGGTGAAATGGCGGTCGAAAAGTCTGAGCTTGAGGGTTTCAGCAACAAGGACGTTTGGGGTAACGAGGACCCACGACGCAAGCAAAGAGAGCAGGCGCGCATAGTATCTAGCGACCCCTTGGCATTTATGCAAAAGGCACAAGTTCAACTGAAGAAGACCAAGGAGGAAAGAAAGAAGTGGACAGATGAGCGTGAGCGTGAGCTGAAAGAGCTGAGGGCGGCTCAGGATGGAGAAGACAGGAGGCATAGGCATAGAAAGAGAAAGAGCCAGGTTGAAGGGGATGACGACCGCTTGTCGCCTAGAGGCCATCGAAGAGAAGGCCAGCATTCGAGGCACAGAGATGGCCATGGTAGTCGCGAGAAGCGTCCCAGTCACGGCGCAGACGGGCATACCCTAATACCGGAGCACCGATCTAAGCGGAGCTACGACGTGGACAGAGACCGCTATGTCCGAAGGTCGCCGCAAAGACGCAAGTCTGAACGGGATCGCGACGCTGGAATGCGAAGATCGAGACAAGCTGATTAGCTCCGCCTGCAGGTTGAGATGATTGCAAGGGTTGTCCGGAAAAGCAACTGATGCATCTTGCCGACTTTGGTATATCTTGATTAGGCGTAATTGCTGCCTATGGTACTTTGATCATCTTTTGCCGTATGACAACAATGAAGGCATCTCAAAAAGGCATGTGGGCTGCTCGTATTCCCTCGAGTTTGTTGTTTGAATGACACGCGCGTTGCGAGGAAGCCTTGATTAGTGATTAACCAGGTTAGGGAACGTTTACTAGCGTCGGTCGGTCGCAGTTTTCCTGACTCCTAGGAGGGGCACTCCCGCGGCGGGCTCTATCGATGCAAGACGGCTGCCGTGGCAGAAAACACCATGTGTATAAATGCCGCCGTGTTTCGCCGGTTTCTAGACGTTACTATGCACACACGTCACTATCCATCGTCTTTAACAAGTGACTCGCCTTCTTGACTTCCAAGCTTCTTCACCTCTCCCGCTGCCACTCTGCATCTTGCACGCACATTAGTCTCTCCAATTCTACTACATATATACTCTCAATCATTATGGCATCCAATCCTATGGGACGTTGCTGCACCGTTGGTGTCAAGCATGAAGGTACCACACAGGGCGAATACAAGGATGTCGGCGGCAGTACGTTTCTACCATGCCCACGCTCCCGCTTGCCTGTGTACAGGACACCGAGCTAAGAAGCATTGTAGTCCCCAGCTACGTAACCTACCCAGAAGACAAGAGCACGCAGAACGCCATTGTCATCTTCACCGATGTCATGGGCTACAAGTTTACCAACGCTCAGCTGTAGGTTCTTTGTTCCGCGGCTCCGATGTTACCATGCACGTATACTAATACCATTTCCTCCAGCATCGCCGACCAATATGCGGCTAATGGCTACTTTGTCGTCATCCCCGACCTTTTCGCGGGCAAGGAGGTGCCTTTGAACCCAGGCGAGGACTTCAACCTCCAAGACTACCTCGCGAACACGATGCCGCGTGTGCCTACCGTGGATCCCAAGGTCGAGGCTACGATCAAGGCGCTGCGCGGGTCCGAATACGGCGTCAAGAAGCTGGGAGGCGTGGGCTACTGCTTCGGAGGCAAATACGTGTGTCGGTGGTTGAAGGAAGGAGGCATCGATGTCGGATACACGGCTCACCCGAGTTTCGTGGATGCCGAGGAGCTTGAGAAGATCAAGGGACCATTGAGCATTTCAGCTGCTGGTGAGTTGCCCTCGAGACTTTCCTCTCCCTTCCCCCATTTCTACAAGGCCGTGTTTGCTGATTGGTGTCGATGATAAGAAACCGACCCCATCTTCCCCGCCGAGAAGCGCCGTGAAACAGAGGATATCCTGCAGAAGCTCGACGTTCCTTACCAGATGAACCTCTTCTCCGACGTCCAGCACGGATTTGCTGTCCGCTGCGACCTTTCCAAGCCGCGGGAGAAGTTTGCGAAGGAGCAGGCCTTCTTGCAGGCCGTTACCTGGTTCGATGAGTTTCTCAAGAACGCTGCGTAGAGAGGGGGGATCCTACTTGAGCAGTGGGATGGAAACCAGTCGCATGTGAGAGTTTTGGCGAAGAGCGAAGAGGATGAAGTGGGGAAGTAGTTTGCGGATTGAGATGGTGCATTACGCAGCGAGTGATTTCCTGTTGAGAGTGGATTAATGTTGAGATGAGAGAAGCGAATCTAGAAGACCACAAAGTCCGGTTACCAACACGTCAAGATGGATATTTGCGTTGCTCCCTTATTAGGGCTTTTCTCGTTCATCGTCGGCCAGAAAAGTCGTGATGTTCAACCTGTTTCTGGACAAGCAGCTCGTATTCATTGTCCAATCAACAGACGGGAATTGCGCCCCCGAGGGAGGAAAGGGAATGGTGAAGCTTAGCGATGGCGCTCACGATGGAATGCGGGGATGGCGCTCCTTTGCCCCTCATTGCTCGTCACCACCATCCACGTGGGATGCACTCATCATCATCATCATCATCATTATCATCACCAACACCGTCACCATCCATTCGAGTCGTGTTTGCATGCCCAGATGCACATCATCAGCTGCCACTTGCCTTCGTCACCACTCAGCCACTAACCCCGAACCGGGATGCTCAGCCACAAACTCCCCAAGGTCGCGCCACCGGATCAGTCGGCATGCCGCCCAACATGCGACACAAGGCGTTGCCAGCCTTGCCTTGCCCGTGAACATCTTTCGCTCTCAGCCAAGTGATTGCTCTCAATCTTCTTCCTCTATACACTCGGACACGTCTGTCTTCTTTTACACCATCTTGCAAACCCAGCGCGCGCGACTAACCGTACCCGCATCGACCACTGTGCGGTAGCTTCCCTTGATATTCCCGCCTGTATATCGCAATCTCGCAAACCCGCAGCGAATATCAACTACTTACGAGGCCGAGCGACACCAGCGAACGCCCAGCCCTTGCCGCGCGGACGCCTCTCTTGTCCCAACCTATACATAACTGCTCCGACTTCGCCATCCCATCTCCGAGCGCAAAGAGAAAGAAACAATCACAGAAGAAACATCACAGGAGAAGAACCCGAAAGGAAAGAGAACGAGGGAATAGCAACGACTTGATTACAACAAACTTCTCCGTCATCACCTCCACGACTTGTCTCTCTCTTGCTTAAGGCTACATCAAGGAACAACAAAAACCTACCCTTTCTATCTCTCTCTCTCTCTCTTTCTTCTCGCAGAATGGCAGCCCCGAAACAAGTACGTCCAACTCCCTCCTCCTCCCCTCCCCACATACACCCAAAGAAAAAAATGAACCCACACAACAGACTAACACGACACGCTCGCAAAAAGGACTACCCAGCCGGCGGCGCACCCCCCGCCTACCCCTCCCCCGTCCACCACGACGCAGGCCCCTACGCCTCCCCACCCCCTCAAAACAACTACTACGGCTCCCCCGCACCTCCCCAGCAGCAGCAGCAGCAGCAAGTAGGCTACTACAGCCAAGGCCCCCCTCCGCCCGCCGGCAGCGAGTACTACGGCAGCAGCAACGGCACGCCGAATCCGTACGCGCAGGGCTACGGGCCGCCGCAGGGAGCACAGTACGGGTACCCGCCCCAACAGCAGCAGCAGCAAGGAATGTATTATCAGCAGGGTCCCCCGCCGCCGGGAGGCTACTACGCGAATGATCGCGGTAGAGGCGGTGGTGGGGGTGGCGGGTTGCTGGCTGGGTTGATGGCTGGGTTGGCTTGCTGTTGTTGTTTGGATTGTATTTTTTAAGAAAGGGAAATATGGAACGATGAGGGAGGAACTGTCGTGGGGACAGTGTATAGGGGTTCTCTCTTCTTTTTTTGCTTTTTTTTTCTTTCTTTCCTTGTCTTTTGTGCGGGGCGTGGATATAGTTTTTTCTTTTTTTTTTCTTTTTCTAATATCTTTTCTAGAAACCCTGTATTCTCCTATCCCATTGTTAGTGTTACTATCCCTTGCATCGTATATCCTAGGCGTTTCTTATCTATCTCTCTCTCTCTCTTTCTTTCCTTCTTACCTTTCTTTCCTTCATACATCCTCTCGCCCCCCTAAAAACCCCTCCCTCCCCCCCCCCGGTCTTTTTTTTTTTTTTTACAAAAGCTTTAGCTATTTGCGTAGGTTAAAAACCTAATAGCTTTTATTATGTAGCGTCCGCCTGCGGGATCAGGGTTATCTATTTATTCTATTGTAATAATTAAACTCCTCTGTCTTATTGAATTTTATTGATGATTTTGTGCAGATTGAGAGGATGGGATGGTGGGGATGCGTGGACTGGAACTAGAACTAGAGTTGGGTTGGGATGGAGTGATAAGAGATGAAGAAAGGATAGTTGATTATAGAGAGAGAGAGAGAGAGAGTTAGGATATAGATATACGATACATTTTTATTCCACGAATGACAGACACGTGGGAAACGGGGAGAACAAAAAAAAAATAGCTAAACTGAAAAGCACATTGTTTTGGTAAACGCTAAGCAGGGCGGTTAATAACATGGCGTGAACAACACCAACCATTCCGAAGCCAGAACCCCTCCTATTCCCCAATCCCAGTAAACTCCAGCAAAAGAAGAAAGAAAAAAAGAAAGGGATCTTCACAACGCCAGAATCCCCTTGAAGAACCCATTCGCCACCAACCCCTCCTCAGCGAGAACAAGCTCCTTCATCCTCTGCACCTGCTGCTTCCTATCCAACCCGCGGGTCTCGACTTCGGCCTTCCACCTGGCCAGGACGTCCTTGAGCAAGCGGCTGCCGTCCTCGACATCCTGCTTGCTGGCCTGGATGTAGTCTTGTTCGTGTTTGCCCGAGAAGTCCTCGAGCTCGTCGGCTTTGCGTTTGGCCATGTTGACGACTTTTTGCGGGAAGCGGACGAGCTCTGCGACGTGGATGCCGAAGGATTGGTCGCAGACGCCTGGCTGGACTTTGTAGAGGAGCGTGACTTGGCGCTTCTTCTTCTCTGTTGGCGCATCTCCTGCTGCTGCTACTTCTTCGGAGGAGGCGGAGGCGGAGGCGGCGGTCTCGGTAATGTGCGCGACGACGTGCAGGTTCTGCACCTGGCGGTACGTATTCGCCAGCGCGGTGAGTTCGTGGAAATGGGTGGCGAAGAGGGCAAACGCGCCGATTTCCTTGACAATGTGCTCCGAGATTGCCCAGGCGAGGCCGAAGCCGTCGTAGGTGCTCGTCCCGCGACCCAGTTCGTCGATGATGATGAGGGATTCCTTGGTCGCGGATTTGAGGATATTCGCCGTTTCGAGCATTTCCGCCATAAAGGTCGAGACGCCTTTGATCTGGCTGTCGCTGGCGCCGACGCGCGCAAGGATGCTGTCGAAGATGCTGAGTTCGGCCGACGAGGCGGGCACGAAGCAGCCGATTTGCGCCATGAGGGCGATGACGCCGATCTGGCGGATGTAGGTCGACTTACCGCCCATGTTGGGGCCAGTGATGATGAGGAATTCGCTCGAGTCGCGCACGAGGCTGACGTCGTTGGTGATGAAGGATACATCGTCTTGCATTTCCATGCATGGGTGGCGTGCTTCTGTGAGGATGGTGTCTCCCGTTCCCCTTGGGTGCATCTTTGGGCGCGTGTAAGAGGTTGGGGCGTGGACAGAGACGTGTGCAAAGGCAACAATGACATCGAGATGGGCCAGGACAGCAGCCAGCTTCTCTACTACTGGGACGTAAGAAGATGCAACTAGGACAACCTCATTGACTAGTCCTGATTGTGTCCGATTGTAGTTTTCGGACAGCTGGTCAAATTCTCGTCGCTTGGCTTGGAGTGTATCGGTAGTGAAGTAGACGCCGTTCTTCTGTGTCGAGCATTCCCTATACTGTTTCTTCTGTCGTATGCATGCTGCTTCGTTGCGAGTGAGTCGGAAACACCAACCATGGACACGATGATTCTCCAGGAACAGCTTCTTCTCGATATCTTGGTTGAGATCACGGCCAACGCTGTAGTGTTCGTTGTCCATTTCATTTTTGAGCTTGTCCAGACGTTTCCGTATTGTGCGTAGTGACTCGTCAAATTCTGGCTTGATGATAAATTCGTGGTTGTCCAGCGCATCCAGATCGACGGTAGTCTCGACCATTTCCTGGAGTTTTGCAAAAGCATCGGAATACTGACGCAGTTTGGTGGTATACTCGTCATCGAGTGGATCCTTGTATTGCTCATCCATTACAGATTCGAGGGTTGCAAGAAAGCCGGGAAGTCGGATGATGACTTGATAAGTTCGCACGACGTCTTCAAGGTTAGCAGCCTTCCTCTGGAACTTTTTCGCCAGACGGTAGAGATCAGGTATAGCGCGGAGATGCTCCTCTTGCATGGTTTGACGCAATTCGGTGTCGTTAACAAAGGCTTCCACCAGTTGCTGCCTCCGCTCGATATCTTCTACATTCATGAGCGGCTGCTTCAGCCATTGCGCAAGCAATCGACTTCCGGTCGGGGTCTTGCAGTGATTTAGTAGGCCGTACAAGCTCATCGATTTCGCGCCATCTCGGGGTCCAGGCATGAGGTTGAGTGCCTTGAGTGCCGCCGCATCCAATTTCATATACTGGGAGAGATCGTGTTGGTAGAGCTGATACTGCCCGAAATTCGACGAGTCGGACATGACGCCCAGATATTTGATCAGTGCTGCCGCAGCTCCCATGGCGAACTTCATATCCGCCAGAGGCGAAGTTCCTGCTGCCCGTTCATCCTTCAACAGTCGCGAAAGGTCCTGCTCTATGTCTTTTGTGCCAAAGTCGGCGGAACCGCGCTCTGCGATAGCACACCCACAATTATCGGCAATCGTCCTGATTTTAGCGAGTTCGGCATCTTTCTTCGCGCCGTCTGTTTGTACCAAACACTCTTTTACGCCCAACTGAATGAGTAATGATTCGAAGTTTGAGTAGAGGTCGTTGTCCAAGAACTCCGTGACGCCCAATTCCCGCACGCTCGCATCCGCAAAGCAGACACCGACCTGTCGAGCTTCCGATGCTTTTGCAGAAATCTTGACCGCCAACATGATGGGCGCGTTCTCAATCTGACCACCTAGCTCATCCTCAATGTCTTGCAGGTTTCCCGGTGAAGCCTGCTTTACCACCTTCCATGCCATTCGTCCCGAAGACTGCCATATCTCTATCCGCTTGCTTAATCTGAAGAGCGCTTCTCGTAGGAAGTTGCGGTACACCATTGTCGTCATCGTCACCGATTCGAGGCCAGGCTCGCGGCCCAATTTACGGATTACTGCTGTCGTTCGGTATACCTTTGACAACATTAGCCTTTGGGCATATATTTCGCCATCTAAAACTTACATTCTCTGCGATGAGTTTTGCATCTTCTCCATGCGCACTGTAGTAGTCGCCTCTGTCGAATATCCGTACAGTATCGTCTTTCTCTTCCAGACCACGGAAAAATTTACAGAAACCGCCTTCGTCGTCGACCTTGAGTTCCGGACGAGATGCCATACTGGAATTGTGTTTGTGGGTGAGAGTTGGGAGAAGGAAAGAAATGATTATGGTATCAGATGGGAGAAAGTTTGGAGGCTGAGATGCACAGGTACACACACAGAGAGCTTTCCACTCAACGCGTCGACGCGGTCACGCGACTTCGCGCTAGTTTATCGATAAGTTCCAATGCGTCATCGGATTGGCTCACTCATAACTCTCCACCGGCACTCAGAAGCTTCAATGTCGCAACATGTCGCATTTAATGGATACACGATTGTTCATGGTTGTATAGTGAGGTGGATAGAGCATTCACAAGGGCTTTTTAGTAATAAGAACCTTGACACACCTGGAGGGCCTGAGGTCTACCAAGTGACCAATCTTTCTACAAATACTACACTTATTTAGCTACTCCTGCTACTCAATTATGCGACTAACAGTAATGCCATACCTATGATATGCCATACTCTACGGTAAGTAGAGAGCAACGCGTACAATATCTCCATGTCTCTCTAGTAGAGCACACGTATCCATCGATTACGAGATCCATCATCCTATCTCCACAGCCCGTTGGATATCTACAGATCAATCGCCAACGGATAATTGCTCGCTTCTACATATTGCGTTCGGCCATGGACTGTATCAGCCAACCATCTGTATCATCAAAATCGAGTTGCAGCCCAGCTTTGTGGCTTTCGTGGAGGATGGATTGAAGTCTGGCTGGTCTTCCACTGTTCGGCATCCCATTGGCTACAAACCAGAGTTTGACGGATTGAAGCGTGAGACCGTCGCCTCCATCCATTTCTTACTTCTTCTTGTCAACTACTTCTTGCAGGAAATTCAAAAGGTAGTTGGTGAGTCGCACTCGCTTGACTTCGAGATGCTTGAGTAGAGGTGGGAATTCCCTCAGAGATAGATGGGCGCTACAATCTTCCGGCATCCTAAGTCCAGGAATTGATATCAAACCGTCCATATGCAGCGTCAGTCGCCTCAGAGCCCTGAATGAAGCCATACTTTGCACACGGCGCAAGCTTTGTTCTGCTGTTGGGTTGTTTCCGCGAGCACGTCTCCAAGTATTCGCTGTTGCTGGCAGACTCAAGCTCTCTAGGTTGAGTGCAACCCTACCAAGGACGAAAGCCGGATAACTACGACTCCAATGCCTAGGTTTATTTAATTCAACAAGCGTAGTCAACATTGTGACCCGCAATTCACCTAATAATGGCTGTATAAAAGGCAAGTCGTTCAGACTGCAGCAGTTCAGCTTCAGAGTGTGTGATTTTTGGAGCATGACGAGAAGAAGACAGGCTGTCCGTCATTGAAATTCCTCGCTGCTGTTGACTCATGCGTTTTCAAATAGTCTATTAGATATTACAGCGTGGTTTATGTTGGGTGTGGACAACTCATCAACCTTCCGGAGCCTGTTCCTCATCATCACAATACTGGCATTTGCAGAGCGACCTCCGTGACAATATAGGAACACCATTTCTGCACGTCACCCTACGGGAATCTCTAGATTTTCAGGCTGCGAGGTATGATCTGCTCTTCCGAGTTGCATGCTGACGACTTTCGACTAAATAAAATCGTGATGATTCAGAGGGTTCCTCGTTCTACAAGTAGCGGAGTAATCGGTCAGCACTCTAGGCATCTATTTGCTCAAAAATCAATCCTGATACGCGGAGCATACCGCTCTTGAGCAGTTTTTTTCACCTCAAATGCCGAAAATGTGAGCTGAGCGGGGTAGAACATCCTTGGAGGCGTACAAATGGGCAAGAACCCCGATGACTCACTCCGAAAGCATAATACTCCGTGAGGCACTGTATAAAATTGAGATAATTCGCTTTCTAACGAAAAATAGCAAATCCTGACCTTCTAAATAAGCTTTTCGCGGATAATTTCACCATGTCTCCGGCAGAAGGGTACGAACACACCGAAGCTTTCAACCAGGACGATATCCAAGTCAGCACCATCCACCGTATCCATTACGCTCAATATGGGAAACCAGATGGGAAGCCTGGTTAGTAAAAGGATCCTGTGGTGGAGAGAGTAGCTAATGACCTACAGTGATATTTTTCCATGGTGGCCCTGGTGGCACCGGAGCCGTCGCTACCAATGCCCGCTTTTTCGATCCCGCCGTTTTCCGCGTTGTCCTGCTCGATCAACGCGGTGCTGGAAAGTCTACGCCGCATGCCGACACCCGCGAGAATACGACTCAGCTGTTGATCCAGGACACGGAAACTCTGCGCGAGCGTCTGGGGATCAAGAAATGGCACATGGTGTTTGGTGGCAGCTGGGGCTCGACGCTTGCGCTCGCCTACGCGCAAGCGCATCCTGAAGTCTGCGGTTCTCTCGTCCTTCGCGGTGTCTTTCTCGGGGTGACTGATTTCTCCTTCATCATGAAGAGTACCGGGTTGTTGTATCCTCAAGAGGCGGATCGGATGCTGGGGTATCTTCCGGAAGAAGCGCGGAGCACGCCGCTGGAGTCTTACCACAAACTCATCATGTCTGAAGACCAGAAAGTCGCGAATGAGGCAGCGGCAGAGTGGAACAGGTGGGAGCTAAGCACTTCCAAGATCAAGCAAGACTCCGTGGAGGACATCGAGGCAAAGCTTGCGGATGAGGTTTGGAACATGCAGCATGCAAAGATGGAAACGCATTACTTCATGAACGGGTGCTTCTTGGAGAAGGACCAGCTGTTGAACGGATGCGAAAAGATCAAGCACATTCCCAGTGAGTCTCGTCGATTGCGGATCACAACGGTTGAATATGCTTACACACTCTAGCACGTATCGTGACAGGACGATTCGACGTAGTCTGTCCGCCTCGTGAAGCATACGAAGTTCACAAACGGCTCCCATGGTCAACTTTGACTCTGAGCCCCCTCTCGGGTCATTCTGCATTTGTAAGTAACCCATGCGACTGTGATTCACTATCATTCCTGATTGTTTTTGTAGGAGCCGGAAAATCTCAAAACCCTGGTAGAGTATTGTGACGAACTAGGTCAGAAAGACTTACACCTGTAAACATGTACCCAAAACAGGATATTTACTTGAGAACGCGAATTAGCTATTAAGGTTACAGGTATACTCTTCAACCAAGTATGTGAAACTCATGGAAAGGAGGAAAGAACTGAGTGCGTAGTAATTGAAAATTGCCGTTATCAGCCGTTATAAAAGAAATGTACGCCCAGAAATCACAGCTGAATGCTAACGCAAAATGAAGACTAATTTAAAACGGTCATCATGGGCGACTGTCATGATCAAGACGAAAACAATATCGCCAATTCCGAGTATCTAAACAATCTATGCCGGGCTGCTCACGGAAGTAGTCAAAGACCCACTTTCCACATACACACCGCTGAAGAACCAATCCTCAGCACCCTGTCCATCATTACCCTGGCGAGGCAGGCGGAGAACACCCAAATGCCAGTCCGCACCGTTGGAAGAAGTGCTAGCGGAGAAAGGACCAGCAGTCTTGGTGAGCGGGTCCGAGCCAGTGGAGTGCCAGAAAGTAACCGAGCCAGAGCTGAAGTTCTACAAAGCAGCACATTAGCCTTGGGAAATAAGAGAAAAAACAAAGATTGGGAATAATAATCTTACAATCTCGTAGGCAACGTTGTGCCATACGTCCGCGGCAAGTTCAACCTTCCACTTGCTCTGGCCGCCCACGAACCACTGCAAGTTCGTGTTGCTGGTCCCCTGCTCGCCATTCACCCAGCCATACTTCATCTCGGTGAAGTGGCTCTCGAAGAAGTTGATCTGGTGCTCGTTGGTCGCGCTGGGGACGTTGGTGGTGCCGCGCTTCATGGAGAAGTGGTAGTACACGGTGCCCTGGTTGATGCCGGCTTTGGTCTGGGGGATGAGCTCCGTCCTCCACATATCCGAGTTCCACTTTGCGGTGCTGTCGATTGTGATTTTGGCGCCTTGCGCGCTGCCCGCGTCGGCCGGGTTCTTGTACGACGAGGCGAGGTTGACGTATTTGTCGACGCTGCCGGAGCCGTGGATGTAGTATTGGTATGGTCCGACCTGGTTCGCCCATGACCCTGTGGGCTGTTAGACGGAACTGGTGGATGCATGTGTGGAGAGATTTTTACGTACACTTGTTGAGGTCGGCGGACGAGGTCATGTCGTTGAAGCGGCCATCCCAGATGATGGTGCCTATGTTCGTTAGTACCTAGATGCTTCTGGTTTGGTTCCAGCACCGATGGAAAACTTACCAGCAGACACGGCGCTCACGAGAGCATTGAGGATCGCGATTTTACCAAACATGTTGACGTGTAGCTACTAGACCGTTGACAAAGTGCAAAGACGGCAGATCAACCAATGTTAACACGCAGGCTCACTCTCGCAATATATAGTGCTGGAAAGGTAGACCATGGAAATTGTGCCATTTCTAGGGACCGTGTGATCAGCGCCCATGCGCCTGCGCTTCAATATCGAATACATGAGTTTCTGCTACTTTAAATCATAGGTTAGTGGGGTTAACCATATCCGTGAGGTCGTTTATCCTTAATCAATCTATATGCTGCCGCCGGCATTTCAGGAACGCTGCCTTCTCAGTGGCGGCGAAGCGGTCCGGGGTGAACAGAACCCTGCAAATCGCCTAAATTAATTGAGGTATGACCGTTTCCGTTCAAAAACTACCACAAACTGGCAAGATTTTCCAAGAACACATACTATAGAGATTCTAGGAAGAAGCCTGAAAGACCAAAAAGGCAGGTAATTCTCATGGCGCAAGATCTTGCGGGGGTTTCTCACAAAGACTGATGAAGGAATTAGACACTGCTCAGCTGCGGGACGGAGAATGTGCATCCTATGAGACCCACACAACCGTAAGCTCCATGTAGCTTTTGAGTGGAGAAAACAAAATATCCTGCGTCCCCGGTTTTGAAAAGCTTGTTCCATGGTGTTGGCAACGCTCATATTCATTTAAGACTTTCAGGATAAATCATCAAGAGGTTTCTAGAACGTGACCAAGTCTTGGATGTCGTTAAGGTATAGAAGATAAGTTATTCTGGGGAGCTTGATGATTCGGTTACTGCGGCTCTTGTTGCAACGGCGAGCACTATAAGCAAATGAAGCTTCGGCTTCGATGGTGGCGTCCGCCGTGCTCAAATTGGTATAGTGTCAGATCGGACGTCACTCTTGATGAACACTTTGTTGTGTTTGGTATACGTTTGTAGTCTGTGGAATAGCTTACTGCTCGAGGAGGCGTGCGCTAACTTTACGCGGGGGAGTGAGCCGTTAGATATGTTACTTTGGAGTAGTTGAGTTGTCCATATTCATAATTGCGACTGTATTGCGAGCGCATTTCGTGAATGAATGTACGGACTTCGCCCACGAATCATTGTTATTGAATAGTAGAACATGATTTGTGTGATGCAGAGTCTGTATGGTACGGAATTTGAGCGTCCTTTGCTCCATCTTTTACAGCTGGGTTGTGCCGATCGGTCCACTGAAAGCATTTCATTATGCTAAGTCGCACCACCAATGCGCATACCCAAACGTGTCCCTTGGGCCAATCCATATTTTCTAGGAGAATTCTTAGCATAGTTCTGAGTTGTTAAATTTCTAACCTATCTTGTGTTGCACAAGAACTCCCAGCGCAACAGCTCGGCCGCAAGAATATACGTTTTTGCCACAGAAGTGACCGACCCTGCACGTTTGGTGATCAAGTCTCTATATGCCTTTTTAAGTATCTAAACAAAATCTGTCCATTTCTGTGCCTCAGCAATTTCTAGATTGGTCTGAAAATCTGTCGATCAGCCTTTGCTTCCATGCGTCAGCCCGACGCCTTCTTCTCGTCATGGAATCTTCACCACGCAACTCATGCGCCCGGTTCATTACCAAAGGTGCCTATTCAAGCATCTCATAAGTACTGTTGAATACTGCGTTCCAGCAATATCTAAATCCGTCTAAGTTTGTGCCGACCAGCCTATGCTTCCAACAGTAAACGTGGCGTTGTTTTCTCATCCTGGAAGCTTGGATACGCAGCTCCTGTATGTGGCACATCACCAAACATGCCTATTGAGGTATGTGAAGAGTATCTGTTGGAATATGTAACTCAGCAATGTCCAAATCCGTCTTACCTTGCGTCGATGGATCGTTCATTGCCCTTACACGCGGCTACAATGTATCTGCCCAGTCTTGGAACTTTGAAAATGCAAAGCATATATTTGGATACATGCTGAATGAAGTAATTTATCGAACCATGTCAATCACTGTAGAGGAGCACTGTCTACATTGGGTATAACTTCCTTCCGCAGGCTTCTTGGGTACGATGGTTTTTTCTCGCTCCACAATAGAGCTCCACTCTATACGAGCTGTACATGCGACCCCAAATACATCCAACATGCTGAATACAGTATTTCATAGAATATATGTTGAAGACTGCGAACCGGCACTCACCAGATCCGTGCTAGTAGCATCGTGTGAATCATTCAAATACGAAGTATATCGCGTGCAGCAGCCCAAGCACAAATTGATCCACAACACCGGAGAATACCAGCACATACCTTTTCGGTGCTAGCTTGAATATATTGCTGCTGTCTTGATGTCAAAGCTACTGGAACTGATACTGCTGAAGGAGAAAAGTAAACTCAAATCCATCACGAGAGTATGCGTAGACATGGGACCGCCCTGAAAATCATAACTCGTTGTCCCCACGCCACAAGACTAATAACTCTTTTGATGGGAAGATGAGCTTATATCTTAATGAAACACACCAGTGGGATACTACTGCAGGCATTGGGGTAACCTTGGTCAGAGAGAGGTGTGGAAGAACGGTTTATTTGACCAGAATACGAAAAGACTGAACATACCCCTTAGAGAAATTATGAGCGACATCGTTGATACCTGGAGAGCAGCGCTTTCCTAATGCATCTTAGCTTTCTGCCTAGACAAAGACCCTGAGCGCTTGGATCAGGACCCCAGTGTGATGATGCGGGTATCTTGATGACCAGCATGCATACCATGTATCCATTTGTTGTGAGCCGTGGTTGGGCATGCTCTCTGCTATTTGCGTAGCATGCCGCTTCCTCGGCATTGTTTATTATGCCTAGACTCGTAAGAATATGTTCTTGATGTAAGAGTCTCGTACGAATTGCAGTGCAGCATGAAGATGTGAAGAAGACCCCAAGCGTATCTCCCATAGACTTCTCAAAGGATACCGCCAAACTACCATTTTAGTCGTGTGCCAGCTGTTCAACTTCAATAAGACACTGGCTCCGCTTCATTCTCCACGTTTTTTTCTCAACAGACCACAATATCAGCCAATACAGGACAACCTGATCCACTCAAGCTGGGCATGCAAAGCGCAGAGTTATCGTACGTACCCACCCGCCACATCAAAGATAGTCACTGAAACATGCCTGAACAAGTAAGAACACTCGCAGATGTAGAAAACTGTGGTCCAGCATTGTCCCAAAGCAGCGAGTGCTTCGCTTGTCAAGCAAATTGCAATCAATCCCAACACCGTACAATGAAACGCACACGCATCCTTCTTGGCCCTGCTACAGGGCAAACCATCCATCGTACTTCCTTGCTCCCCTTGCTGTAATCCGTTAGTATACTGTATGTAAGCATCGGATCACAACGCTCATTCACCACTGTGCTCCAGCGCATGCCTAATCCATCGTGTTTCAACGAAAGCCTACCGACAGTGCAGCAGATTACGCTTCACACTAAGCCAAACCCCTGCTCAGACCCGAATACGTGAGCACGATCCGCTATGAAAAGCGAAACGTAACGACAGAAAACGTCTACGCCCAACGGCTGCGCTTGCTCACCAGAGCGAATGCCTATCCCCCTTCTCTTTCGCTTCAACAGCGACGCGCATATTGCACCCACATCCTGCCGCTTCACCGCGCACAGACGAACTCCAGAAACAAAGTGTTCCATCCCCGTGAGAATGCCAGAACCAAAAACAATCGAAACATTGGTTCTTCACCGGGTCAAAGTGACGTCGCGCCCCCTTGGTAATCATCGCATGAAGAGGTTGAGCGTTGACTAGATGCGGGTTAGCGCCGTGCTAGACGAGCTGTTCCCCCCTGCAGCGGGTAGACTACTGCGCCATGTCCACATGGCGTGTGTGAACGAATACGGGAAATGCTGAGCACGGCAACGGATTTTGGTTCAGTCGGGCTGTGGTCTGATTTGCCTGGGGTCCGGCAAGGGGGGAGTTCGTTTATCTCTTTGTTGTGGAAGCGAATCGAAAGGAAGCTCGAACGTGAAGGAGATGACGGAGATACTGATCGCCCATTCTATGATAGCGACTTCTTGCCCAAGACAGAGAAGAAGGAAAAAAAGAATTGTGATGAATAAGTTCTTTTGGGGGAAATATGCTCTCTTGCTGCACATCATTATATATCTTGTTCCGCATCCGTAGAAGTAATCCGACATGTACATCTAGATTAATATCCCCTCCCCTTCGCCCCCGATATACGACCCCCTCAGAAGCTCAGAGGAGGAGAAAGAAAAAGGCAGGTAATACAAGCAGTTTATTGGCTACACGCGGATCGGATCAATGCAGGGCGCGTGCGACGTGTCAAGCGGTCGCGTGTTGCCCGTTTTCTGTGGGGCTTCTTCATATTGGTGAGTGCCTCTTGCTGGAAGGAAACTATAGAACGGATAATCATGGGGTTGAAAATGTCTGGATAGTTGCATATGTGGTATGTTTGTGCGATGAATATATGTGTGGCATATTTATGTGTGGGGAAGAGAATGGAAGGAAACGTGGAAGTATATAGGGACGGGAAGAGAGTCTGAACGGACGGGGGGGATAACGAGGAATACATTTCCAGGCTTTTTGCTTTCCTTCTATGAGTTATTTTGCGCGACTTATACCATCTATGGCTTTGAGAATGTTGATGTGGAGTTTGAGTGTTGGTGTTTTGGCGTCAGTGGTAAGCGGAGATGATAAATGGGTTTGTCCTTATCCGGATCATACGCCTGGCTTGCCGGGGTGTACGGTATGTTTGTCTTTTCGATAATGGTCACTGAATTATAAAAAGTACTGGAAGCTGACAAGTAGTAGAAAACATGTTTGGACTCTAACACTTATGAGGGCGGATGTGCGGATTGGCTCCTTGAGGCGTGCTCGGTGAGCGATGGTATCAAATACTGGTTTGCCAATTTTGGGGACTGTCTGGAGGGAAGTTGCACAGAGGATGAGGATCGCTACGGTAATTTTACTGTTAGAAGCCAACATGTGCTAAAATTCGCTGATGTTCTGCAAGCTTTCATGGATAGATTCAAGGCCGAGTGTCCAAGTATGAGTTCTGTGAGCGGAGTATTTGGGAATTACCTCAATCGACCATCGAGTACGAGCAGCAGTTCGACAGCGTCTTCTTCTTCATTCACCGAGGCCTCTACATCATCTAGCTCGGAGACATCCTCCACATCGTCTGCACAGATATCAGCACCGCCGTCATCCAGTCCGGACACTCCTGCCGAATCAACCGCTCAACCCCCCTCAACCCCCTCTCCTCAACCTTCGCAAAACCCAGCCCCATCTACTAATCTAGGCCTAGGGGCCCCAGGACCACTCCAGGCCTCACCGCCAGCAGCTACATCACCGGTCATACTTCCAGGGCTATCCTCATCCATGAGTTCCAACAGCTTGAGCTCTTCATCAACCGATTACGTACCACCACCCCACGACCATTCACTCACAGAGACAGACCACCAACCCACAATGAGCACCCAAAAGATAATCGGCACCACCATCGGCGGTACACTTGGCATAGCACTCACCATTTGCGCTGTGCTCTACCTCCTACGACTCCAACATCAAAAGCGAAGAGCCCTCCTCGAAGAAGCCATCACACGAAACGACAACGATATACCCAACACTTCATCGAACCCTCACCCAAAGACCCGATACTATGCTCCAAGCTGCTCCCCACACAACCCTGCTCCCACTGTCGCACCCTGGGATATCCCAGGTAGTCGCGGCGGGGACGATGATAAAATGCCGAGCTCAACTAACACCATCGTACCCTCTACATACAAGACTACGCATCCAGCACTTAATCCCAACTTCAAGCTACCCTCGTCTCCGCCGCTGCCTACTTCTCCCATAGCTGAAGCAGAGTTCCCCCTTACTAAGGCGTTATCGCGCACGCCGACGGGGGCGACTGATATGAGCGCGCAGGAGCCTCCGAGACCTATGTCTGCATCTTGGCCGGGGCTTACTGAGTTGAGCGGGGTTAGTGTTGGTCCTGTCGAGTCTTCGACGACGGGGGTGAGTGAGCTTGGTGGGAAGGGGGTTAAGGGGGGATTGGAGAGTGTGGCGAAGATGGATGATGGGAAGGGTTCATAAGAGTGAAAGGTGATGTGTGTGTGTGTGTGTGTGTTTGAGAGAGAGAGAAAGGCGAGTAAGTATAGGAGTATTGTATTTCTGTTCTATGGGTAGTTAGTAGAGGCGAGTGTAAGCTTCTGTCGGGGTTGGTTTATGACTTCTCAGTTTAGAGCATATATGTAGCGCGCGTGTCGAATCTACAATTGTACCAGGAGAGCTCGATAACCATTCATGGCTTACTCCTTGCAAGTAGATATAACAGAAAGAAAATAAGGATCTACATCTCTTAATTTTGGGAGCTGTGGTATCGATGGTCGAGAGGTGGAGGTGGAGATGGTAGATGGTTGAGTATTTCTCTCGGCCGTTGATTGATCCGCTCCGACATCACCCAGACGTCAGAGATTTCTAGTCATCCGCATCTACCAGCGTTGCGGAACATGGTGTCAAGAGCATGGTCACGCAATCTGTGCATTATCCATCGGTCTTCCGCGACATTGCAGAGCCGAGCAGAATCATCATCACTCAACTCAAAATAAGTCAGGGAGTTGCATGCATAAATTATATCATAGACACTGTCTGGAGACGGAGTACCCATTACTGCATTGAGAATTAATTGACTTGGGAAATGAAATGTTTTCCAAAATATGCCCTAAATCACGCTTCGTAGATAGTGAGAGACGTAGTAGCATACGAAGTTCAAGAATAGAATGAGGATGCTATGATTCGCTGTGTACCCCCACCCGCCCAACAATGCACACTTCGCCAACCACATCACTAGTAAAATTCTACTCCAGAATAATCCGTGGCTTCTCCACTAATGCAGATCACCAGCTTCCAATTTTTCAAGCCCCACTGACTCAACTCACAGGTCGATACCGCAGCGGCACATTCCTGTGGAGGCTACAGTTTGGTATATGGAATTATAACGAGGCGAAATTTTCATCAAACATTTGGTGAGATGGCCGAGTTGGTTATGGCGCCAGGTTAAGGTTATCTTAACATCAATTTCCTGGTCACGAAAGTGGCGTGGGTTCGAGTCCCACTCTCATCAGCATTTCGTCTGCCTGTAGGTGGATAATTCAGGAATTCCTTTTTTGCTCTTGTAGCATCCATCCATCCATCCATCCTATGTAGAACAACAGCTGGCTCGGAGGAACCCGGGTTGTTTTTCCTTCTTTTTTCGCGATACTACTCAATGATAGAGTCGGCCCTGGTCCAAACATTTATGGAGTCACTGGAACACAACTTTGCTGTTCAACACCCACCACGAGTCACAGCAACGATAAATTGGATGCCTGCTACCGACGGATGTAAGAATGTGACAGAGGGGTTTCACAAGGTAGTCCCGGGAGAAAGCCGGATCAAGTCCAAGGCGACCTCTAACCACAACCCAGTGCATTCACTGTGTTAAAAAATAACAATAGTGGTTCTGTTGAACAAATCGGAAATCTGCACGTTGCCTCTATGCTCAATGTACCCCTCGAATCGTCAATTAGCCTATACTCTTGACTGTTGTCGCGGACACACAGGTACTCCGTCCTACATTTGACAGAGGTATTTATCCTCGGGCACTAGACTACTCGAGTTTGTAGAAACGGCTGCTAATGCCCAAGCGATCGTTATTTTTGGTTGCACGAGCTGTTTATTTCGGGTGTGGCCCAACGTCGAGTATGACGGAAAACTAATCTAGTGTCGTGTTGGGTGTTGATCTGAACGACTCGATGGCGTTGCTCGGTTGACATGGTGATGCAGACGTCTGTCTTGTATTTAGGGATGTTATGATAGGAGGAGTAGAAGATAAAGTATTTAATAATTGCAGTGCTCCACTCTTGTTGCAGCGGTGCGGTGGTTCTAGTCGCTGCTGATTTACCACAATGCCGAGAAGAAGAAGTACGACTATCTACAGTGAGTTCTTCCATTTGCCTCGTAAGAGCGCTGTGGGTTGCTTGCTCATATACGTGCATTGCAGAACGAGATGTCGCATCATCTTTCGTATCGGACGTCTCCACTTCGACAAACACGGATCTAGGTATGGTAATATCAATGGCAATCCACCGCGACAGAGGTCCTTTGACTGCGTCCAGTACTTCGGAGTCATTGCTTGCGCCGTTAACTCAGTTATCTACACACACCCCTACAGTTTCGTTCTCGAGCACGGCGACTGGGTTACCTTCTTCCACGGTAGCGACCTCTCCATCGCCAGCTCCGACCGGGACGACGACAAAAGGATTCTCCGAAATGACTGCCCAAATACTTGCAGAGGGATCGCGAAACAGTGCATCGCAAACTACGGACCAGTCTCCTACATTGCCTTTGGGTCCAGCTTGTACACCGCAACCGGGCGGAGGACCAATCTGTCATTACGGTGAAGATTCCGCTGACGTGCAATATTATCACGTCGATGATCGCGGTATCATCATCATAGGGAGCCTTTTGGGGGCTTTCTTCTTCTCTATCGCTCTCGTCTTCCTGGTTTGGTGGTGGATTAGGCGGCGGAATGTCGCGTCGAGTGCAGCTGCAGTTGCTGGGGGAAGCGAGTTGATCAAGTTGCCGGAGCTGCGGAGTATCAAGAGCAGCGAGTGGGAAAAAGAAACAGGGGAATGGGACGACTTGCCCGGATATCAACAATGAAGGGGATGGACGAGGGGGGGGGGGGGGGGGGGGGGGGGAAACTCGAACTGTCCCGCACTGAACACGGTTGCAGCGGGGGGTTTTTTTTTGTGAGACATTGGGTAGAGACTAAAGCCTCGTGTGTCCCAGCCAAAACTTTCCCAACGGCTGTTAACTATCGTATTCTTCGTCGACTTCCTGATCTAGCTGACGGCAGGTGGTGGTAATGTGCAGACTGTCGATACGTAACGTTGCATTCAATCCATCAACAACGTCTCGCATCTTCGAGTTCATTGCAACGGTGTCAAAAGATTAATGATGATGATGGTGATGATGGTAGGTGAGACGAAGTGACACAGCTGCATGCGAACTGATTGTACCTGGACACGGCGCAAGTGTTGTATCACCTGGAGAAACAACTTAACCCGGTTCCAGCCATCGTGCACGATAAGAGTCTTTTTTGTTTTCTCGCGCTCTCCGCACTTTTTGTTCCCCAGCAGAGAATCTATCACAAAATCCAATTCTCTTTCTCCACCTCGAGAGTTGGAGGCCACCCAGACGTCTCTTCAGATCTCCATCGGCAGATCCGGCAAATACATTCCACGGTCAGGTCCACCATGGCGAATTCTCCAACTCCCACGAGTCGCCCGATCTATACCACGCCTGGAACAAGTCCTGCAATGGAGCCCACCTGCGCTCTCATGCCCAACAATCAATCAGGATGCGGAGAAGCACCGTCGAAGCATGGCATACCGCTCTTCCCTACGGCCTACGGTGTCATTGTGGCAGTCAGCTGTGTCATTATCATGGTGGCAATGTTTGGACTGCTTTGGGTCCTGAGACGCAAGCAGCAACTCGCGCAGCTATACGCGGGTCGTGGTGGCTGGGAGCATGGCGACGAGATCGAATTGAAGCCACGGCAGAGGAGGGAGGAGGAGAGAATGGAGGTGTTTGGCAAGTGATTGGTGAGCAAGCAGGTGGTCGGAAGCAACAAAAGGGATGTGTGAGGACTGGGTAGTGAACAAGTGTATCAGACAACATAATGTTCTCTTCAGCATTGATTCATAACGGCCAAGTCATGTCTGGCCACATGATGTGAATCACGGACCGGTGGTGAGGGGGGGATTGGCATATAAGCGTGGCCCAGCCAATCAGGTCGGCGCAATTGCCAAGTGGGGCAAAAGTTGGGTCTTCTCACGCTAGCGCCAGACGCACGGGCCGCGCACTTGGCAAGTTCAAGCATTTAGAACCGCCTCTCTTCCCTCTCCGTCGCTCTTTTGCCCCATCCTGTCCTCCGACAACCACCACCTCTGTCTTCTTTGTCATAGCAACCAGCCAGCTCACACAAACACTCACCTCCAAAACACAACCTTCCAACGCCAGCAGCACCAGCAATCCACCCCCTAGGAGACTCTATCACCTATAGACACCTGCTTCGAATCCACACCTCGGCCTCTCAAACTTCACTTTTCTCGAGCCTTCGACCACCTCACCCACACACTACCCGAACAGCAACCGTGGCAGTTTCTTAGCAATGGCGAATTCACCCAATAAACGAAGCAGTAGTAGTAGTAGTAATCGCAGCAGCGCTTCCTCCACCTCCAATGTGCGAGCCAGCGCCTACGTTGTGAACGCCTCTACCGCCGCCCTCACCGGCTTCCACTACTCCACTACGGGGGCTGGCGGGGCAGAGTGGTATTCCTGAGGTCGGCTCGGGAGTACCATCACCTCCGCCGAGTCCCCCCCTCGCCGCCCGCCACCACCACGCAGCTTCGCCGCTCGTCAAGTCGACGACCGGAGGGCTGAGGGCGCGCAGAGGGGGGGCTGCATACACCATTAAGGAAGAGTGTGAGAGACTCTTCTGCGAGACACTGGGCTCTGTTTTCCTGGTTGAGGGGAAACTGGACCGTCAGGACTCGCTAGTAATGGGTGTGCAAAATACAAATGCGTCGCAACACTCGTCTTCGACTACCGCTGCTGTCAACACCAACAGCGACTACGGCGTCGATGTGCGCTATGCCGATCGTATCATGGACTCGCCGCCTGCCATGGCGGTGAGAGACATGGATTTGGTGCAGAACCCCGAGGGATGCGGCTTGGTCACCGAGTGGATCGAGATGTGGGATTACGTGGGCGGGATTCGTTTCCGTGGCTTCGTTGCCGACAAGGATGGCGAGAAGACCATGTTTGTCTTCTTTGACCAGACCGTCATTCGCGAGAAGATCAAGCCTGGGTAAGTTTTCCATTACCCTCCCCCCCACACACTCATTACACAAATCAACATGCATACTAATCAAGGTTATAGACTCATGGCTCTCCTCGAACTCTGCGATATCCCTTACTTCTCTTGCCCCCGTCTCATGCTCAGTATCGATCGCGATACCGCGACTTCGGATATGGACGCCCTCGTTAAAGATCTGGGCTGGATCGGGTTTCAACTCACCACCTTGAGCGACTTTTCCGACGACGTCGATCTCATCAGCGACAAATGGCTGTTCATGGACATGGAGACTTGATAGGAGTGATTTCTCATCTTTGCCTTTCTCTTCTTTATTCGAAAAGTTAGTGCGCTTGCTGGCGGGATATTGGCTTTTGTGTTTTTTCAAGTCAGTTTGCGGAAACGTGTGTGGTCCTACTGCATCTCTTCCCTTTCTTCCCACGGTTAAAGAGAACGGGTATTCACCTAAGCCTTGATTTGTTCTGGGCGTGGGTGGATGTGATATCTAGGTTTGCTTTCCTGACCGCAGCTGCGATCTCGTCAATGCGGTAGGTCTTGATCGCTACCTCGTTAGTACAGGAAGCGAGCTTCATCTTTTATACTCGCCGTGGGATCTTTCTTTCCTGGTCTGATAGCATCAATTGAGTTCGATCTGTTTTTTCTCATCTAATGGAATTGCCTCATGCACAAACGTGAACATACCCAATTTGATCATGGGTCGTGCCCGATTTCGTTATACTTGATTTTTTGGCTTCTATGTTTCGCATACATACATTCTGTCAAATTTCCGAAAAAAAATATCCATGACTGTGATTGTCATGGCTCCAAATACGCCACATAAAGCCCATGGCCACAATGTCTCCTTTTATAAATAAAAGAGAAAGGCAAGAAAAGAAACAAAGATCAAAAGCATAGAAGGCACAACCACACCTCTACGCGTCCAACCCAGCCATAACCTCATCCATCCCAGCCCCACCAAACTCATCGTCCTCCCCCTTCGCAACCTCCACGACCCTCGGGCGCTCCGCTCTCCCCTCGGCCGCCCTCATCCCAGGATGCTCCGTCCCACTAATAGCTTCCACCCTCTTCTTCTCCAAATGCCGCTCCAGATCCGCCATGCTCCAACTCGAATGCCCCTCCTGCTCGCCCCTAGACCAGGGCACGCTCATCTCGCGCAAAAACGCCTTGGCATGCGACACGGCCTGATCGACGCTGAGTTTTGTGTTTTTCGTCTCGAGCGCCATCTGGATCCATTTGGGGAGCTGTGTGATTTTCTTGCCGAAGCGTTTATCGGCCAGGACCATGATACCGTAGTCGTCCTTGCCGCGGATGACGCGGCCGAGGCACTGCGCGGCGTGGCGCATGGCGTCGAAGGAGAGGAAGTCAGCTTCCTTGATGCGGTAGGTTTCGCGGAGGAACTCGAGGCGCGCCTTGAGGATGCGGGACTCGGTGTATTGGTAGGGGACGCCCATGTTGATGACGGTGCGGCCGTAGTGGTGGTCGAAATCGATGCCTTCGCTGACTTTGCCGCGGGCCACGCACAGCAGGACCGCCCCGCGCCCGTTGTTGCATGCCGTGCGGAAGGTTTCGAGGGCCAGCGACGTTTCTTGCGCGTCGGGCGTTTCGACGAGGATGAGTTTGTATTTCCAGACTGTGTCGAGCACGCCCATGCCTTGCCACTGCGAGATGATGGATTCCATGTAGAGATACGATGGGAAGAAGACGACGACGCCGTCTGGGGTCAGTTTGCAGAATTCGATGAGGAGGTTGCCGAAGTTGCGGATGACGGGGCCGTCGTTGCGGTGCTCGAATTGCGATGTGATTTGGTTTTGGTCGCTGCCGCGGTCCACGATCATGGGGAGGAAGGATTTGCGGGTTAGCGTCATGGTGAAGGATTCTTGGACGACCGTGTTGAAGTTGAGCATGCGCGGATACATGTCGAGGGGTGAGAGGGTCCCTGAGGTGACGATGACGGAGCTGAAGCGCTCGAAGACCGGTTTGATAGCGATGGCGGCATCGAGGCATGTGAAGTGCAGGATGGGGTTAGGGACCGTGGCGGTCGCGGACTCGAAGGGTTCGAGAATGAGGAGGAAGCCCGTCTCGTACGTCGCTATGAGTGTGGCGAAAGTAGCCACTTCTTGGAGAGGTTGGTAGTCTTCGATGTTTGTGAGTTCCAAGGTGCGGACCAGGGATGTCAGTCGTTCGGCACAGAAGCGCAGTGGCTTACGCTCGATGAAGGTGAGTTCTTTGAGATGGGAGAGGAAAGACGGCGGGGTTTCGGAGATGACGTGAAGGACTTTCATTCGTGTTTTCAAATATTCGACGAAGCGCTTCAAGAAGGCAACAAAGTGCTCTGCTCGTCTTATGTTTCCCGGCACGGCTTCTGTAAGAAGATCATCTGGCAGGGCTGGATTTGACATGAAGGCATTTTCGTCTCTTGCTTCATCTGCCGCCCGCAATCCCTCTACTAGCTTGGCATACTCATTCTGCAGCTTTTCTGCGTCTGTACTCTTCATCTCTGTGATTTTGCGCTCCAGGTTGTTAGCCCCGCGGGTCGCTTTACGCAAGGCATCCTCCGTGAGGTCTATGCTCAGCGATTCAATGCACACGTTGTCGATATTGTGGGCTTCGTCAAATACTACAATGCAGTCTTTGGATAGTTCCTTGGACACGCGATCTGCAATCTTGGGATCAAGCAGATAGTGGTAGGAGTAGATGATAACATCACAATAGGGCATCATCCGACGAGCTGTGAAGTAAGGGCATTGCTTGTGCTGCTCTCCATACTTGAGCATGCCGTCGAATGTCCACACACCCGGCGGTATTAAGTTGTGTGGTTCTAATAAATCGAGGTTATCGTGGTAAACGCAAATTTCGACATCTTCACCACGCTCTTTCTTCTCCTTGACAAAACCCGCGGTCAAGCTACGGCATTTTGCATCGACAATGGTGCCACTCTTCTCACGCTTGACTGTCGGATGTAAACACAAGTTCTTTCGACTGGTCAGTCCAAGGCCTCTGAACTCTTCCTCATATCCCAGCTCTTGGGTACGGTACTTCATAAGGCCTCTCAGCTCGGCAAGGGCCTTCTCAATCTCGGACATGGTACGAGAGCAATAAATGAGCTTCCTCTTTTCAGCGGAAGAGAGCTGATAAGCCACAATCAGCGACAAGAGAGACACGGTTTTACCCGTGCCCGAAGGCATCTCAAGAACACAGTGGCCGCCCGCGTCCAGGGTCCGCTTGAGATCGCACATGTAGGCATATTGCTCTGGATATACCCGTGGGTACGGGAAGAGCACCTCGAGCTCGCTGGAAGAAGGGTCAGTTATGGATTACAAGACGCGTTGGAGAGATGTTGACGCGATACATGACGGTCCCGTGACAAGAGGCAAGTCAGAGTTGGGCGGCCGGCGTATCTCCATTCGCGTGGTGGTGGTTTCCCGACTAAATGACTGGCGACTTACTCTATCTTGAACCTCATATTGGCTGTGCCGGATTGATTATGAGCGATTGAGATGGAGGCTCAAGGCTGCTGAAAGAAAAGCGGCAGTCGGTCTGGTGTGCTGCTGGAGGTGAGTGAGAGGTGCCTGCGGCTCTGTTAGCTGTCTGGATCGGGGTTAGCGCGGGACAGGGGTGCGAGTGCTTGTCTGCCCCACCACTCCCCGCCGCCCTTCGCCCTTGGATTTGCTTTGGTGCCGTCATCACCATCATCATTGATGGTCTGAATTTTTGTTCGTTTCTCTACCTCCCTCCCCTCTTTTTCTTTTCCCTATCTCATCTCAACCCAGATCTACCGACCATTCAACTCCCGCGCGTCATGAGCAAGAAGCTGTCCAAGGCTCAGGCGAGCGCGGCGCGGGCTGCTTCCAGCGCTTTTGGCTTTGGCGCCTCGTCCTCGACCGCCTTCAGCACCAGCTCTTCACAGCTATCCTACGTTACGGAACCTCCGGATCTTTCGTCCATTTCTGACCCCAATGTTGTCGTCTATTTTCGGAATTTGTCTAAGAAGGACAGCACCACCAAGGCGAAGGCATTGGAGGACCTACAAGCGCACATCGCGTCGCTTAAAGATCCAGTGGAGGAAGGGATACTAGAGGCATGGGTGCGTTCCACCCATAGAAGACATGTACATGGCTCATGTAGTAATTCAAGTCGTATCGCAGATCAAAATGTATCCTCGTACCTCAATAGACAATGCCAAGTCCGTCCGTCAGAGTGCTCATGTTTTGCAAGGCCAGCTAGCCGTCGCTGCTGGCAAGAGGATCGCCAAATATATGCCCAAGGCTGTGGGCGCATGGCTATGTGGGTTGTATGATAGCGATCGATCCGTCGTCGATGCTACTCAAAGTGCTCTGCGGCAGGTCTTCAACACACCGGAGAAAATCCAGAATATTCGCAAGGCCTACCAGCACCCCATTCTCGAATACTGCCGCGATGCCATAGATAACGAGTCGCAAGCCACCTTGAGCGACGAGAGGACTGTCAGCCCGGATGATGCAGAAACAAAGTATAGCAGGGTCATCTCTGCTTGCATTTCGCTGCTCGGTAGTCTATTGGCCAATCTCCAGCCCGAAGAGCTCGCCAAATACCAATCCGACTACGAGAGTCTCCTCGCCGACAAAAAGTTGTGGGAATTCGCATCACACAAGGACGCATCCATAAGACGATCCATACATCGCTTTCTGAAGACATGCCTGGCCAAACAACCGGGAGCGGTTCAGCAAAATCTGGAAGCTATCAGCAAAGCGTACATCTCTGTTGCCCCCAATTCGGATCAAATGGCGTCCTCGTACGACTACATCGACACACTGGCATTGCTTACGACTTCTTATCCAACGGTTTGGACAGAGCACTACAAGAGTAAAACACCCGCAGATAGGAGGTTGAGACAGTTCATGAAAAAGGGTTCGCAGTTAGGTCCACGCGACTTCTGGACACGGATGACCGATCTGTTCCATTCTCTCCCTCAGGAAATTTTGCCCGCGAATGCCGCAGATGCTGCCGAGCTGCTCAATGCTTTGTATGGAGGAATCTCCAGGAAAGACGAGTCACGACTCAACCTTGATGCAGCGTTCAGAACATACCTTCAAATAATCGGTTTTATCGCCAAGTCTTTACCGCAAGACGACCAGAGTAAACTTTTGAACGAAATGGTGCTTCCAATCATCGCACAATATCTGCGACCCACACCAGAAACATCACAATGGAACATTCCGCAGCACTCTAAAGACATAATCGTCGCTGCGCTATCTCTGGAAGCTATGCCTGCTATTCTGGAGGGCGTTTGGCCTCAATACGCGCAGCAACTGGTCAACGACATCAAAACGTCTGCACCCGAGCAATCCAAGGATTACGAGAAGTCTCACGATTCCTTAGTCAAGCAAGCTTCACGATTTGGATCTCTTCAGGAGCAAGTGCTCAAATCATCCGCAGCTGAGACACTTGGTCCCGTGATCAGCAATGCTTGCTCTTCCATATTGTCCGAAGCTTTGGATGTGACTAGAAACAGGAACGGTAAACCGTACGGTGCTGCCGCAGTAGTGGCAGAACTTTTGCATCACAACGGCGATGTTATCTTGGCGGATGTACAGATGAAACTACAGCTGAACTCATTCATCCAGGAAGACTTACCCAGGCTAATCCTCTCACCTTCATCCTCACACTTGGTCAATATTCTCTACTCGTTGCCAGATACGCCTTCGTTCAAATCTGCGTGGACAACGGCACTCAAAACTGTTTTGAAAACTCCTGATTCGGCAACCCGAAGTAAAGCTCTCGAGGCTATTCTGACTTCTTCAAGGATTCCTAAAAACTTCGAAATGGCTTCTGAGGACCCAGAGTTGCAGCAGTTTATCAAACTTAACGTTCGAGGCGCTATAGAAGGCTTGAAGGACTGGGACTCTTTTCATCGTATCCTGCAGTCGCCTGCGAAGATACTTTCAGAGTCCACTAGTGACGAGATTCTTTCAAAAATGACAGAATCCATGCTCCTGCCCCAAGAAGCGCCCTACGCTCTCCAAGGTCTCCGTCAGATAGTGAGGCAGAACCCACCCATGTTGAAAGAGTTCCTGTCTACTCCAAAAGGCTCCGATCTTCTTCGAACACTTCTCCTGGCGTCTGAGTCCCCAAGCGAAGAAGTCGCTCAAGGTGCTGCTGCTGTCAGTGCATCGATTCAGACCCTACTTGCGGCAAGCACCGATACGAAACAATCAATGTACGAGCTCATTCAGCAAGGTCTTGAAACAGCCTCTACTACTTCGGTATCTGTAGAGACATTGGTTGAGCTTGCAAGCCAGCTTGTCAAATCTAGAGACACTTGGGATCAAGTAGCAGAAGTCTTTCCAAGCCCGAGCGTGTGGAAAACTGCATTGGAAGCTCTGCTCGACACTGCCCCCAAGACGTCTCTAGCTATCGCGAATCCACTCACAAGTGCTGTCTACTTGGTTGATCCTTCGAAAACAACAAAATCAACTACGATCATTTCGCGCGATGCTGATGGCTATTCTGCAGCCTATCGTATGACTCAATACGTTTTGAGGCTACTCAAGGATGATAATTTCTTTTCATTCGACAAAGTGCCCTCGGATTTGCAAGAAATTTACCTTTGGAACATCGCCTTGACCATTCAATTTGCCGATGATAACATTGGACTTGCCGGCGCCAATGGCCTCTGGGCATCATATAATGCAGATGTGGAAGCTGACGCCATCGCATTTATGTCAGATGCTCAACCTTTTGTTAAAAGGCAGCTTAAGACGCTGGCTCAGTCTTGGTCAGCAGACGAGATGGACATCTTGACATGGGCGACCGTGCTTCTGGCCAAGGTAGAGACTGACTTATCGCCGCGGGCCTACTACTCTGCTCGCGCTTCTAGCGTTTTGGTGGCTGATGCAATTGAGATATCTGGTTGGAAGAATGCTCTCACAGCAAAGTTACAGGAAACCCTGAAGGTCGTGCGAAGAAGTAAAGGTATATATCTCAACAGCAGTGATTCCAGGGCAGTTACTTACTTTATTCGTAGAAACCTTTTCGATGATTGCGTTCTTGAATGCCTTCAAAGAGCCTTTGGCAGCCTCCAAATCTTGTGAGAGAACGTGCAGCGAGCTTGTAGCTGATTTGACAGGCTTGGATGTTGAACACAAGCCCGCCGAAGGTTAGTACAACGCCTCTAAGTAATGTCACATGTAGCCTTCAGATGACTTACGAAATCATAGGTCTTGAACAACTGGTTCTTTTGAATACCCTGTTTTATGGACAAGAAGATATCGTACTCAGTATTGCCAAACAGCGACTGATTTTCTTCGTCAAACATGTGATACCTTGGTTAGAAGACTCTAATAACAGTGTAACAATCCGCGCTGAAGTGGCACGTGCACTTACTGTCCTACTCCCGAGTATGAGTGACATGTATGGCGAGCATTGGGGACAAGTTTTGGCATCTTTGGCCGAAAGTTGGACAGCAGCCCGAGAGTTTGAGAAGAATGAGCTGGGAATGGACAAGTATGGACTCTCCCCCCTGATACTGGTGCATTCGCTGACACTTCGCAGTCCAATTCCTTTTGTCCATGCTTCGCTTAAGCTCTACGCACAGTTGCGTACTCTCACTCAGATCGAAGATCCGAATGACGATCTGCTCGACGTGTGGAAAGAGAACGAACAGGCTGTCGCGACAGGCCTAGTCAATCTTCTCAAGCATTCGCAGCATTTCCCAGACGAGTTTCATCAGCCACTGAAAATGGTTAATGATGTACTTGCTCGGCAGATTGCAAAAATACCACTTGAGCATCTGGAATCCACCGAGGACTTGTTCCCCCTCCTTTATGTGGAGTCGCAACCTGTACAGCAAACTGCTTTCGATATCTTGCATAAGCAAATCCCGGCCGCGCAGGAGCAGATCTCAATCGATGCTGCACTCGAAAAGACGACAGCACGCCTTCCTGATGAGTTACTCTCGCTCATTCTGGAAGCGCCCACGGTTGCAGCATTGGCTGAAGCCAACTTTGAACGCAGCGTTCCTTTGTCACTGAAAGGTTATCTACTGAGTTGGATATTAGTATTCGATCATCTTGAACATGCAGTGAGTATCCGTTTTTTTCTATTCTCTAAAAGAAAACACCTAATACGTGATCCAGTCATTCAAAGTCAAGAACGACTACATAGATCACGTCAAAGAGGGCGAGTATCTAGGCGGTCTGCTAGACTTCGTTTTCGATTTCCTCGGCCACGCACACAACAAGCCCGTCGACGTCGCAAAGCTGGACATTACCTCTTACACACCAGACGTAGAGCTCCCCAAGCGCGATATTCAGTGGCTGCTAACACACATCTACTACCTTTGTCTTCTCCACGTTCCCTCCCTCACCAAGTCCTGGTACATCGATTGCAAATCCCGGCCCATCGTCGTAACCCTCGAGCCCTGGACCGAAAAATTCATCTCCCCACCCGTAACCTCCGCCGCGCTCAAATCCGTCCAAGACTGGGCAGACGCACAAATCGCCTCGGACCCAGACTCCCCCTTCTCCGTCAAAGTCTCCCCTCGCGCCCAAGAAATCACCGCATCCTACACAATCGACGAACAAACAACATCGATCCGCATCTCCCTCCCCCCATCCTTCCCCCTCACAAACGCCCGCATCGAAGGCCTCAACCGCGTCGCTGTCAATGAGGCGAAATGGCAGTCTTGGCTTCGCACCTCGCTGGGCGCCATCACGCTATTCAACGGCTCGCTCATCGATGCGCTGACCACCTTCAAACGCAATGTCGAGGGTGCTATGAAGGGCCAGACCGAGTGTGCGATTTGCTATTCTGTCGTCGGTAGCGATAGGAAGTTGCCGGATAAGAAGTGTGGGACGTGTCGGAATGCGTTCCATGGCGGGTGTTTGTTCAAGTGGTTCAAGAGTAGTGGGAGTTCGAGTTGTCCGCTTTGTAGGAATCCTTTCAATTATGGGTAGGTAGTTGCTGTGATTGTGTGTGCAATTGGGGGATTGTTGGGAAAGACAGATATCTGGTAGAATCAGTTGAATTGGTATGAGAGTCGTTGTTATGGTTAGTTCAAAATACATTCTTTGCTCGTTTGAATGCATATTTTTTAATGAGCCACAAGCACAGAATTTATTCCTTTTGTTTACAGCTTGGATTGACTATATGAAAGATTTCTATGAAACTATTGGAGACAAGTCGAGAAACTTTTGGGACACCGGGAGAAGAAACCCCCTTTCCCAATCGCATGAACTTTTTTTTTTTTTGGTGGTTGGTCTGAAATGGCTGCTCTCACGTCATATTCTAGCATCCTCAGCGCATACTTCCGGATTGGAAAAAAAATCGCCTCGCTAAATCAAGAAACAAGTTCGACACATCAGATAATATGAACCATAATAGCGTTGCATCCCTCAACCAGCGATGCACGAGATTGACCCGATTGAGAAATCCTTCCTCCCTGCACGAGTTCATACGATGCCAAAACAAATCATGCAAGTCGGATATCTCGAAGTGCGCTATGCAATAAAGGAAATGAGAGCAAGGAGACAAGGGAAAGATCGAGGCGCACCGAGCGCGCTGCAAGTGTAACAACCTGCGCGAGCTGCGTACGCAGGAGTGGAGGGCGCAGCATTACAATATACATGAGGGAAGAGGGTATCAGTGCGGTCCAAACATTCTAGTGCGCTCGCTGTCTAGTTGACAGAGATGCACTTGATGTCGAAGGTGAGCTCCGAGTTGGCAGGGATACCGGGGAGGGCTTTGCTGCCATAGGCGTGCTTGGCCGGGATAGTAAGGCGGCGCTCGCTGCCAGCGGTCATACCGAGGACACCAATATCCCAGCCTTTGATAACCTCACCAACACCGAGCTTGAAGGAGAAAGGCTTGCCCTTCTTGTTGGCTAAAGCGATTGTTAGTGTATGTGACATGCTGATGAATTCGGGTTCAAACATACCATCGAATTGCTTTCCGTTCTTCAGCTTTCCGATATACCTCATCTCAATACGGTCACCCTTCTTGGCAGGTCGGCCTTTCCCGTCTTTCTTGTCATCGATGACAACGCCATTGACGTTGCGAGGACCCTTGGGGGTCTCCTTCTTGGCGTCCTGAACCTTGGGAGAGCCGGTAGGACCCTGCTCGAGGTTCTTTGCGAACTGAACCTTCTTCTTGTCGCTTCCAGGTGCCTCAGCCTTGTCTTTAGCCTCCTTCTTGGATTCGGCGGCAGCAACAGCTTGACCTTCGTTGTTCTTGAGCTTCTTTGCCTGTTTCTTGCTGAGCTTCTCGCCGTTGGTAGCAGGAGCGTCATTCTTGGTCTTGCTGATCAAGTCATCGAGGGTAGCGTCCTCCTCTTCCTCAGCGGGACGCTTCTTGCCTTTCTTGTCGGACTTGACCAGCTTGGGAGCTTCCTCGTCTTCGGAATCAACCTCGGTGATGCGAGGGTCCTCAAGGCCATCGAGCTCATCTTCTTCGGATTCGGAGAGCTCCTCGCTAAGGTCATCCTCATCACCACCATAGCCCATTCCGTACTCATCATCCTCGTCATCCTCGGAATCGTCCTCATCGTCGACAACGACGTAGTTGCCGGTGAGAAAGATGTCATAACCACCAACAGCGACAAAGTAGACCTCCTCGCCTTCGCGGACGGTGATCTCTAGGGTTTGTTGGGAGTGCTGTGGGAGCGTTAGAAAAACGATTGGTGCGCGACAGTGCACAATGGTTGCGCATGTGGGTACTTACTGTGTCGGGGTTAAGGGTGCAGAGGACGAGTTCTTGAACCTCGTCGTCGGACTCGGAGTCGTCGTCATCCTCCTCTTCGCTGCTGATTTCGTCATCGCCATCGACGGCCTTTCCCTTGCCCTTGTGCTTGGATTTGCCGTTGACAGTGATGCTGTCAATCTCCATCATCTCAGCCTCGAGCTCTTCCTTCAGCTTCTTCTCCAGAGCTTCGCGCTTAGCTTGCTTGGACTTGACTGGGTCGCTAGGGCCGCCGTTGGTCTCTTCTTCGCTGTCGTCCTCGGACATATCCGAATCGTCATCAGATCCGAGCACACCAGCCTCGCGAAGCTTGGCGCGGATGCCCTCGACATCGTCCTCGTCGTAGTCACTGTCATCATCTTCGCCATCCTCGTCGTCCATTCGCTCACGGAGGATCTTGAGGGTCGAGCGAGGCATGTCACCGAGAGACTCGGCCGTGGGGTCAATGGCGGCCATGGTGATGCGGAACTGAAGATAGTTAGGATGGTTGCCATGGTAATGCGACTTGGACGTATCATGCAGCAAGTGCTTTTTTTCGAGGGGAATAACTCACAGAGAGGCCGGGGTTCTGGCTGCCCAGGACGGGGATACCGCCAGCTGGGACGCGCAGCCCATAGACACCTGCTGGTACAAGAGCAGACATTGTGAAAGAACAAGCGGAAGTTGGGAGGAATGGGTGTTTGGCGAGGTTATTTCGAGGCAACTGCGGTATGCAGATGAATTGGCAGGGCAGTTGGGGTTGAGCACGCAGATCGAGAGCACGCGATTAGGCTAGTCGAAGTGGGTGGAGAAGAAGAGGAAGAGGAAGAAGAAAAAAAAAAGAAGAAGTGTCGGATGAGGTCGACGGACGGTCGAAGCTACCTGAACTTTTCTTCGCCAAGAGTTCGAGTGGGTTCACCGCCTGCCGCTAGATCAGGCAGAAATGTGGGGCCAATGGGGATCACGGTACCACGCGCCTTGCTTATCTAATCGACGCGTCTCCTTCTTCAAACACCACCACCAAGCACGTGCATTCACTCACCATACATACCCCTCCATTACTCGGCAACCACCCCTGCTGCCTCGATACAACTATGCGCCCTGCTTCCAGTGCTCGTGCATCATGACGACCATTCCGATGAACCTCAAAGACCCACCCTAAACCTATCCCAGTTCCTTGTCCGCCACCCATTCATCCCACCTTCCGCCCAGCAATGGGGTCGCGACTCGAAAACAACTCCAGTTCCACGCGCAAGCGCATCTCTAGCCATACCTTTGACGATGAGGATGGAGAAGAATACGACGGGTCCAAGTTTGGCGGTTTCACCGATTATTTCAGGCGCAAGAAGTTGAAACTCCAAAACCTCGACGCCGACATCCGCGCCCAAGCCGGCCACAAGCCACCCATCTTCAAAGGCATCGTGGCCCATGTCAATGGCTACACCCAGCCGTCCCTCAACGATCTTCACACTCTCATCGTCGAACATGGCGGCGGTTTTCTGCAGTACCTGGATGGCAAGACCACCGTCACTCACATCATCGCCAGTGCTTTGACACCGAAGAAGGCCGTCGAGTTCCGGAAATATCGTATTGTCAAACCATCTTGGATCGTGGACAGCATAGCGGCGGGGAAACTACTCCCATGGAATAATTTCCGAGTTGTAGACGAAGGAGACAAGCAAAAGTTACTTGGATTCGACGGTAGTAGTGTCGTTAGCCCTGCTCCAAGCAGAACAAAGGGATACCGTGACCAGTCCGACAATAGCTGGTATACGGGTCAACTGCGAGACAGTCCAAGGACCGCATTTTCAAGCTCATATTTACCCCCCTCCAGTCAAATCCCACCCCTCTCTAGCCAGCTACCGCCCCCTTCCAGTCAGCGCCCACGGTTCGCTAGACCGAGACCCCCTACACCTGACGACGATATTGACGATTTACCGCCATCACATCAGCCAGAACCCCCATCCTCCTCCGAGCCTCTGTCGTCGCAGACACGAGATACACTAGAAGATCGCAAGAAACTTATCACGCCACCCAAAACAAGTCCTTCTCTCAAAGCACAGCAAGACCAGAACGATGACGTACTCGATGAAGACGACCTATACGCAGATCCGACGCCTCCAACAAAAAACGCGAATGATGCAAGGGCCCACCATGACAAACAGCTCAGTGCAGAAGAGCATAACGCGATATTGCTCAGCGATCCTAAAATACGCAAGTCAACAGTTGTGGACCCCAACTTCCTCGAACAGTACTATCGCGAATCTCGTCTGCATCATCTCTCCACTTGGAAAGCAGACCTGAAATCACAACTGCAGCATTTGGCAAACGAGAAAAGCGCGTCGCAAACCCTCAAACTAAAGAGACCCCCAGGCGCGAGGCACTACGTTCTCCATGTTGACTTCGACAGTTTCTTCGCTGCCGTGAGCTTGAAAAAGCACCCACAGTTCAAGGACAAGCCCGCTGTCGTCGCACATGGGAATGGAACCGGGTCTGAGATTGCGAGTTGTAATTATCCGGCAAGAAAGTTCGGAGTTCGAAATGGCATGTGGATGAAACGGGCCCAAGAGCTATGTCCAGATCTAAAGATACTGCCGTATGATTTCCCGGCCTATGAAGAAACTAGTCGGGCATTCTACGATTCCATTCTCGCCGTTGGAGGTACCGTGCAGAGTGTTAGCATTGACGAGGCATTGATAGATGTCTCGAATTTGTGCATATCGGCCGGTGGCAGTGATGGTAAACATGTCACTGAGGGATGCATTGACCGCGAACAAGCAGAGGCGGAAGACATCGCGCTGTCGTTGCGTGACCAGGTCAGAGCCAGAACTGGCTGCAATGTATCCGTTGGCATTGGCAGCAACATTCTCTTGGCCAAGGTTGCCCTGCGAAAAGCAAAGCCCGCAGGTCAGCATCATATAAAACCAGAAGAAATGCTCGACTTCATAGGGAGCCTCCAAGTGCAAGATCTACCGGGAGTCGCGCACTCCATAGGTGGCAAGCTTGAAGAGATCGGGATCAAGTACGTCAAGGATATCCGTGGAATCTCCAAAGAGCGCATCGTGCAGGTCCTAGGTCCCAAGACTGGCGAAAAACTCTGGGAATATTCACGAGGCATCGATAGACAGGAAGTGGGGGAACAGGTTGTTCGAAAGTCTGTTTCCGCCGAAGTGAACTGGGGTGTACGATTCGTGAACCAAGGCCAGGTGGATGAGTTCATCGGTAACTTATGCGGGGAACTGCATAAAAGACTTTTGAAAGAGAAGGTGAAGGGGAAACAGTTCACGATGAAAGTCATGCGCCGTTCCCGTGATGCTCCATTAGATCCTCCGAAGCATCTTGGCCATGGAAAGTGTGACACTTTCAACAAGAGCATAGTACTCGGCGTAGCCACAAATGCCAAAGAGAGTATCACGAAGGAAGCGTTGAGCATCCTGAAGGGGTTCGGTTTCTCTCCAGGCGAACTGCGAGGTATAGGTATACAGATGACCAAACTCGAGGTAATGAAAAACGCTACAGATGGAGGGCTCGACGGTTCTCAACGTCGACTACAGTTCAAAGTCGGCAACCCTGAACCTAAGAAACCTCGCCAGATCATAGAGACTGTTGAAGCAGATCCTATTCAAGATGAACCCGAAACTCCCCAGAAAAAGAGATCTGCCACCGACGACGATCAAATTTCGTTCGGTCCGGCCGAACTTAATCATTCTACGCCGTCACGAAAACCCCTCAATATGCTCGGAACACAGTTCATTATGCCCACACAAATCGACCCTAAAGTACTTGCAGAGCTCCCTGAAGACATACGCTCGAAGCTCTCGCGACAAGCTCGCCAATCCTCACCCACCCCCGCAGGACGACCACCCCCTAACAAGCCAGCTCCCAAACGGTCCGTGCCGTTCGCTGGTACAGCGCTCCCTGCGCAGTCTCAGTTGGATCCTGAGATTCTCGCTGCACTCCCACCAGACGTTCGTGCCGAAGTCCTCTCTCAGTATGCTGCCGGCTCGACTCCTCACTCACCATCCGGACGGAAAAATCGTCTCGACCAGACCATCCTCCCACAGTCGCCCCGGAAGAACCGAATCATTGGCATTCCCGCAAACCGTCCCATCGTCGCACCGGTGAAGCGCGGCCGAGGACGTCCGCCTCGATCGGCTCAGCTTGCGGCTGCGGCACTTGCAACTGCGAAAGACAACAATGGTCGAACACTCACTCAAGCAAACTTCATCAGCATCAAATATCCAGCCCGGGACAACAGTCGAGAAACTTCACTAGATCTCTCTGTTGCGCGTGCACCTGCGGTCAGTAACAACACCAGCGACGCCACTAAACGAAACACAAGAGGGAAAGGGAAAGCGAAAGAGACTGCTGTTCCAGAACCCAAGAATTCGGACGTTCCCTCTGATCTTGACCTTGATATGGAATTCCTCCTCGCGCTCCCACTAGACATTCGACAAGAAGTCATACGGGAGAACAAACGCCAACGCCAAAAAGCAATCGCCCAAGCCGAGGCTGCCAGACTCAACCAACCCAAAGAAAAACCGCCACCATACACCATAAAGGTCCCGCGGCCCAAAAAACCAACATTCACAAAAAAGCGACTACACCGTGCTCCGGACGTGCGCAAGGCCATCAGAGAATGGGTCAAAGCCTTTGCGGAGGATGGACCATATAAGGAGGATGTCAATGCGCTTATAAAATATCTACGATCGGTTGTATGCGACGAAAAAGACATGGCCAAGGCTGCTGGGAATGTGGATTGGTTGGAGTGGGCTGTCGGGGACACTGCAGATGGCATTGGTGAAGAAGCGTTTGCGAAGAGTAAGTGGGACGATGTTGTTAAGAAGATCCAAGAAGGGGTGCGGAAGGCCGGGGTGAAGAGGGGTGTAGGGGGTATATTCTTTCGTTGAATGGTGGTGATGCTTCACGTGTATATGCTTTTTACGTTTATATTTTTCTTCTTTTTGTGGAATGAGAACAATGACTTGACGGAAATGTAGAATCTGTTTGCAATACATGTACTTCCATATGAACTGTTCCATACGGATCCCTGTGATATCAACTCCCACTGTCGATCTATCATCTCGTGATAGTAGGCCCTTTGGCGCTACGCGGGTGGCTCAACCACTCATAATTTGCCAACAAAGAGGGGAAGTATAGTCCGCAGACAGTAGGGAAAAAACGCTCACATCCGCAACATTCCTTTCCTCCTTCACTTCTCGTAATTGAGAACCCTTCCTTCTATCGATTCCTTCTTTGCTGACTATTACATTCTGAACTCTCTTCACCGCCGGCGCCCTCATTCCGCGACACCCCTGCTCAGAAAGTCTTATCGTTATCGATATCGGCGCGCCGCGGCTAAAGCGGGGATAATCACGTCACACGCACCTCCTCCTCACACTTCATCGCCGCCAACGTTGCAGGACATCGTGTGCCTTCAAAAGAGAGGCTGGATGCCTTCTTGACAGACAGACACCCTTTTACCTTGTCCTATTTGTACTACCTAAGAACTTCTTCTGATCGACTGATCGCGAGATATTTGCAAGCAAGGGAGATCCAGGCTGACCGTATCCGCACTGCTCTACCGCAGAGCCTTTTGAAGACGAAAGGTGTCGAAACAACTTCATTCTATATTGTTACCGAATCGCCGACTGTATACGCGGAAAGTTGCCAGACGATTATTCCTTGTTTCGCATCGATTGAGTATCGGACGACAAATACCTCTAACCCAGCCACCATCACTTGTATAATCTAACAATAATCGATACCACCCTCCATAGCCTCAACTTACAACTTCCACGACCTGGAACCTCACCAGAAAACAGCGAAACGATGACAAATCTGACCTTTCCTCTCTACCTCATCCCCAGCATCCCCTTCCGCCGCCGCCGCCGTACCTCCTCCACAACAACCCTCAGCACAACCCCGACCTCCACACCATCCTCCTCTCCCCCCACGCACCCCCCGACCTATCTCTCTCCACCAACATCTCCTTCCTACCTTCGATGCTCAAAATGTCTCTCTGACCTCATCCCCACAACCTCCATCATATCAAAAGGCTTCACAGGCCGTCACGGCCGAGCGTACCTCGTCACTCCACCCACATCATCTACCCTCTACCATCGCTCCGCTGACCTCGATAATATGCTGCCACCTTCCGAACTCCCAAATACAAAAGTTCATAAAGCAGTTCCGAGACAGCTTGTTACAGGCGCACACACGGTTTCCGACATCTCGTGCCGGTCTTGTGGAACGGTGCTAGGGTGGAAGTATGTCGATGCTGTGGAGGAGAGTCAGAAGTACAAAGTCGGGAAATTCATACTGGAAACTAAGAGAGTCGTCAGGGGTGTTTCTTGGGAAGATGCTGCCGAGGACGGAACAGGAGAGGAAGAATATGTTGGTGGTGGTGATGGAGAACGACGGAAAGCTGGAGACGATGAGATTGAGTTCGATAGTCAGGATGAAGATGAGTGTGAGGACCTTTTCGCGGGTGTTTGGAGTGCCAAGGTTGCGGAGAGACGGAGGAAGAGAGGGGGTAACTGGGTGTAAGAAAGTGTAAGAAGGTGGCTGATTGACAAACTTTCTTTTCTCGCAAAAGAAAGAAAGGAAGTGAAGAAAGAAGAGGGTCATGGAAGCTTGACTTTCCAAGGAAGATGGCAATGGCTGTTCCCTATCTCCCATCTTTTTCCTTCCCCTGGAAGCATGAGCCACTGCGGAAATTGATGGGTTGCTTTTCTTCCTCTCGACGTACACATGGGACGTAGACATTACGTTGCCTGTGTTTTTTTGGGCTGTCTTTATAGGTAGGGAAGGAAGTACACGCGGATTACGGGCATCTCTCCACGGCGTTTTCTTGAGTTTTTTTTTCCTTTTCTTTTCCGGTTGATGGATACTTGATACACGATACCCCTATTCCCACATTCCCTCTCTTGAATATAGTAATGAAGATCGTGTATTGCTTTGCGATTATCGCACGAATTACCAGGTGAATTAATCATAGGATATGAGTAGCTCTCGTAGAAGGAATAGTGTACGCTCATGACTTTGCCACGCTGAACGGGTTATCCGGAAGTGGTTGACAGGATGGGGGCTGGTAAGACAATGTATGGTTATCTGCTATTCTTACCTTTATATAGGGGCGATCTAGAAGCAATTGGAAGTTGGACCTCGGTATAAGTCGCTCGATTGAGATTTGGTAGAGGCACGATTGGTGGATCTATCTTCTGCTATCTGACTGTACACGTCAGATATAGGTAGACGTTTTGACGGGGTTTGTCACCTTGCCACCCGAGTCAGCCCATGAAAGATCGTGAGTTGTGGCATGCATATCTCAATTCAACACAACTTGTAGCCTCATGGATGGTGAAAGGTGATTGGTCCTATCGCTTTTCTGTCTTGATCGAGTATAGTGTTCTGACTCTGCTATCCCTGTCACATCCCGCAGCCTCAACGCGTTATGCCTACATGACAAAACGCGATACATGAAAGAAGTCTCGCTAGGTTCTCCGAACAATGAGTTTGTCCAAAGTATAAGTACAGAGGTGATTTCACTGAGCTTTGAAGTAATTAGGATTTTTCTCGGTCAAAACTGAAACATAGCTCAGCTTCATTAATATGGCAAAGTACACCGACCCGTTGCAGATTTGAACACAAAAGACTGTCGTCACGGCTACCAGTAATTGAAGCAAAAGAAGCTTTGCCAAGCCGTAGCTTTCAAGGAAAAAGCAATTACTGGCGTCCGAGATGTCGTCCAAAGGGATACTCAAGTCTAAGACGGGCTGCATCACCTGCAGGTACTGCCGAAAGCACCCATCGTATCATGTGAGCCGATACACTGACAATGACTATGGCCCAGGATTCGAAAGGTGAAGTGCGACGAGAAAAAGCCATCATGCAAGCGCTGTATTTCAACGGGCCGTACATGCGATGGCTATAGGTCCAACTTCCGCGTCTCAATGGCCCCTGGCTTCACGGCAGTGACAACAACTGCAGCTCTAGTCCCTGCTCAGAACGCACCTTCCCCTGCTTTTTCAATGTTGTCAATCTACCAACCCAGAGAGGTGGATATGTCGTATCCTAGTGTGGCGCAAATACAGCATCTCGCAATGCGCTTTACGATTAAGCCAGCCGCCCCTATCAACACGAACTACGGCGCCGGTATCAGCTACGAACAAGAAGCTCAAGCAGTTTTGTACGCAAACTCAGAACCAGCTATATATCATGCTTTGGCTTCCGTAACTGCACTGCGTAAAGTCTACGAAACAGTCACCGACCCCAACACCTGCTGCATCAGTACCAAATCGCCAGATGTCGCGAGAGGCCTGTCAGAATACACCAACGCCCTCCGGACACTCTGTATAACAATCTCAACGAATATCGCTGGCGCAAGCAGATACTCGCTCATCTGCTGCCAAATGTTCATCACCATTGAACTAGCGTTAGACGACTTCACGGCCGCGGCCCAGCATTTCATTCGTGGCCTGCGAATCATGTATCAATCCGTCAGTCGTCCCTATTATCTCGACACCACTGGTACGCAAGTCGTTCCCGCACAGGCCACGGACATGCCGCTCATCGACCTCTTTGTCCTCAAGCTCTTCATGACGCCTTGTCCCGGCGGGTTGACGAATGATTTCGTCGCCACGTCAGATGGACGGTTCCCGCCCGACAACACGCACAAATACAACATGGGCGTCTCCGCGATTAAAGAATCCAGCAGAAACCTTGCTGAGATGCTGAAATCGATTGTCTCCTTCTTACACGACGTTGCAAACATCTCGAAGACGAACCCAAATACTCATTTACTGCACGACAGACTCGCCATCCTCGCCAACCTCAAACATTGGAAAGAGAAGTTCGTACCAATCTCGCAAGCAGAAGAGTTTCAGAGTAGTCCTTGGGTCCGACTCGGTCTCGCGTTTAGCTTGTTCTGCTGCGTGACTAGCCAAGCTATTGTTACGTTGGCGACTCGACCACCTGGCTCTGAAGTGAAGAATGTGGAGCCGCTGTTTGAAGAGCTTTTGCAGATTGCGGGCGGGATCTGTGGGATTAAACGCGAGTTGAATTATGAGGGGACGTATCTGGGGACCTTTCAGGTTGGGTTGGTTTGATGGGGTTTGGAGGAATGGATGTAGATATTATTGTTTTTTAAGAAGTTGTGTGGAATTTGCTAGCTGTTCTCAACCTGTTTTGGAGCTCGACCTATTTCTTATTCTTTTGTCTCTCTCTTGGGGTGGGAAAAGGGGGGGAAGGATCCAATCTATCTTCGTGATGTGAGATTCTCTACTGCAAGTTGAGCGTACAGCATGCATGAGACACTCGTGTCTTACGCAGTCGCATCATTGACCGCTATTCAATATCTTCTGTTCAGTGATAGCTTCCTTGCACCCTAGAGTCCTGACTACAGTCTTACAGGTCTGCTCGCTGCTTTGACTAATTCTGTCGCATGGTAGGAGTTAAACTATCTTCTTGTCAGCGCTAATTCTATCGTTTTTGGAAAGTGGCACTTTGAAGACAAATCCGTGCGGCTAGGTATGCGACGCCTCCTTGTCCTATCACGGTTAGATGTAGTCACAAGGTGGTAAGAATGGTTACTTACAGGGTAAGCAACGCGATAGAAGTCCGGAACGTGAAGACTAGAGCATTGATATCACAGCGAGTATAAAGTGTCGCCTTTCGCGAGTCTCAAGCTAGACAGATACCGATATATTGTCCTTCCCACCACACACTTCACTTCTCCGGCTATGGCCAAACTTGTCTTTCAACTCGATAGCAAGCCTTCATTCTTTGAAAGCATCCTTGTAAGACCAGGTGGTACTCTCCTCCTCACTCGACAAGACACCAACGAATTCTGGGAGGTCGACCCTATCTCTGGCTCCGGGAACTGCATCGCTAAAATACCCAATGTGGAGTCTCTAACAGGATTCACACAAATATCGCCCGATGTCTACGCAGTAGGAGCAGGATCTTACCGATTAGCGAACCACGAAGGAACCGTACCCGGAAGCTACAGCATCTGGATAGTCGACCTCTCAGATACCCCCAACAGCGAGCCAAAGATCCATCTCGTCACAAAGATCCCAGAGATAGGACAGCTGAACGGCGTAGCTACCTGGGACTCTGAAACCATTCTCATCGCAGATTCCTATCACGGGAAAATCTACAGAGCTAATGTAACCAGCGGCACCTACTCCATCTGCTTCGAGCACGAGACGACTACAGACCCTCCAGACACACCCCTCAAGATGAGCGTAAACGGCATCAAAGTCCGGCAAGACACTTCAGGCACCAGCTACATATACTACACCAACACCACGCGCCTTCTCTTCTGCCGTGTTCCCGTCGACACCAACATCCGTCCAATCGGTGCAGTCGAGGTCCTTGCTTGTGGTTTCGTGCCCGCTGAACACGCCGTCGGCACTGCCTTCGAATCCATCTCGTCTTCTAGCCAAGGAAATACTGCTATGCCGTGGTTCATGCCGGATGATTTCTGCTTTTCGCGCAATGGGGATACAGCGTATATCGCGTCGCATCCCACGAATATGGTGTTTAAGACGGAACTTGAGGGTAGTGGTGGGACTTCTAGGATCGCGGGAGGGTTGAAGGAGTGGGATGTTGCTTCTGGTACAGCTTGCGCACTTGGGGTAGGGGAGGGAGGGGAGGAGGTTTTGTATGTGAGTACGGCGGGGGCGAATGAGCTGCCTATTGTAGGGGAGACGGAGGCGGCGAAGGTAGTGGCCATTGGGGGTTTAGCAGGGTCTTGACTTGTCTGAATGTGCTCATGCTATCTAGAGAGAATTCATGCAGTGGTTTTGCTTGCGCTTTTGCTTTTTTGTGGCTAATATCGGTGGGCTCAGCGTTACTTTACTCAATAGTCTGTGCTCAGAATAGGTTTTTCTGCAAACTTGAGCTTGCGTCAAGTATCAACACTCATATCATCGCGATCTGCGAGAAAAAAAGTAATGAGAATTAGAATGCTGTATCCGCCTTTGGAACAAGAACTCTATAGGTGGAATCAACATTCTACCTTTTGAAGTAACCATGAATATTGGTATAAATAGTGAACTGATTTGGCCGTGCAAGAACAAGTACTGTGGCAGTTGCTGATAGTTGCGAAAGCAGTACGATGTACACATCTGGACATTTTACTCCAATTAAAATGATGCCTTACCATCTGAAAAACACGAATGACACTGTATGTAGCTGACGGAGTGGTAGAGGATTTGGAGAGGAGTCCAGAGCGAGATGACGTAGGCTCTCAACGGCGGAACTCAACCCCAGCCAGCTCGACCACTTGAACCCGTCCAATCTGAAGTCGTCAGCTCAACCAGTTACGTCTTCTTGATTATAAATATATTGCCACGCGGTTCCGATTACCACAGTCATGGTTATGGGTACGTGCGATTGGGACCTGAAACTATTGTTGGGTGATCGTTTGTGGAGTATATTAGGTACGCATGAACAAACGCCCCGACTTTTCATCTTACGCAAATATTTGCATTCTTTGTTTTTCGGGTTGAGAAAGAAGTAATTTTGATCAACATACGGATAACCAGCAAGATGGAAAGAGTCTGAATCAAAAACAGGTCATTAGCACAATAACGCGACGGTTGATAAACTGCACCTAAGTGGAACGTGTCAAAAACCATGTTTGTTGAGAGATGTGGTTCGGTGGGGGCCCGAATGACATGCTTTCACATGGCCACTGCACAATCATGAACTTCCAATAATCTCAAAAGTATGCTGCACCAGATCGATGTAGCGATACTGCCGTGGATGCACGTGCGCACGTCTTCTTGGAATTGTTAAAAGGTGCAGACACCTTCCCACACGAACAAACGCTCGAGCACTCATTGCGCAATGCAGAAACTCTTCACCATGTACAAATTCTCGTTTCTCCTACATATTGCAACATCAGCAGCCTATTCGTGGGTATCTTCTCAACCTGGCGTTGATACCGCACTGCTCAAGGAACATCACGTTCGAAGAGCTGTAGATTCCTGTCCCTTCAACGCAGACCACAAGCCCGCTGCACCCTACAACCCCAAGTATCGCTATACAGGCGCCGCAAATGGTGTACCAGGGAACGGGATAGGCGGCCTGAAAGTGCCAGCTGATGGAGATGAGGCACATTACTATCAGGCTCCAGGCCCAAATGATATTCGGGGACCATGTCCTGGTTTGAATGCCGCGGCAAACCACAACTTCCTTGCCCACGACGGCATTGTTACCTTCAAAGAACTCGTCGATGCCCAGCAGAATGTATACAATGTCGGATACGATCTAGCCGTGCTTCTGGCCGTGTTCGCCATACAGCAAGACGGCGACTTCATAACCGAGAGATTGAGCATCGGATGCGATGCGACATCGCGAACATCGTCCCTGCTATCCATAGGTAGAGAACCCGGCTTGAACGGACATAACAAGTTTGAAGGCGATACTTCATTGACAAGGAACGACTATTTTGTTGCGGACGGGGACAACTATTCCTTCAACGGCACGCTCTTCGCTGATATGAAGTCGTACGCGGATAACATCTCGGGCGGGCTTTTCGATCGCAAGGCGTTGATTGAATACCGAGCTCATCTATACGATAAGTCGGTACATGAGAATCCCAACTTCTTCTTTGGCCCTGGAGTTGTGCTACTATACGGTGCGGCTTCATTCTTGTATGAGCTTTTCCCCAATTTTGGGGATGAGGGTCCTGCAGATGTAAGTATCATTGAATAATGTGAGCGTATGTGGTTCGAAGTCAGCGGCTGACCTTTATTAGCTGGAAGTCATATCCTCTTTCTTCGGCGCTCAACAAGACTCCTCCGCTCCCGGGGGCTGGGCTCACATCCCCGAACGAATCCCAGACAATTGGATGAATCGTCGCAAACCTTTCACCGCTGTCGACGTTGTTACGGAGATTCTGGCACTTTATCTTCCACACCCCAAGCTTATTGGTGGCAACGCGGGTATTGACAACTTCAATGCACTGAATAGCACCTTCGACATAATTAAAGACGGAAAGCTGCCGGATGATGTGACTACTGCCCAAGTTGTCTGCTTCTTGTATCAGCTGGCTGTGAATAACATACCAAATGCTTTAAGTTCAGTCACGGATGTGCTGTTGGATGCGTTGGACTGGTCAGCCGGGAAATTGAACCCTGTCTTTAAAAACGCGGGATGCGCGTTGAGACCTGTTTTTTGAGAAATGCAGAAGCCCAAACCGATGTGGCAGGAGTGGAAAAGAAGTATTGAGTTTGTATTATATCTAGGTACATCGAGGACGCGGCTTGGTTGTAAGATCTAGTTAACGGTAAAAATATCTTTGAATCCAGCTTGTCTGAGCCAATACCTCTCCCAAGCCTTTGGCCACCTCTCGCTTTGTAACCCAGCCAGCCATTCTCGAACAGTGAATGGATCTTCTCCCTCGATCCTAATCGACCCGTCTTTGATACCCTTCCACCCTGATACCGGCCCTTTGAGGTATTTGTGTTTGGGATCACAATAAAGTGTCCAGCTTCGCTTTTGATCTTGCTCAGCGCTTTCCGCACGTTTGTCTTGGAGACAGGACTCGCAAAGGTCGACATCGGGACATATCAGACAGAGATAGAAGGGTTTCTGCCAACTCACTTGACCAGCATCGCATACATCGCACCAATATCCCCCGTCGTCTATGAGATCCTCGGCATCATCTGCCGAGAAATCGGCAGTCTCATCGTGCTCAACTGGGCTCCCTTCGTTCACCGTCTCCTCGGATCGATTATCAACCGGGACTTTGGTAAGATTTTGTTCAGCATTCCCAGAATCCTCTATGACGGGCGTACTTGTCAAGGAGGATTGCATTGTTGTGTCTGCTGTGTCTGGTGCATCTGGTGTGTTCTGTTTACTTGCGGCTTGTACATTTTTATCAAGCATCGAAAACTGCGCCGACAGCGCTATTTGAGCATCTTTCTCCAAGCCTTCCAGTGAACTGAGGACTTTCGCAAGAAGCCGTAAAGCAGCGGGATCATTCCAGGGGTCGCTGTCAGCCAATCCGTTGACGCATTTCTCGAATATCTCGTTCATATACTTTTGATACTCGCGGGCAGGGCCCATGATAAGCAGCATATTAGCGAACAGCATGCCGACATGGGATTGAGAAAAACTTGTTTCACCGCCGGCCGTACCCGGAAGATATCTCATTTCCTCTATTAACACCTCTTTGCGTTCTGGATCAGGAGTGGTTGAAAACTGCGTGAATATGATTCCGGCGAGCTGCAAGCGTATTTTGGCGAACGCGGAATTGAAATCTTCCTCATGTTTCGGATCGATCGTTGGTTGCATTCTCATAGCAGTTCCTAGCGCAGACTTTGCTTTCTCCAGATTACCAACGTTGTTATTGCAGAAATCGCCCAGCGCGTAATATAAATTGAACTTGATGAAAGACTTCGGAGTCAGTGTCTTCTCGAACGCATCTAGCCAGCCCAGTACTAGTTCAGTTTCGTTGGTCAATACCGCTGCACGGAACATTCTTCCCAGACATCGAAGGTCCGCAAAGGCCCTCAGGTTGTAGTCAAGCCATGTATGTCGCTCACGTTTGTTCCAAGATTTGAGGACCTGCATGAATCGATGTCCGTCTGGGTCCTCATCGGCCTCGAAAATGCTTGCAATGTCTTCCAGAACCCACCCGACAACGCTAGTGTCAGATGTCTTCAGCTCCTCCCTGACTACTACGCGGAATCTTTCGTATGATGGAAAAGCAGAGCTTTTATCATCAGATTTCAACAACCATATCGCTTTCGTGAGATGCAACTAAGCCGTGTTAGCTACGCTTACATTGGTATTTTATTAATTACCTACGTCCCAAAGCTTGACTTGTTGACTATCTGTCCACAGATAGAAATCTCGAATGGGTGGTTCAGGCGACTCTTGTATCTTTCGATTATAGGATGTGAATGTCTCGATGGTGGCGTCGATTTCTTCAACGGCTTTCTGACGATTATTTAATTCCATATACATCTTTGCGAGATCGTAAAGGCTGCAGCCGTACTGCGGCGTGTCAAGTTTAGAAACCTCCAAACTGTCGACCAGATAGAACAATGCTGGTTTTCGGATCTGTAATTGGCGTTCTTCTGGAATTTCTTTCGTCACAGTCCAGAATGAGGTGATGCCTATGGCTCGCTTTGCTCTGGAGTCCAAAGTTGCGCCGACGTATGTTACCATCTTCATGAGATCATCGACATTGTTGTCGGATGTTTTGGGGATGACACCACACTGTGGAGATTATGAGTTGATCTGCTCAATGTTGAGTGTCTATCAACTTACAATCTTTGCAACGGCGTTTGCAAACCAGTATACCTTGAAAATCCTGGTGCCAGCTCTTCCATTTAGCCATGAAGAGATGTAAGTTCGGCACAAAGGCGAGAGCACGTGGTCTTTTCCTTCTGAAAATTCTGTGGCCCAAGATTTTATTGTCGGCGAGAGATCGGATATGGGTGTTTCAGTCGCTTTGGAAACCCACGCGTGAACCTTTCCGTACCATGGAGCAGGCTCACCATCCATTGCCTCGGGAAAGAATTCCCAGTATTTGGCATAGTTATCAATAACTCTGCCGATACGGCTCTCGTCTGTCAAAATTGTATGAAGTGATGAAACAACTGCTTGGATTTCAAGGGCGGTAGCTTTTGAGGGGTCGAGTTCATGGAAATGGTCGTACCAGTAGGTGACGGCGTACATGACCAGAGGTGGAAGCGATTTTCTGGTATCAATAGCCGCTTTTCTCATGATGTCTACACACGTAGTCATTATTGTCACATGGGCGAAGCGTGCTGTTGCGCGCAGATTTTTTTCCACATCAGCGTTGTCTTCGACAGCCCGGAAGTATTGTCGTAAAGAGCGTTCTCTGAATATCAATGATGATTTCCGGTAATCATCGGAGGGTGTCGCTAAATCGTTGATATGATCTTCGTTGTCGTCGTCATCGCCTTCCTGGTCATCATATTCCACGTTTGATAACGGTAAGAGCTCTAGAATTCTGCCAAGATGATCAGTTCCATGAATCAGAAAAAAAAATCTAGGTGGCCAATAACCTTGCGGATTTTCCGACTATCTCGTCTTCCAGGTCGAGCTGCGGTTCTCCGGCAGTCAATTCAACTGCATTGCAAGCCTCCAATAAACTCAAAGGTCGTTTCGCGAAAGTCAGCCAGGCAAAAAGTTTTCTCAAAGCCTCTTTTTGCTCTTCCGTGCGACCGCGGAAGCATTCTTCAAGTATACACCTGTAAGAGTCGGTAAGATTGCAGGGCATCTGCTCCAAATCTTTCATCACAGCACCCTCCAGGCCAATGTAGGATAGCCGCCTGAGCATATGACTGGCATACAGCATACCTTGTAGTCCATTAGTAGGTTCCCTACGCTAGGAATGATAGAACACTTGCCATCAGCTTGTTTGGTGATTTTCCGTCTAATGGCTTGTTTGGCATTCCGGCTAAATCTCTTGAGGGTCGGATATATGCCACTATTCAATCCGTTACGCACAAAAAGACTGATGTCTTGTCGTACACGCTCTTTCGTAATATCCAGGACAATAGGGTCGTGTTGCTCCAGAAATGTTTGATCGATACGACTCAAGACGAGAATTCGGATGCGAGACTTCTCTCTCATTATATCGGCAATGAACAACTCGAAGACCTGGCGCTGTTCCGGAGGTAGCTCATCGAGGCCGTCGAAGACCATGTAGAGCTTAGAGTCCGGAAAGGCTTTGACTTCCGATTCGTCTCGGTTTTCTCGGAAGGCGGAGACAAAAAAGCGTTGCCATGGTGTGATATCCTTCGACTTTTCATTCGCATCACTGAGTTTCGTTCCTATGTATCTGGCATATCTCTGGTTGGCTTCCGCAATTTGATATGCCATCGAAGCGAAAGCATTTTGTATCGATCGTAGTGATGCAAGTTCCTCTCGGAAGTGAAAGTAAACGGTGATGCTTCCATCCGTGGAGGCATTTAGCTTGCGGATGCTAGAAAAAGACAAGAACGATTTTCCTATTCCATCAGTGCCTCTTAACCAGAACAGCGGATTCTCGCCCCCGGTCCATTTCGTCCATGCAGAGTCAGCGAAAATCCATTCGCATGTCCCCTCAACAAAGTCGGTACGAAACTCGCTATGGAGACGAAGATTCTCTTTCTGAGCAACATACCAGTTACTAAAACTGTTGTTAGAATCAAAAAATGCCCTAATGGGTTCCAAGACACGATATCGTTTGTCCATTACATCGCTCGGCCCGCTCGGCCTCTTAGGTTCTTTGTGTCTTTCGAGTACGTTCAGTTCATTCGTCGGCATGACGCTCTCTGTGTCTTTTTTGCTGCGCGCACTGGCCTTTGCAATTGCTTCTAGGACAGTGTCTAATCTCTTCATAGTGACAGTGTGGTTGAGCTGGAGCTGCATTCTGATCTCCAGACTGTCTTTGAAGATTTGGAGAACATCTTGGTTTTGCTCCTCTCGCCAGGCACGAATCCTCCGATCTAGCTTGTCAGTTCCTTCACTGATGTGAACTGCAACATCGTGTGTGTTTTTAATCGCAGCGTGATTTGCAAATTGAAGTGTTTTGTCGAGGTCCTCAATTGCAGACTGCATTACCGCATACGCCTCGACAAGCTTTGGGTCTTCCAGCTCCCATAATGCATCGAAGAACATTTCTGTATAGTGTGAACATCGAAATCGAACATCGATATCTCTTATGGTGAATCACTTACTAATGCGACCTTTACCTTCGCTCAGTACCCCTTGCACAAAAGTATACATACTGAGTTGCGCTGAAAAGACGTGCACAATCGCTTTCCCAAGAGGCCCATCATCGCAATCATAACCTTCGATTATCGATAGTCGTTCAAAAAATCTACTAGAAAGACTGAGAAATTCTTCAATCTTGTTGAGATCGTTCTGAACCCCTTTGAATGCCTGCGAAGAGTGAACAAAGCATATATCACGTGTGCTGCATACTCACATCTAGCACACGTCCACAAGCAGCAAAAACGATCGAAACCGGCATAGCTGGTGGGAAGATTGCAGCAGCAGAACCAACCATCTGAACACCGTCAAGGCACTTTTGCATTGCATCCAGGTGTTTTCCAATCGCTTCACGTGCCTTGTCCGCTCTGTCTTGTTTATGTCGCCGCATGCTGAACCCTTCTTTCTTTTCCTCTATCTCCTCCAGAATGCGACCAATGTTTTTTGCCGTATCGGTGGTAGTCTGCTTCCCCATTTGCGGCAAGTTTGCGTTGGTTGTACGTTCATATTCTCGAACAGCCTTGCTCCACAAGGAGCCGAGGTCTGATGTTTCGTTCGGAGGTAGTCGAATCTCTCTGACAACCATGATTGAAAGATAGCTAACGTTGAAATACGACAGGAATGAGAGAAAATCCCACAATGGGAGAAGCGAGAAGCGAGATCTTGCGTGAGGGAGACTGGCACTTACCTGGGTAGATATAAGATACGCAGCCAGAGACACAGATCTAGGGGCAATTTTCTACCCTTGCTAGTGCTTAGTATACTTACCATATTCAGCTCCATAGTGATCCCCATGTTCTCTGAACGGTAATTCCATCACAAGAGATACTACCTCATACTCCAAGCTCATACGGATGTAGGAGAACACTCATGTTTTTATTGCTCCCCGTCTGTCCAGAATTTATCAACCGTGCACAATAGGAGCGACGACGATGGCGTTGGGCTCGGTATTTCTGCTGTATCCCTGTCGAAAGTAAAATGGGGCCGAAAACTACTGCGTGTATACAGCTCGGTGAGTTTAGCTTGTTGCGGCATAGGTATATAGAGAATACGATACGATAGGATGAGATCGCCTTACAAACTCCCAACGCTAATCTTGAAATACGAACAGGAGTACAATGTTGAATATTTCCGATGGGACATGTGTTGTGATCCGTGGTTGTTCGGTGCCGTGTAAGTTGTGGTTGTTCTTTGTCGCCACCTTCTTAGAGACGAGATGCCACACCTTTCCTCACATCCGCGAATGCATTTGAGTTTTCCGGATCCCACCCAGCAATTAAATCCTCAACAACATTCATCTCATCCTGACCCCAGACAATCCCGCCTATCTGTCTATATTTCCCATCTGCACCTTGCTGAGACAAACGGTAGCTGGGTACTCCGCAAATTCCAACCGACTTTGCCTCGGCTGTCAATTCGCGCAGCCTGGTCTTGATCTCCGTCGTGTTCGCTTGCCGAACCAAGGAAGCTCCATCATAACCATTTTTGTCCAGAACCGAAGTGAGGACAGCATCGTCGGATACATTGGCGTTTTGTTCCCAGCATGCGCGGTATAAAAGGGCCACGGTAGACGGCTCAGCGATAGCGACTCTTAGCACGGTGGGTGTACGAATGGGGAATACATCTGCCCAATGGAAATCTATATTCTTGTCTGGACTGCCATTCTGCGCGTTGATGGAATTCCAGTATTGAACCCAGTCTGCGTGATCTTGTCTGGACCAGATAGCTTTGGTAGGGGATATCGCTGTCATGGGCATGTTCGGCGCGCCGATTCTGTTTTCATGCGTCAATAATGACTCTTCACTCTTGAATAAGGTCAGTACTTACTCCCTGAACAGGATCCCCAATAGAAAAGGTTTCATGGTGATTTCCAAGTCGGAACCGAACATGCGCTTCAAACGCTCGAGCTGGGACCAGCCCAAGAATGCCCATGGGCTACTGAAATCATACCAAAACTCCATGCGCACTTTCCCATATGCTCGATTTTGAGGTATGCAGCGTGGCATCAAGCTTTCCAGTCCAGTTACTGTGTTCCAGGAACCGCCATTTCTTAAAGAAAGCAATGTTGCCTCGACAAAATGCATGCGGTCTTGGCCCCAGTAGAACCTACCTTTTCGCTCATTGCCGTTGAAGTCTTTCCATGCAACATCAGGAATCCAGAATCCCGGTACCCCAAAAGCGCCTCTCTCAATCGCATCCGCGGTGGCCTCCTCAAGCCCCTTTCTTGCATCCGCATCGGAAAAAGTTGAGGTAGACAGCGCACCTGCGTTCTCAATCCCGCTCTCGCGCACAATGCTAAGTAACTCTTCATCATTACTGACATCGCGCCCATCAACCCAATATGCCTGAAACAGCTTCCTCGTGAGTATTCTTCTATCTTCTCCATCGACATAATGCAATAGCCTTAAAGCGTTTACGCTCTTCCTTGGATGTTGCGGTGGCGGATTATACGCAATGCGGTAGCGGCGCAGCGTGCGCTGCATGGATCTTGCCGTCACAACTTTCTTCGTGGGATTGTACACATCTGACGCAGATCCAGCTGCGCCTTGAGGCGCGGATGTCGCTCGATAGATGGCTCCCAATAAGACTGGCCGATAGATGAGAGTGGCTCTTGTTCGAGCTGCCAGCGCCTCCACGCGTGTGGAAGCTATGTAAGCGAACGGACACGATATGTCATAGTTGAATTCGAGGACGGGAGAAGCCATGATTTGGATGCGATTGAGAAGCAGGATGTGTATTCAGGCGTTTGATAGTTAGTCGTTTGATTGTATGTTTGTAGAGCGACGTGGAGAGGTGGAGTGGGGTTTGTCATGAGTAGCCGAGGTTCCCACAGGTTGAACGCGTCATCACGTGTCTCTACGAATTTGCACGACAAAAAGGGTAATTTATACCTAAGCAGTACAATGGCTGAGGAAAAAACAGTATGGATGATACATTCATGTATTTGTTGCTCCGTGGCAATGTCACTCATCTAATCGTATGGTATTCCCTTCCTTTGCCAGACCCTGATGTCGGAGTGCTCCGTTACATGTACATACGTGCGGCATTATCGTCGTCCGGGATCTCCATCCACGCCAGAGTGTGAGTATTTGTATCCCAGTACGATCGCTTCGGACGCTCCTGCGGCTTTTCCGATTCCTCATCTTTCTTCGCCTCTGCCTCTGCCTCATCGTCGCCCATATCTTTGTCATCGCCCTCCTCTGTCGCATCAGATTTCCCGCTGTTAGTCCACTTCAATGGACTTTTCGCGAGTAACTTCTCCGTCAAGTTGCGGAATCGATTTTGGTGCGGCGAGGGCCCAAGGACACCGGATGAGTGTGTGCGCTTGAGTGCCTTCTCAGCGATATTGCGAGCTCGATTCGGGTGCGGTGAAGGTCCAATGACGCCGGACGCATGTGTGACGATTGATGCGGAAGGGGGACTGAGTATAGTCGATGCATCCAAATCTTGCTTCTCATCATCTTTTTCATATTCCGCCGGCATGCTGGGATAGGTAGGGCCGTTCAACCAGACCTGGATCCGTTTCGAATCTTCCATCTTGTCCTTGCACAATATCGTGAGCCAGCATGTCAAGAAGCCGCATGTCATCGCGAAGACCCCGACCCTCAGCTGCCGTGCAGGTATCAAGATGAACTCCGGTTCCTGAATCAGAATGAGCAGTATGGTGGGGACGAGAAGTAGAGCGGCTGCCTGGAGCTCTTTGTTGGGGAGTGCCGCAAGGTGAGAGGAGGTCAAGCCAACCAGGCGCATAGCCGTCTGCCATGTCGCCATGAGTAGGGTGGCGAGGGTACGCAGAAATGTAGAAGGCATGGTTGCGTGTTAGTTGGTTGAAAAGTAAAGTATGTCGTGCACTCGAGGTTGAGGGGGGAGCGCGGAAGTCGGTGCGACTGCTCTTGCGCGGAGGGTTTACAAGTTGGGTAGGTGCAATCATTCACTGTGGCCTTAGTTTTGTTTGCTGCGTCGAGGCAAACAGTTCTGCCCAAAGACTACACCCCATGACGTAATTTTCCATCTGAAGACTTGTGGGATGATTATAGTAATTTTTCAAATGTTCACTACTTCAATTATCCTGCGTGCCGCTAAAATATACTCTGCTGAATCTACCCAGCCAACGCTTTACCCCCAGTAGGTACTTCCACAGAAGCATGCTGAACGCATGATCTCAAATCTAATTTTATTTTTCTATGAATTGACATTTAATATTTGGGATTGATGGTCACTTTGACTCATTTAGATGCTTGATAGTGAGCCGAAATTCATTGGAGTCTATTGTTCGCCTTCATCGATACTCCATGTGTTCATGCGATCTAGAACTCGCGATGAAACATGAAAAAATGCTGTTCTTTCCAGACGACGCGAATGATGATGGTGGAAATACAAGAAAACTATTCTCAGATCAAGCTGGCGGGCAGCACTGCCCCCCGAAAGGTACTCGTCATAAGTTCGACGTTTTGCAACGGTAAAGGTCTGTTGCATTTCACCAAAAGTAGAACATCAACCCGAGTATTGTAACCCCGAATGTGCCGCATAGAATATGAGATGATCAAAAAATAGATTTTGTAATAATCAGAATCCATTGCTTATGCATGTAAAAATGATGTGTAAGAAGGTGCCGCTAGGGCGAGTATGTACAATAAATCTCCCAGAGAAAGGTGAAGAAGTGTGAAGGTGGTGAAGCTTGATTCCCATCATCCCAAGTTTCCTCAATTTTCCAAATTCCGAAAGAATGAGTTTAGCATGAGAAACCACAGTCCAGATCGACGGTGGTGCGGTCTTTGTATACATTAGGCTGGTCATACTTGCCCACCTTGCAGTTGGCGTTCTGAGTGTTGTAGCCTCCAGTGCTGATGTCCTGATCTTTGTATTCGATGCGTGCCTATTTCACCCAAGCCTGTCAGTAAACTGAGAATAACCATGTTCAAGAAAGAATAATTTGGAGAATTTTGGGTGTTAATCAATGCGAAGGGAGGAGAAACTTACCAAGCCTGCCTTGAGGCCTCCAACTTGAATGTTGATAGGATCACTGGTGGGAAGACCCTTGGTGAACTCGAAATATAGGATGCTACCTCTCGCCTCCTGTTTATGCGTGGTTTCAAGAGAGTTTCCTTCGCCGTCTTTGATCGTGATGGTGGCCTGGGAGTAGTCTCCGTCGACGATCTTCATGTGCAAACCGCACCAACCGCCTCTGAACTTGCGCTTCTCAAAGTTGGGAGTGGTGTTGACGGCTTCGGTAGATCGTAGGCCAACAGCAGCAACCTCTCCGCTGGCGGAGGAGGTAGGCGCAGCGAGGCCAGTGGCGGCAAGGCCTAGGAGAGTAGCAATGGTGGTGAACTGCATTATGACAAGATTGAAAGGCTTGGTTGAATGGTAGAAAGTAAACGAATGTTGGAAAGAAGAATGACTGGATCTAAAAATTGGGTTGTTGAGAAGGTAATGAATGAATGGGTTTGTTCTGATAAATGCACGGTAGAGCCGTAGGTTCTTATACTTTGTGACAGCTTGAGCCAGTATCGTGACTTGTCCAAATATGCATCGTCGGAATAGTCACACTCATAGGTTGTAGTATCCACTATGCGTATGCTACGGACATTCTGTCGCTGTAAGAGGGAATTCCAGCTAGTTGGAATGTCTCCGACTCCACATAGCGAGAATTCTGCGCTACACCTTCATAACGATCGGACATTCATTTCTCGGAAATTGACAGGGCTTGAAGCGCTCTTTGAGACTAAGCCCTACAGCTAGTCATGCAAGCGCCAGAACTACCCGAGTTCTACCTAGACTCGCAAGCACAGTCGCGCAAATACAGTCGCTCTCCTCATGTTTCTTGATGTCCGACACTAGCTAATAGTACGATTCAACTACCGGGCAATTCACCTAGCGTGACCTAACAACCAAACGGGAAATTTTCAGAGAGCTAAGCATTAATCCAGGAGCTGAAACACAGCAGACCTTGATGTCTTCGAGCAAGGGTCGTAGTAGCTAGCGTATAGCCAGTGCAGCTATAATGTGTGACCCGAATGCCTTCCGGCCAGAGTGATGAGCTAGCTTATTGGTAAGATCTTACCGTTCCTGTACTGACGGGACGATGCAACCATGAACATAAGTTGCTCCTCGACAGAACAGGCCTTACAGTGCTTTCGGGTGCCGATTGAAATTCGACCAAATCTACATTTCCGCATCCGAGTGGATCCCTCGCTAACGGCATTAGTTTCGAGTGCGACTGGCTGTGGCGCAGTGCTTCTGCAGCCTCAGACTATCCCCTAAGCTGATGCGGTGACATTCTCGAATTTTAGTAGCGGGTCGCGAGGCTTCTTTCAAAGACAACTTCTGGGCGGCTAGAACTATGTAGCTCTCTGCAATCATTTTAGAAGAACACGCCAGTTGAGTAACAGGTTAGTTATACGTGCTCGCGCGGACAGGCTCACTGCCGTTCTTCCCGAGTAAAGTACCTCGAGGCCGACCCTATCAATCTTCAACAGTACTACATATGTACAGATACTTCATCTTGTCAACACATCCCTTCCGACCTCTAATCATGCCCAGATTTCGATTGGAACCAGGAAGGAATTGTATGTGTTAACTAAGGTATTGTGTGATTGGCGTGAGATGACCCACCCCAGGAACAACCGAACCCTACGCGCAACTCACCACAACCTCTGCGCTAGCCGGTATGAAAACGTGATACCTACCAAGAATAAATCGGCGCATTCAAATTGTGGTGAAGATTTAAGCACAAGCAGATGGGTTTCTATGCCGTCGAATACACAACTACATACGTAGCTTTGACTCCACGTCGCATTATGGATGGGGCCAAAACTGCGGGCGAAATGTACATGTAGTAACGAGACCCTTGTCCTTGTAAAAGTGCAGTCCTCCACTTGCGCCGTAAACCAATCTTGTTGTTTCTTGAGAAGCTCAAGTGGCCTACGCTATCAATGTGTGTTTAACCGCCTAAGTGAGCATTGATATCACTTAATCATTGATAGAATTTATGGAGAAAGGACATATGGTCTGGAACTTTTAAAGCTGATCATGTGATTACTTTTGGATCTACATGTATTCAGATTGTGAGCCCTGCTTATCAGGATCCTACATGACTCAAATTTCACCTACTGCGCCTCTAAGCTGCTTCACTGCATCATCCTTCAAAATTGTTGATGATTTTCAGGGTCAAATCGGTCCCTCGAAAGTGAAAAAAACAAAACATGGGAGTTCAAGACTATGGTTTTGCAATGTCATCTACAGCAAAATAGCATAGTATATAGTACATCTGTGGCGAATTGAAAAAAGGACTTACTTTCTCGCAACAATGACATTAGCCACAAATTTGAGCTGCATTTTCCCACCCTCCAACTCCCGATACCCGTCGCTCTTGACCAGCTCTTCCTTGACAATGGCTACAGCCTCCTCCCATTTCTCTCCATCAGCTGCGAGCCATCCTGCAGTTGAGCTACCACCGAGAAAGCTCCAAAGTAGGCCTGCGTAGCGATCCACGCCGGTCGTCGTCACCACAATCTCTCGCTTCAAAATGGCGATTCTATTGTCCTCAAATCCACTTTGCTTGAAGATGCGCCTCAGAAAATTATGATCTTCCCATTTCTTCATTTTGTCGCGAGGGAGTGGGGACCCCTGGGGCCTGGTGAGCCTCGAAGCAGTCCGAATGGGCTCCATGTTTGGCACATGTGCCCATGAATTGAATACCGCAACTCCTCCAGGTTTAAGAGTTCTGTAGACTTCTCGTAAGGCCGGGACAGCGTCTCTGGGTAATGCGGAAAGGACAGCGGTGCCTATAGCGTGTGAAAATGTGTCGTCTGCTATAGACAGTTTCTGAACATCCTGATGAATGGCTTCGGCGGGCCAGCTATTGTCTTTCGCCTTCTGTGCATACGTAGCGAGCATCTCTTCATTCCATTCGACGCCTTTGATGCTGAGATTGGTAGCATCCTTGATTTGGGCGACGAGGGCCGCGGTTCCGGCACCAGTCCCACATGCAACATCGATGATGGTAGAGCCAGAATGTAACGGGAGCATTTCGGCCACAGTCTCTCTGGCTAGAATATTCATGCAGTCCCCTAGGAGTTCATTGTGAAGCTGTGGTGTAGGCGCATGAGCTTGACTAGGTGTGTACGGGTTGTCGAATCCGAATTTATCCATTGGGGGTTTGAGTATGGTCAATTATTTTTAATCTTGCTGCAGTCTCAAATCGTCAAAATAGGGTATTTTTCAGGTTAAGTTTGGTAGGTGTTGTGTGGAGAAGAGCTTACATTTCATTGCGGAAACGGAACAAGACCCAATTTTGTGCGAGTAAGCGAAAGGGGCCGCGCCGAGGGATCATCTGGGGTAGTGACTAAACGAGATTAATCCCAGTATCTTCGTTGGCACAGGTTCAGCTACCTCGAAACATAGCTGGTCGGTGACTGGATTTATCTCGATGGAATGTAAGAGCTACTCGTGTGGATATTCGCTTTTCTATGACATTCCGGTATCACGATACTATGTTTCGGCCAAACATGTGAAATCTGTGCCGCCCGGGATCCTTGAGTAAACCAGTGGGTTTCGTACTAATGTTGTATCGTGTCTAAGTTGAAACATGGGACACGGCTGACAATCAACCTTCATAGCAGCGGCACAGCCATCGTAGTCATCGCCGCTGGGGTACGTGCCAGACCAACGAACCTCATCAGGAAGTATGTGAGATGTTTTAAGCGGGTGTAGAAAACGACCGCGAGAAGGAAGACGACTATGAGAGGCGAACAAGACTGTAGTAGATAGTGTTGTTGAGTGATGGATGTGAATGATACTATTCAGATTCCTGACATTTCATGGAACATATACTCACCCAGTGCGCTGTTTGATATGAGCATGTTGCATCGCATACTGTGTGCGGCACAAATACAGTCGATACGGATACTGAAGTGTAGGGGTTATCGGAGTACGACGATAGGATTGACCGGTTCCAAAGAGTGTTTCTCGCGCATTGAAGCGATAACATCTTCAGAGCACATATCCGGCGCTTGAAAATAGTACCTTACTCTTGATTTAGACAGTTGCATCACAAGAACGGGACAATGACACTATTAATTCGTTTTCGCTAGTCCTGATGGGGATCTAACAACAGAAGTGGTTAGTAGGGGCTCTTTTCAACTTTATCCGGTTCGTGGGCTGTGGCGCATCACTCTGTAACTTGTGGAGTAGTGTATCAACAAGTAGACAGGTTTGTTAAATCATACAATGGTGTAGGTGGCGCAGCTACACTTAATTATATGAGGGCAGCAAGCATCAACATATATAAACTTGTGGGAATATTCACCAATACTCCGCTTAGGTGCGCATAGTTGTATCATTGCGATCAGGAACAGGCAACAACCACTGGATCCTATCTCGTGAACTTTAACTTTTGGCAACTATCACGAAATTATGTAATGACTACCGTGTTTGGGTTGCGGCCTGTAAGCCCTGGCAATCTGATTGACACTGATGATCATATTAAATTTCTGGGCAGATCCCTCAGTGCGACTGAAAGTCCACCGGATATCTACAGAGCAGGAGGGAAATGCCGTCTTGGGAAACTGGGATTACTGATGATCAATGGGGGACTAATGCTTTGCAACTTACTAACGTCTCAATGGCCTACGCAGATCTTCAAGGCATCTATTGCCTGTCAAGTTTCAACTTCGCTTAAAGATCCATACGAGTTATAGAGATTGAGAACACGCGATAGTGGAGACATATGCAGACTGCACACTTACCCGACAAGTCAACACCAGACGTCTTTTAGTTTGACAATGCGCAATATGCGTATGGTACCGTAGCAATGGCACGTATCGAGATTCATCAACTCCCCGCAATTTGATCAGGCGTAAATAGCCGTGTGGCAGCTGGGGGCGGCACTTGTATACTCTCCCGGATATTATTTGCGGGTGAGATACCAATCAGAACGCTTTGCGGGAAGATCGTAATCTTCTACGGGAGCAGTTGAGCCCCATATCCAGAATAGTATTTCAGATGAAACACACAACCTTCGACTGTTTTCGGGCCCCAAGATTGACGTTCATATCTCAGCACTCAAAGTTCATTTTAGAGCTGACATGGAGTGCCAAAGAGAATGGAAATGGCTTATACTTAAAGTCATGACGGGTCCTCAGCACTCATTCTAAGTTTGCGAATCAGGTAAATATGTTCTGGAATTGGGCTATCATCTCACTCGTTACCGCTATCGTGGATGGCGCACCCCTGCAGCATGTAGAAAGGACGGCATGCGCAGCACCAATTCAAAGAAAGGCTTGGTGAGCTCACATCCACCCCGATTGGAGCTACAGAAACTAACAACAGCCAGGCATACCTTGACGCGAGACGAGAAGAAGTCATACATTGACGCTGAGAAGTGTCTTATGACTCTTCCGGCAAGATTGGACCTTGCAGACGCTCGCACCCGCTTTGACGAGTTTCAAAAGATCCACGTTATACACACGCGATTCATCCACGGCGTGGTATAGTCTCTACCCAATTCAAGGATCACGATGTACAGAGTACTGACCATTTTCAGGGTGCATTTCTCCCTTATCATCGGTATTACGTTCAAGCCCACGAAACTGCTCTCCGGACAGAATGCGGTTACACTGGTGCCCAGCCCTACTGGAATGAGGCACTCGACGCTGGCAACTTCTCCAAGTCTGTTCTACTAGATCCCGAGACAGGATTCGGTGGAGATGGTACGGGACCCAACAACTGCATTGTCGATGGTCCTTTCAAAGATTTTCAGAACTCGATTGGTCCCGGTGAAGCGATTACAGATCATTGCATCGACAGACAAGTCAACGACTGTTCTAGCCGCGGTGCCGCACAGGATAATGTGGACGCCTGTATGACCCGGAAGACTTTTCAGTCGGCATGGAACTGCCTCGAAGGAATGCCGCATAGCGCTGGACATGGGGGTATCAATGGACAGGTAAGACGAATTTTTCACTTTCAATGTTCATGCGCTGACTCGCACAGATGATGAATGTTTTTTCTAGCCCAGGAGATCCGCTCTTCTACTTACACCACACTTATTTGGACAAACTCTGGTGGGACTGGCAGTCGCAGAACTTGTCAGCACGCCTTACCGATATCACAGGTCCTAACCAGGGCACTTTCTTCTTCCCCGGTGGCGGAAATGGTAGTTTCCCCATCGGAGGACCGAACGGAACTATTCCTGGCGGTCCAAATGGAACATTTCCCCCTTTCATACCTCAGCCACCAGGCAACGGTTCTGATTGTAACGGATTTGGCGGATTCCCTGGGGGCCCAGGAGGACCAGGAGGCCCGGGAGGTTTCCCAGGATTTCCTTCGCCTCCACAGAATGGTCCGTGGATTGAGATTGATGGTGACCCGGCCAATATCACAACACTAGGTCACGTTCTCAATGTTGAAGGAAGCATTCCCAGTGTTCCTATCAAAGACGTTATGGACATTCAGGGTGGCACATTGTGCTATGAATACATCTGATGTAGTTCTCGAGTTTCTGGACATATATCCTGACCACAATTGTCCTCGATGCAATTTACACAAACGTTTGTCTCCTGAGAGTAGGTATAATCATCTATGTTCACAAAATTAGCCTTTCTACCTCATAATTTATTACTGAAATGTGAGGTGAGTTATTGAACCTTGAGGGTCCAGAAAGTTCAAGTTGCTAAGTCCATTGTATGATCATCGCATTTACAGTGAAGTGCAGGCGCCACAGAATTGAGTATGAAAATTCACATGCTGGAAAGGCAAAAGTATCTTTATAACCAACTGGTGACATCCAACATATCGGATCGTGTATTGGGCCGAAAGCTATCTTGTATCAACTAAGCGAATGTAGGCGCTTCATCTAGCCAACTCTATAATCAATTGACTCTCAAGGATCATAGTTTCTTCCCAGAGGGTTCACTATGTCCCATTCCACATAGGGATTGGTAAAGTCCCTTTGTATATCAAACGTCCTCTTGAGATGGGATGCTGTGATCACTCTGAAAACCCATTCCTTTATAGCAGGGTACGAGGCCGTGAATCTCACGGTAACAGACTCGAGCACGGAATCCTCTCTGCTATCCATGAGCTGTTCATAAAGCTGTACGACACGCCTTTCGGCTGCCTCTTCAACTATAAATTTGCCTCCACCCTCGGAATATGTGTATTCCAAGATATTTTCATCCGCATCGAAATATATTTCAAGATTGCGCAGGTGATTCAGGTTCAGTAACGCCGCCGTTGTCGCTTCAGGCTGGTGAATGCCGTCAGATTATTTATGGGGTTCACAGTACCGGATGAATATCAAGAGGGAGTGGCTGGGGAAGCTAAGTACGAGCTTTACTTACCCATGCACTTTCTCTCCGGTCCCGTGAGACATTTTCGATCAATGCAGCTCTCAGAGAGAGATCTTCAATGCCGGGGCACAATTCGACCAATGTTCGAACGTCCGCTTCTTCCCAGGCGCGATCAGTGTCAGAGGAGCACTTGACATGTAGGAGCTTGAGGCTATGTCCATGCTTGGTATACAACGGTAGGGCTATTCTGCTCCAGAGTACACCAATGGGGCTAGCTGCAACAACCTTCTCTAATCCCACGATACCATTTAAAAATGCTTCGAACTTGTTATAATATCCCAAATCCAAAAGAAATAGAAGCTCCAAACCAAATGTTAGACTTTTGAGCTGAGGCAGCTTTCCTGTCAGTGCTTCCAACAAGTTTTCGGGGGCTCCACGCTCAAGATTCAAATTGCGAAGCATGCTCCAGTCCATGGCTTTGGCCCACTTTGGACAGTGTTCTCTCGTGAAATCATAATGATCTATTTCCACACTGAGCGCTTCAAGCGCTGGGAATCGATCCTCTGGTCGGAAGTCCATATTCCGGTCGCCCACAGACCAGGAATCTTGTCTTATCCCTTTGATTACTTCGCCTCGGAGAGCAAGACTTTTTAAGTTCTTGGCCTGGAGAAGAGCATCTTTGATTGTTGGAAGCTCGGAGATAAAGGTCCTACGGCCCCAAAGTATGTCCTTCGGCTCCGCATAAGCAGTGTAATCGAGTGAGTACAGTTGCAGCGATGAAAGAGCTTGTGTGTCGGGCGGAATATATGGTCTTCCTTGCTCGTTACGGCACCAATTAATGATGTGAAGTCGAGCTGCTGGACGGTTGGCAGAAAGACTATCGAGCACTACTAGGGGGATAGCAAAACGCACATGCCAACTGCAGTCGCTTAGCATCTTTCCGATGATAGTATGAATGCCAAAATTACGTGAAATTTCTCAGGCCTCTCATGTTTTGAATCATATGCGCGAGGACTTCGGCCTCTGGGTAATTGCTGTCATCTTCCAAGGGCCCGACCTGCAGGTGGTGTATGTTCCGTGGTAAACTGTCTCCAGAATCACAAATTCGGTTGCATATGTATGGAATGATAGTTTCAGAATGAGGGTCTCGGTCATGTATCTTGAGCGAGCGGAATAAAACACGCTCCCCAAGATGTCTGCATGTGCGCGAGACGAGGCGGAACGATTTGATATCCTGGCGATCAGCGTTTTCGATTATCAGCTGAAGTATAATCAGAGGCAAGTCGAGGAGTTCCAGCTTGGCTGCCATAGTGACAGAAGGTGCAGGTTGCGCAATGCTGTCATGCCACTTTCGAGGGGGATGGTGGTAGATATATTAAGCGCCGTGCCTGAGAGCTGCGGGGGCGGAGTTGGCCAATCAACGCAGTGAGCCTGGAATGGAAAACGCTAGCCTGTTCTGATACGCGTTCGTCCCATTGAATGCATTGATACCTACATGTGTACTCGATACAACACGGTGGGTGGCTGCTAAATCTCTTACGGTGACTTTGTATTAATGTGGGTTGTTTATAGTAATTACTGACTGCTGCTACATAACATCTGGCGAGGTTGACATTGGGGCAAACGCAGGTAAAGACATTGTAAGGATCGACTAAATGTGAAATTTCAATAAGGAACAGAGTGTGTCTCTGACCCGAAGCACACCCAAGGCCATCACGTCTTCCAGGCCGAGTGATCACATCAACCCGTCATCTCTCATTCAAAGGGGATCCCACATTTCTTGGCACAAGACTCAACAATGCTAGTGAAAGAGCTCGCGAGCGTAGGTCTCAGTCCCTTGATCTGAGCGGGGGTCAAGAACTCAGAATACCCAGTAGACGCCTCGATCACCTCATCAGGCTCAGCGGAGAAGAACCCGAGCGCTGCTTCAACTCTTCCCGGATCGGGGGTATCAAACCCAGCAACAAAAACAGCGGGCTCGCACTCCGGGTTGAACTGCCAATGAACGAGACCTCGGGGGAACAACATGCCCGTGTAATTGGAAAGGGTAGTGTTGATCTGAAGAGAAGGGCCAACGTGAGGTGCGGGCCCGCCGACGACGTTTCCAGGCCCGCTGTCGTTCTCAAGGATGAGTGCACCGACAAGCGAGCCCTGAACGACGGTCAGAAACTCGTTTGCGCGTGGGTGCCAGTGAGGCGTGTTGAGCCCGCAAGGATTGACAAAGCCAACAGCCTGTGCAAGACCAGTGGATCCGAGGGCAGGGAAATTGTTGATGGTGGATAGAAAGATTGTTCCCCCGGTAGGTGGCTTGACAGTGTTGTTGATAAACTGGAATGTGCCGTTCTGGGCGTCTGGAACATGAGGGAACAAGATGGCTTCCCGAGCAGTCTCGGACTGCGCGAGCAACAATGCCGTACGCTGGTCATTGAGTTGCTGGGTCGTCAGGGCATTGACGGTGTCTGGGTTGATTGCCCGTTTGGAGAGGGGGTTCGACGCTTCGAAGCTGGCATATGCTTCTGCTTCGCGGGTTTCAAGCGCTTTATTGTCTTTGATTGCCAAAGGGGAAGCCACTGAGGCTGCCACGAAGAGTGTCAGGAGAGAGTTGATCGCATGCATCTTGCTCACGGACTTATGACTTGAATGTCTGTAGAAACTTGAGATGGATATGAAAGCTGTGGTGCTGAATCTTTCTTCCAGACGGTGAATCTGTCTTCATTTATACTTTACCCTCCGGCAAGGGGTCGGGTTTACGTTGGTGATTATCTCACAGGCAGCTCTTGATTGCAAAAATCCCTCTTTACGGGCTTGGATGAAGCCACGCCATCAGTGGACCTGGTGATTTGTCGTCACAGGCAGCCTGGATGAATCCTTTTGCTACCAGGACTTCGCCAAATTCCCTCGACTCTTTTTTTTCCGAGTCTTCTCCACTGACATCAGCCGCCTGCATGACCATTCGACCCGTCCATGAATTTCTATCCAGGGTTTGAGTCTATGTGATTCCACCCATGTGCTCTTGACCACCGTCAAGCCTGTAAGCCACACACATGCTGCTGATCTGAAAAAGCTTCCCATCCAAAAAGCTTGGACTCTTCTCTACAGTCTATACTGGATCATTCACTCTATCTTACCAATCTCACGACCTCATCGCTGATAAAATGCTTATACACAACGTGCAGAAGGCATGTGCACTTGTTACTCACCCTCTTGGTGCTTACTGTGGTTACACAATAGATCAAAAAAGGAAGCGACTAAATGGCCTTGAGTACTCAGCAGGATCGACATTGCTTTATTTTAAGCCTCAAAATAATCGCTCACTATACCAATACAATCGAGCCGACTTCCGTAAAAGTTGCTTGCGTCAGCTCTGTGGCTTGAACAAAATTCTTGTTTGCTAATACGCCACAACGCTTACGAAACAGTATTCGGGTGAGATATGCAACTTCATTCTTGGGTACCGAGACGGGCGGCTGGACGGGAGAGCGGTCAGGCCGCAGCACTATCAGTATGTGTCTCCAAGACTGAGAAATGTATCTGAATCTTGACCAGTCAGCAATGAGTCCTGTATGTTCAGCTCAACAGCATATTCCCTCTGTTCATTACCATGTGTACTCAGAAATGTGGTACAGATTCATACAAGCTCAACTTGAAATTTGTGTTGAGATAGTATCAATTGAACGCCTAATCTGATGCTGGACACCGCGTGGGAACATAGTGGTGAGCAATGACGCATGAGGAGTATTTATCGGTAAGCTGGCGCCAGACTTGGCAGATGACCACCCGACGCGTCGTCCCGAGTAAGCTTGTTTCCCATCAAGTCCGACAAATCACTCTCGGTTTTCTCTCTAAATCCGTGAGTATCCGCTCAGAACTAGACTGAAAGTATCAAGCAAGCAATTTTAAGCTTTGCTCACACCCCCCATGTCTTACTGAGGATATCAATAAAATCTGATCGCTGACAACCTTTCCCTAGATTTCTGCTGACAACTGAGTTATATCGGCGAGTTCCGAGTATGAGTACAGGCTGAGTCTTCCATGTGAACTTGAGACTGTAGCCTGATATCATGGCTGTAGCGATGCGGTCATGTTCACAAGCAATCTGGTTGTTTTACGTCTCCAGGTATCAATTGATCGTTCTCAACCATAATGCGGCAAGACTGAATTCTAAGATGGAGCTTTGATGTTCCTACACCGAGCGGTATTGAAAGCAATAAAAGTACGGGAGAACTAAGCGTAGTGGTGAATCATCGCTTTTCCATGCATGCGATGACAAAAAAAAATAAAAAGAACAGTGTGCATTCCGCCTACACACAAGCTTTGCAACAAGCAAAAGGTGGGATTGGGGGTACCTCATCACTCTCATTCATTGTCCAGGGTATAATCCACCAGAAAGAGTATCGAGTGTATGTGGGTGATTGGGATTCTGGGTACTTCGGCATTTGCCCTGAATAAAGCTACATACAGCCTCAAAAGAAGATGATTTTCTGATGATGGTCATATGAACTTATCGAATTACTGAAGATTTCATTACAACGAGAATCTTGCAATACACCTTTGCTTTGTTACGCCTGTTGCAATGCAGATATGGGGTGAACGTCGCTACTCCAATGCTACCCATTTTACCTCCAGATATAAGCACAGTGAGAGAGAGAGAGGAAAATAGAGACGTGTATCTTTTGCCGAAGATATCATGTACGACACCCACAAAACGGGCTAGTTGAGCACAATTTCCAACAAAAGCTTGTAGAAGCTGTCACAGCGTCGGAAAGGGTTGATGAACAGAAAAGCAGATAGGAGACGCCCTTGAATCACGCTCCCTCATTATTGCTGACACGGCGACTACACATGACTCCACAAAACTATCAATCAACACATCAATGCTCGAGGAACCTACCGATAACTACAATACTCGCTAAGAGGTGAATCGCATCCATCACTCCGTGAAGTATAGCGCACAAGCCTAGCGCTTTACGCGGTGCTGGTGGCCGCTGTTCGAAGTTTAGACTACATACACACCTATAATAGCAGCTATAAAACGCACGAGACCCTCCCTGTGTAGTCGATCCTTCAGGAACGCGAAAAACCCCCACCGCGTGCACACCCCACGCACGGAAATAACGAGCATCCATTTCGGGGTAATAATCGACAGGATGAAGAATGCCTTCCAGGTAGCGCATATCTCGCGTACGCTGCTTTGTAGTTGGCGTTTATAAGTACAATTGACATTGCCTATTAACCGCCTTTCTATCATTGTCATATCGTTCGGCTACGCGCAAAGACCAGTTTGTTTAGATGATGTCGACTCTCGAGATTTTTGATCATTGGTGGAGACCCACAAGTACGACTACAAAGTTGACGGAAATTACGGCGTTGAGATCTGGGATTCGGTCCGTTCGCTCGATGGGGCGATATCCCCGCCGACGAGTCAAGATGATCGAGTGGCATATGCTCATATTCATATCCAGGGCCATCACTAAATCTGAGTCATGTACTTTCTGGTTGACGGAGAGTTTGTCCCGCCGCGTGCTATAGACGGTGGCATAGTAAAATTGGCGGATGTCTCTTCCACTACTTAGTTGTTTCACCTTTTGTTATCGCCCTACCGGTAAGACTGTTCTGCGGTACAATCCCGAGCCGTGTAGGGAAGTTAACACGCCAATATGACTGTGCTTGCCGATATGCACTGAGGTTAAGGCTTTAAACCATACTAATATGTGGTCATTTTGTACCTAGGTGTTTGTGTCGTGTCTAATTTCCGAAGAATCACGAATATTGACAACTGGGCTTCTGTTCTAGAGGTCAAGCTAGCACCCGTCATCAACACGATAGAGACCCTTAACCAGATAGCGATTCGTAGTCTGCTGCAGACGTCAAGTTTTGTGTCACAATCATAGACGTCCGGCTGAGCTGAGATCTCAGCAGTGGGCGATGAAAAAGCTAACGTGGTGGATCCAAAGAAATCTGCCGTATGTTCCTTTTGGGGTGTTTTTGATCTCTTATCAAGTGCGTGGAGAATGGGTACCAAGAACGCCGTCAGCGGAAAGGAAGTTATAGGAACTGAGTACAATTGTATCCTTCGCAATACAACGGTTATTCCGAACAGAAGAACGGCATACAAGCATGGTGCGAACTGAGGAGCACCATACGAGTATAGCTTTGCTCGACTCGTTTCCTCGAGGGAATCTTGTTGCGCGTGTGTCGCAGCCAATACTTTGACAGCCGTTCTGTTATACCAATGCGTATGATTCCACGCGACGCGACCCATGTGTTCATGCAGTCCTCGGTGGAGCGCTGTGTTGCGAGGCCTGCGTTGTGTCGAATCTCATTGTTCGCGGTGCCTCCACGCTCTATCACTGTTTATGATATCGCGGCATGTAGGTAGGTATGGTTGGAAAACGAGGAAGGCCGAAAAACGAAGCGGTTTGGTATGCGAACCGGAGGCAGAAGTTCTCGTCCATGTCGGAGGTGCGATCTCATATGATCGGTATGCGGGTACCTAATGGGCCAATTGCTTTTCTACGCGTGGGACAGACGGAAAGCGTCTCAATGGGGGCACGTCATGTCTTTGTTTTCAACGGCCCAAGACAAACGTCTACAGAACGATGAAATTGTGTATGTAGCTCGCTTGAAGCAACGGGTACCCAGAAAACTAAGTGGAGGCAAGCGTGTGGATAGTGTTTGCTTGGACTCAACTTGGCGACTGGCGGGCCGAGCCGGGCGCGCGGCGGTGTTCGGCGCGGACTATGCGCATCTGGTTGCACCTGTCAGTGGTGATGGCGTTGAATTCTGTGCTTCCTTTTGGTGGATATGCAGGGACACTTGGATTGCCAAGGACATGCAGTTCGGTCGTGGTAGCCGCGTGGGCATGGTGGAGGATTGATTCAAGGTTCGCGTGGTGTTTGTTTTTGACAGCGGCCCGTGGGGGGCGGCGATTTCGGGGGTCGGAGTGCCGGAACACCGATCAGGGTCCGTTGTCTGCCAGGCAGGCAAGAATAGACCACGGCCAAGGGAAGAAGAAAAGTATAGCGGCAATGATTCAAGAATTACACGAATCTGTTGGAGTTGGTGAGCTCATCATCCTGAGGTTGTATATGCGCTAAAGTGTTGGAGACTTGGCCTAACTATGAGAGCATGAGCGCCACCGAGAGATGCAAACTCCTTTCGAAGGTAAAGTCTGTCGCGAAGGACAGAACGGCCAATTTCATGGCTTTAATAATTACAATGTCGAAACTAATGAATATGCTAATGATGCTTGTAGATTTTGACACCTGCTACGTTTCATCTAAAGTCTCCTGGTCGACATTGACCATACCACCATAGCGCAACGCCCTTGGGGTCAGCTAGGTAGCCCGGCAAGAGACCCCATCTAGTCGATTCTTGATGCTCTGACCTCTGCGACAGGACCCTTGTATACTTTCTTGCCTTGGATGAGATACATTACCAAGGACATGATGAAAACACCCAAAAACAGCACGACGGACCAGTTGAAGTTCTCGAGAGTGACTGGCGTCTCGTTGGGCCAGAATGCCCAGAAGAAGGAGAAGGAAGAGTAGGCGAGTCCAATGACATTGATTGGGATCCCCCACTTTCCAAGACTCCACCGCGCTGTCGGAATCAGCTCCGGATGCCTGATGCGACGGTACAGGACGCAGGAGATGGATGCAGCGTAGGTGCTGAACAGGGCGACGACCTGCAAGGATATGATGGCGTTGAACGCCACGTTGGATCCGATGTTGATGATGGACAGCAACATGGTGAACAAGCAAGTCACAGCGATGGCGTTGGCAGGGACCTCCTTGGAGGACACGCGGCTAAGCCACTTGCTGAAAGGCAGGCCGTTGTCACGCGCAAAAGCAAATGTTTGGCGAGCTGTTGACGCATTGAAAGAAATGTTAGCGGCAATGATAAGGATGAGAACGAGGATAGTCAATGCGTTGACTCCCGCTGTGCTGACGGCGCTCTTGAACACGTAGATGAAGGGATAACCGGTAGGATCCTCAAGCGCGTTATCGATGCTGTCGATGCTGAAGAGGTAGGTGATGAGAAGAATGATGGCCATGATTCCGTTACCAATGTACGACCAGAAGAGTGAGATGGGAACGTAGCGGCCGGCATCACGCACTTCTTCCGACATGTGTGCAGTTGCATCACTTCCTGATCAACTTGGTTAGTGACTTCGCATGCGCCAAAGGAAGAGTGGGGTGACCTACCAAGCATGGCATAGAGAGCGGTGATCTGTCCCACCATTAAACTCAATCCCATTGTGGGCCATCCCCCAGCATTGGTGAACTCGGTAAACACCGCCTTCGCGCTCTGGTGAGGAGCCAATGTCCAGAGAGTGATGATGACCGCCAGGAAAACAACAATGTGGAGAACCAAGAGACCATTTTGTATCCGTGCCCAAATGTCGGAGGCCCAGATGTTGACGACGCACAGAACGAGCACCGAGGCAAACACCAAGAGGGTACCTTGGTATGGTTGGGGCTCATAATCCGGGTAGTTGACCACGAGAAGGGCCTGGATGATGGTGCCGGTCAAGAAGGATCCTGATGCATTACCAGCTTGCCAGGACAATGTTGACATCCATCCCACCACATAGGAGAGAAATTGTTGTAGGCCTGGTGGCGCGAACTCTGATACCCAGTGATACTGCCCACCAGAAATGGGCGCCATCGAGGCCATCTCCGCCAGACTGAGTTCCACGAATCCAAATCCAATGAAGGTCCAGATGTAAGACCAGAAGACACCAGCTAGACCTCCATCAATGAGACCTTGAGTGTTCGCGACCAGGAGAAACTCCCACACAGCAGTCAAAATGACTGCGAAACTAAGCGCGGATAACGGGCGATAGTTCCTCTACATGACATAGATGTCAGCGCTCTGGTCAGATTCCCGCGCGTGTAATGCGGCGTTGGTGCAACCTAAACCCGAAATTCGAAGAACCGAAGCTGAGACATACCTTTAATTCTTGCACCTTGCCCATCCTCCACATGTCTCTCTGATCAGACTTGGTGAACCCAGGCCGGGCTGGGTTTGCCCTGGAGTAAACATCGTCGGCGTTATCGCCCTCTTCCATACCGTCGAGGGTGTAGTCCGGCTTCTTCAAATTGATGGAGGAGCTTTGTGCTTCTGCGCTGTCGTTGGGCTCAACCATGTCGATAGCTTTCTTGATACCCGCGAATGCCCGCAAGTGATTGATATCAATGCAAATGCTGATAGGAAGGGAAAAAAAGAAGCGACGGAAGGACGAATGACGAGAGAAGGGAAAGGGAGCAGGGTGGCACAACAATACCGACTGTTTGGGGCACTCGTACATTTCAATACGTGCAATCTTGCACTTGCAGCAAACCCTTGAGGCAAACCCCAGCGTAGCTCGAGGTAAGGCAAGCTCCCCGATTCGCCAGTGACCGTTGTCGGTTACACGCCGAGACATTATACGGACGGGTCGGAGACGGAAAGTGAGTGGGGGGTTGCAAGTCTGGATGCTGGAAGATTTGGCTGGGGGTGCTGCACATCGGACTCCCATCCAATAAAGAAGAACATGCGAGACGATTAATGACCCCCGTTCTGCAACTTGCAAGGAAGAGTTTTGAACAGCTAGCTCTATACCTCAAGTATTCAGTGATCCCCTAGATTCTATCTTTCTGGTTAGGGCGCGACATCGACCCCTTAAGCAGCAGTAGCTAGTGTATAGTATAGTCTGTTGATGGACCCTGCGGATAGGCCACGAGTTCGCCATCAAACCCCAGGATAACACATTGCTTGTTACCATTCCAATCCACAGACTGTCTGGTGGCGTGATTCTGTACGGTGCACCCGATGGACTGGGCATTTAACCGACGCACAAGCTAAGTATCTATACGACGTCCAAGCTATCCCAAGACAAGACACAGTGCAAGCTTTTCGGCTGATCCGCCTTGGCCCACCAAACAATCTGCCGACATAATCATCAAATCGAGGCAAACGTGAATGGAGCTGATTGGGTTTCACCAAATATCGCCTAGTGCGTCTCACGAGCGGGTGACCCCGAATGCTTCATTTGATGCAACCCAGAGTCATTGCACCACGCTAATGGATCTGCTCAGTGCTGACATTGCTTGCTTGAGCGCTCGCACACGCGGCCCTAGCCTGACTAGTCGCGATACACGAGCAGAAATACGAGCGTGGATTGAAGCGCTAGTGACGAGGTCTGTTATCGGTGCGAATTTCTCGTCCGACCATGTCTGAGGAAAAACAAATATACTTTTTATCCCACACATCCAACTGCGCGAAGTTTCCCACCCGTATACCATGCCTGATACGTTGTCGCATCCAAAGCAGCAGCATCCTCAAGCGACATGTGAGGAGACTACCCTATCATATCAGATTATGGAATCGAAGTCAGCTCAGCTCAGCTCAGCATCTTTCTTATCCCTGTAACGGTCGCACAGTCTCGTATGTTCCTCCGAGGCCAACAGCTGCCTTGTTAGGAGAACCTTGATCGAGCCCGACAATCTCGCCGCCCATCATTCTTCTCACTGGCGCTTGGCGACCCGGCCCTGACCGCCACCCTGACTGCCGGTGCTCATATCGGCCCAACCTGTACAGTTGTATCCGAACACGCATAATGCTTGTTGGGAGAGAGAACGCCTTGTTTCGTGCATCGCACGTCGCAGCCTGTCTCAGCCTCTCTCGATAGTATACTAATGTCGTCGACCCTTTAAACTGACTAGCCCTCGTCCCCACATAATTCCACCGGTTTAGTTTGTTCATCGCGGGAGCAACCTTATGTTAGTCGACGAGAGAGCAGAATGGTCGCTGAGCAGGTGAATCCCGACCCGACTGGTTTGCCCGAAGGTGTTTCGAAGCCACTATTAAGTATCAACTCTCAAGACCAAAGTGGGTTGATCGCTATCCTTACCGCGTTTGCGCTGGGCTTGGTGTTGCTATCTGTTGCGGCGAGACTCTACGCAAGGCACGAGTTTCGTCTCTTTCGGATCGACGATTATCTTTTCATCGCTGCTACTGTGGGTATTCTAGTTATTCCATCCGTTGGCAGGCGCTAACCTGCATAGATATTTGCAGTCATACAGACTGCGTTGGTCTTTAGGCAACTCCGAGATGGTTTAGGGAAATCGGAAGAACAGATAGACCCCTCTGTTCGTTTAGCAGTGCAAAAGGTAGTCCGCATCATTAACAGTCCACCAGATAGCGATGTCACTAACTCTCATCAGCTTGGATTCGCCGCCGACCTTCTCTATCTCTTCACTCTATTCCTCTCAAAGTGCAGCGTATCATTTCTGTTCTTATACCTCACCCCCGGCCGCGCCCACGTTCGTGCAATCTGGACCACAATCACAGCGTCTGTGGTCTGGGTTATCACGGCAGTGATTCTGGAAGCCGTCCGCTGCCACCCAAAGCACCCCTGGACAGATGACACGTCCACTTGCACCAACTTCTTCGCCCGATGGGTAGTCATTGCAGTCTTAGATGCCATAATAGAGCTCGCATTAGTGGGAGTTTCAATCTACATCGTCTCGGACTTGCAGATGGCGCTCAAGAGCAAACTCATAGTGGTCGGAGCATTCTCGTGGCGTGTTCCGTACGTGTAAACTTCCATTCAGCCAAGAAATAAAACTAACGTTCATGCAGTAATATAGCTTTCACATTCATTCGCCTCGCCTTTCTCCAATATCCTTTCGAACCCTCCACGTCTCACATCTGGCACTCTCGCGTCGTGACCGTTACCCAGCTGTCAATCGGCTATACCATCACCGCTAGCGTCATTCCGTACCTGAAGCCATTCATGATGGCATACGATCCTCCTACGAAAACGCAGGCGTCTTCCTATCAACTGTCCTCAAGCGGTACGCGCGTCAAACTCTCCAACCTAGCTTCACAGCACTCGGCAACCCTGGCAACTATCGACGATGGGAAAGATGATGGCGAGCTTAGGGAAAACCGTTCCCGGAGTGTCAGACAAAACAAACCAAAGGCTGAGAGGAGAAGACGGTCAACACCGAAATTGGGAAGGCTAAGACCAGGGCAGAACGGATACGAGGTCTCGGCTTCTGCCACAGAGCAAAGGGAACAAGATCGCCACGAGCACGAGAGCGATGACAGCGAGCAGATGATCATCAAAAAGGGGGTTGAGTGGAGTGTAACATACCAGAGTAATGGAAGGAAGTCGAGGGAGCGAAGAAGTAGCGCAGCTGCTACAGAGGAGAGTAGAGGGGCAACCCCGGGACCGGATGACATAACGGCGGTCAAGACTCATGTATAGAGAGACTCGAGGGACAGCCAGATTATATACCGCTTCGAGTAGCTGGGGTTTAAAAAAGCGCGAATCGCAACTCCCAATCCCCAAGTTATGCTAACCCTTATACGTCTTCATCTATCATTTCCACTACTGGATCATCTTGGAACATACTGCTGTGAAATCCGGTCGTTTACTTACACGATTAACATCAGATTCACCGCACACAAGCTATCAGGACCTTAAGCCGCATGCTATAGCCGTATTGGCCAAAAAACTATAAAAAAAAAACTAAAAAAAAAAAAAAAAAGAAACTGGCGACGAACAGGCGAAAAACAACATGTGTCGGGCTGTTCGCAAACAAAAGATTTAATTGTCTCTACCAAGCTTCGTCCTATCCTCAGCTAGCAGTCTGTTCGAGCGTTGCAAGTCTAGGGTGTGTCTTGGATTGTTTGTACAGTTGAGGTATTTGCGCCTGTGGAATTGATGTTCGCACATGGTATGAAATCCAATGAGTCTTATTCTGACGAAAAGAGCGATGAAGTGCGACAAAATTGCAGCTTTATAGATGGTAGGAGCGGCTAAACACCAATGTCTTGACGCTGGGATATCTTTCACAGCCCAGCACATGCAGCACGCGTGTGCACTACGGCTGTTACACGATTGTGTAATCTTGACGGTCATCACCCACCTGTCTAATCTACCCCCAACCCATTCTCACACTGCAGAGGGCCTCGCATACATCCACGATATGAATGTTCTTCATTGCGATTTTTGCGTGGGGAATCTCCTCGTTGCCAGCGATTTATCAATCAAGCTCTGCGATTTTCAGGGAAGGCTATTGAATCGGAATGGGGATATCAGTCTCAATGGCGGAGCAGCTGAAAGTGTCATGTCTTCAATGCCTCGACCTGATCGGAACCACTGCGATCGAAAAACAGACATCTTCGCCTTTGGAACCGCCCTCTACTTTATAATGACGGGCCATTCACCGTTCCCTAACCTAGACACTATTGATGATGAGGATGAGATCCGTAGACAATATGAACAGTGCGAGTTTCCCTGTATAGCCCCATATCAAGGTGGCGAGGTAATATACAAGTGCTGGAAGGGAGGCTATCAGTCTGCCGCTGACATTATGTCCAATTTGATAGCGTTAGAAGAAAGAAAATCAAGCATATCTATTCCTTGCTAAAGGATTACTACAAGGCGGGAGTAATAGCTCATTGTGATGGGGAAGGGACGACACAGCTACTTGCTAGTGCGCAAGACACTTGTTCAGCATAGCCGTGCAAAAACATTATCACTTCTGGCATGGTGCTGTCGCTAGAGTGTTATGCATAGAATGGACGATAGTAAGACTGTAAGACATGGGGCCGTAGCCATAATCACAATTCTGTGCGTATTGCGTCTTCTTTCAAGTCTGATCAAACCAACCAAGAGGCTAAATTTAGTTTATCCAATTAACTTGGGTAGTTGTATTGCCGCGTTAGGACTCGCGTTGCAATCCGATCCCCACTCCACTATTTTAAATCCAGAGATCAGTCGACACTGCGGATCATGGCGTATCATTTTTTGATGCCTGAGTGCTTAAGTCATCCACTGTGTCCATCTTGTCCCGCCAGATCTTATTCATCGCCATAGCCCCATTTACAGGTGACTCAGTCACGACAAGCACGAATCCAACTTATTAGACATTGGAATATCTTAACCATGTAGCCGTGCAATGCGTCGTGATAAGCGCCATTTAGATTTTCTATTGTTTTGATCGGCCATTGTGCATCAGCCTTCTTGCATTTCAAGAAGCACTATCAGCTGGTTCATCATCTCTCTTTGCCTGCGAATGATTTCCTGCTGTGATTCGATGGTCGCTTGCTGGATTCGTATCGTCTCGGCATCGGCAGCCATGATCTCTTCGTGAATGCGCAGAATGGAGGAATAACTAGGTGCAGAATTCTGTTTCCCGGTTGGAACAATGTTGGGAGGGATAGCCGGGTGCGGGTTCCCTGGTATTACGGGCGCTAGACACAGCCGCGAGTTGAATATTCGCATCGCCCACTGGGTGGAAAATACACTTACGATTGCTCCTAGGGGAAGGTTCCTGCGGGTTGTTTTCATCTTCACCCGTATCCCTAGGCGGTGTTGGAACACGCTTTGGTCTGTGTTTGTCTGGCTGTGGATCTGCCCCATCGCCCAAAGGGGCGAAGGGGGATGATTTGCTCGTTCGTCCCACGTGTATTGAAGCTGCCACGAAGATATTCACGTTCAAGGTGGTGAAAACGGAAGCCAAAAGAGCAAGGGTGCGAACAAAGTGTAGTACAAGCGCGCAACACTCCCAGAAGCACGCAAAGTCTGCCATGTTGGAAATTCGTTCGGAGTCGTCACCGGCTGTGGATCAAGAGTTGCGACATGATTCTCGCGGAGCGGAACACTCGCGGTCAAAATATGGGGAGGAGGTGGGAAGTCAAAGGGTGTGGCTGTATAAGGTGTGGGAAGAGAGTGTGGCGGGAAGGGGGAACCAGTGTTCACGCGGTGTGCTCACATGTGCATGTCGTCTATGTGACGCGCCTTCTGATTGGCTGGGCGAGGCAGCATCTGAACACAGCACACCCTCAACTCGACCTTCTCACCACACCACTGCGACCAAACCGGCCTCGAGCAACTCCATCAAGCTACTTTGTCTGTGTCAATACCCCGGATGCTTTGCGCAACACTTTTGCCATCACGGACAGTGGTTCCCAAATACCCGCAGCCGGCTTCGGTCCCACGCCCTTGCAAACCAAACAACTCTCCAGACCACAAATCACTTGATTAGGAGGAGTCGATGACTGCCTATGTATGAAACGTCACACTATAAGGGCCAAGTCTCATCCATACTCTATCTTTTAACAAAGCATGTGAATGACGACATTCTGACGCGCTAGCAGATATCGTAGGCATACATGCTCGGCGTACTGGCTGTCGCATCTACGTCCGCTTAGTATATACTTCCAGGACTGCGCAGTAGCCATGACCACGACCTTGGAGACGAAGATTCGAGGAAGCACTCATGAATGAGTCCAGTGTCTGGTCTAGATCTTCCAACCCTCTAGCTCTTTCTCTGTCCATTGCCAAAGTTTATCTGCCAGCTCTACATCCTGAGTAAGCGGCGATCCTTTACCACCAACACCCACAGGCTCATAGTACTGCCCGCTCTCCGCATCCACGCTTGTCGCTCCCCAAAGCTGATTCAAGACACCCTGTTCTACTCCTACGCCCGAGAAGTAGGAAACCACGGGCACGAGCAATTTGAAGACAACGGAACTCTTCTTCATTGCTGTGCTGAGATTGGTATCCACTATTCCTGGATGTATAGCCATCGTCTTGACAGCTGGATAACGTTTCGCCAGCTCCTTGACGTATAAAATGTTTGCTAGCTTGGACACCCCATACTTGACGTAGGGCGAAAGCTCCGGGTCAGCCGAACGCAGTCTTGAGAAGTCGATGCCGTCCTTGGGGGCACGAATGTGCGAGCGCGATGACAAAGTAACAATGCGAACGTCTGTATCGGCGCCCGACTGCTCGGCGGTTTTAAGAAGGAGAGGTAGGAGCAATTTCGTAAGAAGGGCGTGACCCATGTGATTCGTACCAAATTGTATCTCGTATCCTTCGGCAGTAGTTGCAGCGGGCACAGCCATAATGCCTGCATTGTTCATCAGCACATCGAGGCGGGAGGTTGTTCTTAGGATCTTTTCGGCGGCCTCCTTGATGGAGGAAAAAGATGCAAGGTCCATCTGAATAGGCGTGAGTTGAGCTCCTGGCACCGATTCAAGTATCTCAGCGATGGTGTTTCGAGCTTTTTCGATGCTGCGCGAGCCGATCAGAATTCTCGACGGGGTTCGTTTTGCGATCTGAAGGGCTGCTTCTTTTCCTAAACCTGCATTTCCTACATTCTCATGCAACATCAGTAACTACTTATCAAGTCGTGCCATTAGCTTTTAGTTGCGAGAACGTGAACTCACCTCCGGTAATCAAGATTACCTTCCCAGCAAGATCTGGCATGGCTTTTGGAGTGAAAGATGACATGATAACCGACAATGCGAAGTGTAAGATGGATGAATAACCCAGAGCTGATACCGCATCTTATACTTTTATATTCGCTACCCTGATTCTCAACGAGACAATGTCTGTCCGGAAAGCCATAACTCTCTTCTGTGTGCAACTGATGCCGTGAGTCGGGGTGAATATACGCCGAACACCGCTTTAGGAAAGTGGATCTCGAAGAACACTAGCTTTATTTGGTCAAGCGCAGAAACGACGTTACGGCTCCAGATTGAGATACGCTAAAGAACAGGACCTCATCTCGTCTCTCCTACTGGTGAAAAGTCTTGGGAAAAACATGATTTTTATGCATGTTTGACATTGATTTAGTTCATCGCATTTGCGTAGCTGCTCCGTCCATTCCTCCGCCACTGCAGACATGTCACGAGGAACCTCACGGCTCGCAGCTGACGTAGATCCACGCCTACTCTCTGATGCTAGCAGCAAGGTCCAGTCGATGGTTATGGTATTTGGCAGCAAGCCGCGAAAATTACGCCATAAGTATACCAAGACGACAACTGCGGCGAGATCGAAAAAGACATTCGCCTTTGTCAACATCTCTCGCCCGGGTGAGGCGGACGAAGAATCTCGCAGACTGGTCAAAACCCATGTGATGGAAGATTTTCTCCGCCGAAAACGAGACGATTGCTCTACAGTAGAGATCAAGTGCGCCTATACTCTACGTCCAACCCAGAACTCCACCCAGTCTGTGATTAGTTCACCTCAAGCACCGCCATCCCACCTTCTTACCTTCCCGATCCCGATAGAGCCGTATATGCTCAGACTCATCCATCAATGTGTGTACATGGTTTGCTCTCCCCCCAAGCCACAATACCAAAAAAACTGGCAAGGCTAATCACGGGGATGCACGGACAGATGCAGGCGCTATGCGTCCCACGGAAAACGAATGCCTGGATTCAGCATGGTTCCCGATGGTCATGACGGATGCGGCACTTTTTCACGCCCTTCTGTGCACTTCAGCCGTTGCTGCATTCTATGATATGGGAGTGCAAAGGAAGCACATGCTGGAATGTATCGGACTGATCAATCACCGCTTGCCGGGGGAAGACGCTACATCAGACGCCACGATCACTGCTATACTATTCTTGGCAAAAGCCGAGGTGAGCCACCAGCTTAGAAACGGTGTGAAACCGCTGAGACTGAGGATTCCGTCACAGTACCTACAGGGAAATCACGGTGCATGGAGTGTGCACATGGGTGGCATCAAGACAATTGTTGAACTCAGAGGGGGCATTGAGACGCTGCCGCAACTGATACAAGAGAAGATTTACAGGTAAGTAGTCGTTCTCACCTGATAACCTATAAAGCCCGCTAAAGTATCCGCCAACTGTAGTACCGACTTGTTAGGTTGCATGGAGATCGGCATTATTCCTCACTTCCCGATATCCAGCCATCAAAGCCCGCAACCAAACTTTACGCGTACTATCTGTGGATAGTTGTATGGTTTGGTACATAGATTGTTCCCATTTAATTTTAATTTCAAGATCGGAACTTATTTGTGAAATGTGAGTTATAAACTCAAAGACTAGAACGTATGTTTCCAGAAATCATTCGGGGTACTTACTCTAGGGACAAGATTGACTAGAGCTTTGTGCGAAAGAGACGGATTTTCCCTCTCTATGCTTACATGTTGCCCTGGATTACCCCCCACCTCCTTGATAGGCTTTAACAAGAGCCCTTCCGCCAGAATAGCTACCATGAAATGTATCTCTGTGAAAGAAAGTCATTTTCACGACAAAATGTCTCTGCGTTCTCCAAGATCACGATAAGCATTGGCGGGAATCTGGTTTTCAGGAAGAAAGCAAAAAGGCATAAAAAAATACCTTGCATGATCTTGATCATCGCAATCCAAAAAAGAAAAAAAAAACACGAGAAGAGAGACTGCATACGGACATTACAAGCTGAGTTGTCTGATGTCGAGATTCAACTTGAAGCCTCTTTCGCGACCGTATCATACTTATAAATTGAGAAAACGATGTGTGAAATGTGTATTTTCACAAGGCCTTAGCAATTCACTGATGCTTCTTCGTACTGCGTTGCGCCAGAGATGATCAATCGCCATGGCCTAGAACTCTAGGAAGTAAAAATAGTATCCCCTGGTACCATGCAAAAAGTCCGACGAAAACAAGAAATCAAAATGTCGTTTTCCACGAAGCATTGCATGATTAGATCATCTACATTTCTAATTGTTTGGTGAATGAGACTAGTGTAGAGATGTACTCCCTATCGCATTTTGCAATTGGTGTGGTGTGTGCGGTGTGAACATTCGAAGTATCACACAAGATGTATGACACACGACTCAATTAGGAGGAAAAGCGACGGAGGCCGATCAAATAAATTTCGTAGCATTTCGCAGTGGCTCTCGTGTGTTGTACATATGAAAGCTATGCCTCTCACTCTCTGCTATTAAGACGAGGGCGTGTGCAGGCGCAGCAGTTTGCTTGCTGTGGAGACGCTCCAAAGGACTTGTACTACCACCCCATTTACTGGATCAATCTACATCGTCTAATCTATGCGACTTGGCTACCTTTTCTTGCTTAGTCGCTGCTTACGCTCTAATTCTATACCCCCTGTCGCCTCAATTACCATTTTCGACCTAGCATTGACTAAGCCGTAGCACTAATCTGCCCACTATTCGGCTTTTGAACGGGTATCGGCCCATGATTAGCCATGAATCTAGACGCACGGTGCGTCGTCTGGATTGTAATCTGAATTAAGCTTCGTGCTTGTAAGTGAGTTTGGGTGAATTAGGGGGTTGTAGGGAGAAGTTATTATTTTTGGGGCGAATGTTTGCTATCGAAGAAAAGCTGAGAGGCGTGGCGGTGTTACACATGCCATTTGAATGCTAGTGACCTCTTTGAACTTGTATTTAAGGCGTTGCTTGATGCATATTGCTTGCTTCTCCCACGAAGTTTATTCCAGCAGTGCGCTCTTTGCTTCCGCTCTTTTTCTCAGGCACTTTCGCTGCATCGACACTACTACCTTTCCGTCTCGAATTCCAGTGGTTATCTGATCCCACTACTACAATGAAACTTGCTCTTCCATTATTATTGACGGCTATCTTGCCTTCTGTCCACGCGGGCCTTCGCGATGAGCTTGTAAACTCACCCTCTCTTGAGATTCGGATGAATCCGAACGCACGAGAACCATATTGCACGGATACAAAAATTACAGAGGCCCAGAAGAAAAAAATGGAAGAAGAATTTGTAGAAAGAGGAAAGTGCAGGCTCTGGGAATGGTGGCCCAACGACAAGGAAAGAGTGGACGTCTCAACATGCACCAAAGCCTGTCGAGCGGACCTTGGTAACCCAGCCGAGGGCTGCCTAATGATAAATCCGCAGGGTTACAAGGACAGTTCACAGGATTCAAAATACTGCTTCTGGGGAGGAAATTGCAATTGCTATAATGACGCTAAAGGCTACCGCGAGCTCCTGGAATGGTTCATCGCTGAGGTTGAGAAAGGTATCGAGGAGATTGCGGGTCCCATCTTTTGCGGTTTCATCCCAATGGTTGGTAAGTAACGAGGTTCCAGAGTCAACCGAGGTGATCTTCTTGCTAGTAACCTCTACTGGCTATCTTGTCTCCGATGATTTGAACGAACATTGACACGGCGCGATTGACAGATATGATACTGGACGTTGGCATGGACATGATTCCTGGTGGCGGCTATGTGAATCGTGGAGTACGGAATGGCATTCGTGCTGCAAAGACGTTCCAGGAGGCTGACGACTACAATGGCTGGCTCCAAATGATCACGAAAGTTGATTGCAGTGATTATCCTGTACCTGGTAACCAACCTCACCCTCTTTTGCTTCTTTCTGTCAGTTGATATTAATACACTGAGCAAGTTGTCGACGATCTACGCGCGGTGTATGACGCATTCACTTCTGTTCCTTATATAGATTCGTACCCGGGAGGTGAATGTCTATTGAAGAAAAAGAATTGTAAGTCCAAACCCTCAGATAAGGATGATGAAAAGGAGGCAGAAAGAAGGAAGAAAGAATTCGAGGAAAAAAACAAGACATCAACAAAGCAATCAACAAAGACATCGAAAACAACATCATCGAAAACAACATCATCAGCAAAGACATCATCAACAAAGACATCATCAACAAAGACATCATCAACAAAGACATCATCAACAAAGACATCATCAACAAAGACATCATCAACAAAGACATCCACTTCTTCAACCAGCCGTAAGACTACCTCTTCCACGAAAGCAACTTCAGTGACTTCCTCCTCCTCCTCCTCCTCAACGGCATCAGTAACTCCTTACATCTGCGGCGAAACCCGTGACTGTGGACAACAAAAATGTTCCACTAGACGGCAAAAAACCTCTACGAAGGCATCCCATGCACAGACATCTGGTAGTAGTTCCTCTACCCGCATTACTAGACGTAGCCTCGAAGGTGTAACCGCAGCGGAGGCAGACGACTACGTGTTAAGTGTTGTAGAAGCCGCCGACGCTGAACAGGCACTAGATCACCAAAACAAAAACAGCTACGCGGTATCGAAGCACGGGGAATTTGCACAGGAGGCGTTCCCTGTTTATGTTACAGGTCTCGAGGGCTGCATTGGCATCAGCATTGTTTCCGAGCGCGGATACTGGATGGGTTACTATGTGAGTATGCCCCAGGGATTCAGCACCCTTTCCATACCGCTCACTTACCCCCCTTCCCTATTCTTGGACCAACTTCCAATCTGTTCATGTGTACCAAAACTAATTCCTAGCAGAAAGAAACAGCGTATTGGCCTGAGCGTAAGAAAGAATGGGCTAGTCTTCTGGTTGCAGTTACCGAGGGTACTGTTAACTACACCAAGCCCGACACTCTAACAGACATCTTCGGCGCGGGATCTAATCCAGAAATCTACGTCGCACAACCGAGTTTCAAGATTGACCAGATGAAGATGTATGAGCTTCAGGTCGCGGCCATCTTGAAAGAGATCCAGAAAGACGATCTCCAGAGCGCCACCGTGCACAGATTGAGTTATGTGAAGCCTGAGTCAGTGGAAGAAGTTGAGAACCAGTATGAGGGCACTGCGAGGGGAATCATGCTGCTTGAATATGACAACGATTACGAACCTTCCCAGGATGATGCTGGTGAGGACGAGGTGGTTAAGCAGCAAGCAATTGCGCGCGTATTTGTAGAGGGCTTCTCCGTTGAGAAAACTTGGGACGCTACCAAGGAACAAATTGGAGACGAGGAGCAATAGGCCAGAAGAAGAGGGGCATAGTCATGTATGATTTGTCGCAAAAAAATACAGTGATATCCAGAGTACAGCCGTCTTCTCATTCTTGATGGTTGATAAACAACTAGCCTAGGTGCGTCGCAAACCTCGTCCACTCCGAATCTTCGTTCAGTCGTTCGATATCATCGTTTCGCAGGCACATCCACACTGAAACATCCCCTCTGCCATCTTTAGGCATGATATACATCAAAGATTCTACTGGCACAAATGCTGGTCGTCGAACTGCTACCGGCGCACCCAACCCAAATCCAAAATCCCAATCGTACGCCGGGACCTTCGCCCAAGAGCTCAACATAATGTCTGTATCCGTTTTCAAACTTGCGGTGAAGCTGACATTGGTAGCGTTCTCGGGTGATTGAGACAGGAATGTTACTAAAGCTCGCGTTCGAAGGGCAACATCAGAAGAACTAGAGTCGATCTGCTCACGCATGGCGGCAGCGATATGTCCGAGTGGGGCGTTCAACAGATCCGACGGATGATATTTCGTATATGTCATGTTTTGCAAAACTCCCGGATATTGAGGATCAACTCCAAGGTAGCGTCTCGCGTCGACAGCTCGAGCAAATGTGACTGAGCGCTTTTCGTTGTTGATTCGTGGTCCCCTAGCGCGCAATACAGACTGGAAAATGAGTGCTGATATCGCGTCATCCATGGATATGAATTCGCGATCCGAGGGCAAAGTTTCCGTTGCCAATGACTTAAGAGCTTTGAGACTCGTGGCGCGGAAACTGAAATAAGTCCCCAGCACCTGTGGCTTTTGAATCTCCCTTAGCTCGGCGGCCTTGACGTCCAGGGCAGGAGATCTGGCCGTCGCCGATTCGTCTTCAGAACGTCTTTGTAATGAAATGAGCTGATCACCAAGAACATCTACAGGATTCCATTGGCCAGCCTCAATAAGCGGCACCACTTGTGTCCTATCCTTCTGGCCAAGCACGATGTCGTGCTCCGAGAAAGCTTCTCCGCGACATGCTTTGGTCAGCAATGACATGACTGCTGATTGACCCATCATGTCGCAAACGTTGTGTTGCATGTTTATGCAAAGAACGACAGCTCCTTTGATGAAACTAAGCTGTGCAAGCATAACCGGTGCAGTCTTGTCGTTACTGCTGGCGGAACCTGAAGTGCCGTAGGTCAGCCCACTCAATGTTGGACAGGGAGCCCACACGTCCTCGCTCATCATAGACATTGGAAAACCGGCGTCTTCTAGTTCCTCAAAAGTGGGAACGGTCGGTTCGTATGTATAATCTTTCTCGACTAGTTTGGGTATTGAATCCAGCGGCCGGATCCTGTACTTCAATGGGCCGTCGGAATCGCTACTGGTATGGACAACTTGGCCTGCAACCCAAGGGAAAGACTCAGACAAACGCTTCAAGCCCTCATTCAACACGGATACAACATGTGACTTGGATGATGAGTCCGGCATCGGGTAGACGAAAGCAAGCTGTGTATACAGTTTGAAGAGGGCGGGCTGAGCCCCCATCAAATCAAGTTCCACGTCAAGCATGATGAAGCCGGCTGTGTTCGGACTCTCGATGTTGAATCTCTGCCTTGTCGTCTAGCCCGGGGGGTTAGGATAACTTAATACTTTGTTCGTGTATGATGTATGTACACTTACTTCTTGACCTATTCTATGGGTGGATTCGTAGATGTGCGGGCAGCCCAGCTACAAGCGATTGAATTTTTGATGTGCGATCCAGTGCGCTTATGTTTAATGAACATGGCGGGATACATGTCGTGTTATGAGTAGAGCTGCAGTGCGTTTGCGAGAGAAGTTCGATTATGAGTTGATATGAGTCATGCGGCTTGGGGTACATTGGCTTTACGAAAGCGCCAAGCGAAACTATCGATAAGCTTCGCCATCTCTGCCCTTCGTGTGCATCCATCCAAATTTGATATTTCATTTCAACTCATTATTGCCCAAAGTAGAAAACAGGATTTGCTCAAAAAGGTCAAAAAAAAATCTTCGCGCTGATTAGTAATCACTGTGTGCTCACTAATTCACTGTAGGTTGCCACAACAACTAACTAGTACAGCTAACTTAGGCACCAGCATTGTTTTAATACCTCAACCTCGCGACAACCCTGCGGCACACTTTCCAGCGCATCAAACCCTCGACATACCCCATTCAACCAATTTCCATCATATTGGGAAACGATATTTCTGTTCTTCTGCTTTCTTTCGAGATTTATGACCGATTGACACCTCTGAACACCCGACGTCATTCGCCACTCTCTTGCTGCGCCGGCAATCAAACAGCAAACACAATGTTCGGCGACGGAATAATGGTGTTTGCCCACAGCGGGCTACACCTCTCACAATCAATACATACACAATGTATCAAGCAAGTAAGCATTTTGCTCAACCTTTGTCGCATTGTTCGTGTCGTTTTCAACCTACACAACAGCTGTTTATGAAGTAAAGTCAACCCAAAGCAGTCCAAACCCAAGTCCATCACCCAAAAATATCCATAAACTCATCATATCTTCCATGAACTCCATATCAGTCCCAGCATCGCCCAAAAAGCACCGCAAGTATGTAATGATAACGGATTTCGGCGACGCTGGAGGGCACAACAACAAAGGCATATCGCTAGTGCGCAACACAAAAACCGGCGAGAAACTAATCCGAAAGAGGGTGCTTGCTCAGAAAAGCAAGGACGAATTGACTGTTTGCCAAAGGTTGAATGGATTCGAATATATCGTGCAGCTGCGAGACCACATTCTGCCGTCAAAATCTCAAGCCGATCCGTCGTCGGGCGAAAGCACAGCCCTTCGCGAGCTCTACTTCGAGCACTGTGATCTTGGTAGTCTAAATGATCTTCTAAAGCGGCATGAAATTGCGCAACAACGAATACCCGAATCTTTCGTCTGGCACGTCCTCGTGTCAATAGGGAGGGCGTTGCAGGCGTGTCACGCGGGTCCTGCCCCGAAAGGCCGGAAGTGGATACCCATTGCACACAGAGATGTCATGGCTGGCAACATTCTATTTTCTTCCTCTTCCCCCGGCTTCGACATGAGCACGCCCCCTCGAGTCCTTCTCTCCGATTTCGGCGCTTCCATCGAGTACCAATCGCCAGATCCGATTATGCAGAGGAAAGACATCAGCGACCTTGCAGAAACAATCTATGGCATGTGTTATTGCGCTTGGGATGTTGAGACTGCGCAGTTGGGGTACTCGGCCGAGCTCCAAGGCGTACTCGCGGTGATGGACGTGTATTGGGAAGACACTCCCGAGCACGCGGCAGAATTCAATTCCGGATTCGTCTCTTGGGTGGAAGAGGAGAGGAACCAGGCGACTTTGGCAGAGTTCGGGGGGCAGCTTGTTTGGAGCTCATAAAAACAGGCGTTTTGCCGTAGGGAGGACTTTTGCTTCTATTTGTTCATGTCGTTTTTATCGTTTTATATCCTCGGTATCTAGTCGCGTACGCCCGCGGTCCCGGTTATGCAAAAGGAAAGGAAATAATTAATAACTGCCCCTCTTTGAATGTTTTGAGGATTTAACAATATGTTTAACGTATGTGTTTAAAATGTGATATATAACCTATAATCTAACAGACCTATGCTCAACTGTGCTAGCGTGGGAGTGTTTGCTGTTGTTATGAATGGTAGTTTCCACTAATACGAACAGTGAAAAGTGATCTAGAACATTCTTATGTTAGAACTGTTACTTCTTCGCCTTTTCTATATACCTCTGCTACTTGTTAAAGGCACTGTATAGCACTATAGACTTCCCTAGATACTGTGCGGGGCTGCTAACTATGCATACATCCTATAGACTGTTAGCGCTAAGCTATGCTTTTAAGAGAACGATTCTTGAGTAGGGTTATAACCAGCAAGCTCTCTTGGTTACAGTTGCAGAATTGATGCGGGTATTTACGAATGACGCCTTCGACGCGCGAGTGATTATCGTGCAGGAGCGGAGAAGTATCATTAGGTCGCCGACTACTATAGCCAATGTCGGCCGGGCTCGCTTATTATTTCTAGCTTCTTCTACACGACGCAAGCCACCGCTTTTACCTTCGACCCACAGGCTCAATTGGGCACCCACCATCCTGGCAGACATCTCCCGTATTCCCAAAGAAGACGAAGATATGGACGGGGCAGGCCCACTTACCCATACTGCATCATCAGCTCCAACCTGGCTTTGACAGGGATGATGCGGCTTTGCTGCTAGCGCCGCAGATCAGCTACGCCAATTCAAACCCCCTCGTGTAACTAAATGAACTGAACGCCATATAGGGGACCTCCTCATATACTTGAGCTACCAGTCGCTGGCGCTCAAAGCTGCCCTCGGTACGGTCCGGATGGCTCGCTACGCTTTTCAGCCAGTGTGCCGAGATAAGACCATCCCACTCAAGTGTGGAGTAGGCATGGTCTTCTCTCTCTTCTCGGCGCAGTCGTGGTTATTACACCGTATCTTTCCGTACTTCTACACTCCAAGCGCAAGGCAACCATGTTGCCAATGATCAGCTTGTGCAGCTGAGATCTGAAATTAATGAACCAATGAATTATGGGCTACAAAAATTCTAACCCAGCTTTGAGGCAGTTTCCTGGGAATCAGAACCAACCAGACACGAGACTGACATGGGATTTTTGGTAGGGTTGACAGCTCCCTGCCTTCATGTTGACTTTCAATCCTGGTATGCCGATGCCTGAACTGCACCTCTGTCCGAAGAATCATCTCGACTCGGGAATCCGGACCATCCCGCGTTATTTTATGCAGAGCGATCGGCGCATCCTTTCCACCTAATCAACTCACCTGCTTCATAGCCATCGTGCGTCATCTCGCCCACCCTAGGTAGTCTTATTGGACGAGGTCTAGACTTCGTCTTCAGTCGACGTAGTATTTACTTAACCTACTATTCCGCGGTTGATCCCAGCTAATCTTATTTATGGGCAAACACTTCTGTTCATTTTGTGCTTCCGTTCCCAACTTCTTCCATATGCTTGGATTAAGAATCAATCCTTTTGGTCCGTTTTCACATATATCTCTCACATTTGCTGCTAACCTAACCCTCTGAACCAAAACATAAACACCGTTTCCGAAAAGCATCCAATACAGCGGGAGCACCTAACGCATCGGCGACGAATTCTGCACCTCTTTCTGCAGTCGATACACAGCCTGTAGAAAAACCGCAACCGCAGCTGCAGCCAGAGCCAGAGCCAGAGGCACACATACAACCTACTGCTGTCGGCAAAGTTGAAACCCCTCTGATTGACGCGATGCCGGCTCCCATGACGATGACCTCGTCATTCAGCAGCCTAGATGGCTTTTCTACTCCTCCAGGCTCTCCAAAGGCATTAGCTCACGGGAAAGGTCGATTCCATGGGATGGGTTCCCGAACAACCAGCGCTGCCTATAGCTCGATGAATCAAGTTATTCATTCAAATTCAAACAGCTACTACGAGTTTGGCTTCGTGCAAGAGACAGCTTCTTCATTGAAGAAGAAAAGCATTTCGCAGTTGGGTTCGGGTGTGTACCAGAGTGTGGCAGACACATCCTTTGTTGGCTTTCTGGAGTGGATCAAGACGGAGCGTCTCACCACACTTCCTCACAAAGGAAGCCGTTGGGATCGTGTTCTCGTTCGCGCTCTGTACTTCTCAGAACAATTACACCGTTTCGATACTGCCATTCAAAGCTTCGCTCTCAATAGCAACGCCGCTGCATCTATAGGGTACAGCCATGCCCGTCTTCTCCTCGAGGTATGTAATGAGCGAATTTTTTTTTCTGAAGCATTACTCCTGACACACGCAGCTTGAATCCGATAATTCTGAAGCTTTGGATCGCGCCTTTTCTGTCTTCTACCGGTTCTCTCTGTCTTTTTCCTCCATCTTGCATCAATCCGAAATAATTGCAGCGACCTCAGATGTGCGCGAGCAACTCTGTCTGATGTATGCTGATCTTCTATCGCTCGTTGTTGATGTAGCGATTACGTTCTATAAAGCTGTCAAGGGTATGCTCCTCACTCCTACTGGGTAACAAAACTGACGATCCAGGTTTGACAACATCTTCTGTCAGCATCGATATCTTCGAGTCGTTTGGCGACACAATTGAAGGTTTCCGATCGCGTCAGAACAAGATCGTTGAAAGTATCTGGGCCTACCAGATCGAGAGTGCGGGTATTGATGCCAACGAAGGTGTGCAATTCGTTCGTCGACCCATAATCTATCTATACTAAAGTCAATAGCTGTTGACGTGAAAACCCTTACTCGGTTCTTGTCTCCTCACGATCGCGTGCTTACATCCCTGAGCCATGACCATACGATCTTTACCGACAATCAAGCGGAGTTCACCTGTCTCTGGTTTCAGAAAACGCTCACTAAATTTCTAAATGGAAAGGAACAATCGTTTCTCATCACTGGCAAGCCTGGGAGTGGAAAGACCTCGTTGGCAGGGTCAATTATGGAGAGGCTCCAGCGTTCTGTCGGTCGTAAAACTTATGATACCGTTTTCTTTTCTATTAGTAAGTGTCTTCAAAAAAGCTTATTTTGAGACTAGAAATACTGATCCGCGCAGGCGCTGCTATTCCTTCCCAGGCTACTTCCCTTGCTTTGGTCAAAACTCTTCTCCTTCAACTACTCAATCTCAGGGTTGGTAACGTGGCGTTGTACTACGCCCTCGCTTGGGCTCACAGCAAATGTCGCGACGCTACTGATATCCAGCTATACGAGAACTACCTTTGGAAAGCGTTTTCTGAAGCCCTCAAGCAACCGAGCGAGGGTGACAAGGACCTTATTGTGGTTGTTGATGGCCTCAATGAGGTCACAGGGGATGAAAAAGCACCATCGGCGGTCCTCAAGAAGCTCTGTGACGTTGTTTTCGAAGCTGCTCGCGCTAGACTGATTGTTTTTTCCACATCTACGGTAGAAACCACCGCAAACGGAACACATTATGAGATCACAGAGGAGGATATTCACGAGGATATCCACGCTGTTGCTCTTCGAGCATTGATTCGCAACAGCCATTTCCAAGCTAAAGATGGCCCTTCTCAAGAAGCTCTACTTGACCGTCTCATCCACGCCGCAAATGGGTCTTTCCTGTGGGCTATCCTTGCCATTGAGATTCTTAAACTTGATAAGACTAGTGAAGGTTTCAACAAAACCTTCGAAATCCTGACTGCGTCACCTGGTCAAGTATCGGATCTGGTCCTAAAGCTGTTTACAGTTTTGGCTCCTTCCAAAGAATCCAAGCAATTGGTTTCGTGGTTGCTTTCTTCTGAACGTCCACTGACAGTCGAAGAGATCCACTCCCTCTTTGCCATAGATTCCCAGAAGGGTATCATTGCCGACAAAGGTGTTGATGTTGACACTGTGGTGCATACCTTGCGTCCTTTCGTGGTCATTCAGGACCACGTTGTGCGCTTCAAGCATGTATATCTTCAGAATGCTCTCCGGGACCTTGCAACACGCAACAAGATCCAAATTCCCATCAAGGATAGCCATACTGATATACTCTTACGGATCTTGACATACATTAAGATCACCCTTCGAGAGAAGCGTGAACCTAGTATTGATCCTGATATCACCCTTGCGGATCGTCTTTTCCAGCAACACCACTTCCTTGAGTACGTCGTCAGATACTGGGTTAGCCATTTCCGCCAGACGCCATTGTTCCCCAAGTCTCCTGCTGAGTTCAAACCTACACCCGAGCTGCAGCGCGTCTTCCCCGACTCTGTGACGTTTGCGTTGTTGGAGCAGATTTCCTGGGATACCCAGCTCCCCATTCCATATGCTCTGGATAGACACATTCTTGTGTCCCACGTCCGAAAGCAGATCCTCACAGAGAATCACTTGGCTGTTCTCCAGACCTACATTTCTCTTGCTAATTCCTACACTATTCTCTCGAATGTGGAATCGGCTCAAACATACTATTTCAGCTCCGCCCAAATCAGTCGCACTGTTCTAGGCGATATTCACCCACTGACCCTGGATTCAGCGAATCGATTCCTCAAGATCACCAAAAACATTACGACGACTACGCGCGATGAGGTAGCCACGCGTAAAGAGCAAATACTCATTTTGCTAATCACTGCGTCTGAGAAGCAGTATGGCAGTACTTCGGAAATAGTAATTCGCACGCGGAGAACGTTAGCGGAACTATATGAGTCAATCAAGGAACAGGAACGCGCTATTGAGATTTATCACTTGATTGAGGAAATTACTGTGAAGCACTACGGGAAGAATTCCAGCCAAGCACAGGACATTCATGGCCGCCTTAAAGTCGTGATCAGCAAAGGCAAGGAAGAGCGTGATATCCAGACTTACAAGGGCTCTTTCTTCAGCAGTACTGATAACGAGGGGCTTGTCATTGATGTTTTCGACACCAAACAGATTGCTATCTGGCTCCACAAGGCTGAGGAGTATCTCTCGTACAAGGAGTTTTTCCTCGCTGAGAAGACCTACGTGGAACTCTGGCAGCAGATCTCTACCCGGTGCCGAACTGGTCAATCGCTCGAGTGGCATGAAAAGCATCTTGATGTAGCCACGGCATACTCTCGTTTTTTGCAAACTCAGAAGCGCAGTTTCGAAGCCTCTGCAGTTTTGGTTTGTATTTGGCAGCAATACGGGAAGCATCAACTTTCGTATTCCGAGTCCATTGTGACTCGTTTGACAAGTGTGGCCAAGGCCTTAAAGTCCACCGGCCACTACGCCGTTGCTCTATCGATTTTCAAGTTCGCAAGTTCCGTATACAAGAGCGTCCGCAAGGAAGAGTCCAGTCAATCAATAGATATCAGCCGCGAGATCACTGAGACTTCAAAGGAGCTCGTGCAGCAAAGTCTGAGCACCTCTACAACCCTTACGACGACGACAAGCACTGTGTCGGACTCAGTATTCACAGACATCTTCCAGTCGATTATCAGCTTCAACACCCTTGATACCACGACAATAAAATTGGCCCAGAAGTTGACAGCACAGTATATTGAGCAGAGCAACTGGTCTGCAGCTGAAAGCGTCATCAAGACCACTCTACATAGGTCCTGGAATAGCTTCTTCTCGGGCTCTATTCACGATGTTACTCTAACTTCCACCTTTCTTCAAGAATCTGTCCAATCGATTGAAAGTCTAGCAGAGGTTTACAGACACCAGCGACGTATGGACAAGGTTGAAGACGTATATGTTCGCTTCTTCCGGGCCGTCCTCTCAGCTCCCACCACCGATAAAGCGATCTTTGAGAGGGCCAAGACGCTCCTGGTGACTTTCTACGACAAGCGCGGATACCCAGACAATGCAATTAGCGTCTACCAGGATGTTCTTGTTGTTTACAAGACTGTATACGGAGCAAGTCATGCGAACACAATCCAAGTTCTGTACACGCTTGGATCCCGCTGCCGTGCGCATCCCCGCAATCACCCGTACTGGATCGATTACTACCAGCAAATTGTCACAAGCCTGAACAAGGATCTTGACTACTGCCATCAAGATGCTATGGAGGCCATAATTGTCGTTGCTAACTCGTACTGGGAAGATCGCCGGTATGCTGAGGCTGTCACGGTCTTTGGTGTTATCTGGAACACCTACATCCGCAAGGCCAAAGAGTACAAGCAGTTCACCGAAGTGACGTTCGTGCAAACCCTTTATGAGCGGTACTTCCAGTGCCTTGAAGAAACCGGTGTCAGCTGGAGCGTCCTGCACAAGACAACTAAGGAGTATCGCGAGACCTCTTCTGCTATCTTTGGGGCCGAATCGATAATTGCCGCAGAAGCTACATTGTCTCTAGCCCGTGTCACTCAGCGCAGTGAGGAACATGCATCTGAGGCTATATCATTGTACGAGGAAGCTTCTCGATTCAAATCCGTCTCCACTTCCACCAGTTTCACCGAGATCAAGCAACAGCTATCCTTGCTGTATGTGCGCCAATTGAAGTCGAAAATGTCCACCAGCATGAATTCAGACACGATAAAGCGCGCCATCAGCATTCACGAAGAGCAGTACGTCGAGATAACGCAAAAGTACGGCTACTCCCATGAGTCATCATTGACCAGACTCCAAGAGCTGGTGATAATGTATTCACGCCAGCAGAAGACAGAGGCAGCTGTCAAACGAATTACCACGGCAGTCAGTTCTATTATTACGGAGGAAACATCTTCGCAAAAACTGATTGAGTCTGCTGCGTACATTGCTGCATCGTTTCAGTCTGTGCAACAGGAACAGTACTCTGCACAGCTCATCCAAGAGCTCCATCGACAACTGTGTGCTCGGGATGCTCGCTTCGCCTCCAAGTGGTCGTTCGACTTAACCAAGTCCAACCGCAACACGTTGGCATTCCTGGCTTCGCTCGAGTACAACCTCCGCAAGGATCTCGCCGTCTCTTTCGCAGAGATCATGGCAGACCTAATTGCAGAATATATTTACTTCGAGCAATTTACACTCACATTGAAGAAAAAAGAGAGCATGAAGAACATCCTGATCGCAGGCGCTCCTCTGCGGACATTCCTCCTTCGCAAGAAGCTGACAGATCTTGCTTATTTTGTGGAGGAAGAAATCGTCAACCTTTTCGTCAAGCGCGACGCCAATGACCTTCATGTCCTTCGCAAGGGGTCACCACGCCTCTTCATCACAGCCATCCTAGAGTACCTTGGCACCCACAAGGGCACCAATTTCAACGAGGCCGTCATTCTGGCATCGAACGACCACGTCGCCAAGCTAACCCAGACCAAAAAATTTGCAGAGGCTTACGATGTTGCCAACCTCGCGTTCTTGTTCGCTAGCAACCACAAGGGTTACGACGGACCGAACTCTATTGGCCATGGCTTCAAGCTCGCCTCAATACTCGTGGGGCGTGAAGGTGGAAAGGCGAATGAGGAGGCGCTACGCAAGAAGATGCTTGAGCTTTCGAACAAGATTGTGCGAAAGATCATTGATATTAGCAAGAGCTTGAAAATCAACTTTGCTCGGGTGCAGCTATCAGAGCTAAGCCACCTTACCGCGCTCTTGGGCGAGCAGCAAGATTACGCGACATTGGAGGTATGTATCATCCACGCCATTTGTTCGCAATTGAATATTAATCAGAAATGCAGTGGCTTCTTACAACACTGTGGCAAACTCGTGATGCTCAACGCTCTTGGCCCGCTCAGGTGCTTGTTAACCTCGGCCGTCGTCTTGTATGCGCACGTTATCTCGCGGGACACCCGGTCAAAGCCATCCGTCTTTGCGAAGACATTGCTTACAACATGCGCCGAGCTCATGGGCCTCGGGCTCCAGTAACCGTCGATACCTACGAGTTGCTTGCGGAATTATACACTAGCACTGGTCTAACGTACCAGGCGAAGGCGGAAACTGAGAAGACCGGTCATCTTGCCAAGGAGTACTTCAAGAAAGCTCTTTTCGCGCACGAGGACATTCTCCGCTTCCTTACCCAAGAGGACGGAGAGGAGGACTCAGAAGATGAAGACACTGCCGCCACTCTACTTGCTGAGAACACTGGCAGCACAAATGGCAGCGTCGATGGCCGCTTTGCTGAGTCCCTGGACCAGAGTGCTTCTCATGTCAACAGACCAGTTCTTGCGATCCGCCACCTACAACTCCTGAAGCTTGCCTTCCAGCGTTTGGGAGGCTGGCCGAAGCAGTTATCGGAGTATGAAAGGTTGAACACCAATCTCTCCAGGGAATTTAGTGGACATGAGGCTTGGAAGGGGACACAGGGAGTAGAGAAGTGGAGTGCGAGGGAATTCGGTAACGGCAAGGCTGAGAAGCAGGAGGGAGTGTTTGAGGGAGTGAGTGAGTGGCATCTTACGGCGGAAGGGATGACGGGTGCTGTGCAGCAGAATGGTAACGGGGTTGTGGTCGATGGAGACGATGAGCTGTGAGGGTAATTTGAAGAGCATGTCGCTAATGTAATATTTCTTTTATAACAATTCTTAATTCAAAAATCATCATAATTCATAGTAACAGTTAACTACTCAGCCTAATTCATCCTTCATCGCATGCTCTACAAGTTACCATGTGTGTAAGCTCCTGCCTAGCTGAACACCTCAGACCCTGCACTTAATAGGGCTGTGTTCACTTGTTATTAGCTGGTGTAGCCTTCCGTAAGACGGCAACATAGCAGCTAACAATATTCTTACACCGTTCTCTCTTTTAACAAGATCCTTCTGCAAATCTTTGCGTTCTAATCTGTCCTATATACGCGCTACTCTAGAAGCAGAAACATCCATTGTGCCTTAGTGAGGCGGCGCCGTTGCACTTACAAGACCCTGTTTCTACTGCATAGGCTCGCTAGAGCTTTATTAGAATAGACAAATTAGTATAACAGCAAACGTACTTTGATTACACAGAATAAGACTAAAACTCTGCTTCCTCTTCTACCTCAAAGGTCCTCTATAATAGCTGTTTGCTAAACATTTAGAGTAGGCACAAAACGCGTTTAGCTAAGCCTAACTCTACGAAGGTATGTTCTTAAAGTACTTATATCTCTACTAACAATGCATTGTTCGAGGTAATCTTGTATTCTTGCATCTTGTACATTACTTTCTTACCTTGCTAAGCTTTGCTGCTCTACTCTACTTTTAATTATAGACTTTTGAATTAGATTCTAAGGGGAAGATGCTTACTATCTTATATTAGTATAAGACAGGCAGTGGGCACTTGTTAACAATCGATCGCATTGCTAGTTTAGAAAATTTTGTTTGTTAAGCATACATGAATGTTCCACGTCCAACGACAGGCAGCAAACCTGTATATGTGTACGAGCAACCTACATGCTTTTAATGGGACTCTTTAATACAAGAAGACGTGCGCAATTGCGTAGACTATCTCACACCACTCATGTTACCTCACCTTTGAATTCGTGCGAGCTATGAGAAGGTATCACCCGTACTAGCAAACGCTCAGCAAAACTCCGGACACGGGGCTTGGCGAAGAGGGTGCATGTGTAGTATGGATATAAAGCGCGAGCAAAGACCGGCTGCAAGCTTCAACGATGATACGGCGGGGGATGCGCATGCTCTTCGCAAATACTGAGTCATGTCCCGAGCTAAGCCAATTACGCCGAATAAGCATTTGATTGGCTAAAACGGACTTGCGGCTTACTGCGTACACAGGCCTTGTTACCTACATATGTAATCTAAGATTAGAGCTTTTGGGGTCCACGTCAACTTATAATTACTCAGGCCTCGTTGCGTACCTAAAAACTTGGTGCATTTACTAGACAACAACTCCGACGGACCATTTCAAAAGCGGAGCTTCCCGAGGTATCCGATACCCAGATGACAAACTCGCTCGTTTCCCCTTCTAAATGCATCTTAGCACATGAGGAGATAAACGCATAAAAAGGGCAAAGGTCCTACGCTGCTACATGAGCATCTTAGCCATAAAGTATCAGCAAGTCTTCAATCTCATTCTACTTGAACTACATACGTTATCATCATGCCCATCTTTGATTCTTCCACCACTGCCAGCGACGTGGTCGCCGCCTTTTCTGAGCAAGCCGCTGGGAAAACTTGTCGGTTGTCTTACCCTCGCCTTTCTCCAGCTATCTAACGAGAACAGTCGTCATAACGGGTGGTAGCACGGGTGGTCTAGGTGCGGCCGTTGCCTTGGCTCTCGCCTCTGCCAAACCCTCAATGATCCTTCTCCTTGGTCGGACAGAATCCAAGATTGATCCCGTCATTAAAGATATCTCAAATATAAGCCCTACGACTAAGGCGCAATTCATTGAGATGGATCTTTTGTTACTGTCTTCCGTTCGTACTGCTGCTGCTTCAGTCGCGGCACTTGTCTCCAAGATTGACGTTTTGATCAACAACGCCGGAATCATGGGTACCAAGTTGGCTCGTACGCCTGAAGGCGTAGAGAGTCAATTCGCGGCTAACCACATTGGTCACTTCCTACTCACCAATCTTCTTGTACCACAACTTCAGCAAGCGGCAGGCAAGGCTCGTGTGGTCAATGTTTCGTCAAAGCTATACCAATTCAGCCCAATGGATTTCTCCGATCCTCAATTCGCATCTACCCCCTGGAACACATGGCTGGCTTATGGGCAATCCAAGACTGCCAATATTCTCTTTGCCGTCGCCCTGTCTAAGAGATTGGAAAGTAAGGGAGTGAGGAGTTATTCGCTACATCCAGGAAACATCAAACAGACAGGATTGGCGGCAGGTGTAGATCCGCAGAGCTGGCCAGTTATCATGAAGCTTTTTGAAGAAAAGGACATGGAGATTCCGAAAGAGAAGACCCTGGAACAAGGTGCAGCGACATCAGTTGCTGCAGCATTGGATCCTCAACTTGATAGTGCGTCAAATGCCTAATGCGGACATCCTTGAATAGTAGCTAACTATACTTGCAGGTGCTTCAGGTGCGTTCTTGGATGATTGTCAGGTCGCGAAGGCTTTGGGATATGCTTCCAGTGAGGAGAATGCGGAGAAGCTATGGTCTCTGAGTGAGAGGATTGTAGGAGAAGTGTTCTCTTACTAATGATGTGGGTCGATCTGTCTCAATGTGAAGATCATAGGTAGATAGGGCATCCGGTACCGCTCAGAACGATATGCTCGTCTCAAAAAGAAAAATACCGCGTTCCAATAAATCATTTGACTTAGTTACCGCGCTGTCGCTGTGTGTTAGTGCACCTGATACACAAGAGTATGTCTCGTATATATTAAAAACCAAAGTTTCTTCTATACGTCAAAGTTCAGTAGCAGAGATAATAATCGACACCTAAGCAGGCACATAAGAAGGCGTATATAGAGTAAGTAATGTATTATCAGAGGACCAAAGGCAATGTGGCGTGCGAGTCCCTTTGCGGCACGCCTAACTCATCCAGCACGCCTAACTTTTATAGTATGTCTAACTCTTGAGGCACAGAAGTTACTGAAACAGACAGTGTCATCGATTTAATAGTCGGCTCGATGATCCCATGCACCTCTTCCTTCGTTGCGATTTTCTGTTACATCTTCTGCAACTCTGTAGCCAACACCTTGCTATCGCACCTCGGGGAAGGTTTCTATCAAGACTATTACTTCTGTTATAGCGGGATTTTTGGAAAAACAAGCTGCAAAAGCGACTTCTTCATCACTGACATTGTGTGGCTCTTGGGCAGCTAACGTTGGCCTGGTTGCTGAGGCAGGTCGATGATATTATCCCGATCCCAGGGACTAAGAAGATCTAAGCGTAGTGGTGATTCATCGCATTTCCATGCGACACAAACACTGGGTAATGAAAACGCGATAAATCTGCCTTTGAGCTCCAGGTAGGAGACTAAGAAGATAAAGTATTTGGAGGAGGATATGAGCACGCTGGAAGTCGAGTTGACGGATGCGGAGGAGAAGGACATGCGGGACCTAGCCGATGCTGCTGCTATGGCACGCGGCTGCTACTGAATGTCATTTAAGTTGTTATATCTGTGCAGGTACTAACTCAACAGAGTCAAGCTCTTACATGCATTAAGAAAAGCTAGGTGGGGTGCAATAAAATGTACAAGAAGAAGTGAACACCAAGAAAGAGGGATCTGAGATATGGAGGCCACCTGGCCAGTGTTCTGGTAGAATTTCAGCCTTTTACGAAGGCTTACGTCCGGTGATGAATCGATAGGACGTGATGAGCCTCAAGTTCTTGTCTCTGAACTCTCGCTTGACGCTCTCAATCATGACTTTACACTGGTCTTCGGAGTAATGCCATACCCGGCTGAATAGTGCAGGAGTATGCGATTCCACAGACATTTGCATATGGATCAACTCGTACCGGCCTAACTCTTTCAATGTCGGATCCTTCGCCCAAGGCCCAATGGGAATCTAGAGGCGAGACAATATTAATGTCATGTAGCTCAAGATAGATTTACAAGGTGCGAAAGGTGGTGAACTCTGCGCGAACTTACTCTATAGACCAACTCTTGAACATCTTCGAAGCCGGCATCAATCATCCATTGTCGGTGGTATTTCGCCACGTTGATCTGTTTCCCAAAACGCTTGCTCGCTTCATCCAACTTGTGAACCCACTCCATGGTCCAAGGCGCACGATCGCAGCTATCATCATCACTGAAAATCCAGGCATCATACTCCTGCATCTCGACCCATCCACCGGGCTTGAGCGCATTGAGAACATTGCCATAGAAACGTGGCCAATCAGCCGAGGTGCCGCTTAACGCCCGACCGTGGATATAGTCGAATTTCTCGCTGTCTGTGTAAGTCCACTCGTCCTCGTAGTCGTCGACATGAAAGCGGCAATTTACCGGCACCCAGTCAGGCTGAATCGGCGACAGGTCGACTCCAAAGACATCTGAGCTTGGAAATTCGTCGGCGATATCTATTGCCCATATCCCAGTGCCAGTGCCCAGATCCAGGATTCGTAGTCCAGAGGATATGTCTTGGGAAGTTAGCGGTGCGGTGTACAGACGACCTCCAAGGATCAGGCGCCAGATGTGGTGTTGAAGGTCGAGACGGTCCTGCTCAGTCTCATCATTGGGCAAAACATATTGGCCCTCACGATAGGCATGGTACCGTCGGCCGTTTTCATACTGGTAGTGCATAATTGAGGATGTCACGGATCCGGTATAAGCTGTGTCCGCATCGGTCCCATATGCAGAATCAGTATCGGTTGTGTCGTCGTCTAGGTCGTGCTATAACCCACCCGAATGTGGTCAGTATATAGTGTTCTCGTATGTGGTATTCACAAGAATCAAAAAACAAGTAAAAGCAAAAAAGAGAAAAAAAAGAAAAACAGAAAGAATGCTCGCGAGAAGAAGGTATAGTAGGTGGTAAAGGACGTTAATATTGACCTGAATAGCAACCGGCTCTGAGCCGTTTTGCGCAGCGGGGTTTAAAGCGGCAGTTGGCGGCGCTGGCGGCGTTGGCGGCGCAGCAGCAACACCGGTAGGTGATGTAGAGGAGCGTTCGAGACGAGATGGTGAAGCCATGGCCAATGACGTCGGATGTTATGTAGGTAGATCAGTTCCAGGAGAGCGCGAGGGGCACAGAGGGTAGTGAAGGCCAGGACGGGAGGTTGAAGACGGTAAGGTGTATCCTTGGTGAATGAAGCACGATTATTGATGGAGGGCCTAAGCGAGATCATGGCAACAGGACGGACAGGGGTTGTTGGCCGTCCTCGGGCGAATTCGAAATCTGTAGAGGGTTAGTTCTCTCGACTTGGTGTTGGTATTAGGGCCGGGCAACGCGGTAGTCCTGAGCCATGGCATGGCATCGCACCGCATCGCATCGCATCCCACTTGCTTGCTTCCACAACCCTGATCCCACAACCCAATCCCATCTGACCCCCTACATTGTGCAGCGTCGCGGACCCCACGTGGAACCAATCTCACCTTCAATGTCAGACGCTAACAGCAATAGGTTGATTTGCGTCGTAGGCGCCACGGGCAACCAGGGGGGATCCGTCGCACGCCGTTTCCGCGAGGCTGGTTTCCGCGTCCGCGGTCTGTCCCGCAACCCTTCCTCTCCAGCAGCTCAGAAGCTCGTCGCAGAGGGCATCGAGGTTGTTGCAGCAGACCTCGATGATGTCGCCACGCTGATCCCCGTGTTTCGGGGCGCCAACGTCATCTTCAGCGTCACCCAATATTGGGAGCCGTTCATGCGCCCAGACTGCCGAAAAAGCGCCGAGGACCAAGGCATCACGTGCCGCAAGTTCGCCTACGATGTCGAGTATCAACATGGCAAAAACATCACCGACGCTGCCGCCACGACGGTCGATTCGCTTGATGCCAATGGATTTCTCGTCTCCACGCTGAGCCATGCTGCCAAGTGCAGCAAGGGAGCGTATACAGATCTCTATCATTTCGACAGCAAGGCCGATATCTACCCTGCTTACGTCGACGACAAGTATCCCGACCTGGCTGCCAAAATGTCGTGCATCCACACGGGATTTTTTTTCACCAGCTTCAACATCCTGCCCAATTCGTACTTCGGGAAGGTGAGTTGGATAACACTTTTCGTAAAAGTTGCAGCCTTACTGACTACATGTTCACCTTGCTTTGCAACAGCTCCCCGACGGTAGCTTCCAGACGTCTTTCGCCACGGCCCCCGATCGCGTTGTCCCTCACTTCGACCCCGTAGGTGATATGGGCAATTTCACCTACGCCGTGAGTCAGTTGTCGCCTGGAAAAGCGTACATGGCTGCAGGTACCTTTTCCAGCTGGACGAGCTGGATCAATACCTGGAGCGCCATCACCGGGGCTTCCGCCTCGTACAAACAAGTCACGCCGGAAGAGATGATTGAAATGACTGGTGATTATGATCTCGGCCTTGAGGTCGCTCTGATGTACTCCTACGCAAATGATCCAGGCTACGATGGCGGCATGCATCTTTTGACTGCAGATGACATTCGTAAAGTAAGTGAATGCCCGTTCCCCCTGCCATACCTTCCCCAGAAGCTGGTTTGGAGTGAAGACTGAGAGTATGTGCTACTAGCTCGGCGTGGAATGCCCAATGACGACGTGGGAGGCATGGGCGAAGAAGCATGACTGGTCGCCTATTCTTGCATCTTAGGTATATGTTATATATATTACATCACCCCGGTTTGGAGATATATAATATACACATATCCTCCAACTTGATTCCTGACCTTTCCCCGACTTCGCCAATGCCGCGCTCTGGTGAAGCTAAGTCTACGACGTCCGCGTTGATCCTGTTGGCTTTTATGAGGCAGACAGCCCGCAGCATGCTGCTTTTTACACGATACACCCTGCCTGGAGCTCAAAGGTTGATTTATCGTGTTTTCAATACCCAGTGTTTGGGCCGCATGGAAATGCGATGATTGAAAATCATATACTTAGTGCAGGCATAACTTAGCAAGTACTACTATTAGAAGAGTTCTAAGTGGATTAACGCAGAACGATTCCGAAATCTGTACCGATATCTCATAATCATGTCTCTATAGCATATCAGTAACGGCGCATGGAAAGCTTATTGCACGCAGGCGTAGGTAAAATTCTTGTCCTGTGCAATTTGTTGGATGTGCTCTGCAATGCGAGACTTCTGTTCAGCATAGCAAAAGTCATCTTCCCACCCCATGTATTCGACTTTGATAGACTTCGACATACTGTATTCTCTCAATACACTGTCGTCCGGGTAATCTGGAGGAAGAGGGCAAGCCAAGGAAGAAGAGATCTGGGTTAGAAGTGTAGTTTAAGGCTTCGAACGTGGAGTTGAAGGAACAACAGTATACTAAAACTACTTGGACGTTGGTGCACCAGTGGTTTGACGAGGTCGCTTTCTGGGGATAAGATTGAGTTATTGACCTTACACGGCTGAGCATGACTTCATCTTATTGAAACGCTAAGATAACCCCGCCGCGCACGGAGCAATCGCTGACTACAGCATGCAATGTGCCGGCTTTTGTCACCTGCGTAAAGGCCAACACGCACTCATAAACCATGTCTCTGTCTGAGAAATCCCACACTCCGCCCCTTGGCGCCACAATCCATCAGCTCAAGATTAAACCCATATTCGAGGCTCTTGAAAAGCGCGAGAAGTTCTACGCTCACTACCTTGCACACGCGGCATGGCATAGAAACAGAATCATCATGCGACAGGTGTCGCCAGAAAGCCCCGACATCTTCAACTTCATCATAGACCTCTACCGTGCCTGTAATGGAAAATAGGACACCTTAGTGTTGCAATGCAACATTACTTCTAAAAGCTAGCTTTCTTTCTTAAGTATGCTGCTATGTTCCTCTGCAATTTAGAGAACTTCTATATAAGTTAGGTGAACTATTACTGCTCAAAGTGCTAATTATAATTGAGGTAAAGGCTACTAAAAGTTTGTTTCTAATGTATCAGCAGAAGCTTTTAGAAAAATTGCTAATGTTTCTCTAAAGACAAAAGCTAGCTTTAACAAGATTATTAAACTGTTGTTAGCAGTCCCCTTATTTAGCCTTAAATACTCTAGCAAAACTGCGCAGTCTAGCTATTACTCTAGTAATAAACTTATTACTTAGGACAATATTGCTAGAGTGTTAAAGGTTATAAACATAAAATTAATTAGGCTAGAGAATACTTAAGTTTAAAAAGTAATTAAAGATACTAAGCTAGTGTTGGAGTTGTTGTAAGCTTTTGCAAAAAATACTTTTTTTAAAAATAGCTATAATAAACTTATAGATAGCATGTTTCTTGTGCAAGAAGATTACTTAAATAAATTAAAAAAGGTCTGCTCTGCTTTAGAAAAGGTAAAAGAGTATATAGCTAAAGGCTTTTAACTTTACTAGTGTCTACAGTAAGCTATTCTTATAGAATAAAAAATAAAGCTAATTATTCTAGCGCTTGCTGTGTGCAGTAGCATTGTTTTTAAAGCTACTAATTTTTTAAATATAAGTTTTTCTTATCTCTATTTTATATTTATAGATAAATTATTAGTAGTATAAATATATTTAAAAGACTTATAGCTTTAAAAACGTTGTTTTTATAAACTATCTTAGTGTTAATAATAACTTTAATCTTTTATACTACTAGGTAGACTTATCTAAGTTTAAGTTTTTTAAAACTAAAAGACATATAGTCTAATTTTTTACTACAGCTATTTATAAACTAAAAACTTTACTAAAAACTTACAACTTTAATAAGTAGAATTCTCTAATTAGCCCTCTTAACAGAGAAGTTATTACTTTATACTACTTAGCTAAATAAATATAAAAAAGCGTGTTTAGAAAGCCTGTAAGAATAGTAGAGAAATATTATATAATATTAATATTAGAATACTTTATAAATAATAAAAAACTACTAGAAATTTTTAAGTACACTAATAATAGTAATATTATAGCTAAAAACTATATATTACATTATTTTAAACTTTTATATACTAAAAAAGTAATTTTTATTAATTTTAGTTTTTTATACTACTTATTTTAATATTAGCATTAACAGTTTGCAAGCTTTTAAGTACTATAACTTTTAAAATTAGTTTTAAGGCTAAGTTTATTACTAGGTAAGTATAACTTACTATTACTTATGTATAATATTAACTTTTACTTAAGCTTACTTTTTTATTCTTAAATATCTTTTTTAAAATAATAATAGTATTTTATTTATTATGTATAGCTTTGCACAGCAGTTTCTAATAGTATATATTAACTAGTTTAAAATAAATTTTTATGCTAAACTATTTTTAAGCTAATATTTTTATAAGCTATATATTTAGTACTATACTGCTAATATATCTGTGTATAAAAAGTTTTACAACTTTATATATATAGTTAATAGCGTTTATAAAAAGTGGCGCAAAATTATTATATCTAAATTAAATATATAGTAAAAGTTTGTGTAGCTAAATACTTTTATTAAAAATAAAAATATTAAAGTTAAAGTTTATAAAGAAACTAATAAAAGTATTATTTAGTTATAGGGTTAGGGTTAGGGTTAGGGTTAGGGTTAGGGTTAGGGTTAGGGTTAGGGTTAGGGTTAGGGTTAGGGTTAGGGTTAGGGTTAGGGTTAGGGTTAGGGTTAGGGTTAGGGTTAGGGTTAGGGTTAGGGTTAGGGTTAGGT